AATTGATAAGCAGCTCGCCATTCTTGCCGTACCGGTGAGGTGTGTTTCGGGCGACAGAGACAACGTTGAAGACGCTGGTTGTCTTCTGGAAGATGCCGTCCATTTCCTCCAGGGATCGGTAGGCCGTCTCGGGGTAGAAGAAATAGACCACCGGGAAGATGAAAGCGTTGATGACGGCAAAGATAATGTAGGTTTTGTATCCGATGTTCTCAAACGCCACGGGCGTGATCATGACGACCAAGAAGTTGAAGATCCTAAAGGGAAATCAGGTTAGTTGTCGTGCCAAGAACAGACAGACTTGCATGGATGGAGTAACGAGTTACAAGTACTTACCAGTTTGCGGATGTGGAGAGGGCGTTCGCAGGAGCACGAATGCGCAGCGGAACAATCTCGGCCGGGTATAGCCAGGTCATACCCAACCAACCCCAAGCGAAGAAAGTGTTAAAAACAAACAAGAACACTGCCGCAGCGATACCAGCCTTGCTCTTATTTTCTCCCGTGAAGCTAGTGCAGATGGCCAGTACGGCCATTGAAACGGACATGCCGGCAGCACCAACCAGCATCAGACTGCGACGGCCCACCTTTTCAATAATGAAGATCGGGACGAGCGAGGCAAGGAAATACTCGGTACCATTACACGCGGCCATAATTCTTGCCGTGAGCCCATCCATACCAATGGAGTTCTCGTAGATGGTAGCCGCGTAGTAAGTGATCAAATTGATACCGGAAATCTGCTGGAACATCTGGTTGACGTAGGCGAGAACGACACGGTGCAGATGGCGGTTCTCGTCCATCGTGCAGAGATCCCTGAAGCTGACCGTATCCGCGTCCAGTACTGCATCCTTGATAGCGGCGAATTCGGAGTGGATGTATTCGTCGCCTTCGGGTAGATCCAAGATGGCCGATAACACTTCCATTGCCTCTTCCTCGCGGCCTTTCATGATCAGCCAACGAGGGGACTCGGGGAGGGGGAGTACGCAGGCAAGAATGACGAGCGTGAAGAGATTCTGGAAGGCGATGGGGAATCGCCATGCCACGGAGCTGGGGTCCAGGAAGGAGAATCCGAGATCGATCCAGTAACTGATGGTGATTCCACCGGCGATCAGGGCACCTTCTAACATGACTAGCGGGCCGCGGTGGTGGGACTTGGAACACTCGGACTGCCAAGTTGCTATATGGGAGAGTCAGTGGTTATGCGCTTGAGTTGAATGATTGCATGCGGCTGTATAGTACTTACGGACTGTCGAAGTGTTCATGCCATTGCCGATACCGGTGATGACCCGACCGGCGATCAGATGTGGGAGGCTGTATGCACAGGACTGGAGGGTTGCGCCAATCACCATGATAACGGAGCCAGTGAAGATAGTCTTGCGACGGCCTAGGTAGTTGCCAATCCAGATGCAGAAGACGGCGCCGAAGAAGCAACCCAAGTTGTAAGAGGCGACTGTGATACCCTGCACCGTTGAACGATTGCTTTTCTGAGCTGAATTTAGGCCCAATTCGGCGGCCTTTGTGGTGTCAATTTCAGGAAATGTGGTGATAAATGAGTTTAAGGTCAGTAGACCTCCCATAACACCCCTAATCAGTTAGTTAATAGACCGTCAAGTTTGAACATCGAAGTAGTAAGTTGAACATACTGGTCATAACCAAAAAGTCTAAAGGAATCATGTTAGCCACAGAACAGCATACCAAGATAATTGACCAAAAAACATACAAGAAATCCAGACCAGCAATAATACTGATCATAATATTTAGGGATCCACCCCGGAGTCCATAGTATGGCTTCATGATGGAATCGATTTAGGAATTGTATACAATCTGCCGCCTCGAGTCAAGGCTTGTATCAGAAACAATAGAATGACAAGATTCCAATGAGTCCAAGCCTGTTGGACGAAAAATGGAAGGGCAAGATTGAAGAAGAAAAGAACAAGCAAAAGAAAAGAAAGGACCAAGGTCCGGGGAAGCAGCTGGGGGTTTATGAGCGCGCATTGAAACGACCATAGCGCACAAGGGATCCACTAAGATCGGACAAGCTGTATCAGTATTGGATAAGTGACTGGGACCACGAGACTGGCAGGTTTGGCATCAAGGTCACATCCACGATGGCTACATCTTCGCCGGATTGGGGGCAGGAGTTGTACTCCACCGCCTATACAGCCATTGAGCCGGGAGGGAAACTCCACTTTTGCAAGAGAAGATCAAATCAAATGATTGGAAGTCTGTCCGATTTTCACCTTGCTTTTTTTTTCTCTTTTCCACGCAGGTTCCATACGGCCATGCGCCGTGGGGGAAGAGTCGGAAGACCAACAGGTTCGGTAACAGTCCGGTACGCCAATTACAGGAATTCTGGTTGCAGAGAAGATCGAATGTATGACCAGTAGGAACTGCACTGATGATGTCGGTGATTTTCTCCGTAACTCGCGTGGCTCCAACATACTTGGTGGAACAAAGTGGCTCTTTATTATGGGTCGCAATCTTGTCCCCCAGATTTCCACCTTGCTTCCCCACGACGCAGGATACTGGGGACTGGAGACACATGGAAGGAGATTTTATTTTAATTTCCTGAGATCGAGAAAGATGGCATATACTCAAATAAATGACTTGAAACAAACCAAGAAAAAAAAAAAAAAATTTCCCTTCAATCTTCTTCGATCTTCTTCAATCTTTCTTCTATTCGGCTTCTTGTGTCGGGCTCCCGTAGAGCGCCAAGTACATTTGAGCCGGGATCAGCATCTGCCCGGGAAGGTTCTGATCCAAAACCACCGAGAATCGGCTTTGCCCTCCAATTATCCGTGCGGGAGTTCCGAGACTCGTACCACTTTGGATTTCGAATGTAGAACCTGCAGCTGCAGCGTATGGCTCGAGCGCTAACTACCGCATTGGGGTCCACACATGCGGAGACGTGCCCACGACCTTTAGGCAGGACCTACCCCTCTTGGCGCGTCTATGTCGAAAAAGGGGGTCTTTTCTCCATGTCTTTAACAGGTCCGTGTTATATGTACAACCCTGGAACTTGAGTCAGGATCGCCATGATGGAAGCGAACTGCTGACGTCATCGCCAGGGACAGGCAGTTTCAGAGTGATTTTCTGATACTTGTACTTTGTGCTTTTTAAAATATACTAGTACGATAGAATTGAAACATTTGAATGTAATAATCCAAAGGAGATGTGAGAGAGAAAAATTTTCTGCTGTGCTCGGTTTTCCCCAGTGTGCCAATTGGCAATACTACCCCAAGATTCGGCCCCGGTCTCGGTCTTCTGGGCCGAAATCTTGGGGTTCTCGGGTTTTGGTTCGGGCCACTCCGACCAACCGCGAAAAGAATATTCAAAGAGCGAGAAAGGAAAAGAGAAAATTCTCAGAATGGTAACTAAGATTCAATGTAGTATTTTGGATCGAAAACCCGAAGTTCTCAATCTGAGAATCCTTCCAAATGCCAATGCAGTACCGCGCCAATGATTACCCGATCGGGTAACCCGCGTCAGTCCTCCCGGTTCAGAATGTGTCGGTGTATGGAATTTTCTGTTGTTCCGTTGGAAGTTGGAACTTGAAATGCTTGGGCCACGAGGTTTCGAAAAAAAAAATCCTATTCCACATGTCCATGTACGTCGGTTATGTTCCCCTGTACTACCCCCTGGCGTCGATATGAACCTAATGAGAAGGTTTGAAGGGAACATTGAAAGCTTGATTGCAAGTACAATTGGATTGATTTCTCATTGATTTATGTACTACATCTGACCTGTCTAGATTGAAATACTCACGCTTCTAGAATTCTGGGAATCTCTAGCTCATGACTATATAACCTTTTACCCCCACAAGTAAAATCAAACCAGTGCCATCCGGATTCGGCCATGATCGATGATCGCCAATCACCGTCAAAACCGGCCTACTACTACCCATGCCATGCATTGGATGTACATCGACCTGCATAACCCTCCAACCAATCATCTCCCATTTCCCCAGAAAAATTACAAATCTTCATCAGTCTAAGACAGCGGGGATCAGAGATTCTACTTACTTCTCGCTCTCTTTCGTGGGAAGAGGTGGTTGTGCTTCCCATTCTTGATCACTGAAAAAACCCACTACATATCATACTCCATATCTGAACAGGGTTCCTAGGACACCCGTATTGGAAACTCTGATATCCCGCGTGGTTGATCGGCAATGCCGACAAGGGTCAGGGAAGGATATCGGGTCGGAAAAGTGGTCAAGTTCGGTGTGCTCTGCTGCTCCGACTTGTGAATTCCCGGTTTGGTGGTTCGGGTGATGCCGTCATCATTCATACTAAAACTTGATAGGAACGCTCAAATGCAACCTCAATCCAGGATACATGGGCGCGTTCTGCGTCTAGATCTTGGATCCCTTCAGGAAAATGGTGCTATCACTTGATAGAATTGATCGGTCCCTTAAGGTGAGTACTCACCTAGGGGCCAGTCAAACAAGTCTTCTGTTTGAGAGAAAAACGAGAAAAACCGAAGGAACAGATTTTTTAAACAATACACATTATTAATATTTTTTTTTTTCGCCTTCTTTCTTCCCTCATTGGATCTCTTTTGGGGCCTTGTACACCCACTAATATGTGGTCTGTAAACATAATAGAGAAATGATCCTCTCAAATCAAAGGAAACGGCCAGTGACTGCCTCAGGAAAAACCCAAGCAAAAAAATCCCATAAATATGGCCTCCGCTAAAATCTATAACTTCAAGACATACATCGCAATCAATGATCAATGTGTCGGCAGGGTCCATTCTCAACCACGAGGAATCAACGATCCATTCAAGAAAACCTCGTGCTTCAATGAGCCTGGAATTTCCAACCCATCGTTCTTGGAAGTTCGAAAACAAGTCATAATCGTGTCTGGCCTGATATCATCCATAACCGAAAGGAAGAAGCTGAGTATCCGTTGCTCAGGTTCTGCTCGGGTTCTGCTCGGGTTCAATTCTCCTCCATGGTCAAGAAGCTCTCCTCTGCACCGAAACACTGACGTCTCACCTTCCCAGACCTACCATGCCTGGTCGTTCAGATCTGGCTCGTCCATAAAGCCACCCGCAGCCGCAGGGGCCTCATCTTCGTGGGAGCCGAAGCTACCACGGCTATCGTCAAAGCCACCACCACCGAAGTAACCACCGCCGGACTCTTCAGGTTCAGGTTGGGGGCAGCGCTTGACGGTGTGGCCATCTGATATTCATTTTTAGCAATGATAATTGTGGTGTTCAAACATTTGAATGGTCAACTTACTTTCTCCACAGCGGTTGCAAGTAACCTTGGACCAGTCCTTGGGCAAGGGACAGTCTCGGGCGGCATGACCCTCTATTTCCAGTTGTTAGTACTTCACAGGTTGGGAAGATGATGGATTCTTCGTATCGGTGTATTCAATGCATGGCTGTGTGTGTGTGTGTGTGTGTGTAAGCGGAGAGAGAAGGGGAAAGAGCTGGCTAGGGGAACTTACTCTCGTCACAGTTACGACATGTCATAGTCTTTGGATCACGAGGTTGATCACAATCACGAGCGATGTGATCCTCGGAGCTGTATCTGTTAGCTGACACACGACTTTGGGAGCAAGATGAGAAACCTACCCGCAGTTGCGGCAAGTGCGAGGACCTGCATCAGCATACTTGGGGCAGTCCTTAGCGAAGTGGCCAACTAATTGTATGTTAACATGCTGTTCACTGTGAGGTCGAAAGTATCTTGTCTTACGCTCGTTGCATCGGCGGCATTCAGTGTCCGGGGGGGCAGCACGGGGCTCCGGGCAGTCCTTTGCATGGTGCTCGTCGGAGCTATAACTGGATTAGCATTATATATTGACGTTTCATTCGGTATAAAGCCCTACCCGCAGTTGCGACATCCACCCTTGACGCGACGTGGCTCTGGGCAGTCACGCACACGATGGCCGAGACCATCACAGTTGGAGCATTTGATCTCAGCACGCTGTCCATCAACGCGCTCTTCCTTGCAAGTCTTGGCAGTGTGGCCAAGCTCTATTGTTTTATTAGCCATCTCGCGACTCTGGAGTGATAAAGGAGAGGAGGAAATACCGTTGCATCTGCGGCACCGCACGATCATGCGATCATAAGTTTCTCCCGCATTTTCTAAACGCTCAAGATTATCCTCGGGTGTATCAGGCCATCGATCTTTCAAAGAGAGCCGCGGAGGCTTGGGGCCGCGGAAGAAAGAGACGGTGTATTCCTTGTCAAGGTTGCCCTGCAGGTCGATCAGAACGTGGACATTCTCAATCTCTTTTTTCTGAATTTGAAGTTGGTGGTCAGTAGATTTATCAGCCAAGCCATTCTCTATGTGGTTATAAGCTCACAACTCCAATGATGTAAAGAGGGAAATTGTCTTCGCGCATCTTCTTTTCAATATCTGCGTATGTAGCCTTGGGCACGGCTTTGGAGTAGACCTTGAGGGCCTTGGGTAACTTGTTAGCAATAGGGTTCTTGTACCATATGCACCATATTCAAGGTCTTCCTACCGAACGGAACTCGGTCAAGTCTGTTCCTGCTGCTTTCATCATGTCCCATGCTTCACCGGGAGTTCTATCCGCCACGTTGTTCAAATCAAAGAAGCGAGGCTTCTTGCAGTCTTTGGCGACGTGACCTATCATGTGAAGTTGATGAGTTTATAAGTTCCGTGCAGACAAAAATATGTTATCTTTCTTGCTTACCTTCGCCTAAGCAGTTGCGGCAAATATCGACAGGTCGCTCAGGACATTCTGCAGCGGGGTGGCCCTCCTTGTTGCAGAGGCGGCACTCGCCTTTGAACACACGGGGATTGGTGCACTCAGACTTGGAGTGCCTGCTTAGAGTTAACAATGTCGTAATGGTAGATCAACATGCTGGGTGATGACATACCCCTCCTCTCCGCAGTTGAAGCAAGCACCGGTGAACTTTCGGGGCTCGGTGCATTCGGCCTTTGTGTGCCTGTCATGGAAGTCATGTAAGACTCTTCTCCGGGAATTCATAAAGCAGAGATACTTACCCTTCTTCACCACAGTTGAAGCATGCGTTCGAGGTGTTTCCTTGCTGGCCGTATTCGCCATCTTGATCATTCGTTCCCCAGCGAGTTTCGTCGTTTTCAACAAATTCGCCTCCTTGTAGTCCTTCCTGCAGTCCTTCCTGCAGTCCTTCCTGCAGTCCTTCCTTGTCAGTATCCTCCGCCCGCTCTTCTTCCCAAGTACCTGCCATATTGTAGATCGCCCTATGCCCTTGCATCAAATATTAGTACGTCACTTGAGAGACTATTCCAGGAGGTCCATGCGTCTCTCTATAAAGAAACCCGTCAAACGTAACGTGAGAGGGAATATGTTCATGGAGGATGGGTAAAGCTCGATGTATTTGCACGACACTGGCCAAGCAATGTTGGCATGGAGGTCGACAAAACATGATATTAGTGGCATCAAGCGGCCTCGAGCAAGGTGACGCAAAATCAAAATTCGTCACTTCGTTAAACTTCTACCAAATGATACCACCAAGTTGGAAAATATCGCGGTCATCGGAAGAGGGTTGGAAGAAACTCACAGTCGTAAACAAACTTGATTGCGAGCAAGGTGGGAAATAGAGGGGTGGGGAGGGAAAGAAAGAGGGAGAGGAAGAGGGAGAGGAGAGTGAGAGGTAAACAACGACGACAAATTAGGAAGGCGAGCCTTTTTCGTTACTTTCACGCTCACACTTTCGTCAACATTAGAAGTTTTACGGCAATCTACTGATTTGTTTGACCATTCATAACAAGCCAGATATTAGCGCATCTGATTCGATAGCTTTAGCGTAACACATCCAAATTGATTGATAGCTGTATCAAAACACTAGACATGCACAAAGTAGAGAATCAATAGTAGGATCATCACTATGGTTTTCTAGCAGCAGAACACTATCATGCATATACTATATCCTTCGGATCAAATCATCGGAAGAACCTGCCCAGCAGGCCACCGGCAAGATTGTTCACAATTCCACCTCCGAGTGCACTATTCGCGAAAGTGGAAGCTTGGCTGAACTTGTCACATCGCGAGAAAGCCACGGTATTTGTGATTGTCAGAATAAGAGCAATGCCTGGGTCAATCGAGTTAGTTTGGAAGGCTCTGAAGAGATCTTCGCGGATCATGATACGTTGAGGGGGGTCATCTTACCAACTAGGCTCAGCCAGATCACACCGACTAGTCTCACAATGGCCAGAATAGCTAGTCCTACCCATAGAGCCGGTGTCGCATATAGACTCAGCCAGAAGAACCGCTTGTCGGTGGCTGTAATTGTGCGAACGTTAGGGTCGGATGATTCGAAGACCCAGTGCGAGTCACCGGAGGCTGTGTTGACTTCGTTCCACCACCGGAGGCCCACCAGTCGACGCCCAGCAATATTTTTGAGGTAGTAAAAGTCGGCCGAAAGAAGGAGGAGAGTCAGGATAAAGACGAGGACGCTGTAATCAACATGTTAGTTCGAGGTTCATAATTGCCGATTCCAGGGCTGTTGGGACCGGCTCGTCAGAAGCCGAGGACATACAAGTTCTCAATGAAAAGAAGACCAAAGAGGTACATCATCAAGGCACCTGCGCAAATGATTAGTCAAGTGTTCAATGAGGAGTCAAGGAAGCCAGTACTAACCAATGCGGATACCCAGGAAGACAAGTAGCGTGATCGGGTGGGAGCTTAAACGCCAGTTCAGCTCTCCTTGATTTCCTTGATCCATGACGAGCGACCAAGAACCTTAGGGTTCTGATGCTTCAGCGATAAGGTAGTTTTAGAAATCGCTGCTGTCGCAGTTGCAGTTGCAATGAAAGCTAATGGCTCAGATCCCTGATGTGTTCACAACACAGTACGGGGCAGGCGGTCCACGCTGGCAAAATATCACCGCCTCAACGCTGATTGGTCACTTTCAATAATTGTATATGCAGCTATCTACAGTGGCTTCTCATATGTTTCCACCTCTCGGTTTTCCGCCATTTTATCACCGTCAATGTACACTAGTAGCTACCGCCTGCACTAGTAGCTACCGCCTACACGAGTAGCTACCGTCTACTCTATATAGCAGCGTTCTAGCGCGTACAAATAAAACCATTCATCATATCATTGATAGAATACCATTTCAAGACTTCTATTTCAACCAAACTCAGTATAATATACCGCCTGCTCGCCATGATAGATAGAATGGAATAATTAGATTTTGTAACGGCAGAATACTAGGTCTTGGTGCGGCAGAAATAAAGACGGTGAAAATGGAGGGATGGAAACTTTATGTATGAGAAGCCACTGTATGCAGGCGATGAAAAGGGTATTAGTTACTGTATAATATCCAGAACTCCTCATTTTCCTCTTCCAAGTTTATAAACCGATACAATCAAAATTTGAAACCATTACCTACCAGTTGTAGGTAATTTCGCTCGACAATATGACCCTCGGCCGCAATGTCATCATACTAGGTACAATTTGAGTGAGATTTATTTAATGCCCTTGAATTCCCACATTTAAGTAGTACTGTTTTAATCGATGTCAAAGTGCAATTTTATCCAGCTGGGATGGGATATAGAAAAAGACTCCCATAATAACTTTCCACCATTTAAATGTTGAGACCTTCAAAAGTAAAATTTTTGGAAGAGCTCTCACTACATCTGGAACCAATTATCTTAAATGCACGAGGATCGATCCATAAGCAAATTGTCATTTCGTCAGTGTACTGTATCTATACCTAAAGAATATTTGGCAATGTCCCAATGCGTCATTCCGAGCCAAATAGTAGTAGAAACCTCAAGCGGTTCTTAAGATTCACAGTAAGTAGAAAATTCTGGCAGTTCATGACAATTCAATCCTCTGTGTCCTCTGTCCTCTCCCCACTGGCACATATCACTTCTCAAATCATCCCTCATATCAGCTTTGGCGATCCTTGAATCACCGTGTTGATCCATTACCTAGACATAGGTGACGGTGACACTGGACGAGGTAACAGAGACAGAAGTAAGAACAACGTCGTTCTGCTCAATGTCCAAGATAGTGGCACCAGAAGGTCCAACAGTGGAGCCGTTATCAGTGGCCTCAGCATCACTGAAAGTGACGGTGCCAAAGTTGGCAAAGTCAACGAGGGAGTCGCCCTCCTCGAAGTCCTCGACAATCCACTCGGCATTAACCTCGCCCAGGTCACCCTCGACACCGCTGGAGAAGGTGTGAGACACGGTCTTACCAGTGGTGACATTCTCAATGGTGGCGGTGCCGGAGGCCTTGGAGGTGGCATCCACAGTCACCTTGATGACATCTCCGGCGGCGATCGAGATGCCGCTGAAGTCGTAGGCGTAATCGGGGTACCACTCGTACCAGGCGTCGTAGCTAGCCTTGCCGTTCTCAATGGTGAAGTCAACACCAGTCTGAAGGATGGCATCGCTCCAAGTGTCACCGTCGATACCGACCCAGGCAGAGGCCGCATAGTCTCCGCTGGAGCTGCTGCCGGTAGGCACCTTGGGGGTTGGCACGGTGAACTGGCCAGTGACAGCGGTGTAGCCGGAGCCAACGAGGACAGCACCAGCCCAGTTGGAGCTGTACTCCACCTCGGAAGTGGTCTCGTTGAAGTTGATGGCTTCCTTGGTACCCGCCTTGAAGGGAGGGTTGCCATGGCGCTGGACGGAGCGACCTTCGGCGCGAGCAAGACGGCGAGCCTCGTTGCGGGCCTGACGCTTGGAGGTCAAGGGCGCAGCAAAGGCGGCAGTGGCAAGCAAGGTGCTGCTAAGGATTGCAGTGGAGAACTTCATCTTGAAGGTTTGATTTGGAAACTTGGGGCAAAGCCTTGGTTGGAATGTAGAGCTGGTTTGGAAGGAATTGGACTTTCTTGAGCTGTGATGAAGTTCAATTCTATGAGGAGACAATGGGCTTTATATAGCCATCTTCAAGCTTGCTGGGTATAGGATGCGCCCAACTTCAATTCTGAAGGAGTTCGTCGTCTGTCTGGCTCTATAGCTCGCGTTCGGATGTCGATGCAACATCAATATCGAGATATCAACGCCATAGGTTGTCCATGATCAAAAAATCACGCCAGAACAGGTAATGTCCTGCGCCGTCGGAGACCGATGGAGGCATGAAGATTGATCGCGCAATACGGCGCTTTTGCAGATGCTTAATGAAGAAAAGGGCTTAGCTTCTCTCAATTTTCCATCTTTCAAGATTGAGATAATGTCACTGGAATGACCTATTCCAATATCTTTAAAGCAAATCAGTGACAAGGCTTCAAAATAAAATATTCACACTCCAACAGACCGTCCTGTGATAGTAATACGGCAGCATCTAGCCCATAGCGAGTCTAGTTGAAGCAAATGGTGTTAAAAGTGGTCAGCTAGAGACATTTCGCGAAATGACGCCATATCATGCCAGCCCTATCAATTTCCAGGCACAGCGGGGAACCTGCCAAAAGAGCACCTGCTTGAGAGGGGTCGGAGCTCCGCAGCTTATAGGTGCAATATTGACATTCTGCAGCTTTCCAAGTGTCAATGCAAGTGCTTGCATTGTAAGCTCAGAACGTCCAACCGATGTCGAAAGTTGAAGCAAGCAACGGTGATTTTGACGATTTCGGGGCCCCATATGAGTCAATCGGGCCCTAAGTCAGCCACCAGCGCCACAGGAGTGACCCTTTTTCGTTGCTATTGGGTGTCAGTTAATTCTGCAGGAATTCGCCATACGGGCCTCCGGCTTTTCCTTCTTTTACTGAGGAAACGAGTTCGAATTCAGGGTGCTCGTTGCAACCTTGCCAGATGGCGATATGTGGGTAAAGGATGACACTTGACATGCGCAGAATCAAGACGTTATCAAGTGGGCTTATATGGATGCCAGGCTGCAAACTTGACTTATTCAGAGTTGGTGGTACTGATCTTGGCGTGGATAAGCAATCTGGTGATTTCAGAAGGGTAGGATGCAGATCCAACATAATAGAAGAGCTTGTGACCTGTGCTGAGATCAGCAGATTCTACTTCGAACAAAGCATCTCTCCTCTCGAGTGTTTCTGGGGGGTTCAGTCTAGATTTTGTCTGGCCATAATGTTTGGCTGTCGCCGACTCACCCTTCATCGCTCCCCTGCGATAAAGATGCCACAAGGTGAATGGATGACAAGTTGATAGTATTTATGAGACACAATGTCTGCACTGTCTAAGTTGAGATTGAATTTGAGTTATCTTCACAAAAATTCTTCACATCCGAAAGTGTAATTATCTTGGCCTTGAGTCTTGAATCTTGACAATGCCCACTGTGGGTCCATGGCATATAGGCTATTCCGAGCGCTACCCGAGCTCTCGGCTCTGTAGGGAATCTCCGCGACGCGCAGACATCCAACACCAACGTCACAACCCTGATTAAAAGAAATCACAATCCAACCTCCGAAGGCCGTCAAAACCATGTCGTCGCCCGCAATGGCAGCCCGCAATACCCTCCGCCGCTCCCTCCTCTACGGTAAGAAAAGGAAACCACGCATCGCGTCTTCCCCGCATTTCAACGCCAAAGCTTCAAGCACCGCAAAGAGCTAACCACCAACCCAAACCCCAGTCCCGGGCTCTTCGCAACGCTTCCTCGACAAGTCCCGCTCATTAGCAGCAGACTGCCTCACCTACGATCTCGAAGACAGCGTAACCCCGCACATGAAAGCAGAGGCCCGCTCCCTCGTGCGGAGAGCAATCGACCAGCCCACACCAAGCAACATCCGGGAACGCGCCGTGCGCATCAACTCCGTAGACAGCGGACTGGCACTGGGTGACCTGACAGAAGTGGTGAGTACCAAGGGCGAACCAGTCCAGCAACCACCAATTGCATTTCCTTCCAACGCTAACGAAATCCCGTACCAGCTGCAATCGCCGAACTTGACTACCATCGTCATTCCCAAGGTCAACTCCGCCTCAGACCTCACCTTTGTGACGGACGTAATCAGCCACACCCTGTCTCAGCAGAAGCACATCTCCCCCGAGAACCGGGCCCCGATCTCCCTCATCGCACTAATTGAATCCGCCAAGTCCATCACGAACCTTTCCCAGATCTGCTCCTCCACCCCCCTTCTCCAAGGTCTGATCTTCGCCGCGGAAGATTTTGCCCTAGACCTAAGTATTACACGCACGCCTTCTCTAACGGAATTTCTCTTCGCGCGCTCTGCAATCGTAACGGCGGCCCGGGCCGCTGAGCTCCCATCGACAATTGATCTGGTCTGCACAGCCTATAAATCTGATAAGGCGGACGGTTCGCCGCCCGCTACTCTGGAAGAGGAGTGCCGTGATGGAAGGAGGCTTGGGTTTAATGGAAAGCAGTGTATTCATCCGACGCAGGTGAAGACGGCGAATGCTATCTTTGGACCGGATGAGGAGGAGACGAAGTGGGCTGTGCGGGTGGTCATTGCGGATGAGAAGGCGGCGGCGGCTGGGCGGGGTGCTTGGACGCTGGATGGGAAGATGATTGATGTGCCGGTTGCGCAGAAGGCGAAGGCTATTGTTAAGAAGGCGGGCGCTTGTGGGGTTAATGTTGAGGCGCTGCGGAAGCAGTGGCAGCATCAGGAGCCTGAATAAGGGATTTTCAATTGTATAGTAGGGTTTTTTTTGGTATTTACTACTGGTAGTATAGTACATACAGTTTCTAAAGTTGCTGCTGGGAAAGTCCCAATGACCTCAAGTTGCCAGGAATCGCATTTTCTTTCTCACTGACTGCCTGGTACTATCTATCAGTAGGTACTGCCTCCGGACCTAGGTATCCGAGCAGTGAAGGGAGGTGGGGAGGGGCAAACATTGGCAGAGAAAGGCAAGTCAAGGATGTTTGAGAAATCTTGAGATACATCATATGGTCCGGGTATGCATATGGACATTTCGAGGTTCAAAGGGTTACACGAGATAACCAAGACTTGGACCTATAGTTATAGAAGGTATAGTCGGTGTGATTAATCAATTCGGAGCTACAATTGCTTTTCCACTCATTCCTTATCATAAAATTGTCTAAGTATGGCAGCTTCATACTCAGTATAGGTAGATTGATTGGTACCAATAGGTACTATGCGGGAGATGCATTTGGCTTAGCCAGTCGATTCTCTGGGCCTCTGCCAACTGCACTATGTAATGCACCATTCAAATCAATACAAATTCCATTCAAATCAATACAAATTTATTAATTCCTTGCTTTTTTTTCGTACCTACAGAAGATACGGAGTGAGTTTTCTGATTTACAGTCCCTTAATAGTGCACATCTATACTCCAGCACGATCGAGTGGATCGATTACATCTGGATCTACAAGAATATTGGTAAAAGAGGAGTCATATAGGAGAAGCTTGAATAGGATTGTTGAAGCAAAGGGTATTGTGCGAAATGTTAAGTTGACACGCTTTGATTCATTTATTGGGATGTCGTTTCTATATTCTCCCGTTTCAGAAGTTGAATCTTTCCCATGACGAGATTAGGCTGTCCAGCATCCTCCCCGGCCGCCTCGTCCTCCGCCAAGGTTCTGACAATTGACTTGTCATAGCTCGTTGGATCAATGCCAAGAATGCCGCCAACATAACCACCCCGCTCGCCAGGCACACTGAACTCTCGGAACAGGTACCTCCATTCATTGAGCCAGGCCTTGACGGCTTTGCCGATCTTATCTTTGCCGTTCTTGGAGTGATGGCCGGTGCCGGTGATTGCGTAGACGACCCGGAGACCCTCGCGTGCATGTTTCAAGAGGATCTTTTCAAGGTATTCGATTGCTTCTTCTGGGTGGAGGCCGTGTAGATCAACGTAGAGTTCCTCGGAGGTCTCGTCCAGGCCCGCCTGGTTTAGGTGTTGATTGCGTGCCTCATATAGCTGGCGTGCAGCTTCTCTGTGGCAGCGGCGCATGGCGTCGTTTTCTGATTGGCCGCGTAAAGATAAAGCTTTGGCAGCTCGGGCATCATTGCGATTCCACGCTTGAGCGGCACTGTTCAAAAAAAAAAAAAAAAAGTCAGTTATCCTTCAGTCTTCCAAGTCTTGAGCTCAGAGAGTATAGTGCTAGGTTCATACCTTTGTAGGAACTTGTTGCGTACGGTTCCATGGCGAATTGCTTCTGTGCGATATTGAATGTATTGTTGATTTGCTCGTGCACCAGTCTCGAGCCAAGGGATATTCTGCGGCGCTGGAATAGATTGGGCTGCTGCGCTGTTTTCACGGCTCTTTATATCTTTATTGCTCTTGGAGGTCTTACCCTTGCCAGGGGAAGGTGATGGAGACATGCGAACGACGTCTGCCAATGAGGATGGGATGTTTTCTTTTCCCAAATTTGTTTCGCGGTTGTGGGCACCTCGCTTGCCATGATGTTTCTTTCCTGCGTTCTTTGCATTGACCGCTGCAAGGGTCGGGAATGCATCTGGGTCGTCTACCGACAGGGCAGTGGGATTCAGCTCTCGGTTTTGGTGCCGGCTACTTGGGCGGGAATTTGGTCTTCCCAAATGTGTCATGCTGCCGTTTCTTCTTCCCATGCCTGGGTGAAGACCGGGTGGGATATTCTTGTTTCCCTGATAGCCGGAAATATGAGAGGCGGGGTATCGACCACCATACTGATAAGCCCATTGCTCTTCTGAACTCGATGCCTGTAAGGGTGGGAACGCATCAGATCCACTGTCTACTTGGAAAGGTGATCCGGCAGGTGGCGAAGTTGGTCGACTGCTGCCTGAGACACTCAGGGTGGAAACAAGTGCCGAGGGATCATGCGAAAACGGACATCCGTCACCAGCCAAGCAGTTACCCATAACCCAGTATCTAATGTTCAATTAGCAAATGTTTTTCCAAAGTATCTGATTCTCAAGCAGAAAGACTTACTTGCATAGATGGCTGGTTAAGTCATGACTGAAACGGCAGTCTGCACGGAGACATTGCCCCGTAGACAGCCAATATTTGCACACGACGGGGCTTCGCTCAAGCCCAGACGGAGTGATAGGACGACTTTTTTCCATTACCATCGACTTGCCCACCAGCACACGGCCATCATCATGTTGCTTTGCAAATACATCTGCTACTGTATCTTGCGAAAGCGCGGCGATGGTTGCGCCGAGGTCATAGCTATTTGCTTCCAGGGCGGCCTCGATCTCGTCGTTTGATCGCTTATCGCCTAGAACTGTGCGCAATATATCATGTGGACTCATATCTGGCACAAACTCAGCCGCGGTTGCACTTAGCGATGCCTGGAAACTGAAGCCACCAGAAGACGAAGTGACGCTATTTGCATCGTCTCCTACCAACCAGTCAACGTTGGTATCACTACCGAAATCGCCATAGAAGTCGGAAAGTTGGCTTTGATCTGAGAACTCATAGGCATTTAAATTTGGGGAGTGCGGGATCGGTTGCGCCAAGGCGAGTCGAGGAGATGGTCGCGGGGAGGTAAACGGAGACACGGTGGAGGAAAGCGGAGGGCGGGCGAATGCCCCGCGGGAGCCCTGCACCCACGAGGTACTCCCAGGACTGGTCCCAAGGGTATTATTTGACGGGGAGAGAGGAGTTGATGATCGCATCTGCCATGGTGCTGGTGATGATCGGCGAATCACGGTATGGCGAGGGGGCGGGGGAGACGAATCTGGAAGGGTGCGATTGCGATGCCGCCATAATATGTCCAGCACCGCATTCTCCAGCGATGAACCGGTGAGTGAGGTGTTGGCGCGCAAATAATCCTCCACTTTTTCAACCTGCTCTTCTTCATCGAGGGCCTGGTCCTGCAGGAGATCCAAGCAGTTCTCTAATAGCTCCTCTGAAACCATGTTGTTTGGATGTACGCGTGTGGTGAAAGGGGGAGTAAGCTTGGAGGCGGGGAAGGATAAGAGGACAAAGCCCCAAAAGGGCAATATATGAGGACGCGGATGTGGTTTTAGGCGATAGGTTTCTTTGATAGGTGAATTTTGAGGGATTTGTCACCGAGATCAATATATGGTTTTCTTTTCTTCCTTTTGGATCTGGAAGATTGACAGAAGGACAAAGGAGGTTTGGGGGGAACAAACAAAGGATTGAGAGAAGGGGGAAGGGACAAGTGGAAAGATGCGATTACATCGCATCGGCCCTAATATCAATGTTGAACATGAACCCCCAAGCTTCTTCAGCAAAACAAATATATGGGGAAATTATTTATAAAGCAAAAAAAGAGGGGGGAAAAGGGAAGAAGATCAACAAATCTCGGGATTGTAGATTATTAGATTGGATTGGTTCTTGGGTTTCATCTTTCAGCTCGCAGTCTCCACCCATTGAAGTCCAAGTTGTAAGCCCTAAAACGACCTTCTTTTCGTCGGATGTATTGTACATTTGGTTGGATGTTCAATTGCTTTCGATTCACTTTATCCAAGTATATTTGTTACTACTGTCAACTGGTCTTGATTTAATTCCTAGATCAAGATAACCACATAATAAACATGGCCCCACGTGAACACTGTATGTACGCACGTATTCGTTTTGTCTGAACACGAAAACCAGGAACGTTTTTTCAAACCACTATACTTGCGACGATACGATACGATGCCCATACTTCCCCTTCAAAAAAACGATGCGATCAAAGTACATAAACGTCAACAAACGTCAACAAACCGCCCCTTTTATATGCTAGTAGTTTGCGATTCTAATGGTTCCCACTTCTCACATTTAGCTATGTAAGCCACCGGGCAGAACAGCCCCGGTTGGATCCGCCACATTGTGAGACATAAACCCTTCTCCGAATCCGATCCCTGATGTGCCCTGATAGCTTTTCAGGCATTAGACGGCGTGTCTAATCCTGCAGTTGTCGAGTCCTTCCTTTCTTCTAGGCTTTGCGATTCATACCGGAGACCTTGGAAAAGTCCGCTCGACCCCTTCCCGCCTCCACAGCCCGCCGATCGCTCCAAGAAGCTTGCCAGGCCCCAGATCCGACCCCTACCAATCTCCACACATCCTGATAGCACCATGCCGGCGGACTATGAGTCCACAGCACGGGCATTGGCCCTTTCGCCATCTTCCGAACTACACACGGCTTCCGCTAGCGACGATGAACAACCACTCTGGAGCCGGGCGGGCAGGCGGGATTCTGCTCGGCCCGAATCAGGCAACCTCCGCGACAGAATCATGAATAAAGGCAAGGCCCTCTATCACCAAGCAACAGAACGCTGGAATCGAATGACATTTTGGCAAAAGATCGGCTTTTATGTTGCATCGATCTTCGCTGCGGCTTTGGGCATCGGTTTCTTGGTTTTGACCAGCAAGGTGTTCATCTGGCTTGGCCCGGTCGCAGAAAGATGGGAGAAGTCTCCGCTCGTCGCCTTTGTGCTCTGGCTATGTGTTTTTTTCGTCTCGTTTCCGCCATTGTTGGGTTGGTCGACTTTTGGCACTGTGGCGGGATTCATCTTCGGCGTTTGGAAAGGGTAAGCTGTGAAACCTGTCGAACTTGAACATCCCAGAATCTATAACGAATCTCGGTATCATACTGCGGGCAAAGCTGACTTGAAGATGATTCCAGATGGTTGATCTACGCCACAGCCACCATTCTCGGGTCTACCGCCTCGTTCTATGTATCCCGCACGGTACTATCGAAATTTGTGGCTCGTCTGATGGAACATGATAAACGGTTTGCGGCGCTGGCCTTGACTCTGAAATATGACGGGCTAAAGCTGCTCTGTATGATCCGCCTGTGTCCCCTGCCCTATTCCATTTGCAACGGCGCCATTTCAACGTTTCCGACCGTCCAACCTTTAATGTATGGACTGGCCACGGCCATCATCTCGCCCAAATTGTTGATCCCGGCCTTTGTCGGCAGTCGGGTGCGCCTTCTGACCGAAAAGGGCGAAGAAATGAGCGCCGGGGCCAAGGCAGTTAACATCATCAGCATCATCGCTACAGTTACCATTGGCGGCGGCACCGCTTACTACATCTACAATAGGTTGGTCCAGAAAGATCAGGGCATTCCTGCCATCTTTGTTAATGACTCTAACCGTCTCCCCTTTACATAGAACCCTGGCTCGTGCGAAAGAACTCGAGGCAAAGGAACGTGACGACATTAGAAACTCCTTGCAAGCTGATCATGCTGCCAACCGCCCACATGGCCGATTCGCGGATGATGATGACGCCAATGCCGCGGCTAATGAACTCGCCCGGGACGAGGAGGAACGGATCGGTTTCAACGATTTCGACGATGACAACGTCGATCTTGACCTGGCCCTGGGTGACAGTGACAGTGAGACAGACAAACGCCGGTGGAAGAAATCGAATAGGCGATCATACCATGATGAGTTTACGGACAATGATTCTGACGAGTACACCGGCGATGGAGACGAGGCTTTCGGTCTACACTCTCATGTCCAACGTGATTCCTAGAGTTATCGGGCTGGGTTCTAGACTGCACAATATGAATGATGCTGTGAATATGATCATACTCGATCTAGGATCTCTTTGTATACCCCTGCGTAGATTGTGCTATACAAAGATAAGCTATATGCATGCACTATACCCGTTTAAGCCGTGAAGAATTCAGCCAGGTATAGCCCTATAGAACCAACGTCGCCTGTTCCCTCTCAGGATCCAATCCCTCGACCTATGAAGCAGATGCAGAATCGTTCGAGTAGCAAGAACCATTGATCTCGTAGAATGGAATGCCGGAAGCGGACTGAGAAATACGCGCTGATCCGAGGGATCAACCTTCGGTCGGGCTTCCCTTCCCATCTCCTCCTTGTATAGAAGAAATCTTTGAACAATAGAAGCCTCGTTGATACTGGCCCGGATTTCAATCGGCTTATGCTTTGCGGGAGATCCGGGCTTCTCAAATGTATGTTGTCTATCCATTTACTCCCGTTACCCTCTCTTTTGGCCACCCCCATCCACTCTTTTCTACTTGCAAAGATTTCAATCCAACCATTCATCCAACCTTACACCATCGCTTTCAGTCCCACTGAGAATTCATCAGCTTCCTATCGTTTTTCGATTCTCTACACTCTCTCTCCATTCTACTGCTTCGATAAAACATGATTGAACATGGGGAAACTTGAAGTTTGAGATATTCCACCTCATTCCACCCGATACCCCACTACCTCATTCATACAAGAAACCGATATCGAACCGAAACATCGTCTGTCTTTTGTGCTTCTTTCCGAGGAACAGGTATGTACTTTGATCCAATTACTTCGCAGAATCGTCAACTAATTACGATAATTCCCAGCCGAACTGCAATTACGCGTCGTTGAACTTGGGGATGTCTACAACAATGCAGATCGGCCAATCCGAGTTCATCAACACAGTTGATACAAACAAACTTGACGCTGAACTACCAGAGGAACAGCTATTTGCGTCGGATATGGAAGAATCAGACCGGCCCAAGAAGCGGCTTCGCAGTTCAGACAATGCTGCATCCGATACCCCACACATTTTGGACAACATCCAGCCTGTGATGTCTAACCTCGATCCAAACCCCGCTTCTAATGTCATCATCAATGGCACCAGCGACTCTTTGTTAAACCCATCCGTGGGTGGGAATGGTGACACTCCCCCTGAAGCAGTGTCAATGTCTCTTACATCATCTTTCGACCCAAGAATTTCTACTTCCCCTTTCACAACCCCCGAGCAAACATCTATCCCATCTTTCGTGGCAGGTGTGAATATCCTCGACAGTGGAAAGGTGGACCGAGCTAAATGCCGGCCACGTTCATCCATTCCTACTCATTTGAAACCCGAGGAATATGGTCAGCAGTGTGTAGCAGCTGCCTACGCATCTCGTCTGGATCCTTATTCCCTTCATCCAAAAGAACAAGAGCTTCTACAGGATCTTCTTTGTCACATTCATGTTACTCTCTACCTCAACATCCGCAATGGTATTCTCCGCCTCTGGACCCGGAACGCCATGCTCAGTGTCACCAGGGAAGAGGCCCTTGGTGTTGCAAAGGACTACCGCTGGATGAATCTAGCTTCTTTCGCATACGATTGGCTGGTACGGTATGGTTACATCAACTTCGGCTGCGTTGAAGCTCCCGTGCCTCTTCTTCCAGGAAGAAGAGGCAGACGGAGAGAAGGGGCAGTCATTGTTGTCGTGGGCGCCGGCGTTGGTGGGCTAGGCTGTGCACGTCAGCTGGAAAGTCTGCTACATCATTACCGGGACTCAGAAACTGCCCCTCGAGTTGTGGTACTGGAGGGACGTGGAAGAATTGGTGGAAGAGTCTATTCACACCCCCTTTACAGTATGGAGTCCGAAGCCCTACCTCCGGGACTCGTTCCCAAGGCAGAAATGGGTGCACAGATTATCGTTGGCTTTGACCGCGGTAATCCACTCGACGCGATCGTTCGAGCTCAATTGGCTCTGCACTACCATTATCTACACGATTCTTCCACTATCTACGATGTTGATGGCTCTCCTGTCAATGAGGTTCTGGATTCAATGAATGAAAAGCTTCACGTTAACTTATTGGAGCGAACTGGCGCTTACCGCCACGACGTGCTTATCACCACCACAGCTGAAGGTGATCCCGATATGATTGACACTGGCCGTGAGTCTACTAGCGACGATGGTCTTACCGTTCGCCAATACGAAGAAGCTCGTCGAGCCGGAACTACCCACCTTCTCGAACCCACGAAGCGAAGTCGACGTCATCGAGGCCCAGGACACAAAACAGTGGATATTGAACTCATTAACGAGTCGGTGGTGGAGCATGTGGAAACAGAAGATCCAGCAGCTTCTTTCTGCCTATCCACGGGTTGGAGATTGAATCCCGGCTATGATGAAAATGATACACTCGAGCTTGATGGGGTTGCGAAGGCGAAACCGACACAGACTCTCGGCGCTGTGATGGATGAAGGTGCCAAACAATATCAAAGTATGCTTCCTCTTACGCCCAGAGACATGCGACTTCAGAACTGGCACATTGCCAATCTGGAATATTCCAATGCGTCTAATATCAATGACCTCAGTCTTTCCGCATGGGATCAGGACACTGGTAATGAATTTGAGGGAGAGCATTCACAGGTGATCGGTGGTTATCAACAATTGCCATACGGCCTGTATAGTTTGCCCACAGAGCTTGATGTTCGCACCAACAAAATCGTCAAAAGCATCTCCTATGATCCGACTGGTTCTGACAATCATAAATCGGTTATTCATTGCGAAGATGGCGAAGATTTCATCGCAGATCATGTTGTTTTTACCGGCTCTCTGGGCGTTCTCAAGCATGAGACAATTGAATTTGACCCCCCTCTCCCCGACTGGAAGTTGGGTGCTATCAAAAGATTAGGGTTTGGGCTCATGAACAAAGTTGTCCTTGTTTTTAAGGAAGCCTTTTGGGATGAAACCCGAGATATGTTTGGTCTCCTCCGTGAGCCAACTATCCACAACAGCATGGATCCCAAGGACTACGTCACAAACCGCGGAAGAGGCTACATCTTCTGGAACTGCATGCAGACCGCCGGATTACCCGTCATCACCGGGATCATGGCCGGAGACGCCGCCTACGAAACAGAGACCACCCCAGACGCCCAAATAATCGAGGATATCATGTCGCAACTGCGAAATGTATTCAAGCACACCAGCGTACCAGACCCACTCGAGACCATCATAACTCGCTGGGCATCTGACAAATTCACGCACGGCAGCTACTCGTACGTGGCAACGGAGGCCCGCGCCGAAGATTACGATCTGATGGCCCGACCAATCGGCTCCCTGCATTTCGCAGGTGAAGCCACCTCCCGCAACCACCCTGCAACCGTCCACGGGGCGTACCTCTCCGGTCTCCGAGCAGCCGAAGAAGTGATCGCATCTGTCGTGGGGCCGATCGAGATATCCACACCTCTCGTCCCCGACAAAGCTGCCGCCAGCACCACCATCACCAGCACCAGCAGCACCGTTAACGCGGCTGCAGCTGCCGATGGCGCTGCCCAGCCCGAGATCACTTCGGCCGCCCCAGGCCCCTCCAACCATGTGGCTGACAACAGCCTTCGTCGCGACAGCTACGACCAGGCTACATGGACGGCTATCTATGCCGAGATCGGTTCGGCTCCGGCTCGCCCACCCAAGGTGGCGTTGAACCCTTTCCTCCTGTACCAGAAAGACTTCTGGTCCAAGTGCCGCGACCAGTGTGATGAGGCTCGTCGCGCCGGCCCTAGCAAGCCCAATGCTAAGGCTGGTCGTGACGAGGTCCGCCATGCACTCGGTCAGATGTGGCGTAATGCCTCGCCGGAGGAGAAGAAGCCGTACCTCGACGCAATCGAGGTCAGCCGTGCCCGGAACGACCGGGCTTGGAGTGAGTGGAAGGTGGAGGCGGCGGAGTGGGACCGCCGGTCTCTGGAGGTGAAGGCCGCGTGGTGCGGCGAGAACCCGTTTGATGAGTGGGTTGCTCCCTCATCGCAGGAGTAGGGGGTGGGGAGGCTGTGGCTGTGTCTGTGTCTGTGCCTGCGCCTGTCTCTGCGCCTGTGCCTGCGCCTGTGCCTGTGCCTGTGCCTGTGTCTGTGTCTGTTTGTGTCTCTGTGGGGAGAGGGGGATCTCCCGATATTATTATCCCGTGAGGAAGGGGGTACAAAACCCCATAATGAAGTCCCGTTGGGCCCGGGCACCATGTATTATTAATCGCAGTTTCTGTGAGAAACGAAGTAATGCCCAAGAGATCTAATGCTGATCTAATTCTCAAAACTGTCTTTGTTTCCTTGTAGTTGTATTATGAGCTTCGATCCATAGAGCTCTTAGTTCTACCGCAATTCCATTGTAATCGGCCAGTCGACAGATCAGCGCAACCTTCAATTTCGAGTCCTTCGGAAGGTTTCAAGTCATCAGTTGTAAGCTCTTACGGAGACGCGCATATATGCTAGTGTTTCTTATTCAAATGTTAGATATCTCTCATTCTTGCCTTGCCTCTCTCCCAACTTGGGACCGCATATGAACAGAGCTTGGGGAAATACATGATTAAATGCAAAAGACACTACAGTTCTAAGAAAAAATAGCTGGTACTTGGAAGAACATTGTCTATTCTATTCTATCGGCCACCGATGACATCAAGTAAGAGCCAGTCCAACCGCCATAATGGGGACGAAATTTGGACATGAAAAAAAAGGAAAAGGAAAAGAAAGTCCGTGAATCATGGGACAAAAAAATATGCACGGGGAATTCGAGGGAAATTCAGATCACACAACACACGCAGACAAAGAGGCTTGGTCTTGTCAAGTCTAGAGATTTGCACACGCAGTCTAAACAATACACTTGAAAGAAGTCGGGATCATGAGGTATTCGGAAGGAGTAGGGGTGTTATAGGAGAGAAGGTTGGGGAAATTTAGATCTTCTCCTTGGGCTGGGGAACGTCGCCGAGTTCGGAGAGGTACTTCTCGGTATCGAGGGCAGCAATGCAACCAGATCCTATTAGTATGTTAGCAACTTTGATCTTCTGGCGGTATATAAAGAATCTCTAAGAGATAAGAGTAAGACTTACCGGCACTGGTAATGGCCTGGCGGTATCGCTTGTCCTGAACATCACCACAGGCAAAGACACCCTCCAGGCTGGTGTAGCTGGTACCAGGCTTGGTAACGATGTATTGCTCATCATCCAAGTCAATCTGGCCCTTGACCAAAGCGCTAGCCGGGTCGTGACCAACAGCGTAGAACAGACCGTTAGCATCAACGATCTCCTCGTTGCCGTTAACGGTATCCTTAACGCGGAGGTGGGTCATCAAGCCGTTAGGCTTAGCCTCACCAATAACCTCAGTGGCGACGGTGTTGAAGCGAACAGTGCACTTGGGGTGGGCAAGCAAACGCTCAGCCATGATGTTACTAGCACGAAGCTTGTCACGGCGAACAAGCACAGTAACGTTCGAGCCGTACTTGGCCAGGAACATAGCCTCCTCAGCAGCGGAGTCACCGCCACCGATAACGTAGAGGGGCTTGTTGCGGAAGATGGGAACAGCACCGTCGCACACAGCGCAGGCACTGATACCGTTCTGCCAGAACTTCTCCTCGCCGGGCAGGTTCAGACGGCGGGCGTTAGCACCGGTGGCGATGATAACGGCGTCGGCGGTGCGGGCAGGCTCGTCGTCAGGGCCATCGGACCACTCGGTCCACATCTTGAAGGGCTTCTGCGAGAGATCCAGGCGCGAGATGGTCTCGGTGATGATCTCTGTGCCGAAGCGCTCGGACTGAGCGCGCATCTTGTCCATCAGCTCGGCACCGCCCACGCCGTCGGGGAAACCGGGGAAGTTCTCGACGTCGGTGGTGGTGGTGAGCTGGCCGCCGGCGGCGGTGCCGTTGGCGAGCATACCCTCGTACAAGACGGGCTTGAGCTCAGCGCGGGAAAGGTAGACGGCAGCGGTGTGCGCGCCAGGGCCGGAGCCGATGACTATTTAGAAGAGGGGTCCTGGTCAGTGGACTTGTTTCATTTTTATACACATATGTATGTTTGAAATGACTGGATGTAGAGGTTCAATTGAACTAGGACAAACTTACTAACGACTTTAGAGTGCACCATTCTAGCGGTGGATGTGGAATTGACGCGCGCGGGCGTCGAGAAAGACTGTGAGAGGACTGAGGGGGGCGGAGGGGATTGGTTGTGGAGTGTTGAGGCGGCGGCAGCGGTGAATCCGATGGATCGGAGAGCGGAAGGAAAGCGACGGAGAGTGGAGGAAAACAGCTTGAAGGTTGTTTCTCGGGGAGAGTGAAAGGTTATATTTTCGGGAAGAAAAACGAGGGGAGTGGGCCGATGATGAGATCAGAGCAATAATTCTGTGTCTTTCCGCCGATACAAATCAAATTAATCATTTGCCCGCATCGAGGCCCCTCGCTTTCTAAGCACCTGCACGTGAGCTGGGTCGAGGCCCGCTTACGTGTACATAGCATTCAGGTCTATAATTTGGAAGGGGATTAAAGGCCCGATAAGAATCAAAAATGACTAAACATATTGAGCTAGAACCTGGAACTTACATGTAGGACATGGTTTATAAATGTAGAATTACCTGGAATTTATGGCTTAATTCTGGACCCTGGCCCCTGAGGCGTACTTGAGTGAATCTATAGACCCTCTCTGCGCCCAAATACTTGGAAATTCCCACATACGATCACTAAGCATTTGATTAAAATCGACTTCAATGCTACTCCATGAGGGCATGCGAAACGACTATAATAAGTTCTAGATCACTTTCATGATCCGATATCACCAATATCATCAAATGTCGATTCTACATATAACTAAGCGATATCAATCTTATCAGTCGATCCAGCCCTAGACCGCCCCATGGCAAATGGCGTGATATGGATCTACCGAGCCCGAGGCCGCATAGATACGGTATACTTGAATGACTGGAAAAAAACACTTGGAAACATTCATCTTCAAAACCCTTAGGTAAGGTGACTCAATGGGTTTAATGTCGCAAGAATGAAGGGATATTATTGAGATCATAAATCAAACAAAAAAATTCAGCAAAACAGATCATAGCGAATCATTCACATCGTAAAGAGCCCAAAAAAAAGACATCTCCCCGAAAAAAAAAACGCCAACGTAAGTCATCAGGATATAATACAACTCAAAAAAAATATCATCTCTTTCCAAACCACTTCCTCCGCCTCGGAGCAGGTTCATCGTCGTATTCCTCTTCGGGTGATGAATCCGCGAGAACATCTGATGGCAATCGTTGAGGCACTTCGCTTTCAGAGTCATCACTACCAGGATACCCCTCGTAATCATGCTGTGGATGCGCAGTGACTGCATTCGCACGAGTGTTATTCAAGGTATCATCGTCATCGTATTCGTCGGCATCCTCTTCTTCATCCTCTTCCTCCTCTTCGTCATCATAGTCATCACTAGTCGCACGACTGTTCTTCTTGCGACGCGGCATATTCAGCCATTTCCGCCAGCCCTTTGTGACAGGTGTAGGCAAGGGCTCATCACCATCACCCTCGTACCGCAAAGCAGGCACGAGGAGTTTATACGGCATGGTGATGCCGGAAGGATCCGATGGGCTGATTTCCATGTTCAAGGTGATGGCTAGACCTCCTTCCAGGTCTACAAAGGCGCCTACGCCATCATCAACTTGCTTGGTTTTCTTGGCGGCCTTGTCACTCAGGTTTGTAGGTCTTCGGTGGAAACGACCGGGCTGGGGCTCCTGGGTTGCCCCTGTGAAGTAGCTGTCCCCACTTTCCATTGGGCGAGAGATGGCAGTAGAGTCTATACTGGCTCGTCGAGCAGGCATGCCACTCTCGCGGCCAAAGCTCATGGCTCTGGTAGGTGGTGGTCCACGTCCAGATAGTCGTCTAAACAGGCCACCAGCTTTACTGGGGCCGGTCTCGGGGGGCCTATCACCACGTCCTAAAGACAGCGTTCGCTGAAGTTTATTGGGGCGAGGCTCGGGTGTAGGTGTAATCGAGGAGTCAGGCGTTCCAGCGGGCGTCAAACCAGGACGGTATTCTCTGATTGAACACCAGTTTCGTCGAGGCAGCAGACGTTTGTTGTTTCTGGGCTTACCATCAACGTCTTGCATGAAGATTGGAATAATGTCTTCATCTGTGTTTGAATCTATATGATGCACAGTGTTGCGCTTGTTGAGCATGTCTGAGATAAGCTCCGTCTCCGGAACGTTGGCGATGGCAGACGAAATGACGTTGGGCATGTATCGATAATCCTTGTCCTTTGCAAGGTTCAATTTCGGATTTGAATAGAATTGCCCGATGGCTGCTAAGTGAACATCACCACTGCGATTTTATTATTAGTTTATTATCCACAGTGGAAACCAGCCATCACATAGGGTAAGGGCAAGACCAAACTTACCTCAGAATTGTGACCCGAACAGACTTCTCTGCAGCAAAATCTTGCAGATCTTCAACCAGCCATGTTCGCTCGGACTTGAGCTGCTTGCCAGCCCAGTGGTCATCAAACACTTCCACATTTGCGCCAGATCGATTCACAAGTCCACCGAGCATACCGGATTTTCCTAGTGACTTTCGGCTATTCATAAAGTTCTTGAGCATGGCCTGGTGATTTGTTAGTAAAATTCCTAGCCACAACAGAGACGCTTCACTTACCACACGAGGATAGGCGACAGGAACACTGCAGAGTACAATCATGTGTTTAGTTTCGCCCCGAGCTATCTCTTGGTGGCATCGATCCCAGATCAATTCATTGGTCTCTTCACTGAGGACCCCAGTGTTTGTCCTTTCAGTTCGGCAATCTAGGCCCAAGAGAACAACGTCACCGCCCAGGGACATGAAAAGGTTTCGGCTTCTTTGCTGGATGTAAGGACCTGGGTGAGCACCAAGAATCCAACTAGGCTCATCCTCCTCGGTCTCGTCCGGAACACTGTGGTGCTGGAATAACAAGTAGTACTTGTATGCAATTCTTCCCAGGCCTGAGATGACCATACTTTGCATAAACTCCGGGTTATAAGAGCCGTATCCTTCAAAGATTTCATGGTCATTCCACATATTTACCATGGGTATTTGGGAATTGGCAAGGGAGAAAAGACCCTGTGAGAACCATGAGACGTAGCGATGCAAATAAAATTGCTCAACCTCAGCACGGAATTCCGGAGTAAAAGGCATGCTGTATCTCTCGGCAGGGTTTTTGATTTTAGTCCATTCTTGGAAAAAGTGGGAATCTGTGACGACGCTGTCATTGAAAATTTGATCACCGCCACCAATCATCACATGGAATGGTTGAGTCTGGTGCTCGTTGAGGATATCGCGCCATAAAGGATCAGGCCCACAGAAGGGGTTGGAGTCAACAGAAGGACTAAACCCATTACCGCTGTGGTACATGATATTCATGGGCTGTCCAACGGCTGGTACCCAGAAACCTAAGGCAGGACCCTGGTTGATACGGTAGGCAATCCGCTGTTGTGTTGTACCAAGCTCAACCTCAATACTGAATCTCCAGAATGTCACGTCTCTGGCGGTATCGGCGTAAAGGCGCACACCAGCGATATCTCGGTGCAAGCTAGCAGTCTCACCGTCGACTGAATGGATTCGGTTTACGGAGATTGGTTGGCCCGATCCCTCTGACTTGTAATCACCATTGCTCGGGCTCATTTCATAAATTCCATCGTCGTTCTCCACCGCAGAAAGATCAACCTCTTCTTCGAGATAATCGACTGGCTTAACATAAAGCGGTCTTCCATCCCGGCCAACTTTCATAAGACCAGCAGTAGGGTCAATATACTCGGGCGCGAGCTGTACACCATCCTCACGACTGATCTCTGCGGGTGGGGGAGGTAGGAGATTCATTGGTTGTGAGAAGAGGCGTAATGTAGGCGGGCTTTTATATGATGAACGAGAGTCTCTTGTCACAATTAGGATGGAGCCTCGCCATATATCCTTGGCAACAGTGCCTTGGGGGCCTGTGGCGTTGACTTTCTTTATTCCGGTATACCGCAGCAGTGGTCCACATTGAAGGAACAACTTCGGTTCGAAATTCTTGTGTTGGGTGACTCCTGCATCTTGTCAGTTCATCTATAAAATTATTCCTCTTGGAAGGTTATCTTACCTGTCAACTTCTGAGCGGGTGTCTGATAATTCTTTGGGAGGGCTCTGCTCTTTCTACGATCTTTCGAGGCACCACCTTCCCACCAGGCCTTACTCTTTTCCATGTCAAGGTTCTGAAAATCGAAATCTGACATTTCCAGGCGTAGAACGGGTGCATTCTTCCAGTCGAAAATCGGGGGCGGAGTCGGTGGTGGTACATTAAATGATACAGTCTGCTTTTTAGGCTTGGAGAGTGATTGAGCACTTCCTTGAACGGCTCGTGCTGCCGGAGGGGTCGCCACAGTATCTTCGCTAAGAACGACAGGGGCGTTAGAAATAGCGGCGACCTGAGAAGCAACTGGGGCAACAAAGTTTCGTTGCTTGGTGGCTCCTTGCGTAGATACTGAGCGAGTATGCCTCATGGTATCACCGGGTGGCCCAGGCTTGGCGGCTGGGCCACTCACTGTTATCGATCTTCGGGGAACTTGGCCCAATTTTGCGGACTGGGGAATAGCGGCCTGTGCACGCGCGTACTGGGCATCTTCGGGGCCGTTCATGACCGGGTACTGAGGATTCGTCGAAATACTCCTGTTATGACGCACTGGGGCTTCTCTCGGCTGTCGAGGGGCTACCGGTCCGTCTCGCCCATTGTCTTCAAGGGTGATGGGTTTGCGCTCCCGCTCTCGATTTGCGCTAGAGGGCGTTCTGTTCTCTAGATTTGAGCCCTGCTTCGAGCTAGGTTTAGGAGCAGCAGCCGCCGCTGCGGCCAGCATCTTGGCCGCTGCTTCAGCCTGCTCTTTCTCCACCTTTTGACGGGCTAGGCGCTCTCGAAGTCGCATTTCTGCTTCCTGGACCCTTGCTCGTTTTTCTTCTTTGCTGATTCCATTCAGCGTCACCTCGAGTTTTTGAAGAGGCGAGCGATCTGATGCCCAATCTCGGCGCTGTGAGGATGTAGAGCGCATGGTATTCGAACGACTCGGAATTGATTTTGGACTCGCACCGGCGGAGCCCTTTAGTGGTGTCGATTCTTCGTTTTCTTGGGCGGCCACCTCAGCTTCTGAAAGATTAGAGATGGGTGGAAGGCCTCGAGGTGTATGCGACTCGTCCGAAAATCCCGATGCTGTGTCTGGACCAGAGTGATGTGTGGTATAGTTCGGTTCGGTGTCTCTAGCTCTGGTTGAAAGCGATCCTCCTGATGGGTGTTGCCTTGAATTTGTTTTTGTTTTGGATCTGGATGGCTTGGACGGGCTTTGCTCTGCCACTGGCTCATAATCCGGATGTTTGGCATAGCTCCCCGTGTCCATGCCAACTCCACTGTGGTCTTGACTGTCTGGGGCTGTCCTTGCGCCATTGGTATTTGAGGAGTGGGAGCCACCGTTGGCCATCTCAGGCAAATTGCGCATTACCGTTGGGTCCATTTTAATTTGCTAAAGTTAACCGGATCGAATAGAAGCTCTGCTGGGCTAGTAGGAGCGAAGCGGATCTCTCTCTGATGCACGAATAGTCTCAACTAAAATACATTCTCGTCAACCCTGATCACATTCACAAAGGCATTGTTTGAGACTGCGATGGGAAGAACTTGGCAAAGTGAAGCGGGCTCGACATACGTATGGTTTGTTTTTATCTCGACGAAGATGTGATGGCAATATAGCTGTGCCCAATGCCTGATGCAATCTCACCGCATCCTTGCCCGAGAATAAAATCGAGGTTGCGCCAAATTGGGTTGCGCAAGTACTTGGGGCGGGGAATTCGACTATGACCGTCGCACGAAAATCGTCCGAGTAGAGACAATGGAGGAGAACTCGAAGAATGAGGGGAATATCAAAGTTTGGGAGAAGGAATGGAAGTGAAAGGGAAGAAGGGGACAGGATCAAAATTTTGAAGGGGAAAAATTAAGGAGTTGCGCAGCTCTATACATTTGCATTATCCTGGTGGCTGGCAACCCAGCCTTCGCGCGGGGCCCAAGGCCACCACTGGTCGCGATTGGCCCTAGTGAATCGCGAAAGCGATACTCCCTACGCGGCCTTGATAATTTTTTTCAATATAATAAAATTTTCAATTTAAAGATGTCTCTATTCCCCGGACATTTTTGGCAATTTTTCTTTTTTATATTTTCATAGTTCAAGTGGAGAGTGTTGGTTCAACAAAGATGCTGGAGCCGTGGTTAATCAATCCTGCTCCACCACGGATGACATCGGAAATCTACTAGCAGGAACAGATTATTGTTCAACTTGTATTGTAATCAAGGCGCATTTCAAGTGACCTTTTTTGCCCATTTGTCTTCATTAGCGAATCAATTAGCCACTGCCAACCACGTCGGATGAAGGTGCCTCAGGTTCGGCTCAATCAATTGGTCCGTGCATGTGAGCTAACATGCCTATCACCATTATCATTGATACTCATGGGCCCTAGCTTACAAGTTACGACAATTGAAACGAAACTCGACATTATTAGGACTTTATGCATCTAACTTGGATCAGAGTCTGGTCAAACCTTGTACCTGCATGAACCCTATGCATACTACACAATGATCTTTGAACTCAGATACCTCCTAACATCACTCAAAGGCTACACAAATCTTCGAATGCTAATTGACATGGATCAATTGATCCTGTATCCAAAAAATGTATTTCAAGGTTCCTGATTTAGCCATCCAACAGAATAAAGACGGGTCCAGTCCGCGTATGCACATGTTAGGCGGGGAAGAATCTATGCATGCATGTGAATATATATGTTCGACCTGGAACCTCAACATTGCACATGTGGGAGCTTTGAAGGTCGACGCCCCGGTGAACATCGAAGAAACCATCAAAGATTGTCAAATACGCCCGGGTACACATGTGCATAGTCCATGGCCGAAGCCAGCGGCAAAAAAGCAGGGGCCATTCAATGTTGACTGGTGGTTATCATCTGGAGCCCTGGAGATTAGTACTCGAACAATTGAATGCCGCGATGCGCCTCGTGAGATCCACAATGCAAAAAATGTGGAGAACAAAAAAGAAACTGCTCACATCCAGATTTGAACTGAAGACCTCGGCATTACTAGTGCCGCGCTCTACCAACTGAGCTATGCGAGCTGTTATTGAAGATAGGGTAAATAGTTTGGTTATATGATACAAACATAATTAGCCGCCTAATATAGGCAGTCAGGATGAATGTTGTACAGGCCCAAAGAGTAGACCTTGGGAGAACAGAATTGCTTTAAACCATCAATACAATATTAATTAGACTGTTGATAAGAGCAACTGTCATACTTTGAAAGATTCCACGGCCTAAACTACTGATCAATTAGTGGCATGATCTACAATGTCTGGCTATTGATGTCTCGACTCTATACTAGTACTGAATGAACTTTCGCTTTCCAAGGTTCTGACAAGGCGCTTAGATTCATGATGATTAACTAGCTTCTATATCCACGTGACGATCCCAGGTATCAATAGCCGCTCGCATAGCTCAGTTGGTAGAGCGCGGCACTAGTAATGCCGAGGTCTTCAGTTCAAATCTGGATGTGAGCAATTTCTTTTTGCTTTTTCCCAAATCTTCCCAGTCATTTTTGCAAATAAGTAGCTGAGGTTGTTGATTTATCAATTGATGATCGGCGTGGACTTGAAACAATACATACAATATTGTAAAAGGGGCACGTAGTATCATGGCAAATTCAAGTCACTTTATTCTTTATTATTCATGAAATTTGGAAAAAGTGCTTCCAGGTAGAAAGGAATTGCCCAGGTTTTCCCTAAATATTCATGTTTCTTAAACTACCAGGCCTAGGAATACTACTATATACATTGTATGTAGTTCCAAGGTTGTTGGGAAATCCTTGGAATTAATTACTCACATGTGCAAGGGACCTCACACATGCGAGCAGAAACTCCAAGGTTGAAGAATATTATACCCTGGTCAAAAGTCAAAGAAGTTTTTATGCAAGATCAAAAATCGATCAAGGGCAATCAGTGCCAAGAAGAGACGATGGTATTGCGGGTATGGAAGCGCAAATAATAGTAATAGACTAGCTAAGTAAATTGTGATGATGGACAGATATATCAAACCCTTAGCAGAGCTTCGTAAAAATGATAAAGAGTGGTAGGCCCTGCGGCAGGATTACCGTGCGCCCAAAGTAGCCGATTCAGCGTCATGGCCGAGTTCCGCATCGCCTTCCATTTCTGCAATAAAGCGTTCCCAGGTTGACAGGACACCCTGGTAGAAATTGATGTGGGACTCCGTGAAAGACCCAAGGGAATCCCGAAACTCGACAGCCTTGATGCGCTCGAAATCTGCCACTTCGCGGACGACCTCCTCGTCAAACATTTCAGACGTAGTCTTTGCTGATTCAACCTCCCGCGTGAGCTCATCGATGCGTAGCTCGAGCTTGCGGACACGCTCGCGGCGAGATTGCTCGTGGTCAACTCCGCGCATATCCTCCATCTTGGAGCGGATGAAAGAGGCAGGGGAAGAAGTCAGGGGGTTGGACGCATAATAAGCAGCCGGGTTGGCAGCTAATGAGTCTCGCTCAGCAACGGCCTTGTTGCGGTAATCAACCAAAGCCTCGAAATCAAGCTGCTTCTGTTCACGGGTCTTCAAGAGCGACTTGACCGAAAGAATGTATGCCTCCATGTCCCGCAGGGAACCCAAGTAGTTCTGATCGGTATGATCTTTCAAACCCCGTACCCCACGCGCAGTCTCCTCTACCGATGCAGCGAACACCTGCAAGGGCATCTCCACCGCAGGCTCAAGAGGAACCAATTTGCGGAACTGTGACGCAAGTTCGGTATAGTCCGTCTCAAGGTCGGATTCACGCCGTGCGACCCGCGCCACGGTCTTCTCCACATGCGATAGATCCTCGTCTAGCTTATCTGCCATCTCCTTCACCTCGATAAACCGGCGATCGGGCTTGTGGACCTTGGTGAAGGCGTTGACGAATGTATCGGTAAAGTTATCAAAAATCTTGGTTGGGGCGTTCTCCGACGAGGCAGTTGTTGACCCGCGGGTAGAGTGTAGTCGCATATGTGCATTCCAGTCCGAGGACTCCAGGAAAATAGTAAGCAAAGGTGCGCGACGAAGAACGGGGTGCAATGTCAGCCGTTTCAAAAACCGATGCAATGACCATGCTCGCCGTGTCGTGAACTCCGAGCCGAACCGGTCGCCTCGCACATACTCCATCTTGTGCTTGTCCGGCAACGGCGGGACCGCGCATGCTGGGTATTCACGGTAGAGAGTTTTGTACAAGAAATAGAAATCTGTAAATCGTCGCCGAACATAAAATTCGGGCTTTTGGAAGGCCTTAAAGTCGGTCTACAGAGCCACAAATATGTTAGTGAGGGTGTTCCTGGGTAGTCTGCAAGGTGCCGAGGCGAAGGCTGTGCAGGCAGCCAGAAACTCCGCTCTCCCTGAACAGATTAAAGAACCAAACACATACATTTGATGTGACCAGGTATGAGATATAAGCGTCCTTTGTGCCGTCATTTTCTTTCAAGGGCGAGTCGACTCGGCACTCGAGCACACCGTCGCCGATACCTGCCAAGTCGACAGCGTCGGCCAGTGGACCAGCCTGGGGTTCCTCGTGGGCTGAGCTCATTCTCCGCTTGCCATTGGCGTCATGATCATATCTATGTGACTCCTCCACATCTGTGCCTGAGGTTGTCGGTCGGGAGACATCGCTGTCGACATCATGTTTCCAGGAAACATTGTCGAAGTCGTCATGTTGGTCCATCGCGGGGGAAACTGTGACGCGTTGTTCACCCGGCGATTTAGAGAAGTTGTGTTGACTTCAGCAATGCAAGCAGAAATGGCAGAAGATTCAAGGTTCAAGGCTCTAGGATATGCGAATAGTGAAATAGTGGGGGCAGAAGCGGGAGAAGCTGAGGGAGCTGGGACTTGGATGATCGGCGATTGCCCCAAGGCGGAGAGGAGAGACCCCAAAGCGGGAACGTCGTCATCGCTCGCTTTATACGTACGAACCGTGAGAGACTACTATTACTAAAAAGAACTGCACAACTGAAGGGTAATTAAACAGTCAAAAATGTTTTTTAATAACTCAAACTCTCAAATATTTCACTTCCATGATTTTTAGCCAGTAAGCAAAGAATGCTTTCGACATTCTTCATCATAACGTATTCAACAAATTTACACACAACTCCTAGGCAGCCGATTTCCTTCGGGACGTTCAACGCTGCCTCTATAAATCCATAGTATAACCCAAATGTAAAATAAGTAAACAAGCCCCAACGCAATGCAAAGGCAAGTGAAGAAGTAGAATGAAGATGATAAAGGGGAAATAACAGTCGCAAGATAACATCTAGGGCTTTTCAGACATAAGGTGGCTGCCTGAAGATGATTCTTCGTCATCCCTTTCCGGGATGTTGGCTAGTCGATCCCGGTATGGTTTCTCTGCTTCGTCGTCACTGAAGATTTCCTCGTCGCTTTCCCCAGCGAAAGCATTATAAAGTTCCCCGCCGCGACGTTGGGTACGTCCGCCTGGTCCAGTCATGGGGTGCATCTCATCCTCATCTTCAATCATCTCGAATTCATAATCATCTTGAGGATTGGTTCGGCGGCGCTTCACACGTTGGAGTTGGAAGAAGACACCCAAGCCGATGAAGAAAACGATGATCATACCCAAGGATGCGTAGATCCAAACCTGAGTGCGCTTCGAGGCTCCAAATGTTGGAAGGTAGGACGATAGATAGTTATCTGCCGCGGAGGTACCGTTCGAAGAGGCACCACTGCCGGCAGTGGTGCCATTGTTCACTACCTCGAGCTCCTCATCGGCAGGTTGAGTCACTGCAGGCGCTTCAGGTTGGCCAGTGGGCTTCTGGTTCACAGGGCGATCGTGATGCTCATCCGGGTTGGTGGTGGCAGGGTCGGTCTTGGTTGGCCCAGGCTCGAGAGTCGTCGTAGCCACATGGGCCTCCTCATACGGGTGATCATCATCATGCTCGTCCGGCAATGGATGGAGACCCTGCGTAGATCCGTCGACGGCTTCGCCCCACAGGTTAAATCTCCAGTCAATGAACTCGCCCGTGAAGTCATTGACTTCGGTGTCTTTAACAATGACAGTCCATTCACCGGCGGCAGACTCGCCCCTGTGATGAAATACGTTAGTTGGTTTTTATAAAGTCGAGATTTTAGATGCTTGAGGGTACATACCAATGAGCAACGGACATGAAGGTCCAGTCTATGTAACCAACGGGCTCTTTGTCATGTCGGCGAACTACACTCAGGTAGCTGACAATTCCAGCCGGGCTGCGCATTTCCACGCTGAGATCACCGCGGCGACCATGGTTGATATTCATGGTGACAGTAACATGCTCCAGCCGACCAAAGTTAGCGCCCTTGAGCTGGTCTGCAGTCACAGTAAACCGGCTAACCAATCCCGCCGAGCCCTGGGGAATATTGTGATGCACTCGTAGCCAGGGCGAGGTGAACCAGGCCTGTGGCTTTACTAGTTCCCAGGATTGAGCCTTGTGGACCAAGGCGTATGCATCAACTTTGCCAAAGCCCCAGTCGTGACTGAACTTGCGGCCAGACGGAAGCGTTTGCCAGCTTCCATCTGTCTCGCTCACGGGAACTGCAGTCTCCACCATCAAGTACTGAATGTCACGCCATGTCAGCTCAGGTCGAGCACTCAAAGCAAGCGCCACGGTGCCTGCGGCAAGTGGGCCAGCCGCAGAAGTACCACCGTGGTTCGAGTAGCAAGAATCAGTGCCCACATCAGTGGTGTGGATCGCATCGCCAGATCCACTGCTGTATGCAACCACCAACTGGGCAGAGCATGATTCTGAGTAAGACGGATGCTTTCCTTGCCGATCAATGGCTCCGACTGTTATACTGTAAATGCTGTTGGTATAGCCATCGAAATTACAATTGTCACCGAACTGCGCACCGTTACCGGCGGCGAACACGAAGATGGAGCCTTTTCCATCACGTCCTTTTTGCACGCCATTGACCATTGCTCGCTTAATCAGAACACCGGGTGCATCCATTGTGGCACCATCATCGATGGGTCCCCATGAGCAAGAGAAGATGTCATTCTTCTGGTACTCGTAATTGATAGCTGCGGCCTCGTCCACGTCGTCAATCGGCGCAGATAAAATTCGAATACCCGCCACCTTACTACCATATGCAACACCGACGCCACAATATTCGTTCTTCGCAGCACCAATTTCTCCTGAGCAGCGCGTGCCGTGTCTATCGTCCAAAAGCAGAGGACGAGGCTCCGGTCCACCTTCATTGAAGTCGTAAGAACCTTCGGCAAAGTAGTTCGGCTTTAGGTCATTGCTATCAAAATCGAGTCCATCATCCACAATTGCTGTGACAACACCGTGGCCTGTCACACCTTCCAGCCAAATTCCCGTAACGTTGAGATCGTGACCGGGTTGTAACGGGTTGAATAAATGCCACTGTTCTTTGAATATGGGATCGCTAATCTGCAAGGCTGAGGCAATTTCACTCTGGATGTCGATCGCGCTTTTATCGGGGACTTCATTGACTCGGGGGCTGATAGCTTCGGAGGGAGGTGGTGCACGTTTCTGCAATCGTTGCCTGGGCGGCGCAATTTTCTCTGACCACAAGATAGAATCCAGTGGATCTGCACTTCGAGCAACATTTCCTCCCGATCGCCTGCGAATCGTCCTCTTGGTCTTTATATCGTCTAGCAATTCGGCCAGATCTGAGCTTTGATCGCGCGGTAACGAGAAGGTGTGATGATCCGCCAGCTGTCCGATCTGGCCCTCGTGTCGGGCACCCAGCATGCGGGCAACATGGTCGGGGGATGTGGTAGCGTCGAGGTGAATGGCAAAGAAGTCGCGAGCGTCCTGGGAGCGAGGGTGAATCGCGGCGGAGGCGGCGCCTACGAGGCCGACAGCCAAGGCGATCCCGCTGACGAAACGCATTGTTGGATGCGGGCGGGTTGGGGTTGCTCGATCAAACGATCAAGCTGAGGTTAGATAGAAGACAGCTGCCATTAACAGGGGTACCAGACCCTTCGACAGTAAAATAGATAAAAGGAGGAGGCTGAATGTCTCTCCCGAGTAGACAATGAAGGAAGGAGATGAAGGTGGCAAGTTGCGGCGTCGAATAGGAGGATCGTCAGGGTACCAGGACTAACACACGGGACCCGATTGACAGTCCACTTTTGGGGGCTTTTGAGTTGGTGAGTTAAATGTAATTTTGGAACAAGGGGTGTTACCATTGCTTGGTTCTTATTTTACTACATTTATTTTTATTTTTATTGTATTTTTTTTCCCCTTTCAAATACTACGAGTGGTGGGCAATCGCACTTGTCCTTGAAGATATTCCAATCAAAGATTCAAAGACCACGGTTTGCGATTTGCGGCTTTGACCTTTGAAAACGGCTTACGTAGGGATTTCTATGTCCTCGTCATGAGAATTAGGCCCCATTATTAACTCGATATCTGGACACGTACGGAGTAACTAATGCACCAGTCTGTCCGACTATTTAGCCTTCCGGACGATAAGTCTTTCTGTACATTGAGTACATCCGAGGTAGTCAAATATCCGTGCTTGGCAAATGTAGATTTGGTTAGATCACAGATTCCTTTCATACAAACATTCAGCATGAAATAAAAGTATCTTTAATCCAACATTGCAAGTTGTCTTCAACCAAATTGCACTTGGTTCATTGATTCCACCCATGGAACCGGGGGATGTACGTTGCACACATGTAATGTTACTCACGCCTTGGATGAGTCGAAGACTGTTGGTACTGCGAAATGATATAAAGGTTGATTACGCCATCAAATTAAGTATTAACATATAACCAGCTCGCATAGCTCAGTTGGTAGAGCGCGGCACTAGTAATGCCGAGGTCTTCAGTTCAAATCTGGATGTGAGCATTTTCTTTTTGCTTTTCTTTTTTTGTTCTTGAATTGAGTGGGTCCGTCTTGTCGGTTTCTATTTAGTATACAGACGCGCTCGAAATCAGTTTCACCACTTCACTCTCTACACATACTCGAGTGGGGAAAACTTTACATTGGCGGTAAAGAATTGTGGCTAGTAATCATCTTTAACTATATAAAGGATGATCGCTTCCCTATAAGCACGACAGGAAAGAACGAGAAAAGAGGAATATCATCTGTCACAAAAGGATGCTTGATGAACGGGATAAACAACTTGATGCCAAATATTCAGTATACTAATGGAGAATCATCGATCTGGCGGGCTTTCTATAGCTTAATGCGTCGCCCTTCACCGACTTATCAACCTGGTCCGCATTGCTGGTTCGGAAGTTAATAAGTTATATAGGTAGAAGTCTCGTAAATCGGCATTCTGTTCCTTTGCTCTCTGTCGAGGCACCTTTTTTGACCAGCCAACTAAACCAAGAGCCAACTTAAGGCTCATATTTGTCACTTGGACCTGGAACTCATTCCATAAAAAAATCACCATCTCGTCGACATATGGCCCGGGATTTGTGGTTAAATGATCACACAGTGCTTCTAGCATCGGAGGGGTCATGCTTGGTTGTCGGTTGACACGAGTTGGGGCCCGGTGCTCTGACATTTTCAAACCGGCGAAGGCTGTTGCTGATGTTGGTAATAGAATACTTACTACATTCGGTGGTTTCAGCCATCTGCGAAGTAGCCAGTGATTTGGCAAGGATCATATCACAGATCATTGCAAGTTTAGAGGGAGTCTCGGCGCCATTTTTGTCGGACGGTGGAAGGCTCAGATGGTGGAGTGTGGCAGATAGAGTGAGGATCGGGCGACTTCGATGCATCAGAGGCAGTAGGTTTGTTTTGGGCTTATGGTTTGTCATGATTCTGCTTAGTGATCAGGTTGAAATCGTTTTGCTTTAAGACCCGGGGGACAATAGGGTATTGGGAAAAGCATGTGCATATGTGACTTGGGGTTGTCGTGCCTCCTGGGAGCTTGACTACTTTCTGATCCATCTGAAAGCTGCGGATCTTCAAGTAGTGCCGATCAATCATAGTGACCAACACACCGCATGCACATGTGCAAGGCTCATCTATGATGTACCATAAACCCGCCAGTTCAAGCCCAACTGAATAGGATGAGCCCTTTGCCATCATAATGTTTATGATTGATTGTGAGATCGGAGAAAAGGTTGTGTTCCTTTTCAATATTATCAGGCTCGGCTTGAGCTGATTCCAAGTTGTTAGTCTTCAAGTGCTATCTTCCACCAAACCTAAGCCTCGCATTAATCACGATTGATGTAAGATTCAAACAACTTTCATATCATCGTGAAGAATGGTTCATACAAATTTCAATATTTACACATGTGCAGAGTGCATATAGGATGCAAGGGAGGTGAAGGGGGTGTACATGCATGTGACGCCTCAAGTGCTGTGAAATATGTAAGCCTGGCTAACATTCACTTGAATATAAATACTATATCCGAGGAGATCTATTGATGCCCGTGCAGGCTGCCGAGCAGTAGCTGAGCTATCAAATAGGATTGATCTATATCTTGCAGATCTGATGCTTTGACATAACTGCAGCGTCGCACAAATATATAGATTCTGATCAACCATTCAAAACTTAAAAGTAACAAAAGCATCGATCTGTTGACTGCATGTGGTTGACGCTGCCAACATTGAACATTTGAATGTTTTTTATCCCTTACTTTATATTCAGCCGTACTATTCACATAACTAGGGTGATCATCTTGGTATATAAAGAAGTTTTCTGTTCTCCTTCACAATTCCTTCACTTGAGTGCTCAATATTGTTACTATACCAAAGCCAATTTCTAAAGATAACAAGCGTCAACATGAAATTCTTGGTTATTCTCTCTATGGTCGTCTTTGCCGCTTTTGTAGCAGCAGGACCTTCGCAAGCCAATACGCAAGGCAAATACCAGGTTGAAAAAAGACTAGTAAGTACTTGACTCCTTCTATAGTGCTTGTGATATAATATGAGAGTATATAGCTAACAGAGATGGGATGTGGAAAGAATGTAAGTGCTTGACCCCTTCTACTTATGATATAATATGGGATTATATAGCTAATAGATATGGGATGTGGAAAGTGTGTAAGTGCTTGAGTCCTTGACCCCTTCTACCTGTGATATAATATGGGATTATATAGCTAATAGAGATGGGATGTGGAAAGGATGTAAGTGCTTAACCCCTTCTACCTGTGATATGATATGTGAGTATATAGCTAATAGAGATGGGATATGGAAAGGTTGTAAGTGCTTGACCCCTTCTACCTGTGATATGATATGTGAGTATATAGCTAATAGAGATGGGATGTGGAAAGGTTGTAAGTGCTTGACCCCTTCTACTTATGATATAATATGGGATTATATAGCTAATAGAGATGGGATGTGGAAAGGATGTAAGTGCTTGACCCCTTCTACCTGTGATAAAATATGGGATTATATAGCTAATAGATATGGGATGTGGAAAGTGTGTAAGTGCTTGACCCCTTCTACTTATGATATAATATGGGATTATATAGCTAATAGAGATGGGATGTGGAAAGGATGTAAGTCCTTGACCCCTTCTACCTGTGATATGATGTGGAATTATATAGCTAACAGAGATGGGATGTGGAAAGGATGTAAGTGCTTGACCCCTTCTACCTGTGATATGATGTGGAATTATATTTATAACAAGGAAACCTAGTAAATGATTTCTTCAATGTTGTGAAGTTTCAATGTTGGGTTTCCGGGGGTTTCCATACGTCTTGGTCAAGGTTTTCCCTACTTAGTTAGGTTTCCCTTCACTGTTATGCAAATGCAAAGGCTTCTTTCATACAATGGAAATATAATTACTATCAGTTTCTCAATTTTAAATCATAAAAATTTGTACATACTAGTATATACAAGTAATCTGACCTCCCTCCTTAAATGAAATGCCTGTTTGGATACGTTCAATACCTTCTTCCTCCCAAAGTCGCTTGTGAAAAACTTCAAATGTTGTCGTATAGTCTGATTTCTTCCCATCCTGAGTACTGAGTAGTCTGGATTTCTCCGGGGAAAAAGAAATACTTAGGTCCGTCATCGAGGCAGCCACTAGTTCGGTGAAAGGCCGAATCTGCATGTGTATCCTCAAGTGCTGCGGTTACATAGGCGCGACCGAGGTATCTTAGACTGGAAGCACATCACGAATGCTGGTCTGTGGGCCTCGGCTCGCGAGCTTAAGATTAATTACTGTTGGAATCGATTACACATGTAATTGGTACCTGACTGGAGGTTCAAATCCTTTCTGAAAAGTTGAGTACTTCTAAATCTCTATATAGCAAGTATTTAGGTAATCTGGATCCATAGCCTTGAAGGGTATTCAAATATTTAAAGAGTTAACCTGCATCTTCATGAAAATTAACTTCCAACATTTGAAGGTTGGATGAGATGGATGTCGGGAGGTTTCATACCTACTACCTACTATTACTGTATGTAATGCTGCAAAGGCAAAATGACTGCATGCACTGGAACACCTACTACTAAGGTGTTTGATGTTGAATAATAGATAAACATAATATACATTGGGTCCATACAGAACCCCAAAACCAAACCCAGTATCTAAGTTTAATAACCCTCCGCATTTTTCATCAGGAAGGATTTAACGAATGGCAATCGATCGATAACCTCCAGTCCCAGACTGCGGGCCCAGGTAATAGGTCCCTGCCCAGTAACAGAATACATCTTATGCAGCAAATCGCACGCACCGCCAATCTTAGCATTAGGCAGGTATCTCTCTGACGAGTATCGCTCTAGCGTAAGGAGATCACCGATATCCATTCCATGGCTCACAGCATACTCGATGGTCCGCGATAAAGCGGCGACATCTGCCAACCCGAGATTCAGGCCTTGACCAGCAAGCGGGTGAATGACATGGGCTGCGTCGCCGACAAGGGCAACGCGAGGAGAGATGTACTGAGCCGCGTGGCGGAAGCGGAGAGGGAATGAGGCAACAGTTCCTTCTTGCACTCCGATAGCTTTAGGTGGGATGTGAGATGGTTGTGGGGTATGCTTGAGGCGCCAGTTGAGCTCGTCCTCGTGTGATGTTTGTTCAGATGATGAGTGCGTAATTCCCATCATATAGGAAAGGTCAGTCATAGAGAGGCTGAAAGCTGCGTTGACCATGGCAAGAAAAGCCGGAGTGGGAAGAGACTTGAGGTATGCGGCATGCTCAGGCCGTGTAGACCAAACCAAAGTTGCATTATTGTTAGGGAGGGGGAGCAATGCAATAGGTCCGCCAAGTGCAGGTAGGAAGCGCTGATAGGCTGTACGAACGTTGCTTAATGTGGATGGGTCAAGATCTGCGAGTGCGAGGGTTGCCACGATACCATGGCGGTTGTAGTCCCAGCCCTGTGTGGGGATATCGGCGAACGACCGCACAGGACTGTTGATACCATCAGCGCCAACAAGAAGTCGGGCGGCAATCCGTGTTGGAGCGAGCTTCTCAGCATCGGGGCCTGTCGGCTTCACGGAAAGAATGGGCCAAGCTGATAGATCTGGTCCTTCGGACGACTGAAGATCAGATCCATTCTCGATGGAGGCAACCGTGTGGTTAGAAAACAGGGTCAGATTTTCATCCCCCGAAGCTTCAATACGTCCCAACAGCCCGCGCACAAGGTTGGAATTCTCGGTCATGGTAGCAACGGTCTGCAAATCCTCAAACGCAGGTGTTTCCGAAGACCAGTCAAAGGATATTCGCGACCCGGTTTCACCATCCCACACTTGCATCTCCTGGTAATCCTGCACCCTGTCCGTATCCAGATGCTCCCAAGCACCGATCTTCTTTAGGAATGCGACCGAAGATGGGGTCAAGCTGCTGACTCGGTTGGAGAACTGACTGGAGTCGAGGCTCCATCCGCGAGCCTTGGCGAGGTCCTGACTTTCAACGAGGGCGACTTTGAGCTTTGATGTGATAGGTGAAGCTCCTAGAAGATATCAATAAGAGTTCATTCCGTATGTTTCACGAGGTATTATGTTGTGTATGACGTACGAAGTGCAGCCAACAACCCCAGACCAGCCGGTCCACCCCCGACACAGACTACGTCGTAGATGTCGGGGTTTTGATGTGGTTGTGTGCCGAATTGCCGTCGGCTAGCACCAATGCCATGCCGGCAAGATGGGCAAACGTAAGGGCGCAACGCCACCCTTGAGATCGAGCGCATTGTGTTTTGATAATCAACACTGATGGAGATCAAACATTATGCAGGGCGTCGGTGGGCCGATGATTACTGTTCTATTTCACCGCCTTGCAACATTGAACCATGGAAAACATGTAGCATAGGACTAGACATTACATCATAACCAGCTCGCATAGCTCAGTTGGTAGAGCGCGGCACTAGTAATGCCGAGGTCTTCAGTTCAAATCTGGATGTGAGCAATTTCTTTTTGTTTTGACTCAGCCTTTCTATCCACTAAGACGTCCCGTATTTTTGCTTTCTTTTTGGCTTGTTGTAATTTCAAAATAATTTAATGATTTCCCCTAAACCCCTAGATATAGTGAATTACTAGAGAACTTTATTCAGATCATAACCTAAGGTTGAATAAAATACAGAGTTCTTACAATTATCCTAGCTACCATTCCTTCTATACTGATGGTCTTACCATCAGGGTAGAGGTTGGAATCACAACCGGATATAGCTTCAAACAATCTAGATCATATATGAAACAGACTGATGTAGATCTGTAATTGCCAATTACTCCATCAAGGCAATTGAAGCATTAAAAAAGAAATGCAAAAAGAAAATGCTCACATCCAGATTTGAACTGAAGACCTCGGCATTACTAGTGCCGCGCTCTACCAACTGAGCTATGCGAGCTGGTTGATGAAGACATTACAGACACTTGGTTACATAAACAAAAACCTTATTTCAATCCTAAATGCCTTGCTTCACTACAACTCACAAGCCAGGACTTCAGTGTTGTACATCAAATTGTCGAATTCCCCACGTAAATTTCACAAGCAAAATATTCCGCATTCGACACTTGCTCATTGCATCGTCAGAATTCTTCAGAGGCTCAAAACCTCTCGATGTGACAAACCGTCTCGTGGCTTGCAGCTGGCGTTCTAGTGGCCACCAATGCCATGGTAGACCCTCGAGCTAATGCAGTCTCATGGTCAATGAACTTCATCCTTGAACAGATCGAGACATGTCAGAAAATTAATCGGCAATTAATTTCCATGACAGCGCATCCTTTTCAGCGGATGTATCGAAAACCCAGCCGCGGCTGTCGATCTCGGAGCCATTGAGCCACTGACAGAGCACGGAACGTGTATGGACATCTTCAAGACATTGAGCTATATACGGGGGCTACTCTCACCAACCTACGTGGCATGCCCCGCAGGAGGCTCAAATGATCTCATCTACCCTGTGCTTTTCAACACCAAGTGTGAGCCAAAGCATCTCCATGAACGGTAAAAAAACAAGGAAAACGGGAGCGCTTATCGGTGAAATTATCCGGATTTTCCCCTAGCATTAAAGAACGGAATAAGCCTGCTGGCATTGTCGTACAGAGGGACGGAATACGGGTTCATGATTTCTGACGTTCCCGATTCAACACATCATGCGCAGAGTAATCGATTGAGCATGGGCGTTAATATGCAACTGCAATTAAGATCACATGCACGTTCGAATTCTGAAATTAGCCTCTCTTCAGCTTGGTTAGGTTCTCTTTTCCGCTCGGTATTCTGACTGTCAAAGCCCCGCCAATATCGGCACCGTGCCAAGATCGGGCCAATCCAATGATCCGCGTTGTCTGAGCGGCTCTGATGGTTATAGCCGAATGTTCCAGATTCCAACCTTGGAACGCCGATGAACTCAATCATGTTGCTTATAGATAGAAAATTCATATTGGAATGTATCAACTCTTTAGTGATTGGAAGCCGGCGTCTCCGTTCGGCAACAGGATGGTCTCCTTTCTCCTCGAATAGGAGTCCTCTTGGCCCATTTGTAGATTGCTTACCCTTTGTTGAATTAATCCTCCGAAATTATTAGAGCCAGTTCAAATCCAAATATAAAGTTTGAAAGTTCCACAGGGTATCAAACAAATGCTCATAATTCATTTTTGTGCTAATCTCAGAGATTCTTTAATGCTGCTCGTGGGAACGGGAAAGGCGTAGAAGGCTTCCAGAAAGAAATTTGGAAACAAAAGAGACGGGAATGCACAGAGTTCTAGAGCATAGAGACAGAGGCTGTTGGATGATAAAAATGCCTCCACTATCCCCCTCTTTTCTTGAAAGAAATGCCGATACATTGGGCAGCGCTAAGATTCCTCGCAACGCATCCCTGTCGCGCAGGACGCTACACGTTCCGTATTCCAAGCCACACTGCTGCGCAACAAAGTATTGGCTCATCATATTTCCCCAACAAAAGCAGATATCGGCTTGACGGCCCATGCTTGTACACCAAGGTACAACTTGCCTCGCAGAATCCTCGTAGACATGTTAATTGAGCAAACAATTCCCACCTAAACTCTCCCCCTTTTTCAGCCCCAACCTCCTCACAAGCCTATATTTCAGAAGTCCTAAACATTTGGCTTGTTGAGTAAAAAAAGTCAGACAATTTATCGAGGTGACACAACGGTGATTTCCCCCGCATATCCCACTTGGTGGCTTGCATCCAAAGCTAAGCGAGATGCCTCGCACCCCTATTGATCCTCTTATCGGATGGAACCTTGGCTACGTCTCATGCATTAAGCGCGTATACCCTCGAGATCGCGACTTGCTAGCGCAATAACACCACCGACAGGGATCTCCATAGGACACGTGGAGATCGCGGCATTGCGGTCGATAAGCAACCCCCGAGATGCATCCATGGATAGGTCCATTCTTTTTTTTTCCATTTCCCCACGCGGTCGATGCGCCAACATTTGAAGCGACCAATCGCCTCTGGATATAAAATCACCAACGCTGCCCCGACCAGAACGCAGCGGCATTTATCTATTTCACGCATTTCCAGGAATTCAATGTTCGTTTGCGCAGGGCATTGGCTATCATGAGCAAGAATTTCTTGACGACCCAAGCGGGACTGAGCCAAACGTGCATCAAGCTTCACGATTACGCTTTGGCCACCACCACCTCGGCAATCTACGTATACGTTGTTGCAGCTGGAAGACCGTGAGCACTACTTATTTTTTTTTTTTTTTTAAATGTGAATTAGATATTAGGGGGGTGTTGAATACCTGTAACTAATGAGCATGGCTATAACCTAGTGTCGTCGAACACTGTTTAAGGGATACAGACGCTACTATAATGCTGTCCATTCAAGGTCTAGCTGCACTGAGTCCCGCATGTATTGTGCTCATCTCCAAAACAACTAGGTATAGTTTCCCTGACATAACCTTGGAAAGCTGCGATTGATCAATGTCCCCTGACTCATTGGAACTAGTAATGGAATTCAAAAATTGTATGATGCTCTTTTTGACTCGACTCTCAATGAAGCCTTTCTCTAACTTGGAAGTATCCAGTATTGTTGTCAAAGGCCCGGAATTGAAGGCTGGGGCCCGCCTTTCGGAGCCATGGAAGTCTGTACTCACATTTTGCCGAGGGCCGCTTGCAAGAATGCTTGTAAATAGCCCGGGAAATATGGCTTTTGCTTCGGATTCAAAGACACGGATAGCCTTTTGGAATTTGATCAGAGGTCGTATTGAAGCTGGCGAAAGGAGAGACCTGGAATGGCTTATTGATTATTGTCGGAAGAGGTACTTTAGGGCAGCTCAGGACCCGCAGAGTACTACGGAAGATTTACTGGAACATCTTGTGACGGATACGGCGAGTCTATGAGTGAGGACATGGCAGCGAAAGTGAGGTTTTTGATGATATTTGGGGATTGGGGCGGTTGTTTTTGTTTATGCAAAATACATGAGGTGAAGATAGTAGTAGGTAGTAGAAGTCTCCACGTGGCTGGGCGTGCGGGTAATGCTTAATGCTAACATTCCAATGAAGCCGAGGTTCTCTCATTGTCGATACAAGCAGAAAATGAACCGCCATGATAATGCAATGAATTGGGTATTGGTAAGCTGCTTCTCACTTCGTGTCACTGGTATATAACATGTGGTCCGAGGTTCTAGTGTCAGTTCGGACATATGCGAATTGAAGAGGTGAAATATAATCTATATTTTTTTTTGAGAGAAGAAAGGAGACAATGCTAGTCGTGACTAGGAAAGGAAAGGAAATAAAACGCCTATATTTTCATCTTTTGGGTTCTTCAAACCTGTGCAGCTTGCAGTTGCTGAGCTAGGTTGTCGACGGCACCGTTTTGCTTTTGGGAAAGGCGCGACTTAAGTTCAGTCACCAAGGAGGCCAGCTCGACCTCAACACCCTCCTTCTCGGGGTGGTCAGCGGGGAGACCCATCTCCTTGATGCGAACCTTACCAGCAGCCAACTCCTCTTCACCGAGAATGACGGCAAAGGGAATAGCACCCTGCTCGGCAGCCTTGAACTGCTGGGGAAGCTTGGGCTTCAGCTTGTAGGAGAACTCAGCCTATAGAGAAATATTAGCCAAGGCCCATTTTACTAGATAGGAGAGGATGGCAATTGATACATACCTTGATGTTAGCGTTCCACAGCTTCTGGCAGACCTCCATACGCTCCTTGAGCATTCCAGTGAAACCCTTACCACCGAAGGCCATAACGTATGCGTCGACCTCGCTCTTGCGGAGAGCCTCAGTCTTGTTCTCACGCTCAATGCGAGCCTTGGTAATGGAAAAGATACGGTCCACTCCGAAAGAAACACCGACACAGGGAATCTGAGCCTTGGGTTGGAACATGCCCACAAGGTTGTCGTAACGACCACCGGCGGCAACACTGCCTACACCAAGAGTGGGGTCGTTTGAACGGTCGTCATCCTCTGAGACCTTCTTGTCCTTCTTGTTGGACTTGCGAGCCTTCTCCGCCTCCGGGGCGTCAGATTGAATGGCGGGGGCAGAGCCCTCGGTGACAACCTCGTAGATAACACCGGTGTAGTAATCCAAACCACGAGCCAGAGACATATCGAAGGAGATCTTATCCAACGATCCAAACGCCTCCAGGTAGTCCATCATCAAAGCCATATCGTCGAGACCAGCCTTAGCGGAAGCATTGGCAGTAAGAGTCTCATCCTCCAAGAGCTTGTTCAAAAGCTCACGGCCACCCTTGTGCATAACATAGGTCTCAATACGGTCCGCAATGGCACCATCCAAGCCCTTCTCATCGACCATCTCCTTGCGAACATCCGCCCAAGGCATCTTATCCAGCTTATCGACAGCGCTCGAGATGGGCCGGATCTTGTCCTCTGGCACACCACACACGGCAAAGACACCGTCCAGAATCTTACGGTGGTTGATCTTGATCGTGTAACGGCCATTCCAGCCGAGCTCCTCGAAGACCTCACTGACAATGCGCAGTACCTCGGCATCGGGCACCATGGGGTCGAAGGCACCGGCGATATCGAAGTCACACTGGTAGAACTCGCGCATACGGCCCTTGCTGACAGCAGGCTGATCACGACGGTACACCTTGGCAATGTGGTAGCGCTTGATGTTGCGCACGTCCGTGTTCATTGCGAGCCAGCGCGCGAAGGGGACGGTCAAGTCATAACGCAGGGAGCAGATCTCACCACCCTGATCTTGCAGATCGTAGATGAGCTTAGAGTCCTCACCATACTTGCCAGCCAGGATCTCACGGAGCTCAAAGACGGGGGTATCGAGGGCGGTTCCGCCGTGGCGCTTGAAAACGTCGGCAATGGTGGTGAAGATGCGGTCTCGAAGGATGGCGTCTGAGCCGGACCAATCCTTAGTGCCCTTGGGGGTCTTGAGGGTGAATGATACCTTATCTTTAGGCATTTTGTCGATCGAATCGGATTGAGGGATTGAGGAAAGGAAACGAGTGCGGCGGGGGAAGTTTCGATGGTGGGGGGTGGTGGGGGCACGGAGACAAATTTGATTCGAGGCCGAACGCCGGCTTTGGGCAGACAAATGAGTCAAACAACGGGTATATCCTGCGCCAATGGACTTTGTGAATGGTTGTCGTACAGGACGTAGACGCAAAGAACTCGAGAGGGACGTCATAAAAGCGACGCGCACATTTGGCGAAAACCTACGTGACTCAAATTGGGTTGACCGGGCCATCTTGCTACTTCGGGGAGTTTTTCCGTAGTTAATCCGCGCCCACCATATGAAGTATGAGCGAGATGCGAACGATTTGATTTTGAGAGACTCTGAGAGAAAAAGTAAGTAACAATAGTAAAGATAATAATAACATAAATGGAAAACTAGAAAATGAACAGATTTGGGAGCATTGGAATTGATCCCTTGAGTCTCTGATATGTACTACTAGTTAGCAGTATAAACTGTTTCCAGTGAAGACGGGACTCCTCAGCTTAGCTAACACTGTGACCTTAAAGATATGCTAGATTTATATAAGATTCAATAAGCCCGAGTCTATTATATTATGATGAAATGAAAGGACTTTTGTTTCGTCTACAATCTTGGAAGGGTTTGCAAGAGAGTCTCCCTCCAAATTCGACTACTATGCAATTGATCAATATGGGCACAATTTTGGAAGAGGCAGTGCAAGCTAATAGATATGAGGCTATAAAAAGTTGGCAAGATCAATGAGTACTGTAATTTCCTTATCCTCCTTTATATTGTAGTACTGGATCCTCGAGATGTGCCCAAGGGACAAGGCTGTATAAAGTGATATCATATCGGCAATCTGATTGGCTAAGCGGCACATGTCACCTAATGCGGTTAAAGCCAAATGGAAAGACGATCATTGTCCTGTTTTGGCATGAACTCAGATCTCATTCTCTCGCCCTTTGATTGGAACCGTGGTCGATCTTGCTCACCACGAATCGAGTCGGTTTCCACTTTTGTGGCAGAGTCACATAGATCATTGGACAGGTTGGACCCTTCGACAGCAAAGGCCCTTGAGTAGCCCCCACCAGTGTTCTTGGCAGACGAAATGACGCCCCATGTTTCCATGCCTTCACAGCCTTCAATCGCTCCGTGACACCATTTTCGGCTAGATTGTTGGCCCAACGGTAAAGTTTGATATGATTGCAGAAATGGACCAGGTATATAAACTAGCTCAAGATCCGGGCTCAACTTCAACATCTCAGTCAAATTACAACTTTGCAACCGACCTCCAGCTCCAGCCATTATTTTTGAACTTTCTTGAACACACCGATCCTTTCTCAAGTTACAAAACCACGAACCATGAGCTCATCATCCGAAAGCACACCTACTCATATGGCTTCTGGTCAATCCCGCGCTTTAGCGCTCGACTTCAAATGGGGCAATTTCCATACCCTCGTCACCGAGTTTGATACAACGAACCCTGACCCACAACCACTCTACGACGTGTCCTGTGGGATGTTAGCACCTCACCTGAAGGTCAAATCCATACAGAAAGATCAACAAATTGGAACTGGCACTGTTCATGCAATCAGCATCAGTCCCGACTACTCGCTCCATGGATCTAAAGGTACCCTCCGCGCCAAGAGTCGATTGCGGACAATCTACACCCACATGTCCCACACATTTTCCGATACAGATAAGCCTGCGACGATGACATGGACAAGCAAAAGTGGCTTCACAACATGGGACTTTATCTGCTGCGACGAGAACCAGATACCCGTGGCCAAGTTTACCGCCAATGTGTGGGCGCTCAAGAAAGTCGCCAAGATCGAGATCATGGGGCCAAAGGCCTATGATTCTGCGGCTCTTGACGAGATAGTCACCGTTGGGATGACGTTGTATTACTGCATGTATCTTCGTATCAACAATCCTCTTAATCTTGTTGGCTCTGCATTTATGCGGACGGGAAAGGAGGCGCAAATTGAGGCACCGCGGCCGCAACCTGTTCAATGAAAACTTATAGATTGAGAGGATGTAAGGTCGTGTTCTTGTGCTTGTTATTCTTATATTCTCTTTTTTATTCTTTTTATTTTGTGTGCATAGTGTTCGAAGCTACATGGCCAATTAGAAATTTGAGGCAAACATTTGAACATTTGGACCAACAGCTGAAAGACAAACATTCGGTATTGAAACATTGAAGGGACTTTGTAATTGAAATGTGCCAGACTCAGTGACGGCTGTATAATGCCTCATCAAAGGTATATCTAGCGCTTATTTTACAAAGGTCGGAGGACTCAAGACAATCTTGGAATCGATCTCAATAGAGAATGACAGCAGGTTTGATGTAATGCCACATCTATCCCATCCAGATGTCCATTTAAAATATAGCACCCATCAAAGAGGACAAGTATTCCCGGCATCCACCCACCCCGTCAACCGGTTCGCAATATCCGAAGCATAGCACGGTGTCGCACCGGGGGCGCCGAGATCATTTGATGAAGGGATAGAGCCGGCATTGTAGATTCTTGCCGCGCCGTAGAACGCTTGAGCATCACTGTACCCAGTCAGGTTGATGCAGTTTGCCAGACCATCACCGGAAGATGTTCCACCCGCTAGTTATAGAAAGAATTGGTTAAATCACAGATAGAACGCTCTGGTAGCCTGGAATACTCACTTCCATCAGCAATCATCTGATCAATCTCCGAGTTTGGACAGGGGTTTTGCACGTTGTTGTTATCATTGCAAGTCCCAGTGCCATCGTGGGATTGCATCAGTCCAGGGTTACGAACGGAGCCGTAGGTCGAAGGAGCGCGCACACATCCCCCAGATTCTTGCATGATGACCGCCAGGATCAGGCGGTGGTCCACATAAGTTGCAGCGGCCTGGGCCTCGATTGCGTTCCAGATTTCTCCCACTTCGGGGCCGGAGTTGTCGGCCTCACCCCACCATCCACAAGAGGAGAACATAGTGTTCTTGTTGTTGTTGAACCTGCACCATCCCACCGTTAGAGGATTTGTAGAAAAATTAGATAATAAATCAAGGGAATCTTACATGTCGATGAACGAGACCCTTCACACAGTCATATGTCAGTATGGTTTAATCTATAGTCGGATGAGGGTACTCACCATTGACTTTTCGCTGGCCACCCGGCTGCCACCGATCCATCACCACTGTAGAATTTGTAGCTGTCCGTACCAGACCCAATGCCGTCGTAGTCATTGACAGTGTAGACCGCATTGTCATTATCGACATGCTCGCCAGGGGTGGCATACGCCAAGCCAGTCAAAACAGTGACAGCACTGATATAAAAGAAATAATTGCTGAGCATTTTGGAATTTAGATAAAAATGAATGACTTGGATATGTCGACCTGCAGCACACCAGAACTGTGAATGTTGGGAGGAAATGTAAATATGGACATGGTAGTCAATGAATCCCTATTTATAATATTGAAAAATTACTACTAGTATGTATTCCCTCAAAGGCTTAAACAGCTCGGCATCTACATAACCAACAGTTGACTCTGCCTCATGTAACAACGGCATGGGATTCAATACTACGTACTATAAAAAATGTAGTCTAACTACGCTACTGGAGCGCCACTTGTATGAGAATTAGACCCTTTTTACTCCTATCTTTCTCAAAGGATAATTTCCCAAATTGCCTTTCTTTCAATTATGGGACCGGATTTAACTATGTGTTTCTGCAGACATTTGAGTTCCCCCATGGCTATAGACTTCCATATACAGGATTGCTTTTGGGAAGAACTACATTCTCCAGCAGTGCAGATCTATCAACGAGAAAGTATTAAGCAAAGATGCTCGGTATAACCAAGCAATGTAGATCTTCAGTTAGGTTTTTTTTTTTTTTTTTTTAAATATTAATCTTGATCGATGTGTATTATTTCGTATGTAGCGAGCCCCATTAAAAACCGTACACTCTGTGTCGACTCCTGGTAAGTTTCATCATCAGCTGGAAACAGAAAGTAAATTTTGTACATGCACATGTGCACATCTGCGAATAACACCTACGCATATTCGGCGCTTGTCAGCATTGTTCTTCCATAATCCTTATGCCTGGAAAAGCCTCTTAACCCATTGTCGTTTTCAACTACTTGCCCCCAAAGCATTGTATCTAGATTAGTAGGCTGTTATATCAACATCAAATCGGCTTTACTGTACATGTATTCTCTGGTATTGAAAACAGATTCTACAATAAGATCTACTCTATATAGTTGTACTTCATAGTTGGCGTTTTTTAATTTCGAGTTTTTAATTTTATTAAATCTTTTTGGCAGGTTTTTTGTGGTTTTTTTTTTTTCGAGTTAATCCAAGGTATGATCTAATTCCCTTAGAGTTGCAGTCTAGATGACTACCAGTTGACTAGTATCGTCGGGATTTCCTCTTTGGCTCGTTCTCGTATGCAAAACAATTGACAGGATCCACTATACTAGTCACTAGTCTCCGACTTCCCTCCACTCAAAGTTAGCCCCGAGTACGCCGAATGCGACGTTCGGGGTTGGCAGGTGGGGCCCATTTTACCCTGATGATCAGGGCTCGAACCAGTGCTCTCTAAGGCTTAAGTTAAGTTTATTCGGTGAATCTTCTGGAAAAGCTGAAACAAAATTGAGCGGCTGGTTGAATAGGGGGCATCGAACCCTTTGATCTCGCAAGGTGCAGTCGTTCCCATAAATCGGTCTGGGCTTTCGTTTCATGCCTAGGACTCAAAATTTAATAAAACGGTAGTATTTGCCGCCCGGGGCTCGAACCTATTGAGGTATAAGAACGGGATTTGTTATTTAATTCAAACCTGTAGAAAGATTCAAAGTTGATGAGGGTTTAAAATATCAACTTGTATTTTGTAGACGTGTATTAATCCTAAAATGAGTCTCATAGATGTTTTTGATTGTTGATTGTTGGGTGATTTAATGCATTGTGAATCATACAAATTCCAGACCCAGTCCAGCTGAGCTCTTTGCTGGGGCGCGCTAGAGTCGGCAGTTCCTGTTTCATGCCCTAATTTTTAAGTTGCTGAAGAACCTACTCCGCTTATAACAAATAAACCGTGCACTGTTTTGCTATGGAATGTAACATTCCCTTAAACACAAGCAATTTGATTATTGCGGCGGAGATATGTATGAGTCTTTCGACAGAAAGACCCCACAAATTAACTTCTTGTTATTTCAATGTTTCAACCACCTATGAGCGATCATCTCGCGAGGCTTTTGCCGGTCAGCTAGTCCGGCTGACGAGAGGATCCGTCCCGAATACCACTCCACAAGTGTACAGTATCGAGGTTTGCAGCTTTATGCAATCCTTTAATAGCCTTGAAGGCCCTTATCATGCTAGCCAGGGTGTCTGGGTGTTGACTAGTGTGTTTGCTTTGCTTTTTTTCTTTTTGACTGGATATCTCACCCATTGATGGCATATATGAATCGATATGTATCAATCAAGCCCTCTACTACGCACGAACCTGTGTTTTTTTTGCAGCACCTGATTGGCTGAGAGGCCCAAAGTGGGTCCAAAGAAAATGCCACAGCTGGGGACTCTGATTGACTTTAGGTGCAAATCAATCGCCGCGCGCAGACAACACTTGTTGGCTGTTACGTGCATCCTCTGATATTGAAGAAACGTGGCCCAGAGGCTCACATACTTTGAGATAGTATTACACAACCTTCTATGTGATCTCCTGACCATATTTGAGATGAAGAGAGGATTTAATTCTAATACCTGCACATGTGTATCATGGATGCCATTTTCCTAATTCAGCCAAGTGCGACACTAGTCGGATCTAGGGGATATCTCCGACTCTTCGTGATGACTTTCCATTGTAGGATTTTCTTCTAGACTGTAGATTGCTGGGTTTTACTCTAATGCAACCGTACCTGCATGGCTGATACTGCAAGGCTGATTGGATAAGGCCCTCGTTTCAGTTGCAAAAGATCGATGCTACCTAATAGTACTAGCAATAGAGATTCAAATCTTAAAATCACTCATAAGCGCTTGTTCGAATTGAAGTATAATTACACATATGTGCGTAAAGATCTCAGCACTTGCGGTATACCTTGCTTATAAAAATTTCTCTTTAGCTTCTACCGATCATCCATTCTTATTTACATCTGAATACGGCATGGATGAGCCCACCCCGCTCGTAACAGACAAGACGCCTAGGAGCTATCCAAGACTGATCCTCCAAAAAGAACAATGAAATTTTCTCTTGGTAAATTCATTTTCTATTCGAATGGTTTCGGTTATTGCAATTCACCTCAAAACTAAGAGCTCAATCGATAAAAATATGGAAAGACAAGATGGGGGAAAACGCCTAGGCTAGGCCCAGCTGCTTGACTTCAATGTCGATAATCTGAGGGATATAACCGAACAGAGTCTACAGACCCCCCGCACCAGAGCCGAATATTGATGGCTTCCGGAGAATTCAATCGAACCCGTCATTTTTTAAAAAATGCTTATCTCTTAGACTACACTATGAACTATGCACACAAGCTCATAACGGAGCTCGCAAAGTCTGACGCGGATCTCACTACGTCCAGAAAATTTCCAATGATCAAGTGAGCCCGCTCCTTCTTTCCTCCTTCTAATTTCTCCAGATTTATTCCCATCTTTTCTTTAAAATAAAGCACATTCGTCGCATAGCACACATAATAATAGCTTTTACATCCACTGGCGTCTGGAAGTCCCTCCGCGTATCTCTCCGGGATAGGCCGCTCGCTCTCTGTGATTCCTCTACGCTCCCGAGCTGACCCGGAATGTGACCTATAATGATACAGTAATATGGAACAAGGGGTGAATTTCTCTACTATGGATATATCCAGGGAACAGAGAGAAGACGCGTAAGCATACTTATCATTTGGCTTGAGAACCATCTCCTCTTCCCCCTCATCCTTCCAATTATCTTTATATCTTCACCTTGTGTCTATCTCGTCGTTATGTACTCGGCCGGTTAGCCGCATGCGGACCGGACCGTGGCGGGTCCAGCGGGTCCCAAAATTAACCCTAACTCCGCACGGACTGTATTTTGAGCTCCGCAAAATTCGCGTCGGCCAACGTGCAGGCGCTAACCAGTGAGAGCTGGAGGCTGAGCCTGGAGCAAACAAGTTCAGCAGCCAGGGAGGCAGCGACAGTCACATGCCGCGTGGAAAAGCTTTCCGGCTAACTAACGACAATGTTTGAACCCTACACTTCTCCCGTCGCCAGATCTGTTATGTATTTATTGTTGATGATCTAGAAGTCTCTTCATCAGGACTTTTTCAGCCTCATACTTGAACAACTGTGATTCAACCAATTGTACGTCTGTCATCCCCACCCACAATGCAGCCCACCCTGGAGGCCGACGCCCGCCACAAGATCATCGAGAGCTTCTTCCCAAACCCAGACGAGTACGCTGCAATCTACGAAGACCTACACGAGCACCCCGAGCTGCCATGCCAGGAGGAACGTACCGCCTCCGTGGTCGCGTCCCGCCTCATATCCCTGGGCTTCTCCGTCCAGCAGCAGATCGGCGGCCACGGCGTCGTTGGCCTACTGACCAACGGACCCGGAGCCAACGTTCTCCTGCGCTCGGAGCTCGACGCCCTCCCAATCAGCGAGGCGACGGGTCTATCCTACGCAAGCAAAGCCGAGCAGGTGGATGCTGACGGTGTTAAAAAGGGCGTCATGCATGCCTGCGCCCATGATATGCACATGGCATGTCTCCTGGGTGCTGCGGAGCTCCTGAAAAGTGCGCGCGCCCTATGGTCCGGCACACTGATCATCATCTTCCAGCCAAACGAGGAAAGATTGCTCGGCGCAAAGGCCATGATCGAGGACGGCCTATTCGACAAGATCCCGCTGCCCAGCGTATGCTTGGCGCAGCACTGTGTGCCCACCAAGAGCGGCACGGTCGCGGTCAAGTCTGGCCGCGTACTGGGGCTATTGGACTCGCTGACGGTGCGAGTTTACGGGCGTGGCGCGCACGGGGCTACCCCGCAGCTTGCTATTGATCCGATCGTGCTGGCAGCGAGTATTCTTACCCGGCTGCAGACGGTTGTGGGGCGCGAGATGGATCCCAAGGAGCCTGTTGTTGTTGGTTGTGGGATGATTCGTGCGGGGACGGACGCGAGCATTATTCCTGATTTTGCGGATTTTACTCTTGATGTGCGTAGCTTTTCGGAGACGGCGCAGAAGAATGCTAGGGCTGCTGTTGAGAGAATTATACACAAGGAGTGTGAGGCTTCTGGGGCGACGAGGGCGCCGCTGATTAGGGCCGCGGTTAGCAGTCCGGCTATTGACAATGACGAGGTCGCTACGGCGAGATTTACGAGGACGTTGCAGGCTTATTATGGTAGTCGAACGGCTGAGGTGGTGCAAGAGATGCCACCGGACATTGTTGCGGATGACTTTGTGCTTCTCGGGTTGCCGCCTGGGAAACAGCCTATTCCGTATGTTTACTGGAACATTGGGGTGGCAGATCCGGAGACATGGGACAAGGCAAACCGCGAGGGCAAGCTGTGGGATTTGCCACCGACGCATAGTGCCACCTATGCGCCGGTGATTGAGCCTACTTTGCGAACAGGAATTGAGGCAATGACTCTCTCTGCCCTGACATTCCTCGATTTGGAAATTAAGACATAGCCAGCATTGCACTATATAGTGGACAGTGTTCTTCCAATATACAAGTCAGCCAGTTAAAAGCGCTCAAGGCTGGTTCAATATGAAATTTTGTCCCCATTCCACCGGAGGTAACTGCCTGAGAGGTCAATGTTCGCTCCTTCAATGATCTTCACCATTCCTTCAATAGACGCCCCCATACCAGTAGTCCCCTCCCACCGACTAAATCCTGTCGGAACATCCCCGGGATCCAGCGCCAACACAGTCATGTTAAGGTTTTTCGCTTTCAACTCATAACAGGCAATTGTCCAGACATATTGAGCTCCCAAGGGACTTCCAGCCTTAGCGAAGTCTCAAATACTCGAGTGTCTTGGATCCCACCAGCCTCGCAATTCATGACACAGGGAGAGCTGTGCTCACCACATGCAGATTGCCAGGAACTTTTGAACACAGACAAAGCACTTAGTGATCTTTGCGTCGAGAGCGTGAGCTTGTTCATGAACACGCCATGTTAAAAGAGTCGCAGAATGCTGTTGAACAAGCAGACGACCAGAAGCGGTTGACAATCTTGGCCTACTTGTTTCTGCCAATCTCAATAGTGACATCTGTCTTTGGCATGAATGTCAAACAGTTCGGAACCGGTTCTCAAAATATTTGGATTATAGCCTCTAACTCGCCATCCTGAACACTCAAGTGCTCAAATACGTAGCCCTGGCATTTTCGCCACCTTGTGTGTTGTTCCCCCATACCAGCTATCCTTTTGCGTCCTTACGCGACGGTTCTGTTCCCAAATCTCCTCGGCAGTGTACCCGTACCAATTTTTCACCTCTCGCCATATCCTCTCCGACTCACCATCCGAGAGCCCACGAAGCAGTACGATTGCATCCTTATTGATAACACGTGCCCCGGCCAGATAGTGCATTGGAGTATTTAAGTCCGAGTCCTGGAATGCTAAATATGGTTCAAATCCCTTAGACAGGAGATACCTTAGCAAATCCATTTGAGCCGGAAATTCCAACTCGCACAGATGCACTGAGGATGGACCTTTGTGCTTACACCGGAGATTATAGATGGATTCACGCGTCTTGGATGCGTGGTGCTGAATCATGGACGACATATAGGCAATATGAAGAAGTGTGTGCCCTGCAGCAGTTGCACCAGCATATTCAAGGGGAACACTCCGCTCAACGCGCTGTAAAGCTTGTAAGGAATGTGCTGTCGCCACATGTAAAATGTGGACAAGGAGGTATGGGGTGCGGATAGTGAAGTCAATGCGTGGGTCATTCGCTAGAGCCTCGTACGCCGTTTCATTCCAAGTTTCACATTGGATGAAAGTTGCCATTAGAGGGGTGATGCTGGTACATATGTTCCAGATGTCCCCAGCGGAAGGACATTCGGGTTGAAGCCAGCTCGAAGTAGATGATGAAGTATATCTATGCCCTTACTTGTACTTGAGATTGCTGTATGAATTAGAGAGGAGAGGGCCAGTGACGAGGGTGTTGGTGGCTCTGGTATGTCTAGTAGAGCAGGAAAAGCTACCCAGAACAAGCAATCTGCATCCGTAGCAAGAAGTTGGTCCATGATTGGGAGAAGTCCCGACCCGGCCGCAATAACCAGCGGATGTCCAAAATTCGGATAGTCATCATAAAGGTAAGATGGTGCTTCTCCTTTCCAGAATTCCAGCAACAGTCGCGAACCTACTTCTGTTTCGGTAATATGAACCGTCTGCTGTCTTGGGATATCAGCCAAAATTTGCGCTCTTGAGTAATCGTCCCAGAGATTATTGAGGTCGATTTTCGTTCGGAAGCGAAGGAACAGCGCCTGCCAGGTCTCGAATGCTGAGATTTGGTATCCGTCTGAGTTTGCTCCTAGTTTCAGCAGTAGTTCAACGTTCCCTGGCGATTGGGCTCGAATCGCTGCTATCAGGGCACTGTAGGAATCTGGGAGAGGATGCCATGTCGCATAGTTGGGACTGTAAATGCAGTGTGTTTGGTTGCAAAACACGTCTTTTCTTTTCGACCAATATAGGGAATGCTCTGCATCCAGCAGACTCGGGGGTGGTTCGCTGGCAACGTCTTCTTGTTGTTGAAGGAAATGCAGCCATCCAGTTTCAAGATATTTGAGAAGCTCGTTTGGATTACCTAGCGCTGCGATTTCAAAAATTGCCGCTTTGCCTGCTTGGTTGCACTTGCATTCGACAATAGTGTTGCGATCGCCATTTGATGACCCCGATCGAAGTACGGAACGGCCTCCTGTCATCCTCAGCGAGCATCGACAAACGTAAAAATCCAAGGTAAGCAAAAGAAAAGGTACAAAATGGAAGTGCAAGTGGAAAATAGAGTGTGGTCATTGTTATTGGAAACTCCACATCACCCATAAGCAGTTTTGATTTGAGACGCTAACAGTCCCCCAATGGGATTCGTGATCGCTGATGATGATGGCCTATGCTACTATGGGCAGCCTCAGTCAGTCAAAAAAGCTCAATGCTGTAGATTTGGGTTATATAGCCAAAGTTTTCCCAACCTATCACAAGCCGGGCTAGCTCAATCGGTAGAGCGTAAGACTCTTAATCTTAAGGTTGCGGGTTCGACCCCCGCGTTCGGTTCTTTTTTTTTTTGTTAATTTTTTGTTTTTGATTTCTTCTATTGACAAAGATGACTGTGGCAATGATTATCACAAGTGAATTCCAATCTCTCTTCTCGCAGATTCCCTCACCACCTTTGTTTTGAGATAAATTCTCGCCGGTATTGGCAGAGGTAGCTGCATCTCCATTTCCACCCTCCGGCATCCACGACGCTATCGTGGCATTCACCGATAACAACAATAACTTCCAAGCCCACCAAATGTATGTATACTCTGCATATCACATTCCAGCTCGCTGCAAGGCTTATCGTTGTGGGTCTCATTTGCGCATATATTGGTGATACGACGTGAGAATGATGCCGAGAATGATGAAAGCTCTGCTCATTAGTTAACCTGAGTGTGTATACAGAGTGTTGTATAGTACGTATTGTTTATTCGGCAGCTGAGAAGCTAACAACCCTCGATGAGAGAAAAACTGGCACGATTTTCAGGGCTTATGTCCCAGTAGATGGCTCATGGTCGGCGAAAATGATCTTTGCAAAAGAATCAATCTACTCGGCTACACAAAAATGCCGGAATTGAAGCCAGCACTAAGCTGGTACTAAGCAAATTGATACCAAGTCAAAGAATACCAACAAGTTGAAGAAATACCCAACAAGTTGAAGAAGTACTAGGCAAAAAATTATTTTCGCTCAATTGCTTGACAACGAGGTAGACTTCTTTTCGTTTGCTGAGATGTCCTTCAGTGCTTCTCACAGTCATTTTACATCAATAACATTTCAAATGTTTGATCTATTAACAGGCTTGCACTGGGGAAGACATGCTTAACCAAATGCCCCATTGCAGTAGCTCCATGATGCCTAAAAAATGAAGTAAAACAAGTGAAAAATAAATACTAGTAAATAAATAGAGTCGTTTCATAAGCCATCTACTCTGGATGGCGTCGATAACAGAAGAGTGCCTCTTTCCAATTGGTCCTCTGTGGATCCCTGTCCACCAAGAAACTCGTGTTATCCGTGCACTACTTGAAACTCCGTATCTCATGATGTCTGATCAGTCGAAATCGAATTTCAAATTCGATATCGCGGCTCCTCCAAGCTGGTCATACGATCCAGGTGGTGTAATTATCGGGCACTTGATGCGCTATGCGCCCATTAACAGCCATCAAGCAACGGTGGAGGTGGCGCTTGTTGGTCGAGCGCTAGCCAAGCTGCATGCGGGACCAAGCAAAGGCGAGGGGGACGACGGTAGCTCGTCCACCTCTCAATATACCCTTTTGCGAGGCAAGCCCGAGATCATATTTCGAGGGCCAGTGCATCTTTCCGAAAGTAGTGCGCAACCATTAAGTTGGCCATTTTCAGTGCGTATCCCGACTGAGCCTGAAACATCAGTCAGAGAGGGCCACAAGCGGGGTGCGAGCTTCTTACCACTACGTGGGGATGACCCTTCTCATCATGTTCTCCCGGGAACCTTCAGCCTAGCAAAGACCAAGACAACGCGCCCTATTACGTGCAAGGTTGAATATTCCCTTGAAGCTACGCTGGAGTACCATGATGAGGGTCGCCAGATCTGCCGAGCGAGCTACCCAGTGACATTTCGGCATCCTGAAGGGAACGCCAGGAATTTCTACGATTTGAAAACGATCACAGCCCGATGCAGGGTGTCCAGCCAACGACTGCTTCCTGGCATGGAGAATGCTGATCTATCACTCAAGCAGAAGGCGTCCAAGTTCATTGGATCGTCTTCAGTGCCGGAGCTTCACTATGAGCTTGATCTTTCTCTACCGGTAGCCATCCGGATAGAGGATCCCAGGCCTTTTCCGGTGATGCTGGGCATCACAATGCTGCACATGGAGACCAGTTCTTGCATTCGAAGCGTGCCTCAAGATATCCAGATTAGTTCAATCAAGTTGACACTCAACTGCATTACTGGAATCCTTGTTGACCTGCATGGAAAGGTCTCTGTTGAAGCTATCAGGACTGGCCAGTTTCCGCCTGGAGAGCATATCGTTTCCCACACTCTCAAACTGAAAAGTGCTTTCCAAGATTTGGGTTATCCGTTGAAAATTAATACTGGGGCGGACGATGCACCTGTGCCCATCGGCGACATTTTTAGCCTTGGCCTTCGGTCGGGAGGTCTTATATCTGGAAGGAAGTATTTTGCCAATGCCAGTTGCGTTTGCCCGGATTTTACAACCTACAACATTGAGCACAGACATAGCTGGCGATGGCAAATTTTTTTGAATGTTGCTGGAGAGAACCATGAAATCAAGATTGATAACCCGGTGGAGGTGCTACGAGCAGCTTCGTGAGACTTGCAGACTTCCCAAGTAGGGATGCTACGTACATATGGCAATGTTGAATCAACTTTGAAGATCAATAACTGGGGTGTTTAATATTCGTGAGCTTCCAGCTTTGGAGCTTTGGAAGTTTTTGACCAGATACAATCCATTTCCAAGGCTTTATCGACAATTGATCCTTTCGCCATATGGACTAGTAATTTAGCTGTGGATGCTCTTGGTAAACCTTGGAGTTTCTGATATCAAGATCCACTATGTTGCGATTCTGAGCTAGAAATTCCTTGAACATATGCATAAAACCTCCTTCCTGTTTTGGTGAAAAGAGAGATGCAAAGACGTCATAGTATCAACGGAGACGTGAACTCCGAGACCCACCGAACAGGAAGATGGAGAATGTCAATTTGAAAAAGGGAAATGATTTACATTGATCGGAAAGGCATTCAAAAAATTTGGATTACTAATATCTATTGCGTGTGCCGGATCTACTCTAGAAGTTATCCTGTTCCGTATATTTCCAAAGGGGCCAAAAAAGGGTACATTGTTTTCACAGGTTGATTTCATATCTGTTGAACATTTGTACCTATTTGCCTCTTACTATTTATTATCAAGCTATTTAATTGGGGCTTGACCCAATGAGATAAAACCAACGGAATAAAGTTTGTGTAAATTAACCAGCCCAGTCACCTTTGGACTGAGCTCCAAGCCATCATTCCTGGACCGCTAAGCAAGCACTTTGTACCTTGTGGTCGTCGAATCAACCTGTTCGGGAACCCCACCAGGATTTATCGTACATACCATGTTGCACGGATCAAATGTAGTATCTGCAAAGCGCCCGCCTGGGCGCAGTCCTGATCATGTTCTGCATCGAACGGCCCAATGAACACGAGAAAAAAAGCCTTTTTGGGCACAGGGGGGCGAGTGGGTGGTGGTTCAGACCCCGAGCTGAACTATCGAGGGGTGATCGAGGGGGTCTGCGGTGTGTACATACCCGAGTCTGCTTTAGCGCGCAAGGCCCCGCAAGGAGCCTAAATTGTCCTGACATGGACCACCGGCAAGAGAGCGCTACTGCACACTACCAGAGCTGTACAATATGTAACGACCCGAAGCGAAAGTACATCGCTAAGAGTCAAGACGCCGCACGCCGTTTCTGTTCTGGGCCCTGGGGGGTAAAGAGAGACCATGGGGGGGGCCGCGCGGCCAATAAGCGCTTTCCTAGAGGTAACACAGACCACCTTTACCCCCTTGATGCTGGGGGGAGGGATCTGTGTGATCTTGCGCCTGATCGCCTTCTTGTTTTTTAAATTCTGTTCCCTTTTCCCCCCGCATGATGCTCGGCGCGGATGACCCAGGTAAGGACTCAAGGTGGAAAAGGGCATTGACTCCACCGCCACCAAATGTCCGGCTCTTCGGGCCCCACGTTAGACTTGGTGATTGGCGGAAGAGCCACGCCATGCGAGGGGCGGACACATGGCCCGCTCGACGCATAACCAATGAATGGACAGCGGCTAATGGGGAAATCCTCGATGAACTCCAGGCCCCCATTCTTCGTAAGTGAAAAGAGGAGCCAAGTTCCATGGGATACCGTGGGGGCTTCCGGGGTGAGGAGGAGGTTGAACCAATGGGCCATGACATAATGGGTCTTCTCCCCTCTTCTTGCGTTTTCTTTGTCTCTGTTTCTCCTCCGATATAGCCGGGTCGCACAAATTGAAGAAGATTGGGGAAGATTGGAATGGATTTGAAGATGCAGCTGTAAGAAAAGAAAAATCCGCGATTGGACAAGTACTTAGTACCTGCTTCGAGATCCACGTGGCTATAGTGTAAGAGACAAAGACACCTTTTGTTTTCTGGATGATTCTGTTGCATGCGCGATTAATTATCCAAAGTATAATATTGAAAATAATAAAAAAACAGAATAATATATCATAAAATATAAAAATAATCGTCAAAAAACTGGGTCACTTCTAATATCAGTAAACCGTTGTATATACGGAAAGCCGAGTACAACCCGTTATTTCGAAATAGATGAATTACTGAATCTACGATTACTGTACAGTCAGAACCAACGCCACTCCTTTCACTTCTTCCCTTTTCCCATTCCACTTTCAATCCTATTATTGACAACTTGAACCCTAACAAAAAAAAAGACAATAACATCTCTCGGCATTTTCTTATCCTTTTTGTCTTTTTGGTGGATTCTCCCGTTTTCCCCTCTTATCTGTGTCGGTAACGGAGGCCCCGTATGCGGTTCCTGCGTTTTAGGCCTGCTTTGGTGGCTTCCCCGGACACTCTCCGCGACTCAACGTGCTCGGCCTAAACTCTTTCCCCGAGTCATTCCCCAATCACTTACACCTCTTCTCTCAATCTATCCCTCAACATTTATCAATAGCTCACATCTGCGATCGGGTCTACTTCGACGTCTCCGGGACCCTCCATGCCGCCGAGTGCGATCGGCCAGACCACTTAAGCCATCGTCATGGGGATCTTCAACAGAGGCAACCGCAACAATGGGGTGAGGCTTGAAACCAACCTGCCGGCATCATCCCTTTCTGCCGGTGTCACAGCATCCTGCCGTGTGCTCGTGGGACGATTTAGATTGAGACGGTACAACTGACATTGCTTTCCCGCACAGGCTCCGAACACCCCTTCGCCCGCTCCGCCGAACCCCAAGAAGGACCCCCAAACACCGCAGATCAGCCCACTGGAGAAGAGGTTAAAGGACATGGGATCTATTCGAGTCGACGGAAGCGACAAGTTCTTTGGCATGGAAAATGTGAGTGCTCTGGTGGTTGGACTTCATCCCACTTGTCCCCGCCCTCCACCATACTGACCGGAAGTGGAACAGTACGGAAATACCTGCTACTGCAATTCAATCCTTCAATGCCTCTACTACTCCGTGCCATTTCGCGAGGCAGTAATTAATTACCCACAACGAACACCCGTCGAGAGCATTGAGGCGGCTCTCGCCAAGAACTTGCGGTTCCCAAACCCAAATGCGCACCTGGAGGCTGAGGCGCAAGCAGCCAAGCAGAAGGCCGCCGTACCCTCCGCGCGCCAGGCCGGTGTGACCCCCAATCAACCCCAGAAACCGGAAGACAAAGAATCGCCGGAATACAAGAAGAAAATCGCCCTGCAGACCCTTCCCATCCTCGAGACGAAGAATAATGCCACCAGTTATGGCATGTCGGAATCTCTCTTTACCTCGCTGAAGGACATTTTTGAGTCGCTAGTGGGCAGTCAATCACGTATCGGAATTATCCGACCGCAGCAGTTCTTGGATGTACTGCGCCGCGAGCATGAGATGTTCCGGACCGCTATGCACCAAGATGCGCACGAGTTTTTGAACCTCCTACTCAATGAAGTGGTATCGAATGTCGAAGCCGAGGCTACAAAGCAGAGTTTCGCAGAGAAGACGCTGCCGGGCGCAAGTGCAGATTCGCTGGGTATGACAGAAAGCGCTGGTTCGAAATCTCCGAACACGATTCGATGGGTCCACGAATTGTTCGAGGGTATTCTAACGTCCGAAACGAAATGTCTGACCTGCGAGAAAGTCTCTCAGCGAGATGAGGTATTTTTGGATCTTTCGGTAGATCTTGAACAGCATTCATCCGTAACATCTTGCCTACGGAAGTTCTCAGCCGAAGAAATGCTTTGCGAGAGGAATAAGTTCCACTGCGATAACTGTGGTGGTCTTCAGGAGGCAGAGAAGCGAATGAAGATCAAGCGCTTGCCTCGTGTGTTGGCTTTGCATCTGAAACGTTTCAAATATACCGAGGACTTGCAGCGACTACAAAAGCTGTTCCATCGAGTCGTCTACCCTTACCATCTACGTCTTTTCAACACGACCGATGATGCCGAAGATCCTGATCGACTTTATGAATTATACGCCGTTGTGGTTCATATTGGTGGAGGACCCTATCACGGTCATTATGTTGCGATCATCAAGACCGAGGATCGCGGTTGGTTGTTGTTTGACGACGAATTGGTGGAGCCAGTGGATAAGAACTATGTCCGCAACTTTTTCGGCGATCGCCCGGGCCTGGCCTGTGCGTACGTTCTATTTTACCAAGAGACGACCCTGGAGGCCGTCATGCGAGAACAGGCCCAGGAAGATCAAGCATCCACTGCGGCGGCAGCTGAAGCAGGTGCACAGGCTAATGGGTCTCTGACTCATGTACAAAGCGTGCCTGTAGATGACTCGCACAGACCAATCACGCTTAACAAAGTAACAACAGCGCCCGGTCAAATGCCTGTACATATCGAAGTTCCAGAGGCTGAGCCGACATCACCATTCCCACCTGTTGAACCTATCCAGCCCATCCAACCCGTCCAGCCCATCCAGTCTCCTCAGTCTCCTCAGTCTCCTCAGCCTCTTCAGCCTGTCCAGCCCGTTCATCTACCCGAGATTCTCACCCCACCGCCGATCCCTAATGAAAAAGCTCCTACTCTTAGTCCAAAGAAGAGCGATGCCCAGATACGGAAGGATAAGGCTCGAGAGGAAAAAGAGATGCGCGCAGCACAGAAGGTAGCCGAAAAAGCAGCCAAGGATGAACGGGAAAACAGAGAGAAGATGGAGAGAATTCAACGCAAGGAACTTGATCAGCAACGGCAAGCCCAGATAAAACAGGAGGCTGCTGATCTCGAAAAGGCCCTCAAAGCTAGCAGGGAAGCAAGCAAAGCGGACACGACTGATGTTGGAGCGGAGAATGGATCGCCTCGAGAAGGTTCCAGATTCAGCATATTCAGACGTAGCAGCCGCAGTTTGAGCAGCAGCCTTAGCAATCGTCTCAGCAAGGACAAGGAATCTCGAGTATCGACCTCAACTGCAGATACTACTCCGGCTCCAGTCCTCGAGGTACCGGCCCACGAGGAAGAACCGCTTCGGCCCCCCGTGCCTGCAAAGGACACATCGGATCTTTCCAGTTCATACACCTCCACACATACGGCACCATTCCCACCTACAGTCCCAGAAAAGCATGATCCTTACTACAACAGCAGCCATACCAACCTTCCTCCGCTCTCTACTTCTCCAACCTCCAATCATATCAACCACATCAACCAAATCAATAGCCCCAATGGCAACGGTAACGGCCATGGCATCGGTCACGGCAACAGCGGCAGCAACGGCAGCGCGGATAAATCCGGCGTTGGCCACACTCGATGGAGATCATTCAGCTTCAAAAAGTCTGCAGCGTCATGAATACGTGAATATGTATTTCGACTAGCGTTTTCATTTCTTGCATCTGCCAGCTTCCGGTCGAGTCTACTCGGAGATACCCCAACTATCTTGCACATATAAGTAATCCCATTTGCTTTCGGCACATACCTTTTCGTGGATGTATCATTATTTTTGATCTCATGATATCCAATTTGTCACATCGTTTCCGCCTCATTTCCCCACTGGATAATCCTAATGCGGGATCGGTTTCACCACCAAGTCTTTTCAGACTCCCTCCATCTTGATCAAGGCCTTGCACCCCAATTTTGACTGAATCTTGATTTGTTGATTTGTTTACCTTTGTTTTTTTGTTTTTGTTTTTTTCTGCGCCTGCTTCTATTCATGGCTGCTGCTTTATGTACGATGTACGGCGGCATGATATTGACACCGATGGGGGTCCATCCCATCTGGCGCAAAAATTGGCGTTTGGCTTTTATTTGCAATGCTGGCAAGCATGGAAAGTGGGATTTGTTTATCTGGCGTTTTTGTCGTTCTGGCCTAACAAGTTCTATTTGATGCATATCTTGCTTAGGTCTATTTTGCTAGTGTTTACCATTTATCTCGTTGTGAAGGACGACTCCTACAATATTCCCGATCTTTTTGTCCAGTATCAGTATTTCATGTACTACTTACTACATTCACCTATGTTAATCGTACCCGTCCAATTACGGATTGAGGCGTCCTAGTTATCATTGGAGTGAAACTTCATGTCGGTTTTTTTATGAGTGAGACCTCTCGGTAATGTGTGTTTCCATTCGGTGCATATAAATTTTTCTACAGCGATCCACCCCTCGTCCCTTGGGCCTCTCTTCTCTGGACCTTGGCTGGCAAGCGAGGAAGGGTGCTCGTTAAGCTAGATTCGAACAGTACGACTATGAAAGTCAACTGGCCAGCTCCAAGCCTCAAAATCGGGGAACTAGTATGTCTGAAACGCATGAAAATAATTTTATTCAACTCGTCAATCGGTATGGTATAAGGTTGGATGGTATCAGCCGAGAATCAGTTCGTAGACAATGATGACCGTGTTGATGACGATGAGAGGTACTGTTGTGGTTCGTTGTTGTTAGCCGTGTTCACTGAAGCTGCCGCGTCCGCCGCCCAGCCCCGTCCTCACAAGCAAGCCTAGCTAGCTTGTAGCTATATTAAGCCCAAGCTTGATCAAGACGGAGACAGGTCTCAAAAGAACGGGGATAGCGAGATATGCATTGTCTGGAAGCAGAGAGAAGGTTGAGGGTTGAACGTACTCCGCATCACTGTCCGCACACTGGCAATCAGGTTGATCGACTTCGCCTTAACGCTGGTGTTGTCTTGGGTCGCGCCGAAGCTCGGCTCAGCCTGTGTTCGGCCCCATCCGACTAGAGATCCTGAGTGTAAGCCTTTATTGTGATCCAAATTGGAAGTACCCCCTTGGGAGAGAATTTGTGTTTTGCGCGAAGGAAGGGAAGGGGAGACGTACTGCGAGCCAGGAAGCGGTCCTCGGATAGGACGGCGATAGCGTTGATGAGGAGGACGATGGCTAGGAATTTAAATGTCAGCAATGAGCCAGAGAGCTTTCTTAAATGGGCACATACCGTAGACCAAGTTGCCTAGACCGAAGAGCAACATTGTTGCGGGGAGGTGGGGGGTTTGAATGGGGTAGAGGGAGTTGGGAAAGTACAGTAATTAATTAAGGTGAGGTTTCGGGAAGCGCCAGATCTCCGGATCATCAACAACTTGTTCGCCGCAATTATGAGAAATGGTTAAGTCTGCGCCGCACAACGCACGGGGTGTTTGTATTGTAGCTTTTACTAATACTTTGTACAGGACTCGTGTTCTCGGGGCTCGTATTCCTGCTCGCTTCGTTGATTCTTCTTCATATCCTCGTTGCGCCTTATACTAAGGTTGAGGAGTCCTTCCATATCCAAGCCGTCCATGACATCTTGGAGCATGGCTTCCCAATCACCGAGCTAGGCGCCGAGCGCTCTAATTATGATCACTTTGAATTTCCTGGCGCTGTCCCTCGGACTGCCGTTGGTGCTGTGGCACTCGCCAAGATATCACAGCTCGTACTTGCAGTGGACAGCCGAATCGACCGCCAGATCCTAGGTTAGTTATCATCTAGTGGGCGTCATCTTAACTTCACTGTACTGACAGTATAACAGCCCGAGCAATCCTGGGTCTCTACAATGCGTCCGCGCTAGCTACATTTGCATACGGGCTACGCCGCAGCTTCGGCCAGACCGTAGCAACATGGTACCTCCTCCTCCAGGCCAGCCAGTTCCACCTAATCTACTACGCGTCGCGGCCGTTGTCGAACATGTTCGCCTTCGGCCTGACAACAGTAGCACTACGCTACCAGCTCCCAGACAAAGTAGACAATTCCAAGCCGCACGCCCAAAGTGCATACCGGCTCTCGCTATGCCTCCTCACCATCGCGGGCGTCATCTTCCGCTCCGAGCTGGCGGTCCTAGTCGCAACGCAGACGCTGTACCTGCTCCTCAGCGGCCGGATCAAACTATTTAAAACCGCCATTCCAGCAGGCCTAGCCGGCCTCGCCATCGGCCTCCTCACAACCGTCTCAGTAGACTCGCTCTTCTGGCAACGCACCCCGCTCTGGCCCGAGCTCGAAGCCTTCATCTTCAACGTCGTCCACGGCCAATCCTCAGCCTGGGGAACAGAGCCCTGGTCCTTCTACTTTGCCAACGCTCTCCCTCGCATCCTGCTGAACCCGCTCACCTACCTCCTCGCCATCCCCGTTGCGCTTCGCCAGCCCGCGACTCGCAATTCGGCGCGAGCCTTGCTTGTCCCGTCGGTGTCCTTCGCCGCGCTGTACAGTTTCCAGCCGCACAAGGAGTGGCGCTTCATCGTCTACATCATCCCGGCTTTGACGGCTGCTGCTGCCCTTGGCGCGGCATACCTGTGGACACGCCGGTCTCGGTCGTTCTTCGCGCGTAACGCCTCCCGTCTTCTGGTCCTGTCCGCTTTCGCCTCATTCTTGTTGTCTAATCTTGTTCTGCTGCCCGCTTCCGCTGCGAATTATCCCGGTGGGAAAGCGTTGGAGGCTTTGCATGTCTACCAGGATCGGGAGACGGGTTCTGGCGAGGATGTCCATGTTTACCTCGGCAACCTTGTTTGTCAAACGGGTGTGACCCGTTTCCTGCAACGGCCGAGCACTGAGCGTGGACTCTGGGTGTATGATAAGACTGAGGATGAAGTCGTCAAGTCTACGGCCTCTTTCTGGGAAAAATTTGAGTATGTTCTAGTTGAGGCTTCTGCGGAGCCTGCATATATGGATGTGGATGAGATACATCTCCGGGACGCACTGCCTGGTTCGCAGTGGGAGACTGTCGATGTGATCGAGGGATTTGCGGGAATTTCGATCATTAGACCCGGGGAGCCGGCTGCGGGCAGCGCTGAGCGATGGGTTATGTCCCTGGTTGGTGGAGAGCGTGCTGTTGAGTTGTTTGAGTATGTTCGCGAGGCGGCGAGGAAGCTTCTACTCAAGGGCTGGTGGGTTGAGTTGAAGATGAAGCCTAGGGTCAAGGTTTTGAGGCGATCAAGAAGTTCTTTAGACATTTGATGGAGGCAGGTCCCCACGCTTTGGAAGAGCTTCTCCGAAGCAATTCATAATTTGAACGCAATTATTGACTTGCGTATAATATGACCATGGCAACAACCTTGAAAGCACCCAGGTCCATACTAGTAGGTCTTAAGTAAATCATGCATCCAAAAATGCATTCATTCTGGGATTTTTTTACGATATGCATATACTATGCACCAATAGGTCATAGCCGCGGCCATACATCAAAGGAGGTACATGCGAAACAGGGTATTATGTACTATCATGATAAATCTCCGCCCGGCCTCTCAAAGCCCAGACTTAAGTAAACATGGCGGTCGCAAATCACCTACAAACCACCAGGGGGTCCCTCCAACCTTGCCATACGAGACTCCAGCTCGCGGACCCAAGGCTCGACAGTCTCGACATTCGACCGCAGAACTGACTCGCCATGGCTCATCTTCTCCTCAACAGCCGCAAGGCCCTCGCGCCACTGCTCAATCTCCGAGGACATTTCTGCGTGTCTCTTTTCAAGCTCGTTAAGCGAGTCTGCCGCTTGCGCAGCGCCCGAATGACAGGCGCGCAGGGAGCGGAGACGCTCTAGGACACTAGGAAGAAGAGGGTGAAGGGACTGGATGGTCGGTAAGGTAGCGTATAGAGCGTGAATCTTGGCAGTGTGTTCATCGACAGCGGGGGAAGAGCCGTCAGCGCCTTGGGCAGCAGCATCATCTCCCGTGGAGGCAACGCGAGCTGTTTGTGAGGATTTGGCGGTATCGGCAGCGCGTTTGCGAGCTGAGGCTAGAGCCTCGGCGTCTGTCGTTAACTTGCGAACACGAGAAGAGAGCGCTTCGAGATGTGGAGTTGTCATTCCGGGCACGGCATTCGGTGCCCCAGATGCGGGGTTGGTGCCCACCAAGAGACCGGTCAGAGCACCGAGGTGAGAGGTCAATTGGTCGAGAGCGGGCAGAACGGGCTGCAGAGCAGGCTCATTGAACCCGTCTCCGACGAACGGGTTGGAGGCACTCGATATTCCCATTGATGCTTCTAGCAGGGCGAGCCGACTCTCAAATGCAGCCGCATGAGAAAGAATCCCAGCTGTGGGCAGAGCTGCCTGTGCAGCAGCTGCTGTGGGTCCATCAGGTTTGGATTGTAGTGATTTTTGAGCGCCCGCTTTGCTGGATGCTGATGAATCTGGTCCAAGTTTCTGGGCAAGCAAAGCTGCGGCCGAATAGGAGGCGTTGGGAACGCCCCGGGACGAAGCGTGCAGATTATCCAATGCGCGGCTCAGCTCAGCTACACCGTCACCCAAGTCTCCTCCCTCTTGGGAGGTTTCGGCGGGTGTGCTATCCACCACTGTCTTTTCTGATTCTGCCTTGTTCGCCATCTCCATCTTCAGATCCTCCACCTCTCGCCGCAAACGAGTAAGCCGTCGCTCAATCGATTCGTCCTCGCTGTCGCTCAAATCTCCGACCTCTTCGGTGCCGTCTTCGCGTCTCCGCCTTCGGCGTTGGCTCTTATCTTTGCTGCGGTATGCTTGTCTTTTCATTGCAATACTGTCCGAGAAATTGGTGTCGCGGGCGTCGACTGTAGCTCCCATGAAATGTGCGCGCGCCTGGTCGGCATTGACTGCCTCCCGGTCGATATCGGAGTTGAAACCGGCGTCATCGTGATCTGACTCTGTGCGTATGGTACCGGTCTATTCCCGCGATATTGTAAATTAGCTTGAGGTCATGTCGGTGTTCATTGCATATGTCGGACTCACTGGGACTGTGGACGCTTCATCGGTCAGGTCAGGGGTCTCGTAGATATCTGGAGCAGGGTCCTGGTTTCAATTAGTACAAGAAGCTTAAATAGTACCCAAATATTTTACGTACGAGATCTGGAAGACCGGCATATTTCTTGTTGAAAGCCATGACTGTGAGTTGGTGATGAAGGTCAACAACGCGATAACTATAGCTGCCCGCGATGGATAAGTAAAGTCCGCTTTTTGATGCCTTAAAGCCTTAGAAAAATGTATCCGTCCTGAAAAGCAAGGCATCAATGACATAACTTATTCAGCATGAGGCACGTGTCAGCCTCGGAAATAGCACATGCATGAGAAAGAGCGGTAAAGTATATATTTAGAGGGAAATATCAACCTGAGATTGTTCTTGTCATCCTTTTCTCTCTCACTGAAGTACCCTTGACTTCCACTATACCCCTGAATCCGTTGTCTCGGTTTCTCATCGACATAACATCAACCCGCTTTGCAATTGTTACCCCCCACGGTCCCACCACCCCGCATTCCTTAGCTCTACAGCTTCTACTACAACAAAATGGCTGCTCCCGCTGATATTACAATTAAGAACCTCAATGGGCAGTGGGTGATGGTATGTCTAAGCCATTGGAAGGCCACATAACCCCCCCCAAACCCCCGAAAACAAACAAATACTCTCCATTAGTCCATGAACTAACAAATTTGCCTTTGTGTAACAGGACGCAACCCTGTCCGACCCTACTGCCCCCATCCTAACTCTAGTAAGTGCTAATACCCCTGGCCTTTCTCAGGCGAAATTGCCAAAGTTTCACAACACAAGATCTGTACCCATGGCCTTATCACAAACACGACATGTCACATACCCTTGCAGTATGCATACATACTAGTGGAGGGAAACATGAACTAACGACCCTCTAGCAAGGCGTGAGCTGGTTCGTCCGCAAAGCTCTCCCCTACGCCACTGTGACTCTTCACGTGAACGAGTACACCGACTCCGAAGACCCACTTGTTTACCACATGGATGTCGATCAAGTCGTTACCGGTGGTATCCAGGGTACCAAGGAAGCGCGGAAGCTGGACTGGCAAGAGCGCAGCCATAAAGATACCATTTTTGGAACCATTAAAGGCCGCTCACGCATGTTCCGTGGAGCCAAGGGCGACGATGGCAAGACCCGCCCGGCTATTGATGTGCAGAGCAAGGTTGGAGGGTCTGAGGCCGATGCCAAGGTCCAGAAATTCCTGCGTGGTGAGATCCAGATTGATGGATCGGCCAGTGAGGGTTTCATCGTTGAGGGCGAAGGCGAAGAGTTTGGAGAAGGCGAGGGACTCTGGATGCAGAGTTATGTTGTGAACCAGGAAGTTGGGTGGACCGCTGAGCAGGTAAGCCTTTTATCTTGTTAAATTTTTCTTGTGGGTGGACTGCTAACTTTTCAGGTCTGGGGATTCGAAATTATTGGTGGCGAGCGACGTTACACTCGTCGCGTTGCTGTCGTCAAGGATGGGAAGTTTGAGTTGGGACGTCTAGTATACACTTTCAAGGAGCGACGGGCTAAAGAGTAAAGAAGAACTTTGGAAGCTGTATGCATTTAGCCTGATGCTAAAGGCAAGATATTTTGTTTTTATTTTCATTCGCCAGCGGGTTTTAAGCGAAAGCGAGAATGATGAAATTTAAGCAATAATCTCGGGTAGTGCCATTATAAGACTCAGATTCTTGGAGTCTATAATCTAAAAAGTCTGAAATAGGGGGAACATGTTTGAATAAGACTGAATTTGTTCAGGCATAGGTACATTTTTAAAAATAAAACCGCAGTAATCCGCAGTAGTCATGGTCATGATAACGATGATCAAGCATCGGTAAAGCTTACGAGAGATAAATATCAGGGGAATTAGGAGTGAGTAGGCATAACAACGGCAGCTTTGGTGCTGACAGCGTCCTCGCTCTTCCACAAGCTGGTAACAGTCTTCTGCTGAGTGTAGAAGTGCATGCCCGACTTGCCATAGAAGGTGTTGGCACCGCCACCGGCGATACTCTTCTTGTTACCGGTGAAGGAGAACATGGGCAGTGGGACGGGGATGGGAACATTGATGCCCAACTGGCCGGCCTCAATGTCCTTTTGGAAGCGAGAGGCGGTAGAGCCAGATTTGGTGAAGATAGCGGCGCCGTTACCGTACTCGTTGGCATTGATAGTGTTGATAGCATCGTCAAGGGTCTCAACGTTCAGGCAAACAAGGACCGGGCCGAAGATCTCCTCCTTGTAGCACTTCATGTCAGGGGTGACGTTGGTGATGATGGTGGGGCCAATGAAGTTGCCATTGGGGTACTTCGCGGGCTTGAAGCCACGACCATCCAGAAGAATAGTAGCACCCTCAGCCTCAGCGCTAGCAATTAGATCCTCAATACGCTTCTTGCTCTCGGGGCTAATAACAGGGCCAAGGTCGGCACCCTCCTCGAAGCCACCGTTCACGTTAAGCTCCTTAGCACGCTCAGCAATCTCGGGCAACCATTCCTTTGTCTCGCCGACCATCACAACGGTGCTCAGAGCCATACAGCGCTGACCAGCAGCACCGAAGGCAGCACCAGTGATGGCGTTTAAGGCATGGTTCTTGTTGCAGTCAGGCAGGACGGCAGCGTGGTTCTTGGCGCCGAGGTTGGCCTGGACACGCTTGCCATTGGCGGAACCACGAGTGTAGATGTACTCACCAGCACGGTTGCTACCAACGAAGCTGATGGCCTTGATAGCAGGCTCATCAAGAATGAAGTCCACAGTGGGAGCAGTTCCGTGCACAATGTTGATAACACCGGGAGGGAAGCCGGCTTCCTTAGCCAACTCGGCAAGAATCATCGCAGCACCGGGATCACGCTCAGAGGGCTTCATGACCAAGCAGTTACCAGTGACGGTGGCAACGGGAATACACCACAGCGGGATCATGGCAGGGAAGTCTAAATAAGCGGTCAGCAATTGGAGCCATTTCATCCGATATGCAATGCGATGAACTTACTGAAAGGGCAGATAGCGGCAACAACACCCAGAGGCTCACGGTAGCTTCGTGTCTCCATATCCTTGGCCACCTCCAGCACCTCGCCAGTCATCTGGGTGGTGATACCACAGGCAGTCTCAGCAACCTGTAAACCACGGAGAACATCACCCTTGGCATCAGCAAAAGTCTTACCCTGCTCAAGAGTGATGGAAGCAGCCAGGCGGTCCCAGTGCTCGCGGATCAAGCTGGTGAACTTGAACATGATCTGCTGTCTAGCCATGATGCTAGTCGCGCGCCAAGCAGGGAAGGCCTTCTCGGCCGACGCAACGGCGGCCTTCAGCTCCTCATTGGTGCTCTGGGGCACACGAGTAATGAGGTTGTTAGTGGCGGGATCATGGAGGTCAATCCACTTGGTGGCCTTGGATGTAGTGAACTCGTTATCTAGGAAGTTGGTGGTATCAACGGGGGCGGCAATGGGATTGTGATCTGTCGGGTAGGAGGTTGCGGTAGAGGCTGCCGAGGTTGTGGCAGGGGCGAGCTGCTGGACAGTAGCATGCAGTTTACGCACGGCAGAGATGCCTGAAGGGTATGTGACACCTCCACGAGCGGCCAGTCTGGCGGCAGGAGTAGCGGTGGTAAGGGCCCGGGTATTTGAGGCAGCGCGTGCAACCGCGGGCGTGCGGGGAACGGACCGCAGAGCGGGGATGGAACTGGCCAGAGACCGGCGGGCGGCCATGATGAATTGATGAGATTGAAAGAAGATCAAGGGATTGATATCTCAAACACGGGAAGGAAGGAAAGTGGGAGGTTGTATGTGGCAAGGGGGAAGCAAGTATATAAAAGGCGGGATACTTTGTATTACCCCAAAACCCGAGGTCAACCGTTCGCCCGCTCGCCTGGAAGCGGATTTCCCCACACACATCACCGCCTTAGTCAACCTCACGATAAGCTACATGCTCGGCGATTTCAACCAATCATAGCCGTCAAATGTGTAACCGAAATCGCCGAATCATAGTCGCATATCGTGGCTTTTGTGTTTACTTAGAAGTTAGGTTGCACACTGTGTATTCAAATCTGGGGGACTCTCTTGCTATGGTCCTTTAGGCAGGCCGTTCCGGTCAAATTCAACTATTGGAAGAAAGCCCCCACTTATTCTATCCGATTATGGTTATTATTACAGCACTTCATAGTACCCTTACTTTAAATAGCTACTTGTAGTGGACACATATATAAGAATAATAAGATGTACAGAACACTTTTTTGATGATGAATTGAACATAGAATCTGTAATTTGGCATTTGAAACATCGAAAATTGGGGAATCTGAGACTTATGAAAGTCAAACCAGGGGGAAAGATAAAAAGATGGAACACTTTGAAGTATACCGGTCTGGGGATCTTCAACTGGCTAAGGTACATGGCAGGTACATACCTGAGCATGTCACAAGGACAAAAAAAACATAAGGGAATAGGGAATCAACACGAAAGTCCTTTTACTCTCGATCATTTGGATTTGAGGATATCTTTCTTTAATCCACTTCAAAAGCTGACATCACATTTACTCGGCGGAGGAGCGGGTGTTGCGCTTGGTGGCACCGGTCTTGCCAGTGTCGGCAGAGGAACTGGTGGCTTCACCAGTCTTCTCCTTACCGGCGCTGACGGCCTGCTTGCCCTTCTTCTCGGCGGAAGGAGCAGGGCTGCTAGAGCCGATGGCACTGACAATGATAAGGATGGAAGTCAGGAGAAGGGCGACCAAGCCACCGGCGACCTCAGGAGCGGTCTTAACGGCGTGGATGGGGTCCTCCTTGGCCAGAGTGACGAATTGGTTGACCCTCTGGCGGACAAAGGTGACGGGGTCCTCCTGGAAGGTAGTGGTGGTGCCGAAAGTAGGGGCCTCGGGCTCGGGCTGGGAAGCCTTCTCCTCGGCCTCCTCGACGGCAATCTTGACATCGAAGGTCTCCTGGCGGAGCTTCTCAGCGTCCTCAACGGAGTGACCAATGTAGACGTTGTCAAACAGAATGTCGTTTTGCATGGTCCAGATCTCGAAACCAATGGCACCCATGGGCTCCAGGTTGGAGGGAGTCTTGTCCTCGAAGTAGGCGGGGTTGGCAATCTTGCGGGGAGCCCAGACACCCTTGTAGGCAGGGTTATCGATCTCAGGAGCCGACCACTTGCCCTTGTACTCGGGGTTCTTCTTCAAGGGCTGAGTCCACTCGCCGCAGCCAGAGACGTCGGCACACTTGGGGTTGGGGACAGTAGGAGGAACCCAGTCTCCATCCTCCTCATCATCCCAGTCCTCGGGCTTCTCAGCCTCTGGGTCGCCAATGCTGGTGGGCTCATCCTCGAGCCAGTCCTCGGGCTTGACGGCCTCAACATCCAGAACCTCGAAAGGAGCCTCCTCATCCCAGTCCGCGGGCTTGACAGCCTCGGGATCAGCGATCTTGACCTCGTCGACCCAGTTAGTGGGCTTCTTATCCTTGGGGTCATCGATCTCCTTCTCGGGGTTGACGGAAGGAGAGAAGTCCTCGAGAAGGCTGCCCTCCTTCACAGACTCGCCGTTGACAAGGATCTCGAAGGTCTGATCGGGCTTGACGATCAGGGTGTAAAGGGAAGTGACCTTGGAGGTACGGGCGACGGGGGGAGTCTTCAGGTGCTTCTCCTCGTACTCGCCGGTCTTGGGGTTCTTGTGGCGGAAGATGAAGTGAACCTAAGCAGAAAGATGAATGAGCGTGTGATCAAAAGAGAAAAAAAAACAAATAGCCTATTTGGGGTCAGTGTCATCATACCTTGTTGGTGGCACCGCACTTGTCGGGACCGAACATGATCACGTAGGGAGTTCCGTTGGAGAACTCCTCCTGGTGAAGCTTCTTGTTCTCCTGGAGGAGCTTCAGGTAGGCACCGCCACAGACCAATGAGTTCTGGGGCTTGACCTCATACTGAACGACCAGAGTCTTGCCCTTGTTGTCGATCTTCTTGGGGAACTTGGCGGAGATGGCGTGGTGGGCAGCGGCGTTCTTGACGACCAAACCCTTGTCGCCTTCAATGCCCTTGAAGACGGTAGGCTCCTCAACAGCCCACTCACCAACGTAGGCCCAGTCCTCCTCAGACTTGGGGTCGTCCTTCTTGGCGCTGGAACGCTTCCAGCGGGTCTCCCAGTCATCAGTGAACTGCTCCAGGAAGGGAGCCTTGAGGCTTGTGGGCTAAAACAGAATTACATTAGTTTCAAAAGTCAATTGAGTGGGGGGTATAGGGTGAGGTGGGCATACAGTGAAAGTGGGCTTCTCAATGCTAGCGGCAGCGTTGGGGGCAGCTTCGGTATCCTCGGCATGGGCAACACCCATAAGGGTGGCCGAAGAAACCAGAGCCGTGAATGCGGTGTCGAAACGCATGTTGAGGAAACAACACGGGACAAAGAAACAGTGGCGGAGAGGGGAAGTGTAAGAAAGGGACGCCTTGAAAAGAGGAGAAAGAAAAGGCGGAGGTTATATAGAAGAATGTAGAAGGGTCGAAGGTCCAGGTGGCCTCTTCCATGCTCCCCGATCGGGACTAGCCACGGCTAATCCCAGGAACAATACATGATGCTCCACGTTAGAAATGGGGCCCTGTTTTGTCTGATTGAATGAATTATCCGTACTTGCTATGTATTATGTGCTGCAAATTAATTACTCTTAATGCCAATCAAAAACTATTTCCTCTCAAAATCTACAACCCTCATCTCATTCAAACCCAATCCTCTCGTATTATTTACCGGTCGCCGACCATACATGATGTGCTTTACGCGCAAAGACCCGCGGAGCTGCAGATTTCACCCCACCTAATTGGATGCGCCCGTTACACCTTCTTCAACCACTCAGTAGACCACGTCTCACACGTTTGCTACAGGGACTTAGGTAGGTACTGAAGCTGCCTACTGTGGAAAAATTGATTGACCCTAGTCTGGTTTCAATTCCCCCTTATCCCTTCCGCAACCCTCCCTACCCAAACAGCAAACCCTGGCCTTGTGCTAACACCCTTCAGCCTACCATGTGCGCCGATGACAACAAGGCCGTCGAGGCCGTCAACAATGACTATCTGGTACAGTCAGATGACCCTGAGCACCCGGCCAATCTGATTCCGGACCTTTGCCGCCGCTTCTACAACTGGGGATGGGTGACTGGCACTGGTGGTGGAGTAGGTCTCTTCTTTCCCTTTTCCCCTCTCCCCCGCGCTAATTGCGCCAACGACCCGCGCCGCATGCTGACACTGAAATAGACCTCCATTCGTCATGGGGATCATATCTTTATCGCCCCTTCAGGTGTCCAGAAGGAGTTGATGAAGTCGGAGAACATTTTCGTGGTTCAATGGCCCACCAAGAAGTACCCCGCTGAAGAACGCAACTATATCCGCAAACCCCTCAAACTGAACCCCTCCGCCTGCACCCCGCTGTTCTTGACGGCATTTGAGCACGGTGCAGGCTGCTGCATCCACACTCACTCACAATGGGCCGTTTTGGTGACCTTGTTGGTGGAGCGCGAGAAGGGTCCCGATGCTTGTTTCGAGATCAACAACATCGAGCAAATCAAGGGCATTCCTCGTGGAAAGGGCAAGGGCATGCTTGGGTTCTTCGATACTCTGAGCATTCCTATCATTGAGAATACTGCTTTTGAGGAGGATTTGACCAGCGGCCTCGAAGCCGCGATGGACAAGTACCCTGACACGTATGCGGTACTCGTGCGCAGACATGGAATGTAAGTGTCGACTCCCAAGCCCCTCTCTCATGCCTCCATACTATCTTGAATTTGATCCACTAACTCAGCCATAGCTATGTCTGGGGTGACAACGTCGCCAAGGCAAAGACTCAGTGTGAGTCCCTTGACTACCTGTTCCAGCTCGCTGTTGAGATGCACAAGCTTGGATTGCCCTGGGTGAAATAGACACCCAGATTACTGGTAGCATACGGTATGTCGTTGCATGACAGATAATTTTTGGCTAGCATATATAGATTGGCCAGTCCTGGGGCGATTCCCAATCGTGATGATGAGAATGATGAGAATGATAAGACGTTTTGATGGAACCCCCGTCGTGAATGTTTGAACTGTAGTAGATAGTAGGCTTCTTCGAGATTGATAGAACTCGAATTTAGAAGAAAAACCAATGCAGAACCTTGGGAATAAGCTTGGAGACTTGATGGATGAAGAAAAAGGCAAAGGCCAATTGCAAGGGTTGTAGGGAACAGCTTGGAACAATAAACCTTCGAAGGTTGTGTACGGGGGGTACTAGGCCCGGAGGGTCCCCATAACAAAATTCACATCAAATTCTATAACGCCTTGTCACCGCTGGGCACAACCTTGGAATACACGGTCATGGGTCCTGCCATGAATACATAGTAGGTAGGGTAGCAAAAGTGTGTGGGCACATACCAATGTGTCCAGACATACAAACCCCTAACAAACTCGATTGTCTTAAGCCCTGGATGCTGGCGGACCTTACACCTACTACCCCACAACTCCTTATAAAACTACCGAGCTAACGATATAAAAAGAATCTTAGTCAAGGAATATCACATAACCTCACCTGTCTTAAATACTGAGTAGTAAGTACTTACCTCGAGTACTGAGTATCCACCTATGCATCCAGCTCAAGTACCTACTTGGCACTCACTATGTACCCTAATACCTATAGTTATGTATCCTCCCAGTTAAAATCACGAGTATATTACACTATATCTATATTAGCCAAGCACAAAGCCTAAGCTCTGACTGAATCCTGCCCAGGTGAGTATGTATATGGATCCTCCGGTCCCCCGTACCTTGTGGTCCACTGAGTGCGGGCTGCTAAAGCGGGATCCCGTGAGTGACTAAGGGCCGCGGATCACCTCCACTCCACTCTCTCCAACTGCCAGCTTCCCACTTACTCAAACTTCTGAGCTTTGGAGCGCCCCTTGAGCCAACTGCAGAACTTAATACCTGAGCCGCTTTCCTCACACCCTTCTTTGCTTTCTTTTCTTAAACATCATTGATCGCCAAACAATGGACCTCGATACTGGCGACTCCCCGTGGGGCGGTAGGCAGTCACGAATCACGATCCCGCTGCTTCGAATTGCAATCTAATCTAATTCGCAGACGAGCCCTCATCGTTCGCGGCTGACTCTTCGAAGTCAGACACCCAGGAAGGTGTTGGTAAGTTCGATTCTGCAACCTCCCCGTCGACCCCTCACTAATGTCGGACTCCTTGCAGCAGCTCCAGCTCCCGCTTCCGCCCAACCCGCCCTGTCCGAGAGCAGGGCCGAGGTCCGTACACCTGGAAGACGAGCCCCAAGGGGCAACCGCAAGATCAGCGCACAAGCCACGCGATTGGAAGCTGTTGATGACACTTTCGACCCGCTCGGTCCTCTGGGAGAAGCACCAATTGATACCAGCGCGACACTCGCCGACGAAGCTCCGGCACCACCCCAGAAAGAATCGCTTGCTGCCCGCAACCCTCAACCGCCTTCGACCTTTGCGCAAATCTCAGGGGTGGGGAATTTAGGTGATCCGGTTAACTTGGAAGATGATGGTATCGGATTCCAAGGACCCCCGCCCGTGCAACCTGCTGCCGATTCAATGGGACCAAAGCGACAGACACAGCCTAGTATGAGCGTGGAACAGGCAGCGAAGCCTACATTCGATATTTCCGTCGGCGATCCTCACAAAGTAGGAGATTTGACTAGCAGCCATATTGTTTACCAAATTCGGACAAAGGTGGGAGTTCATTTATTGAAACCAGATAAGAGATTGGGAAACTCACTATTCTACGTTATCTAGACATCATCTAAAGCATACCGTCAGCCTGAATTTGCTGTCAGCCGCCGATACCGGGACTTCCTTTGGCTATACAACTCCATGCACAATAACAATCCTGGCGTGGTTGTTGCCCCTCCTCCGGAGAAGCAGGCTGTGGGTCGGTTTGATACCAACTTTGTCGAGTCCCGAAGGGCTGCGCTGGAACGCATGTTGAATAAAATTGCTGGTCACCCAATTCTACAGCACGATGGTGATTTGAAGATCTTCCTTGAAAGTGATGCTTTCAATGTCGACGTTAAGAATAAAGAGAACCGGGAGCCCGATTTGGGCCAGAGCAAGGGCATGTTTGGCTCTTTTGGTCTCTCCGTCGGTGGAGGAAACAAGTTTGTGGAACATGACGACGTATGTTTACCCAATCCGTATTCTTGCGCAAGTTTACTAATTCTTTGGTAGTGGTTCCATGACCGGAAGATTTACTTGGACGCGTTAGAGAATCAATTGAAGGCGCTCATGAAATCCATGGACACCGTCGTTGCGCAACGAAAGGGCCTTGCTGAATCCGCAGGCGACTTTTCCACTTCGCTCCATGCGCTATCTGCTGTTGAACTTTCACCCGCCCTGTCCTCGCCTTTGGATGGCCTTTCGGAGCTTCAGTATCGAATCCGTGAACTTTACGAACGTCAAGCTCAACAGGATGTCTTGACACTAGGAATTACCATTGACGAGTACATTCGCTTGATCGGCAGTGTCAAGATGGCCTTTGGACAGCGACAAAAAGCTTTCCACAGTTGGCATTCCGCTGAGTCTGACCTTCAAAAACGCAAGAACACCCAAGAGAAGATCCTCCGCCAAGGAAAGACCCAGCAAGATCGTTTGAACCAAGTAAACGCCGACGTTGCTGATGCCGAGCGCAAGGTACACCAGACCCGATTGCTGTTTGAAGACATGGGTCGCTTGATGCGGAATGAGTTACAACGCTTTGAGAAGGAGAAGGTAGAAGACTTCAAGTCTGGTGTAGAGACATTCCTGGAGAGCGCAGTAGAAGCTCAGAAGGAGGTATGTTTTTCCTTGTGCCATTCTTCAGCTTTTCCCTTACATAACTAACTAAAATTCAATAGTTGATTGAGCTGTGGGAGACCTTCCTCTTGCGTCTTGACGCTGGAGAAGATGGCCTTCCGTACTATGTACCATCATCTGGCGATGCCGGTGAGGAGTATGCCCCGGAGACTTCATCACAAGTTGAACCTTCCTCGGTGGCCGATGATGATGAGTGATGCGACCCGCCTATATAAACTCGGGGCTTTGTGGCCCCAATCAAAACCGGTTCACGCATAGTCCAGCTCCATCTTATACTCCCAATTGAATTCTTTTGTTCAGCCCTTTTCTTTCTTTCACACAGCGGCCCCTATGAATATCCTCAGTCCTCCTTTCTTCTTATATTCGAATTTCTTTTCTCTCCAAATACCACCCATCGTTTATTGTAGTCGATACCAAATAACACGATTCATTGATCATTCCCCATTATCGCCAAAGCTGGCTGTACTCCATTGATAATGCAACAGCTGAAAGCCAAGTTTTGTAGATAATGATTGCCCAGCTGCCAATTCGAGTAAGTAGTACCTACTATGTACCTATTTGCCAGTAGACTGGTCAGGGATAGGTACAATTGTATGTTCAAACAATTCCCGAAAGCGCCGCTTCCCAATCTTCGAAGCGATTGCCATCCGCGCAATATCGTAGCGCGATTCGACCTCCTGGTTAGACCATTCACTTTGAGCCAGCCTTCCTGCTGAGAATGTGAATATAGTGCGACACGTGGTAAAATCTGTGGAAAATAACCCTCAAAGAAGATGATTCATCGGAACATGCGATTCTGTTACGTACCTTGTAGGTAGCTCCCAACATTTGAAGGTTATGGAGGTCAATGTTATCTGATGGACATAGAGCACTGCGCGGAGTTATGGATGGAATCTTTGCTCCGCGATACTAAAAAATCCAAGACCTTTCTGAAGATTTTCTAGCTATGGTGATTCGTACTGATTGCATCCTATGTATTTCCTAAATGTAACAATTCACTTGCTCTCGGGTATAAAATGCACTCTTTTTCTGGTAGATATCCATTCAGAATACCCACATGTGCAGTGTTGGTCTCGCAGCTCTCGCCAGCCAGGAATTGTTTCTTGCTTGGCTTTGTATTATCATGATGACCGCTTAAATTTTCCAACGGCAACGGCTTTCGATGTTTTAGTCTGTATACCCATGTAGCAACGGGCCTGGGATCTTTTACAAGGAAAAAACTCATCGAGTATGCACGGTAGAGCTATAACTTATTGTCAATGTTCTGCCTTTTCCATGATGATGTTCAAGGAGATTGGATTATCTATGTACTGGGCTCTTCAAGACCCATTCTTCTGGATGCGGACCTAATCCTAGAGCAAGTGCAACAACTCATTCTTGCGCCTGAGTCCTTAGTCTAGCTTTGAGATTCGTTAGTACTGAATCTTAACAGGTACCATACCGTGGTTGCCATCTTAGGGCTTGGTCTCAAACATGCCGCCGTCTTCCTTCCTGTTTTAGCTTGATTTTAGTCGAAAACCTTGAATAGTAATCATAAGGAGTAATTTGGTCATTGCAGACCTGCAGATGGGCATGATGGCGTAATAGCTCGAATGTTCCTTCCAACATTGTCGAACAACAGATGCATGAAGTGCTGTTGCTCCCTTCCGCTGTCTTGATCAATCTGCACTTCTCATCACCCCATGTATCAATGACTTTCTTTCTTCTTGGGCAGCTGGAAGCCTTTTTGAAGAAAACAAGGGACATTCCCTTTCTTCCTTTGGTCGGATGTTTGATATTCATATCCTCGAACAGCTATAACCGGTGGGATGGGAATCAAGGTAAGTGTCAAGGTAAGTGCTTGAACTTTGCTGCGATCAAGAGCCCTAACGGGGGGAAGAGAAGGAGAAATATGATGCCCTTTGACTGACTCTTTGCGTACATCAAGCCGGTCCACAATGCCTCTCAGTGCATTACGAATTATGCAGGTCATCATCGAGGCAAGTGATTGACTATACGACTTTCTGAGGGCCATACCCAATGATGAAGAAACAGTTATGATGCTCAGCTTTGGCTGATTTTTTGCATGCATGCATGGAGCAGGATCACAGTGACTCTCAGTGCGTTATGCAGATCATCATCGAGGCAAGTGATTGACCTTACGACTTTCTGAGGGCCAGTCCCAATGATGAAGAACACGTTATGATGCTCAGCTTTGGCTGATTTTTTGCATGCATGCATGGAGCAGGATCACATTGACTCTCAGTACGTTATGCGGATCAACATCGAGGCAAGTGATTGACAAGTCACGACTTTCTGAGGGCCAGTCCCAATGATGAGGAAACTGGTTATGATGCTCAGCCTCGGCTGGCTTTTTGCATGCATGGAGCAGGCTCACAGTGACTCTCAGTGCGTTGTGCAGATCATCACCGAGGCAAGTCATTGACTGTAAGACTTTCTGAGCACTTGAGGGCTAGACCCAATGATGAAGAACCAAGTTATGATGCTGAGCTTCGGCTGACTTTTTTTGCATGCATGGAGCAGGATCACAGTGACTCTCAGTACCTTATACGAATCATCATCGAGGCAAGTGATCAAATTGACAGCTTTTGGAGGGCATAGCCCACTGACGAAGGCCCTGGTGAAGATTCTCAGCCTCGGCTAATCAAGTCATCTTCGAGGCGTGAGAAAGGCTGGGAGTGGGAGTCCTATTCCCGATACAAATCCCTGATGAGATGTCAGCTTATGGGGGTTCAATTATAACAAGAAGAGATGAGAGAATATCTGGCAGTTCAAGCTTGGATGTAACCGTCACAATCGTCTGAAAAGATCAGTTCTTCAGACTGCTGCGTCTACGAAATATTAGTATATCATGTCACTGAAAGTCGAGAAAGACTCACCAATATAGATCGTGCCTCGTTTTTGCTTCTCTCTCTCAAGTAGTCCTAGAGACTGGAAGTGTTTGCCTGATATTAGTGGAGGGGGGTAGAGCTGGAGATAAAACATACATTTGTGTAAGAGAAGACAGGAGGAGCAAAAGAAAAAGAGAAAAATCTTGAAGCGCTACAGACGGCCGATTTCAAAAGCGGAACTTGGAATGTTTGCTTTACATGTAATTTACCGAGCTGAGGCATTGTCAAGAGTTTCAAGTTAAGTCAAAATTGATGGGATTTGGTAATCTCTGTACCGTATCAGAGCAACCTTGGAAGTCATTAACTTAGCAGATCTGGACCTTTGTGAATCGATAGTATTGGCGTCTCAAGGAAGCTCCGGTGCCTCAAGAGTACAAAACTCTGAACATTTGAGCCATGGAACTACTTGAATCTACCGAATGACACGTATGTACGAGGAGTAAGTTATTTACAGCTTATACTAAAGATGCTGCATTATATTGTGGATACATAAGGACATACAGTATACTTCAATTCCGAGTAGAGGTAAAAGCACCACAGTCATCTTCCAAGATGATGAACGCTTCTTCTTTTTTGGATATCCGGGGCCATGTCTTCAAATCTTTGTTCAGAGAGGACTCTTTACCTCGGCTTGATACTATCCTTTTCCGTGGATATATAGCCTGTATCTCAGGCTAAATAGGAGTAGATCTGTACCCCGCATACCTAATTTCACTACGATGGAGAAGCGGGCCATATACTTCCACCACTCATTAATCTATAGCATCATGTACTATTAATTATCAATAATCTTTCTTAAAACTTCAAGCTGCTTCAAACATAATCAATTTAGGTAGTACAGACTATATGCTGCCTTTAACATGCATTTTTCAAGCTTGAAGTTCTTGGTTTTTCTACTACATGCTGGAGCCGCGACTAAGATTTCCGCCGCCCAGAGACGGAATATAGTCCGATCTTTCAACCCTCACCGAAACGCCAGTTCTCCAACAACACCGCTACAAGTCGGCAATGGCAACTTTGCATTTGGTGCAGATGTCACTGGCTTACAGACATTCTCTCATTTCGCCATTGAGAGCTCTTGGGCTTGGCATAATTTCAGTTTGCCAACTACTCCTGGTCAAACCTCTTGTTCTGGTTAGTCGCTCGTTTCTACTACCAGCCAAACATTGGATTAGAAATTTCGTGTGCATACATGTAAATCAGTACTAACCAAGCTATATGAAATAGACTTTACAGGCCTGGACTGGTGGACGCATGGCCGTCTTGTCAATTATGACATGCCCAATCCAGACGAAAACGATATATCGAACTGGCTTATTGAGAATCCTCAACGATTGAGCATAGCCAACATTGGCCTACATTTCCCGGGCCAAAACATCACCGAAGAGTCACTACTTTACAAGTCCCAGGATCTGGATATCTGGGAAGGAACTATTCAATCTTCATTCCAGTACAATGGATCCAATGTCTCGGTTCAGGTCTGGTCTCACCCAACTGACCCTATCGTGGGAATACAGATCAAGTCGGATCTACTGATCTCTGGAGACTTGGGTCTCTTCTTTGACTTTCCCATATCCGATACTGAGAAGTTCGACGCACCGTATGTTGGTGTGTGGAATGACACCACAAACAGTTCAGTACATGTGAAATCTACACCCGATACGGCCTTGTTTGAGCACGTTCTTGACAGTAATGTCAACCGGCTTGGAGTGAAGTGGCATACGGAAGTTTCTATCACTGGGCCTTTGCCTGGAACGAATCGATTCATCCTCACGCCTAAGGGATCGGATATTCTGCAAATTGTGGCCGACTTTCAGCCGGCTAGTGATAATCGCGATGATTTCCCGACGTATGAGAGCATTGCGGCTGGGTCCAGAGAATGGTGGGAGGATTACTGGATGACTGGTGCCTTTATAGACTTGTCGGCGACTGAAAATGCGAATGCTACCGAGCTCCAACGCCGTATTATTCTCTCTCAGTACCTCGTTGCGGTAAATGAGGCATCATACAATCCCCCGCAAGGTATTCCATGAATTATTCTTTTGTTTCCGAGTCATTTTTGCTAATTTTTCTGTCTACTAGAATCTGGTATGAGACTCTTCCGTCTATATAATGCATCTACCCTACTATATTTCAGCTACTAAAAATATATGCTAGGCCTTGTGAACAATGGGTGGTACGGAAAATTCCATGTAAGTCATGCCTGCAAGGCCATTACCACACATGCACCGAAAGCTGACGAGAGTATGCCAGCTTGAAATGTTCCTATGGCACAGTCTACATTTTGCCCGATGGGGACACTACGATCTCCTTTCTCGGAGTGCACCAAGCACATATCAACGATTTCTCCAGTCCAGCATAGACAGAGCCACAGCACAGGGATATGAGGGCGCCCGCTGGGGCAAGATGACAGATCCAACAGGACGCAGCGCCCCAGGCGAAATAAATGCATTACTGATCTGGCAACAGCCTCACGTCATGCATTTTGCCGAATACGTCTACCGCGCCTTTCCTAATAAGAACACCCTACAAGAGTGGGACGAGGTGATAACAGCTACAGCTGACTTCATGGCCTCGTATGCGTGGTGGAACGATACAACTATGGTATATGATCTGGGTCCTCCAATGTACCCGGTTAGCGAGAACACAAGTCCAAACAGCACCGTCAACCCGACATTCGAGCTGGCCTATTGGCGGTTTGGTCTCGACGTTGCAATTCAGTGGAAAGAGCGCCAGGGCGTCTCTGTGCCGAAAAACTGGGTCACTGTGCGAGACAATCTTGCTCCGCTGCCTGTTATTGATGATGCCTATGCTGTTTATGAAGGTATTCCTGATATGTGGAAAGTGAACAGCACGACTGTGCAGGATCATCCGGCTATGATTGGTGTTTATGGCTTGCTTCCGCCTCCTTCGACTGGTGTGCCACTTAACCTGACGACTATGCGCAATACTGCCGAGCTTATTAAGGAGCTTTGGGACTTTGGGGACTCTTATGGATGGGACTTTAGCATGTTGGCCATGAATAGTCTGCGTCTAGGAGATGTGGACCAGGCTGTTGCGTATCTTCTGGACTCTTACTATGTTTTCGATGATGCGGGATATGCCGAAGGAGGAAGTCGGGTCCCCACTCCATATATGCCTGATGCTGGGGGTTTGCTGTTGGCAACTGCAATGATGGCTGGAGGCTGGACTGGCGATGAGGGTCCTCATTTCCCCGTAGATTGGGATGTTACAGTCGAAGGCTTCAGTCCCAGCCTTTGAAGCTACCGAGCCCCAGATCAAGTTCCAACCTTCAATGTTATTTGAAGGAGGCTATATCGTGAATCTCAGAATAATAAAGCAAATTGATTTGATGCACAGAGAAACAGATATATGTATAATGTACAAGAGAGATGAAACATAATAAAGAAACCCAACTCCCGACCAATGGTCTTACAATCTTTCTTCCTTTCAAACTATCTCAACCCGAGATATTCCCCTCAGTGCTTCCATGTCTTCTTCTTCTCTGGAGGCGGGGCCTCGCCCTGTCCAAATGAACTGATCAAGTCCAACAAGTTATCCTCATCCTCCTGATCTTGCTTCTCCTGCGCCTTAGCAGCCTCTTCCTGGGCCTTGGCGAGAGCAGGATCCGCCTCCGCAGCAGGGGCACTAGCATCGAAGCTGCGACCGAAACGCGCACGGAAAGCAGCGAGTCGACCAGCCTCATCGTCCTCCACGTTCATAAGCTTGCTGCTAGACGGGTTCCACAGGAGCGAGTTGCGGGTATCACGTGTAGAGCGGTACACCGGCGCGGGAGAGGTGGTGCGGTGCGTGAAGGCGCTGCCGTCGGAGAGCGTAATGAGCTGGGTGAAGGTGTAGGGGCGCTTAGGACGGCGGAGGAGAGTAGCGTGTCGGCATTGCGAGCAGACAAAGGATGTGCTCTTGAACGGGGTGGAGGTGATTTGGCTGGAGGGAAGGATGGTGCTTGTTGAGCTATTTATTGTGGCCGCGGTGCGGCGAAGGGTGGTGTGCATTGACATCGGCTCGGAGGTGCTGCGCTGCAGCTAGTAACCTGTGTTGAATTGGGTATTTGAGGTATCGAATTGGCTCCCCTGGGTGTCGTATGTGGTGGGCAGGAATGCGATTGAGAGAGGAGAAGGAGGGTGAAGTTGATGCTATACAACTTGTGTCGCGGGAGAGAAATTATCGCGGGTTACGTAAGCGGATCCGTGATTTTTGCGGACTTTCAGGGTTTGGAGCAACTTGTTCGTTTGGAGACTCGCGACGGAGTCTTTGGCTTGAAACGACAAGTGTCATAGATCCGGTACTGCTTTTGATCTTCTTGTGTGGTCTTTCTGCGCGCCGAGCGGCATTATCATCCCGTTCAATCGGCGACATGAAGCTATCGGTCCCGCGACTTGCGGCCCGGGGAGCCCGCGGAGGTAAGTGTCGCTTTTTGTTTATCAGCCCCATTTTTGACTGGTGCGCATCGTCTAAGGCTCTTCAGGGTCTTTAAACACCGGGAACTCCATATACACACCATCGCACAGCTTTTCGTCTTTCCAAACTCTACCAGCGCGGCCAACCCACCAGCACAACTCACAATGCTCCCGACGAAATATCAGCAGTGCTACAGCTTCCAAAGCCCCGGAAGCTCAATCAACACCTACAAATGAACCAGCACAAGTCTCATCCCCTAATACGCCACCTAAAAACTGTCCCTCATCCTCAATATCCGACCAAGTCCGCCTTCTAATGCGCCGCGTGCCATACCCCGTCGCCATAATCACAGCAACAGACCCCACCGGAGCCCCAGGCACATCCTCATTCCGCGGCATGACAGTCTCCTCTTTCAACACCGTCACCCTCACACCTAATCCGGTCATCTCATTCAACGTTCGCAGGCCATCCGAGACACTAAACTCTCTGCTTGCCTCGCGACGATTCCTGGTCCATTTACTTGCTCCGGGACCCGCAACCGCTATTCTCGCGCGAAATTTCTCGAAAGGAAACACCACTCTTGCTAGTATATTGAATGGACATGGAGACTTTGAGTTCGGAGCCTTGGATGTTTCTTCTAGCCTCCAGGATTCGGGATCCGAGAGACCTCTTCCTATTTTAAGGAGGCGAGACGGTGCGCATGAATTAAAGAAAGAGAACGGGAATGCTGATTTCCCGTTCGTATTTGAATGTACTCTGCACCCGCAGAAGATCGATGTGCATGACCACTCGATTATACTGGGGACTGTTGTCCGTACAATTGAAGGCAAGAATCTTGTGGTTTCGGAAGACCACTGTTCGCAAGAGAGTGGTGATGAGCATTCGGCGGACCGATTATGTCTGTCATATGCCAATACTAAGTTTTGGAAGATGGGAAGTGAGATTTAAGTTGTTTGGAAGTTTGCTAAATAGATTGCATGTTAGAATGGGTTATGCTGCGCTTGGTGGAGCGTGGCACTGTACATTATTAGATCCAACACCATGGCTGTCGACTGGGTTTATCTCGATCTGCAGCAGTTGATATACCACTTACAATCAAATATCATTTAAATGACAAGTTTTAAATACGCGAAAAGAGCCTAGCCCAGCCCTTGGAATGTTTCCAGCATGTATTGGTATTGCCCCACTTGAACCGTGGATTTCGTGGATTTCATGGGCCAACTGGCTTGACTTCATTGGGATGGAAATACCTGATATTGCGGGTCTGTTATTTACTGAAGCCTAAATATAGATACACACAAACTCAAACTACAAGATGGAAGTTTACGAGATAATAAAGTGGCATGAACGGGTGTTGATGATATATGTAGAACAAGCTTTTAGTCTTAAGAACAGAGCTGCGATTCATCTCACTTCAACCGGGCCTATACAAGCTGCATAAGCTCACCGCGAGATACATGTCCGATGATACTTCAAAAGAACCCAAGACTGCCGACAAGTCCATGGACCAGGAGATAGGAAGAAGCCGCAAGACAGTGATCACAACCAAATGTAACAAAGGCACAGGAACAAACATGTTAGACGAAGCATTCAAAGGGCAGGCGAAATCAAAGGGCCCAAAAGGTCACAATCGAGAGCAAGTCATCATTTTGACCAGATTTAAAAGGGTGAGACCTTCGTGGAACCTTCTCAATCGCGTGCAGACTTTGGACTGCCACTTCCACTGCCGCTCCCGCTGCCACCGCTGCCGCTGCCACTTCCGACCCCACTACCGCGACTCGCTGCTCGCTGGAAAGGGCTCAGCGAAGAACGACCAGTCTGGAACAGATAGTTGTTGGTATCCGAGCCAGGTCGCTGCTTTTCAGACAGTAAATCGGACAAGTCGAACTGGAGAGAAGGGAAGCGATTGGGCTCGAAGAACTCCGAACCATATAAGCTGCTGCGGGTGGAACGGTTGGAGAACGAGCGGTCTCGATGGTTGATCTCAGGTGCGAAGTATGAATTTCCATTGCCGAATGGAGAATTTGGGAACTGAGACATGAACGCGTCTTGAACAGGGCTGGTCGGGTGCGAAGAATCTGTAGCATGAACTGGAGAAGAAGAAGTCTGCAGAGGACTGGGCTTGGCTGGAGGGAAGCTGAGAGCCAACAGTGAGCGGCCAGTGTGACCACTGGCAAGAGAGGTATTGATCTCAGCCAGAGGGTTGGTTCCAGGTAGGTTTCCTTCGGGGGTAAGGGGACCGGAGTCCATGAGCATCTGCTGCTGTTGCTGCTGAATGGACTGCTCGATTGCAGAAGCCTGCTGCCAAAGCTGACCAGTGCGCAGTTGGAAATCTTGCACGGATTGGCTGATACTCGCGAATTGCTCATGGAAGTTGACTTCCATCTTGGCCTGATCTTGTTCTCGGGCAAACTGCTCAGCCGCGCGACGTTCTCGTTCATTTAACCCCTGAGCGTTGGCAGATATTATGCGCTCATACTGTTCATTGACACGAGTCCGGCGGCCCTGGAGCCGCTCTCGCTTCTGGATGCCCAGATTGAGTTCCTGTTCCAGCGACGAGACTTGCTGAGCTGCAGCAAGACGAGCCTCCTGTAGCTCCTCCTTTGCCAGATTGAAACGCTCCAGTTCCCGGTCAAAGTCGGCCTTTTGTGCATTCCACTGCTCCACTTCTTCCTCTGGAATATTCTCCATACTGTCTAGTTGCACTTCAAGGGCGGTGGTGGCTTCCTCCGTTTGGCGAATGTTTCGCTCCAACTGAAGTGAGCGCTGCTTTTGTTTGTTCTCATCGGTACCGCTTTGCAGACGGTTGTTATAATTGTCTAGCTCCTTTCGGATTCTTGAGATTTGAAGCTTATGATCGTTCTTCGTCTTCTTCAACCGAGAGCGCTTCTCGTTCAGTTTGGCTTCGGCATTGTTGATGGAGTTCTTCAGCGTCGTCGAGGGCGAGGAAGGTCTATAGAGCGGCTGTGGGGGAGTCGGTATCGCTGAAACGGCTAATCAATTGGTCAGATTTTAGGTGACTTCGAGTATTCCATCACATGTTGGGAAAACTTACTTTGTTCTGTGTCGGCTGTCGTGGGTGTCTTGACACTCATGACGCAGATTTCCTCATCGGTATCGCTGCGCACAAAGGAGCAAGTGTAAGCACAATTGGGAGCAAGACCGCAGACCTCGCCCCGCCATTGCACCATGCTTCCCTTTGAAGAGTCCGACACCCGCACAATTGTCGCAGTAGCCCAAAGCGCCCCGTTCACGCAAACATAAAACGGTTCCACATCACCTTCTAAGCGTCCGGCTTCGCTAGAGCTTCCTGTCGTGGAATCCTCGCTAAGATCACCGGCAGCAAACTTGATCGAAGAACTATCCACGTCTGTAATCCATACCAATCCGTCATCCAGGGAAACACCTTGAAGATCCTCCTCGGTCATTGTGAGACCACACGTTGTTTTCGAAGATGCTCGTGAATGCTCGTATTCTCGCATGACGGTAACCTTTGTACTGGCCAGAGCGGCCCAAAACGGTTGGCGACTTCGGACTTGATTGGCTTGCCTCCTGCGTTTTTTGGCGGAAGTTAACCGATCCTTGCCATCCTTGACAAATTGACCATCCGGTCCCACGAGAGAAGATGAAAGACTAGCAGCCGACTCGAGAGCAGAATCGGGTTGACCCTGTGAGCCTGCTGAAGCCTCCGTATCTCCGCGTTTCCCACTCCGAGGTGGGGCAGGAGCCCGGTTCTTTGCCATTGAACGTCGTGCCATTGCGGTTCCAGCTTGTGCTAATATATGTACGGCGAGGAGACTCCTCAGCCAGCTCGGAGATGTTGATGCCTCCGTGCGTCGGAATTCGGCGGGCAGGAGACTGGAATATTGAGAAAGTAGATCTGGGCTGATGAATTTGGCGGAAACGAGATGTCCCACCACAAAATCCTGAATGCCCTTGCTGCGAACGATATGAAGAAGCAGAACAATTCCAACACAGAGCCCATTGACTCCGCCGTTCTTTCCAGATCCTCCGCCGCCTAGCGTGATGGCGACCTGAACGTGGGCGAGATCGATTGCGAAATTTTGTGCCCAAGTCCACATGAAGAGACCCCAGACGAGAAGGCAGAAGGTATCCATGGCCATCATCGTCCCTAAAGAAGGAGTACCGGCGGGGCCCTGGAAAATGTCGAAATTGGCAGACAGGGATCCGGCAGCGGCGCCACTGGGAGGCATGAAGGTCAAGGATGCGAAGAGGAATTGAACGAGCGTAAGGACCATCGGCGGAAGTTGCAGTAGAAAAATCAAAATGGCGATAGTGTCGTACATGGGACAGGACTTGAGGATAGTGGATGCGAGTTGGAGCGGATTGATTGAGGCGTTTGACCCAGATCGTTTTCCAGGGCCATTCCGAGAAGCCGTACCTGCCATGCCACCATTCTGCGGCACAACGCCGTTAGCTTGGCTCGAAGCCACATCCACACCCTTGCTATTCCCATTTGCCATCACACGGCCATTGCCATCCGGCTTCAACCCATCCACACCCTTGACGCCGGCTACAGGAGATGTGACGGCGGTGTCGCTTGTGGAACGATGGGCGGACAGGTCGAGAGGCGCGGAGGCAGCCGCGAAAGCGGCGCCGTTGGCGGACGAGCCGTTGAGGTGGCCGCTAGATTTCTGCTTGGTTACTTTCTTGCCGGGGCCGACGATGCCATTGTCTTGACGATTGCTCTGGTTCTTCCTACCCGCAGCAGATGAGCGCGGCATGGGCGAGCGGGCCCGAAACCCAGGTCCGAGTCAGCTTGGCGGGACAAGGCCAAGGACTGGGACCAGGCTGGAAGAGGGGGAATGGGTGAGATAGAAAGGAAAGGACACTTCTCCCAAGGTGTCCGGAGTAAATGAAGATCGTATGGAGAAAGTGAGAATGTGGGGGAAGGGAAAGAAGGAAAAAACGAAGGAAAGTGGTACGAAGAAGAGAAAGGAAAAGTGTATGAGGTTTGGAGGCAGAGAAAGAAACCGTGCGGTAACGTATGGTAAGGAAAAAAGGGTGTCGATCATGAAGCATCGGGAAGGCGGTGCCTGCCGCTTTTATCTTTGAATTTGGAAATTTCCAAGTTCATCTTCTTCTACTACGATCCAGTACAAGCAACTTTATCCTGAGATTATTCTTCACCTATTCCTGTTAGAATTACATCTAATCTTCATTCACTTTCTCATGACTTTCTTTTTTTCTCCATTATATTTTTGTTGATGTTCGACTCCGGCTTTTCCATATACGGACTATACGGACTACAGATTCCACCCCCTTTCCGTTGCTGCAGTTCCTACTAGTTATGCACTCGGGATACGTACGCATCAGCATATTCTGAATAGGGTATGTAAGAAGCATTTTGGGGGCCATCTCATATTATAATTATTGATGACGGGGGTCTCGATCTGAACTAGATCCATTTGGGAGGTGTTTCAGGTTCTGCCACTTGCCAGGTATTCTTTTTTTTACGACATTACGAGTACGAGGTTAAATCTGGCCGTATGTTATCTGCAGGGAAAATAACGTGAATAATGTGCACAGGCAGACACTCAAAAAGCGGTAGATATCGAACCCTAACGAATGTTTAGGATCGCCATTCACCCGTTCCCTTAGTCTTGTATGCTGCGGGGTCATCCTTACAGGTAAAAACCTGGGGACATGCATGGCGACACGAATCCTGGATACCAACCGATGATCATTGAGGGGGTTAAGTCTCTCGGACGAGCACACATGCAGAAGTCTACACAAACATGGCTAGACTGATGGGTGGCCTCATCACTACAGAGATTTTTTTCTCTTTTTCTCTTTTTTTCTTTCCCCTTCTCCAAAGTCTTCACATGTCTCGGCTCTGGTTTTTTTTTTGGAGGCTCCGCTCTCACGCAATGACCAACTTACGATCCAAGATTTGAAAAAAATTTTACTCCGTCCAAGGTGGAGTATAGGATTGGTGGCAGAAATACAGATCGGATTTCCGATTATCCTCAACAGATCATTGGCACGAGGACAGTGACAAGTATGTTCAAAAGCCAAAACCTCACCAGGTCAACTCAACCCCTCCCGAGGATGAATTTAAGTCTTGGCATCAAGGTTTCGCTCGTAGATCAGCCACTGATGCGGTATGGATCGGCGGCCCGGCTGGTCTTGGACAGGCTTGTCCATCTCTTCTTTTTGCATGCGGTAACATTTTTACGGAGACCCTGCGCGCTTGGTCAATCATCTCCAACGCCACGGCTACCTTATAATTCAGTTTTTTTCATGCAAAAAAAAAACAGGATAGAAGAGACTTGCTAGTATACATTGGTATTAGGGGGCTCCATGAAAATGTGGTTCCCATCGTGCCACTTACCCGATTTGACTTTTCGTTCCCCTTGGGAAGCCGATAAGTTAAAAAAACGGTTCGACACTTGCGCCGATCTTCAATCTTACTGGACCTGCTTCCGCTCCTTCTCCACCCGTGGTATCGCTTCTGATATTTTTGGAGTATAGTTGTCTACACAGTATACAGAGTAAGATTCGCAGCTCACATACTGTACTAATGCCTCGTCATTTTTCTGAAAGAAACACGTAGAACGCATTATTCGCTCAAGCCACAATTCAATTGGTGGATACCAATTGGACTATTTATTGGGCTACTAGGGTAAGCCCGGGGCTGGCGGTGTGTCTAAACATGATTGGGATTTCTCCTAGCGTCCCATAATCTCGATTCTCTACCACCTTGGAATAGTTTCGCATACTGATAATGGGAACAAAGATACATTTAGTTATTTTCAGTAAAATTCCAAGGAGAACTTGACTGACCTATAACCTTGGAATGTGCAACAGTTAGCGATTCTCAATGATCACAGAGCTCAACCCCAGAGAGTCTAAGGCTAATGTCCAGCTTGGACTCGATAGTGTTCAATGCATTCTACCTACTATTGATTATGTTGACAATAGTCGCTGCACTAAAACCCCATATGATATTTTCAAGAGCTAAGTATTTCAATTAAAAAATTTCAAGTATTCTCGAAGGCATGTCATGTCAAATGGGTTGTTATGTCTAGTAATATGTATGAAGAAGAGATCACGTCCTGCTCACTGAAGATTGAGATGCAACTACTCTCAAAACACTCAAGCTAGTATCTATACTCATTACTTAATCGTCATCCGGATTCACATCACCCTCATCGGTGTCAACATCCTCATCTTCCAAATATTCTTCCTCGTCTTCACCTCCATCATAATCGTAGCCGTCCTCATTGCCACCTTCTTCTTCCTCTCCTTCCCCCTCATCGTCAACATTTTCTCTATGTTCACTATCCACAGATTCTATCTCTATGGCATCTCTCGGCACATTCTCCCGTACGTTATCAGGCATATCTTCCTGTGTCGCCATGTGGGTACGTAGTACAGGTGCTCTAGAAAAGACATATACGATCAGTAAACAGAGAGCAAATAAATCAACACTTAGAGTGCACATACTTAGATGTCACGTTTGATCAATGTGATCCCGCTCGAGGGAGCCCAACAATGTTTGTCTGATATCCCAAGGCTGTTCCTGGACTTTCTGGCCCCGGCGAGACTTCGAAGTTTGAATCAGTACCTCTCAAACTAAAGACCGGGTATACTGGAGATGCAACACTGAACTTACCTAGAAGTACTAAGCAGCTGGCGGTGCTAGGCCTTGCAATGATTGTCTAAAAAGACCCAGCAACAGGAAGCTTCCACATCTTAAATATTGTGGCGGGAACCCCGCAGGGCCTCAGATGTCAGATATCATTTCCACGCGTCATGAGAGATTAATAGAGGTTTTATAACCCCGAAAAAGCATATTAGAGTCCATCAACATTTGAACTTGTATCATTCAAGGCTAGTAGCTCACTGTATAAGGTGCCGTGCATTAGTGATCACACCTACCGGAGTATTCGGGACTCAGGCCGGTTTGGCATCTTTGGGCAGGCATGCATGAACTTCCAACCTTGGAAGTTATGCGCTATACCAGCACTTCCATCATCAACTGTGCGCATAAAAGTCCTACGCACATACAATAGCTTGAAGGTGAAAGATAATCTGATTCAAACACTATCAGGAAACACCGCTCATTTTTCTTGCCAATTTCCAAGGCTAGTGCGCCAGTCATACACGCAGCCGGCAGTTGTCTACATAGTATTTAAGCTAACTTGAGATTCCTCTCCAGTGCCGATCGATATTAGTGGCTATTACGACGTCTGATAGATCTCAAAGAGCCCTGCCCTTATATGATGATACTACTATATACAGGATTTCGAAATATAGTGCAGTTTTGGATTTAAAAGACAAACCCATGGAGACTCGTCTCCCGCTCCAAGTTCCAAGCCCTTTCAATCAGCTGATTGACGCGTTCGACGTCTGCAAACCCACCATAAGTTGCAAGGGCCCTCGTCTTTCTCTCAATTTCATCCCTAAAACAAACAGTTAGCCCAAATGTACCAATGAAGAACAAAACACGACCAGAAACAATATCATACTTTGTTAATGGCAGCTCCGGATCTCCCTTCGCAAACTCAGCCGACTCGGTAAACTTCGCCCCAGACTTGCATGTCACAATCACAGTCCCCTGCCACTGTTTCGGAAACCTACTCTCAATCACCTCATCCAACTCCATAGTAACCCGCTTCTGAAACTCCCGCAGTTCACCATCCACCAAATCCGCCTCCGTAAAATCAGTAATCATAGCCTGTCCCTTCTTGGCCGCAACAGCCAAAACAAAGCCCATCGAGAACTTGCTCTGATGCACCGTCTGTCCACTCCCGCTGAGACCGAGTACATTCAGCGCAGCTTGATAGGTGCGCGCAACCACCGACTCGATATCTTCAAAGACAACATTATTCTTCTCCATCAAACTGAGCAGTGCGTCCACACTGGGATGCGTATGCCTGCACGACGCATGCCACTTGAAACTAGAACTGAGAATCGCCCAGTCGGAGCCCAGATCCTGGTCAATTGCCTCGGGGTAGGTGTCGCCGGGCACCAAGGCAATGCCCATTGCCCGCGGGCCTTCGAGAATATCTCGTGGTCCGAGGAGACCGTCGCGGGCGGAGTATGCGGCGAATATCCCGTCGAAACAAGCTTTGCCTGTGTGCACTTGCTTTGAGTGTGTTGCGTCGAGCAGGAATTGCCATAGGCCCGCTGCTTGGGTGCCGGCTGTTCCAACTGCTGAAAGCGTCTTTGTCGCGTCCAGCTTTAATAGGTGGGCGACGGCGGCTGCGACTCCAATGACGCCGCCTGTGGCTGTGCTATGAAAGCGCTGCATGAAGTGGATTAATTAGTATTTCATATCATAATGCAAGGAGATCTATAAGAGGAAGAAAGATGGGCTTCCTATCGATAGCAAAGAACGTACCTCGTAGTGGCTCTTGCCCAGATACTCTCCAACGCGGCAACCGACTTCGTAGCCCACAACGCAAGCAGCGATGAATTCCTCCCCTGTGGCACCTACTTCCTGTGCCACGGCTAGAGCAGCCGGGTAGATGACAGTAGCCTGTTGACCAGTTAGAAAGAGTCAAGTACATGGATCTCACGTGCGAAGCTTGGAACTTACAGGGTGCATGATACTCCGATTGTGAAGATCATCCTGCTCAACCACATGCGACGAAGCACCATTAATCAGACTGGCAAATGCTGGACTGGTCGTGAATTTCAACGAGCCATCGACCAGTTCGCTTTTGCCATTTGAAGGGCCCATCTGGGCTGCGAATTGGGCTATGGCGGAAACAGCGGGGTGATGACGGCCGGCAATTGTACAGCCGAGCCAATCTAGAAAGAAGTCTTTGGTTTTTTGGACCACATTTTCGGGGATATCTTTGTACTGTAGACTGGATGCCCAGTTTACTAGGCGGTCGGTTCGTGTTTCGTCCGATGATAAGTTTGAATTAGTGGTTTGAGACATGTTGACGTTGGCTGGTCTTTAAATGTGATGTTGAGGAATTTAGCTTTCAATGGCATTTATCGAAACAAGTCAATGTGATAAATGAAAGAGAGGCATCGCAAGGGATGCTGGTTTGCACCCCCTCGAGTCTTCCGAGGTAAATGCTGTTCCAAGTAGGCGACTTAGGTTAGTGGGGCAGTGGTGGATCTGTAGGGTCGATTCGATTGGGTTTTGGCGGGAGTAATCGCGGGGTGCAGCCGATGAATGCTGTTCTTCTACGTCCGCAAGTTTGGTACTGTGGCTTGAATTTGTGATTGAGTACTAGTATGAAGCAACCCCGTATGCATTTCAAGGGGACTTTTACTGCTGTATGTATTACAGAAGTTTACTTCATTAAACCAAAGTTTCTTTGCTAGTACAGCGTGCTTCGTCGCATTGTGCTCATGGAGCATACGGCATCTGGCCAAGACTCTGGTGTATCTTTAGCTTGCAGAGCCGTTGTCCTCAACAGCATCAGTTCGGTCCCAGCTCTCAACTTCGAGTGTCCGTACTCGGCTCTCAATATCCAAGATCCGCTGCTGCCATTCCGATTTTGCCTTCTCTTGCAGCTCCCACATCAATCTGAACTGCTGGAGAATAAATGGTGGAAGCTGAGAAGTTTTCTGGTTTCTTTTGTAGTTGTAAGTGGTGTTCTCCTCATAGCACCGAGCTGCGGGCCGCTGACGAGCTTCGGATAAAATCAAGACCTCGAGCTGAAAGGCGGAATTCGACGCATTTTGAGAATCGGGATCACGGACGAGCTTTTGGTAGACAGTAATCTTATCGGGCGACTTCATGGGCTGGAGTGGTTTCGAGGGTCATTCGAATGGCTTATGAAGACATGTGGGTGCAGAATAGACTTACGAACTTATATTCAATTCTGAGACTTTTCAGAATGAGCCCAATTCCTCTTGAGTTTACCATGTTGAGCCATTCCTTCTTGTGTTCGGGGTCGATGTGAGTTCCCATGTTGCGTGTCCAAATTACTCGGGCCGACTCGGCGTATCGGGCATACGTGACGTTGTTGACATGTCCTATTTAAAAGTTTCTTTTAGTTTCATTTGACGGGGAGCCAATAATTTGATTCTGATCAAAATTCGAGGTTCGTACCCTAGGAAGTAGTAGTGTGTTAGTAAGTATGTTTTAGATCCAACGTCAGCCAAACCACATTCATGGAAGGCGATGGGGAGAGCCTAAACTCACCATAACGTCCTAATAAAACAAAAATGCCAATCAGCTGAGATTCCCATTTCATTTAGTAGCCAGTACAACAAGAACTCATATCGTACCTGTTCACCCCACACCACACTATGCCGAAACAAGCTTCGGCGCTTCTCATCTGTCAAGAACCCCTCGCTTCCTGCAAGCAATTCCCGCCAGTCTCTTGCCAATTGCTGAAGTATCTTGCCACCTTCATCAATCTGGGCCGGTCTGAGACCAAACATCATACACCTCCCAATCCGCCTCTTCATCATTGTAAGCCATCGGGGGTTGATGGCGTGCGGGCGTGCGGGCGGGTTCTCGGAAGCCGGGGCCGGGGCATTGTGAACTGCTGTGGTCTTTGAGAGAAATCGACATGCTGAGTGAAGATATGAGGTTCTAGTCAGTTGCCCCAAGGGGGCGGATCGGGGTATCATTTTTTGTGAGTGGGATCTGAGTAGGAGTGATTGGTGAGTTGGAGTTGGATGATCGCATAGCCGCGGCCAAGGCGCATGCCAAAGCTTGGGCCCATGGCTCGGCCAGAACCCCCTTCAAACAATCGACATTTGAATGACGGCGGGTATGCGATAAATGGCGTATGGAGACATTTAGTTTAGGAACAAATAAATTAATTCAGAGACCATATTTGTTACTTTTTCAATATATCTTCAGATTATCGTTTTCAACGATACTGATACTGGGTATCTTCACATAGATAATACCTGCTGGGTACCAGGCACTAGTACGTCTATATTATAAATAAGATGAAAGTATTTCATCCATATTTTGCAAGGTTGTAGATTACAGTCATGTTACAGATATTGAAATCTTGAGAAATCCAAGAAATATTTATCAAAAAGAAGAAAACAAGGCATATAAAACCTTGAGAGATACTAGTAATTTGTTCCTGAACGATGTTTTGGATCCCGTGCCGCGTCTTACCGGTAAACAGCTCTCCGCATTGTCCGACGTCACCGATAACCGAATTCCTTCCCTTTACAACCCCCCAAAACCAATATTCCAACCTTGGCCATAGCCCCACGTCAATTGACAAGGCGGGCTATTATTGGAAAGGCTGACAATGGTCGCCCCGGAATTACGCCGGCAAGTGATCAACGTGTACAAAGGTATGATCATGTGCAATTGCCAAGGCAATACCTTATCGCAAGAGCTCACCAAGATCGGTCAAGAACTCCTTTGGCTAGGACGCGAATATCCACTGGGATACAAATATTTTCGAGATCGGCTCCACCGTGCATTTGCGGGTCAGGCTCATCTGGAAGATGAAGAACAGATTCGAAAGGGGATTGCTAGGGCGGAATTTGTAAAGAAAGGTCAGTACTAGTCCACTTGGCTGCTGTTTCAGATTCAGAGTCCAGTCCAATCATCATACAGTGGCTGATGCGCGTTCTTCCGAGTCTACAGAAGTCGAAGCACTGTAAGGATTCACCCCGAGAACTACCGAGTTTCACTCTACTTTCCCCATCTTTTGGATCGGTAATGATTCGAATATATCATTCTGTCATTTCTAAATTCTGCGTGCCTATATACGCAACATTGGCTAGACACGGAGGTCTTGATCCACACGTTCTTTTTTTTTTGGTCATACATCATATCATAATGCGAGCACAGCTTGCTCTCCCCCTCGACACATAGCTTATCAACAGATGCTGACAAGACGAAAATTCTCCAGGTACTATTTGAAGCGGTACCGAACACTGAAACAGCGGTACGAGGCCGCGTGATGCCTATATGCCAGGATAGAACATTCTCAAATGGTCATATAGTATGCATAGAAAGTGGAAAGACCAAAAAAAGAAAACCAAGATTTTGAAGACAGGGCAAGAAGAAAAAGAAGAGAAAAGAAAAGAAAAGAAAAGAAAAGAGAAGAAACAAAATTCACGAATTGAGGGGGTATCAACAATACGAAGCACACTCAATGATTTACTTGTGCGCCCACCGAAACACCGGAATCTGACTTGAGATGGGGTTCATTTCTTTCGACCCCACCAGGCACTCACTTCGAGACACTCGCCACTAGCGAGGCCGCCTTTCTGAAAGAGGTCTGTGGTCATCGCGGCCCACCACCGGTCCCACTCATCGCGGCTTTTCCCACTGGCTTCAATGAGCATGGGTTCCAATCCTTCGATCATTTGGACCACTGTGAGAAGAGCGGTTCGACGGATGGAGATCTGGTCTGGAGTCAATGCCTTGCGTGGACGGCCCTTGGAATCCTTTCCTTGGCCCTCCCGCTCCCACCGGATATCGCCGAGTGGGATTGCGATGCGGCGACTGTCCACATTCTCTAATAGGTCGACTTCGGAATTGAAAGACAGGCCAATGGTGGCGCAAGGCAGAGCTGTAAGTTTGCGCCTGTCAAAGGATTTCTCGACCCAGGAGTTATAGTCGACCAGATATTTGTTCTGGGCCCTTGTGAAGGGCGTGGCGGATGAATATGTATAGGTAGCAGTTGAATCGGCAAGCTCCTGGTCTTTCGACGAGGTTTGCCGGGCTGGTGCCGGGTTGGGCAGCAGCGAGCGAAATACCCAATCCGAGTCCCACACTTCCAAGATGCCCCCCGATTTCAATACCCGCAGTGGTTCACTTAGACCTGAGGCTTGTTGCGCCGGGCTAGACGGGCACATGCCTGCGTCCTTAATAAAGACAAAATCAAAGTAGTCGTCCGGGAAAGGAAGGCGAGGTTTTCGGAGGTCATGTCGTTTAAATTGCCAGTTCATTCCTTGCTTGCGCAGATCCGGGGCCAAGGAAACGAAGTCGATTCCGACGAAGCCCACGCCGGGCTGGCTGCGACGGACAAAGAATTCATGACATAGTCCGGACCACAGGCCCGACCCGCAGGCGATCTCCAGGATGCGCTTCGGCGGGCGATTGGCCGTGTAGGGATTACAAAACGGGCCGCCGAACACGCGCAGCAGCATCATTGTGCGCAGGGATTGGCGGTGGATCTCGGGTTGATCGCATGGTAGAGGGTATAGGTTTTCCGGGTCGCGGAGGTAAGTGCGGTCGCCCTGTCGTGCCAGAGGGTAGTTGGAGTAGTCTGTCAAAGAGCTCAAGGATGAGGATGAGGTTGCCGCAAAGGTGGAGCTCAGGTTCGAGTGAACATCTGAGCCCGAAGGCGTGGCGGCCGCGAATGAGGCTATTCCCGTCGTCATAATGTCCATGTGCATGTCCAATTCACACTTCTCATCGATTATCCCCGTTGACTCTTAATGTGGTTCCGCAGTCGGTCGCATTCTCGACGTGCAATTGGGAGGTTCATGAGCTGTGAGACATTCTTGTCTGTGTTTTTTTTTTGTGCAGTTGACTCTTTCGTCACGGACAAGATGTATATACGGAATGGAAGCAATGGGAAAGAGGCCAGGAAGAGAAGATGAAAAATAGATCCAACAGGATCAAAACGATAAGAAGATCAAAAGATGAAGAGTTTCCAAGTTCCCCGGTAGTAAATAGGGCAAGGATGATGTAGCAATTTCGGAGGGTTCAAAGCGGTTCGGGAAATATGGTGTAATGGTGTAATGGAATCGTTCAAAGAAGAAAAAAATAAGAAATAAAAAATAAAAAAATACCAATCAATATCCACACCTTGAAGAGAAGTCTTTGGAATCTTCCCAATCAAACCCGAAATCTCTATAGAGACTCAAGGAAGGAAAAATCAAGAAACAGAGGAGGGGGAAGGAAATGAGCATACGGCCTGGTCCCGACCCCTGGATCGAAAGTGGCATTGAACTAAGTCCCCACTTGAGTCCAGAAGAGGAGCTAGTTCGTCTTTTCACGTAATGGTGAATAACTGTACTTGAATATTTTTTAAAAATATAAAACATAAAATGGTGCACTAAGGGGACGTTTGGGGGTGGTTTTTGGGGTTTAAAAAAACCCAGGAGAGTAATTCCCCCGCCAATGACAAGTATTGCTCAAGTTTCGACTAATCTCAAAGGAGCAAAGCAAGGTATGAAAAATTTTCTTGTCAGGATTAGGCACGCGAGGCGTTGAATCCTGCAAGCTAAAATGAAGTACGGAGTAGCGAGGCTTGTCTAACCCGCAGCGGCAGGTGTTACTTAGTAAAGAAGGATCATTGACATCATGACTCGAGTTCTTTCCAAAATGTTTTTTTTTCTGTTTCTTGGTCCACTATGAGCTATGGCCCAAACTTTTCAAATATTTCCTCGCCGAAAATGGTAAAAGCTTGTGAGGATATACTTCTATCATTAGCCGAGCTACTCCATAACATTTGAAACAAAGACTAAAGCCTAAGTTTATAGGGATTTTTTTAAGACATAGATCCGGTTATGTCCGTCAACTGAGAAATACTTGGTAAAATGTGTACAAAAAATACATCTGGAAAATGTGAATATATCCCAATAATTTTAATTCATTACCCCTCTTGGAGGGGCATATTGTTCATATTGCTCAGTATTATTCATTATTTTTTTTTAATATTTAATAATCCACTGGGTTTCTTCTCCAGCAAGGATCTTGGACCGGTGCGTGCGTTGACACGTGCAGGGGCAACTTTGTTCAGCAGTTCGTCTCAGAAACTCCGTGGCGGTTTTTGTTTTTTGTTTTTGTTTTGTTTTTCCAATTGACTCTTTTTTTCTCCTTCTTCTTCGCCACTATGCCCTACAAATCAAGTTTAGGCGAAAATGATAGTCATAATATCCACTCGGTCTACTCGGTCTACTCCGGAAGTGCGCCGGAATAGCGTATCAAACGGTCAAAAGTACGGAGCAGAATGCCTTCCTAGGTACTCAGTGTTTAAAGCCGATATTTGATATTTGGGTGTACTTGAATGTACATATTTTTGGTGGTTTTTTTCCCGAAAAACATCGAATCCTTAACTGTGGTTTTTTTCGATACCGTTTCCAACTTACGTGAATACACGGGCAGCGGAGATCCCTACCATGTCCACCAATACCTAAACAAGCCATATACAAAGCTAAGCAGTTACTTGATATCCGTGCCCATATCTAAGTGTAGCCTACGGTCGGTAGTGCTTCCCAACCCCATGGCTTCTCTCCCGACTCTAATCCGTATCCTTGCAATCCCGCCATGACCCGCCTCATCTGGGATTTCTTTTGTTTAGATCCGTTTAAACTTTATAAAGAAGCATCCGTGATCCCCGGAATTGAAAGTCGACGCCGTACCGTACATAGTATCTGCAGCCTGTCAGACATTGCGGAGTACCTAAGTCGACTCGATCCGATCCACATATGTGCAGGGTGAGGAACTGAGCACTTGAGGCTTGGAAATTCGTACTCGGGACTTTCGTACTTTTTTACCTTCCAAGGGTTTTTTTTTAATCCGACGCCATGTCCTGGTGGACTGATCGAATATTTGTTCTTTGCCCCCCTGAGCCCCCCGGGGGCTTAGACCCTTCAGATGCTAGTGTCACAATACAGATACGAGGCATTCCAATAGACCTGTATAGCCGTCTGGGCAGATGATGAGCCCGGACATGGCGGCGTTGGTCCAAACGCCCCTCGGAGCAACCGTGTGGGTGTTATGTACAAGGGGTTCTCCGAGGTCCAGGTGGGGTTCTTTTGGCCACGCATGACCCAGCGGTTTCCGCCTCCTGAGATTCTGTTCATGCGCCCACTGGCATCTGCGAATCCGATCCTAAATTTGGGTTGGGTCATCAATAGTGCAAGTGAATAACCTTTTTCTGTTGGCCAGTCGTCTTGCAGGATCTAAAAATGGCCTAGTACGGTTGTCGACGGTCCACTACAAGTGCTGATAGCCTTTAGGTTGTGTGATTCTAAGGTCATACTTGGAGACGTAGCTTTGGGAGACACGGTACATAGCTTGTTAACTACCTACTAGTAATACCAGAAGGTTTGATCACGACCTCGTCGCCTTGAATTTGAAATTGAGGGGCAGATAAGAGCCTCTGCCCAATAATTGACAGAGCCAATCGATCAATTGATGGTCTTCATAGGTGGTAAAACAACTATCTAACCAGCACTTGAAACATTTGAAGAAGGCGATCAATATCATTTTATACTACTATAAATACTGCAAACCCAAGGGATAGAGTATTCAAACTGTGTAAATTGTACATAGGCTACCTTTATTGTGTCACACAGCACTGAGCTTCCAAGCAGAATGTTCAGAGACACGCCGTAGTTTCAAGGACATCTTTCGGGATAAAACCCTTCTCACGCTTGCGATGATTTCTTTCTGGACGCATTCCAACTTCTTATCCTTCACAGTATGGTCAAGGGTTTCCGTTTCTTCACCACGGCTTCACTTTGAGAAATGACACGTCGATTGCTATATTCCGCCTGATCCACAAGGCAGAAATCAGTTCTATCCCTGGATTCAACGGAGTGGCAAAAGGCTCACTCAAAATTTGACTAAACATGAGATTTTGGTTAACCAAGTGGGAAAACAACATGAAATCTCACTCTTTTGAGTTGTGAAAATCTTAAAGTACTTGAAGCGAGTTCGTCGATGCAAGAAATTGATACTGTGTAGTAGTATGCGACTAATTGTTGGGCGGAGCCAAGATGGGAAGGCGGTCTTGGCAATGGATCCGGACAGGTGATGTCACGTGATCCAAACCTCCCGCCTTCGATGCAAACCGCCCAAGACTGTCATCTCGACCCAAGACCGCTCTGCCTACAACGCCGCAAACTGAGAGACAATCGTATGAACAAGCCTAGTGCCCTGCCCCTGACCAATCTGAGCTTCTCACTGACTTCTTGCCCTTTCCTCGCCCTCCTCAGATTGCTATCTTAAGCGATCTGTGACTCCGCCCGTCCTCCGCCCTTAGGTATCTCAACCTCAACTCGGACCACGAACCCACAATCCATCCGTTCGTGCCAGGCCAGCGGCTGTTGGCGTCCACTGCTTTCTTCCAATCGGGGCTCACTTCACTGCGGGACTCTATGTGGAAGAAGAGAAGAGACCGTGCTCGATTCTTCACTCCTCTTGTCACCTCCTCTAACCCGACTTTCGCGTCCCCCACCTGCCCCCCGGTCAATCACCTGGGAAATCAGCCACGGTTTCGTCTGCCACGTTAAATGGCAGATGGTACCTACAGGTTCCAGCAGCCTGGGGCCGGGCCGTTTCCCTTCCAAACACAACCACAGCATCACTCCCACCAACGACACGCAATTCCAAACGGGACCAATTCTCCGGTTCGACTGAAGCTCAACCACGACACCCCTTCCCCTTCTCGATCACCCCCCGTTACTCAATCAGCCGCACTTCCCTTCAACATGTACCAAGGCCAACACATGGTGATGAATGGGGCCCAGGCCCATCACCAGCACCAGCACCAACAACAGCGCTATGCTGGCATTGGTGGGATGCCCATCACTAAATTCCAATCGCACCATACACAACAACAAATTCACGCAACCCACTCACAAGCAACCCACACTTTCACTCAACAGAACTACTCCGCTGGAGTTTTACCCGCATCAAACACTCAATTCAACCAGAATCATCTCCAGAATGGCGGTCCGGCTGTCGGCGACGACGAGATGGAGGGCTCCATGAGCGAGCATTGGCAGCAGCAGCTCCAGCTTTATGCGGAGTCGCGACAATCCAATTCCCCTCATTACTATGCCAGGATAATGGCACAGCAATCCAAGGGAATTTCGCTTATCGCTAGCCAGACAGACGCGAGCGAAACCACGGTTGATGCACGAACTGGAGCCACAATTACCAAGCCAGCTTCACGACAGGGGTGGAACGCGCTCGACTTTGGTGGCCAGGGCTTGCGTGCCATGTCTGCCTCGTTGTTTGGTTACAAGTTCCTTGAGAAACTGTACCTCAACCACAATAAGCTCAAAGCGCTTCCTTCTGAAATTGGCCAACTTCGCAAGCTAACCCATCTTGATATCTCCGGCAATGAGTTAACAGAGCTTCCTGAAGAGATTGGCATGTTGACCAATCTTAAGAAGCTTTATGTCTTTGATAATAACATTCGCAACCTCCCTTACGAGATGGGATATCTCTACCGTCTGGACACGCTAGGCATTGAAGGCAACCCTTTAAATGAGGTTCTCAAGTCTCGGATGATGAAGGATGGGACAAAAGCTCTGATTAAGTATCTTAGAGAAGAGATGCCCGGTATGTCGTCGCGATTTTTTCTCGAATTTTCTTGGTTCTAACGTTTTTTGTCTCTGTTTAGTACACATACCTCCCCCCGATCGTGACTGGGTGATTCTTGATGAAACCGCAAGCTCTAACAACAGCCCCGCGGAGAAAATCACCGTCCTCTCTTACAACACCCTGTGTGACTCCTCCGCCACCGCCTCTCACTACGGCTATGTCCCCTCGCGCATTCTCTCTTGGGAGTTCCGTCGTGACCTCATCCTTAACGAATTACGATCCCACAGCTCAGACATTGTCTGTCTTCAGGAGGTTGACCAAGGAAGTTACAATAACTTCTTCCGGGAACAGCTTGCCTACAGTGACTACAAGGGTGTCTTTTGGCCTCGCGGGCGTGCCATGGGTATGCAAGAGGAAGACGCCAAGGCAATCGACGGTTGCGCCATTTTCTTTAAGGGAAGCAAGTACATTCTCTTGGATAAGCATCTGATCAACTTCGGTCAAACTGCCGTTCGGCGGCCCGATGCCAAGGGTCAGGATGATATCTACAATCGACTCTGGCAGAAAGACCACATTGCAGTTGTCATTTTCATCGAAAACCGTCAAACTGGAGCCCGCTTTATGGTTGTGAATTCCCATCTCTACTGGGATCCGGCATTCAGTGACGTGAAGCTCATCCAGACTGCGATTTTGATGGAGGAACTCACCAATCTCTCGGACAAGTACGCCAAATGGCCCGCTTGCACAGACAAGACCGCATTCCGCTTCTCTGAGGCGGAAAGCGGATTTGAGAACGCACCAATTGTGGAGCCTGCACCATCAAAGGTATACTCCTGTGGTGATCAGATCCCACTTCTGATGTGTGGTGATTTCAACTCGGCGCCTGGCTCTGCAGCATACACTGTGATTGCGAGCGGACGACTTGATGAAGACCACCCAGAGCTGAAGAACCGTCTTTATGGAAATCTGAGCACAGTCGGCATGAAACATCCATTCCAACTCAAGTCCGCTTACGACTCAATCGGTGAACTGAGTTTCACAAATTACACCCCGGACTTCAAGGACATCTTGGATTACGTGTGGTTTTCATCGAACACGCTTCGTGTGTCCGCCTTGCTTGGAGAAGTGGATAAGGAATACCTTCGCCGGGTGCCAGGTTTCCCCAACTTCCATTTCCCCAGTGACCATATCGCATTGTTCGCGGAGTTTACTCTTAAAGGTAAAAAGGGTAAAGTTGTGGAGGCAGACTTTGGGCCGCAACGACACTGATGGGATGAATCGGAGCATATGAATCTTTGGAGATGGGTGTTTCTGTAGTCGGGTTTTCTGCTGTTTTTTTTCTCTTCACTTTTCTTTTTTTGATTATCTCGGAATCTTTCGTGGCAGTGGGTGATTTTATCCTACCGTCTTGTTTGGAACGTCGTCTTTTTTCATTTATCTTTCTTCAGTGTGTCTCTTTTTCTTCACCGTGATTATGAATGTCTTCTTATCTCTTTCTTCTCTTTTCTATCTCCTTGCTGTCTTGTTTTCTTGCTCTCCTCATCCTCCATCCATCCACCCACCCTCCTCAACTTGCTACCGAAACATCTCCATCCGAAGTAGTCTACGGTGCCAGTCTTGCTTTCCCGCATCCTCCGTCTCTCTGTGTTTGTCCCACTGCTCTTCTCGTTAGGTTTTCCTGATATCTCTCGGTTTCACATCTCGCCTAATATGTAACGTCATATGACGGATTCATGACTTAGGTAGAGGGGTTGGTGTTCAGGTGGAACAGGTGGCCGAAGGGCTTGAGGTTGCTTTTTGTTTTTGCCTGGCGATGGGCGTTCTTGATCCATGTACTTTTTGTTCTGCCGTGCCTACGATTAATCGTGAATAGAGCGTGGCTATCTTAATTCTGTTATTCCATTGTAGTTGTAGCCCTTCCAAGGTTGATCCTGACATTGCCCAGGTGGGAGTACCTACTAGGTAGTACTAGGTAGTACGATACCAACAGTTTCCTAACTATATGCATAAGGATGAAACTCAAGTGGTTTCTTCGATAGGTAAGAACGAGTACGCTCTGGGACCAATTTGTGGTATCGCAGAAAATTGATTGACCGTCGACTTTTACGTAGCCTTCTAGACCTCCGCAGTTCAATGTTTCAATAAGAGACGAAAAGATTCAAAGAACTTTGGTATGATTAAGAAGACATCGAAGTCTTCTTTGGCGAATCCTCTGAAACACTTTCTTCATATAGGTCATTCCAGAACATCATATCCTGCAACTTTTCCTCACTCAAGTTGGCATTCACAAAATGCTCTCGTTGTGGGGTTCTGATCCGACGATGGACTTCGCCAGCGGTTTTCCAACCGAAAAATCCAGCCATTTCCCAATCAATAAGGCCCACGATTGCGTCGTTGCTAACAATGCAGTTGGATTGCGTCAAATCGTTGTGCATGAAACTCATATCTGTATCATGATTTGTAGCTGAGAAAACGATCTCTCCTTCTAACGGATTGATTCGATCATTACTGAGTATGTTGGGGTCCGGTACGACGTGAGAGCGAGCACTAGCTTTGAGGTTTCCAGTTGGCTTGATAGTGTGAAGTTGACGGAGGATCCTCCTAGCCTGTTCCTTGAAACAATTCCTTTGTTTTCTTGATAGATAAGGCCATGCGACACATAATCCAACGCCTGGAAGCCGTTCTTGGATAAGTACTTGACGACTGTTGATCTTTTGAATGATATATATGTAAGTTGGTAGGTTTAATAAAGAAAAAGGGAGAGGATAATAAAGGAAAAAGAAGGGTAATTACGTTGCCAAAAAAGAAAATTTCTGGAACTTGGACTTCACCTAAGACAGTCTTTGCTAGAGCAATAGCCCGGGTCTCATTTGCATCAGCATATGAGAAGTCAATCTCCGGGGATTGGACATCCTGATGCGCATGGAGATGGCTTGATTTCACAATTATGCTACCAAGAGCGAAAACATCCCGGCCACCTGCATCTGCAGGATAAATTCGGTTCTCTTCAGTGCAAAGATTAATGACCGAGGTCCAATATTTCAAAGACTCCGGAGTCGAAGAATTGACATGCTGATGATCGATGTGGAAGTCATCAGGTTTCGGGCAATATCGACCATAGAAGGGTACGTCCGCATATAAGTCAGTCGCAGGGATTTTCTCTGGGTCCGCCTCGTAAGGGTTAGTCATTTCAATGTTTAGAAAGGTGGTTGTGGTAGAGAGCATGAGAGAGTACTTGAGACACCAAGAGGGGTAAGCTATTCGCGCACGTGAGCCGACGAGGGGACGTCTAGGGCTACAGCTACTATCATGTAAACAACTGTGCCTATTGATGTGCATATATACCTTTAGAGAGGGGTCAGGTGACCCCCTCTGGGTATATCTAGATCCAGTGCTTGCTTCCTTCCTTCCTTTTCCCTCTTCTCTCCATCCCCCCGAGAGAGATTGTCCATAGCCAATCCAGTGCTTTTCTCTCTCCGTTCTTTCCTTTCCCTGAGCAGCGGTTGTATTCCTTCCGCGCTAACAATACCTACTAGTAACTATTCGCAAGTACCTGGGAATAATGGAGTGTGGCCCTACTGGCAGGTAAGACTAGTCAGTCAAACAGGTTGGAAACCTTGGAATCAGAATGTGTTTTCATCCTTCTAGGAGGAATTGGCAAGATATCAAGGCAGAGCTATTAAATCCGCAAGGTCTTTGAACTATATCAAAACAAGCCCTCAAATGAGCCACTACGTATATCGCGCAAAAAGCTCCATCGAATTTTCAAGATCAGCCCGAATAACAGCGACACGTTGTTCAGAACGAGGGACAAATCGCACGGGGAATTTATTAGGCGCAATAAGAACCCCGTCCGTAAACGCCGTACGAATGCTGACATCGAGTGGTTCCGAGCCAACGGGCAAAATATCAAACAGCCAAGCCATCTTCGCCATATTAAGCAACTGAAAAAAAAAACACCTTTAGTACAATTGTACTCGTATCCTTGGGAATCCAGCATACATACCAGTGAGTTTTCAGCCATGCGCTGACCAGGACAAACACGACGACCCGCGCCAAAGTTATAGGTTGCTCTTCGATTCTCATCTACATCGTCCTGGCCCTTGCAGCCGTATTTGTTGTCTAAGAACCGTTCCGGCTTGAACTTCTGTGGTTCGTCATACTCGCTTTCGTCCATGTGGATGGCCCATACGTTGAGGAAGACGATTGTGCCCTTGGGCAACATGTACCCTTCGTAGCTGTCGTCCTCGGTTAGCCTGTGGGGAACACCACCGGGTGCAACTGGACGCCATCGAAGACCCTGTTGAAGACGAGTTAGTTTCAGTTTACATAAGAAGACTGTTTGTTTCCCCGCAGGCGCAGAGAATGATATTGGGGGGGGGGTTACCCACCTCGTTCATGCATGCCCGTACGTAAGGCAATTTGGCCAAATCACTGAAGTTTGGCGATCGGTCAGTGCCACAGACCTCGTCCAACTCTGCTTGCATTTTCTTTAAGGCTTCTGGGTGCTGTGTCATGGCAAGGATGAAAGTGAGCAGCGCCGATGAAGTGGTATCTGATCCAGCTTCCATCTATCTCGAATGTCAGCAACACAGACAAAGCACAAAGTTTATCTATACAGGTTACAGAAATTGCTCGCAGCGTCAGGAAATCTTACCAAAGTACCGCCCAAATAAGCAATCTGGGCATCGCTAAGACCGTTCTTCGCTTGGCCTTCGATAAGTCTCTCGATAAAACAAGGCTCCAAAACACCCTTGCTGCGCCGCTCTTTCGATTCCTTCACAAGACCGAAGTAAAGTGTACTCTGGACCTTCCGAATATCCTTGGCCTCCGTCTTCCAGGGGCTCATAAATTCAGGCAATGATCTCAAAAACGGAAACGCGTCGATGGGAGGCGTAGCACCAGGCTCCAGGATCCGACTGAAGCGATACTGTGAGTTGTATAGAGCCTGGATCTTGGGAGACTCGAAGCTCTCGCCTCTTTGGCCGTATACGGATGCTAGAACCACAGATGTAGAATAGCGCCGGATGGAGTCGTAGTAGCCCTCGGGGTTGTCGAGCAAGTCGCACATGCTTTGGGTGGCCTCTGCTAGTTGGATTGGATGCAGTGCATCAATGGCGGTTAGACTCAGGATGCCTTGCAAGGCCTTTCTCATTGCTCGCCAGGTGGACCCGTATTGGGCTAGCAGGATGTGGATGTTGTCGGGGCAGATGAGTTGTTGGGCTGCGTATAGTTCTGGGCGACCGGAGTATTTTCCTCCGCGCTTGTCGTAGAGTCTGGTTGGTTTGTATGAGCGTCCATTGGTTGCGATGGATTGCTTGAGGAGGTTGATTTGTTTGCCTATCTGGATATCGGAGAAGTGACTTACGCTGAGACATGACGGTAGCTGTTCAGGACCACCGCGTTTTGAGGACCTATCTTGAACCCAACGATGGTACCATATTCCTTAGTCCATTCGGCTTGTCTAGCTTGTGTTAATGAACGAAATCACCGACAAAGTCTACTAGTAGTTAGTATGGGCAGGATTTATATGCATACAGTAGATATAGCTTCTCCACAGCTATTTGATGAAGGTTGCCTATAATGGGGAGCCCCTTAGGTCCAGGTGGGAAATTCTTTGGACGGCCACTCTTAACTGCATACTGTAGCAAGAGAATCACAAAGGACACAGCGATTGCTCCAAAAATATGGCCGCTATGTCCAAGGATGAACCATGGCACATCCGACAAAGCCATAGTTGTAAACACGATCGTCGCTAACAAAGAACTGAACAAATTAAACCTTCAGTGGTGCAGGATTGCAGGATTACTTTAAAAGGCCTGAACGCCCAAGGCTCGGGGAGCCTAAGACGCTCTAACACGCCCTAGTACTAGTTACTGGTACACATGCATTATGTACTTGTACTCGTGTAAGCATGCACTCCGCCCATCTTCTCTGCATATAGTTAGCCTGGACATGCGACACGCTGCTAGGCCCACTTAGAAGGTCGAATTATATTACTCGTGGCTTCGATCTGCCGAAGCGACATGTCGGTATTGGTTATTGGTTGAATATGGATGGGTCCTTGGCACTTATCTCCTCGGACTTCGACAGGAATTCCAAGTGCACTTACCAGCTGTCAGCGACAGCCCTGGAAGGGGGGTAATCCACGTCTGTGGTAAGCTAGGCCCTAGTCCGCTACGGGACGGGCTGGATTGAGCCCCAGCTCGGGGGTTTACCCGTCTTCTACAATGGAGGACTCATTACCCCCGAGTCCATAGCGGGGTCGCAGGAATGGCGGTCTACCAATTATTTTCGATTGAAAGACTCACAAAGCATGTGAAATTAGAGAGATGATTGGAGTATTCTAACCCCTACTACTCACTGAGAACGAATCATATCTAAATGATTTCATTATACAACTACTAGTTACTAACATACCTAGGCATGTATTTCTGGGGTTCCAACCAGTCACTTTTTTCAATAGATGTCAGCTCAGTCACAGTGTTCGGCACTGGTGATCTAGCTCCAGATGTCCAAGGTTTCACTTTTGAAATCCATACATTATGTATAGTAAAGTACTAGTATGTACTATATAAGTGTATGCTTGAGATGCTTTTCTATGGTACAAATATGCCGGCACTAAATAGTGTACAAACGAGATCTATATAGTTACATTATGACGGGAGTATGCAGCTCTCAAGAGCGATCTTCGATACGACGCCAAACTCCCACAAACCCACCACCCATGGTGCGCAGACCAACCTTGGGCCGACAGACCATCACAGAATTTGACTCATCAAACGCAGAACTTGGGGCCGAAGGCTCCACACTGGGAATGGCTTCCGAATCCGACGCCTCATCCTCAGCGGGAACAGCTTCCTCGCCTTCGGTAGCTGATTCCCAAGTTGAAGGATCGGAGCCAGACTTCTTAACAGCGAGACGAACGTCCCAGTTTCGGCCACTAGTCAGTCCAGAGCCAAGCTCAACGACGCGATCCAAGACAAAGGGCCTGTTCATCTTCTGGATCATCCGTACGCAGTCACCAATCTGCGTAATGCTAGGCGCAAAAACGATCAGCTTTCCATCCCGATGAATGATATCCTTCACTAATGGGATACGTTCATGGGCAGATGGCATGTCCAAAATAGCGTATGTCAAGAAGGGCTTCACGGGCTCAGCCGGTTTGGCGCGCCGGGCGACTTGCGCGTTAATCCATTCTTCCACTGCGCCGACATAGAAATCAACACTGCCCGAGTAGATTCCGCGGCGGAACCCGTTGACGTTTTTCTCGGCAAGCTTGGCGAATTTTGATGAAACGTCCACTGTATGAATTATGGCGCCGCGCTCTGTCCGCCACGCGTCCCATTCCTGTTGTGCCGGGTCGTTCTCTGTCGAGACTTGCTGGTCTGGTTCTGGTGTAGAGTTCTCCGTTGGGCTTCGATTCCGGCCGGCCACATACTGAATCTGTGAACGGGTTGGCCGAGGCGGTGGAGTAGTGTTGGCGGCGTGGAGGGCGCGCGCCAGATGTAATGTCAAGGATCCATGTCCTGTCCCGGATTCGAGAATCTCGATCGGAGGTTGGGTATCATTTGGGGCGGTTGGGTAGGTGTGGATATCTAGGAGGGAGACGATCAAGTTGGCATCATGGGCATAGATCTGCGATTGTTAGTTTACTGTCTTTTGTACTTTGATTCTTATTCTCCCCCGGAGATGCACATACCGGTGTCACCAAGCGAGGAGTCAGTGTGACATATTCCTCTAAGGTTGGAAGGCTCAATCGAACATCTGGACCTGCTGGGTGTTAATCGCGTTGCTGGAAATTATTTGCGAAAACGGCTTCTTACCCTTGTGTGCCTGGACTGCGTCCCATACGCGACTGCCAATGGCGCGATCGTGATCCAGATGTCCTCGACGAAGATTTGTCTTGCCTCCTTTTTTCAATGGTTTTGTCAATGTGGGCTGTTTGGTGTGTAATAAGACCTGGTCACCCTCTGCGCGTGTGTTAGGAAAATCTGCGGTTCTCTTAAGGGGAGATTCCCGTCCATACCTTTAATAATAGAGAAGTCGGTATCAATAGATCGGGCTCGGGCGACACTAGAAATTGGGGGAGTGATAGAGATTGCGGGACTGGGGTTATTTCCCAGCAATCGCTGTAATGACCGCAGTAGACGAGCCATGTTGGAGCTAAAAATGACATGAATCTCCAAATCCACTTTTCTATTTGGCCCTTTAGTGCCCCACATGTCCCCGGCCTTGGTTCAGCCCCTCGTTCACCGGGGAACTTTTGGTCTTTTCTCTTCGACTCTCCAATTGCTCTACTTGTCTATCCACGATAGAAAAGACTATAGAATATAGAGGTCTTCTGTATTTTTTCTGTTTTCACATTTCTACTATATCACAATGGGGTCCGTCGCACTTCCTTACATGGAGACCAAGCCCAAGGCTATCTTCTTCACTGATTTCGATGGTACAATTACCGTCGATGACAGTAAGTCACTGCTTACATCTCAGGCTCAAAGGCCCATGCTAACATTATTGCAGGCAATGACTTCATGGTTCGTCGACCGAACGCTTTTATCTCATCCTCCGAATACTAAAATATGCTAGATCGACAACCTGGGCTTCGGCGCCGATCGCCGCCGTGTGTTGAACAAGCAGGTTCTCGATGAGACTCTCAGCTTCCGGTGAGCAGCATATGCAAATCATTCGTCACAAATTCCTGACTGTTTTTGTCCAGTGACGCCTTCCGTGAGATGCTCGCAAGCATCAAGACCCCGTACGATGTGTGCACCGAGACGCTATTGAAGAACATGAAGCTGGACCCATACTTTGAGGAATTCTACTACTGGGCTGAGGAGAACAATGTTCCCATTGTCATTCTGTCCTCTGGTATGCGCCCAATCATCGCCGCCCTGCTTGAGAAGTTCCTGGGTCACGAGCCCCGTAGCCATCTTACCATCATCTCTAACGAGGTGACCGGCCGCGACGGCAAGGATATCAACAGCGAGGGCGGCTGGGAGATCGTGTACCATGATGAGAGGTAATACCCCTGACTATAAGCCCTGATTAAATCAGTATACTCATGTTTGCGCTCATTTAGTCACTTTGGCCACGACAAGTCTCTGGAGATCAAGCCGTACGCCGCCTTGCCCGATGGAGAACGCCCTGTTCTTCTATATGCTGGTGACGGTGTGTCCGATTTGTCGGCTGCTGCAGAGACCAACCTCTTGTTTGCGAAGGAGGGCAAAGGTAATTCAATCCTGTCGTACATTACAGCATAGTCGGAATTTGTCACTAACATAAATCCAGATCTGGTCACTTTCTGTGAGCGCCGAGGAATGCCATACACCACTTTCCAGAACTGGTCCACAATCTTGGCGACCACAAAGGATATTCTTGCTGGAAAGGTGTCTCCCAGTGAGGTGGCCAAGCAGCGCACTGCGTAATGATTGGATATAGATCATATAGATCGACTTAGAATTTCTCCTTTTTTTGGTTAGTATAGTGGCGCAAATCGAACATGACCAATGACCAAATTTATGTATTTAGAATCCAAAGCAACGATAGAAATGAAGAAACATGAAGCATCAAAACGGAGAGACAAAGTAGGAGGAGTCAACTTGTCAGGAGTAACTTGTAAGTGACCGCCTTGCGGGTCCAAGCGTCGAAACGGTATCCCCCCAAAAACAATTGCGATCCTCGACTTGTTTCCTCCCATCTCTTTACTTTTATGATCTGGTTTGAATGAGTTGACCTTGAAAATTGCTGGTCCTCTTCTGGCCTGAGACACTTCCATCCTGATACTTCTCGGGGGCATCATGCGACACTGCGCATCCCGGCTCTTTTCAAAGTCCTTGCCAGGGTGATATCAGCATCATGGCTCGCCGGCTCGTATGAACATCTGTCCCAACACCCCCTGAGAACTCTGAACGCTGACTTTATTTTTGTTATACAGGTACGAGCGGGCTTACAGCTCGGTGTTTTCACAGCATTCGTTCTCCTTGTGGTTCTGTTTCTCGACAATCAATTCAGCGTCCTTCCTACCTCCATCCATGGCCACCTTCCGATGCACTACTCCGGCTTCGTGATCACCGATGTGACAGTAACCACATGCTCCGCGCTCAATCCATTTTCGAATTGCAACCTTGACCCAGACGCCTGGCACCGTATCGACAAGGACCTATACTTGCGCTCGGGCTGGACCTCGACAGCTTATGTCCAATTTCAACGAAAGAAGGAGGAAGATTTGGGCCCTGACGACAAGGTTGTCATTGACTTGAAAATTGGTCGTGTCACTCCCCCAGTTGAAGATGTCGGTAAGGGGGAAGTGGAAGTCTGGGAATCCCGTCCTGGTGGAATCTGGCTGAAACGGACCGCTTCTCGTCATGCCAGCGACTCGGGACAAGCAGTAACTTATGTTGACGTCCTTTTCGGTGCGGATGCAGTGGATCCTCGTCCTAATTGGGAAATCAAAGACATGCCCTTATTGTTGGATGGTTGGACGGAAAAGCTAGAGACTCGACTGAGCATCCGTCGTGGCAACCCGGTCAAGAAGTTGAAGCCCGTTCCCAGAATCAACGAAAATGGAAAATTCAAGGTCATGCAATTGGCGGATATTCATTTGAGTACAGGAACTGGCCACTGTCGAGACCCTATCCCGATTGAACCTGTGGTTGGACAGAAATGCGAGGCTGACCCGCGGACCTTGGAGTTCATTGAGCGACTTCTCGATGAGGAAAAGCCAGATCTTGTCATTCTTTCAGGCGATCAGGTCAACGGCGAGACCGCTCCAGATGCCCAAAGTGCTGTCTTTAAATCTGTCAAACTGCTTGTCGACCGCAAAATCCCCTACGCTGTCATTTTTGGCAACCATGACGACGAAGGCGACCTCAACCGCGAACAACTCATGGCTCTTTATGAAAATCTCCCCTACTCTCTTTCCACAGCTGGACCCGAAGATATTGACGGAGTCGGCAATTATATCGTTGAAGTCCTCGACCGCGGCACCGGCACGCACTCTGCTCTTACCTTTTACCTTCTCGACACTCATTCCTATTCCCCCGACGAACGCCAGTTCCGAGGCTATGACTGGATCAAGCCAAGTCAGACCCGCTGGTTCAAAAACACCGCCCAAAGCCTGAAACGAAAACATCAGGAATATACCCATATACATATGAACATGGCATTCATTCACATTCCATTGCCCGAGTATCGGAGCAGTGGCAAATATTTCCACGGCTCGTGGGACGAAGCCCCAACGGCACCCGGATTCAATTCAAACTTCAAGTCTGCTCTCGAAGAAGAGGGCGTTCTCTTTGTCAGCTGTGGACAGTAAGTACCCAGGAAGTTTCTCCTATTTTGGCATTAAACTAATATGTAATCAGCGACCACGTCAACGACTACTGTATGCTCGAGCAAGATGAAAGCGAGCAACCCTCTCTCTGGATGTGCTATGGCGGAGGTAGCGGTTTTGGAGGCTACGGTGGCTACAACGACTATGTTCGCCGTGTCCGCTTCTTTGACTTCGATATGGGCCCCGGCCGTGTCACAACTTACAAACGCCTCGAGTGGGGCCAAACCGAAGCCAAGATCGACGAGATGATGATTGTCGACGGTGGTGCCGTCAAAGGCCCAGATTCATCAAATTAACGAGGCCCTTGTCTTTTGATTACACACCCCTTTCCCCCTCCTCTTCTCTTCTTGACTACAACAGCCGATGCTCTGCTCTGCTTTTGTCACCTTGAAACTTCCATCATTTTCCTACTACCATTGTACATATAGCGTTCATCTTTGCCTGCAAAAAGGTTGGCGTCCGTAGGGTGTCTATCTCTTATTGAATATCCCACCATTTCTTTCCCTTCAACTCTCCTATAAAATGATATTGTCGCATGCTTGATAGATTTTACAACTTCCTTTCTCTCGGCTCATCATAAATGTTCACATTTGAACGGAACGAACATTGAAGATCTCTACCATCGGTCTTTATTTACCTCCGTAGCTGTTCACTACTACGATGCCAACAGACATCGAGAAAGGATAGACATCTTTAAATTTTGAATGCTTCGAATGGGTGAAGCTCTCCTCCGCTCTTCAGGGGCTTTTCGTGTGCAATAACGATATTTCATCACCACCACTTCTCAAAAAATACCCTCTGTTTCCCATCAACCTCCAAAACACCCCGTAGCTTTTCAACCAGTTCGTCCGTCATAATTGGCGGTCCACATACATATGCCACAGTGTCTTGAGTCGCATTGTCTCTGCCACCCATCGACGAATATAGATCCTGGTCATTTATCCGTCTCGAGTGTATTTTCAGATCAGAAGGAGACTTTGAGGAAAGCCCACTTGCTGATTCAGAAGTGAGGAACAAGTCTAGATCAATGCGAACTCGAGAAAACGGGCCATGGGAGCCAATGATGTGCCGCAATCGCGGAAGAAACAGAATCTGCTCAAGGACAGACTCGGTTGTTCCCGTGGCTTGTCCTTGAGGAAGTCGACTGGAGTACAGAATATGTACATTAAGTGGTTTATCAATCTTTGTTTGGTTGATATGAGACAATATGGAGATCAGGGGACTTTTATACGTCAGTGTCGGTAATCAAATCATTTCTCATAAGGCTGAGATTCTCATGGTACTTACTTGATTCCCACGCCACCGGCAATCAAAACCACATTTTTGATCTCGTGGATGTTTATACCAGTTGGTGGCCAGATGAAACTCCCTCCCACTCGGATATTCACCTCTTTGCCGATGATCTCATGCTTGGGTTTCCATAACCAAGCTGCTGCTGGGTTAGACGGGGAGTCCTGGACCGCCAACTCCACATAGGGCGCTCGGCCCTGCGAGGCTAGTGATGCAGCTACATTCTCTCTGGCGGCTGAAGCATCTGGGTCCTCTGGTGATGGCAGGGCTTGGGCATCTGCCGGGGTCGATGTGATGGTGAACCCTCCGGCATTGGATATAGATGGGATGTGCACATCCAGCCACTGACCCGGAAAGAAAGAGAACGGTTGCTGTTGGTCGCCCTACAGATTCTTGTCATTTATGTAGTTCATACCAAGATTTGGTGCATGTGCTCGGTGTTTCATCTGCATCAGGAAGATTAATCGCCGAGTCGGAGGATGTATGCAAAATGCATACATGTATCCAATCATTGGCCCGGCTTTATGGATATGACATGAGTTTTGTCGGAGAATCGGATAGGGCAATATTCAAATATTAGGTCGGTGCTTAGTACTTACATTCTCTGGCTCCGGGATAGTAAATTGTAGTAACCGAATGGATTGGTTCACTTGCTCCACATGGGCGAGATGCACCGGGTACAATCTGTTCTGCCGGGGCTCGGCTGCTGTGCGCAGCTCGTGTGGGATAGAATCCTCTCTCTGGGAACTCATTGAGCGGGTTTTTAGGGCGTATAGTGCTAGTTGTGGCGGTTGGGGCCGGAGGTGAAGCGCGGGGAGGTGGATCAGTTGGCGCAGCGGTCGGATACCCCTCATTAGATTGTGATTAGATGCACGATGTGTGATTGATTTTGGGCACCTCAATCCACACTAATTTGATTAGTTTCCTGTGATAGGGATAAGTTTGAAGTGCTGGATTTCTCGAGAGTGTGATTGTTTGTAAATGGGAGGTTGAAAAGTTGCACATGTGAGGTGATGATTCAAATGTTCTTAGATAATGATGATTTCGTCCAGATGTCTACTGATGTACTGTTTGACTCTTGAATTTCACACAAATATCTTTTATATCTTGTCAATTCAACGTGTCAAAACAAATTCCAATATACAATCAATCTTTTTGATCGGATTGGTTATTTTGATCGGATTGGTTATATTCTACAATATTGCGTATGCATATATGCTATGGAATCTGGATTACTCCGTATGTTTCTCCGGATTCATTCCAAATGAAGACTTCGGCGGCTATAATCACGAGTCCCCGACAACTCTAACCACGAAGAGGTACATTTGTACATGTTCAAATGGCCTCCAATAAGATCAAAGTCCGGAAAAATGTATTTGAGCAAGAGCCAGACTGGCGCAAAAGAGAATCAACAGAGCAAAATGCTTACGTCCGCTTTCTTGAGATTGTCCGAGTTGATCTTCGGGACCAAACATGAAGGTCCTGACTCCTAATCATGCATGGACCATCACAACGACAACAGCAAACTGATTTTACCACTCGAGCAAAGGTCCAAGCCCCACCTGAGCGTTTCGCTGTTCCTTCAGCAAGACTCAAAGTTGCCGTGTGCTGTGATGCGGAGGTACTCGTGCAGATCCACTAACCCATCACACCGACTAGTGTGTGACGACCGGCAGCCTATCCCTGGTCTGCGGCATCTCATTGGTGCGACGGTTCTCACGACCTGCTTCTGCTGGCGCTTTGCCGCCGTCAAGCATTGGCCAGATGCAAGACCCGGAAACACTCCAAGGATGCTCTGCACCCAGCGCCTGTGCTGATTCGTCCCCCTCTCTGCATGCGAGCGATGGCCGACTCAAAGTGTCGGCCACCCGGGGGGTCTCGAGCTCATATCTAACGCCCATCAGCCGGATCGCCCAGAACTTTGTGTGTTTCTGATTTTTAGATTCCCTTGTGAAGCTCTGTCTTTTTCTCCTTATTTCTTGGCCTTGGCCTTTTTGCGTGCGAAAGACTGGATCTCACTGCCAGCAGGCCTGGCCGAGTCGCATTGTCTCCCATTAATTCTCCTGTCTCGCTCTCACTGCTGGACTGTTTCGCTTTCTTCTAAGGCGCTTACCATATTTGTCGGCTTCGTTGAGTGCTTCATCCACGAGACATCGCCGCCATGCACAAGCAACAGTTTCAGTTCAAGATCGAGGCGATCAAGGACTTCGAGTTCTTTCGAGGATGGTATTTCCCCAAGCAATGGCGGGACCGCAAGCTCATGTTCTATCTCATGGGCCTTGAGATCCCATTTACCATCACCATCCTGACCTTGACCGGTGTTGCTTCTCACAACACATACCGTACGTTGCTATGGGAGGATGGCTTCAAGAACGGCTTCAACAGTTCGCCCGATCAAGCTCTTTACTCCGCTGCCAACTATGAGCCCTATACGCCTCCACTCGTGTGGTCAAGTTTGTATGTTCTCATCTGAAAATGTGAATTCTTTTCACTCCCCGCTAACTGAATATCAGCTTGACCAACTTCAACTTGGTGATCGGAGTCCTGAGTGTCTTCCTCTTGATTGTGAAAATCCCCATTCATTTCATGCACTTGCTCTTCCCTCCATTCGCTGTCATTATCCACGCCGGTTGTATCGTCGTGTACACATTTGCAGCCCGTTACCAAGCTGGTCCAGATATGTCAGACCCCAACAACCCTCAACCCGGAGCACCATGGTACATCACCAAGAGCTGCAGTGTGGCCTACTCGACGTCGGACATCGGATTCTGTAACCAAGCCAAGGCCCTTTTTGCCCTGTGCGTTATCTTAATGTAAGAATCACCTTCCTCCTTCCATCTATTGATCAACCTGGGCTTGAAAGCTGACCTACTTTCCGCCAGCTTTGTCTACTTCGTCGAGTTTTGCGTCTGTGTCCGTTCCTGCTTTATCACCCGGGCCGAGCGCGACGGAATCATTGAACACCGCGAAGACAGGCGTGTTGAGAAGGAGTTTGAAGAGGAAATTCTCAAGTCTCCCTACTACCCAACAACCCCCGGCTTGGTTCCCCGCACTCCAGGTTTCCCACCTATGGTCGCGCAACCAGCCGGCTTTGGCGGGCAGGGAGGCGTATACCCCTTTACTCCTCGGCACTTGGCATTCAACCGACTGGGAAGCGAGGCTTCAGACCTGCCGTTGCGTGAGAATGGATCTTCTAGCGCTCCTTCTCCACAAACGCAACACCAGCCTTCTCCAGATGGGTCGCAAGCGCAGATGTACTTCCCACCTCCACCAAAGAAGGCTACGAAATAAGATTTGATGCATGAAGAGTCGAAATGTGTTTTGTTTTGAGATACCAGATACCATCCTTTTTTTTTGTTGTTTTTGCTTGTTTATACACCCAACTCTCCTTTATTTACTCGGTTCCTTGTGGACTTGGGAGAAGCATCAAAATACACCCAAGTACATATCATTTCATGGCGTTTTGAATATTGATGGTTCCTTGCCAGCACCTACATGTGCCTGGCAATTGATTGTTATCTAATTCCTGAATCAATTTGTGAAAATGAAAAAAATCAACAGAAATAAATTCAAAAATTGAAAGTGTACAACACTGCAGCTTCAAATATCCAGCCCATGGTATGTTGGTGCGCGGTAACCCCAAACACCATCAAAGAATCCAATATATACACGTTGAAGACGGAAACAGTAAAACAGATTCGGTCGTTACTTCGTTAATCATTTTGCGCAGAACATGACAGGGAACAAACGGAATCCATGTCGGAAAATATCAATTCGCAGAAACATCGAAACTTGAGCTGGGAATAGCGAGTGTAATCATACGCAAACGAGACCAAACAGAGAAGTAGAAATGAATAGTTTCAAGTGGAGGCCGACCAGTGGTGTAGTGCGGGGCAAAGAGTCTCTAAGGCTCCTGGCGCTTCTTCTCTTTCTTGGACCAGCGCACTAAGAGACAGAGATAGTTAGCTTCAAAAGCGCAAAAAAAAGGTAACAGGTGTAACGTACAACCACAGGCATTGCATAAAGTCTTGGGGCCGTTAGGTCCTTTCCGCCATTCAGGGGAGTCGGCGGTTCCACAATCACTGCAGACATGCTGACCCTTAAGTCGCTTACGTCTGTCTCCCTCTTGCAAATTTCGTGCTTGGTCTTCAGTGGTGGTAATATCGATATCACAGTGAACCAATCGACCTCGCCGCGCACCAGTGCTAAGGCCCTGCGACCGCTCGCCATCACCATAGAATAGACCTGTCATAATTTCGATACCATTCACATGCGCCATTGGTCCCTCTGCCTCAGGCACTTGGTCGAAGAAATCTGCCCCCTCACTAGGATCAGAATCATCTGATAAGACTGCAGCCGTTTCGCTAGATTCTGGGTCGCTCAGCATGGCCTGTACATTGGCGCTATCAATCAGGGCTTGATCATTATCCATCTTTCCGTATGGTACCCGGGCCGTGTTTGCTTCCTCTTCCTCTTCTTGTTTAAGCTTGGCAATCTGTTGCACCAGTCGCGCATTTTCAATTTTGTGCTCAAGGAAAGAATCGAGTAGCAGCGAGTTCTTTGAAGGGTGAGGTCTACACACAAGGAAGAATCCCGTGCATCGGTCCTGAGGAGACGTATTTCGTGACGAATCTACACTGGCAATATGCGGGTGTCCGTTGAGCTCGACGAGGCAGTAGCCGCTGTTTGTCTTGGAGAATCGGACATGGGTGCGAAATGGACGATTCAAAGCGACCGAGTCATCCATATCGCGGTGAAAGACTGCCTGGTCGTCTTCATGGATATGTTGCGTTATTGGGCTCCCTTCAAGTTGTTTAGGAGAGCGCCCGGTGATTTGCTTCGCCGAGGGCGACGCATAGGTGATGTGGCCTTGGGCATTGAGGAGCAGAAGCATGTCTTTCATTTCCTCCAACACCCGCTGTATCCAGCCTGGGTCCTGCTGCGCCGCTTGTAATCCATAATTTCCATACGGCCCATCGCTTGGGTACCCTTGGTTCCCCTCGTTCGAAATGGACTGCCGCTGCGTCGCGGGTGGCTGCATGGTTTCGTACTGGGGTTGCTGGCTTAGGGCCATATCGAGGCCAGAATGCGAATCGGAGCGAATGGAGATGAAGTCGGTCGGGAGAGTAGAATTCGCAATAAGAATATTGAGAACTTGAAAGTTGCCTACTGCGGTCCAGACGGTGGATTCCCCGCAAAGTAACTTTCCAGAAAGCCAAATAGCATAGATGCAGGAGGTTTAGATCGGATTTAAGCGAGGCCCCCGTATGACAACGGCTTGGGTTTTTAGTTGCCTCTCTCAAGGGGTAATTGCAAACTTCTGCTTATCACACACAGCAGGTCTTGAACCCCAGGGGAGAAACGGAAATAATACTCGAACCTCTCAGAGTGATAGATTGCACGCCGATCGTTGTGGGGCGTTTGGATTATCTAACACGCCATTGGAGTCAGGTGACTTCGTGTCGCTCTGGCGCGACCACAAAGTGGAGAAAGTTGACGCATCACAAAGCCCGTTGCAATCTGACCGTTTCACGGACGTTGGTAAGATCAGCCTCTGGATCACTTCGAATTTCATATCGTATCGTCAAAAGAACCTGGTTGAAGAGCTTCCGATCGCTTCGGCGTTTTTGAAATGTAAGCCAACCTCGTTCCCCGCTTTTTATTATTATAACTATGCTAACGGACTAAATAGGTGTAAGTGGAATTTACCAAGGGCCTCTCAAGATCTCAGCAGCAAATGAACAAATATCTGACCAAGATCCTTCAAATACGATAGCGAAGATTGATAAACTATCAATCTTGGGGTATGATTAATTATCCCAATGCTACAAATTATTGTCTCTGCATCGATGGCTAACCATTTTTCTTCATTGCAGAGTTCGCTCCTTCGATAACACGCGCAGCGAGACCATACAATTCCATTCGCCTCTAACATTGATTGTCGGACATAATGGATCAGGCAAAACGGTATGCTCACCAGCTGTAACCGATCGTCTGTCGGCGCGAGGCGCAGTTTGAACTAACAGATGCTCTAGACTATCATCGAGTGTCTCAAATATGCCACCACCGGCGATCTCCCTCCGAACAGTAAAGGCGGTGCTTTCATTCACGACCCTAAGCTATGTGGCGAGAAGGAGGTTCTTGCACAAGTGAAGCTTTCCTTCAAAGGAACATCTGGCGCCAAGATGGTGGCTACGCGCAGTCTACAGCTCACGGTTAAGAAAACGACAAGACAACAGAAAACCTTGGAGGGTCACCTTATGATGATGAAAAATGGCGAGCGAACAGCCATTTCATCACGAGTGGCCGAGTTAGATCAAATTATGCCGCAGTACTTGGGTGTTTCCAAGGCTGTCCTGGACTCGGTCATTTTCTGCCATCAAGATGAGAGTCTTTGGCCAATGAGCGAACCCGCCGCTCTGAAAAAGCGATTCGACGAGATTTTCGAAGCCATGAAGTACACCAAGGCCATTGATAATATTAAGGCTCTTCGTAAAAAGCAGAACGAAGAGCTGGCGAAATATAAAATCATGGAGCAGCATTCAAAAGAAGACAAGGACAAAGCAGATCGTGCAGAGAAACGCTCAGTGAAACTTCAAGATGAGATCGAAGAGTTGCGCGACGAAACGCAAAAGATGTCTAAAGAGATGCGCCGTGTTGCTGAGCTGGCTGATAAGGCGTGGAAGGAATCAGAAGGGTACGCGCAGGTACTTGGTGCACTGGAAGGGAAGCGAATTGAAGCGAAAAGCATCCAGACCACTATCGATAACCTCAAACGGCACCTGGTTGAGCTTGAGGAATCGGATGAATGGCTTGAATCGAGCCTTGAGCAATTCGAGATGAAGCAAGCCGAATACCAGCAGCAGGAAGAATACCAAAAGGAGAACTACATGGAATTGAAAGCGCGCATTGAGAAGACTCGGCAGCGATTAGGCCTCAAGCAAGCCGAAAATGGAAAACACGAAAACGACAAGGCCAATTTCGAACGACAGATCCAAAGACGTCAAACCATGATCACAGAAGTTGCTCGTGCAAATAACATCCACGCTATTGATGAAAATATGGATCAAGAAGCTATTGATGCTTTCATGCAAAAGTTCAGACGTTTCTTGCGAGAACGGAACCAGGCACTCGAGAGGGTGAAACGTGAGGCCCAAAAAGAGCTTCGCGATGTTCAGGATACTTTGAATGAGATTGGACAGCGTAAATCTGCTTTACAAGAAACGAAGAACTCTGCCAAAAAGCAGATATCGAACAATGATAGAGAGTCCGCCAATTATCAAGGAAAACTCAATGGAATTGAGGCTGATGAGGGTGCTCAAGTGGCTCTGGAGGCCAAGATTGAAGACATCAACTCGAACCTCGAACGTGCGAAAGAACGCACTAAGACTGCTTCATGGGACCAAGGGATCCAGGATGTCAATGCGCAGATCCAACATCTTGAGGATGAGAACTCAAAATTAAATGCCGAGTTGATCGAGTCCACCAAGAAGGCCGGAGATTTGGCTCGGTTGGATCATCTCAAAAAGGAAGCGAAGGAAAAAGAACGGAGTCTTCAAACAATGAAGGGGGTTCATGGTGATCGGCTCGCGAAGGTTGTCGGTTCAGGCTGGCAGCCCGAGACGTTGGAGCGCGAATTCCAGTCCGCATTGGACGTTGAGTCCAAACAGGTATTGAATGCTGAGCGAGATCGTGATGGTGTTAGTCGAGAACTGGAGCAGACCGATTTCAAGCTAAAAAACGCAACGAAAGCCCTGACTCAGCGCCGAAAGGAGCTCGACGAGTGTTTAAGGGAGGTCGAAAAAGCGATTGATGCCGATCTCGACGAGTACCCTACAATAGTCAAAGACAAACAAATCCAGTACGACCTTGCGCGCAAGGATGCCGACCAGTATGCTGGCATGGGTGAATACCTCAGCAAGTGTGTCGATGCAGCAAAAAGATCCAAGTGCTGTCGCACCTGCCAGAGGGGATTTAAGACTGACACCGAACTGCAGTCGTTTACCACAAGGCTCGAGGCACTGGTTCAAAAGGCAGGCCTGGGTATTGAAGATGAAGCCCTGAAGGAAATGGAAAATGATCTTGAGACTGTTCGTGGAGCTAGTGCGGCCTATGATACTTGGTTGCGTCTCAGCGAAACAGACATTCCAGAACTGCAGAAGGACGAAGATGCGTGTGTCGCACATCACGACAAACTTATGGACAAGCTTGAGATCTATGACCAAACCGTGAAAAATAAGCAGGAAAGTCAGAGAGATGTAGAATCTCTGAGCAAGACAGTGAACACCATCGCGAGATATGATGTTGATATCAAGAGCATCACTTCGCAAATCCAAGAACTCTCTACAAACCAAGAGGATGTATCTGCAAGCCGTACTCTGCAAGATATCCAAGATGAAATTTCGGCGAATAACGAAAAATCACGCGAGTTGAAAAAGACTCTGGCCAAGCTTACAAAGGAAAGGGATCACACCCGGAGTGAGATTAACAAGCTTGAGTTACAGCTGAGGGATGTCCAGAGTAATCTTGACAGCACCAAATTCCAGCTGGAGAAGAAGGCCGACTTGCTCATGCGCTTGGAAGAGTACAAAACGCTCAATTCTCAACAACGAGAAGCAATCGAGAAAGCGGATCGGGAAATCGAAAGCTTGACACCCGAGCTAATGCAGGCCCAATCTCGCTACGACGACGTCAGCCAACGTGCGGAAGCACGAGAGCGAGACTTGCAGCATGATATTACCCGCCTTTCTGAGAGTATTCATCAACTTGATTTGGCGAACGAGGAAATCAACTCATACACTGAACGAGGAGGTCCGAGTCAACTTGAGCGGAGCAAGCAAGAGCTCTCCCAAATCGAGACTGAAATCACCCAACTCGAGTCCGAGCAAGGCGAAATCACTCGAGAAATCAACAAAATCTCGACACAGCTCAAGGACAGTGAGAATACCAAGCGGCAGTACTCCGACAATTTGACCTACCGACAAGCCACACGATCTCTGGAAGAAGTGGTGGGAGAGGTCGAGCACCTAGAATCTCAAAATGCAGAGGTTGATCGCAGCCGCTTCAAGCAGGAATCTGAACGCTGGACTCGCGAACACAATGCTTTGGCCGCTAAGCAGGCTAGCAAAATGGGAGAGATGAAATCCAAAGACGACCAGTTGATGCAACTACTGAAAGACTGGGACACCGACTACAAGGATGCCGCATCCAAGTATAAGGAATCACATATCAAGGTTGAGACTACCAAGGCTGCGGTTGAAGATCTTGCACGCTACGGCGGTGCCCTTGATAAAGCTATCATGTCCTACCACGGTCTGAAAATGGAAGAAATTAACGCTATCGTCGGCGAGCTCTGGCTGAAGACCTACCGCGGAACGGATGTCGATACTATTCTCATCCGATCCGATAACGAGAATGCAAAGGGCAACCGGTCATATAATTACCGTGTTTGCATGGTGAAACAAGGAGCAGAGATGGATATGCGAGGCCGGTGTAGTGCAGGCCAAAAGGTACTTGCTAGTATCATCATTCGTCTTGCCCTGGCTGAATGCTTTGGTGTCAATTGTGGATTGATCGCTCTCGATGAGCCTACCACCAACTTGGACCGTGATAATATCCGTTCCCTGGCTGAATCGCTACACGATATCATCAAAGCCCGGCAGCAGCAGGCGAATTTCCAACTGATAGTCATTACACACGACGAAGAATTCCTGAGGCACATGCAGTGTGGAGACTTCAGTGATTATTATTACCGCGTCTCACGGAACGAGCGACAGAAGTCCATCATTGAGAGACAGTCTATTGCCGAGGTATGTTGACCTCAAAATCCACAGGAGCCATGGCTCCATGCTAATTTTATTTAGGTCCTGTAATCCCCTCTACCCACCCTGTCTCGTTTCTGAGATTCTTTATTCTTCGATTTTTTCCTTGTCGAGTTCGCTGAGCAGCGACATGTACTATGTGTTAAAGTTCACGGTGTTTACATGATAGCATACTACTCATACAAGTATTTAGGCGTCTAGGAATAGCTACTATGTATACATATCAACACACTTCAATGTTCGGGTACATAGAGTAGGTAGTAAGCAGTATATACTATGAGATATAAGAGCGAGCAAAGCAGATAGTCGACTACTCGTCTCCTTGGGCTTGCAAGTCAGCCTCTTCCTCGTCCAACAAAGGCACAAAACGAAAATCAACGAAGCAAACTGGTCCAGCGACCTTAATGCCAGCTCCAACAGAGCGTCCAGCGGGGGTTTGACCATCGTCCAGCTCGATCATAAACTGCAGACTCAACACGCCCTGCTGATCTCCCCGAATGCTGACTTTGCTAGCAACAGACATGGCCCTCGCTGCCTTTCGGACCAATGCAAACCTATAACTCTGCTTGATGCGTTCACCCATCGACGAAGGCGGCGCAACCATGAAAGTCTCGGTGACAGTCGGGCCGGACTTTGATTTCGTGGCGCGTGCTCGGGAGGACTCATCATCACCAAGCACTTTGTGAGTTAGCTGCGATGCCTGCGTTGTCTGTCCCGGGGCCGTGCCAAACATCTCTTTGTGTTGATCCATAGAAAACTCGACAGCAAAATCACTGAATGGTCCACCGGCCCCTGAGAGCGCGAAATAAGGTTGTTGTGTAGCGGACGCTGATAGTTTGAGGATGGTGGGACCTGAAGAATGAAGTTCTGCAATAGAATTATGCAGCCAGGCGGAGCGCATGATGATTTTCATGACAATGGCATCCCGTTGAAGCGGGATGTCACATTCATCAGCTTCTGGCTCGTAAGTTACCAGTTCGCAGGTAGTTTGAACTCCTGCTTCGGCGATCGCGATGCTGAATGGTGCGCCGTGGGATGCGTATTGGATGGTACAGGAGCGGTCCATCAATAGCGCCGGAGCGGAGAAAGCACTTGAGGAGGGATTTGTTTGTGCAAGAGTGGATTCGCGGGCATTTGCTTCTTGGATATCGTTTATACCAAAGATCTTGAGAGTTTCGAGAAGGGCGGAGAGGGAGACGACGAAGTGTGGGTAGACCACCTCGTCGGAAGCTTGAGTGTCGGATGCATCTGGTCCTTGGTTGCCATCTGAGTTCGGATTGAATGTGTAGCTGGTGAAGAGGGACTTGTCGAGAAAAGCTAGGCCTTGGATGACACGGCCCTCTTCAACAGAGAAGCGGAGGCCTTCGGGTGTGATTTGGACGGTGGCTTTGGAGGCAAACCCGATGCAGGAGAGAAGGGTGTAGAGGTGATTCGCGTTGTTGGAAACGCCGGTAAATAGAGGCTCCATTGTAAAGTCTTGCTAGTCCGGGTGGTGGTTCTTGGGAGGTAGGAGCAAGGACTAATGGTTTTTCGCAAATGTGTGATAGTTTGGGAGCTTCTAGCAGTACAGGCCCCGTGCAATAATTCCCCGCTTAGTGTACATGGAGGAAGATAATGGGTATCGTTTTAAACATAGACTCCGACGGCACAGATCATAAGCACAGCTCCGAATCTACCCATAAGCAATGTGGTTAGTATATAGAGAAAAGTAATTTGTGTAAAGCAGATGCATTGAGGCACTACTCACCCAGTTGCTAAAGCGGCCGGGACGCCCAGAGTGAAGAGGCTCAGGAAAGAACGGTCTATGGGCATTGTTAGCACAATTTTCAACTCCAATTATCTCAGAGGGACTTACTCAGTCCAAATAGACCACCGGCAAATACGGCTGGATTAAATAAAGTTAGAAACCGGCTCAGGCACTTTCGCATGAGCTATGCATACCAATGAGGAGCAAGTTGAAGCCAATGGAGAACTGGCTATCCTTGGAGATAGTAGGGTAGAAAGGGTTTGCGGAGGCTGCCTCCCAGACTTCGTTCAGCGACATGAGTGTGGTGGAATTGAAGTGAAAGGTAAGAGGTTTATGTCAAGCACCAACAACTGAGGAGCGATAACGCGTGAAGACAGTATAGATGTGATCTGGCCGATCCGGGAAAACTGTTGTCCCGGTGCCGACCCCAGTTCACTTTCAGTTGCTTAATCACCGTTGCTTAATCTCCGCGCAAGTCCAACTGAACTCCACTCCACCACACTCTCGGCGTCTAACATGGCTATAGTTTCACCCAAGAGTGAGTTGTTTGCTCGTGGGGTTATATTTGGCTACAGGTATTGACTGGTCACAGGTTCAAAGAGGAAGGCGTCGGAAGAAGCTGCTTCCCCGGACTCTCAGCAACAGACGATTAAGAAAGCGCGTACTGATTCCCCAGAGAAAGAAGACGAGGTTCGTTGGTCAGCTCCGTACTTCACTTTGCATAATATTTAGCAAGATGTCACAGGAAGATGGTCCAGCACTGAAGCCCCCCCTTCGCATTGTGCCCTTTCCCGAGAAGGTGAGCTCCAACCCATCCCGCCGTCGCCGCACCCGCACCCACACCCACACCTTCTGTTGCTAATTTCGCGTTCCAGCCTGCTGTTCTAGAAGAGCGCCGAGGTGATATCGAGTTCCGAGTTGTCAACAATGACGGGTCACATGATAGCTTCATTGTCCTTACCGGTCTGAAGTGTATCTTCCAGAAACAACTCCCTAAGATGCCTAAGGACTACATCGCTCGACTGGTGTATGATCGATCGCACTTGTCAATTGCGATTGTAAAGCATCCGCTGGAAGTTGTTGGGTATGTGCAACAAGCAGGAATCACCGATTGGGGGAGATGCTAATCAATATACAGAGGAATCACTTATCGGCCATTCAACAGTCGCAAGTTTGCGGAAATCGTCTTCTGTGCCATTTCCTCGGACCAGCAGGTCAAGGGTTATGGTGCGCATCTAATGTCTCACTTGAAGGTATGATTGCGACTCTCCGGACTCCGGGCGTGTGCTGCATTCTGAACTGTATCATAGGACTATGTCAAAGCTACCTGCCCCATTATGCACTTCCTCACCTACGCAGACAACTACGCCATTGGATATTTCAAAAAACAGGGATTCACCAAGGAAATTACACTGGACCGATCAATCTGGATGGGCTATATTAAGGATTACGAGGGCGGTACCATCATGCAGTGTACTATGCTGCCCAAGATTCGATACCTTGAGATGGGGCGGATGCTACTGAAGCAGAAAGAAGCAGTGCAGGCGAAGATTCGAGCCTTCAGCCGTTCCCACGTTATTCATCCAGCACCCAAGGAGTGGAAGAACGGGGTAAATAAGATTGACCCTCTTTCAATCCCGGCGATTAAAGACTCCGGATGGTCACCCGACATGGATGAGATGGCCCGCCAGCCTCGTCATGGACCAAATCATAATCAGCTTCTGCACTTGCTCAACGATATGCAGAATCATAGTGCTGCCTGGCCCTTCACGCAGCCTGTGAACCGAGACGAAGTACCTGACTACTATGAGGTTATTCTCGAGCCAATGGACCTGTCCACCATGGAAGAAAAGCATGAGAAAGACATGTATCCGACCCCACAGGACTTTATCAAGGATGCTACACTCATCTTTACGAACTGCCGTCGATATAACAACGAGAGTACAGCGTATGCTAAGAGCGCGACTAAACTCGAACGTTTCATGTATCAGCAAATCAAAGCCATCCCGGAGTGGTCGGTAAGTACAAGTCTATGAAAACTGGACATTCCTAATTTACTCAGTACCAACTTGGCTAACCAATATTAGCATCTCGCTGACAACAACTGAGGTTCCCGATACCTTCAAGTTTTATTTATCAATTTTTTGGCTGGGGAGAGTGGTTTCAAATATTACATTATGTTATGGCGTATGGGCAGTAGCTGGAGTTATCAATACCCTATGAATGGATTTATCAGCGAGATACTTATGAAGAATACGAATGAATATCATACATACTGTGTACTACTACTTTATATGTACAGTAGTAAATCCAAGCTTTAAATTAAGATCGTAGTTATGATGCAATCAAATTATGGGTGACAGGTGGGTCCGGATCAACCATTGATGCGATGTTGTTTCATGAAGGATTGCAGAACGAAGATGGCTGGATTTACATCTCGTCAACCTTGTCACCTTCGTTTCAATCGTTCATGGGCTTGCTCCTATTTTGATTCTCTCTGAATCTCTGGCTTGCTATCCCAGCAGCTCGCTTTTCTCCCCTTTTTATCTTTTCTTTCGCTTCCCAGGGATCATCAAATTTCCGGATACATTGCGTGTCCTACCACGACTTACCCATTTATTTTCTCCAAGCCTCTCTTTTAGCACCTTTCGCAGTGTTTTCCATTCTCTTAATCCTGAAATTTTATTGTCTTTCTCGCCATTCGCTTTCCGCCAAGGTCCTCTCCAAGTAACATTGCTCGGGGCCCGCGCGACCTGACACGCTCCTTACCCCTTTCGGGTCAGCCTTCAACCCCTCGGTGCTGGAATTTTCACCGACCAAACCCCCTCAACAACAACTCAACATGTCTACCTGGGAAGCTCACATGGACTCGGAGGCGCGCAATCGGCTGCCGACTCTGTTTGAAGTGCTGAGTCGCCGCACTTTGGCCCCTGTCGATCTCTTTTCCTTCTACATTTACATGCGCGACCAGCAACGTTCTGTTGACTACCTTGACTTCTGGTAGGTATCAAATCTCAGGGTCTATCGATTCGTGTGTACCGGGCGGTATTAATGAATCTTTCTCAGGCTCGATGTCTCTCAACACATGTCCCTTTGCCGCCACTATGTCCGTGAACTTCGCCGCTCCGTGCTCGTCGCAACTCCCGACATGGAGAGAGCAGACAGCAAACGATCTTCCGCGATGCTCGAGAACCTGGAGAACTTAGGTGATATTCCGATGACGGAGGCTGGGCCTTCACGCCTGGCAGGTAACGAAAAAGAACGCGATGCCGATCATCGCCTGTCTGCTTTCCTGCGGTCGGAAGGCCACACCTCAACCCACTCGCCCCAGAACAGCATCGGATCCGAATCCGTTTACCAAACCCGCACCGAGTCGCCCGATTTGCAACCACGTCCTAGCTCCGGTACTCACAATGGTGACGACTCCAACTCTCCCGGTCACACCGTTGCCCGTAACGATATCCGCGCCAGCGCCGAAAAGATTCTCTACACTTACTTGCTCCCTGGATCTGAACGCGAAATTGTCTTGCCTGAAACAATGGTCTCGACTATAATCAACCTGATTGAAGATGACGGTCGTGATGATCCGCAGGTGTTTGACCCTGCCAAGGACTACGTTTTTCAAGCTATGGAGCGCGATGCTTTCCCAGGTTTCTTGCAGGCCAAGGCCCTGGGCAATCTTGTGCCACTGAGCATTATTTTGCGTCTGGCCTTTGCTCTGATCAGCTTCGGTGGCGGGTTCTGGGGAGCCTTCTATGTTGTTCTGCGCAACAAGCCTCGGCACATTCGTTGCTGGGTCATTCTTCCCTTTGCTGTTGCGGCCTACTTCATCGTCTCGTACCAGTATAAGATTGATCCCGTCATGGCGTTTATTGCTTACAGCGAATACACCTTTATGAACTGGGCACCGATTCGCGAACCCTATGTTCGCAAACTGCTGAACAAGCGCGCTATCGTCACTGCGGCCGTTGCCTTCCTCACAGCTGCTGCCTTGAGTATTCTGTTCATCTTCGTTCCTGGTACCATGATGTGAGCCCGTCAATTTGCTTCACGCTTTCATCCTGTACAGTTCAGTACTCCGATTATGTGCCTTCACGTCACTGTCGCTCGCACTGATTCGATCTGCCGGGGGCTTTCCTAGCCTGGCGTCTGGATTTCCATGTTCCGGTCTGCTTCTGCGAAGCATCATCTTTCGAAAATCTTTTGAAAATCCTTTCAATATTCAATATCTTGCTTTCGGAGTCTTAAGCCTCTAATTTCCCGGGCTGCCACTCTGATGGTTTGTTCAACCCCCCTACCACCCGCCTATTTAGCGGTCCTCCTACTTCTCCTTGTCTTGTCCATATTTGCTTCTACTTTGATTTCCCTGCCATCTTTTCCCTTCTACCAATACCCCTTCTGACCGCAGACATTGTATTTATGTTTTCAATGAGTCGTTGCCCTCGGGGCTTTACGAATGCAATCTATTCACTTCGGTGTCATAAATCTGAATTCGTAATCAATTCGCATGTAAAACTGTAGAATCTAAGTCATAAGATCCAGCTAGTATCACCATACAATATACTGTCGTTAAACCGCCCATGAGAACACGAGCAGGGCACGCTAGATGCAGAAGCCATAAAAATCGCACTCAACCTTGCCGCCCAAGTATTCTCTTCGTCCGACTCCCATTGCCCCGTCCAGACCCCCCAGCCCCAGCACCTTCATCAATATCCATCCCGTCTCCTCCTGCATCAAAGAACCCATCATCCTGATCAATATCCTCTGCCTCACGCTTATTCCCCATGCCCCAAAACCTGCGCCCACGCCGTTTAGCCGCATCTCCCCTCCCACTTCCGGCCTGCGGTCCATCTCCCCCACTTCCAACAACCGCCTTGCGTCTCTCCAAGCCTTCCTCCAACGCCCGCTGATGCGTCGCCTCCTTCACAGCCCGTTTAGCCGCTTTATCCTTCACGGCCTGGATCTCTGCTTCCAGGTCCCCGATTACATCCCCGCACCGCGCCTGCCACGCCGTAAGGAGACTGTGCATTTGCGGGAGCGAGTGCGGCTGTATGTCCCGCAGCGGCGCAATAGATGTCACATTGATAGTAGCCGGTGTTGTGGCGGGCGATAAGCGCGCCGTAATCAGGGAGCTGTAGATTGCGGTTGTGACGAGGGATTCGAGGTCACCTGGTGTGGAGAGGGAGAGGGCGGACATGAGAGATTGATAGGTCAAAGGCTTGGTAGTTGTTGCGAGGGAGAGGAGAGAAAGGAGACGGAGTTTTTGCGCTTGCTCGAAGCTCAATTTAGGGAGGTTGGGGGTTGCTGGATGTTCCAAAATGTGGGTATTAGTTTACTTGGTTGGTACTTGTAGTCATGTCATGTAGATAGAGTACATGCGGTGTGGGTGGGTTTGGAGGCTTCGTTACCTTCGTAATCTTGCCATGTGCCCCAAGCGAAGATCTGCAGAAGCTTCAAGTAGCTCTGGTATTCTGCTGGTGTGTCGGGGGAGCTTAAGGATTGGATGGTTGGTGTCTCCAGTAGCTCGGCGAAGACGAAGGTGTGAGGGCTGGAAGTGGCATTTGTGATTAGGTTGGCGACGAAGCGGGGGGAGGTGGCGCTGTTTGCTTTGGCGAGGTGAATAAACGGTTGTAGAGCCTCGACGGCTCGTGTGTGTGCTGTTTCCATGATGATTGAGAGAAAGAGCGGTAATGAGTGATAATGGGGGGATATTTTGGAGTTGGAGAGGGGGGGAGCTTGGATAGATACTTGTAGATCCACTATATGCTTTACTGCCCGGGTCTGGGCGGTGATGGGGGTTCCGCTGCCCGCATCACTCTATCTCCGTTGCCCTAGAATTAGATCTATTGCCAGGACGTCCCTCTGCTATGGCTTTCATTCTCCACAACATGGCAAAGTGTACTCTCGCTAGAATTAAAAACGAACACCTGTTTTGAATAACAGATCTCAGTTGGACAGGCGCAGATGTACTAGTAGCGGTGAAATATCTATATCGAGCATACTACATAGTACAGTATGAAATTATTTAATTTGGTGATATCAATATAACCCCAGTCAAGTCTCTTCTTATTTCATACATTTGTATTTTTATTTACGCTAGGCCTAATATAGTTTGCAAACTGTTGCTCAAACGATGATTGGTGGACACTAGAAACAACGTGGGCAGCAGTGAGTCGAGGGACACCGTGAAATGCTGTTTTTATGATGCTGTGATTTACTGGTAAATCCACACAATATTGAAGAGAATTGGGTGAAAGACGTTGAGACATCTTCGAAACTTTCTTACAGTGTTTCAATTCTAAGGTTAGAAATCTCGATATTGAGAACATGCACTAAAGACACGACATGGAGCTTAAGTTACCGGTTATTTACCTATATCATAGCTTATATTATCTATTAGAGGTTGGCGTCAAAACTGTGATCCCTAGAAGCCTGGTGGAACTAGCTACTCTTAAATTACTAAGTAGGTAGCCTTAAGCAAGAAAATAAACAATGAAATATTCAAATGTTGTTTTACAAACATAACATTGAATAAACATTAGCCTGGTATCAAGGACTCGTCGCCATGCATGTCCCCAGGTTTCTACCTGTAAGGATAACCCCGCAGCACATAAGACTAAGGGGGTGAATGGCGATCCCAAACATTCGTTAGTACTGAGTATGTACATTTACTAAGTACTAAGTATACTAGTATACTTTAATGTTATGTAGCACTCTTGTCAGTACTTCGGGAGTATATTCAATGAAACCCAGGTATGTGAATCCTCTTCTTTAGAAACCCTAAGCTCTACCTAAGAATATAGATGAGACATCAATTATCCCGAGTGAAACATAGAAGTTACAAATAATGATTTCAAAAAATGACCTATAAGAACCCGTGCTGAACAAGCCGGGAGAGATGCCCTGGAGTAGCGCTTGACAACGACGATAGACATCATTTGCATGATTTACATGCCTCATTAGTGAGAGAGTGAGATACCTCGTGGTACACCAGTAATTCTCCCAGACCTCGCTATTGCTAAGGTGCCTTTTCTATCGATCTTAAGGATATCGATGTATTCCTCTATTTCTTCATTACCTCAGTCCATCAATTGTTGTTGTTTTGCTCCAACATTCATCCCTCATCCCCATCTTTTCATCACGCATTGCATTTCCAAGGTTCAAATTCCGCCATGTCTATGACTTTGGCCGATGTGCCTGCAAATCATCGTAAGCGTTTTTCCCCGTGGGTTCAAAATATCGAGAATGCATCTGACGTGATATCTGACACAGCCTATCGTTCCCTCCGGCTGCCTAACGACGCCCCATTTGAGCTGAAGCCATCGCCAGGTAAAGGATGGGGTGTTTTCGCAACAGAACTTATCAAAAATGAGAGCCTCATTCTCACGGAACGGCCCCTCTTCTTCTTCGAAAAGCCGAAGGCTTTAATCACAGTAGGCGAGGCCGCCAAGGCCATTCTTTCATTGCCGCTTGACAAAAAAACCCAAGTCAGCCTCATGCTCAAGAACGGAACCTCACTCTACCAAGATCTTAGATACCTAGTCGGCGAAAACTCGTTCTCTCTGAGAGACTCACATTCTCATGCGCCCGCCTGGGGATTTTTCCTCCTCCAGTCACGTTTCAACAACTCGTGTACACCTAACTCCAGAATCGTGGCAATGGGTCAGGGAGTGATTGTAAGATACGCGAATAGAGATATCCAGCCTGGCGAAGAAATCACTTCCATTCATACCGTGTACGATTTCGTGTCCACAAGATTTGAGCGTCAGCGGCGCATCAGTTTTCCCTGTCACTGCGCAACTTGTCAACTTCCTCCTCTCTTACAGCAAGCCAGTGATCTGCGACGCCGACTGATGCGAGGTCTGGTGTTCTTGATCGATGGCGAGGACCAATGCAGCTCATCGCCAGTTATTATTGACACGGAAATGCGACGTCGTGCTGCAAGCTTCGACCTATCTCTTTGCACGATCATTTTCTTTGATTTTCTTTTGCTTTTTTTGCTTGCGGAAGAAGGATTGTTCCAAGATGCTTTTCTCGCGAAATTTAGGGGTGGACTTGCTCAAAGGGGTCAGTTCATTAGGTCGGAAAGCACTCGAATTATTTTTGAGATGGCTAAGAAACAACACCACTGGGTGAATATGCTGCAAGTTGCTTCCCGTCTGTATGGTCGAGTGGATCCTGGCGATGCTCATTACACCTTTGTGAGGCGGCAGGAGCAAGCCTCGCGCCGAATGGAGGGGGTTGTTACTTCGTGATATGAAGCCCTTGACTGGCCGCTTGCTGTCTTGGATGACGATGTTGAAAGACCTGTGCGATCACTTATGTGTGAAATACGCATTTACTAATAGCTTCCAATGATGATCTACTGCCTGTGCCTATTGGCAGAAAAGTATTTTACTTTCTAGAAATTCTGTAGGGTAAGAAACGACAGCGAATCGCTTTCTTAGTCTGGAATGACAGAGACCAAGATCGCGCCCCTACCTCGTATTAGCAAGTACATACCAATCTATAGAGATATGTGTATAGCATATGTAGAAACAAGTGGAATAAGCAAAAGGGCAAGAAATATCAATTGTTTTAGTGCGACTGATTTCATACATGCATGATCCTAGAAAGATGATCGTATAATTCGTATATCAGGATTCCCATCTACACATGTGCAGGTGCATTGCTTAGTAGATGTAATAATGAGATGAGATAGTCACACAGAATCGCTTACCGGATCTTGAATGTTCACCCTTTTTTCTACTTTCTGAAACGCCCTCAGCCCTAAATTTGTTTCACCATCCCCTGATTGGATTTATTGTTCTTTAATTATCAGGGACACCTGAATACCATGTGGATTTATTATACGGGCAAAGTTGATGGGATTCAGGCCCCATCTGATTGTATTGGCCTAAATAAGAGATGCATTCCACAAACAAGGTGGATCCCCGTCTCCCCTCTCTGTCCTGCGTAATCAACTCTGCAGACTCCGCTTTTCCCGATTTAAATGCCTGGTCCCACGCCCTTGATTCCATGCTTCTCTACCAGGACGACGTGGCCTTTTTATTATTGGACTGTTGATGGTTCTTTGCCAGCCTGCAGTCACTTTCATTCGGGAAATGATCTGATCAGTCCAGTGTCGATCCGAGAGCTTCCGTCTTATTGACATATCACGTTATCCACCCCATCACGAACCGCGCCTCCTACATTAAAACTCGAACGCCCTCATGCGATAATATACCTTCCTTCCCGACTCCTTGTACCATACACCGCTTATCGCCATGTCTGCCGATGCTGCAGGCCCGCGCGATGCGGCCTCTCCCAGTCGACTGCCCGCCATGGCTACCACGACCGTCAAAGTGGATGGCATGACCTGCGGAGCCTGTACTTCTGCCGTCGAGGGCGCTTTTACAGGGGTAGATGGCGCCGGCGAGGTCTCTGTGAGCTTGATAATGGGCCGGGCTGCGGTACAACACGATCCGACAATACTTTCGCCGTCAAAAGTGGCGGAGATGATCGAGGACTGCGGATTTGATGCGTCGGTTTTGTCGACAGAGGAGCATCTAAAAACTATCGTGAACGATCTGCAGGAAACGCCCAGAACTTATTCATCGACAACTACCCTCGCGATCGAAGGCATGACTTGCGGCGCATGCACCTCTGCTGTTGAGAGCGGACTGGCTGACGTTGCTGGTATCAACTCGGTCAATGTGTCGCTGCTCTCGGAGCGAGCTGTGGTGGAACATGATGCGGACATTATTACCCCGGAGCAAATAGCGGAAATAATTGAGGATCGAGGATTTGGAGCGCGAGTGTTGGAAACCAAGGCGCCGGCTGGCTCGTGCGATGGTTCCACACTTGGTGATATGATTGAAGACAAGAGAGGACACATGGTTACTACAGTTTCTATCGGAGGAATGACTTGTGGCGCTTGCACCTCGAGTGTGCAGAATGCCTTTGTCGATGTTGACGGCGTGGTTCAGTTCAACATCAGTCTCCTCGCCGAACGCGCCGTGATCGTACATGATCGGTCAATTTTGACCGCTAAGGCTATCTTGACACTCGTGGAAGATGCTGGATTTGATGCGTCGATCGTGTCATCCGAAGCGCAAGAACCTCTCTCGAGGAAAACGCAGCAGCTTCATCTCACTCTTCACGGATTACGAGACGCCGCATCCGCCTCTGCGCTAGAAAGGGATCTCTCCTCCAGGCCTGGAATCAAAACCGCCTCCATCACATTATCAAATTCCCAATTGAGTGTTGCCTTTGATACATCCGTTATTGGTATTCGATCTGTCTTCGATGTGATTGAAGCTGCTGGATATAACGCGCTGATCACGGATTTGGATGACACCAACGCACAGTTGGAATCATTATCTAAAACCAAGGAAATCCAAGAATGGCGACGGGCTTTTATCGTGTCTGTTTCTTTTGCGGTTCCCGTATTCTTTATCAACATGCTGCTTCCTATGTATATGCACCCAATTGATTTTGGGCGGTTTCAGCTCTTTCCTGGTCTTTATCTGGGAGACTTGTTATGCCTTACTCTCACTATACCAGTGCAATTTGGCATTGGTCGGCGGTTTTACATCTCTAGCTTCAAATCTTTGAAGCACAAATCTCCCACTATGGATGTTCTTGTTATGCTAGGCACATCGGCTGCCTTCTTCTACAGCTGTTTCACCATGGCGATGGCTATCTTTAGCGACTACCACAAGCGGCCGAGCACCGTCTTTGATACTAGTACTATGCTCATCACATTCATCACTTTAGGAAGATGGTTGGAGAATCGCGCTAAGGGGCAGACGTCTGCAGCGCTCTCCCGCCTTATGTCATTGGCTCCATCCATGACTACTATCTACGAAGATCCTATTGCAGCAGAAAAAGTGGCTGATGGCTGGGCATCTTGGGATGGTCAGCCCGTTTTGGCTGAAGATTCAACCGTGAACCAGAAACTCATCCCTACAGAACTGATCCAGGTCGGGGACATTGTCGTTCTTCACCCCGGTGACAAGGTGTCTGCTGACGGTATCGTGATTCGCGGCGAGAGTTATGTGGATGAGAGTATGATTACAGGTGAAGCATTGCCAATCCACAAGAAGAAAGGCAGCTACGTCATTGCTGGTACTGTCAACGGCACTAGTGCGGTTGATTTCAAAGTCACCCGGGCAGGCAAGGATACCCAGTTAAGTCAGATTGTCAAATTGGTCCAGGATGCACAGACAAGTCGGGCTCCAATCCAACGCATGGCGGATATCGTGGCTGGCTACTTTGTGCCCACTATCATCTGCCTTGGCCTGGTAACCTTTTTCGGTTGGATGATCCTCAGCCATATCCTACCTAACCCACCCAAAATCTTTAAATCTGAAGAAGCGGGTGGCAAAGTTATGGTCTGTCTGAAATTATGTATTTCAGTGATTGTTTTCGCTTGTCCTTGTGCTTTGGGTCTTAGTACACCTACCGCCGTGATGGTTGGAACTGGTGTTGGTGCTGAAAATGGAATCTTAGTCAAGGGCGGTGCTGTCCTCGAGGCTGCAACCAAAGTGAACCATGTTGTCTTTGACAAAACAGGTACCTTGACCACAGGCCGGATGAGTGTCGCTCATACCCGGATCGAACCTCAATGGACGGCAAATGATTGGCGTCGCCAATTATGGTGGCTTCTTGTCGGTCTAGCCGAGACAGGCAGTGAGCACCCAATCGGACGCGCCATTCTATCCGAAGCTAAGACAGAATCTGGTCACCCTGGAGAAGACGGCCTTCCAGGAAGCATTGGAGAATTTGATGCCTGCGTTGGCCAGGGAATTTCGGCAACTGTTGAGCCATCAACATCCGGCGAGCGTACCCGCTACCAGGTTCTTTTGGGTAACGCAGAGTTCTTGCGCTCAAACGAAATACCCGTGCCGGAATCTGCTGATCCCGAATCATCGGGAACCAATGACTCCGAGGAATTGAGGCCCAAACCCACTGGCGCTGGATCTGGCATTACTCGGATCCATGTCGCAATTGACAAGCGATACGCAGGAACGATTTCCCTTCGTGATAGTGTCAAGGATAGTGCAGTCGCGGCAGTGGCTGCCCTGCATCGCATGGGCATTGCAATTTCCATGGTCACGGGTGACACTCTGTCATCAGCGATCTCAATCGCAACCGCCGTTGGCATCCCCTTATCTTCGGTCCACGCCTCTGCCTCCCCATCTGACAAGCGCACCATCATCTCCCGCCTCCAGATGAGCGGAGAGCGAGTCGCTATGGTTGGAGATGGCATCAACGACTCTCCTGCTCTGGCCACTGCTTCTGTTGGAATTGCCCTGGCCTCCGGCACCGATGTCGCGATGGAAGCGGCAGATATTGTTCTCATGCGCCCGGATGATCTCCTGACCGTACCAGCTAGTCTCTCCCTGTCGCGCACTGTCTTCACTCGCATCAAGATGAACCTTGTCTGGGCATGTCTCTACAACGTCATCGGCCTGCCCTTCGCAATGGGCATCTTCCTACCTTTCACTGGCTTCATGCTTCCTCCCATGGCAGCCGGCGCTGCCATGGCTATGTCCAGCGTCTCGGTTGTTGTCAGTAGTCTACTTTTGAAGCTTTGGCGTCGTCCCTCCTGGATGGACATTGACCGCCTTGAAAAAGAGGTCAACTCCGGTGCTATCTCCGCTACTGGTCGTGCACGCCATTCTCGCAAAGCTAGCTGGTGGTCACCTGCTACCATCCTATCCCCTGACGATCCACGCTCGGCCCGTCGCTACGTTGTGCATGTTATTGCTGCGCTATGGTCAGTGGCAACTGGCAAGCAATCGGCTCGAGAAGATGAGGGCTATGTCCCACTACAAACTGTTGAACCTGTATGAGCGGCTTATTTTATGATTTTCATTTTCATCAATCATTTATGGCGAGGGGACCTTGGGGTGCTTTTGTTGATACATTTGTTGGCATATTGGTAATGTTTTCACCTTATTCGATACCTCTCATCTATAGCATTCTAGTAGGATTTCTTTCAAGGATTGAATTATTGATCATTCACTCCACCTTGTTCGGTAATACATGTTTTTCAGGGTTGCTTCGATTGATATAATAAACACCATAGTAGACGACCACAAAATTCTACCAACAAAGACAAATAAATGGATAGCAATGAAATAAGAAAATTTTGAATGTAAGTTGGAAAAAAAAATCAAAAATCAAAAAAGAAATGATAATGGGGCGAGCCGGGATTGAACCGGCGACCTCACGATGACAATGTCAGACTGTAGTGAACTTCAGTCGTGCGCTCTCCCAACTGAGCTATCACCCCTTGATATGATAAGAATCAAGAAGTTACGTCACATAACTCAACTAATAGTTTACCTGCGGACGTTCTTCATCCCAACTATTGCAGGGATTACATGGCCCTAATAAGTTCAATCGAGCAGCGCAAACATGAAGAGTTCGAGTTCAGACTTATACATGAGTCCTACGTGCTATAACATCTCAAGTGCTTTCAAATAATGCCTCCAGGGCTTGCATCAAATGTGAATGTACATACACATGATATTTCCAAGCACTTGAGTCCTCGCTATAACTACTATATATACCCAGGGAGTACCTCTGACTCGCTGCCCTAAATCTGTAACCTTATCGCCGTATCAGAGGTAACCCATCCGCTACCTTGAGTGTCCAACCTATTGAAACTGCACCAGGTTTTCAGAAAGAAGGAACCCTATCCACGACCACCATGAGCGGATACATGCACTCCGACCCTTTCGACGAGGGCATGCTCGCCGTCGGTACAATCCACCACATCCACTACGAACAATACGGCAAACCAGATGGCAAACCCGGTAACCCAGCACCCCCATTGAAGCATTGAACCCAATGCACCCCTGCGACCTCGTTCATTAGTACCTAGATAAATAAAACCCATCATCTAACACTCAAACCCCAGTAATATTCCTGCACGGCGGACCAGGAGGCCAAACCTCCAAAGCAAACACAGCCTACTTCAACCCAGCACTCTACCGCGTAATCCTGCTCGACCAACGCGGCTCCGGCAAATCCACCCCGCAAACCGAGCTGCGCGAAAACACCACACAACATCTAGTCTCCGACATCGAGGCTCTCCGCACCCACCTCGCCATCCCAAAATGGCACCTGCTGTTCGGCGGGTCCTGGGGCTCAACGCTCGCCCTGCTCTATGCGCAGGCGTACCCGGACAGAGTGGGCTCCATGCTTCTCCGCGGGATCTTCACGACGCGTGATGCGGAGACGAGCTGGTCGCGGAGTGCGCTGGGGGCTGCGAACGTGTTCCCCGAGGCGTGGGAGGCGTTTGTGGGCTTTCTCCCCGTGGAGGAGCGGGGGGATCCGTCGGCGGCTTATTATAGAAGGCTTACGGGGGCTGATGAGCGGGTTAGGGTTGCGGCGGCGAGGGAGTGGAATCGGTGGGATTTGAGTATTGGGGCTTTGAGGGTTGATGAGGGGGCGTTTGCGGCGTTGGAGGATGTTGAGTGGAGTTTGAAACATGCGCTTATGGAGGCGCATTATTCTGTGCATGGGTTTTGGTTGGAGGAGGGGCAGATTTTGGAGAGGGGGAATTTGGAGAAGATTGCTCATATTCCTGGTGAGTTTTTTTTTGAAGAGAATTGGGCAGCTGGGATTGGGATTGGGATTGATCTGACTTGGGCTTTTTCAGTGACTATTGTTCAAGGCCGTTATGATATGGTTTGTCCGGCACAGACGGCGTGGGAGTTGCATCGCGGTTTGCCTCAATCTAAATTGATTTGGGTTGCAGATGCGGGACATACGCCAAAGGTTAGTCTGTGGTGATAAGTTTTGAATCAAAACATATGCTTACTCGATTTATAGGAACCCGGGATAAAAGCGGAGCTGTTGAAAGCTTGTGATGAATTCTCGATGGATCTGGCATAAGCTAGATACTAGTAGGTACTGCATATTATGTATAGAATAATGGCTCTTTCAAAGACGCTACAATGCACAAACCATTCAAATGTTAAGGGATGGCATTATTTGAACCTTGGAAGTCTACCTGGATCTATTGCTTCCCGATAGATGTGATCAACTCAGATCTCGATTTCCGATCAACTTATCAAATGAATTAGGTCGTTACTCATAAGGCCAAATGGCAAACAAGAAAATAAACAAATGCAAAACGCAAGCCTTCACTCCTTCTCGGTCCCAGCAGGCTGCGTGGTATCGACACCTGGGTTCAGAGTCTCCTTCTGGGTTGTATCTTCTGTCGTGGATTCCTCTTTGGGGGTCGTATCGTCAAGAACAATATCGCCATCCTTGTCAGCTGTGGCAGGTCCAGCATCTGCCTTGGCTTCCTCAGTGGTGGCATTGCCAGACACCGCCTGCTGGGCCTCTAGGTTCATTTCGACACCCTTTCCATCTTGCAGGCCCATATCCTCCACGCCAACGACTGATGGGCCACGAGCATGGGGAACCTCATCCGACTCAGCGTGGGGGGAACCAGGCGTTGCTGATTCTTCTCCCTCGACGATGGCCGTAGGAGGAACAGCCGTTGTAGCGATATCAGCTTCTTGGAGCTGGGGTTGTCCATTCTCTGCTGTAGCAATATATTAGTGAAATGTCCACAAGATCAATCAAGCGAATAAACTAGATGAACATGGACGTACCCTCTTGCGAGATACCAGGATTCCCGCTCTCAAATGACGCATTAGTCAACCACGGAATTGGAGTCAGGAGAGCTCCACCCAGCGACTCATCGCTGCCCAAGCCAGTGGTGTAATCGGTGGTAAGATAAGCCCCGGCACTATTTGCGGGATGAAGAAGTCCATTTGACTGGTCCGTATTCGCAGGGGTGTTGAATGGGAAGATATCAGCAGCGCTGGTTACAGAAACGACCCTGTCGACGGCGCGAAGATAAGCCGGCAGTGTTTTGTAATGAGCGGTTGGCCGAAGGATGAGCTCCGCGAGTCTCTGGATCGTGTGCGGCGGCTTTTCTACGAAGAAGACTTGGATCGAAGAGCGGATAGAGCGCAAGAGGAGTGCAAGTGCAGCCGGTAAGGTGTCGTTTGCCTGTTGCGCGGAGGACTGAGGCTGCGAATCTGGTATGCGCTCAGTCGACGGAGATGAAGCGAGCGGCTCCTCAGCATGGGGTCCCGGAGCTGCATTCTCCTTATTGCTGCTCTCTGGCGGAATGTCGTTTGCCTCGGTAGCTTGGATCGGTGATCGGGCGAAGGGCTGTGAGTTAAGGGTGCCCGGCGGCAGCTTGGGCATGGGGAATACATTGTAAACGATCTAAGCTGTAGGTTAGAGCTATCGGCATAGCTAGTAGACAAGCTGCACAGCTAAGACTCACGAATTCCAGCCGCTCTAGTAGCGGTGTCACGATGACAGTCCATTTCTCTCTAGATCAGAGTATCAGTATCGCGTGCGTGCTCTAGCGCATTCTCCTTAGTCCTAGTGTCGAACATACAAGTCAATCGAGCCGCCATTGGCTACTGCCTCGAGGGCTCCTTCGTCTTTCGTAAATATGTTAGCCTGATGAACGCGACTAAAAGCTGCATAGTGCTAGACTCACCGAGAGACATGGTCGACATGTGCAAGTAACGAAGACAGCGGCGATCATCAAGTTGCAGGCTGGGGGCGGTGATGGCTGATGCTTCCGATTGGCAATGATTTGATCTTATCGATAGGGTCAGGTGACCCGCCCGCGAATTTTCGGTGGAGGGGCAATTTACTCATCTACTTACTCATAGCTGAATTATAATTACTCAATTCATATTTCTCACGACGACACGATGTGGAACTCCCCCAAGGTCGGAATTCTCGGCGGTGGCCAGCTTGGTCGCATGCTCGTCGAGGCCGCCAACCGATTGAACATCCAGGCCAACGTCCTGGACGCCGACAACTCCCCGGCCAAGCAGATCAGCTTCCACGACGGCCATGTCACCGGTTCGTTCAAGGAGCGCGAGGCTGTTCGTCAATTGGCCAAGTCCTGCGATGTGATTACCGCCGAGATCGAGCACGTTGACACCTATGCCCTCGAAGAGGTCGCCTCGGACGTCCGAGTGGAGCCCAGCTGGCAGGCTATTCGCACCATCCAGAACAAATTTAACCAGAAGGAGCACCTGCGCAAATATGGAATTCCCATGGCCGATCACCGGGAGCTGGTCGAGAACACCCCGGAGGCATTGGAGAAGATTGGAGAAGAGCTCGGTTACCCGTTGATGTTGAAGTCGAAGACAATGGCTTATGATGGACGAGGTAAGCATGGGCCCTTCATTGACAATTGGAGCAACGAGCTGATGTTTCCCTAGGCAACTTCCGCGTGAACTCCAAGGCAGACATTCCCGAGGCTCTTGAGGCCCTCAAGGAGCGACCATTGTATGCGGAGAAGTGGGCGTACTTCAAGATGGTTAGTCATACCCTATAACCTCAGACCACAACTTCCAGGAAGGTATCTAACTCTTTCTTCTTTCTTTAGGAGCTGGCTGTCATGGTCATCAAGACCAAGGACCAAGTGCTTTCCTACCCCACCGTCGAGACCGTCCAGGAGGACTCAATATGCAAGCTGGTCTACGCGCCAGCCCGGAACGTATCCGACAAGATCAACGAGGAAGCCCAGGCCATGGCCCGCAAAGCCATCTCCGCATTCGACGGCAAGGGAGCCTTCGGCGTGGAGATGTTCCTGTTGGAAGACAACAGCCTCATGCTGTGCGAGGTCGCCAGCCGAATCCACAACTCCGGCCACTACACCATCGAAGGCTGCGGCATGTCCCAATTCGAAGCCCACATCCGCGCCATCATGGATCTTCCCATCCCCGCCAAGAGCCTCGAGATCCGCCAACCCTCCATCATGCTCAACATCATCGGCGGCTCCGCCCCAGACACCCACCTCAAGGCCGCCGAGGCTGCCCTCTCCATCCCGAACGCAAGCATCCACCTGTACAGCAAGGGTGCTGCCAAGCCCGGCCGTAAGATGGGTCACGTCACCGTCACCGCTGCGTCCATGCACGAGGCTGAGACTATCATCCAGCCCCTCGTTAACGTCGTGGACGATATCCGTGCTCAGCGCACCGATATCAAGACCAAGGCCGTTGCCTCTGGTCCTGGCAAGCCCGCTCCCCAGGTTGCCGTCGTCATGGGCTCAGACAGTGATCTTAAGACTCTGGTCCCTGGTCTCAAGCTGCTGGAGAGCTACTTCGGTCTCGTGCCCGCCGTCGAGATCACTTCTGCCCACCGTACCCCGAACTACATGGCCGAGTACGCTGCCGAAGCTGCCGCACGCGGTGTCAAGGTTATCATCGCTGCTGCTGGTGGTGCTGCTCATCTCCCCGGTATGGCCGCTGCTCACACTGCTCTCCCTGTCATCGGAGTGCCGGTGAAGGGTAGCGTTTTGGACGGCGTCGACAGCTTGTACAGCATTGTGCAGATGCCCCGTGGTAAGTTTCGCTCACATCGTATTGACATATCTATTTCAAGCCCGCTAACTGTATTCCAGGTGTCCCCGTCGCGACCGTTGGAATCAACAACAGCATTAACGCTGCTCTCCTTGCTGCCCGTATCATCGGCGCCTTCGACCCTGCCATCCAGCGCAAGGTGGAGACTTACGCCGAGGAGGCTCGCGCCGAGAACATGGAGACCAAGGGCACGAAGCTGCAGGCTTTGGGCTGGGAGAAGTACTTTGCGCAGATGTAAATCCGCGTTCCATAGACTTGAATACGGCTCTGTACAATCTACAGGCATGTATGTGGGTAGTAGAGCCAGGCACCACAAAAGGTTAAGGAGAAGAAAATATTCCGATTTGTTTTGTTTTGTTGCAGAAGATGGATGCAGTGCTATCTTATCTTCTGTTTGTACAGCGGAAGGCGTTTTTATATCAGATTAGACGACAATGAATGACTATCAACACTTAAAATACAACCTTCCATGGAAGGCTAGAAGACACTATACGAAGATGGTAGTAGAGCCGAAACATGAGGATCTATGACAGAAATCTTAATCAATTGATGAGTTCCAAGCTCTCCCTCGGCAACATCAATTGACTATAGAATGCAGCCCTACCAATGGATCACTGTGGCTGAAGGGAGTGGATCGAACCCCGCCGGCCCACAAAGTCACCAAGCCATCGGGACTATACAATATCCCCTGCCTTGCATTTATTTCCGAAGTTATCCGAGGAAGCCTGTTATTAGATCAAAAGCCTTACACGCCTATTTACGAATCCCCAAAAAAATGTAGAAATCATGACAAATATTGATTGCAGAACACTTGAGTGGCACATGATAGTATGTATTAGGCAACCACTGCACAAACCCATACTCATACAAGAAACCAAAACGATAAACGATAATGCATAAGGGGGAAATCATAACAAAAATCCAAAAACACAAAAATCCAAGAAAAAGGAACATAAGCATCACGATGGGCATGATGTGCATCAATCCATATTGTATCCGTACAAGAGCGGAGATGGAATGGACACCACTCCTTTCTCACTCGTGACAAGGGAAGCAAACTTAAGGATTAACGATCGAGCCGTTAACCACCTGAGCGGCACCGTTAGTGTGCTTAACGTCACTGACACCCTTGCCGTTGACGAAAGCCTGGTCGAGCTCATCCGAGAATCCACGCGAGGGATATCCATCGACCTTAGTGCCAGAGGTAGCATGGGCAGTAGAGCCCGAGGCTCCAGCCGCAGCAGCGTTGCCCGCCGCACCGCCAGCGACGGCGCCAGCAACTCCGCCAGCAACGCCGCTAGTGGCTCCGCTGGTGGCTCCACCGACTTTGCCGTCAGCAGTGGTGTGGGGCTTGCGAGTGACGGGGCCGGCGGAAGCGATACCGGTGGACTCGGAGGCGCTGCCGATGCTGAAGATGGGGCACTCCCAGCGCTCGCCCTTGGCGGCCAGATCGGCGTACTCGGTGGCCTTGGTGGAGACGCCGCCGGGCAGCTTGACGTCGGGGAAGATGGAGTCGTGCATGGTCATGACGGTCTGGACCTTGGTGTCGCGCTTGACGACGGCCTCGGCCTGCTTGGCCTTGGCCTGGCTGCGCGCACGGATAGCGTCGGCGTAGCGGGAGAACATGCTTGGGGCGTTCTCGGGGTCCTCGCGGGCGGCCTCGGCGGCCTTCTTGGCTTCGATGGAGATCTCGTTGGCCCAGGCGTCACCCTTGTTGAAGGCTTCGCGGATTTGGGCCTCGACGACCTTCTCGAGGGCGGGGCGGACGACGCGGAAGAGCATGGGCTTGAAGGTGGAGAACAGGACCTTGTGCTTGGATTTCTTCAGCTTGATGTCGAAGTTCTTGATGTTGACCGAGACCTTGTCCAGCTTGACGATGTGCTGCTTGTCACCCTTGTTGACGGTGGAGGCGGCAATCTTGAAGCCGAAGCCGTCGCCGCTGAGCAGGATGTCCATGATACCGGTGTCGGTGATGGAGGGGAAGCCCTGCTTCTTCTTGATGTAGTAGCTGACGTCGCGCAGATCGGCCTGGATACCAGAGGCGGAGATCATGATCTTGTTGTCACGCTTGTTGGAGATCTTCTTGCGGCCCCAACGGAAGTAGTTGTCACTGCCGAACTCGACCACGTTGGGCATCAGGTTGTCACTCTCAATGACGAGGTTCTCAATGACAACATCAACCGTGGGGTCGGACACCTCAATACGGGGAATGGGAACGTAGCGGACGTTCTCGAAGATTCCGGGCAGGATGATGTCGCGGAGATCGGTGAGCAGGTGCTTCTTGAAGACAACCTTGCCGCCAGAATCACGACCCAGATCCTTGAAGAGGGTCTGAATAGACTCGGACAAGGCCTTGTTGCGGGGATCCTTATCAAACTGATCGGCGAGGAACTTGATCTCGTCGATGATGCGGTCGCTGTGGGAGCGGTAGCGCTCACGGATCAAGTAGCGGCCCTTGTCGTACAGCTCATTCCACTGTCTGGTGGCCTCATCCTCCATAATGAAGCCTTGCTCGCGCAGGCACTTGCGGATGTAAGTGTCAATGTTCTTGAACCAACCGCGAAGCTCAGGGTCCTTGTCAGCATCACGGTAGATGTTGTTCAGGGACTCGAAGAAGTCAGACAGAGAGGTGTTGTTGGCAAAGCGCTCGATGAGGGTCTAGTAACGTTAGTATTTTGCTTGCAATCATTCCCTGGTACATCACTACTTACGCGCAAGTTGTACTCAACAGCTTGGACGCTGTCGGTAGCGCGGACATCCTTAACAGCACCGCCACTCTGGGTACCGGCCGTCTTGGTGTGTCCAGCGTACTTCTCAGCTAGCTCAAGTAGGGTTTCAATAGCTTGCTGGTCTGGGTTTGGTCAGTGGCAATTCTATTTTTGAGAGGTACGATCAAATACTTACAATCAGCGTGGCCTTGGATCTCAATGATCATCTTCTTCAAGCGCCAGATGGTCTGCTCACGACGCTCCTTGGGGATTTTATCATTGAGGTAGTCCTTGGTCTTGTTGGCATACTGCTTGGTACGGCTCTGTTCCGAAGGGGAAACAGATGCATCATCGCCGACTTCGGGGTTCTCAACAACTGAAGTGGAGGCTACACTTGCCTTTTCCTATTTTGATATTAGTAAATTTCTCGGACACAATAGGAAAAAAAAGAAAAAGTGGGTGAAAACTGACGCCCTTGTTTTTCTTGAAGCGGTTCTTCAGATCGTCCTTGTTAACGTTGGGCTTCTCGTGCCATACGTTTTCCTCAGCGGGGGTATCAATCTGGGCAAGTTGATCCTCCGATGGGCGGACCTGGTTGGCAGCCTTTTGGGAGGCATCGGCGGCGATATCACGCAGCAAGACAGTTGCGTCACTCACTAAGTAACATTAGCACACACAACACGGGCCCTCCCCATGGTGATACTCACGAATTTTGCGGAACTCTCCATTGGTAATGAGGAGCGTTCCCAAGGTCTTGAGACCCTGCAGTGTCCTCTCGCCGTCCTGCTTGCCAGACTCCTTTGAGATAGGGACGTTGGGAGCCTTGGCATCGCCGGCGGAAATCTTCTGGGCTTGCCAGATGAAGTCTTGCAGGAGCTCGCCCTCGTTCTTGGTCAGCAGCAATTGCTTGGCCTGTTCGATGACGTTACGCAGGTCCTTGACGAGAACTTTGCCATCGTCGGAAAGGTCCGCCGGTGGCGATGAGAGGGCCTTGGAGGCAAGGGCACTATTCAAGGCAATATCGCACTGCTTGTTCTGTGGGAGGTAGTCAAGATTAGTATGCGGGTTCGATTGTCAATGTAGCTGGATCAATTGCGACTAACGGAGGGAAGTTTGCTGTTCTTGAAGGCTGTTGACAAATGCATTAGTGACTTGGTCGATGATTACGGAGAAGTGGAATGTCACTCACCATGGTAGATTCCAAACAGTTGGAGCTTGGCGTTAATATCCTAGAGGGCATGGAGGTCAGCACTGGTTGTCGCTTGGACAATGGATGATATCATGTCAATCTCACCTGCTCCTTCTGCTTAGTATCAGTGGGACGATTCACGGCAGCCATGGTGAATAAACCGTGTTATCTTAAGGGGCGGGGGGATTGTTGCAGAGTAATAGATTCTTAAGAATGATCAGCTCAAGTTTTTTGCAATGTGAGCAAACAAGACATACAAGGGGTAGGGTTGAGTAATTAGCAATTATACTAAAACAAGGGGGTATCACTGGAATGTTTGGTATTGGAGAAAAAAAGGGAAAAAAAAGAGAAATCGGTTTTTTTGAAAAGGGGATGGACACCTATATAGAATAGTGCAAATGATCGAGGTCATAAGTGAAATCGAAAAAAAAAAGAAGGAAGATCGTCTGTTCTGCTACGTAGGATTTTCCTTCTTGAACCTCGATACGCAACCAAATTCTGACGTCATGTGCCACGACGGACTGCATTCCCTCCAATGGCCCTTAATGGCCCTTAATGGCCCTTTTCTATCCCAATTCGCCCAATTTGCCCTTTTGCGGCCCAATTGATGGAATGTTTGCCTCGGACTTCTTTCGTTTTGATTACTAGTAAGGCGAAGCTCGTTCTGCTAAGTATAAATCACATGTAGCTCTCCAAAGCACCAACAATTCTTTCGAACCTGCTTGGGCCCAGGCTACTGGATTAACTCGCCATTTTGCCCCTCAAAGTGGGCAATAACGTACTAGTGCAGCTTTAGCGCCTCCACGTTAAACCTCATCGAGCCTAAAGATCTGCACTGTATTCAAGGCTCATCAACTTCCTTCCTTTAGGGCTGGTTCTTGGCAACCACGGGCTTGAGCTCAGATTTTGTCAAAGGTGGGGTCATCATTCGGCCTTGAAACCCCAGTTCTTTGTAGCTTGGATTTTAATCATGTACTTTTTTTTTTTTCTGTCTCTTTCCCACCGCATCAGTTTGACGTCAACCAGACGAGACCTGCTTTTGGACTGGAAACGGCGACGTGTGCATGCAGCATGGGAGTGACTAAACTAAGTAGTATGGGCAAACTGGTTGTTGATCAACATCATACCTGCTTTTGTCTTTTTTTCCTTTTCGCCCTAATAAACGCATGGAACTATTGATTCTCATGGTTTGATCAGCACGCGATCATGTCAAGCTTGCGTAACTGTGTTTTTAGCTTGGGAGGGTTTAGTGGGGAAAAGTAAAGATTGACTTTCGGTTTCCACAAATGGGGCATGTGGCTGGTGGATGTGGCTCACCGCTCAGGCGCAAAGGGGTCAAGAAACAGAAATACAAGGGATTGATCTGGAACAGGAAAAGCAACCCTTGGCTTCTCTGAGTTTAAGTATTATACGAAAAACAAAAACTAAAAAACTACAAGAAAAAGAAAGTTTCTTTGCCTCTTCTACTTTATACATTAGAAGTATGATGTAATCTGACGTTCTGATGTTGATTTTCCTTAGATAAAAAAATCCCCCTCAGAGTTCAAGCCATCGGAAAATACTATAAACGAAATACGATGATGACATACCTTGGCCCACAATCAAGGTATAACATTTGAATCGATGGGTCAAGTGGAGAATCAAACCAAAATAACCTCGAGAAGTGTCTCACATGTATAATATCTCCGCTACACTTGATTCGACAATATCCAGCCATTCTCAAATCGTCACTATGTAACTACTCCATACAGTATACAGTACACCTCCCCATCAGGCCATCAGGCCATCCAAAGCACACATGCAAATACTTACGCGAACCCCCCAAACTCCACCTCAATCCGCATTCGAACCCGAACTCATATGTAAAGGCTCCACCCGGCAGCATCCCAATACCTGCGACTATCCTCCACAACCTTCTCTTCCCACCCGCCCTCAACAACAGGCCCCACAACCTGCACCGCAAACTGGCCCCTCCCCAGAACCTCGCGACAAGGTAAATCCATCGTCAGATTCTCCTCGTTCCCGTCCCCGATCACACCCTGCAACGCCTTCTCCGAAGCAAGGTACACCAGCCGCCCGATGTGCGCCCAGTAGATTGTGCCGCTGCACATGGCGCACGGTTCCCACGTCGACACCAGCGTACAGCGGGACAGGTAGTCCCAGTCGTAATTGTCTGCTGCGTTGCGCGCAAGTTCGGACTCGGCGTGTCGGACGTGCGAGAGGGAGTGCGAGGTCATGAGGGTTGTGGTGTTATCGGGGGCTAGGAGGAGGGCGGCGAAGGGGCGTTTGGAGTGGAGGTCTTGGGCTTGGGCTTGGAGGGATAGACATTGGGATGCGACGGCTTGGAATTGGGAGGGTGTTAGGGGGGCCAGGGGTTCCAGAAGTTGTGTTGACATGGCTTTTTTTTTTTTTTGCAGGGGGGACAGAATGGAATGAACCTGGATGTTCCTCGGGTGAATGTTGGGATGGAATGGGTGAGTGTGTAGTTTGTTTTTTTGTGGGTTGCGCAGGATTGGGATGTCAATTCAAAGATATAAAGATATACATATAGAGTATACAAAGGTACTGGTGTGTGTGTACCCCGTAATTATTGGTGCATACTCGGCGGTTTCCGACGATGTGAGGGGAAGACGCAGGGATGTCAGCCCCCCCCCTCATTCGTTTGACGATTGTTACACACTTGAGACGGAAAACCAAAACCAAAACCGTCAAGAGCAATTATAATGGGTATGTAAGCGTGTGCTGCAAATATATTGAGTGTGTATAGGTAATATACATGGTATCTTGACAATTATTCTAGATTATATACAGTTTTCATTTATTCATCAAGCCGGACATTCGTCACGATCAAGCCTGGTCCTGGGAGTAGATAAGGGTGTCCCCGAAGAGCTGCTGCGGGGATCACTCAGAGATTGTTTGGACGCTGGGCGAACCCGCTGAGTCGCAATATTCAAATCCAGGTCCTCGATAATCCGCGCCTGGCTGTCGCTATCCGCCGGTGGCTGATTAGGGCGGAAAGAAAGATCCACAAAGTCCGATAGGTCGGTAGGAGCCGAGTTACTGCCGCTCATTTTCTCCGCAAAGACCACTAATTTATTAAGGATGGCGTATTCCAGTTTGAGTTTCACGCTGTACACCATAGCTTTGAGGGTAAACTGGATATCGGACATGCCGGTATACTGGACGGCAATCACGGCCGCATCCATGAGGACCATGACAAGATTGACGACGAGGAGTTGAACGAGAATGCCGCGGTAGTGGCCGCGAGGACGGAGATGAAGGAGCCGGACAGCTTCGTAGGAATAGATACCCGAGAGAATAAGTTCTTGGAGGGAGAAACCGATGAGCTGGATGCGCTCGAAGACGTTGAAGCCGCGGATGAAGATGCTGGATTCGCTGGTGTGGCTGCCGAGTTCGAGGACGGAGCCCGGGACGTGGAAGATGATGGCGTCGACGATGATCATGATGAGAGTTGCGCGGAGGATCTTGGGGTTTTGGACGACAAGGTGTAATCGGGACCAGAGGACCAGCGACTGGCCGGTCACCATGCCAACCCAGGCGATGAGCTCCATGGCTACGGGGAAGCAGTTGTCGTAGATATCGTAGATGATGAGAAGGTATCCGAGACCAAAGGGGATGATGCTGATGGATGCGATGAGCAGACACCAGAAGTAGAGGCCGCCATAACGCTTGAAGGTTGCGAAGCAAAGGACGATGAGTTCTAGGGCATTGTACCAGGCGATCCCGATCAGTACGGCTACGGCGATATGCTCAGCAGAACCGTCCGTAGCCGAACGTCCGGCGAGACCGAATTCGCTGCCTGGAATGATACCGCTCGACATGAGGGCATGTTCAGATGGTGGTCGCGTGCTCGTGTGCGGGGAGGGTTGAAGTGCCCTGGAGAGCAGATTTACAAAAGAAACATTGGCTGGAGCCAGAATGGGCACGGGGTAGGAGAAAAAGAAAGAAAGATATAGGGATATAATTGGTGAAAAAGAGAGAGATTAAACGGTTGTCATCTAAGATCATATACAAAGATGTATATGAGGGGTTTAGATGTGCCCCGAGTATGAGACAGAAGGGAAAAAAGGATTGCAAAAAAAGTGAGATAAGAGGCGAAGGAAAAAGGTACGAGAGTGGATATGAGCTGCCATGGGTCGATATGAGTTAAGCATCATTGGCCCCTGAGGTTCCATATTGTGGGGTCCTTGAAGGTGTTTCCATGCCTTAACTCCTTAAACCCACGAGCTGATAGGCGACCTGCGGTTCGGCTGAACACTAATCCCAAAAATATCCACGTTTCTCCCGATAACGGCCGACCTCCAATGCGATAGGCTGAAGAAACCAGTATTTCCTTGAATCTTAAATGGAAATCTGGTCTGGTCAAACCCAGATCAGATTCAAATCACTTGTTCTCCCAAGGTTACTACTTATTCTATTTCCTTCTTACTATTTTTCTCTTTTTCGAGTCTTTCTTCGGTGTGGTTTCGGGGATTTTATTTCCCTTCGACCGCACATGAGAAGATTTTGATATTCTCGGGGAGATAAGAGATAGCTGGAAATTCCTTTTACGAGCGGCTAACTTCCGCCCTTAGTCAACTCTACCTAAAACTCTGGGGTAAAGTTGCCTTCTTCGTATAATAAAACTTGACAATTAATTTAGGGTTGGGCTATAGTTTGGGTTTGCCTTGGAAATACCTCAAAGTAAAGTTATAGCAACAAAACATTTGAATTGAAACTTCGACTCCGTCAATGCGCAAATGTTCTTGGAAGGTATACTCGATAATCGAGTTCTGCCAAGGTTACATCTTTGTAAACAAACTTCAATAGAAGTCGATCATTCACCATTCGAGGATGATTGATACGGAGATTTGCGTACTCCGTACGGGGTAAATGCAAAATCATTTGTAGGAATTTCTGGTAATCTATGTCAACACCACATGTGCCAAATTGATGTAGTCTGTTTATACATCGGCAGAGAATTCCCTTTTCCAGGTCTCGGCTATTTTAACGCGATGGCTTGGGCTAGAGCTTTCGGTTCACCTGACTGGCGGATGCTATGGCCCATGGCCCATCGGAGTCAACCATCTATCTCTTGGTCATGTGAGACAGCGTTCCAACATTTGAAAACATTTGCAGTTTTCCAAGATTCAAGGACTCCGAAATCGCTGGGCACCTTCACAGCCTTGAATGACCAACCTTGATATCTCCACAGCCGTTGGAGGCATACTATCAGTACTGACCCGAAATCTCCGTAATATGTATTTGTACATGTATTCCTGAGTTTTGAGGCTATAAATAAATATCAAAAATGGCAAATATTGGAACACTCAGCAAACTGAGCAAACTGAACAAATTGAGCAAATTGAGCAAATACTTTTTCGCGCATAGCCTCACATCTATAACCCATACTATACATACAGGGCAAACGAAGCAAACTGAGCAAATTGACTAAACACTTGAATTTCGCGTGTTGCCTCACAATCTTCAATACACATACAAATAGGGCAAACTGAAACAAACTGAGCAAATATTGGAATTTCGCGCATAGCCTCACAATCTACAATTGATCCATACTGTACATACAGATCTGTACTGTACCGCCACCATCTTCGGCTCAAATTGCCCAACTAATGAAAAGAGTGAACACCTTAGAGAATACTGTCGCTTCGGTAGTGTCTGATACTGCCGAACGGTCTCCTAGGCCTAGGAAGAGGATAAGCGCACCCATCAACATGATCGGCTGAACGGCTGAACGAGAGATAAATGGAAGACTTCTGTGCTAGAAGAGGTTTTGAACGCCCAGGCAGATTTAGCAACCGCAACACTGCACATGTATTCAGGCGAATCCCCAACCTGATAATAGAGACAAGTGGTCTGTACATATGACATTCACAGTCGGACTGATCCAGGAGAGCTCTTGCACACATGAAGTAATGGTGTGTGGGCAATCAAGCAAACTGAGCAAACTGATCAAATGCTTAAATTTCGCGCATAGCCTCACAAACTCACAACTTACAACCCATAATAGACACATAGTACAAACTGAAACAAACTGTGCAAATACTTTCAAAAATTTCGCGCATAGCCTAACACATGTGCAGTCTGCATTCCACATATATAGAGGGGGTCAACAATAATGTGCATAAGGTCTTGAAACAATCACATGCATGGAAGGAGTTCAAGTGCCTGGAAAGATTTTATAGCCAGCCAGTCACAACTATGTATGCGGTAAACTGACTGTCCGTGTTAGACTAGAAATCCGAGATGAAAGTATGGACCAAATGGCTGGAGATATCGGCCAAATGGTCAGGTAGATGGACGTTTTGGTGCCTCCTCCACCTGGGCAAATGTCAGCCTGGCGAAGACAAAATCAATATTTTTACATCCTTATGTACTAGCATTTGACCATCTGTATTTGCAATTCTTCAATTGCTACCAAGCTAGAGCTTCTGGCAGATGATAGAAGAAATGCTTGTTTCCTTTTAATTCTTGCCTAATTTGACTATGAAATGGATTCCTACCAGTTGACCCATACCTATGTTGAAACCTAGGTAGCTACTAGCTATGCCCTTGCTTTTATACATATGTATGTTCAGAACCTCTTCTTTAGGCCGAATGCGCTAATTATCGGTAGATTGCACGGACCCTGGCATTCTACTCTTAACGTTTCGCTGTTACTCTGTACAGCCCATGATGCCGGTCAGGTCTCCAACGCTCTTTTCCTTCTCTCTTTCTAACATTGAACTTCGTTCCCCTTCTCCTCTTATATTCATAGAATCAGCACTCCCCATGTCTCAGCACACAAGCACCTCAAATATCCTATTGACCGCCAGGATGGGCTCTGGAGCGACTTCAAACAGCAACAGTCGATGAGCTGCACCAAATACCAGAGGAAGTAAGTACTGCAAAGATTTGGTGATTTTTCTGTACAACATTTGAAGTACTAGAGCTAGATTCTCATACATATAGAGACTACATGAGATTGACGACAAGTTGATTCCCGTTGAAAATGTTCCAGTACAATTAGTCATTGATTGGCCGTGCAATTCACAGCGAACATCGACGAAAAGTTCGGGCAGAGCGCGGCCTGCCACCTGCCCCTGGGCTGTTGCTTTTTGAAGAGCCCGACGATACAGTAGTGGAGGTAGTAGAAAGAGGAGGATTCGATGGTTTTGGATTTATCTTATTTCGGACCAATTACTCAGAAGAAGAACGCTGGCGGCAGCGGCAAAAAGAGTTCACGCGCATTACTGACGTGCCGCTGGAGAAAACTAGCAGGGGAAAGAAATCGAAGACAAATGCCTCACACAAATCTACGAAGAAGAGGACATAGCTGGTTCCACTAATGAGCAGACCCTGCAGTAAGACTCTACCTCTATCCTTCGCGGCTCTGACCTTATACTCAAGTGCTGATCATCGCCATAGGGCATACTATGGCTACCACGAGGAGAATGGAGGTATCCCCGCGGGACTTAAGGACACTGATATGTGCTTGGTTGCCAATTCAGTTGCGATAGACTCTATAACAACCGACATGCCGTGGGTATATGCATCGGACGTATCATTCGATCATGCCAGTCCACCCGCAGATGGAGAATATCCAGGCTACTTCCGAGTTGCCATTGAGTCTGTAATCACGGAACTCTACCTCATGCTCACAGCAATGATACCGGCGGAGCTTTGACCTCCGAATAACAGAATATGGGAGTCGGCCTTTGAATAGATTGCTTCTTCGAATTACTCTCAAGTGTAGCAACCATTCTCAGGCCTACGCATGCGAGGAATCATGTGATCCCCAACACCAGGGCAAGTTCCAACCCTGAATGGTTGGATGTATGTAGAAGAAGAAGATCGAGGAGCCAGACTAGCGCATGAGCCAGCCTCCTCGATCTACAGTCTCTCCGATAAATCCTCTGTTGTGAGAGTATGCACAGCCCCACGTCTCTCGAATTTGCCCGGGGCATCAACCCGAAGATGGGTTTGTTGTATTTCCAACTGATCCATTTAGACTAGACAGAGTCCCTGTATTCATTTGTCAACTCCGCTTCTCGACACTGGCCTGCCAGCGGCGATGAACTTAAGTATGATTATTGAACCAATTCGAACTTTCTGTTTGTATGGGTCAGCAGTTTGGCAAGAGAAGTGACACAACACGACTGGTTAACTCCGGTGGAAGTGGCCATGCTATCTTCCAAGATTGCACAACGGGGGAAAAGGAATCAGAAGTTGGCGCTTGAGATCTTGGAGGGTCAGATGATGGGGAGATTTTGCTTCCCAAGAGTTCAGGGTATGTGTGCTGTCAACTTTAGGGGCTTGCTTGTTATCTGAACAATGGTGCACAGAATTTGAGGAAATTGTCATATCTTTGATGTCTCGACCTACTGAGTTGCTGAATGATCTCATTAACATCATACCTAATCTTGGAGTTGACAAATAATTTTCTGCAGCTGCCGTGAAAAGAAGGAAGGTAGCGGGAAATGCTCACAAGGAATCAGAGCTCGTGTCAGGGGATGGAAACGAACATCTGCCATATCAGATGTAATCCAATTCACTTCGTTCATTGTAGAAGGGGAAACCCGAGAGGGACAGAGAAGTGCTGATACACAGGCAGCAAAAGGATGAAATTATTGACCACTGGAGAAAGTGACAGCAGATGAAGGGGGCAACAAAAGAAAGAACAGATTCAAGAACGTGAGAGAAAGGGAAGAGTAATGGAAACTTGAAGAACAGAAGGGTGTGTGGATTGTGGATTGTAAGGTTACGCGCGAAATCCAGTGCGCACAACCTTACACGTGAGCACATTTTCAAATTTCCGAGTTTATAGAATGAAATTCTTCCAATCCAGAGGCTCCAGAGATTCCATTTATGATTTAACTATTATTGAATATTTGTGATAGAGTTTATTCCTATTGTCGCTATATTGCAAACTCAATAAGTCGTTCAAGTCTCGTCTTCAAATTCCAACTTAGCTACGAAGGCTTCAAAGACGGCTTCATAAACCAACATACCCCAATTTGATACCTAGGTTGATTTGAGGAAGAAAATGTTGAGTTGACTTGGCGCAAGCCTTCGGGGTCAGTAGCTTTTCGAGGCTTGACCTGACAGGAAGCCACGATCCTGAACACGAGTTTCTGTGGGAGTAACCAAGCCCTTGAAGACTAGTGGTAAGCCTCAAAGCCAATTTTGACCTAAACGTCCCGTCTTTTCTCCGAGAAGGTCTTTTCAAGGTTTGAAGTTGATATCGACGTGCCGTGATTCCCGGATACATTACATATGACAATGATATGTGGTTGTTACTATTCTCTTACTTGGTAGAAATGAATGTCTTAGACATTCCACACAGACCAACAGTAGAGGCGTAAATTTTAGACAATTAGAGCAGATCTGATCTGTATCCATGGATGCACGGAGTAAGGCAATCGAGCCCGGATGTATCGGGATTCGGGGAGGCGCTTCTTGGTCCATTGGGGCTCAGACCCCAGTCCAGAAGCTTCTGGGATGTTATATGGGGCTAGATGGGATTTGAAATTTCCAATCATTGTTTTGGTTTACGGATTATGCATCCGATGGAGTATAGCAATCTCCCTTCGTCCATGGTGGGGTGAATGCTCTGGGGCTCTGGGGCTCTATTTTGTTTCATTTGCCTCTGCTTACAATCATCCCATGATGTTTGATTCTTTGTTTATAATTCTACTAATTATATCCCGTACATAACCAAGACCAAATTCTCAGAACTAGGGTACTGTTTACACTATTTACTTTTTACCTTTTCATCTATTGAAATTTTACCCAATCGACCCAAGTTTGACCATCTCCACACTCCGTACTTGGGGGGCTTTTCGATGGCGGGAGCCAAGACCGCCTCAACCCATGGGAAAATTTACGAGCTCCGCCTCAAGCTACTTAGGATCGCCGGCGGAGAGAATCAGTTCGTCCCTGACCCAAACATTAGCTGGTGGGACCTTTCAGTCACGGAAATGAGCTGAGATGTGGGGCGATGGCGATCTGATCAGACATCGTGAGTCTTTCCGACGTTCTTGTTGGGAAGGAACCAGAGTTAAGTTATTCACTAGCCAAACTCAATCGACATTACGATCCAGCTTTGAATGGCAAAATTGCTTACTTTCTTGGCCTCATTAGTAAACATTCGCCAAGATAAGCTGATATGGATCTCAGGGTTCACAGAAATGAGGATTGTCGCTCTGCTTAGATCGGGCGTTGGATCAGCGCTGACGGGGAATTTCCGGAATTGTGGCGGAAAAATGAAGAAATGAAGGTGATGACACTGCTCAGTGATTTGAGAGTCGGTGGACAGAAAATACTCCATGCTAAGTAGATTTCGGTTACCTGCATACAACCTAATGAAATTTTTGTGCACTATTTGTAGGATTTGTGAACGTTAAGCGCCATTTTTGCTCCATACTCTCCACAGAACACGTCAACTCTATAAGGAGGCTACATATGGTTGTTGCGTGGGAATTGACAACTCCTCTCTCTTTGTTCTTCAACCTACTCTGTAATTCCGTAAGTATCCGATGATGCAAGTGGCACCCATAATCGATCGTAGAAATCATTTGCCGATTGTGGCTTGCTTTAGACTGCCAAGCTGGGAAGAATAAAGCGAATTTCCGTTTTTCAGGGTTTGGTGCCAAGTCATCGGGATCTACCATTGAACCCCTCGTTCTAGAACGCCACCCACGAGCAGCCCACGTTGAGGGAAGGTATAAAGCGTATAATGCGACTGGGATAAAGTCCTGATTGGCTGATCCGGACTTTTCCAAATGTTAACCAGAAGCTGTTTAACCAGAATGGGCTAGTGGATCCCCCAATCAAGCCCCACTACGGGGCTTTATTTGGGAAATCAGGATATCCCATTGGCCTGATCCTCCATCTCACAGTGTTTTGCCTTTTTCTCGACAAACCTTGGGAGGAAATCCGGCAGTTTGTTTTGGTGCCCCCTTTTAGGTTGTACTTTTGTCTTTATAACTCTGCTATGTAGCTCAAGCTGCTGTAGGAAGAGAAAGAAAATAAAAATTGTAGATAGGGGTTTCAAATACCAGATATATGACGTGATCTGTCTTGCCCCTGAGGCGCCGACTTAAAAGGGTGCAGCCTAACAGTCAACTTCCAACCGGCTTTAACGGCCCCTTGTGAAAGAAAAGGGATCTGCAGCGTTATTGACTAGTAGCGCGGAGGTATTCGGTCTTCTGGGACCACATGGCCCATCTAAGCTCAGACTTGAACAGCCACGGTGTATGATAAGTGGGTTCCGCGTTAGCCCCTTATCCACCTCTCAAAGGGTACCTGCAGATCTTAATTTATGGGAAAACGCCATCACTGCATTGCGGACTTCCGGGGATGTCCGGCTTGTTTTGATATCTACATACTCTACACATCAATTGCCTGTTTTGGTTGCAATAGTTTGATGTTTGATCGATTTTTGCTGATCTGATGCGGCGGTTAAGTGCAGATGATAAGGCTACTAGTCCGAAATTACTAGTTCGGCTACTCCAAGGACGTAGATGATGACGATGCGGACTTATCGGTCATTGTTGAGCTCAGCATAAAACCTGAAATTTTTAAGAAACCTGGAAATCAACCTGATGTCAGTGAATTGCTCTGCAAAACTATGATGATGGCTTCAAGGGGGGATTCTGTTGTGAATCCACAATAGGACCTTGTTTGGGATTATGTCGGGGCCATGCTTCCGTATTAAGTTTGACACGATGGAGATGTGTATCCATCCAAGGTCCACCTGGTTTCTCATACCTGGATTTCAAATCTTCTGCACGGAGTAAACTTTGTAAATTTTGAGGCGCTGGGCTCTAGCGCTTGATACTGACCCGCCTGGTTAATTGGGCCAGGAGAAAGTTTTCATTGGGATCTCATAGATCATCCCGATCTACTCTGTATAAATACAGCAAGCTTCTGCTCTTAAACTTTCCTTTCTTCTCTTCACACTCTCACACAAGTCACTCATTAGTCAATCCGACTCTAGTCATTCTTTTAAACCTAATTTCATCATGAAGACCACTTTCGCCACCATCTTGGCCACTCTGGCCGCCAGCACTCTCGCTGCCCCTACCCCCACCACCGGCCTTGGCTCCCTCGCCGGTCTCACCGACATCGTTGGCGACTTGACTAAGATCCAGGGTCTTGACGGTATTGCCGATGTCCTCAAGCTCGGTGATGTCACCAAGGAGCTCGACTTGGAGAACCTCCCCGTTGTCTCCAGCGTCGGTGACCTGAGCAAGCTGCTCAAGGTTCCCTCCTCCTCCGCTGCCTCCAGCACCCCCGCTGTTCAGGACGGCCACATCGTCCAGAACCTCGGTCCCCAGCTGAACAACGTTCTCACCATCACTGGCACTGACCTCAAGCCCCTGCTCATCGAGCTGAGCCCCGAGGTTACCACCTTGGTCTCTTCCCTGGGTCTTGGTGCCCTCGGTGTCCCCCTCGGCTCCATCGTTGCCTCCGCCAGCGAGCTCGGTGACCTTGTTACCGGTCTCGGCCCCTACGTCGACGGTCTCGTCACCGTTGTCGGTGCTGATGTTGGTGCTCTCCTCGTCTCCCTCTCCCCCGAGGTTGCTGCTCTCGTCTCTGGTCTCGGTCTCCCCACCGTTGGTGTCCCCGTCGGTGAGGTCCTCGCTACCGTCGGTACCTCCCTCAAGAAGCGCAACCAGATCGTCGGTGACCTCGCCCCCGAGGTTAAGGAGATCCTGACTGTCACCGGCCCCAACGCCAAGCAGCTGCTCATCAAGCTCTCCCCCGAGGTTGCTTCTCTCGTCTCTGGCCTTGGTCTCCCCTCCGTCGGTGTCCCCGCCGGTGAGGTTGTCAAGACCGCTGCCAACGTTGGTGACCTCCTTGTTGACATCTCCGGCCCCGTCGAGAACCTCCTCAAGGTTGTCAACAAGGACGGCTCCGCTCTCCTCATCCAGCTTTCCCCCGAGGTTGCCTCCTTGGTTGCTGGTCTCGGCCTCTCCGCCACCGGTGCCTCCATTGGCTCCGTTGTTGCCACCGTTGGCCAGAACCTTTAAATTAGATAAGTTGCTGCTTATCTAGTTGTGGGCTTTTGTTTTACGCAGCAATGGATAGCGTTTTTGGAAGCTTTGTGAATACCCCCCCACAACAATTTCTTGTGCATATATTGGGACACCTGGAACGGTGCTTTCTTTCATGACCCTTTGAAGATCTGTGACTATTCTCCAGTCTTCTCCTTCATTTATTTATTTTTATTCTTAATGTTACTAGGCGAATGCTCTAGAGCAGAACTTAAGTTGAAATATAACCCTGAGCTGCTAAAAAAAATATTCAAAATCTTCCATTTCATATTTACTATTAGTACATAGCGAAACTACAAATTCTTTTTAAAAGATTTCCAATCTATATGAACACCAAAGGCTGATAGGCGGTATGTCTCCAGTAGTTCCATAGCACATGGAAAGGTAAGAGGAAGAAGACGAGCTGCTGAAATGACATCTCCTGGATGCATTCAAGTATTTTTGCTGTTTGCTGATCAAGTGCCTAAGAGGATGGTACATGTTTTATTCCGGACAAATTTCCAAGAAAGAGGGATAGAAATCACTTATTTTAAATTCAGCGAATGTGTTAAGACTACTAATAGTAGCTATAGAAACCCAGGTTGTAGTAAATTTTCCTTCCACAATCAACCTTCAAAGGACCATTGTCGTAAAAACATTCATTGGAGGATGCTCTTATCACCAGTGAATGAAGGGCTAAATAGACAACTGCCTTTTTTCTCAACAGCCACTTCTCAAGTCCCTGGTATAATTTACATCTATCGGTTCTGGCACACTCCCCAAGTGTTGCCAGAGTATTGCTATCATATTAAACCACCTCAGTCGGCTGCCGCTCAAAATTTTGGCTTGTTGGATTCAAGACTTACCATACGGAATTTGCTTTCATAGATACCAGCACTACCATCCATCTTACACGGATGCCCAAGTTTAATCTAGAAACAATCAGAAATGCGAAGAGTCACGGTGTATTGAGTCATATCACAGTACCGGTCCAGTGTCAGTTTCGGTTGCTGAAGCTAGGCTGGCCAGGAAGAGGAAGCTAGCAAGAGTGAAAGATTGCATATTGAGACTTGGAAAGAATTTGAATGATTGTTTAATGTTGACTGACAAGATTGGATGAATTATCGTTATGGGATCATAAAACGCGATGTCCTGGTGAGCTTCTTATACCCATCCCCTTGAAATTTTTGTTGCTAGCGTTGTATCTTTTCGATCCTAGTGATAGTTTGGTATTACAATAGTGGTACGGAAGGCTTCAGTTAGATACTCTGGTCATTTAATGTTTTCTCCCAAGATCGCCGGGGTACGAGAATATACCGGCTCAGTGAGACTCGAAATGTGGGGAAACATCTTCTAGGATTCAAGTACATAAGGGAAATAAATGATAGGCATGTACAAAACTCACATCAACAAATCTGCCAAGACAGCATTGAAGATTGTTGGATGTTAGACTCTCGAGTAGCCAGGAGAAGGATACCTGAGGAAGTACCTAACATTGAAATAAGCCACATGGATGCATGTAGCCTTTTCTGGCTTACCGGGTACAACTCACCTGTGTCTTTTCATTGATGAGTGAACCCTGCTCCGGAGCAAGAAAAGTAGGTAAGTGTTGATAGTTAACATTTGAATTGATATTCAATGCTAGTAATTTATCTAACTGGTATGAATGAACAGGAAACATGGTCTACTACACAACAACCTGACAGCACTGTGCACGAGTTAAGAAGAGGGCACGTGTAACAACTCAATCCTTGCCAGTTTTCTGACCTCTAGAAAAACAATCAACAAAAGAACCGAGGATTTGATATGATGCATTATTCGATTGAGATACTCAGAAATTTCCGTATGTAGTTTGACCCTAAGTGGCTATCCGATTTGCAACACGGTGGTACAGTAGTTCACGGCTAGGACTAGCTCGTCACGACGGTCAGCTTATCGCTCCTTGTGCTCGGTTTCTCAGGTGCCATTCTCCATTTTGAAACAAGTAGAGAAATGGAAGGGTCCACGTGCAACCAGGGGTGCCTTTTGGGGCGGGCCTCAGGAATCGTACTTTATGTTCCACCTGACCACTTAAATATGCGCCCTTGTATGCGCTTGAACGAAACCAAGCCACTATGGACGTCATTTTGCATGACACTAGGCCATCTCCCCTGCATGTCATATGGGGTCCATGTGCATGTCCAGGTACTCTAAAAATTCGATTGATCCCCTATGGAAATCAAAAACTTGATGACCTCGTCCTTTCTTCCTCATTCACTCACGGCACCTTATTATCCTCCGCAAGACCGAGTCCTTCTCTTCCAACAATTACATCTCCAATCCTCGTGCCCGGGCAAATTGAGCACTCGATGGTGGTCGGCAGTCGCTCGTCCCCGCAAACCTTAGGATCTCATGGGCCCACTTTCCGAAGATCTGCGTCGCCTGCGGGGCCGCCCGGAACAAATGATGACAATGCATGTGGGGCTTGCTCTCTTCATGTTATTGATGCGCCAGCGCCATAAAATCTCCCACACCACCAGACGCGATGAACACACAACTTGAACCGGTGCTGGGCTCATTTAAATTGAAGATACGGTCATCCAGCCATCTGCTGCAGCGATTTTCGCCAGTGGGTAGGCTAGTACGTCCCAGTAGAGGTTGGCGCTGCTCTGTTGTGGTGGCATGACGGCACAAGTTGGAAATTTATGTGGCAGAAAGAGGAGCTTCTTGGTTGCTGAATAGTTTTTTTCCTTTCTTTTTCTTTTTCTCTTCATGTGAGTATTACGCTCGGGAATGCATTGCTGAGGTCAGCCACAAGAGTCAGCATAGACATCCCTGTTGAGAAAATCGGTGGCACGGTGGCGTTATGGAAGGTCACGTTGGTTTTTTGAGGCTGTCCAGTTCTTGAGATACCAGTCTCTGATTAACGAGTAGGAATTTGGCTCCTGCAGCCTGGGGTGAAGCAGCGGCAGCTTTTTGGTAAGGTAGGTGGCAGGAGTGTTCAAGCTGGTGAGGCTAATGGAATGGGACCTGTTTTGAAAATAGAGGGCAGTCAGTGGAAATAAAATTTCCGCCGTTAGGCAAACCTTGCTTTCTCTCTAATACTTTCTGGACAAACATTGCCGAGATAGCCTGCTCGTCTACAGTCAAGCGCAGCTGGTCTTGGACAATCATTTCTCATCTGGAAATGGTGGACCTTTTGAATCAGCGATGGGATGGAGGAAGATTGCGAGACTAAATTCGAATGAATTTGGAAGGGGAGGCAATACTGGCTATTAGAGAGTCGCTCAGTTGCGGGATTTCTGGACCGTGATTGGACGTCCTCTCTGCACGCTGCTTATACTAGAGAGTTGCTTAGTCGTTGACACTGGCATCGCTGAGTCGTGACATTGTTGCGCTGTGGTTGGACGTCCACTTTGCGCGCTGCCCATACTAGAGAGTCACTTAGTTGTGACTAGTATCACTACTAAGTCATGATATTATTACAGTATCGCTAAGTTATGATATTATTGCGGTATCGCTAAGTCGTGATATTGTTGCGCTATGGTTGGACGTCCACTTTGCGCGCTGCCCATACTAGAGAGTCACTTAGTTGTGACTAGTATCACTACTAAGTCATGATATTATTACAGTATCGCTAAGTTATGATATTATTGCGGTATCGCTAAGTCGTGATATTGTTGCGCTATGGTTGGATGTCTAATCGCGCGCTGCCTATACTAGAGAGTTACTTAGTTATGACTCACTACTAGTATCGCTAAGGTGTGACATTGTTGCGCTGTGGTTAGACGTTCTCTTTACGCGCTGCCCATACTAGAGAGTCGCTTAGTCGCCACTGGTATCGCTGAGTCGTGACATTGCTGCGCTACGATTGGACGCCCTTCACGCGCATTGCCCATACAACAGTCGCTTAGTCGTGTTGAGCAGCCCTGGGGGCCCCTTTCTTTCTCCTTAGGAGCATTATCCGAGTATGTGCTTCCCCTTTCTGTCATCACATACTATCTGTACCTTGGCTTATTTAGTCTCGTTCCTTCTCTCTTTTTCTTATTCTCTTCGCTTCCTTCCTTCCTTCCATTCTTCCTCCCTTCCATCCTTCCTTCCTTCTTTCACCCATTTCCTAACAAAGATTGTCTCCTTTTGATCTCTCCTTTAGCCTCGAACGTAGTCTCTACCAAACAAGTCATCGGGTGATTTATGGGTTTTCCGTAGTGCTGGCAATGTGTGGGGGAAATGGCAATAAATCATTACGCCACGACTAAGCGAATCTCTACTATAGGCAGTGCGCGGAGAGGACCCGTCCAATCACAGGTAAGCAAAGCCACGATTCAGCCATTTCAGCTGCAAGATAAACGGCTCTACCCTTTCAAGTTAGATCGGGCGTAATGCAATAGGATGTCTTCCATTTCGACGGTTATCCTTGAAGGTTCCCTTCCCATCCGGGAGTTTCCTTTTTTGTTGTTTCCCCTTGGCTGTGTGGGCAATTCGTAGCAATATGCATTTTGTCAGTTCGAAAGTGCCAGCAGTTGACGGATAGATAGATTTTCCATATTCGCTGTACCAATATGCTTCCAGGCCATCTGGGCATTCGGCAGGTATGGCCATTCAAGACAGCTTGGATCATGTAATCCAGTTGATTACTGCAATTCCAAGCGGGTGCTACTCATGAGCAGATGTTTTATGGCCTAAGGAAATATTGTGTTTTACTCTATGATACGTCGTATCCCGATCCAGCATCTACTTGACTTGGTGTTCTCGATAAAGTTTGCCCTATACATGTATGCGCGTTTCAAGGTTCAAAGGAAAAGGAAAAGACCTTGTTATGGGAAATGTTGGAAACCGTTGAGAGCGATAGCGTATAACGTTCGGATTATACGACGGTTCCCATGAGTCTTTCTCATAACACTAAGCCCGATCCATGGAAACATGGCAACAGAGGCTTTGGTTAGTTCGGGAAGTGGCCCAGATACCTAAAGGCCGGGTGTCTACTCCTGCCCAGTGAAGTTCCCAGTATTTACTTTGAGTGGTCAAACGTGGGCAGTGTCAGATTGATTAATTGAGGAAGGGGTGTGAGCGAGGTTCCAGACCCTATTTTAACCTCTGGTCTTTCAATTTCTTGCTATTCGACTTACCAGTTGACTAGTCCTCGCTGGAATAAAGACTCCATTGTTTGGTTCTATGCTACCAATCCAGACTGCACTCGGTACCTCCACGGATAACTCGGTTTATAGACAGGGCTCGAATTCATGATCAAACAATGCTAGTCTTTTGTGGAGTTGGAAAAATTTTGATTTGAGAAAAGAAAGAGGATTTATCGGGTACAATCGGGTACTTTGACTGAATCATGCCAGAAAAACAAGGAAAAACAAGAAGAAAAGGGCCTTGGAAAGAAGAGAAAGAGAGGAAAAAGCCATGGAGAAGCCCAAACCCTAATAATGATCTTCGGACCACGGATACTTAGCGCCGCCGTGGATCCTACGGCGTTTTGGGCTCTTAAAGGCCCAATCCACTTTGGTCAACCTTGTACACCGTAACATGATGTGCTACCCAGATTGAATATGCAGCTTATGGCTTGCTTACTATGCAGGAATAAGTTGACTATGGAGCAATCTCGTTAAATTTGTGGATAGTTGAGGGAGGTTTTAGTGGACAGAATGGGTGGACAAGTGGACCAACCAAGCTACAAACGGTCTTGCATGTGGACCTTAGTGAAATTTGGCAAATTTGTCAATTTACCCTTCAGCTGAGCCTCGTTATTTTAGTGGAATTATATTTTGCTTTGTTTCATCGCGAAATTTCTTACTCGGAAGAGCAAAAGAAGACTTGGGATTTTCCTAAGCAGTTATATAATACTAGTATCTCTCTGATTCTCCCTAATCATGCCATAAGCATAATCTTCCCCCCCACCTTATCATTTTACGCGGTTCTCTCCCGTCGCTTCCAAACTCCTCTTCTCTTTCCCCTCCGTCGATCAAGATCTGGACCGAGGCCCCCCCCTTACTTTACCCTTGTTTCGAGCCTAAACGACCCTTTCATAATTCCTTAATTCCTTATCCAGTTTTACCCAATCTATTACCCAGTTTTATTTCCCCCGTCAAACCCGAGTTTTTTGGTCCTATGTCGGCGTTTTGAATGGGGCCCGCCCGCCCCCCTTGCTAACCCGGAATCGAAGCCTTCCAAATACCGGGATGTCGACATTGTCACGGGTATCTGCATCGGTGGAACTGATCTGAATTGTTCGGATTTAATTTACTTGGTTCATCCCACTTAACCTTCTCGCATGTGACCTTCCCTCTCTCTTTTGATCCTCGCTCCCCCGGGTCGTGGAGGTCAACCCACCCCCAAGCCATGACCCAGACCTCCCAGCTGTCCCCCGGCCAGCTTTCGCCGGAATCACCTTTTGATCCACCAGACGGTCGCATCGCTCACACTCTCACCGCGTGCACCAGGTGTCGCCAGGTATGATGCAATCCTTTTTTTTGCCCCTCCCAAAACTCAATATTCCCCCGCGATGGAACGACTATGGGAACATGAATCATGAATATCAACATAATGGAGACCAATATTCATCCGAGACATTTTCCAGGCCTCCAGGTGCTGACGCATTGTCCGTAGCGGAAATCTAGATGTGACCCTGGGATCCCCCGATGCGCGCCCTGTGAACGAAGCAATGCCAAGTGCGTTTATTACGACTCCACCCGAGACACCACCATCCCCCGGACCTATATAGTATCGCTTCGTGAAAAAGCCCATGAACTTGAGAAACAGCTCGCCGCTGCCGAGAAAGAAATTAAGCATGCAGCAGACGCTGAGCTCATGGTACGGGGCGCAGGGCGCATCCGCTTTGGAGAGAATGACGAACCTCGGTACCTGGGACCCTCCAGTGGCATTGCCATGACCCGACTAGTAATGGAGATGGCAAAACAAAACACCGACTCCAAAAGCATCAAAGATGTCGTTCCCGATTTTACCGCTCAAGAAATAAAAGCCGCTTTCGCGCAGGAGGACTCGAAACCGACCTCGAAAGTGTATCCCATGACTAGCTCGCTTCCGAACACCTTCCTTCCCGAGCGCGGCCTCATATACAAATTGATTGATCTCTTTGTGGCCAAAGGTATTTATATACTCATATGATTTGCATATTGCAAATTAAAAAATCACAAAGGCCTCCAGGGTAATTTGGATGACTAACTTTTGATATTGGTCATTTCCAGCACAAGCATTACTCCCCTGTTTACATGAACCAACATTCAGACGAGAAGCCGACGAAGTCTTGAATGGTTCTACAGATACCTGCCACAATTTCCAATTGCGCATGGTCATTGCAATCAGCATGCAAAAATTGAGCCCCGTATATGCCGGTCTGGCAGATAGCTACTATCTAGCTGCATTACCATTTCTGGAACCTACGCTCAAGAAAATGGACCTCAAGGCCTTGCAATGCTTGGTCATGATTGCTCAGTACTCGGTCCTGACACCAACACGAACGGCGGCATATTGGGTGGTAGGAACAGCCGCGAAGCTATGTCAGGATCTCGGATTGTCCGAAGAAGCTACCATCACAGTCTCGCCAGATGGGCGAGCCCTGAATCCGTTAGAGATTGATATGCGCCGAAGGCTCTTTTGGGTTGTTGCATCTTTGGAATTTGGACTTTCTCATTCTCTAGGTCGCGCCAATTGTCACAGCGTCACTCATGACAATGTCAATGTGAACTTTTTTGAATTGGTGGATGATCGGTACATTACAGCCGATGGCATCACCCCGGGCGCAAGGCCAGTGCTTGAAAAATGTATCGCCATCCATTTTTTCAAGATGCGATTACTTCAGTTGGAAGTTCGAAGAGCACTATATCTTAAACGACGAGAGACTCCCGTCGATGACCAGGATCCTTGGTTCTCCTATATGTCAAACAAAATTGATCAATGGATGGCGTCTTGCCCGAGGAACGGCGATGGCAGCGGTTTGAATGTAAAATGGTATGTCGTCGTCGTCGTCGTTTTTTTTTTTTTTTTTTCTTTTCGGTTTAGTATGTTTTCATGTCGCTGACATTTTATTTCTAGGTTCCAAGGCAGGCGAAACACCATTGTCATTCTCATGTATCGGCCATCGCCTCAAGTCCCGGAACCGTCAATTAATGCAGCAAAGATATGCTACGAATCATCAACCTTCAACATTGCCATGCATAAAGAGCAGATGGTGACAGGCTCGGTAGATCTGACATGGATCTTCACTCAGTCTCTCTTCATGGCGCTCAACACTGTCCTCTGGACCCTTTCATACCCGGAAATTCGAAAAGACCACCCGATCGAAGAGGTTCAAAGCTATCTGGATATGGCGATTGAAGTACTTATTTATTCAGCAGAACGATGGCCTGGTGTTCAGTCTGCACTGTTGCTTTACAAGCGTCTTGTCGCAGCTTGCTTGAAGGCTTACACCACAGAAGAATCCTTTGTCGTCCACTCCCCTTCCAATCACCCCACCCCAACTTCTTCGCAGGGACTCACGACCCCTCCTGCCATGTCGAGCCCTTCCAGCAGTACGACTGCTTCCTATTATTCTCATAGTTACCGGCCGAGCAATCCCATGCTGAGCGATGACGCCTCAACTGGTACCTTATCAAGGGGCCATTCAGCTGACCCCGGTCTACCTTTCTCTAACGATTCTACACCTCCAGCCTACGGGGATCCATTAAAGCTGACTGGTGTACCCCCAATGACGGCATATGGTATGCCATCATCTTCTGCGGATACCAACCCCCCAGCACAGTATTTATCAGAAAGCTTCTGTGCCCCCACTGCGCTCTACCCCGACGTTTCAATTGATCCCAATACCCCCTACAACACGATGCCCTCGGTGGTCCCAGGTCTTCAAGGCTGGGATCCCAATTTCTCTCTCGCCTCCACGACTGCCGGTCATCTGGCTTATATTGATGCCACTGTTGATCCCATGCAGTGGACATCCTCCATTGGAGACCAATACTCTCAATATTTCAACGAGCCATTCCCAGTACCCAATTGGCGTGAGCGCACCCTTAGCCAACAGGAGCAGATTGAGCTGATGGCATCGCTGGAACAAAATATTCCTGATGTATCTGCACAGTTGGTTCATGAATCCCATGCCTTTTACCAATCATAGGCGTCATTGGGCTGTTCAATGTTTTGTCTTTTTTTTTTTTTTTAACTTGATCGCAAGTCATCCGAGGAGTTGGTGAGAGCTAATGGAGAATGGCGATCGGAAGGAAATCTAGTTTGCTCATGTTGTAATCTTCTTACTCTCCCTCTCTGTTTCTTGCATACACACACACCTTTTGGATTGAAAGGTTTCTTTGATATATACCATAGCTGCTTAAATACTCATGTGATACTAGGTCAATCCAGCTCATATATTTCAATTTATCTAGAAGAATAAAAAAAAGAACATTCGAAAGATACTACGGAAGGTTTTAGCTCAACAGACTCAACTGGTGGATCTGGATCACACGATAGGAACCCCCGGAAGGTTTGGAATCCATGGTTCTTCACGTCTCACTACACCCAAGCGCAAGCAAATAGAAAATGAAAAATAGAGAATTACTAGTACCCTTTCACTTTCTCTCTCCTCTTGATACGCTTCAAGTGCAAACACCAAGCAATTAAGGAAGTCTTTTTTTTTCAAATACTATTTTCTTCCTTCGCCCCAACGTGCAGCAACTCCGGAAGTGAGAATACGTCCCGTTCGGTTTTAGAGCCGAGTCCCGCGTCACGTGATTAACCCGATTTGCCTCCATTCTCAGCGCCGTCTTCGAGAGCATCTGGAACCATCCGCCCTCCCCTCCACCATCCCTATCAACCCCAACCCTGGATCGCCTACGAGGTTTTGAGGACTCTGTTTCGCGTGGAATGCATATGATCTAGGCTGGCCGTGGAACGACCTGCTCGTCCGCCTTGAGCGACCGTCGATCGACCGGGAAACCCCCCTCTCTTAACGACCCAAGCGCTTCAGTCGAACGCGATTCGGAACTTCCGCCCGTGGAAAATCTGAGTCCTCGACCCTCTGCTCCAGTGTTAGGCATTCACTTGCCAGCAGGACTCTCATGTCGGATCGCACTCGTTTGTCTTTTCCAACCGGTCCTCCTTCACCCTCCTCACCCGCTGCTGGGTCTCTTAAAGAGAGTCGCCAGCTTCCAATCTCCTCGGAACATATCCCTCAGACTCCGACATCCCCTCCGTTGATGTCGGTCAGCGACCAAAGTCATGTCTCCAACTTTGCACCCACCCAGGCATCCCCCAACCAGGCGATTACCCACCCAAACACCTCCTCCCCTCCCTCGTCAACTCCCATGTCTACACAAGTCTCTCAGCAGCCCACAATGAGTACAACAAACTCATTCCCCACTCCCGCAAGTAGCGTTAGTGGTCATCCCGCGAATGCGACGTCAGTGGAAGACGCCGATCACAAATCTTTCAGTCCAGGAGTTCAGGAACCAAGGAATGTGGAGGAACAGCAGGTCACAGAACACACACGAACCGATCACGACCGGCAGTCACTGACAACTGGTTCCGGAGCTGGCGTGCGCGATTTCGCTACGGGCCCCAGTCAACAAGCGACAGATCCAGATGCCATGGATGTGGATAAGGATTCCGCACCTCGGTTCGATCCCCGTAATCTCGGATTAGACTCACTTCAGAACGACTTCACTTCGGCTTTCCATCTCTGCAAAAGCTGTAAGATTCCCCTGGGTTTGATCACGTACAGTCGTGTGATTACACTTAATCTTTTTTTTTTTAGCACACTCTTGAACCAAACTTTGTTAACACAGTTTTTCTTCGTGGCTTAACAGCACCCATTGTGACAGGACCAGATCCCTCATGGGATCTCATATCCCTTTATGGACTCGGCTCGGTTGCGCATTCAGTGGCAAGAATGGACCATGTGACAGGAGAGAAGATCAATCGATTGAGAAAGTCCTACGAAGGCAAATTAAAGGGATTTGGATTGGCAGGTCGCAACAAGCCCGTGAAGCAAGAGCCCGGCGCACCTGGCAGTTTGCGACATCTTACGCTATGGCCCGAGGAAGAATGGCAGAACCAGAAAGTGTTTGGCAAGCAGATCAAGGTGGCTGATCTGGATTCGGCGCTTCATAGTCTTCAGACTAAAGCTATGCACCTGGAACCCGGTGCTGTGCCCAACAATGACTTCTGGGAGGACGTGCTTGGTCATGAAAAGCCTGTTAAGAATCAGGGTTCCGGTGATGCGGGTAAAAAGGCCGCACCTACTCCCGGAGGACGTCAAACTGCTCATGGAAATGTGTCAGCTACGACGCCGCATGAAAGTGAACGACCTCGGCCTAGTCGCGGTCGTAAGAGACACTACGATGACAATAGCTTTGCCGGATATGGCGAAGGCTTTGCAGATGACGATGATGATCCCGGATTCTACTCCAATGGCGAGGGAACCGGAAAAAAGAAACGGAAGAAGGTACGAGGGTGTTTTGGACCAATCAACTCGTGACTAAGCTTAGAACTAATGATAGCCCTAGGATCATGTTTCCAAGGTCTCAACTCCCTTGTCCGAACGCAGTGGAACCTACGGGTCCACTATGTATGGAATCGGTGCTAGATGAGATTGCGATATCGTACCTAGTACTAGGTATTGCTTCTCTCGCCCACAAAAAAAAAGCATGTTCTCCGTGTGTTTTTGCCCCAGTCCCATATCTTATTTTTCAAAAACGCTACTAGGTGATATGGCGAATCCAGTTCTGCCATAAAAACCTCAGTGCCCTGTCTTGTTCTTTCCATTTCTTTTATTCATTCTCAGTACATGTTGCATCACGGTGCTGGATATACCCGGCTTCATCTAACGGACGGCGTTCCTGGCGGGGTGGGAAAGATACAAGGGTATTTCCAAACGCGAATACGACTTGATGTATGCTTTCTTACCCAGGTCTGCTTTTTTAGCTGCTTCTTTGCTTTCTGCTATTATGTGTGTGCTTTATCATTTTTTTATTGCCTTTGCCGTAACGGCCGGCTTCACTTCTTGTTCCTTTTTTCCTCATTTTCCCCCCTCCATTTCTCCCTGCAAATGTCCAGCTTTTGGACCATGTCTGCTTTTCCTGTTCCAGATGTTCTGCGATGACCTAATCCCCACATGTGTTGTGGAGGTTGGTCCTTTTTTTTTTTCTGCTTTTTGCGAGGGGACCTGGTTATGGTTCTTAATGTGATATTCCTTGATCACGACGGTGTCAGATAGTGAGCTGGTGCAAGGAGCCAGTGAATTGATTGAATAGATGAAATAACGTGAACCTGTAATCACCGTAGTAGCCGTACAACTGGTAACCATAGCGACCGTAGCTAGATCAAGCTCCATCCAAACTGGGGAGTGCCGGCAGTTGTTGGTTTCCGACACAGGTGCCGCGTAATCCTGTCAAGGATCTCTCCTCCCCTTGCATGTACGTCCAAGCATCGAATGGACGGATCTCTCATGCCTTTGAAACAAGAGATGTATGACCAAGGGGCCGAAGGCATCCACGCTAGCCTTCTTCGAACGCTTTGCATCCAAGGCGCGTATCGGTATCAGAATGAATATGGAAGGTGATAAGGATAGGATTCAAGCACGGCAGTTCCGTGCTGGAATCGGATATCCAAGAGCTGACATCAATGAACGTCCGGGTCCGCTCCCGCTCCGCCTGAACTCATTGGCATACACGAAACAAAACCTTGGAAGACGAAGTTTGAACTCTGTAGCACATGACGTCTGGGCTTCAATCTGCCAGCACTTGAGAACAGCAGGCGGCTCCCGGGCCGTTCACGCAGCTCGCAACGTGCGACGCCACTATCCACGTATCTTACTTTTACGGGCTTGTGCACAACATGCGGTGTAGTGTTGCGCCGCAATGTTATGGATGGAGAATCCAAGTGTCTGGTGAGTAGAGTGGAGTCTTGAGATTGGGCAGTTCACAAGAGATTCAGTAAATGTGGCCCAGGCATCTATCTACCTACTACTAGGCACTAAATAGCAACTGCATGTGTGGGGACTCGAGATTCCAAAACAAGCCCTTTAGCGCTGTCTGGGGTAAAAGCACTCCATGCATGTGTAGAGTACATAGTTGAACTCGAGGTGTAGAAATCTGCGGCGGTAGTCTAATAATAATCCACGGATCTGTGAAGCCCTGGGGTGCATCCTTGTACATACGATGAAACGCATAATAACATTTGAATAATCAAGAATCTTCTCTACGCATATGCTCACATGCCTACTAGTATACTGTACACAAGTGCATAGTGTATACATAACACGATGTATACAGCCCAACCCCAAACCGAACCCAAAGCAAGTCCGAGCATTGACCAAGAAGAGCCGCAGAAGTACACTACTAACGAACCCTGCACTGATCCCATCGCGCCCTCTGCGCAAACCAGCATCGGCCTAGCCTCCCAAACCCTTAGGCCGTATCCCCTAACCCTTAACCCATAACCCCTAGACCAGAACAGCATAGCCACGCGAGAAGTGGATCAGCAAAGGCTCTCGCATCGAATGGAAAGCGTCCAGTGACGCGGAAGGGGGGCTCTAAAACAAAGAAATGGAGGTTCAGCCCTGATGGTAACGGACTAAGATAATAGTGCGTCCATGTCCAACCAAGCGCAGCCTAGCCCCTACGGGATCACCGAGACTTGCTTGTTCAAGCGACCGGGGTGTGCGAGAGCGGTTTCGGGGGCGTTTTTTAGTGGCTGGGTGTGTTGTCGCGAGGAAATGTGGGTGCCAGCTTTCTGTTGTTGCTGATGTCGGCAAGATAAGACGAATTCAGGCATTTGAGGGCTGGTGGCTGTTCCGCTTGAGTTCTGTCCGATCCAAGCGACGTATGCGATTGACAAATGGTTTTTCATTTTTTTTATTTCTGATTTGTGTTTTCTTGTTTTCTCTTGTTTTTATTTTTTTTGTTTTTATTTTTTTTTTAAACGAGTTGCCCTCTGATTCGCTCGCTCTTAGACGCTTTTTGGGCGCTTGACTATTATCGTCGTTTTATGCCTGAGTTAAAGGTTTGGTCTAGGAGTACTCCGTAGGGCTGTGGGTTTCTTCTTTTTTTTGATTACTCTTCTTTTTTTTGGTTTCTTTTTTACATGTTCTGCATGGGCACAGATGCCGATTGATGTTGGGCATTGACAGCATTGGACAGTGTCTACTCTGTATATTCAAGTTCGTTGCTATTCCAAATAATCTCCGATTAGATCGGGTGTACGAACACAATCCAAAAGTACGGAGTACGCCGTAGACAGATCAGGCTCTTATACATACTATAGTACTATTAGGTCCAGATGTACCGATCATCGGGAGGTTCTTCGGCATCTGTGGACAAATTCATCTCCACCAACTCAAATGAGGCAATGAGGCGTCGAGCTTGTTTACCCTCTCTGAACATACCCGATCTAATTTTTTCAAGCCTTTTTCTTTTTTAGTACTGTGATTCTGACTCTGGTTCTTATTTTGATATTATCAACAGCGCTAGCGCATGGCGTTCGCGACTATTCCCACGTATTCTCACGGGGACTTCGGACCCACCGAGTCCCTGAGCTATTCCAAGGTGTGAGACGTTGTGTGTGGGCTGGCTGGCGTTGCGCGTTTCCAGCTGGACATGTCTTCATTGTTGTTGTTTTTATTTGGTGGAGGTGGACCTGCCAGTCGGGCTTAATGTTCAATCCATTCATCGGCCTAATTGGGAAGATATTGGCGATGCGAAGGATCTGGCAGATGCATTGAATAAATACTTGACTGATATCCCACTTGGGTCTCCATTGTTGAAGATTGAGTGTGGCTGTCTTTCTTTTATTTTGCTAATCATCACCAGTCGAGATGGCGTCGAGAAACTCTTCACAGGTCTCTCTAACGGGACGTACGGTCACCCCAGGCCCGGAGAAGGACGATTCGGATTGGAAGCCTGACTGGCGGGTCAAGTGCACCTTTGCCATCATTGCTCTTTTGAACTTTGTTACTGCCGTGGATGCTACATCTATATCGGTTTCGTTGCCGGTAAGACACACACATATACACCATGGCCGTCCCACCTTCGCTCCCTCAATGGAGCACAAGTAGTATACCATGTACTAACAACATTCACCTTCAGACCATCTCCAATGAGCTTGGCGGAACAGCAACCGAAGCCTTTTGGGCAGGAACTTCATTCCTCCTCGCATCCTGCGTATTCCAACCCATCTTCTCACTAGCATCCGACATCTTCGGCCGAAAATACGTCCTCCTCCTCGCCGTATCAGCCTTCTCGCTCGGCTCCATCCTCGCCGCAGTCTCCCACGGCTTCAACCTCCTGCTCGTGGGCCGCTGCATCCAAGGAACAGGAGGCGGCGGCATCCTCGCTCTAACAGAGATCCTCATAACCGACATGGTCCCGCTCCGCCAACGCGGCAAATGGTTCAGCATCAAGTTCGGCGCATCAGCCATCGGCACCGTAACCGGCCCCCTAATCGGCGGAGCATTCACCCAGTCCTCCGCATCCTGGCGCTGGATCTTCTGGTTCAACCTCCCCTTCTGCGGCCTGGGTCTGATCCTCATCCCAATCCTCCTGAACCTCGAAAAGACCCCCGACTGCTCCCTCCGCCACTCCCTCTCCAAAGTCGACTACTTCGGCTGCTTCCTCTTCGTCGCTTCGCTCACCTCCTTCCTGATCCCAATCACCTGGGGCGGCATCATGTACTCCTGGTCCTCATGGCACACGCTCGTCCCGCTCATTCTCGGCCTGGCGGGCCTGCTCGCGTTCGCCATCTACGAAGCTTTCATTCCCGCCCAGCCTCTCATCAACTTGAATGTCTTCAACAACGTCACAATGGTCCTCTGCTACTTCGCTATCTTCCTCCACGGCCTTATTCTTTGGGCAATCGTCTACTACATTCCGCTGTACTATGAGGGCGCCCTGGGATACAGCCCTATTATCGCCGGAGTGGCCGTCTTCCCCGAGTGTCTTACCGTCGCGCCCGTCTCCATCGTGACTAGTATCATGGTCTCCAAGCTGGGCGATTACCGCTGGGCTCTGTGGGCCGGGTGGCCCATCACAACGGCTGGAATGGGCATCCTCTGTCTTTTGACTGCATCGAGCACCATCCCACAGTGGATCTTTATTAACTTGGCTGCTGGTGTCGGTTGCGGAATGCTCTTCCCCTCCGTCCAGCTTGCTGTCCAGGCAGCCGCGAATAACGACTTCCTGTCCATGGCTGTGACGATGACTGCTTTCTTCCGGGTGCTGGGCCAGTCGGTTGGTGTTGCGGTTGGAGGCGTGGTCTTCCAGAACAGAATCCAGATGCAGTTTGGGAACCATCCTGAACTGGGGTCCGAAGTGCTTAAGTATGCGCAGGATGCGTCGAGTCTTGTGGAGTATATCAAGGCGTTGCCTGTTGGTAGTGCTTCGCGGATCCTGATTCAGTCTCTATATGCGAAGTCGTTGACGACTGTTTGGGCGGTTATGTGTGGTATTGCGGGCGTGGGACTTTTGTCCAGCTTGTTTGTCAAGAAGTATACGCTCAATCGGTCTTTTACTTCGAAGCAAGGGGGAGTGAAGGGGGATGTTGAATCTGTGACGACGAAAGGATCTATTATGTCGAAGCAATGGTTCAAAACGGAAGCTGTGGAGACCAAGGATACTCTTGAGTTTGTGGGAGTTGGAGGACCTTGGACAGGGTGGCCACATGGGAATATTGAATGAAAAGGGGGGATTGAGGTGTGAGTGTGGACTTTTGATGTTTTCATGTACTATTGATTTACTTTTGCGATTCTGGCGTTTTGATCTTGGGCGGTGGTTATATCCATGGATTTGCTTGGGAGAAAAGGGAGGATGTTTTGTATACGGAGTTAATACTTTATAGATAGTGCTTTTAGAGCCAGGCTCGTGTTTGTTACAAGGAAGTTAAACAAATACGATACTAATTAATTTCCTCATATTCTGTCAACTCGAAGTTATTTTCTCAAATTTTGATTTCTGTACATCCATACATAGTACTAGTAGTGGTAGGAACATTATATACTTCAGCCAACCAATCAACAGCCCGATGACCCAGATTATAGATAATAGATAAACCCGAACATCCAAACCAAATCCTCTCACCCAAAAGCCCCATCAAAACCAACGCTCCTCCCTCCCAAAAAACCGCACCAAAGCACCCGTGAACCCAATCAAAACCCCCCCAACCCCCCTACCACCAAAATGACCAAATACGACCGCGCCCTCGCAGCCATCGACTCAGCCCACAAAGACGACCCAAACACCAAAACAATCAACAGCCAAACCCTCCCCTACGAGCTCCACTACGCCCAAAAAATGACCTACTACCTCAGCCGCCTAAACCCCGCCGCCTCCGACCTCCTCCGCCTCGCCATCCGCGCCCAGCACCTCCGCCGCTGGGAAACACCGCGCGCCTCGTACCCCGCCACCAAGCTCGGCTACCACTCGTGGCGCACAGCGCTGCAGCGCACGCAGGCGGCGCTGGCGGAGAAAATCTGCCTGGAGGCTGGGTACGAGGATGCGGAGGCGGCGCGGGTCGGGGCGCTTGTGCGCAAGGCGGATCTGAAGAAGGGGGAGGACGCGGATGTGCAGACGCTGGAGGACGTGGCTTGTCTTGTGTTTTTGGATGATCAGTTTGATGCGTTTGAGGCTGGCTTGGGGGATGAGGAGAAGATTGTGGATATTCTTAGGAAGACGTGGGGGAAGATGAGTGAGGCGGGGCATGCGGAGGCGTTGAGGTTGGAGTTGTCGGAGAGGGGGGCTGCGCTTGTGCAGAGGGCTCTGGCGGGGTGATTGGGGTTGTTTTTGTTTTTTGTTTGATGGTGGTGAGGTAACTTACTAGTAGTTAGTAGTTACTGGGCATTCTGGGGCGTTGGGGTGTTGTGCTTGGGGTACTATGTGCAATGTTGCGGATTGTTTAATTATTTCCAGGGGACTGAGAGTTAGTAAGTACTACATGAGGGTATTACTACAGACAAACTATAATGCAGGTATGTGGATGGATGAAACAAGGTCTCTGATATAGATAGGTGTCTTATTGAATGAGTCTTGTTGAGTTGAGGTATTGTAATTATGCGATGTGTATCCCACGAAACGCCCGCTGATGATATCCAGAATGAGTTGAGCATGATTCGTGACAAAGGCCGTTAAAAAAAAAATTAGAGAGAGGTGAGAGCGCTCCGAATGCTTTTGGTGCTGTCCAGCAATGCAAATGAAATGGATGGTTCCGTGCGTGACACGCTTATTGAGCGCCAGCACCAGCACCAGCACCACCAGTGTCAATCAGCCGGACAAGTCCAATGGCAGCACCAGCAGCCACGCCTCCCACAAAGACCATTTGGATTCCACCCCAGATCGCCGCAACAACGTTATCACGGCCGGACCAGCCCCGCACAACACAGGTCTTGATGTAGCCAAATGCCGCGAGAGTCACCGCCATCACAGCGATACTCCAGTACAGCGCATCACTGACCGAGGCCGCAATGAAATACGGCACGAGCGGGATGAATCCACCAACAAAGTAGCCAAGGGCTAATGTGATAGCGGAAGTCCAGGCCTGGTTGCAATCGGGTGCGATCTCGCGGTGGTGGAACGCCAGCAGGAACTCCAGCAGCCGGTCTTGTGAGGCGTGAAGGTCACGAGCGATGTCGTCGACGACAGCGCCGGAGAGCCCGTATGGAGCGAAGCACTCGCGGACCATGGCGTGTGTTTCTTGGGGCTCGCTCTCGATCAGGTGTTGTGTTTCGCGCACGGTGGCTTGGTAGGATTCACTGTCGACGATATTCGCGTTAGCTTCTGAGTTTCCAAACACTGGAAGTTGAGGTTCATTGATGAATCAATGATGATGATTAATGGGTGGGACTCACGCTTCGCTCTTCGCACCAACGTATCCGCCCAGTCCCATGGAGATGGCACCGGCTGCGAGCTCGGCCAGCCCGCCGAGAACAACGACCTTGGTGTTTCCCAGCGCAGAGAGACCGGCGCTCAGGGCAAATGGAACGGTCAGTCCATCTGATAGGCCCAGGATGGCATCTGATACGATGCGAGGGTTGATACGGGATCGCTGGCTGCCGGAGCTGGTTGTTGAAGCGTCGTAGCTGACGGTGCGGCCAAAGGTATCATATGAACGGCCACTTTGGGACTCGATATCTTGTTCTGAATCGCCGCGGATGGTATCTTCGTCATCGCTGCGAGCTAGGAGAGGTTTACCTGGAGAGACGCCATGTTAGTTTGGTTCGTGCCACAAGCCGATCATTGCCAAGCTAGCATGTAACTTACTCGGAAGTTGAGATTCCTTGGTAGGGAAGAGCTTCTGCTTGATGAAAAGCAAAGCCATTGTTTTTGCTTTTTGTGTAGATTGTGATGTTGGTTTTTTCAAATGGCGCGGAGCCAAGTATCCAGTCTTTTTGTAGGTTTATACCGGGATACTTTCTCGAAAACAGTGGCAATGAGACTGACGTCAGGGTAGATCGTCAATCTACAAGACGACGACAAATCCCGTAGAAGAAGTAGAGAAAATAGTAGGGGTCCAAGCTGAAGTAATATAAAGCGTACAGGTTTGGAGGACAGAAGACAAAAGAGGAGTAAACGGTATCCCAAAATATCCTTTTGTGAAACTGTGTATGAAAGGGATTGGATTGGATTGGATTGGATTGAATGGAAATCGATCTTTGAGAAAGAGTGAGAAAAAAAAAAGAATAACCTGATCCAAGCCTGGCCCTCTCAATCCTTTTAATTCCTGTAACCCACACCACCCTTTCACCGTCTCAATGAACTCTCAGCCAACAATTCTACAACCTCCACCGGGTTTAAAAAAAATAGTAAAAAAAGACCAAAGAGGACCCAGAATGCAGAGATGGATTGGATAAAGAGGGGCCCTTCACCAATCAACAGCAATACAAAGGTCAGCGACGGGGACTCAACGTATCAAAGTGCGCCCAATCCAATGTTTTGCGTGCAGTGTGCAGGAGGAAAGATGGAGTTGAGAATCAAATGCGTCACTGGTGATTGGTGGAAGTGGGCGTGATGACAATAACCTCGATTGTGATTGGTTGAAGTTGGTCGATCACGGATTTCTGGATTGGGTCATCATTGGCCCTTACATTCAACTCGGGCTTTTCTGCTTCGGGGTTTTCGGACTTCGCGTATATCCCGTATATCTCGAGCTTGGCATTATGTTTTCAGGGAGTTCGTAAAGGTCATGCAGAAGTGGAGTTTACATCTGGTTGTTCACTATGTACAGCTTTTACCACAGTATACTATAGCTCTGTGTATGTAAGTATACAGGAACTTACCTCATCAATTGATCACTTCATCATTGTACTATATACAAAGAATAGCTTATAGAACAGCGCATTCCCAACTTACTCCTATCTTGCACAAGAGTCTTGTGCCCATTTATACTTTTCCCAAGTCAGAATCTTCTAGACTAACGTTAGCTTGATAGAAGTGGAGAATAAAGGTGAGGCTTGCCGTCCTTGGCTCAAGATGGGATATCCACTTCTCTCCACATTTATCCAAGATTTCCAAGGTTGAGAGATTGAGACCAAGAACTAGTTGCTATGAACCGCTCAAGGACCTTGCAAAGTGGAGATATATTCCGTCTCAAAAAATCACTTACGCTTGTCATCCTGTCATGAATAGCGGGCGCTTATGTAGCCTGGCTTGGCGGCATTGTTAAACACGGCTCGTGGTAGAAAACGGCACGGGGAGAACAAAGAAGCATTTTAGTTTACTCAAGTGCTACGGATACCCAAGAAGCCTCAGGCACTTGCTCTGTTGACTTGGAATTTCTGACAACCATTCCCCAGGTCGTGGAGCAATACCTTGTTCAAATTCTCTCTTGGAAACGCAATGGGGATATCATTTGTAGCGCCTGAAATAAGGCTGTGAATCATAACTTTGGAAAAAAGAATTGTACATTAAAATCCGGCCCATACAATCACCGCCCTTCGGCAAGCTCGACCAGCCGATCCTCCAACAACATGGGCTCCCAGAGCTCCTTCGCTTTCTTGTTCTGCACCCGCAGCACATCGCCCTGCAGATATGCCACAATACCACCCTTGCCAGTCGCGCTGGCTGTGATGCGGAACAACGGCAGTCCATTCTGAGGGTTCGCTTCGCGCAGTGGTAGGAGGATGAGGCCTTGCTCCACACACCAATTCTCCACGATCTCCTTGAAGGATGGCTCCTCTGTAGTGTGGTGCTTGGGTCGGGATGCGGTGGATGCGGCAGCCGCGGCCTTGGCCTTGGCCTCGGCTTCCTCTTGCGAGGGGAGTTTGGCCTGAGCAGCAGCCGTTGGGCGTGAGAGCTCGGCAGCTGCACGATCGCCCAATTCCAGGGCCTGGTGCATTGTCTGAAGACCTTTGTTCCATTCTTCTTCCACAATGGTGAGCTCGTTAACTTCGGACGGAATCTGTTCACGCCACCAAGAAAACCAGGTACCAACTTCCTCGTAGTTGGGATCATTGGTGAGCCATATGTAGAGAATTTCGTGCCACTTGGGGAAGAAGTCGGAGATCAGAAGCAGACCCATAACGTTGGGCTGGAAATAGTCCTTCCATCGAAGAACATCCTCGAGTGCAGTCATATCTTGGTCTTGAGGGTTCACGGTGAAATGCTCACGCAGGTGGCGCGCAAGACGTGGAAGTAAATGATTGCGTAGGCATATGTCGAACTCGGAGCGTAGGGCGTCTCGCCACAGGTCAAGCCCATTGATAAGACCCCGGCGTAAGCTCCATGAATCCAATACCACGCGGAATTTTCTTTTAGTATCGGACATGAGACCGGTTGGTTGTTTGGGATTTGTGTGTCGTTCATCCAGATACTGGAGCCACTGGAAAAGCCACCAGGGGAACTGGCCATCCTGCTGGTTCGACGGATGTCTTCGACTACTTCTTGGTTTCCATGCCTTCAAAGCGTCACTGAGTTTTGGTACAACCAGTTGGTCGAGGATATTTGAATATACAAATGACGGAATGATGTTCTTCCACGCCACAATCAATGAAGTCGCAGCAGATGGTTCGTATACATCCCAATCGTTCATAAGAGCTGAGCGAACTCGCGGGAGCCAAAGTGTATAGATCATGGTCTCATAAGGTGAAGTAGAGGATCTTGGGCGGAATTCTTCATTCTCGTTCCGGCGAGAAAGAAGAGGCAGAAGTCGGGTCAGATGAGATACAAGGAAAGTAGGATCCTTCAGAGGCTCCCATTCCTCCATTGCCTGGCGGAACAGCGGGTGCATAGCTGCAACGGCGGTCTCGGCAGTTTTGTATTCATCCGCCAAATCCCGGTACTTGGATTCAATTTCTTCAAGTTTACCGGTCATCTCATCGAACTTCGAGGCGATGCTTTCGTCGTGTTCGAAGAGATCCAGCTCTTCCACAGCAGCGATCAGTCCGGTCAGGTGGTTGACTTTTCCTTGGTACGCATCCAGTTCCTCCACAACCTGAGCCTCTTCGATTTCGATGAACTTTTTCCGTTCTGTTAAGCCCTTCCATTCATCTGCAAAGGCCTCCAAATCATTCCGGGCACGTTGAGCAATCTTGTAGGCTTCGCCTTGTTCTTGGGTGACAAACTGCTGTGATGTCATCAACCCAGCCGTAGAGGTTAAAACACGTTGCTCCTTGCCGGTGGCATCAACCAAAGATTTGAGGACATTCGGCACTTCCAGCCCCTCCATATCGGCTTCAATCTCTCGTGCAGTCCGAAACTTGGGCTTTGGTCGCGAAACTGGGGTACCCGTGCCGCTTCGACTTCCTCCCTTGCGCTCTTCTTTCTTCTTCCGTCGCCTTTGTCTTTCTTCGTCGGAGCTGTCTTCGATAGTTTCGCCTCGCTGCGCCGCGGCTCGTTTCTCTTCGTCGCGTGCTTGCTTCGTCTTCTCCTGGACCGCACCTAAACCTGCGCCTTGTGGGCGGGCCTGTGCTTGAATCGGGTTCACAATACCCTGGCCAGTAGATCCAAGACCTTGTCCTTCCACGTAGCCCATCTTTGCCATCATGCGCGCGGCAAAGGAATTGCCTGCGGGGCCTTTCCCTCCTCCACCACCACCGCCGCCACCCCCTCCTCGTCCTCCACGGGGGGCTGTATTTTGGTTTGCCATATTGTTCCACGGATTGCGGCCTGCGCTGCCTAGACCACCCATTCTAGGAGGTGACTCTGAGCGAGAAGCAGCTCTCTTGAAGCCGCGATGGCCACCGGCCGCACTGTCGTCTTCGTCGGAGCTCATGTCGTTGACTTTGCGCTTTTGGCCAGTGTAGGATGAAGGTGAGTCCATGACTTCACGTTGAGACCGTAAAGCAAGGTTAAATGTGACAAACACATGAAAATAAAGATGAGGTTGATCGCGAAATCGTCAAAGCTTAAGCTCGAAATTCACGTGGAGATTGGGAGATTGTCCGGGGCGGAAGAACTCGCATCCGACGGACGAAAACAAGATGACGTTAAGCTCGGTTACTTCATAGCTCCAAGGTGTGATCCCTCTCTTCACTTTTTTTCACTTACTTCTGACATATAGTCATTGAGATTCTCCCCCACTTCCCATTCGATTTCTTTCATACCCCTCACTTTTCCACAATGGTTGCTCTCTTCGCCAACTCAGCCCGCGTTGCCCTCCGCTCGGGAGCTTCGGCCTCCACCAAGGCCGGTGCTGCAGGCTTGACTTTTGCCCGCGGCAAGGCTACTCTGCCCGATCTGTCCTGTAAGCCAAGATGTGTAGCATATTTGTGCTCATACATATTTTATTGTATATCCGATAAGCCAGGCTGACTGTAAAAAAAAATCAGACGACTACGGCGCTCTGGAGCCCTCCATCAACGGAAAGATCATGGAGCTGCACCACAAGAACCACCACAACACCTATGTCAACAGCTACAACACCGCTATTGAGCAGCTCCAGGAGGCTCAGCACAAGGGTGATATTGCTGCCCAGATTTCCCTGAAGCCCGCTATCAACTTCCACGGTGGTGGCCACCTCAACCACAGCCTCTTCTGGGAGAACTTGGCTCCCAAGAGCGCTGGTGGTGGTGAGCCCCCATCCGGTGCTCTGTCCCAGGCCATTAACTCTACCTACGGTAGCCTCGAGGGCTTCCAGGGCAAGATGAACACCGCTCTGGCTGGCATTCAGGGCAGTGGCTGGGCTTGGCTCGTTCGGGACAAGCAGACCGGTCAGATCAGCATCCGCACCTACGCTGTAAGTAAAACAATGGTTGCCGACATGTTAGAATTTCATACTGACTTCTTTCTAGAACCAGGACCCCGTTGTTGGCCAGTTTGAGCCCCTTCTTGGAATTGACGCTTGGGAGCACGCCTACTAGTAAGTCAACTCATCTGTTTGATTATGTTAAGCAGCCACTAATCCTTGAGCAGCTTGCAATACCAGAACCGCAAGGCTGAGTACTTCTCGGCCATCTGGGATGTTATCAACTGGAAGACCGTTGAGAAGCGCTTCTCCTAAATCATGTACAGTGATCTAGCGAAGTAATTCTCGATATCCCTGTATTGTAACATTGTCAATTTTAGATAATCGGACTTGAACAAATCCTTCGAACTTTTGTCTCAACATGGTGCAGCTTCACGGTATAAGTAGTTCTGCAGGGCCTTGGAAGGTTCTCGGTCTTTTAAGGCTACGCGATCAAGGAGTTGATCACATGCCTAAACAACGGTAACCTAACTGGAAGATTGTAATGAAACCTTGGAACACGCGATTGAATATGTTAGTACTAGTAGTTATCATGTTATCTTGGATTTAAAATGACATATGTCAGGATTACCATGTAGAAAATACTACCATGTCATATATGTACTGAATATGTACTCCATACTATGTTACATAGTAAGTAGTATAGCATTGTGGAAAGACTGACATACACATGAATACTACTGAGTTCCAAGGTTACTGTGTATACGCTTAGATCATTCCAGTATGTACATAAGACTGATATCATAATGTTATTATTTTTTGAACAAGCAATGCATAATCAAAGTTATGATTTTCTTTAGCCCCAGATATTAAAGCATAGTGACATTGAGTAGCATCCGTAATGCTTATGAGCTAAAATCCGATTCCGGTCTGGACTCTCGGCGGACCGCCTCGGCCCGTATGTAGTCCGCGCGCGTCATTCAGGGTCTCGACTCTTTTTCCTGCTTAACCCACTTGACCGGCTTGAATCAACTTGCCAAACCACACGCCTCAATGAAAACCCCCGACCAACACCAATCCATTCCATTAACGCCAAACATGTCCGCCGAGAGCCCGGGCCCCAAACAGTCCGGCTTCAAGGCCTTCTTCTCCAATGCCCTCCGTCCCAAAAAATCCCGCCAAACCCTCCGCAAAGGCAGCTCTCGTTCCATGACAGACCTACGCCTAACAAAATCAACCACATCCACACGCCCCAGCGCCGACGGAGCACCCCCAATGCCCGACCTCGCACCCCTTCAAGCCCATCGCCTCAAATACCAACAAGCCCACGCAAACCAAGACAGCCAGCTCGGCGAGCGCAGCGATTACACCACAATCATCCACTCAATCGGCGTCCTGGAAGAAGACAACACCTTCCGAGCAAACGAAATCTACAGCGAATACCGCAAACCCGGCGAAAACGACATCGCCAAGCTGCCCGCGCCCGTCTGGGCCCGCGTCACCGACTTCCTCAACCCAGCCGACGCAGCCTCGCTATCCATCTCCACAAAAACCCTCCACACTCGCCTCGGACCAGCCTACTTCGCCCCGCTAACAGAGCCCCAAAACCTCGACCACAAGATGCAATTCCTCATCGGCCTCGACCAGGCCCTCCCGCACCACCTCCTCTGCTTCCCCTGCGGCAAATACCACCGCCGCACAGCAGAAGGCTCCGAACGCCTCAAACCCGCCCACATCGTCAACCCGCTCTTCGACTGCCCCGAGTCCACCAACTCGCTGAACCCGCCGCCCCGCCACCGCATCACACACGGCCGTAGCATGCCCTTCTCCTTCGTGCAGCTGACCATGCGCGCCCACCGCTTCGGCCCGCACTACGGCATCACCCCGGACACCATGGCGCGCCGCTGGTCCCGCGACGGCTGGTCGCATAGCTCGCGCTACCTCATCCACGAGGGCCGGCTCCTGATGCGCGTCACCAGCCAGACCTTCGCGGCGCCCGACCTGCCGCCGTCGCTGGTGCGCATCCTACTACACTCGCGCGAGGACTACTGGCCGTATTTCAGCGCGTGCGCGCACTGGCGTGACGGCGAGCTGATGCCCGCTTGCCGGTGTGCGCTCGAACATATTCCTAAGCCGCGCCAGACGGGCGGCTTGCAGGGTGTTGAGCATAAGGTTAAGGATCGGTGGACGGGGTATCGGTTTGATCCGAATGCGCTGACGACGCTTTGCGGGGTTTGTAGGCCTATGCGGCGGTGTCCGGAGTGTCCGTCTGAGTATTTGATCGAGGTGAAGAGGGCAGAGGATCGGAGTGATCCGCTGCGCATGGTGTTTCGGCAGGCGATTGTTGTTACGAGGTGGACGGATCTGGGGGATGGGACTAGTCCGAAGGGTTGTCAGTGGGGTTCTATTAATGGGGTTAGGGATGATTATGATGCGTTTCAGCATCCGGATTATGCGAAGAGAGGGCTGGCGAGTATTTTTGAGGCGGCTTTTACGGCGGATACGTTGCCTGGTCAGAGGATTCTTTCGTTGAATCCGAAGAAGAAGAAGTTGGGAGAGAAGGGACATGATTGGTATTAATTAGGCTGCAGCCTATATTTGTTTAATTTTGTCTTGTTTATCTATACGTTCTTTGTGGATGTTTTTTGGGGGTTCTATGGGTGGTGTTTTTGGTCTGGCGTTTTGTATCAAAATGGGATGGACTGGAAATTGGAATTGGAGTTATCATGGACAGATTGGCCTCGAAGCTTACGAGGGGTTTAGAAAAAAAAAATAGGTTAGTTGTAATAAGAATGACTTTCTCAACGGTTTACTATAATGAAGCACATCTGAAATTCAATGTTTTTGGATGACCAGGCTATTTCATTGACTGAATGAAGGTAATGGATGTATCAAATACAGAAGCGCTGCTGGCTAGAAAATCAAAAGCGCCACCGACACGTATCTCATACAGCTATAACAGAATATCAAGCCTCGCCTCGCTGTCCAGCAGGAAGGATAACGGAGGAAATGCAAATCAGAATAAGACCGCTTTTCGCATAAGACATCAAAGGAAGAACAAGCATCACCGGTCATCTTGAACGATAAGTAAGAGATGCTTGGGTTACACTGAGCCGGTGGCTCTAATGCTAGTTAGTAGTATACATGGTGATGTGATGGGTATCATATAAAAGTACAGTAGCGGGAACATAGTAGCGAAGCTAGTATTCCATCGGGGACAGCACTAATTCACTCTCCGAGCACGACGGCCCATATATCTCGGGCGTCGCGACGTCTCATCAGAGCGCATCGTCATCTCCGAGCGCGGACGAACAACAGGCGCATCATTCGACTCCGCAGTATCAGGCCGGTCTTCAGAAGAGACAAAGCCGTCATCATGGGCTAGTCGTGAAGAGGCACGGGTAGGCTGTTCTCTGGGCTCGGGTTCGGATTCGGAGAACTTAGCGACAACGGGGGTGGAGGGCTCGGACTTTTTGCCGCTGACGCCTTTCATCCAGCCGAAGATGCCGAGAGAGCTGCGGCGCTTGTGCTCGACGCTGTGGGATGTTGTTGGGCGTGCGGTGGTGGCGGCAGGAGCAGGACCGGAGGGTGCTTGTGCTTGTGGTTGTGTCTGTGCTTGGGTGGAGGATTCTCTTGCCTCGATGGAAGGTTGATGGAGGGCTCTGGAGCGGCCGAAGCTTGCGCCGAAGGCTTCGCCGTTCACGGGGACGCTGGATGAGTAGTAGATGTCGTTGGAGTTTGTGATTATTTGGGACATGGGGCGACGGTTTGCACCGGCTGCGTTCCTTGTCTTTGGGATGATCGGGGATGGCGCACCGTCGTCGTCTTCGTCCATGAGGTCTGGGGCGGTGGGGGAGGATTCAAGGCGACGGCCGGCATTGGTGGAACGATTGAAGAAGGGGGGTCGGAAGCTGAGGCGACGACTTTGCTTGGGTTCGGGCGAACCAACTCTTGAGGCAGGGTTCTCGGCGATAGGCGGTTGCTCTAGTGCATCCAGGGTATCGAGGTCAAGGGTTGGCACGTCAGCGACTTCGGGCTCCACTACATAGGAGTCGACGCTGGCGTCGTCGTGGAAAGCGGCTTGGCTGATCACAAGGTTATGAGGCTCCGTTGGTCGGGGTTCAATGCGCAGGCCACGATCTCTCTCTTTACGGGACCGAGGGGCATGTTTTGCGGCCGCGATCCAGTCCTGGGGGGTAAGAGGCGGCGAGCCACGGAATGAGTCGCTTGCCTCGGTATCTGACATGATGGTCTTTGAGGGACTTTGACCTGGTGTGACTGTTGAGGCTCTTTGTGGCTTGCTTTTGGAGTAGAAAGAATCGTGGAAAGGGTCTATGACAGGGTTTGCGGGGCTACCAGGCCCAAGAAGCTCGCTGGCCTTGGAAGCGACAGGGTTGAAAGGCAGGAAAGTAGGCGATTCGACATTCACAGTTGAGATGCGAGGGGTATCACTGCAATTGGTCTGCATGCTGTCTGTGATATCACTGCCGTTGAAGCTTCGTCGAGCGGTGAGTTCATCAGCAGAGCGACGGCGGGCAAGTGGCCGACCAGCAAACCATGCCTCTCCCTCTGGCTTGGGACTCTTTCGGCCTGCAATACTTCCATTTGAGCCATTGTTGGCTGTGACATAAGCTGTACTCATTGTATCGGGAGTGGGAGGAAGGTGGGCACCTCCAAACAGCGATGCATCAAGCCGACCCCTTCCACGGGGCTTGTTGGAGTACAAATCCGCTGTGAATATGTGGGCGCTATTCTTGGAAGCATCGGAAGCCGCCCGTGTTTGCCGTCTCCTGATGATAGTCTGAGAGTCGGCCCTTGATTGTATCCATCGGTCAATCTGATCCTCTTTGCTCTCCTCCTGGTCTGCTGCAGTCGCATAGCTATCCACGCTTTCACTCGATGCCTTCCGAACTGGGATATCGAGGTTATCAAAGTCATTCCATTTGGTTGGTGTATCAAACGGATGCAGCTCGCTACACTCGCTCAGGACACTGAGTCGTGGTGATCCAGGCTCCAAGGTGTCAGTCATTGTGTGCACGCTTTCGGACTTGGTGAGTTGGCTCATTGCCGAGCGTGAAATGTTGTTGTCAGGCACATAAAGGCTGCGCAGGGTGGCGGTACTTTGATTGTCATCTCGCAAAAAGGAGGGCGCTTTGCTGAGCTGTCGTAATTCGGGGGACATAATAACAGCCCGTGCTCTTTTGGATGAAGTTCGTTCCGGGATATCAATCACAATTTGATGCTTTGGCGATGAGGCATTCGGTCCGTCGAGTACCAGTCTGTTCATTGATAGTTGAGATATTCGTCCGTTGGTCTTCAGTTGTTCGTTTTCAGCTTCCAACTTGCAAATCCACTGAACGGCCTCTTCCACAGCTTTGTCTTTTGTATCAAGTTCTGTACGGAGCTGGCCATTGGCCTCCCGCAACCCTTGATTTCGTTTGTTGACTGCACGCAGCTCCATCACTTCCTTTTCTAAGCCCTGAAGTCTAGTAAGCTCCTCCTCCATCGCGTACATCCTCTCCAGCTTCTTTTCCATGACGCCCATTTGCTGCGTGCGGTGAAAGATCTCCAGTTTCAAGTCGAAGTTGAGTTTGGTCATTTTTGAAACGTACTACTATCGTCAGCTTTGGAACAACTTCAAGTGTTCTTATATGATCGTTACCTGGTCCATCTCTCGTACACCCATGTCCTTCAGATGGGGTGCATTCCCAGCTGGGAACTGACTGATCTTTCGTGCTTTCTCTGACGCAGTATCTTCTTGTACCCGCGGCCTGTCTGGTGTTCTTGGGCTTTCCGCTCCGTGTTCAGAAGCGCTTCCTCGAGAACCACGATGCGCACGTTCTTCCTTGAGCAGGCCCTGTAGTAAACTTGAAGTCGGATTGATTAATGTCGGAGTACCACTTTCTGGTGTTCCTGGTTGTTTGTTAAAATGGGACGATATTCTTAGGGAAGTCAAGGGGGAGGTGGGAAGAGAACATACTAAAGTGCTGTGGTGGTGTCCTGACACCTCGTACAGGTGATTGATCATTGAGCCAAGATCGCTCAGGGCCATTTCGGGGCGGTGTATACATATTGTTGCGGCCTTTGACACGCGAAAGTGACGGGTGCTGAGGTCGATCGGACTGAGCTGACAAAAGTCACAGTTGTTAGTCCCGATTGGAGGGGAAAGGATTTGGAATTGGTATGAGTCCGGACCAATGCCAGTGTAGGACAAGGATAGACGTACTACTGTTTGAGCGAGATTTAGAGGATGCAGAGCGCACAGCGGGAAGCGTCTCAGTATGATATACCGGGCCTCTTTCGCGCGAAGGGGCCATTTGGACGGAGACGCTCCGCTTTTGAGTTCTCTTGTCCAATTCCATGTCTGGATCAATTAAATTTTTTTTTTTTTTTTTTTACTTTTTGGTTTAATCAATTCATGCGCATACTTGACGCACAGCGGATCTGCCGTTTGGGGGGAAGGCCCGCGTCCTGATCAATCAGCGTGGAGAATATGTGCTTTGTGCAGATGGATACGCCACTGGCATCGGGTAATTAGACCCAGTATTGGTGCAGTTGCAGATGTAATTGGTTGCGATTTAAACACTGTATCGGACGATGCGTCAAAGGCGTGAAGAAAAAAAATAATAGAGTGCAGGAAGCGAGGGGTGGGCGTCAGAGAAGACAGGGACGCAAATCGGGAGAGATCTCTGGGTGAACAGGTGGAGACTGAACCAGAAACCCTGTTCCAATGGTTCTAACGATTGGAAATCAATCACGACTGAAGGGGTTTCGAGTTTTAAAGTGAGGTATCGTCAAGTGAGGAGATCAATAGAATTGTGATGCGTCGCGCCTCACATAAGGACTGAAAGATCGACAATGGAAAGAAAGAAAAAGAGAAAAGAGAGTAGATAAAGGGGGAATCGAGAACGTGGTTTTTTTCCCCTTGGATTATCTCGATCGCAAAAACAAACGTATTGTGAAAGGCCCCAGAGGAATGAAGGGAAAGGAAAGAATGGAAAGAATGAAGAATGATAGCATCGGTTTTTTTTTTAATTTAGATCAAAGCAATCAAAGCAATCAAAGTTCCCAAGGTCGATCACTTACACCAATCGGCTTCGTCCGTGGGGTCTCAGCTTTCCCTTACGGGATTTAAGGGGGAGAAAAAGAGGAGAAGAGAATCAACATTGGCTTGGGTTTCAATTTTGCTTCTTTTTTTTTTCTATTTTTTTCTGTTTTTTTATTCCAATTTTATCCTAGATTTAGTCTAGATTTATCTTAATCTGCAAATCCCATCACACCCTTTCGTGTTTTAGGTTTATAGTGTACATCACAGGTACATCACACATGCCTACATATCTCCGTTACCCAGCACTACTATATAGATTCTCTACTACTGCGTCCTATGTACTCCCTACCCTTTCTAAATCATCCACCTTGTTTCCCTCAAATGCCGTTTCCCGGCAAAGGTACTCGTCGCGTGGTTGATCTAACCCCTTTTCGCTACATGCATACCCTAGTCCAAAATCGTGACTGGACTGATCGCATCCTGCGTCTGTACCTGGTACCTGTCCATTTGCCCCGCGCTCCACGTCACATTAGAATATCTCCGAAACCTTTGAGACCTTGTATGACTGTTATCGCTCCTTCCCGTTCCCTTTTTCGGCCTGAACTCTATCAATTGTGGAGGTTGAATCCGTACGGAATTATATATAGTAAACCTTCGGAGTAATAGCATTCAAATTGCATGCATAGAAATAAAGAACGAGGCCAAACTATTAAAGCCTAAAAAAAAACGGACAATTTTGTTAAAAGTAAAAGGCATGATAGATCATAAACGGGCAAGTCGGCGACTTCAAGGACGAGCACAGCTCTCAGCCCAAGTCAACCCCCGCCACCTTCGCACGGTCTTACTTCCGTTTCGCCTCTCCAGTCCAAACTCGCATCGCCTTTGCCCGGTCGTGCGCAGCGCGGAACACTACCATCGATTAGTATAATCTTTTTGTTTTCCTAATCAGGCCCCCATTCCAAGGTAAAACATACATTGTCGCTCCGTCTCATCCAATCCACGCAGGAATTCAACACCATCCCCTACCGCACCCCGCGTATTGTGAGCATGGTCGGCGATCTCTGCTGCTCGACGCTTAAAAGTCTAGAGGCAAAAAATTGTTGGTCAGTTAATAGTAAAGTGGACTTGATGACCGGGAGAGGAAGACAAACATCAGTTAATACATCGACCATTTCTTCTTCTTCGAATAATTCGAAAATGCGCTCGCTGAGATTGTAGAAGTGCGGCGCTAGCGCGCGCAAATCCACGGTGCGGGGGTCAGCTTTTAAGGCGTTCATCACTCGCTCGGAGAGGGCCTCCGGCATGTCAAGTGTGACCAAACGTGATGTTCCGATCCGCGCTCTGTATAGAGCCCAAATATGTATCAGAAGCAATATTCAAAAAAAAAAAAAATTGGAGCAAGTCTAGATGGGATGTTCAATCTCACGCGATAGAAAGCATTTCTCCAAGCCATAATGGAAGGTCAATTCGTGTTCCCGCTTTGATCTGGGATATTGATGAGCAGATGGACATGTAAAACTCTTAAAGAAATACATACATTTTCACCTGGATTGCCTTCCAGAACACCTAGGCCGGGGACCTCAAGCTCGAAGGTACATGGCAATTTCTGGATGGAGCGTCAGTAATGGGGATTTTAGGTTTGAGATCTCTCATCCTGGGATCCAATTTTACCTGGGCATCTGTCAATATCGAGTCAATGTCATAGTAGGACATTGTGACCCATTAGATGAATCGTTCCCTAAATCAATCACGAATGCTGAGAGCTGTTATCAAGGCGCGTCCGCGTTCCACTTTCGAATTGCGCGCGTGATCACGTGTGCAGCTTTATGGTTTTCCGGATTTTCCAAATCGGGGATTGACAGTCTCCAACGCTGGTCTTCAAGAGACAATAGGTCGGTCGGGTTATCCAATAATCCGGACATGGTGTAGTTGGCTATCGCATCTGACTGTAATAGAATTTCAGTTTATCAGAAAGTCCGCGGTTCGATTCCGCGTGTCCGGATAAGTTTTTTTTTCTCTTTCCTTTTTATTACAGAAGTTCAGCCTTACTGTATTAATAGTATATAAGGTAGTATAGAAAATAGGCTATTTAATAACCTTAGAGGGTTCTATGCTGATTCTATTAAGGCTAGAATACCTAAAGGCATAGGTCCATAATACCAGAGATACAGGTCTAAAGCAAGTAGCTGTAAGGTATAGATTAATCTATATCAAATACTAAATAGAGGGCCATAAATAATAACCATTAACTAAACAATAAACTATGTTTATAGTATAAATGGAAATGATAAAATGACCTTATTCTTCTTGTAAGTGGAGAAAAAAATAACAAAAAGTATCTCGACACGCGGAATCGAACCGCGGACTTTCTGATAAACTGAAATTCTATTACAGTCAGATGCGATAGCCAACTACACCATGTCGAGATTTGATACAAGATTCCATCAGCTTAGGCTCTATAATCACTGGTTTTACCAAACTTGCTCTCTTAAAACGAGCATCTGTTCCTGTCCCGATAGGTTAGACCAGACTCTCTCTCTCTCTCTCTCTCTCTCTCTCTCTCTCTCTCTTTCTTTCTTGTAATCCTTCTAGGTTCTAATCAAATTCGTTCCATATAATTTATTGCTTGTCCATCAGTAGTCCTGATATTTTATTGGCTTTTCTTTTATCTCGATTCGATTTACACGCTAGCTAGCGTTCTAATCGATTCGGGACTCATCTCACCCGCTGATTACTGTACTTTGGAAGCCTCCGATTGGCTCTCAACCTTCCCCACGCACGTCACGCAAGTACGGGAGGCTCTGACCGGTCAACAAGACGCTGCTACAGACAGGCTCTGCTTGGTAGGTTATACAGCATACTTGAGGACTCGAAGAATGACTCGCATAAGCTGTGCAAACCATACCAAAAAAAAATCTACGACCAGTCTCATTTGACACGTCAAACTCGACAGAGATTGCTCTAAGGAGTACAGGTTGCAGCGATGACTACGGAGAAGGTGTCACACAATGACTGGGATAGTATCCCCGTCGCTACAAAACCATACAGATCCAAGAGCTTCGACATTTGTGATGACATGATGCAGGTAGCATCCTACAATAGGATATATCTTGATCTCATGACGTTCATGGACGACTTTACGACACGTTACGTGCACTTGAAGAAATGTCATCTGGAGCCTCCGCCGTACTACGCATTCCCGCAGATTATGGCGCGAACGATGACGTTCGAAGAGCTTGGAGACTCCATAATGAAGAACACCGCCGAACTTATAGCAAAAACCTTCACGTACGACCACTTCTGCGACTATACGCTGAACCTGCGGAGTATATTGGCAATACGAGAGACAAGACCGACATGATTTCCTATATGCTTGTTCCCTCGTGTCTATCGAAGTTTTCTCACTTCGCTTCTTCTCTCTCAATCTACTCCGTTTCTTCCGGATTACATCCATCTCTTATTCAATGTTCTCCTAGTAGCTATCTTGTCACCAACGCAACCGTATGGTGAAACCAGAAAGCCAGCACGAATGGCTCGGGTAGCCAGACTGCTACTTTCCTGTTAATGCCCGGAAGTTCAAAAGTATTCCAAGAGGTGCCTTTTGTTTTGAGACACATGTGCACACCCACATGTGCACACGGGTCCTCTTTTGGAGATCCCCCTCAAAGTTTACCCTTTCGAGCGGCTTCATCTTTTTCTGAGTGGTCTCTTTCAACATCCTCAGCCCAATTAAATGGTGTTGGGCTTCGCCATTCATTATCAGAGGGGCGAACACCCTAGTTCTTGGACTTGAGCGATCAGCGGCTCGTCGTTATCGGGTTCGGGGGTCTCGCCTGTGGTGATGTCCTGCTAGTGATCATGACGAGGCCGGGCACGCTTATCAAGAGGCCGTTCGCCCCCATCATCTTAGTTACTACCAGTGCTACATAGCCACTTTAACCACCGCCAGCCATCTAAGATTATATACCTTAGCCACTAAGAATCATTCTGAATGATTCTTGGTTCAGTTACTACTTGAGAGGGTTCTTAGCTTCGATTTGAAGCAGTCAAACTTGGAAAAGAAGCCGAAATTTGAACAAAGATCCCATCGCTCACCTAGTTCGGAGGAGAGAGAGACTACGTTCAGCACATGGAAGAGAGAGAATCCAAAGGGAATGCCGCCTTCGATGTGGATCGCGGCGAAGAGAGAAGGAAGAAGAGAAGAGGAACAGAATAAATATCACGACTAAAAACACAAAAGAAATAAAATGAGATACGAAGGGCAAAGCACATGCAGTATATGACAATGATTATGCAAAAAAGGTAGTGGAGAAAAAAAAAGACAAAAAAGTTATCTCGACACGCGGAATCGAACCGCGGACTTTCTGATAAACTGAAATTTCTATTACAGTCAGATGCGATAGCCAACTACACCATGTCGAGATTTGATGAAATTTTCACCCAACTTTGCAATTATGACCACTTATCAAGCTAAGTGATCATTGTTCTGTCCGTCGGTAGAAATTCTAAGTGCCAATACTATTGTCCCGTTTTAAGAAAGCTCCACTTAGCCCTCAAGTACTCTCCATGTAAACCAACACATATATAGTACCTAGTAGGTATCGAATTTTTATTGAAAAAAAATATAAGTTAGAGATCTTGCAGTATATATGTATACCTGCTCGACTGATTCTATTGACTTCGGGGCTAGACTCATTAATTGTAATAGTCATGGCGTTCCAAGAAGAATATATATCTTCAGCGCCTCTATGGAGACAACATTTCTTCCAAACAATTCCCTGCTGAGATTTAGGGGAGGTTTAAGAGAGCCGTATCATTAACATTGATTATCTTTACGGCTAAAGTGAAGAGAATTTTGGCGATGCCTTATATTAGTGGCCATTATTTATTTCTTTGTTTTTCTATCTTTTATATAAATTCTAAGGCAGTGCGCGGTTTTAGTTTGATCCTAACTTTTGTTATCCTAACTTTTACTACTTTATATAGAATTCTAAGGTAGCACACAGTTTTGGTTTGATCCTAAGTTTTGCTACTTTATATAAAACTCTAAGGCAGCACACAGTTTTGGTTTGATCCTAACTTTTGCTACTTTATATAAAACTCTAAGGCAGCATGCAGTTTTGGTTTGATCCCAACTTTCGCTATCCTAACTTTTGCTACTTTATATAGAATTCTAAGGCAGTGCACGGTTTTAGTTTGATCCTAACTTTTGTTATCCTAACTTTTACTACTTTATATAGAATTCTAAGGCAGTGCACGGTTTTGGTTTGATCTCAACTTCTGTTATCCTAACTTTTGCTACTTTATATAAAACTCTAAGGCAGCATGCAGTTTTGGTTTGATCCCAACTTTCGCTATCCTAACTTTTGCTACTTTATATAGAATTCTAAGGCAGTGCACGGTTTTGGTTTGATCTCAACTTCTGTTATCCTAACTTTTGCTCTTTATATAAAATTCTAAGGCAGCGCGCAGTTTTGGTTTTATCTTAACTTCTATCATCTCAACTTTTACTATTTTATATAAAATTATTGTTAGTCTCCCATCCTCGATTTGCACCACCGATATTGGTTCTTGACTGGGTTGCCGAAGTCATTGATCCAGAACATGTTGACCCTAAAACCATCAGACTGGAGCCTTCAGGGTTCGACACCTTAGCATGCTCCGTAACTATCAATTGATTTGAACCAGTATGATGACCTTGAAAATGTTTTTACTACATTTATCAATGGCGTGGAAAGCAGATATTATTTGTAGACGGTTCTGCATGTGTGAAGGGTGATACCCGAATATCACTTGGGCCAAAGCCGATATCTACCATCCTGTTGACTTGAGTGCCTATTGGCATGAATACTACATAGTAACTAGCATGTATGTTTATTTGGCTCTTACGTAGGAAGGATTTCCTTTTGCAAAGTTTCACATGGAAAAATTAAAATGCCACTGTTACTCGTAGCTTTTGACTCTGTCGATTAGTTGCGTTGTACCAATCCTGAAGGATCGGTTCAAGCACCGAGGTCTCTCCACTCGGATTCTCGATATAGAGCCATCGAAAATGCAACAGCTGCAATTCAATAATAGGGCCCGTGACCGACAAACGGACAAATCCGAACATAGCAAACGCCCGGCGAAATAATGCGAGTAGTGCACCATACCACTAGCCTGGCTCTGTCTAGTCATCGAATGTTGACTTTGAGACACACGTTCCGTTCAAAGTCTTTGAATAATCGTAGCCAGATCAGCGTATACAGGTCTCTCTGTGAGCTTCGAGTGGTAGCTGGCCAGCCAGATGTTGATGGGCTTTGTAGTCGTCGGCAGTTGGGACACATCGTATTGGTTTGTACAAATGAAATGGCTCAGTCTGGATCTTGAAGCAAGTTTCGCTATGCTAACGGAGCACTTTTCGTAGCGCTGATTCTTGACTTGTGAACCGGCGATCTACTCTTCAGCCTTGTGACATTGGATGCGTAATATTAGGCTAGTGGTTATCTAACTAACTAACTAACTAACTAGAAGCTGGTGCTTTTGTCATACAATGGCTGTTGTGAGGATCATACAGCCTCTTGCTTATTGGTCTGGCCATATCCCGGCCACACTGGGAACATCCTAAAGCGGACAAGTTCCATGAGGTCACCACTTGTACGTCTCGACCAATACCTAACCACACGGCTCGTATAATCAATTGAATCAGCTAAATTCAGGCTCAATATTATTATATTTTACGGCACAAATAATCTAGACTAAGGCTATCCCGAGCGCTCCAGAGTATTTAGAGTGGGCAAAATGCCGCGAAAGCTACCTCAAATATGAAAAATACTGCTCGATCAACTCGGTGCTATTTACCACCATCTACCTATTAATATGAGGCTAGAAATTATTATTCTTGTGACTACAGTCAGTGCCCTCGCATCCCCACTCACCCATCGAGACAGCTCCATTACGTGTTCCAGTGGCAACCAGACGCCAAAATGCTGTCAGATTCTGGTTCCAGTTAACGTATTGGGGAAAACCGTTGATATCGGAGTGGGATGTGTGAACCGTAAGCAATATCCTAATACTTGTCTCTCATGATTTTTGATTTGGGCAACGCTGACCGGTCTGCAGTGGGCAGCGTATGTAAGGGTCAAACCCTATGCTGCAATACCGAAAATGTGAGACTTCAACATAACGTTGATGAGGTAAAGCTAACCTAAACAGTTTTTGATTGATATCCTGAACGTCTGCACTGAGCCTAGTGGACAAACTGGTGGCACTGGTGGTGGCCATGGTCAAGGTGGTTGATCATTGATTATCAACCTTTTACACGGGTACTTCAAGGATGCGGGTGGAATGGTTATTATTAAACATTGAATGTACTAGTTAGTGTTGCTTTGTTTTTATAAGAAGCCTTAAGAATGAAATGGGTAAACTGTACCTCTTGAGAGCAAAATCAAGGGATATCAGGGGAAAAAAAAAGGAACACTGAGGAAGGACGACGCCGGAGAATCCACCTCAGAAAACAAACTGTCTAAGTCAAATTGGTCCATTGGAACATACAGGTACATGTAACATACTACTAGTATGTAATAGTATGTAGAATCCAGATCAGAGACATGTTCATCCGAGGTGATTGAAAAAAAGGCAAAAAAAGTTATCTCGACACGCGGAATCGAACCGCGGACTTTCTGATAAACTGAAAATTCTATTACAGTCAGATGCGATAGCCAACTACACCATGTCGAGATTTGTATACGATCTGGGGATATCTTACGCACTATATCGATAAACTGAAGGGTCGCTGTGAAACCACGCCAAAAATGATATCATCAATTCCCTCCTTAATAATTGTACAATATCTACTAGTTACGGGTCTACGACCTTATCTACCACCCACCTGGACAACAAACATGTTTCAAATGGCAGTGAACAGCTGCATCTTTTCTAAAGAGGGAGTTTGCCTTATCCGATTAATTTATTGACCCCTGAGCATCTTATGACCGCGTGCAGGATCAAAGCACACCTACTCTTCCGGAAAACATAAGCACAATATGCTATGGAGTATAAAAATGCCAAACAAGAAAATGATCAGCACCATTGCCCTATTCCCAGGAGATGAAAGGCTGGCAAAGTTTGACAGCTGACCCAAAAAGGGCAAATCCCCGTTAGCACGTTCCCGGTTCTTCAGGGAAACGATTGTCCCTTAGCGCCATACTAATGCAGTAGCCGGTGGCTGACCTGCGGCCTCGGAGAATCTATGTGAAGCTAAGATTCGGCTAAATCTTAGCAACCAATCAGTTCCCTTGTCAACCTTGATATGTATTGAGCAGTGACGTGATACGTTTCGACTAAGTCCACTTCGCTTGCTGAACAGTCAATCACTGCCTCAATAAGAACAACGTGCTTGGTGCCAGAAAATGATTTCCTCCGGAATCCGGGCCTAGCGCAGGGATTCGGGAAGATTCATTCTCAATTCTGCGAAACAAGCCTTGAGCCTTGATCGCATCGATCTCTTGGTACTTGCAGCGACGGAGTATACAGCCTTAAGCATACATATAAAAAGGGAGCCGGGCCGATCAATCTATGAAGGATCACCGCTGATCATCCCCTTTGAATTGAACATTGATATCCACAATGATTCTTTCTCGTTGGTTTGCCTTTGCAAGTCTGCTTGGTGCTGCAATTGCCGCACCAGGCAAGTCGCTTGCTAAGAGAACTACTGTTAGCGAGCTGCTTACCGATATCGAGGATGTCGTTGATTGTTCAGGGTGTGAGGTGTGTCATGACCAGATACTGGGGGAATTTTCATTAATTTATGTCTCCAAGAAAACTGTTAATGCTAACCATATACATTATTCATCATCTAGGCTTTGCTGGTGATTCTCCAGACGCTCGCGCATCTCGGCAACGATGACTTTGTGGATGTTATCACCGAGGTCTGCATTTTGGCTGGCGTGAGTTGCTCCCCATATTGCTTCATAGATCTTTTCTGACATCCGATATAGATAGATGATGACGATGTGTGCGAAGGTGCGATTTCTCGCGAGGGCCCAATCTTGGCTCATGACCTTCGCAACATGGATATTCCATCTCACACAGCCGTTTTGTTCTGTACCACCATCTTTGGTCTCTGTGATTATCCTGCAGTCACTGAGTACACGATCGACTTCCCCTCTGCCAAGGCAGCCAATGCGACTCGACCAGAATCCAGCGGAGAAACTCCGATCCAAGTTGTCCACATCAGTGATATCCACGTTGATCTTTCTTACGAGGAAGGCGCAAAGTTTGTTTACCCTTCCCTTGCACTTTCATCCTACAATTCTAACAGAGAATGTTAGCTACAACTGTACCAAAAGTATCTGCTGCCGTCCATACACCTCAGCTGATGCTCCCGGAAACACAAGCTACCCAGCTGGTGAATACGGAAACCATAATTGCGACTCCCCCTTGGACTTGGAGGAGAGCATGTATGCAGCTATCAAGAGCCTTGTTCCTAATGCGGCATTCACTATTTTCACCGGCGATGTTGTTGAGGGAGCAGTTTGGCTCGTCAACGAAACCGAGGTGACTAACGACCTCAACGACGCTTACAACACACGCATGCCCGACTACCTCAGCTTGGTCTATGGTGTGATTGGAAACCATGACGTTGCTCCTGTCAACTCTTTCCCCCCGTCCGATATCGACACTACCATCTCCAGCCAGTGGGCGTATGACACTTTGTCATCCGACTGGACTCAGTGGATTGGATCCACGGCTGCCACCACCGCAGATGACTACGGTTCCTACTCCGTACTCTACCCCGATGGTAACCTTCGGATCATCTCCTTCAACACCAACTTCTACTACAAGGAGAACTTCTGGCTGTATGAGGAGACAATGCAAAGCGACCCTAACGGTCAGCTGGCATGGCTTGTCGACGAGCTCGATGCTGCCGAGACAGCAGGTGAGCGGGTTTGGCTTATGGGCCACATGCCCATGGGCTCTGGTGATACTTTCCACGATGGATCGAACTACTTCAACCAAATCATCCAGCGATACGACGCCACCATTGCCGCCGTGTTCTACGGCCACACCCACAAGGACGAGTTCGAGATCGCATACTCAAACTACTCCAACCCGACCTTTGACACTGCCACCATGATGTCCTACATTGCCCCTGCTCTGACCCCAACATCAGGAAACCCCACTTTCCGCGTCTACTCGGTCGACCCGGTTACGTTCGGTATCCTTGATTTCCAAGTCTACTTTGCCAACATGTCGAGCTCCACCTATCAGACCGATCCCACGTGGGAGAAGTACTACTCGGCCAAGGAAGCGTACGGCTCCCTCCTCACCCCACCTGTCACCGACACTGCTGCCGAGCTGACCCCCGCATTCTGGCACAATGTCACTGCCCTCTTCGATAGCGACGACACCGTCTTCCAGGACTACTATGCTCGCAAGTCCCGCGGATGGGACGTCTCTTCTTGCACAGGAGACTGCAAGACCGACGAGGTTTGCCAGCTTCGTGCCGCTGAGGCGCAGTACAACTGTGTCGATATCACGCCCGGTATCAGCTTTAAGAAGGCCAAGAGATCCACTTCGAGCAGCTCGTCCCACGAGGAGGGCTCTTGCGGTGAGTCAATTATCGGCAAGATGTTTGCCGACTTCGAGACCACTGTCACGGCCCTGAAGAGCGCCGCCGACGCAAAGTTGGGATCGAGCTTCTTGAACACCACCGTCAACAGCACCGTCACTGTTGACTAAGAGTAGCAGCAATAGTAAGAGAGTCGATAGTAGATCGATAGGCCGGCGGCGTACGGAGTACCGTCGGCAATAGAAATTTGGAAGATTGAAAAACTTTTTACCTCAAAACTTCCAAGATTCAATGTTCGATGCATGTTCGTAGAGTATACAGTCATTGGGTCGGTGGCCACTGCCGGATCAGATTAAGTCCACGAGTCATGCAGGTACTAGAGCACTAGCTCTCGCAAGCATAGACTAAATAGGCAATGGTATTATGGAAGAAGGAAATTTAATATAAGCTCCATCTCGGTTAATTGCTGGGCTTGACACGTGGGCCGGCAATAGGTCTGCATTATTTAGTGGCCCCGTTGACGCTAAACGCTAATAGCGGCTAAGCCGGCGAGTTAAGCTGGTTGTCCCTGCGGCCCGGGGGCCTTAAAACACTACTTATAATACTTGAATGGCAATATTGAGGTAGATCAAGTACCACTCTTTTACTTCAAATCGGAGGAACCGGACTCCAATTTCCACAATGGCATACTCTTCTGTTAAGAGCGTTGTTTCTACGCTATTGCTAGCAGCTACCAGCCATGCTGCTGTGCTAGCCCCGACCAACGATATTGTTTTCCCGTCGGGCTCTACGGTTCAGAACCCGTTGATTTACTCTGGCGGAAATACTCCGTTCTTTGCCGGTTAGTTTCAATTGCATGGTTATGCGACATGTTGCTGATTTGGCAGGCCCCAATGTCAATGGTATCGATAACAGTGTGCCTGAGAAGTGTACGGTTCAACAGGCTGCATATGTCGTGAGACATGGAAGCAGGTAGGTTTCATTGAATTCCCGTGTACTACTTACCGATTGGACTGACCGGGTACTGTGTTAAAGATTCCCCGACACGGGTTCTTATGAATCTTGGGTTGGGATTCAAGAAAAGGTTGGTTTTTAGTGTTGACTTGCTCTTATACTCGGTATTGACGTTTGAAAAGATCCAAATTGCTGTCAAGGGGAAAGGATTCGATGCTCGTGGAGCGCTCTCTTTCATTGCTGATTGGAGCCCAGTGTTGACTAACCCAACGTTGCAAATTGCATCGGAGTCCATGACTGGTTGGAAGGAAGTATGTTTTGTCTACCTACAATATTTCAAACTTCCCAAAATCTAATGGATAATAGGCCACTGATCTTGGTTACCAACTAAGAGCTCGCTGTAAGTCACCCAAAGCTTGTATACTCTTTCGGCATTACCAGTACTAACCATGTTTTTAGATCCCGACTTCTACGAAGATGGCAACCCTTTCTACGTGTGGGCCAACCAGTACAAGGCCCCCATCAACGAGTCCCGAGTCGTCCAGACAGCTCGTGCTTTTGTCAATGGCTACCTGTACGAGTTCGCTGATACCTACGGCTCGGTGGTCAGTGTGAACTCCACCGGCTCTGTCAGCGCCATCGGTAACTCCCTTGGCCCCTCTGATTCCTGCCCACTTTTCGCCTCTACTTCCAGCGGAGGCGACAATGTTACCGATTGTAAGTGATGAAATATTTTCATAATTAGTATTCTCTGGCTAAACATTCTACAGGGGATGCTACTTGGGCACCCAAGGCCGTGAACCGACTCAACTCATTGGTCAGCGGCAACCTGACCTTCGATGAGACCGACATTCTTTTCTTCCCGTACATGTGTGCATACGAGAGTCAGATTACCGGCAACCTGAGCCCCTGGTGCAATGTGTTCACCGAATCCGAGCTCACAAACTACGCCTACTCGCAAGACTTGAGCTACTACTACGACGTTGGCCCTGGTGCTGATGGGCCCGCCCCCGTCCTTTTCTTGCCTTTCCTTAACAGCCTTGTGACTCTGCTGGCCGAGGGTCCCGGTCAGACTGGTACCAGTGCCGACGGAGGCAGCTTCACAGTTCCCAACCTGATCATGGCGTTCTTGAACGATAACCAGATTGCCGAGATGACCGCTGCTATGGGCATTTTCGATAACGAGGCTCATCTTCCCGATACCCATATCCCTGCTAACCACCTGTACAATGTGGCCCACTTTATCACCATGCGCGGCACTGTTGCCTTTGAGGCGTTGAACTGCGAAGTCGAATCGGGACACAAGACTTCGAATGAGACCTATCTCCGGGTTTTGTTCAACGACGCTGTTTACCCGATTGCCAGCTGCCAGAGTGGACCGGGCAAGAGCTGCCTTTTGTCCGAGTATGCCACTTTCATCGAGAAGAAGAACAAGGCTGCTGGCAATTTCATCGAGTACTGCAATGTGACCGAGACTGGTCACCCAACTACCGTTGCAGGAGCTAGCTTCTTTACTGATCTCTCATTGGACTTTTTGACCTTTGTCAACCCTTGAGTGACCTGATATTTGCCCCGTTCCTTTGTGTGCCAACATCTACCCTCGCTTGGTTTGTTTCCTTTTGTACCAGTCTGCATGCTGCAGGCTGTTTTTTTTTTTGCCTTGCTTTGTCCTGGTCTTTCCTATCTTCATTTTAATTTAGTATTTTTTTATCTCTTTCCCCCGTTGTACACTGTACTAGATAACCAATCGAACTTGAGAATAAAATCTATTTTGCCAAGAAATGCTTATCTTCGCCGTGTCATTGGATATGGAGCTTGTTCAACGATATAACATACCTCTTATTATATGTACTCCGTTTTTCTGTGACCTGTATATTGTAAGTAGTCGTGGTATACGCAAGCGCTCTCGAAATTGCGCGTGATCAATCTTTTCATGACCGCAGCATTGCACGCGTCATCTCATTCATCTTCCCTGCCGTAGTTTACGTACACTTTCTTTCTAACCTTGAAGTCCAACTGCCGAATCACAGAACGACGCAACTCCATAATCCCCAGGTCCGATGTTTGTCCGAAAAGAAAAATCCAGAAAAAAGTGGGCAATCGGGCTAGACCGTATACATTTTTCCCTTTTTTTCCCCACTTCGACGGGACTGCAGATGTCTCGAACCAAGTCTTTTTTTGCGTGGAGCAGGTCCGAGACATGAAGTCTTGATACTATGATGTTACTGGTTCTTGGCTTAGTTGCCTTGTTTTATTTGGGCGTTTCCCTGATTCCACCTTTTGTCTCGTAAATAGAAGCCCATTCCACGGAACCCCAACCTGGGGTTCTTTTTACAGTGTGACACATTTCCAAAATTAGCCCAAAATCTCCAAATCTCCAAAGAGGCAAAAAAAAAAAAATCCCAGGGAGAAAAAAAAGGAAAAAAGTACACAAACAACAAAAAAAAGCAAGTTCAACGTTGTTTTTGCAATACTAATTCCTCTTCTCCGTTTGCGTGGTAATTAGCAAGAGAAAAAGCATGAAAGCAACTCTCAAGTGCTGATAGGGTTACACAGATGAAACACGCATTCAGTCCCTGCCCAGACTTGTCTCCCTTTTGGATTGTGACCCTTTCAACTCATATGGTCCCCCAACTTCTTTTGTTCTGAATTGGACTGGACCTGGATGTGCGACACGGCGTTTGTGATTGTGATTGATCATGGCCTATAACGCTGTCGCTCAGGTGGAGGTCGCCTCGGACTCTGACTCTGACCATTCGAATCATTCGCTTTCCCGTTCTCAAGGACGGCATGTCGACCACCGTCACTTAGAATCCGCTAGAACTGTCGAAAACCCCGAATCCCAGTTGGGTGCCATCTACCGCTCCATGACTTCCTCCAACTACGATGTGGTTGAGGCCGATGACTACGACGCCGATCCTTCCCCCAAACATCACCGCATTCCTCCACTTAACACCGCGGTCGCGCGCCATTCCTCCCCCGATCCTCCTTTACGAAGTGCTTCCAGCGATATCCCCATCCCTCTCAGTCACCCAACCCCGGATTTGCAATCGTTGCAAGGTGCCTATGCAGGCAATGTAGAGCGACTGGAACAAAGCGCAGAGCGTCTAAGCTCCAGTACCGCCGACATTGCCAGTGAGATTCGTAAGATGGACCAGGAACAAAAGCGACGATCCCACAGTTCGGCTTCCAATTCCGTAATCATGCGGAATGGTGCATTCTCCCCGGGCGCCAGCCTTACCAGATCCCCTCATGGCTCGACCCGATCGCGATCCACGCGCCAACGCTCCGCCTCTAGTGGATCTTACCTGGCCCAGGTAGCGGAACCCGCCCACGATGACGATGGGCATTTCATGGACCAGTTTCCCGCGTCACTACTGATCGCCCCACAAGTCCCCCCTCATACCTCGAACGATGGAGTCTTTCATAGTCAATATGACAGCTCAGCGGCCCCCGTGGCTGCCGAGGAGATCGAGCGTCCGGATACGGCCGCATCAGGAGATACCTTCCAACAAGCCACAACGCTGTTTACCGACTTCGATGGTGTTCATTTCGCACCCCTGGAGCCATCCGATCCCGGTCGCCAGCTGTCCCTGAGCCAGCCGCCCCTGGCAAGCAAACCGCAACCGTATAAGCAGCCCCAGACTGGCGAGAACATGGTTTATTATCCCGCCCCTGTTCCACGCATGTTGAACCTCCCTCCCAAATTATCTCGCAGACCACCGATCGCAGAGCGCGAGAAACGTCGTACGCAGATCTTGACTACCATCGCGGCTGAAGATAGGAAGGCGGCGTTTGGGGAAGGAGCGACCGAAGGTCATAACGATAAGCGACAATCGACACTGCCTTCGCAGCTTCGAGCAAGCGTCTTCTTTGACAAACCGAGCACTACACTGGAGTTGGAAGTGAAGCAGGATTCGGCGGTTGCGACACTGGATAGCATCCTCGACGCCTCGGCGCATGCACCTGTCTCGGCTTTCACGGATCACCCGTACGCGGGTCACATTGGGTCGTACGTCTATGGAAAGGAGCGAAAGGCCCTTCGAAAACAGAAGTTAGATCGGAATTCCCAGTTTCAAATGGGGCAACAACAAAGCACCAGTAGAGAGAATGTATCAGAGGGTTCGGTTCATTCCGACAGTGAATTGCAACACGAAGACTCGGAGAGACATCATTCGAATGGGTCGGAGGGCTCAGATGTGTCAGGGAACGAGGAACATGGGAATTACCGGGAGAGCGGCGATGATGATGAGGAGGAGGAGGAGGATGAGGATGAGGAAGAGGAAGAGGACGAGCCGCTGGACTATGTGGGACCCCCAAACACCTTGCTCGCCGAACTAGTGCTGCGAAAGCAAGAGCTTGCACAGCGGAGACGTACGGCAGTCCCCCAATACACGCCAGGCATGCAGAACACACTTCTGGAGTTGGACGCGATGGCCCAAAAGCAGAGCGAGAAGAGAAGACGTCGACCTGTAACTTTGGCCTGGGACAGTCGCAATGCTGCTGACGATGACGACGTGCCTCTTGCAATGTTATATCCCGATCAGATCGCTGTGGATGATCCGGATCATCCACGCGGTCTAATGGAAAAACATCATGTTGAGGAACACGAACCCCTAAGTACCCGTCGGGCTCGACTGAGGGGGGAGCCAATTCCCGAGAAGCGACCTGTCACTTTTTATGCCGCTGAGAAGCCACAGCCTGCATCGGAGTCTGCATCAACGCCCGCCGCAGAGGACGAGACAGGAGAGGAGAATGAGACGTTGGCTGCGCGTCTGAGACGATTGAAAGGCCGAAATCCAACGGAAACAGACTTTTCCAATAATCTTCTTGCCGAATTTGACAGCCGCCTCGGATCCTCACATGTCACAGAGGCTACACCAGCTCCTCAACAGCCCCCTGAAGAGGAGACCCTTGCTCAGCGACGAATGCGCCTTCAAAAAGAAAGTGGCGCACAGCCTGGACTCGCAAAGAACCCGCGGGTGCGAAGAAGCATGGCTGCTCTCCCCCAGGTTCGGCCCTCAAATGTAGTCCGCAAGTCCTCTCACGACGCCTTTCAGCAATCCAGTCGCACGCAACAATTCGGAAACCGCATGACCATGCAGCAGTTCCCTACTACTAATATGGGATACCAAGCACAGGCATACCCAGCGAACCAGCCACCCCCACCGCCGTATAGCTATGGTCCTACTTACCCGCCCCCTTATGGCTACAACAATACCATGATGGCTATGCACAGCGCAGGTTATCCTATGCCCAATGTGTGTGGGCCAACCATGACCCGACAGCCGGTTGATCCCAATCAACGCGATGTCATTGACCGCTGGCGGCAGAGCGTTCGCTACTAGGTCATTCCCTTGAACATTCGCTAGACTTCACCATTTCATTCCCCTTACTGTCTTCTGATCCTTGTACTTTCCTTGTTTTTCTCTCGTTATCGCTCCCAAACTCTCTCTCTCTCTCTTTTTTTTCTTTTTTCTTTTTCTCATTGCATCATCATAGCGTCGTCATTCTGAGCGTACTCTTGTGCTTATTGTACCTTCTTTTTGCTCCTCTTTTTTCATTTCTTCTTGCTTTTGAGGGATATCCATGTAGAGTAGCGTGGTTTGTATGATCTATAGAGACGACTTGGTCTCACTCACAGCCCGTCGGGCAGCATTTTAGAGCCTCACATGTTGAGTTTCTTTTGTTTATATCCATTGCAAATGTTTATTTCAACTACATCAGCATGCACATGGTTCTACCTGGCTAATGGTACTAAGTACGCAGAGACTTGTCGTTCCAAGGTTGTTAAATTAACAAACAGTGAACGTTTGTTTCTAACATTTGAACCAAGGTTCATCCATGTTTATGTAAACACATATTTCGTGTATTGCCCAATATTCTGGAGTTTTCGTAAGTCGACTTTCTTCCAATGTATTGAAATAAAACAATTCGAAGAATCCATAAGTTCTGCACATGTGTACGATTCAAAGCAAGGGTGAACAATGTAAAGGAAGTAAATATAGATCTGACCTGCTGAAGCTTCGATTGGTGTAACCCTACTTTATGTACTGCGAACCTTGGATCTGAAGTTACGTCTTGATCTTGATTCCAGATCTCTCACTTCTCATTCTCAATTTACTTTATTTATTGTTTTATACGCTCAGAATCATCATGAGGTAGTTGTTTCGACTTACCAAATTCGCTCTAGTCTCTGCTTCGAAGCTCAACGCCGAGTGGGCCGTTTCAAGCCCCACTAGTGCCTGGTATGTGAGACTCCAAAAGTAGTCCAGCGACTCCAGCCCTCCATTCCACTAACACCAGCCCTCCACAAGTACCTCTGACCGCGATGGAGTCCCGAGTACCCTAAAAATTACCACGTCGGCTTACATATACGCCGCTAAAGGGTCTGGTTTAGCGACGAGAATGCCCTCGTCCACAGTTTTCTCATATTGGCGTCGGGACCATCGACGCTCAACCGCGCCGCCAGCTTCCCTACCAGCTCCGTCGCCAGCCCCTCCGACTGCAGCAGAGAGTCCACTCAGCCCTCCCCAGCTTCCCCAGCTTCCCGATACCCCCACCTTCACAAGCGCCTTCGGTGGCAATCCTTCATACGATGCCCCTCCCTGGAGCGACTCGCCGTTGGAGAATGACGCCGCAAAGCTAAACTTTACCTCCTCCGCCGCGCCATTATCTTCCTCTGTCAGCCTCGCTGTCCCGTCGCCGCCTGCCGATAAAGAGGGCCGTCCCCATTCGAGTCCAGACGAGCTTGTCCCCGAATCAACCATCACGTCGCAGGCCAGAAATTCCCAACTCGACCTGGCAGGATTGCGGGCAGACGATGGCGACGGAGAGTCGAATTCCAAGCCGACTTCGCCGTTTAGACTGTCGTTTGGAAAGGGGCTGCGGAATATGCAGGCCCCAGCCGCTGAAAGTCAGAAACGGTCCCCCACGGCGGGATTGGGGGCGAGTCAGTTTAGATTGAAAACTTCGCCCGAGGAAATGCTGGTGGAAAAGCCCAATACATTACAAAAGGACTCGAGGCAGGATGGCAGTCTATCGAGACGGAGTGCGGACCGCGAAGTCTCGACGGAGCATGTGCACCACAAATCAGGCAAGGCGATGCTTCATCTATTGAACCCGATGTCGCTTCTTGCGCGTCGCCGGTCTTCGCAGATTGGTAACTCTCGCATCGAGGATGCCAAACTAAGCGCACCCAACTTGATACCTGCCATTCCGGATGATTATGATCCTAGAATTCGTGGGAAGATTGTCCATGACTTCTCTGCTCCTCGGGCTCGTCGGAATTTGTCTGATAATTCTACCACGACCGATGGGAAGAGCCCCATCCCACCGGATTCGACGCTACAAAGTCCTTCTAGTCCCTGGAACGATAGACCGAAGCGACACAGTGAATACTCTCCTGTGTTCAAGGAGCATTTCGAAGATGATGAGAATGTGCTGCATGTTGAGAACAAAGGTTATCTCCAGTCAACGTTACTGACAAACCCATCTGAACCGGGCTACGAAAAGTCAATACCGGTTTTCGCCCGAAGATTTCCGTCGACTGCCCCCGAGCACAGCCCAGATGCTGGGGATAACTATGCCAACCTTCCTGCAGAACTTCCCGGAGACGTTCCTGTTGAACTTCCTGCAGAGGTACCACCAGATTACGTGACACAATCGCCAAAGGAAAGCCCCCCGGTAAACCAGAAAGAGCAAGACATCATCCCCAAGGTGCATCCTGCGGGCTTGCCGAAGCACCTCAAAAGCAACGCGTCTTCAAGGTTTAGCTTCGACATGGGCGGGGTGGAATCTTCCGTGCAGGAGAAGCTACTCGAAGAAAAGCATAAGGCGAAAGAAGCTGCACGAAAAAGAGATGATGGATATTTTGACGATTTTGATGATGAATTCGACCATGACATGATGGATGACATGGATGACCTCGAAGAAGACATCCCTGAAATCGGCGCTGATTATGACGAGGACTATACTCCTACTGTTTCTCGGGACGTTAATGGCGATTTGAAGTCCTGGGCCCTACCTGCTCTTTCACCTGTTGTTGCGAGCCCGACTACACCCGCGCCGCCATCTGAATTCATGAACAACCCAGTGGGCATTGATCCCGCTCTTGTGATGGGAAGGAATACGTATTTCAGCCAGGAGCAGATGGACCCAGAGCCAAACGATGTTGCCCAAAATCATTCTTTCATGGAGGATACCCAGCAGCTTCCAGATGACCACATGCAGCCAGTCGTTGATGATGACGACATGTATTTTGACGATGGTGAATTTGGGGATCTCGATGCTGATGATGAAGATGGTGGCTTTGATGAATCAATCTTTGATGATGAAACGAGTCATCTATATGAACGAAAGATTGTCAACAAAGAGGCTAGTCAGGAACCTCCACCTACCATTCCGGAGGAAGATGAGCGCCTGGAAAATGACATGCCACTCGATGAGGATGCTAGCCAAGGACTTAAGCACATGCCCAGCGTGGCAAGTGAGTACCAGACGGGCCCCATAAAGCGTGGGCCGCTTGGTGAGCCGATACCTAATCTGGGACCTGCACGGGCTCATGGTGGTGTTCTCACAGAGCAAAACCTAGAGGTATTACACAATGCCCTACAATTCGCAGCAAATGAAGCGGTGGCTCAAAGCCAATTTGAACGCTCGTTCAGTACAAGCGAGCGGTCTGTGGGACAGGAAAGCATACCGCAGACATCTCAAACTGGCGACTCACAGCCTGGACTGGCATCAGATGACAGCCGCATCAGTCAAGCAATGGATATGATGGGATTTGATGACGTCTTTGAAGATGATATCTATAATGACTATGCATATTACGATGATCCTATCGTCGCTGCAGCCAATGCCGAGGCACTGGAGAACGACGACGAGGGTTTCTACGGCCAAGAATTTGGCTTTTATGCTCAGGCGAATGGCACTTCTGAACTCACAAACGGAGGCTACTTTGGTCCCCGAGGAGTCGAAGGTATCACGCGCAGCTTTAGCAGCCGTGGGAAATTCCAGGAACCCAGCTTGACCCCGATCACCGAACGTAGTGAATGGAGTACTCGTAACTCCCTAATCTCATTAAAGGCGCACGGTGCCGCCCATTCAAACCCATCACTCGCTAGCCCGGGTTTGGCCCAGCTGGTTGACATGGGCAACCTGGACGACGAGATGACACTAAGCGCTCTCCTGAAACTGCGACGTGGTGCTTGGGGTGGAAGCAATGGAAGTCTTCGCAGCAGCGCTGGTAGTCCGCCACCCCATACTATCACATCTTCACACCGCGGCAGCTTTGCTGGACCTTCAGAAGCTGCTAGTCCTTCTGAGGCTAGGCACTATGCCGATGAGGGTTTAGCGGGTATGATTGATCACCATGACGACCATGTTTCCCATACGATTTCACCGCTCAAGGTTACTGGGCTAGCTCAATATGCCGATCTCCCGCATAGCGGAATTGACGGCCCGATCTACGCAGATATCGAGGAGGAATTGCCGAATTCCGGCACTCAGCGCCTGAATGTCCTGTGAACTTGCTTTTCTTTTGGACCCTTTCGCATCATTTCTTCTCATTCCCCCTGGATATAATTTGCAGCCATCATCGTTTCTTTGTTGCATATGGATTGGCATTATTCATTTTTTTTTGTTTGTTTCTCTCTAACGATTTAATGACCTGCCCGAGTATGTTTTCTGGTTGGCGTTTACCCTTATACACCGATTGTTCTTATATTCTTCCAGGTGATCTAGCGAATCATGTTGATATACAAAATTTGAAAGCATTCACCAAATCCTCCACTTCCCGAGGTCCCTATTTGTATAACTTGTAAAGCTATCCTTCAGTGCCGTCATTGTAGTGCATGGAACACCCGCCTGGGCCGAAATCACCCGCAAAAGGCCGAAATGCTTAGCCGGGCAGTGGATCGATGTGGCTCACGAGTCGGAGTGGCCGCGTCTCAGTAACGTAAAACCGGCAATGGACCCGGGCTGACTCAGCGCACCAGCCTCATTCCAAGTTGCAGGTTCCTCCGAGTTTAGCTGGCTCCCCTTCTTCTCCAATCTAAACCCTTTTACCCCAGTTCTTTTATTCAGCAGATTTTCTGCTCTCTAATGAGTCCAGATTCTTTATAGGTGCTACGGCAATAATAGTCGACACCTAATTCGCGCAATTTAATCATACCTGTACGTGTTTCCGCCGCTTCCTTTGCTCCGTCGGTATTCTCGGCAGAGAACAACAACCTGGCAACTTCGGGGGCTAATGTGCGCGTGACTATTAGATCGGTTTGAGATTGTCCCTATTTCGGCTCAGTCTGAGACTTTAGCTGTCTTGATCTCTTTCTTCCCCCTTTTTTCCCTCCAAACAACTTCCGGCTTCGTCGGAAACAAATCCCTCAAATGTTCAGGAATACTGCCTTGAAGGCCTCTCGGAGGTCCTTCCACCTCGCCTCGAGCGCTCGTTTCGCCTCGAAGAACCCTGGCTTCAGCCTCGCTGCTCGTCGTCCTCTCGCTGTTGTCAACGGTACCCGCCAATATGCTTCCGAGGCCTCAAGACCTGGAGTGGTAAGCTAGAAACCAGCCTTTGAAAAAAAAATCCAATCAAAAAAAAAAAAAACATCATCATTGCGCGCGATTGGGGCGCAACCCCCCCAAAAAAACTCGACTAATGCGACATCACGTTTCTGTTATTAGGACGCCAACGATTCTTTCCTCTCCGGCAACACTGCCAACTACATTGATGAGATGTACATGGCATGGAAGCGTGACCCGTCCAGTGTCCACATCTCATGGCAGACTTACTTCAAGAACATGGAGTCTGGCTCCATGCCCATGTCCCAGGCTTTCACTCCTCCCCCTACCCTCGTCCCCACCCCAACTGGCGGTGTCCCCCAGGACATGCCCGCTGCTGGCCTTGCCGGTGGTACCGATGTCACCAACCACTTGAAGGTTCAGCTTCTTGTGCGCGCTTACCAGGCCCGTGGTCACCACAAGGCCAAGATCGATCCTCTCGGCATTCGCGGAGAGGCCGAGGCTTTCGGCTACGACAAGCCCAAGGAGCTTGAGCTCGACCACTACGGTTTCACTGAGCGCGACCTGGACCAGGAGTTCGCTCTTGGACCCGGTATCTTGCCCCGTTTCGTCACCGGAGAGCGCACCAAGATGACCCTCCGCGAGATCATTGAGTCTTGCGAGAAGATCTACTGCGGCTCCTACGGTGTTGAGTACATTCACATCCCCGACCGCAAGCCCTGCGAGTGGATCCGTGACCGCTTCGAGGTCCCCGAGCCCTTCCGCTACTCGGTCGATGACAAGCGTCGCATTCTGGATCGTCTCATCTGGTCTTCCAGCTTCGAGTCTTTCCTGGCTACCAAGTACCCCAACGATAAGCGTTTCGGTCTGGAGGGTTGCGAGACCCTTGTCCCCGGTATGAAGGCTCTGATCGATCGCAGTGTTGACTACGGTATCAAGGACATTGTCATCGGTATGCCCCACCGTGGTCGCCTGAACGTTCTGTCCAACGTTGTTCGCAAGCCCAACGAGTCCATCTTCAGTGAGTTCGCTGGTTCCACTGAGCCTTCCGACGAGGGTTCCGGTGATGTCAAGTACCACTTGGGTATGAACTTCGAGCGCCCTACCCCCTCCGGAAAGCGTGTCCAGTTGTCCCTGGTTGCCAACCCCTCTCACTTGGAGGCCGAGGACCCCGTTGTCCTGGGTAAGGCTCGTGCCATCCAGCACTACAACAACGACGAGACCGAGTTCAACACCGCTATGGGTGTTTTGCTCCACGGTGACGCTGCCTTCGCCGCTCAGGGTGTTGTCTACGAGACCATGGGATTCCAGTCTCTTCCCGCCTACTCCACCGGTGGTACCGTCCACATTGTCGTGAACAACCAGATTGGTTTCACCACCGACCCCCGCTTTGCCCGTTCCACCCCTTACTGCTCGGACATTGCCAAGTCCATTGATGCTCCCGTCTTCCACGTGAACGCCGATGATGTCGAGGCCGTCAACTACGTTTGCCAGGTTGCCGCCGATTGGCGCGCTGAGTTCAAGCGTGACGTTGTCATTGACATGGTCTGCTACCGTAAGCAGGGTCACAACGAGACTGATCAGCCCTCGTTCACCCAGCCTCGCATGTACAAGCGCATTGCTGAGCAGAAGGCCCAGCTTGACAAGTACGTCGAGAAGCTCATTGCCGAGGGTACCTTCACCAAGGAGGACATTGATGAGCACAAGAAGTGGGTTTGGGGAATGCTCAACGACAGCTTCGACCGCAGCAAGGACTACCAGCCTACCGGTAAGGAGTGGCTCACCTCCGCCTGGAACAACTTCAAGAGCCCCAAGGAGTTGGCCACTGAGGTCCTCCCCCCACCTTCCCACTGCCATCGCCACCACTTCCCTGAAGAACATTGCCGATAAGGTCAGCGGTGCTGCCGCCCCCGAGGGCTTCACTCTCCACAAGAACTTGAAGCGTATCTTGGCCGGCCGCAAGAAGGCTGTTGACGAGGGTAAGGGTATTGACTGGGCTACTGCCGAGGCTCTGGCCTTCGGTTCCCTTGTTGACGAGGGTTACCACGTCCGTGTCTCCGGACAGGATGTTGAGCGTGGTACCTTCTCTCAGCGTCACGCCGTTCTCCACGACCAGGAGACTGAGGCTGTCCACACTCCCCTGCAGCACATCAGCGACAAGCAGGGTAGCTTCGTCATCTCCAACTCCTCCCTGAGTGAGTTCGGTTGGTAAGTTAAAAAGCCCCCCAAAACGAATCTCCCTGTCAGTTTGAAATGTAATGCTAATTTCTTCTTTAGTCTTGGTTTCGAGTACGGTTACTCCCTGACCTCCCCCGAGGCTTTGGTCATGTGGGAGGCCCAGTTCGGTGACTTCGCCAACAACGCTCAGTGTATCATTGATCAGTTCATCGCCTCCGGTGAATCCAAGTGGTTGCAGCGTTCCGGTCTGGTTGTCTCTCTGCCCCACGGTTACGATGGACAGGGTCCTGAGCACTCTTCCGGTCGTATGGAGCGTTGGTTGCAGCTCTGTAACGAGGAGCCTCGCGTGTTCCCCCCTGGTGACAAGCTTGACCGCCAGCACCAGGACTGCAACATGCAGATTGTCTACATGACTGAGCCCTCCAACTTGTTCCACGTTCTCCGTCGCCAGATGCAGCGCCAGTTCCGCAAGCCTTTGATCATCTTCTTCTCCAAGGCTCTCCTGCGTCACCCCATTGCTCGCTCTGACATCGAGGCCTTCACCGATGACTCCCACTTCCAGTGGATCATCCGTGACACCGCCCACGAGACCGGTGCCATCGAGGCCCCCGAGAAGATCGACCGTGTCATTATGTGCTCTGGACAGGTCTACGCCGCCCTTGTCAAGCACCGTGAGGCCAACGGTCTCCGCAACACTGCCATCACCCGTGTTGAGCAGCTGCACCCCTTCCCTTGGGCCCAGCTCAAGGAGAACCTTGACAGCTACCCCAACGCCAAGGACATCGTCTGGTGCCAGGAGGAGCCCCTCAACGCCGGTCCCTGGTCTTACGCCCAGCCCCGTCTTGAGACCCTGCTCAACTCCACCGAGCACCACAACCGCCGCCACGTCATGTACGCTGGTCGTGCCCCCAGTGCTTCCGTCGCCTCTGGTCTCAAGGCTGTTCACTTGAAGGAGGAGCAGGAGTTCCTCGAGGAGGCTTTCTCCGTCCACCAGGAGCGCCTGAAGGGCGAGTAAATGCCTTTCATGACTAGATGACCTCGGTTTTAAGCCGAGGCACAATTGCTATTGAAATGGCTTACTTTTCCTTTTGTCCATTGGTTCGCAGAAGCTAGCGTCCGATTTCCTTTGTACTACTTTTTTTTTTCTTATTTGCATGATTGTCTTTGTTCTCGGCCACGGTGTATACAGCCCGTCTTGCTTTTGCTGGTGGGCGCGTCTATACCTAGATTCATGTCTGTAAAATACAAATTTCATTCAGTTGTGGCATTTGATATCCATATTACTACCAACATCGAAAGTAAATTGTAGAACTGCAAAGCCTGTGCAAGAATTAATGGAGATGTGGGGCGGATTCATAATGTTGTTAAAGGTATAGCTATGCTACGGGGCCTCCTTACTTTGACGATCACAGTGGGGGTAAAGTTCCAGTTCACAACTGCATGGACCCTCGAGATGGTTGTTCTTTAGTAACAAGCAACCTTCTTGGGATTTAATTTTAAGAATTGGTAATAAGGCAGGGACTGTTGGCTTCGCTTCAATTACCGGAAGTTTGACTAGTGGAGTCATGGTCTTGATACATTTCTTGGTCATACTGAGAGGCTTAACGCAGATTAAGGAGCTCAGGGTCCCTTGAAAGTTGAAGGTGTATGGTTGATATGACATCATTGTAGCGTGGACAAACGTGTTGACTAATCCATGTTGATGCCTGGCTCCGCTGGCGAAAATTCACCTGATCTAATGCGCTCTTCTCCGCACGCAAACTTTCGACTACAGGCACTCCCCTCGTCGTCTTCACTCTTGGTGTATAAGTTGTTGTACAACTATTTGTTGACAGGAATTTTTATATCAGTAATTGAATTTCCATACTTCACTCTGATTTCATCAGGTTGGACTCAGGAGCCCCCAAAAAGCTCCTGCAACGGTGCAAACCCCAGCTTAACCATAGCATTTTCACCATGTCCACCGTCTCGTCATCAGCCTTGAATCCCCAGGGCCAAGGAGTCCGCCAATCAGCCCGCCAAACTCGAACAAACCCATCCCGAACCTCCAAGACTGTCGGCCGTTCTTCCTTTGGCTTTGGGCGTGGCTCGACTGCAGAGATTCCCTCTACTCCCCCTGTTCCTCATGGCTTCTACCCTGCCCTTACACACTTTACCGACGCGATAACTGCTCTCCCACGCGAGTTTCGCCGACATAATTCGTTGTTGAAAGAAGTGGACGCTAAGGCGTGGGCACTGGAGGAAAATTTGTTGCAACTGCTCCAGCTTTCATCAGTGTCGCAACCGGTTCCTCATCCCCCCCACCCAGCGCCTATTGTTGCTGGTGTATTGCGAGAGGATGTCATACCCCAGGTACGTTGATTTTGCTAGATCTGTGAGAATTTTGATCACGAATTGTGTACTGATGGTATTTCTCTTCTGTAGGAGCTTTCCCAGTCCGAATCGCCCGACAGCAAAAACCGTCGCCTCCTCTTCGATCGCGTGCGCCAGAGCCTTTCAGATCTCATGATGACTGCTGATGAGAAAAACCATGTCATTTCCAATGCAAATGAGGAATTGGACCGTCAGGTCGTACGCCTCGATAATGTGTACCCGTTCATTGCGGGTGAGATCAGCGCAGAGGCTCGTCTGGGTAGTCTGACACACTGGGCATACTCAAACAAAAATGCCGTCAAGACGGCAGCCAACGAGCGCCCCCGCCGGGAAGCAGTCTCGCATAGGCAGGATTTGTCAAACGCACTCCACGAGGCTGAAGCTGCTAGTCGCAGCGAAGCACGGCGCGAGGCAGTTTTGGCACGGAAGCAGCGTCGAGCAAATGCTGATGCAGACTATGAAGATTCTCGCGGAGCCCGAAAGACCGCGACGACGAAGTCTCGTGGTGATAATGCGGGAGCCGAGCAAAATGCTACGACCAAGCGTCGAAGAGTAGACAAAGAGCGGCCTCCGGCCATTGATATGGGTACACCGATGGACCGCACTGCCAGTGGTGCGACCAGCCAGAGAGCTCCAGCCAAGGATGGAGTAGAGAAAAAACGGTCTCGCGCTCCCAATGCCGGTACAACTGCAGCTCGCAAGAAGTAAGTTTAGTCGTCATCGTTGTTTTTTTCCACCCAACCTTCATCTCGTTTGTTTTGTCTGTACCGATTCTGACTGTTTTATTGCAGGACTAACGTCACTTCCAATGCCGCTTCGCCTGTTATGGCCCCCTCTCCTCTTATCGGGACCTTCAATGCCCCACGTGGAGCTGGCAGCCCGGGACCAAACCCAACACGCCCTCAATCCGCTCGAGCACAGCAGAACGCGGGGCAAACCAGCAACTCCCGACAACGACCAACGTCATCTGCTTCAAATCGCGTGGGACAACCGGCTAGTATGTTTACCCACCCTCTTCCTCCCTGCCTTGTGCCTTGTTCTAACCGTATTGTCCTTATCTAGCCAAACCCGCCGACCCCAGATCCACAACCCGCGATGGGCCCCTCAAAATCGAAGCGGTCACCGCCGACCCAAGTCGCGACTACGAAGCCGAGGCTGGCATGCGAACATCCGCACAAACTGGAGCTAAGCAGGATGACCTAGACGGACGACCTACCGATCAACCCCTCGAGACCGAACCGTCCAAGGGCCGAACCTCCAAGACCTCTACACCGTTGATACCTGCCTTGGCCGAGCCTGCCCAGTCTCGCTCCAGACCCACACGGAGTACAGATCCTGCGCCGAACAAGCGCAACGCCAAGAAGCCCGCCATGCCAGCGCCTGCGATACCATCGGATGAGGAGTCGATCCACGAGGGCGATGACGAAGACGAAGAAGGCGAGCCGCGGTACTGCTATTGTAATGAGATCAGTTTCGGCGAGATGGTTGCCTGTGACAATGACGCCTGTCCGCGCGAATGGTTCCACTTGTCTTGTGTTGGGTTGACGAAGCCCCCAGGGAAGAATGGTGAGTTCTATGCATCCATAATCGCGCACTTTGTTTTTTTTTTTTTTTTGGACCTTACATGCTAATATCTGGATAGTCAAATGGTTCTGCAACGAGTGTAAGGAGAATATGCGACGAGGTCGCAATGGACGGTAGATGATGGGACCGATACTCTTACTACCTTGGATCTGATAATCATTTCTCCATCGGCTAGGTAATGCATCTTCATTCGAGATAGGAGCTTGATGCTAGACATACATGACTTAAGAACTGCAAACGATCTCCTATAAATAATGAAGACACTTTTTACATCACTCCAAATATTCCAACATTAGAGGTTCTTGTTCTCTGTAGACCTCCAACCCCACCTTGTTCCTGTTCCTGGATAAGGCACCCAGGCATGACATGATGTAACTAAAAGCGTGTACCTGCAGCGTTAGTCAGAACACGAACTACATGCTGCTCTATCCATTTGGATTTTTCTCTTCTTTCCAACCCAAGAACAATCTTCCGCATGTCTGATGAGATGCGGTAATTAATGACTAGCGGTGTAGGGAATACACCGTCACCACATCGGTGATTATGGGTCTGTCGCATATGAGTCATAACATTCCAGCAGAGCACAATAACTAACTGACTAGTCAATTAACTAGTACCCAGGTGTACATGTATGATTGCTAATCGCACACCTACGAAAATCCAGCGGAGCCACGTGTGTTGAGGTCATCGGTGACATTCGGGCTTCAACGTGGGCGGATTTGAATGGGGTAATTAATTAATACGTAGTAGGTAGTAAGTAATCCCTGCCCAATCACTCAATCCTTGAAAGTTCCCGTAAACCCACGGATTACAAAAGCGAACGTGGTCCGTAAGTCAGTAAAATACTGGGTAGAGTGTGTTTACACACCGGCACTTCAAATTGCCCGATCATATTCGCACGTGCATTGCTTGTACATGGATGAATTGGAGGTATCGGCGATATGCAAACCTTGGAAAGTCCACGGATACATACTCTAGTGTTAATTTTTACATGTGGACAATGTGCCCATCTCGACAACATGCAGCCTTAGGACTTCTAGTAATGCTGTATAGTAGGTAGTAGGAGTATGTTATATGAGATAAACGCGGGGGATAGGTATGTAGCATTTGAAAAGGACTTAAACGTTTGAAGCAGGGTTCGAATCTATAAAGACAAAAAGACCAAAGAAAACACATGCATATAACAAACTCATCAATATGTACCAGTTCTATAGCATTCAAGAGGCTTAACGCTTCGATCGTTTCTGAGGAGACTGATGCTCGTCATCCTCTTCGTCCTCATCACGAGCACGCTTCTCGCTAGTGTTGGTCTCCTCCTCGATATCGCTACCAGAATTGTTCTCGTTGCTCTCGATATCATGTTCCTGATCCTCTTGATCCTCCTCCCCTTCCTCCACTTCCTCGACTTCCTCGTCCTCTTCATCTTGTTCCTCTTCTTGCTCTTCCTCTTCCTCTTGCTCTTCCTCTTCCTCTTGATCTCCCTCTTCCTCTTCTTGCTCCTCAACTTCTTTCTCCTCCTCCTGCTCCTGCTGCTTGTCTCCCTCCTCCAAAATGACATCTCTTCCGTTACGAGGGTACCTATAACCTCTCCTGCGAATTACGGCGGGACGCGTCACAGAGTGACCACTCCTATCACGATGACGGGGAAGCTGGACAGCAGTAGGAGCTGGGGCTGGACTGATCAATATACGCTTCCCTGTCCTAACCTCATATCCATCCTCAGACCCATCCGTAGACAACAAATCCCCCCGCTTAGCCACCGGCCAAGTGGATCGCTGGTCTCTGAAGATCTCGTACAAGTTCTTCACGGCGCTGGGCCGGTGGAGACGCGGGATGCCGGCGGGCATCTTGTCGATCTCCTCGTGGATGGCGTTGTTGGCGTCTTCGCGGGCCTCGCGCTTTCGCAGATTCAGGCCGTCGACGCTGAGGTCGTTGTTGATTCCTTGGAGGACTTGGATCACGGTGTCGCGGTCTGCTTGGTCGCGGTCTTCTGCGATCTTCAGACCGCGCCATTGGGAGTCGTTTTTCATTTTGGGGAGCGCGGGAGCACGGGCGCGGGCGCGGGCGCGAGGCATTGTTTCGGTTGTTTGGGTGTTTGGTTTGGTTTGATTTGGATGGTGGGTATTGGGTTGATAGAAGGTATGTTTCTACCTAGTATATAATGGAGGGATATCAAGTGTTGTGGTTTGGGACTGAGATGAGATGAGATGGGTGATGGTGATGGTTTTTGAATCATTTAAGGTATGAGCACTGGAGGGCTTCTTTGTGTGAAGGGTGGAATGTCTGGAATTCAAGAGAAGGTTTTTCTTTGTGTTGAATTATGCTTATGGTAGGGGGATATGGTGATGGCTAAGCCTGCACATGTGGTGTGGGCGTTTCTCTTTGATGGGATGTTCTATACATAGAATGAAACTGAACCTTGGTTGCACTTGGTAGTTTGGTAAACCTAGATATTTTCAGATTCATTGATGAAGATCAAGGGTCTATGGATGATGGTTTGGAACATTCAAAGAGAATGATGTAAACCTTGGAGTATTTTCCATTTGTTCAGAGTTGTTCTTTGAGCTGGGCACAATAACATTTGAATGACAAAGAAAAGCCCCAGAGATTGATGTTTCTAATTATAAAGGCCAGCGGAGAAGATTTTGAAGAAGAACATATTGGTAGTGATTTAGAATGAGTTTTATATCGAATAACAACGAGCCCAAAAATAAGGTGATAATCGGATTGAAAAGGTACTATGTACGTTAGTTAGGGCTGAAGATCATGACATAAGCCAGAGATCTCCCGAGCCAAGCATCGCTGATCAGGCACATCTGAACATGAGCGCATGGTATCCATGGATCACTTGTGGTAATTTTAATGAACCTTGGAAAGCATCTTTTTCTTTTTCTTTTTCTTTATATATCCAAAGCTGAATTTCATCTTGAATCCCCTCTTAATCGGAGTAACACGGGATTCACTATTCGCCCCCCTGAGAGACCAGAAATTGCCGATTACCGACGATACCGATATACGTTGAAAAGTTTAACTTGCCAAGATTTTCAGGTACAGAAAAAAGACAAAAAAAGCAAAAGAGCAAAAGAGCAAAAGATTTGACTCGAGCCACGCAGTCCAGGCATTGGCATTTTCATTCCTTCTTTTTCAAAGTAGAATTACTTGTTGGCGAGAAAACTCCGGTTGTTCCGTAATTAATCAATAAAAACCCCATTAAATCTGCCCGATCTACTTCTTCTCCCAAAAGACTCCGATACAATACTCAACCTCCAAACCTCCAAAGTTTACTACTTCAGACCTCGTCTCACCACATCCGCAATCTATAGCAGAAAATACTCCGTATAGGCAATCGTGAAAGAAGAAAAGACAATCGCGCCATGGTGGAACAAGTTCCGTTTCAACAGAGAGATCCCACAAACCGGTGGATCTCCGTCCTAGGCTTGTAATGGATGGCGCCAATCGTCATCTACCATTTCTCTATACTGCTCCACTGGGCTCCAGTCACACACGTCAACCCGGCACTTTTAGGCACTGGCAAAGTACAATCGAAAAGGCTAGATTCCCGAAACTATACTATACTAATGTACGCTAAAATCTCGCCGGGCCCCATTTCCAAGCCCTAGAGCGTACGTGGTTTCTGTTAGTGACGACCCATTATGGGGGCAAAATTACGGAGTAGAAGGGCCAAAGGGGAAAATTGCAAAAATCTAGGCTCATGCAGCCCCCATACATTAATATATTAAAACCAAACGCCTCCCCTCTCTCTCTCTTCTCTGCTTTTTGATATCAACCACATTCTCTGTTTCCCAAATTTCTGGCGAAGTTTTCATAACTTCTGTCCTTCTTTCCTGTCACACTATTCATTCATTCATAGTGTTGACAATCATTTCCAGATCTTGAACACCTTCATTCTACTTTTTTCTGCCTCTTTTTTTGGTCAAGGATTTCGAATTCTGGTATATTCAATCCTCAAGCTTTATATAAGAAAAAAAAAAAAGAACAAGAGAAATCCATCATGCTTTTCTCCAAGTCTTTGCTGCTGGCAGCTCTTTCCAGCAGCGCTTTCGCTGCCCGCCTGGAAGGTCATGCTCGTCGCCAGGCCGTCACCACTACGACCGTGACCGAGCTCATCACCATCACTGCCTGTCCTTGTTCCGAAACCTCCACCCCAGCGTGGACCTCTTCGTCCGTGGTAGCCACCACCACCCCCGAGCTCTCCACAACCGAGACTCCCACTTCCACTCCCGTGCCGACCACCTCGGCTGTGCCGACTACTTCCACGGTCGAGTCTACTTCCAGCTCCATCGTAGCAGTGACCACCTCGTACTCGACCATCGAGGCCGTGACATCCACTTCCACCATCGAGGCTTCGTCCTCCACCTCCGCCTCCAGCATCGAGGCCTCCTCCACCTCCGCCGTGGCCTCCACCACCTCCTCCAGCTCCAGCTCCGCCTGGACAGAGGTGCCCTCCGACGGCGTCTACTCCACCACCGGCTTCGGCACCATCACTAACTCCTCCGGCTCCGGCGACACCTACACCGGCAACGTCGGCAGCCCCTACGGCAGCAACATCATCACCGTCTCCGAGTCCGAGGCCAGCTCGTACAAGTACGTCGTCCAGTTCACCGGCTCCAACACCGACGACTGGAAGGTCGTTATCTGGAACAAGTATAGTTCCGACGGCACCATGGACGGCTGGTACGGTAATGCCTGCCACACTTTCACCCTCGCTGCCGGCGATACCGTCTACTACGCTTTCGACACTGACTCCCAGGGTGGTTGGACTGCCGCCAAGGGCTCGACTATCCCCACTGATGACTACGGCGGTTACGCCTCCACCTGGGGTGAGTTCGACTTCGGCTCCACTGTCAACTCGGGCTGGTCTGGCTTCGATGTCTCGGCCATTATGGCCCAGGATGCCGATCTGTCGGTCCAGGGTATGAGCATCTGTGATGCTTACAACTCTGATGCTACTTGCTCGTCTATTACGACTGGCGCCGGCACCGTTTCCAACGCTTACACTTCTGCTGAGACTGATGTCGGTGGTATCGGTGGTAACCTTTCTGCTGGACCTGTTCGTCTGGCTGTTGTCATCGACTACGATGCTTAAGTTGGCATTTAAGTTAACTTAGCGCCGAGCATCGGTACGCGCTGTGTGGAGTTTCGCGTTGGTTTTGTGATTTTTTTTTTTTGGTTTTGGTTTCACAACTTCTTTTAACTTAACGCCTGCAACTACGAATCTGTTTTTTGCATATGTGGGGTCGGTTTGGTGTATGCCGGTACGGGAATCCTGACCGGGGTTTTTGTTGGTTCGGTATAAAATATTCGATTCTTTTATTTTCTCTTCGAAGGATTTTTTTTTTATCTTTGCCAATGCCACACAGTCTTTCTTTTACCTGGTATCTTCTGTGACATTCCCCCTTTTGACCCTTACTCCGTAAAGTAAACCATCGCCCCCCCTGACTCCGGAGTAAAAATCGTCTAATTTTGGTTCTTCGGGCGAGGCGCCATTAGTGTGATGGGGCGTTGACGGCCGCCTCAGCGCATACGTACGCTGGGAGTTGCGGCCCGTTCTCGCTTCTCATTTGCTGGATTATGACAGTCTCCACTTTTGCTTAGGAAAAGTCTTGATTTGACTGCGTGTCCGGGACATAAATTAATTTCTGCAAATTGACGTTGTTTTTTGTTAGTCTACTCCGTATGGTCTACTTAATTTGGTTCTTCATGCGGGTGTTGGATGGGGAATCCGCGGTACAGTTGATGAACTGATCCACTCGAGTCGGTGGTTTTTCGCGGTGGTTTTATGGTTTGATGGATTTGATCTCCACATTTCTTGCTTGATTCCCATGGATGATGTTTTTCATTTGATTTGGTTCGGTTGTATAGATCTATTGGGGCTCGGTAAGTGGTCTACCGAGGAATTGATCAATGCGTTGATGACGCCTGGTTGTTTTAAATGACGTATACTGTTCTTTCTATATTCTTATTTGGGACTTAATGTTGTTATGCCATGTTATTGTCCCAAAGAGGAATGATAGCTTTCTAAACTTGAGCTCCAATCCCATCATTTACTCAATGCTGGCCCTAATACACCCGTGGATGTACATGCAAGGCCGTTTGCTCTGACCGAGTACCTAGTACTAAGCACATATCAAACAATACGGAGTACAACAGGCAACAACACTCCAGCTTCGTACGGAGTACATACCAAAAACAAACTTGGAATCGGCCGAAAGTACTACGTACATGCCCTCGACCGGGATGCAGATCATAACCAACAAAGGCCAAACCTTGGAAAGATTGCCTTCTCACACTTTATTCCATCGACATTGCAACGCGCGTTTTCAGCTTCCCCCTTTCCATGATTTCCAAGATCTTATCATATCCATCACCCACCTATACTCGGTACTTTACAAACGTAACTATACTAGTTTGTACTGAAACGTAAGTCTTTGGGTCCATCATAATACGCCAAGGCACACTAGATATTGGCAGGTCTACTCCGTAAATCCACAGATAATGAGATTCGAAGGCATCCTCATCCCGGGGTGCGAATAGGGAACAGGCACTTCCCTACCCCTGTGTCCTGCGCCAAGCAATCAGGTTGTCTTCCAAGGTTTGCGTCGTCATGTTGCGAGAAATGGGTAGTATACAGGGTGCTGAGACGGAGTACCCCGTAAACTGGTGGGTCATGACTATTGGACACTATTTGGTACTTCAATGTTAGTAAGGTATCAAAAAAGAGATCATAAGTTTCTCTGTAATAACTACTATTAAGAGGAAGATTGAGTCAACCGAGAGCCATGTAGCGAGGTCTTTTTAATTCCTTCCAGTTCTCTAGCACAATAGTTTTCAATGTTGGTAATGAGACCTGAGCAAAAGCTACGTGTCCACTGGCAAGCACTGGCCAAGATTGCATTCTAGAGCAGAGCAGTGAGTATTCTGCCACCAGTTGACAGTTGACCATCTCTGTTTCAACTCGGATGTCAAATGCAAAACTATCAGCAACCACAATGACTGCGAAGACGAGGGGATGCATTTGCAATCTACTTCTAAAAAGGGTAGAGAGACACTGAGGATCTCGGAGCACAAGCGACGTATAAGGTGAGAGAGCAAAAGAAGGGATAGTTGAAGGATGGGGTGATTCAAGTAGAAATAATGAGGTCCCTTTTATACAAAGTGTTATGTCCAAGCTCGAAGCCTAGCTAACCCACTAGGTACTCCGATTTCCTTAAGCGATTTGGGCCCGTGGACCCATACCTGCGGCTTTGTAGATTCGGAGTATAACTCAGTGCCCTCATGGTATAGCACCCAATTGTGTTTTCTGTCAATTCAGTATCAATGTAAGAAATTGTGCTCTGTGGTGCCAGTACATGTCTGGGCGAACCAAGGCGCTAGGCTGATGCCCAGCAATCTCACAACATCATTCATCCAGTTTTTGAACCAAGCGCTCTACTATTCAATGAGAAATCCATGGTGAGGAACAATGGTACGTTTGTAATTCTTCGCATGATTCAAGGCCTGGGTCAGATAGCTTTTATCTAGTGCCGAAAGGTGGAACGGCTCTTCTTGTTTCACAAATTGATCAGAGTCGCTTGATGGACTGACACGCTGAGAGTCGGACCAAAAGAACGGACTGTTGCTGGCAGTAAAGAATGAATGGACAGTAGCTTCGTAGCGCGAGTGGAGAATTGATAGATCAATCTCCTTGATCAATGACTTCTGGGCTTAGATCGGGTAGCCGTGCCATCGTGGATTAAACAATTGAAGTTGATAAATGGTGGGTTGGGTTTTAGGGTTATTTGTGTATTTCCTTCAATATAGTAGCTGGATTAAAAGGACTGATTGTCCACAGGCGTTGTGTAGTGCAGAGAAATAAAGAGAAAGAGAGATGGAAAGCGGCTATGTATACAAGGGCACAGTCACATGATACATGCACGTGTAAGCCCTGTGACTCGTGAATCACGAGTACAGTAGCGTATATGGAGGTGTGCCAAGCTAAGCCATAACAACCCCCCCGAGCCCCAATTGCAGTTCTCCACAGGGGGCCACAAGGGTCCGCGGCAATAGGTCCGCTCTTGGTAGATCAACACTAAGACATTTCACATCTAATTTTTTCCTGGCAAGATCTGCTGAGAAGAGATCGAAGCTTATAGTATCGGTCGGAACTTGATAAGTACATACTAGTACGCACTAAACAACAAGATTCTAATCCAGAGTCGCAAAAAAAGTACATAGTAGGAATGAAGATGACCGCACTCATTTTTTGCCCCGGCGGGGCCCCGCCGCCCCGCTACTCTAGTATGCGCGACTTGTCGGTTATCACCAGCGGCCATTCTACTGGCCCAATTCGCCAGATCCAGGAATACCTACACACTAAAATCGGGCGTTGGTACTTCACGCCACGAGGTTAATAACTCATCACAAGGCCTTTACGCCAACTCCCTCTCTTTACAATTCCGTACGCAAGTTGTACCTATGATATACTAACATTTCCTTTAGAAACAAACCAGAACAAGTGCACGCGGAGCTGAAAGAACTCTTTCCACCAGCAACCAGCAGTTTGCCGCAGCTTCCATCAATCCCAAGGGCCTCACCACAACACAACACAAAATGTCCACTTACTCCCACGCACGGATGCAGCACCAGATCCTCTCCAAACCACGCAAGCCTCTGAAATCTCCAGATCGCCCGGTCGCCTTGCGTCAAGACTACATCGCCAACTCAAAAACAACCCTCGTCCTTGCTCCGCAAGGTAACGCCCAGTCAGCAGCCGCATACAAAGTCAAAGACCAAGACGGGCAAACGGTCTTCACCGCGAGCGGCTGGAAATACAACGACGGTTCCTGTCGAGAGGTCCGCGATGCCACCGGGCTGCCTCTCTTTGAGCTGCACCGGAAGATCTCCATTAAAAACAAATGGTACATCACCTTGCCAGGCGATGATCGCGGGGTGACCTTGGCCACTGGCACTCCGCGATTTGCACCCGCGTTTGGAAACTTTAATATCTCGCTGAGAAACGCGGCTGCTAGTGACGCGAAGTCGGCGGATGAGAAGGAGCTCACGCTGGTGATAGAGCGGCATGGGCGCGTTCTGCAGAGCTTTGATGTGATTGATGGTGATCGACGGATTGCTGAAGTGTGTGAAAGTGTTCGGCATAATGATAAATTGGCACTGACTGCTGGTGCTCGGAGGGGCTATCGGCCTGCTTTGGATGTCGTTGTTACTCCTGGGGTTGATATGGCTTTGGTAAGTGTTGATATGAATCGTTGAAGCTTCGCTACGGGAGCTGACTTGACCTTCTAGATTGTGGTCATTGCTATTATCGCCTCTGATAGTGTCTTTGGTTCTGAGTCCGGCTGAGATTGGATCTCTCGGATCTTGTTATCCTTTAAGAGGGACAGGAGGCTCTGAAGTTGCCCTCATAGAAGACATTGGATGCATCCCAAGCGTCCATTTGACAGCGGCGGTACTTGAGATTTCGAGGTCTTTGGTGGTTGACACCAGCCTGTTCGGTAGCACATATAGCGCCTGTATTTTTGGGGTCACGGGTGACAAATATATCAACGGCCGTGTTGCTATGTACCTGGAATCCAGCATTTTGCTGTTATACAAGGCTATAGCACATCTTAGCGTATTGTAAAATCCATTTAACTGAAGCTTCTGGACCGAAACCCTAGCTAACATTTGAATGACATATCTGACAAAATCATCAATCAATGGCGATCTGGGTCGACAAAGTCATAAAAAAATGGTGGACCGGGTCAACAAAATCATCAATCAATGATGATCGGGGTCGAGTTGAACGTAGTTCTAGACCTCTGGGCCAAAACCCTAACTAATGACATGTCTGACATCATTGCCAGATGGTGCCATGGGTGGAGCTGCACATAATCTTAGACCTCTGTCAAGACGATCCCACAAAGATGGGTCTCTGCCCACCAGTAAAAAATTCGTTGACCTGTTCAAGTCTCCTTCCCTGAAAGTGAGCTCTTCAACCATATTCTCTTGACATCCACTCATTCCGAATGACGCAAGACCAAGCTCGTCACGAATTGTAGCCAACACTGGTCTCCACGAGCCTTCAAGGTTCACACCATACAGGTAAAGGCTTTGGAGGCTAGGACTGCACAAACGCAAGAAACTCAAAAGGTCATCTGGCCAGCAATCGCAATATCCAAGGTCCAACTTTTGAATCTTCATAGGCGTCAACATGGGAACCAGAGCGTTGAAGTAGTCTGAATGCAGACAGTGAGAGAAAACCAAATTCAAACTCTCCAGTCCTGGAAATAAATTGATGAAATTGGCCAGAGGCTTGCCCCATACATCTTGATCCCCAGCACCAGCGGAAATTGCAGGAAGCTCGGCCCAATTATCGGAGTATCCAAGACCACCAGGACCTATGGCAAGGTACAACGTCTTCAACGAGTTGATCCATGGTAGTTTAGGATCCAGGAAGGACTCAGGGAGGCTCAAACTGATTGGCTGAAGACTACCCCCATCCTGTATCCCAATCATCAAAGAAGTGATCTGAGAGTCGCCGCCAGCCAGAGCCGCTAGTGTCATGTAGACCGCATGTCCGATATGATTTTGATTGTTGTCTAGACCATTCGCCGATGTTTCCTTATCCCACGCACTGTCGCCGTCTGTCATATCAACAATGATTTTTTTGCAATTAACTGAATGTTGCAAAATTTGGGTAAGATAGCTAATATCCAAAGCTGATCGGTAAAACCAATCTTGCTCAGGTAGCTCTCCAATGTTGCTCAGCGGACCTTCAGTGTCACTTGAGCGCTTGGGGCTCATAACAAGTTCGAGTTCCTCGATGAAAGGGCCGAGATCCGGGGTTTTCGCAATCTCCAGACACCTCAGCAAGTCCTTGCGAGTCAAGTTGGCCCAACAATGACTCACATACCACTCGATGAAGACTTTTTGGGAGCACCGGGCAAGATACCGACAGGTCAGCCGGAACTGGTAAATTTCTCCATTCCAGCCATTGAGCTCCTCTGCAATGAGAATAACAATCTCCGGACACAGGTCGGTGAGTTTTGCCATTGAGAATCACGGTTGGTCAATTGCAGGTAAGGGCCCTGGACTGCCGGACTGGTGTATTGTGTCAAGTGTAGGTACGTGGATCTGAGATCCTGCATTTCCTTCGCGATTAGCAAGTTATGACGAGGGGAAAGAGAGTTTCTAAGTAGGCATCGGGTATATAAGTAACTCACAGAGTAATTGGAACTATATTCAATGTTCGGGCGTTGCGAATTTGCGAGCTCACACTGAGTGACTGGACACTGCAGGTAAGAACGGAAGTACGACAGTTTGAAGGGGGGAAAGTGAGAAAGAGAAAGAGAAAGAGAAAGAGAAAGAGAAAGAGAAAAGAGAGAGAGAGAGAGAGAGAGAGAGAGAGAGAGAGAGAGAGAGGCAGCTATGGGGACATCTGACATCTGGAGAGAGAAGAAAATAGAACTAGGGACTCGGAATCTACACTACCTATTACTCATATCAATTGATATATAAATTGATATATTCAAATGTTATTGATGTCCCAACATTGAATTCCATTTCTTGCCCCAGTTGACCCCATCAACATTGAAATATAGTAGTATACATACAGCACACAGCACCACCATACTAAATATAAATATATATATCAGTATGGAATACTGCCCTTCCTTCTATAAAGCACTACATTATATGCTGAATCCTCGAACTTCTTTATACATTGAATCCCTACACCTACACCTATAAGGGTCTAAGGAGTCGGCCCCCAGTATACAACGCTACAATTTCTTCTATATTGAATCCTTAAACTCTAGGATAAGACTCCTGCCTACGGCAGGGACTTGAGGGTCTGGGGGGAACCCCAGGAATGATTGTTTACCCACCTGAATTTACCTCACTTTGTTCAGCACCCTTAATGGCAGCCTGGGGCCATTACAAGGTATTTAAACTTATGGCAGTAGGGTGGCGGTTATCGGCCCCCGTACAGGGTGAGTGTTTAGTAGTTCCTGCTCAGGGCAATCATTATGTTGACGGCCCGATTAGGTTAAGTGCCAACCTCAGTCAAGCATCTATACTCTCGCTCTCTCTCTCTCTCTCTCTCTCTTTCACTCTTTCACTTTCGCTTCATCCCAAGGCCTCTGCAGTACTGCCCTGTTTGCACCTTCTCTGATCCTTACGGCCGCAACAAATCCATACCGTGAGTTATACGCTACTTATACACTACAGGGTTTCTCACTTGACCATGACTTGCTAATTTTGGATGGAATACAGCCCCTGTGACGTGACGACTGAAACGCCATGTTAGAGCTCAGCAATTTGAGCCCAGAGCTGATTACTCTGATTGCTGAGCACTTAACGGATATAAAGGACGTGTTTTCATTCAGACTCACGAGTTCGTACTTCGCCAGGTGCTGCCATAAAGGATTTATCAAGCGCTGCTTCACGCACAGAACCCATATGCTGACTCGAGAGAGCCTTTCTGCTTTACTTGATATCTCGCGTGATCCAGATTTCGGCCCTGCGATTGAGTGGATCTCCATCAGTACCGATCATTTGGTCTCTGCGGAGGCTGTTGCTGATCCGTCAATATTCGTTGAGAATCCCATCTGGCCTAGCTCTCTTCAAGGTGTCAGCCCAGTAAATGGATGTGAAGACTACTTGGCTGACCAAGAAGAATTTCACAGACTGGGTCTGGACACAACATTCCTAGCTCAGGCCTTGCAAAGTGCAACTAACTGTCGAAATATCATTATCAATGGGGAAGACAAGCCCTGGGGGGCTGTGATCGTCAAAGAGAAGACTGGCTATTTCCCTCCAATTGGCACCGATTGGGACGAAGACTGTGATCATGTTCAACGAGCTGTTCATGTTGTGATAGCTGCTCTTGCTGCCAGCAACACTCAGGTTGAGCTTCTGGGATTTAAAAGTGAATTGCCTCAAAAAACGGTGACTCCAACTATGCTTGACCTCCCTGGATTTTGCCTCAATCCAACGCTGCCTTGGATCAAATCCTTGAAGAATCTCCAAATGAGCATTAGCTTCGAATTGGACCCGGAAAAGGAGGCCAAGGCTCTTGCTAAATTCGTCATGCTATTTCCAGGACTGACGTATCTGACATTCAAGTTCCCGGATATTCATGCGCACGATGAGAACGTTGCTGCTCTAAGTCGACACCTAAAACTCCCGTCCATTCAAACTTTAAAATTTGACGGGTCAGATTGCCACCCGGACATTCTGTTGAGCTTTCTTCACGGACTGCACCCAGAGGAACTCTACCTTGTGAATGTCGATTTCGGGATAGAAGGAACATGGCAACCTTTTCTCGCTCGAGCCCGTGACGAGCTCAATCTATCAAAATTCTACATGGAAGAATGCCAAGAAATGAGCGACGAGATATGGTTTGGAGAGGGCGATCACTACATAGCGCAAAGGATGTTCTTGGATACTACTGGGGAAGATTCAGACCCATCTTTACTATGGAATCGTCTGATCAATGGAATAAGGCGAAGTCTAAATTTATGGGACCCCTCAGGCAAAGTACATCTTATTCGTTAGCTCAAGAATTGACTGTATTTGTCATATTTACTCTGCACATCTGAGATTTGTCACATTGAGTCACCACATCTACGACGACCCCAACAAGTTTGACAACGCTCGTGTCGCATTTGAAGCCCTGACAATGAAAACTTCTGAGAAATTCCAAGAGTTCCTCTCGAATTTCCGTTACCTTGCAGGCGTTGCGCAGATCCCTGAATCGCAGCTGAAATCTGACCTTTGGAGAAAACTTACACCCACTTTACGACTGATGACCCAATACAAACGGGAGAAGGTTTCAGTTGGCTTCGCAGCTTTTGCTACCCATTGCAGTGCCCAGTATGACTTGAGCACTACTCACGAGAAACTCAAAAGCTCGTTCCGCAGCAACAACCCTACCAAGGATTCAAACAACAAAGGATCGACTGCTGTGGCCAAGACTGCAAACTCAGACTCAACCCAGGTCAAACTCTCGCCTGAGGAACGGGAGAAGCTACGAAAATCTGGCTCTTGCTACAGTTGCAAACAACCAGGCCACATGGCGAGCACTTGTCCTTTGAAGAAGACGCAGCTCGTTGTCAATACTTAGACTGGTACGATACATAGAGTCTACATACACTTAGTACTTTGGTTTCTTCCAAGCAACCTTCGAACTATTTTAATCCGTACAAGTACACAGAAACCGGGCGAGATAGCACCTGCACATGTGGTATGAATCGCAAGTGGAGTACAAATACTGCTGTGTAGTGCTGGGTTGGAGAACCCTTCGAGGGAGCAAAAAATTGGGCGAAATCCATTAATCGAGCTGTCAACATAATGATTGCCCTGGGCAGGAACTAAACACTCACCCTGTAAGTATTACATATGTATTGTTCCCTAAGAAAACTAGTATAGTTACTAGTCTGCTGGTTTAGATTGTAATTACACACCTAAAACGACATCTGGAGGGTTTTTGAGTATCAATATGGTTCCACCGTAGTATATACTGATCTCTACCGAAGTCGTCATGAAGGATCAGATACAGCCTCATATGCTCATACCCTCGAGATCTATAACCCTCCAACATTTTGAAGAGACATGTAACATAGTACATAGCCTTGCATCCTAAGTACCCGCCAGGCACACGAAGAGACACGAATGAAACGAAAGGGACCTTGGAACATTTGAAGGGTACTAGTATGTAATTCCGACTTCGTGCAAATCCGAACTATAGAATCAAGATATCTGCCCACTTCATAAGAACCCAAAATGTATCCTACATATAGCTAGTAGCTCTCACCAAGCGCCCCTCAATCTCTCCATAAGCCCTCCATTCCCCCTCCGACCTCCACCTTCCTCCCCATCTCCATTAACATTCCTCCTCCGTCCAGAAACACCACCTTCCAACCCCGAACTAGAAGCAGCCGCCTCCCCCTCCAAGCGTCTCCGCAAATCTTCATACCGCTCACGCTCCGCAGCACTGCCATTCGCAGCCCCGGTCCTTCGCTCCCGTTCTCCAACCATCCATGCCGGGACACGGAAGCCCGATGCGGACGGGGGAGAGACCTGGAAGCAGCTCCGCGCGCCAGGCCATTCCGACGACCCAGCCAACGGCGGTCGGGAGAAGCATAGCTGGGAACTGGGAGAGGGCAAGCTGCGCAGCAACGAGGTAGGTGGTTGATTTGTCGGAGAGGAGGAGGGTAAGGCCCTTGGGTGCTGGTTTGGGCGTTGGGGTTGTAGGTATGGCTGTGGCGTCGTCTGGACTGGTGGTGGTGTCGTTATTGTTATTGTTATCGGTGGGGGTGGTGGTACTTGATGAGGCAGTTGTGCCAATGCGGTACTGGAAGACGTGTGGGATTGTGACGTGATACTGTGCGAGTATAGCGAAGATTGTGGCCGTTGGGCCGGAGGGGAGATAATTTAGTGTGTTTAGGGAGAGTGGGCGGGCGACAAGAGTGAGGAGGAGGGGCGGGAGGAGAGTAGTGTAGGGGAGAGTTGTGAGGAGGAAAGTCTGGAGATATGATGGTTAGAATTGAGATTTATTATTTTTGAGTCTGGGTCGATCTTGGTGTTGGAAATCACTTACGGCCATCTTTCGCTTGCCCCATGCCCGCTCTACGACGCGTAGGTGGTACACGAGCATTGCGGCGAATAGCGCCTCGGTGGAATTGGAGAAGCCGGCAATTTGCCAGAAGAGCGCGCGCCAGAATTGCGCATATGGCCAGAAGTGTGGCGAGACATGGATTGAAGCGAAATGTTTTACGTCGAGAATGGAGAGGGCGACTGATGAGGCGATGGTGTATATGAGGAGGGATTTGGTGAGCGGGGTGTTGGTGAAGCCGGAGGTGAGCATTTTGAGGGACGGGTGATGGTGCTTTTGCCGGTCGTTATAGGTCTATGTGAGGATCATTCGGGGCGGTGCTGTGCAGCGATCCACGAGTTGTCTTGTGGTAGTCTGAGATGGTGAGGAGTTTAAAGGAAAGGTAGTGGGAGCGGAGAAGACCAACCAGAGGCCACATAGCTTTCCAAGTCCGGGGAAGCTCGGCTTGCCGATCTACACGTTCAAATGTTTGTACGCCGATGTCACTACTGTGGTACTTAAAATAATACTACATACTATTACTCCGGCGATGAGTTTCGTATAAAGAAAAATGAATAACATATGGTATTCTACTAGTACTATGATACAGACGAAAAGCCTCAGACGCCATCTTTTTGAAACACATCTACACGGCTAAAGCCGATGCTTCTTTCATCTCCTCTGCATAAGCTGTTTGGAACCGCTTGGATGCCAGCTCTAAGGCATGCAACGTGGGACCAAGCAGCTGATTCACTACTTTTGCGCCGCCTTCAATGCTGTCCAGATTGGGTCGCAGCTTGCGTCCAGTCCGTTCGAAAACATCGCGCGCATGGTGTTTAACCTGGTCAACTTCAACCTGGCGTTCTGCCTCTGCAGAATCTGCCACAGCTTTGATTCGATCTTTCGCACGAAGGAGTGATTCAGATAATGACTGGGCTTCACCTGCACGATCGGGGTCACCGGAAAGGAAGGCCTGCCAGAACTGGTGAAGAAACTCAGTCGAGGTCGCGTGCGTCAAGGTTAGTCGATCGTAGAGAGTAGGGGAGAGTCCGTAGGTCTCAGATGTCGATGCCTCACTCAGATGGTTGCGCTGATCACGCACTGCCTCGAGAATTTGACCAAACGCGGCGTGTAAGGCTGCAGACGAGCCAACGGGACGTCGACTGGCAGGGGCATCCTCCATCTCCTCATCTTCGTCATCGCCGGGATCGACTAACCTTTGAAGAGGCGCAACACCACCGGACGGAAGATTGCGTGCAACTTCTGAGCGAAGAAGTTGAAGAACCTGATCCGGATCTTGTTTCGCGAGGGCTCCATTTTTATCATCATCCTGCGCAGCCGAGAAGAAACGGTTTTGGTCACGGATATTGAGAGTAATGCGAGCTTGCTCCTCATCTCCGCGGAGATCCTGCAGCTGCAATTTTGCCCAAGCTTCCTCATTCATCCCGATAGGAGCACTTATATCACCATCTGCGGGTGCCACATTGGCCATGATCTTCTCACTCAGGTTGTTCAGAGTTCGAATGATGGGTACCTTATCCACGGCAGAAGGGCGCATGTCCAGGTCCGGCCGATTTCCACGGCGCTGACTGTTATGCCCTTCGTTACCCGCGAGATCCAGAAAGTGCGGGACATTGCCATCACGTTCTGTAACGGTGGGTTCTTCGCGGAGATATTTGTCCAGCAAGGCGTCTGTGGCGTCTGCTTCTGAGATGCGCTCTCCGCGCAGCTTTTTAAATAATCGACTCTGAAAGAACCGCGACCAAAATTGTTGCTCGCTTAGCTTGGGAACATTCTCGTCATAGACATTTTTTACAAGAGGATGCTGCGAGAAAATGAGCTGAATTTGTTCCTTGCTGATGTTCAAACGAGTCACATTTTCCTCAACTCGAGGCTTTAGTGATGAAAGTACGTTGTACGATCCACGAGTTTGGGCGCGTTCGATCGCATGAGCTCGTAAAAGGTGCAGGCGAGTAGACCAGAATTGTGACATGAACTGGCCTGAGGATAAAGCATCCGGTTTCGTATGAAGAGATTCCATGAACATCCGCTGCAAGGTAGAATCAGCCTTCAGTAGAGACTGCTGCAGTTCCACGTCGCCCTTCAATCGATTATCATCATCCCATGGGTTCGGGGCTGACCCAGCGGAGGAAACAGCATTCGCGATAGCCATAGCTGCCGAAACTCCAGGCCCGCTATTGGCAAGCGGCGTAGACGTCTGCGAAGGTGTTCCTGCTTTCCCCGCATTGACCCGGGCACTGAGAGCATCCTTGAAGCCATCGGCCTGCGCTCGGGCGTTCGTTTGGTCGGTAAATAAAAAGGTATAGGCAATGGCCTCGCTATTCGGGGGAGCATTCGGAGCGGTGGCGAAGACTTTCAGCATCACCTTGGGATTCGAGATCGGGGTTTGCTGTAAATCTGATTTCGAGGATTAGCAAAAGTTACCTGGTCTGGGCAGCAGGGTTGAGCGGCCGCATACTGGTGATCGCGGACACGGCGATCTTATGTCCTGAGACACCCGCATCAACTGGGGTCCAGACCAGTGTCGCCTCATCTTCGGATAAACTCAGACTGCCATCTTTCTTCTTGAAAGAAGCTGGTGCGCTCGTAGGTGCCATCGTCACGTGTCTCGACAGCTTCCACTGTTCTGAGCAGCGACAACGAAACCACCCATCGAGATAGGTAGATCCTCAGAAGGTTGAGGCTGTGCAGAGAAGGTCGAGGCCTTCAAGATGCGGAGAGGCAGTGGGTGAGGTCAAAGCAAAAGCAAAGAGCCGCAGCTCTTCAGCGCGTCGGCACGTGATATCACCTGGAAATCGATACCCTAACTAACATTGAAAGACTCAATACATCTTCACCTACTGACTATTGGTAGATACCAACAGTCTCTATTTTTTAAAAAGATTAAAAATCCTACAATTAAAGGATGTAAACGTGTAAAGTAATCTACAATTAAAACTTAAATGATAAAAAAAAACTTTGTATGAGCTGAGTGATGCGTTAACGCCGATGTACACAAACGCCAAGTCAAGCAATGAACAATGTAAAACCAGATGAAGACTTGAGAGCAGCGCTGAAGAGATCCAGAATGCTATGCAAAATAAAAATGACGCGGACCGAGAGCACGAACCCGAAGCGATGAGCCAGAATGCCGAATTTCGTAACCATGTTGCGCGCCGCCATGCATAGACCGGATATCATCATTCATAATCATCAAAAACAACCCACCCAAAACCATAAAGCAATAGAGAAAAAACAAAGAGATGAAAATAAGCAAATAGCAAGGGTATCCACCAGCAATGATGAGAGAAAAAAAAAGGGGGGGATAAAGCATGCTTTTCCAGCAACACCGAAGCAAAAGCTGTAAGGAAAATCATTTCTTGAACATGTAGTGTCCGTAAATGCCACCGACATCACCGACAGCCATGGGGATCTTGCGCATGCCCCACCAGCGGGCACCCATCTTCCAAGAACGAGATCCATCGTCGATTGGGCAGTTGGGCACGGAAGTAGGGTCCCGAACGTACCAGCCGCGGCGACCAAGTTCCCGCACGGTCCATCCTACGGAAGCACGTTGGGTCTTGCCACGCTCACGGAGTGGGGTAATAATCTTGTCACTAAACTCGACAACCTGGAGGGGGTAGCTCTGCTCGGACAGCAGGAGGCACGAGCTCATGTTGAAGATGGAACCGATCGTCATCTGCGTCACCTTGGCAAGATCGATGTAACACAGAGAGCTGGGGATCACATCCTCCTTCGTTTTGGTGAAAAAGGTGTTCACATCCTGCACTGAAAGCTCTGCGGAGCTCAAGCCCAGCTCCTCGAGGTGCTTGGTCAGAGGGACCAAGAGCGGGACGTGTTCCGAAGTGATCCGCGCTCCACCCAGGTTCAAAGAGCGAAGGGTGTTAGGCAGCTTGGGCAGCAGTGCCGTGACATCATCTTCTTCCAAGAGACGGAATCGAGTGGCATCTGTCAAGAGGTTCAGGAATTCCAAGGAGTTACAAACCGCCGGGTGAGTGGTCAAAAACTTGATCAGAGCAGGTGGGTGAAGGCGAGTGCAGCGAGACAGACTCAGGTGACTGATACAGGCGGTTTCGGGGATGGCGAAGAGAGCAGAATCGTTGATTTGAGTGTGGGTCAGATCAAGGTGAGTCAGGTTGATCAATCGCGGTAGCAGGAAGTCAAACATTGGCGCCGGGATAGTGCTGCATTCGTGAAGAGAGAGTCGCTTCAAGTTGGGCATGCTCATGGGCAAGGTGGGACCACCGGTCAGAGCCTCTTGGAAGACCAAGGAGAAGGATTGGGTAGAACAGCCGCAAAGATCCACGGCCTGCAGAATTGGCAAGCCAATAAACAGCTTCCGAACCACATCCACGCTCAAATCGCCCTCAAGATGTTCCTGCAGCAGACACTCCCTCAGATTGGGCAACAGGTCCAAGCACTGCAAGAGAGTCCGCGAAGTAAGGTTCTGGATCTCGGCATTCATCTGCTTAGTCCGACCTAGGCCCACTGAGGTGAAGTGGGAGAAATCCAACCGGCGCACTAGCGTACCGAGAGCTGGGTAAGATGAGATATGGCTGAGGGCCTTGGAAAAGATGATCGAGTGGGGGAAGGTCATGTTCCTGTAAAGCACACTCAAAGTTGCCGCATGCAAAGTGCGTGAGCTCAGGAGGCACGAAACCAGGTCGACATTGCGAGGGGTGTATCCATTCGGCGGAATATCGAGAGCCAAGTTCGAGATGATTTGATCTGTCAACTACTAGTTAGCATTCAAAGGTGATGTGCGTAAGTAAAGTGTTGATCTCATACCCAAAACTTCAGAGGGAAGTTTCTCCAGAGCCGATGTTCCTGGCGGGATTCCAGCAGGGGGCGCTACTACCTCCGGGGCTTTTGGAGGAACCAACTCTCGTCCCGATTCGGTCGTCTCCCACGCCCAGCCTTTGCCTTGCAGGTTGTTCAGTCCTCGGAGATCCCCGAAGCTGCGACTCAAACTTTTACCGCTGAGGCGAATCTGCTTCCATCCCAGGAAACCACCGCATGGGCAACAAAAGTCGGGTGTGGGCTGCATCTCTTGAGGTTCGGGCTTGGGAGACTCTTTTGGCTCCGTGGGGGAGGGCACGTGGTGAGTGTCTACAAATGATTGCGCAATGCCTGTATTTGGAATTCCGTCAGTTATCTCCTCATCACCTTGTTCCAGTTTGGTCAGGACATACCGTCGACGTCCTCTTTGATCGAACCGAAGGATGGGCGACGGCTGCTGCTAGATGTAGATCCGTCTGGAGTGTCGCAAGATGAGGGGGAGGGTTCGCGCGAGTGAAAGTGATCACCACAGGGAATAGTGAATCTTGGAAGGGTTGGCTTCGGGTGCGAAGGGGCAGTATTGGAAGAGGCCATGTTGAGAGCGAGTCGGCCCTCTATAAAGGGCCCCAGTACAGATGATAGACTAGTTTTTTGAGGGAGGTACTTTGACTAGGGTGGAACACAAAAGGAAAAAAAACCAAAATTATTAAACGAGCTTCCCCGGATTCTTCTTTGAGAGAAGAAAAACGTGTTCGGTCACTGAAAAAAGAAAGCGCCGAGTGAAAAGGTTAGGGCTTGAGAAAAAAGAAAGATGGCGTCGAGGTGGGGGAAAAAGAGGAAAAAGTAAAGCTCTTAGTCACGGAAAAGAGCGAACCGGCGTTGCGCGCGATGTAGAAAGTGGGAACAAGAAAGAGAAAAAAAAAAATTAAAGTGGAACGGTTGGTGCCGGTAGGAATCGGGTCCCCCAAAGGAAGTAAAAAGAGTTCGATTGAGAGTAAATTGTTAAAGAAGTGAAAGACAAAGTGAATTCAAGTCTGAATTATCAATACGAAGGAGGCAAATGTTCAAGTGGCGGATATTGAATACATTTTTGAGTTTAGCAGTCATCGGCCAGACACGGTTAGGGCCAGGGAAACAGCTACCCCTGCAGGCTCTTGCTTGTTTTTTTTTTTTTTTTTTTTTCTCTTTCTCTTTGCATTCTATACATTTCGAGAAGCCTTTTTCTTTTATAAAAATGTATGCATGCGGAAATAACATGGCGTCATTGTAACCATGCATAGTGACACTCTGCCGTATACGGTAGTTGAGATAGGATTATAGGATTTTGGGGTATTTTCTAAAATTAAAAATATTAAAAATAAAATAAATCCAATATTAAATTCAATTCCACTATTATACTCCGTACATCGTACTATACACACTAACTTTGGGATTTAGTCTAGGTTGGTCATAGTTATGTTGAAATTCTAGAACTATCATTCGTTGGGGAACCTATAGGTACTTTTGTGCAGCTAAGAAGCATTCTATGACATACGATCATGCACCTCCTTTTTCTCCTCAAGTCATTACTGAGCCGCCGATAGGACCATGCGCAGGTCAGCTGTCTCTGTACCCCGGACCACGTTTGAGTTCTTCTTAGGTAACCAGTACTACGATCCCAATGCTTGTCATTCGTCAATCCAGCCGATCATGCGGGGGCATCCCAGCCCATTACCTAATAGACTATCACCTGATCGACTTTCTCCAATTTCAACTGTCTTGTTATTGGAGACCGTTGTCTCCTCTTGACCACTTCCAGTTTAACCTCAGACTCATATGATTAACGTGGAAATGACCAACGCACCAACCTTTGATCTGTGCGGAGCATATAGTGTACACATAGTACACCTCTTTGCGCCCCCCTTCCCAACCCCCTAAAAGGCCAAGTCATCGCCTTGCATTCTCGGCATCTCACCCGAGCTTGCTGTGTTGTCCTTTCGGATTGAGATGCCGAAGGCGCCTCACCTTCCACCTCGCCAAAATCACAATTCTAACTATATCACACGCTATTCATCTGTACGATTTTATCCCCGGCTAACCCGACAGGGTTGGCAAGGCTTGATTCTGGAACCGCGCGGCTTGAGCAACAACACCAGGTGTTGCAGTCGTCTTTCAAATGCCAGATGACGCTAGTTTCGTGCACTATTACTTTTCACCTTGCGCCCGTAAGCTCGTAGCTCACCCGGGCCCAAAATGAAACCATCCGAAGGTCGGAGGAATCTCCTAGAACCAAGCCACCGCAACGCCGAGAGTAGGAGCTAGAGGCGGGATCCACCAAATAATAACTGCCAAGGTCCCTCCCTCACTACAATTTTACTCCGTAGTGGGCGATCTCTTTAACGCGGCGGTGTGCGACATGTTGATCCGTTGATCGATTATTCGCCTCCCTGGAGCTGGTTGGATCGGTTATGTACAGCCTAGAGATGATAAGACAATAGTTTGTGAGTTGGAATTTGCCGAGCCTTGGCTCCTGCAACCTGCGAATGGATCGTCGCTACGTAATTCGCTTCCTTGTTCGCAAGGAGCTGTCTAGGGACCTGTTCATTACGGGATTTACGAACTTTTGAAGTATGTTTTGAATTCCGGACACGGAGTAAAAAAAGAGTATCTAAGGAGTAATTAGGTGGATCCTATTTCCTGGGGAGAATCATGGCTCCTTGGAAAGAGGTCACTTGACAGGGAAATCTCTCGGGTCCACTTCGTGTTTATCAATCTTATCGCTGGTTTGTGGATATCCGTGGTCGATCTGCCCCAAAAGTCAAATTTATGGCTTGCTTCAACTGCTTTTATAACACGTTTTTTTAAATTCTGTATCTGGAAAAGGGTTGGATTCCTGAGCCAAAAATTCATTTAGTGTAAAAAATAAAATACTCTATTAAAACCTGCTAGACATTACTTTCTGTGTACTTGACGGTCTTATTGATCTTGATACAAAAAACCTCGTTTTAAATGAAGAGATAAAGTAGCAGCAGCTTTGGCCTGAGGGATCTCATGTACTCTGCCTTTACTATTCCTAATTGTTGGATCATGGATCTCAACCCCTATCTACTGCATATACATCAGTGGCATGTTCCTGGGTTGGAAGATACTTCAAGGCGGCATAGTATTCAGCGGCAATGATGTCTCTAGATTAAACCTTATGTGACATAAAAATCAATTGCCTAGTAGCTAAGGCTTATTCATAGGTCACTTGACTTTAATTATTATGAGCCATGGATACATGAATCTCCGCATCTGTTGTAAAAGCCAATTGGTTGGCGATAAGATGTGACTACTAGTACGGTAGGCAGTGATGTCAGTGCCGTTCCACGAGACTCAAAACTCTAATTTCCGCTATCTGATCTTCCAACAATACGCGTTGTTCGTTTTGTGTTTGCTCTCGATTATCGCGCTCCTCTTATATTGTCTGAACAGTGTTAAAGCCCCATTAAATCGTTTCTTTTTGCGTTTCGTTTTCTACCTTAATTACTGCGCATTCCCTATGTATGAATTGATGTCCCCTATGTGTGGATTGGCCTGTCATATTAAACATCACTAAGCTTGTTCTTTGCCTAAGATATTAATCCGTATCTGATTGCATTGGCAGATCATGACTATACTCAGAGATGACATCTATATTATACTAGTAGACCAAAGCAGAAGACTTTGGTTTCAATTAGGCTTAGAATTCCGGACAGTGCTTTGCTTTTTATGCCTGCTAGGAGACCACAAGACCATAGGCTACTGGCTGCCAGCTACATAGTGGCTGGTCGTCAGTACAAACTGATTCGTCGCGAAGTACCAGTTGATCCCAGCTCACTGCGTGTCTGCGGTACCACTATCAAATATTATACGTCGTGTGTGATGGCAATGTTACTAGTACCCTACATTCAATGTTCAATGTTGGCCTCCAATTCGTTTACCTCCAGATTTGAACAGAGCAGCTACACAACTTGGTGAATATCTCAAATTTGTTTGGATTTTGTGCTATTCAATTCATTTTAAACAATGATAAGCTTTAAAAGATATCTGATCAATAGGAACTTCATCCCAGGAAGAGAAGAAATAAGATGCAATTTAAGACAAATATGAAGAAATGTATACTGTATATGAACAAACTCTGAGTAGTATAAATGCATTCTCCAAAGAAGCACTGAACATGGAGAGCAAAATAAGTATGGAAATCAATCCAACCAAGAAGATGGAAAATAACACGCAACATCCATGTATAGAACCGACATGGTCAAAATAAATAGAAACTCCAAAGGAAACTCCAAAGTTTCATTGGGCAGGATCAACCGGAGCCCATAATTCGTAATATTCGTTTGCGCGAGCTCATTGCACAATCTACTCGATAGCAGCGCTGTTCTCGTCACCGTGAAGAACAGGGTTGACCTTGGGGTTCCACTTGAGCTTGAAGTCATGTCCAAGCTCCTTGCGGATGGCAGCCTGAACAGCATCGAGAACATTGTCGAAGACACCGAAGCTGGCAGGGTTGTTGGGATCGTTCTCGCCCTTCTTGCCTTGGAAGACACCAGTGCGGACCAGGCAGGTGTTCCAGCCGTACATGTTACCACCGATGATGTCGGACTGTGGGTTGTCACCAACCATGTAGACGTTACTGGGGAGGCGGTTCTCAGTGTGGATCTCCTCCATCCAGTGCTTGAGGACCTCATCGGCGTAGGTGTAGGTGGCGCGCTCAGGCTTGCCGTAGACAACACGCTCAAGCTCACAGCCAGTCAGAGCCTTGTACTGGGCTTCAATGGCGATTCGGAATGCACCTTGGGTCAGACGGGGAGGGCCCTTGTGGTTGGTAGGGAATACCAAGTCACCTTGGGAGAAGTAGATGGGAATACGGCTGGCGACGGGGTCCTTGGCGCGAGTAAGGAGCTTGCCATCCTCAGACAGCAATAGATCCATAATGATCTGGAAGTCTGTGGCATAGTCGTAGGAGTCAGCGAAGACGAGGATAGCGTCGAATTTCATCTTGGAGAAATCACGAGGCTTGGCGTTGATGCGGTCTTCCTCCGTGAAGGTGCGCCACGGCGACACAGTCGGGTCCCAGGCAAGAATGTCCTTGGGGTGGACGACGTTCTTGAAGCCGTAGGTCTCCGCAACTTCGCGGACCTTGTAGCCCTCACCACCGCATACGAGAACAGTCTCGTAGTACTCTGATAGAGCTTGCATAGGAGTGTGGGATTGGATGAACTGCTCGGTAGAGATGGGGGCCTCGAGCATCTTTGAGAGCTGCTCACAGCGAGCCACCTCTGTCTTACCACCACCGTTGGTCAACAGGATGTAAGGAATCTTAATACCCAGCTCGTTTTCACCGTTCAGGATCTTCAATGCCTCCTTGGCCTCTTCAATGGGTTCAGGTCCGTGTGCCAGCACACCGTCAATGTCAAAGGCAAAAGCCATGTTCTTGGCAGTTTCAACTTTCTCCTTGAACATGTCCTGGACCTGCGAGGTCATGATGTCCCGCGCGACCGCGGGACGATCTGTCTTGTAAGAAGAAAGACGAGACAGGCGCGGTGAGCGAGGAATGGGCAAAGATGTGCCAAAGGAGTTGCGTGAACTCCTTCGCTCCTTCATGGAGGGCGACAGGCTGAGGTTGTGCATGAGAGCTGCGGCATCACTGATGGCGCTGCGAGATGATGGGATCTCAATAGTATTACTGCCATCACTAGGGATTGGTAGATTTCGAGGATTGCTGGTGATGTCGGGACGACTGTCCACGACAAAGTCAGAATCATCAAATCGAGGCATGGTGGAGGATGATCGGTGGAGTAAAAGAAAAAGTGGGTAATGGGGGTCTAAGAAAAGAGGAGAAAAGAGGAGTCGATCTAATCAACTAGAGATGCTTAGTACTGGTTCAAGTAGACCAGCACGCGATAAGACGATATATATATGAGAATGAAGACGAATGCGAGGGGTAAAGAAGTAAATAAAAGAGAGAGGGCAATGCGCGTATATATACAGCCTCCAGGTACCAAAACCAGGTAATGAGCACGGTTGGCACGGTTGGCAAACCGAAAAGCATGGTATCTGGCCATTGCAACCAGTTTGGGGAAATACAATTAAGGGGGTGTGGGGATCCACCCGTGCGATAGCATGAATCTTTAGAAATTAGCGTCATCACTTGGCTAGAACAGGATGGCTGTTGTTGCAGTTTGGGTAGCCTGATAATGCGCATAGTCAAGAATAGATGCGGAACGGGACGAGTACAAGGCACCTGCGACGTAGTGGCGGCACCACTGTTTCTCCGGGTACCGGGTACCTTTTCGTTAAGAAAGGAAAGCCCAGAAGAGCCTAGGAGAGCGCTCCTCCGACCAATTGACCGGGGACTGATTGGTTGTGCTGGAGATAATCTTGTAACCAGCCTGAAGCAGCGTAGGACGTTGAGTGGATCGAGAAAAAGGACTCATAGTTGTTTATGATTGGACAAGAGTACATTTCAGCCATGGAATCGACAGAAATGACGAGAGGAAGCGGGTCAAGAACTTGAGCTCCGTTTTGGTCGATGATGTCATCCGCGTTTTGAAAATTACCAACGTATTTTCGCTCATTTTCAAACGGTCTTGAATTGTCAGGTTGTACAGGAAATATTCAATTACCGCAGGTACCGGAAGGATCGTCAGGAAGAACAGGGATGTCATTACAAGATAAGTTTAAGCATTGAGGGGTTCTGTAGTATGTAGTATACTTGTCCAGTTGGTCCTATTCCAATTAAAGTGGCATGAAATAGAGGGAACAAAGTGCCATTGATTTTCAACAACTAGTAGTACATACAGTATTGAACACCTGAAGACGGAAGTGCAGCAAAGGCGGAAAGTAAGTTACCCCTCTATCCCCACTAGCTATCTGCACATCGTCATCGCTCGCCGCTTAGCTCCCCCACCTTCATAATAATTCTCTTCCCCCTCTTCCTCTTCTTTTCCTTCTATACACAATAATATATCAATCTGATTCAACATGTCTAACGGAAAGACCTACACATTGAACAACGGAGTCACCATCCCTGCGGTTGGCTTCGGTACCTTCGCTAGCGAGGGTTCCAAGGGCGAGACCTACCAGGCCGTCACCGTTGCTCTCAACACTGGATACCGTCACTTGGACTGTGCTTGGTACTACCTCAACGAGGATGAGGTTGGTGATGCCATCCGTGACTTCCTGAAGGCCAACCCCTCCGTCAAGCGCTCCGACATCTTCGTTTGCACCAAGGTGTGGAACCACCTGCACCGCAAGGAGGATGTCGCTTGGTCCATCCGGGACTCCCTGAACCGCCTGAAGCTCGACTACGTTGATCTCTACCTGGTTCACTGGCCCATTGCCGCCGAGAAGGACGGCCAGGAAAAGCCCAAGATTGGTGCCGATGGCAAGGTAAGACTTTCATTTCCAGATCAAACGCAAAAAGAAAAAGGAAGAAAAATTAACAAAATATCTAGTACGTGATCCTTAAGGACTTGACTGAGAACCACGAGGAGACATGGCGCGCCATGGAGGAGCTGTACAACCAGGGTCTCGCCAAGGCCATTGGTGTGTCCAACTGGACCATCCCCCAGCTTGAGGATATGGCCAAGTTCGCCAAGGTGCAGCCACAAGTCAACCAGATCGAGATCCACCCCTTCTTGCCCAACACCGAGTTGGTGAACTACTGCTTCTCCAAGAACATCCTGCCCCAGGCCTACTCTCCTCTGGGATCGCAGAACCAGGTCCCCACTACCGGCGAGCGTGTCGCCGACAACAAGACCTTGAACGAGATTGCCGAGAAGGGCAACAACACCCTGGCCCAGGTCCTGATTGCCTGGGGTCTGCGCCGTGGCTACGTCGTGCTCCCCAAGAGCTCCAACCCCAAGCGTATTGAGTCCAACTTCAAGAGCATCGAGCTTTCCGATGCGGACTTTGAGGCTGTGAACAAGGTTGCCGAGGGCCGCCACTTCCGCTTTGTTAACATGAAGGATACCTTCGGCCACGATGTCTGGCCCCAGGAGACCGCCGCCAACCTGTCTGCTTAATTTTTTAAATTTAAAATACCATCCTAAGATGATGAGATGATACCCGGGTGGGGCTGAGGGGGTTTGAAAACGTGTAATGAACAAACACGATAGATGAAATGAATGATTTCCAAACCTCAATACTACTTATTTTTTTTTCTCTCTGGCCTTTGGCAAACACTAATTCTAAGCAATCGATACTAGCATGTGCTTCCGGTTTTGCTGACCAAAGTACCTAGCTGCCTTGTATTCAACCCCTCTCATTTTCCCCGCCGGGATCCACGGGCTAACTTCCTAATTGTTTCTCATTCCAAGGTTTACACGCAGTAAGAAACTTTTACTTACTGCAAGGCTAAAAGATCGTCAATAACAACATTAAATCCACAGCCTTGACCTCTGTACGAAATACAGAATACAGAATCAAATCTAAACCCTTTTTACAGTTCCCCAGCCACCGTATCATACGAGCCTGTAAATTTGCACTTGACCATCTCACCCCCGTACGCACTAAGAGTACTCGTAGATGTACTAGTAGTATGTACACATTCCTTCTTTAAAACCATCTGTAACATCAAATTACCTAGTAGTATCCATACTAATACCCAGTACCCAGCCTTCTGCACTCTGGAGGAGCACAGTCCCCCGCCAATGACCACTGCGCATAACATTCGAATCAACAAAACCCCACCAATGCACAGGCCCACAATAAAACCATGTATATCCGGCAGTAAACACGGAAATAGAATCTTCCTGCACGAGAATACTATTGTTTCTCTTCTATTCCTTCCTACATGTACCGTGCCATCAATGCCCAATTCCCCATCCAGTACACCAGATATACACATCAATGCACATGTACAGTAGAGTAGTAGTATAAGACCCAGGAGCAGAGTACTCCGATATGCATCAAGATGTCATTCCGCGTGTGGCTTTCAGCCCCCTGCGCCACCGACACCAAGATGCCCTGAAGCTAGGATTAGCGCGGCTATCTAACCCGGTCGGTCGTAGTGCGCGAAGTGACGGATAGACGGGTGATTCCGGAAGTGGGTGAGACTGGTGTGGACGGATTCGGGTGCGCAGGTTCAAATGTTGGTTTTGTGCAACACCGGGCGCCGGATGGGGGATGGATGGGTGGGGATGTATGTTTATTTGGCTTGGTATGGAGTATAGAGCGGGCGGAGTCCGGGACGTGTTTTTTTTTTTGGAGGTTTTAGGTAAATTTTATTCCTGTGTCCATACTATTTTATATAGCTAGTAGTTTTGGGGGAGTTGGATAGTCTGGTTGGGGTCAGTTGTTGTGCAACTAAGCACTTTTTGACTATTGGGGATGTCTGGGTTGATTGGGAGTGGGAAGGATGGATTCGATTCGATTCGATTTAACGGGTGGTGTGTATTTCCGCTTTGGGAAAAGAGGCGTGTAGTATAGTAGATTTGAAGGTGCGCCTTGATGCGACAGAGTTTAATTGCCTCTTCTTGGCTCGAGTCTCGGAGTTAGTAGAATGAGATGAGATGGGATTGACGGTTCTGGAGATTTGCATGTGTCTTTCTAGGTCGAGGTCTGAGTGTTGTCCAGAGTTCGATCCAGCTTGTATTGACTTTCTGGCCCGTGGGCACTGGCACAGTGAAGAACATAGCTGGATGCATTCTGATTGGGGAAAGGGATACTCGAGGCAGTATTAAGTCCAATGCTATCTAGCATATGATGAACATGTACGATTTCCACTTACACTACACCTGTACATGCAGTATGAAGGGGTTAGGCGAAATCACTGTACTTACCACTACGCAGTGTAACTGCTGCGTGATCGCATATCAGGGAACTAACTGGTCATACCTTTGCCGAGGGAGAAATCGGTCTAGTACTGCAATTATCTGACCTCATTTCCTGTATTTCCCCATCTACTAATCAATACTAGACACCTTAAGTGGTAAGTCTAGCGCGGGGATCAGATCCCCCGCTGAAATTGAGACTAGCGTCTTGGTGTCAAGCCCGCGACGCCGGGCTCACGCCATGCAGCAGCCATTGACGGGTGATCAGAGAAGACAAACCCGCTTTAAGACTGGGGTGCATCATTGAAGCAACGCCATCTCATGAGCGTCCATGAGCAAATACCAGTAATTTTGTATACTCCTACTTTGTACCGCTGTACAGATGAAATTAGGTATAGAGCAGAGCAAGTCAAACTTGATTTGATACACAAGCAAAGAAGTCAAAGCAATAAGGGAGCAAAACAAGCAACAGTGGTATCTTGAAAACAAACAAAACTCCGTATAAGACAAGAAAAGCTGCAGGTTATGCAAGGCCCCAGCATAAACCCTCAAACATGTTCAGATTTCAATATTACCTCGTTCGAACACGGCGAGGTGTGCACCCCGCACTGGACTGGATGCTCCGCCTGGATTCGGAGCTTCCGTCACTAGTGCCTGCACTGCGAGTGGGGATACCACTGACAAAAGACGGCTCAGTGGCCCCTGTAATCTTAGAAGCCGGGGCAGTAGTAAGCACCGAAGAACTTGGTGACTTGGGAGTCAGTCTTCGGCGAGGTTTAGTGGGAGTCGAGGGTCCTGCAGATTCAGCTTCCACGGTAGGGGCCGAAGGAGCGGGTGGCTTGGTGGTACGTCGACTACCTGTTTTTACTGGTGTGCCCGAGGCCATGGTCGAATCACCCAAGCGGCGGACGCGTCGCGATCGCGGGGGTGCGGTAGTAGGTGCAGTAGCGGGTGCAGTAGTGGAGGCTGGAGCACTCTCAAAATCCTCGTTGCTCGAGGACTCTTGCGTCTGGCTACGGCTGCTGCGCTGGGCAGATGCTTTCTTTTCGGCGCGTGTTGCTGCAGATCGTGAGACGGTGCTTTCTTCGACGTCATCGTTGCTGCTGTTGGCGATTTCCTCTGGCAACTCAAGGCTCTGTCTCTCGTCCGCGTACTGCACAAGTTGTTCATCGTTCCAGGTCACGGTCTTTCGCCCGGGCGAACGACGGCGATCAGCTTTACGATCAATCTCTGCTGGATGTGTGCCGTCATACTGCTCCTTGGCCAGGGCCTTTAAAACATCTTGAGGAGGCAAGGCATTGCCCATATTTTGCCGAGTGTACTTCTTTGTGATCAATGCCAGCTCTTGAGCCTCAGTACGTTGCAAGAAAATAAATTCATTGCCCTTGGCCCGGCGCAAAGCGATAGTGTTGCGCACGGTGGGCATTTTGACCGAAGGACCTTTGGCCCGCGTGCTTCGCCGGTAGGACGGGCTTGCGGGTGCTGGCTCTTCTTCCAAAATAGCCTTGGCCACTGCATTCTCATGGGTTTCATTTCCGAATACAATCTCGGCGGCTTTGATTACTGACGCATCAACCTTGATCGGTGAAGGCGAGTTTGTATCCAAAACTTCCAAGGCACGACGGGACCGCGGTGTTGTAATTTCTGTATCTGGTGACTCTTCGGTACTTTCGGTACTGGATGTCTTTTCATTTGCATCTCCTTCTTGGTCCATTAAGGCAGCCTTTGCCGCACGCTTCGCCTGGGCCTTTGACAAGAAATCATTGAGTAGTGCTGTGTCCGCTCCATCGAGTGAGCTACGCAGAGCTGATCGAACGAGCGTGCCCTCTTGTTGTTGTGTCAAATCGCGCACGGCTTCCTGGGGAGTTGGTGCCAGGCTGTCGTTTTCATCCTTGGCTACAACATCGGCCGTTGCGCCGTCCTCTGAGGCCATGGGTTCAATAATCGCTGGAATTTCCACTTCTTTCGCATCGGAGGCACCATCCAGGGCTTCACCCACGGTTCTACCAGATATGTCGAAATCCAGTGTACTACAGAAAGAACTCTGTTCCTTCTGCAAACTTTCATCGAATATATCGATCGGGCCGTCCGGCAATTTGCCTGCAATTTCCGGTTAACAAACAAAATCCCGAAATAATCCAATAATCAGACCAAAACTCACGACGCTTCTGGCCCGTCTTCATATCGGAAGCCCATTTCGTCTCAAGGAACGAGCGACCTGATGTCTGTGTTTGATGGTCCTCGCGCATCTCAGGCTCATCAGCCCCAACACATCGGCGCTTCACACCTCGCGTATAGCCAGCATCTCGCGACGCGTTGATGGCAGTTTGAAACGCGCCCTGCTCCAGCATTGTTGATGATTCGAGCGATTTCATACTTGTGAACGATGACTGAAAGCGCTTCCACAATTTTCGTGACTTGGCGCCCGCCTGGAAGGGAGTAGATGGTTTCCGTTCCCACAGATGGGGGATTGCGCGTATGGCTTTAATGGGGGTGAAGCTGAATGAGCTGTCGGCAGTGGGCTCGGAGGGGCCACTATAGTATCACGCGCAAGAGCGCTTTATATTAGTTTTGTGCTTCAGTATTGTGGCCAAAGAGTCATGTGTCCTTCCAAGAATCTGTTGGTGGTACAAAACAAAACAATAGATTTGAGACAGAGCAGCCCCTGGACCAAAAGGGGGTTTTGATGCGACAAAGATGCGATAGTCCAAAGAAAAGAAAAAAAAAAAATACAAAGTGCTTGATGCAAGAAGTTCAAATCGACAGAGAGAAATTGACCCACCATGCTTGCGCCTGTGTTGAGGCAGGACCGGTGTCCATTGTTGATGTTAACGCGCGGAATGTGTCAAACAGCGTCACTGGAATCTGAGTAGGAGATCTTTGACTAGTCGCAGCGACTCATAGATGTGTGAAATTAGAACATTAAAAGACTCTTTTAATAAGAGTAGATGAAATCGATTATCCGTTATGGACTGTAAAGGTGTTGGAGGGGGACAAAAGAGGAAGCCATTTAGTTTTTGACATAAACGAGCCGTTTATTGTTGCCCTGCCAACACACCGCATGGTTTTCTCCCCGCAGCCAAATTGGGTAGCGATCCCACCCATCTGGACTAGTTTCTTATGGTGGACCATTTCACTCCGACTGATTTAGTCAGTTTGTATGTACATTCTAATCAAGAAACAAGTTTAGATTAGCCAGGAGATGCTAATCTACTCGTACTTGTTTCTCGCTCAAGCCATAAAAATCCCGTCCCTTTGTATGTCTCCGAGAGTCAGTCATAAATTATCATGTTTTGGTGATTATGGAACTCTTACGGAGTACACTTGGGCACGAGACCCATATAGGAAGTCGGAACTATTGAACTATAGTAGTACAGTTCCACTTCGGGCCACGGCTACATACACTAGTAGTGGCTTTCGTTTACCAAAACAAACATTGGAATCAAGATTTCAGGCGGTATGTACATATAAATCGCAAACTCAGCCTTATACAAAGAACCTTGGAAGTTATCAATGTACATCGGACCCTCGGCCTACAGATTCGAGAGTACACATGTAAACCATGTGTGTTGCGAACTGAATGCCGCTCACACTATCTCGACTCTGGACACAAATGTGCAGAATCCCCGATCGTGCTGCGAATTGCCATGTGCCTCCATAGTCAGTCATGAGTATATGAAGTCATTCAATTCGAGATTACCTTACAAGATTGTACTAGGTTACCAGATAGGTTACCTTAGAATTATTGGTTATCTACCGATATACACATATACATACACATCACTTGAGTATTCATTTAGAAGATCGCATTTGGAGGCAGCCCTGGAAGGCAAATCCATATAAGCTATGTTGGTTGATATCATGTGGAAGTCAATCCAAACTACAGGTAAAGCAACATCCATAGATAGATGGGAAATACTCCGCTTAGAACTAGCAGAAGCCGCCATCAACATACCCAGAGCACGGACAGCCAAGCGGTCGAGGTGTAGATCATATCTCATTAATCATGTAGTGTACTGCCGCCACAAGGCCCGCAAGAATCAAGCCCGTAGCTATCCATATATTTCCCGTATCTCAATCTCATCACCGAAGTGGTTCGTGCATGTCCCGCTCATCGAAGGGATCACCAAATTTGTCTGGTAGAAAAAATAAATCGGTCAGCGCCATCATCTCCTCACAGGCCAATCCTCACAGGCCAATGATTGAATCGATCCTGACCACGTACCCAGGTTGAAGTCCTTGTCAACTACATGTTCCATTGCTCGCGCATATTCCTCCCTCGAACGCTTACTGTTCCACGCCCCGACATCTTGGTTTGCCGCAGTAGAAAGCCCGTTGCCTGTCAAGGGCTCGATGGTCTTTGAGCTGTTCATTTCCGCAACACTGAGGACTTTTGAAGGTTGTGAGCCGGGCGGGGAGAGCTCCGATGCAGGGACGGACGAAGCTTGTGGATTGTAAGTTGGGGTGCGCGCGCCATTGTTGGCGATGTCGGAGGCCGAATCGACGGAGGAAGCCATCTCGGAGTCACCGTCTGGGTCTCTGGAGTCTTCGTGGAAGAGCTGTCAGCGGACAAAATATTTGCGGTACAGAGTGTTGGCAAGGGTGGATGGTAGGAGGTAGCTATGGGCGTAGAGCTGGCGCTGAACATAAGGCACCATGGCATGTAGCTGACAAAGGGGTTACTGTAATTGGAGACAAACCGAACTTACCAACGGCCATTATAGCAGATCAATACGGCTACTCGACTGGTATTGAATTTCGGAGATATAGAAGTGACGATCGATTGAGATCCGATGGGCTAGAAGCGGAGAATCCGCCGGAGATACTGAGGCGGGGCGGTGGCCGCTCTTCTTTGCAGCCCGAATTTTCTTTTTCTTCTTACAATCCCTCATAGATACTTCTTGCACATATTGGTGCCAGATCCCTATTCATTCTTGTTTTTAGCTTTTGAATATTTCTGCCTCGATCAACCTTCTTTCGCCCGTTTAATCCACAGCGTTCCGCTGCAATGAGCGCAAATCCACAAGTTCCCGATGCATGGGATGATGACTGGGAACCCCGAGCAGATGTAAGTTGAAATTCAAACATGCTGGATCCTTTGAGAAATAGAGGGATATAAATAATTAAATTGATGCGATTTATATACAAAAAAATGACTGACGCTTGGATCTTCTACAGGCACTAGCAAACGACCCTACCCCGCCGACCGAGAAGAAAGTCTCGTCCAAAGTTACCAAAGCTCAGCGGAGGGCACAGCAAGCTGAATTCAACCGACAACTATGGGCAGAAGCGTATGTGCTATTTGCAGAAGACGAAATAATAGGGAATCCCAACTCTGACAGCATTTCCTACAGTGAAACCCCGCAAACATTCCACTTTGTTGAAGCTCGTCCCGACGTACCCCTCAAACAGGATATCAAACCCGCTGTCACACTTCTTAGCCGGCGACCACAGCTGGCGACCCGGCAATCAAGAAACTCCGGCATTGATGGAGCTACCACTGGGCTACGTCACCTAGGCCTGGATGCTGCTGATGACGACTCAGAAGACGAGGCTGATAAAGCCCCCGAACCAACCTTTGAAGAACGGCAAGCGATCGCTCTGAAGAACCGAGAAGAGAAGCAGCGCAAATATGAAGAAGCTCGAGAGCGGCTCTTTGGAAGCCCGTCCGCGAACAATTCCGGGGCTTCATCACCGGGGAGTACAACTCCACCCCGTCAGCAGTTCGGGGAGGGCAGGGGCAAAGGCAAAGGCCGAGGGGGTAACAGTCATCAGAAACGAGACTCATCTGCGGCCTCCAGTAAGTCGAAGCACCTCTACGACCCAACCACTTCAGCTAGGTCAAGTGGATCGCATCTACAAAGACGTGATCGTCCCGGCGATCGAAGTGATTCTGAGAAGCCCAGTTCTCCTGCTTCTCCTGCTTCGCCCGCTCCGCAGCAACCTACTCGTCATCCTCGGGGCCCCGATGCAAGTGGAAGAGGTGGCTTTAAATTCAACAGGGGTGCGAGAGGGAGCTAAGGTGGTACACTGCCGAAATATCTTAAGCACTGTCTTCATCTCTCATTATGGGTCTTGAGTCACTGTGATTATACCGGACAGTTGAATGGGTTCAAGGAAGGGAACGGCCCAAATTGATCGCATTTGCAAGCAGAGAGGTGTTCGGGCGGTTTTCTGTTGGGAAGAGCTCATTATCAGCGGCATTGAACTGGAAATGAACTGGGTAACGGACACTTACCGGCATATCGCGCATAGCTCTCGAGGTAGAGCTCGTCCGTGCTGGTTGTTGCTCGGACTTGATCGTTGGACTCTATAGCATTCACCCAAGAAGCCCACCGTCCACCGTCCTCGGCATCTGGCCAGCCTCGGTATGGCTTCAGGACCCGATTCAGCCGAACAACCCAAGGCGCAGCCTGGATATCCACAAAGGAGATCTGCCCTCCCATAAAAAAGGGTCCTCGCGGATGAGCGGCCTCAATTAGTGTATCGAAAGCAGTTCGAAGCTCTTGGGCATTTTCGATCTGCTTCTGTGGATCCTGCTCTTGCAGTACTCGATAGAACGTTGGCACAATATTTCGGTTGACCTGGAACTTGTCAGAAATGGTTCAAACGATGCAGACTTGGATTTCTGACATGATCCGCCCATAGTCGACAGTGGGCTCGCAACTTCGGGTCGGTTGGGAGAAGGGACGGTCCGATTTTCAAATCCTCAAGCTACGGTGATATCGTCAGTGCGAGTGATGAACCGTTTTCTCTGGGACCGTCATACATATTCCATGAGCACAGTGCTTTCGTAGCACCCCCAGTTGTCATGACGTAAAGCTGGGACAAGCCCACGTGGATTCACCTCCAGCAAGGATTGGGGTTTTTCATAAGGGTCTACTTCAATATACTGGTATGGTATGCCTTTGAGCTCCAGTGCGATCCAAACTCTTTGTACGAATGGACTTGGGATCCACTGAGTCAGTGTCACATCAATATGAATGTCTTAGTGAGATCTTACTCACCAGAAGCAACTTCCATAAAACTGGAGATTTGTTTCCGCTGCATGATTCGCAGCTGTCACGGCGGCTAGGCCGGTCGCGATTGTGTGGTACGCCTTCTTTTCGTCTGACATACCTTGGTGCTGAGGTTTTATGTCAGAAATGGTACAACCAGATCGTAAAAAAAAGTTCCAAGAAAGACACTCAAACAAATACTCTAGATAACATGCAAAAATGGAAGGAACTTGCAAAGCGGGCAGTGGAGTCGAGTATATCTCAGGTGTGACGTAGCCAAGCTTTCTTGCGGGGAGATGCCAAGTCTCTAGAACTTTTGCGGATGGAATAAAGATACGTACCCCGGACTTTTTTCTATTCTTATCCTCTTTCAAAAAGTGCCGTTGAACACTATTCTTCTTGACGCGATCGCTCTCTTCGAGTGTATGCCGATGCCCACCACTCACGCCATCATTCTTTCCATTGGCGCCGTTTCCATTCACCCGCTGAATGGTAAAATACCTTTGCCCATTTGCACCTGGATGTCCCTCTGGGAGAGCTGCGTTTGGTGTCAATACACCGAAGGGCTGGGTAGTCTGGACAGGAAACAATGTATGGACTCCGGGTAGTAGCTCGGCGGGAAATGATTCAAATCCTCCAGTGGTATCGTTCGATCCACTGCCGGGCAGATACTCTGTAATTTTAATCTTCACGTCGCAGAGGTCACGTTCCCTGGCGGTGCGCTTGCGCTTCTTCTTGTTTGGGTCATCAGACTTGGGCGTCCCTGGAGGTCGGCCTTTCAGCCGGCAGTCCCAGTAATGAGAGACCATCGACCGGCGCTTATACCGCTGAGTTGAGCGATGAGAATAGACATTATCAACATGAGGAAAGTATATCTGGAATCTATCGATCAAGCATCATTAGTCCTCAGGGGGCTTCTTCATGTATATGTCTACTACGAAGCAACAAATTCCAATGACAAATCCGTTGGAATGTCACGTCTAGGGTCCGAGAACAACATACTGCTCTTCTGTCAGAGTAATAACATCGTCTGCTTGAAATAAACGATCTCTCCAGTACTCCAGGTCAGGTGGATCAGGTATCAGCTTCATACCCGTCAGCTGGCCTGCAAAGTTTGCCGACTCTGTCTCTTCACCTTCTAGTCCACCGTAGCTCCCCTGGAAAGATTGATCGGCAGACTGCAGGACCATTTCATGAGAATGGGGATGGACATGTCCATCGGTCTGCAGAGCCATGGCAGTCTGGAGAGGCTGTTGCGTGACATTATCAATAGACCGGAAGGTTGTATAGGGCTGTGAATCAGGGAATGGGCCGAGAGGTGGGGCCAAACTTGCAGATTCGACGATCGGGATCGTTGATCCCAGGCGAGGTGATGCATTCATGGGTGGAGTGGCGTGCTGCTTTTGGCAGTGCGGAGAAGAAGGGGGCATGGTGGTTGAAGCGGCGTGATGTGCGGAGATAAGGGCCGCTTATCACGCTTATCACTTAATCACCCTAAAGTGCGACCTTTGGGGTTTACGCTAGGTACCATGTTACGTCATACAACTTATAATACACGGCATCAAGTTACATATGCAGTCAGTAAGTCTTGGATCTCGAAGTTTTATTGGAAAAAAGAAGAATTAAATCTCCAAAGCAGTATCCCGCAAATGCCGGACCAGGATTCTCTCCGCCAGAAATCATTCTGTTGGGAATCTCATTTGTAAGCCCATGATCCGAACGCAATCTAAATGCCCTTCTTTCCAACCCGCTTCTTGTCGGCTTCCTTGTTGGAGAACGGGAACCCAGCTGTTCTCTTATCTGCACCTGTTCGACGACTAATCTTGCCATGGCTGCTTGCAAAAAGCACACACCACAGTCCAACAAAAGCCAAGGCCGAGTTTCCAACTGAAGCAACCGCAAACACGCCCTGCCCTCCAGTGGCATACCAAGTGTATGTGTAAAAGGCCGAAGTTGCGTGGAACAGCGAAGTAACCATGAGAGTTGGCAGGGCATAAGGAGCTCTGGGATCCGAGTCCTCGGTAGTAACACCCTCTGCGATGGTGGCAGTCAGAGGAATCGAGCCCGTCAGCATTGCAGTTAATACTGCCACGGTAATGAGGCTGAAGCCGAGACTTCGGGCAAAGTAGACCTCAATAACTAAGCAGAAAAAAAATTAGTACCTTCATTGAGTGAGGCGGATTGATTCCAAAGCAGAACTGAGCGAAGTGAACATACTACTGGCTGGCCGAGTCTCATCCAAGAGCATGGCTACGATCATACTTGGCCCAGCCATCAAAGGCAAGCTCTGCAATGAAAGCCATCCTGCTGTTGCGTACGTGTATGCGTGAAAGACCTTGAGCCAGTAAATGTTAGCACTGAAGCAAATACCATGACGATTTTTGAGGTAGGTGGTAGTAGATATTGAGGGCGGGGCGCTTACATCCATGATGATGTGGTTTCGTTCTGTTGGAATATGGCGCACTTGAGAATTGTCAATCGAGAGTCTATAGAGATATGATCTGTTGCTGAAGTAAACTGAAGTAAAATGCAAAGAGAACTTCAAGGACCAAGGTTGCGTTGTAGCTCGACTTTGAGGGCGATTACGGGTGACGTCACTTTTTTGTCTCGTTTGCATCAGGATGCTACAAGCCTACAACTACTAGGTACATTCAAGTTATTTGATACATGCCACTAGTCACCCCTTTGATATTACTGTCTAGTATGAAATTTTGCAGCTAAAGAAAGGTCAGCTGGAGCAGCTGCTATATAGCAATTTCTTAGCAGACGCTTAATGACCGATTGATTAGGAGTTTTGGGATCGAAGAGTTAGTCTTGTTACGTACATATGTAGGAAGAGGATAAGTAGCTAGAGGTATAGGTACTAGAGACTAGTAAGATGAAGCTTAGTACATAAGGATTATCCTGATATATTAGTAAGTATAGTTAACCTAGTATTAATATATAATATACCAGAATTAGGGCTGGTAGGAACCGTGTAGGGTATATTGAATTTGCGTGCAGCTTTGCGTATAGAGGTAATTTGATCTTTTTTAATAGCTTCGGCAGCTAAGAAGACCCTACCCTCTTGTTCGATTGAATTTCGCGCGGATTGAGGGCGTTTGGATGGCATGGTGGGTGGTTGAAAAAGGATGGAACAAATAATTCACGCGTTTTGGGTTGATCTATGTACTTACCCATGTGATCCGCTTAGGAAGTGAAAGATCGAACCAATCATAGTGAATTATATCCCTGCGCCCTATTTAATGACCTTCCACCCCTTCTCACCCCAGGAGCGTTACTGCCATCCCTTCTTCTCCTTCTCACATCATATTTTTAAACTATGAATATCCAACGCCAGTATCCTACTGTCTACTGGATCTGGGGTGGAGGTATCTCTTTCGTATACGAGGTCCATCCTCGCATCGTGGTCAAAGTCCCGAAGTCTGGGGAGTTTGAGAGGCAACAATTCCATAAAGAGCTCGAGATATATCGAATGTTCTCGCAAAATCCACCTTGTCCCTCTATTGTACAGTGTTTTCACTTTTCTGACAGTGGCATCTTCCTTGAGTACATGAGAGGTATGACCCCTATTAGAGGTCTAAAGTTTATGTATCTTGTCTGCTAATATACTTCCTAGATATGTCACTTTCTTCTAGGATTCAAAATAATCATATACGAGACCAGCAAACTATGGTGGTGACTTTAGTGGAAAAGTTAGAACCCCTATCCTTACGATTAGAATGGATGAACGATCTCGCTCAAGCCGTTGCCTTTTTGGAATCCCTCAACCTTGCTCATGGTGATTTACGACCTGAAAACGTTCTCCTTGACCGTAATCGACTAAAGCTATCCGACTTCGATTGTGCGGCGAAAATCGGAACAATTTACGAAGCTTGCATGGCTCCATACGGCAGAACACTCTATCACGAGGAATCAGACCAAGGAGAATGTGGAACTTTTGGCTTCCTTGGCCCGCGAACAGAACAGTTCTCCCTTGGGTCTTTATATTATTTGATCAATTATGGCTTTGAGGTTTATGGCGACCGCTGTCTTGCCGAAGATCCTTACGAACATGGTCCGATGGTCGTGGACTTACTGCAGAAAATGGAGTTTCCGAAATTGGATGGCAATCCCCTGATTGACAACATCATTGACAAATGTTGGCGGAACAAATACTTCAGAGTTTCAGAGCTTGCCTCCCATACGAAAAAGCTTTTGCGCGAAAATACCAGTGCGATGGAAATTAACGAAAGTGGAGATAAGGCAAGTAGTGGAGTGGCAAAACTTGTGGAGACAATGTTCTACATCGGATGGAGTACGGTTATAGGTCACTTGATTCGTGGGGTGTTTACTGACCTGGGCATGTGGTGGAGGTCGTTATTACGGAGTCTCCAACGCGAGGCAAGTAGTGGCGACAATGATGTGGATCACGCCTGCTTGGCAGAGGACTTCGTTTCGAAAAGGGAATTCTGTCAGAGTCTGGAGAGACGTGGACTTCTTGAAGCGCTTTCTTCGGGCGAGCCTGAGGATATTGGTTTCCCTTGGGATTGGTATAGACACAGTATAGTCTCGAAGGTCGAATGATCATGATAAGTTTACTTATGCAAGTGGTGAAATCGATCCCGAATTGCAGTATCTACCTTAATAATATTTCCCAAAGACGATAGCTGGCAATGGCTACAATAAATATTAAAAGTATGGAGCTATCCGGTTGATATATGGTATGTTGGTGTCATGGTATGCTTTGCCTACATGTATTCACTCCTCTCTCTTATCAGTACTAACACTTAGGAATAATAGGTGTGGGATTTGTTTGAAGGGAGACATCTTTTCTATGGAAATGACCCTGATGGCAAAGGGTATTCGACCGGGGCGCATCTTGCAGAAGTTATGGATTTTCTAGGGCCACCTCCTTTAGATATGCTCCAACGTGGGAAACGAAGCCATGAACACTTTACAAGCGATGGTAAGTATTATTTTCTTGCTCAGTGCACTTGGCAAAAGCTTACGAAGACAACCTTACAGGGAAATGGAAAAATGACCTAGAAATCCCGACGGGGTTCAGTCTGGAGCTGTCTGAAGAGCTACTACATTCTGGCCTTCTATTCACCGTGCCATTGCTATGTGGAGTAAAAGTTAGGATATTATAAGCTGGGATGAGTATAAAACTGCACGCTGCCTTATAACTCTTTATAGTATAAAAGTTAGGATGAATAAAGTTAGGATAAATATAAAACTACGCACTATCTTATAACTCTTTATAATAGAGCAAAAGGTACTACCTTATAATTCTTTATAGTATAAAGGCTAGGATGAATAAAGTTAGGATGAATACAAAACCGCGCGCTGCCTTATAACTCTTTATAATACAAAAGTTGGGATGAATATAAAACCGCGCACTGCCTTATAACTCTTTATAGTATAAAAGTTAGGATGAGTAAAGTTAGGATGAATACAAAACCGCGCGCTGCCTAATAACTCTTTATAATACAAAAGTTGGGATTTCCTACACAGACTTGAATGTACTCAAGTGCTTGAATGCATACCCGACAAATTCTCTAGCAGGTATGTAGCTTTATCGCATACCGATATCTTGTCCGAAAATCAATATTGGTGTCCGCCTGTGTCGCTTTAGAGGCCGATGAAATGAGCCAGGATACAAATGGAATCAGCGGGATCTCTGCCATCGATCACACTAGCCCGAGATATTTAAAGGATCAAATACGTAGTAACAAAGGTCATCATTGCTGATACAAGTTCTGACACAACTAAGGGTGATATCATATGTTTTTTAGGAAATCATCATTTAGACTGGACATCTGGATAGATAATAGGTTCTACCTCTCATCGATGAATTCTGGGTTTTTGGTTACAATGGAAAGCCCAAGTGCCTCGTCACCATACCGGCGCAGATGAGTTTATTCTATGCTAAAGAGGCCTCGGCTTGCAGTCTTTATCAGCCCAAGATCGCCCAGTCAATGATCGCTCAGCTCATTCGTGGGATGGCCTTCTTACACAGTGAAAATATCATACATAGCGGTATGTCATGTTTATGAACAAGCTTGTACATGCTGAATTGCATAGCTAACCTTATTTATTTCTAACATTGAAGACTTTCATCTTGGTAACATTCTATGTAGTCCAGTTTCCTGAATTGATCGATCTATATTCCATATCAGAACTGTATGGCGAATTTGGAAAGCCGTATTCAGAGGCTGTTGTTCGCCGCGACATCTGGATGGTATGCCATTACCGAATGGAATACCTGCACATATCTTCTTGCTCAGGTTGGTTTGGTGTTCGCAGCCATGGGATTGCATTGGGCGAAGAAATGATTGTCCTTAGCGATTTCGGAAAATCTTTTAACCCCTATACAATGGTTTAATGAAGAGGGAGAATTGGACCTAGAAAAATCTAGAAACTACAGTGGAGTCCGCAGAACTTGGGATTGGATGTTAAAATATTGCGTACAAGAGCCTCGGACCAAGGTCGGACTGAAGATCGTGGCGCAGGAAGAGAAGAGGGCATTTGAGGCGATGCTTCGCCCAATGCTGAATTCCCGGCCAGAGGTCAGAGCTACTGCACAACAGGAACTGCACTCAGAATATTGAATGGGTGACAAGCTGGGGACAGCCAGCCCTTGAAGAAAGCTTAGTAGTAGGTGTTGGTAAGTATTCCTGCCACTCTGGAAGTAGTAGTGCTTACAGTATAAAGTACTACAAGTATGCACATATTCGGTAACAATCTGCGGACAAAGGTCGTGCAAAAACGGATGTGTTCATGAATAGATGTTTAGATAGTTATGAATTGAATTGTCCCAGATAGCGCCTTGGTACCACCAACTCCCGAATCGAAATCAACTCCAGCTGGAGTCCTTAATTTTTTTTATTGCTGGTTGATTTGACTCGCCCGCAAATATCTTGCGAAGCTGTTGTCGGCATCCGAAGGGGGAGCGGACTGAGATTCCGAGAGGGCTTCCTGGTAACGAGACGAGAGGCCCTCGTCATTGCCAGCACTGGGCCCCTCATACTCCTCCTCGCTGTCGTCCTCTCCATCTGCAAGTCCTCGCTTAATGATATCATCTTCGTCGTCTTCGGCCTCGCTGACGGTCTCTGGCTCCCGGTTGGGTCGACGGCTAGAACCAGTGACGTTCATATCTTGCATCAGCTTGCCCAGCTCCACCTCACGCTGAGACTCCTTGCTTTCTTCTCTTTCCTTCTTCTTGCGCTCAAGTTCGGGCTTGTAGTCACGCTCGAATTCTTGTCGTTTGACCTCAACGGCTTCGAAAAACTCATCAACACCATCACCGGTCATAGAGCTAACACCAACCACACTCAGATGTCTGTAGAACTCCTCCAACATTAAGCTCATGCTGTTCAACAAGGAACCCATGTATCCGCTTCCAGCTCCAAATCCACCAACGCCCCCCTCGCCTCCAAAGGCACCGGCTTCTTCCTCCTCCCGCAAAGCTGCTTGGAATTTATCAAAGTCGGTCATCCATTCCTTTGCGAATTCAGCATCCTTCACATCGGTCTTGTTGAAAACTAAGATCATCGGGAGCTTGGTCTTGTAGAGAATACTACAAGCATAGAGCATGTTGCTCATGAAGGTGCTGGTCGAGCTGGCGCGCGGGGTATCAATGACATATGCGATAACAGTAGGGAAAGACGAGGCAAGAGTCTCCAAAAGAATGCTTCCAGAAGCACTCCACACGAAGACTTCGATTTGACCCGGAGTGTCGACCAAAATATGTTCAATCGGCTTTGCATTGGGTTTTTCCGGGTTGGGAGTGGTACGCTTCTCCAGCAGGGAAATGATCTGGTCGACCTTGGTGGCGAATAAATTCAAGGATGTCAGGATTCCACCGTTGGGCCCGAGGTTGTATTGCTTCATGACTTCTTTGTAGTTGATTGAATCCCGGATATCAATGTTGCTCTCGAAGGGCACCGAGTGCACCGCGGGGTCGAGGTTCATGACATAGGGAACTTGTTCTTTTGAGTGGAGGTAGGAGTTAATGCGTTGCATGAAAGTGGTCTTTCCCGAGCCTAGATAACAATAGTTTAGCATTTGATAGTTCACTTTCAATACGCAGATGGGGTCTGATCGCCTTACCGGCCATGCCCACGCAGACGACGGAAACTGGAGTCGCCATGGTGAAGGGTAAGATGGGGCGAAGTAGTTGCAAGAATGAGAAACCAAAATGAACTGAATTAGTGTCGTAAAGACTTCGAGCTCACAATGACTGAAAGTGGTGAATGCGTGAATGCGTGAAAGCTCTTTTTTATCTGAAATTATTTTTTGTTCGCGGGGAAGATCTGCCCGCGCCTGGTCCGCCCGGCATTAACGTCATTCCGCCATTGCACCTCGACTTTCTATTCCTCCCCTTCTACACATCCAGCACCACAATGACGCTGGAAGACTTTGAGAAATCATTGGCGCAGGATCAGGAGAAGAGGAGAGAGACTAGTGATAGGGATCGGAGCCACCGAGACCGTGATCGCGACCGCAGCAGAGATCGATCATCGCGACACCATCGTCATCACCGGTCCAGCCACCACCGACGCCATTCGTCCCGATCTCGCGAACGAGAAAGCGGAAGGGATCGCGAATCCCGACACAGAGACGATGATGGTCACAGACACAAGCGCTCGCGCCGCTCAGGTGACCAAGGGGATGATGAAGACCATGAACATAAACGTCGACACCGTTCCAGTCGCGACGAAGAGTCTTCTGCGCCTAAAACGGTCACTCAAGAGGAACCTAGTGAGCTGAAGCGTGACTCCTGGATGGAAGCACCTTCTGCACTCGATATCGATTACGTTCAGCGACGGAATACTGGACAGGTGGAAGAGGCGCCGAAGGCTACAATGCTCCAAGCTGACTTTGAACTCAAGATCCACGACAAAGAGCTCAACAGCCACCTCCGTGACCTTAAGGAAGGAAAATCCCTGGACGATATTGAAGAGGAATCGTCCCAGCATGAAGTGGATTACACATTTGGAGATTCAGGATCTCAGTGGAGAATGGCCAAGCTCCAAGGTATCTACAGAGAAGCTGAAGAAACCGGCAAACACGTTGATGATGTTGCCATGGCACGCCTTGGTGACCTGCGGGCATTCGATGATGCCCGGGAGGAGGAAACTGAAATGGATCGACGCAAGATGTACGGCAAGTCTTATGTGGGAAAAGACAAGCCGAGTGGAGAGCTATTTCAAGAGAGAAAGCTCAGGAATGAAATTCGCCGAGACCCACAAGAACATCTTCGCGATCCAGCAGAAGAGCTCAAAGCAGAGGGTCAGGGACAAAAAATGGACGTTGTGCCGCCCGCAAACACCACACAGCCTTTGGACCCCACAGCTTTGAATCGTCTGAAAGCGCAGATGATGAAGGCAAAACTGAAGAAGGCCCCGAATGCGACTGAGCTCGAGGAGCAATATAATGCTGCAGCTGCCGCTATGTCTAACCGCAAGGAGTCTGATGTGGTTGTGCTAGGCGTCCAACAGAACCGTATGTTGGCGGGCGCGCGGAATGAAGTAATTCCCATTGATAACAAGCGAGGCCGCGAAAGGGGTCTGGTGCAGGCGAACGAAGACATGTCCATTGAAGATATGGTTCGCGAAGAACGCAAAACTCGCGGCCAGGCTGGAGGAGAGGGCAAGCGGTTAGCAGAGCGCATTGCGGGTGATGGAAAATTCGAGGTAAGTACATCAGTTGCGACCATCCTATCTACATGGGCTTATTTTTCTAATATGCATGTAGAATGAACTTGAGTATATGGACGACAATGCCTCCAAGCTGGCAAAGAGAGTTCATCGTTCTGAAATTGACATTAAGAACGCGACAGTCAATGACTTCCGTAAGATGAACAAGATCTTGGACAACTGCCCGCTATGTCACCATGAAGACACCAACACGCCCCCTATTGCTCCAGTGGTTTCTCTCGCCACAAGAGTTTTCCTCACCCTTCCTACTGAGCCCGAAATCAGCTCTGGCGGCGCCACAATTGTTCCCATTCAGCATCGAAACAACCTAATAGAATGCGATGACGATGAATGGGAGGAAATTCGCAATTTCATGAAGAGTCTTACGCGCATGTATCACGATCAAGGCCGGGATGTTATTTTCTATGAGAATGCAGCCCAGCCACAGCGCAAGCGTCATGCTTCTATGGAAGTGGTTCCTCTTCCGTACAGCCTTGGAGAAACGTCTCCTGCATTCTTCAAAGAAGCAATCCTCAGTGCCGAATCCGAGTGGTCTCAACATCGCAAGCTTATCGATACTCTTGCAAAGGCCAAACAGGGTTTGGGACGATCCGCCTTCCGGAAGACTTTAGTGAAAGAAATGCCCTACTTCCATGTCTGGTTCGAATTGGATGGTGGCCTAGGACATATTGTTGAAGATGAAAACCGCTGGCCTCGTGGTGATCTATTTGCTCGGGAAGTCATTGGAGGTATGCTTGATGCAGCTCCCGATGTCATCAAACGCCAGGGCCGCTGGCAACGTGGAACCGATCGACGGGTTGAACCGTTCAGGAAACGCTGGAGAAAGTTTGACTGGACTCGTATCCTAGTTGAGGGATAAGAGGCTGGGCCATGAGCCAGACTTCATGTATAATTTAACACCTCGATGTTTAATTTCAAAAGAAAACGTTTTCTCGTCTTCCGATTTGTATTATTGGTCACATTGCCACCTAGAACCTTGTATTCATCAAATTGTTCGTTCCTTGAAGCCGAATACCATACAAGTTCCTCGGTTTCCCCTGCCGCGCAATGTATTGGGCTCAACAAACCATCAGGCTTATCCCTGTGATATACCAGACCGGGATCTCAATTGGCATGGCCAGGGATCCCCATGATCCACTTGTATCTTCAGACGAGCTCGTGAGTAAAGAAATTGATTGGTGAAAGGTTATTATCAATCGACGCCTTGCGATGACATGCGGGGAACTGTCCGAGATAACGAAGGGCGTGGGGCACATTTTCTTTTTGGCCGATCCCTGTCAATTAACGACTCTTCTTTTTCAGTGCTTCACATTTTCAATTTTTGCCAAATCCGTGTAGTCTTTGCCGTCTTTTTTCTCAATTGCATTTCCTCTTAGCCACTTCTCCCTCACTCCTGTGTTCTCTGCCAATTCGGCTATCATCGGCCCACCCCTCAATTGTTCATATCGGTAAGTTGCCTATTGGACTAGGAGGCATCAATCCAGCGCAGTGACGAGGCTAACAGAAACGAATTTATAGTCTTGAGAACATAAGCAAGCATTATGGGCTCCAGCGGTACCGTTACGAAGATCCTCCTTCTTGGAGAGATCGATCAGTATGTTTTCCAAAACAGACTTTATCCTCAATAGACACTGCTAATAAGTCCACAACAGTGCGCAAAAGGCCTGGAATGCAATGAGTGAGCTCGGTGAGCTAGTGAAGTCAACCGCCAACAATCGCACCGAGTTTCTTCAGGAATGCCGCGACGGAAAGTATGATGGCGTTGTCGCCATCTACCGTACCTTCCACTCCATTTCCATCACTGGCCTGATCGACGAAGAGCTCATCAATGCACTGCCAAGTTCAGTGAAATTCATGGCACACTGTGGTTTGTGACCTATTTATCAATCACCGTGTTACTCCAGGTGATATATGCTAATTACATAATCTTTTACATAGGAGCCGGATATGACATGATTGATGTCCACGCCTGCAGTGCTCGCGACCCTCCCATCCGAGTTTCTAATGTCCCCACCGCAGTGGATGACTCCACTGCCGATGTGACCATTTTCCTTATTCTTGGCGCTCTGCGTAACTTCAACGGTGGCATGCACGCACTGCGCCAGGGCAATTTCCGTGGCCCAACAGCTCTTGGCCATGACCCACAAGGCAAAGTTCTGGGAATCTTGGGAATGGGTGGTATCGGCCGTAACTTGAAGAAGAAGGCCGAAGCTTTCGGTATGAAGGTCATCTACCACAACCGACGCCAGTTGAGTGAGGAGCTTTCAGGTGGAGCTCAGTATGTGACTTTTGATGAGTTACTCTCAACCAGTGATGTCCTCAGCTTGAACCTGCCGTTGAATGTGAGTATTATCTTTACCTGCAATTGATATTTGCTTGACTGATTCTATTCGTAGAAAAATACGCACCACATCATTGGCAAGGCAGAGTTTGCTAAGATGAAGGATGGCGTCGTTGTCGTTAACACTGCTCGTGGAGCGGTCATGGATGAGGCTGCCCTTGTTGACGCTCTTGACAGTGGAAAGGTATTCTCTGCCGGACTTGACGTCTTTGAAGAGGAGCCGAAAATTCACCCTGGGCTTATGAGCAATCATAATGTGATTCTTGTACCTCATATGGGTACTTGGTCTGTTGAGGTAAGTCGATGATGTGCCTTCTAGTTTGAACCAACATACTGATTGCAATTTAGACCTTGACTGAAATGGAAGGATGGGCTATTGGTAATATCCGCCAGGCTCTTACGACCGGAAAACTCAAGAGTCCTGTAACTGAGCAAGCCGATATGTAATGGGTTTGTCTGTATCTGGCTCACTCTGCATACATTCTGCATAGATGGATGGGTTATGGGTCTGGCGTATGAAGAAGGAAATTTGAAGTCAACTCGAGTCAAATAATTCAAAAAATCAAGTCGCTTAAGGGTCCGTTGTTTTTTTATCTATAATAACCACGACGTTAAGTAGATTGAAGTATAACTAGAAGGTGATAATATGGGGCTTCTGCATCGGGACTAGACTGATCGCGGGAGCTTGCTTCCTCATCTCCATCTTCCACTCTGCGACAACCATCTAGACCAGCAACATACTCCACCATGGCTGAATATTGGAAATCAGCAGTAAGTTTCTACCAGTTTTAGTTTATCTGTTTCTTGCTGACACTATCTTCCTCACCCCAGCCCCGCCACTGGTGCAAACAATGCAAGATCTTCATCCGCGACACACCCTTCGAAAAGACTCAACATGAAGCGAGTCCTAAACACCAGGGCAGTCTAAAGCGCTTTCTGCGCGATATCCACAAAAACAATGAAATGCAACAGAGAGACACAGCGCGCGCCAAAAGCGAGGTAGAACGTTTGCGACAAGCTGTCTCGGGCGAACCCTCCGCATCCCAATCCCATTCCGAAGGCAAACCCCCCGCACCAGCTAAACGCGCGCCTGCGCCATCCGACCGGCCCGTAAGCGTGGAGGAAAGAAAGAAACAGATGGCCCAGCTTGTTGAGATGGGGATTGCTATTCCACAAGAATATCGCGGCGACATGGCCTTGACTGGAGAATGGGAGACGGTCTCTGAAAAACAGCTTGACATACCAGAGGGTGCCAGGTCTATTGGTATTCGCAAGCGCAAGCTTGAAGGAGATGAAGACGAGGAAGGTGGACAGATCCCCGAGCAATATGTGAACAAGGGGTGGGGATCTAGGATGAAGATATACCCCGGCGCAGATGATGGTGGCGAGGAGGAGGATCTTGATGCTCTGTTTGCGTCTACTCAAGATTTGAAAAAGCCCAAAGTGGATACAGAGGCAACCGGCTTAAAGGAGCAGGAATCTTCATTTACTTTGGCCCCGAAGAAAGAAGAGGATAATGATGCTGATGACCAAATCGCTGGCTCGAAGGCTCCTCCTGCTGCCACAGAGCCCGATATGAACGAATCAAGTCCGGTCAAGAAAGAGGAGGTAGAACTCTCTTCTATACCACTTGCCAGTACAACTCTCGAAGGCGAAGCAGTTTCTAAAAGTGAGACGGTTACTGAAAAAGAGGAGGCACCAGGAGTTGTTTTCAAAAAGCGCAAAGCAAAGGTCATGAGGAAATGAGATTTGACGCAGCTTTGCCTCTACAGCGAGCTCTGATCATGAAAAAAACTAAATCTCTACAACTACTAAATATCAGTTGCAAGAGCGCCTCCGGTAAAAGATACTGGGGTATACAACCAAAGTCGGGTTACTCCCTCCACCTGGCCCAACACCATGTCGATATACTACTACGTGCAAGGAGTATCTTCTCATATGGCAAACCCAAGATCTCATATGCCTTCCAATGACCCTATTCTGTGATATAGTTTCTCAATACTTGGCTTGCTGTCAACAGATGCCTACTGAGAAGTTGAGTTCAACCTACCACGAGTCTGGTTTAAAGGCAATTTGGTGACAGGTTTATTGAGTCAACTATACTGAACCCTTCATTGGGTGGTCTCTTCTCTAAACATAAAGAGAGTGGTCTGTCCCAATTGGTTCCTCTAAAAATCAATGTAAAGAGAGCATTTGGAATCCCTGTCAATACACAAAGTTCCCTAGAAGTATGGAGACGGGCCCAGCACCACTTCTTTTTTGATGGCTAACAGAGTCAACAAAGCCAAAATTTGAGGAAGCAATGTGAATGAAGAAATGTTGAAACCAAGTAAAAAATTGTCTATTCTAAGCTTTAGGGTAGTGTGGCTTGTTAGTATAGCGCCGCCACCCCCAATGATTTTAATTTTTTTTTTCTTCTGGAGCGGAGACTTGGATCGCCGGAAAAGAAAGCTCCTTTGGTTCTCTCCAACTTCGCGCATCTCTTCCACGCCGCAACCCTCCTAATAGACTTGCACGGCCTCCACGCCACTTGTGCAGTTCTTGATATTTCCCATTTTGAGCGTTATTACCCGGTGAGTTCATCCGATTTGCAACAACCCCCCGCCTCCTCTCCAGCGTCAATCGGCCTTGTTCTTTCCGAGTCGCATCGTCCTCCCACCCGCGCAGGAGCCCGCAGAATCTCCTCTCCAGTACCCTCACAACCTGATCTACTCAGCCTAGATGGCTGCTACTCCTTTTCCACATTTTCCCCGCGATTAACGAAATTGGACTGCGGCTTTGGTTGTGAGCGGGGAAGATTGGGGCTGGGGTTCCAGCGAGAAGAATGCGACAAAGCAACCCCGATCGGCGGGCAAAACCTTTGGTGGAAAAGATCCTGAAATGTACTAGATCTTGTACAATTCACTGTTCCATCAAGGGTTGACTACCCCCGGGAGTCTGCTTGTTGGGTTTTGTTGGTTGGCTTTGCACATTGGACCCTACATATTGGACTGCACTGTGAACCACCGATTTGTGCACGGATTGCAGCTTCCTTTCCTCCAGCATTGATTGGATTATACTTTATGCCTACCCTGCGTTGAATTTGGAGAAGACTTGGATCATTGTGAACAAGCAACGAAAAGAAAAAAATCACCTTTGGCTAATATTGAATGACCTTTTAGACCCTAGGGAATAAATGATTTATCAGTCTCAGCCCGATCGATCTGGTGTGTTGCCTCTGCTTGACAAGCTGCACGACCTTTGACCGCAGATTTCGATCTATCCCACATCCCGTGCACTTCTCTAAATATCTCCGCATATATTGAACATACGCCACGGTGATCGAACCTATAGAATCGTTCGGACGGCCATAGCAGGTATATAGAATATGGCAGAACCTACAGAACCTAAACCCGGCGAAGTCGCCAATATGGCAGCCGAATCAAATGCGCCAGCTCCTCTGCCTGTGGTACAGACCGAGTCGCCCACTCAGCCGCCAGAGCAAACCAACACGTCAATGCAAACGCTACCAACGCCTGAGCCAGACCCCACGCCAGTCCCAACCAGCGAACCACCACAAGAACCACCACAAGAACATCAACCAGAGCCTCAACTTGAACCTCAACACGAACCTCAACCGGTACCCCATCACGAACCCCCACCCGAGATTCAAGAACGAACACCACAACCGCATATGGAAATGCACGAGCATTCAAGTCTCCCCAACCCACCGGAGGGAATTAATGAGACTACACCCGTGCCAAATACGGCGGCGCACTCCATCGAATCCACACTCCCGCCCATTGACCATTCCCTTCCTGCAATGGACACGTCTGGTTTGGCTTCATTCGATTCCGCATTTCAGTCAAGCGCCGAGCACGACTTGCAGCTTCCGGCCATTGACACGGACTTGCCCACCTTTGACTCAGCCCTGCCAGCGATCGGGACAGATGATATTCCTACAATGGACGACGATCATACGTTTGGAGACGATCATTTCGACTCTCACTCTGGGTCTGTAGAACCTGGTCATAGCGGACCTGGGTCTATGAATGGAGGGACACCCTACGACGCGCCATCCAACGGTTACCAGTATGCACAGAACCCAGATCCCCCCCAGCAGTCGGACGGACATCACCCACCTCCTCAGGCGCACTCTCAGCATCAATTCCAAGCGCAGCCTCAGCCACAACAGAGTTATCAGCACCAGAGCTCGGATATGTATTCCGGCTTTTCGTCCGTCAATTCAAACCCTGCGAATAATGGCCAAGGACAGCCAGGACAAATGCCACAAGCTCCGATTGGGTCGCCTATGCCTCCCATATCATCAATGGGCCAGTACATGACTGGTTATCCATCCAATGTCTCACAGCAAGGTATGAAAATCGATCATGTAGATGCGCTATCAGCCACCTGCTTTCCCAGTGATTCTAATAAATTTCTTTCCAGGGGGGCGACACAAGAAAGAAGTCAAACGACGGACAAAAACCGGCTGTCTGACTTGCCGTAAGCGAAGAATCAAGGTACGTTGCTTGTTGAGGTTTGATGCTTCCGCGGGGCGCGGGCCTCGCTTGTGCCCGCAGACCCCGCCATCGTTTATTTTGCGATTCTCCCGCTTCACCCACGACATCACTCTTTTTTTTGCGCACTTCTTGGACGAGGAACTAATTTTTCCCACAGTGTGACGAAGGGCATCCTGTGTGCAGAAATTGTGTGAAGAGTAAGCGCGAGTGTTTAGGTTACGACCCGGTGTTTCGGCCTACAGCATCCGCCCCCTCGGCCATTCAACCTGCGCCCAATCCTCCTCCGTCCTTGATCGTGAACCACCAGGGACCTCCTGTCGCAGCTGCGCCTTTGTATCCATCTGCACCCCCTGGTTACATGCCCGCTTCTTCCCAACCATTTGCGCCATCCCTCCAATCCGAATCTCCTAGCACCTCTACAGACCATCACCACGATCACAGAGCTTCCGTCGACACATCCATTACAGCAACCCACACCCAAGCTCCTCCCACAATGCAGGCCTCACATGAATCCCGGCCTCACAGCTCAGAGCCTGTCTACAAAGGTGCGCACATAATCCTTTCTGGTGTTTCTATCCTTTTCTTGTTTTTTTTTTTTCTTGTTTTTTTTTTGCGCCCCATGTGGAGTCTCGTGTCTACGAAAAATACTAATGAAGTTTTTATTAGCATCGAAAAATCTTCACGTCAATGACTTGATTGCTCTGAGGGGCATTGCTCCCCCTGCCCCGCATCCTATCGGAAACATCGCTCCTAGTCGTCTCGAAGAAATCCAGGCTGTATTCCTCGCCACATACGCACCTGCCATCGATAAGCTTCTGGAGGTTCGATGGTATTCTGAGAAGGCACTACCGGTCCTGATGGCTGACAGTCAGCTGATGGCTGATTACTCTGCTTTGATCAGCGCTTTTAATGATTGGAATCTTGGTGATCACAATACTCTTTGTCGCTTGGAGAGTTTCGAAGCTTCGATCATCTGGAGAAGTATGGTGCTTTGCCGCCAAGCACAGTCAGCAGAAAATGGGCAATATGGACAAGACTGGAACTTGTGTGCCACAGCTGCTCGTCTGGATGCGATAGAAGCGCTCTTGAGCTGGAACCACCTGGATACAAACCACCTATCTCGGTCCCTTGGAATGGAAGCCGCCAGCCCACCCAATCCACCAGACCAGTTCCTGCAACGCCAATTGGACTTCTGGAGTGAGCTTGGGGAGTTCCTGACGCTCCACGATAACGAAGCCAGCTCAGCGAAGCAAATTGACGATACTCTCGGACGTTGTCGTCATTTGCTTGATACATACGAGAACCGTGATATCATCTACTCGATTGCCATTACGCGACACCTCGGTCAACGCTGGGCCGACTTCCCTAACAGCTTGCCCAAGGTTGGATACACCAACGAGAAGGAATTCGGAACCAAACTCTTCGTGGCGAAGAAGTTCATCGAGGAAGAAGCCGAAGGCAAGGGCACCACCCAGATCTACAAGCGCGTTTGCTGCATGGCTGTCCGCTCCTGGTGGGCCGCTCGGGAGTAATTGATTCTTTTTTATTCTGGCCTTCCCAATGCCGGGATCCTTTGAAAGGCTTAATCCCAAATAACCCTCCTTTGCCCCCGAAGGGTTGTTGTACATCCACACCTTGGGAGGCCTTGTACACCTGCGCGCAGATCCGCAAATCCGTGGATCTTTACATCTCTTCCTCAAAATTTCGAAAAAGCATCATGGTTCCGGCGTTACGATGATTTACATTTCTTATTTCTTTTTGTCCCCTCTTTTATTGTCTCCCTCTGGGGTTCGGGGAACCGGGTAGTGAGCGAGTGAAGCAATATGGCGTTTATGGCCTTTATCTTTTCCCTCGGACGAAGTTTTTATTGTTTCCTGTGCATATACCGCCTCTTATTCGCGCGGGCGATCCCATGCCCCGCGCCGCCCAACTATGTTCAGTTGGATGATTTTACGTTTACAGTTCGATAGTCAAAAATATCATTATCAACATATCAATAGACCTGATTCTCCTATCCGTAGTAGCTATGTTGGCTGTGTTCTGTGCCTGTGATATTTTGCAATATGAAAACAACACTTGAATACAATGCAGCTAGATACCGTCGTAGATGCGGGGTTATGTTTATCATGTAGGGATATCAATTAATGTTATGAACATCCATGTTGTCAGAAAATCCGTCCACAGAAGATCATCCGTCTCAAGGTACCTCTACCCTAATCTTCATCTCACCCGTCTCGCCCTGAAACAAAAATCCGATATCCCTTGTCGAATCAACGAGCTCAACTTCTCTCCGCACAAACCGACTAGAACCCTCCGAAGACTCAACATGAGGCTGCTGAGACGATTCATCATCGCTATCTTCCGCCCAATCCTCTTCATCGACCGTTGCCTTTGCAATAGGATCCCACTCATCCGTCTCCCAGACCAATTTGAATCCAGCCGGAGCAAGATCAAACAGTCGGGACACGAGAGCCTTTAATTGATATGTGTTGAACGAGTGCGGAACCTCCTTGACAGGAATTTGTGCGGTATCGAGGTCCACCGCCGAGGGAGAGGATAGATGGAATGCCATCTTAACAAGTCGCGCAGCGACAGAACGCGGGTGAATAATTCTGTTGCCCGATCCATCTGCCTCAACAGCTCTGGTGATTCTCGGTTCGCCATATTGCTCACAAAGTTCGGCGTACCGCGGGTGCGCCGTAAGCACACGCTCCTCGTCCGCTTCGGTGGTAGCCGAGAGCTCCTTGCCGATGAGTGAGAGGTAGTACATCTCTGCATTTGAGCGGTCTTGTAGGGTGATTTTGCTGTAGTTGAGTATACTGAGGGTGGGAGGGAAGCGGGAAAGCGTTAGCATGAAGGCTTCGTCGACTGTCATTGCTTTGGAGGCGTTGATGGTGGATGTAGCTGCTGCAATGGATGGGGGAAGTGGGGGCTCGTCGTAAAGCGGATTTGAGGAGATGCGTAGAGTTGTGAGGCCCGGGAAGAGAGTTGGGAGGTGATTGAGGAATTCCCAGGATGTGATGTTGTTGCGTGAGAGATCGAGGGAGAAAACGGTTTCTGGGAAGTGGAAGTCGGGGGCGTCGTTGGAGCTCTCCAGGATTGTGCTGACATTGTTCCCGCGCACGGAGAGATGTCCCAGGTTTGGGAGAGTTGCTAGATGGCGAAGGGCTGATATTGATGTCACGTCGTTGTTCTCTAGTATGAGACTTGTGATGGTGTTCGCAAGTGGACATGATATCGTCGTGAGCTGGTTGTCTGATGCTGTGAGGTTGGTGAGTACCGGAAATCTGGACACTACCGCCGCAATCTATACTTTTCATTAGCTTGTTCCAGGAATTTGGATCCATTTAGAGGTTTGCATACCTCATCCCAGGTGAGAAGGGTCTGTTCCAGGCGCAATTCGGTGATGCCGTTAAACGTTAAATTCTCCTCCAAAGGATGGAACCGATTTCCACTGTGGTTGGAGTTAGTTCCGTCCAATCAAGTTTGAAACTGCAGATTAAAGCTCGGCAGACTTACTTCACTCTCAGTCGTCTCAGTAGTTTCAACTGGTTGCAAATCTCCCAAACATCTCGCCATTTAGTCAACAGACTACGGCTGAGATCCAATTCGATGATTTTCGGGCAGGTTATGGCAATCTTAGGAGCAGCCTCGACAACGGAGCTTTCAGGCTGCTCATACGAAGACAGTACACCTGCAATCCGTAGCCCATCTAGTAAGACAATTTGCAGCTGCTCCAGCTCTGCTAGCTGCTTTCGAATCTTATCAAAGCCGACTTCTTCGACGACTTTACCGCTGATCTCAATTGACTTTGAAGCAGATCCGGCATTTGAGGCGTTATGTGCCTCTCGCTGTTCAAATTCGGAGCCATATTTCTCATTCAGCGCCTCTAGGAAGCTCCTTGGTGGCTCTGATGGCCTGGAGGGGCGGACGAAAGACCCCGCCGTGGGGCGATTACTTTTGCCTGCAAAGAGTCAGTCATAGAACAGGATTTATCATTTGAAATAGTACATCTTCATACATGTAAAATAGCGCACTCCTTTATGCTCGCCTGCATGCTTGCCACGAGTTGGATCGTCCCATTCAACACCCAGCCAGTCGCCCGCGGTGCCCTGAACACCACCTACGTAACGGATCGTACATAGTTGGCCATCAAAAGAACGACGCTGGCCAATCTCGGTAGAACTCATCACAGCGAGTAAGGAATCCCCTGTCTTGATTCAAAAAACAACATAAACAATGGCCAAATTAGATTGCAAGTGACTTTTGTCCCTCTGCACTTGAAATCCGCTGACATAACCCGTCTTTTGATGTTAGATGTTGAGGTGCACAGCTACTCAGGAACAGACACATCAGACTACAAAGTGATTTGAGCATCTCTATGTGGACTTATACTAACTCTTCAATTTACTATTAGTATCTTCAAAAAGTAATAAGATCCTTGTCTTTTTGCTTATCATCTATTATATTCGCCTTCATCTTCAAATGGGTCACATGACTCCCGCAAATAAGGTTCCAAGAGCTGATACTGCCCATCACTCCCGTTATCTCAAAGCGCGCAGATTTGCCGTTTCCAACCTCACATCGGCCTCAAGATGGATTACCAGGTATATTCCCTCTCTCGTGCCCACAATTTCTGGCTCTTTCAATGTCGCATATGATGCTAATGAGAACTCCAGAACCGAGCAGGCTCCAAATTCGGTGGCGGTGGTGTCGCCGACCGCTCCGCGACCAACGCAGACCGTCGCGAGCGTCTCCGCAAGCTCGCCCTTGAACACATCGACCTGGACAAGGACCCTTACTTCTTCAAGAACCACGTCGGAAGTTTTGAGTGCCGTCTCTGTCTCACAGTCCACCAAAATGACGGCTCATACCTTGCGCATACTCAGGGCAAGAAGCATCAGACCAACCTCGCCCGTCGCGCTGCTCGCGAGCAACGTGAGGGCAAGAACCAAGATCCTTCATCCATGCCTGGTGCGATGGGTGTGCAGGTGAAGAAACAGACTATTAAGATTGGACGACCCGGTTACAAGATCACCAAGGTCCGCGACCCCTTGACCCGTCAAACCGGTCTGTTATTCCAGCTACAATACCAGGAGATCACACCTGGTGTGCTCCCACGAGTGCGCTTCATGTCTGCATTTGAGCAGAAGGTTGATGATCCGGATAAGAATTTCCAGTATCTTGTGGTTGCAGCGGAGCCTTATCAGACTTGTGGATTCAAGCTCCAGTCGAAGGAGGTTGATCGTCGAGAGGGCCGGTACTGGACTTGGTTCGATGAGGATAGCAAGGAGTTCTGGGTGCAAATCATGTTCAAGACAGAGCGCGAGGAGAGATTCACTGGTGTGCCTGGGTTGGCACCTATGCGAACTTGATTCTTTTTCTGTCTAGGAGGATACGCATCCTGATACAAAAGTACGAGCGGGTCTTATCGCAATGCTGGAGCTGGGCGTTTTGGGGTTTTTTTTTATCATGTAAATTTTAGTTGAAGCGATAGCATGTTCACGTTGATATCCTACTAATGAACTTGGAAAAATCAGGAATGGGCAGATGGATCTGACTAGATTAATGGATATTCTACAATGTGAATCCGCAGATCTATTTTCATCACTCATAACTCTTCGGAAAATATTAGAAGCAGGATTCAAGCAAGGTTTTTCGGGGTTTGGAGTATCAATCTCACGGAGTCACGGTAGTACAGTACGGTGTAACTAGTACTGACCGTAGATTCAAGTTACTACCGCCTACGCTTAACGCGTAGTACCTTATAGATCGAGGTGGCCGGCAAGCTTTAAGTCCATCACATGATATCATGTGATGTGGTCCGTGAAATAACTATTTTCCTAAATATGATCCTTCGGTGCTTCTTTTTTCCTTTCCTCGGAACAACTCTCTCCCGGACTCATCCAAACCACAAACAGGTAAGTTATCGGCTTACCGCCCGTCACCGCCTTTGACTCTTTTGCCTGATAAGGCCATGGAGCTACACTTCATTGTGTCTTGGACTCTTGTCATGTCACTGCCCAAAGTAAAAACACATATCTACGATATGATTTTTCTACTTTCTCTTCTTCTGGATCCCTTCCCATCCCTCTAAAATCCCTACCCCTCATCCCCCTTTTTTCCAAGTTTACAGATTCAACGCCCTCCTGTTATCTGCAGCCGGCTTCGTCCTGTTATCGCCAATGACCTCCGAATCGCAGGATCTGGATTCAGAATGGGATTTTGCCCAGGCACTCGATTTGCTGATGGCAGGCAGTGATAAACAAGAAATATCTCATCCGTCCGGAACCCCAGTTTCTGTACCATCTCATGAACGACCATTTGGCTATCGCTTTGCCAGCTCGGCGGCCTCGGCCTCCACTGGGCCTCGTGGTCCTCGCCACTGGCCTCACGACTCTGACCACGAGCCTCACAGCTCTCACCACAGGTCTCACGATTCTGACCACGACAAGGACAGTCCTGGAAATATCAATAATGAATCTCTTTTCAAACTACTCTATTCTGATCTGAGTGAATGGGCTGTAAGAGGATCATCTGCGGTATCCACTGGTAGTTCAAAGATACCCAGGTCCCAGCAGCCCTCGAACGACAGCTTGTTCGTACAAACCTCCCCGTCAGACTCACTTTCAACTCGTCTCCAATCTCGCCCAATCACAATTCCATCGAACTCTCATGCCATCAATCTTCCTGCTTTCGGAATACCCGCCGGACGTGTTGCTACCAACCGAAACGGCCCCTCAGAGCCCGCTCTGCAGGAAACAATGCTAAAACACCGTTCCTTGCCATCCCCTTACGCGGGGGGGAGCTCAGCAGAACAGAGGCCACCTGTTTCTCCCCTCGAACCCCATACCTCGCGCACGCCTATGACCATTCTTAGACGTGAACCCATCAATATGAATCCCAGCGATTCTAATCGCCCAGCCACGACGAGCAATAGCAGATACATTGAACATGCTCACAGGAACGATATTTCCGACAGCACTGTTAGCACAAGTTCAGATGCAATCCCTACCATATTCGACCGCCCTATTCCCCGGAACTCTGGGCTCCTGACCTTGGTCCCGTCCCAGGTGGGAATTGCCTCCACACAGAATGGGATTCAATCAACATCACCCTCTTCATACGAGGATACCTTCGGTGCATCTACGCACCCACGCAGGGCTCGAAATGGTGCCTCCAACAACCGTACGTTGCTCATTTCTCCGAACGACATGACTGTGTTGGAGCGGAGTAAGTCGATTATGACCAAGTTACTGGATAATCTTGACGACTATGCCCAGCTTTTACTCCAAATGGGAAATTCACAAAGCTCCATCGAGACTGTGGAGTCACGTCCTGTGCATGTCTTTGTGGATATGTCTAATATTCTAGTGGGATTCCACAACGCAGTCAAGTTTGTGCGAAATATTCCCTCTGGTAGTCGAATGCGTCGCCTCGACATCTCATTCAGCAACTTGGCTTTGATTCTGCAGCGTGGTCGTCGTGTTGCCAAGAAAGTCTTGCTTGGCTCTGACCAGGTGCCTTCCGTTGACGAAGCCCGAAAGCTGGGTTATGAAGTGAATATTCTGTCTCGCGTACAGAAGACGAAAAATTCATCTTCTAAATCAGGAAAGGCGCCCATCAAAGGCGCTCATTCTGGTAGGCCTGGAATGGCCGGTACCACAGAGCGCTGGGTCGAGCAAGGTGTGGACGAAATTCTGCACCTGAAGATGCTTGAAAGCCTGGTTGACGAGAAGAGTCCCTCAACGGTCGTGTTGGCAACTGGAGATGCAGCTGAGGCTGAGTATTCTGAAGGTTTCATGCGTATGGTGGAGCGGGCACTGCAGCTCGGCTGGAACGTCGAGCTGGTCAGTTTCTCGCAGGTGACAAGCTATGCGTACAAGAAACTAGAGTTTCGAGAGAAATGGGGTTCTCAATTCCGCATTATCGATTTGGATCTGTTTGTAGAAGAGCTTTTTGTGTGAAGGACATTGCTTTTGGAGATTTCAAGGTGTAACTATGGAAAGTTATGACACCTTTTACGGTGTGGAATTCATGTACTTGAGCAAATGATCCTTTTACATACCAGGCCTATCATTAGGGATACATACATGTATGGCGAAATTTATTTTTCTTCCCGTGGACCTATCTACCTATGACTTGTCTTCAAGGTGGTACCTAACTTGTAAGCATTTAACATTTGAATCAGCCTTGGAAGTTGTCTAGAAACTACTAGTAACTGGGTTGGCGCCGGGCTTTTACGCATGTTGAAGTTATTCCAATGTTGCTGCCTGGAATGCAAGGTTACCTAGGATTGACTTTTGGTGACTTGGAATCACATCATATGACACGGCCAATAAATTGCAATATGTTTCTTGTGTATATGTTTTTGGAATTGCTTGGCTGATGCTGCGATGCTGCAAGGTCCTGCTAATCCAGATTAGGCAAGATGATCGACAAACGTGACAAACATGCTTGTCATAGTGCGCCACCTTGGGGCTTCTCAAGTAACGTCATCTTGCAAGTATATGTGCCACTGAGGTTGTGATTCGCGGTATGGCGAGCCACGAATTCCAACTTGTCTTCAATTAACCCTGCTGAAATGTACGTACAACATAGTCAGGGTCTAAACTTGTTATACTACATTACAAACAGCGAACAGTTCAATAAACGACGTCACTCAATAGATTGCTCAGGTGTCATGGAAACTTCCATAGTTGAAGAAAGGTATAAAATCACTGTTTACCTCTGACCCAAACTCTTCTTTCTTCCAACACCTCTACAACTTCAAACCTTTACATACACTCCAGTACCCACTTTATCAACCAAACTTCAGTTTCTCATCCATCATCATGTCTGACACCGGTCGCAAGGACTTCTCTACCAGTACGTGATCCTACTACCTACAGATACGTCCTTGACTTTCAACTGACATATATTTCGCTTTTTCAGAGGCCAAGGAGGAAATCACTCCTGACTCCACCAAGTCCACCCAGGACAAGCTGAAGGAGACTGTTACCGACGCTGGTGACCGCGTCTCTCGAGGATTCCAGTCTGACGACAGCAAGGGTGGCGCTCAAGAGGCCTTTGACAAGACCCAACGTGCCCACGATGACCACAACGGAGGCACTGCTAGCTCTGTGTAAGACTGCCCTCAGAGAATACTTCACACATAAGACCCCCACATACTGATCCTTATCTCTCCCCGCAGTGGTGACAAGGTCAAGAACGCTCTCGGCATGAACAACAACTAGGCTATTCATCTTTTGACGAACCCGCTTGGTGATGATCCTATGGGGAGTTTCGTTGCTATCATGATTCCACGATCGCCAGTCGACAATACCATTTTGCTATTTTAGTTTACACCCCAATGAGAATGCAGTGATCTGCCAGTTTATTTGAAGTTGTACCTTTTTGAAGAACGTATATGACTAGTAGTCGTAGATCCATTTGTAATAAGTATTCATCACCTTACCAGGGTACCAAACATTGTATCACGCTGCCGAATAAGCTGACCTAGCTCTCGCTCCAGTTCCTTGTATCTGGCCCGTGCCCCTGGAATATCGGTAGGAAGATCGTGAAAAGCCCTTACACGTCCCTCCAGAGAAACAACCATCTCTCGCATACGAATCACACTTTCTTCTTCCGCCATCAGTTGTTCAATTGTAGGACCTTGCGGCTGGTTTCTTTCCAATGAAGCGATTCGGTCATGATACTCCCCAACTTTCGTAGACAGCGTTTTGGTGCCACGGATCCACTCCGAGGTCTGTACCTGGATGCCTTGAGGTATGGAATATGCCTCGTCCGACTTGAGCTGCTCCAGATCAGCTTGAAGACGGGAAAGCTCTTTCTGCAAGTATAGACGTAGCGTTTCAACCTTGGCTATTTGGTCTTGCGCTTCAAAATCCTCTGCCGTCAGCTCAACAATCGAGTGACTCAGATCCTCTGGCTCGGGGTTCAGTGTGTTGCCCATTACAACCGCCGACTCGGCAAGGTCATCGAGATCACGCTTTCCCTTGTCGTCAAGACACATTTCCACTTCATCTAGAATCTCGTTCTTTTGTCGCTCGTGTGGGTCTTTGCGCTCAGCCTCTTCCTTGGCTTTGAAGGCTTGGATGGCTTCTTCCCGTGCTCGATGTTGGACATTTGCTTCCTCGTCTGCGGCATCATTGGCCGCTGCCAATGTCAGGAGAACACGGAGTGTGTCCTCATTTCGTTCGAATTGGGGTGTGGGTTTGGGCGCATATTGCCGAGCGAGCCATGAATTTATGTACGCCCAGTCCTTCGCTTGCATAGCAGCTTGCCGTGCCTTTGAAGGTGAGGCAAGCGGACTGTCAAATGAGTCCATTGTATATTTGAGAAGTGATTTGCACCTGTAATTTGTGGGTGGATTGGAGCTTTGTTTATCTGTTGAGTGTTGATGTACGATAAGAGATGGGGCAAAGGCGGTCTACAGGTTCAGTGGGCGAGACTGTCCTTTTCCCCACTCAACCTCAACTTGAGAGCATTGAGCTAGAGGTACTTCTCTAAAAATGACAAGTTATTTTCCTGGGACTGGACCTGGGCCCAGCAATGGCCAATCTCCTGCCTCTTCGCCCATATCCCCTCCAACACAGCAGCGTTCAAGCGCCTTGTCCAATCGCCTAACATCCGTCCTGTCTGCTTCTTACGCCGACTCCGACATTCGTGACGCGTTGGAAACTTTGAGCATTCGGGGTATTCACAATACTGCTGAAACAAGGCGCCAGCTTCGCCTCGATGTTCAAAAGGAAGTGGTGGATAGCAATGCAGAGATCGTTCGGGATTTCGGCAAGGTTGCGGAGGTGAGTCTATACCTAGCTGTATTGAACCAGACATGGTCAGCTAATATTATTTCGCTGTGGTAGCAATTAAAACGAATCGGAAGTGTTATCACTACTCTTAATCAAACATGCGATGAAATGCGCAAACATATCGGTCTAGCCAAGCAAGATACCACCCCGGTTTTGGAGGAAGCTACCGCGTTGATGGCTCAGAAGAAGGACACCGAAACAAAGCAACGACTCCTTGTTGCTTTCGAGAAGCATTTTATGGTTCCTGAAGAAGATCTTATGATCTTGAATTCGGCTGAAGACCCAGTGGATGACCGATTCTTCGATATTCTTGCGCGTGTTAAACAAGTCCATCACGACTGTGAGCATCTACTCGGCGGCGAGAACCAGCGATTGGGTCTGGAGGTGATGGAGCTGAGCACTCGACACCTCAACTCTGCCTACCAGAAGTTATACAAGTGGATTCAGAAAGAGTTCCAATCTTTGAACCTTGAGGATCCTCAGATCAGTGGCTCTATTCGTCGTGCTCTGCGGGTTCTAGCGGAACGACCAAGTCTATTCCACAGCTGCCTCGATTTCTTCGCGGAGGCGCGTGACTATGTTCTCGCCGATGCGTTCCATTACGCTCTGACAGACGCTATGTCTAGTGCCAATGGGCCCAGGATTGGTGACCGCAGTGTCAAACCCATTGAATTTTCAGCTCACGATCCACTCCGGTATATTGGTGATATGCTCGCGTGGGTACATTCAACCACGGTTTCCGAGAGGGAAGCTTTGGAGGCGTTATTCGTTGCAGATGGGGAGGAGCTCGCGAGGGGCATTCAGGCTGGTCTCAATAGTGAGCCTTGGTCTCGTATTGACGAGGACCAGGAAGTTAGCTTTGATGGCCATAAGGCACTCAGCGATCTCGTTAACCGGGATCTCACGGGTGTTTCTCGTTCACTGAGACAAAGAGTTGAGCTTGTGATTCAAGGTCATGATGACCCTGTCACATGCTACAAAGTTGTCAATTTGCTGTCTTTCTACCGAACTACCTTTATCAAGCTAGTTGGCCCCAAATCTCAGCTGGTAGACTTGATGCACAGTCTGGAGAAGTTCACCCTTGGACACTTTGAGAATTTGATGCGAGAGGAAGTTAGCACTGTGTCAAACGATCAATTGGCTCTGGCTGCCCCGCAAGATCTATCGCCACCAGAGTTCTTCTTGGATGCGTTGGAGGGATTGGTTTCGCTCATGAAAACACACGAAGCATCAGTCCGACCTGATGAACCCTCCGGTATACCTCGTGACTCGATCACCGAAAACGAGTTCACTCCTGTTCTTCGAGCGGCGTTCGATCCCTATTTAGTGCTAGCCCGATTGTCGTCTGCGGAGATGGATGATGCTACAGCACAGACAATTTACCGCACCAACATCCTGCTGGCAGCCCGCGCGACTGTTTCTCCATTCAACTTTGCCAGTATCACCCACATAACCGAACTCTCTGCGGCTTTATCCACTCTCCGTACGAACCTACTTGACATTCAGCATCAATTTCTTCTCGACAACTCGGGACTACAAATTCTGCTGGATGCTCTAGAGCCTTTCTCGAAATCGGGCAAAGACTCGGACAGTGAGAATGAAGAGAAGCCGGAGCATAAGCTTCACCTAGCAGACCTGACTACCCTCCCTGCTTTTCAACCTGAAGCCTTGGTTACCTCCAGTCAACAACTCGATGACTTCCTTCCCTCGGCCCTCATGGATGCAGCCGATCATCTCAAGCGTGTGCAAAGCGCCTCTCTCATTCAGAGTATTACTGAGGATGCCGTAGAGGCCTTCTGTCGCGATTTCGAATTTGTCGAAGGCATGATCATCGCCGCCGATGAGGCCAGAGGAATGCCCCAGGTTAGCCTGGGTACGGGTGGTAGTGTGGTTAGTGGCCGCAGCGGGAGATCCACTCGCAAGACCATGGGAGAAGATGATGAGGAAGAGAACGAGGATCAGTGGAGTCTGCGCTCATTATTCCCTCGCACAACTGGGGAGATTCGCGTCTTACTGAGTTGAGCAATCTTGGGATATAGCGAGGTCATTCACCATTGTACATATATTTTATACCACCACCATGTGTTCGCATGCACATGTGTGTGGTCAATTCATGGATTAACTATGATTGTTTATACATCTTCTTGGAGTTGTACTTTTTAGAACTTGGACATTCCAAGTCTAAATGCATGTGAATAAATATCTATCTCAAGTGCTACTTCTCTTACTAGTCACTATGCTACTTGTGGTTCTTTTTAGACCTGCTATAAAATCTCCTTTATAGCTATAATTGAATCCGAGATCAACATCCTCTCATGTGAGTAACAAGCATTGAACGAGAAAATGAGGTGAAATATTTAACATTTGAAAGTAACGAGCTATACATAGAATAGCTGGCACGCGGTTCATTCCGAATCAGGCAAATCATCCTCATCCCGCTCATCATATTGGCTCTGCGACTGCGGCATCGCGTGGCGAGTCCTGTCGCCATTCAAAATGTTGGACCGATCCATTCCAGTATATTCATTGCGAGCTGACATGCCATTCAAGATTAGCATATTGTTCAATGTATTTGTTGACATCATATGTATCATTGAGCAGGCAATATACATACAAAGCCCTGGGTTTTGGCTATCAGATGGATCTTCGTCTTGATCAAGGAACATGTCGTAGGTCTCCTCTGCGTCTTCAACAATGATGGGTTCGGGAACGACCTGCTTTTGGGAAGACATCGTATATGGCCAGGGCTCAATTGAGGTCAAATAAATAGCTTGAAGTGGAATAAAAAGTATAAAATAGGTCTTATGTTCAAGATATCGCACGTTAAAGGACAGATTCATTGCTATTTATCCCCACCGTCTGAGACGGGAATAACATGTTATTGTCGTCATAGTTGCGATTTGGGAGGCGAGGTTTAGGGTAGATTCTAGAAGCATTTGATCCGGATCTAGTTTCTCTGTGGCTCCCTTGATGAATGGATTGGATTCTTAATGGAAGATAGAGTTGGTCTGGCCCTGCACGATTCCCGACTTTGTATTAGACCTTCGGCCCTTCCCGCGTAGGTACCATCCATGCTGGTTGTGAGGTCGCATATATTATGTACAGGGTATCAATCAACAGCACAAGAAAAATCAATTTTTGAGGCCAGGCCAGATATTGTTTTTCGTGGGACAGAATCTCGGGTATAGATAGATATAGAGAGGAAGAAAAAAAAAAGAGGAAGAAAAAAGAAATGGCGCCACCCGGAATCGAACCGGGGCTAAATCAGATTCGAATGTGTTTACCACAATGATTCGTCATACCACTAGACCATGGCACCTTTTTATATGACAGTAGTTCATTTTATGGCTATATAATGTCTACTTCTCAAATCCAAATCTAGTTCCTGGTTTCATCGCATCTTCAAAGCTTATGAGCTTATGAGCTCAATATGAATTCAATATTCAAGACAAATAACAAATATTTCATGTCTCCAGTCTCTCGATAATTCATCTCTATTTCAACCCTTATAAGTAAAACTCAATCACTCTCCAATCGATACTCACTAAAGAAATCAAAAATATACTCCGTCGCATTAAAGACATATTCCCCCCTCTGACACTGCTTCCAAAACACCACATCATCCCCATTGGGCACCGTACTAGGCCAACAATGACCCCAATCCCCCTCCCGATAATGCTGCACAATCCCCTCTTTCCCCCCACAATCCCACCTCGCATGCTTAACATGCGGATCCACATGAACCGTCTCATTACTCTCCCACCGCGCATCCCTCCCACACCCATTCCGCTCCGCCCACCCCTCCAAAACCTCAATGATCGGCAACTTATCATCCCCGCCCCCGCCATCAATCGGTGAAGTCGTATCGTCCGTCCCATGAAACTCCAAAAACGGATACCCCTCTTCGCGTTCCGCGGGCTCGCACGGCCCCACGCCATCTATATCATCCGTATCGTAGAACCCGCCGCTCACGGCCGCGAAAGCCGCCATCTTGGAGCCGACGGTGGCATTGCAGGCCATGACGGTTGCGAAGCCGCCGCCGTTGGATTTGCCCGCGGCGTAGATCCGGCTGGTGTCGATGCAGAGGGTGTTTTCGAGGTGCGTGAGGAGCGTGTACATGAAGTCTAGGTCGTTGGGGCGCGAGGTGTGCGCTTTGGGGTTGGAGAGCCAGTAGCCGTTTTGGCTGTTTGGGTAGACGGCTATGCCGTGGGGGTTGAATTGGGGGTTCGAGAATTGGGATAGCCTTTCTTCTTCGTCCATGTCGCGGTTTGCGCCGTGGAGTGAGATGTATAGGGGTGTTGCGGTGTCTGAGGTGTAGCTTTCTGGGAGGTAGAGGCGGTATTCGCGGTCTGTGTTGGGTAGGTCGAGGGCTTTGCTGTCTCCTCCTGGGCTGGGGAAGTTGGATGGGGTGTCTTTTTTGCATCCTGGGGAGGACTTGCCGAGTATTGTGCTTGCGAAGGCGATGGGTAGGAGGGGTGGAAGATGCATGGTGGGTTATGGGGGTTATTGGGTTTCTGTGGTGATGGTTGGATTTCAATGGTGTAGAATATAGTAGGTTTATCGGGAAATGGCACAGGGTTTGGTAATAAAAAGTAAAGGAAAGGGTCCGGTCTTTATACTTGATTGTTTCTCAAGGTCTTTGCTGCTGTATATCAAGAAATCTAGGAGAAATCTAGGTACACAGCATAGTACCTACCACTTAACGACCAGCTTTTTGGACATGACGAATACCTCTCAATTGAGGAAGCAACCTTAGAATGGTGATGCATGGATCAATGATCTGCAAATCCATGACTTATATTCTATGCAGCTTGTGTTCCTGCAAATCTTCGTGTATCAACCCACGTACCTTTTCAATTGGCCACCCAAGCTGCTAGCCTACAATGAAATCTCCGACTCGTCACAAGGCTGGAGGTTATCTGCACCTAGCTCACATCAATATCCGGTTATAATGCGAAATATAGACTGTAGACGTCATAAATGAACAGCTGGGCCTGACTTGCAGAGTAGATCAGTGGATCCGCCCGACTCGAAACTATGTAAGTCTCAATATTTGGAGTCCAGACTCGAGTTCCACATTTCTGGGGAGTTACATAGAACCCGAACCCGACTCCAACGGCATTTGATAACACTGAAGCGAGAGGTGGCGTGATCAGAAAGAGTACGCGTCTTCTTCTCTTCCATCTTTATCAATCAAAATGAATGCACAACATTTAGATCCTTGGAATGTTCCTAATTTTGAATCTTTCCCATTTGGCCTTGAATCTTTGCTTTATCGAAATTTTTATACTGAATTTGCACAATTGATGCACAATTGATGCTCAGATACCATTATCAAACCTTGAAAAGTCATTTCTTCCAGCTCAGTACGTTGAAGGTGTGGATTACGCCAATGCCATTTATCTCGAAAATGGAGCAGACTGGTGGGGTCACAATGTAGATCCTAGGGGTTAGTCAGCTTTGGTTTCGCAACATCACATTCTACAGATACCGATACAGTAAGTCGCAAGGCAAACACGGAGAATCTCAAGCTTAAAGCAAACTTGGTTTATATTTCGTTGTAGTTGAATACTTACAGATGCCGTGAGAAAGCAGAAGAAAAGATAACACATATGTACCAAGGACAGCATTGATCAGCATCGAACTCCACTCCAGCATCAAGAATTTTCCAAATCCAAAGCAAGCAGAAAAAAAGGCCTCCTGACGAGTACATCCGGCCCCCACATGCACGTCCATGCTCCAACTCCATTCGGGCCAATTCAAAAATGTAAGAATAAAACGCCGTTGTAGCTCCGGTGCCAAACCAAAGCACAAAGCACAAACCACAAACCAAAAAAAGCACAAGATAAGAGCAGAATGAACCCACATGGCCAGTCAAATTCACCGATACGTCTGAGTATCCGATACTCGAACGGGTATGCAGGTTTCGTGGATAATAATCATGATAACTTGATTCCATTTCATATTTCAAACCTAAGACAAAAACTAACCGCCTCTTTCGCCAAACTCCTTGGCCCAATCTTCATATTTGCGGAGTCCGTCTTGAGAGACACTCGGTCGAATGGAGAACAGACTTGATTCAAAATCCTGGAACTTAATTGGCCGGATCTGATCCATGGGTGTGTGGAGGAGAGCTTCGCCGAGGTTACGGAGGGGGCCCATGGCGGCATCTTTAGCCAGGGCTGTTAGATCCGAGCCGGAGAATCCTGCCGAGGTTGTTAGATATACGATGATGACTTGATGGATAAAGAAAAAGGGGGAGTGGAAGTTAGTCCTTACCGTCTGTCACATGCACTAGTACCTCGATATCTGCATCGCTCAGCTCGTGGTGCTGATGGCTGATAAGGGTACGCAACTGCTGCTCACGAACATGATGCTCTGGTAAGGGGATATACTGTCGACGAACAAAACGGCGACGAGCTGCCTCATCAATGTCCCACGGCATATTGGTCGCAGCCAAGACGAGGACACGACTAGCGTCACCCTCTTTCTTATCTCGGGCGGACAATTCGCGACCAGCAGCGGCACGCTGAAGGTCTGACCATTGGATCAAAAATTCGGTCTTAGATCGACGAGACGCTTCGTTCTCAGACCCGGAGGACCGTGCGGACAGTAAGGAGTCAATTTCATCGACAAAAATGATCGATGGGGCGAGAACTTTGGCCAGTCCGAATAAGGCGCGTACGAGTTTCTCGCTCTCTCCATGCCATTTCGAGGTTAGACTGGACGCGGATACAGAAAAGAAAGTTGATTTGGACTCGGTGGCAACTGATCGAGCAAGCATTGTTTTACCAGTACCTGGTGGTCCAAATAGTAACATGCCTCGTGCAGGCTCACGCAAACCCGAGAAAAGATCAGGCCGAAGGAATGGATATACCACTGCTTCCTTGAGCGCCTTTTTCGCTAGATCCAGTCCAGCAATGTCCTCCCAGTGAACTTCATCACCACGAACCACAATTTCATTGAGAATCTGTCGAGCCGATTGTAGATCCACGCCCTTGGGTAGCTTATTCAAAATTTTGACAAGATCATCATTGTCGACTTCATCCTCGTCCTCTGCGTCGTCCTCCGTAGAACGATGTCCCGAAGAATCCTGGTCGCTCGAAGGTGGAGTCTCTCGTCGCGTAATTGGAGGCTGTTTCCGTCGTGTTGCACCACCACCATTCGCTGAACTGGACATAGAATTGGACTCGCGCTGAACATTCTCACTGCTTGATGAGGGTGGTATATAAGCAGGTTGTTCGGATTTAGCGACCCGTGGCGCAGATTTCGTCCGCGGTGTGTTTCTCGACACATTTATATCTCGATCTTGACGGGGTGTTGTCGGCCGAGAACTGCCCTCCGATCTGGAAGCAGAGGGGGTAGCGCGAGGTGGCGGCTGAAGTGAAGATCTGAGACCCGCTGGTTTAGGTTTGATAGAGGGTTTGGGCCCGGGAGACGGCGGAGATGTAAAGTCTCTGGGTTCTGGCATAGCCACTGATACCGACGGAAGCGGTCTACGACCATCCGGAGCCATAGGCTGTCGTACAGGCAGGTGTGCTGTAGGCCTCGGGGATGACCGGCTTGGTGACGGCTGCTGAGGCTCCCGCCAGTGTGCAGCGGGGATTCTATCTGTAGCCGAATCTCTCCTCGAGATCTGATGCCTAGTCACCAATGGATCATCCCCAGAACTAGTCCTTGGCTCCGCATGAGCGGCGCTCCGTGACGACGCTATAGCGGCCGCATCGCTGACACTCTTCTCACCCGACCCGGATCGGAAAGTGCTACCCCAAGCCAGGCCCGCCGCTGTGGAAGCAACCGGCCGCGAATCTTTCTTTTTAGTGCTCGCTTTGGCTTTCTTGCCGGATTTCTTCCCGTCAGTGTTGCGCAGAGTCGTAAGCATCGGTTTCCGTCGCTCCGGACTAGAGGCACGCGACTTCTCCTTCTCCGACACATTCGAGTTAATTCGCATGGCAGGCGAGCTGACTGGTGATGAGCCCGTTGGCGCGTGGTCATCAAAGTAGGAAACCGACTCGAAGTAATGCTTCGGCGGTGGTGGAGGTCGGCCAGGTATGGCGGCCGGTTTGGAGAGATCGGTGTAGCCTACAGCTGGAATCGTGCCACCTCCGATGTAGCCCGGGGTGCTGTTGACGGGGGATGGTTGGGGGAAAATAGGGGCGTGCTTGCCCTTGGTCAAAGTCGCAGCCTTGTTGTCACCGCCGTTTGCCTCAGACGACTCTTTCCGGCTTTCGCGCAGTGCGGACAGTAGGTCGACTCGCTCGCGGCATTGAGTCTCCAAGGCTCGGATGGAATCTTGCAATGCCTTTTCGGTTTCGGATTTAGGAGTGTAGGTTGATGATACCCGGCGGGCATTGTGATGGTAGATGGTCTCGAGGGCGGATCTCCAGGATCTCAATGCTTCCTCTTCGTTGTTCTGATGTCATGAGCAATAGGATCCCGACCGGGTCTAAGAAAGCTTACCTGGCCCTCAAAGTAGACGGCAGTCGAGCATAGAAGATAGCACTCATCGTATGTCTTCTGCATGGAAGACGCGGGCCGTGGGCGCATCATTGGGAAAACACAGGCCCGCACCCATTTCACGTTGGTTGTGTGTGGGGAGAAGTGGTAACGATGATCTCCCGTATGTGAGGGGAGGATTTTTCGCGTGACGTCGTCCGTTCGGCAATTACTGCATGCGGACCCTTCTTACTCTATTCTACAGTCTACAACTTCAAATATTTATGGGATTTCTTTTGTTGATTTGCCTGAGAATTTTGCAATATGTTTAATTATCTCTCCGAAGAAACAAGAATTTAAAATCTGCAAGGTACAGTAGAAATGGTACGTTTAAATCAGATGTCATATCTAGATTCCTGGTGGCACGTTCTATCGGTACATGCAAAATAAGATAAAATAAAACAGATATAGATGCAAGAGATCCCCAAATCGAAAATCACCAACGCCAGATTTGAGGCCAAGAAGAGAAAAAGATCCAATCTTCAGACCGGATTGCCGAGTACTTCAAAAAAAAGCCCCCCCCCTCCTCCCACCTTATCTGTACATTGCCTTCGCTTTTGGTATGTGAATGGAAGCTTGCACGCCCCGGGTTCTTTTTAGTTTTTTTTTTGTGTACCTAAGATACACCATTATAAGGTTGGGCTCTGCCCGTAACCTCCAAAGACCCAGATCAGAGAAAGAGAAATCGTAGAAGCATTGTGTCGGGGTCACACAATTAAGATATGGAACAAAGGGGAGGAGGATTATGGAATCGTTCGAGTTCAGTCAGGAGGAGGTCGCTTGTTTACTCGAGATTCTTGAAGTAGGCCTTGGCCATCTCATAGGAAGTCCAGCAAATCGCTGTGCTGGGCATAGTTGAAATGATCCGGGGTCGCATGCCACGCAAGAATCCAGCCCAGCCGAACTGGCGCTTGATGATGGAGGCGGCATTGAACAGACCCTTTGCGGAACGGATCTCCTCATTCTCGGCAAGACCACGGGTCTGGAGAAGTGTCTTCACAACATCGAGAGGAGTGGTGATACCCGCAGCAAAGGCACCAGCAAGACCACCGGCCATGCAGTGGGTGAGTGGGTCATATTCCTGCTTGGGGTTCATGAACTTGGAGAGGGACTCGTAGGCGACGAATTGAGTGGCAGTGAAGGGAACGGTCATGCAGAGGGTTGTAGGGTATGAGACGTAGAAAGCCTGGAGGCCCTCAGTGCGGTAAAGAGTTTTCGCGCATTGCATCAGACTCTTGTGAACGGATCCGTGGACTTGCATTCGTTGCTTGATAACTGCTTTGGGTCTTAGTGCTTATTCCCAAAGTAAAAAAGAACGTGTTTTGTTTCCAAAACTTACCATCAAATGGGTTCATCAGCGCATCACTAGCGATAGTAGCGCACGCACCGCTCAGAGCTATAACAAAGCCGGTCAGTCATGCCGCCCAACTGACTCCAAAAAGGAACCCCAAAAAGACAACAACATACCAGCGGCGAGAGGATGGTGTCCATCGTCCACATTACCACCAGCCATCTCCTTTACAATCTCATATGTTCCAAAGTATACCGCGTGTGCCGGACCTGAAGATCTCGAAATCAGCCAACCATTTCCCATTTCACATCTGGTGAATTTTCAACCTACCCGCGCCCACAATCACACTGGAAACACCCTTCCATAGTGTTCGCCAGCCCTCAATCCGGTAGATGGTTGAAACCGCGTTGGTCAATCCAGTGTAAAGACCACCGGTCGAAGGATGCAGGACTTGCATGCGGGTCTAAGCAATGGATAACCGTCAGCAACCCCCAACACCAAAACATTCAAAATCATCATTTTGAATTGCACATACCTTGAGCAAGTCTACCGGATACATCACAGAGTGTTCCTGAGTAATCCGATCAGCCGAGATTCTCTTTTGGCCTAGTATGACGGTCCGCGTGCATCCCGCGTGTTAAGAACCTACCGCAATTCCTGCAAAAGCACCCGCGAGCATGTTATGGCCGAGGCCATAGTTCGAAGGGAGCGCTTCATAACTATAAAAAAAAGGCAAATCCAGTCAGTTTGAAAACGTCCTTGATCTGGTATGGGGTTGGGCTTTGGGTCGTTCTGATTTTCAGTCGCCGGGACATAAAAATATCACCAGCCCTCGGCCGGGCGGAGAGCGGCAGGAAATGACACGCAAAGCAACAAAAACCAGACTCGCTGATGGATCAATGGCCTCCGTACAGGAATTCCAATGTAATCTCTGTGCCGTATGTGCCATTCCATACCAGCGCGTGCCCGGTTGAAGAATCAAATCCGAGCCCCGAGCCCGAGCCCGCGGAGGAAGCACGGAGTTACCTACTCGAATTCCAGCTCCTCAGCCTCTCCGGGATTCGCCATGGAGCTCCGCTAGCCCAAGGCGCAGCCGGCGCAGATGAAAAAAGAGGGGAGAGAGGGAAGACCGGTGGTGGTGGGAGGTGGTTTTGGTGGTGAACAAGTTGTGGCCGAGGTGTTGGAGAAAAAAGGTTGTGAGGATCCAGGTAAAACGGGGTTGGTTCTCCGGGGAGCCAAAACAGGAACCAGGGGGTCGCGCTGTTAAATATTTGTCCCCACGGATTTAAGAGAGAAATCTATGAAATTGCCCGTATGAATATGGGGAAAACTAGATGTAGAGAATAGAAGAAAAGTTTGGGACAAATAATTTCCTTGGACATATGAACGGCGCTAAGGAAATTATTGTAAATGATCCCGACCTTCGCTGGATTCCGCAGATTCCACACCGATCCATTCCTTTGAAGACTATCCCCGTTAAAACACCCTTGGCAAGATTGGTTTTTCTTTCTTTCTCTTGAAATTTCTTATGCTTCATAATACCAATCTCCTAAGCCTCTGAAAAATCTTTTTTTTTTGTGGTTTGTTCTTTGATTAATATGTATTTTCCATAATTTTATGAACGGATTACTCAGAAATCACGCCTGGAACAATCACTGATCCCGATGACGGAGGTTTGCTCAGCAAGTATTGTATGTGATAAACAACAAAATTACAGCGAGGTACTTCTTCGTCGCGCCAAAATCACTAGAGAACTCAGGTACTTCCCTGTCTCATCTTTCGTAATATTTATCAATCTGATAAGCCCTTTCATTAGGTTGCGCCCCTTCGATCGGGAACTAGTGTCTTGGACAAAGAACACAAGCCCAAGTGGACCGGGGAAGACGGGAACCGCTACGGAGCACTCGCTATCAACATTCGAGAAGTTTTTCTATGGGGTATCGATGATCCCCGTTGATCTATCCAGTGGGTTTAAGGAGGTTGGGACAACAGGCTTAATACACGTATCGTACATAGGCTGCAATATCCAACTTTGTACAATTTTAAGGTCTGCAAGTTTTCTGTCAATTCAATCTTGCCACTGAATCTTGATAGGCGTACGGGTACTGTGAAAATTATACTCTGTAAGTCTTCAATTAAGCCCTGGGATGTGGAATACGAAGCTCTATAGGGGGTTGACTGAACCACGCGACTCACCCATCCGTCCTGCCGAGGTCCGAGTGGGCTTTCAGCCGTCCAGACTAAACTGTTCGTGGTTTCGTATCGTACAAAGTGCCAAATATTTTTCGGCGGCTCAGGCCCACCATATCCCCTGCAGCGTGCAGGTTGTTGTTGTTATTGTTTTTCTTAAAAAAAGAAAAGAAGGGAAAAATTGTCGGGCATAGGGTGAACTTACAGTGAGGGATGTTGTAGTTGCAGCCCTGCTACGGAATTTGTACTCAGCCTAATGTCATCCGTGTCGGCTGAGACTACTAAAAGAGGAATCTTGACAGAAGCCAGGACAAGGGAAAAAAATCGGCGTTGTATGTTGCCGACTGTCGGCTATTTCTCTACCAGAGAGGACGTGACTATCGGACTCTAGTGTATTCTCCGTAAAATCCGGACGAAATTTACCAAGGCAAATTCTTGCGGCTTATCCGATGCCTCCGGTTCAGGTTAGCCGTGGATCTTGCTTCTAGTAATGTTAAGCCAGTCCTCCACTCCGGTTCGGCACAGCTTAAATTTCTCAAGTGCTAAGATCTGATAAGCTACTCATAGGGTTTCACTCATGTCCACGTATCTAGAAGTCCGAGTGTTTGAACAATATGCGCTTAAAAATGTATTTTGTCTTTGAACATTGAACAGGTGCTAGTAGTATACCATGCTTCCGGAGGTCCGAAACTGACACATTAAGACATCAATTGACAGATTGAAGCCTTTCACCAACCGGGAAATAATACATCGTATTTTACGGAGAGCTTAGTAAGAATTCATGACTAATAAGCCTCTCTAAAACACGCTAACCTCATATGGCATTTCCCGCCCCGCTGAATCCACCTGCAATATAGACGAAGCTCCACTATTGTCATGTATGAACTACCAACTGTTTGGAGTGAAATGAATATCCTTTCCATGATATGTTAATTATCCTGGAAAGGATCAAAAAAAATTAAGAAAGATACACCGATGGAAGGAGTCGAACCTCTCTTCTGCTAACACCTAAGATATGCAGATAAGAAATATGGGGCTGGTGTTGCAGACGCGCTACCATTGCGCCACATCGGCCAATTTGCAAATTATAGGTGACATCTCCTACATATTCTTCCAAGGCTACCCAAAATGTGCAGCAATTTAATAAGCCACCCCGCCGAATCCACTAACAGACATTATGTATACTATCTTACCGAGATCCACTCTAGCCATATATCAGCCACTTGTGAGTCTTGTTCCAAGGTTTAAGGAAAGAAATCGCAATAGTGGAGGAACTCAGAATAAACATTTGAAGGCAGCACTCTATGAGGCAGATATAAGAGACTGAAAAAAAGACAAAGAGGGACATGGAATGGCAATTATCTAGAGTATAAGCCAGTGATTCTAAGGAGCTCTGCAAGCGGGTAGGGCTCAAACAACTGCAAGCAGTCGAGTTCCCTCTGCTTGCAGGGCCGGCGTTTTATGGATGGTTGAGCCACGGGGGAAAGGAGAATATGCCGAGACTCTTCTGATTTCGCAGGAACACTCCTGTTGTGCATCGCCATGGCAGAAAGCTCTGTGATACCAGTACGAGCCGCGAGGAGGGTGCTAGCATCTTGTGAAGTTCTGGGCGCGTGAGATAACCATCAGACCAGAAATGAGTAGAGGAAAAGAATAACAAGCCCGAAGCATTTATCCACGACCGGATTCATGATACTACCCCATCGCAAGAACTTGCTCAGCCTCCCGGGGCGATCAAAACTCAGTGTGTAATTAACCACGCCCGAACGCAGACAGTTGTAGCAGCATAATTTTGAGGTACACAGCAGATACTGGAAAATTCGTCATTGTGATGGCTGTCGATAGCCCACAGTTCGATGGTTAGAGTCCTTTGTGTCGCAGCTCATCACTCGATCTTGTGTGTTTGTGGTCGTACACGAGAAAAGCAAGTCCAGTCTCTATGACGGAGACTTTCTCAGTAAGAATGACATGTTTCCAAACCTTTGCTCTCGTAGCACTCTTGGCCTTCTAAAGCACAGAATACTGGATCGGATTCAATAGGTTCAGCTGAGTATATATCGCTGGGGGAAAGGGAAGGTAAACCATGGAGAAAGAAAATAGAAGGCTAAGATGAGTAAAATGCAGTGATGGAGGTAGTTTGATGTAGAGGGCAAAAGACAGAGAGTCTGTTCAACCCTGGAACGGCTCAGCAACACCTACTAGTAACATTAAAGAAATGTACTAGGATGAAACTAAGATGTTGGTGCAGTGGACGTATTGTGGGTAAGTACACTAAACCACATACAGTAATAAGAGCCCCGCCGACCTCCAAGCATTGGTACAATTACTTCGTACATACGCATACATTAGTCACGACGTATCAATATCCGCGTATGGAGTAACTAGCTCACCATCTACACTTGCGATTCTCGATGTATGAAGTCTTTTCTGGGGCTTGGTTTTGGGGGAAAATCCAAAAGAAAAAAATCCAAAAAGAAAAAAGAAAAAAAGAAACACCGGTAGAAGGATTCGAACCTCCAATCTTCCACTAGTCCCTAATGTATATTTTCACTGTACATAAGAATAGCGGCAGTCCATGGGACTGTGGATGCGTAGCCAATTACGCCATACCGGCTGATATGGTATTTTATTAAAAAATTCCGTTTTACGGTATTGGCTTACCCACTTTGGAAAATTTCCGCGCGTTGTCCAATCCAACACCATGAACCCGTTCCCACGACCCACTTTACATGTAATATACTGTAAGTGTACTATGAGGTACACGATTTTCGAAATACCTTGTAATTAATGGCGTACTAGAAAAATTGTAAGTACTATGTATGTGCAGCTGTCAAAGGCAGAGTAGTAGGTGCACAATGCATGAATACTTAAGAGTGCTTACTACCTTCACTTGAGTTGGACGATGATTTGCACTCAACCTTCCAAAGTTACAAGTTCCGAAAGACTGAATGAGAAAAATGAATAGATTCGCTATCTGGCTATGAAAGAAAAGACAGCATTTGGCCATTGTAATACTACTAAGTAATAAGATCTCAACAACCCCGCATACGCCGCAGCCTTGTAAAAGAAATGATGTAGATAATTGGAAGAGTAGGGTGATCTGGTCGACCGGCATGTGTGATAGGTCAAAAAACCCAACGTCAATGCCTGATAGAATGAAAGAGGCGGAAGTTCATGCACGTCGTGAAATCTTGTCGGAGGTTGACTGGAGTAGGTTACCATTCAAGGTTGAATGACCATACGCCTTTAGTGAAATGTTAGCATATAAGACTCCGATATCAAGGGAAGAGGAATTTTGAGTAGAACTCACCATTCTTCAAATTTTCAGCAGTGTCACTTAATAGAATTACCCGACGCTTGTTGCAGTAGGCCGTTTTGTCCAGAATGTCAACCTTCAATCCACTTAGCTCAGAAACAGGCTTCTCGAACATTTCGCTGAGGCTCTCAACCGCCATTTCCAAGTCCTTTTGGTTGTCCTCGAAGATCTCGGAGAGGTTGTTCTTGGCAAGGTAAAAGGCAAATGCATACGTCCACTTCAAGGTTTGACGGCACTGTTGTAGTGCCTGAGAGGCTGTGTCGAGGAACTGGACTTCGATCCAAGATAGACCGGACTGTGACTGCAAGCTGGTCATCTTCTTCTCGGTCTTAAGATATAAATCCTTGTCCAATTTGGCGGACTGCTCGTGGTTCGCGTATCGGTTGTAATAGTGCAGGTACCGCTCTAAGGATTGCCGTGATTTGGCTTGAGCACCCCGGGCTTCTGAACCGGACTTCTCCTCGTAGCGACTGCAGTTGTACCAGCTGGTGCCATGTTCGGACCAGAGTCCCATACACATCCAGCAGAACTCATGCTTGCATTTACGGCAGGTCATGTGGTTGCAGCCGCCGTTCTTCTCAATTGTTGACCCACACTTGGGGCACTCCTTGGTGTTGGCAGAAATCCAGTTGGCCGTTTCCGAGTCGTCCTCACACTTCTGTAACCACATCTTGACTAGCGCACAGGGAGTAGGTTGATGGTCGGTGACAGAGCAACCAAAACAGAACTCATGTTTGCAGGCACATCGCACCGTCGGCACGATACGGCGGAGATCTCGAGCTTTGACGGGGCAGTCAACCGCATATTCACAGTTGGGAGCAGGACACCATCGTAAGTTTTCCTTATTATCCACGTAAGTTCGTGTTAAAAGTGTTCGGTAGCTAGCAAAGAAAGTAAATGAGTCAGTGGGCCTGGTATCCGGCAAAATATGAATGAATCATGACTTACCGGCCCTTAAGATCGTCCGTCACGAGCAGGTTGAGTGACTTCGAGTCCACGATTCGGTGACAGGTTTCCCCAGGACATTCGATCCGAGCCGCCTCGCCCTCCTCCTTAATCTTACCACCCAAGTAGTGTCTGTAGCAGTCGACGCAATACCTGTGTCCGCATCGCATCGCGTATGTCTCAAGGTCCGGCCCATCCTCGCAACAAATATCGCACATGAAGTCGGGCACAACCTCCGTCTTCGCAGTGCCCTCAAAGTTCGTCCCCAGTCCAGCTTCCTCTAATGTCTCCTCCGGGTGCTCCATGTACCCTTCGATTAATTTCTCTTGCTTCCATCGTCCAAATCGCAAAAGGATAGCGGCCGACTCCGGTGGCAAGCCGAGAATAGCGGAAACCTCCTTAATCTGCACCAGTTGTTCGCGTTCGATGTCGGAGGTATCTAAAACTTGATACTCAACTTCATATGGTTTTCGTTTCTGCTTGATGAGATCTTTGTCGTCTGAGAATCCGGTGTCAAGATCGCCGAAGTCGACTAAATCCATCGCGAGAACAAAGGTCAGTCCCGAAACAAGGGAGAACAGGGAAGTAGAGCAGGGCAGGAATCATCATGACTTTACCTTCACCCAAACTTTCATCATCGCTGCCTTGTGTATCAAGAAAATCACCTCCGGAGGAGACGTCGCTCATAAAATCATCGTCGGAATCCATGCTGCCCGTAGTTGTCGCGGGGGTCGCGATCTCCCTTTTCTTCTGACAAACCGGGCCTGTCCCCGACTTGTCAGGCTCAGGGGACTCTGAGGTGATAGGGATGAGGGAGTGGTTCTTGTCGGTGTTGGAAGTTCCGGTGCCAGGCCGATCGGAAGCAGTGGCGTCCCGGTTGTTGGCAGCCTTGGTGGCGGATTTGGGGAGAGGTTGGTTGTCGTCCGCAATCGCCGCCTCAGCCGCCTTTCTCTTTCGTGTTGAGGGAGGCGTGATGAAAAAGGGGGCGGCAGATTGCCGGCGGGGTTTAGAGGGGGAATGGCGGGCTTTAATAGAGACTCTTCTGGTTGGAGCCACAACGTCACTTGGAAAAATCACTCGATTGTGTTCGGAGGGGGACGGAGTGGGGAAAGGGTGCGATCGAGCGGAACCGTCGATTACGAGATTACATGTTTAATGTTTACTGCATCGAGTTCTAGCGTTTCGTCCCATCTGGTTTCCGCGGTTTCAAAACGTTTTGTTTTTTTTTGTTATGTTTGTCTCTTGAGGGATTATTCATCTTAACAAAGACAGGTCACTAGTTATAGTGATTTACAACTCATCATAAACAGCCCTGGCAAATATCATCTTGGGCTGGAATCATTGCCTGAGGGACCCGCCTGACTCATGATAAATCACCAAATGACATGCAGATCGTACGTAAAGTATGTATGATTGGTCCAATAAACCACTATTGCTTACTAGGGTTACGGAACTAAACGATAGACTGTTTCAAAAGAAAAAAAAAACCAATACCATATAATAAATACTTAATATAATCTCAATCTTGGCCTAAAGTAAGTTCTAGTTAACTATACTACCTACTACTTGCGTATGCAGAAAAAAATTAATTACGTGATTACAAGGGTTTTAAATTAAACTCCTAAAATTATCCTAAAATTATCCAAGGATAAATCATATCCCCAGTTGGCATTGGTAGTTGCAACTTGCAAGTTTAGGGCGCCGCGTGACTCAAAATTGATTTGCGTGCATTTGCGAAATATGCGCAAATTTTGATCGCTCACTTAATTCATGAATTTCCTATGCTTACTAGCTATGGGTGAACATAGGTACCTGTGATTTTTTCCGTCACTTTTCCCAGTTGGAACTTGGTAGTTGGAAAGTAGGAGATGAAAGTAGGAGATGAAAGTAGGCACTAAGTAGTAGTGAGTACAATACTTACCTCAGGTACTGAGCAGGTACACATCTCAAGTACTGAGTCTATGCCTATTCCAAGTATTAAGCACGTAGTAAACTATGAACTGTGCACCACGCGTATGCGTCGTGCTCTTTACTTGTATACTATAACCTTATTTGGCTCATCGTGGTAAAATACTACGAATCCTAGATTTATGTACTATCTAGTATATCTACTACCTATCCTGGTAGAAACAGTGGAAAGCGTTTCAGGTTTTTTTTTTTTGGATCTGGCTAACAAATAGGTATAAAATAGTTACATGTAGCAGCAACCTGAAGAACTTGGAAGTTCTCATAAATCCATACATAAATTCCGTCATGGCATAAGAGATGTGGTATAAGAGATGTGGTATCCTTTACTCGTCATCACTCTCCTCCTCCGAGTCCTCCTCCTCCGAGTCCTCTTCCTCGCTGCTTTCCTCCTCGGCTTCGGCCAGCCAGTTCACAAACTGCTGTGCCTGGCTGCGGACATTCCGCATTTCCTCGGTCTCGCTAGATCGCTCATCACTCCACCACTGGGAATAAGCTTCCTCGTCCACAAGTTCAAGATCGTAGAGCACCTTAGCGCAGAAAAGAAGGATATTCGCACCCTTGTTTCGGTGCACCAGATCCTGTTGTAACTGAAGCAGCATATCAACTTGATCCTTCTTCTCGTTCTTGTTCCGATCAAACAGTGTTCGTTCCACAACTTCACGGTAAGTGGTGAAAAGCTCGTTGACAACCTCACTGGCATTTTTCCCGTTATCCATGACTTGCTGGACGTGCTTCATGAATGAGGAGACGATGGCACGTCGGACTTGGTTGTCTGAGGCGTTAGCTGTCATGCGGAGACTGACAAGTTCAAGTTGCACGACATCGGCAGTGACGCCTTCGCGGATACTCTCGAAGATGCTGGCGGAGGCGTCATGGTGGAAGTTGTCCTGTTCTTCGCCATCGGAGAAACTGCTTCGTCGGGAGCCGGGCCATTCGCCCTCGGAGATCTTAGATGAAAGGGTGGAGATAGATGCGGTGGAGATGGAGAGGCCTGGCATGCGGTATACGAGTCCAGAGGAGGCGACGCTGACGGCATCTTCGTCTTCGTCTTCATCATCGTCTTCGCCTTGGATGAACTCACGACCTTCGCCGTCGGCTCCAACGACGATGGCGTCCGTGATCGCTTTGCTGCCGTTGCGTCGGGATGTGGTAATACGCTTTCCGCTCTCAACCTTGACACCATCGGCAATCTTGACGCCGAATGACAACAGGGCACCTGCTTCGATAACGCAGTTTTTACCAATGACGACGTTATCGGCGATGATACTAGCTCCCTGGATGTTCGTGTTGTCGCCAATCGTAACGTTATCCCAGATGTACGCGCCTTCGAGTTTGACGTTGCGGCCAATCTTGCAGTTCCGTCCGAGCACAGTGTTGGAAACTGTTGTCTTGTCGCCGATACTAGTGCCCTTGCCGATGACTGTGCGGCGACCGATCACGCAAGACCGTGCCAATGTGACACCCTTCTCTTGGTACTGGCTGCCCTTGCGAAGATCGTAGTTGTGACCCGGCAGCAGGTTGGTGTCGGGACACAGCGGGTATGTCCAACGAGAAATGATATCCTTGCTGACAGCATCGTACGCCTTCAAGTTCCGTACCCGCGCGGCATAGTGGTCGTTGATAATGTGGGTGTGGATTGTCTTTCCGTTCAACTCGTAGTCCTTGAGAACACCGAACAGATAGTGCTTGCGAGGAGACTGGTAATCGAAACTGTCAGACCACAAGCTCAGCACATCGGGGGTGCAAATATCGATGCTGCAGTCGATCAGATCAGCACGGAGATCAAGCTCTTCGTGGCCCAGAATGATCTCGGCGTCAATATGGAGACGAGCAGGGTGTTGATGCGCTTTATGGTCAATCTCCTCGTAGTGGACACAGCGGTCCTTGGTGGGATCGATAACGAAGACCGGGGTCACGTCGGATGCCTTAGTGCGGTGGTTGCGACCAGCTTCCCGTAGAACCATGGTCATGATGGCGTTCTTGTCTTTGGCACGGCGAGCTCGGTGCTTGTTCAATGCGCCCTCAATGGGCATGTTACTGATCACATCACCGCTGACGACAATGAAGTCACCGGTGATAAGATGCTTTCCATCCAGATCACGCATGACATCACCAACGGAGGCAGAAGTTGACTTGAGGAATGTGAATTGTTTGAAGGGAGAGGTTGGCGCTCTCCATTTCGAGGCACTAATCGGAGCTCTGTTAGCCATCTGGATAAGAGGTCATGCTTGCGAACCTGTGCGTACTTGATGTATTTCTCAAGAATATCCGAGTGCGCGCCTCCGTAGAGGAAGACCTCTTCCACACCGGCATTGGCTAGGAATTCGAGGGTGTATTCAATAATGGGGGTGTTGGCCAGCGGTAGAAGGCACTGTGTGATCTGGTCAGCTCTGGGATCCTGACCGATTTCTTCCCCATGACAGTATTCTTGGTCAATTGGCCAGAGGTAAACGTACGCGAGGCTTCTCAAGGGTGAACGGCTCAAATCGTGGTTCAAAGGTATCGGCAAGGACCTAGCCGTAAATAAAAACGTCAGCCACAGAAATAATCACTAAGCGGGAACATGCAATATGTCTTGGGGTTCACGATTCACGTACCACAGCCTGCAGAGTCTCCTCTACCTCATCAGCGGTATTTCCCTTGGGCTTTGCGCCTCCGCCCTTTTGCTTAGCACCCATTGCGGGCGAATCCTCCTGAGAGGTGTCAGTTGGTTCTTTCATATCGGTCAAATCCATGTTGCGCGAAGCTCATGTGTGGGGGATCGGGAAGGGTAGAGGATGATTGTACCTGGAGGGGGAGAATAGAAGATAATCAAGGGTGGTTTATGGGGGGAAGGGCGGTGTTGAGGAAGGATCGATTAGTCGTCGATTAGTCGTCGTCGAAAATGCTTGTCGTACTGATGCGTTCTTCAAAGGCAACAAAAAACCCCGCCAAGCCTCGGTGACTCTACAATTATGTTTGTAGTGTTTGCACCTGTTGGTGGGATAGATAACGTGACCATCTGTGGCGTAATCGGGATCTCACTAGCCACCGATGGGTTTCAGCCACGAACATCCACTTTTTTTTCGTCCAAGAGAGGTTTCTTGGGAAATACTAGTACATACAGAGTAGCATATCTACAAGCCTTGAGCACGTCACAGGCTTTGGATGGATCTATTGCTTCTAATCCATTGAGGAACTCATAGCTACCTGGGCAGGATCCAGAGAGTTTGGGCTTCATACTTGGCATTGGTAAATGCATACTCAGTATTTACTATTTAGGAAGAGCATACCATGAGCGCAGCATTTCAGAAGGGTGCTTGTTCAGTTTTGCTTGAGAAGAGTACATACTCGACACTTGAGTACATAATCTTTACCCAGGGAGATTATAAACGCAGGCCTACTTGGCCTAGGTATACCCACTACTACTTGCATATCGCGTGGTGTCGTAATTGTTCAACTCGGGGATGATCATGTGATGGGTTCTTGCACAAGTACGGAGTACCCGAGTAGTGAAGGGGGGTCATTCCAATAGCTGATACTTACTAGTTACAGTATGTAGTACTACTTGCCCTGTCGGACCCACTTGCAACGGCAAGGCCAAATCCCTGGAAAACCCCCGCGGGCCCAGGCCCTCTCAGACCTGTAATAAACGTCGACTATTAAAGATGCTCGGTCTAGACTCTCAGCCCTTACGATCGCGGGTTCGTCCAGCGGGAGGCGCGTTTGTGGGTACCTTATCCTGTTTTTCGAGATTATTGTTTCATGGATTGCATCCGTTGGGGATGCTTTCAATTTGCGACCTCCCTAATGGGGTAATCAGAGCTTAAAGAGCCATGGATCAACTGTTGAACTTGAGATAATTGATGATGTGTACACACACGACACCTTCCCCCTACATGCTCATTCTATCCAGGGAACAATGAAAGAATCCCTCCATTCTCTTGCCCCCCCCCCCCTAAACCTACTAGTACCCAAAAGGAAAAGTCCGTAATGAGAGGTAATTTTGAAGCAAAATGAAGAAAAGAAAATGTGACCGTGAAAGATAGTAGGATATGTCATGTAAATATGTACCTGTCGAAACAAGGGTGGGTAAAGAAAACCTTGTCATCTCTTTTCCCAATAGCAGTCACCGCATTGGTAACTTATATCAATAACAAAAGCACACGGGGATCCCAAAGTGGAAAGCACACAAAAAAAAGTAGATTCGCCTCCCAGAAAACTTGAGCCTGCAAAGAAAACGCCATGACCTGTAGAAAAAGGCAGAAGACCGCGATCGACGCATACCTCCAGGGATGCGCAAGCAATGTACGATTTGAAGACCTCATTATAAACAGTGGGAATCGTAAAAGTGAATAGACAGGCGGAAAGGATGTTGAGGAGATGGATAGAGCGAAAAGTGGAGAGAAGAGGATATAGGGTTGTTTTAGACAGGCCGTCCGGCTTGGACTGCCATCATCGGCTGGGGTTGGGCATACATGCGCTGTCGTTTAACCATGTTTTGCTGGTTCTCCGCAGCATTGGACATATCAGACATTTGTCGACGATGCGGCGGGCGAACGGGAGCTCCAGTAGAAGGAACAGCAACCGGCGGAGCAGGAAACTGAACACCATTGGGATCAACGCCATATGCCGCCGGGGGTGCCGTGGGTACGTATTGTCCTTGCATTGCAGGCATGTTTGGTGGGACGGCTTGCATGCCTGGGAATTGGCCAGGTGATTGCCAATTGTTCATGGATCCTGCGGGTGATTGACCTGGGGAGCTATCTTCTTTGATGGACTGTGTAGCTGATGTCTGAGGAGCCATTGTGACCGGGACAGGAGGTGGTGGACCCTCAACGCCTTGGTTGATTGTTTTGAGATGAGTCAAATGAGTCTCCAGCATGTCGAGAAGACTCTTGCGAGTGAAAGGCTTTGGTAAAACATCATTCATTCCTATCGCGCATTAGTGAAGTTTTTCAAAATGAGACAATTCAATCTTATCTCACCATGTTGATAGTATAATTGAATATCATCACTTCGAATATTCGAGGTCATAGCAATGATAGGGGTTTGGTCGAATTGACGGATCAGATGACAAGCCGATACACCATCCAGATTAGGCATTATGATATCCATCAGAATCAAATCGTACTTTGAGCCACCCTGCATTTTATGCACTGCTTCCAAGCCATCAAACTGTGGGGATCTGGATTAGCTGATATGCCTGAGGACCACAACCGGGCAAGATGCAACATACTGCAGTGTCAATCACACAAGAGAAGGAATATAAGAATTTGCCACCAATCTGTCGACAAGTCGCGTCGTCCTCGACCAATAGAATCCGGGGGCTGCGCATCCAGCCGGGGTCCACGTTGGTACTCTTTTTCCGATTATCTGGTTGTCGACGAGCCTCGGCAGTGTCGACTTCAGTCTTGGTGGGCATCGGGTAGGGAACGTTGTTGATATGCTCGCCATACATCGGGTCTATACCGTTCGTCGCCCCGACGGGGTACACCACTTGTTCCAAGTCGTTGCCCATTTTCGGGTAGACCATCGCTGGGTTCGGTGGTACGGTGGTAGCCGGTCGAACCATACCATTTCGGGATGCATCCATTGAAGGTGTGGCGACAGGTGCCGCACCAGCGGCCTTCTGAGGATCGTTTGTCGAATCCATGTTTGGCAGGTTGAATTGAATCTCGGCGTTCATGTCACTCAGAAGCTTCGAGGCGTTTTGTAGTGGTGAAGACGGTTCGTCGTCCACAGCTCCCACCTGACCCATAGGACTCATGGTTGAGCCCTGTCCTTGGAATCCAACAGCTTTACTGTCTCTCCTTTGGCGCGCATCCACGGAAAGCAAGTAGGTCATGACCTGGTGAATGACATTCTCGTGGTTCAAAACAGTCTTTTGCACTCGCATCACTTCCTGCAACATAAGCTGATGGTCCACGGTCAGCTGGGCATAGCGGTCAGAAAGATGCTGAATCTGCTGTTGCTGCGCGAGGATCTGCTGGTTGAGCAGATCGATCTGTTGCGTAGGGGCTGACTCTTCATTGCTCTGAGTCTGCTTGCGGGGGGCGGGGGCTTTCCGGCGAATGTTGTCGAGGGATTCCTTGCTGTTGGCTCGGAACTCGGGATGTTTGAATTCCCAGGCCTGGACGGCACATCAGTTTCGAGGACTTTGGGGGGAAGTTCAACTCCTTGGCGAAGACCTTACATTCTGCCCATATGGTGATTGGCCATTCTCCTCGTTATTCTGTCGGACTTTGTGGAAATCATATTTGTTGAGTTGGCGCACAAAACTGGCAAAATTGCTGTGCTTGAAGTGTTTCGGGAGAATGGTCTTGGTAAACTTCTCGCACTGGAAAGAGGGGGGAGTACCCGGTTAGCTACACGGTGCGACCACAGTACAGCACGGGCGCGTTTACCTCTAGGACCACGAAGCTATCGCCTTCATCACCCCAGCGCACAATGGATGAGTAGGAGGGGTCCTCCAGCATTCTATTTGCATAGTTGGTTAGAGAGGTTCGATCGCGAGATTGTTTCTTTCGTTTTTTTTTTTTGCGTGTCGGGATGAAAGGCGAGGGTGGAAGGGGAATAGAGGGGGTGAGAAATTCCAAAAAGGCAGACTCACTTATACAGCTTGCGCACCTGAGCATTTTAGGATGATTAGCAGTTGAAGCTCTCAAAAGATGACCTGTGTATCGCGAGACTCACAAAATCGCTGGAGTTGCCCGCGGGGGCGGCATTCGAGGTCTGGCCTGGGCCATCCATGGCTAACCGGGTCGCGACCGGTCGAACGAACGGGCTTGACCTAACAGATGGTTTATGACGGATATACTAAGGAAAGATGGTTTCGAGATGGATGTAAATGAAATGCACCCTACTCTGTCGAAGAAAAAGAAAAAGCCACTGAGTCTCGGCCTAACAAGATCAGATGGAAAAAAAAAAAAAAAGAACTGGGGATTTGAAGAACGCAGAATAAGGGTACCGCCCAGTTACCAGGTTTGGCGGTAGAGCCATGTACCAAAGTTACTGCGCAGGTACGGACATGGTACATCACCCGTATTTGATGGTATTTGCGTTATTGCCAGTTCTCTATAGACTTATTCAAGGCTCTCTATAGCTCTAGGGCTTAATTTGATCTCAAAAATGATGCATGTAAGGAGTTCTATGCTCTCAACCACCCTCATCCAGGGCAGAACGAAGGGGAGGAAAGAGAGAAACATTCCAACGTCTTAGCCTCCTTTTCCCTACTTCTTCAAGGCCTCTCCAATGGAAAAACCCTAACATCCACGGCATACTATAAAATACCATACCTTCTGGGGCATGACTGATGTCAGTGCGCACGAGATGGAGGGGCGGGCATGCATCAACCGGGGTATAATCGTCCTAGCTACGAAAGTACCACATTGTTTCCAAGCATCGAGACCCAGGAAAGAACAGTAATCAACACGAAAGAGGCAAAGGTAACGAAAAAAAAAAGAAACAGAAAAAAAAAGAAAAGGAGAAAAAAAAAGCATGAGAAATAAAAACGTTGCCAAGGAAAGTGCCCGTTGAGACAAGTTGGAGAGGGGAAAGAAGAACTTTACTCCACCAAGTCTTTCTCTGGGACCCTACAAAGCTGGTCCACTTGTCCATCATGGTTCCCACACGCGTACAACACACCATTGTTCTGCGTTGGCTTTCAAACCATAATTCAAAACAAAAGGAACAGATGAAAAAGACGGGAAAAAAGGTTGAAAATGATGAAAAGGAGGCAAATGAATCAAAAGAACAAAGAAATCCAGAAATCCAATAAAAGGTAGAAAGTTGACTTGTAACAAGTTTCTTACACTGAACTTTCAATGAACTCGCGGTGTGGCCGAACCGGTTCGTTCCTAGTCTCGGGAGGGATTCGGAGTTACTAATGCCATTTTATACTTGGAAATTAAACTGTTCTGAATACTAGTACATTTGCACAATTTAGTAAATCCATCAGTTTCGATTTAATTAATTAGAGTTATTTTGATACGATGCACATTCCCATGCGAAATAGTGGAAATAGTGGAAATAGTGGAAATAGTGGACTGGAGCTCCAACGCTCATGCAGCTCGGCGCCGACGCCGTAGACGCAGCTTCGTAATCTCACTGCAGTCCCACGCGTGCGAGGATTGGTCCCCCATCCTCTCACCACTCTCAGTCCAGATCGGGTTAATCTTTGCCGTTTTTTTCTTTCTTTTTTTTCTATATTTTTTCTTTTTCTTTTTTTGCTTTTCTCATTTCTCACCCCGCTAGACCTATCAAGTTGTGCAAATGTCGGAGGTTACTGGTCCGAATAACTATCCCGGGGTATATACAAAGTACCAAACCCCGGATTGAGTCGACGTGTACCTGCGCATTCCCCGGACCACAACATTGTTCTCATGTATCTCCCTTTCTTCAGATGTTACCTGCGCGCAAGCTTTTTCGACATCTTCCAAGCTAAGAGGTACTCAATTCAAATTGTATCCATCTACGGAGTACATATATCCCGTGGTAGCATTCGCACCTTCGATATACATCAGAGAAATAAAAATGTCATCCAATAAAGTTGGGGTGTACAGCCCCTTCTAAGATCCCGCTAGATTATCTATCGAAGACCCATCGACCCGTGTGGCATGGGGTGGCTTGAATCTGGCCCAAGTCAGGGCTCCATAAGCGAGTCTACTATGCAGTAGGTCACAGGGATATTGACCTCGCCGTCCAAAAAAGCTTTTCTTAACGGGTTTATTAACGACCCATGACCATGGAACACGACCCCATTATTTTTTGGAAATCTAACAGTAGCATTATTCCGAGAAGTTTAATATAGCGGTGTTAATACTATGCATATAACCCTCCAAGCTCTCGCACACTTAGTAGTAGCTGGCTTATGTCTAAGCTGGGGCCCTAGCTGCACATGTGATACGATCAATTGGTATTGGTCCCAGAATACAAGCCAAACACTAATTTGGCTTGATTTTTTGATTATGAGATCAAAGTAGAACCCTGGAAATCTTTTCCAATCTTGGAATATTATACCAGGGTAGCAGATTTGTGAGCTGGTGAACGTCAAGGTATGAAAATGACCATACATTGACCACTTGGACGCATGCAGAGTTTAGAGCTTTCCAAGGTTGTGGCCAAAAAAAACACGAACCAACAAACCAAGGGAATAGAGGGGCTTAATATAGAAACAATCAACAAAGCTAATAGATTGAAGAGCCTCAATTTCTTAATTTTTTTTGGGGTGTTTTCGCTCCATACATTGACGCCGATTCTAATGTGTCATTAGCGCCAATGAAGATCGGCGCAGCGGTTACCGTACCCGGGCATGACGAAATCAATCACAAATCCTCGAAGCTCCCATAGCAGCATCCTCCCCCCACTCCACGAACCTCACAACTACACCTTCTGTCCCTACCAGATCCTCAATTCCACCCACAATGTTTGCCGCTCGCCGCATCGCCACCAACGTCCCCCGCGTCCGGACTCAGGTCGCCGCCTTCCACAAGACCGCGCCCGCCTTCGTCCAGAAGGGTGATGCCATCCCCGACCTGAACGTCCTGGTTGAGAACTCCCCCGGAAACCAGGTCAACCTCGCCAAGGAGCTCAAGGGCAAGGGTGTCATTGTCGGTGTCCCGGCTGCTTTCAGTATGTGGAATGGGAACAATGGGGAAAAATAGACCAAAGGGAGCTTGGACATTAACTCTTTCTAGGCCCCGCTTGCTCCAGCACCCACGTCCCGGGCTTCATCAACCACCCCAAGCTCAAGGAAGCTGGCCAGGTTTTTGTTGTCGCCGTCAACGACCCCTTCGTGTAAGCTGCATAAACAAAAATTGCCTCATTGCATTCGCAGAGTACGCTAACGTGCCAAATACTACAGGACCAAGGCTTGGGCCGAGTCCCTTGACCCCAGCGGCAAGAGCGGCGTACGTGATAATTGTGAACTACGCGATGGAACGTGTGTACTGACATGCGCTTTAGATCCGCTTCCTGGGTGACCCGACCGCCAAGTTCAACGAGGCTCTTGACCTGACCTTTGACAGCACCTCCATCTTTGGCAACATCCGCAGCAAGCGCTATGCCTTGCTGGTGGAGGACGGTAAGGTGAAGGAGGCCTTTGTGGAGCCCGACAACGCTGGTCTCAATGGTACGTTGATACTTTTTGAAAACCCCCTTCAAATGTTGCCAATGTTCATTACTAATATGAATATGATCAATTAGTTTCCGCCGCCGAGAAGGTCCTCGCCTAGAGGATTCGTTCTTTATTACATATGTTTCTCGTTTCCCTTGCGTACTATAATATAGCAGGATACCAACGAACTTCAAATTACATGCGAGTAAAACCATCAACGCTAGCTCCAATGACCAGTGGCAATAGAATAAAAGTCTAGGCTCACCATTTCAATGGGACTATCGCTTAATTTTTCGTCTTGGATGGTATGTCTCATGTGATTTGGACCATTCCCATTTCGAAAAGGACCCATAAGGGCCATCATTCCTCTTCCGTGATAGCGTACCAGTCGTATAATCACTTCAATTCCATACAAGCCCGCATGTCAAAATTGACAATTCTTTTTTTCTTTGAAAAAAAAAAGGCAAAAAAAGAAGCTGGGGGAAGATAGAATATCAATAGCCTAATAGAGTCTATGCTTTTAATAAGTCCCACGTGAAATGATATGCGGCTGCCTAAGTCGGACATTAAAAGTCACTGACGCGGCCCCTCGCCACAGGTGTGGCGGTGATCTATACAGCAATGAATCGAGAAGATGAAACGGGTGTAAGAAAGCGAACCCTGCAGATCGGGGATTGGATCAATGTACCGGTGAGAGTGGACTGGTTGGTTTTTTCTTTTTCTAATGGTGGTTTTGGTGGCTGTGAGTGGATCAAGTGGTATTTTGGCTGGAAAGTTAACTGTATTTTGTCGACAGGGTTGATCTCACCAGAAAGACGTGAAAATTTCCAATATAGAATTGAAAGAACTTTGGTAGGAACAATAAACAGAATTGAGATTGATATGCAAGTCAGTATGTTAAGAGGGTCCAGGTTGATCCACCAGTACTAACAATAACTACGCTTCGTCATTGCCAAGAACTGTCTCTTCCACCCCCCCCAATCCAGCCACGGTCCCCTCTCCCGCAAGCATCTCTCCTTCTCCGTTATCTGCCCAAAACTCTCCTTTCCTTCAATTCTTTATACTATCCCCTGTGGCTGGTCCGCTCCCGCCACCCTTGAAAAGCGCCCAGCAGACCCTCGACCCCTTGAACATCGCCTAACTGCCGCCTTGGGCCGCTATCCCGAAACCCTGACACCGAGTGGGTTGTGAGAGCTTGGCAAGACACTTCACTCCAGAATCCCACCCCATCTGATCGGGTTTCGTACCGCGACTTCCTTCCCCCCTACATCTCGCTTATCTGCGACCCTCGCGCTTATACCGGCACCATGTCCAAGGTCGTGCGCAGTGTCAAGAACGTCACTAAGGGATACTCCTCTGTGCAGGTCAAGGTCCGAAATGGTACGTCTGGCTTCTTCTGGACCGTTTGGTCATCTCGGAGCTCTCAGAAAAGAATCGCGATCAGAGGACAAACAGGCTGCATTGGTTTGCCACTTGTCCCCTTTTCTTCACATCTGCGCCGATGGACTAGACGGGCACGGTTATCGCGTGCTCTCAACTTGATCAACAGTGTGCTAATCGTGGTTTCTTTCTTTCTTTTTAGCCACAAGCAATGACCCATGGGGCCCGACGGGTACCGACATGTCCGAGATTGCGGCCATGACTTTCGGGAGGTAGGTTGGCTGACTGACCCGAGGGATTTACAGAAAGCTGACATCAGCGCATAGCCCGAACGAGTTCTACGAGATCATGGATATGCTCGATAAGCGTCTCAACGATAAGGGCAAGAACTGGCGCCACGTGCTGAAATCGTTGAAGGTCCTGGACTATTGTCTGCACGAGGGCTCCGAATTGGTGGTCACATGGGCTCGAAAGAACGTCTATATTATCAAAACCCTGCGCGAGTTCCAGTACGTCGATGAAGAAAGCCGGGACGTTGGCCAGAATGGTGAGTCTTTTTTGTATTCTCTTCTCTTTTCTTTTTGGACGTTGGTATTGATGATGGCGCAGTTCGTGTGGCGGCCAAGGAACTTACTGCACTCGTGCTGGACGAGGATCGCCTGCGCAGTGAGCGATCCGACCGCAAGCTTTGGAAGACTCGGGTTAGCGGACTCGACGAGGGACACGGCAGCAGCGGCTTTGGCAACGAGCCTCCGCGCCGGGAACGACGGAGACGCCAGGGTTCCGATGAAGACGACACCGAATACCGACTAGCCATCGAAGCCAGCAAGAACGAAGCCGAAGAGGATCGCCGACGACGGGCCAAGGAATCGTCAAACCAAGGAGAAGACGATGATCTGGCCAAGGCCATCAAGCTTAGCCAGGAAGAAGAGGAGCTGCGCAGGCGCGAGTTGGAGCAAAACAATGCGCATGCGCTCTTCGATGACACCACCCCGGCCCAAGTTCAACCCACTGGCTATAACCAGGGCTACCAGCAACAGAACGCGGTAGACTGGTTCGGTAACCCGATCAATGCTCAGCAGCAGCAACCTATGACGACCGGCTACCTTAACAACCAATATGCGCAACCCACTGGATTCCAGAGCCAGCCTACTGGCCTGAACCCCTATGGCGCCAATGGCTACCAGCAACCCTCTGGCTTCGATCAGAACCCCTACGGACAGCAGCAGGGCCTCCAGCCTCAGCAGACTGCATTCCACAACAATAACCCATACGGAACAAACACCGATCCTATGGCGCAGATGCAACAGATGAACTACCAGCAGCAACAGCAACAGCCACAACAGCAACAGTCACAGGAGAATTACTTATCCGCTGGAAGCAACAACCCATGGTCTTCAAACCAACCTGCTGATGCCCTCAAGCCTACTCCAACGGGCTCGAACAACCCATTCGCCGCCCGTACTCAACCCCAGTACAACAGCCAGCCACAGGCCACCGGACCGCCATCTCTCAACACCCTCGCCGAGGATCGCGCCACTAACCAATTCAACAACCCAATCACCCAATTTTCTCGGACCAACCAACCTAGCCAGCCTAACCCGATCGCCAACTTCCAAGCTCCCCAGCCACCCAAGAGCACCCCACCCTCCACAGATCCTCACCATGCTCGCCTGAACGCGCTCCTTTCAAGCGGCGAAGGCCAGGATACCTTCGGAAATGTTGGAGACTTGCGTATCCCCGCGCAGCACACTGCGCCCGGCACATTCGTTAACTCTGCTGGTCAAGGCTTGGACCGTCTGCATGCTACTCAGACAGGCAACAACCCATTCTTTGGTCAGCAATATACCGGTGTACCTCAACAAACCGGTTTTGCGCAGCAGCAACAACAACAACAGCCCAACAGCAACCCCTGGGGAGCCCAACAACAACCTCAGCGTGGTGGGGGCAGCCTGATTGATCTGTAACCACATATTTTTGTGGTCAGTGGAGTCACTTGATTCAGTCTCATCTAAGCTCGATAGAGACCGTTATGAACCTGAGATTCTCGATACAACCAACCTCTTTATTGTTCTTTCTTTGCCCTCCCATATCTCGAAATTCGCTGTCCCTTTCGACCCTTGCTCGTGTCTTTTTTGTCACCTTTTGACTTCCCCCGCATCACACATGTCCTCCTTTCTTTCTTCGTGGATAACACAAGCAAATTGCATTGTGAAGCCAAATACTCCAGAACCTAGGGATTTTCTCATCACTACACCCACTCCTCCTTCCATATTTCCCTCGGTTCATTTTGTCCCTTTCTTTCTCCTCATACACACTGTTTCTCATTTGTCACCGTGCTCTCATCGTTTAGGATATCCTTCTCACTCCCACAGTTTTGAATTTTCTTTTTCTTATTTCGATATATACCTGTAAATGTCAAAATTGCACCCCAGTCGATTTTCTGGAATGAATCCCGTATCTGCTAGTACCAGCCTTGGAAGTATCATTTCGTAGCCGACCTGGGTACATAAATATTGATGTACTACGAGACATCATTATTTTGCACCTTTCGCCGGGCCATACGCCTGGGTATTATACTATATACAGGTTAACTTTCAAGAGAAGGATGGGACTTTTATTTGGACATCGGATCAGTTTCATGTTGTGGAGAATTGATTATGAGTTTGGACATTTGCATGGAGGGTTGGCGATGGATTATAATGCTTGGTATCGGAGATCTGCTCTGCACATGTGGGCGATGTTGCCCGGTGTACCATCACCATCCGCCAAGGTCCCGACGGCTAACCTTGGGGCCACCTGGGGTGATATGGGAGGGATATACCGCTCGACCATACGGGTGCCGGTTGTTAAAAGGACAAATGAATTGTTCCTTTTGACACTACACTTATCGACTTTATTATCCTATCTAGAACTAGTAACAACTAACAACCTTTCTGTGCTGTTAGCTAACATTAAATCATATGACTCTACCTATGTATAGCGTGCTGAAATACACATGAATGATATATACTAGAACGTCAGATTGATTCAAATCGGTTTTCTTCAGGATGCTTGTTTGTATATTTTATTCTCAGTTATAAATGGTACTACATAGGTGCCGAGCGACTAAGCACGCCAGATCATGATTCCGTAGGGGTCACGATCAGCTTCGCTAACAGAAACCTCCACACTGGCATCTTGGTATACATCCTGAGAGCCGGGGGCAGCTCCACCCTGCTTGGAACTATCCTGAGCAGCCTGGAGAGCTTCCTTTCGGTCACTCTGCCAAGTCTGTGACACCTCACGAAGAAGCTGGTTGCGCATGACAGCACACAGATATCCGCGTTCGGAGTTGGAGTGAGCCAAGGAGATAACGACCGAACCCTTCTCTGTAGCCGCAAGGGCCTCGTGATGGCTCATTTCTCCAGTGAAAAGAAGATCGGGGATTTCGTTTCCGCGAAGAAGAACTCCGGAGCCAGACCCAGGGCACATACCAACAGTGCGAATACGAATTTCGTCAATCGACTTGCCTTGGGGAGTCGCAATAGGAATTCCACCCGGAAGACCGACACCACGGCCAATGTGGTCAATCAAGGTCGTGAGAGGCTGGGCTTCATTGAATGTCACCAAACGGCCCGCACCAGCGGACTCGAAGCCCTCGGGGATGGAAGCCGGAGGTGAGGGGTGAATTGTGGATCGGGTGTGGGGTATTTGCTGGGAGGGACTGGCTGATGCGGCATTCGGGACGGATTCAGGCTGGGGGTAAGTGGGTGCCGAGTACAAGGTAGATGCACAGTCCTTGGCTGGAGACTGCAGCTTGGAGTCGGATTTGAATGTGCCGGTTACGACGTCACAGAGCCAGTCGGCCATACCACCGGGAACGGTGTCGACGGCGGTGTGCGGAGAGTAGACGCTGATGCCATGCTGGGCAAGTCGCAATAGAGACCTTTGCTGAGTGTCTTCGAGAGTAAGGGACTTTAGACCGCGGAAAATGATTGGGTCTGAGACAACAATATTAGCCAAAGTTTGTTTTTCGAAATCGACAGGTCATATCCCTCGAGCGGACAGCCTGGCGCAGGGATGTTAAGGCAGGATTTGTTAGAAGACATACGGTACGCAACAATAGCCGAGTCTTGACGCCGAATGGCCTCATCTGCAACCGCTGTTGTCAAATCAATGGCCAGCAACACGGAATTCTTCTGGCGTCGCGACGGCTCAAATGGAGCTTCGAGGAGCACTAAAGAAAGAATATGCGTCAGTACATTTAAATCATACTACAATTAAAGCTAGAATAATTGACTCACGTCCAGTGTTGTCAAAGCTCTTATCGGCCAATGCCTCAGGGTACCTGTGTATAGCGGGTCAATAAAGCTCAAATTGCGGGGAGCTATTAATATGATCAAACGTACAGTTTTCTCATGGAGCTGACTACAGCCCGGGTGAAGGGCGAGCAAGCAGGAGTGGACGACATAGTGGAATAGCTTCGTAGGGCAAAACGTAAAGGATTCATGGAACCAAAGCAATGCAAAGAAATCCAAGAAGTTACAGATCTCAAAAGTGGAAACACAGTGACGCTATCGAAAGCCAGTATCAGCACGTGAACTGCAAGTATATCGGATAATCTGTCCACCCGAAGCTCTATAGTCCGACACCAGCCACAGCGGCTGAATTTGTAATACAGATGAACCTCATCAATTCATCTTCCATCCGGAGGCTCAACGAAATCATTTCTCGCTCCGATCGTGCTTGATGTTCTCCCGCACTTCTGCTTTCACTGTCTTGAGAGGCTGTAGCTATCTCCTTCGCCCGGTTCCCCAGCGCGCCGCCTTCTCCCTCTCCGCGCGTTCCTTCGCCGCCGTCAACGCCGCCATGGCCGACACCTCGGGTATCACTGCAGAGTCGCTGAAGCTCAAGCTGCTCGACGTGCTGCAGGCCCAACATGTTGAGATTGAGGATTTGTCAGGTAGGAATTGGACTTGGGGAAAAATTGGTTGTCTGTTAAGGTCGAATGCTGATCGTTGTTTCCTTTCTATAGGTGGCTGCGGCCAGGCTTTCCAAGCTGTGATCGTCTCCCCACAGTTCGAGAGCAAGAATATGCTTGCGCGTCACCGCCTCGTTAACTCCGTTCTGAAGGCTGAGATCGCTGCCATTCACGCTTGGACTCCTAAGTGCTACACCCCCGAGCAGTGGCAGGCACTCCAGCAGTAAATTTTTTGAAAAATTACTAGACACTAAAGATTGTCACAATTGATACGGGGGAAGGATGGCATAACCAGATCATTTGACCTGTGATTATATTCTTATTGTCGTCCGTTCAACTTTTGAAGCCCTGTTTTTGCGAAACTTGTTGGGATTTTGATGATACCTTGGGATAGTTGGCATAGTCAAGGTGGTGTCGACTATTGGGATTTCTGTATGATAGAGCTTAATGTCCATTAATGTCTTTACAAAAGCACAAAGAACATTTGTTAAATCCAGCTACTATCAAGTAGTGTGTATACATATGAGAAGGGACGGAAGAACTCAAGAAAATCCAGCTGTTATCCTGGGCATCCATGGATACCGCCCATGGCCAATGATCAATCTCAGGTGGATTCGAAAAGGCTTTCAAAGGATCTTATACAATCGTATTTTGATATCCACTCCATGTTAGGCTCTCATTATATGCATGATGTCGGTATTAATATCCAAATAAAATGTTGGCTTCAGCGGACATTCGTGATGTCCTTGCAGCTTTCTCGTAGATTTTCTTCAAATTTCTGTTGTTCTTCCATAGTAGAGCCAATAATTCCCTTGATCTCCCCTGCGATAGTACCCGCAAGAACACCCACACCTATAATGCCACCATCGCTAGCTTCGCGAAGAAAAATGCTCTTTCCTTCGCTTTGTGGCCCAGCACTGATTATAAGTCGATCAATATATCGTTGAATGGTCTGTTTATAGAGCGGATAGTGCTGTATTACACCACCAGACACCGCAACCACCAGCTCTTCGGGTCCATTCTGCCAACCTGATGTTGAGGATCCAAATTCTGGAGGCTGATTTTCCTGATTGGCCGTCTGCTGTGCTTTATCCGAGGTGTCTGCTGCTGGTGAGTCTGGGGATTCGGTATCCTGCAACTGAATCTCGCGCGTGCAAGCAAGTAGCCCGACTGTTGCAGCTGCAATCAAAGCTGCAGATCGATCCTGTACAGCGGCTGCTATAGATCGAAGATGCCCTGCATATTCGGACGTCCATTCCCAGTCGCTGGATTCTGGGGCCGGAAGTTTCTGTGACAGTTCCTTCGCAAGTGCCTCATCAGAATAGCTCGGTGCCACCACTAGTGACAGGAAATCTGTGGTCAAGGTATACTCTTCAACTAGCTTTGTAGGCAGCGAAGCCCGGGGCACTGCCTTCGTTCTATGGAACCAATCGTAGCAGATAATGCGTACTAGTTCGCCGATATATCGACCTCCGACCATGTATTCCAGGGGCTGGAATCCAGGGCGGTTGGAGTGCGCTTCGAGTTCGGCATCCCATTTATTCATGATCTTCAACTCGTCCAATGGTTCGCTTGCACCCCGTAGCGTCCATTCAGTAGACACGATAGTCTCCTCGGCATCGGGGTCTTTTTCGCGAATGTGTTGAATCTTCGCGTTCTGGAGATCAGTCAATTTCATAGGCACGGCTGAATTGCAGCCCGCGCCTACAATAAGACCCATGACGACCCGGGTGTTGGGTAGAGTGCGGATTGAATACGCCAGAGATGCAAATGTGGCAATGGTATCGTTAGTCATGACGGTGATTTTGAGTTTAGGCAGACAGTATTTCTTCTGGCGCTTTGCGGGCATTTCAGCAGGATCCTCGCCGGAGCGTCTGGTATGGCACTCGTATCCATCAAGCAGTGCCTGGCGAAGATTAAGAGAGGTTTTCAACGTGAATCCTTTCCCAGTAGGCATGAGAATCGCCTCATTCAGAAGCTTTTGTCTACAAAAGGTGTGTTAGTTCACCTCCAATGCATGCTAGCAACAAGGGACATTACTTGATCGGGAAACAGAATGAGATGCCCATTGTGATCTCGGACGGCGCATCGTCCTTGGAGTTGGCCAAGTCATCATGAATGACCTCCGCAATACAATCTCCAATCCAGGAAAATAAAGAGTCGGCCTTGTCTTGGCGAAGGCGATTTTCAATTGGCCATGCTTTCTCTAACGTACGTCGAACATGCGAGTGTTTCTCTACTTGTTCTTCGCCAAGTAAGTCAATAAATGCCACCCGAAGATAGAATAAGCCGAGATAGACTGCTAGATAGCGCCCCTTTTCGTGCCCAGTGGGCAAACGTGTGGTGGCAGTGGGGAAGAACTGCTCTGAGGAATCCGCTGCCAGTGCACGATATGTATTAGAAAGACGGTAGGATAGACGGTAGAGCCTTTCCACCTCAATCCTTAATGGTTGTAAGAAATTTTGTAATGCATCCGATCTGGCCATGGTGTTATGTGGTTGGTGACAACCTTGGTGCCTGAATTGAGCATGTTGCGTGGATTTCCCCGGATGCCGGAGCGGGAGTTGAACCAATCATGTCTGCGATCTAATCTATGTAAACAGCATTAGCAGTCATCGTTATTGCGTCTGAAATCAAGAGTCTTTGACTGATATTTTTTGGAATTTTCCATCTTGGAAGTGTGCCTGAGTACTAGAGTATCTAGTAGGTACTAGTATGTACTATACTCCATAGATCAACTGAGTTATTCCTAAGCAAAAGCCCACGAGTGTTTGCTTCAACAGCAAACAGATCAAACACATGTGACATGATTACACATCAAGCAACGGAAATAATCCCGCTGTTTGCACTGTACCTATAACTAGGGCTTTATAACCAACAGATTCAAGTCTCGAAAAAAAAAGAATGTTGTTTTGTAGTGTCATCTTCTACTAAAATTCTTCATTCAGAATGGGGACCAAGATCCCAATTTCTTCACAGCTTAAAGAGGCTCTTCGCTTCCTTCTAAAAGCCCAAGCCGAACCAGCACACCACCATTCGTGCGGACACAGCACACAGCACAGGAGCTCAGAATGGATTTTTGAAACAGATACATGGTCACAATTACAAGCCCTCCGACAAACACTCTGCCAAAGACCTGCAATTCCAAAGATCCCAGCAGCTTCCCTCGCCCACATCGAAGCAGTAATCCAATACAACAACCAGCACAAACTACTCACATCCACAACATCCATCAAGACCGACGTCACAATCCAACCCCAAACATCAAATAGCAGTCCTCTGCGCATCTCATGCTGGAAAGGCGATATCACCACTTTGTCAGAAGTCACTGCTATAGTCAACGCCGCTAATTCCCAGCTCGAGGGCTGCTTCCGCCCTGAACATCTTTGCATCGATAATGTCATCCATTCAGCCGCGGGCCCCCGCTTACGAGATGCCTGCCACGAGCTTATCAAAGCACAAGGACATCCAGAGCCGGTCGGATGTGCAAAGGTGACCCCGGGATTCCTTCTTCCGGCCGAATGGGTTCTGCACACCGTCGGCCCGCAGCTGGATGGCAGAGAGAGCCCGAAACCGCACCACAAAGCCCAGCTTGCTTCGTGCTATCGAGCTTGCTTGGATGCGGCGGACGCGCTGCCCCCTCTGCCAGATGGCCGGAAGGTTGTCGCCTTCTGCTGTATCTCCACAGGCCTCTTTGCGTTCCCCTCTGCTCTTGCTGCGAGCATTGCCGTTGAGACCGTGGTGTCCTGGTACCAGGAACATAGCTCGACATCTACCATCACGGATATCATCTTCGATACGTTCCTCGAGAAAGACCGTCTTCTCTACCGGGACTTGCTATCTGGATTGAAGCAGAGTTGTTCTGATCTGGAAACTCCCTCGCAGTTAATTTCACCACCGTCTCTTCGTCAGACGCCTAATTTAAATCCATCTATCTTGAAAGCACGCGCTTGGCTCGAAGATGCATCGTCCCTCATTATCACTGCTGGCGCGGGCCTCTCTGCTGCGGCAGGCCTCGACTATACCTCGACCGCTCTATTCGATTCCCATTTCCCGGCCTTCAAGGCAAAGGGTCTGCGGCGATTGTATGATGTCTTCGGATACGGTGGCTGGGATAGCCCAGGACAGAAATGGGGTTACTATTTCTTGCACTTGGATATGGTACGCAAGTGGCCCGTTTCGCCGAAATATCAGCTCCTGCGTGGGCTAACGGATCGGTTTGCGGATGGAGGAAGATATCATATCCGCACCTCGAATGCGGATGGGTTCTTCGTCAAGAATGGGTTTCCAGATGAGAAGATCTCGACGCCTCAAGGTCAATATAAGTATTTGCAGTGCTTTAAGAAGTGTCGGGCTGATGCGGTTTTTCCTTCTGGACCTTTTGTTGATGCGGCTTTGCCATTCATTGATCCTGTTTCTCAGGCTTTGACTGATGAGGCGTTGGTCCCGACATGCCGGTTTTGTGGCGGAGAGCTGACAATTTGTGTGCGTGGGGGTGGTTACTTCAATCCGGGCCCTTATATCGGACAGGAAAGGGTTTGGAAGCAGTTCTTCAAGGAATTGGAAGGTGATGAACAGTCTGGTGGGACTGTCATTTTAGAGCTGGGAGCTGGTTTGAATACCCCCGGCGTATTAAGGTGGCCAGATGAAGATGCTGTATCTGAATCGTCAAGTCGACAGTTTCGGTTGATTCGTGTTGGAATGGAGGCTTCGGGATGTGTTCCTTGGGAACTGGAGGAAGATGACTTGGCGATTGGAGTTTCAGGAAATATTGACGCGGCTTTGGAGTTACTATTGTCATAGAACATTTGAATACCTAATAGTACACATATATACTATGTGCATGTCAAGTAGGAATAGATGTGAGATATACATTGGTCTAAACTATACCTGAAATAAATGTGCGTAAATCATTGAAATTTGTCTTTACCCTCCGAAATCGCTGGAATTGCAAACCCTCCATGACCATGCTCTCTAGTTGCTCTCCATGCTGAGATACTTTTCTTCCGCGCCGCGGATACAAGCGACATTAGCACCGAGCTTGTTAATCGTCTCGATGTACTCGTCGTACGGGTCAGAGTCGAAGACGATACCACCACCAGCCTGCAGGTACGCAACACCGTCCTTGACCATCATAGTGCGCAGCGCAATACAGGTATCCATGGCACCGGGAACCTCGCTGGAACCGTCATTGTTGGCAATGTTGTATCCAAAGTATCCAACGGCACCGGCATACACACCACGCTTCTCGCCCTCGAGCTCGGCAATCAGCTGCATAGCGCGCACCTTAGGCGCACCGGAAACAGTTCCGGCCGGGAAGATGGATCGGAAGGCGTCGAAGCGGGTCTTGCCGGGGCGCAGGACACCGGATACCTGTGAGACGAGATGCTGGACGTGAGAGAACTTCTCGACGACCATCAGGCGGTCGACTTGGGTGCTGCTTGGGTCGCACACGCGGTTCACGTCGTTACGTGCCAGATCCACCAGCATGACGTGCTCGGCTCGGTCCTTCAAGCTGCTGCGCAGCTCGTTGGCCAGCGCGTTGTCTTCCTCTAGAGTCTTACCGCGCATTACGGTACCAGCAATCGGGTGCGTGATGATTCGGCCACGCTCTTCCTTCACAAGAAGCTCGGGGCTAGCTCCCACGAGCTGGAAGTCTTGGCAGTTGATATAGAACAAGTAAGGGGAGGGGTTGACGGTGCGAAGGTGACGGAAAAGGTTGAAGGGGTGGAGAGATGTGGGCCGCGACAGCCGTTGTGAGGGCACGGTCTGGAAGATATCGCCCTTGCCGATGTGCGCCTTTAAGGTCTTGACGTGTTTCTCGTATCCCTCCTGGCCAATGTTGGAGGTGTATTCCTGGTTCTGGACGATGGGACCCTGTGGCGGCAATGGTGTGCGATCCTGCAAGAGGGTCTCAATAGTCTTCTTGATGATCGCCTCACCCTTACGGTATTCGGCCTCGATATCGGCATCCGAGTCGGGGATCGGGACATAGGTGATGACCTTGACGACCTGGAAGAAATGATCGAAAGCAACAATGGTGTCGTACAGCATGAAGAATGATTCCGGCACACCCAACACATCCTTCATGGGCCGAGCAGTCTTCGGCTCGAAGTATCGAACACAATCGTAGCCCACATATCCGATGGCTCCGGCGGTCAAAGGAGGGAGAACGAGGCCAGGGACAGTGGCAACGCGGAACTGGGACAGCTCCTCCTCCAGGTATGGGAGAGGGTCAGCCTCGGGGCCATGGCCTAGTCCGGTCTTGATCACCTTTCGGGGGTCTAGCAAAAAAAAAAATCATGAGTCAGACAAACATGAGCACGTGTGGGCTGATCGACACATCACCCACCTGCACCAACAAAACTGTATCGCCCAATGGTCTCTGTAGTTGCTGCGCTCTCGTACAAAAATGACAAACGAGAACTATAAAAATTGCAGGGTTAGCTTCGCCGCTCTAAAATGTCCCCGCCATGCGCTGCGGGGCACGGTCGTCGCATTGTGCAAGAGACACGCTTACTTCTCTGCAAGCTTAAGATATGCCAATGTAGGGGTCAAGAGATCCGCGGTGATAGAGGCAGTCACCGGCAGCAAGTTCGGGGCAAACTTGGAATTTCTCGACTGCGAGATCACGTCTCGCGCCGTCTCGAGTGACGGGACTGCAGTAATCTGAGTCAGACCGCAAACAAGGGTCAGCAGTCTGGATGCCAATGGGTAATAGCTTCTTGAAATTTGCATTCAACAGTCATACTTACAGAAGGCACCATTGTCTGCGTGAAATTGCTGTTCAATAACTGGACAAAGACTGGTTACTGGATCAACCCGATGTCACAGAGAGATTTGGCGGTGGGAAAATGAGTCGATGTGGGGCTTTAACTCGGGCCCTTTTTTAGAGGCTACTCTCCACTTCAAGCCACTATACTCTGTAAGTAGTTTGTATTAAACTGGATCTGGAGTTCCCTAACTTACATGTCAATAACCAAGCCAACGATAGATTATTATAGATTTACCTTTCGCAGCTCTACATCAATAGTTTGCAGCCCTCTTTTCAGCATTCCCTAAAAGGGTTAAGCGTGGGGGACCTTTGATTATCGGTTATCGATAAGCGACGATTCCGATGAGATGAAGCTGCAGATCCCCAGCCACATCTCGTCCAACTGGTGCGATTAGCAATGGTTTCTTTCATGCATCCACCATGAAGAACCTGTCACATACAAACATCCACATGGAATCACCAGAATACAATGGTCTCACAGTGACCAAAGCTGTGGTTCAGCGTACTGAGCCAATTGAAATACCGATCAAGCAGTCCACAACTGATGCGCGTCCAGCCACAGTAATTGCATGGCAGGACCGCCTTGCAGAACTGTCGCAACTTGCATTTGCATATCTCGGCGCAGACAGCAGAGACAGCAATACAGGCCCTTTGATTCATCAGCACCTCGATGCGATCGAGGCCATCCTAAGGGACCCGGAACCGGAGCTTGCGCAAGAGGAATCACTTGAAGCCCGGCGACGGAGCTTTCGCACAAAGTCTTTGCTCGGAGAGCCTAATGCGGCGGAGTTGCAAGAACCGGATTGGCTAGCGAGGAGTATTCTTGACGAGCGGAAGGAAATGTCGACCCAGCTGACAGCGCTTTTGGGAGAGGTGGTTTCCTTGAACCAAGAGCTGCATCAGCGACGGACTGAGTCTGTCGAGATTCGGGAGGTCTATGAGGATCGGTGCCGTGGCTTGACGAGAACGGTAGCTGAATTGGAAGACGAAGTGTCCGAACTGTAAGTGCACGTGCTTCTTTACTTAATCTGGGTTCTTGCTGATTATGGTTGGTACCCAGGCGCTCGGATCTGGTGGAAGATGCAATTGAATTGGAAGTGATCCAAGGAACTATCCACGGACTTCAACATTGGATTGAAGGGATGCAAGAAGAACAGCAAAAAACCCGAGCTTCAAGAGATCTCGTACGCCGAAAAAGCAAACGGGGATGGGGTGGTCGCAAACACATTGATGAGATGGGCGAAACAGAGGGAGAGATTGTACTAGATGGATTGAGCGCATGGATGCGCGGGTGGAGAGATGTTGAAGATGGTTTCCAGGTCCGAGCACGCGGGCGGAGAACAAGGAGAGAGCAAAGACAGCGCCAGCTGTTAAATACTTGATCATGGGGAACAAATTGGGCACATACTATGTACAGTTGTATAGACTTGGATGTATAGATAGTTTTACGATTACGATACTATGAAGATTACGAAAAACACGGAGTCGACTTTAGGACAGCAAGTGGTCCCATCAATGCAAGTGAACGCAGCTGGAGATTTAGAATACAATTTCAGGGTCAATGCATTTTTGCTTTGAAATACAAAACGAGAATCAAGCCACCAACCTCCCAGGTTATAACATCAGAAAAATCAAACCCATATCTCGCCAGGATCCATTTCGTTCGCCGTGCCCAAATCCTATTCCAAGCAATGCATGCCGTAATGCATCTTCTAAATCAAAAATGTATGTCCGGAGGGGGAAAAATATGTAGAACAAGATGGGTGACAACTGGAAGGTTTGCGCCATTTTTCATGATGGGGGAGAATTGGTCAACTGTATTGACATCGGATCGTGCTTGAAAGTAGAAAGGCATTTGATGGTGTTTTCAGGTCGGATACATTTTCCACCATCATGCCTAAATAGGGGAGACAAGTGAGGCAGGAGCAAATGTGCCAGGATCTACCCTTGTTCAAGGTATCAATAAGACCATCTTTTGGTCAGGTAACTCCAGTTGTAAAAGAAAAGAAAGCGACTTAAAAGCCGTAAGGTGAACCAGGAGTAAAAGGAGGAGATTTGCTATATTCAACATATTAAGCTTGATGCCTTGTCATTTGACTCTTTTGGGACATTTTATAGCGGTCACCGCTGAAGATTAACGATGGCCATCTGTCAGGTAGTGTTAGTCAAATTGTCTTGATCATCGCACTGAATCCAAAAGACCAACCTTATTTCCGAAACCATATGCAAGCTTCTTCCCATCAGGATCCCATGAGAGAGCACATTCAGTTGACGCGGCATGACCATTCTGTCCGTTTGTGGGGGCATCAGCCTCCTCCTTTACTTCTTTCGAACCCGGGGCGGTCCAAACAGCCATAGGGTCGCCACCGCGCTCGGCATTCCAAATGAAGAGGCGATCTTTGCTAACTGCTGCAAGAGCGTATCCGTCTGGTGAAAAGCCACCGGCAAGAGCGGGTATATCAGGGCCCAGGCGGAATCGGTGGATTCGTTGGAAATCCTTCTGTTCCAAATCTACATTCCACACATTGATAGTGCCATCTACCGAATATGAAGCGATGGTGATTGGGAATTTTCCAGTGATCGAAGAAGTTCGGCGCTGTGCAGGTGACTGGGGCCGGATGTCAATGGCCGTAATTGCCTCCTGGTGTGCATTTTCAATGACAATGTCATGGGTTGGGACCCAGATCGTGGCACTTTCTGAGTCTGGTGCATTATCGGACCCTGCCACAACTATAACAGGGCCGTCAGTAGTTTCGATGGAGCGGATGAAGGTCCATGCAGTCTCCCTGTCGGACTTGTACTCCTTGATCAAATGGATATTCCGATCCACGCCGCATTGATAGACCATTCCGTGCCCACACGCAAAAATTTGGTTGTGTCCAGCCCATACCAAATCGTAAATTTGGTTTTTCAAGAGCATAGTTTCGTATTCGTCAGGTCGTTGAGTGCCGTCCCAGAGCGCCAGTTCGGAGTCTTTTTCGTTAGATGCAACAATCACCAATTGGGGACCATGTTCTGCCCAGTGCAAGCCACTGATCATTCGAGGAAGATCCGGAAGCATATCCACCACGTTGCCTTCAGCGTTGTACATAGTGATCACTCCCTTCATATCCCGAATAGAGGCCACAGCCAATTTGGTACCGATACCATCCCAGGCAACGGCGGATACATAGGATTCGCTCGCCTTGAGGTCAACGAACTTATTTTGAACAGGATCCGAGGACGAAGACAGTTTAAATAAACTGCAAAAGGACTCTCCTCTGGCCACAAGCATTGTCGGGTCCCCAGGGCGCCAAACGGTGCTGAACACGTGATCATATAGATCTAGGCAGGCGGTGTCGGGTGTCAAATCGGCAGCCTTGGCGGGGGAGATCTGGACGCCGACGCTGGTGCCCGTGCTGAGTGTGGGTTCCTGAGGCACCTCATCGGCCCCCATGCTCACGTCCCCATCCCCATCCACTGGATCCGGGATAGGCGAGCTTGACTTGCTTTCAGTTCCGGCGTCCACCTCCATCGAGTCGCCATTAGTTTCGCCTTTTCGTTTCAACCCGGGAGCCTCGGGCGAATGGCCATTAGTTATGCGGTCGTCCGCGGATTCTGGCGCGGGGTGGTCTGTGCCAGCCTCATCCCGGCTTTTCAAAGCGGCCACCTCAAAGGGTTCCGGGCCGAAAAAAAAGTCGGTGGGTGTAAATGTGATGGGGTTTCCCTCCTGTAGATGTTTGGTTAGGTTATTTATAGGCCGGTATCAACAGGGTCAAGATGCCCGAAGTGGTCGCGCAAGCCTACCTTGTCAATTGATGACTCCAATTCATGATATTGCAGGCCCTTTTGGACTAACGACACCAGCGCGTGAGTCTGAATATGGCGCGCAAATGGGAGAGTCTGTGGTTCCGGGTACCACGCTCGCTGCAGTGATACAGCAGCTTCGCCATGACCTGTAGCACGATGTTAGAATGAAGTGTCCAGCAGCTAGAGAGTGCGCGCCTATGGCGCGCGTTGGTGCATTGGCGCATGGGTGTCGAGATGATTGGGATGAAGTTGAATGAATAAAGTGACAAGGCGCAAAGATACGAACCTGACTCCTGAAGGTACCTGTGGCGTAAAGCGAATCACGAGTTAGTGGCTGCAGATGACAAGCAGATGGCGGTGGGGAGCGGAAGGGAACTAAGGGGACGTGATCATACCTCCATATTAAGTAGTTGACATGATGCGATGTAAGGTCAGGTTGTGCCATGATTACATGTGCGACCACCTAGGGGTGGAACATGCCAGATGGGATGGGGGATGGGATGTAGCGCTTCCGTCAGGGAAGTTGGAAAATCAAAAGTGGAGGTTTCTCGAATGTGGAGACAAGGAAGAGCCGGAGAAAAGACCAAGATGGAAAAGGGAAAGGGGGGGCGATCTCAAGTCAATCAAGAGTGGATAATGCGCGTAACGTGTCGGAGTTGAATATCCGGTGGCTATGGGGGAGTTTCAAGGGTTTATGATTTGATGCGGAGTTGAAAAGGGAAAAGAGAGTTTGGGGGGGAAAGAAGTGGGAAAGGGAGAGGCAGAGCCGCGGAATAGAGGATAGAGGATTTCAAGACTTCAGCCAATAAGCCACTAGGGGAAACGGGAGCGGCACTTTTGGCAGTGAAAGGGAATTATGAAGAGAGAAGGAATAATTGAAGATGACCTTCATGACGGTTGAGCTTAAGCGCACTAGCCACTGGGAAGTGGGTGCTCCAATCTCGAATGCAAGAGCCAATCCTGTGTGGCGTTCCTCCACTCGGTCGCGGCCCTGTTCTCGTGCGACTCGCTTACTATCGACACTTTCTCCACTTATATCTTTACTTTAAGTACTTTAATTTGGCATTTCTATATGAGATGATTTCTGGTATCCGAATGCTTCTTCAATTACTCAAATTTGTCATGATTTCTCCAATATTCCCGAATCTCTCACGGGGGGGTCTTTGTTCCCTAGCGTACACCTGCACGCACCCGAACCCGGCAACACTGCAGGGCGGCAAAAAAAAAAAGGTGGATCGTAGCGTGGATCCAGATCCCATGTACGTCGTCAAACGATATCAGATGAACTAGGGATCCCCCAAATTCTCCTAGGTACATGCTATATGCTCCATAGCTTATATGACAATATAGAAATGATCAGGTCAATCCCATGATTTCAGATTGATTGAAGCAACATTGAACATACCCACTTAAGACACTTTCAAATGTTTAAAATGTCAAAAGCTTTAATCAAGGGATACATAGCTAGCGTCTACCCAATTATATGCGGTCGGACTTGGTTCTTACTAACATTGCATTCTGACACCGGTCAATGATCCACCTAATTTATACCTATCAATTGATAGCAAAAGGAGATATGCATATCATATTGACCCAGCTAATAACCTTAGAATCCAGTAACTACTATTCAAAGTTGATGACTCAGTTATATGTTGGAAACACGTTTTCAGACCAACCTGATGTATCGGGCCAAAAAGACGTCACGGGAATTCCAATATTCTCCTAAGCAGTAAGCACTACGGAGTACACAGTACCATACTATCTATACATATGTATATAGTAGTAGGTAGTATACCAAAACTTAGTACAAGGCTCAGTTAAAGGTCTGGAAGCGCCAACATTGAATTTTAGGGAATTTCCATCGCAACATTACCATCTGGCCAATGAAGTCGTCTCAAATGCTTTTCAATGTTGAGAATTACACAGTATGTAACTGCCTAACAGTGCTGGGGATTTCTTCCACCCTCTGACCAAAACATTTAAAAATGTGAAAATTATACCAATTACTAGAGTACGTAAATAATTTAGAATTGAAGTTTCAAGTCAACAATTCCAGTTTATCATCTAGTACCTATTGCCTCCAAGAAATATAACTCTCTGTTTTGTTTTCCTATGTGACAGATCCTCTCCGTTGTTCAATGTTCGGACTAGTGGACCCGGCGCAAGTCAGCTTCCATTGATCTGTGTGGCTTCCTCCGTCGACAAACTCCGGGTTCACCTCAACAACACGCCTGCGGTCTCGCACGCCGCGAGAGAGCTCAAAATGCCGCTCCGAGTCAACATCCCCCCTGCTACTCGTTTCTTTCTTGTCAGCCTCCTCGCCCTCTCCTTACTCTATAACATTGCCAGATGGCGTGAACTGGACTACTCCGCCGGCGGCGTCCAAGTCACCCCAATTATTCCCTACCTGACTCTCGTTCCTTCTCGTTTCTTCTTCTATCCCTGGACACTCGCCACCGCTACCTTGGTCGAGCAGAACATCTTCACTGTGCTTCTGAATGCCGCCACCATCTTCTACGGAGGCAAGTACCTCGAACGTGCGTGGGGGTCCCGCGAATTCAGCAAGTTTATTGTCGCCGTAACCGTGATCCCCAATGTCGCGATCATTCCAATTTACCTCATCTGGGGAACCGTACCAGGCCAAGATACCCGAAGGTGAGTGCTACTAGTCACTACCCAAATCTTACATCTCGCGTCTGATCTGACCCTCCCTTTCCCATGCACAGCTTAACCCAGATCTGCGGTGGTGTCTCCATCCAGGCTTCCTTCCTCGTCGCATTCAAACAGCTAGTCCCTGAACACACCGTTGCGATCTTCAAAGGAATCATAAAAATGCGCGTCAAGCATTTCCCGGCCTTGTTCCTGCTGCTCAACACCCTCAGCGGTATCCTCATCGGAACGGACACGGCTGCTATCTTGGCGTGGCTAGGTCTCCTGACTAGCTGGACATACCTTAGATTCTATAAGCAACAGCCCGATCTGACTGGAACTTCAACTAGTGGTCTTGGTATCAAGGGCGATGCTAGTGAGACCTTCGCCTTCGCCTGCCTTTTCCCCGATGTGATGCAACCCCCGATCGCCTTTGTCGCCGACCAAATTTACACATTATTGGTGACAGTCCATATCTTGAAACCATTCTCCGAGGATGATATCGCATCTGGCAACCAGCAAGTTCTGGCTAGAGGGGAGGCCGGCTTGCCAACTCTCCTTAGCAGCCACCGCGGAGGAAGTGCAGGAGGATCCCGGGGTAAGCGCGAGGAGGCAGATCGCCGCCGTGCTTTGGCCCTCAAGGCGCTAGACCAAAGGCTACAGACTGCTTCTGCGGGTCGCGTACATGCTGGGCCCTCGACACTGATGGATCCTAACGCAAATGCATCATCTCCGAACCCGTCCGCCCATACTGGGCAGGCTATGCTTGGGGGAACCACTTACAATCCGGATAACGCATAGAGCTGGGAATAGGAGTTTGTGGATATTTCGGATTTCTTGGGTTGACCGGTTGGACATATACCATACAGGGCAGGACAGCTCGATTTTTGACGAGCACTATAGCACTATACTTGCGACTTTCGCGCCTTCATTTTCCTTCTCACGATGTATATTGCCCTTTCATATCTTGGCTTAGGTTTCGATCCTTGGCTATCTTCATTCCTCCGATGTGTGACGTGATGACCTCTTTTTTTTCACTTTTTTACTGTGTTTGTTTGCTTCCCTGTGTTGATGAATAGGCCCAGCGTGTATCCTTTACTGTGGGGTCGACCGGCTCTATACTAGTCGAAAATGACTTTACCAGAGTCATGTATCTCACTTTAGCTCGACCTATCATGTGGAAGGATCAAAATCACGTTCTGCAGTGTATAGTATTCCAAGGTTCTCTCTCTCAGAACAGACTCTACACTCCTCTCAATATGTACTCATGCATGTCTTCCAAGGTTGCACTCGATGAGAAAATAAGAAATCCAAGGATTCAATGCATCTTTCTGATGCTTTAGAATAAATATTCTCCAAAAATACATAGTTATAAGGAAATAGACGAACAACAAAAAGATGCTATGCTACAAGTGGGTTGCCCCCTCTCAACCTCCCAAGAGTGAAGAGAGAAAAGGATCCAGACAGAACCAAAAATCAACCAGATATATCTTACACCTGCTTCAGCTTCTCAACCTCACCCCTCGCCTCAGCAAGCATACGCTCCTGATCCTTCTTCGCCTGCCGCATAGCCTGTATACGCTTCTTATCACCAACAGCCCTGGCGGTAATAGCATCCAGTCTCTTCGCCTCAGCCTCATCCTCAGCGCTAGTAGGAACATCCGCAGCTCCGGTCGAAGCCTGCACCCGAGACCAAATCTCCTTTGCATCCAGGTTCTTCAAATCCACAATAACAGACTTCTCCGTAGCCTCCGGCTTCGGCGCATGCTTATCAGCAAACTGCTTGCCCGCAATTCCAGCCGCGGTGCTGCTCAATCGCTCGTTGAAGTAGATTGTCAATGCGGCCGGTCCTTCTTGTTCGTCGGTTTGTTGGACTGTCATGCCGACGCCGGGGTTGTGGTATTTCAGTCGCGGGAGACATTGGCGCCAGAAGAGTCGTGCGCCGTGGTGGCCGCCGTAGATCTTGCGGGCGTATGTGAGGTGGAGGCGGGTGACCGCTGGGAATTCTTTTGTGGCGCTTGCTTCGCTGGGGAAGAGGGCGGCACCGAGACCAACTCGAACTTCGAGCATCTGGAAATTGAGGTGGTTAGCGATTGATTCCGGGCTTGTTAATTTTGTGATCTGGTGTGCCCAGGTGCAGTCATTTTCAGGGTCGATTGTAGTCCTCTGGGATATCGAGGGTCGGGATTGAAGGTGTGGAGAATGGATGGGAGAGGTAGGGAGATCTCACTCTCTGTGTGAAAAGAAAAGAATCGGATTAGCCATTACTCTTTTCAAACAGTTTTATGGCCCATGGAAATTGGGCTATCCTTGAGCTTCAGATGACTTACTGTCTTCAGCTTCCGCATCCGCTTGAGGAAGTTGACCATGATGGCAGATTAAGCCGCGCAGCGGCTGGTCTTGATGGAATGAATGTGTTTCTGGGACCGGCCGTAGGTATGCGGTAGTCCAATTGACGAAACTACTGTCCAGTGGTCTCACGGAAGGTTCAGGTCGTGTTGTCGTGGATCCGGGGAATTTTGCGGAAACTGTTGCGCTTCAAAAGTTGCTCCGACATAAAAGTCACGTGAGGACCATGTACTATAATACGCAGCTCGTTTGGTGATAGAAAATCGATACTAACTAGAGTAATTCAGCAACTGGACTATAGTAAAGTATGAATGAATAAAGACATTATCTATTTAAAACCAAGTCTCTAGTTTATAATGGTTGGCTCTTGTTCTATGCAATGACACCTGCTGTAAATTACCGCAATACACTCCCTACGATAGCGGTAGTGATACAGCGGTATTACCACACTGAGTCACCCACTCATTATCGATTATCGATTGTCGATTTTATATTCCCCCGCGATCTTCATTCTCTGCCCCTCGGAGTGTCTTGTACAGGACAATATCCTGCTGAGTGAAATCATGGCACCCCCCGCCGCCTCCGCCGAGCTCGACCCGAGCAACGGCTCTAAGAATACCCTCAAGCTTGAAAATGTTAAAATGCCCCTCCCACTCTATTGACTACAATATTTTTTAGCCGTTACTGACTCATTCCACAACTCCATAGACCGAGAAGCGTGACACCCTGATCGCAATTGAGAAGAAATACCAAGCACAATGGAAGGAGAACAAGGTTTTCGAGGTCGATGCCCCGTCCTTCGAGGAAATCCCCGAGGGTTCCATGACCGCCGACCAGATGCGCGAGAAGCACCCCAAGTTCTTCGGTACTATGGCTTACCCCTACATGAACGGCACCCTGCACGCCGGTCACAGTTTCACTGCCTCCAAGGTTGAGTTCATGGCTGGTTTTGCCCGCATGCAGGGCAAGCGTGCTCTGTTCCCGCTTGGTTTCCACTGCACTGGTATGCCCATCAAGGCCTGTGCTGATAAGCTTCGCGATGAGGTGAAGATGTTCGGCCAGAACTTTGAGGGATACCAAGAGGAGGAAGCCTCTGCCCCTGCCGCTCCCACCCAGGAGTCCAAGCCCGAGGTTAAGGAACAGGCCGAGAAGTTCTCTGGCAAGAAGAGCAAGGCCGCGGCCAAGACCGTGAAGATGAAGTACCAGTTCCAGATCATGTTGGCCATTGGTGTCCCTCTGGAGGATATTCACAAGTTCGCTGATGCCAACTACTGGCTGGACCACTTCCCCCCTCTCGCTGTGCGTGACCTCAACAGCATGGGTGCCCGCATCGATTGGCGCAGAGAGTTCGTCACCACCGACGCCAACCCTTACTACGATGCCTTCATCCGCTGGCAGATGAACCGCCTCCACGAGCTGGGCAAGATCATGTACGGTAGCCGTTACACCGTTTACTCGCCCAAGGATGGACAGCCCTGCATGGACCACGACCGTACCGAAGGTGAGGGTGTCGGTCCCCAGGAATACACTGCCATCAAGCTCCAGGTTAAGGAGTGGTCTCCTAAGCTCGCTGAGCTTGTCAAGGGTAAGATTGAGGAGGACGCCAAGGTTTACTTCGTTCCTGCTACTCTGCGTCCCGAGACCATGTATGGTCAGACCAACTGCTTCGTTGGTCCCAAGATCAACTACGGTCTTTTCAAGTTGAAGGAGAAGGAGTACATTGTTGTCACCAAGCGTGCTGCCTGGAACATGGCTTTCCAGGGTCACTTCTTCAGCAACGACAACTTCCCCAAGTCCCAGGACCAGCTGCCGCTTGTCGTCGAGGCTCCTGGTTCTGACTTTGTCGGCACTTTGGTTAACGCCCCTCTGTCCATCCACTCTGAAGGTGTTTACATTCTGCCTATGGATGGCGTTTCAGCCTCCAAGGGTACCGGTGTTGTCACTTCCGTCCCCTCAGACAGCCCCGATGACTACGCCACTCTGATGGATCTCATCAAGAAGGCCGATTTCTACGGTATCAAGAAGGAGTGGGCCGAGAAGGAGATCTACCCTGTCATCGAGACCCCTACCTACGGTAACCTGACTGCCCCCGCCCTGGTCAAGCAGCTGAAGATCAACTCCCCCAAGGATGTTACCCAGCTCGCTCAGGCTAAGGAGCTGGCCTACATGGAGGGATTCTACAAGGGAACCATGATCGTTGGTGAATACAAGGGCGAGGCTGTCAGCAGCGTCAAGGACAAGATCCGCAAGTCTCTCATTGACAGTGGTGACGCCTTCCCCTTTGCCGACCCCATGGGCAAGGTTGTCAGCCGTAGTGGTGATGACTGCGTTGTTGCCTACCTCGGACAATGGTTCTTGAACTACGGTGAGAACGACGCCCAGTGGCAGCAGACCACTCTCAACCACGTTGTCAACACTCTCAACACATACGCTCCTGAGACCAAGAACGGATTTGAGAAGAACCTGTCTTGGCTCAACCGCTGGGCTTGTGCCAGAACCTACGGTCTTGGATCCAAGCTTCCCTGGGACCAGCAGTTCTTGGTTGAGTCTCTGAGTGACAGCACCATCTACATGGCTTACTACACTATTTCTCACCTGCTGCACGGTGATCGTTACGGTAAGACCGTTGGTCTGCTGAACGTGAAGCCCGAGCAGATGATCGATGAAGTCTGGGACTACATCTTTACCCGCCGCGAAATCAGCGATGACCTGATTTCTAAGAGCGGAATCAGCAAGGAGGCTCTGCAGAAGATGCGCCGTGAGTTTGAGTACTGGTACCCTCTCGACGTCCGTGTCTCCGGCAAGGATCTTATCCAGAACCACTTGACCTTCTTCCTGTACATTCACATCGCTCTCTTCCCCGAGGAGTACTGGCCCCGCGGTGTTCGTGCCAACGGTCACCTGATGCTGAACGGTGAAAAGATGAGCAAGAGTACTGGTAACTTCCTCACCCTTAAGGATGCCGTTGATAAGTTCGGTGCCGATGCTACTCGTATTGCTTTCGCAGATGCCGGTGACAGCATCGAGGATGCCAACTTCGAGGAGGCTGTTGCCAACAGCAACATCCTGCGTCTTCACACCCTCAAGGACTGGATTGAGGAGATTGTCAAGGATGAGACCCTCCGTACTGGCCCGTCCGATTCATTCCCCGACCAGCTGTTCGAGAACGAGATCAACGCTCTTGTCCGTGAGACCCAGAAGCACTACCAGGAGTAAGTTCTTTTTTTTTTTAAAAAAAAAAATCCAAGCCCATTCTATAGTGACTCGCCACTGACTTTACACCAGTACTAACTTTAAGCTTGCCCTGAAGGCCGGTCTTTTCGACTTCACTAGCGCTCGTGATGCTTACCGTGAGGCCGCTGCTGCCTCCGGCGTTGGCATGCACCGCGATGTTCTTTTGCGCTACATCGAGCTCCAGGCTCTCATGCTTGCCCCCGTCGCTCCTCACTGGGCTGAGTACGTCTGGCTTGAGGTCTTGAAGAAGGTCAGTTTATACCCAAGTTCAGTTCAATCATACCGTCATTCCCTTGTCTAACTTAAACACAGACCGAGTCCATCCACTACGCCAAGTTCCCTACCGTGCCCGAGCCTTCTGCCGGCCTCTCCGCCGCCCAGGCTTACGTGCGTAACACCTCCTCTTCCATTCTCTCCGCCGAGGCCAGCTACGGCAAGCGTCTTTCCAAGGGCAAGAACATTGCCTTCGACCCCCGCAAGCCCAAGAAGGTTACCATTTACGCCGCCAAGAAGTTCCCTGTCTGGCAAGAGAAGTACATCGACCTTGTCCGCGATGCCTTTGATTCTCTCACCGTCTCCATCAACGACAAGGAGCTTAACGGCAAGATCGGCAAGCTTGGTGAGATGAAGAAGGCTATGCCCTTCGTTCAGGGTCTTAAGCGTCGCCTGATCCAGTCCCGCGAGACTCCTGAGACCGTCTTCGACCGCAAGCTTCCCTTCGACGAGTTCGCTGTTCTGGCCCAGCTTGTTGGTGGCCTGAAGCGCTCCGCTGGCTACAAGGAGATTGAGATCATTGCCGTTGAGGAAGGTGGCAAGACCGGTGAGGTCGTTGGTACTGGCGAGAAGAGGGATGGTCTTTCTGCCGAGAACTCTGTTCCCGGACAGCCTACCTTCTCTTTCTCCAACATTGAGTAGAAAGTTGTGGAGATATAAAGTTCTTATTCCCAGTGTCAATTTAAGAGTCATGTTTTATGAGCTTATGCTTAGAAAAAAAAGAAGTGCATTTGATTAGTTATTATGAGAATTTCAAGGTTCTTCAATGTTGTCATGCAAAGATTCAACTCAGGGATCATTTTCAACATTGGGTGGAAATATCAAGTGCTTCAGATGCTAGAAGGTACAAGAAAAAGCCCTGAGTACTCGTGACGAATATACAAACATTCAGCAAACTGAACAAACTGGGCAAATATTCAATTCCAATGTTGATTGCAAATTATGTGAGGCTGTGCGCGAAATCCAAATCTCAATTTCGCGCATAGCCCATAAACCGTCTATCTAGGGCAAACTGACATCTGGAGCAAACTTAGCAAACCGAGTTAAATGTCGCGCCTGATATGCTTGGAATCCACATATACACATGTTAATACCAATATCTATCCGCCTACCTGAATATTCGAATGTCTATGGCATATGTACAGGTAAAAAGTTTACATGGTCCCCGACCCGAGGCTTTTTCAAGCAGCTGAGCATTGGAACATTTGAAGGAATTAAAAAGGTACCAAAAATCTCGTGAATTTCTATCTATGCCCGCATAAATATCAAATCTCTTCATGTTCTTCAACGCCCCTTAGTACTTGGGAATGCAGACACCATCATTCCACTCAGTAGCGCCAACGCACTTCCAGCCGTCACAGCAAGACGGGCCGCTAGGCTGGCAGGCAACCTTGTAGTCTAAAAAGATAGTCAGCTCACTGCACTGGAAGTGTTCATCTGTTAATAGGGAAACTTACGGCCAACACAGGTGCGCTTCTCAAAGGCATCGGGAGAAGGAGTAGCAGTGGCGACGGCGGCCAAGGTAGCAATGAGGACGGCAATGAACTGCATTTTGATGGTTGGAATTGGTCTTGGGTGATCGGGAGATCGGTTGTTTGAACTTGAGAGTGGAGTGGAGTGGATTGGATTGTTTGGTTGATTGAGTTGATGATGTTCGATTTGTCGAGGAAATCTTTCGCTATTTAACAAGGAGTCAAGCCAGTATAGATTCTTTCTTTTGGGGCTTGGAAAACTCCGAATCCGTATAGCAATAGAATCTACAAGGCAATTTGTTTGTAGCTCTTGCCCAGATAGGTGAGTTTCTAGGATGAAACAATATTGAATGCCCTCTTTGACTCGATTGTTGTATCTTGGCAATGTTGAGCTAGTCGATCAATGGTTGTGATTTCCATTTGTAGATGGTCTGTCATTGTACCAACTCCTGATAATTTCCAGACGAAGGTGATGTCTCAGTAAGCGATGGGGCTATACTCCCATACTGGGCGATGCCAAGGTCGTGCCAAGGTCACAACCAGGTCTCCCTGAACCTGAGACGGAGTACTTCAACCCCCACGCCGAGCTTTTCATTAGTCCGGTGACTGCCTGAAGTAGTAGGTCTATCAGGAATAAGATGAAGAGCATTGTATACGTATTTGATTCCGAGGATGCCAATTGACTTCATATTTGCTTCGGGTCCAGTGGTGCCTGTGTGACAACGGAAGGAAATATGCAGAGCTCCGAAATGAAGACATGAAATTAATTGGGCCGAGGCAGATACATGCAATGATAATAGCCTTTGAATTTTTGTTTCGTACTAGTATGTAGTAGGAAACACGCGTGTTATAATCTATGGGTTTGCCCCATCCGGGTCGGCCCGGCACTACTACAACTTCTACAAGTGCCTGCATGATCTGCTAAATCTGACTCTTGAGTGTTAGTACTAGGATATAGTAAGAAATTGGTCACTCACGCAGCGAGCAAAGGAATAAAGTTTAGAGATGAGTATTTATTGTACAAGGAATATCTGTTGAATGGCAACGCCAACCGCTATGCTTGATGCTATATAGTACATGTATAGAAATTTAGGTAGGCCAAAGCGCCAGCTCAACTATACTGATGCCTCGTACGAGGTCTCTTGCGCTTATCTGCCTTGATCTTCTCTGCCATGAAGTTCCAGCATTCAATCGGTCTTCGGGCCCCAATATATTCACCTTTAGGTGAGAATACCTCCACTTGAGGATAGACGGGAGGCTCGTTTTCGGAGCCGCGTTTGTTCCGGACTTGAATGCTCACTTCAATCCAACCACAGCCCTCGATGAGGATATCAGCGGCCATAACACGGTAGGGAAGGTGGGGGATCGGAATGCCCTTGTCTTTGACAGCTTTGGCGACCGAGGTAGGAAGATTTGAAGCGGTGATGTCCCACTTCAAATCTATCTGGCCGGCAGAGGCCATGGTGCTACCAGTTCCTTCAATCATGAGGGCCTTGCCTCGATATGGCTTTTGCTCGGCTTGTATCTCAATTGCCTTTGCTGTGTTCGTAACATGCGACTCGATGGGCACGAAAGTGGCGGCCATCACGGTATCCTCGGGGTTCACAGCTGAGATCCGTATCAAGCCGCCACCGAGAAGAAGGGATTGACCGGGCTTGAGGGTACATCTCTCTGGCTTGATCCGCTTGGTCATGATTAAATCGCGTTTGTGCTCATCGCGCACGTGGTCCTCGAGCTCGCTGCGTTCCATGCCGGGTAGATCGATCATCTCACCCCGCCCCCGTCCAAATGGAATGCGAATGGGTGACACAGTGGTTCCAGGCAAGGAGGACACAATTGGAAGCACTGGGTACAGATCTTCACGAGGTGCAGGTGGAAGGAGACTGTCGGGGTTCAAAGGAGTTGTTTGTCGCTGGTTTTCAATGTCCTTCTCTCTTTGCGCCATCCACTCGGCCATGTTCTCTTCCCTTCGTGAGTCCTTGGGGAAACATGCCTCAATAAAACTGCTCTTGCCCACATTCGCCTTACCAACGACCCAAATACCTCCACCATGCTCCCGAATCTCTTCCTTGACTTGCTTAGTCCACCAGCCTCGGTGTGCGCTGATCATGTGCACGTTTCCTAGCCGGACATCCTGTCCCGATTTGCCCAAGGCATTGCGAAGAATTGAACGAACATATTCCATTTTAGAATCGACTTGCTCCTTTGTCGCGGCCAAAAGATCTGATCGTGTAATGATGAAGCTGATTGTGGGCATCTTCTGTCCATGATGATACTTCTCAGTGTTGGACCGCCGGTTTCGTGAGCGCTGCTCTTGAGCAAAAAGGGCCCAATGAATGCGAGGGACCAGAGACATGGGGAAATCGGCTGCATCCAGAATGTGGTATACTCGGTTATGCTTATGAGGCGACTCGTTGATGTATTCTCGGATGGAAAGAATCGATGGCTTTGGTGAAGATACAGCCTTGTTATGGTGCAGAAGATCATGGCAGCGATCGCAGACCTGGGTGTTTCGATCTGGCGATTCCAGAGATTGTGTAGAAAAGGGGACATTTTCTTGCGACCCTGGAGCCTGAATTGGATGAGCGACATCATTTTCTAGCAAAGCACCTGCTTGATTTTCAGTTAGTTAAGCAGTAAACGTGGAGTTCTAGATCGCATACCTTGGGTTGGTATAGGTGCTGTTGATTCATCACTAGCATCAATCTGTTCCAGTGGCGAGTCAACGAGAGGCTCATCCCCCGTCGCGACGCTTTCGGTCGCTTCTGTAGCCTCTGTCGCTTCGTTCATCTCAGTCGCTTCAATAACTTCGATGGCTTCGGCGGCTTCGGCAGCTTCAGTATCTTTCGTTAACTCTGTGGCCCCTGTGACCTCTGTCTCCATGGTTTCTTTCTCAGTCGTCTTTTTGCGAGAGGCCAGTAGCTTCCGGGTTTGCTTGCGATTTCCGCCATAGTATCCCGGTTCTTCCGGCTCGATTGTCTGTGTAAAAGCTCCGCATCCAGGACAGCACAAGGGAAGAGCATCGGCAAGTTCCTTAGAGCTCGTTTCTTGATGCTTAAAATGTGTGGTCGAGAAGCACCGGTGATGGTTCCGTATTTGCGTCGCGATACTGCCGCTGCTGATTTGCGACTGAACGGTTCGTAGGGCAGGGAGGGTCGTTGTTCTCAGAAAAGAATTGCATGGCTTCGGCTGCCATCGTAGCGAGCCTAGTCGCAGGGCTCGAGATATCGCGCCTCGAGAGCAAGGTGACATGGCGGTTGTGTACTAGGTTTGCGGAGTTCGCGCGGAGCTTTTTTTTTATCGGCCAGTTATCATATCAGTAGCGCTCCGCTTGCCGGACAACGAATTACACGTAAGAATCAAGATTAACAGACCAGCAACCATATACTTTCTTAATGTACTGTATTGACTTAATCAAACAAATAGCTTGAGTCAGGGACGAGAATTGGTAATTAAAGCCTTAATTTGGCATTTGTAAGAAAATAGTATCGACATAAAAGATTTGCGCTTAAAACTGAATATGCACTAAAAGCCGGGGAAACGCCATCATAATCCATAAGAAGCCAAATTTGTTACTTAGGCTCGTGCTTTGCCTTTGCCCTTGACATCCGTCTCCTCTTCCTCGTCCGAATCGCTCATGAATTCATCGTCATCGTCAAAGCCAATGAACCGACGGGGAGCAGGTTTCTGCGCGGGCGCAGAGGGTCCAGCGGCGCTCGAAGAAACTGCATTTTCGTCGTCCTCCTCCTCGTCCTCATCGGAGCTAGACGAATCCATGTGATCACTGCCCTCGCTGGCACTGGTACTCGAGCCACCCAGGATTGCATCTCGAAGATTGTCGGTCCAGGACCCATCCTTCATAGCCAATAGAACAGCTTCGCGCGCCTTCTCGTTCATTTCCTCCTTATCGTCCATCCACTGACCATCGATTTTCTCTCTTCCGCCACCGCTCTTGAGCTCGTCCTGGCGCTTCTCAGCCAGTTCGACGACGGCCTGCCAACGTTGGCGGCGCTCCTCCTTCTCTTTCTTGTCCATCTCGGGCTTAACAGCAAGGTATTCAGCGAGTGACTTGGCCTCGGCCACTGTACGGAGACGGCGTCCATCGAGGTTACGGCTGGAGCTGTTGTTGTCGCCTTGGTTGCGCTTGCGCTTGCTGGACATGCGGCCACCGGCGGCACGAAGCTGAGATCCGAAACCACCCTTACCACCGCACATGGGGACGGAGAGACGGACAGGGAGGAGAGTGGAGGCCATAGAAGCGCCATCGCGAACGATCAGGGACAGTACGGAGTCCGTAGAAGGTGTGATTTGCTTGTTATTTGTTGTTGTAAGGACCAGGGACTGGAGAGAAAGTGACGATGGGAGATATGAGGCGACTTTCTCCGTCAGGTCCGAGATGCTGGAGGTTGAAGGCAACGAGAACGACACAGTTGGCGGAAGCGAAAGACCGGGAAAGGATGAAAGCAAGATGTTCACGTTTGAGGACGCCATTTTGATTGAAGTGATGGGGGTGTAACCTCAAAGAGAGAGATATAAGACGGTTGCTGGGATGATTGTCAACGCGGAGCGGTAAGATCGATGAGACTCTGACATAAAGAGTCATGTGATCGAGCATAGATGACTCATCATGTACATAGTACTATGCATGGATATGCAGGTCATGTGACTAGGGCGTTAGCCCTAGCGAGGACCCCGAAAGAGCAATATCGCACTTTTCCTCGTAGCGGTGCTCCACTCTCTAACCTTTAAATCACCCATCTGTTCTTTGTCAAAGCGATTCCACGAATTGCGCCAGGAACTCGCGACAATGTAAGATTGAGCCCCAAATGATTCTTATTCATTTACAGCGACTAACAATTTCACAGGCTTATCCCTAAGGACGACCGCAAGAAGATCCACGAGTACCTCTTCCGCGGTATGTGACAGCGCCCTCGCCGGCACTTTGATCTTTCACTTCGCCTAAACCGACGGCTTTGCGAAAGAGCAAGGAGCAACTCGATGAACAATTGACTGACTTTGAATTTACAGAGGGTGTGCTCGTGGCCAAGAAGGACTTCAACCTTCCCAAGCACGGTGACATTGACACCAAGAACCTTTTCGTAAGCAAACTTCTGCTCGCGCCATGTCATTGGTATCTTTACTAATCATACTCTTCGCTCTACAGGTCATTAAGGCTCTTCAGTCTCTGGACTCCCGCGGTTTCGTCAAGACCCGCTTCTCGTGGCAGTACTACTACTACACCCTCACCCCCGAGGGTCTTGACTACCTCCGTGAATGGCTCCACCTCCCCGCTGAGGTTGTTCCCGCCACCCACATCAAGCAGCAGCGTTCCCACGCTCCCCCCCGCGGTATGATGGGCGGTGAGGACCGTGAGCGCCGTGCTCCCCGTGCTCCCCGTGAGGGTGGCCGCGAGGGTGGTTACCGCCGCCGCGAGGAGGGTGGTAAGGAGGGTGGTGCCCCCGGCGAGTTCGCTCCTTCCTTCCGTGGAGGATTCGGCCGTGGCCGTGGTGCCCCCGCTGCTCCCCAGTAAGGGATAGGCCCTGTTGTCCTGTCATCCACTGCTCGGTCATCCTAGGGACAGATGTAGCCGGTACTCGGTTTGGAGTAGAGCCACCAGAAATGGTGTGTTTCTGAAACGAACTGGTGCTAGGCGCATCTTTTTACGACCTCTTGTTTCTGAGACTTGGGGATACAGGAAATTAAAAAAAGTTGAAACGATGTCACTGTCTTGATGATGTAGTTTTTTCAATGGCAAAATCATGATTCGTGCCAATTTTGTGCTCTAGTAAACTCGTATAATTCTTTCCAAGGTTCAAAGGTTACAGTAGATACAGTTGATATAAGCTCGTGCTCCGTGCGCCACTAGCCTTTGGTGAATCTCTTACGATCATATCGCACCACCGCTTGCAGGATGACAGACGCTCCTGTGGCGCAGTCATCTGCAGAACAGAACTCCTCCGGGTGATGGCTAAGACCATCCTTACATGGAACGAAGATCATACTAGTCGGCACCCGCTTTGAGGTGAAGACACTGTCATGACCAGCACCGCTCATGATAGTTCTCACCAAAGACTTCGTGTCTGTCACAGGTGCATCCGCTACGACAGCATATGCAGACTCCTGGATGCAATCAATGCAGTCTTCGTGAAATTTGACAGCCGGCGAATCGAAATCAAGCGTCCATTCCACTCGGCAAGGCTTGCCAATGCCAGCGCCTTCCGCGGCAGCAATGGCGTCAAAATCACTACGAAGCTGATTCTCCACCTCGACCACCAAAGCCGATTCAGGCCCACGAATATCCAAACTAAAGCTCACAGTGCCGGGGACGGTGTTGACGCTTCCAGGCTTCGCCTCAACGATTCCAACACTAGCTAGGCAGCCCTTGGAAGCAGCGACCTCTCGGGCGCGCACCATCATCTGAGCAAATGCATACAATGCGTCTGCGCGATGCTCAAAAGCCGTCGTTCCTGTATGTGTGTCTCGCCCGATTACATTCAATCGGTACCAGCGATAGGCCTGCACTGCCGTGACCACCCCGACCCGCTGATCCGCGGAGACCAGATGGGGTCCTTGTTCAATGTGCAATTCAAAGTGAGCTGCCATTGGAGTGGTCTTATATGAGCAGGGCACGCTGCCGAGGTAGCCGATCTTCTGTAGAGCACTCTTCATCGTTTCTGGGGCCGAACTAGCCGTAGGCAATGAAGCCACTGTGGGGACTTCTTTGAGCTCGTGGGCTTGTGATAGTGGAATGCACTCTGCCCAGACGCCGGACGCGATCATGCTGATAGGGAAGCGGGCTCCTTCTTCACTGTTAAGAAGTTAGTGGATTTCTCTTCCTGGCAATTCTCACGTTTTCCAGAGTACATACTTGGTCCAGTTAACAACACCCACACCTCCTTCGGTCTCCAAACCCAGTTCATCCATCCTCTTAATAGCTTCCACACCCGACAAGACTCCCAGAATTCCATCATAGCGTCCTCCCGTGGGCTGTGTGTCAAGATGACTGCCAATAAATGTAGCTGGGACGTCTGTCCTTCGACCAGGACGGACTGCGAATATGTTGCCCATTTCATCGATAGTGATTTCGCACTTGAGGCCTTTCATAGTTTTAATGAACCAGTCCCGGACACTCTTGTCCTCTTCAGATATGGCGAGACGCTGCATTCCAGTATCGGTTGATCCACTATAGAGCCACAAAGAAATATGGTTAGTAAAAACTTCTGTATACTGAGTATCGTCGCATCGGGCCCCATGCAAATACTGAGCCACGGGAACACTTACTCTCCCCAGCGAATTCCAAATCCCCATTGACAGGACTCATGGAGGTCATTTGCAAGTCTCTCCTTATTGGCTCTCAGGGATGAGACCTCAACTTCGGATAATTCTGTCGTGAACATGGCGCGGTATACTGTTGTCGAGAAGGGCCTGTGGATATGCGAAGACAGCGGATTCTTGGCTTGTGATGCGACCAGGAGGGGTCTTCTCAGGATTGTATGTAAAAATTGCATGGCAGGCATAGCAAAATGCCGATGTCTTTTATAACATTTGAATCCAAATGCCTGGTTCGATAAGGAATCTTGGAAGCGGGGAATATCCATAGCGGACAAAGTCCGCCCTTGATAGCGTCTGCCGACATGCCGACTATACCTACCTACCTCGTATACCCATGCTCCACATTGGGGTAAGCATTTGAGTGGAGTCTTCTCCAACTTTATGACATATTGCACCTAGCAGTATACTTCACTCTTTATACTGATGAACTACTAATTATTTATGTGACTCATATTCATGCGAACATTGAAAGACTAGTAGATGGCTTTTTGTACATTATTTTCCTCAATACATTTGTACTGAATCTTAAGATGCTTTTTTTGAAGAAAGTTCTCAGTTGCGCTCTTCCTTGAATTCTATAATCTCGTTAGTGGTTAAAACAACAAATTCTAAGTAAAGTTAGCGAGTATACTATCCAAAAGGCCCGGGAGGTGGATGCAGCACATGTTACAAGCAAGGACTATGAGTCTCTAACTCACAACGTCAAGTGGCCAAACTTCGTGGTAGGAGCTGGAGATTCAGAAACAAAGAATAAATTGAAAGTCCCAGCAGATAGTAGTGAATAGTCAGGTAGATATTTTGGTATACCAAGTTACTAACCGAGTAAGTATACTTGGGTGCAGCGTCGGCTTATCATCGGCCGAAAGCGGTATGTGGGCCCGTGGGGTCGAGGCTCCGAGGCTCGAGCACCCCTCTTCGACTTATCCCTCGCAATACTGATCACCAACAACAGTCGCCCACCAATAATAGAAAAAAGATATGGCCAACGATAATGCAGACTGGGAGCTGGAGGAAGGGGTTCCTCAGGTGGAGGACCCATTCATCCAGAAGTACCTCAAGGGGCGCGATGCCCTTATCGCAGAGGAACACAAAAGGCGTCACGGTATGTTTGTTGATGAAATTGACACCGCCAACAGAAGATAACCTAACTAGCGCATCCAGACGCAACATTCCGGAAGACTTTGTCTCCCATTGCTGCACGAGCTTGCAAAATTGTCTCCCAGATCCGGGCTCGTGAGCAGAATGAGATATGGACACAAGGGTTAGATGAAGCGACGGCCCACCAGTCAGACGAGATACTCTACCCAGGCGTCATGTTCCACCATGCCAAGGGTCGCATGGAGAAGACTAACTTGTGGAAAATTGTGGAGAAAATGCCCAAGGGATCGCTCCTGCACGCCCACATGGATGCGATGTTCGACATCGACTTCTTGATTGACCAGGCGTTTTCAACACCTGGGATGCACATCTCGGCACCAGCCCCGCTGATTACTTCCAAAGATTACGAGACTGCACCTTTCGGATTCCAGTTTTCACCTCAGTCTCAGACCGCCTCTGGCAAGACCGCTATGTGGTCTGAGAAGTATGAAGCTTCAACACTCATTCCTATCCAAGCCGCAGCGGCTTCATTCCCTAATGGTGGAGAGGCGGGGTTCCGGGAATGGGTTAAGAGTCGATGCATGCTCATGCCAGAGCACTCATACCAACACCACCACGGAGTTGATGCGATTTGGGACATCTTCAAACGAACTTTCGGTGTCATCAACTCCATTTTGATGTATGAACCAATTTTCCGAGCGTGTCTACGTCGCATGTTGGGGCAACTTGCCGCCGATGGTATCCGTTATGTCGAGTTTCGTATTGTGTTGTTCATTCCCTACCGAAAAGAAGGGAGTAATGATCCTGAAACAGACAATGAAGAATTCCTTCGGGTATTTGAGGAAGAGGTGAATCTATTCAAGAACTCCGATGAAGGAAAGAAGTTTTATGAAGCACGAATCATCTGGTGCAGCTTGCGAAGACTCCCGAATGCAGATATCGTTGAAGATATGAAAAAGTGTATCGCCATGAAGCAGTCTTTCCCGGATCTGATCTGTGGATATGATTTGGTTGGCCAAGAGGATGACGGCAGACCTCTAGTGGATCTTGTACCGCTGCTATTTTGGTTCAAAAAGCGCTGCGCGGAGGAGGGAGAAGACATCCCGTTCTTTTTCCATGCCGGTGAAACTCTAGGAGATGGTGATGAAACAGATCACAATCTTTTTGATGCAATTTTGCTGGGAACAAGAAGAATTGGACATGGGTACTCTTTATATAAACACCCACTCCTCATCGACTTGGTCAAGGAAAAGAACATTTTAGTCGAGTGTTGCCCGATCTCCAATGAGATCCTCCGACTTACGAGCTCCATTAAGTCTCATCCCCTACCGGCCATGTTGTCTCGGGGAGTTCCTGTCTCTCTCTGCAATGATGACCCTGCTATTCTTGGTCACGGGAAGAACGGATTGACACATGATTTCTGGCAGGTCATGCAAGGCCTCCAAAACGTCGACCTTGCGGGACTGGCAATGATGGTACAGAATTCAATTCGGTGGAGTTGCTATGAAGATCAAACGACCCCTGAGTGGAAAGCCGAGGTGGAAGATGGAATCCTGGGCGAGGGAATCAAGGCTGCTCGTCTACGAGAATGGTACTCGGAGTTTGAGAAGTTTTGTGAGTGGGTGGTGATGGAGTTTGCGGAGTTTGATGACGATGATTGAAAATAGAATACTTCTTCTAATCTGTTTATCAAGAAAATTATCTGGATCAAAAGAAAAGACTAGATGTATTGAATGATCGAACCAAAGAACTAAACAGAGATCGGCGTACCTGGGTAGCCTTAAGAAACAAAGCTAGTTAGTCATCATACCCACTTGGGCAGGCACCAAGGCAACTAAAGCACGTATGATCGCCCCTCCAGGTAGATTGAAAGAGCACAGATCTCGAATCTGCGGACCTCGGAATGCTTGAATAAATGATAGGCATGAGCGGGGCAAAGCCGAATATTCAGACATTTTGGAACCATTATCTTGTTTACACGTACTAGTTATTTAGTTGTGGTCCTTGTGGAGCCGCCTGACTGGGCCGATCACTTATCGCCTTTATCAGCTGCCCACTCCCACTCCGCACGTCATTGAACTCTCTACTCTTCAACTCCCTCGGGGGGACAGCGTCTCAACCTTCGTTCTATCGCTTATAATGTCTCTTACTCGATGATACCTATTTCTGCATGACTGAGCGATCCGACGCTCCCAAAAATGGCGTACTTTTTACCATCATTCTTTCAAAAGCGACTTCTCAAATATGCCTTATCCCGCCTTGGGCTCGTTGACACCGAGGCCTTGGACCTTGATAACCTGGGTATCCGCTGGGGGCAGCGGAGTACCGTGGAGCTAAGAGACATTGGCTTGAAGTTGGAGGTGAGTAGAAAACACCACCTTGAGGACGCGGGGGATGTCGATCACCCCTGTCATACTACCAGAACATCGATTACTCACATCTCGAATCTATCAACAGAAACTAGCGATTTTACTCAACCTTCCTCCGACATGTGAACTGCTCAGTGCTCGGATACAGTTTCTAAGGATAACCGTTCCAGCGGACATCTACAGTAGCGGGATAATATGCGAGATCAACGGCATCAATGTGCACCTGCGCTGCTTGCCAGATGAACCTCCAACAGCGAGGCATGAGAAGTCCAAGTCCCAATCTTTGACTGCTCAGGGGGTGCACGGGCTCGGAGAGGAACAGACTCTACCGACCCCATCTCATCTCGCCGAGTCATTTCTGGAAGCCGAACCCCAGGAGGAAAAAGAGGAGCTTCAAGCCGCTCTTTCATCACAATCTCATGTCTTCCAACGCAGCTCTTTGTTTGCCGAGGAAGAAGAGGAGGAGGAGCTTGGGCTCGGAAACGATACACTTTCATTACCGAGCTTTGTCGCGGGCTTCTTGAAAGGAGTGGCCGATCGGTTTCAGTTAAGTATCAAAGACGTCTCTGTGCGTCTAGATATGGAGCTAAAGCAAGATGCTCCCTCCAAGAGACAGCCCGAGGACAGGCCGGATCTTGTCGCAGGGTTTCTGAGTGTGGGGGAGATCGATGTTCATGGGGTTTCTGGAGTCACCGCTAGCTCGGATAATCATACACCACTTCGAGAGGGGAAGCGACTAATATCGCTTGCTAATATCAGCGTTGGCCTTGTATCGGATCCAGTGGTGTTTGCAAACTATTCGCGATTTACCGCACCTACATCTCCGGCAACTACAATGCAGTCTAAGGAGAGCCAGACATCAAGCAGAGCACCCTCACCACCTTTATTGGATTCCCCTGGATCAGAGTCGGCGCTTGCCATGACGCGGTCAACTATCTTTGACCCCCGGCCTGAATTTAGCCAGGCTAGCATTCCCGATAATGAATTGGACACATCGGCCGTATTCTCTCACGATGGACGCTTTTCAGACGCAGATTCAGAAGCGGATCACCGATTTGACCATTTCCCCGATGACTCTCAAGTTTTTGGGAATCATGATCCCTTTTCAGACAATCCCGGATATTTGGATTCGGTCATTGATGCTCATTTCGATGACTTTGATGTAGAATCACCTGAAATGGGACATTCCGATCACCACGTAGATGCGTCTCCGGGTAGCTCTATCCTTCTTCGACATCCATTAAACGCCAACCAAGAGGCAGCAGAGCATTCGCATGTCAAACTTGCACACTCTGAACCCCACCTAGAAGTTCAAACGGAATACCAAGTTTCCGATTTATCACAGGCAAACCAGCAGAAACCGGCGGCGAGTGGCATGGCTGAGTCAACGCACTGGTCTTCTCATTTGGAGGAAGGGATCCCAGAGGTAACAGCCAAGCCACAAAACTCTTCTCGGGTGTCTGCCTCATCCTCATCCTCTGAATCTGAAGACGGAGTCTCGGAGTCTGCAACTCCCGATGCAGAACTTCTCGAATCTAAGTACTTTTCTCATGATGAAGCACAAAGTTTATATATGAGTGCTCTGAGTCAAGGCACTGCACATAGTTTTATGCCAAACATGCCGGGCGCGTGGGACTCATTTGATGCTGGAGAGCAGTCAAAACCCAACTCCATGCAACATCCAGAGTCCAGGAAACCACACAGCATGGATTCTAGCCAAGACTTCCAGGACGAGACAACGGCATCCACCCCCAGACTGACCGCTCCATCAGATTCTTATTTTGATGAACAGCGGACCGTTGGAGACCAGACACAATCAAAGTCCAGACTGTCTGATAGAGATTCCACCCCATCTTCGCCTGTCCTACATAGGACCAGTGAGATCAAAAAGCCTATTCTCAACATTGACAAATTGCGAGTTTGGCTCCCTTCTGCTGCAAGTGAAGAAGAGACTGGCGACTATACACCAACGCGGGCATCTTTCGAAAGCGCAGATGGCGATTCTCAAGATCTTGCATATGGCGTCGAAGAGAGCATGTTTGCTTCTAAGACATATGCTTCGTCTAGGTTTCAAAGAGCCCCGACTGAGTCTCCTGCATTCACCGAGGCGGGTCGCTCCGACCAAGTGAATGCAAATGTTGATGATCATCTTCAAAGATTGGAAGTTGAAGTTTCTTCAATCATTACACACTTTGATATAGCCACTGGTTGGCTTTTGATCAAGGCAGGCCAGAGGATATTGCAAATGAACGATGGAGCAGGCAAGGACCAACCCAAAGAGCCACTCGTAGAAGATCAGTCTTCCCCGCGTCTGCCCTTGGATTTGACAATCCACGATCTTTCTATCAAGTTCGTGGAGCATGTGCCAGGATATCCGCATTCAATCGGCAATGATATTTCCTCTCCACCGCGACCATACACCAACATGGAAGAAATTGTTCTTCAAATAAACGCATCTGGATTGAGAGCAAATTTGTCGGCGGATGAAAAGCGAACTAACTTCCACCTTGGCATCTCTAAATTCACCTTTGGTTTTGCCTCGGATGATCTTGTATCATTTAACGAGTCTTTGAGAATGCGCGAATCTACCAGAGACCTCGCAACACCATCCCAAGGCGACATCTCCTTTTCGATGACGAAGATGACAGACTCCAGTAAAATTGATATTATCACCCTTCCCATCTATCTCAATCTCAATATTCAACGCCTGGAAGAGGTTCTAGGTTGGATGGGTGGATTAAGCACCATTCTGGAATTGGGAAGTTCTATATCGTCGACCTCCACCATGAAAGGCGGCCACAAGCCTCCAAAGAAACGCCCGCGCGGTGTTCACTTTGAGACCCCCAGCCATGCGCCCGAGAAAGAGCAGCAGTCTTCTTCCCAAATGAAGGTTAATGCACGGCTCGGTGGCGTTGTCCTCGACGTTACTGGCGAGACTCATTACCTGAACCTCAGCACAACTGCCGTGAAGATTGTTAGCAGATTTGAGGGGATCGGTGCCCAAATCGACAAGGCGCAATTGATTGGACCACTTCCACTTGATGATTTCTCTGACGCCCCGGTCAAAGTGACTCTGAATAACATTCGGGTTGAGTTTCTCTTTGCACCCAAAGAAGTTGATCTCGATCGTCTCTTGACCCTTATCACTCCGTCTCAGGATAAATATGACGATGAAGACGATATCATGGTTGATACGCTTTTGCGGCAAAGACGACAGGGGTCTGTTCTTCGCACCACAGTAGGTGGAATGAAGACGGTCGTGTCTAGTATTGATGGCTTAGCCCCTTTGCCATTCCTCATGTCAGAGCTTAGCCGACTGTCCACAGTCACGAAATATCTACCCGAGGATGATCGGCCGGGGATTTTGACCCTCTCTCTAGTTCGTGAATTTGACCTTCAAGTCGATGTAGGCGGAGATGTTGGATACATCAATGCCCATATTGCCAACGCCGAGGCTGCCTGGATCAGCATGCCATCTCTCATTGCTACTCAGATCGGTGCAATAAGACTCATTCGAAATGATGATGAAGAGCTCATGGGCGACGCATTATTACCCGACAGAGATCAGACTCCAATTCAGCCGCAACCTCCCGTTCTTATGGCTCGATTCATTCCCGATGAAATGGACCCTACTTTCAAAATCAAGCTGCATCACCTGCGTCTCGAGTACACAATCCCCTCGATTATGGCATTCCTCGGACTTGGTCGCGACAGCACGGGTGGAGATTTGGCTGGCGAGATGGCGAACTCAATCGCCAATCTTGCAGAGCAGTCCACTCGATCAACAAAGATTCCTGGTCTTTCTCCATCACAATCAGACACACCCAAAGCGTCCGTTAAGGCAACGAAAATCGCGGTTGTATTTAGAGACTGCGTTATTGGGCTGAACCCACGCAATTCCCCATCTAAAGGACTTGTTGTCCTTTCCAATTCAAAGTTCACTGCTACTATGCACAGTCAAGAGTCAACTGAAGCCTTACTTGACATCAGAAAGGCATCTGTTATGATAATAGATGATGTGTCAAATGTGGGTTTGGCTGACAATCTCCACCAACGTCGATCGGCCGTCATCCAAAGCAACCAAGTCCAGGCATACATAAACGAGGGCTATGTTCCTGTGACGACTATTTCCTCCGCAACGGCTGTTGTGAAAGTCATGCAACTTGCAGCAGACGGAACGAAGTCGCTGGATGTCGAGCTGAGGGACGATCTGCTGATACTGGATACATGTGCTGATTCCACGCAAACTCTCGTTGCTATTCTAAACGGACTGCAGCCCCCCACGCCGCCGAGCGTCACTGCCAAGTATAGAACGGAAGTTATGCCACTCCAGGACATGCTCGCTTCATTTACAGGTGACGCTTTCTCAGCAGACGATAGCTTGCCAACTAAGACACATAGCGAGACGGAAGCTGGCTTCGATGAAACCGACTCAGAAGGTCACCTCAGCGATGAACTTGAATACGTCAGTGATTTCTACCCTAACACACAGAAGGCAACTGGGAGTCCCGGGGCCTTCGATGCGAATGACCTCCTAGACAGCTTTCATTCTCAGTATCAAATCTCGTCAAGCATCACGGAGTTGGATTTCCAAGAGGATCATTTTGCCAAGCAGTCTGCTGTAGGTGGCACAGCGCATCGATGGGACTCAACCCACAATACATACGGTCTTTCCAATGATCATAAGCTGCAGCGCAGTCCTCTTCGGGTAAGAGTGCGAGATATGCATGTCATCTGGAATCTGTTTGATGGCTATGACTGGCAACGGACTCGAGATACCATTTCCAGAGCTGTCAAGGATGTTGAGACCAAAGCGACGGAGCGAAGAGCACGAGCTTCTCGAATGTCACCTGATGCTGAAGATGAAGAAGAATCAGTCATTGGTGACTTTCTCTTCAACTCGATCTACATTGGTATTCCGGCGAACAAGGATCCACGGGAGCTTCACCGTGAAATTAATCGGGATATTAACGATCTTGCGAGTGAAACTGGAAGCTATGCCACAACGACGACGGTCACTGGAGCTACTGGCCGCCAAGGTCGACCCACATCAGAGAGGGAGAAGAAGCTACGCCTGAACCGGAGCAAACAACACAAGATGACGTTTGAGCTGAAAGGTGTCTGTGCTGATTTGGTTGTGTTTCCGCCTGGCTCTGGGGAGACCCAAAGCTCTCTAGATGTTCGGGTCAGGGACCTGGAAATCTTTGACCATGTGCCTACATCTACTTGGAAGAAATTTGCGACTTATATGCATGAGGCAGGAGAGAGGGAAAGTGGAACTAGCATGGTTCACCTAGAAATTCTTACCGTGAAACCCGTTCCAGAACTTGCGGCCTCTGAGATTGTTCTCAAGGTAAGGCTTCGGTGATTTGATACCTATTTTGTCATTTCTAATTGTTTTACAGGCCACGGTTCTGCCGATTCGCTTGATTGTTGACCAGGATGCTTTGGAGTTCATGAGTCGATTCTTTGAATTCAGAGATGAATCCGTCGAACCATCTAGCACCCCAGGAGATATACCATTCTTACAACGAGTGGAGGTCAACGCCATCCAGGTCAAGCTAGATTTCAAGCCAAAGAGAGTTGATTATGCCGGACTCCGATCTGGTCGCACGACTGAGTTCATGAACTTTTTTGTACTTGATGGCTCTGACATGGTACTACGACATGTCATCATCTACGGTGTGTCTGGCTTCGACCGCCTTGGCAACACCCTCAATGACATCTGGATGCCGGATGTCAAGCGTAATCAGCTACCCGGTGTTCTCGCTGGCCTCGCGCCGATTCGTTCTTTGGTCAATGTGGGCGGGGGCGTGAAGGACCTGGTTGTCGTCCCGATGCGCGAATATCGAAAGGATGGGCGCATTGTACGCAGTATCCAGAAAGGAGCGCTGGCATTTGCGAAGACCACATCAAACGAATTGGTGAAACTGGGAGCCAAACTTGCAATCGGCACACAGACCGTGTTACAGGGTGCAGAAGACCTCCTCACGTCGCCCACTGTCCCCTCAGCTTCTACCGAGGAAGACCGAGAAGACGAAGAAGAGGCAAAGAAGATCTCCCTCTATGCTGACCAACCAATTGGCGTAGTCCAAGGTCTACGTGGTGCTTTCCGTGGCCTAGAGCGCGATCTTCTCTTGGCCCGTGATGCTATCGTCGCCGTACCAGGAGAAGTTGTAGAAAGTGGTAGCGCGAAAGCAGCCGCCAAAGCTGTCTGGAAACGTGCACCGACTGTTATTCTCCGACCTGCAATCGGAGTTTCCAAAGCAGTGGGGCAAACCCTTCTTGGTGCAGGCAATACATTGGATCCAAGCAACAGGCGCAGAATGGAAGATGTAAGTGGTGGCCTCAAAACATTCCAAAATTACAATGCTAATATTCGTTTAGAAATATAAACGTCACTGAGATTTATGATCTGGAGTGGAATTACCCACTGAGATGAATTTTCTTTCCCCACATGTTGTATTTGCTTATTTGCTTATTTGCTTATTTTCTATTTTTTTTTTGACTCGTAGATACTATACTCCATTCTTTACTGCGATGATACCACCGTTGGACTGATATGACAATGCATGTAAAATTGCTACTACAAATGCATGATATGGGAGTTTGGAATTGTGAATATTTTATTAGTTTTTGTGCTGGCCATCCCTTTGTAACCTTTTTACATACCATATGGGATGCGCAAGATACATTCAATGCTTCCTCTTGCACGTGAAACAGGGTCTACACAGTAGACGCGGATAGCTTTAGAATATTCTATTTATATATTTATAGATCCTGACATCTGGACGCGACTGGGAGTCACTACCAACATTTGAAGGTGGTTTGTTTTCTGCACATGTGAGAAACGCGTTCTGGGCCTTCTTTATCTCCTCTCCAACCTTCTGGAAGTTCTTTCACTGTCTTGAAGGTGTTCAAATTGTTTCCTGAGAACGCGTTTTGGGCTGTACCTGTCACCATTCTCTCCAGAAACCAGACCTGAAGCTTCTTCTCAATCTCATTGAATATCCTTTGCAATTCGTGATAATATTTGACCTCTAAGGTCAGGCGCCGGGCCTTCACACAGGTATCAAGAATCCTTCTCGGGGATATCAGCACCAAAACTAACCCTTCTCAAAAGCCACAGATAGGCCCTAATAACTCGAAGGTAGCCAATTCTACCATGGCCCAACCCTTGACCCCACCCAATATGTCAATCACAAGTTTACCTTCAGAGCTTTTGACTCGGATCTGTGACTTTCTGGAGCCTGGAGAATGGGGCAAGTTCAGAGGCACTTGCCACCAAATTTTTGCCAACACACTGGAAGCCTACACGTCACGTTACTTCAAAAAAATCTCAATCATTCTCACACGTGAAGGCCTCAAACACCTGGAAGGGATTGCAGGCAGTGAAGTCCTTCGTGGTTCAGTCAAAGAAGTTTGGATCATCCCGAACCTGTTCGAAGGCTATTCAAAAGTGGATAAGGCAAAACTCATAGAGGTGGACCCCGAGGATTATCGTTCGACATTAGGACAATTACCGACAGAGGAAGAAATGTATCAATTTGGGTGTATGCTTGAGTTTGTCTATGGACTTTACAAAGCTCAAATACGAGAACACATTCTGAATCTTCAAGGTTCAGGACTCTCGAAGACCCTTGAAAAATGCCTTCCATGTCTTGAAAACCTTACGAGCGTTGGGGTTCAAAGTTTCGATACAAGCTTGCTCCTCAGTGTCCCGATAGACTTTAGCTGTCTGGGCCTACGCAAATTCAAGAGCACATTTTGCGGTGTCAGAAACTACAGGGATTGGCCAGTATGTCATCCACGGCATCAAGACTTCTCTATTCTTCACGCTTTAACATTCTCACATCTGCTGAAGGCCATCGTTAAATCTGGCCGAAAAGTTCAAGCCCTCCACACTTGCGCTAATCAGACTTGCGGCATGAAGTTGAAATTCTTTGAACTGTCAAAATCAGACTATGAAAGACTGCTTCCGCTTTTATCAGATCTGGTGACTCTACATCTGAGCATTCGTTTGGCAGATTACAAGTTCGAGGTATTCAATGAGGCGACGTTCAAATATCTTCTCAAGATTCTGGCCAGAGTTGCGTCGACTCTGAAAACTCTAACCTTTGCCCAGTGGAGTCCCAGTGAGGAATTGTCCGCTCACTACTTTCAGAATCTCTCCCAGAGTATTCAGTTCTCTCAGCTAAAGGAACTGAGTCTTTATTCTATCGAAGTGAGAACAGAAACTCTCAGAGTATTTCTTCGCACAGCAGCTCCTACTCTGAGACGACTGAGCATGAACTTGGTCAGTCTAACCGATCCAATCACCGCAGCCCCAGACTTAGAAGTCATGAGTGGAGATCCGGGGACCTGGTACACTTCATTGTCTATCGAGGTCAAAAATGAGATCAAGGGTCTCTGGGAGCGGGTTTTTCAATCCTGGGCAGATCAACTCGACCTGCATTTCGTCCGGCTGTCTGATCTTGGTTACCGTGGAAGGGATATCAGGTTGATAGATCCTTTGCGTTTGCAACACGGACAACGGGATTCACGGCTTTCTTCCCTGGTACGATCTTTATGCTTTGATACTCAGAAGACGAGTATAACTTTCAAGCAATGGGTCACGCAGCTTCGGGTGGAGATGTGGCATAGGCCAGGATTTGGTAATCCCCGGCTCCCAGCGACAAGCAGGATCAACTTCAGTGGGCTAAGACATTGAATGACATTGCCCTCTTTATGCATTTACCTCCGTGCATGTGGACTTTGAACATTTGAAGATCATAGGTAGAATTTTTCCGTTCCATATGAACGAGGTGTCTATGGCGCTCGACAATGAAATATTTTAAATTATTCCAAGATTGTTGCTTGCGCAGAACCAGTGCTAGGTCCACACGGTCTTTGGTCATACGCACGGCTAGGTTCAAATGCTTCAAAAATAGTCTTTGAATCATTCTCATCAATAGGTAGTAGTATATACATACCTACTTAACATTGAAACACGATACATATGATTGGTTGGTTCTACTCCGGGCGGAAAAGCGGCGAGGGGTGGGGACTAAAACGGAAGGAGAGTGCGAAGGAAGTCAGATATTCTCTACATATTGGGTCTTCCAAGTTGAATTCAATAATCAATTGATGCACATGTGCTGATCGCTCAAATATTGAATGTCAACTGGTTTCAAAGAAGTTCAAATCCATCGTTCCATGGATCCATGAATGTTGAGCAAGATTTTTGTAACGTGTACATATGTATAGATGGATATATACATAGCCACGCACTTGGGTATGCAGATTTTTATGTCGATCATTTGATTCTTCAAACGCCTTGATTTCGATATTGCATGCCTTGAAAATTAGTTGGATAATGCTGGAAAGTACCAAGGTAGATTATTCGATAGGGGTAATTTACAACAAAAATAGCTATCGGATCTACTGTCTTGAATGGCATAGAGTGGCAAATCCACCCATTTCCTTATGTTCCTGAACGCCCGAGGTAAGAAAATCTACTTTTGCCAATGGAGTCAAATCAGTAACGGGTCGGTTAAACTAGTATTAAAGTAAGTACTAGTACATAAGCATTATGATTGAAATGTGCATATAAAAATAAATCGGAAATCATTGAACATTGAACGTTGACTGGATTATACGCCACTGCAGGGGCGCAGAGAGTTCTGTACGCCGATCACGGGGGCCAATTGCAATTGGAGCACCCATTTCTTTTCTTCTTTTCTTTTTCTTCTTTACCCCTTGGATGATATCTCCCGAATCATGAATCATGCACTTGCTCAGGTACGAAGTCGTGAGTTTTTTGGCTGAATGATCCATGGATTGGATCATCGCACACGAGATTCCCCATATAGTAATTGACGAGTCCCTGATGGTGTTGAGGATCCACATCTGCATCACCATTTGTACGTGCAGGGATTTTCTCTGGTCCGCCACATGCCCACTTGGATCAATCCAAGCCAACCAAGTGAAAAGGGTTTTTGAAAATTTCCTGCCCAAGTCATCGCCCTCTTTCAGCCCTGATGACAAAGTCTTCCTTCTCGCCCCCGAGTGGTGGACTCGATCTCGGAGGGTGTGGGCCTTACGTTAAAATGCCCGTTCACGCGCATGATTGGCTGGGGGTGGAACGGGCTAGAGTGAGAATGGTGCCCTAAAGATGCCGCTAAGATCAGGCGATGGAGCGAACGACGTATAGCCTACAGATTACAAGTGATAATCGCTTTCTCATGCATGTCATTTCTACAAGTTTGTTTTTGCTTTATTTCTCTTATTCCATAGGAGGTCTAAATGATGGTTATTGAGGATCTTGGGCCACCACCACACCTCATCAACACACAGACACACACACAGACTCGGTCGGGCACAGAGTTTATGCATGCGACACCGACTTTTCACCCTTGTTCTTCCGTACTCCGGATCCCACGGGGAGGTGACGTCTTCCATTTGCAATCCCATTGCCGTACATAAGGCCATTATGAGTTCTGAACCACTGGTTCGACCCATCGTTCCTGAGTCCAGACGAGATCGAGACTCAAGTGGAGATTGAGTGGATTCAAGAGTGGATCTTCCGAAGAAAAAAAAAGGCGAACAAGAGCGAAGAACGAGGAACGAGGAACAAGGAACAAGAACAACCCCAGGTACTTTACGGCCCCGATTACCGAGTAGTAAAAAAAAAGAGGTGAAAAAAAAAGATTCATCCTTTCAATCAGTGATTCTTGTTTTCTTTTTGTTGTTGATTCTTTTTTCTGTACCTTGCATTGACGGTGAACTGGTGAGCAGATACATCCCTTGCTTAGAGTTCCCCCCACTTGGGACTAATTGGATGTATAGAGTGCGGGCGTTCAAATCATCCACAAAGAGGATATGTCACAACGCTAAACGGGCAATTGGAGACGAACCCCCTCAAAAAGCTGTTTCAAGCCAATTGAATGTTAGCAATCATGGACAGAGAGCACGAGCTTCTGTCCACCGACTCATTCGGGGTTTGGTATGGAAATGAGCTGCTGGATGGCTCTTTATATACCATCGATCGTGCCAATGCAACCTACCACGAACCCCTTCCTAAAGACGCATCACTCCCTACTCGCTCAATTGCTCTCACCGGTACTTTATCTCTCCACGATTATCGAAAGCATCTCGCACTGGCTGCACAGTGCACCGACGATCCCGTAGATCGCTGTGAAAAGACTCTCCGCCGCAAAACGGCAACAAGCAATTTGAACCGTCCATCAGAGATTGTTCCTGTTCACTACGCAGCATCAACTACTTCATCGGTGGCATCAACTCCTCCACCGTTGTCACCATCGTGTTCGCATAGCATTCTCTCTCTGCGAAGCGACCAAGACGAGGTCTCAGAATCTGGTCAGCTGCAGTCTGGTAAGTACCTTCCTGCAGAGATGATCAAATTAAACAGATAAGGAGATCTAATTAAAAACCTGCAGGTGGGCATCCTACACAGGGGCCACGAGTTGGGCTTGTCTCGGAGCATCTGACCCGTCCTAGACCCAACAGGAAACGATTGGTGAGTTTTAGACTGAAACCTTGGATAAATAAAGTCATCGTCCCATCCTTGTTTTGACTGACCAATTTTCTAGAATACCTTTCGTGAGAAGCTTGAGGCGCGGGGACAGGCTCAAAATTCGCCATTGTCTCGCCCCCAGAAGTCTGAATCCGACCCGATGTTGGCCACCACCCACGCCACCATCTCCCATGGCGGGGCCTCCTTTGAGATCCTGAACCCGCGAAAGTCCCTTGACTTTGCTCGCATAGTCTCCTTCATTGAAGATGTCGATAGTTGTTCCATCTTCTCCGACCAAATTAGGGATTCCACGCTCTCTAGCTTCTCTATAGATCAGGGACTGGACCGGTCCTCCCTCTCCCAGTTTACAGATGCCTCACTACCATCCCATTATTCTTCACAATCATTATACACCTCCTTGTCATCGCCCTACTCCACGCCCAAGAGGCAAACGGCCGACATCCCCTCATCGTCACCCGGAGTGCACGACAAAACCCACTCATTCTCCGAGTACCCTTCCAACGAATACGACTCCTGGTCCTTTGATCGGTATGATCCAAAACAACTAAACAACGACATAGTCGGTGAAGAATATTCTCCACGACCACGCATGACCTCCATCTCAGAACGCCTCGAAGAAAGAGAAGAGGAACTAGCTTCCTACCCCTCCGACTCCACCAAGCGACCTTCAACATCATCATCCTCCTCATCTTCCCCACCAACCTACTACTCTGAGAGTGAAATCGGCGAGCCGGGCTCCCCTGTCTACGCCAACGGCGAATGGTCGCAGGTCGACGGCCGAGACCGAGGTATCTTCCTCGAGCTCCCGCCATCCCCATCGTCTCCTTCTCCCTATGACATTGAAACGGAGAACGAGACTGAAAATGAAAATGACCCTCCCTCCCCATACGACACCTACCTAGCCAACACAATGTCTCCCGCTTACTCCCACCATTACGATCACGACCCCTATGACCCAATTTACTTTGATCCCCATGTACAATCCGTGCTGGCCGCGGCCAATGCTGAGACCATGGGCCTCCGCGGGCACCCTGCTCGCGCGCTAGACGACTTGCAGCGGAGGTTTCAGAGCTCTGTTTCCCTGGCTGAGGGAGGCCGCAAAGGCGATAATTCCCAGCGCAAGCGACTGCGGAAGTTTTTCAGCTGGCGGTCTGGAAACTGATTGCTGTTTTCATATACACTATATGATATCATGATTGAATGGCGGCTTTCTTCTTTCTTCTTCTTTTTATTCAATTCTTCCGCCGCTTATTTTTTATACCTTTCTCTTCCTCCTTCTTTTCTGGGCTGTATTTTTATTTTCTATGGGTTATCAACTTTTATTTCTCTTTTGGATTGAGTCCGGGACCCTTTTACCTAATTATCACTGGTTCTGATACAAGGATAATTAAACTATACCATTTTCCACGTCCATATCTGATTTCTCCAACATTAACCCCTCAATACTCATAATAATCCTAGTAAGACCGTAAAATATGGGTAAATCTGCTACCTAATACGAATCGCGCTTCGCAAGCCGACATTTAGTCTACATTAAAATCGACATCACTTTCCCCGCTAATCAGTGTTAAATCGATCTAACCTACCTGCACTTAATCGTCTGCATAGTCATAATGAGAATATGTCCACGTTGAGATATGCGCCATACAGAACGATTTAAAACCACTCGGGGTCTTGCTGCCGGAATGAGGATTAGGTTTGCTGCTTGGTTGCGGGGTCTTGCAGCATGTCGTTTGCAGTCCTGAATGATGTCTCTAGATTTGGGTAGTGGCTGGGTGTCTCGGATAGTGGTGGTTGGTGATTCTTCAGGATATCAATTTCTTAGATTTGTCTCGGGGAGGAAGGTCCAAGAGTATCCATGGATGTATTGATGGGCGTGGGCATGTAGAGAGAGAGAGGTTGGGAGACAGCCTTGTGTCTAGAGCCTTGCGTGCATCTGCAGGTGCCGTGAATGGCTGATTAGAGCAGGCACCGACTCACCCCAACCCCCCAACCAAGGCTGCAACGGGCTTGGAAGGACCTCGGAGGATAGCCCAAGCATTTGGAACATTGGAAGTCTTGACACTTTTTGGTTCCAGGATACTCTCAGTTGAGATATGAGAGTTCTTAAAGAAATGGCATACTAGATCAGAATATTGTTCAAAGCTCAATATAAAAAAACAACCATATAAAATCAGTCTATAAACGGGTATCAATTTTGAAAGTATATACAAAGAAGTGAAGCATGAATGGCCCTGGCCAATAATGAGATGAGGTCAAGGCCTCTCCGCTACAGACGCCAGCGCCGCAGTAACCATACTCTTCCGCCTCAAGCCCTGCTCATTCCGTTTAGACGCCTCCCGCCCCGCAAAAGAAGGATGATGACTCTTCTCAATCCGATGAGACTGTATAGCCCCCGCGCTACTCTTCCGTCTACCCCTCGACTCCAGCGACTCCGCAGGCCCGAATCTACTCCGGTGCTGCGTGAGCGCGCGTCTCCGTGGCGAAGGCCTGGGCGGCAAAGAGCTCGGGTGGCAATCGTCTTCGCAAGGAATGGACGGCAAAGATGACCCGTACGAATCATCATTTGCCGCCCGCCGGATAGCATCAATGTCTCCCTGGTTACTACACTGTAACTGGGAGATCTGCTGGCGCTGGCTGCGGATGCTGAGGAGATCTGGCTGCGGGTGTGGGAGATCGGGCCCATCTAGCAGGGGGAAGTCCGGGGGGATGGAGGTCGGGCTTGGATTTGAGCAGAGCGATGGCGAGGAGAGGTGGCCGTCGTCGTCGTGGTCTGTGTCTGGTGGGGTGAGGACCCAGCCTGCGTAGGGAGCTGAGCGTGCTGATCCATATGCGTCGGCGGGATTATTTGCATGGGGAGCGAAGCGGGTGCGGTCCGGGAAGGATTCGCCATTTGGAGTCTGGAGGGTATGTTCGTGGAGTTTCTGTGTCAGGGTTGCGATGGAGAGACGCTTTGATTCGTAAGGGAAGGGCACGGAGGTTGGAGGCGGCTGCTGCTGTTGTTGCTGGGAGCGAAAGTATGAAGAGCGGGAGCGCGAGAGCGTGCGGAAGCGGTGCGATGTCGGCGAGGGACAGCGGGATGATAGTGGTGAGATGAGGTTGCTGTCGCCGTCGATCATGAGACGGTCTTCTGTACTAAGCGCTAGGCGGGTCGGTCGCGACGAGGGCGAGGAAAAGGAGAAGTCTTCGAACATAGTGGCGAATGTTGAATGAGTGTGAGTCAAAGGGGAAGGTTGCGGAGGGATTCTTGGATGAGTTTCAATCGAATTGTCCTGCGCTCGAATCCGCAGCAAGACTCTTCGGTCTGGCTGTACAGATCACGGCAGGGCGCATAGGGCAATATTTTTATTCTTCGGAGGGGAAAATTCCGATTTGCCTCCGAAAAATCTACTCTCGTTCCATTAAAGAGAGTTGTTGAACCCCGGATGCACTGATTATCCGATACTTTGTAATACGCTGGAAAACCGTTAGGGGGGATTTCGGGGCATTTCACGGATTTTCAGAATTACACGCTTCTCATCCATGGATTCCTTCTGGAATTTCCTAATATTACCGTTCCAGAGGCGAATGCACGTGATCTGGGTATTTGTAGATTCTTAGAATCGCTTCAAGTCTTAAGAAATGAATCTTGTTTAGTATTTAGAGCATTTCAAATATTGATCTGTATTAATTATGTTCCAATAGCAAAAAAAAACACCGGTTAAAAACAAATACATACATCAGGGCATGAGTGGAGTTAGTGAAAAAAAAACGGTGCAACGTGGATCTCGGATGATGGATCACTTGCCACAGATCGACGTGAAGATCCCCAGAGTGTGCTTCCACACCAATCTACCCGTTTCATTCTGGCGTGCCGCCTCAAGAATCTTTTTGTTGCCCGTAATTGAACCATCCCAGCTCAAAAGATACGCCCCGCTACCGTTTTTACCGTCTGACCCAATTGCCACATCTCCGCCGCCATCGCCGGAGGCTTGGGGCGTGTATTTTGGACTAGTCGAGGCATACAGGTGTCGCTGTCCGCTCTCCTCCAAAGGCACCATCCATGGTTTGGCAAATATCGACAAAGCATTAATCGCTACCTGAGCGATAGGGTGGAACTCCCGCATAAGACCGGTCTTCACGCCGCCGGGGTAGGCGTGGATGAAACTGGTAGCGGGATGTGTTTTTGCGAGCTCTTGCAAAAACAGGGTATTCATAGTGACGGCATGCCCAGCGCAGTTGCGGAGTGAATAGTGGGTCTTTAAATCCAGGTCATCCAAGTAAAGAGATACTTCATCACCGGGCGACAGGACAGATACGACTCGCGACAAATTGTCGCCCAGGCCCTTTGTGCCCGAGTCATTGGCAGTCGCGGCCTTGGTCAGCTGCGGTAGTAAATTCATTGCGAAGCGCATTCGAGAGTAGTAATGGAGACTGAGCTTCTTGTCCAGCCCCTCGTCGGTTTCTGGATGGGAATTTCCATATTAGTAAATGCTATATCGGGTAATCAAAGGATGTAATTCGAATACCATCTCGCCCCTTCGTCGTCATAGTGCCTGCAGTCATGAACAGCAAGTTCACTTTCTCTTCCTGTTCTTGAATGGACTTGCATGCTTCATCGACGCTGTGCAGGCGCGCCGCTTCGCATTTCACGAAGCTAATCTGGCCATCTGGATTGATCTGCCGGAGCTCCTCAATAATTTTCGAGGCTTGGGTCTCGTTGCGCCCGACGAGGTAGACACGTGAAGACTTAGTATCTCGTACGAATGCACGAGCTGTTGCTTCGCCGATTCCGCTGGTTCCGCCGACTGCCATTCATGTCAGTTTGGTCTATCAACTTGCTATCGGCATAGCGACTGAAATTGGAACGGTCATTGATTCATGATGGGAGTGTCGGGATTCGGGGGTATGTACCAAACACGGCCACGAGATTCGGACCATAGCTCTTCAAGCTGAAGTTATTCTTCTGTACAGTCTCAAGCGATACCATTTTTATTTTGGCTGGGCTTTTATTCGTTCGAAGACGAGGTCTTAGACTCTTAAGTAGGCTGCTCGACTTCGTTCGTCCGTAATGATTCGTCCGTCTCCGTCACGTGTTGTCACGCCACTTAATTTGATTGGACGAGATGGAAGTAAATAAGGTCAGCACATGTAGCCTGTTACTGCCTGTAGGACTTGACTTATTTCTAGGAAGAACTTGTACAATTACTAAGTAGGTACTTTTATTAAGTACCAAGTAAATACCCATCCTAAGTACATAGTAAGTATTTATCCGCATATACCCAGCACGAGTACTGTCTATGGTACCTATACTATACTATTCTTAATTGGAGGCCCGAGTATACTAAATCATTTCCAACCACCAGCGTACGAAGCTCACCCAAGGAAGCTCTTTCTAACCCACAGCTCATCATAATCATGGGCATGAATTAGGTAAAATTCCGAGGCGCGATGGATCTACTGCGACGCGTGTATGCGCGGCGCCCTATGCTTGCACCACGTTACAACCTGGTAGTCGCCTGGAAAGGATGAATTGGATTACAATGGACAGTATGATGAAATCGTACATATATATGTATCTGATATCCAGTGTTTATTTCAAAAATGTCTGCCAAGAAAGTTGTACAGTAGAAGCCAAGCCTTGATCCAAGATGTTCCGCCGATTGAATTGGTGCACGTCATATGTGGTCGTCACTATGACTGCGTGAAAAATATAACACGAAAAACACCTACCTATTCACGGTTAAAATATGAATATCGTACAGTGTATTTTATACTAGGTTAATAGTAAGACCTCAATAGTAAGCTTCAAGTTCTAGAAAAAATGACAGAAAAGGAACAAAGCACACGACCTTAACCATCTTTGGTAGACTCCACTTACCGTTCCTCGGGGCGGAGTTTTCAAACCCTCGTTAGGGTAGAAAAGTCGCCAATCACTCAACAGTCCAGGGCTCAAGTGGCAAGAAAATGGGTCCCTGAGCCGAGAAAAGCGCGCATCAAGCATTTTCATTCGTCAATTACCGCAAAATGGTTACAATGGCCCCTCTCAGATCTCGCCGAAGCCCAGTGTTGGCAAGATTAGGGATTCTCTCCGATGCTAGTAAAAGACAAGGGACAGAAATTTGCGATTTCTATTATCAATTAGCTTCTGTCGGTTTTTTTTTTATCATTTCCCCGCACAGAAGTTCGTTTCACAAGATTCGAAAGCTAAAAAAAACACCATCCTCAATGGGGAGCTGTTGAAGACGAATGCCTGTTACTACTGATCTTGCTACTCCTTGACGGCCGAGCTTGATATTTCGCCCAAATTGTCCCCAAGAAAACTTTTCCTGGGTCTTTTTTTGATCTGAAAACGCAGATCTTTCCACTTGAGGACTTCAACGTCAATTGCGCTGGTCACTGGTGCATGTCATTTCTTCTATAAGAAAAGAAGCTGTGGAATGAGTGTTTAATAGAGACAGCTGACAGCATCAACTTCACGAATCGCGCCAAAAAATTCGAAGCATCTAAATTCCCTCGCCTCACATCTACGAACCGTGGCCAACCGCACGGAGACCAACATGTCGGTAACCGAAAATCACGATTCTCATGTTGTAGACCCAGTGCTACTGACGGACAATCAACACCATCACGCGCATCATCACCACACGGTCTTCGCGGAACATGGACACAAGGACGAGGTAGTTTACTCGAACGACGCCTCCATGGAGAAAGGCATCGTGCCCGAACCGACTCCATTGGATCACAACATCAAAAGCCGGAGCTCGAGCGAGGATGAGGAGGCTGGAGACGCGCACCCTGCGGCGCGACCATGGCATCGGCGCATCACAAAACACTGGCGCCCAATGGCGCATGCCGTTGTCTGGCTGCTGTTTACCGGGTGAGTGGATGCTTATACCATTGAACAGTAGCTCTCTCAGATACTCATGCTCGTGATTATAGCTGGTGGATCGCCAGCTTGGTTCTACACCGGCACGATAAGAACTGGATCATTCCGTTCCTGCTATACCTCGCCATCACGCTGCGCATCATCTTCTTCTACGTGCCAGTCTCCATTATTACCAAACCCATTTACTTCATCTGGGGTTATACCGCGCGACCGGTCGTCAGTATCATCCCCGAGAAGCTGAGATTGCCAGCCGGTGCTCTTGTGACCATCGCCACCATCTTAATCGGTTCATTTGCATCACCCACAACAGCGACAAACAACCGCGCAGATCGAGCTGTCAGTCTGTTTGGTCTAGCAGTCTTTCTGACCCTTCTGTATGCCACCTCGCGCAACCGCAAGAAGATCGTTTGGCACACCGTAATCGTCGGCATGCTCGTTCAATTCCTTGTTGCACTTTTCGTCCTTCGCAGTGGGGCAGGTTACGATATTTTCAACTTTGTTGCTACGCTCGCTCGTGATCTGCTGGGCTTTGCTGCCGATGGTGTCGAATTCCTGACTGCGGACGATTTCTATAATATGACTTCTCCCATCGAGCCCAGCACTTGGTTCCTCGTCAGTACCATCCCGGCAATCATCTTCTTCGTCTCTGTCGTCCAGCTTTTCTACTATATCGGTGTGCTGCAATGGTTCGTCGTCAAGTTCGCCAAGTTCTTCTTTTGGAGTATGCGTGTCTCTGGTGCTGAAGCCGTTGTTGCGGCTGCATCTCCATTCATCGGCCAGGGCGAGTCTGCGATGTTAATCCGCCCTTTCGTCCCACATCTCACAATGGCCGAAATTCACCAGGTCATGACTTCCGGCTTTGCAACCATTGCCGGCAGTGTCCTCATCGCGTATATTGCTATGGGCGTGAGCTCTCAGGCCCTTGTCTCCTCCTGTGTCATGAGCATTCCCGCCTCGCTGGCGTGCTCGAAGCTGCGCTGGCCCGAAGAAGAAGAGAGCTTAACAACCGGCCAGGTCGTTGTTCCGGATGTGGAGGAGCACAAGGCTTCGAATGCACTGCACGCTTTCTCCACCGGTGCTTGGCTAGGTCTTAAGATTGCTGCTATGATGGGTGCCACTCTTCTCTGTATTATCTCGCTTATCGGTCTCGCTAATGGCCTCCTCACTTGGTGGGGTCGCTACTTGAATATCGATGACCCGCCCCTGACCCTTCAGCTGGTCCTGGGCTATATCTGCTACCCGGTTGCTTTCTTGCTGGGTGTCTCGCGTGACAGTGATGACTTGTTGAAAGTCGGCCAGTTGATTGGCCTGAAGATCATCTCCGTATGTTTTCCCCCCTCTTCCCAAATTCTGTTTCCATACTGTGACACATAAATTCTAACCGACTTTTGTAGAATGAGTTTGTCGCCTACCAGGATCTCCAAAGTGACGCTTATAGCTCTCTCTCCGAGCGCTCACGTCTCATCGTTACCTACGCTCTTTGTGGATTCGCTAATATCGGCTCGCTGGGTAATCAGATCGGTGTGCTATCGCAGATCTCCCCTGGGCGTAGTGGCGATATTTCACGCGTGGCTTTTAGTGCGATGGTCACCGGTGCTCTGAGTACTTTCACCAGTGCAGCCATTGCCGGCATGCTCATTACCAATGAGCAGGCGTATACCAGTTAAATCTTGATGGTTTTATATGACGGGTTTAATGCTATAATACCTAGTATTTCATGTTGAGTACGGCCTGAAAGCGCCTATTGCTCTACTGCCTGTCTAATCAGTTTACTTTACTATGCAACGTTTCTGTGCTTTGAAACTCTTTGACTTCCAAGGTTTGAAACCGTACATACATGTGAGCTCCGTAGTACACCCCTAGGTAGTAGGTAGTATGTAGTAGGAGGTCAACAGCTCTGGAGATTCGAAGGACAATTTAAATACCAAAAAAGACACCCAGCATAAATTTCTCTCAAGTGCTGACTCAAGCGCTTGGTTCTTTCAATGTTCATTGATTCTATACATACTACATAGTATGTACCAGTCGTATATAACATCAATGTTGCACATGTGAGCTGACACCTGGGGATTCTCCGGTAAATACACATACAATGTTTAATTGATTGCATGTGTGCAAACATTCAAATGTTTGTCGTTATGTATATATTTGATTCTATAAATATCCTGGAAGTAGTATTCTTCTTCCTCAAGTGCTCCTTTCAACCTTTCAAACTCTCCTCCAGATGTCCAGATATCATCCATCAACATTCTTCAAATGTTCCATCAATCTATCTATTTACCATCAATTACTATATATTCACCAAACATCTCTTATCAAAAAATGAATATCTTCAATACCTCTATCTAGGGCAGTGCCCCCTGGCCAGCCTACTTTGATGATGAACCCACCGACCCAAACATTTGAAGTCAACAACTACATACTAGGGTCTATATACATATGTAGGAGAGAGTACATATGTATGTCCTCCCCTACATACGACCTATATTGACTAGTATAGGATATGCCTGCTGCACATTGCTTTTAGGAATACATTGATGTATGTGAAATACTAAGTGCTCCTATTCAAATGTTACTCTGGTTGGTAGTATCTAGTATATTAACACAAGGTTCTGTATTAGTGATTTGGGCAAATGTTGCAATGATACCGGTTGACTACGACAGCATACATATGTATGATCATTTGTGAGAAGGGCGATGAAGCTGCTCGTATTGGCAACTAGACGCTAGTCAAAAGAGCCTGGGATGACATGGCCCCTGAAGAAATGATTCTATCTATGTCTGGTAGAAAGGTTGATCGGGCTATGTTCAAAATCAAACCTCGTGGGCACCTGGGGAAAGGGCTTCTTCAAAGCAAGCAAAGCAGTCGAAGTCCAACAACACTACCAGATTTGTGCCGTTCACAAAAATATCTTCTACACACTTGCGAAAGACATCAAGAAGCTTAAGACCGACGCCGATCAATTGGCGTAAATGGAGACAAGACATTGAGAGCTTGATGACCACTTATGATGTTGATTGCATACAAATCCTTACATAAGGGTCGTACAACTAGGCCTGCTGGCCCCAGCTTCGATGACATGCACGACGTCAACATCATGACGGCATATCTTACCGCCATCTGGAAGGACGTCAATGCAATTCCAGACACTGCCTTCGATGCGTTATAAGGCGCTAAAAGGGTGGCATCAAACAAATGCCACTGGATGCATGCTTCTTAGGGCGACAATCTCGCTTGAAGCCAACACAATGATAGCTGAAACCAACGATCTCAGGGAAGCATACTTCATTCAATGTTCTTGAGCAAGCTTACCAACGCACATCATACACAAATACCGTTCTTCTCTGGGACAAGGCTGTCCATCTTTATTATAAGGAAGACACCTGTGCAGCAGGAAGCCTCGGACAATACTCAACATGAAAACAGTGATGAAGGTAATTCTGGTCAAGATACCCGTGAAGATGTTGCCTCTCATGTTGCCTCTCATGTTGCCTCTCATGATGCCCTCTCTGATGATGCCCTCTCTGGTGTTGCCCCCGAAGATGATGAGTCCACATGTAGGGTGTAAGACTGGCTAATATAGATAATACATACCTAGCTATTATCCTACTATGACTATACTTAGTCTCAAGCTTACCAACTAAGTGTTATCTACTATGTTAGACAGATATTTAATGAAAACGTAGTTCCTATTGATAGTCGAAGCAGGTCGCAGGGGAAGACACATGCTCGCCCGTATAGACCCTACTAGTAGCACTTGAGTCGTTAACTTTGGGTCGGTAACATTGGAAGTCAATGCATGTGCCTAACCCCGTACGGCCTCCACCTGGGGATCTAAGGCCATCCATTCAAACGATTTGGAAGACCGTTGAACCCCTGAATGGTGGATTCAAATTCTTTTGCTTCATTTAGATTTGCTCAAACAAGTTTCCTTCCTTTACCAATACGACCAAGCCACTAGCAAGAGTGGACTTCGCAATTTTCTAAGTTACACGGGAAAATAAGCAAGAGACCAATCAGATGAGGATTATGTAGCAAAAAGCTTGCGACAAGCCCAGTGGGCTATAGGTCTGTTCTTGAATGTGTGGAATAAAAATAGAAAAGGCATAAAAATCAAAGCCAGAACAATAAGATCAAAGAACTCCGTTTCCCAATGAACCAGGCCAGTATGCATTCGAACCAAATCTCCGGAATCCATACCCCCAAGAAAGGTGAAGGATATTCGGTGGGCCGACCGACGCCAACGCGCAATTCGACATTATGCAGGATGGAAATCTATTCGTCGTCGAGGTCTCGGTGTCGCGCCAGGACGTGGCGCTTGAACTCTTCTTGGTCGGAGTCCCAGAGCTCAGCAGCTTGGCCGTTTAGTGGGCTCGCGCTGTTGAGATTGTTAGCACCGCCAGGAGGGGGTTTAGGGGTTTTATTTTGTTACTGGAGTTAGCTTACTTGTTGGGCTCGCCTAGGAGACTCTGCAGACTCAAAAGCACAGTTTGCACATTGTATACAGCACTCCACTTATCCTTGAGGATATCCAAACAGATCCGGCCGGAGAAGTCGACATTGGGGTGGTAGATGGGGGTCTTGAAGAGCACGGTCGGCGGCGAGTACGGGTAGTTGTTGGGGAAAGCAAAGGAGAGCTTCAAGGTCAAGCTTTCGTAGGGTGTCTCGTCCGGGCCGGTGATGGTGGCAGTCCAGGAGAGGAGGTTGCCATCGGCATCGGGGAAGGCGGAGATACCGGGTGAGGGCGACATCATGAGCTGCATCAACTCGGCCTGCAGGCTATAGTCACGACGGGAACAGGGTCAGCCACGATACATGATTGGCTCGAAGGGGTTGCTCAAGTGGGCAAGGCCTGCAGGGAAAACAAACCGTTTGGTCACGCTCTGGGTGTCACTTCGCTGGGCGGAGGAATTCAACTTGGAAGCTTCCAGGGCTTCGGGGGCCGAGTTCTGAGTGTCTTCCATTGTGTAGTCCATTTTGGAATGAAATTCAAGGAATCGGGTTTGAACAAAGAGTTGGTTAAGAAAAGTCCGCAGATTCCCGGGCCGTGTGGAATGCGAGTAACAGTAGCACGAGGGTTGCTATCTGGAATGAGGCCGAAAACAGAAAGCCCCACCAACAGAGGTTTAATGTACGGAGAAAGTGAAGAAAGGTGGACGAAAAGGGAGGGGAAAGAGGTTGAAGATTAGGATGGTGACAAAGGAAGTTTGGACTAGTGACTTTAACCCGTGGACATTCAATTTTTTGTTTACGCTTGAATTGTTTTTGGCCATGGCAACCAACTTGTCCCCGCTTAGTGGCTTGCACCATGCACAAAGAAATTGGACCGGACCGTGTCTTTTAATTTATAGTAGTATATAGAGATCTAGTCAGAATTGAAATACATATACATATAAGTCATGAAGTCTGTATATATTCAAAGACAAAATAAAGACAAGAAAATACAAGTAGCAACCGATCGGAGACAGCTAGTGCGATCGAGAGGGGAACAATTGCGGGTCACGCAGATGCAATAAGATCAATCAAGACATAATAGTATGGATATTACTTCTTGAGCTCTTCTATTTCCTTGTTCTAGATCTAACTACACTTTTACCATCAAAAATCATACCTGTTCAACAAAATGCTCTTAATCATACATGATCCTTAACCAAGGTGCACAGCTCCAGGCAGAATCAACAAACTTCCCAAAGAGGTTTAAGTGGCCGCCCCGCGCTCGCGTCCCACTTTGCGCGTTTCACGGCCCTTGCTTGCCACTCCCATCCTCGCTTGAGCACAATGAGATAGTAGTCCCTTTGGTCTGAATAACAACGCGCACTCGGTTCTACATTCAAGGCAGGATGCAGCACTCACAGTTGGCTCCGTTGCCCAACGACGTGCCTTTCCGAATTGTTTCCAAGACAATCGGACAAGGTGCCTATGCCTGGTGAGTCAACCTGATCATGAGAATTATGGCTACTACTCAGACCCAAAAATCTAACCTGCTCTCCTCTTATATAGCATCAAAAAGGCCTGCCCCTTGGACTCGGACAACCCGGTCTTTGCAGTCAAATACATTCACAAGGAATATGCTGCAAAACACGGCAAGATTAGCGCGCGCCAGCTGGCATTGGAGGTGTCTGTGCACAAGCATGTGACGGGGCACCCTAGTATCATCAGTTTCTACCAGACTGGAGAGGATCCCATCTGGCGATGGATCGCTATGGAGTTGGCCGAAGGGGGTGACCTCTTCGACAAGATCGAGGCCGATGAAGGTGTGGGGGAGGATGTTGCACATGTCTACTTCTCGCAACTTGTGAGCGCCGTTAGCTTCATGCACTCAAAGGGTGTCGGCCACCGTGACATTAAGCCTGAGAATATGCTGCTCACCTCTGATGGTAACCTCAAAATTGCGGATTTTGGCTTGGCCGCACTGTTCGAGTACAAAGGATCTCGCAAGCTGTCTACAACCTTTTGCGGTAGCCCGCCATATATCGCCCCAGAAGTAATCAGTTGCAGCACACGAGGTCAGACCAAGGGATCAGGATATCACCCGGATATAGTGGACATCTGGTCTTGCGGTATTGTTCTCTTTGTCCTGCTTGCCGGCAATACTCCGTGGGATAGCCCAACCGACGATAGTTACGAATTTCACGAATACCTGGCTACAAATGCACGCACAACGGATGAACTATGGCAAAAACTGCCTCCTGCCACTCTATCTTTGCTCAGAGGCATGCTGACCGTGGATCCCAAAAACCGATTTTCACTGGAGGATGTACGAAGGCATCCGTGGTATACACGGTCCAACAAATTCCTGTCGGCCGATGGGAAGCTGAGGGATCCAATCAACTTGGCAACCTCAATGTTTGAGTCTCTACACATTGACTTTAGTCAGGACCCTCTTTCTCAAAAACGCAAGGGTGCTAGCCGAAGTCTTGATACCATGGACATGAACATGGATGTCGACGGGGCTGGTGATGCTGGATTTTCTTCTACGCAACCCGAAATGCCAGGTGGCGGTATGGTGATGGATTGGGACGCTCCTAATTTGGCGTCTGACGTTTTCTCCTCTACACAGCCCACCGGGAAACGATTTAATACCCAAGAGGCCGCCATGACCAATCATCTTGAGGATGAGCCGTCGATGTCTCAGTTCTCCCAGCAACCATCTGTGCCACTAAGCCGCACACAGAATGCCATGAAATTCCAAGACATTATCCCGTCCCGCTCAATGAACCGCTTTTATTCATCTTGGGAGCTCAAGCTTTTGGTGCCCTTGATTTGTGAGGCTCTTCATCGACTGGGAGTTCCGGTTCCAGCTGTCCCTGCTGTGAAGGCCGGAGATACCTGTGCGATGATACGTGTGATCACAAAAGATGGCCGATTATGTCAAATCCAGGGCAAGGTTCTCATAGAATGTGTCTCCGAAAACATCTTCGAAGTTGAGTTTGTCAAAGTCAAAGGTGATCCTCTAGAATGGCGCCGATTCTTCAAGAAAGTGACCATTCTATGCAAAGATGCGGTATTCAAACCCGATGAATGAACCCACCTATGTCATCTCAACTTTTGCTACCTGCTGTTTTTTTTTATCGCTTACGATCACTCACGACTTTAGTGGGGAGGGGCATCTAGGGTTTTGGTTGGCGTTTTCTGTGGGATATCCAACCCCTCCTTACAACCCTGGGTTTTCTATTTGTATACGTACCTACTGAGTACGTACCTACAAACGTCTTATGCTTCATGTATTGTTTAATGTATTTAGATATCCATTTCTTATTTTCTGCGTTCCTTGAATAGCGAGGAAACGGCGAACTAATTGGCTGCGCTCGGGGAATACTTCCGGAGAACCGCTTTCTACAAGTCTTGTCCTAAATGATCCTTCACAAACCTCCAGATATCAAAGTCAATATCCAACCACTTTTATAGCTTTATTTTACATTCCAAGGAGACCATTTGTCATAAGATCGGCCCCTCCTACCGACTTCTACCTCCTCACTCTAATTTTATTTTTGTTCATCCCATTGTCTTGCCCTATCCATTAGCACCACGTGACAGCTTCTGCAGATCGCGGGAAGAGCGATTGGAACTTTTTCAGAAACATAACAGGCCAGCACCGCTCAATACTCCTTCTTTCCTCTTATTTAACCCCGAGATGCTGCAATCTCCTCGGTCTCCCTCATGGACAAGCTGCCGGTAGAGATTCTAACCAAAGTCATCGACCGTAAGCGCCGCCGAACTCCCCCCGAAATATTCCCCGCACCCACTATGCAGAAAAAAGAAAAGAAAATAAAAAAGGGCGCCCGCTGATGAAGTCCTCAATGATCAGTTCTCACACCATCGGAGAAGGTACAGGTTCAATCTGTTTCTAAGAAATTTTTCGACCTTGCTCGTGATAATAACTTGTGGAAACTGCACTGTTATGAACAGTCATCGGCTGCCCTGCAGTCTTCCCGTCCGGCGGGCCGAATCTCGGAGAGCCTCCTCGCACATCCAACGGCCACTTTGAGTAGTTTGGGACAGAGCTCGCTGCGCGACTTGATTCAACCGCCTCCTCCTGCTTTGGAAGAGGGTGCCCAAAGTGACTCTAGAGGGCTGTCGGTAGGGGACAGGGCAAGGGCGGCATCCGATTGGGAGTCGTCGATTGAAGGAGAACATGTGGACTGGTACTCAGAGTATATTGCCCGTCATGGGCCCATGTCTTTATCTTGGGTACAGCAGCCAATGATGCAAAATGGAGAAGGCCGAAAGCGCACACCATATGAAGTCAAGGGCATGGGCTTGCTTAAGGACTGGAGTTCTGCGAGGCAGAATAAGATTGTTGCGCCATTGGATGACGGAAGTGTCTGCATCTGGGATCTTAATCATGCTCATTGCGGCGGTTCACAATCTAGCAAAGGAAAGATCATTGGAATGAGTGAGCCAGGTCTCCTCATGAAGAATCTTTCTCGGCGGAGGGACCCCTCCCCTTCCAAATCTTCGCTTGAGTTTATCAACTTGGGCGAAGGAGTGAGCGTAGACTCCTTCCGGCACCGAGCATACCTGGCTGTTGGGAACGTTCTCAATGAGATCGATCTGGAAACCTTGAAATTGATCTCTCAACAGCGCTATCCCTGGTCGATCTTTGCACTTTCTCAGGAGACCGACTATTCTGTCCCACTAACACTAGCCACCACACTCAGCCTTCAAATACACGACGCCAGGCTACCTGCCACCGAAGAAGAGGAAGCGATCAGTCTGAGGTGCGAAGAGAATTCTGCTCCCTTAGTGCCCGAGCTGGACATATTCCCTTACTCGGACTCACCGCGGCTGGAACTCCAGCCCAATGGATTGCCTCCCCATCGCATTCGAAGCCCAGGCCCTTCAGACAATACTAACTATGCGCCCCTTTTCCAACCTGGCCCGCTGTCTATCCTCCATCCGCCCGCTCCGCATGTAAATAGCATTATTCTCGCCGGTCGATTTCCCAGCATCCTTTGCTATGATCGTCGCTTCTTCCCCCGTCTGCAAAGCACCGTTCACTCTGGAGGCAGCCTTTGTGGGCTTGCATCTGCACCTGAACCTCGATTCCCTGTTTTCAAAGATTCGGACTACCCTGCATCTCATAGCGTTGTGGCATGTGGCGAGTACAAAGGAAAAGGTTCACTCGAATTATACAACCTCAGCTCTTCCTCCGAAGAGCCCCAAAGTCGCCCATCGGACAGATCATCCGCCCTCGCACCACAATATACAAACCGACAAAGTGCGGCCAGCTCCAAGCTTCTGTCGGTAGCATCTCATGGAAACCGTATCGTCTATTCAGATTCCGAAGGAAATATCAAATGGGTTGAGCGAAATGGCCGTGCCGAAGTCCGCCGATGGAACATCAACTCTTCGCAGCCGCAAATCCCATTTTTCCGAAGCAGTCGAGCTCACAGTCCCGGACAACCCGGGACTGAAGATCTTCAGCCCCGGGGGCTATGGCCAAGCTCGCAGCCTGACAACAACAGTAGCGAGGTCGCCCGGAAGATTCTTCCCACGGGAGGAAATCTCACTGGGGACGAGCTGCTTGTGTGGACTGGCGAACGTATCGGACGTATCAAGTTTTCCATACCGGCTGATCCGGACTTGGAGGATGACGAAGACGAGTGGTTCATGCATGCTGAGGTTGATGAAGAAACACGGGACGCCATGCGACACAAGTTAAGGGATGATTGGGAGAAAGAGCAGAGATACGAAAACACGATGCGGCGCGCATTAGAGAGACAAGCGGACGAAGTACGATGGATGGGGACGGACAGCCTGGGCTGATGAATTCTATTTTCACTCATTGTTTTTGTAGCGTTCATTGCTCTTCATGTCAGAATGGCTCCATTATATTGCCCACCTGAGCTGTATTATTGCAATGTCTCCAATGCTTGCTAGCATATAGATTCGAAACTATTTGATGGTTTTAGCGAGCTACACATAATGCACTCGCTTTTCAAAAGACAGCACCCTTGAATTATAGGATTAAAAGTGAAAATCGTCAGCCCAGAGCTACAATACCTACTGGGTAGGTGCAGTGTAAGTTGAGTAAAATGAGGTTAAAGTCTGCCCTAAATTTCTAACTAATGTACATAATATAGTAGTACAAGTAAAGAGCGCCACGCATATGCACGGCGCGCAGTTAAAGTTCCAGGTATACTAGTAAGTGTCTCTAGGTCTTAGTAGCCTGGACGTATCCAAGCTTGAAGTGTACTAGTAGTAAGGGGGAGAGGAACGCCAGCCGCGGCTACACCGGAATCAGTGCAGTCTCTCACCGCCGGTGGTCCCCCCGCACCCGAAAGGCCGAAGGCTCCGAAGCCGAATTCGATCACGAGCATTTCTAATGCAGTTGTAAGCAAGCTGCGTCTATTACGGAGGCAAACTTTCTCGAACAATCCCGCTTATTTTCCATTACCAACATTTGAACCTTGGATTTTTTTTGCGCGCACTTCATCTTGACTCAAAACTTCTCTCGAGTCATTCTCATTCCTCATATTTCATTCCAAACATCTAATTGCGAAGTGAGGGGCAAAACAATTGCGCCGATAAGCCCATACCCACCATCCAAGATGCCCTCCATGACAGATATTGCACACCAATTCGACTCCATTGAGGATACAATTGTCGCTTTCAGTGAGTGTATCTTCCCAGAACCCATAATTTCCTCCGCTTCTACTCCCTCTCACTACACAATGCTTTCAAAAATGATCCGGTAGACTAATAGTGACTCACTCACCCAGAGAATGGCGAATTCATCATTGTCCTTGACGACCTTGACCGCGAAAATGAAGGAGATCTCATAATTGCAGCAGATTCCATCACAGCCGCCCAAATGGCCTTCTTGGTGCGCCATACAAGGTGAGCACATGTCCACCCCGCCAACGCCGCACACGCGCGCTCGCTCGGCTCGGCTTAATCCGGCAGTCTCTCAAGATCGCTCGTATTTTCCCCGCGAATTTGTCTCTGCCGAGCGTACCCATCATGCTATTGCCCCATTGATCATTGGAGCTAATCGAACTCAGCGGTTTAATATGCGCTCCCATCACCCCGGATCTAGCCACCCGCCTCGCTCTCCCCCAGATGGTAACGGAAAACGCCGACCCCAAGGGAACGGCTTACACCGTCACAATTGACTCAAGCGATGACTCCGTGACAACCGGTATCTCCGCTCAAGACCGCGCACTCACCTGCCGCACTCTTGCCTCTCCAGATGCCACCATCGACTCCTTCCGCCGGCCCGGCCATATCATTCCTCTCCAGGCGCGCGCTGGAGGCGTGCGCGAGCGCAAGGGACACACCGAGGCCGCGGTGGAGTTCTGTCGTCTCGCTGGAAAGGCCCCGGCTGGTGTTATTGCGGAGCTTGTTGAGAATGGGGATGTTGTTGAGGGTGTGCCTGAGATTTCTGGGGATAATGGTATGATGCGCAGAGATGCCTGTCTTGCCTTTGGTAAGAAGTGGGGGATTAAGGTTTGTACGATTGAAGGTATGATTGCTTACTTGGATAAGACTGAGGGTGTGAAGAATGGGAAGCAATGATCTTCCTTGTCTTTTGAACTTCGTCTTTGATATAGTATGTCCGAAGCTTGTGTATACTTGGATTGGTCCCTCTTGTTTGTACCTACATTTCGGCAGTTCTTCTGGACACCTTTTTAGATAAATCATAAAAGCTCTAGACTTGGTTTTTCTTACGATGCCAGCAGTGTAGCGGGGTTACTAGAAGTAGTAAAATCAATAATACGTAAAATTAGTAGGTCAGGATAGAAAAACTGAAGACCATTTGATAGTTTATCTGGGTATCTTTTAATGTTGGTCATACTAATAATACAGATTGATGCGTAAAAGTCGCAAGTTGAAAACGCCAATGCAATGCAAATAGAACGACTTGTCGGGCCGTGGAGACGAACTTTTTTCTTACCCACTACCGCTTCATGTGGGAGTAGTCTCGCAGGATACTCGTCATGTGGGTGTTGGTAGTCTTTCCGCTGCGGCGGGGCTTCTTGGCCTTCTTGGCCTCCATCTTCGGTCGAGCCTTGCTCACCTTATTCTTGTTCGTAGGCGTAATGCCGGCCTTTTCCAGCTCTTCCTTGACAGCCTGCGCATCCGGAATCTTGATCTTGTCCCAAATCTGCTTGAACTCGTCATCGAAGCGCTCAATGAGCGATGGATCGTTCGCCCAGATCATTTTAGCATGGTCGTCCTTCTTGTTTCGAGTCACAAGCAGTTTGCCTTCCTTCTCCAACTGGTTGATAGCTTCCTCGACGTTCGGCCAACCCTCTCGAAGCTCCCGCACATTCATTCCAGCAGCGGTGGTCTGCGCTTGAAGCTGCTGCAGAAGTTGCTCCGAGTTGCGAATATTGTGTGGAGGGCGGAAGCTGTATGTGCCTTCGCCGTTGGCGCCGTTGGGATCGAATTCCACCTTCTCATGCGACTTTAGAATTCTTCCCAGAGCGAGGACGTAGGCTTGTTCGTTGGCTCGATGTTGAAGGGAGAGATAGGAGATTATATCGGACAGCCTGAGTGCCACGCCTTTGGCTTTCATGTGTTCGATCGCAAAGAGGACCTGGGTCATGATATCCTTTCCCGTGCCTGTGTTTGCCGGTTGCGAGTAAACTATATCATCGTGTCTCTTCTTCTTCAGGTCACCAGACGAGGACGGAGTCGGGGCGGAAGATGGCACTTGGGAGCTACTGGCGGAGGCGGGTTGGGCAGGCTGATTATTCACCACACGCCTCTGCTGAGGCATGCGGTTCGCCGACTCCATCACCTGGGTGTTGAAGCTTTTGAGCTGATTCTGTAGGTACGACATGATTGCGGCGAGGATTCAAAATGCTCGAGTTATGCACGTAGGACGACAAGGATTGGTAAAGGTGAGGTTGGGGAGTTGGAGTATTTCGAGTTGGATCGAGCTCCGATTTAAACGATTGAAATCATAGGAAGAGATGATGCTGCAAAGTAGGATGTATGGTTGGGTTCCGAGGAACAAAATCGGGTGAAAGGGAAACAAGGTTAAAGAATCGCTTTGGCTGGATTCGAAAGAAACCAAAGAAAGGGTTGAAAGCCAAATGCCTAAACAGATGAAAGAACTTTGAGTGATGTACTGGAGGCTCCAGCGGATTTGGGGGTCGGTCATGTGACGCAAAACGGGGCCCACGGCCGCCTTTGAACGAAAGCAATGCTGGCGCGGCTGTAATTCACCCTTCACCTCTCTCTCCACTAGCATCGTGCTTTTCCCTCTCCACGGATTTACTGTCGCCGGCCGCTCAATTGCGACATTCATCCCCTTTGGCCTATGCTCGCCATGATATAGGTCTCCCTTGGTAGCGCCTGTGTGTTCAACTAGAGCTGTGCGCAGCAGCGCGTTTTGGAACCCTCGAGGTTGCTATTGCTTTGCGAGAGACCTGACACTTTCCCTGGCATTGCAGCCCTTAGCTGCTTGCACCTTCACCCATCATGGCAGACATTACTTTTGACATTCCTTATTTATCCACCCAATTTTCTTTGTCCGAAACCACTCTTTCATCACTTACTGAGGCCCCGACGGTTGACCTCGTCAACCAGCTTCTTCAATCCATCACCGCCAAGGCACACGGATACGATGAACTGAAGTCGGACAAACTCCGCTTAGAGGTCGAGCTCGAGAATGCTGTGCGCAGCAACGAGTCGAAGATCAAGGTGCTGAAAGGCACGGTGGAAAAGGGCCATACCGAAGTTGAAGAACTGAGGAAAAAGCTTCATGAATCTGGTGATTACTCAATAACTAACTCCCATATATCTGACTTTACTCTGATACCTGACAGAATCCACGCGTGGTACATTGGAGGCCGAAATTTCGACTCTCAAATCCTCCTCCACATCCAACGAAGGCGAAGTCAGCTCCCTGAAATCGCGCATCACATCCCTAGAAGAATCGAACCGAGACACCCTTCGCTTGCTAGAGTCCAAGACCGCTGCCCACGATAAACTCGCAGAGGAACTGTCCGCCCAGCACAAGAAAACAATTGAATTACGACGTGAACTCTCGACCATTGAGCAAAACCTCCAGAATGCCAGTTCTGCATCCGCCAGTGCACGATTCCGCGAACAGAGCATTCAACAAGAGTTGGACCTGACCAAGAAGAACAATGAATGGTTTGAGACCGAATTGAAAACCAAGAATGCTGAACACATCAAGTTCCGCAAAGAAAAGAATGCTCGCATTTCTGAACTTCAACGCGAAAATGAGGAGGCAAACTCTACAATTGACGCCTTGAGACGCAGCGAAAACTCCCTCAAGAGCCGTCTGGATGAGACTGAGCAACGGTACGAGGAGTCTCTGTCTAACATCCAGCAGTTGAAGGAGGAAGCCATACAAGCTGCGGAGTCTTTCCGTAACGAGCTAGACAGTGCCAATCGTCTCGCTGAGCTCCAAGGCTCTGCTGCACAGAACGCCAAGCAACGGGCCCATGAGTGTCAGTTGTCATTGGAGAAAGCTACTGCTGATGCAGCAGAGGAAATTTCCCGCCTGCGGGTGGAGGCCGAAGCTGAACACAATGATAAGACGGCTGCCGAGCGCCGTGTGGCTGAGCTTGAAATTGCAATCTCCACCCTCGAGTCTGAAGGAGCACGAAACCGCTCTATGAGCCCTGCTCGATCTATCAACGGCATGGGTCCTACTACACCCGTCAGAGCAGGAACGCCTGGAAGTACATTTACCCCGAGAACTGGCCGAACTAAGAACGGTCTTTCGGTTACTCAGATGTATACAGAGTATGACAAGATGAGATCTCTCCTTGCCACGGAGCAACGGAACAGTCAGGAGTTGCGATCAGCTCTTGATGAAATGGTGCAAGAACTTGAGTCGAGCAAGCCAGAGATCGACGAACTTCGTGCAGACCACAGCCGCCTCGAGAACGCTATGATTGAGATGTCTAACCTCTTGGAATCATCGGGCAAAGAACGTGATGAGGCCACCAAGGAAGCTAGAAAGTGGCAGGGTCAAGTTGAAGGCCTCGTCCGCGAAGGCGATATCCTGCGCCAGCAGCTTCGAGACTTGAGTGCCCAAGTCAAGAGTCTTGTTCTTGAAGTGGCGCTGACCAAGAAGGGCGAAGACTACGACCGTGACGAGCTCGAAAAGATTGCTCGTGGAGAAATTGAAGAGTCTTCGGCTGAGCTCAACTCAACCGGTCGCTTCATCAGCCAACATTTAACCACCTTCAAAGATCTGAGTGACATGCAAGAGCAGAATGTGACTCTGCGCCGTATGCTCCGAGAGCTTGGTGACAAGATGGAGGGTGAGGAAGCCCAGGCCAGGAGTGCAACAAGACAACAGGAAGTCGAGGAGCTTAAGGAACTGCGAACTCGCAACCAGACTTACCGAGACGAAGTGGCCAACCTTCTCGCCCAATCCAAGAGCTATGTCAAGGAGCGTGACACATTCCGCAGTATGTTGATGCACCGAAAGCAGACGATTGGTGATACATCCGTGTTCTCGCAGTCTATGCCGCTCGGTGCTGTACCCCCGGGTGTGACCGAAACCCAGCCTAGCGACTCAACAGATTACGCCGACCTGCTTCGCAAGGTGCAAGCCCACTTCGATACTTTCCGCGAAGAAACCACGACCGATCATAAAGCCCTCCGGCAGCAGGTCAATGAACTATCGCGAAAGAACAGTGAGCTTCTGAGCGAAATCAGTCGATCTAGCAGTCAACTTGCTGCGTCTTCTCAGCGTACTGAGCTGCTTCAGAGCAACTTCAATATGCTAAAGAGCGAAAACACTGACCTCCACAAGAGGTACGCTACTCTGTTGGAAAATGCAAATCGTCAAGACCTCCGCACGCAGCAAGCTGCCGAGGACTTGGTTGAAGCCAAAGGACTATTGGAAAGCCTCCAAAGGGAAAACGCCAATCTCAAGGCTGAGAAGGATCTTTGGAAAAATATTGAAAAGCGATTGGTTGAGGACGCAGAGAATATGCGAAATGAGCGCAGTCGACTTGACTCTATGAATGCCAGCCTCCAGACAATGATGAACGAGCGTGAGCATGCAGACAGTGAGACCCGCCGCAGGCTCCAGACCAGTGTGGAAAGCTTGGAATCCGAACTACAAACGACCAAGCGAAAGTTGAATGATGAGATGGAAGAGTCGAAGAAGGCTGCCATGCGTCGTGAATATGAGCATGAGCAAAGCCAGAAACGTATTGATGACCTTGTGACCAGTCTTGGCTCAATCAGAGAGGAGCAAGTTGCGATCAAGACTACCCGTGATCATTTGCAGTCCCGTGTCGACGAGCTCACTGTTGAGCTCAAGAGCGCGGAGGAACGCATTCAGGTCATCCAGTCACGCCCGAGCATCTCTGCCGCATCCGCTGATGCTCCTGATGCTGCCCAGGAAGTAGGGGAAGATGCCATTGGTCTGACCCGGGAGCAAGAACTCGCCATCGAGGTCTCGGAGCTGAAGCGCGACCTCGACCTTGCCAAGGCTGAGCTGGCCCACGCCAAAGAACAAGCTGAGGAGTATATGAACATCAGCCAATCAACCGAGGAACGTATGGAAGCAGAGGCCGAGACCAATGCTATGTACCGCGAGGAAACCGATCGTCTTATTGAAGAGAAGGATAAGAAGATTCAAGATTTGGAGACTCGAATCGAAGAGATTTCTTCTGAGCTTTCTACCACCAACACAGAAATATCGAAGCTACGTGACGAGCAAGGTGATGCTACACGCCATCTCGAGGAACAAAAAGCTATCTTGGAATCGGAAATCACTCGTCTCAAGGACGACAATGAACGACAGCTCGCTACCGCGCAGTTCCACCAGGAGGATCTTAAAGCACAGGCTGAAATCGCTCAACACGCCCAGCAAAATTATGAGACCGAACTGGTCAAGCACGCCGAAGCCGCAAAGAACGTCCAGATCATTCGCGCCGAGGCCAATCAGTTGAAACTCGATTTGGTTGAATCCCGGACTCAGTCTGAAACTTACAAGAAAGACCTGAGCCAAAAGGAGGACAGTTGGTCTGAGCAAAAAGCTCGCTACGAGAACGAGCTGACCGAGTTGCATAAACGCCGCGAAGAAGTGCTTCACCAAAACTCTGTTTTGCATACTCAGCTAGAGAACATCACCACTCAGATCGGCGCTCTCCAGCGAGACCGTGCCAATGTACCTGAGGATGATGAGAATGATGATGGCCAGTCAGCTCCAAACCTGGAAGGCCTTCAGGAGGTCATCAAATTCTTGCGTCGGGAGAAGGAGATCGTTGAGGTTCAGTTCCATCTGTCAACTCAAGAGGGGAAGAGACTTCGTCAACAACTCGACTACACCCAGTCTCAACTTGATGAGACTCGACTCAAGCTGGACCAACAGCGACGCGCTGCAGCCGACTCTGAGCACAATGCTCTCAACCACAACAAGCTTATGGAGACACTTACTGAGCTCAATCTTTTCCGCGAAAGCAGTGTTACTCTTCGCAACCAAGTGAAGCAGACCGAAGCAGCTCTCACGGAGAAAACTACTCAACTGGATGAGCTTCGTCAAAAGATCCAGCCTTTGGAATTGAGAATCAATGAACTGGAGGGAAATCTGGAAGCGAAGGATGGTGAGATGCAGTTGTTGCAGAAGGACCGTGATCACTACCAGCAGCGCATTCAAAACATTCTCCAGAAGTACGACCGAGTTGATCCGGCCGAAATGGAGGCCCTCAAAGAGAAACTTACTTCCCTTGAGAAAGAACGGGACGAGGCGGTATTGGCGCGAGATGATTTGCAAGCCCAGAAAGCAACATTCGACGAGCAGCTCCAGAGTATCGAGACAGAAACTGCGAACCGTCTACAAGAGCAACGCAGCAGACTTGGTGAACAATTCAAGGCTCGGTCAAAGGAGCTCACTGGACGTATCAGTACCAAGCAAGCGGAACTGAACGCCGTTCTGCAAGAGAAGGAAGTTATCAAGGATGAACTGAGCAAGACACAGACCGAATTAGAAAGTGTGAAGATTAGCCTCGCCAACGCCTCTACTGCGACCGCTCCTGTACCAGCTTCCACCAACGAAGCTGCGCCAGACGCTGCTACAACAGTCAACCCAACACCTGCCTCCCAATTCCCCACACCAACTACAGCCGTTGCTGTGCCTGGGGATGAGCAAAAGGTCAAGGAGCTGGAGGCAAAGATTCAACGTTTGGAAGCTGCTTTGGCTGAGAAAGATCGTCTTCTTGCAGCCAAGGATGCTGAACTTGAGGCCAAAATCAAGGAACGCACCGAAAAATCCAAAGAGGCTTACACTGCCCAGCTCGCAGAACTCCGTGCTGCCCACGCGCAAGAACTCCAAAAATCGTCTTCGAATGGAGAGCAACCAACTTCTGCTACGCCTGGAAATGCTACAGAGGTGCCTTCGACACCTTCCAAGGTCGCTGCTGCCGCTGGCCTTCCAGAGCTCACGGACGCCCAAGCCCGAGAGCTTGTTGCAAAGAATCAAACCATCCGTCTTATTGTTAGGAACAACATCATGGCCGGTGTTGCCAAGGAGAAGGAGAAGGAAGCCTTGAAGATGCAGACTCAAGACCAGGCAACGCCTGCTGTCAATGAAGAGGCGCTGGCGGCGGTGGAAAGTAGATTCAACGAGGAAAGAGACGCTTTGAAGAAGAGCCATGAATCGGAGCTTGGAGAGAAGGTGAAATCAGCCGTTGAGCTGAATGACAAGAAATATGCCGCCCGCTTGAGTATGAACGAAACTCGATTCAAGTCGGCCCAGGCCAAGATTGATGTCGTTCAAAAAGCGGCGCAAGAGACACCTCAAAAACCCGTCATCGAAGTTTGGGAGGTAGCCAAAACAGCCAAGCCTGCGCCAGTTGCGAAGCCGTTAGCAGTCTCGTCTCCCGCTCTGCCTTCTTCCCCTGCACCGTCTGTTGTGGCTCAGGTGACAGCGCCTACTCCATCCCCAGCTGCAACCCCTGTGACAACCCCCGCGCAAGCTGCGGTGACCAATAACCAAACGGTTACTACTGAACAACCAGTCACCCAACAACAGCCACAAGAGGGTGAAACCCAGAATACCCAAGTTTCCAATCCTTTTGGTCAATCGCAATCGAATGACCAATCTAAGCAACCTGCTTCTCTACCTACCAAGCCCCCGGCTAATGCTCCACCGGGGATGCTTAGGGCTTTGCAGCAGTCGGGCTTACCAGTTGTGCGAGGCGGTGGTGGGCGCGGTGGGCGCGGCGGTGGCCAGCAACCAGCTTTCGGTCATGGCCAGCAGCAAGGTGACCAGCAGCAACAAGGCCAGGTTCAAGGCCAGGGTCAGCGTGGTACTGGCCTCCCACGAGGCCGAGGTGGCCGAGGCGGACAAGGCCGTGGCGGTGGACAGAACGCTCCTCAACAAGCTCAAAATCAAAATCAAAATCACGGGCAGGGAGCTCCTGCGACTCGGGGGTCACTAAACATCCAAGCTCGTCAATTTATTCCCCAGGGAAATAAGCGGAACCGAGAAGATGGGGCCGATGCCTCTAATGAGGGTGCTAGTGGTGGTAAACGCATGCGAGGCGGTGGTGGCCAGCCTCGTGGTGGCTCATCTTAGTTGCTATATCACTTGCTGTTTATTTGTATCTAGTCCATGATGGCGTTTTCAGGATTTTCAATTTTATGTATTCATCCTTCTATGAACAATCTCTCCCCCTGTACTTCCGAACCGAACGTAAAGCTACTATAGAATGGGTATCAACTAACAAACATCTGCACTATGTATCAAACATGATCGAGGCAATACAAAGCGAAGGGCAAACCATTGTCCTCCACACACATCAATCATCTCTAGACCTCGAATCATCTACCAAATACATAGTAGTCAAAATCCTCCATATACAAAATCCATAAAAAGAAGGATCATTCCAAATAATCTCATCGCTTTTTCGCAGCCCCAGCAGGCACAATCATCCTCGCCAAGACCTCCCTCTCCTTCTGCAAAACCATCAACCTCGCATCCTCAATAACCTTCCCCTCAGGCGCAAGCCCAGGAACAGGCGTCTGCGTAACCTGCGCCGCAACAACAACAGCCGGACCAGGCGACTTTGCCCCCCGCGCCCTCCTCCTCCGCTGCCCAAGTCCAGACCCCCAAACAACCGTCCACTCCGGCACAGAACCGTACTCTGGCACTTCGCACCCGGAGCAAATCTTCACGTGCGAGCCGATCTCCGCGTGCCGCTGTATTGTGGCTAGCGCCTCGATGCTGGCGGAGGAGTGGATGTGGGCGCCCGGGCGGATTGTGGATTGGGGACCGACTGTTACGAAGTAGGAGAGTCGGGTTGTGAGGTCTTGTTTTTTCGGAGGTGGGGGTGGGGTTTGAGAGGATTCTGTTGCGGCAGATTCTGCGCTTGTGTCTGCGCCTGCTTCTGGGTCTGTTGAGGTCGGCCGGGTAGTGGTGGGTGTTTGTGTTTGCGATGATGGAGCGGGCGATGGGGATCGTGACGAGCCCCGGGAGGAGGAGGATGAGTTTGGAGGCGCGCCGATGACGGCTTTTTCGCTGATTATGCAGCCATCGCCTATTATTATGGGGCCTTCGTAGGCGTAGAATCGGGCGCGTGGGTGGATGACTGTGTTCGCGCCGATGGTTACGGGGTATTTGCCTTGGAAGACGGCTGTGTCGGCGATTGTGGATGTGGGGTCGGCTTTGACGGGGGCCTTTGGTGGTCCTGATGGTGTGTGTGAGGACCGGTGCTGCGCTGGGGGTGGCTTGAGGGTGGCCATTGTTGGGTGTTGGATGTTGTGAGTTTGTTGACGTGTGGAGATGTGAGGATGTTTGGATTCGGGGATTGCGGAGTTTGGCATGCACCCGCCACTACACTACAACATCAGACCAGATCCATGTAGGTATGACACATGCATGGTTTGTACTCTGATATATTATGTCCGCGGATCCTTAATCATTGGTAGAATCATAGTCGTATGGATCTCAAATGATCAATAATACAGCGCGAAAAAAGGGGACATAGTGGCCCTGTTCGTTGGGTATCTGATCTAGTCTAAGCCCTAACCATTTAATTATAAACATGACAACATCAATGGAAGGCAAGCTTCACGGCTCCTCTTCATCAGCAAGCTTCTGCTTAATCCCATTTCTTTTCCTCCACGCCAAAACCCCCCGATCAACTTCTTCGCGGGTCATCCCATCGCGAACCAAGCAAAAAGTAACCCCTAACTCCGTCTCCACATTGCGATTCCGCGCCTCATCATCAAAGAACAGCATATCCTCATACTCAAACCCACTAGCCTGTTGGATCCGCGAGAAATGCTGTGTCTTGTTGGCCGGGAAAATCTGGATAAAATCAAAGTATTCCAGCGCACGACTCGTCTTGGTGTTTGTACCAGGGTTGTCCGAGAAGGTGGGGATGACGTGCAGGGCTTTGAGCAAGTCGCGCGCTAGGTCGGGGGTATGTGTTCGTGAGGCCAGGGCCATGGGGATTTCACGGCTTTTGCAGGCGTATATAATTGAAGACACGGCTGGGTAGAAGGCGAATGATTCACCCCACCTGTTTGCGCGAGTTAGAACTTGGATTTGCACGCCGTGTTTTGGGGGGTTCACGTTTTTGATTAAGGTGCTTGGTCATACCGGTCCACGATGCGGGAGTTGTTGTCGCGCGCCTTGACGGGAGCACTGACGTGCGTGTCGACCCAGAATGGCCATAGTGTGTAGTCCAGGTCGAATGCGATCAGTTTGGGGAGTGGGAGGCCATCTGTGAAGGTTGCGGGGGCCACTGAGGTCTCCTCCAAGGGTTGGGTGTTTTGGCGTTTGCCTGCTCGTACCATGGCTATATAGTTATAAACAGGATGCAAATATGGTGTATAATGGTATGTAGCGAAGGGAGCCAACAAGTTAACGAGTGTATATAATTCCTAAAGTCGCAAATGTTAAAAATCGCGGGGGAAATGGGTCGGCACGTGCCGTCTTGATAATCAAGCGTTCCTCTTTCAACATACGTCATCGTCGGATATACTTCGATTGACAACATTGAAGCTTATCAGGTAAATTTGACGAAAAATTGGCACGGATGAATGCAGATTCCAATTATTATTTTTGAAAAAGCTCGATGGAATTCTTGCGGACTAGGTATCTCTCAAGTGCTGGCTCCAGCGGCACAAGTACTAGGTACTCACCTGACTACCTGCACGTCAACTCTATACGTAGCCACGGACTATCATTGTTGTCAAGCTTCAAGGAATGAGAAAATTCAAATATCAATTATATTGGCACATTGTCAGTCTCAGTATCTCAGTAAGCATACCTCGTAGAGTAATAGCAGTCAGCCAAAGATGAACCCTGGTATCTAGAAAGCCAAAGTAAATAGGATAAGCAGCACCTCCAAACACGTTAGTTCTCCACAACAATAAAGTCAGACGGACCATTCAGCCATAAAACATATCAAACAAACCTTGGTCTGCGTGCCAGAAAGCTCATATAGCATAATCAATAAAAGTCAACAACGTTTTTGAACTCCTCCAGCAGCAACCGGTCTATGTCTTCCCACCCGGGAGAACCCCCAGGCTCGACTTGTTGTTTGTCACATTCCACTGCAAGTGGTGCATCGAATTCCTGCCAATCGGGCTTTTCCGTATCAGTCAAAAGCTGTGACCCAGCGAGATAAGTCTCTTGTTGTTCTGGGTGGAAGAGGGTTTCGGAAAGCTCTGGCAAATGCACAGTCGTAGAGGAGCTTTTGGTGGTCACTGGGCTTGGGAATGCGTCCTTCTTGGGAGACGGCGATGGGTCTTCCCATAGAGCAAAGGAATAGTTGTTCCCTGGAGAAGTTGAAGTTGTTGATGGAAATTCTCCAGCCAAAGCCCCGGAACTTGGCTTGATATCTGGAGAGTGATAACTGCTTGGTGTTGTGAGGTCGATGAAGGATTTTGTCTTTCCGCCGAAGTCTGGGACTTCGATTGAAGGGGGTTGTCTAAATCCAATTCCCAAATCCTTGAAGACTTCCGACGGAGACGGGAAGTCACTGAAATCATCATCGTCATGGTCACTGGAAGGTATCTTTGAGGAGCTTTGGAGAGATTTGTATTTGCTTGATGAAGGCGTCGCATAGTGCTTGCTTGCTGTATTGGACGTCTTTGGTTTCTTCCCTCCTCTCAATGGACTCGGAGAATCTCTTTGGTTAGCCCTTTTGTTTGATACCGCCTTACCCTTTTCCTTCCGGGCATCTTTTTTGATGTCCTTTTTGGCGATAGTACCTTTCAAAGTCAATTGATTCAATCCGTCAACTTTCTGTGTTGTGGCAACTCGTTTCTTGCCAGTCTTGGGAGGTTTTTCAAGGCCGTCTCTACAGCAAAGATGTTTGCAGCTAAAATGGTAAACGTAAGATCCAGTCTTTGTTGGAGAAACACTCACCTTGTCTTGTCCTTGCATCTGTGGTTGCAGCTCCAATTACCGTTGGCAAGCTGAACGGGCTCGTTTTCTTCCTGTTCTTCTGACTCTTTCTCAGTGACTCCCCTGCCGCCCTTCGCTTTCGAAGTAGCTGCTTTTCGTTCAGGGCTCGGTGTGCTATTGTCAATGGATAGCCAGTCTAGTTCCTCGACTTGAGATTGCTTCATGGACTCGGTTTTCTTTGATCTCTCCCGACGATCCAGGAACAAAAAGTCATCGAAGGCGAAATCGTCGTCATCAAAAATGTCAGCCTCATCAGTTGCCTTGGACTTCCTTTTCGATACCACCAGGAGTTGCTGACAGCCCCGAATTTCCGGTTTCCGAGTTTCGCTATTGTTGATTGTCTGAGATTGCTTTGTTGGGAGATGGGCTGAAACATCGAGCTTCAGTTCCGCTTGCCGCGCGGTCCCAGCTGTATCATGATCAGCACTTGTTTCGAAACCACATTAAGTTTCCAAAAGTAGCCTACCAATATCATCGCACATGGCACGGCACACAATACGTTGATCTGGGCTGCTCATGCTTGCAGAGAGTGCGATCTCCATGCTGCTCTGCAGTTTAATCGCACTATATAAAAGTAAGAATCAACCGGTATGTTTCGTTTTTTTCTTCTTCTTGACCTGAATCTGCGGAAATCAATCAACCGCCCATCAGATGTCTCTGTCAAGCAACAGACGTAGACTGGTCGCCGTGAAAAATAAGTTGGGATCTTTTCATTCATAAAGGCCACTTCAAACTTGAAACGGACGGTAACAGAGCCGTTCTTTACTTCCTGGTGAATATTCATTAGTACCGCAGTAGATCTTGGAGTGATTGGGGAGCGTACTTTGCTAGTCAACTTGACTTCGATGCGCAACTTGGGAAACTCCTTCAGTCGAGAAAGTAGTTTTGTACCAAAAGGTGGATTTCTGCTGAGGGTCATCTCGATTTCATGCGCCTCCATACACTCGAGTTCTTCGATGCTTGAAACACCAGTGGCAACCAATTTTCGAACAGCAACGACTCCGATCTGCTCAATCTGTTTCATCTGGAGTGGTGACTGGTCCCAGACTTTCGCACCAACACTTCTTGCTAGATCCAGCGCGTTCAAGATGGACACCGAATCCTCACGCTCAATCAGGCAGTCAACCACACAGCGGACCAATCTGTTAACATGTGCAAAGACAAGACTCTTATCCTGCTGAAGGGAAAATTTGAATTTCTGGAACTGATCTCCACAGGGAAAATCGAGTGCACCAAGCTCAGATTGAAGTAGAAGGGTGATCTTGTGAGCTGTTAGAGCTATGTCGACTGTTATTGGAAATCGAATCCCTTGGTCACGGTTGATCTCTTTGTAAAGTGATTTTTCGCCTGCCTTGAAACGAATTTCTCGAAATTCCTCGGCTTGGACGATCACACCAAGCTAGATTCGTCAGATTAGGGTTGTCTCGGGGAATGAATTTTGCTTACAATTTGCTGCAATGAAGCTTTTTCCTTCAAACTGAGCAGAACTTTCATCGTTTCAAATCGGATGTAGTACCGCGCCATGGCATTACCGTACGGAGTTGAGCGCAAGCTCTCCGTTTCGACTAGACCGCACTCTTGAAGAAGATTGATGTCCTTTTCACAGATTTGTCTGAGTAACTCGTCTTCATCTTCCTGACTAGCCCCTTCTTTGAGCTTATAGTGAGTTGGGTTCCGACGTAGTCTCACAAAAAGAAAGGTTCCAGCAAGCCACTTGATAGCTGTCTCAATGTCTGTGACATTCCCCAGTCCTATCTCGGCATTGATATGGTCAATCAGATTCAGATGCAAGCAACTTTCAATACTTTCAGTTCCCGACACCAGTCTCTCATAGTGAGGAACGCGCTCCTTTCGGGTGAGTATGACTGCGACGGCGCTGTCATCAAATTGGGGTCGACCTGCACGCCCGAGCATTTGCGTCATTTCGAGATCCGAATACTCTTTGCAACCACCGTCCTGCCAACTGACGGTGTTTTTGATGATTACAAGGTGACAAGGCAGATTAACTCCAACAGCAAGAGTTGAGGTGCAGCATATCACGTTGATGTGTCCATCGAGAAAGCCTTGCTCGACTGCATGCCTATCACTCGGGCCGAGGCCTGCATGGTGGAATGCAACTCCCGCGGAGATGGTTGCTAAACCTTGTTAGCCATGTTTGCAATGTCAATAATCGGGACTCATACTGTTCAAATCTTCATTGTTGACCTGAATCGGTCGGGTGGGGCATTTCCAAAGCCTAGAAGGTGGGTTGGTCATATCCCACAGACGAGCTAGTTCCTTGGCTGTTGCAACGCACGAATTGCGTGTACAACTGAAAATCATGATGGGCTTTTTGCACGAATGCGTCCCAATAATGTCAGGGAGTCTATGAAATGGTCAGCATCACGAACTCAATTAAATTAGCAAAATCTTACTTTGTCATGCAGATCTTGTCAAAGGCAAAATCGTTGACCGAAGACTGATACCCGTAAACAAACTTCTGTAACTTGACAGGTCGAAAATCTTCGCCAAAATGCTCTCTATGAGCCGGTATATGTTGGTTTGTAGCATCTCTCCCTAGCCAGGTAGCGATATCCTCCGAATTCGGGATTGTAGCACTGAGAGCAATGAAGCGGACGTTCGAACCGATGTTCTTCATGCGTGAAACTACCGCCTCAAGAGTAGCACCTCTAGACTCTTTGAGAAAGTGCACCTCATCCAGCAGGAAAAGCTTGACCAACTGGAGCAGCTTCATATGATCCTGCCACTTTCGAGTCATGGAGTCCCATTTCTCTGGAGTGGTGATGATGATCTGGCTATTCTGCACGCTGCGCAACTGCATATAATCGGTGTCTCCGGTCAATTCCGCGCATTTGAGATTCAGAGTGGCAAACTTGGTATTCCAGTCCTTGAATCGCTCTGTGCACAATGACTTCGTCGGAGCCTGGTAGACGACCTTGAACCGCTCGTCCCTCAGCACGTTGAGAAGTCTGCAAATAGCTAGCTCCATGATGACGGTCTTGCCGCTTCCTGTGGGCGAAGAAAGGACAAGATTTGAATCAGAATTGTAGGCTGGCTCGAAGCATCTGCTCTGCACTGCATTGAATAGCGGGAATGGAAACAGTTCTCGATATCTGTCTGGCAGTACATCTTTGGAAACCAACACGATGCCTCGCACGGATATAGGGATATTTTCGAAGTGTGGAATCTCTCTTCGAGCTGAAGGGGGCGGCTGCTCGATCGCACTAGATTGGGCCAGACTGGATTGGGCCAGTAGTTCAAGGTCTAAACTAATTTTGAGCGATGTAATATTGCATAAAGACCGGACGTATACCCACCAAATTCATCCAATTGGTCCTCATCATGGCCTGCAGATAAGACAGGCTCTTGGGTCATTGGGAAGTGTGATGAGAATGAACTTGTTTCTTGTGGTCGTTGAGAGCCGCCAATGAGTCTCTGATCTATGATGCCGGTCATACCGCGAGCAGAACCAGCGAATCTGGTATTGATGCATCGCCGCTTTGGGGAAGGTTGAAAGGGACTTGAAGGAAATGGATTCCGCCGCATAATGAAGATATTTAGCTTTAAAAGTTAGGTTTGGTTGGATTATCACAGAAAAATGTTGTGGAGGATGAAGAAATCATGTGGGAGATACTGCACGTGGGAGTCCCGTGCCTCGACAAACCCCAACCACATCAGGTCTATATCTAGGGCAAAGCTACAGTCAGCATTGTGTATAGTAGCATTACCTACTAGTAGGCTTTCGACACGCAAAACCGGAAATGTTATGTCGATTCAAGAATGCCGTGGGTCAGGTAAATAATTCATGTAGGAAGGACTTGGCTCGGGTATATCAAAGTTTTTCATTTCTTCGTGTATATGCAAATTGAACGAAACATTTTCGAATAATGCTCACGCTCGTAAGTAGAAGTAAACCGCCTCAAATAAGACAACGGAGTGTTGCAAAAAGCAAACCGCGCAATTCAAGTCACAGACCGAAACGCATCTATCAGGTATCCAAGAGAATCATTTCCATAAGCAGGCATCATAATCACAGCAAATATAAAGGCTTAGCATGGCATTTCTTAACTACTCATGTTCGAAGTAGTTGCTGGCGCTCACATTCCGACTTGAGCTAACGCGAGCGTGGCCCGGGTTTGGGGAAGTTGGTCGTGACGAAGACATGCCATCGGACAAGAAGGGGGTGGGGGGTAGCTTGATAGAAAAGTCGTTCGGGGAGTTGGATACGGGGGACCCGTCATCGTAGCCGCCACCTTTTTCGTAATTGTCCACACGGATTGGCGGGGGGCGAGCGAGGCCCGTTTTAGCCGCAGCAGGGTTAAAGCTAGGGTTGCCGTAGTAATGAGTGGCCACAAGGACTATGGCAGAACCAATGAGGAACTGGAGTAAAAGTCAGTTTCGGATGTTCGTTTAGGCTGAGTTCAGAAATGGGATGAAGGAGAAACATACACTTGGGGTGAGATCAAAGTCAAACAGCCAGACGCTTCCAACGATGCTCAGGATAGTCGTTGCGGTGTTTGCTACACAGCCGGGGTCTCTCTGTGAATGGCGGAGCGAGAAAGTCGACAGGATACCACCCAAGGCTTGAATGGCAATGACCGCCCATACTGCCCAATTGTAGCCCTGGAAGAATCCATCGTTGGAAACGCTCTCTCCGTCTTGGAAGCCGACACCAATGAATATGGCGGGAAAGACGGAGTAGATAGCCAATTGAACATTGCGCACCCACATCGAGGTGTGGCTCGAGCTATCGCGGAGGACCTTTTCAAAAAAGACACCACCGCAGCCCGAGGCCAATGCAGAACCAATGATCGCGAGTAGACCAATCGTCGCATTAAACTTTGGGTCAGCCGTTTGGATGTCCTCTTCAATACCTTCGTATGTAGCAGAGCGCTTGTGCAACTTTCCCGAGCCACTCTTAACAGACTTCCACTCCTCCAGGGAGCGAGGAAAGTGAAGCGACGCAGACTCATCGTGGATGGACATCTGCTCTGAATTGGCATCAGGCATTTGGACCAAAGCCACACCCACCACCAACAAAAGCAACAGAGCCCACTTGCGGGCAGGGATGCTCCGTCGAAGAACGACCAGTCCGAAGATCGCAGTTGTCAAGAATTGAACCTGGAGGGTGACCTGGAAGGTCGCCGCCCGCATGTTGGAAAGCGCAATGTATTGGAGGGAGTTCGAGAGAACACCCAGGGCGGCGGGTACAGCCAGTTTCCAGCTGTCACCGGAAAAAACTGTGCTGGTAAGGGAGAAGAAGAGGGAGGTGGCAGGCATCGACGGTGGGGCGGTCTTGGAGACGTCATAAAGGGCCATTGTGAGGGAAATCGCCAATTTGACAACTTCGTTCAAGAAGACCGCGGTGGAGGTGAGGTATCGCTTCCCCCCGGCGGGGGTCATGACACGGGAGTAATGAGAGAGCTATTGGTGGGGAAAGGGGATATCGGTTAGTCGTGTACATTGGTATGGATTATAGGAACACGCGCGCGCTGAAAAGACTCACCAACACAAATGCAGTGGATTGTGTCGCCAACTGAGAACAACATAGAGGAAGTCAGCAATCGAGCATGGACAATTCGAGTTTACTCGATCCACGAAGTATATTCTCATACCAAAAGCCAGGGGACATTTTGCGAGGTCGTCCGCAGCCACGACGGCTGGCGTTGTGTGCGGTCCACCATGTTAAATAGGTTGGATGAGAATGGCTCGCCCCTGAGGATGATTTCTCCGCAAGTAAACACGGAAACAAAACAACCGTGTCGGGAGCGAGTATGAGCGAAGCAACAATGGGAAGGTCGATGATGAAAGGGAGCGACAAAAGTTCGGAGGTCAGAGTCTCAAAACTCGCCAGAGATTCTCTCTCACTGGGGGGGGGGGGGGCTAAGGCAGGGGAGGCCCGGCGATCTTCGTCACTGGGGCCAGCGGCAGGGCTTCGGCTGACGATCACGGCGGAGCTCCGTGCGAGGGTGGCTGGGGGCTAAGGAGAAAGGAGTTGGCTTAATATATTCTGTACTATAGGACTCAAAAATGGACCCGACAGAATAAATGAAGCTGGTTGTATTTATGTTCCGTGACAAAGAGTCATGAAATCCGGGGAAGTTTGTGTTTAAATTGAATCGGTCAATCGGCGGTGTCGGGGTGGATCACGGGAGAACAAGAGTCATGGGTCCAGACTCATTGGGCATCGAGAAAACTTAACAGTTCCAAGGTTGAAGCGATGGCTTTTCCTCTCTTCGTTTTCCCCCGCAAATCAAAAGGTTCGCAGATGCTTGGTACTTGGGAACAAACCCCATCGGGCTCGGGAATACTACAAGTAACTTTGGGGCTTAATCTATCGCCTGACGTCAAAGTCCACCTTTCAAAACACCCGCGATGCCCCCATTCGGCCAAGCCGCTCGCCCCAACCCCTGCTTCTCCATGGAATTCTGTAGGATGAGGCAATATCAAATCCACTCTGGGCTGATCACCGATCGATTGCGTGTTCGATACAGTCGGCTCCAGCCTATCCAGCCACGCTAGGTGTGGGCTTGGCCCTAGCGCACGTCAGCCATGACAATTAAGCTATGTAGCGGCTACGTAAATAGTGGGAACTGATCTGCATCGTGAAAAAAAAAATGTTGGAAAAATTGACATAACTTGTTTATCTCCATTGAATACAAGAAGGGAGTAGCGAAGGGTAATACAAAATCTATTTTGATTGATAAAAGACGTGGTAGCCGTCGAATTTCGAATTAACATGAACATAGGAAGGGGTATATAGGGCCCACAGATGGGGAAGTCGAAGTCAAAGAGATAGGGTCAAATGAAGGTTTCGTAGCACAAATGCCTCACAGGACGAGGTCAAAACACAGAAGAAAAAAAACTCCAATATGCAATAAATGCCGGGTGAAAAATGGTCGGCGAAAGGATCCAAGTCGGACCAATGAAAGGAATCAAGGGGTGATGATGATACATGAGATTTAAAAGGGTATATGCAGAAGATAGCGGATCGAAATGGATGGATCAACCCGAAAAGAAAAGAAAAAAAAAAGGCCACGCAACTCATTAGTGCACAGCAGCCACACTGCTGCGGTCGTGATTCCAATCAAAATCGAAAGACCAAAGCGGGAGATCATGCTTCGGCTGCGGCTCTCCGCCGTTCAACATGATAGCTTCGCTGCTATCGGTACGACGTCGGGTATGCTGCTTCTGATCTTCAGGGATGGCGGGTGGCGGCCCACGGGGGTGAGGCTTGGGAGAGGGGAGTGGCGAGAAGCGGTGAATAGGGAGTGTCGGTGTGAGCGGTGAAGCACCGTTGGTGGAGGGGGAGGGCAAAGACTCCGCATAGCTCGTGCTAGCAATGGAACGACTAGTCTTCTGTTCATTATCAGAACCGGACTGTGAGGGAGAACCGTCCTTGTCCATGTGAGAGGCACCTTGATCTGACCGTGTGGGGAACGGCGGGAACGCAGCGCTGAGGCGCAAGAAAGAAGTGTCGGATCCACAGAAGGAATCCCGAGAAGGAACAGACAGCACAGAATTACGATCAGGTTCGGCAGCATAGTTGAACATGCTAGGGGTAACTTTGCCCTTGCGCAGACGCATTGCCTCCAGCAAGTCCTGCTCTTGTCGAGTCACGGCAATCACTCGGCTTCGGCGGTTCATCTCCTTCAATTCCCGCGGGGTACGCGTGGGTGGTTGCGGCAGCTGCTCCAGGATATTTGGCTCGGCGATGGTGGGGATACCGCTCGAACGTCGGGATTGACTGGTTCCTCTAGTGTTGGTAGAGGATTTGCCAGTCGATGCCTTGCCAGTGGAGGACATAGAAGGCTGTTGAGCATGCTTGCGGGTTGGCTTGCTCCGTTGGTTTGGATGAGAGCCATGGCTGCTGGTGGATGGTGCGCGATCAACCTTCCTCAGCATGTGGGCAGTGGCCGCTTGGGCCGCCTGCGCAGTGTAGACCTCCCCTTCGTACTCACCATAAGTCTCCACGCTGTCACGGAATGGTTTACGGGTGCGAGGCCCCGTGACCGGAGTCTCTAATTCCTCCTCAGTCTCGTCGTCCGATGAAGAGAGGCAGAGAACGCTGGTGTTCTGCAAATCTTTGTTCTTCAGGGTACTCTTGCTGCTCTTCTTGGTGAGAGCGGTCTTCGCACCCTGCGAGTTGCTCCGGTCCTTCTGGCGCCAGGTTTGGGTTGAAGGATTGCTGGTTTGGGGATGAGGATCCTGCTTGGATCTAGGGGACAGATATTCTGCTCTGTCTCTGGCCTGGTTCCTCGCCGGGCTCTGACCACGACGTGTGGTGGCGGTGCTGGTGTCCGAGGGCCGGCGCTGTTGATCCGTCTGCAACTGCTCCCGGCTTCCAGTATACACACTAGAGCGACTAAACAATGACCGTCGGCCTGCATATCGATCCAAGGCCAGATCAATTTCACTCGTTCCTACAGTGCGCTCAAGCGGTTGCTCTAACCACTCACCGTCTCTGGATGATTCTGGGATTGACAACAGATCCGAGCGATCCACATGCTGCTTGGGTGCCTCATGGTGGGCCACGGAGGTCCGAAGGGGCAGGGGATCTCCAAATCGTCGAGAGGCAGAGTTGTTGCTCTTGCTGCTTACTTGTTCAGGTCGGACTTGGGTGGAAGGATAATCGGAGACCACAGTCGAGACCGGAGATGGTGAGTTTGTCATCCGTTGAGGAGACAAAAGGGGCGGGGCTGGATTCCTGGGCTTCGGGAACAGAATGGACAGATCGATGCGGGGTGGGCGCAACTTTCGCTTGGATTCCTTGGGGGAAGTCCGGGATTGCTTGTAAGTCACATGGGGATCCAAGCCCAGCTCATTTTGAATTCTGGGCTGCAAGCCCTTTGGACTCTCAGGTTTCGATTTTGACTCCTGTGATCTGAAGTAGGAGAATAAAGTGGAGGAAGAACCCGATTGGTGAATCTTCTTTGAGGGTTTGGGGAGAGGTGGGGTCGGGTCGTGAGAAAGATATTCATGGCCTAGTAGGGGCGATGAAGCGCGCACCCGGAGATTCTGGGGCGGAACCATCATGTCGCCTGATTTAGCCGTTGGGAAAGCAACGAATCCAGTGTTCTGTTGTTGTTGCTGTTGTCTGGAGGAGCTGTCCGGTGTTCGCAAGCTGGCTCGGCGGGACTTTGGTTGCTTCTGTGGCTTGTCCCACTGGGCCGAATTATTGTGCATGGGCAGGTCGGTTCCTAGGATTCGTTGCGCCTTGGAGGTTCTGCGATCCGCGAAAGCGGCCTTCTCCTGGCTCTCCATGGCTTCGGATCGTAAGAGGTTATTGCGGCTGGAAGTTCGAAGCGGTACGTGGACTGGTGATGGATCTTGGGCCATTTGTAGGTTTGTGTATATGTAGGGATTCAATTCCTCGGCATGAAAGTCGTTTAGGCCAATCCAACAGTGAATGGATTGGAGGTCGGAAGCTCGCGGATTTCACAAAAGTTGTAGAGTTGGAAATTCTTTTTCTTTAAATTGCAGCTGCTAATCCACTTGAATGTCAGCCAAATGTCGGGAATTGACCGGAGACTTCAGGTACCAGGACCAATCTCCGTTTGAATCCCGTGGTTCAATTGGGGGGAACTCCACCACACGTACCGTAACCCAAACAGATTTTGGTATTAGAATATTAAAGGAGTGACTGGGAAACAAGTTGGAGCAGGAAAAAGAAAGGAAAGAAATGTGGGGGAAAAGGTTAGGTTTAAAGGAATAGCAGAAAGTTTTATTGTACTTTCTCTCTTGTACCGGTAGTTTAACCTCACCAACTTCCTCTCCAGATCGATTGGTTCCAACTATCCACCTAAAGGGGGAGATCCACCTTTGGATTTGTATATTTTAATCTATTTTTTTTTATTCTGCTTTTTTTTTCTTTTCTATTTTTCTAGAGCCTTTTTTTCTGGCCCGCAATTGAACTTACTCTAAAAGGGGTTGGAATTGGCGGAAATGGTCTCCTCACTGGCGTCACTACAAGTGGGGTTCGGACAAGGCAGTGCCAATTAAAACCCGAACAGGGCGCTTTCTCGTTTCTTTTTTCTTCTTATGATATATGAGAATAGGGAGTTGATTTCTCTCCTGTCCAGCAAAATGGTGATTCTGATTTGGTTGAGTATTCTGTACATAGGGGGTATTAATGTAGAAAGGAAAATAGAAAGGGAAAAAAAAAGGCTTGAGATCGACAGGCTCAGCTCACTGCCCCCAAAGTAGTAAGTATCGACAGGCACTAGCGAGACATTCATCCTCGGTTCCATTCATTCTACAACTGCGGTTCAATTGAAAGGCTCCGTTCGGAGTACCGATGTACTACGGAATACCCAGGTAGGTTAGATCATCGCATTGTTCTTTTCGGAGATTACAGTGATGCAGGTTCAAGTTGTATCCTGCATGGTCCATCATTTGTCATTTCTTGTCAAATTCCTGGAATTAAGAGTAGAATCAAACAATTGAAGGAACGAGTCCGAGTCAAACAGTCTCAAGATTGATATGGTAGAAAATCTACTAGATCCCCTCGTGTTGCCCCTTACATGAGATGAATCGCCGGGACAACCTTAAACCTCTAGACACACGTGTACTATAGATAAACTACTGGATTAATCTACAACTATTTTCGAACATGTCTCATTTGTAGCCTTGGAAAGTGAGTACACTATTGGTGGTAATCTCCCGTGGCAAAAGGGCTGTGGCAGATGGGAGCAGATGTGGCATACACTATCCAGCGCCTCTTACGATCCATTCATATCGTTGACGGCACCTTGGCGCTCCACTTGAGCGCCCCGTGCTCTGCAGTTGAGGAGCGTATTTAGAAACCAGTGTTCGTGGTGGATATCCTCAACTCTGGAACCGATGGGAACATCGGCCGCTATGGCCTGGGAGACACATTCGATTCGCGTCACTTCTCGATCCGTGATGGACCCAGGTCCCAGCCCGTCGGGGCCGGTCTTCGATCGCAAGCCCATCATAGCCGCCCGACGAGAAGTGGCTCCTGTGACAAATAATAGTCGTCTTCTGCCTGGCTTGGGAATTGGTCAATTGGCAATGATCGACCCCTTTTTCATTTACTATCACGCCTCGTGTCCATGGGCGTCGTCAATGACTGGAACTCAAATTCTGCGGCACAGAGTCCACTTTCATGGGGATTAGTCCATTTTTTGCGGATGAAACGCGGAAGGAATTGCGAACTTTGCTATGTTAGGTGACAGGTTGTCATACTCCATGTTTTTGGTTCCAATCTCGGTTTCGTATTATAAGACCCTGAAGAATTCCCGAGCTCGAAAGAATCTAGCTCGTGCTAGTACGTAGGCCATGGTAGTTGCCGAGTGCGCTACCGAGTGCATAGGTACTCCATGCGGAGTATCTTTACCTACACCAATAGTTAGGGGGGTTGGTGTTTCAGGCACAATCTGTGATCGAGTTGACAGACCCTTTTCCTTTCGTGCTCTAGCTCGTGCCACTCTGATGCGATCTGGGCAAATCACACTGCCCGATCGCGATGAAGATCGTCGAATCTTGTCCGGAGAGCTCCGTTCACGCTCCAAGAGCGCGTGCCGTGTCTGAAGACCCACCCACCCAGAGCTGCGGTGACAACCCGGCATGAGGAGTCTTTTTTTTTGTTGTGGTTTTTCCCCCTTGGGCTATTTTAACTTGATCTATCCTGGTCACTGCTCTTGTCATTGGCTCATCATAGCCATCTGGGCTAATTGCGTCTGCGTAATGACAACCATTCCAAATTCGTCCCTTTCTGATTCTGTTTAGCGAAAAAGAGAAAGAAAAAAAGCGGAAGGAAATTTCAAGAAAAAGGGGTAACATCAACTGGGAATCCGATCACTTCGAAAACCAAGCTCTCACCCCAGAACTATGACATAACATCACTAAAACTTTCATCCGTATGATGTTTTATTCTTACCCCACGGCCATGTGTACCCCGTATACTCCGTGGTTTTTTGCCGACCACCTGGGAACACTATTGAACCCAAATGAATGGTTTGACAGGTGTGGGAGCACCTCCTTTGCCCACCACGTTCCATGATTGGGATAACTAGCGTCAAATGGTTTGCCAATAGTGAACCCACTCGTGTATGAACAATGCACGCAATAGTGTCTTTCTTCTTCCATGGTTCTGACTTCATTCCCCAGTCTGCTAACGATTTCTGGTGGGTTTCGTAGATCATGCGCAAATCATCCGTGGACGAAGGGGCCCAAGAGGGGTGTAAGCTTTGTCGTGGGGGTGTCGCCCATTATTTCTGTTCGTTGTTGGCTTGCAATTGAGTTTCAATTGACGGCGGATTTCCGGCACCGTTGAGGTCCGCCGTTATCGTCAACCGATGTCGGCTTGAAAGGGTTCATTTGAATTTTTTTCCCCGTCAATGGAGACTGAATCGAACCGTTGAAGGGCTTATTGCCGCGCTGGCGAGCTTAATATTGAGAAAGTGATGTATTTCAACCTCGTATAAAGCATTTGAATTGTGGGTTTTGCATCCACAGTTGCAGATCATCCGCGTTTATACTTACTATGATCGCAAAAACGAGATATTTCGGAGGATTCTGGGCTTGACCACATCCCTGGGTCCTGAGAAACCGGGCAAGGGGAATAGAAGAAAAAAGAAGCCTCCAAGAACAAGGATCTAGCAAGCTAACAAAATTTGTCATGCATAAACAATGAGCCTCTCGTAAGATATGCTCATAAATTTTTATGTCAGCCCCAGAGGTGTGCATCCTAGTTAGTTGATTCGGAGAATGGTTGTCAGCTTCAAAATAGGCATTTCAAAGGTATCGATTTAGGTCCGAATAGCCTCGTTCGAAACACACCAGTTCGGATGCTGGACCCTTCGGTGCTTCATAAATGCGGGTAACACGCACGCGTTAATGAACAACAACCAGAAAAAGTCACAATGGTCATTTTTGGACACATGTGACCTTGCTTAAAAAAAAATATATCCATGGATGGATCCTGGTATTCTTACTATTAAAGGCGCCTGGTGTTTCAGGCGCTTTCTCTGTGTCAACGGTCGCTTAGGTCAATATTTGAGAATTTCCAAGGTTGAACTTCGGGGATATCATTCAAGTCTGGGCCAAAAGGGTTTGTATGCGTTCTGTTGGATACTTTGATTCGAGTGCCAGTAGGTAGAGACCCGTGTCAGGTAGATGAACGTGAAAATATGCCATGGTTCGAAACATTTCAAGCAAGCGCCATGTTCACCCGACGAGACATTAAAGCATGTCTAGGTAATGGCCAACCTTGAAATTGCTCTTTTTTTTTCTGCCTTGAGGATTAATACATGTACTGATCTCGGGAGGTCAAATTTGCACATGTAGAATGAGCCGATGGTACCTCTAGGGCTGAGCATCACGATGCAGTGAGATGTGCATGTGCACACGAACTTTCAACTTTGAAGGAAGGCTGTAGCACCGAGGGCAGATAGTTATTGATCTGCGTATAGCCGGTTCACCTGTGCATGTGGGATTTAGATATGCATGTATGCACATGTGTATTGATGTATGTGTATCTGCCTATTCAATGTTCAAATGTTCAAATGTTCTTTTGAATGCACAGGTCATTTCTACACATGTCGTTCAAATGTTTTAACGTAGCAAGCACTCAAGTGCTATGTATTTTCACAATTCTTCATAAAATTCCACACCTGTGTACTGCACTTCCAACACTGCATGTGAGGAAAGCCAGGTTTCTCTCAAGCACTGGCCAGTTGACAGCCTTGGAATGGATAAGCATTTAGTAATGAATGTTGCTCTCTGGTCTTTTTTTTTGTGTCTAGATCAGTAAAGGTCTTCAGTCGAACGATAGGCAAAGGTTCAAGGGTTGATGCTGGGGAAATACGTAAAATATCAATTGATTGATGCATCTTTGCATGGATAACGAAGCACTCAAGTGCTGGGAGCCTTCAGTGTTGGAACCTCAAATGGAAGAATGTAAGATCTTGTAGGCCTTCCAACCTTGGAAGGCTTCCAGAAAGGAGTATGTAATTTCGATCCATGGACATTACCTGCATATGATGTATCCAGGCGCCTCAGTGCATGAACTTAGCCCTGTAGTAGTGCTTGGAGGTCGTGTGCGTGTATTCTGTATTCGGGAATATGGATGTATGTAGTAGTACCAGTACTCTAGGGCTAGTACTAGCACTTAAGGTATAAATTATTTCAATATTCTACGTAGGGCGACCTGAGTGCATAAGCACTTCCTTCAATGTTTGAAGGTTGAAGGTTGAAGGTTCCTCACATTGAAGGTCAAATATTCCACCATTTGAGCATTGAATGGTCGAGAGATTCTGGTTTTGAGAAGAAAATTAGAAACATTGAATAGACGCTATGTAGAAGGAGTGCCTATGAAAGTTTTAAATCAATAGGCATGCCCAAGAGAGTCTCGACAGGTGATCGAAAAAGTTGGAGTCCAGGGATGCAGCACATATATATTCCACCTAGACGACATTTGGTGCTGGGGCCTCCCGGGGGTACCTGCAGGTGACGCGTTGGGTACATGCGGCGTATGCGCTGCAGGATGTTAGGAAGGGGGTTGCAGTGGATGTTTCCCCTGTGACCTTGATTTTTCCAAGGTCGCTTTGTTGATTTACGTGTAGAATTATTTACCCATTAATCCAGCTATCCCTGTTTTCTAATGTGGATCCCAGAAACTTGTACGGAGTAAACAATCTTGGAAAAGATCTTGATACCCAGATTCCGGGGCCCCACCAAGGGGTCTTTAAGGGGGGGGATGACCTTATATTTACATCTTCACCAGGTCCAAAGTTTCCACAGGGTCATGAATAATTAAAGAGGTAAATGTGAGGGCTATACCGGGGCATTAGAGCAATGATTGAAGCGTTCCAAAATGTGCAGTGGCCAAAGTCCACGTGACCAGTGGCGATAATTTTGGCTGGAACGTTGATCTCGATGAGTAATCAGGCACTTAGGTAATCTGATTTTAGGTCCCCGGGCATCCCCACATCCCTAAACAGGTTTAACGATGAACATTGTACAAGTCAATCTACGGGGAATGAAGTGTTTTACAGACGATTAAGCAAAAATTGAAAATATTTCAAGGTCAAATTAGTTTGCAACTAGTAACATGAGTTAGTCCCCGTTAAAAATCAAGTTCAATGGAGGCCGACCGGCGCCACTGGAGATAAAAGGGTTCCCGAGCCACACAAGAAGTGGGCAGTGGCAGGTTTCCTTCAAGGTTTTCACACTGCAGAAAGAAAAAAACCGGGTATCCAGTTGCCCAGATGTATTCACAGGTTGCATAACAATCCCGAAAAAAGCAAGTAAAAAGCCAGAAATCAGATATCAAATGAGAGTATGCTTCACAGAATGCATCTTCTTTCTCACTTTCCTATAAAAGAAGAAAAAGAAAAGAATAAGAGTGAAAGGGAAAAAAAAGGTTGAAATCAAACACAGCAAATAGCACGTTGTGGTCCATGACATCGTCCAATCCGGCACTCGGATTAATTGTTGTTCTCCGCCCCAAACTCCCTTGTCAGCCGCCACTGTTTCCCTTCCTCCCCTTCCTTTGATTTTCCTTGCGTCCCTTTCCATCCACATTCATATTACCTCCCCGCATAACACTATGACCTTCTGTGAGACCTTTAGCCTTGTGTAGATGGTCTTGCTTACTTCTTGTGTTGGGGCACTTTGCTAGCAACTTTGGCCCGTTCGAGTTGCTCCATCGCCTTCATACGCCTCCCCCCACCTTCGCCTCTTTAACTATGTCTACCGATTTCCCTCATTCGGATCCCCAAAACATTGCCCCCGAAAACCTAGAGTCTGATTCAAATGCATCGTTCCTTGCACCACACTCCTATGTCACCCTTAAACCCGAGTCCCGTCTAGTCCCCTCCCGACGACGCGACATGGACGACCATGAAAGTGACGACTTTGGGCAAGGTCCCTCCAATAACGCCCTTGGGCAGTTCTCGTTCGCTCCCACCACTCGGACCACAGTCGTCACCACTACAACCACTACCACCACATCATTTCCACCTTTGGCGATCAAACCTCCACGAGCAGTGAGAGATTTGGACGCTCGACAATATCCCCTGGCCGCAACACCGACTCCAGCTGCCTTGAAGAATATCACATTCAAAATTGGAGACAAGTCGATCGTTTTCAATGAACCAGAAGACGCAGCAGCGGTAGCCACTGAGGTTGGTGTCTCCACAACCGCTGGGCCGTCATTCGGAAATACTAACTTTTTTCAGTTGAAGGAAAAAAACGACGCCTTGAAATCTTCCAACGGACAAATCCGTTCTGTAACATCCTTCACATCAGAAGATGACGCTGCCTCTCGCCGACTGGGTCCGCCTCGATCCATGACACGTATAAACCACCCTCACGCCCAGAATCGTCCCGTTTCCCCCGTTTCCATCTCCGATCCTCGCCCATTCATCCTTCCACGAACTCGTGGAAAGCGAGTTCCTTCTGAACCCGTGACACGACGTAACCGTCATGGTTCCTCGAATTTCCATCTTTCTCCCGCTGGTTTAGCCACCCCAGAGACCGAACTTAACATTGGCAGTATTGGGGATGCGACAGCAGCTTCAAGACAGAGGATCCAGAGTGCAAATTTCCCACGCCGAGAAACTTTATTACGCTCACCCCTGTCGGCTGAAACTGGAGCTCTAGCTACGTCGCAAAGCTCCAGTTCGCTCGAAAATCGAGAGCTGGGTCCGGTCGATGAAACCAACGCGCCTGCATCCGAACCGACACCTCGGAGCCAGAATGTCTCGTTTTCTACGGAATCTACATCACAGCAACGCCCGGACTTGTCAGCTCAGCTCTCGGCCATCGACAACGCAATGGCTCAAGATATGTGCTTGCCAAGCCCCAGTCTATCCCCAGTCACCGCTATGAACGCCCTGCACGCTGAATCTTCGTTTGAATCAGAAGGCCCTGATGTCGACACGGATTCAAGCCTAGACCATAATGTTTCAAGGCACCCCAAGACACTGCGGCTCCATGATGCTGATTCCAGAGGAATTTCTCGATCTCCATCATCTTTGATGGACATGCCCAAGGTTTTGGATTTTTTCGACTCTGTTCCTGAAGAGTTGAAATCTTATCTCATGTACCAGTTTTTGCGGCGTTGCCCTAAACCAACCTTGCATTTTGTGGCCGATGTGGTCAATCCAACATTAAAGTGTGACTTTTTGGAGTTGCTTCCCTTGGAGCTCAGCCTCAACATTGTGAAGTATTTTGATGTCCAGACCATGTGTCGTGCTGCTCAAGTTTCAAAGAAGTGGCGTCACATTGTCAATTCTGACGAGAAGACCTGGAAGGAGCTGCTTGACCAGGGCGGTTACGTTCTTTCTGAGGGAGAACTAGATCGAGCCATCAGAGAGGGCTGGGGATGGCAGTGCAGTAGCCCTGACAATTGGGAGAGGGATCTCAGCACGACATTGTCGGTCAACGAACTTTCTCCTATCGCCTCATCTTCTGCTGCTTCTGACAGGGCCCCACTTACCGCTCTCCCGCTCAACAGCAACAGACGTCCGAAGAGGAAAGCAAACACGCGTGCTTCAAGTCGGAAGCTCGCAAAACGTAAGATCTCATCCAGTGGGACAGATTACTTCGAGCCGGACTGGAAAAAAGATGTTGCGGCTTCGGAAGCTCCATATGCTGCGGCCAACACCGCTGCCGCCGCCGTGCCCTACCCAGAAGTCGGCCTCCCTTCCCTGCGTGGACTTTACCTTTACAAGGCCCTTTACCGTAGACTTCATGCGATTCGCCGGGGGTGGATGAAACCAGAAGTCAAACCGGGGCATATCGCATTCCGTGCTCACGATCGTCACGTTGTGACCTGTCTGCAATTTGACTCGGATAAAATTCTTACCGGCAGTGACGACACTAATATAAACGTATATGACACGAAGACTGGCGCACTGAAGGCCACATTGGAGGGCCACGATGGTGGCGTATGGGCTCTTGAGTACCACGGCAACACACTGGTCTCTGGGTCCACTGATCGCTCAGTTCGCGTCTGGGATATCGAGCGAGCCCGGTGCACTCAAGTTTTCCATGGTCACACCTCCACTGTTCGTTGCCTGCAGATCGTCTTGCCGACGGAGATTGGCCGGGACGCTAACGGTCGTGCCATGATGATGCCAAAGGTGCCCTTGATAATCACTGGGTCTCGTGATTCGAACTTGCGTGTTTGGAAGCTTCCAAAGCCCGGTGACCCGGTGTACCTTCCTAATGCTCCCGTTGCAGATGACTATGACTGTCCCTACTTTGTTCGTGTGCTTTCTGGCCATAGTCACTCAGTTCGGGCGATTGCGGCTCATGGAGATACCCTGGTCAGCGGCAGCTATGACTGCACTGTGCGCGTCTGGAAGATTTCCACAGGGCATGTTACGTACACCTTGACAGGCCACACAATGAAAGTATACAGTGTGGTAATGGATCCCAAACGCAATCGCTGCATCAGTGGTGCCATGGATCACCTGGTCAAGATTTGGTCACTCGATGATGGAAGTCTACTCTACAATCTCGACGGCCACTCTTCCCTTGTTGGCCTTTTGGCTCTGCAAGGCGATCACCTTGTCTCTGCTGCCGCCGATTCCACGCTGCGAATCTGGGACCCGCAGCGTGGCCACTGCAGGAACACACTCAGCGCTCACACTGGTGCTATCACTTGCTTCCAGCATGATGGACAAAAGGTCATTTCTGGTTCAGATCGAACTTTGAAGATGTGGGATGTTAGCAATGGCAATTGCATTCGCGATCTTCTCACTGATCTCAGTGGTGTCTGGCAGGTGCGGTTTAATGATCGTCGATGTGTTGCTGCAGTACAGAGAGATAGTTTGACCTACATTGAGGTAAGTGTTTTTTAGGAGGAGAGAAGAAAAAAAGAGTGGTTGTGAATTATGAACTGACTTTGTCTCTTTAGGTTCTTGATTTTGGTGCCGCACGTGACGGTGTTCCCGAGAGTAGACTTGGGCAGCGTATCGCGGTGAATCGTCGTGGCCACGAGGTCACTACAGGTAGCATCGAATCCGACTCTGATTCAGACTAAGCTTCAATGTGAGGCTCATTCCTTCTCTACATTGTTACGTTTACACACACCCCCTCATGTTTTGTTTTCATCTTTCCTGCTCTTTTCCTCCATTCACGATACCCCATCTTTATGGCACTCATATCTTATATTCCCATGAAAACTCCTTTGCATAGCGTGGTCGGCATTCTTTGATCATCCAGCATTATGATGGGAACAGGCGTTGTGTGACGTTTCCCTGACCCTTGCGGGAGGACTTTACTTCATCTTTTCATCTTTTTGGATCTTGGTCCCATTCCTCCTGCATCCGCTCCATGTCAATTTTACCTCTTACCTCTCACTCCTCAACTTTGACTATTTTTCCCCCTTATATTTTTTCTATTTTACTCTTTACTACTGTGTATGTATGACTTCTTAACATTCCCTTGTATGTGCTTAGTCGGTTATACTTGATTTGGAGTTTCAAGGATGGTGTCAGATTTCTCCAATTGGATTCATTCCCCTTTAATTTGCTCCCGCTGAATCCAGTATTCCTGGGTTGCTCTCTTGTCCATGCTTTGCCTTTAAAACTGGGCGTACGTACTAGGTACTAGTCGTAACCATTATAGTTTTTTGAACAGAAAAATTTGAAGGCCACCCTGTCAGACCTTGGTATACACCCGTCTTCCAACGAGACCAGTCTAACCAGCTCTGGAAACGAAGAGCCTCAATTGTCACACATCCCAAGGTCGTATCACAGCATAGTACCCCGGTATTCCGAACGCGAACCCCAAGTCATATTCAAAACTTGATCCCGCCTAGGTACTAGGCACCAAGGTTGGTTTCAAGCGTGAGTGGTTCGAAGGATCCTAGAAAAATTTGAAATTTGAAGCTTATAAGATTGCCAATGTCACCAGGGAATCGGGGGTGTTTCCCATGAATTTCACCATACAAGTCTTTCCACTATGCTCGCATTTAAGCTCATTTCTAATGTCACTCTCCTATTTTGGGTGATACTCGTCGCCCCGGCTTTATCTCAAAAGTGCCAGGAGGAAGAAGCGTGCCCAATTGGGTGGGTTTGTGAATTGGACCCAGCCTCCACTTGGTATTTGACATGTCGGCATTGATGAGGGTCCTTGCTTGACCTACTACTAGTAGGTACTGTATGAATGTTAGGTACTAGTATGTATAATTATTTTTCTCGGCCTTATTTCATAAATATACTACATAATCTTCTTTCCATGGCCATAGAATGAGTCTAACATTGAAGGTTGACAACAAGTACCTAGAGATCCCAAAGTTGCAACATTCAAATGTTCCGACATTTTTTTTTTCATTGGAAGTTATTGGCCCAGAGGAATGCTGAAAGCTGGAGGTTGAGATGGATCAATTGATGTTTCTATTCAACCTTGAAACTGTTCGAAATCCATCAATTGATGGATGTGGACATAAGGATAGATATCAACGCCAGCCTTGAAAGTTGAATGCTTGGTTGCACATGTTAAATTATTATTATACAAATGAACATAATTTTCTGATTCTAGTATGTAGCTATGCAATGTTCACTCCACATCTTCAAGGTCTAGCCTCATCAAGAGTGAATCTGGTCCTATCTAGTAGGTGGAAGGCTTGACCCGTGGGGTCACGCATGTGGTACGATGACCTCGCGGAGGGATATCTATATCAGATGATCCCAAAAGTTTTTCGCCTGAGGGTAGAAACGGGCCTTCTAGGGTCAGGTTATTTAGTGTTCGATAGCCAACTCTCACACTGCGGTGCCATAGCTGTGGTTCTCATGCGATGCACAGGGCAGAGTCTTTGGCTGCTTGACGTAGAGTATGGGATTCGTCCTAATTGCGAAGAGCCGTCGGAATCAAGGCGTCTCCGTGGGCATTGTCACCGGAGAAGATTTAGGAGCCTGCTGGGCCGCTTGTAGGCTCCCATCAATACCTGCCGCGGACAAAATGGCCCAACGGACAGCATTGACACCAAGAAACTGGCCACCGCCGATAGAAACGTCCGCACTGCATGTGACAAGCTCGCCTAGAGCGCCTGGTCCCTCTGAGATGCGTATGTCAGGTTGGACTTTTGGCCGGAGATCCTGCAGCATTGTTTGAAGTCTCTGCACGCTCACAGCAGAAGCGCCCGATTTGACTTGTTTCTTTGTTTTGGCGAGGACTTTATCAACTTTAGACAAGATTATTTGATGTGGGATAGCATAGTGGCGGAAGAGCTGGAGAATCTCTGCGTCGTTCTTTTTGATTCCGTGTTCGCTGTCGATGAGGATAAAGGCGCGGCGGAGCCTTAATTGAAAATTAATGTAAGCGAATCTCCCCAGATGTTTTGACAAAAATGGTTACTACTCACTGTTTGCGTCCTTGGAGATATTTCATGATTTCCATCCCCCATTCTGCTCGACTGGCTTTTCCATATCCTGGCATATCCAAAAGTACCACTTTATGTTCACCACCCTTTGTACCTCCGATACCAAATGCGTTCATTTCTCTTGTTCGACCTGGCTTGGAGGAGGTCCAGCAGATCTCCTGGCCCATGATAGCATTCAGCAGCGAGCTCTTACCGACATTGGAACGGCCGAGAAATGCAACTTCAGGCTCGATTGAAGTGATCGGGGTTGTCCGGAATTTGGATGCAGACCATAGTTTTAGAGGGGAATGGCGTGAGGGTACAAATAGTTTGTCTGCAAATGCAAGCTGCTCCGAGGTAGGTGGTTTGGTGTCCCAGTAATAACAGAGATCTGAGATCGTCAGATCTTGTAGGCCACGCTTGTTTGGATTCGGCGGATGAACCGGAGAAGTAGGGGGTATCGGTGATTGTGTTGTTGAATATAAGCGCCTTGTAGGCGCATAAGCCCTGCTTATACACCTTTTCATCTTTCAAAGAAATATGTCGCAATTCAACTTCAGGGAAAAGCAGCGCGACAAGTTCTCCGGAAAATCAGGGGACACGGACCACCTCTTATCGATAAGAACACCGCGGGATCCTGCGACCCCCGAGCCAGATTCGACCTCGGTCACGACTCACGACTCACTGGCTCACTTCTCCATTCAAGCTTCTGCTTTATGTTTTACTATTGTGCCGTGGGCTTTCATCATGATCAACGCAGTACTTGTCTTCAACAATAATGGCCAGCCACGGCTGACCAAGTTCTACACACAACTGGTGGGTGTCTATAGCTCAGCACGGTCATGAAACCAAGCACCGAGAATATCACTACTAACCAACATGCCCTAGGACACTCAAACGCAACAATCCCTCATCGCGCAAATATACCAACTCGTTGCACAGCGACCAGCAAGCGCATGTAACTTCCTCCCCCTACCTCCGCTGCTGTCGTCGCAAGGCTCCAGCTCCGCAGCCTCTGGACCTTCCGATGCGCCCACGCAGATCACCTACCGCACCTACGCTACCTTATCATTCATAATGATCTCAACATCCATGGAATCACCACTCGCTCTTATCGATCTGATCCAAGTTTTTGTGGAGTCTTTGGACCGCATGTTTGAGAACGTCTGCGAACTGGATCTCATCTTCGGCTACGAGACGATGCATGCTGTCCTGAGTGAGATGATCGTCGGAGGCGTTGTGGTGGAAACCAACACCGATAGAATTGTCGCAGGTGTGCGCAATCAAGAGGGTAATGCAGGGAAGAGGAAGGCTGTTCAAGCGGCCAGTGCTGGTCTTGGGCGGGGTGGCCTTCCAAGCCTGGGAGCTTGGCGGTGATACAATGGTGTCATCCAAGACTTCTTTTCCTTATTTATTTGATTTAGCGGCATTTGTTTGCATGATTTGATTCCAATTGACTGGCGTTATGAATGTTCATGTAAATAGACGCTACTACTTAGTAGTATCTTGCCACAGCATTTACGAGCTGCTTGCACCCGGCTACGATTTATTCAGCGATACTGTGGTGGACTGATTAGGATCATGCATAACCATTTTTCATGAAAGGGTGATTGATGGATATTTAATAAATTAATGGACGGACTGCTAAGTTGGTATAATAACTAGTTAACTAACTAACTGGTTAGTAGTTAGTTAGTAAACCAGAGCTTTGATATGATTAGTAAGATCGAAGGCCAAAGTGTCACGTGATCTATTTACCCTAACCCACTTTTAATGCCCTAGCCGGATCACATGACCCCACTAGCGCGATCCGGCCCACGAAGACTTGGAATAAGATCCCGCGGTGTCAAGACTTTCTCCTTTCTCACTTCGACAATCGCCAAACTAGCGCAACGATCCCCAGTCGACATAATGGTGGTAAGTATTTGATTATATCTTGCTCACATTTCGCTTGCTGCAGCGATGTTGTGAAGACTTTTTTTGTCTAGCTTTCGATCCTTGTGATCAAAGCAATTTCCGTCAATTGTCTCAATAGCCTCGAAAGAGATGTTGGGACATTGGCGATGAACTGGCTTGAGCCACAAGACCAGCGCCCGTAAAACGGCGTTGGTCGCGTGTTCTCTATAGAGTTTAAAGAAGATGCAGCCCGTGAAGGACTAGATCGCTGATCTTCTTTTCTCAATGATAGCCTCCCAAGTCCGGAAAGAAGACCGCCTCCATGCCCTACCCCCAGGGTAAGGCCGCTGGTTCCAAGAAGGCCGCTAAGGTTAGTTTTCTTTCCATCGGGAGTCTGAGAAAATGAAGTCGAGACACTAATCGAAGTTTTCTTCTTCTTTCATATAGAACCCTCTCTTCGAGAAGCGTTCCCGCAACTTCGGTATTGGCCAGGACATCCAGCCCAAGCGCAACTTGGCCCGCTTCGTCAAGTGGCCCGAATATGTCCGCCTCCAGCGCCAGAAGAAGATTCTGAACATGCGCTTGAAGGTTCCTCCTTCAATTGCCCAGTTCCAGAGCACCCTGGACCGCAACACCGCTGCCCAGACCTTCAAGCTCCTTTCCAAGTACCGCCCTGAGACCAAGGCCGAGAAGAAGGAGCGTCTCGTCCAGGAGGCTACCGCCGTCGCTGAGGGAAAGAAGAAGGAGGATGTCTCCAAGAAGCCCTACCACGTCAAGTACGGTCTCAACCACGTCGTTGGCCTTGTTGAGAACAAGAAGGCTTCCCTCGTCCTGATCGCCCACGACGTTGACCCCATTGAGTTGGTTGTCTTCCTCCCCGCTCTCTGCCGCAAGATGGGTGTCCCCTACGCCATTGTCAAGGGCAAGGCCCGTCTCGGTACGGTCGTCCACAAGAAGACCTCCGCCGTTCTGGCCCTGACTGAGGTCCGCTCCGAGGACAAGACTGAGTTCTCCAAGCTCCTCTCCACCATCAAGGAGGGTTACACCGACAAGTACGAGGAGACCCGCCGCCACTGGGGTGGTGGCATCATGGGCGCCAAGGCCAACGCCCGCACCGAGAAGAAGCGCAAGGCTGCTGAGAGCGCCATCAAGGTCTAAGTTCACTTTCCGTGACTTGGATTTTGTTTGACGGGATCGCCTCCACATTTAAAAAGCGCCAAAAAGTTTTAATGGGAAATGAAAGGTGTTCAAGGCTTTGGATAACTTATTGACGGCCAATTTTTTTGCCTTTTAGCTTTAGATTGGTGTGAAAGAGCTCCTGGCCTTTGGCCCGTTCTAACCAAAAAGACAATATTTCTTCTTAACGAATTTCTCAACACCTCTTATGTACCACTTTTTGCAGATACCCATGAATGCATTTCTCTACCTCTTCAATATGCCGAATGGCTTCAATATTAGAGATCAGCATTCATGCACTCTGTACTCGTAGTTGTAATTTGAAAACTCTGCTCTTGAAGAAAATTTTCGCAAGAGCAGAGTTTTTGTCGATTCTTGGCATGATCCACCTATATTTTAAGGTCCGAAACAGCACTTGAGCCTAAGTGGGGCATAGCATAATTCATTCACGGCACTTGAAAACCTTCAAATGTTGACATTGATCTGGAGAAATTTTTTCATGAGAGCTGCAACATTTTGAAGAAAATTTTCATGTAGATATACAACACCTGGGGTAAGACAAATCAAGCAAACGCCCGTATTCCAACGCGCAAATCTTAGTATTGGATCTAAGTTCCATAGTACATAGTATGTAGTAACAGCTGAGACCATATTTTTTATGCAATGCTTAATTTAGCATGCGAGTGTCAAACTACCCATTGAAGGGAACAAGGCCGCTCTCCAGTGCTTGCAGCTGCCAGGGCGTGATGTGAAAGCTTCCGATCTGAATCGGACCATGTTCTTCAAGAGCGTCGTTACTAGGGCTAGGCGATTGCCAAGGGGTTTGGATAAGTCAACCATGAGGTCGTATCGCATAGAACGGCGGGACTTTCAGTTGACTGGTCCTTGTATGTATTAGGGATCTCTGCCCCCATCGTTATTTTTTTATGCGGACAAAAGAATTCCATGTCTGCGCCTCCTAACTTTGAAGAAACCAGGCCTTGGTTCTCTCCCAGACGCCCACTGCAAAGATATATCCTGAAACAACCATCACGACATGACCGTTCCCAACGAACGAGAAAGTACTGCACCAGGCAGAAAGGCCTTCCAAAAAGGACCATCGAATCAAGCAAGATGATATTAATGCCCAGATTCCAAGTAAGCTCTGAGAGCCAAATGCGAGCTTCCGAGCATTGGCAATCTCCAGATTTGAAGAGAGGTAGGCGGCGCGGACAGATCTATCTGACATGGATAAAGCAAACTTGTCCATGAAAGTAGGAGCCGAGTTTCGGCACCAAGAAAACAGGAGTTTCGTTTTCCAGCTCAAGCCGTTGGATTGAGGCTTCATCTTGGACCCTGATTCAAGTATGGAAGTAAGAAGAGGTAAGTCAGATACGATGAGTGGCGGAGCAGTTGGGTCAGCGGCCAGTCCTGCTGGCGTGGTTTCCTGGACCAAAGCTGTCGACACATCCAGATAAGCGGGGAACCTTGAGTAGAATCGCGGATCGGCAGGCTCGACAGTCAATGTGAGTGCACTTTTGTGAGAAGCCTCGTATGAGGGGGACTGCATGCGGACAATCTCATTGGTGAATGACCGGCAAGGTAAGTAAGTAAGCGCGATGGGTTCTGGGCAAGCCTTGACACAGGCAGTAAGATAGGAGCGGAAGACACGTTCAAAGTCACTTGGAACAGCGTCAGTATTCGAGAAGGCAATGGTGACAAAGTAGCATGGGGAGGGTAATTAATTACCTTTCTAACTTTGTGATCGGCTGACCAACACTCCCGCTGCGGACGGGAGGTTTCTTGTTCATGACCATCATACCATAGAATTTGATTTTCAGGGCCTTGATCACGATTTCTGCAGTGGTGAAAATATTTGGTAATGTCCATTGAGTGAGGAACTTGGCGACCTCAAAAGTAGTCATCTTGGTGGGATCAATCGGAGGCCCGTCGCAAATCATGCGAGTAGCCATGCGAACTTCGCCCGTATCTTCTTCCATTGTTGTCATGTTGGAAAAGGAGGTATTCGGCTTCCAGGCAGCTGGATGCAGAGGGTCCATCATCCTATTGGAGACAAGGCCATCTACCTTCTCGAACGGAGACGCAAATATGCTCTTAACCCAAGTTCCCTGGTAGAATTTGGTTCGGGGCAAAGAAACCAACGAGCGTGCCAGCTGTAACTGGTCAAGATACTCCACTGGCAGATCTGGAGGTGGAGCGACGGGATCATCAGAGGTAGACTTCACTCTGAGGAAAATATTCCTCTTCTCATAGTAGGAATTGTTGATTTCAAAGATCATTGCATCGATCTCCCTGTTCTCGTTGTAGAGGTACCACCAAGAAACCACTGAGCGAGACCACCCCAAGAACTGGGGTACACCCAGAAGATAGGCATAGGGCCACTGTGCAGGGTTCTCATTCTATTTCAAAAAATCCAAGTCAATTAATGCCAGGTTTGGTTAGACGATGATGGATTTGTCACATACCTGATCGCGGAGGAAATTGTCAAGCTTTGTTCGAAGATCCAGCCCGTGTTCTCCACGGTGCAGGAAACGTGCAGAATCGACAGTGAACCAACAAGATAGCTGTGAAGAAAGACGGCTCCATGACCAATACTTTTCCACGCCGCCAGGTGGTGGTGTCACATCGAGAGAGTTATCGTCGACGGCAAGCAAGCTCCCAATGCGACAACGGAGACCAACCGGAGTACCCACAAGGAGAAACCGATTGATGAACTGATCCTTGACAGGTCTGAGGCGGATATGATTGAACTGAACTGGGAAAAAGAGCGGTTTCCCCAAGAATGTGGTGGGCTCAACTTGTTCTTTATCAGATACTGAGACCAGTTGACGAGGAACGAAGAGGGCTTGAAGAAAGAGAATGGTTAAAGGAAGAACTGTGCAAACTAGGGCAATGGCAGCAGCCCCTAAAAGGCCCTTTGTCCAGTATGATTCAATCTGTTGCTCGTGGCCCAAGAACACCAGTAATACTGGTGCATTTAAGAAAATCATGCTTGGAAGTGCTGGAGTACCTAGTAGGTCTCAAGGGTTGAGAGAAACCAAACAGTCGGAAAATATCTCCGAGTAACGACCAGCGCCCCAAGCAAATTTTCCTGTGTTTTGTTTTCCAGAGATCCAATGTGGAGTTTTATAAACAATAGAAATATGATTAGATTAAGTTGTGACGTAAAAAGAAACAGAACGATCGTGATGCGGCAAGTCCGATTGTCTTACGGCCCAGGTGAGGCCCAACGAGTCAGGTATCTTAGCTCACCAGCCGCTCGGAAGCATCCTGGCGTTCGTCGACTTGCCGTATCTCTCAAAGCTAGTTTCCTTTCGGCAGTTACCGAATCATGGACCACGGTTGACAAGGGGTTTAAGTCAATCCAAGATGGGGACATGCGCCACAGGGGAGGCTTAGTTCCGGATTACCGGCATTCATTAAGCAACGCCAGTATGGCATAGAGACCCAACAGAAAACCTTTCAAAAAGAAAAGAATAAAATTTGCAAGTCGAGTTAAGAAACGAATGGATAAGAAAAACACATTGATTAGGGCTGGTAGATCGATGCCATGGGTAAACTTTGAAGCCCAACTTCAGTTCAGACTCGTAACGCTGCCTCCGAAGTCAAGTCGTCCTGGGACCGTGCTGCCCTAGACTCTGCACAAGCCTTCGAGGTAGATAGAGGCTGGCTGAAAAAATGCAAGCCCGAAACGGCTCGCTGGCGTAGGCAAAGGTGGTCCTCGGTAATCGCCGGAAGCCCAGGGACTCTGTGGCTGTATCCACGAACGCCCTTGGGGAAAATGCCAAAAAAGAAAAATTCATCCCAAGGCAAAAAGAAGCGACGAGACATAGGCAGATGTACGGCTTTCGCCGGCCCCGAGCCTATGATATAATGCAGACTAGGCTTATCTAGTGACTAGCGCAGATCGAGGGCTAGCTGAGATGAACGGTGACAGCGGGCTGCCAATGTCGTTCGTGCTTCGGTAGCCAGTAGCCGAGAGCTCGGAAAAGACTGTGGCTGAGATTGCCCTATAGGAAACAAATGTCAGGCGACAGGCAAAATCTGTGAAACTATAGATAAACAGGGTGATTGGTTGGTTTCGGGTTATTCTGCTGACGCTAACCGTAAAGTAGATCCACCACTGGACTATTGACAGCCCAGTGGATCCGTGACGAACATTCCGTGACGAACCGTGACGTGAAGACGGGAAAAAAGGAATAGAAGATATGCAAGATTTGTGAACAAGAAAAAGTTTATACTATGGAGCTGAACAGGCGGTGTTCAGCTCAATCGCTTTGGATCTGCCCTAATTCTCTGCAAATGGGTCTGTGGCTGGTGTGTTGGCATTTGTGGATTGTTGATTATTCATTGTTCTACTGACTGCTCGATTAGGGCCTGATGTGGACCCTGAAAAGCCTCACGGCATCTCCAGGAGGGTAGGAGTATGCAGTTTTTTTCCTTGACCTTTTACACGCGTATGGAGTAAATATCCTTCCTGTTTTGGGCTCTGAGTTTTTTCCTCAGTATATCTATTCATCAGAATGGCCTTCTCTTCCAATGTTCTCTTATTTTTTCAATAAAAAATAGCTTTTACAATCTACTTCCCCCATTTCACCATGAGTCTTCCATCTAGGCCCCCGTCACGGGTCATTATCATTGGCGGTGGAGTATCAGGCATTGCGATGGCTTGTCGTCTCAAAAAAGTCTACAACTTAAACGATTACGCCATCTATGATCGTCAACCAGGGCTTGGAGGAACCTGGCTTGCTAATACATGTGAGTACTGCATCACTTGTCTCTCATCATGTATATAACAGCACCAATCTAATCACTAGACATCTAGATCCAGGATGTGCCGTGGATATTCCAGGGCTTTGCTACAGTTTTTCCTTTGAACCCTGCTCCGACTTCACTCAGATGTTTCCACCCCAACAGGAAATTTTGAATTATTTGTCTTCTGTCGTCACTAAATATCGGGTTGATCAGCATTTTACTGGACAGGTTGAGTGGATTGATTCTACTTGGCAAGAGAAGACACAGACTTGGATTGTGACATTGCAGAACCTCAAAACAAAGGAGCTTTTCACGCAGGAGTGCCAGGTCTTGATATCCGCAGTTGGTGGCCTGGTTAATCCACAAGAACTCAGAGTGCCCGGTGTCGAACGCTTCCAGGGAGATATCATTCATACTGCCAAGTGGAATCACAATGTTGATCTCACAGATAAAAACGTGGCCGTGATTGGGAACGGAGGTAAGACTACATTCTCTCCCGCGATTATCTTCGGACTCAACACTGATAGTGAAACATAGCATCCGCTGCACAACTAGTCCCTGCAATCATTGGCAAGACAAGATCAGTAACACAATTCATGAAGGTCAGCATCATTCCTTTGATTCATGGTCAATAATTATCTTGGCTAACATTTGAATTTCCAAATAGTCTTCCCATCATCTTGTCGAGGCGAAGAACCATATGATATCTCGAGAGTGGAGGGATCGATTCAACCGTTTCCCTTTCTTGCTCTACATTATTCGCATATTCCTTTTTCTCTATATGGAAATAATGTGGTTCAGATTTCAGAACACCGCGCTCGGGAAATCGGGACGGGACTCGGTTGAGAGGAAAAGCCGGGAATACGTTCAAAAGTCAGCGCCAGGTATGATTCAACTCGCCTTCCATACCAGTTGACGGAAATCTTGAAGAAACATTCAACTAACGAACAGAGACAGAAGCATACTGGCATCTATTAATACCTTCCTTCGAATTTGGCTGCAAGGTAAGAGGTCGATCTCAAGTTGAATAGCCTTGGAACAAAGCTCACAAATTTTTATCAGAGGCGAGTCTTTGACCGAGGTTACCTCGCTACTCTTCACGAGAGTAATATGCACTTGACCGACGACCCCATGATGGAGATCACGCCAAACTCAATTATCACAAAGTCCGGCCAGGGGTTTCCTGTCGATGTCATCGTATGAACCCCATCATATACTATCTACAAGATCTATCATCTGCCGCCCGGGAAAACTAACAATTTATCACAAATTAGCTTCTTGCCAATGGATTTTCCCTCACTCATTATGATACCCAGATCCGAGGGCGCCAGGGCAAGACGCGAGAGCAACATTGGAAAGAATATGGCCATAAAGCCACCTTCAAAACAGTTGCTATGCATGGATTTCCCAATTTCTTTTATATCCTCGGGCCCAACTCTGGCCGGCTGTATACATCCACCATCCAGATTATTGAGAGGTATGCCAGCTCTATCAAACTAAGTCATTTCTTGCTTGAGAAACGTGCTGACAGGTTTTGACAGTGAGGTGGATATGGTTATCAAAATTATCAGCCCTATCTTACTCCGCCGGGCTGCCTCTGCCGAGGTCAAGTTAAGCAGCGAACAACGGTACGATGCAAAGCTTCACCGCGCCATTGATAATACAGTGCATAATAGTAACTGTGGAAGTGTATGTGCTCTTCCCATTCCTCTTCCGGATTTATCCTCGTTACCTAAAGACGTTACTAATGATATCGCAGTATTTTATAGATAAAGGGTCCGAGAAGAACTGGTTCGTATACCCTTGGAACACATTTTATCTCTGGTATTCAATGTATTGGAGTGCCAGTGATCGGGATTGGATATATAGATGCTAGAACCTTTAAAGATACTGGACGAACTACACATTACCAAGTACCCACGACAGGGTCCACTGGTCAAACATGAAGCCTCCACCTGGGCACCACCCAGCTGTTCCCACAACATTTGAATCCATGAACGAGCCACCAACCTTGAAAAGCGCGCCAAGAGCTAGGGTATTGAACTGCTCAGAGATCGAGAGAAGCTCAAATCCATCCATAGAAACCTTTAGAATAATATGCGTTTACTAGATAACCCACCTGACATCCAGATGGAGAAGTAACCTTGGAATTTTGAGCAAGAGCCAGTTGACCCTAGGAAGGCGAGAGAGACACCCCATCCACGGATTGAATCCAGAGATTTCATAATTTATGGAGGAGCTTGGAAGGTTTCCAAGAATCGGGTTAGGGACTAGCAAACACACTTAAGTATACAATCTCCAGGTCACAAAATGGCCAGTTAGATAAAAGACAGAAATGTCCACGATAGGAGGTTCATTAATAGACAAGACCCCCGAATGAGAAACAAAAAGCAAGAACCCAGGAAAACGTGTGGAATAAAGCGAGGTGACCTCGGAAAGAAGGTCAAAACAAAAAATTGGAACGTTGGTATGTAGAAATTACAGGGGGAAAAGAAGACCAAGCGCAAAGAAACAGCCGAGGGGATAGAGTACAGAGTACAGAAGCCATAAGTCCAGCCCAGCGCCCCCAGAATTCGAGACCACAAGATCAGGTCGTGACAGCATGAAATAACCCCAGTCTAAACACGTCAAAAGGGAAAGAGGAATATAGTAAGTATTGTGATGGTCATTTTGTCATTAACGTTGAGGGGGAGGTCGTGACAGTCCTTGCCGAGCCTATAATTGAGTTAGTAGTCTGTTGATAGGTGACGGATGAGAGAGACTCGGATTTATGCCTTACCTTCATTTGTTCGATTCGGGCCTTGAGCTGGCTGGTAACTTCAGCAGCTCGCTTCCAATTTTCTGCGGGCTCTGATGATCGGGGTTGTTGGTCATCATCGGCAAAGGTAGTGGAGTTCCGAGTTGATGTGCGGGTTGGGCTTCCAGCTGCAGAGTAGCCATATGTCGGACTTAACTTGCGTCGGCCAAGGCCTGCATCTCGGCTGCCGAAACCTGGTGATTCAAGACCGGTGTTTTCCTTCTCTTCACTTGGACTGGCTGAAGCGTAGCTTCGAGGGCGGGAGCTCTCAAAGCGAGATCCCATATGGAGACCAGATCGTGTTACCGAGGGAGTCCCACTAGAGGCTTCATGGTAGATCGATGCGGGCTCCGAATAGCCCATGCTTCCACTTTCCGTTGACATATGGGGCGGGCTCATTGCAGTTGCTCGAAGAGCCCGTGCCAACTCACGCTTCAATCGTTCAATCTCCCGCTGTTGCTTTTGAACATTGGCCTCAGCAGCCTCGGCGTCACTCCGTGCGCGGACCAGTTGGGTCTCCTTCGCTTTGATGCTCAAAACATCTCTGGTGTGATCTTCAATGAGCTGAGCATTTTGGTTCTGAAGCTCGGTGATCTGGTTGTTGAATTTTGAGCGTTCGGACTTCATTTCCTCAATGGATCGAGCAAATCTCTCCTTCTCATCGCGGAGTTCCTCAAGCTCGGCGCGTTCCGCCGCTGAGATGCCACTCATGGCAGGCGCAGGAGCAGGGGCTGATTCAACAGCTGCTGATGGTCTTGCAATAGGACGGCCAGCGAGACCACGACCAAGGCCGAATTTCGGTGCAGCTGGCGGGGGAGCTTCCTCCTCTGCCGGTGGAGGGGCAACTCGTCTTGCTGATGGTGATGCGATACCTCCTGGGCCACCTAGCTTGCTCCGTAGCTTCGAGCCAGGAGGAGCGAGACCACCGGTCTTTGGAATACCACCGAGCTTCGAGGGAATGGCCTTAGGAGCAGCCCGAGCCGGGGGTTCTTCTGCCGGGGGTGGGGCAGCCGCAGCAGCGGGTTTCTTCAAGCCCATCGCTGGCTTCTTTCCGGGCATGGCCTTTCTGGCTGCTGGAGCAGCGGGCTTGGGAGGCGCGACGATCGGCTTGGGTCGATCCTTGGCCTTGACCTCTGCAGTTTCGAAAAATTCCTTGACCTTGGCTTTCCGGATCTCATCCAGTCCCTCAAGGTAAGGGTTCATGGCCCGTTCGCCCAGAATCTTCATGAGAGTACCCAGAGTCTCTGCACCGCCAGCTCGAATACCTTCCGTGGACTCAGTTAGAAGCTTTGTACCAGCATCAGCGATGGACTTGATCTCCGGTTTGGATGGAACAATCCGTGTATTGCGAAGGCAGCGAATCAAAAATTTAACTGTTTCCTGCTTCACTTGGGGATTCTTGTGCTTGAGATATTCCAAAATATCTTCTAGACAGTCTGAAAGATCTGTCGATAAGAACACAGCATAGAGTGCTCCGCCCAAAGCATCAGCCACGGCCTGTTTCTTTTCCTTGAGACGCTCCAGCATCGGCACCAGAATAGTAGATCGGTGTTTCATGAAAGAGCTGCGCAAACCTCTAGCCAGAAGATCGACACAGTTCGCAGCAACAGTCACCACCGCGACATTGGCGTCTTTCATGCATTTTGCCAATGCTCTCACGATTTCATCATATGGCCCATCTTTGATGCGAGGAACATTGATCACATTGTAAAATGCATCTAACGCTTCCTTACGATCTTTCCATTTCGATGAGGCTAGTTGGTCATGAAGGTCTTTAGGCACCTTTGGCATCACATCAACAGGTTCTGCGAGATCGATCATTTCGCCTTCTTCTTCTTCCTCGGCGAATTCCTCCCCTTCCTCCATATCATCACCGCCTGACGGTGCTGCACTAGCTGCGGCCATCGCATCTTGTTGAACTCGAGTGAAACGTTCTTGCTTCGGCGGTGGCTCCTGCTTCACCGCTTCGAATAACTTCTCCAAATCCTGCTGCTGAACCGGCTTCAAGTCGCCCCAGAAGAGTGGTTTCATGGCCTCGCGAAGCCATCGATACATCTCCACAGTGAGACCCTGTGCTTCGGCACGCACATTTTTATCCGCATGACCGAATACCTTAGTTAAAGCCTTCAATGTTGGCTTTGGGTCCACAATCTTGCATCCAAAGTTATGGTAGATAAGCGTTAAAGCAGCCAAAGTACCAGCGACCACCTTAGGTACTTTGTGCGATAGCGTAGGCAAAAGGTCTTCGAGAACGGGGTCGGCTTTATCTAATTCGACGCATAAAAGTAGCGCTTCTTGTGCGCTGGCTTTACCGGCTGGTCTGGCACATGGCAGGCCCTTTTCCGAGATCGGGCCGATCGTGAGGTTCCGTGTCCTGCAAAAGTCAACAATTGGGTCCACGAAAAATCAACAAGATAATTCAAAAGAATCGAGGGAAGCATACCTTGTGCATGCTTGTGCGCCTCCAAATTTCAGAAATGAACAATATGCGCCCAAGCCCTCCACCTGCGCGGCGACGTTGGAGTCCGCGACAGCCCCTTTCCACAAACTCGGGTCTTGTATGAAAGGTGTGAATACCGGTGCTGATTCATCGGGTGTCTTTTCAAATTGTGCCTTGGCATCTTCATATCCTTCCTTGCGGACTTTCCAGTTCTATCGCGAATGGAGGTGTCATGGTCAGTTCGGTTTGTCATTTGGTACCTTTCCCCGGAGCGCTATGAAGAGTAACACACCTTATGGGCGAACCGGTCGGGCAGTGGCAAGGAGGAGAAATCGGGTTCAGCATCCGCCATGTTGACGGGCTAAAGTGATGTGAAAGGATGGTGTAACTGAGTTGGCACCTAGCAACGAAGCGTTGTCAGCGTCGATGATTGCAAGTAGTTACACAGACAACCCGCCAATGCAAAACATAAACAAACGAATTGAGACCAAAGAATTCTGCCTTCCAAGGTATGGGCGACAATCTTTCTTACCGGGAGGTTTTTGGTGCCCAAAGAAAAGGACGGGAGGAAATTCGGGATGGGCCTCAGTCCGCGCGATCAGGGATATCGATCGCTTCACAGAGGTGGGAAAGATAGAATAGATGAAAGACGAGCATAGAAAGAAATTAAATCTCGTCAAATCATGAAAGTTCTTCCACAAGTTGTCGAGGGATCTGGAGGAGGAAGTGATTACAAGATCCAGAGGGGAAAAGGAAATAAACACAGATCGGGAAGTAAACAAGTGGGCTTGGCGGTGTCGTTGTTTTGTTGCTTCAAACCCCGCGGTGGATCTTCACCTTTACATCTTGAACTTCCTGAGGAAAAAAACCCCCCTTCGGCAAAGAAAAATAACTTCAATTATCTTTCGCTAATATCAATTTGCCTTGAGGGACTTTGGTCGTTTGTTCAAATCATTCCCTCCTTCGTTCTGCGCAAGCGACGGCCTCCGGTGCATGCGGAGGTGATTTGAGGACTACCTGGGAAACACACACAGCCGCCGGCACCATGAGCCAACTACTCACGGCGCGGCAGGCGGAGGAGCTGTATGCGCCCTGGTGTGGATTCGAACGCGACAGTGATCATTTACTAATATGAAGGTTTCTTGCTGCAGACACAAGTCAATCATTGCCTACCTGGCTTCAGCGAATTTACCCCAAAGCTCCACAGCGCTGCGAGAAGAACTTGGTGACTCAGTCACTGTCGACGACTCTACACTGAAGAAATATGAGGGACTCTTAGAGAAGAAGTGGACTAGCGTAGTCCGATTACAAAAGAAGGTATGGGCATCATTCACATGTCGGTGAGAAGAGATACAGAAGATCCGAGAAACTGATCCGTCTTTTGTCTTAGATTATGGATTTGGAATCGCGATGTGCCTCGCTCCAGGCTGAGCTGGACACCGCGACTCCGACGTCGCTGTCACGAAGAAACCAGGACCCCGCCTCCTGGCTGCCCCGAGCGCCAGCTCGTCACGATCTTGAGTCGCACCGGCAACCGATTACCTGTGTCGCTTTTCACCCGATTTTCTCATCTCTCGCATCCGGCTCGGAAGATACGACAATTAAAATCTGGGACTGGGAGCTGGGCGAGCTCGAACGTACAATCAAGGGTCACACGAGAGCTGTCTTAGATGTGGATTATGGAGGCCCGCGAGGGGGCACCCTCCTTGTATCCTGCTCATCTGATCTCACTATCAAGCTGTGGGACCCCGCAGACGAATATAAAAATATCAGAACCCTACCAGGACACGATCATAGCGTATCTGCGGTTCGCTTCATCCCGTCAGGGGCGGCGGGATCTCCTATGTCTGGAAACCTTCTGGTGTCTGCGTCTCGGGATATGACACTCCGGATATGGGATGTAACGACAGGATATTGTGTCAAGACACTGCAAGGACATGCTGCCTGGGTACGTGACGTTGTGCCGTCTCCAGATGGTCGCTTCCTATTTTCTGCTGGTGACGATCAAGTTCCTCGGCTGTGGGATATCTCTTCGGGAGAAACAAAAGCTACTTTCTTGGGACATGAACATTACATCGAGTGCGTTGCCTTTGCTCCAGCTACCAGCTACCCGTATCTTGCACCTCTTGCAGGCCAGAAGAAGCCGCCACCGGCCTCATCGTCCGCAGAATTTGTGGCGTCCGCAGGTCGTGACAAGACAATTCGTCTCTGGGATGCACGGGGCAACTTGATTAAAACCCTAGTGGGCCATGACAATTGGGTACGCGGGTTGGTGTTTCACCCTGGTGGCAAATATCTGCTTTCAGTCGCAGACGACAAGACCTTACGATGCTGGGATCTTACCCAGGAATGCAAGTGCGTGCGTACGATCGATGCCCATGATCACTTTGTCAGTTCAATTCGGTGGGCACCTCCTTTGATTAAAGATACTGGCGCGAATGGCGATTCTGCGGCCAACGGTACTGCGGAATCTGGTGCCAACGGTGCAAAGGATGATCCCAAGGCCGCAAACAAAATGTCAATCAGATGTGTGGTTGCCACTGGCAGTGTGGATCTCAAGGTCAAGGTCTTTGCATCATGACGGCCGAAACAATCTACCTAGGCAAAGCTTCTGATCAAATATGGACGACATGCCCTATTTGAACCCCAGGAACGCCCTTGCCAGATCAAGCTTTTTTACGAAATAACGGAACCACCAAAGCGACGCACTGCAGGGTTTCAGCGCTAGAAGGACTGTTCGTCGTTTTCAGGCAAAGGAGTTTGGTCTCTCTTCTGTGATACCAGTACTTTTTTTCCCATTTACAAGTGATTTAGGAATAGGTGGACCACATCCACAGGAGGGAAATGGTCGTGCTTTTCCGTCTATACAGTTTTGACTTTGTACCGGAGTTGCATGGGGCTCTTTCTCGCACATACTTCTTTAATGCCGCAACGTTTACTATTGACACCCTGATTCACCCTGTTTATAAAGAACCCGTAAACAAAAATTCCACTGCTCTCGAGAAGATGGGATGCCCTAAAAGCGAATACGAGATCATATCTCAGATGCAAAGTTAAATACGTATCAATGAAACGAGGCTGTATAATATAGTACATATGATTCAACATGCAACACCATCATGGATATCAAAAACAATGTCCACAGGTCCAAGGGGGAAATAACAATAACAAGCTCTCCAATTACTCCTCCACAGCCTCGACCGGACGTTCAGCCGTCCGCTCAAGCACCAATTGCTTCAACTTGCCCACGCGCTCCTGACCCGCATGAATCCGGTGAATCAGCTCCGCCGTCGAAAGAGTTTGCGCTTCCTCGCCAATAATAGCCGCTGCCCGAGCAACCAAATCGACCTCCTCGCCCTGCCGACGCGATTCCCGACGCACGTACTTCTCCGCCCAGCGGCGCTCGCGCTCCTGCTCCCGCTGCTCCCGCGACATAACAGCCGGGCGGTCCTCAATCGGCACAGCAAAGGGGGTAATGATGCGCTCAACAACGTGGTGAACGTGGCGGCTCTTCGGCGCACCGGACGAGAACTCGATCACGTCGCCCTCGCGCAGCGAGTCGCGCGGGTCAGAGACCAGGTACCGTGTTTCCTTGGGGTAGAATTTGCCAATGTGCTTGTCCCAGACGTTGGTGCGTTGGGTTACGCGGACGGTGCGCTCCATGCGGCCGACTGACTCGACGGTGCCGGTCTTCAGGCGGTAGGCGTAGTTGCGGAGCAGGGCGGGTCGCTGGAGATTCTGTGCGGAGGGGGAAGCTGGTGAGGGGGTGATTGGTTCTTGTATGGGGGTGGAGGTTGTAGAGGCTGATCGGAGGCTCTGGGAGATCAAGCGGGCGGAGGGGAGGATTGTGGCTCGTGTCATGGCCATTGAGGATACGATTGACCGGATGGGCATTGCGGCCCGGAGGATGTGGTTGGGAGCCATGGTGGCTGGTGGTGCTCTGCAATCCCTTGTGTTGGTAAATTGGGATCAGCGGCAAAGATCCGGGAAGGAGATCAGGGAGAGGAGCCAATGGTGAAAGTGCTGATGAGGTCGATGTTGCGGGTTTGCGGAGTTGATGTTGAGAAATTCTCGGAGTTGTGTTTGCAATGTTTGCACCCGCCTTCTCCCTACAACATTTGAACGCCAACACTCATACTCCTCCTCCTGTTGAGCACTGCAACCGAGGCGAACAAAGCAAGTAACGAGATTTTCATGGTGCTTTTGAGTAACCAGGCCCTTTGACAGGTGTTTGTTTAATACGAACAAAATCGTGGAGTTGAGCGCGAAAACTCGATATATAAGAACATGTACGCAATACCTACCGGGCTGGCTTTTGGTTCAGACGTTAGAATATCTTGCACCTTTTATCGTCTTTTGAAATCTCAAGTGTACTCAAAGGTACATACTGCCAATGGCTTTGAAACTTGAAACCTTGAAACAACCAGTTGACTGAGTAATCAAGTCCCGAGGTCCTCAGCTAGTTACTACCTCCTAAGGTTTACATAACATTGAATATGTATACGAGTTGGTCACAATTGGAAATACATGCATGTGCCATCAATCAATTGATGCGCAAAAAGATCAATTCAACATTTCAAAATGTTGAATCTGCCTGCCTCTTGGAATGAAGGACTAACATCACGCTGCTGCTTTTATCCTTTCGATATTTAGAATATGGGTGAAGCGTTTAGCCACCCTTTCTTCAAGCCGCTGTCTGGTAACTGGTTGTTGTCAATTGAGATATATTCATAGAGGACTTTGAAATGCTTGGCAGAAACGCGAGTAATCGCGTCAGGCGGCAGAAACCAGTTATACACCACGTATTTACTTTCTCTTCCACGCGATCTGTATTAATACCACGCGGGCGGTCAAAGTTGTCTCAAAAGTTTGTTAGGATATGCGCAACTTTTCAAGAAAAAAGGGGGTCGCGAGGTTCGACCGTGCCAATAAGCCCTTGATTTTACGTGCTATTAATCCACCACTAAACAATCTACTAGAAATATTTTTTTCTTTCACACTTCTAGCTTGAATCCAATTACCACATTAAATAAGTATAAATCACCCAGGCACTAACTATGTACGGATCTTTTTTTTCAAGATCAACTGAAAATTGAAGCACTTGAAGTATTGGATCTTGCGTTCAAATGTTGAAAGTATCAAACCTTGAAAGGACGTATCAATCCTGGGTTTGAACATTTGATTGACTGTTATCTAACATTAAATTGTGTAATTGAGTAAAAATACATACATACTGTTAGTATATATTATCAATACAATAATGCCTGGAAGCCCCATAAATTCCTAGGCGGGCAAGAATCGACCTAGCAAGCTAATATATCTCCGATCAAGAATTATATGCGCTATGCCATCAATTGATGCATGTGTGCTGGGGTTATTAGCTCAGTAAAGCGGCAGAGGGTAAGCGTCAAGATCGTAAATCCAAGTATCATACGAGGGCTTGTCAAAAACACAGTGCATGGTAGTGCCATTGTTTCTCCAGAGGGGGCGCAAGGGCCAAGCGCAAAGTTGCTGCTGTTCACCTTTGCGCGAACCAGATAGAATAGTGGAGTTGAGAGTGTTGGGCATCTCACTCTTCTCCACCCAGTCAATAAGGGAGCCAAGACTGGTCTGTGGGAAGGGGGCGTTTGGCTGCAATGAATTGGTGTTGCAGTGAGAGGCACCAGGAACCAAGAACAACCGGTACCAGTTATTAAGGCTGCTGGTGCTTTCCTGGAAAGACTCGTTTCCATACATAGTCGATCGAACAGACTCATGGAAACGGACCGAAGATGCAGGAGGAATGCTGTTGTCGGATTCACCGTGGTAAGAAATAATCTTGCCTCCAACAGCTTCAAAGGGGCTCAAATCGGCCCATGTGGTTTGCAAGACATCTTCATAGCGTTGCCACCCTTCCAGCATCCAGTCGCGGAGGGTATCGTATGTGACACCGTCAAGGGTGGAGAGGTTATCCTCTTCGACCAGCTCTAGACCACGAGCAACCCATTCGCCACCAAGGGAGGAGATATCGATACCCCATTTACCAGTTGAAGAGTCATATTCAGTCTCAGCATCAGTCATCTCGGATCCATATTGGTACCAGAAATAAGCTTGGTGACCATCACTATCCACAAGACCATTGTAAATGGTGGCAGCAAGAGCAGCACCTTCCTTAGTCACAACACCGCTCTGGGTAGGAGAAGCTGCGGAGGGCATCTGTCTCTTACGCAGGGTAGCAGAAGTAGCAGCACAATGGTAGCTGGCACCAATGGTCGAGTTGAAGTCAAAGTGAAGCTTGCAAAGGTCGGTTCGTGAAACAACACCATCCACCTTGCCATCGAGAGGGTCACATGCAGAGAGTGTAAGGTTGACGATTTTCTCTAGTTCGCAATAGGGCGGGATATAGCCAGCGGTCTGCTGAGCAACCTGTGGAAACAAGTGGTTTACCTGCTGCTGACCGTAGCGAATGGCAGGAGCACCAATAACGGCACCGTCCCACTCCTCAGGGAAGCGCTGAACTTGACTAAATCCCTCGCGACCTCCCTCGGAGCATCCCTGATAATAAGCGTAGAGCTTCTTCGAGTCGGACAAATCATAGAAGTTCTTGGTGAATGCCTTGCCAATGGACGACATCTCATGATGAGCCTGATAACCAAACATGTACAGAGCATCCATATTGGCAGTTCCATTAGCGAGAGGAAAGACATCGTCGAAACTGGTATCAAAGCCACCGAATCCACCATCGGTTCGACCAGTAGCTGCACCGTAGATTACACCACCGGGGAGGGTGTCTTCAACGTTGATAGCAAAACCGAAGCCACCCGTCGAGACCCAACGGTTCTGGAATTTCTCCGGGGTTGGAAGCCAGAAATTCAACAAGACTTTGTCATCCTTGCCATTGTGAGAGTAGGTCATTGTGACATTGCAATAGTCGAAAGTGGCATCGGGGTAGTACACCTCGTCTGCGACGGTCACATTATACACAGGGTTGGCAGTGATCACCGAATCGGTGGTGACAATTCCTGGGAGCACGCCGTATTTGGGAATTGCGGCTTTCGCGTGTGATGCTGTGCAAACATCATCAAGAGTGGCGGCCTGGGCTATCGCGACGGCAGCCAGCACACCAGAGGCAAGCTTCAACATGTTTGAAGAGGGATGATAACCAAAGGAAAGGCTGGCAAGTCCAGATGATGACGAATGAACAAGAGATATGAGATACAGAACAATTGGATGGGCAATCTTTCTCAATTTATAGATACAAGAAATCAAACCAGATAAGAATAATCAAGGTTGTTCAACTCTAATTCCACGAGGCGTACGTAAGTGAACGGAATAGAAACCAAACTCCACCTAGTTTCCACGTGGATATGACGCAAATTGGCTATAGCTGATACAAAGGAGGCTGTGGGTCCTTCAAAACGGCTAGCAATAATCTCTTTGGTACTTCTTTAGTACCAGCATGTATGAATATAGCATGTTCATCTCTCCCGGGTTGGAGATTACCTACTAGGGTTCACCGTGAGATTAGCCAAAGGATAAGAGAACATTAATGGAATCTTTCGCATACATTGACTTTCAATATTCATGTCTCCACGTCAAATGAAGACCCGAACACAGGTTCCTGATTGATCTTCAAGGAAAGTCCATTTTATGTCCGAGTTCAAGTTGTCATAGATCCATGGGTCCTCATCCTAAAACGGTTTAGTCTCCGCAAATGTTAATCTCCACTCCTCAGGATTCACATACGCAGTACGCTACTTTCAACGTTGGTCCTTCGCCTTATTATACTTGTCGCAGATCTCGGCAAGTCAGGCTTAATGTGAAAAAGGGCATTTAAAATATCTAGAAACAAGTCTTTCTAGCCCATCCACTAATGGCTAGGCTCATGCATATACATGAGGAATACCGCCCCGTAGGAGCCTGGAGGATTATCTGCTTAGCTTACCTAAAAGATTTTCAGATGGGATTTTTCTTTAACGTATTGCTAGATAGAATTATTGTATCATGACTTCTGCAGGGTTGTTTTCCAGGTCAAGGTTTCGGCGTTTAAGACATTCAGCAACATTGAAGCTAACATTGAAGCACCCGAAGCTTCATTCCAGGGCTCGATCCATGATACCTAATTTAAAGCTCCAGGGTTAGATGGTACAGTGACATGCACATACCCCTTCTAGACATCAGCTCTGGAACCCTGGAGATCATTTGATGTTCATAATAGCTATTGAAGGCAGTTCACCTAGTGCCTCCAGTGTTCTCTGGATCTAGTCAATGATCACTCGTTATTGTTGTAAGTAACGGTATGCAAAAGTTCTCCTTTCCGAAATATGGGGAGCTCTGGCTGCCATTAGACTTCATTCTGATGTATGTAGTATTTCCACAACATTGGGTGGGAAGTCAGGCACATATTCTGTGGCGTGAAGTTTGAGAAGCAAAATATGAATCGGGGACAACGTCCACCAATAAATGAAATATCTCAAAGCCACCACATGCGCATCTGACATCTAAACAAATCAAAAGGGGTAGGAGGACTACAAGGGGTAGCGCCATAGCGGCTACTAGAACGTCAAATTCTTTCCGGCAGAGAGGGTAAGGTATGCTGGGGCATACCTTAACTCCCGTACATACTGCTCCCTTCCCCACAATCTACTCAAAGGCACTCTTAACCGATGACAGGAATGTCGGCTTTTGTTTAAAGTCCAAGACTGAACCCGCGACTCAATGCTCTTTTCCAGCAACAGTCCATTGAATTCAGTCCTCTAGCCTCAGCTACCTCGCTCTTCAAACTCTTCGGTCCTCCAAAGACAAGTCAAGTATGTATTAGAGTGCCTTCGGTATCAATTCGGTTCTTTGACTAATTCATCTACAGCCGGCATCATGCAGTTCTCCTACCAAATGATCACCACTTTCATGGCCTTCGTGCTCTTCAACTCGGCTACTGCCGCCCCAGTTGTCGATGCTGCCGCTGGTGCCGTGGCATGGGCCGATCCTCAAGACTGCCACCGATTCTTCGAGTGCCCCGCTGGCGGCACTCCCGTCCTGAAGACCTGCGGTCCTGGAACCGCCTTCCAGGCCAGCACTAGCGTCTGCGACTACGAGCACAACGTTGCCAGCTGCTGGTGGCGCCACTAGATCCTAGTGGGATGATGCAAATCTTGGAACCTGTTCAACTTGGAGGATGAATTCGAGGGCATGCTAGGGGAAGGGCTCAACCGACCAATAATTACACTCGTTTATATCAGCCTTATTATTCCATGATTTTCAATAATCGCACTAGCTATCGCAAAATAATATTTTTTATTTTACCAACCTTCAAAATCCAGTCCTTGCGGCTAGCGTCTCAAATCCTATTTTGGCATTCGGTGACTTTGAAGACAGGAATGTTCCTCCATTTTTATTTGACGCATTTCATATATTAATATATAACATTCTTGATCATGCCATGGGGTGAATTAAAAGGTTTCCATTGGCTCAAGTACACGCGGGATAGAGCTAGTTCCTGTGGATATTAAACGCGTCGCGATAGATCAATTGAAAGTTGTGGTATTATTTTTCTTCGTTTGGTACTCCTTACTTCACATGCAGGCCAGATTCCAGCAAACGTGAACCTAGCTTTAAGGAAGAATCAGGGATGTTTAGAGGAAATGCCTTCCAAGGGGGTTGAATATGAAATTGATTTGATTTATTCCCTGCTCCAGAATCAGAACATAGTATGCAAATAGTCATATTCATTCTGGGAGTTGTGACTGTCACTTAAGCAAAGTAGGCTTCCTGCATGGGCCCTACGGCCCGGCCCACAGGCACCAAGGCCCACTACTAACCGGTACCTGGATGCCTAACTTTAGCCAGATTGTGAGATTGTTACGGTATCGGTAAGTTGTGACATTGTTGCGCTATGGTTAGACGTCCAGATTGCGCGCTGCCCATACTAGAGAGTCACCTACTAGTCACTACTAGTATCGCTAAGTCGTGATATTGTTTGATATTGTTACGCTATGGTTCATTGTCCAGATTGCGCGCTGCCCATACTAGAGAGTCACTTAATCGCCACTGGTATCGCTGAGTCGTGATATTGTTGCGCTATGGAAGGCAAGCCTGCACCGCAGGGCAAGATTCTTTGCATAAAAGCGATCGAGACATGGATGTCTTATATCTGCGCGTATTAAACAATGTTGGCGAAGTCTTGATGCAGAAGGGAGATTCAAGCTCTGCCCTTGGGCTATTCAACCACCTTTACAGCAAGCAAAGGTTCCGGCCAAGTGACCATAACCCGACTTTGATTTCCATCAAACTGAATATCGGGTCGGACATTTAGGAGTGTTGGCAGATATGCTGAAGCGCGAGCTTTACTAATCGAGATAGTCGGGATTTATACGGAATTCTGGTGAAGAAATCATCCGGAAACAATGAGGTCCATCCGAGAGCTGGCCTGGAAATTCATGGAAGGAGGAGTCAAAAAGCGAGAACTGAATGAAGATGATACTCTGTCAACGAATACCGCTGGCGAGCTGTGGAACGAGGCCTTGGGCTTTTTTCGAGCCCATCATGAGCCTGACTCTGACTTGATGGTTCAGATAGAGGCAAATTTGGAGCATCTTTACACTGTAAAACTTCCAGACTGGGGGGCTGGTATCAATATCTTGTAAGTGTATCGGACATTGTCTGCAATGAAGGGTCAGAACTTGTCGGAAGCATGTGCCGAGATTGTAAATCTCGAGTCTGCTACCCTGTAACTTGAGAAGCTCGGGGTGTAGGGTCTTAGTAGTGAAAGACCGGTGTAAATTCGCGCGGATGATCCTGCCGTGGCGGGTAAAGAAAGATCCGTGGTAACTTAGTCCCTCCTGGGCAGACTGCAGTGTCTCCCAGAGCTTCAAAAGATCAATTAAAAGGACACGATCGAGAACAATCAAGACGATATCTCATTTTTGTATCTAGATGAGTAGGGGATTATTCTTCGAACCGAACAGTGTAGAAAAAAAAAGAAAAAGAAAAACACGAATCCCATGCAGTCCAAAAAGCACAAAATCACAAGATTATTTCGCCACATCCATGTCGTGAGAGCATCTAAGTTTCATTCAACGCGTGTATTCCAAAGTACTCAAAGTTGGTATAGTTTGTAACCTATTCAACTTCCGTGGGCTCGGGGACATCGCTATCACTGTTGGTGCTAGCGGCAACGGCGATTTTCTTCGCTTGGAATTTATCAGCGGAATGGGCTGATATCCGAGTGAGCTCGGTGACGAAGGATTGACCCCAGAATGCACTAGAGGATACTATTAGCTCGGTTCAAATAATTGAAGTATTAGCTGTCAGATATACCTGGTGTATTTGGAGACGTATTTGTCCAACTTGGTGAAGTTGAGGGCGCGCTGTTCGTCGCTCATAGTGACAGCTTCCTGGTATGCACCGGCCAACTCCTCGGTGTTCCATGGGTTGACGATGATGCTGCCGTTCAGACTCTGGGCAGCACCGGCAAACTCGGAAAGAACCAAAACGCCGTGGCGCTTCTGCTGCGTAGCAATGTACTCGTAGGCCACGAGGTTCATGCCATCACGGGTAGATGATACAATACAAGCATCTGACACAGCGTAAAGGGCGATAAGCTCATCAAAGTTGACGGACTTGTGGAGGAAGTGGATTGGCTGGAACTCAACCGTGCCTGTTAAACATGACGATTAGCGATTGCAACATAATCAGAGAATAGATGATAGATACCAAATTTGCCGTTGATTCGGCCCACCAACTCGTTCACCACAGCTCGTAGATTCTGGTATTCCTCGACATCTTGACGACTCGGAACGGCGACTTGCACCAAGACTACCTTTCCAACCCACTCCGGGTGGTCACTTAGGAAGACCTCCAGTGCATGCAATTTTTGCGGTACGCCCTTGATGTAGTCGAGACGATCGACACCGACCATCAGCTTGACTCCCTGGAACTTCTGCTCCAGCATGGCAATGCGCTTTTGCACCTTCTCCTTCTTCAAACCTTCCTTAAACTTCTCGGGGTCGATTCCAATGGGGAAGGCTCCGCAGGTGATAATCTTGCCTTGAAACTCGATACCATTCGGTGTCGTCGCAAGGCCCCTGTGCTCGTCAGTTGACATGATTCCTCATCCTAAGGATAATTATACATACAGCAAGCGCGAGCAACTGCTTAGGAAATGCCGGGTGTAATCGTAGGTGTGGAAACCAATCAGATCGCAATGCAAAACACCCAAGAGCAGTTCGTTTCGAACGGGCAAAATTCGGTAGATCTCACTACTGGGGAACGGGGTATGTAAGAAGAAGCCAATCTTGACGTTCTTCTTGCTATCACCGATCTCCTCGCGCAGCATCTCTGGTAGAAGCATGAGGTGGTAGTCATGCACCCAGATCAGGTCACCATCCTGGACTTCTTTGGAAATGGCTTTGGCAAACAAGCGATTCGCTTCCTTGTAAGCCTCCCAGGCGGATTCGTCGAAGGTGATCTCACCGGGGTGGTAGTGGAATAGTGGCCAGAGAATGGAGTCTGTGAGGAAAATCGCATGATGTCAGTGTGTGCTCCGCAATGTCCGACCGGGGTTGAAACTCACTGGAGAATCCATTGTAGTGACGGTCGGCCAGTTCATCATCGATAAACACTGGTACCGCGCCATATTCCTCCTTCAAACGCGCCTTGACCTCCGGAATCTCATCCTCGGGCACCTCTAGGCCGGGCCATCCGTACCACTGGAAAGTTGTAGATTTGGACAGACCACTCAACCCACTGACCAGGCCTCCGGATGACATGGAGAAATCATACTTTCCATCTTCTGATCGTTTGATAGTAATCGGCAAGCGGTTCGAGACTAGCAGCAGTCGGGCTTCATTCTTGGGCTCTTCAAGGGACGGCATCATGACGGTAGGATTTGTGGATCGGTGCAGTGCGCCTTGAGTTGGGAGGGTTGATACGCAAAGCCTGACGTGTGTACAGGTGAAGGGATCAGGAGGGGGTTACAGCTGCAGTTCCAGCAAAAATGTGGTCAGACCCATGCTTGCAATTCCGTAGCGCGGGGAAGGGAAACCAACCGATGATCGACCGATCAAGATATGGAGCAAACGAGTATAACCTTGGGATTCTCCACAATTGCAGACCAACTTCTCTTTCCTTTCAGGCACGCATCCCCTGAGTATGCAAGTTCAATGTGGGGGTGGATTGACGAAGAAAAAAAAAAGGGAAGCAGGTGGCAGATGGCAGGTGGGGGGGGGGGAGAAAGGGTAAGGTGAGGTCAGCGCTCCGAAACTTGGAACTTTAGCTACAGTGGAGCTCTTCAATAGCACTCACATCAGGTCATGATATAAAAAAAGGGACCAGAAAGGAAGGGGTATTATGAGAAGACCGGGTTTTATAATAATTTGCGCTATTATTGTATTGACTTTCCATCGGTTCAATCAAGTTGGACGAAATACGGACCAAATACAGGATTCGCCGTGTTCTGGCCCGGTTGACGTTCCGTGATTGGTTTCTTGCATTATCCCGCCACTCAGCGTATATTTACAGGGACTATAGCGGGGGAGGACCAGGGACGAGGTGTACATGTTTAGAATACCTGCCCGACATGATGAAGCGCTGACGTCGATCATCTATAGAGAAATTGTTCGGTAGATCATATTCAATGTTCTAACTTCTGTACTAATGTAGATCCCTCATATTCCATACAAAGGATCCTATACCTGTATCCACTTGCTTGTCTACGATCTACTTTACCATCTGAAGGTCTAGATCCTCATACCAGTTGACCGATACCTGTGGAATTTCGCTACCTAACTCAACATTGTAGCGTAATTTAGCCGAAATCCCAGCATGAGGCATATTTCCCACTCAGCCCTTGGCACTTTACAATCTCATGAAAAGAATTTCAGTTACTTTGTAGATGCAAGACGCTCATTCCGGATCCCTGCAACCTTGGAATTCAAGAACCCGCTCTCCCCCGACGAAAAAAAACCGCCTAGAAAAGAAACTTGGAGTCCTAATATCATCAAGAGTTATATATATACTAACCCGGGCATGTTTCACTCTACCCAGGGATAATGTATACAATATCCAAGGTTTAGAAGACCCCCGGGCCTCACATGGACCCCCCAGGAAACCCCTCTACAATGCCGACTTCTCCCCGCTTAGCCTCCACTCCCCCGACTCCGAATCATGTACCGTCTGCCCCTCATCCTCCAATTTCATCAACACCTGCAGCACCCCATGTGATGCGGGCAAATGGAGGCTTTCGGGCACGCCCCGGTAAATCTGTTTCACCAGCTCTAACGGTGTCCACGCCTTGCGCTCGGGCGACGGATCCTCCACCGAGATGTCTAGCTGCCCATACCGTAGCACTCGGAGTACCTCGTCTTCCCGTTGCTGGCGGTGCTGAATATACTCGCTGATGCGAGCACTGGCTTTCTCAAGCACAGCCCCATGCCCCGGGTATCCGCGGCCTGTAACCCGATCTCGCATCCGGTGAAGACTGTTCAGGTAGACTTTCAAGTTCTCAAATACAGCGGTGCCATGGCCCAATACATCTGTTGTTTTTGAAAAAAAAAAAATCACCCTCGTCAGTTCAAATTTACTATGCGTTGAACATTATGTCGAACAGAAAGGCGGAAGGCGAGAGTGAATATGGCAACTTACTATCCCCTGTGAACATTGCATCTTCTTCCTCAATTACAAATGCCATATGATCTACCGTGTGGCCGGGTGTATGCGTCGCCGTCAGCGTCGCCCCTTCCACGCGGAATACCTGACCATCTTGGATATCAGTCTGTCCGTCATCGGGCTGGTGCTTAAACACCTGAGCCTGTGGACAAATTCTCAGTAAATCCGATAAGCCATTCACATGATCGTGGTGCCAGTGTGTGAGAAGAGCCTGGTGCACCGTGGCTTTCTCTTCGGACAGAACGGATTCAAGACGTGCGGCCCACGTGGGTTTACCCTCGCCCGTATCAATGAGGATTCGTTGGTGTCCCCGGCCGATCAGGTATGTGTTGGTTCCTGGTACCGGTGAGTGAGGGGTCGCTCAAGCCCAGCCCAGAAGGGGATAAGCCTAAAAAGGGAGGGGAAGGGAAGGGCGCCGAGTTACCCTGTCTGGACACCTACCTTGCAGTGTAAACTAAAGGCGTGGATGTCAGCCACCATATTGTTGCCCAACTCCATTCTATTTGGTATTTGGTCTTGTCTTCTTATGTTCCTTTTTTGTTTTTGTGTTTTTGGCTTGCACTTACCTTTCCTGGATTTCCGCCTAGGATCCTGATCACGGATGCACTGAGGCGCTCGACTTCTGGGAGAGGAACAAGTTGTGCCATATTGTATGCGCTTCAGATGGCAGTGAGCGTGAGAGTTCGCACCAAGTGATGATGTCCCAGGAATAATCGCCGAAAACCGGGGGACGTGTGAAAGAAAGTGTGTTTGTTGGTATAAGATCTCCGGGGTAGATGTAGTCCTAGAAGGGTCTCCACTGCCCCTCTCTACTTTATCTGCTGGAGCTGTATCTGTAATTGCGGAATTGCCATAGCCGATGACGCGGAGTGGGAATTGAGGTTTCGTTTGCGGGGGCGGATGCAACGGGCCTCGGCAGATTATCTCAGCTCCACTCTGGTGTATCTCCATTTCCGTTTTCACCCAAATTGAAGGTGCAGAAGAATATTGAAGGTGATATCAACTCGAAAGTTCTAGAGATTGGAGTTTTACACAAAAGAAATCTACAATGGCACATATGTTGAACATAAAAGGAAATAGTGTATGCATGCTATCCTGGCACATACTGATATAGGGAAATCAAACAAACTATATCCATTGAACCCATCCAAACTATCGGGAATCCAAAACGTGGCTAATAAGCCTAAAACAAAAGATCATAAATTTTTCCCAGAGCGCAACTCCTCATATCCAGCTCGAAAAAAAGGGACACGTACGCAAAAGGAGTGACGACCGAGGGTCTGTGAATGTCACTCCGCTCTCTTTCTGGGGCGCTGAAACACACGAGAGAACGTAGTTTACACGGGCATCTCAGATCAGCCGATTGACTGGGAGATCCCTGGAACATAAAACGACATGTTGGAGTTCAAAGAGTCAACAACATTTAGTTGGTACCAGACTTGCGGGCCATGGTGTTCAGGGCGGAACCATCGACGAACCACTCAATCTGGGACTCGTTGAAGGTGTGGCTGAGCTGGACGTCGAAGGCGGCGCCACCGGCAGCGGGGTGGACACGGAGGGTCATGGGCTTGCCAACCTCGATCTGAGTGCAGAGGAGGTCGACCTTGTCCTCGGGCTTGATCTTGTCGTAGTCGGCGGGCTCGGAGAAGGTAAGGGGAAGCATACCCTGCTTCTTCAGGTTGGTCTCGTGGATACGAGCGAAGGAGCGGGTGATGATGGCCAAACCACCGAGGTGACGGGGCTCCAGAGCGGCGTGCTCACGGGAAGAACCCTCACCGTAGTTCCAGTCACCAATGACAACCCACTTGATACCGCGGGCCTTGTAGTCACGGGCAGTGGCGGGGACAGCGTCGTACTTGCCAGTGAAGGCGTTCTTGACCTTGTTGGCCTCACCGTTCTCCTCGTTCATGGCACCGATCAACATGTTGTTGGAGATGTTGTCCAAGTGGCCACGGTACTTCAACCAGGGACCAGCCATGGAGATGTGGTCAGTGGTGGTCTTACCCTGGCACTTGATAAGGATGGGCATGTCAGTGGCATCCTTCTTGTCCCAGGCGGCGAAGCCAGCGAGGAGCTGAAGACGGTCACTGGTGGGGGAGACAGCAACGTTGATGGAGGCACGGTCGGCAGGGGGAGCCTGGTAAGTGTCCATACCGGGGTCGTATCCGCGGTTGGGGAGACCGTCACCAGTGGGGGGCTTGAGCATGAACTCCTTGCCTTCACTGTCCTTCAGGGAGTCAGTGAGGGGGTTGAAGTTGAGGCTACCGGCAACAGTCATGGCGACGACAAGGTCGGGAGAGGCAACGAAGGCGTGGGTAGCGGGGTTGGCATCGTTACGGCCAGTGAAGTTACGGTTGTAGGAGGAGATGATGGAGTTGGCAGTGCCCTTGGGGACATCCTTGCGGTCCCACTGACCAATGCAAGGTCCGCAAGCGTTAGCCAGGATGACACCACCGTACTCCTCGAGGGTAGCGAGCTGACCATCACGCTCGATGGTAGCGCGAATCTGCTCGGAACCGGGGGTGATGGTGAACAGAGACTTGGACTTGAGACCGTGGTCGAGAGCATCACGGGCAATGGAAGCGGCACGGGACATATCCTCGTAGGAGGAGTTGGTGCAAGAACCGATCAGACCGACCTTGAGCTCCTCGGGCCACTTGTTGGTCTTGACAGCCTCCTTGAACTGGGAGATGGGGGTGGCAAGATCGGGGGTGAAGGGACCGTTGATGTGGGGCTCGAGCTCATCAAGGTTGATCTCAACAAGCTGATCGTACTCGGCACCCTCATCCTCACGGAGCTGGGCAGCGTACTCGCGAGAGAAGTTACCGATGCTCTCACGCTTGGTGGCCTTCAGGTAGTCGTACATACGGTCGTTGAAGGGGAAGATGGAGGTGGTGGCACCAATCTCGGCACCCATGTTACAGATGGTAGCCATACCAGTGCAGGACAGGGAGTCAACACCGGGTCCGTGGTACTCAATGATGGCACCAGTACCACCCTTGACGGTGAGGAGGCCAGCGACCTTAAGGATGATATCCTTGGGGGTGGTCCAGCCGGACATCTTACCAGTCAAGCGGACACCGATGACCTTGGGGGCCTTCAGCTCCCAGGGGAGACCAGCCATAACATCGACAGCGTCAGCACCACCGACACCGATGGCAGCCATGGCGAGACCACCAGCGTTGGGGGTGTGGGAGTCAGTACCGATCATCAGACCACCGGGGAAAGCGTAGTTCTCGAGGACGATCTGGTGGATGATACCGGAACCGGGCTTCCAGAAACCGATGTTGTACTTGGCGGTAGAGGAGGAAAGGAAGTCGTAGACCTCCTTGTTGATGTCATTGGCGCGAGCCAAATCCTTCTCACCTCCAACCTGGGCCTCAATCAAGTGGTCACAGTGGACAGTGGTAGGGGTCTGGACGGAAGGCATGCCAGCGGACATGAACTGGAGGATAGCCATCTGGGCAGTGGCATCCTGGCAAGCAACACGGTCGGGGCGGAGCTTGAGGTAGGAGGTACCACGCTCGATGTCCTGGCCATGGGGATCGTCAAGGTGAGAGTAGAGGACCTTCTCGGCGTAGGTGAGAGGGCGCTGGAGACGACCGCGGACGATCTCAAGGTTCTCGTTCATCTTCCTGTAAGTAGAATCATGTTAGTTGACTGAATCCTACCAAGCAAATTGCATTTTTTCTTCTTGGAATTTTTTTTCTTCATTTAAAAAAAAGAAAACGTGAAATCGTACTTGTAGTTGATGTAGTTTCCCTAATCGAATTCATCTGAGTTAGCCATTGTTCATTGTTCTTGGGCCGGTCGGTCGTGACAGCGTAGCCGACGACGGGTGAAAAAAAAAAAGCTTTTAGCCACTCACCTTCTCCTGGATGGTCATCTCGACCTTCTTGTCGAGGGGGTTAGCGGTAGCGTAGGCCCGGGTTCCGAAAATCTGAAAGGACAATCAATTAGTTGGCTGCCAATCTCATGTACCCCAATGTCTGGAGTAATGCAAGATCACATATCGATGTGACACCTGCATATTGTGTTGATTGGTAGCTTACAAGACGGGACTTGGGGGCCTGCCGTAGTGAGGACATGTTAGCATGACTGTATCTTTTTCCGGGGTTCAAGATCCACCTTGGAAGATCTGGGCAGATGCAATAAGCGCATCATACTCATTTCCTCCAACGAGGCAGGATGTATCAACTTACCAGCGCACCGGCGCGCGCAAAGCGGGTGGAGATCATGATGTCAAAGTACTCTCTATGTAGAGGAAGCACAGCACATCCAAATGTTAATTACCACCTTCACCTGTGGTATCTTAAAGCAGAGTGGAGAGTGGAAAGGAAAGAAGAGAAAGAGAAGAGAAAAGGGAAGCTTGGAGGTTTTGAGTGGGAAGAGAGAATTGCTCTCAGCCGAACAGCCGTAACTCGCTGTTACCCCAGCGATACGGTACACGTATTGTGGTTTGAGGGTTCCCGGATGCGCTCGACCACCCAGACTGGGAATTTTGATCGACCACGGGTTTCACGCATGTCCCTGAAAATAAAGTCATGGAAAAAATCGGGATCTCTAGGACATTGATTTCCGGAGCTTTTGGCTATCTTTTCATATGCAATATCACATTCCTTGACTCTCTAAATGCACGCTTCAGGTCATCAAACTGATGCCGATGGTGGTGTATTGGCAATACACAACATGTGACGGGCCCAAAGCGGGCCACCAATCACAAGCGTCGCAATTACAATGATCTTTATCATCTCGAGTTAGAAGCAGGTTAAAACATTGTTTTTTTTTTAGGTCTCTTTGCACTCGGGCCAAGGGACTTGACTCGGGTATGAATGTACACTCCAGAACTCGGCACCTTCCCCATTTACCCGCAAGGTATCAATGCCCCCATTGCATGTGGGCTGGAGATCTCCCCGTCCGAATCAAGGGGAGTGGCTTGGATCTAAAAACCAGATCCATATACGAGCTACGTTCGTATATATTTGATCCATCTATAGATATCGTAGTCCTGTGCAATTCGTTTCGATACATTCCCATTATTCGTATCTGGCCTCTTTGAGTGTTGTTGTCTCACAACAGGAAACACTCAAGTCCGCAACAGGGCCGGAGCAGCATGCCGCGAATGCAAACGTCATAGGGATAAAAGCATATTCACGATACATTTCATACGATACGCTAGCAAAATAAATTACACTGAAAACCGGTTACACTGCTGAGCCGAGGCGTGCCGACGGGACTCCCGCTCTTCCACGGCCAGCGGCCAAGCAATGAAACCGCCAATCAAGGTCGCTGCGTTTCAATCGTTCGCTTGCTCCACTCAGTCAGCGGAAATTTCCCTCCTTGACTTCGCCCTTTGTCCTTCCTGGCGCTTGTCCCGTTCCCCACTACGCCCCATTATCACTCCGGAAATCGGTGATAACTTTTTTTGTCTCGAAACTTTCGATCTTCAATTTTTTCGTGTCGGTCAGCAAGCCGAACACTAGCAAAAATGGGTGCTCTCCGCAAAGTCAAGAACAAGCGTCGCACAAGGTACGTTCTGAAATTATCTCTAAACAAAAAAAATTCCGGAATTATTTCAAGTGTGCGAGCGCTAACATACGATAACAGAGACTACGATCAGGTCATCGCCGATACCAAATCACCCCGTCACCTCGAGATTTACAAAGAGTCCAAGGATGTAGAGGATCTTCCAGGTCTTGGACAGCACTTCTGCATAGAGTGCTCCAAGTGGTTTGAAAGTGAATACAACATGAAGGCACACACCAAGGGCAAGAACCACAAGCGTCGGTGAGTTGGCACGAGTTCATTCCTGCGCCCTGCACGACTGGTCACTAATGATCGCATTTGATAGACTTCGCATCTTGAAAGAAGAGCCTCACTCCCAGAAGATCGCTGAGGCAGTTGTCGGCCTGGGCGTCGAAAACTTCCGGCCTCAAAAGGAGCAAAAAGACATTGAGATGGAGATCTAAACACGATCTCGAATCGCCACACAAAAAGGGAAAAAAGCCACCCAAGAGGCAGGAAACCTCTCTCGCCGCCACCCAGCTCGGTCTGGTCGAGATGGCCATCAAAACATGAGCATTCAAGCATGATCTCCACGCCCACTTGACTACTGCACCTTCCCAAGGTGGAGTCCCTCACGTGAGGTGAGGTTTTTTTTTATATGCCGAAAATCGCCGGGTCTGTGTTCTGCCGGTTTGCGGGACCACGAAACCGCCGGTTCTCGGACTAAACAACGGCGTCCACGAAATTTACCCCCTTTCCTGGCAAATACCCCGGAGTAATAATTCCAATAGAAATCCCTCAATACCAAATAAAAGTGTCTAACCTGAATCGGGTTTCGGTATATGTGCATTGTTTGGAACACCCCACGCTGTCCATGGATGTGTTGCTGTAGACATTTAGATATGTTGGGTCGTCGGCTCGAGGCTCAATGGTTGATTAAAGCTTTTCATCAACCACTCATATGCCGCCCACTAGTTGCAGAATTAGAACCGGCCAATCAGAGAAAGTATGAAATAATAATAGATATAACTCACCTGGACGGCATTCACAATGAAGGCTCGTATACTGCAGACTCCCAGTCCTCTGTAAAAGGGCCTCAAGCCCTCAACTTGATAAGTTGCTTTAGCAATTTGGAATGTAGTCAGTGTCTGGCGCGGGCGTAAAATCGGTTGGCGTTCTGCGGACTCTGGAAGGGTATGCATGTCATGCATTGTCTGCGCTTGGAGTCGTGTTTTGACCATGTCCAGAGGGAAGACTGAGCCCCAGGTCACGATGCCAGCGATACCACCACATAGGAGAACCTTCATAGCTGCCTGGTTGGAGGTTTCATCTTCAGATGTCATAAGTCGTTTACAGAGCTCATAAGACCAGAAACTTCAATGTTAACGCAGTTAGTGCGACGCACTGTAAGAAAGTAAAAACTTGAAGGCATGATAGAAGTGTTTTCTTACTAAAACCCATAGCCAATTGCATCTCTAGCACCTGTGATGCCTCCTCCGTAGTAGAGTCCGCTCCATCCGCGGTGCCTATATATATCCTTGGCAACCGACCACGAGGAGACCTCGGGGCGGGAATCCATCTGTGCTCGACATTTGATAAATTCAGTTGGAGCAGAGATCGTCCAACTGGCCAGTCCGCCTGCGGCACCAGCAATCCAGATCTTATACAAAGATACCCCCGCTGGATTAGTGGGGTCCACAACGGACTGATCCATAGTCATGAGCAATCGATTGTATGCCATGAAGAGAACTGCATTGAGGGCTCCATATCCTAAGATCGGGGCTGCTGCGCCTGAATGTAAAGTTAACACACATGTACGGCGGCATAGATATTGGAAATGAAGTGCTGAGTGTAAACCAACCTCGAACAAGTGAGCTCGCTCTCTCGATTCCGGATAGGTGGGATGAGGGGACATGAGCCGCATCGCCTGCCTGTAGCCGAACCTTAATCACATCTAACGGGTTTCCGATGATAATCCCAAGGGCACCACTAAGGTAGCCCGGCCAGAAACCCGATTCCATCCAGATTTCGCAGAGACGTGTAAAAGTCCTATCTTCCCCGCTATTCCAATCCCCCAAGTTAAGATCCACTTTAAGGTTGTACCTCGGCGGGGTGGGCTCGGGGATCACGTGTGGGCGTGACGATTTGGTGTTTAGGCAGGCGCGAGTCTTGGCTGAGTCAACGCGTCGACCACCTTCCATTTTCCACCAGGAACGCCTGGAGAGAATTTTTTTTGTATAAATGAATCAATGTACATTGTCTCTTAGTACTATCTACTAACTGCTACTATGTGGGTATCTGTGACCCTTTCGGTTCTCGGCCCCTGCTAACAAATTGAAGGTATCGTGCTCGACCAGCCGCGCCGGCGACTGATGGTGCCAAAACACCATTGCAGCCCAAGTCAATAAACGCATTGGATCGACTTTCAAAACCATTCAAATGCCCAGGATCAGCCACTTACCAACGAGTATCGGAAAAACCATCAAGGAAGCGACGAAAGGTTAATTATGCAGATGCAGACGGCAGCACTGAGGATGGTGCGGAGAAGCCATACACAAACGATGATCGATTGGCGCTGGCAACTCGAGAGGTGAACAAGTTCCCCGTGTTTAAACCCAAGGACAAGGATGCAGCCTTCCGACAAAAGTTCTCTATTCCTTTTATCAATAAATCCTCCGACGAATACAACCCCGGTCGCGTAGCGCCAACCTTGGGCATGCGGCAGGGCGCGACTTTTGTTGTTAAACCATTGCATGACCCCAGCGGGGAGCTTGCGATTGTACTTTATGACCCGACCGTTGACGATATCGACGAGCCCAAGGATCCGGCAGCACCAAAGGAAGACGAGGGCCCGAAGATCGAGGAACCGCTGGAACATAAGAGCTTGGCAGATATTCTTGGGTTGAAAAAGAAAGTGGAAGAGCGACCTAAGGTGCCGGTAGTAATAGACCCCAGACTGGCAAAGGTTCTCCGGCCACATCAAGTGGAGGGTGTGAAGGTACTGTGCTGCTCGAGAACTGTGCATTGTGAATTGCATGCTAACATTCATGGGGCTGTTTAGTTCATGTATCGATGTACAACCGGAATGGTCGATAAGAATGCCAATGGTTGCATTATGGCGGATGGTATGGGGTTGGGTAAAACGGTACGACATTGATCATCTTCCTGACTCTGTTTGCCCTTCGACTGACGACTTTAGCTCCAATGTATTGCATTGATGTGGACATTAATAAAGCAAGACCCGGAGGCTGGCAGAACAACCATTAAAAAGTGTGTGATCGCCTGTCCGTCCAGTTTAGTCGGCAACTGGGCAAATGAATTGGGTAGGCCACAATGATTAGCAAATTTCCACTACTCAGCTGATGTTTCTGGCAGGAAAATGGCTTGGAAAAGATGCGACGACTCCATTTGCAATCGACGGGAAAGCTTCCAAGGCCGAGCTCATGCTTCAGATTAAGCAATGGGCAGTCGCATCAGGCCGTGGAATCGTTCGACCCGTCCTAATTGTATCCTACGAAACGCTCCGCCTTTATGCTGATTTACTGAAAGACACACCGATTGGGCTTCTATTATGTGACGAGGGTCACCGACTCAAAAATAAGGATAGCTTAACATGGACGGCCTTGAACAGCCTTAACGTGAGCCGTCGGGTCATCCTTTCCGGCACACCTATTCAAAACGACTTATCGGAGTATTTTGCTCTACTTCACTTTGCTAACCCCAACCTACTGGGATCTCAAGCCGATTTCCGCAAGAGATTTGAGTTGCCCATTCTACGTGGCCGAGATGCTGCAGGTACTGAAGAAGCTCGAAAGCTAGGTGATGAACGTCTCACAGAACTATCTGGTATTGTGAACAAATTCATCATCCGCCGAAGCAACGAACTGTTGTCAAAATACCTGCCTCTCAAATATGAGCACGTTGTGTTTTGTAACATGGCCCCATTCCAATTGACTCTGTACAATCACTTCATCCAGAGTCCGGAGATTCGAAGTCTGCTTCGAGGCAAAGGCAGTCAACCATTAAAAGCTATTGGTATCTTGAAGAAGCTTTGTAATCACCCAGATCTTCTGGATCTTGCAAAGGATCTTCCAGGGTGTGAGGACGAATACCCTGAGGATTACACCCCACCGGAAGCTCGAGGACGCGACAGAGAAGTGAAGAGCTGGTACTCTGGTAAAATGATGGTGCTTGATCGCATGCTTGCTCGGATCCGTCAAGATACCAACGACAAAATTGTTCTTATCAGCAATTACACTCAGACTTTGGATTTGTTTGAGCGACTTTGCCGGTCGCGTGGGTATGGAAATTTGCGGCTGGATGGCACTATGCCCATCAAGAAGAGGCAAAAGCTGGTCGACAAATTCAACGATCCTGACGGCCCTGAGTTTGTGTTCCTCCTCAGTAGTAAGGCTGGTGGATGTGGCCTGAACTTGATTGGTGCGAACAGACTTGTTTTGTTCGACCCTGATTGGAATCCGGCTGCAGATCAGCAGGCATTGGCCCGTGTGTGGCGTGACGGACAAAAGAAGGACTGTTTCGTTTATCGCTTCATTGCAACTGGATCTATTGAGGAGAAGATCTTCCAGCGCCAGTCGCACAAGCAATCTCTTTCGTCTTGCGTCGTGGACTCGGCAGAGGATGTCGAGCGCCATTTCTCTTTGGAGTCGCTGCGAGAACTTTTCCAGTTCAAACCTGAGACTCGCAGTGATACACATGATACATTCAAGTGCAAACGATGCCGACCGGATGGAACGCAAATTGTCAAAGCTCCAGCGATGCTTTATGGCGATACAAGCTCATGGAACCATTTAGTCAATACTGGAGAGCAGGGACCGCTTGGCAAAATTCAAGACTTGCTCATGCGGCAGGAGGCTGGCGAACGGGATGTCTCTGCTCTTTTCCAGTATATCAGCCATTGATAGACTGGGCTTGACTTGAGTACCTAGACGTTCAAAACTTATTATAGTGCTCAGCGGAATTTTTATTAGCGTATTTGACGGCTTTAACGTGCAAGGATAGAATATGATCACAATCGCTTGTCATTGATTAGAATATGAAGCCCAAGACATTTGTTTTATGAAATCATCATGCGTGGAACATGTGAACCAGTCAGAATGGAGGCATAGCCCAATGACCTAAGCAGAAAAGAAATGACTATTGACAAAAACTTAGATAATTTTTAGTTGCAAAGCTTACTCCTTCAACATAGGGAGCTTTTGTTCGGTCTGTTGGGTGAGTTGCAGACTAGATCCCCCAGTCTCAGCATCATGGCTGGTTTCTTCATGTTCCGGATCGTCTTGACCATTTTTGCCTTTTTTGATACTCTTCCACTCCATACCGAAAGAACTTATCAAAGCCACCAATGTAAGCGCTAAGGCAGTAAAGAATATTCTCCTACAGGCATCGTTATATGCTCGCTGAACTAACACAATGTCTTTGGCAGGCACCACAGAGGCCAAATCCGTTGCACCTTCATTCACAACCAATCCCGTATCTAGGCCGGGAATCCCACCTAGACGTGAGATAAGTGTGTTGCTTAAAATCGTCTGTCCCACCGTGCTGAAAACACTTCCTCCGAGTTGCTGGAGGAAGAACATTAGCGCAATGCCAGTTGAAATGTCTGGCGGTGGTAGAATTCTTTGCACCACCAATCCATTAATCTGCATTCCAAGACCGAGACCAAACCCGCACATAAACTGATACCCAATCCAGTGTGCTGAGCTAGTGTTGAGATCAAAGGTGGTCATCAGACCCAGTCCTATCGACATGATACTGGGGCTGAGGTACATGATTGGCACATAATACCCGATCTTTTGCGTGGTGAGACCGCCGACAAAACTTGCGACGACAAGACTGAGCACGAGTGGGAGGGTATAAATTCCGGATTTGACAGGATCAACCAATTTGACAGTTTGGACTAGTTCGAAGTTAATTTTGAATCTCAATCCCGAGTCGAACTTGCAGGACACTTACACCAAATGGGAACGTAGTAGATCATCATCATCATTGCGCTGGACGAGAAGAAGCTAAACACCGCTGCGCTGAAGATACTTTGGCGAGCAATCACTCTTGCGGGGATTGTAGCTGTCTCAGGCCTCCAAACTTGGATTGCCGAGAAGATGAGGAATAAGACGCCAAATACGACAAACAGCGCAATAATGCGACCGTTGTTCCAAGCGTATGTTGATCCTCCCCATTGGAAGGCTAGAAGAAGACAGACAATCGCTGGTACAAAGAATACCATTCCCAGTGGATCCAGGCGTTTGATATGCATCAGGATTGAAATCCATTCACGATCGACTTTGCGTGGGCGCCAGATCAAGGTCATGGCTACCAAACTTACAGCCCCAATGGGCAAATTGATATAGAAACACCACCTACGCAATTTTAACTTGTTAGCTACTTACTAAAAATCGATGGTCTTGATGCTCATAGAACACCTACCTCCAAGTGACACTAGAAGTGAAGCCTCCGCCAACCAGCGGCCCCATGACCGAAGCGATCCCAAAGACAGCTCCAAACATGCCTTGGTACATTGGCCGCTTGTGAAGAGGTATCAGAGCAATGACAATCAGCATGCATCCAGAGAAAATTCCCGCAGAAGCGAACCCTGCAATAGCACGCCCTGCGATAAAAGCGTTGGAAGTAGGAGCAGCACCACAGACAGCTGATCCAATTTCAAAAACGACTACTGAAGTCAGGAATACACTTTTTATGTCGTAAAATTTGTAGATTCGTCCAAATAGTAGCTGTGCTGATGCACTGGCTAGCATGTAGGCGGATCCATACCAGCCGATATCGCCGAGGCTGTGGAATTCGTCAGTGATGCGAGGGATAGCCGTCGCGATGATTGTTCGGTCTAATGCAACCAAGAACAATGCCAGGAAATTACATAGCATTATAAGCCAGAATTGAAGTGTTCTGGGCTGAAACTGACTGCCTGCATGTTGTTCAGGTGGCCGTGGTGGTGATGAAGATATTTGTGGTTGTGTCGCATCTGTTTGCTGTTGATGGTCATGTTGTTTTTCAGTAGTGGAATCTGTCGCGTATTCAAATTCTGCGGGTCGGACCATGGTATATTCAAGTTATTTCGAGGTACTAGACGCTTAGAAGATAGTGCAAAGTTGGAAAGATGTAGAGACATAGCTAGTCTTGACATTTGAAAGAGTTAATGCTGGCATTCCTTTGTCGTTGGGGTGCCAATCAAGGGAATTTCGGCCTATCCTACGGCATTGGCCCGTTCCAAGGTTTCTTCAAGAGACTGTGCCTAACATACCATTTCGAAGTTTAGTAACAATTAAAAATCCGGGCGCTCATTGGTGACTGATGCGTGAATGTAATCCATGACAGATTTCAAGCCCACTTCAAAAACAAGTGTCATTTCACCATAATCTGTACCATTTTGGTTGCATGTTATAAAGTTCTGACATTGTCAGGAATTAATACCAGAGTAGTTACGATCAGAAGGAGATGCGAACCGAAAGGAATGGGGTGGATTGAGAAGAAGTCGGATAAAAAAAGGAAGAAGGGAAAAGACAACCTCGTCAACTACCACATAGGATACATATTGATTCTCCTTCCGGTCAAATCATCCATAGTCGTTCTGAAGTAAGTTTCCCGTGTCACTAGATCGTAGTATTCCTCCGTTTGAAATGTTCTCATGCATCTTTTTGCCTGAACGAGAACATCAGCTCCAAATGTCGGATAATACTGAGTCTCCTTAAGAAACTTCCAATCGTCGTCTTGAAGATATCCATCAACTGAGGCTCGAGCTAAAACTTTACGCACTTTATGGCCGTTGGGCAAAAAGGTTGCAGAAATAATAGCTCGACTCTCAAGGCAGTAGCCATTAACGGAGACTGGCTCCCCTCGGCAGGTCTTGGACTCGGGTGAAGGATTCTTCTTCATAATGTCCATTATATAGGCGGCGGTTTCATTCTCCAACTGAGTAATCATGCACAGATCTCCAAGTCTTGCAAGTTCTAGTGCAGCATAGATCTTGTCTTCTGGTTCAACAGACTCGAATTTTAGCGAACATTGCCTCCAGGACTGAGTCGAATTTTCACAAAGGGACCGTGATAAAGTGGAAGCAAACTAAATAAGACATATTTAGACACCACAATATTTCAAGTTAAGATGTAAGGATTCATACGTCTGAGAAAAATAGTCAGTGCCTTTGTTCTGTTTTTGTGACATTTTCGCCTCAATTAGTGGCTTGGCTTGTAGTGATTTTTCAATGTCAATAAAACCCGGGGAAAGACTGGCGATTGCCCCCTATATTTATGCCCAAGGTAAGCCCACCGCCTCCGGGTGTTGGCAACTTGGGCTTATGCACCGCTCCGCGTTGACAAACAACACCGTCTGGTCAAAAACGCGCTTTGTGTCTTCTACAACCCTCTAAAACCACTTTAAAACCACTTTAAAATCACTTCAACCTCCTTTTCTTAATTTAAATCAGATAAATACTAGACCTTCTGACTTCTCTACCACATATGGAAATGCCTCGCTACATGCTACCTAGGGCCATTTTGGCCTAGTGTACATAATAAGGACTCCCAACTTCTCCAACAAACATTTCCAGACCGAATCGAAATCTCCAACTTTGAGAAATCAGCTACACTTCTAACAGATTACCTCCGTTATTTTTAGCATCTAGGAACTAATTATCTGCCCAAACTGGAGAAAGAATTTAGGGGTCCTCCTGAAGAGTTCAAATGTTGGCTGACTGGGTGTTAGAATCAATGTTTTCTCCTAAGTTTTCAAGATGTCCCACCTTTAGATATACATCAGAGATAATTGATTGATATTTCAATGTTTCCACAAGTGCTTGCTTATTTCTAGAAGATTTCGATATATCAAGTCCAAGAACAAACATTTGAAACTTCCTTACTTTGTATCAATAGGCCAAGACCCCTACATACGCGTATCTTATTGATTTTGGTAGAGGCTACACCAGGAACTGGGTGGAGAAGGAATTGGCAAATACCGCCGAAGGAGATCTCAAAGATCTCAAGTGCTGCAAAGAATCTCCGAATTTCTTTCCGAACAACTTTTGAATATCCGCGACCCTGTGTACATATGAGACCAATCTTGAAAATAGCAAGAGTATTCATTGAAGTACTTATTCACGGTCCTTTCACTGGACATAGCGAAATTATCCTGAGAGGCAGCATTCTCATGTGGCTGATGATTAGATCTACTCTAACTTGCAAACTTCTTTCTGTTGCTCAAAATTTGTTCACAAGAGTGTGTTTTAGTGGTGGAAATATGTGCAAGATCGGGGTTTCCTTTTCGTCCAGTAGACGTCAACTGGTGACCTATCTAAACCAATCATTGATGTCCTACGGACGACGGTCCGTCGGAGTCCCGTGGGCCGTCGGGGCCGAGCCTCACCTTAGCTATCTTTCGGGACCGACCTCACCCCTCCTATAGTGATTTCGATATTGGTAATTTGATCATTAACTAAACTGAAGCCACTGATTAAATCAGCAAGGCTCTCATTGGAGAAACTCTTGGGCCATGGTAGGATCCCATCATGAGCTTGACACGAGGTCATTCTTGCATCTTATGCCAGCAGCGTAAGGTTCGATGTGATCAACAGAAACCCTGCACAGGCTGTGTTCGCGCACAGGTAGAGTGCAAGGTTGTGCCCCCACAGCCAGCTCGAAGAAAAAAGCGAAAGGCCGAAGAGGATGATTTGATCCACCGCCTCGAGAAATATGAGGCTATTATGACCCAAAACGGCATCGATTTCCATTCGATTTTGGCAAATAATCGGGAACTTAACGCGACCGAAAATTCTCAAGATGTACAGAATAGCATTTCGGGGCCCGGCTCACCGAGGCCTGCAGGCTCTCGGGAAGTGAATCGTAAAAAGTCTGTATTATAAATTTTGGTCTTTGTCAGTTCCGAATGCTGATTTGATGCAGAAGTTCAAAATGGTCTGCATACTATGACGAGGTTAGTTCGGGCGTCCAGTCAAAGCCGACTATACCATGCCGCCTTGCTTTAACATTGGCATCAAGTTGATATTGTATTGAGATGCTCATGCCATGACTAGTACCAAACCCACGATGAGCTGCTACGTGGCTCTGATGACGACGATGATGATCGGCCCACAATTCACCACGCCTTTGACAAGACTTTCGCCGATAACGACGGATTTCCCTTCATGGCTGGGGGATCTACCAGTCGAATAACTCACCTTCATCCCTCGGCAATTCAAATATTCCAATTATGGCAAGTTTATCTCAACAACGTCAATCCTCTTTTGAAGATCAGCCATGTGCCCACCCTGCAAAACGAGATAATCGAAGCCAGCGCCAACCTTGCCAATGTCTCCAAGCCGCTTGAGGCCTTGATGTTTTCCATATATCTCATATCAATAACATCCATGTCGAAAGAGGAAGTCCAGGCAGCTTTCGGGTATTCAAAGAACACCTTGCTCGTCCGGTATCATAAAGCTTCACAACAGGCTCTTATAAATGCTACATTCATGAGATCAACTGAGCTGGTGACATTGCAGGCCTTCTTTATTTACCTTGTAAGCTCTGAATAAATTCATATTCTCTGCCTCGACGTGATTGTGTGAAAGAATGAGAAAATTTCCACGTGCAATGCTAATCTACATTTAAATACAGCTGAGTGTATGCCACATTGTTGATCCTCGGTCTCACTTTTGCTTGATCGGTATTGCGGTGCGTGTAGCTACTCGTCTTGGTATACATCGAGACGGTGCTCAATTTAGACTCCCACCATTCGAGACAGAGCAGCGCAGAAGACTCTGGTGGCAACTGGCCATCCTTGACAAGCGCATAGCTGAGATGACGGGCTCTGCTATCACGGCATTATCATCCTCCCGAACTGACTGTCGACTTCCCCTCAATGTGAACGATGGAGATTTGCACAAGCACACAAAAGCGGCCCCGGTGTCGTCCCCAGGGTCTACCGAAATGCTCTTCTGTCTGACTCGTGTGGAGCTTCTGGCTGCAGCTAAGCCTAGTAGCATGCGACCCGATCCATCGATCGCAAGGCAACGACATAACAACGAGCCACTGCTGCCACCATCTTCTTTTTGTCCTCAAAATGAGGATAAATTACCTGTTCACGGCCTAGATGACTACTGTGCCTACATCGAATCCACGTATCTCGAGCACTGTGACCCCGAGATCCCTATACACAAATTTACTCTGCTCACTGCACGAATATCGCTCTGCAAGCTTCGAGTTGTCGACTTTATGTGCCGGAGTACCCAAGCAACAAAATCTCCAGATCAAGAGCGCGACGATATCTTTATGGCTGCTGTGCAAATGATCGAATGGGACAATGAAATCTACACTGCTAAAGAACTCCAAGGCTTTCGCTGGTACACCCGCTTTCAAGCCCCCATGTCAGGATTCTTCTTCATTTTGAACGAGCTTCGTCAGCGTACAACTGGTCCTCTCTGTGAGCGCGCATGGAAGGCGATATTCAATGATCACGAGCATCGAGGTCTGGTCCGAAACGTGAACAGTCCCATGCATGCTGCTTTTAAAAAGGCTATACTTAAAGCTTGGGAAGCCCATGAAAAGGCTGAAGCTCAAAAGGATAGGGTTGTTGAAGCCCCAGAACTGATTCTCACATTGCGTCGAGCTTATTTGTCGAAAGGTGTTCACCCTCAAATGCAGTCTGACCCGGTCCAGGCTTCAAGTGCGACTGCCCCTCCTCAAGTCGACCAGGTCAACTCTTTGGCAAGCATGTCAACATTTGCTTATATGGATGCTCAGCCTGGAATTGAATACCAACCGCCCGGACTAGATTTTGATGTCAATCAGCTGTTTTCCACCTTGGATACTGGAAGCCAAATTTATGACCAGGGGATGATGGGCTTTGATGAGACAGACTGGTCTTCTTTGATGCAGTCGGGGTCTTTCGGGGAATTTTAAGTAACCCGGAGGTCTAGCCTATGGTGGTGAGTAGCCTCGGATCTTACAAGTTACCACCAGGTGAATGGAGTCATCTTATTGCAGCCATGATTGTTCTTCATTAACTTTATGGACATGAATAAACGCAATTCAACTATAACATCGACGTCGTTATCATCAAAGCTTGCTGTTGAGTGTTGCAGCCTTCGGAATTCCCCATTTCGAGATATCCTCATTGGTCTTGCCATCAACAGCTAGCTCCGCTAGAACACGACCAAAGGCAGGCGCAAATTTGAACGCATGCGCAGCACCCAATCCAACAATGATATCGGGCTCGCTATCCAGCGGACTTATAATAAATTGTCGGTCGGGAGTGATCGTGTACTGACAAGTGATCGTGCGAAGCGGTGTACGTTCCTTGTCCGGCATGAAGCCATCCATAAAGGACGTGAGCTGTTCCAGCAGCTGTGGCGAATGAACAAATGTCCGCTCCTCAGGACTCATGAAGTTGTTGGAGTAATCGCGTCCAGCTTTGATAGTTGGCTCGCCATAGGTCGGGAATCCATAGAAACAATGAGCTCCCTGCCAGATCCACACGGGGAGCTTGTCTGTTGCAAACGCCGAGGGGTTTGTAGGCTTATAATATGTGACTTGTTCTTGCATCACCGAGACTGGGATATGCACCGAGAGAGGGGCAAGGAGTTTGTTGATCCATGCATCGGTGGTGAGAATCACCTTCTTAGCTTGGAATCGGCCTCTCGGTGTCTCGATAATGACGCCACCGGACTTTTGAGGCGTGACACGGTGAACGGGGGTATTATCTTTCAAGACAGCGCCATGAGTTCGTGCCAACGCCTGCAAAGTGCTGACGGTCTTCGCGGCATGAGCGATCCCCGAGTCGGCCGTGTATACAGTCGTGACGTTATCGGCAATGTCGAACTGAGGCCATCGCTTCTTCACTTCTTGTGCATCGAGTGTTTCATAGGGGACGTTTTGCGCATCAAGACTTTTCGTGAAGTCGCTTGCCGGTGTAGGTGACTCGGGCGCAAAGAAGACCACCCCGCCGGTTGTCGTTAACATCTTGTAGCCGGTCACATTTTCTAGCTCGGCCCAGTCCTTGTAGGCTGATTTGGCGAGGGCCACATATTCGGGTGCAAAGTTTGAAGTTCGGACAATGCGTGAAGTGTCGTGGGAAGCTCCTCGGACGTGACCAAGCTCGAACTGCTCAAATCCAATCACCTTTGCTCCCTTCTGAGCGGCGTAGTAGGCCGCACCGCTTCCCAGGACTCCAAGTCCAACCACGGCGACATCGAATTGTTCCATATCTTGCTTCATTATTCTGGGATGTGTTAAAGAGATAGCTATCTTTAGGTGCTACCTGAATTGACTTCGACTTTATGCTTGTTCATGGAACCATTTGGTCACGGTCTCCATGATTCTTGGCCGTCCACGTGATGGAAGTCTACGAAGGTTGCTACACTCCGCATGGTCATGAGATTGGGTTCTAATTGATTAGGCATTCCACAGCGCATAAATGAGGGGGTTATGCATATGCTAACTAGACGGTCATAGATACGCCTAGATCGGGGGAATTTCCGGTCACTTGATCGGCCATCGGTCCGCCTCCGAGGTCCGGGAACGTCTTGCCTAGACTGGAGACTTGTTTCTATGCTGTGTCAGCAAACACTGACGGTTACTTGGGCCTCGGGGAGAGCTCATACCGGGGTCTTCCAGTTCGAGGCTGGACTGAAAGTCTTGTTGTTCTTTGAAGCGTTTGATTGCGTTAGCTATAGTTTGCCGACAATATTGAAATTGCGGAGAAAAATATTTGAATTTGTTGTTGGTGTATCATTTGAGCTTGCATCTATGCTCTCCACTAGTAACTGTATAGTATCTAGTATCGAATGTATAAAGGCCAGTTTGAATCAATGCATCGGATATATGATTTTCGATTAAAATTTTCTAGTTAGGGAAATCCCGCAGCAGCGACTCCATTCCCTGCAAAATATCGGCCTTTAAATCTTCAAATTCCTCAATGCCACAGCTGACCCGCAACAAACGCTTGTCACACCCAGCATCACTCATAGTCCGCCACTCCATCAAACTTTCCACCCCTCCAAGACTGGTCGCATGCTGAAACACAAACATCCGGGTTGGCAGCCGACGCGCATGTTCCGGATTATGAGTCCAAATAGAGAACACCGGCCCAAAGCCACCAGGCATTTGCTTTCGAAGCCAGCCATCCTCCAAGTCCTCTTTCTGAAGTGACGCGTGTTGAACCCGACTCACAACCTTTGAGACCGGTGACTTTGCATTTCCAATCTCCGCTTGTAACCATGCAGCCAGTTTCGTGGCCGTTTCCGCCTGTCTCATTACCCGGAGCTGCATAGTGCGCGCAGATCGAATACCCAACCAGCCCTCAAAGCTCCCCATGACACTACCGATATACTGGCGGTCCTTGTGCAGCGTTTTCAACCATCCCTCTTCCACCCGCGCAGAGGCCAAGACCAGAAGCCCACACAACATATCGGAGTGACCACCCACATACTTGGTTCCACTATGCATGACTATGTCCGCACCAAGATCTAAGGGATTCTGAAGCGGAGGAGGAGCAAATGTCGCATCCACTGTCAAGTAAGCTCCTCTCGCGGTTGCTTTCTCACGATAATAAGCCAGGTTCCGAGCTTCGCCGGTCGGGTTGAGCGGTGTTTCGACGTGAATAATATCGCCGGGACCGGCTTGGTCGACGTCTGTCAACTCCAATTTCTGAATCCCTGACAATCGCTGGATAATATCCAAGACACCGTGGCACCCGTGGTACCCGTCTCCGATGAAGATCTTCTTGGGGTTGAGGAGGATCACCATTGCATGGAAAGCCGACAGTCCGGTTGAGTAAGTGATCACCTCGCCGCCCATGAGGCTGCGTAGCAGTACCTCCAGCCGCTTGGAGTTAGGGGCGGTATACCGGGAGTATACGTGGGAGTCATTGGGGTTGTTGGGCTATACATAACAACATTTTCATTAACATGGAAGAAGAATGAGAATACCAAACGGCAATGATAGAGCTTACGTCGTTGTTTTCTTCTGGAACTAGGTCTTCTGCATCTCGTGCGTAGCGGAAGTTCACCGCTGTGTGCATGCCAGGAGCGATGGCTCGGTGCGGGGTGAAAAAGTCATCGGCGTGAATACCTCTTGTTGAGGGGTGCATGTCCGGCAGCGCCTTGTTAAGGGCTTCGGCCGTCAGCACAAAGTTGGCACCATCGATTGATCCCATCGTGTATAGTTATGATTGGGAGGACTAAGGAGAAGAAGAATATGTGTGATTTGAGCCACAGGTCAGGAATTAAGCTCTATTGGAAGTATTGAAGTCTTATTAACGAATCTAAGTGCTATAAATTTCAAGAATGGAAGGTGTAGCCCTTTGCAATCGAATCATCGGAGACGGACCGATATACACGCTTGCAAACCACGCCTGACGAAGGTACACATGAGCGGGGTATTCCGTGAGCTCACCTGGGCAGGTGCATCATCCACTTGATGTCATTGGCGTTGATCTCCAAGCTTCAGCATTGATCAATGACCGATCCACCATGGTCTCATTAGTCAATGCATCACTCCAAGTTGCCAACAATACTCGATTACACGTGACCGGCTTTTGACGCCGAAAGCCGTGAGGTTAAAGTTAAACCGTATTTTGCAATGACGGGTTTTCTCCGCGGCTGCAACAATACGATACGTTAGTTCCGCCGGCCCCACGCCGTACTTGCGTATTGGTTTGGCCCGGTTCAACCACTGTTCTGGTAAGTGATCGCATGATCAAACACAATGAAGATGTGTATTAAATCGGGAGATGGAACTGTGAGCCACATATAAGCCTTCATAACTGAAAGCACCCTCTAGTTCCCGAAAATTGAATTATCTACACACTTCCTGAGTCTCTATATCATGGCTGCCGCAGTTGCTTCATTGTTTGGATACAAATCCTCAACTCTAGAGGTCAATAAACCTCAGAAAATCCACAATGACACACTCAAAGCCCTTCCAGCTTCCTGGTATAGCTCGCCAGAGATGTACGAGCTGGAACGAAGAGCAATCTTTTCCAAGAAATGGGTCTTGATCACCCACAAACTGCGCTTCACAACAGCCGGCGACTTTCTCAAGATCGAAGAAGCTGGCTTCTCATTCGTACTATGTCTGGACCGAGAAGGCAACTTGAACGGCTTCCACAACATCTGCCGCCACCGAGCATTCCCTCTCATATCGGAAAACGAGGGCAATGCGAGAATTCTCTCGTGCAAATACCACGGCTGGTCTTACGGCCTTAATGGCAAGCTAGCCAAGGCACCGAAGTTCGACGAAGTACCCGACTTTGACAAGCAAAGCCAGAGCTTATTTCCCGTGCATGTGCATGTCGATAAGCTGGGCTTCATCTGGGTCAATCTTGACGCGTCTCCGAATCCAATTCCTTGGGAAGAGGACTTCAAGGGCGTGGATGAGCAAGAGCGGTTCCAGAAGTACGACTTCAGCCAATACAAGTTCGATCACACTTGGCAGATGACAGGCAACTATAATTGGAAAACCCTGGCTGATAATTACAACGAGTGCTACCATTGTACCGTTGCTCACCCCGATGTGGCCAATCTGGCAGATCTGTCATACTACTATACCATCTCAACACCGGGGCATATTCAGCATTTCTCCCGACCGCAGGAAGGCAAGGTGTCGGAGGATATTCAGAATGCCAGTACTTATTATTTCCCCAATGCCTGCATGACCGTCTCGTGAGTTATTCCCTCTTGAACCATGATGATATGTTCAGTCACTAACAAACATTCAGGCCTCACTTTTTCTACATGATGAGATGTGTTCCCACGTCTGTTGGAACATGCTCTATGGAATATGAAGTTTACCGCCACAAAGAGGCCTCAGATGAGGACTTCGAGCACATTGATTCCTTCTTTAAGCGGGTTCTGGACGAAGATAAGCATTTGTGTAATGCGGCACAGAAGAACTTGAATGCTGGAGTGTTTGTCAATGGGCAACTTCACCCTCGTCTTGAGAGTGCACCAATTTACTTCCAGAATACTGTCAGAGCTCTTCTTGTCTCTCATAGAGATGAAGAGAGGAGTGAGAAGCGGGAGATTTGGCCAGCGCGACAACATTCAGCGGGCCAGGCCACCGCAGAGGATATTGCCTTTTGCGCCGGGTTATCATGTTCTGGTGAAGGAAATAGAGAATTGGAATGGTAGATGCATTTGGGAGGTTTTTAGTATGTTTTCAAATCTTTAGCGATTATATCCTTCAATTGGAACTTGATGAATAATGTTGAATGTTATAGCTTGAGTGTGAGTGATACAGTAATTCATATACGGTACTTTCCAGTAATACCCACAGCTGTAACTTCAATAAGGTTGTAGGACGTGTAAGTCTAGAACCCAACTATGTCACCCCAAACTTCCCTTTTCCGGGCAGTGTTTCCCCCCTTTGTGGATCGCGCCCCGTGTTATCGCGGGCCGGCTCATGACCCCGATAACCCCGCCGCTTTTAAAGAACACCTTGTGACAGATCAACCCGATATTGAAGCTTTTTTTCTTTCTGTTGTCGAATCCATTTTATACCCAATGAATCGAGTCTATAAAAGGTCACATCAGGCCTGTGAAAATTGTAGGTGAGTTTTCTTCAATACCTGTAGTATAAACGAAGAGTTTCAATCTTAGCTAACTACTGAAAGGCGCAAAAAGACGCGATGTCCAGGGGAGCGGCCCGCTTGCTCCACCTGTACACGATTACACCAGACATGCCAATATAGCAGACATTATGAATTGTTGGAGAGATCCGGCGATCGAGTTTTGGTGGGCAAATTGATCGAAGAATGAGAGAGTGATTTATTAATTTCAAGTAGGAAGATCGCTTGCTACAGCTTGAGGAGAAAATGGAAATGATGTTGGAAGGGCCGATGTGCGAGTTGAAAAACACCAAAGAGATGAGGCAGCAGTACTGATTCAAGATCGCGATAGCTCGAACCACCAAGTTGGAATTCGTCGGTCGAGCTCGGACCGGCTTGATAGTCGCGAAAATACTTCGGAATCAAATGATGTCCAGGAAACGCTTCCTCAGCGACGGACCTCTAGGGACGAGATAATCGCTCCCCAAGTTGCCAATCCGTTGCCCTTTACGATGCCCCCAAAGGAAATTGTTGCAGAGGGCTTCGCTCTTTATTTCAAATACTGCCACAAACAACCACTGTGGCTCTTTGATCCCGATGAGATGTCCATGCCAGAGACTTGTCGCAGTGAGGTCATATTTGGCACACTCAGTCTTGCTTTACGATATTCAAATAATCAGTTCCTGGAAGGGCGGACTGATCAAATGTGTCGACACTACGCCGAAGCTGCACGCAGCTATGCCATGTTTCGAATTGCTCAGGGCACTGTGGATTTGTCAACGATTCAAAGTCTTTGCCTCATTACCCTGGCTGGATATATCGGTATGTATTCAGATTGATTGCATGATGCTGGGTCCCAAGTCTAACCATGCTCAAGCAAATGATACCCATCTCGTTTGGCTCCACATCGGTCTCGCAGCAAATCTCGCTCAGTGTGCGGGTATTGATATCGAAATGCACGAAGGCGAACTAGATCCGATATTAGAAGCGCAAAGAAGGGTGTTCTGGAGCATTCATCTTCTTAAGCAACATTATGCCCCACACAGCATGCAATTGAATATGCTCCGGGACATTCACAGCCCGAAGTACATGGCTGTCAATATAGATTCGCCGCGGGAGATGGGTATGAAGCCACCACAGACACCCCAAGAAAACGGCGCCTTCACATCTCGAGGAGGCATATGGGTATACATGGTGCAGCTAGCTACGCTTTGGAGCGAAGTCCAGCAATATGTTTCCCATTGTGCGAGTGGATACTCCACTCCTCCCTGGTCTGTGGAGTCTGGCTACTCTATAATCGGGGCTCATCTGATGGACATTGAAACTAAATTTCCCACTTGCAATCGATACGACTCGGTGAGATTTCAAGATCAATCGCGAGAAGAATTGCATCGTGATCGAGGCTTCTGGAGTCCCTGGCTGTACCTCCAATTCACTTACCACGCCGTACACAGCGTGCTCAACCATCCTTTCCTATACTCCTGGCGCCCGCAACAGTCTTCCCAGCTGGCTGTGCCAAACACATTTTGGAAAACATCTTCTGAACTAGCTCTAATCCACACGACATGGACCGTTCGACTAATCGGTATGATCAAAGAAAAAGAATATGAAATTTCCGATCCCTTCCTTTGCCACGCAGTGGCTATTGCAGCTACGATTCATCTCTATTATTGCTGTGCTGCAGACCCGGTCATGAGAGACTCGGCCCAACGAAAGCTGGAAACGTGCACACAATTTTTAAGCGATCTAGCCACCAAGTGGCCACGGTGTCAAGCACTAGTAAGTCTATCAAATGCAAAAATCGATTCATCTACTAACTTGAGTCCAGCACCAAAAAGTTCAAGATCTCGTCCAATCCGCATTTGCTGTCAGTCCCCGGGCAAATAACCACCGCCTAGCTCGGCGAACATTATCTATAGATACGGCCTTGATGTGGGAAATTCTTTGCCACAGCTCTAGCAAGGCATCGTTTGCACCCCCGAGAGATGGTCTCTTCGATGCCTCATTTACACCACCCCCGTCCAAGAATTCAGACAAGGTGACAGTTGAAACCGAGATCTTTCATCATTCTGCTCGGGCGGTGGATACGTCTGATGGTGGTCAAGCATTGCCACCTTATTCTAGCACTCTGCAAGATCGGGCTGGTCCTGAGAATTCTGATGATGATCAACTATGGACTCGAAGCAACTTGAACTCCGTTGATCACGGCCCAAATTATCAACTCCCACGAGAGCCACAGGGGTGGCCAGGGCCGGGGGTCTTGGCTGATATGTCGTTTATGGATACTACACATGATCCGTTCTTTCAATTCCAAGATAGCGAGAATCCTTATCAGGGCGTTTGGGAGGTGGGGAATCTGTAGTATCATGTTGTTATGTAACTTTAGGCTAGAGCTCATGAATCAATGATACCGTGGAACTACAACTAGAAATCAGTGATATGTTGAAATCGTTTGATTGGCTTTTTTTTTAGAAAAATATCCCAAGGTTTGAGGGACCTGCAGGTGTCAAGTGTCGCATCACGCGAGCTGCTTCCCCTCCTGTATGCGGACACGGACCGACGGCACCGTCCGAGTTTACCGGAGCAGGCCCAAAGCCGATGATATCAAATAGAAATAGAGCCCTGGTGGCTTATCCGCCCGTGGCCACGGGAGATATCAGGTCTTCATTTAACACGGAGAGAGAAAGAGCTTGGATGATGTCTTAATTCAATTGGTTTGTTTATAATCGCTATCCTGTGAGAGTCTCGTATGTACTAATGATACCTAGATAGGAAAGTTTCAATCTAATGCTCTTATCACACTAAATACTCTTCTTTCCGCGTGTTTCTAGAGGGAACAAGATAGCAAGAATACCACCCATTCCCAACAAAGCAGCACATACGTAGATCGGGACCGAGCTAGCTGTCGAAGTAAAAGCTCCAATGAGCGCAGAAACCATACCCATCAAACGATTAAGAGATACTGCAATACCGTTTCCAGTGCCACGGTGCGCGGATGGTAGAACTTCCACCGTATAAGCATATAGAGTGGCATAGTATATGTTAATTGCGACAGAGATAGCACAAGAAAAGCCCAAGTTCTGTGCATCTGTTTTTACCGCTGTATAACCAAAGAAAAATATCACTGGAGCTTGTCAGCCACACGACGTACATTTTTGGGCTCAATTGCAATGCTTACTGGTCAGAAAGGCACCAATTGCCATTGTCCTCTTCCGCCCAAACATAGGCATCTCACACATAAAGCCGGCAATGATCGGACCCGGAATGGCGCATAGGTTGGTGATCGCATAGTTTCGCCATGTAAGGTAGGTCGAGTCTGATCCAGAAGATGTATCTCGAGACGCGAGATATTCCGGCAGGTAGACATAATATAATGCGTAGCCCAAGCCAATCAGAGCCCAGGAGAGCCATACCAGGGATGTTGAGAGGGCGAGGGTCTTCGTTACAAATAAGCCTCGTACGTGCACGGCTAGCTCGGAAAACGATGCTTTATTCTGTGCGTGCGAGCTGTGGATCTGGCCATGGGCTTGGAGCTGGTCCAGGGTCAGGCGGCAGACGCGATTGTGATTGTTGGCGAGATCCTGGAGAGTCTTTACAACGTCCTCGTCTCGACCTTGGCAAAGGAGGAACTTGGGTGTCTCGTGGAAACGGATGACGAGGACTCGGGCGATGCTCAGGATGAAGACAAGGGCTCCGGCTGTGTAGAAGAGGTATCTCCAGCCCATGTTGTTGGCGTTTGTGCACGGGACGGATCCATCCGTGGGACAACTGTATTTCGCTGTTATCATGTTAGCCAGAAAATCTGCAGCAGAAATTGTGAGAAGGGAGAGAGAGAAAGAGAAAGTTGTTACCCATATATCCCCAGGCAATGAGGCCAGCCACGGTCTGACCAACACCCCACCAGCCAGCCAGGAGAGTAAGAAGCCATTGCTTATTTGAGGGGAGATATTCCAAGAAGACAGTTGTGTCCAGCACCAGATTACCGCCCGAGCCAAAGGCTGACAACGCGACCATGGTGGCCCATCCTGCGTAGCTTGGAGCAGCCCCTGCCGTGATGGCAAAGATCGCGCTGATGAGTAGGGAAAAATTGAAAGCCCATTTTCGACCGATGATATCTGCAGTGCTACCCCAGAATAAAGCTCCTGCTAATAAAGCCAGATAGAAGCCTAGTTGGGCTCCTCTGGAGAATTTCGGGGGGTATTGTGCCCCTACTTGATCGGCAGATATGCTCATGAGGAAGAGTAATAAGGAGTCGACGCCGTATCTGAAGATTTGGAAATCGTGGTTAGTTGGGAGTACTTTTAGTCTTTGTTCAATTGGTTTCTCGCACCCGAATCCATTGAGGAAAAATAACTTGGTGTGATATCCGGTGAATCCAATCGTATCTATTGCCTGCAATTGTAAGAATTGAGTGCGTCATGAAGCATTGGAGAAGCATAACGTACATCATTCACAAGGTTCATCTTTGCAGCCAAAGCTTGGTCGACTCCATCAAGGGCCATGAGATCTCCAAGGCCAACTTGGGTGGACCCTGAGTCCATGATTGATTTATCCTGGTCTCTGTCATAATGTTGTGGTTCTCCAGCAACATCATCAGACTTGTTGGCCATATTGATTCTCAATGTTCAAATATAGCAATTGGGTGGTTTTTTGCCTTCAATTTATAAGGCAATTGAAGGATGATGAGTGTATAGGCATGGACTCCGTATAGGAAGAATGGTAAAGTCCAGGCTTTTATACTTTCCCCTTGAGCCCTTGATCGAGCCTCTAGTCCCACCTAGCAATGACTGACCCCCAATTGCGTTTAGTTTCTTGTAATCATACGTAGTGTAATAGCTATCTCCTCTCCAAGAGAGGCATGATACCGAGCAATGCCCCCACATTGTAATTGCCATTGGCTTACCAGCTACGCTATCTGAGACCGGTCTTCAGTGAGGAGAAATCAATATGCGGGCACGAATCAAAAAGCTTGGAAAGTGTTCCTGTGGAGAAGGTTATCAGGCTTGACAGACTAGAGAGAAGGACGGGAATCGACCTGATACATAATCTTGGTTTGGCTCGTATTTCCAAGCTTGCCGCTCATGTGAGCGGAGTTTCGGGGAGATTAACGGTAAACGGCAAACCCCAGATTCCCCGGATTCGAACCAATCATTCATACTCCTTTCCGCTTTTCTAAGCTCATCAAAAGTACCTTGAAAAAGATGGGCTAATGCATTTGACATGTGTACTACAAAGCGTCTGGGCCCTTTTGGGATTAGTCTCTAGTACAGATCGGGAGCTTTGTAGCATGACCAATGATCACGTTATAGGAGCTTACTGTACTTCATCTACAACAGAACCAGTTCTCTTTGAAAATCGCATGCTCCAATGTATCAGAGGTCATTATGAATTCAATTTTTGCCTGCTTTATTTTGGAATAATCGGTCCAGGACTCGGTCTTTGATCTCACGAGACTGGGGATAGAAAGAAATCTGACAAAGAAGTGACTTTTTCCAGCACAACTCGATATGTATACTAGTATGCTTTTCTATTTCTCGAGAAAAGAAACATCTCTTTAAAATTCATCTTTGGCTTGTACACTTGCATCATCTCAGCCTCAAAACATCCTGGTTCTTCAGATAATTTTGTGTTTAGTTATTGATCTATAGCTTCGGCCCGAATCCAGGCCCGATCTGCTGACATACGTCACACTACGCTTGGACTTCCCATCTCCGCGTTGACAACGCATCCTTCCACCACATTTCACCACCCCACCCTCACATTCCAGAAGCTCAGTGTGATTCACAGAGCTTAACCTTGATCTGGTGAACGCCTTTCACCACTTCCTTGTACCCGATTTCGCCCACACTCGATCCAGCCGCGATCCGACCGTGAACCTTGACACCGCCCCCCTCCACCATGAACATTGCTTGATTAGAGCTTGAGACAGCACTCTCCGTTTGAGCAATGGACCTCACAATCCAGAGGTTGCTCAACGACAAGCTCTATGATAAACGGAAGCAAGGAGCTTTAGAGTATGTCACACAAAACCCCGTGGAAGGCTGTGATGCTGTTGCACTAACACGCGACATTTCTGCAGGCTCGAGAAAATCGTCCGCGAAGCCGTTTTCAAATCCGAACATGAAACAATAAAAAGAATTGTCGAGCAGCTCTGCCATGACTATGCCTACGCGGTGCACCAGCCCCATGCTCGGAATGGTGGTTTGATTGGTCTGGCAGCTGCTTCCATCGCCCTGGGATCTGTGAGTCCTCAAACACAATGCACAAAGGAATATCAAGACATAGCAACTGATATCGGGTTCTAGGAAGGAGTAGCACCTTATCTCAGAGAAATCGTGCCCCCGGTACTGGCATGCTTTTCCGACCCAGACGCACGAGTCAGATATTATGCTTGCGAGAGTATGTACAACATTGCGAAAGTGGCCAAGGGGGAGATTTTGCTCTTCTTCAACGACATTTTCGATGCGCTAGCCAAGGTGAGAAGCACAACTTGCATTTTGCCCATCTATAACAGCTAACATTCATTTGTATCATAGCTTGCCTCGGATGCGGAGCTCTCGGTGAAAAACGGTGCAGAGCTTCTCGATCGCTTGGTCAAAGACATCGTTGCAGAGTCTGCCGCTTCATACGTCTCTGTACTGCAACTCCCAGAGAAAGACTCGGCAGATTCTGATCCATTCGAGGACACAGATTTACCCACGGCTTTTTCTCTCGCAAGGTTCATCCCTTTACTGAAAGAGCGGATCCATGTTATCGGACCATTTACTCGCAACTTTCTGGTCTCTTGGTTGACTCTGCTGGACACCATACCTGATTTGGAGCTGGTTTGTTATTTGCCTGAATTCCTAGAGGGCTTGATCAAATTCTTGGGTGGTCCCAACAAAGATGTCAACGTAGCAACCCAGGGTCTTCTGGAGCGGTTCCTAGCCGAGATCAAAAGGATCACCCGACTGAAGAAGGGAATCGAAGACAGTCGCAAAAGCCAGAGTCGCAGACGCTCTGTCGCAAGCGATGCTGCTGTCAGTCTGAGTGCCAAGACCGAACAAACAGTGGACACTGGTGCAGGAGAAGGAAACCAAGATGACATTGCTGTGGAAGACTCTGCCTCAGAGTCTCTCCTTGATGATGAACTCATCCAAGCCGAGGGGGACTGGATTCCGGGGCAAGATGTGCAAATTGATTATCCCAAGATCTTGGACATTCTTGTCGTTTTTGTCGACACCTCTTTTGGTAACCTCCACCATTCTCGACATTCTACACTCAACACTAACCCATTTTTTAGATGAAGAAATGCAGCTCACGGCTCTCCGTTGGATTGATTCTTTCTTTGAAATTAGCCCTGAAGACATTCTTCCTTTCGTTCCTCGTCTTCTTACACAGGTTCTCCCGGCAATGTCCAGTGGCATCGATCAAGTCCGTCAAGCAGCTAACCGGGTCAACAAGTCTCTCCTGGAATACATCTACTCTCTTTCTGATGATGCCACTGAGGAAACCCCTTTGGCTCAATCGAAGGCTCCCTCTGTCGCGGCCAGCAAGGAGAGCATAGAGAGAAAGTCTTCGGAAACAAACAATGACGCCAGAAAGTCAACTCAGGAGTCTTCTGGATTGACACCACGTAGCAGTATTGTTTCAACGCCATTCCAACCAGCCGACCTGGATTATGCTGCGGCGGTCAATTCCCTCACGCTGCAGTTCTTAAACGAAAACGAAGCCACTCGGGTAGCTGCACTCTCGTGGCTGATCATGTTACACCGCAAGGCACCCCGCAAAGTTGTTGCCTTCAATGACGGCACTTTTCCGGCTCTATTGAAAACTTTGTCTGACCCGGCAGAAGCAGTTGTGACAAAAGATCTCCAACTACTTTCACAGATTTCAAGAAACAGTGAAGACAGCTACTTTGCCTCTTTTATGGTGAACCTATTACAGCTGTTCTCTACGGATAGACATTTACTTGAGGTGCGCGGAAATCTCATCATTCGACAGCTGTGTCTGAACTTGAGCCCAGAGCGTATCTATCGAACGCTGGCAGACTGTCTGGAGAAGGAAGAAGTACGTATCCAAGCCTATTAGATGCAGCGTATTACATTACTGACATTGATAAGGACATTGAATTTGCCAGTATCATGGTGCAAAATCTCAATAACAACCTGATCACCGCACCTGAGTTGTCTGATATGAGGAAACGACTGAGGAACCAGGATTCAAGGGTTCGTTTCAATCTCGACCATTTTTTGCCGGAGGAGTACTAACACTTTACCTAGGAGGGCCAAACATTCTTTGTTGCTCTTTTCCGCTCTTGGTGTCATAATGCTGTGTCAACATTCTCCCTGTGCCTTCTTGCTCAAGCTTATGAGCAAGCCTACAATCTCCTCCAGATCTTGTATGTTACCCGGTGTCTTCCTGCTTCAACCCCGTATACGCTAATACTTGTGAAAAGCGCCGAACTTGAAATGACAGTCAACATGCTCATTCAGATTGACAAGCTTGTCCAGCTTTTGGAATCACCTGTATTCACCTGTGAGCTTCATTATCCCTACTAACACCAAGCCCGTTCAGCTTTAACGTGATCAGATCTCCGCCTCCAACTTCTTGAACCCGAAAAATACCCCTACCTGTACAAATGTCTCTATGGTGTCCTTATGCTCCTCCCTCAAAGCTCCGCCTTCGCTGCCCTCAAGAACCGCTTGAACAGCGTCAGCAATATTGGATTCCTCCACGGCGGTCCCCGCAGGTATGAAAAGAACTCCCGGATCCAGGACAAAAAACCGAAGCTAAATGGCCCCTCAAGCACTGCTCAAGTCGCTCCCTCATACGAACGTCCCACTGGAACCCGGCTCAAAACCCGCGAGGAAAATAACATCCGTTGGGTCGATATGCTCGATAAATTCAAGGTTGTCCAGGAACGAGCCCGTCGCTCCCAGGCCCAGCAACGCCACTCACTCAACCCCACTGAATCTCTTAACCCCTCTCTAACTGCGGCCCTATCTGCTGCGGCCGGTGGTCGCGATCGGTCTGGTCTCCCTGACGCTCCGCGCGGTGGTCCAGGCTCGATGGGTCCCGGGGCAGGAGGTCTCGGAATCGGTGGCTTAGGACCTCATTCAATGGCAGGTGCTAATCGTGGCTTGACCGATTCCAGTCCCAAGGCCGGTTCATCTACATCTATCCTTGGAGCTGCGCATAAACATAAATCGAGTCTTCCTAACCTAGGAAGTCGGTTAGGCATTGGAGGGCGTAAGTCTAAGAAACCCTAAGTAAACTCTTGTACTTTAGCGTTGAGAATTTCGAATCGTTCGTTCACTCCATGCCTACGCTTCTTCTTGTTCTTCTGTAATTCTAGTAGATATTGTAATGGTCGGGTAGACTAGCCCCTGGAGGTTGTGGAACACACAAGGATTCAGAAGATTTTGAGATTTCTCAAAAAGCGAAGCTACAGTCCAAACATTGGATGTAATGCAGGAAAGTAGTAGTAGCATGTAAAGCTTCCAAATATGGACACCAGAGATCAAAAGACCAATATGGAACAAGAGAAAAAAAAAGAAAAGTAAAGGTAAAGTAAAAAGTTGGTTCACAGTTCACAGGGACGAAGTAAGTACTTCGGACATCCAAATCAAAAGGACAAAAACAGCTGTCCAGCTTTTGGTTTCGATCGCTGATTCATGAGTAAAAAAAAAAGAGCACCAGACACAAGATCTGATCACAAAATTCGAAATACAAAATACAAACATTCCAACGGAACAGACATGGCGACTATGCACACAAGGTCGTCAAGATCTTCGCAGGGACATGGCGCGAAGAGCAGAGCAGAGGAAAAAACCGCACAGCACAATGCTAAAGAAGAAAGCAGACCAAAGCAGAAATCCGGAGCCCCCAAAAGGAAAGGAAAAGAAAAGAAAAGAACGAGCGCCGATGCGTACACCTGGGAAACGAAGAGAAGAAAAGCGAAAGCGAAAGCGAAAGCAGGCCGTCACGCGATCAAATCAGATCAGATCAGATCAGATCGTCATGTGGCTTCGACTACCGCCAGCGCGATTCTTGTGATGTGTTCCTCCCAGATGAGCGCCAGGTTCCGGTTGATTGCTTTGAGATTGTGCTGGTGGGCGAGTTTGCGCCATTGCTGTAGACGTATTCTCCGTCGACGTATTGAGCGCCGGTGGAGAAGGTGCTGCGATGCTTGCGTCGGGCGTAGCGTTGCTCTAGGCGGTAGAGCTCGAGTTCTGTAGATGGAGAGAGAGAGATGTTAGTTTGGTATTCCTGTTTTTGTTGGTTTTGAGGGAGTTGGGTGTGTATTGTGTAGGACTGTGCTGGTGTGGAGCTAGCTAGTAGCTCCTACAATATAGGCCGGTCCCACCCACTGGGCATGGATTGGATTGAATTGAATAGCACGTACTGGCTTGTAGCTTATCGAAGAGACCCATTTTGACGGAATTTGTGAGTGATTGGATATTGAGCGAAAGGAAGTCGAAAAGGCCAAGGTAAGGAAAGGAAAGGAAAGTGATTTGATTCGAGTTCCTTCTGTCACATCCGGGAGCAGCGATTATCTCGAGTTGGAGACTGGTGATTGGATGCACGGGTCAGCGGCGGGTTCTAGATCAAGTATGTTGTATTTGTTGTTTTGATTTCGGGTGTTCCCGAGTTTGTTGACAAGAGGGTTTTTGGAGGTTTTGGATGTGTGTGTTTTTTTTTAAGCAAGTTGTTCTTTTTCTTACCTTTTCACCGAGCTTGGAGACGGCCAGTATCAGGGGAAGATGGGAAGGAAAAGAGGCAGAGGGGCGGCACGAGGAATTCCGAGCGCCAGGAACTAGTGGGTGCCACAAAATGCTGAGGGGCTTGGGGGAGACGTAAGGAGGAGGGATGACAGCTCGAATTGGATTGGCTGGATTAAATCGATTGGTGGAATTTGTCCGGAGCAAGTTCTGTAGCGCGATAAAGGAATGGAATTGGTGAATTGAATGAATGGAATAAGCTGCAGGAGCTCCAAATGTGTGGGAAAATGAGTGGATAAACAGGAAAGGAAAATAGGAACAGGAGAAGAGAAGGAGAAGGGGAGACGCTAAGATGGCACAGGGGAACTAAAATGGGACTAAAAAAGAGACTAGAACATAGTTTATAGTGGGGAAGCACGACAACGTGGGTTTAGTGGGTTTTTGGGGCTTTTTGAAACCAGTTTAGATTAAATTCAAATGGAAAAGATTTCGAAATTGCTTTTAATTTTCAACTTGACAAGACGATCGTTATTAAGCGAAAGGGAAAGAAAGCCGTTGGGAAAGCATTGGACTTTGACATCTGGAAGCTTGGATGTTCTCTCCATGCTTCCAACTGGACAACGTTATTTTACTCTTCAAAACCAATGCCCTACACATATGATTACTAGTATACTATGCAGTAACTACTATGTCCAATTTTATTAAATTCCGTTTGAATAGACGCACGGTCCCGTGAGATCCATGGTAGAACAACTTAGACTTTAAGCCTTTGGTCTAAGCATCTTATTTGAAGACGCGCTTTTCTTTTCCAAAAGGTACGTACCCACTGCAGCTGTCGGAGTAGAAATCATCATGGGCTCGAACAGATAAACATCAAATAGATAAGAGCCATTAAATACTACATACAACAAAGCTCGGTGTCAGCTACCGGGAAATCCACGTCATCAAAACTCCAAATGGGGACGAAATTGCCGGAGAATAATGGCCTTGTTTGATTGGTGGGTCCTGATTGGCTTATCGCGGGTTCTAGACTTTCTCGTTATTGCCAGATCCGGCTAAATCCCGTCGCGTTTCATCTTGCTTACTTTATACTTGACCGTAACATAACTGACTAACTAACTAGTAATATCCATGTCCAAAATGGCCTAGCTATATATTCTCACTATAGTTACTTTATTTTGTTATTGTTTGTGTCATTCCCTCTATTTCTCTATGGTCACGTGCCTATGGTTGTTTCGGCGTAATGGGTTCTTCGACTTCGGCTTCACCAGTTGTTCGCTCTTGCACTAAATTCCCTCGTTCGTCAGTATACATGGAAATCATTTTTGCAAGATTTGGGGTAATCAGGACGAAAGATTTGCAAGCGTAGTACTGACCGTTCCATAACTCCGCATAAACTCCATCCAACTCGAGAAGCTCACGGTGTGATCCTGTCTCCGCTACGTGTCCATCCTTTAGCACCAGAATCTGGTCGCTATCGCAGATCGTGCGCAACCGATGCGCCACGAACACGCTTGTACGACTCTTATCCTTCAAAATGCTGTTGATGTTCTGCAGCAAGGCCTGTTCAGTGTAGGTATCGAGGGCAGAAGTCTATAAAAAGATTAGTCCAGATCCCGACCCGCTGGGAGATGACGCAACCCAAGACATGTCATATATGTGGGGAAAGGGAAAAGAGCCAAAATAGAAAACAAAACACAACAAAACAAGGAAAATTCCAAAACAATTCAATCCACTTACTGCTTCATCGAAGAATAGAAGTTGCGGGTCTTTCAAGATCAGACGAGAGATCGCCAGTCGCTGCTTCTCGCCGCCCGAGATCATCATGCCACGCTCACCGACCTGGGTCTGGTAGCCTTCAGGCAATCCCTCAATTAGCTGGTCAATCCGGGCACGCTCGGCCGCCCGCTTCACCTCTTCATCCGTGGCATCGATGCGACCGTATCGAATGTTGTGTGCGATTGTGTCGTTGAACAGCGGCGTATCCTGAGGCACCACACCGATCGCCTTCCGGAGGCTCTCAAGCGTCACATCCCTCACATCCTGCCCGTCGATCAGGATCCGGCCCGTCTGGGTATCGTAGAAGCGGAACAGGAGGCGGAGGATCGTCGACTTGCCGCAGCCACTGGGGCCCACGATGGCGAACTTTGATCCGGCCGGGATGGTGAAGGTGGCATTCTTCAAGATCGGTCGGTCCGGGTGGTAGCCAAAGGTGACGTTCTCGAAGCGAATCTCACCACCGCGCTTTAGCTCTAGCGGCTGGGCGTTTGGTCGTTCCTGGATCGTCACGTTGACCTTTTGCAGGTTGAACAGCGTCTCCATGTCCAGCAGAGACTGGCGCAGTTCACGGTAGACGGATCCCAGGAAGTTGAGAGGTACGGAGAGCTGGAAGACTAGTTGGTTTACCATGACCAGATCGCCGACCGTCAAGGTTCCTGTCGCAACTCCGTCGGCGGCCAGGTACATCATGGCCGCTAGCGCTGTCGAGAAGATCATGTTCTGGCCAGAGTTCAAGAGGGCCAGAGAAGTGGTCACCTTAATGGACGAATCTTCGTAGTGCTTCAGGGCCTTGTCGTACCGGGCTACTTCGAACTTTTCATTGTTAAAGTACTTCACGGCCTCGTAGTTGATAAGCGAGTCAACCGCTACCGTAGCACCACGGTTATCGGCCGCATTGGCCTGGCGTCGGAACTTTGTTCTCCATGCGGTAGTGGTGATGGTGAATGCCGTATAGGCGACCATAGTGGTGGTAGTGATCGCGGCGAATTGCAGGCCATATTGGTAGGTCTATAAATGGATCAGCCGTGGTATCTATATTACTTTCTCTCTTCCATGTCACAGATCTACTTACCAAGATTCCGCACACCAAAGAGATCTCCAGCGCAGTAGGGACAACGTGGAAGACCATGGAAGTTAACAGGAAGCTGATACCCTTTGTACCACGGTCGATAGCCCGGGTCAGGCCGCCCGTCTGGCGGGAAAGATGGAAGTTGAGGTCGAGACGTAGAAGATGATCAAAGACATTGCGTGCCACCTTTCGAATAGCTTTCTGTGCGACACTCGCAAATACTGCGTTTCGAAGCTCTTGAAACAATGTCGCTCCGATTCGAGTTACGCCATCTGCAGAGGTTTGGAGTGTTAGACAGGTTATCAGTTTGGTAAAAAACTAGATTCCTTACAAGCTATGATCATTGACCCAGCGACAGTATATGCGGTTCCTCCAAGGGTAGCAAAATCGACATTCATGGAATCAACAATACTTTTGAAGTAGAAAGGGATCTCAACATTAAGGATCTAATAGTAGTGTCGTTAGTACTAGGTTCCCAAGACACCTAATTTCCAGCATGAAAACCCACCTTTGCTCCCACCAACAATGACAAAGCCGATCCAACACGAAGCTTTGTACCCCAATCGTCCTACCAGTATGGTCAGTACTTTCTCCTCGTGTGTATATGCCGACCCGAAATCGTCATTACCTTAGGCCAGAGGTATTTAGCCATTTCCCGCATAATAGCCCAGTCAGCCTTACGCTGGTCCTTGGTCGTAATCGCTGCTTCATTAAGCAATTCTTTCTTGGGGACCTTAGTTTCGGTCTCTAGTTTCGGGACCTCGATGGTATTGGCCAATTCCGGTTGTGAGGGCGGGGATCTTGCGTTGACATTGTTCTTGGATAGAGGTTCTTTATTGTCTGTAGGTTTATTTCGGAGGATAGCGCTCAAGTGGAATGTGCGTAGCTGTGTTGAAGTTGGTCTTGTGCTTGAGAAACCACCGGCGGTACGCGGATGTGCGTACAGCGCCGGGCGCCAGCACGGCGATCGAACAGCTCTAAGCAGCATGGCTGCTGACAGAAGAGCTGGCCAGAAAAGGTGGTATGATTCACCAATTTGGAGGTGCTCAGGGGAGCATAATGAAGCTCGGAGGGGAAATGGCGTGCGCAGCAGCTCCGCGCTTGCGACAGCTCGTGGGGAGTCGCCGGCTTCGGAGAAAAGCGTCGGAATTGGGAATCAGGACCCTCTGAGGATGGATCGAGGAACCAACTGGTAGAATAGAAGATAGCAGATCGGTAAGAAAAAAAAACAAATATATAAAGTAAAATTCAGGAGCAAATGAGTAAATCCAAATCCTAGATGTACCATGTAATTACTACTATAGATGAATGTCAATGTTCGTTCTCGGGACCACGATTTCCCGTGTTTCCAATCTTGAAGCTCCGAAAACTGACGTAAAGTCCCTCCGCGAACTGTGATAACCTCCAATCCACTCCCTTGGCACAATGACTCGTGCCCTCCAACGAGGTGTCCGGACTCTGTCCTGGACTCGGGTCGTTCCTCGGGTCCACCGACAGACAAGAAATGTCCAAATCCGCGCGACGCCCTCGGCAGAGCCCACGGTGAACGGCGACCATCTCCCCCTCGCCAGCACGCCGAATTCAGCAGAATCCCGCGGTACGTGGGACCATATCAAGGCGCACAAGAATCTAGACTGACATTTATCTCCGACAGATGCGCGATTCGATGTCGTTGGCGCCCCATACTCGCTCCTTTCGGTGTCTCTCTCGGCCTCGCAAAACCTATACACGCGTCGAGGAACTTTGGTGGGATTGAGCGGCAAGGCAGACAATGTATGGAGTTAAAATTTGAAACAATTGCCTGGAGAGTTGGCTTGTTGACCTTGTTTCTGTTATTCGCAGGTGGTTTCAACTTTGAGCGTTCTGGAGCCCTTCCGCAGGGCGCCTATCGGGGTGCCTTTCCTCTATCAAAAGGTGCGGCGCATATCTGGTGATTGGAGAAAATCCCTGCAAAGCGGGTAACTAATCTTTGCGCAGGTCTCTTCCGCCAGCCCCGTCACTGCGCTCATCTCGACCCGCTCTCCGACGACCTCCTTCAGCGTTGTGAATCTCAATGGCTCTGTGGATTGGATGGTGGCTCAGCGGAATGCTCTGCTGGCATGGACGGGCCGGTCTCTGTCCATCAAGCCGACTATCAATACCAACTTGGTTTGTGGTGGCCCAGGCCTGTGAATGAACCGAGCTAACTTGCAAACTTACACAGGGCTTGACGCACTGGGGTAGCTCCGAGGTGACTGGAAGAGGTTTGATTGCCTTGGTTGGCAACGGCCAGGTATACTCTGTTGAATTGAAAGACGGCGAGCAGTATATCGCTCACCCGAGGTATGTTTCTCTGCCAACTTGCGTCTATCTATACGGCGGTTGCTAATATGTTTCTATCTTAGTAACGTGCTGGCATATACCATGTCCTCCAACCCCCCACGGCCATACCGCTTCAAATCTACTACTCTCAGCTTCCAGGTACCTGGCTTGAAGACATTGCCCAGGTTGTTGCAGAACAACGAGTTCATCAAAAACGTAACCAGTGCCGGATCCTGGAAGTCTACGATGCGCTTTTTCCACAAGCTCCGAACCTGGTCTCGCATGACCATTTGGGGAGATAGGGTGAGATCGTTCATATCTGATATGTATGGTGCAAGACTATCGCTAACCAGCGCATCTCCATTTAGCTATTCATGCAATTCGATGGTCCCGCGACTGTCCTCATTCAGTCGCGCGGTCCCCGCTTGAATGACGTTCTGTCCAGCCAGGAAGTCAATGAGATCGCAGGTACCCCTCGTGGGCTCACATCTGCTCCTAGACTATTAGAGAATGAGCAGAGAGAGGCCGAGGCGCCTGGGGTGCCACACCTTACCCGCTCCGTTGAGACTGTGAACAAGGAGATCCAAGGAATCAGCCAAAGCATCGCACAGATTCGCTCCGATGGCAAGGTTGAAGTAGAGGAAGTTGGTCGCACGAAGAGCGTGTAGAAGATTATGATTTTTTGTTGATCTTGCATTTGTTTTTGGGTTTTAGATGGTTTTGAAATGGCATTTTGTATAGTATCGCAGCGCAGGTATCTCAAATCATGGCTATTTGCCCATCCAATCTTTCTTCCAATGTTTCAAATTTATCTAGTGCTTATCTTGCATGTGGCGTTGCAGGTTTGGACATGTTCATTTGAGTCATCTTTGGCTTTCGACTGAGGTAGAACGTGGCTATACGAGCTATACCGCCACATGCAAGCTTAGCATCCATTTAGACCAGTTAGATACTCGGAAACTTGCACTATTCAATACTAAGCTTGAGCAATTACAACCAGAGGTCAATGTTTTCAGTGGATGACGACGATCAGAGATAGATGATCTGCCATAAGCCACGCAACACATGGAAGTATCATTATCCACCAGGTCTCCGATTGCACTTCCCTGTTCCTCTTCAAAATCAGAATCAGAATCAGATAAAAGTGAGAGCCGGTCAATTCGGCTCATGCCGATATCTCCGGGAAGGGGAGCATTTTGTGGGTATAATAGATCCACCAAGCCCCAGAAAAGGGAAAGGATAAGGGGTGGGGGACCTGGGACCAAGCCCTACTAACCTTGGTAGGTACTTCTGTAAGCGCATACAAAGGTCTGCCAAGAGCCTCGGGATTTAGCGTTGATTATCATTGCAGCCGACCTCGGGCTTCGCTGTTTGCTGGACGCGATGGCCGAGAGTGTAAATGGTCCACGTTCCTTCACTTTTTTTTTTTCTTGCGAAGTATTTGGCTCTGTGTTACACCCTCTTTCTGCAAGACACTTCTTGCAACGTTTTTCCCACTTCTTTCAATCCATACCTGAGCTAGCTTGAAGTTCGGAGAATTGGTGTTTTTGCTTTTCTAGCTGCTTGCTTTTTAAGGTTTAAGCTCCGGTTTTGAGGCGAACTGAGGCAAGTCGTGATTTCTTGATTCCCATCTCGAATACTTGGAGCTTGGACAAGGACAGCATACTGGTCCTTTTAGCTCCACAGCGGGGATGTACCTATACTTCTAAAGATGACGCATCCTATTTGAAACATCGAACACGTCCGCTAAAACGTTTGGGTACCTTAGACTTCCAGAGCCCTGGCTTCTTTTTTTTCGAGATTGAGAGTCACCAAATCAATAACATTCGGTTCGCAATACGAGGCCACGAACAATGGCGGTGGAACACGGTCAAGATCGTAATCACCATCACGATCACGATGTCCCTTCAACTCACAGTACCCTGAACACTGAACCGTCCAACCTTTCCAATCCGGAAATTACCGAGGAAGTTCACCATGATATTGAAAAGGGAAGGTCTGCGGGCAATCAAAACCCAATCGATTCGCTCACGGAGAAATCTGATGTGCCTCAGGTGCGACCTCCTGGTCCTGGTCCACCCCCAGACGGTGGACTAGATGCTTGGATGACGGTGCTGGGGGGTTTCTGTGGATTGTTTGTCAGTTTTGGATGGATCAACTGTAAGTCTCTGCTCTCTGACATTCACATTGTACATTTGGTTGACAAGGTGAATGCGTTTTAGGTATCGGTGTCTTTCAAGCATACTATGAGAGCCACCAGCTCAGCAACATGAGCCCCAGCACGGTGGCTTGGATCACTTCCTTGGAGACCTTTGTGATGTTCTTTGCTGTTCGTTTTACATCCCACATACCAAAGCCATAGGCTATAGAACAACAAATGATCCATGAATCTGACCAACTAATCCCAATCTATAGGGCCCCGTCTTTGGATTGTTGTTCGACAATTTCGGCCCACGGTGGATTCTCCTCGGTGGCACCTTCCTCCACGTTTTCGGTCTCATGATGACATCTCTCTCCACTGAATACTACCAATTCATCCTCGCGCAAGGAATCTGCAGCCCGCTTGGCGCAAGTGCCATTTTCAACGCCTGCGTGAACTCCGTCAGCACCTGGTTCGCCAAACGCCGCGCCTTTGCGTTGGGAGTCACGGCGTCCGGATCGAGCTTGGGTGGAGTGATTTTCCCAATCATGGTCTCGCATTTAATTCCTCAAGTTGGATTCCCGTGGGCCATGAGAATCTGCGCGTTTCTGATTCTGTTCATGCTTGGGATTGCTAATGTGACCTTGAAATCACGATTGCCGCATACGAGAAAACCTGTTGATCTTATGGTCTTTGTGCACCCCTTGAAGGATATCAAGTTTGTCGTGACCGTTGCGGGCTGCTTCTGCTTCTTCTGGGGCATGTTTTTGCCGTTCACGTATGTTATCACTCAGGGCGAGCGGTATGGCATGTCATCCAATATGTCGCAGTACCTCATTCCGATCTTGAATGCGGCTAGGTAAGTCTGGTTCGGGTCTGGTGGTCGACAAATGACGGTCCACGGATATAGAGGTCAGCTCGCTAACAGATTCGTTTAGTATCTTCGGCCGTACCCTTCCAGGTTACTTAGCAGATCGCTTGGGCCGATACAACGTGATGATCGTCTTCAGTTACTTTTCTGGTATTCTGGTCTTGGCCTTGTGGCTTCCGTCCCGGGCGAATGCACCCATAATTCTGTTCAGTGCCCTGTATGGCTTTGGCTCCGGTGCATTTGTGTCGCTCGCCCCAGCACTCATTGCACAGATCTCAGATTTGCGTGAAGTCGGGGTGCGCAATGGTACTTGCTTTTCAATCATTTCCTTTGCGGCTCTCACCGGTACCCCTATCGGTGGTGCGCTGGTTCCAAACGTGCTGAAGGATTCCTATACCAGGCTGCAAATTTTTGCCGGCGTGGTCATGGTTGTTGGAGCATCCCTGTTTGTGGTTGCGAGAATCGTTGTTGGAGGAACCAAACTGGGAAAGGTATGAGATTGGGGGTCCGCATGGTACTAAGAACACAGCAGCATATCGATCATCGAAGCTGGAAACAAACCGCCTGGATTACATACAATACTAGAATAAAGGGTGATGCACCTATCTAGCGAAAAAATAAAATAAAAAACATTGCGCTGGTTTATCATGATGTTCTGAAACAGAATGTATTCAAACAAGCTCAAATGAGCCAAGAAAGAAAGAAGTAAACACAACTTAAAAGCAGCCACCTCGAACGTAAGCGACCAAAACGCCCCAGCACCGTCGCTGAAGGAAGATGCATAGAAAGAAGAATGAAAATGAGGCAAAGCACCAATATGCCCGAAGCCGCAAAAAAATGCAATCATTATACCAAAACACCGTTACGCATGTTCTCGACAGTGCGAACTCCAACACCTTTCAGAGTACTCAACTGAGCTAAGCTGGCCACTTGAAACAAAGGTTGATCTGAAACCATCTCATCATTTGCGGATGGGTCCATCTCGCAGAGGCAGTTGACAAGAGCCTCTGCCTTTTTGGCACCAACGCCCTTTAGAAGCTTGATCTGGCTCACATCCCTTGAGTTGATGATCGACAGAAGGTGCATCGTGCGAGGGGACAGAGAGCCGTTCTCGTACTCATCAAGGGTCTCAATGTCGTTTACACTCTGATCAAGGGTCTTGGATGTAACCCGCTTCTTATGCTGCCGAGTGACGGTATCTTCATCGCTTGAAAACCCCTCGTTGTCCATGTCTCTCATATATTCATCATCCACTGCTTCAACCGGACGCTTTCCCAGGATAGTGAGAGTCGGCTCTTTCTTCAGAGATAGCATGCTTCCCAGCTTTCCTTTGGGGGGAGAAGCAGGTGTGGACGACTGCCGTGATGACTTTTGAATGCGCTCCTTCAAAGCCGCAATCTTGGCGACCAGCTTCTCGTTGTGTGGGAAGTGGGGGAGTGCCAGCTGGTACATCCTCAGCGCAGAGCCGTTTTCACCACGGGCTTGATGCTGCTTGCCCATGAGCAAATAAGAAAGGCCCTCCGCTCTGTCATCCTCAGTACCCTCAATGCGCTGTTCTAGAAGCTCCAGGCGACGTTGAAGCTGGTCATTGAGTTCACGGGCTTGAGTCTGTCGCGATTGTTCGCTCATAGCCCGAACAGCCAACAGTTCCTCGACCTTCTTTTCAACCATCTCCTCAATCTTAGCAGCAGAGATATCTGCATAGCTTGATGGAGCGTGGTTTGCGGTAAGGGGCTGGCGAGGTGGTTTCAGAGAGCGCATGGCAGGCGCATCGGGAGCAAGGGAAGGTCTCTTGGGGATTTCAGATTTCCGAATCTGAGTGACAGGCTTAGGGCGATCAGAAAAGACGCTGAAAGCTTTCATTGGTTTGCCCTCGTCCTTTGCAGCTGGGTCCTTTGCGGCAGGGGCCGGCATGTTCACGTTCACAGAAGCAACGAGTGGGCGCAGTGGCTGGCGAGAGCTTGCCATTGATGGCCGAGGAGCGGGTCTGGCAGGGCCTTTGAATATCGGGTCATTCTCAATCTCTCGCACCTCGATCTTCCTTGTGCGGTTGGCCACATTCAGAGAACTGATTGTGTCCAAGTGATACGATCGGACAGGTGCCAGGTTAAGAATCATCACTGTCAACCCGTTGTTTTGGCCTAGGGACAAGATTCGCGTCATCTTCGATTCACGGTACGGAATGCGATGTTGCTTCTTGGTGATGGCCTCGACACACTGCGCAAGAACGAAGAGACTCTTGTTGATGCTGGCTGACTCCACCATCCGCTCCTTGTCATTTTCCGTCCGTCGGTTGTCTTCTGAGCCTGCAAGATCGATCGCAGAGACTGTGCTGACTCGAGTCTGGTCGGGAGAACAGATGGTAACCTTTACGCCGAGGATCGCGTGGGAACGAGACGAATGGGCGTTCAACTGGGTGCTTGGTCAGTCTCAATCCGCTTTTGCGCCGACAGTAATATACATACCTTGGTTGCAGAAGTTGAACGATTGTTGTTTGCCTGGTCATATAGGCTTTCGAACTCCTTCAAGCTGGTGCATGCTTTCTCGGTAAGCCCGCAAACCACGGTCTTGCCGCCGTTGTCGCGCAAAGGAAGTCCTGCCAGGGTGCGCTTCTCTGGTGGCTCGAACAAATCGTAGACCTTGTCGTTGTATATTTCGTAGTAGCTGAGGGCCACTTCAACCGTCGTTTCGCCGTTGGTATCCTTCTCCATCTTCCGGCTTTTTCGGTAGATACCGCTCAGGAGTCGTGGGATGACACCTCGGTCCGCGAGGCTTTTACCGCCGCGCATTGTGTGTGTTTTTCCGGTTCCAGTGACGCCGTATGCGAAGAGGGTCACGTCAAATCCATTGAATAGGTGCTTGATCGTGGGCGCAACTATCAATACAGGGTCAGTATGGATCATTTCGCCCAAATGGCGGTGACCTCAAATCCCCCTTTTGAAGAACTCACCCTCGGCATCGAATAGCTCTTGCTGTGCCACGTCGGAATCATACACCGCGTTGAATTGAAAGGTGTACTCCTCGCCCTCATTCTTGGGGTTTGGGATCCGTACCACGTTGTCCCTGTCCCTCAATGCTGCCAACTTGCGGTCGCCGTTGGCGGACTGCTTAGGATCCGGGGCGGCGGCGGATGCCCCAGTGCGAAGAATAATATCCAATTCCCTTTCAGCCTTCAGAAGAGGTCTGACTCGTGCGACGACTCGAACACTCATGTTGCTGGCTCAATGCATGCACGTTTCTTGAAGGTGCGGTTATCGGTACGAATTGCTGCAGGCTGGATTCCGAAGTGTTGACCGAAGAGCAAATGGAACCAAAAGGTAAAAACCCAATCCTCCCTTCAAAAAACACAATAGCGAAGAAATGGTTCAAAAAAATGAAAAAGGAAACGAAAAAAAAAACTACCTAAATACCTACCTACCGTGAGGGGACGCAATGATTGAGAGGGTAGAATAGTGTGGAGTTCGTAAGGTGAAAAGACATCGCGTTTGTTTAGTGTTGACCGGGCAACGCGCCTCGACACCCATGGACTATGACCTGGTTGCACACATTCTTGCCATCCAGGGAGATTAGTAGTTATACAAAGCTGATCTGAGATCTATCTAGGAAATTGATGAGCAGAACTGATAAAGAGGAAGGAATATACTACCATACATATATTATTAAGGATCGTCTAAGTGCACAGGCCACTGAGTAGCCAAGTAGTGTTATGGCGTGCGCCCGAGCCGCTAACCCATCACCAGTTGACACCCGGCAGTATACTCGGTGATTCCCAGCTGACTATCCGGTGCTATCTCCATATATCTTCAAATGTTCTATATTACGCTTTCGATTTGTCTGTAACTAGATACATTGTACCAGGCATCTATGTAGCTTCAAAGCACTTGAGGGTACATGTACGTACACATGTGCATACTGAAACATAACCTGAAGGTTGCGAATCTCGGATGCAAACACGTATGTATACATACACACTTAGTATGTATATGTATCTGGCATGGCAAAAACCAAGTGGCCTCAAACACGAGGTCTCGGGATGCAAATGTTGGTTATGCCCTGGTGTCAATGTATATAAAATTTCAACAGTGAAATAGCCATCTAGTTTAAGGCATTGTCATTTAAATTTGAATGTTGAATCCAAAACAAAAACTTCCAAATGGTCCTGTCTGTGTACATTGTCTCCCCTACTGTAAGCTCCGCCGTCTCGTGATTGGCTGAACTGCCGCAACCTAAAGGCCACCGTACACCACCAACTCCATCACCGCTTCTCTGTGTTCGATTCCACTCGTGTCTTCGTCCTGGTACGTCTCTCCCTTGTTTGTGACTCGCTGCAGCTGTGTTGGATAAACCATATATATCCATTTTGTGCTGCTTGAATTCACGTTCAAAATCTAATTGTGGGGTTCTAGGTAGCGAAGCTGTCACCCGCATCCCCTCCCCGTATCAACCGAGCCACACCCCCCGGATCTTACTCCCTACAGCCTCTTTCCTGCTCCCCATCCACCCCGAAGAACTAAGCTTCGATACAAACGACCTCCGTCTACCTTAATGGCAGCTCCACAAGGGGGTTACCCTCCCCAGGAAGGGTACGCCCAACCAGGCTATGGCTCACCGGATCCCGCACAACAGCAACAGGAAGCCCCCCAACAGGGACACCTAGCTGCAGCTGGAAAGAAGAAGCGAGCATACGCTGGCCAAGCATTTGAGTTTGGTGCAGGTGCCAATGCTGCGCTTGGAGGACAACCCGTCGCTGGAGGCGCCTACGACGCCTACCCTCAGCAACCCCAACCCATGGGATACCAGCAACCCGCATACGGTGCAGACCCATCCCAGATGCAACAGCCACTGGCACCTGCTCCGGATGTTGCACAAATGACCAACCAATTCGGTGGAATGGGTATGGCCGAGCCGCACCACATGCCTCCCCCCAGCAACCCACCGCTCAGCCTCAGCGCAACGTTCAACTGAATCAGCTCTACCCCACGGATCTCATTTCGCAACCCTTCAATGTCGCAGAATTGGATTACCCCCCTCCTCCCATTATTCTGCCCCCCGGGGTACGTCTTCCAGTCTCAATAAGTTGACCTTGATCGGAAATACTAATAACCCACAGACCAGTGTTTACCCATCCCCCACGGCCAACTGCCCCACAAAATATATGCGATCGACCTTGAATGCAGTTCCGACAAATAACTCCCTCCTTAAGAAGTCCAAGCTGCCCTTCGCTCTGGTCATTCAGCCCTATGGCGCACTCCACGACTCAGAGGACCCCATTCCTGTGATCCCCGACCAGGTTATCTCACGATGCAGACGCTGTCGCTCTTACATCAACCCATTCGTCACTTTCCTCGATCACGGCCACCGCTGGCGTTGCAATATGTGCAACCTTACCAACGATGTACCACAGGCATTTGATTGGGACTCGACTTTGCAGAAGCCCGCAGACCGTTCTTTGCGTGCCGACTTGAACCACAGCATGGTCGAGTTTGTTGCTCCTCAAGAATACATGGTCCGCCCCCCTCAACCACTCGTATACCTTTTCCTGCTCGATGTCAGCTATTCTTCCGTGGCCAGTGGTCTGTTGGCCACCACTGCACGCTGCATTAAAGAGAGTCTTGATCGCATTCCAAATGCAGACCGACGAACCCGCCTTGGTTTTATCGCAGTCGACTCCAGCCTGCACTACTTCAGCATTCCCCGAGATGGCTCTGAAAGCTCTGATGCCCGTATGCTGGTTGTCAGCGACCTCGATGAGCCTTTCCTGCCCATCCCTACCGACCTTTTGGTGACACTTAGCGAATGCCGGGAGAACGTGGAGACTTTCCTCGATAAGTTGCAGGAGATGTTCCAAAACACCCAGAACAACAACTGCGCCATGGGATCGGCTCTGCGGGCTGGTTACCAGTTGATCTCCCCCGTGGGTGGTAAGGTCATCGTTCTGAGTGCGTCGCTTCCTAACATTGGTCACGGTGCTCTTACCATGCGTGAGGACAAGAAGGTGCTCGGTACGAGCAAAGAATCGAGTCTTCTCCAAACGGGCAACTCTTTCTACAAGAGCTTTGCCGTCGAATGCTCCAAAGCCCAAGTATCGGTGGATATGTTCCTTTTCTCCTCCCAATACCAGGATGTTGCCTCATTAAGCAACTTGCCTCGTTACACTGGTGGTCAGACTTACTTCTACCCCGGATGGAGTGCTGCACGAAAGGAGGATGCTATCAAGTTCGCACGCGAGTTCTCCGACCACCTGTCATCCGAAATCGGATTGGAGGCTGTTCTCCGTGTTCGTGCCACTACTGGTCTCCGCATGAGCACCTTCTACGGAAACTTCTTCAACCGCAGCTCCGATCTCTGTGCTTTCCCAGCTTTCCCCCGTGACCAGGCTTACGTTGTTGAGGTGGCTATCGATGAGACAGTGACCAAGCCAGTGGTGTGCCTGCAGGCCGCCGTTCTTCACACCACCTGCAATGGCGAGCGTCGGATTCGTGTCCTTACGCTGGCACTCCCCACTACTCAGAACCTGGCCGATATTTACGCCTCAGCCGACCAGCAAGCCGTGGCAACCTTCTTCAGCCACAAGGCTGTTGAGCGTACTTTGAGCAGTGGTCTTGAGCCGGCTCGTGAGGCTCTACAGGCTAAGGTTATCGAGCTTTTGACCACCTACCGCAAAGAACTTGCCGGTGGTAGTGTGAGCGGCGGTGGTCTCCAGTTCCCAGCCAACCTCCGCGGTCTGCCCGTCTTGTTCCTTTCCATGATCAAGAATGTGAGTATTGATAATCCACCTATGATATTTCCGCTTGTCTTCAATGCTAACTGAACTCCGTCTCTAGCTCGGTCTTCGCAAGTCTGCCCAGATTCCGACGGACATGCGGTCTGCCGCATTGTGTCTCTTGTCGACTCTGCCCCTGCCCCTTCTCATCCAATACATTTACCCTAAGATGTACTCCCTACATGACATGCCCGACGCTGCGGGTGTACCGGACCCCCAGACCGGAGAGATCATTCTTCCCCCCGCAATCAACCTGTCCTCTCAGCGTCTCGCCGCGTACGGTCTATACCTGATCGACGACGGACAGACCCAGTTCTTGTGGGTCGGCCGCGATGCGGTGCCCCAACTGATTGAGGATGTGTTCGGTGTGCCCGACCGTGGTCAGTTGCGGGTGGGCAAGCAGATCCTGCCGGAGATTGAAAACGAGTTCAGCCAACGGTTGCGCGCTGTAGTGGAGAAGAGCCGAGACCACCGGTCCAAGGGTGCTGGCAGTATTATTGTGCCTCACCTGTACGTGGTGCGTGAGGATGGTGAGCCTGGCCTCCGTCTTTGGGCGCAGACGATGTTGGTGGAGGATCGGGCGGATCAGAGTGTGAGCTTGGATCAGTGGATGACCACTCTTCGGGAGAAGGTATGATGATCTCTGAGTTGAACATTCCTTGCGATTCTCCTTGACTTCATATACTGATTCTATATGTCTCGTATAGGTTGTGCAATAAATGCCAAGCCCTTTGTAGAGTTTTTTTCACCATGTCCTTTTTTTTTTTCCCTCATGAATCCCATGTTTCCTCTTTCCTCTTTCCTCTTTCCCCTTTTTCCTTTTTTTTTTATTCCTTTTTTTACACTATGATTTGTGATGCTCGGTCTTTTCGCCTGTACCACTAGGGAGGCTTGGAATCTCTGTTCAATGGCGGGCACATTTATGTTTGGGATCCCAGTAGACTATTTTGGGAAGAAAGCGCGTGAGTATAGGACAAGTTGAGTTCCTTTTTTTTTTCTTTCTCCCTCACTCTTCCTTTTGAAGCCTGATTTTGCTTTCTTTTTGTGAGATTGGAGAGACGTTTCAGAAAAATCCCAAGGTTCTTATTGCTGTATTACTTGTTTCGTGTTCTTGAGAAATTTAGTCGCCCGCCTGATCTACAAGCCAATGGGATAGCGTGTTTGGGAGTGAAACCTGGGCGGAATACGCGGCGGCCCAATCAAAAAGGTCGAGTGGAGTTTGTGATTGTGATCAAGTTCCGACAGTAGCGTATGTGCAAGTGACGGAGGGGGATTTGGCGCTGGTGGCTGTGATGGAAACTATTGAGCTTTGGGATGTTGAAGTGATTTTTCTGAGCTATAGACTAGTAGCTAGCAGGTACTTCAAGGTTGTTTTAGAAGTTGAAATTATTCACATATTCACATATTGAAAGGAACCAAGGATCCAAAGGCTAGTTCCAGATGTCTGGAGTAACAACCCCTAACATTTGAACTGAACTTGATAGATCCCAAGTAAGACCATTGAGAATCTATACCCAGCTAGGCTGATCTATTGAATTAAATAGATTTATAGTTCATAATCCGGCCCCCCTAATAGCCATTCACTCAACTTCATATATAAATAGTCTGAATTTCTCATAATTCTCGTCTCCTATTGAGCTTCCTGCCCCACCATAACTTGACGGCCCGTGAGTCCCGCTGATTCCTCTGTTTCTCGTCTCCCCACCTTTCTTGAAACTCACCTTCTCCCCTTCATCTTTCTTAGCTCTGTAAGTTTCTCTGCAAATTTCTCTGCAAATTTCTGTCTCTGTGAGTTGAGGTTCTGTGGTGCGATCGCGGGAAACTCTTGAGGAACCCCGCCTCGGCACGGCTGCATGACTGCTCAACTGCCATGTCGCAAGCGTAACTAACACACCTCTCAGAAACCTCCCGAAACATTCGTCTTGGTGATTCACCTGCTCCCGATACCTTCCCCCTTTTCTTCGCCTTTCTTCACCGATAAATCTACATTTGTATCTCTCTATCTCGCCGTTGTTTGCTACCCTATCCCAAGCACTGCCCAGGGGAGATTTTGCGAAACTCCCACGCATCTTAAGGGGCCACGGCTCACAGTCACACACGCAGCGCAAATAAAGTGTAAGCTTACCTCCTGGCTTTGTTTCCCGCAGTTTCTTTGTGTGGTGCAGCGCTTATCACCTTGGTGGTTTGTTTGTCAACGAATCGAGTTTGAGCTGTTTTGAGCTGTTTTGAGCGGATGTAATAATACTTGAGCTTTGCAGCCGACTCATTCAGACTTACGGATTAGCGCTTGATTGGTCTCTGTATTGATCATAGATCAGCAGCTCCGCGCTCTGTTTTTTTACTTTCCCCGCATCTGGATCCTAAAGCTAACCGGCAACAGCAACATGGGTCAGCAACCCCCAGTGGGCGGGTCGCGGAAGATCTCTTTCAATGTCTCCGACCAATATGAAATCCAGGATGTCATCGGAGAAGGTGCTTATGGTGTGGTCTGGTGAGTGCTGCTGTTTTGCGTTGATCATGAGGGGGAACCAATTGAAGCTTATACTGTGTAGCTCCGCCATCCACAAGCCGTCCAGCCAGAAGGTTGCCATCAAGAAGATTACCCCTTTCGACCACTCCATGTTCTGTCTGCGTACCTTGCGTGAGATGAAGCTGCTGCGGTACTTTAATCATGAGAATATCATCTCCATCTTGGATATTCAAAGACCTCGCAACTACGAAGCCTTCAGCGAAGTGTACTTGATTCAGGTATGCAGCAGAAAAGAAAAGAAGAAAAAAGCGACGGATTCCGGAATCTCCTGGGATACTGCAAGTACTTGATCAGCTAACCCCCACACGCAGGAGCTGATGGAAACCGACATGCACCGCGTCATTCGCACACAAGAGCTATCGGACGATCATTGCCAATACTTCATCTACCAGACCCTGCGCGCACTCAAGGCCATGCACTCCGCCAATGTTCTTCACCGTGACTTGAAGCCCTCCAATCTCCTGCTGAACGCCAACTGTGATTTGAAAGTGTGCGATTTTGGTCTGGCGCGATCGGCCGCCTCCACCGACGACAATTCGGGTTTCATGACGGAATATGTGGCCACTCGTTGGTACCGTGCGCCGGAAATCATGTTGACATTCAAGGAATACACCAAAGCCATTGACGTCTGGAGTGTCGGATGTATTCTGGCCGAGATGCTGAGCGGGAAGCCTCTCTTCCCCGGAAAGGATTGTACGTTGAGTCTTGAGTCTTGAATCGTGATTTCTTTTATGGAGCAATCGCAACTAACCGCCACGCTACAACTGCAGATCACCACCAGTTGACCCTTATCCTGGACGTTCTTGGTACGCCTACCATGGAAGATTACTACGGCATCAAGTCACGACGAGCTCGCGAGTACATCCGCTCCCTCCCATTTAAGAAGAAGATTCCCTTCCGCGCCCTCTTCCCCAAGAGCAACGATTCAGCCTTGGATCTTCTCGAGAAACTATTGGCCTTTAACCCGGCCAAGCGCATAACTGTCGAGGACGCCCTGCGCCACCCATATCTCGAACCCTACCACGACCCGGATGATGAGCCAACCGCGCCTCCAATCCCAGATGGATTCTTTGATTTCGACAAGAACAAGGATGTGCTGAGCAAAGAACAGTTGAAGAGTGCGTATTTCCATGTTTTCCAAACCCCCCCCCTCACTTGAGCATACACAGTTGACTAACCTCTGCACCAGTCCTGATCTACGAGGAGATCATGCGGTAGGCTGAGAACGACCTGGTTCAATTTTTTTTATTATCGAGCATGCAATTATTCCAACCCGCGTGGAGCATTGGGAACTTCTTGAGATTAGAGAGCAAAGCACTTGAAAAATACGAAAAATCTATGTCAACGATTCATTCAATTGCGATTCCTTTTCTTTCTACGTCACATCCATAGTATATACATCGAACGATTCCAAGTTTTTACAAACAGTATATAGTACTAAGTATACTGTATGAGCATCGAAAGCTCCACACAGTGCATCTATATACCCCTCCGCCCCTCCACAAACTTCCTAATGCCCTCCAAAACGCCCTGAGGACTAGGCTTCTCCGCACAAACATCCGCCTCAAAACCAAACGTACCACGCAGATAATCGCGCGTCGTAGGTCCAATAGTCGCCACAAAAACCCTACGCCCACCTCCACCCGTCTTCGCAAACGGGCCCAGCCCCAAAACCCTCAGCATAGCCTCACACCCCGACGGCGAGAACACGACCACCCACGGCTCCTGGGACGCGGAGGGATCCCGCACGCACCGCTGCACAGCAGCCTCAAAGTCGCGTTCGAACGACTCCATTTCCCCGGTCTCGTAGACTACTATCTCGTCGACGGGGATGCGGGCTTCGGCTAGAGAGGGCGCCATGAGGGTTTTGGGGATGATATCGCGGCGCTGTTCGCCGACTAGGAAGAGGAGGCCTGGTTTGTTTGTGTTTGTGGCTGTGGCTGTGGCGCGGGGGTGCAGCGCGTTGTAGTGGTCCAGCATCAGGTAGGCGAGGTTCTCGCCTGTTCCTGCGTCTGCGCCGTGGATTGTGGCGGATGGGAGGTGTTTGTCGCGGAGGGTGGTTAAGGTGCGGGCTGTGGCGGGGCCGACGGTGTAGAGGGGGAATGGGGCGGTGGTGGATGGTGGGGGGAGGGGGACTGCCAGATAGACGAAGAAGAAAAGGGAGTGAGTTTGGGATTCTTTAGGTATTTTGGAAGCTTGGAAGGTGTTGCGACTTACGACCATCTCGCTCGATCATGGCTGCGAATCCCTCGACGGCGCGCTGGCTGGTGAAGATCATGCCGCCGTATTTCTTGGGCTGGGTGCTCTCGGTTTCAGTGGGGGTGGATTCATCTTGGGCGGCGATGTTTGTGTCGGCATTGGCTTTGGCGTTGGCATTGGCGTGAGCGTTGTCCAGCTCGAATGCGCCGGATGCGAACAGGTCCCGCACTTGAGCGAGGTTGTTGGTGTTGAAGCGGTGTTCTAGGACGGGGACGAAGGAGGGGTCGTAGCCCTGTGTTGAGAGGAAATCGTCATAACCATCGTGAGGGGATGACCTGGTCTTCAGCAGGAGTATGGGTGTTTTTGAGGGCATTGTGAGATTTGAGTCAAAGGGAAGAAAGTTGGATGTCGATTTTCTATGTTATCGCGAATCGCGATTGCGGGGCGCACTATATGGGGTAGACCACTTATCTACACGTTATTAGTATACGGCCTGTAAATAGCTCGAGGGCTCAACCTACTACCTACTAGTAGTAGGTAGCGCTACAAAATTATTCCTTATATCTAATAGATTCCAGACAACACAAGGAAATTGAAATTTGAGTCTAGGAAGGGGCTTATTTACACATTAAAAACACAAACTACTGGTCGTCCAGCACGTGCACGTACTTCTTCTCCTCGCGCTTCTCACGCTCCGTGGCTGGGGGAAGATCGTAGTAGGAGGCGCTACGGTACATTTGCTAGGATGTATATTAGTACAATGCTATAGAGCTTCTTGAAGTTGAATGGGACATACCAAGTAGTGGAAGGTCAGATCGGCAAGATCAGCCAGATCAGCCTGGGGGATACCGAGATCCTTGAAGGTCTTGGCTGTCGGGTCGATCACCTGGTCGTGGAACTCACGCTCCACCTCATCGGCGGAGATGGTGGGCCACCAGAGGTATTTGTTGAGGTTGTAAGCGAAGGGCTTGAGGATAGCCTTGGGGATGTTCAAGTGGCGGCGCTTCTTGACAATTTCTCGGTCAACGAGCTCGGCGATCTCGGCGGTAGAGTAGTTCTTGGGGCCGTAAAGCTCGTAAGTCTGTCCAACACTGCTGTCGTCGTGCAGCATAACCTCAAGAGCCTTGCCAACATCGATGGCCTGTAGGATAAAATTAGTTGGAGAGCATTCCTGGAGGAGAGAGGGGCACAAGACATACGTGAACAGGCCAGAAGCGCTCCTGCATGTGGTTGGCAGTGAACAGGTTGGTCACACCAGCAAGCTTGTGAAGAAGGTTGTCCTCGAAACCGAACATCGGGGCGGGTCGCACGATGGTGGTCTCGGGGTAAATGGAACGAACGACCTCCTCACCCCAGCCCTAATTATATGTCTTAGCAAATTTGCAGTTAATAGACGCATTGATCATATATCAAAACCAACCTTGCTAGAGAAGTACTCAGAAGATGAGTCACGGCTGGCGTTGTAGGAGGAAACGTGGATGAAGCGGTCGACATCGTACTTGGCGGCGGCCTCGACAATGCGCTCGGTGCCGTCCACGTGGACATCGGTATAGGAGAAGTTCCTGGAATGAGGTCAATTGACCGTTCTTTGACGCTCTCTGCAACTCTTCTGGCACTTACTTGGTGGGATATTGGCGACCAACAAGGTTGTAAACGACATCGGAGTGGCGGACGCTCTCCTCGATGGACTGAGTATTGCGCAAGTCGTATTCCTGGAAATCGTTAGACCTGGCCCATTGACTGCGGGTTATAGAGAGAGCTCCATACAATAAAGCTGATACGGCCGAGATCACCAGTGACCTTCAAGTGACGCTTGGCCATCTCCTCACGGTAGGGGATCACGACGTTGCATCCCTGCTTAGCTGCGGGATGTTAGTTTGACCATTGCTCATACACAGGAAGTCAATTCTTGGACCTACCGAGGCGGTTGACAATGTAGCGACCCAAGAAACCAGTGGCGCCAAAGACGGTCGCGGTGTAACCTATCGGGGAGAGGTGAGCATATTGGATGGAGACCGGGGTGGTGGGAGCGCGGGTAAGATACCTCCGAGGGACGAGCTGAGAGTAATAGAGATTAGCAATAATCCACTATGAGAGGTGCAATTGAGTACTTACCGGCCACCTTGGACCTTCAGAATGGGCTTTCCGGTGCGGGTGATAGCGACATCCTGGAGGTTGCGGCGCTGGAAGTGGACGGAGACGCGCGGGGCCGGGGCGAATGCCCGGGAACCCAGGGTTGAGTTGAAAGCCCGGGATTTCTGCATGGTCTCTGATAGAGCAGATCAGAGGAGACCAGCGGGGAGGAGGATAGAGTGGAGTGGGGGATGGGAGGGATTGGAGGTCCTTGGAGTTGATGGACTTGCATTTCGCAGGTTCGGCACGGGACTAGGACGCTAGTCCGGATTTGGAAGAGTCGAGCATCACTTCTCCAAGAGTATACTTGGATCTTAAGGAGTTTTGGATATTATGAAGACTTGTATCTATTTAAATAATCTATAGCTATAATTTATTCTTATCATTTTGAATCATTTGTGACTTGAAATGTATCCTTTGTAATTGCAGCTGTCTGCCCTCCAACGGGTTCTGACAATTCGCCCACTCTGATTGGATATGTGCCCGCACTCCGTCACTGGTCCTCTTCGATGTCCACCATAACCGCTTTAGCTACTATAAACTCGTTGGTGGGACTGTGTTCAACCAAGCGATATTTTTTTTTGAAGGCTGTGATGGTTTATTTATATGCGGCAAACTGTACATGGTGAAGAGTTTAGCTGTCAGCTTAGAGCAATGTAGATTTGAAGTAACTCAAGTGACATAATACTGGTAACTAGTTACCAAGACATCAATACTAGTAATGATGAGTTTGAACTGTAATTTGAATGATAAAGCTCAATCAAGTCATAACATTGAACGATCTTGTACTTTACACCTGGCAGCTTTCAAACATACAGGCTACATATCAAATTGGTCATTAACATTTGAACAATATGTCCTCTTTCATTATTACTTGTGTGCTGTGGAACAGGTGCTGGATGAATGGATATGTACAGTAGGCTTCGAAAATAATTTCACCTTTTTACATTCGGGTGTGGCATGGAGATTCCTATATTGCAAGAGCAATTGATGATTAGAAGAAAAATTTAGGTAGGGGGTTGATGTAGGATACAACTTACAAGGCCCGGTGCAGGGTAACTTGGTGTGTGTACGTACATAGTGCGTGTTGGCAGATTTATGTGGCGTTAAGCACACGGCCCACTCGGCTTAATCACACGGCCCAGAGTGCCAGAACTGCCTCAATTTTGGAGCAAAAAGAAAATTTAAAAAGAAGAGCATAAGCTGAAGTGTAGAACGAAGATGATATCAAAAAAAAATAAAACAATACAACGACAGCTGTGTCGCGGTGTGTATCCAAAGATTGTATAGAGGAGTATTGTGGGCAAACCACGGCCATCTCTGGTAAAAGGCAAGAAATGGGTTCTGCACTAGCCTGTCCCGCTCCTCAAAATTTCCTTCTAATTTAGTAAGATATACTACCATCTTAGCCTCCAGGTCCCGCGTTCGATTCCCCCAAACGCCTTTATTTTACATTTCTTTTTTTTCCTTTCCAAGTTCCCACCCCGCATTCGATGACTTCAGCTTGATCATCTGAACGTCAGAATTGGAGAAGTTCACCTTCCATTGTACTCGAATTTTCAAAAAAAAATTAATTGAATTACCAGTCCAATTAATATGTCCTCCGCCGCCTGTATCTTCTGCAAGATCATTAAGGGTCAGTCTCTTATTATCTATGAGTCCATAGCTCATCAAAACACCCCTCTTCAAGACTGCCACCAAGTCCTGTCCACAGCTCTAACACGTATTTTATACAGGTGATATCCCTTCCTTCAAGCTCTTTGAGAGTGACAAGGTTTTCGCCTTCTTGGACATCCAGCCGCTGAGCCGTGGCCATGCGGTGAGTGCTTGCTGCTTTGTGTTCCCCCGCACCAGACGCGACCGCAGCCATGATCTCGAGTCCCAGCCTCTATACGTCCAATCAATGCAATACTAGGTTGAATTGTCCAATTATTCATTGAAAGCCTGGAGTGAAGAACTGCAATAAAGCGCGACATTTCGCTGACAAGACATAATAGCTCGTGATCCCCAAGTTCCACGGCGCCAAGCTCACTGATATCCCCGACGAGGACCTGCTGGAGATTCTGGTGAGTGAACTTCTCAAAAGGCATTCATAGAAAAGGGGGAAGATATGGAAAGATGGAACCCGTGGAGGGGAAGTTCTAGGTTGGAGAACTTCGAGTCCACGGGGTCTGTCTAGTCCAACCCCCAAGGTCCCTGGACGACCGGGCTAACCCAGTTTCGGCTTTACATAGCCCGTCGCGAAGAAAATTGCCAAGGCCAGTGGTGCGACCGACTTCAACATCTTGCAGAATAACGGTCGTATTGCGCACCAGGTCGTTGACCATGTGAGTTGATACCGCTCCCTTACAAGAAGATGGCATTTATTGACAATTATGGTTACACAGGTCCACTTCCACATGGTAAGGCTTATTCGCACTGGCTATTGGTTTCATCTTGAATTTCCCTCCATAAGTACTGACCTTTAATTTGCACAGATCCCCAAGCCCAATGAGCAAGAAGGTATGTCCATTGGCTGGCCCACTCAGGCCACTGACATGGACAAGTTGAAGGCTCTGCACGAGGAGCTCAAGGCTAAGATGTAAATGTTGGCTTTTGCGTCTTAGATAGTAGGCCCCCTGCATGAATGGCATTGATGAATCCATCCAAGCCTCTCCTTGTGCTTCAGCACGACTTCAAACAAAAAGGTGATAGTACATCAATGGGATGTCATTCAATTCCTGGTATGATCAATGTATTCACTTTTCGCAAGAAATTAATGGCTTCCTTCGTATCTTCTCTACATAAGGTGATGGGGTCAAACAAAGCCCAAGTTTGTGTACATACAATCCATGCACATCCCGCCTTATCTCTAATAAGATCAACAGTACAGGCCCAAAAGTCAATTAAACAGTATGCCACAAAAGTCCGAGTCAAGCAATGCAATTTATACTGCCCCTGCACCGATTTGTTCGGCCGAGGCTTTTTCCTGGTCCGCCTTTGCAGCATCGGGATAGAATTCAATCTTTCCGTGGCCCTGGACAATGTTGAGGCGGTCATACAAGGAGCGAGCCCGGATGTATGGGTCGAGTTCCCAGTACTGCTTCCGGAGTTTGTCGATCAAAGACGCACGCTTCTCCTCCGCGATGGATAGAGCTGCAGACTCCTTCTTGGCGGCAGCTCGGATCCATTCAATTGTAACATCTTGGATGTCCTTGGCGAGTTCCTGGCGCTCGGCTATCAATTTGTCGCGAGTTTCAGTATCCTCCATCAGTTTGTTCTCCCCCTCCTGAACTTCGGTATACTTATACTCCCAGTTTTCGTCACCCTCCAGCTCTTTCATGATTTGACCGGGAGGGATGATAGCCTCCAAATCATGGCGGTTCTTGGTGAAGTGAATCTTGGCGGCAACGACAGGGTCCAACCAGCCCTTGATAATACTCCAGATGCCTATGATCCTTGTTAGTGTGAGCGGCATTTAAAATGGACTCAGGGGACAAACTGGAGAAGAGCCACGGCGCCTTGTGGATGAGAACAGTTCCCAGGGATTCGGGATAGTTGGCTTCGAAGCACTTGATCATGAACTTCACTGGAGCATAGTCCTGATAGGAGACGAGAGTTTAGTATATAATCATTGCGTCAGCTAGACGATGAAACTCACCATGTTGGATATGGAAAAGTCGGTCATATCAAAGATGATAGTCTATTGTTTGTTAGATCAGGAAAGCACAAGACCACCGAAGAAGGCGCGCTTACCGCAGTCTCGACCGGAGGGGCAAGAAGCAACCGGGCTGTCTCAATTGTGTAGACAGTGAACCGCTCCAGACCTTCAGCATCCTGCTCAGATTGCCTGTGCAATCGCACACGGACCACACAAATAGGACGACCATTTCGGTCTACACCGTGGAGGAAACTCTTGCCCTTGCGCATCTGGAACAAGAAATCCTCACCCTTCTTCTTCTCTGCGGGATCGGAGCCTTGCGACTGCTTCAGAGCGAATGCCTCTCCATTAGCCATGATGTCGTCATCCACATGCACTTCCTGCAAGCGCCAGCGCATGGTGGAGATCAGCATGACCAAGGCCTTCTGGATATCCCACTTGCGAGCGCGCAGGAACCGCAGAAGCAGTCCATCCGGGTGATCATGCTTCACCATGTTCCAGAAAGCAGTGCGGATCTCTTCGGGTTTCATATCCTTCAGCGCCTGCTGGAATTCCTTAGATTGGCCGTATTTATCATCGCCCTCGGCGATGCTGATGGCCGCTACGCTCGAGTTGACGCCGCTGGCCGACGAAACGCTCTTAGAGTCGTCGCCATCTTCCTCGGTACTGCGGCCGAATAGTCCCCACCCGCGACGCTTGGAGGACTTCTTGTCCGAGCCAGAGGGAGTAGCTTCACCGGAGGCGACATTGGATGTGGCTTCTAGGGTGTCGAGCGGCACGCCGAAGACCTTTAGGCATAGAACCCAGAATTCCCGTAGTTTGACCTCCTGTTCTGGAGTCAGGGTCCCAACGGTGCCCGGGGCTGGTTCGATAGGCATGGCTTTGAGAGTATCGATGACGCTGAGGAAAGGGTCTTGGCCGTTCGGAGGCAGCCGGGGTTGCAGCGGGCGCGGGAAATCGGATGGGTAGATGTATTGGTAGAGCCAAGCACCTCCTCCAACTGTAAGGAGAGTGGTTGCGATCCAAAAGGATGAGGTCTCTCTTGGTTGCTGTGGTCGAGATGTGGAGTAGGGTCTCGCGAGTGGATGGGACTGGAGGCGCGAGCCGTTAGAGATAATCCGTGCGCGCTGGGGAATGGATTCGGCCGAGGAATGAAGGCGACGGCGGAGAATTGAGCTAGCCAGCATATGGCAGGAGGGAAAAAGATGGAGAATTGGGCAATTGAGTAAGTATACTCGGTTAAGGGAAACAGATAAGAGCCCTGCGTGGTAAGACACGAGACCAATTGGGGCGGAGTTCAAGTGGATTTCGAGAAAAGCAGGAATCTCGACGATCGCATGCGGGGAATAATGGCAGCCAAAGAATTGATTATAGAATATAGACGCTTAAAGCTTCATTGTCAAGTGCCCCGGCAATGTTGACGAGCGTATATAAGGTAAATCTAGTAGATGCCAAATGTACTACTACTACTATGCATACTATGATGCCAAGTGCCACGTTGAATTCCTACATATGATACTGAATAGTCGTCAATGAAGTCATCCCATCCCACTTAGTTAACTCAATCTTACTCCGAAACTCTCAGACATAGAAGTAGTTCATTTAGTCAAGGATCAACTTTAAACTGCCAAACCTATCAAAAAGCCCGATTCCACTTAATTGCTTTTTTTTTTTCTCCCATTAAGTTGTTTGCGATTCGAGATGTAGACCTTCTTATCGGGCCCCACCGCCTTCGTGATCCGAAATCAAAACAAAATAACAAGAATAACTTCATTTCCCCTCTATTCTCCATTCAACACATCATGGACGGCTATGTACCTCGATCGACCTCACGGCCAAGGCCTTCCTCCCGCCCAACTACCCCTCTACGACCCAGCTCCCGCTCTTCCCTCCGAGAAGCCCACGGCTACGGAAATAGCATTAGCAATGCCGGATACACTCAACCCGCGATTAATGCCCTAGAGCCGCAGTTTGCGGAGCTTGCCGACTCTATGGCAGACTTGGAGGCCAACTTCATGCATCTCCAGCTAATGCATGAGAGCCTAACGCGCTTCAGCGATAGCTTCGCCAGTTTCCTGTACGGCTTGAATATGAATGCGTTCTGCGTGGATTTCCCCGAGGTATGAAACCAATGCGATTGGAAGCGCGTGGTCGATATTATGTTCAGATCAATTAATTATAGAAAACAGGCCCCAATTGCGGATTCTTTCCGGAGAGCGAAACAGGCAGAGGAAGAAAAAGGTAGGGCATGAAGTCCCCCCATTACGGTTTAGGGTTTCAACCTAACACCAAAACAGAGGCTGAGAGCGAACCTGCCCGACCGGCCGATGATGGCGAAATGACTTTCTTGTGAGTACCGGTGACAGGCACCATGAAATTCCAGCCATGCTAGGACGCATCCGCTAACTCCCCACTAGAACGACGGACACCTCCTTTGTCGAGCACCCACCAAGCATGGTTTCCTCCAAACCTACATCCAAATACTCAACACGTGGAACAGTACGCGGTACAACACGCGGTACCACTCGAGGTACGACGCGAGGCGCGGCAACAGGCCGTTATACCACACGAGGTTCCAGTTCCAGCAGTGCGCGACCGAGTGCTCTCCCTCGAGGCCGCGGTATTCGGTAATAGCCTTAGAGCCCCAAGTCTGGTATCCGTTGTTGCAAGCTTGTGCAATCACATTTACCATAGCTGTAAATACCCAAGCATGGACCCTGCGCAATGATTTGTCCTGGGCTGCATCGTTTTATTCCATCTCTAATGACGTCTGTGGGCGCTTTGGTGGAGTGGATTAGCGGGGACTGGGCTCGACAGATAAAAAGTGAGACGAAAGATCTGCAAATGTTTAGAAGTTCCCTATGATATCCCTGTAAATATTATGAGCAATGAAATCCTCAATCATGAACCTTCTCCTGCATACCACTGAGTACCTATGTCAAGTATATCCAATGTAGATACGGAGACGCGGGTGTTTGCTCCGATCGGAGATTTCAGGCTTTAAGGCGCCGAAAAAAAATAAGAGAGTCCGTTTCCGATGACAAATGAACACTCTTCCGTTCCTATCTTTGCCCCCAGCATTTCTTTGTGTTTGGGGTTGAATTTGGTTGCTATCCAGAGAAACTTGAACATAAGCTGTGCCACTTGGGCTGATTGGTCTTGGAGATCATTGGAATTGCGGGGCATGATTGTGGACGTTTACTGAAGCGAGCTGGCACGGCAACCCTTGAGTGCACGTTAAACGGAGCCGCTTTTGCTATACCCATTTCATCGCAACCTTCACGCATTACGCCGCATCTGTTAATTTTCCTATGTGGGTGAATGACGACTAATAATTTGCTTAATTTGCTCGTGAACAAGCAAGCTGACCCTTCACGCAGTGAAATGCTGGCTTTATTCAGGGGAAGTCCTCGAGACTGAATTTAGATCCCTTGCCATTCCCGCCATTCACGATCTGGTGGCATTGGTCTAATTGTCAATCTTCCTTGCCCTTTTATTCTTCTTTACTTCTTTTTGACCATTTCTCCTCTTTCCTTACATAGAAGGCCGGAACCTTCTACTTGTTTGTATCTCTGCATCTTGCCACTCCTCTATCCATCACTCTCTCCCTTTTAATCCGTTTCCCCGTTTACCCGAGCTTGCGATCCCAAAAATGGCGAACCTTGAATCTATCAGCATGCTCTCCGAGGCAGCATACGGCTGTGGTACGTATTGCGATTCCCCAAGACGACCCGAGGTCGCAGGATCTAGATCGGACTCCGAACTGACCCCACTATCAGAACATCTTGCCGCTTTCATGGAAGACGTCGAGGCTGCTGCAAAGTTCAAAGTTGCCTTCCGCAAGATGTTTGAGTCGCTGGCTCCATACACAAAGGTAGAGCCAGTTGCCGTTCAAACTACCGGACTGCGCACTTTATCCTCGCTGAAGCCTAAGTATCATTGTGTCTCCTGTCCCGAGGTTTGCCTGAGCACAGAAAGAAAAGCACATACCAAGAAGACGGGTCATCTTTTCTGTAAGTGCCCTTTGAGTTTTCTACAAGTACTACTAGTACTCAGTCACTAATTATATCCCAGACATGGAGTCCCGCAATCGTGTCCTTCATTGCGAGAGTTGCTCGGACCTTGTGTACGATCATGGACTGGAAAGACTCTGTGGGCCTCAAGCTAAGTTTGAATGTCAGCACCATTCTAAATAAATCATTGTATGCATGGAAGGAATTGGGCCCACTGACCCTCCCATAGACGCCAAGGGTGCATGGATCGCCGACCCAACCTCCGAGGCTTACGTTAAGACCAATGCTTACAAGAACCCTTGCTCTCGCCGCGGGGCTCGTGGAGTTTGGAATATGGGACAAACATGTTACCAATCTGTCATTCTCCAGGCTTTGCTGCACGATCAAACTCTCAATGCCTACTTCCTTGCAGGTGGACACGATATCCACACATGCGAACGAAACTTTTGCATGGCCTGTGCCACCACTGAGGTTTTTATGGAGTTTAACAGCGGTGAAAAGACTGATGCCGTGTCGGCAGCCACCCTCCTCTATCATGGCTGGGATGCATCTCGGGTATGTAGGAAAAAATGGCCCTTCACCTGACCAAAAGCGGTTTTGCTAACTCTTACCTCGCAGGACATGGCCGGGTACCGTCAGCAGGATGCCCACGAATACTTCCAGTTCCTTGTGAATGCCCTCCACGCGGCTACACCTGGACACTCGGAAAGCCATGATACCAAGTGTACATGCTTCTTTCACCGCACCTTCTATGGCGAGCTTCAGAGTAGTGTCATGTGCCACAAATGCGGCAAAACCACCCACACCTTTGACCCCATGGCAGATTTGAGCCTCGATGTGCAACTCCAGAATAAGAAGCGCAAGATGGGACCTCGAACTAGCTCCACCCCGGCCACTTTGACTGGCTGCCTTGATAATTTCACAGCAGTCGAAGACCTGTCCCCAGACGCCTCTTACCACTGTGAGAAATGTGGGAACACCCCCCAGCGGGCATCCAAGCGTTTGCAGATCCGCAAGCTGCCCTCCATTCTTTGCATGCATCTGAAGGTCAGTCTAGTATCGATCCTCTTTCGCTACCATTCTGTCTCTAACATCAATTTCTCCACAGCGCTATGAACATAACTCGTCTTCCTCGGAGAAGATGCACGGCCACATTGATTTCCCTCTCAGCCTCAACATGCTTCCTTACACAATCAAGAAGGACAAGGAACGTGTCGATACCTCACAATACATTTACGATCTATCGACCGTGGTGGTTCACCAGGGTAGCATGGACTCTGGCCATTACTATGCGTACACCCGCCTGATCGGTGACAAGGTATGTGCCATGAATTGACAGTTTGACAAGAAGTCAAATTTGACTAACTACTTTGTTCTAGTGGGTTTTGATGGACGACAACAAGGTGACCGTTGCCAGCATCCCCGAGGTGTTGCGACAGGATGCCTATCTCCTGTTCTACAGCATCCGGTCAATCGGTGTTGAGAGGGAATAGATACCAAAGGCGGAAGGGAAAGAATAAGGATTTGAATCGTGGCGTCACGGAAGGGAAATCGAGGGGACCAACTGAATTATTAATAATGTACATAATGGATAAGGTCCCCAATGAGAACAAGGTTTCTTAATTTCCGGCTCATTCTCGTAGAAGTATCAGTATCAATTGTCGGTTTGTACTTGGTGAACACTGTCAGCAAAAAATATTGCCCTTTCGTTACCACTTGAAAAATAGAGCCCGAGACTACTACTTCGTCAAATCTACGTCCATATCATTTGTCATTCTTCCGAGAACAAAAATGAAGCGAATCAAAGCAACTTTTGAGCTGGAAACAAGCAGGGGCATGAAACGGAAAAATGCCCGCTGAAATAAAGTCCTCCTGGGTCATTTCTTCCCCTTCAAGGACCAAGTACGCAAGATTCCAGAAATGGGAGAAGAACTCATTGAAGAAAACCCGTCATTGATATTGGATAAAGAAAAAAGGATGAGGGATCACAATGACATCCTCGTTTTCAGAAACTCCTTCAACACAACAACCCCATTCCCTAACTCGTCCTTTCGTGCCACAAGCAAGACACGAATAATGCCTCCTCCATAACGAATCAACAACCACTTTTTTAGGGAGCCGTCATGCAAAAGAACGGAACGTGGGCGCATTAACATTTCCCGACGCTTCGAAACATCCCCCTTCCCGGGCCACTATAGTGACCGAGCGCCAGGGCACGTAAACGGATCATGGACGCGAATGAATCGAGAAAGGTGGTTTAAAGGCGGACATGGTTTGGTTGTTTAGCGGTACTGTGTGACGGAAAAAAAGCGCAAGTCAGTTTCGAGTTCGACAAAAATCCAGGTTTTTGGGCCGATGGCGTGATGAAATTCCAGGATTCTGCTTCGATATGATGCTGGTGAATAGCGAGAGGTTTAACGAACCTTGACGAAACCGATGTCGGTGGACTTCTCACGGAAGCACTGACGGCAGATGTTCATCTATAAGATTAACAATGTTAGCTTCAATTGGTTCCAATCCCTATACGTCGAGCAATTCGATGTGCGCCCAAGTATCATGTATCAGGAGGGATTCCACATACGCCGTACTTGCGGATGAGACCAGCGCGGTGAGCGCAGACACGGCTGTATCCATCAAGCATTCATTAGTCAAAGTTGTTCCTCCAAATTCCGGTTTCGTTGTTCGTGGTTTCGAGGCTCTTTCTAGCGTTCTGTGTCGCTTTCTTCTTTTGTGTGTTCGTTTCTTATCGGTGGGAGGAGTCTGAGGTAACATACCACTCGCGGGAGCCCTTGCCGTACCTGAAGATGTCTGTTAGTTGCTGATAATTGCAAGGCCAGAGGTTCGTTGTGTCGACTTACTTGCGGGGGCGGCTGAACCAAACGGACTCGTGAGTCATCTTGAGTTGTCGTGGGGGGGAGTTGACGGGGGGGTTGTTGACGAGGGTCGTTGGCGCTGTTGAAGGAAAGTCGAAGATTCGGGGTTGAAAATCGTTGTGTGCCGCCCCGATGGGGAAGTGCACGGGCCAGCTCGCTTGATTCGCACGCTAGTCTGTTTCAGGGTAAAATCATGTGATCCACCCGGCGTTCTTTGATTATGTCAGCAGATCTGTGCCTGGATCTAGTCAAGAGTCAATCGGAAATGATGTACTAGTCAGTTCGTCTCCCTGAAGAATCTCCGTGGGGGTTCTGTTCAGCGTAGAAAAAAAAAATCCCGAAAAAAACCTCAAGAAAGGGATATATCATATGAGGACTACTAAGGTTAATCCTGACTGATGTATTTCAATTCCAGTTCTTTACTGGGGTTTGCATCCACCTGGCCATCGCAAAAACAAGTCCACAATATGGAGGACCTTGCGAGCTTATGTCAATTGCACACAATATTTTTGCAATTATGTCTATATCACCAAGGAGGAAGGGCTACAAAATCCTTCCCTCGTCTAGTTTGAATTCTAATTATGCTAGTTTTCTGTGAATATCCCGGTCACAGGCTCGAGCAATCATGCGGCTCTTTGAAATGAGTCCTCTATGTCAGAGAGGGGTCAGGTGACCCCCTTTGCTTCATTCCTTCCTTCCTTTTCCCTTCTGCTCCTCATCCCCCCGAGTGAGATTGTCCATAGCCAAACCAGTTGCTTTTCTCTCTCCGTTCTTTCCTTTCCCTGAGCAGCGGCTGTATTCCACCGCTGACACTCTATAGCTCGATTCGCCAAAAGACACACCCCGGGCATAAAAAGTTCATATTGTCGCTAGTCCATGAACAGAAATTGGAATAGAAACTACCGAGCTCACCAACTCTTTTTTGTGCCTCCTTATATCAGCGTCTCTTTCTCTCTATCTCTTGTTTCGGCTTCCATCTCCAATATAGCTTCCCGTCACCTTGCTACTACTATAATCACCGAAACGAAGTCTTGGCGCCACAAGAGCTAGTATGCGTTTTCGAAAGTCACTGTGACCTTGTTACCAATCAAGTACTAACTCGCCAGAGCTAAAGCTGTTTGCAATTACCGAGGTGCTCAGACTTAATACCGAAGTTGTACCTACCGCGTAGTTTTCTCCTCGCATGAAGCGAGGCGTCATTCGATATCTGATTTCGGGCAAGATTCTTGGTTAATTTCATATCGCAGTGGCGTATACAAATGACATACTACCAATAGCTAGGCCCAATTCCAGGCTACACGAAAATTTTGAACAATCCATTTGACCATTATCTCAATATTTGAACTCCAATATTTGATTTACTATGTTCCAACTTCGAAATATTTGAATGCTTCCATATTCTTAATCTCTGAGGTACCCAGGGAGTGCCAGAGAGGTGGGCAGGGGAAACATTGGTGTCCACGCCCGGGCGGTGGTTATCGAGTCCTCTAGAGCGGGAGGTACTCACTACTAGTATGTATACTATTTATCAAATCTGGGCACATCCATGGATGCAACAGTAGCCTACTAGCTAGCAGGCGCATAAAAATGCATGTGACGTCGGGACCTTTGATGGATGGAAAGTACGCTATAAGCACTCAATCATCCATGCGATGTCAACTGGTATTCAAATGTTTATCTCACACCTGGTGATGTATGTGCATATTCTACAGGGACCAACTGGACGCTACCTGAGTAACTGCATGGATAACTTATGTACATTATCATATTAATTCCGCCCCAATCTGGAAGTTATGTTGATCGCACGGGAAACATCTGTGTTCAAGATGCTCATTGGACGCCAACGATACCTGGGGTCACATTCAAGCAAAGACGGCCTGCGGAAGGCCTGCCGCCTGTTGCCGCACATCCGATTCCTCGAAGGGCCATATTGCTTAAATGAGTAATATCGCGCAATCCTACTATAGTCCGCGATAGTCCGCTGTGACCACTCAAAGTAAGATGCCGATCTATTCATTGTCAGGAGCCATGGGGGGCTGTCTGTGCTTTGGGGGCTGCATAAATGACGTCTCCTGGACAGAGACAAAGTCTATAGAGCGGGACATACGGATTTACGATATGTACAGACTCTCTTCAAATGTTTTCAATACATTTTCTCCAAAAGTGGGTGGTAGTCAACTTTGTTGAGTAAACTAGTACCCAAAGACCAATAGTCACCGTATGATCGTAGACCGAAATTCCGGGGTACACGACAAGCTTGTGAGACCAGCCTAGCTAGCTTCATGCAGGAGGACAGAGAGGGGGTTTCTTCAGCCCTCCAATTCAGCCAAGGGTGATGGTGTGGTATGTCATCTGATAGCCGTCCAAGGTATTACATACTACTAGTACATACTGAAGAGGTAACAGCCTTGGAAAGCTTCGGACATTGTACTCCGTGAGCATAAACGAGCAAGAAAACATTACTCAGCGTTAAGTGCGTGGTGTTAAAGGGCGTGTGCGGTACGGAACCCACCAGAAGCCGGATGGCCGCGGATGGCGATTCGATTTTGGCCAATGACGGCCAACTGAGTGATCTTCAGCTTGTCAGATGAGAACTGATTTTTCCCTTGGCGTTTTCTGTTGTTCCTGCTTTTTTATCGTATCGAATCAAGAAAAATCAACGCATCCATATAATTCCTTCCCTTGGATCCACAGATTTGCGCATTCGAGTTAGATCCAAAATGTTGTATACTCTTATATGCTCAAGGCTGAAGCTCCACCAAGGTAGATCATCTGATGACTTGAATTGCCGTATATCCTTCTCCGTGCTAGCGATTCTCGGAAGAAATCGCAGATTATTCACCGTAGCTCAAGTAATTCTTCGTACGCATCGGGCAGAATCCATCGTTTCATGGTAAGAATGCATGTGGTCTGGAATGAAGATTTGTGTAAACAAAGACACGTGTTATTCCTATTTCAAAGTCCAGGTCAACTGCGATATCCTATAGGTGCAACTTGAGTACATATCTAAGGGGGGTTTATCTTTGCGTATGCCTACAAAGTACATGGTACCCACATGTGTGTACTTCTTACCTTTTTTCTCAATGTACGGAGTTATGTATGTACTCGGGGATTAGGTAGCATCATCTGATTTTTCCAAGGCTCCAATCAATACCTGTGCATGTGATTTTGAGGATGCTGCAAAGTGCAAACCTTTGGAAAATGTAAGTGAGCAAGGCTGCCTAGATAAAATGTTAAAGAATAAATCCACCGTACAGGCATCCATCACATCGATAACATTGGAATAGAGCTCTCATGTATTCCTTTTGGGGTTAAAAGGCTAAAACCCCCACTCGCGGCTCGGAAAGCTGTGTAAGCGAAAGACCGAGACAGGGATGGAAAGGAAGCTGCAAAAGCCGGGGTCCGTGGATGACCACAATACAACAGGATCTACTCTATAAAGCGGCCTATGCGTAAGCTGTGGATCGCTGATTGGGTGGAGCCACTCCTAGGGGATCATCCGATGGGACCGAAAAACCCATGCAGAATGGACTGATCCCGATTCCCAGCCACCTGTACACTTCAGTGAGATTCGAGAACATCAGAGTCAACTTTCGGGCATGATGAGCTGTATCTTCATGAGTCATGGGGCGAAAATGATTTGGAGTCGGTCAGCCCAAAATTTGGGGGACAAAAGTGAGTTCAACGCTGCGAAACACAAAACACTCTTGCCGTAGCGTGTTCTAGCGGTGTAAGGCGGGATGAGTCGCAACGGGGCAGCGATCGACTACGTCATTAGGGCATGGTGCATGTTACAGCATGTACAGCTCAAGAACCAGAGGGAAAAAAAAAGAATTGATCACACACCTGAGTAGATACATTGCAATGAAGCAAACATACAAACATAGCTCCACTTGCTTCCCGACGCTCTAGATTCTCGTGTTGATTCCTGTCCCAAGGGACCCTTGCGCTAGTTGTCCGACTCATCCGAATCAAACATCTTTGATTGGTAATGATTGTATAGTTCAATGCCAAGCCCTCGTTTTTTTTTTCTTCTCGTTCTTAAATCCGCTCCGCTTTGTACGGACGACACAAGTCCATAATGCAATGCATAATATGCTGATCCTTGCTGGCCCAATAGAGCTGCATTAAGTTCAAAGGAGGGGGGGGGCGAGAAACAGTTTTGTGAAACCAAAAAAGGCATACAGATAAAAACCACAACTGGTATGGATTTGTTTTTGTTTTTCATTTCTATATTTTGAAATATTTTAAAGAAGAATATTCCAAGGCTTAGAAGTGATCCATTCATGCACCAGGGACGGCTCACTCGGGTGAAATCTTGGAAAAGTCGGCAGCCGGAAGTATATGGATGTATGTGTCTTATTACCACGCACGGCCTCTCGGCACCGGTTCTTTATCCCCGAGAACAAGCGTTGGAAATCAGCACCGGCGAGTCTGCGAGAAAAAGAAAAAAGAAAAATTCCTAATTTTTGTAGTCATACTCCGTGCAGGTTCCGACAAGTTCGCACCTATGACCTTATTAATTGCCTGCACCCTTGCCCCGCTCTAATAGAAGCTCGCTTTTATATATGGTCAGTCCACCCACGCTACTCGCGACCTCGTATACCTCGTATACCTCGCTTTCAGCCCTACAGCAAATTTTAAGCCACCACCCTCTCACCTCACAGTCAAGGTTAACTTGTTTTTACAGAGAGGTCTCTTATTTACAATCCCGGGCAGGTTTACTTGTGAAGAAAGAAAGAAAAAAAGGCCGCCGGAATTCAAGTGGTAGCGTGCATTCCAAGTCCGGGTTGGTCGTGTCGTTACGTCACGATTCGTGAGAGCTTCACCATTGATATTCAAGTGCTGCGCCGTTTGGAGCTTTGGAATAGTCCCCCTTCACTCAAACAACCCCTCGTAATTCCAGCGCAGCTCCCCCACAGTAGTTGAAACAAGCTGTGCGATTTCTCAATTTGATCCGGATGCGGAACACTGCTGCTCGAGTCGCCCTTGCGGCGGTGTACCTCGCGGCGCTTGCGACTGCGCGCGCGCATGGCGACCATGAATCGATGGACATGGACACAAATATGAACATGGACATGCAGGCGACTGCCACTAGTTCGCATGTCACTGCATCTCCCACGGTGTCGGGCCACCCGAATGGTGCCATGAGCTATTTTGCCTATGGGAAACATTCCAGTTCCATCCTGGCGCATATTATTCTGATGGTGCTGGGCTGGTGCTTCGTTCTTCCTGCAGGTAAGCACAAGATCCAAGGACTGCAAATTTAACAGCGTACTCACCAATTCTTCTTACAGCGGTCATGCTCAGTATTGCGCGCTCCCGATTGGCCCTTCCGTCGCAATTCTTGTTCGCTGTCCTCAATGGCTTCGGTGTGCTTCTCGGCATCGTGTATAATAACCAGACTCCCGATCTTTACAAAAACAATGCGCACCACAAGATTGGTTGGATTGGTACCTGCGTGGTCGGTGTCCAGGTCATCCTGGCTCTCATTTTCACCTATGCGGGACGTGGTGAATCCAAATCGTCGTCTTATGAGCGCGCAAGCTTCCTGCCCATTCCATCGCATCAAGAGCGCTCGTTCCAGTCTGCCCCGTTGCATGAATACCGCTGGTCTGGGGATAGCGGTCAGGGGAGTGAGCCTAGCTCGTCGATTCACAGCCCGGGATCTCCGTGCGATTGTCCTACAGATTATGATGGATTCGAAAAGCCCGAGGAACCCTTGCCTGCCCACCTCGCCAGAAAAGGCTGGTTCCATCGTAGTGTCATGGATCGTTTCCTATCAAAACGCCTGCCAGGAATGGTGTCCAACCGAGTGCTCCGGATCTGCAATGTGATATATAACGTTACTGACCGGATAATCCTACCATTCGGATTTGTTGCTATCACGACGGGTGCTGTGGCCTATGGTGGTATTATGAGACACAGAGAGATCTTCAATGGCCTGGCCCATTTCATCAAAGGTGGGATTTTCTTCTGGTACGGAATCCTCACACTTGGACGATATGTGGGTTGTTGGGCCGACCTGGGCTGGGCGTGGAACAAGAAGCCGATGTCGCCCATAGTCAGCCGATGGAAAGCCAAGATCCCATCCGCAGAATTTGTCGAGTGTCTAGTTATATTCACTTATGGCGTCTCCAATGTTTTCTTGGAGCATCTTTCAAACTGGGGTAAACCCTGGAGCGCGACGGATTTGGAGCATGTTTCCATCTCGATCATGTTCTTTGGAGGCGGCCTGGTAAGACTGAACTTCTAGCTTCCCTTCATCTGATGATTCCCCTTTTTACTGACAATTGTCTATCCATTTAGGTAGGAATGCTGTTTGAATCTTCGCGCATTCGCGAAGCGCTGAACAACACCGTCCTCGCATCCCCCGCGCACGGTACTCGTGACGAGGGCTGGCACCTTCCGAAGTCTCAGGGCGTGTCTCTAAACCCGATGCCTGCTCTCATTATCCTACTTCTAGGTATGATGATGGGGTCACACCATCAAACTAGCATGACCTCTACTATGGTGCACAAGCAGTGGGGCAACATGCTCGTTGGTTTTGCCCTCGCCCGCGGTATGACTTGCGTGCTACTTTTCCTGCGTCCACCCACATCCTATCTCCCGGCACGTCCACCGACGGAGATCATTGCCTCATTCTGCTTGATGTCAGGAGGTCTCATTTTCATGCTCAGTGTGCGTATCCAAAAATTTCCATGATCCTCTCAAATAGTCACTAACGAAGTACATAGACACGAAACGTGATCGAAGCCATGGAATTTTACGACATGGATGCGATGTTCACCTTCACAGTCGGCATGGGTTTCACGGCTTTGATAATGGCCCTCGAAATATCCGTCATCGCGCTCAAGGCGTGGGCTGTAAAGCGAGAGCAGCGGGAACAAGTCACGTATCGCTTCTCATGATGACCCGAATCTCCTTTGTTTTTTCCTTTCCTGTTCTTGATACCCTGTCACATTTATGCAGTTAATGTCTTCCCACGTTATGAAGGGTACTCTGGAAATGATCCACTCCTGGTGGAGATCCATTTGGGTTCGAAATTTTCGGGCCCCTTAAGCTTGTTTTACGTTGCGTTTTTGCCGATATGATGAATTATGGATGTATGTGGTCATTGACGGTGAATGACAATTGATTTAATACGGGCTCTTTATATGAAATATGAATTACTACTGCTAATATCTCGTAATGATTTCAATATGCCTGCAACTTAACTCATATTTTTTCTTCTTTTTTCTCTTACATTTAGCCGACGGAGATAGCTAAGCTTTAACGCCGGCGCCGTGCCGAGTACCGAACGGCACCTGGGCAGAACTATGACATAGGTGGAAGAAGCGAAAAAGGAGAATTAAAAGATCATTGTAATGATTATGTAGGAGGTGTATACAGTTAGACTGCTAAAAGAGCAGGGATTGGAGAGTATATGGGTTTATAAGCATAAACGAACGACAACTCCAAGATTTAGTGCAGACTTGGGGTTGCCACGCAGTTCCTGATTCAAGCTAAAGAATGTCATGAGGGGCAAAACGGGTCGAGTGGGGCTTCCATGGGACAGAGGGGTAACATAATTAAAATTGTCCATATTTCAACTGGCTTTTCTCTCTCTTTTTATTCTGTGATACTACACTGAACTTCATACCTCCTTCGTACCTCAAAAACTACCATAATCATGGCCTCCAACCCTCCCTCCGCCTGCTGCGCCAATGGCTTCAAGCACGAAGGCACCCCCGTCGGCGAGCTCAAGAACATTGAAGGCGGTAGGTTTCATCCAGAAGTCCCCCTCCCCCCCATTCATTCGACATAGACCTAGATAGCTGACAGAAATGCCAATTGCCAGTCAACACTTACATCTCCACTCCCAAGAACAACAAGAAGCCCGACACCGCCATTCTCTACCTGACCGATATCTTCGGCATCTTCCCCAACAACCAGCTCCTCTCCGATGAGTTTGCCAACAATGGATACCTGACTGTCCTCCCCGATCTGTTCAACGGCGGCCAGCTCGGTGTCGACGACATGTCTTCCGGCAAGGTCAACATTATGGAGTGGCTCAAGGACTACCAGCCCGCCCAGGTCGACCCCATTGTGGCCGCGACCATCAAGTACATGCGCGAGACCCTCGGCGTGAAGAGAATCGCCGCAGTCGGTTACTGCTTCGGAGCCCGCGTACGTTTTTACAATTCCTAGAATTTCCGTCATTTGCCCAGGCCGTACTGGGATACTAAGCGATTCATTCATTCTGACAATTCTGCGCTTTGGTTTAGTACGTCACCCGCTTCTTGAAGGATGGCCAGATCAACGTTGGCTACCACGCCCACCCCACTGGCACCACCCACGAGGACCTTGCCGCCATTCAGGGCCCTCTGTCTATCTCCGCTGCTGGTATGTTTCACTCAATTAATCCTGATATTGAAAATATAGAGCTCCAGCTAACCAAAAATCACTTTTCAGAGATCGACAGTGCCTTCCCTGCCAAGCTCCGCCACGAGTCTGAGGAGATCTTGGCTAAGACTGGCCAGGAGTGGCAGATCAACTTGTTCAGTGGTGTCGTGCACGGCTTCGCCGTCCGCGCTGATCTGAGCGACTCTAAGCAAAAGTGGGCTAAGGAGCAGGCCTTCTGCCAGGCTGTTACCTGGTTCAACCGCCACCTGTAAATATTAAACAGGTAGGAATCTGGCTGGGGGTCACATGAAGACTCCAGTATATCTCTTGATATATTCTGGTCCAAGATCTACATACGCCATATCAAACCTGAGAAGGCTAGGAATATTAAACAATTGAATCCGAGATACCAGAGTGGACCAAGATCAGATCCAACTCATTCATATATAAATATATGCTACCTACTCGTCAACGTCTAAGTGGTTTTTCTACTTTTTGAAAGTTTTGAATTCTCCATACAAGTAAGCATAGTACTCATATATTAAGAGCAGATGATCTACTCCAATGCGGTGAACCAACTTAAATCTTCAAGGTATCACATGCAGCGAAGATACCTAGATAAAAGTTGTGCTTTCAAATATTGGGAAATTTCCAACTTTTTAAATTCAAATGTTTCATATTTTACGACTTTGAGACTCCATTTAGAATATCTAATGTTCATAACTAGTGTTATGCTTGACAATATAGTTCACTAGACCGTGACTAAGTAAAGTTGAATTCCTTCCTAACGGGGATTAGCGGGGATCGGCTTACGCTTTTCCCGATTTTCGTTACGTTCGGTCGAATCTTTCGTATTCTTGTCCCAATCTTGCTCGCGGTCATATCCTCTATATATTTTAGAGGGGATTTTCGGCTTGCAGTCAACGACTTTGAACCACTTCCTTTGTGGTCTGTGTAATACTGGGCTTTTTTTGCTTGGAAAGTCGCGTTCTTGCACATAGCCGGATCGCGTGCGCCTCGTGAGTTTATCCCTGGCTACCCGATCCTTCACGGTGTCAAATTAACATGACTGCTTCCGCAGATTTACTTGGTAGAAGCGCCGTGCTACTGAGTTGTAGCCACACCACGTCAAACTATTATACAATATCCCCGTTGAAACGTGGTCGCAAATACCGCGAGAGTTGGAAGCCACCTTGTTCCGCCCCCTCGATCCTCCGCTCCGCCCGTCGATTTCGAGTGCCCGAACTCCCAACGTTTTTCGGACCGCATTCCAAGGTTGCCAGATTCGACACGATTACCCAGCACCGGACTTGAAACAAATCTAGTATACTCTTTGCGATCCCGTAGTGGGAATTGATTGATCATGGCCACCCCGACCGCTTTGCCGCCGCTTCCCTTCAACCCGTCGCGTGTGCGATCATACTTGTTGCGGTTGCCGCTATTCACGCGCCTGGTGCTGCTAGTGATTCTTGTTTTTTGGCTGCTGGAGTTCCAAACTGTTTGGAGTGTGGTGCAATGGGGATCCCTGATCCCCGACGAGATCAATTTGGGTACCAGTAGGTGTTTACCCGGTTCTTGCGGACACCGCTCGACTCGGCCATCCAAGGCATTCGGCTGATATATTTCGGAATTTAGTGTACCGCTTGAATACCTATCCTCTCATCCACACCGGATTCTTCCACGCGGCGTTGAATACCATTGCCCTGACACCGCTCTTGGAGCGCTTCGAGGCGGAACATGGCACCCTTACTGCCATCGCCCTATTCCTCGGACGTGGGTAGCCCTCGAGAGATACTCCCTGCCGAGATACAAGTTGACTGACGGCTTTTTGATAATATATAGCGTTGTCAACTCTTCCCGCAGGTCTTTACCTCTTGATTGAGAAAGTGATCTTGCATATGAATACCCCGGTTGTCGGCTCAAGGTGAGCATGCCATGTCAAGAATGAGATCAAAAGAAACATTGGATCTAACCACTTTCAGTGTCTGGGTATTCATGCTTTTGGGTTCCGAGGCCATTCGGACATTCAAGTCCCACCCGTACTTCAGGTTTGTGGAAACCCTCAGCAGTCCCGTTGGTTGTTATAACTGACATATTTCCCGTTTTGGTAGCCTCGGCCCGTATAAGATTCCCACCTGGACATCGCCTCTCTTTGCCTGCATTGTACTGTCCATTCTTGTCTCCAATGTGAGCTTTTTGGGCCATCTTTGTGCAATTCTCGTGGGCTACCTCTGTAAGTACTTCTTCAAACCATTGCTTCGAGAATTCTACTGACCCAAGCAGTTGGCCTTGGATACCTCAAGGTCTTTGTGCCCCCAGAGAAGGTCCTTCGATGGATCGAAGGCAAGCTCAACCTCTTGGGCCGCCTGCCCCACTATGTATCGGTGGACCAGAAGACATATGGCCGATACGGGGTACTCCCATCCTCCAATGCCGCAGGCACCGGAAACCAAACTCCCTTGAGCTACTTGGGAACTACGCAGCGCTTGGGCTCATAAGACGGCCCAGGAGCTCTTTAATATTTCCCATCCGTGTATAGCTTTTTATTTCACCGGTACTTTGTGTTAGTAGTTCAAATTCTGGGATGCAGCTGGATGGGGATTCATGAGGAAAAGGAAATGCATCTATGGATCATCTCAGCATCACCAATAAAGCATAGCGAATTTAATGTTGGCGTGTTTGCAGAGAAACTCAATTTAATGTACAAAAATCAAACCGAAGCAATTCCAACTGAAGCAAATAATACTAAGATGCAGCTTTATGCTAGTCTGTACTAAATACATAGCAAGATGTACTCCGCTTGATGATATGGAGTACTGCATAGTTGGTCACTATTGCCGGGCGTAAATTCCCCGTAAACAACAGCTGGAGCTTCAATGGCCGATGTACTCCACCTTCCCTTGTTCCAAACCTGAAATCCGATTTGCTAGCTTTGCTACGGAATGGGAAGGACATTAGGATTTTCTCAATGACCTGGACTAAATGGCGCTGAAATGTGAGTGAGAAAATCCAAACCATAACCCAATTGCTCTTGTCTCTTTCCCCGACAGCAGAAGCCCCCCAATTATACCAGAGACCGATCGTGAGACTAATACTCATGCCAGCTGCGATCCGCAATCTGCGGAATAACCCCCAACTCCTCTTCGTTCGCTTGCCTCCTCTGCTGTCGCTCCTTTGCATCGTTGTCGGCGTCGTCTGGCTTCTCCTCCTTCCCTTGAATGAATACTCCCGCAATACCTACATCTCCGAAAATGCGCTTTTGCCGGGCCAGGTCCATGCATACTTCACCGGAAGCGAGCAGAACATCTTCCGTGGTTACAAGCGAGAGCTAGAAGGACTACTCCACGAGGGCCGAAGTACCGAGAACCAGCAAGACGAGGCGGAGTTCACTCCAGCGTATGTGGAATAAGCCCCGAGCGCAATGGGTTCTGAACATGATGCTGACCATTAGTGAAGCATCTCTGCTAAACTTCAATCGATCCTCAAGGTTGCGGGCTTGAAGGTTGCAACGCAGAAGTATGAATATACCTCAGCGGGAATCACCCATCAGGGCGAGAACACCTACGGCATCATCCATGCGCCCCGAGGCGATGCGACAGAGGCGATTGTCTTAGTTGCTGCATGGAAAACGGCCGATGATGAGTTGAACATGAATGGTGTCACTTTGGCTTTGACATTGGCTAGATACTTCAAACGTGAGTCGCTCCGCGAGGTATTTGAAATACTAGTATATACACAGATTGTGGTTTATTGACATCATATTGTTTAATTGATAGGGTGGTCATTATGGTCTAAGGACATAATCTTCCTTTTCACCCCCGACAGCAAATCCGGAACTCAGGCATGGATTGATGCTTATCATGATCTCCACCCGGCATCGGTTCAGCCGCTCCCACTGAAGAGTGGTGCTTTACAGGGGGCGCTTGTCATTGAGTATCCCTTTGAGCACCGTTTCAAGAACTTACACATCGTTTACGATGGAGTCAATGGTCAATTGCCAAATTTGGATCTATTCAACACGGCAGTGGCCATCGCGGGTGGTCAAATGGGCATTGGTGCCAATTTGCAGGAGATGTGGGAGCACAATGACAGCTACGAGGCGCGCCTACAGACCATGCTACGCGGCATGACCAAGCAAGGTCTTGGGTATGCCACGGGCGCTCACAGTAGCTTTATGCCCTACCATATTGATGCCATCACCTTGCAAACCAAGGGCGAAGGTTGGGAAGATGAAATGGCGTTGGGACGTACCATCGAGAGTCTCTGTCGCAGCTTGAACAACCTTCTGGAGCATCTGCACCAGAGCTTTTTCTTCTACTTGCTAATGCAATCCAACCGTTTTGTCAGCATTGGAACTTACCTCCCTAGCGCTATGCTCATTGCTGGAAACTTTACCATCATGGCAATCGCTTTGTGGATGCGAACGGGCTATCACCCAGACGCCAAAAAGGAAAAGCCCACAACCCCTGAGCCTCTCGAGAAAACCTCCCATCAGGCGGCTCCTAAAAATGGATCGGCGCCGGATATCAGTGAAAGCACCGTCGCAGAGCGCCTTTTGGCTCTGCCACTCACCTTGGTCACTGGCCTCCATTTGCTTGGCTTAGTCCCGCTCTGGATGTTCAACACTCTTCCCCATCAGGTCAGTTCAGATCGATACAAAGCCTCCTGCATAGTTCCCTGACGATAAATCCTACTGACACCTGCTTCTAGCTATTTACAACTATCACCTACGTGTTCGTTGCGGTGGATATTGTATTCCCTCTCGTTCTAGCCGCCCTCCTCTGTAACGGCCTGGGTATATTCACCCCTCTGGTCCCACAGCAGTATCTCTTGATCAAGTCATTTACCTTGCTGCTCTTGGGATTATCTCTTTCCACCCTTGCAACACTCAACTTTTCCCTCTCTTTCATGATAGGTCTTCTCTGCGCACCATTGAGCTTCATCACCCATCTGGATATCACATCAGGTGCCAAGCGCTACGCCTTCTCTGGGGTTGGATTGGTGTTGCTGAACCTTCTCTCCCCACCAACCGTTCTGCTGGGCGCCTGTTGGTACACTGGTATATCTGTCGAGACGGTCTTGACACAGGCTGCGTTCGGGTGGGATGTTTGGGGCATGTGGACCCAAGTTGTGGTGTGGTGTGTTTGGTGGCCAGCTTGGTTGATTGGCTGTATCTTGTTAGGATCATCCATGTTCTAATGTCAGCTTAATTATTGTCATACGTGTGCTGTTATATAATCTTAGCCAGAAATGAGCAAAACATCGCATTCTGAAGTCTTGTCGTCCGCTACTACATAATCATTATCTGGTGGCTTGGAATACGAACGGAAAGAAAAACATATCAAAGACGTGTCCCATTGCTGGGGAGTATAACCACAGCCTATTCATTTATTATTGATAAAAACGGTCCAAGACACCAAAAAATTGTCTATGCAGCCCAGACATCCTTGCCCACTCCTTCGATCCAGTGTCCCAGTTGGTTAACACCAGCATCCCAATCCTTCAACCGATTTCGCATTCCATCGATTTGCTTCATATCCAAAACCTTAGGCTGCACCCAGTGGATCTGTGCCACCTGCGCCACCTGATCAATTGATCCCTTGAGCAAACCAAGCGACAAAGCCTTCATAACGAGATGCTCAATCTCATCGGGCTGTACCTTTGTCTCCGAGGCAATGGCCGAGAAAGCAAGGGAACGGTCGTGTGGGGGGCGTCGGAACACCATCTCGGTCAGTGCAGCCAGGGAAATCTTCTGGTACAGGAACCCGCGGTGTGACTCGAGCAGCTTGTTCTTGCTAATGTTACCAGCCAACACATCGTAAGCGGTCAAATCTCCGCGGTTGAAGGCGAAGAGGAGGTCGCGCAGCCAGTTGTGCGGTGTGTTGGTCAGGGAATCCAGGATTGGGTGCAAGAGGAGCTCGCCGAAGTTGTAAATCGAGTCGGAGACAAGGGCAGCGACGCTGAGGTTGTAGGCGCGAGAGACACGCTCGGTTTCGGGAATTTCTTCCAAATCAATGCAAGCCAGGTAGAGGAGGGCGTTCTTGTAGAAGGATGCGAATTCTTCCTTGGCCTGAAATACAGTCAGTATCAGTATCTCCAGTTTTTGGTGTTTCTTATTGTCCATTTCAACTGCAGCAAGGAAGGGGAAGGACGTACGTGATAATAGTCGGCGTTAACTTTGTAGAATGCCGCATGCACAACAGTCTCAACTGAATCGAACAAGTCCAGCGCCGTCTGGCAAGAGGCCAAATCCTTCTGGGCCCCCTCTAGATCGGGTAGTCGTAGCTTGGCATTGGCGACATCGGCAAGCGCATAGACATAGGCATCTTGTGATTCGGGCGTGTTCACCTTATCCGCGAGGGTTGTGAGGAAAGTCAATCGTTCCTTGTCATCTATTGTCCCCGCAGGAGTGAGCAATTCGTCCCACAGTAATCTAGGCAGTGCAGATCACGGAGATAGCTTGCTTTTCAAGAGCACTTACCAGCACATTCTGTCGATGCCATCAACCCCAGCGCGACGAACTTGAGTTGGTTGATCCGGTCGGAGAAGCTAAGCACGAAGGTCTTGAAGATAGCTAAGCGCTGGGGTGCGCTCTCTGGCAAGCGGAAGAACTCAACCAGGGAATCTGTGAGTTGATGCCATAGCTTTCGCTCCCAGAACTCTTCAAAGGTCAGGAAGTAGGTTTGCGTCTCGGGGGTGCCATTTGCTTGCTGTTCGGCAAGGAAGTCGGGGATCTTAGACTCCATGGCGGGGGAAATGTGGGAGGATTTGGAGCAAACTTGTAGGCCGTGGTGAGAGGGAGACACCACAAAGAGATAAGGTAGAGTCGTTAAGTGGTGGGGGTGAGGGATGGATGATGGATGGGAGGATGGGGCGGACAACGGAAGCTGTTGATGATGTCTTTTTGGCCGCAGCTTTCGGGCGGTGAAGGCTGAGAGCTTTACGTTCATGTACTACTACAACTTACAAGTAAGTACTTCTTCACCAGTGCAAATTTGTTGATCAAAATTGAAGATACATGCTAATAGGAGGAGGACAATATACTTCAGTATTGACCATAAAAATCTGAAAAATTTAATTTCTGGATCTCTAAAGCGAAACAAAGCTTTCGGAACTTTGCAAGAAGCTTATAAGCTAGCACTGACTCAGTGCACTCCCACATGCAGGCAGTATAGGTCCTGCTTTGCTCTGAATGAAATAGGTAAAATTCCCACTTGGAACTCGGAGACATTACAGTGTTCTATGCACCTCCCGAAGTCTGCGACAAAATGTTTCCGAGGGGAAAAGTATCAATTAAGGTCCCCGGCATCTGCAGCAGGAAGTGTCCGAAATGTCTCCGAGAGGATGCTTATATACTGCGATTCCAACCATGGAAGACTGAACAAGCCTAAACATTTGAACACTTGATATCAACTTTATCGCATATTGTCTTCTTTTCCTTTTTTCTTAAACAATTACATACTCGCGACACTCTTAGTATCCATACCCTTGAACTGAGACAACTCTCTCCATCATGACTGATTTCACAGAGGCAAATCGGAAATACTTCGAGTAAGAAAGACACCTAACAAATCTTGGACTGAAATGAGAGACTGACGGCCCATCATAGCCAGCTGGCAGTCAGCTATCAAGATCGGTTTGCCGACTCGATGAAAATGCTTTCGGAGCAGACTTTGCAGAACAGACTCTGGATCAGTGATCAATGGAAAGACACTGTCAGCCAAGATCAAGACATCAGAATGCTCGAGTACGCTTGTGGCCCAGGGATGATTTCGATGGTATGTTAGCTGGAAGCACTTAAGCTGAGGAGATTCTTTCACTTGCATAAAACTGACTTTCAATTACGTGCAGACCCTAGCACCCTTCTTGACTCAAGTTATCGGCATTGATGTCTCCGATAACATGGTGGAACAATTCAACCATAATTCTGGCCTTCTTGGCCTTACAGACAAGGTGATTGGCCACACAGCTGATCTTCTCGCTGAGAATATCCCCGTCGAATTTTCTGGGCCACCGTATAAAGATCTGGATTTGGTCACCATCAGCATGGCATTACACCACTTTGAGAACCCGGCCAATGCTTTGCAGCAACTGGGAGGGCGACTGAAGAAGGGCGGTGTCTGCTATATCATTGACTTGGTTTCACACTCCGGGCATGGCCACGGTAATGGAGGAGACAAGCATGATTTTGGTAATGCTGCTCATACCGTCAAGTCCCACGGGTTTTCTCAAGAAAATATGCAGGAGCTTTTCCAGGGAGCTGGATTCGGCGCTGTCGGATACAAGATCCTCGATCAGCCGTTGGTATTCAGTAGGGATGGGAAGAATATCTCTAAGACGGTTTTCATTGCTCGTGCCCAACGAGTATGAGCTTGAGTGAAGTCATGCGGCGTCGAGATACGACAAACTTCGCTGTGGCATGGGGCCCGGGGAGTTATGTAGTAGTGTTCATTATCCTCCAAATTTGGACTGCATTGCCCTAGGAGGTCTATACTCATATAGTATATGGATCAATTTGACAATTTTCCCATGTCTCTATAAGTGATAAACGTTACTTGTAATGCAACATCTTGGCATTGATCTTCTTATTCTATTTTGATTTACATGCAGCCTTATTATGGTGCATTGTAGAAAAGATTTGAAGAAATGGAACGCTATCCTGTGGGCCAAATTATAGCTTCACGTTATCAATAATACCTCGGGGCAAGATTTGTAGGGTCAAAGACACTCGGAATCTCGCCATAATGACCATACGGAAACAATGCATCGACTGGTATGTTGAGCATAAAGCTAAAGTCCGGTGGTTCTAGAGGTGCTTGCGGATTGGCTTTCTCCTGAGCCTCTAGTCTCTTTCGATGAACCGCTTTGAATAGCTCCATTCTTGAAGCTATTCGGTCAAAGACTTCAGGTGATTTTGAGAAGGCTTCGTGATTGTCCACTCTCTGCAAAGCGAGAGTGTCGGCATCATGTATCTTCCGGATTATTGATTCGGCCGTCTGGTCAACGTCAATTGTACTTTGAACATAAGCTCTGTCCCATCCGATGTTTTCACCCTGAAAAAGGGTCAGTCGAGATAGTGTGACCATAGCAACGCCAAATTGACACCAGATAGTAAAAGGGAAGAAGGGGAGTAGTTCGGATGGAATGGACTGAATGTCGTAGAAAAAAGACTTCACGGCCTCCAAGCAGCGGAAGAGAAGATCCAGTCGCGTCGCTGTGTGATCTCCATACTTGGATTCGGAGAAATCTTCACTCAACGAGACCCGATATATGAGGATCTCTACCGTCTGGTAATGACAAGATAATAGAGCTACACGATCAGGGACCATGGGAAATCAGCATCGAAGCAACAAATCGGGGATTTAGATTCGTGTACTGACCTGAGTGGGGAAATTCGCAGGGTAAGGATGCTTTGAGTTGTTGAAGCTCTGCCTGGTGACCTCGAACTATGAGAGCGAGCGGCGTGGTAAGGACTGGAGGAGTTTCTTGCAGATTGGTGGACATTGTATGATGAACTTTGTCAGCCAGATGCATTACTCGTACAAGCTGGACAAGATAGGCATCGGTAGCGAATTCTGAAGCCTCTTGCAGGGCTTCGCAGCATTCATGGGTATATTTTGTGAAGCGGATAGGTTCCATGTCTCTCACGCACACGGTCAGCCTAGATGGTTGGTCAATATAACTTGTGAAAAGTCCGACTACATGAGATTAAAGCATCAATCAACTTACATGACACTGATATAGTAGCATCCCAAATAGATCCGACGTTCCTCAAGAGTTCGTGCAGGAATCTGATTAGGCTGGAAGTCAATAGCTCTCAGGTAGGAAAGCGGCCTATCAAGGCTTCTTAACGACGAGATCCCCTGATTTAAATTTAAGCTGATGACTTGTGCCATTGCTAGTTGCATGAATACGTCAAGCTGTGCGCTGAACTGAGCATGGATACTGGGACCCACAGCGTCCTGTATCTGACCGGTACTTGGTTCGGATTGCTCCCAACGTGGAATTTTAGAAACGGTGATGAACCAGGACACAAAGACGAGAAGACCCTGGAGAATATCCATGCTATGTTGACCACCCAGCACAATGTGCTCTGCAACCCACTGTTTGACCGTTTCTGCAATTTCTCGCTGGCGTGGTCCCGTTTGACTGGCGACCATGGAGATGTTCAGATGGAGGAATGGATGTTCTCTTCGTAATTGTTCCGCAGTAAGATTGGGAGGAATGACAATAAACGGAAACAAAGGGAGAATTGACCTTCTCAAGACTGCCATAAATATTTCATCATCTTGTCCCTTCGGCACTGAATTATCCTCATTTGGATGTATTGAGGACAGTCCTGGCGATGGACTAATGTTGGATTGGGCATCCCTAGATCTCTCCGATGCGGCAAGCATTTCAACCATCCGGTCTAGCTTTGCCTCTAGTGCTGAAACCTCGCTGATGATATGTATTAGTGGATTGTCACAATTTAAATCAGAATACATACAGGCTCCCTCGGGTAGGTTTCTGACGACGATGTGCTCCAGGGGCCTGGCCACTACACTCCTTCTCCAAGCGACGGCATCTATAAAATACCAGTGTGGGTTAATTTCACGTGAGTAACACTCTTGAAATATCTAGTTACTTACCGCTTGCAGACTCCGTTTGCCTCCGGCTCACATCGTACTTTGGCCTTGGCACATGTCCTGCACGCCTTCGGCATACGAGCTCCGAGGGTATCACTCATGGCGGAACGGGCTGTTACACCAGGTCCCACAGCAATACGGAGAAATACGATAATCGGAAGATTATTTCATGTATTGATGAATGGTACGGAGTAGACTAAGAGAGTGAAGAAGCGGAAGCGGGAACGGAGATGCGACTCTTCTCCTTTGAAATGTTGCCTTTAATCCCGTTAATCCCGTTCAAGGACCCACTTATTCCGGTTTTAACGCGACTCGCGACTAAGTAGCCGCAGGGAGGCTTGGACTTTAGTGTATGAATGATGGTGAATTTCGCCAAAACTGGCTAGTGTATATGGACGTTGATTTAGACTACCGATCTCGGTTAAAGTAATTTCTAGAGGCGTTCCAAATGCCCCTAGCTCCCGTCGCAATTGCGTGCCTTCCGTCGTATAGCGGGAAGACGACCACCGCGCCAAACGCGCAAAACTGCCAGATTATAGCGACTGTTGTCCATCCAGAGAAGAATGACTTGGTGAAAATATAATCACGGTATAGTGGAAGTGGCCAGACGATAACGGTGACCAGGAAGAGCACCACGAACAAAGTGCATGCAATTTTGAGCCATTTGTAAAGTTCCTTCAACGTCGCATCATCAAACGGATGCTGGACATCGTCAATACTGAGCTGGAATGTAGATATCGGTGGGGATGTCGCAGGGTTTGTTTTCTCTTCAAGCGCCTGGACTTCCTCCGGGTCAAGGTTACGTTTGGGCTCAGACTGGGCAGTCCCGGGCAACGAGTTGACTGAGCTCTTGAGATCTTTCAGATCATCCGGAGAATATTCACCATTGGACTCAACGCCCTCGTTAAGTGTGCTTGTGTCTGATGCGGCGTGAAGCCGGGCCTCATCGGTCAGTTCGATGCGAAGGAATTCTCGCCAGTCAAACTGGTAGGGCTTGTAGAGAGACAGCACGACGGAATAAAGCGCCGGCGAGAAGAAGGATGCAATGGCTGCGTAGAGAGCAGGGTACTCGTTGGACGTTGTAGCGATGTCGACAGCCCCGTACATCGAGCCGGCCGTTGCTAACCAAACTGCAAGGCCGGTGAAGAATCCCAAAATAGGAGACACAATGGCAGCAAGGCGGGTTTGGCGCGACCAAAACAGTGTCAGGATGAGAGGAATAATACCAGGACAGGATATAACTGGTCGCAGGTAGTTAATCCAAGTCATGTTCGCCCCGCCGTAATTCATCGCAATGGAAATCCCGGTAATGAAGATACCGTGAGCGACCACCGCTATATGACTGACGCGTACGAGCTTCTTGTCGCTCACCTTGGGGTTCAAGTAGGTCTTGTAGATATCGTAAGAGAGTATACTGCTTACTGCGATCATAGACGACGAAACGGTGCTGGTGAGAGCCATGAAGAGCAGGAAAAAGAAACCAATGATTCCCTTGTCACCCAGCAGAGCCTTGAGTACATAAGGCATGACCATCCCCATGCTCACCTCGGTTGAAGTGAGTTCACCAGGATATGTGGGAAAGATGGGGGTATGTTGGATGGCTCGCGCCGTCAACCCAATCACTGTTCCTAAACCCCACGGAATACCAAACACAGCGATTGCAGCAATGCTGTATCCGGGCACTGTGGACCGGACCTCGGTTGCGAAGGATTTTTGCCAGAATGCCGTGTCCTGTCATCCTTGAAATTAGCATACTGTAAAATAATCTTCTAGGGGGATCACGCCTTACCATAACAACTAAAGCCAAATTTCCAAACTTCAAGATCAGGCCCCAGATGATGGCACCTTTGGATTTGAAGGTGAGCAATGACCCATCGTAGTTACCAACGATGTAATTTTCTCCGGCGGTGGCAACAATTTTCTCGTAGAGCCCACCCAATCCACCCACCGCAGAGTTGGTAAGTACAGCGAGAGTAAAGTAGATGATGAGAATCAAGGCAATCGCGGTGTGAAGATAATCGGTGAGGAATGTCGCCTTGAGACCACCAACAGCGGTATATAGGACCACTATCAAATAACTTAGCGGGTTTTCTACAGGATGGATCTCAAGAGTCACTTACCTCCAAGGGGGATGAGAATAGTTGCTGCCACAAAGTTCATGCCAGAGACACCGTAGATAAGTTGGGATCCGGTCATAATCATAGAAGCACATCCAAAAACATTGTTTACCAAGTTGAGAACGATAAACACGAGATGTCCAATTTTCCCATATCGCATGCGCACGATCTCCAACGAAGTGTGCGCGTATGGAACTCGAATCTTTGCCATGACGCCGAGTGCTGCCATTAGTGCAATCTGGAAGCAAAGACCAGAGCCCCACCACTATTACTCTGATTAGCTTGAAAGTCAAGGAGAAACAAGAAAAAAGAAGTGGCAAAGTAATAGTTCATGCGACATACCAGGGGAAGTGCTAATCCATAATTATAACACATTGCCGCTGCCAACACAGTCTCATTGATCCACATCCACGATGAAAACACCGCTGAAGCTGTAAGACCAGTACCAACCGATCGATTGGCGACCATGAACATCTCGGATTTTCCTGAATCCTCCGAGAGATAGGCTTTTTGAACCTTGACGGCTAAGAGAATGACGCCGCAGAAGACCACGCCAAGGCCAATGAGTAGGCCATAAGCTGCACCTTGAGAAATCAAGGCCAGCTTGGCCGTATCTATTGTATTAGACATAGCTAATGAAATTTTTAAATAATGAAATGTTTAACAGAAAACTGGTCTAATGTGACTGGAGACTGTAGTTCATATACTGATTTACTCAAGAGTCAAGGGTCCAGGTGGCTGCTTGCGTCTAGCCCACTATACGATGATGTGGGCCCAATCAAGTTAAAATCTTTCGAGAATACGCAAGATTTAAAGAATAAAAGAACCGCATTGACGTAGATTTCCACGTCGTTCGTGTCCACTATTGCGTTATGCAGGAAGGCTAAGTTTAACACTCGGGTCAGATCTGTGGATGATTCGCCAGATAAGTAAATATTTTCAACATGTGAATATCAAATCTATCGGTCGCATGGCATTCTGACTTTGATTATATCATGATTAACATTTAAACAAAAGTTTTTGGTTACTGGTGTTATGAACAAATGTTATTTCGTCAAATCTTGGAAAGCTGCTTCAGCTGGAGTACCTCAAGCATCACCGCTGATGCCAATTGTACTTTAGTAGCTAATATTTCATAGTTGACCAATAGAATCCAGCTATTGGAGATAAATCTTTTTGTTATAAAAAGCAATAACCATGTCATTGGGGGTTGCTACCAATTAGATATGTTGATGACCTCTTACCCCTGTTCGGATTGCGTGCCATCATCACTCAATGACGATGGAATCGCTCGCTATCACGAACCAACAAAAATGCCACAAAATTACTCCGCACCAAAAACCAAAATCACGATTATCTGTCGGCCGATAGAATAAATTCCGACATCAGTATCAAGAATTACGAGGATGAGAGTACAAACAACGATGAGAGGAGAGGGCATGATCATTGTCACCATGGAGGCGTCTCACACTGGCCGTAAATCCTCCGCTTGGTAAATCGTCTAATGAGAATGACTCATAACCATTCAAATCGATCCCAACTACAGAGCATTCAAGATGACAGAAAAGGCAGAAAATTCTCAAATATTGAGCGCAGAGCCTACGGCGCAGCGCAAAGAAATCATTTTAAATGCATTCGTGATGAACACTCCAGGTCATCTAGCACCAGGTCTGTGGAAACACCCGCGGAACAAGACCGACCAATACAAGAAACTGTCATTCTGGACTGATCTGGCCCAGCTTCTAGATGAAGCCGGCTTCCATGCCATGTTCATCGCAGACACCTTGGGGCCGTACGACGTCTACAAGGGCCCCGCAAATGTCACTCCCGCGTTGGCCTCTGGGGCACAATTTCCCGTCAACGACCCACTATACCTTGTCCCCGCGATGGCAGCAGTCACAAAGAACATCATATTTGGAGTCACCGCAAGTCTCACGTACGAGAAGCCGTATGCTCTCGCTCGGAGACTTTCGACGGTGGACCATCTCAGCGAAGGTCGGGTGGCATGGAACATCGTCACCTCATACCTCGACAGTGCGGCGCGGAATCACGGTCTGAAAGAACAGATTCCCCACGATGAGCGGTATGCGATTGGTCATGAGTACATGGAAGTTTTGTACAAGCTTTGGGAGGGCAGTTTTCGAGATGGAGCTGTGGTCGCAGATCGAGAGACTGGGGTGTATATTCAACCAGATGGTGTGCTGGAAATCAATCACCGAGGCAAATATTTTGATGTCCCCGGCCCGCACTTCTGCGAGCCCTCGCCGCAGCGTACACCGTTTCTGTTCCAGGCTGGTGTTTCGGAAGCGGGGAATGGATTTGGAGGGAAGCATGGCGAGGCGATCTTTATCGGGGGACAGACGCCTGAAATTACGAGCGCGACGGTGAGAAATATTCGGGGGATTGCTGAGCAGGAAGGACGGCTTCCGGCACACATAAATATTATTGTGGGGATTAATGTGATTGTTGCGGCGACGGATGAAGAGGCACAGCGGAAGCGAGATGAGTATCTTCAGTACGCGGATGAAGAGGGTGCACTTGCTTTGTTTGGAGGCTGGACTGGAGTTGACTTGTCTGGGCACCCTGATGATGAAGATTTTCGATTCAGCGAGTCACCGAGAGTACAGTCTATCGTACGACGGTGGTCTGGTACAGTCCCAGGAACCGAGAATCTGCCATGGACGAAAAGACGAATTGTCGAGTACATCAGTGTGGGAGGGCTTCAGGCTAAGATTGTTGGTAGTCCTATCAGTGTTGCAGATGAGTTAGAAAGATGGGTGAATGTAGCTGGAGTGGATGGGTTCAACCTTGCTCACATAACGAATCCTGGGACGTTTGAAGATATCGTTGAGTTTTTGCTCCCCGAGCTGCGGCGGCGAGGACTTTTTCGCAGTAAAGTCGAGAAAGAAGGCGCCACTGCCCGTGAGGTCTTTATTGGGTCAAAGCGTCTGCCGGAAGATCATCCAGGAAGCAAATTCAAGTGGCATGCAGGAGAGGAGAGGCCCGTATATCAGTTTAAGGAGAACAGCAATAGTGCAAGTCAGATTATTGGAAGTGAATAAATTTGGCACTGAGAGATAGTGCCTACTAAGTTGGAACATGCGCTTCTGATACTCAAGTTCTATTTTCAATACAAATGATCAGAGATACATGCCCATATATATGACTTAGTATGAGCTTTCGGGTAACCATTTTCGATGTCGTTCCAGGGCTCAGGCTGCAAATGTACCAGTCCGCAGCTTATCCAGTGCTTGGGACAGTTTGCGATAATGCTCTTCAAAATACTCTCATCCTGACACTGGGCTTCATCATTCATTAAGTCGATAAAATAGGTGTTTGCGTAATAAGAGATTCCCTTAATGACCGGAAATCTTCCAGGGGTATATGCTAGGCCAGGATCGAAAAAAGTCGATGACTTCTGATTTCCAAGTCATCCACGGATGTCCTTACCATTCTAGTTCTGCAGGGCCTGCAGGGCCGACAAAGCTTGAGAGGTTAGGATCCTCCAGGTTTCTGGATGAAATTTCGCAGAGGGTTTTCAAAGATGCGTCCATCCAGATGTCTGCTAGGTAGAATATTCTGCAAGGCGCACTCGATGGCATCGGCAGGCATATTAGGAGTAGTCATTTTGGGAGTATCTACTAGAGATAGCGTCCCGACTGGGTCGGGTGAGTCGAAAGGAAAAGGAACGTCAAACAGACGGACGGTTATTGCGGCAGACGAATTGAATATGATCGAGTAGGAGAGGATCCGGTTTGTATAGGACATGCGCTGTTCCAAAAAAAGCCAATATGACTCTCAATGGTTAAGCTTGTTGTTTAAAGTTATTCCAAGTTCTCAATTCTTTAAGATCATTTGCCTCTGCAAAGCTGTTTGTTTGGTATATAAAGATGGTTTATTTGGAAGGTAGTCAGTCCTAGAAGGGTCTCAGTTTAGTGTGGCCTTGTAATTTATAGAGGATGTGCGCGATTTTAAAGCTGAGCGCATTCTTTAAGGTTGTTTGCTTCTTCGAAGACGTTTGCTTGTTCAAGAATCTTTGCTGTATAAGGTTATTCTAGAAGGTATATCTAGAAGGCTAAACTTAGTATGACTTGGAGTTTATATAGGCTGTGCGCGATTTGAAGTTGAGCAAATTTTCAGAAGTGGTTCCAAAAGAACATTGAAGGTATACTTCTAGACAAAATCCAGAAAAATTCTAGAATACTACTAGAATACTACTAGTATTTACTTTTAACATGGTATTCAGATTGATATAGGCTATGCGCATAATATGGTATCACCGTGGCGTTCAGATGATAGAGGCTACGCGCAATTTAAGGTTGAGCACATTTTCAACCTAGTATCTAATTTTAACATGGTATTAATACGGTGTTCAGATTGATAGAGGCTATGCGCGATTTAAAGTTGAGCACATTCTTTAAGGTTGTTTGCTTGTTCGCTGATGTTTGCTTGTTTGCTGTATAAGCTTATTCTAGAAGGTATAACTATCTAGAATGCTAAATTTACTATGACTTGGAGTTTATATAGGCTGTGCGCGATTTTAAGTTGAGCAAATTTCCAACCTGGGAGGCGGTTTCAAGAGAAGGGTACTTCTAGACAGAATCTAGGAAACTTCTACAATACTCATTTAATTTTAACACGGCGTTTAGATTTATAGAGGTTATGGGCGATTTTAAAGTTGAGCATGTTCTTTAAAGTCAAGGTTGTTTGCTCCTTTAAGGTTGTTTGATTGAAGGATGTTTGCGCTACAAGTAAAAGGTACTGGTACACCAAAAACACTAAACTCACTATCGTCTTAGATTTTACAGAGAACATATGCGATTCTAAAGCGAAGCATGTTTTTCAAATTATTTCCCCTTAAGCTTACCGCTCAAGCACATTTTGGTATGTTTTTACAATTAAAAAAACATTTACCAACACATTTTATGATTGGCTTCGTATGACATCCGATATGCACAGTTATTAGGTCAAGGATTCAAAACTGCGAAACCTACCTCCCTATGACCTCCCTACTCCCTACAGAAGACATATCTGATGATCGACTTCGTTGGTCTACGCAGATGGAAAAATTGCGTTAAAGGTTTATATAAAACATTGAACGAGCATGGGTTCCATTTGGATCGCTAAGCCTGAGAATTACTTGATTGATATGAAAGGCAATGCCTGCATAATTGACCTTGATGATAATTATACTGAGAGCTGGATTGACATCCATGAATTCCAATTTCCGATTAAGGAATCCCTTCGATAAGGCTGCGTCCCACATCAGTGTTGAGTTGTGGAGCCCATAGGTACATCGCCCAATAAGCATCCCATGTATCCCGCACGGACAAGTCGGAAAAAGCCGATGGCAACTTTGACGAGTTGAAGATTTTGCTTGCTGTTTGCATCCAGTTGGCCATAAAAGTTGACGAAGTAAGAATTTTCAACTCGGATGTTCTAATTCAAGCTCTACTCCACACCCCATGTTCACTGTTAACTGATCACTTCCTAAAACGCTCTGTGGACATGTCCGCTATACTCCGCCATATGGTATCTGGTCTTGAATGTCCAAAGGATTTCATTATGAATTGTTTGGTTGCGCTAGTGTCAACGCCCCACCCGACAGTCAATTTCAGATTTCAGATTTCAAATTTTCTTGGATTTAATAACGTTAAAATGCGATCTACTAACCTTTTGGAAGCTGCTAAACTGGCCAACTCATATCCAAAGTAATACTCACCTGATTTTTAACAATGCTGGCTCGTTTTCTTCAATCTTCTTCACTATAAAAAAGTCATATTTGCGGCCTCCGACATAGGCGAGATGTAAAAGATTTTGCCGAGTATATCTGGAGACTAAAAGCTTTGCCGAGCTAAAGTGGGTCCGTCAGCGTTTTCTAAGAAGTCAAAGTCCATCAGACTCCATCTTAACACAACCCCGAAGAAAATGAATACCCCCTATTGGCCCATTGTATTTATGAGGCATTCCGCATTATGGCGTGCTTTTGCAACAAGCTTTATCCGGAGGTACCAGAAACAAAATTTGATCTGGCTTGCCCGCGGGCACCTGTCAAGCCAGAGCGGCGAGAAAGTAAATAAATACTGTATAAGCCCATGCGTGGAAATCCGACGCCGTAAACTCTACTTTTTCCAAGCTTTTTGGCGTTAGCCAAGCCTTGTTACTCAGCCATGGCGCACGCCGACACCATCGAACACGCGGGCGTTGTGCCCGTCAAACGCATCTGGTACCGAACGACCATATTCAATGCCTGCGTCATTGGTGTTGTTGGATTCCTTGCCCCGGGCATGTGGAATGCCATGAACTCGTTGGGAGCTGGAGGAGAGGAGAAGCCGTTCCTAGTGAACGCCGCTAACGCATTGGTATTTGCGCTGATGGGTATATTTTGTTTGTTGGGAGGCCCGATCGCAAACCGTATCGGCATCAAATGGGCCCTGGTTATTGGTGCGATCGGTTATCCCCTGTACTCTGCAGGCTTGTACACCAATGACCGATTTGGCAACGTTTGGTTCGTTTTGGTGGGCTCCGCGGCATGTGGTATCTCCGCAGGCTTGTACTGGGCCACGGAGGGTGCTATCGCGATCGGATACCCGGAGCCTGGGAAGCGTGCTCGGTACCTCAATATTTGGGTTGTTTTCTCGATGATGGGACCCATTGTTGGAAATTCGATCGTTTTGGGATTGAATATGCAGACCGATGGTGAGGGAAGTGTTGGATACACAACTTACATTGTCTTTATTACACTGCAGTGTCTGGCTGTTCCGATCGCTTGTCTTCTATCGCCGCCAGAGAAAGTGCAGCGTTCTGATGGATCTGCCATCATCCTCCGCCCGGGCGCGACTTGGAAAGAAGAATTCCAGTCGCTGTGGCGCACCTGCAAGGAGTGCAGGGTGATTCTGCTTTTGCCCATCTTTTGGGCGATTTACTTCAATGAATACTCAGGCAACTTTGAGACATATTATTTCAGTGTCCGTGCACGTGCCCTGATTGCCTTCTTGGGTGATTGGGTCTGCATCTTTGCGTCACAGGGCCTCTCACTATGGCTGGATTGGAAGAAGTTTGATCGCAAAACCCGCATCACCTATGGATGGTACTGGGTTATGGTGGTCCACGTCACCACCTGGATTTATGCATGGGTTGTGCAGTCAGAATATACTGCCAACCCGCCAACGCTTGACATTTATACCCCCGGTTTTACCAAGGGTGCTTTCACCCTTTTCCTCTGGCAGTTCGCCCAACAGACGGGTATCAACTGGTTGTATTATACGGTCGGTGAAATGACTGACAACTTGTCTGAGCTGACCCGGTTGACGGGTATCCTGCGTGGACAAATGAGCTTCGGCGAGGCTGTTTCATACGGTCTCAATACCCACGATTGGTATGGTGGCCGTGCCCCAATGGCTGTCAACACAATCCTTCTAGGTGAGTTTTGGGAAATAGAGAGATAGAGGTGTATCAAAGTCAGACACTAATTCATGCCATAGGTCTTTGCGTGGTTCCCACATGGATTGTCGTCCACAAATATATCCCCAACGATGAGGCTGAGAGCTCCATCGATTCATCTGACGAGCAGATTGAAAAAGAAGTGATTATCAACGACAAGGAGAAGATATCCACTGATGTCGCTCAAACATAATGACCCTGATTCACATGTGAGCAGTGAATGCTGGATTGTGGCCCCTCGGTATCCCATGGCCCCAGCCGATAATATTGCATGACAGGATGAGATGCTATCAAAAATCAGTATGTGTTAGATTTGTAATTAAATTTCTAGATCAGTTTAATGCTGAATAATGAGTGATATGTACTTTTCGTTTTTCTCCAATCATGCAGATCGCTCGATTTAACCTATTGGATCCGCCATATCAAACCACGGGCTCGAAATGTCTTGGGTCTTGTGCCTGACGGTGGGTCTTGTCGATCAAGCTTGATTCATATTTGCTCCACATGGGTGTATGGAGCCGTGAGCATAATTTCTCACAGCCAAAATGAGGAAGAAAGCTAAAGTTATTACTTTCAGTTCGGGTAAACACTGAAAGAGTTGACGCATGTGAATTTGTGGCAAGAGGAAGGAAATTTAGAAGAGAGAGAGAGAGAGAGAGAGAGAGAGAGAGAACTCGGATACGGGCGGTGGCTTCGGACTCCGATGTCTTGTTATTAACGATTTTATAGTCAGCCTTGATATCTGCAAGAGTAACCGTGGGTGTTTTATACGGAGCATTTTTGAAATTAAGAAGCTTTTCTACTCCACTTAAAAGGTTAACCTTATGGGCCCATATAATACTATCAGTATTGTAAAATCCACTTATACCCTTCTTGCGATCGTTTCCTCCTCTAATTATTTTAAAGAAATAAAAAAAAAAAAACAAGAAGAAATAACACTGAGCTGGCCAATCAAGTCAATTCCCAAGGGTCACTGTTGTTTCCACCAGATCGTGGCTTGTGGCTTGTTACGGAGTAAATCAACGCTTAAGGGGGGTCTTCCAATTGATTGACATACGCAACATTTCAAGGCATGGCGTCTTGGAGTGTTTCAGGGATCTGATTGGAGGGACAATGCAATACGGCATATTAATATTCTCAAGCTTTGTAATGTTCGCGCTAAACGCCCGATTACTACTCGTGAAAAGTGCCACATTAGTCCCCGCAATAATCCAGGAACGAGATTAGACGGTACTGACACGCGTTCAACTTCACATTTATGAACCATCGCTTTTTCTACCAGCCAAATATGTGTCATTCACAGCTCCCTTTTACATCTCCTTGTCACAGAAAATGTTCCTGTGGCGTTGAGCAGGTTTTCGATCGCTAATATGGCATGTTGGATGGGGAGGAGAAACAAGATAAGCACCCCCGCATCTAGTCAAAGGAAGGCTTAGCCTTATCCTTCTCAGAAGCGAAGGAAAACACCATAACGGGCGTCCGTCGGAAATAATGCAGAGAAAAAGATGAAATTGATTCTTCAGGACGCTAAATCAGTTGGCTTAATTCCCTACGCAATCGTGACAATGTCATTGGTGCGCGCTGCTAAGAATCGTCATAACAGAGCAGAAACTTCATCTCCAACGCTACCAATACTATCTGCACGAACCATCGCACTAACCCAAATTGAAACAATGTCCCTGAAGATAGTGCTTTGGGCCCGACGTGGATGTCCTGACGAAGTAAATCTAAATTAACCGCCCATGGAACCCCCGCCCATAAATGTATTCAATTATCTATTTAAGATCCCCCAACGCGCCATCAGGGAAGACTTTCTTTTCTTCGTTCACACTCATCTCCTCAGCTTCCCTCTCCTCATCTTACCAGAATGTATCGCGTAGCTGGACTAGCGGCACTGTCCCTTGCGGCCTTGACCGTGAACGCAGCTCCCGTTGAGCATGTGCACCCCACTGTCGACCATCTGGCTAAACGCACTCTGCAAAGCCGCAATGTTGACCTCAAGGTTTCCACTTGGAAGCCAACTGCTCTTGGTACCTCCAGCACCCTCTCAAAATCTGGAGGCGCTATGAGCCTGAGCAAGGTTAACACAAACCGTGCCAACCCCCGCAGCGCGGCGTACCTGAAAGGATTGACTGGTAAAAGCACAACCAGCTCAGGCAGCGGTGGACTCATCTCCCTATTTGAAGGAGAAGAGTTTGCCACATCCATCACCTTTGGCACCCAGACTTTTGATGTCATTGTCGATACTGGCTCCAGTGATACTTGGGTCGTCAAGGAGGGCTTTGAGTGCATTGACCTTGATACTGGCGACAAGACAACAACCGCCACTTGTGAATTCGGCTCCACTTACACTGTTGATAGCACCTTCTCCAAGATCTCTGGAGAAGAGTTTGAGATTGAGTATGGTGACGGTGAATACCTGTACGGCTACTTGGGCACCGAGACTGTGACTCTTGCCTCCATTACTGTGGACCAGGAGATTGCTGTCGTCACCGAGGCTGCCTGGGAGGGAGATGGCACTACCTCTGGACTGACTGGTCTTGCTTATCCTGCACTGTAAGGACTATCCCATCATTGAACGCCAGAATAGCGTGCTAACTAGATGGTCTCCTCACAGGACGAGTGCTTACAACACCAAGACTGACGATCAGGAAGTCTACAACCCGATTTTCACAACCATGTACAAGGACGGCTTGATTGACTCCTACTTCAGTCTGGCTATTCTGCGTGATGTCTCTGGTGCTGCAGGCTACCTGACTCTTGGTGGCTTGCCCCCGGTTAACTTCACTGAAGATTGGACGACCACCGACATTCTTGTTACTACGATTGAGGGATACTCAGATGCCTACGACTTCTACACCATTAACATTGACTATGTGTCAATCAACGGTGTGGAGGTTTCTGGATCGGGTGGCTCCACTTATCAGTACATCGTAGGTCACCTGTTGTCATCTGAATTATCCGAACCTTTTATCGGACCCATATACTGACTAATTGGGCTAGGTCGACTCCGGAACGACTTTGAACTACTACCCCACCTCTGTGGCTGCTGCCGTAAATGCTGCCTTCAGCCCTGCTGCTGTCTATAGCGATGACGAGGGTGCTTACGTTGTTGACTGCGATGCTACTGCCCCAACTCACACTATCACTATTGGTGGTACCGCTTTCACCATTAACCCGCTTGATATGATCCTTTATGCTGGCACTGATGATGATGGAAATGCTGTCTGTATCACCGGTATTGAGGACGGTGGTGATGATGCGACTGAGGATATTTTCATTCTTGGTGATACTTTCCAGAAGAACGTGATCACTGTCTTCGATGTCGGCGCTGTTGAGCTCAAGTTTGCACCACACGTGGATTATACCTCCAACGACACTTACTAGATGTCCTCGGGGAATAGTTGATGTCAATTTGAAGTTTCGTGGAAGCTCAACACAAGACATGGGCAACATTATGACAGTATCAATGTTTCTTCTGGATATATTTAGCCTTTGGATGTCGGATGTGTGCTCAAGACCTTGCAATGTGTGTCAAGTTATATTTGAAAGACTTTCCTGGCCATAAAATGCCCACCGAGTAACGATTTTTCAATGAAATGATGCACATGAACAATCCCTTTTGAAGTTCGACTTTATGTACGGATAGTTTGGATCAATTAATTTTTCAAAGACTTCATACTACGTACTACGTTGGCCCCAAGTCCCCGAATCATCAGATCAATAAGGGGGCTGGGGTAACCTGTGGAATCTACCGCTTTGGACCCCATCGGACGTAAATTAAAAACCCCCGCTATAATCTGACTGCATGATTAGCCGAGCCTATGGGCATTCTTTCCGTCAAGCCTTCCACTGAGGTGGTCAATCAATGACCCCAAGCTCACAACTGAGTCTTTCCCCTCAGCCGCGCCAGGAACTAGACCCTAGCCGGGGGCCGGAACCTCATGCACCTATAAACATCTTGCACCCCAGATAATCGCCCTAAACCCAAACATCTCTACCACCCACCAATCTACATACTAAAAATTCAAACAAGCATCATCATGGCTCCAACCGTGCTTTTTGTCCCAGGATTTTGGGAGGGCCCAACAGTATTTGAAAAAGTGACCTCCCTCCTCACAGCAAGCGGCATATCCACCGAAGTAGCCAAATTGCAAAGCACCAACACCACATCCCCCGGGAATCCCGGAATGAAAGACGACGTGAAGGGCATCCGCGCCCACATTGAAGCGATTCTAGCCCGAGGAGAAGACGTGCTCCTGGCCCTCCACTCAGCAGGTGGCTTTCTCGGCAGCGAAGCAATGCAAGGACTAGACAAGAAGACCCGCGGAGACCAGCCCGGTGTAGTGAGCATCGTATTCCTGGCAGCAGCCGTTTTCCCCGAGGGCTACCAGCACCAACCGTTACCTTTTGCCGTGGTGGAGGTTCGTGTATCCGGAACTGAATTCTTTACTTAATTGTACTCTGTAAAACTAACGCAGTCGCAATATGGCAGGGCGGCGCATCTTACTGCGCGCAACCGGAGATTTTGCTTCTAGGGGATCTGCCCGAGGAGGAGAAAGCCGGATGGCTTGACGCCATCAAGCCGCAGCCTGCACAGGGGTGGGACGACACGGTTAGCTATGCGGGGTGGAAGGATGTGCCGAGTGTTTATCTTATCTGCGATGAGGATAATGCGCTACCGGTTCCGCTTCAGGAGCAGCTGGCTGCTTTGGCGGGGAGCAAGATCGAACGATGCAGTGCGGGTCATTTGCCGATGCTGAGCCAGCCGGAAGCTGTGGCTGGTGTGGTTCAATCAGCGTTAGCTTGAGTATCTTAAGTGAATGGTGGTTGAGTTTTTGAATTTAGCTTTGAATATCAAAGGAGACCTTCAGAGGTAAAAACGATACCATTTCTAACATAATTAATTAGCTAAGTGACAGTCTAGTAACTTGTAAGTATCACACTGAGTGGGGCTATCTGAAGAAGTTCGTGCCGGGTGTTGTGAATCTCCCTATACTCCGTACTAAACATTGAGCGGGCAAGCGTCAACTATACTATCAGCGATTAAAATAGACAGAGTTAGTAGCTAGACTGAAACTTGTGTCTCCATACTCCGTACGTACGGAGTACTCCGTAGATGTTTCAAATCCTCAAAACAAAAAAGCCGAGCTATCACTGGATAAGCGGAGTGTACTAGTCCCAAATAGGAAGCGAAGAGTTTGAAGCTTTTAGGCAACAAGAATTCCAAGTCTTGATCTATCGACTTTTTAATGGCGATGAGGAGCTGAGGTGGAGAATTTAGATAGCTAAACTTCACGTTAATACCAAATAGGCTCATCACGCCGCGCGTACAAGATTAAGCTTCCCCATTTGTTGATCCACGGAATTTTCTCGACTCCGTGAATCGGTAGATTTTTTTCAAATGAGTTTGTATTAACGACATTCCAATGACTACCTGCAGATTTTCAAAATTTCTGTGAGCCAATCAACATCATAGATGCAAGCTTGCCGTTGGTCTCCAACAGAATCTCCCCAAACATACATACATTTGCTTGGTAGCATGGAAAAGGGGCCGGGGTGTACCAAGGTTGACAGGCTCATCGCTCTGAAGTGGGATTACAATGAGTGCGAACTTCGTCAAAAATCTCACCAAGCAGTTGAGAAATTACCGGCTTTCCACGCCATGGAGCCATAGCCGGAGCCGGAGCCCTGTCTATTCAGATTTGGGTAAGAACGCATATTGGACACAACGCCAACGTGACGCTTGGAAGTTGCCATGTCTCCCATTTACGCCAAGGAGGGACGAATGGGGAAAGATGCGAGCATGTCCATGGATAGCCGGCGCTGTCCTCTTCTTGAATATTATCTTGGCCCTGGTGGCATTTGGAATTGGATACTCCAAAAAGGCCAACAAAGGTCAATTCGAGATGGTCGAGCTTTACCAGGGGAGTTGCAATGTGTCGAACAGAATGGCTACCGTGCTACATCTTATGATTAACGTTCTGAGCACGGTGCTACTGGGCGTGAGCAATTACACGATGCAGTGTTTGGGGGCACCATCTCGTGCCGATGTTGAACTTGCTCATCAGAAGCACAAATGGCTTGATATTGGGACATTTAGCATTCGCAACCTTGGAGTCATGAACTGGAAACGCCGCACTCTCTGGGGGCTTTTACTGCTCAGCTCTGTTCCTATTCATATGCTTTATAACTCGGTTGTGTTCCGATCAATCTCGGACTTGGACTATGGTCTCTTGATCGTTCCTGACGACCTGTCTTCATCCGAATCGCTAGTTGAAGATAAGGTGGCCCGGTCGGCCTTTTATGACGCCATTGGAATCAGCGCAGTCAAGATACACGCTGAAATCTTTGACGGCACATTTTATAATACGACATTGTCGGACTGTGTTGAACAATATGATACGGCTTTCAACAACAAGTACAACACAAATCTCGGCACAGTCATACTGACTGCAGAACGACAGTACCTCCAAAACGTGAGCAGTATGTATGGGCCAGCTGATGATATCAGTGATTATGACGCCTACTCTGCCATTTCTGAAATCAAGCAATTTGCCACGAATGGAACTTGGAATGTTACTGCAGAATTCTGGAGCTATCGCACCTGGGATTTCAAAGCACCAGATGGGCGCAACTTCTCTTCTATTGATGACGTTCTCGACATCTATATCAATGAGAATAAATCTGTGATTGCAGACGACCTGGTTGTTCTCGGGAATTATTTGAGCCAGAACAACCCGTCTGCCACGTCCTTGCAGACTTATCTCAACACCAAGTCACATTGGGAAAACAGTACCTGGGCGGCCGATATTACTTTCCACTTTGCAGGACATCACAGTAATCCGGGATATGATCTCAGCTTCCCAGTGACCGGCTGCAAGTACAAATCAGCGACCGAGCGGTGCCAGATTTTCTTCAGTCCTCCTATTGCTATCACAGTCGTTGGTTGCAACGTTGTGAAAGTAATTTGCATGGTCCTCGCGGCTCGAATGAGCCGCACGGGTATCTTCTTCACTGTCGGGGATTCCGTGGCTTCCTTTCTCGTTAGCCCTGATCCCACGACAAAGAACCGCTGTCTGTTATCGCGTGTTGATGTTATGAAAGGGTCAGAGATATGGAGTAGACCCATAAGAACGTTCAATTTTGCACATTTTTTTTCTTCGAGGCGAAACTCCGATCCCCCGAAAGATATGGATATTCTTTTGCGGGATAACAATCCCGATTCAACGAACCTTGTATCGTCGACGGTACATCCGAGATTAATTTGCCCCAAAAAGAAGCGTTGGTGTCAAGCAGCAACCTGGCGACGCTGGACGGTCACTTCCATTGTGTAAGCCTGTCTCTTCCCCCAGCCGCAATCTTCAGTCCAGCCTGACTCTAATATGCCTCTCTGCTTAGCTTTATTTTCTGCGAAGTGTACTTTACTTTCATATTTATTCTCGGCGCCATCGTGACTGATGCAGCGCAAGAGGGATCAGTATCCACCTTCTTCGCCGATATCTGGAGCCTGGGATTCGGATCAGTCAACACAGACACATTAGAGGATATGAGCGAAGCTGGGAGCTTGGTCTTGAGTAACACCATGTTCTTGATCTTGATATCCAATTCGCCGCAATTCTTCCTGTCCATCATATACTTCCTCACCAACGGCTTGCTCACGTGCATGCTTGGAGCAGCCGAATGGGACCGGAACGCCTTCCAGCGGCGACCACTGCGCGTATCCAAACCCCAAGGCGACCAACGCTCAACATTTTATCTCACCTTGCCTTACCGATATGGGGTCCCAAATCTGATATTCTTTGCTCTGACCCACTGGATGGTCTCTGAAAGCTTTTTCTTCGTGAACGTACAGGGCTACGATGTCCACAACGTGAAGGCCGACTACAGTTCTGTGCAAGGCTGGTGTTTCTCGGCGCTGCCGGCCTTCATTGCTTCTCTACTGTTGTTGCTGGGGTGGATAGTACTCGTCTCACTTGGATTGAAGAGGTTCAAGACGCATGCACCGCTTGTGGCGCATTGCAGTGCGGCTATCAGCGCATCTTGCCATCCCCCTCCAGACGACATTTATGCGGCATATAGACCTCTTATGTGGGGAGAGGTGGATCGACCAGACAACATTCTTGGAGATGGAGAATGGAGCCATGATGGTTCATCTGGGGAACAGACAGAATCGTCAACGATTGGTGAAATAGGGCTGGCAGCTGTGCAAACTAGTTATGGGCACTGCTCACTGACCTCGAAGGAAGTCCAAACACCGCAGTTGGACCGCATGTATTATTAACCCTGGTTTCACACACTTGGAAGCGAAGAATAATATAACATTCCGTAAATATTTCCGAACATTGAAATTGGCCTGCATGATGATTTAGATGCATATGGAGGTTTTCTTCTACATACACATGTGCAATCAAATTCAGGCTTTAACTCTTGAGGGTCAGCTATGTATATTTGCGCAATCCAAGAGCCCAGGCCTTGAGGGGGTTCTTACTAAAAATGAGCAACTGTCTGTCAACTGGAACATCCAGGGCAAAAAATGCAAAAGCAAAAAGAAAATGCGTGCATCATCCGTGAATCGAACACGGGCCTCGTCGATGGCAACGACGAATTCTACCACTAGACCAATGATGCTTAGTCATTATTGAGACGGAGGAATTAAGAAATAAGAGGATGTGGGCTATATCGCAAAGAAAATGAGAAAAGAGAAAAAAAAGCAAAAATAAATGCTTGCATCATCCGTGAATCGAACACGGGCCTCGTCGATGGCAACGACGAATTCTACCACTAGACCAATGATGCTTAGTCATTATTAAGACGCAGGAACTTAGATATAAGAGGCTGCACACTCGTATTGATGTGAAAGACTTGGGCATGGACTAGGATAACCTTTGGCCGACTTGCTTCATGTAGGCGATGAACTACTTACTCTTTTAGAATTCATTGGAATATTTTTGAACTTCAAGCACAAGCCAAAAAAAAGTTTAAAATCCACGGCTAATTTGCCTTTTCGAATTCGAGATGTCAGATGCAAAGGTTTGAAGTGGTGGGTGTCGCAAATATATACCCGGAGCCTGGAGGGTTTCCCATGTACAAAGGAAATGATCCTTCCGAAGTCAGCTACACATGCATGTAGACCCTTAAGTGCAGGCTCAAACCGTGGACATCTGAATGGAACAAGGTTACTCGGGCTGCATCAATACATCCATTACCTCAAGATGGATAAACCTTCAATTGGAACCACCTGCATGTGGGCAAGGTTGGAAATTGTCCACGGGTGTACTTGAGACTGGTAGTGCCCAGGTGTACCTGACGAAAGCCTAGGTATAAATTTCCAAGGGCTCAAATGTTCAAAAGGAGTTTCCAAAAAAGACTAGAATCGTCAAGTACTATATAGGAATGCAATGGATGGACAAGGTTGATCAGGGCGGATAATGGGGTCCAATTGGAAATGATGAAATTGACAAATCGCGAACTCTATGTATCTCTAAAGGGTATATTGAAAACTATCTTGTAACACCAACATCAAAATCAGTGCGAGTGGTGATCCGCAAAGACACCTTGTTCCGCACATGCCTTCTGGCATTCCTGCAATATTCTCGCCTGCTTGGCAATATCGCCAAGTCGACCGATGACCTCCTTATTGCCATCGTAGAAAGTAAAGACGGCATAGGGAATCTTGACATCTTCGCAGAACTCCCGCACAAACTGTTGCGTCTTGCGCAAGTTATGACGAGGAATGCGAGGGTACAAGTGGTGAATCGCCTGGAATTGAAGACCACCGTGGAAGAAGTCCAACCATTCGGGGCAATCCACGTCCATGGTTGTGCGCAGCATCTTCTGAGGGAAAGACTCATGAGGACCAAGATCGGCAGTCGACATAGCATAGTGAGAAAGAGTGATTTGTACATGGAGCGGTGCAGTAACCATGTGAGAAATGAGGACGAAGGCGACCCGACTATACCAATCCGGGATACTAGACCAAACAACGCCATAGCCGAACCAGATCCAGAAGAAAATCTGGCCAGAGAGTTCAAACCAGCGGTGCCACCAGCCGGCACCGTTCTTAGGGCCAAGTCCAAGGTAGATGTGCTCCCAGCTCAAGAAGTAGAGGTTGAAGCGACCGAAAAGAAGGATAGGGTAATACATGTAGTGTTGGTATTTAACAGTGAATTTGGCGACCGCATCAAATGCCATGACCCGATCGTGGTATGTGCTGTATAGACTGTCGAAAAATCGGTGCGACAAGGCGAAGAAGGGCATAAGTTCAATATCGGGGTCGTGCTCGGGCGCATTGGTGACGATGTGGTGAACGTTGTGGCTGCGCTTCCACCAACCAAGACTCAGCCCACCCAAGTGGTTGGCAATAACCATGCCAATAACAGTATCGGTCTGGAAGTCATGTGTGATACCCATATGGCCAGCATCATGAGCAGAGAAGACTAACTGGTGCCAGAAGCAACCCAGGAAGAAACCAGACAAGCAGAACCAGTGCTTCTTCAAGAAGAAGACGAAAAGACCAAAAAAGAGTGAGTATCTGCAGATCTCAACTGCGTAGGCGTAGTAGTTACAGTTGTAAAGTCCGGCGGCACGAATGCGCTCGTTGAGCTGGCGATATTTCTGGACGATGTTCTCCTGATCTTCAGCGTCGAGGGACGGATATTTGGACTCATCCAACTTGATCTCTTCTTGGGTTCGAGCATCTACCACCAGTGTTCGCGCTTCTGTGTCTAGTGGGGGGATAGAGCTGACGGCAGATGCCACGGTCGATACTGACAATCTGCGTCGCAAGCCGGATGTGTCTAACGTAGCTTCGAAAATGGGAGAAGGTGGAGCTGATTCATCGGTGGACAGGGGGGTTGATGGGCGCTCGAATTCTTCCTCGCAGTATGGACGGAAAGTGCCTCCCTGAATGGGAGGGAGAAAGTTCCTCCATCGCCCTTCGATGCGACCAATTTGAAACTTGCTCATTTGTTGGCGGGCTTCTGGTGAATGTAGACTTTGGACGGTCAGCATGAGTATAAGTAATTGATTAGTATTCAAGAGAGATGTAGGACTCACGCATTGACTTCATCTGTGGCATCTTTGCCAATCATATGCTGGATGGCCAAGTCGCCTCCAGGGTGGAATTTGACCCAAGCATCCAATTTGAGTACCTTGTCATCGACAATGATAATGATGTTCTTTGAGGCAATCATGCCTTCAATCTCGCGCCTGGACAAGACATTGTCCCTCGCCCTAGCGAGGGTGGCCATCTTACTCATTTGAGCAGTAGCAAGAGGAAGGAGTAAATAGGATAAAGATGGAGATTCTCCAAAGCTTGCAAGACGTCTTCTACGTACGGTGTTGAGAGTATAGGGTGCGTCTCAAGCTTGATATTTGATAGTGAAAGAAACTTCAAACGAGCATGGAAAACAAATGTCAAGAACCAGAGAAGATATACAGAACACTATAACGTGACTATTTCAAATGGTTGGAATCGTAGGTACTTCCTTAAATGTATTTTCTTTTTTTCCCTTTTTGGAATTGCATGGAAGGCTAGTGATTGGGACAGCATCGCAAGTGTACATCTATTCTGCTACCTAGAATTTAGCGCCATAGGGTAATAGGATAGACCCCCTTCATTTCCATCCGTGGGTTTAAAAAGGGGGGCTGTGTAAACGAAAGGCTCAATTAGATAAACGTGGTAGATACCCGTTGTGGAAATGAGGAAGGATGGATGCGAATACGGGGACCTGGACGACTGTGGACGAGTAATAGGCAACGAGGATGAAATTAGCGACGCTAACGGGTTATACGCGCGGCCGATCTGTGATTGCACGTGACCTGGCCCAGTGTAATCTGTGGCTCAAGGAGGCTTGAGAGGACACCTATTACTACATGACGGTGTAGAACGAGTGGTACTGTGTGGCTACTGAGGGCCACTGGGCCACTCTATTTTAAAGTTTCTTTAGGGGCAAATCCACAATTAAAGTAAATTGACTCCGCAGAAAAGGCTAGTTTTAGCGTTTGCCGCTACCGTGGGTCCTGGCACGTGCGAACGCAATTCCCTTGGCTTTCGCCTGCGCTACTTTGGTTAGCATTAGCACTTGTTTAGTCCCATTTTGACGTGCCGCCCCTGGTGAGGCCCAGAAGGGGCCACTTGACTGGAACAAAGTGGTCTCCACCCTTACCCCCATGCTCGGCTACAATTGTCTCACCAATGGAAATGTGTGAAAACGTACTCGTATTAATTGCCTAACTACTTCACACCCTAAAAACCCAACGTACCCAACGTACCTATTGCTCCATCAGTGCCACCCATTGGCATGTCAGGCGGGCAACCGTCAATGGTATCCATTTTTAGCAACATGTCTCACCATTTTCGTTTATCTAGTACTGTGCGCGTCGAATTGATCAGGGGTTACGGAGTAGAACCCCACTACCCATACCCCTTACTCCTGCGTATTCGGATGATGAGTATTAATAGGGCGCCTTGAGAACAGATTATCCACGCGGCTCCACATTAACTTCAGAGTTTTCTTAATCCTTCGGCCGCTAAAACGAGCCAAGGCTCCAGGAGATAGGGGACAGTGGGGAGAGCGGGGATTCCATTAAGCATACTCTGTATGAACAAGGCTACTTCATACCGAAGTATTTAATATTGAAACGAATCTAAAACAAAACGGACTAGTTTTGATTTGTTAGAGCGAAATTTCAATCCGTAGATCAAAAAAGAGGCAAAAAAAAAAGAAGTGGCAAGAACAAAGAGAGAACAAAAAAGGGGGTTAGATGCGAAATCTCATCCATCTGATCTGTGTGCCTGTGCCTGACAATCTAGAAAACTCTAGAAGGGGGGTCGAGCAAAAAAGGGAGATCAGGACCGAGGGAAAGTTGCTTGGCATTACTACAACCATTTAATGGAACATTGAAATCTTTCAATTTGTTCAATCAGGGTCTTTCCCGTTTCCCCCCTAGGAAACAGACACACTTTAATCATCCCGTCAATGAACTTTGTTTCGGACCGTTGGTCAATGCCCTCCGTGTCTGATAGAGCTTTCCTTTTATGGAAGTTGCCTACGGAGCACATATCCGTACATTTTCTCTCATGTTGATCTTTGGTCTGCCTAGCTTTTTCATATTTTCGTACGCATACCACGTGTGCAAATCCGAACCTGCCTAGTACCCAAGCAAATTATGTATCTGCTTTTGCCTCGCTGGTAGTGTCACTGGTGTTTTCGATAGCTTCAATTTGACCCACGGGCCACATTTCAATCCCCGCTCGTTTGTCCAAATGAAAAACAATTCCAAAACAATCTCCATGGAGTAGATTCTGAGACATTGGTACGGAGCACCACTTCAAATTTTCAAGTAATGGAACTTCTCCGGTGGACAATCATGACAGGTATCCAGAAATCTGGAGGTATCGCCACTTCGCAACGCTGGTTTCGTGTTAATGCGGGGCATCCTGAGCCCCAGGAAACATTTTTGCCTAATGTTGCTCATGCGCCATGGCGTTTTCCAACTGCAGTACAAATAAAGAGTTTACCCGGAAGCAACCCCAAGAGGACATGGTAGAGTTCACGAGATTGCCCCATTAAAAGACGACACACCGAAAACACATACGTACCCATAGCCACAACCACATCTGCCGTTGTCATCACATTCGCGTACACGGTACTCCGTACAAGCCACCGGGGTGGAGACGAAGTTGGTCCCACTGGTTGTCCAAATTACACTTCGAGGGACACGTGACCTTTTTTAAAGGTAAAGCCTTGAAGCCTGGCATTTCAGGCCACAGGTCCAGGAGGTCAGGTGCTTTTTCCCGTGCAACAAATGATTGGCCTTCCGTCCTTAAGAATACCACAGTACATACATGTATGGCCTTGGAGATGGTCGTCATTTGAAGGCTCAGACCCCTTTTCTTTTGTTTTCTCACTGTCTCCCAAAATGTGATCCAATGATCACCGGTGCTGTCGATAAGCTATTCAACGTCAGAGGAATAGTGGCGTTGGTCGTGGTCAAATCAAATCACTCTCTCCAGCCGACCGTCGAAATGACGCATCAGGCAGTAGGCATGCATCACATTGATTTGCCCCTGAAACGAGTCTTTTGAAATCCGTGGCACACCTTATCTTTTCTGGGGGTCTGGGACACTTCGCTCATCGTGCAGGTACATTATGTTCCTGGACAGCTGATTGAGTTGAAAGACACGGGTTGCCTAGTGTGACGCAATGACACAGATTATGACCAGAGAGATTTGCGGATTTACATATGCGGATTCAGATGTTGGAATATCACATTTTCCTTTTTGTCCCACAGCAAAGGCCTGAATATTTCCAAGGTTGTTCACACCGTACTGTTAATGAGGAGGAATTGGGAAAGCCATCCATGGAATGTGTTAGTCTTTTTCGCTGGCAGGCTTAATCTGTTTAGATTTTGCTTTTGACGTCATGCCATACAATAAGGTAAGAGATATGTCGATCTTTAATTTTTTGCATCAACAAACTTGACGTCAGACTCACCCCTCATCAATTGAGCAATTGGGTCTTTGATTTAAAATGGAGGCGATGTTGTCCTCGTTAGGAATGTCAAAAGTCCATCTCAACTTTCAAAGGAAACACTCCACATCCGACCCACAAAGGTGGATCGATTTACATATACATACTTCTTTCAAATTACAATACTCCATACTCAGTCAATATAATCTCCAACACAAGCCAACTATATCCAACCAGCGTATTAGCCATCAGCCATGCCTCTCTTTTCACGCGATTCCACCGCTAGTGCCTCTTCTTCCAGTCCTCGCTCATCCATCCTGACCCACTCCTCTGCTGGTCACAAGGAATCTTCCCGCTCGTCTTTTTCGTCTAGGTCGGAATCTTCGGCGGGGAGCCATCGCCGACGAAGCATTCTGCACCGCACGCCCGAAGATCCATCAATTCAAACCGCACGAGAGCAGGTCCTTCGCGCGGAGACCGCAGAGCAAGAGGCTGATAGAGCTTTGATTCTGTCCAGAAGGGCTGTGAAGGAGGCTCGAGATCACGTTAAACGCCTTGAGCGTGAGGCTTCTGAGGAGTAAGAAACAATGTTGCATACTACTACTCATAGATTGCAGTGTCACTGACATAAGTTCTTCCTGTAGAGCTCGACTTGCTAAAATCAAACACGACCAAGCCAAGTCCATTTCCAAGCGAGCGAAGCCTTTGGGCCGTAAGTCGTTAGGATTTCCACAACTGTTCTATACAAAAGCTTACAGACAAGCCAGGCCACATGTAGAACTATACCCAAATCAGTCAAAGGAGAGATCAACCCCAGGATCGGGATTAATATCTCTCCTTGCCGTACTATCACCAGCCTTAACTCTTATGTACCATTATCATGCGTCACGATCTCCATGTTTGACTAACCAATGCTCTATGTATTCTACTATTCCTTCTCCTCATGTTACCTATTTGACTTTATCATCGATCACAATACACGAGGATTCTTGAGCATTGCCGTATATTTATTGAATAAGATGTTTGATTAATTAGTAGACATATTCGTGCATGATAAGGTTGCAGTCGGAAGGTTACCCCATCCCCGCCTGACGCGGTGATTTTTTTTTCCTGCTCTTAAGGGCTTTATACGACTCGTTACTACCTAACACCCGACGGCACGTGTTAAACCTGCATTTTTCTCCGTAAAGCACCTGCCGTTCTCTTATGCACTCATTGACACTTCGATCAATATACACGATGCTTTCTTTCCGAAACTGGATGAGCAGGTGGCGGTAAAGGAATAACACTTCGGATTTAACAATCTGTGTGACTCTACACAACTTTAACCGTTTTAGTGACTCGTTGGTACAGAGACTCTGTTTGCGCCCCCTACGCGGTAGCATGGTGTATTTTACGTACCCAGGCGAATTAAAAGGACCCAGTTACTCTTTGAACATACTTGCACCAGCTCTCTTTTCATCAAGTCAACCTGGAAAGTAGTCGACCTTTTTCTGTGAATCCAGGATAGGTCGGCTCCAGGGTTTTTATTCAAAATGACCTTGCTTTTTGGATGGATTCCATTACCCACTCCAGTATTGAACTTTCATATGTGACGCTCTCTGCATTCAAAATCGAGCATAGAGTTACACTTTTCGCATCAGCTGCCATATGCGAAAATCACCCTCCGAAGCAGTTGCAGGATCACTGTTAGCTCCGGGGGTCCGACCAATCTATGGGTATATAAATTGTACCCCAGGTCATAATGGCAATATGGGCCTGCCTCCAAATCTCCTAAGTTCAGGGCTACTCACTTAGGTAACATGGCTCTCCGAAGCATCTTAGTCGCTCTCATCTCCGTTCTGGGGACATGGATAGGATCGGCCTCTGGTTTGCCATCATCAAATAATAGCAATGGAGTGCAGGACCAGCCCGGAAATCGTTTAGTCTTTGCACATTTCATGGTATCTCAATGAACCAGACTCGGATGTTGCTGAAACATGCTAACGAAAACATATTAGATTGGAATTGTGAGTGACAGAAGTAGCCCCTCTGCCTTTGACGATGACATGCAAAGAGCAAAGTCGCTTGGAATTGACGCGTTTGCATTGAATATTGGCGTGGATCCTTATACCGATCAACAGCTGGAGCTCGCTTACGAGTCTGCAGCAAACAATGATATGAAAGTTTTCATTTCATTTGATTTCAACTGGTGGAATACTGGCCAGGCTTCTCAGATCGGGCAGAAAATTGCCCAGTATGCGAGCAAACCAGCCCAGTTGATGGTTGATGGCAAGGTTTTCGTGTCTTCATTCTCTGGCGATGGTTTAAATGTAGCTGCTTTGCGAGCAGCTGCTGGGCGACCGATTTTCTTCGCGCCCAACTTCCACCCATCGTATGGGACAGATATTTCTCCCGTCGATGGATTACTCAACTGGATGGCTTGGCCAAATAACGGGAAAAACAAAGCCCCCGATCCAGGGTCCAATGTCTCCGTTGCAGATGGGGATAGTGTGTACATTAACGCTCTAGGAGGAAAGGCTTATGTTGCACGTCAGTTTTCAAGACCCCCCTTCTTGCCTTTTTCTATTCTAACTGACATCTTTGGGAGTTAGCTGTCTCTCCATGGTTCTCTACTCATTTTGGACCAGAGGTGTCTTACAGCAAGAATTGGGTATTTCCCTCAGATCTGCTCTGGTACAATCGATGGGATCAGGTACTCAAACTCGGCCCTCGCTTCATCGAGATTGTGACCTGGAACGATTATGGTGAATCCCATTATATAGGGCCACTGAAATCACCTCATACCGACGATGGAGCCTCGAGATGGGTCAATGATATGTAAGAGAAACCCAAATTCCTCACAGTTTAACAACTAAAACTAATTGACTTCCCAAGGCCCCATGATGGGTGGCTGGAAATCTCGAAACCGTTCATTGCCGCTTTCAAGAATGGTGCATCCTCGCCAAATCAATATATCACTGCTGATCAACTAGTGTACTGGTATCGACCAGCCCCACGCGGCACCAACTGTGATGCAACGGATACCTGCATGGTCCCAGCCAACAACGGTAGCGGGAATTATTTCATCGGCCGACCGGACGGATGGCAGTCCATGCAAGACTCTGTTTTCGTGGTGACCTTACTCCAGTCCCCAGCATCTGTTCAGGTGAACTCCGGGGGTAGCGTTTATCAGTACAACGCACCGGCTGGCGCATATGCGCAGGCTGTCCCGATGAATGTGGGCGTGCAGGCTTTCTCAGTCAGTCGTAACGGACAGAGTGTTTTGTCTGGAACGAGTCTTAAGCCTATCATCAACGGATGTGTCTGTGGTCTGTATAACTTCAATGCTTATGGTACGATTTCCCACAATATTGATATTGATGCACCTTCATAACTCTAACATATCTAATCAAACAAACTTGTTCAATAGTTGGTACTCTCCCACCCGGATTCAGCGATCCTCTACAGCCCGACGGTCTAGCAGCTTTTTCCCAGGGCTTGCATGTAACCACTTGTCGCCCGACACCTTCTTTAGGGACGATTCCTCCAACCGCAACCACCACATCATCGACTTCATTACCGCCAACTAGTACCTCTTCGACATGCACTACTTCAGGCTGCCCTACAACTTCCCCTCCAATTACAGGGACGGTGACTGTGACCGTGAGTGTGACAAATACCGTCACCCAGACTGTAACCACTACTGTCTGTCCTGGTGGCGGTGGCGGCGGCGGAGGTGGAGGGGGAGGAACTGTCTGCACCGCGGGCACAGGTCCTGGAAATTATGTTGGGCTTTGCAACTTCTGTTGCGGATACGGTTATTGTCCACCCGGTCCGTGCACATGTACTCAATATGGAAACCCTGCCCCAATGCCCCCTTCAACGGGGGCAGGCGGAGGGCCTTTACCTGGCGAAGATGACTCCTACCTTGGTCTTTGTAGCTTTGCCTGCAGCCATGGATATTGCCCACCCACTGCATGTCAAAGCCATTGAGACAGATGGGAATCTTTATTTGGATCACTGTTGGATCTTATAAGTGAAGAGACCATGGGCCCTGGGGTTTACTTATCGTGACGGACACGCGTTAATCTGACTTGGCGGGATCCATGAGGTGTTGTTACTCGTGAGATTATTTTACGACTTGAAATTTGGAAACTGAAAAGGGATATGCGTAGGAGCACTATATACAAATAAGGAGATGTACAAAATACCTATCATGCCCCAGTAGCGCTAGCCTCGAATTTGGGGTTATTCGGAAATACAAAGATACAATTACATGTTGTTCTATCAGTCGCCATGAAAGAAAATATTCTCGTGTGAAAGATTACAGGACAGCGGCAACCAATGCAGCAGCGGCACCTCCCAAAGCAACCACAGGGTTACCAGTGACTCGAGAAAGACCGCCCGTGCTAGTACCAGAGCTAGCACTGGTAGATGCAGCAGCCGAAGTGCTTGACGCGGTGCTACCGGTCTTTCCAGTCTTGTCGGAGCTTGAGGTGTTCGCTGAGTCGGATGAACCGGTCGATTCGGTCGCAGTGGACGCGGCACTTGTAGTCGCTGGGCCAGCAGTGATAGTGACAGGGAGAAGGGTGATATCGGTTGGCGCGTAAGTGGTGCTGTCGGTTCCAGGGTCATTGGCTCCGGTGCCGCTCACGACTTCTGTGCAGACAGCAGTGGTGGTGCCACCCACGGAGCAGTCCATGTTATCGTAGCTATTATCAATGTAAGAGACCGATCAACAGTGTCCATTTCATGGGAAATCAGGAGGTGGTATCGTACAAGTCCACGTCAGGCTCGGTCAAGGAATATCTCGTGGTCGTGGGACCCGCGGTCATCCACAGACCGGGACCCATCCCGCAGTCGTCGCTATCGGTTCCGGGAGGGCAATTAATGCTGTAGGTAGTGGTACCGGCGCTCTGTAGACAATGAAAATGATCAGTTTGGGTCTGTCGATCATTGTGGATCAATACGGACCTTTCCCACGATTGAGGCAGCCAGTGGTTGCGGATCGGCGAAGGGGATGAACATCGAGACGACGCTGGTCTGTGCAGCCACGAGGCCCACGGTCGCCAGAAGAATGCTGCAAGTCCTGATTGACATGGTGTTGGTGGGGGAGGGTATTTGAAATTGGATAAGGGGGTGATGAGAACAGGTAGAATTATTTGCGGGGATTGGGTTTTTCTTTTGTTTTTTCTCTTCTTCCGAGGCGTTCCAAGATTTCAGGGTCCAAGGGTCCATTCAGGGTCTAGTGCAGCTATTTAGGGAACTGGGCGGACACCAACCCCTAATAAAGAATAGCGGATGTTGACTCAGCTGAATTGAAGATTTGAATCTCATTGATTGAATTGAACCCTTCACTATTTTCCTATGGCTTCTACTTATCCGCCTCAAAAATCACCTTCTGACATCGCATGTTATTGAAATCATCGAAACTGTGAAACAATTAGTATTTTTTTTTCTTTCGCCTAAGAATTAGTACTTACGCCTGCACGGCCTGAGAGAGAGGTCGAATATCCTCCGTCATGAAACTGCATATTGTTAGTTGATTCGAATGGCCTAGGAAATTTTAGAAATGGAGTACTCACTTGAGTACATCCTGCTTTTTGGCCAACAGCTCCATAGCCTCACCAAATATGCCTACATACTAAGGTCAGTAACCCCAATAATCGCGGGTTCAAGTTACTACATATAGACGTACTCCGAACCGGGCACCGTCCCATTTGGATGCGCAAATTCTTGCCGTAAGCTTCATTGCCAGTCCAAGGGATTTCGCCATTATGAACACCCACACTCGAGAGGACTCCCCATGGGCGCAACAACTCGAATCCCATCCGCAATGCACTACTGTGCCCCACAACCTCAATGACAACATCTGCGCCGCGGCCATCCGTCAAAGCCTTCACGCGCTCCCTCAAGCCCTGCTCATCTTGCTGGTAGTTCCAGGGCTCCGCACCCAAGCTTTCAGCCAACTGGAGACGAGATGGCACGCTGTCAATCGCAATCAAATGTTTTGGTCGATGTTCCAAGGCGCTGATCAAAGCGCAAATACCCACCGGTCCGCATCCAAAGAGAAGAACAGTGCTCTTTTCAATGGTCGCGGTGTTCAGGGAATGGAAAGCGTTTGATGCCGCAAAATATCCAGTTGGGAAGATATCTGCCATCAAAACTAGCTTTTTTTCATCGATCGCAGGCGGCGCATGAACTAAGGTGGCATCCGCCAGGGGAACACGGACGTATTCGGCCTGTCCGCCATCCAATATCGCGGATCCGTAGAGCTGACTCCGAGCACAGCGCGATGAAAACCCGCCATCGCAGTAGAAGCAGTCTCCGCAACTGATGGTGAAAGGTGACACAACTCGGTCTCCATGTTTGAATGTCTTGACTTGGTCTCCAATTTCAAAAACCTCGCCTGTGAATTCATGGCCCATAATAAACCCAGTCCCCGAGGGTTGGTGTCCACGGAAAACGTGCAACTCACTATAGCCATACAAATCAGAATTCCGTTGGCTTTTCTTCTTGGAGTTGAAAGGAGTTTTATTTTTTAAACTTGCCTCCCACATAGTGCCGTGTAGCGTACTTTCACGATCACGTCGGTAGAGTCTTTGATCTGGGGTCGTGGACGCTCCTCCAAAGCGACCTGCAAAGGACCTTTGAAAACCACGGACTGCATGCTGAAAAGGCTTCGAATATGAAGTTCTTAAGATTCAAAGGATTTGCGTTAGGTGATGAAAGGAAAGGGTGCGGGGGTGGGACTTGGTTGTGTTCAACTTGAGGGGTTGGCCAGCTTGGTTTTGCCTCGGTTGTGTTCGGTTCGTTTCCCATGCAATTAATTGGAGGTATCTCAAGTCCCGACAAGCCATTTTCTATGAGAAAATCCAAAAGCTTTATTCTTTGACGGCTAAAAGGAACGCATGAATCTTAAACTCAAAGCGTGATGATTTAGAAATCGTCCTTGGTAAGTGAAGGGTTCAACCGTTGAACTGGACATAGTGGTATGCCAAAGAGACTGGAAAGATACGTCAGAGGTTTCTTGATACCTAAGAGATTCATTCACACAGCGGATATTAGAATGTGTATTCCTTGGAAGAGGAGTGAACAGTTGTGTTCAATTCATGATGTCCCTACTAGCTCCATATTTCCCTTGCTAGACTGGGTACCGTGGGGGCAACTGAAACCCTGCTTGCTAAGCTTTGGAACTCAAAATCTTCGAATTCAAAGATTTACAATCATATATAAGCGGCTTCTTATAGAAATTAGTAAAAGCTTAAATAGACGTTAGTACTGCCCTAAGAACGCTAACCAGTCTACTGAATTTGCCGCCCGATATCAAAGGCATCATTTCGATACCTTATTTTGTAGGCAAAAATGGCTTTAGGGGACATCCAGCACTTGAGTGTATCCGGTAATAGAAAACAGTGGAGAATACCTCTTCAAAACGACTTAAATACCAGTTGACCTCTTATTAAGCAAAGTGTATGTGACTTCTCTTAGTGCCCTATAAGAGGTATTCACTTTACTTTAAATATATACTCAATTTATAATATATATATAGAGTTAAAATACTAAGTTTTTTTCCTAATTCCCCTCCAGCCCGAATCAAGCCTCGAGGGGCACAATGACCCAGTCCGCACGATCGCCTGGTCGGCAAATGGAACCCGACTTGCATCAGCGTCGCGAGATAAGACTCTTAGAATCTGGGATCCGGCCACTGGCCAGTGACCAAATGGCCGACGCCGATGCCGAAGACGGAGAGGGCGAGTGGGTTGGATTGGAATGAAAGACCTCGTAAGGATCTTCCCCTTTGTGTATGTCTATTTGCATCTGCGTTTGGCGTTTGTATATTCTAGGACGGTAAAGGGAATCTGCTCCCTCAAAAGTGCTGTATCTAGCTAGGTATTAGAGATGATGTCGCCCTTCAATAAAACGGAATACCCCAAAAAGAAGGGAGCGCGAAAGCTTCAACTGTTCAAGTCCTGCTTCTCGTGAAGGCACCTGAACACTGTGTGCATCAACCTACTAGTATAGTGTACCCACCACCGAAGGGCTTGAAGCAAGAGCAACCATGAACTTTGGTCTATCATTTATAAAGGACAGGCTTTTTCTAAATAACATTACGTGATGGAAAGATTAAGTCTGTATGTACTAGTAGATGCATAGGAATTCATATAAAAAAAAAGCAAAGTACTACTAATAGTACTAGTAGTTACTACGTAGTTATAGTATGCTTCGAATTACAAGAAATGGCAAAAAGGAAAGGTCGTGCCCGGGATCGAACCGGGATCGCCAGAATCAGAATCTGGAGTGATGACCATTACACTACACAACCTGAATTGCTGAGATGACTCAAATCTTTGCGTCTATGACCTAAAGTCTAAATAGCTGATAATAAATAAAAACCTAGCCTTACAAAAACACACAAAATTACTAAAAAGAGCCAGTATTCACATACTAGGCATAGCAAAAACGAGAAAAAAAGGTTGTGCCCGGAATCAAACCGGGATTGCCAGAATCAGAATCTGGAGCGATAAACCATTATAGTACTACACAACCTGAATTGCTAAGATGACTTAAATCTTTATGTCTATGAGCCAAAGTCTACTAAATACCTAATAATAAATAAAAACCTTGCTTTATAAAAACACACAAAATTACCAAAAAGAGCTAGTATTCACATAGGTATAGCAAAAACGACAAAAAAAGGTCGTGCCCGGGATCGAACCGGGATCGCCAGAATCAGAATCTGGAGTGATGACCATTACACTACACAACCTGAATTGCTGAGATGACTCAAATCTTTGCATCTATGAGCTAAAGTCTAAATACCTAATAATAAATAAAAACCTAGCCTTGTAAAAGGAGTTTGGTAAAAAAAAAATCTATTTTTGGTAAAAAAACAACCCCTTTTTAGTAAAAAACAACCCTTATTCTGCTAGTTAAAATTATATGATTATACTCTTACTGCTTTCTATTTTTTTTTACTACCTCTTCCTTCCTTTCTTCCCCCTAGATTACTTACTTAATCTTACTTAATCTTGCTTAATCTTATTTAGTAATTTAATTTATATATATTTCTATATCATAATTCATACTTATCAGACTGCAGCACAGTGTACCACCATTATTAACATGAAGCTAGGGATATGTTATCCTTAGAAAACCAAGGCGCTAAGCCCCTTTAGGTTTAGCGTAGTAAAAATTACCTTAGCGCCCTACAAGAGGTGTTCAAGTTAGTTTGAAGAGGTGTTCTGACCTGTAAACACATCCGGTAACCGGTACATCCGGTAACCGGTACATCCGGTAACCGGTACATCCGATCCCCTGGGCATTATACTTCTGGTCCCTGAAAACCCCTTCAGTCTCATAACAAACTCTCATTACTTTGTTTAAACCTCATGGCCCAGCTCTCTCTCCAAGGATACTTGGTTAAGATACATTCGACTGAAGAAAAACGAAAGGCATTCAAAAGTTCACCTCGATCAGAAGGTCCGGATTCCGGGTTGCGAAATGGAAAGACGCTTCAACCTGCATTCCCCCCTTTATGCACCATCAAAGACTAGGAGGCTTTGAATACTGACTTCACCAAACCCTTGTCTGCGCAAGAACTCTCGCCCGCGGTGATAGGGGAACTCGGCAACCACCATGACGCTAATATCTTTAGCACAAACGCCTGTTTTCTCTAACTGCCATAGCACTGCACAAAGCGTCTTTCCCGTGGCCAGAACATCATCCACTACCAAAACTGAAGCACCCCTGGGAATCAAATACTGATCCATCTCGATCTTGCTCCCTTGTGAAATGGTCGACTTTGAGGATATATGCGATTCGGGCTTGAAGGAGGAAATCATCGGCGGAGGTCGCTTGCCAGCTTCACGAATCAACGCCAAGGGTACATCGACCAGCAATGCCAACGTCGAGGCAAAAACAAAGCCACCAGCTTCGCAACACGCTATCGTTTTAATTTTTTCCCAGTCACCGTTGAAGGTGCTTTTCAGCAAAGATGTACTGAGAGCGAGCCCACCTGGTTGTTGCGAGATGTTGAGTACATCATGGAAATCGATGCCTAGGCGTGGGAAGTTGGGCACCACGCGTACCATGTCGACCAAACGCCGGAAATCATTTTCAAAGAAAGGAAAAAGGCGTTGCTGCGCAAAAACCTTTATCGCATTACTTCCATCAGCATCGTTGTCGAAGATGAAGGTTGGAGGATAGTCAACACCCAGCTGAATAGAGTCATCATGGTCTTTGCGCTTTTCCTCATTACCATAATCGCCAACATTGTCACCGCCTTGGTATCCCCGACGAGTCAACCGTGTCTCCTTCTCTGCTCGGACGTGAACCTCGAGTAGTCTGCTATCCGGAACCAAGTGCGAGTATGCTGCAACTGGAGCCTCATCCCTCATCCCGGTGATCAGCAGCACATCCACATCCACGGCATCGGATACCACCTTCAGGAAATGCTCTTCCAGCAAGCCAGGTCGATCTCGCAACTGGCTCTGGAAAAAGGTAGTTAAGGCTGACCGGTGCTGCTCTTTATAGACACGGTCTTGCAACAAGCGTGTCAGGTCAGCACCCGTTGTGGCTGCATATTCTCGCTTCGTCGCATCGCTAATGCTTACAGAGCGAGCCGTGATGTTTTGGTGGGTACCGGAGATGAATTCAGAAACCCAAATATCGGCACAATGATCTTTACCGGCGCAGCTTTCACCTGTCACGAGAATGATGACCTTTTGACCCATTGATACTTTCTGGAGTGGACATGCATAAGCCAACACATTGTGTGGATCTAAGCTGTGCTTAAGATGGTTTAGGCGCGACCGATTAGGCCCAAAGGCTTTTGTCACCAGTATAGCGTCTCTTGGGTCCGGTCCGAGGTCTGCACTGTAGACCCCGCTGCTTAATGGCAACAAGTTTCCAGCGACTTTATATACCCATTGAATGGCAGCTTGAGAAATTTCGGTTTCGTCTTGATCACGAAGCCAGACTCCGGTAATCACACAGGCGAAGTTCCAGTCTCGACAGCCGAAAGCAGTGGCGTTGGCAGCTACATCACAGATGGCTCCGCCGCCATGCAAAAGATGGAGGTAACAAGAAGAGGTTGGACGTGTTTTAATAGCTGCCACCAAAGCATCTTGAACATCTAGATTTGCGATACCTTTGAGGAGTAAACATCGTTTGAATGCCGACGTTTTGCCTCCACCATGTCCACCATGCATTTCGGACATGTACATTTCGGCATCAAACAAATCGACGCTGTTCATGGTTCTGGGTCTTGCCAATGACTCCAATGACTTGGCTTTCAGGCAATATGGGTTGTCTGGACTAGTACGTGGTTCACCAGGTACATAAGCTTCGAACATGGTTATGCCAAAACGCAGCTTGCCCATTTCCCAGTACAGATAAGCATCTGCAGAGTGGTTTCGGGGCAATTTCAAAGCAACGTCGGAGTCAAATTGATTCATCACGGACCTTGCTTCCCATTCGTGTTCAAGAGGAATGCTCCAGCTCCGAGTTTCGTATGTCAAAGCCGCGAATACTTTGAAAACAACACTCATCACGATGCCGAAGTTGGTTCCAGCACCTTTTATCGCCCACAAAATATCAGTCTCGTTATTTGGAAATGTGGCGCCAGCCGGTCGATGGTCGATTGGAACGTCGCCGATGCAGAGAATTTCGCCAGATTTAACACTGACAACCACGGCACCAACTATAGCGTCGCATGCAAGCCCATGCAGTCTAGCCAAGTGTCCGATTCCGCCTTGTAACCACAGCCCCGCGCCTACACTTGGTCGAGATCCCAAAGGTACTGTAAATCCCGCCGCCATCGCTCTGCGAACAATGTCTTCTGTCTTACAGCCTGCTTCAGCGACAAGCAAAGACTTGGAGGCGCCACTGCATGCCTGGTCGCCATCTTCGCCTGTGACAATATGTACTTGGTTGAAAGCGCTCATATCGACTGCAACGACATTGGGCAATACACAGTGCCCGCTATGACCCCCGCCAATGATGCTCAATGCCAAATTGTGCTTCAAAGCCCATCGTACACACTCCTGCACATCTTCGATATTTTTGGGCGATACAGTTGAGGCGGGGTGGTGGAGTCTAGCCTCGCGGTTTTTGATCGTCCTGCCGCCTTCCAAAATTGCAACTTGCGTCACACATTCCGGTAGCGCGGTCGAATTTCTTGTGAACGCCATCATGATTTCGGGGGAGCTGAACAAGAGCTTGTTTGGATGAGCTTCCTCACGTCGGCCTAGGATGCGACAAACGTTTCGCCATTCGGTTCGGAGGGCCTCGCTATCCAAACCCTCTACCCCAAAACCAACAACAAAAGAAGCGAAATTGTCCAGCACTTTGTCTTCATTCGCCACAAATACAGTTCCGGGCGGAAATGAAGCTGTTTGATGGCATACTAATCCCGGCAGATGCAGGGTTCCGTCGCGATGGAACACAGTGACCATTCCGTTTTTGGGCAATTCAACAAGCATCTCCACAGCTTGTTTGATAACTTTCTCTTTGTCCGCCATACCATACATGCTGTGGCAGAATAATATGACGTCGAATTTTTCGCTGCCGTCAAGGTCACTCTCTTTGACAGAGTATAGCACGAATGGTGCTCGGCGAATGCTGGGAGGGCTTTCCAGACCAGGCAGCAGTCGGTACCCTGTTTCCGACTTCGAACAAAGTCTTTCTTCCAGTCGTGTCGCATACAATTTGTTGGGCTCAAATGCAGAGTACTTGGAAATCCTTTTTCGCAGATGGAGGGGCAGGTATTCAAGGACACTGATCTGGCCTGGTCCAACTTCCATCACCGAGATACGGTCACCATCGCGCGAGTTAAATAGAGGTGCCAGAAGATGAGACAGGTGCGGAATGATGAAATCTCGGTAGATTCTCCATCCCGAGCCCTGCACTAAGATGTCGAAGCCAGTGCTGTACTGCTCGTCTGACAGTAGCTCCATGGACAATGAGGTGGGTATCGAGGCCTTCCGCCACAGAGTCTCTTTCAAGGAGTTGAGAGTGGCCATGTTGATCTGGTAGAATTATATCTGTTAAAGATGATTGATTTGAGAACTGACACACTTATAAAACAGAGTTCCAGCGAATTTTCGCTGACAACTTGGAAAAGCAAGTTTGCGGTGGGGTAGCCACTTTTTAAGCAGCCACGATGGGCAAACGTCCACGTTTTTCTACCTGCCTACCTCTTCTTGCGCAACACGTCCCCACTCCCAATCATCGGATACCTAATACACCAGTGGTGCCTTTGACACATGAGATCTGCAAAGGCGGCCGGAGATTGTGTCATACATAGTCTACTGTGTGACAAAGAAGCCTTCAGCGCCGCCGTTCTGCATACATTGCAGACTTATAAAAAAAAACGGGGGAAGTTACATACACAGTACATAACAAGTACTTTGGGAAAGGATTTCTAACCTAAACAGACTGGACGATCATTGTTTTCAACCTTCCAAATTTCATAGGTTGCAAGAAAATACTCCATACATGCCAGTGTATTCAAATGCTGACTAGATTATATAAAAACATGTTAAGCCAAACGAATAGGATCTTGAATGATTACTAGTAGGCAGCAAATAAGAAAATTTCATTCAGCTGCTCCAGGGCTTGACACTTTAGGTGGGCTTTGCCCTCACCCTGGCATTTCAATAAAAGAATGCTGGACCTTACAAACCACATACACATATGCATGTATGCAGTCTGACTGTGCAGGCAGGCCATTACTATATGTACAAGCAGTGGAATATCATAATCACACGTTTTGGTGGCTGGGAGTCTTTAAAGGTTGACCAATTAAGACGTTCTTTAGCACCAAAGACACATGTGCATGCAATTCCTGCCCAGCGGTGGATTGCTAAAAAGCCCAAACGTTTGATTCTTTGGTAAGAGAGCCCTAGATTTCCAATAATTGAAGGAAAGAGCAAACACAAGTGCTGCTAAACCAGTCTGATTTGAAATACATCTAGTAGATCCATGGATCAATATAACCATGTCGCTGGCTCCCAGAATACACGCAAAAATATTTGAAGCACGGGTTCAATTTGGTCAGTGTTGCAACTACTAGGTAATCATAAGCCCTGGAGGCTCAAACCTTGGAAGTCGCCGCAATTTTTACCACCTGGTAGTTTCTACCAAGCCGCCATCTGGCAACGACGCAACTTGTCTTGATGGCTGGAGTGATATCTGAATATGTCATCTCAATCATCAATTGTCCCGGTGTACGAAGGCCCTTGGATAGGTCCTTGGGTTCCCGAAAATCCAACTCCCAAATATACAGGTAGCCCGGAGCGTGAGACAACACAGTCTATCGAAATAGCCTCAAAAAAGGACGAAGAGCGCCTCCAGAAGATTGCAGGAGCTGTGCGCACAATTCTGGAATGCGTCGGCGAAGATCCGGGCCGAGAAGGCCTACTCCAGACCCCAGAACGATATGCCAAGGCAATGCTCTTTTTCACCAAGGGTTACAATGTGAACATTCAAGATCTGGTCAACGGGGCTATCTTCCACGAGAACCACGACGAACTGGTCATTGTGAAAGATATAGATGTCTCCTCCCTCTGCGATCATCACATGGTTCCTTTTACAGGAAAGGTACCACCCCAGCCCTGGATTCATGTTCGGTCTCTTGGAACTGACAAAAGAGCCAGGTTCATATAGGCTATATACCTGATGGCCGCATCATCGGTCTTTCGAAGCTCGCTCGCTTGGTCGAAGCGTTTTCTCGCAGGCTGCAAGTTCAAGAGCGTTTGACAAAACAGCTAGCGATGGTCATTTCGGAGGTACTCAAACCTCTGGGAGTTGGAGTTGTTATGCAATCGACCTACCTTTGCATGGAGATGCGTGGCGTGCAGAAGGTTGGTAGCTCTACAATCACCAGTTGCATGCTAGGATGTATGAGGTCGAACCAAAAGATACGAGAAGAGTTTTTGACAATGTTGAAGTGATGTGGGTTGAAGATATTTAGACATGTTATCTGCTAAGGTTCTTAAGTGCTGATTTTTCCATCTGGGCCCTAGAATCAATTAGAAAAACTTTGCTCTTTCACTCCCCTCCATTTCATTTTCATCCTTAGCACCACATAAGGAAACCAAACCAACCCGGGTTCGAATCTGACTCTTTCCAAAAAGCAAAAAGGTCCGGTTCGCTTCATCAAGAATAATGCTCGAAAATAAACTTACCACCAAATCATGATTTATTGCATACTTGACGCGCCCGGATTTTTGTTTAGGTTCAGAATCACAGTTACGTGCACGCTCATGGCACAGTTGCTTTCTCTCACCACATCTCAAGCTCTGGAGATAGTACAGATTCAGATTTTGTTTTCGCATTCAATCCACTAAAGACCCAAAATGCGACAACTTCCAGTTGTATAGCCCTGCAGATTATGTACTGTGGGGGGCATGTCTCTCCGTGGTGACAACAAGCCGCTCGGACAGCGCCTCGGGCATAAATAGTGGAGTGTGGGGTTCTCCACACACTTTTGGTTCTCTGGGGATTTCGATGAAAGACGTCGCATTGGGGTTATGGTCGTCACATCGTTCTACATCATATCCAAGTTCCTCGGAACACACGGATACATAAATATATGGCCCATTCGCACACCCCATGAACGGCAAGTCCGGTTAATCGGACTCGGGCGTCTTATCACCGAGCTGTGAGTCTGTAACCTACCCAAAGCCGATGGAACGATGTCGATCGCTATCTGTTCCAGGTCACACCCGAGACGCCACTATCCATGGGAATTGGATGATGCGGGGGCCGCTAGACAGGGGGGAGCATCCTTTGAGCACCCTTCGCTCAAGGCTCTCAAAAGACGCCGAGAGATAAAATCCTAACTTACCCAAAGGCTTTTTGATTGGTGGAATGGGTATAGACCGCCAGGAATACGATCATTTAACCTCCATTCGTATGAAGCAAAGGCGAGAGCCGAGCGCCACAGCCCGTAGCCAAGCTTTGCCATGCCCAGCCGGAACGCCATTGATAAAAGGTAATCGAAAGCGGCATCTGTATAGATCAACGACAACTAATCCGTGTAATAGAAAGAATCTCGAAAGGTGAGTTTTTGGTTTTTGGTTTCTTTTGTCTTTCCCTGCAGTTCCGAGATCAGGATTTGTTGTGCGGGGAAACAAAGGGGGTGACAAGTAAGAAAAAAGAAATAAATTAGCAAATCATTCCGACGTGGGTCACTTTGGACCCCATGGGGAGATGCGTACGTGGATTTGGCCATCGGCCAATGATCTCATGAACCTTGCGACAAGTAGGTTGCATTCTCTCCAAGGCTCTAATATGCCATGCGGCGTTTCCTCGGGCTAAACCAACCAGAGGGCAGATCATTGCTTTCAATGCGCGTCCCTTTTTTGGAACCCGGCTTAATACCGGTATGCATCTCACCAGCAAGGCGCAGGGGCCCCGATAGGAACATGGGTCCACGATCTGACCGTGTATAAAGACCCCGGATGCCCACTTTTTGATGCGGAGGGATTGAATATTCCTTTCTACCATAAGATTGTTCTCTCTTGTCACAGTCCATCATGGTGATCGGGAACATCTATGTGATTGCCTCCGTCGCCGTCGTCGGCGGTGGCCTCTTTGGCTTTGACATTTCGTCCATGTCAGCTCAGCTGTCGGAAAACGCTTACAAGTGTTACTTCAACCAGGGTCCCAATGGCCCACCTTTCAATGACGATGAAACATGCAGTGGTCTTACATCCTTGAATCAAGGTGGTGTCACGGCTGCTATGGCGGCAGGCTCCTGGCTGGGCGCCTTGATTTCTGGGTTTGTATCTGATCGTCTTGGCCGCAAATATTCTATCATGCTTGGCTGTACAATTTGGTGCGTTTGGCAGGGCGGTTGTACCATATTTTTGCTTAAGAGAAAGTCCTAACTTTGTGTCCATAGGGTGGTGGGTTCGGTCATTATCTGCGCGGCGCAGAACATTGCCATGTTGTGCGTAGGTGAGTAAAATCATGGACCTGGATTTGACTACTTGGGTCTAACATCCATTTGATTCCATCAGGCCGCGTCATCAACGGAATTGCGGTCGGCATTGAGAGTGCACAAGTCCCCGTCTATATCTCGGAGTTATCACCGCCGTCAAAACGTGGTCGTTTCGTCGGCTTGCAGCAGTGGGCTATTACATGGGGTATTCTGATCATGTACTAGTATGTTTCTTCCTTCATTCATCCTTTGTTTGATGCAACCAGCTGACTTTGAAAAGCATCTCTTATGGCTGCTCGTTCATTGGAGGAAAGGATTCGTCCAACTATAGCGCCGCAGCCTGGCGCGTTCCTTGGGGCCTACAGATGATCCCTGCCGTCATCCTGTTCTTTGCGATGATGCTTTTGCCCGAATCACCTCGCTGGCTCGCTCGTATGGACCGCTGGGAGGAATCACATGAAGTTCTTGCCCTGGTACATGGTCATGGCGACCGAGATCACCCCTTCGTTTCTATTGAGCTACAGGACATTCGAGATATGTGTGAACAGGAACGACAGTTCGGCCATGTCAGCTATCAGAGTCTTTTTGCTCCACGAATGATCAATCGGACCATGATCGCGCTTTTCACACAGATTTGGTCTCAACTTACAGGAATGAATGTAATGAGTGAGTTTACACCGTTCTCTTTCCCAAGAAGCTTGTTCTCGGCATCTATAGAAACCAGACTGACCTCATCGCCCTTCCTCCAGTGTACTATATCAGCTATGTATTCACCATGGCCGGATATTCTGGCAATGCAGCCCTCCTCTCCTCGTCGGTTGAATATGTCATCAATGTATTCATGACCCTCCCTGCGCTGATATGGCAAGATCGATGGGGACGTCGCCCAACCATGCTTGTTGGTGCATTCTTGATGACCGTTTTCATGTTCGCAAACGCAGGAATTCTGGCCGGTCAGGGTGTGATTGTCCCGATGTCTGAGAGGAGCAGTCCAGAGGTGTCGATGAGTGTTAGTGGTGCGGCCTCGAAAGGATTGGTGGCCTGCACATATTTATTCGTTGCGTCATATGCACCCACGTGGGGTCCGGTGTCATGGACATACCCGCCCGAGTTATTCCCCTTGCGTCTGCGTGGTAAAGGTGTGGCACTGGCCACTTCGGGTAACTGGGCCTTCAACACGGCGTTGGGTCTTTTCACACCATCGGCCTTTACGAATATCGCTTGGAAGACCTATATCTTATTTGGCGTGTTTAATGCGGCCATGTTCATTCATGTGTTCTTTGCCTTCCCCGAGACGGCTGGTAAGACACTGGAAGAGACCGAAGCGATGTTCGAGGATCCCAATGGAATCAAATACATGGGTACCCCTGCCTGGAGGACCCGTGTGCAAACCCGTACCACTGTGGCTCTAGAACATGGCGATTTGGAGGCTGCCAAGGCTCAGGAGGCTCGCTCTGAGGTGGTTAGTGGAGAACAAACCATGGCCACTCAGTGAAGAGCAGGCACCTGGGCTTGTTTACATAGCAAACGGGGTGGCGAATACGAGAGGAGGCTGGGATAGTTAGTTTACATGTTTGATGTGCCTTACGGACTTGGCTCTTGATATTCAAGAGCAATATCGCATTATATGGCAATACATTGATCATCCTATATCCAGGCTTGAAACAAGTTGGAACAAGTTAATATGGAACAAGCACTGAGACATGTCATCTTTCTGCCAAGACTTTCCCGCTGGCACAAACTCTGTTCTTTTCTTTTTTTCTTTTTTTCTTTTTCTTTTTCAATTCAGGAACGGAAGTTATTTCAGAGGCGAAATCCAATATAAACGATATGCGACCGTGGAAATTTCTTTCAATTCCCACCGAAAACACTCTTTGAGTTTTTCCTGTTATTCCGATGCTTTATAGATAGAAGAATGGAACAATGATCAAGTTTTGTGTACGCCAAGTTTTATCAAAGGCCAGAACTGCTTAGCCAAGACACCGGAACCCGCTACCAGTGGCTAACTAAGCCCCACGAGACCGCGCGTCCAACAAATTCTCCCCTTTACTGTAGATCCCTCTTCCTCTTCTCCTCTTTATACACTGTACGTCATGTCCACTTCCACCCCCGGATATACAGAAATTTCCTGGACTCGTCGACAATAGCGAATTCACACCCCGCTTCTGTCGACCACTCCCCCCTATCATGGCCTGTGCATAACATCGTGGTCGTTGTTTGGCAATGGTCTCCGATTCCCCGCTCGATTTCGCCTTCCCGGGCCCCAGTCCAGCATGTCGGTCAATCAAGACAAGGTGCTTCGGGGGTTCTGGACACAATGGGCTGGTGAGTATCCTCCTGTCGTGATAATACATCTCACCTGGCATCTGTCAGCCGTGGGTGACGCTGTTCGCGCATGCTGACATCCGCTTCTCTCCTCAGCGTTTACCGCACCATTTCGAACTCCCGCCGCACACGGCCCCGATCGAGGCTGGCGTCCCATAGCACTCCGGCCGCCGTTCCTATCTGGTCTTGCATGTTGCTTACTGAGCATGTTCATGGCGTTAGAAGGCGTACGGCAGTATAGCAATCGAGAGGGTGGCCTCGTCTTCTTCACCGACACCGACGACATCTCTTCTCTCCAGTCATTCTTGTATAATTATTTACCCATCATCATCTCTCTCCTCCTACTCATGGTGTGGACCGTGGCCGACTTTGACGTCCTTCGACTGGAACCATACTTTCAATTATCGCAACCTGGAGGTGCCCCGGCCTCTGTTCTGTTCATCAACTACAACTTCGGTCAGACTATCCTTACCCCGATAAACGCCGCGCGCCGCCATCATTGGGTTGTTCTATGGGTTTCGATGATCACGATTTCAATTCGAATGATGCTCCCGGCCTTGTCAAGCACACTGTTCGAACTCCGTGAAGTGGATTTGGTTCAGCATGCGAACATGAAAAGTTGGCCCTCCCTGGTAGACTTGGACAGCCAGGCAAGTTGGATGTCGACCCAGGCGAATCACTCGGTCTCTTCGGTTGTCGCATCTGCTGAGCACGTGCACCGCACACGATCTGCGAATTATGCCCTTGCGCCGGTGGAGATTCCTGTCGACGACAGTACAGGAAGCACAGTGTGGACTATTGATCAAACAGTGTACTGGGCTGACCTGGTCTGCATTGATGTGCCTGTGGAGGAATCCCTTTCGTCCGTCTCCATCAACGAAACAATCTCCAGCTCCGGGTTTCCCACCATATCATGGAACGCCACAGGCATCGACGTGGAGGATGATTACAACAGCTCGTCCACTTGCACGCTGGACTTCCATTACACGAGCATCTTTTTCGAGGAAACTGATTATCTTCAAGTTCGTTACTGGGAACCCGTTATCGATTTGTCGGCGGCTTCGGACTTTCCAAATCGCACAAGCGCCTTCACCACCACTGGCTGTGACCCTTACGACATATATGGCATGTTGATTTCTGTGAACGCTACCGGCTCCAACTCAACTGATTCTAAATATGTTGCATCGGGACATGCATTCGCCTGCGATATAGACTACCACAAAGCCCAGGCTAAGGTTTCGATGCATTCCAACAGCTCCCTAACGTCTCTTCATATCCACTCTGACACGATCCGCACCGTTACCGCAGCGGAGTTCAACATCGCCAATTTTCAGGGACTGCTATCAAAGCACGCTCCTTACACTAGTGACATGCTGTTTATCCGCGAAAATAAGACAACTGGAGCTCGAACAATTACTGAATTGCCAGTGATTAGTGAGGAAACGGGTGATCTCGATTCACTCCTTGTTTTGGATAGTGCCACCATCATGACCCAGGGAGAATTACAAGCTCGGATTGGGCGCGACGTCAAGCAAACATTTGTCCTGACCCTTGGTCGTCTTTTCGACCCTGATGATACACCGGTCACGCTCTTGGCAACGAGCAAGACAAGCCAAGTTGCTATCGCGATCGTGGACTTCGCCGCCCTATGGTCGGAACTCATACTCATGTTGGCAACTTTAAGCTCGATTTATCTGATATTCTTGTATCGGTCCCGTGCGACTTTTCTCAAGAGTGACCCGGGGTCAATCGCCGCGATGTGCAGCATCGCTGCCGACGTTCTCCACCCTTCTAACATCTTGGCTGATCCTAATAACGACTTTCATCAATTTTCCACTCGCCAACTCAACCTCATATTCCGCAAAGCTCGTTGCCATTGGCGTTCTGGTCCATCTGGAAACCGATTAGAGATCCTTGCTGAGGATGGGTCACCAGTGCAGCTTGGGGATGATACACGAGTTCGCGTCGATCGCATGCCCCACTTCCTGACGGTCCCGTTCTTCATCCTTGAATTCCTCTTCCTGGCCGCTGTCATTATATTAATGGGTCTAGTAGTCTCGTCGTTGGTTCGAGATGGCAAATTCCGTCATTTGACACAATCCGACTCCAGCTCTTTCCAAGTTGTCCTGTCTATCCTTCCCTCCGTCGTGGCTTCCTCCGTGGGGTCTCTGTGCACATCGATCCACCGCAACTTGAGTGTTCTCGAGCCGTGGGTTCATCTCCAGCGGGGTATGGCATCCGCCCGGGCTTCACTATCAATCAACTATGCGTCTCAAAGTCCACTCATGATATTATTAAAAGCTCTCCGTGACAGACACATTTTATTGAGCCTGGTTTCCCTGGCATGCGTCGTGAACATGATACTGACTGTCGTCGCGGGTGGTCTGTTCACTCAGGAACTGGCGAACTCCAGCCTTCCAACAACTGATTTGACTATGAACTATAGTCAATCAGCTTTCGCCACCACCGACTTCTCAGCCGAGTTCACAGAGTATGACTTGATTCAAACCAGTATCATGAGTGGTGTTCCTATGTTGTCTTGGACCAGCTCCAACCAGTCTTACGTCCCTGTCCACATCCGCCATAAGGACTCCAGCGTGATGTATCAGGCGGACACCCTTGCTATTGGGGCAGCATTACAATGTGTACCACTTTCTCCCGAGGAAGGCTTATTCTACAACAAAAGCACAGGCCAGGAATATTGGCGCTACTCCATGTTTGGCAACTCGTCTGTTGAGTGCATAGCTTCCATGCCTTCTCAGAGCAAGGACGAGGGTATTGCCCTGTCAATACACTTTCTCTCGCCGAAAGATGCAAATGATACCACTATTTGTGAAACGTCTACTGTCCTCGTCGTGGGACGTTGGGACTATTTAGCCGATTCCGCAATCACCGACGATAACACTATCGCCCTACACTGCGAGCCTCAAATACAAATGCAAGAATATACTGTCCAATTCGATGAACGAGGACAGATCTCGTCTCATACACCTGTTGCGGATACCACCGTCTCAGCAGGCGCTATGTACGATAATGCCACTGTGAGCCTTGGGCAGTTCAACAAGGTATTCGCCGCCATCCCTGATAGTTACGTCGGCAACACTACGTCTATCAATGGCACGTACAATATATCGTCCTACGACTGGGCTGGGTTTCTAGTTGCGCGTCTTTATCAACGTGCAGATCCCGACTTTGACTCATTGGAGGCTCATCGACTCATTCACCTCACTCGACATGTCTACCAATGGGTCTATAGCACCTACTTTTCCATTTGGCATGATGAGTATCTGGAATCACTAAAGCATCCGGTTTTGGCCACTAACCCCCGGGTCATCCGAAGCACCTGGGCCATGATTCCGTCGATGCCGTCGTTGGCAATAGCTTTGATAATCATTGGCTTTGATACACTAGTGGTACTCGTTGTTTTCGGAACCCGCCATGGTCGATTCCGAGGCCCACGAATGCCGCGATCGATTGGTGCTGTCGTCCCTTGGCTTGCACACAGTCGAATGCTAGACGACTTCAAGGCTACTCATGCCTGGGATAATTCTCAAAGACGAAATCATCTTATCTTGATGAACAGGCGGTATGCTTTCCGCATGTTCATGAATCCGGATGGCCGGTGGAGATTTGCAGTGGACGAAGAACCACCTAAAAAAGAATCCGAGGATTGCCAAGTCGACCAAAAGAGCGATGACGATGGCACCAATAAAACAACATCTGTTCAGTTGCAGGAACTGACTGATCAGCAACCACGGGCGCGGGATCCGCCTTCTTGAACATTTTTCTGCTATGCATCTTATGCATCTTATGACCTTGTGATTTTTTGATTTTGATTTTTATATGGATATCATGACTACTTGTATATATTTGAGCAATTTGGGCGTTTTAGAGTCTAGATCAACACACAGCATGATCAGAATCTGGCTTGGTCTTGTGTTCCGGCGCTGGGCCGGACGGCGCACAGGAATCGCCGGGGGTTGTATTGGATATGGAAACTGGTGTTGGATTTTGTCACTTAGATATTTTGATGCCATTTTTGGACATAAAAGATCCATCTACATACTATGATATGAAATTTATCAATGTTTTGATCAAAGAACCTTCTAACCTTCCTACTAGTATATTTACCCTTCTAGATATAGCTTCTAGAATACGCTTATACAGCAAACATTCAATGTTCTTGAAAAGTTCTTGAAAAGGCAAACGTCTTCGGAGAAGCAAACAGCCTTAAAGAATGCGCTCAACTTTAAATCGCGCACAGCCTATATAAACTCTAAGTCATAGTAACATTGAATATACATAGCCTCCTAGGAATACGCTTGCTTAGTATACAGCAAACATTCCTGAAAAAGTAAGCGTCTTCGAAGAAGCAAACAACCTTAAATAATGTGCTCAACTCTAAATCGCGCACAGCCTCTGTAAATCTACATGCGTTAGGGAATTAAATACTAGCAGAATTCTAGAACATTTGCCAAATTAACAATTTGCTCAACTCTAAATCGCGCACAGCCTCTATAAATCTAAACTAAATAATAGTAGAATTCTAGAACATTTCCCAAATTAACAATTGGCTCAACTCTAAATCGCGCATAGCCTCTATAAATCTAAATGCGGCCTCTATAAATCTAAAGGCGTTGCATAAATACTAGTAAAATTCTAGGACATTTCCTAAATTGATAATTTGCTCAACTCTAAATCGCGCACAGCCTCTATAAATCTAAACGCGTTGATAAATTAAACACTAGTAGTACTATTCTAGAAGTTTTCTAGTAGTTTTCTAGAAGTATACCTTCTTTGGGAACCACTTCCCTAGAATTTTCAGCTGGAGGAAGTTCCAAACGTTAAATTCCTCCTATCCATGACTTAAATCGAACCTCCAGGGCTGACTAGATCCACTCAATCTCATTCAAATGTTCCAAGCTTGTTTGTACTGCTTAGTACCTAGTAGGCACCTTCATGCCAATGGCGACGACATCCACGTGATATCACCTGACCACAACACACATGTGCAATCATGCAACCTCAACATGGTCTGCTCGTTCATTCCCAGTCTTCTCGTCAACCTGACTTGTCAATTTTACATCATGGCCCTGGCGGATCAGCCTCCACAGCTCATCTGCTTTCTTCACGGGTGAAGCGTGCGGATCCATGAATGTCAGATCCACTGCCTCCAAACTGAATCCCGCAGTCTCTGGATAGAGAAAATATATCATCGGGACGAATGCGAGATTAAAGGCAGCGAAGATGATATACGTCCGCCATCCAATATTGTCAATCGCGACTGGGACCACCTCGATCACGATGAATGTCGACAGCCAAAGGAAAGCGTTGGCAAGACCGACTCCTTTCGATCGGTGGGCAAGAGGCAAGATCTCTGGGCCATAACACTAGGATATCGGAAAATTAGCGGAACGGAACAAACATTGAATAGGGAATTTCAATGCTACTAATATTATGCACTGGAAATACGCACCCAGATGCCACCCATGAATCCCCAGGTATAGAAAGCTTGGTATGCAAACAGCATTACTGCAGCGACTATTCCGGATACTTTTGTGTTGATTGCTAGCATAGCTGCCATGATTGCCATGACAGCAGCCATGCCAATACAAGAGGTCATGAATGATCGTCAGCGTCCAATTTTTTCAATGCTATACCAGGTGCCGAACGAGGCAATGAGAAACCAAATTTGCAGGAACCCGGACATCAGCAGAGCGAAATGTTGACTAAAACCAACTGAGTCTTCGAAGCTAGGTGTTTGTAAGTGAAATCAGCAACCGTTCAATATTGGATTTGATTTATGTGCCCGTGTGGTGGGCATTCATACATCACAGTGGTGTAATAACTGATTGGTGTACTCCCACTCCAAGCTTGACAAGCGTTCAGAAGACAAGCCAAAGCGACTCGGCGGCGAGAATGGACTTTGTCATCCCGAAGAAGATCCATCCAACCTTTTTGCTCGGTTTCAAGTGCCAGTGCATCTTTGATTTCTGCGACCGTGGTAGCCAAAGCCATTTCATCCACTTGGCCATTGGTTGTTTGCAGATGACGAAGAACTTCAGTCCCTTCCTGGTACCGGTCGTGCTGGAAAAGCCAACGAGGAGCTACGAGAGCCGCGATAATTAGCTAGTCTGTTACCGAAATATTGGATCCTGGATAGGCGACCTACACTCGGGCATGAAGAAGAGCATGACATTGAGAATGATCCCAAGAACCGCCTGAAATGCCATCGGAAATCTCCAAGAAACTGTGCTAAAATACTCCGACATCGCATAGTCAATCCAGTATGCCAAAACTTGTCCCAAAATGAGAAAGCTAAGAGAGATCGCGACCAATGTGCCTCGTATCTTCCGCGATGAGGTCTCAGACTGCCACACAGCCAAGTTGCTGGTGATCAAGCCAAGACCCATTCCAGCAACAATTCTTCCAACAATCAGCTGCGCTACCGTATAACTTGAAGCCTGGATGATAGCGCCGAGGCTCAAAATGGCCGATCCGACTTGGGCGATGGTCAGTCGACCCCAGCGTCCGCCACTGAAGCTCGTGCATAGACATCCGACCAGGCAGCCGATCACGAAAAGTGCAGTCACTGTGCCTTCCATGGAGGAGCCGAGATGAAATGTTTCTTTGAATGAATTCGCTGTAAGTAACCCACCAATTACTCCGTCATCATATCCTGTATGACAATTAACATTTTATAAGATATGATGTTATGTGTCTCTAATCTTACCGAAGATGATGAAGCCCATGCCGGCCGAGCAAGTGATGGCTACTAAAAGGCCTTTGCCTAACAGACCTAAGTAGACCATGATGAATCACAATATGACGGTTCAACGTTTGATGTGTTCGATAGTCCCGAAGATAAAGCGAATGTTGAGATCCATCGCATTATTTATGGCCTCTCTACGCTCTTACTGTCAATTCTATGATTCAATACCTGTTTCGACTTGAACTGGGATACTTCCTCCCTAGTGTGGGGGCATGATAACTCAAACAATACCGGGATTCTCAGCGCTCAAATACCCCAGCCCGCGGAGGGATTCCGAATCATCACATGCGGCTAGCCTCCCTTCTGTGGGGTGAGGTACTAGTATGTGCGGGGGTTAGTTTGAGCTTGTATATTACGACTCTTGCCGATCAGCAAACTTTGTACCTCCTGCTGGCAAATTGATGATTGGTTTGTACCGCCAGTGACGTGTGAAAAGTCTCATTTGAGCAATTCAATCTTGTTTTGTTTATCCAATAGTTCAGACTTTATCTATGACATTCAGTACTCAACAGGTAGTTCGCATTCAAAGTGCAGCTCGAATCCGCCCATCCACAGCACATAAAAGCAAATGTAAAGTCTCAAGATAAGGGGCTGGAATACCCAGCTCCTTAGACTTGCGCACAGGAAAACCGAGAATCACATCGATCTCCATCGGCCGCCCACTCTTACAGTCCGTCTGCATGCTACTTCCGATTCCAGGCATGGCGTTGATCTTGTCCATAAGCTGCTGAACAAGTTGATCTTCGAGTGTGACACCGCAAGCCCGCCCTATCTGAATAACCTCCCGCATCAACTGCCGGGTGAATGGCTCTGCATTCTTGGAAGAATGCAACCAGGTTTGAGAGTCAACCATCGTCAACGCAGTGATGGAGTTCCACGCGGCGTTCCACACAACCTTCTCCCATCGCTGTCGCTGCATATCCTCGAGAACCTGGAATCGAGTTTTTCCGTGCTCCAAGAGATCGGCAAAGGTCTTTAGCCGTTGTTTCTCAGTTGCAGCATCGATGTCCGTATTGGGATAAAGGCCGATCTGCATGTCCTCGGATTTTGTGTGGTTGACGATGCCAGGGCTGATTTGGTTGGCTCCTACCCAGGTCTGGTTGAGTTAGCTTATACAAGTATGCACGAGAGGCAGTGGTCGGCATGAAACTCACGACACAAGTTAGAATGGAGGACTTGGGGAACTCGTTTCTGAAGGCCACTTCATTTCCTACTCCATTTTGGATGATAACGAAAGTGGTACGGCCGTCTTCGACGACTGGCTTCAATTTCGTCGCAACGTCCTCCTGGTCAATGGCCTTGTGGGCGCATACGACATAGTCAACTGGTGATGCCTCGGCGGGTGTTCTCACAACTATACGGGACGGATGTCAATTGGGTGCTTCCAGGTGTATTGAAAGGTTGTTCTTACCTTTGTAAGGGTGGAAGGTATGCTGGCCGTGGTTCTCGCTGTTGATTGTGATTCCCTAGCAACGGTTAATTCTCACTTCAAACCTGGCTGTCTAGTATCTCAGAACTCTTCATACTTTGGTAGATACCGCGTCGTAGTTAGACCGAGCAACTACCGTTAATCGCACACGGTCGGAACGGCTGAGAATGAAGGCGTAGAAGGATCCGATACTAACATGATGGTTAGTGACCGGGCATTCTGTGAAGCTGCCGGTATCTTACGCTCCAAGGCCGTATAAAAGGACATCAATCTTGTCAGACATTGTGCTTGCTGGGGGTGACTGTGGATATGTGAGAGCACTGGAGAGTTTCCAAGGTTGTGAGATCTTTTTTCTCTTTCACCTATTCGGAGGTACTTGTCACTATTGCGGAACCTGGAGTTCTCCCCGCACGGTGGGGGCGACTCGGCCATTGTCCGTGAACGTGGGGGTGATCATCGTCATCTGACAGTGGAAGAGTTTAGCCTGATGAATATCTACTAGTATCAATGTATTTTTCTTTGATATCACATAGCTGCATGTGACATCTGGATGATTGAGAGCCTTAGGCCAGGTGGATGTAAAGTTGTAAGAAAATTTAGAGAGCAAGAAATTGACAATTATTTTCATTTACAATTTGACACTTCCAATCATGTCGCGTTCCAACCGACTAGCATTCACCATCTCCGGGCACAGCTCACGAAGGTTAGTAGCTCCAAGAAACACCATATTAGACTCGATCTCTTGTCGCAATATCTCCAGCATACGTCGTACTCCGTTTTCTCCATAACCTGCTGACAAGCTAAATAGGAAAGGTCGACCCAAACCAACAGCCGTGGCGCCCAGGGCAATGGCTTTCAGCACATCGGTCCCGCGTCGAATACCACCATCGATAAATATCTGCATTTCGCTTTTTATTAAGTGCGGTGCAAATTTGCGGATCTCTAGAAGGGTCAATAGCGGCGATTGAGCACTGTGGCAGTCGGAGTTAGCACGGAATTTCTTTCAAAAGGAAAAAGAAAAAGAAACGTACGTGTCTTGCGAGCGGCCACCGTGATTAGATAGCACGATACCCTGCACTCCATGCTCATAGGCAAGCACCGCATCCTCCACGCATTGAATTCCCTTGATTACGACTGGGAGGTTCGTCAGATCGCGCAACCACGAAAGAATGCTCCAATCAATGAAGGGAGATATCGAGCTCGCCAGAATCTTGGCAACGCCCTGTCCTTGAGCATCACTATCTTGTGCCTACATCAGATGGGGTTTATTAGATATGCCTGCAGGATCGCAAAAGAAAGAAAATCAGTCTTACCGAAACGCTCAAATTGAGCCGCTCATCCATCTCTCTCTTCCCAACGACTGGGGAGTCAACAGTGATCCAAATTGCTTTGGCTCCTGCCTTCACTGCTCGCCGAACTGTCTCCACCGATTTTTTTATATCCCGATTAACATACACTTGAGCAAACAGCGGTTGATCTGGGGATGTGCGAGCCTCCATCACCCGCTCAATCGGCATGCTGGCGCCATTGGCTAGGACTTGGGCCAAGCCCTCCCTGCCTGCGGCTGCAGCTAAGGCACATTCGCCATGTGGATGTGCGAGCTTGGCAATTCCCACGGGTGAAATATACACCGGAAGTGATACTTTGTGACCAAGTACCGAAGTACTGGTGTCCACATTGGGAATATTGCGCAGGATTCGTGGTCGTAAAGCAACCTTTTGATATGCTTTGGCATTGTTCCGCTTGCTGATCTCATCGTCGGCCCCGGAATAGTAATAGGCCCATGCGTTTGCAGGCAGATATTTCTGGGCCACTTGTTCGAAATCATGCAAGTTGATGAGTGTGCCTAATGGTGGAGGCCCACTGTCTGCTGGCCTGGTTTCTGGCTCTTTCGAGGTGCCCTCGGCACTAAGCGAGGCATCTGGATCTCGGGCCGGGTTGATATGACCTTTTAAAGCACTGCTTGGTAGTGCCTCAGTTAGGACTTCAGGTGAATGAACCGAGTCAAACTCGCCGGTCGCATCCTTGCCTGCGCAGCGCAATATTACATTTGCGCCACCGGGGTGCGAATCCAAGAAGTCTATGAGAGAAGTCAGCTTCTTACGTCCGCTCAAACGACAGTATATAGTATCCAGTCGGAGTTCAGTACCCGTCACATCATACACGGCACCGTGGATGGCTAACCAGCAAGACTTGCGGCTATTGCGCTGCTTAACATCTGCCCACGAGAGCATCATAATCAATTTTGAATGCACACCAAAAATTATTGCATATGCTTCCCTCAATGCATGGAGTACCAGGTTGAAAAGGAGACTTGTTAGCTACATGACCGGATCCCCGCTCGCGGACTATTCCCGACAAAGCGTGGGGGTACAACCTTCCCCGTCCTCCAGGTCTGTGCCCCAGGTGATCGGCATTGGTCCACTTGACCTGGCAATGCTGGGGAATCCGGGGTGAAATGGGTCGGTCACCCATACTTTATTTGTCTGATGGCGTAAGAAATCCCTGGTGACTGGAATTTGTCCAAAACAACACCTTCATTTGCGACACATACAAGGAACAAATTGCAATCCCATCATGACCGAACCCCATGAGCCGAATATCCCTGTCAAGCCTTCCGCCATGCATGTTGAAGGGTCGGGCATCCCGACCGATACTGGAAAAATCCACAATGGCGACGCAGCTCTGGCCCTTTTTGAGAATCTGGAAGACATGCATGAAACCTTCGAGCCAGGAGAAGAGAAAAAACTTGTTCGCAAGATTGACTTGATGATTCTACCTTTTTTATCTGTTTGCTATGCATTCTATTATGTACGTTCAAATTGGTTCTAATTCAAATACCAGCCACTGATGGATAGACTGATGGAACAGATCGACAAAACGACCTTGTCTTACGCTGCCATTTTTGGAATCAAAGATGACTTGAACCTGACTGGCACCGAATATTCATGGCTTTCGAGTGTGTTTTATTTTGGCTTTCTGGTTTGGTCCCTGCCAACCAATCTGCTAATGCAGCGATTTCCCATTGGCAAGTATTTGGGCATCAATATATTTCTCTGGGGATTTTTCCTCATGCTACAGGGTAGGTGATCTCCAAAAAATTGGTGTATTCAAATACTGACTTTGGGGATTACAGCAGCTGCAAAGAATTTTACACAACTCGTGGTTCTACGGGTCATATCGGGGGCGGCTGAAGCCTGCAGGTTTGTCGACATTTGTTCTCTTTGAAACATTTGAAGGGCTGTTAACTGACTCGAGTAGTGATCCGGCTTTTATGCTGATCACGAGTATGTGGTACACCAGACGACAGCAGCCAATTCGCATCGGATTATGGTACACTGCCAATGGCTTTGGTATCGCCGTAGGTGGTTTACTCGGCTACGGTATTGGTCAAATAAAAGGTGAACTATCATCGTGGAAATACGAATTCCTCATCATCGGTGCACTGTGTGCCTGCTGGGGTATCGTGATGATTATTTTTCTTCCCGACTCTCCAGTCACCGCGCCTCAACTATCCAATCGCGAAAAGCGTCTGGCAATTGAGCGTCTGCGGGACAACCAGACTGGTATTGAAAACAAGAATCTCAAGCCCCGGCAAATCCTTGAGGCCTTCACAGACTGGAAGGTCTGGCTGTTTTTCCTTCTAGGATTCTCAGGCAACATTCCCAACGGTGGTATTTCAAACTTTGGGACTTTGATTATCAAGGGATTCGGATTCTCAACCTGTGAGTGATAATTTGAAGGTGAAATTAGAAAATGTGCTCACTTCGAGCGCTAATCACACTCTAGTGCAAACCACATTGATGCAGATCCCCTATGGGGCATTCATCTCGTCAATGATTCTTATCGCGGTATTTGTCAATGATCGACTACCTCCGAACAATCGATGCATCGTGGCTATCTTATTTTTGCTTCCAAACTTGGCAGGTTCATTTGGTTTGCACTATGTTCCAGACTCGAACCAAGTTGGACGCTTGATCTGCTACTACCTGACGGGATCTTACAATGCTTCCTTTGTAATCATCTTGTCCATCTTAACAGCCAATATTGCTGGACACACTAAGAAGGTAATCACAAATGCCATGATCTTCTTGGGGGTGTGCGCGGGCAACATTGCCGGTCCATTCTTTTACAAGACGGACCAAGCTCCCGTGTACGCTCTCGGTATTTGGTCTATGATTGTGGCAAACTTTGTCGAGATCGCTCTCATATTGGTGCTTGGCTTTTCACTTGCTTGGGAGAATCGACGCCGGGACCGGCTCCAGGGGGTTGCTCCGGGTGATGATTCGGACTACATGCGACAGCTTGAGTTGGATCGGTCTGCGTTCAGTGACTTGACAGACAAGGAGAACATGAATTTCCGATATCTATACTGATCCTTGCGGATGTTATAATTTGTCTATTGAGCTCAGAAGACTGGCTACTACTAGTTGCAGAAGAAAGGAATGCCAACTCATACCGTCATAATTTCATGCTTTGCAAATCCTATTTAACTAGTAGGTAGTAATGACGACAACTCGCTACCTAGAACTAGCGCCGGGGGTTGATCATTGAAATGGAGCGAGCTTATTAGCCCTATTCTTAGCTCTTGGATGCTCTCCCAGACAACTCGCCGAACACTTATTCCACGAATCATTGATACGAAGATGCTGGCGTGGGGGATCAGTCGGTAAATGATTGTGATCTCACCCCGGACTTTCCCCGACATCTTTCCCCGCGTGGGGGGCGTGGGGTGCCAATGGGGGCCTTTATGCGCATCGCGACTGAATAAAGGATACCCCGCTCCCCAACAGTCGTGTTTGCGATACAGTGAGCTTTTCAAAATTCTCATTCATAATCATGGTGAAGATCAAGTCAATTGAATATTTCCGGGTAAAGCCCCGCTGGTTGTTCGTCAAGGTCACCGACGAAGAGGGCCAATATGGCTGGGGTGAGGGGACCCTTGAGGGTCACTCCCTAGCTGTTGAGGGAGCTTTGGATGAGATTATTACTCGGATTGTTGGCTACGAGGCAGAGTGAGTTATGGCAATCAGGTTCGTCTTGCCACGATACTAACCTTCTTCTTATAGTGATATCGAGCACATCTGGCAAACAATATGGCGATTGGGATTCTACCGCGGAGGACCAGTCTTTATGTCTGCCATCTCGGGTATTGATATTGCCCTTTGGGATCTTAAGGGTCGGCGATTGGGTGTTCCAGTCTACCAATTGCTGGGCGGAAAGGTGCGCAACAAGGTGCAGGTATACGCTTGGATCGGAGGAGACCGACCGAGCGACGTGGAAGCTGCTGCGTAAGTCTGCCTGTTCCCGACACATAAATCATAACTTTTCTAACTATGACACAGCAAAGCACGCATTGCCCAAGGTCTGAAATGTATCAAGATGAACGCCACGGAAGACGTCAACTGGCTCGACTCGCCCGCCGTCCTAAAATCCTGCGTCGAGCGTCTGAAGCAAGTCAAGGCCCTAGGTCTTGATGCCGGCTTAGATTTCCACGGTCGTCTCCACAAGCCAATGGCCAAGCAGCTGGCCAAGGCACTAGAGCCTTACCAGCCTCTTTTCATCGAGGAGCCCCTACTGTGCGAGCACCCCGAGGCACTCAAGCAGCTGTCTAACTCCACAACGATCCCGATTGCTTTCGGAGAGCGCCTATACACAAGATGGGACGTGAAGAGATTCCTAGAGGACTCCTCCGTGGATGTCTTGCAGCCAGATATTGCTCATGCCGGTGGAATTTCGGAGACGAGGCGTATTGCAAGCTTGGCGGAGACCTACGACGTGGCTATTGCACCTCACTGCCCGTTAGGCCCTATTGCATTCGCTGCGTCGTTGCAAATTGCAGCTTCGACCCCCAACTTTGTCATCCAGGAGATGTCCTTGGGTATGCACTACAATGTGGAAGCAGGTGATATCGACTTGAATAGTTATGTGGTCGACAAGAATGTGTTTGATATTGAAGATGGATATGTGGCGACGCCTATGAAGCCGGGTATTGGAATTGATATTGACGAGGAGATGGTTCGCCGCATTAGCAAGGAGACTGAGCCCTGGCAGCCCAAGGAGTTCCATGGCCCGGATGGATCAATTCGCGAGTGGTAGCTGGAATGTCTTCTGAGTAGATTCGAGCGGTAGATTATAATTTCATAATGCGACACAACGCTTTCTCTTGATATTTCTTTCAAATGTCTCTCAATCTTGTCGTGGTAGGTAGCATCGAGACTTGCCATCCCTACAGAGATGTCTTCAATCTAAGATCCTTGATCAACGTATGATGTCAATATTGTAGGGAGGACCCAAATTTGACATTGTACCCCCACTAGCTAGCATGAAACTGACATTGGGAACACAAAATTACTTCCCTGCAGTTCGGTGTGGGTGCGGGGTGGCGTGGGGGTAAAACATTGAAGACGCGTCGACAGGTGGTATATAGTTCGGCCTTCTCCCCGCGTTTCATGATAAGAACACACGCAATATACACCATGGATCTCTTCTCTCTTGTAGGCCGAACAGCTCTTGTGACGGGGGGAACTCGCGGCATTGGCCAGGCCATGGCCATTGCCTTAGCTGAGGCTGGGGCTGACATTGTCTTGGTACAGGTAAGAGTCACACACTATGGATCAATTAGTAAGATATCATAGAGCTTACACTGCGCAGAGAGATACCAGCAACCCTGCAACAAAAGAAACCATCGAAAAATTGGGCCGGAAAGCAACCATCTACACCGCAGATCTTGCATCTCAAGCCTCCGTTTCGAGCTTGGTCGCTACCGTGGTTCAAGACGGACACGACATTGATATATTACTAAACTGCGCTGGCATTCAACGACGACACCCGAGTCATCTTTTCCCACAAGAAGACTGGGATGAGGTAACTCTACCCGCCCCAGAGGCAGAAAGGTCCGAGAAAATATCAATTATTAACCTGTTTCATCGCTTTCAGGTTATCCAAGTCAACTTAACCACCGTATTCACCCTTTGTCGAGACGTTGGCGCATACATGCTAGGTCGCACTCCCAACCGCTCCGGTCAACGCGGGAGTATCATTAACGTCGCTTCTCTGGTATCCTTCCAAGGTGGCCTTACGGTACCTGCCTATGCAGCGGCTAAGGGTGGCGTGGCACAGCTCACAAAGGCGCTGTCCAATGAGTGGTCATCGAAGGGAATAAATGTCAATGCCATTGCGCCCGGATATGTCGCTACAGACATGAATACTGCCCTCATCCAGGATAAAGAGCGTGCTGCTAGTATCTTGGCACGTATCCCTGCTGGACGATGAGGGGACCCGGAGGATTTTAAGGGCTCTGTCGTGTACCTGGCTAGTCGAGCGAGTGCATATGTGACTGGCGAAGTGTTGACAGTGGATGGAGGCTGGATGGGTCGGTAGATATACTACTAGTACCTACTGGGTATCGACTACTAGGCATAGTGCATAAGACATTGCATAGCAGAATTGAAACCACATGCAAACTTCGAGGGCCTAAGTTACCAGGCAGTATTCCGTATTTCAATGTTCCAAGGTTGTTTAGAGAGATGTTTGGTCCCCCAAACCTTGACCCAGGACAGCGCCGTAGAACCTATAGGTATCTGCGACTGATGCATATGCGTATTGAAACTTACGATATAAATTTTTTGATGAACCAAGCGCCTTCTTGACATATGTATCTGGCAAACGAGTGTCGATCTCTTTGGTTCCATTGTGTACATTCCGGGAGTGTTCCGAGTGCATATCACATATCGACATTTTTTAGGCTAAATATTCGCCACTGCAACATGACGGCTCGGAAAAAACATTTCCAAAACACTACATAGTTTACAAAATGGAAAAGAGCTTACACAGGTAGCAATTGGTCACGAGCTTTTGACCCTGAAAACCCTGATTTCGATCTGTCTGAACATGATCTCATTCTGAATGGCTTATACCGACTGTGGATGCCAATTGGTCAGTTAAAAAAAGGTTGGGAGATCCACTGCGGCTTGTGATCTTGGCAAACTCCACAGAAGTGAACTGAAAGTCCGAAACTATTGATGCGAGGCGGAAATAATCGGACAAGTCACAAAGCTTTATTCCTGTCATAAATACGCGACCCTTCATGATCTCGTGAGAAGTAGTTGTTTCTCAGAATCACGCGCTACTCGTAGATGTATGTAGCTGCCCGAGACACCAATACCGGTGGATTGTTGTTCCGAAGCGGTATAGCACCTCTGGAATACAATATTACCATAGTAAGACTTGAGTACTCGTTGGAAAAATACACATCTACACATCTCCCATCTCCCATCGTCTTTGGATAGATTGCCCACGTTTCATGCGTGTCAATCCTGTCAAGTGCCTGCGCTCTCTTCTCTACTACATAAGATCCAGGCTGCATGACCGATACTGGGGATTGTTTTTTTTTTTCGGAAAAATCTTGACGATCGATCACAACTTCACAAGTTCCCAACGCGCCAAGACCACTACAGCCAATCGTGCATAAAGCTGCATGAGAACAAGATCCCCAGTTCTTTGCCCACCCGGTCGATCCGAATCTTTCAGCCGTCCACCGCAAACCTATTGGCCCAGTTTTCGTCGAGGAATTGAACCCTCTGAGGATCGTTCCAGCTGTTCACTTTCGATGAATCGTCATACTGACTCTTACATACATGTCCATCATACTATCGCCCACATGTCAGCGCCACGCTCTCAAGCATACACATTCCATGCGGGAGCTCGAGCTCAAGTACATAAGGCCCGGCCCATCTTTGAGTGATTGCAAGGGAAGCCGATCTTGACGATCTCTTTCAGCTCAGAGCAAATTCCCCTCAATGCATGCCCGCTTTTACTTGGTCGGCATCTTGGCCGGCGATCCCTGTGGATTCTCTGACAAACTACTTCCCAGCAAGGGAATCAATTGATTGCGACCCAGCCTTCCCACCTATAAATTAACAGCGTTTGCTGTTCTGTCCGCACCAGTATCGGGCAGTCACAACAGTCAGTCATCATGACTTGGAAAATTGCAACCCTCCTGTCCGCTGTTCTGTCGCTAGGCTCTATCACCGCGGCACAGTCAATTCATAAGACTGACTACGATGTTATCATCGTCGGCGGTGGCCCCGCGGGTCTTAGTGCCCTGAGTGGTGTCTCTCGCGTCCGAAGGACGGCTTTGCTGTTTGACAACCAAGAGTACCGCAATGCCCCTACCCGGGCTATGCATGACGTGATCGGCAATGATGGTGAGACTGACCGGATTAATCTTCAACGTGCAATATTTACTAACTTGCGAATCTGATTAGGCACTCCACCGGCTGTCTTCCGTGGTGTGGCTCGTGAGCAGATCTCTAAATACCCCACGGCCCATTTCAAGAACTCAACTGTGCTGTCAATCGTTCCCTATGGCAATAGCTCCGTGTCTGCCTTTAACGTGACCGATGAAACGGGAATGTCTTACACGTCCCGCAAAATTGTGCTTGGCACTGGTGTCAGTGACGTTCTCCCCAATACCCCGGGCTTGGAGGAAATCTGGGGCAAGGGACTCTTCTGGTGCCCTTGGTGCGATGGTTATGGTAAGATTACCTCTATACTGCTCGGTCAATCCATGACTAATGGTAAACAGAGCACCGCGACCAGCCCTTTGGCGTTCTCGGAAATCTTGTCGATGTTCTCGGCAGTGTTCTGGAGACGAACACTCTGTTCTCCGATATCATTGCTTTTGTGAATGGAACAGACACCCCCGACAATGAGGCTGCCGCTACCGCCAAAGTTGCCGACTGGAAAGACCAACTTGATGCTTGGAACGTTCAGATCGATAACCGTACCATCACTCACATTGAGCGTCTCCAGGATGGTGAGACTCATCAAAACACCACCACTGACCAGCAGTTCGACAAGTTCCTCATTCACTTTACCGAGGGAGAGCCAGTTGAGCGTGGTGCTTTGATCATCAATGCGCCCACTGTTCAGCACTCCACTTTGCCCACTCAGATGGGGTTGAACATCACGGACCAGAAGATCGATGTTGTTACGGCTAGCATGCGCACTAGTATGGCAGGTGTCTGGGGTATTGGTGATGCTAACAGCGACGCCTCCACTAATGTGCCCCATGCCATGTTCAGCGGGAAGAAGTCCGCTGTCTACCTGCACGTGGAGATGTCCAGAGAAGACTCCAAGTCCAAGGTGTCCAAGCGAAGTGATATGTCTCACCGCGAGCTGACCGAGGAAGCCATCCGCTCTATTGGAACCAACCTTGAGCCCCAATGGGAGCAGGTTCAGAAGCGTAAATTTGTTTAAGCGATGAACTATCATTGTGGTGCTAGCATTTCTCGTTCCTCGGGCTGAAGCCCATATACGATTTACGGTGTGAGGACTTCACTAAAATGATAATGAGACTAATTTAATTCCTAATGGAAATGAACAATGAAATTTTCTACAGTAATTAAAACATCCCCATCAACATTGAATCCTGGCACTCCCGATCCATCCGGCTCGTTCGGCTGAAGAAGCACAGTAAGCAAAACGTAGACCGGCATTCTTTCCGGACATTTTGATTTGCATTCCAAGGTTCGCTGCTTGTCGGTAAAAACGGTAGGCCTTTTCAACCAACATTCAAATGTATCTCAGATCTTGATTTTGGGATGTGTTCGGCACTGATCCTATCCGATTCCACTCTGCCGAGGATGTTTCGTCTAGGGTCTGGGTGAATCAACCTCTCTTTCGCCACGCTTCAACATACCACAAGTATAGAGAGGTAAATTTAATTGGTCGAGATAAGGCGGCTCCTTTTCAGTTCATCGTTTGGAGAAACAGAACCTAATCCTTGGGTATTCAGAGTGGGGGCACCTAAGGTGCCTAAGATCAGGCTCGGCCGACAACTATGGATTCGGCTCAAAGCCACGAATTCCAGGTATCGCATGACCTATTATTGGTCCTATTATTGAATTCCAGGTAATTACTATCACACAATACTTACCTCCCTCGAGATAATTGTAATTTTCTGCATGATTGAACTTGAAAATCATGTTAAATTTGGTACAGTCAGATAAAATGACTAGGCTGTTGAGATTTGCAAAATAGCTGGGTGAATGCGGGGTGTGTACAATTAAGAGTTCTAACCTATGGGCAACACATCCTCCACAATCTACATTCCTTGATTCCCCATGGCACAAGTCGAGGTATCCACCATTTACCGGATACATGTAGCCGATGTCCATCAACTGACTAGAATCGCGTCATCTGCGGATTCAGTGTAGACCTTTCGTCAGGGAGACCTGAAAATCGAAAGTTGTGGAGGCCGCCACCGTTAACCAACCATGTCCCGTGGATTTCACTGAAACGTGCCTTGCAAAAACGTGATTGGCATGACGTCCCAAGCCATGTGCACCTTGTGTACAATTGTCCCAAAGCCGGCATCGCTGCGTGTTTCAAAATGCCGATTTCAATATCGTGCATTTTTGAGATTCTCCAATCATGAGGTTCAAGTGGAGATGTGCCGAGTTCGACCGCGGTTTGACGGGCGGAGTAGGCTTTGCGTGCCGCTGATGGGATCAACCAAGATGTCGAGATCGGCTCTATCGCCAACTCCGGCGACTCCAACGGGGATCTGCAAGGGATCGTCGATCGGCACCAGTTCCACCAGTTCTTCAAGTCCCTGAACCAACCACCTGAGCCAGATCTTTCTTCCAATCACTATTCCACTTGTATCTGTTTCTCCAATTTTTACTCTTTTTGCCATCCGGGTTCCCTTCCGAATCCGTCGATTTGAGTCTAGTTTCAACGGTTATTGCTTCATATCTTTCTCCACTGTGTGGCCAATTGCCATGCTCCTTGACCATGTTATATGCCACTGTGGGGATTAGACGACGAAATTTAAAATGTCCATTGTGGAGACCGGCAACCGACAACGTGCATCTTTCATATGGCTTAGCTCTGGGGAACCACTCATGACCATGCATCCGATCTCCTTCCGATGTCCATAGGACTTGTTGATTGGCCAGTCATTTCTCCATATCACAATTGGAGTTCGCCATCAGGGACTTGAGGAACCTGGAGATCACCTCAGAATGGGCAGTCCCAAGGCTCCGATCAAGGGACCTTGGAGTTGGTCTCCACCGACCACCAAGATAAGCACGAACTATGTGGGCACACCATCGGCTGTCCTACAGAACGGCAATGTTGATCCTCCGGATCTACGAGGAAGCACATCATTAGTTTGAACTTCTCTGACGACAAACCTGTCCAAGAAAGATATAAAAACCCCCTTCTACCCTTCTCTATTCTCTCCATCATCAAACAGAATCAATCACTCTCTTCCAACAAAGATCGCTCTTTCGACAAGTCTCTTTTTCAGTCTCTTCTATACTTCCACTATCCACAATGAAGACTTCATTCGCTTCCCTCGCTCTGGCCCTCTCGGGCTCTGCCTTCGCTGCCCCCTTCAACTCGAACGGCACCTCCAGCGGCACCTATGCCATCCCTACTTCTTCTGGCATCATTGCTCCTTCCCACGCCACCAGTGGTACTCCTAGCAGCATCTTCAGTGCTGCCTCGAGCATCAACCACCCCAAGGCAACTGGAACTGGAACTCCTTCTTCCGGCTCGCACCCAGCATCTCTGATTCCTTCCCCTTCCAACGCCAAGCGCAGTGGATCGTTGGCCATCCCCACCGAGCTGTCTTCCCTCGGCGACGAGGTTGAGTCTGCCCTCGGTTCTCTCGCCTCTGGCCTGAAGAAGCGCGGAAGCTCTCTTTCGATCCCCACTGATCTACCCTCGCTCGTCTCTGACGCCGAGTCTGCTATTGGCGGCATTGCCTCCGGCGGCCTGAAGGCCCGCGGTGATTCTCTTTCGATCCCCACCGATCTGCCATCTCTGGTCTCCGATGCTGAGTCTGCTATCGGTAGCATTGCCTCCGGCGGCCTGAAGGCCCGTGGTGATTCTCTTTCGATCCCCACCGATCTGCCATCTCTGGTCTCCGATGCTGAGTCTGCTATCGGTGGCATTGCATCTGGCGGCCTGAAGGCCCGTGGTGATTCTCTTTCGATCCCCACCGATCTGCCATCTCTGGTCTCCGATGCCGAGTCTGCTATCGGTGGCATTGCCTCTGGCGGTGCTCTGAAGCGTGGCTTCACCTCCAAGGCTATCCCTACTCCCTCTGGTACCCCCACTGGTATCGCTTCCGGTGTCCCCTCCGGCACCCCCAGTGGCACTCCCCCGGCTGGCTCCGGCGTGCACCAGAGTGCTACTCCTTCCTCTGCTAAGCCTTCTGCCACTGGCGACTCCATCTTTGGCCTCCTGGTCTAAGTCCCAACGGCTTATGTGAACTCTGATCTGGTATCAGCGGAGCACTGTTGCTCATCTTAAGCTCTTCATAGTGGATACTATACTGTCACTACGAACTATGAATCACTGGATGATTTATTTGTCTCTCATCTGTTTTGGCACACTCTTTTTGTTTTGTTTTGATTTCTTTTTATATGATGTACTTTGTAGGAACACGATTGGCGCTAGAAATTTATTTTATTTTCATGAACTTCGACCAAAACAGAGATCCCCGAAACCCCGAAACCCCGAAACCCCGGCTATCGGCCTTGCAAGTTGCACCAATGGTCTACTAAAGCGGATTGGCATTTGCCTAAAAATGTCTAGATAGCCCGTACATCTATTTACCAAAATAAAATAATCTTGGCCAGAAAAAGTTAAGATGGAACAAGAACTTTCTATTCAAAGATAAGAGCACAAAATCTTTCCAAGGTTACCTCCACCGGAACAAGGCCTAGATGTCAACACTAATAACATAAGCCCGACAATACAGAAGAATCCGTGGACACAGCCTAAAGCTTGACCCAGAGCATAAAACGGAAAAGAATCCCCGGTACTGAGGCAAAGCCTCAAAGATGTTTTCCGCAGCTATGATAATTGTGAAGACCTTGCGTTCAATCTTCTCCGAAAGGCTTCTAAGATTGTTAGAACCTGACCGAGGAAGCAGGACCAGGGGTTGAATGATAGAGCAATTGATCGCTGAAGTTCCCAAGTGCCATTGCCAATTGGTATCATCAAAATTGATAGAATTACGGTCAAATTTCGTACTGATTTCTACGGTGGGGCGCTTATGTGAGCTTACAACTTACCACTATGCATGTGTCATGTAAGTAATGTAATGATACAGACGTCGACGTCGACCCAAATTGACTCTTCATCTCTCTCTCATACTCAATGTCCATAGTGAAGATAATCTCTATCACTTTACTCTTACTGCTTTGACTTGTAATCTCATTACTAGTATGCTTATGACCTACTTTATTACATCGTGGAGATCTTGATTCAATACGGTTTTAGGACGTAGGGCCGAACAACAGGGAAGAAATCATATTGAATCCCTAATGGACTCGTTGCTCGCCTCCCAGGGCTAGTCCCAACCCAGCCAACTCCCCATACAACACAAATCCTGTGCCATTGTCCGCAGCTCGTCTCCGGCCACTTTCAACTCAGTGACCGCCCGCAGGATTTCCAAACGGCCGTCGAAGTCCACACCATCTTCCGCCTGCCCCGCAAGCAGAGCAACATCGCTCCCAAGTCTCTGGCGAGCTTCCAGAGAAGTGAAAGTAATATCCCACCGAAATTGTTCGACAGAGGGCACCTCAATAGGAGCGTGATCCTCCTCTGGACGCTGAGAAAGAGAGGTCTGAGCCTCTGGGCTGTATTCACCGGCAATAGAGGTTGTCGCCAGTTTGGCGGAGTTGTCTTCACTTGTTGGCAAGACAGTAGGAGGCTGCGGCGCCATAATGGTAGCCTGACTAGCCTGGACAGGGGCAGCCACCGTCGTTGTCGCTGCTGTTTCTGTTGCTGTCGTCGTTGCCGTGGTCGTTGCCGTAGTCGTTGTCGTCGTAGTCTGAGAGGTGAAGTTGCACCGACTACCACTGCTGTACCAGTGGCAAGAGGCGCATTCCCTCATTCCAGATCCAGGAAGAATCACACAAATGGTGAAAGGGCCTCTTACTCGTGCACAGCTTCTGCACTGCGTAGTTGCAACTATACCGACGGTCTGGGCAAGTATGGCCTCGACATTCATCTTTCGTTCCCCAATCATCTTGTCAAAACCATCTGGGGTCCACCCTCGACTTGCACGAACTGTGGGCTCCCGCTGTGCGGGCAGAGCTGATGCATAGCGGAGTAAAGGAGTCTTGAGCTGGTTTAATTTGAAGGCACATCCCCATATCAGACTTTTGGCTCTATCTGCCCAAGGTCCAGGGGGAAGATGAACCACGCTGGTGCTATAAGCGGGGACTGGGGTGCTTGAGTTGTTGAGATGAGGCCCGGGGTTGGTTTGATTAACTGCGCCCTGGGGGACGACTTGAGGTTGAGATACCCCCGTGTGCAAGGGCTGCAGGTCAGAGGGGCTGGTTGGATGACATCATATTTAGTCTTTGTGCAGTGTCCAAGATGATTTTCTCTGATAAAATAGAACTTACTTTGCCATAGCTGATGATGATGTCTCGGATTGATGTAGAAGGAGATTGGATCGATGGAAACAATGATAGGATCGATGGAAACGATGATTGGATCGATGGAGGAGATTGGATCGATGTAAACAATGATGGTATCGATGGAAACGATGATGGTATCGATGATGGTATCGATGGAAACAATGATGGTATCGATGGAAACGATGATGGTCTCGATGGAAATGATGATGGTATCATCTAGGTGCTTGGGATGTGCAGTGAAGAAGCAGGAAAGAAGCACGAGAGTCATAAGAAGGAGGAGAAGAAGAAGAAGAAGAAGAAAAGGATTAGATCTCTGGGCTAGTTGACATGTCTCCCAATTCACGCGTTTCTAAGAGATCTTAGGCAAGACTGTCCTGATGCCTCTAAGAATTCACGCGTTCTAAACGCGTTGTAGCTTTTCAATGTTATTAAGTATATACTATTGATATCTACTAGTATTTGTAACTTCAGTGCCCAGGTGCCTAATTGATTTTCATTCCAATGTTGATGATGATATTCTATTAACCTAATGCTACCTAGCCAGTCATCGCCGTGATTCTGAATGTAGGCGCTTCTTCCGTGAAAGAACAGTAGAATGTCCGTACGCCCGTAAATCCACGCAAAAGCAAATGACTACTGAGGACAAAAAGAAAAGGGGCAATGTTCAAATGTTAAAAACGAACAACTAGCATTCACACAATACTAAACAGCGGCTAGGAAGTGTGCACCTCCCTGCACATGCCCTTTTCTAGGCGAAGACAAAAGCCCCAGGGATTGCCGAAAGAAATTGCTTAACCATAGCACTGGCTCTGGTTCAGGAGAAATAACACACAGCATACGTTCTGGAGACTTGTAAGTTGTGCTAAGGACCTAAGGTCTAAGGGGCATCTTCAGCCAAATTGACGCCGCAATAGCCAAACTGGCACAAGAGCTGGCCATGGTCAAAGCCCGGCCAATACAAACAGAATCACAAGGTTCCGCATGTTCAGTTGGTTGACGGGAAGACGAAAAAAATTGCATAAGCTGACGGATCGCTAGTAATCTCTTAGGGCTACGTTGCGATTTCCACCGCCTCCGCAATCATTCCTGTCTGTTGGAAACCCCTTTGGGTCGCATCCCAAACACCCTAAACACCTCGTGACTACTACTCAGCTTCGTTGGTAGTAAATGGGTGATTCACAGAGGGATATGTTGGAATCACATGACCATGTAGTTTCCACCGGCTGATTCCGGTTTCTTTGATTCTGCCGTTACTCACCGCCTGTCGTTCTTCCTTTATAGATAGCAGGCTCTTCTCTCTTCTTCCTAGCTTAGAACACAATCAAGATTCATATTCATTCCACTGCTTGTTTCCTTCGCTTCTGTTAGGATAGAGGAACAGAAAAGCTATGTGAAGTGGTTGCGGACCGACGCGGTATCAGTGCGCGCCGGTGTGCTTCGGGGCGACAAGTGGGCTTCGGGGGCAAAAAGTGGGCCTCGGGGGCTGCTAAAGGGCCTCGAGAACGGCGGTCGGGCTTCCACGGCTCCCAGGGGCCAGTGCCCACGAGAGCTCACTGCCAACTCCCAGGACGTCGCGGATAAGAACAAATGACTAGCCCTAAGTCTGAGTCTGACCTTTGGAGGACTTGCTTTCCAATAGTAAACTCTATGTGCATATCTCCAGAGCTTAACATGTCTGAGTACCCCATCAATGGGACGTCAGGTCGTTGAGGCTCTGCCACAAGGTAAAGTCTGCCGGTAACTAGGGCAAGATCCAAGGATTCAACATTGAATATCCCCAAGATTGAGATGTTTCCCAAGGTTGCAAACCCAGACCTTGAGAATCAATTGATTGAACAAGAGCACATACCCAGTAATCCCAATGATAATATAATATATTTGGGGTGGTGAATTATTTACAGCCTTGGAGTCCAATTCACAATGTTCAGATAAATATTCTTTCTTTCTTATGTATCGGGTAGCTGTATTATTTTCACGAGTCCCGGAATCTTTTCATCGGTCCATAACTGGACGTGAAAGCTCGCAGGGAGCGACCCCAAAAGAATAGCGGAATAGCAAAAAGAACGCTCACGACTTGGATGGCCGTCATCTCTCCAAATACGGCGGCTGTACCCTGTCGCTCAATCCAATCTGCGGCATACAAAGAAAGGAGCATGCCAATAGTGTTGCGAATGACAAAAATAATCACCAGCGCCTCGCCAGTCACCTAGTCAAGAATTAGTAAGTAGGTAGATCCATCTACTCATTCTATCCGAGGTAGACGCTGAAATACGATAGAACACATACCGGCTTATATGAGTCTAGCGAGTAAGTCACAGCCACGTTAGATATAGCAGCCACACCAAAGGCTTGCATGGCGTACCCTACAGCAGGACCGATCCAGTGTGTCTTGTGTGCCACACAGAGTCCAAAGATCAAGATTCCTGCTGGTCCTATAGTGCCTGGGATCACTATTGCTGGTAATCGATACTCGGGCATGCGAACTCCGCCATGTTTCAAGGTGCTCCGGTTGGAGATGATGTCGATCAGCCGACCGCCCGCGTAAAATGCAAGTACGCAGCCAATGAATCCAGCCAGGGATAGAAGACCCAGATCGCCGAGCTCAAAGTTGTAAGGCGGCTTCAAAAATGTGCGGGACGACGTTAATTGAACCACGATATTCCTGGATCAAGTAGTTAGCGACTGCCAGAGCTTGCATTGGGTAGGAGTAGATTTTACGAACCATCCGACTGAGATCCCAATCGTCAACGAGCACCAAATCAAAGGCGGGTACGCAGCATTGGCCAAAATATCCAGAATGGCTTGCAAGAATGAAGCGTCCCGATTATAGCCGAGCGTGAGCGACATCCACTGCCACTGGGATCGCTTGACTCGGCTTTCAGTGGGCTTTTTTAGGTAAGTTGTTTCTCGGATGGTAAAGGTGGCGATCATCAGGATCACCGCCACTGCTATTGACAGGAAATAGCACATCCAGCGCCAATTCTGCTGCTGGACGAGATAGGCATTGATCAATGGGCCCACGAAGAGACCTGCCGTCATCGCGAGGTGGAAAAACATCATGTAGTGTCCCCTGTCCTTGGCGGCGACCATGTCAGCCACGACAGCAGGCACCGTGGCATCAGCGGCTGCGGCTGCGAAGCCCGAGAGAATGCGCGACGCAAGGAGCTCATTGTAGCTGGTACATTGGCTGGACCACACGTTCATCATGCAGAGCAGCAGCATCGCTACCAGGTAGACAGGACGTTTTCCGATGACCCGCATCAGTGGAACCCAGAAGATGTTTCCAACGCCAAAGAGAAAGACGTTAAAGCATACCAGCTGCCCTGCCTGAGTCTGGCTCACATGAAATTCTTTGATTATGGCTTGCGTGGCGACCGTAAAGTTACTGGAGTTGACGTTGGCCAAGAAGGTGAACGAGCAAATCGTTAGGTAAGTGGAGAGTTTGGCTGATAAAGGCCAGTTCTGCGGACATGAGAGTAATCAATGAGCATCACTTGTTTTTCAGGGTGATTAGTTCGAGATTCGTTCTCACCTGAGGGTTGTTCACATCTCCGTCGTCAATGGCCGACTTCAAATCGCCCAGGGAGGGCCCGTCCTCATCGGCAGGCATATTCTCCAGGTGACTGGAAGCACTGAAGTGGTCGGCGTCTTCTTTCGTGTCTGTCATCCCGTCAAGCTGTTATCTGTGAATTTGGTCTCCCGGAGAAAAACAGAAAGATGTCGATCCAGACGGGCAAGGTAGGGGGTCCTTGAAATACCTCCCCCGCCGATTTACCCCAGCAATCACTTCCCCACAATCGAAAATGGGGGCGTTTGCAAAGGCCTGGCGAGGATTGGTCCTATTGGACGCGGGACCAGGGATGATGGAATGGTGCGCCAGGTGGGTAAGGAGGTCATTCGGCATTTCCGAGTCCAAGTGGGGATCGGCGTCGCGAGTCAGGACTCAGCACACAGAACAGAAATTGAAGCCGAAGCTGAACCCGGGCCCCGCATAGCAAGTGGGTTTTAGATGTGAAGGCCATCTATTTCGAAAGGTTATTCTCTATTCGCGTCATTGCGAGATGACTCGATACATACATATCTTTGCCCTCCTTTTTTATATGACATCTTACAGGTAGGGTGAGCTAGCCCTTCTGCCAAGATGGATGATTCGGGATTCCCGGCTCTACACTTCAATGAGGTCCTTTGGGGTTTATCCACTGACTTGTGTAGGTTTAGGGATCCGCGAAAATGTTGTCATTGGTCAACTCAAGGCTCAAGGCTTTAATCTGACTCGATGCCGATGGTATACATTTTTAAGAAAGTATATGCTCATACGTTCAATGGTGGATATTAAGCCATCCCTAGTGCCGGATACATATTTCCGCTCAAGTGCTATTGAACATCCTCAGAACTCTACCAATCTCTGAAAATTATTATATTGACATTTGGTAGGGATCAAAAATTGAAACTGAATATCCAACTCAAGTCATGGCTATGTAGATTGTCTGTGAATCATGCATTTAAAAAGGAGATGGTAGACATCTGGAGTGAGCTACATGGCCTGTAGAATAAGCCCTCGTGACGAGTGCAGCTGCCGCTTTCCAATCTGATGTTCTCCGCACTCACCGAATTTCGTCTCGCTCAAGTCCCAACTCACATCTTCCACCAACCCCTCGGACTCCTCCACCCCTTCAAAATCCCCCCCATCCAGCCACAATGGGTTTGATGAAAAGTGCTTTCAAGGTCTCCATCGCGGGCGCCGCCTCCATCGGTGTCTTCTGGGGAGCCACGCGCAATGACGTCTTCGAGCCCATGCAAGCCTCCGATCCCATCTTCCAATCGCCCTTCTTCAAGAAGTTCAACCCGGAACAGAACCCTACCTTGCACGACCTGTGCGTCCGTCGCATTCCACTCGACAAGATCAAGCCCGAGCTGCTGGAAAACAAGGGCAAGCTGACCGAGGCCTTCTGTGCTGGTGTTTGGGGTGGCATGGGTAAGCTCAAACTGCTATGGTCGCGATCGGCGTAACTCCGTCTAACGTTCTTCCCCCTCTGCAACAGGCTACATCGTTCAGCGCGCCTACCTTTCCAACAAGTACCAGGGTCCCGAAAACGCCTCTCACCTGTGGAAGCGCAGGGATCTGCTCAAAAACAAATACGACGTCGGCACCATCGTGACCGACCACTTCGAGGTCGTCGAGAAGACCGAGGACCACATCATCGTCCGCTGTGGTGATTCGCCCCGCAACCAGGATGTCCGTCCCTCTGACGGTCTCTTCGAGATCGGTGCCGTGATTAAGCAGGAGGAGGGCGTGGCCGAGTTTACTTTGAAGAGCTGCTTCTACCAGGGTTTGGGCAAGGCCGAGGGTGTGCCTATGGGTCCGGTTATAACCTGGTTGCACCAACAATATACAAAGCTATTGCTGGAGACTGCGGTCCTGAAGAACTGCGTTCGGTAAAGGAAGCTGCGCATGTGCGGCAATCCATGTAAATACTACTTTTAATGGTCTACGAACCAGAGAACAGTGCGTTGCAACGAATATTAATTAAGGCTGATATGCCTGACGTTTGCCACGAACCATGTTGTATACATGTGCCACCACGGATGTGAACAAGCTGCTTCTCAGCTTGAAATCTCTATTAATCCTTCAGATGAGCCCGGGGCTTCTCGGAATCCGGCGAATCCGGCGAATACAGTGTATCGACTTTATCGACTTTCTCGATCCCGTCGGACTCGGCATCGCTGGTCAGAGTAACCGCCAAAATAGACGGAATGGCGAAAACAAGCGACCCCATACACAGGCCCCAATCCATGGCAAATTGGGTCATTGCTGGCTTTCCCAATGCATTGATCCGCCAGGCCATGGCCCCGCCCGCACTTTGAAAGGTTTTATACGCGCCGACCAGGATGGCAGTCACGGCTGGCGAGTTGGACCGAGCACCCACAAGCCAATAGCAGAAAGACTGCCAGAATGCGTCATACGCACCATAAAAGATGTAAAGCAACATGGGGCCCACAGAAGTAGGACTATCACTATAGTCGATATCCTGCTTGATACCCTCTGCCAACCGACGGGAAGACCATTTCTGGAACGCATACCCGCCACCCCAAATGGCCATCCCGGTCACGAAGAGGAACACCCACGCGATGCGAGCCCGAATCTGTCGGTTGAGGCCCGGAAAATCGAGAATAAGACCGATGATCAATCCGCCCAGCATCTGCGCGATCCAGTAAAGGGCGCCGTTGAGCGAGCGCGTGCGGATATTGAACGTCATGCCATTCACCACATTCTGCTGGTAAGAGTAGAAGATGTTGGCCGAGAAGAACAGCGGCAGCATGCACAGTACACGCCAATCTGCGATTGTGCTTAGTGACAGCCGCGCTGTCTGCTTCCAGTTCCTTTCAGCCTCGGGAATCGCTTTCAGCTGAGATACTCGAACTGATGCTGGGGGACAGATGAAGACTCCCAACAGCCATCCAATGCCCATCACGATCAGAAGCGCAATGTATGTTCCATCTGAGACGGTACCGCTGGTGGAATGGTAGTTCATTCCGAAGCTGGCGAGAGAGCCCACCCCGCCGCCTAGGTTGAAGATGATCCAGAATGCGGCGATGGCGCGTCCCTTTTGTGATTCAGGCACGTATGTGGTCATGATGGCTCCTTGAGCGACCCATAGGAACGATGCGCCCACGCCGAGAATCGCGCCGGACGCGATGACAAAGGCTCCATTGTTTGTTGCTGGTGCGGATCAGAAGTTAGCAAAATTGATTGTCTCCGAGACAAACATGTTTCCGGGGCGGACTTTTGAAACATACAGTTGAAGCATAACAGACTCCCCGAGTACAAGGGATATGCCCATCCGCCGAGAAGAAGACAGACTCGGGGCCCGACGCGGTTGAAAATTGGCCCAACGACAAACAATGCAGTTGCAGCGGTTGCAGCAAGTAGAGCGACGGTTGCATTTGCAGCAACTGTTTGGTTCACTTGTCCGGATCCTCCAAGTCCTGCGAGAGCATTGTACATCTGTACAAAAATTCATTATTAGTATTGAGTTGACCAAGGAGTGATGACGCTTCCTTCCACGCAGCACGTACCCCAGGACAGCAGAAACAGATAAAACTAATCAACAGAATTTGGGCCCAACTGTTTGTATAGACTCTATACCAAACAGAAATTTTACGCCCCTCATTATGATTGCCCACTTCGTGTCCGACCCCTGTTCCGTCCATTATGCAAGTGCAGATATGATCAACAAAAAGCAATGGAAAACGCGACAAAATATTCTAATAAATACCGGCCGAGCGAGAACTGGCGTGAAAAATGGGGTTTCTGTTATGTACAAAGTCGATCCCTAGATTCCACAACACACCGATTTGGGTGACCTGGAGTGGAGCATTCCCAACCAATCAACACCAGGAAACCGCACTACATATGACAGCCCAAGCACAGATCTACAATCTCGTGCATTGTTGATAACATGAAACAGGAAATGACAGATGTAACTGTTGGCGGGGGGAAGCGCTCTTCACGCTCCTCATTTGGACGTTTTCTGGGGAAGTCTGGAGATAACCTTCCAGAAGTTGCAATCCCCACATGTTGAACCAACTGTGGTTCGCTCCGCAGCCGAGTACCGAGTACCACAGTCCACGTTGCAACTCTAGTGAGTAACGTGGGCTTGATAGGAGTCCAATGTATCTTCATCGGCAATGCTCCGAGAACAACCTTGGAGGATGTTGGGAAATCTCGGCTTGTGTCGGAAGCGACCGATACGTTTGTTTATCTATAGCAAAGCTCATTTGTCTCGGTCGCGAAACAGGCATTTCGACTGTTTTGGCAGCTTGGTCTGAAACCAGAAATCCAAATTCTTCACCATTGACAGGTCAGTAAGTGGGCACCGGTGACAATTATGGATCTCGATGGTTTGGCGAAACTCCAAACGGAGGGCGTGAATCCCCGCACGACCAATATCGATCGCATGTCAACGTTGGAGATGTGTACTGTGATCAACAACGATGACCACCTGGTAGCAGAGAGTGTTGTGCCATGTCTCCCTGTGATTGCGAGTGCGATCGATGCATTGGCTTTGCGAGTTCATAAAGGTGGTAGGGTAGTCTATGTTGGAGCTGGAACAAGCGGAAGGTTGGTGAATTGATGTAGAGGCAACTTCAATTTTGGATAGAAGGATGACGAACAGCAGAGACCCTTAGGCTCGGCATCTTGGACGCTTCAGAAATCCCACCCACTTTCGCTGCTCCACGATCTCAATTTGTCGGATTGATCGCCGGCGGAGACAATGCCATTCGACAGGCACAGGAGGGTGCCGAAGACAGCGACCAAGCTGGCAGAGAGGATCTAGAGCGTCTGGATCTCGACCCAGAACTCGATAGCGTGATCGGTATTGCTAGTTCAGGCCGTACGCCGTACGTTCTTGGATGTCTCGCCTTTGCTAAAGGGCTAGGTTGCCTGACAATTGGCATTGCCTGCACCTCTCCATCAAAAATGGGTCACTCCGGTGATGTAGACTTCCTGATTGCGCCCTTACCCGGTGCAGAAGTTGTGACTGGTAGCACTAGGCTCAAAGCCGGAACGGCCACAAAAATGGTCTTGAACATGTTGAGCACGGGCACTATGATTCGGATCGGGAAGACTTATGGCAATATGGTACGAGCATGTTAATAATTGTTCGAAATGATGGTTACTAACGGCAATAATTATTGCAGATGGTTGATATGGTGGCATCGAATCTCAAACTTGAGCAGCGCGCTCGGAATATTCTACGTCGACTAAGCGCGAAATGCAATATCATGTCGGATTCCGAATTGGATGCACTTCTTGCGAAGTGCAGCCGAAGCGTCAAGCTCGCTATTCTGGTCGCTGAAACAGAAGCATCTGTTGAGAGCTGCCAATTGACCTTAACATCAACTGGAGGTGTTCTCGCAATGGCGTTGTCGAAGGCACTTCAATCTCCACAACTGTCTTCATCTAACAGCCATCGAAGACTATACTCACTTTGTATCGATGGTGGAGGCACTAAATGCTCAGCTGTCATTGCAGATATTAACGGCGTGATAAGCCGTGGGTCTGCTGGACCATGCAATATGTATGCAAGTCCATGATCTCAGAATTTGAGAATTCTTTAGCTGACTACTGTACAGTACCGATAGCGTGGAAAATCTGAATGCAATAATGTCTACTCTGACTACAGCCACCAAAGCTGCGATGAGAGAGCATGTGCCTGGTTTGACCCATTTTACTGAGTCAAACTGGCAAGACTTTTTTAAGTCATCCTTCAAGTCGGTCTGGATCGGTCTTGCTGGTATGGACCGGAGTGGCCTATACAGTGTACTAGCCCCGCAACTTGGTGAGATCTTCGGGCTTGATCATACCACGCCGGCCCTCAAGTTGACGAACGATGTGTCATTGTTGACTGCAGCGGTGGCAGGCCAGAATGAGCATCCCTCTATCATTGCTGTCATTGCAGGCACGGGAAGTGTCACAATGCGATACAACTGGAGCGAGGATGAGGGCTACACATGCGTTAGCCGAGCCGGTGGATGGGGCCACCTGTTAGGAGACGAAGGCGGAGGCTATTCCATCGGCTTGGAAGCCATCAAGCATACTCTCGATGTATTGGAAGAAAAGTCGCTAGGCCTTGGTCAAAATGATTTAGGTAACTTTGAACATGCAGTTATCAAGAAGCTGGGAGGAAACATCCAGAGCAACGGCAATATTGATCTTTTAAGCGAGATTCTTTCCCGGGCCGGTGCACAGTGCGTGAAATCCCGGATAGCAGGGGTAGCGGAGACGGTCATAGGACTGGCAAAGTACAGCCGCACTGCAAAGAGGATTATGGACGACAAGGTTTCTTTGATTGTTCGGAAATCCCTTCTGCGTCTGGCTGATACTAGATCAAATGGTTATACCAGAACCGAGGAGACGGAGTTGGTATTGGCTGGCGGGTTGATGAAAAATGAAGAGTACCAAGGTACTTTGAGGCAGCAGCTTGCCCAACAGGGGCTTAATTTCCGAGGGATAAGAGTGGTTGAAGATGTTGCTGTGACGGTAGCCAAATATTTGATGTCTTGATGAGTCTCAAGGCTGGGTAGACTACTGTAGGCTCAATTTTTCATTCACTCTGATTGGAATTCTGTACAATAAAATGAATGACCTGGGAAAAATTGTGAATTTCAATCTTCCACGAACCAAGGAAAATTTAGAAGCTCAAATCATCTATTGAAACTTTGTCATAACATTGTCTAATTAGATGCAACATGTAGCTATTAAATGCTCTTCAATTTGATTCGAAAACCATCGGTCCCAAAGCCCATTCCTCCTAAATTGTACACCTTTCCATTCTTAAACCGTTTCCCATGTGTTCTAGAAAAAAAAATCGAATTAAAAAAAAATCGACCAAGTAAACCACGCGGATCTTCAAATTTTAGGATATGGGAACAGCCTCAATGACCGATTCCATGCCCGGGCTTTCATTCCAAATACCAGTAATTTTCAAGCCAGCTTTCTGAAGTAAATCTCTCCACTGTGTCTCTGATCTCTCCACACCAGCGCCAATACTCATCATCTGAATATCAAGCGAGGCCTGCATAAGAGGCGTATCAGTATCCGACAGCACAAAGTCCACAATCAAGATTCGAGAATAGCCTGGGACCATGGCAGATATCGTGTTGCGCAGGATCTGAAGACAGATTTGATCCGCCCAGTCGTGGAATATTGAGCGAAAGTAATATATACGTGCTCCTTTGACGGGCTGGGGCTCAAAAAAGTTGTACGGCATAGCCTCGATGCCGGGTTCCTGGCCACAAATACCGGCGACGACTTTAGGCTGGTCTTGCAAGATGAGTTTGCCTGGAAGATGCTTGTATCTCTGGCGGAATTCCTTTAGATCGTGTCCTTGGTTTGCGCCAACATCTACTAGGAACGGTGTGTCTCCAATTGGAATGGAATGGCCGAACAATCGCTCCACAGGGTAAACGTCAAACCACATCGGTCTACCCTGTCGGCGGCTCGCCATGTATGAGTTAAATAAGGTCTGTTTATCTTTGTTGTTAGCTAGCCATTCGAACTGGCTTTGACCAACTGCCCACTTCATTGGTGAGTTGTCGTAGTCTTCAGGGTTGACATAATCATGAGCCCGCAGATACTCGGGTAGCCTGGCGAGGGTTGGAAGTGTGAGATCATATCTGACATGAAGAAAAATATGTTAGCGCGAGTTAATACAAGTATTCACAGATCCAAGACCTTACATGCAAGGAATTCCATCACGGCCGGCAGGTTTGACCAGCGCCGCTGTCTTTTCATTGGCTTTATATAATTGAAATTCCGGGGTTGTGCATAGACCCAGAGAAGAAACAACGCGCATTAATCGCACTGTGGGATTTTGTCAGTCGCGCCCGAGTAAAACAATGTGACGTGGCAGAGACAATACCGATCAAGTCCTGTTCTGCACCGGTGGACTCTGCTAGCTGTGCAGCCGAGATGCCTGTACTTTGGTACTGCTTCTGCATGAGCAAAGGCATAATTTCCAAATCGACCACGGTTCGTAGTGCAGCATTCTGCGGGGGCTGTGGGGCATTGACGGGTTAGATCACTCATCAAAAATCAGTTAATAAAGGGCCACACCGTACCTGGTAGATAAGGCGTTGAACGGTCTCCGACGGGCTTTCGACAGCCAGTTTAAACTGATCGATCACTTGCAAGAGCTCAAAATGGGCTTTCTCTGAAGGGTTGACAGTGTTTTGTTGAACTAATTGGCCCAGGCGGTAAACCATCGAGTGAAGAGGCGTTGTGACTGTCATTTTGTCGGGTTAAGTGAATCAAGAATCTAGAATCTGGAATCTGGAATGGAAAGAAATAGTTGACTTGAAGTCAAAGTGGTGGAAAAACGAGTGTCACAGATTGTGGCTATGGGTATACGTAGTACATAAACAAGTTTAGCCGGGATTGTCCAGTTAAAATGTTTCAAGAACACTGGATATCCTCGACCATTTATACAATCCGTGCTATCTGGGGCCCTGGGCGTTGCATGTCATTGACTCATTGCCATTGTCAGCCCTCGGAAGGTTTCACCTTGCCTGCATACAACTCCTCTCCAGCTTCATCCCTCATCCCCACAGGAACCACACGCCACTCTGAGATTCAGCTGCCCGAAAACAGCCCGGGCTGACAATTTCGAGAAACAATTGATGGATCGGTACAAAAAATCAAAAAGAAAGTGGATCGTCTGGAGCTGATTGCCGTTGTTCTATTGGGCCACATTTGAATTTTAGTCTGCATTAGCTTGGCCCACTTCCCCCATCAGCGCATTCATCACACGCTTGATCGGCAGAAAGCACCGAAGGAATAATACGCCACTTATAGGTGTGTTTGCTCACTCATATAGTAGATACCGGAATGAAAGCCCAGCTTCAGAAGCAGCTGATTGGGTATTTGTTTTAGGAGATATCGGAGAACTACTAAATGCCAATCTTTTTGCCACGAGAAACACGAGCAGAGGGAGAAAGGTTATTATAGTATGACGTGCTTAGGTGGTATGTAGTAAGACGGGGTCTTGATAACGCGGATTACTCCGAATAACATGCCGCTTGAGCACATGGCTTCCTCATTCCGCCAAAGAAACCTGAAGGTACGGAGGATATCCAAGTTGCATTGATGTGATTGTACTGATACTTCGGTACAAAGCATCAGCCAGACTCAGAGATTGGTTACTGCCTGAAGTGGGCCTATCTTGAGTCGTGTTTTTATTTACAATCTGGTTTACTATCTCTCTCTCTCTATGTGCCTTCTCAACTCGGCAGTTTGAGACCTTGTGCATTCACTGAGCTAGGATCTATGCCACATTACCCCTGTTCTTCGATATGGGATAGATCTTTCTATGGACTCCTTGATTCGCATCAACCGATCAGTTTTTTTTTGGCAAAAAATTGATGTATGAAGGCTGTCTTCATGTACAGACCAACGGGGCCTTCTTTGTCTCTCGGCACAGCGGGACGGCCCTGTGGCGTCCCGTGGACCAAGGAACGTCGATCAAAAGCTCACACGACAAAGCTCTCATGTTTAAACAATCAGCATGCTAGGATCCAATCGGACGGTTCACCTTCTTGCCGGCAAAAAGTGGGGCGAGAAAGGGGATGCTCTCTTCATGATCCGTCAACGCTTGCCGCAACGGCTGGTTTCGTTAGAAATTCAAGATCTGTTCCATGGGAAGCGTTCTGATAGCCTTCCAAGAAGACCCGATACCACGGTTTCCCCGTTCCGCGTTCCGGGAGCAAGATAGATCTAATCTGGAGACGGGAAGCTACAGTCAATGGGTACTTCTGGCGGGAGCACCTCGAGTCCTCGATGTGCTCTGACCTCTCGTATTTCCGGTAATCGACTTGGTGAATTTGCGGATCGTTTTTATGATCGGGGCTTATCTTTATTGAGCTTTGATAGCATCAATGCTTTTGCGATGGTTGGTCCATCTATCTGTAGTGTTTTCTTTTTAGCGCGCAGGCTCATAATCTTCAAGTGCTGACAGCGAACCTTTTCCGTGAACATTGAATGGAGGACAAGCTGAATTTTTGGCAGTAGAATAGATTAAGCCGACTAGTGCTGACCATCACTACTATTAGTCTATGGCTCGTGCGAGTAAATTGTCGGTTGGCTGATCTAAGAAAGTAAAAATTGGGGGGAAAATAGATTCATCAGATTCATCAGATTATCTGACTTTGCCTCTCGGCTCCCTACATCAAACAAAAAAGATCATGGGAAAGGATACTTTCAATGCACATGTGTCAAGTGTAAGACTCGGTTCTACTGCAATAATCCAATTATTCCACTGATTTCGGTGGGGTCAGCGCAACCAATGTGATCCTTCGCGCCGTTTTTCCTTGTATGCAATTCCCCACTAATGATGTGCCCATTGTCTTCGCTATCTGGTGGAGCCCGGGAGCGCCCCATAATTTTGGCAGAAATGTTGTTATTTCCATCCCCCTGAGCCGATTATGTATGTGATGGACATATCCGCCCGGCGATTGCATAGGAAGCCGGGGATGGCCCCAACGGGATTTTCATTTCAACCGACTGATTCGGGCAGCTCTGCAGTGTAACATTGTCAGTGGTCCCGATGGCGATTCACAGCTGCAAGAGATTAAACCATGTCGAGTTCGTTTGTCGGACATGGCGCAGATTTTGGGACAATCTAGCCAGTAGGAGAGGCCGATTGACCGCCAATTCTTCATAGAATGAAATTCTATTCGCTTAGAGTTGACCAATTGAGCCCATTCATGCATGCAGGGGAAGCGCTGTTGACGCATGCACTGTTCTGACGTCCTTTGTACCGGTTCACTCCTGTGGTCGTTTGTAGTTCGCCGTCACGTACCCGTTCACTGACTCAGGTATCAATTCCCCCAATTGACAAGGCCAACATTTGAACCAGCCTTTTTATGTATTTCTAGACGTAAGCATTTATTCTTCTTTTTATTTATTTATTTATTTTATTTTATTTCAGCGGCATGGAAGGGTTTCTGCAGTTCCGTGGTGGTCGGTGCAATGGCTGATTCGCCATGGCCCACAACTTAGAAGGTCAGCTCAGCCTTCACCCCGGTCATCCCGACTGTGGTCGGCAGAGATGTAAAACTTTTGTTCCGGGGTAAATTTTCCTGCGTGAAAGGCAATATCGCCCTGGGGTCAGCTTTTGTATCATAAATAAGACATTTCCTTTTCGCCAATTCGTTCACCCACAATTTACTCCTGACATCTACCACTATAATGGGTATCCAACGTGGAACATCTGTTCAACCAGCGGCTTCATCACAAAACTCTGATCCTTTGACAGAAAGGTTTGGCCAACTCAATGTCTTGGATGACTTGATTCGCCTTCGTGCTGCAGATATTGTTCAACTCCCAATCCTCGCATACCCAAGCTCAGATAAGGATGCTGCATCGTATAACTACTATACTGGTCTGCAGCTCGATGAGATGATAGACCAGACTGTTACTACGTTGATGGAAGATGGATTTACCCCGGTTAGTACTCTTTCGGCTATAATGTTCATTTCGATACAATGGTATTGTAGGGCACTGCTGACTACTTCTATTCTAGCCCAAGAAAGATGGATCTATAGTAGCGTTGCTGACGTTATCAGATCTAAGTATGATCATCACTCTGTTCGCACTTAGTCGCCTTGGATACAAAGTCATGATATTATCGCCACGTCTATCAGGGGATGCTTGTGTGTCGTTGCTGAATACTGTCGGTTGCGACAACATTATATATGGAAAAACAGGAACTGAAATCCGCATAACGATCGGTGAAATCCTGAAGCGGAAGTTTGTCACCTGTCGCCCCGTCCCTGTACTTTCTGATGCTACCTCCGAGACATCTTTGTTGGTCTTGCACAGAAAGCGAAACTCCGAGGCGCAACGGGACAAAATCGCCTTAATCCTCCATTCCTCCGGGTCCACGGGAGACCCAAAACCCATGTTTCTTACACACCGTGCTATCATGACACATCCATTACGAGGGCCTGGGCTGACATCTTTCAACTCTCTTCCCTGGTATCACCTCCATGGAATTTCGACTGCCTTGCAAGCAATGTGGATGAGGAAAACTGCATTCATGTGGAACGCAGCTCTGCCGCTGACGGCTGATGCGCTCGTTTCAGCTCTCGAAGAAGCCCGTCCTGAATATGTTGCCGCAGTCCCTTACATGCTACAGCTGCTCGTGGACAGCCCTCGTGGTGTCGAGTTACTTCGGAGCTGTGAGGTGGTTGGTTATGGCGGGGCGCCGTGCCCCGATGAACTTGGCGATGCTTTGGTGCGGGCAGGAATTCCGTTTGGTGGTTCATTTGGACTGTGAGTAATCTTGGAGAATAAGAAAGCAAATTGTGGATAATGAGCTAAGTCTTACTTTGATATGCAGTACGGAAGCAGGGCTCGTCGCCGAATCATTATCTCGACCGAAAGATGACCCTTACTGGAATTATTTGAAATTCTTTGAGAACCTGCTTCCTTATATCTGGATGAAGCCCCTAGGGGGCTCGCTCTACGAGTGTGTCTATCTGGCTGGACATCCGGCACTGACAACATCAAACTGCAATGAACCGCCTGGATCATATCATTCTAAAGACATTTTCACCCCTCATTCCACGATTCCCAACAGATGGAAGTACGTATCGCGACTTGATGATCGTCTGACTCTTATCAATGGAGAGAAAGTGCTCCCACTTCCAATCGAAGGCTGTATTAAACAGCACCCTTTCATTCATGAGGCAGTCGTATTCGGACTGGGGAAAACCGCCCCAGGTTTGTTGATTTTCCGATCGCAGGAAGCGGACGAAAATATATGCCTACCAGATGATCAGTATCTTGATGAGATCAGGCCCATCATTGAAATTGCCAATTCTCGTGCGGAGCATTTCTCCCGCATCGCGAAAGACATGGTTGCCGTTTTGCCATTTACTTCGCCATTTCCACGAACGGATAAAGGGTCTATGATTCGTGCACAGGTTTACCTGCAGTATAATGATCTGATAGAGAGCGTTTACTCGAATGCAGAAGGCCAACAAGGGGACATGCGACTGACATTGGAGGAAACCATTGTGTTTTTAATGGCGTTGTGCCAGACCGAGCTCGGTATCAGCCTCTCTAGTGCTGAGGCAAACTTCTTCTCAGAGGGGGTTGATAGCCTGAAAGCGATTCACTTACGGCGTCTCATTCTTCAGAATTTCGATCTACCCAAGGACAGCATTGCTCAGAATGTGGTCTATGAACAGGGAAGTATTGATCGATTAGCGGTGCATGTTTGTGCTTTGCAAAATGGCGAGGATCTCACGGAAAGGTAAGTCCTATAGCTCGTACCTTATAGGTGCTTCAATACTTGCAAGCCTGATCTAACATATGAAGCAGTTCTTCGCAGACTCTTTCAATAGTGGACGATAGTACCGATTTTATGTCGAAAATGATTGAGAAGTATTCTTCATTTCAACCACACACTCCCACTGAGTCTTTATGCAGCAGCAGCAGCAGCAGCGTTGTGAGTACTATAAATATCATCAGACTATCGAGATCGAACGAATCGTGCTAACTAGTAGATGAAGATTCTTACCGGAGCCACCGGATCAATTGGTGCCCACACATTATACGAGCTTCTGAACGATGACTCCGTCTCCACGGTTTTCTGTCTTACCCGACGCAAATCACCATTGGAAGATATCCTCCAAAGCCTAGCAGAAAAAGAGCTTCACGTCACACCAGAACAGGCATTAAAAATCATCGCCCTTAACAGCTCACTCGACCAACCGGATTTTGGCCTTGATGAAGACCTCATGAATCGCATGCGCAGATCCGTTACTCAAATTCTGCACGTTGCCTGGCCCGTCAATTTCAATCTTCCCCTGTGCCAATTTGAGCCCCACCTTCGCGGCCTGTACAATCTCCTCCAGTTCTCACTTTCCGTCGAACAACCACAGCCAGCAGTACTCATGTTCTTATCCTCCATTTCCACCGCACTCGGCGCGACGTCAACGAATATTCCCGAAGACTCATTGGATTTAGAACTGAACACTGCTTACATGGGCTATGGCCAGTCCAAGCTAACAGGAGAGCACATTGTCAGTGCGGCCCACCGATCCGGAGCGAGAGCTTATTCGCTCCGAATAGGCCAGGTGTCGGGACATTCGAAGAAAGGTCTCTGGAACGACAGCGAAGCACTGCCGCTTATGATCCGGTCTGCTTTGATCCTGAAAGCGTTGCCCAGTCTGAACGAAAGTTGTTCCTGGCTGCCAGTTGATAATCTCGCAGCAACGATCCTGGAACTGACGAGATCGAGGTCGGGTTCAGTTGGCGAATTATGCGAGAAGGATTGTACGATGCCTGCTGGGCAGACTGGTGATGATTCGATCTACAATGTGTGCAATTCTCGTGAGTTCTCGTGGTCTGCACTGCTGGAGTCCTTGGGTCGGAGTTTCCAGTTCGATGTTGTGCCTGTTGAGAAGTGGCTGCAGTTGCTTCGGGAGAGCGAGGCTCGTGGTGAGGAGCATATTAATCCGGCTGTGAAACTGATTGAGCATTACGAGGCCATGTATGGTACTGGGTCTTCTGCTCTTCGCACTCTTGGACCGAAGAGGTTTGTGACGGAGAAGGCGGAGAGGGACAGTGTTACTTTGCAGAATGGTCGTCTGAGGATTATTGAGGATGGGATTCTGAACTGTTATATCCGCGACTGGATTTCTCGCTGGATGAGATCTTGATAGACATCTGGATCATAGATGAATGGTATTGCTTTGGCTTTCTAGAGTTCTGGGGCAGATGCCAGGGGGAAAGATCTTTCCGAGTGGTATTGGAAACCTTCAAGTTTTTGAATGTATAGAAAATATTTGAACATTGAACATAACAAAATATACATTTAATCACATGTGCAAGTTCGTATGTGGATACTCTGGCTTTCTCTCTCTCTATATAAGCCCCTAATCAATGTGAATAGGCAGCTTGGATTTCCAATGACTACAAGGCAAGAATGATGATGTATCATGGAATCTCACCCCGATTGGGACATCCCGCGTAAAGCTAAGATTTCCCCTGTATCTCTAGTCCGTCAAAGGTAAATCTGACAACCTCCGGCTATCATACCCGAGATCGTCTTATATGACCACTTCATCCAATCAAGCATTTTTAAGGATTGACGCTTAACGACCGGAATGTTCTTTGGAAGGTTTGGATGGGTTGTGGGTGAAGAAAAGAATCAAGATGCCTCGCTGAACTCCACATTAGTTACTCCACAAAAACTCGGCCGAGAAAAAAGATGATGCTATTGAAGTTAAATGGATATAGTACGGAGTAGAGATTTTCTTCAAGGTCGATCATGCATAAATTGGGGCATGCATTTATCAAATGAAATAAATAGTGTCAGTTTGGTGAATTTAGGTGGATCTGCAGCAGCATAACATTGAATGTATAGGAGTATTTTTGATAGATGGTAAACGGATACGGATACGGAGTACGAGTAACGAGTACGAAACCCGAGTAGAGCCCCTTTTAAACCACAAGACAACCACAAGAGATAAGTTCTTCTTTACTCCATCACAGTCGGCATATTCACTTCCTCAGTGTCCGGCCATTTCCGAAAGAGGTCTTGCAAATAATCCAGTGGCGCCGTAATCAATCCAACAGCAGTTTGATAAGGTGGACGATCGGGCGCGCTAGGGTGCGCACGTGTTGGCACGAAATGTTTTGTACGGTCGAAGGAATCCGCTAGACGCTGACTTTCCTCGGTTGTGATGCGGGATTCGAGATTGCTCAGATCCACTCCTTCATGGTTGACATGCGCTGCTAGATCACTCATGAGAACTGCCATGGTGGGGATGAACCGGGGGTCGGTGGATTGAAGGGTTTGGAACACGGCTAATTCTTCTTTGATCTGTTTTTTCCCCGATTGGAAAGGAGAAAAAGGGGACATTTAGCTTTTTTTTTCTCTTTTTTTTCTTGGTGTGATCCATCTTCTCCAGGCTACTGAATCCTGAGGGGTTTTTTTTCGCCCACTTACTATTTGATGTTGTTGCCGATCTTCGGCTGCATCTTCGTGCAGGTGCTGCTTTAGTGCCGGGTACAGCACTAGTTCCTCGCCAACCACATGACGGGCTAATTCCCAGGTGAACATGTTTTGCCAGCGAGTTTGTTCATCTGGGTCATCAGCGTGCATGATCCGATCATAGTATGACTTAAGGTCACGGTGATCGGCACAGATGGTGTCGGAAATACGCTTCATTGTGGAAACATCGGGCAGACCTTGGGGCACGTGGGCTATGCCGGGAACGGTGACCAGTGGATATTGAATGTTGGAGTCGATAATGGACTTAGTATCTACTTCTATTCCTATACCTCCATTTCCATTTCTATTTCTATTAGTTTTAGCTTGGAACTGATTACTGTGCATGACGTGCTAAGCAAAGTCGAGTTAACCCAAATCTCCGGGATTCAGCCCCGGGCTTGGTCAAGGCATCTAGTGGCGCTCTACTTTCTAAGTTGGCGGTGGGGTCATGATCAAAGGAATTCAAGTCAAAAAAATCAGAAAAAAAAAATAACTTCAGGGATTCCGACGCCAATTATGAGTTGGACCTTTTGTTACGGATCATGCGAGGGTCTGAGTCCCCCTGAGCATTCCACTCCTGCTTCATCCTTCTTTTATTTCCCTCTTTCCTTTTTCCTATCCTTCGATCTTCTACTTCTACAAAGAAATCAAAGATCGCTTTGAGGACAAAAAAATAAGCCATCATGGCTGCTGTTTCAAGGTTGGTGCTCATGTCACGTCGACGTGATCCCTAGGGATTCATCCCCGCGCAACACTAACGCTTGAATTACCTTGATCCAGGAATCAAAGTCTGCCTGACACCTCCAGACACTCTCAGTCCAACTCCAACACACTATCTCCGGCCATTTATGATCAGATTTCCTCATGGATGTGTTCCAGGTTGTGGGGCAATACGTGTGAATCAAGTTCCGGCTCTTCATCCCGACAACCCTACCAAAGCGACCCAGCTGCTTGCAAAGGATGTCGTGAGTGGCGCGTCCCTTGTGATCATACCCAACCACAATGCGAACACTGCTATCAGCAACAAATTCTATGTTTCTATGTCAATCCCAACCAACCAAAGCGAAAACCTCAACCGCAACCTTTCGTTCCCGCAGATGTACCCCGGATTCGCGAACCTACCCCGCGAAGAAAACGGAATGAGATGCCAACCCGTTTATATACTATTGTCGAGCATTGAGCTTTGATGTTGACTTTAACAAGAGCACTATTTGTTGTCTCTTTTGAAAAAGAAAAGAGGTATTTTATCATAGCATGGAAAAGCGGATGTTCTACGGTCTACCCAACACAAATGTTGCCGACCTGGTGTCGGCGCGGTGCAAAGCGGCAGAATTCATGATCATAGCGTTGGCGTCATTTTTTTATTCTATTTATTAATCGAGATCATCTTTCCTGATGTTTATCATTATGCGCATGTCTCTCCTTGAAACCCCTTGAGCACGAAACAAGATTAAGAGGGGGGAATATGGAGAATGGGGAATGTGGGAATCGGATTATGGATATGGCGGGGAAAATCCATGACATCCACTTCGTTGGTGCTATGGACTATGGTGGCCAAGCTTTAGCTCCACATTCCTCACCGCTGCGTACCTTACCACTGCAAACCGGATACTACTTACTGTAGTCATGACTTTGGAGGCTCGGATCAAAGCCGACCGGACCTGGTTTTGAATCGGAGCACTGTGACCCGCTCCGGAGACTGTGATCCGCGCCTCCACATACATATCATGGACCTAAAATCTTCAATTTACTTGATCCCAGTGGTGAGCTCAATCTCATAATTACATTTGGGGTTTGCTGCAGCGACATGCATTCTTGATTGGCACTGTTCCCGTGGGGCCAAACAAGTATTGCCGCAGTACATATTCTGTGATTCTCCCTCAATATCACTACAAATCTATACTTCTACGACTACAATAGTAAGTTTCTTGAGAACAATACCAGTTGACATGGATATACAGCCTCAAACTTGGAATGCATATTTGTGGCGAACTTTTATCTAACGTTATCCAGATGGAATGCGAGTACCGCCGCCTGGCAGACGTTATCCGTCAAGAAGCCAAAACCCACCCCAGCCCACGCTTCCTCGTCGGCATAGCAGGCGTCCCCGGGTCAGGCAAGACAACGACCGCCGAAGCGATCGTCCAACAACTAAACACAGATCCAAAATGCCACGCAGCCCTTCTCTCAATGGACGGGTTCCATCTCCCACGAGCAACGCTCGATCAAATGCCCAATGCCACAGAGGCCCACATCCGGCGCGGCGCGCCGTGGACCTTCGACGTCGCTCGGTTCATTGAATTCGTCTGTCGACTTCGGACCTGGGCTGAGGAGACACCGTTGGTGCAATCGTCGTGGCCGGCCTCGCATGTCATCCGGGCGCCGACCTTCGATCACGAAGCCAAGGATCCCGTTGAGGACGGTCTGGCCATTACGCCAGACACCTCAATTATAATTATCGAGGGCAACTATCTCCTGCTTGATGAGCCCATGTGGCGAAATTTGGCAGAGCTGGTTGATTACCGGATATTTGTTGACACGGATCTCCAAGAGGCGCGGGATAGGACTGCTAAGCGGCATGTGCAGTCTGGGATTGAAAAGACGCTTGCGGATGGGTATAGGAGAGTTGATAGTAATGATTACTTGAATGGGGTTTCTATTCGGGAGAAGCTGCTCACGCCGGATATGGTTGTGAAGAGTGTCACGGCGGACACTTCGTCTTAGGAAACAAAGACATGAATAATGATTGATTGAAGAAGATTATTTAGCAATGCAGAGACAAGTACTTGATTAATAAAAGGAAAAATACTTTCGTATCAACTGCCAGCTTCTTCACTGTTCTGGAGCTGATCTCCGCTTGAAGGTTAATTCAAAGACAATTTATTCAACCTTTGCTTATCACTTCTTTCCTATCCAGGGATCTCGGGTGCCACTATGAAACAAACAGTACCGCGTTACGTTACAGACGTTCCAAGTTTGAAAAAGAGAGTACCCTGAGACCTTCCTAGAAGGGTCGTGAAAATACCTTGTTCTACTAGCCTTGGAAAGAGCTACAGAGTCCAGGCCGATCTTTCTAGGCGCCTAGCCTTGAATTTTTGCTAGTCTAATGCCTCCGAAATATAAAATACCAATCCAGAGATCTCTATTGTATATCGGTAGTGTTCTTTCACGCATTCAAGCTGGCGCCCGAGGAGCTAACAGATGCTGGCTGATTTGGGTATGTTTCAGCGTTTAACCATATTGAATATTCCATATTCAGTCTGTATATGTATAGAAGTTGCTGAATATGTATGTGGAGTCATGCAGGTTCCTTTGAGGGTAAAGCTAGCGGAAACTTCTTCAATTGATTGAAATGAATATGGCACGTCCAAACAGGAGGTCCTGCCTAAACAGGCCCAATTGCGTTCAACTCTTTGACATTCTGTCACTTCAGTCTCAAAGATTCGGCATGAATACGTGCTAATTTTTCTTTTTCGAACGAAACATTTTCTTTTTTTCAACCTCTCATTTCCTCCTCAGTCGTTCCAACTTTGATTTCAACCACCCACTATCAAATCACCGTTGACTTCACCATGCCCCAGCTATGTGTCTCTGTCCGTACGTCCGTGCTGGCATCCTCGCCACCAAGCACCCAGCAGGCTCCCAAACCAGGGAAAGTGCAGGATCCCAATCCAGTGAAAGCCAAGGTCAGCTACTCTTACAATTATCAAAAAGGGGACATGACTGACTAGGTCTATGAAGATGGTTCCCTCTGCCCCTATCAAGTGTTTGACCCATAAAACGGAGTTCTTCACCATCAAAGATGCGCTTCGTCATATATGGAAGCTACACAACATGCGCATGTTGGTTTCACATGCTACCAAAGTTTGGTGCTGCGGAAAGTCCATTGGATATTACGGAACTCCCGACTATGATGACGAGGAGATGTTCAAACATCTGTGGGCTGAACACCATCCTGTTTTCTACACCTTTTCAGTCGATCTGGACTACTTGCGTGAGCTTAAGCTCATTGGTCCGGAGGATGAAATGTGAGCTTAAGTGAGTCGTGGTTTGTGATTAGCGACGGTGACAAGGCTGTCTGAGACTGCGTGTATCATCTGGGGAAGCTTGTTAGAGGTCAAAGTGTTCTTTCTGTGCGATTTCTGAGCGTTTCAAGGAATAGACATTCATTTCCTCCATTTTTAAAAAGTCAAGGGTGAAAGATCGGGTTAGTAAAGTACTATCAATACTATTAAATAATATCAACAAACCTCGTCACGGGATAGATGTATTCTGATGACGTCATCCACAGTACAGATGGGCATCACTGCTAGTGACTGGTACTAGTATTATGAAATTGCATTTGGCTAGAGCTTAGGAGGTACCTGAAGAGAAGGACCAGAAGATACTACTAGTGTATTATCTGTCCAATAGCTGTCAACGCATGCAGCTTCCCCGCGGTGATGTTATCATGACACGCATCTCATAATCCCCTAAACCATTTCCGTTGTGATTTCAATGTTTAAGTAATCGACATCACCCCATATTATTTACTGAATCCCTATTTAGCTTGATTTTAAATCCTCTCACTCCAACCCTGGAACAATGTCAAACCAGAAAACCCGTTACTATGTCGACTCAGCAAAGTCAGCCCGAGTTGAAATCGAGATCAGTGGTCTCTTGCTTCATTTTCTCAGTTGAAAAGGCCACTCTACGGGTCGCTTTGTTTCAACGAAGTGCGAAAGTGAGAACTTACCAGTGGGTATTCTGGTCCATCTAATTCGCCACACTTGATGCTACTGCAAATCATCGGCGGGGAGAGAGAGACTGACATGACAAAGACATCTTTTAGCCCCTATCGCAGGAAATATAAATGCGCATGAATCACCACTTGCAGCTGCATGGCGGGAGATACAAGAAGAAACCACCTTGACAACACAACAACTGGAGTTTTGGCGATATGGAAAGCCATATTCATTCAGCGATCCGGCTGTGGGGCGAAAGTGGACTATTCACCCCCTAGCATTTCGTTTTCGAGACACCGAGGGTAGCGACCTGGACAACTCAATGATCAAAATTGACTGGGAACACGAAGATTGGGGCTGGTATCGACCGGAGAACGTGATGAGCGATGAGAAGTTCGGCGGTATCCCTCGCCTGGCAAAAAGTCTTGGACGAGTGTGGTTTGAAAGGGAGATGCCACAAGGGTCAAGTCAAGCATTGCAATCCTGCCTCGAAGAACTTCAGATAAATCAACAACGGGCATCCAATGAATTGACCTCTATCGCACTAAAAGGATTCCGAGATGTGCTAGTACATCTCGACAGCGATCCGAAATGGTGGGATACTACCAGAATGGCAGCTTGGCATATCTGGAAGAACGGCCATGAAAGCATGGCAGTTGGCACTTTAAACGCCTTGCTAGCGGCTCTTCGTGACATTGAGGACGTTATCGATCGCAATCTCGATAATGAAACGAGATGGGATCGTGTCCTTGCCGTTCTGGACCACAATCTTGCGGAGCACCGAATGCTGCCGTCGCGAATCCAAGAGTCCTTTGTCGATTATCTCCAGAGGCATTACATTTCAACGGCGAACACGCAATCACGCCAGAAGCTTACGATTCTTACACTGTCTGCCAACTCGACCATTCGAGACGGACTTCTGGATGCTCTTGCGTCCACACCTATATCCCATCTCGACATACATATTCTCGAGTCTCGTCCACATTTTGAGGGCGCCACCATGGCTTCGTCTCTGGTGGCTGAATCCGAGGCAAAGTTTATATCATCGCCGCATCGGGTTGTGAAAGTGACAGTGCACACAGATGCCTCTGCTGCTCTTGCCTCTATCAATGTGGACTTGGTGCTTATAGGAGCAGACTGGATTTCCAGCTCGGGTTGTGTGAGCAGCAAGACGGGGTCTTTGCCAGCTGTTCTCAGTGCGAAGCATATCAGCCCAAATTCGAAGGTCTTGATTCTGGGTGAATCAGAGAAAGTATCTTACATGGATAGAGAAGCCCACCACGAGTGCCGGGAATGTGACCCCACTGAAGTGATGAGTACTTGGCTCAATAGCGGGATCAAAGGAGTCAATATTCTTCAGGGGTCGCAGGACCTTGACCCCGAAGCTTCGACATGCACGACGCGCGTGAAGAATGTTTATTTTGAGTGGGTTCCAGCGGATCTCATTGATGGATACGTTTGTGAAGACGGGACGGTTGATGTCTCGGTGATTCAGCAAAGGGCGAGAGAAGTGAAGAAGAGGTCGAATAGGTATTTTGAATCTTTGTAGTCGCAGCAATGATGGAGTCCTCCGTCTGGGTCAGTTTTAGTTCTTGACCGCGAGTTACTATATAGTACTAGTATGTATATGTCAACAGTGCACATGTGAGTGATACATGTATCAGGGTTTCTGCTAGCGGTGGAATACCTAGTAGACATGATATCTACGATAGAGAAAAGGATATGTACGGAAAGAACATTGAAATGGTCAAATGCGTAAGGCTGTTCATTGATCAAATAAGCTGCAGAGTATCCATACAGTAAATCAAGAGCTACGGCGAGACCAATATTTGCAAAAAGTCTCATGGTTCAGACAAAAGAAATTCATTAATCCATCTCACAACGCCGGGGTCGAGGACAGGATCGTAAAAGACCTCCAACCCCACAACAAAGGAAATCCGAGCTATATGCAAAACAAAAGCAGTATTATCTTCAAGAGTCGCGAACCCGCGATTGACGCTTAGCTGTGCCAATGTGGGTGTTGTGGACCTTGGTGGCAAACTTCAAGCTTGTCAAAGTCTCCGACAAATGCGCCTTTAGCGGACTTGCCATGACAAACATCAGCGTTTTGGAGTTTCCGCCCAATGAAAATTGCAGAAGATATGTAAGCTGGATAAATGTGTTAGTAAATGGGTAACAAGGTGCGCGATTCATTGAGGACATACCTTGCTGTTACGATAGGGGATATGGCCACCGTCCTTGCCCTGTCCAAGAGCAGAAATCACATCACCAAGAGAGCTGAGACTGCGGTTGATGTTCTGAGTCTCCTTGAGGCGTTCGCCAGTAGCCCCGCTGTGGCTTAATCGTTCACTGCCAGCCAGATCAACTAGGTTGAGAGTGCCCTCACTCCGTTCCCCAGTGATGTGGTTCTCGCCAGTCAGCTTCAGAATGAAGACCGAATGCGATCGAGACGAGCGCTCGTTGGCTTTCGTTGCAGCCACGGAGCGGTTGGCATCCGCACTACTGAGAATAGACTCAACCATCTCGGGTGAGTCCAGCTGCACAGTAGTGATATCGGTGATTATGGTCTTTCCGCGCTGCATGTCATGGCGGATATCATGCTTCTTCTTATCCAATTCATCTGGGCTTCCAAGTAGATCGTTCAAGTTTTCGTTGTAAACTTCGACAAAGTTGCCTTCCATCTTGTAACGCCAGCCCTTTTCCTCCAGGCCCTGGGCAGTCTGGTAAATTTGATGGACCGCACGTGGGATCATACCATCCTGTGAAGACATGGTGTGTGTTTTACCACTGCCAGTTTGACCATAACAGAAGATGCAAACATTGTAACCATCCAAAGCACTTTGAACCAGCTGGCTGATTTCATCAAATACCTCAGCATTTTGGGTCGAGGGGCCAAACACGCGATCAAAGGAGAATGTGTTATTTTTGCGTGTGATTGTACCAAGACTGCTCTTCTCTTCGGGCCCCATGACATTGATCTCCTTCGCGTCCTCGTATTCATCGGGATACTGCATTGGTGCGATCATGTTGGCAGGCTCACTGTTGAGAGATGGGCGTACACGGCAAAAAACGCGAATATTGCCTTTGAGCTCTTGTACTTGATTGTGAAGCTTACGACGAAGCGTCTCTTCTCTACGAAGCTTCTCTTTGATAGCGTCAGTCTCAGCCAATGCATCCATCATTTCTTGATTGCATCGCTCAAATGCTTCAGATTGTTCTTCACGTCCACCTTCAAGGAACTCAATACGCGCTTTGAGCGCTCGGATTGTTGACTCCAATGTGATGCCATTAGAATTGGCGGTGTCAAGGTTTTGTCGAAGTTCGTGGACTGTCTTGCGCTCGCGGTCGAGATCGACTTTCAAAGCATCAAGCTCGTTTCGCATATTAGAGATTTCACGCTCCCTCTTATTCAGCTCAATCTGGGATTTTTGGACATCCATCGCAGATTGCGTTGTTAAGTTACCAAGCTCTCGAACCCGCTTGGCTTTTTCGTCCTCGACTTCGCCCTCAAATTTACGCTTCAAGTCACGAAATTCTTCCTGGTGCCGATACATCAAGCTCTCTTTTTGCTTCTTATTCTCTTGACTGATGGACTCGATTTCGATGCGGTGGCGACCCTCCAGGTCATCCATCGCAATATCTTGATCTCGCCGCGCATCATGCAGGGCTTTCTCTGCAAGCCCCAAGTCTTTCTTCAAGGATCCCAGCTCAACTTGCAGCTCACAATTAGCTTCTTTCAAGCTATCGCGATTGACTTCGAGGTCGTGAACTAGTTTCCAACGTTAGAACACTCTTCAAAAAAGCTTCCACTCAGTCACTTACTTCTCGATTTGTAAAGGTCGACTGTTTCTTTCATACTAGAGGTCTGCTGTCCCTGCTGGTTGACGCGCGACAGGAGTTTCTCCATAATAGCCTCCATATCCTTCTCGCGGAGTTCTTGGTTCCATTCTGTATCTGGATCGTGTTCAAAATTTGTTAGATGAGAGTCCTTCGAAAGAAACAATGCTTGATGGGGCTTTTTGGGGGATCTCCTGGGGCTAACGGATGATGTTCCACGGGACCTGGAAGGGGAATGATTGAAATTTCGACATTGCTGAACCGGTTTGACAGGACTGGGTACCGGAAGACTCCTGGGGTCCGTAGCAAAAGCGGCTGCGGCAATAGAACGAGAAACAGGCATTCCAAATTGCAACGCAGAACTGGGTTTGGGCTCCAAGCCGGATTCCGGGGCATCATGGTACAAATCATATTTATCAGGATCGCTGGGAGATGCAAGGGGGCCAGGGAAAGAACGCGAAGCAGATGAAGAACTAGACAAAAGAGAAGGAACAGGTAGCATACCCTTTCGTTTTCCAAGGACACTTCCGGCGCCATCCTCGACGTGGGTATCTAGCGAAGTCGTGGGGCGCTGAATGGAGCTGTTGAGTCTTCGGCCGCTGAAGGATGTTTGGGGCCGAGGCATCGCAGACGGGGGGCGCGCATTGGACCCAACGGTGGCCGAGAAATTGGGGTTCGTTGAGCGAGTGTTTGTGGATCCCGATCGAGTCATGGTTGATGATGCAAGGGAGTTTCCGCGCGCATGCGCCTTCGAAGACGAGGCTGGACGAGCGGTGGGAGGCTGTTTCTTGGGATCCGGGGAGGTGAGAGCCCTGGATCGAGTAGCTATGGGCGACCTGTCAGCATATTTATCATCTGTTGAATCTTGATCCTCCATACGTGACATGGTCTTGTTAACGATCGTTCCGGGTTGCATTAGACCCGAACGGGAGTTGGCTGTCGCAGGATTCATCTCTCGTAGACCACCGACTTGTGGAATGCGCGACCGAGTCGACGCTCGCGGTTGAGTCTGCCCAGGGCTCTGGTTAGTGTTTGCGCAATCGCGACGGAATGCGAGTGTTCTGTTTACCATATTCTCGCCATCCATGGTGGGGTTTGTAGTGCGCCAGGTAACCGGGGAGTAGATAATCCGCGCGATTAGAAGAAGTTCTCGTCCAGCCACTGTCTCAATGGCCGACTAGGCGACTAAAGAAAGATGGGAAAGAGGGGGTGGAGTGTTGCGATTCGCAGTGTACTTATGAGCTGAGAGCTTGTTTGGTTTCTGGAGGGACCGGATAAACAAAGGATGACTCAGCAAATCTCCCTTCTTCCAAATCGGGGTTAGCGGTAACGCACATGATCATGCCGCATGTAACGCCTACACAGCCCCCAGATACTGTCCCTGTATATGTAATACCAGAGATTAGATTACTATAATACAGCACGTGAGCTTGGTGGGATGAAAATGAATCGCTGTAGATCAGCAGAAGAAGGGAATTTATTGGTTCAATTTGGCTATCGATCTATTTTCTCATTAAATCAGTTGATTTCATGCCGTATTTGCTCAGAAATATTAGTCCAATTGCTTGTATCATATATTGAAGCCGTTGAACCAACCCAAAAAGCCGGCGCGGACTCCACTCGGCCCGCTGAAACACCCCAAAGGGCCCCAGTTGCCGCATTCCCTGGTTGCTTCGAAGGCAGCTGCTTGTTCCTCTCCTTCAATCTTCTCCTCCAAGCTTGTACCTTATTCTTTCCCTCTCAATTCCTTCACGGTTAGGTACCGACCATGTCCGGGCGGTTTGTGCGTTCATCCAAGTATCGTAAGTCTTTGTGATCGCCTCTGATAAACTGCCGCTGACCGTTGGGGAAGGCCACGTCTTCGGGCGTTCGACACGAAAGGTAATGGATGCCTGCACTTCCGAGCCGGTTGATCCTGATTGAATTCTAACCATGACCGCAGGAACAATGCTACGATAATCTTCGCATCTCGCGAAATGCGTGGGATACCAACTTAATCAAGGTACGAATCGCCCTTTGCGCCACCGCCCCTGACCTTCGCCGTGGCTCCCGGGCTAACGAGCCAAATAGGTCAACCCAAAGCACCTGGCAGTCAATTGGGAAGCCGGTGGTGGTGGAGCTTTTGCTGTCATTCCCCTTGAGGAACGGGGCAAGCTACCGGAGCGCATTCCTCTATTCCGGGGACACACTGCTGTTGTTCTTGACACCGACTGGTAAGCGTGAATCGTCCGACCTACCCATGACATTTCACAGTTGACATCCCACAGGAATCCCTTCAACGATGACTTGATTGCCTCGGGTTCCGATGACGGAAAGGTAAGGTTCTCGGGTATATGCGGGCGCATCTTCTGTTGCTAATCGCGCTCTAGATCTTCCTCTGGCGGGTTCCAGACGACTTCACCGTTCGCCCCGACCTCGATGCGGATGATATCCAGGATATTGCGCCTGTTGGAAAGCTAAGCGGCCACTCAAAGTACGACACCACATATTCTTTTACGCTAGGGCGGAAAACTAATGCCTCCCTGCAGGAAAGTCGGCCACGTGCTCTTCAACCCCGCGGCGGAAAACGTGCTGGCAACAGCCTCGGGCGATTATACTGTGAAGATTTGGGATATTGAGGCGGGCGCACCGAAGTTGACCTTGAACATTGGTGACATTGTTCAGTCACAGTCGTGGAGTGCCAATGGCTCCCTGCTGGTTACAACTTCGCGCGACAAGAAGCTCCGCATTTGGGATGTTCGCCAGGAGCGTCCGGCCCACGAGACTGCAGGACACTCTGGAGCGAAGAACAGTCGCTCTGTTTGGCTCGGTGAGCGCGACCGGATCGTGACCACTGGTTTCTCCAAGATGAGTGATCGTCAGCTGGCTCTCTGGGATATTCGTGCGGCCCGGGAGCCTATCAATGGATTCAAGACTCTGGATTCCATCTCCGGTGTGTGCATGCCATTCTGGGATGACGGTAACAGTATTTTGTACCTGGCTGGACGAGGGTAAGTGACTTCTTTCATTACTTCCAATGTTTTTGAGTCTAACGTTGCTTCTCCAGTGATGGAAACATTCGCTACTTCGAGGTTGAAAACGATAAGTTCGAGTTTCTCTCGGAGTACAAGTCTGCCGATCCTCAGCGTGGTGTTGCTTTCATGCCCAAGCGCGGTGTTAACATGCACGACAATGAAATCGCCCGCGCCTTCAAGACCGTCAACGACGGCTACATCGAGCCCGTCTCCTTCGTCGTCCCCCGTCGGTCCGAGAACTTCCAGGAAGATATCTACCCGCCCACAATCGGCGTCACTCCTGCCATGGGAGCGTCTGAATGGTTTGATGGAAAGGAGGCGATCCCTCCCAAGATCTCTATGGAAAGTTTGTTCGACGGAAATGGTCTTGAGGAGGTTGAGGGTGTGCAGGATAAGCCGACCGGTACTATGGATGCTCCGGCTCCTAAGCCCGCTGAGCCTGAAGTTAAGAAGCCTGAGCCTGTTGCGCCAAAGGCTGCTCCTGAGCCTACTCCGGAACCCACACGTGTGGCCCGTCCCGCCCCATCCATGAAGGAGCAGGGTGGAGCCATGTCGGCTATGGTTAACAAGTTTGCCGATGATGAGGAGGCCACTCCTGTCGACGATGATGACTCTAGCTTTGACGAAATCCCCAAGCCCGTCGAGCGTGCTACGCGCTCTCCCGTTGTTGAGCCATCATCTCCAAGAGTTAGCAGCCCCCTGCGACCCAAGGAGGTGGATGTCAAGCCACAGCCTGCTGCTGTCGCGGCTACCCCCGTGGCTGCCCCCGTCGTCGCTGCCGCCACCACTCCTGTAAGTTGAATCTTTCCATAAGGAACGTTTTATGGGTGCTAATTTTGACAGATTCAGACCCCAGTCGCCGCATCTCCTGCTAGCGAGGCGAGTGTGCCTACCGCCACTGTCTCCAAGGAAATCGAAGAGATTAAAAATTTGATTGCTGAGCAGACCAAGACTATTGCCACGCAGGCGCAACAGATGCAGACTTTGACAGCTGAAATTGAAGCCCTGAAGAGCAAGCTGAACTAGGTTATTAATTTTGATTGTTCTGAGCATGTTGCCGCTACCCACTGTGGCGAGTATTATGGGAGTCGCCCAAGTTATAGGCTGTGAATGATGTTCGGTGTATCGACACACATTGAGATGCACTGCTGTATGTGGATATGTGGTTTTATCTTTTGTTTTTCTTACTAGCGGACTTGTCAATACATTGGCCCTTCAAAGCTGCGTAGACTTTTGTTGAATCTCAACGTGTAGGGTATAGGGCTGAGTTGATCCGGCATCTGTTAACATTTGAATACTGACCCTAGTGAAATCACATCTTTGTGATTAAGCGAGAAGTCTGCGGCCTGGCAAATTAACGAAACCGCAGGTATGCAGTACATTATCAGCCAATGATCATTAATCAGGATGCCAGTGTACTAGTATGTATGCAGTTGCTTTTTCCCGTGACACCACTGTCACCACTACCAATTTAGGACGTCTACGTGATTCCCCGCCTTTTTACAGCAAGCAATGAATGCGCTGTGAACTCATACCAACAACCTTGGAATACCCCGCACTCTGTTATACCAATACCTAGTAGGTGCAGCATGACATGGAGTAACCCCGAAGATAGTGTAACATGATTTAACACGAGGCATTTGATCTTCATCTTCCACCCAGCATCCCACTGCTCGTTTGTCCAATAATGTTGAAAGCCGCAATAGGAACTCTGCGTTGCATGCTGAAGCTTTCTGAAAACCAACTGGCTGCAAATGTTTTCATAGTTTTGACGATTTGGATAGGATCAATTGCGTTCAGTGTAAACAGTGCTCTTAAGGTCTTGTGCCTTACGACTGATGCGGTAAAACATCCATGGAGATGACACTGAAGTGATAGTACTAGTACTAGTGACTACTAGCTAACCCGTGTCAGGTGCTTATCGTATTCATCTATCGTTTGACCTTCCATCCCCTCGCTCATTTTCCCGGCCCGTGGCTCGCGGCGCTGACCGATTCGTACACTGTGTATCATTGTTTGGCTGGGGATCGTCATTTGGACTTTCTGCGTCTGCATCAAAAGTATGGCCCAGCAGTTCGCTTTGGACCTAACCGAGTCTCCTTTTGTACAGACAAAGCTGTTCTTGATATATACGGGGTGCGTGCCAACACGCAGAAGTCCCAGGTGTATAACGCCTTCACGCATTTCTTTTCGGTTCCAGCCAGCTTGACAACGATTGATCGGAAGGCACATGGATTCAAACGTCGGGTGACAAGTAGCGCATTAAGCGCATCTGCTGTCAAGGGTCTACAGGATTTGATTCTGCAAAATGTGCGCATATTCTGCGCGTCTTTGCAGGAAGACAAGTCTCCTACTGCTGAAGGGGAATGGAGCCGGTCTCATGACATGTCCAAGACAATCCAGTATCTGCTTTCTGATATCATGGGAGATGTTACTTTCTCGCGGAACTGGTCCACCCAATCCAGTCCCGCCAACAGACATATTCTGGACTTAATGTCTCTTGGCACCAGCGGCATTCATTTAGCAGGCCATATACCGACAGTGCTTAAGCTTAAGCTCGATAAGATCTGCTTTCCATCCTTGATTAAAGGTGTACAAGAATTTTTCCAGCTCTCAGAGGCCCAGTCTATTTGGCGCGTCGCGCAAGACCCCTCCACATTACCAAATCGTGATCTCTTCGCTGCCCTCCTAGACGCCCGAGATCCGGAGACGCAGAAACAGTACTCGCAGCAGGATCTTATTGCCGAGGCTGGGATCCTTATTGTCGCTGGTACAGACACCACATCTACCGCCACGACTGCGACCCTGTTCTATCTACTGCATAATGAGGATTCATACATTCGGGCTCGAGAAGAGGTGGATAATGTATTCATGCGCACCCGTCAATCAGATGTCGAGGTCATTCGTATGGGTCCTCAACTTAGCGAATGCTCATTCCTCTATGCCTGCATTAATGAAGCTCTACGACTCTCACCACCCGTACCTGGACTATTGCCTCGCGAAGTGCTAGCCGGAGGGCTAGAGATTGATGAGGGTCGATATTATGTTCCTGCAGGGACAGATGTTGGCGTGCCCACATACGCATTGCATCACATGGCTGAATATTGGCCTGATCCTTATGGATTTTGTCCAGAACGCTGGTTGGATTGCTCTTCGGCAGAACAAATGCCCGCGTACACACCATTCGGGGCTGGCCGCACTGGCTGTGTTGGGAAAGGGTTGGCGTATCAGGAGATGGGGATCATCTTAGCACGGCTTCTGTGGCTTTTCGATATGCGACTTGACCCTGCTCTTGGTGGGGTAACCAAAAGGGAAACAGCGCCTTTTTGGCAGCCTTCGTGGGGACGGCAGCGCAGAGGGGAATTTCAGATGCGGGATGTTTTCACGAGTACACACGAAGGACCTAGCGTGCAGTTCCGGCGGAGGTAGCTTGTATGTAGGTTTAAGAAATGAGTGTATTGGGAACAAGGTGTGTGAATCGGGTTGATGTTGCTAACATTGAATTTTTTTTTGGATTCGAGGTGTTAAATTGTTAATGGAAATTATATAATGCGGTATAAGACCGGGTCTCAATTAGGTAGGTATATGATTAAATCAGGACGATTGTTTGTGGAGGTTTCTCAATGTGCATGCAAGAATCAGACCAGCGGCCGAAACGCAGAGATAGAAAAGCCAAACATACGAAAGGCCCTTGTTGATGACGTCAAAAACGACTTGTCGCTCATCAACAGGTAGCTCCTTGGTGATACTAGCCGTGGCAGTGGATGCAACAACAATTTCTGTTCCGAATTCATACCCCAAAGCTGCTACCAATCTGGCCTTCCTCACTGCAACTTCGTGATTATAGATGACCGTTCCGGCAACCACAGATATGGAGGCTGCCAGTTGTCGAACAAGGGAAAAGGCAGCCGTAGCCTGACTCATCTCTGAAGTCTTCACATTAGCCTGGAGGGCAATCAGAGTTGCTTGGAAGTTTGGTCCCAGTCCAACACCAACGATCATCTGGTAGAGCACGATACGCGCCCAGGATGCGTATGGTTTCAAGTCCAAGTATAGACCGTATCCGAGAGTCGTGAAGAACATGCCAAAGATGATGACCTCCCGGAAGCGTCCAGTTGCGCGCAGGTACCAGCCTGCTAGGCCGGATGAAATAGCCAGTGCACTGACCAAAGGTAGAAGAAGCACACCGCTCATGATCGAGCTTTCGAGGAGCACGTTTTGTAGATACACGGGGAGGTAGAAGCAGCCACCAATGAAGACGGCCCCATGACAGAAGTTCACGACAAGGAGAGCAATGTTTTGCCAGTTGTTAAAAACGGCCAGCGGGATAATCGGGGAAGAAGGAAACTGCTCATAAATGCCGAAGAGAATCAAGGCGACAACTCCAAACACGATCAGACAAATACAAGTGGCCGAGGACCAGGCGAATTGGTCTCCTCCAAATTCCAATCCGAGGAGAAGCATGATAGTTCCGGCAATGACGAGGCCCACGCCTATCCAGTCGATTGATGCGAGGCCGTCCACGAGCGTCTTCTTCGTGGTATCGATCTTCAGGAAGAAGAGCAGGAAAAGGAAAGCAACACCGCCAACAGGCACTTTTGATACGTTAGTGATGATTTTCGATTGTGGGGAAGAGAAGGAGCTTACAGTTGATATAGAAGCACCATCTCCAAGTGACATATGATGTAAAAGCACCGCCAATGATGGGTCCTACGGCACCGGCAATGGCCCATGTCGCACCAAAAATGCCCAGGTAGGCAGAGCGCCTTTGAACGTCAAATAGGTCGGAGACACAAACGTTTGCCATTACGGTGATACCACCACTACCCACACCCTGCAAGGCACGACCGGCGATCAACATGTTGACATTGATCGCCAGGGCACAAATTAGACTTCCGCCTAGGAAAAGTATGATGGCGATGCTAAGAATAGGCTTTCGACCCCAGATATCGCTCAGTCTTCCCCAGAGACCAACGGATGAAGCATTTGCCAATAGATAAGATGATGCGATCCATGAGTAGGCGGAATCAGAGGCTTCGAAGAAAGCGACTATCTTGGGCAAAGCGGTGGAAACGATGGTCTTTGATTTGTTAGTAATTCAGCTCTTATCGGTCGGTGATAAATGGTAATCATCTCTGTACGTACGATATCAAGCGCAGCAAGGAAGACAGATAACTTTATAACACATGATCAGCGGTGAACTTGGCAACTTTTTAATCCCTTAACTTACCCCTAATCCGATTAGGATAATCACGACTCGTTGCTTGCTGGGAGTGTCTTGGGCGGTGACATTTTCTTCGGGAACATCTTCTTCAGAGAATTTTTCCATCTTGATACCTCGTTCTTCGTCTGCGGTTTGGGCGCCGATGGCGATGTCGTGGTTGTCTTCTGCTGACATTATGGAGGGAGTGATCGGCAAAAGGTCGGGTAAATATTAGTACTCAAGAAAACATAGTAAACGAATGTGTAGAAGTGGCACAGAAGCCAATGAAAGGAGAGATGATCTTCAAAATCTTGAAATCTTCAAATCGAGATAGTGAAGATCTCAACTGAAGAAAGTGTCGAAAACTTCTTCAAAATGGTGCATTTTAGCGGGGAAATAGCTTATCCAGCCTAACCTCGAATCGAGTCTTCCGGATCTAGATGCACATGGCTGTGATGTCATTCCGTTGTTTTGTTCTCCATCTCGACCAATCAGATATCCTCGGTTCGCCTCTTTGAGCCTAGCGTGACTGTCATGCACCATTGAGATCGAACGCTTACGCACTGGAACCTCCTTTCGTCGTGCCATTAACACGTGGAATGGAAGTTTTCTAGAAGTGAAGACTCCCAAGGTAAAGAAGTGTCTTAAGTCATGTTGTGTGATTCAAACAAGGAATCGCTTTATTTCTCATAAGATCCTAAATCTCACTTTTCTTCAAAACCTCAGTAGAATGGCTATACTGCTAATACGTGTTCCGTAACTTTCGTACCTGTCCAAGGTAGGCATCCATATTTCCCAAATAGGAAGGCTATAACTAAGCTCTATCTTATCTAACTACTCCACATTATTCTTATAGTATCTAGTACTCAATCAAACCTCGGCATTGCGGTGGTTATCTTAACATATCACTTCATAATCGTGTACTAGTAAGCAACTCCTGATTGATAAACTCTACTCTAAAACAAACCCCATACCAAAGCCCAACGACTGATCCTCCGTCTTAACGCATTTCCATCATGTCTCGCTCTTGGAGTTTTCACTCTGGCCCGACATCAAACCTTTCATACTCGCCAGACCCCCACTAGTGAGATCCCTAGCTGACTGAGCCCCATAAACCACTCCAGACCCAACGCCCTTAATTCCCTTCGCTCCAGCATCTGTGAATGTTGATGCGGTAGAGCCTCCATACGACCCATCTTCATCCTTCCCGTTTCTTTCAGCACGGTTGACTCCTTCCTTCGATGCAAATTTCCCGGCGGGACTCAATAGTCCCTTGTTACCAATTTGGTTCCCGACAAGATTATTCACATCGTCCTGGAGTTGATCTACTTGATCAACGCCGGTGATCTTGGTTTTGGAGAGCGAATCTATGAACCATCCGGGTAGGTCAGTTTTTCTTCTTAATTTCGTTTGTTTGGAAAACCATCATGTACATTCCATTGTCGATCACGATAGCTACGTACCTTTGGCAGCATATGATGCTTTATTATCGCCCTTCCCAAACCACTTCAGGTATTGGTCCTCGAGCCAGGGCATCCATCTCTCATAGCCATTATTGTAGGCCTCCTTGAGCCATTCACTATAGCTCTGTTTCTCTTGCGGAGTCATGTCGGCGTCGCTGGGGAACGGTTGCTTCATGCTGTTCGGGATGCTCATATTGGATGTTTGAACTCGGTAAAGTATGGACGTTGTGTATGGAAGAATGAAGAGTGGGCAAAATAAGATACGATAAATATACAGTACCTAAAAAAGGCACTGTTTATCTTTGCGAAACTGGGAATCGCGTTGTTGTCACTTTTAACTTTGTATAGATTAACTCGACATCGGATGACGTCAACGGCCAGATCATAAGTGCTATCATCGGGCTTTGGTTTGGATCTATGCAGGCTGACTGGTCAGTTTCGCACTCAGGTGGTGACTGGAACACGTATGTGGATTTTTCCAATACCGACTCAGTTGGGAAGGTCAGTATTGGAAACATTTGAATGAATTCTAGACTAAATCCATACGTAGATGGATGGATCGTAGGAAGGTCACTGCTCGTACTACTAGTACTGTGCATGCACCTGGGCAGTATACTTTCAAAGCGAGATCATTTTTTTAAGTGGCGGTGCTGCCTAGAGGCTTAACTGCACCTAGGAAGCTACTAGTACTACTTAAGCATAACATTCATTCAATATTGAGTCTTGGAACATTAAAAATGGACTGTGTTGGTGAAGTTGCTGAATGCTTTTGGATTTCAATATGGCTTTTAAAATGTATCTACCTGAGGCATCCCACCCCAGCCAGTTCGTGTGAGAAACTGGAACCCCATTTCTAGGGATAACAAATGTGATGCAAGAAGCAAGAAGCAAGCTAGCAAAAGGAAACACCATACGCGATTCCCAACCTTGGAAACCTGTGAGATGCCCTGCCTCACAATTCTAGAGCTCATCTTCGTATTGGTAATTCATGCGGCGGCCGGCCACTGCACGGTCTTGCCGACTGTCACGGCGGTTGCCAGATTTGGCCTGTTCGCGGCGTTGTTGCTCGCGTTGGAGGCGCTCACGGTTGCGTGCCTCGCGCTCTATGGTGTGGGGATCCTTTTCCTTCTCTGGCTCTGGTACGCTGGGTGGAGCTGCATCGCGTTCTTTACGATCATCGGCATCACGTTTAACACGTCGGGATCGGGGGTGGGAAGAGTGGTCACTAGCGTTTGCGGACTCGGATCGGTCACGGCGGGCACGCTTACGGTCCTTTTCACGGTCTCTACCAGTGCGGTCTCGGTCACGCTCTCTATCGCGCTCACGGTCTCGACGACGATCTCGCTCACGATCACGTTCTTGGTCTCGGTCTGTGCGGTCTCCCCGATCTCTATCACGGCGGTCGCGTGCTCGGTCTTTGTCATAATCACCACGGCGGCTGTCTCGGGGATGTTCGCGTTCCCGCTCTCGATCCTGCTCACGACGGCTGGGTCGATCCCTGCTGGTTCGGTGGGAGTTCCCAATTCGGCTTGCGAGATCGCGAGGGTTGATTTTGGCAGACGATGATTTGGAAGGCCCATCAGATGAATCTGGTACAATTCCTGTTAGACGGTCTGACTGACGGCCATCACGGGGTCGGCTGTTGCTTCGGCTGCGACTACGGCTGCGACTGCGATTCCGACGTGATCGATGCGATCGATGGCCATTGCGCCTTTCTCGGTCACTATCACGGTGACGGGTGCGTGAAGAGCGTCTCGAAGATACGCCGGACTGCGAGCGACTCCGTTGATCAGTAAGGCGCCTTACATCGCGGTCACGGCGGCTCTCTCGATCATCGTCAGCCGCCGGTGCTGAAGGCGATCGAGCTCGAGAAACGCGGGTTTGGGATGGAGATCGAGAGCGGGATGCAGTATGCGGGGGTTGAGATGGCCCTCGAGATGGCCCTCGAGAAGACCCACGGGCCAAGGAAGGGGTATCAGGATTGCTGTGAATACATGTCAGAAAAAAAAGCATCACTAAGAGTTATTTGCAAATCGCTTTACCTCTTTGTAGGCCCTGCCATGCTGTTGGATATGGAAGACCGTCCTTGATGAAAGCCACGATGGCGCAGGACGCTGGTGTTAGGCAGCCCCTGCCGCATTGCTCGCGGGGCTGCGGGAGCTCCTTCCACACCGGGATTTTTCGGTTCTATATGAGATTGGGACATATGACCACCCCAATAGCCTCCACGGCCATTGGGCATGGAGGCCCGCATGTAGCCACCTCGCCCATACCCGGGGCCCATCTGTCCCTGATAGCCACCTGGTCCAGTAGGGAGGGCCTGGTCTAGACTATCAATGGTAGGAATACCCTGTAGTTGTTGATCATCTGCTGATGCCGGATCTGCAGATACCGAATCATTGATATCCATAGCACCTAAGTCTGCAGCATCATTACTCTCAATGCCTAGAGAAACTTCACCATCAACGGGTACATTTGGGCCTGCTGAAGCATTGGAGACTGGGCGACTAGGAAGTCCGTGGTTAGCATGACCATAATGCCCCTGTCCGGGGCCACCGTATCCAGCTCGACCGGGGCCTTGATAATGGCCTCGACCGCGGCCCCGGAATCCACCGCGACCATACCCTGACCCGTTGTAACCAGACTGGAACTCGTTAGGGTAAGACATATTAGATCCGCCAAATGCTCCTCCATACGGAGGGCCTGAGCCATTCGCGAAAGCATTTGGATTGAATTTATCTTGGCCGCCTTGCCACATGTTTTGCTGGGAGTCCCAACCTAAGGATCCATACATGCCCTGCCCTTCAAAATTCATTCCGTTGTTCATGCCCATGCCAGTCATGTTCATCCCATAATCTCCGAACATCCCCTGATTCGTCATTGGGTCCATCCCCATGGGCATACCTAGTGAATTGGTTAGTCAATTATGTGGGGGTAAATGGACAGATATTGTATAACATACCCATCGGATTTGGGAAATTGAACATAGGGTTCGCCATAAATGGGTTCATGCCGTTGAAATTGCCATTGCCATTCCAGCCCATTCCAGCGAATCCACCGGCCATATTCATCGCGATTGGTTCAGCTTCTTGGGCCATCTCCTGTGTCAACTCCTCCGGAATAGGAGGTTCGCCATCGCTAGGCTGAGCGTTCGGTTCCGTGGGTTTCGATTGGTCTGGGATCTGGACACCAGCGCACTCATCGGCCTGTTGGGAGAATTAGCCCGCTATTCACGGGGTGATGAAATATAGCCATACCTCATCTGTCGATCTCTGTGTCTCAAGAGTATTATTTTCCACTGCACTGCCTGTCGTGTCCGCAGCTTCGGTCTCCCGGGTAGGTTCCTCAGTCGAAGTTTCCTTCGCCACGGGCACCTCTGGCGTTTCAGCCGGCGTCGGCTCGGTCGCGACCTGATCGACCGGTGTTTCTGTGGGACCGACTTCACTCTCCACCGGTGTGGGGATTGTGGGCGTCGAAGCCGCTGCGGCCAGGCGATCCTTTTCGCGTTTCTTCTCTTCGGTCCGCAAATAGGCCTTCAAAGTGGTGCGGAGGGCTTTATTCGGTTTGCAAAGATCCGGCGAGACGGGGGTGTGTGCGCAGACTGGACAAGTATCGACGAGAGCTGATTGGCCTTATCAAAAAATGATTCTGGTTAGTCACTTTGTTATGTTGGGAAGGTTTTTTTTTTTGGCCGAGGGGTACTGGCGGAGAGACTCACAGGACTCGCAGATTGACTGGTCACAACAAGGCAGCCGGAAGGCATTTACCGCCAGCATGTTGCAAATAGCGCATCGCAGCTTCATGGGAATTTCATCCTGGGACAAAGTGCTGGTTTTGGTGAGTGTCAAGTTGAGTGGTCGCATTAGTTTGATGGAAGCATACCTGGCGATGTCCATCAGACCAGCTGGCGGGTCCACCGCAGCCATGGCTGGAATAGCAAAAGCAGACAGTTAGAGACTTCAGCGCAACGAAAGTGTCTGGATTGCGGCAAGGAGGGAGTTCAGCAAAAGGAAGAAGTGTTTGAACGCGCGCATATTGGAATTTGGCCGGAGGCGGAGAAACAAGTCCGCCGATGTAGATTGCCGTCATGGATTTACGCGGGATTAAGGGATAATAGGGATAAAAGCAAGTACTGAGACCACAGTATTTCAATACTAGTAGCTTGAATGTTTTGTATTTTCTCTCGGTTTATTTTATTTTATATCTCACTTCGTTATATATAAATCAATTCGCTCATAAATTCAGTCTCAGATTAGATCAAGTAATTTTAGGTCCATCATCAGTGCCTGCGATACCATTTACGGTGTCATCAGGGTCTCCCTCCGGACTCAAGTTATCATCATAGACAGTGGAATAGATTTGAAGGGGAATATAAAGGGAGAAAAGATAGGAATGAAGATGTATTAATATTTTTTTTCTGGAATATACCGAAAGACGAAATAATAGATAAAGGGTAAGAAAGCAGAGTAAAGAAAGGGAAAAATAAAAGAGGAAAAGAAAAAAAGAAAATTAACAGTAAAGCTACTCTAATCAAGATCCACTTGTGAATTTAAAAAGGGCGCGACCGCCCTCGAGGTTTGTCCCGTTTTTTTTCTTTTTTACCTAAGCTTGGGCCAACCATATGGAATGACTTAATTCACTCCCCCAGCTATCCAAAGCTACAGCATGACAGAGGACAACTATCGACCAAGATCTCCCGACTTTTCTTCCTCTCCGAATCCCCCACCTCACGCGCCATTGAGCCCCGTTGCCCATCGCGCTTCCTACGACGCTTCCCCGTTCTTCAACCCCGACCAGCGCCCTAGCTCCAGTCGCGTCCAACAATACATTCCACCAGACCATCCTAGCTTTAGCTTTGCTGACGAGATGGCCCGTCGCTCGTCACGTCTACAGCCAGAGGACGCGCCCGTCCATGAGCCTTTGATGCCAGCACCAATGCCCGCATTACTCCCCGCCACAATCCCCGTCGCGCCCGTCCTAGATGAGACCCCACCGACACGCCCCGATGCGGGGATCGAGGTCAAGACCAAATTCCCCGTCGCGCGTATCAAGCGCATCATGCAAGCAGATGAAGACGTGGGAAAAGTTGCTCAGGTGACTCCACTCGCAGTGTGTAAGTGTCGGAAGACCCCATGACACCCCCACCCCTCCCCTCTCCCCTCTTCACCCCTTCGCCTGCATGACTTCTTTGTTTGGATGGAAGCTAACCTCTTTCATATAGCCAAGGCATTGGAGCTCTTTATGATTTCTTTGGTTACCAAGGCTGCTCAGGAAGCCAAGGACCGCAACTCGAAACGTGTCACCGCTAGTCACCTTAAGCAAGCCGTCGCAAAGGATGACGTGCTGGACTTTCTGGCTGATATTATTGCCAAGGTTCCCGACCAACCGGCTGGCCGAAAACACGAAGACGATGGAAGCGATCAGAATGAAGGTCGGAGGAAGCGTGGTGGTCGCCGACCTAAGGAGGAAAGCGACTGAAGGGTATAACCATTCCCTTGTGGAAAAGAAAACGACTCATGATATCCTAGAATGGATAAGGCAACTGGCGCATTTTAATGATCGGTATGGTTTTTGTGTTTCTTCTGGGTTGGTTCAACCACGGGGAACTGATTTCTGGTGGCGTTCGGTGGTACGGGATCTCTTTCTTTTAGTAGCGCATTTCCCTGTCAATAGTTCAATCTCGTGCAGGCACATTCCTGCGTGGTCAGTGGTCTTATTCTGGACTGACCTGACCTACTTCCAATCTGTTGTGCTTGAGCTCTCGCCGTACATGTAGTCAAGTTAGATTCAACCTTCCAAGGCCCGGGCCGGGTTGGGATAGACTACTAGTAGGTACTTCTATGTATGCACATACCTAGTAGTACTTGGGCACTTGTGTATTCCTTGGGACAAAATCGGGTAACCGATCCTTGATGCCCGGGTGCCCGATATGGATTCATTACAAAATACCATACGCTGCACTAGAGCGCGGGATTCCAACCTCGGAAGGATCAAATGCAGTACTACGTTTTGAATGCAGACATCCATGGATGTACACATATATGTATACACCCGCCCAAGCACTTGAGCGGTACTTGGAGCCCTGGAGGGACACTCTCTCAACATTGAAATGAATCTCGTCATTCAATATTATCTACATAAAGTATCGCTGCACCTTGAATACCAGGTATTACGTACCTGGTTGTCATGTAGCAAGTGCTTGAGCACTGTGGACCTGAGATAAATCTTTTACCTAGCAGGTATCCATGGATTCGAAAATAAATACCAAGGGTTGAACCTTGGAATACTGAGAATACATAGTATACTATGTACATAGTATGTTCTCACCCGTCGTTAGTATTAAGTTCATAAAGATTCAGATCCCCAGAAAGTTGTAGCTCATAGTTAATTCTGACATTCAAGACACTGCGGCGCATACAGAGGACTTTGTACACATACTGGAACAAGCGCGGAGATGATCGTCGCGATACACGAGTTCCCGCGGCTCCACTTTGACCTTCAACCCCGTAACTTCCACTCCCCCCTCCACTGCGTGGGACGATGCTGCTACAGAATGGATTTCGTGAGTGGTATCGACGGGCTTGACCCATTGTTATTGTCGCTAATGTATCTCAGTGGTCTCGTCTTATTGGCGGCTCCCGTGCGCCGTCCAAGACCTCCCGAGCGACCTCACCAACTGAGCGCCTGACGGCCTTCAAGCGCGCCTGCAATGCTCTTCAGGTATATCTGGTTTCTAGCATGGAATTGGGTGGGCACTAACATTTCATTTCCTTAGCAAATATGGCGCTCAAACAATACCCCCTCCGGTGAACAGCCGATTGCTCACGCGCGTTCGTACATCGAAAGACTCAACGCGATCTTGAGCGATGAATCCCGAGGACCAGCTCCTCACCCATGTGTGGCCTATGCTGCCTCCTCCCAGATATTTGTCACAGTCACGAAACTCGCCCTGTCCTACTACGATGACCAATTGCTGCGTTCAGCGACGATATTCTTCAATACCTTGATCGATGCGGAAGTGGATGGTGTGGTTGACAACCGGATCTTTGCTCGGGCTATGGTGGATCTAGTCCGACGAGCAGACAAAGCTTCGGATGAGATAGAGGGCAGACTGGTGGAACTTTTGTTTGGCGTCTCTAACAACATTCGTCTGCAACCCGCTATCCTTCCTGCATGGTTTGTGCCTCGAGCGACCCCCGTTGGTCAGGATGGCGAATCGTCCGGACCGAGTGGGACCGAGTTCGCAGGCGCCATGCGTAAGGATGAGTTCCCATTGTTCTACCTGCTGGTTGACTACCTTCATAATGATGGCCGGGCTGGGGATTTCGCACGCACGGGACTCCTTTATCTGATTGAGACGGCTTCACGCTCGAAGAACCTGGAAAAGTGGTTGATTGAGAGTGACCTTGCGACCTTGATGGCGACTGGACTTGGAGCATTATACAGCCAATTGGGCAGGTTAGTGATTCTAAAAAAGACCAAGGTGGCACAATATCAGAGACTAACGGGATATAGCTTATGCTTTCCATCGCCTGATGAGGATGCCCCTCGTATAATCGCGCTTTCCGACCATGCAAATGAAGTCACAGCCCTCCAGCCTGCCCTGGGTGAAGCTATGGACGCGTTTATGTCGTATCTGCTCTTTTGGCAGGATACAATCGACCATTGCAAATCTACAGAAGTCAATGACACCCTCCTAGACCATTTCCAGGTACTATTTCTGGAGCAACTCTTGTAAGAACACCCTCTACATTGAAATTTACTTGATGCTAATCTCCGAAGATACCCTTCTCTACTAGAATCCTCCGACGTGGTTGGCGGTTCAACAGCAGCTGTCCTGACCTACATGTGCCGCATCCTGGATTCAATCGACCAAGGCGAACTGGTCCATCGTATCTTACATTTCTTATTGGCCTCATCGCCACACCCTGAAGAGCAAATGGATATGTCGGTGAGCCGGCGCAAGTCGCTGAATGTGCTAGCCGCGTTGGCTTCGGAGGCAGCACCTTCTCCTTCTCTGTTCAATCTGCGTGACCTCGCTGTCCTGGGGCTTCAATCCACAAACCGGCAGACAGTCTTGGCCACATTACGTCTATTGAATGTTGTTCTTCAACGGCACCATCCGTTTGCCCGAGCCTTGATTCATACGGTTCCAAGGCAACAGGCCCAGCAGCGGTCTGTCGGTGCATTCAATGCGGAGCTTGAACAACTCTTTGGTCTTGGAACGTCCTTGATTGACGAGCCAACTTTGAACGAGTCTTATGAAAATTACGTCTCAGATGCGACATGGGTACTCGAGTCACGTCTTTGTCTTCCTGTTTCACTCGAGGAAGCCCAGGATGATGCTCCTTTGCCCCTGCAACTTCAACAAGATGATCCCATCGTACAGGGGCTGTTGAGCTGTGTTGATTCGTTCTTCACCAACAGTGTCATCGTCAACCTAGCGCTCACCGGCGTGCTTATGAGCTTGGCATCATCTCATCTGTTTTCCCTGGATGGTTGGGTACTAGTTGATCCTGCCCAATATGACACCCCCGGTAAAGACCCTTCAGTTGGTCTTGATCACGTTCACCAAGCTTACCAAGCCCCCACATGGCCTGCGGCTGCTGCACCGACTCTTACAGTTGCGCTTAGACGGCTTGTAGACCAAGTCAGCCAGTGGCAGCAAGATGTGCCCGACTTTGTCATTCTTATCGCTGCTCGTCGAGAACTCCTTCAACGGGAGCAAGATCCTCAGATTCCCGGTCCCTTGGAGTCAATTGAGACCTCAGTTCCAACTTCGACAGACCGCTCGCGCCCCTCATACCCCGGATCACCCGAACCTTCACAGACCTCGCGGGGTCGATCGCCAGGAATGTCACCTAGTGGAATGCGGGAGGAATCGTCCGTGCGCCCAATTGACTCTCGCGGATCCTCGGATTCCCGGGCCACAACCGCCGAAGCTCTCCGCCAACGGTTGGCTATGCCATTCCCCCCTCCCGTGCCATCCGAAACGGAAACGGTGGAGCCTGCTTCACCAGATGCAGATCATGATACCAAACAACTGGTTACACTGGGTCACGTTCTTACTAATATAGTGATCCTTTATGAGTTTTTACTAGAATTGTCTGCCGTGGTGCAGGCTCGAGGCAGTCTCTTTGAAGAAGCAGGATATCCCTAAATGCCGAGAAGGAAATACGTTTTATGGTTATTGAGCAGGTACATAGAATTTGATCCACATATTTATTTATAATGTATCCGACTATACCTGATTATGTATTCTTAAGTGGGGCCGGATCTCACGCCAAGAGAGCGTGACGGAGCCGCTTGCGACGATTGGACGACGTTCGGCCAACTTGCACTTTTGGCCCGTGTAACTAAGATGGTAATCTTGACACCATGTGCTTCATTCTTCCTCTTTAATTCTCCGCATATATCTCTAAGGTTCCCGGCATGACCGGCTGCCATGGTTTCGGTTCCTGATTTCCAACGTGAACGTGAGGATCGCGAGGATCGTGAAGATGCTCCGTTCCTCGCCCCCGAATCCGACGCTCAATTCATATCTGCCCCTGGTCGTGCTCACCACGATGAAGCGAAACCCGCTCACCTCCTGGCAAGCGATGCGTCCACTCAGAAAATTGGTTTCCGACTGAAGGTCATCCTCTTCGCCATGATCCTTGCGGTAGATATCGGCTACTCCTTTATCGAAGGTCCCCAAGTCCGCATCTTCGAGTCGATCGCGTGTCGCCAGTTCTTCTCCCTGACAGATCCGACTAAAATTGGGGCCAATGGCCAGGTTCCTGAGGAAATGTGCAAGGGGCCGGAGGTACAAGCAGAGTTGGCTGCGGTGAAGGGGTATAACATGTTTTTTGATGGGCTGTTATGTACGTTGTGTTTGATCAAGTATCGTGGGGATGTACTGACAATACAACAGGCGCCATTTTAGCCATCCCGTACGGTCTGCTGGCAGATAGAAAGGGTCGCAAATCCACCCTCCTCCTGGGAATGCCCGGCTTCGCCCTGAACTCTATAATCGTCCTTGTGGTCATGTGGTTCTCCGACATATTCCCACTGCGGGCAGTGTGGTTTTCCTCATTAGCTTGGTTGCTTGGCGGGGGACCGGTTGTTGCGTTTGCCATTATTTGGACTATGATGGCCGACGTCACAACGGAAGAAGAAAGGTATTTGATTGTTTTGGATGGTTGGATATGCGTTGAATATTCGAACTAACTAAATCTCGTACAGAGCAACGCTATTCTTCCAGTTCGGTATCGTTTCCATGGGAGCCGATTTTCTTTCCAGCGCATTCACTTCCTACCTGATGTCTCTGAACCCATGGGTTCCACTCTTCATCGGACATGCCATCATTTTCCTTGGACTATTGTTGATGTTCGTCCTGCCCGAGACTAAGCACGTCCGTCTGCCGAGTCGACTCGAACCATCCCATGTCGAGCTTTCAGACTTGACCGATGATGACCCGAAGATTCACTCCCCCAAACCCGAAGCAGAATCGTATCGCGATGACGAAGATGAGCAGTCTGGGGCCAATCACGAGGCACACATGTCTTGGAGTTATCCTTCTCAACCAAACCAATCTCTTTGGGCTAAAATTCGCGCAAACTACCGTTTCTACGTGAAGCCATATCTGTTCATTTTGAACCGCAAGCCTGTGCTGCTTCTTCTGACCGCTTTCTTGGTATATCGCCTCAGTCGCGGTTCTTCCTGGTTCCTCACACAGTATATCTCGACACGGTATGAATGGAATTTGGCACAGGCCAATTTACTTGTGTCCTTCCGACCTACAGTCTCTATCCCGGTTTTCTTGTTTGTTCTGCCCTGGCTGAAGAACAACTACCTCAACCCAAAGCGTTCGTCCACAGAAAGAGACCTTTCTCTGGCCCGTGCAAGCATCATCTGTCTCACACTTGGAACCCTGGGGATTGGCCTTTCACCCACTATCGGTACCCTTATTCCTAGTATGATCATTCAAACATCCGGGTCTGGCTTTGTCTTCCTTACACGTTCGATCATTACAACATTGGTCGAACGGGACGAGACTGCTCGCCTATATACAGTGATTGAGATACTGCAGTCGATGGGTAACGTTGTGGCTAGCGTATCAATCACAACGGTTTTCCAGCTCGGTCTTCGTCTGGGTGGCGTCTGGGTTGGATTGGCCTGGATGATGACCAGTACATTGTTCTGCATGGTGGCTGCAGCGATTTGGGCTTTCCGGCTGCCACAGACCCCGCGCGATCCGGAATTTGTGGTTGGGGACTTTGAAGATGCCGATCGTTGATCATCATACAACCTGCATATAGATCTCGGGTAGCGTACTCTTTGTCTGGTGTTTTTGGCGTGAGGATTGTTTCGGGCTTGATTTATGTGCATTTAGTCAGCCATATATAGTTTATCTCTTTCTTTCCCTCGATTTCTCACATGTATTTATAGACTCCATTATCGAGAATTGTCTTTTTTTTCGGGGTCCATTAGTAGTATCTATCACTGGCATTCATAGATTCAACTTAAGATCAACAAACTTTCTGCGGCCTGGGCCGCATGGATGACGGCAGTCACGTGGCTCTCACATGCAAAGCTTCCCCCAACATGGGACTTTGTCTAATTTCGGCAGGTGCAACACTTCCTTTGAATTCCACCCCGCAGGTGCAATGGAGAAATTCTCCCAGTTCCGAGATCGAGGTGATTTTGTCTCAGTTTTACGTTGTTTATAGTGCGCAGATCACAGCCAGACTGACCGATTTCTCCGCAGGCTCGGGCATCGCGCCCTTCCTCCCCATACCCTCCGAGTCATTAGGCTTACAGGCCCCTCTCCGTGTCTTCCTCTTCTGCTTTCGTCTGCCATTGTTCCTTTTTGTAACATTGGCATATTTTGCCATTCTGCAATGGCTTCCCATTGGCTCACTTGGGAAGAAGGCCGCACTGTGGTGCATCTTAGGTGTCCCCAGCATCTGGTGGATTGACCTACAGGTGGATGGAGTCAAGAAAGGGTATGTGACAGCCGAGCATTCAAGCATTACAAGACAAACACCCTGACCATTTCTTTTCAATCTCCAGATCCCTCTCCAAGCAACAACAGGCTCGTCTCCCCCAGCCGGGGTCCATCATGGCCTCCTCTTTCACCTCCCCCATCGACGCCGTCTACCTGGCCGCCATCTTCGACCCAGTCTTCACGGCCGCCTACCCAAACACCCGCCAAGTTGAACGCATTTCCCTCCTGCAGGCTGTCATCCGTGCCTTCGCACAACCCACAACCCAGCCAGAACCCGGCACCAAGCTCGTGGACGTAGCCACCCTCGTCGCAAAATACCCGAACCGACCCATCGTCATCTTCCCCGAGTGCACCACCACCAACGGCCGTGGCATTCTACCCCTCAGCCACGCGCTTCTGGGTGTTCCCTCGAAAACCAAAGTCTTCCCAGTCAGCCTGCGCTACACGCCCGCGGATGTGGTGACCCCGCTCCCGGGCAGCTACGTGAGTTTTCTGTGGACACTGCTCAGCAAACCGACACATTGTATTCGTGTTCGAATCGCCGAGTATGTCACGAACGCAGGCAGTGGGGTGGATGCCCCGCCTGCGCGGTCGACGCGACAGTCCACTTACAACTCGAACTTTCTGGATACGCTCGATGATGAGGCTGAGGGTGGGGTGACGGCGAGCGAGAAGGCGTTCCTTGATCTAGTTGGCGAGGCGCTGGCTCGCCTGGGCCGTGTGAAGCGGGTTGGATTGGGAGTGAAGGAGAAGCAGGAGTTTATGCGGAAGTGGGTTAAGACTCGTAGTACGTGGTGATTCGTTTGCGATGTTATTTATAATGTGATATCGATGAAAAGCCCTATGTGATCTAGATCAGACCTTGACGATATTATTTGACAACCCACAATCTTTGAGATGTATATTCAATGCTCTGAAATAAGGTATAAATCTTGGAATATTTATGTACTCTCAATTTCGTTCAAATGTTTGCAACAACCTTGGAACCGATACCTATCAGTTAGTAGTACTAGCAGGTACTCAGTTCCACGAAACCTCGGACGATTTCAATTGCTGACAGATGCTCAGCCAGTGCTAGAGGTGGAGTGATGTTTTTTTTATTTTATTTTTTTACGAAGCAAATATTGATCATTATATGCCCAACGAATAGGTGGAATATTGATTCACGATCTAATCTAATGAGGTACTAATAGAACAAAGTATGTGACGCCCTCCCGCCTTGAACACCCTAGAGCAACCCGAAGGAAACCCAAGCATAGAGAGTGTCTAGAGGAGAGAAGCGTCTTCACTCTCCAGGGCCGGGAACGGAAGGAAACCCATTCAGGCGCGGAGCCGTCGAGTAACCCTCAGCAAGCCACAAAGTGGAGCCCCAATTGATTTACATTCGTAAATGTAAACTGTAGATGGAGAGGAAAAGGAAAAGGAGTCAAGAGCGCTCGATCCGCAGCTTTTATGTGATGAGAATTTCCGCGCTAGAGCGGATTGGGCGATGCCGGCCGGCAGCCCGATACCAGTTGACTTCCCGTCGCCTTTGAACTTTGGAACGTATACGCATTCGCAGCAATACATGATATTGTATATTATTATAGGAGGACCGTATCGAGCTTTAAGAGTGGAGAAATTTCAAGAAGTTGGTTTCCGGCTTCCTGTTCGCTGAATCGCGGGCCAAGATGTCGATGCGCCGAGCATATAAGTCCATGAAATGCGTAAGTGGGTCCCCGAATACCACGCCGCGAAGTCCTGCATCGGTTATTCCGTAGGCCTCGACGTCTTCGCGAGGCGGGAGGGGAGGAGCCCCGTCAGCTCGAGGTCTGTATACTTCTGGACGATCACTAGGCCGGGTTTTGTCGCGAAGCAGAACCAGTCTGCCTGCTGTGGAAAGCTTAGATGGGGGAACGGGCCAGTAAACAGCCGACTCAGGGCGCGGCTTCGAATTCAAACAAAGGATTGATCCCGGTGGTGGTTTTGCGAAAAGATCCAGTAATGAAAGAAAGTATCCTTTTTCTGCTCGGCAGACTGGATCGCCCTCGTTGACGAATGAGAAGAAGATGTATTTGGAATATTTGCGGTTCTCGGGAAGAAGGAGAGGACGAAGTGATATTGGAGGAGCGCCGAAAGTAATGCAATGGACGTGCTTGAAGCAGCCTCGGAGATGGGTGAGCTCAGAGGTGACTTCTGATGAATTGGATAGTAGGTGCAGGTATAGTAAGCTTGCGACTGCGCCGCCTGCGGAGTGTCCGGTGATTAGGAGCGAGTATGACATCCGACTGGGGTCTTCTTCTAGTAAGGCGCGTAGACGTGCAGCGACGGGTGCGACCATCTTCCGGGCCACGGATAGAAAACCGGCATGGCAGAAGTTAGAAGGATCGTCTAAAAAGCCCTTGGGGGACACGGGCTCCATCTGCATATTGACGGCCCAGTCCATGAAGCTCTGTGTACCGCGGATTGAGAAGATGATTGTATTCATGTTGTCAACAGGCAATGATTTGATCACCATTGCTTTGGTACCATGAACCCAGTCGGAGTCCACATAAGAGTGGCGCTCCTTTCCACTGGGCTTGTCGTAAACTCGGCGTGAATACTGGGCTGCGAGTTGAAGAAGTGGATATGTTGCAGGGTAGCTACAATGCATCAGAAAAGTATGCAACAAATTGACTTGGAGGTTGGCAGGAACTTACAACTTCAGAGGAGGGAGATTTTGAGGCATTCTCGAGTTTGCGTATAGATACACCTTTGAAAAGTAGTCCACCGAGCCTCCTGGTTTGTGTTTCCCTGTTCGAGTCTCGCGACGATTCTTTTTCGGATCTGGTCGATATGGAAAGGAACACGCGGTCACTGCGAAAATTGAAGTCAGTTACAAGGAACACAATCAGTACTGGAGTCATGGCGTACAAAGGTCATTTTCTCGTCCACAGAAGATACCAGCATCAATTGAAGTGAGTACTTGATTCAAAAGTTGTGAAGCAGGTTCCTGAGGATTCGGCGCCCCGCCCACACATTGTAGAACTAGCCTTTCGAGGTCCATAATCGTAGCATGGGCTTTTCCTGAGGCATGACTCATGATATTTGAGACTGAGAGATTCATTTTTGAGTATGAAGTCCATTTTGCACGATCAGATGAATGTTTTGCCTGTGGGGTGTGTGCTTGTGGCGGGGGAGCCGAGATTCGTGTAGGAAGATGAGCCATAGAGTTCACACCGTAGACATTGTGGTACGGACTTGGTGACCCTGGATGTGCGGCCTGGACACCCTGAACTGAATATGTACAGGCCGGTAAGTTGTATACTGGAACACTAGTATTGGGGTTGTTTGCTGGACCGCTAGGGTGCTGCCCTGTCCACTGCCGGAAGCGCCGACGCTTCGTGGGCTCAATAGCCACTGAGTCCATCGCGATAGTGATCAAAATGATCGAACTACCATACAGCGAAAATAAAGTCCAGATCCAAGGCCCAAATTGACGGTGAGATAATCGATGTCATCCCCTGGGGCATCGTAGCTGAAGAGATGGGACCCACAACCCACATATGCTAGATTTTAATAAGAACTCATACGCACGCGGGGCGATGCAGGTTCCCGCTCCAATCGGTCTTGTATGAAAGAAATTCAGCAGCACACATGCAACGGGGTGCAAGGCTAGTCAAAGCGATTGGTCATGGCCTCGGGGTAGGTCAAAGCATTGGGCGCACAGCCCCAGTGCTCAGCAAATCAGATCGACGGGATCACGTCCCTGCAGCACGATCTGCAAAACCTCGCATCTTAGCAGCTGAAAATACTGGAAAACCAGAGAACCATACCGAGACTCGAGATATGTAGATTGATAATAAGAATATAATATAATTGATGAACAGTTAAGATAAATGGAACAGTTCGTATTCAAATGATATTATATAACACAAGCACCCAAACAAATACATCGCTTTTATAACGTTCGGGATGACAGCCGAAGACAGGAATAAGGCATCATTTACTCTACAGCGTCAGTGATGCAGCCGTGGCTGGCATCCTTGACAACTCGGGCATACTTGCCCAAAGTACCACGCATGGTAAGACCGGTCTCGGGCAGAGTGCCAGCGACCTTGCGGGCCTCCCAGCCCTCTCTGCGCTTGACGAGAACATCGTCAGCCACATCGAGGTCGAGGCGGAGGTTATCAGCGTCAATGGTGATAACATCACCATCCTCGACGAGACCAATGGGGCCACCGACAGCGGCCTCAGGGACAATGTGGCCGATCAGGAAACCGTGAGAACCACCAGAGAAGCGGCCATCAGTGATCAAGGCGCAAGAGGAGCCAAGACCGTATCCCATCAGAGCAGAAGAGGGCTTAAGCATTTCTAGAGGGATTTGTTAGCGAACAATCAACAGGAACTTGGAATTACTAGTAGTCACATACCAGGCATGCCGGGGCCACCCTTGGGACCGCAGTAGCGGATGACAACAACGGTCTTCTCCTCCTTCTTGATCTCACTGCGTTCCAGCGCAGCAATGAAGTCGTCCTCACTGTCGAACACACGAGCCTTACCAGTGAAGCAAGTGCCCTCCTTACCAGTGATCTTACCGACACTGCCCTCGGGAGCCAAGGAACCACGCAGGATCTGAATGTGACCAGTAGGCTTGATAGGGTTGGAGAAGGGACGGATGATCTTCTGGTTAGGTGCGAAGTCGGCGACGCTCTCCAAGTTCTTGGCAAGAGTCTCACCAGTGACAGTCATGCCGGAACCGTCAATGAGACCCTCCTTGAGCAGCATCTTCAGGAGGGCGGGAGTACCACCGATCTCGTGGACATCGGCCATGACGTACTTGCCAGAGGGCTTCAGATCGGCCAAGAAAGGAATGCGGTCAGAGACAGCCTGGAAATCGTCGATGGTCAGCTTGACGCCAACGGCATCAGCCATAGCGATCAGGTGCAGCACGGCGTTGGTGGAGCCACCGGTGATGTTGACAACGACCATAGCGTTCTCGAAAGCCTGGCGGGTCATGATGTCACGAGGGCGGATGTCCTCCTTCAACAGCCTCTTGATGGCGCCACCGGCAGCCAGGCACTCAAGGTACTTGGCCTGAGAGTTGGCCGGGTTGGACGAAGAACCGGGCAAGGTCATACCCATAGTCTCAATAGCAGTGGCCATGGTGTTAGCGGTGTACATACCACCGCAGGCACCCTCACCGGGGCAAGCGTGGCGGATGACGTCGAAACGCTGGGGCTCGGTAATCTCCTTGGCAATGAATTGACCGTAAGCCTGGAAGGCAGAGACAATATCAATATCTTCACCACCCTGGGTAGCGGCACAACCGGGCTTGATGGAACCACCGTAGACCATCAGACTGGGGCGGTTGACACGGCCCATAGCCATAACGACACCAGGCATGTTCTTGTCACAGCCAGGGATACTGATGTTGGCATCGTACCACTGTCCACCCATCACAGTCTCAATGGAATCGGCGATCAGGTCACGACTCTGGAGGGAGTAGCGCATACCAGAGGTACCCATGCTGATGGCGTCACTGACACCGACGGTGTTGAACTGAAAACCGATCAAGTTCTGGTCCTGCACACCCTCACGGACCTTGTTGTTCAGGTCGAGCAAGTGCATGTTGCAAGGGTTACCATTGAACCAAACTGACGAGATTCCGACCTGGGCCTTGTTCATGTCCTTCTCATCGAGGCCCACGGCGTACAGCATGGCCTGGGAAGCTCCCTGAGACTTGGGCTGGGTGATATGGCTGGAGGTGCGGTTGAGGCCGACATCGACATCCTGGAAGCGGGGGATGGTGGTTGAAAGAGCACGACTGTTGAGCAAGAAAGCAATGTTAAGCAAGTCTAAACACCAATTGAAATGTTCAGGGAGCTGCACTCACACTGGCGCGGTCGATCGCAGGCTACGGAGAGCCGCGGGCACACGTGCCCTAATTTGAGGAATCATTATGGGTATATCAGATAGCACCGAGGAACCACAGTGGACAATCTGGAAAAGGAAAGGGAGAATGATGGCGGGGGGAGGCCGGGGTCGCAAGAAATAGTAAGAAAAGGCGGAAGCTCAGGAAGTCGGAGTTGGTGGTTGACTCCCCGGCTCCACCACCGCATTGACCAATCTCCGGGCTGTAAATGTAATCGTCCACACGCTACGTACAAAATCTACACAGTTGAGTCATTCAAGTTCAATGCATAATACTGTCATCAAGTCAGTCTGCTACTTTTATATTATAGAGATTGGGCAGGTTGTACGGAGTATAAGCAAGATATCCCCAGTCTCCACCAAGCAAATAGCTGTCCGATGTGGACCCGAGTACCATTTTTGTGATGCCTTAATGCCTGAAGTGTTATGCGCGCCATAAATCGACGGATTCATAATGCATAAGGGCGTACAATACTGACCAGATGACGTGGACTATTCAAGGGCAAAACAGTACACTTGTAGCCCCAGGATTCCTTGGAATAAGCTTAATTCGACCAATAAAGATTACCCCAGAAAATGCAATATTGAAAGCTTCCACCAGAGGTTATCCTGAGGTTGTATCCCCTTGAGGACCAGCACTCTGGTTTGTGAAAGATGATTTCCCTCCAGGTCTCAGAGAGCATTTATAAATAATTAAATAAGGTTTCAAGCTGGTGTCAAACACTGAATGTTGAGTTGGGTGCTGCAGCCATTATCTGAATTCTATGCCATGAATAGTCAACTGGTAGCAAGTAACTCCGTTGCTAGATAAAAGCATTCGAGAAAGGTTCACCATCTGTAAATATCTCTATTCTAAACAAAATTAACAGGAACGGTTTGCATAAAATGGTTCTTGAAGTGCGCCTATTGGATATTTCTTCCAATGGCAGTATGTAAAATGGGTATAACAGGTCTTCTAGTCATGAAAGTAATAAAAAAAGAAGAGAAGAGAAGAGGAGAGAAAAGAAAAGGAAAGAAGAGAAAAGTAAAACAGGAGAAAGGAAACAGGAAAATCCAGGCCTTAGGAGAATCAAAGAAGGGAGTAAGTATCACGACAGAATAGAAGTTAGTAATGGGGAAATGACGTTGAAAAAAGTATATGTGGACTTGAAAGAAGACAACAGAAGAGGAATAGAAGAACAATAAGGAAGAAAAAAAGGTAGGCAGAAAGAATGCATGCGAGGCCGGCTCTACGGCACTTCTTTGTCGCCTCGTTTCAGTCCATCTGGGACATCGATGGCATCCTGGACCCACGGCATGGCGGCAATCTCATCAAGTGTTTTGCGACGGGTGTTGCGCTTGAGAAGTCCCTCCACGCAATCCCGTGCGCCTTCTAGGTCGCGACCCTTTTCAGGGTCCCATTCTTCATCCGCATCGGCATACCGATACCAACCCCATTCACAACGTGCGATACGATGAGGAGTTCGGGCACGGTGTTTGGCGGGATCGCCACGAGTACCAGGAAGAACATCGAAGGGCAAACGGTTCTCCATGATGGCGTATAATAGGACACCCAGGGCCCAGGCATCAGTTGCACGACCGTCGTAAGACTGACCCATGAGGATCTCAGGGGCCGCATAGTCCTCGCTACCACATCTGGTCTGAAGAAGCGGGCATTCGGGGGGTTCTGGGATGCGTCGTGACAGTCCCAAGTCACTGAGTGTGACAACTGCACGGTCATAGGTACGCCAGTCTTTGACATCATCCATAGCATGGATTGGCATGGTGAGCAGTACATCTGCCGGGTAACGTTAGCGAGGGATCATGGATACCAGGCCACCAGAAATCACATACTCTCTAATTTAATATCCCGATGCACAATGTAATGGGAATGTAAATAGCGAACGGCACTGACTAGCTCCGCAAAAATGCGGCGGATGAGGCTGGGCGATGAGGACCGAGCGCCGGAGGTCGCATACTCGAAGAGATCGCCACCAGGACAATAGTCCAGAACCAGCAGGGCGCGTTTATCGTCGCTGCCAAATGCTTTCAACTGGACCAATGAAGGGTGATTTACCGACTTCAGGATGTCCACTTCTCGCTTCAATGAGACTTCCAGCCGTTCTTGGTCTGCTCCTCCAGCAGGACCATGCTCAATGACTTTGACCGCTACCAGCTTCTGCGTAGCCACAGGCGGACCCATGCCGGCATATCCATCAGCCGATGGGGACAAGGGCGTCTGGATTGGTTGTTCAACACGCGCTGCGAGACTGACTTGACTAAATGTACCTTGTCCAAGAACTCGAAGTTTCCGGTATATGCGCGCTTGCTGGGTACGGATCGACCGGACTGGGTAAATCTCATCCGAAGCCGACAGAAGCGGCGAGTGCGTAATGACAGGCTCTGTGTCGCTGTCCCCATACCCACTTCCACTGCTGCGGGGTGGGCTTGGAGGGCGGACAGAGGGCAAGGTAATGCCCCGGTGGACGGCCAAGTACTGCTCGCGATGCAGGCCCGTTGACTTTGAGTCGGTGCTTGATGATGGTGCGATATTTGGACCAGTCCCCGAAACGGCGATAGGGCGGGGTAAAGAGACTCGTCCCGCTGGCGCATAGTCACTGAGACTGCGGTTGCGAACATGTTTTGAAGGTGATCGATAACGGGTACGATTTACGATTGGCGATTCCTCGCCTAAATCGTTCAGCCCGGTATATGATTTCCCGTGCGGCCGCGAGGGAGGAAGGCCTAGCATTTGCGAGGAGTCACTCAGCCGCAGACTAGAACCACTGCGCGAAGCGGTAGAAGAGGTTCGCGATAGTGACGGTTCGCCGCGGCGCCAAGGTGATGCCCCGCCGATAGGCGAAGGTAGCGGGGTAATGTCGCCCATGGCGTTCAGTTGTGGCGACGATATGAATGAGGCGGGAGATAAGGACCCTGCACTAGAGATAGGCGGAGCGATCAGGGCGCGCAAGCTTGGAGTGCGCTGTGGAAAGCTACCGGATGATACGCTGAGTGCGGCAAGAGGATCGTTATCACGATGCGAGCTGACGGGGCGCGAAGTTGGGAAATCGGTGCGAATCTGCAGGGAGGGCAGGGGCGACAGCGGCATCAAAACGGAAGGTGCAGAATCAACTCGCCAGGAATCATGGTCTCCCTCCACACTGGATTGACTTTGCGGGCGACCGTCAGCATCGTTGATTGCAGCGAGAACATGATCATCCTGAAATTTCAAGGCTAACCCAGACCTCTCGGTCGGACCGGAGTCGGAGGGCACCATTGATACTTGTTTAGGATTGGAGAAGTCGCAAACGGTCAGCCCGCAATGGGAATTTCCAATCGCGGCCCCAGGATAAAAAGATTGTAGAAGTACGCGTGTCTCAGCCTCCAAACCCGAAAATGTCTTAGCGTATGGGTAGAAGACCCGTTGAGCCAACGGTTTAACGTCTTCTCCCGTGAAGGGGAACACGACTTATAGCACCAAGAATTAGAAGAAATAATTTGGGGAGAAAGAATTGGAAAGAAAACAATCAAAGCCGAGAATCGATGACGATCACGAAAAAACTCGGGGAGTCAGCTGACGAGTAGTCATGAGGGAATCCCCGCGTTCGGAACCGGCTATATTTAGCTTAGTTAGTAGTATAGTAGTATCAAGCTTGAACGTAAACGAACTGGAGTTTGCCGAGATTTTAGTCAAGTTTTGCTCCCAGCTTTTCCAAGGAAGTTACTCCGTATACTTTTGAGGCTAGGAGAATCCTGCAAAGAACCCGTGGAGTTGTGCAACTACCGAGGGTAACCTTGGAACTACGAGTAAACATCAGACTCAAACCCTTTGTATACTATACTTATTTACACTTCCAAACCCCCCCGTGCAAGATCATTGGAAAAAAGAAAAGTGCTATTTCCTTGGCAACCTCGTGTCTTGATTACCCCAAGAAGGTAGCTGCGAGGATCATCTTTTTTTTTTTTTTTTTCCTGCAAGCTGCTGGGGGGCAAAGAAAATACATAAAAGAAAGAGGTTGGGGAAAGCAAACAAGGAAAACGGCTCCACTGACGCAGGGGCCAAGTTCCAACCTTACAAGCGCCCTGTGCGGAGTGAACTTTACCCTCAATTGAATCTTTTCAATTTCAATTTTCAATATTTTTTTTTTTCAAAGAAATAGACTAGTAGCTAGTCTTTTTCGCAGTCTGTGTCTTTTTTTAATTTTTATTTATTATATGCGCTGCAAATGATGCAAACTGAAGAACACTCAAAATCGTGAAGAAAAAAAGGGAAAAACGATATTCCCGGAGTATACATGCGAACAAACTTCCAGGGTTGCATTTTGTGCATTTCATGCATATCCGAGATTCGAGATTTCAGATTCAGATTCAGATATCATATTTCATGCAGTTCGCACAGCCCGCCATCTCTAAAACCGATTCTCCGGGGCAATTAATCGGCCTGCAGTCTCCCAATACGCTCCTTCCACTTCACTAATGCTGCTTCCTTGCACCCAGTAACCCTTGCCGTTGGGACTCTCGGCCGCCGCAGCTGTCAGAATCGCCCACGCAACATCATCCGGTGAGCTCTTGAGGGTATCCGGATTCTGGGTAGCCTCGAGACCCTCTACCATGGACGTCAGAGTCAGCCAGGGCGCGATCCAAGAAATTGAGATTCCCGATTTCACCACGTCTTCAATCTGCGCCGTGCTGCGGACCAAGCCCAAGACCGCGTGCTTGCTAGCCGAGTAGAGCGGCTGTGAAGGGATCGGCACATAAGACCCGGCTGACCCGACCACAACAATGCGACCTCCGCCATCTCGCTTCATATTATGGATGCCCAGTTTGAGCCCGAAAATAACGGAATTCACATTGATGTCAAAGAGTTGCGTTGATGGGCGCTGGAGAGCGGAATCTTCATTCTGACTCGGTTCGTCCGCCAGGTAGTTGTACCGGACCTGGTTGTTCATATCCGCATGGTGCACTAGATCGGATGTCTGCAACAGAGCAATCTCGGGATTGATAGCGGCATTGCAGACAAGGAGGTCAATGGGTCCCAGGGTTGTTTTGGCTCGATTGAATAGGGCGACTTGCTGATTCCAGTCACTCACGTCGCATACATGGTACGTTGATCGGGGTCCGATTTTGGCACACGCAGACTTTAGGGCGTCTTCGGATAAATCTACCAAGACCACTTGTGCTCCGTTCTGGGCAAGGAGAGAGGCAGTGGAAAACCCAATGCCCCTTGCAGCACCAGTAACAATGGCAACACGGCCATCCAAAATATCTCGAACCGACTTCGCGTCAGGTCGTGGGATAGATGTCATTCTTGGATAATGGGAGGGAACAAACTCAACAGATGAAGAAGAGTACGTGTGACAGATGAAGAAGAGTACTAGTGGAAATTGAGGCGCTGGGCTTCGCGTGGTATTCTAACTAGCTCGGGAGGAAAGTCCACTCTTTATAAGTCATTTGAGCATTCGAGGCCCACACGGACTCGGCATCTCCCCTTTCCGTCCCTCGTCGCATTCGAGCCGCTTCCAAGATTAACCATGATTTTTCTCTATAGGGCAATGCCAGATACACAGTGCACTACACTGATGTGGTATTCGGAACTGGGAAAAAAAATTGCCAATCGTAATAGATATGCAATTCCAAATGGTCGAATACTATCGATATCAATCAAAAACTGGCCATGGCTTTCTCGCGGTTCCCAACGGCCTGCTTTGTAAGGCTTATGGACGGAGCAAATGCCTCAAATCCATGAGGAACGCCAGGATACAAATGGCACTCTGTGGGAATATTCGCTGCCACAAACCGGCGCACATATTCTAGCCCTTCATGTACAAAGATGTCTAATTGACCACAGTCTAGATACAGAGGAGGAAGATCCTCCACACTCTCCACCCGAGCTGGTGCGGCATACGCGTCAACATTTTCAGATCCTGCATCAGGTCCAACATATGCAGTCCACCCGGTCTTATTATCCACCTCGTCCCAAAATGTCAGCTGGCCGGCATGATTGGTATTGGTTCGATCGTCCAACATAGGGTAAACAAGGATCTGCTTCGCAATGGGCGGTGATAGGGCTTTATCTCGTGCCATAAGCGTCAATGCAGCTGCCAGGCCACCTCCAGCACTCTCTCCCATGACGGCGATACGGGAAGGGTTGATTCCCAGTTGGCTTGTATTTGCGTGCAACCATTTGAGGACTGTCCAGCAATCATTGAGTGGTGTCGGATATGGATGTTCAGGAGCCAGCCGATAGTCGACTGTCAGAATCTGCACTCCAGTACTTGATACTGTTTTTATGTGCGGCACGGAGCATTGCTCCGCACTCAGTGAGAAATAACCACCACCGTGAATGTGGAGGATGGCGGGGTCACCCTCTGCTCCGGCTTGACGTCGCTGGCGGAAGTGAAGGACTGTCACTTCGTATCCATCGGCGCGCTGCACATGGTGAACGAGCCTCTCCAAGCTATCTGGGATTGGTGGTAGAGGGATTGTCATAGCTGCGGTCATTGCGCGTCTGGTCGCAATGTCATGAAGAGCAGGTCTTGAGAATTGAGCCAACTGCTGCAACATGGGCCGCGCTTCTTGGGCGAACTCCGTATCATAATGTAATGGCATGATCGAACAGAGGATTGCAGAAGTTTAGTTTGATGGCGTGTTTGAATAACTCTACATAACGACACTTGAGCACTGTTGGACCATTTTATCCTTCGCATTCTTCGGCTCCCAAAATTTCCGATCCGATCCTGATCCTCGATTTACTTCATCCAGATGTCACATTTGGTTATTTTTTCCCACAGACTGCAAAGGCCTTCATCCGTTCCCAGTCTGAGTTCTTTTTTTCCAACGGATGAAGTAGTGCTCCGTATCCGAGCACAGAAAAAGTACGGAGTAAAGTTCACCACCTCGAGAGCTCCACAGTTTGGAAGTGGAGACATTATCCTTCGGGAAGCTGACGGCGAGCAAGTTGGACAGTTAGAGCAATTACCCCAGTGATCCACTTATCGCGAAACTCAAAACTCAAATCGTGCTAATCGCGTTTACTTAAACATCAATGGATATATTCAAATACCATTCAGACTACCCCGGAATTTTACCATTAAATTTTTGGAGAGTTTAAAGAAAGGGGACTAACTACTTCTGAAAGCATTTCCATTAAGTAAGGCTATAGAGAATATTCAAATTTGGGGAGTATTAGGAAAGAGCCCTAATTGGTAACGCCTGGCAATCATATTCCGAAATTAGCACTTTAGCCCCCGAAAAATCTCAACGGCCTATGAAGGGGCTTCATTAGAAGGTCTTTTAGGTATCCGGAATCGGTTCTTGCTGGAGCAGATTATTCCAGTCATCAGTGCCAAGTTCCTGCAGTTCCAAATCTTCCGGGAGCACCTCGTCATCGTCGCTGTCTTGCCCCAGCTTGTCGCCCCTTGGGCCATTGTCTGTAGGTTGAATCCTTCCTCTGCTCGATTTTATAAGAAGAACCTCCACTGCGAATATCTGGCCACCTTCCGCATTCGCAAAGAAATAATCATTTTGAGCCCCGCTATTTACTCTCTCGAGACTGGCGTTCCCCATATCCCCAGTGGGTAGTGGCACGCCATGCGCTGCAGCAGCAATCTGCGCCATCGTACCCAGAGGGATGTCCCCGCGAGCGCGAAACTCCGTGTTCTGCTCAGAAGAAGACGCAATGCTGACGTCCTTGCATATCAGAACGCCGACGACCCAACAGACCTCGTAGCGGGCACGTAGCCCAAGGGAACGGCGTTCGCCGACCCACTCGGCTACCTCGTCAGCGAATTTCGGCACCTTGTCTGTCATAGTTTTCCAGAAGGTACGGAGTTCAGTTAGACGCTTCGCGATTATAAGTTTGCCGTTGATGTTGAGTTGAGTGACGTTATCATGTTGTCGGCGAAAGTTGCCGATTCCCTGAACACTGAAGTTGGTTGAGTTTTGGTTCATCAGCTCGTGGTTGAGAATGAAATTGGTGAATTTGTTCTCTGAGATGTTGTTTTTTCCGATCGGAGGGGAGTCTGGTATGGAGTTGCTGAGAGGTGAGTGCGGGTTGAGTACAACAGAGCCTAGAACTCTGGGCAATTGGTCCTCAGATAGCCAACCGAAAGGTTGCCTGAGAATCAAAAACTCTGGTTGATTGGACATGATACGAAGAATAGAAATGTGCAGCCTGGGCAAGAAAGAAACTTGTTATCTGTTAACAAGGATGGAACAATTGTTACACTGAGGGGGCAGGTAGATGGAAAAGAAAGAACTGAAATTGTGGGATACATGTACAGTCGGGAAATATGATCGCTGTCGTCTATTATTCCTGCTCCAGGACAGCGTAAGCACCAACACGCCACCTTCAGATCAACTGGAGCAATAAAATCATTTATGACGGTGGCGAACAAGATGGAAGTCTAGACTTCTATACGAGTTATTTGGCCTTGACCAGTGAGAAGTTCACTCAAGCTGCCATATAATGTACTGTCATGCCGGCAGAACGAGAAGCCAGTAAGAACCCGCACAATGGCCGTGAGGCTTTCTCAATAGTAACATAATACGATGCTGTTTCAGCCACCAGTTGTTTTATCCTGCCAATGAATGCTTAATTGCAAGGATAATGCTTAATTACAAGGATGTGCATCGCTTAAATGTGCCCTTTTGAAATTTGTACTCGAGAACATACTTCCTACATGGACATCTGCATACGGATCAACTTCGATTACATGCATATATAAGCTTGGGAATCATCTTCCGCTAGAAAAGCATTTGAAATCAATAGCCATCACGTAGGCCATTTTGATTTTGCGAACGCCTGTTCCCTTCTTTCTTCAAAGTATTTCTTCTATCCTGATCTCTGAAGATAACAAACCCAGAATCGAAATCATGGCAAATTCTATTGATACAGCAACTGGCAGCTGGACTTCATACCCGTCTCTTCTACACACACTGGAGACTCCGGATCAGAGAGTTGACCTAGAGTCGGCATGCTGTGCGTACCTCTGTGGGCGCTTTGAGGATGCGTTATCGCTCTACAATAGGCTTCCCTCTCCGGAAACGAAGCCCCTCCTTGTCTTTCAGAAAGCCGACATTCTGACGCAACAAGGCAATGAACACGATAGAATTGACCTGCTTAAAATGGCATTGACAAAGCTGCCCAATCATGACCAGGCAGGCGAACATTCCGACCTTCAGCTCTTGACCAATCTCATGCTCACCGATGCCGAATTCTGGGGCGAAGGAAAGGTCCAGCCTGCGCTCGATATCGTCCCAAAGGTCAGGAAATACTTCATTGGTCGCAAGATTCAAGGGCTGAATGATGTTGAGGTGTGTTATCTTTTGTTTTGGTTTTCTAGACCAACAAAGTCTTTCTCTAACCGTGTGTATTATTTCTTCTAGCTGCGGATCGTTCTTCTGTTCCATCAAATTTCACTGTCGCTACGAAAAGTCTCAAACCTCCTGGGTCAGACTTACGATTCTATATTTGCCGAGTCTCGCTTAAGCACTGTCAATGAGCTGAACATTTTGCGGAGACAACTTCATCAAGAAAAGCGTCTGCAGTTTGCTTGCCAATTTCTCCGGTTGGAAATCAAATTCACCTCGTCGGCCAAGCTGGGCAACACGTTGGATGATGCCATAAATCTTTGCGGAGAGTTAGAGGAAACCGGCATCGCTTCACAGCAATTCCGAGCCGTTGGATTGAAGCAATATATATATTCCGTGGCCACCCAACAGGACAAGGCGGCCTCGCTTTACGAAGAATCCCTTTCAACACTATCTCGAATCAAACCAACGGCTTTTCATGAGTGGCAGGACTTCTTCCCAGCCCTGAAATTAGAGATTGAAAGAGATGAGTTGAAGCGGTCGGAAACAGCTTCCCAGGCCAATTTGGAATCCCTCCTCAAGCTGGTGATCCAGGCGAAACAGCACCTGGACTACACCCAAGCGAACCACTGCTACATTGCCGCAAGAGAGATGGCTCGCGCTCTGAGAGATAGAGCTGAGGGCCCGACAGATATCACAATTGCCGCGGAAAAGCTTTGCGCTGTACAAGAGGAGTACCTAGACTTCCATGAGAAAGTCAGCCGCATGTGTTACTTTGTTGGACTCGCGACGGTGGAATACCTCTCCGCGATACGATTTCTGGGCTCTGCCTACTACACGAAAATGCAAAGGATAGTACGGGATTTTCTAACTCTTCACCCCGACTTCGCAATTCCCAATCTCCAAGAGCGTATACAAGAGGCAGGGCTTTTTGTAGCACGGGAGTTGAATTTAGAACAGGAGGCGTGTGAATTCGAAAAGAGGCAGATGGAGTGGTTCAAGAAATGCAGATTCGCGCCTAAAGGCCTGAATACTGTTTCAGATCATGCCTCGCGTGACCCAGAAGACTACTTTCTGATAATGCATCACGACGCCTCAGACCCCCTGGAATGGGGCATGAACGCGGTCAAACTGTTGTTACAATGGGCGGCGTGGGAGTGGGATGACAGACTACTGTCCATAGATGAGCTACGGAATCTATTTGGCGGGACTCTCGATAATGCGTTAGATGCCTCGAATGACCCGGTCAATATGCTTCAATCTTCGGGGACCACGACTGCTGTCAACGCATCCCTCATGGAGGCTCTTACTGAATCCAACTCCAGTGGGACTGATCTTGACCCACAAAGATCATTATCTTTCATGGAGCGTTACAATAGGCTAAAGGAATGGTTATTGCTAGATGGAAGACCACCGTCTCGAGAGGCACGCCTCTTTGCACTGAAAATCTTGCTCAAGGCTCGTCTGCACCGCATTCGAAATGGATACTTTCCAAACGGGGGGAGACTGCCAACCGCTGAGGAGGCTTCAGAATACGAATTCGAAACCTCAGCGCTGAATGTCATTGAGAACCTAGAAGCAGCGGCCAGGGGTGTCACAAGGGACACTGATGAAAAGAAATTGGCCGTTCATCTCACGCTGGTCAAATCCTTCGCTGTGAAGGATGGCGGTCCAGCGGGACTGGTTACTGATGCTGAGCTTTCCAAAAGCGCCGATGACTGTCGTCAGATGGTTATACACGCAAACAAAACACATCAGCCGTTCCAGGAGTACCACGCTCTATGTCAGCGCATGCGGCTGACCTGGCAGCGACATCAGCTGCACTCTCAGCCGATACCAAAGACGGCAGAGGATATCATGGCTCTAGTCAGGGAAGCCGACAAAGTCTTTGTCCAGCTTCGGAATCAGCTTGTGAATCCAGATGCCTCTGCTAGTCTCGTAGCTAGGGCAAAGCTGGCAGATGATTTCCTGCTCCGGGAGCACCACAACTTCGCGCTGCTCGGGAGACTCAGCTCCTTCAATCACTACAAAAAACTCTACCGGACCAGTCCGACCCAGGACTTTGGCATCCAGGCTCAATCGGACGTTCTAAATCTTGCAATGTGGGCCCGCCGATCTAAAGGTGCCGGTTTCACTGACGTTCTGAACTTGGGTTCACAAACAGAACGGGCGATCGAAGAAGGGATGAAACCAGACGTTGGCAATAAGGCTGGGTTTTTGAATGATCAAATTAGGGATCAGTCTGGTAAACTTCACCCCCTGGACCCAGGTACCTCCCAACCAACTCAAGCCTCCACACCTGTTCAGCAAGACCTGCCTCACGTACTAAGCCCACGGTACCCTGAATGGGCCAGGGTGCCTCAATTCAACAATATGCTGAAGAATCTGCCCTCAAACATAGTGATTGTGGACTTTATTAATGTCCCCTACATCCAGGCTGGTGTCAGCTTGTTTGCTCTGGTATACCGCAACAAGCAGTCAACAAACAGCCCCATTCCCATCCCAGTCTTAACTATGGATGGGATCAAAAGTTGGATTGCGAGTAATCTCAATGTTGATGAGGACCCCGACACCATAGATCATCTAGCAAACAAAGATGCTGGGGCCAAGCTCGCTGTACTCAGTGGGCTCATCACACCGTTATTGTACACCGTTCCCGACATCGCTATCAGGGCCGGGGAGACGATAATATTCTGTCCGACGGGCTTGCTAAGCCGGATTCCCCTGCACGCGATTCCATTCCACGATGATAGCCCGCCCTTGATTGCGCGAAACCCTGTTGTCTACTGTCAGAGTCTGACTCTCCTTCATTGGCTTTACGAGAAGACCACAAAGGGCTTCTCCACCCTCCCTGGCTCTACACCAGGCATGACCCCTAGCCAAACAGCGAATCAATTTCCTAAGACAGCCGTGATAAACCCCTTACCAGAGTCCAAAGCCTCAACCGCTCGTGTGAAAGAACTGGCACGAATCCTCCGAGCTGAAGGCCTTGCTTTTCAACACGGCGAGTCGTTGCACCCGCAAACGGTTCGGGACGCAATTCGAGATTGCTCAGTATTCCACTACCACGGCCATGCAGTGTACCAACCGGAGGCGGCTCTGGAGACAAGACTTTGTCTAAACAAAGCTGCTCGAAGTAGAAAGCGAAATTTGCCGAAGTCGGCGCTCTTCCTGGCGGCACGGGAATTCTTCCGACCCGAATTGCGCCTCGCAGAGCCGGCAGCGCTAGTGACTGTGGTGGGCTGCAAAAGTGGCGTTACGAAAGTGACGAGCACAGACGACGTGCTAGGCCTACCAACTGCTTTTTTCTACGCGGGTGCGACTGCCGTGGTGAGCACGCTTTGGCCACTGCCTGATGAGGATGGGGCTGCATTCGGGGCTGCATTTTATGAAACATTGTTCAAAGAGCGAGATGCCGTCGACTACGATGCAGCAGCACGGGCAAAGGAACACACACAAGAACCAATTACCAGTGCCTTCTTTGCACGCACTGTAGATCTTGCCAAGGTATTCCAGGAGACAATATTGGCCCTTCGTCGTGATACTACCCGGCAGGACCGAAAGGCGCCGTATCACTGGGCGTCGTTCACTCTGAATGGGTTTTGGTACTTCCCCATCAGCTCACTACCGTTGAGCCCATGATTGTGACCTTGGAACCTTGGATGTCATATACGTGCAGAATCTCTTCTAAGCGTCATTTATATGGTGGATTTATAACAGAATATTTATATGAATCATTTCTGACTTATACCTCCAGCCAGGGCTAGATTGGAGTTTTCCTGCCCCAAATATGGCATACGAAAAGAAAACCAAGAAGCAGCTCTGGGAGTAGTCCACTCCTTAATTACTCCCGAGGTCGGGTACTTAGAAAACACCCGAGGTTGTCATAAAGGGTTTCCCATGGCATTCAAATGTTCGATGGCTCCATTCAATGTCGCGACACGCGTATGCACGGCTACTAAGGCTTTTACTTTATTACACTTATGGGACTTTTTTGGAGGTGAGACTCGAGAACATACAGTATAAAGTGGGAAATTTAGATCACGATAGCGAATCAGAAAAAGCAGTGGTGAAATGGACTGAATGATGGCGAATCAAATGCCGACTTTCTGAAAATTGACGGGTGGGGCTTGGCGGATTGGATTCTCCAATGGTCCAATCAGAGCTCCAGGAGGCGATAAGGAAAAAATAAATAAGAGCTCAGGGGCTTTAAAAGTAAGTCCGGGCTATACGGTTGTGATTCTTGTGAACCTCGATTGGTACCTGCTAACAACTGCTGAGCCTCTAGTGGGGCATAAGGGAGAGCTTCAGGGTCTGAAGCCTGGATAATAGGCAAAAAGGGGACGGGAGAAAGCCGTCTAAGCGAAAGAACGTGGGCTTTGGTTGACCCTGTGGCGCTTTGGGGGCTGAGAACATGTACTGGTGTCTCGTCCCGACGGACTGAATCCCTCGCCCATAATGGACCCTTATGCTACGGCGGATCCGAGGTTGGCTGACAGCCAAGAAAATAGGCGGACACGGACCCAATAACTTCTCGAACACCACCAATCACCACCAATATCGGCATCAAAGATTGTTAAAGTAGGCTTACGCAGGAACCACACTAAGACCATTTAATTTCCGGTCATTGGCTCATCCCCAAAGCGTTCCAGTGATTCCCCCGCAATGAATTACTTATATCCTCGTGAGAGCCCCATTTCCCCAGGCCTTTCGATTTAGCAACCGTTCTATTCCATTGGAATTTCAAGTCATTCCTTTTTTCCTTTTTTTTTTTTTAATCCTTTCGTTTGCATAATAACCAGTCGCTCCTTGAAAGCCCGTTTCAGCAAACATTGTTCTTCGTCTCTTTCCCTATCTGCGAATATTCTCTGCCAAAGAAAATACCAAGCAAATTTGAAACTACGACAATCAAGATGATGCGCTCCGTGATCCCTCTTGTCGTCTCGCTTGCTTCGCTTGCCGCGGCCATCGACATTACCAGTCCCGCTGCCAACTCCACCTACGCAGCCGGATCCACCGTCAATGTCGAGTGGACCAGCGTCGATACCGACCCCACCAACTTCAGCCTTTATCTCTGGAACTTTGTGTCCTGGCCTCCATCTTATGTTCCCTTGGCTTTGGACGTTCCCACCTCGGACCTGTCTTACTCTGTCCAAATCCCCTGCGACACCAACCCCGATTGGGGCTACCAGATCAGCGGCATCAACGGCACCAACGTCTACATCATCTACGCGCAGGGAGACAAGTTCACCGTCTCCGATGCCGCTAGTGGCTGTGTGGACACTGCTTCGTCAGCCACCTCCACCTGCCCCAGCGCTGCGGCGTCTACCGTTTATGTCACGGTGAGCCCTACCGGTCCCAGCTCTCGTCCTTTCCATCACCATCCTCATCACTCCCACGTCCTTCCTTCTCCGTCACCCAGCACTGCCAGCACCTTGAGCTCTGGATATGTTAAGCCCGGAATTGTGCCTAAGACTATTGGTTGGTGTTCAGACTATTCCCACCCTGTAACCTTGGACAAGGTTCCCACCCCGACTCCCTCGTCCGACTCTTCGCCGGTGGTCACTGCGGGACCAAGCCAGATCACGGATTCTCCTGGCCCTCGAACAACGACTGTCACCAATATTGTGAGCGTGTTGGCTTGCCCCAAGGAAGATGCGATTTGATGGTAGAGATTGCTTGATCGAAGCAACCGGTGACATGTTATTAATACCGATGTGTTTTGTATGATATATATGTCGTTGAGTACCTAATGTAATGGATCGAATATACGGAGGGCGTACTATCCAGACTCATTTCATGATAAAAAATGATTAATCAAACGTGCTTGGAACTGAGGTCTTTGGCCCCCACAGTTCCCCTTATTCTTGGAACTTGTCGATCGTTGAGTGCGGAAGCAATCGCTGTCGCCCCCAAAATCGCTCCGGGAAACACCTACTAAATTCTGGTAGGCACGGACTTTCGGACTACAATCAATGCACACATGTGCATGAAATTATTTTCCAAGATTATTTCTTGCCTCTTATGGAAGCTTGCGACAGACATGACATAAGGCGATGTATCAGTTCATACCTCCAATTGTGTATTTTCAGGATCGATTTGTTCCCTAGAGAGGAACACTTTTACACTGTCCCTGACGGATGGTGTTACCGACTCCTTGCTTGAAGCGTCGCGCATCTTCCCGTAAGACAATCTCACACTAGCAATCCTCTTCTGAATTTGAATCAATGGCCCATAAGTCGGAAGACATGCACAGACAATAGCGCTGGCCAGCTCAACAGTGGTCCAATCCAGCGATGCGGGGATGTTACCTGAGAAAAAAAAAACATGTCAGCACCTGGAAACCCTCGCACATATCACCCCAAAATGGACTCCCACTTACGATCGTATCCTGTAGACGGAAGCCAGCTGAACCAGACCCTCACGACACAAGTGACACAGACACTATAAATAATCAGTCCCAATTCATCATTCCCCCCACTTTTCAACATTTGTAGAAACTCACAATCCACCTAGCATAAATACACCCATCAGACTGGCTCGTTTAATTGAAGGCAGCTTTAGGTTATGCACCATAAGCACTGGATGCGCCAAGATCATGATGTCGATGGGAATCTCGACAATACCAAAGCCGGCGATCATGGCCCCCTCGGGAATACAGGTATTCCTGTCTCGCAAAGATATGTAGTCCCACATGGCGCTGACGGGATGGCACTCGAATATAATGACGAAAAAGGCAACAATGCCCCAACAGGCGCAGATAGCCATGAGGATCCAATTGATTCGTATAAATGAAGGCACAGCGAATATATGTCGATAAAATGTTAAGATCGAGAATTTTGTCGCGGTAATGCCGAGAAGAAAAAGAAGTTCTTCCACAAAAAGATACTGATGGGATCTGTTACTAAAGCTATCATGATGCTGATGTCGTGTTTCAGACTTACCTTGAGAAACCGATTCATTTGATATTTCGTCATTAAGCTGAAGTCAGACCCACCTGAAGATCCACTGCCTAAAATGGCTAGATAATTTTAGAAGTTAGTTGTGTATCTTCATTGGTATCTAGGTCACTTGGGGCCGTTTTATACTCACCATAGAGGAATACCCCTTGGTTGGCATAGAACAACACAGCAGCGAGGACGATGAGGATGTCCTCCATAAGAACGCCTTTGCGTACTTTGCTTCTGGCCCATGCTCGTAGGCACAGAGAAATGAAGACCAGTGTAATCATCGAAGCCGAGACGCGCAACGACATGGCGCCTGTCGGGTCAAGTTGTGTTTCTGTCATGATGAAGTGAATGTTTCTGACAGGGTCCACGGGAAACCTGTATGAACAAGCAACAAAGTTGCTAAGAGCTTTTGGATCAGGATCGATAGAGGTGGGAGGATGGAACAGAAGTAGCATTTCTCTTGTTGGTCGCCTGAAAATCCAATGGTCGCCATTTCTATTTTTCTCAGAGGTCAGGTACCTAACCAAGCAATAGTTAAAATGGACCCCAAATCTGATCATTTTAACCTATTCTTGGCCAAGTTGTGTACCTATTCAGGGAATGATCACCATTTGTACAACGCTTGTCTGGTCAAACGGAGGGCCTGGGGGCGATTCTTCTTTCTGAAGAATGTCCACGTGGTATTGAGTTGGGGAAAGCCCAAATACTATAAAGAATCAAAGACGAAAACTGAACATTTAGACTCAGTGAATAATCAGCTCCTAGATATCAATGCACCTCGTCTCTCTATGATGTAGCTCCCCTCGAGTTCCGTGGCATTCTTATCAAGAAGTTTCGGAACTTCCCAGTGATGTTTGCCGAACACTTGTCATCTGCCAGTCTCTTCTATTCTTTCTCCACCTCCTCACAACTATCACTTGATTCCACCTGGACACACGTCTTGTTTCTTCTTCTCTAACGAAACCTCTAACCCGGCATGCGTACTCGAGACAAGATGACTAAATTGGAAAAAGCAAGCGCTATGGAATTTGGCAGATAGTATGTGTCCTCAATATCCACTCTCAAAACCGTGATAACTAAAACAAGCCATCCATACTATCCACATACAGTCTTCTTCCACTTATCCATGGCCCATTTGTCAACATCAGAATCAGCCCTGACGATCATGAATACAAAGTTTCCAAAGGTCTTCTCTGCACAGACTCCAAATACTTTTCTGCGATGTTCGAACCGAAGTTCTCGGTCAGTTTCAAGGAGGGAAAAGAGCAGTCTGCAACCCTCAAAGCCATCAAAGGTGTTCTTTCAACTAGCAGCTTCGAAGCTCTTCTACAATGGATTTACCTTCGCACAGTCAGGTTCGAGGCCATGAAACCTAAGGATGAGATTTCAGCTGCAATCGAACTCGCAAGACTTGGCGATATGTGTATGGTCACTGGGCTGGAATCCGAAATGGCCAACCGTATCAAAGAAGTCATCACTGCGAATCCTTCCAGAAGACATCCAAGGAAAGGGGACGTTGACATCAACAGTCACTGTCTTGAGCCTTGCCACTTTAAGTCCATCGCCTTCTTACCACGAGGTCACAAAGTTCGTCAAATTTTAGCTGCAGCCTCGGTTGACGGATATCTTCGAGATGGCGGATACAGATTTCTTTCAGAGGTTGAAGAAGACCCAGAACTTGCAGTAGAAATTCTCAAACAAGTACGAAAAACCATGGCCGAAGTTCCTCAAGTTCCTCAGGCTCGGGGCATTGGTCGCGGTCTCGCAACTGCTACTGATCCTTTGACTGGAAGGGTACTGGACATTGTTTGGAAAGAAAACGTTGTCTAGAAAAAGTTTGGCCCAAGACGACGAGCAAATAAGAAATACCAACAGGAGAAGAATGGTATAATGTGGGTGACTCATTTTCGATAACGACCAGCGTTCGCTAGCAAAAAGTCGGTAGGCTCCAGGGCATCAGTAGCTTTCACAATCAAATTGGAATAAAATCAACTTAATCTACAACAAAGACTGTACATTCCAAGGAAGGCTTATAGCCCTGTATAAATTACAACTAGCAGCAGCATATTTTTTAAACATAGAATAGTCAAGAAAGTTATGGATTAGCTTCAAATTTTCCAACGCTGGGTGAGCCTGGCTCATTGAACTGCGCAGGTACGAGGACAAAATTGACAAGCTTGATGTCTTGATTGCTAAATTGAATTGATACAGATCAAAGCCGGGTATTTACTTCAAATATTTCCCCTTAGGTATGATGTATGCTATACATCGACGATTCATAAATTCAAATGTGAACATGGAAGCCTTCCAAATTCTCCAATGCATCTGTGCAACTCTTCCACCAACTTGGCATTCCACCGAGATAGATGAGTGGTTCTCGCCGCTTGCCCGGAATATTGGATCCCATGTACCAAGAGTCTGTCTTTGGATACAAGGTCCCATTGCTGGCAGCGATAACTTGTTCCCGCCACGCCTCGGTAGCCTTCACAGTTGGCTCAATAGAGCCAAGTCCCTCCTCTCGCATCTTCGAGATGACCTTGCAAATCCAATCGACTTCCATTTCGATAAAAGGTGGCCCATTTGTCAAGGATGTCGGAGCTTGTGGCCCATAGACCATGAAGAGATTTGGAGCATCGGGAATCATCAATCCCAGAGAGGTAAGAATTCCATTTTTCCATTTTTCGGCAAGGGAAACTTGGTTCTTGTCCACAATTGACAGATCCAACAAGCTACCCGTGACTGCATCGTAGCCAGTAGCAAAGATCAAAACATCAAGATCATGGTGTTGAGTTTCCTCGCTGTCGCCTGTGACTATGCCCGTTTGATCAAAATCGATGATTGGCGAGCGCTTCAAATCATGCAAGGTCACGTTGGGTCGATCGATCATCTCATAGTAGTCTTGCTCTAGACTCGGCCGCTTGGTTCCAACGAGCATGAACTGCTTCAGCGGCGCGACCAGATCCATTTTCGTACGATCTGTCATACGGGCACGCGTCTTCTGCGCCCAGTAGTCGTAGAAAATGGAGTTTGCCTTTTCGTCCAACAGAAAGTCGTAATAGTTTGCCACCAGGAAGTTATATCCGCCGCGATTCCAAAGCTCATCGAACAACGCCTTTCTCTCCTCGGGTGTTGCTTGATGCGCAGACTGCAATCGGGTGTTGTGTGGAAAACCGGACACGGATTTGTAGCACCGCTCAAAGAGACAGTCGTAATAGCCCTTCAGCATCTCGGCCTCCTCTGGCAAGATGGATCGTTGCTTCATAGGAATTGCAAAGCAAGGCGTGCGGATAAAAACCGTCAGCTTACAGTCCTCTTTGGCGAGGTTTTGGACGATTTGAAGGCCCGAAGCACCATTTCCAACGATTCCAACACGTTTCCCCTTCGCATTGAGATTATCCGGATAGTCTGCAGCATGGACTAGTTGGCCGCCATAATTTTCCAATCCCGCGAACTGAGGGTAGTGCTTCTTGTGAGAGGATCCAGTCGCAGCGATGAGATATTTGCAAGAGGCTGTAAGACCAGTATTGGTCGACACATCCCATCGACTGGTTTTTGTATTATAACAAGCTCCCGTGACGATAGTATTGAAGAATGTATCTTCACTCAAACGCAGCACCGAGTCAACATGCTGAAAGTAACGTCGAAGCTCATCGTCACCAGGGAACCTCTCAGACCAATTCCAACCCTTGTAAACGGCAGGGATGTTGAATTGATAAGACGGCATTTCCGAGTCAACACGGGCACCCGGGTAGCGATTCCAGTGCCATACACCTCCAAAGGCACCGCCAGCCTCGATCAACTTGACAGAAAGACCCAAGTTCCGGAGCTTGTACAGCGAATTGCAGCCGCCAAAACCACCGCCGATGACGATGGCGTCGGTTTCGATATGGGTTTCGGCTCGAGTCATACTGCCCTGTCGCAAAGGAACAATAATTCAAATAAAAAACCTAAGTCTCAGGCACTTGTCGATTAAATAGAAGCCTCGATTTGAGTCGTAAAATAGAGACCAAGAACATCTTGAAGAATGCCCACATTCTCGGCTGCCGGAAAGTCGCTCAAATTGAACCGGCCTGTCGACATCCGAATGTCTAGAAAAATGAAAATCGTGATCTTGGGGTGGTTTCAGACTACATCGTGGCCTTGCTAAATCCGAAAAGCCGAATAGGAAGTCCACGGCGAGAAGGTTTTGTCCCTTAGATTCATCAGGCGGGGCCCCACCATCGGTTCTCGGCTCTAATGGGCTTCCGCGAATTTCATTTTGTGTACCGCAAATGAATCTCGTGATCCCAAGTTTGACCTAAAGGAACTTCCCAACATGCCGTGAACCAGTAATTTGTCTCGGGAGTCCGGGACTGACTGTCTCCGTATCCGGGAATGGGGCTCGAGGGCCAGTACCAGATCATATACCCACCGGAGTAGAATTGCTTTTAAAGTTGAATCAACAAGTCATTAAAAGCAATCATTCTCACGCTATATTAGTCATTTGATCATTAAGGTACTATCATCGACAGAACGAGATCGCAACTATGGTACCCGTTATCGAAGGAACAGCTTTTATTACGGGAGGAGCATCCGGTATAGCTTCCGTGGTCATGATGTAAAGGTTACGGACGCTGACAAAAAGCCAGGCATTGGCAAGAGTACTGCAATTGCCTTCGCACAGAACGGGATCAGAGGCCTGGCTCTACTTGACCTTGACCTATCGGCTCTCAAAGACACTCGTGATGAGATTCAGGCTCAGTCTCCTCTCGTCGCGATTGAGATTTTCCCAGTTAATGTCGCAGATGAAATATCTGTCGATGAAGTTGTCAAAAAAGTTGTGAATCAATTCGGCAGCATCGAAATCGGAATTAACTGTGCTGGTATAAGTGGTACGCCGACCCCAACGCACCTGATGTCGCTGCATGAGTGGCAGAAGGTGATCAATGTCAATCAGACGGGGGTGTGGCTTTGTCAAAGGGCTCTGATCCGGCAGATGTTGAAGCAAGAGTGAGTAGTCCCCAGGTTGCAGATGAGCATCGTAGCTGACTTTGAATCGAAAGATCGCGTGGTGTCCGCCAAGGTCGTGGAGTGATCGTCAATGTGTCGTCCATGTTCGGTGTTGGGGGTCCTCCCGGTCCTTTTAGCATCTCGCATTACACAGCTGCTAAACATGGTATGTGTGACATGACGATTCAATTAATGTTTGGACCTTGCTGATCAAATGATTGTATAAGCGGTCGTCGGACTCACGAAAATGGTGAGATTTCTTTCTGTGCCAGTATTGGAAATACCTTGTTAATAGTTTTGTAGGATGCTAAAGCATATGCCCGAGAAGGAATTCGCGTCAATGCCATTTGTCCGGGCTTCGTTGACACCCCGATCATTGGCGAGCAGATCAAATCTGGATCAATGAATTCTCAATTCGAAATGACACCAATTGGACGTCCGGCACAAGTGGAAGAGATATCGGATGTACTGCTGTTCCTTTCCTCTCCGATGAGCAGCTACATGTGCGGCGCTGCCTTGGTGGTTGATGGAGGATATACCGTTTAGACAAGATCAATTGGAGTGTGTCCATTCACGCACGATTTAAACTGTTTTTTGTCAAATCCTTGGTGCTAGCTGGTGTGCGTAAATTATGTGTCATTCATATTTATACAAGCATGAAATCGAAATCAGCTTCTTGGGCTATCTCCTGCCAATGAATATCTCTGTATGGCCCAGCCTGCTCTCGTCGATGCCAAAGCGCTTTCAGAGTTTCACTTAGAATAGTGATACTTTGGATTCCGTGACGTGTTTTGCGATCCCAGCAAGCCATCATCCTGGCCTGCAGATCGGGCTTCTGGCATTCTGCCGCCACAACAAAACTGGCCCAGTTGTAGGCACAGCCACCTTTCTTGTTGTGGGTCAAAGTATCAACCGCCTCCAATTCTTGCACTGCTTTCTCGACTATATCCTGCACTTCACTCAAAGCCGCATGTCGTAACATCCGTCGAAAGAAAATGATAGAAGCGTAATAGAACGAGTTCAGCGCATGTTGGATAATAACAGAACCATGAGCATCCGGTGCAGACAGAGATGGAAAGTTGAGGTAAAGCTGCACCTCCAACCGATCCAGTTCCTCTGTTGAAATAACAGCGCCGGAGTCCACAAGTGCCTGAATCCGTGTTAAAAACTTTATAAGAGGTGCCGTGACACCATGCGACCGCTCGAGATAGTGCTGTAATTCAGGAGGGCCGTCAAGGAGCGACATCAACTGGGTGGACATGGGTAAGTTGCAAAGCGATGAAAGTGAAATATAGCTCTGAAGTAAGCGAGATGCTGTTGGACTTCGTATCCAACCGTCATGCATCTCATTTTCTAAAAGACCAAGTCCACCAGCAACGTGGGCTCTCCACCGACTCCGTCGTCCTGACATTGCTTCAGCTGTAATGCATGTTAGAACGGCAGCCAGAGTTGGTTCATCCAGGCGCTTTGCTCGTTGCAAGTTTTCTCTCAGATGTCGCAAGGCCAGCTGGTCGTGATGCATAGCAATGGATTGATATTGGCGATCGCGTCGAAGATGAAACAGGCTGAATGCTGACGATGCACATATAGCGTGGAAGATAGAATGATGTATACTAGAATCCGTGGAAGGGTCCTCGAATCCTTTCAAAGCCAATGGCATAAAAACTGTACGACAGGGGTTGTCAGGAGTATCGATCAAGAGCATATTTCCACTCATAAACACGACCCAATGATGAATCAATTCCGTCTCTGGTCTTGGTAATTGTCGGGGATGAAGTGAACCAATTAAAGGAAGTGTATATAGAATTAAAGAAGCGTTATGTTGGGTTTTTGTGTCCCGGTCGCAGTCGGGAATAGTGCGACGGGAGTTGCATGGAGCAAGAGCTGTATCGTAACAAGCTCCGTTAGCATGCTCGGGCGGTACCGGCGACGGCGATTTTCCATGAGTCAAAGGGGATGGTGACAGTGAAGCATGCGAAAAGGCGTCTTGAATGGGTTCCGACGGAGATTTATCACCTTCCTCAGATTCAGATGTCGGAATAATTAGAGTGTTTGAATTAGGCAGGCCTGAAATAAATTTTATGCGTCCCGGCTCATCCCTGCTCTCATTCACAGGTGAAGATAAAATTCTCGAATCAATGCCCGTTGAGGGCTCGGGGTCTTTCACTGCACAGTCCGAGGCGGAAAATACCGAGAATGGTCCCCGTTGCTGGGCGCTCCCGTCGCCGGAGGACTCATCCAGTTCCGCCAAGAGAGCCGTCACGGCAGCAGAGGACAAGTCTACTGTGGATTGTGGAGCCCCCGGTTTCAATTGACGACGATGAGACCGACTTCCTGGAGTTTGAGACCATCCCAAACGCATGCCGTACCCCTGACACTGCCAGCCGCTAGTGCGACAGCGACGGCAATGCGGCTGCTCGTCATCGCATTTGACTCTGCGGGCTCTGCAGGTCCAGCATCCCGTAAATGTCTTCGTGCGAGATTTCGGGGTCCTCACGTTTCTAGGCAATGATCTCTCGGTCATGCCCACGAGGTTCGCAATGGGGGGAAGTTTATCGGCGTGTTGAAGCGAAAATTGGGATAGCGTTTGAGCCAAAAAATTGGTTTGTGATGTTACTCAATCATATTTGCCCCCGCGTCGGAAATTGCCGGCGTGATTTAGGACTTCGCAGACTTGATGGTTTACTAGTTATTTGATGGAAGTAGAATTTATTTAGATAGAATTGGCTGTATCATACCTCCACGCCATGTAGTTAGGTTACTTTACTATTATTAAACTGTTGAGGAAAAAAGACATCTGACTAAGTGTCTGTCACCTTCCCAAACAGGAATTTTGTCACGTTTGGGGGGGTCTTGAGTCTTAAGTAGTAGTAGTTGTAAATTCAAAAATAGTATGTAATGTCAAGTCTTCAAATGTTTCGCATAGATAAAGCCTCCCTTCAATGCTACTAGTTGTTCTATGTTTCATTTTTTACCTCTCGTGGTAACCACTAGAAGTACACCCACTTTTTTCTTGATCTTACTTTACATTGAAATATAGTGAACTGGTCAGTTCTCGACATATCAGGTGATTTTCCCGCTAGACCAAAAGAGCTCTTATTTGACAGCTTACTAAGCGATCGACGTAGTTAACTAAGTACTGTAGTTAGTGAACTAACTAAACACATTAGTTAACTAACCTAGAATGTATGGGTTCAAGCAGTAGTCCATTTTTAGTATGCGCAGGATTCTTAACCTTGAGTTTGAAAATAAGTGATGCACAGCCGCGATAAATTGCATATGATCGGTCAACCCGCATCCATTTGTGCATCTAATTATATCATTATAGCATGCCAAGTCTGTTATACATTACTCCGGCAGGGTCCACACCTCAAGTTCAAATGTTCCTACATACACAAAATCCGCTCCCCGGTATTCCGGATAATACCAAAATCAAGTTGGAATTCATTTTGTTAGAATTTTTGATTCACTCCCAAATTACCTAGGCAGTTGCCAACCAGGTGGTTGGTATTGGATGTCAAACGCAAAACTTGAAACATTGAAGCCGCACGTGCGATGACCCTTCTATATTTCGCTCTTTGGAACTGTCATATATAACACCCTGAATTACTAGACCTGCCGGTCAGAACGTTCTTCATACTCAAGATGAGTCGAATACTTAAATACTTGTATATACTACCTACGATGTGAGTACTTCGACCAAAGTGGTAGGTAATCGCCAGAAATCAAATGTTTTGAATCCACAAACTTCAAAGGAATCCACTTCCATGCTTATTGGCAATTCCAGCTGCATAGCCCTATTTGAATCTTCCAAGTTTAGAGCCGGGTAAAGATAAGCCGAGATCGATTGATGATCCTTGAGGGAATATGGTGCAGATTCAAACTACGGATTACGACATTCCTCCCGAAATGAAATTTCCGTGTTCCAATATAGTACTTATTTAAAGCCACCCAGAGGAGTCACTTAGAACTTTGGAAGAGCTAATCGGCGTTTCCAAGTTGTTAAACCTTCACGGGTGTGCTTAGAGCTGTGCGGGTCCTCAGGTACTACCTTGAGACTTCAAATGTTTCTGCACATGTGAAAAAAGTACATAAACCACAGGGCTATCGTATGTAGCATTCAAATGTTGCTAGTCCGATTGGAACACTCGTTTGAATTGTAGGCCCAAAATCTCTCAAATTGTTTATTAATGGATGAAAGACACCTTTCCAGGCATATGGTTTTTCCGTATGGCCCCATGGCAAGTGCTATAGATTTACCCACCCCGGTACTGGTCAGCAACCTACGCATCTTATTTGTGGATGTGAGGCAGTGACGAGCCAACCGGAGGCTGCTTTTCACAATATGTGGTGGACCCAAGTTCAGAAAAGGGTTTATCAAAGTGACACAGTGAACATGGAAGACGCGTCATGAAGGGATTTGCTCGAAGGCGCAACAAGTGGGTAGGCCAAGACCCTGAAATATCACTGTGGACATGTCAAAAATGGCACATGTGAAGGGTTGCACATCAGGGCGCAATGGTTTGATTAGCTAAAAAGTATATCCACATCGGTTAGCATTCTATAGGAGTGCCCTGAGCTTGAGACAGTGTCGTCAGCCTCAGTGCTTTACGGGTCCTGAATGGAGAAGATAACTGGCGTTAAGTGGGACTATAGGCAACTAGGGATCAAATGGAAGACCCGGTTCATAGATCCTCAGCCCCAATGCTTCTTACGGAAGCACCAAGGTGGAAATTGCCAAGCAATAAAGAAAGTGGACTTTCGACCTAGAAAAGTCACAGAAACCTTGGAAGGCTATATAGGTAGGAGGGATGGGCTTCGTTTGAATATTGTATCAAAGCAAGCTCTTTCAGCTGAAGTCGATTTAGAAGTCCTGTACACTTCGTTCCACTCGTTACCTTTTTACTCAACCAGACCCCTACCGAGAAACATCCCAAACAACGAAGATGTCCACCACCACTACCACCGCGGCATCTGCCACCTCCAGCTGCCAGGCCAAGCTGTACGATATTCCTGTGCACGACTCCGCATGCGCGATGCCCATGCATGGCAACTACTCGGCGGTCATGAGCAGCTGCTGTGGCGAGGCATCTGTTGTCGAGTACGATGACTGCGACTACTACTGCCTGGCACAGGGACAGACTGTTGGCACTCTTGCTGAATGCTTGATCAAGGCTTCGGAGCCAGGCCAAGTCTGGTGCAACACCAATGCCAATGCCACGGCCACTGCAACAGCTACCGCTACCGGCACCGGAGTTGTGACTCTCGACAGCACTGCAACTGGAACAGGCTCGACGGCTTCCGGCACGTCGAGCAGTGCTACTTCGACTTCGACCTCGACCTCTGCTGGAATTGTTGCTTCTCGTCCCCTGTCGAAGTCTGCTATCGGCGTTGTCGGTATTCTGCTGGCTGGATCTGCTGCGGGCCTTTTCCTTTGAGTGTCCACTGGGAGTGGCAATGCACCGTGAATTGGCTATTCTGTATATTAGTCGATTATGTTAGTGGTGCTGGGTTTGGGGCTGTGTTCGACTTCATAAATAGGGGAACGTTGTTCTTTTTTTCTGCGCTGCAGTACTAGATCCTGGAAAATCTTGACCGTTTTGTCATTCCTTCAACAATATTATTCGCGTTATTCGTGTTATTCGCTGAGGAAGACTTTCTAGGTGCGTAACAATTTCTCTATTGGATGTCACTCGCAGTATTAAGGGTACCTGACAAGACATCAAGGGATTGTCTGAGTCAATAAGTCCCAAATTATGGAGTAGACTCATCTATGTACACGGACAGAAGCAGTAAAAGTACAAACCCATTTGCACACCCCGTTCCCAACCCACGCAGAAATGCGAAATATGGATGCTTTGAGCGCCGGAGTGAAGAGAGATCCGCAGTGGAATAAAAGGATAAAAAGACAAAAAAAAAAGCCGTTGTAATACATCGCGGGTGGAGAGACAGGAGGTGTGTGAGGTTATGATCCACCGCTTTTGTCGTTGTAAACCGGAAAGGGTATGAAAGTTCGGTTCATCGGAGAAGCATGGGAGGAATGGACAGTATGTCCAGCAATTTTAGATTTAGAAGAAAGCCTTGCGTGTCACCTGTCGGGAGTTAGCGGAACTGTTTTCGAGAAATGAAAGCTGAGAAACATACGGTCCAAGTGCCAGCAATGGAGGCGACAATACCGCCAGAGATCATCATAGGCTTCAGGCCACGAGTACTCTTGAAGAGCATGCCACTCAATGCACCCGCAACCACGCTGTTCGACGCATCGTGCTTGCCACGCGCGTAACCAATTGCGGAGTTGAAACCATTGTAAACCATCGCGACGACACCGGCCGAGTTACCGAGGAACGGACCGCGGCGGGTCACAGAGTTAAGGACACCGTTCAGACGAATCTTAGGAGGGGCAGTTGCTGGTGTCTTTTTCAATCCCTCAGCCATTCCCCATACACCTCCGATTGTCAGCGCAGCCAGGTATGTGGTGCCGGCGCCGTAGCAGAGGTCGTCGGACCAGCCGCGGGAAGGCAAAACTGAACGGGAACCGGGAGTTGCGTCAAGAGCGGAATCCTCGAGTGAAAGGTAGTCGAGAGTATCCTGGTTCAGGCCAGCCAGGGGATGGAGTCCTGAGGGATCGGGAATGGCGATCTCGGAAAGGAAGGCAGTCGCATCTTGGGTAGTGGATGGGTCGAAAGCGGCGGTCTGCTCCTGCTTGCGACCACTGATAGAATCCCAAATAGCCATGATGAAGGGGGGGAGGGGGGTCGATAAGATTACTAAAATACAAGATGAGGAAAGAGATGTCGACGTTCCCTTGAATCACGCAGCTCCACTGTCCTCGCGCCAGCAAAAACTTCGGTCCCGTGATCGGCGGCTGCCGGGAATCGGATATACAGTGGTGCCGACGCTAACCCCAATGTGGAAACCCACGATAAAACTGATAAAAAATCATTAGTGCCTGAGGCCACCGCGGGGATCTTCAAGATCTTTTAGGAATTTGCGATCCATTCTGATTGATACATGCGGGGCCTGAACTGGCTAAATTGATTTTCTTAACGGTCACTGACAGTGACTCCTCTCAAGGGGTGTAATTGTCATCCCCTACAATCATGGAGGCCATCGCACAAAATATAGCAATTTTGTCTGAAAAGACACTAAGAGATATCGCCAAGGGTCCACTGATCAAGTTTACCCAGACATGTGATGATCAGGAGTGAGTTAGCCTTTTCTTATTTACGTTTTATTTTTGATAAATTCTGACTTAAAGAAGACAAGTGAGCCGAGTGTGGCAGTCGCTGAGCAAGACACTATCCTCGCCCTCTCTTGATCACCTGCATACAACCGCTGCATGCAATGCGGCATCTGCCTTTCTTGATGCAGCTGTCAACTCTCCAATTAAGGAGACCAAGCAACTAGCTTTGTCACCGGAAGTATGGCTAGCTATCTTTGAGGTTTTTATGACTAGATATGAGGATGTCAGGCCCAAGCCATTGAAGCAGTTGTTAGCTTCTCTCACGACTATCTTGGTCAAGCACTACAAAGGTGAAACCAGAATGATGGTACAGAATGCTGTTTTGAACTCAGTCCTTCCGTGTATCATTCTTGGTGAGCCACGATCTCGACTAAAGGGTTCCCTCGTGTGTCTGGAAATGTTCATTCGAAAGGGTGCCATCTCTCCTTCTGAGTTGATTCCTTTGGTTCGGAGCTGGCTATTGCAATCTCAGGACCAATGGGTCCCTTTTTTCAAGAAAGACCAGAACGCCCTTTACCCTGGCGTGTCTGACCCTAATGTGATGTCAAGTGAGCCATCGGAGGAGGTTGCGGGAAGGATTCTTGTGCTCGGTCTTTTGACCCAAACCAACAACCGTGGCATGGCTGGAACATCTGGCAATATTCTGGCTGCTTTCTTGCAAAAGCTTAAGGCACAAAGTCCAAATCAGCAGATGTCGGGGATTTGGATCCACCCTGCGAGGCATATGCTGCTACAGAACCTAGACTCTGTGGAGGTCCTATCCATTCAAATTATGGAGCCCATCTTCAGCAGTGATCCAGAAGGTTTCCCTCTTTTCCTCGAAACTTTGCCCCTACGCAGTCTTATGGTTGGTGATATGACTGAGGGATCACAGTCAGAATATATGCTTCTTTTTGTCTCCCTCCAGGTTGGAAAGAAGGTCAACTTAGTCCATGACGACTGTAAGTCCCAAGGCCCCATTTTGCAATCTCATTTTGAACGGGAAATAGACATACTAACAGCTCTTTAGATGATGCCTCCAAAAAGGCTAGTCCTAACAATGTGGTCTTGAAAAGCGAGGTAATTGGAAATTTCCTACTCCATCGAGATCCGACCATACGTGTGGCAGCCTTGTCCCTGCTCATTACGGCATTCTCAACGGTGAAGCCATTTACGAAAGCTGCCACAACCGCTATTTTAGGAGGACTGCCCTCTATGCATGCCGACTCTGACGCCTTTAGCAGAGGGGAGATCATGGGTCTCACTCGCAAGCTCATCATCCGCCTGAAGAGTGGCATTTTGTCCGAAGGAGCCTCTGAAGCACCACAAACTAAAACCGGCAGCGCACCTGCTACGTCAGCCGAGATTGATTCTGAGACAAAAGCATTCTTAAGTAAATATGTTGAGTTCATTGAGAGTGATTTATGTGTCACGGCATCATACCCGCGGCACATCACTGCATTAAAAGCGTTGAAACTACTGTTGGAGTCTGGTCTTGATGCGCGGACCACTCCTCTTCTTATAAAATCCGAAGTCCAAACGCGCTGGAATGTTCACTTGGAAGTCTTCGGCTCTCGTCTTCTCCGATTGCTGGTTGATCTTCTTTTGGATCCGTTCGAGGAAGTTCGACAGACTTCTCTCTTGATAATCAACCTGTTTCCTTCTGATTTTCTTATTGGTGGTCTTTCAGACGATGCGGATCAACAAATTCCAACGGGAATGCGCCTCACGGACGCTCTTGCCAGGGCAGAAAGCCTTGCAAGCAAAACCAGCCGTGCAGATCATGCGGATACTGTTGCCCGACTATACCACATATTTTTCTCTGCGGCTCCGTCCAACGCTGCATCTGAGACTAGCAATGACTGGTGGGCAACCAAATACTCGGTGGTCAACACCATTCTGTCTCGACTCGAAGAACGGTTGTCGTCTCCCAAGGGGCTGTTCAACTCCGCTATGCAACAAGCCCCCCTTCACGGATATATGTCAGGGCTTCGGTATATCATTCTCGTGCCAGAGTTTTATTCTCTGATTTCCGTGGACTCCAGTCCCTCCACTTGGAAGTCTACTCACGATAGAATAGTGTCCATCTGCGATAGTGTCTGGCAAGAGGTGAAGCCTGTACTTTGCATTGATTCCCCTGAAGGTCATACCGACCAGCCCACGGAAGATTTCTCAGTCGGCCCAAAGGACATTCTCTCCTATTCCTGGAGAGCCTTGCGAGAGTCGAGTCTTTTGTTACATGCTACTATGACCAACTTAACTTATGGACCGGTCGGTGATCAAGGCCTCCAGCGACCTGATTTCGAGAATGTTGGACGAGTTAGCTTCACTCAACTGGCTGAACTCCGCCACCGAGGTGCATTCTCCACCGTGTCCACGACATTCGCCACCTGCTGTCAGCGATGCACTGGCTCCCAAGACCCATCCATTCAGGAGCTTCCAGTACTTTGGTACCAAGAAGCTAAATCCACAATTTTTGAGTCCGCTGCAAAGCTTACTCGCAGATCTGCTGGGTTACCTGCTTTGGTAACTGGTGTTCTATGCTCTAGCCCTGGAACGCCATTCTTCAAGCAGGCATTTAATGAGCTATATGAGATTTCGCGCCTACCTGTGGACTATGACAAGGATCAGCAATACCTAAAATTACCGCAGGTCCATGCAATGAACTGCTTGAAAGATATATTCGTCAATAACAAGCTTGGGCCTCATACTGAGGCCTTCATCATGCCAGCACTAACCCTTTCTGCTGAGAGAATTGGCTCCCCAATGTAAGTGCCTTACCTTGATATCATAATCTTCATGTCATCTAACGATTTTTAGCTGGAATCTCCGCAACTCCGGATTGATGTTGTTCCGCGCTTTGTTGACTCGTATGTGTCGTTTTGTACTCGGTACGGGAGCTGGATTTGGTGGTATTTCCGGGTCCGAGCCTGGATCCAAAATCTCTTTCCCTAAATACCCTGGGTTGCTTGAATTGCTTTCAAGTCTCTTGGCACCAACTGCTGGGACCACGGTCGAAGGAACTGACATTGTTACTGAGCGCATTTTCCCTGCTCTCGAATTGATTGGAGAGAAGATTCCCACTTTTGATGAAGACGATACTATGCTACGAGGCTTGGTCATTGAGCATTTCAATAGTCCTGTGTGGGCTATTCGAGAGCATGCAGCTCGTGTCTATGCATCATTGCTAACCCGCGCCAACATTCTGCAAGATGTTTGTGATCTTGTTAGCCTTTTGAAGGGCAACATCACAGAGAATTATCTGCACGGAACAGTTCTTTGTGTCCAATATTCACTTCGCCGCTTTGCGGCCAGTACGGATGTGTTTTGGACGTCTCAGCTGGAAGAGCTCCTTATCACCGTTCGCCATATTTTGGCAACCGTTTTCCCAATGGCCAAATCTCCTTTTGTTGCAACGGCACTGGTTGAAATCCTGAACGACACTTTAGAGCGCAGTGTTCAGGCTGACGTTGAAGAGCGCACTGTATCTTTTATCACCAATGTGTTCGAAGAGCACGATCTTGATGGAGTACTGGGCTATGTCTTTGATGCTTCAAAGGCCGGCTGGAATTTGGAGAGCGGCACTCGGGCATCTTCTCTTTTCAGAAGAGTCCTTACTTGGTGCAAAATTTTGAGCACTTTTACTTCTCGGGATTGGAGTACAATTCCATTCTTCTTCCACGGAGTTGCGGCTTTCGATGCCGACGCTGCCAATTGGATTGTTGAAAGACTTCAAGAAACAGTTGGCGAGAAAGAAATTTACCACAAGCCCTTGGCCGATCTTTGTTCGTCTGTCATTCTTGGTGACTATACATCCGACGTTAAAACAGTGGCTGTCTCAAACTTAGCGTCTATTCTCGAACACTTGTTGGGTTCTAAAGTCAAGTCAATCGCAGAGCTGGCGGTCCCTTGTGATGAGCTGATTCAAAGCTTCAGACCTGACCAAGCCATTCAAGAGTGGAATCGGCAAGCTACAGATGCGGAACTCCGCCTACAAGGGTGTCTTCTCGCTATTCGGGTTATTTCGGGTGGAGATCAACTCCTCTCTGCATCCCAATCTACGCTCCGCAGCTGGGCTATCAAGTTGCGGTCAGCTCTTAGCGAAGAAACAGTAAGCAACAATTGTGAATTTTATAATCTATATATGACTAACCTGGTACATTAGGAATTCACCACCCGTTATGCCGCTATGGAGTCTATCAAAAGCTTTTCGCTTGGTCTCCGCCCGGCAGATTGTTCACCTCGTGTCGACGATGTCCTACTGGATATCTACTTGATTTTGTATGACATGTTGAACGATGATGATGAGGAGCTTCGAGATATCGCTGCATCAACTGCGTCGTGGGTGCTATCGTATTCCTCGGTTTCTCCTCGCACTGCAGTGGCCCTTGGTCCGTTGAATGCCAGCTTGCTTCTTGCAACCTTTGTCACTAATCATTATTCCGGTTCTCCACAACTGGCCAAGCGAGTCATTCGATACCTCACGGGTCAAAGTCATCGTATCAGTGGCTCCGATGAGCAGACCCATCTGGTGTCAGTTGCAGATCTTGTTAATGAATATTGCCAAGAAAGCACTGTCTTGTTTGTGGAAGAGAAACAGAACCTCTTCATCGATGACGTGCGAGAGATTGACGTATGGTCGAAGGCACTCTTGCATCTTCGCAATGACGCTTACCCCGAGATTCTGGTTCGCCAATTCTCGAGCTGGGTTTCGGAGGGGTTGGAATATCTCTCAAAGAAAGTCACTCAGGAAACTGGCCAGGATGGACTTCTGGGTTGGATTTCGAAGCCAGAGTCATTTACTCTGGGTGTTCGCATTATCAGTATTTCCACTGCACTCGCATCTGAAAAGTTCACGGCTCCACAATATCTGAATTTGGAGCCTGGGAAATTCCAACAACAGCTCCAATTGCTTCTCGATGCCGGTCGAGGTGCTTCGGTGCATGATGAGTGGCTTTCAAGGATCTCGTCTGGCGTAAAGTTGACTGTTTAAATATGAAATGAGATTTATTGAGATTTTACATAGACAAAAGCAACAATCAAGTTCCAAAAGAACATTTGTTTTTTTTTACCAGAAACCGTCCTGCTTTTCTTGCATTTGTTTTCTTGTTCTCACTCCCAAGACATCTCCCCCATCTTTCACTCTCTCCATCTCTCAACTATGTTTACTCTCCATTCTCTCTATCCATTTACCCCAATCGACTTCATCCGTTTCAAATTCAAATCAAGTGTTTGTCTTCAAAGCAACAACACTACACCTTGAATTTGTGCTTGTTTGAGCCTTTGGCTAGCCACTCGACCAATGTACTTCTTTGTTGTTTCTACGATGCAGGGAAACATTCTAATCGCCATTTTGCTCTCCACCATTTCCTTTGTGGGAATACTTGCCGCAATAAGCTACTTTTTCTACGCCAGAAGTCTCGGAGCTAATATTAGGATCGAGAGAGAAATTCGACGCCGGCGTGTACACCGTCCACGGGGAAACCACCCGAGCCAAGAAGATGTTGAGCGAGCAACTCCATATTACCATAGAGGATGGGTACGACGAATGACTCCATATCAAAATCCCAGGCCTGTTCCCAGCCACGCAGGCTATACGACCTTCAGAAAGTCAAGACCGGTCGCACGCCCAAGATCTTCTCATTACATTCCAAGGGTTGACCCAAGAGATGCCGAAGCCCCGGTTGCAGACAATCCTCGTCACTCACGCTACAAGACTAGGCAATATGACAAGGGGGCAGAAATGGACGAGAATCGAAGTGATAGCATGGGGACCAAGAGCATTGAAGCGATAAAAACTGGGAAGGGACTTCATGGTCGCAAACCCACCGGCAAACAGTATAACAACGATGAGATCGGATCGTGGATGAGGCGAAGTGGAGAACTGAGCAATCGCGCAAGAGAGAAAGTCTCTGGTCATCACGGGAGAAGTTCGGGAAGGGCCAAGAACGAGGATAAAGATGGCAGGCCTTATGAACAAGAGAAGAAAGCTTGGCCTGAAAGTGTCAAGAATCATGCGGAAGGTGACATTGGGGATCGGCCTGGTTCCTCACGCCATAGTAAAACCGCATCAAGACACAGCGGACCCCCACTTCCGCCGTCGTCAAGAAATCATATATCGAAAGATGAGTTCCGTGATAAAGATGGTGCCCGGGATGACAACAACCGGGGCAATAACAACAACCAAGGCAATAACAATGTCTGGGGCAAGGATGAGAACAACCAAGGCGATGACAACAACCAAGGCGATGACAACAACCAAGGCAATGACAAAAGATGGGGCGGGGATGACAACAACCAAGGCAATGACAAAGTCTGGGGCGAGAATGACAACAACCAAGGTAATGACAAAGTCTGGGGCGAGAATGACAACAACCAAGGCAATGACAAAGTCTGGGGCGAGAATGACAACAACCAAGGCAATAACAAAGGCTGGGGCGGCAGCAAAGAGGATAACAACCAGGCCAAGGCAAATAGCTGGGGCAGCTAGTAGGAGGATGGCAGCAGCCAGGGCAGCAACAAGAATAATGACGGGGTCAAGGACAAACCAGGAAGTTCCGATGATCGTAGCAAAGACCCCTGAAACCTTTGATGGGGGTAAGGATAGAAATCATGCACACATGTGCATGTGGATAGATCAATAGCAAGTAGAACAGAAACAGTCTGGAAGAAGGATAAAAATATACAATATGTAGACAGTATGAAAATGACAACAAGGCTTCACCCTGGGAAAATTTGAGAAAAAATAACGGTGTAGTAGTCAACATGTTATTGATACATATACATTGATATTTGAATACAATATGTATTCCCTTGAGTACATAAACGTGCATGTACACTCAAGTGCTACATAGTACTAGGCATGTGTATTCAAATTTATGTACATATATGTAGGCCCTGTTTCAATGTTGTATATCCACGATGCTATGCAGCGTACTACATACTACTTATATCCAAACCGCTAACTTTTGAACAGTACACATATTGTTTCTCTTTTTTTCTTTTATTTTTACTGGTGGAACTTTGAAACAAATTTCCAGGCTTTAATTTGATCCCGGATCTACGTATAAAACCATAGAACAACTATTAATTATCCATATTCTTCTTCTCATGTCCAAGTTTCTTAACTGAAGTTGCCTGTTCGTCTTTGGTCGCTATGCGCTACTGTAGTCGGTGACGTTGTGGCCCCCGCAGATCCCCAGGCACACAGCTTCCCAACCTCCAACACTCCACATAGGCTCCCGTCGCTTGATCTTTTGATCTTTTGATTTCACATTTAAAAATGTGGAACGACGAGGACAATAATCCCTACGGGGCGTTTGATCAGCATGAATCCCATCTGTCGGACTCGTTGCATTCCGCCGCGCTCTCCCCTCGTAAGGTCCCACCTCTCACCCGGTTCACTGCATGTTTCTGACCCTCGGTAGCGATTTATGAGCACGATTCGACCCCGCCCTCCAGCCGAGATTCGAACCTGGACCCTCCAGACTACATTTCTCACCCGGAGGATCTAAGTGATCCCGAAGAAGCCGACTATGGTGCGGCAAGCGAACAATACCCGCGGAAGAGTGTTTACGACAGCCGGATTGAGCAGATCCTCTACGAAAACCCCGAAATGCCAATCATAATTACCGACGCTGGCAAGAATCACGAAGGCGGAGGTAGCTTCATTGTTTATACTATCCGAACCGCGGTAGGAATCGTCATTTGGGGCCACTGATTTGTGGTCGAAGACTGACACCATGAAATTACTAGGACCTGGAAGTGCGCCGGCGATACTCGGAGTTTGCATCGCTACGACAGACCCTCGTGAATTTGCATCCAACCCTTATTGTGCCGCCGATTCCTGAGAAACACAGTATGGCCGATTATGCTGCCAAGCCTACCAAAGCCAAAGAAGATACAGCTATCATTGAGCTGCGGAAACGCATGTTAGGCGTGTTTTTAAATCGATGTCGCCGCATGAAGGAGGTTAGGGAGGATGGAGTGTGGTGGCGATTCTTGGATCCAAACGTCAGCTGGGTAAGTACCAGCCATCAACTTGGGAGGAGAGTGCTGATTGAAGATAGAGTGAGGTCTTAAGCTCCCACCCCGCATCGTCCGTCCCCAAGAATAATCTCAAAGCGCCCCCTCTTGATCCCGCAAATCCAACCCAAGCGCACAGTTGGCTCCCAGTTCCGTCATCGTCTGCAAAACTCAAGTCCGGTGGAGCTTCAGGAGCTTCAGGATCCCCTACGTCTCCGGGAGACAACACAGAAGGCCCCCCTCCGCAGATTCCAGGTCCAGATATTCTTGGACGCTTTCCCCCAGAAACACGGAAATTGAGTGAACAGGAGTTGGATCCATACTTTGTGAATTTTGAAGCTTCAACGCGCGAGCTAGAGCTACTCTTGCAAGGGAATATCGAAAGGGTGAACCGTCGAACCCTGTCCCATTTGTCTACATTATCTGCCGACCTGATGGAACTTGGCGCTCGTTATAACGGATTCTCTCTTTCTGAACAATCACCGACAGTTGCTGCCGCAATTGAACGTATTGGCCAAGCAGCAGATACTTCTTACATTGAGACGGAAGAATTGTCTACTGCACTGAGTGCAAGTTTTGCTGAGCCGATGCGGGAGAGTGCACAATTTGCCAGCGTTGTGCGGAGTGTATTACGATACCGAGTTCTGAAGCGAGTCCAAGAGGACATGACTCGGGATGAGCTGGCCAAGAAGAAGACTTTGTTGGATTCCCTCGAACGTAGCGAGCTGGAGGCGAAACGAATCGAGCAGTACCTTAACCGCACAGATTCTTCATCCCGCACCAAACCACATCGCTCCTTGTCCACCTCTTCTGCTGTTAGCAGTGAAGGCGACAACGTGACAACTGCATCTACTGATTCCGAGTTTCCACCTACCCATGGTGAGTCGGTTGGCTCTCCCTCCGCATCCCAGACCGGGAATATTAGGAAGCCTGATCCTTCGCCATCTTCCTCTCCAGCGCATCGGAAGTCCTCAAGTGGGACGTTTGTCGCAAACAAAATCTTCGGTCGCATCAGTCATGCCATTCATGGGTTTGCAGATGTAGATCCTGAACGAACTCGACGGGATCAGATCGGAAAGACCAAGGAGAGTCTCATTCAGGTATGTGGGCCGAACTTGAATGGCAAAGTAACTTAAGTCAATTTTGGTCTAACAAAACCCACAGTTGGAGCAAGCTTTGGAGGTATCAGAGAAAGATGTGAAAGACGCTAGTGCAGGCGTAATGCAGGATCTGCGACGCTTCCAGAAAGACAAAGAAGGCGATCTTCGGCGTTACATGGTATGGCCTCCTCTCTTTCCCCACTTTTTTCTGCAGACAGCTAACTGGAGTTGCGTTTAGGTCGCATATGCACGCTGCCACTTGGATTGGGCTCGAAAGAACCTCGAGACTTGGACAGAAGCTAATGATGAAGTCAATAAGATCGTTGCGCGATAGACATGCACCTCCTGGTTCTACTCCCAATTCTCTCGGCGTCGGTGGTGTTCGGTTCTATCATGTTGGCGGGAAGCATTTGATATATTTCCTCCTTTTCTGATTAAGTGATTGATCATGCTCAACTTTGCCTCATAAGGTCCTACCAATCGTGGCTTAAATATTATTCTTTAAAGTGTTTTGTACTTCCCCAAGGTTGACCTTTGGTCTTGGTCTTGTCCTTCCAAGGTATTTCTTTTCCGATTGTAGATCGATTGATGGCGCTTCCCTTGTCTTAGGTGCTGGGTTCGTCCAATAGCAACCTTGTAACTTTCAACCCCCCATGTAAACATCCCGAGATCCTTTTACGGAGAGGAATATTGCAACAATGTCTTAAGACCCGTTCAAAGGGTTTGTTCCCTTCCAAGGTGTTTCCCAAGTCAAAAATTTTAAAGTCCGGTGTCTATCATGGTAACTAGGAAACATGGACCTTCAAAGAGACGGGAATGGGCAAGCCTGGCAAGGGCGCTTCCTGACATTCTTTGAGTGGAGCATCACGATCTACTCTCGTTGGTCTGTTTTCTCATCAAGTGGATGATCGACAGGGACTGTACCCGATCGGCGTGGACCTCAGACAAAGGTTGATGCCTTTTCAACTCTCCCTTGCGTCGTGTTAAACCAGATCATGTCCAGCCTTTGAAGAGAGCGTTCTGAATGTTGGGAAGGATTCAATCACAGAAGGCGCGCCGGCACTATACTTAATTAATTATCCTGGTGATTGATATCCCGCGCATCGCGATAACAGATTGAGCCACATATCCTTCCGCATTCATCATCCGATAAGATAAAAAAGAAACATCGCCACCGACGTTGACTTCCGTTGAACGTGCCAGCTTTCTCCGCATTCCGTGCCTTGCAGCGCATACCCATCGGTGGGACCTGGTAGCGAGTGGACCGGTGCATCCCTCACGGCGAGCCCCTCGGACAGGTCCCCGCATCACGAAACCCACCCTGCCGAGGTGGCACGCCGTGCGTCGCAACTGAAAACGATGAGCGCCTAGATCCATAGGGGACAAGATGATCGTCAGGAGCGGGCACTTATCACGGCCGGAGATGCCACCTGTTGGTCATTTTGAGAATTTCCGACAAGGGTGGTCTCTGCGGTCTCTTTGGCATCCATCGATTCCTCGACGTTGGATCAAGATGTTGATTTTAGTAGCTTTGGTATGCTTCTTCTCGGTCGGACTCGGTCTGCGCTTGAACCAGAATCAAGTTCGCTATCTGTATCCAGATGACGACTTTCAAGATGATTCCGTCTCCCATTTCCCTCCACCCCGGCAGACGGGTCAGAAAACTCATGATCCGACCATTTTGAAGGTTGGAAATGAGTTCTATCTGTACAATGTCGGCGAGCACATCTTTATTCATACCGCGCCTTCCATGGCCGGTCCATGGAAGCGTGTTGGCACCCTGCTGGACGCCAACAGTGTCATCCCAAAGGGTGATCGTGCTGCACCTTGGGCACCAACGGTTATCGAGTACGACGGAGTTTACTACTGCTATTACAGTGTGAGCAAAGCAGGCTGCCGTGACAGTGCTGTCGGTGTGGCGACATCAAATTCCCCTGGACCAGGCAACTGGTACGACCATGGTGCTGTTGTCCAGACAGGAACAGGCAATGGATCCGATGTGTCGCCCTACACTATTTCCAATGCTATTGACCCCAGTGCATTGGTTCTGCCTAATGGCGAGGCATATCTCACGTTCGGAAGTTACTGGACTGGCATCTACCAAGTTCCTCTTGGAAAGGATATGCTTTCTCCTAAGAGTACTACTGAGCCCGACGCTCGTCACCTTGCCTACGAACCCAACATGCTCAGTACTCCCAACCGCAACGCCAACTCACTGTGCGGTGACCCGACTGGGCCACATGCCATTGAAGGGGCGTTCATCTCGTACCGCGACGGATATTATTACCTTTGGTTCAGCCATGGAAACTGCTGCAATTTAAAACCGAATAATCTTCCTGCTGCTGGCAAAGAGTATGGTTTATCACTCCTCCTCGAATCACTCGTTCTCTTCTAATCCACCTACAGATACAGTATCCGCGTTGGACGATCCAAAAACCCCCGTGGCCCATTTGTCGACAAGACCGGCAAAGACCTTGTCGAAGGCGGTGGTACTATAATCTACGGATCTAACGGTGAAACCTATGCCCCAGGCGGCCAAGGTGTCCTCCGCAACGGGGAAACTGACCTCCTCTACTATCATTACCGTGAGTCCGCGATCATTACCCACATGCAATTTAACATACTAACTTGAAATGCAGAAAACAAAACCATTGGCGTGGCATTTGCAGTGAGTGATCCCGGCAGGCTTGTGGATCTTGATACCCGCCCCATGTCGATCCTCCTTCATTCCCTTCCCTTCCCTTTCTACACAACCCCACTAATGCGACGATCACATCCTTGAATGAATCTGACATGATATCGCAGGATGCTCTTCTTGGTTTTAACCCACTGAAATACGTCGAAGGATGGCCCGTTGCACAGCCATAATCATGAAACTGCGTCACTCAGTTTCCTTGATTCTCACCTTAACCCACCCGCACACATAATAACTTTCACAAAATCGGGTGCTACCAATATTGATCTCGCCTATCCTTCCTTAATCGCCATTTGGATCATCTGGAATGTCAATCCCGCCGCTCATTATTATTATCTCGACTATAGACTTTTTCGCCATGCCTCTCATTACATGCGCTTGCGCCCTGATCGGCCGATCCGAGATCGACTTGATATACATATTGGGGAGATTGCGAGTTCCACTCCCTTACCAAATATGCTGATATTTGAATGTTTGTTCTGGGTATAAAATGTGACTTACCCGATTTGTTAGTATCTTTTGACGTTTGGATGTCGGAAGATTGTACATATTGTTCTTGCATATAGAGTTTTCAAGCAGCTAGTTAAAGAGCCAATCGACCATTCAATATTTAATGTTCAACGTTCAATGTTGTTCGAGCCACACTATGTGTCTACCCTGGACAATGTGGATCGAGAAAGAAAAGGCACGGAGGAAACAGTAATGGAATTCTCTGTGTAAAGCGGGATGGAGAGGAAAGGAAGGAGAGAAGGAGGGAAAGAGAAACTCTCACTCATACCTCCAGACCTGACTTCCTGACTATCTATCTAACTACCAAATCCGGACTAGTCGCACGCTGAAAACCTGGGACCCGCGGGGTAAAGTACCTCGCACCTTGGGAACCTGCACGCTCCAACAAATGTTTAATCAAATTTCCATATTTTCAATGGATGATTTATTGTTTGAATACATTTCCAAATCAATGTTGCTTTGGGCTTTCTCCTGCCAACATGTGCAAGTGCCGATCCATGCCAGCCCGTTCAGCTCTGGGTCTAGCCCTCCAGGCATGGATCTCCAGGGCTGATCCATAATGCAATTTGATATTTCCAGTGTTCTCTTCACGCCACCTTGAGAAAACCAATCCATGCATGATTCGAAGCACACGTAGCTACTAGTATTCAATTGCCTATTTTTAGTTCTTCATGAAGCCACCGATGACAAATCACGGAGATGGCGTACCGCCGCGTACGGCCTGGCGTCTCGGGCCCCAAACCTTGTGCGTCGTGACCCACAGTAATCTAAATACGAATACGCCACAACTTGAACTTCATAACAGAGCCTGTGGCATTCCAATAAATGCCACAAATTTTTGTAAAAGATCCACGGATGCCAAGAGAGCGTGACCAATTATAATTTCAGTAGGCGTGGCCTTCAATATTCAATTCGAGCTCAAATGATCGGAGATCGACAGCCTAAAAATGGCCCACCAGCAGACACACTAGGGAAAATACTCTTGGGTGAGATATGAAACATAACAAGGAAAGGTGGATGGGAAATATCAGTCTAAGATTGGTATATAGAATGCTTAATTTCTGTGTATACAAGATGTTCTTTTTAATATGTTGCACACTCCAGACTCTGACTCACGAGTGGTCCTTATGATCCCCAACCACACTTCTTGGGAAATGATACGGCTCATCATGGGAACGACCATCATGCGACCTATCATTCAGCGATCCCTCATCCCCAGAAGCCGACCTTTCATCCATTTGTGTGAGTGGATATTCAATATCCACGATCCGATCAAAGGTGTTATTTTTGCTGAGAATAGGCTTGGGACCGGTTGACGCTGGCTGCGTAGAATACCCTGCTTTAGCACTGCCAAACAGGGACGGAAAAGCAGCCTTCGCAATTGGTCGGAGCATAGGCGCACACGAGTTTGCAATGGCGAGTGCTGGCTCGGTGACACTCCAGAACGCGGCCCAGGTCATAGAGTAGGGAAGGTCGTCAAAGTCGACAGTCGTGAGGACACGAATGCGGATGATGGTGATAGACGAAATACTGCAGACCAAAGTATCAGATTTTGCAAAGAGTTGAAGGGGACAGGCAGAGAGTTAAAAATTTTGAAATTCAAGTGGTACTCACAATATTCCCAAACCAAAGATGCCATACAGGGCCATTTTGGTTCCAACAGACATTTGCAACTTCCAGATGAAGCGCACCGGTAATGCCATGATCAGCACGTCCGTGATAAGGTTGAACGCGCCAATCGTGGAGAACGCCACATTTTGACTGGCACAATGACCCCCGACGCCTGCACCCCAATTCTTCTCAAAGGGGTGGCAGATCAGAAAGACCTGCAGCACACTACCGGTCCAGTAAGACGCCGCACATCCCATACACACCCACGTCAGGATGCGGAACTCCCTTGTGACGAAGATGCGCAGGTAGAAGAACAGATAGCTGAATTTTGCCAGGACCATCGCGTTATAATACACGATCTGATAGACGATCAGCATTTTAGCGATCAAGATTGTATTCGCTGGGGGAAGCTCTGTCACATGAATCCGCATCCCCACACGGGCATAGTGATATTGCATTGCCAGCATACCATATGTATGCAGCATAGATCCAACACAGAATGCATCATCCCACCAAATATTGCTTCGTCTAAGATGTCGGGAGACAAATCGTAGGACCAGCGTCAAAGTAGCCACAGCGACCAGCACCGTGTTTGCAATCAACTGATCCCGGACAATGGGGTAGGCGAAGACATTGTAGAGCTGCATCGTGCCAGCTGTCACCTGTAGCGGTGAGATACTGATACTCCAAAGGCCATGAGCTGGGACTGGGACTGTGAGAAGAAAAATCCAGGTCTCCTCGTGGGGAAGTAGAAAACTTAAATTGGACTGTCATTTAGGCTGACGAAAATCTCTCAAACAGCAAACCTGCCGAAGTGCCGGGAGCTAAATTTCGACAGGGGGCAAAGTTGTTCAACATGTAATTTCAATTGGCGAAGTGGCAGAGATCGGCAGGAGACAATAGCCATGGTTGGCTGGCGGGCCGTTAGAGTGCGGGCCGAAGGATCAGTCAGTGGATCTCGGGGGCTGAATCCCGACCGTATAATTGGCTGGAAATATGGGCTAACTTATACCAAGCAGGTGTCTTCGCTTTCGTACACGACTAATTCTCACTAATGGTGGAACTAGACTCGTTGAGGGGTTGACCGACCCCAAATCACTGAAACACCCCTCGGGGAGCATTCGGGGTTCCTGTTCTCCTGCCGTCCCTGCCCCTCACACCGAGGCAATCTAGCGGTGTCTTCTTCCCCCCCTCCTCCTTTGATTTTCGCCCCAAAGATCAACATGGAAGAAGAATACGATTATATCATTGTTGGCGCAGGCATTGGTGGTCTGGTCCTAGCGAACAGACTCAGTGAAGATGCTGCCGTCAAGGTCCTCCTCATTGAGGCTGGTCCCAATCACATCGGGGATCCATTTATTGACACCCCGGGTTTGATGACAGCGCAATATGGAAATCCGGACTATGACTGGAACTACATGAGTGTTCCACAGGTTAGTTTCATTACCCCTCCGAGTATCTCGTATTGTCTTTTGTCGCTCACGATAGAAGGTTCATGCGAACAACCGACAAATTGCCCAACCTCGCGGTCGCGTCGTTGGTGGTTCCACCGCGATGAACTTCTCGGTTGTGGTCTACCCTACCGAATCAAACTTCCAGGCCTGGGAGGCTTTGGGCAACGCCGGCTGGAACGCCGAGAACATGGCCCCTTACCTCCGAAAATTCCACACATACTCCACGCCGAGCGAGGCAATGACAGACCTTCTCGACACAGCTCGGTATATGAACAAGGATAAGCAAGGCTCCAGTGGTCCGATTCCTGTGTCTCTGCCGGATGTGTTTGGGCCATTTGACAAGGCATGGAACGAGACATTTGCAGAGCTGGGCTGGCAAACCGATGCCGATCCCATCGAGGGTCGCAAATTGGGAGCTTTCACATCTCCTCTGAGCGTGGACGCCGAAAAAGGAAAGCGAGGATACGCGGCCGCATATTATTCCCCAGATGTGGCGGCACGACCTAACCTTGATCTCATGGCAGAGACCACGGTGCAGAAAATCATTCTCGCCGAGGAAGACGGAGAGGTCGTCGCGAAGGGCGTGCAGATTGAAACCTGGAAAGGCCAATCCAAAATCCACGCAAAGAAAGAAGTAATCGTCTGCGGAGGCAGTCTAAATACCCCGCAGATTCTGGAGCTCTCCGGAATTGGAAATGCGGAGCTCCTTCGCAAGCACGATATTCCGGTCGTGATTGACAATCCAGCGGTGGGCGAGAACCTGCAGGACCACAGCATCACCTCTGTAAACTTGGAGATCGCCGACGGTCAAATTTCAGGTGATATCATGCGCGATCCGGCTGTGGTCGAGGCATTGATCAACCTCTACGAGCAGACACGTGGAGGCCCATTGGCAGGAATGCCGATCAGCATGGCTTATCTCCCCTTCATGAATGGAAATGGCGTAGTCCCGAAGGAAGAAGCGGAGGAGTTGCTTGCAAAGTATCTCGACCACGACGATATCCCCGCCAACCTGCGACTGCAGTACTCACACATCCGTAAGATGCTACTTGACCCACAAGACGCCTCAACACATTATCTGTTGCTCCCAGCACAGCTGCACATGAATCCGGGCAAGACCACCCTTACCGACGTGCTGGAGAAAAAGCTTCCTGAAAATTATGTCTCCATCATGATGTTGCATAACCACCCATTTTCACGTGGATCCGTCCATATTTCCTCTGCCAGCAGTGACGATAAGCCCACGTACGATCCGAATTTCCTTTCACACCCACTTGATATCGAGATCATGGCTCGGCAGTTGCAGTTCGTGGAACAAATCTCCACGACAGGGCCATTTGCCGGTCTCCTGAAGCCTGGAAAGCGTATGCCAGAGAACACGAAGGATTTGACAGACCTGGATCACGTAAAGGAGGTTGTGAAGGAGCGTCTGTTCACATGTTTCCACCCCGCGGGCTCATGTGCCATGCTGCCGAAGGAGATCGGGGGTGTTGTTGACTCGAATCTGAAGGTGTATGGAACACGGAATTTGAGAGTTGTTGATGCCAGTATCTTCCCTCTTGAGCCGAGTGGAAATATCCAGGCAACTCTTTATGCTGTTGCAGAGAGAGCAGCTGATTTGATCAAGGATCAATGTTAGAGATGCTGTATATAGATAAAATCAATTGGAAAAAGAGAACACAAGTACATAGCTTCAAATGTTACAACCTTGTTGGGTTGAATATGATACAAATTCGAGTATAGTGTGTAAAACATATCAATGAATGGGGTGCGTAAGGAGGAAAGCAATACAGATAAAGGTGATCAAAAAGGATAAGAGAGTAAGAGTGGACAGGGGTAGCAGCAATTACTAGGGAAGTGGCGATGAACGAGTACAGTGACAAAAAGAGGGAAGGAGCGGCATGTAGAAGCCATAGCTATAGTAAGGGGAAAGGGAAAGGGGAAAGGGGGAAAGGGAAACCCAGAACCCAAGTAGCTAAGGGCTCCCTTATATTTAATAATTTGAGGATAAATTCCATCCTGGCACCCACGTAGTCCAACTGGTTCCACCCTTCGGGACCTCAGCCAGCTCTGGATTTGCGGCCCCCACTTCAGGTACACTGGGCCCATCCACGATGGGGATACTGAGTAGTACGGCGAGCCTAAGAGTCGAAGCCTAAGTTGAGTGACAGCGAGAAAGTGCGCCGCGGACCTACTACAAAGTATCTGCCCTCCTTTTTTTCTTTTCTTTTTTTAAATTATAAGTTTGTTTTATTTATATCTTTTTTATTTGATTTGATATTGATTTTTGAAGTTCGGAGGGGAGTTCTTAGTATGAAGCCGTGATGCATCGATGGCGGGAGCGAGTGACTTCTTTCTTGGGAAATCTTTACGTATTTGTGATTTTTACCTACTTAGAAGTCCCTGGTTCGATTCTCAGGCTGATCTTTCTTTTTGTCCTTTTTAATTGATGATTCCTTGCTCTTAGTACTAAGAGATTATAATCATGTCTTGGCTTTATTTTGTATCTAGTAAAGATATAAATCATAATATCATATAAACCCAAGACCAATAACATCAACCATGGAAGGTCAGACAAAAGGTAACACCTTGAAAGTCAACAAAAACCGAAACTATAATAATAGACTTCCCTTAAGTCCCCTTTCCCTTCTCGTCTTTCTGCTCCGATTTGTTAGCACTGGTTCCAGGATCGTCATCTTCATCCAGCTCCACACCGGGAAACAACCCAAGAGACTGTTCATATCTCGCCACCATTGAATTCTGCCAAACCCAATGATCGATATTAAGCTGTCTGTCAAATGTGCTGAAAGACAAGTAGCGTTGGCGCAATCCCGGCCTCGATGGGTCAGGGTCCGGCTCTGAATCGTCTACTTGCTCCGTGAGGAAGAAGTTTCCACGATCGAACCCGCCATATCCAAATCCATATTGGATAGGTGAAAAGTCACAGGGCTCTGTACTGGGACCGGCGGTTGCGTTGGGAGTTGAGACTGGGATTGGAGCTGTAGCCGTTGCTACTGCTGGTGTTTCTGTTGCTGGAACTGAAGCTGATGATACTGGAGCTGGTGGCGGAGCAGGAACTAAGGCGGGTGCGGGGACTTGTGGGGGTGCGACTCGCCGTGGACGTCCGCGTCCTAGTCTTCGTCCTCTCGGAGGTTCAGGTAAAAGATCCGCAGCTGGAGTAGCTGGAGCAGCGGGTTGGTGCTCGACCTGTCTTCGGGCGTAACTTGAAAGTGGACGAGGCTGTCCGCTCAACAGCGTGTTATTATCGGGGGTAACAGCCATTGCTTCTTCGGGGTCTTCGGCTCGAGAAGGACGCAAGAGATGTGCAGCTGGAGCGGCAGGGTGATACTCGTCTTGTCTTCGAGAACGGTTAGAAAGTTGATGAGGATGTTCACCCAACGGCATGTCTTCGTCAGAAGTAACAGCAACCGAGTCATCGAGGTCCTCAGCGCGAGACGGACGCAAGAGTGCAGCAGCCTGCGCTACAGGGATGAATGTGTTTTGCCGACGTTCGCGGAGGCTGAGTGGGTGTTCGTTTGAGATGGAGATGTCATCGGAGGTCATGGCCACAGACTCGACATCATCGAGGAATGAGGGACGCACGGCGGATGCAGCTTCGGAGAGATCGATAGCTGTATTTTGACGGCGAGGGCGGGATGAGAGAGGGTGGTCATTTATGATGGGCATGTCATCTGAAGTGATAGCCACATCGGAATCTGAGTGAACCTCACCCTCATTCGAGGGCTCCGGGGGTTCGAAATATCGGTTTATCAATGGCAGTTCCGAGAAACCAGATCCATCAGAAGACATCCTGGAAAATATAATACGAAAAACAAGATTAGAGAAATACGTTTTATAATTGCGGCACAGAGAATAGTGGGAAGAATATTTATTACGGAACACGATTCTAAGTCGTAACGTCCGAGTACCCAGGCGCACCTTCCTTTTCTGGCCTGTGCCTTCGCGCCTTCCTTCCTTCCTTCTTTCCTTTGATGAGGCCTTCGCTTCTTCACCGCGGCTGCCTTTGATTCACACCACCTTTTTTGTATTGCCGTTTGTGAACGCCGTTCCCCCCCGGTAAAATGACACAACATACAATAAGTGAAACGGGTAATGTGCGTGCATAAGGGACATGAGAACATAAGAAACATAGAAACATGAGATATCAAATACGAATCCACAGATTCAACAAAGGGAAATTAGACATTTCGCTTTTAGTCTTCGCCTACACGGAGCTCAACGACAGGCATCTCTTCGTCAGAGTCATCCGCAAGAGCGGGGACATCCTCAAAGGTTGTATGGTCCTCATCGTCCAGTTCCTGAAGACGGTCTTCGGGTTCGGAGTTACCATCCTCGACAGCAATGTTGCTGTCATTGTCTTCTCCGAACAAATCTTCGACATGGTCGTTATCAGCAGAATCCCCTGGCCGGGAAAATGACCAAGAAGGTTCGCTGCTGAAGATGTTCAATGGGTTGCTTTCAGGCTCCGATAATTCCCGCTCGGATTCCTCTTCCCGCGGCTCTTCCATCTCAACCTCGACGGCCTTTTGGGAACCATTGCGGTATTCATTCACCATTTTTTGGAGCTCAGCATTACCCAGGGGGCCGGCAGACTTGCGGCGGTAGAACAAGAGGTAGGCCGCAGGGCATATGACTGTCTGCTCGGGGTTGGAGACAACAGTAGCAGATGAATCTAGATTTCATGGATTAGTTCATGAGATGAAAGGATGTGCGGGTTACGTAGACAAACCGTTAAAGGAAACCCAATCACCAGTCACCCAGTTCTTAGCATAGGCAAAGTAGTGACCACCAGACATGGTGCCGGAGTGACAGTCGACAGCGAAAAGGTCATATTCGAGCGACTTTCCATCAGTCGGTCCTGTTACATGCTTCGACAGGTCCAAGTTCTCAAGGGGGAAATGAACCAAGGTGCTAAGCTTCGATCGAGAGGTCCGATTGGCGGTCCCAACTTGCATAAAACGCTTGAGGTGAATGACAAGAATGTCTGGGGCGTACCACAGATCGAATTTCTTGCTCGCCTGTCTGTGTTCCTTGCAACGAGGGCAGTACCAGGCATCGTTCTCAGAAAGAATCTCCTCCTTGCTAAATTCCTTCAGGCATTGCTCCAGTGGAATACCCTCCTGGCGCTTGGCCTCGCGCTGGGCACGACGGTGGATAATTTGTGGGTCATTAATGTATTCGGGAGTGGTGTAAGTGGGTTTTCCTTGCTTGGTGTTGCGCTTGTTGCCAAGACCGCCAAACAGGGCGTGGCGGGCTTCATCACTCCAGTCGACAATGATGGCATCGGTACGGCGAATAAGCGGCTCATTTTGCAATCCGGTGGCCGAGTCCTCAGATTGGTCAGACACGCTGCGAACTTCGCTGTTTTCATCACCAGAGCTACTTTCCGAGATGGAAGATGTGACCCGGGAAGTGATCAGAGGATAGTCCTTGTAGTTGTCAATTGATCGGCCCCGAGGAATGGGCTCACCGGTGGTCATAAACTTGATACCGAAGAGACTCAAAAGGCGCTCAGACAGAGACGAGGCAGGGGCGTCACAAGGGGTATCCTCGGTAAGCTCGGTGTTCCCAGTGGAGGAGGAACTGGGCGTCTGCGAGGCATCGTGCATCGAGACGTCAACAATGCTGTCATCTCCTTCAACCGACGAGGTCTTGATTTTGGAATCAACAGACTCCGCATCATCTTCATTCATCACCACAGTGTCAGAGTCTTCGGCACCCTGCTCATCGTGAACGGGTTGTGGCTGCTCTTGAGTTGCCACGCTCTGTTCATTCAAGATATCGCGGGTTGTCAATGTAGAAATAGACTGCAAGAGCTTGCGGTTAATTGCAGCCAAGTCTCGAGTTTCATCTCTGTTGAACGAGAGAATGGTAGGGAATGCGAATTGTTCATGCCGTGGGCGGTTCTTGTTGCCCTTCTGGGTTTTGCGGTGAAACACGGGGACGAGGATGCGATCTTCTGAAGCAGCATGTTCCAACTCTATGAACAAAACTGTGTCTTCGCCCTTGAGGCGAAGCTCGTGGTAAGACTGAAGCTCTTTATTGAAGAACTGCCAGAAACCGTGGTTGTTCAGTTCAGCACCGATAAGCCTCTCTGGGGCAACCCCTGTCCTTTTGGCAACCGATTCAATGAAATTTTTGACGGCAGCAGAATTGTTGACCTCGATAGTGAATCGCACGGGAGCGGAGTTAAGGCCCATGAAAATAACATCGCGACAAATAATGTTTCGCTCATCAGGGATGGGCAGTGTGAAACTGCTGAATGGGTCGAACATGATGCTGACTTTGTCGCATTCAGGGCAGACTAGGGTAGATTTGTACATTCCCGCAAACAAATCCGTGATCACGGAGTCATTCCGGGCTTTGTAAATCTCCCACGATTCCTTTCCAAATGCCTCTAGCGCCTTGCGATTGTGGACCATCTCGTCCGTGGAATCCGGCTTCTCGATGTAGGGCTTTTTCAGGACCCGGTTAAGATCCTCGGAAAGTCCGTCCAGTGCAAACATCAGGAACTCCTGGCTGTCATGCTGATCCCAACCGGCCATCATGGGGTTATTCCGACCAACCTGGTTCCTAAAGCGACTGGGAGTGAAAGAATGAGAGGCAGGCTCACTGTAAATTTGATTTACTAGGTGCGCATAAGCCCTCGCGAGATCACCTCTGTATCCCAAGGGATTGTCGGCATTGAGCTCCTTTTTGTGCCCACCCTCCAGGAAATAGATACTCAATTCTTCCACTGCGCGGATACATTGAGTGGCAGCATTCATGTAGCAAGTATTCCCCAAATTGGTAAGACCAGTGCGACCCAACTGGTGACCCTTGGGCTTTCTTCCCCTTGGCAGTTTATCAACTGGAGTTGACCGACCACTCGGCGCGGGGGTTTTGATGGACAGAACTGCAGGCGATGAGGTAAGTTCTCTCTTTGGCTGCTCAGTGGGGATTCCCAAGCGTTTCAAAGTCTTTGCAGAGACTTCTGATACCCATTCATCCTTGCCCACTCCTTCCTCAAGAACGACAGTGTCAGTCGGGAGAAGTTCGGCCATGGACACTGTCATGCGGCCATTGTAGTTATCATTGTTCGTCTGATCTTTGATATCCAGCAGCTGGCGTTGGTCATCGGAGATCGATATGAATGTGTTAAGATCAACGACAAGGTTCTTGTGCAAGGAAGTCATGAGGCCCGCCGGGGGTGCAGGCGACACGGTACGGGAGGGAGCTGGGGTATTCACGGTCGACACATTGGCACTGGGGATGCCACCGGCAATCTTCCATACACGGACTTTGGTTGCCATGTCAATCCCGGCCAGCTGCTTGGCCTGCTTCAACCACTTCATGAAGTTCGTCTGACGGCCAGTCAAAACCTTGGTTGGGGGAAGATTCTTCTCCTTCAAAATCTTGGGGGTCATTCCCGTACCCGGGTGGGACAATTTGAAGATAGTGATAATTGGGGGGTTAAGCTCATATATGATATTCGAGATTCCGTCCGGGTTGGTTTCGTGGGCATAACGAGTAATGGTAGGCGTCCCATCAGCGATGCCGTACCACGTCTTGAGCAGATCCCAGGCCTCCTGCGGGGCAATTTCGTAATCTTCTCCAAGTTGTAGACCCGGTCGCACCGGCACATAAACATCGCCTTGTTCATCCCTCAGGTCATCCTTGGGGCCGATATCGAGGACAATGTCCGTGTTGTCGAGCGGGCCCAGCTCGCTGTCCAAGGCCTCCTTGTCTGCCCTGTCGGCATGGGTGGAACTGCGCGCAAAAAGCCTTTGCAGCCAAGCGGAGGAGATCACAAAACCCTTTTGGCCGTTTACCAGGGGCTTCTCGACCAGCGCGTTGATCTGGGCCACCTGATGATCGATCGAGTTGGAGGCGCCCTTGTCCACTGTGCTCACGCCGCCCTCGAGGTCGAGGTCGGAATCTTCAATTTCGGAGGCAGGGCGCTTCTCGCCAGGAGAAGGCTCACGGCCATCGCCATTTGCGGTGGTGCCGTCACGAGGCTCAGATTGCATATCGGAATGTTCGGAGGACAGGGTTAGGTCGGCGGTGGCGGTCGCGGGGGTTGGCGAACGGCCACCAGATTGTGATCGGGGCCCACGGGTTTGTGATTGAAGGTGGGCAGGAACGTATGGAGGCAGTGAGGATGCACTTGGACTCCGGGAGGAAGTGGAGCGAGATGTCCGGTGAGGTGGCAAGTTGGGTGTGGGCGACGGCTGGGATTGGCCGTGACGTCGTGCCTCTCCTGGGCTGCTCTGAGGCTCCGGGGAAACTTTGCGACGCTTTGTGGAAGACGTCGTGACGAAGAGCTGCGCACGTAGTGGCAGCTCGAGGGAATAAAGGAAAAAACAAAGGAAAAAAGGAAAAGGAAGGGGGAAAGTATCAACGGTGAATAGGTGGTTCGAACCCCAGATCGTTCTTTTTCGTAGGGTGGGGACAGAAAAAAAAAAACGAAGTACTGGGAAAAATCAAAGGTTGCGATGATAACTGGCAGAAACTTAGCTCCGAATTTGGCTTTTTTTTTGCCCGGGCCGAGACATTTAGTACTCACTGAATCCGAACAATAATGTCAACATTAACCAGCCGAGAGAGAGAACACAAGAGAGATGGAGATGGAGAAAGAAAAAAAGGGTAAAAAAGAAGGGAAAAGATTAATTTGAACATCAATAGAGAACAAGGGTTAGAAGAAAGGAGAGATCATAGTGAATCGTGATCGAATCGGGCAACCTCAGTGAATGCGCTCACAACAAGAACGACTAATCAATCACTTAGATTCGAGCTAATTTCCCGTGGAGTTTTGAGTAAAGTGCACAAAGAGAAACGCTCGGCATTTTTGCAGATTACAGGAGCCATGGTGACTGAGTCCTCAAACATGCTCGCCTGAAAGCAGGAAATCGTAGATATCATGTCAAAGATATGGATAGTAACTACTATATAGTAGTAGTACATGCCGTTATGGGGGTCTTCTGCCCCAGAATTCAAGTTTCCCACCGTTCCTTCCCCATTACCCCTAACGATATCCGAACTCCCGAGTCCCGACCCTCAAGGTAAGATATGGTGGAGGGATTCAGCTGACTATACTTGTGTCAGTACAAGACATACAGATCTTGTGAGCCACATCATACTAACTTCGTGGGAAAGCACTTCCAGGCTGGTTCAACTCTAGTCAGAATCAGAGTCACCGGCCGGGGGTATATAATTCGCGTCCTTCTTGTTCTCGGCAACCCACACGGGATTCTTTCCTCGTCTTTTGAGCCCGCTTCGGGGACGGAAGTTGTAGACTGGCCCTTGGGCCTGTCGGATGAGCTTGGCCGAGGGTACCTCTTTCGACTTGGGGGGAAATAGCTTTTTGGCTTTTAAGAGCCGCTCGACGCTATACGCCGCCGCCATGGCGAAGACCCAGAGGGGTTTAGAACGAGATGCGAGGTATTGATGATAAAACGTCGAGGGACGGGGATGACAGTGGATGGAAGAATTCCTTGAAGGCGGTTGGACAGGGCGGTTGGAAAGGAAGATGGTTGGAGAGGAAGAGGAGCGGGGGGAAGTGAGAGAAGACGAGAGTCGCTGGTATGAGAAGGATGGGAACTTACTTGGGATTTTACCAAACGGTGTACTCACAAAAAACCCGATTCTCACATTTTGATTCGCAGTAGTAGCTTCTAGGCATTGATAGAAATACATTGACTCATCAAACCCTGTGGCAGACCTGATGATACTGACATCTGGACAAGATAAAACTTTTCAATTGTAATTAACATTGCTTGACTCTAAAATTTAGAGTAACCTTGATGATTGTTCCCCTTGATTATAATTTAGCATATGACGTCTACTACTCCTAGTATGTACCTAGAAGTAATGGGTTGACAATGAACAATAAAGATTCTTACTAAATACTAGTAGGCACATAGAGTACTAGTCAGTATTACTCAAATGATATTCTCTATACATGCAGACGACTATCTCGATTCGCTGGAAAGTATCCAGTACATCCCATGAATGCATCAAGCTAGGGTTATGACTATATGTAAACCCTAATATTAAACGTTGCAGTATACGTAAGAGATGTGTACCTTCTTGTGAATGTGCAATGATTATGCCGCATTCTAGATACCTAGGTTTATATTTATAGGAGATAGAAGCTTACTAATGTCACTTTCAAAGTCTTAACTACTAGTAGTATGTGCAAGTTTGATATTTTCAAATTTCAGGATTCTCCAGGACTGGCTAGATTCTTTTAAGTGCAAAATTGGTACTTATGTTTGCTTCTTACATGGATTGCTGCTCAGGTCTATTGGTATCACAGGAAATATTAAGCCTACATATAAATATGCTGTGACACACATAGACTCCAAAGAAAATAAACTAAGTTGCACAAATATTTGAGCATTCATAAACTATACACATGTGCAGGTTGTCGACGGGTCTACGGGTGGGACATTGAATTAAGCACTTGGATAAAGTCCCGGCAATGTTAGTAGGATCTCGGCTCCACTCTCCACATTTGATGAATGCTGCACAAGATCCAAAGTGCGTATCCTGATTTTGCCCAGTACGCAGTTTCATGATCCAGCACTTGACTACTTCGTTTTTGAATACATATGTAAAAAGCAACATTAAATACTGACGTTCAATTTCGCATTCAGGTAGCTAATACTTCATAGGAAAAATATCAATTGATGGTCGCATACATGCATGTGCTCAATGGGAGATTGATATTAAGTCAAAATGAATCTTGATCAAATTGATATGTAAAAATATACTAGTATGATTGAAACCTTGGAATAAACACAATCCTTGAACTCCAGAAATGCAACCATCCATCCTATCAGGCCTAAAGTAGAAGTTTGTACAATAAAAATGTGCTGTGCTGTGTTAAGGGCACCTGGGTATCCATCAAATCCATAAAAGGGCGCCGTAATGTGAAGTAGAAAAGGAAATTGACTGCGCCTGGATGACGAAGGGCAGAAAGATGATTCTGGTGGAAACCAGACGAGGTAAAAATGATTAGGCACGGAAATCGTACATGCGGACTTGGTAATCGTCGCTACCGGTGATGAAGCGACTGTCACTGAGTCCAATGCAGTTGACCGACGCCGAGTGACCTTCGAAAGTGTCTTGGCAGGTGGGGATTCGAGGGTCCCAGATTTTGATCATACGATCCAATCCACCAGAGGCGATGCGTAGAGTGTCCGCAGAAAGTGCCCAAATACCTTCCAGATGCCCGAAGAATGTTCGCAGACATCTACCACTGTTGGTTTCCCACAGCCGGATAGTCGCATCAACACCACTGGTGATAATGTACCGCGGCGGTTCAAGGCGTTCCTTGTCCTGGTCAAATGAGGCTCCGAATGAAGAAGGTTGTGAGGCCAGAGATCTGGACTCCAGGATGGGAGAAAGAAGATTTACTGGCGCATCGCCGTTTTGAGAAGATGTGCTGACATGATCGTTCTCGCAGTCAGGGAGATGGGCTTCGAGTTCTATCTCCCGTGGTAAGGGAATGACCTGTGAGACTGCACCAATGTGATTGTGGAAGACTCGAATGCAGGTCTTGGTGTCAAGATCCCACAAGCGAGCCGCGCCATCGTTACAAGCAGTCAGAACGGTGCGAGAAGCAGTGTCGATCTTCACTCCATTCACATCTTCGGGGTGAGGCAGAACGAAAGTGGATTTGTCCTTAAAATTCCAGATCTTGACGGTATGATCCACTGAGGCGGATGCCAAAAGAGTGGAATCAAAGTGGAGGGCGACAACGGCTTCAGAGTGGCCATTGTATCTGGAAATACACTCTCCAGTACGCCAGTTCCAAACCCTCACACTGCGGTCCAAACTACCAGTGATCAATTTGGTATCATCAAATTGAAGGCAGCGGACCCCTGCGCTGTGGCCACGAAGAGTGCGCAACTCTTCGCCGGTTTCCATGTCCCAAATCTTGACAGTGGCATCATAAGAGCCAGTCATCAAGATGTTGTCTTCAAACTGAAGGCACATAACACTGTCTGTATGACCTCGAAAGACCTTCATCGAACAGCGTCTATGTTTCCAATTCATTCCAACAACAAATCGATCACGATAGACATCCTTCCAGGGGCGGTACCGGGTCTTGTAATATTCATCATCGGGCTCCGGACGGTATGCAGGGGAGATACAGTGGCGTTTGATCATGGCACAGCTGTTGTCGTGATCCTCCGTATCAACCTTACGCTTGCTGCCAGTGGTGGGAAGTTCGACCACAGAGCATGTTCCATTGGGAGCACCCTGGACGAGTTCTGTGGATGACTGATTTCCCCAGTTGGACGCTCGAAGTTCGATTTCACGCTTCGAATCTCGCAGACGCTTTCGATCCAAAAGAGGCAGTCCCCACCCACACTTATTACATTTGCGACGGATATGCTGTTCACACATTCGATGCCACACAACATCATCATCCGCCAGCATTCTCCATCGATGGGAGACTTGCGCGGCTCGGCAAAGAGAAGCTGTGTCGAGATATCGAAGGATCTTGAAAGAAAGCTCTGGCGGAAGGGCAGAGAGGAAATCGATTCGGATAAGTTCGCGAACACTGGCTGAGATGAAGGATAGTTGTGGGAAGCAACACTGGGCGAGAATTCCCTGTAACATGAGTTTGCGTTGCTTTGCTGGAGCAGCAGAAAACATAGACCAGACATGGGCGATGCCTTGCTGGTCGTCTTGGGGGAGTGTATTCAGTTCCTATAAAGGTTTAGTCAGCACCAAAGTGATATGAAGGGTAGTTTCTGGGACATACCTGTTGCAGTTGACGCATCGACTGCTCATCAGCCTGACGCCTGCATTTGGAATCTGGCTGATGACGATAGCAGTAGCCAGCGTTGGCTGGTCGTGGTATCGGCGTGCCATCTTCTGATCTCACTGGAGCGTACTGCCGAGGATTATGTTTGTTGAGAAACGGAGCGACGTTCAGCCTGGCGAGCTCTGCTAGAGACTCGTTGTCGCGAAGTGGGGTGCGGTTGGTATCGGCCATTGACGCAAGGTCCCCCGCTTTCGAAGCAGAAGCCGCGCAGTCTTGCGGGTTTGACATTTTGAAAACAATCCCCTACGGCTAAGGGTCTTGATTGATGGCGGGAAAGATGTGGTCTTGTGAAGTGTCCTGTCGTGACTCCAACAAGAGATCAAGATAAGGCGCACGCGAGCGATTGGTTCATGCGGCTTTAACTTGCAGGGGGTTGGAATTGTCGTTGGTAGATAAGCACGATCGGCAGGAGGCGAAAAATGGGGAAATATGGTTGCAAATCAATTGCTCAGCTCCCTCGATATCTTCGAATGACGATGGTGGTCCAGCGCCTGGGGAGAGCGACTTGCGAGTACCCTGGAAGATACTGCCGTAGGCCCGTAGGGTATTGGTCTGCAGGGAGGTGCAGAGGGATCTTGAGCTCGAGCAGGGGGAAGGTCTCGAATATATGCTTAGCACAAGTTTCCAGGCTCTTTGGACAAATGGCACAAGCAGGATCCTCGGCTCGAGCCGTAAGTACATGTATCAGTCTGATGAGGGAGAAATGTCGATGATCACGCAAGAACGGGAGGCGACAATGGTAGGCGGTGGGAAATTGCATAATGGAAATTCGATATAGACTAGTCCCTATTAGGTTAGGTTACATAACTGTGCAGACAATCGCCCCACGTGATGGCGCCATCTCCGCTCGCAATCACATCAGTCACGCATGTTATTTTCGACTCGTGTTGATGTGATCGCCCCTAGACCGCCATTCTCTCCTTTTCTCGCCCGAACTACCCGGGGAAGATTGATTTGCCCCTGATCGCGTCATCTTCCGGGTTTATCCAAGATTCACGAGTCACATTAAGAAACATGAACTGGTGAGCTGCAAAGCAACTAGGATCGCCCATCTTACCGACCTTGTCGGTCTGGACCATCCCATGACATGAGGTAAGCGGTTTTATTTTTGACAGGCCCCACCAGGGTGAAGAGCGGTGGGCAGCTGGGTCGATCTACCTTACCCTTTACATCCCTTGAGGATTTGCTGTGTTGTTTGCAAAGTGGTGTCCTGTTTACTCCTTTTCTCTGTCGTCTTCCTCATAATTCTCAACGGTTATTCTGTCACACATCCACTAAAGGCTTCAAAGGTCATAGCTTCATGATTTTAGCACTGTGGCTCTTACAACGTAGTGCAGGGCAGGCCTGCTGCCTGCATACCTTATCTACATTATAAATCGAAGCGGCAAACGCAGCCATCAATCACGAATATGGCATCATCCCAGTCATCTTCTGCATCGATAGGGGCTCGGGAGCAAGAATCCGTTGAGCCCAAAGCCATGCCTCACCTTGACACACTGATTTCTCATCTTCTAGCGGCCAAGCGGTCTCTCTCTTCAATCAGCCACGTCTGGCGTGCCAATGAGATTGTGACTGCGGCTCGGTCTGCCCTAGAAGACAGTGTGGTTGTGTCCTCTCGGACTGGCTTTCTCCGGCGGGGCCTGGACAATCAATTGCGATTACTATACAATGTCCGATTGGAGGTAGAGGAAATCTCACACCGAGGCCGGGAGGAGTTTTCGGGGGCTCTTACAAGCCTGGATGCTGCAGATGCTCGGCTTCGGAGTACACTGGATCTCCTTCGAGAGACGATTGTCCATGCATCGTTTCGTCCCGAAGATGAACAAACCAAATGTCTCCATGATTTCGTGGACGAGCGAGGCGTTGAAGAATTGCACTCTACTCTCAAGAGCTCCATTGACCGCGCTAACACTGCGCGAGCTGATTTGGATACCTCAAACCGTGAATTCGATGATGAGCTCCATGCAATCCGAAAAGCGCTTCGTCATTATCGATCTACAACTAAGATGGCTTCTTCGCGTGCATCAGCCTCGTCTTCCTCTTCCGCATCGGAGCCGGATCTGTTCGCACTATCCTCTATGCCGAGCATGCTCCGGTCTTTGGAAATGCACGCACAGGAAATGGCAGATCTTCTCTCCTCCCTTGTAAGTCATTTCGATCTTTGCGTCACCGCTGTCAAGCAAACCGAGGGAGGCGGCGCCGCAGCACTCTCCATCACTGGTGATATGCCTGCGGAAGTCGGAACAAGTGGTGAAGGTTTACCAAATATCGGAGAAGAAATCAACGCCAATATCAATGCTCCATTGGATCCAATGACGGATCAGGAGTATGAAGAAATGGTACAGGTATTGCTGAATGATGCGCCAGAGGCTGATAATGTCGTCATGGAAATACATGACCGCATCACCGAGATGGAGGCCATTTTTGAACAAATTGGCGTACAGCGCGATTCACTTCTCAGCATCTCGGATGCTACCCTCAAGGTCCATCGTCACCTTTCTAATCTCACATCCACTCGCTTGCCACGTTACATCTCCCAGGCACACAATTTCACTCAAGTATGGAATGAAGAGAACGATCGCTTCAATTCTGGCTTGACGGAGCTTTCAGCCTTACACTCCTTGTATGATGGCTTCCTGAATGCATACGACAACCTAATTCTGGAAGTGGCTCGTCGAAGTCATATTCGTCACCGAGTGGAAAAGGTTTTGCGTGACACAAGGCACAAGCTAGATCATTTGTACGAAGAGGATGTAGCCGCCCGGCAGACATTTCGCGTGGACCAGGGTGATTTTCTACCCTCGGATATCTGGCCAGGGGTCGGGCGAGCGCCGATGCATGTTGAATTTTTACGTCTGTCGGGCGGTCAACTTGAAGGGGCTTCGCCTGAAACACAGGAACAAGGACCATCAACAGAAACTGGGACACCCCCTGGCGCAAAAATCGAGGTTGCCGGTAGCGAGGAAGACGAAAGCGCGCCGGACCTTCCAAAGGAGGTAATTGAGCACGCATATGCTCGTCTGAAGGCTCGAACCAGGGAATTTGTTTAAGGGCAAAGAAACATCCCACCATTTGCCAGGTCGCCCGATTGGACCGCCCTATGTCCAATTGGGCAGTCCCAGTCCCTCGGCAATATTATCATGATTGGTTCTAATATCCCCTTGTTTGCTAGATAGCTAGCATTATCTCCGAGTGCGGCTTCAGCGCCACCCCTTGCTTCTATTATATGACCCCTTGGCGTCTAGCGTTTGGTACGGTATGCCTTTATGATGAAAGCCCAATTGGTCTGATCTTCCGTTAAGATCCTCCCCCTCTCCTATATAGGGCCGGTAGGTGATGCATACTCCCAGGTACTCCCTGAGATGTAAGTACGCTTGGTGGTCCACAAGGGCAGTGGGGAGAGAAAATGGACAGACGTGATTTCCAAAGAGAGCTCTGATGGCCGCATATTTTGTCACATATTTTTTTTAGCACTTAGTACTTACCACCTAGGAAGAACCTAGGAAGAGTTCGATGTATTGAGTTCGCATGCATGAAACAATCTGGGAACTTCATAATTATTTTGACTACTCAAGTACTAGTAGGATGTAGTAGTACTAGTTAATGGACAGCCCTGGAGTGCATGGGCACATCGGCATTTTCACTCTCCACAAGCTGTCACTTTCAAATCATTTCCTTCAACATTTACTTTACTCCAAACTTCTTGGACAATGAATTTGATTTTATCGAACCCTTCCCAATCGTCAGGCCCTCGGGGAGCTCAGCTCACTCCTAAATCCAATCAATTGGAATGGACAACCTTCAGTGTCTCTCACCCTCATACGCAATTCCCCAGGATAGCAAAAACCCGCCACTACACGAATCCGGCAAACATGAATGTCCGGTTGGACCACGGCATGTTTGTCATATATGAGCGGCCAGACTTCCGACCAATCGTCGTTGGAATGTGAGTAAGGTGCGGACCCTCTAAAGTTGACTGGAATGTGAACAAGGAGAGGTTGGTGGCTGGTCTGGCTAAATTGCGGGAATCTAACGGATGCAGTAAACTCGAACGCATTCGGCAAACTGTTATTATTTATATAATAAAACGCGGGGGATCTCAACCCCCTGTTGTCCGTTGAGTTACTATTACAAGCTACGCACTTGTGATCTATATTTTTTTCCAAGTGGGATTCTGTGGTCTCAACAATGGCATACACAACATGGCTTGCTCCGGTCCTGGCTGCGATGAACCTCATCGCTTCTGCTCAGGCCGCTCAAGTCCATTACACTTTAGATCTTACCTGGGAAAGGGGCTCCCCCAATGGAGCTGAACGGGAAATGATTTTCGTTAATGATCAATTTCCCGGGCCGTCTCTGATCATGGATGAGGGAGACGAAGTTACTGTGAGTTCACTACTCCATCTAATATGCATGCTGTGGTAATTAATTTGCGAAGATCGAAGTAAACAACCACCTCCCATTCAACACATCTGTTCATTTCCATGGCATTGAGTAAGATTCGACCTCTCCTCATGATACGCAAGCTCACATGTGCACTTTCGCTAACCGCTGATGTGTCTCTCCGTAGGCAAATGAACACACCATGGGCCGATGGCGTATCTGGTCTCTCGCAATGGGCTGTACTTCCTGGTCAAACATATACATATAGCTGGAATGCTACTCAATATGGAACATACTGGTACCATTCACACGACAAATCGAGAATCATGGATGGTTTGTATGGGGCGATATATATTCGGTAAGTTCGATTCTCCCGAGGTCGTCGTGCCAAATGTACATGTGTTACAGGGGCTCTGCTAAGAAGAGATTACATATAGACCTTCTTCTGATCGCGATTCGCCCTTCTCGATGATTTCTGACGACCCGACCGATATTAAGGCCATGGAAAACGCGAGAGATAACCCACAGATCGTCATCCTTTCGGACTGGGACCATCTGACTTCGGACGCCTACATGCAGGCCGAAATGGAGTCTGGCTACGACATATTGTACGTGAAAAATGTTACATTTACACACAACTTAATCATTCATGTATTAACTCTATAACAGTTGTTCCGACAGCGTTCTGGTCAACGGTCAGGGCTCAGTTATCTGCAAAGACCCAGAAGAATTGACCAACCTCCAACCGGCACAAGTTAGAGCAGTGGTCAATGGCACACTCACCGACAAAGGGTAATTTATTTCCTTCCGATTGATGTCAACTCAGTGGCAAAATTTCTAACATAGACTACATAGATGTGACCCGAATTTGGACGTTCTACAGGGCACTTGGGAGCACCACCCAGAATTACTTCCCGGTGGCCTAAACTCTGGATGTCAGCCTAGCGAAGGCCCTCCTTCCTTCTTTGAAGTTGAATCCGAGACAAAATGGGCTAGCTTCAACTTTATCAGTGCCGCAGCCCTCAAGGCCTTTGTGGTATCGATTGATGAGCACCCAATGTACGTATACGAGGTGGATGGCCGATACATTGAGCCACAACTGGCACATAGCGTGCCAATCTACAACGGACAACGGTACTCTGCCATGGTCCGCTTGGACCAAGAGACCGCGAACTATCAAATACGCGTTGCTGGCAATGGAAACCAGGTCATCTCCGGATTTGCAACAGTTACCTACAAAGGAGGCGAGAGCAGCAAGCGGGAGTCGGTCCCATACATCGACTATGGCGGCATCAACACTACATCTTCTGTGATAGTGCTTAATGACAACAACCTTCCTCCATACCCGGCGATCCAACCTGCTAGCAATGCAGATGATTTCCACCTCCTGACTCTTGGGCGGATCAACTCATCCTGGGAGTGGACATTGGACGGGACTACATTCCTCCCTGCCAAGCTTGCTTCAATGGAGCCAGTACTTATCAACCCGCAATCACCAGACCTGGATTCCTCTCTGAAGATTGAGACAAGAAATAACACATGGGTGGATATTGTGTTCCAGCTTGCCATTCCAGAGCCCACTTTGCTTCAACCGCCTCACCCGATCCACAAGCACTCGAACAAGGCCTTCTTGATCGGAGCGAACCACGGAAAGTTTACCTGGAACTCTATCGAAGATGCTGCCCGTGATTCCCCAGATAGTTTCTTTGATACACCTATATATCGGGACACATTTACAACCTCACCAGCTGGCGAGGCTTGGATTGCGATCCGTTACCATGTTGTTAATCCGGGCGCTTTCTTGCTACATTGCCACATGGAGACGCATCTTGCCTCAGGAATGGGCATGGTATTGTTAGATGGAGTGGACGTTTGGCCAAAGGTTTAAATGTCAAAATGTGATCAATAGCATGCTTCGAGACGTTGGAAATAATTTGTCGATATGGTCGGAGTGGAGGATTTTTTGTGATGAACTGTGATGTACGGAGTTTCATCTTTGGAGTTATTTGGATTAGCGTCAATGAGAGCGATCAATACGAGTCTAGAATACCTTAATTTTGAATACCACAATAATCAATCTTCATTTCAAATCTTATGTACGATTACCTACTATGTGCATGCACTGTTAAAATATATGTACTACATGTACATAACAGCCTACTATGTATGTATGGATATACCTAGAACATCAATTGCACTACATATACATACATGTACATAGATCCACATGATGGATACATGGGTGCCACCGCACACATGCATGTCGTAGTGCGTCAACTGGTAGTCTTGAGATATACATATTGAAGGATCAAACACTAAACACTGTATATTCGAAAAAGATGTAATTTTTTTGACCTGTATCCTATGGACTCTATAAACAGGTATCATATATCCAGATGCTCCATCCTAATATGCATTCATATCATCAAATCATGGCAATAAACATTCGTCAACAAAGAGCAAGCAAAGGAAAAACTGCGTGAACCCATACCCATGCAAACAGAACGTAAAGCATCAACAAAGCGTCTAGCTTATTTCTTCTTACGGGCAGAAGTAGAGACAAGTTTCTTCTTCAAATGCTTAGGCATCTTCTTGGTACGCTGGTCACGCTTCTCCTCCTTGACCTTTGCCTTGTGCTCACGTTTGGCATCCTTGTCCTCGAAGCGCTTACCACGCGGCGGCTTGGGAGCAAATGGATCTTTCTCCTCTTCTTCATCGTCAGATTCGGAGTCTGACACTGACACTCCACCGCTAGCATCGGATTCTGACTCGTCTCTGTTGTTGGTTGGCTTGGGCTTGTTGGTTGCCAGAAGGTCTTTGTAAACAAGATCGGTACCAGTACCAGCGTGAACCTTTTCGGCATCACGTTCAACATCGTAGACCTGCTCCAGAGTTTGGGGAATGTATTGCTGACGGAAGACAGCGGTGTCAACTTCCTCTGAGTCCGCAGTAGCACCGGCCTCATCGCGAGCAGTGAACAGCTTCTCGATGGCCTCAATCATCTCTTCATTGCCATGAGCGGGATCTCTGGGGCCTTCAGGCGCTAGGATGAACTCGAAGAGAGTTCGCTCGGACAAGACGTGAACACCCTTGCGACGGAAGAAGTCGCTGACGTTCTTAATATCCATTCGGAGGAATTCCAAACTGCGAGGGTGGTCATGCTCAACACTTTGGCTGACATCAATGATGTACAACCGGTTCTTGTGGTATAGAATATTATACTCGCTCAAATCTGCGTGAACAAGTCTGCAGACTTGGTACATAACTCGCATGTGACCCAACAATTCAATGTACAGCTCTCTCCAACGGACATCAGGCTCAGGAATGTCAAACTCAACATCCTTGAGTCTTGGTGCAGCAACTCCCTTCGAGTTACCAATGAAACCCATAGCCAAGACATGTAGACGTAGGTAGAGAGGCTCAGGGCAGGGAATACCCGCGGAGTAGATTCTCCGCAAGTTTCGCATTTCCTTTTCAGCCCACAGCTTCACCATTGCGCGGTTGTTGCTCTTGCTGTATCCTTGGCGGAAACGGAACTCACCAGTGACATACTTATCACGATCCTTGAAAACCAAGATGCTGGTCTTGTACACCTTGATAGCGCGATGCACAGGGGGGCCGTCGGCCTCGTCAGAGAGCGAAATGGCACCATACACATTAGCCTCCTTTCCAGTAGACAAACAACCGTGAATTTCCGACACTAATCCCCGGTTGATCATTTGCAAAAGAAGCATGCGAGTGCGCGGGTCCAACACTTGCTCTGATGTCGCACGATCCGCCCGATCTCCTCCTTTGTCGCCTTTAGAGGATAGACCAGACTGTTGTTCGTCGAGCTTGATCTTGGCAGCATGGCGTGTCAGGGATTTGACTTGGTCATCGACCGATGCATATGTGTTAACGGTGGGCTTCTGGGTATTCGTCTTCGGGTAAGTCCATTTGGGGACGGCAGGGTCGGCAGCGACGGTGTTCATTTTGCGCTGGCGGTTGTAGGCCTTGGTCAGGTCATTTGAGTTCGAAGATGGGAAGTCGCCTTGGTCCATCTCTTCATCAAAGATATCGTCGTAGTCTTCGTCATCTTCGTACTCCTCCTCCTCCTCAGTGGGCTCCTGCCCCGCCACGGCGGAGTCAGTAGTCTCGGGGTTCACATAGCCCTGGTTAGGCACATATGTGTGAGATGGGGCCAGACCATCGGCTGGGCCAGATGTCTGGTCGGGGTTCTCTACAGAACTCATTTTCGAAGGGTAATTGACAGGGAACGAAAAAGGGAACCTTGGAAGAAAAAGTGTAAGTAGCCCACTACTTTTTTTTCTGTGGATGCCCGCCTTACCGCCCGGCAGAACCCCCGCGCCCAAAGACGCGCGATTTCGCTCCTCGCGTAGTCTCTCCTAGAGTCTCCTAGTCGATCACGAATTATCATCCTCACGCGCATAGCCAATTTTTTGACTGGAAGTTATTTCTGGCTATCATTCCGATTTTCAATCAAAATCCCCCATTTTCCCCTCGCGCCCAGGCGCGTAATGCGCTATTTCTAGTGATCATCGCGTCGCGCCTCTCAATATGTATGTCAAACAGATTATCATCCAAGGCTTTAAGAGGTATGTCACCGACAAAAAATCCATTCCAACACCGTGAGGCGCCATCTACTAATTTGACTTCAATTCCAGCTACAAGGATCAAACGGTCATCGAACCTTTCTCTCCCAAGCACAACGTCATCGTTGGCCGCAACGGTTCCGGCAAAAGTAATTTCTTTGCGGCCATTCGCTTCGTCCTCAGCGATGCTTACACCCACCTCGGCCGCGAAGAGCGACAAGCTCTGCTTCACGTATGTGTTTCCTAACCCGCTGCCCACGTCTGTTACTAATGCCGCGCAGGAAGGTTCTGGCTCGGCCGTGATGTCAGCATACGTGGAAATTATATTCGATAACTCAGACGATCGATTCCCTACGGGCAAGCCAGAGCTCGTGCTCCGTCGAACCATCGGTATCAAGAAAGACGAATACACACTGGATCGAAAGAACGCCACCAAGAATGATGTTATGAACCTCCTCGAATCCGCCGGTTTCTCTCGGTCCAATCCATACTACATCGTTCCCCAAGGACGAGTGACCGCATTGACGAATATGAAAGATTCCGAGCGTCTGGTGCTACTTAAAGAGGTGGCAGGAACTCAAGTATATGAAGCTCGTCGCGCCGAATCCCTCAAGATCATGAACGAGACCAACAGCAAGCGAGCCAAGATTGACGAGCTCTTGGACTACATCAACGAACGTTTGGCCGAACTTGAGGAGGAAAAGGATGAGCTTAGAAATTATCAAGAGAAAGACAAAGAACGCCGTTGCCTTGAGTACACAATTTACTCTCGTGAACAACAAGAGATTGCATCTGTGCTTGAAAGCTTGGAGGAGCAGCGACAGAATGGGGCTGAAGATGCCGACAACAACCGTGATCAATTCGTTGATGGTGAAAAGGCTATGGCGCAGATTGACGCCGAGATTGCTGAGTGCCGCCAGCAAATGGAGTTCTTGAAGGTTGACAAGTCTCAGCTGGAAGATGAACGCCGTCAAGCTTTCAAAGCCTTGGCTCAAGTCGAATTACAGGCCAAATCCCTGGCCGATAACCAAGCTGCTGCACAAGCTCTCAAGTCACGCCATGACAATGATCTTAATGCGGTGCGAACGGCCATTCAGGAACGCGAGGCGGAACTCCAAACGCTTTTACCCGATTTCAACGCCGCCAAGGACCAGGAAGATGGCGTCAAGGCTCAACTCACCGAGGCAGAAACATTACGTCAAAGACTGTACGCCAAGCAGGGCCGAAACTCTCGGTTCAAGAACAAGTCGGAGCGAGACAAGTGGCTTCAAATGGAGGTACGGGAGAACAACCGATCGGTGACTACCGTTGAAGGTGTAGTGACACAGACAAAAGAGGATATCAAAGACCTGGAAAAGGAAATTTCTTCGCTGGAGCCGGAAACCGAGCGTCTACGCCAGCAAATTGATGGACGCGGGGATACAATTCATTCTGTGGACGAACAAGTTCAAACTGCCAAGGATGAGAGGGATAAGTTGATGGACCAGCGAAAAGAGCTCTGGAGGGAAGAAGCAAAGCTGGATTCTGTTTTGTCCAGTGCATCTCAAGAGATGGACCGAGCTGAGCGAAGTCTTTCTCATATGATGGATCAGAATACTAGCCGTGGTATTGCTGCCGTGCGGAGGATTCAGCGCCAGCAAAACCTTGACGGCGTGTACGGTACTTTGGCTGAACTTATGGAAGTAAACGATCGATATCGAACGGCCGTGGAGGTCACAGCTGGTCAAAGTCTGTTTCACTACGTGGTTGACACTGACGAAACTGCGACCAAGGTCTTGGAGGCTTTGCAGAAAGAGAAGGCTGGTCGTGTAACCTTCATGCCTTTAAACCGACTACGCACGAAGCCCCTCAACCTACCCCGAGCCGGTGATGCCATTCCTATGATTGAAAAGATCCAATACGACCCTGCATATGAACGGGCTTTCCAGCATGTATTCGGCAAAACTATCATTTGCCCTAACCTGCAGGTTGCGTCGCAATATGCTCGAAGCCATGGCGTCAATGCCATCACCCCCGATGGTGACCGATCAGACAAGCGTGGTGCACTGACTGGTGGTTTCCATGACTCCCGTCAATCACGACTTGAAGCAGTGAAGAATGTTGGCAAGTGGCGAGATGAATACGAGACCAAGCGAACTCGTGGGACGGAAATCCGCAAGGAGTTAGAGAAGCTTGACCAGCTTATCACCAAGGCTGTTGGTGAGTTGCAAAAGCTTGAGCAACAACGACACCAAGTGCAAAATAGCAGTGGACCCTTGAGGCAAGAGCTTCGCAGCAAACGTGATCTCTTGCAAAACAAGAATGACACGCTGGATGCTAAGAGACGTGCACTTCGCAATGTCGAAGTCAACCTTGCAGCTTTACATGATCAAGTCGCTGCCTTCCAGGCTGAGCTGTCTTCCCCCTTCCAAAAGTCACTCACCGATGAAGAAGAAGCCCACTTGGAGAACCTGAGTGGAACCACCCAGGACCTGCGTCGGCAATACCAAGAGCTCTCCAGCAAGCGGAGTGAGCTCGAGGCCCGGAAGTCCGTTCTGGAGGTTGAGCTCCGAGAGAATCTTAATCCTCGTCTCGACCAGCTTTTGAATCGAGATATCGACATGGCTGAGGATGAGGTGCAGGGCAATCTTAAAGAGACTCAGCGCGAGCAAAAGCGCCTCAACAAAGCATTGGAAAAGCTCAACGAACGTCTCCAGCAAGTCGATACCTCCATTGAGGAGTCGACTACTCGGGTCAGCGAACTGCAGCAACGTAACGTCGAGACACGACGCGAGATGGAAGACCTTGCCCGGTCTATCGAAAAGTACCAGCGTCGCATGGAAAAGAGCATGCAAAAGAAGTCTGCTCTTACCAAGCAAGCTGCTGAATCTGCTGCCAACATCCGGGACCTAGGTGTCCTTCCCGACGAAGCTTTTACCAAGTACCAAAAAACCGACTCCAACGCCGTGGTCAAGAAACTTCACAAGACAAATGAGGCTTTAAAGAAGTACTCGCACGTCAACAAGAAAGCGTTTGAGCAGTACAACAACTTTACTAAGCAGCGCGAAACGCTTACTACGCGCCGAGAGGAGTTGGATGCGTCCCAGAAATCGATCGATGATTTGATTTCTGTTCTGGATCAGCGCAAGGACGAAGCGATCGAGCGAACCTTCAAGCAGGTGTCACGCGAGTTTGCCAATGTTTTTGAGAAGCTGGTTCCTGCCGGACGTGGTCGTCTTATTATCCAACGCAAGACTGACCGCGCCGCGCGAGTTGGGGAGGATGCTGATTCAGACGATGAAGCGGCGAGAGAGAGTGTGGAGAACTACGTTGGCGTGGGCATCAGTGTGAGCTTCAATAGTAAACACGATGATCAGCAGCGTATTCAGCAGCTAAGTGGTGGACAGAAGAGTAAGTCTAATCTTTTCTTTTGGGATTTTTTTTGTCCCTTTCTTTGATTCACATCAACTAACAGTGCTATTTAGGTTTGTGTGCTCTGGCCTTGGTATTTGCTATCCAAGCCTGTGACCCGGCCCCATTTTACCTATTTGATGAGATCGACGCCAACCTGGATGCTCAGTACCGGACAGCTGTGGCCCAGATGTTGAAGTCGATCTCGGATTCCACCAATGGGCAATTTATCTGTACGACATTCCGACCGGAGATGCTCCACGCGGCAGAAAAATGTTATGGTGTTAGCTTCCGACAAAAGGCTAGTACTATTGACGTGGTTTCGAGAGAAGAGGCTCTGAAGTTTGTTGAGGAGCAGAAGACTTGATGAAGACTGTCAATGGCTTTATCTTTTTTTTGTATATTTTCATGTTTGTGTGAACTGGCGTATGTGATACCGGAATGAGATGAATATTTTTTTTTGCTCTAATAAATCCTTCCCAAACTCGAAGTCCGGCGTCACATGCTGACGTGTATATAGAATCTAATGTCTAGTAACTGTAGTGGTCTTTCAATCTCGGCTCTCCTGACCATTCCGCCAGGATATCTTCAGGCACATCCCTTACCAAAATGTGAACATGTTCCAATGCCCTGACACTCTGCAACCCAACCCAGTTTTTGAACCACAACACGTGAGTCTCGGGAGTAACAAAGCGCCCAGCCTTGTCCTCGGCCAACCTTTGAACAAATTTACGCTTCACAAAATTATCGATCAGCTTCCGAGATTCACATGTCAAATGCCCTTCATCCGACTCCACAGGAATTGGTGTGCGCAACCACACAACCAGGTGAGAAATGCCGGGGGCCATGCCGTAAGGCCAGTCATTGCGCAGAATTCGGTAATCAGATGGATCGGCAAATGGCCGCGGGTTTTTGAAGGTCAGGACTCCACCGGAAGCCGAAGAGCCCGCGCCATTCACCGCAGCTGGATCCTGTGTATCCGGTGCAGGCACAGTCCCCGACAAATTAGACGGAAGTGGCCATTTCAAGCGTCGTAAACAAATGTAGTTCATCATCGAGCCATACTCGATCTTCGTCTCATCCGACCACCTTATGTATCGGCGTAGATCGGAAGGCTTCCGCTTTAAAGCCGCGAGATCGTTCCGTGCTGTGATTCGATGAGGGGCTGAGGAAAAAAGGGACTTGGAGAATGAGGGGGACGCGAGGCTTACCGATAATGTCTTGTAGATTGTTCCAGTCATGAGGGACGAATTCCTCGTCGGTCATGGCTAGAAGCTGTAGATCCAGCGGGGTGAGGTTGAATGATGCAGGCATATTCTGGATTTGCATGGGGAAACGGCGAAAACAAGCAAGTCCGAGGTCTTTGCAAGTCGAGTCCTTTCCCTCCTACCGTATACTTATTCCTAAAAGTAAAATCGCGGGGAAAACAACGACAAAACGGGAGGGAAATTCCGTTGGGCGGAACCAACATAAACTCTTTTTCCTCCTTGGAATTTGTGCTTCTTCAACCACTTCTCTACCCTGTCAAGATGAGGTATGTTATTATTGCTTGGGTCTCATGGATTTCGTGAATTCCCTTTGAAAGTTTCATGCAATCCCCTTTTTTGGTCTTCAATGCCGCAGTTCCTAACTTTCCGCAGTGCCTTCCTGGTCCTCCTACCCTCGGCCCTGCTGGTCGCAGGTGTCTACGCGGTGAAGCCTGAGTTTGTCGCCTACGCTGTCGCCATTGCCGGTGTTCTGTCCAGTGCCGCCTTCTTCCTGGGTGGTAGCAGCAGTACGATCTCTCCCCCAATCCCTGATCGCACGACCAATTACCATACAGAATCGCTAACTTCATTTTCCCCTAACAGAGCCGCGCAAGGTCCTGATCCCCAACGAGTTCCAAGACTTCGAGCTCAAGGAGATCAACAATATCTCCCACAATGTCGCCATCTACCGTTTTGCCCTCCCCCGCCCCACCGACATCCTCGGTCTCCCCATCGGCCAGCACATCTCTCTCGCCGCTACTATTGCTGGTCAGCCCAAGGAGGTTGTCCGCTCCTACACCCCCATCTCGTCCGATAATGAGGCCGGTTACTTCGATCTGCTCGTCAAGGCTTATCCCCAGGGTAACATCTCCAAGTACCTGACCGAGCTCAAGATCGGCCAGACCATGAAGGTGCGCGGTCCCAAGGGCGCCATGGTCTACACCCCCAACATGTGTCGCCACATCGGTATGATCTCTGGTGGTACCGGTATCACCCCCATGCTCCAGATCATCGAGGCTATCATTCGCAACCGTCCCCAGAACGGCGGTAACGACACCACCAAGATTGACCTGATCTTCGCCAACGTCAACGCCGAGGACATTCTGCTCAAGGAGAAGCTCGACAAGCTGCACCAGGCTGACCCTGACTTCAACGTCTACTATGTCCTGAACACCCCTCCCGCTGCCTGGGCTGGTGGTGTTGGCTTCGTGACCGCCGATATGATCAAGGAGCGTCTCCCTGCCCCCGCCAGCGATGTCAAGATCCTTCTCTGTGGTCCTCCCCCCATGGTCAGCGCCATGAAGAAGGCCACTGAGTCCCTGGGCTACACCAAGGCTCGCCCCGTTAGCAAGCTTGAGGACCAGGTCTTCTGCTTCTAAGCGCTCACATTCCATTGAATGTATCAAAAGTAACTCATTTGGAGTTTTTATGGGAATTTCAATGAGTCGTACTGGACTGGAATAGATTCTGGGCTCGGTAGATGTCCCTTAGAATTTTGGTGGAGAACTGGGTCCGGTGTAAATGTGAAAGGGTCTGGATATAGACGTTTACAAACGTGAATGATAACTCTGCTTGAATTATAATTCTATGTATTTCTTTCGAAGAATGGGCTCTTTTTTCCTTTCAAACCTTGGAAATTGGATTATTGTATTTTTTCAGGCGAAATTTACCTTGTTTGATCATCAGTTGCTCCAATGAAACATTTCAAATCCCACCTAGTAGGCAGTGGATGCCTCACATTCTAGAATCAATTGATATCCATAATGTCCATGCCCTAAATGTGGAACATTCAAGTCCACCTTGGAAACTGGTTGGGTAAAAAAGCACTACATAGACATCCATCCAAAGTTGCATCCATGGACAGGACCTCGAGAGGTGTAGGTATATGTGGCCCGGCATGACTTCAATGTTGGGAAATCGAAGACTGGTTCCTCTATATCTCCGAGTCTGGATTCAAAGACCTAGTTTTACCCACAGGCAACCTTGGAAACTTAGATACATTTCGATCGATCCAGCTGGGCAAGCCCTATATGAGTATTTGGAGATGAAATGCTCTCAATTTGAAGAGAAGAAGGAATGAAAGAGTGAATTCCGTCCATAGAGCGCACCAAAAAGGCATGGAGCGTCAAGTAAAGTAAAATATATACATCGAAAGAAAGGTATGTAAAGGTAATGGTATAAAGCATGAGTCGTGACAATCCAAGACCACCCACCGTGGCAGGCAGGCTCGTAAATAAATCTTCCTCCCATGGAAGGAAGCAAGAAAGAAGAAGAGAAAAATAATAAGGAACGCCCCCAGTATCCAGAAAGATGAATGATATCAAAGCTAGTGCTTCAAATCCACATTCTTCATCTCGACCCACGGCTCTCCCTTTCCATCCGAGATGATATTATGCGGAACCCTCTCATCCGAGCCACGTGAAGAAGCGACGGTAGTAGCCCCCTCCTTCATCGAAGAGATGGAGATGGTAGTCGTGATCAACGGCGGCGGGTAGTTCTGCGGGAAATTCGGCGACAACGGACTGGCGACAGCCGTTGATCCGTATAGTGGGACAGAGCCGTATGCCTGGTTGTTCTTGTACGCGTATTGGGGACCGCTTCGAGATGCGGTCGATTTGATGAATCTGTGGGTGAAGGGGCGGAAGAGGGGCCAGACTGGTGGGATAGACATTGTGATGAGGACGATCCATTCCTCGACTTCTCCCCAGCGGAAGAGGGTTCCGACGCCGTCTGGTGATGTGTTAGTTTGTGTTTTAGATAAGAGATGAGATGGGATGAGATGAGATGCTTACAGGAAGAATCGGTGGTAAGAATGAACTTTGCAGCCCAGGTTCGCACGATGGCAGCAGCACCGGCGAAGATACCGCATCCCATGAGGAAACTCAGACCCCACTTGAGCTTTCGGTCGATACGCAATGGAATGAGCATGTGCATGGGGACAATGGCGAGGTAGAAGTCGGATATAGCGGCGACTGCGCCGACGAAGTAGGTATAGTATACACTTTTTCTGTGGTCACAGTTTGCCTGCCTCAGGGGATCCCATAGCGAGGGCACGGGATCGCACTGGAACCATACCAGTAGGATTTGTGGGATGTTGAGGACGATGTTCAAAACGGCGACGGCGATAAGACTGCGACGAATTTTGGGGTCTATGGTGGGTTTGTGAGGTGAGCAATTGGAAGTTTCAATCTTCGCGCACAAAGTGGGGGGAGGGGGAGAAGGAGGGGCTTACTGCTGGGCCCATTCATTTCCAGCAAGAAAGCAGCCACGGCGACTTTGCCGGTGGGAATGGCGAGGTTGAAGAAAAAGACAGTGATCCATGTAAATAGTAGGAAGTTGTGCAATTGGCCAACTTCAGTAATGACAGTGATATGGTTTCCGAGACCATGAAGGACTGATAGAATTCCGAAAACCTGAGTGAGGGTGGTGAAGAACTGCGAGAGGTGTAAGTGGATGCATCTCTATGTAGTATGTAGCTGTTGATTAGATAGTATACTACATACCCAAGCAAGGAGTGACAATGACAAGGCAGTTGTGCCGAATTTGTTAATTCTCAAGCGCACATAAAGACGCATAACCATAAAGATAGTGGCAATGACACCCAGGGCAATACCCAGACGCAAATCGCTTGGCCCTTGGCCTCCATAGGCGGGGAATCTGTCCTGGAGGGACATTATCAAAAGAATGACAAGGAGTAAAAAGCAAGACCCATTTTCCGGGGAACGGGCTCGAGGGTATGGTGGCGCCGGGCTTTATAAAGGATAATGCTAATGTTACAATCGAGGCTGAACGGTGGATCTGAACGCGATTCGAATGATTCGAATGATTCGCTTGAAAGCCCAAATTCCCCGGTGGAGTCGTGCAGGAACTAAAACGCTTAGTTTAGTGCCGATCTGGTGGAGCGACTATCGATTCTTCGCTCTTTTGTCTGCCGCGATTGGCTCCACCAAAGTTAGACGAAGCAATTTGACCAATTTCCCCAAGCCACAATGACAGATGTCAAATAGTGAATATTGTTGGAAGCCTGATGTGATTCATCACACAAGACACAACTGCAATTTGGAATCCCACGAGTTCGGGAGCTGTGAACACACTGCATATGCAGGCCCTTTTTTTTTTCTTGCTCGGCTTGCAGGGACCTAATCCACATTCACCTCCTTCTTCCGGTCTTACAATTGCACGGTGATCTTACTTCAAAGGGGAATTCCTTACCCTCGTGGTCCTGGTTTTCCATGGTCGTTGTGGGGTCAATGCATCGGCAAAAACTGGGTTCCCCTGAATCATGCATCCGGATGAATGGCCAGGGTTTTTTGATGTTTTGAGGACGCAGATATGGAGTGTATCTCAACTCTGAAGCTCTTTGTTCTCAATGGTCTTCTTTATTATTTGCTTTTCTGCGGGCTCCGAATGCGACCGATTGGCTCTGGGAGACTTGACTCTTCCCAAGGTTTCATACTAGTAGATACATGTACTTCCAAGGTTCAATCAAATCCTTCGATAGTTCAGAAGTCACAGGAAATCCGGGAAAATTGTGAAAATTGTGATATTTCGTATCCTTCGTACGGTAAGTCGACCAATTATTGAATTCTCACCCAAGGACTGAGGTGGACGATTATCAGATCAACCTCAGTGCGAGCCGTGTGCTGCCCCCACTTTCAGGGCTTCGAAAGGGCAGTGATCGCCTCACTTACATTATGGAGCATTTCTGGCGCCTCGTGTCCTGATTCCGGCAGTTCCACCTGAGTTTGAACTCCATGAGGTACATGTTTTTGACTCAGAGATATCTAAGCATGGACCAATTATTTATTTAACGGTGTGGAGTATGGGCTTTTACTATTTCAAGAAGGCGGGCAATCTTCAATCATTACTATGAAATAAGAAAATGGAGGACGCAAGTGGTCAATTCTTCTTTCAAGGTCAGCTACCTACAGCCCCGGCCCCTCACATCCTTGAAGCCCAGTCAGGCAGCCGGCTCAGCCAGCTCAGCCGCGCGCTGTAATTCCTTTTGGATGGCCTTAATTAGGGCTTCAACCGGCACTGTATCCTTCTCAGCCTCCCATACTCTGGACCAGCAGAGGCTCCGCATATCATTCGCGTTCCAGTTGAAGCCGTGCTCGACCCGCCCTCCTTGGATATTGATATGCACCTTAAAGTTGGTGTCCTTGAGCAGTTTGAAAGGAAACTTCAAATAGACAAGCTCCTTCGCCACATTGTCAATATCAATCTGGGCCCCGTCGTACTTCAATTTGTTGGGCGGGCTCGGCATTTGGCTCATAAACGCATCTTCCCATTGCTTCTGGGAGAGGTAACGGCAAATGAGAAACAACTGAACTCGGATTTCTTTGAGTTGAGGGAAGGCCTTTTGCATATTTCTGCCCAGCTTTACGAACTCGTTCGGTTTGCGAGGGGCGGAAGACGCTGGAATGGTGTTGTGCCAGAGTCCAAACGCGGTCTCGAAGCGGAATTCACACGGGTTGCTGTAGACGACTTCGATGGAGCGACACATAGAAATGCATCGGATGTTGCATAAACGCGAATGGTTTGCAAAGGCCCTTGAAGCGACAAGAGCTAACAAATCCACGGCATTGCACACTTGAACGCAAAAGCCCTTGTCAACAACTTCTTTACCCTCGCCATAGATCTGTTTGTTGGTCATCAACCACCGCTTCGGATGATTCAATTCCTCCCATTTTGGAATCTCGACGTGTCGAGGACAATTGCCATCAATCCCCCAGAGGGTTTCTCCCGTGTCTCGAAGATGGATGGCGGTCTTGCTTTGAGCGTTGTAGACTTTACTTGCGTGAATGGGGATATCTACCACTGCTTCCCATATCATAAGACGAAGTTCTGCTGGCAACGAAAGTAGACGGCTTTGTCCCATCGGGTTTGAATGCTGGTCGCCTGCGACCATTGACATGATGACTTGGTATGATGGATTTTGGCAAGTATGCAATGAGTGAGGCTGCAAATTTTCAGGGCTGAGAAAATAGAAGAGAAGGGATTTCGAGAGTCAGGGAAGATGTCTAGGTGCATTAAATGAAAAGCGTCATAACAAACATTGAAGAGGTCCGAGGCGATTACGCTGAACCGGGGTAATGCTCGTGCGAGGCAATAACGACTAAGATGCCATAAACAGGTATATGGAACAAAAAGTATCACAATAAACATCAAAGAACACCGAGTCGATTACGCTGAACCGTGGTTATGCTCGTTTCGTGTTATACGGCAACTCATGGCCAAGCGAGGCAATAACGACTAAGATGCCTATATGCAGGTGCATGAAACAAAACAGCATCGCAATGAACAATGAAGATCACCGAGGCGATTACGCTGAGCGGTAATTATGCTTGTTTCGTGTTATACGGCAACTCATAGTCAAGCGAGGCAATAACGACTAAGCGATTGAATTCGGGTATTCTATACTCGTAATCTGCTCGGCTAGGCTGTTCGGTACTCATTCATGAGAGGTTGCTGGGGATTTATTTCTCTTGTTATAGAAGGTGTTCAAAATTGACTCGAGCCGCGTAACGTATTGGATATTATTGATCGCCACTTGGACGAGCATGGATGAGGGGATTTAACGATTCAGAAACGACATAAATCTGGCATTCCCACCGATCTTAACTTACCTTTGTCGTGATTCCAATTCCTCCTCTCCACGCTCTTTCACTGCAATTCACTAGCATCAAAGGTATGAACACATTATCTTGCACATACCTTTGCTTGGATAAAGTTAATCATGTTCAGATCTGCGTGCGCAATCGCACCCTCCATCTCTCCATCTCTCCATCCATCAAGTTGCTGGTCTGGAAGCGCCTCTGGAAGGCCTTCTTATCCTGTCAGTACCGTGAGGTTCACCAAAAAGCTCATTCAGTCCCATCTTACTAACATATATCAGGATGGCGTGGAGCCCGTCTCGGCTGAGACCTGTGTGGTCGCCCGGTGGCCCTTGGCCCAAGCCCGGCAGACGACTGGAGTCGGATTCGGAGGAGAGTGACGACGACGAGGAGTCCACCGAGGACGACAGCAGCACCGAGGCTGGCGAGGAAGAAGACTCTGGATCTGAGTCTGGGGAGGAAGTGAGCTTTGAGGAGGAAGTGAGCTCTGGGGAGGAAGTGGGCTTTGGGGAGGAAGTGAGCTCTGGGGACGAAGTGAGCTCTGGCGAGGAGAGCGAGGACGAGGACGGGGATGAGGATGAGGCCGAGGCCGAAGGCCGGGCCCACAACATTTGAACGTCATTCAGTCCTGAAAAGGCTGGTGGCTGCCATTTGTTGTGCCTGTGGTGATGGGGTGGGATGACGGGGCTGGTGGACATGGCGCTGGACGCCCTTATATAGTTAGTAGGCATTTGATGCCTCAATGAAAGCACAGCCTTCGTCGTTCCCAAGTCTTCTCTTTGCGCTTGGCTTCCTTCTTTTCTCCATGGGACTCTCTATCTAGTCCGATGTTCCCATCAAGTAGTTTCCTCCCGGGTTGATCAGCCCCAGGGCAATACCTGATTACCTACGAGTCCATCAGAAAGATGCTAAATAATGATTCAGAGGGCCGTAGTGACTTCCAAAGTCAACAATGAAAGAGAAAAGTCTACCCGGGTGATCTCTCATGCTTTGACAAATATTCCTGCGTTATCTATCACCTCGAGAGCTCAGTGAACTTTGACCCGTTCAGCAGAATCCCTCACCTTCTGATCTGTTATGCCCCAGCGAACTATCAAACTTTGGGACACTTATCAAGTTTACATGAGTTCATCAACATCGAGGTTGATGATAACTTCCAAGGTTTGACCTGTTGAGATTTTTGGAGGTCAGTAATGGGTGGGAATCGAGCGATCTGTAAATAAAGCTGGCCAATCATCAATTTGCAAGACTGTAGAGGAGGAAGTTAGGTACCAGAAAATGTGTATCATTTGACGGAATAAATAGGTATTATACCTATCTGTCCCGACATACAGGGCGGTCGCAAGGTGCATGCACAGTGTGCTCGGGGGGCCCGGGGACCGTACATGGTGGTGTGAGTTCGGGTGTCAGGGGGCATGTGTCAAGCCAGTATGCAAATGTGGGTACAAATTGGGTAAAGCAAAGGAAAGCGAGGGGTAGTAGACACATGTGCATACATTTTCAAAAATTTAATGTTGTAAAATGAAACATTTGAATTCATGAATTCTTAATCTCGAGATATACATATCAACACATGCCTATTTACCTTTCCCAAATGTGCACTCAAAATTCAATGAATCTGAATCATTTCTTCAATCATCTTAAGGAAATTCTGACGATACTCTGTCGACGTCGTTGTGATAGACATAGGACCCTGACGACCAACAACATTAAAGGTTTGTACCACTCCAGACAGAGCCTGGGCTTGTAACTTGTGCCGAGCCCAGAAGAAGTCCAATATCACCGCACGATATTTCCACTTGCCATCGGCAGACAGCAACCCCGTCCTCCAGGGACTTTGTCGTCCCAGAGCAGTAGGCTGAGAGGAAGCTGGAATTCTCACAAGGAACAAAGAATAATCAACAGCGTTTGCCTCTTGCAAAAATTTGGTGTCGGCTTTGAGGGAGTCCCAGAAAGTGGCATAATCTTTCCGCCAGAGATGTAATTTGTCGCTGAATGTATCCGCAAGCCTGCTCAGGGTCTCCTCACTGACAAGAGACTCAGGCATGAGATCCCGCTCGGGATAGAAATAGTCAATTGGTTTGAGATCGTACGTTTCCCATTTCTGACCATTGGGGTCATCGGGTTGGCCACAAAGGATATTCTCCATGATGATATGATGCGCCGGTGTGCAGCCAAAAAGCGTGCCTAAGGTCGTATATGGTGCGACTATGTAGTCGGTAATCCAAACCAATGCAGAATCTGGATTTTTCACCATATATTCATAATATGGCTCAAGCAGGTCCGCTTCGAAGAAAGAGTATTCAAATCTTCGAGGCAGACTTTTAATCACGAAGCATCCATCGAAGGTGCTAAAAAACGACTGGCGACAATGTTTTAGCCCTGCCTATATTACGTAGAAGCTGTGGCTTGGAGGGGAGAGAATATTACACACCGATCCAGAATACCCCAGATCACCTATAGCCTTGAGAGCCTGCTGGCCGCTGTTGGTGCGAAAGCTTGCTTGATAATCGTCTTCCTTGAATTTCCAGACTTCCTGTCGTAGCTTGCAAAACAAGTCGCTCTCAAATCGGACGAGCTTGATTCGCCGCACGGTGAAAAATGCTATAAATCGACCCCATGAGGTCTTTTTGAATCGATTTGGGTCGCGAAGCAAGCCTGCTTGGATGGATTTAGTCAAGGCTGATTCTCGTCGTTTGGACCCCATTTTTAAGAACAGGACCTTTGCATAAACATGATAGATGATATGGATAAGTGTTGGAATTAAGATATCTTTTGCTTTTATCTTGCTTTCAACCTTGGAAATGTCATCTAATCTAAAATAACCAGCTAAGTGACTAGTGACGTCAAACATTCTCAAGGCGGGTAGTGATTGGTGGTAAAGCAGCACTATGAATCTAGTGAACTCTATCTTTAGATTGATGAGTTTCTAAGCTTATATTTACGCTTGATACTGCCTTGAATAGCTAATTTGGCAATTGGCCAATTAGATAATTGTATCCAAATGTTAATATACAGTGGTTTCAAGGCTTAATTTCTGAATCAGGTTGTGATCTGTTTGGAGTGGTTCTTAAGACCTACTTACGGAGGATAAACAGATGGCGATGTTTGGGTATACTTGTACTACATAAGCATCTCAACCACCGAAAAGCCTTGGAACTTGTAAATTATTTTAGTTCAATAGTTAGTCTGTGTTCTGAAGAAGAAGTTAATGTCAAGACTCAGTGAATACAACATGCATGAACTGTACAAAAGGAACATAAATGCACATAAAATACCCCGCGATGCTATAGATGCCCACGTGACACACCGCCCTGTCATAGCAGACTGAGTCACAGCAAAAAAACGAAAATGAAAACCAGTAAAAAAGAAGAATTGGCTGTCCGAGAAATTCCCCTCTTTATGGGTCGCAGTTTCTTAAGCGGGGCTCAGCGACTTTCAGGTCTTTTTTCCCTCCCTCGATCTTACCTCCAATCGCGACTCCCTTCTACTCTTAACTTGACATCCACCGCTTCTCGTGCATCACTGCACCGCCCTGCGCGTTTTACTTCGTCTTTCGCAAACATGTCCGACCTCTCATCCTCCGTCCAGGCTCTTACCCTCCAATCCACAACTACTACATCCGATTTCCCAGGATGTTTCCCCTCCTTGAACCCCATGGACATCTACCGTGAGCACATTGCGACTGAGCTAAGCAAGGGCACTGGCATTGATGCCGAGCTCATCTATACCCGTCTTGCCTGGACCAACACTCTCGACAAGGGCGATTTGTCCCTGCCGGTACGTCAGCTGAAATGGCATACATATAGCGCTGGATTGCATTGTTTGTTGGCATTTATACTAACCTTCTGTCACACCCCAGGTCGCTTCCCTCCGTATTAAGAAGAAGCCTCAAGAGCTCGCTGAGGAACTTCGCTCAAAATTCCCCGAATCCGATCTCGTCCACCCCCCAACCGCTTCTGGTCCCCAGCTGCAATTCTTCTGCAAGCCCCAGCCTCTGGCCAAGACTGTTCTTGGCCGTATCCTTACTGAGAAGGCTGCCTACGGTACAAATGGAAATGCTGGTCTGAAGGACCCCAAGGACCCCTCCAAGGGCCAGAAGAAGATCATCATTGAGTTCTCTTCACCCAACATTGCGAAGCCTTTCCACGCTGGTCACCTGCGTAGTACCATCATCGGTGGTTTCCTTGCCAACTTATACACTGTTCTGGGATGGGACGTGATCAAGATGAACTACCTTGGTGACTGGGGTAAGCAGTACGGTCTTCTGGCCAATGGATTCGAGTACTTCGGTAATGAGGAGGCCTTGCAAAAGGACCCCATCAACCACCTGTTCGACGTTTATGTCAAGGTCAACGGCCTGGTTGCCGAGCACGACAAGCCCATCAAGGAACTCAAGGAGGAGATTAAGGCGAAGAAGGAGAAGAACGAGGATGTCTCCGCTCAAGAGGCCGAGCTTGCCAAGCTTGTTGAGACCAGTGAGGATGAGAAGGCCCGCCGCTACTTCAAGAGCATGGAGGATGGCAACCCTGAGGCATTGGCTCTCTGGCGCCGTTTCCGTGACTTGAGTATCGCCAAGTACAAGCAGACCTATGCTCGTCTCAACATTGACTTTGATGTCTACTCTGGTGAATCCCAGGTCAAGAGCGAGAGCATGACCAACGCCTACAAGGCCATGGAGAAGGCCGGCGTTGCTGAGGAGTCCGAGGGTGCCATCATTGCCGACTTCACCAAGCACAATGCTAAGAAGCTTGGAAAGGCCATCATTGTCCGCAAGGATGGTACTCCCCTTTACCTGACCCGTGACATCGGTGCCATTACCGAGCGTGACGAGACTTACCACTTCGACAAGATGATCTACGTCGTCGCTTCCCAGCAGGACCTTCACCTCGCTCAGCTCTTCAAGATCACCGAGCTGATGGGCCGCAAGGACCTTTCCGACCGTTGCGAGCACATCAACTTTGGTATGGTGCACGGTATGAGCACCCGCAAGGGTACTGTTAAGTTCTTGGATGACATTCTGCGGGATGTCGGTGACAAGATGCACGAGGTCATGAAGAAGAACGACGCCAAGTACCAGCAGGTCGCCGACCCAGTGCAGACCGCCGATACCCTTGGTATCACCGCTGTCATGGTCCAGGATATGACTGGCAAGCGGTAAGTGATTCCATTAATCTGTCTCACACCTTCAATCCCAACTGACAAATTAAATTTTTTTTAGTATCAACGGCTACACCTTCAACTTGGAAGCCATGACCTCCTTCGAGGGTGACACCGGTCCTTACCTGCAGTACGCTCACGCTCGTCTTTGCTCCATGACTCGCAAGTCTGAGTTGAACGTGGATGACTTGCCCTCGGCCAACTTCGATCTCCTCACTGAGCAACACGCCATTGATCTCATCCGTCTGCTTGCCACTTGGCCCGATGTCCTCCTTAACACTGCCAAGACCCTGGAGCCCGTCACCGTGCTGGCCTACCTCTTCCGCATGACCCACATGTTGAGCTCCAGTTACGATGTCCTCAAGGTCCTTGGCAGTGAGCCCGAGGTCAAGAAGGCCCGCATGGCTCTATATGCTGCTGCTCGCCAGGTCCTGCACAATGGTATGCGGGTTCTTGGCCTTAACCCTGTTCAACGGTATGTTTACCTCGCTTCTATGCATCTTCTATTTCCCATGCTAATTGTTTCTGCAGTATGTAAATTCATACTTTCTCCTTTCACGCTTTTGAAAGATCATCTTAGCTATATTTTCTTTATTGGTTTCGTTTTTTTGGTTTGGATGCATTCGGCGCTCAGAGCTAGACAAGAAAATTCACGGCTGCTATTCCTCATATTATTACCCTACTCCAGAAATATTACCTCATTTCTAAAAGATCAACGGCTATTTTCTTGGCACACGTTCGTTGGGCAAAACAAAGCGATTGTGCCCGTCGCTAAAGAAAAAAAAGCAAAAACATTTGAAAGAAAATCAAATACTTAGCGCTCCTCGGGGCTCAAGCGCAGAGCTAATATGCACAATGCATATCTTTCTAACCGAGAACCACTTGTACATAGTTCACCTCGTTGCCAAGTCCACTTGCCTCCTTCTCACGATAAAAGCTGTGAACCTTCCATACGAGCATATTTTTATACGAGCATATCTCGATCCAATGATTTGGGAAACAATGATAACGGGCTTTGAAAACCTTTCAATATCCGAGTCTGAACGGCGACCACGGGCTCCACTGATCTTACATCAGCCCTAGTCCCATGTTCAAGCGGGCCGGGCCCCAGCGCCACGCCCCATCTTCACGATCGGCGACCATGTAGTCCGTCCGGAGAGGGGACCAGCTGAAAAAATAAGAAGGGAAACATAAGCCAATAGCCCCTCTCATGTAAGCCCCGGCCGTATTAGCAGGATCTGGTCCCCGCTGACCTATGAGCTCTGCTCCCCCTAGGGGAAAAAATTCACTTTATAAAGCATCCACCTGGCCCATGATGCTTTTAAGTTGAAGGTCGATCAACTGGGTACCCCGGAGATCAGTGCATGATCTCGATCGCGACCGACAGGCGGGATAAAGGTAGAAAAAAAATAACCACACAAACAGCATTGCGCAGACATGGATAGCACTGCTTTTGATCCCCAGACGGGTTCTCCGGACCTGGACCTGGAACGCAACGAGGATGTCGGACGCCACTTTTTGACGAATGGCTCTGTGTCGCGGTTCTCGTGGACTGGGCTGAACGTTACTGTGAAGGATCGGCAGAGCAAAGAACCGCGGGATCTGATCCATGATATTAATGGTGATGTGCGGCAGGGTATGTGAATGGCGCATGCATGCATGCTGAATTCGATTGATCGATGCGATGCAATGCTAATGTTTGTCTTGCGCTGTACAGGAGAGCTGGTCGCCCTGATGGGTCCGTCTGGGTGTGGAAAGACGACGTTGCTCAATGTGCTGGCTCGTCGGCCTGCTACCTCCAACGCGAAGGTGACTGGGGAAACCTATGTTAATGGAGCCACGATTGAATCCGGTGCGTTTGGTCGGATGACTTCGTACGTTGAGCAGGAGGATGCATTGATCGGGTCGATGACTGTACGGGAGACATTGAAGTTTGCGGCCGACCTATCGTTGCCTAGGTATGTCATGCTTGCGAAGTTTGGTGTTGTTGTTTTTTTTTCTTGTGGCTTGTTCTTGTGCTGTGCTGATGATGCTGCTGCTGGGAAGTTCTGTGTCAAAGCGTCAGCGGATGGAGCGGATCCGTACTTTGCTCGAGGCATTTGGGATTCAAAAACAGACAGACTCACTCATTGGGACTCCGATTCGAAAGGGGATAAGCGGGGGGCAGAAGAGACGTGTTAGCGTGGCGAGTCAGTTGATCACATGTCCCAAGATTTTGTTCTTGGATGAACCGACCAGTGGCTTGGATTCGACTGCGAGTTTTGAAGTCATCTCCTATGTGAGGAAATTGGCGAGGGAAAGCAATGTAAGTGCAAACAAAGTGTACAGTCGTCGCTCCGCATATCTTTTTGTTTATTAGTTCTGACGGTATAGATCATAATCATCGCCAGTATCCACCAACCCTCGACGACGACATTCCAGCTGTTCGATAAGCTACTTCTCCTTTCGGCCGGGCGGACATGTTTCTTCGGTCCTGTTTCAAATGTCGGGGAGTACTTCCGAGACATTGGGCATTCCATCCCGGGCAACACCAACCCGGCGGAGTTTCTTCTCGACCTCGTGAGCTCGGATTTCAGCGCGTTAACCGACGATGCGGATACTAGAGTACAGCAGATTCAGTCTGCCTGGGCGGAGTCAACAGAGGCACAGAGCGTGACTGCTAAGACATCGGAGAGGTTGCAGCTTTCAGAGAAGGATGTGGACGCCGCTGGGGATCAGCTGGCTGGTGCCGGAGCTCTCAAGATCATTGCGACTCTGCTCCATCGGTCGTTCATCAAGAGCTACCGAGATGTGGTTGCCTATGGGATTCGCATTGTGATGTACCTTGGTGTGTACATCTGTTTCCCGGTTAATAACTTCCACTGACTGGTTTAGGTCTCGCAATCATGATGGGGACAGTGTGGCTACGCTTACATCCATCCCAGGACTATATCCAGCCATTTATCAACGCCATTGTAAGGATGCCTAATGTTCTCAGAGATATTCCTCAGGAGATAAACAAGCAAATGCCCTGTACTAACAGCTCCCAGTTCTTCGGATCCGCTTTCATGTCTTTCATGGCTGTAGCGTACGTGCCAGCCTTCTTGGAGGACCGAGCGACTTTTGCCAAAGAAAGAGCCAACGGACTTTACGGAGCCACACCGTTCATGATCTCGAACTTCCTGATCGGACTCCCCTTCTTGTGTATGCAGTACCACCACCCGCGCACGGCGATCGTACTAACCAGACTTAGTTTTGATCTCCGTCCTCTTCTCAATCATCTCGTACTGGCTGTCGAATTTCCAACCCACAGCCTCCGCCTTCTTCACCTGGGTAATGTGGCTCTTCCTTGATCTCTTGGCTGCCGAATCCCTCGTCGTTTTCGTCACTGCGATCTTCCCCAACTTCGTCATCTCCCTCGCGCTAGTGGCCTTTGCGAACGGACTCTGGATGAGCGTGGGTGGGTTCTTGGTGACACCGACGATCCTCAATCCATTCTGGAGATATGTGTTTCACTACATCGATTATCAGGTGAGGGAGGAACGAGTCTATTGAAAAATGGCTTGTTTAGTGCTAACTCTATTACCAGGCCTATGTCTTCCAGGGAATGATGGTCAATGAATTCGCTGAACGAACTTACTCGTGTGGCGATGGATGTCGGTGTTTGTATGATACGGACTTGGCGTCGCAGTGCCAGATTCGGGGAACTGCCGTTCTAGAGACTTATGGGTATGCAACAGGTCGGACAGGGAAATGGGTTGGCATTCTCCTTGGAATTATTGCTGTATATAGGCTCTTTGGCTTGATTGCGCTGCATTTGCGTAGGACTTGATGCAACTCATGGATTCGAGGTGGTAAATAGCAGAAGGTATGACCACAAGGTACATCCTCTGATGTACATGTATATTTGTTCATATCATGAAAGACGGACTTGCAATATCTAGAAGCTGGATCTTATTACAGCTTCGAGAATGCCAACAAAAAAAACATTGAAAACATTGAAAACAATTGAGCTTCACTATTCAGACAGGGTCATACGTGGACGGACTCCTCCCGCCTCACTTTCTCGCTCTTTCTCCGTCCCCTCGAATCGAAGCTGCTGTAGCACCCGAAGGGCTAATCACAGGCCAGCGTCCCCCTGATCCAATCCTTTCACCACAATGACTTATCTCTGTACGACATGTACCCACGATCAGATCACCCGAGTCCCTAACAGATCCCCGCCAAAGAGCTTCTCAATTGCGCGATCGACACGAGCTCTTCAAATGGATCCGCATTGAACGCCGATCAATAGGTACCAAGTTGCACGAATCTCCCATAAAACAATGTATTGATCTAGCAATCTATTAATCTATTCAGCGGCATCCAAGTTCCGAGTTACAAGTCTCCATCTCATACTAAATTGAGTGCACAAAGGAGCGGTGAAGATGTCCCGATAACCGTGATGCCACCGTGCAGAGCTGAGGAAGCAAGGGGGTGCGCGTGCCGCTCCAAGTATCCTCCGAGGGCCAAGGAAAACGAGCAAATCACGAATCATCGTCCAGTGCGACGGTCGCTGCCATCTACCAAGTTCAATTTTAATTCGACGTTGATAAATGTCATTGGAATGCTAATTTATCACGGGCATGACATGCGTACAGACGTGAAGCTTATTAATTAGCCATGGTACGCTGCTATACTCGGTACGTTAATACGTGCTAGGCTGCTAGGCTGCTACTATTGTACTCAAAACTGTATGGGTGCAGTGCATGCGGCTATCACGAAATTGAAATGTCAACCGTCGAACCGAGTCAAAGACAAAGAAACTCCGCCTCGGTGCATCACACGGGCCCGATCCATATTCATGTTGCCTTAATCTTGATGCGATCGTGGTCAATGGTGATTGAGTGGGAAAATGATGCGGATTACGGGAATGCTTGGAAGAGTTTCGCACGAGCCGCATGGGTGTTCCCTGGGGCGCACTACTAGGGTGATATTTCGGAGTTTGTTTCAAATGCTGCACCCAGGCTTGAGTAATTTCCATTTCTTTCTTGGAATTGAAAAGAGGAAGTGACCGATGTAAGTCGTGATTCTCAACTCAAAACCCTAGATGCTTTGGTTTTGAATGCTTGGACCTACTCTCGTACCACCAATTGCAATCTTATCAAGAAAAATGGCATCTATCCACGTGCGGGGTTTGGGTTTTTGGAAGTTTGGAAGAACAAGTTCCCAGATTCCCAGGACGCAAGGAGGTAAAGTCAAGAAGGCAATGATCTGTGGTGCTGCATGTCATGTATTAGACGAGGCTGGACGGGATGGCTCGACCTCGGATGTATACAAGCTAAGTACGTACATGGGAAATCTACGATCTACAAACCCTTCAACCTATGGTAGATGTGCCCAGAAATCAGTGTTGAAGGTACATAGTACATAGTACATGGTATAGTTTCCCTCTCAAATGACTCACAGGCCAAGGGAACCACTGCTGTTCTGCCACATGGACTCGCTGACATATCGGGAACTTGTGTAGGGTTATGAGGTGCAGTAGTGATCAGTAGTCACCTCTTTTGTGTGTCTTAGACTCTTTAGTGCCCGTTCATGGACTCCACCTATAGACATCAGTGGCGACTTTTTTGAAGAAAAATTTTCCCAATTTTCCCAATTTCCCTAAATTTTCCTAAATTTCTTGGGGGGGTTTTGACAGCTCCTTTGGCTTTCGGTCTCGGTTCCCACGGAATTCGTCCTGCAGCATGTCATCCCCCACCGACTTTTCCCGTGTAGCAGGTACATAGTCATTGTGTTAAGGAAAAAACGGGGAATGAAATGTTTATTCGGAATTATCCCGTGTAAAGTTTTGAGGAAAAGTGACAATTTGAAATACCCAATGTTTTTTTCTTCTTCGATATAGAAGTTCTCCATAAATAAAATGAGGTTTTTTTTTTGTTCCGCCTAAGAGAAAAAAAGTGGAGGCGATGATTGGGCCGCAATGACTATTTGAATATAAGGAAAACTTCTAGAAATACAGAATGTGTACTGTTAGTATGTAACAGGATATACTTCTAACCGGAGACTGAACCAGGGATTTCCCAGCGGGTCCCAGCTGAGCTTAAACTTGTAACGAAACATTGAATGATTAATGTATTAATGTATTAATGTATTTATTCATTTATTTATTTTATCTTAGATTTATTTCTTATAATCCCATTTCCCCACTTTGCTTTTTCTTTTCTTGTTGGGTACCCAAGAGCCTCTTCTGACACATTCGCCTTTTTTTTTCTTTTCTTTGGAGTTTGCCATTTGAGGAGAATTTTTTAGGTTCCCTTCTTTTCCCTCTTAACTTGACTCTTTCCCCCCTTTCCCTCCTTTCGACCCTCTCTGCTTCTAGGTGGTTTGGTTATTCTCCTAAATCTACCCGTTCCCTTACCTAAATCTCGCTGCCCATCGGACTCCACCATCTCACCCCACATCTGGTCAGGCAGTCTCCCAACTTCACACTTGAGCCCAAAGGCCATCTGCAGCTTGCAGATTTCTGTCCAACCACAGTCCTTTATTGCTAGACCCATAATATACACCCAACGACGCTTTTCGCCTGACCATCCCGATTTCCCACCAATTTCGATGGAGACGTTGCGATCTGGAAAATACCACTTCGCTCTGTCTGCTCGCTGACACAAACTCCTTCGACCAGCCAAGCCCTGCCATCGCCATCCGCGATCGGCAGGTCCGCCTTCTGGTTCGAGAGTCGAAGAAAGAAGAAAGAGAGAAAAAAAAAGTACGACATTGTGTGGGTTGGGCAAATAACCTTACCTACGAAGGGGGGGAAAATTACCCTACCCTACCGATACAGTGGAAACTTGAGACGTCACTCGCGGGGGAAAAGAAGAAAAAAAAAAAAAGTACACACACAGACCCAAACAAGTATCGAAAAAAGGACTAGGTATACACACACACACACACACGTAGGACTGAGTCATCTCGTTCTTTTTTTTTTCAACCCGGTGATAGCGGTGGCTTGCTGTAAGTCAACCCAGGAAGATCCCTTCCGGCCCCATTCTTCCCCCCTCCCTCCCCGCCTGTGTGCGCTGGTGGGTAGCAAACCCAAGTCCAGAACGGGACCAACCTGTTTCTTACCTAGGGACCGCGCCTGTTCCCTTTCCGCCTTCCGAGCCTGCAGCAAGTCATGCCAGGCCAACCACCTCTACCAGCCACTGTCGAGGATTGGGACGAGAGCGCGCACGACATCGTACCCGACTCGCAACAAGTGGCTAATACTGGTGCAAAAGTTTCTTCCAGGTTGGATCATAGATTCCCGGAGCCACCACTGATCGACGGCGCGAGTGACTCAGGTTATTCTAGTCGCACCGCCGCCACCGTCAACAGCACCCAATCTGGGCCGTCGGGCGGGAAGAGCCCCCCAACCGTGATTAAGCAAGCCGCGCCCAAACGTACCGATCTCACCAGAAAATCTTCCCGACGAGACCGCAAAGACAAGGAGCGTGCTACCCGCCCGGACGATACAATGCAAATGGGTGCCTATCCCCCTGGCTACCATCAGCCTCATCGCACCTCTCGGTCGCCGTCCAAACCTCGCCGACGAGACTCTTATCTTCCACCACATCCAGATCTCTACTACGAAGGAAACAATACGCAGTACCACCCTTCGACTCCGGTCGACCCACGAACCATGGAACTCCCACCCCACCCATCCTACTACCCGAGGCCTCCAATGCCGGACTATGGCCCACAACCACCCGCTAGATATCCCACGGAGGAATACCATACCAGCCGCCCAGGGCGTCCTCACTCCAGCACCTATGGAATGTATCATCATGATCGATCCGTGGCCTGGCCAGTTGCGGCACCACCGCCGCGAGGATATGGACCACCACCGCAGCAGCACCAATATCCCCACTATGAGTCGCATGCCCCTCCACCAGTATCGTCGGCTTGGCATCAAGGATCGTACGGATCATCTCCATATGGTCCTCAACATAACTTCCCACAGCAGTCATCAGAGTACTATCCTCCGGAATATATGCATCAGTCGCGCGAGCGATCTGAGTCTCGTGAGCCATCTCGGCCTCGACGAGGCTCAGTGTATGGTGGCGCCCCACCTTCCGTGGATACCGATTACTTTCCGGATTATGATGACGAGCCACCAGAGCAATACTACGCTCGCCAGCCTCATGATAAACCCCGTGGCCGTGGAACAATAAAACCCACCCAGGATTATTTTGATGACGATCCCGCCAAGTTGATGCCCCCACCTCCACCGCCTGCCCCAAGCCGCCGACACGCGCCTCAAATCCACCAGGAGCCCAGGCGACCTGATGCTCCCCGGAAGACTCACTCAGCTGCCGCTGCCGCTCCCTCTCAACGCCGTCATTCCAGAGCCCTGGACAACTTCGGCGACATGAGAGACAGCCTGGCCGAGATCGACTACCCCAGCTCCCGCCGGGTGTCGTCAAGGGAAGTAGCCGCTCTGCCGGAGCGCAGCCACAGTCAAAGTCTTCGCAGTAGCGGACGCTCCCAATCGTACCATGAGAATACCCGCGGTGCCCGGATAGCAGTGGAAAATAACAGGCGGCGACGCCCTACCAGCTACTACATGGATGACCGTCCCGAAAGTCCCGCCGCTATGGATGAGCTTGTCGGAGCAGCCGAACGATACCAGGATGTCACTTCCGGCCGTTCCTCCTCAAAAGTGCCTCTGTCCGCGGAAACACTTATGCCCAAGGTAGGAAACGGTATCGGTAGTGACCATGGAAGCCAAAAGAGCCGATCAAACAGCAGTCGTGGCAGCGCCACCAAGACTGAAAAAGAAGCCCAGAATATGACCCTTACCATGAACGGAATGACCATTGGTTTTGCTGAGGAAAGCCTTGCTGGCAAGTCCATCAACATTCGCACTGGGGACCGGGGAGCCGTGCAGTTTAACCTTACTGACGGCAGCTCGGCCGCCCGGCGACCAAAGTCCTACGTCAATGGATCCTCCTACTCTGATAATACGCAGGCGGGTGGCTCTAGCCGCCGAGTTCTGGAAGATGGGCGACGTTCTACACGCGATCGAGAAGATCGACGATCCGAAAGGTCTGTTCACCAGTCTAGCCGCCGGTCTAACCGGTCTAGCTACGGACAGTACCGGGATTAAGTCTGAAGTCTCGAATTTGCATTGCAGAATGTTTACCCCACTAGTACAGCTCTCGATTCCCGTTTTGCATTTTTATTCATTGTTGGTTGGATGGTCTATCTGGATTTCTTTTTCCTTGTTCTTTGTGGCCTGCATCAGCGATCGCTGACAGGTTTTTATACTGTCTGTCAAAAGTTCGGATTCGGTTTTTTTTTTCTTCTTCTCTTGGTTCTGCATGTTGTTCTGGGTGGATCTTGTTTGGACTTTTCACAAAAGAATCATGGGTGTTCGAGCAAACGCGTGCGGGGCTGGCAGAACAAATGATTTATGATTTTTTTCTTTCTGCTTTACGTTCTGCCAGCCCTTCAACCTCGAACTGGGAGGACTCTCTGGTTTTTTATATGTTTGCAATTGCTATCTCTTGCGTTTGGAAGAGTGCGTCCAGCCAAAGTTTTTCTTTTCTTACAGAGAAAAATTTAGCAGACCGACTCCCCCGTTACGGTGTGATATGATTGTACGATTCTTGATGACCTGCGACGACAAGTTCGATGTCTATGTTTTGCCTTTTGTTTTGGTTTTGGCCCTGGTTTTGGTTTTCTTATCTATTTTGGATCTTGATGAGCTTTATTTCTCTTGTTAGCGTCTTATGTACATCTCATCATGTCACCTGTTCATGTCTCTCCCCCCACCCTTTTTGTTCACTGATCATATTGGGCATTTGTCTCTTTCTCCTGGTTACTGGTTTTAAGCGCGACCCTGTGTTGGAGGAGAGAGATTATACCCATCCGTTGTTTACTTGTCATGTCTCAACACCAGGTCATCTTCTATTTCGTCTGGCCATGTTCTCAGTCTTACTTTTTTTTTTCTTTGATCCAAGTAGTTTTAGACTGTAGTGTTGGGCAAACCGATGCTGCGTGCCGTATGCAGACCTGTCGTTGAGACGGGACCTGGACGTCGGGTATTGACATGACGTTCCACGGCATTGTGCGCCTGCGTCAGTACCTTAATTTCAACTCACATCTTCTGACTTGGAAAGAAGCATTAGAAGTCGCTCCCCGGATTCGGCCTGGTATAGAACATGTCGTACTCAATGAATGATGTTTGTAGTCGGCAGCAACCTTGAAAGAGCCGGCTTCAACTCCAATGTTCAAGTTGAAAGAAGCCTAGCCTACATAGACAAATAAGTTCTAGGCCATTTATTATTATCTTCGATCGGCGGTATAGATGTGGATTCATCAATCATTCTGCAGGGCAACGGATCGCGACGTTCCTTAAGGTTAATCACGTCGGTCCCAGCGTTTGAAGACTTCCATCCAGCCCCATAGTTACCGGCTTCCCAATATTCGTGTGCAGTATGCGCGAGTACCAGCCTGAAGTTTCAATATTCACTTGAGAAACCAGATAGCCAACTAGTTTTCTCTCTACTCTCCCACAAGACAGATTTCTTACCTTTGGAGCGTTACTCGAGGCTGAGATTGCGTATGAGCCTAGACTTGCTGATCATATGGTGGCTTATATGATCGGGGCTCAAAAGTACGTTGCATAAAAGTCTGGCCAGATTGGTTGTGAATTATATGTGGGCTTACACAAAACAGTAACCAAGTATTGGCTGGAAGCTTAAATCGAATATGATGGCGATATCCAATCCGGTATCGTTGGGGGAGGATTCGGTTTCCTTGGTTTTATGACGTCTGTTCTCGCATCGACAGATGGTGAAACTGTTAAGGAAAAGGATATCTCATTCAAATTAGTTTATTGATTGACAATTGACAATTTATTTGCCGTAGCTTTGATAGATCTTGATTTTGTCTAATGCATTCTTCTGTGAAAGAAATTTAAGCCAAAGCCTCAGTAGTGGAGTAAGTTGTAAGTGCCCCCAGTGTTTTGTAGGCTGAAGTGGAGACGATCTAGGCATTCTGCGAATGAGGCTATATCGGTGGTCTCTGAAGGAGATTTATCGTTTTTTGGTTTCTGGAAAATTTTTTCCCACAATAAACATAGAGAATGATTCTTATGAATGGAGTTGTGGCCATTTGGAACCCTTCTGAGATGTGGTAGGAAAGATAAAGCCTCTTCAATGTTTCATACATTCGAGATGTCTGTATCTACGGCCCGTGTGGGTCACTATCGATTCTACGCCATCCCCACTGGGATCATTGGAATTTACCGGCTTAAACATTGAAGTATACTATGAAAGACGAATCGTTATAAGTATATTCTAACCTTCAAGAATATAATTGTATTTAAAACCAACTATTACCACAAACATCCCAAAATAGTCACATGTTTCGTAGTTCTGTTGCCTTAGGCGCAAGATGAGGTCAGTGCGTTGTCGGGCCAACCAGAGAGTAAACACAACCCCAGCCTCCTCCAACCTCCTCAATTCCAGACTCGCCACAAGAGTGAGCTAGATATTTCTGGCTTGCAAATTCCCCTCTAGCATCCCCATATTCTACTGACACCTGCTAGGTTGACTGAATCTCATCCAAGTTCGACATTCTCTCGTTTCTGTCGCATTCCTTCACGATCCTCTAGTTTTGGTCTGGTCGATCAATTTTAGGTAGGTACTGCTTTCCTCTCAAGAATGTGTCAGATCTAACATTCCACAGAGTCTCGTCTTGAGCGGAGTGCTCTTGACCACTCAAATCCATCATGGCTCCCGTTCCAGTTGAAGACGTCTTTGACATTCCAGGCGCGTCAGTGGAGGTGCGGGACATCGACGGCATTCCTGGAATTTCGATCGAAGCTCACGCGCCCAACGAAGACTACACTGCCAATACCCCGCCATCCGTTAGCTACAACAACCTCATTGCTCGATCCGACTCTACGTCCACATCCACATCAACCGCCAAGTATGGCCAAGGCACAATCGATCCAACGAGCATCAAGATGCAGGGCCTATTGGCTCTATTTGCCCTCATTGGCGCAGCATTCGTCTTAGGTGCCATTTGGTTCTTCTTCTGGGCCAAGAACGGTGGCTTCCATTGGCGAAAGGGTGACTGGGACGATTACAAGTCGACTGTTCTCCGCCGTAAAGGCCCAGACGGTCGCACCCTCAGTAATGCCACCAAGAGTACCAAGCTCGGCGGCGGCAGTGTCGTGGGCAAAGGGTACAGCGACGACGGATACACCTACACAGATGAATCATACACGCAAACCGCATCGACAATCATGACAGAAGAACAGCCAAAACGCAAGCGCAACTTCAAAGAGAAAATCCTTCGACGTCGCCAGGATGACCGCTGGGAGGGCGAAGGAGATGACGACGTCCGCGCATACCGCGAGGAGAAGCCGGCACGGATTGGCGGTATGAACCGCGAAGCCGACGGGACATACCACGGCAGTGACTATGACTCCTCCGCCCCGCCTACACACTACAACCGCAGCGATATGAGCGAAGTCCGCGACTACGCTTACGAAAAGCCGCGTCGCTCCAAGACAAAGCAGAAGCGCAGCGCATCTGGCTTCTCCTTCACTGCCGGCAGCGAAGATGTGCTTAGCCAGACTACGGAGGAACACCAATTGCGCGACCCGGCTACCCGTCGTGACCGAGACCAGGAGCGGGAGGCTCGTCGTGAAGCCCGTCGTAGGGATCGACGAAATGCTGCCGCCGCAGCTGCGGCTGCGTCTTCGGCCCCTTCATCTCGTGCTAGTAGCCCGCGCAAGAAGGACACCCGCAATATGCCCGGTCACTTTACCGAGCCGCTGGACTTCTCGTCATCCGGTACTCGCTCTGAGTACCAGTACTCTAACGTCGATACTGAAGATTCCGGTACCAAGAGCTACCACCACCCGATTGCGGGTCTGAGCAAGGGTTATCGCCGCGATGATCGCCGTGACGGCCGGAAAAGTCGCCGCCGTGACAGTCTGAGTGACAGCGATGGTGATGAGACCCGGTACTCTTAATCTACTTGACTGGTCTTATTTTTTATCCCACTTTGCGAGAAATACGATGGGATGTATTTGTTTTTATTCTCTATTGATTTCAACGACGGTTATGGAACGGAATTGTCAATTTGAGCGACACAATTTGTTGGATTATGGAAATGGGAAACTGGGAATGTACATAACGAACATACTACAAACACGGGCAAGAATCCGTTTCTCCCTTGGATCAAAGGTGCCATCTACAAAGCACTTGAGCATTATTACGCACGGCGAATCTTGTGGCATTAGGCCACAAGCTACATGAATTGCACTACTTAACTTTGCTATATCAATTTCTTATCACTCTTCATTAAGCCATAAAAATAGACCCAGCATCGAAATCATCAACATAATTAACACATATAATAACAGTACTTTGAACAGCTCAAAGGATTAACCAGTTCCAACGTCCCTTCAAAACGATTGGACATGATCACTATAATGTCTTGATAAGAATGTTAAGTTGATCAGAAGCGTATTTCACCGCAGTATCGTCGCCTTCCATAGCCTCAACCTCATACGACCCTTCCTTGTCAGATATCTTCGACTCAGCAAGAACCTGATACTCCTTTGCACCAGGGTACTTGAACCAGTACTCGTAACCACCACCACCCTGCTTCGGCAAGCGCTTATAATCTTCTCCCTTGAGCCCAATGGGGTGATACTTGGCATTTTGCACCCGGTAGTTCACGACTGGGTGAATCTCCTCGAATGTCTTGCCCAGCTCCTTGCCATGTTTGTCATAGGCGTAGCAGCCCGGCTTGCGCGCTCGCGATCCATTGACATAGTACTTGAGGGAGAAGTTGTCTGGCAAATCACCCAAGCCCCAAGTAAAAGCAGGTTCATTCATGTAGTCTGCCTTGGGCTTTGGTGCAGGAGTCAACAGTGAAAGAGGATATAGGAGCGAAGAAACCACGCGTTGAGGCCCTCGCATGGCCCACTGTGTCCATGATTCCTTCTTGCGTTTTTCGACATCTTTCAGGTAGCATGCGAGGGTATCGTTTGCTGCGCTGAGTCGTTTTAGGTGGTCATCCTTGTCTTCCTCGAGAGTCGCGGCATTGAGGGATACGTAATCCTTGATCTGGTCAAGCATCCAGGCGAAGGTAATGCTCGACATCTCTTCCATGTTTCCCTTGTTCTCCAAGGTCAGGTCCGATCCACCGCCGATGTTGATGTGGACGCCTGGGAACCAGACTTGAAGCAAGTTGGTGCGCTCTTTCTGGCTATCATACAACTTCAGCAGCCCCCGCTCCGCTGCGTTCTTTCGCTTCAGCGCCTTCTTCATATTCTCAATGGTAGGACGCTTCTTGTCATTGTCAGATACGATGTTGCTCCAAGCTCTATCCGCATCCTTGAACTTCTTTTCTTGAAGTTCGATGTCCTCCAGCGTGGCCTTCTCAACGGGTGGAACGTAGAACAGGGTTGGGGTAAATGCGGCACGATGCTCATCCAGAGCTAGCGCCTGGAATGCGTTTTTGATATCTAGACACGAATTAGCATCTTTCAACTTTCCATAATCATAAAGAGGCTTCTTACTAGGAGAAAGTCCAACATTGTGCCACTCCGGTTTATCCGACATCCAATGAGGCATTTCATACCCAAACACCTCCGGGAATCCCAGAGCGCCAACAGTCTCAAAAACACCCACCACCTCGACCTGCCTCGACTTAGGCGAAACAGCCCACTCACCACGCCCAGCATACTCCCAAGCAATCTTGTCGTTGGGCGCCATGTGCTTGATCGGCTGGGGATCAGCGGGCTTTCCATGGTGATAATCAAAGTAAGCGTCACTACCATAGAACTGCTCGCCAGTCAAAGCCGGACGACTCTGCTTATACAGCTTCCACACCTCGGGGAAATCCTGAAGATCGGCTCTCTTGCAGATACCCAGATCCGATATCAGGCCTGCAATGGCGCGTGCGGTGTATGCGCCCCGGGAGAAGCCGAAGCACATAATCTGATCACCCTCGCTCCAGTTTAGCACACAGAAGTTGTACGCCTCGATGATGTTGCCTTCGAGATCTTTGCCGACGGGCACCTGGCCGGCTGAGTTGGTCCCAATACCGGAGTCGTACCAGACGACTTGTTGCCAGGGCCGTTCCTGGTGTATGTCGCCTTTGTCATAGCCGACGGGGTTGATGGCTCGACAGAGCCGAGTCACGTTGGATGGGACGCTTTCGTCGCCGGAGACGGCTGATTGTCCACTTCCGTCACAGCAGATGATGATGCGCTTGGGTGCAAGACCCGGGATTCCCTCCGTGGATTTCGCGGCGGTGGAGGTTTCGCCCATTGTTGCAGCGACTCTGTGTCGAGATTAGATAAGTTTATGTATAGAAAAGCTGTTGTTTTTGCGCTTCAAATGTTTGCTAAGAGGGACTCGGAAGCACTTGGGACTGGAGTATCAACCGGGGAGTAAACAGTTCAACGCATTCGGGGAAACTGCGCTTTATTTATGGTAGGCGATTAGTACCTACCACCTACTAGTACCCAGTGAGAACGGCAGCTGGGCAGATAGGCATGGCTCAGCTGAACTCCATCGCACTTAGTTGCCATTATTCATGAACGCGCTTCGTCGCTACAAATCACCGATTTTCCACACGTCGGGAATCATAGCCATTTCCAAGGCTTTCAGGGGTTGAGTTTCGAGTGTGCGTACGCGTACACCTTGAGCGTATCATGCTTATACCGACCAAGGGAGGCTATTTATTGGGAAGTTTTACTTTTACTCTGAAATTGAGAAGACAAACAAGTTCATTGTGGTTAAGTTGTAGCAGAAAGGAGGAAATACTATGAAGAAATCGAGTGGGGCCGGCCGACGAGTGCAGCATGGACCAGGCGATGCACATGTGGTTCGGGGAAATCCGTGTGGCGGGAACACAAATAGTTATCGCTGCAGAATCAGTCTTCTTCAATCTCCACAGCTGTAAGGAGTTTTTGATTGGGTGTTCCTCGCCAGCAAGTTCCTCCATGTCTCCACGGCCAGGATGACATATAATTAAGTGACAAATAGTTACCTGCTCCAGGCCTGGAGGTACTAGTCGTCCTTAGCCACCCGTGGACACCAAAATGCACATTTGAATACTTTCAGCGCTTCAACAGGGAACAAGCTTTGGCTGTCGCATGTATGCGCAGTGCAATGAAGCAAATGTCATTTAATGTACATGTATGCACAATTTCTGAAGGTTTCAGCAGCACTGGAGAAGATGAACTCGATATTCGAAGAGAGAATATTCCTATTTAACCTTCAATACTAGTGTTAGGGCTCCACCTGGGCGGAGAGCTGGATCTGGACTCTGATGCGTAGATCCAGGGCTCGGTTCATTCCAAGCGCTGCTCTTGCCCAGGATATAAAATTCCTTCACTATTCTTTTCCTTCGACACATCTCTCGGACATTGGAATTCCAAAATCTTATGATGATCGAATTTCAAGATTCAACCTTTACATTTCGAATAGTCAGGTGACCCTTCGTGCACATGGATTACAAGTGCTCCAGATTCTCTTCTCACTATTGTAACCACCTGCATCTCTCTTCATTTTTCTTCCTGAAAGGAATTTCTGGTCTGTTTGCCATTTCCTTCTATTCTCTTTTTCTACGGGTTTCAAATATCGTTGATTGAAGATTCCATTCTCTCTTCGGCCAGTCACCTTACTGACAATCATACCTAATAGGTAACACTCGTGCAGTTGCAGCTGCGAATCATGATCCTGACATGGTCAGATTCCTATTCACCAATGCAATAAAAAGCTAAACGAAGCTATCATAATTGTTAACTATCTTGCTCCATGTGTAATCACATCTCGCATGCAAAAAACAACAAACCCGCCTTTCTGATTGGTCCAATTACACGTCATTCCCGAATCCCAATCGTCATGTGAAGTGGCATTTCCAATCTGGTCAGCTCGTCACGCAAGGGCGAGATACACAACATTCAGTGTAAATGGCGTGCCAGTCAAAAGGCCTGATGATTTCCAAGCAACGTTGCAGCTTTCCGAAACTCCGCCCGATGACTTTAAAACATCATCATCGCCTACCAAGTTCTCACATTCTTTACAGATCTCGAAGATAAATCGCGTCCAAAACAAATGCCATACCAATCCCGCAAGTCACGGGAACACGCGACTTGATCATGACCAATAGTGAAAGACAGCCCTTATTAGAATCGGATCAACATGAACTACCTACTACCTCGGATATACCCGTGTTTCCAGACTCCCTTCCGGGTGCCACCTACGGGAAGAATATCAGCTGGTCTAGCGCCTACATCTTGGTAGTTTCACGAGTCATTGGGAGCGGCATCTTTGCTACTCCGGGATCGATCGTGAAATCTGCCGGGAGTGTCGGATTGACGCTGCTTGTTTGGCTTGTTGGTACAATCCTATCAGCATGCGGGCTATCAGTATCAATGGAATATGGCTGCATGCTACCGCGTTCAGGGGGAGATAAAGTATATCTGGAATATACCTATCGCCGACCGAGATTTCTCGCTTCAACTCTGGTCGCGATACATGCAGTCGTTTTGGGTTTCACTGCGAGCAACTGCATTATTTTCGCCAAATATACATTATTTGCATTCGATATCCAGCCTACCGATCTTCAATACAAAGCTTTAGCGATCGGTCTTTTGACCGCCATTACCATAATTCATGGCTTCTTTTACAGAACCGGCATCATCATCCAGAATGCCCTGGGATGGGTGAAAATATTTCTAATCGGCGCCATGTCATTGACAGGAATCTGGGTACTACTTCTGCAGTTCTTCGGAGGTGTGAATACCTCTCCTGGGGCTAAGCAAGTCCTCAGTGGCGTGTCATGGGATACGCTATGGGACGGATCCAACTGGAGCTGGAATCTGTTGTCGACTGCACTGTTCAAGGTCATCTACTCTTATGCAGGGTTAAGCAACATCAACAATGTGTTAAATGAGGTAAAAGATCCCGTTCGCACGCTCAAAACGGTGTGCCCGTCAGCTTTGGCTACGGCCGGAATTCTCTATTTGTTGGCCAACCTATCTTATCTTCTTGTCGTTCCCTTGGATGAAATTAAAAACAGCGGAGAGCTGGTTGGCGCTCTACTTTTTGAGCGGCTATTCGGCAGCATTGGGAGCACTCTCTTCCCAATGGCCATTGCAATTTCAGCAGCTGGCAACGTGATGGTAGTGACATTCGCATTGGTCAGTTCATACTATCTACTATCTGATGATCCGCGGAACACCTCTCTAAATAGCAGGATAGGCACGAATCAATCAAGAAATAGCCCGTCAGGGCTTCCTGCCTTGGCAAAATCTATTATCGTCTTCTCGTCCCTTCGGCACTCCACTCGGCGGTCTTATCGTACACTACGTACCATCTCTTCTGGTAATCGGCTTACCACCGCAACAAGACGTCTACAACTTTATCCTCGATGTAGAAGGATACCCCGGTAATGTCATGGCTCTCGCCATCACCGTCGGACTGTTGATTCTACGATACAAAGAGCCCAATCTCCCGCGACCATTCAAAGCTTGGCTTCCAGCTGTTTGGCTCCGAGTTTTAGTTTGTATCACACTACTGGTAGCGCCTTTCATTCCACCCCCAGGTCTACAAGGAGACGTCCACTTCTTCTACGCAACGTATGCTATTGTTGGCATTGCCATGTAAGCATTCTTTTATTCCTGATTTGGACCCGTTTACGATGCTGATGCTCGCAGAATAATTTTTGGTATCTCTTATTGGTATATATGGACAGTGTTTCTGCCTCGGAGGGGAGGATATCAGTTGGAGGAGGTTGTGGAATCGCTCGATGATGGTACGACAATCACTCGGCTTGTCCGTTCGTTTCCTTCGCTTTCGAGAGGTTAGATATGTGAGTATACCACTAGCTTGATACAGGTATAGAAGGATAGAAATTCAAGCCAGAAATTGGCTTTACAAGGATTTTTCAAATTTCGGTTAATGTTTACAAAAACACAAGACTATTTCCACCATCTGCAGCTGAATAAGATCATACATACACAGACTTTGGGTCAACCAGATAATATTCATAGGTGAAAGGAATGTGTCTTTGGTGAAGATGGGGGAAAAAAACAAACACCTGTGGTCGAGTGGTATATCCCTCCCACTATTCCCCCAAGGTTGGCCGCGGGACCTTGGGGGTGGGTAGTCAGTCACATGGGAAACATCCCCCAGAGCAGATCTCCCCCCGGTGGCTATATGCCGCCAGAGGGGGGGGGTTCCTCTGGGGTTGATGTTTGCTATTTTTTTATAATTGTCAATGCTGAATTTCAATATCTGATTCTTTTTTGAAGCTCAATTTGACTATGAGGTGTGGAAAAATGAGAGTAATGCGGAGGCTTGATTTCTGGACTGATGCATATGATGTTATTCACAACATTGCTCAGAAGTACATAGGGAAACTAATCCTACATGGGTTCGAACCCGGCTCTTGGCAAACAACAAAAAAGGCGCGCCAGTTCCCTTCCTTCCTTCCTTGTTTTGTTTTCCTTGCGGATTTGAATTAAAATTTCGCATGGACACTAATAGGTGATCTTTTACACTATCGACTGCGACCCCACGTCCAGATTTCAATATCCAAGCTATGAAGTAAATATGTGGGGTAGCAGTTTCCCCGTTGCGAAGCCCCCACTAGTGCTGTACTTTCGTCAAATGCATCATCAGCGGCTTCTTCTCCCAGATGTTGTACGAATTCTGAATATTCCAATCTTTGGAGCATTCGTCAAGCTTCATATCAAAGTTCCAGAAAACCTTTGCCACAATAAGCCGCATTTCAGCATAGGCCAGACTGTTCAGCATAAATTAGCACCACACTATAAATGCGAAAAAGTACTTCTTACTTTCTTCCAATACAGTTTCGAGGCCCGAGTGAGAATGCGTAAAGACAGGATCTGATATCCGACTCGAAGCGTTCCTCTCGGTCCTCCAGCCATCGCTCTGGGATGAATGAATCCGGCTCGGCAAAATGAGACTTGGCATGATAAGTCGAATATTGTGCCCCGGCAACGGAAACCTAGTGGAGTTTGTCGTTGTTAATTCTCGTCTTTGAGAGGATCTGTTAATGTTTCAAATAACTCACCCCCTCTGGAACGAAGTTTCCATCAATAATTGAGCCTCCCTTTGGCACAAGGCGTGGGAGAACCGCTGGAACAGGCGGATAGACCCGCAGAGCCTCTTCCAAAGCAGCGTTCATATAGGTCAACTGACTGACACTTGAAAAATCAATCTCGTCATATGATTTGAAAGTGTCTCGAATCTCCTCGACGAGTCTCTTGTATGCCGCCGGGGTTTGGACAAGGTAGAAGGTGAACCCCGAGAGCAAACTAGCGGTCGTCTCACTCCCAGCCAGGATCAACAGAGCCGCATTTGATTCCATTTCTCTTTTCGTCATGGCACGATCATCATTATGTCGGAGAATATAAGTCATGAAGTCGGGTCTCTCGGTCTTGGTATCCAGTCGACGACGAACCTTCTCTGTACTCATCTCAAAATGCTCGTTTCTCATCTTCATGATATTCCTGGGAAGAAACAGTCGCACAATCGGTCCGAGGGAGGGGTAAACTCGGAGAGGGCGCAGCAACACACTACTTTTCACACTCGTGAAAACCATCTTCACCCATGGGTGATATTCGCTCTTTTGTAGGCAGTCGAATGGTTCTCCGAACGCAAGGTCACCGACAATATCAAACGTGGTAAAGTTGTACCAGCAGCACATGTCGATCGCGTCATTTGCCGCAGTGACCTGTCCATCTAAACGATCGACGAGCAGATCCACATAAGACTGAATCAAAGACTCTTGGTCGCGGAGTGCCTTTTCGGAAAATGCATGCGACATCAATCTTCTCCCTCGTGAGTGGTCTGCATCGTCGGCATTGAGAATATTAGGTCCGGTAGGACCTCGCACGTAGAACAAGGGATCCTTGATGAAAGACCCCGCTCCTGGCTTTCGGTGGTTGTATATATCCTTCCAAGCTTGTGGGCTCCGATACACCAGTGCGTTTGGTCCGACTCTAACCACATCTCCATATGTATCGTGAAGTTCTTTCATCTTCATGTGGTTTTGACCTGTCGTTGTCCAGTAAATGCTTGGAAGATGTGTGCATGCTGCCAATTTCGGGCCTGGGAATTTCGAAAGTGGACTTATAAATAAGTTATAGATCACAATCCATATTAGATAGGCCAGTGCCTGGCTATGATCAGTGGTTTATCACACAGGTGCCCGGGGTATCCATGACCTCAGAGAGCAGACATATTTTGACAAGTATTTGAGGTTCAAAATCGGAAAAAAGGGGAGGCATCGAGCTATTGAACTCACTCCGCTAGCAATAATATATATGGTAGGAGCCATGGATTCAAATTTTCTCGGCGCTCCAGGCTAGTGGGCAGTGACCGAAGGCAAAATGGTGAGCGCGGGCCTGGGAGAGTAGAATAGAAATGGAAAATTCAAGGACGGGACGTGGACTTTACATCAATCCCAGGTTGCACACCTGAGCAAGCGAAAAGTATAACCAGGATGGCACCTGGGCCGTGTTTCCATTGTCTGCATATTTGCCTAGCACAGGTTGAGAAAAACCTCGCCATCAAACGAATCAGGATGTGGGGATTGGTGTTCTTACCTTCATTCGGTTTCCTTGTGCGTTACCGTGCATGGATATTTCCACCCCCGCTTTGAAAGGTAATCGTGGCGCTAAATGACTACAGGATACATACTGCAACATTGGAACCGCGGCCCAGTTCGAAGCTCAGAGGTCGTTCAACTCAGTATCGCACAACCCTCTAGTATTACTAACCAAGGATGTTGTTGGATATTGAGATGAACATATGCACCACTGTCTTTCCTTGAAAGGCTCTTGACACCAGTTGACTAGGGGTCACCGTATAAAAATCCCAGCATATCGTGAACGATGCCAGTTCTCATGAGGCTATCAAGAAAAAAAAAAGAAAAAAAAGCTTACATGTCCACAGCTTGAGTGCCAAAGAGGAACTCTTATTAAAAAGGTCCGACATTTAATATAACAAGGAATCCACGGATTTTTAGAACATTTAATTCAGCTGTTGTCTTTTCATATGCCATTTACCTACTACCACCAACATTGAATCTCCTGATTGGCTCGTGATAAAGAATTTCAAGACCAGTTTCCTATTAGGAATCAAAATCCAGGACTCTTTCAAACATCCATTGATTCAGGCCTCCCACCAAGACCACTTATATTGCTTCTGATTAGCAGTGACCGTTATTATTCGCCAGTTCGCGTAGCGTTGACCACATCCTCCGTACTGCAACTTGAATCGATTAGACTAAAGTAGACTAGGCCACACGAAGCGGGGAAATGATAATTGGAAATGTACCGAGTACACAAACCACGGTGGATCAATCCATTCCCTTGATTTGATTGGCTCATATACAGTATCTCAGTCCGCGACTTAAATGTCCACGTCTTCGGTAGCTATCGAACACCTTCTAAACATTAGTTCCCCCGTGTCAATCTTACTAACATCATATATATTTAAGAGCTTTGCCCGTCGCCCCATTCTCTGAATCAACTTGAATACCCTCCATTGACCTCAATATAAATCCCCTGGATCAAACTACCCAGCAACTTGAGTGCTTGAGTCGACCAAGGTACCCCGCCACCATGTGTGTATATTCCGAGGCACAAGTCGAGGCATATCTACAGCGCATAAAATATCCCACAACGAGCGACCCCTATGAAGATTTTTACCGCAAACTCCAAACAGATCCCCTTGCAACTATATCTGAGCTGCAGAGACGGCATCTCTGCACCATCCCGTGGGGTAATTCTGGACTGCACTATTCGCACCACCGCACTATTTCTTTGCACCCGGAGACTCTCTTTGAGAAAATTGTTGAGCGCAAGCTGGACGGGTATTGCATGGAGAGTACTGGACTGTTCTTGCATGTCTTGACTTCCTTGGGTCTCTTTGTCTACCCCACTGGGGGCCGTGTGAGCCGTGCGGTTGCGCTGGGGTCGAATGATTCTCGGTATTTGCCGTTGTACGCTAAATCCTGTTTCCGGGAGACCGGGTCAATGCACTCTCAATGCTCGCTAACCACGTTTTTTGTTTTATTCTTAGCAACCATATGCTCTTGATTGTTGTTATTGAAGGAAAGAAATACTTGGTGAGCCCATTTCCTAACTATAGCGCCCCCTTTACACATGTCACCAGAGCTGATTACTTGCAGGTGGATGTTGGCTTCGGAAATAACTGTGCAGTTGCACCGCTACTTCTCCGAGAAGGAGAAACAGCTCCACATATAGGCAATGATTCGGAAATGCGTCTCATCAAGGATACACTTGATGAGTTCGTCAACAAGGCGCAGAAAGTTTGGATCTACCAGACCAGATACAACCCCACTAGCGATTGGGTGCCCAACTTCTGCTTTTCAGACGTGGAATTCTTACCCCAAGATTTTGAGATGATGAATGTAAACGTCAGCACAAGTCGAACCAGCTGGTTTACTCAGGCTGTCGTCTGTGTGCTGATGATTATGGACCAAAGCGAGGAAAATATCATCGGTCAATACGTCATGTTAGGTAAGGAACTTAAAAAACGAGTCCACGGGGAGTCGAAGATTTTGCAAGTCCTTCAAAATGAAGATGACCGGGTCAAAGCACTTGCCAAATACTTTGGTATATCCCTGCGCCAGAACGAAATCCAAGGGATCCAGGGTTTGAGCTCGGAGCTCAAATAAGAAATAGAACATCGGGCCTCAATTATTGAAAAGGAATTGGCTTCAATTGTATGGTACAGCAGTTCGTTTCTAGAGAAACTGCGGTGGATATGTATGATCGAGGAACAAAAGCGCAGAGGCATAACAGGAAAAAGACGTTGCAATTTTTGGGAATCTAGTAAATCCGCTTCTCGATCTGGAGGGCTGCATCAGTATATAATCACAAGTAATGATCCACAGAAATCATGTATTCATACCTTCCACGGGTTGCTGAGCTCGAATCCCTTGGGCGCAATGTGGTTGCTGGACTGTCCTCTCATTGTGCCGGTAATGCGGAGATCCCGCTCCATCACTGTGCAAAACACTTGATTAGTCTCGGCCAATTCTCCGGGTGTTTGATTTTTTCGGCCGGTCGATTGACTATAACTCACTTTGCTGTAAAAGAGTTAGCCGACGCATTCTGTAAGTTCCGACCGCAGCCGACGCGCGCATGAAGGACATGACTTACACGATCCCAGAGATCACTGTTCCAGCGGGGCTTCTTGCCCTCGTTCGTGAAGCGCTTGGTCACATACAAACCAGCGCCGGTGACACCGAACATCTGTGGTGGTGGTCAATTCTAGCTTCGGGGAAGAACTGACGAATGATACGCACGGTAATGACAATCCCGTAAGGGAGCAGAGCCTCGAAGGGGACACCCATGATTATGATAGTCAGAGAACAGCTCAAGAAGGCAAGAGGAGTTAAGTTAGTAGGCAATGGGTTGTCCGAGGACCACAAGCGGCAAACGGTGCAGTGAATGAGGGGAGTGTGGAGGGTGTGACATTAAAGTCGTGAATGGGAGGAGGTCTGCGCGGCCCGATAGGGTTTAGCGCCACCTGACTCAGCCCGCCTGCGACGACAACTCCAAAGGGCCAAGGGGCAGCGCATCGCATTTGTTTGTCAGAGGGATCGTCTCCTAGCGCTGAGATTGCTTATCGACGCGTCTTGAATCTCTCTGCTACAAACGTACCAACTACCTTTGGACCGGGAGTGAGTCGCCTCCATTCCGCGACACGTGTTTGGCAAGTGGCACCTTACTAACACCTTTGACCTCTGCCAGCTACCTTTGCGATCCCAACAAAGAAACCTCGGCAGAAGAAGCGCAAATTCTATACCGAGAGCTATTGAAACCGACCCCTGGCCTTTTAACGCACTCGTCTGGGCTCCCGATGCACCCCCGGTTCGCCACCAACGTGAGCGGGGTGGGTCTGTAGCTTGAATCGACTGGTCCTTGAACAGAGACAGTCGAAACACATCCGCGCGCATTATCTGTGGTGACATTCGCAACGACCTGGCAGCTGCGGTAACACTCATCATGGCGGCGACGGTGCCGCCCGTGAACGAGGATCCCGGTCAACCTGACACACCGGCTGACCAGGTTGACAGCGACCTGGATGCGGAGGGGGAAGAGGAAACCGACCTGTACCAAATGGATCAGCAGCTCCAAGATGCCGTACACAGAGCTTTTACCGGAGATGTGGAGGTCGATAACGGAGACAGCGAGGTAGAGGCCATGGCTGCTCACCTCAAGGATCAACAAAATGGTGAAGACGATGAGACGGAACCCGTCGGGGCAGTGAAACTCCCAGAAGACAACTCATCGGGGGATGAGGATGAAGATGAGGACGATGTGGAGTTTGGGGTTGCTGATGGTGACTGTGACCCGGGGTTTGAAGATGAGAATGAGCGAGAGGCATCTGGATCTAGCGACTCTGAATCAGAGGCAGAGGATTGGGAGGCCGAAAGTAATGGACATGAAGATGGAGATGTTGAAATTCGCAGCCGTGCGAACTGCACGTGAGTATTAGCCTCATCGAAATCGCGGGGAACAATAATACTAATCTTGATTTTCGATCAGTTTCTGTGGCCAGGACGAAGAACATGACCCCGGTGAAGATTTTGAAGAATGGCTGTCTTGTGCTGTCTGTGGTGATCACTGTAAGTTTATACTTCAAAAAAGCTTAGGCCTCTTCTAGATCCGTGCTGACGTGGACAGCCCATCGGCAATGCGCTCGAGAACAAGAAGCTTTCAGTGACAGTGAGGGTGAGTTGGGGTTGAATACCTTTTGTTGTTGTTGTTTTCTTCATTTTTTTAAGAAGAAAAGACTGAATAAGCGAGAGACTAATTTTGGTGATAGATTTTTGGAGATGCCCTGTCTGTGTTCAAAACAAACTAGAACCTGATTTAGTTGAAAGTCCCTCTCAACTAAAATCGGGCCACTCTCATTTACCCAAGGAACTTCTCCCCGCGCACGTGGGCAAGGAAGGTTCTGATTTTCACTCAATATTTGATACTGGAATCAACGACGACATGTTGAACAGTTCTCGTGCACTAAGAAAAAGAAAAGCATCATCGGTGGAAGCAGAGGAACACACACCTGTCCTTCGAAAGCGACGACGACAAACAGATCACTCAGATTCCAACGATGCTCCTGCCGACAGCGAAATGCCTGGAGAGTCATCCCAGACGCGTCCTTTGCGAGCGCGTCGTACGCGTGGAGTTGAACGAGACCTGGCGCGTGTTGTGAACAGGCAATTCGGCAAACTCATCATCGCCTTTCGACTAGATGAAAGCAAGATTAACCGAATTATCAACACACAAAGCCAACCGCAGCCAAGGAAAAAGAAAAAAGCACCAAAACCCGCACCCGTACATCACGAACCTCAAGCTCATTTTGCACCGATCCCTCCCGCCCCCTACAATCATTTCACACCTTTCCATGACCGTGACAGCGACGACTCCAAGTCCAAGCCTTACGGTGGCATATTATCTGAAGTTGACGCAGATACTTCTAAGACACTCCCATTACAAGCGGACCGTGAAAAATTCGAATCAGCTCGCCAGAAGGCCGAGGCTGAATGGCAGCGAAGAGTACAAGAAGCAGAGCTCAATGGCGAAGTCACTACAACCTCACAAAAGGTTTCTGGCCCACCCTCGAAGATCAAATACATCAACTTCGGTGGTTATGAAATTGAGACCTGGTATGCCGCGCCGTACCCAGAAGAATACAGTCGCAACCGCGTGCTCTACATCTGCGAATTCTGCCTCAAATACATGAACTCGGACTATGTCGCTTGGCGGCACAAACTCAAATGTCCCGCCAAACATGCCCCTGGTGATGAAATCTACCGTGATGGTTCAATCTCTATCTTCGAGGTCGATGGCCGGAAGAACCCCGTTTACTGCCAGAATCTGTGCCTTCTTGCCAAACTTTTCCTCGGATCTAAAACCCTTTACTACGATGTTGAGCCATTCTTATTCTATGTGATGAGCGAGTATGATGATCTCGGATGTCATTTTGTGGGTTACTTCAGCAAGGAAAAGAGGCCAAGCTCGGCGAATAACGTGTCATGCATTCTCACTCTCCCAATCCATCAACGCAAAGGCTATGGAAATCTCCTCATCGATTTTTCATACCTTTTGACACGCATCGAGGGCAAGAATGGATCCCCCGAAAAGCCCTTGTCCGACATGGGCCTTGTGTCGTACCGGAATTACTGGCGCTTGGTATTATCATATCAACTACGTGACCTGAAAACACCCGTCAGCATCGCAGATCTTTCCGACCGGACTGGAATGACGGCAGACGACCTTGTGTCCGCCCTTGAGGGGCTACGAGCCCTAGTTCGGGACCCCATAACAAAAACCTACGCCTTCCGTCTCGATCATAAGTACTTTGAAGAAGTCATTCAGAAGTGGGAAAGCAAAGGCTACGTCACACTCAATCCTGATGCTCTGCTGTGGACTCCCTACATCATGGGTCGCAACAACCAATCCCAGTTTGACCGCGCTCCTATGCATGCCGTTGCGCCTCGTGAAGATCTCGAAGATGAGGATGAAGATATGGAGGGAAGAGAAATTGAGGATGGGGACGACGTACCGACAATGAATGGCCATGCTGATGGCCTCGGAGAACCGGCTGGGCCGCCTTCCACCGCTCTTCAGCAACCCAATGGAGTTCATCCACCCGACGATCCAACTCCCCCATCCCCTCCCCTTGCCGCCGGTATTCCTCCTTCTCGATTCGAGCTTTGGCCTCCGGTCCATGTTCCCACTGGCAGACGCAAAATTGGCCGCCCATCGACCAAGAGGTTGAGTACCGCTCGAGCATCAATGACACCAACAACCGTGCGCACAAGTGGTCGCAACACCCCGCGGAGGCCTTCCAGGCTTCCAGCAATCACTCCATCTACCACCCGTCGCGGCCGAAGTAAGGTGACTGGTTCTCCGGCTGCGGAGGATACTACTTCTCAGCCGAATGGCATTGATACCGAGGTCGATGCGGAAGATAATGCGGAGGTTGATGCGGAAGTAGATGCGGAAGTGGATGCAGAGGCCGACGCAGAGGTTGATGCCAAAGCTGATGTAGAGGCCAACGTGGATGGCGATGCTGACTCCGATGCTGATGCTGATGCTGAAGCCGATGCCGACGCTGATAGCGATGCCGATGCCGATGCCGAAGTTGATGCTGACGGCGATGTTGACGTCGATGCCGACGCCGATGCTGATGCAGAGCCAGACGAAACCGGAGATGCGGTTGAAGACGTTGTGGAAAAGGCGATAGAAGATGGAGTGGCTGTTGATTCGACTGCCAAAAACCTCGCCGAAGACCTCGTCGACGAAGCGGCCGAGGTGAACGACAAGGCCGGCCAAGTTAATGGTGACAAAAAGCACGAAGTGATCACGAAAACGAATGGCATCGATTATAGCGAGTCTCCAGCTGAAGTTGAAAGCAGCCTTGACTCTGAATCTAAGCCCGAGGCTGAGCCCGCTCCCGAACCCGAAACTCTCAGGACACCACAAAAGAAAATCAAGTCCAAATCACGATCGCCTGGAACGGCAACTTCCAACCGCACTCGGCGAAAGTTATCTGTCAATCCCCCCAAAACTCCTTCGTCAGTCAACCGCAAGGCCTTGGTCGAAAAAATCCAAGTCGTGGTTCCCGAGCCTAGTTCGCTGCGAAACAGAGCCAAGAAAAGTACATCCGTCTCGAATGGTATCAGCCCTGACGTCGATGCCGAAGGGGAGGACGACCTTGATGCTGACGGCGAGTATGAAATGGACGGCGACGTGGTAATGGAGACATGAACAGCGCTCGGGCAATGAAACATGCATTGCAGGAGAGCCATTCACGCATACAAGACTAGGCGTTTTCTTGCTTCTTTCCTTCTCCTCCCTCCTTCCCTTTCCACTTTCTTCCTTCTCCTCTTTTTCGTTGATGTCCTATTTCTAATCCTACCCTTTCTCTTTTATTATCATTTCCTACCGGATCTTTTTTTTTTCGTTTTTCTCTATCTGCCCAACAGAGACTTTTGTCGGGATTTCTGGGGGCTCTCGATGTGTCATGCAGCACAGGGGTTCGCTCACTTTGTACTTTTTTATCCAGCAAGGAGCGTGGGTTGCGGAGCCAGGAGTTGGGTATTTGATTGTCATTTTTAATTCATCTTCCCGATGTCTTTTGATTCCTCCAAGTAGTTGAGCGTATTCTTTTCCACATGCAGTGTAGATATACCAATCCACGTCATAAGTAGCGAATTGATGTCAATCCTAGCTCTCACGGCACTTGAGCACTTAGTACACGTACGAATACGAATCCGATGCAAATATTTGTCAACTAGACCGTTATGTAACATTGAATCAATTGTATACGTATACCTACGAGATAACATCTATGTATGCATCTATTTCCGCGCAAAGTCCGAGCCCCCAATGAGAGGTCTGGAACAGGCCAAGCGCATAAGCCCCGGGACCTTAGGGGTAGGCAAGAAACCAAGATATGATATCGCTCGAGCCACCCCCACAAAAGCCAAAAATACTCCATGTTGCCTCCAGATGTCCAAGGCTTTCAATGTTTCAATGTTTATTGCGCACAGCCCTCGGAACTATGTAAATAGCCTTTATGCATTGCAGAGTATCCTTCCCAACGGAGCGCAGTGCATAACCATCATTCAATGTATGCGCACCAACCTTCAACGCGGGGCAAGCGTGGGATAAAAAAAAGGGGTGTCAGTGTCAAAGTGAAGAAAAAAAAGGCCACTTCCATGATACAATGTGATATGTTCTATCAAGGGAGAGATTATGGAGTAAGTCGGTAGCTGCGGGGGCATTTAGCCTCTCCAGCGTACATGGGATAGTGCCGAGGTCGAACTTTGGAATCTGACGTGCGAGTCAAAGGGGGAGGAAGTTGCGCACAAACATAGTAGGGACGGGACGCCTAGGGCATAAACCGGGATACAGCGGGAAAGGGACGGAGTTCCCGGGCCTCGATTTCTCGATTTCTCGATTTCTCAATTTTCTCAATTTTCCACAGCGCACATGTGCGCTTTCCAAAAAGAACCAAAATATGTGATATGAGGATACGGATGGGAATAATTGAATTTGATTAGAATGAACTGCTTAAATCAGAGATCGACGCGATCGGCAGTGACCAGGGGGTTGCTAGTGCTAGCCTGCTAGGGGTGTTCCATGGATCCCAAACACCGCGGAACAGGGCATTTAAGCATAATCGCGTAGCGTTCCAGAATCCTGTGGTTCTTGGGTCGGGGGCTGCCGCTGTCATACTAACTACATTCCAAGGTTATACTTGGCCCTAGCGGTATATTAAACATGTAATGGACACTCGATCAGGAGAGAAAAAAAACAGGTTCATTATATGCATAAAAGGGAGTAATTGATCAGTCAAGTTTATCCGGCCCCATTAAATTTCCGGGCCACTTCATCGTGCAGGTTTGAGTTGTTCATTCCCCACGTAGTCTAGTTGCCGTCTAGTTGATTTAGTGACTTTTTCCCTCGATTTAGTTATTGGAGAGGGGACTTGAACCGCCTTTTTTTTTTCTTTCTTTCTCTTCTGTGCGAAAGAGTTTTCCTTTTCCTTTTCGTTTAATCTTCTCAATCACCTCGGTCATTGAGCTTTCAAAGCGCTTCACTGGTCTCTTTGTCGTGTTCCCTGTTTACCCCTCTTGATCGGGATATGGCATTGACGGGATGCAGCCGAGTCACGTCCTAAACAGGGACATGTGTCCAATATCCAGGAACAAGACTCGGATAGGTGCAGATGTGGAATCTCATCCCAGCTGAGGATAAGGCTAGCCATCAGCCTTCTGCACATGCTCATCTCACTGATTTTTGCGTCTTCTTTCCTTCTTTCTCCTCCCCCTTTCACACTAGTTTTGGAGCAGCTAGTTTGTGTGTGTGTGTGTTTTTTTCAATGGGTATTTTTCTTTCCTTTTTTTTGCTCTCTCCCTGGATTGACTTACTCCACCGCTGTCAGCCCGTGGACCTCAAGCCCCGCTTAGCTGAACATGACAATGGAAGTGCTTTTTTTTTGTGAGGAAAAAAAATATGGACTCGGAAGACCGGTTCTCTCCTTGCATGAGATCGCTGCTGGCCTATCGGCATATCTGCGGGAAGAGATTGAAGACTTTGAGAAAAGTGGTCCGCTTGTCATATCCATCTGCACATGCACCCCAAGTCTGTGCGCTAACCATGCCCCTCGACCCCAACGGCCACACCCGGGTCAAAATAATGATGTTTTTTTGTACCCCTCACGCGGGCGCACTGAACCCAAAAGGCAAGAGAAAAAAAAAGGGAAGCTGCATGTCTCGCCAACAAGCTGCAGCCAGCAATGTTACCGTTGACGCAGGCTAAGCCTATGGGGAAGTTTATGATCTCCCTCTTCTTACCCTCAGCCGCAGCGGGCAAGCAATGGCAGGCGTGGCGCAAAAACAGTATCTTGTAGTCCGAAGAAAGCCGAAGTGGAAGAACACTGATCTGCAACCCATTAGGGACCCACCTTCACTTGTGTATGACAATGATTCGTCTCGACATTGCTGCCAGATGCCCGATCGCGCAAGTTCCCGGACCAGACTGTGTCTCTTTTGTGCAGTTGTCGGGTTCTAGACTTGATCAAGGGATCTCCGGCTTCCCCCTCCCCTCCCCCAAAAACCGAGGCATCAGCGCCCTATCAGCGCCCCCACTGGTTGGTACAAAAGTCCCCATATAGTAGGGTGCAGGTCGCAAATCATGCATGGCCGGGTAATGTGACGCATCGCCTTCCTGTTCAAAGCTGAGGTTCGTGTCCGCCCCTTTCACCATAGTTTTTTTTTCTTTTTTATTCTTTTCTTTTTGGGTTTCTCTCTTCTTTCTTTTTTGAAATTTCTCGACGCGCTTTCCTTGGTCGCGTTCTGTTCATCAATATATTCGCTGCTTGGTTTATTTTCTTTCTCTTTTTTCCACCATGAACCGGTATGTGAGCGGACTTTTGATGTCGATTTAACAAGTCGTGCCCACCCGTGCGTGCTTTGCGATTGAGAACAGCACCTGGTTCTGCACGAGCTCGACAAAATCATTGTTCGTGTATTCAGATCGCTTTATCCATCTCGAATGAGCGCAGACGAGCTTGAAAGCATCGAAAAATATCACGCGGGTTGGAAAATTGCGCCGCCTTTCGCACTCGGGCTATCGTGGGGACGAGCTCGGAAAAGAGTCCGGTGCCTGGGCAACAATTCAACGAAGATTGGAATAATCGACCAAGAACACGAATATCTGCAAGCACATTAGCAGGAAGATCAGGTATGAGAGTCACTATTGTTATGTTTTTTTTTATTTGTCTTTTGATCACTCTGTGTTTTGTGGATCTGGACCCCTTCTGGGGAAAGGAAGGGGACCGGGAAGAACCAAGGAATCCGGATGACATAAGAAACATCAGGTGGGCAAAAGTGATTGTGACCTATGCTTATTTGACGTGCATTTTATTCCCTTTTTTTTTTATTTGACTCTTTTCTTTGAGCTATCGAAAACTATCTGATTTTGGTTAAACCTTCACTAACGCCTCCAAAGGTTAACTAGTCCAGATTTTGAGTGGAGACGACAAGTCCGATCATTGCGACGATCAAACCATCCTGTTTTGAGCAGTCCAGGGCCATGCGGGCTTGGATCTTGCATATCCGGGAACCCACCGTGACTGGAATGCTTAGACGCCGGACCAGGGACCGAGTCCACTTTGGCGTTTAGACTGAATCCCTGTGGTCCACGACGCAAGCCGGGTCCTGATCACCTGCATAGCCGGCGCCATCGAGCCGTTACGTTTTACAAGTGGATTCAAGCCGAAAAAAAAAGAGGAACCACTTAGAATACTCGAACAATTTCCCACCAGGAAGACCGAGGTCAGCCTACCCCGACTTTTTTGCCACTGGAGAGGACCCAAAAAGAATTGAAAGAAAAGAGGAAAGAGCAAAGAGGAAAGAGAACACAAGACATTGAGTTTTCTTCTTCCCTTTTACTTTTCTGTGTCTTTTATTCTCCTTCATTTTTCTTCTCTTCAACTGCCGAGTCCCGAAGTACTGAATGTGCGCATCATTGTTCCTGTCTCTGATCGTCACCAGGCATCATTCAGGCTCAACCGTGGTTACCTTCCCAAGCTCTCGCAGCTGAACCCGAACTTACCTTACGCCCACTTTTTTTTTATTTCCGGCTATTCTTTAACCGTCTTGAGCTGGACTTCTGTACGGAAGTAACGGTCAGTTGCAAGAAAAAAGAGGGGAAAGAACAAGAACCTGAATCCTGACTCCACAGTTCAGCTATACAGTGACCGGCCGAAAAAAGAAAAGACGAAAAAAGAAAAAGAAAAAGAGAAAAAAAAACCAAGAGAAAACATTGAAAGATTGAGCCCAAAAAGAAAAATTACCAGAATTTACATGAATTTGCATTGATCTGATTGGCTACAATACCAACTGAATTTTCTTTCGGTCCGTGCGGAACCTCTCAAAGTGCTTGTTCTGGACTGTGATTGGTCAGTGACAGGCAATTCAATACCCAATCGAAATTGATCAGATCCGGTCGGAGCAGAAGCAGAAAAAGCGAGAAAAAGCGGAAAAGAGGAAAAGAAGAAAAGAGACAACTTTAGAGAAAGTCTGTGCAGAACATCAGGGAAAAGCTCTCTTATTTTGCCATTTTCTTAACTCTTTTTTTTTCTTTTTTTTTGAACAGAGAAAGAGAAGAGAAGAAAAGAAAAGAAAAAGAAGAAGAAGAAGAGTTTAACCATATCCGTCTCTACAGGAAACTAATCAGCTTCCCCCCCAAAACTTCCCCCCCAAAACGTCCCAAAACGTCACCACAACCGTTTTCGTTGATACTAAACTCGATCCATGGGAAAGCGTCGCTCTTACCGTGAATCCCGCACCGTCCCAACTTCTCCATTCCCCCACTACAGCTTGTCTTCTCTCCAAATTTCAACATCGTGACTCGTGCTGGTTTTTGAAAAAAGACCCGGACCCATTCTTTTCTTTCTTCCCTTTCCACTTCTTCCTTACTGTCTTTACTGTGTGTGTTCCTCGGAAACACAGTGTTCATCCTAACCCAAAAACCACCAACGCGTGGTTCACTTGCAACTTGTGCCCAATTTTTATTCTGACCCTCTGTGCGCTATACCCGGGTCCTGGTTCCACCCGTCGTCTTGATGAGTGCATCGACCTTCTCCGACGCCTCTCTCTCGCGCGAAGCCCAGAGGTTCGTAGACCTTTAAACCTCTTTTTCTTCCCTTGTCTTGCTTGACCTTCTTTGGCCTTATCTTTCAATTTGATTCTTTCATTGCACTGCTGCCATCTGTCTGTTTTTTTGCGCCGCTGTTTTACCTTTATCCACTTCTTTTTCCCCCCTCCCGCTTAACCCCCGGGCTTTCTTTAAAGGCTTTTTTCCACTGACTATGTTGATCAACACCAGTTCTGACTTTGACCTCACCATTCGCCAGCAGCCCGACCGGGCGCGCGTGGCTGGGGGCAAGGAGAAAGAGCGCAAACCTATCGATCCACCTCCGATTGTCCAGCTCCGGGTGCGTGAGGAGGGATCTTATCTTGCACAGTGAGTACCCAACCCGCCTTTCGACCCCTCCAAACCCTTCTTGGGCAAGATGGAGAGGGAGATCGGGGACTCAAGACCACTAACCTCATATGAAAATCCAGACACTATCTGCAAAGTCCCTACTATTTTATGTGCTGCAGCTTGTATGATGCTCAAGAAGATCGTCCAGTCCCGGTCGCGCCCTCGACCGCCTTAGCTGGAACCCTAGTCTCGTCTCTTCACCGGTTGAAGGACGTGGACAACAGTGGTAAGCTTCTCAATTGTGGGGTAGGATGACGATCTGGAGCTAATCAAAACCTTGTAGATGGAGGGTTTTTCGTTTTCGGAGATCTGTCGGTGAAAATGGAGGGTGAATTTCGATTGAAATTCACTTTATTCGAGATGCGAAGGTGAGTCGCGTGCCCCGATCGCGGGAAGCCGGGGCCGAGCACTGACGAGACTGTAAATCCAGAGATCAAGTCACCTACCTTAAGACCATCATTTCAGACCGTTTTACAGGTGAGACTGCTTCCAGAGAACCAAAAGTCGCTAAGCATTGAGTGCTAATGTAAGAGCAGTGTCGCCCCCCAAGAGCTTCCCTGGCATGATGGAGTCCACCTTTCTCTCCCGCTCATTTGCCGATCAAGGAGTCAAGTTGCGCATTCGCAAGGAGCCCCGGACCATGATGTAGGTGATCATTTCCAGAGCGTGTGAAGATCCCAAATTACTAACGCGCAGCGAAACAAGGAAACGACCTCGCCCGGATGAGTTCCCCCAGGCACTTCCTCCTCGATCTCCGGATCGTCAAGCCGTCCAAATTCCTCCTGCAGCGACAGGATTTGGGGGTTATCCAGCTACCAATCGGGATTATGCCTATTATGGAGCACCGGTAAAACGCGCGCGTACCTCTATCGATTATGGGCGGCAGAGTCTCTATCCAGACAACGATGGTCGTATGGCTCGTCCTATGGAGACATACGCCCAACAGCCCACGATGTATGGGCAACCCAATGCGTACCAGACTCCGGCAATGCAGTACTCGACAGGCCAGGTGGTGCCAGATTACGGGGTTCGTTCTACCCCAGAGGGAAAATGGCCCGAGACATGGCCGCAGAACCTCTTTTAACTAACCATTTCTTTTCTCCTTCTTTTACAGATGCCTTACGGTCTCCCACCGTCAAATCCAATGTCCCAGATGCCCGACCCAACAGGCCAAGCTCGATCCAGTCAACAAGCCGCCGTGGGACAGCTGATGGCGATGAACCAACAACCTGGTACACCTGTACGGCACCCCTCTGCGAATCAGTGAGTTTGGATTTTGGGAGGACCCTGCTAAGGATTTTCTTTTTGTTTTTTCGCACGCGCCAGACCCCAGATTCGACAGGATCGATGATGGCCCAGGGATACCCTCGGGCTACATACTCGACTGGTTCTACTATTCTCCCTCCGTTGCAACGAAATCGCAGCTATCCGGCTGGCACCAATGGAACTGGCACCCCTCGAGGCTATTTCGACCCTCCATCCCCATCGGCTACCCCAATTCTGCCCTCGCAGATGGCCCCCGAAGGTGACCGATACGGCGCTGCCTTTGACCCTTCCGGATCTCCTAATGGAACTCCTCAGTGATATGGTTCCCAACTTTACCCTTCTCTTCGCTCGTTTGACAACCCCTTTTTTTGAGCCTGCTTGGACCTCGACGGTCCTCCTTGGCTCTAACTATTGTTTCAATTAAAATTTCCTGTCTGTCTGGATAGACTGGGGGTGTTAGATATCACGTTTATGGTTATGTCTCTGGGTGGCTTTGGGTTTTTTTTTTTTTTTTAGGCTTGTCTTTGTTTTGGTTTTGGTTCTCATTAGTTTACAACGGCGCAATCTGGTGGGTAGAAAAGGGTGGAGGGAGGTTTTCTGTCTTTTTTCTGTTCAAATGTGTTCATGCTTCTCCCTCGTCTTTTCTTCTTGTTGTTTTCAAAAGCAAAAAAAGAAAATGTCAGGTTCATTCTTCTCTATTCATGTACATACTGGACCTTGTTAGCAGTTCATTACTTTTTTTTTAATTCGCGGCTTATGCAACTTTGCTTGCCCTTTACGCTTCGCTCTTTCCTCTTTTCTCACTTTACCTTGTTTACCATCTCTCACCCTTCCCCTCTCCCACCTCTCCCCGAACTCTCTTCCCTACCTCCTCCACCCTCGTTACGCATCATTCCGGTCATCATGGAATTATCCGAAAGCCCCTTCAACGATCTGGACGTGTACGCTGACTGGTCCGGCGACCCCTCGGATCATGTGGAAGTCAAGATCCAAGTGGATGTGAGATCTCAGCCCTAACCGTACCCACCACGAGATGTATCATGAATTGTCTCGCTGACCATATCGAAACATTAGATTCACTGCAGGCCCTTGCTTGACAAGCCCATCTTGAACACCCGTGTACCAAAAGAATTCGTCAAATCAAGTTCCCTAAAAATCACAACATCCAGAGATACCTTCGCCGTCTTGCACAATCCCGACTTGTCTGAGCGACTCCAGTCAACACCGGGAAGCCCAACAATGAACACGAACTCTGCAGGAGGCCCGATTCATCTGACCTCCGGAGCCAGTTTCTCGAGCACCGTCATAATCGACAGCCCAGTCGACGATTTCCAGGGTGCTACTATCATGAACAGCCCTGCCTACGCGGATCTCCCGGATTTTCATCCACTTGGTAATATCCGGCGTTCTTTGAAGAGAAACGCGAGAACCGCATCACTCCCTGACTCTGTTTCTGACTCTGATCGGCCAATCGGAGGATTCAAGCACAAGAGCAGCTTCTCTGTTCAGTTGCCTGCCACCTCGTCGACTGAATCCATCCAGTTGAATCGGCCGAGCCAAATTCCGCGTCCTATCAGTGTTATTTCACATTCTCACCACGCTACTTCACCGGGAAGAATCTCATTTTCGCTCGCCCCTTCATCTGACTCCAAGTTCACGCCTGAATATCTGCCGCAAGAGAACATACCACTCGTGAAAAAATCGCCTGAGAATGGAAAATTCAATGGGAGTCCTCTGGCATCGTCTTCAAACAACTCGGCCAACTATTTGAACGACGCTACAGACGACTCTGGAAACAAAGACGGAGACAAGTCTGAGATCCTGGAGAACTTTTCAATGGAAGGCTCATGCGGAACACCGTGCGATTTGCATTACAACCAACACTCGTATGGACCGGTAGATGAATACCCTAATGGGCCGGTCGAACCACCTGATACTAGTCAAAGTCCACACTCGCCTCTCTCGCCGTACAGCTCCAGATCCGGTTCTTCGACTCCTCAGATTGTCCAGGAGAACGGTGTATTCCGTATCTTCTGTCCTCGCGATACAAAGCCTGCTGTCTACAAAGCCACCATTGAGTTCTTGTTGCCCCTGGAAAAAGGAACACCTAGGGGCTGGTTTAACTTGGTGATTCCCGGATTACCTCGATTGCAGAATAACAATACTGGCTATCTGTATTTCTGGTTTCCACCTGGTCAAGGAGTCGAGTTTCGCACCACGCATTTGAAACGTCACAACTTGGTTGAAAGCTGTTTGATGGGCCAGTTTCCAATATTCGAGAAGCTTGTTATTCCAGTGCGGCCTTGTGATGCAAGATTTTATGGGTTCATTAAGGACTTCGCAGTAACCCAGACCATCCGTGCTGATATTCTCGACGACAATGACGAAGATTCTGGATTTTTTGTCGTCAAATACCATGCAGCCTGTGCGATTGATCTTATTCAGCGTGACTTTTGGGCCGAGAAGTGCGGCTTGACCATTTACGTGTATGGTGGACCCGATGCTGACTTTTCGGCCCATCTATATGGAACACTGGACGAGCTCCGAGTTATGCACCTCGACTCATCGCCAGATGCTCGCATTGGCGTTTCCGAAATTCAGATCATCTGCTCCCCTTCTAACCTGTCCATGTTTGCCATTACTTGGAAAGCTCGATTGCCACGAAAGCTGCCTATGTGGTTGCCTCGCATTCGAAGCTCCTTGGATACCGAGGGGGTAATTGATGAACTGAAAGATCGGTACACAGTGGCAGAAGAAAACGATAATGTGGAAATTGTGAAGATTCCGCCCTTCCATGCGACTCGTTTGATCCGCACGCCGGAACCCAAAACCGATGTCAAGCTTTCTCGGGGTAGAACCGTATCGATTTTTATGATCTCTTGTCTTGCGGCTTTTGTGGTGCTTCGAATCATTCTTCGTCTGTACCATGACATCCTTTTTATGCCGGTTTCATTTGGGGGAACAGACTCGGTGGGAGGATGGCCGATTGCGGACTGTGATGGTTTGGCTATTGACCCAGCTCTTGATCCCCAGACTGATCCATGTACTATTCCTACCCCCATTCCTCTGCGAGATCAGATCGACTATTTTCTCGGGTGGCGAGGACCGTTTTGAGTATCTTAGGGTGGAAAAAAAATCACTGTACGAATAGTTTTAAGGTAGTGCCAGCTTACTGGAATTGACAGTATTACTTCCGATTATCTCCATGAAACATGAGCTTACGCCTGTGAGGATTGCAATACATTTGGCCCTTTACTATCCATATAATGGTGCAGGACTTGCAGACAAGAAGTCAAGACCATTCATTTCGAGGTCCGACTTTCTGTAGTGACGGTACCATCTATAGGGCATGCATATTTCTCATATAACAGCTACTACTGTACCCTTGAGTCAAAGACCAGTAACTTCAAGTTCATACTAACCACCAATCCCATCAGAACCCAGTATAAAATCTCAAAATCTCCTCAACAGCCCACTCCAAAACAGCATCCATCCCCGCCTCCCCCCGCCCCGGCGCAACCCTCACCCCAGCATCAAGCCGCACATCCGTCCCCTCCCCAACCCTCGCAACCAAATCCCCCTCCACGCTCTCATCAGCAACGAGCAACCACGCATGATCCTCCACATACCGCGGCCAAACAATATCATCCACGTACCCCGGCGGATCGACCCAGAAATTCTGCGGCGGCCGATCATCTTCCGCCTCGAGGTCAATGGGCTCATTATGTTTCGATTCAGCCTGTCCTTCCGCTTCTGATACCGGCGCTTCCCCGATAGTCACGTACCCGCTCCGCGCCTCGCGGCGGCTCTTCACATTCGTGTATGACGCCGGCAGGAAGATCGGGAGGTGGATCTGTTTCTGGACTGCGTCGAGCGGGCTTGGAGCCTGGTTGTTGGTGGTGTTTTCTGCGGGCGCGGAGTACAGCAGGAAGCCCTCCATGAAGGCGATTGTTCGCGGTTTGGAGCGGAGCTCGGCGCTGGAGCTTGTGCTGAGTAGTTGCGAGGATACAAGGTCGCGCAGGCGCAGGACTAGGTCCTTGTTCACGCCGGAGTCGGACTCGTCGTTCTGGTCTTCTTTGCTTTGGAGTCTTGGGGGCAGTTTTCCGTGTTCTCGGACGTAGGCGAGGGCTTGCGCGAGGAAATTGGTGTCTATTGCGGCGGCTGTGTCCCAGTCTTGGATTCTTTCGCCGGATTTGGTGGTTGTGTAGGGGATTCTGGTTGGGCGGGAGTAGGTTGGTTAGATATTGTGGTATTTTTTTGGGATTATCAGAGCGATGTGTTCTGGGGGGATATGTGAGGGAGAACGTACTGGTCATCGGGATAGTAGAAGTCATCTTCGTGGATGATGAACGTATTGAGTTTTTCTTTTTCTGTCTCTGAGCCTGGGCCTGGTACCTGTTCCTGCAGATCCACCCCGCAAAAGATCCGCTGCAGGAGGCGGGCTAGGGTGGTCTTTCCGCTGGATGATGGGCCGGATATGCCCACTACCAGGGTATTGCTTTTATCTCTTGGTTTAGAATCTGCCATCTTACCTGGAAGGTTTCAAATGGGCTTGGGAAGAGGAGTTGGGTCGCGTGAAGCGGAAAGATGACTGGTGATGTTGATTTGATGAGGGGCTTATCGGGGATCTTATCGGGATCTTATCGCGTTGTCGCAATTGATTGGGGCTTTGCCGTTTTAGGTTTAGGGCCGTCGAATGAATCTCTTGTAGATCTATACTCGATCTATACTGGAGAGCTTGGACCACCACATTCCAGAATTCAGCCTTTGTTGTCAATGTTTTAAGTATTCGATGTTTTTGGGGGAGAAATGCTCTCGAAATAATTTCAATCCATTGGAAGCAAATAGGTGATACTAGGATCCCCTGATGACAAGTGCCGAAAATCTTAAGTAATATGAAGTTAAGTCATGACTTTTCCCTTTCTCATCATCCAGTCATCGTGCTGGTAAACAGAACCAATCAAACCTCAGAATCCAGTGAGCACACTCAGGCAGGTGCTCATAATAATAGCCAATCCTCAAAAAGACCGTCAGACAGTAGTAGAGGCAAATAATGGCCCAGTATCACAGATCAGAAAGCAATCTGCCGGCGGCCCGACATCGCACCAGTCAGAGTATCCTGTAGCTTTTGCACATTCTCAAAACGCATCATGTGGCAAGACTCGCTTTCAAGGTGATTGAATAACGCAGCCAATGCTGTAAACTCCTTGCCGCATCGCATATTGGGGCAGTGATAGATCTTGCTTTTATGGACAGGCGAATTGATATGCTGCGTCAAGGCTCGCGAGGTGAAGAATTCTTTGTGGCAGACGTAACACTCCCACATTCTGCCATTGAAAGCGCGTTGGGTTGGAGCATACTCGATGTGCTCTTCCTCGTGCCATCCGATTTGCTTCTGTGTAATCAAGCCTTGTTGGTCGGATTCTCGGATAATCTTGTAAAGAGACTCCCGGTTCAGACTTGGGGCGTTGGGGCAGGATCCGGTCTCCACGTGGTGGGCAACGCCGCTCAATGTCACGAAACTGGCCTTGCAGAAGGGGCAACTGATGCCGGTGCCACGGTGGAGACGGGAGTTTTTATGCTTGATATGTGCCATGAGTTTTTTTTCTTGAGAATGAAATTGGGGGAATTGGGGAAATTGTGGAAAGTGGTAAATACCGCACGTAGATTCGCCTCGCTGCCGAACTTGCGACCACAGGGCTCACAATAGTATTTCCAGTGCCCATAGGAGTTCATATGTTGGTCGGCTAACGACTCAGTTGCAAATTTTTGAGTGCAAGTGTCACATTCGAATTGCGGTTGGCGATGGCCCAACTGATTTATATGTTGGTTGCAGGACGTCCAAGTCAAAAAAGCCCTGGGGCAGGTTTCACACTCTGCGTGGTGACCAAAATAGTCACAGTGGTTAGCCAAGTCACCACGATAATAAAATTCATCGTAGCAGTTTGGACATTGTATGCTGGGCAAATCTGGTAGGAGAACTGGGTAAAAAGATTTGGGTAGGTAGTGAGGGTGCTGAAGGCTGGGGAATAGTGGAGGGGTGATCAAAAAGGAGGGAAGTGCTGGGAAATAGTGGAGGGGTGATCAAAAAGAAGGGAAGTTAGAAAAGTCCTGGGGGGGGGAAGGAGAGGGGAAGATAGCGAGATATGCAAATGCAGGTGGCTGTTGTTGAAATGTAATGAAGGATAAATCATTATATGATCTATCGGATCCGGGATATCCATTCTATACTACTGTATACATGAATCACATGATTTCTCCTGAGTTTCTTCCGCTTGGACTTTACTATATCCGACTCCCGAATCAGACCCGTCACCCGTCACACCCCGACACTGCAGGTGTTGTTGACAGTCTTTGTTTCACTTCATGTCGACACTGCAGGCTAGCAACTGCAAGTTGATAGTCTTTGTTCCATTCCCGAATGGGGTCTAGTCTTGGGCTATGTTGTGTGCAACCTTAAGGTACTTCAGGTTGTCCTTTCCTTCCTGTTTCCTTTCCTTTCTCTCTTTCTCTCCTATCAGTGTTTTTCTTTTGTTGCTAGGACCTTTAGAACAATTACTAGTAGATAGTAAGTACTGACCTTGAGTGCACACTAAAAATGACGTCATCCAGAGTCCATTAACGTCGTTTTCAATAGCCGGTTTAGCTGGTAGATATTGGGATATGCAACATTTGAACACGATAACAAGTCGCGACTCTATTCTAGAGGATTAGGCAGAAACATCATCGCCCAGGTAGTATGTAACAGCTCTCAAGCGAAGACACGAATTGACTGCCTTGAACTTTTGCACACACTACTGGATACGATTTGGAAGCTTGGAAGGTTTCAACGTTCGCTATGCGTGATACTAGTATTGTCCCAACATTACCGTATCCGATTCTAAATGTCCAGTCGTCCAGGGGGACTGAGTTTTGCCTTCATGAATTACGATTGCTATTTTGGAATTCATTTCCCATGGTGTTAAGTATTCCATACTACGTGCTATATTCGAACTTTCCCAGTCAATCAAGGTTCGACTCTCTTGTTCAAATGTTGTTCAAATGTTTTCCATTGGCCAATTTCCACGGGCGTCGGGGGAAGTTGCCCTCTGAGTGGGAAACAGTGCAGCTGAGTTGATATGCGGAGAATGCGGGGATAAAGCTTGGACATTCCATCTCTCTGAGGAAATTTACCCCGGAAAACAACCTTGGCACTAACCAACCATGGCCAATCACACTACACAGATTATTCAATCTATGTCTTGTATTCTCAATGAGTGCTCAAAAGAACCACTTTCGCCGAATTCGCCATATCCATCTTTTAGCCTTTCTTACCCCACGGGGAAAGGAGGTAATATGTCACTTGGGTGGATATCCCATCGATTTGGCTTAAAAGGGCCCTTGTGCGACTGCCCCCAATTGCATCCTACAATTTCAACTGTTTTCTCCCTAGGTAGTTAGTGGAATACTCTACTACTCTCAAATATGGATCCCACTGTGAAGAAACCAACCTATTTGAACGACCCCCACAATGCCGATGATGATGTCGAAGAGATTGAGAACATCAAAGTCAACAACATCAATATCCAGACAGAACTCAGTAGCATTGAGTCAACGGCTGCCTCTAAGGCAGCTTGGTTGATTTCCATTGTTGTCTCCATTGGCGGGTTTCTGTTTGGTGTGTCCCTTTCCCTGTCCATTGTACAACCTCCAGCCCCAGAAGGCCATACACTAACATCTTGTCAGGTTACGATACGGGATACATCTCCGCAGTGCTGGTAACCATCAACACATCCCTTGGTCATGTTTTGAGTACGAACGAACAAGAAATGGTGACGTCCTTAACTAGCGGTGGAGCACTCGTGGGGGCGATAGGAGCTGGTCTGACTGCTGATCGATTTGGCCGTCACTGGCCAATCTGGGGTGCATGTTTGTTGTTTGTGGTAGGCTCCGTGCTGCAAACATGCGCATACTCCGTTGGTCAGTTCGCCACGGGGAGGTTTGTGGTCGGCCTTGGGGTAGGCGGCGCTGCCATGGTTGTCCCTCTCTACAGTCAGTTTCTCTTCAAGTCTTTCTACAATGCCCTCGCTGACATATTTCAATTGTTTCCCGCAGTTGGAGAGCTGGCTCCCGCACAGTACCGTGGCCGCATGGTCGCATTTAACAACATGAGTGTAACATTCGGCCAGCTGGTGGCCAGTGCGATCGGCGCAGGTTTCGCTGAAGTACATGGCGAAGGATGGCGAGCTACCGTGGGCATTGGAGCTGTTCCAGCTATGGTTCTTGCCGGACTCCTGATCACATGCCCAGAGTCACCTCGTCAACTTGTCTCCCACGGCAATATCGAGGAGGCACATACGGTTCTCTTGCGAATCTACCCCACGTCTACTGTTGAACAGCGTCAAGCAAAAATCACATCTATCGAGCTTTCTCTTCAGGAGACCTCTCATGGAATGGCAGAAGAGTCTCTATGGTCTACTCTGAAAAGAGTCTTCAATACTCCGGCCACAGCTCGCGCTGTCTTGACGGCTTGTGTTGTTATGGCGATCAGCCAGCTTGGTGGCTTCAACACTCTGATGTACTATGCCTCAACGTTGTTCTCAATGGTCGGGTTCACCAATTCTACCGCAGTGGGAATCACAGTTTCTGGCACGAATTTCGTGTTTTCGTTTGTGAACCTGATGCTGGTTGATAAATTCGGTCGGCGAATCATCCTAACGATTACAGTACTTGGAATGTCAATTTGCATGATAGTGGCCCTCGTGGCATTCATGTATATTCCCGTGAATCTTCACACTTTGGAAGTCGAGAATTCCCATGTCGGCTGGCCGGGGGTTCTTGTTCTTGTCGCCATTATATGCTATGTTGCATGCTACTCGTCTGGCGTCGCCACGATTGCTTGGATTGGTATGGAATTGATTCCATTGGAGGTTCGAGCTGTAGGAACCATGCTGGTATGTTTTTCACTCCCTGGAAATTCTCCCCTGAAGTATTAACATGTCGTGCAGAATACTGTTACTTGTTGGGGCTGTAATATAATCATCTCCTCCACGTATCTTTCCATGATGAAAGGCCTGACCCCAAGCGGGACCTTTGGGTTTTACGCCGCGATCTGCTTCCTTGGCTGGGTATTTGTTGTTTTCTTTTACCCCGAGTGTAAGGGTATGCCCCTGGAAGCTGTGCGTGAAGTTTTTAGCAAGGGCTTTGGAGTTCGGTACTCGAAACAGTGGCAAAAAGATCATAAACACGATGCAAAGGTGGAGACTGTAGTTATGGGTCATTAGGAAATGGAACATTTTGTACGTTGTTAGATTTTGCGAATCCGAAAATCGCTATGATGAATCATGCCAGATTACTGGAAAACCTAGGAGCTCTGGGAGATTAGTTTGACCATGAGGATCACGGACTTTTGTCGGGGCTCTGATAATGGCGGCAGATGAAGATTCATGTTTTGTGCCGAATAAATCCTTTAAACATTGAATCTGGCCCCTGTAATTGGATCTGATCTACTAGTATAAATCTATGATCAGGGCCGCTAAAAGGCCCATCGTTATTTTTCGGATTCCTTGACTTTGTCCCTAAATCCCAAGGCCATCAACATATTAGATAACCTCCAGGGCTACTAGGTACCTCACTAGACAGCTTTTGAAATTCCTATAGAGTTGTTGTTGATATAAACCCGTGGATGGCATTTTAGTAATTACAGACAGGAGGGAACAGAAATCCAGTGAATACATCCATAAGGTTGGGTACTCAATACCCAAGTATGCACCTAGGATGAACATTGAAGGTCCGTCATATAACTTCCTCTGCATGGATGGCTCCCATCTACCAGTCGAGCAGATATCACCTATCAGGGTCGGGATTATTCCCCCAGTTCCGGGTGGTGATTCCACGGACCTCACCCTCATCCCCGGTTGGCTCAAGCGCCAACACAGTAATACTGTTTCCGGTCTCACGAAGATAAACGCCAGGAAGATACAACGTCTGTTGAGGTCCAATAACCCAGTACCGGCCTAAATTGACCCCATTCACCCAAACAACACCCTTTGTCCATCCTGGCAGCTCAAGGAAGGTATCACCAACTGTATCCACATCAAAAGACCCCGTATAGAATATCGGCGCGGAGTTTGTCGTCACCTGAGGTGCTGTAGCTGCAGCGGCAGGGAGAGAGGTCAAAGGAAGCGGATACAATTCCCAGTTAGAGAGAACTGTCCCACCAACCGTGATATTTCCAACCACTCCCTTTCGCTGATCGATTATCTCAGATCCAAAGTTCACTCTACCAAGATTCTCAATCAGAAGATCCAGTATATCGTTCTTCTTCAAGGTCACGGAAACGCTATTCGGTACTTCGTAAGTGCTATCGATCACACCGACGCGCTTCCCATTCACGTAGATGAGAACCCGGTCTCTAGGCTGATCGCCCGCCTTCACAAGTCCACTGCCAGCAGCCGTGGCGACGTGTCGATACAATATAAACCCAGTAGATTGACCAACCGCCTCCATATTAACAGGCGCCGTTTTAAGAATTGGGTCCGGAAGCGCGTCGAAGAGATTGACCGCAGGCTCAAGCTTTATAGCCGGGATATCAATCAACGGGGTCTCGGGCACCAGGTCGGGAATAGTATCAGCGCCAACGTAGGCACCGATCGTCTCCCGAATGGAATGGTAAATTTCATTCGTCCGCCCACTTTCATCAAGCGGTGCGCCGTAATCATAGCTCGTGGTAATCGGCTCCAGCGCATCTCCCCAATCCGCGCCGTTCTGGAACCCCCAGTTCGTGCCCCCGTGGAACATGTAGATACTAAACGAGCTGTCGTTCCGCAAGATCCAGTCAAGGTCAGAAGTCACCTGCTGGATGGCTGCCGTATTTCCAACATCCGTTTCGTGTGTGTAGTTGCTTGCCCATTGATCCAGCCACGTAACGTAGTACTCCCCGTCGAGTAGTGGGCCCAGGCTGTTGGGATCAGTAACGTATTCATTGCGCGCAGCAAATCCGGTCTGTGGACTGCCGTCGATCTCGGCGAGCGCACCAGTGATCTGGCCACCGTCGAGCATGGACTCTTCGCCGCCATCATTAGTGTAAAGAGGGACACCGTATGCCTGACTCATCATATCGCGCAGAGAAGCGATGTAGACGTGGTCGTCGCCGTAGGAGCCGTACTCGTTTTCGACTTGGGCCATGAGAATGGGCCCGCCGTTTGTGATCATCATATCCTTGAGTTCCTCGCCGAGGTGGTCGATGTAGTACTTTGCTGCGGCGAGGTAAGGCTTGTTGCTCGTTCGAACGACCATGCCTGGTACTTCGCTCAGCCAGGCAGGGAATCCGCCCCATTCATGCTCGCCGCAGATGTAGGGTCCTGAGCGTAGGACGATGTGCAAACCTTGCTCCTGTGCTATCTTGAAGTAACGTGCGATGTCGTTGTTACCGGTTGTTTCCCAGGCGCCTGGCTCTGGGACTAGTTGGTCCCAGTAGACGTAGGAAAAGATGGTGTTGAGGCCCATGGCCCGCGCTTTGGCGAGTCGATCGGCCCAGAGCTCATTGGGGATACGCTGGGGGTCCATTTGACCGCCGATTATTTGGAAGGGTTCGCCATGGAGGAGGAATGTGGTGCTGTTCCATGTGAAGGGCTTGATTGCCAGGGCTGCTGGTAGGAAGCCTAGAGCTATGAAGATGGGGTTTATAATCATGATTGATGGGATTTGTATGTAGAATTATCAATATCTTGCGGAGAATTGCGGAGTTTTATGCTTGTTCCGAATAGATTGCTCGGGCCCCTCCGCTAAGACTCCATTGTCATGAAATGTGTAGATCTTCCGACTTCTAGTTGAATCTTGTAGATCGCCCTGTCGTGGTTGGTTCCAGGATACCCCAGTTGCCAACCCCGCACGATTCGAAGACGACCGTTCAATGTCACTGTGACATGATGCGGGGTGAGGTTGGATTTTTGCGATAGCACCACATTTATAATCGTGGGCGTTGGAAGTTGTTGTGCTCATCAAAAAAAGGCAGCAAACCGACGATGGCCAAAATAGCAAATAAATTTGTGATTGACGCCCAATCATTGGAGTCATCTTTGAACCAACCAGAGAGGTGCAATTGCGGCTCTGGCACTCATCACACACATGGTTTAGATGAGGAACTTGGAGAGTAGGGGTAGGATTAGGGATAATTTGATAGGGGTAAGTTATATAGGTGTTGTATAATAACTTTACTAGGAAAGCGACACAAAAGATGAGATAGCCATGCTTAGACGGTCACTCCATGCCTCTGCACATGCTTGACCGTGGCTCTTTAGATTTTATTTTGACCCATTCGACCCTGTACCACGCTATGTATCTTAATGACATCAACAGGCGAATTTCCAGGGTAAATGGGAAAAAGCCTTCTTGGCTGCTTTCTGTCAGAGACTCGGTCCTTAATTTGGCCCAAATTCATAGGCCGATCATCGATACTGTCAACGACCAGGCGCAAGAGAGGAAGTGGAGTTTCACCACCAGGATAGCCAGGCTTAGTGACCTGGATGGTCTGAACTATTGCTGTAGTGAGGCTATACTTCCGAAGAACTTCGTTGAGATATCCGCGAATCGGGTTGACTGTATCAGCCACTTCTGAAGAATCATCGATCGATAGTGGGTATGGGAGGGGGTTCAGAACACTGATGGATCTGAATGGATCACTCGCGACCAGGTACATATGTATTTCTCGATGGTAATTTCTAAGCAAATATCAGCAAGTTTGTTAGCGGAGGGATACAGCCGCTGCTCAGGGAAAGGAAAGAACGGAGGACGGAGAGAGAAAAGCAACTGGATTGGCTATGGACAATCTTTCTCGGGGGGATGGAGAGAAGAAGAAGGGAAAAGGAAGGAAGCAAGCAAGCATTAGATATATCATATACGGTCAACTGGTATACCTAACATTGAAAGGGGGTCACCTGACCCCTCTCTAAAATTAACATTTGAACTCTCGAGGAATTCAAAAGCCGTCTAGTGAGGTACCTAGTAGCCCTGGAGCTTACCTAACCTTGAAATGTATATCCTATATACTTGGAACTTGGGATGTGTACTTACTAAGTACTTGGGATGAGTACCTACTCAATACTCAAGTGCTTGAGAAGGGTATTGTAGTAATCACCACTCTGCACATGTGATATCCTATGTACTTCTCAACTACCAAGTTCCAACTGGGGAAACTCTGGAGAGAAAAAGACCACAGGCACCCGAGAAGAAAGAAATGAAATGCCAACGGAAAATCGAATCCTCCTCATAGATGTTAAGTACCTCGATCGCGACCCAAAGCCGAGTGTGCTAATCCAGTAAGAACAACTCACATCCAGGCCAGGACGGGTAACTGAGCGGGACCCGATTGTCACGAATTACTTTAAATGGATGACGTCAGTCCCAATAGCGTAATCCGTCTCGGCTTATCCGCCCTTGAACTTACGTTCCCCCCAAAAACGTACTAGTTACGGGTAAAATAGTAGTAAGTCGATTCTAAGTCCTCTCTCCCGTGCTCGTTAAGATTTAATAATAACATCTGATCCATTAATTGCGCCACGCGTATGCTGAGGCCCTAAGAATGTATGTGTAAGAAAACCCCAAAGTATCAATGTACATGTAAAGTATAGTAGATCACCAAACACCAGGCTAGATGGAACAGGAAATTAAGGGTAGATAAAAGATAAAGCGAAATGTTCCGGGACCTACCAAGGTCCGAAAATAGACTTCGGTCGAGGAGGCTTGACATAGTTAGGCAACACAAGAGGAGGAGGGAGAGGAGGTTGCGAATTTGAAGAATCGCTACTGCCTCCATTTTCACCTCCCACATCTGGAGCAAAGCCGACTCGTGCCTTCTTGGGCTTCGTCTTTCTAGATTTCTTGGGCGTGGGAGTTGGGGTTTGTCCATTCCCCGGCAAGGTGAAGGCATCCGAGTCAGCATCGGATTCCGCGATCGCGGCGTGAGAACGTTTTCTACAAGTTGCTGGGCCGTCGGCCTCGTTATCCGGAATGGGCAAACGATGTCGGTCGAAGAAGCCCGTTGGCTGAGCCAAATATGCCGCTTTTGAGCAGTGTTCTTCAGACATGTCCAGGAAAGGCTCGTTTTGAATGAGTTCACTCATGGCATTATCGTCCAGCAAGCTCTTCTCGGCATGCTGCATCTCGGCCTGGGACATCTCCTTTCTTCGGCGCAGCATCTTGTCTTCGAGTGTATCTTCCAAGACAAGCGTCTCAACGTACACGGGTCTTGTCTGCCCGATCCGGTGGGCACGCTTGATTGCTTGGCTTTCGACGTTGGGTTGCCAGATCGGGTTGACGATGTACACACGCGAGGCTTGCGCGATGTGTAGGCCGTGTGAGGCTTGGCGGAGGTCCATGAGGAGGACGCGAACCTCGTTGGTTTCGCGGAAGAGTTGGAGATACTCTGTTCGAGATTTGGAGTTGAGATTACTAGCGTAAATGCGGAAGTCTACGCCCAGGAGCTCGAGGCCTTCGGCGATCCAGAAGGCGGAGTTGATGGAATCGTAGAAAATGATTATTTTCTCTCTCTCCTGGTGTTTGAGGACTTGGTCCAGGAGGTAAGTAAGTTTCGCAGATGAAGTTGCGACGAATCTGGTCTTCTTGAGACTGGAGTCCTCCGAAAGTGTTTGAAAGATGTTACGATGGAACGTCTTCTTCCGGGGCGATGTCTTCTTCGGAGTTGGGGTCGTGGTTGGAGCTGGAGAGGAACCAGCGGTTGGGTTAGAAGGGGCTGTAAGGTTATTATTGGACTCTGTGGCGCCTTTTGCCGAAGCGCGTTGCTGGGTTCGCTTGATATCCTGACGCACAGTGATTCCATGGCCCGATAGGCCCTGTGTTGGGTCAGCCAATCGGAGCTGCTTCGTGATGAACTTTTGGGCAAGGCGAGCTTGTGTAATCCCCATTAGAATTGGATTTTCTTCTGTTTGAGGGTCAATTGCCCAATATGCCCGATTGTCTTTAGGGAAGTCCTGCACGAGTACACCAAGCTCGTGTAACTGCTGCAGCTCGTGCCACACAGTTGACTCCAAAGCTTGACGGGCAATTCCCATACCCTCAGCCAATCGAAGGATATCTTTAAGCAACATGCTATCATTTTTCTTCTCGAGATATTCGAGCGCAACGTCGACTGTTTTTGCCAAGTCCTTGTCAAACCCAACCCACCAGAATCCAGCCTGGCGCAAGTTGGTGATGGTCAAATTCAAACTCTTCCTGTTTTTTGAGTTGAACATGTAATCAGAGCCTTGACGCTCGGAGGTAATCGAGTTGACAGCAAGACCAAAAAGGAACAGGTTGATAGAGAGTCGGTCATAATACGTCGGCTTCAGATAGATAACCTTGTTGTAGAGTTTGGGGAGAGTAATCTCCTTGCTGACCACATCCAGTTGGTGCCGTACCACCAGCCCTTGAAGCGTAGCACGTATCGCCGGTGTTTTGCGTCGTTTCCCATCTGGTCCAAGGGGTTTGATGTACTTGGTCCAATCAACAGGATCATTTGCCCTGGAGTTCGACCAAGGTTTCAGATCCAAGAACTCAATCACAATACGCCTAATCTTGTCTAGGTCTTTCATCTCATTGTCAATTGCATTTCCGGTCTTCTTCCGAGTCTTCAGCGCAGATGCAGTCATAGTTTCCGATGGCTCCGTGTCGCTTGTATTGGCCTCAAGCGAGGCGAGACTAATCTCAACCCCATAAAGTCCAGTAGATGGTGTACCAGAAATCACCCAACGACGCTCAAATTGGAGCCAATCAATAAAAGACATCATATTCGTTTTCGTGCCATTTCCTGCGACATTGTGGCCTTCGTCGACAATTACCCGTAGCCAGTGAAGTTCTGTCAGAGGTAGATACGTCTCAATCGGCTCTCCCGCGAAATGGGTCTTTGCAAAAAGAACAATGTCATACTCCACAAGTTCGTCAGCAGATGGGATTTTGTCGGAACTCGACCTCAGTGTCAAGACTTTAAGTCCTTCAGTGTGCTTTTGGATCTCATGCTGCCAGTGATCCACCAAGTTGGTCGGGACAATAATGATTGTACCCGAGCACATACGTATACGCTTGCCTGGTGGCTTCTTCTCGGACCTCCGATTCTCTTCTGACGTTGGTGTTTGTCGACCTGGGTATCGAGTCTGGTGCGATGGAAATTCATAAGATCCACGCTCGCGTACACACGCCCCGATGCAGCTTTCATAGAACATGCCGTTTTTGCGCTTTTCAAGGAAAAACCGTTTCCAAGGTATCGAATGACGACCAATTGCGGCTGCTGCCATATTCATAAGGGATCCTACTTTCTCTCTCACACGCGTAGTGTCTGGCTGATACGATGGGGACAAGTACTCGATCGGGATCTTAGGGACATGCCCAAGAGTAGCACAGATGACAGCGAGGCAAATGAGTGTTTTTCCACAGCCCATGGTCTCTGCAAGAATTCCTGTTATGAAGTTAATACCTTGTGCAAATCATTGGACAGAATAGCTGACCTCCACAAGCCTCGGAGTACATCGTCTTTTCACGAACGATGATCCCATCTTCCTTGTCGTAATAATACTCCACATCTGTAGGAGTCTGGCAAACTTGCAGCCGTGGATCAAGCATTTGTTTTGGCTGCGCTTCACGCTGAATCATAGCTGCAGCGGATCGACGCTGATAGGGATACAACGGGGTCTTGATACCATATTCTAGCGAGTTGTCTCCGGATAACAAGTCATCCATGGCTATTTGAGCCCAAGGGTCTCTCATAGCTTCCACGTCAGGATCAGGATTGTCCAAAGTATTGAAAATGTACCAAAGAGAATCGTCCTCTGCGCCATTTGAAGTACTGAGGTCCTGTCTCTTGGCACTGCATTGTCCCACCCACGCGTCGTGAGAACGATCGATCCTGGCCATGACAAGTTTCACTGCATTCCGCAAGGTTTTGACAAACTTTTGTGTGTGGCGCCGACCTGTCATATCTGTATTGATGTAGATTTTGTTCGCGGCTTCTTGATGAACCCATTGATGTTCACGTAAATGAGCAATTGCGGCCCTCATCGTTTCATCTTGAGCAAAGTCTTTATCGAGCACACCTAGAGGAAGCCAGGTACTCTCATCTTCGTCGGAACGGTTGCTTGAATCAGCTTTATCCGTTTGCATTTGCTCCACTGGTGAATTCTCCGGAGACGGCACAGATTTTCCAGGTACAGCCGGTGAATCAGTCACTGGAAAAGGGAGCCAGCTGTCGGGACAGTATGAGTCCTCCTCACCACTGTCAATTTGTCGATCTGCATCTGCATGCACTGGCTCCGTTGGGTTGTTGGCAGTGGACACAGGTGGTTCAGATACATGAGGAAAATTTGTTGAATCAGGCACAGAAATAGGAAGCCAAGTATCTGGGTTGTATGAATCATCCTCGCGACTGACTGCATCTGGGATGTCATGGGTATCTTTCATTAAACTGATGGTTTGCGGAGCCGTGTCTGCGTGTACTGGCTCGGCTGGTGCGTCATTTAAGGTTGATCCGGTGCCGGATATATCAGGAACATCCGGACTGTGAGTTGAATGATGAAGTTCAGGCTCTGAAAATTCATACTGAGAATTCTCTCGTCTGAATTCACCGATAGACTGTAAGGCCCATACAGCATTGAGCATGCCAGCCTCTAGCTCCCGAGGCAGCATGATGACAATTCTGCCAAGTTGGCTACAAGAAAGATGTAAATGTCAGAAACGAGATAGATCATATATCTGGCAGAATACTTACCGCCCATGTGTTCACTACGAGTCGAGACTCGAAGACGATGCACGATCCAAATTGCCCGGCGGTGTAGGAGGCGGTGAGAGTCGGAGATGTTTTTGGGGAATCACGAGACACAAATCACGTGGAACAGGGGAGGAAAACAAATCACGTGTGAAAGAAAAAAACAAATCACGTGGAAGGGATGAGAAAAACACGTCACGTGGTAGAGGTTAGAAACAAAGTCACATGATACGCCAAGGTGGTGTATTTTACCTCTGAGTCTAGGGCTGGTCTTACCGCCTCTTATATTTAAGCAACCACTGTACGTAGAGCGCCTACTGAGCCAATCTGCGTTCTGTGCACATGACTTGAACTTGACATCCGTTGAAGAACATAGAAATTGATTTCAACATTGAATACCCTCATACATGTGACACATTCAATGTTTGAATAGTACTAAATCAATCCTTCAATGTTACAATCAATTGATACTGGCAATCAATCACAGATTCAAATTAATATATGTTTTTAAAACTCGGAGTGTATTCTTTACACAGTCTATTCAATGTTGTATTCCGCCATTTCCCATCAGATCTAAAAAGATGAGATCACTGCGTCAAGAAATCCTCAATCTCAAACCCAACCCGCTTCAATGCTTTCTCCTCCAGCTCCCGCGATGATCCAACAACCTTCCTGAGTATGATGGTCCTCGCATCATGCAATCGTACCTCGACAGCATTTCCGCCCGCACGCTCCAGCTCCTCGCGGCTACACTCCCGAATATACACGGTGATATCCGGACCAACGCACGCGCGCCAAAGCGACGCCATCCACTGCCAGTGATCTAATGGAGCATACGAATCATGAATAGGAATGGAACAAGCGAATGCATCCGCAGTGGAAATCTGGTACCGGGGAACAAGCGCAATAGGCATAGTACACGGGCTACCGAGGGTGCTCGGCGAGACGCTAGTGTCAGAGCCATTCTCGCTGGATTGTGCAGGGGAGTGGATCTGCAAACCGGCAGTCTTTGGGATAAGGGATTTGGGCGAGAGGTTCAGTTTGTTGGATTCCTCTTCCGGGCTGGAGCGGGAGTCGACGGACATGGCTGTTGAGATCGATTTGACGAAGCTGACGACTTCGTCGGAGATGCGGTGCCAGGCTGAGATGGTGTCGAGGTAGTCGACTGTTGCGTCGCCCATTGGACCGCCTTCCGAGCTGGAGATGGAGTCTCGTTGTGGTTTGATGTCGGGTCCGTCGAAGACACGGACGTGGTATTTGGGTTCCTTCCTTAGGAGACGCTGAAGATATTGCACGGCGACTTGGACCAGTTCTGGGTCGTGACCGTCGACGGCGATGACGGGGCCTCGAATTTGGGGGGTGGATTCTCGGAATGAAGGTACTAAGGGCGGAGAGATTTTGGCAAGGACCTTGATCTTGTTGAGGAATGGGATGGTCATGACTGTAGCTTCCACGCTGGGTTCGGTGGAGAAATTTGGTGTGATGGGGGTCATGACGGGTGTGCCGGTCTGTAGCGGCGGTAGCTTTAGGCTTTGGTCTATATGTGACTGGCCTTGCATATTGTTGAATTGACGTTGAATCATTGGAAGCATGTTTCGGGGTTGCATGTCTGGGCGAGCGCTGTATGGTGCTGCCGAGTATGGACCATCGGGACTTCTGTCTCGGTGGGGACCCATAGTGCTCATAGGTTTGAGGGGTGTGTGAGAGACACGGCGACGTTTGTTGTCTGGCGACCTTCCGCCGACCTCCTCTGCCTGCCGAGATCGGGAGCGGGAGCCTAGTGAGTCAATTTTGACCAACTTAGGCTCGTCTCGCTCTCGACTGTGAGAACTGCTAGCTGTCATGATTGATTTGTGTGTAATGGGTGTCGAGAGACCTGATGGCCGGTACTCTCGATACTCTTGAGTAACGGTTGTAGGTGTGAATGGGGTCATTGGAGAGGGTGGATGCATAAATCGACCACCACAACGAGTACAGTGGGTACCACCAGATGGGTTGTTACTGATACCCGAGCCAGAGCCCCGAGCACCACCATCCCGACCGCTTCGTCGAGGCTGATAGCGGTAGCCGGGGTACTGCTGGTTATGACGGATTTTTTCTTCCTATTAGGAAATTAGTGACAATCCGAAACAACGGGGGTTTTCCTTCATTTGAAACTTACTTCTGCCAAAGTCCTCCACTTTGACTTTTCATCTTCAGATAGATGCCTCCACTGCTCTCCGATGATTTTGGAGATGTTTGGATTTGCCATGCCCGGATTATGTGCCACAACCGTTGCCTGGTAGTGCTGTCGATACAGAATGAACGCTATGAAATTTGAATTAGCCATCATGTTCTCTCAAGTTACATTGGTCCACGGCCTGGAGCTCCTTTCAGAATCAAAGTAAAACAGCACTTGCCATGCTCATTCCACTGCGCGGGTTGATTCGACTCACCATTACGAGGCCGGGGAATCTTTGGATCCGGCTGGCAAAGACAAAATGTATCTCTTTCCTTGGCGGATCTCACAGGGCTTGCACTACCCGAAGAGGAAGACGATCGGGAAAGTTCCTTAGTGGAGACCATAGGGCCAGAGGGTCTCCTCATGGAGCTCATATTATGTGTATTTGCCATGGGAGCCATCATGTCATTTTGATCAGATCTTGAATTCGGGATTTTGCCTTGATTCAACACCGTCATCTGCTGGTGGGCATGAGCCACATCGGTTGATCGCAGATCGGCATACTTGAAGGAATCTGGACGGTATACCAAAGATCCATGGGACATGGGGAGATCGCGGTCATTCATGATCTTGTGGTCAAGGAGGTCGCTGGGTCTGACTTGAGTATTTTCATGTTGCAGACCAGCCGGAGCGGGGAGCACTCGGTCCCAAGACATTTATCTATGTGTTGATCGAGGCAGGCAATAGCCGCCACAAACAACCAAAACAAGGAAATGGAGGACGAATGACAAAATGTCACAAAGAAACAAGATCAATCTTTGGGAAGCTTTGATTCAACAAAATGGTAGCCTTGGATCAAAGCCCGGAAACCCCGAACAAGAAGAATGACAAGCCTTTTGCCCCTCTCTATCTGATTTCCCGAATGAGCACTGAGAGAGAGAGAGAGAGTCCAAGGTAAGCCAAAATAAAAAGTATAAAAAATGATAAAAGAAAAAAGAAAAAAGAAATCGAGGAATAAACAAGGGGAGGTATGGTTCATGGGAGAGAATGATTGAAAGAAGAAATTGAGGTTGAAAGAGGAGAAGGAATAAAATAAAGAAGAAATGGGGCTAGAAGCAAGAGAATGACTTCAGTCAAATCAAGTGTTCCAAGAGGTAGAGTATATCAGCAAATGATCGTCAAATGACCAGAGGCAAGACAAAGGTAGTGGACCTATTTTTGCGCTTTCTTTGTTGTCTTGGGCTCGTTCGGCTCGCAATCCCTGCCGAGTGGCTTGTCCCTTTGACAATAGATCCTAGATGAAGGTCGTTGGCATTCAGGCCGCGCCAACCGAGCAAGGGAAAATCTAGACCAGAATCCAAGATCTGGAAGTTTTACAGAAAAAAAAAAGTACGAGTATAAGAGTGACTTGGACATTGTTACTGTACTATACTAGTCCATACAAATCCATGGTTATCGATTACAAGGAACCTTGTACCCTTGTATCTCCATAATCCATAATCCATAATACCATAAAGGTTAAGTCATAAAGTCGCAGCAAACGAGATCATTGTTTTCTTTGTCTCCGCTTGCGGCGACTCGCAGCGGATCCTGCGTAACTGACGACGCTGATTGGCTCGCGGCTCGATCCTCGGATCCCCGATAAATTGAACAAAGAAAAAAAAAAGATAAAAAAGAAATTAAAAGCAAACAACGATAGATGAGAAAATGAATACAAAATAAAATAAAACAAAACAAAAATCCCTGCGCAAACAACAAGCTATCTTCCAAATCATCCACAGCGAACAAAACCTACAAAGAAATCTTAGTACTTGAGTAAAAGCACAGATGATCTCATAGGCGACGATCTCCGCTGCAACTGTCCAGCTTAGAACAATACTACCTTGTACATAAACTCCCTTTTCTTTCTTTTAGACCCTCTTTCCTGTTTTGGACTTTGCCTATTCTCCTTTTACAGGCTAGTGTATAATGTCACAAATCTCAAATCATGGAGTGGAGTTGGTCCAAACTGCCGGGTTTGAGATGTATCGGCTACTACCGTTGCCTTTGACGCATCGGGAACGTTTGACTTATACTACACTTACTGCTCCTGGTCATGTTTCGGGTGATATGCTCATTCGTCATCTATATACTTTCTTTTCGAAATTTCGCTTTTTTTTTTTTTTTTTTAACATGTCTAAGCTGTGAAGCCCCGGGTGTGGCGGCGTCTGGTAGACTGTTCCTGTTCCTGAGCGTTCAACAGGACCCCGTCGATCCCCTCGTAAATCTCGGTCGCCATCAATCGATGTGCGGATGGACCCAGGCTCATATCGTTCCTGGAAAATTCTCAGTCAGTGACAATCCCATAAAAAGACCCGAAAAGGGAAAAAAAACGAAAAACGAAAAAACTTCCTCCCCGAGCTACTACTATGCCCATGTCGATCGTTTCCCTCCCCAGATGAAAAAAAAAAATTTAAAATGAAAGAAAGCGACTTACCAGAACAGATACTTCTCTGGGTGTTCACACTGTTTCTCATCCTTCCCCTTTGACATCATGACCTCAATTGAACTTGGGGTTTCGACGCAGGCGTCAGCGACATTTTCCCACCCGGGATCCTCATTCGTGCCCAATCCACTCTCCGCCTTGATCCCGGCCGCATAGAGTTGCCAATCACGAATCCGATCCAACAAGAAGGCGTTCGTATCAAACATGTAAATAATTCCCTTCTCCCAAGGCTTAGCCGATTCCCATAGCTTATGGTTCCAATGACTGAGAAGCTTAACAGCATTCTTGTACTCCTCCCCTTGGGTGGAGAAGGCCGGTGAAAAGGCCGGTAAGAACGTCACGTCAACGGACTGCGTCAGGATCACCTTCACTTGGTCAGAGCCCCAACGCTTGGAGAGAGTGTTCAGTTGGTCCATGATGGTCTGGACGCGGCGTTCGAGGGAGGCGGTGGCGGTGTCATAGTCCTTGGTGACGAGGGACCAAATGTCCCAGATGCCAAAGGAGACGACGAAGATGGTCCGATCTTGGCGGGACTTGATCTCGTCTTCGGTCAACCCCTGAAGACTTTTGACTTCGGCGTCAAGCCAATGTTGGAGCTGAGTCTTGAAGTCACTGAGCCTTGTCTGAGACAAGCGGCCAAGTACGTCTAGTTCACTGTTGTCGACGACTGAGCCGGCATATTTGCCCCTCAGAACGGATTTGGCGGTCTCGGCAAGGTTCTCCTGGTGACACGAGAACTAAATAGGTGAATCATCCGTCAGTGCACAGATCCAAGGCCTGGGGCGCATGTAGAACATGATAAAACATCCAGGTGTCGGGTACAGGCTTCCTCGGGTTCGTCAGGCTCAGACCCTAACCAGGCCGAACCTCAAGAACCAAGACATTGACAATCCGCCTGTTGGGTTGATACTAGCTACTAGTAGTGTAACTTACCTTCTCACAAAGCCAATCAGTCCAGACCTTCCCTTGCGGCTCCTCTGTCTCATTATCACTCCATGAATCACCGAACACGACCAATCGCCGGTCAAATTCCGCCACGGTTTCAAAATTGTTCGATGCGAGCGGAACAATATCACCGAAACTGCGGGACGTTAAAAACCAAGCCGAATAGAATATTGTGCAGGCGGCGATGGCGCAAAGGGCGTAGAATCGATTGAAGAGGCGCATCATAGTAACAAAGCATGCGCCCAGCGCACGAGTGAAGATGTACCTCAAATAGGCTCAAATAGGCGGCGCAGAATGATATCCAAAGGTCCAGTCAAGGATTCTTCCGATGACTCTCGTTAATTCCTCCGCACCATTCAAATCCCCGTTGTGATCGAAACAGGTGTCGCCACTCCGGTATGGCTCGATTTTTCCCAAGCTTGCTCCTTTCCCAGCAAGCCACACTATCAGTCGCCAAGATAGCTAGTGAATATTGAGTTGTGTCGTCAAATCGCTCTTGAGAGCTTTTTGAGAAAAGAAGGAAAAAAGAATAGGGGAACAGATAAGATTGTAATCGTAAGTCCTTCTCCACCGGGAGCACCGGCAAAAAAACGCAGCGGGGCCCTTGAAATCCACAACCTTGGAAATAGAAAACCAAAAGGATCAAAATATACGAAGCCAAAAACCCTGAACTCCGTCTACATTGTGAAAGGGGAAAAAAGGAAGAATGATTGATATGAAGATTGTACATGCGATCAGGGCCACGCGGCCAGGGCGGGGAGACTCCAACGTGGAAACGTATCGCGTGCGGCGTCGTACTGCAGCCAAGACCAAAGCTTATGTTTCGGCTCTTGCGACTTCATCTCCGCCACATACGAAGTGGAGATCGTATTCCAATCACAATTCCTCCCCAATCACATTGTCCACAATGCTGATTGAATGAAAATCTTCTTTTCTGAACATTTACTTGGCATAATTGCAACCAAAAACAAAAGAAAACAGTCGATAACTCCCTTTGCTAAGCTTCTGCTAAGCGCTTGGTCCCTAAAAACACGGGATCATACAGCTGACGAGGCTATACGCGCCACCAGCTTATTGGTCAACTCGATGGCGCGATCGGAGCTGCCCAATTTTCCCACAACTCACAACCGCTGGGAATATACTCCGTTAAACCTTCCGGAGTCTAGCGTCTTTAATGAAAACAAGCTAGTTTGGGCTGATACGAAGGAAGCTTGTTCGTTGATTTAATCTCTCAGTAAGCAGTACGGAGTACCACGGAGTACCACGAAGTATCCTTTCCAATATCCACACCATGTTTCTTCCTATGCCCAGGTGGTATCATCGCGATTGCTTGAGATCAAGTATAATATAATACAACAACTTTTACTATAAGACGGCAGATTGGAGCTGGTTCTTTCGGTAAGTAGCGGTTATGGGGTAAAAACTCCAAGAAGTACACAGGAGTAGACTCTCTTTCTCTTAGGGTCAAAGAGACCGGGGCCGTGGAGAAAAGAGTAAGAAGGGAATCTTCATGAGTATCACACATGTTCGAATGGAATGTGGATCAAAGGAATCATCGCTGAAGTTGTGGAAAGTTCAAAAAGCGATGGAGCAAGATCAAACTAAAAAACTAAAAAAATAAAAAATGTAGATCTGGCCAAAATCTGTAATGCCACATTATTCAGGTGTGTACTTCCGCCTGAGGCATGAACAGGAACAAGACCTCTCACGTGACAGCCTTAGCGACGCTGACTGATCCCGGACCCAAAGGAGCTTAGCGTCCGCTGAGTCAGACACACACACACTCGCTACACCAAACCTTTGGAACTCGCAAAATCCACACGACCGAACCCTTCAACCTCACCTGTCGACAAACCGCGCTACCGTCTTGACCGCGCAACCCCCGTCAAGATGAAGCTCAACATTTCCTACCCGGCCAATGGGTCGCAGAAGATCGTCGAGGTCGAAGACGAGCGCAAGCTGCGCCCCTTCATGGAGAAGCGCATGGGCACCGAAGTCAGCAATCCCCGATCCTCAAATCTTCAATCCACACAAATCCACACCACCACGACTTCGATACAAAAAAATATATTACACACATCGCGAATGATAAGAACAATTGGGCTGATGGGTTTTTCTTTACGATTAGGTTGTCGGTGACTCCCTCGGCGACGAGTTCAAGGGTTACCTGTTCAAGATCACCGGTGGTAACGATAAGCAAGGTACGACGACTCCCTTCACACACAACTCTTGAGGATGATATTGGGAATACGATTCAAGAATCGAATGGGAACACTGATTGCTGACTTTTAATGTACAGGTTTCCCCATGAAGCAGGGTGGTACGTTTTGAAAAAAAACTTGAGGCTCTTTCCTGAACACCCCGACCAGGAGGGACCGCACACAACAAATATTCCAGCATACTCATCGATTATCTACAGTTCTCCTCCCCACCCGTACCCGTCTGCTCCTCGCCGACGGCCACAGCTGCTACCGCCCCCGCCGCACTGGTGAGCGCAAGCGCAAGTCCGTCCGTGGTGGTACGTGAAGATCCTTTCTTCCCCTCGACAAAATCGGAATCAGCCATTGACATGACAACTTTCTGTTTAGCTATCACCGGTCTGGATCTCTCCGTCCTTGCCCTCTCCATCCTCAAGCAGGGTGATGAGGAGCTCCCCGGCCTGACCGACACCGTCGTCCCCAAGCGCCTGGGTCCCAAGCGTGCCACCAAGATCCGCAGCTTCTTCGGTCTTGACAAGAAGGACGATGTCCGCAAGTTCGTCATCCGCCGTACCGTCACCAAGGAGGGCAAGCAGGACTACACCAAGGCCCCCAAGATCCAGCGTCTGGTTACTCCCCAGCGTTTGCAGCGCAAGCGTCACCGCATTGCCATCAAGCGCCGCGCCGCTGAGGCCGGCCGTGAGGCTGCGTAAGTTTTTTCTTCTTCTTTCCTCTGGGCGGAGATGATATCTCTCGCTTATGGGAGAAAAAAAAAACTAGAAGAATATTCTTACTAACGTTGTTTATAGCAACGACTACGCCAAGCTCCTGGCCAACCGTGTCCACGAGGAGAAGGCCAAGCGTGATGAGGTCCGCAAGCGCCGGGCTTCTTCTATGCGGAAGTAAATTTACACTACGGTGTAATGATTAATTTCCGTGGGGGGGTTTAATCGAGGGGAGCTTCACGTCGCTGGGGTGATTGAGGGATTCACATAAAAAAAAGAAGATCACTCCCAGCAACGCGGATATGTCTGATACGAAAAAGGGCTTAAAAAAGTATGGGGGATCAGGTTTTAGCGTATAAGGCGAATGGTTTGATCACCCTACCCCGAGATGCTACTGTGATTCGGGCCTCGGGGCGATGCATCTGTGCTGAACCTATCTTTTGACTACCCTTTTTTGAATGGAGTGCATGCCAATTTCATTGTTTTTGATTCATGGTGATTGCTTGTAGTTGTAAGACTCGTAACCTTCATGTCCACTCTTCCACCCTATTCCTCAAGTCCGTGCATTCAAGTTTGAATCGCGGCTCCTCAAATCGACTTACAGAATCTCCATTTCAAGTTGCCCCTCACCGCCGTTTTACCACATGTGCACTCTCCCTTCAAGGCTACTATCATACCTATCATATTTGAACTGGAACCAGTCCACCCCACTAGCAATTTTTCAAATGCATACCCACACTGGGCAAACTTGAAATCCGAAATGAACATTGATCATCATTCATGAACCGTAATTTACCTTCAAATATTGACGCTAGGTACCTATTTATATCAATCAATCATATGGTCCACAAAAACCAACATTTGAATGTTGGAATTTAGCATTAAAATTTCCAGCCCTAATCAATCCACTATGTACCTAATATGTACCCCGCCCTTCAGATTTATACGTAACGCCGTCACGTCATATATTGAAATGACTACGTGTAGTGAAAGTTACTCGAAGTAGCACGATTTTTGCAGAGATACGTGTATCAAATTTCATGTGTAAGGCTTGAATATTACTTTCATATAGTGTGTACTGGATTCTGAATACCATTCCAACCTTGAAAATTTCATGTATTCATTGAATGTTGACATTGATCGTCTGGGATCCTTGTAATGTTTGTTTACATCATACTAGATCCACCACCTCTGCCTTCAGGTACAACACCTCAACCCTTGAATTTTTATATAGTAGATAGTTTCTAGTACCTACAATTCGACATCAAGATATTTCTCTCCCCTCGTCACATTAATAATTTTAAGACTTCAAACTGACCCGTGGAAATCCGTAGGTATTTAGGTATCATTCAATTTGAATGTGGATGTATATATCCAGGTACTTTAGGGCTGTACGTACCAAATTACATATGTACCTTTTAATTTGGAATCTTGGAAGAAACCTTGGAATATGTATATAGGGGTACCTACATAACCTTATCAGGTTGAACATTCCGATATTCATTCAATGTTTGAATATTTGAAGGTTCCAAGGATTGATGTTGGACATCTAATTCATGGATGTTCAAATGTTTGCAACTTCCAAGCACCAGTTGACTTGAGATTCTTCCAACTCCATCCAACCAGACTCCATCCCGGGGCTTTTGAACATTTGAACCTTCTGCCTAGGTCAACTAAGGTTGGGGGAAGATTGCAACATCCAATGTTCAAATTTTATATGTAGGTTAAAAATTTGGAACCCCTTTGAAAACTGACCTCAAGCTTCCACATGTACATGTATATCAATGTCACCCATAATGCATGCACATGTGTGGATGACATTCAAATCCAAGCACTCAAGGGTTCCAGCTGGACCTTTCTACACCCTTGGAACGACCTCTGTCCACAAGTTACATAAGATTTTCAAGTCAACATTGTACCTGGCAGGAATGGTAATCTTGCTCAGGTATGTAGAAGTCCAGTATGAAGGGCCACTGGGGCTTCTAATCACGATCTAAAGATACACTTAGGTAACAAAATGTTCATACACAGTGCAAGTGGAAAAAGAAATTCCCCGATCTCACCAAGCAAAGAAGAGCTACTCAATTGTAGAATATTCTGCTTCAGATAAAACAAGGGGGAAAAGGCAAACATAGTAACAAATGAAAAGCATCCATGGAAACTCATATCCTCGGAAATGTCAAATAATGGTCATAATAATCGTATTTTTGTTTCTCCCGCCCACACCCTCTGCATCGCATCGCATGGATACCTTGCCAAAAAAAAATTGTACGCACACACACATGGGTCCCCCTGGCAGTCAAGTCAAATTGGTTGAAATTGGGGTATTGGAGTTAAATCTTCGAGAAAAGAAAGGCAATTACGCAACAGCGTGCGAGAAGAGGAAGCTGACAGACTCTCCGTTGTGGGTACGGCGGCAGGCCTCAGCAAGGGTGGGGCTGATGTCGATGGTCTCGATCTTATCGCAAGCCTCCTTCTTCTCGGCGTGGGGAACGGTGTTGGTAACAACCAGGCGGTTCAGACGGCTACCGTTCAGGTTCTCAATGGCCTTTCCGGACAGGATACCGTGGACGACAATGGCGTTCACTTCCTTGGCACCGTGCTGGAGGATAGTATCGGCAGCCTTGACGAGGGTACCACAGGTATCGGCCATGTCGTCAACGATGATGGCGACCTTGCCCTCGACGTTACCAACAAGGACCATGCGGGAGACCTCGTTGGGGCGCGCACGCTCCTTGTGGATAAGGGCGAATTGCAGGTTGAGGCGGTCAGCGATAGCGGTCGCACTAAAGAGAAGGAGTCATTAGAGTTGACACTCCTAAAAAAATAAAAAGTTCGATAGAGTTGATTGCTTACCGCTTGGCACCACCGGCATCGGGGCTGACAATGACGCAGTTGCTCACATCCAGATTCTCGCGAATCCACTTCAGTATGCTGGGCTCGGCATACAGGTTGTCGACGGGGACGTTGAAGAAGCCCTGGATTTGACTGGCATGGAGATCCATGGTGATAACGTGATTGCAACCGGCAGTCTGCAGCATATTGGCCATGAGCTTGGCAGTGATAGGAGCACGGCTCTTATCTTTCTTGTCCTGGCGAGCATAAGGGAAGTTGGGGATGACAGCGGTGATGCGGCGGGCAGAGGCAGTCTTGCAAGCGTTGATCATAATCAAGAGTTCCATGAGACCATCGTTGATATCGTTGGGTCGTGTTGACTGCAGAATGAAGACTGCACGAGAGCAAAACGAAGATCAGCAACGGGCTTTCCATGGCTTCTTTCCTCTATCCTTCATCTTCTTTCTTCATCTGAGACACCGTGGCGGGGTCAGCGTACCATCTTCGTCACGAACACTTTCACCGATTGTCACGCTGGTCTCCTGGTTGGAGTACTGCAAGACCATAATCTTGGTCAGTTCGCTCCCGAGGCTGCGGTCATACTTCGATTAGTCTTTGCCGCTAAAAATTGCTTTTGCAGGGCGCCAGGATCGTTCACTTACCGATCCGCCACGAGCTGGGCAAGCTCCGGGTGACTGTTGCCAGTCAACAGCTTAATTGAGTTGGTCGCCATGATGTGCGAGAGGGTTGTAAAAAGATTGGATTTCTTGGTCTCCAAAAAAAAAAAAGAAAGGAAGAAAAAGAACCGTTAGCTTGCGAAGCTCATAAAAAAAATTGAATCCCGCATCTGCCATTTTTGGCCCCGCATCTTTTTCGTATCCCGTGACTGCTCACCGCCTTTGCGGCGTCACCCGGATCTACAACTATAGAGCCTTATATAGCTCAATCAATTATTATGAGTACAAGAACAAGATCATTAAAACCAAAATATAGATACTCTAGTAAGAAAAAAGCAATCAAGAGTAAGATTGTACAAAAGGGCCATTGTGATAAGTCAACCTGCACATCAACTATCAACGAAAGGTTCCCAGGTTTTTCCCATCTTTCCTCCGCTTCCCCACGAACATTCCCGGGAAAACGCCATTGAATGCTTGGGCCTAAGAAAAATAAAACACAACATAAAGGAAGTACTAGTAGAATTCAAAACATCTATGCGAAACCGAAGTACTCGCCACCAGTTGTCATCGCGGTGTAAAGCCGTTGACGGAGATCTTCATAACTTTCATATTCGGGAAGATCAAGCTCTGGAGAGATTGTTAGCAAATAGATCACCTTGGAAAGATAGAGGGAAGAGAACATACGGTTAAAACATGTGTGCGAGCTGGGCAAACGAGTCTTGTTGCCATAATCGCGGTGGATATTGAACTTGCTCACTCCGTTCATGCCTTCTAGTTCCTTGAACCCGTTCAGAGGCACCTTAGAAGTACCAGTGACGAATTGCAACAACTTGGCACGCTCCTCCTTGTCGAATGAACGAACGGCACGCCAGAACCACTGGATCTGTGGTGACGAGGCGGAGTAATTGTGGTACTCGGTGTTGTTCTTCCACTCATCAACTTCAATTTCGGGCAGACCAGAGATTAGGAGCTCCAGTTCCTGCTCGTTGAAAATGGAAATGAGATCAGGAGGAATGATTTCATGGAAGCCTATGAGATATGTTAGTTATAATTCTCTAAAAGAATAAGATAAGAAGAAGTGGATATGGAAATTTTACCTTTCAGGAAGTTGTCAAGCTGTTCTCGGACGGACTCCACCAGACGGTACTCAACCACACGCTGAATATACTCCTCCTTATTGTCCTGGGTGACTGGGATGTTGCGACCGTCATGAACAAGGTCGATTGTCTGCTTCTCACCAAAGGCATCTGTCTCGATGGAGAAGGTCTCGGTGATGATATCCGTAATATCATTCTCCAGCATCCAGAGCAAGGACTTGTAGTAGTCTAGGTCAAGCGTTTCCATGTCCTTGATGGACACAGAACGTCCAAGGATGTTCTTGTAGACGGCACGAGAGAAGTGGCAGTCTAGAACACGACCCTCGTAAAGAGCCTTGCCGATGATTCGGCCAATGAACTTGAAGAACATTAAATGTTCGGAATTGACACCACTCAAACGGTTGGGGTGGAAAGTAGTCCGGTCGGCAGCAACGGGAATGAAGAGAGCGTAATTGGGGTTGAACATGCCACGGGCAAGGACCTGGAACCATTCCCGAGTGACACCACCGGCATCGACACCCTCTTCACCATGGAAACGGACGTTCAACTTGCCATACTTGAGCTCATCGGCACTCTTGAAGTACAGAGACTTGAACGAATCAAGGAAGACTTGGTCTCGGCGCACAGAGAGTTGGAGGGGAGCATGAGGGTGACGAGGTTCGACACCACGGGAGTGAACGCGACGAGTAAAGTAATTGCGCTTATTATCAAACTCCAAAACCTTGGGGTTCTTCACTAACAGAGAGAATGTGCCGCTCATCAGGCGGGGGTTCTGCCGAACAAGCTCGTTAAGAATCTTGCGGTGTTCCTCAGTGAACTTGAAAAAGATATTCTCCATGCTAAGACCGGCGTCAGCCGAGGCACTGTTGACAGAAAGCTCGCGGCTGCCACGAGAGACCGGTTGGTCTTTGAGGGTGGTATTCTTGCAAACAACCATCAATGCTTCGATCAGGGGTAGGAGAATAGTAGCCACGTTCAGCATGTTCTCTTTCTGGCGAATGACAGTCAGGCAGTCGCTCAGCTTCGTCCAGAGAGGACCGAAAGTGGCACTCTCATACAGTCTCTTGAGGACATCTTCCTTGGGAGCAGATTCGGGCTCGCTTCCCTTAGACTTGTCAACACGAGTTGGGTCGAACAGATAATCGAGCGCGGTGAGTATTCGAAGCAGCTTCGCCTGATCAGAGCTGGCTGGAGAGAACTTGGCCAAGGCTAAGCCTTGCATGTCTGTTCCAGTCTTGGATTGGTGGATGTAAGGAAGTAGCTCCTCAAGGTCCCCAAGAATAATATCACTGAGGGACTGTGCTTGGCTGACGAGCTCATTGCCAATCACGTCACGAGCACCAGGGATCGCAGAAAGGTTGTTGATGGTAGAGAGGGTTTCACGGAAAGTTTTTCCGTTACATTCGCGAGCTGCAAGAATGTGAACGACCAGGCGGAAGTTATGGTCAGGGACAACAGGAGGCTCAATGCTCTTGCGTTTGCGCTTCTCTTCTTCAGCAGGCTTCTCATCCCCTCCGGCTTCCTTGGTCTCTTCTTTGTCATCTGTCACATCCTCGGCGGATTGTCCCTCGGCCGTCTCAACGGTGGGCAGGGGAGCATCTGTCATGGTGGTGTCCGTGCCAGATTCCGTGGCCTGAGCGGATTGATTTTGTTCATTCGAAGTCTCCTCAACAGGGGCTGCCTCGACCTCGGCCTTCTTGCCCTTTTCTTCTTCTTGCTTTTCCTTTTCACGACGGAGCAGAACAGTGAGCGGTTGAGTTATGTTGCCAAGTAAAGTAGACAACGCCTCCATACAATTAGGGCTGTCCATGATCAACTTTCTGTCAAGAAGCGAAAGGAGAGCGTTCAGAGCAAATTTGTTGGCTCGACCCTCCTTGCCCTTTCCTTTTCGGAAAGCCTTCAATTTGAGCGAGGACGTGGAATCATGCTCAGTCAAGAAGAACCAAGCAATGTGAGGACTACCCTCGGACAGAGAGGACAAGGTTGCGAGGCACTGTTGTACGACCATTGTTGGTGTCACATCGTTGCTGATGCTAGAGGTCGGCAGAGCAACGTTACGCTGTTTGCCAGACTGTGGAGTCTTCTGAGAACTAGGAGCCTTAGCACGAAGCGAGAGGTGAGAAAAGCTGCGCTCGATGGCGGAAGAATCAGTACTACCATCTTGCAAGACAGACAAGATAAGGCTGATGACCTCGCCACGATTCTGACGATTCTGACAGACATTGTAGACAATCTCGTGGAACTGATTGCGTGCATTACCCTGAAGAGGCATGAATAACAAGCGCAGAAGAGTAGCCACGCCAGCCTTGTCAAGCATCTGGACAATTTGGCGTCTCTGGGGTTTCTTAGGTTCTTGATCCGTAGCAGGCTCGTTTCTCGGACGGTGCTCCATTCCCCCAACAAGGTCACCAAACTGGGCAATACGACGACCACCAAGAGCTCGTGCCTCCGTTAGATACTCGGGGCCTAACCCAGCAAGCACTTCTTCCGGTTGATCAGCGAGCACGGCTTGACGCAAAGAGGGATCGAGAGTCGCAAGGAAACTAGCGGCATCCATATCCTCAGCACGCGGTGCAGTAGAACCAGCAGGCGGTTGTTGTCGACGAGCGGGATCATGCCGCTCTCGACGGCGGCGGTCGGCAGCTTCTTGCTGCAGCAACTCGTCACGAATCTCGGCAGGCAAGGCTTCCAGGAATTCCTGGTTGATCTCGGTATCTTCGCCAGCGGCAGCGGCTTGAGATCGGTGTTCGGCGAGTTGCTGCATAACTACCTCTTCTCGGAGCTCGTCTGGCAGAGCTTCTAGGTACTCGGGGTCGATTTCCAACGCAGTGATATCAACCTGCCGGCCCCGAATAGTTGTGTGGACGACTGCTCGAGCAGTTTCAGGCTCGGGTTGAGCAGATGAGTTGGCGACAGGCTCAGCTGAATTATCAGTCTGTTGAATATCTTCCATGGGTTCATCAACACCAGCCAGTTGTCGCTCAGCTTCCAGTTGCTCTCTTTCAGCTTCTAGCCTAGAATTCTCTTCCTCCTCCTTGCGCTTCTTCTCGCGCTCTTCTTCCTCTCGGGCAATACGCTCCTGGCGTTCCTTCTCAACTAGTTGCTCGCGAAGGCGCTTCTGCTTTTCCTCTTCGATCTTCTGGTTTTGCTTTCCTTCCTCGATAGCAGGAGGAACCATGACTTTCATGAGAGAATTGAGAACACGCTGCGATTTTTCCACGTAACCGTTGCTGAACAGGAGGCGAGCTTCTTCTTGCCAGCGGTTTCTTGTTGTCGACAAGGTAAATTTGACGGCATTGTTTGGATCATCCCGGCTGCGCGCAGCAGGATTAGAAGGACGAGCGATAGAGCTGAACATGTCTTGAATACGGCCCGGCAAAGTTCGACGGTCAACATGGACATGGAAACCATCAGGGCGAGAGATGACACCAAGGCCAGGAGTAGCTTGTCCACTAATAGCTTGCATTATAGCGTTCATGAAGCTGACGGGGCTATCCATGGAAAGCATGCGACCACCACCTTCAACTTGACTCCATTCACCAGAGAACGGATCGTTGCCGGCCGGTCCGAGACGCGGAGCAGAGGGATCGACACCAACGTCATTGCGCAGCAAGAGAGGATTGGTACCATCATCGTTGCCACGGGGGGGCATCTGGTTTCGATGGACGCGGGGATAGGGTTGCAGCGGTACGAGGCCACCGTGGCGTCCAGGCATGATTTCAGTGACAGTAGCCCAAGCGGGTGGTGCACCGCCACGGAAGCGAGAGACATGGGGTCGGGGAGGTGGGGGCTCATCGCCTTCCCAGCCCCAAGGTTCGAGGAGATCTTCATCTTGAGAACGTGATGTTAACGAGCCTGGCATCATTAATAAGTCATAGGGGTTCCAATTACCATCCATATCTCCCTCGGAGCCCTGGTCCATATCATAGTCATCGTAGTCATCCATCTCATCGTCAATGTCATCCATATCCTCATCGTCCTCTGGATATGAAGTATTAGTACTGTAAATCAGCGGAGGTACTTCAATTTTTACTTACCTCCTTCATCAACCAAGTCATCCAGAATTTCATCGTGAACGTTCATTCCCAGGCCATTTGCATGAATATCGGGAACACCACCGGCGGCAGCGTCGTTGAGAGCACGGAAAAGTTCACCAATACGGTTATTAGCAGAGTGCGGCGGTGGGTTGGATGACTGATGGATATCAGCCAGTTCATCCTCAAACTGGTTCATCATCTCAGCCTCTTCTTCGTCTTCAGTCATTTCTTCACTTTCCCATTCGTCCTCTTGCCCTTCTCCCAGACTCTCGTTGTCATGATCACCAGTGATCTCGTCGACAAACATGTCATCATCGTCCATATCAGAATGATCGTCATCTTCGTCGTCGTCGTCATCATCATCATCGTCATCAATAATGACTTCGACAGCATCACCCGAGAGACCTTCGATGGGACCTCTGCCTTCAACATCCTCTTCGTCTTCGTCGCTGACAACTTCCCCGTCATCCTCAATCATATCTTCATCATCGTACATCTCTTCATCGTACTCATCCTCGTACATTTCATCATCCTCACCTTCCGACTCTTCGGTGCTAGATTCTTCCTCGTCGTGACGGGGCTCCAGCATTCCAAGAGTAGAGTGGCGGAAAAGATCAGGAGTCTCTTCCCGGTCATCATCCGTGTCAGAGACCGAGGTTGCAGAAGATATATCATCGTCATCGGCCTCACCCAGGTTGGCGATATCAGAGTTCTCGCTGAGGTACACAGCAGTTTGAGTGAGTTTATTTAGGGGGCGCAAAATGTACTTGATGACGCGCTTGGATGAAGGGAAATTGAGGTCAATATCGGCAACAGAGGCAGTCAACGCTGGAATAAAGTGTTTCTCAAACATTGTCTTCGCAAGTTGTTTGTTTGAAGATGGGAAGCCTGCATCCTGAGAATAGGAGTAACCGCTGAGCATCTTGTCGAAAAGGTCGGCAAGGCACATAAGCTTCGAGTACTTCGCGTCCAAGGGCTCAGTTGAAGCGTTTGCATCCTTGTAGGATCGAATAGCATGTTCCAGAACGAACCTGCGAACGAAAGCAAGTTCCGGCTCATCCTCTTCGATGCGCTTTGGCTCGCCGCGGCGTCTAACAGGGCCACCATTTTCACCGGTCTTGGTGCATAGAGCAACGAGGACCTGCATAGTCCAAGTCGAGGTCATGCTTCGTTTCTTGAAGGCCAAAGAATCATCATGGTCCATAGTTCCAAGGGGAACAAGCGCATTCAAAAGGTAGTTGAGAATGCCGGAGCGTGGCTTGGATGGCGTGGAGGCAAGAGGATCAGCCTTCCGCGAGAAGTTGATGAACTCAACTTTAGTGCGGTTGTAGGATGACAGAAGCTCGGTCAGACATTGAAGCAGGAAGCATCGGTAAATGTAGATTTGATGTTCCTCAGCGTTGAATGGCTGCTTCTCGCCCTTCTTGGCAGGTGTGCGACTCGACTGGGCATCGGCGACGCTTGACACGGAAGGTGAAGCTGCATCAACGGACATCTCGACGTCAGTTGACGGTTGATCCTCAGGTCGGTCGGTAGATTGTCGCTCTGGTGCTTCCGTCGGGACTTCTTTATCATCGACGTCCTTGTAAGAGAGAAGCTCTGATAAAAGGTAGTGGATAACACCATCTGGGTTCTCAACCACAGGCGCCTTAAGCTCGTTGTTCTTGCCTTGGCTCTTATCCTTATCCTTGTCATCCGAAGCAGTAGTCTCGTCGGCGGTGGACTCATTCTTGCTACTTTCCCCGCCGGTCTGCTCTTGGCGCAGGCGAGCATTGCGATCCTTGTCAGCCTTCAAGGCAAGAACTTGGGGGCGCTGGGAAGGTTCATATTTAAGCAGTCTCAGCTTCTCATTTGTCACTTCCACAAAGATCTCAGGAGCCCTCAGAACGAGATGATACATCTGTCGCACATAGCCAGTAGTGTCGATTTGGCGAGACGATTTATTCTCGAAGTTGGTGACAATCTCACTGCGCATGATTTGCCGGATGGTAGCTTCGTCCTCGACAATGTGGCGCAAGATCAACATGAACGAGCTCTGAAGCTTGTCATTGGTGGCACTTGCTAACTGCTTGACCATGACAAAGAGGCGCTGCAAGTTGCGCTTCTCTCCGAATCGCACAGCGATGCTTCGTTCTCGAGTAAGAATGACCAGAATACGACAGATGGAGAGTGCCAGGGTGTCGTCCTTGCCCACGCGGGGTAGAATTTCAACCAAGGCCTCAAAAAGCTGTGTCTTCTCATCAAGAGACACCAGTGGATCCTCAAGCCGAGCTGGCTTCTCATCGGGAATGGGGTTATCAGCGGTTGGTGGGGTCCAAGTGATTTGAGGCGGCTGGCAATCATCAGATAGCAACTTTTCCAGAATCAATAACACATGGCCAACCCAAGGAAAAGTTTCATCGACAGGTTTCTCAGGAGTTGGGAGTTTGATAAAGCCCAGGAAAGTGGAAAAGCAATCTTTGAGCTCCTCAACAGTTGCAGCATACATCTCTCGATCTTGAAGAACCAGGGCAAGAATATGGGCGTAGGCGGCGACCTTTTTTCCGGCCGTCTCAAAGTTTTCCATCTGCAGCGAAACCAGGGACTGGACAAGAGTTTCTCCAACGTCTCGACGGAAGCTTTCGGGCTCATTGTGCTTCTTGATGGCAGATGAGATGAGGTCCGCAAGCTCAAATGATACATCATGGTGCACGTTAAGAACATCCAGGCAGCGTTCAATCAGGTTAGATCGAACTTTGTCTCTTTCAGCATCGAGATCTTCGACAGTAATGAACTGGCGTTTACGAGATGGCTCTTGTGATTCGTTGGTAGGCTCTGGTTGCTCTGGGGCAGATGAGGGACGCTCTTGGTGTGACGACTCACCGCGGGAATCGCGGTTGACAAATTCGGTATCTTGGAATACAGCACCAAGGGCCTGAGCTAACCCCTGAGGCATTTCAGGGTCGAAGCTTTCAGGGAGATTCGCGTTGAAGCGGGAGGGGGAATCCACGTTGTGGCCTGTCGCTTGCGCGAGGAGCATAGCAAGGGTCCCGCGGTCCATGAACGAATCCCCGGCAAAGGCAGTATCACTCTGAAGGCCTTCGTCGAGACCCTCACCACCCGAGGCGTTTTCAGCAGGACCGGCTTGGATATCAGCGGCCAGTGGAGGCAATCTAGGGGGCGCTCGAAGCCACCCCTGCGCTTTGCAGTATTCTTCAGCGGAAGCCAAAACATTGTTACAGCGGTAAAGAGCCTCCTCGTTCAGATCAGCAGCTTCGAAGCCCTTCTCTTTGAGCACTGCTGCGCGGTCTGAGTTGACAACAAATGGTCGGCGTATAACTTCAGTCGCGGTAGGTGGCGTATCGGATCTCATAGCAGCACCAGATTCATACTCTCCATCCAGTGATGAACGAAGAATGTCAACAAGGAACTTGACAATTAAGCTTTCCGACTGGGTAGCGAATTCGGAGTTCCACATGTCTTGAATCATGGGCAAAATCTCCATGCGGAGGTCTACTTGGAACTGACCGGGCTGGAAATAATCAGAGCGACCGCGGTCCCGATCATGGTTGCTGATCAACGCTTGTGTCTGGCTAGACTCAACAATGCTTTTACCGCTAACGAGTTCTGTGAAAATAGCAAGAATGATCTTGATTCCACCATTTGCAGCAGTGAGCTGGTCGGCGATTTCCTTCTCGGTCTCGGCACCACGTTCCAATGGCTTGAGAGTGTTGACTTCTTGCATGAATATCTCGCACATGTCCTTCAACACCTTGAGCCCGTTGCTTCGCTTGAAAGCGACGAGGACAAGAGTCAAGTAGTTGGGCTGCGGGCGATCACTACCAGCTTCATACAAGAGGTGTGAAAACTGAGAGAGGATGACAATGAGATAAGGGAAGCGGTATTTGGAGCTTGCACCTGAGTTAGGTGCATCAAGTTGAAGTGCACGTAAAACAGAATCGGCGATAGCCTCGGCAACCATGGTAGCGCCCTGCTTTCCTTTTTGGTAAAAGTCACGAGGCCGCTTGGCGACAAGGCTAAGGCCAAGATTATGCATGAAGCCTGTGATCGAAAGTGGCAGAGCACCCAAGAGATAGCGAAGAGTCTGAACATTCTTGAAAGCAGAGCTTTCTTCGTCAACCTTCTTATCAGCACCTTCAGGCTCTTTGGCAGCAGGGGCCTTGGAACCATCGGAGGGACCTGAGCCATCTACTTGGGTCGCAACAGCAGTGGTCTCTGTTGAATCCTGAGAGACTCCGACTCCAGGGAGAGAAGGCTTGCCAGGGGGTGGTTGTTTGCCTTGAGTCCAAAGACCCGGGTTATTTTTCTCATTAACAATCGCCTCCCATACACATGCCGAAAACAGATCACCAAGGGAGGAGATCAGGTTGCAGTAACGGTCGGCGAGATTGACCTGGCTGAACGGAGATACCTGTTGAGCAGGTCGAGTCTGGTAAAGGGGCAATGCGAAGATCTCACGGAGTAGGTCTGTGAGAACGAGGACGGCATTCAGGTTCTTCACATAGAAGGTTCCATGCGAGAGAGCTTCTGTGGCCTCTGGTGCAGGTGCCTTGGAATCGAGTGGCCTGGTGAATGACGTGAAGAATCCGGACTCTTTAGGTGCAGCCCAAAAGGCCGAAAGGGTGTTCACAGCAGACTGTGCCCGCTCCACCAAGGATGGAATAACAAGGTGTGGTTTGGTTTCAGCAAGCATGTGCACAAGAACCGTCAATTCCTGGTTCGGATCTGTGCCATGGAATCCATATGGCAGGCTCTGAAGTGTTGCATAATCCAAAACAAATTCCGCTCCACCAGCTTGAATGAAAGATGTGCAGTTTGGCTGGTTTTCAAAGAAGGCGCCGAGGAATCGAATGACAGGGAAAAGATAGTCTGCAACAGTGAGGCCATGCTCATCTTGGTCCTTTGGCTCGAAGTCGCTTTGTGCAGATGGCAATAAGTGGCTCACGTCGCCAACAAGCAATTTGGAACCGTTCGGAAGAGTATGCGCATCTAAAGTGGGAACGCCAATTGTCACTGGATCCTCCATTGATGCATCAACAGCAACTCCAATGTCACGGAACAAATCAGCGACAGGTCCTGACAGGATGGCTTTGGTGTTGTTATCTGGATCTTCGGTCCATAGCTTGGCACCCAATCCTGATTTCCATGCTTTGGTTTTGGCGAGAAGATTAACACGGGCGGTCATAACGATGACAGCAGACATGATGGAAGTCTTCAGGGCCGGGTGGTGTCGCACGAGTTCATCAAATGCGGTACCCAAGGAGCGAACCAGGTTTGGATCATCTTTGAGGCACTTAACATGTTCCGGCTGTTCAAAGATTTCAAAGAAGCTTTCCATGGCGTCAGAGGATTGGAACAGGTCGAGACCGGATGCGTTCAGGCAAATGGCTCCAAATGCTGATGGAATGCACGCAAGAGCATCAGCTGCAGCAATGATTCCTGGAGCAAGATCTGTACCAGGCTGCCGAGCCATGAGGTACTCGCGAACAACTTCGTTCTTGCTTTCAGTAGGGGAGATTGGTTCAGAAACAGGCGCTGGAGCTGGGGGTTGAGCCTCATCGCTAGGCCCCTCTGGTTCGATGGCAGGTGGCTTTTCTTTTGCCTTGAGTTCACGACCCATAACAGCAGCAAGAAGACTCTTGCTGAGACCGGCTTCAGCGATGACAGCATAACTGGTAGGTTCGTTGTGGATAAAGCTACTCAAAATGTTGACTGCATTGCTCCATACATGCGAACCAAATATTCGTGCGTTTTCAAACACCAATCGCAAGGAGGTAAGAAGTTGAGGAGAGTCAATTAGGTTTCGCAAAACGCGGTCAAATCCTCCACCATTGTGTTGCATGATGTGGTTAACGAAGCGGAACATCCAACGCAGAGTTTGCTGTTGGAAGTAGGGAATTTGGTAATCAATAGATGGGTTCTTGTATCGAGAGGGGAACCCTTCTCCACCAGAAACCTTCTCAAAGGCAGTCTTGGTCTCATGATCGATCAGGGCGGAAATCGCATCGAATCCCTTAGCCGTTGTCAATGTGCTTAGAGCATCACGGACAGCGTGAACAAAGGTATCAAGGAACTCCATGACCCGAGAGTAGACACGGCGAGACTTTTCAGTTCGAAGATTGAGGATATCAACAAACATGGGGATGAGACCAGCAGCAACGAGCGTTTCGGGGGTCCGTGAGCTCGAACTGGGGAGAGTACGCAAGAGTGAAAGCAGCGCATCGCGCCATTCATCATCATAGGAATTATCGATTCCCTCATCTTCAACGCTCAGCTCATTGACTACCTTGCGAGTCAAAAACATCAGAACACCGTGGTTGACATTGACACTCAAGGCGGCGCAGACATCCACAGCGCGAGCTTTATGTTTTGCCAAGGCATCCAGAGCATGAATAGCCAATGTCTGTAAATTCCTTGAGACTTCAAGATCACCACTGGCGCCAAGATGCACCAATTCGGTCAGCTGGAAAGTCAGCTGAAGGCGTTTCGACTGTTCCAAGTCATATTGAAGAACCTTCTGTTGGAATGCTGACTCGGGGTGAACATAAGCTAGGTTGGTAACGGCAAGAATACGAATTCCAAGAATCTGCTCGCGGGTTTCGCGAGATCCAGATAAAGCCTGCGCGACACGAGCCTTGTGGAGCAGTTCATACTTTGACTCAAGAGGTAGATGGGGTAAATTACTGGCAAGAAGATCTTCCAGCTTCCCGGCAGAAATCTTCGAGTATGGAAGATCCAATACCTTTCCCCCTCGGGATGCTTCTTCGGCCTTGCTTCCAGGGGTCGCATTTACGGCGGGAGAGTCTTCTCCACTGGGCCCGCGGCTCAGTTGTGGCGTAGGGTGATGGGTGGCACTTCGGCGAAGCGGAGTGGGTGTTGTCGGGACATGAGCGCCAAGTTCACCCTGGCTAAAATCTGAGGTCGTACTAGTTTGTTCAGTAGAACTTGATGAGTAGTAGAGGACCCGAGCATTACCCCATTCCTCCCAGCCGTCATTGTCACGCACAAGTGACACCAATTCGTTGGCATTGCGTTTTGTCTGGACAGCCTTTTCTTTGCCCTTGGCTGACACAGCAGGGGACGCAGAAAATGGGGGTTTACCTGCAATGAACGGACGAGGGAAAGGTGAGGCAATCTTCAGTAGCTTCTCTAAATCGATGTTGTAATGAGTCGCTAACATGGTCTGTTGGTGAGAGCCACGTTGACGTGAGTGGTATCGTTGAGCCAAGCAGAGGGATAACCGCAGTGTCGACTGGAGGAGGGAAAGGGAAGTAGTATTCAAGAGATCCCCCAAACGCTCACTGCTGCTATATAGACTGCGATTTCCACACTTCTCCAACAGTAGACGTGAGAAGTCCAGAATCGCCTCTACCAGCTCTCGGTCACCTTCAGGCCCATATCCTAGAGAATTTAGTTTGGCATCGACGCCTTCGGCAGGTGACTTGCTCGCATCGGCCGTATACGAGTCCTCTAGAGCAATCCTCCCAAAAATCTGTGTTTGTGGGCCAGTATTGAGGGAGTATTTCTCGATGACCGTGGCCAAGATTTGATCGAAGCGGTCCAAGACATTGATCCAGTGATAAAGGTCACCTCGAGGGAATGGCCATAGCTTAGGAAAGGTGCTTAGAAGAGAGGGAACCTCCGGGACAGGGAGACTTGTGACATTGGCGATAAATTCTGCGAGGAATGGCGACTGTAGGTATAAAAGAAAAAATATTAGCAGGAGGTTAAAAAAAAACCCACCAGATCCACAGAATGTGAGGCTGAACTGACAATTGTAGCCTCATGTTTTTGACTGGCAACCTTCTTGATTTTGCCCATGTTGGCGATCAGAGCAGGCAGCCAACCATGAGGGAATTCAAAAATCCCAGGAGAAGAGTCTCCTAGAGGGTGGAGTTGGCGGGGGGTTGGTCGTAAGACCGGGTCGCGGAGCAAGCGCGAGGATGCCTTATGACGTTTTTGGTCCTCTTACACCTGCTTCGCCTAAATTGAGTCACTCCAGGCCGACAAGTCCACAACGAGGAGTATCAAAAAACTGCGTCGCTGACGGAGCAATCTCACTTCGATGAGAGATCTTGTGAAATTCAAACTTGTTTGAGAAAAGCTTGAATAGAACGGTGATGTTGAAAGATTGGCGCGGGTTCGGTGAAAGAGTCAAGTCAGTTAGGGAAAACGGTGCAGGACGTTTAACCTAGAAAGTCTTGACGGAGACGCAAATCGAAATGAGGATACAGAGATTAAAAAGGATGGGGCGAAGGAAGAGGGGAAATATGTAAGAGGAAATGGGGGAAGGAAAAGAATCATGAAAGATGAGCTGTGTCCTGCCGGCAGTTAAAGCTGGACCTTGGGCGGTTTTCCCCCGCCGAGGCGGTCAGGCTACACGGCATCACTTCTATCATTTCGATCTTCTTCTATTTACTACAATGCTTCTGATAGATTGTGTTTGCTTCAAAGCCCCGGAAATTTTCCATTAGTACTCACAAGACGGATGATATCAGTATTACAGCACTACTAGTCTGCAGATCACAAACCAGCGGATGCCTGCGTGAATTCCCAATACAACTACTAGTACGAACGTAGTAAATGCGATGCTACCCGATGCCCAATTCGGAGGTTCATTCAAAGAAAATTATACATGATGATACGCAAAAGTACTTCAACATCGCTTACACATGGCGCGCAGTCGGAATATCTCCATCCCACTGCACCTTCATCGTCGATGGATATGGCGAGTATGCACTCTGCTCGGCATCCATATACATGGTAATTCCCCCAATTCCTGGAATCTTCTTCAACTGTCCTTGTGGCCCAGGAGCACGTCGAAGGTTGTCTAACTGTCCAAGGACCCGAAGCATGGTAGGGAGAGCAACCTGACACGCTTCAAGCCCAATGCATTGATGCGGGCCAAAACCAAAGTGGGCATACTGGCTCAAATCGCGATCCAAGCGGACCGTCTCGGGGTCCGGGAATGCTTCCGCATCATGACTCGCAGCCACCTGTTACGTGAGTTAGAGAGAGGCTCAAACTAGATTGCACAACAAAGGCCGAGTATAGACTTACCAAGTTGCAAATGACTTGCTGGCCTGTCTTCAACGTCACCTTCTCGCCATTGTCTTCAACGACAGTGGGTTTCACAACTTCTCGAGGCAAAGCAACGGTCGATCGGATTCGTGCGCCTTCCATAAAGCTATTATAAGTCAGTGTCAAACTCACAAATTGAATAAACTCAACAGATTGTGATAAGCTTACTATCGTAGAAGAAGTTCATCAGACTCTGGGGTATGCTCCTTGGATAGACGCTGAATCTCTGCGAGATGAACAGCATTTTCTTTCTCAAGATAAAAGTCCAAGCACTGCATGAACAACTGCGCTTGGTTGGTAACCATAGATGTAGCTGCTGGGACAATGTTATTCCACACAATATCCTTCACTGGCAGTCCGCTGTGTAGCAGTTTTTGGATCATATGGATACCATAGTCACTGAGCACATCATGACGATGGATCCGGCTCACAAGACTAGCGACGAAGCCAGCCTTATCAACCACTTCGACATTAGCCATGACCAGCTCACCAAGCTGCTGTGCAAGTTTGCGAGCGGCCTGCTCCAATTGGAAAGACTTGGCAACATCCACATCGTAGAAGATAGACGTGAAAATCACAGTCAGAATTTGAAACATCTCAACCTCGGTGAAAACACCACGGGGGTTTGACTCTTTCTTGAGCGGCAAAGAAAAGATGTTTGCGCAGAAATGAACTTGCGCCAGGTTGGACACATCACGACAGATATCCACCTGGTTCACGGTACCCACCTTGTAGGAGTTTTGTTGCAGCAGCTGAATGGTGATCTGCTCGTAGAACTTTCGCACTTCCGATTCCCACTTGTCTCGGTACAGAGCACCACCAATCATCTTGCGGGATGCGACGTTTGCAGGGCAGTCGCCCGAGATCATGAAATCACGACCATATGGCTGGCCATCGCGTTCCAAGAGGAACTCCAACTTCTTGCCCCAAGTCATTTTGAAGCCTTCCTTATCCCCAAGAATGGCCTTGCAAGCGGCGTGGGAATTTATCATTTTGGGGATTGGGGTATAGTCAGGGATATCAAAGCTGTATAGGCTAGCCTTTCCAAGACTTTCGAAGATTTTCTTGTTCTCACCCGGGATGACCATAGGGAAATGCGCGTATACCGAGTCTCCACGGAAGTTATTGGGGAATGCTCGCAGAGCCAGTTTATAGAAGCAATGGCCTTGGTCCACGCTATCATCATAATTGATCTCGTTGAACGCCCAGTTGGTAAGATGCTTAGGGGTGTAGTCAACGGTGTAGAAACGATCACCGCGTACCAAAGCAACAGCGTCCGACAGGATGGCTCGGGAGGTGGTGAAATTAGTGCACAAGCCACTACCTGGAACCACAGGCTCCTTCGCCTCTTCGACGATGAGGCCGGGGTAGAGTTCCACCAGATCGGGATGATCGTAGAAATGGCGGAGCTGCTCAACAATGTACGGGTCCGGATTGATCTCTTCGAATGTCTTGTATGGGGCCAGGTTGAAGTAGTCTCGGAACTCATTCAACGTCGCCAAGTTCCAAGACCGTGCTTGTTTCATGCCGAGAACTTCAATGGTTTTGAAAATTTCCGGCACATTTGACGCACCAAAGGCACCGGCGACATCTTCAACGCTGCTTTGGAAAATCTTGGCCAGATCATCGTCATCATAGAGACCATCTTCCTTGCGGTGTAAATTGGCAAATGGGCGGTCCTCGGGGTCTTCGGGGAGCATTGCCTCCCAGCGATAAAGCCCTTGGACGAACTGTGGGATGCTCAGTGCCTTTGCGTCTTGTCCCTTGAAGATCTCTTTGTACATATTTTCGGACCATTTTTCATCTCGGGCAGAGATACAAGAATGCCATCGGTAGACAAGATTGAACTCAGCCGAGACTTGGTTTCCAGTAGCCTGAGCTGGGGCCGTAGTGAGGAGACCATTCTTGATTTCAGCTCGGGGGTCCAAGCTCCAAGTGCTATCAGTCCGGTTCAAGTTAAGGATTGTTCGGACGTAATCTTTCATGACGATATTGATATAGAGACCACATGTGACTAAACGAGCAGTCTGGAAAACGTCATTTTCCCATGTTGTATAGGCTTGCTTGTTAGCCTCATCCGGCTTGGTGAAGCGGCCACCCTCGTTGATCAATGCCAGATTGTCAGCCACATGATTGTGGAATCTGTTGAACATGATGAGTAAACAGCCCACGCCAGGAGGGAAACCAAGAATACGTTTGGCGGAGAAAGTATCTGGCTTCAGCTTGCCATTCTTGAAGGTCCTCACGGCATCTTGCTCATCTTGGTTGTTGCCATAGAGAGGTCCAAGATCAAGATAAGACGATGTCAGCGACGATGTGCCTGTCTTGGGGTCTGTTTGGAAAAGGTCTAGTAATAATTGTTAGCTACATCTGTGTTTGAAGATCAAACTGCCGTGGGCAGCTTGCAACTCACGTACCGTGGATGATAATAGAAGCAAGGTAGAAAAGAACGCTCGAAATCTTGTTCGGGTGCTCTTTGAATTCCTTTCGAGTCAAAAGAGTATCAAAAAGTGTTTCTGCGTCTGGACGGGTAACAGGCTGCACAATCGTCGGCCGAACTGATCGCGCATAAGGCGTTCCAGCAGCACCAATATTCGGCCAGAAGGGGTTCTGGAGGCATTGTCAGTAAACTTTCCTGTGATCTTTATTCCAAAGGGGACATACATTTCCCGATCCATCAGCTTTGCGGTAGGCAGAATCCCGACCAAGATAGCTATCGTTGTCAGTATGAGTTTTTGAAGAGAATGCGACACTTTTGAAGCCCCAGTAACTCAAAAAACTTACGAGATTGGTGGATGTTGCAAGTCTTTCCAAAGAGTGCCCAAGAAAGTGTTGGTCAAGTCGTTGCCAATCTTGGAAGTTGAAGGCAGGCCAGCGGCAAGCTATGAAATAGTTAGCATTTGCTTCTTCATGGTCTTTTTTCTTCAAGAAAAGAAATAAATGGGCCACGAGGTATACAAACCTGAACTACTCGTTCCATGATATACTGCCGGTCATTCCAAGGTTCCCCAGTTGCCGCATCTTTGGCAACCTCAACAATGCCCTTGACTTCTTTCAAATTGATATGTCCCAGGTCCTTGAGAAAGCCAGTCGTAGTAGCCTCTTTGATGTAGGTCCCATCACCGGTCTCTGTGGGCAAAGGCCTCAGCGATGAGGCAATGACCTGTTCGACCTGGGAAATTTTGTTTCCGATGCCGTTGGCAAATTTATTGGCTTGTTCGGCCATGGTGAGTTTGAGAATATTTTTACACGAAAACGGTGGTGAATATATGAAGTCAAACACAGACTATTTCCTGCTATTAAGCCCAGAAGTCAGTATTCGGCAACGCTCGGCATGGGGATTCTTCCAAGGTTCTATAGAAGGAAAAGCCGGATCCGATAGCATTGATAGGCTCATCCATGATAGAACAGCCATTGAATCACCTGTATTGGTCAAGAGACCAATTCCAGAAAAGATGACGTACCGATCCGTTAAAAATAAAGTAAGAATAATAAAATCAAGAAGTATATGGCTGTTGTGAACCAATTACCAAGCAGTCTGGAGTCTCAAGGCTGCAGATGCGGCGAATCGACAATTGACAAAGCGAAGCACTGGTATAAGAGGTATAGAGGGGGGGAAAAGCAAAGCAGGGGTCATGGGACACCGGAGGGTAATGGGACGATTATAAACGTTTCCCAGTAGCGTAACCCATTAAACGAGCAAAGTACAGCTGAAGAAGCTCCAGCCCGTTCTGGCTCCGTTATCCACTCAGCCTTTTCCGGCGTTCGTGTTTGGTCCGTCAGCCTGGGCGCCACAACCCTAAGGCGCCAGCTGGTTGTGGGTATCATGCATGGGCAATGACAGCCGAAGCCCCACCCCCGGTGGGATAGACTGGATTGCTTTTCATTCGTGCATCAATTGAAATCCCATGTGAAGCAGAATTTGGGTTCAGAGCTGCCCACGTCGCCACAAATTCTAATCCAATTTCTCTGTGCGTACAGTAGTAATGTTTGGGTGTCAGAGTGGGCAGGATGATGATTCGCCCCGGGGGGAGCCTAGTAATGCGAGGTTGATTACTTGGGAAGCCCTAGTACGGAGTAGTTCACCCAGGCTACCTTGTATGGTGAATTCGCCCATCCGTAATTGGCGCGTGGGCCGTTCAGGAATTCAGCTTACTTCTTACCCAAGTGGCGATCTGCACCTGGTGGGGCCAAAGTCTGTCGAGAAGGCTCGGCTTTGCATACTGTACAATATTTTCTTATCAGAAACAGGCATTCTCAATCCTAGCAATTTCCGAGAATAATTGTCAATACACAGCCTACCAATTAATCTGTTAGCTCATAATTTCAAATCATTCATCATTTAGCGCAGGATCTATGCTCTAGCCAAGCGTCAACTGATTATCCCAGTGTTGATTGGTGACGGGTTCGGCCGGGATAACCGTTGTTCGCAAACTGCGCCACCAATTAACCAAAGTAAGACACAGCACTTGAGTGGACTATGATCTAGAATTGTACTAGTACGTTTTTTATTTTATTTTTGAACAATGCCCTAGTCGAACTGACAGAAAACTTACGCTAAAATCCAAATGTCAGAATATAGATTTTTTGTGGGGTATCACCAGTTAAACAATATCCGCTTGGAATTGGACCCCACGTGGAATGCAGAACATCCTGATTCATGACTGTTAGGTGCTTCAAACTTCACATTCTCGTTTTCTATCCCAGATGAAAGGACATTCTGATCTCTTGACATTTTTAAACTACCGGTAAGAAACAGTATAGGAAATAATACTCTCGACCAGTAGAGTCCATTAATTGAAGCCACGAGGTTTGGTTATTCAGCCAAAGCTGATTTTGGGGCAAAGAGCCTTTCTGAAAGTCATATCACAGCCTCATGCGATTCTGGGGATTAACGTGATTGAGGATATTGACCCAATAGGTCTTTTATTTTGGGGCTGACACTTGGCTTACTACAAAGTACCTCGGCCTTGCCTTAAGGTGTCGAAATCACGTGTGCCCCATCCACCATTGATCGACATAATCGATATTCAACAATTTCCCCTGCCCCCTCCAAACTTGTTGCTGGAGCTTACCTGACATCCAAAATGGCTCCTAAGATTACGCTCGTCGTTGAGCCGCGGGGTATGTTATCTTTCATGTCTTGTACCCTCAAAAAAAAAGCTACAACTTGAGCTCGATTGATTAACAATGTGCTTCAGGTAAACCCATCCGCATGCTTCCTAAGGAGCTCACCATTGCACTCGATGCCTCTGGTGATGACCTCCACGACATGATCGCTCAGATCTCTGGTGTATCTGCGCACCGTCTGCGTATCACCAAGGGAAGTGATCGCTCCGCTGTCCCCAACGCCAAAGACATCACCATCGACGACACTGGTCTCCGCAATTCCAGCATTATCCACATCAAGGACCTGGGTATGCAACAACACATGAAGACCAAAATTTCGAAGCTGAAGCTAATATTCCACTACCTGTAGGCCCCCAGATCGCTTGGCGCACCGTCTTCATCATCGAATACCTCGGTCCCCTCTTGATCCCAGCTCTCTTCCTCTTCCCCCTCCGCCCCCTCCTGTACTTCAACTATGACACTCTCCCGGATCCTTCGGACACCCAGCTCCTCGTCTGTGCCCTCCTTACACTCCACTTCCTGAAGCGCGAATTCGAGACTGTCTTCGTCCACCGCTTCAGCAACGCCACCATGCCCGTTCGCAATATCTTCAAGAACAGCGCCCACTACTGGGCCCTCGCCGGTTTCAACATTGCCTACTGGGTCTTCCGCCCGGACTCCGCGGCTGCTAGCCCAGACTACAACCCGGCACTCACGTACGCTGGTCTTGCGCTTTTCGTGTTCAGCGAATTGGCAAACCTGAATGCCCACTACGTGCTCCGAAACCTGCGTCGGCCTGGTACCACTGAGCGTGGTATTCCCACTGGATTCGGCTTCAACCTCGTTACCTGCCCCAACTACATGTTTGAGATCCTTGCCTGGTTGGGTGTCTTCCTGGTTAGTCAGCTGAACTTGAGTGTGCTCATCTTCACTCTTGTTGGTGGTTTGCAGATGTGGAGCTGGGCGTGGAAGAAGGAGAAGCGCTACCGCAAGGATTTCGGTGACAAGTACAAGAAGAAGAAGACTGTTCTCCTCGCTTTCCTTTGCTAGAACAAGTCTGCAGTGCAGTCTTTTGGCTCAGCGATGAGTCTTATTATATCTATCTACCTTGGGACGTATTTCGATACGACCCCAATCTTCTCGGCATCAAAATTCCTGGCCACCGACAGCTATATCTCTGGGTTAGTGACTTATATTTTTTTCACTCTTCTTCTTTTATCTTTCTGCACCCCCCCCCCCCCCCCCCCCCGCCCCTTTGTGTTTTTTTGTTCTATTTGCATGTTTCTTTCTGGTTTGAATCGCCCTACTTTTTCATGATGAGAAAAATTGGTCCGTGTTGATGAGGCGGCTTAAGACCCCGCTGTTTGACTACAACCCATTTGCGAGCAATCGTGCCTCTGATTATTGTTTGGTTTTCAATTGCATTCGTCATTCTTTAGTGAAAAGACCATCCCCAATACTGACTACCACGACAGCAATACCACCTCTGAGGGACCTACACCTCAGCTCAACGTTACGTCCTACTCTTTCGGGTCTTACTTATGAAGCATATATTTTATTACTTAACATAAAAGAAAATAATGACCGTATTTCGTTTCCTTTGACCCTATGCATGGTATGATGGTTGAAGCAAAAGTACCCCGCTGTATGTGCAACACTCATCTATTACGCCAAGAACTCCGATCAGATCAAACAGAAAAGCACAAATCATAATGTAAAGGAAAAGACATTCTCTCGAGGCAGTGAGGAGGCACCCCGAAGAAACCAGAAAAGATACTCGAGTGGGAGGTTATCCACTCTTTATTTTCTTCTGCCACTGCATGTAATATGACTCCATCTCAGCGCACTCCTTGGCCTTGACTTTCTCACATCCTGGGAATCGAATGATAAAGTCACCGTCGGCATAGGTACCGTCGGGTCCAGCACCACTCGAGTCCTTGCTGTACGCATTCAGCACACGCTGGGGAACAAGAGCCGTGCGCGCCAACACAGTCGGATGCCATTGCATAATGTGATCCTATTCAAAAGCAGAGCACTGTCAGCCGTACGCTCTATTTTTCCTAAATCGAGCAAACTTACCAATCCATGAGTCTCCGCCTTCGCAAAATCATAACTGCGAAACAACGGATCAAACCAGAAATCCAAGAAAAAGCGCGCAAAGTCCCCATTCTTGAGCACAAAGCTGCTGGGACTGATATCTTCGTTATCCTGCGTGGTGATAAAGTCGATATCCTTCTCCTTCAGATGCGGGAATGTCCTGATAATACTGTCGGGCGGGACGATGGGGACATCCTTGAGCATCGTTGCTTCGAGCTTGCTCTTGTCCAGCAGGTGTGATTTGAGAGATTTGGTCGGGTTCATGATAAGGGAGTGCATATTCAAGTGGAAGAAATATGCGGCATGGGGGTAGGTAGCCATTGCGTGGCGGACAGCTGGAACTAAAGCCCAGCTTTTGGGTTGGTCGCCAATTGCATCATCGTATTCAGATACGGTCGCGAAGAAGTTTACATAGCCTGTTTGCGATTACAATTGCCGGGTTAGCGAAGCTCATTCAAGCAAGAAGAGCCAAGTCGCTCAATCACTAGCTAGCCAACTGGGTATACTTGGTATAACAAGCCAGTCCAAACAACCACTTACCATGGCGCTTCGCGTAATCCTCACGGTTGGCAATAATCTTATTGATATAACTCTCACTGAACTGTTTGCGATCCAACAATGTCACAATAACCACGCCTGCCGAACCAGTCGGCGCAGCAATGGAAGACGAGCTCGAGTAAAGGTGGGTAAGGATGTAGAGGATCGAGATCACAGCGAAAGCAAGTAGCCCGAGCGTCTTCAGCTGTTTCCTGCGATGTAGCGGTAATCGAGAAGAGCGGGCACCGGGGAGCGGATGTTGGTTCTTTCGTGGAGGCAATGCGAATTGCATGGTGAGCGTGTTAATCCCCCGCGCTGGGGAACTAAATGAGGCCGCAGTGATTCAGAAGGGTAGTTGAGGGAGGTGAGATCATGATCTCAGGGAGGTACCGCAGAGTTCCCAGGAGGGTTGAGAGGAGAAAAAAAGCCCGAGGGAAATGAGTTGCAAGGGAGTAAATCAAATGTTCGGTGTTCCAAGTTTCCACTGATGGAGACCGAATCCGGCGCGGCGGGTCATCTTTAGCATGCCAACGGCCCTTGTAGCCTCACCAATCATCATTGGCCGTTTTTAGTTAGTTCATCGACTGCAGAGGTAAACGAGATTTGGGTTTCAGGTTTATTAACTCGCTAATTGGTTCATCTTACTTACAGAGACTTACTATACGCACATCCCTTGCGCGGAATCATTTTCCTCTTATCTTTTCAGAGGCTCCCTGCTGCTGCTTCATACCTGTCCAGGAATCTCAGGTGTCGAGTCTTGGAAGGGATAAAGATCAAATGTGAATTTTGCTTAGCTTTCTATTTGAAATCTATTACAATCTTGAAACCTGCCCTAGTAGTACTAGGTATGGACCTGAGGTCATCTGTACAAAGTGCAGTGGGTCATACCCACATGTGCAGAGAGATGTAGTATATATACAATGTGTACTACCAGGTACAATCCCCAGGGCTTGACACCCTCCATTTGAACATTTGAACTTCAATTTGTGGTAATCAGTTTATGGACGCGCGCATGCATACAAAGATTGATAAGATGCACACTTACTACACATGTTCAAATGTTGCTTATGTATCCATCAATTCAATTTTGAGCCCTGCATGTGGAAACTTTGAATGTTTAAACCACCAGTTGACCTGTCCACGAGCCCCGACCCCGGCGGTTGATCGCCCTCCAAGCCGTACATACTTATATGTAGGTACTTGTAACTATCTAAAACTTGAATATTGATGTCTGATAGCTCTACCTACTAGTAAGTTTGGAAAAAACCCTAACATTTGAACCAATTGATCAATGGAATGGATGAATCTTCAACATTTCAACCTCATGTCAACTGGTTGAAACATTGAATGACATCTGGAGACTAAAAAGACCATGCACATGTGGAACTTCCATGTTTGGAATGAAAACGGATGATATTGGAGTATAAATACAAAGAAATTCAAGTTTTGATATGCACGCCGATTCGCACTTATGCGAAGAGATCACCAAAATTCTCGAGGTAATGTCGAAGACACAGGTGGTTGGTAAAAAGACAAAAAATAGTGGTGCTCATGTAGGGTCCACTTCGTCGCGATAATGGTACAATGGAAGAGAAGCGCCAGCTTCCCCAACAAGAGACATCAATTCGAACATAAAATCACCTCCAATTACTTCTCAGCGTCAGGAAACTGGGTAAGCTGTGCAAGTCGCTGAGGGTCAACCTTGCCCTTCATGTGGGGCCTCGTGATCTCCTTGATGTTAAGCCTTTCCTCAATCTTGGCCTGAATCTCCGCCTCCTTGCTCTTCATCCACTCCTCAAATGATTTGGGTTCTGGAAGACCAAGTCTCTTGCGCTCTTCCCGGAATCGTTCCTGGATGACTGGAGTCTGCATAACCTTCCATCGCAGTTCCCATCCGAACATGCCGAGCTCCTCGATACGGGCCGGCTTGTCGCTGAGGAGGTAGTTGTCGAGTCCGCCCTCCTTAATGATTGTACGGAGAGCCCGGCGAGTAACCTTAATGAAAAGATCTTCACCAAGCGCCTCACTGGGAATCTTCTTGCGGCGAACGTTGGGCTTCCAGCTTCGTCGTGTCTTGCCCTCGTTGCGACCCTTGGAGATCTTGTTACCGAAGCGGATCATAGCACCACCATAGAGACCTGAGTCGGCTTGCTTGTACCATTGTTTGGGTCCGAAGGGGTAGGCTGGGATGTGCTCGGGGAGTTGCCTGGTGGTTTGCGGTGCGAATGTTGTGGAGAACGAGCGCTTCGGGGCCGATAAAGAGAGATTTCGGAAGGCCGATGCCAGAGAGAAGTGGCCGACCATGGTGGCTCTGGTGTGGACACCTGCCATTGGAGAGGGTTGGACAAGTTCTTAGGGGGTGAACTTGTTAATTTGTGGACTTCAATATCCCGTGGTAGAGAAAGCTGGAGTTCAGGAAGAATTTGGGGGACGCTGACCGCCTTCAGCGCGGCTCCGTGACTGGCGCAGATCCCTTGCTCGCGAATTTCGGGAAGAGCATTAGACCTGGGAAAAGGACGGCTCATCGCATCACTGCTTAGCTTCTTTGTTTGATTTTGATTTTCTTGTTATCGCTTTACATCCTCTCTCTCCTACCCCCTCCATTCTTAGCTCCCAAAGGCTCAAGAAGCCGCATTTGCCCACCATGGTCCAGATTAGTGAAGTCAAGGGCAACTCGCGCGAGAACAGGACCGCTACCCATACGCACATCAAGGGCCTAGGCCTGCGCGCTGATGGCACCTCAGAAACTTCCGGCGATGGATTTGTGGGACAAGCTGCTGCCCGTGAGGTGAGTTGGAACCCCATTGAGTCAAAAAGATGGGATCTACCGAGTAAATCATGACTGACAGTCTCTTGCTTTGAAATAGGCATGCGGTGTAATCGTCGATCTTATCAAGGCTAAGAAGATGGCTGGCCGAGCTGTTTTGCTCGCTGGTGGCCCCGGAACCGGAAAGACAGCGCTTGCTCTTGCTGTATCACAGGAGCTGGGCACCAAGGTTCCATTCTGTCCAATCGTTGGCAGCGAAATTTACTCTGCAGAGGTCAAGAAGACAGAAGCCTTGATGGAGAATTTCCGAAGAGCAATTGGTACGCGATCCAGTCTGGAAGCACCTTTAAGCACGAGACTAATTAAATACTAGGCCTGCGAGTTCGCGAAACCAAGGAAGTGTACGAGGGTGAAGTGACAGAGTTGACTCCGGAGGAGACCGAGAACCCGCTGGGCGGATACGGACGTACGATCAGCCATCTGATCATTGGGCTCAAGTCTGCTAAGGGCAGCAAGAAGCTCCGTCTGGACCCCAGCATCTACGAGGCCATTCAGAAGGAGCGTGTCACCGTCGGAGATGTCATCTATATCGAGGCCAACACTGGCTCATGCAAGCGTGTCGGACGTTCCGATGCCTACGCCACCGAATTCGATCTCGAAGCGGAGGAGTACGTGCCTGTCCCCAAGGGTGAGGTTCACAAGAAAAAGGAGATTGTGCAAGACGTTACATTGCATGACTTGGACATGGCCAATGCCCGGCCTCAGGGTGGACAGGATGTGATGAGCATGATGGGTCAGCTGATGAAGCCCAAGAAGACCGAGATTACCGATAAGCTGCGCCAGGAGATCAACAAAGTGGTCAACCGGTACATTGATCAGGGAGTGGCTGAGCTTGTTCCTGGTGTTCTCTTCATTGACGAAGTTCACATGCTTGATATTGAGTGCTTCACATATCTGAACCGTGCTCTCGAGTCCTCAATTTCCCCCATTGTTATCCTTGCCTCTAATCGCGGTCACACTGTCATCCGGGGCACTGACGACATCAGCGCTGCCCACGGCATCCCACCAGACCTGCTCGCTCGTCTCCTTATCATCCCCACTACGCCTTACAACCCGGAAGAGATCAAGACCATTATCCGTCTCCGTGCCAAGGTCGAGAGTCTCAGTATCACCGAGTCCGCCTTGGACAAGGTTGCCGAGCACGGTAGCAAGATCAGCTTGCGTTACGCCTTGCAGCTGCTGACCCCGGCAAGCATTTTGGCCCGCGTCAACGGACACCCAGGTGGGATCGAGGTGACAGACGTTGCCGAGTGCGAAGATCTCTTCTTGGATGCGAAGCGCAGTGCACAGATTGTCGCCCAGGACAGCACCAAGTTCCTGGCATAGATGGAAAGCAGCGGAGTTCTATGACTGAATACCCTGGGGTATTCTTTTTGATTATTTTTTGAAAAGGCGAAATGTGCTATTAAGGTTCCATATCCTTTATGTTAATGCTATTGATGCTACCTTATTTGATTCCGGATATTTATGCTTGTGAGAGTCAGTCATCTGGGCAAAAACCAAAGCCTCCAGGCTGCCAGGTACAGATGTGCAAGGTACTAGCTGATCGCCCAGAACTTGCATAGTATTTGCAGGATACACCCGTATTTTATTCTCAGGGTTCACACTCTCATAAAGACCCGATAATACTATGAAGAGCCCAGGAGTGTCACATATTTATTTTTAATTTGCACCTTTTATCCAAGTCCACGTGTACTAGTATTTATTCCTCGTGGATCTCCGTAGATGTACCAAGTCGCCCCGGCCTCGGCGATAATCACGTGCAGCTTATCGCCATCTTAACTCCCCAGCCTCCACCTACTCATGTACTCCGAACTCCGCGCTTAATGCCCTCTTCTCAAAACTAAACAGTTGCGAGACTCCAAATTACTTAGACTTTTATAGCGAGCATCACGATCAAAACACTACGCCGAAACGCAACGCCCCACGATTTTTGACCGAACAACGACCGGTACTACTGGCATTGATAAAGGTGGAGCCTGCGGTCTGATCATACGAAACGACCACCCCAGACCTCGTCATAACAGCCGTCTTTCTCTTCTCGCTTCTTTCCTCTGAATCACCCCACCTCACAGAATACAATTCCAAACATGTCGAGCTCCCTAGACACGGACGCAGGCTCAGATATGTTCGCCAGCTACGAGAATGAGCTCAAGCTGGTACAGGCCGACCTGAACCAGAAGCTGGACCAGATCTCGGAAGTAAGCGGCGAGCAACGCAAATCTGCAATTCGCTCAGCAGAGCAAGTGCTCGATGAAGCCACAGAATTGGTCCGTCTCCCCCTAGAATCGTTAACGCCGCCTGTTCCAAGACCCCCTCAAACGAGCCAGATCTCATATACTACATATGAACTAACCACCGTGTTACTAGTTGGATCAAATGCGCATGGAAAAGCAAAACATTCCCTCCGAAGCCCGCTCGAAGATCAACATCCGCTTCCGCAACTACTCAACTGACGTCGATGAGGTCAAGCGCAAGCTCAAGTCCCTTTCGGACGACCGCAAGGCCCTTTTCGGTGACCGGTACACTGATGAGCCTCAAGACGAACATTTGGAGCAGCGGCAGCAACTCCTCTCCGGTACCGAGCGACTGGAGCGCAGCTCTGCCCGTCTGCAGCAGAGTCAGCGCACGGCACTGGAAACAGAGGATGTCGGACGTGACGTGCTGGCCAATCTTTATGAGCAGAGACAGACGATCCAGCACACCAGGGATAACCTGCACCAAAGTGAGGGATACGTCGATACTAGTATTAAGACTTTGAGGGGCATGGCCCGTAGGTACTGTCCTCCTTTTTCCATGTCCTTATCTCATTGGTTCATTCTGGTTAGATACTGACTGCTTTACAGGATGGCTACAAATCGGATAATCACCATTGCTATCATTACGCTGCTTGTTCTTTTGATTATTGCGGTTATTTACGGGAAGTTTCATTAAATTTGCGGGGTTTTGGGCGTTTTGCTCTTTCTTTTCGTTGTAACTTTTTGGCCTTGTATGTTAGCATCGCCAGGGTTGACCAGCTCTGGAGCATTGGTCTATAGAAGCCTGCGCTCGTAATCAAACACCGATATCATGATGATGATTTATATTCCCTACAATAGTATGTACTCAAACCTCGGATTCACTGATCGAATGTTCGTCATATACAACCTATCTGAAAACAAAAGCATAACCAAAACAGCGCAGGGGTATCATACATAAACTAAATCACCAACGCTTCAAATGTTCAAAAAAGACAAAACAAAAGTCAACCAACTTGAGGCTCCGACCAAATACTTGAAACCTCTAATTCATAATCCTCATGGCCCCAAATGCCGCATTGACGAGCACTCCCACAAAAACGGCGACGCCCTTCCTCCAAGACCAAACACCCTCCTCTCTCCTCAACCACATTGCACAGCCAACAGGCCAAAAGAAGCCCATGACCGTACCCCAAAGCATATCATCCATAGCACTCCTAGATCCCGACCCCAACCCCTCATCATCATCCCCAACACCCGCACCCTCACCCGCACCCGCCATCCCCGCAGCAGTCGAGCCCTCATCCATCCACCGATCTTCCAGATCACGGAGCTCTTCGCCACTAGGCATAGTATCCGGCGTACGTGAAACAGACTGTACAGCCAAGAACTGGGACCGGAGAGCTGTCACTTCCGCGGCGGTAAATCCAGCCGTTAGGAGACGATCAAAGCCACGGGGTGCCGGGGTTGTAGTAGTGGCCTCGGGCGCCACTGAAGAGCGAGACGGAAACATAGAAGAGCCACTGCGGCGAGGAATGGTAGATGTAGCCGTAGACAGCAGCGACGAGACATTTCCATCTTCTTTCTGGCTCTGTAGTATTGTCGTGGCTATTTCAGCTTCCGCAGCTAGATCGGCGTCTGAGAGCGCAATGTCGCCGATGGAGCAGTGTATGTATATTCTCGGGCGCTGGTCTCGAACGGGCTGTTTACCCTTATCTCTTGAATCGGGGTCCGTGGAGCTCTGGGTGCCCTTCCCTGGACTTGTGTTGTGTCCATCATGGTGGTCTTCGTCGTCTGTCGCGGGACGCGGAGTTCTAGATGGGGAAGGCGGGAGCTTGAGAAAGGTTGTTAAGGCGGCTGTATCTTCTAGACCGCGACCGGCATAAATCAAGCGCAGACGATGAGATGAAAGGGATGATGGGAGCTTCGCGCGAATTAGCTGTTTGAGCCCTGCGCCTGTCGTAGAATCGGGGGTTGGGACGTCGAGCGGAAGATCGGGGATTGATGCGGAGAAGCGGACGATGATAAGGAGGTCGGCGACGGGGTCGCTGGTGTAGGAAGAAAGAAAGGTGGGTGACGCCATTTTGTATCCCTTGATATATTGAGGTGAGGGACGTTTGATTGTTTTCGAGAGAAATATGATATGTATACTTACAGATGTTGGGGTAGAGATCTGGATGCATTGTTCCGCCCCATCATGCCATCATGTGACATCAAACATTGACGGACATTAACGTGGAACATATTCAAGCTTATCGTCAGTCGTACCATCAGATAAGATCTTAATTTAAATATCTTTAAGATGTGTTTTATTCACTGATTACTAGTAAATCGAAAAGAAAATCATAGTATGTACTTGGTAGATAGTACTATTGAGTCCGAAATTTGCTGGTAGAAGAAGTGCTCAAAACGTCCAAAACAATTCTGTATGCAAGAGGAGTAAGTTTTGTATTTGTGATATTTTCTTCATTGATATTGATACACAGTTATGAAAAGGTAAACTCAGCGAAATCTATGGATAGCCTATATATCAAGCTTGAAGCTTGTAATGAGTCCATGGTATCAAATTCACACCTGGCCGCTCTGGGGCATAGGGTGAATGGAAGCGGTAAAAACGATGAAACATGAAGAAAACTGCATCAACTGGATATCAAGCGTATGTACTTGACCGAGCAAAGCGGTCAAAAAGTCCCAAAACCTGTCACATGATAGAAAAGAAAAACACCGTCCGATGCACCGAAGGAAGACGCCGAGAAACCGAGGGAGACATAGAGAAAAATCGCTTAAACCATGAAGGATTCACCGCATCCACATTGTTCCTCTGTGTCTGGTTAGCACATGCTGCCACAGCAAATTTTCCAGAGGAAAGTAGAATTTTTTCCGGGGAAACTCACTAATGTTAGGATTGCGGAAAACAAACTTTCTGCTCAGCTTGTCTTCTTGCCAGTCCATTTCACTGCCAATAATGCTGAACAGGGCCTTGCTGTCAATCAGAACCTTCACACCGTCCTGCTCTACCACCTCGTCGAACTTGGCCGGCTTCTCGACGTACTCGAGATGATAGGCAAGACCCGAGCAGCCACGGTTCTTCACTCCAATACGGATAAATTTGGGCTCGGGTTGATCCATAAGCTTGCGCAGTTGCTCAGTGGCCAGGTCGGATAGTTTCATTGCCGCCTTTCTTGCGCGCAATGGTCGACGGGGCTTCCCGGTCTTACTTTGGGTGGTAGGCGAGGCGGATTTTGGCTTTTGGGCCTCACTTTCCCGAGCAGTGCTTGTGGATGTGGGTTTCGTTTGTGCTGGGGAGTTCTGTGGGTTCTCGGCAGGAAGAGGAAATTCGGCCGACATCAGGGAGTCTGAGCCACTGATGCTACGGGGAGGCGGGAAAGACGAAGGGAGAGAGTGTGGACGGTAGGCAGTCGCTGTCTGCATGTCCCGCTTAGATGACTGGTAGGCGTTTCCGTATGATGAGAAGCACCGCACGGCGGGGGAGCGTAGTGTAGCCGAGGGTTTTGCCCATCGGAGCAGTGTGGCGGATGATGTCACAGGACGCTGCATGATGGTGGAGAAAGTGATGGTCGAGGGGGAAAATAGAAGGTTGAACAGAGCAGGACCTGGACGAAGAATTGTCTATGTAGGCATAAGAAGGTCGAGTTTCGTGTTTGATAGAGGTGGTGGTGAGTTCGAAAGCAAGAAGGGGAAAAGAGTTGTTTAATCAAGTTCCCCGGTGACTTCTCGGGCGATTAAGTAAGACTGGTTGTATGACCCGGCTTCGACCAATGAGCGTTGATGTGTTTCTACACACAGTGGCGCCACTCTTGATGTAAATGCACAGACAGAGAAACGAGTGCCAAAACAGTAGTAAATATGGATACTGAGAACCTTGATTGGTAGACCAGAGAGGATTATATCATTCCTATTCCACTCTTATTACATTTAATTCACTTGATCATTCTCTTTGATTTCATGATTTTCCCTTTAATGGCTTACATAATACTGCGCTTATCGGAAGCTGAGTCATCTTCCACTCCGCGGCAAAGTGTGTAACTAATCATCAGTCATATGACCTAATTCATGACAGAATGCTTAGGTTTTGGACGAATTACCAATTCAATTTATTCTTTACGAATATCCTCTTATTCACTACTTGGATACTCAGCAATTCTTATATTATTAATATGGAGTACTCTGCACATACCACTGCTAGTAGATACCAGATCGGTTCAGGGCGGTGACCCAGAGCATGACCAAAAGCGGTATGAATAATTTTGGCCGCTGCGTACCTGGTGGGCCCACCGAATTCCACATTCAAGTTTGCCCGATTTCCGGAGCAGTCGAGCCTCCGCAGTGCGTGTCGAGACTCGAGGGCATATGAAGGGAGGGGAAACAATGACATAAATACTCATGAGTCGCATGGTCATTATTATAGAGACGATTCTATACATGATACTATATTAAAATTAAGAAATAAGATCTAGAGCTACTAGTATTCAATCACCCTTGTACATTGTAATTTCCTAAATTCAAATGAAAGGACATGTGGCTGGATCCGCTGACAAAGTGGCTGGTGCCTTGGCTAGTTAACTACTTGAGATGAGCACTCAAAGGAACCTTCCCTCCATACAGTAATATTTAATGCTTCGGTGATCGAGTCTGCAGATCACCTGACATCATGGAGGCCTCTCCCCTTACGCAGCAGACAAGGCCGGAGACTTTCCAACCCAAGATCGTCCAGCTTTACGAGGCTTTGTTCAAAGTATGCTACCCCGTTGCTAGGCCCCGGTATCCCCAATTTGATAGAGCCGCATATGCTGACCACCCCCTAGGCGACTGAGGATGCCGAACACTCGGAGGGTTTCTGGCGAGAGTTCTTTCTGCTGCCACCCGATGGACGCCAGCTTCATCTTCTGCTAGACAAGTTAAGCCCCGACGAGACATTGGGCTTGCAGGTTAGCCTTTCAGCCACCGAGCCACCCCACATGTTTATAGAGCTAATCTAGATCAGACGCAAACTCAACATCTTTTTGCTCGGGCCATCCGTGAAGCTGCCTCCGGGGTTGCACCCGCGGATTCTTATGCACTAGATGTGAGTGCCCCGCCATTGTGATCGACAGCTATATTGACTGATATCATCCAGACCTTGACCACGTTCCTGACTAGCATTTTGAGCAAAAAATACACCAATCCAAGCTCGGATGTGATCAATGTTCTTGCAGGCCTTGACGAGGTTGACCGCGTTATCTCGGAGTTTGTCTCTGTCTTGGACGGGATCATTCGCAATGGCTCCAGCTGTAAGTGCCCGTGGTAAAGTATGTACCTTATGGAAACTGATGTAATTATGCAGTGGAATTACGGCGCAGAGCAATTCGCGTCGCTATCGCTATGACAAGTGGAGCATACAAAACTAGCCTCGTCTCCTATTTCACACACCGCGATTTGTTCCCATCTTTGATGAAGGTATGAATCATCTCTAATTCAATATTTGTCCCAATATCTAATGACAGCAGTATGTTCATGACTCTGATACCCCTATGCAAGTGTTTGATCCATTTCTTCTTCTGGGGCTGTTGGCAAACTACAACAAATTTGAATTTCAAAATCTTTATCAGCTTCGACTCGATGATTTTGTCAACGAGTCAAGCATTCAACAAATCGTCAAAGGTGTTGGCCTCACATGTGGTGGCTTGCGCAACGGCTATATTGCCGTGCAAGACGACATACCCGAAGGCTGGTCCTTGGCAAATACTCTGATCTTCTTTGGACTTCGTGCTCTCGCGCCTGGTGCTCGGGACAAGGTAAACCCTCCCAGTGCGGAGGAAGCTAAAGCTATGTTTGCTGCGCTGTAAGGCTCTCGTCTCTTTCTAGCTGTTAGGTTACTAGACACTGATAATTTTCTAGGCCCGCCCAAGAAGCTGCTATTCTGATGGCCACATATGACTTTGCGAACTCGAACAAACTATTCGGTTACCACTTGGTCCACCATATTCCAGAAAAGAACGAGGAGTCTCCTTTCTCGAGCTTCATTTCTCTGTCATCATACCTTTTACAGCATGCCTACCGATCTGTGCGGGTAGCACACTATGCTGAGTTGAGTTTGTTCACCCTCCGTATACTCGTCGAGGATCCAACTCTGTGCAAGCACATTTGCAGTGAAGATGGCAAACGCAAAGTGCGGATCTGCCGTCAAAAGCAGCCGTATCTCCCAGTCGTTGGCGGAGATCGGGTGCTCGCCACTGTCATTTTCGACGTAATGATCGACACAATCACGCATAACCTCCGGCGACGATTGGACGTCAACATCTACAGGTATGTACTTGAATGTCATCGGTGGTAGATCACCTTCCAAATAACCAAACGCACTAACAATGCCTAGCCACACTATCGCCATCACATTGCGCCTTTTGACCTACCTCTCAATGAACAAAATCCGACTCAACTACCACTGGTCCGAGCTCTGGCGCACTCTCCTCTCCCTCATGCGCTTCTTGACCACATACGCCACTGATCTAAACACCAACCCTCAAATCCACACCTTAACCAGCTCCCTAGCCGATCTTCTCGCCTTCTGCGTTTCAGGTGGTGACACATTCCTCCCCGACCCATCCTCCTACGACGACCTCTTCTACAAGCTCGTCGAAACGGGCCCCGTGATCTCAAAATTCAGGAACGTCTACTCCCTCACTCGTTCGACTACAACAGGAACCCCAGGTTCATCATCCATCACACCAATTCCAGACGCGGCGACAGCCCAGAAGAACGATCTCCACGCCGCGGCTATCGATACCCTTCTCAGTGTCTCTACGCACTTTTACACGCTTCTCTTCCAGTCCGATGGCTCTGCTCCTACAACACCTGCCATTGTAGCTGCCAGTCCCAACCCCGAAGGCGAGCCTACGCCTGTAGCATTGCCTTCTATCAAAAAGAAGAATCTCAGTCCTCGAGAAGTCCATCGAATTATCAAACAGGGCTACGAGACACTGAGTATCCAGCCGCCGGAAGGTCTTAGTGCTTGGTCGAAATGGAGAGAGACAGACTGGAAGACTGAGTTGAAGAAAGCGGCGCGGGTCGTTGTGGACGATGCGAAGCAGCTGGTTGCGTAGGTCAAGGGTCTATTGTGTTGTCCTTGTCAGCCTTTCCTGTCCAAGTCAACCATTCAAAGAGAGTGGCTTGGTTTGAGCATTGTGGATGGGCGGAAAATCACGAGGTGGATAATGTTGCGCATGATTCAATGTTCGCCTCTTTTCGGCCTTCTTTACTGGATGTAAACCAGTTTGTTTGTTCTTGAGATATCCAGTTTCTAAGAAATGCATTCGTACAGTTCAGCATCAAGAAAGTTGCCCTTACAATAGGTACAATATATTGGTGATCTTTGCCTGCATTGGCGATATCAGGGTTTAATGGAGCCTTGCTTCTGGAGTAGTATCAGATAGGTACTTTGACAGACATAACTCATTCGTAGGAAGCTCTGAATTACCTCGTCATAAGGATAAGGTAGAGGAAAGAAAAGAGAAACACATCACAGGTTTCTGCAAAGCTAACTTTCGCGACAGTCACAGATTGTTCCTGAAAAAGACGCCGGGTTCGTCGAAAAGGGAATGCAACTCGGAACACGGAACAATGGTGAGATACAAACATAGGAGAAAACAAACAACATTAGTAGGATACAAATAGAAGGGGTTAATTGTTGCCAGGATCGGAATAGATCAATATCCGTCCAATTACTCTTCGTCCTCCTCGATATCAGTGGCAGGTATGTATTGAGTCGGGAAGTACTTCTCAGAATTGCGGCTGAGCCAGATTGAAAATTTGGAAAGCTCTTCGTGAGAGCGGCCGGTACTCTTGTACTCCATGTTTGTTTGAGCGAGCAGCTCCGGGAGAAGGCCTTGATAATGTCAGGATAAAAGGTTCTTGTTCAAACTGGGAAGGAAGGGGGTTGAAAGCAACATACTCAAAAGTCGGATCAGGTGCTCGGCACCATATATGTGGATGGCGCTCTTGTCCTTTTGTCCCTGGTAGGTCTTCTTCAGGGCGCGAAACTGCTGGCGCTCGTAACGGTAGAGGAGGAGCTTATCGAGGACGACCTCGAAGTATTCGGAAAGGCCAGCAATCACTTCATCCATGACATTGATGTCAACCTGGTGGCGCTTGGGTAGCTCCTCGGTGCGCCAATCCTGAAGGACGTCGTAAACAGACTTGGCAGCGGGCAGTTGGACAACAGAGCCGTTCTTGGTGACACGCTCCCAGTCATCGACAATCAGTGACTTGATGTTGTCGGGCATCACAATCCGGATGGAGGGGCGGGCGTGAAATGTTTCTTCCTGGTGCAATGTCAGATGGAAGTACGGTAGTGCCAGGGGTTTCATGTTGTGCCAGAATAGCCGCCAGATGTCTTGGAAGATGAGCTGGATGGTTTCGTCCACGATCTCTTGGTGGGTCTGTTCGGGGATGTCCTCAAGGGATAGCCCTTGGATTTCTTGAAGGACATCCTCTACATCCCTTAGGTCATTTGGCTGGAGTACATTTTGCCGGTAGTGGGCTGCAGACGCCGCGGAGTAAAATATTAGAGGGTTCATGGGGACCATGACGGGTACATAGGACATGTAATGTGCTTGGCTATCATGTCCATGTAGCCTGGTCCCTCGCCTTTGCCTCCGCGGATCACGCTTACCACGCCTGCCACGCTGTCCTCTTCTTCTTCTTCTTCTTCTTCTTCTTCTTCTTCTTCGCCCAGGGTCTGGACTCACGATATCGGGTGAAGACATTTGGCAAGAAGGGGGAGGGTGTTTGACGAGAGGGTGACAAAAACAACGAGGAGAACGAGATGAAAGAGAGGAAAGGAAAGAGAGGGAAGAGAGAGGAAAGAATTATGTATGTAGTAGAGACGGAAGTGAAGAGAGCAGTGAAGGGGATAACGAAGGTGATAGGGGAGTAATTGAATTAGAGGAGAGGGTAGAGGAGACAGTGAATGTTGGGGATGGAGTGAACTGCGCGACAACACAACGGACGACTAAGACGACTAAGCGGTGGGGAACTCACTCTTTCGATATCATTTTCTCGAGCACGCTTGTTACCCCGACCAGAAACAGAGTTACCACGTTCCTCGCTGTCGCGCACAGAGCTGTGCTCCGACATAGCTCGCTTCTTCGTGCCAGGCTTCATGTTTTTAGCTCGAAGGGAGGCCTCGGCTTCACGGCGTATGTTGGCTGCGAGTTCGCGATTCTCGTCAGACCACTTGCGCAGCCGATCTTCAAGAACCCAATCGTCCCAGCTATATGCTAATCGTTAACAAATATGGTCTTGAATAGACAAAATTTCAGGTATGCCGCCTATTCTTCCTTTGTGTGGTCAAGTATCGGACCTGAGGTAGGGAGAATCCAGGCAGGGCAAGGGACAAGAACACCCCCCACACAACAAATAGGGCAACATGCTGATATAGAAGACAGATATTCACGAGGAACTTACGTGTTCTTCCAACCCTTGTAGTGCACCAAATACTCAAAGGGGCTTTTCTTGTCGGTCGAATCTTTGTGTCGGAGATCAAGGATTTTGGCCTCGTACAGGATATCGTGGTGGAAGCACAAGACCTTCTCGTCCTTTGCGTAGTTGGTTGAAACCATCGTGGGAAGAGACAGAACGCAAAAGAGAAGAGGAGAGAGGCGCGGGGGAAGTGACAAGCGTCTCAATTCAACTTGAACAATATCACAACTAATCGAAATCGCCGACTAAGCGATTGACACGACTAAGCGATTGACACCTCTGGATAATACTTTCCAGAGACAGGTAATCTAATATCCCTTAAGTTGAAGCGAAAACACGATTGTCTTTAGGCTCCCGCAGTTCCTGGTTTCGGTGCCAATACCAGCTCGAGACTACTCCGGCTTCTTGATAATAAGCGACGACAGCCTGCCCACAAGGCGTATGAAGCCCAAGCACTGGGAAAATGTCTACCAGCTCGGTCTTGTAGCAACGAGGCCTCAAAATCCCTGTTTCAAACACTGGAATCTGGGTTTATTGGATGAGTTGTGATGCTGCGGGTCAGATTTGTGAGGTGAGGAAAAAGGCGGAACTCGCCCCTTGAAGAAGAATCACCAGGAACTGGGTCCACGCGGGAACACTTCACCGTCCACAACCAACAACTATTATTACCAACTTGAAGGATTGCTGCCTTCTTCTCCAAATATCCAAATCGCCTACTTGTTGTGATAATACCAGGCGGCTTGCTGAATCTACTGCTTCAACTGCCATACTCTTCCGTCGGCACGCCACATTAATTCAACATCAAGACGCGACTTTTGGCGACATAAGAAGTTGTCGGTCTAAATAACGCGATTACTACGTGACTTTCTGCTTTGAAAAGACATCTGAACGTGTTGGTGATATTGGCTTTGATAGTTTCACCATGGCGCCCTCTGAAGAGTCTATATTGAGCAATTTCTTGCTCACTCCAGCCCCGCTGCCAACTGTACTGTCCCTGCAGAAATTCACAGATCTGTTCCCTAAGCGTTTGAGGAACCACCCGCATATTCGGGCCCTGTACCGGGAGTTACAGCAGATCCGGGAACATGATATGGATCAAGTGAATGGAAACATTGACACTGAAATTCATGAAGGCGAGCGCCAGAAAGCAGAGCTCCACAAAGCCAGCCTGACAGCCGGTGTGGAAGCAACCAATGACGAAGAGCAACGGGAAGTGGACATGGATCTACATTTGTTTGGTCAAACTACCTCCAATTCCCAGGACTATCATTCAGTGGAGAGTCTCCTAGCCGAAATGGAGACGGCTTGCACCCATATTGAGCGAGAGATTGCTGATATTGACCAAGAGGCTTCTGGTTTGGTGGCTGGACTTAGTACTACTGTGGGAGGATTGAGTGATCTTCGCTATGGGAAATTTGCAGGCCCCGGGTCTGCTAGTGATGTGGCAGAACAGAGTATCCAAGGGTTGCAAAATCTGGAAGAAACTTGTTATGAAAAGAGCACTCCGGATGCTTGATGATATTCCAAAGTCATTGATTTGATACAACCATCCAACCAATTCATATCTCATATCTGGTAGGCATTCAAGTTCCCAATAAGAGTTTGGCGCTAACTCTGAAAGTATAGAACTTCCTGGGCCACAAATCTACGTCTAGATCCAGTCTTGACTGGGAGCCATCAGAGCCTAGGCAGATTTGTCTGGCCCAGAAAAGGCACTGGTCTGTCCTTCGGCAGGACCTGTGGGTGTTTTACAGAAGCAGCATGCCTGTTATGTCACCAACACGAGTCTTCATCTGATTTTACTCAGTTCCAATACAGAGGGTCTCATCGGCTAGCAAACAGACCTGTTGCCCAGATGTACCACAACACCTCAAAACAAACAGATGGATGCATGAAAAAGCCCACCATAATCGTCAGGCCTGGAATGATTCAATAACCATTATCCTAATCCTTAGCTACTAAAATTTTTTCTTTTCCTGGGACAAATAATAAATCAAATCCTAATTTTCATGTCTTGGATATGCACAGAAACCGCTTTCCGTCTTGGGTATGATTGAGGCTAAATTGTGGGGTTCAAACGCGACCCGCGTCGCGTCAACCTCAACCAAACCGACCACTCCAAATAATCCAAAATCAACCAGCGATATACCTCGCGATAAACCGTCAGCATGCCTACCATACGCCTCCATCCCCAGTCCTCATCTAGAAAAGAAACAACAAATACGCCCTTCCCAGTCACCAACCCCCTTCCTCAGCTCCTCCAAACCCCCTCAGGCCTCGCCCTGCTCGAGCTCCAAGGCACCATCAATATCCCCTCGACGGAACAAGATGAATACGACGGAACACCAGCACCACCATCACCAAATGGTGCGTCCTACGAAACCCCGATCGGCAAGCTCATGTTCCCGAATTACTCGGCCCTGAACCCCGACGACACCAAGTGGATGAAGCACGCATATCTTTATGTGGGTCGATACCAGCGCATGACTGGGGAAGTGAAGAAGTTGATCAAGCCAATTGCTTTGTTGCAGAGGCGGCCTTCCTCTTCCACAGAAATCGAAGACTTGGAGGTTGTGGAGATTGTGCGGTATAAGATCTTTTTCAAGAATCGACCGGAGCCTGTCAACACGGTTTGATTGGCTTGGATTTTGTTCGCTTGAAAAAATCCAGTCCGTCTGTATGTCTCTGAGAGATCATCGGGTTTAGATTCCCATTGACCTGTTGTCCTGCGATGTGGACCTCAAATATACCACCTGCGAGGCATTGTGTTTCTATGATGGGCTTGGAGGAATACTGGACACACCCATCATGGTGGGAATTCGATTGAGATTCTTGATCTGTATTCCTTATACCCCATCCAGTTGGAATGGCAAGCAGCAGCAGATGTGGTCGTCAATTCGTGAATGCTGTGTTGGGGAAGAATGATCATCGGCCATGGGAATTGATCCGATACACGCTACCCTGCCACTCTACGAGACCGACCTGAAGCCCCGAAAGTGCCTTATGATAAGATGACGGAATGAATTCGACACTGTTTCCTATGTTTTCTATGTTTGCTGAAGTATGTGAGGCATCTCGATCTCCCAAGAAAGGTGTGGGACGAGCCTAACGCAAACACTCACGCTATATTACGATTGTGATTACTGGCTTGAAAAATGTAATCAGTGGAGCTGGTAAAACTGGTGAATACACTTGATTATTACCTGACAGGACACATTCAAGTTGTTACCCGTGAATTGGACCTGCAATAACCGGGCGGAATTAAGCCATCCATGAGCCTGGAAGTATTCCGCACTCCCAACTTCCAACGAGAAAGCCGAATCTCCCGATCAATATCATGCAACAATTTGTTTTGGAAAATAAAGAAGGAAAAGAAGAATATGTGAATAAAAACGTTTTGGTAAAAAAGAACAGATGCTCGCATCTCTAGACTTAGTTCAGCCTTAAAAACCCGAGCCTCTTTACTTCATACCGAATGCCGACCCGTCGGAACGATGTCATCAATAAAACCCCGCAAGTACCGAAGCTCTGGTCCACTCACGTATGATTCCCGCATTACATTGATTGCCAATCGCTATTTAAAGGGCTCCTCAATGCCCCGCCAGGTGGCCTTACGCTTGCCACTACCATTGCCCTTTTCACCTTCCTACCGCAACATCTCATACAGATCAACCCTCTACCGGACATTCACCTCCACACCCGCAGCCATGGCACCCATCGAGCGCATCACTCTCTTCAAGATCCCCAACGACGCGGATGCGGATCGTCTGCTTGAGCAGTATAAGATTTTGGCAAAGACCGCTACCAAGGTATGCTTACTTTCTGGGTTGTCTAGTTGCTTTCACTGCACAGAAGCCTGAGCTGTGCATTCCGTTCAAACTACTAGTTGCCGGTCGAATGCCTACTACCTACCCTTGTTTTGCTGTCTTCCTCTCTTCACATTGGGATTGTAATGTTGAATTTCGAGTTGGTGCTAACGTTGAACCTCTGTCCAGGACGGAAAGCCCTATATTGTCGCTGCCGCTGTCGGCAAGTCCATCGCCGATCCTCGCAACCGAGGCTTCAACATCTCCGTGAAGACAACCTTTGCCTCAATGGAGGATATGAAGTACTATGATTCGGAATGCGAGGCACACAAGGCGCTCAAGGCGCTTGTTGCGCCTATCAAGGAGGATGTGATGACTACTTTCTACGAGAACGTGCTTTAAAACAGCTGAAGCTGCATGGTGGGATTGTACATAAGAGTCTATTCCGAACAAGACTTCGAAAAAAAAAACCATGTTTCATTCCGGATATACACGGCATACATCTAGTATGCTTTCTGGGTCGACATTCGCAGACCAGAGAGAGTTGGGGAAAGGAGTAGTAAAACAAACAAAAGAAAACAAGTAACAAAAATAACAAAGTAACGAAAACACCTATGCCGTCTACAATGGCATGCTGGAACAATACGGCTTGAACACAGTACAGAGTCGTAAAGAGATGGGGAGAATCGTGGTTGGGCTGAAAGAGAAATGAAGAGGACAGCAGATATCCGGCCCATTGGTGTGATACCGAGTAATCGCAGATTGACTCGCCATCAATGCTGGAGAAATATACAGGTGTGAGGAAAGGTAACCGGGGGGGAGACATAGATCAATCAAGGGCCCGGCGAAGGTCGCTCCATTTCTGACGAAGGGTCTCGTGGTTCTCGGACACCTGCGAATGGCATAGTTAGTATCGGGACACCTGGGAGTTTTGATCAAGATCAGACTTCACATACCTCGGCCCACTTCATCTTAGTTGAAACAAGCTCCTTCTCCATTTCAGCCATAGAGTCCTCCATGGCGCGGTTCTCGTTCTGCACCTCGATATTCCGTTTCATGATGCGCTCCATCTCCATACGCAGTTTCTCCTCGACCTCGCCGGGCTGCTTGTCAACCACAATCTTCAGCTCACTAACTTGGAGCTTCAGTGCATCGGTCAGATCACGCAACTCTTCGTTTTCGACCTTGGCATGAACCAATTCTGATGCAAGCTGCACATGCTCCTTATCAGAGGCCTCTGCACGCTCTTCAAGCAAGCGCACTCGAGCAGCTTGCGTGCCCACGGTGTGTCGCAAGTGCTCCAGCTCAGCCTCACGCTCTTTCTCCGTCCGGGTCTTCTCCTCCCACTCGACAGTGTAGGATTTGATCATCTCCTGCGTGAGAGGGACATCGCAGGCATCCTGGACCAACAGATCGGCGCGGTAAACCTCCTTGTCGGCAGCTCCGGAGCTTCCAAAGAATCCAGACTCCAAAATAGACGAGGCCGAAGGTTGCTTGTCGATATATGCGTCGAACAGTCGCTCTTTCAGGAAAGTGGTGAGCGTGCTCATATCCTTCATTTCCAAAAGTGCTTCGGCATTCCGCCTCATAATGGCAATGGAAAACTTGAGGATGGTGCGCTCAAGGCCTTCCTCGAAGATGAGGTCGTAAATACGAAGAACAAGCTGCAGCGGGAATCGATAGGCAAACAATGTCAAGAACCACTGGGTAGCATATAATTGCGGAGGGACTCCACGTCTTCGAAGATGACAATAGAGGGCCGGTTCCAGATCTTCCAGAAGTCGCTCGAACTGGTAGAGACTGCGATGGAGACCAGGCATGTCTGCAATGAACATCTCTCGGAGCCCGTATTTGTTCATGAGTTTCACAAGAAGCTCGAATGCCTCAACTTCATCCATGTTGAACAACAGAGGCATGACAATAAAGTTCATACCTTGGGCATAGCCCACAGCCTCATCATACATAGCATATCCTTTGCATAAGCCATAGAGACTCTCTTGGCTGCCCTGTGAGACAAAGTATTTAGAATAGCTTGTGCGCGAGCCCAGATCCCGACGAATGACTTTTTCCAACTTCTGCAAGGCAACTGCCTCATCCTTGGCTCTCTTGGCACGAGCTGTTTCGCTAGCCAACTGTTCCTTGGCCAACTTCTCAGGGTTAGTTTCCTGGGAAGGACTAACACTGGCGGACTGTGTGGCAGATCCCGAATGGTCAGATCGAATGGAAGAGCGTGAGGATGAGTTTGATTCCTCAATAATTCCACTAATCTGGCCATTGGACGGCCGACGTTCCTTGTCAGTCCCGCGCGCCACCAAGTCTCGGTATATATCCTCCAATTCACCAGCATGGCAATCTGCCAGAATCTGCCAAATGACACCTCGAATGGTTTGTGGAATACCTCTCTTGATGGCAGAGTTCAACTCCTCCGAATCCACCAAGGCCTGAGGTCCATTGTTCACAAGTGATTGCCAAAGTTCCCAGTCGACGGGAGTTGATGCATCGTCCGGTGATTTGGCGAATCCAGAAACGGTACCCGGTGCAAGGCTGGGGTTAATTGTAGACGGATCTGCAATTCCAGGAGAAGTTACTGCAGAGCCAGAGGGAGGTGGGTACAGAATTCCGTCTTCGTTTTCTTCTGGGATTATTGGCGGGCTCAATTCAGGGTGTCCGACGCTAGGGGGGCCCGACCGGGCGCTCGATTCTTCGTGCTCGGCCCAGGTGGTATCCTCCCGCATACGCAGCAGCTTAAATTGATCTTTCAAACTATTGCGCCGTGGCCTCTTCGAATTGACGCTTGAAGCATCGCCATCTGCCACGAGGTCCAAATTGCTGGCGACGGTTGAAACCGAAGTGGAGGTGTTTCGCCTAGTACCAGCTTGAGGCGGGGATTTGACTTCTTTGGCTCCAACGGAACTTCGAGAGAACCATGCGAAGGGACCGCTAGCTTTGCGAGCTAGGGGTGGGGGAGGGGGTGGAGGAGGATTTTTGTTGACGGGAGGAGGGCCCCATGGCAAGGACGGTAGCGTTCCAGACAGACCTTTCAGGCCAGAGCTGGGTGGAGAGGCGGCATCGTCTTTGGGGGGTACGGGAGGTAGCTCCGGCCTGATTTCGGGAACTGTCATGTTGAGAGGCTCTTCATCTTTGCTGGTTGTGAGGACCACCTCATCCAGGGACGAAGCAGACGATAAACGGTGGGAGGTGAGTAGGGGTGATTTCGGTGTAATGTTCCGACTTTGCGTCTCCTCTTCACCTATCCCGTCCAATCCAGTATGTTCCGCTAGATCTTCAGGCTCGGCCTGTTGGTCTGCATTGTCATCTCCATTCACTTCGACGGTCTCAAGCTTCAGCTCGTCTCCAAGCTCCTGGTCCTGTAGCTCCTCCGTCTGGTCCTCCTCGGCAACTTCACCCTCATCCGGCTGCTTCCCCCTTTTTTTTGTTTTTCTTCTTGTTTTGCTTTTTGGGTGTAGTTTGTTCGCTTCCGTCGGTATCCTCCTTCTGCTCGACCTGCGATTCAGAAGGGAACAGCGACTTCTCTGTTAAGTCGGGGGACGCGCCCACCCCCACGGGGGGGCTATCAGTCAAAGACCGAGCTGACGAGGACTTGGGAATAGTAACACGGAGGTTTTCGATCGTCTCAGGGGCATCGTCAAACGACTCCTAGGAGCAAATCAGCATCAGAACACGGTGTGTAGAATCTGAAACGAGGGGGGACATCACACAACTTACCCCTTCGTAGTCACGACTGTTCCGGGGCGACATCTCGAGCTCAGGTTACGAGTACATGCAATCAGAAGATAACCACAAGACCCAGGAAGCAGGAAGCCTCTGGGGTCATCAGTAGAAAAGGAAGGAAGAAGGAAGAATGAGCCAGGAATTTGGGGACGTCAGTTTCGTAGTGATGGTTTATGATGGACAATCGATAAATCGAGGGACCAGGCACGGACGGTGATTGGCTGACTGATTGCAGATTACAGTATGGGGGGCGACCTGTCGATCGGAACGTTGGAATGGACAGATTCAAATGCTGTATGTAGGTGCAGCTGCAATATGCAGAATGTAGGATTCTTGTCTGCTTTTCTTTCTTCTTTCTTCTTTTAATATGCCATTGGTATTTTGTTGTTCCACTTAGCTATGTTCAATCCATCTCTACGATTATAGATTCTGTCATACGTGTATACGTGTACAAGACCATAATTTCCTAAACCGCACCAATCAATTGGAAAGCGTGACTAGTCAAAGCCTTTTTGTCTTACTAGACTGCTTACTCTGAATGCCCTTTATATCTACTAGGTTTTTGCAGTAGCTGCTAGTAACTTAGACCTGTATGGCTCCATTCGTGGCTAAGACTTTCCCTTCCAGTGTGACGACCTTGATTGTGATAAGAGAAAATAAAAAAATAAATCTCTTCTTTCTTTGTCAAATTCCTTTATTTCAAATGCAACAGCTGTCAAAGGATAAATTTACATATAGAGTGTTGTGGGGATGCAGGCATGCGCTACGTGGCAGTATTTTGAAGCTACATGTATTGAAAACCATGCATGCATTCTTCCCTTGCAAGGCTGGAGATTCGGTTAATCTATTCTAATGAATTTTGAATTGAATACTAGTAAGTATCGTATTCCGAAATACCTTAGTCAAAATCTCCGTTACCATAAGTAGGCTTTGTCTCAAGTGCTCATTAGCTTGTCGTGGCACAAAGGACACACATAGTACGGACTATGCATGTGCCATGATTATCAAAATGTTCCTCGGATGGCTGATAAAAAGTAGAGCCACGTTTATACATCTATTGGAAGACATCGCCTCAAATTTTGATTTACAATGTCCGCTCAAAGTCCAACCACCTCTGCTGTCGGAGTGGATCCAATTGTTTCAATTCTGAGAGCCAGCTCAGAATTTGATCTCGATCCTCCGATGATAAACAGCCCGCCACCTTGGATACCAGCACTGTACACTCTATCAGCGCCTGGTAGATATATTTGCAATCTTCAGCTCCGTCAAGAACCTCTTCAATGTTTTCAATCTCTTGACGGAGGTATTCAAGTCGCTCGGGCGTGGTCAGGTTCGGAGCCATGGTCCGATCTGCAGTGGCCGGGTCAAATACAGACAGCAGATTTTGGTGATAGAACCAGACGGATTGGTCATAGGGATCAATCAAAGCTTGATGGATGAGAGATATCTCTGTATTGGGGTCAGAAATAGTTGAATAGGATAGAGGGTATTTCTATGATACTGACCTTCATCCAGCATTGCTTTTCGCTCGTCATCAGTGGCACATTGCTCATCCAATAACTGCTGGATCAGCTTGGTGCGATAATGCCAAGCGGAGAAATTGGAAAGATTAGCCCCAATCATTTTCTTTGCGTACTCAAATTCTTTCTGGGTCATGCCCATGGCCTCATCCGGGCTTCCCAACTGTTTCAAGGTCTCCACCACCAAGCGGCGGTATCCCCATCCATGGAAATTGCGACTATCCAACGTCAACATCTTGCCAACCAGGAAGAACTCTTCTTGCCAAAGCTGGCGAGCTTCAGGCAATGCGAGCAGTCGACGAGCCTCATCCAGTAGCCAGATTCGATAGTTCCAAATCCAATAGCATTTGGGAAAGCTTCGCAGGAGCGGGATGAGAAACATTAGATCATCTTTGATGAGCTGGAGGACCGATTGGCCTAAACTATCCTCGGAGTTATTTTCAGCTTCCGAAAAATGATATCTCATGACCTGACGACGATGGTTCCAGATAGTGTAGTACTCTGGATTCCGATTCAGCAGCTCCGAGATCTTCCTCAACGTGTCAGAAGTGTAATCTTGATTCGCTACCTGGCTGGAATTAGTGAAAAACTCGTATTGTCTGATTTTTCTCTAGTAACCCACTTTTTCTGAGACCCCACGTTCTAGAGATCTGTAGTCTTCTATCTTCTGCAGCTCCTGCTGCCGTTCTTTGGGGGTCTTCTCCACGGGCTTAAATCGCCGAACGCCGTGCTGCCAAGCCCATCAGCCTCGAACTTTGGAAGTGCATTATCTGACTCACGCTGGCCATGTTGATGGAATAATATTTCTTGATTTTTCCGACTGGAGAATTGGGGAAGAGCGAAGAAGTGCCACCGCGGCTGATGTCTGCGGGGATCACGTGGGTCTCCTGCCTTGGAATAAGCAACTGGCACATTCAATTTTCTTCCTCAACTTACATCGACAACCTTTTTTTCCCCGAATAAAAACTTATATTACACTCATTCTCATGTTAGCTGTTTACCTACTACGTTAATCCTATATCATGGTGGATTCGCAAAGTCACTCCTTCGAGGATGCCTCTTCCGCGGGCAGCTATAACGTGCCAATCATATCCCAGCTTCATTCAGAGTCCTCCGAGGACACCGGGTCAGTCAGACGACTTCAACTTACCACTGTCAATTTTCCATTTTTCATATCACCTGCTAGCTCCCAGGCATCACAGTCCTTTCCAAACGCAAAACTTTTTGAAGTCCCCCCAGGCTTGGAACACAATTTATCAGCAAATACAGGGTCTCCGACGCGAAACCGTAGTAGGATCAGGAGACCATTGGCTGGAGAAACATCACGAGCTGCCTTTCCTAGCCCGAGATCTCCTGATCGATTTATTCCCGCGCGCCACTTCGACAATTCTCCATCAACTCAATATCGGGTGAACAAGCACCCTCAGCAATTGTCACCGCGAGAGCGACTTGTGCGATGTCGTCTTCCCGGAGAAGACCCATTTTTACCATCTTCTCAAACACCGCGGTCACCAGCTCAAATTCCAAGGCCTACTCGGTCTCCTCAAAGACCACTCTATCGACCTCATCTAATCACCGACTTAACAGTCATGGGGGGAAATCGCCAGAACGACTTCCTAAGACAAGTCAGCTCCGGGGGAGTTTGGGCCGTAGGTGGAACATCAGCAGTGCTTGGTACCTCGGCTCCAGTGATGAATGGTACGCCAAGTTCTTCGAGCAGACGCACCACTGCTCCGGCTTTTGTGGCCAGATTCCTGCCAAAGAACACCAGAGCCGAGGAACAGAACAAGCACGAGTCAAGACTTGCAATAGCTCTGGATATTGACCCTATTACCAAAACTATCGATACTTCTGCAATGCATATGGAAACAAGTCCGAGTCCTACATCTCCAAACTATGAGCGATTCGCGCCTTTTGAGTGGAAGGATTGTGCCTGGAAAAAGGGTGACAGGGAACATTGTAAGTTTTGGTGCATTTTTATACTCATGACCTTATTGGTCAAATCACCCAATTCTGTCTGTTTATTGGGTGTGCGTCTTATTTTTGCTGGATAAAAATACTATCTATTGACATATAACATAAGTACTGAGTGCAGGGCTTCATTTTGACCTTGATGATCCACCGAGCGCCAGGCATCCACTAATTAGGCTTGAGTAGGGCCAACGATTCTTCCTCAACGAGAATCTGTTCCCCCGAAGCCTTTTCGAATTCTGGATGCTCCGTATATGCGAGACGACTTCTACTGCTCCACGCTAGCTTATTCTTTCACGTCTGGCATCTTGGCTGTTGGCCTGGCACAGTCTGTATATCTTTGGTCAGAAGGTTATATTGTGGACCGACCGCCATTTGGTGATTATCCTCCATCAAACTATGTGACTTCCTTGTCCTTTTCATCAGAAAACGGCGGCCGAAGTATTCTTGCTGTTGGGCGTCAATCAGGTCAACTGTCTCTTTGGGGCGTCTCAGAGACTAAGGTTCGCTTTGAAATTACTCATCCTCACAGTATATCATGTGTTTCTTTCAAATCGAAGACTTCACTGAGACCATCGGAAGTTTTGCAAAACATGGAAGTAGATGCAGAACTTCTCGTTGTCGGGGATGAAATAGGTAACATCTGGTACTACTCAGTTGAATGGCCTGAGATACATACTCAATGGAGTTGGACTGGCTGCATGACGCTCCTGGCCAAGATTTCCGCGCATGGTCAGCAAGTTTGTGGCCTGGCCTGGTCCCCTGATGATCGATTCCTTGCTTCTGGAGGCAATGACAATCATTGTATGTTGTTTGATTTGCGCGAGATTCTGCCATCCCCGCCAGTCAACCGCGCAGGCTTTTCTCCTGCCTCTTCCAATCTAACAGGCAATTTGACTCTCCATACATTTCAACCTCTACCATCGCCACCTGGCTTAAGGGATATTCCCAGCAGGCGACAGATTGTTAGCCATCTGCTCCCATCATTGGGACAGTCTCCTTCGAGGTCGACTGCACCAGCTCCCCTTTCAAGTCGGTTGGGGTGTCTCATCTCCGGTAGCACAAAAACTGTTCTAATCCCACACAACCGTCAGAAACACTGTCTCATGCATGCCGCAGCAGTAAAAGCAATAGCATTTGCACCTTGGCAGCCATCATTACTTGCAACAGGGGGAGGTACCAATGATCGAGCTATCCACTTCTTCCACGCCAGGACCGGTGCTTGTCTAGCGACAATCAATGTGTTTGCTCAGGTGACTAGTCTGATCTGGAGTCAAACCAGACGTGAAATCGCGGCTACATTTGGTTATGCTTCACCCGAGCATCCCTTTCGGATTGCCGTCTTTGCCTGGCCCAGCTGTGCACAGGTTGCTGTGATTCCTTGGGGACCTCATGGAACCAGCTGGGATGGCGAGGATCAAGATGTCAGCTATGATTGTGGACGAGCATTATATGCCGTAAGCTACCCGGGTAGACCACCACGCCCTCTGAATGCGCCTCTAGAAGAGCCTGATATTTTCTACACTACTAACTCACCTTCGCCCCCCATTCACTTACCTTCGCCGCCCACTAACTTACCTTCGCCGCCCACTAACTTACCTTCGCCGCCCACTAACTTCTTCCGACATCCTGGGCAGTCAAATGGAGTGCGTGAAGTCAGGCGAGGGCCACGTGCGATCCGCCCGAAAGAGAAAGAAGGTGGCATGTGGTGCAAGCGAACGATGGAAGAGGGGTGCATTATCGTGGCATCGAGTGACCAGACCGTCAAATTCCACGAAGTATGGTCCGGTCGACGTAAAAACACCAGCTTTGCCTATGGAATATTGGGCGGGAGTGATATCCTCGAGGGCATGGAAGGCATCGAGAAGTCCGGCAGTGAAGTCATTCGCTAAAGCACTGTACATTCTATTCTTAACCCTGTAGTATTATCTGATTGTGGGTCCACGGTTATTGGAAGCTTGGGCTAAGTCTTGAATTTTGGTTTCTGTTTTGCAGGTGCGTCACACCATGGTTTTTGTGGCCTTTTTTTGTGCTCCCGATTCATCCATTAGCGTGAATAGAATGTCGATCTCTCTCCACTCCTGTTCACCAATCCTGGCAATAACTCAATCGATCGGAGATCCACGGAGATTTAATGAAGTGTCGTTTTTCGAGTCCGAGTCTTCCTCTTCAAATTCGTACCTTTGACATTACTCTGACCTCTAAACACCACAAGGATGCGTCTCACAACCCTCCTTCCGATCCTCACCTCTACCATCGCGACTGCCAGTACATTGAATGTCACAGTCCTCGGCGCTCAAAACAATGCCTCAACCCTCGAATGCTGGGCCCTGAAGCCAGGCTTTACAACCTCTTCTGAGGCTGGTACAACTGGCTCCAAAAGTTTGAATCTAGGCCCCCTTGATGGAAAGGATGCAAACAACTCCACGTACGCCATTATCCCGGGGAAGTACGACGGAGGAAGACACAATGCGCCCGTGAATCAGTATGAATCTCCTTTTTGAAAATTCCTTCATTTTTCGTGTTTGCTGTTGGCGGTTTTCCAAAGAATTGGAGGAAGATTGTCTTCATAACTACCACCACAGTCTACACATACCTCCCAAACATATCGAATCCGAACACCACCTGCCCAGATGTCGACAAGCATGTTAATTTCAGGTTCCCAAGTATATTTGAGCTAACACTTTTTTCAATGAAAAGATGGGTCATCTTTTTATCAGGTTTAGCACATATCACCCTCCCCAACTCCACGGCTGAGGCCTGGGTCTCTGGAGGGAAGAACGGTGCCATTTTAGCACTTGATACGGCCGACGTCAGTTACCTTGGGCACATTACTAAGTATCCCTCCAATGAGTCGACCGTTACATTCGAGGTCCCATTGGGTGAGGAGGGGATTCCTGCGCATACTGTGTTGTATTCAGGTGCCTGTAAGGGGGCTGAGCTTTTGGAGTAAATGTGTATAGTACTTATGTGAAGAATGAAAACACTGGATGTTGGGTTAAGCTTGTTTCAAGGTTCTGTTACTCCTAGACGAGAAAGAAATTTGCACAAAAACTTGAACGATAATAAAATGCAGACAGAAATGCATCCAGTATAGAATTCTTGTAAGCCGTAAACAATAATGAACAAATAGAAATCAGAAAGCCATCTTATCTTTCCACCCAGATTCATACAGAACAAGACACATCGCATCCATCGTCTATCAACAACCTATAATGCTCAATGTTATTTTATTTCTTCCCCAATTTTCCCTTCTTGCCACCGGACTTGCTCTTCTTAGGCGCAGGCTCCTCCATGGCAATATCAGACCCCTCATCTTCGGTATCGGCAATGAAGTCCGCGAGGGATCCCTCGCTCGCCTCGTCCGAGTCCTCATCCTCGTCTTCCTCAGACTCTTCGGCATCAGAAGAGCCAGCCGACTCCTCTGCCTCAATGTCCAAGATGTTCTCAATCTCATCCTCGTCCTCGTCCTCACTGCCATCTTCGGACTCATCCTCAGAGTCATCCACGCCGTTCATCATTGACTCGTCCTCGTCAAAGGCCTGCTCACGAATAGACTTTGTCCGCGGCTTAGCTTGGCCTTCAGCATCACTGTCGGATTCATCCTCTCCTTCAACGTAGATAATGTTGTCCTCGTCCTCGCTATCCATGCCATCATTACGACTGTGAATATCACGGCGCAAATTAAGCTGCGCATCAAGCATATCAAGTTTACCCTTAAGCATAAGGAGGGATGAAAGACTGGAGGATCGCTGATCCATGACCTTGTAAAGGGTGGAAACACGCTTGAGGAGATCCGGGTGACCAGCCAGGGCACCACCGTGGGCAACGCAGACCCATTGGACCCAAACGATGAGGTGACCGTAGCGGCCAGGTCGGGATGAAAGGCGCTCGGCGAGCTTCTGGAGCAAAGTAGCAGCAAGGGAAGAATCAAGACGCTGGATGGTATTGCGAATAATGGTGATGTCGGAGGTGTGGAAGCATGACTCGAGAAGGGCGTTATCGTTTGTCTTGAGTGACTGTGTGAGCACGGTAGCTAGCGAGACACCAGTGGGGATCTGTTGAACGGCGGCGGCAGGCTTGCCAGGGACAAGGGTGCCGAGGTTGAGGTCATCGTCAAGCTCGGCTTCGACGTCGACTTCCTGGCCTCTATTGGCGCGAATGAGCTCACCAAACGAAGGCTCCGCACCTTCCTCCTCCTCTTCCTCCTCGTCTTCTGACTCTGCGTTGTCCATCTCAATGTCATCATCAGCAGGAGCCTGCTTAGAGGACTTGGTCTTCTTCTCTGTGGGCTTGACGGTATCTTCAACGTCCGAGTCCTCGTCACCGGATACGGAAGCGATGTCTTGGGTATCATCCATGTCGACATCATCGTCGACAGCCATACCAGACTGTACAGCGGTGTTGGTCTCGTCCACTCGGCTCTCACCAGCATCCTTAGAACCATTTGTTGACACGGATGCCAATGTGGAGGTTGCCTTTGTCTTTGCAACTGACTTGGTTCCGGTAAATGCGAGCTCGTCGGTGGTCTCATCAAGGAACTTAACGCGCTCGAATACAGGGATAACGCCACCCTCGGCGTAAGCAATCACAATCTCGTGGCCGTGGAACAAGGTTGAAACCACGGGGACACAGGCATTGGAAGACTCAGATCGGACGATCTTGAGAGAGGCATTTGCCTTTTGCGTCATTTGTTTGCGGTTGCTCTTAGCACTGCCAGATTGCGCAGGTTGCGCAAAGGGCTTTGTGAACAGTTCAATTGTGCCATCCTCCGTGATAGCAGCAAGGATTTGCTTCTCGGGGGTACCATCGTGCAAAGACAGGGATGTCACATCCTGCTCGGCCACAAGGTTTCGGACCAACTTCTGGGTTGAGGCATCGAAAACGTTAATGAAACGGTCACCATCAGATGCAAGGAATGAGCCAGAGCTAGCCGACTCGGTGGACGAAGAAATGACGCTGTGGATCTGGTTGCGCATGGCGGGGAACTTGACAGGCTCCTCTTCGGAGTTCTCCACGTCTATTAAGAAGGATGTCTGGGAAGCACAGATGACAGGCACGTTGGAGGGGACGGGGCGGGAGAGAGCAGTGAAGACAGACGATGCAGGCAGATGAATCGTTCTGTAAAGCAAAAGAAGGTAAAAGTTAGCTTGAGCATGCCCCAAGTACGGGCAGTCCGAATTTCGAAGTTACATACCGTAGAGTCTTTCCAGTGCGCAGATCCCACTGCACGAGCTTGTTGTCACCACCGATACTCCAAGCCTCTTGGGCCGGGCGCCCAGCGGTGAACTTGAAGTCCTTGATACCCTTCTCATGCGCACCGGTCAAGGTACCGACAATCTTATCCTCCGACGGAGAAAACAAGCGGATTTCCGAGGTGCTGGTTCCAAACGCAACGACAACATCACCCTGGTCGAGTCCATCGACACCGTTCACATCGGAACCACGCTTGCGCTTCTTCTTTGACTGGTCGCGGTTCTTGGCCTGGCCACCGTAGTATCCCCAGTCTAATGATGTGATGATCTCCTTCGGTCCCAGCGCATGCTCGCATTGTAGTCGACCGGTGTTGGTGTCGTGGATGCGCAGATGCTGCGCATCGAGTCCTTGGATGACCGAGGCGAACAGGGCCAATTGGTACTCGGAAGGCGAAAATGCAGCTCGAAGAATAGAAGACTTGGTAGGTTGCGTGAGGCCAGCGGCTAGCGACGCGGCCGAACCGACCTTGGTGGTTGGGCGAGATGACTTCTTAGCCATTTTGTTGGAGGTTTTTTTTTTCTTGGCCTTCTGTTGGAGTTGCTTCTGGATTTTCTGATATCTGTAGGTTGATCAAAGTTGAAATATAGAGTTCCCTAAAGCACAAGGAGACACCTGAGAAGACTTTTTTTCACAAACCCTGGGGAACAAAGGGCTGGGGGCTCTGGTACTCTGATGGTCTCGTAGTCGATGCGGAAAGGAAAAAAATGTTCTGTAGACTCCCGGTCCAGGCGCTAGTCCTAGATTGGTTTAGTGGGAGTGAGGTCCTTATCTAATCAGCACGGGAGGATCGTAGCCTGACTTTCCAGACTTGGAAGGGGGAAAAAGTACCTTCAAGTTGATTAAAGACTACTAAAAATATTTCCATTTGATGATCCATGTACATGCCAATTGACTACATGGTTGATGCCTTCAATCAGATCTTGCTTCTGGGTCTACGGGTGTTTCAAGTCCAACATTCAAGACTCAAGTGATGAGTTCCGGGAAACGTTGGAAGCAATCTATCTGGAATACATACTAGTAACCTTCGACCTCACATTTCAAACCTTGGAATGCTCAGATTTTCGAGTTCTGAATCCATGGATTGTAAAATTGCACCTGTAACGTTGAAGGTTGGGAGCCTCTAGTAGAACATTTCGTCCATCTACACCACCTGAGCAAGTTAGATATGCACTCACCATATATCTAGACCAGGTTCAAATGTTCCCAGGCTCGAGGCATGCACATGATATTGTACGAGCTTGAGAGACATTTTCAACATTTCAACAAAGGTTTCATTTGGACATTCAATGTTGGTTCTCCAAGATTCAAACATTGAATGTTCCAAGTCTCCGCACATCAAAATACATATATTGTATACATCTATAGATGTCTTGTGGAAAATAACATTTGAACATTTGAAGTAACTCTTCAGAGGTTAGCCTTGGAACCTCATAAACATTCTTCGGTCCAGTTATTATATAATCTTAAAGGTATTCAACATAATGTTTGAACATCAAATATTCAAATTTTATGCATAGACGCGGAACCTGATATGGGCTGATAAACGCTATATATACATGTGTAGTAAATATAGATCAAATTCGAACAGATATCTGGACGGACATCGGAATATTGAAGGGATATTCTATAATACTGTGCATTTAATGTTAGTAGTAGTCAACAGGTATCTGTATAATATTTAACTTTCAAATGTTCAAATGTCACTTTCTCAAGTTAATCTCAGTTAAACAAGTTTTTTTTTTTAGAATTTTATATATATACTATATAAACTAAATATTAGGAACTCAATATTAGGAAATTACCTATACTAGTACTTATTACATGTATATGCTATACTACATATATCGCACATGTGCACAGGAAGTACAACCTTGGAAACCTTTTTTTTTTTTTTTTTTTTTTTAAATATTGGTCTGGCGTTTTACATGTTATATACATGTTACTGCGTATTTAATTAAATACTATCTGAAATGTCAAGTTTATAATATTAGAAACATGGAATGCGTTTCATTGTTGTCAACAGTGATAGACCTCAGATCAGTGCCTCGATGAGCCTCAGCCCAGGTGGTCGAAGCTGGCACTCATGCCTAGTAGGCATGCTCCTTTGAAAAGAACCTTCTATTTTGAAGGTTAAAGTGACTCATAAAATTGACAGTGAGATTAACCTTTGATATTTTCTTTGTCGCCGATCTTCTTTATACATATCCACTTTACTTACTTCAAGATTTGACTTGAGTATAACTTGTCATGATCTGGCCACATGTGACCAACTCTGCCTAATCTGTAAGGGCCCAAAGTGCAGCCTCGCCCGATTGGCTGTGCAGTCAGCCGCAGACCACTTTTTATTTGATTGATTTCAAAATTGCCGTAATAAGTGGACAAAGGGGGGGCCCATGACAGCTAGGGGGGATTCCACTTGGTAGTTAAAAATATCTTCAGCAAGGACATTAAAGGACAACATCCACATTCAAAAGATAGTGCGGAGTATATCTCCTGTACGGAGTGTACGGAGGCTACTAAATACACAGCTTGTCGAGACTCGGCCACGCCAAGGCAAAAGGTCACGTGCATGACGTCTGGAAGTCAACTCGTCACTGACGCTAAACTGCTTTCAGGGATAACCCTAGGGTTGGCAACACCCAGGCATGAAAGCCTTCTCTGGTATGAGCCCGGAGGTATCCCTCGCATGGCAAAGAGTCACAGATTGACCATCCATCCCAAAGAAAATTGAGAACTAATAAAAATACGAGTGAATTAAGAACAATAAACATCGACTTTACAATCACCCCGGTATCCGTTCTTTCTATTCTTATCTTTCTCAGGTCGTACCCCATTCACGGAGTCAATGATGAAATGAAAAATTTTCAGTACCATACTCAAGACCACCCAATCAGCATGAAGCATCCAGGGGTCGCATCAAGGCAGCGCCAATGAAAAAGGGGTGGACCCGGTTGGATTTGGTCTAGCGTGGCTGGTGGAACTTACAGGAGGAGAGAGCAAGGCGGCCGTCTGTACTTAAGGATTCTGGCATCCCCATCCGCTCGATGTTCTGCTTCCGTCCTGGACTAACTCTGCTGCTGACCGCCCGTATCCTTGGTTACCTGGTCTTGCCCTCTAAACATTAAAAACACGCGCTATTTCGCGTCGACGCGTGACCCTTTTTGTTAAGGCTCCCTAACCTCCCCATTCTCCTTTTCTTACTTGACTTTTTCCCTTTTCTGCCCTTCTCTTTTTTTTTTTTTGAGATTAATCTTTTTTTTGTCTGAAATCGTTTTTTATATTCCTTTTCCTTTTTTCTGAGATCCACTTTCCTCTTTTCTCACAACTCCCCCCTGTGCTTACAACTTGAAAGCAATCCGTGAGCTTGTTCACCGGGTTTCTACCTACTTCGGTGTTCTCTCACCGCCCACGTGATTACCTCACCACTTTCTTGGCGCTATAAATTCCTCACCTCCGATCGCATTCTCCACTTCTCTTATCCCCCGACTCTCTCCTTATCACGCTGCGCTTTCTCTCTCCGCGTTTTCCCTCCGCCCCTCTCCGCGTTTTACCTCCGCCCCTCTCACAGCTTGCGTGTGATTGTGCGCGGAAGTGTGTATCCAATCCTCTTCAAGAAATTCTGTGAACGCGTCCATCCCCAAGAACCCAGTCTCCGTGACATCACCATATAGCTTGTATCTACGCCCTCTGGATACTATTCTTCATGGCGACTCCGCCTCCCGAGGCTCCTCCTGTGCTTAAGGAGGAGAAAACCCAGCTCCCTCCATCTCCTACGGCGCCTGATGTTGCGCCTACCAGGTGAGTGCTCGCTATGCATGCCTTTGGTTGCCTACCTGGCAATGTAGGCTGATTTGATCGCGTTACCTTCAGTGCGACCACCGATGTCAAGATGGCCGGTATGGATACCCCTATCGAAAACAACACAGCCGTAGTCAATGGTAATGGCCATGCGCCTGCTGCTTCTACCAACGGAACAGGCAGTGCTGTATCTCCCCCCAAATCACCCGCCCCCGTTGTCGACGCATCAGCTGCTCCCGCGCCAGCCCACGATACCCCTGCCGAGCCCACCGTGCACGACCAGAAGCGATCCGAAGCGGCGACCCCAGCTCAGTCGCAAGCTCCCGAATCCGTGATTCCCGCTGAGAAAGTTGAGGAGGATAAGGCTACCCCTAAGGAGCCGGCTCCTACTCCTGTTGGCGCTTCGGCAGGTTCATTTGATGGGACAAATGATATTGAAATGCGACTTGATGGTCCATCAGATGCGCCTGCAGCACAGCCTTTGAAAACAGAACTTCCTCATCACCCTACTACAGAGTCTGCGACCCCAGCCCTGCCACCCCTTCGGACAGATTATGAAATGAAAGATGCACCCATTGCACCCCCTTCCCCATCCAAAGCCTCCCGCGAACGCTCGGAAGATCGCGCCGAAGAACCTGCGGCCAAGCGTACCAAGGTGACCAGCGAAAATGGAACACCCGCCATCAAGCTTCAGGAAGCGCCCAAACCCGCCGCTGAGAACCCCCGCTCCAGCCAGTCTGGCGTCACTAAGGTGCAACACAAATTCCTTACGAAGTGCGTCTCGAGCTTGAAGCGCATGCACGACTCACGCTTCTATCGCGAACCCGTGGATCCTGCGAAGCTGAACATCCCAAACTACACTCAAGTCATTACCCGACCCATGGATTTGAGTACAATCGAGAGCAAACTGAAGGACAATTTGTACACTTCCCCACAGGCTTTTGAGGAGGATTTCGCTTTGATGGTCAACAACTCTATGACCTTCAATGGCCCGGATCACCTGGTTACCATGGAGGGTGTCAAGCTGAAGAAAACTCTCGATAAGCAGATGCTCAGCCTTCCTAAGGCTGATGAGGTGGAAGAAAAGAAGCCCAAGAAATCTTCTGATAAAACTTCAGCTCCACGACGGGAGCCTCGCACCTCCCTTGGCAGCCAAACCGTCAAGGCAGCCTCACCCCAGAGTGCTCCCACTACTTTTGCGCTGGGTCCTGAGGGCTTGCCTACTATTCGTCGCGACTCATTCAACCCCGATGGTCGCCCAAAGCGCTCTATCCACCCTCCTAAGCGGGACCTGCCGTATTCCACCAAACCAAAGAAGAAGAAATATCTTTGGGAGTTGCGGTTTTGTCAGGAAGTCTTGGATGAACTCCACAAGCCCAAGCATCAACTTATTGCACTTGCTTTCTACTACCCCGTGGACCCCGTTGCCCTCAACATTCCAACCTATCACAACGTGATTAAAAAGCCGATGGACTTGATGACTATTCAAAGCAAGCTCAAGACTGGCCAGTATGAGAATGCCAAGGAGTTCGAATCAGACATCCGCTTGATGTTTAAGAACTGTTGGCGGTTCAACCTCAAGGGAGATCCGACATACCTAGCTGGCGAGAGCCTATCAGAGGTTTTTGATAAGAAGTGGAGAGAATTGCCGGCATTCCTCGAGAAGCATGACCCTCCCCATGAGCAGGAAGCTGATTCGGACGAAGAAGAAAGCGAGGAAGATGCGGAAGAGAGCGAGAACGAGGATAACGAGAAACTCAGCTTGCTGCAGAAGCAGATCGCAGAGATGTCGCGTCAGGTGGAGATGATCACGCAAAGGAAGAAAAAGACACCCCCAGCTAAGAAGGCTAGCAAGCCTAAGTCGGGCAAGAAGGAAGTCAAGAAGAGCGGCAGTACTAGTGGCAAGAAAGACAAGAAGAGCAGCAGCAGTGGTAAGAGCTTCAAGGATAAGACGCGCTTCGTGTCTTATCATGAAAAGCAGATCATCTCCAATGGGATCAGTAGCCTTCCCGACAAGAAGATGCATGAGGCTCTTGGAATTATCCAGAGTAACGTTCCTGCTCTCAAGGTAAGTCTCAGTAGACTTTTTTTTTTGCTCCCATATCACCCCCAACGTCCAGTCACTTACTTGTTCTTGCAGGGTACCCAAGAGGCCGAGATCGAGCTCGATATCGATGAACTACCGAACCCTGTTTTGCTGTTGCTTCTTGATTACGTCAAGAAGAACGTTCCAAACATCATGGATGACGAGGATAATGCCCCGACTGCTGGGTATGCGGCCCCTAAGCCGAAAAAGAATAAGCCGATGAGCAGCAACGAGCAAGAGGCCCGGATTAATACGCTTCAGAGCAATCTTTCCCGGTTCTCTGATGGAGGTGCCCCTATGCCATCGGTCGAGCATAACGAGTCCAGCGAGGATGAGTCGGACGAGGATTCGGAGGAAAGCGAGGAGGAGTGAATGCTCTGTGGACCGATCGTTGCTGCCTCTCAAGGCGCAAGAGACATCTTGCTTTGATTTGCGTTCTGAGCGTTAATTTGTTTTCTCCCTTCCTCGTTTCTTTTCGAAGTTGCAGCCAGATCTTTCATGGCCCAAAGCAACTCGAGGGTTTGCAGTTGCTACAATTTTTAACCATGCAGCTCTTATTTCTTTCTGGTTCATGCAGTGTGCCAGTCAGAAAAAAAAAGCCCTCTCATTGTAAATATTTTATTTCCCCCCCTTTTTTCACCCCATCTTATCTTCGAATATCCCTGGATTCGGCACCTACAGCCTCGACTCCGCTGGGCTTCAATCTTGACACCTTTTCGCCCTGGATCTTTGGGGATGGATTTGCTTGAACTTTATCTGCATCTTCTCTCTCATCTTTCCAACAATACTCAAGTGTTCATCTCATCCTATCGAATCCCTTTGCTCATTAGAAGGGAAACTTGCTTCTCGGTATGAGAATGGGGAAGAAGTGGATCAAGCTGAGCCTGAAGCTGGTGTGCAGCTTCATCTGTACGATAACGAAAGAAACGTGGAATGCCAAAATCGGTTATCAGATAGTATTTTTTATCATTCAATAATGCATTCCCTTTTATCCAATGTTAGTCACTAGTATATACTACATAATCAAGTGCCCATTTTGATGCGCGGCAAGATATTATCGCGGTTACCTCCGTACTGTAGCTCCGAGTCTGTTCTGCAGTTGATCTACTATTCCGTTTGGCGGTGAACCTTTCTTTTCCCCATACCACCATGATTCCCCCTTGCGACCCCTCCATTCTGGAACACAATCCCCAATTCAAACGACTTTATGAGAATCTCACGACTAATTTATTGAATCCCGATGGGTCAAGTCGTGCCAAGGCAGACCCAGCCCGGGAGGCCATTGTGGAGGTTAGTGATAACTTGTGAACAGTACAAGAGCTGAGATCTAATCTTTATTTCAAAAAGGACTTGAAGTCATGTCAAGTAAGGAGCGCGAAGAAGAGAATCAAAGAGCGTACACTCAGGCAGCTGGCGTTTGCGTCCGACAGCGAGCTTCGTGATGAGGTGGGTAACCTAATACGCTTACCTGGGATGATTGCAACTAACCCACTGGAACCAGTGCCATGAGAACCTTGCCATAATATCGATCTACCTTGATACTCCTCGAGCAGCCATTGAGTCCGAAACTCCCGCACAAGAACCTCAAGATGTGAAGCAAGCAGAAGGACAAGACGACATCCTGTCCCTTCTTTCCCACGAATTCGAGACTTTCTACTCCAACATTCCCACCTTTATCCAACAATTCTCCCAAATCCTCTCCAGTGCACTTCACGACCTTCGTACAATAGCAGCGATATCTACCGATGACCCCGCAGCCATTGAACCGGAGCCAGAATCTAAAACATCACGCACCCTTCCCGCCCTAGCCCGATCCTCCTCAAACCACCACTCTCGCGCCCGCGCTCGAGACCGCCGTGTCAGAACGTCAATGGCTCCTGTTCCGCCTCTGTCTACTATACTTCGGGCTCGAGTCCAGGCTCTCCGCGATATTCAGCTATCCGAACTACCTTTAGCGCGGCGCCAAATGGCCGCGGCGGCTGCAGAGGTAATCTCAGTACAGGCTCGGGTACTAGAGCGGACGATTGTTCTTCTGGAGCGGGTTAAGCACGGAGCTCTGGCAAGGGCAACAAGGGCACGAGCTGATCATTTGGCCATTGTGGCGCAGGGGGTTGAGGGAAAATTAGAGTGAGCCATGATCCCTTTCCCTTCAAAAATCACACCTACTGGTGTTAGAGAATAGTGTCATCGAGAGTTGAAAAAAAAAACGTGATTGCTAATCTCGGAAACAGGGTCACTAAGCTTGAAATCGCAGCTACGCTATACACACCCGAGACACTGTCTGCACTTGGTCGATATAAGCAACACCTTTGTGAGACGAGAGTGCGGCTTGATGAGCGGAGTGAGATAGCCACTGAAGAGTTGAGACGTTACGGAGATGTTGAGGGTGCGACCTCTGAGTCTGGCAATATAGACCGGAGTAGCACTCTGGCGGAAATTGCGCGAAGATACGGAGTCCTTGCTAAGGAGGTCGAAGGGGTGAAAATGGAGATTGCTAGGCTGGGCGAATAGATAATAAATACCGATTCAGGCTTCATGGACAGTAATGTTAGTTATATGTTCAGTTCTTGGTAAGCCGGATCCATCAACCTTTAGACCTCCACTAAGCATTGCAGGCTCGGAAGTGATACATTGATGCTGCTGTACTTTGGTCACAAGACCTCCATTATTAACAAGGTTAAAGTTTCCTTCAAATCATGGCTTCCGAGTACCTGACAGTATACAATCGTTATAAGAACCAATCAAAACCCCCATAGATTGATATCCTATCACATGACTCCCCCGCCAAAATTTAGTCCGCCACCGAGAATAATAAATATTTCTCACATTCACAAACCCTTCAAAGCCGCAGTTGAGCATTCAAATTCCTTCAAAATGGCCGACGACTCCCTTTCCATCTATGATGAGATTGAAATCGAAGACATGACCTTCGATCCTGCCATGCAGATTTACCATTTCCCCTGCCCGTGCGGCGACCGTTTCGAGATCGCCATCGACGATCTGCGCGACGGAGAGGACATCGGCGTGTGTCCGAGTTGCAGTCTGATGATCCGAGTGATCTTTGATGTGGTATGTAATAGCTTTAATCTTCGTTGCCTTCACTTCGTTATGAGCGGACTGTTTTCTTTTGACCGGCGTGCTGACATGTTTCCTTTCTTCTAGGCCGATCTCCCCAAGGCGGACACCCAGCAGACTGGCGTTGCTGTGCAAGCGTGAAGGACACGAGACTCAAAACTGAAGTTTACACCTTACGCCAAGGCGAAACCGGAGAGGCGCACATTACAACCATATTCGAGCATGAACGATACCCGTGTTCCTTGCAGCGTCAAGCCTGTCGTTCGGGGTCCTTGACTCGTGTTGCCTGCTCCGAAATTCGCATGCGCGTGCCAGTAATAAAACGTCCTCAACTTGCCTTATCGCTGGATACTGCTGGACCATCCATTTACCCCCGTCGAGCATTAGCGCTGTCAGTACTGGGTCGCCTGCGATCATGCCGCCTTCAACGATGTTCCCGTTCGCGGACCAAGGCTGACTAGTCGCGAATCTCGCCTTGACTTGAGGAAGGGTTTGAATGGGTGACCCTCCTTACACTGAGACATTCTCACACCCAACTTGCTGATCAAGGCCATACGATCCAACAAATTGATATCAGATAGCCAACACCGATAAACTAGAGCATGGTCATCTAGTTCAAATCCAATACCTAAGTTGATACGTCGCATGACAAAAAGTCCTGAATTCCATTCACGCACATAAAACTACAATATGTCACAAGACGCCGATAATATAGTATGTCCTCTCATGAGGTAAGCTGCCAGTGGGTAACCGCAGATTTAATCATCAAGCAGGACTCCATAGATATCCTTGGGCAAAGCCAACGACATCTCCCCATTCAGGATCTCTGTCAGGTTACTTCCATCACGCAGGTAAATCCACTGCCCATGCGAAAACTCGCGAGTATCCTGCTTCTCGTGCATGCGATCACCCTCGAGAACCCAGTCAAAGCGCTTCGGTCCAGAGATGGGTGAGCTGAGCCAAATCTGTCGGTTGGGGGGCTGCTTGTTGAGGACGTAGCTTCCTATCGCGGGAATGGTGATGTTGAGAACACCGGCCTGCGATGGAATTTGAATGAGAACCAGAACGGAGAAAGATAAAAAAAGACCAAAAGCAAAGATAATGCTTCAGTGGGTGGAGAGAGAGAGGCAGAAAGAGCTCCTCGGCCCACTAGAAGCAACACTCATCCACGAAGAAATCCGGCACGAGACCCAAAGAGAAAACTTACACTGTATTCAGCCTCAACATCCGAACCTTCCTCCTGCGCCTTCTCCAGCTCCGCAATCAACACATTGAAATAATGTTCCGAGTAATCATGATACTCCTCCGGCGTCAACGACGAAGGCTCAGTAACGTGCGACGCCGCACCAGCAACCGGTGTATTCGGAGGACGGGGGTTCTCAGAGTCGGGCTGAATACCCTTGGCTCTGGTGGCAGAGGCGTGGAAAGGACGGCTTGGAAGCTGGGAGCTACGGCGAAGAGCAAAAGCGAGAGCGGGCCGGGATTGCGGGGTTGTGAGGGGATTGGGGTGAACGGTGCGGCTGGCCAAACGGAGAAGACGGGGTGCGCTGCGGGAAAGCATGATGAGGAGTTGGAATATGTATGATGGGTTATGCAGTGGTTTTTGAGGTAGATTGGAATTAAAGCTGGAGCTGTTTGCGGGTGGAGAGAGCAATACATCATCGGTTTTTCGGGGCTACCGCCTTCTTGTTTGGGGTTGATTGGTGATGAGGGGATTTTGGGTTTAGATGACTAATTGTTGATTTTTGATTTGTAGATTGAATTGTCATTTTGCCTTGTTCTCTAACAATATTCCCTGATATTTGGGCTCGATGGATCTTGAGGATTTGAAGGGGGGTTGTATTGAATATGAGGTTGATGTCCTATGGATGACGAGTGGATTTTATGGAAAAACCATACTACTAGAAGCTAAGGTACTAGGTACTAAGGTATGCCACTCCAAATATTGACCATTGGCTACTAGTCTCATTGTCTACTGGCCAGGTGATTAGAATAGGAAGTTTTCTTGTATAGCAGGCAAGTGGATTAAAAAGCAGCAATTTGAACTAACTAGTCAATTAGTTAGCTTAACATTGAATGCTCACCAATGACTCCTTCTATACTCCGCAGAAACTCGGCGAGCTCGGCGAGGGGTGACGTGAGAAGTAAATTTAGATAAATAACTAAAATTTGAAGCTTCTGGCTATCTACGAGCCTATCGCTTCTTCTCTCCTTGCAGCAGTTCACCCGCATCGCTGAAGTACATAGTAGATGGCCAAAAATCCCAAGACATGCATGAAGTAGACAAGTAATCTCATCCTCAATAAAAACAATTAATCATTCTTAGAAGAATGTCCACCCATCAAATACATATTTCTAAATTTGCCGCCCATTCCTCTTATCTTTTGTATCTCCGTAAACTCCGTCCAAAACCATAGAGGAATGATCAATCCGAAGAACCACTTTTCCAACGGCCCCAACGTTTCCATCAGCAGCGGCCAGTGCCAAGTCGCATAGCCTATGAGCACAGTCCACTGAATGCATCGCCCAATGGCTGCCGCGAGTGAAGTGGCCTTCACAACAAATTGACTCGCCCAACGAGCTGGCGGAGCGGTGTAGTAAAGTAAAAACACAAGGTCGCTCAGCCCGTCTGTCAATCCAGGTCCAAATACGATCATGAGCGCAAAGAACTGCACAACCAGAGTGTGAACACCTCCCCTAGCAACGGGTTGTAGCGCACCATCTGCAGAAATCGTGTCTCGGCCGTAAAACCAGTAGTAATAATTCATAGATTGCAGGCCAATATGGTGAAGAGACAACTCCAAGCCACAGGGACGATAGAGAGCCTCAAAGACGTAGCATATTGCCATCAAAAACCATACTTGAAACTGATATTCAGCATTGGACTGTGTAGTTTCGGAAATGAATGTCGTTCGTAGGGGCGCAGCATCCGTGGAAAAAATCTTCAGAAACCACGACCAGTCAATTGTAGGTACGAGTAGTAGCATGACTATTGTCTTGAGGACCAGGACAGGTATAGCAGTGTAGAGTTGTTTTTGGCGACGAGGAGAATGAGATTTCATGCGAGGAATCAGCACGAGCATAGCCATTTGCATGCACTTGCTAGCGAGATATAGGACAAGAAATTCCGAAAGAATAACAACTTGCATAGTGTGAGGATCTTTGTACCATTCTGGGACTTTCGTCAAAACATGCTGGTAGAGGGTCCCCATTCTCTCTTCAAAGTTTGAATGCCGGATCTGTAGACTGCAAAATGTATTGAATAAAATAATAAAGTGCATGTAAAATGAAATGCCGAAAGTTCTGACTAGCTTTATTTAAATCTGCACTTGGCCTGCTCTTCTCCTGAATAAAGCGGTCTTAATGCCTGAGGAGGAACGCTTATCACGTCAGCACTAAAATGGCCTGCAGGCTGCTATACCCTATGCGATTAGTAGGGAGAATTTTAGCTCATTATTCATATTCCCGAACACTAGTTTTAGTGCTGACGTGATAGAAATTTGGATCTTTTCCGTGGCACTTGTTGGATTTGGTCTTAGCAAGCCCGTCAGGTCATGCTGTTAAATAAGAGGGATCATGATCCATAACTGAGATGAGAGGCCTGTGACAAATTTTATTCATGCTTCCATAAGTCTTCAACCTTGGAAAGATAGTACACATATCTCACCTTTCACCCTTCAAATTGAAAACAGTCATTATGCCAGAATCTTTGCCTTCAACGACTCCGTCAGCTGCATTGCCGCTCCCTGAAGTCAAAGTATTGAATGCAGGAACAACGACAACTGATGAGGTTGTTGAAGCATTACGAGATGCGGGTGGCTGCATAGTCAGAGGTTTAATTGGGACTGCACATGTGGATCAAATCGAGAAAGACTTGCGCCCGTACCTGAATGCTGATAAATCTTGGGATGGTATGTATCGCTGTACGTTTCCAAGGTCGGTATTGAGACACTTAAAATTGACACGGAATAGGGAAATTTTATCCTCCTGAAACGCGTCGTTGCTGTGGATTGTTGGGCAAGAGTCGTACTTTCGCGCTGCAAGTTATTGGGAATCGGCTGTGGAATGATGTTTGCGACGCCTTACTCACGAGCACACTCTCAACCAATTGGGTAAATTTTATATTCCTCCCCACATGCAACATTTGAAGCCATCCATAGCTGTGTTTTTTTGGGGCCGCTGTATATATCAATGGGGTTAACGGATATGATCTTGGAACAGGTTGGAAATGACATTGAAGAAAGCATCTCTCACCCACAATTGAGCAATACGATATGCTTTAGTATCGGGCCCGGTGCAGCCGATCAACCTCTCCACCGCGACGACGATGTGCACCATCACCATTTAAAAGCTGTTGGTAAACACGAAATTGGCCGCGATGTAGGAGTTGGGCTGTTTGTGGCTGGCAAGAAGGCCACCAAAGCGAACGGAGCGACGAGGTTCATCCCTGGCTCCCACTTGTGGGATTATTCTCAAGGCCCTCCCCGCGAGGAGCAGACTTTTTATGCGGAGATGCAACCAGGGGATGCTTTCTTCATGCTGAGTGGCTGTTTCCATGGGGGTTCTGCGAATCGAACAGAGAATGAAGAGCGGCTGATGTATTCCTGCTTTTTTACTAGAGGTTGGTTACGACAAGAGGAAAATCAAGTAAGTGTCATTCGGTCAACTATACTCGGCTATTCAAGAAACTGACAACCATTCAGATTCTTGCGAACCCCATTGAGGCAATTCGTGTCCTTCCCGAATGGCTTCAAGAACGGGTTGGTTTCGGCCTTAGCCGACCTTTCTTGGGCTGGGTGGATTTGGCAAATCCAATGCATATCCTACACCCAGAAAAAATCAAGCAAAGGGATTTATGGTAGTGAAAAGATATCATTGTTTGTGGTGTTACGTATAGGGCTTCAGTCAAAGTGCCCAAGTGCTGGCAGGCGATGAGTCAAGGTAACTTAATGGCGTTCATTATAATTACTCCCATGGGTTAGGTGACTAAACAAAATCCCATCAACAAATAAAAACTTTCTTGAACCCATAAACCTCTTTTAAAAGAGCATAGGTATCTCTCACTCCGTACAGTCTTGATTTTCAAGTTCCAAAGCTGTAGCGATATCTAGCTTGGGCAGTGGCGGGTGAACTTGCCCGGTCATCTGTCCACTAGGTTCACAACGCGCTTCTACCACAACTTCACGACTTCCATCGTTTCTGCTTCAAAGCGCTCATACCTTATACTAATCGTCGAAATTAAACTGCTTCTGCCAAGCCACAGCTTCTTTCCAATCGAGTTATTCCCTATATCATGACGAAGAGAAATATCGACCTTCATGTGCTGGAGCAGTCAGACTTAACTGAGGGTGAAGCGGATGTTCTTCGCATCTTGAACGATGCCTTGATGTCTCAAGCTGACCTCATCATCAGCAAAGCTAGCTAGGTCCCTGCGGCAACATATTCCCTCGCAAGGATCTGCACCGTCACAAATCGCCTCTGATATCCTTTGGGATCTCTGGGTGATGGTATTGGATGTGGTGAGAATTGTGCCCATCGACCACCAGTGGCATGAGATTTTGACTGCAGCTGCTGATGATTTTTGGTGGCAACAAGCACAGGCAACTCTCGTGGAGTCTGCAGAAATCCAAATCAACTCGAGAGGGTACTCTTTTTAGAGACCTTGTCTCTGCCCTATTTCTCCGCTTACTTTATATAGTCAAAAATTCGCCTCTTTGCAACTGGTTCCATAGCTCAGTTGGTTAGAGCGTCGTGCTAATAACGCGAATGTCGAGGGTTCGACCCCCTCTGGGACCATTGTTTTTTTTCAATCCTCTTCTACCAGTTGGGTTCTGATCGATCTTATCGTCTTCTATGAATCAGCTGTCTCCTTCACCTAGTTATCACTTTCTTATGCAAATCAGATCAAGCCATTGCAGCCCTCAAAAACCATGTGCCAGATCTCATCAAGAGGGAATGGAAACCTGCAAAGGATATACATATCTATTTGTCTCTTCCTTCCTGGAGGCATTGAGACTGAAGGTGAAGCTTTGAAAAGATTCCAAGATTGTCGGATACCCCAAGCTGGAGTTGAGACTATAGACTACTAGATAATGCCCACGTGCACAGGATAGAGACTAAGGGTACTGGACTCAGGTGAGATTGGGTCTAATCCATACCAACAGCCCCGGGGACATGTGGACCATTGGAAACAACCTTAGAAGAAAATATTTCGAAGGCTTTGATAACCTTGGTCTAAGGAGACATCTATTAATTATCTATATTGGTAGGTAATCATGTATATATCAAAATCTGCCTAGGCAATGAACACCCCAACATCACGTAATTCACGTTTGAAGTTTCATCCAAGGGTCCACTAAAATGACAAAAAAAAGCCCCACAGCCAATCGGGCAAAAGAGGATAAGCCCTAACAGCCAATCAGATTAAATAGAAGTCCACTGGTACTTGATGCATTCTTTCATCCGGAATTGGGACCTCTGGAGTCTGGACTAACACTGTTAAAAGGTCATGACACAAGCTGTTTGAATGCTATTATTGTTATGCATCTGTGCGTAGATTGTGAAGCCTGAGACTATAGTGATCCATGGATAGTATTAATCTCACCGCCCTGCTCGTGCTGCTTTTCCCTCCCTCTCCAGCTCCGTTGCTCTCTGTTCTATACTACCAGGTCTTCTGGTTCATTTATGTGTGCTTGGAAAGTCTTGGCTTCTTATCAAGGGAAATCATACAGCTTTAGCATCATATAGTCAAAAGTTCGCCTCTCTGCAACCGGTTCCATAGCTCAGTTGGTTAGAGCGTCGTGCTAATAACGCGAATGTCGAGGGTTCGACCCCCTCTGGGACCATTATTTTTTGTCAATTCTCAAGGTAAGAAGACCTATAGTCGTCTTGTAGGAATTTTTGGCATTAAGCGAACATTTTTTTTTCCTTAGTAAGGACAACCTTGGAACACACAACTCATGATCGAATTATCCATTGCTTCGAGTTCTATATCATCTAAGCCAAATATGATATAGATCGGAGGGTATATAGTATAAAACTATACAACATGCATAGTAAATAACCTTGGAAGTAGTACTTGAGGGCTAAAAAACGAATCTTCATGATTGAATGTGTGGTTTAGATGCATAAAAAATGGTCCCAGAGGGGGTCGAACCCTCGACATTCGCGTTATTAGCACGACGCTCTAACCAACTGAGCTATGGAACCAGTTGCAAAGAGGCGAATTTTTGACGATATGAGGCAGTCAGGTTAGTAGGGCCGGGGTTGAGTGCGTTTTTCAAGTATGCATGGATGCCTGAGGCACAACTTGGAAGCATCAGACCCAATCTATACAACGATTTCATGACCAAAGCCATTCAATTCAACCAATTAAATTTGTGATATCCATCTTCCTGAAACCCCGATTTCTTGGCAATTATATTCCCATCATGATCTAGCCTAGAATTGGTCAAATTCAAAGACAAGGCTGACTTCAATTTCCCAGGGTGTGGAGAACATAGCTTCCTGTCCGCTCGGCCATAATATGGGTTTCTAAATAATTCGACTGAGAAATACCAACAATCTAACGTAAGAAGCAATAAGTTAATCAAGAGTGGCTACTATACTTTTCTCTTCGCATACTGTTCTGCAGTTGGCAATAGTCAGACGGGAAATATTTCAGCCGCAATCTGGGAAATATACTGATAGCGCTTGAATTGCATGATCCAGTAGGTTCAGGTTAGACCTAAAGCCTGGCGGCTATAAAGAGGTGAAGTTGACCGCTTTTAAGCGGGGCAAATCCCCCCATCTTTCTCAAGCTTCACACGTCCCCAATTTCAAACTTGGATGTTCCAAGTTCTATTACATTAGTTCAATATGGCTCCAGAAATCGCTCAAATTGAGGATCTAGACTTCTCAGCAGAGGCTTTCGACCCAGAAGTCAACACGTTCCTATACACTTCCTTCAGCAAAGTGGAAGAGGATGATAGCGTTTTCTTTGGCCAGATACTAAAGCGCAAGCGGTTTATTAACCCACAAGAATACACCACTGCTCTGAGGAGGATTCCAGACGAAGAAATATACCCAAAATTTACGCCATATGGTGACATTCACGCTGTTTATGATGGGAAGGACCCATTACCTAGCAACGTCTACCTTAAACGACCACGTCTATTTGTCTACGATGACTACAAAGAGCAAGATGCAGTTGATATAATCCCGGCTCTTCTTCTAGAAGAAGCACATATCTTGGAAACTCTATCAAAGAATCCCCATCCTGGTATTATCAAATATTATGGATGTCGTACCCAAAGAGGTTTCATTACTGCTCTAGCTCTGGAGCGTCACCCCAGTGACTTGAAACGATACATCAAAGACAAAAAAAGTCCACTCGACCAGGAAAAATTCATGGTTGCCCTCGAGTCGGCTATAAATCATCTGCACTCTCTTGGGTTTGCCCATAACGATATCAACCCTGCCAACGTTTTACTTGACCATGCACAAATGCCTGTTCTTGTGGATTTCAACTCATGCAAGCCAATTGGAGAGAAACTCACGTATAGTCGGGGGACTCTCAGTTGGACTGATGAAGAGGATGAGTGGGATACATCGGAGACCCGTCATGATTTCTTTGGGATGGAGAAGATTCGAGAGTGGCTTAAGATATCTGCAGAAGTCCAGTAAGGAGTTGTTTGAGTTTTACCTAAGTTTCGTTGTGTTTCTTTTAAGAAGATTTCGCGCAGACTTTCTGGTACAAAAGAGGTCTGTAATGGCCAGATTTGAATATTTCATTGGGAGAAAGGTGCTTCAAAAGTAGCTCCGTAGTAGGCAGTATCAGCGTTTCATCATTTCGCCTTTTCTCTCTTCTCTTAAGTGCTTCTTCTTACTGCCAAAAGGCTATAGAAGGAGCAGAAGAAGTGAGGTAACTCATGCGGGCGCATAGACACGGAAGAACATGCATAGGAACGTACTAGATCTATAAATCAGGGGAAAAGTGTAGACTCGAACGCCCGAGTCTTCCAGTCTCCCCGTACTGTCATGTTGAATCAACTTTGAATCCACCAAAACATGTAATTTAGAACTTCCAAATCACCCAAATTACCAATATTAAATGCACACATGTGCATGCATGTGGACTTAATCAAGGTTGCACCTCCTTCCAGATGTCATGTCCGATGGATTATATTACTAGCAATTCAATGTCAACATTAAACATTGGGAACTGAAGAATGTCAAGCTTCTTTCTCGCCGTTACGTTTGAATAGAATACAGTGAAATATATACCAAAGTGTAGAGGTTTCAAAGTATTGGTATAAACATTTAAAGAAAGATACAAGCATATCACAGGAGCAAATATCACCAATACACTATTTCCCCCTCTTTATAACACCAGTTGACCTCATCAGGACAGCCATAGAGAAATAAAATTCAACACAACAAGCAAGGAAGAAATGAATTCGTACTTTGATTCAGAAAACACAAGAAACACACAGACAGGGAAGAAAAGTTAAAAAGGAGAAACAAAGAGAAACAAAGAGAAACAAAGAGAAACAAAGAGAAACAAAGAGAAACAAAGAGAAACAAAGAGAAACAAAGAGAAACAAAGAGAAACAAAGAGAAACAAAGAGAAACAAAGAGAAACAAAAAGAAAGGAACAGTCTCAAGTCGTCACTAGTAGAGTCTCTGCTGCATGTGTGCCTGGTGATTCATAGACGAAAGCCTGAGGTACGGACGGAAGCTAGCCTCAGGCTTCCTGAACTCAGTTCGAGTACTTATCATGCGTGACACAAAAGCGACTCGCAGGAAGCTATCGATCCCAAGAGTCTCAGACTAGCCGGCCCTTAAGATGTTTCCATCCCCTCTGGATAGCGTGGAAAAATATCCGTGCCCTAGATGACTTGTATTTGAAGTTTCCATGGCCGTCTATATTGTTTTTGGGGTTCCAAGTCAGCTCAGGTTGCCTATGCGATGTTGTGCCCAACTTTGAAGAATCAAAGAAGCGATCAAGCTCGGCATCAGAAAGCTTTTTCATGGCATCATAGAGCTCTTTCTGGCCGTGTGATATTTCTTCCTCGAGTATATTCGCAACCTCTCTGAATGAGTCTGCAAGTTCCTCAAATAGTCGCCCTCCTTGACGTGCACACTCCAAACCTTTTGGGCCTCTCAAGTCGTCTTGAAATGGGGTATCAGAAAACTTTTCTAATCTAGAAACGATATCCAACAATTTTTGCTGCCATTCCCGGCGGCATCTTTCATTCTGAATAACAGTGATAAGTATGTTATCTTGGCTTTGATGGTGTAATTCGTATTGCGGAGGGCTATCGTTAGATAATTTAGACATTGTCGGAGATAATAGGCCAGTTCTTAGAAAATCAGGTTTGGTTAACATTGAAGAGAACAGAGAATATTTTGTTGGAAGGAATTATTCTAGTCTTATTCTTCGAAAAGAGTAGAATCTTTCAGTTTAGAATAAACTTAGCTATCTACCGCCGAATACTAATATAGTAGATACCAGTTGACCAAAGCTATGGTACACTACTAAGTTCATTTGGGCTCTGGAAGACTTACAATAAATACCGAATAACCAGTGCATATGACAAAGTGTGACGTGCATCGAAGGCCCTTTAAAAGTTCTAAAAATTTCCGAGCAACACGACTTCCAAGTAAGTCAATTTTACAAAGATATCCACCAGTTTTTAAATAATGGGGATCTGACCTTTTTCTCGCTGTACAGCTAACCTCCAGGACCATCACCTGGGGGTGTCATCTACCTTGGGCGTAAGTCGATTTTGAGTTGCTTTCCGTGAGTTGAAAGTCCAATGCTAATTTTTACAGTAAGCTTCTATGGACCTGCAAGCGCTTTGAGTGATGGATCTTGGACATATCCCGTGGTTGAAAAGATCAAAGCTATCACTTCGTAAGTGTTTAAAAATATACAAGAAGTGACAAGCCCATTGGTATTGGCAATGATTCTTGTTTAGATCGTCTCTTTCATCTGACGGCAATAACCAACAGCAGGTGTTGAATAAGGCTATGGTGCAAAACTCTAGCTTCACGAACGGACATATTAGCTGCGATGCACGGTCCCTGCAACTGTGGCCTGGTCAAAAATTTTTTTCTATCCAGCAACATGGGCTGAAATTGTCCGGGCGGGGATAACTGGTGTTATGACTCGGTCTCCGAGTAGCTCCGAAGACTGCGTTCGCTAGAGACTAGATAGTGTCCATATCATTCAGATGACGGCAGTAAATGCAAGAAATCTACCGGAGTGCAAAGCCAATATGCCTTTGTATTGTCAATTCGACTCGCCGTCGGGGCCTAGATGTAACGCAAGGTCCAAGTACGTAGCACGGGAATCGGCAATTTTTTATCCCTGCAGTGTGTGGCCGAGGCTCACACATTGAGCCAATAAACACGAGTATGTGAAGTGCTGATGTCAAGAGCTGGGGCCCTTCGACGGTGTCTGTTACGTGGGCTACGCCAACAGCCCCGGTGTTCGTAACACTAGAAGGCCGAGAGCCACCGGACAGGCCCCGAGAACAGGAGAAACTTACACATGACGCGCTAGTGGATAAAAATCATGGCGAACTAGTAGTGTTCTAACGGGGCCTCGCACGTTTTATCAGCAAATAAGGTTACGATTGATCTACACCAAGCGAACAACTTCGTGCGAACGCAAACTTGCCACGAGACGGTGAGTACATCGCAAGAAAATTCCGTTGCCGCCAAGCCAACCTGACAGTTTGAGGAACCAATGACCGGTCTCTAGAGCTGAGTGGTTATCCTATGATAGCCCGTGCCAGGCTGTCACAGACACCCTCGACCCGGGTCCATACGGTCTCTGGTTCACCGCGGTCGACAGATCCATAGGTGTGTGTACCTATGGGAGAGCCAGGACCCAGATCTCCACACCAATCATAACACAAACCAATCCCACAGGAGCTTTCGATGTTGCGACCGGGGAAAAGGGAATATCCTAGGAGTTAGCAGCAGCGGGAAAGCGAATTTTCGATACTTTGCGGAGTACACCCTTTCGCAGTCGCTGTACGATCGGATTACAACGGAGACGGGGGGCGCATGTACCCTGCGTAAAGTGATCTCCACCGCCATAGGGTAAAGAGCCCTAGGGACAGGCCCAGGCCCAGCGAATGGAGTAGGGGGGGGGGGGGGGCGATGGGGCACCGTTTGCCGGTGCCTGAGTTCGGTGAGGCTTAATTCAGTGCTGCGGAGGGGGACGCGACATCAATGAGCAGATCAGGGAAAAGCAATGGCGTTTCAGGTGATGTGTATGGTGGAACATGGGCTTCGGCAGATGCAAGGGCGAAAGGGTTTTGGGGGTGAAACACGACGATCGGAGCTAGTAGGAGCTAGTGTAAGTTGGGGCGCAGGCTGATGCCGTCATTTGTGAGTTCGATCCAGTTTGTGTGGTTTGTTTGATTTGTTTGATTTGTACATTTTGTAGGTTTTGTAGGTTTTGTAGATTTATTTTGCTTTGTTTTATATGGCATTGTGGTGTTTCGACTTCTATTACTTTTACTCAAATTAAACCCATGAAAGGACACGATGACATTTTATTTATTTACCATGTAGTAATGTCCCATGAATCGGAGTTGAGATGTGAGATGTGCAACCTATCAAAAGTCTGCCCTGACGATGATCCATGGATGCATCAGTCATCGCCACCGGGTCTCCAATCCTGTCGAATGTCGACGCAAGCTTGTCCACGGTAGATCTAATGACTTTCTCCACTTTTCTTTCCCACAAATCGAAGCTGAATTTCATGTTAGAAACACTTGAGAAGCTCTTTCAGGGGAAGAATAATCCGATCTGAACCTCGCCCCTGCAAGCTCCGAGCTCACGGAGTATACCACCGGTGCTGTTTACCATAGCCATGACCTTTGATACACATAGAAATTAACCGAGCTTTCAAATTACAATTCATGATCCCCGTCGCTACACATTTTTGCCAAAATAAAAAAGACCGAAAAGACTTCGTGTCACCCGGTCCAGTCCTTTGTGGAGCAACAATAGATCAGCTTGTGGAGCGGAGACATAACCCCATTAAGGAGGAGATTACAGAGAAGAAAAGAAGAAAAAGAAAATCCAAGACAGCAAAACTCCACTCTGCGAGTCTGGATGAATGTGAATTGTAATCCATTGCTCAAGCTAATCAATTGACCAATCACCTACTCTCCAGGAGCCTGTCAATCGGGTCTCTATTCCCCATGTCCAGTCAGACTCTTTCCCTGGTTCCTCTTTGCTACCTGCACAATGGTAACCTATAGAAGAGAATGTCATGTAAAATGACCTCAGGAAGACCCAGAGTATCTGCACTCAATCCAATCAATCTTCTCTTCTCTCTCCCGTGTACCCCACTCTAGCACAGAAAAAAAAAAGTGTATGTACTGTGAAGCCCATCGTGCATTGACGCACACTTGACGCGCCGGTGATTTAACCTCGTCCATCCCCCATCCGTTTCTTCCTCCTTTCTTCCTCCAGTGCATCTCATTCATTCCTTCGGGTCTTTTTCCAGTCCTTCATTTTTTTTTTTGCCATCTAGCTACCTGTGCCGTGCACGGTCTAGAGCGCCCTTCTTTTCTCTCTATCCATTCTTTTTTCAAACCGCGAGAACAGGCTTTCTCCATTTATTCGGTCTCATCCACTCCTTCGGTGACCAACACAAAAAAGAAAAACAAGCACTCAAAATGGTTTCCTTCACCACCCTGCTTACTGCAGGCCTGTTGGCCACCACTACCCTTGCTGTGCCCCACACCATGCACATGCACCGGGATCTGCACAAGGTGCAGAAGCGCTCCACCAGCAAGCGCGGAGCGGCCTACAACGATGTCTCCACCGTCTCCGTCCTCAGCGACTCGAACACCATCAGCTGGGCCTATGACTGGGGCTTCTCTGGCAGTTCTGGTCTCCCCTCCGGTGTCGAGTTTGTCCCCATGCTCTGGGGAGTCAGCTTCTTCAGTGGTTGGCTCACAGCTATCGAGACCCTTCTCGCCGGCGGAAGCAACTACATCATGGGTTTCAATGAGCCGGATAACTCTGGTCAGGCTAACATGAGCCCTTCCGTGGCGGCTGGATACTACAAGCAGTACATCACCCCGTACTCCGGCTCTGCCAAGCTGATCTCTCCTGCCGTCACCTCGTCCACCACGGACGGTGAGGGTCTGAGCTGGCTCGAGGAATTCATGACCGACTGCTCTTCCTGCAACATTACCGGTCTGGCTGTTCACTGGTACGGAGACTCCATTGACGAGTTCACTAGCTTCGTTCAGGAGGCCGTTACCACTGCCGCCAACTACGACCTGGAGGAGGTGTGGGTCACTGAGTTTGCTCTGACTGCCGATATCTCTGGTGTCAGCGATCAGTCCACCACTGCCGACTTTGTCACTCAAGCTGTTACCTGGATGGATTCTCAGGCTAACGTTACCCGTTACGCGTACTTCATGTGTGCTGATGGATATCTGCTTTCTGATGATTCGCTGAACTCTGTTGGCTCCGCTTACACCTCGTCCTCGAACTAAGCGTATTTAGTATACATGCCGTTTGCTATACTCTGATGGAGATGAGGAGAAGTAGTATGATGTGGGGATGATGAATGATGAACACAGAATGGGAGTTATCGGCGTCATTATGGAACGGGGCTACGGCCTCGACTTCCCTTCGGCGCAACGGATTGGTCTCATCTCGGTTCTTTTTATATGATTTTGTGATCTAAAATGCCTTTTGCTTTGATGTCTTGATGTCCTTGATTTTTCGTGTGAATATCAAAGATGGCCTTAGCAAATACGAAATTAACACAAATATCTTCGGAAATATTTCCCCTTCAATAACCTTTGCTTCAATAATCTTGGAAGGGTTTTATGAATTTGCCTATTCCTGCGCTCTCAAGTAGTTCCGAGTTTTGGAGTTGAAAGTTTTCGCGACACCGATGTTGACTCCGATCGTATTTTCTAAGATCTAATCTAGCGGCTATTTACATTCGGTTGAACACCACGAATATTCAAAAGACTACCCCGAGACCCAATGTTTTCAAATGTTCTTTATGTATATTTCACGCCGCCTTTCGTTGCCGGCGACTCACTGCTCCATTGGCCGAGTTTCCTCACCTAGGCTTCTAATCCCGCGATATCAAACGCCGAGTTTTCAAAAGCCGATGCCTCAGACCCTCAAGTGACAAGAAACATTGCAGATACCGATAAATCGAGCCCTGAATCTACATATAGCGGATCAAAAGCGAATATTCAATCCAGATTTCTTAGTTGACACTCGAATTAATCTGACACGAAGACCAGCTTTCTTCGGGGCATTTTTTTTTATCTAATTGATGTAGCTCTCTACCTCCGGGGCTGCCGCGGACTCTCCGGTCCCGCAAAACCCCTGCCTCCGTAGCGCTCAGCGCTCAGTATGTGGCCACTCCGTAGATTTCGATCAATTTATGAACATTGAAGTATATAAGTCTCAATGTGTTCCACCTAACCACCTCATTATCCAGAATTTTTATTCAGTTCTACTTTATCTACCATTCCCTCATATAAATAGCCATGTCTTCCCCGCCTATAGTCCTCATTATTGGCTGTGGTGTCGCCGGCCCTGTCCTATCAATCCTTCTCAAGAAAAAGGGATATCAGCCAATTGTCTTCGAAAAAGTTCGCGCCCTCGGTGAGGCCGGAGCATCTCTAATGCTCAATCCAAATGGGTAAGATTCGTGTCCCACCCGTGCAGTCTGAGAAATCGATGTATTTATTAACATGCAACAAAACATAGCTTGAAAGTCTTGAATCTGCTTGGCAGCCCCGAGCAGCTGTTTAAAGATACTGAGATCCTACCGTTATCCGATTACTGGCATGGAACGACATCAGGCGAGACACTAGCACATGTTGACCTGCCTGCCAAATTTGTCGCCAGATACGGCCAGCCGGCATTAGGCATCAGGCGAACGACATTGAACCTTCAGCTGAAAGAGATGGCCTTGAAGGCAGACATCGAAATCCACGAGGGACATGAACTAGTCGGAATCGATGAAAGCGAAGATTCCGTCACGGCACATTTTAGCAACGGGAAATCGGCGACTGGTTTATTTCTTGTTGGTTGTGACGGGATAAAGGCAGCATCTCGACGCATTTTGCTCCAAAGATCCGGGGTTAAGGAAGGGCCACCCGTGTTCACCGGATTAACGCAAACCGGCGGTATCTCAAAGACTCCGCGCGCGCTGGCAGAGAAAGTCGGCACCATGTCTAACTGGTATGGAAGCGGAGTGCATATGATTGCTTATCCAGTGTCGACGACGCATACGTCGTGGGCGGTTACATTGCCCCGGTCGGACGAACAGCAGGAGACGTGGAAAATGGCCACAGGAGAGCAATTGGAAGCGCAAAAACGATTTTTGGAATCCAAGTTGGAGGGATCTGAGCCAGTCCTTTTAGACTTGGTGAGAGGGCTGGAGCGGATTCTCTCGTTTGGACTCTTTGATCGCGCAGAACTGGGCATAGAAAATTGGTTCACAAACCGCTGTGTGTTGGTTGGCGATGCGGCACACCCGACCAGTCCGCACTTGGGGCAAGGTGCGAATCAGGCACTAGAGGATTGCTATCATCTCAGCCGCTTGCTTCCAAATATAGATGAAGTCTGTGAAGAGAAGGATGCAAGCCTGTCTGGTATTTTCGAAGAGTTTGCACGACTTCGACAGCCACGAACCTCGGCCCTGGTAAAAGGTGCTAGGAGAAAAGGAGAGGAAAGAGTTGTGGTCGGGGGTGCGGAGCTTTGTCGACAACGTGATGCCCAGATTACCGCTGCTTTCAGCAATCCAGAGGCGGTCCTGAGAGGGCTTGATGCCTTGTATGGAGAACCCTTTTAGGTAAAGAGTCTTGGAAGATGTGATAGATGTGATATATGCTCCGTTCAAGTAGATATAGAGAATAATAGAGAGAAACAAGAGATAATGGTGCCAGATCAGTGGTGGTTAGCAAAAGAAGAACGCAATCTATCTCATAATAAAGTCTCCTTTCAAATTCCTCAAGGCAGATCCGTAGCAAAAAAAATCATTTAATACCCGGCTTCTAAGCCCGCCAAATTATTGCAAAGCGTTGAGAGAAGTCAAAAGCTCTCTATGATCTGTCTAACCATCTTGTCTGTATTCCATCTGAATATTTCCGGGCCCTCGCCAGATGAGGCAGAATCGACATTGGAAACAAACTTGCAGAAGCGGAACGTGGGGTATAGAGACCAGATCAAAGACGCCTCTTTTTGCTCGTTATAAAGCGGACCAAGAAGTGGTCGAATCGCCCGTGTTGCCTCTTCCGCTTTATAAAATGGGATGTTTGGGAAAAGATGATGAACAACGTGAAAGTCAATGATATCGTGGAATAAGTGGCGACCTAGAAATCCTGTCGTACGATATATTGTAGACAAAGATCCCTTCAGAAAAGTCCAGCTTTTATCTCCGTAATGCGGCAAGGACGGATGAGTATGATGAAGATAGGTAATGGAGACTAAAAAAAAAGACGAGTCAGTCATCGATTCGGCTGTCAGTTTAAAATTTTTGGCATTTAATGTTTACCAATCCAGTGATTGACCCAGATATATGGGAGAAAGTACAGCAGCAAGACCTGCTGTAAGCCAACCTGTGTGTATAGTGCCACCAGTATACACCCAAATGCTGCCAAACCCAGATCAGAAAGTAGGATGTAGAGTCTCTGCGACTGGGTAAAAAGAGCTCCAAATGGATCAAAATGACTTTTTCTTGATGATCCCGCATGTTGACTTGGTAAACTGTCCACCCCGGCACTGACATTGAAAAGAAGATACATCGGCCAGCCAAACAGCTGGTGGATCAACAACTCCAATAGTGCCATCGCAGGGGCATCCTCAAAATATTCAATCGCCGTGTGGGATAAGAAGGGTATGGAATTCTCATACTCTTCTTTTGTGAAGGGCACAAATGCAGTATCCTTGCCCATATGGCCGGTGTAACGGTGATGACGAGCATGTGTGGTCTTCCAAGAGAAGTAGGGCACTAGAAGAGCAGAGTGCAGAGCGTACCCTATAATGTCATTTACCCATGGGTAAAGGGAGAATGCACCATGTCCGCACTCATGCGCCAAAATCCAGAAGCCCACGCCGACGCAGCCTTGGAAGAAGCCATAGCATATCCAGGCTAAATATCGAGCCCCGGACAACGGAATTCTGTCAATCTGGAGAGCACAGTATATCAAGAGGCCACAGTAGCCTATGTCACGGAGGAGATACATGAGCGAAGTAGGCAGCGAGGGCTGAAAACAGGCTGGGGGTATGGCGGCCTTCAGAGAATTTAGCCTTAGCTCAGGGAAACTTCCTTCATCCTATAAACTTGTTTCAGCTTCAATACTCGTCGGCAAAATCTCAATCCCAACAATACATACCTTCGTTTGATCATCCATCATAGTCAATTGATAAATAAACCAGGGGAATAGAATAAGAAATGCCACTGAGTCGCAGATAAACTGAAGATCTCCGAACTGTGTGCTTTATGTATCAATTTCTTCTGTCTTTCAAGACTGCGTTCTTCGTTTCTCGGAAGGCATGATCCACACATCCTTCATCGGCTGCATCGAAAATGTCTCCCTTGTGATTCCGAGGTAGAGTCTTTGTTGTACTACACCCGCGCCCCCCCCCCCCCCCCCCCCTCCTCAACGCCCTGCATTCTTCCAAAATCGGTACTAAGAACTTGCCAAAAATCGACAGAGACATCACGTTCGGGAAAATTGCGCAGTCTCGGAGGTAATCTCATCCACCACGTTGATCCAATGGAAGTGGTTTGCAATATCATTCGCGCCGAGATGAAGTGGCGACCCAGGATGGTGTGAAGATATGACAGAGGATGAAGATTTCTTTCAAGGGTGGTGGGGTGGAATCAGTATCAAATCAATAGGACAAATTTTCCAGATGGAGACGGGGATGAGGCCTTTGCGTATCACTGGTTGGATAATGGAAGTATTGGCACTTGAGGTCATCTCACGGTTAGGTACTATCACACAGATCGACACTTTGCATGTATCATGATGTATTAAACGAATGACGCGGCGTGTATGAATAAGCCAGCTGCAGGGTGACGGGCCAGGCTAAACTTCCAGCCTAGTAAGAAATTGCCGCATATGCAGCAATATGGAAGCCATTTCCGGTCCCACAGGAGAAACTGTCACAACACCCAAATTCATGCTTGTGAACGCTACATCTGCTGCACGGTTATAAAACTGGAAATTTTGAATCACCCCCGGTGGCGGATGTCAGACTTGAACCTGATGAAGTGCATTTCCGATCGACCATTCATCTACATGAGGGATTTTTTTCGATTAAGGATCGTTAAAAATATTTCTCCATTGATCATTTGTTCATTCATGCAAGCCACCCTCTACAGAGCGTTTCTCATGCGAACAGCTCCTCCAAAGAAAACAGCACAAATTCCAGTGACTATCTGTATCCTCTCTAGCACCACAGACCCCGGAAATTGAGCAACGAGGGTTCCGATGTAAATTACTGTCCACATGCCAAGTATAATTGCTGAATGCTCATAGAGACCCAGCAATCTACCGGAACCGAACGTGTATCTCTCCGTCAGAAGATACCTGACAGTGGCCGTCTGGTAGGCTCTTTTCTGAGATGGATCCAGATAGAACTCCACAAATTTGTCCATGAAAGTGGGTGCATGGTTTTTGCGAAGAAAGAGTATCAGAGACTGTGTGATTCGGTGAAGTCGCGAAATGGGGGTAGAGGTGGCCCCGGGTACTGTGGCCCCGGGCCACACACTGATAGATAAGCAAATATCATCTAGCAGGCCATGGTCGGAAGTCCAGAGATATTGAGAGTGTGGATCTGCTGCTAACGAGAATGGGCTAAGCTCTTTATTAAGGCCTGCAGATGGTTCCTCATATTGAAGGATATTAGTGTAGAAAGCTGGGCTTAAAACACGAATGATCACTTCTGCTCCAACACCGGACTGTGAGGAAGGGGACTGAAACGTCTCAGGCAAAAGCCAGTGGGACTTCGATGGCTCGTATACAACCTTCAGAGGCTTTGGATAGTGAGCGACAGCGTGAGCGAGGAAAAGACGGAAGAATTGTTCTAGGAAGCTGTAGAGATATCAGTTACCTAGTAAAATGTAGCCAGTTGTGATGCTTACCGCTCAATATCAGTTTCCTCTCTTGGAATATTCGGATTTTTCACTTCTGGCTTACGGAGATAGGTGAGGTTCCCCCGAAAGCGAACACGAAGTGCCTCATAGATAATGCGTGGCTTTGAAAGAGCACCGATATAGCCCCACCGGCAGATGAATCGCATCAGCTGCCACGGGTCTGCGCGTAGTGGGTCTAGTGGCTCCCCCCAAGAGTACAGCCGACTGATAATCTTAGGTCGGCCATCGGGCGAATAGAGCGTCGTATTGGTGTGCAGTGGCCCCTTGGTGCCCGACATGGGATTGCATGGATCACTGCAAGTAGTTGTAAAATATCCTTCCACTTTTTCAAATGGAGAAAGAAAGAAATCCTTGTCCCATTCTGCCTTGTACATCTTGAATTTGGAAACCGAATCAAGAAATCTCACACTTTGCGACTTATTGGCAGTCTGACACGGAACGGTGTCGATGGTCCCTGCACTGTCCTTCATATTTGCCTCAGCACTGCCCGCAGTGAGCCTGAAGAAGGCCGCTTTTCGTTCACCAAACGAATTGTTCACCTCCATCACCATAGCATCAAGTTCGCGCGATTGATTGTACAACAGCCACCATGATACAGCATTTCGTGTGAACCAAAGAAATTTGGGTATGCTGATCATGTAGGCGTACGGCCACTGCTGAGGATCTTCGCCCTGGTCTTCCGTTAGAGTGGGTCTTGTGTACGTCCTTATTGCACCGTTGGATGCCACTTTCCCCGTTAAGGTGACGCGTCTTATATAGATTGGTGGTTGAATAATAATAATTTTTATTGCTTGATAATTTGCCAAAAAAGAGGTGAGGAAACCCTTTGGTCACCCTAGTATGCACATCCTATCAGCGTTTTCATGTGAAGACAAGCCAGGAGAGCCGTGATCAGGAGGATCGTGTAGTTATACTTGTAATTGACTACATCGCCCTTCTCGTAAGCCCAATCTTCCATTCCTTCAATGTGTGTAGAGTACCACATAGTGAAGGAGTCCCAGGGGTAAATAAACCAATTCTTTCCGGTTTGTTTGTCAATGTACCACTGTCGAAACCTCATTAGTCAGCTGGATGAAGACTTTTGGCTATAAGCTTACACTTCCACATCCACCACTATAAACTGTTTTATCCAGAGCATTCACGATGTTCTCGTGGAAAGCCCTCTCACTAGAGTCTCTAATCTCAACAGACTTGGCACGGCCGTCGATAACATCTTTTATGGCTCGAATAACCAAATGAACGAAGCTAGAAGGGGTCAGTCAATCATGTCAAAGCTAGACTATATAAAGGATCAACATTCAAATGTTGTAATTTATCTCTCCGCAGCAAATATAGTCGATGTATGACCTCGACCTGAATGTGGTCCCAATATATAAAAGAAATTTGGAAAATTGGCCATTGCGACTGTCTTGAAGGCTGACTTGCTTCCAAATCCATTCCAGTGATCTTGTCGCGAGATTCCCTTCCGTCCAAAGAGTTTAACATCAAATTGAGCTGTCGCAAACCCGGTCGCCAAGATCTAATACATCGTCAAATTAATTAATTAAAATTCCGAAGGTACATTCGTACAGAATGTGTGGGTAGTGCTTACAATCATATCAGCCGGATACGTTTTGCCTGATCTCGTTAGCACTGAACGAGCCTGAATAGCCACTATGGGATCTGCGGTTAAATGAACATTTTCTCGGCGAAGGCATGGGATGTAATTATCGTTGTCAAATACTCGTCTCTAATATGCTATTGATTAGAAGTCTCGAAATTGAGGAGGATCCGCCTAAGGTTCTGTATCTTACCTTGCACCCCATGTCAAAGGCAGGGATAAGGAGTGGCCAATATTCCTCTGTGGTCAATATTGAAACTTGGTCAGCAGAAGACATAGATGAATATATAACGAGTGATTATACCTGGTGAATTAGCTTTGATATATTGGCTGCTGGTTTCCGATGCCTTTTTGCGGAGAGTCTCGCCTTTACCGGTAATATTAAACTGGGGGCCGGAAGTTTCGAGGTACGCAAAAACGGCGGCACGCAATAACCATAAAAGTGAGGGAATGTACTGGAAGACCTTTCTCAGCAATGGAGCAATCCCCTGGTTCTCACTTGGCATGTAATGCTGTGGGGTCTGTACATAATCAAGTCAGCAAATCCATCTATGGGTATGTAGTACATATCCAAGTTCAAATGTTGATGACTGACTCGCATGAACTGAGTGATTGATTTCGTCTCATGGGCAACTGATGGGATAAGTTGAGAAGCAGACGCTGTATATCATATGTCCAGATATTAGCCATCATCATGGTCGAAGAATTGGCATTTTTACTGGAGGTCGCCTTACATCCATTACCAATGACCACGACATCTTTGTCACGAAGGCAAATGTCGCGATTCCACTGCGCTGTATGAACAATATTCCCTTGGAATGATTCTGCACCCTCAATATTGATCACATTTGGGATGGATAAACCTCCTACCGCAGAGATAAGGATCTTGCACTCTTGCTCAAAGCAGACGCCGGATGACAAATCTCGCAGGCGGACTACCCAAGTGCTGGTTTCTTCATTCCAGCAACCCTCTTCCCACTGAACGTGACATACAATGTGACGAGCCACATCGTGTTTGGCTGCAACATGGTTGAAATAACCCAGAATCTCAGTCTGTTTTGGAAAGACTTTCGAGAAATGAGGATTCGGGGCAAAAGAGAGGCTATAGAAGACGGCGGGGATATCCACTCCACATCCTGGATCTTTCCGACAGTGAGCGTCAATACCGCAAACTTCAAAGTAATGAGAAGCCTTATTCAATTCTTACACTGATTGGACCACCATGTTCCTCCGGGCTGCGGCATCTGGTCATATATTACCAAGTCCTCGCACTTGAGCTGTTTTTTCAGTTGACAAGCCATTGCCAAACCCGAAAAACCAGCTCCGATGACCGTGACTTGAACAAAAGGCTTGTTCATCTTTTCGTTGGGAGACATTGTGATCTCAGGCCAAGGTTTCTTCGAAGGAATCGAACATATAAGGTATGATTCAAAGGTTCAATTTGATATGAATCGATAATTCTGAGAAGTTCGTTCCTTCTTTGAACCGTGAGACGAGGAGAGAATAAATACTAATATTGATGTGTTCAGCGAAATTTACGTCCAAGACCAACATTGCATTTGTCGATTGATTGGATGTCTCTCTCTCAATGGCGCTGTTCAGCTTTGAATGTACTGTGATTGTCACACGCATGCACCATGTGATTGAGGTGAAGCCTAGTCGATTCAGAAACTCGCATTCTCTCGGGTGATTTCGCAAGCCCACCCTCCACGATTATTTGCGAAACCGACCTAGCCGCTCAAAATTTCGGTCGTGATTTCTGATTTGAATAATTTTTAGAAAGGATGGTGTGAAGCCGAAGTTGTGATGAGCAGTAAAGTGGCGTGAAGATCATTGAGACTTGTGGGTGTCATTGGCGAATTCAATTTCCCCGAAAGCAGCAGGAGCATGATGCATTATGCAGCTGGCACCTCAATGTGTATCCTAATACTTCGTAGGTCAATCTATGTAACTATGCGAAGCAAGATGTATTCCTTTCTAAGTCCCGTTTGATCAAATTTCAGCAAAAATTGTTATAAATATTGGGCCATTTTGAACATATTGCTCTACGACAGCAAACATTGAAGAGAAAACAACAATACTTGCCACAGAGCCAATATTCTCTTTTTTTCCTTTCAATCAAACCTTGGAATCTTCTTTTACAGTCCAGAATGATTTGCCTGGCCGACCTTTCGGCTATCGCAGGCTTCTGTGGTATCTTGTCCATATATTTTCTGCCACGGGCTGATACAGGCAATGGCCTCAAAAACTACTGTCATCTTACAATGGCCGCCATCCTCTATCAATCTTATCGAATTAAATGGTTCATTGTCTTGCCTGTCACGATTTTAACTCTACTGGCAACAGTGATTGCAGTGGGTATTATTTGGTTGTTCCAAGCTGCGTTTTTCCAACGAAAGTTATTTCTTCTCGACGGTGAACTGAGCCTTCCAGACAACGACAAACAATTTGTAGGGAAACCACTACTGTTTCCCACCAAGCTTTCTCATTCCCGCATGTTCCCTGAAAGGTACAACTATACCTACGACTACTTTCTTGTCGGTCTTCCGGTTAATCTTCGTGGGAGAGTGGGCTCGGTCTTGGCAATTGATACTCCAAACAAGTCAACACGCTCAACCAAGTGTTGGTTTAAAATTGACCAACGCCATTATCTCGAGCCTGGAAATACCGAAATGGGGTTACAGGGAAAATTGGATCGCCACCTTAGGTCTCGGGTACGTAAATACGTCTCAAGATGGTGTTGCCTTCCCATTCTGTATTCATTCGCGTAAGGATGACCTGCTTGGCCCATGGCCCATGGAAGTAGGGGACGGTGACAGACTACCAAAACAAACAAACAAAACAACAACAGATGGTTCGAGAGACGAACACACGGAGTAAAAGAAACTGTGGATGAAAACGATGATATTGTGGGTTGAAAAGGGAAGAGGGGAAAGAAGTCCCAACTCCAGCTCTAATAGCTAGATTACATAATGTTGTACAAACTCGTCGTCGGAATCCGCATAAAACAGTCATACATGTAATGTTGATACAATGGTAACTTTCACACCAGTCTCCGGATCTCTGTTCCAACCGATTTTTCTCCGTTCCACCCCGTATCGCAACAATTTACCCACATTCCGAAAATCGAAACAACAATCTGCACAACGGCCGTTGTGAAAATGGACATCCTCAATTACGTCGAAGTCATCATGCGAAAGGTTAGACGGCACAGCGACGAAACCGATTTTGATATCACCGTAATCAGGAGCGCGGCTGTTACCCAACATCCAAGGGGCATATGCGGAAATTCCGTATTCAATAATTAGTACTTTGTGTACCATCCACGAGCTTCGCGAACTGCCTCGACGCGTCGTGGTAGAGAAAGGAATTAATTGTCAATTTTCTCTTGATCCAGGGCATCCCACGCAGTCTTAACTGCCAGCTTGAACTCCTGCCTTGCTGCCAAATCCATAAAAGGGATGACCAACGAATGGTATACGGATCGAAGAGGATCCCTCTCACAAGCAGTGCGATGGTTTGGTGACGGAGCTCTGGGCGCGCATGTTTTGTATCACCTCGGCAAACTCGATAAATCTGCGAACATCTTCCTTGTCTCGAACGATTTCGGATCGTAGTTTTCTAGTAACGAGATACCGGGCGAACAAAGCGCTCTTGGAGTGCTCTCGTCTGCTGCAGAGAGTATCTCGGAAAATTTTGAGGACTGCCGGGTGATCTTGTATTTTCCTCCCGATAAATCGTGACAGCAAATGCATTGGTATGAACTGCCTGCCGCTCTTCGACGGCTCGAGTGATGCCTTCGGTGAACTCACTTCTTGTAAGAGCGCTGAATCACTACCAAGACTGAAAGCATTGTGAGGTGGAAGCCAGGGAAGGTCCCTAGGAGAGGAGAGGAAGGAAAGAAGGAAGGAAGGAAGGAAGGAAGGAAGGAAGGAAGAGAGACAGACACAGATCCATGGATAGCGTAAATCTACACAATAAGGATGTCATATTAGGGGACGGCTTTATGAGCATCCATCAAGGGATAAGTAATTGTTTTATCTCATATACTTATTCCTTTTTAAGACAACCCAAGAGCTACATAGTAGATACAATGATGAATCGTTAAGAATGTAAATGAACATGGACGTTAAGATCACATTGGAAGATAAATTGATGGTAATGCAGAGACAGGGCCCATGGTAGAAAATACAAATATCAATATTGTAAAGAGTGATAAATTAGTCATATTTACTATGCAAGGGTGAGAGAATGTAGCTCAATATAAGTTCCAGTGTGGACCCTTGTCAACTTTTCAAGATTGAATCAAGGAGATGAGACTCCTGGAATGGGAATCATAATTTGAAACATTCCGAACATGTAAAGGCTTGCCGTATCCTGGTTCGAACATCTTTCTAACAAACCTGCCACTATCCCGAAGCGCGGATCTAGTATCAAGACACGATGAAATTCTCTATTATCACAGCTCTTGGAATCGTTTCTCTATCTTTGGCCGAAGAAAAGGCTCCACAGGTGCGTTCCAAATAGATCAACAGCATATCTGGCATAATGCTCACTCATTAGTAGTATGAGGTACATATCAACGTCCCGGTCTTGTTTGGGAGTCACACAGCGGGGTATAAGTTTGAAACTGGTGTATGTCAACCATTAGAAAGAGCTTTGTACCTCAATTGGTTGGATTTCAGACCCGCAGAAGATTATTACCGATGCTCTTTCTTCAAGTAAGTGCCTACCTTGAACATCATCCCACTTCAAATTCAGTCTTAGTTAACATTTTTTAGATCATTCGATTGCAGTGGAGAAGCCTCCTACAAGCTCTTGAACCCGCCCGACTCAGGATCACCGAAGAAAAGAGTCCATCTAACACGCCTCAAGCCCAAGGGCAATAGTCTTCTCTGCGAAACTCTCTATGCGGAGTGAGTTCCTTGATGCGGACATTGTCACCTGGGCAAAATCGTGGATGGATGAAGAGTTGAGCTCTTTGCGTTTTGCATATTTTGGTTCTGATTTCCATTTCAAATGGCCGAGAATACAAAAACAATTGAAATTTGTATTCACTTTATTTCAGGCTCAAATACAATCTTCTGAACATGTAGAAGAAATGCCCTTGAAATGTGCATAAGACAAAATGAAAAAAGACTTATTGTAAACATGCCAGCTGTCACTGTCATCATTTCTCAACATCATTTACTGCACCCATTACTTTCCCTAAACTTTTCTCAGCCGACTCCCACTCTCTTTTTATGACATCCACAACCCAATCACCCCGCGGCTTGAGCTTGAACTTGACCTCCCTCGGCATCGTCATGAAACCCGCAACATCCATCGCCCACGGATCCACCACTTCTCCCTCAACAACCTCGACCTCAAATGCCCACAACAAAGAAGCAATCTGCATAAAGGTCCCATCCATCGCAACCCTCTTCCCTTGACAAATACGGCGACCTTGCCCAAAAACTGGCAATGGAAGATCTGTCCGTAGCCTCTCATTTCTGCTCTCATCTCGTCGCAGCCATCTCTCCGGCACAAAGTCCTGTGTGTTGCCCAGGACAGGATCGAAGACTTTTTCATCGCGGCCAATAGCCCACGCGTTCGCCATGACAGTCCAACCCCTCTTAATCTTCACGCCATTGTAATCGTCCTCCTTATCAGCCCGACGCGGGATGGAGCCCGGCGAAATGGGCCTCCATCGAAAAAGCTCGCACGCGACAGCATCAATAAAGGCGAGATCCGCCCGATCGGAGAAGAGAGGAAGTCGCTCGCGCCCGACAACTTCATCAAGAACAGCATGCGCCTTTATCAGAAAAGCCGGGCTGTGCAATGCAGCGACAAAAAGCCACAGCAGCTGGCGTGGTGATGTCTCCATGCCGCCTTGGATGGATGTCGCGAGCGTAAATGCAAGATCCAGGTCTTGGATCCCGTCTTCGGAATACTTTTTCGCTGTGGCGATTGCTTGTTTTGTCGCGTTCCAGCCCGCCGACGCTTTGCCTTGATCCAGGAGACGCATGTACAGGTCTACTTGTGTGGCGTAGAGCCTGTCGGCTGAGCGCTTCCAGGGCGATATGATTGCGGGTAGGTTTCGGAGTGGCGGGATTATGTCTGGGAGAGCTGGGTTGGCGGCAAGATGGGTGACTTGGGTTTGAACATTGATGACTTCGTGTAGGATCTTCACCTCGGGATTCGAGATACGGATTCCATAATGCAGGGCCAGAATTATGCTGGATTGGGTCCGCTCCAGAAGCGGGTATACTGTTCCAGTGCTGATGCCTTCGGGGGATTTTCTTGCAAGGTTGCAGAGATCGAATAGCAATTGCTTGGATTCGAGCTCCATCAAAGGCTGGTAGCTTGGAGCAGCAGGGGCACCCAGACTTGGGGAGAGAATTCGATGGTGCAATTTGAGATTATCATCATAGTCGTGCATCAGGGTGAACCTGGATTGTCCTGATTTGGCATCTGTAATCATCTCCATGCTCACTGAAGCCGGTCGGTTACTGTACCATTGGCTGCGACGACTGAACAGCTCCGTCACAGCCTCGAGCGAATTCAGAACGACGATAGGGATGATTCCAAATAGCCTAGGGACTGCAATCGGGCCATTTTCTTTCGCCCAGGCGTCCCAGTTTTCAAGGGGCTTTCCGATAGGCGAGCTATGAAGATCACCGATGAGGGGAAGTTTAAGGAGTGGTTTTTTTTCTGGTTTATCGCCATGGCTTCTCTTCTTGCTCATATAGAGCACTGTGATTATACCTATGACCAGGACGATCACTAAAGGGTAGGTGTCGGCCATGTTAGCGAATGAAAGGTCCGACCTTGAGACGAGATTGCGGGACACATCATCACGTATTCAACTCTGTGAGACTCAGGTTCGCACGCTTTGCAACCGACACATGATTCAATCATATTTAGCGCTTAAACGGACAAAATTAATGCAATGTTAGTGGAGGTGAAGGATGCACTAACACTGTCGCGGCTCGGAACGCACTAAGACTAATACGAAAACAAATACGCCATTTTTGGGCCCGACCAATAGAATCCTTGAAATTAGTCGACGGCCCCCCTTGGTACTAACAACTAGGCCTCATTCTCTGGAAAGTTGGTGGGAGACTTGTGGGGTCAATTATCAGCTTAACCAGTCACATACAGCCAGCATGGAGGCCGAATACTACTTTGAGTCAACCCCTCCCCAGTAAAACAAGAGCAAGGACCACGAAAGCGATAAATTACTGATCTAAAATCGCATGTAGCATCTATGTATCAAGTTTAAGGATCACCGTTGATCATTCAATGTTCAATTACCCTGCAATTCAGCACTCATAGCCGCAGAGCCACCTGTGCCACCTGTGCCACCAAGGTCAAATGCGGCGATCTTTGACAGTAGTAGCTTCACAATATTCCTGTGGCCTTTGTGAGCAGCCCAGTAAATGGGTGTTCGGCCATAGGCTCCCTTCCAGTCAATTATCGCGCCTCTTTCAACAAGGAGCTGGACAGTCTTCTCGTGCCCACTACGTGCAGCTAAGCAAAGGGGAGTCAGACCATCGCGATCCTGGGACTGAAGGACTGCGCCGTTCTCGAGTAAAACCTGCACGCTGCCGTTGTGCCCATTATTTGCAGCCCAAAGAAGAGGCGTTCGTCCAGCCATTCTATCCTTGGATTCGGTGTTGGCGCCTCTCTTGACCAGTAGCTTCACAATATTCTCGTGTCCGTTCTCTGCAGCCCGTGACAGGGGCGTTGAGCCAAAGCATCTATCTTGGGACTCAATAGCAGCACCCTTATCAAATAGCAGCCTAGAAACATTAAAATATCCGTTTCTGGCAGCCAAGAAGAGGGGCGTTTGGCCATATTGTGCGTCTTTTGAGTCAATCTCAACACCCTTGTCCAGTAGCAATCTGACAATAGTTTCATATCCGCGTTCTGCAGCCAAATGTAGGGGTGTCCAGCCAGTTTCATCCTGAGTGTCGCACGATACACCTTTGTCTAGTAACAATCTGACCATCGTCTCTCGTCCGTACTCCACAGCCACGGATAGAGGGGTTCGACCTTGCTTATCTTGAGAATCATACACCACACCCTTCTCGAGTAGCAGTTTGGCAACACTCTCATGGCCTAACCCTGCAGCCAGAAATATGGGTGTGTGGCCATTCTGATCCTGGGAGTCGTTTACCGCACCCTTATCGAGCAGCCACCTGACAATATTCTCATTTCCGATCCTCGCAGCCACCTGACAATATTCTCATTTCCGATCCTCGCAGCCAAGAAAAGGGGTGTTCGACCACGATAATCTTGACAGTCATACTTGACATCCTTCTCAAGTAGTAATTCGACAATATTTTCGCGTCCGTACTCTGCGGCAAAGGATAGAGGCGTTCGACCGTCCTCATCTTGAGAGTCAAATACCACACCTCGATCGAGTAACAATCTGACTATATTCTCATGCCCAGACGCTACAGCGAAGGATAGAGGTGTTCGACCATTCCCATCACGAGAGTCAGAAATCACAGCCCTGTCGAGTAGTAATCTGACAACAGTCTCGTGTCCGCCCTCTGCAGCCAGTGATAGAGGTGTTCGACCAAGCTTATCCCGGGAGTCATAAACCGCACCCCTCTGGATTAGAAGCCTGACAATAATCTCATGTCCGCCATACGCCGCCCAACTGATGGGTGTTCGGTCATATGTATTATCTCTCGACTCGATATCCGGATCTTTCTCAAGTAGTAGTTCCTCCACAACAGCCTCAAGCCCAAAATAAGAAGATATCATGATGGCAGTGAAACCCTCCAGTATTGAGTGCCATGTGGTCCTTGAGTAAATTTTGTACCAAACCAGCCAGCTCCTTGAATCCGGACTGCATATGTTTAAGGCAAGAGGAACTAGATCAGCTCCTGATCTAATGTAGGCCTTATAGAAATGAGAACCCCAATTATTCGAGGCGTACTCCTTAAAATGGTGTGGAATAGGATCTTCCTTTCCATGGGCAGATGCAGTGAGCCTATTGAAGAAGTTGAGATAGACCACACAGACCTCTGCAAGAGTTTTGTGTGCGCTTTTGCTATCAATGGAACCTTGCCAAGATAAGGCCGATGGAAGCCCTGTTTTGATGGTATTTGTGACCAGAAATTCTCTAGCAGTTTGATGAAGGAAGTAAATCCTGTCGTAATGGATTGAAACGAAAAGCCCACACCCCGTTCTCAGGTGGGATTTAAAGTCCTCTTCGTTCTCCAGATCAAGGTCATGGAAGGATTTTGATGAGCCATTAATGTTTAAGGCGATGTTCATCTCAGGTATCGTTAATGGGCGGCTTGCTGCTAACATAATCCTTAAAGCTCTTCGAACCATCGCTTGGTCTCTAGATCGGTTGAGAATCTGCTCGTATGCCTCGTTGACATTTGACGGGAGAGTTTCAATCATGCGATCAATTCCATTAGGAGTCTTTTTGAACTGGTTGGACTTCAAATAGTCAAACACGAGATATACCCAGAGGTATGTACGATGTGTGACTCTGAGTAATCTATCAATCAGGTGACGTACGACTTTGTCTGGTAGTCCTTTCTCTCTGGCCAGCTCGTCAACTCGGTATTGGATGACATGGCGTACTTCTTGGGCGATTTTTTCTGATTCATCTTCTCCTGGTATTCGTATATAGGGGAAATCACTCAGCAGGCCCCTGAATTTATCCGTTATTTGCTCGTATGGGCGGCTTGTCAAAAGGCATTTCAATGTTTTTGACTGTCCACGGCGGAATTGTCCTTTCACATTCCGGATCAAATCTTCAAAATCTGACTCGGTACACTCATCCAGGGCGTCAAGAACTAGGACCACAGATCCAGCTTCGGCATCTTCCAGGGAATTTCTCAGAACAGTCCAGAGTGAATTTGTCGAATTGATTAGGCCTTGCCCATTTTTTTGGAACTCTTCCATAGCATGCTTGATCAGATTTACTTTCTTTGAGAAGAGTTGGTGTAGTAACGCACACAGGGCTTGGCGGATAGTGTTCTGGTCATGGTCTTTAAAGAAGAAGTAGCAAATGGTTGCTGAGTTGGAATGCGGTAATATGTCGTCAATAAGGTACTTGGCCAAGACGGACTTGCCACAGCCTGGGTCTGCCGAGACCAATAATAGACCAGAATCCTGTGCTGCCCACATTTGGAAATTCTTATGCTCTAGGAACCATTTGCAGGTGCCCTCGGCCCTAGCTCCAACACGATCTTTATACCACTCATATGTGGTATCCGTACTCCCTGTATGGGCAGTAAGACGAAAGAGCTGAAGGCATTCTGTATTTTGTTTAGACCACGTCTGCTGGGCTATATCTTTCTGTACCTCAAGGTGTTCCTGTGCAATACTCCTATGTGCTTCTGCAATATCTTGAAGGCCTATAATTTAGAAAAACATGAGTTAGAGTTCGTCGCTTGTCTTAGAAGAGATTAAATCAAGGTTGACAAACCAGATAGAAGGTCCTTGATCCTTACCTCCGCTTCAATTCTACTCGGAGAGACCCTGCGTAAAATGTCTTTGGCAAATGCAGCGGCCACCATCGCTGCGTAACCTTGCCATACCTTATTCTTATGCGAATCTGAGTAGTCACAGATGCCCCGAATGACAAGACATGGAAATTGATTCATCAGCCCTGCGGCTTCCATTTCAAAACAGAGAACGTTCTTCTCCGCTGCAAGTCTATCCCGAATCAATGCATCTTTCATCAGTTGATTGGCGGAAGCAATCAAACCGTAATGGACAGCAGGGTTGTCTTCCTGTTTGGATCGCTCAGGCCGCAATATGATGTTAGAGGAATCAGTATAGCAAACTATCTCAGGTTTGAATAGTTTGTCGGTATATGGGGGTGGTCGTCTGAACTCCTTGCTAAGTCGTTGATTCCGATCGATCAATCCATTCACAGCCTCCTCGAGTTGATGTCCTTTTCTCTTGTACTGAGCTCGAATCCCCGTTATTGCTGTGCGTAATGTAGCCGGAGCCTGGTTCAAAAATCGCGTATACTGAAATCCCTGGCCTTGGATTGACTTGCCAAAGTCATATTGAAACACACCACCCTCGCCACTGCCACCGCTAGAAGCACTCACGACAACATCCCCCAGGCGGATATCATGCCTCTCGCTAGGTACACCCCCGCCAATGCCCACCATAAGGCCGATTTTGACGTTGGGGAAGCTGTTGAGCATGTTTGTTGCCACGCTGGCCGCAGAGGCTGTACCATACTCCCCGTCAGGTAGGACAGCAATGACGACGTTGTGCTGGCATATTTTGCCCAATGTGTAATCGTTGGTATCATTTGGCGACACAAAGGTCGGTCCTTCGTGCTCCTCATCAAGAAATTCCTGCGCGGCAACGTATTCCACGTCGATAGCGCAGATCCACCCCACTGTGTATTCCGCTGGGTCTGACATCCCACATGTGACATGCCCCACTTCCCAAAGATTGATCGGGTCAGAAGAAGCGTCTCCTGCTTAGTCTCGAGCCTTTTCACGATATCAACAGTCGGGTATATTTTGATCTAAGCTGTTGGACCCCATGTCAGACTGCGGGGGGTTCGTTACCGCCCTCTTCCATATCAGCGTACCTCTACCATTCTTTTCCCCTCTTCCCCGTACTCGCTCATCCGAGTTTCAGAGAGTGTAACTGAGAGAAAGTCTTGGTATCTGCCGAATCGGATATCATTCTTGACGAGGTGAAGGTGGGAAAATGTTTGGTGACTGGATCGGAGTAATATGCAGTAGAATTCCATGCCACCTGATCCTTTGCCTTAATCATCCGCACGTGCGTACAGTTTTCGCCGGGAATCGGCTTCTCCTCAGCCTTCAATCTTACTGGACGATTTAATTCTACGCCAGGGGTTATCCGGCTTGGTGAAACAGCGATTCACTGCCAAAAAAAAATAACAGATTGTTTAGTACGTACCATGTACTTGGAAGGGCTAGTTTGATTAGTACCTGTACGTCTGATGATGTTTATTTGTATACTACCAGTAGTTGCTTCGCTGTGGGTCACGTATTCATTTTATGTTTTTTTAACGGTTTCAACTTTCAATTGATCTAAAGCATGGGGTGTCAGCATGCTAGTTAAACACAGCCCTCATACTTGGACATTTGCAGCACGGATCGGCCCGACTTACATGGATCATTCACAACAAAACAACCCATCTTGTCCCCGCACCTGTAACCGTCACACCACGAGCTGGATCCACACTTCCTCGACAACGCCGATCTTACTCAAACGCCATGGCGTCGACAGACTTACCTGTCGGGGCCTCCACCCTCGATTTTGATGTTTCCATGCTGAAACCTCCCATCCGTATCATTCTACACGTCCTTCCCAATGTTCAACAGCCCCCAAAGCTTAACGTCCGAGCGAACTGTCTCGCAATTGCACAATCCTTCTTTGACCAGACAAAGCCACAACTACTTAGCCGTAAATCCGCTTACGTCCATTCACCACTACCTGAGGAGAAGTGGGAAAGTCGCGTGATTATCGACGCGTGTACTGGTGAAATTATAGAGGGGTCTGTTTCCGATCAAATTCCTCTCTCGGTTTTTATCGTTTCTCAAGGAAAGAAGGGCTGGTATGTGTCTTCTATCTCCAAACTTGGAATTTCCATAATGACATACTCACAGCGAGTTTCAGAGGGCTATTTCTTCACCTTTCATCTTCAAGAGAATACGCTCGACTACTAATAAGCTTCCCTGGAAAGCCAAAAAAATGTATAAGATACTCCGTCTTCCTCCCCTTCTTCGGGTTCCTCAACGCTAACTAAGCAACAAGTCACAGTTAGCGATCTCCCAATGGATCCAGAGACCCGCCAAAAGAATAAATATCTTGCACAGGCGCAACAAATACGAGATATAAGGCGGGGGAGTCAATCGATCTCACTGTCGAACATTGAAGCCAAAATTCGTCAGAATGTAACAGGTGTGAATTCAAGCTGTGAAGAAGAGGGTCAACCTGGCTCGGGACCAAGCGGCAATACCCCCATCAGCCTCGTCTCACTGTCCTATCTTCCTGTGCGTCTCCAAGGTTACCCAATTCGCGTCGTTTTGGTGGTCCCAGTTGATGAGACTGTCGGGGATCTCCGGTCGCGGTGTACAGCCGCAGCGAGGGCCTTCTTGGAGCTCATGATGATGGATGTGCAGCAAAGGAAAAAGACCTTTTACCTCATCCGCGGAATGACCGTCAGTGGGCCGGATAAAAAGGAGTCTCAGATGGTGATTGACTATTGGATTGGGCAATCTAAGGGGACTGAGCAGCCACCACTATTGACGGTCGCCTATCAAGGCCAGCTTCAGCCCGATGGGCAAATGTAAGTTGACTTTTCTGCTAACCAGTTAGCTGTTTTGTGACAGGTGTTGTCATCGGCTATTGGGGTGGGCGTTGTGGCTGATTCGGGCTTTCTTTACAGGAAATTTCAGCCGACGGAGGGAGGCAAATCAAAATACGTGAGGAGCCCCACTATTTTATACTATGTTTGGTATTTTCACCTTAGATTACATGCTGACATGATGTGTGTTTTAGCTCGTTTTCCTGATGAAACATGTGTTGGCAAAGGATGCGGTCACCATAGAGGGAGAGGTAGCGGCAGCAAACCAGACTAGCTTTTCATCTGCACCTGAATTCAGCCAGCCACCTGTGTCCCCCCAAGCTGAAATTGATGGATGGTCGGATATAATGGCATCTGGCGACTGGGTTATGCCGGATAAAGCGGCCAACAGTGGCGCGCTGAGTTGGGAGTTTATTGGCCGCGAATGAGTCCGGCCAGATTCCAGCTACATGATGATTGAGAGATTTATGGCCCATATCATCATATGCATATATTATTATGTACCGTCGCAGTATGAGAGGGCATGGATCAAAGGAAGTATCCAATATTCACCGCATTAATATGTTCTGCATACAAATACTTGGAGCAAATACAAGATTATTAATTCATCTGGCAGATTTATTATCCAGTCCAAGTGTCAATTTTTTTTCAAGGCAACTTATACGGTAAGTTATCCCTACATAGAAGAATACTGCAAGGGCCACATACTGGGCCGTGCTGGCAAGGGCGCCCCGCTATGTCGCCAAGAGCCGCTAGATCTCCAGCGATCCACCGGTTTGGATCTGCCCCCATCTTCTAATCACTCTCTTTGTCCTGACAGATTTCGCTTGCTGACTACGGCCAAGGCTGTTTTACCGATCAAAGAGATGCCTGAAATTATTAGGTCTCCCCTTTACAGGCTGGACTTGAAATCCTATCGCGACTGGAATGGCGGTCAGCCATCATAAACCCTGATATTCCATCACAATGACTGCGCATGGTGCGTCAAAATTGCTGTGAATGGATGGACCTTTGCCAGAATCAATAACAGAACTTGGCTATCTTCGACCCCGGTCGAATTTTCAAGAATTTGCCAAAGCAATCGATTTCGCACGATTGCCACTTTTGGATAATACTATATCTAGAATTGTTTTGACCTTGACCGAGGAGATCTAAAATTCGATCCCGATTCGAGATCAATTTCAACTCACTCACTGATAAATTCTTTGTTACTTCTGCCTATTAAATATGCTGTGATATTGCTGAAGATCTTAAAAGAGTAAAAGAGATACACTCGCAACTCTGGAAGACCTGAGAGAATAACCTGTAAACATTAAGAACCCTGGAACATTCACATCCTTTCCACAGGTTGTATGTAGAACTAAAGTACATCAGGTAACGTTGGAGGCTCAGTGCTCATCTATTTGCTTCCATTAATATTCCATTCGTATCCATGCCGACAGTCTATGAGTTTCAGATACTGTAACATCAACGGTATTCAGATAATATCTAGTACTCATACGGTATCATACCTAAATACAGTAGTAGCAACGGAATTTGAAGCCTTAAAAATCCCAAGAGTAGTAATTTCCCGGTATTTCATACACCGGGGCACTGGAAGTGATGCGGTTTGGATCCGATTGCTAACATTCATTCGGAAACTTTCCTGTATTTGATGCCCAGGTGCAAATTCCTTGAAGGTACTAGTTTGGACCACATCATGAGAGGGTATGTATATAAAATTCCTATGTAGCTGGGGTCAACTGGTTACGAGCCAAATATCCGTGGACATATTCAAAACGTCGTCCAGCCTTACAAGAATAGCACTCTGGTTTTATTGCAACTGGTAGGTATCATGGTGCACATTACATCAATTAATATGGGGTGATAGCTCAGTTCAAATGTTGGGAGAGCGCACGACTGAGGTTCACTACAGTCTGACATTGTCATCGTGAGATCGCCGATTATCCCGGCTCGCCCCACTAGCATTTCTTTTTTGGATTTTTTCCGCTCTGCACTACATCCAAACCGGCAACTCCTTCCTTATCAATCTATTGAGTTTTTTTTTTCCCGCCCAGGTGCTGCATCGCGGTTCATCTGAGGGCCAACTGTGTGCCTATCTGTATTGTGTCGCGGAACTAGAAGTGCAAATTTGATCAATGCACGACGAGCGTGAGTGCGATTTGAACTGGCGACCGGTTGATCAAGCCTGTAAGCTTTGTCAGCGGTAAGTCCAACCGACCTTATATAAGATTTTCTTTTTCACATGAAGAAACGGGTTGAGAGGCAGGAACGCGAGGTGTTATGTGGTTGGTCAACTGAGATGGAGTTTAGTGGCGGATGGTGTCAACACATGTGCGTCTGGTTGGTGACGGAGGGTCCGAAACACCAATTGCCCTTCACAGCCACCCCTTACTAGATCAGGGATCTTCGAGCGAGATCTACGGTCGCTTCCTGCAAAGAATTATGGGCGATAAGTGCCAAACCCTCTCAAGTTGGAAGATGTTGTTTGAGAGGAGCTTATTATAGATAGAGATTTTGCACATAGGGAGTCTGGAATACTGAAGTACTACTTTATAGTTACTCAGATGAACAATACTGAAACCTTAAATGGTTAAGAAATTTCGAACATTCGCTCCAATTACTATCTTCGTCCAATTGGCCACTTCGCCCCACCATTGTCAGCACGTTCCCAAGGCACTCCCGTCGGGTAGTCGTCCAGAGGATGGCGATGTGGGTCAAATTGGTGTCTTCTAGATGAAGTTTTCTTTTAAATAGAAACGTAATGAGAACTCAGCATTTCACACAATATCTGCACACCGCATCAAATGTTGCAAGAAGCGATTGCCGACCAAGTCTAAATTAAGCATAAGACAGCTACAGTTTTGGATCTAGACTCACTAGACTCTCTAGAGAGGGCTTATACTTTGTTCACATGATCGATCTTGAAGGCAAGCTTGTGTGCGGCCCCACTTTAAACTCAATTTGCGCACCTTGGCTTCCTAATCGGGTTTAATGCTGGAGCTGCATACAATCCCATGATATCTCGCAATTTTTTTGCTTTGTGGGATCATAAGGCCGCCGACGAGCTTTAATTCTCTGCTCCTCCACGATTTTTTTTTCTTCAACTCATTCAACTCTTCATCATGGGTTCCTCGGGTCTGCAGCTGGTCTGTCCTTCTGAGCACGACATATACTTTAATCTCAATGGAGACGGCTATTCAGAGCCCCTCACCGGCGCTTTGGTGTTGCAGCGCCGCGCCCTCAATCTCGAGTCTGCCCTTCAAATGCAAATTCACCTCATGCAGACCGTACTAGGGGAGAACAGCCCTCCTGCTACAGTCCCCGAGAAGAACTTCTTAAAGCGAATTCGCACTCCTCTTGGAAAGGTCCCACGACCAGAGGCTCCGGCGACCAAGTCATCCACCATTATTGAACAGGTGACGCTTCCTGAATTGCCAGTCGGTCAACTTGAGGCCTCTTTCGGCGGACGTGACGCCGTCCCCGTTCCATTTTCTGTTCCCATTCCTGTGAACACGCCCGGAACAACAACTACACCTCTGGGCAAAATCTCATACTCTCTCATCGCCACTGTGACCACTTCACAAGGGCAAACCATTATCACCGAAAATCCAATTAATATTACGCGCCAACTTATCCCAGACCGGCAATGCATTCAGCATGTCCGGTCATATGCCAAGTCCCCCGCCATTACCAACATTGCTTTGTCGCAAACCATCGCGACGGACGCCAAATCAGGAATTTCCGTCTCCGCCAAATTATACCTGCGGCGAGGACTAGCATCAAAAGCCAGAGACTCCGAATTCAAATGTGCTACCATTCGTGGAATCCACTGGCGCGTGGAAGAAGTCACCAGATTGGTCGATCAAACCCTTAATAACCTCCAAGATCCCCCGGAGGATTTCTACTGCAAACGAGAGTCCGTTCGCGAAATCTGCAGTGGGAAGCAAAAGGGGTACTGGGCCACACGCGACAATCCCCTGTCGAAGCAGCCGAAATCAGAAGACCAAGATTCCGCTGTCGACATTACGATTGATATCTCGATTCCCAAAAATACAAAACTCGCCCCTATGATTGACGGTTCCTGCTACGGATCTGGCACCACGGATTCTATATCGATGCCACTTGAGCTCCAGGATCGGTGCCCGACTAGCCATGAGAATCTGGCAATCTTGATTGAACACCGGCTCAAGCTCGAATTTGTCACGGGCGAAGATACTTTCGATACTCGTTCTAAAAACCTGGTCGACCGCAAGCTGCCGAGGGCTACGCTGTCTGCACACTTCCCTCTCCTTGTTGGGGAGACTTTCAAGTGTGATTTTGAGGCTATTGCTTTCAGCAATCCGCCGAGGTACGAGGAGATTCCGCTATCGCCTCCAGAATATTCGCTTCCGGAATATCAGCAGTTTATATGAGAGCACTTAGTCTCTCTGACGATTTACGATAATTTATAATAATTAATAATACTACACACCTTCATATTCAAGCAACACAATTCTGCAGTGGCTTAATTTTACCTATAACTTCACGACTATTATTACCACTGCTATGTACCTCCTAACTAGGACATACCTACATACTGTCTCCCGGAAAATGACAACTGAAAGTTTTTCAGTAAAACTAAAATCAAATCTGGGGTCGGGTCCACGTGCAATGAATTGACTTCGCTATTGATCGTGTTACGCAGTTGCACAGCGAGGCAAAGAGTAGATTGTACCTGAAATTTTCCAATTGTGAATAAAGTGCTCCATTGTATGCGCTAATAAGCTTTAAGCTTTAACTAAGGTTATCAGAGATTCCTCAAATGCATATGCACGTATGCATGCCATATTTTTTCGACTCCAGACACCGGGTATTTCCTCAATCCTAAAACAAGATACAACCGCTGATGCAAACCGCTCATGCAAAGACAAAGAAAAATTCAAAGGAATGACTTCCAATCATGTCATAATCACATCCTCTGCAGGGGTGGATATGGCAGAGGGCTCGGGAATGTCAGTCATCTCGTTGTCGCCATCCTCGTCACTGGCAATATGATCTCCATTTGGCAGATCCATTTCCGCAGAGGCATCAGGAGAGACGGCATTAGGATTTCCTTCGCCCGGCAGCTCCTCCCAAACGCGAACTGTCTTGTCCAACCCACAACTGACAAGAAGACGCTTGCCGTTTAGATTACCAGAGTGAACACAGAGAACAGCGTCAGTGTGACCTTCAATACGCTGGAGAACGTTCTTGGTTGTTAGATCCCAGCACAGGATAGCACCATCTTCGCTGCCGCTCACGGCAAAGCACAAGGGCGGGGAGTACTGAATATCCGGTGGGCCGTAAAGACCGAAGCATCCAGACAGACTGTATTTTTCGTTCACATGGCCCTGGAAAGTCTTCACAACACGGCTCTCCACGTAGTTCCACATCCGCACGCAGCCATCGAGAGTCCAAGCCAGGACGTACTTGCCATTTGGCGAGAACTTGACGCAGGTGGCAGGTGGCTGGTCGTCATGCATCAGAGTTCGGAGACACTGACCACTGTGTGTATCCCAAATACGGACAAGACCATCCAACGCACAAGAGACAATCAAAGTTCCATCGTGGACGACATCGATACCGGCAACGGGGTCGGAGTGAGCTGGGAGAGATCGCATGACGCGCGCGCGGCGCACATCCCACATGAAGACAGCCTCATCATATGAGCCGCTAACGAGAATATTACCCTTGGGTGCGAATGCGATTTGATAAACGTAGTTGTGGTGGCCGACGAAGGTCTTGGTATGAGCTCTGCCCTATAGCGACAAGTCAGCGTGTAATTTCGGAGTTTAAGATGAGTTGTTTGGGATCCATACGGTATTCACGTTCCAGAAACGAATTGTCTTATCATCGGACCCAGACGCGATCCATTGACCATCGGGACTCCATGCAAGGGTGGAAATGCCAGCAAGGTGGCCCTCGAAGGTGTAAATCAGCCGGCCATTTAGCGTATCCCAGACCTTGATTGCTGCGTCGGCACCTAATGCAGATACGAGTCAGCGAACCTCCTTATTCTCAAGCCTCGGAATTTCTTACCAGCACTCGCAATCATAGAACAATCTGGAGAGAATTGAACAGCAGACACGCCTCGCAAATGACCGTGAAGGACAAATTTCTCATGGTAGTTGACTTTTGTAGGCTTGGGAGGCAGTTCTGGAGCAGGAGGAATCGGGGTGGCAGAGCGGTCAGACATATCGTCATGTATAGGAGTGATATCTTGATCTGCGTCGCTCGATTGATCTTCGGAACGACGTTCAGCGTTCCTGCTCGCGTTGGCGGGGAGGTTGACGGGACGGGTGACGGATTTGGGGCTCCGGCGGTTGCGAGAGGTACGCCAGTATTCGTCAGCATCGACAGCCAGTTCATCGGGGCTTTCTGACTCTCTAACGTGTCGGTCATGAATTGGGCGTTGCGGTGTGAAATTCTTATGCACGCCCCAGCTTGTTCGTCGGCGATCAGCTGGTTCATGATCTGAAATCGCCGCCAATTCATCCGACGACGATTCGACGGGAGACTCACGAGTTTCCCGCCGGCGTGATTTGGAATGCGAATAGTCCATGAGAATTGACGCCAATTCAGGACGATGGCAAACGTGCAGCGTAAATGCGACACGCCGCGAAAAAGCAAAAGGGCGCGTCACGAAGGCGGTGAGTTCCCCAATTTACATCACTGATCGACACTCCACGTTTAAGCTCCTGATGTCAACACCAAAAGGCCAATTTCATCCAAATGGCTTCCTCAATTCCTCCGAATGAGCCGCCGACTCATATCAAGATCCTGACCCTCAACTGTTGGGGTCTGAAGTATCTTGCCACCTACCGTCATGAACGACTTGCCGAAATTGGCCGACAGCTGGCTCTGGCCAGCCCGCCCCCCGAAATAGTTGGCTTGCAGGAGTGCTGGACCCAACAAGACTACGAGAGCATCCGAGATCAAACCCGCCACATTCTACCATATGGAAAATTCTACTACGGAGGCATATTTGGTGCGGGGCTGGCGATTTTATCAAAGTGGCCAATCGAGGAGAGCAGCATGTACGGATATCCACTGAACGGACGGCCAACAGCCTTTTTCCGTGGTGATTGGTTCGTGGGCAAAGGTGTCGCCTGTGCCAGAGTGCGTTTTGGACCAGGCACAGCCGATGTCGCTGAGGTGTTCTGTACACACTTGCATGCCCCTTATGAGCGTGAGCCCCACGACTCGTATTTGTGCCACCGCACAGCGCAAGCGTGGGAAATCTCCAAGCTTATGCGCGGCGCTGCAGAGCGAGGCCACCTAGTGATTGGACTGGGCGACTTCAACATGCTGCCCTCCTCCTTTGCTCACCGCTTGATCAGCGCACAGAGCCCCGTCCGAGACGTTTGGCGCGTGCTGCACCCGGACTCGTCTCTCGGCGCTGCAATTAACCCCGTTGAGCAAGCTAGGAAACGACCGATACCATCCGCAGAGTTCAATTTGCTTGAGAATGGTGCTACATGTGACGGTGCTTTTAATACATGGCGCTGGTCTAAAGCTCTCCAGAAACGACTTGACAAGGGCGAAGAGATCACCATTGACAAGGATGACGCTGATCCTCGCGCCAAACGTCTCGACTATATCTTCGTTGGTGATGGAGGATATCCCCCCGAGTTCCCTGCCCCTCGCTGGTCTGTAGAATCAGCAAAGGTCAGCATGACCGAGCGTCACCCGACCCTTCGCTGCTCTCTGAGCGATCATTTTGCCGTCGAGGCGGTCATTACTCGCTCTTCTGGTGTTGATATTATCAAATCCGAAGCTCAAGTCCAGGTCGACCAACCCCACTCACCGGGATCTCCTTCTCTCCACACAACAACCTCCAAACAAGTCTCACCCAATGCTGCCCTGTCTCCGGATACATATGACCACATTATTGATATGATTCATACCTACGAACAGAGAGAAAGGTCTCAGCGTCGCTGGCGCCTTGCGCATTTCCTCTTGTCGATCGTAGTATCTATTGGATGCATGGTCGGTGTGTGGTGGGTGGGTAACCGCACATATATTGGCTTCATTCTCATCCTGGTCAGCACCTTGAACTTTGGTGCCGGTATTCTGGATGGTCTAATTGGCGGACTGTTCATGTCAAGTGAATTGCGTGCCCTGAAGGAATTCGAGTGGGAGGTCCAAACTGCCAAGGACTTGGTCCTGGCTGCTGAGAAACGGGGCCCCGCCTCTAGTCGGAACTCGGAGGCGCAGGATTGATTCCTTGTTTCTTCGCTCAAAAAGTCACTGCAGCACATATTCTCTATTTATTTACGGTAACAGCCCTTGCAACTTATGATTGCCAGTCTTCCATGCCTTGGCTTAAAGTAATACATAATTCCCAACTTTGAACATTCTACAGATACAAGATGCCAAAATTTGAACATTTTTGATGTCGTGTGAAACGACCATAAATTGCATTATCACATAAAATGAGTGTGGAGCACATTATCAAAACGACTGCCAGCATAAGGCTACCCAGTAGCATAGCGGAACCTCCACCGAAGACGAAGCGTTGCTGATGATAATCTTATCCAAGTTTACTCAGCACACTCACGCTTACGTTCTTCAAAGACACGCAGCGCTTCCTCGGCAGCCTTAACACCAGACATGGCCATAGCTCCAAAAGTCGGGCCCATGCGGTTAAAGCCATCGATCTCCGAAAGCTCCATGCCGCCAATGATAAGGCCCTTGGTAACCTCACGGGTGTTCTTAACGATGGCATCCTCAGCGAGGTTCATATCAAGGCCACGCATGCCACCAAGCTTGTCGATGTGGTTCATGGAGACAAGGCGCTTAGCGCAGAAGGCACCAAATGGACCGTCGTGACCAGTGGTACTGATGATGACAGGAGCGTTGATAGTGTTGGGATCCATGCAGGAGTGGTCATCGTGGTGCAGAGTGACCAAAGTCCAATTGACGACCACACCAGCCAAACGAATCTTGTCAGATCCATCAGGACGGGTGATCAAGTCCTCGACACAGGTAGCGTTGAAGAGCTTCACATTCGGGAAGGCCAGAACGCGTGAGAGTAGGGTCGAGGTGAAGAGGGCGGCGTGCTTAACAACCACGAAATTCGGGTTGTTGGGCTCCTCCTCGAAGGGGACACCAAGCTCCGTGAGAAAAGCGTCGGCGGGACGACGGAGGACCATGGCGGAGAAGAGCTGGCCACCGAGCCAGGCACCACCACCTATTGAATACTGGGTTAATAAAGAACCTATCGATCATTTGGTCATACGAGGTATGGGCTCACCAGGAGACACCGAAGCCTCGACGATAGCGATCTTCAGGTCTGGACGGGCCTTGGCAAGCACATAGGCGGAGCTAAGACCACAAGAACCAGCGCCAACGATGACAACATCGCTCTCGGCATAGTTGTCCAGATCCTGGAAGTAGCGACGAGTCATGGCACGAGAGACCTGACTCTCGCGGATAGGGGCGAACTTGAACTCATCCCACTTGCCACCGAACTGGTCTAGAAGCTTACTCTGGCCCTGGCCGGTCAAGGTGGTTGTAGTCGTCTCGGGGACGAGAACCTTACCCTTGATGGCAGTAGGGGCGACAGAGGGCTCGAAGATAGCAGCGGGAGGAGACATTGTGGAAGTTAGGGATCAAGTCGTGGTGACTTGGGAGCCTTCGTTAGTTTGCTATACAACAAGTGGGGAGAGAAGGGGAAGGCATGATCCTTTCGCTGGTATTATCCAGATCAAGTTTTGACCGTATATTCTCAGAACGAACCCACGCCATTGACATTTGCTTCATTTTTCGCTCCCAGATAGATCATATTCATCTAAGGAGGATCGAGAAGAAATGGCAACGACGCAGGAACGAACACCGGCACAACGCCCAGAAGTTACCTGAGATACCTTGATCCCCAAGGGATAATATGCCCAGCCAAAGCAGAGCCATGGCTTCCCACAAGATTGTGAGGGCAGTATGTACTTCTTGAAAGATCTGTACTGATGGTTAGCTCAGGCAGACCAGAATCAATAGGTCTCATAGTTACTGAGTTGGTCTTTGCGAAACTGATTCAGTTGATATGAGAAAGAGAAGAGAAAAAAAGAACAATAAGACCAGATGAGGGGCAATCTTATATGCGATTACTTCCCCATACCCTTGACAATGTTGTCATATTTCTCCGAGTCTATCCGTTCACCGGCGATTTCAAGTGGCCGGTGAGCTGCGAGCTCGGGAGGGGTATGTTGATCTTGATCGCATAATGACGTTTGTGATTTGCGGGCTTCGGAGCTTTGTTCTACTCTATTACTCATGTTTTAACGTTGCAATGTTGTCATGACTTTATTGTCTCACTGATTCTTTTGTAGAACACCAATTCGAGATCTACACAACACTCTACAACATAACTCATCAATTGAATAAAACAGACATGAACAATCACAATCAATTGATAAATCATTGAAGAGTTTTCAAAATTTTCCGAATACTCCACGATGATCCTAAACTTAATGTACCAGTACCTCCTTCTAGACGCAAATAAGTGGAGATCGGGAGACTCTGGTCCGAATGCCTCATCCCCAGAGCTCCGGTCTTTCCCTGTCAGCACCTATCACAGCCATGAACCTCTTTTTAATCTTCGAATGGCCATTGGGTATGTTTCGTTTCTCTCCGATTGTAGCCGGCATGGCAGAATGGGATGCAAGGTTGGTGGAAGCGACATATTACATCGCAGTTTTGTACTTGAAAATTGACTGAATTCTGAGCGACATCGCTGTATCTGCATTGTGATCGCAATCTAATTGTTTTCACTACTCAGACAAATCCAAGTAGGGAGTTCAATACCAGCTCTATGTAGAAACCAAAGCCCTACTAAACTACTAGTATGTATGAAATAGTAATACCATGGAATCAACCAACCTTAACACAACCTCCACTAGCACTAATGACCGAGCCCGTAATCCATCTCGCATCCGCACCACTCAACAACCCAACCACATCCGCGACATCATCCGGTTGCCCAAGCCGTGGTATACACTGTGTAGGAAAGAACTCATTCTGAAACTGCTCTACAGCCTCAGGTCCACAATTAACCACGGCCTCTGTCTCCGTCAAGCCCACCGAAACAGCATTCGCCGTAGTTCCCTCCATAAAAGCATACCTCTCCTCCTTCCCACCAAAAGCCTGAGCCCAAGTCCTACAAAGCGACTCACCAGCCGACTTACCAGCCCCATAAATCAATTGTCCACTCCACGGTAAACGGGACCGAATAGATGAAATGTAAATGATCCGACTATTTTTCTGGAAGTACTTCCGCCGAACAAACTCTTCAACTATCAGCACCGGTGTCTGTATGTTGCCGAGAAGACTATGCTGGATTTCGGTCGCGTCCATCTCACCAATTACACCGGGTATAGGATCGCAGGCGCAGTTGATGAATATGTCCACGCGCCCGTTGAAGCTTGTGTTGATTTCGTCGGCGATCGTGCTGGCACAGCTGGAAGAGAATATGTCGGCGACTAGGCCTTTGATCTGGAGGGTTTCGGGTTTGCTTCGAGATGTAGATTTGAAGGCTAGGTTTGTTACTTCGTTGTTGAGGGTTGATGAGATCGAATCGATGCCTTTGTCGCTGGTGCAGGTGCCGAGAATGGAACAGCCTCGTGATGCGAGATTGAAGGCGATTGCTCGCCCGATGCCGCGGGATGCGCCGCTGATTACGGCGACTTTGTTGACGAGGTCTAGCTCGCGGGCGCGAGCTGGGAGGTTGGGGAGGGTGGTCATATTGTGGATTGAGATTGAGGTTGAAGTTTATGATCAAGGAAAGGGGTCCTGAACTAAACATTTATTTCTTCGTATTGATTAACTTGAATATCTATATAGACTAGACTGCACGGACCCATCGCTTAGATTGCGGTTGATTCCGCTGTTACATGTCCACGGGTGAGTCATTATGGACGAGGTCTTTCGCCAATGACAAGCTCAAGATGTAACATGCTGATCGCTGCAGAAAATAATTTTAATCAATCTATACCAATCGAAAATACGGCACCCAGCCACCTTAGAGGATCTTTGAGAACAAAGGTGGATTATCATCTCGAGTGTCATTCGCAGTACTACTTACTAGTAGGTCATAAAACATACATGCCAGGTGATCAAGAATTGTACATATGGAATCAGATCAAACGGAACTGGTAGCTAGAATCACAGCATATACCGGAAACTAGCACCGTAGTTGTCTTCCGCCACAGCGATCTCTCCTTTACTTTCATCTACCTCGACCCGCGGTCCGTACTTCTTATCGAGGCGCTTGTTTTCCCAACCCAACAAGCACCGCAGAACCAGAGCAAGGAAAGATGTGAAGACCATAAACGCAGCACAAATAGACATACCCTTAATATACCGCGGCGCTTCATCATCGGGAAAGACATTGGTACCCAAGAAAGGACCACACTGACCAATGATGTTAAGTAGGATAATACCCCCACCACGACGGGTATCAGAACCTTGATTGTCTAGGAGCGGAATACAAGTCAGCAATGTTTCAACTTTCAACCATATCCCAAATTCTAGAGCAACTATTGATGACTTACTCAGGACCCAAGGCAGGATATTTGCGATCGCCGGGAATACCCCACAAGCCGCCAGAAACACGCCGAAATACCGTACGCCCACCGTGGTGCAAGTGGCGCAAAGGATGTACCCCACACCGCCGATCAGTGATAGCGCTGCGATCATTAGCCCGCGCTGCTGAGTTCGATCCGCCACCCAGGGGGTAATGATGGTGACGAGGAAAGAGGCGAAAAATGGTGGCGCTGTCAGGCCCTGCGCGTTCACTTTCGAGTAGCCCATTTCTTCCAGAATGGTGGGTAGAAAGACAGGCAGTGAAGAAAAGCTAACGTTGCAGCTGAAGTACATGAACTAAGCACACGGGAGATCACGATTAGCGATTTTGCCATATTCGGACGGGGTAATTTGCAAACAGATCGATCACATACGGCAGTTAACCAGGCCTTCGCGTCCAACAACGTCATAGCCAACTCTTTCCATTGCACCTTGCTCTCTCGGTCGGCATCGCCAGCCTGCTGTAGACCACGTGCACGTGCGACCTCCTTCTCCTCCTCGGTAAGAAATTTGGCAGATGATGGCGAATCCGGAACAAAGAACCACGCCAGGATCGCAGCTGCACACACAGGGAGACCCTCTACTAAAAACAATACCCGCCAATTGGCTAGTACGGCATGGCCAGATGTGATGCCATAAGCGAGAGCACCCGCAAAGGTATTTGCTAGCGGAGCGGCAGATAGGAACAGGCCGCATCTTAAACCGAGCTCATGACGACGATAAAAGAATGAGAGTAGGTAAGGTACACCGGGACCGAAACCAGCCTCGAAGGCGCCCATCAGGAAACGAAGCGCCATCATTCCCTGCCAATTCTGTGTTGCTGCTTGGCAGCTTGCGACTAAGCCCCTGTGAGCATGCACCATACAATATGAGTAATTGATCTTGTTGTTTATGGTGTCAATTCCGTGGGAGAGTGGGCACATACCAAGAGAACACAACAAAAGCTGCCCATTGGTGTGGTTTGACGATCTTCCACATCAAAGCCTGGAATTCGAAGACAGTATAGGATATATAAAAGATCGTTAAGAGCCATGCGTATCGGTTACCCGTGAGGTTGAGGTCTTCGGTCATTCCGGCGATTTTTGCATTTCTGATTTTGTCAGAAATTGTTCATTGGGGAGGTACACAGCATGCAACAAACCCAATATTGCTTCGATCAAGGAAAGCGAGGAGGTCTGAAATCGAGAAAAAATCACCAATAATTAGCATATGATATTATTTTTAAAGTAACAGTTCTCAGTCATACAGAAAAATCCCATAAGTGTCGGAACACGCAAATCCAATTTCCTCACGACTCGGCGCTCCAATTCTGGATCAATAGCTGCTGGGGTAAACTTTGTCGGGGGTTGGACTGGTGCTATCTCCAGCTGTGCGGGCAGTGTCTTCTCGACATCTTGATCTGGAGGCGCACGCTGAATCTCATCTTCAGGGAGCTCAAGCTCCCCCTTTCCAAAGAGACCCATGGCGGCGGGGTTTTAAAAACAGAAAAATCGCGGCCTTAGCTCAGTAAACCTCGGGGAGTATCCATACTTTATAAAGCGCGGAGCAAAAAATGGACTGATCGACAGCCAAGTCGTAATTTATCAAGCCACTGCTCGGTTGACTTCAGTACAATCAGCCAATGATTGGGGTTACATCTCCACAACGAAAGCCCGAACCACCAAATCCCTGTGTGGATACAGTGGGGAACACCAATAGAATTGGTTTGTGCGGAGAAACCACCAATCATTAGGAAGTGGAGTCTCCTCAGAAAAATCTTTGTTTCTGCTTTGATGCAGAGTCGATGTGACAGCCCTTTGCGCTTCAAGCCGCCTGATTCAGACTGAGAAGGGGGGAAATACATTGGGCCGGAGCTTTTCCGTGGAGACAACTGAGATCTCCCTTAAAACTTGCTGGAACCTAGTAGTGGAGAATCATGGAGAAGAATGGGGTCCCCGCAAAAGGCTCCAGATTAAGCCCCATAGAAAACATTGGTAACCCACAATAATGCCTGTGAGCGCAATACCCCTCATCGCGAAATGCGGTCGTACGGGATGAAGTTCGAGAGGCACTGGATGATCCGCGAGAAGCCCGCTCGTGTCAGGTGACCCTCATGGTGCTAAAAAGATACATTATCTTTGCATCTATGGATGCCATTGGGACTGGAAAGATAATAGTAAATAAGTAAATCATGATCTTTTTTCTTTTTGAGATTGAGAATCCAATTTTTTTCCATGAACATGAAATCATCACTAATAGTGAGTGTAAGCGTATATCAGTAGTATGTTAAAGTGACTCTGGATAGTACAACCTACTAGTACTTGAGTAGTTTTGCAGGAGAAATCAATTTAATTATACCTAACCTTCCATAACTCAACCTCAATCAATCATGTTCTCCAATTGGACATCCTGGACAATGGAATTGACAGTAGAGTATATCATCAACCGAAAATTTGTCCCAGTCACGCACATCAGGTCCCACTCCTCGAGAATTAACATGAGTTCTGCGTCTTTTATAGGATCCTCTCTCCCTATAATCCTCTAGCTCCTCTTCCTCTTCACTTTCTCCTTGCCCTTCTTTTTCTTTCGCCTCGGATTCATTTTGATACATATGGAACCGATGGAATATCCACGTAACATTGGTACTCTTAATACCTCCCCATTGTCTCTCTTGCAACATCCATCCAAGAACCTGGTCTTTTCTCTCAATATCCACACCGGCCTCTTGCATTTCAGGGAGTACCACCATTTTGAGCAGAATCTTTGCAGTTGGGTTGATAGACATCAGAACAGCAAGGCCGACAGGAAGCACAGCTATTGGAAGCTGACAAGAGGACATTCCACTCTCTTCCCACCCATTCCTGCTCGCACGGTACCGACGACAGATGGCTTTCGGGAGCAAACAATCCCCACATGAGTTCGGTGAAACTCTAGTGTTGAAGCTTCCCATAATTTCTTGGATCTGTTCTCGAACTTGACAAGCGCCTCGTTCAGAGCATTTGCGAAGTTGGTGTCTTTGCTGAGCTGGGCGTAGCCCAAGAACGTGGCAGAAGGCGCAGTCGCTTTCCCATGTGGCTACCACTTCCCTAAGATAAGAAAGTGTATCTGTGGCCTGGCCCTCTATTGTTTCGTGCTCAAAAATTGCAGGGTGGCGCGGATAGAGGCTCTGAATTTGCTTTGGCTGGGGACGGTAGAGTTCTATTCGCTCTTCCTCTGTCTGTTGCTGAGCAAGGGATCGTTTATAAGGCCAAACTTGGGAATTTTGGGAGTTGTTGCGTTGTCTGAAAGACATCTTAAATCTGCTAGCTCCACTGAGTTTTAGGAGGTTTTTCTAGCTCAACTCCCCCTAAGTTTCTCAGGCTGTAACAAGTTGAAGTAGTGAAGAATCTTTGAAATGTGCAAGCAAGTGGTAAATTGACAATGATCAAATGGGAAAGTTGACGATGAGAAATTGAAATCCAAAAATATACTGTGTCTCTTTCTTCCCAAGTCACCGGTAACTTCCAGATATACGGTGAATTTTCTGACGGAAATTATTTTGGTCATTCTCAGGTTAGTGTTGATTTCTTTGTTCGATCTTTACCTATGACTAGTAGCATGGACTTTTACATGCAAAGCCCAGCCCCGCCTGCTACCTAAGGCACAAACGCTCGTGCCCTGCTCCGTTCGCGCTAAAACTTAGTATACATGAATATAGAAGCACTTGAGCAGTGCAGGAGACCAAGCTAATTATCCCAGAACCTTTCTTTCAAAGGCCCGGCTGATGTAAACAAGCAAATACCATTGAATTCAAGGTACATAGTACATAGTAGTACTATCAAATACGCCAACCAATCAGCATTCGGGAGGCAGCGTTTTCCCGAGGCTTATGTCCACGGACCACGTACAGTATTCGAGAACTAAATCTAGGAAATCATTCTTCAAATGTTAATATTACTTCTAAATTTAAAGCAACATTAGAGGCAAGCAGCCTCTCAAGCCTTAGGGTCCTTGAGTAGGGATTCCCGATGGTTTTTGCAGATGTTGTATGTATTTAGGTACATTTACGCCTCATTCATAAGGTGTCCTGCACATCAGGTATGTATGCGCAGCCGGACCGCATCAAAAATCTCCCGCGTCGCGTCGCCAGGAGCTCCATCTGCCTTCACGAAGTCCCACTTTCATCCGCTCATCGCATTGACCGCAATTGAGCTCCAGGGCTTCGAACCTCTAACGACATTTGCGATAATCCCATTCCATTCTTTAATCACATTTCCAACCCACCAGTGGGTTTTGTCAAGATGGATGACCCGGCGAGCCGTTTGCCTGGGCAATTGGTAGGACCCTCCAAATTTGTTTCTACAAGTCATGGCATAAATTATGTTAAAGCTTTAGAGAGAAAAAGATATTAACATGATCGCTATAACTGCTAGCTGCCTCATATGCATCTAATTTCTCACAACCGCTATCCGAATATGCACATGATGCCCGCCGAGACCGCCGTGGAATACTTGACTAGCGCACCCCGAGTCTGCCAGCAGAAGCCTGTGCACTGGACTCTTCTGGATGGTCCTGCTGATGGTAGTGTGATGCTTACCTGGCAGCCGATGGCGCATTTGGGCAATAACTTTGCGAGTGACGGTTATGTCTGGGCCGATGCTGAACAGGCCTTTAGCTTTGAATCGCGAGGCTATGTAAGTGATCCCCCATGTCGCGCACACTGCTGAGTAGGACCAGTTAAAGACTAATCTTTCAAATCAGACCGTCGAGATGTTTGTGCACCGCAGTGGATATCACCCCCCACATGAGAATATGGCCTCTCACACCCGAAAGCGCTATCGCCTTGTTTCTTCTAAAATCCCGAACGGTCCTCAGCCCGACCCTGCATTGTGGATCGTTCACTATTCACGAGCTCCCCCAAATGACCATATCTCCGCCACCCGTATTCCAGTGACACCCCAAGTGCAAAGTATGATGAACCAGCGACGCTTCTTGCAAACTCAAGGTCAACTGAGTCGCAAGGAATTCATGCTCCACGACCGCAACAGCTGGCCGACAATTCCTTTCCCTCAACAAATCTCTGCGCAAGGCTTCCCTCAACCCCCGCCTGCTTACGCAAACCCTGCTGCACAGGCCCGACCTGGATTTTACCCACCTCAGGGCCATCCCGCCGCCGCCGCCGCTGCCGCTGCCGCTCACCCATCAAGCAAAGCCCAGCGTTCACACCGTGCCTCTTCCGCTGCCATGGCTGCCAATAGCACTGATTTTGCCCTCGAGGATGAGGATGTATCAAGCGGTGACATAATTGATCAGTTCGGCGTGCGCGATATCAGCAGAATCCGCTATACCCATAACCACGAAATGATGGATGAGATCTTCGCATCACCTGTTGCTATTTCGCAAATCCAACCAGTCTCACTTGGATTAGGACTGAAAGGAGAGCTTGAGAGTTTGACAACAGGGTTCTTTGACGCTCCAGATGGTAGAGAAGGTCAAGACAGCGACGCCCCAGTAGCATCCAAGTTGGGACCTGCTAAAGCAGAAGAGTTTGCGAACCGGGTCGCCAAGCAAGTGGCCGACACAAGTGCTGAGATTGAGAATCTGAAGAAGAAGCATGCGCGTCGAATGGAGCAGTTCAAACGTAGCTCACTTTTCAAAGATGCTGAACTGCGCCTTCGAGAGGCGGCTGCTGACCCTACTGAAACGGGTTCCGAAGTGTGGAGATTGGAGGGCCGAATTGTCATCCCCTCGGAGGATGATGAAGCACCACCTACGGAATATGTTGAAGAAAAGGCGAAATACAGAGTGGATGATGTGGTACGCGATGTCGAGTCTGCATGGAAGAAACAGATCATGCCCGAGCCCAAGGTCTCCTGTGTGGAGAAGGGTGGTCTCCTGGAAAAGATTGAGCCAGAACACAAGGATGAGCCCGAATCCTTCGCCAACGACATGGTTATGGATCATGCCGACAATCTCTTGAACCAGTTCAGCAACACAGAGAATGGAGCTCCTGCACCCTCCGTGTCAGGTGCTAATATCCCAGGCGATGTCGATATGGATCTTGGCGATCACCTCGGCGGTGCCAATGGTGAAAACAATGACTGGGTAATGGTTAATAATGAAACCAAGGATACCGCTGGTGGGGATTCGAGCTTGGAAGGGGCTGCATTTGATTTTACCAACATCGACAGTGCAGGTGATGCGCTGGCCGCCTACTCCGAACAGCATGACGACCTTGACCTCCCTGATCTTGACAACTCGGCATTTGGAGATGCCTTCCACGCCTCGGATAATGAACACTCGCACCACCAAGATGCCGATGAGATGTCGTAGTCGGTTCCATCTTTATGGGTTTTTTTTCTTCTGTCGGAAGGCGCTGCTAGGAATGTTTTGTCATGCGTTTTAGCACACTACAGGCCCTGTGCTCTGCTTATGGTGTTTTGTGGGGATGGATATCTGAATCTGATACACAGTCAATGTTATCTGTGTACTTTCAAACAGAAATATTTTACAAATTACAACTGGAATGAAATCAATTATGAGTCGATCATCCATGATTAGTCTACAGTCATGGCATATATAGTAGCTAGTATGGCTCCATTGGGCCCGGAATAGTAGCTTTGAGAATACTAAATGATATTTTAAACAATTTAGTATGTATTGCAAATGCAGATCTACAAACATTGAATAAAACTTGGTTTATGTACATGCATTATACTAGGTAAGTAACACTAATTCATACAACCCCACATCGGGTAATACAAGTGCCAGTGGGGGGAATGGCGATCACGATTCCGAACGCACCAATTGATCCAATGCAAGTCGAATTCGTAGTTCATCCACTCAGACCAAACTCTTGCTTGAACACGTAGGGTCATGCACTCCGCTGCAATTGGAATAGTGCATGAGCTCACCATCCGTATCTCCCGTCATGACGTCAGTCAGCCACCGGGACTGGACTTCCTGCTGCACCGGAACACCAAAGCTACAGCAGATTAAGTTGGGCGCATCGTCATCTATGGGAAGGAGCCCTCCTGCATATAACTGGCAGATCTTTCGTCCTCCCTTGCCGGAAACCTAGTACTTTATTACTACCTACTAGGTATACCATTCTATACACTTCCTCGAGTATCACTTTCACCATACCATTGCTATACCAGACAAGATGTAGCTTTCACCTTTTTATTCCTCTCTCACACAAGAAACTGACAATCTTTATAGGAACCGTACAATTTCTATCCGCTCTCGCCGTGACCGTGAGCCCGCAACCAACCGCCACCGCTTCAGCATCGCAACCTTCCGAGGCCTCCAACAGCCCGAACTAAGCAGGCGTCTATCCAAACTAATTAAGTCGGAGAACAGCGCAATCGGAGCTCATGAAGCTGCCGGTCGCGAGCGCGGCTCTATCGCTGCCCAGCTCTCAGAATGGGGCGAGTCTACTGAGGATGACGCCGTCTCCGATATCTCGGACAAGCTGGGCGTGATGCTCGCAGAGATTGGTGAGCAAGAGGATGTCTTCGCGCAGAACCTGGAAGACTACCGGGGTGTTCTGAAACATATCCGAAACATGGAGGCTTCTGTGCAGCCGAGTCGAGACCAGAGACAGAAGGTCACGGATGAGATTGCGAAGCTGAAGTACAAGGATCCGGCCAGCACTCGGATTGTTACGCTGGAGCACGAGCTTGTTAGGGCCGAGGCTCAGAGCCTGGTTGCTGAAGCGCAATTGTCGAATACGGTATGTGCTTAAAGCTGGCTGGGTCACTGCTTTGGCCTTTTTTTTCTTCTTGTCTTTGGCAAGAAACTTGACGGTCAAGGTTACTATAGAGGTTAATTGCTAACTTGACTGTCTCAGACTCGAACAAAGCTCAAGGAAGCATTTGACATTCACACTGCCGCTGTCATTGAGCGTGCCGAGAAACAGATTATTCTCGCTCGCCATGCACGTCGCCTCCTCAACTTCATCGACGATGGCCCCGTTGTTCCCGGTGATTCTCGCCAGGCCTACGACCATGAATTCGAAGCACGTGCCGTCCTCGAAGACGCAGAGGCAGATCTTCGGGCATGGCACTCTACCGTTGAACCCATTACGTCGTCTGCTGCCCCTGTGAATGGAGTAGGTGCTAGCCATGTCCACGAAGACAATGAGTCGGAATTGCACAACGGCGTTGATACTACCGGACCCCCCGATGATGTCTCGTCTACCAAGGAGCTTGAGGAACCTGCCGTGTTGGCTTCTTAAACGCTATGAAAGTCAAAGCTTGAAACTGTCTTCTTGGGGAGATTGGGTCTGTATATCCATGTTTCATGTACACTTTATTGCTCTCTGCGATTGACTTTAGTTGGGGTAATTGGGTATTGATTTTTGTAAGTACTAGGCGCAGATTGGTGGGCAATTCGAATATAAGTACTTTGAATTTTCTTTTGTGCAATAAATTTCACACACCAAAAAAAATGTCCTCTTTTATTCTTAGATGGTCTGTAGATTAAAGCTGTAGATTATAGTCCAGTACGTACTATAGTACCCCATGCCATTGGTGCACATGTGTACTAGTAGGCGGTTACACTCTGGAGTATGTACATGGCCAATCATGGAAATTTCGAATGGGAACTTCGAACGAGATAAGTCTTCAAATTGGGAGTATTTTCTCGCCTTGATATTCATACAATTTTTTTCAGATCAACGATAACTCTCAATGACCGATCGTGCTATATCTCTAATAGACTAATATGTATGGCTGCACGTGACCGCAGGCGCCCGAGTGACGCGGAATCCAAGCTCTAGCCCGGAGCTGCCCCATCATCACATCTTCAGCTCGTCCTTTATTCATCACCACCCCTACCTCCTATATCCTCGTTTGTTCACTTCTATCAGCACATCATGGATAAGCTCGTCGCCCAGTACTCGCGCCCGCAGCACCAGAATGAGTCCTACTCCGAGCAAGAGCAACAGGACCTCACCGAGAGCATGCCTCCGCTCTCCCTCAAGTTCGCCCTTCCTCCTGTCGACAACGTGAGTCTTGCAACAAGCCATTCCGCTGCTTATGAATTGCTCAGGGGCCTTTTCGCCGAGAAATTGTCCCCCACCCCGTTCATCCAGGCTAAGCCCGTCTCCAACGATGCGGCGACTGGAGCTTCCCAGCAAAAGAATCTCATCCGCAGAAGAACCTCAACTAATCTCATTTTCTGCTCCATTTAGCATGCTTCCTTCCTCCGTGCAATGACCGATGACCTCGCCAACCCTAGCTGCCCCATCAAGCTCGCTCACGGAACAACAACCCTGGCCTTCCGATTCCAGGGCGGTATCGTACGTTTTATCCCGATCGGCTCGACTGTCCTGCAATACCCGTGACTTATCAATACTGATGCGTTTTGGTGGAATTTAGATTGTGTGCACCGATTCGCGAGCAACAGCTGGAAATTGGATTGCTAGTCAGACAGTGAAGAAGGTTATTCCCGTGTCGCGGTTGAGCCGTGGCGAGGACAAGCCATCTAATGAGCCTACACCTGGTTTGTTGGGTACTATGGCCGGTGGTGCGGCGGTAAGTTGGAAGATGATGCGACTGTGGGATGTGTGAATGCGTTCTGATGATTTTACAGGATTGCCAATATTGGTTGCGTTATTTGAGTCAGCAGTGCACTCTGCATGGTAAGTTTATCGGTAGCAGTGGAGAGGAGCTTGATGCTAACAGTCTGTAGAAATCCGACACAAGCGTCGTATTACTGTCGCAGCTGCATCGAAGATTCTCGCCAACTTGACTTATGCTTACAAGGGCTATGGCCTGAGTATGGGAACCATGCTTTGTGGTGTACGTATTAAACACAGTTCTTGTATATTGTTGGATTTGGTCAATGATTCTAACCCCATTTTCCCCCTCTCAGGTGACTCCCCAAGAAGGACCCGCTCTGTACTACATCGACTCAGACGGCACCCGACTGCCAGGCAACCTGTTCTGTGTTGGATCCGGTCAGACATTCGCCTATGGTGTGTTGGACGCCAACTACAGCTATGATCTTTCCGTAGAGGATGCGCTTGCCCTGGGTCGTCGTGCTATTTTGGCTGCTATGCACCGTGATGCTTACTCTGGTGGTTTCATTAACTGCTACCACGTTAAGGAAGAAGGATGGGTGCACCACGGCTTCGATGATATGAACCCTATCTTCTGGAAGACTAAGCTGGACCACGGCGAATTCTCGAATGTCACATCGGAGTTGTAAGTGGTATAGGCTTGGTTGAATGTACTTTTCTGATGCTCGGGCCATGGCGTCTTGAATTGATTGTCTCATGAAATAAGATCTATGATGCTTTGATCTAGTCAACAGTTCCACGTAATAAATTCCTTAAACAAGACGGTATACCAAACTTCAAGCACTTGAATATCTAGTATACTACATACCAGGTAGTACTAACTTTCCCCTCCAAACCGTGAGAGGAGATAGACTATTCATACATGTAAACTACATTATAACACATGTGGTGTTTGAAGATCACTACTTGCAAGTACAGTCTCCAGGATTCACTTGTACATAGCAGTTCATGTTTAATTCATTAATTACAATATTCGAGGATCTTCTATCTTCCTCTACCCTCTGCATTGGAAACAAGAGCTTGGCTTTCTTCGTCTCTTGATCCACCATCTTCATCGTCATCGTCATCCTCGTCGGCTTCAGCATCACTGTACTCTTCATCAGAGGCCAAGGCAAACTTATCAGACTCAAGAGCGAAGTCTTCAGCTTCCAGACGATTGTAGCCTCTATTTCGGTACCACCAGAGCCCGCCAGCCGCAAGTATCGTCAAACCAGCAACACTCAGTCCCGTCGCAAGCAAAATGATTGCTGTTTTAGATAATCCCGAGGTAGTCTTCAGCTTCGAAGCTTTCTCTGCAGCAAGGAAACCGGTAAAGGTCGAGTTGAACTCATCAAAGGCATCAACAGCAACGGAAAGTGTGGCACCATCCAAGTCCACAATCTGGCTCGACCGAAGCACATTCCCCTTGGCATCCAAGGCCTCAGCCCAAATATACCGCCAGCTCTTCGTCTCCTCCACAATCACCAACTTAGTCTCAAAGCCAGTGCGGACAGATCTCGTCACCACTTTTCCTTTCGAGTTCAACTCTAGACCCGCTTCAACACCCCTCACCACCCACTCCGCTACCTCTGTCGCGCCGTTCCAGCTAACATACACGACCAGCTCGCCCTTCGGACTCAGCCGCGGGGCAATGGACGGATCCCACCACGGCGTGGCAACCCAGTCCATCTTGTACGCACGGTAGTTATCCAATGCATCCGGGATCTCCTCGCTATGCCACGGCGAGAACTGCACATCCATCACCGTCTCGCCCGTGGCAATATGCTCCGTGAACGTGGGACACCGACCCCACCCGATAAACACGTTGCCGAGATCCTTGTCGCCGGCCTCGTGCGAGAGAACCTGCACGCTGCCCTGGCTTTGCGCTTGCAGCTGCGACGGGTGCCGGTATTCGCGGAGAAGTTGCACAGTCGGTGGCCAGACGGTGTCGTCGATGGCGATGTGCAGACCCCGCGAGCAATCTGTATTGCAGGTCCCGTGCGACGTGTCTTCGACATGGTTGTCGAATAATGTCATTTCACGCTCTGATGTGCCTGGTACATAGCGGGCGTGGTGCTGCCAGGCCATGCTGAAAACGGGCTCGGCACCCTCTGCTCCATCGGCCGGATCTAATTCGATAAAGTCGTTTTGTGGCCCGCCTAGTGTCCAGATGATGTCGCCGGTTGTGCCGTCGATCAGCAGGATGGAGTGTGTGTGGCGCATTGAGATGAGATAGTTGCCCGCTTCGGTCTGGAAGGTGTTAGAAGGCGAGCGTTTTCATGGGATTAGATGGCATGAATGCTTGCGCATTGCTTGTTTCTTCGTCTTACCTTTTCGATGCTGTTCAAGTGGTACGCATCCCAGCCAGAACCTCGTGGTTCATGGGATTCCATGGGATTGACGTGATCAATTGCGCGCCATTCAAAAAGCACCTCGTTCGTCTCCAGATCGATCTCCTGGAAGATAGCATTCAGAACCTCGAATCGCCTGGGAGTCCCCCAGCTCGGATCGAATTGGCTGGACCGGCCAGTCATGACATCTACACCGGTGACAAGTGCAGTACCGTTGCCCGTAAAGGCAAACTCATGCAAGTCGCTATGCACTCTTATATTCTGCGCCCAGATCTTATAAACAAGCCGATATGTCTCGTCAAACGCAAGCCCATACCCGTCTCCAATTCCCAGACCCTTCTGCCCCTCCCAGAACGTGAGGTACTTTTTCCCATGATTCTCCTGGATGCGCGTGCCGAACACGTTTTCGAAAGAGCGGTTCATGTAGACGGCCGATAGATCGTTGGCATCGATAATTAAAGGCGAGGAAAGCGGCGAACTCTCATTGCCGTCATGTTTTAAGAAGATATGTGATCCCGTCTCGGAAATGGCGCTTTGGTTCCACACATTGGCCTGTAAGACTGGTGCATATTCGCTACTAGAATGGAATTCTAGATGTGGTCGATGTCCGAGAAGTCCCTCATTATATCCGTCGTAGTCTGTTGATACGAAATCAGCGCGAGCGGCGTGAGCTAGCGCCGTAAGTCCGCAGACGAAGCTGAAGAGCCGGCCCATGGTGACGATAATGACGATAATGACGATGATTAGACGCCAGATGAATAGTGTGTATTGATGCGTTATAAAAGCAGGGGGGAAAAGGGTATAAGATAAACAAGCTCAAGTCAAAGACTTTATTATATCAAGCCGCTGCCCATAAAATGTCCAGGCGAGCTGGAAAGCAGAACACCTCGAACAGCAACATTATAAAGCAAGCAAAAGGAAAGGAAAAAAGAGGAAACGCAAGCACAATTCACCATGAGACGTATGCGCAGACCCGAATGGATCAATCAGTTAAGCCAATCATCCTGTCTCTGGCTCATGAAACCCCATAGAACTACAGTGTATGGAGAAAGGAAAAATCGGCAGAAGATCGAGCTTGCGTACGCGTTCCTATGCTTAGCGCGTACTGCCACGAGTACGGACGGGGAAAACGGATCCGAAAAGCTGGGCAAGTGTGGGACAAGCTGATAAGTAGAAAATGGTTAAAGTAGAAAAAAAAACAAAGGATATAAACGATGTTGACGAAGTAGATGAACATTAGAAGTATAAAATAACCCTATCTTGATATAAATGCAGTGCTCATAACGGTGTTGGATTGCACCATCTCACACATGGAAAGGGAAAAAAAAAAAGAATCAAAAGCCGTCGTCATTCATTGCCAAGTTGGGCGGGTTCAGGGGCGGAGTGGAGCCTGAACAATTTTCCCGTTATCATTTTCGTATATCTCGTACGCTAGTTGGGGGCTTGGCGCAAGACAAGCAACGATCGGCATTTGTCTAAGATCAACATTTGAAAGGTTGAGTATTTATCCATAACACTTCTAAGCTTCTATAACCAGTTGACAATCTACTCTGCACCAGAGCTACATACATGTATAGGTTAAAGGTGCTCGAGAACAACTGCCAACTTGACATTGAAACCAGTTCATCCATTGCGTATAGAACATCAAATATTAACATTTGAACATAAAAAAAAAAGGAAAGAAATAAGAAACCAACGCTCCATCTATGACATGACAAAATCACAAATTTTGGAAAACCAAACACCCGCAGTATACCGAAGTATAGAATTGCACATCTTTTTTGGGGTTTTTTAGTTGTCCACCTTGAACTTCATCCGGATACCCATAGCTGCCAGCTCGACATCCAGGTAACGGAGGACACCAGGCACAGCGACGATGGTCACGTCGTCACCACCAACATAGCGCAAGCCATCTCCATCCTCCCAAGCCTCAGCCCGAGAATCATTGAAAGTAGCCTGGCGAGCACAACGGCGACAGCGCACAATACCGTTGACACCGCCCAGGGCACCGCCAACAGATGAGGCACCACTGGGAGCCTGCTGGTTGGGAGCAGCCTTGGCAGCCGCAGCAAGAGCACCGGGGTTAACAGCAGCGCGCGAGCGGCCTGAGCCAGATCCAGAGACAGCGACCTGGGTAGACAAGAAGGAGCCACAGCAGCGACAGATCCAGGTAAGCTGGGAGTCAGAGCAGTTCATCAGACGATCCTGAAGCAAGAAGGCCGCTCCGTGGGCAATCAGAGAATCACGCTCCATCTCTCCAACACGGATACCACCACCCTTGGCACGACCCTTGACGGGCTGTCCGGTCAGTGCATTGACGGGACCGGTGGTACGCACTTGGAACTTATCGTTCACCATGTGACGCAGACGCTGGTAGTAAACGACTCCCATGTAGATATCGGCGGCGAACTCGCGACCTGTAATACCGGAGTAGAGAGGCTCGTTACCGTAGTAGTTGTATCCGGCCTTCTTGAGCTGGTGACCGAAGTAGTCGGTGGCGGTGTTCTCTTCGGAGAACTGGAAGGGAGTGCAGTCTTGCGGGACACCGTGCAGAGCACCAGATTTACCAGCCATGGACTCGATCATCTGGGCGATAGTCATACCTATGAGAAGAAAAATGTAAGCTGCGTTCAATCAAAAAGAGGATCGGGTGGTGTAAACTTACGAGATGGGAAAGCGTGAGGGTTGATAATCAGATCAGGCTGCATGCCACTCTCGGAGAATGGCATGTCACCAGCAGGCCAAAGCTGCGAGCAAACACCCTTCTGTCCGTGACGAGAGGAGAACTTATCACCGATGATGGGCTTACGAGGAATGCGGTACTTGACACTGATCGACTGCATGGGCTCGGCACCGCTCTCAGAACCCATGATACGGATGCTTTCAATATAACCAGCCTCAGCATCCTTGTACTTGAGGAAATGGGTGACACCATCAACGTTCACGTAGGAGTCAGTTGCGGCATCGTAGCGCACATCGTGGAAGGCGGCAATCTTATCTCCCTCCTGCACGCGAATGCCGACATGAGGCAAACCGTCATCATCGATGAAGTTGCGCACCTCAGCCCGAACTTCATCGCCAGGGGCAAAGCCAAACAGCTTGCTCACCTCGCGACGTGACTTGCGGCGGTCCTTCTCAGCTAGACTATGCACCTTGGTCTTGTAGATGGTACCGTGACCAAATCCGCGCTCGTGAGCGGATTTGTTGATGATCATGGCGTCGTCCATGTCGTAACCGGTGTAAGAGATGATAGCAACAACGGCGTTCATTCCGTTGGGGAAGTTGTCCAGACCGTAAGCATTATACAGGGGTGTCCGAACAACGGGGGTTTGACCAGTCTGCAGGCGGTACAGCTTGTTGTCAGTACGGTAGGCGATGGAGGTACCTGGAGTACCCATGGTCTGCTTGCTCATCTGGCACTGGTACATGTTACGAGGAGACTGGTTGTAATCGGAGAAAGGTGTCATGTTGGCAACAATCGAGAGGATGTTGGTGGGTGTGAACTCAATGTGAGTAGAGAGACCAGCGATCAGGTCAGATTCCAGACAGGCAATCTCCATGTACGGCTGTTCGAAGGGTCCAACCAAATCGGTCTTCTCCAGAGCGAGGTGCTTGACGGGTCGGTAGAATCTGGCGGACTGGGAGAACATGTAGATACCGGGGTACTGTCCACCGTTGGAGTTGGGAATATAACCAATCTCCAGGCCGAGCGGGACATTGTGAGTACCCTCAACCTTCCAGTAACGGAGAGTGTCGTGAATCTTGCGAGCCTGCTCAGGCGAGCAGGAACCGATGATTCGGCCGTCCAGCTGAACGACCACGCTTTCCTCGGTTGCGACCGAGGATTCAGCCTTGACACCAAGTTGAACAAGAGTGCGGGGCAAGCTGGAAACATCAAGGTTATCCGTGGAGATCAAACACTTGTGCGCCAAGTGATTTAAGAGACCACAAGGCGATCCATCAGGAGTATGAACAGGGCACAAGAAACCCCAACTCTCTGGCAGCAATTTACGGACGGTGGTGGTCTTCAATTGAGCGAAGAAACTACCACGGTGAATCATTCGGAAATGACTGATGAATCGGTAGAAGTTAATCTTCTCTGCCATGACGGTGTAACCAGATGTCTGTTGCAAATCGAGACCAGTGGGACTGACGAGATTACCGGTGGACAGGAAGTACTCGAGGGCCTGACCAATGTTCTCGTTGGACCGCTTCACGATCTTGGACAAAAAGTCACGCTCGAATGAATTATCAGTGAACTTGGCATGGCCATTGCGGATGGACCAGTCTCGTGAGAGAGGTCCAAGTGATCGAAGCCACTCCTCGATACGCTCCTTGAGAATCATACCGTACAAGAAGCCACCGAGCAGGACTTCCTGGTTGGAGACGGCATCAGGGTTATCCGAGGCACAGTCACCGGCAACCAGAGCATACAGTTTGCGGATCATGAAAATGATCATCTTGAACTTATCGTAATCCTGGGCCTCGGTGACATCAAAGTTGCCCAAATGAGGTAGGACAACACGGCGCAAGAACTCAGCGCCAACCTGCTCGTCAGACGCATCTCCAGAGACACCCATCACTGGACGGAAACACTTGCCCAAGTGAGCTCGGCAGTCGGATTTGCTGTGCTTGCCGTAGGCCTGGTAAGTTCGCAACAAAAGCTCAACACGATCTGTGACGAATGTGTTCTTCATTCCCTTGGAATTGGCACCGCCAACGATACCCTCGAAGATTTCACGGTCGTTTGTCTCAACCAGAGCCTTGAGGATCATCATAACAGGAACCAAGAACTCATTCTTTCGCCATGAGAAACGGAAGGTGACGTTACCATCAGAGAGATAGTGCAATACGTTGGTCTGTGAGGTCTGATCGGGGCGAACGGATCGGATTTGCACACCAAATTTGGTGTATGTTTGACCACGCTTAACGAACGAACCACGGATGATGGACATGGGGAAATTCCGCTTTCCGACGATCAGCATTCGAATGAGCTTCTCGTTACCGTTCACAATAAAGTAACCACCTAGTTCTTCCGACTCTTCCTTGTGGCGGACCAATTCTTCGGGGGTGGCCTTTTCGAGGTGGCAGCGGTTGGTGCGGACCATGATAGGGACCTGACCAAGCTCACGCACAGACTCCATCCAGTCACCATTGTTGACCTGGTACTCCAGACGAGCCCGGAGCTTGGCACGGTAGGTCGCATGTCTCTCACGGCACTCGGAGGGGTAAATTTCGCGGTTCTTGGTGCTGTACTTGTTGGTGGGCGGGAGAATGGGCTTGTCGAGGAAAACTTCCTTCACACGGACATTCAGACGGTTGCGCTTGGGTACGCGAAGGCCCTCTGCCATGCGAATCTTCTTCTGCTCGGGGGTCTCGAGTTCGCCATCAAGGAATGTCTTGATACCGATATCTTTCAATCCTGCGTCCAAAATCTTGCTGTCCGCGAACAGAGCATTGAAAGAGTCGATGTGAGGCTTGATTGACTCTGCCAGGGACGGGTAGGCAGTGTGATCCTGAGGCGGGTTCTTGAAAAGGTTCTCCCGGCGGAGGGTGTCATACATCACCGACCACTTGGTGTCGGTGGTGGTAGCAGAGGGAGCCATGATGGCAGCTCACGGAGTGTTCGGATTTTTCGGATTTTTTTTCTTAGTTGATCGTAGCCCAGTCAATGGAGGGAGGATCTTGACCTGGGATGTTTTATACAAAAAAGGGACCAAGATAAGGCCCCTGCTAGCTTGGCCTCCCACAAATACCAGCAAAGGGATGAGAGCCGGTAAATGGCAGCTTTGATGAACAATTGGAGGTGATTCTGCTTGGGGAAATTTTTCGAGGGTGGAGCCGTGTTATCATCACGTGGGATAAGGGATGTACATGCTGTTTTGGTGCCTGAGGTGTTTACTTCTGTCACGAACGCCTGCTAGTTACTAGTTATGTAACAAAGTAGCTTCTTAGCCTCTTATATAAGTTAGCAGGAACTACTCACTAACCGGAAAAAGAACAAGTGAGGAATATCCACAAACATCTTTTTTGACTTGTTTACAAGCTGATTGAGTCCATTCATTCATGAAGTGCGTATATCTCGGGGAATTCCCGTAATGATTATTTATCCTTAATTTCTCCTGAATGTCCTCGTATTCTCCTGCATCCAAGTCTGCACAGTAAACTAGGCTACGTCAGGCTCTCAGGCTGCGAATGGAGCCTAAGCGCCCCTCTCTAACGGGCAGTCATGTGTGCCCGTAGATCTCGCATTGGCGACAGTACATAACATTTCGGTATACTTAAAAACCGTCGGGAAACAAGCGCTCAGGGATTCTATCTTTGCTTTTCCCCTTCCTTTTTGTTCCTTTCTGTTTTTTTTTTGGGATTTTTATCTCTTGATTTTGTTGATAGTCGCTAGTCCCAAAACCCCTTCAACTTCTGGATTTCACTACACACCGCGCTTCCTCTTCTCTTCCTCTTCTAATCCCACGCTTGGAAAAAGAAAAAAACTACTCCCCACAAACCCTTAGGCTTATATCTTTCACCCGGCAAGGGAAAAAAAAAACAAGAGAGAGGCTCTTCAAAGATTACCTTACAAAACCCACTTAATCTTGTTTTATTGGCAGTCCCGACCTTTCTTAAATCCGTGTTCTTCCCCTTCCCTTTCCACAACCCCCACCCACAACAACCGCCCCCAACATGGCTGGCATCTTTCGCACCATCTATGACTGGCTCTTGAGGATGTTCTGGTAAGTGGGACCGTTGAGGCGTTTCATGGTTCTCGGGAACACCGTCCAGCCCCCTCCCCCCGGCCCGTCCCCGCAGATGAAAAAGCGCCTGCTCTAATCCGGATCGTTCCCTGCAGGGCCACCGAGATGGATGTCACCATGATCGGCTTGCAAAATGCAGGTAAATCCTCCCTGCTTCGTGTGTTGGCCGTAAGTCCTCCCCCTCCCCCTTGACCCATCAAGTCCATCAGCCCTTTTTTTTCATTTCGTTGATTTCGGTGTTGCATCCAAATGCTGATCATGTGGTAGGGCGGGGAATTCACTATCGAGTAAGTTGTGCAAGGGACGGGAACTAGAAGACGTCACTGGCTGACCGGATTCCAGCTCCATTCCGACGATCGGCTTTAACACCAAGCGAGTTCAGAAAGGCCATGTGACTTTGAAATGGTATGTATTGTACCCAGGTTCGAGGTTGTGTAGGATATAAATCGCTAATGGAAAGAAGTTGGGATCTGGGTGGTCAGCCTCGGTTTCGCCCGATGTGGGAACGATACTGCCGAGGAGTTAATGCGATCGTGTAAGCCAAAAAGAAAAAAGAAAACAAACGACAAACCTCGAACAGGATACTAATATCCTGTAGATATATCGTGGACGCAGCGGATAAAGCGGCTTTGCCAGTAGCCACTGAAGAGCTGCATGACTTGATGACCAAGCCCACGTTGGACGGGATCCCCCTCCTCGTGCTCGGCAACAAGTCCGACCTGCCGGTCAAATTATCGGTGGATGAGTTGATCGATGCGATGGACCTTAAGTCCATCACCCATCGTGAGGTGAGCTGTTATGGGATCAGCGCAAAGGAAGAAACCAACCTTGACGCGGTGCTGCACTGGCTGATCGCACGAGCAAGCCGATGAGGTGGAAAGCCTCAGGCCCGCATTTCAAGCATGACACATTATGATCTTTTTTTTTTCGACTTGCTCTCATTTGGTTTCATCTGGTTTGAACTTTTTTAGTTCCTTTTCGTTTCCTGAGCGCGTCTTTTTGTTTGGTGATTATGTCTCGTAGACTAGCGTTTTTTGGCTCGCGGCCTCGGATGTAACGACGTCAATGATGTGTTTCTTTTCCTGTCTGTTATTATAGGTCTCTTGGGTGCATGCAATTTGGGGAACACAGTGTGGAAGCCCTTGGAATCGATCAAAGTTGATGATCGCATGTTAATACTATGTTAATGACATTCTCCACAATGTTCTTTCAGATCCATGTCGTTTCAAGGTTGATGGCTGGAGTTTTTCTGGAATGCTTCGAGATCAACATTGGAATGATTTTGGCCGGATTGGTCTGATATGACGTAGTAACTGGAGAATAAATTGAGTCCTCACGGTATCTGGGTCAATACATAGAGAGAAAAAAAAAGAGAAAAAAATACTAATGGGGGTCGCCGGCATAAATAAAAAGCTGAAGCGCACACGGACCAAGCGATGCGTTGGCCATGCAGAAGACCCGAAACCGTGAGTCGTGACCAACACCCCGCCAAGGGACACATGTCAAAGTAATCTACCTAGTGAGTAACCTTTTAAGTTGTACTTTGCAAACTAAATAGTAAAGACAATCATTCCAAGATATTCATAAATAGAGTGAGAAAGCTATAGTAGGTGTTATATGAAGAGGTCATAACGGTGATGGTATTTTCTGGCGGTATGATACTAAGCTACTATACTAACTAATACTATGAAATGCATCAATCATGTGATCAACCTCCAACACTTCCTCGGTCGCAAAGTCTCAACCTGGGTCACTGATAAAATAGCTTTTCCATAAATCGATTACAGAAAGAATGTCCCCGATATTGGTGCTCCCATCTGGACTTAGCATGTATATTGCCGGAGTTTACCGCTTTGGGCTAAGAGAAGCAAGTGAATGCGGTGAGTAAAGCTTTGGGTTTTCTGCCACAACCCGCTTATCAAATCAAGTCCAACAGTCTGATTGAAATCCCGGAGTATTCTTCCGTCTAAATATGCGTGTGTGAGCACTGAGGATACATGTACTTCGAATGTTTCCAAGCAAGACCCAAATAGGAGATGGCACCTGGAATGGGGAATATCCTTCTTAATCCAATCAATATTAGCGCCGAGAACCTAAAATATTCCCCAATTTCCTCCACTTTAGGCGCTTGCAGTAAGTATGTGTATGTACCGGTCAGTATTATTTCCTCGAGTGTATACATATACTTTGTATCGATGGATAGCTTTGTGATGATTATAACTTCAAATGTTACTAACTAGTAACTACATATAACTAGATGCCGACATACCCTGCTTTTTTGCCCAGCATCAATACTCCACTATGCTATGATTGGCCACCAACTGTATACTTGGCGGCGAAAGATGTACTTTAGTGCTGATACGTAGGACCACTACGTAATCAAGATTCTGATGAATTCGGTTTCACTTATATGGAATAGAGTAAACGAATGCCTTTTGAGAAAAAAAATTATATTTCAGATAGAAGTCAATGGAAGTGACTTTAAATAGATGCTTCTATGGAGATCAATAGTTTATCAAATAGTCATTTGTAGGGTTACGGAGTAAAGCTGATGAATCATAAACTTGCAGCCTAAAATGTGCCAAAGCCAGGGGACCCACTCTGCAAAGCCCCCAGCCCCATGAATCCATGATTGCGCCTCAAGCCACTTTGCTTCCAGTATTTCTTTCCCCTGCCCTCACTCTCTCTCTGCTCCCCATAAGTCACCTTCAATACCACAGTCATGCCTTCCCTGAAGCCCCGAATTTATTGGTAAGCTTGATATACCATCGACACTGTGATCCTCTGCTAACCCTGGATATAGCGATTCCTGGGATGATGACTGTAGCAACTCCAGCTGGAACAGTTGGGGTCGCTGGGTCGCTTTTGCCGTCATCGTTGCCATCGCCTTTTTGATATTCTTTGCTTTCGCGTAAGTTTCTCTATGGATATGGAACCTCCAACCAGAAATGACCCTCCCCCGATAAAAGGCTAACCGCGTCTTCCGATTAGTTGCTTCAACGCTCGTCGCCGTCGTTCGCACGGCCAACAGCCCTACACCGGCACATCATGGATGGCACCACCTCCTGGTCCTCCACCACCTCACGAGTCTGGATACCAGCAGCCTTACTACCCGAACAATAACGACCCCTACTTCCAGCACCAGCCGCCACCACAGTACTCCGCCAACCCGCAGAACTACGGCTACTTTGGCGCACAGGCACCGCCGCACCAGCAGCAAAATGGCATCGAATTGCAAGCACCTCAGAATGCCTATAATGCTTCCGGTGCCCGAGACTATGCTCCTCCCACGGGTCCTCCTCCGGCTAAGAAATGATTGATGGGCTGAATCTGTCAGGGCTTGAGTTCCTGTCCATCTCTCCGCACCCCCATAATCCTACCGATCGACAGGATTTTGGTGAGGGGATAGGGACAGGTCAAGTCGCGCGGGTTTCTACGACTGTGTTGATGGAAATGAACTGAAAACATCGGCGTTATTCTTTTTCTGGGTTGGAGGGATTCTGGGTCTTTTTATTTTTTACTATCTACCGTTGCTTTGGGAGATCCCGTTTGTGCGAAAGACTCGCATGGAACTGTTTCTTGTCACTTTTAATGTTTCACTCGCATCGATCCGCGAGGATTGCATCGAGCATGATTTTCTTGGAACCTGCATCTTATGAGCTGAAGTCATTTCAGAGATTTCTTTGTTTCTGCTCTTCGTATATTATATTTGACACTTAATGACACATGCCGGCCACTTGATATACATTTTTGTCTACATTTTCGCTCTAAAGGTTGCTTGATTATAAAAGCATCAACTGACAAGATCAGTTAATAGCCATGATTCATGGATCGAACTAGTCCATTTCCTACTTAGTCGTAATGATCCACCAGCTAATGCGCGGATGCCCCAGGCACATTTGACTCCACTCTACCGATCACCATCTCCCGCGCTTTTTCGCGTCAGCGTATCCCACTTTCCAACAAAAGAGGAAAATCATGGATATCGACGACATTCTCGCCTCTGTCGACCGCGGCGCTGGCGCCAGTGCGGAGTCAGCGGCCATAGACCACCAACTCCTCACCCGACTCTGGGTTGCCGAGCGCGCCGTCTCGGAGGTCCTGCCATGGCCCGCACCGCTAATGGAGCGGATAATGGATAGAGTGCGAATGCAGGTAAGAAATCCAGAATTCCAGAGAAAACAAAGCTGTAGCTTTATACTATCTCGCGATTGTCATGGCCAATACCAATGCCACAGACCTTCCAATGTCTACTATCTAGCCCCAATTGCGACTAACACCTATCATCAATTGTTTAGATCGAAACAATCGAAGACCTCGCCGCCTCAGCCGCAGACACAGACACCCTCGCTTCAAAACATACAGCCTACAACCCAAACCTCAACCTCCGCCTCTCAATCCTCCAAACAGACCTCGCCCGCACCCAATACATCCTCCGCAGCCTCCTCCGCCAACGTCTAGCAAAACTCACAAAATACAGCATGCATTACCTAGTCCAACTAGCCAGCCGGAACAAAAACCCCCTCGCCCAATCCCAAACGCCCTCGCAATCGCAGTCCCAAACCCAGTCCTCGCAAGTCACACCAGAAGACTCGGTCCCAGACATCTCGGCCGTAACAAATTACTCGCCGCTCTCGGCGCAGGAATGCAGTTTCATGCATGCGCACCAGACGCTGCTGGCGGGGCATTTTGGCGGCTCGTTTATGGGCGCGTTTCCGCCGCAATTGAGGCGGTTGGATGATAATGCTGGGGGTACTAGTATGGTGCAGGGGCCTGATATGAAGGAAGTCGTCTTTGTGCGGTGTTTGGCGGTTGAGGTTCCTGTTGTTGTGGAGGGGGTGGAGGGGGGTGAGGATCTGGGCGTTGTGATGCGGATGGGAGATGTGTGGGTTGTACTTTGGGAGGGTGTTAGAGAAGCTTGGATGAAAGGGCAGGTTGAGCTGCTCTGATTTCGACTCTTTAAGATTTGTTCAAATACTATATTTGAGTATGAAAATGGTGGCTATATGAGGTTGGTTTTGTTGATCTATATGTCCATGTTGTTTGTTTCTGGAGTATGGCATTTTATTTGGCGTTGGATGATTTCTTTTTCTTTTTGGTTTTGGTTATTATATCCAGGATTGGAGCATACATCATACATTTCATGCACTTTCGAATTCATGTCGTGCATGTCCAGGTGCCTCAAGTGCTGGAAGTCAGATTCAAGTCAACTCAGATGTTCAAAACGAACATTTGAATATACCAGTTTAAGTATCTACTAGTATATGTCTTTTAGTATTCACTATGTAAAGACTCGGAGCTAATTGAGCGAGAATACACGTCTCGCTCATACAAAAGTGCCTCTCATTCCTCATTCCTCGTTCCTCGTCACTTCATGAGAAATTGATCATGTATGATGTATCATGAATCATGATACCCCACCCGGCCTGCCACTTTGCGGTTCTACGCAAAAGCAATCAACCTCCTGTGACGCCAATCGCTAAACCAAGCAGAAAACATTAAAAATAAGAAAGAAAGGGCAAAAACAAGAGCAAAAGCAAAAGATGCAAAATGGTGGGGCCGAAAATAAATATGTAGCAACCAACTCGAAAATGCCCGCATGTTATGCTAGAGAAACCCGCAGATGCGTAAAGTCTTGGAAGGGAGACAAAGGAAGAACACAAGAGACCTGTAGTTTCCACCTTGTGATGCAAATCTCTAGGCAACATAATCGTAGGTCGTCGGTTCATCAGACACTCGATCCAAGTACTCGCGATCAATGAGACTCTCGATACGCTTTTTGATCATGCTGACATCTGGAGTAAAGCGCGCAGACAGTTGGGGAAGGACCTCGGACATGAGCTGAGTATGAGTCAAGGTTTTCCGTTGCCTGTAAGGGGAAGATGAGACATGTTAGTGATACTGATACAAAAAGCTCTGTATAGGGGTTGATGGGTGACCGACTTCATGGTGCGCACAATGGCAGACTCGATAAGGCCATAGCGCTCTTCATTGATCCTCTTCTCGGTCTCCTTCCGCTGATCCGTGTTTTCAACCTTATTGGCTCCACCACTAACAACACCGATGCGAACCTTGACGAATTGGCTTTGGAATTCATTGTTGAAGAGAAAGCGGTCGGTGGGTTGGATATCCTTGCTCATGGGGGTTTTCAACAGAACACGTGTTTTAGGAGCAACAGCCAAAGACTGGAGGTTGCGAACGAGGTCATATTCGGGGATTTGAGTGCTCGATACAATCTCCTCATATGTGAGTGATTCTCCATCTGGGATATCATTAAACAGCATCAAAATGACCAGTGCATATGTCGACACATTAAGCTCGTAGCGCTGAACCTTCCCATTGCTGCGACGAAAGGATGCCCGCACATCGGCTGTGCCCATGGAAGCCTGCCAGGAGAGCTTGCGGCCGCTATGTTTATCAAGATAGAATCTCTCGAAGCTTTGCTTGAGACCTTCAAGTTCTCTAGGGAAAACACAGCCTGCTTGCCTGGTCCCTTCTTTAGAGGCGAGCATGATATCCATGGGCCACATAGTGCTGGTGAGCACATTGATTTCCAAGTCCACAGGCTTAATGTCGGAATCAGCGTGTTTGGCGGCATGATTCTTGTAGCTTGTAGTCAGGTCCTCGGACACGGTCATATCCTTGAACATGGCTTCAATGCGCTGTGTGAATTGATTCCCGACTTCAAGCTTCATCTTTGAGATCATTTGTCGCTCGGCATCCATGCTGGCAGACCGCTTCATGAGAAGTCGGCGTGACAGATGCTTCTTGTAATATGTCTCAAATAGATCCTTGTCTTTGATGTATCGCAGCATGACAATGCCATTATCTAACAAGGAATCAACCTCGCCCTCAGTCTTGCCCTTGATACCCTTCTTGAGGTTCTCGTCAAAGAAAAGCGAAAGGTACTCAGAGCTTCGGGAGTTCAGATTAATAAACTCAGAAAAGCTGGCCATTATAGAACTTTGAAGGCCTTGATCAAGCAGGAACGCGGTTTCCCAAACATTGTCGAACTGCTGCTTGAGAGCCAGGATACTATCGACCCACTGAATGGCCAAGACAGTTTGCTGGTTGGCTGGTCGGTCTTTTTCCTTGCCCTTCTTGCTTTTGGCGGTGTCTCTCTCGGGTTGAACTGTGCTTGCGCCCGAAAGTACAATAGATGCAGCATTGATCTCTCTACCGAGCTCCAGAATTCGTTTACTGATCGATTTGGTCAGCGCAATCTTCTGCTTATCCACTCGTGCATTCAGCATATAGATGTGCTTCAGAGCTTCCATTTGGTTCTGGTCAAGCATATGTCGGACACCGGTGCCTTCTAAATTCACGACTTCATCGATGTTGTTGAGAATGAGTTCGTTATCGAGAAGAGAGAGGATTTTTGGTTCCGTCAGCATGGAGAGTGTGGTTCGAGCCCGCTCATGTTCTTCTTCAATCCGCTTAGTGACAACCCGGCAGAAATTTGCCGCGTCTCCAGTTTCCAGTAGCCGACGCCCCTCAACTTTGTAGAAATCCGCGCTTGCTTCCAAGAAAGCAGACTCAAATATTGTCAAGTAGAGCTTGGAATGCTCTTCCTCCTTGACTGTTTCATAAAGACCCTCCAGCATTTGAATGCAGTGTCGAACTAGCGGACGTTCAATCATATGATCTGCCCGCTCCAGCTGAACCATAAAAAGAATGGTCGACTTCAATACATCCATAACAGTCAAGTCACTGTCTGGACGAACGGTTACATTCAAGATATTATCTTTGAATAGTGCCATGGAGATCACGTAGATGGATGGCTTGTCGTGATCCAAGGCGATGATCCGATCCTAATGATTCTTTAGCAATTGTTTCATGCTTCAACACGATGCAATGCTCTTCACACTCACCATATACATCAAAACATCAGTGATCATGCCCATGCAGAGCTGATGATCCTCCCATGCCTCTTTCAGCACAGCGAGAAACTTCTCCCCCGCAGCCCGCCGCTCGTTGGACTGATCTAATTCGGGGGCATTTGCGTACACCAGAATTGTTGAAATGGAGTCTGTGACGGTTCTTTGAACTGTTCCATGGAGCCAACTTTGCTCATGTTCCTTCACATGATTGTACAGATCTTGACCCCGCTGCATTAAAACAATTTTGTATGCACTTCGATAGAGTTCCTCGTAGGAAAGGGCTGAGGCGTTCTTCGTGTGGATTTCTGTCAAAGAGGCTGAGATGGCAGCCCAGACTGAGTCATAGCTGTCTGCTTGGGAAGACACGAGCCCCTATAGGTAGTGGGATTAGCTATAGTGCTCGTTGGTCACAGCCATGAAATGCCAGAGAGGGGTCCATGAGCCTATTACATACCCGACGGGGAGCTCGGATTTTGTGTCTTGCACGCATTGTTGCCATGGTGGAATATGCAGTCAGGACGAGTTGAAAACAAAATCATTCATGGGAGGTTGAGAGGTGTTGAACAGTCGCTTCACTTGTCATGCTTGCTTCACTCTCCGCGGAGGTGGCATCGGATTATGAATAATCCGGTCGTAGAAGGTAGAACCAAGCTTATGGTATTCAAGCTCCTTTATATGCTTGAACGTACAAATAACACAAAACAATAGAAAATTGCAGACCAGTCAGTTGGCACAGGGCATACCTTTCATATACGACCTATCTCTTCAAACGCTGATAATTCGAACACCTTCCTATGATCATTCCTAACTTGGCCCAAAAAGGCATGACTAATCAATGTTTGTTCTGCCCGACCCACTTTTCTTCTATTCTGCGCAAACTCACCGCCGAAGCCTCACTTCCGCTGCGTATCTTGTTCAAACTTGCCAGCGGTTTCTACCAGGACTTTTTGTTCGCGAATCGGAAGTTCACCTCGAAAAAAAGAAGAAGAAGGCAACAGGGCAATTTTGTTGAATATCTGAATACCGATCTAAAACGGAGAATCATGATGCCCTCATTCCTCCCCCAGAGTCTTCGCGCTCTGCGGACTTTCTCAACCAAAACTACATTCACCACCTCAACCCGCTTTCTCTCAACACAGCTCGCACGGCCCCAACCTCTTGCCCGAACCTCAATCCTTGGCCAAGAACGCTTCAAATTCCCATTGGCCATCCGCTATAACTCCACATCCAACCCTCTAACCGCGGACCCTGTCCAACCCGAAACGGACGCTGAGCGCGAGCGCAAGAACGAAGAGCGTCGCAAGAACGAAGAAGCCTACCAAATCACCTTCACCTGCAAACCATGTGGTGAGCGATCATCACACCGCATGTCGAAGCAAGGCTACCACCGTGGCACGGTGTTGATCCAATGTCCGTCTTGTCAGAATCGGCATGTGATGAGTGATCATCTGGGTATCTTCTATGATGAAAAAACAACATTAGAAACCATAATGCTTGAGAAGGGAGAGTCCATAAAGCATGGGAAGATGCAAGGGAGCTTTGAGTTCTGGGATGATGGCACGACGAAGACATTTAATGATGGAGGTGCCAAAGCTCAGCAGGCCGAGGATGAAGTCGAGGATAAGCCTGTTTTGGGTTAAATTCATGGGGGTTTCGGTACTTACGGTCATTCGTGCTCGCATTGAAGAGGAGCTTTTGATGCAATGTATATTATTGATGCTCTCCGCTCTTGGCATGGCAGGTTCCAGGCATGGAGGGAAAGGCTATGGGGTTTTTTGATAGAGGGTTGTCTGCCTGCGAGACATGTCAATGTAAAAACAAGCCATGTACAATATAACTAAAATATTAATTCTGCACAGACATCGGGAGTTACTAGTAGGCTATGCTGATACATAGTGTCATAGTTATAGACATCTGGATAGCAGATCTTATTCAAAAGAAATCCACCCGGGCATTTGAATGTTCTAGAGTTAACCTACTCAGACCTCCAGTGTGAGGTTCATTGTATGTATAAGCATCAACATTGATTGATGAAAGAGTCTTCCATAACTAACTGATTTACGCATAGTAAGGCTACGCGCGATCCTAGATATCTTATCTCTTATCATCACATGATCTGGGATGTCTCGTACGATCCTTCAAAATGCGAAATAGGTACTATGTACTAGTATATACACCTAGCACTTGAGGTAGATTTCAAAATTTCTTTAAACATGCCAGCCAGAATCTTGGAAAGATTTGGATATACTGTAAATCCATGGTTATTGCAGACAGCCTGTACAAAATCAAATTCAAGGTATATACATACAAAACCATCTACCTAACAAATACCAAACGCCAGCTTTTTTATGCCACATAAAACAATCATCAAGTATGATGCCACAACATTTGTGAAGGCAATTACCAACCACGTCGCTTGCCGCGGTGCTCCAGGCCCTTCTCCTTGCGCTTCTCCTTCTTTCGGTCGTTTCTCCTCCTCTTATCCTTCTCATATCGCTCTGGCTCTTGAACAGCCTCGATGCGACGCTTGACACGTCGTCCTTCACGACGCTGTCTGATGTTCTCTTGTACCTTGGCCATGTACGCGATGAACTCGGAGGCGCCAAGCTTCTTTTGGAGAGTGTCCAAAACCTCATGGCAGTTAGAGATGAGACCCTTGTAGGTGTTTTGGAAAGTCTCGTCGCGAGACCGTGGCGCGGGGATGGAGGGATCGGTCATATGCTGCAGCGGCAGTAGGATGACAGCGATAGATGGCTCGATCTGTTCGGCCTCGACGTGACGAACCAGTGATGCGAGAAGAGCAATGGCAGCGGTCTTGGGAATAAGAGCCTCTGGTCGGGTTGAAATAACCTCGCGGCGCAGGAGAGTAGAGATTTGCTTGAAGACGTATCCAATGGCAGACCGGACAGGCACGTTCTTGGTCTCTTTCTCGGTCTCGGCCTCGCCGTCAACTTCACTCTCGACATCCTCATCTTCGTCATCGGACTCCACATCTTCACCGCCGGCCTTCTCCAGCTCAAGACCATTCTGTGCCACGCATCGGCCAAGGAAAACGACATTGCGAACGCTTTGCATGGCCAACTCTTCCAGGACACCCGGGGTTCGGAGAGAGCGCAGGCTGGCACGAAGAAGCTTGATCATTGCCTCCTTGTCCAGAGCAAGGCCAGTGCTTCCAACAAGAGGAATAGCACTGTAGCCTTCGGTGGCGTGTGTCTTGGCCAAATCGGCCATCCACATACCAACAAGATTGGTAGCGCAGGTCTTGACCCAGGCGTGGGGGAAGAATAGCGATTCTTGAATAGCCGCCCAGATGGTGACACATTGTGGGCTTAGAGCAAGCGAGGGAACGGTCTTGCACAGCTTGGTGAAGAGCTGCAAAGCAAAGTAAAGAGTTTCCCAGTTTCCGTCCTCTTGGTCCTGAAGAATTGGTTGCATTAAGTCAGGGAGAATGCTGATAACGAAACGGGCTTCCTTGTCCTTCTCTGTATCCTCAGACTCGAAGAAGATCCGCATGGCTTGCAGTCCAATACTGCCCAAGGCCATATTTTCGGTCTGGTTCAACCATGCGTGCAAAGGCGTCAGAATGGTCTTCATCTGTTCCCGGTCCGCGCGGCCATAGAACTGTGCCAGCAAAGCACCAGCCATCTCACGACATTCCGGTGACTCGTCATTAGCCATGGCGAGGACAATCGGCAAGAAGAAAGTGCTAACGATGTCTTGAGCCATCTCTGAACCAGTCTTCGAGAGCAGCATGTGAATCGCCTCCAAGACTGACTGGCGTCCTTCCTGGTGCTTGTAGTCCAAATTCTTGGCTAAGAAGCTAAGCTGCTTGGTCCACCGGTTCTTGGCCTGTGGGTATTCGATGAGGAAGTGGACATATACACCCCGGGCGAGATCACGAGCAGAGCGAGTCTGGTTCGTGACCATCATGCTTGCAATCTGGTCAACGAGCTCATACATCTCCGGTACAACAAGCTTGCGAGACATGACGGCACGGATGAAATTGAAGGTAATACCTTGTCGGTCAGGCTCTTCGATATCAGCAGTCAAGCGCTTGAGCAAATAGGCAAGATGTCCATCACGAAGCTTGGTGCCCTTTCGTTCGCGGATCAAGGCAGAAATCAACTTCAATGACGCCTGTGATCCCTCAGAGTTGGTGGTTGGAGATTCCTTAATCAACTTCACAGCCTCTGTGAGATAAACATTCGAGTTATCGTCAAGCTCCGGCATGGGAAGCTTGACAATGGTAGACAAAAGTCGAATAGCAGCAATCTTTACCTCCTCGTGGGACTGAACCAAGGCATCGCCAATGATAGGTAGGAACCCAGACAAATTTGAGGGAGTTGAAAGGGAGTTGAACTTGTTGAGAATAGCACGGAGAATATCGAGGGCGAATCGTGTCAGCTTGTACTTGTGAGAAGAAGTGGTGCCGCGCTTTTCGCCACGCTTGGCTCCTTGAAGCCTAACCAAGAAGCGTTCTTCAGCATAGGACTTGGGAGTAGCTTCCTTGGCTGTGGTGTTTTCCTGGTAGGATTCCTTGATGACCTCGTAACAGAACATCAATAAATCACGGCTTTCAGCATCAGGGTTTCTCAGAAGGCCAATGCCAATTCTTCGCATCAACTCGTCAATCTTTCTGACGATGTTGGAATTGAGCTTCTCACGTAGAAGTGCCTGAAGAGGTCGAACGAGACTTGAAAGATTGCGAACAGTCGCATTCTTAGCAAGAAGTTCCATCGAATCGTAACTTTTGCTGCTCTTTACTTCCGTCATCTTGCTGACGTAGTCCTCGGCTTCCTTCTCCTGACCAACAGTACCGAAAATATCATCCATGACAATTGCGACGAGTTCCGTCAAACAGTAGTCCAAATCGCCTTGCTTGAATTCATCGGTGGTGTAAACAAGCATGGAGTGTACAGTGAATGACAGAACGTGGAGTTGGTAGCCTCTTAGGAGAGTGTTGCGCAATTCCTTCAAAATGTAATTGAAGTAGGAGGGACCCAACAACAACGCGATTTCGTTCAGTGTTTTCCGGGCAGTGTCTCTTGAATCCTGTGCTTTACTCTTCAAAGTGCTGCAAACATCCAGAAGCACAGGCGGGAGGCGAATAGCCATGTCCTGCTCGGGAAGAATTTTAAGGAGTTTGATTGTTGTGATGGCAGCGGGCAGACGCAGACTCATTTCCGCTTGATTCTTGTGATGAAGGAATTCGGTCAAGAATGGAATGAAGTTTGTGATCAACTCCTTTGAGACTTGAGGAAGAGAGGGTGTAGTTTTGGCGAGTGTGCACTGAGGCAGCTCTGAAACCTCCATCGCATCGACATCGACATCAACCTTGGAAGTAGCAACAGCATTGGCATCGACATCGCCGTTGGTCTGGTCTTCTGGCTTCTTCTTCTGCTCCATTGCAGCAGACAGAGCGTCGGACATCCGACCAAGGAGTCTGAGAATGTTCTTCTCCATCTCCGGCTTGCTCTGCATGTATCCACGGTATCTCCGGAAATTGGCACGGAATTGCGACCAGTCCAGCCATTCCGCTACAGCGCCGATGGTGGCAACAGCCTCGGCAATCAAATTGTGACCATTCTCGTCAGAAGCCTCCTCGAATGCGAAATGCTCAATGAGAGGTAAGAAGATCTTGCTAAGGTTGTCAGACTTGAGATTTCCATCTCTGGCCTCACTGGCCAAACGACGAAGAGCACGCAGACGACGATGCTGCTGGATGTGAAGAATGTTGTTGAAGAAAGACGCTTCCTCATCATCCCCGACCAAAAGTCCATTCATATCCTGCACAGAAAGTCGAGTAGGGTTCATCTTGACAAAGTAACCCAAGACCGAGACAATTTCAGAACGGATCAGCTCCGACTTCTGACGAAGACCGTACTGCAGGGAGGGAATCAAGACACCAGTCACAAGAGCCTCAAAGTCTTCGACGTCAGCCTCAGCGGCGGCCTTATCGACGAACTTCTTAAGGCCAAAAGCAGCGCTTGACCGAATAGCCAGCTCGTCTTCATTTTTGACATAGAAGAGCATATTGTATAGAAGAGGCCTCCACTGCTTGGCGTTCAAGGTCTGGGAAAGATTGTCACTGATCCTTCTGAAAGCTTGCAGACGACGTTCATAATCGGGCTCAAGTCTCTTCATTGAGCGGGAGTTCAAATCAGCGCACAAGCTAGCCACTTCCACCATAGTCTCATCGTGAGCAGCAAGCGCCACGAAAACTCTTGAAAGCACTTCTCGGTTAGTGTCATCTTTGAAGTAATCAAACAACGAAGAAGCAGCCTCGAAGACTTGTTGAGAAAGAGCCAAATCTTCCTTAGGGTCGTAGAGAGGCAAGAAGTGCTCCAAGATCTTCAGCAGACCGGACTTCGTCTTGGGGTTGACACGGTCTGGGGGCTGGCGAAGCAGGTAGGTGGCGATACTGATAAGGCTTGACGTCTCACCAGAAGACTCGACACAGGGCGCAATGAGAGACAGGGCAGTTACGCCAGAGAAAAGTACAGGCTTTGAAGGACCTCTCTTCAGCAGACGGCCAAGATGAGAAAGAGCATGCTCCAAATAGGGCGAAAGAACCTCAGATCGAATCTGCTCGGCCGGGACATCGGGCATTTCTTCCTCCTCTTCAAGCTTCTTGCCGCTAGCCAATCGAACCAATGGTACAATAACCTCGTCCAAAACAAACATCTTGACTTCATCACGCGCTGACTCAACAGCGAGACAGTCAATGACCTTGTTCAACACATCCTTGTTGTGCTGCACAAGGTACCCGGTGGATCTCGGAGAAGAAGCCCAAGTATGGAATAAGCGAAGCATACCAGACACACCCTGGGCAGTCTCGATGGGGAATTGGTCGAGTCTGCTGTTGATCACTTCATCGAAGATAAGCTTGACATACGGAGTCCAATCACGGTCCGATGAAACGGAGAAGATCAAGTTGAGGCAACGAATAGCCTGCTGGCGGATGGTTTGGAAGACACTCAGGAAGTGCTCATTGGCGTTGCTCTCGTCGTTAAGAGCTCTGCAGGCCCGCACCAAGCAGTAAAGAATGACGTTCAAGGTTTGCACGGAGTAGGGAGCCATGCGGCTCTGAAGGGTATCAAAGACCGTGTCAATCATCTTGAGTAAACCAAGCTGTCTCCTCGGGCTGGTCAGCTCTTCTGAGAAGGCCTTGTCGTTTGTCTTCCCATCCTGGACAACATGAATATCCGCGAGAGGACCGAACGAGAGATGCATGAAGAGGCCGAACTCCTCCTCGGAAAGATGGGAGAGGGCGCGTAGGATAGCCTTACGCCTACCGGCCTGGCCGGCCTGGGTCGCGCTTGCGCCGGCTTTAGAAATCATTCGACCATACAGCAGGCGAAGAAGAACAGGGAGTAGAGTAGGGCGGTGCTCTTGTTCGATTAGACTGTCGTCACCACCAACACGCACGAAGACTGAAAGCTCATCTTTGAATCGGGTTTCGTCCAAAATGTTGAGCAGGTTCTCCTGGTAAGGAAGAACGTGCGAATCCTTCCAAGTGAAGAGCACTTTGAGAGCAGCCTTTTGAATCTCCGAGTTACCGTGGCACAAAAGACCTAGAACAGCATCGTGGACCTCGGGTGCTCTAAAGAGAACAATAGGGTTCAAGAATTGTCCAAACAGACCGAGCATAGAGAGTCGGTCCTTGAAACCCCATCGAACGGGAACATTCTCGGACTGAGAGCCCGGCTGGTTACTGGCCGGAACATCGTCCTGGTCATCGCGCAATGCCCAAGTCAAAAACAGAGGCACAATTTGTCGCGAACGCTTCTCCGCAATATTCGGGACAGCATTCAATACAAGCAGCGCATGACTGCGAGGCATAGCAGGAATGATATCCGCCTTTTTGTGATCCTTCTCAAACTGCTGGGACAAGATTGCAGCGGGATTCTCCACAGTCTTGAAGTTGGCAGCGAGAAGACTTTCCACCTTTCCAACGTTGTAGCACACAAAGTGACCAGCAAGGTGGTTTTCATCCATTTCTTCCTCCGCATCTTCCTCAGTAGTGGCGCCAGAGTCCCGCTCTTGCAGCCATTGAATAGACAGATCCGAGACAATCTTCTCGCCCTCGGGGTTTTCACTGATAGTTTTCAAAGCTGCTGCAGAGTCCTCCCAGAGGGGAGTCAGCTTCTTTGAGAACAGACCAAAACAGAAGTATGGAATCAGAGTGGCCATCCATTTGCGAGAAACAATCTGGGGATAAAGGATTGCCAACTTGCGAACGTGCATTGAGAGGGTTCGGGCGCTCTGCAAGGTCAAAGCACTCTCTTCAACCTCAATAGCCAAGGAAACTGGCGAAGGGTCATCTTTATTGATGCGAGTAACCAGCTCGCGCAATATTTGAAGAGACACCAGCCGCAGCCTGTGTGTGGGGCTTGCCAGGTTGAGAATCAAGTTATTGGCAAATTCGTCTACGGCGGGATCCTCCAGATCAGCTGTGCTTGGCGCAGAAGAAATGAATTCAAGTACGCCCTCAAGGAACAGAGATAGTCGAGAGAATTTTGTCGAGACCGCCAGAATGGATTTCCAAAGATTCAAGTCAAGTTCGTCAGACTCAGTGGCCAATTCAACGTATGTCTTGAATCCTTGGCCAAGGTAAAATAGCGATCCATCTGTTTCATTTTCGGCTTGAGAAGCATCGTGGAAAGCAGATTTCAGGTTTCTGTGCAAGCGTTTCACAAGATCAGAACGTGCAGCAGAGTCAGAAAACATTGAGATGGCCTTGGAGATTTTCACGAAGGCATTCAACCCAAAATCATCTGTGGAAGGGTAAACCAAAGAGTCAAGAATGCGAGTCTTCAAAGCAGCTGGACATGAGATATAGCCAGGCTTGGAGGCCTCTGGTGTAATACAGCCAGCTTGGTTCAGTCGAAGTAGCGTCAAGCATGTCTCCCACTCTCGTTCCTGCCAAGAAGTAGTGATGAACTTCTGGAAATGAGGAAGAAGTATACTTTGGAATCGCTCTGAACCCCATTCCGAGAAAGTGGTGCAAAAGAACAGGAAGTATTTTGAGAGGGGTCCCGTAGATACCAGATCCATAAGAGGGCGCACAAATCGAAGCATTTCATCCATTGGCGAGATCTGAAGAGCGTAGGCAACAGCTGTTAAGAGTTCGAGATTCGCCTTCGAATATTTCTCTGAGTTTTTCGACGCCTGCTCAAGAAGTGATACCAGAGTCTGATGCACCGACTTCCAGTCTCGAATTCGAACTCCCTTGCGAGTTGCGACGCAAATAAGCATTAAATGACAACATTCTGGAATATTGGCGTTGTCGGAGCCCTGTGAGCGAGATTCAACAAATTCCCGTACAATGTCAAGAACGGGCCCGAAAGTGTCAGGTGTAGTGTGGTGAATAAGGTTGGTGACTACACCATATGCAACCTGTGCGGGAGGGTTGCGGTTCTCATCAGCTGGAGGGATCTGATCTAACACGCAACGAAGGACGTCCATTCCGTTGGAATGAAGACCATTATTCACACCCTTAATAGCATCAGAGAACATGACCATTAATCCCTCCTTGTAGCTATCGACATCCTTTCCATCTTCGGCAGTCTTGGAAATATCGTCGTAGAGGTAGGAGAGAGCGTTCTCGAGGGGCAGTTTATTTTTGTAGTAGACGAGGCCTGCTTTGCGAATCAGGAAAGACATAGACTCGGCGGCAAATCGAGCCACGAAGGGCTTTTGGCGTTCCTTGCCCAGGTAGGGCGTCATGATGCTCAGTAACTGTCGCAAGTCTGGCACCAACAGACGAGACAAAAACTTGAATATCCATGCTAGACAAGTAAAAGCCCACTCAACAACTTCGAAAGCGGGATGTTTTGCAGCAACGGACGCCACCAAAGTGACAGAAGCCGCAAAGTGCTTCTCAAATCGAACACCCAAGTCTCTGGCGAATTGAGCAAGCAGACTCAACAACGGCTCCATAGAGTGTTCGTCATTCTTCTCAATGAACTCCACCAATAGACCCATAATCTTCTCCTCGTGGTATACGATCTGGGCGAGGCTCTCGGAGAGATTATTTACGCGGCGGTAGAAGGTTGAGAAGTTGTCTGAAAGATTCATATCCACCCAATGGTCGAGGGCAGATCGGAAATATGAGGTGGTTTCGCCTTCATCTTCACCAAAGCTGGCACGGCGCACGCGGTGGATCGGGTCGATTTTGAGCTTTGCGATACGCTGTGAGAAAGGCTCCCATCGGTGGTGTTTTGTGGTTTTGGTGCCATTTTGTGTGCGTTTGATATGCTTGTCTCGTGAACCTGGCACCACCATCTTGACGGTTGTCAAAAAGCAGCAAGGTAAACGAGAAAGATATTCGGGGAACTTTTCTCTGCCCGCATGCTCAATACAAAAAAAGTTGGCCGGCATCCGGGGCTACAATTATCCGACATGAAGTTCCACCCTTCTATATCCGGACTAGCGTTGTCACGAGATGGTCCAAGCTCCTTCAAGAAATGCGCCTCGTTCCTTGTTGCATTTTCCGTTCAACTTGAACAAAGCAGTCTCAGTAGCCAATTTACTATAAGGTGCTGTTCAATTTCCTAAAAAGCACTGTGGGCCTTTGACATTCTTACTTGAATTGCTTAAAAGGCAGACCATTATAGGGGAATGGCCTCAAAGATGTCAGTGAGTTCTATTCCAGTCATTAATCAAATACTAACGAATGAAACAGTATTGTCCTTGGGGGTGTGAACTGCCAATTACAAGCAGTCTTCACAAAGCTGGCCAAACTGCAGTTGAAGCAGAACTTTGCCTTTGCAATTATCGTGGGAAATTTGTTCGGCGACTGCTCCACAGAAAGTGAGCTAGACGAGATCTCTGCTTTACTTCAGGGTACTATCAATGTACCCCTTCCAACATATTTCACGGTTGGCGACTTACCGCTACCAACTCGTATTGTGGAAAAGATTGAAGCCAACGATGAGGTGTGCCCGAACCTTTACTTCCTTGGCAAGCGAGGCACCTTGAAGACCTCAGAGGGCATTCGTATTGCTGCTCTTGGTGGCAAACTTGTAACTGCAGATTCGCACAAACCGGAAACCAATACTAGCGGAAGATTCCAGGCGACATATACTGAGTCTGATGCCCGTGCTCTCTTTGGTACACACAGTGCCGATATCCTGCTCACCAACCAATGGCCCAAGGGGATCCGAGTTGGGTCGAAAGCACCTCTTCCGGAAGATACCAGCAGCTTCCCAGCTGAAGTACAGTGTGTGGCTGATATTTGTGCCACTTTAAAGCCTCGCTACCATTTCTCTGCATCTGACTCTTTCTTCTACGAACGAGAGCCCTTCTTCCACCTGCCGACAGAAGACAGCCCAGACGCTAAGCCATTGACACGTTTCATCTCCATGGCTTCTTTCCAGTCGAAGCAGAAGACCATGTATGCATTTTCGCTAGACCCAAAAGCTGCACCAGCATTCACGATTCCAGCCGGCGTAACCGCATCTCCTCTCTCCGCGCCTCAGTCTAAGCGCAAGGGACTCCCATCTCAACGGGAGTCATTCCAGCGCTTTGCGCCAACAGATGGTGACGACCACCGACCATACAAACGCCAACGCGAGCGCGCTCCGCCCCCAGGTCCAGACCAATGTTTCTTCTGTCTATCTAACCCCAACATCGCCACACATCTGATCGCATCAATCGGCGACGAAAGCTATCTCACAACAGCCAAGGGCCCTCTTCCACCAACAGATTTCTTCTCCTCTCTGGGATTCCCTGGCCACATGCTCATTATCCCTTTCAGCCATTCTCCGACCCTCAACTCAATTCAAGAAGCGGAATCACGCGCATCTACATACAGCGAGATGCAACGCTACCGTACCGCCCTGCATAAAATGGTCACAGACCGTTCAGGCGGCAAGCTCGGTGCTGTAACGTGGGAAGTGAGTCGGACAAATGGAATTCACACGCACTGGCAATTCCTTCCTTTGCCGGTTGATTTGATTCGCGACGGGCTAGTCGACGCCGCATTCAAGGTCGAGGCTGAGAACCTCAAATACCCCCGGTTCTCTACCATCCCGGTATCGGAGTCAAAGGGCGCCGAAGAGGCAGGCGACTTTTTCCGGGTGTGGATCTGGAAATCCAAGGATGGAGGGGAGTCTGATGAGACTGACGCGGAATCAGGGGAGGAGAAGATGCTCATGCTAGAGTTGTCACAGGATTTCCGATTTGATCTGCAATTCGGTCGGCGTGTTATGGCAAAGCTACTGGAGCTGGATAAGCGAATGAACTGGAGGGATGCTACTCAAACTGTAGAGGAAGAAGAGGCCGATACTGCAGCCTTCAAGGAGGCTTTCCAGAAGTATGACTTCGCATCGGAGTGATAAACCTCAAGCCCTAGCAGTAGTTTAAATACCTTTTGTGAATGAGATGTACTATAGTCTGAACATAATTGAAAGGTCCTTTAATCCTTCAAAACATCTTATGAGACATTAAATCCACAGGAGAAAAAAGGATATCGAAGAAAATCCATACATTGGAAAAGCTGTACTTAATTTCCAGTGTAAGTCAGAAAAAGAAAAAGTAATGCCTCATAAAACCGAGACATTGATGAATCATATACACACATGCAAGACAAGATATCCATCTTGCAAAAAACCCCCAAATACAGGCATTCATAACCGAAGGAGGTCATGGGACATGACAAAAGCGACAAGACCATGGTATCAAAATGAAAAGAAGAATCTTCGTCATAAACCCGCCTGCCTCAAGCAGAAAGGGAAAGGCAACAAAAAAGAAGAAGAAGCGAAGGATTTTTTCGAAGAACATAAGAATGGGAGAATCGAAGTTAAAAAAGAACAAAAAAAACAAAACGAAAGCATCATACAGTTTTAGTATGTACCGGTCCAGCCATCAAATCAAAAGTTCGTTGCGGGTTGCCGCCCACTCATCAACAAAGTTGGTGGACGATTTCTAGGTTCGTCTGCGGTAACAGCCTGGCCAACAGGGGCCTGGTTACTGTAATCATGACTCTGGAAACCATGTGGCGAAGGTGCAGGGAAAGAGGGCGGCGGGGATGCGGGCTGGGAAGTATATGTGGGTGGGTATTGGCTTGAGCCGAAGGATGGCTGGCGGGTGAAGCCGGCGGCATTGTGCACCGGTTCTGGGCTTGTGGAGTAAGCCATTGGGACAGGGTTGTAGTTATTGTGGGGGTTGTAGGCTACTACGGGGGAGGGGGAGGTGACGCCGTGGGAGGCGTAGCCAGAGTTGGCCATTTGGTTGGCGCCGCCAGGGCTGTAGTCTTCGTAAGGCTGGGCATGATCATATGGCTGGTGCTGGTTGTAGCCGGTGTGTTGGTCATAACCTTGATTTTGGTCATAGCCCTGGTGCTGGTGGTCATAAGGTTGGCTGTTGTATGAGCTTATAGCGCCTGCGGGAGGTAGGCCAGGAGAGCGGGGGCCGTAGGGGTCGTTTGCGGGTGCATAAGCGGCATTCGGGCCTGGGGAGCGGCGAGCATAAGGATCTTGGGCGGCGGCAAATGCGGCTGCAGGGCCGGGGGATCGACGACCATAAGGATCCAGGGCAGCCGCGGGGCCGGGGGAGCGGCGGGAGTAAGGATCGATAGATGCCGCTGCCGCTGCGGGGGAGGGCATGCCAGGCGAGCGTCGGCCATAGGGATCCTGAGTCGCGGCTAGAGCAGCGGCGGGGGCCGGCGAACGGCGAGCGTAGGGATCAGTCGGGATAAACCCTCTATATCCTCCAGCGCTAGCAGGTGTACCCGTGCCACCACGATCCGGTGGGAAGTCTCCGAGGGTATTAACGTGTAGTGGCGTACCAGCGCCATGTGTCCGATCCGGTGGGTTCAAGGCTTCCATTTCTACGTCCTCGTGGCTTTTGTCCTCGACGTGCTTGTCGACAGCGCTAGCCCACGTTGGCATTTCAGGGAGCGCATCTTCGTTGATTTTTGCTGCGGGTGACTTGGCCGAGTCGAAGGTGGCTGTCTGGACAGCACCACGATAAACTGGCGGTGCCGGAGCTGCAGGCTGCTGGTTGTATGCCGAAGACTGGTTATATCCAGGTGCTTGGTTATATCCCGGTGCTTGGTTGTACGCAGGGGCCTGGCTCGGGGGGGACCAAAGGAGGTTCATCGTAGTATTTTGGCTGCTTGTTTCTGCGACGACCGGACGGACAACAGCAACCACAGCAGCAGGTGCAAAGCTTGTAACCACAGCAAATGCAGTTGACGATGCAACCAATAACCGCAATGAGGATGACCGCGACAACGATAATCGCAACAATGACAGGCCACCTAAACCGGAAAAAAAGAACAAATCAATACATGCTCCGCGTCAATCTGACCATGCAGCTTGCGCTCCTCTTCTAATCAACTTACTTGCAGTATGATTTGGCCATACACTTGTCCCAGCTTGTAAATGTCGATTCAGTCGAGGCAAGGTCGCGCGCAAAGAGCGCCATGTGGGCCGCACCCAATCTAAGCGAAGGCATGATGTTTGCAGCGCTGAAAGCGTGAACACATTCGGAGGTTGAAATGCGATTTTAAAGCGCAAGGTCCTTCCCTATGCGACTCTCGTAAAACAAAAACCAGGTGGTAGCGGGCGAAGTAACACAGTCGCTCTTGTGATGCTCAGCTCAGCTCAGCAACCCAACCTGATCAAGCACAGAAGACCCTGAATAAAGCGCCAAGCGATTGGGGGGGGCGGGGCGCGCAATTGGAGCCAGTGAAAGGGCGAGCTATTCACGGATTTGTACCGGGAGGGGACTCGAATGTAGCGAATGGTAAGTGAAGGGGTCCCGGGGGGATTACGACGACTTCGAGGGTTGCGGGCCTAAAAGAGCGAGCCAGGCAACAGGGGTCGTGTGCGGTTACGGTCCAAGCCGGTAGCGCGATATCGTGTATAACAAATTTCGAGGTCGCAATAGTCCCCAGGACTTGAAACGAGTGACAGTCCTGCGATTGAAGACGTTAAGGTAAAGAAGAGAAAAGAAAGTCTTGAAACACGGAGAGGGGAATGGAGTAAGGGTTGACATGGACCCGCAGTCATCTGCCTATCAGAAACTCCGCATACTTGAAACCGCCAATCGTCATTAGCTATGCACCCGCCTCCTCCACCGTTTGCCGATCGCGCAAATTTGACACAAACCACATTGAAATATGCAGATATTGTCGAGGTTGAATCAGGAATTTGGGGTTTACAATAAAGGAAAAAGGTTTGTTTGAGTGATTTCATATCTCACAAAGGGGACACTAGATGTTATCAACAACCTCCTCGAGGTGTTTAGCCACAATTAACCCATTAAATCCCAACAGGATCCAACCTTGCATCAAGGTTCCTTCCTGTAACACTGCCTGGCTTGATCTCATATGTACAGCTGGCTCACAGCCACCAAGAATGCCTATGGGACCCCTAAGGATTCCCCACAAAATAACCCCAAAACAAATGAACGAGCAAAGGGGTATGGGGAACAATATTAGCAGAAGGGGCAAAGAACAATGCAATGCATGCAGAAAAGCGCTCAAATGTAAGTCGCATCGCAATGGATATGCAATTCAAGGAAAGGAAGGAGGGCTGTACCAGGAGATCGGTTTGAAGTCTGTACAAAGAATGGTGAAAAAAGGATTAAAGGGCAGTATTCGTGAAAAGGGAATTAGAGGGAGAGAGAAGGAAATGCCAAAGTGGTGGCGGGTCGGATGAAGCGTCTGTAGACGATCAGGGGGAGCGTAAAGGAAAAAATCCCGACGGAAAGACATGGCCCATTGGGCTTCGTAGGCAAATTCAAGTCGGTTCAGATGGTCATAAGACAAAACATAGGAAAAGGGAGGCTCAGGATTCATCGCCTGAGATTGGGTCATCATATTGGGTTGCCCAGGCGTCGTTGGAAAATATGCTCATGGGGAAGAATGGCGTGTCTCTACCGTTTTTCTCGGTGAGAAGGATCAGATGTCCGGATATCATATCGGTGACAGAAGAAAGAAATAAGTAGAAAAATAAAATCGCTGAATCGTGCAAGACTCTGAAGATCAAGAGTGAGCCGGGAAGAAGGAAAGGACGATATCAACAGCAGGATATCGTGGCAGGGCCGGAAGGTGATTCGAAGTGAGAAGGCGAAGTCAGTGTGTGTGTGTGCGCTCTGCGCAACTTCAAGAGAGAAAAAAATCGAAATCGCAAAACCAGGGCTGCCAGAGTCGATCATTGCGTTATGTCGAAGCGGAGAATGAAAAGTGGTTCAAAAACTTTTTGTGGCCACCGGAAAGAAGTGAAATAAAAAATCAAAATGCCACGAAGGAAACTCCTCGCTCCAGAAACAAGAAACAATCGGTATCCGTTGGGCGCCAAAAAGCAAACTGTCGAGGGGCTGTCTAGTAAGACAGCATGCGACGTCCTGGAGTCCGATTGGGGACGGGACTATCGCACATGGAGAATGGCGAGCTCATCAATCGGCTGGTGCGCTCTTCATCAAAACGGCAACGACCAGTCGGGCTATCCTCCATACCAGGGGAAGAGTGCTGGCCAAAGGCGAAAGTCTGAGCGCGGTTCAACTTAGAACGCTGCTTGACTTTGCCAAGGCCTCGCTCGCATGCAAACTCATGCTCCTTCGCGTTCATCTCAACGTAATTTTGAGGGTAGCAAAAGGCACTGTGCTCGGCATAGAAAGCGCTGTATCCTCCCTCCAGGATGTACATATCCGGGTAGGTCAGATGAGGGTAGCTGTCGACATTAACGGCACGGTCGTGGTGACGAATGTACTTGGCCATGATGGGTGCCCGGTGGGCGGAGTACTCGCAATGAAGAATCAATGCAGTACGGGACTTGGGAGAGGTGAAAAGTTCACCGGCGAGGCGGTCTTTGTCGTTGAAATTGATGGCGCCATTGATGTGGCCACCGTCGTATTCATATTCGAAGCGACAGTCGACGATCATGACATTGTCAAACTGATCATTGAACCTGCCACCGAGAAGTTCCAGGAGGGTGTTTTTGGCGATGCGAGGCAGACCGTCCGCCCGATCCTCAGGTGTAAAGTGAGGAAGTTGGGGCTGAGGAGCGGTCTCTATGTCACTGATGGACTGGGACTGGAGGGACTTTATGGGTGCATTTGTTGATACCTTAGCCTCTTTATCGGCAATAACATCCGCTGGGTTCTCAAACATGCTCAATGACCGCCGGCATTGTTTGCGAGGGCGCATCAAGGGGTGAGAGGGCTTGCGAATAGAGTTAGGAGCGGGGGAGCCGCTGCTGCGAGCATGGTGGAATGGTGGGCGAAGACGGGGAAGCGCCAAGTTATTCGACGAGCTGTTACGAGAGATGGACCTCTCTTGGGGAGGTGAATCTCCGAACATATCCTCCAAGGAGGTAGAAGTACTCAGAGATGTCTTGGCTCCCTGTGTGCTGAACCGGAACGCAGGCGCCTTGTTCTCCTGGCTAGGTCGGTTCATTCCGAGTTGGAAAGAAGCAGCCTTGCTCTTAGCCAAGCTCGGTCGAAGGAAGGGGGGACGACGTCGCCTATACTAGTTATTAGCACCCACTAACCCGTTATCCCAATATACCCAAGCAAACTTACTCAGGAGCAGCATACGTCGGGGTTTCCATAGGCGATGCCTGTAATGGGCTGGGGGCGGCCGATGTGATCGGGGAGTCCAAAGGAGTGTTCAATGGTGAGGGCGAGTGAACCTCGATCTCGGTGGTGATCATGAAAGCCGGCTTGTGTGGCAACGGGCTCATTTCCATAATATCCATACCAGAGCCAGCAGGCGAAGATGGCAGTGGAGGAGTGGTCATCACATCATCTGTATATCAATTTTGTTTAGCAGGGCACATCTTATAGGAATCTTCTTAGGATTGTCATACCACGACGATTTGCCATACCCAAGGCGTTTGATGAGAACAAAGACCGTCGGGGCGTTACCAACTGAGGGCTAATTATAGAGTCAGCTTTCTTTCATCCTTTCTCTCCCCGCACATAAAGCGTAAAAACGATGAACGTCTATTCCATGGAACCGACAAACCTTTGATCGATATGAAAGTTTTGAGACAGGTCAGCTGCCAGGCTAGCTGCGGGTGATGAACCCTGCAGAGGACCCATATTGAAGTAATCGGGACCAGACTTCTTCATTGACAGATCCTTGAAGTTGAATGGACTACCGCCAAACCCGGACAAAGGGTACGAGGTCGGAGCCTCTGATCTGAAGCAACGACCAAACAGAGCAGGTGAAGGCTGCATAGCAGCGAGGGGAGACGAATGTTCCATTTTGACGAGAACCGAAGTGTAACTGGGCCAGAATCCAACTTGCTACACACGATGTTGAAATTTCCCACACGCCAACTTGAAAATTGCTGCCAGTGCTTTCACCTTTCCCAGTATGAAGTTATTTCAATTTGTCGGTGGTAGTATCAATCCCAAGCCTATCGGCGAATTTCCGAAGCCAAGCACCACCGTTATCGTATTTCCCCAGCTAAAACCGGAAAACCCCAGGAAGCAGAAAAAAAACCCTCAGATCCCAAGCCCAGTGAACCTCCGACTGGCCGAAGATCTGATCGTAAGCTTAGCGTGAAGAGCTTAAAGAACCATGGCCGTGAAAAAAAAAAAAGCGTGCGGAGATATCGGAGGGGGGCGGAAGCTGCAATTGGAGAGGGGCCGACAGCTCGTGGGCTGGGGGGGGGCGATGCACAGTGAGATGTATCTAACTCTGCGGAGGAACTATGAGCTAAGGCAGTACAGGCGTGGAGGAGATAGCGTAGGAAGGGTGTTGTCGGAGGTGGAGGGTTTGGAGAGGGAAGGTTGGGATTGTCGGTTTGGTATGTCGTGAAGAAATCAACGAAGAGAAGTAGAAAAAAAGGTGGAACTAAGCGGCTTCAAGAAAGAAACTCGTGAAGCTGAAGGGATGGGTCTGTTGCAATGGCAACGCAAGTGGGGAGGATCTCCAGATAGGGTACGGTAACGGATAGAGGAAACGATGTATTATACAGGAACCCCCATACGTAATAATGCGGCGGTAACCCGGTTGTGTGAATTTGCGTAATTGACTGGGTTAATTAGCGTAATTGGCTGTAATGCATGTAATTGGACGTAATAGGCAGTAAAGTGGGGAATCTTCCGTTCGTCTGCCTGTCTTGTCTTATTAAGGCTTTTTTGGGGATTTTTCTTTATTTCTTTTCTCCAAAATTAACTATGCAAGATGCAAGATGCAAGTATACTAGTACTATGTAGTAACTCATTTTACTCAATTTAAACATTTTCCCCTTTGGGATTTATTGCTGGTATGCAAATCTATATAATCTTGATTCTTGCGTCTTGCGTCTTTGCTCCCGACCCTGCAGGGCTACATGCAGTAATGGATGGGCACCCTCCTCTTTTTTTTTCTTTTCCATTTCTTTTTTTTTTTTTCCTTTTTTCTTCTCTTTCGGAACCCTCCAGGGGGGGAAACTCACGGTCATTTGGCCCCAGTTTGGTTGCCCGGACTCCCTTGCCGCCCATCATCCAGACTACTGGCTGCGCAGCAACCCAGCAACCCCAGCGCCTATCAGAGACCTTACTGTCCCCGTCCGCTCTCATTCCTTTCCGGGCTGATCTGTGCACGGTTACCAGGGCAAAATCTCCAAAAGACCCAAAGCTCTTGGCACCATGTGTCTCGGGCTATTAGCTACCAGTTAGCCTCCGCGTCTTTTAATATACTCAGATCCCTCTTTTCTCCCCCTGACCTAAAAATCTTGATCTAAATAACTGCACATGAAAAAATCTGGGGAAAACCTGGGAAACTCTGCACATGTGCAAATCAATATCTATTACACTTAAGTGAGGGAGACCGAAACTCGGTTCCATGAAATGAAATCCATAAGAAAAAAAACGGTTTTTAGGGTTAATTGCCTGCTCGGTGCCCACCCTGTATAGCAAATTTTCAGGTACCATCGGGGCTTATACCTCACAAATGCATAGTTTCGGTGCGTCTTCCATGGGTCTTCTGTATCTTGTATCCACTTTTGTATGGAGAGGAATTGTTACCAAAGAAAAACTTTTCTTTTCCGTCTCATAAAACATCCCGTGTGTGCCGTCGCAAAGCTGAGCTGAAAAAAAAAAGCTGAAAAAATGGAGTAAGATCGAGCCTAAGGAATCAAGACTCCACTCGGTTCATCTTAGTGTCTTTCCACTGGTTCGGAAAATAGAGCTTGGGTGCTTTTTGCACACAGCTACCGCAAACGCCCAAACGAGGGAGTTGATGCAAGTGATGCCAGGATCGCCCCTGCAAGGATAAACTAGCATGACCTGGGTTTCCCATTGAAATGCAATAAATGTTCGAAAAACGGTTGAGATTGACTTGCCTCTGATGTCACTCTACATTGACGAGCCCTCTAGATCTTGGAAGGAACTCGTGAAGGGTATGAGCTCGGACTCATTCGGCATCGTCAAAACAGTCCAATTCAGAGTATTTGAAGGTCCATGAATGGTGCGTTGTAACTGAACCCGGGACGATCATTACTCAGAGAGAACAACTCAGATTTGGGGCCGATAAGAAATTAAGATGAGAAGAGACAAAAAGAGAAAAAAAGAAAAAGAAAAACAGAAAAAGAAAAACAGAAAAAGAAAGGATTGGAGCATGTGCTTGAGGATCGGAGAGGATTACCCGAGGTGGTGATTGGTGTGATTCAGAGCTGGCGCATCATCGACGTGCAAGAGAGTTCGTCCCTGCATGATCATTACCCCGTTGGGCGCAAGAACGCGATCGGAGCGAGCTACTGTACCCCACCACAATGCCCCAGTTTCTCTACTTTTTGTAGAGCTTCATCAATTAAAATGTAGTATTGAGCAAGGAATGGAAGGTTATCTCCAAGTCCATGAATGCTATTCACCATCAAAGAAGAGGGCCCTTTGATAATGTCATAGTCTTCATAACTCCTGCCCTTACTTGCATTCCAGTTGATCAAGGATCCGCGAGGGGACCTTTCAATGTCGCGCATCCCTTGAGCCCCTTCGCAGGATGTTTTTGTATTAATTACTATCCCAGGGCCTTTGTCAGGCGGAAACATTTCCCCCGATGAATTCTCGTCGCTTGGCCAAACCCTCCAAAAATGCACTTTCCGTGATGGTATCAGAAATGTCGGCTCCGGTCGTGGGGGGCATGACGAATCCCCAACTAACGACTTCCGTAATACTATCGAGATTGCCGCAGAACTATGGGGTCCAACAAGACGATTGTTGATATGTATCACGTCACCAGCGCTTGTTTTGCTAACCATCTCATCCGTTCACCATCTGTCCAACGGCAATAATCGACGCATCGGCTACCTGGTCATCAAAGCTCGATGGCATCCAAGAATTGATCACATATGACGGCAAGCCGACTCCATTTTTTTCTGGGTCCCAGAAACCTTGACGAAAAAAAAAGTCTCCGTACATGTACTCCGTAACCGATGTTGCGATATCAGACTTGCGGGGACACTAACAAGACAAAGCAGCAGGTCCAATTGATCAAATTAATTTGCCACCACGCTACGAAGCGGCTCTTTATGGAGCTGAAACTGCTAGTTCGATGGAGTCGGCAACAATTGTCCAGTCACATGGCTTTTGAGCGTCGAGTCAAATCCTGCACCCCACGACTTTCTATTCTGGGCTCTGGGCATTCGAAAACCCCTCTTTCGTGAAACACGGGTTGCTTTTTGATATTCGAGGCAGCTATTGGGCCCGAGCCAGAAGCCTGCATCCCGGTTGATCCGTCTCAAGTCTGCATCTGCTCTGTCGCATTGTCTGATGCATCCGCACCCCGTGGCAGCCTCTATAACAATGCGGTGTGGTTTTGCACGTTCCTCCGGCTGTCGGCGTAGCGTCGGGGAGAACTTCAAACCCGTCTCGAAAGCTACTCCGTATGGAGTATAAGACCTCCTGCTGGTCCGTGGGGCTACGTCACACCAGCATCATTCTTAATTCGCTAACTATTTTTCTCCCCTTCCCTGCTCATCCGGTTGACCATTTCGACATGACGTGAGTTGTTGATTTGAATTGTTTACAATATTGTTTTGAAATATTGACTTTTCGAGACGCGTCGCGAATTGGAATCAAAGTTGCAATGATAGCCTCGCCTATTGCACCCGCGCATGAGAGTGCTCCAATCATACGGCTGAAGTGGCTGCAAGAAGGTAAGCTGACTTTTTTTTTAGGCTCGTATCTTTCTTCCTTCGAAACTCTCGACCGGGGTGTCCTGTCGGCCAGTCCGGTGTGTATCTTGCAGGGCTGCGCCACGGCTGTAGCGTCCTAAGCCTAGGTGGGGTTCGGGGGGGAAATCCACGATGATGTGACGGGTCATCTGCGTCACAGCGCCATGTGAAATTGGCCAGTCGTGTCGAGTCTACAGCCGATGTGGCCTGTCGCAGCTGCGGGGTTCATCACATCGTGGGTGTTCCCAAGCGTCCAGACCTTTCCTTTCCCCTCAATTGGCCTTGTCATGATGTCAGATGGTCCCCAGGCTCGCAACATCTCGCGTTAGAAGTAAACAAAACCCAAAGTTTGCATAACACGAACCGGATGCGGAATCCCGTGACTCTGACCACTGACATCAGATCAACAAGCAGAATCAAGATCTCATGCATTTATTTTGATCTCTCAAATCTTCGGGGATTATCCTTGGTATTCTATTTTGGTATTATTCGATACTTGAAATTCTCGAAATTCTCGAAATACCCATACACATTGCATTCAACTTCCATTGATTCATCGGCGATTTGTCAATAAATTCTCCAGCGCGGCGTCTCCGATCTGCGGCGCTATTGAATGGTCCGGCTGCCATCACTTATCACTAATGCGACCTAATCCACCCGGCCTTCGTGCCTGTCACTTTTTCTTATTAAAAGCGAGAGAGAGAGAAAGTTTACCCCTGATCGTGGTGCTATCGCCAGCCTAGCGACCGCCCTACACCTTATCCAGCAATGGTCGCACTCCACCTTTGAACCGTGGCTTTGGGGAGAAGCTAGCCCCGCGACCGGGGGCGGCTTACTCCGTATTCACTGGAGTTCTCTCGAGGGTCAGCTTTTAGGCAAATTAAAAACATACTATCTTAAGAGGATCATCACTCGAGTTCGCAGATAGATCAGACTAGATCAAACTAGATCATGTTTGGATTATCCAGACCACAATTCACAATCCACAATTTTCACTAATACCACCACTATTAGGCACCCGTGTCTTCTGTAGCGTCACAAACTGATGTGTTGAAATTGATCCATCACCGACCTCATTTTGAGGGCAAAAGTTTTCAGCAAGTGCAAGCAGCCTATGAGGTCCGCAGCGCGTATCCGTCCTCTAGTGAATTGTAGCAGCGCCCCAAAAAAGAAAAGAAAGAAAGAAGAAAGCATCCATGATCTTCACGCTTAATTCCCTGATCCAGTCCACTGCCGCCGAAGCCGAGCCTATAGTACCACATCCACGCGGGCATTCATGCGATGTATCATCTCCGGTACCTGTCATCCGCGCGGAAACGGAGACCGCATGGCGAACCGCAAGCGTTCGTGTCAGAGTGTACGTGTCTTGTGCCACAAGACTGTACTATAAGGTTATTTGCTTCAATGATTTGCAATTGGGCCCCGTTTTTGCTTCTTTTAAGATTTTGCCCCTGAACCAAATCCACAGATATATAGTTGGAAACCCCGCCGTTGCTGGGGTTTCATCATGTCCACTTTGAAATATATCGAACTTGCATACTACACATCCATGGACCACGTACTCCGAAATCAACCCAATTTCCAATCTATGCGATCCATCGTTCCATCGTTGCCTACTGGAAACTTTCAATGTTAGACTTGTGTCTTCCGTTCTGATCCATGGATCAATTGATAGTCCCACAACAACCGGCGAGATGGATCATATTTTTATTGGGGGCCATGCAAAACGTCTTCAAATGTTGCCACTTTCCCCTGAATCTCGCGTGTCTGGACCTTTCTAAAGCTCCACGTCTACTTTTTAAAATGATAGCTAACGGTAGCTACCCTGACAACGCTAGATTTTGGGGCGAAGGAATCGGTCTGTTGCAGATGATGAACCATCCCAAATGTTGGATTGCTTCGTACTGTGAGCAAATTCGAAAACCACTATTGTATCGAAAAAAAAGTCTATGTGACATCTGGAACATTGAATTTCGCTTCTTTGGAACATTGAAATTTTTTGAGGGTCCGTATCCGTAGTTAACGGAGTACAAGCTGTGGGGAATTTGGGACAATTTTTTCATCGACCGGGAAACCGTCCTTCGACTTGTCCACATGTACTTGGAATATTGTATGGGTTCTAATGTTGGAGAAGTATTCAACACCTGGGACTTGGTACTCGCTAACCTCTCAATGTTGCCTCATTTCCACGCTTTTTTCTTTTCTCCCTCCTTCAATGTTTCAACCAGATGTCCAATTACCTTGCGGGACCAGTTGACCAGGGCGACTCCAGTTTTAGGTATACTGACATTAGGTACATAGCACTTCTCACTCCATCGGAAATCAATATGTTGAGTGCCGAATTTTGGAAGATGTTCCTTAGACATCTGGAGGTTATCTAGCTGTGTACATACATATGTGCGTTGGGATATGTACCAGTTGACCTCGTGCGGGATTGGTTCTATATTTTCCGAGGTTCCAAGGTTGAACATTAAAGCCCTGGAGTCCCGAAACTGAGACGTACACAAGGTTGAAGTGCAAACATTTATCAATTGATTGGAATTGAGCCTTGTCAATTCATCCAAATAACATACAAACCCATATTCGATGTTCAATCATATATTTCGTTATGTTATTTATTTTCTGTAGTCTGATGAATCCATATACAAATTATAATGGATTAGACTTATCAGCTTATCAGCTTATCGCCAGGCGCTAAACCGCAAAGGGCAACCGCCTCCCCGAATTTTCTGCGCCGCGACAAGCAATGTTCACTTGATCCAACCTCGCGAATAGCTCCATCCCAAGAGCTGCGACTTGATCATCCCTGTGAAACATTCCTCAGAACTCAATTAATACCGGAATAATGCCTCCACACTTCGGCGGCCCGAAGAAGCGTCGTCGCGAGGGTTACAACATCGACGTGAAGCTCGTGGAGATCTATGAAGACCTGGCCAGCGAGAAAGACGAGATCCGCCTCAAGGCCGCCCAAGGCCTTGTGTCACAATTCACACCCGACCAGAACCCTAGCGATGAGCAGATCAAGAAGGTACTATCGAGACTCTTCCGTGGTCTCTGCAGTAGCCGCAAAGCAGCTCGAATTGGCTTCTCTATTGCCTTGACCGAGGTTCTCACTCAGGTCTATACTGCTCCGCGCGAAAACCTGGAGTTCAAGTTGTCGGATGCCCTTCAACTCTGGCAAGTCACCACCCATGCGAGTGGCGGTGAGACTGGACAGGTGAGTCAATTCCGAAACATGGTCCTCTCGGTGTTGTCGTTAGATTGGGTTGCTAATGGAGATGATTGATGCAGGAACAACGCGATCATCACTTCGGTCGTCTATTTGGCGCCGAGGCAATCATTAAATCCGCCGTCCTTTTCCAATCCGACGTTTCCTTCGAATATTGGACCAAGGTCCTCATCCTGATCTTCGACCTCGCCCAGACTAAGCCATGGATTCGAGAGGAATGCGGTTGGATTCTTTACCGCTGTGTATACGATCTCCTTGCCCGTGATATGGATGCAAAGTATGTGGAGGCTATTCTGGAAGGTTTGGTCACCCACGAGGTGGCTCGGTCGCCGGAAGGTGTTGCTGTCTGGCTGGCTGCCAAGGACATGTTCCCCAATGTCAAGTATCCCAGCAAGGTCTGGAAGCATGATGATCCGCTGGATACCAAGGAGCGCGTTGGCTTGTCGAAAATCATGAAGGAGTCTTCTGTCGAGGAAGCTCAGAGTGAGAACAAGCCCAAGCCTTCTAGCTCCTGGAACTCCAAGCTTCACTTTGCTTGGGATGCGGTCATTTCACGAACTGGCGAGAGCACCCAGTCGAAGTCAAAATCATCTCGTTTGTCATTCAGCGATTTCTGGACTGAAGTTGTGGACAGTAAGCGTAAACCTGGCATATATCGAATTGACGCAAACTGACTGGTTTTCTTATAGATGGGCTATTCGCCTCGGCTTCATCCGATGAGCGCAAGTACTGGGGCTTCCTTCTATTCACCAAGGTTCTCAACGAGGGCTCGCCCGAGCAGGCCTCTCACGTTTTTACCAAGAACTTGGTTCGTTGTTTGACAAATCAACTTGCCGTTGAAGATCGCTTCTTGCACCGAATGGCTGTTAAGGCCTCCAAGACAATCCAAATCCGCGTGTCTAAGGAGCCCGGCTTTGCAGCTGCAGCCGTCACTGGTCTTATGGGCAGCAACGGTGCAGTCAACTTTGACCAGGCCACTAAGACAAAGACCATTGAGAAGATCGTCGCCGATGCCAACCGTGAGGCGTTGGAAGAAATCATTCCTCTGTTCGAAAAGCTTCTCAACCGCCCCGAATCCACTGATGACAAGATTGCTGCATCAAACCGCCAGTTCATCGCTGGCCTCCTTCTCTCCGTAGTGCGCGGCAAGGCTTCCACCGGAAACAGTGATGACTCTGAAGATGACTTCCAGTCAACCCTGGAGCAGATTCTCTCCATTCTCGTGCGCTTTGCATACTTCCCGAACACCAAGAAGGCATCCTCCGCACCCCAACCTGCCCTCTCCCCCGCGACCCAGGAGATGCTGCGCAACCGCATCAATTCCTCACTAAACAGCCTGCTTACATCGCAGGAGTACGCTGCCACCATTCCTTACGCCGTTGTGAAGCAGATTCGTGATGCTGCCAAGTCGGAAGAATTTGGCAAATTCATGATCAACATCGATGACAAGCTACAAGAGTCAGTCAAGACTGCTTTCAAGTCACTGAAGAAGCTGTCCAGCAAGGAAACCAAGGGCGAGACAACCAGCATTTCTGCCTTCAAGCTCCTCTACTCTATGACCCTATTGCAGGTGTACAACGGCGACCCTGATGCCGTGTCGATGCTTGATGAGCTTGAGTTCTGCTATTCCAAGATCATGGATGATCAAGACTCAGAGGATGCCTCCGACGCTTCGGATGCGCTTGTCGAGATCCTGCTCAGCTTTGCCTCAAAGCAGTCGCAACTTTTCCGCCGCATGAGTGAGCAGGTCTTCGGTGCATTTGCCGACAAGATTTCAGAGAACGGCCTGGAATCACTTATTTCCATCCTCGAAGCGAAGGAGAGTCTTGCCGGACAGCAGGAAATGTTCGAAGACCAAGACGAGGGCGAGGACGATGAAGAAGTCTCAGATAACGACTCTGTCGAAGAAGTCTCCGAGGGAGATGAAGACAAAATGGACGTCGACAGCGATGTCGAAGTCGTAGAAGGAGGCGATGAGTCCGACTCCGATTCAGATGATGATGACGAGGAAGCATCAGATGACGACGAGGAAGACGCCGCCGAAGTTGCCGACTTCGAAGCCAAGCTTGCCGCCGCACTTGGCAATGCCGGTGCCGTCAAAGATGGAGAGGACTCCGACTCCGACATGGGCGACGACGAAATGGACGCCGTCGACGAGCAACTAGCCAACGTCTTCCGTGCCCGTCGCCAAGTCACATCCCAACAAAAAGACAAGAAGGGCGCGCGCGAGAACATGGTCAACTTCAAGAACCGTGTTCTCGACCTCATCGAGATCTTCATCAAGAAGTGCCACTCCCGCGTTCTGGCCCTGGACCTTCTCCTCCCTCTTCTCCGTCTCTCACGCCGCTCCTCCGTGAAGCAGATTGCCAACAAGGCCAACAGTGTGCTTCGCGAGTACACCAAGCTTTGCAAGGGATCCGCTGTCCCGAAAATCGATGGCGAGACGGAGCCCGTTTGGGACCTTCTGCGCTCTATCCACAAGGAGGCGGCGCACAGCGGGCCTCCTGCCCACGCCGTTGCAACTAGCCAGGCCAGTTTGCTTGTTGTGAAGGTTCTCGTCGCGCAAGACAAGGCCAATATTGCTGGTGTTGTTGATGTGTATGGCGAGACACGGAAAGATCAGCTCTGCAGTACCAAGTGCCATGTCCAGCCTTCATTCTTTACCGAGTGGAACAACTGGTGTGTTTCGGCTAGCAAGCAGCTCAAGAACTCGAAGTGAATTGTTTGATGACAATTCTTATGTCCTATCCAATGTTTGGGAATTATACATGTATGGAGTTAAAATTATATTGTAGATTTGAAGTCTAAAATATGGGCATAAAATGATATGACTATTTGGATACACATTTTCGTGTTGTTGCCTTCCAAAGAAAAGTGAAAAAGTAGGGCTAGAGGCACTATGTAGGCGATCAATTGGAAAGCTCCTAGTGATTCTCCGTCTCAAGTTCCAACGTTTCTGGATCTATTAGGTCATATTCCAAGGTTGATATTTCAAACATTGAAAGCCCCAGAAAAAAACAAAATTGAAGGTTCTCAGCAAAATTGATTTCTTACTACTATACAAAGACTCGCCAAGGATATAATAGACTGTATAAAATGATTAAGCAAATACCTACTATGGTGCCGAATCAGCAATAAAGACAAGCCTTGGAACATATCATCAAACATGAAGCACGAAAATAATATTCACTTTCCTATGCAATTGCCTCACCAAGCTTTGAGAGATTAATCCCAGGCTCCCTAGATCTGAAGAGGAGCTCAACTGTTGGATCAGTAACAATCTCACTGCCCATCTCAAAGTTCTTCGGCCGTCCGCCATCCTCTTTCAACTTCCAGTCATACTTGAGAAGTAAATGAATAAGCAATATTTTCGACTCATTAGCCGCAAAAAATCGGCCTGGACAAGCGTGAAGCCCGTGACCGAAACCGAAGCTTTCACGAGTAGTTGTAACGAATTGGTGCTTGTGTTCATGGCCTGGCTCCTGACGCTTCTTGAGGAAGCGATATCCGTCATATTTTTCGGGATTCGGGTAGATGGTTTCATCTAGGTTGACGTGGGCAGAAACGGCGATCAGGGCGCCTTTGGGGATGACTGTGCCGTCTGATAGCGGGATTGCTTTTAGGGCGAGGCGGTTCATAGATGCTGTGACATCAATAGTAAGAAAACGAATGATCCAAGGAAATGTGGAATGAAACGAGTTAGGTAGAGGACTTACTCAAGCTGACTGGGTGCGTGCGCTGTGACTCCTTCATCACACTGTCCATCAACTTCAGCTTCAACAAGCTAGTCTTCTTGAACTCGCCATCCTCAGCAATGACGGCTGCGATTTCGTCGCGCATGGGTTGAATATATTCGGGGTACGCTGCTAGGTCGTACATTATGTTCGTGAGAAGATTCGAGGTGGTGTGAATAGCTGCCATGGACAACGAGACCTGTCCGCGTGCCATATCGAAGGGCGTGTCATAGGCCTCGGATAGTTCTTCAAACCAGTCGAGGGCATCGGCGTGGGTCCGGGGCGGATCCTCCGCTGGCAGTTTGCCGTCACGGATCATGTTGCGCTTCTCAATCTCTTTATTCACAATGGCTCTACCGACGGCCAGATGCGAGCGAAGCTTTTGCATGGATGGCATGAAGTAGTGCACAACTGGGCGTAGGATAGATGGCCACATCTGTAGCTCGCGGGCTCCATTAAAGGCGAGGATCGTGTAGTTAACGGCGACGTCAATCCAGTCCTCGTTACGGCAGGCCTTCTCGCCAAGGAAAATGAGCGTGGAGATACGGGCCACCATATATGGCACTTTGCTGGCGAAATTGTATGGCTTCCATTCTGAGTCAAAGTGGTTAGCGCCTAGACTCACCAAGGTACTTCCAGATCATGACATACCATTCGATGGGGGGAAAGTGTCTTTCACTGTCGCTGCTGTCTCCTTGGAGAGGGGGATTGTAAGGCCACCTGCATGTGTATTTGGGTTAGAGCGGTCATCGCCAGGGCACTCTAGGGCTTGAAGATCACGTACCAAGCGCCTGAGTCAACTTGATCCGCACTGCATCTTGGATAATCCTAGAAGCTCCATTGGGGTGAAACGGTTCGAAGCCAGCGATACGGTTTGAGAAGAAGTTCTGGATTCGCATTTAGTCCCACGATATTTCCTAGGGCTGTATGGATTCATGCCAAGATTTGCTCTTACTTTTCGAGTGGCGCCTTCAAAATCCAGATGAGGGTGACTCTTGATTTCATCGATATACTTTGGGTGTAGAACAATCAATGGCCGAGCTGGCGCCATGACCTGAAAGGCATCGCGGCCCTGCTCTTAGTCAGTATATTGCTTTGGAGGATTCGGAAAGCAGTAGTCTTCCTACCTTTGTAAAGCCCTCGGCGATCAACGAACGCGCCGATTGTCGAAAGCGAGACTTGGCCTTCTTGTTGGAAACATCCCACCAGCTCTTTCCAACCAAGGGAAATCGAGAATAGGGAATCTCATCGGAGATATCATCCCAAATGCTGGAGGCAAACACGACCAAGAGCGCAACACAGACCCCCTCAACAAAGTAGGGAGTGCTCAGCAACTCAGTTAGAAGCGCCATGATATCGACAAAAATGGGACAGAGCCAGAATTTCAACGCAATAAACGTTGGACAAAGTCCCAACTTTCATGTTCCCGCTTTGGGGACTGGGTATTATTTATAAGAACCTGCTTTAAAAAGCATCCACCAGTTAAAATCCAAGCATTTGGAGATTATTCAGGTTTCGCCCAAGCATTCCGAAGTGGAGTTCCCACCCATAGTCTATCGGATATGGCTTGCACCGAGAATTAAAAGGGAAAGTTTACTTTGAAAAAGTTCGGGGCTTGACCACTCCGAGTTAAGTAGCAGAAGTAAGGAAATTCAATTTTTTTTTGGGGCTCATACGAACACGAGCACCGATCGTTGCCCTAAAGGGGTATTTGGGGATACGTCGCAATACGTCGATTTGCACGGACTGGGACTCCCTGATCCACGACCGCTTTGAATGACTTGAGAGGCCAATCAGCGTGGATGGAATTTAGATCGAGGATTTGTATCACATCTGTGGAACATGATGGAGTGTCACTATGTAGTAACTGAAGGCATGGATTTCCCTGGTGAGCTGATATCACCATGAATTTCAGGACCTTGGAGAGATAACATTGAAGACCTTGAGGAGTTAACTAAGTAGTAGTAAGTACTAGTAGTAAGAGAAGAGAAGAAGAGAAGTGAGGAAACCAATCAGCGGTAAATGTTGAACGGGGTAACGTAATCACATCCGCCCCCGCATCTCCCCCTCTTGAGCACATGTACTCTCTCCCTCCCTCCATGACTCCAAACATTTCAACTTTGGATTTGAAAAAAACTTCTTGATGCATTTATTATTTATTTCTCCGTAACACCCCCTGTCAAACTTGAAACTTCTCTATATTCGCCATGGGTGATTATGGCCCTTCAGCTACTAGTACCCGCTCCACAGACCAACCTTCGCTTGTGACTCCTCCCGAGATCTCCGTGCTGGTAACGGGCTTTGGCGTAAGTGATCTGCGCCCGGATCCAATGTGTTTCCGAGCCCGACTCCTAAATCCTCACTGTGTAACTAGCCCTTCAAAACGAACCTTGTCAATGCTTCTTACTTGATCGCCAAATCGCTCCCCGATTCATTTACCTTTGCCCCCCCTGGCTCTGCAGACCGTCGTATCGTTGTGCATGTCCACCCGGACCCAATACCCGTGGCATATTCGTCCGTCCGTGAAGCATTACCCATAATACTGTCTGATTACGCTGCAGCCAATCAAGGCCGTCGACCAGATCTAGTGATCCATATTGGCATCGCGTCGCCAAGACTATATTACTCGATCGAGTACCTAGCCCATCGGGATGATTACAATATAACTGACATCAATGGCCGCTCGGGCTACGAAGACGGAGAGAAAAGATGGAAGGAGCTGGGGCTGCCCCCCATTCTAAGTCCCGGCAGAGCTTTTGCTGCCACTAAGGACCAGAAAGAACTTCGGGCCTTAGAGGGCTCTAAGCACGGTGGCTCGTATCCGCCCAATGCCCACTTCTTAGATACGTGGAAGGCCAATGCGTCGGCAGGTCTGGATCTGCGCATATCTCATGATGCTGGTCATTATCTCTGTGACTTTATATATTATACTAGTATGGCCTTGGCCACCCAGCAGGGCCAAGACCGCAACATTCTGTTTTTCCATGTCCCCGGTGCATCTGAGGATGCGGATATCAAGCGTGGACGAGAGATCACCTTGGCTCTGATTAAGGCAATGGTTACCTGCTGGGTTGATGAGACGCAATCTGCGTAAGATTAAACCTTCCAGTTGTCCAGAGCCCATCACCATGAAAGCGGGAGCAACTTTTTGACCCCGAAGGACCTTGAGGGTTGCCGGTTTTTTCTTGCCACTGTTGACTTGTACCTGAAGATTGTGGAGCTTTGGTTCGTCTATCGTGATCTGGAATCCAAACTTCTTAGCGTTTCATTCAAACATTGAATGTTTGTAATAACACCGATTTTCTCAGTATCTGTGGATCATACCCCCTGCCTGTCGAGTTGATGGTTCGTGCCCAGTGGCCGTGGTCTTCTTCTCTGCTGGACAGTTGATATGCGGGTGTCCCTGCTTCTTATAAAATAAGCATTTGCCTTCTTCAAATGTCCGAGAATTATTCATCCACTCTGTGGCACTGGGTAGTGTAGGTCCGAGCAGGTGCTTTTGGAAATCTAAGAGGTGTTTGCCCTATCTACTAGATAGCTGGCAAACCCTCCAGAATAGCGATCCTCAGGGGGTCAATAAAGGTCAATAAACTCTACAATTTTCATGTTGATCTTGGCCAACATTATTCCAGTGGTTGATGATCTGGATAGTTGTTGTTGGTCAGACGATGGTTTGTCGTTCAATGTTGGTGAGGATGTCTAGTAGACAGGTTTTGTCACGAGCAGAATTGTCGTGCGTGCAAGAGAAAGTCACAATGTAGTACTAGTAGGTACTCTGCCTAATATTTGTTCCTCTCTCCATCTTACTCCTATCAACACTTTTTGCTCTTTGGCTGCATAGTACATACTATTTCACTGGTCTCAAGTTATAGTTGCTCACTTGCATTTTCATGCATTAGTCAACTTCAAGGCTTTCTCTGTCTTTGAATTATCTATAAATTCAACATGGCACTTAATTAATTCATCTCTTAATACTCTATAGTTGAAGCTTGACTTGACGTCATAACAAATTATCCGATATGTAGGCGGCATAAGACGGCAAAACGGGCTTATCAATACGGACAGAACTAGAACATGAGTGGAGCCTCCGACTATGAGTCTTCTTAAATTTGAAACTCAAGTTACACAACCTCGTAGGATTTGTGTGTTTCGGTCTCAAAAATTGATTTCATGGCAATCATGATTGAGGCAGTACCAACAACATCTGTACTGGTTCTAGGACTGGTACTTCTACTACCAATTCTAGTCTTCCCACTCCTACCCAAACTGAAGAGATGGATCCACAAGTCATCACCGTCAGCAAGTCTCTTGCCGAATCTACGCCTCTGGAATCGACGTCCCAGGCAATCCAGTGAGATTGTCTCGCTACGCATGTACCCAATTAAATCTTGCCGAGGCTTTGAGGTGCACTCAACTACCCTCAAGGAGCATGGCCTTGATCTCGACCGGCGCTGGATGTTGGTCGACGCCACTACAAACGAATTCCTAACCATCCGCCAAATCCCCAACATGACCCGCATCAACACAGGGCTCAGTGAAGATGGCAAAGACCTAATTGTGACAATCCCAAGCCCAGAATCACCAACTCAACAAACCAATACTGATCCCAATACCGCCAAAACAATCCGCATTCCAGCCCACCCCACCCAGGAATGGCTCAAAACCCACACCACCATAGCCCCCGTCAAGATCTGGGATAATGACACAGATGGGTACATCTACAATGAGGAAATCAATGCTCCATTCACAGCTTTTATGGGCCGTCCCGTCGCACTAGTCTACAAGGGCCCAACACCCCGCGTACTAAAAGGCAATGGCGCACCTAAACTTCTAGGTCGTGTCCAGACAACCGGGTTTCCGGATGTTTTCCCAATTCTCATTGCATCAGAGGCTTCTCTCGCCGAACTGAATACGCGTCTTAGTCTCAAAGGCGTGGACCCCATCACTGTTGAACGATTCCGCCCGAATATTGTCGTGCGTGGGGAAACGGCCTGGAGCGAGGATTCCTGGAAACTGGTGCGCATCACGGCTGGGAATGGATCTAATGCCAGCAACAAGGCCATGGCGCAGGCACCGTTGGACCTGGATATTGTGGCGCGTTGTGCGAGATGTCAGGTCCCGAATGTGGATCCTGACTCGGCGAATAAGCATAAGAAGCAGCCGTGGGACACGCTCGTTTCGTATCGCAGGGTTGACGAGGGGATCAAGTATAAGCCTTGTTTTGGGATGTTGAGTGCGCCGAGGAACGAGGGGATTGTGGAGGTTGGGATGCGTTTGGAGGTTTTGGAGGAGACTACTGAGCATCGGTACATTACTGGATTCTAGTAGATCTAGTGAGTCAGGGTTTCATGTTGCAGTATATATGGTTGTGTATGGAAAATCTACTTATACGAAAGGATGTATAGTAAATGTTTACTGAGGTCTCATTGTCCTATGCAATTCTATGTATTGTTCAATTCATATGCCGCGTAATGATCGTATCCCCATATTAACATTAACCTCCACAACGCTCCCCTCCCAGATTCAATTAGATAACAAAGGAGATATCATGCATACTTTGCGACTCATGGCCCCTTAAAGAGAACTGCAGGATACCTCGTAACTGTGGAAATCATTGTCTCCACCGAGGCAAGTGTTCAGTACAATCTCCTCTGCACCAGCATCGCAAGAATCTCCAGTGTAGAGAGTCACTGTAGTATTTAGATCAGTATAACAACAACAAAAAAGAAAAGAAAGAAAAATAAGCCACAACAGAGCTGAAAACATACCGGTACAGTTATTGATAGCATACTCAAAGCTCACAGACTGGACGATATTATCGCCAAAGCTTTGGCAATCATTCACATCGTCTCCGTAAACACCAAGTTCACCCAGGTTCTCCGCCGAGCACCCAGCTTCACCATACAGACGAAGTTGAACATAGCGAGTATTGGCCGGAGAAGCAGGAGCAGGAGCAGCAGAGATGGTCACCGCGAGGGCAGCGACAGAGGCAACAAGAGCGGTAGTAAACTGCATATTGGGCGGAGAGATGATTTGAGTTGAGGATTGAGATGGCCTTGAGATTGATGTGGTGTTGGTGATAAGGTTGATTGAGTAGAAGCTGAAGTGGAATGTTGTTGTTGAAGAAGGGATATGCGAGATAGAGCCGGGAACAATGACAGCTTAAGTAGTTCTGAACTTCTTCGTTCACTTCCAGAGGTGCGGTGAAACATGAGATATTCGCCTCCAAAGGGTCTAGCTTGGCGTTGATGTTTTGATTGGGTCAAAAGCGGGGACTCTACGTAGCCAGCATGCCATCAATCCGACCACAGGATTGTACATACTGCGCATCCGAGCATGTCTCACACACTGCGCCCGTTATCCCGGTGCTACAGCGCCGTTTACGAGTTTATGAATATCTGGCACATGATGCATGCACGGGTTAAGTTTTGACAAAGGAGATACCTACTAGTAGTAAGTATAGATTATGGGCAGAAATGGCGGTAGAAGAGGATCATCCAAGGTTCAGTAGCGCCCATGAGCTATGGCACTAGTACAGACCGGTTAATCGGAACCTCGTCATGTGTACAAAACATTGAAAAATCATTCCCTTACTGAACAAGTGCAGCTTTGTTTTTCCGGGGATCGCCGAATAAGCTTCACACTGTGGCGATGGTTCTATTTCCATCCTGGTTTCCTATTTGTCGGCCACCTGCAGGATTACATCAGTGCTTGATGACACCCAGCTAATCAAATGGGGTTCTACAAGCTACGGGACTGATCTGGACTCATTCTTCTAGATGACTTGGATCTAGGCCAAATCTGACCCATAATTGCTTATTGCATATGAGAGACATCGTGGTTGACCGATGTGGGATGACCCGGATAAGTGAGACTAGTGAACCCCCAAGGCCGCCTTCCGCAGTGTCGAGTGTCGATCACCCCCGCACGTAACGTATTCCTATTCTGTACCCGTGCACGCCGTATAGGTTGGAAGCAGCTGGCCGCCTGAATATGGACCCTTGAAACACCGCCTTTTGGGGGTATTTGGGGTCTGCTTAGGCTTCAAGATCTATACATACCTGACGCCAAGCACTGAATCGCTACCTCCAAGGTTCGTTTGACCTATTTAGGGAATTGGTATAGGTTCGGGACAACACGGTCTGATAGGAAAGGTCTCAAAAGTGCAGACAACACAGTACTCAATAGTTCCTTGGCTTAAAAAATGCGCCCGAACTCACATGTGTAAGGATGTATAGACGGAAGACAAACGAGATCACATATCTATGTTCCTATCAGGTGTGGTAGGGTTGATTTCTCGGGTCCCAGTCGTAATTTGCTTGAGTACCCTCAAAACCCTGCAGGATACTACAAGAATATGGCGAGGATGCACGGAACCCGAGAAAACAGCCCTGAGAATCCCATGGATCGGGAACAGCCACTGCCGTGATGGTATGGAGCGTAATACAGCCACCGTGGCATCCGCTCGTACCCACAGATTAAGGTTACCGGGTGCCTAACCACTCCAGATACTAGATTAGTCGTGAACATACGAGACACCTTCAAGGAGGGGGGAAATGAGACAGAAGATACGATGAATAGAGAATCGTAGGATAGGTAAATAGTTGGATTGTTTGATCGATCATGATAAATAAAGACCGATCATCAAAGAAAGGAAGTTAAAAAAGCACTCGCCGATGACGCCCGGGGCGTAGTTGCAAATGCAACACACGCAGGAAACAAAAGACACCGGCACTGGAGCGTTCAAATCTGTAGTAAATTTCTGTCTCGAGATCGGAAAAACGCAGCCATGACAGATTTGCGAAGATTCACCATTCCATCTCGGGGAAAGCTTTAACAAGCCTAGGAGTCGGGAATCACGGGCGGTATCACAATCGATGAAAGCGTCTCCAATCGATCAGAGTATGCAAGGCGCGGGAGCAGTACAGAGCGGAGTAGATCGTATTATCGAGAGGAATGGAATAAAATCAAAATCAAATGAAGAAAAAGATAATGAGAAAATGAGAAAATGAGAAGCATAAAAATTGGAAACCACGCTGGCAAAGACAGAAGAAGAGAACCCAACAAACACCTCGCTTGCATCGTCTCGGAATGTCGTTGGCCAACTGCATTTCATGTGCGTCGTTTCATTTCGGTTCGTCTATGGGTTGCATATGTATCGTCGTGCACATTCTTCTTTTGGGGGGAGGCGTGAAATTGGTTCGGAAAATCATTTTTTGAGCCCATCGTTGTCGATGGGCTTGGGTGGACCGAAGAGAAAATGGAGAGGATAACAAGCCACATTGGTTGTCTTGGTTCAGATAAGACAAGACAACAACTGGACAGGATAGGTAAAGAAAAAAGAAAGAAAATGTAGTGAATGTATCGCGCCACGGCGACTGGTAGCTGAGTAGAAAGTGTTGAAGTTTTCGCGTTCAATTTTCGATTGTTTTTGTTGGTTTTTAAGAGGAGTTTTCAATGCATACCGGGGTTCACATCGAGTGAATCAGGCAGGCTGACAGAGAAAGGAAATAAATCAATCGCGTCGCGATAGGGAGTGAACGTGCTATATGAGAGGCCGGGTCTGTATTGATAGACCAGCCTTGACTTCCATAATGCAATGAGTGTCAGGGTGAAATGAATGTAAGTCCTGGAATAGGAGTCGAAGGTATCCTGTGCGTTGGAGACCCGGATAGTGGCTAATTAGATAGACACACATGGATCTGAATACACCATGGAGATCAACACTTAGTAAAAATACCAAAATGTTGAAAAAGATGGTATCAATGCAGGAGAGATAAATCGACCACCAAACCAGGAGGAAAGGGCCCATCACAATTTTCTCTTCGGGGTTGGGGTCATGTGTTGCGAACGCCAGGAATTGGCTGAGTCATTCAGAAAGTTCCAAGACTCAAGGCCATCTCAAATATCGTTACAATCGTTAAAGGCCGTTGCTGTCATAATAGTGAAAATGCTGCAAAAAGGGGGTGGCACAAAACCCCCTATCATCTCGTTCAGGTCATCATGCAAAGTGAAAAGGTCTCGCAAAGGAATTGGCACCATAATGGGAACGAAAATTGCAAAATGGGACAGCGGAAAGGGCAAATTTAATTGCGCATGAAAGGCATGCTTAGGATCTCCCGCCGAATGCGCTCAGCATCCGAGAGGCCCTCCTCAAATGGGTTCTGTAGAGGGGGTCCTTGTCGGGTTTGCTGCTCCTGCATGGGTGAAGGATTCATAGAGCCTGGGTAGGTGGAAATACCACCGCTTGAGAATGGATCAGACAGCGAAGGTGCATGTCGAATGAATCGTCCAGGGGTTGTACGTCGCTTAAATTGACTTTCCACTTTGAAGGGGGAGCCAAGGCGCTTGATATTCTCACCTCCAAGATTCAAGAATGAATTGACGGGAGGCTTGGTAATAGGTGTCGTTTCCTCAGGCTCAATTTGAGAAGAGTTGAGAGATGAAGGGGGCGAGAACAGCTGGCTAACATCCCGAGAACGATCAGCGGCACCGGTGGTGGCACCTCGGCCACGGATGCGAACGCGGCCATGGCCAATGTCTTGAACTTTGTTGTCTCGAAGGTAGGTATTCAAGCGCTGGTGAACCTCTTCATCGGAGGGATCTCGGTTAACGTGGACCTTGGGGGAGAACACATCATCTTGCTCCCGAGGGGTCATGTCAAAGTGGGTATTACGCCGAGGTCGAGTTGGAGCAGCATGCACTGTCTGGCGGCGAGCAGAGATGGGTACAGTTTCAACTGCACGCTCTGAGCCTCCGGGGCCCCAAGTACTGTAAACAAATGGCGAACCCAGGCGTGGGATGCTGCAGGGTTCAACGTTTAAATGTTGGTTAGAGGGTCGAACATCTGGAATTTCGACCATGTTTTGCACGGGATTATTGAACCATTCAGTCTTCGACTCGGGAGCAGGCTCCTCGGCAAGTTGAGTCAATGGAGTCGGGTCGTACGAGGCGACAAGAGAGACACCGAGGTCGCGGGTGCCGTAGGCGGCAGAGTTGTCAGGTTGGTAGGCATCATTACCCATGTCAGGTGCAGGTTCTGGACTGCAAGACTGCATCATACGTTGGTAATGAGGCATGATCGAGAACTTGCGGCGGCACAACATCTTCAAGCGGTTGCGGGTCTTGGAGTCGGACTTGGGCCATGGAGTCTTGTTGTCCACGAAAGCCTTCGGGGTAGAACTGCCGCTACGGTCTGAGACCATGAGCAAGGACTGGCCCATACGGAGCTTCTTGTTCTCCCAAGTCTTTCTCGCTCGGCGGGCCACGCGGGACGTGACGCCCAAGGGGGGAATGCTACCCGGGGTCATCTTGAAGGGAGTCATGGTAGGGTCTTGCAGATACATCTGGTAGGTATTCCACAGATGGTTGTCCATCTCGCGAGAGAAAATCTTCTCCTTGACATGAGGACGCCGGGCGTTCTTCTTGGGCAGAGTGGGAGACGACATTTCAGTCTCCTTAGTGAATTCGAGAGGGAAATACCCAAAGACATCGCTCTCCACACTGGAACAGCTCCCGCCTACAGATGGACGCGATGCAAAAGTCTCGATTGATTCGACAGATGAATCTGAAAGGTTTGAACATACTGAGCCCGAGCGCTGGAGATTATATCCAGGAGTTTGGTCCCAGGAGGGCCACGCCTGGGCTTCGTCATTTGAATCAAAAGAAGTACCGCGAATCTGAGCAGGAGGAGTCTTGAAAATCACTCGCTGGCGCGGTGGGGCTAGGTAGCGTTCATCGTTGCCGGGCTGCGCCGAGGGAGATAAATCGAGCGGCGCGTTTGAGTGACCGACTTCGATCGAGGGCAAGGGGAGATCAGGTAGACCCTGGAAGCGGAACAAGTCCAGGTCCATACGCGCGCAAACATCAGTGCCGGAGCGGACGCGAACGCGAGGGAGGCGGGTACTGGAGAAGGAATGACGCGGTGGAGGCGGAACGTCGATGTGGGTCGAGGGACGTTCGGGGGTCCTGGGTTCGTCGGCGCTCAATGATGGGAAGGTGAAGTTCTTCGGGAGCGTTCGCGAGAGCTGACGTTGAGACATGATGATCGATGACTCGTGGTCCAGCTCGCGAATATTGTGGGGTTCAATTTCAAGAATGTGAGAGAAGGGTGGAGTGCTTGTTGACGCGCTCCGGATGGAGGGAGATCGAGTTGTAGGTTTGAGGGATCGCGAGCTTCCGTTGGGAGGAAGCGCGCGTTGGTCGTGGTTTATGATATCGTGAATCGTGAGAGAAGTGAGAGAAAGGAAAAATGGATGAGCGAAGGCGAAGATTGAAAAAGGCGGTTCAAAGGAAATCGAGGGTGTCGGTGTATGTGCTGTTGCGGAATGCGCCAACTGGAAATCGGGATCACCAGATCACAACTGCGGCTCCATCCCCGTGCACGAGTTTAGGAAATGTAGTATTTCGTCATCACCTAAAACGCCGGGAAGAAACACAAAAGGAAAACGGCGCAGCCGCGATTGAAAATCGCAGGCAAAAATGGGGGAAAGGAAATCAAGGTGGATGAGTAGAGGTGAGGAAAGAGGAAGAGAAGTGAGAAGGGAGAGGAGTTGTGTGGTTGGGCGCTGGAGTGAGGCGCCCGGGGGGAGATTGAGTACCCAGTACTTGGGCCTGTGGGCGTGAGTCAATACCCAAACCAAGTACCCAGTACTTGACCTTGAAAACACCTGCAGCTTGGCCCACCGTGAAATTCTACTAACTTGCGCTACTCGCGACTAGAAAAACCTGTAATTTGTCTGTGGAAATAAAAGATGAGAAAAGATAAAAAAAAAAAAATTCAAAAGAACCAACAGGATTCAATGCCACTATGGAATGTCGACAAGCCAAGATGTTTATTTAGATTTTCTCGAGTCTTTCCCATCCCATGAGGCTGCAGGTTGGACCTTACTTGATGCACGCTGCGTACTCGAATCGAGGAGGTAATTTTGATTTTTTGAACAGTCACGTACATTATCAGTATTGTGTACAAGAAAAGAATTGGGGAATGGGAGGGGGTTGGGATAGTGGTTGTGATCTAATTGGCCTATATTCATCAAGCTAACCCATTCAATGCCAAATGTACAGTCGATCGTGCTTATCCGAGAGTCCACTCTTCTCCCACAACGGAGTACATACGGAGTACTCTTAACAGTTCGTGAGATCAAACCCCGTGAACCCTTCTGCAAGGGCTAACAGGATCTGCCGGAGAGAACGGGCACGCTGCGTGGTAATCTAATGATGTCCATTGCAGAATCTTCCTATGCTTTTACTTTTTTTGGTGGCCCTTCTGTGCAGGTCATCTCCTGACCTCTCAACACAATCCTTCAGTACAATAGCATTGTTGATACGAGCACTGGAGCACTCAATATGTAAATTATTTTTTATCCATAAATAGCTATATCAAAAGCCAGGAACAACTCAAAAACCCACAAAAACCCACAGATCCAAAGTGAATTTTCACTTTTTTTTTGCGCCTTCGCATTGTGCGGTGTAGAAAGCTCGTGGACTTGGAAGCGTGGGGCCTGAACGTTTCAATATAACCTCATTGGGGAAAGACAAGGCACGAGGCACGCGTTTCTCCACTGACGCGTCGCGTCGCGATGTTTTATTACCGATATTACAGCCACGGAACACAGTACCATACGACACTAGCCGCATTGGGCTTAGAGACATTCAAGTTGTAGTATGTAGTACACACGATCCAGGTCCAGGCTATAACCCGTCATGACCCCACTGGGAACGGGGTCGCACGATCCACGCCATGGTCCGTGGTTCCAGACGCCTCGACCAGGCCGAGTCATGGAACCCTATACAGAGCACAACATTCAAGACTGAGACAGGAGACGCGGCTCTAGGCTACCTACATCGGACTACTCCAGAGCCCTGGAGCTCCGTAGTACGTGCTAGTTCCCATTTGACATAACCGAACAAAACCATCTGAAGCAGAATCCGCATATTGAATATAATATTGGTTTCCAAATCTGTGGCAAATCTACTGTTTAATATGAAACAGATTAATATCTACTGGGTAATTCAAAAATATCGACAGACGAGGATTCACACCCCATGGATCGGACATAATAAAGAAGAATAGAATAAAACAGGGGTATAATCGTAAACAGACAGGTAAGAGACACATTGAAAGACGTGAGAAAAAAAAAAAAAAAAGAGAGAGAGAGATAAAGGAATAACATGAGCGCCATCAAGATCGTTCAAGCTTCTTCTTTCGCTCGGCCAATAAGGCCTCAATTTTACGAAGCTGCAGAGAAAGACCCTTCTTCTCAGCATTCGCAACGAGCCAGTCTTCCATGTTGCGACGCACATGACGCATGGAATGAAGCACGGGGAGGATGGGCGATGAAGTAACATCACTACCGCTTTCAAGCTCAAGTTGTGTCCAATGCTCAGCGCCAGGATTTAAGAGTAGATCAAACACCTCAGCCCACAATTCGCGGTCCCAGTATCTCTTCAATGACTCACGAATCCGATAAGTGTGAGAGTTGGAGGCACCACCGGTGCTGGTGCGGGCAGGCATAGATTCGATGTGCTTCCCAAAGAGCAGGACGTGAATTGTGCCGGCAATACCATATAGATCGATCTGATGGGTCCAGGGACGCGATTCACGAATCTCATTGCACTCGTGCGTGGCCACCTTCCAGTCCGCAACGAACTGCACAGAAGGTTGGAAGGCGTGCATGTCAATGCCTCGACCAAAGTCTATCAAGTCTAGGCCCTTGCCACGCCAACCATAGTGGCCATTTGGTGAGTAGTAGATACTATCACGCATTTGAGAAGGATTCTCGTTCAGGTCGAGGAGGGACATGGCGGTAGCAGGAGAATTTTCAGCGTCGGAATCGTCAAGACGAACAAGGCAGTTGTCAGCTTTGATATCACCGTGAAGAATTCCATGCGCATGGAGACCTTCCACGGTACGCAAGAGCTCTACAGAGAAGAACATGGCGAGAGATTCCTCAAGTCCGCCCTCACTGTGGTGATTAGAAGTGATGGGGTCATTGCGAAGGATATTGACCAGGTCAAGTAGTGTGCCTTGGCCTCGGTAGTCTTCCACAAGGAAACTTTCGCGCTGGTGTACGTGCAGTTCATGCGCCCGGACGATGCTCTCTGCAGCTCGCGAATGCTCAGCGGAATGTTGCAGGCGGTCATTCGCAATTCTGATCATATAAAATTCCCAGGCACTGGACGGCCCATTTTCAACCTTTATTGCCTCAAACGAATACCGGGGAGTCTGGTAAGGGCTGACAGTCTTTGAACGGGAATCCCGGCTGCCAGCCGTTAGATTCTCATCATCCGAGTCAGCGTCGTAAGAGTTGAGGCTGTCCACACTCTCAACTAGATAAACTGGAGCGTAGGCACCGGCACCAAGCTCACGTCGAACGATATAGCTTCGCTCGGCTCCGGGGAACTCAAGAATCGGAGTATCAAAATCTTCACCACCACCCTTAGATTGTCTGATATGTGTCTTGACGAACTTTTGGATCATAGAGGTGTAGTTGCTGTCCTTGACGTGACCATGGTATCCGGCGTAGGCCGCCAGGGGCGGTTCCAGGGAGTTCAAAATAGTGTTTCGAATACCCTTATCCGTAGGATTGCACTGAGCATCCTTGATGACAGCTTCTCCCCGTCGACGGGATTTGGGGGCAAGTGTCTTAAAAGCAGTTGGGCTGAACGGAACATCTGCTGCTGAAGTAAAGGTGTGGTCTCCTTGGTATGGTGTCGCTGCTCCTACTGGGCTAGAAAGCAGTAAATCACCCATCTGCGGCATGCCGGCTGGTGATCGAGGCTTTGAGGGTGTCTTGGCATTGTACAAAGCCGCCCGAGCAGCCGTCTGTGAGGGTATGGAGCACTCTGTTCGCTCCACAATAGGCGTCATGAAGGGCAGACGATTCTGCGCCATAATGGCAGGGTCCCTATACGTGCCATATGGAGCAGCATAGTCATCGGGCATTCGGGGAACAAAATGGTCTCTCTCTGGAGTTCCCAAGTTGGACTCATCCGCCGCTCCTTCACTTAGAACTGATCGAGAAGTGATATCATCAGATTCATGTTCGGGAATATCCTTGCTAACGCTGAACTCGGTCCAATCACCATCGCCAACGCTCTCGGCTCTTGTGGTGTCTGCATATTCGGTATCATCGTATGACTTGTGGAAGGTTTGTGTTTCCTCGTTGCCAAAATCACTGGAGGCGGCCGACATATGTCCGGTGGCTGTACTATCCGCGTTGCTCACGATATCGTCATCGTCATAGTCGCTGCCGAAAACACTGTCCTCTGGATCCTCCTCTGCCTCTACCTTCAATGGCTGGTTAAACAGGTCGTAAATCTCATCGGTGGCGGCACGGGTGTGCATGGTCATTGTTGGCTCCCTGGTGCTTTTTCGTCGGACCTTGGAGTTTGTGGGCGAGTCGAACTTCATTTTGACTATAAACGATATAAGCCGGTTGGGTTCTGGTCCGGGGTAAAACGAGCTTACCGGTCTGAGTCTGGGTGTCTCCTTTGGCCTTGGAACGTCGTTCTTTGCCAGATTTGCCCTCGAATGATCCATGCTGCTCTTGAATTCCTGCTTTCGACTCCGACTCTGTTAGATCCTCATCGGGACTGGATGCTTTGGGCTTTGCGACTGGAGAGTCAAACCCGCCAATATTTCCGGAAATTTGTTGAAGTGGTTCTTTGTGAGCTCGCCAATTTTTATTCGTCCACCCCCGTTTCATGGCTCGAAGCTCCTCGAAGCTAATCTCATGTGCAGGGTTCTGACGGTCGGGATACACTGCCTCCAAGTCGACAAAAACACGCTCGCGACGACCTGTTCGTGGGTTTACCGCTTCCCTTACATGATGTTCCGGAATTTGCTTGGGAACATTATATTCCTGAGTTTTTTGATGTTGATTTGAATTTGACTACAAACAATCGAAGCACATTGGTTCAAGCCAACAATTAGTCCTGTGATCGTAAATATATGGAGGTCTGATATGGGATAGGCAACTTGAGAATTGCAACTCACCTCGTCTCGGAAGATGGCCATCTTCTGTGTTGGCGCTGCCTTCTTCCCCGCCTTCAAAGTTTCACCCGCCCACGGCTTGGCTTCCACCCGGTTTTCCTTCTTTCGTTCCCCCATTGATCCAATGCTTTCCCATCCCTTCGTATGTCCGCTGCTGGTGGCCGGTGGTGGGTCGTTAACAGCACCGGCATCCGAGAAAATGGCCATCTTTGGCTTTCCAGACTTTGTTTTCGGGGCGCTGGTGGCTGAAGGAGAGGGGCGTGCGGCCTGGGGGTCTGGAGAGCCATCGGCTGGCGCGAAAGGGTCCATTTTCGCTGCTAGCGCAGTTCGGACTTTGGGTAAAGCTGGCGACGATGGCCCTGTATCCTGTGACTGCATCTCGTATCGTTGCTGGAATTCGCTGTATTTTCGCACCAACCGCTCAATCGGTCGAGCCTCACGGTCCATACCAAGCCTGTAGACTTCCTCGGCCTGGTTCCAACGCCCCGCACCTTCTAACCATGCGGCAAATTCTTCGTAAAAAAGGGCCAGGCCTTCACCAACATGATGGCGGGAGAGGAATGCGAATGTCTCCCTTGGAGCATCAGAGAACAGCCTGATGTAGTGTAGCCATAGGCGTAAGTATCGTGGGTCGTTCTTGTAGTCCCCTGATGAGAGGAAGGATTTCGTCGCGCGTTCAAGTAATGGAAGTAGACCGGACTCGGCGGTCGCTTGGGCGGAGGGGTAGGCGTTCAGGGTCCATTTGACATAACGGTCATAGACGTCGAGGGGATCGTCTGATTCTCCTATCACTTGTAATTCGCTTTCGTATTCTTCACGGATGGCATCATTCAACGTCCTTGTGTCGTTTGGTGTTGGTGTCGCGTATTTGTCGCTGGTATTGCTACCGCCTGAGAAAATCCGAGCGAGCTCTCGAGCTGATCTACCACCGGGGAGTGATTGGACGTTTTCTTTCTGGGCTTCGATAATGTCGAAGTCGATTAAGTCATTTGGTGCCGCCATCTTGCCGAGATCTGTACCGAGATCTCCCTTTGCAAGTATCGGCGAGGGTTTGTGGATGCCGTCGAACTCAAAAGTCAAGATTGAAGAGGGGACTTGGGCGCTTTGTTGCCAATTTCGTTATCGATAAACATCACATGACCGTTGCCGTGGTGACATACACGTGATGCGCTTTTTTAGATATGGAAATGTCTCCTTACTGTCTGACAGGTCACAAGTCCTTCTTCTTGTGTCTCAAAAGACAAGAATAAAAGTATTTGCTGCCCAGAAATTTGATTCGGCTCAGTATTAGTGATCACTGGTCAGTTTCCATTCCAGAATTGTGCATCAAGCGTGGTGGCCAGCAAGGCTTGGCATCACTTTGACATCGGGTCAGGACTCAGCACATCCAATCAGGTTCGAGACTCGTCGGTTTCTTGGAACCGACACTCTAACTCGACAACCTTCTTCCCCACCCATTTAAGTGACCACTGCAAGATGTGTGAATTCCACGATGACGACGAGCCCCAGGCAGTCTCAGAATCTACGGGTCACAAGAGAAACCTCAGCAGCGCAACGGATGCCTCTCCAGTAAGGCGATCAAAGAGGCAAAGATCAGCCATCAATCTCAAGGAAGAGTCCTCTTCAGATGAATCCGAGGCAGAAGCCAAGGTAAAAGTAACGCCGACAAAGGCCAAGCAGACTAAAAAGCCTCGAGCCCCTTCGTCCACAAAGAAGGTTACCAGTGCTGAAGCAAAGGCTGAGTCTGACGTTAAGAGTGTTTGCAAAGAGCCAATTGAGGTCAAAACCGAGCAAGACAAGGGACCAATCACCCAAAAAGCCAAGCCTACTCCTGCTAAAAGAGGGAAGAAGACTAAAGAATCCGAAGTCATGCCTCTTGCGCCACGTACACAGGGTTTGAAGATGCTTGTTGGCGCCCATGTCAGTGCTGCAAAGGGCGTCTTCAACTCAATTCACAACAGTGAACAGATTGGGTGCGTAATCAGAGAAATCGATAGCCCTAACATAAACTAACTTGTACTGTAGTGGTAATGCATTTGCGCTATTTCTCAAGTCTCAGCGCAAATGGGATAACCCTGCTCTCTTGGATGAGCATCGTGATCAGTTCCACAAGCTATGCGCTGAAAAGGGCTATGATCCTGCCAAGTAAGAAAGCCAGATGTCATAATTTGAGTACAAAGATTGACTAACACTCCCAGACACGTTTTGCCACATGGATCGTATCTTGTGAACCTCGCACAGGAAGACAAGGCCAAAGCTAAGCAGGCCTACGATTCTTTCATAGACGATCTTCGCCGATGTGAGGCACTTGGTATCAAGCTTTACAACTTCCAGTAAGTCCTACCTGGATACTCTGCCAGTCACTTATATCTGAACGGACATATACTTATACTCACTCTATAGCCCGGGAAGCACAAACGGAACTCCCCTGCCAGATGCTCTTTCTCGCATAGCAAGCAATTTGGTTAAAGCCATTACCGAAACCTCAACCGTAATCCCAGTACTTGAAACGATGTGTGGTCATGGAAACACAATTGGCGGCGCACTCTCCGAGTTCAAGGACCTTCTCGCCCTCATCCCGAAAGAGCACCACTCCCGCATCGGTATCTGCATTGACACCTGCCACAGCTTTGCTTACGGATACGACCTCGTCTCGCCAGAGGGCTTTAAGGCTTTCCTTGACGAGTTTGACGAGCTAATTGGCATTCAGTTCCTGAAAGCCTTGCATCTGAACGACTCCAAAGCGCCATTTGCTAGTAACCGGGATTTGCATGCCAATATCGGAACTGGATTCTTGGGCCTTCGGGCATTTCACAACGTAATGAATGAGCCACGGTTTGAGGGACTACCTATGGTTTTGGAAACACCAATTGACCGTGTGGAAGGGTCCGGTGCCGATGAGGGAAGTGAGAGTGAGTCTGGAGCAAAGAAAAAGGGCAAGAAGGCCAAGCGACCAGCTGGAGCATCGGCACCCACTGTTCAAGACCCTAGTATATGGGCTCGGGAGATTAAGTTGCTGGAGTCCTTGATTGGGATGGACCCTGATGGTGAGGAATTCAAAGCTCTTGAAGCAAAGCTTTCTGAGGAGGGGCGAGAGACACGCGAGAAGCAACAGGAGCAGCATGATAGGAAAATTGAGACTGAGAAGAAAAAGGAGGCAAAGGGAAAAGCGAAGGGGCAGAAAAGTTTGATGGACATGATGAAAGGTGGAAAGTAATCATGGATATTATTGCAGACGCCGACGAGATCGAAATGTAGTCATGTCATTAGCCTATTTCGAGTACGCTATGGATTCATTTTTTCTCTTCTTGTCCTGCAAAGACACCGAATCTAATAACTTCGACCCCGAGAGTCTCGGAATCAACCAGAATTAACTCCCCTGTCTCCTTGAACCGTGGAAGAGATAGAAGTCGAACTCGAGGGACAGGTGTCTCGCCAGCAGAGTCTGTCATTTCGGTATCGCCTCCATCCAGGCGGAAGGTAAGGTCACCATCAATAACGGCAGTCTTAAAGGACGGTTGATTTCCTGTGAAAAAGATATGTGGGCAGGAGTCAATGATAAACGGATCCGATTCTTGGAAAGGATAAGACCCTACAGTGTTGTTAGCATCTGGATACAATATAAACCGGGAAGACTTGGACCATACAGAGTGTATCTGGGGCTGTGGGAACGCCAATCCGCCACCGGAGCATGGCTTCCATCACCTGCATGCGAGCCGCGGAGTCATCTGAGTCATTTTCTGCGTCTCCGCCCTCAGTTGAGAAGTCAAGATATCGTAGAACATCGTCGACATTCTGGCCACTAGTTCCCCACAGCCGCCAGCCTTCTACTTCGCCCTCCCATGGATTGGTAACACTGTCGAACCAACCTGCTTCTGGTTTCTCCTCGCCAGAGGGTGGGGGTGCGCAGTACGCTCTGGAGTTTGGAAACATGGTACGGTGAATGCCTTGTTGGGGAAGGGAAAAGTTGGCTGGGTCTGCCTCGCCTGGCATCAGAGTGACAGGGATACTTGGTAGAATCTCAGACAAGAAGTTGTCTAGTTGTGTGATGGGTGCAGCATTGTATGCCGATGCATCATAACCGTACTTCCTTGGGGCAGCTTTCTTCTTCTCAGCGTTGTCTGCACCAGCCGATACTGCATCGGTTATCACGCTAGCTCCGAGGGAGTTACCCGCAATAATCAGTCGTGTGATTTTTGAAGCACTCGATGAAGGGCTGTTATCCTCATTTCCTGAGAATCCTGTATACCCAAGAAGGTACTCTGTAAGCAATTCCAGGGCAAGCGTATCACTCGATGTCCCTGTGATGCCTAGCCCACTGACAAAGGCAATCTTGCCTGATCCCTTTGCAGCTGATTCTTTGCCATTATGTTTTGAATCTCCACTTCCCCATCTTGGTGGCTGTGGAGGCAACTCTGGGACTTTGAGGTCGATGACCTCGAAGTCTCCATTAGCATTTTCCGTTCCTAACGCCGCAATCACGGTACCAGTGGTGAGGTGAACAGATGAAAGAAAGTCTCCAGCCAAGCGAACACGACCCGAAGCATCCTCTAGCGTGGTCTGGGTCAATGTTGGGTCGGATGAATCGATGTAAGTACGACGGGGAGGTGGTGCGGATGTGAAGTTCTAGAAAATAGTCAGGTATGATGGAAGAACTGCAGGAAATCTTCAAGCGTACCTGCTTGGTGAGATCTTCCAGAATATTGGGCTTCAATGGCATATCCATATATACTGTGCCGGCTACGTAGCACAGTTCACCCTGTCGCACATCGAGTACTCGATCCACGCGTCGTGCACGTTCTCCGGCGATCTGTTAGCGGATAGAGACAATCGTCAGCTCAGCTCATGCACAGTACAGAATGATTACCGATAGTCGATGGTGGGCTAGTCATACCGTGATGCCCTCCCATGCCTCCTTCGCAATTTTCTCGACCGCGGGCTTCAGGCCAGCGAGCCGCAAAAAGTACATATCACCATACTGCTGTTTATAGTGTCGAGCAGGCCCAGCTGGGAGCTTGAATGTGTCAAGAGGCTTGTAGCTTGAGGGTGTGCGGTAGGTCACTTCGTATTCCTCGTTGCTATCCAAACAGAACACGCGTTGTCAGCCAGGCTTCATGAGATGCTGAAACGTTGCCAATGGTATCAGATAAACTGTTAGATACATACCCAGGAGGTTTTAGAAAGCCATAGTCATCACCTGGCGTCATTTTGTGGGTTTCAAGATCCCTTGACCTTGCGGAGTGGAAAGAGTTCAAGTGATGCGGAAACAATTCGGTGACGCGAACCCCACGCGATCTAGCGCGTCCAATTACATTCCCGCTTTAGGTAAAGCTCCTTTTAGCTTAATTGCCTCCAAGTTAATTCTGCTATAGAACTTCCAAAATACTTTCTCTGCTATTTCAATGTAATAAAATATATAAAATAATTAATTCCAATCATCAATGTTTTGTACATACATTGAACAAAATATCGATCCGTGAAAATGAGGGATGTTCTAGGTATGAATCCGTATGATGTATATATATATTTTCAAATGTTAGCGGCTCAACTACCAGTGTAAACAAACAGTATTCAAATGTTTGAAAGTAAAGTGCAGGTATTGAGTCTAGTAGTAAGTACTAACTCCCGTATGCCCTGCACACATGTGCATGCACTGCTTAATATGGTACCTAAATTTTTCAATATTCCTAATTGAAAGTCCGACCAGTTGACCTCCTATCGAAGTACGAAGTGTATCTAGACAAGGGTGCCCAGTGCTCTCTGAATCTTGTCCGGGTAAGCATATGCCCTCCCCCCCGGCCACTGCTCAGCACCGTTCAGGAGTTTCATTCCACCTGGGCAGGTGGACAATGTTCCAGATGCCGATGTTGACCTGTGGACGGCGCCCTATGCTTCCCAGTCAATACCAGGGAACCTGAATCGGCTATACATAATGTTGATGGATCGGCACAAGACATTGATAGTATGTACTAGTCTATGGGAAAACTCTCGAATACAATGCACCAATTTAAATATAAGGATCGACGGAACATGAGACTGGCATAATATCATCGGTGTTCTGGTGCATAAAAGTTCAAACCAAGGTTTCATAAGGTAAACCAAAAATGCCTCGGTCCGGCTGAGCATAACTTCCCCGCATTCTTCCCCGACCATCCCATGTATCCACAAACCACTCAAGCTTATATACAAGCTTACTTGATGAGACTCTGCAACATCAATTTCTACACACTATTTCCATTTAAAACCCTCCTCAGTTTCCTTATTTAACCTTCGTCATCCTCAATTCAATCTTGTATCTTATCAGCTCAACCTTGGAATCCCAACCTTGACCCCTTGACCGCAACTCCGACTCCAAACCGACCAACATGTCTCTCCACACCCCCCTCTGCTCCCTACTCAAGATACAGCACCCTGTTCTCTTAGCCGGCATGGCCCGCGCCTCAGGTGCTCCACTCGCAGCAGCAGTCTCAAACGCAGGTGGCCTCGGCACAATAGGCGGACTGGGCTACACTCCAGAGCAACTGTCCGAGATGTTAACGGAGCTCAAATCGCTTCTCCGCGACCCATCGCTACCTTTCGGCGTGGACCTCGCCCTGCCCCAAGTTGGCGGAAGCGCCCGTGCAACAAACCACGACTACACACACGGACAGCTAGATGAACTCATCGAGGTTACCATCTCGCACGGCGCGAAACTCTTCGTCTCGGCTGTGGGCATCCCACCCGAGAAGACCGTGAAGCGGCTCCACGAGGCTGGGATTCTCGTCATGAACATGGTTGGGGCGCCAAAGCATGCGGAGAAGGCGTTCCAGCGGGGAGTGGATATTGTTTGTGCACAGGGTGGTGAAGGAGGTGGACATACGGGAGATATTCCGTTCTCGGTGCTGATTCCTGCCATTGTGGATGTTGCGAAGAAGTACAAGAGTCCGTTGACGGGGTTGCCGGCACAGGTTGTTGCTGCGGGTGGAATTAATGATGGGCGCAGTCTTGCGGCGTCTCTGATGCTTGGAGCGTCTGGTGTATGGGTTGGGACTCGGTTTGTAGCTTCAGAGGAGAGTGGTGCGAGTCGATTGCATAAGGAGGCTGTGGTTGGGGCTCAGTATGGAGAGACGAAACGGACATTGGTTGTTTCTGGTCGACCGTTGCGCATGTTGCCTAATGACTACGTCAAGGAGTGGGAGAGTCGACCTGCCGACATCGCGGAGTTGACTGCGAAGGGAATTGTGCCGATGATGCATGATTTGGAGAACGAGAAGGACATTGACATGCCATTCTTGATGGGAGATGTATCCGCTGGTGTCAAGGAAATCAAACCAGCTGGTGTTATTGTGAAAGAGATGGTTCAACAGGCCGTCGAGGTCCTCAAGACAGGAAACTCGTATATCACCAAAGATGGCCTGTCAAGCAAGCTATAGATCGATCACCTGTTTTGGGTTGTTCAAGGGGGGCTTTCTTTATTTTTTCTTAATAATACAGCAACAAGTACCTGTACAGAAAAATTCAAATACGAATGAACCTATGGCATCAATTCAAAAACAAGAGTTTATCCGCAAGTCTGAGAAGGACATGTTGTTAATGAGACATGTACCTTTCAGAATTCTTGAAGGATATTCTTGTTGAGTGCGAGTCATCTACCATAAGTTTATTTCGTATTCTAGTGCAACCAGGGGCTCATCAACCCGCTCAAACAGCAATGGGGTACAAGAGAGAAGTAGTCATGTTACCGCCTCAAATCACAAAAACTGGTAACTTGCAGATGAATAAAAACAAGACATGAATCAATGAACACCGTTTAGAACGGCGTTCTTAGAAGCTCGGGCCTCGAGAAGACTTGGGGGAGGAGGTGGACCAAAGACCGGTCGTTCGGCAGGGTGGGAAATGGTGTGGTCATGCTCGTCAAGCTCTCCCTCCTCGCTGAGATCCTCTTCATCTTCATATTCGTCATCATACTCGCTCTCGGTACCTTCGTCATCATTTTCCAAATGATCATCACCCTCAGCTAATCCTTCGCCACGACCTTGTGCCTGCATACGACGGCACAGAGCCTCGAGGTGTTGACACTTGCGTCGCCATCGCTCCAGCTCCTCCTGATTTCGAGTACGCTCTTCGGCCATTTCGAGAATATTGCGGTTTGTTTGTTCGTGTTTTCTGTTGAGATTGTGGTTCTCCTTCTCCAAACGCTTGGTCTTCTTGGACATCTCTTCCATTTCCTTGCGGAAAGTTAGAAAAAGCTCGTTGCTGTTATTCAGAGTATCCTCGACCTATTTTGTGTTAAAAATTGTAGAGGTAAGGACGATAGAAGGACGATAGACTCCGTACCTGCTTGAACTTCTCTACGTAAATATTGAGCTGACTGCGAAGTTCGGCTTCCGTATGAGAGAAAGTGGAGACTTGTGCACTCAGAGCTCGGCCACGTATGGATTCATTGTCAGCAGACCGACGCTGCTCCTCGTACTTGGAGGCCAGGCTCTGGATCTCTGAATCCTTGCTGCGGAGAAGACCCTTGTAATGAAGTTCGCGCGTGTCGAATTGTTCACTGATAGTCTTGAGCTTCAAACGAAGTCTAAATTTCAAATGTCAATAAAGGGCCCAACGGAAACATGATATGGGTAGGCGAGGGGTAGGCGAGGGGCAGGCGTACGCTTCATCCAAGTCAACATCCACCTTCTCATTTCGAGGGTTCCCTTTGGCAGCCATGACGTCTTGGATGTCGTAGAGCAACGAGTCCAGCCGTTCATTAACAATCAAACGCGCCTTCTTCTCTGTATCATCAAGCCTTTTATTCTCGTCCTGCAATTGTTTTAGTGCCCGCAATAAAATGCCTTCCAGATGTCTGGGTTTCCTACCTTGACTTTCTTGTTTTCCTTGGTCAGCTCTCGACAGAGCTTCTCCAGTTTGTCCTTCATGGTGACAGTCTTTCCGTATTCCGATTTCCCTTTTTCTTGCTCTTTCTGCAGTTGATCTGATCGTTTCTTGCTCTTAGCATAGTCACGATCCAACTTTTTCATGTCCGCAAGCAGCTCCGTGTACTTCTTAGAGACGGCCTCCAGGCGAGTCATTGGCGATTCCATGGTATTAAGAAGCTGGTTCAGATCTCGAGTCGCCTTCTTAACTTCGCGCTCTGTGTATTCCGAGTCAGCGACAAATCCAGCCTCAATACGAAGCAGTTTATTTGAGTGAGTGGTGTTGGAATTTCAAAATCCCAACTGGGGGACCACGAGACGCGTGCAATCACTCCAATCACACGTACCAATCTCCGCTTCTTGCTCCTTCTCTCCAACTGCATCTTGTTCCAACTGCGAGATCTTGGCGGCCAGTAATTTCGATGTCTCACTAGGATCGGTGGTTTTCTTCCCCTTGTTTTTCTTGGCCATAGCGGTGGACGACATGATGCGCGGTGACTACGGGGTCTCGTGTATCGGCCGATGGCTTGTTATGGGGTAGCAGTGGTCGCGTGGCCCGTATGAAGCCGAAAAATTGTGCAGGTTCGGCGTGGATACACTCGGAGGGGGAAGCGGTGCGGGTTCAATCGGCGGAGAGGATGTTGAGACGTGGTGAAATCCCAGAGGCAGAGCGGGCCCAGTCAAGAGCAGCACCTCTGGGGCAAGTTAGTAATGATTCGCCGTGCTTTCCTGTTTAAACGGTGGTCAATGGCTCCTTCTTCGGAAGAGAACTCGACGAGGGGGAAGCCTTAGTCATCGACCCAGCCGCACGAGTCGGCACGACCAGCCACACTCCTTATTGCTCCTACTTTGCACTTAAACTTGACTGAACTTAGTATGGATACCCCTTTCAACATTTGCGCTGTGTATTATGCTCCTTTGTCTGCAAGTTCCTCATTCATAGTGAGGAAGTGCTGTCAGTCTGGCTGACATAAGTCCGATGCGCTCCGGCTGTGAGGTCATGCACTCGAGACTCGAGCCACCCTCAGGCACCACTGCACCCACTCCTTTCTCAGCCTAGTCAATTTAGCCAATACTACACAAATATGACATTGCATACTTGACCTTGGGTTTTCTTAGTCTTCTAGCACACTAATCGTGCCATCACGTGACTCCACGTAGGGTATACCACATGAGAAATTCTTAGTTCACCCCTGATGGCAGCCTTGGGCATTCTGTATTTTATTTCCCTACAATAGCCTTGTATGACCATCCAAGAACCAATCATCATTCAGAAATTTATGACCATCTAAGTATGGATGTGGCTTTCAACCTCCTGAAGGATACATCTTATTCGTCACATTCAAGCAACCTCGAGACTGTTGCCTGTGACTAATGAATACCTAATCCTGGTCACTAGTTAGTTAACTAGTCAACTAACTAGTAGTTACTAACTAACTAATTCCTTCAAAATCGTTATTAATAATTTAATATTGAATTTTCTACTAGGTATCTAGTACTTCCGAGGTCCCGAGGTACATACAGGTGTGTGCATAGTACTACATACCCTATAAAACAACATGCCAACCATACAATAGCCTTTGAAATTTGGAGGTTTCCAACCCGGTGCACATTTTTTGCGATACACTTGGAGTACGTAGTATTGGTAAGAAAGCCAGCTTATTGAGTGTATTCCGAGCCCTATACGTCAACCCCAGATAGTACATAAGCGGGCCCGCAAAACCCCCGCAGATAAGAAGTAGCACGGACTTCAATTCGCCCACCTGCAGGCAATTTTCTCCAAATGCATCCTTGAAGCGCCGAACTTCATACAGAATCCTGCCCGGCATGATTCGAGGTCCCAAGCCAACAAAGGCTTGTGGTAAGTCATATCAGAACATCAGAACCCATACATATCTACGATATATAGCACTAACTGGACAGGCAGTCAATTGTCGGCGACTTAAGGTATACATTCTTCCACATGCTTTTTTTTATGCCGGTGATCAAGCATTCCAACATTGAAGGATCTAATGTTAACTTGCACTTTTTAGATGAAATGTGAGGTCTCAGGGCCCCCACCTTGTCGCCGATGTCGCCAAACCCAAGCAACTTGCGTTTTCAAACCTCGTGCTAATGTATGTGTTCGGGAACATACCGTGTATCAACTCGAAATGCTTGAGAACCGACCAACTTTTGATGTTAAAATGTACTGACTTTTTATATGTTCTGATTGAGGCCTCTACAATCCATGATTTGCTTGACCAAGAGCGGACAGACTTATTCAACATACACCCCGCAATTCGTGACCAGCAAGCTATTCTGGATCGATTAGATCGAATTGAAGCCGCTTTGGGAATTGACCGAGATATATTTGAGGACCCTGTTGTTTCCTCAGTGTCATCACGAGAAGAAGGGGACCAATCAATACCTCTAAAAGGAGCTTGGGAAGCCGTGGCTCATCTCAGGTCCATTACTCGCCCAGCCCAAGATGAGTCCATTTGGTCTCGACCAAATGTCAAACGTCTTTGGACTTCGTAAGATGATCCTTGAACTAGTGGTGATACCTTGAACTTATCTTTGAATAGATTTCTCAGCAATCTACCACTTCTTCATTTCTTAAAAGACCGCGATGCTTTTACGTCCCCAACACCTTTGTTGCTCGCTTCTGTTCTTTACATATCCGCTCTGCACCACAGATCCCCAGAGTTAGGATCCCTAGAAGCGGGCTATTTTACGGCAATATGCTGCGCAATAGCTGAGCTAGCATCTGCGAGTTTAAATACCAGCCTTACTTCTAGACAGGAGCAGGACTTAGATACTAGGAAACGCAGGGCCTTTCATAATATCCTTGGTTTGATAATGGCAAGTCTGAGCTCTGAGGCTTATGTCGACACGACCGGTGTATGGATTGCAATGGGATACCGACTCTGGCTCGACCACTGCCCACCTGATTTCAATGATGCCGTGTTAGACTGGCGTGGAATATTTTCAGGTCTTCAAGTGAGCATTGTCTTCGATGCTGTGACTCAACTATACTAATGACATTTTGCAGGTCATAGATATCGAACATGCATCCATACACATGTCCTACCCCCTCCTTCCCCGTCAACCACCAACACCTGGGTTTCAGCGCCTAGACAGCCATCAAGGACATGCCTTTCAAGGTCTGGCCGAAATGATGCACTTTGGTCTCAGCCACTTTGTGGGAAGAGGGCTACCCACAATCTGGTGCTCAATCAATGCAGATGTCTCCGACAACATTCCAGTTGTTCAAAGTCCATTCACAGATCAAGACTCTGAGGTCATTCGGCTCTGGGCCCGAAAACTTGATGATTGGCTTGTTCGGTATAATGGGGCGTCTCGTGAGTATTTCAGAATCTTCCTAGCTGAATCAGTATTTGAACTTCTGTTAATGAAATCTTTATAGAACCGTCTCCGTCGGATCGACAGGGAATTTTAATCCTGTTGCAGTATCATCTGCACAAGCTTTACGTATTATCTATCTATCACCCTGCCCGAGGATTCGATCTCAGTTCCGCAAATATAAGTCCGCTTGAGAGACATGAGTTGCTCGTGTCAGCACGAGCGGTTCTGAGACTGCGACAAGATGATGCTAGCATTTGGTCCAACTGGGATTTGATTGTGAGTCTTGCTATTAGACTTATTGCATCAACCTTCCTAACATTCAAGATAAGATGATTACATGGGCTGCTGTTTTGCTTCTAAGGGGCGTAGAAGATGGCATGACCCACCCAGATGGTATAAACCCCAAGCCATACATTAGTAGGTGCTCTATCTAACCATATCTAGACCTGCACCTCATTCAATCCCATCTTCAGAGTTTAGAAAGAAGCTCCCAATACACAGTCAGTATACACACTGTTCTGTCACAGCGCCTCGAATCCAGTATGCAAGCCATGCATACTCCACCGGATACAAGCACTATGTTGGCATTCCCGGGTCCTAGTACTGATGATTCATGGACTATCTTCGATCACGAAATCATGTCTCTAGCAAATCCGCCTTGGTTATTTCAAGATTCGACTGTGTTTCCAAATACCCAAAAGTCTCAAGTGTCTATCGGGCTGCCCGTCCCTTATGACTCCGGCTTACTGGATAGTGGTACACAGACCTTTGAAGCAAATTCAACCTGGAATCACGCCGAGTAGGTGTCAAATCAAAATGAAGTAATAACGCATTATCAACATCATTGGTCAAATTTCCACTATTCTTAGAACAAGAATCCAAAGAAGCCAATTACCTTTGCAGATAAATACTACCTACGTCCGCCTGACAATAAACCAAAGCCTAGAAGTTTCCATTCCTCCATGAAACTCCTTCATCATGTTACTAGTATCAACCCACTCCTCCTCCCAACCCTCAACCACCCACTTTGTCCCCGTATCCGCCTGCACTTGTTCCCAAAGCCTCTTCCAAGTTTCCATGTTATGCCGAAACGGCCCCTTCGCCTCACTTGGATCTACAGCATCAAACCTTCCAACCTGGCGCCCAACCAGAAGTGAACCAGGCTGCGCACGGAGCAGGCTTACAAGACGCTTGGCAACAGTGATCTGCTGATCCCAGGTAAATAAATGGAAGAAGGAGGCGGCATTGATGATATCCATGTTATCGGTGAGAGTCTTCACGAGATCCGAGTTGTCATCAAAAATGTCAGAGTCAATGAAGGTGGATTTGAGGGTTTCACGGTCCGCGAAGAGGTCATAGCCTATGCTGAAGAAGTCTTTACCGAGGTCAGATGCGTAGATGTTCTCGGATTGGACGCCGTTGTAGACCTGTACTGATCAATTAGAAACTGGTAGCTAGGAGCTGCCAGCCTTGATCAAATCTTTGATATGCACTGGAGTACATACCAAATGCCGAATTTCTTGGCCAATAGCACAGCCTACATCAAGGAGTTTCTGGCCAGACTTCAATCGACTGAGGATCTCAGGGTAGACTGGCAGTTTTGAGATACTCATGTCCAGGAACCTGAATGAACCGATGCAAGGATATGGGAACTAGACAAGGGTTGCGGATTAGAGCCCGTCGGCTAATACATTTCCTCCAGCAAGTTATGCGCTTAGATGTTATGGAGGTACTAGTGAGCCGGAGCATATTCTTACCACTTCAAAGGCACGATCTCTCTGAAGAAAAGGCATGACTTGGATTAGCAACTGGCTGTATTCAATGTTCATGCTAGACGAGTAGATGAATCAATACTACCACTAACCACATTCATCACATGCTGGAGAATACGATCCGGCTGGATCTTGCTGTAGTTCTCCAGAATAGTCTTGGCAGGGTCGGGCACCTCCTCAAAATCGGTTTTGTACCAGGGGAGCTCATGCGGATCCTTACCCTTGGTCATATCAGCCCGCAGATCGGAGTTGGTCTTGGCTTCGGTCATTGTGGAGTCTGCAGAATAGTAACGGAGGGGTGTGGCGTGAGCCAAGTATTATGACCGGGTAGGGATAAGAGTTCGGTTCGCTTTTGTACGATGTATCATATACCCCACAATCTTCAAGGCTGGTCTTCAATGTTGGTGTGACAAGCTTGAAAGGAAGGGTGACTGGGGAAACGCCTTGAGATCATCGGACGTCCGATGAACCCCCGCGGCGGGGTATACCTACTAGTAATCTTTTTTGCACGTGTGAACCATGCATGTATAGATCCAGCAGTCAAGTGCCTCCAAGACTCGATGTGGAATGATTAAGTACATGTATTGTTTAGATGTTTACTGTTTCAGTCCAACTATAGCTACTCTTCAAATAAGAATATTCAAAATTGTGCAAATGTATTGCATCGGCATCAATGGGGTATAGTAATTACAGTGAAAACAACTTTCATCTTATCGTCAGAAGTGGTAGGCCCACTTAACATATCACATAGCTTCATTCCCGACCAAAGCCAAGGACGAGCTTCATGGGATATCATTAACATGACGACTGGATTCACCAGCCAGGTCTACCCCGTTATCAGGGTCATTAATGGAGTTAGGTTTTGATGAGGTGTCAGGGGATTCCGGTAACGGAAATGGTGGAAATGGCTCAGTTTGTTCGGTCGAAAGTTGTCGGATGGATGACCCCACCGACCGTTGATCGGTATGGTCGGCTTGCTGTTCGCCCGTCGACAAGAGACTGCGGTGGGAAGGAAGCCTGGGAATCTGTTCCCTTGCCGATGAGGGAGATGTGGTCTGGTATAAACAAAATTAGTACCTAGTCAAGTTCGTGAAAAGGTCTCCGGAGTGCTCTGTACCGTAAGATTGTTGTTGTTGAGCTCAAAATCCAGTTTAGAAGCAAGTTCTCGTGCTGTAACTCGGTTCTTCTTGACCTTTAATTCTTCATGTGTTGCCAGATCCTTCTCGACTGGCAAATCCGCCATTGACGGAGCATCGAAGCCATTGACGATTTCCTGATCTGTGCTCATGGGTGATTTTGTAGAAGAACGCTTCTTTTTCTTCTTGCGATTTGACTTCTTGGACGAGGCACCCCCCAAGCTGGATGTACCGGAAGCAGATCTCACCATTTCGGTTTTTGAGCCCTGGTCATCCGACTCTAAGCCTGTTCCGCGACGCCCGAAGACAAGTGCAAATTCATCGTCCAGCGGAACTGCGTCTTCTTCATCACTGGGTAATAAATCCCCACGAGAGCTAAGAGAGTTGGAGGTTGCACGAGACGAGTTCGTACCACTTCGATGCCTTCTATTTCCATTGTAAGATATGTGAGCTTCATCGTCCTCGGTCGCTTCCATTAGCGGCTCTTCCTCATGCGCATAACGCCGAGAGCTACCCGGGTGTTCTTGCAAGTCCGCAGCAGAGGGGCGATATTTAATACCCTTCGCACCAAATCTCCAGGGAAAGCGTTCCAGGAATCCAATCAGAGAAGAGCTAGGAATGACCGTGGGGTCGTTGCGGTCGTCCGGAACGTGGACTGTACTCCTCCGCCTTGTGTTACGTGTGCCGTAACTCATCCTTCTTTGTCGGCGTGGCTGCTCCGCCGTATTCCTGGTCAGCCCACTACCCGCCAGAAGGCGGTCCAATTCCCCAGTGCCCCATCCTATTAAGCTGTCCTCTTCTTCGGTATTATCCCAATCGTCGTAGAAATCAAAGTTGGCCTCGGTATGACCTCGGCGCCGGCGCCGCAGCTGATCCTCCTGATTCGGCAAACAAGGAGCGGTGCATACGTTTATGCAGTTTCCGACGGATATTAAGCAAGGGGAGATGTAGTTTTGTGAAAAGGCGTATAGTCCCTCCTGGGCAGTTTCGTTGGCGGACTCGAGGTTATGGGATATCTGGTTGATCCGCTGCCGGATGCGCGGATCGCGCGATCGCATCATCTTACAACGCGGTCAGGATAATCAGGAGAAACCGGAAGGGCGGAAGTCAATTCATCGCAAGGGGGAGGAGAAGGAACTTTGAGGTCCGGGGGCCGCGCAATTGTTGGGGTATGCAAACGATGTCATCTGGTTACCAGATGAGTCAGCTGGCACGTGATGTCGAGGGTCTGGGGTAAAAAAAAAAACGAAGGAATAAGGTGATAGTGAAAGTGAGAAGATGGAAGCTTAGGAGGGAATTGAAAATTAAAACATTGTTCTGACCATGGTTTATTACATTCGATTTCTGAACCCCCCAAGTTCCACCAAGAAAAGAAAAATACCAAATTGTCTCGACCACAGCAGAAAAAATCCGTCTTTATTACTGCTCTCATCTGCATCACCACAGATCTCGGAGATGATTTCCTTGCAGAAGATGTAGATCTAGTGGCAACGTGGGCTCAGCATTCGCCACGCGATACCATTGAACAAACATCTTTAACATGGCGGGCTGGTTCTCGACAACTTGCAATCTCAATGGGCCCGTATTCAATCGACCATGTATCTCAACACGAGGCCGTTTTCCAAATCCGGACCCAGAATATCCCGCAAGATATACTTGGGGTTAACACTACACCATTGGTGATATCGGGTTGCAGTGCTCCCTTCAAATGGCAATCGGAGCCTGCCGAGAAATTGATTCAACGAGAATTCAAGATCACAAACAACAAATCCATTCCATCTCTTAAAATATGGGAGGAGACCGGTAATAGCATTGCTCGACATATCTGGTGAGTGGTTTTTATTTTTAGCCTCCTTACTTCCACTTGAATATCTTATATTCTTAATTTTTTTTTTCTTTGTTTAATCATATCTTCAGGGATGCGGCACTTGCATCGATCATTTTGCTCAATCAATCTATAAGCGGCACTGGCACTGCCATTCCCATTCTGGATCAACTGCTCAAGCCACGCACCTCCCCCCTTCAGGCAGTGGAATTGGGGGCTGGGTGTGGTATTGTTGGCATTGCGCTGGCAACCATGCTTGACCACTGCAACGTGGTCCTCACCGATCTCCCAGAGGTTGAGAAGATTGTAATGCTCAACCTGGAGGAAGCCCATCTCCAACCATCTTCGTCGGTCGAATATAAAAATCTGGACTGGGATGAGCCACCCCCAGACCTCTGCAGTCGACCTATCGATTTGATTCTTGTTTCCGACTGTACCTACAATGCAGACAGCTTGCCCACATTAGTTTCAGTTCTGGACCGATTGGTCCGGACTTCCCCGGACGCGATGGTTCTAGTGGCCCTGAAGCGACGGCACGAGAGCGAAGCCATCTTCTTCGATTTGATGAAATCTGCGGCCTTTGTTGCCCAACCGACGACCGTGCCGCTACCGTCTCAACATGAACAAAACGATACAATCGAGTTGTACTGTTACCGTCGTGAAATTAGCGACGTGTAAGTATGTGCTAGTAAAGAATTGCTTATTAGGGCGGATATAACAGGCTGTTATTTTACTCATGTGGTCCGTGCACAGAACCCACTGGTGCGTCATTCCCGAGGTTCTCGCCCCTTCGTTAGCGGGGCCCGGGTGAGCTTCGTCGATCTTTGGTTAAGAAACTTCTGGTTCATGTTGCTTTTTTTTCCTTGTTTAGAACTTGGAATTTTCTTCGATTTACGGAATTACCTCTAGAGAAGTTTGCTCACTGGGGGAAAAAAAACAAATGTGTGCATCTAGCCTATACTAAAGCCCACCTAAGAGAAGGGATTATCACACCGCAAGTTTTTTTCTTTTTTTTTTTTTTTTTTTTTTTTTTTAGAAGTGGGAAAACTGTGGTAAAAGATTGTAAGATTGTATGCTATATGCAAGAGACATAGAGGTACATGCATATATCTACAATCTTCCACATTCCAGGGACCGAGGAAAGAAGTGAGTGTCATGTAGCACAGCTGCATGTACTCCGTACCGTTAAGTACCTGTATAGTACATAGAAATCGCGCATAGTGGATAGGTTTACGGAGTACAGAAGGAAAAAAACGGGGTCTTTTTAGAGGGGAAGTTTGTTCCCAGTTTTTGTGTGGAGGAAAACCCTTGGGGCCTGGATGCCGTAAGCGGGCTCCATAGTTTTTTCTCCCAAGGAAGGTGGTCTTCCCTCTTTTCTTTACACAGGGATTTCTATTCCACCTATACAACATTCAAGGTGAGTGACTTTTGATTGCTTTTGTTGGCCCAATCACAATATCTGTTGTGTTACCATGCCTCGTTTTAAATTACTAGATTGCTTTTTTTTGCTGTGTCCTTTGTGCCCTAAACCCCCCCCCCAGGAAGTTTAAAAATCTGACCTTCCCCCCGAATCCTCAACCGTTCATTTTTTTCTCTCATACATTATTCCTACCGTTCAAGGTTGACTGACCTATTATAAAGTCACGGATCGTGTCCAATTTCTAGATTTTTTCCTTGCCTTAGGTTCAGCCAAGGCAACCGTCATCACGGCTCCAGCCTCAACGGTGCTTCTCAGCCAAATTGTATCCACTCGACGTCTTCGAGACACTCTTAACAACATCCCACCTCCTGCTTCTTGCTGAAGTTCCGTCCGGTGCGCCTTTTTACGTCCCGTTGACGCCCAGTCAGGATATTCCCTCAACCCTTGAGCTGCCGCATAGGACTTCTTCGAAGGTTCTTCCTCGTAAGGGGGAAGAGTCTAGGAGGCTTGGTCCAGTCAACTTCGGTTGCGACAGTTATCGTCCTCCCTAAAGCGCAGTCGCGTTAAAAAAACTTTGTCAAATTTTCTTTTTTTTATACCAATTGAAAAAATTCCGTTTCCGTACGGAGTTGCAGCTGTACGGATATGGCACCGACTGCGTGTGTTACACCTGCTGAGGTTTGTACCATGAAGAACGACATTAGTCGTGATCTTGGTATGATCAGCACCCATGGGGAGGAAATGTTGCAATCTCGGTTGGCTGCCAAGGACCTGGTCCTGGACATCCTGAGAAAGCGAGCTGCGGAGGTTGATGTGGACCGCTGTGGAGCGGGAGAGGAGGATGCTTTTTATGTCGCTGATATGGGCGAGGTGTATCGCCAGCATATGCAGTGGAAGATGAACCTAGGCCGTGTTAAGCCTTTCTATGGTAGGTGGTTTCTTTGCCCGCTTCCCCGCATGTTCCCCCCCTCGGCTTCCAAACTAACATCGGCCTACAGCTGTCAAGTGCAACCCGGACCCTGAAGTCCTTCGTCTCATGGCCCAGCTTGGTAATGGATTCGATTGCGCTTCCAAGTCTGAGATTGAACTCGCCCTTCAGACGGGCATCGATCCCAGTCGAATCATTTATGCCCAGCCATGCAAGACCAAATCCTACCTCCGCTACGCCAAGGAGGTCGGTGTCAAGCAGATGACTTTCGATAATGCCGACGAGCTATACAAGATCAAGAACCACTTCCCGGAGGCGGAACTTTACCTTCGTATTCTGACCGACGACTCGACCAGCCTGTGCCGACTGAGCATGAAGTTCGGTGCTTCCCTGGATGTGGCCCACCAGCTGCTCCAGCTTGCCCACCAGCTCGAACTGAAGGTTGTTGGAGTGAGCTTCCACGTCGGCTCCGGAGCTGAGGACCCCCGTGCTTTCCTGAAGGCTGTTCAGGATGCTCGTCTGGTCTTTGACCAGGCCGAGCAGATTGGACACGAGCTGCACACCCTCGACGTTGGCGGTGGGTTCTGTCAGGATACCTTTGAGCAGTTCTCCGGCATCCTGGGTGACGCTTTGGAGACCTACTTCCCACCCAACGTTCGCATCATCGCTGAGCCCGGTCGTTACTACGTCGCCAACGCTTTCACTCTGGCAGCCAACGTTATTGCTCGACGTGACGTTCCGGATCCACTTGATCCTTCTCGTGATGCTTATATGATTTACCTGAATGACGGTGTCTACGGCAACTTCTCGAATATCATTTTCGACCACCAGCACCCCATTGCCCAGATCCTTTCGTCTGCGGCCAACTCTGAGCAAGGCACTCCGAATTCTGCGACTTCGGACAGCATCTCCTACTCCATCTGGGGTCCAACCTGTGATGGTATTGATGTGATCAGCGAGCGGATTGATCTGCCTGGTCTCCTCAATACTGGTGATTGGCTCTACTTTGAGGAGATGGGTGCTTACACTAAGTGCAGTGCCACCCGCTTCAATGGTTTCTCTGACAACCACGAGGTGATCTACATCTCGAGCGAGGCTGGTGCTTCTGCCTTGCTCAACTACTGATTTCCTTGTTTATCTTTGGCTGTTTGACTATTTGGTCTCTTTGATGCTTTTTATGTTTTCATTCCATTCGCATCTCTTTCATCTGTATCCAGTTCCGGGACGAGGTGTATCTATGTGATGGTATTGTTATTTGCTATTTGCCTTGGCAAGTCTAATTAGGATAATCGGCTTGTTCCTTCATAGAGCTAGTTACTAGACTTTTAGATTTTGACTTGGATGATTTTTCGGTCTAAATTCAGTTTTGCTTGTTGGCTGCGTTGACGTCTTCTTTCACTACTTCGCTGCCTTCAAAAGTTCTTGAAATTTTTTAGACGTGGCATCGGTTTCTTGCATCTGGGCCTTTCTTGTGCTCCCCGGGGATTTCAGTTCTTCTGGATCATCTTTCTAATTCTAAAGGTATCATCAATCATCTAGACTTTGGGATTTACAATACAAAAATGGGGGTATAGCGAAGCCAGCTCCGCCTACACTCTATATCATCAAACCAATCGCTCCACAGTCAACTCCGCACCAGCGTCAGCCTGCACCAAACCACCAGCCTCGAGCTTCTTCTTCCACTTTGCAGACTCATAGCGAGCCAGAATAAATGTCAGGCGGGCAACCACATTCTCATCCGCAGACTCTGCTACCACAGTCGACGGCGTACAAGTCCACCGACCAAACGCCCAGTTAAGAATGTAGTATCGGCTCCCCGGCTCATCACTCTTCTGCCTAGACCCATCAAGATCATCCGAAGTCTCTCCCAACGGCGTCAAGGAAGAGCATCGAACAATACCCTTGATTCGATAGACCTCCTCCCGCTGCGCAGAAGAAAGCAAGCCCTCCAGAGCCTGCACATCCACCATCTTCGAGCCCTCCGCTTTCAACATAACAGACAAGACCTCAACCTCAGATTGATGATCATGCTTATGCTTGTCATCCCCATGAGCATGCCCGTGATCATGCCCATCATCAAGCCCCTCCTCCGCAAACAAAGCCCCATCAATCCCCAGCAAGACCTCCTTGTCAACCCGCCCCTTCTCAGACTTAACCCAAGGCGTCTCGATTCCCAAATCACCCACTCGATCCAAACAGACATCGAACCGCATCTCCCCACAATCCTCCCACTTATTAAACACGATCAAATCCGTATACTTCGCCTGGATCTGCGCCGTATAGCTCGTATCCTCATACCCCTCCCAATTCTCAACATCAATCACACTGATCACTCCATCCAACACGAAGTTGCCTCCCTCTTCGCGCGCAAGCCGGTTCACCTCCATAGCCAGTGTAGCGGGGAATGCGCTACCGCTGGTCTCAATGACGATGCGGTCGGGCGAGACCTCGGTTTGGAGTTGGTCGAGGGCGTCGCTTAGTTGGCCGACTAGATTGCAGCATATGCAGCCATTGAGGAGTTCGCGGACGCCGGAGATGGCCTGAGTGGAGGCGAGTTGGGAGTCGACTGCTAGGTCGCCGAATTCGTTTTTGAGCAGGGCAAGCTTGTAGGTTGGTGGGAGTTGGGGGAGGAGGTTTAGGAGGAGAGTGGTTTTTCCTGAGCCGAGGAAGCCCGTGACGATTGTTATAGGAATCGGTGCCATTTTTTCGAGTCTTTTTGGATTATGTTGGCGTAGTTCGAGGGTGTAGAAGGTGGGTTGTGGTTCGTTCAAAAGTTTGATTCGAATTCAAGGGTTTCGGTCTAAGGATTGGGATTGCGGCGGGGCATGATTAGGTGGGGCTGGTTGGAGTAAGTATAAAATGGAGGGGTTGTACAATCAGGGACTTGATCCACCACCATGACACATCTATGATTAGATTGTAGTACTAACTAGTAGTACATTAGAGACAGACATACAAATACCCACTGGATCAGAAAACCATCATATCTACTGGTAGAATTTTGTTTGATTGACTGAGAGGTATTTGATTTTACGTGATAATGCTGTCATGCGCTAAATAGTGTACATTGATGAAGCCCTGGAGAGAATCCAATCAAGCTCGTAATGGTGGCAGACCCAGTGGTGCACCGTAAAAGTCCATAAGTTCTTCCTCTTCTTCTTCCACGTCAAGAACGTTCTCAATCTCTGACTCCTCTTCCGCAATCTTGACGGTGCTACCACGAGAGGGCCGACTACGGGAAGCAGAGGCAGCATTACTCAAGGCCGGCGTACTCTCTGCTTCGAAGGCTTCACGGGCATCTTCATGTGGAAGACGAATTGCCAAGTGTCCATCGGGCGCACGCTCGGCACGATCCATGATTTCGTTCATATACTTGCGCACTTCCTCCGCTGGCTTGACAACGCGAGTCAGTGGATCAAGGATCCGGTTATCGGTAGCATGGATGCGGAATGTTACCGGCTGCCAGTACTCTTTGAGAACCACTTCTTTTTCCTTGGCAGGCTCGCTCGAAGCACTAGGGGTTCCAGGCTGTGCAGAAGGCTTTTCAGATGGTTCAATCTTTGGTGTAGCATCTGTGGAAGCAGGTGTTTCGGCGCCTTCTTTGCCTTTGTCGGCTTTGCCCTTTTTGTCCCCTTTCTTTGATTTTGAGGAACCCTTGCCCTTTGCAGTCTTTGTAGAGGGGTCTGGTGCAGCCTCAATGGGAAAAGGGGCGTTGGGATCAACTTTCCGAGTGATGAGAAACGAGGCGAGGATGGTATCCTCACTAGGAAGCCATTCCAGAATTGAGTACTCCGGGAACAAATACCGATCACCAGAGCCAGCATGGCCAGATGCAACGTTTCCGTATGGGGTCAATGGGGAAGTAAACTCGAAAACAACAGCTATGTATGATGGACGCGCAGGAGGTGGTGCAGGTCCTGGTGGCCGATAGTAGGGTGCTGGTGAGGCATATTGAGGCGGGCGCGACTGGAGTGGCGGTTGAGAGCCGTAAGCCGGTTGTGGGTAGGGGGGATAAGGTGGGCCTGGCCGGGGTGTAGGCTGTTGAGCAGCATTCGAAGGTGTAGGACGCACCGCAGGACTCTGCAGAGCACCCGTGGTAGGAGCTGGGGTAGCAGGGCCAGATGCTCCGACTGGAAGGACTGCTGGTTGTGGGGGCGCCGATTGAAGCGGGGTGGCTCCTTTTATAGCTGGTTCTTGTTTGATAGCGGGACCAGAGGTCTGAGGGGTACTGGTTGGTTGGACTGTTTGGGCTGGTACAGGTGTCTGAGGTTGACTTGCAGTTTGTGGTGTCACCCCAGGTTGAGGCTTGACCAAGACTGTTGCCGGCGTTCCAGACGCTGGGGGGTTCTCCGAACTGTCTTTGGCTGGGGTCTGAGCGGGGACCACTGGCTGTGGCTTGGAGGTTTGATGTGGAGGCGCCTTTGCGCCTGGATCTGGTTTCGTTTGAGAAGCATTTGGAGGTGAAATCGCTTTCTTTTGGGGTGCTGGAGTTACTGGCTGTTGTGGCGGTGCTCCAACTGCGTTTTGCTGGCGCTTTTCCTGCGGCTCTCTTGCTTTAATTATTGCGTTCAGCTCATCAATATGGGCCTGGAAAGCGCGAAGTTGCTCTTGGGATGCCTGACTAGACGCAACAACTCTCATCAAAGCCTTGAGTTCGGGGTCAGCAGCAGCTCGGGTAGCAAGCATCTGGATCACGGGATCCGGGCTAGGCTTTGCAGGCTGCCCTGGTGGGTTTTGCGTCGGTGGGCGTTGTCCAGCTTGTGGTGATGGGGCGTGACCTGGTTGATGTGGCCCCCGGGGCGCAGGCGAATAATTGGCTTGTGGACGACCGGGAGGTCCAGTAGGATAGGGTCTTCGCTGCTGGTTTGAAGGATGTGGTTGATATTGTTGGAAGTTGTTCGGGGGGCCATAGTGAACCATTCGTCCTTGCCCTTGCGGAGGGGTGTATTGAATAGGTAGCGGCGCCGCAGGATCCTTCACGGTATATAGCATCGCGTCAAAGCGATGCGGACCAATTGTCACATCACAAAGACCAACCTTCGACATAGATTCCTTTGGTGGATTGAGTTTCTCAATCTGTTCGCGTTTAGTCTTCTTCGGCTTCGTGTAGTATCGGACCAGAATTCCGTCGCTAAGCCATTTCTTCTTCGATCGTTCGAGGGATGTGAGAAGTACAGCGCTGTGGATAACGAGCTTTGTCAGTATTGTTCTTTCAAATCCAGACATACTAGGCATCAAAAGTCAAACCTTTCCGCGATGGACTGGTACTCCTTGTCCGACAAGTTGGTTGGTTGCCTAGCTCGCCTGGTCGGTATCGGTTCGCCCTCTTTTAATTTCGATGGCAACAGAGGTTCGACAGGCTCAGGAGGCGGAGATGGGGCTCGAGGTGTTGCGGCTTTCTTCTTTGAATGCGACTGAGAGGCGGCCGCTTCGGAGACACGCTTTTTGTTAGCGGGCTCACGCCCAGCGCGAGCAGGGAGCTTTCGCTTCTCAGCCATGATGACAAAAGCTGGACGGCCTTAAACAAATTCCTGGCTTAATAGATCCTCATCACCTCATGCGATAATGAATGACAATGGTGAATGGCGCGGAGATCGGCAGAAGTGGAAGGGGGAAAAAGCGTGACGCGATAGTCGCGGGTCTGGCGTCGATAAGGCTTATTAAATTACCGACATTATCATCTCCACAACACCCGCATCATGGTTGAGCTACAATCCATCTTCAAAAAAGCCTATTGGACGCTGGCAGCTGGCGGCTTGCTATATGTTCTTTTCATATGCGCCGTTACTTTCCCAGAGATTCAACGCTTGTAAGCTTGAAGATTTTGTTGGAATATTTATCGTGTTACATGGCTGACGTTCGTACAGTGTTCTCTATGCTCATAAATTCAACCCAAGTTACTGGCAAAATCTGAATCAAGTGGAACAATTTGGATTCTTAAGTAAGTTTTTGAGACAATCTAGCATTATTCAAATATTGACTTGCCCTCAGAAACCCAAGTTCAACCATTCAATTTGGTGACGCCCGACAATGAAACACTTTACGGCTGGCACCTTCTACCTCTGCATCTTGTGCACGAGCATGAGAAGGAGCTGATGGAAAATACACCATTCGGTCCATCAACAGACTACACAGAGACCGTTGCATTCAAAATTTTGGCCAGTAACCCCAACTCCAGGGTTGTGGTGAGCTGTAAGACCCCTGCCAGACTCCAAACATTGATCAATTATTCTAATCTCAGGAATCAAAGTTCATGGAAATGCAGCCCATCTGGGATCTGCCAATCGACCAAATGGGTACAATACCCTACTTGGCCTATCAACTCCCGAAAACCCTGTTCATGTGTTTGCGATTGACTATCGTGGATATGGGTTATCCACCGGAAATCCTACTGAAGAAGGCCTGGTTACTGATGGTGTCTCCCTACTTAACTTTCTTACAGCGGGCCCCCTGTCAATTCCAACATCACGAATTGCCATTGTGGGTCAAAGCCTAGGCACTGCAGTTACCGCAGCCGTCGCCGAGCGTTTTGCATATGGATCGCCCGACCCGAAAGCGATCCAGCCAACTATCAAGGATGCCGAGCCGTTCGCTGGGGTCATCCTACTTGCATCTTTCAGCAGTATTTCCAATGTACTTGAGTCGTATAGCATCAAGGGATTCACCCCACCAATGCTCTCGCCATTGCTTGGCTACCCTCGCTTCCAAAATTGGGTGCTCAGCCACATAGTGGACCATTGGGATACAGCTGGAAGAGTGGCTCGCCTGGCGGGTATCAATCCAGCAGAGCCGGATGTGTCAGGTTTGAAGTACTCTCAGAAGGATCTGGATCTTACGATTGTGCATGCCTTGAATGACGCGGATATCCCGTGGTACGAAGGACGCCGAGTTTGGGTGGCTGCTACTGGTGAGAACATCGAGGGTGCACCTGGAGCTATAACTTTCGAGAAATTTGAAACCGGCAGCTCCAACCAGATCCAGGTCTGGGAGAACAGCTTCCTTGGCACAGATGGAAAACAGGTCGTGAAGAGAGTTCGGTGGGAGCGCATCCGATACGGAGGTATGTGAACTGGCTGGTTATATACTGCTTGTGGATTCAGAGTATGTCGCTAACTTGGGGGAAATTCTAGGTCACAACCGGGTCGCTTCATCCTCTGTTGCAGGTCTTGCGGTCCTGAGGGCTTTTGAAAATTGAAATGACTCATTTGTTTTCTTTATAGATATATTGAACGGTAAAGCTGAATCTACTCAGGATAATCAGCCAAAGCTCGGAAATCACATGCAAAATATGCGTAGAAATACACAGAATGTGAATACGGAGAAATTTCTACTAGTAGTCACATTGGAGCCTTAACAAAACTTTGAACAGACCTGTTCTATCCCGATTTCAAAAAAAATCTATCACTAAGAACGTTCACGATTAATGTTCAACAATTTACTTCTTCAGAGCGAAGTTATTCCCGAACCTCGGCTGCAACGCTTACTCAGCCACCCTTGTTGCGGGGAATCCCCAAGAGCTTAAAACAAGCCATCGATTGAACTTGTCGCTCTCGACGTACTTAGTAGTGCATAGCGTGATTTGATCTGAGAATTAGGAACTCACGCCCAACCATGGCTGTCCCAAAAATCACTCTTTATGTGGATATCGTCAGTCCTTTTGCATATATCGCATTCTACGTGCTCAAGGTATCTTTATTCTTGTTCAACCTTCCTTTGAAGACACTATTAACCCGAAACCAGAACTCAGCGACTTTCGCGAAATGTGATGTGACCTACGTCCCCATATTCCTGGGTGGTCTGATGCATGCTTGTAATAACACGCCACCAATCAACATCAAGAGTGAGTCCGATTTTATACGTATTTAAGCAACACTGCATAGTATGTATGCTGATCTCATTTTTACAGACAAGGCCCAGTGGACAAACAACGAGCGTTTAAGATGGGCCAAATACTTCTCGGTTCCGATTCATGAGCAGATGCCTGACGGCTTCCCAATCAAAACACTTCCGGTTCAACGTGCCCTTTGCGTTATTGCACAAAAAGCACCTGCATCATTGCCCTCTGTGATCGATGCTCTGTACCGCTCTATCTGGATTGATAGAAACTCAAAAGTCGGAGAATCTGAGGGCTTCACGCCTATTCTAGAGACTTTACTCGGAAAACAAGCGACACAGGAAGTTCTATCAGCTGTGAGTTTTTTCGATTACCCTTTTTCTGGGCTTAATAGCTAAATTTGTATTCTCAGATGGGTCAAGCAGATATCAAAGCCACGTTGAATTCCAACACAGATAAGGCTTTCAAGGTTGGTGCTTTTGGTCTTCCGTGGTTCGAGTGCACCGACGCAAATGGCAACAGCGAGGGATTTTGGGGTGTGGATCATATTGGAGTCGTCGCAGATTTCTTGGGATTGGATCGTAGCCGGGATCCTGGATTCAAAGCCCTTCTGTAGTGGATGGTATTGTGTTTAAGTCTTCAGTGGATCTTGACTTGGTCATGGTCTGCCGTCTCCGATCATGAAATGCATGTGTACAACATGGCCCGTTCAATGTTAGATAAGAATCGATATTGCCCGATGGTCAAATTGATCTACTCTCAGATCCAGACTAATCTTGAAATCTGATGTGATGAAGAGCAACATTTAATCCACATTTAAGATCTTAACCTGCATCTTTCATTGAAGGGCCAGCAAATTGGCGCCGAGCCACTGAAGTGCTCAAATGTTCCATTAGATAGCCAATTCTGGAATCCATGCCTTCCATTGCCGTAACCACAACTCCATCAACTGCTCACTTACAGGCTGAACGGCAGATGATGTTGCGGAGCCTTTTTGGGTATTCCCAACACTCATTCTCGGTTTGGGATGATTTTGCTGGGCAACAAGCATGCGGAAGAATTCCAAAAGACCCGCTGCAGGAATCTCGTGAAGGTCTTTGCGCTCACTGGCGGCGAGCTCCAGTTCTTGGACCCATTCAGCAAGAGAAACGATACTTGCATTACAAGCTTTGGCCACAACGCCGGCAAGACTTTTCCATTCTGTGGCCCTGGGGTTCATGATGTGATACACCGTGAGCTCCGAGTGAGGTTCTTCGCGCCGGATTTTCACAATCTCAGTCATTATGAGTGCAGCAGAATCCTACAAAACGCGTTAGTAAGCACCGACATATTGCATCCTAAGAGTAAACATGATAAGGAATGAGTCAATGACATACAATAGGTAACCAATCCACTTGAAAAGAGCCCAAGCTATCGGGAAGCTTGTGCATTGTTTGAGATGACCGCACCAAGGACGGAATCCAATCACGGGGATTCCACATGCCGGCCCCGGGAGTTGATGGGCCACCGAGCTGGCCAACGCGATGAATCGAGATACGAGACCCGTTACGCTGGGAAGCCAAACCGCAAAGTTGCTCACCCACGAATTTTGACTCGCCATATCCTTGCCGGAGAGCTCCTGCAGATCCATAGAGTTTTTCCAAAATGACCGTATCAGGAGGTACAGATAGAGCTGCGACTGCCGATACGGAAGAAACAAAATGAAAATCTGCGTTGTGTGCTGAGTGTTCAATCAGTGTCAGGAGTCTCCGGAGTCCGACAATTTGAGACTCAAATTTGACAATTGGTTGATTGAAGTTCACCGACCAGGCGTTGTGAATAAAAACGTCAATGTTCTCCTCCAGTAACTTGTACTTGTCCGGTGTGAGTCCCAGGTTTTCCTCCTGTAGATCACTCTGCCAGAATTGAACCCGGGAGGTTTCAGTCAGCCATGCAGTTGACAAGCCCTTCGTTTCGAAACTTGTCACCTGTCGCTCTGCCGCATCGGTAGATCTGTTCAAACAATAAACTTGTTTGATTGATGGGTCTTGTAGAAGAGCATTCAAAATGTAACTTCCAAGTTCCCCAGTAGATCCGGTCAAGGCAATAGTCAGTCCTCCAGAGCCCAGGAACTGTGCCTGTTGCCATATGAGCCTGATAAGAGTGTCTTCTCGTGACCATGTAGTGCCTTCAATGCTCTCTGGTGGGGTATGGAGCTCATCGCTATCGATGCGCTGATATAGAGCCTGTGCCAATTCTGGGATGCTGGCCAGGTCGTAAATCATTGCGTTTGTCCACTGTTTTGGATGACGAACACCGGGCATTTTGTGTTCAGCATTTTGTAAAACTTGCGATAGGCGGACTACTTGCAGTGAGTCCATTCCCAGGGATATGATATCGTCTTCATGGTCTGTTATATCGCGGGAAAGGATCTGCGCAACTTGTTCTTCTATCCATTGCTGTATTTCAGACAGACTCTCCCCTGGGAATTCTTTGACTTGATTCTTTTTTTCAGGCTCATTGAAGGTCTCTCGCAAGCTGTAGAGGTCTTCTAGCACGTCGGCATAATCTTTGCTGACATCGCGCCGGCGCAGCGTCCCCTTCGGTGATAATGCAAAGGGCTTATCACGAGAGGTAAAGGCGATATGACTCTGAAAGATCTTTCCATGGCCTGGCAAAGATGAGTTTGCTTTATCGACAGTCGACCGGATTGTTTCTTTCAAAGACCGGGAGGTCCAAGAAGGTGGTAATTGATCCCAGTTAGGCTGAATGAGCAAAGTTGCCTGAAAGCGGTCTTGACCAAAAATGGCGGCCAGCTTCACAAGAGGGTGGGCTTCTATAAGCTTCTCGGCTTCTATGGGATTGAATTTTTCTCCATTTCTCAAAACGATAATATCATCTCCTCGACCATCGTAGCGCCAAAGTCCAGGCTTGGAAGGATGAGGCCGAAAGAGGTCACCAGTACGGTACTCCTTGAGGTGCGGATGGGAATGGAAGATACCATGATATTGACGTGTACTCGAGCGTAGCAAAATCAACTCCGAGAGTCCGTCACCGACGTTTTCCATGCGCAAATCGAATGCAGGAACCCATTCCATGTAGTTCCAATCAGCAGGATCCTCACAGAGCAAAGCAGGTGTATAACTAGTCTCACTGCTCCCAATGATAGTTTGCAAACCGAACAAAGACGTCAGTTTTTGACCAGTGGCCTGTGCCATAGGTGCACCCCCAAAATTAATGGCGGTAAGTTTTGCAAGAGCCTGCAAGCCTTCCTCCGAAGACACGAGTTCATCCAAAGTGGATGGAGTGAAAACTCCCCATATGGGCATATGACTCGAGCTCATGATCTGATGAAACAAATTTGCAGTCAAAGGACGATCCGGGGCAAATAAAAAAGGAGTTTGGAAAAGCAGGCCCTCGGTAATGCAAATAAGTCCCATAAAATGGAACATGGGACTGTAAAAGAAACGCATTTCACCCCGTCGGCGCACAGCACATAGGGCGTTCTCGCGTCCAGGGGGCAAAGGCAAATGCTGCATATTGTCCAAAGTAGCGAGATATCCATGTGTCAAAACTACAGGCTTTGGATTGCCAGTGGTACCTGAGCTGTGGATAATGATTGCGGGAAGGTCCTCGACATTTGCAAAAGAGACTCTGTGAGGGTATAGGGCCACTGGAACAGATGAGAAGACATCCCACATAGATCCAATCTGCCAGCGCTCAAGCGGGATGTCAGTGCAGCTGGTGACAAGTTCATCAAGCGCATGTTGGAGCTGCGCCTTTTCAGCCCCATCGACAATTATAGAGCACTTGGTGGCTTCTAAGAGGTGTCGTTGTGCCGATTGAGAATTTCTCGTCGACAGCAATAATGCCTGACAGATAGGTTGAAATGTTTAGAAGATGAATAGGCAAGTACTAGTGCTTGGCGAGGGAACTTACAGCATGGCCCGTTTTCATACAGGCTAGCATAAACGCCCCGTATCTTAGATCATTCGCCCCGATGTAGGCAAGGACTTGTTGCCCCTTCTGCCCATCCAGTTTCTCATCAATCCACCAGGCTAGCCGATTAACTGCCCAAGCAAAATTCTCGACAGTGATCTGGTTCCATTCAAGCTTGCTCTCATTCGAGACAGGATGGATACAATAGAGAGAATCAGGGTTCGTGACCGCCAGTTCATCTAAAACACGAGTAAGGATTCGACCTTCGGATGTTGTTGACCCCATGATTTGGATCGGATGCTCTTCAGGTACTCAAGTGCTGAGTACCTCCTCGAGAACTTTCAAGAATGGGCGACATGGAAACGTGGATGTCTGGGCAGGGTGCTTTTATAGCCATCATGCATATTGAATAAGCCTGTTTACACTACTATGCACATACTAGGTATACTATGTATGAGAATTTCCATACCTAGTAGGGCTCTTCATCCTAAGCAAAAAGAAATTAATTCCGATCGTGAAGAAAGCTAACTGGAGTCCACGTATTCTGCATAATGGCTTTCAGATGGAAGGTGGCCCATGCAGATTGTCACACCTTCCCGATTGGAGGTAAGCTTGCCCCATTGTTGGTTTTACATTCTCGATTTAACAGCGCTTCTTCCCATAAACCGAGAGCCCGGGAATCAGAACGGGCGAGATACAGAGTGATCTTTTACCTGAAGTATCACAGCATAACGTGGTCATACCCGATCATTGTAGATCAGAATGAATCTCTTATTCTCCCACTGCCTTAGATACGTCATGTATAACCTCAAATACCGGAATCGGAAGCTGTATGTCTGGATCGGGATTTTGATCTATAGCCATCAATTGATAAGCTACTCTCAAGTGCTCAAGGCGGCTTGAAAAGCCTTATGAAACTGGGAATAAAAGGCTTGGTATCTCCTGCGGGAGGCCGTATTCTGAACCAAGCTTCACGCCCTAGATACATCAAAGTCAGTCAGCAGAGGTTTTCATAGGATATTCACGAAGCCCCAAGGCCGTATCGCAGTCTCCTTCAAATGTTAAATTTGTGGACTCCAGGAGCGATGGCCTCTACACCACCACCAGCAAGTGGTTACACAGATGACGATCCCTTCATCCGATATGGGATCGATGCGCTTGACCCATACATGCACATGTATGTAGCCATATCGGGTCATGTAAGGCGCACATCACAACATTCAAGTCGTAAAATCGATAAGAATTACAAGATTGGTAGCAGATACAGTTATCGGTTCGGATTGGTCAAAGATATTATTCAATTTGAAACATGTCAATTTAATCCAGTCATTACTTCTTCAATGTTCAAATGTTTACATTTCAACCAAGATTAGGTGCATCATAACACTTCACAGACAACGATCAACTCATGCCTAAACCATGAACATAGCTGCAACCATAGTTAAAACCAAAGCAACGCTCACGCAACTAGCTTGCAGAACCTTGCCTTCGCTTGAAGTGGGACTTGTCGTCGATGTGCTGGTCGGGTTTGAAGTGCTTGAAGCGGTAGTCATCACAGTCGAAGTGCTTGGGCTGGAGGTAGTGGTAGCCGAGCTGGACTCGGAAGAAGTAGATGAGCCGCTTTCGCTAGCGCTTGTACTTTCGCTGGAGCTACTACCCGTCGATGACGATGCGCTTTCTGTTCCTAGGGTACCACCTTGAACACCGGCTGGCTCAGAGCTTCCACTGACTAGTGCAGCGGCAGCTTTAAACGCAGTAAGAGTGTTACCACTGGCACTGGGGATAATAAATATAGTCAATATTGTTAATCGGAATACTGAGGACAATGATACACTTACGGTGGATTAATGACGGCAACCATACCAGCTTGACAGTGACCAATCTGAGCACAGTATAGCCAGATAGGATCAGTATCGTTAACGGTAAGAGTAAAAACCATGTCCTAAATCATGAAATGTAAGAAAACGCCACGCCCCATGGCTTTTGGATTAAAGAGGATCCGCAAGACTCACAGATTCACCACTAGTAGGTGCCACAAACCCACTGAAGATACTTGTGTCGCTTAGGGGCTGACATGGTTTAGCAAAGGACGACTGAGCGACCGAATGGTTTCCCGGATAAAAGTGGAATTCAACTTTATCCCCTGCAGATACAGTGAGAGTATCTGGGTCAAAAGTAAAACCATCTTCGCCCACATCAACGGAATGAACTGCTGACGAGCTTGATGCTGAAGTTGAAGAAGATGTATCCGAAGTTGAAGATGGGGCCGTGGTTGTAGTACTGGTGCTTTGGTCTCCACCATACTGTGCATTGAGCACTGGAAGCCAGCAGAACAAGGCTAAGATGAGTTGAAACATTCCTGTCATTTTGTTCACAAAAAGAACATTGAAAGATCTTGAGAGTGTCGTGATGGAAGGGACCTTGTTCGTATTCTTTATAAGCTGCCTATTGTTGGTTCAATACAGACATTCGTAATATCACAGTTGGGCACAAACCATATTTGCAATTATCACGGAAAGAGAAAATGCAAAAATCCGGGGAAAGTTTAGCAGAAACATGAATTCCATATCCAGTTATTGTAAAGCTGAGAGGCTATTGGTTGTCGCCACTTTTTTGGATTAATTAGGAGAAAGGTTGGTCAACTTTGCTGGTTCGCAGTCAATTGACCCGCAGTTTCCAAAACCTTCATTTTGTACACGTAAACTGCCTCGTAAAAAAAATGTAAGAAAATGCAAGAAATGTTGAAATCTCCAAATCTCCAAAGCATCACTGGAGAGCTGGCTTACCCTTTCCCGTATTCTTTTCGTATCTTTTTGTTTTTTGTTTTGAAAAGTAGCCTATCAATTCTAGCGAGTAACATTGTCAGCGTCACTACTAGCTTCCCAGCACTGCCACCATCAATGTCAAAGACCCCAAACTCTCCCCGCAATGAAAAGTTCTCCAAGTATAGACATTGCCCAGATGAAGGAATTCATCTCTATCCTTTTTGGAGATAGTTGATTCACGTCCTTTATCTGCATACGAAATTATTATTGCGCCATTTGTGGATGGTTGGGTGAAGCATGGGGGTAGAAAATCGCTACATAGCCCATTCACGGGTATTACTAGATATTCCCATTTAAAAGCAAGATTGAAAGATATTCCTGTTCTTGGTTTCTCTTCTCATACGCCATATCAAGAGCTCCTCCCACCAGCCTAACAGCCATAATGAAAAACTTACACGTCTCGTCTTTATTCTTCTCTCTATTCATTACTTGGGCACTCGCTCAACTGCAAACCTTTACACCTCCTGGACAAAATGATATAACATACGCTGTGAACATCCCACAAGAAACTGCCAACTCCGGCGAGGGTCCTGTCTACTTGCAACTGAAATCCACGAGTCCACTCCAGTGGTTTGCATGGGGCCAAGGATCTCAAATGCAAGGAGCAAACATATTCGTTGTTTATGCATCGGCCGACGGCAGCAATATCACCGTCTCCCCCCGCTTGGGCCTGGTGGAGCATGTCGAACCACTATATAACTCGCAAGCTCGTCTCTCGGTTTTGGAAGGCAGCGGGATCAATAATGGAACAATCACTGCAAATATTCGCTGCGATAGTTGCATTACATGGTCTGTTGGGCACGCAGATCCAACAAGCTCGTCCAGTTCTTGGGTATGGGCTTTCAAAAATGGAAACCCGCTTGAAACCGACAGCTTATCAGAATCAATCATCATCCACGACGCTTCGGGCGTTGCATCTCTGAATCTGCAGAAGGCAGCCGGCGGTACATCTGGAAACCCTTTCTTGGCCTCTTCTAGTACGACGGCTAGCTCGGGACAGTCCATCTCATCTGACAATTCTCCTTCTTTGCATAAGAAGAGAATCGCTCATGCGGTGATCATGATTACCGTCTTTGTTGTTCTTTTCCCTTCCTTTGCACTGGCACTACGAATTCTGCCGTCTTCTGTGGCAGTGCGCGTCCATGCCTTCTTGCAACTTTTTACCCTTGCCCTCGCAATCGCTGGCCTTGGGCTTGGTATCTCCATGGCCAGGGACCTCCAGTTAATACAAACTTACCACCCGATCATTGGAATGATAGTTGTCCCATCACTTATTCTTTTCCAACCTGCCATGGGCTTCCTTCAGCACCGCTATTTTGGTATCTCAGGAAAGAAGGGATTGTTTGGATATCTACATCAATGGTTTGGCCGTTCTATGATAATTCTTGGTATTATCAATGGTGGACTTGGTTTCCGTCTCACTGGGATCGGCAGCTCAATTGCTCCTACTGGGGCAGTCATTGCCTATAGTGTGGTTGCCGGGGTTGTTGGAATTGGCTACTGTTTTACGGTGGTTTTTCTTTCCCGCACCAGAAAGTTGCAAAGCGCACCATCTTGATTGAAACAAGCTTGAATATTTCAAGATGATATACTAAGTATTTAGTACCTATTTAATTTGGAATGGATTGATGTCGCTACTCACAACATTTGTCACATAATCATTGTGCAAGTATACATGGATTAATATGTCCAGGCGGGTTCAATCTATAATCCTAGTCTCCTATTACACTTGAGCATATAGTCTTAATAACCCAACCAGACCATGAAATCAAACATTGGAAGCTCCGGAATCCCGCTCCGCCAAGATCCATCATGATGCGCCTTCGTCTTGGCGTCCCAGGGCATTTGAATGGGAGTTGAAGTCGTGAATTGCAACCATCCACATCGGTGGGTCCAGCGACGTCATTCCAGGCACGATCAGCGGCCCTGAATAGAAATCCCCCCACCATCTTGGACACGAAGCCAATGCGCCATGATCTCAGCCGAGATCCTGCTGCCTGGTTCGACGATCGATGATTGATCCCAACGGGCCAATTCTGCTATCTCTCGGACTCCTTCCACACCCATCGATGTCATAACCCGACGGAAGAACCCGCCAATCCCTGCACGCAGCACGACGCTTTCTCCTCAGCCCTACGTCAAGTTCAGCCCTACGATCCCTGCCCTGGAAGTCGCCTTTTCTCCGAACATCCTTCTCGCGTGCGCCCCTGTCTTTTCGATCCCGAACCCAAGGAAAGTCACCTTGCTACACATATCACACTATGGGCCAGGACGACGACTCTGTCTCCAATGACGCGCAACAACAGACAAATGCAATTGAGACAGGCGAACAAATCGCCGAATCAGAGTCAGAGTCAAATTCCTCTGGTGCTCTTGGAGATGTGAAAACCCGGCTCAATAATATGACGGGTGGGAGCTCGATCTCCGAGATCTCAAGTCGAGCCACTGCCGTGGCTGGGGAAAAGGTCGTCGCTTTGAAGGATACTGTCATGGAGAACGCGGTGCCTGCCGCTGGGGAAGCTTTGCAGAGTCTGGGAGGTCGCATCCGGAATCTTGCAGGTGAAGTTGAAGAGACTGTAGAAGAAGGTAAGTGATTTTTTTTTTCTCACGGGATGGTTGCTCTTGTGTTGTCTCGTTTGTTAACACTGGTTCTTTTTAGATCTAGACATGGAAAAACATTCAGAGCACATTGATAAGATGGACAAAGAGAGGCTCTGCGACTTTCTGCGGGATAAACATAAGAGTACTGCGCCATCTTTGCCGACAAACTGAGAGGTAGTTTGAGCGCTGGAGTCTTGGGTTCAACGTTTTTGTTCTTTCGGGCCGAGTTTCGTTTTTGCATTTTGGGGTGCGAAGGATTCTATTTGGTCTCCATGCGCCCATGAAACGAACTTGGCTTAGCATTTATTGGGTTGTATGTTATGTATACGGTTTGCATTGGCTTCCAAGGGTATTGGGTTGGAAAACAAGCGTCTGCTAAATAGAATTTCTCCATGTCACTGATAACATTTGAAGAATGCTTTTTTTTTCTCGATTTCCCCAGATTGTCAAGTATTGTTGGTAGGCATAAAAATCACCCTTGAGCCCTGGAGACGATTCAAGTTCAAGGATGTGATTCAATTCACTTATCAGATTAATACTAGGTAGCAAGCATGCTCCACTGTACTTTTGTGGGAACCTGAACTACGAATTCCCATACCGTTGCCCTTCGTCTCCAATGATCCCAGCTGTCTCCAGAAGCCACCGGGCACTCTCCTTCGCTGAATCCCCAGCTCCACCCTTAAGGTTTACATTGCGTCTTCTCTCCGCCTCACGCGCCTCAAACTCCCACTTCGCACGCTGTGCATCAACAGCATTCAAGTTTGAATCAGAAGAAGACGCCATCTCTGGATCTGGGACTACACCCCAAATTTCAAGACTATACAAGTCCAGTCGGGTTTTAGTCGCTTTCTCATTGGAAGATGCAGTGCCAGGGGGTAAAAATACGCCATCGCGACCGACTGGCTCAATGTGGAGCTCGGCTGATTCGAGATTGACATCGATAAGTAGACTGCCTGCGCCGTGGGGACTTGGATGGGCGTGGTGGATGCGGGAGGAGGGAGGGATTTGACATCCAATTGCAATGCCAGAGTGATTAGAGAACCAGGCGGTGGGGAGGTTTGACTTCTGGGTAACAGAGGGTGAGGTGTTGCCCTGAAGTACTTGGTGTGATGGAGATAGTTGGAAGAGGTAGGGTAAAGTGCTGGAGGAATGATTCGAGGTGCTACTGGACGACGAGGGGGATTTCCAGGACTGTGGGAGGTATGCACCTATTGTTACTTGGTCCTCAGAGGAGCCTTCCACTACTCCCTGTAGAATGAGGAGAGTCGCAGATTGCCAGGTCAGGACGTGGTGAGCGAAGGAGGTGAGCGAGGAGCCATGGGCGGCCGTGGAGAAGACAGGATGGAGACGAACGCCACCGCGAAAGAGATTAAAAGACGGTGACGCAGAGGGTAGGAAGAATGACAAGTGGGACATGAGTGTCGGGGTCAGAATGTTCGACTCAAAGCTGCCAGGGAGCATGATCGGGGATGGGGGAGGGATCTCCTCGGATTTCTCGACCGTTTCTTCTTCTGCGGCTGCTTCTTCACGTTGTTTTCGAGAGAGATTCAGATTCTTACTAAAAAGAAGATGTTCAAACAAGGCCGTCAAAGGATCAAATAGATACGGCAGTGATGATGTGACCGTTCTGGCAAAGGCCCGATATGAGATGCCCCCGTCGGTCTCTTCTGGAGAGAACGCCCCGATGATACTATCCGCCTCGCTTTGGATCGCATCAATACGTTCAGGGCCAAAATCCGAGGTATATGTTTTCACGGACTCCAAGGGCTTCAAAGGTGCAATAACGAGCAACAGCATCAATAGCCGCCGGAATGTATCAATAGAAATCCGTGTTTCGTAAACTGTCTGATCAACTCGATGGTCATGTTTGAACACTTCGATTGCATCAAGCGACTCCAGCGCAGCAAGGGCAAGATCGTCGTCTTCATCTTCATCATAATCATCATTCGCAGGTTGATCAATTGAGAAGCCAGCCGCATGGTTCTGAACATCAGATGCACTGTCTCCTCCGGCTGTAGGCAAATCCTTGTCTTCGCCACCATTCCCTATGTCCTTCTTCCCAACATCGGCAAGGCTCCCAAACAACAACTTCACTCGATCCTTGCGCCCCCGCCGTAAAGCCTTGCCATAACGCTCGGTCAGCAGTACGACGACTTTTACCATTGCGTCAAATGTCAACACACTCGGAGCCATGGTATTTTGGAAGGGAAAAGCACCAAGGTACGACACCATGCGGAACAAAACCGGTCCCGCATCAAGGGGGTTCTCATGAGTGGCAGCGAAACTGCCATCGGGAATACCCAAGAAATCAGATAATGTTTTCTCATTCCAGTATTTGAGACCGCCTTGCTCAGCGGCACGAGAGAAGAAGTTGTCCTTGAAATGTGTAAGCTCTAATGGTGTGAAACATTTGGTTGCGAAACGTTCCGCAAGAATGTAGCTCAGCTCCTCTGTTGACAGTCAGGTACGGGTCCACCGGCACATTTTACATGGAGAAGAGGACATTTATACCAGCAGGGCCTGGTGTAATCTTCTTCATATTAAAGTAGTAAAGCAGTAGCTTTACTTTCAGGGTTCCTGGATGTCTGTCATACTGACCTGGAGTTGCTCCACTATGTTCGGTGGACTGACCGGCACCCATTTTTGCGCCAAATGCGGGGGAGCTTTCCTGATGTTTCACCTCGGTTCGTGGAGTTCCCAAGTAGATTTAGAACTGCTATAGGATGACCAAGACCCTTTGATCGCTTTCAGAAGCTCAAATATTGTGGAAGTTAAATCGGGGCAACAATATGGAGATGGAGAAAGCGCGGCGTTTCTGATGACGACGTCAGACATTGATGCCTGAGGCGTCAGTAGTCAGCGGCAGCCGAAATATGCGGAAGGCTGGGTAGTACTTACCTGGCAGGATTACCTAGGAGAGAGCTTAGATTCAGTATTTGGTATTTGAATGGATAGCAGGATTGGTCAAGTTGGTATACACGCTGTATTTAAAAGAGGCGCGCATGCTACCTATCACCTTGTACTACTGAACGAGCACTTGCGAGTATGGACATAAGAGTATGTACTGCTCAAATACCTACTGGAGATGAATGGGTACCAGGCCTGCTACCCAAGTAAGCTAGCTATTACATAGAGGGGCTTAGCACAACGTAGAGATACTAGTATACATAGTAGTATTGAAGCTTAAGCCATATTACTTCGGAAGATCGAAAAATTGATGTATATATTCATTTGTTTTCGTGTGTTGCTTTCAAAGCAGGATACGGTTAATCGTTACTGGGTATTCGGGATTCCAATCCACTAGCTGACCAAATATTTCCCAACCTACAGCATGACAATTCCAACACCACCCATTTTCTTCTCATCAGGCTGGTTCTTGTCATTGATACCACCGGGCACAGGGGCCGCACGGTAGTTGTAAAGATAGAAGTGGAGCTGGCCATCACCAGCACCAAACTTCAGCTCCTCGAGGAATAGAGGGTTGTCATGCAGAGTGAGAGCGTTGAAGACATCAAACTTGGCCTTTTGATAGAGTTAGCAAGGTCACAAAATGGTGTAGGGGAGGGGGAGAAAATAAGACAAGACGTACCTTCTTGGCGCAAATCAAGGCGTCATTCATCAGAGGCAGCAAGCGTTGCTTCAGGGCCTTGTTGTCATTGGTGAAGGCTGTCTCGGTCGCGTAGTAGTACAGATAAGCGGCACGTACAGTGCTATGTTTCGGGTTATCGATGACAGTAGACTCAAGGTTATAGAATGAAAAGAAGTCCGTGATCTTATGGGTCTCGGGATCCTCCACAACGTATGACCAAACCACCTGTTCCTTGCCTTCAGCTTCTCTATAAACAAGCCAGTGATCAATCTCCTCGCGGTTGAAGGCTTGGTTAAGCTGGAACCGGCGCATGTAGCGCTCCAGAAGGTCAAATACGGCGTCGATATCCTTGGCCTCCATTGGCCGCAGGCCAGGTGTCGCGGTGTTGTCAGGAAGGTGGGTCTTAGTGATTTGGCGGGCCTTGGTGGAGCCGTGAGGAAGGAAGGAGAAGCCAACCTCGTAGAGCTTCAACCAGTCTAGTGGGCGGTGGTAGTAACGGCACGAGCTGACAGGTGTTGGCAGAATAACACCACCAGTGTAGATGGCCTGGAAGATACCGTTGATGTAGCAGCGACGAGTGATCTCCTTGATCAGGACAGGAGTCAGGCGCTTTGAGCGCAGCTTCTTGTGGATACACAGGAAGTTGATCTCTGTCACCTTGATCTTCTCGTCGCGGACACGGACTTCAGTAGGCACACCACAGATAGACGCGACCAGCTTGCGCGATTTGGTAGCGCGCACACCGACGTGCCATTCCTTCTTCCAGCCAGGAGACATCAGAGCCCTATATATTTGGATGGTTTCCAACAGTCAGCAACATTCCATGAGTCTCGGATAAGAAGAACGAGGTGGGGTCATCGCACCAGTGCAAAAATGACTGAGAGTAGCTGAACCGGAACATAGCATTATCATCCTCCACATAATGGTTGTTGAGCAATTCATACAGTTCCTTCAGCTCCTCCGGGTCGGTCAAGTCAAGAGTGCACCACTCAAAGCCCTCAACAAGCGCATCGGGAGTCCTCGAAACTTCGTCCGGGTTGATCATCTTGATAGGGCCCTGAGTGATAGCCTTCTTGGCCGCCTGTTCATCAAATCTAGGCACAGGTTGCGTCTGCCAAAACTTATATGAGGCCATATCCTTCTGGTTCTTGCCGTCGAGCGATAGTCCAGTCAGCAATTGAGACATGTCCATGTTGGCGAGCAACTGTGCAGCCTTGTCCTTGTCCATATTGGCGAGCTCGCTCTTCAGCGCGGGGTTCATTTCCATGAGAGATTCAATCATCTTCGGGGGGAGCTTTTTCGTGCTGGAGCTACCTGGTATGCCATTCGCGTTAGGTGAAGTGTTCTTGGAGGGGTGTTCGTGGTACCACTTACCCTGGTTGCTCGAGGCTTCGGCTTCTTCGCCCTGCTCGGGGCGCTTGGGAGCTTTGCCCTTGCCCTTGTCCTTGGAGTCTGGCATGACCGGTGATTGTGGAGGTTGAGTTATTAGGTTCACGGGGTGAGGTTGGGAGAAGGGAGGATTTCGTTTCGCGCCCCACGTTTAACCGTATGTAATATGCGGATCGGTGGGGTAGGTGAATTTTGGACGAGGTACCAAGGTTTGCCCCGTTTTTATGAACCACAAGACAAGCGGACGTGGTCAAAGAATTGTTATCAGAGCTGAACAATGAGATGGATTTTCAATTTGTTCTATCTCATGTTACTTATAAGTGGACTACGTGGCATATTAAGTACCTTGGCTAGCCAGATAAAGAGGACATCCAGCTGTAGCAGATTGAACCTCGGGAAAAGGTACACTAATCAATATCGAGCTTTACGGTTTCTGGACTCTGATTGGTAAATGAACTGAACTGGGGAATCTCGAATTGTTGAAATCGAATCAAAAGTCTAAAGATAAAAAAAAAAAACACCTCCTTGGCATGATCATATGTCGTAGTAAATCTCAAGTGTTGATACAAGAATCAAAATAACCACGGAAGCAGCACTAAGCTTCTTCGGAATATGGTTTGGTCTCGATAACATCAAGGAAACCACCGACCAGGTGCAAGCTACCGGTGACAAAGGTCATTACAGGTGCTTCATCCTTTTGCAGGATTTTGCTTTCCTTGGCAGCCACATCTCGAGCAAAGTCCACGGCCTCCTCAATTGTGCCAAAGACTTGTGTTTGGGCGTGAGGGTCAATGGAGGTCCAGGCCTCGGCAAGTGACTTTTGCACCCGCAGATGGTCGACATCATCTGCATTGGTGTTCATGCTGACCAGATCAGGCCTGTAGCCCGCTTGCTTATAAGTGACATTTGTACAGAACAGGGCGTGAGTGAATGGGATGGTAGAGCCAAGCGCAGAGGCAAGAGTCTCGTGTAGAGCAACAGCCAGAGCGGTGCTATCCCGAGTCTGTTGGTTGAAGATCAAGATGCGTGGCTTCTTGGAGGCCACATCGCTTGAAGAAGAGTCTTCCTGAATTCGCGAGGCAAACCATGTACCGGCCAGCCGGATGCTCTCAAGCGTATGTCCTCCATCGATATACCATGAGACATTCTTCTCAAACCTAGTCTCGCAACGGCCACCAAGTCGCGTCTTCTCAAGACCAGCCTTGAATTTAGCTGGGAGAGGCTGGGTCATAATGTCTTCTGGGATGTCTGCCACGCCAGTCTTCCTCAAGTACTCAGCCGCAGCTGCGGCAGCCAATGATGCATTTGTATATTGGAAATCACCCGCCAGCCCAAGCTTGACTTTGGTGCTACCCACGCGAAGGTCGGGGTGAACAGACACGACATCCAGCTGAGTGTTCTTCTCGGCAGCACGCTCAGCCAGTACCTTCTCCGCACTGGGAGCTTGGGGTGCGGTGAATGCTCTAACGCCAGCCTTAATTATGCCCCCCTTATGCCATGCGATTTCCTCGATTGTTGTACCCAGCATCGCCGTGTGGTCAATACCAAGACTGGTGATTGCCGTTGCCTTCGGTTTCTCAACCACATTGGTACAGTCATACTGACCCCCAATACCACACTCAATGACTGCTGCATCCACACCTTCACTCAGGTATGTATGAAACGCCATCAATGTCAGGTAGCGGAAATATTGAGGTTTCATTCCTGGCGCGGTAGGATCCTGACCAGCCAACTTGGCGGCCTCCTCGAGACGGTCCCACACCTCGAAGAAATACTTGGCGAATTGGGGTTCCGATAGTGGCGCATTGTCAATCTGAATGCGCTCTCGTGCGAACCGAAGGTGCGGGGAGGTGTAGAGTCCGACCTTCTGCAAGCGCGGGGTCGACTGGTCACCCTCGGACTGCACATATTGAGAGAGAATAGTTGAGATGAAAGCAGATGTCGATCCCTTCCCCTTAGTGCCAGCGACATGGATGGGGTTTAACCGATCAAGGTCGGAAGGCTAGATAGAACACAAGTTGCAATGTCAGCCCCCGCAGTCACAAAGGAGAAAAAATTGCTCAAGCGCCTGATTTGTAAAAGTTGGGAGTTGCGCAAACCTTGTATCCAATACGCTGAAGCCATTCTACTGTCTCTGGAATGGAGCGCTCATTCATCTCCTTCCTGGAGACAGATTTCCTAAGCTCCTCCACAACCGCATAGTTTGTTTGCAAAGAATTGAGCGCCACAATGGCAGCCTAGAGATTGAACATGCATTTAGAATTGGAAGCTGGCCAAAGAATATTTGCATTGCTCTTTTGACACAGTATGTTTGATTCTGGGCGGCAATTGGCGGGTGATGAACGGAAGCACTTACCTCATATGTACGAGTCATCGCGGGCGAGCAAGTTGAGACTCCCCGCCGTGGAAAGGACGAACGAAAGGATTTCCAGATCCCTCTCATGGACAAGTGATACCCGTTTCTGCTATTTTGCAGGGAGCAGGAGGGGTGTTCGCAGTAAAGAAAGCCCCCGGTAGCTCGAACAATTATTTGGTTCCGTAACCCAAGCTCCCCTCGGGAAAGCGATCAAATGGATGGGCCATCGGAAATATCACGTGAAGCCCCTTATCTCTGTTTAGATAAGAAGCTTGATTTTAGACTACTAGTATGTCTGACAATTTCAAGGTACAAAATACAGTACTAGTAGTACTAGTAGTCAATGGATATTCTTGGATGATATTTTTGACCCCAGATAGCGTCTACCTCATGAGGTGCTAAAAATAGCAAAGGGCAGAAACTGCCCTATCGTAGATAATGGTGGCTGGCAACCAGCGCAAACATCGAGCCAAGGCAAAAGAAATAATGTATCAGGGTAAGATAGAAGTGAAGAAGAAAAGAAAAATAGTAAGAGGGCAAAAATATGCCACCGGATAGGAAGACATGAGGAAAGGAAAGAGGCTGGGTGGGGAGCCATGAAGAGCAGATAGTTAAAACATACAGCCATGAAGTGTACATGTGAAGGCAAAGGAGCCAAGAGCCAATGGGGCCAATTGAAAGATTTCGCCCTTAATTTATTCAATACGTGTCTTTCCTTCCTCGAGGAAGACAAGACGAGCATTGCTGACACCACGTTGGTGACGTCTTGAAGGAAGCCATTGGCCAATTATCGGATCGGATCGGGCTTTAATCATTGCATCTTGGTATCCTTCAGCACCGGCAATGGGGGTATTGAGCTTCGGCCAGTTGACCTAAAAAACAGTTAGTTGGTTCATGAGCGCCAATTCGGAAAAAATATGAATATGGCACTTACATAAAGCATCCCATGTCCATGCATGAAGCGTAAAGAGTAGGCGCCGATAATCAACCAGAAGATCATAAAAAGGCGGAGCGGCCAGACCGCAGCATCTGGCAACCGGCGAGTGAAGAGCGCGACCAAAACCATGAACAGACTTGCCGCAAACACATAAGGTATGGCTTGAATCACAAGAGGCCGTCGGTCAAAGAATAGCTGGATGTTCACTGCCATTGAGTCTGATGGGAGATAGGTTCCCAAGAAAACATCGAATCCATCCTGACGAGGACCATCCATGAAATTGTTGCGCACATACCGGGTAATTGAGTTGTTAAGATCTTGAAGTGCACCAGCCCGAGTACGCTTGCCTGTCCGAGTAAAGTCGGTCTTCAGGGCACCGGTACCTGAGTATGACTTGGAGACAACATCCGCATTATCAGCCCAGATATTACGGAACAAGTCCTCGAATTCTCGATCATCATTAGCAGTCTCCCCGGTGTGAAGGACGCCAGCATCCGTCAACTGCCGGGTGAGAGCCCAGCGACCAAGCATGCTCTGGACAACATTGGTTCGGTCAAGACAATCCATGCAGTTAGTGCGCACAACGCTTCCTTGTGTTGATCGAATGTCTAGCTGCCCGCCTGGAGCACCAGGGGCTTCCACACCGCGGAAGTAACCACCCTGGGCCAAGCCTTCAGACAAGCGGCCCAGCAGAAGTTCAGCACGGTGCCACTTGAGACCCTTTGTCTCGTTGTGGAAATCAAAGTACACGTAGTGTAGACGATCCATATCTTTGCGTTTCGAGGTGGGTTCTAGAGCGTGTATCTTTTCGGATGTCTGCTCACCAGCTTCGGTTGTTTCATGGGCAGATGTGATAAGAGTGCGGACCATCTGCTCATATGCACTCTTCACGCGTTCTTCCCGGCCTTTTTGATTGACAAGGTTGACAAGATAATTCTCTCCGTACAAGCGAATCTGCTCAGAGAAGTGCTTCCGTGCTGCTTCAACGGCGGTATCGACACCTCGGACTTGCAATTTGGGTGTGTATTTAAGGTTATTGACCTCTGCCCAGAACACAGGCACGCTGCCCCGAGTCTGCACAAACGAGTACACCTGGAGATCCTGGCTATTCTTACCATTTGACATGGATTGCCCTCCGGCGAATCCTGACATTCCACCAGTTGCATCGTTCAGAATTGCGATTTGTTCCGTTTCATTGTAGTTTGCGACGTGGCCTTCCTCGTCGATTCCGCGAGAGAAGTATCTTGTGCCTGCCCGATGTCTAGACCGGCGGGTAATGAGAGCGAATGTAAAGGAGGTAGACTTGACTCGAGCGGGTGTGATGCGGAGCATGCCAAACATGACAGGAAGGATGTAGGGGTCGACACCAGGTTGTGGGCCATACCGAATACCGCTTGTGTCATTCTCGCCCAAGCTGAAGTCGATCAGGTCGGACTGGATGAAGCGGTTCCAGAAGAAACGATCATCGGCGGACTTCCACATAGGAAGATCCGTAGGGCTCTGGGATTGGCGCTGGAAACTGTTGGTGAGGTCCAAAGAGTAAGAGAAGTACATGGGACCGGTGCGAAGCAGGTTCTTGACGAGCGCAAGGTAGGTATCTTCGTCTGTATCGTGGAGTGGGCGTTCACGCATTGGCAGGAATTCGGTTGAAGCGACCTTGTACACCATATGACCACGGAGTCGTCCCATGGGTTGCGCTTTGGTGATGACAATGAGGTATTTGTCTATCTGCGATCAGCTTTGTCTCTTGAATGTCACATTTCCACGGTCGCAATTTACCCAGCTTCAATTTAAGAATTCCCAAGATTCCAGCAATGCTAGAGATCCGCTTTGCACCGGCGAGAGGCCCATCGTTGAGGCGGAGATCTCCAGTTGGCCGGTCCACCACGAGAGTTGGTGCTTGGGGCGATGAGGGTGATGTAAAAGCATAATGGGAAGGAGATGCATGGAGATTGACATCTCTGAAAGGAAGAATTGGAGGCGCCATAGCGAACGACCCCTCTAGATTGATTTGGGGGGTAGTGTTGGTGGGGGAGAATCAATACAAAAGGGGAAGAAAGGAAGGTGGGAGTAGTATGTTATCGCGATTCAGGCACACATGATTGACCGCGGCGCAGTCAATACACGGCAGTCGCGGGCCTCAGTTACTTATGGGCAGTAACGACGTACTCAAAAGCCCGTAGTGAAAATGAACCAGTCATAGTTACAGTACCCGCCACACCGCCCCGCTGCTCGTTGTGGCTGGACTAACTTCCGTCATCCACTTCAGGCCTGCCTTACCCTTCTGATCTTCCTTTCGATAGTGAAAGAGACCCTTAACTCGCTTTCGGTGACAAGCTCCTATTTCTTGTCCCTTGACCTGATATTATTTCCAACTTTGTTTGATCATCCTGATTTCTTCCCCTAAATAGCGACCATGGCTTCCCGACCTCAAGCAGGCGCCCGCCCCGGGGCCAAGTTCGCCCAGTTCAAGCTCGTCTTACTCGGTATGTTATAGATAATGTTCTTGTATCATTTTGTTTGAGACTTGTTTCTGACCGTGCTTCTACATACGCTTAGGAGAGTCCGCCGTGGGAAAGGTTCGGTTTCCACCTTGCGATATTTGGTATCAGGCGCTAACACCTTCCAGAGTTCACTGGTTTTGAGATTTGTGAAGGTAAGTAGTAGAGCGATAAGTGCGACCTTAGGCTTGCTCTTACTTGGCTCGGTGAATACGAAGAATAAAGACGCTGACGTGGGTACCTAGGACCAATTCGATGACTACCGAGAGTCGACAATCGGTGCTGCCTTCCTAACCCAAACGATCTCCCTCGATGAGAGTACCACAGTCAAGTTCGAAATCTGGGATACTGCCGGCCAAGAGAGATACAAGTCGTTGGCCCCCATGTACTATCGAAATGCCAACTGTGCCGTAGTGGTATATGACATCACTCAAGCGGTATGCCCGACTTCTTTGCGCTCCCAATATTCGATCGACCCCCACTAATGGTGTTACTTTTGCGATGATAGGCATCTCTCGACAAGGCCAAGTCGTGGGTGAAGGAACTGCAACGTCAAGCAAATGAAAATATTGTGATTGCTCTGGCAGGCAACAAGCTTGATCTGGTTACCGAGAGCCCCGACAAGCGGGCAATTCCTACGGCCGATGCGGAGGCCTATGCCCGTGAGGCAGGTCTTCTCTTCTTCGAGACTTCCGCCAAGGCCTCGACAAATGTCAAGGAGTTGTTCACAGCTATTGCCAAGAAGCTTCCTCTCGACCAAGCTGGCCCTCGGAACCTGCGGGCGGCCCCGCGACCCGGAGTCGACCTTCGACCCGAAGCCCCTGGTACCCAAGGTGCAGGTGCATGCAACTGCTAAATTCACGATGCATCCTCTAATTCCCTCTCGATTACTCCCTTCCCAATCACGCGGTCCCAGAATGACAGGCCATATCGAACGATCAACTAGTATACTAGTATCGTTTTGATTTCGAAGCCCCTCCGTCGTACCTGTGGCCTGCCCCCCCCCCCTATCTTCACTCGAGAGAACGACGCTCGGTTCACTGTCCATCTGATCGTCTCAATTCTTCACGATTCCTCGATCTTTCGCTCGCACACTTCTCTTTTCCCTATTTCCCGATAGTCCCCTAGGTCTTTCGACTGGAGAATTCCAACTTTATTCACAGATGCATCTGGAATTTGGCTTTAGACATGCTGTGGCAGGACCCGCCTGCTTTTTTCCTTGTACCTGTTGTTTCCTTTTTATCCCGGCGTCTGCATCTGCTCTTTCACCTACGTCTTCTTTGTCTCTTTACAGAGCCTCTTTTCTAGTATGCTATGCCCAGATAATACATTTCTCTTACATTGTACCTAGTAACAACACAGCTGAAGTTTGTGGCTGCATTCGCCCGTAACCTTCTTTTTCCTGAGATCCAGTATTCAGAAATTTCTACCAAATTTATTTACCTAGGTAAGATTTTATGTGATGAAGCTACCTTGGTCGCGTGCCTTGGTCTCGTTATTGAGACAACATACTACTACTGTACCGAACCGAAAGCATTTACAGGTCTGCCGCACCATATATTAGGGCAATCGTTGTGCAACCCGTAGATTTGAATTGAACGAAATGAGTTGGTGGTAGACTGTTAGTCGCATAAATCTGTTCAGTAGTTTTACCATCATTCTTCGATTCAAATTCAATCAATGCATGCAAGAATAAAAGCTCCCAAAGGCGGGCGATGAGTGAAGAAAACCGGCTGACCGCCCGCAGGATCATCGGGGCGGATCGCGAGCCAACATCGACTTCCGTTTCCTATCCATCTACCTTGCCTCCATTACCTCCCCGCTATTTGGCGATTGTGCGGCTCGTCATGCTGCGCTCTTCATTTGCACCGAGTCGGCAGCTGCTGTCCACTCCTGTCCGCCAACGGATCCCGTCGCAATGGCTGTCTAAAGTTGGCGCCAGCAGCCGACTCTCGGGTCAGGTACGGCAACGGCGCCCTGCACATGACATACCGGTACTACTTAGCTAACAATTGATCCTTTCTCCAGCGATTCTTTGCCGACTCCAAGCCCCCTACTGCCCCGACACCAGTTACACCTTCCTCTGAATCACCTATTCCCCACGGAGGTATTCCGAAACCCACGGAACAAGGTACTGCCAACCTCTTTGCTTGATACGCTGTCTATATTCATATATCTAATGCGGAACCTATTCAGATACCAAGATTCCTCAGTCACCAGCCCCCGTTCGCAAAACCGGTCGCTTCCGTCGATTCTTGCTATACCTAATCCTGACCTCCGGTCTTACCTACGGCGGTGGCATCTTCCTGGCTCTGAAGTCCGACAACTTCCACGACTTCTTCACCGAGTATGTCCCGTATGGCGAGGAATGCGTCCTTTACTTTGAGGAGCGCGATTTCTACCGCCGTTTCCCCAATGCCTCCAGACACTCCAACCGTATCATTGCTGCTCCTCGAGAGGAGGGCAAGGCTGTCACAATCCCTAGCAACAGCGGTCTGTCGTGGAAGGTTACCAGCGAGGAGTCTGGAAGTGATGTCTCCAAGAGTGGCCCTCACATGAGCTCTAAGGCTCAAGAGGCTCAGACCAAGACCGAGGCTGTTAAGCCCGAGGACCGTAACGCAGCTGTTGTCAAGGCTAAGGAGGACCAGGCCTCCAAGACAGAGGCGAAGGCTGCTCCCAAGGTTGAAAAGAAGGAAGAGAAGAAGGAATCCGTCTCTCTTGATGAGCCCAGACAGCCCGCCGTTGCTACTGTGAACAACATTGAGTTCTTGAAGACCCAGGACGGCGACGAGGCTGTGGTTCAGGAGCTCGTCAAGACCTTTAACGACATCGTCACTGTTATCAGTGCTGACGAGAATGCTGGCAAATATTCTGCGCCTGTTGCCAAGGCCAAGGAAGAGTTGCAGAAGATTGGTGAAAAGATCTCCGCGATCCGCACCGAGGCTCGCAGCGCCGCCCAAGAGGAGCTCAACAAGGCCCACTCCACATTTGACGAATCTGCCAAGGAGCTAATCCGCCAATTCGAGGAGATGCGTTCTAGTGATATTGCTCAGTTCCGCGAGGAGTTTGAGGCCGAGCGTGAGAAGCTCGCTATGGCGTACCAGGACAAGATCAATGTCGAACTCCAGCGCGCACAGGAGCTTGCTGAACAACGTCTGCAGAATGAACTTGTGGAGCAGGCTATTGAGCTGAACCGGAATTACGTTCACCAGGTCAAGGATCTCGTTGAGCGTGAGCGTGAAGGCCGTCTGAGCAAGCTGAACGAGCTTACTGCCAACATCAGTGAGCTCGAGAAGTTGACTACTGGCTGGAGCAACGTCATCGACACCAACCTGAAGACCCAGCAGCTTCAGGTTGCTGTGGACGCTGTTCGCTCTGTTGTCGAGCGCACCGAGACTCCCCGTCCCTTCGTGCGTGAGCTGGTCGCTGTCAAGGAGCTGGCTGGGGACGATCCAGTTGTGGATGCTGCCGTTGCCTCAATCAACCCCACTGCCTACCAGCGCGGCATTCCCTCGACTGCTATGATTGTCGAGCGTTTCCGCCGGGTTGCTAGTGAGGTTCGTAAGGCCAGTTTGTTGCCCGAGGATGCCGGTATTGCCAGCCATGCTGCCAGCATGGTATTGAGCAAGGTTATGTTCAAGAAGGATGCCCTTTCTGACGGTGATGACGTGGAGAGCATTCTTGTCCGTACCGAGAGTTTGTTGGAAGAAGGCCATGTTGATGCTGCGGCCCGTGAGATGAATGCCCTCCAGGGCTGGGCCAAGATCCTGAGCAAGGACTGGCTGGCTGATGTTCGCCGAGTGCTTGAGGTCAAGCAGGCTCTCGAGGTGAGTTATACGACCTTTTCCTCTTTATTTATCGCAATCATCGGATCTAACATATTTTACTCGTCTAGGTTATCGAGACCGAGGCCCGTCTCCAGTGCTTGCGGGTAGAGTAAGCGCATTTTCTGAGCGATCCTGAATTCAAATTATCCTGTACATCTTCGTCTTGTCCACAGGAACTGTACGTCTAGTTGTACTTTTGCGTTAGACCCAAATACTAGAGGTTTTCCTATGTGCCAATTATCATCATGACCTCCAGTGGAAGCGAGGACTGTAAACATTTGAATATCAGGTTATTTAGGATCTCCAGTTATGAGAAGATATAATATTGAATGTACCATGACATACTACCAGTATACATAGTAGTAGGTATACCCCGATGCTGACTTGATTATGATCTAGCAGAAATGGTGCACAGGTGGGAACAGTATACTCCGTACTAGTAGTATTTCTACCTGTACTAGTAGTCATATGTAGTAGTGCTAGTAAGTACCTAGTACATCCATGGATTGATGGTACCTAGAAGCCCTCAAGGTACCTAGTAGTAGGTACCGAGGTCCAATTTGAAGTTACTGTAGTCACTAGCTTCTTTGTTCAAGTCCTCCAAATTTCTTCCATATTGGAATTTTTAGTTGACAAGTTTCAAGCATCAAGTGGTCAATAATCAGCATATTTACAGTTTGTATATATGGCAATTTCTTTCAATAGTTGGCTTTCAATATTTAACTTGGCAGTAGACGAGGTATAAATGCTTAATAAGCTCGACGCGCAACGATGTAGATCATTACGTCCTGCAGACCCTCTCGCATTAGGTCCCGCCAGTGTCACATTTCTTGGCTCTGGCTTTGACCTTTTCTTCCTCCTCGCATCTATGCTTTCCCGTCGCTGACAAGCCATGCCTGTTGCCTTACTGAAGGGCGTGGCAAACTACATCTCTCGCCCTCCCCTTGGCTTTGATGTCGTCACGAGCCGACCACCCTCCCGTGCGGGATTCAGAGTATCCGGCGGATGAACAACATCATGGCATATTCGAAGATAGACAATCACCCTATCAACGTTCCAATGGTGGCTCATTCCGGCGACGAGCTATCCCACCGAGCGACAGCCGAGCGAGTGGAGATCTGGAAGGGAGTACACTAGGCAGCAGTTCTCGTGATGGTGATCGAAGAACCCCGAACCAGCGCAGAACGCAGAGCTCGGGTGGCTTCTTATTAGATTCACTTCCTCGGTCTAATAGTGTCAGGATCAGTTCGCACCACTCGGGCCCATCAGACGCGCCCATCGAAACCCGAAATACCCCCGATTCTGGTCTTGTGGTGCCTAAGAAGCGATCGCGATTTCCATGGAATCGCCATAAGAATTCGGCCTCTGAGTCAGCTGCTGCCACAGCAAATACATCGACATTGACACACCAGACCTCCACTATACCTCCGGATGATCAACATTCCCAACCATCTTCAACGACCGAGCCACCAGCGCATGATACACCGCAGACTACCACGACACTCGATAGGGATTCCTTACAAATTGTGAACTTGGCTTTAAATCTGAATGAATCTCGAAGGAGAAATGCTTCCGGATTGCCTTTGGGATCTAACGGACATAGGCCGTTATCCGTTTCTCAACCTATTGCGGCACCTGTGGACCTGCACGGTCCATCTTCCAAAGGAAGTCGCGCATCGTACGATTTGTCGCATCGCAATTACACCCAACTTACAGACGATGGGCCTGGGGCCTCAAGGCTTGGTAGCAGTTCCCCGGTTGTTGATTTCCTACCAGCTGCTATGGTGAATGACAATCGGGCCTATGAGTTTTCTGACAGCACTCTTACTCGAGCAGAAAGGGCCCGTCAGCACTTTGATCTCTTTCACGAATACTTACGACTTTTGCCTTTGCTACCTCCTCTTCGAAATGGACCACTCGCAGGAGATGGCGAATCGACGTCTATATCGGGTCCCAGCTCGATATCTAATCGTGGGTACAATCCCTTGCAAACGATTCGGAACCGAAAAATTAGATATCGAGAGAAGTGTCCCATTCATGCGGAAGCAGATGGTTGGGATGACCCTGCGAAGGTCCATGATTGGATAAGCACTATCGAGGAACAGTATAAGCGCAAGGCCTACGAAGAAACACAATGTATCAAGCTTCCTGGGTTCTCACGAGGCCACTCGCAAATGTCTCAGGGGGATCCTGATGATCTGGATGCGTTGACCGCCTCGCCTCCACCGAGCTTGAGGCGAGTGAGCCGCACAAACAGCGTGAAAGCACCTCGGTTACGACATGACTGGAAGATCTCCCCCGCTGAGCTTATAGCCGATGTCGCTTGGGTCGAGGAGGTATCAAACAAAGCCAAGATTGTCGACAAGGATAGCAACAAGATATACTCAGATCCAGCAGAACTTGTTTTGGTAAAAACTGATGCCGAACTTGCTGCTGCGCAGAAAGAACACTTGTCCATTGATATGGAAAATTCAGCAGACGGTGGAATTTCTTCTAGGCATACCTCCATGTCGAGCACCCATCCTGCGCGTGCTCCCGAATTCAAGAGTCTTAATCGGGGCCGCCATAGACAAGGGTTACAGGGCCATACCCAAAGTTTGCGAAGCCGTAGCGCTTCTAGCTCCGGGAAGCGCTCGCGTTGGGACAAGATGAAAATGCGTTCGGGTAGTATTTCCAGTGATTCTAGTGCAGAAGGTCGCAGGTCAGTAGATCGGAAACATCCGATCTTGGAGCATTCCCGAAGGGACCTGGAAAAGTTGCTACACAGGAGTCTGGTAGACTCGTCTGAATCCCAATTATCAGGCAGGAAATCCTCCACGGCCGGAGCGGAGCGTCAGAATCAGTCTAGACCCCAGGCAGTGGGTGCGAAAACGAATTATGCCGCGAAAAGGACATCGCTTTCGTCGGTTGGAAGCGTGGAGGATCGATTAAACACAAGAATGTCTCTGGAAGGAATGGACAGTTCGGTCCCCAATTCTCCTGTCCAACCTACAAGTTACTTCCCCAGCATCGCTGTCAATCTGTCTCCACCTTCTAGTCGGTCTCCCTCGCCTGTCAAAAGAGGCCTTCGTCAAAAGATTGTCGCGCGCCATGAACGAAGCAAGAGCAAACAAGGTGATCGGGAGCTTCGAGGACACGAAGGTGAGAATTCTCACGTTGACGGCGCGTCTTCTAATACCTTGCCGCCTCCATCTGAGAAAGCCGAAGCGACCTCGAAGCTCCAGCCGAGCCCCCTTCCCGATGTTGTGCCATCGTCTTTCAACGACGATAGCATGATCGAGGTCAATCGGGTAGATACTTCGAAAAGCCGAAAGGCCCAATACCCTCCCGAGTCCAAGCTTCGTGGAATCCTTAAGGGGCCAGGTCGCATAGCAGAGATCGTTGGAAATGAAGTCTCCAAGGTTGGAGATCTGATTTTGAAGAAAGACATACCCCCTCCCGATTCTCGAAAATCTTCTTCTGCAACCACGGTCGCGTCAGAGTCAAGTGATTCGGAAGAAGATGAGAAAAGATCGGATAAGCGGAAAAGTCGTCTTCGGCGCCTCCCAACGCTCACAGACGAACCTGGGCGCCTTACTCGTCGCGATTCGGACAAGGGAACCCCTTCTAGAAGCTTCAAACCAACATTACCAAGTTTCACGTCCCCGCTGCGACAAGATGAAAGAAGTGGATCGAGCGAAGCATTCGATTTTGGCAGTCCCAAAGAGCGTGTCTCTGTGTCACGAGATAGCCCTAGAATAACGGGGTTGTCTCGAAGCAAAACTTATGACTTTGGCCCTGCTTTGAGCACAAATCGTGGTCGAACGAAGGCACATGAAATTAAAGATCTGTCGGTACCCTTTAGTCTCACTCGCCCCCCTGTCACTGGTCTGGCCCAAGCTTCGCCCGGCTCCCCAATCCGGCAAAGGCCTCCTCTCTCGGGATCCACCCGTGCTTGGAGTATTTCAGGCCGCAGTCTTCAAACCTTGAACGATTACGGAATCCCGGGCAAGGTGGAAGTTGAACGAACTCGAACCCTTCTTCTATCATCTGGTATTAAAGCCCGAGAGATCGCACGTCGAGCGCATAGCGTGCGTGAGCCACCGCCTCACTGGCTCCAAAGCTCCATGGGCTCTACTGCATCTATCCCCAGAGTAAGCAGGATTGGTGAATTTGACCTTGGCGCCCAAAATTTCCTGCGACGATTTGAAATGACCCAATACTCTTTTCAACAATCGATGCATCACTTCACAACCACCACTTCCTCTCCACTAAACTCCCAGCTGAAGGATTTGGAAACTCTCGTCAACGAATCCCTAACACGTCGTGTGCGAGCTACCGCTGATGATGCTGAGAATCTATGTGTTCAACTAAATACCACGAGTACGCTGGCTGTGAAATCACTGACCGATGCCCTCGATAGAGGTGTTCGCAAGCGTCGCCGCCGACTGCGCTGGGTACGACGTGCTGGTTTCGTCGTACTTGAATGGGCTCTTGTCGGTATGCTGTGGTGGGTCTGGCTTATTGTTATGGGCTTTAAGCTGGTGCGCGGTGTCTTTCGAGGGGCCATTTCCGGTGCGCGATGGGTCCTTTGGCTCTAATTGGCTTTCCCTCATTATGGGACTCCTGAGGATACCCGTATCTCATTCTATTTTTTTTTACTAAAGACATACTAGTTATGTCTTCCAACCATGCATCGGTGCTTCTATTCCGAAGCTTTCGGCTCACCTGCATAGCGTGCTCATTATACCCTTCGGCTTGGTGTTCTTGCCAGCCTTCACTTCCGTCACGAACGACAATACTACAATACTTGCTTTATTTGATGAATCTGTTGATGCACACATCTCTGTACATAATGTCTTCTTATCTAAATATGTCTTCTTTTCAATGTTTAATCAAAGGATTTTGATCCTCCCTTACACCTTCTTCATCCCAAGTTCCTTAACACACCCATGTAATCATGTGATCTAGGTATTGTGGAATCTGCCACTTACATGCCGGCGAAATCCGGCAGAATAAAGAAATTGGTGTTACTGTTGCCTCCTGCCAGCCAGTTAGGATGTTGGCCCAAAGGAATCATCCATGGATGCCTATGGTTCCTGGGTTGATTGAGAAAATTGCCATCGAGCATTTTTCAGATGTGATTCTTACCACTAACACCATCCGAGCTCCATATGCTAAAAGTTTGAGAAAACATCGAAGTTTACATACACCGTGAACGGGTCTAGAACTCGGATCAATTGATATCAAACGGATCGACCTGCATGAGTTTAGATTGGGCCAATCCACCTTCTTGAGTGTTCAGTGATGGTGATTGGCCACTCGTTCCAAGCTTGATTGCCTAGCCGACCGACCGACTCCCTAGCCGACCAAGCGATGATGAAGGACGCTAATTGCTCAAGCCTCAGATACTACTAGCTCTCTTTGGAATAATGGCCGAGACTAGTTTCATGGCTAGGCTTCGAAAGGGCTTAAGCAGCGTTTTAGCAAAATGGAGGGCTGATTCACAATCAGCCACAGTCATGGCGCAACATCTACAACTGACAAGTTCAACAGCTTGAGATGAATTCTCGCCACCAGATGGTTGAAAGAGAGACCATCGTAAATAATGGATTCTAGCGATTCTAACGTTATGGGCAGTGTGACATGATGTAACATTTGAAAGATCAGATCCAGTTGAAATTGATTCATGCCAATAATGCAATTCCAGCCGTGGAAACCTTGAGAACGCCTCGAGAGGCTATACAACCTCGACCTCGGAAAAGCCTTAGGATGATTCCAAGTATTCGCTGATGACAGCGATATAATGATGTCGCAATAGCCCTATGAAATAACGATTTCCGGACTCACATGCTAGCACTGAGTATTCTAGCATGTATAAAACATGGCCTACTGCGACCTTTCTTTGCCTGAGTGTTGAGAAGACGGTATCTCGCTGTGCATTTACTCCCTTTGAATGAGCATTTCTACAACAGTGGCCAACAGCACAATGTCGGAGACTGTGGAGTACCAAGATGATGAACGGAAAAGTCAGGGGTCTTTGGGCCTTGCCCCCGACCTCGAGAAGCCCGTTGCTCAGTGCACTTCATCCGAGTCCATCAGCTTGGGCGACCAGGCGAAGCAGGGCGCCGATCTAGAAAAGCAGATGACATTAGGCCGAGCCATCAAATTATATCCCAAAGCTATTTTCTGGTCTATTGTTCTGTCAACCGCCTTGGTGATGGAAGGTTACGATACCCTTCTGATAGCCAACTTCTATGCGCTACCGAAATTCAGCGAGAAATATGGCACATTTAGTGCAGCGACTGGAGCATACAAAATATCAGCTCCATGGCGCTCTGGTCTGTCCGATGGTGCTGCCGTTGGTGAAATCCTTGGACTTTTCTTGACTGGTATCATTTCGGAACGCATCGGTTATCGCAAGACGATTCTCGGGGCTTTGGTCATGATCACCGGGTTCATTTTCATCGTTTTCTTTGCTGTGGACATCAAGATGCTTCTCATTGGTGAGATCCTCTGTGGTTTACCGTGGGGTGTGTTCCAAACAATCACGACTGCCTATGCCTCCGAGGTGTGCCCGGTTAGTCTCAGAGCATACCTGACCACTTACAACAACTTGTGCTGGGTTATCGGGCACTTTATCGCTTCCGGAGTGCTCCGTGGAATGGTCGACAATACCACGGCTGATGCCTATCGTATTCCCTTTGGAATCCAGTGGATGTGGCCACCAATCCTCATTGTCGGTGTTTATTTCGCACCAGAGTCTCCTTGGTGGTTGATCCGCAAGGGTCGGTTGGATGAGGCGAAACGTTCACTGCTGAGGCTCACAACTACAAATGACCCTGAATTCGACGTGGACAAAGCCCTCGCGATGATGCAACACACAAATAAACTGGAGCAAGAGATCTCTTCCGGTACCAGTTATCTTGACTGCTTCAAGGGCGTGGATCTTCGCCGAACTGAGATCTGCACGGCTGCTTGGGTGGCTCAAAGTATCTGCGGATCAACTTTCATCGGCTACTCAACCACTTTCTTCGAACAAGCTGGACTTCCTACCGTGGACGCATTCGACATGTCAATCGCACAGTACGCCATCGCAGGAGTGGGAACTATTTTGTCATGGTGGGTCATGACTTACGTTGGCCGGCGAAAGATTTACCTCGTTGGAACAGCCACAATGTGTATGATTCTTTTCATTGTCGGCATGCTCGGCATTGCCCCGACAAGCAACAAGGCGGTATCATGGGCTATTGGCTCAATGATTCTTGTTTTCGCCTTTGTATACGACTCTACGGTTGGACCCGTATGTTACTCTCTCGTCGCTGAGATGTCTTCTACAAGACTGCGAGCCAAGACAATTGTCCTTGCGCGCAACTTTTACAATATCGCGGGGCTTGTTACAAACGTCCTCATCAATTATCAGTTGACTTCCACTGCGTGGAACTGGGGCGCAAAGGCCGCTTTCTTCTGGCTTGGAACTTGCTTCTTGTGTTTTGTTTGGACCTTTTTCCGATTGCCCGAGCCAAAGGGCAGAAGCTACAGTGAACTCGACATTCTTTTCGATCAAAAAGTTCCTGCGCGCCAGTTCAAACATACAAGAGTCGACCCTTTCCAGACGAGAGAATTTCCAGTTGTTGAGAGCAAGGGAAATGGGGATGTGGACGTTGTCTGATGCTTCTTCACCATAGAAATTCTTTAGTTTTCAATCCTTAAATGCAATGTTCCAATTTCCTCTGATATGAGACTTTCTAAAAAGATTGAAATTCAATGCTGACCTTTACTCACCTGGTACATACTAGACAAGTATACTAGTATGTAACGGTGTTTGAGAATTCTCGCTAGTACTACAGTCTACCATGCACAGGTATATCGGGAGTTTCCAAGGTTCACTCGTTAAAGCGATAACGATAAGCTTAATCCCTTCCGAGATTCTGATTGGAAGCCCTGTCCCCTGGTAGTAGGCTGGTACTACCTGATTAGGTAAATGTGCAACCCTCAACTTGACGCCTTCAAAGCCCTGTACCCCACCTATACATGGATATTCTTTGATACATATGCAAGGCGATCTTTGTGCTCAAGTGCTATTTCAAGGGCCAAGGCTCTCTCGTCTTAAAACAATTCCATTCAGTTTTCTGATGAAAGAAAATAAGTTCGATTTCAAATACACTAACTAATAGGATACTTGGCTTTTGATCGATGATGTCTTTGTTCAGCGCCCAATTTATGCAACCAGAAATAGAAACATTGAACAATGACGAACTTCTCACTTATATAGCCTCTGGTTTCTCCTTGGAAAGAAAGGACTTGGTTAACATTGAATCTATGGATTTAACATGCAGCCTAGCTTCCAGATGTCTCTAGAGTCGGAATAGAGTGAATCGATTCCGCAAGTTCCAAGATTAAGCTCGAAGCCAATTCACCTTGACCTGGCGCGATGTATACTAGTAGGTATACGTTGGTACACCCTCGTGAACAATCTCCCTTTACCCCACCACCCACCCAGCTTAATCGCTTCCACTTGACGCTCCCAAGCATTACACGTACATCCTCGTACGCCCACCAACCAACCCTCTCGCCATTCCTACAGATAATGAAATTGAAACATCCACCACCAACCGTTGACCCTGAACGAGAATTCGACATGAAGATTATCAAAACCCCACCTGTCATTTCTTCTCATCACGGGCCGGGAAAAGCCGACGACTCGAGTAAAGGGAACTCGAGCAAAGAGAAACCCAAAAGCCCTAGGATCATCAGCTCACCTATCCCCCCTCGAGCACTCTCTCAAGATCGAGACTGGGAGGTCGTTGAACCTTTTCGAGTGAGTCTTTTAGTTCCCAATCTCTTACAAAGCATAGAACCTTCACTAACACGTAGCTTGAAAACATTCAGAACTCAGATGGAGGCTGGAAGAACGATCTAACCTGGGATCTCGACACCGTTCAAGCCCTGCATGAACTGCTCGCGCAGTGGACTGCATTGGGCGTCACAGCCAGCCATATGGGAGTGTTTCTCGAAGCCGTGCTCTACAAGCAAGACGAGCATTTGGCCGGTCACGTCACCCAAATGGTCGAGTGTCACGCGCCACACTTCAAGCTGGCATTAGATCTGCTGAAGCACTACCAAATCCGTGATGCTACGGGAAAACCTCTCTGGGACCTGGATCAATCCCAGTACGGCGACGAAGATTCTCGCGCCGGTTACACCCGTCCTCCCAACTCAGCACGGACACCCAATGCACCATTGCCGACCTCGCCGACCTCATCTGGCCCAAGTACGCGCCAAAGTACTTCGAGCGAGCCAGGCGGCAAGTCCAGACCCTCGCGCCCAAAGATCAAGATCACCCTCCCCTTCTTCCGTCGATCATCCCCTGCTCCACCATCCACCGAGCCTCAGCAGACTGAGGAGGTGAAGCGCAATTCATGGTATTATCATGTCCCCGCCCCCAAGCCCCTCCGTATCTTTAAACAACCCTCCTTCATGAACGATGTCGAACCGAGCCCCGAAGTTGATACACCAGGTGAAGACGTTAGCGGCACAGTGAGCTGGTCTTTCAATATCAGCGAGGACCTTACAATGCTTAGCATTGCGGAGAGGAGAGCACTGATGGCGAACACGGGGGCTTTGCCTCCGTCGTTTGCGGCCGAGATCATTGATTCTGCTTCGGTTATGGACATGTCTTCTTTGGTCGGGACTAATATTTCTCAGATTCAAGCGGAAAGGCAATGTGATGGGGGTAGCAGGTTCAGTGGAGCGTCTTATTCGTCCTCGGATTATGGGGGTATGTTTATGCTTCATGCAAGGTGTTTCGAGGGAATTTTACTAACACATGAATCACAGACTGAGCGTCATTGTTATTGAAAACATTTGAATATGAACTAGGGATATCATGGGTCTTGCACAAAGAATTTATTATTGTGATATGGTTATATAGTTAACAAAAGTGACCTCTCTCGTGAATGGTTTCATTCCTGCACATGTGGGCAAGAGTATAAGGTGAAAGGAAAGGCTACAGAACACTAGTAGTTGTTCTCATGCTCACTTAGGAAAGGTTTTGCGTTTTTTGCGTTTTCAATATATATAAGCTTCTTGTAGATGGATAATGCCTTCAATACTCTGTTGGATTGCTCGCACATCTCTTCCATTCAGGCATCAAGTATTGTACGTGTTTCGTTCGAAATATGATTATGGAAACTAGATTTCAAGAAATGGCCCATAGAGAGAGAAAAGTGAAAGAAATGGAGGGATTGAGAGACAAAGAATAGATTGAAAGAGTGAAAGATTACTAACAAGATTATGTAAATTATGATCTTTTCCAGTATGGAAGTTAGGGTTACCAGTCACGAGCGTGGTCTCATGGTCAGCTCTCAAAATGAGGCGAGTGTATTCAGGACAAAATCTTTGTTGTAAATCTTTGATATATACTACTAGTAGCTTTTACCCCACAAATTCAAATGCCAGGAAAGATGGAGCCAGTGCATTTTTTTTTGGCTATTTCAAGATTAGATACATGATAGAAAACCAGACGTGCCCTAGGGTTATGAAGTCACTGTATGCATTTAAGAGAAGCGGTAAGACCTGTGTAAAGATAACACTGGCAACTTGAAGTAGAGAGCACGCGGGGAAACGTTACGTGATCAGCGCTCCTAATCAGGCTTGGAAGTTGGAAGTGCAGATCATCAACTAAGGTTTCCAGGTCACGTCTGGATGATATGACAAACCTTGAGAACCATGACTGATCGTCCAGAGTTCATCATATGGATCTGCCGATCAGATGTCACTTGATATATATAGTATGGATGAAAGAAGCACATGGTGCACATGGTTCACAATGGTTGATCAGATAATTTTCTAATGGCGTCACATGATGTCACTTTTGCTGGGAATGTTAACATCTGGACCTTGTTTTCTTTCTGGATGTGGCGTTCAGGATTAGAGGGGAAATTCCCGGATTTTGCATCCATGTGAGTTATGCGATTCGCCTCATGCGATTCACCATATACAGCCATATTGTTTTTTGTTTTTTTTTTTGTTTTCTTTTTTTGGCTAAAGTTAAGAAAGCCCATGGTCAATTATGCGGATGACGACGTAAGGGACCAGCGTGGGCGTTTGACAGCTCGGATGCCCCATTGTTGGAAAGTCTGTCTGTTCACACTACCTCATGGCAGCGTTCCCATGGGCTTATAGGCCATGGCCTATTTTGCCATCATTGAAAGTGGAGAAACGGGTGTTGTAGGGTGTGTCCTCTTTGTTTCGAGAGGGGCCTTTTTTGCCGGGAAGGCTTGATTTGTTCCACTAATAAAACCACGCGTCCTTTTGGAACAAGACTGGAGCGTTCTATGTTGCACTACTCTAGAATCAGCAAGTTATGGGGACTTTTATGAAAGATAACCTAAGCTAGATACTGTCGCAGTTCCACAATCCCACAATCCCCATCAAAATGGTTCCAATAGTGCTTGAAAAAATTGGGAATGAAAAGTGGACTATTTTAGCGGGCAAGTCGGCTCAAACGGCCACAGGAGCTTGGAGCCTCAGGGGGTTTAATGGAAGCGGGATTGGATTGTTGGATTGCAGCTTTGGCAGGTTTGGTTCGAACCCTTTTTTTTAACTCCCTGCTCCATAGTATTCGTACATCAGGGATATGCATGTTGAATCTTGAAATCTTGAGAAAGAGATCATGAAATGACACAATGCATAATTCGGAAAGCGGGACTATCCGCGGGGTTCCGCTGGTGATTCTTGGGCGCCTTTTTTTCTCTTATTTTTCTCTTGATTTCCCTTATTTCCATAGAAAAAAAAAACTATTTCCAAAAAGGAGATTCTGCTTACTTTATACTCTAATAATAGTCCCTTTCATTACATGAGACATTTCGCTCAGGGTCTCTCTCTCTCTAGATCAAATCTCCACCAAATCCTCCTTTTCCCCTTAAACCCATCCTCTCTTTTTCCAACTTTTCCCATGTTTCATGGCTTACACGCCCAATAAACGTTGATATGCGTTTCCCCGTGAGAGCTTTGTCTCTCTGGGTTTTGTCCTTCGCTCACCTTATCTCTGCTATGGAATCTATCACAACCTCAGCCCTCGCAATATGTCAACCCAACTCCGGAGTTAGCGTCAGCTATTTTACAGCTGAACTGTCCCGAGATGGCATGCTTAAGCTCGCCTTTGATGGATCTGTAACTATTTCTGGCAAGGTGACCGCCGAAGTGAATCTTTTGGTCTATGGCTATACTCTTCTCAACGAGACCATCAATCTGTGTGCCTTGGACGTATCCAGTCTCTGTCCGATCGCTTCCGGCAATCTTGATATCCCGTCAGCTTCCCTGGATGTCTCCTCAATCTTATCGGACGTGCCCGGTTTGTCATCCAACCCCCCAATTTCAAAGTATTAAATGCTAATAAATGCCAATACATAAATAAAGCCATTGGATATACTGTCCCAGATCTAGACGCCAAAATCATCGTTTATGTGAAGAATGAAACAAACGGAGCAACGGTTGCTTGTCTATCCGCCGATCTTTCTAATGGCCATACTGTCGATCAACTCGGCGTCTCATGGGCCCTCGCCGTAGTCGCCGGCCTAGGTCTCTGTGGTGCCGCCATCTCCTTCGTCAGAGGTCACCTCCATACCGCTACACACGTGTCTTTCTTTGCCTTCTCTCTTTTAACCTTCATGCAATCCCAAGCAACCATCGGTCTCAGCTCTACCGAACTACCCCCCATCACCCAATCATGGACCCAAATGTTTCAGTGGAGTATAGGAATCCTCAAACTGGGATTCCTGCAAACCCTCTGCACCTGGTACTTGCGCTCAACCGGAGGAACACCAGCCACCATCGAACAGGAGTCCAAAAGTGTCTCCGTCATCGTGGAGAAGCGTAGCTTGATCCAAGAAACCGCCAACCTCGCACACAACCTGTTCAAACGGACAACGGACACAACAGCCGATCTAACGAGCACATCAACATCCACCGGTCAGGAAATCACAGTGAGGGGAATCAACCGCATGGCCTACCGCGCCGGGATCGAATCAACAAATATCTTCATGACCAGCTACGCCCTGTTCATGTTCTTCGGCGCCCTAACAATCATTGCCATCTTCGCCTTCAAATACTCCTGCCAATTCCTCGCCAAATCAAACAAGCTCTCCGACCGACTCCGCTTCGCCGCCGCCGGCCTAAACTCCACCAGCCGCGAGATCTTCCTCCGCTTCTTAATCATCGCCACCCCCTCCGCAGCCGCCTTCTGCATCTGGGAGTTCACCCGGCTTGACTCGGCAGGCGAAGTCGTCCTAGCCGTGACCTGGTGGGTCGGCGTCACACTCTCTCTAGCCTGGACCGCAGCAGCAGCCACCTTCCAGGTGCACCGATCCCGCGGCCCAGGCAAAAACACCACCAACTTTCTCTACTCGGGCCTGAACAACTTCAGCCGGAAAATGAATTTCTTCCATCGTCATTACACGCCAACCGCTTTTTACTTTTTCGCCATCATTCATCTCTACACGCAGGCCAAGGGCATCGTCATCGCGGCCAGCCAGTCTGCGCCCAAGGCGCAGGGCATCGTTCTTGTGATTATCGACGCTATCATGGTCGGGCTGGTTATCTGGATCCGGCCGTACGTGGATAAAAGCATGAATCGATTCGGCATCACGACGGCCATCATCGGCTTCCTCAATTCCATCTGCGTGCTCATTTTCTCCGATATCTTCAAGGGGCCCAATATGCTGATTAGCGTTGTCGGCGTCTTGTTCGTCGTCTACAATGCCGTTTATATGCTTATCCTTGTTATTTTCCTCATTATCACTTTTGTTTACGCATTTGCCAAGCGGGACCCGGACAGTCGGTACAAACACGCGGTTGATACCAGTAGTACCTTTGACTCGTCTGCCGACTTGCCTACTACTGTGCCTGCCGAGATAGAAGAGTTGGGTGTTACCGCTCGAGGTGAACCGAAACAACTCCCTGCACATTCATCATCGAGCCTTCTGCTCCATTCTCACCACGACGAGACCCCAAGGTCGCGCGATACATAAATTTCTTTATTTCAAATGTTAACAAAAATGTTAAAATACAATCTAATTGGACATATTGCATGCATTCAAGCGCGGTTGCGAGGGAAGAATTCAAGTATATACTAGGTAGTCAATATAGAAGACATCCATGAATCAGTTCAAATTTGTTCAGACAGGAGAGTAGAAAGTAATAACTATGGTGATCTAGAAGTTTTTAAAGTACATATCCCAAAAAAAAGCCGCGCGAGATGATATAGTGCCATGACGCAGAAAGTACACAAGAGGTTTTGAGTTCACGGTAACACGGTGAACAATGAACAAAAGTCCCGATCTTCTATTGAAAGACAACAGTCTATGCTGTACCTGATCTCCATTGAGGTGAATTTTGAGGCCCCGCCGGGCCGGATGAGGAGGATGGTAGGGGGGAAATAAATGTTACATGTGTCGGAGAGAAGGCGGGTGGAGATCAGACCAGACGGGCATGAATCTGGTGATGGGTTTATTTCTTGTTTCGGTCGGCCTGGGCCTTGACATACTTGGCGATAAGCTCCTTCCTGTACGGCGAGAAAAATTGGTCAGTATAAAAAATCAGAAGAAATAAGGAAGGGCGGGATTAAAACGTACTGCACCTGTGGGGGAGCCTTCTCGTAGTGGCTGAACTCCATGGTGTATTCACCCTTACCCTGGGTGGCGGCACGGAGGTTGGAGCTGAAGCCGAACATGCCGTTCAGACTGCAGTCGGCATAGATGGTGAACTCGTCAACACCGGTCTCCGTGTCGTTGATAGTAGCACCACGCTTGTTCAGTAGAGCGATCACATCACCCTGGAACTCGGAGGGGGCGGTCACCACAGTCTTCATCAAAGGCTCCAGGACAGCCGGTTGACTGTCGGTGAAAGCCTTGCGGAAGGCCTGCTGGGTGGCGTTCTTGAAGGCCATTTCGGAGGAATCAGTCATGTGAGTAGCACCGTCGTTGATGACCATGCGAGTACCAAGAATCTTGTGGCCGACAAGAGGACCCTTCTCGCAAGAAAGGTTGAAACCCTTCTCACAAGCGTACAGGAACTTCTCGGAAATACTACCACCGACGATCTGCTGCTCGAACTTGTTCTCCTCCAAAGTGCCAGTGGGCTCCATCCATCCCATAACACGGGCGTAATCACCAGCACCACCAGTCTGCTTCTTGAGCAGGTGGTCAAACTCAACGCGGTGACCAATAGTCTCACGGTAGGCGACCTGAGGCTGACCGGTTTCGCAGTCAACGCGGTACTCACGACGCATACGCTCAACGTAAATGTCCAAGTGAAGCTCACCCATTCCGGAGATGATGGTCTGCTCACTCTCCTGGTCGTAGCTCACACGGAAAGTAGGATCCTCTCTCTGGAAACGAGCCATGGCCTTGGAGAAGTTGGCGCCATCCTTGCTCTGCTTGGGCTTGATGGAAAGAGAGATGACGGGCTCGGGAACGAACATGGATGTCATGGTGTAGCCCAGCTGTCCATCAGTGAAGGTATCACCGGAGGCACAGTCAATACCGAACACGGCACAGATCTCACCAGCACCGATCTCGTTAACCTCCTCCATCTCGTTGGAGTGCATACGCACAATACGGGGCACCTTGACCTTCTTGTCGTTGCGAGCGTTGAACACGTTGGAACCCTTGCGCAGGGTACCCTGGTAGACACGAATATAAGTCAACTGACCGAAGTTGCTCTCCTCCAGCTTGAAGGCCAAACCAACGAAGGGAAGGGAGTTGTAGGGAACAAGCTTGACAGAGGCCTCATTGCGCTTCTGGTCAAGGGCAAGGTTCTCCACCTCGGCAGGGTTGGGAAGGAAGTCGATAACACCATCCAGCATGGGCTGAACAGACTTGTTGGCCAAGGCAGATCCCATGAAGACAGGAGTGAACTTAAGAGCAATAGTGGCCCGGCGGATAGCAGCACGGATCTGGTCCTCGGTGGGCTCAATCTCGTCAAGGAAGAGCTCAGCCATCTCGTCATCGACATCGGCAAGAGTCTCAATAAGCTTGGCTCTGCGCTCAATGGCAATATCCTTGACAGCAGCAGGAATTTCATCAGTCTCCTTGAGAGCTTCGCCGCTCTCACCAACGTTGTAGATGGACTTCATGCGGATCAGATCCACAACACCCTCAAACTCGTCCTCCGCACCAATGGGGACCTGGACAGCAGCCGCGGGAATCTTGAGCTTGGTGTTGATCTGATCGACGGCCTTGAAGGGGTTGGCACCCATACGGTCCATCTTGTTGACGAAAGAAATACGAGGAACGTTGTAACGGCGCATCTGTCGGTCGACGGTAATAGTCTGGGACTGGACACCGGACACGGCACACAGAATCATGACAGCTCCGTCCAGAACGCGCAGCGCTCTCTCGACTTCAATGGTGAAATCAATGTGACCGGGGGTATCAATCAAGTTGATGTGGTACTTCTGATCCACTCCTTCCTTGTCCTTCTTGACCCAGTCACAGAAGGTGGCAGCAGACTGGATAGTAATACCCTTCTCACGCTCCAAATCCATGGAGTCCATCTTGGCACCGACACTGTCACGTCCACGGACCTCGTGAATAGCCTTGATACGGCCGGTGTAGAAAAGGACACGCTCGGTACAAGTGGTCTTACCACTGTCGATATGGGCCTATCGTAGAAGACATGTCAGACACATTTGAAACAGAGAATGTGATGGATTTCGAGATAGTATTTACCGCAATACCAATGTTGCGAACTTTATCCAAACGAGCAGCCTCGATGGGATCGAGGTTGTCGATAATGGCGGCTTGCGACAAAGCCTCCGGGTTGGCGGCAGCGGCCTCAAGACTAAGAAACGAGAAAAAAATGATTAGAACACGGTTCATAAAGGACCCATCCTTTTTGTGAGATCTTACACGGCAGACGCAGCAGCGGAAGCATTGCGTCGTTGTTCCCAGGTCTTCAACACCGACTGATAAGCCGGCGCGACACCGGAAGACCGCAAAGCGGCAGTAGATGCGCATCGCGACTGGAGAAGACCCTGAGACTGGAAACGAGAGGATCTGACCAAGCCAGATACCGCACGGTACTGCAACCGTGCAAGAGAAGGAGACCTCATGGCGGCAATCAATTCACAATAGAATTGATCGAATCAAGACAGATTGATTGGCGCTTGTTTTTTTCGAGGAAAAAAAGTTCGGGGAAGCCAGGAACGCAACACGTGACCCATGGCCTGTCAGAAACAGCGCATTACATGGCCCAGTCTTTTCAACTTTAATGGGAATAAGGCAATAATTTGACAGGAATTTGACAGTGGTTAGTTAGGCTATTTTATATTGTAGGAAGAGTGTGAAATTCGTCTTCAAAATCATGAACCATGTGGAGATCAATTGAGTTGGATTGATTCAGTATAGAGACCAGCATTTCTGGTCCCAGGACTATTGTACAAGAAAAGACCCAAGCGCCGCAATAATGTCACAAAATACATCTGGACTAACACATATGCAAAGTTATAGGCGTGGGCGGAAATCGAAGGTATCAAAGTTGCGCATGCCGAAGAAAGACGGAAGTGGAAATGAATCCATCCACTCTATTTGCCTTGTCGCTGCTTGTGCTTGGCGTTTTTCGAGCTAGACGCAGAGCAATGTCAGTAAATGAAAGCATTATTAAGTACTCTCAATTGGAGCGTATAGGTCATACCAGATGATAAAGACGCGGTTCTTGCGGCGCACGGGCTAGACGATTCTGGTCAGTATCTTGCGAATGCATTCTGTGGGACTCTCCAAGCACATCACAGCAGTGCTTGATATACTGTTCATTCATACCTTGCAGCCATCACAAAGGCGCTTCACCGAAGACCGAGTCTTCATTCCCCGGACCTGTCCAAGCTGCCGGGACGCGCCAATGGCGGCGGTGACAGCAGTGCTGTTTTCTGATTGAGCCCGCAGCCTAGTGAGGCCATTCTGGATCATGTGTGAAAGAGGGCGGACAGAAGCGACTCCGGAGAATGATCTGCGGGCGACGGAGGGGAGGATTTGGCGGAGGGCACCGGGGGCGCGGAGGACGGTCCGGAGGGAGAACATGGTGGCGATTGTGGTAATATCTCGAGCAAAGCTCCTTGTAGATGCAAGGCAATGCCTCTTTGATCGCTTCAGAAAAAGGACAGGGAAATGCAGGTGGATGTCGTCGGACCGGCTCCCGGGGTTCTCGTCCTTGATACTGCTTGGAAGATTGTTGCCGGAGGTTGTGTTTTGCCGGGCCGATCCCGCCCCGATGTTGATTGGTGGATTTGCAACAATACTTTAGTACTAAATACTGCTACATACATAGTAACATACTAAACAATTGACAATAATACTATAGTGATTGCAAGGCAGATTAATGTGAAGATCAGGATATAATGAATTAATAAATATGAATTAAAACAGAAATGATTTATCATATAATTCAAGTCGATTTTCCATAGTCTATATGCTCAGAACCCAACGCCAAACTAAGCACAGATACCGGGTTGCACTTTTAAACCGCTGAAAAAAAAAAAAAGAAGAGCAAAAAAAGAAACACTGTGCATCACATCTCGGTATGTCTCGATCGCGTATTTACCAAAGTATCATATCGTCAAATGATTTGATTAAGAGCGAAGGAAAGTTTGGTAGGTAGGGGAATCGGTGTGCTCGCTGAAGGGGTATCCCAGATCGCGAAGGAAAGCCTCGAGCTCATCCTTCTCACCAGGTGGGCACTGGATAGCAGAGAGAACCTTGCCAACATCACCGCCGTAGTTGCGGTAGTGGAAGAGGGAGATGTTCTGGTTAGGGCGGAGGGTGGTGAGGAACTTAGCAAGAGCACCAGGTCGCTCGGGGAACTCGAACATGAACAATCGCTCGTCTGTCACGTTTGAGCGACCACCAACGAGGAAGCGAACGTGGCGTTTGACGAGCTCATCATCGCTCAGATCCTGAACTGACATTCCTGATTTCTCCAATTCCTCCATGATCTTCGCCAGGTCTTCGCGACCAGTCAAAGCGGACAGGGAAATACCCATAAGAACATCGGCCACATCCTCCTGTGCATATCGGTAGCTAAAGGCGGTCACGGCATGAGGCAATATCACCTCGACAAGCTTAGCAAAGGCACCGGGTGTCTCGGGGATCTTGACACTCAGCAGAGCTTCCTTCTTCTCCCCGAGGGCAGCCCGCTCGGCCACAAAGCGGAGACGATCAAAGTCCATGTTGGCGCCGGAGGTGATGGCGATCAGCTCACGCTTGGGGTCGGGGCTGGGGTTGTTGGCAACATATTTCTTAAGACCAGCAAGGGAGAGGGCACCGGCGGGTTCAATAACGGTTCGAGTGTCCTCGAACGCATCCTTAATAGCAGCACAGATTTCATCGGTGGAGACTTGGACAATCTCGTCGATCACGTCGCGGCTGACACGGTAAGTTTCCTCGCCAACGGACTTGACCGCGGCACCGTCAGCGAAGAGGCCAACCTCCTTCAGGAAAACACGGGTGCCCTCGTCCAATGACTGGGCCATAGCATTGGCATCATGAGCCTCCACGCCAATAACCTTAACATGAGGCGCAATGCGCTTCATGTACACACCAATGCCAGCAATCAGACCACCGCCACCGACACCACAGAAGACTGCCTCCAATTTATCCAAGTTCGCTTGGCGCAGCAACTCCATTCCAATGGTACCTTGACCGGCAATGACGTACGGATCATCGAAAGGTGGGATGTTTGTCAGGCCGTGCTGCTTTTCCAACCGGTGAGCCTCGTCCTTGGCGGCATCGAAGTCGCTTCCGTGAAGAACCACACTTCCACCAAGACGAGCGACGTTGCGGTGCTTAATGGCCGGGGTGCCCGAGGGCATGACAATGGTTGCGGGGATCTTCAGCTTGCGAGCAGAGAAAGCAACACCCTGGGCATGGTTTCCAGCCGAGCACGCAATCACACCTTTCCACCGCTGCTCCGCGTTCAGGTGAGCCATCTTGTTGTACGCACCACGAAGCTTGAAGCTGAACACTGGCAGCAGATCCTCGCGCTTGAGGAGAACCCGGCTCTCCAATCGGTTACTCAAATTGACGGCGTGGTGGAGGGGGGTTTCGTCGAGAACATCGTAAACGCGGGATGTCAAGATCAGGCGGAGATACTAGACAACAGTCAGTCATGGGAGGAAAGAAACGGTAAGCGCAGGGTTTCTCACGTCAGGGTATCCATTGGGGAGTAGGCATGATTCGGGAATTCCCCAGTCTGGGGGCACTCCAGGGAAACGGGGGTTGCGCTCTGAGGGAGGCGTCGGAGCGGCGGTGTATTCGGTCAAAGCCAAACCGTTCAATTTGGCAGAGATGGGCGTGGTAGCGCCATTGGTGGTAGGTTCGTCAGACATGGTGTTCCTCGGAGAAGACTGACCTATCCAGATACACTTGATAGGAAGGTTCAATGACTCAGAGGAAGGATTTCGGACTTCAAAAGAAATTCTTTGATCTGACTCTTTTTTCCTGCGGGGGAGCGGGATCGGACCTTATGTCATCAATTTTGGCCCACAACCCCGAGATTTTGATACAACAAAGGGACCAATAACCTTAAGTTTATTTTTATGATTATTGATATACAAAGATACTGTGCTCTTTAGTCTATTTCATTCCAGCCTAACTTTGTCGGGCAATTTTTGGAGATAGTGGGAGGAGCGCACGTACATGAGATGAGTATATTTCAAAGGTGGCGGTCAGCGGCGATAGCGATAATGGCGACATTGATACATCCAATATTGAAACGCATTTCAAACCCAGCGATTAAAGAGATCTTCATAAACACTCGAGAATTTTCCAATTGGATGTAATTTAGCATGGAAATGTATTTTTACAGCTCTAATACCAATCGACTAACTTTGAAACTGTCTCCTGCTTATCAGGTGGTTTTTCAATACACTTGTACACAAAAATTGCCTGATAGGCTCATACAATGCGGCGGAAGGAAAAAACTGCTTGGCAAAAACCTCGCGACGTCATGCGACACTGGACATCTCTCGCGTGCCTCACATAACCACCATCGCTGAGCTGCAATCGAACTCCAATCCAACATAGGAATTATCCGAACACTGAAAATACGCGTTGCAACACGAAATCCCTCTACCAACCGCCCGATCCGAGATCCCGCATCCCCGACCGTCGGAATATCAAGCTCCATTAATTAACACACCATCCGCCACCATGAGCCCACGCGAACCCCTTCCTTCCTCTATGGACTCTTCGGAGAGTGGCCTGTACGTGACAGTCTGATTTCTCACCAAACTCGGCGATCATGTACTACATTGAAGAGCACGAATGGATATTACAGGGATCAATCCACTAACATTCACATTCTTACCAGTCAATTCCAAGAGGAAAGCGGTGCTCAGAAATTCACTAGACGTCTCAAGGAAGAACCCTTGGTCCCGCTAGGTATGTCTACAGATAACCGCGACCCAGACTTCGATCCCATTCGACTCGTCAGAAAGACAGAAGAACAAGAAAAGACTGACCCGTCCGGCCCCCCACAGGATGCGCCGCCACATGCTACGCCCTCTACCGCGCCTACCGATCGATGAAAGCCGGAGACTCCGCTGAAATGAACCGCATGTTCCGCGCCCGTATCTTCGCCCAGGCATTCACACTAGTCGCCCTGGTGGCAGGCGGCATGTACTTCAAGACCGAGCGCCAGCAGCGCCGCGAATTCGAGAAAGCCGTTGAGGAGCGTAAATCACAAGAGAAGCGCGATGCTTGGTTGCGGGAACTGGAGATCCGTGATAAGGAGGATCGTGAGTGGCGGGAGCGTCATGCTGCTATTGAGGCGGCGGCTAAGGAGGCTGGTCAGAGGCCCTCGGAGCCCGATGCTGCTCGCGCGTCGATTGAGCCGGCGGATGAGAAGAAGATTGGGGTTTTGGATGCTGTGAAGGTTTTGTTGTCGAAGAGGAACTAAAGTGATCTTTACAATGTTCAACACCGGTGTAAAATACTAAATAAGGTAAAAAGATCGATCTGTATTATTTATTTGTATATAGCTGAACATCTCCCCCAATGTTTTGAAGTTTTCTTTTTCAGCTTTTCAGCTTCGCTTTTTGGATCATTCTTACTTCATCTTTTAACCTTTCAATGTTAGAATATGCTTGAGGTTCCTGACACGGGTCGTAGGCAGGAACACAATGTTGGGCTTCAACTTCTCCGCCATCTCATACGCTGGCCGATCTCCCGGATGAAAGCATCACACGGGCTGACACCAGCTTCAGTGCAGTAGCGCCTCTCTAGGGCTCATACTTGGCCCAACTAAAGTCCCTGATCAACCCGTTTGGAGTAATCTTGTCGCCGATTCTACCTCGGACTCCCGAGAGCATGTGAGATCGACAGTTTAGCGTCATAGACTCAAGCCAACATCTTTTAGCAGTTCTTGTTTAGCACAAGCAACTTGGCGAAATTGCCTTGTCGCATGCCTAGCGCATAATACCCAAAACACCTCAATTGCGGTAGGAAAGTTGACTCTTCGTCCATTGAACGGAAACATCACTTGAGTATGTGAGAAACACCATGGGGAAAATGCGGGTTCGTGGTGCCGAGGCGGTTCCTGATGGATCCCCGGAACGCACCCGTGAAGGCGCTAGCAAAGGCGATAGTTCGGGCGAAGAGCCCTTATTGGAGCCCCTGTCGGTATTCCGTGCTCCACTCTTCTCGGGCTCGTTCCTTTGTTGAAAACTTCCAAGGTTGAACTTAAGATCTTTCAGGGTCTTCGGGCTTCCCAGGCATTCAATATCACACCATGACGTCTTGTCACGCTAGTGAATGGCCTCGGTTTATTGAATTCTCTGCTAGTGCGATCCTTACTACAATAAGCTGCACTATGTACTAAGTAGCGATGTATATAAACTTTGAATCTCCCAGCTGGGCTGAAGTGGACCTTGTCAGGATTGCTTTTCTTTCACATGCACATTGTCTGCCAGCACGTGTAAGATATAATTGATTGACTCGGGTTGCATATACAAACTGTCCCCAAGCCCCAACCTTCAAGGAAACAAACACACACCAGTACACACACACACTCAATTTTCAAGATGCTCTCCTGGGTCTACCCTATTCGCATTGTCCAGGCCATCTTGGCCTTGACAACAATCGGCCTGACTGCATACGGTTCGTCCCACCCAGACCTATAGACCAGGAGCGCGGAATGCAACTTTCAAAATGATCCAAAGCACTGAAGAAGGGAAAACACTGACCATCTCCAGTCATCGGAACTCTATACGACCAATGGTCTTTCTCAAATGTGACCTACTTCATGCTCTTTAACGGCTGCTGGACAGCTGTTGTCGCCGTGCCTTACCTGGGTCTCGCGCCAGTCTGGCTACCGCGTTTCTCACACGAAGTCGTCATCCCGGCGATCGAGCTACTTACCATGGGTCTCTGGCTCAGCGGTTGGATTGCCCTGGCCGTGATGATTCCCCACCCGAGCTCATGCTCCTGGTCGAGCTGCTATGCTCTCCAGGCTCAGATTGTTATAGCTGCTGTTGAATGGTGAGCAGAATTCTTATCAAGTCCTTGTTCTCATGTGGTGATTGACGACATTTCTAACCTTCATATTTTGTTTTGATAGGGCTCTTTTCGTGTTTACGAATACTTTCGCGATCCTGGATGTGAAGAACTCGAGAAATAACTACAGGGCTCGTGAGCAGCGGGGGGTGATCCGGCAGGAGGGGGAGCAGCCTGAGGTTTCTCAGGTGGCTGCTGTCGAGAGCGTTTAAAGAAGTACCCTCCTTGCTTAGCTTATATGACTTGGATCAATGACTTCAATGCTCCGTACAAAAGTGGCGTTGGAGTGAACATGAATATACGATTCGATGGGTTGTTGGGACATATGGGAACTAATCTATCCTTCCCGGGGGGCTTCGTGATTTTGTTATTATCATAGCATATCACATTACAATAATGATCCGTTTAATGATTACGTATTTGAAAAAATCCATCTTTCTATAACAAATCTCATACTTCATTCCAATGTTGAATGGTAACCTATACAAATAATCAACCTTAAAAACAGCTCTGCCTGGTATCAAACGCTCTAACAATCTAAGTAGAAATAATCAAGATAACACTCATGAAAATAGAATCAAGATAACTCCTATCATAAAAAAAAATTTCACTTCACGTAAAGTCCATGTCATCAAAGTCATTAATAGGCGGAGGTGTGGCACCATCCTGATGGTAGCCCAAGACTTCAGCGTACCTAATTATCAAGTCAGCTCCGCTGCAGCACAAGTATACCGTTGAGTCTAACTTACATGATAGTCTTCCAGACATCAGCTGGCAAGTTTGCATCAAGGAAAGACCAATCAATGGCCTCTTCTGCAACTGGCTCATCATTTGGGTCGTGATATGGAGCCAGATAGGCGGAACTGAGGGCATCTGCAGCAGAAACTCTCATGTCGGGATCGTATTGGAGCATCTTGTCCAAAAGCATTGTTGCTGCTGAAAGTCAATATCATCGAATCTGACCGTAAGAGTAAGATAAGATACATACCATTTGAATCTGCTCCTGGAATAAGCGTACTCCAGGGCTTGCGAGAATGATGAGGCAAAGATCGGACGAAACTCATAGTCTTTACAAGGAACAGTTAGTAAAGCTGAACAGACCGTAAGTATATCTGAAGGAAGTTAAACTCACGTTCGGGCTAGTAACATTGGCAACAACGTAATCCGGTGGAGATCCAAGAAGCTTGGTGATGACACAAAATTGGTCGATGTGATTCTTGCCCAGGAACAAGGGCTCCCCGAGCAGCATCTCAGCAAATATGCATGCTGCACTCCAGATGTCGACTTTCTCGTTATATCGCTTCCAAGTGAGCATAATTTCCGGAGCTCGGTAGTATCTGGTTGATACGTAGCCGGTCATTGATGCCTCTTGGACACGCGCTAAGCCAAAATCGCAGATTTTGAGGTCGCAATTTTCGTTGACTAAAATGTTGCTTGGTTTGAGATCGCGATGTACGACACCGGCTGAATGAACATATTTGAGACCGCGCTGTGTCGAGATAGTCAGCAATGACTGAACGGCTGGATTGGATAAATGGATTAATCACCATTATTTGGTACATGAAATACTGGGAGAATTGATTATCGATTTTCTTGGATTTCAAGAGGGAGTGAAGATCGGTTGCCATAAGGTCTGTCACAAGATAGCTAGAGTGGTGATTATTAGCTTTTGAATATTCGATATGATGATCAGAATGAAACCGTACATATCTTCCGAGGGGGAAATAAAAATGTCACTCAAATGGATAATCTGTCCCAAGGCAATAAATTAGCTTGGGCTTAGCAACCTTGCAGAATGATGGAATGGAGACCAACATTTTCGTGTTTTAGTGTTTTCAACAGTCGGACTTCTCGGTACATGTGCTTTGCAATATTTTCCGATTTGAAAGGCTGAGCAAGCTTCTTGACGGCAATCGTTCGCTTGGAAATCTGATCCCTGGCGGAGCTAAAAAAGAATATGGAAAAGATAAATGGTAAGCTTCTGTTACCTAGAGTTTTGAGGCTATGTAAGATGCATGGCTGCATGTGGGCATCACACATACCAAACGAGTCCTGAAACACCGATTCCGATAGGCTCCAATTTACTATACCTATAGGGCAAATTCATTGTAAGTATATCGTTACATTTACACAACATGTTTACATATAGCAAAGATGGAAGGAAGTATTCACCAACCTTTCGGTTGTTTCAAATTGAGAGCCTAAAACAGTTTTGGTGGTGAACCGGGCCATATCCTGGCCGGGGGGGGTCTTGAGTTAATGACGGCGACATTATAATGTTGATATATCTAGTAGTGGACCACGATCATATCAACCTTGAGAAGAATCACCGAATAGATGTGAAGAGTTGAGTAATAGTTGATGGGTAGTTGATGGGTAGTTGAAGATGGAAAACAGAATCTTCAAGGAGAAGAGGTGTTTTTTAATTAAAAAAAGATCTGATGATCCACCAGGTACAGTACATACTTCGATCACATTCGGTGGCGGTGGCATAATTTGACATCGGTGGCTTTTCACATAGACTTGTGGGCACAGAAACTCTTCAAGCCACAAGTATACAGACCGCCCACGTGTAGGTTCGGTACCGTCTTGAGCCCAAAGAAGAGAATGTTCAACAACCGCAGTTGATTGGCTCATCTGTGGTTTGCCTTTGTCAGCTTTTGGTACTGACTTCCAAAATTGGAAAAAGGCACAGGCAGAAAGTTATACAGAGCATCGGAGACTTTTCTCAATGACACTTGTACATTGTCCAAAGATGGTACTATATCAGCCACAGGTAAGGTTGGTACGCGGCGTACGCCAACCATTCCAGGCCCCCACCGAGCCCACCCAATCTGAAAACGAAAAGCAATGCGATTGGTCGGGCCTCTCACCCGCAAATGGTTGTGGGTCTATACTGCGCCCCATAAGGTGCCCCAAACTGGAGATGTACAACAGGAAATGCCATCCCACTATTTCCACATTAATCCACAGAAATGGGCTCAAGAACCCTCTTCAGGTGTCGAGGTGGCGATTTTGCGTGGCCTTGCAAACAGATCAGCTGCAGGCCCAATGTCGATCAACGGAGTCTTTTCCCTCAACACGGCCTGATCTGATCACAGATACTTGTCGCGGGGTTCCTCAAGAATCACCGTGCATCCCCATCACGTCGTTTGCAAGGGATTTTGAACCAAATGACAATATAACCTGTATATTGTACGGGCGGTTCGAGAATACTCGAATGTACGCGTGAAGATGAGAGACTGAAGTCGTACACACTTGTATATTTGTACAATTATCCTGTCGATGACGTCACGACAAGAGCTAGAAGCTTGCAAGTTGCAACGGATATCCGCTCGCAGAACTCCCTATTAACCTGAAAGTTGAAAGTTGAAAGGGAGACCAAAAACAAAGACGCCCAAAGAATCCCAAAATTTAAAATTCACCAAGCTGGAGCTAGTCCGCTTCTATGAATGTCTCAAACATCGTATCGGGGTATTCGTCATAACTCGTTTTCGTAGCCGTCATCGTCGCTGGAGTAGCCTCAGGAGGGCTGGATCCCAAGCCGCCCTCTCCACCTGAATTATCGGAGCATGTACTCATCGAAAATGTGGGGGACGGACATTGGAAGGGAGCGGCATTGGTCTGAGCGGCTTTTTCGCTGATCAAAGCCAACTGGAGGTTGATTTGTGGGTCATCGCATCGTGCGTGGTCGAAGATGGTGTTCTTCAACTGCCAGATCTCGTCTTTCAGACTGTGCACCACGGATTGAAGATAATCGTGCTTTGCGGTCTCATCGCTTAGGACCTTTTCGATTTGTTGGTGTTGGTATTTTTTCTTCAGTCGGCACTTGTTCGCGGCAATCCGGTTGCGCTCCAGATGTCTGGCCCTTTGAGGACTTAAGTTGTCACTCTGGGTAGATTTTCGTCGACGGGGGGTTTGAGTAGTTTGAGGGTGGGTATTATCAGGTTGTGATGCAAATTGAGGGGTCGCATTCAATGGCAATGGTAGTTTTGGCACGTTTTGGGTCATTGGATATAGTTCGGATTGTAATATGGGGTCGATATAAGGAAGCTGCGCTGGGTTTTGCTGGAAAAAAGCCATTGCTATGGGATTCAGAGAGCTGTGGGAGGCTCTGAGAAGGTGGTAGGAATCAGAATCTAGAGGTATCGACTTCCAGGGATGGCTTGGTTTATATAGGGTGTTTCAACGCGCGAGTGTGAGAGACAGGGAATATTGTAAACATCTTTGATTTGCAAGCCAGGGCAGGACAAGATTCAAGGATTCTCTGCTCGTCATCCACTGCAAGTTTAATTGATTGTTTGCTACCAAGTTGGAATCAAGATTCTATGATGTAAAGTGAAAGCTTACAAAGATTAAGGCCTCGCCACTTTAGTTCTAGCACCCCTATATCTGGGGCTGATAGGATCGCCATGGTAACAACTCCACCAATAACCAAGTTTGAGTCGTGTTCCACTTGCAACAGTCAAAATCATCTGACAACCCTTCAGTCTTTCCCTGGTAAAAGATGGCTTAAGCCATCAATCGATTGATTGGATAATCATCCACATAATGGTAGGGATTCTTTGAAGAGCACCTGGTCGATGATGCAATTCGTAAATTAACGGGCTAACGTGCGCTTCAATGAACTAGATTGCCAAGACAAGGGAATAAGATCTTCAATCGATTAATCTTCAAATATTGGTATAGGGTGCCATCTATGTTAAACAATGAATAATATTACAAGGAGCGTCAACCAGCGATTCAACCAGCGACCTGCTCGTCAATGTACCGCCTCATGGTATCGAATTCTGCCTTCCCTGTCTTGAAAAAATGTCAGCATACAGCATTCCTTGTTCAAAAAAGTACCCTTATAAGTGAAAAGAAAATGTAAAAGTTGCCCTTACCGAAAGCAAGTATCGTATATGTTGCTACAAAACAAGTCAGTATTAACGTCACGGGTCATTACACGAGGAAAGAGAAAAGCAGCCTACCAAATCTTTTACATCACGACGGCGCTCGAATTCTTGTCGAGCATATGAATGAAGCTCAGTTCGTGTTGTTGAAGGAGGAATCTCTAGATACTCGTGTAAGCGGGTGCCATGGATGACACTCGAGGAGACTGAGGCTAGAAGCTTACTGTTCAAAGCTCGGACGATTTCGCGCCACAATGCCAGGACACGTTGTCTCTGAATGAACTGTGGATCTTGTCAGTGGATTTCGGCAAGTTTTTCATGCATTGCCTGATGGTTGCATCTCAGGTCGTCTAGTTCTTACATGGTCTAGACTGATGGCTGGTTTTTTCAGCCTGGAGGGCTGGCTGCGGGAAACAGCAGCCAAGAGACTTAGTGAGGGCCGCATGGAGACAAAATCATACCATGCCTGGCGGGAAGAGTGGTTTGGTTTGATTGGAGCGTTGCTTTCGCCCACGATTTTCGACGTTGGCGCCGCTTGGATATCACGCGCAGATCAAGGCGGTCGGGATTTTGTGTACTTGAATTTCGGTACTTTACGGATCATGTGATTGAAACGTGCTGTAAGAAAATGGCTGTATTGTCAGATGCTCATAAATACGACTTTGACGCACGACGAACTGGAAACACGACCACCAATAGGCAGGACTACTAGTTCTACTTCATAGATAATAACTGAGAAGAACAGGGATATCAATACGTGGTCAAATAGCAGTCCGAAAATTTGAATTGATTTTAAAGTACAGATTGGATATCATAAAACATCGATCGCAAATAATGCACGCCGCACGCTTTATTAACTAAGATCAATTACCTCGTTCGAGGGCTGATTCTGAATTGGTGCTTGAGACTCGCCATTCTCTAGAGCATCAGGTTGGAGGTATTCTGGGTGCCTATTCTTGATGTGCTGATTCAAATTCCATGTCCTTGAAAACCCCCTGTGACTGCGACTGCAGGAACTGACAGGACAAGTGAAGCCTTGACTCGTAGAGGTTGTTGAGTTGTTTTTGAACCCGGGGTGTTTAGCCAGATTTTGTTTTTGTGTCACTCTTTGGTTCGCAGAGCTAGCATTCGAGACTGATATTGTCGGCGGCGCCGGAGGCGCATGTGAAATGGATGGAGTCGGATGGGGCTGCCGTGATGTTGATCTTGCAGGGCCTTTGGAGCTATTCCTACTTTGGCTGGTGTGCTTATAGTATTCTTGTGATTTCAGGTCTTCGGGGTCGCTTTCAACATAGTCATAGTCCCGCTTCGAGCCAACGCGCACTTTCATTACCCGACCTTCGTGGAAGGTTCGGAATGTCATATCTTGTTCGAATAGATCCGCACATCGCTTTGCAGCCCTTTGAACCACGTTCGATGGCAGTCCCACCATTGACGCGAGACCCATGACTTCACCCCAGTCTCGTAGAGGCAATCTGCCCAGCAGTCTTGCTTTGCGTTGCGCTGAACGATCTGCCGCGTCTGGGTAGTCATCGAGGTCATGTTGTTCATTCTCAGTATGTGGGGATGATCGTAGATTCGATACGTTGCGCGATGATTGGCCGGATTGTGTTTGGCCACGACTTCGTTTGCGACCACGCGACTGGCTATGTTTCCGGCCCTTTGATCTAGATCGCGATACATCGTCATCCGTATCGGTAGCTGAATCATCGCTGTCGTCAACTTCCTTTGTGCGGTGCCTGAGGGAATGGTGCAATCCCATCAACAACTGATCCAACTGTGAAATAGCAGTACGGGAAAGAGGGCGTAATAGCCGGCGAGAGAGGTCGTCGTCTGTCTGAACGATCGGTCTGAGCTTATCAGCCTGGCTAGACTGCTCTTTCGATTCTCCATCATTTGTACTTCGTTTTTCATTGTCAACTGTTTCGTAGTTGTCATTCATTTCGTCGTCGACATTCGTTTCGCCGCTGACGTTCGCTCCGTCGTTGGCATCTGTTCCGCTGTTGACGTGCGATTCGCCGCTGGTCTTTCTATCGTCTTGGGGATTTGTTTCTTTGTTGGCAGTGGTTCCTTCGACATCAATTTCCATCGCATCTGGATCCGGGGCAATCTCCTCTAGGGAGGCTGCATCTTCCTCGCCAACCCACTTGCGAGCCATAAATCTTTCCTTGCCAGTCTTCATCATCGTTGCGATGATACACTCTTCCAGTTCTCCACTGAATCGATCATCGGGCGGCATCCGAAATGTATCAGGGCCATCCAACTTGCGGTGGGCGGATTCACCGGCACGCGGAACACGACCGGCTGGTATAGGCCACGCTACCCATCGTTTACGAAGAGCTTTCTCCTCATCCGACTCTTCGGGCTCGCCAGATTCGTCCTGTTGCCTGGGCTGCTGGCGAACCACATATACATTATAGAGATGAGCAGCGAGGTCTTGTGCGCGAGAATCCATGACGGATTGATACACCCCCCTCTCCCCAGCAATAGCTCGGTCATAGTTGATAGGTATCCCCGCCCATCGATTTGGGCGCTTTTGTCCTGGCGGCAAATCGATGCCGCGATAAACAACATATGTTGGCTCTTGCCTTATTTCCTTTGGCTTCCGCACGACCTTTTCAGGTAATAGCTTTTTGGGTACCAAGGAAGAACCAGCAAGAGTGACGTTTCTAGCTTCATCGTCACTGCTTTCTGCATAAGAGCTTTCTCCATCAGAGTCATAATACTCCAAGGGTCTCTCTTGGAGAATCATGTCAAGTTCATCTTCATCTTCATCTTCATCAGAAATTGTCTCGACCATGGGGTCGGACGGAAGATCTGGCTCCGATCTAACATCTTGGGAGCTGAGGCCGCCGAAGATGGATCTTCTAGGCCGGAGCGACCTCGAGGATGGCGGATCGGCATCACTGCTGGGTCCACCAAATAACGAGCCGCGTGCTTGTGCTGATGGTGGTGGTAGGAACTGTGACGATAACGGTTGATCTTCTGGAAATGAGGACATCCCTCAGCCCTGTTGTCGAATTATAAGCTCGTTGATACGGCTGATATTAGGTTCATATCATACGCGGATTATGGACTTTAATAACGCAGTTTGAACCGCTGTGGGGGATCACGCATCACGCTAGATCATTAAAAACAGCTGAAACAAAGTATTTGAATAATTGAACATCTGCTATTGTTGTTTTGAAGGTGCGTTGACGATGGAGGTCTTCGAAATTTCAAGAATCAAAAGTGGAACCAATCACGTGACATATTATGCGCGCAAAATCTGTATACAATCTGCTACAACGTATCGGAACAGCATATTATCAGGAATGATGTTTTAGAATTTAAATTGTATAGAGAACCTGGAAGACAGGCTCTATGCTAATCTTGGTGCAAAAAAACCATTAAATTCGATGGACATAAATTTTTAGGACATGCATATACAGGGGACTTTCCCAGCCGCAAACGCCAACAAATAAGGACTCTTGATAGTGTGACAAATCGCTCGACTCTATTTCTCAGCCTTCTCAAGCTTGCGCCGTTTGGAGCGGAGCTTGGCAGCCTCCTCGGAAGTCTTCTTGTTGGAGTACATCATCTTCTCCAACAGCTTACGCTTCTTCCGGCTCATCATCATCTTCTGTCTCTCGAGCTCCTCATCCTCCTTGCGCTTCTTAGCAGCAAGCTTCTTGGTCTGAGTGTTCTTCTTCTTGTCTTCGGCACCGTTGGAAGAGAAGGGCAGACCAGCAGCCTCGGCCTCGAGCTCACGCTGGTGCTGATTGCGAGCAGCCTCATCATCGTCATCCTCTGATTCAGATGCGACTTCCATATCTTCGAGTCCCTCGAGTTCCTCATCGTCCTCCTCATCCTCGTCACTGTCACTCTCATCGTCGTCGGAGCCAGCAACGTCCATACCACCATCGACGGACTCTTCTTCGGAATCCTCGACAACGGGGACGGTCTTCTCATCAACGGCGGCCTCATCCTCCATCTCCTCGTCACTGTCTCCAGCCTCTTCGGCGATTTCAGCCTCGCCTTCCTCTTCCTGCTCGGCCAGGGTGGCCTTGGGATCGTAAGCACCGCGGCTAGCCTTAACCCATGGGCTCAAGTGAGGGGGCAGAGTAGCACCAGGTCCGTAAAGATCGGCGCGGCAAAGCTTGCTCTCGTTGATGCAATCCCAGACCCACTGGGGCTGGACGTAGGTACGTCCAGGAATGCGAGTGCCGGGCTTGACCTTTTGGCTTGTGCTCTCGGCAGCAGGAATAGCGGGAAGGGAAGACTCTGGGAGAGGTGGACGATCGACAATCTGGTGAGTAATACGGGGATCGGTCTCATCGTGGGTGAAAGCACCATCGCCCATCACGGCGTCCCAACCAATACGCTTGCAGCCGAAGGCACGCAGGATGAACTCGATAGGGGCCTTGGGGGCCTCACGCGAGATGTAAAACACGAAGGGAGCGAAAAGAGTGCTGGCCACATTACCGCTCATGTCGGGTTGGGGGAGAGTGTCGGCTTCCGGGGCGGCGGTCTCGAATTGGTCGATCGCATCGGTGTTCTCCTCGGCTGTGTCGACAGTCTGCTCATCGTTGGTCTGATCCAAGCCGGCGGTCTTGAGGACCTTGTCCACCTTGGCCTGGACAGCCTTGGAAACCTCCTTGTTCGAGTTACCGTTCTTCTGGGGCTTGCTAGCCTCCAGCGCCTTGGGAGCCTCACCGACATTTCGGCCCTCCAAAGTGAAAGCAGCCAACTCAGCACCATTCTCGTCGCTGCGGGTGTCAAACTTGGGAGGGTATCTCAGACCGATCGAGGAGTACAGGCGGAAGTTGACGAATCCCAGCAAAGTAGTGTAGAAGTCGACAAAGGTGGCCATGATACGGTAGTCAACGTCGCCATTGACACGCTGCACAAATCGGTATGGCACCAACCACATAATATCCTGACCCTGGATAGTGGCCTGGTAGTAGATACCCTTGATGGACAAGAAGGATCGGCGCAGAGAGTTGGTGGTAATCAGGTAGTGCTGGAACTCGTGGCAGACTCGCTGGCACAGGGCAATGGTCTTGTGGGGAACATGGGTTGTGGAAGGAAGCGTAGCAAACAGGAAGAGCAAAGACAAGGCATCGTCAAGGTCTCTAAGAGCGTCAATGAAGGTCGGGTAGCGCTCCTTGATGACATGGTCGAGAGTGAGCTTGGGGGAGTGGTTCTTCTCCAAGCGCGAGGCGTCGCTGACTTCACCACGACCCAGGGAACGGGCGATCTTCTTAGCAACAGACTTCTGGTCACGGAACTTGTTCAGTAGCGGCTCGTGGAGCAGATACTGGATATCCTTGGTGTAGTAGAAAGTTGTGTTTGGAGTCGATGTCTTGGAAGCCTTCTTCTTGCTGCGAGGCTCACGGGGGTAAATTCCTTCAATTCAAACATCAATCAGCATCGCATCATATAGAAATATATTGGAAGAACCATCTTACCCTTGAAAATGCAAAGTCGACGGAAATCAGGCAGGGAAATCTGAAGTTTGCGCACGGCCTGTGTACGAGTGATGTAGTTTTTGGCCGCGCCAGAGGTACCTGAGAAAAAGACTGTTAGCATTGGTAAAGTATGGATTGGATCTGGGAAACATACCCTTCTTCTTAATTTTACCCATGGTGAATTCTGTTGAAATTTCTGTAGTTGAAGAATCTAAACAGTTTCCGCTGATAAGAAGAGGAAAAATTTCTCGATAACTTTTTTTTTCTGTCGTAGGCGGTCAGTTGGCCCGTGCGGTTGCGGGCGTCCGTGGTTCCAAGGCAACGGGAGTAAAGGGACAGCTGGAATCAAATGTTGCGATCCCCTCGATCGCCAATTCCACCTCAACTCTAAATCTAGCTGTCATGGCGGTGGACCGACGCAAGGTTGCAGTGTTTGGTGCAGCCTTTGTGCTGCGACTACTTCTTGTCTGTCTTTTCCCATCGTTGCCAGACCTTCTCACAGGCCGAGTGGAGGTCTCGACCCCGGTAAACAGCTTCAAGCGGCGTATGTTGTTGAACACCCCAATGCACTTGGGTGCAATCAGAAACAACGGTACTAATGCGCAGTTATAGTCCAAGAAGGCCTCTTTCTCTATATCCGAAATGTCTCCCCTTATGATGGCGGTGTTTTTCACCAGGTAAGCGGAGCGCTGCGCTTCCTTGAACCCGAAGTTAACACCGATTGTACTATAGGCGCCGCTCCTCCTCCCCTTATTTGCTTTGCTCCCAGACGTGCAAAGTAGCCCATTCCCTACTGCTATATTCTACTTTCTTGTTGATCTAGTGAATGCGCATGCACTGATCACCATTTCGGAATCGGGCCAATCGGTCCAGACACGACTACACTCCGCCATGCGGAAGCACATTCGCTGGGACGGAGTGTCCATAGCAGCTTGGTAAGTCCGCATGAATAATACCGTGGATTGAACCGAGTTTCTTATTCAATAATAGGTTCTTGTTCAACCCCTTTACAATCGCAACTTGCTTGGCCCGGTCAACGAGCGTCTTCACCACTACGGGAATCCTTTACGCCGTCTCAAACGCCGTCGACGGAAATAGCGTCAACGCGATACTAGCATTGGGATTTGCGTCATACCTATCGCTTTATCCCGCCTTATTATTTGTTCCCCTGGCGCTGCTTTGCTACGACCAACAGACACAATCATCCAAGGCGCCCGGCGCGGTGGTGTTCTTTGTACAACATGGATCGATACTACTGGCCAGTGTTGCCGGTCTACTAGGATTGTCATACCTAGTCGCCGGAAACTTCTGGGAATTCATGTCCGCCACTTATGGCTTCCATCTGCTGGTCCCCGACTTGACTCCTAATGTGGGTCTGTGGTGGTATTTCTTCATTGAGATGTTCGACTCCTTCCGAGAGTTTTTCTTGGGTGTCTTCTGGCTTCACCTGGCCAGCTATGTGGGGGGCTTTACTGCTCGTCTGCGGCGACAGCCTTTATTCATTATTACTTCGCTCCTGGGCGTCTTTGCAATCTTCAAGCCGTACCCCAGCATTTCCGATGCATCTCTCTACTTTGCGCTGCTACCCTTGTACCGCCACCTTTTCCCTTGTGAGTTTTGTCTTCGCCCTACAATATCTAATCTTCAATGCATTGGACTAACCGTGACTAGTGATGCGATACACATTCTTCGCAGTCTCCGCATTGCTTTACTCCAGTCTTCTTGGCCCCGCATTCTACCATCTGTGGATCTATGCTGGATCGGGTAACGCCAACTTCTTTTATGCGATCACCCTCGTTTGGAGTCTAGGCCTTTCTATTCTGCTAGCCGACAGCATCTTCGCGGCTCTCAGAGACGAATGGGAGCAGGCCAACCCAGAGTTGCAAGGTCAAGAAGTGAAACAAATATAATATAATGAAATGCTTGCATTTCCATCGCATCATGAATCAATTCATGCTTCAAAACTCATACCCAAGTCAAAAAAAAACATTATCACATTCAAAATTCAAAACCCAGTCTTCATCTTAATTCCTTCGACAAAATCAAATAATCAAACTCTTTGGTCGTCCCATTCCGCAACTTTTTCGGCTGGGGTGAATACTCATCAACCACATATCCACCCTTCTCATAGAACCTGCACGCAACCACATTAGATCTAAAAACCGTAAGCATGGCCTTCTCCACCCCAACCGACCGACCGATCTCCTCCATCCGACTCATCAACAACCCCCCAAGACCACGGCCCCGCGCCGCCGCCGACAAATGGATTTCGTAGCAGTAAACCACTTCATGCCCATCTTCGTAGGTAACCATGAACGACAAGAAACCAAGAACGGTACCCGTACCATCAGTTTGGTCATTCTTCACAACTCCATTCGGGCCCGCATTCGCATTCGCCGTGGGCTTCGGCTCATCGGCTTCATCGGCATCGGCACCGGGCAGATCAGCCGAGGGCGCGACACAGTCGCGAATAATAAGGTACTTCATATCGGGCAACTTCATCTCCTTCCGCTTTTGGGGCCGAGACCATCCCGCGCCGGAGGCGGCATATGCTTCGCTGGATGTGAGCTCGATGAGATCCAGACATGCAACCAGGTCTGCGGTAGAGATGGTCGCGGCGGAGTACACGTCCAGCGAGGTGTTGCGGGGCAGATTTTCCTGCAATGGCACGGTTTTTACAACCCCATCCGCTTGGCTGGTTGGTGGGGATGTTTTGGTGGTTGTGGATTTGTTAGGTGGTGAAGCATCTGTATGTGGAGACACGTGGGATGTGATGAAATCCTCGATGCTCAGCGCGTTTATGCGCTCAACTAATGGGAGTTCTGAATATGTCATTAGCGTTTGAATGTAATTTACGTAGCATTCTGAGTATAGAAGGTGGTCTTTTTGGACCTGGTCGAGTCCTTGTTGGTTGTTGGTTTGGATCGTACTTACTTTTTTGGTTGGCGGAGACGCGTTGCGCGGGCGTCTGAGATCGCCGAGCTTTGGATTTAGCCACTCGGCCCTCTTGAGTTGGCATCGTTGATCGATTGGTTGGTATTTAGGCTTGATTTTTGGGTGTTTAGGTAGTAGACCACCAGCAGTGAGTATTTCTGACTGTGCTATACTTCAAATTAATGGTAATGTAAAAGTTTAGAGTGGGCCGGACAACAAGAGGTGTTTTCGGGAATCCTTGGGCGCTTAAAATCTTAATATGGTAAGATATACTTTCATTTTTCTCATGCATCGTGTAGTCAAACATCTACCTAACAATTATTCCGAATATGTAGATTTCAACTGGTTAAGCCAAGTGAGTTGGTCAAGCACTTATCGCTGGGTGGCAGCGTGCTCCTCAGCCCGACGCTCAGCCTCCTCAGCTCCCAGCTCTCCAAAAACGTCCACTCCCCAGCGGAAGGGGTAGTTGTATCGCGCGTTACGGTCGAGGTTGTTCAAAGCCTCGAACTCGGCATCAGGAATAACAAAGTCTGCAAAATATTAGCTTCACGCTAAACTAGCCATTCACGATTCTCCTTTAGTAACCTACCCTGGAAGTTGCTCTCAATGCGGGAAGGTGTAACGCTCTTGGGCAGCACAGCAGAGCCCCGCTGAATGGCCCATGAGATCAGCAACTGAGCGGGGTCCTTGTTAAGCTTCTTGGCGATCTCCGCAACTGTCGGGTCGTCGATAACACGCGGAATGTTGAATGTGTTGTTTCCGAGAGGGCTGTATGCAGTAGTGAGAATGTTCTGCAGTGATCATATTGTGTTAGTTTAACTGCCTTGCTAGAGGTGGAGGGAAAATATGTATTGAGTCTTACGTTTTCCTTCAAGAACTTGGTCAGCTCGGGCTGTTGGAGGAAAGGATGCGCCTCAATCTGGTTGGTGGCGGGAACAATCTTCGCAGTCTTAAGCAGCTTCTTGGTATCATCGATAGTAAAGTTGCTAACACCAATGCTGCGGATCTTGCCTGCAGCGACGAGCTTCTCCAGAACGGCCCAGGTATCGGCGACCGGAACATCGGCTATGCGGAATCGCTTTGTGACCGGGTCGGTCGGCGTGAGAGTTTCGTTGGTGTGCTCAAAGGCGACAGGCCAGTGGATCTGTGCAAGTTTAATTAGTGGAAACTCTTTTCTTGATTTGTTTTGTGCTGTAGATAACGCACCAGGTACAGGTCCACGTAGTCGGTTTGGAGATCTTTCAGGGTCTGGTTGAGGCCCTCCTCAACGTGGTCGGGGTGATGGTGTGTGTTCCACAGCTTGCTAGTGATCTGCGCATTTAAAAATCTTGTGTTAGCTGGCTCGAGAGTCCATGAGTCTAGTATTCATTGATGTTGGTCAACTTACAAAGATCTCCTCACGAGGCACACCTGACTTCTTCCAGCCATTTCCGACCTCATTCTCATTTTGATAGCATGCTGCGGCATCGATGTGACGGTAACCACTGCGCAAGGCATGCTCAACGGCCTTCTCAACTTCGTGAGGCTTGGAGAGCTATGTGCGCGTGAATTGGTTAGTGTCGAGGTAGATGTATAGTTACGAGAACATTCGCCGTAACGTACCCAAGTTCCGAGACCGACGGCGGGAATCTCGTAGCCCGAGTTCAACTTGTAAGTGCGTCCAAGAGACATTGTGGAATATGTAGCACTAGTACGAGACAAATCTAGTTTAATTGAAAAGAGAAAAGTAATTAATGAGTAGAAAGTAGAAACAGGGGAATTTCCATCTATTTATTTACGACCTCGTGCCCCTCCTTTTTTTCACACCCCTCCGCTCCACGCCAATAGAAAAGTATAAGGTGCTTTCGACACGCGGTCTGTTGATCTCGTGCTTTTGAAACCCCCGGTTAGCATTCATAGTAGATGGAGTGGATGTCAGAATCTATTGAGTGATCTTAGCTCAGGATTGCACAATTGCTAGGCCCCTCAGTGGATACCGTACTATACTTACCCGGCAGTTAGCTGGTCCATGCCCTCTTATTCGCTTTCCCCCTAGCTTTCCATGGAACGTTTTTTGAAAGGAAAATGAAAGTCAATGTTCTCCAGGGTTTCGTTCGGACTAAAATATCAAATAATTTTCTCTTTCTCATCGCCCGCTATGCAAGAAAAACATACATAGAACAGCATGTGGAATTGATCGAAGGCCTGTTTCTAATATGCAAAAGCGTGTGGAAATATATAAACAAGCAATATTCAAAACAACTTTCCCTCAATGATTGGAATCATTTCTACCAGTTGACCCAAGTATTTCTAACGTGCCAAGGTCAACTCAACTGCTGGTTGGAATTGCATATTTATTGAGGCCTTGGTTAAACCCAAAGATCTTCATTCAAATCATTACTAGTAAGTAGTGTATGAAGAAGACTAGATAGAGCACGCACGCGCAAAATGCTTCTAAAATTATTAGAAGTACTACACACGTACATAGTTCACGACTTCAAATGTTCCCGAGATCGAGAATCCGTTTCGGTTTGTGCGAGCTAAGCCATACTAGGCCCAGTGCATACTATTAGACGTCTGGATATGTACATGTATGGCAGTCTAAATATTAGTTATATGGGCAACGCGCGGCAATTGGCCAAGAAAACGAAACGCAAAACGAAACGCAAAATGAAACGATTTATGCATGTGAGCTTCAAGTATTGTAGCAGCAACTGTACATCATTCAGAACATTTGAAGATATCAATCTAGTATCTATACAGCACCTACTCTACACATGTGCAATAAGCGAAAGTATTTAGAAATTGATTGCTAATCGTTCTACATAAAGTATTTAGTTGAATTCCATATTTGCATGTGCACTGGGTCCATAGATGATATATCGGGTTAAGCTTCTGTTCAATGTTTGAAAAGTTGTGTGCTTTACATTGGACACTTGGATTTTTCAAGAGTGGAACCTTAGCCCCAACATTTGAACATTCAAATGAACCTTGAACCTTGGAAAGCCCTGGAGGTATTTGAACAGTGCTTGGGACTGACATGTAGATTCATAGTATGTATGGACACCCGTCCTCCCGGCTTCAGGACTGTGGAGAATCCAGACACATCCTTCGCGGGTAGAGGATCTTTGGTGATAGGCAAATGATGAGCCATCCAAGGAGCTGGGAGAATAGCTTCCAACTTCAAGCAATCTCGTGCCTACATAGAAGACCACCTCGTATATCAGTTAGCCACACACAATTCTTTCAGTCTACATTCAGCTGAATGTTCTCGAAAGAGTCATATTGAACCTGGTGAGCTCCTTCTTGGAAACTTGGAGCTTGGTTCGAACCCATCACCACACTGAAAACATGCAAGCTAAACTTGGTGGAAAGACCTCCATCAGTCTGCTATGCCTAAGTGCAGGGGATGGTTGTATCAATGTATCTTGCCTGTTGGAAGATCCCTGGTCTGTTATCAATGCATACCCTGCAGCTCAGTTGATAATGACAGCTAGGAGTAAGTGCATCCGATAGTTGCGCGGAGTAATGATGTGTTTTGGAGTAGATCAGATAGTGTTGGCCCCCAAATGAAATGCATCATGGGAAGTTGGGGTCCATTTTTCAGCCAGTAGTGATTCGAGGTGTGCGCGGCAGACCTGAGCAGAAAGCCGGTGACCCGCTCAGGCCCCGAGATCAGTAATATCGGCAACAAAGGCTATCGATGGTGGCGCCCGGGTGGTATTTCTTTGTTTAAGATAGGTAGGATACATCTGAAGTCAGAAAGAGAATTGGGCAGCTAGACTTCTGACAATCAAGGGGGTGAAAAGCTTCCCAGTTTTGACCTGATGAGGTGTGGGAAGCTATTATTCAGCAAAAAGCCACCTCAAGGCCCAAGGGTACAATCACCAAGTGTACAACGCAGAAAATGCCGATTACAAATGCAATGACCGACCTTGACGATGTCATATGCAGGCAAGAATGAAAAAGAATGGTAGAAAAGTCCATCTGTAGCCATCCATGGGATTCTACGAAGGAAGGGGTAGTACGAGTATTACTAATAGATCTGTTGATGTTGTGTAGAGCCTTAGGCGCCCCCGCCATTTCCCCCCGCCAAAAAAGTTGATTATTCATGAGCTTTAAGCGCTCAATAGAAAATCCAGGGGTATTTAAAGAAGTTCCTGGCGCCAGCCGTAGAAATGTTGCCATAACTATAAAATATTGCTCATCTTTGCATGAACTCCTCCACCATTTCCAACGAACCCAAATCAATTTAAGCATATTTTTCTTTATTTTTCCAAGCCAAAATGTCTTATTCACTTTACGACACATCGGTCCTCCCCGCCAAGAACGCCCTCACTGCTCTTGCTGCCATCCTCCGCAAAGGCGAGGAGCACTCCAATGGCGCCAACTTAATCACTGCCACCCTCCATGATGACATGAAGCCATTGAGCTTCCAAGTCTTTGTTGCCGTCTCCCTCGTCGAGAAAATGGTCGCCAGACTCACCGGTGGCCCGGTTCCAGAGTCTACCGATGACATTTCATCGTTCGCTGATGCTCAAGCATTCATCGAGAAGGGCCTCAAGGCTCTCAACGACGCCGATAAGACGACCATCAACAACAACGCTGAGAAGCTTGTGGAGGTCGGTATGGGACCTGGAGTCAACATCCCCATGCGCGCGGATAACTACGCCAGCGCTTTCAGCATCCCCAACGTTTACTTCCACGTTGTCACTGCCTACTCCATCCTGCGAAAGGAAGGTGTGCCACTTGGCAAGGGAGATTACTTGGGCACCTTTATGGGACCTTACCTCCCCCAGAAGCAGTGAAACACCCAAGGCTAGCCAGTGAGGCATCCATTAATGTAATGAGGAGCCCAAAAATTGAACCGCTACGGGTTATGAAAAGCGACGGGCTATGAAGATCTGAAAATTGAATAATACATTACTCAAGTGCTCCTCGATTCCTCGATTCTATGCGTATGGTCATGTGAGAAACATTCCATGAGTCCCCAAATACAGGCATTGGCCTCGAAATTTTCCGTTTGAAAATTCAAGTCATAAACTTAGATCAAGAGGATCGAAGATATTCTCCCGTGGTACTAGCAATTTTTGGAATGAGGTAAATTATCACCTCGTAGGAACAAAATTCGTGTTAGATTGAAAGGTTGATGACCTAGTTCTCACCAATGGATAATGGCGAATGCATTTAATACATGTAAATGATCACATCTCCCCCCACTGCGCATCTTGACGGGTCTCACAAATATTTCATCCATTGCCCGGCGTATTCGCGTATTCGCGGCCCCAACACTTGGATGGCTTGTATGCTGTTACATGACTTCATACTAAATCTTGTTGAATAATCAATAAAAGTAAAATTTCCATCTAACTATTGATTTTTTATATCCGGATCTAAGCTTAAGTGGATACCGGCCAACAACTTGAAGGGCCTACTTTGACCCAATGCTGCTGTGTCCAGCCGGGGATTGGTCAACTCCGTGTATAGATATGAAACGAATCCACACGGAGGAATAAAAAAGAACAAAAAGCCACCGATCGGCCAAGTGAGAGCTATAATTCGTTCGATAGTGGATTAAAGTACGGAGACTTATCGAGCCTCTTCAAAATTGACTGCTCAGGTAAAAGCTAAAGTCGTCATGGTGTGGATCCCCGTAGGACGCGGACGCATAAATTGGCATGACGTCAAACAACAAGTTCAGGTTGTGTTTCCTATAGGCTATAAGATCTTTACTTAGCTTCTGTATGAATTGACTTTGCGTTTTCGCATATATTTCAACGTGAAAATGATCGAAACAACTAAGCAGTGGGTAATTGAGAATGGGGATAATGGCTTCGAGGGCCTGGTCTACCGGGAGGCCAAGATCCCTCGGGTGGGAGAGAACGATGTGCTGGTGAAGCTTCACGCAGTTTCGCTAAACTATCGTGACTTGATCATTCCCAAGGTAATATCCGAGTCATTACACAACAAGTATAAATCATTGCATTAACAGTGGTTCTCATTCTTCCTGTAGGGGATGTACCCATTACCGCATCAACTCCCCGTTGTCCCTGCATCCGATGGTGCCGGTGAAGTCATCGAGGTCGGATCCAAAGTGACCGAATTCAAGAAGGGTGATCAAGTGACCACGCTTTTTAACCAAGGCCATCAGTACGGTCCAATCGATATTCCAGGCACACACACAGGGCTGGGTGGTGTGATCGACGGTGCGCTCCGCGAATACGGTGTGTTCGCCGAAAAGGGTCTCGTTAAGGCGGCGAAGAATCTCTCAGCGATTGAAAACAGTACACTTCCCTGTGCGGCTTTGACCAGTTGGAATGCCCTATATGGCCTCAAGCCTTTGAAACCCGGTCAATATGTCTTGGTGCAAGGCACAGGCGGTGTCAGCATGTTCGGATTGCAGGTACGTGCTTGATGAATGAACTCTGGAGTCAATTAATTTAATGCCGAGAACACAACCTCGACATTGTAAAGACTTTGTGACTAACCGCGTGGTGTTTTGCGAATATTATAGTTTGCTAAAGCGGCAGGTGCGACCGTGATCGCGACCACATCTTCCGCGCAAAAGGCCGAGAAGTTGAAGCAGCTGGGTGCGGACTACGTGATCAACTACAAGGAAGATGAGAACTGGGGCGAGACCGCTAAGAAATTGACGCCAGATGGTGCTGGTGTAGATCACATCCTTGAGGTTGGTGGTGCGGGAACCTTGAAGCAGAGCTTTAAGGCCATCAAGTATGAGGGTGTGATCAGTGTGATTGGATTCCTTGGTGGTGCCGACCCGAAGACGCAGCCTAGTATCGTGGACACCTTGGTAAACATTTGCACCGTCCGTGGTGTTTATGTTGGGAGCAAGCAGTTGATGAGAGATATGATTCGTGCCATTGAGGCCAATGACATTCACCCCGTTGTGGATGAGAAGATTTTCACCCTTGATCAGACTCGGGAGGCATACGACTACATGGTAAGTAGCAGATCACTTGGTCTGGTCCCTGCAACGAATAGGTACTAACATGATATACCGCAGTGGGCTCAAAAACACTTCGGAAAATTGGCCATCAAGATCCACTAAATGCCAATGGTAAAATTTGAGGATCTGGATATTACTCGAACAATGATAAATTTTATCCGAGATCGCTAGTAGCTACCTAGGTCTGTGGGGCCGGGAGTATGAGAGGGAACTTAACAGACATGTACATAGTTGCATGTAATAGAGTGCTCTTACTAATAGTTGCAAAGCTCGTTCTTTTTAAAAAAGGTTCACCCCATCAGAAGTCATTGAAATGGGTAAAGAACTATCATGATGTTTGTAGAAGGCTAAGATGTGTGGTTGTAGCCTGGTTTTTGAATGCCCGTTGGGCCATAGGCCATAACTGATGGATATTGAAAATAAGACTGATTTATTCCAAAGTCCGTCTCAGCTGATGCCAATTCGACAGCCGAGGGTTCACTTCGTTTCTCTATGGTATTCCTGCCTCTTGAGTCTTGGGTTGATCAAGCTGGTGGGGATCTTGGCAATGAGCTGGCCCCATACTATGTCCACAACGCTCCATACGCCGCGGCGTCGCGACCGATTTTGATCAGGCGTTAGCGTCAATCCATACTTGTAAGTTATTGTCGAGAGTTGAAGCAAAGTCCGAATGCCGCGCTTTATTGCCTATTTTCCTCTTTCTTTCGATATTGTGGATAGTGTACATTGAACCTGATCGAATTTTGCTTCTAAACGTAAACATAGTACATTATGTACATACTAGGTTGTAGCTTTGGGCATTTGGAGAGAGCTTCCCCGCCATTTTCATCTTGACTTCTCACATCCTACAAACCTCCTAGACCGACATTCCAAAATCCTGCAATCTAGATTCGAACTTAAATTTCATCATTTTGCTGCTTTGGATCACTTCTTAGCGCTGCAGCTACCCAGCTCCGTATCGAATTCCCGTTGGCTCGTTATATACGCATCTGATTACCCCTCATAACCTCCGATGCAGTCAAACACTACAAATAAGACCTCGACCTTTCCCATCGTTGGACCAGCCGATCGTCTTAAAAAATCCCAAACAACTTTTATTCGCCCAGCCCAAATGAGTCTCTTCGCTCGAGTGACATCATACCCGCCTCTAGGGCAACTGACCCCTCTGCAGCGAGGCCAGAACACCTTACGGTCTGAAGAGGGTGATGTGGTGAGTGCATAAATACCCGGTTGTCTTTTCATTATCTCAAATATTCCAATAATGGACAAATAATTGAAAATTTCCCTGTATCATACTGACTCTTATATCAGGTACGATTCACTGTCGTCATTGAGTCTAGCACTTCACTGCCAGAACAATCGTGGGAAGCACAGATCTGGCATAATATCGGCAGCTCGGAATGGAAAGCCCTTCCGCTACAAAGACTGGATTCCTCGCACGCGCCGTTGCTGACAGGCAATGAGGCCGAATATTCTTTCTATCGCTATGTCTTGACAGAGAAGGCTGCGCTTCCTGCTTCTGGTGGACATGCCCAATTTACTGTTCGCTTCCGCACCAACCCCGAAACTGAGTGGCAATGGGTCAATCAGCAGCACTCTGTGAATGATGGCGAGCTCGTCTTTGGCCCTCAGATCTCAGAGCTGACAAAGATATCCGCATCTAATGATTCTTCCCTGGATGCGAAAACGGAGCTTTCCAAGTATATTAATGGTCTTTCTCCCGAGGTGGAAGTTGAATCTCGTCGCAGTGACTGTCCAGGATCCTTGCTCTGGGCGGTCTCTGGAGATGTTGACGCAGCCCAGAAAGGCGTTTCTGGTTTGAAGCAACTCACTCTCGGAACACCTTCGTCTACGATCAAGTACTTCTCTTTGGTACGCATATGGAGCCCGTGGCTGGGTCCTCGTCACGGGAAGGACAAGTTTCAGTTGACGGAAGATGCAATTCTTTGCTCCTTTTTGCGGAATGATGGAACCCATCTCGTCCTGCTAGCCGTTTCGGGCATAAACGATGTATTGACTGTATTCCAGTCTGGCAATGATGGCGAGCTAGTGGTCAATGCCAAGAGTGATAATGCAAAACTAGCAAAATTTCACGTTCTGGTCGCGATAGCGGAGGACTTTGAAGTTGCCATGTCTGCATTGGTTTATGAAGCAAGGAAGGTTGTTAGACCATTTGGTGAATCCACCAATGGTTCTTCTGACGACCAGCCCCCGCTTTCTCCTCCAGCAGAAGACACAGTGATTGTTGAGAAAGATGCAAAAATACAGTGGTTGACCGAGTGGTTTGATGGTTTAACATACTGTACTTGGAACGGCCTTGGCCAGAATTTGACCGAAGAGAAAATTCTAGGGGCATTGGCTGACTTCAAAACACATGGAATCAGTATTGTCAACCTTATAATCGATGACAATTGGCAGAGTCTTGACAACGAAGGCGAATCTCAATTTAAACGGCGCTGGAAACAGTTTGAGGCAAACCCTAAAGCTTTTCCAAAAGGTCTGAAGCAGACCGTTGAGACAATTCGCCGGTCTCACCCTAGCATCCAACATGTCGCTGTCTGGCATGCTTTGCTGGGTTACTGGGGAGGAATCTGCCCCGACGGTGACCTTGCGAAAAAATACAAAACGAAGGAAGTGAAAGTCAAAGATCCTGCTGCCGGAGGCCCCATTGCACATGATATTTCAGACGGCAAAATTCTCGCCATTGACCCCGAGGATATCCAACGCTTCTTTGATGAGTTCTACACCTATCTCACTTCTGTTGGGGTAGACTCTGTCAAGACCGATGCTCAATTCTTCCTCGACCTCCTGGATGATCCGGAGGACCGCAAGCGATTCATGACATCCTACCAAGACGCATGGTCCATTGCATCATTGAAGCACTTTAGCACGCGTGCGATCTCGTGCATGTCATTGATTCCACAGATGATATTCCATTCTCAACTACCAAATAATAAGCCGACAATAGCATTGCGCAACTCGGATGACTTCTTCCCCGAGATTGATTCATCCCATCCGTGGCATGTGTTCTGCAATGCTCACAATGCGCTATTTACTCGGTACCTAAACGCCCTACCAGATTGGGATATGTTCCAGACCAGCCATTCATATGCCTCTTTCCATGCTGCTGCCCGCTGTGTGTCAGGTGGTCCAGTGTATATAACGGACGAACCGGGGAAACATGACCTAGAACTGCTAGGTCAAATGACAGCGCCAACCGTCCAAGGAGGTACTGTGATCCTCCGCCCTAGTGTCATTGGTCGCACAATTGATATCTACCATGACTACAACGAGGGCCATGTTTTGCGAGTAGGAAGCTACACTGGTTGGGCTAAGACTGGCAGCGGAATCCTGGGTTTATTCAATATCCACTCCAGTGAGGCATCGTGTATGATCTCATTAATGGATTTCTCCGGGGTCCATCAGGACTCATGTGGCCAGTATATTATCCGCGCGCACACAAGTGGCAAGGTCACCGAGAGAATGCAACCGATGGCGCAGGACTCCCTCGTGTCTGTCCTTTTACAAGAAAGGGCATGGGAGATTCTTACAGCATACCCGACCCAACCATTCACAATCAAAGGGAGCTATAATTCTAACGAGAGTCTCACCCACGTGGCTGTTCTTGGTTTGCTCGGAAAAATGACTGGCGCTGCTGCGATAATTAGTTCGGATATTTTTGTTGTTGAGAACGGTCGTCTGCGGTTTGATATTCATCTGAAGGCACTTGGCACACTTGGAGTCTACATATCTGATCTCAAAGACCGAGAAATCGCTCGGGATCTGATGGTCATGATTCTAGGACAGCCGGTACCCCAAAAGACCGTATGGAAAGAAGGTGGAGAAGATAGCCAAGTGCTAGCGATCGACGTTCTGGCGGCCTGGAATGCCATGAAACTCAACAGCGGGTGGAGCAATGAAGCTTTCGTACAGATATTTGTTGGCTGAAGAGTTACGCAGCATAGAGCCATAATTTACCAATTCGTTTTTTATTCTGTTTTTCGAAATAAGTCCAGCGAGAAGTCGATCAAAAAGGCCAAGTTGTGCTTGCTTACACGGTACACCTGGGCCCTGGCCCTTGAATCTGATTGTAGAATGCGCCGCATCATTGTTGTTCCGTTATGTCTTATCGGTGCGAATCCGATTATCGCGACCGCGGACAATTTCAATCGCTCCTAAGTTACAATTCCAAGCTCCATTACACTTCTGTCTGCCAACGATCGGCGCAATGCGGTCACGGTCAGTTCCGCTCCTTCGAGCGCAATGGTACAATCCTCGCGCCCTGCAGCCAACACCACACGGAGCACGTAGCTTTTCTCAAGCGACGCAAACAAATACACTTTTCCGCGAACTCCGTCGGCCGGTGTCATTATCGCAACATCCAAAGCTGCTATTACAGCAACAACAACGATTCATTACACAAAACTACCTCAAGCGCATAGAAGATGGCAAGAAGGAGTGGGCAAAGCATGCTGAGGAGATTAAGGCAGGCAAGAGAAAGGACTTTGCTGCTCATCTAGAGGAGCGAGGGCTCCTTCATGATGTTGTTGGGTACGTGACAATTGTTCTACTCTGAACTGGCTTCTATAAAGCCTTTCTCAAATCGAGAAGCTTTTAATTGACATGTTCTGGATCCTAGGGAGCGCGAATTACTACACAAAGTATTTACGGAGAAGAGAGCCGGAATATATGTCGGAATCGATCCCACAGCACCTTCCATGCACGTCGGTCACATGCTACCGTTCATGGTATTGGCCTGGGGATATGTGTGGGGTCTTCCGGTTACATTCTTAGTGAGTTTTGCGGTCACAAGCCTCAGCTGGTTGTTGGTGGATCTTGATTAACAAAGTATAGTTGGGCGGAGCTACATCTCGAGTTGGCGATCCCACCGGTCGATTGAAGGGACGAGAGCAGGTCCACACGTCGGTCCGAAAGGCGAACATGGCGAGCATGCATATGCAGTTGAAGAAGCTGGGCTCAAGCATTGAGGAGTATGGCAGGAAACATGGCTATGAGCGGAAAATGATTTGGAAACGGACTTTGGTCAACAATAACACTTGGTGGAACTCTACTTCTTTTGTTGAAGTCTTGCGTGACCTTGGAGCGTTTATGCGACTTGGACCCATGCTTGGTCGGGATACGTGAGCTTTCTATTCTTGCGATTGCTTGACTATAATTTTCTAACATGCTTTCACAGTGTTAAGAATCGAATGAACCAAGGTGACGGAATGTCCTTTGCAGAGTTCTCGTACCCACTCCTTCAAGGATGGGATTGGTGGCATCTATTCAAGAAAGGAACACAAGTGCAGGTCGGAGGGTCTGATCAGTATGGAAATATTCTGTTTGGAATGGATGCGGTGAAGTCTATCAGTCGCAACACTGCCGATGAGCAAGTTCGAAACCCTCTGGAATCGGAGTTGGACCGTCCCATCGGATTTACCACGCCATTGTTGACATCGGCCTCGGGTGAGAAGTTTGGCAAATCTGCTGGTAATGCCATTTGGCTTGACAAGGACATGACATCTACCTTCGAGCTGTATCAGGTAAGCTCAATGTTCGAATTCTTCAATATTCGTGTCTGACCCTTCACATAGTTCTTCGTTCGCACGCCCGACGACACGGTGGAGCGATATTTGAAGCTGTTTACCTTCATTCCTCTGCCTGAGATTGCCACGCTCATGGAGGAGCAGAATGTTGACCCTTCCAAGCGATTGGCTCAGCATCGCTTGGCCCATGAATTCGTGGAATTGATTCACGGCAAGAAAGAGGCAGAAGCCGTGTCTCTCCAACACCGCCAGCTGTTCCGCCCAAGATCATCGACGGGTCAGCCTTCACCTATGCCTCGGAGCTCCAGCCCCCCTGCTGGCCACGCTCAATCGCCCATGGCTGGTTACAGCACACCGCAATCCGGTAACGCTTATGCTCCCCAAACCAACTTTGCCAACATGCCGAGCGCCAAAGTGATCCTTCCGAAGTCTCTCGTCTACAACCAGCCGTTCAACAAGATTCTATGGTCAGCAGGCCTTGTTGCATCGAAGGGCGAGGGCCACCGCGTGATCCTTAATAATGGTGCTGCTGTGGGCAGTCGTCCTGGAGACAGCGGCCCCATGTCGGATGATCTCGCTTTTACTCCTATTCGGCCCTGGTCTGCTGAGAAGACACAGGAGTTTGTCATTGACGAAAAGCTTCTTATGCTCAAGATGGGCAAGTGGAAGTTCAAAATTGTGGAGATTGTAAGTGACGAGGAGTTCGTCGCCAAGGGACTGACAGCGCCTGGATGGCAATCATCGCCCGATGCTGTGGAATAAGTCCGGAACCCTTGGAATCCAGCATCTCCACTTTGTAATTCTAGTTTTACTCTACACATAGCGTATAGCATCTGTACATTACTTTGCATTGTGAATCATCTTCATCTCTTTTGCATCATTTTTGGGCGGAAAACTGTAAGGAGGTTGTCACTTGTGATACGTACAATCGGACCCGCCAAGACCGCACCACTTTACGCGTCGACGCGATCCGCGCCTGGATCCGCGCCTCCGTCCTTTATCTCTAGACTCTCCCTGACATTTGCGAGTTTGACCTCCACTTGAACAATTTCTATACCCCGTCGATGCTTCAAGTCGGGCTTTATATTTGCATTGCATAGACCTTCATTACCCCTAATTGCATTATAAGTATAATTAGCGAATTGACTGACAATGGCCAAGGCCGATGCCTCATCGCCTAAGGGGACGCCTCCTTCGACCGCGCTGAAGCGAACGACTTCTAGTACCCAGAACATGAAAAGCCAAAAATCAATTTTAGGATTCTTCCAAAAATCCTCCCCCGCGACTCCCTCTTCCGCCAAACCCCGTGAACCTGCGTCGTCCCCCGCACAACGAGCCTCCGAGAAACGCGGTGTTGGTGCGACCAAACAAACACCCACAACGCAGAAAAGAAGCTTCTCGAGTTTCGCCGCGGATTTGAGTCCTGTCCCAAGTAGCGATCTACCTATTCCGGATGAAGCTGAGGAAGATGCCGGTGTAAAGGTTGGTTTCAGATGATTGCGCGCCTAACAATCTGGATGCTGACGACTCTGCCTTTTTTTAACAGACAAAAGGCAATAACGCGCCAGATACCACAATGTCTCCTTCTCGTCGGGTATGTGAAATGTCAACTAACTTATCTATAAAGACCTTATTCTTACCATCCTGATCAGGGCAAGAAGAAGCCGGTCAGCTACAAAGAGTCTGATTCGGAGGGCGAAGAGGACGACGATGTGATCTTCCGTCCGAGCAGGCAGAATGGTCGAGCCAGTAAGAGACAAAGGACTGTCGTGGAGAGTGATGATGATGACTTTGAGGAAGCCGCGGGCGATGCTGGATACTCGGACGATGGTAAGCTCTGCCTCGAGCTAACGAGTAACCCGCGCTGCAACTAACTTGGACACAGAAATGGACGACTTCGTTGTTGCCGATGATTCAGATGAAGACGCTGCGCCCGTACCGAAACGGAAAAGACCTGCCACCCAATCTTCACGCAAGAATTCGAACCAGTCGGCATCTATGCCACCTCCCCCAGCCGACGAGGAAATCGATATCGACATCCCAGAGGGATCGGCTGGCACTGCACAACAGTGGAAGTTTGACCCGGAGAACAATGCGCCTCGAAAAGAGCGTGCCGTCGAATCGAAATCGACACTTAGCACCTCAACCAGAAAAGAAAAGGCCCATACGAAGGAACCAGAGGATCGATACCCCTGGCTTGCAAATATCAAGGACATCGACGGTAACCCTAAGGGTCACCCAGAGTATGATCCTCGGACCATCTATATTCCCCCATTCGCCTGGGCCAAATTCTCGCCTTTCGAAAAACAGTACTGGGAAATCAAACAGAAGTTTTGGGACACTGTTGTGTTCTTCAAGAAGGGAAAGTTTTATGAGCTATACGAGAACGATGCCACTATTGGCCATCAGCTTTTTGATTTGAAACTTACTGATCGAGTCAACATGCGCATGGTTGGTGTTCCTGAGATGAGTTTGTCTCACTGGGCAAATCAATTTGTGGCCAAGGGATTCAAGATTGCTCGTGTTGACCAGTCTGAATCTGCCCTGGGCAAGGAGATGCGCGAGAGAGATGCCAAGAAGGGTGGAAAAGAGGACAAGATTATCAAGCGAGAGCTAGCGTGTGTTCTCACAACCGGTACACTTGTGGAAGGTTCGATGCTTCAGGATGACATGTCCACCTACTGTGTTGCTATTAAGGAGGCCATCGTGGACGACCTCCCTGCCTTTGGTATTGCTTTCGTTGATACCGCAACTGGCCAATTTTTCATGTCTGAGTTCGTGGATGATGTGGATATGACCAAGTTCGAGACCTTCGTTGCGCAGACCCGTCCTCAGGAATTGCTGCTTGAGAAATCTTGTGTTTCGACGAAGACCATGCGAATTCTGAAGAACAACACTGGACCAACCACTCTGTGGAATCACTTGAAGCCGGGCAGAGAATTCTGGGAGGCTGACATAACGCTGAAAGAGCTCGACGCTGCAGAGTACTTCGTATCTCAAGACGATGAGAATGTCAAGGCTTGGCCCGAGACACTCCGTGAGGCCCGAGAGAAGGAGCTAGTTATGTCGGCTTTCGGTGCTCTAGTTCAGTACCTGCGCGTTCTGAAGATTGACAAGGATTTGATCACTATTGGCAATTTCACATGGTACGATCCCATCAAGAAGGCCTCCAGTCTGGTGCTAGACGGTCAGACCTTGATCAACATGGAGATTTTCGCCAACTCCTTTGATGGAGGCGCCGAGGGTACTTTGTTCCAACTTCTCAACTGCTGTATCACACCTTTCGGTAAACGAACATTCAAGCAATGGGTTTGTCACCCGTTGATGGACGCAAAGAGAATAAATGCTCGTCTGGATGCCGTTGACGCCTTGAACGCCGACCCAAGTATTCGAGATCAGTTCTCCTCACAGTTAACTAAGATGCCTGACTTGGAGCGGCTGATCTCTCGAGTCCACGCAGGACAATGCAAGGCCCAGGACTTTGTGCGTGTTCTAGAGGGCTTCGAGCAAATCGATTACACTATGGGTCATCTCAAAGATTCCGGTGCCGGCGAAGGTATCATTGGGCAGTTGATTTCGGGGATGCCCGATCTGACTGAACTTCTGGGGTACTGGAAGACGGCCTTTGATCGACCCAAGGCTAAGGAGAATGGCATCCTCGTCCCAGAGCCTGGTGTTGAAGAAGATTTTGATAACTCGCAAGCGATCATCGAACAGCTGCACAAGGACCTTGATAACGTCCTCAAGAAGGCACGCCGCGATTTGGGGTCTACTTCAATCTGCTACCGTGACAACGGTAAGGAGATCTATCAGCTTGAAGTGCCTGTTAAGGTCAAGAACATTCCCAAGAACTGGGATCAGATGTCTGCCACTAAGCAGGTCAAGCGATACTACTTCCCGGAGCTCCGAAGTCTTATCCGGAAGCTCCAGGAGGCTCAAGAAACGCACGGTCAGATTGTCAAGGAGGTCGCAGGTCGGTTCCATGCTCGCTTTGATGAGCATTACGCCACATGGCTGGCGGCTGTCCGCATCATCTCCCAGCTGGACTGCTTGATTAGTCTGGCGAAGGCGTCTGCCTCGCTGGGTCAGCCTAGCTGCCGACCTGTCTTTGTAGAGGATGAACGAAGCGTTCTGGAATTCGAAGAGCTCCGTCACCCTTGTCTTCTTTCTTCTGTTGAGGACTTCATCCCCAACAACGTTCAGCTTGGTGGAGATAAACCCAATATCGACCTACTTACCGGTGCCAATGCCGCCGGAAAGTCTACCCTTCTCCGCATGGTATGGCTCTCTTATTACTCTCATCCCCCCGAATTATCAGCTAACAGTCCCTAGACATGTGTCGCAGTTATCATGGCGCAGATTGGATGTTATATTCCCTGCCAATCCGCACGACTCACTCCCGTCGACCGCATCATGTCACGTCTTGGAGCCAACGATAACATCTTCGCCGCACAGTCCACCTTCTTCGTCGAACTATCCGAAACCAAGAAGATTCTCTCCGAGGCCACACCCAGATCCCTAGTGATCCTTGACGAGCTGGGTCGTGGAACCAGTTCGTACGACGGTGTCGCTGTCGCACAAGCTGTTCTCCACCACATCGCTACACACATCGGCGCAATGGGCTTCTTCGCAACACATTACCACTCCCTCGCAGCAGAGTTCGAGGGCCACCCTGAAATTGCACCGAAGCGTATGGCAATCCATGTCGATGAAACCGAGCGCCGCGTTACCTTCCTCTACAAACTTGAAAAGGGAGTTGCGGAAGGCAGTTTCGGTATGCATTGTGCATCTATGTGCGGTATCTCCAATAAGGTCATTGAGCGCGCCGAAGAAGCTGCGAAACAGTGGGAGCACACCAGTCGCTTGAAAGAAAGCTTGGAGCGCCGCAAGGGCGGTGGTTATGTTGGCCTAGGTTGGTGGAGTGATGTTGCCTGGGCGTTGCGCGAATCTACTTCCAGTAAAGAGGGTTCTGATGGGGTTACGGACCTCGGCCTTGAGGTTTTGCGCAAAGCGATTGAAGCACTTTGAAAGGGGGTTTTGATGACAATGCTACTGGGCCGTCTCTTATCTTACTTCTTCTTTGGATTAGTTTCATTTTCTCTCCCAATCTTGAGCATCGACCATATCTAGTGTCATGTCTCTTTTGTTCTGATATCTCGGGGTTAAGGCGCGTATGGACTCGGACGGACGTATGTGATGCTCTTTGAATTGAATGTTGATCAATTATCTCGCATTCACAATACCTTACAAGACTTGCAGCTTTAACGTATGATGTATGCCACCTACAAGGTATCTAGAAACCTTTAACATTCTTAGACTGGCGCAGTAATTTCTCGCGATAACGGCTCTTAACAATAAATAAGAAAACCCCACACAAGAAGAACGACGTACGCCGTCCAGGCGACCTGCAATGAGTCAAAAGAGCCATGGACTGTGCTACAAAATGAGGGAAGCAGATCATGGGCTTAATGATTTACGCGATTGGTGACATCCAAGTCAATGCTAAGAATCGAATACACCCGACAACATCATCTACGTCTGCAGAGTTTAAGCGGTTATCATCAAACGAAGGAATTTAGGTTTACGTAGACCCTCCAGCGCGAGGAATCAGATGTAAAGAAAGGGCGGAGAATCAAATCCCAAAGAGAAGACTTAGAATTTGGGAACTAAAAACCGTAAAACATCATGAAGTCCAGCTATTCTGAGGAGCAGCTGCGAACTGACTTCCGAAACAAACAACATAAAAGACAAGACAAGAGACGCCCGTAACTCCGCTTGTGCAACAAAAGAGATTCGAAATCAAAGGTGGCACATGGCCTCCTAACAGGCATTCATAATCTCCTCCACAGGGGGTTGCGAATAATTCGATGTAAACCAACGGATTCCTATTCTCTTGACAATTTCTTTCCGTAGCCAATAGCCTACTTCTTTCCGCCCTTGGAAGGGGTGTTCTTGGTAGGGGTGACGTCTCCGTCGATCCCCTCGTCAAGTACGGACTGATTCGGATCGTTTTCCTTCTCGACTCCTTCAATCAGACGCTCTCGTGCACTGAAGTAGTTGGCTCGAGCAATGGGAGAAGTAGTGTTCACAAGCTCGCCCAGCATCATGAAGTCAAACTGGTAGGGGTGTCAGTCAGGGCATCAAATGAGGATATTTAGGGCCGAAGAAGTGCCAAGTCACGAGGAGTCGATGAGGGATCTGGGTGTGTGAGAGATGGTGACAAGCGGGTTAGGACTAACATGTTCGATGCGCTTAGGACACACAATCGACAAAAGCAGCAAGCGCACCTCAGTGGAGGTCAAGTTGAAGAATTCGGTCTTGTAATCCATGGTGATGTTTATCGTTGGTTTGAAGATAGACTTGAAAACAACTGGGAAGTGGGAAGTTGAATAACGGAGAAGTTAACTAAAGAGAAGTTGGAGGGAAAAGAGGAACAGGTTGAGAAGAATAATGCAGAAATATCGGAGGGGTCGCTGCTGCGTCTCGAGGATGCGGATTTCAGCACACAGGGTAACTTTCAGCGCAGGCTCGGCGCGCAGGCTCGATGCAGAATACAATCCCAAACAGAAGACTTAGAATGCTCAACGCAGGCTCAACGCAGACTCGGCGCAGGCGGCTGGTTTTAGCGTATGCGGACGAGTAAGGGCATCGGAAAAGCCCAATGTTGCATGTCGAGGACTACTAAGTGTATCAAACCATGCAGGAAGTATGTTGGAACACGATATCGCGTCAGCCAAATTATGCATAGAACAAAGTGGCAGCCGTTGGTTTGTGAAGAAACTAGGGTGTGTAGCAAGTTATAGTTCAATCAATTGATGTGGATTTGCTGCAGGAGCATCGAAGGGTGTGTGAACGTCAACCCTAATATCATAAATTTCACCTATTAAATAGTTTAAGAACATACTGTTCTATGAACAAAAGGTATAGTTGGTCATTACCTAACGATTCATTGATCCTGGTGGTTTGCCTTGTATGCGCTGAAAAATGCTGGGCCAAACCTCAGGATAAAATGCCGAAGACTGGCGTCCTGCTTGGCTATGATCGCCAGTATAGAACTGGGTAGGGAGTTTCCCCATCCACCAAGGCCGCTCGACTGGCCTTGTGTTCCGAAAAGTAACTGGGCGGAGTGCATGTTTGTTTGGAACAAGATCACCAACACGGACCTGAATAGTACGAGGAATGGTATTGAACCGCATAGTGTTCAAATAGAGCACAGCTGTTGGTGGTAGATCTTTGGCATAATGAACTGCCGCTTCCCGAGATCTCCGTGCAAAAGCAGGAAGAGCCAGGTGAACAAAGTTGACATAGGGTGCTGATGTGAAAGCAACAAACAGCATGGGCATAGCACCACCAGCAATCACTGTTTACAAGCTTGTTAATTCCGGGCTTGTTGTGACATGGAGCCAAGATAGCCAAGACGGCCAAGACGGCCTAGGAATATCACATACCTAGTGGTGTAATATACCATTCATTTTCATCTGTGTAGCAGGATGGTGCCACAATTAAACATGCTGCACCAAAAAGAAGAATGGTCGATACCCGTAGCATGCCTAAGAACATGGCTCGGCCTGTTCCTCCATAGTAAACCAGTATACGCTCCGGTGGCCCTGCAAAGTCTCGGTTAACATATAACCCATCACTCATCCCCGGTATTTGACGGAATCAAATCACCTCTACGAATATTTGTTTTGGAAGCGCTCGGGGTTGGTACGCGTGCCGATGTTGAGTTTAATTCTTTTGATTCGGGTGCTGCTGGTTCATGGCGCTTGGATGGTCGGGGCACCTGGGATTTGAAACGAACCCATAATTGAGTTCGAAGGTCCCGTTGGACTGATCTCGGAAGCGCCACGCGCAATTGAGGGTGGAGGAGAAGATGCCGCATGATGTTGGAGAAGGTTTGGAGTTGGTCCCCCGAGCGGAAAGCCCGACGATATGACGATCGCGACCGCCTTGGCATTCCTCCTGTTGGAAACCAAGGGAACTGTCAAGACTCAACTCCCTGGACCCCGGCCCCCCATTGCTTCTCATGCCTTGAAGTGCCGAGCAAACTTATCACTCGAGCTGTGTGCTAATATTGCCTGAAAAAAAAGCCATGAGCTCATAGCATTTCGGCCGCTCGTCGTCATGTTTTTGACTTCCTCTAGCCCATGTGGCCGTTTCATACTACTATGCTTGAGCCTACTCCTCCTTCTACGACCTGGACGAGCTTATGAGGAACTATCTGATGAGACACTGAAGACATTGCCACGGCCAAGTGACGAGTTTAATATCCATAACGGGGCCATCTTGTCTCCTATCCTCCAGACTCGTGTACCTGGCACCCCTGGCCACGATGCGGTCCTCGATCACCTAGTCAACTACATACGGACGACTGTGCCCAAATGGGAGATCGAACTCCAAAATTCCACCTCTGAAACACCGGTTTCCCAGGGCAAAGACGTGCCGTTTGTCAACATAATCGCATACCGTGATCCCCCAGGCGCCCCCGTTGGAGACGTTGAACGACTCACATTAGTCGCCCACTATGACAGCAAATTGACCCCGGAGGGCTTCATTGGTGCAATTGACAGTGCTGCACCATGCGCTATGATTATGCATGCAATGCGCACTATTGATATCGCGCTGGACAAAAAATGGGCTGCGATGCGGGAGAAGGGGCTGGACCCTGCCTTCGAGGAAGAGTGCGGCATTCAGGTCCTTTTTCTCGACGGCGAAGAAGCATTTGAAACCTGGACAAGTACAGACTCTCTATACGGGGCACGCTCACTGGCGGAAACCTGGGATCAACAAATGAACCCGGCCATGTCTACATTCAAGACAAAACTGTCCTCTATCTCACTATTCGTTCTTTTGGATTTACTGGGCTCTAAGAGTCCTAATATCATGTCCTTCTACCAGACTACTCACTGGGCTTATCAAAATATGGGTGGCTTGGAACAGCGACTAAGGTCATTGGGTCAATTTAAGTCCTCATCAACCAGTCCATGGTTCATCGATACCTCCAAGGATTCGCATCAAGTTGTCGCTATGGGTGGTATTCAGGACGATCATATTCCTTTCCTGGCGCGAGGCGTGGATATCTTGCACGTTATCGACTTTGCACCATTCAAGGGATTTTCTCATGTCTGGCACACTATCGATGATGATGCAGAGCATCTGGATATGGCTACAGTCGAAGACTGGACCGTTCTCATCACAGCTTTTGCCGCGGAGTGGATGGAATTGGAAGGTTTCCTCGGTCAATCAGCAACCGTGAAAGCACGCATGGCTGAAGATCCCGAAGAGCAAGCCATTCGTCTGAACAAAAAGACTGAATTGTAAGCCTTCTCCGACCCTTACCGCTGGTTGAGCTTTCTTTTTTTAGGCGGTCTCCCTCCCCCTTTTATTTTGCATAAGATACCCCTATACACCAGGCCCCGGACTTGAATTTTACGTCTCATATGAATCATGCTGATTCTCGTGTACAGTTCATAATTGAAGCGAATTGTTATTCTTATCTCGGCAAGCACTGAATTCAGCCAACGCATCACGCATATGTTTATTACTATTAGATACACCTCAGCCTTGGAACAATTATTATACAAAAACATCACTTCGTCATGCTATTGATCCTTCTCAAAGCCCACTTAAAACATGCCCCCAAGGAAGTATCCACTCATTGTTACCAGTCCCCAAGTGGGCTGGAGGATCGAACGCAGAATAGCCGGTCCAGGGCACACTCCCCTTAGACCCCAAGCAATCCCAAATGCCACGGCACCTGCAACAAATCTCCCGTCGATGTCAGCCACCGTTGTCGAGGGAATTCTCCATTTCTCAGCGAGCGTGGGTTTTTTCCCTGGCTTTTCTTTGCCTCCTATTTTCCCGGGGCTGTTCAACAAATATGTCACCAGTGATGGACCGATGCCAAAGACGATGATCAATGCCAAAGAAGGATCGAAGCGAGAGATATCCGTTAGGAAGGCGAAGAACCTCGAAACCTTGGCCGGGTCGGCCATTCCAGTGATGAACAGCCCAACCCCAAACTCCAATCCGGCGAGATAGGAAAACAAGGTTCTTGATGTCTCTGACCGTGGAAGTACCTTCGGTACAACAATCAAATTTGTAATGCTAGAAAATAGTACAGCGCCGATCATGAATGATAACTCTGCTACCGATGGGTAGATTGAATTATAGCAAGGACCTGTTGCACACGGCGGGATACCGCTTCCTCCACTGATATTGGCAGTGACGAGAGCCGTGGTGAAGAACAGAGCCGTCGCAATCATCGAACGCACAGACAGGCGTGACAAGCCACAAAGCATATGCCCTGAAGTACAACCGCGGCCATTCTGCAAAATTCAAAACCAACCACCCGTCAGTGCTTGTGGTCATCGATTCATCAAAGGAAATATCCTTACCTTTGTTCCCCAACCCAAAAGAACGCCTACACCGAATGTTGCAGCTCCGGAAGCCAAGTCAAATGGTGCAGCAGGGTAACTGGGGATGAGAGAGGGGGCCAGGAGCCACACTGGGACCACACTGGACATCAAACCCGCAATGATGGGCACATTATCCCTACTCGGACGATGTATAGAGTCCGATAGCAGGGACGAAATGCCAAAGACCGCACCGTTATGTAGCAGTAGCCCCGAAGAGCTTTGGTAGAGAAGCAGGGCTCCTAGCGTTGTGTGAACCGGGGTGAACATAGTGCGTATCGATGAAGAGTCGTGGAGAGGAAATAGACTTTGACGGGAAATTGGGTGCAAGACGTAGGATCCGGTGGATTGTATGGATGTTCCGCGGAGTTGGGCAAAATGAGAGGCGATTGAGTATTGATAGTCCACCAGGATATTATGGTCTACCATGCATGCACATTCAATAGGAGTAAAAGATGAAAATACTTTGCCTCACTATTCTGGCGACATCAAAGGAATTGCCCGATCCGGGGACCATCATGTGGTCCCCGACCCCCCCCGACCAGAACCCGCATCCCCGATGTGGATCTAGAGGAACTTTGGAAAGGCGATTTTGAGCTTTGGGTTGAAAGGGATGTTGGTCGGGCTTTGCTGGACCGATTTGGAATGACGCATCTGAGTGATGCTTGTTTTATCTCGGGTTACACAGGAGCGCGTGGAGGCAGGGAGTCATATCAAGTAAGGGATGCCGACAGCCTACAGGTCATTAAATCCCCGAACTATACTCCACCGAACAATGGTCATTCAGTCGTAAGTCAGCCCTGGTCGTGGGATATACAACTTGAGTACTAGTTACGACCTCTTCTCTTAGACGTTCGCTATTTTTGTTGCAAACTGGTCGAACCCGTCTACAATGTCGGTATATACATATGACGAATCGCAGGCCATCGTCGTGCTCATTAAAGTACTTCTAGATCCCGGGCTTAGACCACGCTTACTGAGCCTATTGTAGCGCACGGCCCACCTGGAGACCTTGAGTATAAGGCATCAAATGAAGTGGATCCCCTGATACCTGTGGCCTTAGGCACTCATTTTGATGTATATTCTTCGAATCTTCAGTGTTCACCTTTTATGTAAAGCATTGAATTGATTAAATATCTACCATTTGAATAGAATGATTGGTCATGAGGGAACCTGATGATTTGAAGGACTACCTCTATTTCCGTTTTGTCCTTGCTCAATTGAGATATCAGGTACGCTAGTATCCGTGGTCATACTGTAACTCAGTTATCTGAACACTCAGATGCCATCTCAATTCTCTTATTCCTTTCATTCTTCTTTCAATCCCCCCCTTAATTTTATTCTACTCTCCACTATGCACTCACATATACTTATGCATGCTAGTATATTTATTAGGTTCGTCGCCAATCACTCCCTATGTTTCAACATTGCCGTATGAGCATCAAAATGACAAACAGAACAGAGCACGTGGCTTGGAAATCACAGATGACACAGTTTCAGAGAGCTGACAAAATCGAGGCAATGGTCGAATAGAAGGACGCGCGCCGCTGCAGAGTGGTCTGAAAATTTAAAGGAGGCCCTCTGAGGCTCTGACTGGTACTTTAATGTGTCCGCCAACGTGGGGGTTTGGATGCAGGCGGGCCTTCAATCGGGCGAATTTTTGCACAACGACCCGCCGTCATCTCCACATCCATGTGAATGAGTTTCGCCTTTTTTGAAGTCCAGGCAGAAACCCCCAGGGCCCAATCGATTTGAAAGCAAAACAAGGCCGGGTGTAGGCGAATGGCAAGTCGGTTCTCAAACCCAGAGTCTGTCCGTACTATTCACATAAAACTAAGGCACCTCCGACCATAACTCCCAGCCAGTCCGCAACTCAACCGCCCGCGAAAAAGGCCAAGAGATCTGCCTCTGAGCAGGTCCTACCAGCATCTGCAATAGAACGTCATGGGCAAGAACATCATCCGCAGGCCTCTTCCTGTGGAAGGTACGATTTGAAGCGACAAACCATCGACGTTCGAGACCAGATTGCAAAGATGGAACGGGATTACAAAACTACTAACGCTCAAGGAATTTTCAAAACCTCAAATTTTATGCCAATCAATATCCATGGATGAAATTTATATTTTCTACCGTCATTCAATTGATTAGTCACTTATTTATCATTCCATAGTTATCGAATCCATAGTTATCGAATTATGCCGACGCGGAAGGCGACGTAGAAGGTCCCGGGGTATAATTATCAGAGTATTCAGACTTGTCATCGTACTCCTCTGGCGCCAATCTGCGCAGATATCCACCAGCCAGCAACTCCTTCACACTCTTGTACGACAAGAACTGTGTTCCCATACCCGGCTGCTCAAACCACGGGGCAATAGGTCCTAATCCCACCACAAAGCTCTTTGTCACCTGGTAGACATAGTAGTTGTACGGGTAATCGCCATCAAATGTGTTGAGATTGCTTGGAGGAAGCGAACGCTCGATGTAGGGCGCGCCGAGGGGAGCCAGGAAAGAGCCGTACTCGGAGCCAAAGCGGTCGAGCTTCTGTCCTACGGGGAGGGTGGTGTTACCGAGAATGGCACCACCGGCAGTGTTGACAACAAAACCGTTCTGAGGGGGATATTCGTATGAATCTGAGGCGTTGGTGGAACCGGCCCACTTTTCGAGGAATTCCGCAGGGCACAATTTGCCGAATCGCTCGTAGGTTCTGAGCTCGTTGTTGAGGGGGAATTTCTTCGGTGCTGTGACGGGTCCGAGTCGATAGTCTCCACAGACGTAGGTGGTGTTGGTGGAGGTGATTCCGGCGCACGGGTTTGGGTAGCAGTGCTCGGGGATCTTGTACTGTTTGTTCAAAATGTTATTAAACTTCTCGTGGAAAGAAACAGACAAACAAATAAACCGAAAAAGTTTGGCAGGGGGAGAGATATTCATACATCAAGTGCGGAGGTTCGCTTTGCCTGGGGTAACGCAGTGATAGGCGCGGTCAGGGTGCTGAGCACCGCGATAGCTGTCACAAACTTCATATTGGTAGAGTATTTGCAGATTGCTTAGCAAAGGAAGATGTACATGAAGCTTGAGGAACTGAGAGGGGTTCCACCACCGTATTTAAGTTCTTTTTTTTCCCTTGGCCAGGCTGCCGATCGAGTTTTCCAGCTGTATGGCACTAGTGAATCATGTCATCAGAGGCTTCAGAGCTGAAGTTTCGCCAAGAACCCTTGTGACGAACCGGAGGATCATCGCGCGGGACATTTTCAAAAAACTGTCGATCTATTAGCAAGTTTGGACACATTTGGCATCGCTCTTGTGGGGATGGTCCACCAAAGTCAATGGGCCCAACAAAACAGCGGAAGGGAGGCTTGGTACCGCAATTCAGCGTGCTCTTGAGCTGCAATGATGGCACTCGTGGCGTCAAATGTCAGCTGAGAGACATATTCATTGCTTCCAAGATTGAGGGGATTGTAAGTCAGCCTGGTTCTCATGTACACAGCACATATGGCGTGCAGACCCTGAACCCCTAAAAAGCAAGGAACCTCCGAGAGTGGAGTAAATCTACCCGAAAGCTAAAGCTGATCGGCGCCTAGTATGTACCTACACCTGGGGCTTGACCACGCTGCCCGAGGATTTTGGTCATACCATACGGAAATGGCTTTCTTCATCAGTAATAGACGGACAACGAGAAGGAAATTCTGATCATTTTGATGTGTTTTAAGTACGGTGTACTTTTCATGTGCTTGGGAATACGAGCGGAGAAGTCTTAGAGTGGAGTCCTCTCCAAAAATGGACTGGATCTTCATTGAAAGTGGGCATAGTGTGATTGCCCACGCCTGATCTCATCGCCAATCGTGGGACACTCGGCACGGAAGCAGAGCGATCTGTTTTCTTTTGGTTAGCCTCGATGAGATGTGTCTTGCACCAGTCGGTTTGAAAATCCATTTCGACAGGAACCAGACAACAATAAACATCCATACCAATGCATTAAGTAACGATGGATACTTGATCCTATCTTATTAGTCAAGATTCATGACAGCATAGTCTGATTTTGTATATATCAATGCCCGCTGTATGTGCATTTCACACCGCATGTGTATCGAAGATGCGAAGCTTTTGCCCGACCTTTCTTCCGTCCTCGATGTGCTCGACGTTTGACGCGACGGGGCATTTTAGGGATTTTGCGGGCAATGCTGACATGTTCTGCACCAATACCAATCTGGCCCTGTTTGCCCGGCTCCACGGAAAAACTTTTTCTTGGCCCTTTGGGTTGAAGTCGCTTTTTTTTTTTTTTTTTTTCATAAGGAATACATGCAAAACCAGCACTTGTTCCATAATCAAATTGTTCTAAGTAGTAGGTTATTGGTAGGAAGGGTTCTTCGTCGACCGACTTCAAATCTCCTTCACACAAGTTGGATGTAGAAGTTGAAATTGTGCCGAAGGCTGATCTCTCGTCAATTCCTCTTGGAAATTTGTGTCTCACTCACACCTTCGTTGAAAAGACCATCTAGGATTGGCGCCATGGTCAAAAAATAACCGCTCGGGGTGTACGAGAGATAGACTGCGACGACGAGTGAAATGGTTGTCTCTCACAATTGCTGTCAAGATATGTGGTAACTTGACCCGTACTTGAGTGTGGAGAGTACCGAATAGCGCTATGTGATCTATTCAAAGATCGTGCTATCATGATTGATATCTTGCGGCCAGAAATATTCGCCGTCTGTTGCATAGAGCCACATTGACGGGTATTCATCAATGAAGGTCATCAAGGACTGCACGGCGGCATCGAGGATGGATCCGCAGTAGAGTCCACGGGCCTGTCGTTGGCTTGAAAGACGAGCGCGGTGCTTTTGGCCGTGTCACACGAGTGCTCCTGGGGATTCGGATCGAATAGGAGCTTTCCCTCCATCTGGGTAATTCTTCAAGACGAGTCGCAACATAATTCTTTTTCCAGACACGGTCAGTCGACAAGCAAGGCCTTGCAAAGCAGCAAGAAGGCCCTTGGCTTGACGCTTGCGCTGTGTATGGTGAGCCTGGCGGACCATCCCTCAAGTTCACATAAAAAGGTAAGTGTGCAACATTTGGATTCTGCGAATATGACAGAGAATTGCGCCATCGCGGAGGCTGGTTGTATCTGGTTGCCTCGGGGCTGTTGGCAGGCATCGGGGCAAGTAATGGGAGGGTGGGAGTGCCAGAGTGCTGGAAATCTCTCTATCTGATAACCACCCGGCGTTATATTAACTGATGCAAATACGACATCATACTCAATTATCAGTATTATAATTTATCAGTACTAGTAAACATGAGAATTGTGAATCTGACTTTATACAGTCGCTCTTTCCTTAATTTTGCGCATTCCTATTATGGAATGCAGGGACCAGCATATTAACCACTGGCAACATACTACTAGTAGTACTCGGTAGTTTCCTCAATCCCTTCCAACATTTATAACCTTAAAACATCTTTAACTTTTCCATTCTTTTCTTTTCTTCCATTCCTTGCATTTTCAATCTCCATCCCATCTGTCCAGTCGTCTCATCCCCCGCAGCTTGCTCCACTCGCCAGTATGGGTATTACCCATAGCTCAGTCGTTCACGACTGCTTGCTCTCTGCTGTGGGGAACAACGCAAACCTGCTCGCCTTTCAAGGGGATTTTCTGTTTACCTCCAACATTCCTCGCTACAATTTGGAATTTCCCGTCATCCCAACCGCTATCACCTATCCACAGACTACGGAGCAAGTCGCTGCGATTGTCAAATGCGCAGCAACTCACGACATCAAAGTCCAAGCTTATAGTGGAGGCCATAGCTATGCAAATTACGGTATGTATCATTTCATTGGACCCATGACAGGACTAACGAAAGCCTTCATCGTAGGTCTCGGAGGAAATGATGGCGCAGTGGTTGTTCACCTAAAAAATCTTCAGCATTTCGATGTTGACCCGGAGACTCAAATCGCGACTGTTGGCTCTGGCACGCTGCTAGGTGATCTTCATTCGCGTCTTTACCATTCGGGTAGAAGGGCCGTGGCCCACGGAAGCTGCCCTCAGGTAGGCGTCGGCGGTCACTTCACGATCGGTGGCCTGGGTCCAATGTCTCGTGAATGGGGCATGGCTCTCGATCATGTCGCAGAGGTTGAAATAGTTCTCGCAAATTCCAGCGTGGTGAGAGCTTCCAAAGAGCAGAATCAGGACGTTTTCTTTGCGGTGAAAGGTGCTGCAGCCAGTTTCGGAATCGTCACGGAATTCAAGCTCAACACCCATGAAGCGCCCGCGGAAGCCATCCAGTACACATACGAAGTCAACTTCGGAGATGTCTCGGACAAGGCAAAGGTTTTCAAAGACTGGCAGAATCTCATTGCGACCCCGAACATTTCTCGAAAATTCTCCAGCGAGCTTGTGCTGTTCGAAGGTGGCGTCTTGGTGTCTGGCACATTCTTCGGGTCCAAAGAGGAGTTTAATGCTTTCGGATTGGAAAAACACTTTCCAATCAAGGATCATGGCACTACTTTGCACTTGACGGACTGGCTTGGAATGCTCACTAGCCAGGCTGAGGACCTCATACTGACGAGCATGGGCGGTACCCCGGCCCCGTTCTACGCCAAATCGATGCCCTTTACTCCAGAACTGAGCATTACAGATGATGGAGTTGATGCTATGTTCAAGTATATTGCCTCGGCTAAAAAAGACACTGTAGCCTGGTTTGTTATTTTCGACCTGGAGGGTGGTGCTGTGAATGACCACGCTGTGAATGCCACGGCCTATGCTCACCGAGAAGCCTTCATGTGGATGCAGTCTTATGCCATCAGTCTTATCGGTCCTGTCAGTTCCACGACGAAGAAATTCCTCGATGGTTTGAACGACGTTGTCTCTTCTTCCCGTCCTGGAGTATACGGCGCATACCCTGGCTACGTTGATCCCTATATGAAAGATCCACAGAAAGCCTACTGGGGACCAAATCTTGAGAGGCTTCAGAAAATCAAGGCTGCAGTTGATCCAAAAGACACATTTCACAATCCTCAAAGTGTGCAGGCAAGTCTCCACCACTAGAGACCTGTGGGGATTTGTTGACAAGTTGGCCCACCAGGGTTTATGATGAACTGTTACCAGCGGAATTTTGTTGTTATTAATACCCATTATCGATCATTCGCTAGCAATTTCTTGGTTTTGATTTGAATTCATCAAAGTATATAGCATACATATCAGAAAATCCAGTTGCTGGTAGATTACTAATCTCGGACAAAGCCAACTTTAGTAGAAACCCGACATTTGTACTAGTCCTGACTCCTGAGTCCTGACTCCTGTGTGTGCATGAATCTATGGATGTTTGCTTCTTTCAATTGGCATCATCTGGGCACTTCACTCGGAGATTACTAGTAACTGGCAAAACTTTCAATCAGAGCAATTGATCAATTGATGCGCGCAATTTTATGAAGGACTCGCGTCAAACTACAAATGCGAGTTACCAAACATGAAGCGCGCGGCCAGTTCAGACATTCCGGGCGATACATCAGCAGAGGAACGTCAAAGTTTACAGCAAATCCTACCCAGTCTCGGAGCCCCAGTCTCCCCGCCACAACTAAAGAGCAAAATTTACCGACAGGGGCCCAAAGCCACTCAGGCGTTTCCGGCACCGTCCAGCAAGGACCACAGCACGGCTGCTATTGAGGCAGGCGAAGTCGAAGTTACTGACCATCTCAGCATATTTTCCACAAAGTTGCACGAGTTTACTCGCGCTAGTCTGGACTCTCGGCCAACATCACGTCTTCCCATCAAGCAGTGGGCGGATTTGTACCGACGGAACGAGCATCCCGAGGGACATCACTTCGTGATCCACCAGCACGATCACCCGATCGCTGGCCCCCATTATGATTTGCGACTTCAATTTTCAAAAACAAGCTCAGTCAGTTGGTCGATCATGTACGGCCTACCAGGCGACCCGAATAGCGAGCGACTGAACCGGAATGCAATGGAGACTCGAGTTCATTGCCTATGGGTACGTCATAGTCTGCTCCATGCCAAAATATTGTGTTAACCAAATTTATTTATTAGAATCACCTGGTTGAGACCGCTTCTGTCCAAACTGGCAGTGTCATTATCTGGGATACAGGAGAGTATGAAATCTTGCCATATGATGCAGATATATCTCTGCCCGAGACAGATGATTCCAGGTCAGAAGACTCCTGTGATGCACATTTGGCCGAAGAAGTTCTTTCAGAAAGTGACAAGCTGCAGGAATCATTTCGTAATGTATGTGTTGGACTTTCCTTGCGTAAGCATATTTCCCTAACTCTTCGAACAGCGCAAAATCCGCCTCCGCCTTCACGGAACCCGTTTACCGAAGGACTACACGGTCATTTTGCGCATGGACAAAGGTACAGACTACACCCGAACGAACAGGAAAGGCCCCAAGCGACGAAGAAAGCCAGTCGGCCCAGGGCACATTGCACAAAGGCCGCCATCTACGTCCGATTCCGATATTGAACCAACATCGGAATCGGCACACGAGTCGGCTGCCAAAACACCCCAGACAGGGGATGCAGAAGCCACTCATTCCGACAACGATGTCGATATCCAGATTCAAACGAACAACGCATACCCTGGTTCCACAAATACTATCGGGTCCATTCATCAACGCCGCTGGTATCTAAGCATGGATCGAACAAACTCTGGGTTCACGTTAGTGAAGCCACGGAATGAGGACGGGATAACGCCATCGTCTTCCAAAAAGAGGGTGTGGGTTCGGACTCGTAGTAGGGATGGCACAGTAGGTGGATTCGAACCCTTTTTTGTACACGGTCCGGAAGTTGAGCGGAGTATCGTGACGGGGCGTTTAGGAAAAGATGTACTCGGCGATGAGGAAGTTGAAGGATTCGTGCCCAGGCGGGGATGGAGACCTGTTTTGAACTAGAATATCCAACGCCAGTATAGATAGTCAGGGTAGCTTCCAATGGAGCTGTAGTTAAGTTCGGATACCTCAGTGCGCATATCAAACGGAGTTCATTGGGATATGTCCACAATATGTACATCAGTTAGTATGTATGTCATGTTATCGATAAACGATAATCTTCGAAGAAGAAAAGTCATAACGGAGTGCTAAGTAACACAGGGAAGGTAAGAGAAAAAGAAAGCTTTGAGGATGAAACCGGGACGGTAGTAGAAAGCAGAAGAAGAGTCCAAGGGTGCTAGTGGGGGTTGGGAGTAAGTGACGAGGGATATACGATAATAGTCATGAGAAGAAATGATAAAAGGGAAAACAGGTCTGAGTATCAGTCTCCTTGGCTACAGGCATCTCGAGGGGCCACTAAAACATCTATCTAGGTACACGGCCTCGAGTCTTTTTCACCAGATCCAAGTGGACAGACCTACTATTCTTTTCTACTAGTATTAAAACTTCTCGTTCTCTTGGTTGTCAACATACTGAACAGTACGTTCCACGCCATAAAGACAGACCTCAAGGTCCCATCAAACTTGCATCTACTATGATCCATCAAGAAGATTCCACGAAATCAACATCAAAGCCCTGAAATCACAAAGTTGGCCGAGATCATGCGTCACCCCGATTTGCCATTTTCTCTGCCTCTTTATTCCACTTATTTCAATCCCATTTCTCTCGCTTTTTTCAGTGATCGTTGCCAGTGTCTGTATGCTCGCAAATTACGTTGAGTCCATTTTGTATTTGGAGGTGGTCCTCGTGGCAATGGCTGAGTCGGCTGCCTAGCCAGCTTCTTGTTTGGCTCGCTGAACGGTTCCCCAGTCTCAGGATCCACTGGCTCCGATTTGAATATCTTGAGGCTTTCAGTACGAACTTCCTGGCCCGGACTCTGAACGGGATCTTCCTCCGCTTTTCGCTTCTTCAAAGAAGATTGGCCCACGTCACGGCCGAAGGTAGCCTCTCCAAGGAGGGCCTCTGTGACCTCCAAGGATAGTGAGGGCAGCTCAAAAGGCACATCGGAGATTTCGAACAACATATGTATCAGTCTGTTGTTCTTGCCAGGCGTTCCCAACATGGTACAGTCGGTACGGACATCGGAGAGGTAACGCGCTCCGCGTGGCCATGCTCCAAGGACAACACTCTCGGCGATCTTGCCCACAGGGGTAGTTAGCAATGCCAGGTACTCCGACTGAGGCTGCGGCCACTTCATTATTCCCTCTGCCATCTGTCCTCCATGTTCCTCGTAGATTTGTTCAACCAAGTGGACTGTTTCTTCGTTTCGGACATCGCAGAACAGAATCCGCTTCAGGCTTTCGATTGGGAAGTATTGCTTGTAGAGGGCCAGGGCGATGTCGGAAACATGTGGTCCTGTAGTTCGCCGTGCCAGGTCGATGACGATAATGCCTAGGGCAATTACTCCGCCGAACATATCTGCACCATTTTCGTCGCCATCCTGGTGATCGGGAAACACAGTAAGTATGTGGTAGGAGACGGGCCATACAATTCCGAACAGAGTAAGTGCTTCTCCAATGCGGGCATTCAATCGCCATTTTGGGACGTGTTTGAAGGAAAAATCCGTTCCAGCTTCAAGGGCCGATGGCTTGACTTTGCACCCCACAGCTGTTTTCGGTTTCAGCATCCAGTTCATTCGGAAGATCCCGTCAAGTTCGCGTCCACCATATTTGGTGGTGTAGTCTTTGCCTTCAGCTGCCATTTTGGATGAAAGAGCAGAAGTCGTATGAAATGTGCATATGCGGATGTGTGAGAGAGTTTCGAGCTCGGAAGAGGGGTGAGTCTAAATGAGTTGATGATCCGTGCTTGAAACCATTCACGATCAAGCGAAGGCGAGGGGCAGATGATGACTGCCCCGGTGAGATGAAGAACGATGAAGAGGGATGAAGAGAGGAGAAGAGAGAAAGAGCTGGGGAGTGATGGGAGAAGAGGGACCAACATTGAACGCGAGTCGCGACTTTGGAGCACTTGAGGGGGACGCGTCCAAAAGTTTTCAATGATGGAGTTCTAGCTATTGACTGATCGGTTTCCTTTAATCTTGGAAGCAAAATTGAATATTAAAGTAAACAACCTCTGGAACGCGTTGGAAGGCTAAATGATCAATGATATCTTAGTATGTATGCGGGAATCGGAGGGATAATTCAATGTTTACCTGATGCTCAGGATGGTTACTACTAGTAGTGTTATATCTAGATGTAGGTACCTATAGTAGTGCACTTGGTTATGATAGAGAGGAAGTCAACTTGTAAGGCTGTATTGTATTCTCGTAATTGAAACAACTTAGACTTGAATACACGATCTCTTGCCTACTATGGTACGGAAATATCGGGAGAAACCGGTATCGTAAATTAATTACTGTATTACCAAGGTACTAGTATTGATGTATTAATAGGGCGAAGACAATGTAGAGTTATAGTTCCAAATATTAAATACTGGACTTCTTACAGCCCTAATTGAAAACACAGGGTCAATTTGAATAATAAACCTTGGAATCTTCAATCTAAAGATAACTCTGAATCATGATCAGATCGAGGGTTTTAGTGGGATGGATGCATGTTCCTGCAGCTATTAGCACATTGAAACCTATAGGTTCGTCTCTGGGCAAGGGATATGCACATAGTATGCAGACTAGAGAATGACTACTGCTTGTGCTATTCCTAGGGGGGAGTTTAGGCAAAAAAGCTTGAAAGCGCCAGAGCTAAAAAAATAAAGATAAATAAAAATAAAAATAAAAATACAGAGAAAGAGAGAAAAGAGAGAGAAGAGAGAGAAGAGAGAAAAGGAAGCAATTTCCACCAGAGTCAAAGAGGCAATATTTATTAGGATAAAACCGCGGGTTGTTATCATAGACTCGGTTCCGACTAGACCGGAAAGCAGCACTTGACATCTTCCACTCCAAACCAAGCCCGAACAGGTGCCCGCTTAGTATCCACTTGTCCCACTCGGGGTCCCACTCCCACGGGGCTCCGATCATGCATCCTGCAAGCCGGGCCCGTGAGTCATGGAATCAGCCAATAATCGTTTTGCTTATCCCTACACCGTTTTTCTTTTCTCCATCCCGGATCTAAGACCCCATGGGCTTGAACCTTGGGACGCCAACATGCATGGAGATTGCTCTGGTCATGAGGAGTGGCGAGCACTCTGCAATTAAGCATTACGAGGCCTGTGGTATGTCCAGATGGATCAGCATGAAAACATTCAAAGCGAGACAAAAGTGACTCACGATGGCTCATGAGGAATAAGCATCGCTTCTGATTTCCCCGCTCGATGGCGTGGATGCGACATTAGCCATTGCGAATGCGCTATGACTGTTTCGTCGGATTTGAGATAAGCACACCAGAAATTCCCCCTCGAGATTGCATTATTCCACGTCTTATATACACTGGGGCCCTGGCTACCTCTCCCCGGCTTTTCTTTCCCTCCTTTCGTTCCTCTTCCCTTTTCTTTACATCCATTTCTTTCATACGATATGAAGCATGTCCCCTAACGCTTCCATTGTCACGGGCTCAGTTGCCCTGGGAGTAGTTGGTCTTGGCAGCATCAAGGCCATCAAGAGTATTGTCGATCGGATTCTGCTTCGACCTCAATATGACGAAGGCGATTTAGCTATTACTGCCTATCGTGATGAAGACGGTGAGGCGACCGAGGAATCCCTCCGAGCCTTTTCGGATAAATGGCAGCGGGTCGCAATTGTGGTCCTTTCCATCGCCGGTTTATCCATCTCACTGGCACTCGCCATTCTTTCCACTACGAGCGGCAATCTGAATGATACGCTGGTGAATTGGATTCAATTTGCTATCTGGGTATGTATAGGACGAACAAATCAACCAATTAGATTAACTTTTGCCCTTAATCTATGCGAACCCCAATCGAAATTAAAATGCTGACTCGCGTAGGTCTTATTTGCCATCCAAGGGATCGCCTTCTTCACCGAACCTCGTCCGACCACCCGATTCCGATTGGGTCAATTTTCCTTCGGAGCAAGTCTCATATTTATCGCAGTCGCAGGCTTTGAAATTCAACAAGCATGGGTTTCTCACAGTGGTCTGCTCCAAAATCGAACATGGATCGGCCTTGTCGGTGCGAACATCGGCAGTGCTTTCCTACGTGCACTCTTCAGTATTCTTTTACCGCGTCGTCCGAATGTCTATTTCGAAGGTCAAATCGTGGACCAAGAACAGACCGTTTCGACTCTCGGTCGTTACAGCTTCGTCTGGGCTAGTCAACTCCTGACCTTCACGATCGGCCACAAGAATCTGGAGTTGAGCGATTTGCCTAAACTCCGAGCTGAAAAACGCGCCGGTCGTCTCCGCGAAACCTTTGAACGGGCTAAGGGAGGTCGGAAGCTCTGGAAGGGTGTGATGCGCACCCACTGGCGCACCTTTGTGCTCCAGCTCTGTCTAATTGGAATTACTGGATTCCTGACATTTGGCCCTCAAGTTGCGCTATTCAATATTCTCAACTCTCTAGAGGGCCGTGATGACGAGGGTTGGTCTTCTAGTCGCTCTTGGATCTGGGTATTTGCTCTGGGAGGTTTCATGTTTGTTTTCTCGTTCGTCGAGGCGTGGCTCTTCTGGTGTGTTTGTTCCAAGCTGGCGATTCCAATTTACGCAGAACTCACGGCTCTCGTGTTTGCCAAGTCTATGCGCCGAAAGGATGCAAAGTACATAAAAAAGTCAAAGGAAGCTGAAGATTCGCAAGCTTCTGCGAAGGCATTGCTAGCGGAAGACAAGAAAGAGGAAGAAGATGACGACGACGATATCAAGAAAAGTCGCCAGAGTATTGTCAATCTTGCGGCCATAGATGCCCGCCGCATTTCCGACGTCAGTTCTTTCCTGTACTTGATTCCAAGTGCAATTCTCAAAATCATAATCGGGTGTTCATTCCTGGTCAAGATTCTGGGCTGGCAAAGCGCTTTTGCTGGTCTTTCGGTTTCTATCTTCATTGCGCCGGCAAATATCTATGTCACCAAACGATACACATCCGCGCAGGACAGACTCATGAAACATCGAGATCAGAAAATGGCAATTGTCACTGAAGTTCTCCAGGGAATCCGTCAAGTCAAATTCTCGGCGTTGGAAGGCCAGTGGCAGAAAAAGATTGGAATGGTTCGAGAAAACGAGCTGGGTGCCCTATGGACTTCCTTTTTCTATGATGTTTTCCTCATGGCAATTTGGATTCTTGGCCCTATCGCTTTCTCGTCCGTTTCCTTGACTGTCTATGCTATTCTCAATGGCGGGCTATCCGCCTCCGTTGCGTTCACGGCCATTTCTGTTTTCGGTTCTCTGGAAATGGCACTCGCTATTTTGCCAGAAATTATCACCAACCTGCTGGAGGCTATGGTTAGTGCAGATCGCATTGATGAGTACATGAACGCTTCCGAGAAGGTCGTCAACACTGTCCCTGGCGAGAGTATCTCCTTTGAAGATGCCTCGGTAGCCTGGCCGGCGGAACACCATCCTGGAGACAAAGATGAGGCCGATGAGGAAGAGCGATTCCTTCTTCGGGATCTCAATTTCAATCTACCAAAGAATGGTCTGAGTGTGATCTCCGGTCGAACTGGATCCGGAAAGAGTCTTCTTTTGGCTTCTATTCTGGGCGAATGTGACATTCTGGGAGGTACTATCAGAGTACCTGTCCCACCCGCTCTTAAGGATCGATTCGATCACCTGGCTACCAATGCCAATTGGATCATTGACGACGCGATCGCATATGTTGCCCAGATCCCATGGATTGAAAACGCGTCCATCAAAGCAAACATCCTTTTTGGATTGCCATTTAACGAATCCCGCTATAAAAAAGTTCTCTTTGCATGTGCGCTGGAAAAGGATTTGGAGATGCTTCCCGATGGAGAACTGACGGATATTGGAGCAAATGGCGTTAACCTCAGTGGAGGTCAACGCTGGCGTGTATCATTTGCGCGTGCATTATACTCCCGGGCTGGAATTCTTGTCATGGACGATATTTTCAGTGCCCTAGATGCGCATACTGGACGGCATGTCTACGAGCAGGCCTTGACAGGCGAGCTTGGTCAGGGTCGCACTCGTGTTTTGGTGACCCACCACGTCGCCCTTTGTCTCCCTCTCACTGATTATTCCGTACTTTTGGAAAATGGCCGTGTGAAATACGCAGGCACTATTGACGAACTGAGGAAATCTAACCACCTAGATGATATCCTTCGCGAAGAGCAAGCTGCAGAGGAAGCGGATCACAAAGTCCCCGATGATCAAAAGGATGCCGAGGATGTTGACGGCGCAACTCTTCAGAAGGTCATCTCGAACACGTCCCGCCGACGCCAAAGCAGTGCAGCTAATGGAAATGGAAATGCTGCTGCACCACCTAAGGATACACCTAAGAAGTTTGTCGAAGCGGAGGGGAAAGAGAAGGGCTCTGTTCGACTCGATGTCTATAAGACTTACTTTGGAATGGGCGGCCGTGCATTTACATGGGCTGTGACACTCGCAGTTTACCTGTCATATGCTATACTGATGGTTGGACGAGTAAGTTTCAAGATCGAGAATATATTCACAGCAATTTCAAATAGCTAACCTTCCATAGTCATGGTGGATCAGTATCTGGACTAGCTCATCATCTATGACGCACGCTCACTCCGACACGACCATTGCGATGCTACAATACCCTGTGATGCAAATGAATATGTCTGCTCCGTCTGAACATGATCCCAACCTCACTATGTACCTTGGTACATACATCGCTATCTCCGTTGTTGCTTGTATGGTCGGAACAGTTAGATTCTACTGCACTCTGTCTGCAGGCATTCGCGCCTCGAGAAACCTTTTCGACGGCCTGGTGTTTGCCGTGTTACGTGCTCCCCTACGCTGGCTGGATACAGTCCCATTGGGTCGAATCCTTAACCGGTTCACAGGAGACTTCCACGTTATCGATTCACGATTGGGGTACGAAATGGGCTTCTTTTTGGGTGAAGCGCTGGATGTCTGTGGCATTATTGTGGCAGGCATTCTAGTTTCCCCGCTTGTGCTTGCTCTTGCGACCGCGCTACTCATTATCTGCCTCAAGCTGTCCATGACTTATCTTGCTGGTGCTCGTGAGGCTAAGCGTCTGGAGAGCACTGCTAAGAGTCCTGTCCTAGAGCAGTTCGGATCTAGCTTGGCTGGATTGGTGACCATCCGCGCATTCACCAAGAGCGGCGCCTTCATCGACATCATTTACGACAAGATTAATGCTCATGCTCAGTCTTGGTGGGCTGTATGGCTATTCAACCGCTGGTTGGGCATTCGCATGAATGTTGTTGGAGCGATCTTCTCAACTCTCACTGCAGCATTGGTCATCTCTCTCCCTGGTATCTCCGCTTCCATGGCAGGTTTCGCCTTGAGCTTTGCCTTGCAATGCAACTCGGCAATCACATTTGCCCTGCGAACATACTCTAATATCGAACTTAACATGAATGCTACCGAGCGCGTGATTGAATATTCCAACATCGAGCTTGAGAACCAGGGTGGTGCAGATGTACCGGCTGCTTGGCCCACTGAGGGACGCCTAGAGGTCCATGACTTGGTTGTGGGCTATGCGCCAGATCTGCCGCCTGTGCTGAACGGACTCAGTTTCACCGTCGAGAAGAACCAGCGAGTAGGTGTCGTCGGTCGTACAGGTGCCGGTAAATCGTCCCTTACGCTGGCCCTGTTCCGTTTCCTCGAGGCTCGTCAGGGTCATATTTTCATCGATGGCCTGGACGTGGCTAAGATCAAGCTGCATGATCTCCGCAGTCGCCTGGCTATCATTCCCCAGGACCCAGTTCTTTTCTCCGGAACAGTGCGATCCAATCTGGATCCTTTCGATGAGTACAGTGACACTGAACTGACTGATGCCTTGGCCCGTGTACACTTGACTTCGTCGTCTGATGACGAGGCCACCCTCACATCCCAAGATAGACCGTCTGGCAGTACTGGCGCAACCACACCCGATACTGCCACGGTTCAAGCGACTAATTCAAACATTTTCACGTCTCTGTCATCGAACATCTCGGAAGGTGGTCTTAATCTCTCACAGGGTCAGCGACAACTCCTCTGTCTTGCTCGGGCTATTGTCGCTCGTCCTAAGATTATGGTTCTCGACGAGGCCACCTCGGCTGTAGATATGGAGACAGATGCACAAATCCAGCAATCTATTCGGGCAGAGTTTGGTCGCAATGCGACTACGCTGCTTGTCATTGCGCATCGTCTCAGCACAATTGCAGACTTTGACCGCATTCTTGTGTTGGATGCCGGCAAGGCTGTTGAGTTTGCTTCACCTCGGGAGCTGATGGGAATTGAGAACGGAGTATTCAAGAGTCTGGTTGAGAACAGCGGCGAGAGGGACGTCTTAGACAAGATGATTTTCGGTTAGGAATTTTTGGGTAAAGAGCAAAAGCTTTCTTCGGGGTTTCTTCAATGTGATTATACTGGAATTGATAGATTTTAAATCAGGCTGTGAGTATATTGTTATTATATTATTGTTGTTATATGTTGTTATTGTTTATCTTTGTCAAATATGCTAAAAGTATGGATAACAAGGTACACTGTCATAAAGACGTCCATGAATGTCCGGTTACCAACCTTTCACTCAAAGAACAGCCTTTCCAGGACCACATTCTCTCTTCTTCTGCATTGCATTGTATCTTATCTATGGTGTCTTGCCAGTAGATAAACACCTTCAAGTTGATAAGGGTCAGAGATGCCTTCATCGCGTCCGTTGTTTTAACAAGGTGGTGTGCCGAACGCAGATTTCAAACTCCCTTCTCCCGAGTCTTGCAGCCCTTAAGCCCTCAAAAGAGAGGGAGAGCCACAAGCCTCAGGGAGTTGAGATATATCATATAGAACACACTAGGCTTTCATCATTCTAGATAGGAGGTTAGTTTCAGTAATTGAGTGGATTTTGGTGAAACAGGTAGACTCACGAGTATTAAACTTGGAAGGATGAAGAAAGAAGAAAAAAAAAAGCGGTGTTGACCCGCAATTATATGATAACCACCCACGCTAGTCTGCTTTAGGTGGGCGGGTTCGGCGGTTTCTTTTTCTGCCGCTTTTAATTGTCAGACCATCATCAGTTGAACCGTTGACATTTTGACAATACTGCATATTATTCATACATCATGCTGAGTGCGAGCGTCCAGCTGCCAATACGGCTTCGCTCGAGCTTTGCTATTTCCTCTTTGATTCGTGGCTCACGTACAACACCATGTGTTCGATCTATCGCGGCATCGCGGCGTTTCCATCGCCCGGCTTGTCTCCGAGAGCAGCAGTCACCGGAGCTTCCTAGCTTCCTGGAGACTTATAAAAAAGCGGGTTGGTCGCATGTGTATATACTCTTTTAAATCAGAAATATCAATTGCTAATGCGCTTATACTTCTGTAGTGGAATTCCCCCCTGCGACCCATGACTTCGAGTCGTTCCTCTCGCAGGCCGAGCCAAACACTGAAGTCGTCCTGCATGGATACCTAGGCCATAGAGCAGACCTCTCCAAGAAACTCTCCTTTGTACGCCTGACGGACCCAACAATGAAACACAGTTTACAGATCGTCGCATTTGCGAAGAACAACGCTTTCGAACAGCTCAAATCGCTTAACACCCACAGCCCCGTCGCAGTGCGTGGAACCGTGCAAAAGAAAAAGGCAAAGGCAACGGACAGCGAGATTCCCGTCGAGGACACTTGGGAGCTTGCGTTGGAGGAAATCCACCCTTTAAATGACTTCCCCAAGGAGATCATCATGACCCCGGAGACGGTGTTTTCGCCGGAGCACCGGTATCTACAGCTTCGCTCTGACGCCAAGCTGCGTGAAGCGCTTAGGTTCCGAGCTCAGGTTCATAATATCTGTAAACAAGAACTGGAGGGAAACTGCCAGCCACCGTTTACAGAGATTGAGACTCCGTTGCTGTTTAAGTCTACGCCGGAGGGCGCACGGGAGTTCTTGGTTCCTACGCGCCGGCCCGGATTGGCGTATGCCTTGCCGCAGAGTCCGCAGCAGTATAAGCAAATCTTAATGGCTAGTGGCTTGCCACGATACTTCCAGTTTGCACGATGTTTCCGCGACGAAGATCTTCGGGCGGATCGTCAACCTGAATTCACACAGGTATGTTTTGAAGACCAGGACCGAATGCTGGAAACCCCCGTACTCACTTTTGATGTATAGCTTGATCTTGAAATGTCATTTGCCAAGGGCGAGGATGTGATGCGCACAATTGAAGGTGTCATCCGTCGCCTATGGTCCACTTTAATGAAAGATCCTGCCCCGGAGGGCCCTTTCCGCAGAGTTCCTTACCAAGAGGCCATGGCCCGCTATGGATCTGACAAACCAGACACCAGATACGGCATGGAGATCATTAAACTGGACCACGTGCTTCCAATCGACCTCATTGGCAAGATCTCAGACCTCCATGACCCCATCGTCGAGGCTTTCAAGCTCGAGGGTAACGAAAACGATCCAGCCGAGACACACAAGTTCATCAGCCAATTCCTCGACTCACCAGCTGGTGCCCCGTTCAACAGCAACCCCGACGGCGGCCCTGGTGTGTTCGTCTACAATGGCAAACAGCCACTGTGCGGTCTCCAGCCCTTTGGCTTCGAAGCCGCCGAGCAAGTCGAAGAGCTGCTAGATCCCGACCACGGCGATCTAATCATCCTCCAAGCGCGCCCTCGCGCCCCCTTCTCCGGTGGCTCAACGCCAATCGGTGACCTTCGCCGCGCCATCCATGCTTCAGCCGTCTCCTCCGGCTTCAAGCCCGCGCCCACCGGTTTCGACTTCATGTGGGTCGTCGATTTCCCCCTCTTCTCGCCTTCTTCCGACTCCGAGCCCGGCCAGGGCGGCGCTGCTGGCCTCTCATCCACCCACCACCCGTTCACCGCGCCCAAGACCGCCGCAGATGTCGATCTCCTCCTTACAGACCCCACCAAAGTGATTGCAGACCACTACGATCTTGTTGTTAACGGTGTCGAGCTCGGCGGTGGTAGTCGTCGTATCCACGATGCTGCTGTGCAGGAGTTCATTTTCCGTGATATCCTGCAGATGCCCGCTGAGCGTCTTGAGGACTTCTCGCACTTGCTTGATGCTCTGCGCGCGGGCTGTCCTCCACATGCTGGCTTGGCACTGGGATTCGATCGCCTCGTTGCTGTTATGCTGGGTAAGGAGTCTGTGCGGGATGTTATTGCGTTCCCTAAGACAGGTAAAGGTGGTGATGATGCTATGGTTCGTGCGCCTAGTCCTATGACGGCTCAGGCTCTTGAGACATATCATTTGCAGCTGCGGAAGTAGATGCAATTTGTTCGATATAATCTGTGTATACTATGCCAGCGTTCGGCTGCGTGGATCTTATGTATCATTCGCGTTTGTTGGCGGCTTTGTATTATACTTGCACATGTGTACCATACATTTAGATACCCGGTTACAATCTCCTATCAATTCATTGACATCGTGACAACCAGTTGCTAGTATGTCTACGCCTGGATGCAGTGGAAAAAAAGTTTATAATTTCAAAAAGATTGGAGGTAATTCAATTGGCTCCATATGTAGATGTTATACAAGAAGAAAATATGACCAAAAAACGCCAGTCCCAGCCGCTGTATAAATTTGAATCAGACAATTCAAGAAGGAAACAAAAGAGATGTGTGGAAGGGTATGTCTATACCCATAGTCCAACAATGTATACTCAAAACACTGGCCATGAAGTCTATCATGCAGTGGACAAAGCGCTCTTCCGGCTCACCGAGGGGACGGAAGAGGCTTGTGACTGAGCGTCAGTTCCAACAGCTTCGTCCTCATCCTCATAGTACAGATATTCGTCCTCTTCGTCCTCCTCTGGCTGTCCAAAGATTTTCCGCCATACACCATCCCAGAGGCCCTTCTTTGTGACCAGTCCACCGACGAGAAGAATGGGCAGTTGCCAGATACTAGCCCAGAAGAGGCCCCGGGCGGTACCTTGGGCACCTTGGTGTTTCCAAAAGCCGTAGGCCTTAAGAACCAACCAGCCATTGGCGACGGAGCTTCCAACCAAGAAACCATGGCCAACAACACCGACCCACCAAATACCAATGGAGATAGGGAACATTAGCACGGAATACCGTAGTGCAACACGAGCATTCATGGACGGGTTCACCCAGCACAGCATTCTGTATCCCGCCCCCTTGTACTCGTCCCGAATAAGGTGTGAGAGAGCATTGAAGTGAGGGAACTGCCAAGCAAATAAGATACCACCAAGCAACCATCCACCAATGCTGGATTCGCTGAATAGCATGTCACGCCAGGTGTCATGCCCAGTTGTAGCGATTTGACCTTGCGCCGCAATCCAGCCCATCAGCGGTGGGATACCACCAACCACTGCACCAACCCATGTGTTGATAACATGGATACGCTTCAATGGTGTGTACACAAAGGCGTATAGGAATATATTTGTTGCGGACAGGGTGGTTGTTGTTGGGTTGGTTCCAATGTACAAAAGTCCCAGGCCGACAACCGCGGTACCAACGGCAAATAGAAGAGCACCACGGCGCGAGACCAGCCCGCGGACAAGGGGACGATTCCTTGTCCGAGACATCAATGCATCATACTTTGGCTCAAACATCATGTTCAAGGTATTAGCACTGCAACATGAGAGGAATGTGCCCACGGTCAAGTATATCAAGGTCAAGGTTGAGGTCGAGAGAGTTGGGAGTGGGGTCATGGCCGGGTCGAGGGTGAGCAATGAGGAAATAGGGTACATTCCGTATGCAGAGGTAGTAGTGAGAACGATCAGGAAGGAAAGACGAGGCTTCGTCAGAGCGAGATATGCGGCGAATTTGCGGCGGAGGGACGTGGTGGGGAGAGCGGCAGAGATGTTCGACAGTTGCGCTGACGCGTCAAGGGGAATTGACTGCTCCGATTGAGCATTGTTGAGTTCATCCTCCTTCAACCGTTTCCTCCGTCGATGTGGCAGTTCACTCTGGGCAGTTTCAGGCGCAATTGGTTCGGAAGCTGTCTCTGTCGAGCTGTTCGGAGCTGCGGAAGGATTGGAGGGCTCCGAGCTGCTCGACTTGGACTGGGTGCTGGAATTTGACGATGCTAATGACGACAAGAGTGCCCCGGTGGTTTTGGAGCCGTCGGCAAGTCGATTAGGTGAGAAATAGGTTTTGTGGAGGGGTGAGGAGGATCGATTTGCTTTAATGCCGGTTCGTTGGTTCGAGGACGATAGGAAGCCCCGGACTCCCGAGGGGGCTTGGGTCCGTAATTGGGCCAGACATCGTGAATATAAGATCGCCTCTTGAGCCGGCCCCGGCCTTAGTATGGCGGACCGTAAAAGGATCATGGCGCGTCTGGGATCCTTGAAATGTGAAGGAGAGAAAAGTGGAACGATGCGAACTTTCCCCGGCGGCGGCACGGACCAAACCCGCAGTTTGTTCGGCTTCAGGTGTCAGATCTACTCCGTTCTTTTCCGCATCCACGACATCAATTTATTGCATTGCATTGAGGATTATAGGTCAAATAATGTATTTGGAGCTCGGGTGCTCTAATATGGACTGCCGAGGCCATGATCATCGCTTCTAACAAGGATAGTCATTGAAGTTGTTGCTAATGAACTGATTTAAAGATACAGGCTATAGTGTTATTGCAGCTTTTAGATCCAAAGCAGCGTTATCTGAGACCCGGAGTGAACTTTGAATGGTCCTTATAATAATACTCATTAAAAATTCTATCAAGATTCACTCGAATCCATTGTTGGGATGGAACTATACCTCCTTTGTTGATATATTGACTTGGAGCTTTTTTGGCCCTTGAGCCTTGATTATGTCATTCTGTATCTAATCCCGCGGAATGTCAACACTGACATTTTTATCCTGTTCACACACGTTGTCCTCTATACCCACTCACACTATGGATACCCTAAGCAAATCAGTCAACCTGGAGCCCATCCTGGAGCTCCTGCGCCAAATAATTCAGCTGGTGCCCGAACCTATCCACAACCTCATCATCTCGCTGATCGGCGCGTCCTGCCACCGTACCCTTCTCCTCGATCTCGATCTCACCGGAGATCCCGCCTGTACATCGCTCGCCATCTCCAAGGCACTTGGTCTGGCAATCGTTGGTGCCAGTGCGGTGGTCAAGCTTCCTCAGATCATTAAGCTGATCAACTCGCGCTCCTCCGCCGGTGTCTCTGCCGTTTCGTACGCCCTGGAAACTGCCAGTCTGCTCATCACCCTCGCCTACGGTGTGCGCAACCAGTTCCCCTTCACCACATATGGCGAGTCGGCTCTCATTGCCATCCAGGATGTTGCTGTCAGCGTCCTGGTCTTGACCTTCGCTGGACGCTCGGCCGCCGCCGCGACCTTTGTCGCCGTTGTCGCGGCTAGTGTCTATGCGCTGCTTTTCGATCAGACTCTGGTCGATGCGCAGACCATGTCTTACCTGCAGGCCGGTGCGGGTGCTTTGAGTGTTGCGAGCAAGGCTCCTCAGATCTATACCATCTGGCGTGAGGGTGGAACTGGACAGCTGAGCGCTTTCGCGGTACGTTATGCAACGAGGCTTAACTTTTTTTTTTGGATCATCAAACTAACGTTTTTCTTTTTCGTTGCAGATCTTCAACTACCTCGTTGGCTCCCTATCCCGTATCTTCACCACTCTCCAGGAAGTCGACGACAAGTTGATTCTTTATGGCTTCATCTCGGGCTTCACCCTGAATGTGATCCTCGCTGCCCAGATGGTCTACTACTGGAACAGCCCGGTGCCCAAGAAGAAGGTGCCCCGCAAGTCCGCGGACAAGGCTGTCTCAGCCCAAAGCACTGCGGTGCCTAAGTCAAGCTCCAAGTCGCCCACTACCCGACGACGCGGCTAGAAGATTTGCTTAACAATTTTCATGCACTTCATTTGACAAAATTCGTTGTAATTCGTTTAATAATACAATTTCGATTTCAGGCTTCATGCATTTACCCATGAAACCAAAACCAAGTTCTATCCACCATTTAATCCCCATGTATCTGCTATCTACAAATGGATGGCACGGGAATCTCTTTCGTAGATCGTATAGAAAATAACCATAATATGGAAGCGACCATCCCAGAGCACACCTACGGCATCCGCCCAGTAGTCATGTATCTCAAGATATCCCCAAGAGGCACCACGGGCTCAACAGCATGTGCATGATGAACCGCAATATCAAACTCCAACCCAGACCCACCCCCAGACTTCCGATGAACCCCCACAACCTCCATCTCATCCTCCCCTTCCTCATCCTCGTCCTCCTCATCCGACTCCCCCTCATCGTCCTCCAACTCCCTCTTCAACCCCGTAACAACCTCCCGAATACCCCCTGGCCCCTCGCGCTCCTCAAGCGTGAAATTCCCTCCCCAGTTCCTGCGCCGCGCTTCCTGATTCGCTTCAAACGGCGCCCACTCCCAAAGCTCGCTCAGTTCCGCCTCGCTAAGCGGTTTGCTCCCATCCGCGGATGCTGTCAGGGCCAGGCCTGGCCCTGACCCTTGCGCGGGATCTGAACCTGCGATCCGGCCGCGCGCAACCCAGTCTTCGACGCGGGGATCGAGTTTTGTGCGGAGGAGTTGCTCGAGGGTGTTTGCTTGCGTGCGGCCTGGGTACTCGGGGCCTGGGTAGGCTACTAGTGTTGAGAGGAGGTCGCGGTGGTCGGAGAGGTGTTCGGAGACGCTGATGAGGTTATTGGAGATGATGCTTGCTTGGGATTGGAGGGAGGACCTGAGATCGGGATCAGTTAGCTTGGGTGGGAGGTTGTGGTGGAGGGGTTGGTTTTGCGCGTTACCATTGCGGGAGAGGGTCGCTTTGGTTTAGGCTTGCGATTAGGGAGCCCAGGGAGCGAGTCAGTTGGACGAGGCGTTGGCGGGATTGTTCCAGGACTTTTATTTGTTCTTGGTTGAGGGCTGACATTGTTGAGGTTTTTGTGATTTGGAGAGATTGAGGTTGTTTCATGTAGGTCTCATGGAGTCATGGAATAGAGTTGGGGTTTCCGACGAGGAGCTTTCAGTGGGTCCACTCTGGAGCTTGAACTCATACTTCTCTAGGACTCTTCAAATGTTTTCTCAATCCAATATATTCAACGTTCACTTTCTAGATTCATTATTCTCGGTCTTTCTTCTTTCCTCCTCCCAATACGGAAAGTAATACGAAATAAGTTGAGTTATGCAGAACATTCGAATTAAATAACAAATTGTGACTTCAAATTTGCTCGTGGTACAATGTCTTGTTATCCACAATACTGACCATTGCCTCTTCGCCAAACGCAATTCTTGCCTTCATATCTTTAAATCCCACACCCCCAAATCGAACACGCTCATCTTGAAGTAATTTCGCTCGATCTTTTGAATCGAGCTCTCCTTGGTAAGCCGGAGGCGTGTATTCATTGTTATATGTCAGGCCCATAACCGGATCAAACACATTGGGAATTCTTGTACTAGCTCTGAGACAAAGACTGAAAAGTCCCAGTGAGCCAATCACCGCCACAGATCCAGCAAGTGCGCCTATCCACCCATAACGTGGTCGGTATACTTCGGTATGGCTTGTCACCGTAGCATTGGTAGATGCTGCCATAAATGGGGCCTGCCCCATCGCGGGAAACCCCCCGTCGAAGGCAGATGCTATCGTTAAGTTGTATGTTTTCCACATTATGGCCATTCCATCTGCGGGAATATAATCTGGGCCGTAGATGCTCATATTAGACGGAAAGTTGCCAGCGAAGCACGAGGGACACGTAAAAACCTGGAGGGCCGTGTTCAGTAGCATTGATGCCCTTGTGGCAAAAACATCATTGCCGATGGTGGAAAGATTGAAGTATGAGCCCTCCATAATCAACATATCAGTTGATGGAGCTGGAATAGCGGTTGAATTTTGAATAAACAACTCAGACGTGCTTGCTCCTTCCGAGATGGATGGGTCGTCTCCCACTCCAGCCTGTCCTGGCACACTAGATTTTGAAATCAGATCCAAAGCAAAGCCACCCCAATCGTCGAAGCTAGTATAATTTCCACTGCGGTGGTCCGTTCTTGATGATCGAATCTTGGTAGCATTGCATTCATTACCAGCGCATTCGATCTGCGTTTCCACATGCTGCTGGGTGACCTGACAGGTGGTTTGCAGGAACCCTACAAGGTCACTTTTAAAGACTGAGGAGTTGAATACGATCGAACGTGGCCTGGTCATAGATGGGTCCGCCAGTTGTGCGGCTGTAAGCCCGGGGAAAGGGGGCCCGAGAAAAGCAGCAGTTCGGTTATATGCACCTGTAGCACAAATCAGGCCACAGTCCGGACAGGTGACACTCAGTCCACCCCTGTTTCCCACACTAGCAGACATAAACTGCCCTTCTGAGCAGGCAAGCTCCACGTAGGAGGTCTCCACAGTGAATTCGACATCCTCCTTGTCAAGGTTGGCGAGGCCAACAATAGCAATACCGGAAAGTGATGAGTATCGCTCAGGACTGGCAGTTCCGTTAGGCACTTGAAACCATCCATCAGAGTCTGCTTCAGAGGAACTGGGGTCTGGAAGCCGCGGTATTTTCACATTCCCCCATTGGTCTCTCGGTCCTTGTTTCGTGTCCGAACCTTGCATCAAGGCTGCCAAGTACGTATCTCTCGTGGATAAGGGGTACTGGAATTCGTTCTGATCACACACCCAGTTATTTGGAAAGAGGTTTCCCACGGGGCCACTATCCAAGTAGCGAATAGTCCGATGAGATGTACTAGCAGAGTCTGAGTGCTGCACGAGTCTCAGAGTGCTTTGACTCCCCACTGGAGATAAGGCGCATATGACAAAAAGGATCCATATCAGAGGTTTTCTCCAATAGGTGAACACATTCTTGAGTGGATCTGTTATTGAGTTCGTGTTCATCAAATTCCATAGAGACTTGGAGATTGTCAGAAATCCGGTACCACAACCTTGGAAGTAACATTTCAAGGGTAGGCACTTACCTGTAGGGTTGTGCCCTTTTGAGCCTTGAATCTGCCAATGGTCTGGAGAGCCTCAGGAATAATACCCGCAGAAACAAGTGTATATACAGTAGAGCCCTGTATTGATAAATGGCAAGTTAGTAATGGCTTCAAATGTTGAGGAAGAAGCTCCAAGGGTGTGAAATGACTTGGACTAACATATTTCATTGCTTCTTCTATCCCATTCCCTAGGTCGGTACCCGTGGGATGACCATCCATCCAGATTGCCAGGCCAGCAAGTGCTACTCAAGTGCTCAAGGTTAGTGAGACCAAACCTCGTATGTGACATTTGAATTGATGCCAGTGGGGGATGAAATAAAATACCAAGAAACCCAAGAAGAAGGATGCAGAGAACTATCTGTATAAGAACAGAACATGTTGGGCGACACGATCTTCTGAACTGGTTATATTTGACGTCGTCACTGTCATTTTGATATCCGCCACCATTCTCGTGGGGACGCAGGAGACTTGTCGAAGGAGCGTCTCCATGTGGTTGAGAATGAACACTTAGCCGAGGACTGTTGTTTTGAGATTGCAGCAAAACAACTCGGGGGTTCCTGGTATCCATGGTGCCCACAAGATGGGTGTCAAACACAGATCAAGCTTGATTGTATTTCTACGTTTAGGAAACGCTCAGATGCCTGGCCTATAAATACTGTGGATGCATAGACCCTGCAAAGCGACATGTCCCCTTCGAAGGTTGCTTTCCTACTTTTTTCTCTTTATCTCCAGTTTTTGCTTTTTCCAGTATGAGGCTGAGGCCTCCGGGCCCTGGGGCGATGAACCCATGGACCCCACCCCGTATATGTAGGGTAAATGCAGGGTATCTGCAGCACAGGCAACCTTGGGATACATACATGATTCAGATCCTGCACTGAATCTGGTAAGATCACTTGAGTAGCATATTACATAGGACATATGAAAAGGTTGGTCTTATGGTAAAAAATGGAGGTTACCTATCTCAGGAGTCAGGAACATTCAAGCTTGCACATGTGCCAGGGTCAGGTTCAAGTTATTTGATAATCCAGCACTTGAGACGTTGAATGGACATTCAAGCTAAGTCGAACTTGAAGCTCACATGCAAGCTTGAGAGCCTGATATTCCCAGGCAGATTAACATTTTCCAAGTTTTGCTATACAGCCTCATGTGCCAAGGTGTGTATCTTGGCACACGTGCATGCGGTCCAGTAATACATGTAGCTCTGACCTCGGTTGCTGCATGAACACCTGCCTATTTGGGCATGGCTGCACAGTTCAACTATGTAGCCCCCTTTTTACATGCAACTTGATGCAAATGGGATTGACTTGTGACTTGGGAACATTGCTCGTGTTGTCGGTTGATTTGGCAATATGGAAAGATGCCACATGGGAGGTGAGAATTTGAGGATTTGGTCAGAACCCCGAGGTTCTACTTTAAAGTCGCTATGAGTGATCTCAAGTGCTGGAATTGTGATAAAATGTTTTAGACTATGGAAGTGCCACGGCCCACATGTGCAGTTGACTTTCTGGAGATCGGCAGACGGCCCAGCGCCGAGAACAGCATAAAGTATGGGGCCGTTCGGTACACACCACTTGGAACCTTCCAAGCAGCGGGGTAAATCTACCAGGGTTTGAATGTCATCTAAAGTACTCCAGTCAAAAGAATGTTCAAATCTTAAAATAACATCCCAAAGTTCGTTCAGATATTCCAATCAGTTTGATGCGAGTCATACGAGTCACGGGTCGGTCTAAGCTGCCTAAGCTAGCTAGTGCGGTAAGAACCGACAGTATACCCCGACAGCCAGTTGATATCACGTGACAAAATGATGACTCAGATTCCGGTAAAAGGGGCGCTCAAATCGGCGTCCCAGATAGCCATTCTCGGCGCCCAATTTACCGTCAACTAGCGTTAGGTTGTAATATCCCCAAGTAGCAAGTAAGTACCCTTCTCGAGTACTGCTTATGGTGTGTATGCCCCTGCCAATTGAAAGCCTGGATTTACTACACCGATCGTTACTAAGTAAAAAGATTGAAGTTCACCAATGTTGGTAAGCTCTCTCTGAATCCTGCCCAGAATGTGTTTCCCTTATCCATACATGTAGAGGTTGTGGGTTCTGCGCTATACTGGCACGAAACATTATCTACTAAGTACTAGTGATACGCATTCCTGTCTACTTGAAGTCCAGTCATTGCTGCACCTTCAAATGTTGTGGGCTCTGCTGAAGAAGCCAGTTCTGCGCGAGTTTTCCAACATGAATATCGAGGGTAGTGATAACTTATAAGCAATAGGCCCAGTCAGTACTCAGTAGTAGAGTGCCAAGATTGTAGTGGAGTGGAGCATTTTACATAGCATAGGTATACAGTATACATACTATGTACACACTACAGTCACGGTTGTACTATGAGGCCATCGGCAGAAAAGGTCCAGCACTGAAGCATCTAAGATGAAAAGTAAGCTGGAACCCTCACCTATCTATTTTCAAAATGACTGTAGCCAGCCCGAAGGATCAAGCTCACCCAAAAATAGCCTCCCCGCACCCTTATTGGACCCTGAGCCCCTCAACCTCTTGGCGGTGCGTGCTGAAACCCACCCGCCGACCAATCTAAACAGAGCGTGGCGGACAACCAGGCAAAGATGCACAGATACGAGGGCTGATCGGTGTGAAGAAGGTTTTTGGTTGTGGTTATTTTTGGGAATGTGGTGCCTCTGCGTGCCGTGTTTACTTCAAGCGGTTGTTTTTGTAAGGTTTTATGTTGAGGGGAGGCGGAAGCTTGGTTGGGGATAAATACATGGCTCTTTCCCCTAATTTCTGGAGAATTGTGTGCTACCATGCCTCAATCCCAGGAGCATTGACTTGACAAATGCAGGGTCCAAGCTCCCAAGGAGTGATTCTTCGGATTTTACTTTCACTCAAGTTTTACAAAAGTTCATACTTGGAAAGGAAGTTTCTTCAGGGTATGTCTTTTCCATTTCAGTTCGCTACCTTAAAGGTAAAATATTCAAGGAATGTCTTCCGTCTGTCATCCATCCAAGATGATGGGATATGGTATATTCATTGCACGCAAATCAAAACCAGAAAACCAAAAAAACGCCATGGATGAAGGGTCAGGAAGACCCCAAAAGCCAATCATTATTTATCGCCGTCAATTCAACAACATCATGAACATCAACACCAACTCAACACCAACTTTCGCCAGGAGAATACGAGGATCCACGGGCCAGGCTTATTTTTGCTGATTTAAACATCTCCAACATGTTCACTCTCAAACCTCGAACTGCACAGGTGGGTATAAACAGAGCTCATTACATAGGATGCTTTTGGTCTGTACCGATGGCATGAGGAGCCAGCTCGGGACCATCGTGAGGCGCGGGGAAATTCATCTCCGCCGCGTGTTGTTGGACATCCTGCTTGTTCTTCTGGATGCCATACATCTCATGGGCCTGACCATATTGCTCATTGAACCCATTGTGTTGCCCATACCCGGCAGCATGCATCTGCGCATACGCCTGGTAATCAGAGTACATTTGCTCCTGACTCCAATCGCCCTGACCCACCTTGGGTGTGCTGATGGTGGTGTCATTGTAGCGGGCAAACAAGTGGTCTTGGTAGCGGTTTTGCCTGTTGCGCTTTCTGCGGTAGCGGATGAAAAAGTAGCAACAGGTTCCGACGCCAAGACAGATAATCACGAACCCGAGAACGGGGACTGTGATCACCAAGCCTAGGTTTACGTGGGAGGAGCTCGAGCCCGGGGTTGTGAGAGACAGGCTGGAGGGGAGGAGAGATTCTGTGAAGATTCTTGTTGGGGAGACGGCGAATTCATCACCGCTGGTTGTGGGGAAGTGGCAGTTGTATCGGACGGCCTCGAGGACTGGAGTTTGATGGTCAGATGCTGGGGGTTTCACTAATCTCGGCTGCCGTCAGATGGGCACTTACAGTTTGCCAGGTAAATCTGGTTGGTTGTGAGGTTATAGCAGAACTCGCAGGTGTTGATCACGTTGTCTGCAAAGGACGTTGTGTCGCACCATGCACTTAACTCGCCCACAACCGGGTCCTCAATGTCGAACTGCACGGCATCTTGGACTGTCCCGCATGCGACTGGACACGGAGACGAAACGTTGGAGATGCTCTCGGGGTATCCGAAAACGCAGGTTGAGACCGCAAATCGCAGGTTATCTGTTCCACGTTAGCGTTGTGAAACCCGAAAGTTCGCAAAAGAAGCAACTTACAAAGTGCCCAGTTCACATCGGTTTCCCCTGTGGTCGCATCCTCATAGGTGCTTTCTAACTCGCAGGTAATACAGTCTTTGAAGTCCTCTCCTTTCGCTGTGCTGTTGAACGCCGTGTCTACACACGAGATCTCGTCCGCGGTGGTGTTGGTAGAAACACCCCATTTATTACAACTGTCCGTACATGAGGAGCCGGATGTAACTCGTAGGCCCAGCCCAGCTGGGACGAGACTGCCCAGCAAGACCACAGCGGTCAATACCGGCTTCCTGGACTGCCAGAGTCCAAGCATGATCGATGAGAAGCAGACAATCCGGCGTAGGAGGCTGTTCCTTCGACCGCCAGAATAATAAACCAGAATCCAAGCGCCCGGTGATGGCGATCAAGGTTTCATGGGAAAGCTGACAGAGAAAGCGCAAGTCGGAGATTGAGCGTATTCGGGAGGAAAAGCTTCTTTTTTCAGTGTCTGAAAGCTTTCACACCAAAGTCGGGGTGTGACGATTGAGTGGAGTCCACCAGTCGGGAAGAGGCTGGCGGCGACGGAGTGATTCCCCATGCAGTGTGAATTTGTTTGGTGGTTGGTCGAAGAACGTGCCTGTCGAATGAAGCACACCCCTCGCAGGGTGACCACTGGGCGCTTAGAGCTCATCGAAGAGAGGCTGGAGGGGGACCACTCATGGGATTAGTTGCAGACCAACGGTTGGTCGCTGGTGCGATATCAACCAATCATAGATATTGAAGGTGATCCACTCGTAAGGTGACGAGTGTGATGAAGATACGTGAGTGATTGGTGGAGCGGCGGCTGTGACTGTGACACGGAGCTGCAGTCTGCATATGCAGCAAACGAACCGAGCGGGTGTTCAACTTGCAAACCCCCTCATCTCTCATCTTTTTGGAAATTTTGACTGGGTCTCGAAAATGAGTCTATCAGCCCCAAGTTCTAACTGAAAAAAAAAAACGAGAGAAAGGAGAGAGAAAAAGGCTCAGCGCCAAGAGACTTACGTACTAGTGAGAGGAGAATACAAGTTTACTGTTTACCCCGGCGGAGTTGTGATAAATAGTTGCCGAATATCTAGTAGGAATAGCGCAATTCTTCCAGGACTCGCTTACAGCTACAAATCAAAAGACCAAGACCAAGAAATCAATTCCAAATAGAAAGAGATGTGTTTAATCAGACAAGAAACTAACAGGACTCGGTGTCCGAGAAAGAAATTAAATTCACATTAATGGGTAGAAGTTGCATTCCCCCAAATGTGCCAAGTATGAGCCCTGGTCCCTGGAGGGTTATCGAAAACAAAGTTGAAAATTGCCGCCCACGCAAAGAAGAATAAAAACAAAATGCCAATCTTTTCTAAGTAAAATAAAGGAATGAAATAAAAATATGAAAAATCTGTAGACAATCGAATCAACCAAAAAGGTCATCATAGGATGGTACCATCTCTTGTCGAGTCGGAGGGGTAGGTTCGGGCTCTCGGGTCTTTCGACGAGGGACTGGCGGTCGCTTCTCTGCTTGTGCCATTTTCATGGCATGAGAGATAGCCTGTGGTGGATATCTAGGAGTATCCGGAGGGAGAGAAGGCGCAGAGACAGATGATGCTGCGGTATAGCTAGTGCGTCTGGAGCTACCAGCCACGGAGGAAGCTTGTGTGGTTGAGGATTGTATACTCACTCGGCGCATACGAGATGTGATGGATAGCGCCGGCGATTTTGCAGCGCGATCAAAGGAGTCACAGTCATCGCGGACCACGTGTCGTGGAACAGTATCTTCAGTAGCGCAGCCACGTAGAGCCAAGCATCGACTGTCGCCCAAGGTATCGCGTTCCTCGTCCTCTTCGTCGTCATCTTCGTCGCAAGATTCATCGGCAGCTGGATCATCCATGCTGTCTATGTCTGGGATTTCACGCCTTATATCGTGTTGAGTACCATCTATCCCTAAACCCGGGAATGGCGGTCTCAGAGTCGACGTCTTCACAACGGGACGCCGGATATTTGCATCAAAGTATCCCTTGGGGAAGTTCGACCCTTTTTGTATGGACTCTGGTGGATGGTTTTGTTGGATGGCGTGGGGATTGAAACCATCCCAGTCTTGGTTTTGGAGGGGTTGGAGAGGAGGTGAACCATAATGTCGTGAATGATCTGGTTGGAGATGACGAGGGGGCTCTATAGAAGCATTGGCCACAAATCCTGAAGTTTGGTTCCACTGGTTCCAGGACCCCTCGTTGGGGTAACTGATCGCAGGATCACCCCAGCGATCGTGCAGCTCCGTCGAAAGCCTACGCTTCTTCTTGAACCTCTTCATGAAGCTCGCCATGGCTTTGGAAAATTTGCCCATTAGAGCGCCCACTTGGCAGTCAAAACGGGATTCTTCCTTTTTCTTCTTCTTCGTCAGTGGGAGGACAGACCACTCCCCAAAGCGGCACTCATTTCAGGGCTGATCAGATTCCCCCCACAGGGACTGGTTGAGATTGATTCAAAGAATCACCGACGCAGAGCCAACATCAAAGAATGGGAGAAGAAAGATGATCAAGTAGACATGCGCCCGCATATATTGAAATTATATCAACAACAGAAGTCTCTGACGAAGGACTGGCAAACTCCCGCATGATTTGTTGGCTTATCCAAGAAGAGGGAAGATCTTCCGGAGACCTCACGGCTGGTGTTGGAGGGGGCAGTTTCATCCAGCCAGAGTTGAGGAAATCAGGATTGGGGCCCGACACAGTGGTTCAACCCCTCTGGCGGTGGCTCCCCGGGGCGCCACTTGGGATAGCAACGATGCGGATTCTACAGGCAGCGCAAGAGTTGCCTCAGGTAGCAGCGAGTGAACCGCAAGCGCGAGAAATGACTGGGCGAGAGAGACCAACGGGATGTAGTCAAGTGGGAATGCTTCGATGGCTGCAGTACGGGTGCATATAGCCTTGGCTCAAGAGGGGTAAGGGTGGATGTGCCCGCCCCCAAATTTCATCACCCCGGTTCGTCTGATAGCTTGCTCCCTCCTTCCGACAGGAGAAGATTGATGGCGAGTCAAGAGTTAGGTTGCACATACTAGTATGAAATGCACGTTTTCCATCGTCGGCTTGGCGTGGCGCTTGTTTTGGGATCTGCGCCTGCGCAGTATGCCTAGCAGTCCAGAATAGGGAACGAAGATCAGCCTAATGGATACATCTGATCACAGATTGGCCGTTGAAATTTTTCAAGGGGCTTGTCGAGAGGTTGCCTGCTACAACCCAGAACAAAGGGAACCGACGAGGACACACTAGGCTGGGGATATCCCGCCTGACCACTATCACGTCGGGTCATCTTGACGGGTCACTTCGCCGGAAGGAGCTCTGGTAGGAGGAGAAGATTTTGAACCAGCAGGGATTAGAAGAGGGGGTGGACCCCCTTCTCCTCTCTGATCAAAGTTGACAAAAAACCACACTACTATAATGTTTCACTATGGCGTAAGTCTAATCCTTGTCAACAGAGTGGGTTCAGAGAACCCAAAAGTGGAGATTTGCATAGCCAGTGTAAAAGGACGATCTAATAAATTCACCGAGCTTTCACGGGAGCTTAAGGTGATCACTGGTGAGATAGCAAATTGTTGAAATGTTGGTTCGGACTCCGGAGAAACAACAAGGTTGATCGACCCGTCAACCCCCCTTCGGAGCTTAACTAGGCGCCGAGGTCCCCAAGCTCAAATGACCTGAGGTCAACTGGAGAGAAAAAGGGAGAAAAAGGGAAAAAAAGAATGTGGAAGATCGACAAAGGAGGCACAGACCCCCCTGGAGTCTCGATCTTTCAGATGATCAAAGTGGGGAGAAAATCAGTAATTACGAATCCACTCGAGTAAATCATTAGCTCTCCGTAGTCCGTAGTCCGTAGTCCGTAGTCCATACGCAGTGCCAAGTTCCAACCGTACATACGCGCGAACTTACTGCTTTGGTATTAGATAGTCTTGAAAATTGATTTGGAATCAACAAGACAATGTCATTTATAAAATAGGCATAAAAATAAACATGAAATAAACATGAAAAAGGTCCCATTAGAAAGAATTGCTAAAATCCAGCAAGATGATCACCAAAACGCCTCCGCTCCTTCATAACGGTCGTGAACAAGGATCAAAAAAAGCCGTTATAGCCATGCTTTTTAGTAGCCAGAAATTAAAAGATTTCATCACAGAGAAAACGAGGGCCAATAATCCAAAGAAAAAAAGAAAGAGAGAAACATGATTGGCACTCTCTTTCCTTTCCCCTCTTGAAGGCTTGGTTTAACCGAAATTGGTAACTAGCCGCGAAAGAACGGGCTTCTGCCGACGCCGACTTCCTTGGCTATCAGGGCCTGCAGGCATAGGTTCAGAACGACTCCTTTCTCGAACCTCCGACCTCATCACCCGCTGCGGAGCCGAAGCAGCTGGCCGGGATGAAATAGGCATAGCAGTCTGTCGTCTTGCAGACGCCACTGACTCACGCGGTATTCTCGGCGCGGAGTATGGGTCCGGCGCCGGTGGTGGTTGATAGATTGAATGTCGCGGGTTATGATAGTGGACAGCGCTCAAGTGGGAAGATTGTCCCGTCGCGGCCGTGTACGGATAAGCGAGGAGATCGGAGCTTGGAATGGAGTTCGGTCGTATAGGTTGGTATTTTGATGGGTCGTATGTGGGCAGTGGGGGCTGGTCGCAGGAGCTTCGGGGGAGTGGATAGCCATAGCCATAGCCATAGTGGGCCTGGCTTAAGTCCGGAGCAAAAGATGATAGTGGACGGGGATGTGCGGAGCGGGGCCCAGGCGCATGAGATTCGTAGAAGTTGGCTTTGTAGGCAGGTGGCACTTGAAGGTGTTGGTGTTCTAGTTGAGCGGCCTGTTGTTGTTTTCGTTTTGCTCTCTCCTTACGAGAGAAAAGATGCAGGAAACCGCCAGTCACTAGGAGACTAAGGTGTTAGCGTGCTGCGTGCAGTATCACCTCGACGGCCCACGGGGGAGTGCCACTTTACTTGCAAGGATCAATTCAACGCTTGCAGCGACCTACGCCAATGATAATCACCTTTGCTAAAAGGGATCCTTGGTAGATCGTGTGATGAAAGAGAAATTAATTCATAAACACCCCTGCCCAAGGTATTTTTCAAAAAATATTGAAAAAAAAAGGGAAAAAAAAAGAATATTGAAAAACAGAGCTAGTGACTATCACAGTGCAGAGTCACCATTAGCTCCAGGGGAAAAATTGATTATAACTTGGCAACAACACAAATGTGTTGGGCTCCAAAATTGAATTAAGGAAAGTGGAGGATGGATTTCAGATATGAACATGACATTTGGCATATCAGTCCTTGATATATGCTTCAAAAGGTCAATCTTCTCTGACATGACCCTGTTTCAGGAAGTTCCCCATAGTACTATTTTGAGACGAAATGAGGAGTAAATAATGGGCAAAAGAGCCCAAAACAAGCCAAAAGAGGGTAAAAAAAAAGTAAAAAAAGAGTAAAGATAGTATCAGAAAACCCTCAAGGAATCCAAATCCAAAGTCTAAAATAGCAAAGGCCCATAATTAGTCCACTTTTAAGCCCAGTCAAAGCTCCATTCAGCGACCAGCGCATCACGCCAAGACCAGAGGCTTTCGTTCCCTTTGCTTGTTAGGAGCCAAGACTCGCATTACCAAGCCAAAGGAACGTCCATGATACAGCGCATCCGGATTCTCATGGCCCTCGTGCATAACCGTGCATATCAACGAATCACATTCATGCGGTGGCGGAAACCAACACTCATATAGCCTCCTGACTGGTTCGATGTAAGCGCTTCGACCAGACACCCAATCAAAACCCCAGTCAGAACCAACTCCAACTCCAACTCCCATAAAGATCCGATCGGTGATCACCGCCGATCTACATGGACTTCTTATCTGGGGAATATTGAGACGTGCGATGCTGCGGAAATATTGCATTTTGTAAACATGAGCGATTTCTTCGCGTTTCGTTGCAATAATCAACATTATCGTCCCTCACTCTTCAAGACCCTGAAATTATCCCTGGTGCAGCAGTGGTGCTTGTTCAGGGCCAAATCCATTTGGGATTTATGCATACGCGCGGTAAACTGCCACGTCCTGCTCCGTGCAGAGGGGTTCAGCGCAACGCTTTGTCTAACGGGTAGCAATATGAGTAAAACCACACTATACCTTATTTTATGCATCTAGACCCGGGCCATTCGGATATGACAATTATTAAGGGGTGAGCTTTTGTCTTGAACGCAAGGTTGTGCATTAGGACCGTTCCGACTAGCTCTTGTAGGAAGGTCAAATGTAACCCTACAGCACGAACAATTGATTGTCATCTACTAACTTTATCGGGCTTTACAGGTGAGTCATTATAGATTGAGAAAACGTTTTCATTCCGACATGGAAGGTCCTTGAGTACTATATGAAAAAGAAAAGTGGTGGACGCCGCCGACCTAAACGCCTGAATATGCCGAAAGCTCAACGCCGCGCAATGGTCAAAGATCAAATCCCGTAAACCGTAGACACGTAAACGAAGAAACCAAAAAATAAGAAAAATTTAGAAGGCATAATGCATCACAGTCACTCATATAGATCCTCCGGGTCTGGAACCATCGCCAAAGTCATAGGCTTCATCAACGAAGCCCTCCGACGATCAGCCGGAACAAAAGGAGAACTGCCCCTTCTGGGCATCATATCATAGTTTCGCTTGGAGCTCGAGCTATCCGAGCTTTCACCAATACTGGATCGAAGACTGTTACGATCGTCCTCCTGGTGTGAGCCACGGCGAGAGAACCTTTCATCCAATGACTCTGTAAACGAGTCTCGCCGGCTACGAGAGCTGCGGTGGGACATCGCAGACTGACTGCGTGGGGGAGGTGCAGCAGGGATCTCTTTGAGATACCGTCCATTTGTGGGAATGTATTTGAATGGTGCAGTGGTGACCGGCTGCTTTGATTTTTCGGTCGTGTCAAGAGTATAACCTTGTTGAATGGGCTTATAAGCAAAATCAGTTCGCTGTGGTTCTTGCTGGTGCGCATCTCGCTCGGGTTGAGCTTCGCCTCGGAGGTGCTTGGGGCGAGATGCCAGGCGCACAGAAAGACGACCCGGTCGCAGTGTTCCCAGAGAAAGAGAGTTTCGGCGATGGACAGAGGTCAAAGGATGAGCTGGTATGCCCACGGTATCTTCTTCTTCATCATTATTGTCCCTATGAAGGGTATCGTGCCGGTTAGAGGGAGGGTAGTGGGATATATAGCCCGGACCATAAGCCTCTCTCTCTTCTTGTGGTGGACGATGAGGGTTGTTATATTGGTTCCATGATCCATCTGTAGGAACAGAGATGGCCACGTCGCCCCATCTGGTGTGAAGTGGCCTGGGGGAGTCGGGTCTGCGGAACATTGAAAGAGGTTTGTTGACAAGGCCAGTCATAGTGATTATCTTAATGAAACACAAGGAGGGGGCCCACGGCAGTATATATGACCACTCTCCAGTGAGAGAGCAGCAATGAACATTCGAGCGGAAAGATGAATGACGAGAAAAATAATAAAAATGTCCTCAATGAGGGGTAACCAAGATGTTGCAACGCGGCTTGATCAAATACACGGCGCCACGTCCGGGGGCTGACGACAAGGGATCAATAAGCCTGCGAAGAGGGTCTTGGCGAAGGATTCCGTATCCTTGAAGAGTGTGTAGGTCTGCAGGGCAAAGACCAGCATAAAGAGCGGGGGGATGTCTCGGATTGGACGAGGCCTGGACAAGGGTTTGAGGGTTCGGTGGCCACTTGACTCGCAGCAACCGGGGAACAAGCGTGATGGCGTAGGGACTAAAAACAAGGCCACCCGAAGCGAGGGAAAAAAGACAAATAATGAAGCCCCAAGCAACTTTCGTTGTCAATGCAATGAAGCCGGAGGTTGATCACTATTTTTTCCAGAATACATATGGCATTCGAGCAGCGGGAGGCGTCCGGATATAAAGCTTGGTGGATAAGAGACTTGGCCGGTGCTTATTAGACCTCCCGGCGTGCATAACATGAGGCGCTGGAAAGCTGCACAGCTTCCATGAGCAGCTGGACTCGACCGAAACCAATGGGGATCATGCATTACCGCCGGGACGGATGCAGCGTAGTGGAGTTAGCCTGTGCGGTTGACAGGGAAGTTGTTCCTTAATTAGCAAACCTTTCACTCAGAATAGAAGCTAATTAACTTGCATTGACAGTCCGCATTCGGATGTAACACGGTAATGCAGGTAAATTGATCTTTATTTTTAGAATCTCTTGGTAAGCAAAGTCTGCAAATTATCGTCAACTTTCATGTCGGACGAATCTAAATGTGATCTTGTCCAAGTCACGACGCACATTGTTTACATTTTTACAAATCATGATGACCTCATTGTGATAAGCAGCCATCGTTTTGTTCAATAAAACAAAAATAGTATATTGCCATGGCAAAGAGAAGTTATTCGCGGTTAAGCACAAAAAAAATCGAATCCACTTGCAAGGGTAGCTAGTATCAGCCGTCATGGATAACATTCAAAACTTTCAAGCCATCTATACGGGTAATTCCCTCCACAAAAAAAAACCAAACAAACAAAAAGAAATCTTGGGAATAGGTCACCGGTAAATTCAATCTATGAGTCGGGACCTGAAGAACTGTACAACACGTCGTGTATAGACGTTTTCACCAGATAGACCTCAACGGCTCCTGGCTGCGTCGGTGCTGGCGTGCGCTAATGGACACGGGGGAATAATTTTAGAAAGCGGTGGGAGCGGATCCAGTTGGGATAGGACCGGTAGGGGTAGGTCCAGTGGGGATAGGACCCGAGGGGGCAGATCCAAAGGGAGGAGGACCGCCGAATTGACGCTTCTCAAATCCGCCAGTGGGCTGGGGACCAGGGAAACCGCTAGGAGTACCGGAGGGATGGAAACCGTCGAACTGACGCTTCTCAAAATCGCCAGTTGGTAGGGGACCAGGGAAGCCGCTAGGGGTACCGGAAGGAGCAGCGCGAGTGGGGGCAGGGCCAGAAGGAGGAGGACCGCCGAACTGACGCTTCTCAAAGCTGCCAGGGCCACCAGTGGGCTCGGGGATGGGAAGACTGAAAGAAGAAGGGAAACCACCGAATTGGCGCTTCTCAAAATTGCCGAATCCACCAGAGGGCTCAGGGATGGGGAGGCTGAAAGAAGAAGGGAAGCCACCGAACTGACGCTTCTCGAAGTCGCCAGTGGGCTGAGGACCAGGGAAGCCGCTAGGAGTGCCAGAAGGGGGAGGACCCGAGGGTTGGAAACCACCGAACTGACGCTTCTCAAACTCGCCGGTGGGCAGAGGAACGGGGAAGCTGCTGGGGGTGCCAGTGGGAGGAGGTCCGGAAGGAGGACCAGTAGGCTGAGGCTCACCCTGGGGAGCGGGAAGAGCGAGGGCACAGCCCACCAAGCCCATGACAGCGATACTGTACTTCATTATGAAAAGATTGATTGAGGAGTGGATCGATATGGGAAAAGAGAGGATGGAATTGGATCAAGAACTGAGTACAATCTTGATCAGGTGTATAGTTGGATGAAGAGCAGCAGAGAGGGCGGATGGAAGCTTCTTTATAAAATCATTTGGTGGATAGAGCCCAGCCTCAAATTCCGGGTCCTCAACCCCCCATGACTGAAAGAGACTCCGGGATCGGGCAATGATCTCAAAACTTTGCCTCTGTCCGTGGCTGGGCCGCCATATCCACGAGAAGGCGGGTGTTGATCCCTGTGGCCTGAGGAAGGTGTGGGTCAGGAACGAGGCAAAGGTCAAAAATCAGAAGGAATCGGCACTTCAATTTAGGGTTGAGATATTCATCCCCAGCCTATGGCGTGATAGCTGCTGGCCAGACGACCAGGCAACGGCCAGCTTCCTGTTTCAGACAAAGAAAACAAAGGAAAAGTGGATTCCTTGCCTGACAGAACAAGGAAGGTATCGGCACTTCGCTTAAGATGCTTGAACGGGCTCCGTGATGCGGCCATGGTGTGACGATCATGTTCCGTGTATATCAGCAGTGCCGGAGCGGGCTGACAGGATCATGTTTCCCCATTGCAGATGGTCAGGGCCACTTACCGGATCGGGGTGGATAAGCTCAACTAAGCATCCATGGAACCGACCGGACTAAGTCAATAGTGCCGGCGAGCTTAATTTCTTCACCGAACAAAGCGACTTGTTTCTTTGACTTTCGGGCCTGTTTCTGTACACGGCAAGGCCATTGAATCCGTAGATGATTCTGCCGAGTCCGAAATTGCGCCATGGGACGTTCAATGGTCGTTTGAAGGCAAAGATATTGCCCAGCCACATGAGTTGATGGCCTCTGGTTCTGATCTCATTATTCAATGCCATGAGATCATTCTAACTTTGCCACCTCATAATTTGATACAGTCCCTGTATCAGGGAAACAGCAATTCATGCTTGGTGGATTCAGCCATGGGCATTGTGGACATGTGTTGAGGCCTTTTCAGGGAAAATGATCGACGTTTCCACTGATTGATAAAGAAACGGCCAATGGATCCCCTTAATACGAGAGGATCGGCGACGAGTGGAACCAGCTCGGCCGCAATTTGGCTGTTCGGCATTTTGCAAGGGGCCTGAAACAAGAACTTGCCTTTCGGGGTTACCAAGCATGTTCTTTCTTGCACAGAGCACGTCAAAGACACACCACCAGGAAAGACCCTGAGAGGCTTCGAAAGATGTGATGTCTGGCTCTGAAAAATGGTGTTTTTAGATGTCGTGCTCACCTGGAGGGCTAGACGATGCACATGTTTACTTGGAAACACTGGCGGAGCAGACCCTGTTTCATGGAGAAGTTGAATCTGGTACGGAGTGCATGTCGGGATATTGCTTTGGAATATTTCCACTTTTCTCTGGAATCTGGATGAATGTCGTCGTAAGCCTTTTTTTTTCTTTGGGGCTAGCGTAAGCGGGTCCTTGCAGTCTAAACCTCTCAAAATGTGTTTAGCTCCAACAGTGGGTCCATGACTTCAGAGATCGGCTTATGAATGGGGACACAGGGTTGATCCAGCTGGTGTGTTTTGCTGGTCTTTAATGAGCAATGCAGAAGGTCGAATGGCAAGAAACGAGACACCACGTGTGAGCTCTTTGAAGTTGGCCAGAGAAGTCGTTTAGTAGAAAATGAGTGTACATATAACCAGATGTACATACATGTAGCAGCAGGATTCACCAGTATCTGTTAGATGATGTATCAGATAATATCCTATGTTGTACATTATCCAACCACAACGCCGATGCTTCCCCTTCTCGGATTTTCGGCCTCCACCCACCACCCTTTCGCTGACCACTGCGCAATGTGGCCGCCAAGTTTTTCGATCACATACTAGCCTCTTCTGCGGACACAGCGCCAAGAGCGGAAAATCTCGTACAGATAGCTGAAATTGGCAAAAAGTATCAGTTAAACGAAATGGTTGTTTGACCGAAGTCAGGGACATTTGAATCTAAAAACCTTATTATTTACATTGTCAAAGCCCATATCTGTCATACTTCAGATACATGTAGCCACCCGAGGGCTTCGATGTCAGCTGTGTCTAGGTAATCTCAACAAAATGGTATCCCGAAAATCTGGACCGATCAAAATGTTCTAAGCAAAAAGGGTGTCATAAAATGGCGATTCATAGACTGTGGTGGTCATAGCGGTCATGTACGGAGGAGGTAAGCGAGGTGATATGTATGTGAGAAGCCTTCCCGTCCGATTGGCTTGAGGCTGGGAGAAACTCTTGAACTTCAAGTTGCATGGAAGCATTCAGGTAAAGTTCGACCGCTAGCCCCAATATCTCCCCGCAGGGGACTTGTTCGTCGGGTGTGCGGAATATATTCAGTGGTGCGGTTTACGTGAGATGGGATCAGGACAGGTCGGGTGGACGCTTGGCGTCATGCTGAGTAGGTGACGGGATGAAGGAGACAATGCCATTGAGATTTCTCTGGCTGACGGCCCCAAGACCTGCTTGGGGGAGACTTGTCGGCCGGAGGCGGAGCGTTGTGGCCTGCTAGAGAAAGATGATCGCCGAGAGCGAACAGGAGAAGGTGTTCCTTGAGCTGAATATTCTTCGTGGGATGATGCATCGAAAGAGTCTCGGGCTCGGCGTTGCCGAGGGTGGCCAGAGATGGGAAGACCAGACTCCTCTTCTTCCGCGTCGCTACCGGATCCAATCGCAAATACAGCACCACCAAAGGATATTGATGATCGGCGGTGGTGGTGGGGCTTTGGACGAGGCGGCACGGAGATTAAATTGTTGGATAGCCCAATCTGTGGGGTTTCAAGCGACACAGTACTCCTTGCTTTGCGAAGCTGTCGGGTGTTTTGACCTCTCGATGAACCCCTTGATCGCGTTCTCTCCAACTCGGGGCTGTGGGAGCCTCTCCTCCGATTTTGTAAGCGCCCTCTATTTGCGTTGCTGTCTATGGAGCCTGGTGGGTGTTGGAAAGAGCTTTTCAAACGCATGTCGACTTGGCCCGGGCTGAAGGCCACGCGAGCCCGCATCTGCTGAATGGCTTGGTCAAGGGCAAGTTCAATAGCACAGTGGTTCCGAAGACGGCTTAGCCGGGGCCATGTTGCTCGCTCGCCACTCAAACAGGCCTCTAGCATGAACTCTGTTGTCGGGTTCTCCAATATCCGCGGGAAATTGGAGGAAATCAATTCAGGGTAGATGTTGATGTCACCGCTGTACTTTTGGTTCACAATTGCCGCGACTTTGGTCAGAGAAGTTGGAAACACTCCAAGCTCTAAAAGAACATTCATTCGGTGCAACACTTCGTCCTTTGCCAGATGCGTCATTGTGTTGACCCACCGAGGAACAAACGATAATCCCTGTTGAAGTTCCTTGGTAGGTCCGTTCTCCTTGGCTAGAAATGGTACGACGTGAGGATTTACTTGTGACACGATGAAGTGGTTCACATTGAACATTTCCGATAGTCGTGTCATGGGAAGATCCCCATCAACCGAGCCATCGATGTACTCTCGGTGCAAATCGTTCCACGGAACTGGTAGGCCTGAGATTGGATCCTTGGCCATCAAGGTGTATGGTCGAAAGACCAGTGGCACTGAACAGGATACCGCACTGGAGATATGTCAGACAAAAAATCGATGTCAACTTGGAAAAGAGGTCAAGACTTACACAGCAGACCAGATCATCACATTCGGAGCTGAAATGTAGTTCAGCAGTCGTGGAAGCTCATACATGCCGGCACTCGACACGCAGATGTTCAAGATTCTGCGTGTCCGGTTGTATGCCTCTTGGAAGGTGATATCCCCTAGCCAAGCTCGCATAGTATTTGCCAAGTGGGAGATATCGAGAAAAGACCCAAACTTCAGAAATCGGGCCGTCTTCTGGAAAATGTTCTCTTCTCGTCCCGCTTCGTTGAATACATCGAATTTACCATGAGCATAGGTGTCAAGAAGCCCTGGTAGTTCATCATCCTTGCGAGTGCAGAATACAGCACACACAATACTGCCTGCAGATGCGCCTGAAATAATGCGAGGGATGAGGTTAGACTCGTACAAGGCCTTGAGCACACCTATATGGTTCATTCCAAAGGTAGCACCTCCAGAGAAAAGTAACGCGCTGCGACCGAATGCTTGCCGGGCTGCCAGCAGCTGATCCAGGATGTACTTCAATTCCAATCCATCGCAGCGATTATACACCGACAGATCCACCAAGTTCGTGATCGTCTCAAGCGCCGTGGTGATATATCGATCAATCAGATCCTTGGTCCCAATATGTGAGTGGCGATAAAGCGATGCATTGCTCATCATCCCCAGATCCCGACTGAGCGCGGTCCGAACCAAAAATAGCATGCGGCCCACGTCACAGCTGATGCGCGCCTCCTCTAGTTCTCGTAGTCGTTCCTGTACCAGCTCAGGATTGTATTCGGGGCATTCGAAAGTATGTTTCCAGATGTTGTTTTCTTCTAGTACATCGAGCTCGTTGGCGCAGCTACACCATTCCTCGTACGACACTGCCTGCAGTCAAAGTCACGATTAGCATGGTGACGCAACAGATGCAACCGTCCGGTCAGGTACCGAGCTGCCACGCTTGTGATATTTTTTTTTCGGAAAAAGCACTGACATTTTTTATTTTCAAGTACAACACCTGTTTCCGATCCTCAATATCTGCCAGGTGTTGCCGTTCTTCGGCCGAGGGTCCACTGCGGTAGGCACCAAGTGTGTCGCCAGCCCAATTCCATGAGTCCTTCACTATTGACGAGACTACTGGTATGGAGATAGCCCTGCGCAGGGAACGACGGGGCGGCGAAGGAATCGGATTCGAGTCATGATTGGAGTAACATTTCGAATGGGCTATTGCGGAGTCGCCTAATACCGATATTGAAGGCTTGTGCATCGGGAACGCGCCATTCGGGTCTGCGATTTAGTTTGAGATCCAGATTATGAAGAGATTGAATAAAAACTGATTCGCAAGATCACAAACTCATACATAAATCGAAATGAAAAATGAAGAGTCAAAGACTAAAGAAAAGCAAAGAATCAAGGGCGGTCTGAAGAACGTCACGAGGACCAATTGTAACCCACTTTATCCACCCGATGACCCCAACTTTTCCAAACCCCAGCCTGATGTGGATTCCCCCACGCTTAGGCAGATTAGGTTGCAAAACAAGGACTTCGAAAGTACTACGACGCTATTCATAGATCATGCAAGATAATTAAAGTGCACTAAATGACTCGGAGATAACCTGAGAAGTCAACAACTACATATGATTCATATGATCTTCCTGTCATCTGGACAAGAATTATCGAAAATTTGAAAGATAATCCCTGGATGTTCACATGCAGGCATGTGAGAGAGCGGGACACTTTTAAGAACGCCACGGAGTATGCGAAGTAAGTCTATGCAGGGAATCATCCGTCGATCCTGGGCTTATGCTCGCGAGGATCGAAAGATCATATAGAGTTCAGCTCATCAATCTATACAACTTGCTGAAGTAAAAAAAAAAAAAAAAAAAAAAAAAAAGAAAAGGTAACAGAAACCTGACTGTAGTAAGAAAATAAATAAAATCCAAGTCACGTCAAATCAAATCAAACCTTTCAGCCGGGCTACTCGTCAAATGCATAGCCTCGGAGCCATTCCCGCAGTATCTCTCTCGCCTCTTGCTCCACTCCATCTTCTCGCCAAAAATGCCCCGCGTTCTCAATCTCACATCCCCGGAACTGACTATGCGGCATGCGGCCTAACTCGGCTGACCACCGCCGCAATTTCCCCACGGAAGTAAAGGTGTCATCATCCCCAAATAACGCCAGTGTCCGGTGCACACTCAGCTGGTCGGCTGGACGAGCGGGTCGGGCCTGAGCTGACCGGTCCCCCACATTTACCGAGAGCGTGGTGAATACCGTCAGAAAAGAACTAACAGGAAACAACAAGGGTGACACAAGAAGATAAGAGATCAAGGTTGACGCGTGGAACCCCTCGTCATCACGACCCTGTGGCCTTGCTGCTACATAACCTGGTATTGTCGCAGCAGCGATCTTTCTTGCCTCTCTACCAATCCGATCAATGGGCGTGTCCGGAGATACCGTAGTGCCGACGCCAGGGCCGGGTTTGAATAGGTCAATCATGACATCAAGGGTCGGGGCATGCGAGGCAATCATGGACCCGTAGGAGTACCCACCGAGTATGAGATCGATGCCTCTGTCTCGGTCGCCCTCTACCCTGGATCCCTGTGTCGATTTCAAAGCATGCAGATAGTGTAGCATAAACCCATAGAATGAAGTATAATCGCCTAGTTCGGGTTTGCCGGTCCAGCTAGTCTGTCCTTCGGACCCTCCAGCTCCCCTGAAAATAATGTTAGCCGTCAACCCTGCACCATGCACACCAACTCACAGATAGGGTGTTACCGGAAGTTAAAGGTTCCCACGACAAAGCCCGCATTTTGGAGCTCTCCGCCGATAAAGCTGACCACGGGGTCATCGTAGCTGCCACCCAGTGGTGCGTAGGGGTGGGCGAAGATGGCTCCTTGAATGTTGTTTGGAGCTGTGGATTCTATATTTTCCAAGTGGCGGGGCAGATAAACATGACATTCGAGTTGACGGCCATCATGTATTGAAGGAATAGAAAAGGAGAAAGTAGGCCTGGAAAGATGGTGCATTATGAGTATGTAGATTGGCCTTTTCCAGCAGCTCACTTTTCTCCGATTCAAATTCTGGAAGTGACGAAGCTCCGATGTGGTTTTTTTGAGCTGAACATTTGAATGTTCCAGCTTCCGCCCGAACCCTCCTACATCGATCGATGCACACATGGGTGGTACACTTGTATGACAAACAATAAACAACCTTGGTTTGAAACATTAGGTATTCCTAATAACTGTTTTATACTCCTCTTGTTTATGTGCTTTTTTGTAAACCAGTTGACCTGGGCGCTTCGCGTACCTGGTACCTACACCTACATACATAAAGGGGCTTGAGATTAAATTTGATGATTTGACTGCATGTGGAGAAAAGAACACTTGAAAAGAGATTAAATGTGTATGTAATTTGTGGCTATATATCCATATAAGTATTATAACCAGCCCTCAAGCTGGTGGCTTTCAATGTTATGACTCAAGAAGCCATGCTGGGTCGGGCTCATCATCTTCTGACCTGGATGCTGGGTCTGTATGATGGTCATACTCATCCTTCAATAAATCTGCCGGTGGATCAGAGTCATGGTCCAATTGGTCCACAGGAGATTCGGCCTGCGCGTTCGTGGTCTCCTCTGGGGCTTGGGCTTGTTGAGTTGACGGCGATGAGGCGATTGGCGCCTCTGGCACAGGCGAGCCAAATGCGGGAATCAACCTTGCCTTTGCTTCTCGGAGAGCTTCCAGCTCTGCTGCTATGCAACAGACAAGGAGCTTCCAGTCCCTCTCTTCGGCATACTCCAAATGTAATTCCAGTTGTTGTGTTATTTTCTCTAAATCATTCGAAATGCAGCTTGCTACTTCTTCCATGCCACCTCCAACTGATGCGCCGTCCGTCGCCTGCAAGCTCAGCTGCATGTAACGGCGCATGTAACCCCTGAGCTGTTTCTCAAAGCCAGACACGTCCGCCATGGCTTGCTTCCAGACTCCACCCCCTTCCTCTAGTGCCAATATTTCTGCATCCACCTGGCGTTGTCTCTCTTGCAACTCCTCCTGTTCTTGCTTCCAAAGCTCACGGGCCATCTCAAGCGTGCGGCGTTTCGGATTCAACGAGTATAATGTCGACTCACTAGGCCGTTGCGAGAGAGGCTGAACCTGGGGATCGCGGAGGTAGTTTTGAATGTCTGACTGTAGGATGGACAAAGATTCAGTGTAAGATGATAATTTGGCATCTACTGAGTTCTCGATGTTCGCAATTTCGGTGACAAGATGTCTGTGCTTGGCCTTCATCTCATACAGCCTGGTTTCCAGTTCATGGATGTCAGTCTCGAGACCAATGGCCTCGTCTTGAAGCTGCTTAGCTTGCCGATTTTCTCGGTCATTGTGTATCACAGATATAGCTTTCTCCAGACCATCTCGCCTTGAGGTAAAACCTTGTATCTCACGGAGCGCATTCTCCCTCTCATCTGCTTGAGACAACAATATTTCTCGCTCTTCTTCTCGTATCTTCAGTAGATCATAAATCGACCGAAAGATGCCTTCCCGTGCAGCTTTGAGTCCTATCTTCTTTGACCGAGGTTGTCTTGCGGGAGTGGTGAAGGGAGTCCGCGACCGGCCAGCCTTGGAAGAGGTTGGGGTGAAACTTCTCTCTGAGGTATCGTCTGATTCGGGCTGAGCAAGTCCAGAGAGCAGACCCTCACTCTGTGCATCTATAAGGGTTTGGAGGGATCGCTGTATATGTTTGGATTGCCGTTCAATATAGAGAAGGGGGTCATGGTGGTATGCGGAAGCTGCAGCAGGTACCGGGGGTAGCCGTTTATCTTGAAACGGGAGTGGTGTGGACATGGTGGACGGAAATAGTAAAAGTTTGATAAGTTGCAAAGAAAAGTCCGTAAATCTTATCCACCTCACGTAACAGGAAGAAGGGGGGGGGGAGAGTGAATTTAAATACCAGCCATGATAGTGATTTACTAATAATATAGATTGCGCACCAGACCTCGTTCCCGGCCAGGTGATGCCCGGTGCAGGGTGCACGTGACCGTACAGTCAGCTCCGTTGACGTTGTCGGGCCTCGCGCCTGCAAAGCTTCCGCTGTCTGCTTCCAGCTTCCATTCTCACCACCACCTCATTCCATCTTGTCATTTCCATTGACTTGATTTTCGCGTCCTCTACCATAATTTTGTTTGGGTTTCAATTATCCCACTTTTCCGACTTTCGTCAGTGCTCCGGGGCTCGCTCGCTGTTCTACCCCCAAAGCTCCCTCTCTGGCGACATTGCTTCGTCACATCGACAACAACATCAACAAACGGAGCTTAAGCTTCATCCACCACATCCAGACGTCCGCCGTCTTATACATCCAAGATGGTCGGAGTCATTTCAGCCGCCGGTCTGGTCGGCTTCCTCTCCGAACCCGATCCTGAGCTCAAGGTGTATGCTTTGAAGTCATTAGATTCACAGATCGATCTGCTTTGGACTGAGGTCGTTAATGCAGTTCCTGAGATGTAAGTTGCTAGAGTGAGATCATTCGTCACCTCTATTGCAGTTGATGCGATCCCTCCGCCACGGTCCTCGTTCTACCAGTGCTGATTAGATCTATCCAGCGAGGCTCTATACGAAGACGAATCATTCCCAGAACGTGAACTGGCTGCTCTGGTCGCCTCTAAGGTGTACTACCATCTCCAAGAATATAATGAGAGCATGGTTCTTGCTCTGGGCGCAGGCAAACTGTTTAAGCTTGACAACGGTGGCGAGTATGAAGAGACCATCATCGGTAAGCCAGGAGACCAGCGATTGCATCTGCGTTTGTGCTGCCAACTAATGATTTTTTTTTCTGTCAGCTAAATGCGTTGATACCTTCATCTCTCTCTCTGCCGCGCAGAACCCGAGCGCCGGTGATCACTCCGCCCACCTGAACCAGTCTTTCCCTGCCTCTGGCGAGGGTGCCACGAGTACCTCCGCTAGCCTGACCTCTCCTATAACACCATTCTCCAAGTCTGCCCTACCTTCGAAGTCCTTGCTATCCCGACAGGAGGTTCCTGGCATCGACGCCGCTCCCCCTGGTGGCGAGGACATCAGCATCCAGCACGAAGAGACTCCACTTATCTTGAAGCGTGGCGTTCAGGGCCAACTACAGGCTATTATTGAGCGACTATTTGAGGACTGCTTCCGCCAGAAGCGTTATCGTCAGGTTATTGGAATTGCCATCGAAGCAAAGAGCTTGGATGTTCTTCGCATGGCTATTATTCGTGCCAGCGAGGATGAGAAGAAGCAGCAAGGCGAGTCCCGCCAGAGTGAGGAACTTATGGAGTACGTTTTGGATATTTGCATGGGCATTGTCCAAGAGCGGGCGTTCCGCAGCGAGGTTTGTCCAATTATTCCCTTTGGAAGCATGAGAGCAGTACTGACACACTAATCTAGATCTTGAAACTCATCCTTGATCTACTCAATGAGATTCCTGCACCTGATTACTTCTCTATCGCCAAGTGTGTTGTGTACCTTAATGAACACTCGATGGCCTCTGTTATTCTCCGCCAGCTTGTCGAGAAGGGTGACTCTCGGTCTTTGGCCGTTGCCTACCAGATTTCTTTCGATCTTTATGACAACAGCACCCAGGAGTTCCTCCAGAAGGTGCGCCAAGAAATTGCCGAGCTTGTACCAGAAAATGAGGCCGACAAGGAGAACACCCACGCAGAGGCCAACGAGTCAGACCCTCTGCTTGAGGACCAGTCTATCTCAATTTCCCGACAGTCGAACAGTGACGACTCGGATGAGCCGCGGAAAGCTTTTAAGAACATTCTGTCTATTCTGGATGGCATCAAGACTATTCAATTGAATTTGGAATTCCTTTACCGGAACAACAAAGCTGATATCGCCATTTTGAATAAGATTCGGGATAGTCTCGAGGCTCGCAACTCTATCTTCCACACTGCAGTCACTCTCTCAAATGCTTTCATGCATGCCGGTACTACCCACGACAAGTTCTTCCGTGATAATCTGGAATGGCTGGGCAAGGCTGTGAACTGGTCCAAGTTCACGGCAACAGCTGCTCTTGGTGTCATTCACCGTGGCAACTTGAGTCAGGGCCAGAAGCTTTTGCAACCTTACCTACCCCGTGAACACATCGCCGGAGTTGGAGGTTCCGGTTCCGTCTACAGCCAGGGTGGTTCTCTTTACGCCTTTGGCCTTATCTACGCCAACCACGGTGGTATGGCTGTGGACCTCATCCGTGACCACTTCAAGAAGGCCACCGAAGAGGTTGTTCAGCACGGTGGTGCTCTCGGTCTGGGTGTGGCAGGTATGGCTACTGGCGATGAGGGCATCTACGAAGATTTGCGAAACGTTCTCTACACTGACTCTGCTCTCAACGGTGAGGCCGTTGGCCTTGCTATGGGTCTCGTGATGCTGGGAACTGGCAACATGAAGGCGCTAGAGGACATGATTCAGTATGCCCATGATACCCAGCACGAGAAGATTGTTCGTGGTTTGGCCATGGGTATGGCGTTGATCATGTACGGTCGTCAAGAAGCTGCCGATGAGTTGATCAACGGTCTTCTTGGGGATCCCGATCCAGCTCTCCGCTATGGTGGTATCATGACCATCGCCCTGGCTTACTGTGGCAGCGGCAGCAATAAGGCTGTTCGCAAGCTGCTTCACGTTGCCGTTAGCGATGTCAACGACGATGTTCGACGTGCGGCAGTCATGAGCTTGGGTTTCATTCTGTTCCGCAAGCACCAGAGTGTCCCCCGTATGGTTGAACTGCTCTCTGAATCGTACAACCCTCATGTCCGTTATGGTGCTGCCATGGCACTGGGTATTTCATGCGCAGGAACTGGTCTGGATGAGGCCATTGATCTCTTGGAGCCTATGCTCAAGGACTCCACAGACTTTGTCCGCCAGGGTGCTTTGATTTCTCTTGCTATGGTTCTTGTTCAGCAGAATGAGGCCATGAACCCTCGTGTTACCAGCTTACGGAAGGCCATGATGAAGATGATGGGTGACCGCCACGAAGATGCAATGGCTAAGTTTGGATGTGCCGTTGCCCTCGGTATCATCGATGCCGGTGGTCGCAACTGTACCATCAGCCTGCAGACCCAGACCGGCAATTTGAACATGCCAGGCATTGTCGGTGCTGCCGTTTTTGTGCAGTACTGGTACTGGTTCCCTCTGACCCACTTCCTTTCTCTCAGTTTCACCCCTACTTCTGTGATCGGCGTGGACCAGAAGTTGGAAGTGCCAAACTTCAAGTTCCACAGCAACACTCGGCCCAGCCTATTTGACTACCCGCCAGAGCAGCAGGTGAAGACTGAGGAGGCCCCAGAGAAGGTCAAGACGGCTGTTCTCTCCACCACTGCCCAGGCCAAGCGTCGGGCGCAGCGTCGAGAGAAGCAGGCCCGCCGTGAGAGCATGGACATTGATCAGACACCTACCACCCCCAAGGTGTCAGACCAACTGCCCGAGAAAATGGAGACAGATGAGGGTGTTCCTAAGGAAGAAGAGGGCAAGGATGGAGAGAAGAGTACTGGAGAGGGCCCAAAGAAGAAGGCGGAACGGGAGAAGGTTGGATATGAGTTGGATAACATGTCAAGGGCACTCCCTGCACAACTCAAATACCTTACATTCCCCGACCCGCGATATGAGCCAGTTAAGCGGGTAAGTTCTTTCGCTTGTGATGCCTACATTGCTCATGCTAATTTGTGTTTACAGCCTACCGGTGGCGTTGTTGTTGTCCTCGACAAGCAGCCTGACGAGCCCCGCGATATTGTTGAGCTGAAGGCTAGCAAAGAGCAGCGGCAACCGGCTCCTCCTGCTGAGACCCTCCAAGACCGCCTCCAGGCCGCCATCGGCACAGCTGCTCTGCAGACTCCTCAACGAAGCGCTGCTCGAGCTGCAATGTCAGGTACCCCAGCAGGCGCTGCGGCCGCTGCTGGTGTCCTGACTGCTGTTGATGAGGATGATGAGGGTGTGGAGGACGCGCCTCTTCCCGATGACTTCGTATATGAGTCAGATGGGGAAGATGAGTAGACGGGTCCTGCATAACCTGGTGGACGTTGGATGTATTACTAGAGCTATCAGTCTTTCTCGGTTTCTGATATAGTGCCGCTTGTGATGTGAAGTGAAACTTTTTATTAACATTTTTCCATTTTTTCAAACCGGAGATTTACACGGAGTAAATATTTCAGATATTAAAGTGTAGCTGACCTAGTCGCTGTGCATACTAGTTAATTCCGAGATCATCGGGCACCAATTCCCTGTTGAGTGAACCCTGTTTTCACATGCGCGTTCGATTAGATAAGCCTTTCGCCTCGGTATTTTTGCGATGACGCACATTTATCCAATCAAGCGGCGGACATACGGCGATGACCGATTTGATCGGCGACCGAGGAATTGCAGCTGAAGGTCAAGATCATACATCTCCATAAGCACAAGCTATTATTCCGAGGCCCCCAAAGAAGAAAAGTGGACATCGTGAACACGGGGTTTCCTAGATCTAACGTTAGCTCTGGTCTAGTAGTTATATAGCGCGCGTGCTCCATCTACCCCGGACTTGATCCCTATTTTTTTTTTGCCCCCTTGGACATCTGAAATCTTTCTTCCTCACCTGATCATTTCATTCTCACCTTTCTTCACCTCCACTCTTCACCTCATACCCTTGTTTCTTCCTCCACCTTTTCTTTCATATTAAGCCATCATGTCAAAAACCTTTACGAAGGATGACGTGTCGTCGCATAGCAAAGGTGACAGCCTATACATTGTGATTGACGAGGACGTCTACGATGTCACCAAATTCCAAGATGAACACCCTGGTATGCTTTCCTTTCTTCAATAGCTCAGTTGCGTCGCGTGGCCACCTTCGCGTAGTACGAGTGGTGATCGCTAAATAACGAAAAAAGCACGTGCTAACGGGATTCATGCGAACAGGTGGAAAGAAAAGTACGTCATAGCCTTCGGGCCGATATCCGAGAAATTCGATATTAACCTTTGCATAGTTCTCCAAAGAGTTGCCGGGAAGGACGCCTCGAAGCAGTTCTGGAAGTACCACAATGAGGGAATCTTGAAAAAGTACAAGAGTCAACTGCAAATTGGTTCTTTGGATACCAAGGCCGCACCGGAACCTGCACCAGCCGCCCCAACTCCTGCCCCCAAGGCCGAGCCCAAGCCACAATCTGCTTCTGGCGATGTGAAGCCCCCAGCAACTGCTGAGCCACAAGATCCTTTTGGCGAGTTGATTCCTTTCGCCGATCCTTCATGGTACCAGGGTGTAAGTCGTTTGTCCAAGATTGGCGGTGTGACCAGGAACTAACATGCCCATGATCACAGTATTCCTCCCCCTACTTCAACGAGACCCACGCTGCTCTCCGCGAGGAAATCCGCCAATGGGTCGATACAGAGATCGAGCCTTATGTTACCGAGTGGGATGAGGGCAAGGAGGTCCCCGCTCACATCTATAAGCAGATGGGTGAGCGGGGCTACTTAGCCGGTCTGTTGGGTGTCAAGTACCCCGAACAGCACACACCCTACCGTGTGAATGCCGTGACACCGGACCGCTGGGACTTGTTCCACGAGATGCTGCTGACCGATGAGCTGTCGCGCGCCGGTAGCGGTGGTCTAGTGTGGAACTTGGTTGGCGGTTACGGTATTGGTTGCCCGCCCCTGGTGAAGTTTGGAAAGAAGGCACTAGTCGACCGCATCCTCCCCGGCATTCTGGCCGGTGATAAGCGTATCTGCTTGGCCATCACTGAGCCTGATGCCGGTAGTGATGTGGCGAACCTTGGTTGTGAAGCCAAGCTTAGCGAGGACGGCAAGCACTACATTGTTAACGGCGAGAAGAAGTGGATTACCAACGGAATCTGGGCTGATTACTTTACCACCGCTGTGCGGACAGGTAAGCCCGGCATGAACGGCCTCAGCGTTCTGCTTATTGAGCGCGAGGCGGGTGGTGTCAGCACCCGTCGCATGGATTGCCAGGGTGTCCTGAGCAGTGGCACCACATACGTTACCTTTGAGGACGTCAAGGTGCCCGTGGAGAATCTGATTGGGAAGGAGAACCAGGGTTTTAAGGTCATCATGACTAACTTCAACCACGAGCGCATTGGTATTGTCATCCAGTGTGTTCGCTTTGCCCGAGTCTGTTACGAGGAGTCTATGAAGTATGCACACAAGCGCAAGACCTTCGGCAAAAGCTTGATTGACCACCCGGTCATTCGTATGAAGCTCGCTCACATGGCGCGTCAAATCGAGGCCACCTATAACTGGTTGGAGAATATTATCTTCCAGTGCCAGTGCATGGAAGAGACCGAGGCAATGCTCAAGCTGGGTGGTGCTATTGCTGGCCTCAAGGCGCAGTCCACCCAGACCTTTGAGTTCTGTGCCCGTGAGGCCAGTCAGATCTTCGGTGGCCTGAGCTACAGCCGTGGTGGCCAGGGCGGTAAGGTCGAAAGACTGTACCGCGATGTTCGTGCTTATGCCATCCCTGGTGGAAGCGAGGAGATCATGCTGGATCTAAGTATGCGCCAGAGCTTGCGTGTGCACGAGATGTTTGGCATGAAGCTCTAAGAGTCTTGAATCTTAACATGGTTATACCCTGTTCATCTTGTCTTTCTCTTTCACTCGCCTGCCCCCTCTAAGCATCACGGGCCTTTTTCTTCTTCTCTTGTTTACTCCTCACTTCGCTTTTTTGGCTAGATATCCCGTCCAGTGCGACGCGTTTCCTTATGATCTTAGCTTGTATGATATACCTAACATTTACTGTGCATATTGCGTTTTGCCTCTGCCAATAGAACCTTGGTTTGAATACATGGCTTATAAACTTCCACCTGTATGTTTGACCCTTTAGAGAGCTGGTCATAATGTGAACCTACCCGAAATGTTAGTGTTTTTTTGTAGTAGCAACCCATAACAAAATCGTGCGACCTCATTGGGAGTCTTCCGATTCCTTGGAACATAGAACATACCTAACTAGTACATCTTAGGTAAAATGTTCAAAGAAAGCTTCCAAATTGATTCCAGCTGGTAAAAATAGAAATAAGAAACTTCTAGATTTTCCCTTGCGATACCTATGGAGTAGCAGGTATGTCAACCCACCAGTATCAGTTTAATCCTGAGTTATGGGCTTAAAATAAAAAATAAAGCAGAGAAGCTTCAAGTTGGTATCAAGTGAATGCCAGCTGCGCATTGGCGATAAAACGTTATCCGGGTAGCCGTAGCGACCCGCAGTGCAGCTTTGCGACCTTTCACTTTCATCGCGACTTGATTCACTTCAAGATTAGCTTCTCAACTCCCCCCAACTTCTTCCCTGACACAGCCAGCGTCTCTGGGTATTGATTCTCTCACCCCCCGGAAATCTGTGCCTTAATTAATTCAAACACCTTTTCGCATTTGATGCAATCGGCGTCCAGACCGCTTTTGCTCTAAGCCCCGTCGCTCGGTGACTGCCCGCAAAGCCCGCAGGACGACTCTCCTTGCGCACCTGGTGGTGGTGGTCTCGACTTGAACTCTCTCAATTCTGCCTAGCTCGATCAATCGCATTCAACTTCGCGGATTGCACAGCTCAGTCAGCAATTTCACCAATATTCGCGTCTTTGTATCCGAATCCCTCTCCTTTGATCTCGACACCTTCCACACACAATGTCGTCGAACCTTTTGAACCATGATTTCGGCTCCGAGGATGAGGATGATGATTTCAACCCCGTGATTGCAGATGAATCCGATGCCGAAGATCCCAAGGTTGGTAGCATCCTACGAACGATATTTAGAGACACGACACTGATAAAACATACTACAAACAGCCGGCGAAGGTAGATCGGACTAGCAGAGATGTTGCGAATGATGAAGACGAAGACGACGCTCAAAATGGCGAAGATGACGAAGAAGGTGGTGAAGATGCGAACGGAGATGATGACGAAGAGGAAGACGAAGCGGACGAGGAGGAAGAAGAGGCAGTGGTTAGTACTTTATCGGGCATGACAACCACAAAGGCTCATTCTAATGACTGGTTTTTAAGGGTCGTCCGCGCAAGCGCAGAAGGGGCGGTGTCAACAATTTCTTCGATGAAGAGGCTGGCGTCGACGAAGAGGAGGATGAAGCTGAAGAGGACGAGGACGAGCTGGAGTTCGGCACAGAAATGCATCCTGACGATCTCGATGCGCTACCCGTCGGTGCCGAAACAGATGACCGCCGCCACAGACAACTCGATCGCCAACGTGAACTCGATGCGACAATGGACGCAGAGAAACAGGCGCAGATGCTGAAGGAGCGTTATGGCCGAAACCGGGCCGCTGCATCGGATACACTTGTGGTCCCCAAGCGGCTGCTTCTTCCTAGTGTAGAGGATCCCAGTATTTGGGGAGGTCGTTGCAAGCCTGGCAAAGAACGGGAAGTCGTTTACAGCATCCAAAAGCGCATTGAAGAGCGCCCCCCTGGTTCTCGTAATCCGATTCGCATCATTTCGGCCTTCGAGCGTGGAAACATTATGCAGGGTTGGTTCTACTGTGAGGCACGCAGACAAGCCGATGTCGTCGATGGCCTGGAAGCTATCAACTTTTATTACCCCTCTCAGAAATTGACCTTGGTTCCCGTTAAGGAGATGCCCGATCTTCTCCGAGTCCAGAAGTCAGAGGATCTCAACCCCGGTGGATGGGTCCGAATCAAGCGTGGCAAGTACCAAGGTGATCTGGCTCAGATTGAAGAGGTTGAGACCAATGGTCTTAACGTGACTGTACGACTTGTTCCTCGACTCGATTACGGTATGAATGATGACGCAGCTGCGATCGTTGATCCCAAGCGTAAGCGTGGCGCCGCAAGTGCCCCCCGCCCTCCACAACGCTTGTTCAGCGAGTCAGAGGCTAAGAAGAAGCACGCAAAATACCTCTCGAATACCGCGGGTTTGGGTAGTAAGTCATGGAATTACCTCAATGATAACTACATTGATGGTTTCCTTATCAAGGACTTGCGAGTCCAGCACTTGATCTCCAAGAATGTGAACCCGCGACTGGAAGAGGTCACCATGTTTGCCCGTGGAGGAGAGGACGGCGCTGCGAACTTGGATCTCGCGTCGTTAGCCGAGACACTAAAAAATTCAACTGCGGAAGAGGCATACCAACCAGGTGATCCTGTGGAGGTGTACCGAGGTGAACAACAGGGCTTGATCGGCCGTACAGTTTCAATCCGTGGTGAAATTGTCTCATTACAAGTCACCGAGGGAGATTTGGCTGGTCAGACAATCGATGCCCCCGTACGAACCCTTCGCAAACGTTTCAGAGAGGGTGATCATGTTAAGGTCATCGGAGGTAGCCGTTATCAGAACGAACTCGGCATGGTTGTCCAAGTTAAAGATGACACCGTTACCTTGCTCAGTGATATGAGTATGCAAGAGATTACTGTCTTCAGTAAGGACCTTCGTCTTTCCGCTGAGATGGCAGCCGACGGTCAACTTGGTATCTACGATGTCCATGACCTTGTTCAGCTTGATGCTGCCACCGTGGCTTGTGTTATCAAGGTTGATCGCGAGTCTCTGCGCGTTGTGGATCAGAATGGCTCTGTTCGCAATATCCTTCCTACTCAGATTGCCAATAAGCTGGTTCCTCGTCGCGATGCTGTTGCCACAGACCGCAATGGTGCAGAAATTCGAAACGGTGATACTGTTCGTGAAGTTTATGGAGAGCAGAGAAATGGTGCTATCCGACATATCTACCGGTCTTTCCTCTTTTTGCACAACAAGGCTCAAGCTGAGAATGCAGGCATTTCTGTGGTGCGAACAACAAACGTCGTCACTGTTTCTGCTCGAGGTGGCCGCCCTACAGGACCAGATCTGACCAAGATGAACCCTGCCATGGCTCAGCAAATGCCAGGCGCCGGCCGCGGCGGTGCGATGGCTCCCCCACAGCGTGGTCGTGACAGGCTAATTGGTAAGACTGTGACAGTTCGCAAGGGCCGCTACAAGGGTCTAGTCGGTATCGTCCGAGACTCCGATGACAGCACTGCTCAAGTTGAGCTTTACACATCAAACAAACCTGTTCTCATTCAAAGAGATATTTTAACCCCGAAAGAGTCAGTCATACTACCCGCATCCTTGAGTTTTGTTATGAACTTACTAACATTTCGATAGTCCCATTTCCAAACAGCCTTTGGACGTGGGCCGTGGAAGAGGCTCGCGTGTTCCTCATGGAGGTGCTTCCCAAGGCCGAGATGGGTGGCAAGGTGGCCGCACTCCTATGGCTTCTGGCGATTCTTCCAGGACTCCAGCCTGGGGCGGAGCAGCGTCCTCACGGACCCCAGCTTGGTCTGGTGCCGGTGGTGCCGGTGGTTCCCGTACTCCTGCCTGGAAGGGCGACGGAAATCGGACTGCCTATGGAGATGGAAATCGCACCGCCTATGGCGATGGAAGCCGCACTGCTTACGGTGGCTTGGGTAACAGAACCCCAGCATGGAACTCTGGATCTCGCACTCCATACGGTGACTCCGGCTCTGGTGCTGGCTCCGGTTCGGGCTATGATGCCTTCGCTTCTGGATCTCGTACCCCAGCATGGGGAAGCGCAGGCGCTGGAAACCGAACTCCGGCCTGGGGTTCAGGTGGCATGTCCAACAACCGAGACCAACGTGATTATGACGATGCCCCTACACCTGGCGGTTACTCTGCGCCAACACCGGGCGCCTATGCTGCTCCCACCCCCGGTGCATCTGCACCAACTCCAGGCGCATGGGCCGACAATGCTCCCACACCGGGTGGAGCTTTCAGCGCGCCTACTCCCGGTGATATCCCCAAGCGTGGCTACGAAGCTCCCACTCCTGCTGCGTACGATGCACCGACACCGGCTATGGGAGGTGCTGCTGCTACACCGGGTGCAGGCTATGGCGACGACGATGCTGGGCCACGTTATGATGATGGCACACCCAGCCCGTAAGCACCATATTTTTTATCATGTTCTTTTCACACTCTATCCCTCCCGACGCTCCAAAAAGCGTATCAGCTCCGCGTGGTCTTTAGGTATCGGATGGAACTTGGCCAGCTTCGCACATGTACTCTATTTTGAATCGAATGTAATTTCTCCAGAACAGCAAATGACACTTCCAACATTTGAGGACGAACTCAATGGTGAACCATCCCCCTTTTCCCCCACCGTTCCCAGTCTGGATTGAACCCCTGATTGGATATATTGATATCAGCTGTAGTTTGTTCTAGTTACTAATGGACTACGATGAAATGACAGGTTCCAAGGTTGGAAATGTGAATTGAAGTAGTACATATGGTCTGCCATATGTATCCCAAGACAGTCGTCAATCGAAACATTGAACAACTAGTTGACGCCACACATGCATGTATTACAAACAGCATCAGAGACATCTGGAAGCCTGAGTACATGTAAGCAAAAATACTGGGGGTGAGATTTTTTTGGATCTTCCTATTCGCCTGCCCGCTGGTCCAAGCTTTTTGGTTTTTCTTTTTGTTCATTAGTAGAATTAATTTAACAAAAAATTGTAAACATTTGAATAGAAAACAGCGTAATAGAAAGTCAATAAGCATTATGAAATCTTGGAAAGGTAGAAGTAGTCAGGAAGAAAATAAAATAGGAGGACATCTTGGATCAAAATTGAAATAAGCTGCGTGAAAATAAGAAGAATTGAAGATGAAAAAAAAGAGTGTAGGAGGTGAGGACAAAGGGTTCAGCTTTATACTGATAACACAAAATCCACTCTGAAAAAGTCCCATCGGAAGTCATATCAAGAGAAGTCAAAAGTGGCTTAGTTGAAGTGCATGGTACAGCATACCTAGCTTGCGCCAGAGGCAACATGAACCTCAACGGTACCTGCAGTGTTATCCTGCTTGATGTAAATCAAATCGAGAATGTCATCACCATTCCAGTCGTACATCATCCAAGTTCCATTATCCTCAAGCGAGAAAGTGGTAGAGACACTCTGAATAATAGTCTGGTATCCCGAGGCGGCCGAAGCAACAGTCACCTCGACATAGCCGGTAGTGGTAGCAATGTTCTGGATGTAGAACAGATCATAAGATCCACTCATATTCCAGTCCGCTAGAAGCCAAGTACCATCGTTGGCAATAGAGAAGCTCGAAACAGTCTGACTAGTGAGGGTGGTGTATGCGGAAGCACCCGAAGCGATGTTGACCTCAACGTAGTTGGAAGCCGTGTTGCTGTTCTGGATGTAAACGAGATCCAGCTTGCCGTCGCCATCAACATCGATCATCTGCCAACGACCGTCGACCTGCACGTCAAACACAGTCTCGGCACTTTCCACCAGATAGGTCTTGAAACCCGACGCGCCAGACGCGACGCTGATTTCCACTTTCCCGGAGGGAGTATTTCGGTTCTGGATGTAGATCAAATCGGGGAGTCCATCGTGATCGTAGTCGGCCAGCGTCCAAACTCCATCGTTTTGCAGGGTGAAGGCGGAGGTTTCGTCGGACACAACGACGTCATATCCATCATAGGAGGGAGTTACTTGCACCTCAACATTGCCGGAGCTTGTCCCGATGGTTTGGATGTAGGCGAGAGCAGGGTAGTCGATATTTACAGAGCCGCGAGTCACGACGTATGGTGACATCAGCCAGGTGCCATATTCAGCGGGGGCTTTGAAGATGGTGCCTCTTTCCTGCACACGAGATTGGTATACAGCGGCACTGGCAGAGCCAATATGCCATGCCGTTTGGCAGAGGGCGAGAAGATAAGATCGAGTATGCATTTCCAAAGAAAAAAAAAGAACGAGTGTAAAGGAGTGACTGTCTTGCCTGGAAACAGCAGACGGATGAGAAAAGAACGACGAGGGTACACGACAGACGAATCCCAAGGTTGCGGCAGGATCCCTTTTTTTTACTTAATTTTTTTTTTAGACATCAAGGCTACTTTAGTTGACTCTACTAATCTTGGGGTGGGCTTTTGGGAGCATTTCTTGCCGTTTCGCATCAATGCCCTCGTGGGCCAGTCGGTTGCCATAACCCAGTTCAGTGTTTAGCAGGATGTGGCGTCAGTGGAGAAGCAATAGTTCCCAACTTGCCCAAATGACAGGGCTCCACTACAAGCCAAGACAAACGCCCCGCCACGCTAACCGAGTTCTGTCAGGCACCAGGAACAGGTTCAGGAACTGGAAAATTTAACCCGTGGACAGCAATGAACAGAGCTATGCTCCAGATTTACGGGGAACAAATAAGCTCTGATCAATTCAGTGCCAAGTACGGGAGTCTCGGGCTTTCCGTCACCAAGGTCATTTAAGATCAATTGACACAAGGAATGAGGTGCAAGATGTGTGCCAAGCTAATCAGGGATTCAGGGTCAACTAGGGGTCTTCTAAGGGTTCATCGAGACCCTGAGTGAGGACCCTTGTATACCCTTGAACCCTTGAATTCAGGGGTTTTGTGATTTTCGCAACCTCGTCGGTTGATATTGCCATCGAGTCATCGACTGCAGCTGTTTGGTGGTGGGGCAACTGCACCGAGTGCCAGTGAGTGGTGAAGTCCGCTTATTTACTTTGTTTTTGTCTCCACGCAATAACGTTAATCGGCCCCAAAAAACGTGGCGTCGATCGGAGTGGCCGAGAATTCGCTACTCGGCCTTTTTGACTTCTGGAAATCCTTGGTCAGAGCTCGTTAGTGGAGATCATCTCGGAATATTTACCTCGTTGACTTGTCTATTTGTCAATTTCCTGAGGCGCTTGCACTACTCCGCCAAGAAATATCCCAAAAATACACTCAACACCCGAGTACGATGAGACAAAAATCCAACCAAGTGGGAAAAACAATTTGCGAAAAAAAAAGAAAGAAAATGTCCCTCTCGAGCTTAGCTGACTTACACAGCCCATACGAGATACACATGGCTCCGGAGTCGGTGGAAATAACAGCCCACAAGATCCATTCCTCTTCGAAAAGAATTATAATAAAACCATGAAGCATTCTGGGAAAATTCTCTGATTCTTTTTTTTTTCTCTTTTCGTTCTTGTTGTCCTTCCACTCATTCACGAGAGGTCTTCCTCTCATTACATTCTTTCTTGCCCGTTATGCGGGTCACACGCTCTTTTTTGGCGAGCACTTTGCTGTTAGCAAGTGTCTCGGCCACTGCTTTGGACACTCGTGCAAAGAGTACCGATGAGGAGGATTCCAATGTCACCACCGTGACCAAGGTCAATTGGCATACAGTCTCTGCTTGCCCCGCCACTACCGCTATTCTGTCCTCTCCTACCTCTGGTCTTGTGGACACCAGCCCTGGACAGTCTGGCAAGTCTGCTAGCAGCTCAGGTGGTGAAACCAGTGGTGAATCAAGCTCGAGCTCCAGCTCAGGTTCCAGCTCAGACTCTGAATCTGGCTCTGGCTCTGGCTCTGGCTCTGGCTCTGGCTCAGACTCTGGCTCAGCCACGCAGTATACTACCTCCACCGTCTACACTACCAGTGCTCACACTGTAACCGCTTGCCCTTCTTCCGTCAAGGATTGTCCAGCCTCGGAGAAGACCACTTATGTGACTACTGATACTATCATTGATTATACCACTGTCTGCCCCGTCACGGAGACCGCTACCCGAACTGGTGCCGGTGGTGCTGCCGAGACTGGCGGAGCTGGGTCTGAAAAGACTATCACCGGTGCTGGAGGTGAGGAATACACTACTTCCACCGCTTATACAACCAGCGTGCACACCGTGACTGCCTGCCCAGCTTCTGTTACCGACTGCCCGGCGTCTCAGAAAACCACATACGTGACTACGGATACTATCATCGACTACACAACCATCTGCCCTGTCACTGCTACTGCCACTGGCTCCGGGGTCGGTCCTACCTCTACTGCTTCCGGTTCTAGCTCTGGTTCAGGTTCAGGCTCCTCTGGCTCTGGCTCTGGCTCTGGTTCAGGTTCAGGCTCTGGCTCCGGTTCTGGCTCTGGTTCAGGTTCAGGCTCTGGCTCCTCTGGATCTGGCTCTGGCTCTGGCTCTGGCTCTGGCTCTGGCTCTGGCTCTGGCTCTGGCTCTGGCTCTGGCTCTGGCTCTGGCTCTGGCTCTGGCTCTGGCTCTGGCTCTGGCTCTGGCTCTGGCTCCGGTTCTGGCTCCTCTGGCTCTGGCTCTGGCTCTGGCTCTGGCTCTGGCTCTGGCTCTGGCTCTGGCTCTGGCTCTGGCTCTGGCTCTGGCTCTGGCTCTGGCTCTGGCTCTGGCTCTGGCTCTGGCTCTGGCTCTGGCTCTGGCTCTGGCTCTGGCTCTGGCTCTGGCTCTGGCTCTGGCTCTGGCTCTGGCTCTGGCTCTGGCTCTGGCTCTGGCTCTGGCTCTGGCTCTGGCTCTGGCTCTGGCTCTGGCTCTGGCTCTGGCTCTGGCTCTGGCTCTGGCTCTGGCTCTGGCTCTGGCCTTGGATCCAGTTCTAGCCTACCTGCTTCAAGCAGCATCACTCATTCGAAGTCGCTCTCTCCTTCATCGACCCCCCTGCATACCTCTACCTTAAGTAGATCTAGCTCGCCTTCCCTTAGCTCTGTACCAGGTGCTTCAAGAACCCCCGTCCACTCCAAGTCACCAAAACCATCATCGACTCCCCTTCGGGCTTCTACCTCTGGTGCCCTCGTGTCCCCATCTCGCTCTATTAAGCCTACAAGCTCCACTCCTATCATTAAGACCAGTGCATCCGCATCTCCCTCTGCCTCTCTTGAGGCACTGGCCTTATATGTTGAGCCGACCCAGTCAAAACGGAAACGTCAGACCTATAACACAGCTGTTTTGATTGGTGGCGGATCCCTCACATCGAGCTGTGCAGATGCAGATCGCTTCTACCTCACTGGGGGTCACATCTATGATGGGAACCTGCTGGTTTCTGCGACCCAAAATGCGTCTAGTGTATCATTCTTGGGAAGCAGTCACCCAGGATCCATTCGAGGCACCTTTTCTGTCAGTGATAACATCCTGTCCTGGTCAAACCCTGCGTTTACAAACGGCGAAGCCTCATTCTGTGTCTCTGGAAATACCGTCCGGGCTATTCTGACCGGTGATGTTCCCACCGGGTGTGCTCCTGTGACAATTGCCGCCGTCAGCTACTGTAAGTGATTGCCAATTCCAAGAAGAAAATTAGAAAATGACAACTGACAACTTCTAGCTGAGCTCTGTTCCGGGGGCAGTGCGTCCACTAGTCTTAGCCCCATCAGCTCATCTACACCTACGCCCTCTTCAACTGCTCTTCCTAAGTGCTCTGCCAAGTCTGACCCAGAGCTGAGCACAAAGGTCCTACCAGCACTTGATCCCAGCGTCGATGGATCCACCCTTCTCAACCTGTCTCCCTCAATGTATGCTACGCTGTACTATGCCAGTTCCAGTGGCTCGACCATTCTCCAGGTGACATATTACATGCTCTACCCACAGGTGACCCTGGAGAATGCGTACAAGATTGCCACGGTGACTTGCTCTGGTAACACATTGACCGTCACGGTAACTTCCGCCGCGGCTTTCAACATTGCCAGCCAGTGGCCCACAAGCAACTTCATTCTTATCACCAACTCTGGCAGCTGCAACTCCGCCTCACAGAGAGGTGTCTACATGGTCCACTCATACACCACTGATAAGGCCAGCCTCACGATCACACTAGATGTCACCACCAAAGTCTGGGCTGATGTTTCGGATACCATGGAGGTTGCCTACGGCGCTGGACACGTGAATTCCACCAATATATCATATACTCCTTCGTGCACAGCATCCTATGCTACTACAGCCAGCAGCACCCCAACTCCTACCCCGAGCTCTGGCTCAGTCTCCTATGAAAACCTGACCCCCGAGGAGAAGACGATTGTCGCTTACTTGACAAAGAATAATACATATGATGACAATGGCAACATTGCAGTTTCAGTTCCCGCTGTCACTGCCAACATTACAGCTCCCGCTTATAACCCCGACTCCAACTCCACACAGCAAGCAGCGCTTGAAGATGCCCTCCAAAATGCCGGCCTTCCATCCCCTGCTTCGATGTGGAATAAGACTGCTAGTGATCTCGCGGGCCATTGTTCTGATGGAGTCTACGTTCCTGCGACAACTGTCTACACAAAACGTGCACCAAAGTCAGCCAATACCAAACGTGCACCAAAGTCGCCCAACACCAAACATGCACAAAAGTCACACAACCGATCCCATCTCACTCACCCGCTCAGTCGCCACCGTCGATCTATGCTTCTTAAGCGCTCTGGTCTCGATGATGAGTCCTGGTGGGAGTACCTTTGGGATGGTGCGTGTAGTGATATTGTTGAGGACATCCTTGAGGCATTTGATGAAGAGCTGGGAGCTCTTGCAGAGCTTATCTGCGACTTGAAGGATCTATACGACGATGTATCAGAAGCCTACGCCAACCGTAATGCTATCCAATGTGCCTGGACGGGCTGCTACCTTGACGTTGTTGTTGCGACCTATTGGAATTTCACCTCCACCGCGAGCGTGGAAGATAGCATCCCAGCGCAGCCACTGGTGGAATCCTCGGTGGGTACACTCAGTTGCGTCGACTGCGGTCTAAGTATCTCCAACCTTGAATTCGTGGGCAGTGTCATGATCGCAACCTCCACCGGTAAAGTCATGAGCGCCTTTATGACGCCCTCTATGAGCTGGACTGCAAACATTGTCATGGGTCTCGAAACTACCGACGCTTGGTCCGGAGAGTGGACACATAATTTCGACACAATCAATTTTGATAAGTCAATCTCGGTTCCCGGAGAGTTTACTATCACACCCTCCATATCATGGGGTCTCGGAGTTCAGTGGTCTACTACTGCTGCTGTTGATTTCACCGCGGGTGCTGCCATCAGCGTGAATGATGGTACGCTCTACCTGGACCTCGCCAACAACGTTGCATCCGAAGCTGCCAATTGGTCACCTACGGTAGAATATACCTACCCGGTGTTCTCCGCCTCTGCAGACGTTTCGTTCGTACCCATTGTGAGAACGTCGCTCGCTATCGCAGTGACCGTCGAGAACGCAAACTACGGCCAGCAACCCATCTATGTCAACTCCGACACGGCCATCGGGTTCAGCGCTTCCCTTGTTCTAGACGATGGGGAATACTGTGATGCTGGTGAGCTTGAGATGACTTCATACTCTAGCACAACCAATGAGCTTCTCTTCACCGGTGGCTCCACGACTGTTCTCTCTCAATCTGGGGATGTGGCCGGTCAGACCAAGTGCTTCAACATCCCGAATGAAATCCCCACAACGGATGAGGTCAATTCCCTTCGCAGTGTTGGTGCGGCCTTCTGTACCTCCTACTTAGGCTACGTGCCTCCCACCTCTGTCGCATATGGTGTCAAAACAAGCACCGGAGTGACTACTGTACAAACCACCAAGCCGACGACCATCTCGACCACATCTACTCTTTACGAGTATCCCACGGTCACCACCGTGTTCACGCAGACAACCACAGTTGCCGCTACCTCATATGTCACAGTCTCTGGCTCTCAGTCTCTCGGTGACTCCTACATGAAGAAACGCGCCCTTGAAACCGGTTCACCCATCAAGAAGCGCACCGCTGCTCCCCAGCCCACCAAGGCAGCCTCCATTGCCAAGCGTACCGTCGTCTCCGAGCCTACTTTGATCGCAACCTGGGACTCTAGCAAGATTTCCCTCGCCTGTTCCCAGGTCGCTACCGGCACAGCCACAACAACCTTCTACACTTCCACCGCAACTTCCTACACTGGCACCGTTACCAATACCGTCTACAGCACTGTTGACACACTTGGGGCTCTCAAAACCGAGACATTCTCCAGAGTGGTGGTCTCCCAAACCGCCAGCACAGTCACCGGTGCTCAAGCCGCCACTGCCACTGTCGCAGCCAGCTGTCCTCTCCAGACTCAAGTTTCCTGCTTCACTGTCACTGCTACGGGTCCCGATCATGTCAACGGTAAACAGCTCTACCTATCCAGCAACAACTCCTCTCCCGTCTGGGGCGGCTGGGGTGCCGGATACGAGGTTGGTACTTTCTACCTGACATGTGCGGGTGATCTTGTCGCACTTCCATCCATGGATGTGCTGGTTTCCGCGCAAGACAGGTGGGTGGAGTTTGATAGCTTCTCGTCTGCAACATCCAAGCAAAGCTGCTCGCAGGATACCTCGTCTGGTATTCTAAGCTGTGGAAGTGGATGGTATGCCACTACCCCCGTGGCGCTGCGCGTTACCGACTTCCGTGCGTACAGTGGTGATTGGCAGCCTGTTTGGAATGATGGAACAAACGAGGATACACTGACGCCTGTTGTTTTGACCTATGATACTGTCGATTGCCCCTGTCAGTATTAGATGATGCGTGGTATTTCTATCATTCTTTTAAATTTTTCTTTTGTTCTCCTTGTGAGATTCAATCTTGTTTAATGCCCCTGTCAGCATTGGAGGATGACTACTTGCCTCTTTTTACCATTCTTTCAAATATCTCTTTTTCTCTCATTATGACTCGAGGTCTCCAATTCTGTTTACTTTCATGAATCTTTTCCACACAATTATTTTTTTACCTAATAGCCCAATTCCCTCTATATCACACGTATGAAATTTCATTCACCGGATCAATGCCATTATATTCTCTACCATGCCCCCCGATTGCGCCCGCCCTGGGTTTTTCAAAGCACAAACCAGCAACCCATCCTCCTCGTCGTCACCCACACGTTTAAGATTTCCACACACCTGGGCATTTTTACAAAGCGACCCTCAAGACGCTTCCCGGAGAAATATGCTTAGCTTTTTGCTCATACGTATGTTGTAGCATCTCATCATGTCATGCTAACACATGCCCCGTGAGTCGTGACCTACTAAGCCTAATCGGGGCGGATTTTCTTTTCTGCCAGCCCTGCCTCTGGAGTCTGGATCCTTATAAAAAAGAATAAGGCAGAGATCAGGCATCAGTCAGTCCCAATTAGGCTTAGTACATCACGGGGCATGTGTTGGCATGAGGATGACATGTGTTTCTATTAATCTCCTTTCTTTTGTATAACACAAAGCAAACTTCCAAGGTTGGACTATTCTTTTCTCGCCAGCTTCGAGAAGCAATGTGAGTATTGACTTATGACTTACCATCATTTTGAGGCCAATTCACCTCTTAGGGTTGACCTGCTGATTCCCAATCTGGATCAGCCACTCCCATTCCTTCAATGTAGGTACTTTCTTGCCGTGGTGGAATCTTCCTCTTGATTGATGATGGCGAACAACCTGCTGCCTAGTATTAGTTAGTGTATAGTACTAGTCAATCTTACTCATCATTTACTCTGACCCTCATTCATCACTCACATTATCGCTCACGCCCACCTTCAATTCTTCATCATAACCTTCCTACTTACTCCGAGTCATGACTTAATGCTGTTATTCGCTAGCATCATTCGCTACTCTAACTCGTGGAGTGCTCCTGGGTACTTTCTGCAACGTGGATTCATTCATTCAACCAATACCCCCATTTGATGCCATCCTCTAGCACCGCTTGTCGTGTATTTGATTATACCTACCGAAAGATCCTCTTCCAGGTGTCAACTGCCTCCAGCTCTTCGCATTATATTCTTCCACGAGCCTTCCTATGGCATCCGCGTCGTCAGTTACTTCGGAAACCGAGTATTGCGAATTTCGAAGTCCGTCCACCTGAGCAGGGCCATGGCGCTGCCGGATGACGGAGAAATGTCTCGCTTGTGGTAAATCAAATTGAACTCCTAATTTCACAGAACTTGTCGTCATGACTCACAAGTTAACATCAGTCGAGCCTCCATCAAGCATTTGTTCAAATACGTGTTAGGGCCATTAGCCCAATGGACCGCGTCTCACGAAGACATCTTTTCCAAACCTCGCCGACGTTTTGCTCCTGATCTTTTCAGCGCCGAAGGCCTAAAATCATTCACGAAGCTGCCAAACGTGGCGCTGTCAGAGCACACAATATCTCCCTTGTGGTCATCCAGATTGAATTAAAAATTCCACCCATGGACCTGGGCAAATTCCACAGGACTGGTCGTCATAGCTCATAAGCCAACCTCAGTTGAGCCTTGATGAGCCACACGTCGCCATACGTGTTGGAATCTTTGGCACAGTACACCAAATGCCACAGAGATAAGTATGCGAGAGCTTGCTATGCTTTGGTACCATGTTAAATGGCAGATATCTGGAAGCAGGGGCGGCATCTGTCACCATGGAGCTAATTCAATGTGTCAGCTCTGGTAGAATTCAATGACCGTATTTGGGAGTATAAGATGAATCCATTGATTTAATCTATACCCCCATTCGCCTGGGCACTACCACTATTCACTGCCACTATTCACTGTCATTATTCACTAACATCCAGAATTCAATACCATCATCTACTGCTGTCTATATCATTCACTACTACTCACCCTATAATTAATTATATATAGTAGCAGGTTCTTCGTCCAATTCACCATCATCATCTTCCTTTTCTACAGACTCAAAATACTGCCAACATTGAACCATGGCACTCAACACTGAAAACATTTTTCAATTCTCGTAAGCCAATTGATCGAACTCCTAATTCCACATATACCATGACTTGAGAAAAGTCCACAGGACTTATTATTCAATGTTATAACTCAGAAGCTAACATCGGCTCAGACCTAGTCAAGCACTGGTTCGACTGCGTGTCGGAGATATTGGCCCGGAATACCAAGCTTCGAAACAATTCCTTTGTGAAAGTTCACCGTATTTCAATGCTATGTTCAATGGGCCATTTATCGAAGCACAAACAAATTGCGTGACAATGCAGCCGATAAAGGGCGTCGTCTCAGACCGGAGCCTACAAGCTCTGTTGACATGGCTCTATTTTGGTCAAGCCTTCATCAGTAACACAGAACCTCAACAACAGATCACTGAAGTTATTGAGCTTACCCGACTATTGGACATGTGTCTTATGAGGGGCACTGATCTTATCATGGTCGAAATTATCCGCCAGCTGATCTTCATGAATCCTGACTTGCAATACAAGTCCAAGCTGATAACCAATGAGCACTTGTTTTCGGTATCACGGTTGCCTCGCAGGAATGCGGTACGTGCCCTTATAGTTAGGGCTTGGGTAGGACCCTTCGTATGACGCTACCGGTGATCTTATGATTGAGCGGCAGCCTGGGAAGATTTGAAGACATTGGTGCTTAGTGTTGTTCAAAATGTTGTGTTCTGCTACATGTATTTTGGAAGTTCTGGCATAGTGTTAGAAATTGAGTGATTTGGAAAGTTATGTGACTTTGAGCATCAATTGATCGCTGATTCTCTGGAATTTCATACAGTAATATGGTTTGTTAACTTATACTTGTTGACTAAGGAACGTGAGATCATACTACTACTACTTGATATACTTTAGCGTGGGCAGCGCGACCTACTAGGCGACCGCTACTAAATAAGCTGTTCCTTAAGTAACAGGGGAACGATCTTTAGTAATATCCAGAGTATTTATCTATCCAAACGTGGCGAGAATCAAAATCCCTATAAAAGTCTCCTGCGTTCGTCAGACATGGAAATGCCTTACACTCCAAACACCCCAATTCCTTCCAACATCTTCTTCTCTTTTCCTAGCATTTTCATCACCTGTTCCATTTGAACTCTTTCTAAGATTCACCACTCTTCAGTAATCTTGAGGTAATCGTGATGCCAAATATAAATGCCCATTGCTGACAAGAAATTGACGATATTATGTACAGCAAAGGTTGATTCATGAAAATCAGCTGGCGGATGATTTCCAGACGTCGGCCATCTCACTCCTAGTCCTCCAATCCAACCTATTATCAACACTCTTTATTGAGACTTCTACAAAACCAAAACACCTGCTTTCGAACATTCTCTCCCGGATTCCTCCCCTTCATCATGTCACGCAAGACAAAGGCAAACAGGGCACAAGCCCCAGAGCCGGAGACAATAATTTACAACCAGGCCGATAGAAACGGCGGCCATCACCATTGCTAGCAGTGTCAGAAGGTGGCAAACAAGCGCTGTATCAAGAACATTGAAACGCCATGTCAGAATCTGTGAGAAACACCAGAGATTCACCTCAAAGATCTCCGAATGCCATATTTTTATCTGCGCCCCTGATGAGACACATGGCTCTATACGTGTTGGAATCTGTGGCACAGTACACCAAGTTCCACAAGGATAAGTATGCGAGAGCTTGCCATTCTCTAATACCATGTTCAATAGCAGATATCTGGAAGCAGCGACAGAATCTGTCACCATGGAACTAATTCAACGTGTCATCTCTGGGAGTGTTCAATGGCCGTATTTGGGAGCATCACTGCCATTATTCACTACCATCCAGAATTCACTACCATCATCTACTGCTATCATTCAATGCCATCATTCACTGCCATCATTACCACTCATCCTATAATTAATTATATATAATACCAGGTTTCCCTTCAGTTCACCACATGTGCATCATCGTCTTCCTTTTTTGAACAGTCAAAATACAGTGCTGCCAACCATGGCGCTCCATGCTAATAACCAATGCACTCTCAATTTTAAGTAAGCCAATTAAACTCCTAATTCCACCTATGCCATTACTTGAGCAAAGTCCACAGAACCTGTTGCCATGACTCATAAGCTAACATCATTTGAGCCTGAACGAAGCGAATGCAAGTGTCTTGCTACGTGCACATGTGTAGGAATGGTTGGCCGAGTCCACCAAGTTTCCAAAACATTCCTATGCCAAAGCTCACCATACTTCAATGCCATGTTCAATGGTCAATTCAGGGAAGCGAGGGAAGGATGTGCAACACTGCGTCCGATTCAAAGTATCGTCTCTAATAGACCAATAACAGCTGCATTCATTGATGAGTATTGTGCTCAGAACATGAGGCTGAAGGAACGGAAGATGGGTGTCGAGGCTTATTATGCAATGATGATACTCTTGTTTCAAGTTCAACAAGTCGACGTACGTGACATGGTTCTACAAGCAATAAAAGAAAAGGGCCTCACTGCACAAACGTTTACATACAACAACTTCTGCGAGTATTCACAAGATTTGAAGGGTCAAGTCTTAATCAGAGAGGGGGAACAGCCTTCCTCTATTCCTGCATGTATTAGAGAATACTAGGAAATCAAAACAAATTATAAGTTTATTCGGAATGAGAGGAGAAGGGTTTATGACCTATAAAGAGAGGATATGAAAAATAGGACGCTAAAAAAGGCATATGGTTTGCTATGGAGATCCAGAGCTGTTATTCTATGTTGAATAGGCTGAAATAACTATACTTTAGCATGGGCAGCGTAACCTGCGCGACCGCTACTAGGTATGCCTTAGGTAACAGGGGAATAATCTTTACTAATATCGTATTTACCTATCCAAAGGCAAGAAAAAAAATCCCTATGAAAAGCTCCTGCGCTCGACATACATGAAAATCTCCTGTGCTCGACATACATGAAAATCTCCTGTGCTCGACATACATGAAAATCTCCTACGCTCATCAGAACATATGATGGAGTTCATATATATGCAAGCATTGAACCCAAAAGGAAGTGCAGCGATTCAACATATAATGAAGATCAAGGGTTCAATGTGCATGGGAATTAAATTCCTATCCATGCCCGAACAATAGCGGCACGGACCGCATTGCCACGAGGTAGCCGCGTTGCCGAATACAAATGCTCGTTAGTAATGAGAATAGCATGGTATTGGAGCAATGGATTCATGAAGCGAAGGATGTTGATGATTTGGGCAAAATTTTGATCTGCTCCCCGGTGGAGACACATGTCGGCGAGTCTGGCAAGCTCTAGAACCTCGGTAATTTGGCTTTGAGGGGCTGATGTATGATCGATGTAGTCATCATAGGCGCGGAGCCATCGCAAAAGGTTTCGGAGGCTTCTATCAGAGACGACACCTTGAATCGGATGCATTGACACACAGCCTGTCGCTGCTTCTAGAAATTGACCTTTGAACATAGGATGGAATGTCTTCGAAACTTGGTATCCTGGGCCAATGTCCCCAACACGTATTCGAACTAGTGCTTGATCGGGTCTGAACTGATGTTAGCTGATGAGATATGACGGCAAGTTCTGTGGACTTTGCTCATCTTCACAGGTTGAAATGGGATATTCATGTTGCTTACCGAGACATATGGCGTCGTGCTCCGGCCTGCGGGCAGCATCCTTGTTCCACTTTTCAAATCCTCAAGGTTGGAACAAAATATAAAGAAAGAAGAGATGGAAGAAGATGATATTGTCGGTTAAATAGTTTTTGTAAAAGATACGACAAACGGTAGTGTGCAATCTGAACTTCAGTAATCGCGAGAGAAGCCAGCCTGGGCTGCCCCGACCCCCTCTCTATGCCCTCTTCTGGATCCCTCCTATTTAATTCTGGGCCATTTATCTCTTACTTATCTCTCACTAGAAGTTACAGCCTTCATGCATATAACCCATGGCAAATATACACACACTGTGACTCGCTGCTGGGGCCCTTTCACCTATTATATATTCCTTATGTATTTGAATGGTCTGGTAGTCTGATTTCTTCCATCGTACTTTATTCGGAGCCTTGGAAGGTCACGATTCCGGTTTTCATAACAACAAAGAGCAGTTTACAGACCAGTACTTGAGTAGGTAGATGCATCTTATTTTGATCATTCACTTCTAATACCGGAGATGCGACCGGAACGACTATACTTCAATGTAAGTGGCCCGGCGCGGGCCGGGCGGAAGCAATGAACCAATCAAATGTTGATTCGGATTTCTACGTACGCGGCCCGACCTCTCAACATTTCAAGTTCAACTTGGAAATTTCCAATCATCTTCAGAATGCATGCTCGGCACAATTTTCCCATTCACAAGAGCTTGAGCACGTATACGTTAATCCTGGTATTGAAGTTCAATTCTCATGGAATAATTCTGCCTATCGTTCTGCATCTTAATGATAACCACCCGCTTTTCACGTTCATCGAAGACACGAGTCACGGCGCTAGTGATCTGTTGACCTGTCACACCGGCTTTGAGATTCAGCCTTGAGGACGAAAAAATTGCCGCCTCTATCTATTGATCAGCGATGCTAGTATAATTTAGACTGCTACCGGAAATATCATTTCGGCCGCACGTTGAAATTGATGGTTCGTGTGTATGTCCACAAAGATCGAAATTCAAATATCGCTGTAAGGCCACCCGCATTAAACCCCTAATAAAGACTGCTGCTACCTACCAACCATATTGAAATTTATTTCTATAACCATGGATGTATGTCTTGTCGTATATGCATACATGTATAGCATCACAAAATTATGAACTCTTCAAAATTCAAGGACTACTCGGTAGTTGACACGTACTATGGCTAAGGTAGGTCCACCCCGACACCCCAGATGTATCAGCTCGCTAATTCAATGTTCAATACTCCGGATGCCCGGGGTTGAATCGCGCTGTACGCAACCATGGACATCGCCGAGATTCTAGATGCACTTTGGGCTGTTGACTCGTCATTCAGAGTCCTTCGTGAGTCTCAGCTCCCTGTAAGACCTTGACATGGGTACACCGTACCTTGGACATCACGAAATTCTAGCTAGTCATTGGCTGGGATCCAGTTCTGTATGCACCGTCCAAGGCTGTAAATAGCTTATACAAGGCACTCCATATGTATGGAGAACATTGAAGTGTCTAGAATCCAGAGTTATCAACCGGGAAGTGGATAATAGTGGACATCAGGAAAGAAGGCGGCTGGACTGGGGAAGAGATTCTTATTTTGTTCAATCCACCAAAGATCACCACGGGATTAACAATTCTACGATCAGATCGGTATTAGGCAAAAAATAAGAGTACATAAAAACATTTGAATGTTCCCGAGTCTTATCAATGTACACCTATCTATACTATCTACCCGAGTCTCCGACGTTGCGCTCGCTTCGGATGTTCGATGCAGATGACTAGAAGACCACGATTTCGACGCAAACTACCCGTCTTACTTTTTTTTTCATAAGCAATATGGCTTGGGCAGCAAGGCTAGAGAGTGCCAACTACAAACCCCTAGCTGGTGGCCCTTTGACAACGAGAGTGGTGACGACTACTGGTGATGTATGGTGACGAGTTCTGCCCCACCCCTGAGAACTCCAGCTAGGAGGAATTTTCATGGTGGAAGAAGAAGCAAGATGTAGTGGAAGGTTGCGTGTCGCTTTTGTTTCATGCTCTGGGCGGCTCTTTACCTATCCAAAACTCAACATTGTGGGTTGATTGGGAATTCCAAGGCTCGCGAGTCCAAGCACATGCAAGTAAAAATAGCAAAAAGGTTCAAAGATCAAGTCATGAGCAAATCTCACGCAACCAGAAACCCTTTATGGTTTTTTAATACGAGAGTTGATTATTAGATTTTGTCCAGATCCGTGGATTTTGTGTCTCTGATGTGTCTCTGGATGAGACATTTGTTTTATTTCAATGTTGATACGAGCTTATCATCTATGTCATTGTCTGCGGGTGCTCTCATCCGGAACAGTGGGGGCAACATTGGAAGTGGGAATTCGAGGATTCTCAGATTAATTAATCATCAAAATTGGTGTGATGGAGCTAGTATACAAGTGAATACACTCAACATCTATGAAACTCCTAATTATTTGAAATTCAAAGGTTTTAGCGTGGTTTCGAGAATAGAAAAGAAGGATAATGGTGGGAGAAATCGAAAAAAAAAAAATCTAAAACCCCCCACCACATCTCATCGAATGGATCCCACCAAATCGGGATTGAGTGATGCGATAGCCGGATACGCCCAGGCCGTCTGGCTCATGCAAGCTCTCGGTGGCTGCATAGAAGCCATCAATGGCGTGGTATCTGTTCTTGGGTCTGTCTCAGACACGGAGACATACCGTAGCCACTCACCTCCGACGATAAGTGATAGGTGCATGAACCGATGTCAGCCCGCAGTATAGCCAACCGCTCGGCCCGATAAGGGCTTCAAATTCAAAATCCATACTTCTCAAAGCCTTTCCATGCCATTCTAAATTGCCTTTTTTGGATCAGAAATTCACTCGCTTTCTTCTTTCACCTTATACTCGCATTTGCCAAGCCAGTGCGAAATCGACTTCATTCGTTATCAAACCATTTAGGGTCCGGCAACTGGGGTTTCCAGCATATCTGGGACCTATATACGGAAAATGCAGTTCTCACTGCTTTTAACACTCTCGTTTTTGACCACCGGTGGCTTATCCTGGCCCTATGATGCATCTCTTGTGGATTGGAATCTTAATCAAAACAAAACCGCTCAAGGCCCAATCGATTACTGGGGGGCCTGGCCGAACCATGACTATCATCCATCACCGGAAAATTGGCGGTTCCCTTTCTATACAATCTTTCTGGATCGGATATCCAATGGCGACCCGACAAACGATGATAACAACGGAACTGCATTCGAGCATGTTATCAACTCGAATCAAATGCGACATGGCGGCGACATCGAGGGCTTGTTAGATACGCTGGACTATATCCATGGCATGGGGTTCAAGGTGGGTTGCCATGCTGGAGACTGAAATTTTTGATCTAACTTATCCAAAACATCCAAAGCTAACTCAGAGATCTCTTGATTTAGGCCATCTACTTCGCCGGGACATATTTAGAGAACTTACCTTGGGCCTACGATGGCTACTCACCGGCGGATACAACCCTCCTCGATAAACATTATGGGACATTGGAGGACTGGAGGCGTCTTGTCACGGAGATTCACGATCGTGACATGTATGTCCTCGTGGACAATACACTTGCAACGTACGTTCATTCTCTGATGCACTTTTCATACATGTTCTTTTTTTTCTAGTTGCCCAAGCTTACACTACTTGGAATTTAGGCTGAGCAACCTGATCGGATTCAAAGGCCACTTGAATGGCTCAGCACCATTCACAGCAGCCGAATACGATGTCGAGTGGGTCACAGACAGACAATATGCGGATTTTTCATTCGGAAACACCTGGAATGACACATGCAACTACCCCAACTTTTGGTACGAAAATGGATATCCCTTGACAACCATGGGAGTCCAGGACCTCAGTGGGTGCTATAACAGTGACTTTGATCAATACGGAGAGCTAGAGGCCTTTGGCAACTTCCCTGACTGGCAGCGCCAGCTCACAAAGTTTGCCTCGGTGCAAGATCGCCTTCGTGAGTGGCATAAACCAGTCCGCGATGTCATCACTCGGCATTCCTGCTTCCAAATTGCCAGTCTCGATATCGATGGCTTCCGCTTCGATAAGGCCGTTCAAGCGACACTTGAGCCCCTAAGTGAGATGATGGCTGTCTATCGCGAATGCGCTAAGACATTAGGCAAGAACAATTTCTTCCTTCCCGGAGAGATCACATCTGGAAACACCTTTGGCAGTCTCTACCTGGGGCGAGGTCGCCAGCCAAACCAGTACCCAGCGTCCCCAACCGCTGGTATAAATTTGACAAACACATCTTCCTCAGATTTCTTCCTCAGAGATGATGGCTTGCAGGCTTTGGATGCTACGGCATTCCACTATACAATTTACCGTTCCATGACCCGTTTTCTGGGAATGGATGGTAACTTGGTTGCTGGCTTCGATTTGCCGACCGATTTTATTGACGCCTGGAACGATATGCTTGTCTCAAATGATTTCATCAATGCATTCACTGGAGAGGTAGATCCCCGACACATGTATGGTGTTTCTAATCAAGACAACTTCCGTTGGCCCTCAATCAAGAACGGCACTGCAAAGTATCTTTTGGGTTTGAATGTTATAACTCTGGTCCTTCCTGGAATTCCTCTCATTTTGTGGGGCGAAGAGCAAGCAATGTATGTGTTTGATGCTACCGCGTCCAACTACCTCTACGGCCGCCAGCCAATGTCATCTCACACCGCATGGTGGACAAATGGCTGCTTCAATCTAAACACAACAAAATTCTACGACTTTCCGATCGAGTCAGGCCGGAACGGTTGCAATGACATCACTGTCACATACGATCAGCGCAATCCTGCCCACCCACTTCGCAACATCATGAAGCGAATGTTTGAAATTCGAGCCAATCACCCGGTCGCGAATGATGGATTCTTTCTCCAAACGATTTCCCAGCTTACGGAAGACATCTATCTTCCTGGATCTTCGACCACTCCCACGGTCACCGGTCTTTGGTCGGTTTTGCGGTCTTATTACCCTAAGATCCAGGTAGATGAAATTACGGCAAATGAAAGTATGTGGCTCGTTTATCAGAATGGGAACACGACAAAGACATATGGCGGCAGCTGTTCTAACAGTACCGCTGCCTTGCTCTCTCCATTCGTATCAGGCCAGAAGTTGAAGAATCTCTTCTATCCCTACGACGAGCTTACGGTGGACGATGGTCCCACGGCAACCTACGGATGCATCAAAGGAGGCATAGAGCTGCTTCCTTGGGAATACAGAGCCTATATTCTAGCTGATTTGTTCGTGGAACCTGGTCCAACTGTCACTGAATTTATTCCTGGACATGATTCTCGGCTCTTGTCTGCAGAAGATACGAGTGAGACCATCCCAATTCAGCTGGGTTACTCTATGGAGATGGACTGTGATATTATCACCAAAGCAATTACTTTGAACTCCACAACAGAGAAAGGAATCACCATCTCTCTCGATACTTCTAGTGTCGTTTGTGCCAACGTTACAGCGAGGACAACAAGCAACAACTACACTGGGGAGATTCCGACTGTTTGGACTTGGTCAGCGAATCTGACCAATGCCTACCATGGAATTCACCAAATCACCGTAGCGAATGTTTCCACGTCTACCAGCTCCGGGATTTATACCAATGCCACTGACAGCTTCTTGCTCCGCATCGGTGTTCCCACCAACCCACTGATCACCCCACTGTCAAATTACTCCACCACTCTCGTGCACAAGTCAGATGATGGATACTACGTCAAGCATAATGCTGCAGGTGCAGACAAGTTCCGGTACTCTGCTGATTTTGGAAGCACCTGGTCGGATTGGACAGCCTATGAAGGAGGCAACACGAGTGTCACCATTCCAACCTTCACTGGGGCATCCAGTCAGGCTTGGAAAGGCACTCATATCCGCGTGCAATACTTTTCAAGGCTCACGGGAAGCGCCGATTACATCCAGGAGGGGGATTACGACTGGAAGGAAAACGCAGCCCGAAGATTCCCGAATATGTGGTTCAATGGCCCATTTAACCAGTACGGCTATGATGCAGGAGTGGACAACAAGATGCAGTTTGACGCGAAGACAATGCGCTGGAACTACGATTTCGTCTATGAATGGCCTGCCGTGGGGCAATTGAATGCGTGGGGCATTGACCCATCTGGTGTTCCCGATAACACGGAGGTGTACGGCGACGTCGGCAACTCCTCGACAATATTGAAGCTTCCCCCGTCTTATCTCTCGTCCAACGTGATTAACATCACCGAGTTGCCCCCGTTCCCACATCTCGGATGGAAGATCTCTCTCAATGATGGTAACCTTCGTTATGAAAAGATTCCCATCGGATCCGGATGGGCCCAACTTGTTCTCTTCATTCTTCTTTGTATTGGACCAATCATTATGGGCCTAGCAGGAGTCTTTATCTTTATCGGGTCGTTCTACCAAGTCAAGCTCAACAAAGATGGCAATATGGTCAAGGTCGAAAAGCTACCTGTGCTATTATGGCGCAAAGTCAAAAGCAAGTTTTCTAAACAGAGCGACCCCGACGCAATTTCAGAAAAGGTTCTTCCGACGGGCATTCTTGTTAGAGGGGACCAACAACGACGTACTGTTTTGATTGCCACCATGGAGTATGACATTCAAGACTGGCAGCTGAAAGTGAAGATTGGTGGTCTGGGAGTCATGGCTCAGCTCATGTCCCTAAACTTGAAGCACCAGAATCTCATCTGGGTGGTGCCATGTGTTGGTGATATCGATTACCCTGTGGACACACCTATTGAACCCTTCGTCGTCACAATTCTCGACAAACCGTACATGGTGAAGGTTCAATACCATATCGTGGACAATATCACCTATGTCCTGCTTGATGCACCAGTCTTCCGGCACCAGACTAAGGCCGAGCCTTATCCACCCCGTATGGACGATCTTGAAAGTGCAATCTACTACTCGGCTTGGAATCAGTGCATTGCGGAGACAATCAAGCGATCCCCATCTGTGGACTTCTACCACATAAATGATTTCCATGGATGTGTCGCACCGCTCTACTTACTGCCTCAAACAATCCCAGTTTGCCTGTCCTTGCACAACGCTGAATTCCAGGGGCTTTGGCCTTTAAGAACACAGAAAGAGAAGGAAGAAGTCTGCTCTGTTTTCAATCTTCCAATTGATACAGCGACCAAATATTGTCAGTTTGGAAATGTCTTCAATCTCTTACACACGGGTGCCAGCTACCTGCGATTTCACCAGCGTGGCTTTGGCGCAGTGGGTGTATCTCAAAAGTACGGAAGGCGATCATGGGCCCGATATCCAATTTTCTGGAGTCTCAGCAGCATCGGAAGCCTTCCGAACCCGGATCCCTCTGACACAGCTTCCGTGGATAAAAATGCAGAAGTGGCGGTAACAGTTCAATCTAATGCCGAATCCATCCACGATAAGCTTCAAGCACAGAAATGGGCTGGTCTGAACGAGGACCCGAACGCAGATTTGCTCGTGTTCGTTGGACGATGGTCCAAGCAGAAGGGAGTGGACTTGATTGCAGATGTCATGCCGGAGATTCTATCCGCCAGGCCTCTTGTCCAATTGATCGTGATTGGTCCCCTTGTTGATTTGTATGGCAAGCTAGCTGCGATCAAACTCCAGCGAATCATGGAAATGTACCCAGGTCGTGTCTTCTCCAAGCCGGAGTTTACAATTCTTCCACCATATGTATTTTCTGGTGCCGACTTTGCCTTGATCCCATCACGAGATGAGCCATTTGGATTGGTCGCCGTCGAGTTCGGTCGCAAAGGTGCCCTCGGAATCGGTTCACGCATTGGAGGTCTTGGGCAAATGCCTGGGTGGTGGTATACTGTGGAGTCAGATTCGGCTCGTCATCTCTTGCATCAGTTGAGAACAGCCATAGAATCTGCACTGGACTCATCTAATGAGGTCAGAGGGGAGATGCGTGCCAACTCCGCCAAGCAAAGATTCCCCGTTCTTGAGTGGGTTCAGAAACTTGAAAAGCTGCAACGAACTGCTATCGAGATCCACCACAGAAAGAACAAGAACAGTATTGTTGGGATCAGTCGAAACTCTCAGGCAGACGGAGACATGCAGGTCCTGCGACCCTCCTCAAGATCCCGCCCTGTTTCTCATCAGTCTATGGCCGAGGTCATGGAAACGGACACAAGGAGAGTATCAGACCCCATTCAGCCTTCTCTTCTCGAGCTACAGGCTGCCGATCTTGCAGAGATTCGGGGGTACAATGGCCCTAGAAACAGCATGCTAGGTCGAACACTGTCACTCGGTAGACGATCTGGACCTGGACGGCTATCCAACGGCGATTCTACCGATGCTGGGGACAGTGGTACCGAGACTCCAACGGAGAGAACTATATCCCCCGAAGAGGCAATGGCGGCATTCAATCAGACTCTTCAGGATCTTGACATATCTCCTCGTGGACGTGGAAATCGACACTCCAATGGCGAGACTATTACTTCTGAGTCGTCACGCTTTGTCTCGCGGGACACTTCCCCAGCCAGGGCACCCATGCTGAATCGAGGTAGTTTGAATTCTGGTGACCCGACTCCCTTTACACACATGCGTAGTTATACTACCGCCGATTCATCTCGCTTTGTTTCAAGGGACACCTCGCCGGTCAGAACATCCATGTATCAAGGTGGCCTAATTTCTGGTGATGCCACACCTGTTAACTACACACGAAGCCTGTCTATGCTCTCGGTGGTTTCTGTCTTTGAGGATCACGACCAACCTGTCTTCAACCTGCAGAAGGTCGACCCCACCTTCACTGACAGTATGGGTTATTTCACACGCAACTTCGAAAAACTACTTGTCAACCTCAACAAGAAAAATTCGACAACAGATCATTGCATCGAGGTTTACTTGACGAAGAGTGAACGGAAATTCTTCGACATGTACACCGACGCGCAGTTAAAAAAGCAGCCCAAAATCTTAGAGCGGCCTCTGACTGGAACTGGCTCAGAGACTGTTGTTGAGGATATGGAGGACGGCAACACCTCGACTCCGCCTGAAGACTTGGAACTGAACGGAGCACAAGACATTGATCAATGGCTTTCCCGTCTGGGCTACAAGAGACCTATGGCCATCCGCAGATTCATGAGATGGCGCGTCGGGAACTGGCCCGTCTACGCTTTGTTCCTGGGTCTTGGGCAGATTATCGCGACCAATTCATCACAAATCACACTTTTGGTTGGTCAGATCGGTGAATCCCCAGTCAAGCTTTACGTGATTGCATCCGTCTATTGCCTGTTCTCAATCTTCTGGTGGTTCTTGTTCTACCGGTTCCCATCCGTCATAGCCCTCACCCTCCCGTGGTTCCTCTACTCTGCTGCATTCATGATCATCGGCGTCTCACCATTCGCACTTTCGACGCTCGGTCAAGCCTGGGCGCACTATGTTGGTGCAGGTGTTTACGCCGCGGCATCCTCCAGTGGCTCCTTATTCTTCGCGCTTAATTTTGGTGACCAGGGTGCTGTCCCAGTCAAAGATTGGATGTTCCGCGCAAGTCTGATCCAAGGTATCTCGCAGCTTTACACGGTCGCACTTTGGTTCTGGAGCTCCCGCGTCACTGCTGTCGAAGTTGAGGGTATTACAACAGCTGCCCTGAGCACATGGAGACTCACAGCTGTGGTGATGCCCATTTCAGCCGTGTGTTTCATCATCGGTGTGCTTCTTGCCCTAGGACTTCCCCAGTACTACCGCCAAGCACCAGGAAAAATCCTCTTCTTCTATAAATCCCTGTTCCGTCGACGCATTGTTCTGTGGTTCTTCTTCATGGTCATCATCCAGAACTGGTTCCTTTCAGCCGTATTCGGTCGCAACTGGACATTCCTTTGGTCTTCTCAACATGCCAAGTCATGGGAAGTCCTCATCTTGGTCTTATTCTTCTTTATTGTTGTTTGGGTTGCTGCTCTTCTTATTTTCCGTTTCTTGTCGAAAGAGCACAGCTGGATCTTACCTGTGTTTGGTCTGAGTCTCGGTGCGCCACGATGGGCACAAACCTGGTGGGGCGCTTCAAACATAGGCTACTACCTCCCATGGGCCGGAGGCCTGACTTCAGGAGCTCTGATCTCGCGATGCCTCTGGCTCTGGCTCGGTGTATTAGACGAGATTCAGCAAGTTGGTTTGGGAATGATCTTGTTACAGACATTAACCAGGGTCCACGTCTGCTTCGTCCTCTTGGCTGCTCAGGCTCTTGGATCTATTGCCACAATTTGTGCGCGTGCCTTTGCACCCAACAAAATAGGCCCTGCTGGTGTCTCTCCAGATATTGGCTCATCATTGGACAGGGTTGCCAATGCGTGGTTCTGGGTTGCTCTCGCCTTTCAGCTTTTCGCCAGGTATGTTCCTCATCTGAGATTTTTTCTTCTTTGTTGTGTCTCAGATACATTTGCTAATCCGTTTGCAGTTTCGGTTTCCTTCTCTTTTATCGTCGAGAACAGCTTAATAGGCCCTGATGATTTAATTTCTTATTTACGACGTAGCATGACACGATAGGCGATCTTCCAAGGTTTTACTCTATGTATTATATATGTGTATATGGAGGTTTTAATATGGAACGATGTTGATTAATTTTCTTAAAAGTCAAATCACTCCATTCAATGCTGTGCTCCTGAGTTCAGTAACATCAACTTGAACTTCCAACATTTGAAGCTGTGAAGTTGAAGGTAAATCTTAGTTAGTGGGCAAATTTGACCAATTCAAATGTTCAAATGTTCAAATGTTGATGGCTACTCCTCTCGAATGGTCTGATCGACAATCTCTGCAGCCCAAAGGCACTTTTCGTCCTGGAAGCGTGGTGTAATAATCTGTATGGCGCACGGCGCTCCATCAACTTCGGCTGGGTTATCTGTCTCTCGTTAGCCCTGGTTTGCCCCTTGATTTATTGATTCAGCTTACAGTCTGGTTGGACTTCATCGCCTGTTTGCATAGTATCCGGATCAAGTTCCTGAGATGCCTTGCCAAACGGAATGACGCAAGCGGGGTACTGTAAATTGCGTTAGTAATGGAAGACTTGAAGACTTCGAAACTCCAGATCTCTCTTACATCTAGCAGATTCCACATGACTGTATATGGTGGCCACCCATACGTATCGTGGACCACTGCGGTGTTCTGTGCTCCCGGGGCTAGTACCACATCGAGCTTCTGGTCAATCCAGACTTGGCGCCAAGCATCATGAACCTCTTGACGAGCTTCATGCAACTTCTGGATCTTTTCAAAGGGACCCAACTCCATATCGACTGGGAAAGGCCCAGTGAACATGGGAGAATCAAATCTGGCGACCGATTTTACAAGTGGCTCGCCGCTGGACTGGATATTGTCTTCCGAAGGACCATAAATGAAGTATTGAAAGGCAAGTCGAGATGCATATGCAACAGAAAGCTCTTGACTAGAGCTTTCAAGGTACACAATGCGATGTCCAGCGCGAACTAGCTTCTCAATAGCTCCCTCTAAAGCTCGCTTAACGGGTGGATGAAGTGGGAATTGCGCATCCTCGGCAAGAACTCCAATTGTCAAGCTCCCGTTACGCTCGGCGATTGCGCGGGGGCTCTCATTCCATGGCACAGCAAAGGCTCCAGAGTCATATTGCCAAGCTTTGCCATCATCAAGAATAGTCTTCATCAGCAGTTGCAAATCGGCAATGCTGTGAGCCAATGGACCAGCAGCGGGAATCAGACCTGGGAGGCCTTCCATTGCACCTGAGACCTGTCCTCCGAATGGAACTCGGTTGGCGGTCGGCTTGAAACCGTATACTCCACAGCATAGTGCTGGAATACGGATTGATCCGGCGATATCGGTTCCGATACCTAAGATTGATCCCCGATAGGCCACAAGGGCACCTTCTCCGCCACTGGACCCACCGGCCGTGAGAGATGTGTTGTGCGGGTTGAGAGTACGGCCAAAAATATTGTTTTCCGAATCTCCCGTCTGCAAAATATCAGTACGAACCATTCAAAATTTGAGCGAGATAACTTGAGGGCCACCTACCATCATCGTCTGCGGAATGTTGGTCTTGACATACAGAACTGCTCCTAGGTCTAATAGCATTGCAACGAGAGCAGAATTCTTAGTCGCTGGGGCATGCTTCAAGAACGAGACATATCCCACGGTCGACTGCAAGCCTTCGATGCAAAAACTATCTTTGACACTGATGGGCAAGCCGTGCAGTGGACCAATGGGTCTTTTCTCTCGTTCGAGATACTCATCCAAGAAACGAGCTCGTTCCAATGCTTGGGGAAAGTAAGTCTCTGTGAGGCAAGATGTCTAGTAAAAGGTCAGAATTTGAATTTATTGAACAAAGACCAAGTCATAAGATCGGTAACTGACCAACTGCTGCGCAATTGCAGCCCGTTTGCACAAGGCCGTCGTGAGAGCCAGGGAACTGACGTTGCCCGAAGCAAGCTTGACTAACAACTGTGTCGCGCTGTAATTCTCCGTGAGATCCAGTTCGAGTTCCGAGAGAAGACCGCTTTTTCTGGGAACATCGTAATCTATCAAGTGCGTGGGCACATTGAGGAGATCGGTACTCAAGGTCCACTCGCGTGGGATTTTCGACTGGCACTCGGAGCGCTTACGAGTGACGAGTTCCTGCCATTCAGGAATCTGAGTTAATTCGTTGGCCATGTTGCTTCAAGATTTCTGAATTGGAGAGTACGTTGTTGGAGAGGACAATTGTTTATATACACGAGTTCCCAAGTTTAGTCTCGGCATATCCCATGATTCCCATCCACGCGTGTGGACCCGGGGCCCCACTTTTCCATAGATCGATGTGACTGTGCGTCCACTTGCCTAATCGGGATAGCTGCCTTGAAAGTCGCGACTCGCGCTTATCAGCTTATCGGCTTGTCTGCTCCCCTGGGGTATCATTCGGTAATCCGAAACCCATCCATCTGCCGCAGATTTATGCCTTTGCCATTACATCTTCCGGCTTCACACCCGGGAAATTTGTCAGATGATAGGCATCTATCCAAATCTTTTCTCCTTCGCATACCATGACGCCAAGACATACCAGCCCGTTCAACCAGTTGTACGGCCCCGGTCCGGCCTCGATCCGGAGATGAGAAAAGAACTCCACGTCGTCCTGCGACACAACCGAGGGCGGCATCATCATCGGATCACTTTCCACTTGTTTCGCGTAGCTTGTGTTAGGTCCGGGGCGATAGAGACCATGGGCGCGGATGTACAAATAGTGATTATCGGTGGTTCGAACCGTGTAGCGGGCATCAAGGGTCATTGACTGGAATTTTCCTTATTAGAAAACATCCTTATATCAGGTGATTTTGCCAGCCACTTACATGAGTCCCTTTCACGACCGTTGCCCAGTCGGCCCCTCCCAGAGGAAGAACTGAACCCTCAATTCCATCACCCTTCACACTGCCTCGCACAATATTTGCGATGCTGCGCATAACCCCGGCATCATGTGGAGCACCGACATTGATCTCTTCTTTTTCGATATCGCATTCGAGTCGATAAAGAAAAGAAAGAGAGGGTTGCCGCATTTGCGGGCCTTCAGCAAAGACATTGTTTCCTGGAGATGGAGATGAAGACATGATAGCGAGCGTAGTCTGATGACCTTTGATCTTGATATGCTCGTCATTTTCCGCGGTCAATGATCCTTGCTTTTATAGTTGTTGGACCTGCTGCTTTTGTCTGTATCATCGAACTAGGTTCAACTAACCAGTAATTAGAGAGGGGCGAAAAGATCCCCGCATTGAGAATCAAATCGGGAAGGCAGACCCACCTTATCAGTAGATCCCAAATTGTCTAAAAAAACAAAGAAATTCAGATGTGGAAACGTGTGGTCAGACACGCTCAATCAGGGAGGTCCAGCAGGATTCATGTGATCCCGTGACGAGGGTCATTTGCTTCCTGATATCGGTATATTTGAAGCTCTCTTTTTATTCTGAATTTCACTCCAAACTTCTCCTTACTCCAATCTTCTCACCATACACAAACGCTTTGACTCCAAACATTGAACATAATGCCGCACGCATTGTGGCTTCTTGAGGACCCAGCAGTCTCAGCTCAGGATAAACAACGGGCTGTCGACCGCATCTACTCCGACCCCGGCATACCAAATGCAAACACTACCTCTTCATTTTGGCAACAGACGCCGCATCCGCAGTTCGCGGAGCAAAACAATCAGCCCCTGGCTTCAAATGCCGATGTCGTCATCATTGGCTCGGGGATAACAGGCGCAGCCATTGCACGTACACTTTTACAAAGCCGTGCTAAAACTGCTTGCTCGGACTCATCTCACCCGGCGGTCGTTATTCTTGAAGCCAGGGGCATTTGCAGTGGTGCAACCGGTCGCAATGGTGGCCACATTCTTGAAACGGCAGATGAATATGCCGAGCTAGTAGACGAGTGTGGAGAGGAGGTGGCGCGAAAGACGATGCGTTTCCGATTGGCGCATTTGAAAGAAATGCTGGGCGTGGCAGAGGAATTGGGCCTCACGGAGGAGACGCAGGCACGGAAGGTGCAGTTCTTAAGTGCTTTCTTTGGAGATCAGCCATGGAAGGATGCTTTGGAGAGACTTCGCCGATTCAAAGAAGGTATGCCAGAGGAATCAGCGGAGTGGACTTCATATGACCGAGATTCGATGCCAGAGGTTAGTATTCTCAAGTGCTGGTTTGCAGTTGCATTTAAACCCCATTGACTAATATTTGTGAATGGCAGGAGTTCAAGCTCTCAAGGGCAACCGGAATCGTGGCTGGTCCTGCTGGAGCGCTATGGCCCTACAAATTTGTTACGGGCGTCTTGGCCAGACTTCTTGCAGACTATCCAGATGATTTCCGAGTTCATGGCCATACCCCGGTTACGTCCATTGAAAACGATTCGTCTTCTACATACAAGTATAAAGTTCAGACAAGCCGAGGAATCATCTCTGCTCGTCATGTCATTCATTGCACAAATGCTCACGTCAGCCATTTAGTCCCTGGTCTACGGGGTCGCATATTTCCTGTGCGAGGGCAGATGTCCGCGCAAACGCCAGGAGACAAGTTTCCCTGCCAGGCATACAAGCACTCCTGGCTGTTCAACTACCACCGCGGCTTCGACTACCTAACGCAGCTTCCAACCGGACAAATGATGTTCGGTGGAGGATTTGCTCAGGGCCAGCTTGGCGGAACTACAGATCTGGGTGTAGCCACAGACAACGAGCTGTGCACCTACATCGATATCCATCTCTCTGGTGCATTAAGCGCAATCTTCGGTCGAGAGTCCTGGGGCCGTGTACAAGGCGACCCGGTGCAGGCGATGTGGACCGGAAACATGGCATTCAGTACTGATGGCTTCCCGTGGGTGGGACGCTTGCCGGCCTCTGTAACACGTCGGCCATCATCGGAAGGGGCTGGAGGTGAGTGGATATCTGCCGCGTTTGGTGGTGACGGCATGGTGCAGTGTTGGTTATGCGGGAAAGCCTTGGCAACCATGCTGCTCCTGCAGGATGGGTCGCTGGACCCTGCCGCTGATGCAGATCTTTCTTGGGTACCAGACCAAATGTTGGTTACTGAGGAGCGCCTTGTTGCGGCTGAGATGCCGAGGACTGTCCCTGGCCTCCAGCGCGAATCTCATTTATAAGAACACTTCATGTGTCAGAATTTGTTATCAGTATAATATGGATGAGTTTCCAAGGTTTTGTCTTTGAATGTTTTCATATGAAGCCCTAGAGGCTATTTCTGGAGCCAGACAACCATGTCCCATAAATGGCTGAGTTTATTAGCTGAGAAACAGGCAGAATAATTCCATGCATGCTCACATATGCAGTTTATCTTACACGTACTAGTATTCAAATCAATTAGCTGGCGTTAGGACTCAGTGCTCTGGGTAGCAATGTTGACATCGTAATTTATCGAAAACATGGACATATTTGTTATCTAATATCATGTTTCCAAGCACTTGAGGCCTAAATAACTTCATTCAGTCCAGTGTCAAAAATTGCCAATACATCCTTGGATTTTCAACTCATGTTACAAATAGCCTCGTTGTGGCTTCAAATTAAATTGTAATTCCATGCTCACATGCACATAGATGTTTCTGCATATATGAGTCCACATGCAGTGACCTTCCAATCTCAATCTTGGAATTTCAGGGTCTTAGCCTTTGGACTGGCGATGAAAGACCCACTAATGCCCAACGCTTCCCTGCGTTTCGATCATTCGCCGGTATAGTGCAGCCGATGCACGTCGAGCATCCTTACCCCAAATGATCATTGGAACCATCAAAGACGTAACTCCGAGGCAGATAAATCCGCAAGCGATAAACATATTTTGGGTGCCATTTTTCTCCATCCATGGGCTAATTGCAAATGGAATTCCAATAGAAACAGCATTGCGCATAAAGGCAATTGCTGTAAAAGCATCACCAGTAACCTAGATAAAGTTATTAGCTCGTTTCAATAAAAAGCAAGAACAGGATAAAGCAAAGAGCAATTTCCAAGGAACTTTACATACCTCAATATAGCTGTCGATGACCAACGTCAAGGCAGCATCACTGATACTTCCCAGTCCAAATCCAAAGAAAACACCAGCAATACTAGGATAAATCCAATGCATACCCTAGAGATGAGAAAATCAATAAAATTAGTCGGCGACTTGACTTGCATGTTTGACTCGAGAAACAAGCATCTCAAAGAATGTTAGCGAGGGATAGAAGTAGCATTCACTTACCCGAGCAATGGTAGCGCCAAACATGACCAAACCTCCAGTCATGAAAACTGCAGGTATAGGCAGAATATACAAACGCATCTCAGGCTCAAAGTAGCCTTTATTCCTGCGCGAGAAGTATAGAATCGACCAATCGCCAAGAACACCACCATAGATCGAACCCAAGAGGTTTCCAATAAATGGACCCACACTCATAAAGCCAATCTGCTCCGGGTTGAACGCATATGGCGGCAGTGGGAATGTAAGCGATAGAACGGTCGACAATATTGTGAGCATTACCACACCACAAGCGTATTGCAATGCTGTATACATGACAGCTGGGAAGCTAATAAGAACGTAAAAGGGTCGGTAGTAATATGGCCAGATGGATTCGGGCGTTGGTGTGGCCAGGGCCAGACGTTTTCGCCATGTGTTCATTGGAATACTAGTGTCCAGTTCGCGATGTAATGTGCTTGGCTCGACAATTTGTGAGGGCTTGGTTGTGGATTGAGACGGCTCCTTTCCATCATCCTCTTTGGCTTGATGTATACTGTTGTTTCTTTCTTCCTCCAGCCGTGACTGACCAGTAATCACGGGAATATACTTAGTTTCCTCATAAACGAAAATGAAAAGAATCAAGAAGATGGCGTTGAATATGCCCATGGTGCGGTAGGACCAGCGCCAACCTTGGTTGGTTGCCTGTGTACCTGCGGCCATAGGAGCCAAGAAGGACTAAGCATAGAGTAAGTGAGGCGTTCCGTGCGGGCAGATATGGGGTAACATAAACATACTCCAATCATAACCATAGTCATATAAAGAGCATTCATTCGGCCTCGTTGGTGCACAAAGAAGAGATCCGCAATCTGTGCGACGTTGGTCAGGCGCCCTTGTACAATATAAAGACTCAATTGTTTCACTCACCGTAATCTCAACTATAGCCTCATTTGTTGCACCTGCCAGTCCTTGCAGCAAATTGGAGACGTAGAGCCCTGTCAAATCGTGTAGCTCGGCCGACCAGAAAGAGGTAATCAACATCAGGATGGTTGAAACAATGTAAATAGGACGGCGGCCATATTTCTTCGCCAAGGGAATGAAGAGAAAACATCCCGATGCCAAGCCAACAAAGTTCACGGACATTGCCCTGTTAAGATCCGTGTAGGTGGTCTTGAGATCGACAACCATTTGCTGCCAGAAAATGGTCTGCACACTAAGTCTGTTCAAATAAGTTAGTTGGGTCCAGTCCCATAACTGGTGATATGGTGGGACTTACGCTGTAAAGATAACGACTGTCATGCCTAGAACAATGGTGAAATTGACGATCTTGCGAGCCATGCTCCAGTTCTAAGAGAAATTGATTGAATATTTAGTTTCAGGTTGTCCAAGTCTCAATTATTCGGGAAGACGAACGTACCAATGGCTGGTTTGGGTCGGTGCTTGGAATGGGATCAAGCATAATAAGCCTCTGATTGTTGGTGTCATATTCATCTTCTGTAAAGATGATCAATGAGAGTTATATAGATGTTTCAAGGCCAATGCGAGTCGCTGCTTACCTCGAATCAATAAGAAGGTTCCTGGAGGAAGATCATTTTGCTCCATAGAAGACGAAACGTGAATAGTATCAGCCATGTTGTGTTCGGAAATCGAGTTGCTCCGGACATCGAGGAGGAGGGGAAGAAAGAGCTTTTAAATATCACCCTTGGAATCAGATATTCAAAGTAGTGATACACATGATGAGCAGGACATTTGCGCCACTCAGATAGAAGATATTGTGGTTGGGACAAACCCAAAGGTGCGCCTCGTTATCTGGGGGCCCGGGGGAAATGCGGAGAAACAACTCCTATACCGATGGGGTCAACACTGCAATATCAGCCTCCGGGTGTCCACCTTCCGCAATTGGGTTAGACCGCTCCGATAAATTTTTGCCAAGAACAAGGAACGCGTTGATATGGGGCTTTCGCTTCCCACACAGGACTTGGGCACTACGCCGCTAGTGTCCTCAAGTCTCGGTATGGTGATTGTCCAACCCAAATACGGAAGGTGGAGCCACCAATCTAAAAGAACAAGATGATGTTCTTATCAAAAAGAATAATCGACTGGCCTTCTTGATCTCGCGTAAGTTTTAGCGAGATCAATACTGAGATTCACATGTACCCCTGCCACGTCTTATCAACTCCCAATAGCCACTTCGAAAGTAATCTCGATTTCGCATTGCTTTTGAAAGTCGTTATCGAAGCTCGAGGGTCGGGCTAGAGCATACAATGGCCAAGCAGATCACACAAGTCAACCTACATCGAGTTCACAATGGTACCAGCTGCTCCCATTCCACATGAGGAATTCTTATGGGCCCTTTCAACTGACATATCCTCAGAGAAATCCATTTCAGCGATCGCACGAACCGTCAATGCTTCATTCTCCTCTGATCCGCTGATTCGATGGCTGCGCCCAAATGCAACGACCTGGGATAAGCCTGATGATTCAGTATGGAAATGGCAATATCGACGCATCCAGTCAGTGTTGGTTCATGGCGAGGTTCTCCAATCAGGCGACGTCCAGGAGATGGCGCTCAAGTTTCCGCGGAAGCAAAGAAAATCTACCGAGTCGGTTGAGCCCGATACGACGCTGATAAAGGAGGCACAATCATCGGTCACAGCCAGCATACCGGGCGCTGATGATGCAGGTGCTGTCGTCTTCTTGTTCCCACCCAAAGAACAGCTAAGATGGTCATTATCAAGGTTGTGGCTCACATGGAAGTTGTTTCTACTTGAAATCCTAAAGCCAGCATACGACGATGGATGCAAGAAACAGGTGAATGAAATTTTAAATTGGACTTTAGGTACTCAGATACTGATCCGTTATCTTTCTAGCGCGTCGATCAACTCCTTGCGGCGAATAAAACTGGATTGGAGAGCGTACAGGCTCAATACTCGAAGCAAAAGATGTGGTATCTTGAAGTTATCGCTGTGCATCCGTCACTGCAGGCGCGTGGAATTGGAGGGGGTGTCATGAGGTCAATCTTACAGCATGTTGGAGACCAGCCGATATACCTTGAGTGTACTCGTCAGGAGAATATTGGGTTTTATGAAAGTTTCGGGTTTCAAGTAGTCAATGAGGTTGAACTAGTGGATGAAGAACAGAATCTCAAATTTTGGGCTATGGTTCACTCGGGGCAAGGATCATCAGAGGGCAGATAGATTATTATGCACCTCAGGGACCCTGTAAACATATGGATACACGGCTGAGAAGACAGATTTCAAGAGAATGTGCGCCAATCATAACAATCCCATTTCTATTCCCTTCACCCTCGCAATATCATCAACGCTAAGAATTGGATCATTCTTCTGCCACATTTCATGTAGTAACTCCAACAAAAGATCATGTTGCCGTGAGCCGCGCATACATTTCTGAATATTAATCTGCCATTCCGGGTTCTCACACAGAACGGAAACTTCCAAGCCAGCAACAACAATAGGAAATAAAATTGCATTATGGATAAAAGTATCCTCGATCGGACGTTCTCCACACGCAAGACGAAGGGCATCAATATTCGCCAAAATTCTAGTTACGAGAATGTTCGCATTAGCCGGACAAGCACTGGGCTGGCGCCAAGCGGAGAAATTCCGGGGTTCTCGCGACCGGTGTTCCTCCAGCCGTGCGTGGCGACGAAGGGTCAAGATCCCAGCTAAGCGATAGGCTTCCCATAAATAGCACTGTAAAAAGCTCCCGAGCTCACCCGGCCAGTCCCAGAAACTCTGTTCTGTGGTATTGCTTCCGATGCCGGCGAACAGGTCTACCAAGGCTCGTGGCAAGCCAGTCACAGGCTCGATCCCCTCTCTAGGCGAAGCAGGCTGACAGTAGCGGCGCCATATTCCAATGCCGGGGGTCTGACGACCAATCGAGAAGAATGGCAGGTCCATTACCCCCATGACCTCGACCAAATGGATACGGAATGGAGTCTGGGAAGCTGCGCGATGCTTATCGGCCAAGCCGTGGCTTTGTAGAATATTGTGCATGCCTTCTAGGTGGATGCTCCAGGGCAGACCATGTATCAGCTGTTCAAAATATGGGGTCAGAACCTTATATGAAAGGTGAAAAAAACAAGAGTTGGGGTCACGCACGCCAATGCTACACAAAAGTAGCCCAGCTGTCAATGTCCCATCGGATAGAATTGTACTTCGGGCCAGTTCAGATCGGAATTCTCGTAATGCTGTATCAAAATATTCGAAGAATTGAGGTGATTGGGTGGAGGACAGAGAAAGTTGGAAGGCTAAACAGATTGTGTACAAAGCACTGGACTCTTGACATAGTTCGGGTAGTCGAGGTTGCAGCATCCCATCTCGGGCAGTAGTGGAATGGAGTACGTTGATCCCTCCGTTCATAACTTGGATATTTAGTATTCCGGAGCTCCACCGTTCATCGCCAAAATAAAAAGACTTACATTCATTAAACAAGGCCTCGTCCTGCTTAGACCGTTCTGGTGGAAGAGTAACAGGCCCCCCGGTATTAGGAACCATGGCGTATTCATCTTCTGGGTACTCATCGACACTGGGCTGTGAATTCTCAGGACTGGTCAATTGTCCCGCATCATTAGGTGACGACGCTTTTAATTTCTTTCTTTCCCTGTTCAGGTCTCTTTGGCGACCCTTGGGCCTCGACGGGACACTCTCTTTCAAAGGCTTATCTGCGCCCGTGAACTGGCCCCGAGAGGCGATTCCGCTACCCCAGCGCAATCTAATTTCATAACCTTCACACTCAATCCCCCGTCGTGCACAGTTCTGACATGTCGGGTGGGTCTTATCGCAGCCTCTACGGCGACGCTTGCAGGTCCAACACCCTTCAGAAGAGCGGGTCGACATTCCGACTTCGGAGAGGGTCACGACTCAAGAGCGGAGAGACTTAAGCCCTTGGAGTCAATAAACAAGCGGCAAGCCTTCCTGGATCTCGACTGCATTAGAATTTATGTACTGTAAATCTTCCAAAGTTGGAATGCGGGGAAGTTCAAATGATAGTGGAGCGCTCAGCGGGAATCGGGACTGCTGATAAGCTATGGAGGGTCAAGCTGCCTATTCGAGCGATTAGGTAACAGAATGGAAGAGACCCAAGACTAGGTATTTTCCAAGGTTGGAAATTTGGTAAAAACTATATAAAACGGAGTGACCGGAAATATGTTTGAAATCAAAACCAATCGATATGTCTTTTCAGGCACCAGTTGGGACGTGCAAAGCCACCATCCCCGGTCTAGGAACGGTGGACGGCTTGGAATATGCCAATGGCGTCCAGCAATTTTGCGGCATTCCCTATGCACATCTCTCCAAGCGCTGGACACGGTCAACACTGCAAAATAAATGGAATGACGAATATCATGATGGAACAAAATTAGGGTAAGACCGTCTCCTACACATTCGGCCTTCTGTATTCACATTACTCCAGCAACGATTGTCCAAGTCCCATTGTCGATGGAGATGATAGCGATGACTTGGTCCCCGTACCACCACCAGCGCATTTCAACCAGTCTCGGGCCGTGGATGAACAGTCCGCTCTCGTCATGAATATCGTGATTCCGCATTCCTTGAAGCCAGATGTCGAAAGCCTTCCGGTATTCGTCTATGTCCACGGCGGCTCCCTGTTGTATGGGGGTGCAAACCTCCCAATATTCGACGCGGTAAACCTTGTTTCTCAAAGCATTGTCATCGGTATGCCCATCATCTGCATAAACTTCAACTACCGCGTCGGCATCGGTGGATTTCTCGCTGGAAAAGTCATCGCAGAGGAACTCAAGCAAGACGGGTTCGCGGGAAGCGGAAATTTCGGCTTCACGGACCAGCAAGTTGCTTTCGATTGGGTGCAGCAATACATCGAATTCCTTGGAGGCAATCCCCTGAATGTGACCGCCGTTGGCGAGTCTGCGGGTGGCATCTCAATCAGTAACCAGTTGCTCTCAGCGAACCCGCCAGTCTTCCATCGGGCTGCATGCATGTCTGGTCTATCTGCAGCCATTCCCGCATGGACTATTGAGCAACATGATCTGTTTTTCCAGGCTACCTGTCGTCAATTCAGCATTGATCCATCCGCGCCTGAAGCTTTAGATCAACTTCGGGCTATTCCCCAACAGGAACTTGCAAACACAACTCCAACTATTCAGGGAGTTCCCTTGGGAACGGGAAATCCGTGTCTAGACGGGTGGTTTTATCGCGCTGGAGTCAATCCCCGAGAAGTCAACACCCCGCCTGCGTGGCTGAAGGGTTATATGTTCGGTGATACATACCATGAGGGTGTTATTTTTCATCTAAACCTGCTCGATGAAAACTACCATTCTGTCCGCCGAGTTCTCCAGGCTGATATTAACAACGACGCCTATACAGATAAGATTCTGGCAGCATATGAAATCGAAATTGACTTATCGCAAGATGAATTTTTGAAACGCGTGGAACATATGTGCGGTGACGCGATTTTTAAGGTTCCAAACTATTTGCTTTCCCAGGTGGCAGGAGAGGCTTCTTTTCTCTATCACTTTGACCAGCGGTCGCGTCTTCAAAATCCTCTTGAGGGAACCGCTTACCATGCTCACGAGTTGCTTTATCTTTTTATGAACTTGGAGAATGAGTTCAACGAGGAGGAGAAGCAGATGGCTCGTGAATTTTCCTCGGCTTGGATTCGATTCACAAATGGCTTCGCGCCGTGGAGTGTGGAGCGCCAGGAACGTAAATGGATGGTTTGGGGGCCAAGCAGTAAAGTACAATTGAAAAGCGAGGCTGAAGATCAAGAAGCGCGTGATTATCGGCGGATTCGCGAGATTTTGCAGTTGGATGGAGGGGCATGTTGGAAAAGATGGTTGGCTGGAGTGGACGCGTTGGTCAATCGGCGGTGGAAGCTGTTTGGTCAAGCTCAAGTAGAATATCCGAAATGAGTTAAATTTAAACATTTACAAATGTCAACGCTTTCTTTCAAACATTGAATGTTGTGCAACATTTGAACCCTTTCAATTAGTAAGATTCTCTGACATGAGTAACAATTGGCAAGTTAATAGTTCCAAATCAACGTTCATCGCGTAGGCATAATTCCGGCTTAATGGGAGGAAACAATTCTAGTGTCAACACCATGGGGAAACTTGCAGCCCTTCCCTGGCCCAGTACAACTTCTATGTGGACATCGGTGGCCATTGACACAATTCCCATCATTACACTCCAGCCCTTTTGGACACACACCCAAACGGGCAACTGACATCAAACCAACTGCATCTTGCGGACCAAGTCTTGGCTCATGTCGGAAAGTACAAGACTTTCCCCATGCGCAGGCGCCCAATATATGAAATTGGTTGCAAAATTTCGCCCTCATGAGAGCCTCAAGTTTACCCTTCGTTATGGCCTTCAAAGGGCCATCGACCCGTTCACCATTAACATTTTTGTGTACCAACAACTTTGGACCGTTGGCCGCCGGTGTTTCTGTGGGTGAATCAATTTCCGTTGGACGATTATTTGATACTGGGACCTTCCTTTTCGTCACGGAGGCATAGTTTGAAGTCGGTGTCCGCGGTGGTGTGGGTATAGTAGCAACTGTTGCACCGCCAGATGATACTTTGCGAGAAAGCATATTGGCTCGGAATACTTCAGGGAATGAAGTTGTCTTGAAGTGAGATGCCTCATGCTTCAATTCACGGGAGAATGGAGGGCCCTCTACCAGGGTAATACGATCTGATCCACGATGCTCTCCCAATACGCGGGCATAGCCATTATCCGCAGATCCACAGAAGACGATATGTTGACAGTGGATGTTGAGAACATCGTGGTCAAAAAGAGCTGGGGTATGGATTAGCTGTGATTTCTAGATCGCAGTATAAAACAGCAGCATCTTACCTTTAATCTTCACATCAGAGCATTCCTTCCCACTCCCTGCATCCACGAAGTCACAGCGAGCATTTTCCACGTTAAACCCTTGGATAAAAGATCTCAGCACATCCTGGGAGCTTATGATACCAGTATCGCAGTACGTGGCTGCTAAACCAGCCACATTTGCATACACCCTAACCTGGTAGTGGATGTTGGAGCTGGCGTCAGCTTTGACATCTCGAACATAACCTTGAACCGCTTGAATAAGAGCTTTCGCTGCAAGGCGACCACCTTCGTGTCCCTTTTGAACAAATTCGTCCTTGAACTGCATGTTTGAGTCTTTAGTTCAAGTCAAAAATATGATCTGTGGGGAAACATTGTACTCACGTTCATGTGATCACCATCAACAAGTACTGATGCAAACTGTAACATCGCCTATTATCGTGTCGTTAGTTGCATGTTTCACTTTGTACTAGCAGATTCGGAGTCCAGCGATCTCAAAGAAGGCATCTTAACACGTACTTCCTTGTGACCCTTCTCTTTCAGTTCAACCTGGCATTTCTCGGTCTCATCTTTATAAAATGAAGCCAGATTCTTCCGGTCTTGAGTTTCATTCTTCTCGCGCCGGATGTCCTCTTCAAGGCTTTCAACATGTAAAAGAAGTTCCTTCACTCATGAAAGCCTGTCAGTAAAGTCTCGGTATTGCCACAAAGGTTGTATTCAAAGCGTGCCTCGATAATCTTATCCTTGTTATCCTCAGTTACTCTGAGAGTCTCGTATCTGTTTCTCAACTCCGCCAAGTTCAACATTATGCCCATTTCCAAGCTTCAAACTGGATCATGGCCCATGAATGAGGGAAGAAAATCAGGCAGGGTGATCCCTCCCCATATTTGTACGGCGTACCCCGACTCCCTACCATTTAATACGGAGACGGCACAGGTGCTTCATCCAACATATTTCCGCGTTTAGAAGATGTTGGTTGCTCATGTGCATGCTATTGGTACCGTGGAATTGCCACGTCACCGCCTCATTAAGCGAGTGGTGGTTGCAAGGTTTATAACGAGGCGCTGCGAGGCAAGAGCTGCGGCAAGGCGTTTCTCAGTACCCCTCCCCAAATGCGCGGCATTCTGACTGCCCCGAAACGGCTTGAATTCTGGAAGAATGACAATACCCATATGTAGCGTAGGGCAGAGTTAAGTTCAGCATTAGATTAAATTTTGAGATCAGACGTCGGGAAGATCAAGGGCGAAGCGTATCTCAAGTGCGTCTGCTCAGATATAGGAATCTCTCTACGCAAGTAAACCTTGCACGCGGAACATGACCAAAATCTTTACGAGGAAATCAACTTTGGAAACATTGAGTCAAGTACTACTAGTAGGTATTCATCCGAACAAAACTATAGATGCCGTTCGAGAACTTTGTTTCCTCTCTATTACCACACATACCCTTGCCCCGGAAATGCAAATAAACCGTATCAGCACGAGAGAGGAAGGTAGAGAGCTGAGAGAGCTAAGAAAAGAATGGGCGAAAAGAAAATAAAGAACAAACATCGAGTCGCCCCGAGACAAGTCCAAAATACATGTTACAAGATATAAAACAGGTCTTCAAGGTGGCACCGCTCGTGCCAGCACGCGAATATTATCCACAAATCCCTTTACCAACTCCTCGTACTGATTAGTCGGGTCCCCATTCATGGCAAGTTGACCCTGTCGGCGGATTTCAGCGGCGGACACTTCAACTTCGAGCTCGTGTTCGAATTCATTTTTTGTCGGAGGCTATTGTCAAATGTCAGAAGACTGCATATGGGTCACACAGGGATTGAGGGATGGGTAGTAGTGGTGGACTCACCTCAGCTTGGGCTACTTGGGTCAAATCAACTTGGTAGGCCAAGTGTCGATAGCTCATGCGGTCCTTGTTTCGCTCACCACGGCCACCTTTAGACATGTCCACTAGCGGCAAGTTGCGATGATCGCCTTCATACTCCATTTCTAGATTCACGCTCACGCGCCAGTCGACGGTTGTGCGTGGGCTACACACATCAATATCGGCAACCCGACATTTGACAATCTTTGCGAGCACTTCACCAGTCCGTTGGTCTGTTGTCACCCGGACTTTTGGTTTGTGGCGAGGGTTCAGGTTCTGGCGGATGACGGGAGGGAGATCGGCGGGCGAGACTTCGTAAAAGGTATCACGTTCCTTTTTGTGTGCGTAGGAGATGGGAACACGAGGGGAGTTGGGACCGCCCATGGAAGCCTTGACTTGTTCGTTAAGGTAGTTGTTCATCGCTCGATGTTGTTCCTATAGAAATGCTATGGTAAGAATTTGATCTTGAACTCATTTGTTAATTTCAAATGTGAACTTACAACGGTCATACTGCTCTCGAATGATGTTCGGAATCGTGGAATATCTCGGTTGACGACAGTTTCAGTGAGAATCGGCAAATTCAGCCTCTCTCCTCTATCCATGTCCATGACATGGCCCAATTTCCCTTCTATCTCGATGATTGTGCCTTGGCCGGCAGCTGCGGAGCCCGCTGATCCAGCTCCTACATCGTTTCTCATGACCACATGTTGGAAGAGAAAATCGCAGAGAAGCTTCGTGACTTCTTCGTAGGGAATGAGTCCTGTGATTGATGGCTCCCACGGACCCAAAATTCCGACCGGCTTCGTCCTGCTGGTGTTGTTGCTGCTCGGTGCGGATGTTGCAACCGGCGCTGGAGGCGCTAGAGGCACTGCCGGTGTGGGAGGACCGTTGGTGCTTGTTGGCGCTGCAACTGGTGTTCGAGCAGATGTAGGAGTGACGGCGGTAATTGCAGGTCCGGTCGCGGAGGAAGCTCGGCGGCTGAGCTGTCGCTCTTCATGCAATTGCCTTGCATGTTTGGGAATAGGGGGCTGGGGGTTTGGGATCACTGGACATCTGCCTTTCGTGCGAGCGCTGCGCTGCGCATAAATGGGAGGCTCGTTGTATCGCCTCCTTTTTGGTTTTGGCAGCTGGCTTGATTCGTGGTCGATTTCCATCTTGAATTGAGAACCACTACGCGAGGCTGTTGGCGAGCTGTTCATCTGTGCATGAGTGGTTGCAATAGGCGAGGCGCGTGAATCTGACCCCGGTCTAGAATGAAATAGTGCTGTAGGACTCTCGTTCCACCTATCCTCAGATGGGCGACGCGGACCAGCTCCAGCGGAATCAGAGTTTGCTGTAATGCTGTTTTGCCGAGAAGACTCAGGACTTGCAGTCTCTAATGGCTCTTGCTTGACGCCCGTGGGTTGGAATGAAGGTGTGGATTCGTTCGGTCGGGTATTGGGGGAGAATTGACGTTGTCTTGAAGGCGACGACAATTGTGAATGATCTCGAGCTTGAACGTCCTGGAGGGCTTGGGAACTTGACAGTGGATTTCTCGGGGAGTCGTGGTCGGATGATTGAGGACGTGCGGATGAAGGTGATTGACGGGATATGAAAGCAGGTGGAGGACCTAAAGGAGTTCCCGGGAGCGAGTGGTGGGCGGAAGGAGAAAATTGATGCGATGGATGAGGCTGGGGGACGGAAGGCGGACTGTCTCGGGTGATCGGGCGCGGGTTTGCCATAACACTGTGAAGGGAATGAGAACGCTGTTGGGCAAAATATGATGCCGGCTCAGTGTGCTGGACCCCTGCGCTCATGGGCTGTGGTGTATATGGTGAGGCCAAGGGGCCCGCGGGGTGTTGAGGATGCGAATTGTACACCGATGCCCCGTATACATCGCGCGGCCCGGGGCCATAGGGAGTGGAGAATTGTGTAGGGCTTTGACTTCTTTGGGATTGTACGGCTGTGTTGATCGGAGGAGGAGGTCCGGCGTTGAACTGCTGCTGGTATGGCGATTGGGTAGGGCCGTAGGGCGAGGATCGTTCGGGCGAGGCACGCGGTGGATGTTGCAATGGAGGCTGCGGGGGGCGTGATGGATATTCCGAACAGGCCGATTGAGTGCGCTGTTTCTGAGATGGATCTGAGAGGGGACTAGAAGACTGGTTGGGCGGTGGTGCGTTGGCTTTGGATGCACCACCGTCGGTGTTCATGATGGTGCGCAAATCCATGACGATAGCATTCGGTAGGTGCGACCACAACCACCCGAGAGGGATTATCCAAGAGCGCGCGCTGGCGATGGCGACATCCAAACGAGGACAAAAGGAGTTGCGAGGGTGGCGGGTGGAAGGGTTCAATGAGGCAAGCAAGACAAAGAGGAAGGGAGAGAAGTTCGCGCAAGTGGAAATGACGTTGACCAGTTAGCTGATTCGGAAGGGTGTCATTGGTTCATTGCTCTCCATATACTTCTTTGAATCATTCGAGATCAAGTCACGTCTATTCAATGAGAAATCGTCGCCCCTTTTCTCCGAACACATGTGAAGTGAAAGGGGAATGGTGGTTCTGCCGCTTATCTTGAGTGCGTTTGCCGATCGAAAGTTCCATCTGGCTTTTTGGTCTTTAGCTTCCCACTTCTCTACTCTCTACCCGAATTCCTACCATTCCAACCTTCCTGTCGCCAGCAAATTCGTTGAAATTGATAGAACAGTATTTCCGACTTTAGCTTAATATATCTTCATATCTTGGATCTGCATGGTTCTTTTTCCACAACCATAAGTCATTCCAAACTGGTTGCTGAATTCCTTTAAAGGTGTATATATATTTATACCTAGTATGCACAGTACAATATCTGGCAACGCTTGGAGTTCCTCTCCAAATCCGTTCTAGTGCTCACCCCTCGCCGCTTTACGATCACTGAGCCCCTTGTCTGTCAACTGGTACTAAGCACTTGAGGCTAACGAGTCCCTTTGCTGATGTAACCTTGCATGTGTTCGATCAAACTCCATTCAATCGCGAGCTGTGCACTTTTCCATCTGATCACCTTGAAGTGCCTTCCAAGTTTAACAAGCCACATCTACGACTCACGACGAGACGTTTTTTGTTCACTCAGCCCTTGACTATACATATTCAAGATTCATATTATCAAGCAGAAGACATCGGGAAATTTCCTCCAATATTTGGCATACCATGGAATCAGAAGAAACAGATGAGCTCCCGCTTTGGTCTTTTAAAGACATTATGCTGCATGCTGAGGATAAAACAGCAGCACTCAATGTGATATGCCGAGGCAAATGTTTCTACATTCAGTTGTCTCCAAGCAACCTCGATCAGGCACCAGGGGTCCTTCAGAGATACTTGAACTTGATGGAAGATATTTGTGACGAAGAAGACCTTGAAACTTCAGAAGAGGCAGAACAGAATCTGCAAGACTGGGTTATGGAGCCCTTCATTGAGATCTTTGAAAAATTGGAACCTTCCTCGAATCAACAGCATATAACGCTTGAGGAATATCTGTCTCCTCCAACCTATTGATACCAAGTGTATGGCCAAGATGGTAGACTACAGCCATTCTTGGACTACACTGTTTCTCGCAAACCAAGGTTGGATGGTGTTGCTGTTGTTGATCAAAGCAAACTATCATCAAAATGGCCCTTGTTCCGACCAAGGGATGTCAAGATTGAACGTCCAAGTATTATTGAGTCACTTTCTCGGTTTCCCAGGAAGGTCATTGCTGCTGGATGTGTTTATCACTTCAAAGCTATCCATTCAGGAAACCGGCCTGCTGCTCTGCGAGAAATTGATATCTATAGGAGGCTGGACAAAATTTTGCCATGTGATGAGATCAGGGTCCCAAATTTACATGGTCTCGTTCAAGATGAAAGTGGCTCAATGCTAATTGGACTTCTTCTCTCTTGGATTGAATGTGGAACTGAAAACTTGGAATGCATTCTAGGGTCAGAAGATTTCTTATCTTCTAGTTTAAGAGAAAAGTGGAGAAAGCAAATCACCACTGCTATCGCAAAATCACATGAAGCTGGTATTGTCTGGGGCGATGCAAAGGCTGGGAATATCTTGATTGATAGCAGAGAAGATGCTTGGGTGATCGATTTTGGGGGCGGCTTCACAAAAGGCTGGGTGGAAAAATCTCAAATGGAGACAATTGAGGGTGATTTGGCAGGTCTTGTTAAAATCGAAGAACTTCTGCAGCCAGTGGCAGGATGAGGCCGAAGACGGGTGAATTCAACCCCATAAAAGGAAGGTGATCAGCAATGTATGTGCTGCTGTCAACTTCTGGCTTCAACTTAGTCTTTCCACTGTCGATTCCTTGTCAAAAATTCCATCTTCTCATTTTCTTTCATTTTATCCGATTTCTGTATATCTTGACTCTTGAGAGCTGTTAAACTTAGGTTTTATGCTCAGTGGAGTGCAACACCCGCTGACGTAGTGCGAAGTTCGGCTGGAGTGCACATTCTGCCGATGTGGACACGGCAGCGTTAGCTTCTCCACGAAACCCTGATTCCCTCGCTGGACGAGCCTCTTCATCCATCTTCGATCTTGCATCTCACATAGGCTGTAAAGCATATCGCACTCCCGCTGTCATTTCGATGATCACTTCAACATAAATCCGCCCCCTGTCGCGCCCCACGCGGCATCGGACATGCTCCTTGAGCAATTGCGCAAACCCTCCGATCACAATGACATCCTACCTCGAACCCCGCGAACGCCGCAGCCCGGCACCGGTCTCGATTCCGCTAGAGGACCTCGAGTCTGCCTCCACAGCTAGCAGCACAGATCAGCCCTCCCGCTGGAACACATTCTCTCAATTTCATCCGTCAAATATACTAGCCAGCCCACATGGTTCGACCGCGTCGCAAGAGGACTGGCTGACCAGTGCGGAGGACGCATTCCTCAGATTGACTATCGCATTCACACCCAGTTTCCTCCAAAAATATGTCGGCGTGGAGCCAGACGAGCCAACAAAACTTCACGCGATCGCTGCGCTCGACGGGCTGCGAGGCTGGGCTTGTTTACTCGTCTTCAATTTTCACTTTCTCTTCGCTTATACATGGAAAGTCGCAGTCGGATGGGGGTTTGCAGGCGAAAACTGGGGAATCCATCAATTACCCATTATCCACATGCTGATCTCGGGGCATATTATGGTGGCTATTTTCTTCGTCATCTCGGGCTACGTGCTTTCCTACAAACCTCTCAAAACCATCAGGTCTCGTTCCTTTGACCAGACTTTCACTGTTCTAGCGTCTTCAACTTTCAGGCGGGCATTGCGCCTTTACATCCCGTCTATTGTCGGTCTTGCTTGCGTCTTTATCGCTGTTCGGCTTGGTATCTACAATTATTCATGGGGAGTGATCAAGGAAGGCCGCACAATTGTTGGCACGAATGAACAGCACCCACCAGTCTTCAAATCCCTCTACAAACAATCTTGGGACTGGTACTACACAGTGGCCCACCTGATGAATCCGTTCGATTGGTCACTCTACTACAATAATTACAACCCCCACCTCTGGACCATTCCGGTTGAGTTCCGCTGCTCACTTGTTCTCTTTCTTACAACCCTGGCCACCTCACGTCTGGTCTCTCCCGTGCGAATGACCCTCGTCGCATCTTTGACTTGGTTCTGTATGCGATACGGTCGGTGGGACATTGTGTTGTTCTTGGTGGGCATGCAAATGGCCGAAATTGATCAGATCAATGGAACCTGGGAACGGCCAGCATCAGCAAGAACGAATGACAACTTGCACATTCGTTTCCCCCCAAGTGGTAAAACCTTCGCCACAATCTCGCGCCGCCGCTTCTGGATCGGAGTTTTCGTGGTCGGCCTTTACATCGGCTCGTGTCCTAACCTGGGCTTCAAATGGACGCCCGGGTACAGGTGGCTTTGGAGCATCACGCCCTGGACCTACGGAGAGCTTCACCGGTTCCCGCAAACCATCGGCGCTGCTTTGATCGTCTTTAGCATAAACCATTCACCCGACATCCAGAAGCTCTTCACCAACCCTCTGTCGCAATACCTGGGCAAAATATCTTATGCATTCTACATTGTACACGGACCCATCCTCCACTCGTTGGGATATTCTCTCATGCCAAACATCTGGGAAATTACCGGCAAAGAAACAAACTTTCAGTATTGTCTCGGTTTCTTGATTGGATGGCTGATTTGCTTGCCTGTCTCGATCTGGGCGGGTGATGTATTTTGGCGCCTTGTTGATATTCCCAGCGTGAAATTTGCGCGCTGGCTTGAAGACCAGCTTATAGCCAAGGGTGCTTCCGCATCTGCGACACCGAGCCTCTCGACCCCAAGAGCGCAAACCCCCCGCACGCAATGAGATTATTGTTACGTGGATAGCTTTCTGTCATCTGTGACTAGTACCTACTGGCGTCGACTCGCTGGCCGAGTTAACCTGAAATACTACATATTCTACTTTTTCAAACGATCATTCAATGACTAGCCACTAGTCAGTACTTCTATAATTTAATTGGTCATCACTAGGCCCTTCACGCTCCACACATGAACATTTGAAGTTCCATCCAAGGTTCCAACCATGGCTCGCAAAGTAGTAGTGTACTACGCTCTAGAGGTCTCAGAGTCACAATTTTTTATTTTGCAACCTACTACTACAGACATGCATCCCAAGTCTAAACCTGGAAATACCTCCTAGGTATCATTCCAGGACATGAATATGAGAACAATAAGTTCAAAAAGGCGCTGGATAACGGAAAATTCCAAGATGTCATTCATTAAATCATTCACTCGTGCCAAAATCAAAGTAAATTGCGATGATAGTATCCATCCATCACCACCCATTTCGTATCTAGTGCGGCTGGTGATGCATTGCGCGATGGCTGGGCACCGGCAATAGGTGGGCGGCTAGTAGGAGAGCAAGGAATGCAGAGAGATGCGTAACAGCGGAAGAAATGCAACCGCCGAGGTAAAGCCGAGGACGATCGTGGCGGAAGAAACCATCTAATGCAGTCGGATATGAAAAGGAGGAAGCAGAACAAACACCGGAGCGCGCGAGATGATAAACCAAACAATCCCCTGATGCCAGATATCTTTTTGTTTCGTCCATACCCACAACTTTATTTTTTATAGTGCGACGCCCCATATCCCGCGTCCGCCACAAACACCGAGCCATTCCCGTGGTTGACCTGAGGGGTTGGATCCACCCTGTGGGGACCAGCTAATATTGGATATTTCGTAGTCGCATTGCCAGGCGGCAGTGGGTCCACGCTCGGTGGTGGATTGAGAACCGGAGCTATGGGGAGTGGATGACAGAGGCACGGCATTGTGTTGGTTAATGAGGTCCCAAAGGAGGACAAGGCTGTCGTCTGCACCAGAGGCAAGATGACCACGCCGGCTTGGTGACCATTCGACGCAGTTGAGCGCGGCAGAATGGCCCTTCAGCTCAAGCAAGGCTTGCCCGGGTTGTCTCACATCAAGAACACGGACAACGCTGGAATCCTGGGAGAAAGTGGCCAGGAGATGAGCATCGTGTGGGGATGCTAGAGAAAAGAGTGAGGTTAGTTCATGCTTAACATAGAGCCAATCGATCGGTCATACCAGCAATTCTCAGCAGTGGCGGAGGCCAAGCTCCCGCCTGTGATCCAGGTGGACTTGCGTTACCGGGGCTCATCACCGCTAGTATTTGTTAGTTAACTAGGTCTTGAGCGATACGAATCATCAGAACACTACATACGCTTAACTTCAGTCTTCTCCGATGGCTCGTAAATGATAGTGCTGTGCTCTAGGCTCCGCAGATCAAACATGCGAACACTGCCGTCAGCACCACAGCTCACAAAGACATCGACACTGTTGGCACAGAACCGAACGTCAAATACTTCCTTGTCATGAGCAATCAGCTGGGTCTTGGCTGTCAAAGTTGGGATATCCCAGATTGTGCAGGTTGTATCAATGCTGGATGTGATGATCAAGCTTGGAGAGATCGTATTCCAGTCCAGAGAAGTGATTGGGGCGGTATGCTCAGGAGATTTAGAGTTAGAGAGCAGTGCTAAAGGAGAGAGCTTTGCAGTAGGTTGGCTGGAAGGCCGCGTGATGGTGTTTGAGCTCGGCGCTGGTTGGGAATTGGGGAGCGACCACAAGCGAAGATGATCGCCAGATGTGGCAAGCAAATCAGTAGACTGCTTTTGGGACGATGGTGGTTCCCACAGAATACGCGTGACGGGATATGAATGTGTCGCTTCAGCTGTTTTGACATATTCTAGCTTGATCTCCCCTGCTGCCGCGTCCGGGGTATCAGGATCAGGCTGGGCCCAGTGCGTATCAACAATTTGTATCTATAGAGCAATTGTCAGTGTCAAACAATTAATTTTGTACTATTAATGAACGCACGAAGTTGTGATTGTCTTCCAAGTGACTTCCGAGGGCCAATTTTCCACCAAATGAGCTTGAGCTCCCAGAAATTGGCCATTTGCACCAGTCGACAGCGTAAATGGGCCAAGGAGCAATGTAGTTGCTGTTGGTCGGCACTTGATTATCGCTGTTGTATGCGGCAGCACCTGGGCTCATAAGTGAGCCTCCTAGATAATAGTCACCAGGAAGGCGAACGTCTGCCAGGCCAAGCGGCGAATACTTAGAGCCTTGCGGGGTCTGGGGCGGGTATCCAGTTCCCGGAGACGTGGGATACTTAGACTCATCCGGTACCCCAGGTTGTTTGTACATAGACTGATCGAACCCAGCCGGGCTAGATCGAGAATGACCATGAGAGTTTATCATGCTTGATCGATGGCTGGGCTGCTGTCCCGATGACGGTAAGGTGGGGATAACCGACGGGGCTGTGTTGGCCGAGACAGCTGGTGGGCGATTCTGACCTCCTGGGGTGAGGGCGCCTGGTAAAGTGTTATTGCTGCTTCCACTGCCACTTCCATACTGGACGGATTGGGAGGAAGGTTGAAGATTGATCGAGGGGACCTGAGTTGCGCCAGCGCTTGCGCCTGCACCTGTGTCTTGGGCCGCGGGGAAGTCATGGGAGGGAGGCTGACGGGACAAATTTGGATTGTTCAGGCCCGTAGATGGCATATGCAGTTCCTCTGGCTGACGGCCAAACACAGCGGACCTTCGAGGGGAATCGAAGGAGGGATTCGACATGGTGCGGAGGGACCTGAGGTCTTTAGGGGTGGTCTTGAATGGGGCTTAGCTCCACTCCCCCTTGGGACGAAGAAGGCTTGCGGGAGGGAGGCGCCCAGAGGGTGGCAGTAAGCTGCACAAGCTTCACAAGAAGCTCCCGAGGCAGATGAGACGTAAAAGGAGAAGCGATTGTGGATGTCGCAGCTTGAGGGTTTCAATGTGAAGCTGAGGTTGCCCGCGCTGAGTCAGCCAACCCCGGGTGACAACTCACGCTTTATTTGGCACGCCGCATTACAAGTGGATTCTGAACTCTTAATTCCTTTCTTTACATTTCTTTTTCTTCGAAGTCTTTGTTGCTTTCATTTCCTGTGTTCTTTTTTATTTGCTGTTACATTGTACGTATTTGCAATCATGACATCCCGAATCAACTCCCCTTCGGCGCTTTTGTTACTACCCCCTCCTTCATCATTCACTTTCGGCGGGGTCAAGGAAGCATTTGAGGCCTCGGTATCCGATGCGTTCGTGCAGCTGTCCAAAGCCTTGGACGGCTCCAATCGCATTGCCACTCTCGACATTGCTTTGCAAATCCCAGGCTTGCTTTCTGCATCCAACAGGCCTCGCATAAAGAGCTTTGTCCAGATGGAACGTTATGTCGCCTATGTCTATACTTTGATTCTGGCCGTGGGGACCACTCGAGATATTAAACTTGACTTGCCGGGTGGCATCGATGCACGTTTAGTATTTGTTGATCATCCGTTATCTGATGATGAGATCCAGACTGGTTCAAAGATCGGGCCAATCCTTGACATCCAGTCTCTGGCAACCTCGGGCCGACAGTGGGACCATATATTCTTTCCAAGCAACCAACCCGGCCGGGATTTGGTCGACTCCTTTCTTAGTAGTACCACCGGTTCATCCAAGAATCACACCGCATCGATCCTGCAGACAGTCTCCGCTGGAGACTGGTCAGCCCCGCAGTCTCTTCCGATTCCTGAGGACCAGCCGTCCCTTCAGCCCCACTACTCGGTTGCAGTTGGAGGAACATTCGATCATCTTCATCTTGGTCACAAACATCTCCTCACAGCATTGGCGCTAGCCCTGGAGCCGCTAGATCATACTAATCAGGATCGAGAGAGGGTTTTGACGATCGGTGTGACTGGCGCCGATTTGCTAGTGAACAAGAAGTTTTCTGAATACTTAGAAAGTTGGGAAGAGCGGTTTCAGCGCACCGCAGCCTTTCTGGCTGGCATTATGGATTTCTCGGGGAATAAATCACCTCGAATGGAACGCACCAGAACGGCGGATGGCAAGGGACAGGTGGTGGTGATACAATACCAGCCCAACTTGATCTATAAGTTTGTGGAATTCTTTGATACCTGCGGCCCCACAGCAACCGATGAGAACATCAGTGCGTTGGTAGTATCGCAGGAGACGTCAGCTGGAGGTGCATTCGTCAATGAGGAACGGGCCAAAAAGGGATGGTCAAGACTTTCCATTTTCGAAGTGGGTGTGCTCCTGGCTGGTGAAGCTAAGGAAAGCGCCATCAATTTCGAGAACAAGATTGGCAGCACGGAGATTCGTCGACAATGTATGGAATCGGATCGGGCCAAAATCTAAGGATTTTTGGAACAGTGAAATTTTATGAATTACAAATAAGGGGGCCGGGGGACTCGGGAGAGAAAGTGGGAGAAGCAACGAAGACCTGTAGATTTTAATACATTCAGATTTCGGCCAATTTCCCCCAATCGTGTTGGTGGCTTCTCCACCACACGCGAGTCCGTCACCTTGCAGAGATGTGACAACTGGAGCGGGGCCTGCATTGACTTCAAGAAGTAGACAGTCTACAACCACCAACCAACCGCTCCCCACCAATACCACTTGCTTCTCTTACCCCCCCCCCCCTTTCCCCCTCTCAAAAAAGTCTCTGCAAGTTCGCGCTGTTTCGTTCTGGCTGGCCGCAGCCTCGTTCAATCATGTGATTGCCCACTGGGAGCGTCACCAATGAAACCAACGTGATGCAAAGGCCCGTCAGCATAAAAGCGCGCTAAACCAGGGTCTTGATGATCATCCCGGTCGCGTCGAATTGTTAGGGCGAGAACTGTCGCCATGCGTCCATGGTGAGACAGCACTCTGGGGGTCGATGAGTCCAATTCCAGTCGATACTTGTGTGCACCTTTTTTTTAAATCATTATTTTCCTTCTTTTTTTTTCTTTACTTTTTTTTCGGGTTTATAGTGGGACTGGTGCCCCCTCAATCGTGCATCCCCAACTGATCTTCTCCTCTTCTGCCGGTCTGTAAGACTTGGTACAGAAGCTTCCAATTTCCTCGTCTCTCTCTCTTTCTTCTTCCTTTCTTTCCATGTTGCTGTATCTTGTCCAGGCAGCCGGATCCTCGGCTGCAAAGCGCCGAACATGGACATGTCACGTTGTATTGAGGACCTCGCCGATGAGCTTCTGAGTGAAATCTTGACTATATTATTGGAACCTGTGCCGCAAGCTCTAAACGGAAAATCATATACCAGCGGAAGTCACAGCAATGGAGAAAGTCAACATAAACTAGTTGGATACGGAGAGACATCCGATCTGGATCGGTTTCGCCTAGTCTGTAAACGGTTCATGCGCATCGGCACACCTCGAAAGTTCGCGCGCTTCAACCTACGATTTTCAAAAGATGGATTCCGGCGACTTGGGGAACTGCTGATCATGCAGCGGGCCTGCTACGTAAAAACGGTGACATATCTCGTGCGACCCTTCTATCAAGGCAGCGGTACCCAATCCTTTTTATATTCACAAGCCTATATGGGACAGATCTGCTGACGACAAGATCACAGGCTGGACGCCAATATTTCAGAAACTCGGCGCCGAAAATCAATCACTCGCACAGGTGCACAGTCGACGATTGCACGAACAAATTAGCCTGATTGAAACCAACCAGGATCTCCTGCAGCTTCGCGCGGGCATTGCCGCTTTTTCAGCACTCCAAGAAATCAAATTACTGCGCTTGCAAGATGAGGCCGACGAACACCTGATCGATTTTATTCGCGACCGCTCCATCCGCAATCCTGAGGGATCAAATTCAGCCACTGCTCGGTTCGAGTGGGAATCGGCATGTTCGCGTGCCGTAACAAATCTTGGAATCGCTCTTTTAGGCTCACAGTGTACTGCAATTCGTTTCATCGGGCCTCAGATCAGCCCAGAGGCTACATTACAACTCCTGCAAGCACCGTCCACCACCCTAGCCGCGATGGGAAGCCGCCTCACTAGCCTTGACATCAATTTTCATTCCAATTACGACATTACTGCAACAATGTCTGACCTTTCTAGCGTCTTTCACCGCTTCTTTGTCGAGGCCAAAAATCTTGTCGCTATCCATATCGGTTTTCCACCCAAAACCCCACTGGACCTAGACCTCGAAGCCATCTTTCATGATATCCGTTGGAAAACGCTGCGCACACTTAGTTTGCAAGGATGGCGTCTAAGTGCTGATGAGATCATATCTTTGGCCCGCCGTCATCGCCGCCAACTCCGTGATTTTCGCCTATGCGCTGTCTACCTTCGTCCACTGGGGCGTTGGAAGGATGTGCTCACCGTCCTCCGTGAAGAAATGGAACGTCTAGACCGAGTGGAGCTGTATGATATCGACTACGCTGATCACTTTGACGCAATGTCTATGGCCAGTGGGATTGAAGTCTTTGATATAGATCTCGCAGTGCCGGCACCGTCCTCCCTTTCCGTTGCAGCTGCCACATCCCTTCCAGAGCAATCGACTTGGGCCTCGGGGCCTACGTCCGATGACCTACTGTTTCCATCCCTGATGCATGGGAGGCGATTGCCGTCAAACCGAGTGCAGTTGGAGAAACCAAACAATCTTTCTAATGATGATATTGAAGACAACGGATTTGTTGTCAAACGAGATCAAGTGCCACTCTGGGTGGCGTGGGTTCTGTCTGCACAGCATCGGCGTTATCACGGCAACGGGAATGGGAATGGGAATGGGAACGGAAACGGTCATTGGAACGTTTATCACATTTAAATTGAGTGATGTTGATGTCAAGTGGTACGGGGCTCCTGAGATGGATCGATGAGATCATGGAGATGAGCAAAACTGCCCCGGTGATATATGGGAGGAACGAATGTCAATATTTTCATTGGAGTTGGAGGCTGTCTGAACTATTATAACTTGTTCTGAATGTTGGGACTTTGAACAGTTTTGTCTGCATTTGAGGCTTAACATGCGTGTTTTATTCAATGTTTACATAGATCATGATTGCATGCTTGGATGTGAAATGAAAGCTTGGTCTTAAACTTGATAAGAAAGCCTGGACCTTTGATATTCAAATGACCGAAAGTTTCGATTTAAATCCAAAGTCAATCTGTAGGCTAGCGAAGAGATGATGACAAGAAACTTCTCAACTTCCTCAGATATCCTTCGCAAAAAAAAAAAAAAAAAAAAAAAAGAATATTATGCAGGGTATCAATGATCATACTAAGTACATACACAACCGAAAGCTTGAGCAAAAAAATATGCTCGAATGAAAGAAGATAACAATATTTTCAAGTTCCCCGAGAACCGGGGGGGGTGGGCAATGTTCACAAGGCCACCAAATCCGACCAGTGTCTAATAACAACTGGCCCAATCACCACCCTCCCTCGCGAAGCTCAACCCATCAATGAAATCGCCCTTCTTGCAACGTCCCAATGCATCAACATCACATCCCTGCAAGGGAACAACCCGATCATTCACCAAGACCCGCACCAGCGGCTCCTTCTCAGCAGCACACTCCATGACCTCAATGTACGCGCGCGCCGCAAACGGCACAGTCCACGCAGCAGAAAATCCATCCGCACCCTTGGTAGACTCGATATGAGTAGGCGGCAAAGGCTCCGTGGCATTGTAAAGACCCATGGCAAAGAAAATGGGAATCATGCCATTGTCATGCGTGAAGTCTGCATACAGCGTCCGGTTCAACGGGAAGGTCGTCGCAGCGCCGGGCCCGTTGTCAAGCGTGTGGTTGGTGGAAGTGTGGTCGCGCACGGGGGTCTGCGTCATGCGCGCAATGAGCTCGTTGACGAATCCAACACCCTGCGTCGGGCCGAGCGGGTTTCCGGCACCGTAGCCGTAGTATTTGGTCAGGGACTGATAGTAGTTGTATTCGGCCCACTCGGCGTCGGTAAAGAGGGCGCAGAAGGAGGACTTCGTGCTTGCGTCTGCTGTGTCGGAGATGGTGTCGTACGAGCACATGTCCATGAGGTAGGTCACGTCGTCACCGGAGAGGATGGTGCCGGGCATTGAGGATTCCAGACGCGCGGCGATGGACGGAGTGAAAATCGCGGTGTAGTTGTCTGAGACGTCGTCGCCGATGGTGCTGGCCTCAAATACGGGACAGGTGTTGTGGTTGAGGGTGTTGTTTGAGCCTGTGTCTTCGGAGATGACGACGTTGATGGTGGGCGAGGCTTGGGAGTGCAGCGCCTTCTTGTCTTGCTGTTTTGTGTCCTGGAATCCCTGGATAAAGAGCTGTCCGGACTCGACGACGCGCGAGGAGTCAGAGGAACGGATGAAGGGGATGTTGTCACGCGTGAGAGCCTCGTAGCGCTCGTAGAACTTGATTCCCGAGTCAACCATCTCGTTCTCGCCGAAGGTGGTCAGGTCATCGGTGCCGAGGGTGTAGTTGTAGGAGCGTAGGAAAGATGTACCGTCCTTGTATGCGGTGGCATTGGTTTGAATGGCCTCGATGAGCGCAGCATACTGCTTGCCCTTGGATGCGGTGGGGTACCGTGCGCCGTGGCGGGATAGTACCTGCACGAAGGTGACATCGCATTGCTGTGGAACATCCCCAGAGATACTACTTTCGTCTTCCAATGAGAAGTAAGGAGAGTACTGGCCCCAGAGGTGGGAGATATCGGAGAAACAATTGTAGCCGCCGTCGACGGTGTTGCAGGCGTGGGAACTGCGCACATGATGTTTTCTCGACCTATTAGACGCAACCAATGGCTGGTCAGGATTTTCCCTGTGTACCCCATGCCCATGTCTATGCCCAGAGGGATGTTCATACCCATGAGTCAAATGGTGAACTGCCAGTGCGGCAGAGCCGAGGAAAGCTACGGTGAGAGCTATGATGCGTCTTCTTCCCCATGTGGGAGAGGATGATTTGTGAGGTATCGGCTCGGACCTGTCACCTAGCAGCTTCTCCTCCTCGGCGGGAGTGTATTGGTTCTTGAGCTCGGCCATTTTTTGTTAAACCTCCCTTGTTGAGTGATGTCAACCTTGGAACCAGATCTAGGTCTGCTCACTTGATATCAAACTCAGAAAGGAACATAATGAAAGAGGGAAAGGAAAGGATTAAATAAGAAAAACAAAACATTAAAAATTAGTCAAGACCACGAGGGAGAACATGCAGCGCAACACAACGCGCATGCTTGATTTGGGCAGATCAGTAATTCACTGCATGCTCGTGAGTCAATAACAAACTGTGATTGGCTGGCTTTGAACACGTGCAGAATTACCAGGTCGGTACTCGTCAGGTACTTCTCACGCCTTAGAAATTAGCGTGTGAGCTAACGTACCCGAGAGGTACCTGAGATCCACTTCAACCAGCTTTACCATTATACACTATCACTAGCCTCTCGTCAACATTCTTGCTTTTCCCTCAGTCTGTAACAAGCTAATCAATCCCACATGATCCTTGAATCAGACAGGGATATTATGCACTCATCTGCACCCCCCGTCAGCCTTTATCGTAGGACACATATGATCTCCACTCACCGCCACTGGAACTCGATCTTATTCTCCACGTCACCCCCACATTATGGGGCCCGATGTAGAATTAAGGTACTTTGCGTATGTAGATTTCAAGTTTAATAAATCCGTTTCCAGTGCTAACTTGGTAAATCCCTTTCTTGACAAATATCATTCCGATAAAATCCAAGCTGTCAAAAGTAGATCATTGGAACCGTTGCCTACTAGGTATACCCTTAGATTCGTCCTAGATAGGCTAGCGCCTACTATTGATCAAGGGGGGCAAGCCGGCAGGTCACATACAACCCAAAACCCACACTCAAATAGAAAATGCATCCCTATAAGGTCAAATCCTGTCGATCTCGGCTCCGAGATCAGCCAAGTGGACCTGTATAACTGTCAAGATTTCACTACTGCGCTGTATATGCAGACGGAAATCACCTCCGCAGCACGCCTAAGGTAGCCACCGGTAGTTGCATCCATTGATGTATCGAATTTCTTTTTTTTCCTTTTCTTTGCTTTTGACGGGGGTCCTGCGGATACATGTACATTCTTAGATCGATGGATCGACTGAAAGACCCTGGTTTCCCCCCGAGGTCGGCTCCGTGCCGCAGGTATGTGGAGAGAGGTACAGAATAGGCCGAGTAAATCAATACCTAGGTATGAGCCATGCAGCCCACCTGCGAGATTTGCAGTTAATCGCCTTCCAAGGCCGGTGGTGGACTTCTTTTGGGAAAAGGCGGCTTTTATAGATCGACAGATCAACAGCATCGGCCGGCAGTGTCGGCCGGGTCTCGGGAAGCCCTCAAGGTAAACTGAACAAGGGGGTATTGGTTGGGGTCATTTCGTTGGGGTCGTTAGCTCTATGCTTCAATTTCCGTGTCATATTGCAGCTGCAAAGATAAGGAGATATGTCGAGAGAGCGAACAGATCGAGTAAAAAAGAAAATCGGAATAGAGTTGAAAGAAATCTATTGACTCGGAATTTACCCGAAGTAGCAGAACTATAGAAACCGGACATCGGTATCCACTCCATGATATGATCAACAAATAATCAATTATCGACGTATAGTAGAGGGGGAGGGATGAGATAGGGGAGGGGGAGGGGGAGGCGTAATCACTTTTCTTCTTGCAGGGAATTCTGAATATTCGTGGGAGGGGGCAATTCTTGGAGATGGGAGCTGGAGTGAAGGGGTGTAACATGATCAGGGACGAGGATGGGGAATATAGTGCTGATAACAAGAGAAACAGAGAATAAAACGTCAACCACAAATGCAGATAGTAATACACCGAGCCAGAAGGTCAAGGCGATTTTTGTGAGATAAAAAAATAAATAAAAAAAGATAATGTCATCCGCTGAAATACTCGAGAATGAAAACATTCACCACTTGCAGCCAAACCAGTGACCGCATGCTCCAGACCAGACAGATGGGTTAAAAGGAAATATGAGACATATGGAAACATAGGAAAGAAGATAAAAAATAGGATAAAAATGGAATTTGGGCCCATAGCTGCCCAAATGACGCATTCGGGCCTAAATCATGACCGGGGCCATGAACTTTGAAACGGCGGCAAAGGCCCTCCAGAAACCGGAGGTCCAGAAGCTGCCACATCCCTCCCTAAAGAAGTTGACGCAGAAGCATGAGGCACAGATGCATAAGGCGCTGGGCCCGGAGTGCCCGGCCAGCTTCCCTGCGGCCTCGACGAGGCGGGCACTGTGTCATTTGGAGCAGGAAGAAGTGCAGCAGCGGGCGTCGGACGTGGCGAGGGCGGCCTCGGTGGTAACGAGCTTAGAGAAACTGAGCGATCGAGATGCTCACGGAAGAAATCACGCTCAGATCTATAATAGTCTCGCTGGTGAGCAAGGGCTCGGATCTCTTCACTTTGGCGACGAATCTCGTCTTGTTGTGCTGTTAGTCGCTGCTCCAGTTGAACCTCGTTGCGCTTGCGGTTGCGAAAGCGGCGAGAAGCATCACTGTTTGCTTTGCGTTTTTCAGCCTGACTGCTCGATCCGGATTTGAGGTCCATGACGCATGGTATTAGGCCACCTAGAGAAGATGCGCTGCCGGGTGTGCCTGGTACCGGGCTTGCCACCCTCGTTCCGCTTTCTTCGGCTAGATTTCGTGGTCCAGCTGTTGCGGGAGCTCCTCGCGTCATAGGTTCCATTGTCATGTAGGGAGCCGGTGCTGCTGCGTAGGGTGCGATATTTGGTGGAACTGAGGTCATGGTGACTGCCGGAGACGCCGCCCCAAAATGATTATGGGTTATATGGGGTGTAGTTGGACTTGTCTCCTGAGATCTGTGGTTTGTTAATGGTCCCGCACTAGTTCGTCGAGAATGAAGACGAGGTGTAGATTGTAGAGACGCGGTCACGGGTGGTTGAGTCCCTGGTAATGAAGCAATAGGTCGTAGTGCCGATTCCAAAGGCAGAGGGGAGCTCACTGGGGTCTGTCGTAGACCCATCAGAGGCTCATGAGGAACCAATGGAGAGTGAGAGACGCTTGACTGCCCACTTCTCCCACCGCCAACAAACCGTGCTGATGGCGAGCCGGGGTTCATTCCAGGCCGCATACTGGATCTAGGAGATAATGGGTGCTGCATTGCGTGCATCGTCCGAGGGCCTGGCGAAGAACCTTTGCGTGGTCGTGTTGATGCTGTTCCGGGCAGGCTGCGTGGATCCCTCAAGCCGCTCACGGCGTCAATAGTTGTCTGAGCTGGGGGGTTCAAAATCGCATGTACCCCGATAGACCTTGACGTATTTGACTCCAGTGGTGGTTCTACCGGCCCATAAGGATGCCAGGACTGTGGCCGAGGCCGTACCGGTGGGCGGCGAGATGCATGGCGAGTACCCGAGGCATGCTCATTGTCAATCACGCTGCGATTTTGGGTCGCATCGTCTGACAATGGCGCAGTACGCAGAGACTCCGACATAGACGGATCTCCTTGGCGGAACTGGGGGTTAGAGCATGGCCGAGGCCCCCCTCTCTCAGAGTCAATGGGGGGCTCACGAGTGGGATGAGAGAGGGAGGAGGCCGGGTAATGTGGATCCGCTGGATAATGCGACAGGTTTGAGGTGTGTAGTGACCTCGGGTAAGGCGCATTCAATACGCTGAGCCCAAGAGTAGCCACGATGAAGGAGAGAGAGGGAAAAGGAAGAAGAGGAGAGAGAGGCTCAAAGTTGAAGCCGAGGAATATATGTGGTCAGACCAATATACCGCCACGGAACTAGATCCAATTGAGATGAGAATGAGAACTTGTTTAGGTCTTCAATGGAGAGGAAGAATTGTCCAGGGCCAGTAGGGTCAATTCCCCGACTAATGCAGTAATAGGGCACAAATTGTACATGTAATGAACAGAGCCCATGTGCAGGGTGATAGCGATCCGAGGCCCTTTGGTATTGAGTATTCTTAAAAATGATTTAAAAGAGGGGGAAAGTTTCACTAGAGAGGATTCAGGAAAAAGAAGGTGAAGCTGGAATTAATAATGAACGATCGTTCAGACCGTTGAATACAGCGGTGAAGGAAGGACCCATTGATCCATCAACTTTTTTTCTTTTGGGGCCTGGATGTTCGACCACAAAGTAAAGTTGTTGTCCGACCCAGAGCATCGGGTGTTGGGCAGGATCGTCTTGGCCTTTTTTGGCCTTTTCAGAAATGGCTTTTATTTTACTTATATTTTAACACTATTAACATCATGTTTAGTTTGGTCATTTTGGTTTGGTTTGGTTTGGTCAGGAATCCAGCGTAAATATCAACTTGATGATTATTACCATTCTTTACCAGTATTCCGTTACACTTAAGATACTAAAACTACTAAGTAGATGAGATTTGAGCCCCGGGGACCACGGGGTTTCTTGGAAATAAAAAACAAAACAAAAACAAAAACAAAAGAATAATTATAAAAAAAAACCCCCCCATCCAAAAAGTAAAAAGTGGGACCTAAAAAAGAAAGTACGAATGATATCAGTAAAGCATCTCGTGCGTACTAGTAGTGGAGAAGAGAAAAGAAACCAAAAAAGGGAAAAAAAGAAAAGAAAAAGAAAAAAGGAAAAAGAAAAAAAAGAAAAAGAAATCAAGCAGGGGATTTGGGTATACTTCCAATCTTGGAAAGAAACCGCTGCCTGAAAAATGTTGATTTCATTCTCCACTTAATAAATCCTTAATTTCTTTTACACAGATGTATTTCCAGATATTTCCTATACACGGGGAACCAACCACCGATCGCCGGCAACGAATCATGGGGAGCAACTCCGTAGCCGTGGACTTGGTCTTAAGGTCCAAGGGACGGGTGGAGCCTTCTTTTCCATTGCGGTATTGGAGTAACTTGGTACGGTAATGAAAACATATAGGTACGGTTTACTCCAGTCATTCCTCAAACTATGAGCAGGGGTTTTGACATTTCAAGTCATCTTATGTTGGGAATTAGAATATTTGCAAGTTTATTCAGAATCCAGACCCTTGTCCTAGAAAAGAGTGGGGAGACACACGGGTCATGATGCATCCCACCCCCTTGTGTATATGTACTCCGTACAAAGTACCTTCTTGGTTCTGATGTATAAACTACGGAGTACGTAGCCGAAGGTTTGTGCCATGTGTGAAGAGGAGGTGTGATGGGGGGAAAGTGGATCCGTGTTCCCCCTTCGATCCATGACGCAGAACACACATGGGACAATTTCCAGTTGAGATCTATACTACCTCGGGCTTAGTCTGGGGCTATGATGGGGGGAAAAGCTCAGGTGAGAGGGGAAGAGTTCTTAGTATGGTCCTAGCTTGTGTCATTTTTCCAACGAGTTTCCTAGCTTGGCATTTAACAGAGTTGGGTTGAAAAGAGAAAGAGACACTCCCAATAGAGCTACTGTCTTATCTTCAAGGGGGACGACGACTCCTTCGTGGAACACATCCTCTTGGAAATAGCAAGTGTAGGTTCTAGTGACTCTGGTACGCTCTAAATTTAAAACAGAATAGTAAATACGCTGAAAAATCAAAAATCAAAAATCATAGTAATTCATAAAATCCAATTTTTTATTTCTTTAGAGCAAAAGAAGCAAAGTTTAGCACCCCCTGATGTTGTGCATACTTCACCAGCTCATGTCCCGACACAAAGGGACCGATGCCGCCGTTGGGGGCATAATCCCTCCACTTGGGGGATCCGATTATTGGACAGACCCGCTTGGCTATGGAAGTGAGGCAGTTAGTGGGGACCTAATTAATTATTATTCCTTAGGCTCCATTATTCTCCATTCTCTAGAAGGCCATGGAAATTCGGGAGAAAAAAAACTTGAAATTGGAGAAATTATGAAAAATAAAAAATAAAAAAATAAACCAAAAAACGAAAAGGCACGGTTACGCGGACGATAAAAAAGGGGGCAAGTGGAAAGATTCGAGAACCGAAGACCCGTTCGGAGGAATCTCTCCATCTGTGATGAACGTCCTTAAGCTCATACGTCACCAGAAAGCGAAAAAAGAAAAAAAGAAAAGTAATCAAAAAATAGTCATCCTAGTCCAAACGTTGACATCAACTCGTGTCACCATGATCTGCAGTAACATGGCCCCTTGGCAAGGGAATTTCCAAGGCAAAAATTCCTGATTACTGAGATTGAAGAATCAAACACACCGAGACAAAAGAACCAAACAAACCTCGACCTTCCAAACCCCCTTCGCAGCTTCATTCGATCTATCAACCGGAAGGCAAACCCGGCACCTCCCCGGTGTCTTGGGGGAAGCTTGCAGTTGCAGAAGTGGGTAAGCTTCCTGGTCCCCGATAGATCCCAGTTAGCGCAATGGCTTCCGCGTGACAAAGGTCAGAAGTGATTGTGAAGATCCAGACTAGCGCCAGCAAAGTGGAGTCGGAAATCCTTCGGGAAACGAAATGGGGATCAGGATACCTCCTCCAGAGATGTGGGCTGAGCTGAAATGCTGTTCAGAGCACATCACTGTCATTACTTGATTGGGAAAGGGGAGAAGGGGGGTTTTGGGCTAAAACCCACGATCCTCGATAGTCGATTGTCCGATCTAGCCTACAGCTGTTCTAGCGCATGACAGCTTCGCAAAGGGTGACATGGGCTCCGTAGTCCTGATCAGGCAAGAGGGACGATCGATCAGTAGATACATTCATTAATTGGCGGTTGACTCCAGGTTGTTCACGGAGATGCCAACTCCGTAGTATGCACCAAGCTCCGGAAAGGGAGGCAACGGGAGAATAATTGCTTTGGAGAGGAAAACGATAGATCGGTTCGCATATTTCTCCAGCTGTCACTTGCCTAGATGGTATAGCTTTGTCCAAGGTTTCAGGCAAGGCGTGCATCACTAGCCGCCATTATAAAAAATAGCGAATCACCACGTGTTTCGGGGGCGACATTTAACGTCTGATAGATCCAATGATCGTGAGTGGTCAGTTCGTGTAAATTTTTTTTTTTTTTTTTCTTTTTGGAATTTCTCTCTCAAGGTTAGATTTCGTTTTTCCTCTTTTTTAAAGGGGCGAAAAGACAGGGGGCGGACCTATCTCCAATAGAGAATTTCGATACCTTAGTGTGAACAGGCTTTTGGGAGTACGGTATTGTCAATGAGCAGGTAATAACGAAGGTGGCTTGCAATCTCAAACACTCCCAGCGGGCCGGGTCATTGCACGTAATAGTAAGGAGTCCGAGTCCTCGGTTCAATGCGTGTCATGGCCATGCGAAATGATGCGGGTCAAGGTCAAGGCCAACATTGATGATGGTTAGTTAATCCCAGATATCCGGTACGCGGGTCCCATGGGTATTAAAATCGGGTAGCACAGGAAACTTTGGAAGTACAAGGTGAACCTCCTGCGAAAGCCTTATCCAATCCACGTTTGACACCTATCTCGAACAATTCCTGGTGAACTTGCTTTTTTAATTTCATCATTTTTGTTTCTGCTAAAAGTTCTCTTGGTGTTTTATTTCGCCACGCCTTACGCGCGAAACTGACTAACATCAACACAGTACTGCATTATCTCGTTGTCCGCCGCAACCGCCACCAGAGAAGGCTAACAACAAAAGAAAGTCAACAAACCAAGATAAGCCACCATGATATAATTCTCGAAGATCTCCGCGGACTAGAACTTATGAGCTACGGAGACCATTTCCGCGAACGTATCAACTTTTTCCCAACCTTGGAATCTCCATGAAGTCATACGAGTCAGGAAGCTGCATCGTTAGTAATAGTCAGTATCTTATTCCGCTTTTATGTCTACATGCAAAATACACCGACATATTTGGGCCCAAAAGATGGTGCCTGCATTGTCCTGCAGGACCGGCCCCGCCCAAGAGCAGCGCTGGTACAGGCCATGGGTTACATAGCAGGGAAACATTGCACGTACATGGAAGTCAAAGTAACAGAAGTACGTTCCATTTGACGGAAAAAGAGGAAAAATAAAACGCGAAGAACGAATGAGAAAGAGGAATGGCAAAACTTAGATCGGGCGAATTTTAAACTGGACGAGGGTTATGGTCTACATAATCTGAGATCAGCGGGCCGAATGGAGAGGCTTCATTGTTTGATTCGACGTGTAAACTTTCTCTTCCAGCCTTGTTTTAGGCTGGTTTTCCCCTTGCGGCCTGCAGACCTCAATCCATGGGAATGACAACGAGCCGGTCCGTCATTTCGCCCGTTTGGTGATCGACGTATCCACTCCTTTTTCCAAGGTTTTGAACCGTAAAGTCAGTACGGGTCATTACACAATAACTTATTACCAGTTTGAAAGAAAAGTCAAAAAGGGGGGAATGGAGAAAGAAAGGAAGATCAGGCATGGAAGGGGGTGAAAATAGAACTCTGCAAGTATCGAAATTGAGTCCGCGGGCTAAAAGTGTCCGAGCGTGCAGGAGACGAAAAAAAAAAGTATAGACAATGGTAGAGCACAGCCTCACTGCTAATGTCACTGATCGGAAATAGAAAAGGTAACAAGGCAATTCAATGCGAGAAGGATGAAAAAAGGGGGGAAAAAATAAACAAGGAAAAGGTTTAGCTCCATCTGCATGGTCGATTGTTTTAGCTACATGTGAAGTATACAATTCCAAGCTACAGGTTACAGCTCGGTATGTCACCGCTCGTCGAGGAGTCACTTTTCCTGATCGCCCGTACATAATTTTCGGGGAAAAAAACAACGTACATAACAATAGTTCTCTCCACAATGTGGATCCTTCAACAAATCGAAAAACTTTGAGTGGAAAAAGAGGCTGCACATGTGCGGAGTTCATTTCCCCTTACTCGAACCGGAACTCATTCTTAGGTTTGCCCCGGACGCCAACGTCAACTCGGAACAGTCGGCCCCCATACCGCACAGATTGCGGCAATCGCTCATCATCACGAGTATCCTTGGCAGAGGTGATGAAAAGCTCGGTTCCCACAAAAGCGGGACATGTTGGATTCCGTGTGGGCAAATCGATCTGCCCGATGAGCTGACCGGTCGGTGAGATCCGAATCACTTTCCCGCCACCATAGATGGCGGACCAGATACAGCCCTCGACGTCCATGGCGAATCCATCCGGCTCGAGCGGCTCGCCAAGGTCATAGTGCACGCGTCGGTTACTGATGGCGCCCGTCGCGGCATCGAAATCAAATGCGAAGATCTTGCCTGTAGGTGAGTCTGTCAGGTACATGGTATCGTCGGCATGGTTCCAGCCTATGCCGTTCGGGATCGTCACTGGGGCTAGCATGCGGTGCAAGCTTAGGTCTGGGTCCAATCTAAAAAGGATTCCCTCGGGACCTGGGGCCTTAATCTTGGGGTCGTTCATGGCCCCCGCCCAGAAACGGCCGTGGCTATCAACTGCCCCATCGTTGAAGCGCATTCTAAATCGTGGGGATTGAGTAAGTCGGTGTGGACTGGTTTCATCATGATTTGCTCTTCGGGCTTCAATTTTAGGGGCGTTTTTTTGGTCTTGATTCTTGATTCTTGTTTTTTTTGGGGGGGGTTTTTCTTGTCCCCCCTTCCTTTCGGTATCGATTTCTTGATGCTGGGGAGGATTTTGTTTGCCACTTACATTTCCGCTTTCCCCGGTCCATCATCTTCGCCCCAAGCTTCGCGGATATAGGATAGTTTCCCGGTCGTTTGGTTCAGCCGGGCAAATCCAAGCTTGGCCCCGACTATCAGTTGATCGACCTCATCCGCATTAGCGATGTTGGCGGTGACACTAGGTTGTCAAAGTCCCGTCGTTAGTGTCTTGTTTTTGTCTTTTTTTTTCCCTTTCTTTTTTAAGTTTTATTTGGTTTTTCTCGTGTATTTGGTTTTGCCCACGGGAAACAGTGAATAGGCAAAAAAGTAAACAAAATCCCAAAGCAAAACGCAACAAGCCACCTACCCGATAGCCGCGGTTGTGTCAACCGTCTTGAGCGATTCTGGGCCTTTGTCCAGATCGAGACGATAAAGTTTATGGTCCCAGATATCCACAAAGCGAAACTCATTGTTGGCTACATCGTGGTAAGGGCCCTCGAGCAGCGTTCCCGCTATATCGATATAAGGCTAAGGCGGAAATCAGTAGGCTTGTTCGACGTCAATCTGTGATTGGTGCATGTTTGAGATTTCTTTTTTTTTTGATCTTTTGTCGGATCCGACACTTCATCACGTCTTGACCGACAGAAAATAAAGGAAAGAAGGGACCAATGATAAAAATGCACGGCCCAAATCCCGGGAAATTGCAGGGGAAATACGAAAATGGTCTGACCTCATTGACTGTCCATTTCTGAATTTCAGACATGTTGACCGGGCGTTTTTGGGTGAAATAATGGAAAAACAAAATTGAAAACAAAAATAATAGGATGGGGAAACAAGGCAAAGAGGGAAAAAGAGGGACCAAAGGCTTGACACCGCTATTTCGGCCTGAGAAGAGGTGTGGAGGCGTTCTACGGCCTAGTCACACAAGGTTAGTTTCAGTGACGGGGTAGAAGGAAGTCACTCCAGAGAGAAACAGAGGGGAAAAAAACCCCCTGTTCATGGAGGTGAGACAACGAACCTCAAATAAAAAATTCAAATACTTGCTGGCAGCGTCGATCGCGGGAAGCGTCCGACTAGTGATTGGGTATGAAAGTCACCAACTTGGCCAGGTATGACTTTTGAAGTTTGTAGGGAATCAAGGAGAACATTTGAAAGACTCAAGATTGCCAAGCCCCCGCCCCCCACAATCGGTTGACAACAGAAAAAAAAGGAAAAAGTGGGCACAGGTGGGCAGTGGGCAGTGGGCAAAGGCGGGTCCTGCCAGACATGGAACAGGACAAGATTAACCACATTTGCCGTGAAAGGTCTAAGGTTGTGGAGTCCACGTTGCAGTACACAACTTTGACGGTGACATGAACTATTGGAGTCAAATTCCCGCATTGCCTTTGCCTGCAGGGTAAAATAGTGAATCACATCGGATTTTCACATGAACTCTGCAAGGGTACTAAATGGCTTACAAGTACCGATATGTTGCGTTGATGTCCACATTATAATTTATATGCATTGCAATTCGAGGTCAAGTGACCAACTGGTGTATGTATCTACTGATGTATTGATCCATTCAATATTGACGAGCATCAATATAGATAGTACCTAGTACCTACACGAAAGTACTAGTAGACCATACTCGAACAGCCACCAGGGCAACATAGGGAATATTTGAAATTAATGTATGAGATTTACTACCAAATATATCAGCCCCTTTCTGGAATGTATACACAACTCATCCAGTGCCTATCACCTATCAAATCTAGGGACAAGTTTACCACCTTTCCTAAACTAGACCAAGTGGCTTCACATGACCAACTCTGCATGCATCTGCAAGAGATTCATGTAGGTGTGCGTTGGTACTCGGCGCTAAGCCATGGCGCGCCTCCAACCCAATTTTTCCTGCCTGACTCCGAACAACGAAAATAAATTGGGCATAAAAGCATCAGTATGAGAGAGTATGAGTAACAAATAGTAAATAAATGATAAATGATAAAAACTTTATACACATGTATGTCGTGCGGCATAAGAACCACAAATCATAGAACCACGAAACATTCCAATCCATGTACAAATGTTCTGTACTTTCTCCCTTATCTGCATGAATCCCATTCCAATATTGCCTGATCCACCTCGCTCTATCACAATTGCACCCGAGTCATGTCTAAGGGGAAGAAAATTCCAGTCAAATAAAGATAGTAATCAAAATACTCAAAACCAAAGAACTCTATCAACCAACTAGACCCAGAAATTAAAAACAAGGCTCCTACCGAGTATCGAATCCAAACTCACCACCTGGCACACGCACAAACCCACACGCATACGTCGCCCCCGAAATCTTGTCATCATACTCCTCCAATGAGAAACATTATCGCATCCAACTCGGCTTAATGTAAAACAACACCTATGCACCTCATCACTTCTCAGCACCTGCTTTGTCGGAAGGCTTTTTCAAATGTTTTGGTTTTTCATTTCTTTCGCTCAACTATACCTAGTAGGTAATGCTTATACACAAGTTGAAATGATGTCAGATCCCTTTCCGTCTATACATAACTCAAGTAGTTTGGCCGCATTTTATGTGCTGTAGCTTTCCATGTACCGCCGGCATGCAGCTATGCACTGTAGTCTGGAGACGGACGGCTTCTATATTCCTACTCCGGTATAGCACGAACTCTTCTTCCGGCATGATCGTGCAGGTTCGTGATGTGGGGACCCAGGAACGTGATTTGATATTTAGGATGGTAGGAGTGTTGGGCATCAATCAAAACTGAGTACAGCTAAATTGCGTCGTGATTTTTTTTTTCTCTTTCTTCCTGCGCTGTTATTTGTCATTGAGCCTGATCTTGAATCCTGTGATTTGGAGCAGGTGAAATCATGATGTGGGTGGCAGTGGCTTTCCAGGTTAAGACTGGTTCCTGGCCAAGCTAACTATAACACGAAATACATAAATGCAATTGATAAAAATACTACCTCGTACTGGCCCAAGGCTGCCATCAGGGGGGCTGAACGCTTCAAGATAAAACCTGCGAGTGATTGATTTTTTCGGGGACCCCTTTTTCAGTCACAAAGACAGATAATAAAGTCGATATTACGTATACGTAGATAACTAGTAACTATGTATAACTTCTTTATATATTAAATTCTTGAACTGTAAGAGTGCATCTGATCTCTCATCAATTGATGGTTTTTCTGTTGATTTCTATTTTTTGGGACCCCAGTATCAGTCATTTGCACGATTCCCTTAGATATTCTCACTTCATTCAGCTATAAAACAATATTCTTTCAATCAATTGATCTTGTCCTTCTGTCTTCCTGGCACCACGCTTCATGCTGCACATACGCGTCTTTTCTCTCAGGCTCGCATAAAGGGTCTTCATCATGGTTTTTCCTATCTCTGAGAAAATTCAAACCCTCCCGAGAACTTATAAGGAGGACCAAGGATATCAAGCAGATGATTCCGAGCCATGCGAGCGATCCCAGAACGTCATTTTTCACGCAGACGGCATAAAGTGACATGCGAAAGTGACATTCAAGGCTAAAATTGGTGTCACGGGAAGAGGTGGTCTCCTTAAAGGAAGAAAGAAGCTGGAGGCTCTCATCTGCCTCATCGACTTCCGCTCCATTCCTCTGCTCCCAGATACGGTAAGTGATATTGTGATCGAAAAAGCATGCTATAAAAACAAAGACAAAATCATCAATCAGGACTGAGCACAGATCTCGGATCCAAGAAGTCAAAAGATATGAAACGACCACGAATCGCTTTATCCAGAAATTACGATTTCTGACTTCTTTCGCAAAAGGTCTCCGAAAGGCAAAAAGTAATCATTCTTACAATTCGCAAAAGGATTCCGAGGATTACAGCCCCGAGGGAATTACAGGGAAATGATGTCAGTCTTAGAAAATAGTTACAATATCGAATCGCCTTAGATTCGATTATAAATAGTTTAACTAATTCTCCTCGAAAACAAATTCCCAAATTATTCAACCATTCAGCTCGTTTTTGAATCGAGAACTTCATGGTGAACATGGGTAAGTTTTCAATTTTGATGTCATTATGACGATCAGGGCTTTGGGATTTATCATCCGGAGTATCTGATGCGGATCGTGGCCTTAATGGGTTTTTCTTTTTCTGAGTCTCAACTTGATCTGATTGAATCTCTTGATCCTTGTTACCAACAGATACTGCTCCCGGATCCTCGTTCTCTACCATCGAATTCGAATAAGGCGTTCCCCTAAGACTATCCGGATTTGTCTCAGTTGCATAAGAACCATCCTTGTCCTCACGAATTGCTGGTTGATGATCATTTTTGTAATTTTCGAGTGATGCAGCCACTTGTGCACCTTCTTCTCTTTCAAGTCTTCGAACCCTTTCCAACATGTACTGGTATCGTTTCGTTGGTGTTTCGAGACGGTTTGCGTCCCTTTGTACTTCCAACTGAGTAATACGATGCACCAGTTGCTGATATGGGTCCTCAAAGGGAGGGGGTAGATCCTCAGTCCGAATAGGAGAATCCACCGGAGTATTTGCATCCGAATTAGAGATTCGGATATTTCGTGAAGAGGGAAGGATATCCTCTTCCAGTGATGTTTCGGGTACGTTTCGGTTTTCCCCTTCAGTTTCTTGTATTTCTTCAGAGTGTCGAGTAGAGCTCCGAGTATTAACCATTGTTCTTTTCGGGTTTGTCTCATTTCAATGTTGGTTGATTCTCATCAAAAGCAGGATTTGTTGTTTGATTGGGAATAGTAGTATCAGGGTCCTTGCACATGTGTGAATGTTGTGCCCAACATTGAAGATTTTCTTTACATATATTGCTCCAGTCATGCAACTTCTTCTTTTTCCAGTCTATGTACTCTTGCCAACATATGTTCATACATATGTATCGTTTCTACAATACAACAGAATGCCCCACTAGTACTATATACTATCTAAAATAAAGACTCAGGTATACCAATCTCGAATAATCTTTTTCTAGTTGCAATGAGCGGGCGAGATGAAAAATTCATTTACAAGACAGCGGAGCATTCCTTCTACGAACAACGCTACACGGCTGTTTTCCAAATAGAGCTCTGCAACATCGTGCTGCTTCATTAATGGCTGCCGCTGTTCCTTTTCCATCGCGGCCATTGATTGCATACTTGAGAGTCCCACCGGGGTAGTACTATAACACCATCCCAAGAATAGCATTCACACCTTCGCTCGACGGTTCCGTTTTGAATGGGTTTGGTGATTTCAAATGTTCATCACAGCTACCAACTGAAATATATTCCTGGAAGACTTGGCCTTACCAGCTGGCACGTGCTTTGCTGATATCACACGATTAATCTGTTAATCACATGGATATCAATTATATCTAGGAATGTCGTTATTGATCGACGCAGCTGATGAGGCAGTTTTCATTGATATTCAAAGGAGTGGGATATACATATGAGAATTTGGCACCAGAATTCCGAAACGACTTTCCGCCCTTCGAATTGCCATTCGATCAGAGATGTCAAAACGACTTTCAGGTATTTGGGAAATTGCTCACATGCATAGAGCTGGCTTCGATTGAAGATGACTTTGAATGGAGTATCCGGGACAATCATTCGAAATATTGGCGAACATTCAAAAGGATTATCGCGCGAAGAACGTGCAGATCGACTTGACATATCCGAAGCTATCCGAGTGCTTTCAAGAGACTAATAGGCGGCTATCCAATTATGCTCCTCTTTTCTAATATCCCTGATGATAATTTATACACCGCAAACCCTCGTTTCTTTCGGAATACTGGTGCTATTTCTGTCAAAACATCCAGGCACCGGATACTCGCCACACTTCATTAATGGATGAGGGACCGATCACCACATATGCACTGGTGGTTCATTGACATTCAGAGAATTCTAACAGAAATTCCAATGTCTCATTCTTTATACTAACCTCTTGGTAGATAAGATCCATGGATAATACTTGGAAATCAAAAGATCTTCCTTGACCACTTACTGACATACTCTCTTCACTCATGAGGAATACGTCCAGGGGAGCTATGTAAGTACCTTTGAACCCCTTCGTAAATTACTTCTGTACAGTGTCATCGTCCAGATGTCGAGATTCAATGTTGATCAGAACCTTCAATGTTAGTATATCTCACCTTGAAACATTTGCAATATCAGAGGCGGAATAATTAAATGAGAATAAACAAATTGATCCCGAGGTCCAAACCCCGTTATTACTATGTATACATAGTACCGTTTTCAAAACGATAATTAACAAATTATAAAACCAATAGATCGGAGGGAATTTATTGTGAGCAAAAAACTACATGGAGTTAAAAATTCAAATCAAAAAAAGGATGAGCGACGCAGGGATCGAACCTGCAATCTCTTGTGAATTCGCAACCGAAAACAAGCGCCTTACCATTAGGCCAGCCGCCCTTGTATGAAAATATTTACCCGGCTTGGCATGATATAGAGTTACATATTCGACCAAATAAGGCAACTATGATGCAATAGTTAAGTGATATTTGTTCCGTGGTGATTATGAATGCGCATTTCTTCTTGTATATATATTAGTTACAATTTTTCATCAGAAACTACCTAGGTACTAGTAGTACTGGCCCTCTCTGGAGAAAGAATTATAGTTTTTGTGTGAGACATCGGAGAGAGGAGTTGGCTAATCATCAAGCATATATTTGTCATTTAGTTACAAGAAAAAATAAAGTTGTAAGCTTTGAACGTCTCCCGTCTAAGTGTTTACAGCCGGCAGCCCATGTTAACATGAACAGCCTTGACCTGTGAGTAAGCCTCAAGACCAGCCTCGCCAAGCTCACGACCAATGCCACTCTGCTTGGCACCACCGAATGGCACGCGGAAGTCACTGTCATTGCTGCTGTTGATCCAAACCATACCGGCCTCAATCTCGGAGGCAGTGCGGTGGGCACGCTCAATGTCCTTGGTGAACAGAGCAGCGCCGAGACCGTAGGTGGTATCGTTGGCGCGAGTGATGGCCTCCTCTTCGGTGACGAAGCTGGAGATCACGACGAAGGGACCGAACACCTCCTCGCGGTAGATGCGCATGTTATCAGTTACGTTGGTGAAGATGGTCGGGGCAATGTAGAAGCCACGGCCATCACCAACATTCTTATAAGGCTCGCCGCCAGCGGCGAGGGTAGCACCCTCGGCCTTGCCTGCCTCGATGTAGGACAGCACACGGTCATACTGGGCCTTGGTGACTTGAGGACCTTGGAAGGTCTCGTCGGCGAATGGGTCGCCGACCTTGCTGGTGGAGGCTGTGGCCTCCTTAAAGAGGGAGATGAACTTCTCGTACACAGAGTCGTGGACCAAGATACGGGAGGTGGAAGTGCAGACCTGGCCCTGGTTATACATGATACCGATGTGTGCCCACTTAGCGGCCTGCTCGAGATCTGCGTCCTCAAACACAATCAGTGGGGACTTGCCACCGGTCTCCAGAGTAATGTTCTTGAGGGTGCCAGCAGCCATCTTCATGATCTCACGACCAGTAGCGGTTGATCCGGTGAAAGCCACCTTATCAACGTCAGTGTGCTTCACCAACGCAGCACCGGCCACACGACCATGGCCGTTAATGATGTTAATGACACCAGGAGGGAAACCAGCCTCCTTGACCAGACCAGCCAGGTAGAGAATACTGAGAGGGGTCTGCTCGGCAGCCTTCATAACAATGGTGTTACCACAAGCAAGGGCAGGGCCCAGCTTCCACGCGGCCATGGCCAGAGGGAAGTTCCAGGGGATAATCTGGCCCACAACACCGATGGGTTGGCGTAGGGTGTAGGCGAACTTTTGAGGGGTGGTGGGGATGGTCTGACCGGTGACCTTATCGGCCCAGCCGGCATAGTAGCGAAGGGAGGAAAGGACCTCACCAAGATCATCGTTCAAAGACACAGAGTAAGGTTTGCCTGTTTTTGGTATTTAGTCAGTTGAAATTTCCTTTGATGTTGAAGAATAAGCTGATGGGCTACTAACCGTTATCCCAGGTCTCAATAGTGGCGAGGGTCTCCCGGTGCTGCTCAATCAAGTCGGCGAACTTCATCATCAATTCACCACGCTCTGTAGCAGACAGTCCCTTCCAGGACGGGTCCTTCAGGGCCTTGCGTGCAGCCTTGACAGCAATATCAACATCCTCCTCACCAGCGGCATAAACGGAAGCGATCTCGGTCTCGTTACTGGGATAGTCAGTCAGTAATCCCGAAGATAAAGTATAGTAGCAAAGTCAAGATAATAACATACGAAGGGTTAATGGAAGCGATCTTCTCGCCTGACTTGGATGCCACAAATTCATTGTTAATGAAGAGACCAATAGGCTGGGCATAAGTGCGCCCATTGGGGGCAGTCAATTGCACGGTAACGTCAGACATGGTAGCGGTATAGAAGCGGCAAGGTATATTAGAGCGAAGTGCAGATAGAGAGATACACCGCAACGGCCGGAGGGTAAAGGCACGAGCAAGCATTGGAGGGGGGAAATGTTAAGACCTTAAGAGGGAACCTTGGACACATGAGTTGAGTCCCCGCTCCGATAACGATAACGCGGTCTCCACCGGGTCGGGTGCACTTACTCTTCACGGGCAACCGCTGGAGCTCTCGATCGATTGGCCCCGTTTATTGACGCTGGTTGGCTGCGCTCGCCGCTGTGAGGTTGGTCCCCTCTTTTTACCATTTGAGGGGCCGAGGGACCCCAGGTCCATTATCATGGATGGGACATGATACTCATGTAGGGGAATTTAGTCCCAACGGCTATCTGCATATCTCTACTTTAAATCCCCGGGGATCGACAGTCAATCACGGTTTTTAAAAAATTGATTTATGCTGTACCACTGCATAAAAAGAACTGAAGAAAAGAATCTGAAAATACATTTAAGACCAAACGCAACGCTTAAGTAAACCATGTCAGATGAGTGGTACATGTACCAAAGTCCCGCTAGTATCAAGCTGCCGCTAGTATCAAGCTTATTCGCTTTCATCCGCAAACTCCGTCTTGAGAAGCTGCTCTGGGTCCTCGCCCGCCAACTCCAGAATGTATCTCCATTGAGCTGGGGTAACTTGAGACACACTGAGACGTGATTGCTTGAGGGTCTGCAGATTCTCCAGCGCTTTTCCAGGCTGGGAATGGGCCTTCAAATCATCCAGAGTGACTTGCTTCTTGAGCTTGCATCGGAACTCAACATGTACGACGACCCATTTGGGGTTTTCACGTGTAGCCTTGGAATCATAGTAAGGGTGCTCGGGATCAAATGCGGATTCTGCGACAAAGTTAATTAGAGAGACTTCAGCGGGGTAGGGGGCTTCTTTGAAGGATCGAACCATCAACTGAGTGTTCCTGCACAATCTCCATGACTCCCACCACTCCAGGGGTTTTGCAGTTGGAGTGATAGAAAAACGCGTAGTCTCCCTTCTTCATATTGCGCATGACATTCCTGGCTGTTGCGTTGTATGTAAGTTGAATCGTTCTCAAAGCGTGTCTGTACTAGTTATTCTCCAATCAATTCTTACCGACAGCATTGCGAACACCTACTTCAAACGTTAGAAATATTCATTTTCTGAAACTGAGAAGATCATACCATCCCATGCCTCCGGCTTATCCGCGGCGGCCAAGTCATCAATGGAGAACTTGACATCCTTTCCCTTTTCAATACGCGAATCAGGCTCAGCCTTCATCAACCAGTAGGAACGACCATCATCTTTCTTAGAAACCTGTGAGCTCTTGGGCTGGGGTGTCGATTCTGGCTCATCAGCGCCATTAGCAGGCAGACTCTTGCGTGGCCTACCCCGACCGTCCTTCTTTTTCGGGGTTGTTGTTGCCGATTTCGGCGTCTCGAGGCCTAGAGAATAAAGGTTTAGAAACAAGTTCCCGACATTACCAGACATATGGTGTCGGCGGAAAGATACCTGGTTCCTTGCGAGGACGTCCGCGCGCTCTCTTGGGTCCATCGTCTACCGCTGCCTCTTTCTTCGCAGCAGCGGCAGCCATATCTGCTTCCGTGAGGATCTTCTTAGGACGTCCGCGACCGCGCTTAGGGCCATCGGATTCTGGCTTGACGGGGGTAGAACCGACGGGGTACTTGCGTGGGCGACCGCGCTTCCTCTTGTCACCTGTCTGGGGGGTTTCCTTTATGGTCAATGCATTATCACTATGGACCGAAAGTGGATAAGTGGTCTAGGTGAATCTTGGCGATCAGCTTCTGGTGGCTCTGTAACTTACAGCGGAAACAATCTGGCCCTCCATATCGGAGACAATTTCACCCTCGGCGTCTGAAGCAGAGTCATGCACTTGCTTAGATGGGGTTTCAACGTTTTCGGACATTTTGGTTGGATGTTCTGGTGTTTGCTTGAAAGGCGCGTAGTTTTGAGGTTCTGAGACTGCAGTGCTCTTCGCAGTTAAGGGGTAGAGAATTGGCAGATTTTTCTTTGCGGAAAACCCAATTTCTCAAAACTTGCCCGTTGTAATCGGCTCGAGAGGCAAGATTTGTACGAACGTGATAAAGTAATGGCGCGAGGAAATGGAATGTAATGTTTCATTCAAGACGAAAGCTTTTATTTTCTCGAGCTCGACGCGACGTGACAGTGGGTCCCCCGGACGGCTTACTCACGTGACATGCGCGCTTGATCGACGGATCTCCAGCAAGTCAAGTGGGGGAAAATACCTCCGAATTGGAATATCCACGTTACTTTCTTCCCAAGTTTCTTGTTGATAGGATTTGGTCTTGTTTACTCTAAGGCTTCGAATCAAATCACTTGAGGCTTACTTTCCCAAAATTTCTAACATTTTCAAATATTCCAAGGTTACTAACTTCGGGTGTAATACATTCAAAACGTTCAAATATTACAATGTTGAACTTTGATTGCATGGATTCACTTCCAAGCTTGACTTGACCGAGCTGAATTCTCTTTTAGCTACCTAGCAAGGTGGACGTGAGATCACCCGTGAACTATTTTACTATTTAATATGGTGGAACACTCACGCTAACTGGACATTTGACGGTTGTTTAGCATTCTTTTAAATATTTGAATCCGTCGATTTTTCAAACTTTCGGTTTTGCTTTTTATCCAAGTTGACTATGGAGAGGGGTGGCTACACTAGTAGAATGGAGAATTGGAGGTTGCCCCCAGGTGCCATATTAGCCTCCATTTGATTTCAATTATTGTCCGGACTCCGATGACTATGAAATCTCTTTTCAAGGTTGAAGTGAAAAAAACAAAAAAAAAAAAACAATACATGGTAGAAATTAGGAAACCTATTTTGAAGGTAATTCTTTTTGAAAGCAGAAAAGAAAGCAGGCAATTCATTAACAACCTTGGAATCCATCAATGGGTCTTGACTAGTAAGATCCAAGGGAAATGATCAATGAATGTTCTATGTATAGAGGAATCAACCGTCTTCAACCGATAATACATTTGATTCGTCGAATTAATGGATGTCTCTAGTCTAGAACCTTGCAATGCGAACCTCCCTGCATGGTTATTTGGGGCAACAAAAGTAGGTTATGAGTATACTCGGAAAGACTCCATAGAAGCAAGGAAACATGTCGAAGGTTGGCCCCACTTGGTGGGTCTCATCCCACTTGAACATGAACGGGCCCGAATCCGGAGGTCGACCAAGATCCAGCCAATTGGTTTAGCTGGAGCTCTCCCTGAATCTGCGACTTCGGGGATCGACCATGTGCTGGTGGCTTTTTGGGATTATCAATGTCGACAAAGAGTGAGTATGGAATTGCGCCATCCCGTCGAGTCTCTATTGGCTCCATAGCGGAGTGATTATCGGCCGACTCGACATGGAGGGTAGCTCGGCCGACAGCATCAAGAGGAATAAATGCGATGGTGATATTTTGATAGACTGTATTTTTTTGGAAAAGAAATCAAATATCTAGCAAGATTTAGGGAGAATAGTAAAAGTATGAAAAAGAAGGGGAAAGAACCTGGGGAAGGGAATAGTAACAAAATGCAGTGGTACCTTGGGAGGTTCATGAATGGCATCAGGAACACTAAACAGCCCACTTGCATTTCCACCAATGAGAGGGTCATTTTGTCCAGGGCGGTCAGCAATTGCGTGATAGACAACAAGCCGGATGAGGTAACTCGATCAAATGCATCGCAAAGCAAGAGGGGCAAGCTCCGGTATTTGAACCTAGTTCTTCCCCCCCAATTTCTAAACTTCCTTCTCCTGAAAAATATCCCGCAATATCAATCCTTCTCACTATCACAATGGCTGAACAACGTGCTCCGTATGTTATACCTGTTACTTCTAGCCCTATCATCTATACAAGATGTACTACCTCAATGGGCATTTCCCCTAGAGTTTATTGGCTAACCATCTATATGTAGCCTCCGTCTGGGCTCCGTCGCCCCTAACTTCGACTCCGAGACCTCCACTGGCCCCATTAACTTCCACGAGTTCCTCGGTGGCAAGTGGACCATCCTCTTCTCTCACCCCGATGACTTCACCCCCATCTGCACCACCGAGCTCGGTGCCTTTGCCAAGCTTGAGCCCGAGTTCACCCAGCGTGGAGTTCAGCTCATTGGTCTGAGTGCCAACCACGTTGAGTCTCACCACCGCTGGATCAAGGACATCGATGAGGTCTCCGGCTCCCAGCTCAAGTTCCCCATCATTTCCGACCCTGAGCGCAAGGTCGCCTACCTGTACGACATGGTTGACTTCCAAGATACCACCAATGTTGACTCCAAGGGTATGGCCCTGACCATTCGTTCCGTCTTCATCATCGACCCTGCCAAGAAGATCCGTCTGATCATGACCTACCCCGCCTCCACTGGTCGCAACACCGCCGAGGTCCTCCGTGTCATTGATGCTCTCCAGACCACCGACAAGCACGGTGTTACCTGCCCCATCAACTGGCTCCCCGGTGATGATGTTGTCATCCCTCCTCCCGTCTCTACTGCCGATGCCAAGGCTAAGTTTGGTGAGATCCGTGAGGTCAAGCCGTAAGTCATCCTGCATAGATTCTTGTGACACCTTGGGGAACTTGATTTCTAACTATTATATTACAGTTACCTCCGCTTCACCAAGGACCCTTCCAACTAGAGAACGGGCTTTACGATGTAACGTGACTTAAAAGATTTAGGTGATTTGGCCGATAAAAGCCTACTTGATACCAATATGAAATGCCTTATCCTGCCAGAAAATTGTCAATCTTATACCTGTAAAATATTTTCGGGATGTGCAGTAATCTGGGAGTAGATGTCTCACTGAGGTAAAAGTGACTTTAGCCTGATATGACTGGACTATGACAGAGTTTGTGTAAGACTGTACAACCATACATAATTCACGTGGAATCTTCCAAGGTTTCTATCTACTGACATAGTACGAGAACTGCGTTAGTATTTAATCCACTATAAAAAGATATATTGTTATATAAAAGAATGATTCCCCTAATCTACTCATTTCTCTATGAATTCAATGTTTGTATCTCAGGATCGGCCCTTTTGCCAAAACTGTAGATAGCGCGGTCGCATCCGCCCCAAACCCGAAGCGTTGGTTGAGACCGCCTTTTTTTTGTGCCGATCCAACGTCCACTTGTCTGACACTTTGATCTCTCTCCACTCGTTTTTGGTCGACAAGGCACATCGGCGAGAAAATTTCCGGCGCTCGAATCCTGGTCCTCCCCGTACCAAAAACCCGCCTACCTTGACGCGGCGGGGAAAACCCACCCCCTGGTCCAAATCCATCCCCCACAGGGCCACAATTCGAGCCGCAACCCTCCCTGCGATCAGCGCCCAGCAGCATATTGCGATCGTTACACACCTCAAATCGAGCCGCCATTCGTCTTATATAAACCGTCTGCCCTTGACGGAATCACGCCGAGAAAAAAAAAGGGGGGGGGGACTAATATATCATACTATTTATATTTCTTTGGACTCCTCTTGAGTGCGTTTGGAGTTGTGACCAACCATCTCGCACACAATGATGTCCAGGAGCCAGTCAAGTTTGGGCGGCTTCTTAGATGCAGGTCAAGAACCGACTGCCACAGGCGGTGTTTCTCCGTCGTTCAACCAACAACCCTCGTCCGGACCGATCAACCTATCCGGGTTAGTGTGCAATGTGCGCCGAACAACCGGCAAGGAGCCTCACCCCCTGGTCGGGGCTACCACCACAATTTTGGGCGACAAACTATACGTTTTTGGAGGCCGGATCCTCTCGCGCAGTCGTCCCAAGTTGACCGCAGACCTATACGAACTGGATTTGATCCGGCGGCACTGGAGCAAAGTCGAAGCGACAGGAGACATCCCTCCCCCGCGCTACTTCCACAGTGTATGTGCTCTAGGAGATAACAAGTTAGTTGCATATGGTGGTATGTCGCCAGCTCCCAGTGCTCCCAAGGATGCTTCAAACCCCGGCACGTCTGGTGCGGAGACACAGTCGGAGGTAGTTGTTATGTCAGATATCCACATTTTCGATGTCCCATCGCGAACATGGACACGAGTTGCGTCGCACGAGTCACCGCAAGGACGATACGCACACTGCGCCACTATCCTGCCTTCAAGCGCCAGTTTCACTTCGGCTCGTGCACCGCTGTCAGCTCTCCACCACAACCCCGAATCCTCTACACCCCACCAAGGTTCGATCGGGGTGGATATTGATGGTTTTGGTGGCGCTGAAATGGTAGTTGTTGGTGGTCAAGACAGCTCAAACCATTACATTGAGCAAACTAGTGTTTTCAATCTTCGCAGTCTCAAATGGACTAATACCAGTCCTCTCGGTCGCAGCTGCGGTGCATACCGTAGTGTCGTCGCGCCCCTGGTGGGTATGGACGTCTCCGAAATTGGGTCTGCTTCCCCTGATCGAGATAATCATGAGCCGATTGAGGAATCAGAATCACCAGGATGCCCCATGCTGATTTATTCCAATTACAACTTCCTCGATGTTAAGTTGGAGCTGCAAGTGCGCTTGCCGGACGGGCGCCTTGTTGAACGACCGATGCAGAGTCAAGCATCCCCACCAGGGCTGCGCTTCCCCAATGGTGGTATTATCAACGGTCATTTCGTCGTCAGTGGTACTTACCTGACTTCCTCAAAACAAGAATACGCTCTGTGGGCTCTTGACTTGAAGACTCTGACCTGGGGACGTATTGACGCTGGTGGATCGGTATTTGGTCATGGCAGCTGGAATCGTGGTATTCTTTGGCCACGCCGCAGCTCGTTTGTGATTCTTGGACACCGCAAGCGTAGCTTGGTCGATGATTACAATCATCGCCGAATCAATTTCTCTCATATCTGTCTGGTTGAGCTCGAAGCATTTGGTCTGTACAACAACCCCTCTCGCACGTCTTCGACATCGGGATACAAATCATACAGCTCACCTTCGGTGCCAGCTTCTTTGCAGCAGAAGCTGTCGCAACTGACAACTGGTGGACGACCGCTATCAGCCGCAGCCGATGAGCTAGGGAAGCTGGCGCTTTCACTGCACGAGATGTCCGACATGGAGCTGCAAGCTGTCGGAGGGGAGCGCATTCCCGTGAACTCCCGTCTTTTGTCTAGACGGTGGGGACCTTATTTCATCCAGCTTCTGCGTGAATCGTCCGAAGGAGGAATCGCAGATGGTGGGACTCTTCGCCCTGCCCAAATCCACCCAAGTCGCAACTCCAGTATTACCATCACTCCATCTATTGGCCAAAATAGTCTTTACTCCAATGCAACAACCCTGGTCAACCCTTCCGCCCCGTCCAAAGCACTCCTTGAAAACCTGGAAGCCCCCTCTGCTCATGGCCTCGCCCCGACTGCCCGACCCCGTGTGCTTTATCTCCCTCACACCGTCCTTACGCTCCAGGTACTCGTTCAGTATCTTTATACCTCCGCTCTTCCCCCTCCCGGCTCTTCCTTGTGCACACCACAGATCCTCTGCTCTCTTCTTCAACTTGCTCGGCCTTATCAGGTAAATGGTCTTCTTGAAGCCACTGTCGAGCGGTTGCACCAAGTCCTTGATGGCCGCAATGCTGCGGCGGTATTCAACGCAGCAGCAATGGCAGCAGGTGGCGGCCGAGGTACCGGCTTCACCGGCGGCCTAGGCGGTACGCTGGAAGCCCTGAATGGCTCGCAGTTCGGGAATGGCTCCATGCACAATGTTTCGGAGGGCACAAATTCCCATGACAGTGGTTTAATGACGTCCGACTCCTCTGACACAGAGCATGGCGCCATGCCTCCCTCCGCCGCCAGCAGCACGGGTGATCTTACCAACTACACGCGTGGCATCCCATCTCTCCGCATTGACACCAATCTACGTGGCCGGCAGCACCACAGCGCTCGCCGTGAACGCGAAGATTCTATAAGCACCGCAAGCACTGCCACCTCAGCTTCTAGCTTCAGCCACTCCGACTCAGAGTTCGTTAGCGATACTGAAAGCCGCTCACAATCTCGCGCTCACCAGCGCCGTGGCACGGATGCCAGCCGCCCATCCCGCGAGATTTGGACCGGTGATTTATCCAGCGTTATTGGTCTGCAGAAACGTGGGTTGCGTGGCTTAATGGAGGGTCGCCGCATGCGCGAGCGAAGTGTGAAGCCTCCCAGCGTGAGTAGTGGCTCGACTTCTGTGCCTCAATCAGCAGGCTCAGGAGAACACCACTTCCACATGCAGGGTGTGGCTGGCTAAATACCCTGCCCCTTTCTTTTTTCTATATCATGCTAGACTTGGACAGATGGTGGACATGACACCAAACCTACTACATATCGTGAAACAAAATACTTCTCCGCCGTGCTTCATGATTGAAATTCGGGTTATAAATATGTCTTTCTTTCTTTTCACCCCAGCAGGCTGATGAGGTGGTGAGATTCTTTTCAATATATGAGCAAATATTGTTCTTTTCTGGTCATCAAAATAAAACAGGAACGATCGTTATGCATTTCAAATTCATTAAAGGTTTCTTCAACTGTTACGTCCATTCATTCATACTTACCTTGGTACTAGGCATGCCCACATGTGTAGCTGTAAATCCCGATAGTAAATGGTCAAATTGAATCAATGCAATGCAATGCAATGGTGAGTTTTCATTGGATCTTAAGCGCTTAATGTACAAAGTAGACCTCAAAAAGGGAATCCGCGCGGGCTTCAGGAGCGGGATACAGGAGACTCGGAGCTGGAAGAGGACTCTTCCTGCTGCTTCTTCGGGGGCGCAAAGTGTTTCTGGCTTTTGTCACCATAAACTAGAAGATACGAGTCACGTTAGCAAGCTAAGAACGTACTGAACCAACTATAACAGTTGTAATGAGATATCTCCAGCATTAGGAAGACTCACCCCGCTCATAAAGAATATAAGAGGTATACATAAGAAACGGCAAAGCAACAATAGTCGATGTCCATCTACCGAAAAAATCAGTAAGCGCAAATCTGAACATCCGGTAAACACGAAATTTCTTTTTTGCAGAACGCAAGTGACTGCGAAACTGAGTGGATTGTGTAGCAAACAGAATCGGGGCACAGGACGTCATCGACCAGAATGCAATCCGGTGCAGGCCAAAACCGGCACAACCAGATGACACCATCGTCACTGGAGGATATCTGGAATAAAATGGAAGAAAGGAATGTGATGAGAGAGCATTAATTCAGGTACACACCTCCGCGCAGCAACCTTATACTCCTTTGTCGACCGAATATCCGGGTGTCCCTTGAGAGACGGGCTCGGACGCTGTGGGCGGGGAGCAGGGGTTGGTTGACCCGGACGGAATTGCTCGGATGGATACACGGGCATTTTGGTTTGAGAATTTGTTTAGATGGAAATAGGAGGTTGGGGTTCTGTATATTCTTTTAGGGAGGAGAGGATGGAGTAGGAAATTGGATGAGGAATTTGGAGAGTTGATGCCTGAGGCAGTAATATTATGTTTTGCAGCGAGAAAGTTGGACGACCAAGAGTTATCATTATGCCAGTGTATTGCACCTTAAGAAGGTGATGATACTAGTATCAAGGGAAATGAGAAGATTGGTAAGCTAAGTGCAATTGAGTAACTATTGGTTGCATAGTAACTACTACTAGTCTTGGTATTTTGACCGAGACTAGTATGCATTTCAATCAGCTCTTTATAGGGGTTTAAAAGAGCCTTTATGTACAAACTGAAAGAAATCCGATAAGAAATCAGGAACGAAGGTAATAATATACTCAAGTCAGAACACTATTAGAGTGTTTTTGGAAAGATTTGATTAACGCCGAGATAGTGCTCAAAACAGAACGCTTTGTGATCATCGCTAATTGTGCAACATAAAAAAGAGAATTTCAAAGTCACCACACAAACGAGGTGCTTCTCTGGCCTTCAGGCCTTAGTAGTTCGGTATTCCAGTATTCCACCCGTAAGCCGAGCTCTCAACCAACTCCAAGTGCTGGCTGTAGCCCCAACCTCCATCTATCTCCATGTCCCGAACTTCAACCGCGGGACCGACTGCCACGACCACGGCCACCACCACCACGATTTCCCCGACCTCCACCACGACCGCGAGGAGTTTCCTTCCGCTTCGGCGACTCCGCACTTTCACCCTTGGTTTTAGAGGCTGGCACGGGCTTCGGCGTCGTAACTGCCTTGCGTTTTCCACCCTTCTGCATAGCGGGTTCCACATCAGAACCAGCAAGACAAGCACGCTTCGCAGCAGCAGTGTCATCCAGCGCCGGCTCATCTGTAGTATCGGCAGCTCGCTTTTTCCCCTTGCTGGGAGTTTTGACCTCCTTCTTGGGCTTTGGCTTGGGGATCACCTCCTCCTCAGCATTTGACTTGTCCATGCCGTTTGTCTTCCCTTCAGGTCGAGGGGCAGTAAGCACGAGACGGATAGGCCGGAACGGAGGATCCGGGGACCCGTCCTTATCAGTCTCGGTATCGTCGCGGGTAAGACCGTTGTCGATGGTATTTTTAGCGGCTGACTTGGCGGAACGGGGGAGAGATTTCTTGGCCGGAGGTGCGGCGTTGCTGGGAGGTGCCGGTAACGAGGCACGTGCTCGCTTCGTCTTTGGTCCTGCCGTTTCGGCAGCGGAAATCGCTTTGTCACCCCATGGTAGTTGACTTTGGCGCTTGGCAGCTCGGGGCTTTCGGGGTTCTGTTGGAGGCGGAATTGCCCTCTGGCGAGCCTCACCGCGTACCTGGGCCAATGCTAACTCCTCAGTCACATCTTCGGGCAGAAAACGAGAGACCAAGGGAATATTGCGATCGCCCATCAATGGCGGAAAACCAAAGTTGATGTCGTTCTGAGTCTGTTTTGCCGAGCGAGAGCGAACAGGCGGATGAGGCAGTTTTTTGTCATTGTAGGTCTGAGGGGGCCAGTAGGGGACGTAACCGTCGGGGGACAAAATGATCGCCTCACCATGGCGATTTGTGCAGCCGACCAGGAGCCAGCCACTTTCATCCAGTGTCGGCTCATCCTGCAGTCTGTACTGTAGAATGCTTCCGGCGTCGGTTTCACTGTCATACAGGTTGGGCTGGTCCTCATCAACAGGGGAGTCCTCACGAGTGCGCTGCAAACCCTCCTTTGCCTGGAAATATCCAAAGCGAGCGTTGGCTAGCTCCCACTCGGGATCGGAGGGAAGCTGAAATTCGGCACTCAGTGCTATAACGGTGACATCATAAAGCTTTTGTCCCGCGGCTTCAATGCTGAGATCAATGCGGGTGAGGGGAGCCTTCTGTTGCTTCAAGGTCTTTTTCCCCTTTGCTTTGCTCTTGCCCTTGAGAGCCTTGTTATTGACGGCATTGGCGATGGACTTGAGTGGTTCATTGACTTTGTTCCTCTCGTTTTTCTGAGCGGCTTCGTTATTGGGTGCTTGGGTGGTTTTCTTGCGAGCATCCTTTTTGAATGCCATAGCTTCAATTGCGCGCGATGTTGGCTTGCGGAGGCGAGAGGAAAGTCGAGTGCCTTTGGAAGAGGCAGCGCTGGGAGATGGGGGAGCCTGTGTTTCGTCGGTACCGCCCATGTATTGGTCGTAAGTCCAGCCAGTAGATCCAATACCCTCAGAGGCGTCCGGGTCGGATGCCAAGTTTTGAGGGGTTGAAAGAGCCGCAGTCGAGCGTCGAGTTTTTCGGCTACTTTGATCTTGACTGGATGGTTTGGGAGTTTCTACCAACGGAGTGTAAACGTTGGACAGTCGAGACGGACGAGCTTGAAACGTGCGACGATTTGTTGAAGGTAGATCAGGAGTGGGATTATTTGGAGGAGAACTTTGAGTGGGGGTTTTGGGATTGTAATAGCGAAATGTGACTATGTTTTCTGAGGGGTGGTCGGTGGACGATAAGCTCAAAGGTTTGGACGGAAGATCGCTCTCATTTTTAGTCTTAGAAGGAGGGGGCACTCGTGAGGAGCGACGCGACGGGGTGAATGTCGCAGCACGCATTGTGTTGCGTGCTTTTTTGGGAGGCATACTGGATGAAGCCTAGTATTGTTTCTTCAAATTTGGCAATTAGTGAATGGGCTCCCCAGGAACATTATGAGACAAAAGAAGCAACTGGAATCCAGGGAAATGGCATGATACAACGGCGTAAGGTACAGTAAGATTCCAACGGTTTAATCTGAAATATATGGGTGCTTAGGTTGTGGTGGGGGACAGGGAGTAAACGTCGAGTTGGAAGGGGAAATCGACGTCAGAATAGGACTGAAGTCGGGGTTTAGGGCCGGGGCAAGGAACCCTCGAAAAGTGACTTATTCGGCGGGACTTACGGTCGTTTCACGCAATACTCCATTCAGGGAACGATCATCAATCCCCAGAACAAGTCAAGTTATATAGTAAGGTGGTTTGCGGGGACCCCTAGGCCATCGAGGGCGATTCATGGAGAAGAGAGAGGTGAAGTCCCAGCAGAAAAGAAATTAGGGCTAAAGTCGATCGGCGCTTATCGGCCTCCGCCTTTATTCTGCAATCTGTCACCACAGCTTCTCCTCCTTGCTCCTCTAACCCGTCCCCTCCGATATCATTGCTTTTTCTATTCTTTATTGTTGCAATTGTTTTCACGATGCATCTGTGGCAGGCCACTGTTCCTTTTTGCCTATTGGCATCGGCTGCGTTGCCAGCAGTTGCTGCGACCTCTTGGGGCTTTACTGATGCCACCGTGGCAGTCCAACCTAAGGGTGCCGGAATCAACGGCGGATACAAGGAATCGTGAGATCAAAGAACTCAATCCACATCTGCAGGGTTGCTGGAAGCTAACACATTATCTTCGATAGCCTCTCCGTCTCCAACCCCCTCCCAAAACCGGTCGCGCTCGCCGGTGCCGATACATTGCGCGTCACCTTGACTACTCAGGAAGGAAGCTCCGCAAAGCGACCGCACCAAGCTTTCCTTCTGTTGAAGGATTCCCACACTGGATTAGATATCTCCTATCCATTCACCGTCAAAGACAATGGAAAATCGCGGGTGGAATTGGTATGCGACCTCGATCGAAGCTCCGCATGATTAAATCAAACAAGCTAACACAGTTGTTTGCTCTAGACTCAAAAGGACCTCCCGATCCAATTCCTCTCTCTTCCCGAACCTGTCGACGCTCGTGTAGTCATTGGTTCCTCCGGTAGCTCCGAGGCATATGATTCCTCCATCTTCGCTTTATCCATCGAGCGCAACCCCGACATTCCCGTCCCCACTGTTGACGTCGAGCGATACGGCAAGCTTCCCGAGATCCACCACATCTTCAAGGATGCCGCCAGCAGCCCCCCTCTTGTTATCACCTTGGCCTTTGTGGGCCTAGTCGGTGCTTCTCTTCCGGTTCTGGCTGTTTTGGTAAGAGTGAAAGAATGGCATGTTGCCGAATGTATGGCTAACCCGGAATCTAGTGGCTTCTCCTTGGTGCAAACGTCAACCACCTGCCCACTGCCTTAAAGTCTGCCCCTCTCCCGCACGCCATCTTTGTTGGATCTTTGGTTGCTTTTGAGGGCCTCTTTTTCCTTTACTACACCTCCTGGAACCTGTTTGAGATCCTGCCCCCAGCTGCCGTCATTGGCGCGGTCGCATTTGTGAGCGGTAGCCGCGCATTGGGCGAGGTTCAAGGCCGCCGCCTCGCAGGTCTCCGCTAAGCGTTTAGAAGAACGCTTGTTTCAAAAAAATAGGCTTGTCGCGCCGGGTTCGTTCGATGTTGTCGGCCTATTGAGTTCGTGTAGCACTGTATCTTAGCTGTCATGATATCCACATTTTTATTTATCGCACAACTGGATTGTTATAAATAAAGCTTGTCTAAAGTTGATTTGGTTTTAATCAGAAGAGCTATACCCACCTAGATAGGTTCTTTACGAATTGCAAATCAAAGGCTGATGTTCCTTCCAGTTGCTGTCGTGCCTCGGTCATCTACATATGGACTTTTTGCTTCATTCTAACATTATCTGGCATTCGCTCGGTAATTCCCTATTTTCATAATCGGAAAACAATGTTGTTTACTACTGTATACTAATCATTCCACCGTCTGTGAGCAGAACGAGATTAATGTTGATTTATGTTTTGACGTCACTTGAGTGGCTCCCGTCCAAGCGCCAACCTTAGAAATGAACTCCGCGTTCTCCTCCGATCTCCCGCCGCGGAAAGCTTCACAACCAATTCTCCAATCCCCACCGAACCAAACCGCAGACTTTTACAATGGGTTCCGCTACTTCAAAACCTGCCCGCTCAGCTGCCGGTGCAGCTACACGGCGTCAGTATCCCAAGAAGCCTGCTCCCCCACCACGGACGCCCGCTGCACCTCCGAAGCAAGCCCAAGAACCAAAACCTACACCCACGCCTGCTCCCACACCACCACGAGCTCAAGCCGCAGCTCCAGCGCAGGGTCCAACATATCACTCCAAGGAGCAACCATCCATCACGAAATCTAATGGTACGTGAGCCTGACAAATATCAGATCCCCAACCAACATGGATGAAGAAGAAGAAGAAGAAGAAGAAGAAGAAGAAGAAGAAGAAAACATAATAGAAAAAACGAGCTCTCAACCTATACCATACTGTCAACTCCCCCAAACCCTGCAAATCCAGTCCCTAACAGCAAATATAGCCATCGATCTAGACGGCCGGGATCCTGACTTCGCCGCCTCCCTCCGCTCAATTGGTCCCGTCGACCCGTCCGGCAACTTCTCACACCCCAATCCCTTCGGCCGCGGTACCGTCCAAACTGTCTTCCCTACAGCCTCGAACCCTGCGCTGTTAGTCGTTACCGCGCGCCAGCGCCTCACAAAGGCCGCACAAGAAGAGAGCCAGGCGGTTGGGAATACTAATTTCCCGGGCCGCCAGTTCCTGGATTCGTTTACCATCAGCCAGGCGCTGACAATGCGCGATCAGCAGGGTTTGTCGAGTAGGGAGATTGAGAGGGTGATGCGGTTGAAGAGTGGGACTATTGATAAGCTTGGGAAAAGTGGGATTGTGTCGCGGGCTGCTTGATTGGGCTCGTGCATTGTGATCTTTAAATCCATGCTCCACGGCTGAGAGGATTGGCTTTTGGTGTTTTGGTGGATGGCGTTGGCTGCTTCGACCACTGCATATTGTTTCAATACCTTGTATAATACATGTATTTCTTGAATGATACTCCCTTCTACTTATTTTACTAGTGCGGTTCTGTGCTCAGGCTTTTTTCTGGGTATGATTTCTTCCAAGGGTTGTACATTTGGTCTCGACTCTGCAGTGGATTTTCTATTCTGGAATCTGGCATATAAAGCTAGTCCCGATTAGGAAGTTAAAGGGTGTGGAGTAGCAACTTTTCACATTGCCATCCAACATTTGATTGATTCAAATCCTCATTTGCCTTGATATATTCGACTACACAATTCAAATACCTTGACCGTGTTCATCTCATAAAATAGTAGCATTGTTGATAAGTTCGGAATGACTTGATAGCATCAACATGGCAATTGGAGACAACAGAAGTGAACAAACCCCACAGATTACATCCGATTGATTGGTCAGTAACAGCTCCGCGGAGTGACACAGCGCGCCCTTTCAAACACCAACGGACCCGATTGACTCATTTTCTTCTGGATTCGAGAAAGGTCGGCACCGACTGCCAATCACAACCCACTAATCCGTGATGACCAACAAAACCCAAGACGATAAGAAATTATAGTACATGGATTTAACATGAAAGCAAGAACCCAGTAAATACAACTATTCCTTTCATTCTTTTAAAAGCTTCAATTTCAATTTCAACTCGATTACTAGAATCTGAACCCGGCCTACACCATGTATCTCCGCGCAGCCCACGCCGAAGCAGACATCCCAATCCTGCAACAATTGATCCACGAGAATCCCCTCGGCATCCTTACAACAGCCATCAAATCCACCGACCACGCCTTCATCCAATCCAGCCACATTCCATTCGTCCTCGACATCCCACCAAACAATGGCTCCGAAACAGATACCCCACCAGGTGTTCTCCGCGGCCACATCGCAAAACAAAACCCGCAAGCCAAAGCTTTAATGGAAGCGCTCGCCGCCCAACAAGAACAAGCCAAAACCAGTACTGGCACATCTACAACTACGACCCTGGACCTTGAACTCCCGGACGAAGTTCTCATCCTCTTTAACGCGCCCCACCACCACTACGTCACGCCCAAGTTCTACACCGAGACCAAGCCCGTCTCGGGCAAGGTCGTTCCAACCTGGAACTACGCCGCCGTGCAAGCGTACGGCAAGATCCGCGTGTACTGCGACTCCAAGTCCGAGGCGACGGGCACGTTCCTGCAGACGCAGGTGGAGGATTTATCGCGGCATGCTGAGACGACTCAGATGGGGTATACGGGTGTTGGGGGGAAGCCGACGGCGTGGAATGTTGGGGAGGCGCCGAGCTCGTACGTGGAATTGTTGAAGAAGAATATTATTGGGATTGAGGTGCGCATTGAGCGATTGCAGGGAAAGTTTAAGATGAGTCAGGAGATGGGGGTTGGGGATCGGGAGGGGGTTGTGAAGGGGTTTGAGGAGTTGGGGAGTGAGGTTGGGGATGGGATTGCGAGGATGGTGAAGGAGAGAGCGGAGTTGAAGGATCGACGGGGGTGAACATTTGAAAGGTTGGGGTGACTAAGTGTCCGTAGTTTTTATAACTCTTTGTAAATATGGGTAGTATTGTTAGAGTATCGTATTAGAGACTTTGAAATAGATATCATTGATATCCAATGGAGGGTATCCATGGATAACTAACATTTGAATGCTGCTTACCACAAGTGTAGGCTCAAAACCTTATCTAAAATGGCCAAATTGCCATAGATTTAAAGTATTGGGCTTCCAGGGTTCTCCAGTCTTACCAAAGTATCTAGTACTTATAAAACAGTCGGTGTGTCCCTTGCGTGTGATTTCTTCCAGGACCCTTCCTCAGCCCCGAGACCCTAAAGATGCAATCAGCATGCAATAGCGCATCATTACTTGATGCACAGTGGACCTCGGTCGACGAGGCTGAGCTCTGACTCCTGGGACCCGACTTTTGAACCCACAATGGGTCGATCGGACCCAATTATATCCGCCAAGTCTCTCGCAAACCCCTAGGAAATCCCATTTGGCAGGTCGGCAGACACAAGGTGACCTGAGATCTTGGCCTAAGCCTCACAGGTCCCACTTCGAATAAAACCCCCCAAAAGAGGCGAGAATGTGTGTGGCACTGTATACCCAGCCTGAGCCGTGTAGCACAACCGTTTTCCCCTTGAAATTTTGTTTTTCAATTTTCTCCATTAAGGTCTGGTCGTCGGGTCCACAGGACAACAAAGATCTGTACGGAGCGCTCCGGAGTTAAGGGGAACCCCTAAGGGAGATCACGTCAGAGAGACACATTATGCTGAGATGGATCGTCGCCGTCCAGCACAGCAGGCCCCCCAAATACATAAGATTCAGGGTCCTCAGCGCCTTTGTTGCCCCTTCTCCACAAAGCCACGAGCCAGTGATGGAAGGGGATTTCCTTGGAAATCAAGATCGGGCGCAAAGGAAGTTCCGATGTAGAGTGACATTGAACTGTTGGTCATTTGGTGGCGGGTTGGTCCTCCCTTTCCCCGGACTTTGCCTATACGAGACGCATGCACAGATATGCTATGTATTTTCGACTTTTTCTTTTTTTCTCTTTGCTTTTTCTGTTTTAGGGTCGAAGTGGCGATGGTCCTATAGGAAGGAAAGGGAAGTGGGGAATATGAAGGAAAATCTGTTCAATGTCTCAGTCAAGCTTCAGGCAACGAAATAGCAAGCCAATGCAGGGTCCGAAAGCTTTTAGTCAAAGCTCTGTTCCAAGGTTTCGAGTGAAACGTGGGACAATTGAAGACAGATGATTTATTTTGGTTTGAAGTATCCGTTGCATCCGAAAGAGATTTGAATTTGAAGCTGTATACAGTATAGGTCGGGAAAAGAGGATCCACAAAGAAAAGGAAAAAAAGGGTCCAACGGATGAAAATAGTACCTGTCTACCCTGTCTTAGTCTAAACTTGTCTTAGTCGCGTGCCCCAATACTTGATCCAGCCCCCGATTTGCGATTTGCGATTTCTCTTACTTGTTTATTGCTTTTTTTTTTCTCTTTCCTATTGGTTCGTTCGCGGGTTCCTGGTTCGACTCCAAATCTATTAACTTTCTGTGCGCTTGGGGATTTACAACCTTTTGATTCCTTTCTACTTTGTACAAGAATTCCAACGCTTTTCGGGGTGTTGATTGCCCCCATTCCTGTCTTTTCTCCAAACTTCTCTTCTCATTTCCTTCTTTTCTTCCCTTGAGAACCCCTCCATTCCAACACTATCCCTTGGCTAACAATTCCTTTCCCGACGCCATCTCCGATCCTCTTTCACACCTTCAAGTCATGAGCTAACGCCATGGCTGTCTTGTCCTTCCTCCCACCGCTCCCACCCTTCCTCTTCTCGGCGTTGGTTGTGAGCAGTCTCGCCTCCAAGGCTTTACATATCGGCCTTCATTTCCGTTCGCTACCGTTCCTTTATCTCGTACTATACTCCCCGACTCTCGTTTTACCGGAATTCCTCATCATCAGTGTCGTCCGATTGCTATTACAATTCCCCGCTCCCGAATCCCGCTTACAATGGCTATCAACATGTTTGGGTGGACTACTCTCGTACGTTATATCCCCATCGAGCCCCGATCCCAACATATACTATCCACCATATTATAAGCACTACCACCAACTTCTAAAGATGAATGAAACTGACACGGTCAAAGTTTAATCACCTGGGGTGCCTCCTCAATCCAATTCGGCTTCTTCATGCAGACCGGTGCCGAGGTCGCTTGGGCCGCCAGCAATAGTTTCCTCAGCGATCCCGCCGCCATGAAGATCTTGTTAAGCGGCATCTCCACCGTCTCCGCCGCCGCTACCGTCTTAGGCCTCGTCGCCTGGTTGATCCATGCCCACCTCTACAACTTGACCGGGATCGCCTTACAGGGAGTCCGAGACTTGATGATTGGCGCATTCAGAGCACGACGTAATATACTTTCCGTTCCCAGCAAATCCTGGATCGCCTCCGTCGACCTTCGATCTGTTCGTCGAACCGCTTTCTTAGTTGCCACGTTGATATCGCTGTTGTTTTTGGAGATTTCACGACCTGCGATTCCATACGACCATCTTTCCGGTGCCCTGCCTTTGACTCTACTTGATGCATTTACCAAGAAAACCAGCACGCTGGAAGGCTGCCGGAACCCTTCCAAGCCCTTCCCTCTTTGGCCCTTGGACAAGACGGGCCCTCTGGATAATGAATGGTTGCGACCCTCATGGCTGCCTTTAGATCCACCTTCAGGCTTCACCCGTTGGGATATGAGTCCCGAGGAACGTGCCAAAAAGGACAACCCTTCTTATTATCTCTGCAGTGGTGACGAGAATGCTTTCTTTGACCCCAAGACAGACCCTCTCAAGATTTCTAATCTGGGTGGCGATATATATGAGCCTTTGAAGAAAGCCTTCGAGGAGCATTCTGTTGAAATTAACAACATTGTCCTTTTGACCCTCGAAAGTGGGCGAAAAGAGATGTTTCCTATGCAACAAGGCACGCCTATGTTCGATGCGCTTATTGCCTCTCACAAGGAGAAAAAGAAAGAAGCAGCGATTGACCGCCTGGTCGAGATGACCCCAATTGCGCAGATGTTGACGGGTGAATATGTGATGAACAGTAAGGGGGAGAAGGTGAATTTGACCGAAGCCAATTGGCAAGACTCCGCCGAGGAAGGTATGGGGGGATTAAACGTACGCGGTGCACTCACTGGCAGCTCTTTGACATTCAAGAGTATCCTGGGCAGCCACTGTGGTGTTCATCCTTTGCCCGTGGACCTCCTGGAGGAATCCATGCTTGAAATCTACCAACCATGCTTACCACAGCTTTTGGAATTATTTAACCAGAAGAAATCATCCAACACCATTGAAAGTCGTACCACCGCCTCCAATCATTCCGAGGCTTTACAAAATCAGTGGAAATCCGTTTTCATGCAATCCATCACTGATGACTACGACCGTCAAGATATCTTGGATAAAAACATGGGCTTCAAGCACAAAGTTGTGAAGCAGACCATGAACTCCTTCAAGTCAAAATACAAACCAAAGGGCGAAGAGGTCAACTACTTTGGCTACGCCGAGACAGAATTGAAGCCGTACATCCGAGACCTGTTCTACGAGGCCGCAAACAACAAGACCCGCGTCTTTCTATCCCACGTCACCAGCACAACACATCACCCCTGGGGCACCCCGAAAGACTTCAAGAAAGAAAAATACATGGGCAACGAAGGCACCGCCAACCACGATCTGATGAACAGCTACCTAAACGCCGCCCGATTCGTCGACAACTGGCTCGGCGACGTCCTCAACATGCTAGACGAGACCGGCATTGCCAACTCAACTCTAGTCGTCATCGTAGGCGACCACGGCCAAGCCTTCGGTGAAGACAACAAAGACATGACAGGCACCTACGAAAACGGACATATCAGCAACTTCCGCGTCCCCCTCGTCTTCCGACACCCCCACATGCCCCACATCGACATCACAGCCAACGCTACCTCTCTCGCCATCATCCCCACAATCCTGGACATGCTCGTCCAGTCTGAATCCCTCGACAAGACCGATTCCGAAATCGCCTCCGCACTGCTTCCAGAGTACCAGGGCCAATCACTGATCAGACCTTTCGTCTCTTCCCTCAAAAACAAACCACCTCCCCACGACAATGACCACGACCACGATCACCACGATGGTCAGATCAAGCGCCCGGACGAAATCGAGGAGCGTGCTCCGCACAAAAACCACGGACCCCCACGTACCCGCTATGTATGGAACTTCGGACTCATCAATGCGGGTGGATCAATGATCTCGGTTACGGCTGCTGGAATGCCGTACCGACTCATTCTTCCCCTTCGTGAAGGCTTCGAGTATGTCTTTACGCACTTGGACAAGGATCCGGGTGAGCTGCGGCCTCTAACGGCATGGACTCTGTCCGAGCTTAGCCACGAAGTTCTTTCGAAATATGACGAGGACGCAGTCGAGTGGCTTGAGGAGGCGGAGAAGGTTGGGAATTGGTGGACAAATGAACAAAGGCGGGTATGGGGCTACAGGGAGGCCTAAGATGATGATACGTTCGTATTTATCGAACATTCCTCTTCTAGACAATACCCGATTTCCGCTCGTGGTTTTTGAGCGTCCTGAGGTTACTGTTCTATTGTATATAATAATGTCCTTTGTCGGACACATCACGGCGTTGGGCTTCATGATGCATGTTTTTCTACCTAGTCGGATTATGTTGGTTGATATGATGTACCGATACATACATAATTCAAAATTTCCACTTTTCCAGTTTCAACACAGTTGCATTCCAGCAGTATTTATTCTTCCTGACGGGATTACACGACTACTGCAAGACCTTACGAGAGGAAGATCAGAAAATACTTCTCCACGTCTCTACATGTACTCAAGTGCTCAAGTGCTATGATGGTATTGAATATTCACCAAAGGGCGCACGCCTGAGTGATGTCTGGATATGGAGAATCATGACTGGTAATTTGGTGTACCCGAAGGACAGAGCGAAAGTGCATGCACATGTGATTGGAGGTACGACTTCAACTCTAGCGGCAACATCCGACCTCCAAGAATCCCGCAAGGTGATCCGGTTATCGCATGGGCCCATGGTCTTCAGTCCATCCCAGTATATGAACGATTACTTTATCCTGGGGGTGATCATGTAAAGAACACCACTTGGCTGATTGCGAGAAAGGACAAGTCACGCAGCAAGAATGTCAGCATTGGATGGGTTTTAGCAAGCCTAGACGCCGTTACTAATAGCCTGAACAACCCTCACGCTTTCACCTATAGGCAAGCTTACCTCAAATCATTAGTGGCTACAAATGTTTATAGGGATCCAGAGGTCATATTTAATACCGAATTTCATACCGAGTCTGGCTGGTAGAATAGTACTTGATAAAAGTAGGGGCGGGATGTTGATTGGATTTGGTAAGATGTAGTATGCATGTTATTGAGGTCATATATACTGGGTTCATCCCTATTTCCACGCGCTGCCTAATAATAAGCCTAGTTATTAGGCAGCGCGCGTGGAAATAGGGCCCATGCCCTAACCCTATCCCAATCCGGTAAGAAGCTTAAGAGGTACTTAGTACCTTGTCGCGTTTGCACCGGCACTAAATCAAGGAAATTCACGCATTAACCTTGAACTCAGCGATCAAATTTGCGCAAATTTGCGCAAATTACTTTTGATTTTTGATCAGCAAGCAAATTCGGTGAGAGATCGAAATTCGCGCACACTGCGGAAATTACTGTTGAATGGCGTAGGAGCAAGATAGGAAGACCATTTGAGGGTGAAAGAAAAAGGGCAATATGAGCTCCAGGTATCAACGGACATTATTTATTGATTGGAGCTTGCGTATGAGGTAAACTTGAGCCATAAATGGCCAAAAAATGGACTTGAAGCTAAAACGAAGACCCCACAGATTACACTATATCTGTTCTTGTAATGATAAAAGATTTTGTTTCCTGTGCTTTCTTCCTCAACTAACCCCCAAGTGTCATCGTGCAATTGAGCAAACTGTTAGTAGGTCTCTTTCACAAATCACACAGGCAAACCTCAACTCAGCTGTTTGGAAACCTGCTTCCAACTCCTCTTCGAACTTTTGAATCCTCTTTCCAATCCTCTTTTCAACTTTCCCCTCAATCCTTTCAGATCCTGCTTCCTACCTCTCTCTTATTCCATATCCTAAGCTCCTTCACATACCTCTCCAAAGCCTTTTCTTCAGCCCATCTTCCTCGTCCTCTTTTCAAACGCACAAGTGAGAAGTGACGACCTCTTCATTCGACCTTCACGACTCCAACTTTCCCTAAGCCGGCCCGATCTTTGAAAAATTAAAAACAAATCAGTTTCAACCACAAACAATTCCAGTACAACACATATCTTTTACACTTCATGAAGTGACGAACGGAGATGAATATCAGTCTCTTCGTTTGTCACCTTTGTGATCCTGCACGACAAAACGACCAAGGCGTTCTTGCAGGGGTTCAAGGCATGGCTACCGCTTCTAGTACTGAAAATGGCTTCTGCAGATAACAGAGCAATACTTTTCAACCTTCTATCTTCCGAGTCTGTTCAAAATTTGCCATGGGTAACAAGAGCAACTTCAATTTCAAGGAAGAAAGATATGTCAGTCATTCGAAACAGGGAATACCTCTGCCCCAGCACCGAGCTCTGACAGCAACCCAACACAATTGCTGCAAATCGGCGCTCTTCATCCACAGAAAGCATACGCTTATGCTATTCAACTTGTTACCGAGACTGCCAGAGGAGCCAAAGGCGGGTAGTCACTTGCGGCGCGTTTTATATCTCAATTCACCACCTCAAAGTCTAGAGGGTGAAATGACAATCAGTCAAATCACAGCGGCCAAATCAAAACCCCAAGATGAAAAGTTTCATCTTGCAGATTGTCTCGACTGGCTGTGTTTTATTTTCGGTGCTCTTAGGTTTAAGTTGCGACAATAGGTCCTTCCGAAACGTGGACCGACAATATATATATATAAGTATATATTCACGGGAGTCGGGACGAAAGTCCCTCGTCTGGCTTGAAAACTACGCAATGTATCCTTCTTCGGAAGGATGTTCTGGTAGTTGCCTACTCCTGGAAACCAGGCGCACTTCCATGAACAAAATCCAATCAAGTCGAATTTTTTGGAGAAGCCAAATAAAGACTGGTTGGAATACAAGAATTCCAATCGAATTTTGGCTTAACACAAAGCCCAGAAGTTGTTGAGAAATGTGTTGTTTGTTCCAGCCCCATTTCATGCCCGAAAAAAGGAGAAACCTATATTACCTGTTCGAAAATTCGATTGTTGATGACTTTAAAATGTTCACAAATCCAAGCCATTGATGCCTTTCCAGGGAGAATTCAATCGAATTTCGGTTCAACCAGTTTTTGAAAAATGTGTTGTTTGGTCCAGCCCATTTCATGCCCGAAAGAAGGGGAAACCCATACTACCAGCTCTATCTATCAGCTCACTGTGGTTCAAAAAACAAATTCGTTTGTTGACGAATCAAAAACGTTCACAAGTATAAACCATTGCTTCCTTCTCAGGGGGGAAAGTTGACCTCAAATCGACTTCCTATGTCTGTTCGAATAACCTTGTTGATGGAAACTCAACCTGCTTAATTTGCCCAAAGGGAGCCAGGCTACTGCGGTATCTCGGCTTGTTCATTATATTGACCGATTCATGTACTGCCTAGACACTGAGGAAAACGGCGGGAGACAACCAAAACAGTTTCAGCAAGCATTTTTACGATTCTGGAACAAAAACAGACTGTCAGCCATATCAGACAGACCGATGACGCAATTTTGAAACCAAAGGACAAAATAATTCCGTACCGCCAGCACCTGGAAATTGAGGTGGCCTTCGAGTCATTGGAAATCACGGTGCGAACAGCTGTTCCCCTGGTGCCTTCGGTCTTTCCTTTTGGCGCCATCGGTGTAGAGCAACGTTCCCAATCTGCTCGCCAGGAAGGATTCGCTGGTCTTAAAACGAACACTGAAAAAATTCCCGACAGAATGAGTGAAAAAGCCCCAGGATAAGCCGGGAACTAGCTCACTTGGACCCTATGGATGATGGATGGAGATCCTAGGTTATCCAAAGAAAAGACAGGTCCCAGAATGTGGTTTGAAGAATGAACCGGAATGGAGGGTCACCTTGGGTTTATCTTCTGCACCGGTTCCAGCCTTCTCGATCCAACGAGTTCATCGAAAGTCACAATCATTGCTAGGTGGAATTTGTACGATCGCGGGAGAGAGAACGAAGTAGTTTTCGGTACACATGACTTCTGTTGCTACCTAAGGTTCGACCAAGATCAATGAGACAAATCGCCATTCTGTTACCAACAACCCTACGAAATCGACAAATTTTTATTTCCATGTCCTCTCTTTCCGTTCCTCATGCACCAAGGAAAGGGGGATGAGTTGCCATACAAGGCATTCAAGGACTTAGGTCAGAACCCGGATTCGATACTTTGCGCGTGTCAATGCTAGTCGTGTCAATGCTAGTGACATACTAAAGTGTGTTGAAGGCTCTTTCACATTTTATATTGGCAAGGTTGAATCTCACGTCGCATATACAATGTTGTGTTCAAAATATGCCAAAATCATTCTGCGGCCGAGAGCGAGGGCTAAAAAATTCCCGAGAATTGCCAAGCAAAGTCCGTTCCGCTCCAGCGAATGAGATGATATTGGTCATCCGAAGCTGAATTTGCATCAGTCTCGGGGAACTCCATGAAGACGAAAGAAAATTGAGGCTGCTCTGTCGGCATCAAAATCAAACCTCCAAGGGGAGAAGACTATTCCCTGCATGCTGCTGATGAAGGACAGCCAAACATGATTACCTGTGGTCGTGAAAGCCAGTCAAGAAGAAAGCAAATTCGGGTGTAACAAGTGGCTCGGCATTCCTTCAGAATTCCCTGGCAAAGTGCAGTGTTCAACATATATACATATATATCTGAGGAGGTTTTTACAACAACAATTGTTGACCACATCTTTATCTATAGCCAGAGCGGTATTGGTCATGAACTCCCTGAGGAGACAGCACCGAGGAGTAAGTCGGTGAAAGATGTCGCTTCAGACAATACAGACAACATTTTCATGCTTGCTTCAACCCTGGAATGTTTCCAGAATTGGAATAGAGCGTCTGGAAGTCTTACCAGAAAGCTGCTAAGACAGATTGTCGATATCGAGGTTGAGATTACTTCAACCACTTACAAATGCCTCGGCATATGGAATATGCTCTGGGCTTGGGAGTTTATCGCGGAGCGTTGAATATGACTTAGCTTATTTGGTTTTTGTTTCCTGGTGTTAAGGCGCCTTGAATACGGCGAAACTGTCAGTTTAATGGACTTTCCGTATCTTTCTGCTCTCAAGTTCGCTCGTTTGTCGCCTTTGTGTTTGGCCTAAGGCTATGGAGGAAACCTAGGTGGTCAGAGATCTGGTCTCAGCAGGCGTCGCATCAAGCAAGCCTACAACATATACCGGGTGTCTCCTGGTGATATCATCAGTGAACGAAGTTCATCACAACTGAAGCTTCAAGCTTCGATGACTCTTGTCATTATCTCCGTGCGTGAATTGAGCGAGTACAACGAACGGTAGACGGTGCAGCTTTCCATAGGAGACACTATCTTTGAACTGATATTCCTGATCAGACGTCCAAAGCGCGAAAGAATTCAGTTGATGATGTACTCAGGTGGTCAGTACTAGTCAATACTTGCTATTTTCATCTTTTCCGCTTGCTGGCAGCTAAGAGGTTCTATTCTCTATGTATCCCAAGCTTTCAATGTTTCTCTGATCCACCTTTTACCTTTGTGTTGGGCTGGTGTCAACTCTAGTGAATCAATGGAGACTCGAGTCTCTTTCACTCTTTCATCGTTCATTATGGTGCCCGGTCATGAAAGACTGGAGGCATCCTCACTCACTTTTCCTGGCCAAGTGAGAAGCTCATTGATGACGCTCTGTTTGTCGCCGCGAAATTGTTGTGGATCTACAAGCGTGTTCGCTGTTACCCTGCAGACTTCGACAGGAATGGTGTTCAGGTATTCGATAATCGAACTTTATTCGAGCAGGCCTGCAAAATGGTGAAGAATTTCCAAGTTTCGACTTCAAAAACACCTAGAAGTCATCAACACCGGCCACTCGGAGCCCGAAAGGAAAAGGAAAGCAACGTGCAGCATGTTTTACTTCGAGTAAAGGGGAGGAGGAGCACTCTGGTTACATGTGCATACCCAGCACTTGAGTGTTGTGGATTTATCATCCAGCCTTGGAAGTGGAGGTGAATATTCAAACCCAACGTTGGGGGATTTTGACGGGCTTGAGATACGGAGATATTCCAGAGTAAAAATTGAGCCAATTACAGGGGCTGGAGACAATTACAGTATAGAAAGACAACGTATCATTTTCTTGATCGGCCCAAGGATATGGGAAAAGAATAGGAAAAAGAATAGGAAAAAGCAAAACATTGAAAGTCAATTTCGCCGGGAAAAATGCCGAGGGTCACGAGGTGAGATGGGCCCAATATTAATCATTTCAAATGTTCATCTTCACCGACATATCCACATATCCGGGGAAAGCGGATCAAGTATGCCGTACTCCGCATGTACTCCGTGACAGTCAATACTTAGAAAACTCACATTTGAATTGTGGAACTCGTCGGGCACGGGCCGGACGGGCTATACGAACAGAGGACACTGGCCACAGCTTAAGTCGGGGAAATAAACTAAAAAGTACACGGAGTACCTAATCCAGCTATCTTTAGATAACGAACTAGGGGGGAGAAATGAAGTGAGAAAACAATTGAAAAAAAAAAAAAAAACAAAAAAAGATATATTAAGAATCAAAGACTTTGACCCCAATATTAACTCTAGATCTCGATCTAGTTGGGCCTAGAACTAGAAGCGTTCGTTATAGGCGGCGTGTGCGTAAAAGACTGGTTCTCAGTGCTCAGCAGGGGTTGGGGGTAAAGAAAAATTCTAGAAGATCGTGTTCAATGTTTATTGCTGTTTAGGTGTTGCTCACGAGAACAAGAAAAAAGTCGGAGCTAGTGTGGGACTATCGTGATGGCGTTTAGCCTGTAGGGGGGGAGACATAGTCTCGGAATCACCCGAACGAGTAAGTCACTTTTTTTCTTTTTCTTAAACCACAATTCTCTGGTCACACGGCCCTCATAGAGGCTAGATTTTGTTTTTTGCTGTAGGAAAAGACGTGGTCTGCGCCTCTTTGGCCATGTACATTATCTACTGTAGATTCCTATGTAAGTCGGTATAGATTGTATAGCGTGTTCGTTGGAACTGGGGTACCTAGTTATGGAGTATGGAGTACTGAGATTGAATTGAACCACGGTATCCGAGCGAAACCAAGCCAGAGAGAAACTATAGAAGATTCCAATCAAAATAAGAAAAAGGGATCGATATCCCAGATCCGCGGAATGTAGCCATTGAGTTTAGTATTCAGGAACAGGAACCAGGGCTTAGGAAATGCCGAAGACCACATGACCATGTATCAAGGGAGTTTTTTTTATTCGAATGTTTCAATGTTGAGAACTTGAGATGGACTGGCCTGGCTCAAGTGGATTCTTGGGGTCAGAAGACTCTTTAGTGGCGCAGGTTCAAGGTTCCCGCGGCTTACCCAATCTGGACAGCCGATCTACTCGTATCATGTATGGAAGAACAGGGAATTCTATCAATACTGATTTGATCCTGGTTAACTTGGTCTCTGGCTTCCCTTAATGTATGAGATGAACCCATAAAATAAGTATCTTTGTTCTTGACAAAAATACCATGCCAGAAAGGGAAAAATAAAAATAAAAATAAGGAAGTGAAAAAAATCCAAAAAAATCCAGAAAACCTAGAAACAAAAGAAATAGTACGAATAATAAGTACGAATCAAGATCAAAATCAAAAATACAATAACTCAGATCGTGTTTTTTTTTGGTCGCCACGACCGTTTGAGAAGGCCCTTCCCCATTCCCCGGATACAGATCCGACCTGGACCGAGCTTTATTTGGCCCAGGATTTCCCTTTTGGGCCTTGTTGCCAGTTTCTTCATGTTCACGAGACCTTCTTTTTTTGCCCGGGATGGGCGCTCTATCCTTGGGCTTGGCTCTGGCTTGATATCTCCCCGTTCCCAGAACAATATTTAAAGGGAGCTTCAATCCGTGGTTGAGATTCCTCTTCACCACACTTCAATTTGTATCCATTGATCAGTCTATATCTTGATATCTTACTTTGCTCTACTTCGAACTTGACTTGGTCTTTTTTCGACTTTGTACGCGCCACCTATACATACCCTTGACTACCTTTTGTTTTGATCTTTTGATTACATCCTTCCACTCTCCTCTCACAAACAACACATATAATGTCGGTCTCCATTGAAACTACTCAGGTTCCCACTGCCCCCGTGGCTTCCAAGCCTGTTCTCCTGGGCCAGCAGGCTCGTATGCCCGAGTTCAGCCTCGCCGGCAAGGTTGTGCTGGTCTCCGGTGCTGGGCGTGGTCTGGGTCTGACCCAGACGGAGGCTCTCTTGGAGGCTGGAGCAAAGGTCTACGCTCTTGACCGTCTGGAAGAACCCGTATGTTCTGCACATCTCCAAGACCTTGCACATTTCTCATGAAACCATCTAACAAAACATTGGAATAGGCCGCAGAGTTCGCAGTGATCCAACAACGCGCCAAGGAGCTCGGCACCGAATTGCACTACCGCCGTATTGACGTGCGTGACACAGAGTTGTTGAACAGCGTCATCGAGGCCATCGCCAACACAGAAGGCCGCATGGACGGCCTGGTCGCCGCTGCCGGTATCCAGCAGGAGACCACCGCTCTCGAATACTCCGCCAAGGACAGCAACACCATGTTCGAAGTGAATGTTACTGGTGTATTCATGACTGCCCAGGCTGTGGCCAAGCAAATGATTCGCTTCGGTAACGGTGGCAGCATCGCCATGATCGCCTCTATGAGTGGCACAATCGCCAATCGGGTACGTTCCCCGCCCTCCCTCAATCCCCATTCCCCCATTCCCCCCCCCCACTCACAAACACTTTGCCATCGGCACCTTTTGCTTCCGGAATCCCTTGTCTCCAACTTCGCCTTCGATTTTAATTAATGTTCATCTAAACTAACCTCATATACACAGGGTCTTATTTGCCCCGCCTACAATGCCAGTAAGGCTGCCGTCATTCAGCTTGGCCGGAACTTGGCTGCCGAGTGGGGTCAATACAACATTCGTGTCAACACCATCTCCCCGGGCTACATTGTTACTGCCATGGTCGAGAAGTTGTTCATTGATTTCCCTGAGCGTCGCGACCAGTGGCCCAAGGAGAACATGCTTGGTCGTCTTTCTCGTCCCGAGGAGTACCGGGGTGCCGCTGTTTTCCTGCTCAGCGATGCTTCCAGCTTCATGACTGGTAGCGACCTGCGCATGGATGGTGGCCACGCCGCCTGGTAAAAAAAAAAAATTTCTTTCCTGAACCGAAACGGGGGGAAAATACTAAAATGGGAGAGTTATGATTTGTATCCATCTACGCGTGACCCTTGTATAGGTGTCTCTCATTGCACGGCGTTGTACTTTTGGTTTTCTAATACTTAATCTTTGATTTACGGATGGGATCAGCAAAGCGATGAGTTCTGATTTGTCCTAATGACCAGCGAATTTATATTTGATCTATTACATTTTACTTTTGTCCATGGGATCTTGTCATAATGATGTTGATTAGACTTAATACAATCTCCGATATGATTTGACCCACATCCTCCACTCGAGAGTCTTGACATGGTAGATCCGGCTCCACAGGTCACTTACCGGCATCATGACAGTGATCTTTTCCTGTTTTGGAATCGTGGGAAAACGTGTTCGCATCAACGTGAATTTCGAATAAATAATGATCAAAATGTTATTCTCACCTGCGTAATTTTTTCTTTCTTTCAGAACTCTGATCCAGTCATATTCATCCCCATCCCTACTAGTACGTGTACAAGTCAAAAAACATCCCTACACCTGACCAACTACCCCGCGAATCATCGACTTTGAAACCCAGAAGTCCATGATGCCTGCCACGAAAATCTACAGTTCCAGCGCCAGGGATCCTCTTTCAAGCCCATTGTCTGGGACGACCCAGGAGCCCGGCGCCCCAATAATCCGGGGAAGATGCGGAGAACCCCTCCAATCAGCGGAACCGATCGCTCGATCCCCCTACGTAAACCGCCAGTTCTGGCATCGCTGTGAGTTTGCAAGACAGGTCGGGTGGCCAATCATTTATACTCGTTAGCGATGCTCTGAGTCTTGGCAGGTCGATTGGGGCTAGGTGCATGTGCATGCAAGGGGTGAGGTTTTCTTTTTCCACCATTCAAAAAGAGGTTTATCTTCTCTTTCCTTTAAGGGTATACTTTTATCACCAGACCTTCCATGGTTACTCTCTCTATGTATAGACTTTCTGTGCGTTTGTTTTTGCGATGTCGATTTCGGTTACTAGCGGGAGGTGAATTGTTCTGTCGTGAAGTCATGACCTTCCTTGCGACCGGGATAACCTGGCAGGATGGTATTCGCCATGCGCGCGGGAGATTTGAGAATGCGATGTTTTTACACTTTTTGTATTCGAATTTGGAAGCTCAAGTGCTTGTGATCAAGACTGATGAGCTGGTTACACGGAGGAGCGAAAAACCATATACCCCTTTCTCCGCTGAATCGTTAATACGTACATAGTACATGTATCGAAGTGCTGCCCAGAAGGCTTTCAGTTGCTTTCAATGTTCAAATGTTAATCGATTCCAAGGTTTCGTGGGCATGTCAGCCACAGCCGTTCTCCATATATACGAAGAAAGCTTTATGAAAACTTTCTTTGTCCGTTTTGAAGATGAGGCTTCGTCTGGACCGTTATCTCTTACTCGCCCCACTAAAGCCTGTTTGACAAGGTTGGCGTTGAATAGCGAGAATCTTGGAATAGGTGGAGTTAACATAATAAGTCCAAGATTTGCGCATTTGAGGTTCAAATGTTAACGGAGTTAACTTAGACAGACCTCCTACCTAGTAGGTATCGACTGCCTAGGTGAAATACCCTTGAGTTGACTGTACCTGGGCTACATAGGGCAGGTGCCAGCCCCAGAGGCAATTGAAGCTCATCTCGCCACCACCGGGGCACCTGGTCTTTGCTGGACAGAGTACAAGAATATATGTACGTCCAGCATTGGACTAGGAATCTTTGACTCTGCATGTGTGTCTCGAGGTCGACAAAAGGAGAAGAGTTCAAACGAATGCTATTCTTGCGCGGAAGCAGTCATATCATGCATGAAAAGGTTCTCCCAAAATTATCGCAATGATGTACCCGGGCAGATTTCCCTCTTCATATAGCTCTCGATAATACAGGAGCTCCCAGTGCCATGTGAAATGGCCGGCACTCATCTTGTAGCAAAACCTGGACCATCGGCAAACCCATCCAGTTCCTCGACATGAGCTAAGTAAAACAGAGTAGACCGATTTCCAACAGACAGGGAAGCGGTGATATACACGGAGGGTATCAGGTGATTCTTCCCCGGCTTGTCAGTGATGGGGGTCGAGATAGAGGATTTCGAGTCGGGCATTTTGCCACTTCGGTAGATTGTATTGATGTATAGCCGCTTCCATGGTCTCCTCTGGGGCTCGAGAATCAATTTGAGTCATTGGGATGCTCTAATCTGGCCTGTTAAATCACTGGGCATTTGTGGTCTTCTTGAATCACTTTCAAATCTCCTAAAAACATAATATCAACGGTCGCACGCTACTAAGTACTCCACTCCTGCGACTCAGGGCACACTCGGAGAACCCTTAGCAGCCCCACGACTATGCCGATCTTTCGGGCCTTGATAACGATGACTATTTACACCGGACCCCTGTAGATCCAAAGTTTCGGCCCCAGGTTATTTTAAAAGCGCCCGCTTGGAACGGAAATCATAATGTTTACTGTTCCGGAGGCATTATTAGAAATAGAATTAGTTCAATGTTCGGGGCTATCCCGTCTCCCAGATTCCACTAATGCCCATTTGTATGCCCAAATGAATACAATTTCTCCACATTTGAGTCGATTATGCACTGTCCATTTTATGATTTTATGATTTTATGCATACTGTGCATACTACGGAATATGCTCCAAGATTGGCTTATGAAATTCAGAGCACGGAATATAAGGCCAAGACGGCTTCTCGGCTTTCTGCACATGTGCACAACACACCTGGCTTTTTTACCAAAGCTAATCAGCCTCAATGTCCAGCACTTGAGCACTTGAGGTGTCAGGTAGAAGCTTATCTCAGAAATTCTTCTTGGTACAAGCCATGCTTGGCTCTACTTTTACATGCAAGTGCCAAGCGCCCCAGCCCTGAAATTTCTTCACGTCGAAACCAATTCCTATATAGGCTACAATCGACCTCAAGCCATGCCCCATCTGACTCACAACTTGGGGCGAGCTGGGTTCCTAAACAATTAGTCTTGTAAGACAAGTCTGCTGGACGCCTGATCCAATACACAACGCATCTCACCCCCAATGTATCAATATACTAATTAGGGGTTGGGTGGGGAAGGGTAAAGGGTAAACATGCATATCTGAAGCGTCTAAAATGCAGCTGCCTAAGCGGAGATACTACTCCGTGGGGATGGGATTTTGAGGTTGATACGAGTACGGGGTTAAACATAGCCACATCAATTTTTGTCTGTACAGATTTTTTACATTTTGCACATTGGCTCCTTTTTTCTTCATCTCTTTTCCTCGGAAACTCGGATGCTGCGGTGTGGCTCATTTCCCTTAGCCCCAATAGTGGGATCCACTTGGGCTGATGGTTCTTTCACTAGGGTTCTTGGTGGATCGACATATCCGTTCCCATCCAGCAAATCAGGACTCAGGGATTTATGAAGGAGAACCAGTTTGTATGAAAAATGCCATTTATTTGGTTCTTCTCGAATCTTGCCTTGATTTGAACGTGGATGTGATCAGTGTAGAATTCCGGAAGATCGATCTTATGCAAACCAATCGAGTCTAGTCAAACAAGTCAAACATATCAAAAGACTCAAAAGATTCAAACCCGCTTCATAGTCACGCGCTGTCTAAACCCCCAAAGATGTACCTCCCTAGCCCCCTGCAGCTCCGTACGACTCCAGGGCTTCAGCCCTGTGGGGGGGGTGCACGCCTAAAAAGGAATCTAACAATGTCGAATCTTACTGTACTAGATAGGATCGGATTCTTGGGGCCGCAATCGCGACAGAGAAAAGCCGAGGGTTGGATTCCGACCGGGATTGACATCACCAGATCCACCGATTCCCCACTAGGCAACAACCCATGATTCGTCTGGCTCCGAGAACCACAATGTCTATTACTGCAATGAACATACCGAACAGTAGCTCTCAAATATCGGGAGGCTTGGCTCAGCTTCCGGCTTCCCCGGAGCATAAATAAAATCAGTCACCCCTGGCTGGTCCCCCTCCTCCCTTGGGCGATCACTTCATTGTCACGTTGTCCCCTCTCCACAAGATAGCGAGGTTGTCAGGGTTTCATCATGAAAGTATCTGCATTGGTCAGTTCTCTGGCGCTGAGCGCTCTGCCAAGTGAGTATACGCTTTTTCGAAATCCCTTGCAGTATATGCTACGACCTTATGTGTGGATCACCACGTTGCGCACCCGCTAATCAATGTTATCTCTAGGTGTGAATGCTGCACCGGGCTCGAATTTCGAACAAGAGAGCGCCGCAGTCGTAGCAGATATCATTCGTCGCGCTCTGCCTAACGCTCCCAATGGATACACTCCCACCAATGTTACCTGTCCGTCCAGTCGGCCGACTATTCGTAGCGCCGCAAAACTCTCAACAAACGAGACTGAATGGCTCGAGGTTCGTCGCAACAAGACTATTACACCCATGAAGGATTTCTTCAGCCATGTCTCCGTTGGCGACTACGATGTCGGCGCATATATCGACAAGCACTCTGCGAATGTTTCAAACCTCCCAAATATCGCCATTGCGGCGTCTGGTGGTGGTTACCGTGCCATGTTGAACGGTGCCGGTGCCATGAAGGCATTTGATAGCCGTGTGTCAAACTCCACGGCTACAGGTCACCTGGGCGGTTTGTTGCAGTCGGCCACCTATGTTGCTGGTCTGAGTGGTGGTTCTTGGTTGGTTGGTTCGATTTACATTAACAACTTTACCTCCATTGCGGACTTGCAGACCTACTCGTCTGGAGAGCCGTGGCAGCTTGGAAATAACATCTTCGAAGGCCCAGACACTGGAGGTCTTCAGATTCTTGATACGGCTGATTACTTTAAGGATTTGGCTGAGGCTGTTGATGATAAAAAGGACGCTGGTTTTGACACCTCGATCACCGATATTTGGTATGTGCCTTGTGGAATTCTTCGAGTTATGTTCAAATGTTATAAGAAAAAAAACTAATCCTCTATTGCAGGGGCCGTGCTCTAGCTTTCCAAATGTTCAATTCCAGTCAAGGAGGACTCGACTACACCTGGTCGTCCATTGCCAAGACTGCAGAATTCATTGCCGGTGACTACCCAATGCCACTTGTCGTTGCCGATAGCCGTACCACAGGCGAAATTATCGCCTCTTCGTACTCGACTGTGTTCGAGTTCAACCCCTGGGAATTCGGTACCTTTGACCCGACTATCTATGCGTTTGCACCTCTCGAATACATCGGATCCCGCTTCGAGAATGGCTCGATCGCCAGTAACGAGACTTGTGTGCGCGGATATGATAACGCCGGCTTCATCATCGGAACTTCCTCCACCCTTTTCAACGAGGCTATCACTGAGCTAGGCAGCAACTCGTCCTCAATCACCTCCTGGGCGGAGGACGTCCTCAAGGATCTTTTCGCCAAGTTCGACAGCGCCGACAATGATATCGCCGCTTACGAACCCAACCCATTCTACGGCTACAATGACGACTCCCTGGCTCAAGGAACAGAGTTGGACATCGTCGATGGAGGTGAGGATGGACAGAACGTGCCCCTCCACCCGCTCATCCAGCCCGAGCGCGCAGTAGACGTCATCTTCGCCGTGGACTCTTCCGCCGACACAGATTACTACTGGCCCAACGGAACCTCTCTTGTAGCCACTTACGAGCGCAGCCTGAACGTATCCGGCATTGGCAACGGCACCGCCTTCCCCGCCATCCCCGACCAGAACACCTTCATCAACCTGGGACTGAACACTCGCCCGACTTTCTTCGGCTGCAACAGCTCCAACATCACCGGTCCAGCCCCCCTTGTTGTCTACCTCGCCAACTACCCTTACTCCGCACAGTCCAACACTTCCACTTACCAGATGACCTACGAGGACTGGCAGCGTGATAACATCATCACGAACGGATACGAAGTCGTGACTATGGGCAACGGTACCCGCGATGGTAACTTTACTGCTTGTGTTGGATGTGCGATTCTGAGTCGCTCGTTCGAGCGCACAGGTACGACCCTTCCGGATATCTGTACCCAGTGCTTCACGGAGTACTGCTGGAATGGTACTACCAACTCTACCACGCCGAATACATATGCCCCGGTGGATATTTTGGCATCCTCGATCGCTGTCTCGTCACTTGTGCCAACAGTGCTGTCTACCGTTGCGGCGGTCAGTGCGGCAATCTTCACCATGGTATAGAATGGGCTTCGGTGCATTGCGTTGGGAGATTTCTGCATATTTTCACATAGTTCGATTTCTTTTTTTTATCCAAATATTTGGGACTTTTCTAAAATCTTGTAAAAAAAGAATCCCGCCACGATTTACGGCTTTTGATGTACGGGTGTTCGAACTTCCTTGTCTAAGTGTTAAGCTTAAACGCCTTGAAATTGGCGGTCATCGGCAGTTGAGACATCCATGGTTCACATGGCAAATAACTTCTAAATCCTACCAACTAGTAGTAGTATGTAAAAATCGGGACTGAAATCCTCGTGAAGTGAATACAACAGAATATTAAGACTGAAAGAAATGATTCATAATGTATTAACCAATCGCTCATATACACTCTCCCGGGGCATCTTCCACCCGATCCCACACAGCCACTCAAACGCATTATTTAGAGCCTCCTATATGTATCCATACATTTATCATTCTCATCACTTCGTATCCGATGCGACTTCTCTAGCATGACAAGCCCCGTATAAATGATTACGCCCCGATTACGCTCCGATTTTCTCGGGGTGATCAACTGGCAAGACATCCGCAAGGGTCTCATCGGTTCCAGCAATATCATCCTCCACGTCAACGTGATCCCGAATCTTCATAAAGATAACAGGAGCAGCGACAACGAGAGATACGGAAAGAAGAACCCAGTTGCTGATGAACTCCTTCTTGAATGAAAGTTTGCGCGAATCGAGGTTGTTCACGATCGCAGCGCCGACGGACTGGATTCCCTTGTAGAAACCGACATAGTTCGCGGAACGACGACCCGAGTTGGAGAGCGCACCCATGAACCTAGATAGACAAACCCGCGTTAGTCCCAAAACACTAGCTACTCATCATAATAGGATGGCGACATGATTGTACTTACCAGTAGAGACTAGCCTGCCAAGCGGCATCATAAAATCCGTAGAAGATATACAAGAACATAGGACCAACGTAGCCGGGTGTTGACCAATCTGTCGGCTTGAAATCCGGGTGCAATGTGGTGTTCACGGTATCTCTGGTGTAGGTCTTCTCGTAAGCATAGCCACCACCCCAGATAGCCATGGTCAACACGAAAAGAACCGCCCAGGTCACCTTGGCGCGGAACGAGCGCTTCACGCTCTGAATATCAAGGAGCACTCCCCAGATGGCGGCAGCGACGATCTGGGCCAAGTAGTAGAGAAGACTGTTCAGGGCCTTGGTACGGGTGTTGAAGTGCGCGCTGTTCACGCCATTCTGTTGATAGACGTAGAACCAGTTGGAAGCGAAGAACATGGGGAAGAGAAGGACGACGTAAGGCTCAAACCGGAGTGTCTCCCAGAGACCGATGAGCTCAGATTGCCAGCTTGGGTTCTTCATCAGGATAACGCGGGTGCCGTCTTCACGAATAATATCGTTCGCGTTGCAGAGGCAGAGGGCGAGAAGGGCACCAATGAACATGAGGACAATGAAGCCGATGTAAGTTCCTGATGAGACGGTGACGTTTGCTGTGACATTGAAGTTTTGACCGAGAGGGATCTATCAGGCACATGGAAGCCTCGAGTTAGAAACGAGCTTTAAATATATTTTAATGGGTTGGTAGTAGTGGAGGGACTTACCAAGCTGCCAATCACGGCACCCATGTTGAAGATTCCCCAGAACCAAGCAAAGTAAGCTCCCTTCTTGTCTTCGGATGGGTAGGAAATCATGATGGTTCCTTGCGCGGTCCAGAGAAGACCGGCGCAGATACCAAGCCAGGCACCGGCGAAGATATTGAAACCCTCTACATCAGCGTACAGGGAGACTAGCAAGCTGATAGCATAGAGGCAGTATCCAGTACCTCCAAACGCGAGGGTCCATTTGACTCCGAGCCTGTTGACGAATGTACCGCCGAATATACCGAAGACGGCGAAAGTGCTGTAGAGGGCCGTATTCTAATCAATATTGTTAGCTGGGAGTACTAGGTAGCTTTGTGACTCTTGCGCTTGATTCTGTAAGGTAAAAAAAAAAGCGCTATGATTTTTTTTTAAAAGCTTACCATGTTGTCCGCCAAAGTCGCATCGGTCTTTCCACCACCACCCATTCCACCGAGCGCATTAAACATACCGGGGCACATGAAGCACACGAATGCGACCATGACCAACTGGACTTTGGGCGACGCGTACCAGGGGATATTGAGACCGAACAAGCGGCGTTGTCTGTATCTCCAGCCTTGCGGCATATCAGGGGCCGCGACAGGTTCATTCTGCTCGTGAAGATCATGTTGTTCAATGGGAGCGGCCATCTCACCGACGCCAATGGATTTATTTTCGGTAGTCATAATTGCTCCTCAAAACAACCACGACAGCAACACAGAGAAAGAGAAGAAAAAAAATCCTCTCAAGCTCAGAAGCGGGGAGAAAAAGGGCGAGGCTTTAATGGGACTTTCCCTAATCCTTGTCTGGCCAGGATCAATACCGGGACCAATCAGAGCTAGGGAACCGGCGGAAAAGGCTAATCTGGGCTTGGAGGGCTCGAGGGAAGCTGATAAGCCGTCAGCCCGCTGGCCGCCACCCTAATTATAGGAGGCAATTGGTCGTCTGATTTATCCGTTGCCGAGAGACTCCACTCCCTTAGCTTCATCTCCGATTTCCCTAAAAAATGGCGTTCAGGGATGTAACTTCAACGTGGGAGTTGTGAGTTGTGGGGTCGTGCGTTGGGACTCACATGGCAAGAAGTGCGGGGAATTGAAACAGGGGGAAAAAACATCAGCGGGATTGGTATAAGTGATGTTACACCGCCAGGAAGATTGCATTGGATACTAGTATTTGCTAAAAAAGGTTGTTGAAATTGAATGGTGGCATCAAATATGATTTTATGTACACAGTGTAAATTGGTTGAAGAGTGATGTGTTCAGAGTAAGCACTAACAAAGAACGTTGGAAATGTAGGATCACCTGATAAGGGGGGATTGCCGACGTTACACCATCTCAGTCCATTTTAGTGTGAGCGATAATGCCCTTATCGGTGTTACAGTGAGTGTCACTTCCAGGTTACCTGCTATCGGAATATCCAACTCATAACGGCTGACTGCAGGGCACTTTGAATGTTCAACATTTGAATATTGCAGGGTTCATTCAGCTATCAGGCCTCCTATCCCAACATTTGGCCCTCGGGAACGCCCCATCGTCCCAGCTGCAAGTAGCCATATCCTTGCAATGTGAACTATCATATTCCAACTATTGGCCTACCACGGTCAAAGGTTCATACATACAATGCATGTGCAGTCTCTCCTCCCCCAATGCTCCCGGGGCCGATCTGTTTCAAATGTTTTGTGTGACTTTGAACTCCCATCTATCCTCAAGGATCTCCAAGGGTGAAACTTATCCCCGTGGCGTCCAAGGTTGGTCGCCTGAGACGATTCTTTGTTGTAAGAGATATTCACCTAAATATGAGGCTCGAGGGACCTTCAGGGCTTGAAGCTTAAATATAAGCCACTGAGTGACTACCTACGATATCCGAACGCCTAAATGTCTGTATCAATCGAAATACCCCCAGGCATGTCTAGGGAGGTTATTGTGATGATATATTTATTCCCGAGGTCCTATACGGCACCTGGGAATTGAGTGGGCCCACGGGTGTTCAACATTGTGTTCAAATGTTGACAAACAATATATATAGCAGTCACATGCTCGGGAGCTCTAGTTCGCTTTTCTCCCAATGTCCAATATGTACCTACTAGTACCTAGTAGTAAATATCGCAAGGGAGACATTTAAACAAACTTGAAACCAGCACCCTTGATATGAAGGCTCTTTGAACCGAAGTATTGATTTAGTAACAATCGATCCACCCGTGGACTTCAAGGGTTGTTTATTGCAGAGTAGAGTGATGATCCTTCTCCGCTAGATCCATTGTGGTAGATCCATCATGTGACCCGTTACCACGGTAACAACGCGGGTTGAGTGAGCTTCAACGAAACACGCTCCACCACAATCTATTTTGCCTTGCAGCTTGGTGCATTCCGGACTTTACCCGCCACCCGCGACTAATCGACACAGACACGCCATGAGTGCAAGCTGGTGCCGACATCTCTAAAAACCGCCATCTTCGCCAAACCCATCCCGGCACGCGACGCGAATCTGCAACAAAGAATCATAACATCGCCACCATGGCTCGCGCGGCCGTCCTCCCACCGTCCCCCGCCAAACGAGGAGCTCGGGCGGCGCCTCGAACGACTTTGAACAAAACGGTCAAACCAAAGGCCACCGCGGTCAAGAAACGAACCCCTGCCAAAGCAACCACAGCCTACGATTCGGACGACACGGATGATGAGCTTGGAATGATGATGAAGGAGTCAGAGCATGTCGCTCGCCCACAAGGCAGACCAGCTGGACGCACAGCGACTGGAGCTACAGCCGCGTCTCGAGGCAGGAATGTAGCAACAGCTCCTGTGCCCGAACCCAACGAGAAAGCGACTACTAAGGCCGAGCCCAAGAAACGCGTCGGAAGACCAAAAAAGACTCCACCCGCAGAACCCCCCGCTAAAGTTGAGACTGCCCCTCGAACCAGGGGACGACCGAAGGCGGATGCGACGAAGACCGTACCAAAGACCCGTAAAACTACTCGAGCAGCGACCGAGGCCGAAGCACCCCTTGAGAGTACAGACCCCAAGAACATTTTCATTGCCACCAATTCGACAACCATGCGTTCAAACTTGCTGCGTGGACCTGCCAAGAAGAAGACTGTGACCTTTCAAGATCTATCAGGCTCAGAATCAGAAGGGTATGAGGAGCCAGCAGCGCCTGTTGTTGGGCGCAGAAAAGCTCCGGCGAAGGGGGCTGCTGTTGGCAAGGCTGGTCTAAAAGCAACACCCGTGCGCAGCAAAGCCACAGGAGCTATCCGAGGTCGCAAGCCTGGGCCAGCTAAGAAGAATGTGACAAAACCACTATCACCCAAGAAGGATAAACAGGTGGCCAAGTCGCTTTCTGCTTATGCTAGTTCTGAAGAAGAGGATGAATTGATTGGATCTAAGGACGACATGAAGAGCCCAGTCAAGCTTATAATTCATTCCCCTGTCAAACATGCCTCGGAGCCTGTCGGCTTGAGCTCCCCAGTCCGCAAGATCAATTTCACCCCCAAGAAAGCTTCGAGCCTCATCGATGAGAATGGCGAACCGAAGCTCCCAACGCCAAAACACGGATCATCAACTACTGGCCTAAGCTCACCAGTACGAAAAATCAATTTCACTCCCAACCGCAGCCAACAGACTATCACAGATAATGGTCAATTGACGCTTCCTCCTGGAAAGTCCGCTGACCTCAGTGAATCGGTCTTCATGTCCAGCCCCGCTAGACGACCAGAACAATCTTCACCGTTCCGATATTCATTCAGAGCCACCCCAAGGCAAGGCTCTCTCTTCCGCGATGAATCGGAAACTGCGCCAGCTTTCGAGTTCTCCCACGGACCAGTTTCACCGTTAAAAATGTCGCCAAGGAAGGCTCATTTGGGTGCTTCGTTCTCTCAATCGCCATCCAAGACTGAAACTCCTTCGTTTCCTGCTCGATCTTCCTTCATCCAAAGTCCAGCCAAGAGAATTGCTTCCCCCTTCAAAGGATCTATCTTCTCAACCAAATCTTCCATGAGCCAATCGGCCACACCGTCTGGCGATAACACAACCAGCATGTCCACTACTCCTCTCTTTGGATCCATCAATAGGCGCCTATCTTCTCACCAGGAAGAAGAGGAGACAGCCGTAGATGAAGACCTTGAGATGGTGGAAGAAGTTGCTCGTGATGTCTTCGGCATCGAGTTACAGTCATCTAGCAGCACTCCAACCCAGTCTCCATCACCAGAACAGGTTGACGAGACCGAAGATGCACCGGAGCTCGAAAGCGCGGAAGTTGATATTAGCGAGCCCACTGTTTTGAGTGAAGGGGAGGAGAAGGAAGAGGAAGAGGAAGAAGAACAAGAACACGAAGACGAAGAGGCACAGGCGGAGGCCGATATCGACGAGAAGATTCACGACCTACAAGAGGAAATTCGCCAGGAGCCAGATGACTTTGGAACTATCTGCTTCAACACCATGGAAGATTTGGAGAAGTCATTTGCCAATATTCCTGCCAGCGATGATATTGAACCCCATGTATATTCCGACGTCAATTTCGTCAATGGAGACGATGAAAGTGACATGGAAGATGAAGTAGAGGAGGAGGAGGAGGAGGAGGAGGAGGAGGAGGAGGAGGAGGATGTTGTGATGCAATTTACTGAGCCCGTCGATGAGCCGGCACTCTCCTCACCAACCCACGAGCCTGAAAACACAGTTCGTGGCTCTCCGTCTGAATCACCGCTTGATTTGGCTCTCTTTGAAGAATCTGCCATGGAACAGCCCGAATCTCCGACACCCGTTCGGATGAATCGCGAAATCGAGAACCAGGATGATGAGGAGGGGGAGGAGGAGGTCAATGAACTGGAGTACATCGATGAAGTTGGGAGTGTTGTTCACCAACCGTATGACGAGCAGGAAACCGAGAGTGAAAATGAGGAGTTAGTTGATGATGAGCGGACTCTTGTGCCACCATTTGAAGAAGATACTATTGCGCTATCACCTCAACCTCAGTCGCCTTACGAGATGAATGACCGTGAAGAAAGTCCGCTCTCGCGGATGGGATCAGTCCCTCCATTGGTGCCAACTCCTTCAATGCATGAGATGACTCCCATGTCCCTGCTCGGAAGTACCAAATCACAGCCTCCCCTTTTCGACATCAATAACACCGATGATCGTATGGATGCAGTCAATAGCCCCGAGGATACAGCCCAGTTCGAAATTCCTACTCCAGCTGCGCCAAGTTTATCTGGTACGCCGAGCGTTCGAAGCCGGCGAAAGTCCGGCTTCAACGTCAATCTTGGTTTCACGCCACTGGCAAGCAAGTTCGGCCGTTGGGAAACCAACACCCCGTCCCAGGACAGACCAGCACGCCCACGTCGCCGAGGCGTGTTTTCTCTCGTTGGCCCATTAGAGCGATCTGCTGAGACCCACATTCCAGACGAAGGCGATATTTCGTACCCTGTTCTCCCGCGTCCCTCACTTGCAAACACGCCGCGTCTTTTCTCAGAACTTCCACTTCACGACTACGACGATGATATGTCAATGACGTCTGAACCTGACTCGCCTTTCAAGTTTTCTTCTGCGCAAGAAGGCCACAGTATGATTAATTCACCCACCAGAAGTGACATTTTTGAAGACCTCGAGCCCGTTATTCCCAAGCACCTTCGCCCCCGTGAGAGTCTACCACAGAAGTCAATTGAAAACCACGAACAAGTGTCACTGGAGGAAGACAAAGAAAATCTTCCAGCCCCTTCCCCCTTGCCAGCCACCCCAATGAAACCCGCACCAGAGCACCTTCGCACCTTCCACACAGTGTCAAAGGTACCTTTGAAAGGCGAGGGAGATGTTTCCCCTTTGAAAATTCCTCGCAAGCGTGGCCATTCGCTTTCAGGCACATCCCCCACTCGCTCTTCGCCGCGCATTCGAAACGCCGTCTTCCTTCCTCTTAATGACAAAGTAACTTCTCTCTCTCCTCGCAAGGAAGTACAGGTCCCTCGGAGCCCCAGCCCCAAGCGTCGTTGCAGCGAAGCTCGACGGTCCAGTGCGAGAGTTCCAACAAGTATGGCACCACCCGGAAGTCCATATGTCGCGAGTACTCCAGAGAAAAGTCCTCGCCGAAAAGCCAGCCCCAAGAAGCAAACCCTTCGCGGTGCGGTGGTCTACGTTGATGTTCACACTACCGAAGGTGAAGATGCCTCTGGTATTTTTATTGAACTATTACAACAAATGGGAGCGCGTTGCTTTAAGTCTTGGTCCTGGAACCCCAGAGCTAGCCTGTCACCTGCCGATGCAACAGATGCTGTAGCGAAGGTTGGCATCACTCATGTGGTGTATAAGGATGGAGGTCTGCGAACATTGGAAAAAGTCAAGCAAGCCGCCGGCCTGGTGAAATGTGTCGGCGTTGGATGGGTCCTTGAGTAAGTTGTTTTATAATCATTTTTCATTCTTCTCACGCTAATTTTATTTTCTCCTAGCTGTGAGAGAGAAGGCAAATGGGTCGACGAGGCCTCCTACGCCATCGACCGCTCCATCATCCCCCGAGGTGGCGCCAAACGCCGCAAGAGCATGGAGCCCCGCGCCTTGAGTAACGTCAATGGTACACTAGTCCGCGTCGCCGAGCCTTCCACCCCCTCAGCCAGCGGCCGTCGCTGCGGTGCCGACCGCGGTGCTATCGAGGGATTCCGCAAGATCACACCCCCGACTCCCGTCGTTGCGCCTTCCACCCCCACCCAACAATCTTATCGCTCCCGTGTCCCGCAAACACCAGGCTACAACTTCTCCAACTTGGACGCCATTGGCATGTCCCCAGCTACCCCATACTTCCTTTCAAACCGGACACAACTGGTTCAGCAATCTTGCCCGCCAAAGCAGAGTGGTCGTGGTTTGTTCCCGGACAGCAAGCCTGCCTTGAGTTTCGTGGAAGAAGACGATCGGGAATCGAGACGGCAACAACGTGCTCGGATGGAGGCTGCGCGGCGTAAGAGTCATTTCTTCAAGCCTGCTGTTGCGAGCCCTCTTGCGAAATGAGTTATTCGTTCATGAAACATTGTAAATACATATACCTGTCTCCACTGTCAATGTGGGGCATTTGCTTTGATGGGCGTTTTTGCTTTACTTGATTACGTTTTTGTTCGGATCGTGCTGTTATCCTAGCTATTGCATGGTAGATCTTAGCGCTTGGGATTTTTCAAATATAACGCTGAAGACCTTGTGATCTTTTCAATATTTACTTCACCATGGCAGTTCTACGACTCCAATTGATCTCAATGTATCTTGTAAGTATCCATGGGCAAGAGAAGCGCGGCGGGATGTACGTGAAGATGCCTGGACTGCAGAATTTGACAACGGCATTTTTGCATGCCTAATTGTAGTATGTCTCGAGATCTCCATGTGGTTGCCTATCGAGTTCAATATCTAGTCATCCTCTTCGTCTCGATAAAACCCAGCAACAAGGAAAGCAAGCTCGAGTGCCTGCTTCTCGTTCAAACGCGGATCGCAGAAAGTTGTGTACCGTTCCCCAAGCCCGTCCTCTGTCAACCCAGCTGCACCACCCACACACTCCGTGACAGCCTCACCAGTCAGCTCAAGATGCATGCCACCAAGGAAGGACCCAGCCGCACGATGAATCTCAAGCGCCTGTCGCAGTTCAGCGAGAATATCAGTAAAGTGTCTTGTCTTAACACCCGACGGCGTGGCCTGGGTATTTCCATGCATGGGATCGCATTGCCAAACGGGCAAATGACCAGACGCCTGCACAGCAGCAATATGATCAGGCAGGTACTGAGCGATCTTTCCCGCGCCATAACGCGAGATCAGAGTGACTTTGCCAATTTCACGAGTTGGGTTCACTACGTCCAGGAGCCGGACTAGGTCGTCTGCTGCCATGCTGGGCCCGATCTTGATACCGACAGGGTTGGCAATGCCGCGGAAAAACTCCACGTGAGCTCCGTCCAGTTGGCGGGTTCGATCGCCGATCCACAGGAAGTGGGCAGATGTCGCGTAGAAGTTGGATGTCGGCTGCTGCGTGGCTGTGCCTGTGGGGTTCCGCTCAATTGGGTTGCGTAAGAGTCGGGTGAGTGTTTGCTCATATTCTAGGGATAGACCTTCGTGGCTTGTGAAGATATCAGCTGTCTCGATGCCACGGTCTTTGTCTATGCCTACTGTGCGCATGAAGCGTAGGGCATCCTTGACGGCGTTCACAGTCTTGCTGTATTGCTCTTTGATTGCAGGGGTGATGACGTGACCGAGACCCCAGTCTAGTGGAGAGTGTAAGTCTGCCAGACCCGAAGAGAGCGAAGCGCGCAAGTAGTTTAGTGTTGCAGCAGAATGGAAGTACGCAGACACAAGTCTGGATGGATCGGGTTGCCGGGACGCGATATCCGCCTCGTAGCCATTGATATTGTCACCCCGGAAAGATGGCATTTCCACCCCATTGACCATTTCTGTTGGACTTGAGCGTGGCCTAAATTTTTTCCTTTTAGCAAGAGCAAAAGAGAATGACAAGAGTGATTACTAACTTGGCGAATTGACCAGCAATTCGAGCAATACGAATGACAGGCTTGTTTGCTCCTGCGTCAATGTTAGAAACTCGACTTGAAATAGAGCAATGCTTTTCATGGGGGTCCATTCATACCCCAAATTAGAACCAAACTCATTTGCAGAAGCAGTTTGACTTTTGCTTCAATCATGTCCTGGGTGCAGTAGTCGAACAACTCGGCACAGTCGCCTGTGTAACATTTTGATCAGCCATATCCTCGTGCAGGGGAAAATCGATTACGTTACGTACCTCCTTGCAAGACAAATGCTTTCCCCAAGGCGACATTTTTTAAGCTAGCTTTGAGATTGTTGATCTTGAACCTTGTTAGTAGTCTAGCCTTTGAGAAATGATCGAGAAGGTGTACCTACCTCCTGCGTTGTCACTAGCGGTGGGAGCTTCTGCAATTTCTCGAGCGCATCCTTCACGCCCTGTGCATCTCCGTAGACCACATCTTGCTTGATGGGCTTGGTGGTCCACGCTAGAATTGAGAGGCAAGAAATTAGAATTGGACATACAATCGCTCTGAAAAAAAAAATGATCACATACAGTTGGGTGTCCAATCCGCCATAGTGATAATGCCGGGGTAACCGGTAACCCCACTTAGTTATCCGGGCCAGGTACAGTAGGAAGAAACGGCGAGGTCAAACAACAGTCTGTTGAACTGACTGATCAATTGTCCTGGATCTCAAGATGCGAGACAAAAGAGTATTGAGCGCAACGAGAACAAATCAGAAGCAACAAAGAAGTTGAAGAAAAGCTTCGACACAACCTTAACAAAGGCGCTTATTCACGGAGCATCTCGGTGAGTCAGGTTGCTGCCTGGTCACATAGGCAACAAATTATGTCATCCTTGTTATCGCATCTCCGCTTATCACCGTAGCTACAATCATCACAACATGATACTTTTACCCAAGCTCGCTATAGCTTGAAAATCTTCCCTCATAATGTCCGACCCCATTCCGTCTGCAAGTGCAGAGCACGAAGCACAAGGAACCCAAGTTCCAGCCAACGCTGAAGACCGCAAGGCGGCGGCCGCCCTCTCCTCCCTCCATACCAATGAAATTGGCGCCACAGCAAGCCCCACCCGGGGACCATCCAGTGCCGACCAGGAAGCTCTAGGCAGGGCTATGAGCCGGCTTGAGATTGCTTCGGGGCATGGCGCAGATAAGAAGTATTCTGGAGAGAGCCTCAGTAATGGGGTGGACCAGAAAAAGAAGGCGGTTAAGATTTCAGCGGCCGATGTTACGTTCCTGGTAAGTACGGGACGATGGTGTTTGTGTTGAGACATTGCTGATATGTGCTTTTCGATAGGCGGATCAGCTGGATCTGAACAAGAGCCAGGCGACTGAATTGCTGAAAGCGAGCGAGGGGGATGTTACTCTTGCCCTGAGAGCTTTCCTTGCACCTTCTTTCTAGGAAACAAAATGACTGGCGTTTTGGTGGTTGAAGCCAAGAAATGGTTATAATGGCTAAGTATAAAATTTGAGATTTGCATTTCCTAGTATGTCTTGAGACATGCCTTTATAAATAAGTCTCGATTTATGATTAACTGATGAAATGAAACGAATTCATCAATGGTGAAACCTTCCAGATGTCTCAATGTCTCATGCAGATATTAGGTAGCTGATAACTAGTTGACATCAATTGACTGATAAAACATCCAGATGTCAAATTACCAATTAGTGATCGCGGTGATTCAATGTTACTACGAATAGTTTGAAAACACCCCAAAACACCGGAAACTAGTACATAAGTTTACACTGTGTATCACCACCTGTGAAAGTAACATTTGAATCAATTGATCACTAGCAGTACTGGTATGTATAGTACTAACGTTTGAATATGTTCACAATTTTGGAAACTTGATCCATAGCAAAAAAGGCAAGGTCTAACTAGTAACCATAACCAGTATATGACTTTTTGACTTTTTTTTTACGACTTCCCAAAATGTCATCATGGCTCCTCTTCCTCCACTTCATCCTCATCAGGTTTGCGTCGTTCAATCCCCTTACCTTCATATATGGTCCACAGCACCATATATCCAATTAAAGACTCAGCAGCCAAAGCCCACCAAATAGCTCCAACCATGTTGTACTCAAGGCCCAAGCCAAGACCCCAACCACCAAGGAGCGGGCCTAAGGTACGGGCTGCACTGGATATACTTTGCGCCACACCATGAACCGTGCCCAAAATAGTGGAGTCAGTGACACAGTTATTGACAAGAATGATGGCAGCGGGTAACACAAAGGTGCGAGAAATGACTTGTAAAGAAACCACAAAGGTGAAGGAAGGCCAAACAATGTAAGGGACGCGGGGCAGTATTACAAGGAAGGGCATCAAGATGTACGCAATGGGAGAGAGGGGAAGGAATGTGCGGAAAGAGGTGAGCGTTCCCAGCTTCCCTTGGATGCGAGGGTATAACAATATTTGCAGGGGAAGTCCGATGAAGCCGATGATTGCAGTGGCAAGGCCTACTCGTGCAGATGGCAGACCAAGTCCTCCACTGAAATGGAAAAAGTCTGTTCGGGAACCTTCCGGAGCACGAGGGGTAGGCAGAAACACGAAAGTCATGGAGTTGAAAGCACTGGTGTGAAATGCGAGGAGGAAATGGGTCAGGAGAGTGAGGAGGACGTTGCGTGTGAAAATCTGTCGGAATCCCGCTCGTTTGCGGGGGACCAGTGGTCGTTGCGGACGTGTACGCACTGGACTCGATGGTGCAGACCACTCCGTATTTTCATCCATATACATAGAGTTATCTTGCCCAGAGCGGACAAGGGGGCTATAGTGTAATGGGCGACGTGTAAAAGTGCGGACTATTCTCTTTCCAAGCTCGCGGCCCCAATCTCTGCGGTGGCGTGCGATTTCATGGGACTGTTTCGTAGTCAGCAGGTGTATCTACTATGGTTATGTAGATCGACTTACCTCGTCAAGACCAAAGAAAATCGCAAGTGATGACATGAAGATAAAACAAGCACTGAGCAGATTGGGCAGGGCATAAGGCCAATGCTGCATCCACCACACACCACTTTTACCCCCAAACGGGGAACCAGGGCCAAAAAGCCAAGGTAAACTGTTGACGGGGTCGGCCAATGTTCCTCCTAAAACGGGACCTATGATGACTCCAATATTGAAGCACATAGGAAGAAGTAAAAAGGCTCGTGATTGGTACCTGGTAGACATATTAGCTTTGATCTTATCAACTGCAAGATAACAAGCTTACTTTTTCTCTACAACAATCTCCGAAATCATTGTGCGCATGACGCCCTGATTGCTGTTCAACAGACCACCCAGTGTGCGAAACAGAATCGCAGTGGTAAAGGAACGAGAAAAACCAAACCCAAGCGCAGAGATACAAGTGCCAAATAGACCGATCATGAGAACCCTCTTGCGGCCCATCCACTCTGCGTCGGCCAGCCGACCCCACCATACAGCAGTGAGAAACTGGGCAGCTGTGAAACTACCTTGCAACATACCAGCTTGTGCCGAAATTGTCGAGTCCGGCAACGATGGGTCAAATGACTTGAGTTGATAGAACATGTATGCCTGCAACGAGGTCTGGGTGAGCGGCTCCGACAGCCTCGCCATAGTCAAGATGGCTAGTTGGCCTTTTTTGGGTAGAGAGCTCCATGTCACCGGTTTCTCTGCAACCTCTTGTTCTGGCTCGGGAAGAGCTACATGATCTGTATCGGTTTCATCTATGGACGGGAAGCGGCGATGATCTGTGAGGATCGGGGGCGGCGAAAGGCGTCGGACATTTTGGTTATTCAGATGGGATGTCTCGTCGTCGTCGTCACTGTCGCTGTCATCGGGTATATGTGGTGGTGAGAGTTCAGTATGCAGGGAAGAAATGACGTTCGTGTCGTCGACGGGGTGGGATTGGCCCGTGGGCTCGGGTGGAGGGCGCCCCATCAGCCAAGACCTGGGGGAGGGGGAGGCACACGAGCTGTGTAACGAACTAAAAACCGGGTAAAGCCGTCGGGAATGAAATGAGCGGAAGGCAGAGGTCGAATTTCCAGAATATGCCTTTCTTATGGAAAAAACTTCATTTGTAGGAGTTGCTATTGAACGGAGAAGAGCGAGATCGCTAAAAGAATACGAAGAAATTCGCACTCTGACACCATATCGGCCAGGCCCACCGAAGCCGGATAGAGTGCCGACTTAACCGCTCTTGGAAATATCATACCCAAGACTCAAGAGACCCAACTCATCCATGGATTGCATCGTGTCTATAGAAACTACTAGTACACATTCAGAAGAACATCCTCATCTTGAGTAGAATATGAATGTTTGACTCAAAAGGTAGCTTTGAAGAAAAGAAGTGGTTAAAATCAAACTAGAAATTGAAAAAAAAAAGATATGCACCAACCGGGATTCGAACCCGGGCCGCTATCTGAACTCATTTTCAGCATGGGAGGATAGCATCGTAACCCCTTGACCATTGGTGCCGTTCAATCGAGAAACCCACTTATTTGTGGGTTATAAGGACCCTCTTCCTAACCCTTTCTGGGATAGTGAACCATGGTTCAGAATGGGTTGACCTATTAATAATACAATATCAAGTTGTTTGTTATTGTTATTGATTAACATGTTTGACGAATGATAGGAGTAGAATTATCACAAAATATTAAGCAAAACTCTTAGCAGAATGCTTTATGATGAGAGTTTCACCAGGGTATAAAATAAGACAGCTGATTGGAAAAGATCAAATATCCAACATAGCGTCCACATGAAACAAAAACAAGGAGCTGAATTAGGTGCCCAAAGATCAAGTACCTTTAGCCCCATCACTATGGCATGGAGTCTTGAATGGCGCATCATCGTACATGGTGATGGACTCTGGGCTTGTTGGTCTTGGATCTTCAAGAACTCCCAAGTGATCATGAGTCTTATCCCACTGCTCCAATGGGTGGGCTTCCACTCGATGTAAATCATCCATGAAATCATTGGACATGTGAGTGAACGCTTCTTGGCTTGAGCGGTGCGTCCCGTCATGCCGCTCGACATCATGATTGTTATCGGATTTTTTGAAAATCGGCAGAACAAGGTTCAGAGCACGAGGAATGGAGAAGGACGGACGGGACCCAGACTGCGAGAAACCGTTGCTATCTTTGTTTTGGTTGTTGAGGCCCTGTCCTTTCCGTCCTCGGTTACTGTTGTAGGAGAATGCCTTCAGGCCGAACAGCTTTCGCAATAGTGGCCACCAGCACATCAGGTTCGCGACGTAAATAGCCGTGCTAGCTTCGCGGATATACCAAATCTGATAAGTGGTGGTGAGTGGCGATGCAAAATTGAAATATTTATTGAGAATGGCGGCAATAATAGTGAAGAGACCCAGGCTCATCACACCAAGAAGAAGAATCTTACGATGTTGTTTGAGTTGGGCTTTTATTAAAAGCGGGATTGGGATGGCGAACATGATTGCATCGGAAGAGATGTTGAACACAGCCTGGGTAATGGAGTAGTGTTGATAAGTAGCGCATTGCATGTTCTGTACAGGCATGGCCCAGTACTGCGAAAAGGGCCGACAATACACAGCATAGTAGCAGATCATAATCACCACAAACCCCAATGCCACATATACCGCAAGCATCTTTATATAGAGATTGGAGCGCAAGCTCTGGGTAAGCCTCCAATAGAAAATGAGCATGCAGGTCTTCACACCCCATGTTGAGAAAAGCATGCACTGCTCCAGCCCGATCACAATTTTACTTCCATAAATTCGGTCATGGACTTCCTGGGGATCCGATAATACTCGGTTGTAATCTTTCGGGTCCATGAGGTTTGTTGCGTAGCGTGATGATATCTGGATTAAAACAAGGAGCGTTGTATAAATCATCTGGCACAATAGACTTCAAGTCAGCTCATCCATTACATAATGTCGCAAACATTGACAGCGGGCTTCAGTTAATTTCACTCACAAAGGTTGCTGTCATGACATAGTCATCCCCTGCAGAGAAATATCAGCACTGTTCTCTTTGTGTCTTTAGCACCCGAGTTGACATACAGAACAGCCGTTTGATGGACCCATTGGCAATTGTCCGGGATACCCTGCATTTGATTAGCATAGCGCTTCCAATGACCCTGGGGACTCAGAATCATACATTCTTCCTCCATATATCACCACGCCAATACTCCAAAAAACAAGAGCTTCCACAAACAACTGATGCGGGGTGGGCGATTCATTCCCCATTTCTGGAAAGTGAGCGAATGTCGCTTCCCTGGACAAGACCTCAAGATACAGCCGGAGCAAATCGCAACTGTGCCATAGGTGACTAGACCAGGAGCTTGTAGTTAAGAGTTTAAGACAATTCCCTCCACGGTATCTATTGGTCAAAAGAAGAAAATGCAAAATGATTTTTTGTTAGGTGAGTAGACCCGTGCAAGATGCACGGTGCAAGCCAGAGGTTGTCCGGAATAATGACTCTGCAGTAGTCGGTGAGCGACATTAAGCTCAAGTCCGCCTGAAGATTTGGGTCTGTGCTGACCGAGGGCAGGGCTGCAGCGTCATATATCTTGGCCTGCAATATGTCATGGCTGGGGCTTGACATTGGATGACAAGCAAGGAGGAGTGGGTTGGCGATGCAAGGGGGCATGTCGAACTAGATCGGTGGCAGTTCGCAATGGAATGCAGATCGTTTTTGGACGATCAAATACACCTGCTTGGCAGGCTTTTCCTCCAAATCCCTTCCCTTCACGTCCAAAGTAAACAGCAAATCTCTGTGCCGACCATTGAGAATCGCCCTTGGGCTGCCTTATTTGAAAAAAAAAAAACCGCCCAATCACAAATGGCAATGTGATACCATAAGATACGCAGGGTCCACACACCATTTTTTCAAAATATTTCCAGCAAAAGGAACATCAGGTCATTCAGCTGGAGTTTCATCAGACTATACGGTCAGTAGTGGCGATTTGACTGCCCAATCGCGATAACGGAGTGATCAGCGATCTCCCCCGCGGAGCTGTTTGTTTTTGATAGGTCAAGCAGGAACGGTGAATTTCCACAAGATAAGGTGCATATTCTGAATCATTGGTCTTGGGTTCATCTACAATACGATTCTCGTCAAACGGTCAATGATTAGCTACTTTAAAACAATTCCGCTAATTAAATAGTGAGGCCTAGTGATCCAGATACGAGTTGAATCTTGATTTTTTGGGTTTAACGCGATAACCGAGAGAATGTACGGCAATGTCAAATTTCAGATTTCAAAATTAGATCAACTAAATTTGAATGCTTTGCATGATCCATTTTCGGGATTTTCTCATCAGCCCATGGCATTTTCAATATCCAGCTTTGCTCGACTCCCAGCATGCGATATTATAAAAGATCAGGATGCGTTCTCAACCTGCTGCATACCAGGCTTTTCATCTTCGCCAAGGTTTACATGAGCTAGGCGACTGAGTACCGCTTCATCCCGGGCGAAAAGCGCGTCCACTTCTTCAAGTGTTTTGTTGGTAGGCTATATGCGGGTCAGAATCATGGTGTCAAAGGTAGAGTGATGTAGGGAACTCACGTCAGGGCACATGAAGTAAACGAATAGAAAGGCCAGGACATTAAAGACGAGAGGCCAAATCCAAATTCTTGGTCCAACAGTCTCAAGTCCAATCCCGCCCGCAAAAACAGTCAGGAATGTGAAAACGAATACCCCAAGAATTCCAGCTGCAGACCCGATATGACGGTATCGAAGTGGGGCAATCTGTCACGTCAAAGTCAGTATGTAAATTCTCTCTCAAAAAAATATTGATTGGACGACGGAGACTATACCTCTGGTCCATACAGCCACGGGCATCCCACCCAGCCCCAGCCATAAACAAAGAGATAAGGGAACATGATAGCCACCGCAGTCCACTGAGTTGCTAGAGTCTTATTTTTGATCAGATTGAGAATCACAAAAATAAGCATGCAGCATGTCTCAATTCCAGCCGAAATCAACATGATCCGACGGCGCCCTATACGCTCAATGGTCATGACACAAAGAATGGAGCCAGCCCATTGAACCGTTAATGAGATTGCCGCCAGTAAAGACGCTAGGAAGCTCGATAGCCCGACCTCCTCAAAGATTTGTGTCATGTAGTAAATCAATATATTGATCCCCATTGACTGCTGAATAGCGAGGATGATGAACGAGATCCGCACTCGCCGACCCACACGAAGGGGGGTGTTGTCCCAGAACAAGCTTAAAAGTGTCAAACGATTGCTTGACTCTTCCTCCACTTCAAAGTTTTCCATGATGCTTTCTTTGATGACACGAATCTCTGCGAAATCATTGCTGTTGTTGATTCCCGTACGATAGACGCCATAGATTCGGGAAAGGGTTTGGTCACCTTCTTCAATTCGATCTCGGGCGTAATACCATCTTGGTGTGTCGGGTAGGAAAATCATGGTTGAGCCGGATAAAATAGCGAGAATGCACTGGATAGCAACGGGGAAACCTCTAAGTCCGATCAGCAACACAGGACGTACCATTAGCTTGTCAGAGAAAGCCTACCCAAGAAATCTGATTGTCCATTCTTGTAAACCCGAATGTCACCCAGTAAGAGAATGCAACTCCAAATATTAGAGATGAGCAGTTGATGGCCACTTCTGGACCACGTCCCCGAGCATCGATACTCATTTCTGACTACGTACGTGGTTAGTGTGACTTCGGGTCAAATGCTCGTAACAATACTTACCATGTACATGGGCACATTGCATGTTATAAACTGTTTTATCATTAGAGAAACAATTCTGTCCGATGGTAGATTGATTTTATTCTTACCGCAATACCGAAACCCTGAAGTTGATTAGCATGACACTTGATTTGATTTGAAAATTCGCATTTCAACTTACAGAAAGTACTCTCGCTACAATAATCTGAGGGACCGAAAAAGACGCTGCCTGTATCAAACCCCCGACCGCGATGAAAGCATTGCCGATGATAATGCAGTTCCGTCGCCCGAGAGGCATCCCAATAAGCATGACCACGCATGCCATGAATGCCGCTGCAAGAGTATAGGAAGACGCAATCATTGGAATGGTTTCTGTTCCAGTGGGATTCTGCAACCTGAAATTAGCAAAATTCCCAAATCAACTACACTCAGTGTTCCAACTTCATACTCCAATGGCATTGAGAAAAGGAGCTGTTGATTGGACTCCTCCAAGGACACCTGCTTGGTAACCCTCGATCATGAAGCCCTGAGGTTCTGTTAGTCAACCCCAGTGAGCTTGTTCAACATAAAGACAAGGGGACCAACCACAGAGCAACTGAATCGAGAAAGGCGACGCAGTGTCTTGCCTTGAATATACTCTTCAAACATGATTGTTGCACTCTGAATTGTTTAGTGTATGGATTCCGCTCAGAAGATGGGACTTTTTGTAGGACTATCTCTCACTTTTTATCCTGGTAGTTTTATGGGGTTTCCATCTCCCCCACACATGCGGGGGATTAGGTTTGGTGAGTTCAATGCTATCCTTAATCAGTCTTGACGTCAAGTTCTAAGCTCAGAACTTTGCTATGATGATTGGTATAGTTTCAAACCGGATATTTATTCTGTGTGCCGACCTCGCCAGCCCGGTACATTAAATGTTTAAGATCTTTGGATCAGACTTTAGGATAGATATCAGCCTGAAAACCTTGAAAGTCTTGACTAAGAAATCAACAAATCCGGGGATTACTCGACCGGCGTCTAAAGAAAATGGCCGGTCCCCGCACGACCAAGCTTCCAAATATTATCGTTTCCGTTCTTAAGGCAATAACCCCTCTTCAACGTTGAATGAAACTGCCAGAACAATAACAAAAATGGATATTCTACGCAAGTCCTACGAATACGGCAGGTCGCCTCTCACCTCTTCATCACTCACTAGTCCATTCAATACGTTCTTGTTCGGTGGCAACATCTCCCGCTCGCTCTCACCACTGCTACATGGAATTCTTTTTCGATCAGCGAATGCATCATGGACCTACCATCTCGCTCAAACGACCGAAAAAACCGACTTTCTTGCAAAACTCGCTGACCCAAATTCCATCGGTGCATCCATTACCATGCCTAACAAGGTCACGTTCGGGCCGATTCTTGATGATTTGACTGAGGAGGCAAGAGGAATTGGCGCCGTGAATACTGCTTTCATTCGTCTTGATTTTAGTGGAAAACGTCGATGGATTGGTACCAACACTGATTGTGTCGGAATTCGCGAAGCCATTCTTCAACGTGATCCTCAGGCCACTTCTACGGCAAAGGGGAAGCCTGCCATGGTCATTGGAGGGGGTGGCGCGGCACGAAGTGCAATCTATGCACTGTGGAAATGGTTCTCCCCCTCTGAGATCTACATTACCAATCGATTGGAGTTCGAGGTTGATGACATTATCAGGCATTTTTTGATAACAATGCCGGGTATCAAGCTTCGATACATCCCAGATGTACAGACAGCGAGAAGTCTCCCTTCTCCGTCAATAATTATTGGAACCATTCCCGATTATCCACCAACTGAGCCGGGAGAAGTGCTTTGTTGGAAAATATGTGAGGTCGTCTTGGGAAAATCTAGAAAGGGGTTGGTGGTGGATATGTGTTATATGCCATCGACTGAGACCCGACTTGTATGTACTGCGAGAAAAGATGGGTGGGCGGTCATTCGGGGTACAGAGGTTCTTGTACGAGTATGTGTTGCTCAGCAGACTCTGTGGCTGGAAAGGGAATCGAATGACAAGGGGGTGGAAGAGGCTATGGCATCTATTGCTATGCCAGATATCAATGTTAAGCTGTAAGCTTGAGAACAAATGGAAGAGAATCGTTTTCACTGTCTTACTCGAAGAAATTTAGTCTGTGGTATGTGCATCATTGGTACAGAGAGTGAAGTAAACGGCATTTGGGAGATGGAATGACTCCGATGAGGGAACCCGACCAATCATAAACAAAATCACATGATAACCCAGTGATGGGTTTCTAACCCGTGATTTCGACATTTCTTCTTCCAGCCGTTGATCAACCTAGTAGTTGTGTTTCTGATTTTCTACATTTGCCGTTTCAGGAAACCGTTTCTACGTTTTGCCCCATATAACTACGAGGTGAGTGTTATCTGCATTTTTTGGGATTTTTAGCGATTGACATTGCAAAGTACATTCAAGAATGCCGACCCCGCCAATCCCCAATCAGCAATTGGAGTTACTGGAGAGTAGGGAGGCCTACGAAGACTCCAATGAAGGCTTCCGGTTTGCCGGTACCCTGATCGTGTATCAGCTGAATGGCTTCTTGTACCATGGGATGCTGAAAGGTCGTTACTCTTCTCCTTCGATTCTCAATGCAGAGGGTCTCATGAATGTGAAGCAAATTCCCGCGTCGGCCTACCAACCCAACTTTTCTGCCGGATTAACAGCAGCCCCTGAAATGCTCTCCAATGGCTGTTATGTCAAAAAACCTCGATTGATCAGCTACGATTTGATCAGCGAAGGGCCTCGACCGAATTCGATTGCGGAGGATGTCATTAGAGAAGCAAGGGTTTACGAGCTCTTAATGATGAGCCCACACCCCAACATCGCTACCTATCTAGGGTGTCAAGTTTCTGGCGGCATGATCACGGGTCTTTGCCTCGAGAAGTACCCGCGCACGCTAATGAAAGAGGTCAACCCAGGCGCCCTCATGAAAAGAGCATTTAGAAACACACGGGAAGTGAGGAAGGATTATAGCCGTGTTCTCAAGGACATTGACAGTGGCCTCCGGTATCTCCACTCGCTGGGGTTGGTTCATAACGACATCAATCCAAGCAATATAATGATCGATGACGATAGAGCAATCATCATCGATTTCGGGTCTTGCCGGAAGATAGGAGAAAGCCTCGAAGATGTTGGCCGTACTTATGAATGGTACGATGGAGAAGTGCAGCAGTCTCTTCCCGAGAATGACTTGAAGGCCTTGAAGGAGATTCGCATTTGGCTTGGTGTTGATTCATCAGAGTTTCAATTTGGAGTCTAAGACTTCATATAAACATATCATCTCCAAAGCCATATCATTGTCTGCACTCTCAAGTGTACTTCTGTTTGACTCATTTTTTCTGCCCCCAAACTGTATCAAGGCAGACCCAAAATAAGAGGCTCCGTAGGTTCTTGGATTGCCTTCCAATCTTGAAGACGTTCATTCTATCTGGCGAAACAAATTTGCAACCAAACCTTGCTGAGCACTTTGTACCACTCGTTTTGCGTAATTGTGCCAACAACACCTCTCAAGATTTACGCATTTCCAGAAAACCACAAATTATTCTCGACCGACAAAAAAAGAACCAATCAATACATGTATGCGGCTTCCAAGACAAGTTATTGCGATGAAAGGAGGTTTACCCCGGACCCCACATTCATTTCATCCCCGCAGATCGGGAACTAAATTAAATGGCCGACTCTGGGTCCACAAACGCCAACATTAAATCAGGGTTTCATTATATAGCGTCGTGTCGTCGATAACATGCATTCTCGAAGCCAGAACCACTTCTCCATTTTTACCACAACACACTTGTTGTTTCTTCGGCATTATGGCTCACGTTGGACCATTGGGACAGGTATGCATTCACTTCGCCACCCTTCTTACTGGAACCCACGCTAAATCGTATACACTCCCCAGCCTATCACCCTCAAACTCTCCGGTAAGGTCATCAAAAATCGCCTCTACCGTACTCCTCTCAGCGAATATGCTTCGACCTACGACGAGAACAATGTTGAAAATTGTGGCAAGCCCCTCCCTCGTTATGCAGAGCTCTATCAAGGTACGACTAATTATCGAGAATTAATTTTCAAATTCAAATTGACTGACTTTGAATTACAGAGCTCGCTGATGGCGGCGCTGGTCTGATTTGCACCGGTAACATTCCTATCCACCGTGACAACTTGGAAAACTACAATAATGCTGTTCTCGACATCAACAACCCCTGGGATCCCATCGAGGCATTCCGTCCTGCTTGCCAGGCCGCAAAGTCCCGAGGCGCAATTTTTCTTCCTCAGCTCCAGTTCCCTGGTCGGCAGGTGCCTGAATTCCTGAATGCGAATCCAAAGTCTTCCTCTTCTGAGCAGCTAGAGCCTTGCCTGAACAAAACTTATGGCAAGCCCTCGCCCTTGACCCGAGCCGAAATCAAAGACCTGCAGAATCGATATGTCTGGGCTGCTGAAGTGCTGTTCAAGGCTGGAGCCGATGGGATTATTGTAAGTTCAATGGATTTGTCTGACCTGGCTATAATATGTACGGGGTATGAGCACGGAACTAATCATTGGCTGCAGCTGCACGCTAGTCACGGATATATCATGCAACAGTTCTTGTCGCCCTTGATCAACAAGCGAACGGACGAGGTAAGGGATCCTCTTTCTAGGTGTTGTGAAAGTAGATAACTAATTGCAGATTGCGCAACAATAGTATGGTGGAAGTTTGGAGAATCGCGCCCGTTTCATCCTTGAAATCGTCAACGCTATCAAAGCCAAACTTCCCTTGAATAAATTCGTTATTGCCGCTAAGCTCAATTGTCAAGACTGTATGTGAATATTTCTATTTATTTATCCCGAGCTTTTCACTGACCCTTACAGTCATTGAGGGAGGTGCTAGTTTTGCCGAACAATGTGTCGTGATCAAATGGCTTGAAGATGCTGGAGTGGATTTCTTCGACATCTCAGGTGGAACCTATGCTTCTCCAGCATGGAGAGGAAACATCATGAAAGAATTAGCCGAGAGACCCTCACAGAAGGAGAGAGGAAGGTATGATTCTCTTTAAGCTTTACATGGAACTGCCGATCACTGACTGTTACAGCTACTTCATTGAATGGGCGCAAGAAATGAAGAAAGTCTTGGTACGTTCCGTTCTCTCTAGATTCATCTATCACGACTAATATTTTTGCAGTCGCGTGCTGTTATCGGAACAACAGGTGGTTGGAGAGAGAGTCACCGGATGTCAGAGGCTGTCGAGGGGGGCGACATTGATATGATAGGGCTTGGAAGACCGCTCCGTGAAGATGCGGAGTTTGTTAAAAAGGTTCTTCGTGGAGAAGTCACGAGAAGTAATCTTTAATTCTCTGTAATATGAATTTTTTTGATGATATTGAAATGCCAGATGTGAAAAGTCACGTTGAACATCTTAAGTGGATATTAATGTACCAGTAGATAAAATGCGGAGACCTTCAGAAACTGCGCGTGTTGGGCAATTTTCAATCTGGCACACGCGTGTAGCCTGCAAACCTTGGCTTCTAGTCAAGCAGACATAATTCTGAGATCCTGTACTTTGGAGATTAGTGAAATGTACGTGGCCATTCGTGTGTTTACGTTTTACTATCTACATATCCTTCTCGTTCTGCAATTCACTTTACCAACATTGAATTACTCCCCATTAGATTCTCATCAAGTGATCTTTGATATCAAGACTTCTCACCAAAGTGGGTTTCACTACTGCCCATATGTTGCACTACCAACTTTTATGGAAATTCAAAGATTCCAAGTTCGTTCCATTGAAGGTGGCTTCCTCGGCTATACTCTCCGCAACCCCTCCCGGTCTTCTAATTTAAACGCCGGTCATGAAATCAAAGAATTACCAACTTTGAATAAAATCCTCTTAAATCACGTTTAATATTGCGCACTATATCACTAATTCAGAATGTCAACAATCAAAGTCGCAATCGCCACCAACTCCCTGGGCAAGTCCGCCGCCGGCCACACAATCTATCGAAAACTTGAAGCAGCCAAAGCGCACGGGTTTGAAGGCGTTGAGGTTGCCTTTGAGTGCTTGGAAGCACACGCAGCTACACTCATATCGCCAATAACTCGCAATGAAAAACTATGCGCCGCTGCCTCGGATGTTTATTCAAAGGCAAATTCTCTTTCCCTGAGCCTAATATCTTTGAACCCATTCCGAGACTACGATGGTCTAAAGAGCACGCAGGAGGTAGATGCGCGATTGGAAGAAGCTGAGCTGTGGTGCCAGCTATGCCAGATTATGCATATTCCGATTTTCCAGGTATGAGTGGCACTCAGCAACAACAATTCGTTCAAACGTGGGGACTGAAAAAATCTGACATCCTATATCATTCAATAGATTTGCTCGGCACTTTATCCCATCGATGAAGCCAGGATCACTTCAGATCCAGCCACAATAGCCACGAATATGCGCAAGCTCGGCCTTCTTGCACAAAGATACAACCTTCAGGTTGGCTACGAGGCTCCCGCCTGGGGTATTCATAAGAACACTTGGCAGCATATTGAAGAGATTGTTGATTTGGTGAATCTCCCCAATGTCGGTCACTGCCTTGACACATTCCACATTGCGGCGAGAGAGGCTGGGGATCCCTTCAACCTGGCCTCGGCTGTTAGAATAGATGGACAAGAGAGACTTCAGAGAAGTTTGGATGAGTTGAAGCGGACTATGGACCCTGCCAAGATTGTCTATCTCCAGCTGAGCGATGCGATGGTGGCTGATCCGGAACAAAGAGTGTATCCTGTGAAAGACTTGAAGCAACCGCCTTTCATGACCCAGTCAAGGAATTGTCGGATTTTCCCCTGCGAGGAGCACCTTGGTGGTACTCTGCCTGCTGTCGAAGTTGCGAAGGCAATCTTTGGCATAGGATATAGAGGCTGGGTATCTATGGAGGTATTTCATACTGATATGTTTGACAAGCGAGAATCGTACGTCCGGATGGCCGAGTCTCTTTCTGGGTCTTTGAAAGCAATTGGATATAAGTTTACTGATCTTTCTACTACAGAGTTCCTGATGATTGGGCAAAACGGGGTATGGAATCATGGCGGAAAGTCGTTGCTCGCTGCGGACTTGATCGAAGTACGTTCCCTAGGGACTATCTTCAAGATGATAAATCAACCTACTACTCACGGCCTGGAAGTACTAATTCTTTTTAGATTCGAAACTCTGATGGAGAGTTCCAGAGTGTTCAAAAGCTCCAGATGTCTAGTCAAGAGCTCTGAAGTTTGACCTAATGCCCGAAAGAAAATCAGGTTTGAAGCAGCCTGATAGCGCATATCTAGCTAGTTGATGGACATGATATTACATATCCGACCAGGGAAAATAATATTCGAGGCTCCTATGCTTCGAAAATGTGCATAATTAAAAATAAATACTGAGATATATGAAATAAATGACATGAATGAATGTTAAGAAGAATATCGCAAAGATCATACAAGCGTTTCATGAGCGTCCTTGCCTTGATCATCTCCTAAAAGCTGGATGATTCTCGAGACGGGGTCCAGGTGACTCACTAGCCAGGTCAATAAATGACCGTCGCCCTTCTTTCCCTGACTGGAAAGCACTGAGTCGCTCTGCAGCTTCAAAGCTATATTGCGGACCTAGATATTCACGCCTGGCTCTGAGCACCCACCACAGCGCTGTCAAAGCCATCAATCCCACAATGATAACACTTGTGTAATTCATATTCTGCACTGTAGCAGGTAGCACCAACGGGAAGCAGAAGAACACCACAGTAACCACAATATAAAGGAGCGCAGTAATGTTCACTGCCATCCCAAGCTTCTGTCCCATATAGAAAGGTCCCGGAACCATATTCTGGCGCCCGGAGAGAACATGAGGTAAAATTGCACCGAGGTAAGAGAGTGAGCTCAGTACGATGAATGAAGAAATCAGTGCCTGGAAAGCGGTTGTGCTACCGACATATATGCATCCCAAGCATGTCACGAGTATGCTCATGGCGACTGTTGCGCGGACGGGGCAGTTGAGGGTAGGATGAATTTGGGCAAAATAGCTGGCGAAGGGGGTTGCATTGTCGCGTGCAAGACTCCACCACATCCGACCGCCTGTGACGAAGGTGCCAATCAATGTTGGAAATGTCGCTAGGAAGAGTACGGCGATGAGACAGATGGCGCCGGCATTTGACCCTGTCGCCTGTCGATAAATTTCGGCGGTTGGAAAGAAGCCGATGCTGCTGGTGTATACAGCGTCTAGATCTTGAATTGAATAAAAGAGGGCGATTAAGTAAACGAATGATGTTGTGAAGGCGGTTAACATTTGAAGCATGATGCCCAGGGGAACCCTAGATTCGGGTTTGGGAACTGAAATGAGTGTGTTAGGATCAAGAGTCTTTTGAGGCACATGGATTTGGAGTTAATCATACCTTCTTCCGAAAGATGGCTGATACAATCAGGTGTACCGACTGCAAATGCAGCGTTTAATAGGCCTGTCATGAAGCACACGCCATCTGACCATCCACCAGTCTCGTTGTGGTACTCGACCCACACCTGCGAGTTGGTGGAATATGTCTTTGGCATTACCACAAGCACAATAACCGTGACGAGCAACCCGCACATGGACAAAGTCAAGGCAATGCGGTTGATCAGTGGGATAAATCGATTTCCAAAACAGACAATTGCACAGCAAGTCCAATTGACGATTTGGAACACAACAAATACCTGCCATGAGTTCCAGGTCATCTCGGAGTGCTTCAGCAGGTACATCGCCACTGCCTCATTACCAAGCATGGAGCTCATCGACGAAGCGGACAGAAGCCACGCACACGCATTGAGATACCCGGTAAAGAATCCAGCTCCACGGCCGCGACTTCGACTCAACACCGAGGACCAATAGTACACGCCTCCGGCCGACGGCATCGACGAAGCCAGCTCAGCTAATGATGCAGAGATAGCCGTATAGAAGACGCTCACGAGAATAAGGCCGTAAATAACAGCCATAGGTCCTCCATTTTTCAAAGCAGCCACAATAGTCCCCCCGGTTGACGCCCAAGAACTGTTCCATTGTCAGCTTCGCATGTCGCTTACACTGTGATGGGGAAAGAGAAAATTTGACACACTTTGCAATGACAATACCTAGACTGGTCAAGCTCCATAAGCTAAAATTTCGCTTGAGCTCCTGTTTGTGTCCCAGGGCGGCTTCCAGGCGCACGACGTCAATCTCACCCTTTGTCTTCAGCGGGGTCACGCTATCATCCAGCTTCTCCGAATCTCTCACAGCCATTATACCTATACGTCAAGATCAACCGGAAGATAAAGATACACGCATGGAGGAAGCACCTCCAAAAAAATGAGCGGAATGCGCGACTCGCGACAGGGATGGGAATGACAAAATCGGGGGAAACAAAAGATCAAATAGGAGGGCACTTTGCGCTTGGGCGACCTGATGCATCCTTTCTTGGGACGTGGATCGAATAGTGCAACCCCAGGAATGCTTTATGCGAGGGACTTTGCGACTTGACCATATGGCTTCCACGTGTATTACGCGATTTGGATAACACGACAGAACAAAGAGATCGAAACAGGCGAATTACTCTTTTTTGTATCGATCAGACCATGTCAATGTACATCATCAACGACTGACAAGGGTAAACCCTTGGTCAATCATGCAGGAGTCAATCTGTGGCTATTGACAATAAACTGATCGCCAAAGCGCCATGGCCTGAGCACTGAAGAACAGGGTATATGGAGGCGGTCATTGTACTGCAACCGCGAATCAGATCTCAGGGCTTCTTGTCATTTTTCCAAGAATGTGAATTGAGTGTTTGATGTATCGCAATGAAGATGCAAGGGGGATTGGGCGCCACTGCAAATACCGGGTTTAGCGTGGATTTGGCCGGGCGGTCGGTCTATACTCGGAGACCCTAAGAAGGTCAAGAATTTAAGCATGTAAGAGAGAAGTTAAAGAAATCCTGAATGATCAGTTGCCAAATGCCCCTTTTCGTTGATTTGTCTTGATTTTTCCAGAATATCCCGGTGAGATGGCACCTCCTCCCCAGTATTCCTCTTCATCGGCTGAAGTTGACATCCGAATGTGTCTTCGAGTGATAGATCATATTTTATGCGGGCTAAACTTCAATAAATCCAAACATTGTACATAGATGCTTTGCATCGGCAATCATACGTACCGGTATATGCGAACCCGGTCAGCGTTCGATCTTATCTAGTTGTCCAAAGTGGGCCGAGCCCGGCTTGAATAACTCGACTACTGCGATCATCAGATTGCAAATTGGATGATCAAAATCTATTTGTTTTGAAGAATCTCAGCTGGAAAGAAAATTGTCTTGAGGTCGTTGAACGTTGATCATGCATTGAGCAGGGGAATGGAAGAAAAGCACAGGGCATGTCACCCTTTTAAAGTCGAGACTTGATAGTTTGACCACCTTCCCACGAGTCACCTGCCTCAAGGGTTTGCCAGCCCGACACAGAGCCAGCCTCAACGCAAATCATGTTCTTGTATGCCTCATCCGGGCCAAAGTCCGCCATTCCCTTAGCCTTCTCGATCCAGGGGTTCCAAACCACAACATCCGCCAACGCCTCGCGTGTAATCGTGAACAGAGGAGAATCATCCGAGGCCGAGGAGACGATGATTGGGACGGCGGGGTCGAGGTTCTGGTAAACGCGATCGGTTTCACCGGTGATGGCCAGGGCCGGTGAGGTTTCAGTGTGAGTGGTCGCATCGCGGACCTTGTCGACGTAGGTCTTGGACTCGAGGTTCTTAACGCGGATGTTGGAAATGTCCTGTGCAGTACGGTGAGCTTTGGAGGGGTGATCGCCAAATATGGCCAGAAGAGTGGGTTTGAAACATACGGCAATGTTCAGGTATGTATGCATGAGAACCTGGAACTCAAAGTTCTGTGTACCCTCGTTGCGCACTTGCAGCTGAGTCTGCAGTGAAGTCTTGGTCAAGGTGACGCTGTAGACAAGTCCAAATCCATACGGCCAGGCCTTGCGGAATTCCTCGCTCAGCATAGTGTGCGACAGACCAAAGTCCAGCTTCACGGCCTGTTTTCCCTGGTTATCGGCCGCCTCCGCGGCAGATTTGCCCAAGTATTCCCAGTTCGAGTTACGGGCAAATCCATGCTGAGGCAGTGGGGAGGTAACGTGGTTTTGTGGGGGAGGGCCAAAGACCTATAGATAGAAGGGAACACGATTAGCTTCCGGCCTCAGGGTCTCAGGGTCTCGGGGATTCATGCGATTTTATCGCCAAAGTGCGCCAAGAAGCTTTGATCAAATTGACATACCGGGAAAACAAGCGGAATTCCACCCCGGATAGGCTTCGAGCCATCCAGGTGAGCTTTTTCACTGAGGAACAGTTGCTCCTGGCCGAAAGCCTTCCACGAAGTGACCGTGGCGCCGTACAGGTGGATCGCGACGGATTCTCCGGAAGGCAAGCTTGCCTCGACAACATTATCGTTGATGGAGACAGTAGACTGGGGTAGAGAAGCACCCAGCCCGATGGCAGATGGTTTGTTGGAACGGACCATTGTTGATGAAAGTTGTTAGGGATGTCAAGGGGAGAGAGAAAGCTGCGCTGAGATCATGGCGGGGAATCGTATCTTAGCCCCACTTTATCGCCGTTGGATCTTGGATCGTTGTTTTAACTTGTTTACATCTCCCCAGTATGCACTGGATTCTAACGAAAGATCTCATTCCAATCTACTAACACTTTATTACTTGAGGGAAAGAATTGTTGATTACAAAACCTAATCGGCCTTGATTCCCCTGCTTGCACATTGGAAGAATGAATCATGTTCTACAGCTGAAAGAAAGGATGAGAAAACTAAAATACACCCAGGCCAGTAAGGCCGAGCTTCAAGAATTCATTTGAAAGTTGAAAAGAAATCCATAAAATTTATGCAACGGCCGCTATTTGCTTTACGGCATTTGATATGCACGTGGGGAATAAGAACAAAGAGAGAGCCATTAGAAGGTGCAAAATCAAACACATGAAAGTTGTACTCAAAACGCCATCGCTATGCGGAATTATTGTGTCGGCGTGCGGCGCCATGCGCTTCGACACGAATTTCGAAAATGAGATCGTCTATCTCACGGAGAGTGCCCATGCCAAAGTTGGCCTGTTTGATATTGTCCAAAATTTGCTTGAGCGAACCGGTTATTCCTGCATCACTTGTGTCCGGTGGAGAAGTAGGAATGTGTTGAGTTTGGACGCCATCTGTCTTAATTGTTATGGCAGACTCAGCCGGATGGTCTGGAATCTCGTTGGTAGACATTACGGTATCCACATCCATCTGAGTATCATCGTCTTCAGATATTGGTGGTGGCAGTGGACCGGCTTCCGTCACTTGTGAAGCGGTTGCTTCTTCCGTAGAAACCAGGGGGGAATCGAGATTGAAAGTGCGGTCTGCAGTGGAGTTCATAGCAAAAGGGTCGGGTTGGGGGGAAGTGTGAGCGATATGAAGCCCGGGCTGATTTGAGGATGGTTCTGGTTCTGGCAAAACAAACGGGGGTGTAGCTTGTCGCTGATTTTGATTTTGGGATAAACGCGATCTGCCAGCGCGGGTCCTGCGAGGGGACTGATTCTGAGCTGGGCTCACAACATTTGCACTCGACTGCTCTTCACCACGGGCTGATTTGCGAGTTCGCTTCGGTGGAAGCTGAGAGCCGTTTAGACTATCAACTTTGTCTTGTGAAGCTTCAACAACGTCAATTGAGATTGATGGATCCACTGCGGTCGTTTCACCCTGGCGCTGAGAGCTGCGAGTTGACCGGCGTGGTGTAGATGCAGAAGCTTTAGCCGGCGAGGAGGCCACAGAAGCGAAATGAAGGCCGTGCTCCTGTGACTGAGTAGCTTCAGGGTCTTGTACGTCGACTGGGACAGTTTCTTGAGCAGTGGATAGTCTGGTTGAACGACGACGTCTCCCCTTAGCGGTCATTGGAGGACCATCGTCCGTACTGCGCTTTCTCTTCTTGGAACTTTGCGAGGGAACAGATGTTGGAACTTCAGCAGATTGCTCTTCATGCTGACTACTTTGATCAACAGCCAACCCCAAGTCTTGTGAAAGTTGGGAGGCAATTTGGACGTCCAAGTCATCACCCGAAGAATCAACATAATCGATGGCTGTATGTGTGGGAAGAGCATCAGGTTGTGCCGCAGGTTGATATTGATGCTGTTCCACATCATGTACTGCCTTTGGAATGGCATTTCGAGCTCTCATTTGGGATGCCGACTTTGATCTGGAGCTCCGAGCAGAAGGAGGCTCGATTGGTTTAGAAGGCGTTCCAAATGCAGAGGCTGGTGCTGAGTTTTGGTTGTTTTCTGTGCTCTGGCTCAAAGCAGACCGAGTCCGTCGGCTTGGCCGTCTTTCGTCCTGAGACGGAAGAGTATTTTCTTTCAGTTCGTCGGAAACATCGGCGCCGGGGGTTTCTCCGGCAGTATCCCCAACAACAGAGACAGGAGGGCTGTTAGCTGTGCTATGTCCCGCAGCGGCAACATGCTGTCTCTTTGATCTTGTCGCTGACCAACGTCCACGACGCTGTTTATCTTGTTTCTTAGGACTTGGACTGCCTGAAGTAGACACCGGCGGCGAGGAAGGAACATCAGTTACACCAGTCATTACAACATCGCGTCTTCTTAAAATAGACGCATCAGAGTGCTGCGAAGGCGTTGGGTCCCGAGTGGCAGGAGTAGGGGATGACCCAACGAATGGATCCTCATTCTCTGCCATGGCGAGAGTTGGAGTCAATGGAGTCCCGAAAGACGACCGAGTGCCACGTTCTCTACGCAGATGCACAGGCGTTGCAAAGCCCAGGGCTGCAGGAGTATTTGAAGGCGAGGAAGATCGAATGGCTTCAATCATTCGGAACATATCCCGTCGACTTCCCGGGTAAGAGACCATTCCAGAGTCACCATTCGGGTCTGAACGAGGATTGGCGGGTAATTGCGGCTCATTTGAATCAGAGACGTCAGGAGAAGGTTGTTCATTACCACCAATCACAGGCGATGAATTGGGATAAAGAAACGCCCGAGGGTCATGATGTGCGAATGATGAACTATGCATAGCCGAAGACGAGACAAGGGTGTTCTGGGAGATAATTAGTACCCGTGAAGGGGTTGAAAGGACAGACTTGGTATCTACCTTGTCATCATGCTTGGATTGCGCCGCTGCTTTAAGGTTTTCCAAGGCTGTTGCGACAGATCGCCCAATTGAACTTGTGCAAGATGCTGCATCTGTCTTGGTGGCCGTCGAATACCAGAAATCGACAAACTTCTTGGCCCGCGATGCGTGGGGAGACTCCAAGCCAGCGCAAATGACTACATCAAACTTTTTCAAGGAAGACAAATCATCACGGACGCAAGTCTGCAGGACGTTAAGGACAGCAAATGTGAGAGCTCGGCACTGTGAACTTGTTAGGCTGAAATCTAAGGACACATTTCTCAAGGAAGCTCTTACCGCAGTCAGAATTCGACTATCCACACCATGCTTGAAATCGAATTTGGAGTCACCATCTTGAATCCAGGGTTTCAGGAATGGTTGTAGGGTTTGAAGAAGCTGAGACCGGAAGTGAGGCACACCGGAACCCAGGAAAGACGTCAATGATTCGATGAAGCCCGCGAGGCCATGCGATTCTGAGACGCTGAAGCCATCATACGCGAGGCTCAATGTTCGTCCGATTGATTCAACGAGTTTGTAGGGAAATGGCGGAGGACTCGGCTGCTGGGCAACTGTATGGCCATCTCCTACTTCATTACCCTGGAGGAAAGGAATGGACAATGACTGGCTCAGTAGAGATGCCGAAGGCAGATATGTATCATAGACTGGGAGATTCACCAGACAACCGGCCAAGGGCTCGATGATAAGAGCAGGTAGTCCTTGATCACCCTTCTCTGTTCTAGCTACTCGCATAAATGATCCAAGCAAATGTGACCATTCCTGGAATACATTGCGCAGTCTTAGTCCCGAGGCAAGAATTTTGGTCACGTTCTCATAATCACGAGAGACAGAGCCATCGCGTTCTCGAGCAGACTCCACTGGGAATGACTGCAAGGCATCAGCAGCGGCTCGAGCGCTAGCCTTCCAGACCACTTCGGATAGTGAAGAAGGGTGAGAAACGTATGTCGATTCAGCAATGCTCAAAAAGGCACACTGCTGTAGAAGTTCAAGGCGAGATCCGCGCGATATTCTTCCTTTGCATGACGCTTGAATCATCCCTTCGGCTAAACGGACGTAAGCCAAAGTCGGTGTCGCCGAGATAGAATTGACACTGATCACTTGGAGAAGATGAAGTATGGGACTGTTGAGATTTGATCCAGAGCTAGATTGGCGATGCGTTGGGGTATTTGAGGCTTGAAAGATCCCATCTGAGCTTTTCACTAGAAGTCTCTCCGTAAACGGAATGCTTCCAAGGGAAGATATCATCGTTGTTGAGAGAAAACGGAATCGCTCGAAAAAGACATCCACCTCTCCATCTTCGGAGACATTCAATGACGTAAGGCCAATATTCCAAAGGCGATGTAACAGTCCAACAACACTAGCAACAGCTTGCATGGATTCCGTAGAAGGGGTGATTTCCTTACTAGAGGCGAAAGATAGCGCACTAGAAAGACTTACCCAAGCACGGGCAATGTTTGATTTATCAAGCTCATTATCATCCCAGACTGATACCTTGAGCAAGGACTCGAAAACCCTCAAGATTCCCGAGACTCTCGAACGAACCCATTTCGAATCGACGGAGGGAAGTTCTTCGACCTCCATCTTGTTTGTATCATCGATGCGGTTTTCGGTCCAAATTTTGGCCTGAGGACTCCATAAAATGGCAGCTAGCACGCGGGCTTCGCTGTCACATAAGGCTGGAACGGATGAAAAGATAGATGAAGAGGGACCGGCAATGTATTCCTCCCAAATGAGATCAAGGTAATTGGCAGGAGGCGAAGGGCGAAAGGCGTAGTAGAGTAGGTTGTAGTAGCTGCTCAGAGCAAACGGAGTTGGCTCAGGTACTGATTTGTCGGATTTTCTTCGTTCAAATTGCGAGAGAATTGGCTTGCATAACATCTTGATCAAAGGCAGGCTGGTTTTTTCGTTCGGTCCAACTGCGAAGACAAATCTATTCCAACCCAAAATGGCCTGGGCTTTAATAGAATGTTCACTGCAATTCAAGCATTTTTGAAGAATAAGGACCCAGTCCTTGAAGTGCTCCCATCGTTCCAAATCCCAACCCTTGCTCCTCATAAGTAGAACAATGATGCTCCAAATCTGAGGAACATGGATACCAGTATCTGGAGTGGCAATCATTCGAGACATCCGTTCGCGAACCTCATGCACAAACCTTTGTTCTTTCTCTAAAGGGCGGTCAAAAAGATCTCGAAGATGTTTGGAGAGTGTGTGATTTGGGCCCGCCGTTGAAGCAATTTGGAAGCCAAGGGAAATCGCTTTCAATCTGTTCTCTTTCATCGAATGGAGGAGACCATAGATCAAATTTTCTGCCCAAAGTGAAGAATGGGAGATAAATGTAGATTTGGACTGGGTGAGGAGGCGCTGGTATATGGTCAATCGATGCAGGGCGATCGCTTTACCATTGCTGCCAATTTCTTGTACTGCCGTGAGTAGGCGTGTAACGCGGGCGTTGGTCATGATTCGAGGACCGAAATTGTGCGAAGAAAGGATGGACATGTAGTGTGTCAAAACAGATTTTGGAACTTTGGCATCTTGCAGGCAGGTAGTTGAGTGCTCAATAAGGAAAACCTTGAATTCTTCCGGCAGTAGAGGTGATACATCTGGATGCCAGGTCAAGACAGCGGATAGTTTCAAAGCCCAATTGGCAAGATTAGTGTCCAATGTCGCACCCTTGACCAAATCGCGGTTTAAATCACGTTGTATGAACTCGGTTATCAGGCTCAATTTGTCCGCAATATCCTTCGCGGTTGGCAATGAATCATATGCTCGAAGTGCATTGAAAAACTGAGTGTATGCATCGAGTCGAGATGTGATGGACTCTCCCGCCAGTTGCTGAATGACGGATTCCAGGAGCATGGCGAGAGAATCGGAGGTAAATGGATCGAATTTAGGTGACAATATGGGCATCGGCGAGTTGGTCTCTTTTAAAATGGACTTGTAAGGACTGTCCCTGGTTTTAGGCTCTTTTGGTTTGAACAGGCTAGTATTGGGTCCGAATTTCGACAACGGCCCCGAGGGTAGATCGATGGAGGTTTGAATGCATGGTGACCAGGTCACTCGTTTGGAGGTACGACTTGATGGAGGGACCCTTGAGGCACTTGCTGGTTGTGGCGTCGCTGTGATAGATTTCGTAGGATTCTCGATTTCGTCCTGGTCGATGCGTGAACCAGGCCTTGGAGGTGTAGGTGGGCGAGCAGGAAGAGGGCCAAGCATCTCCACCATGGTTTAAGAAGGGAGGAAAGGAGGAAAGAAAAGCGCAATAGAGAAAACAAGGACCATTGCTTGGAGTGCAGTCGTTGAGATGGTCAAGTTTGGGCAAATCGTCCCATGCGATCAAGGATTGCGGATACGGCCAAGGACTAGAGTGAAAACTGGTCAACGGACGCGCCTGTCACGGAATCGCGGGATCGCGTAAAGTGCCCGCGCGATCTATCCGCCTCAGGCGCTCAGGCACTCAGGCGCTCAGGCAGAGAGGCAAATATGAGCCAAAATATGAGACGCGTTTGGTCAACCTTGTCGCATGCAATTTGGTGGACTTTTCTTCACAATTAGTAGGTATCTTATTCCAATATCACATTTCTATGAATGATGACTTGACTGAATTCCTTATTGCTCAAGACCACTTAGTGACCCTTCCAGCGGATTGTTACAAACTAGTATTTAGTCCCAATCCTGAGATCTCAATTTTAATACTCTTAAAAGTTACGCCTCAATACTAGGCAGATAGATTTATAACTCGAGTAAGAGGCAATTTTAGAAGTAGCAAAGAAAGGTGAGGTAGAAATAACACCATGTTGGTTTCTCGTCCTTTGTGCAGTTCCAAGATGTCCTCGTAGATCATTCTTGCCCCAAGCATAATGATATAGGGGTGGAGGTTTAAGTGGGGTTCTGCCGCGGTCGATGGCCGCCTTCGCCCAGAGCTTCATCACCTCCTCTTCCCTGTACCACTTTGCAGATAGCACCGCTTTTTTCTTAACCTAGTTTTGTTCTCAAAAGTTGTTGAATCTTTCTGTTGGCAAGCGCAGCATTACAACCCATTTCCACTAGCAGCGCTCGTCCCCATTTTCGGCTTAGTGGGACAATGGCTTCTCTCCAGTCTGGTATGCAGGCCACCCCCGACCAAGCCCGATGAACCAATTTCTTGATAGAGTTTATCTGACTATTTCTACATAGCTGCATCCAAGTTACAGAAAGTCGGTCAGCTACTAGACTCCCTCGAGCAGGACCTGCAAGAGAAGAAGTTGACATCGTCGCGTGAGTTGCGTCCACGCGCAGAATAAAAAAGATACGGGAATGCAATACTGATATGATACCAACTTTCTGGTAAACAGAAAAAACCCAATATCTCCTTCAACTCCGCGAACATGGCGCCACACCCCCCTATGCCGGGCCAATATACTCCAGCAAGGTACGCTTTACCAGAAACGATTCGGTTATTGCCGTGATCTGATGCTTTGCGCAGGGTATCAATATTTTGGCACAATACGGGGTGGAAGGTGAGACATCCGATGTGTGCCGTGCTGCCCTGAGATGTGTCGCAAATGCTCTTTTCCTCAAAGAGGACATGCGACAGGTATTTGTGGACACAGGTTATGGCGGCAGACTGGCTGAAAGGCTCAGGGTAGGTCTTTTGTTTCGCTAGTACCTTTAATCCCCCCACCATTTGCTATTTAGGTACTTCTGGGGTACTAATTTGTACTAAAAATCACTAATAATAATGAATGTTCAGCTAGAAAACTCCGACGATGAGATGCCCGCCAGTCGAATCCTCTTCCTGTCAACATACAACACTACAATGGATTTTGATAAATTGATCAAGAACCATTCTCTTGGAGAAAATATCATTTATGTACAGTTTCTAAATGTATCTGTGGCCGAGGCTGTACTGACTATCGAACTAGCAACTTACCCGACATGCAAATCAATTCCCCAAATCTGGCGGGGAACCGTTGACACAAATGGATCAGATGGCTCTCACTGAAACCCTGAAACTGATCTTCAACATATCCAAGCTTTATGATCTGGGTGCCGCCTTCTCTCCCGCCATTCCTTCTATTTTAAAGATCATTAGCCGAATTGAAATCCCAACGAGGCCATTGGATGGTTTAATCGGCCAGCTCATCAATTCACTCTTCGTGCTTGACATAGAAGAAAAGAATGGCAAGCTCTCCGGGAGTAATCCTTTGTTTCCCGCCTTCGACCCAAAATGCAACATCGACAAATTGATCAAAGTTCTTGATCAGAGCGTTTCCGTTTATAGCCCCGACGAACTGAATAAGATGGCCGTGCCATTATTGCATTCCCTCATCGTCATCTATGGGGTCGCCCCTGAAGAACTGCGCAAGCATATGCAATCGCTGCTCTTGCCGGCGGACAGTGATCGTAGCGAGCCCATTGGACGCTCCGATACACTTGCATCCCGGCTCCTGAAATTATCGACGGGCCCAAATGAATATCTCAAGACTGGAATCTCGGAGCTCATGTTTGTTCTTGCTGACAGGGATGCCGAGAATCTCACACGGAGGATCGGCTATGGCTTTGCAGCAGGATTTTTGGCATCTCGAGGAATGGAGGTCCCTAAAAGCGCCAGCGAAGCTTATGCAGATGGTGCCACCGAACTTGATGCCGTCAATCCGATTACCGGTCAGCGATGGACTGCCGAGCCGAAGGACTCGGGTCCACCCATGACTAAGGCGGAGAAGGAGAGAGAGGCAGAAAGGTTGTTTGTCCTATTTGAAAGAGCAAAGGCAAATGGTCTTTTGAATGTGGAGAACCCTGTCACTCAGGCCCTTCACGAAGGACGGTTCGAAGAATTGTCTGATGATACTGATAGCGATTAAAATGCACCGAAATACTCTCCACTTTGTACAATTATCTGTTGGTCTTGATACCCATTTGTGAAAACCCGAACTTCTATAGAGATTACTGCTTTTGGCCTGGCCGACGAGCTTGCAGGTTAGACAAATACTTTTTTTCAGATAAATTTCTCCCCCATCTCACAATGGCTAGTACTTAGATCTAAATGTTAAGGGCGGGAGACATGACGTTATGCTGGGCGGCAGTATTTCTCTCCGCCCGCCGAAAAATTGTTCGCGGGGCAGCGCACTCACTTTCCTCCCCCACTTGCCTTTACATCCATTACACGGCCTTGTATTTCAATCTCAGTGAAGCGATCCATTTCAAATTATACCGACAAAATGTCCAAGCCTTTTGATCCCGAGGAGGCTGAGAATCTGGAGGATGTACGTTCCGTTCCCAGTGCATGCACGAATCAGTCTTACGAAGCTAGTCGCTGACCAATTCACTAGATGGAGAAGCAGTTCGCCGTGAAAGGTTCGTTAAGAATCGCAGTTCATCCCTATTGATATACCTACGGTCCTCTGGGACTTTCTTGACCCACAACTAATCCTTACTCTCAACACAGCCGTTGAACACTTGATGACATACTGGTCGATCCTTGAGAAGGTTAAGGGCTCACAGCTGCGCCTGACCAAGATGGACGATGAGATTTACGAGTCCTTCATGAAGGAGTTTCCCGACTTTGACCCCGCCGCGACCATTAACGAGGATGCCATGAAGAGCAAGGCCGGCAAGGAAAAGTGGCGCAACTGGGTCAACCTGTACGAGAAGAAGGTTGAGGACTACAACTTCGGCACAATCGTTCGCACTCGTGCCGATGCCGAGTATGATCAGGACACCACCCTTTTCGGCGTTCGCATGCAATTCTACGCCGTTGAGATCGCTCGTAACCGCGCCGGCCTCAATGACTGGATCTACGAGCGCTCCCAGAAGGCCTGATCGATCTCTTCAAAATTAGAAAGCATTGCCATTTTCAACACAGACGAGACTTAATGATAGGGTGCATGACATAGATTATCTTTACGTGATCACGCTACCTTATCCCCTCTTCTGTGCTTGGCTATGTCAAGTTCAACTCCATACCCGGGCTGTCAGACCGACGGCATGTGCCTGCTCCTCTGTGAACTACCGGAACAAGCACTGGATTCATGATTAGCAACCTTCTGGATATGTCGTTCTTATCAGTCATGTAAATTGTGACCGCAGCAAGAAAAGTGAATTTGGACCCTTTAAAATTGTTCTCACTCGAATGCGGATTGCAGATTGGAGTGGGCTTCGTGTTTAGAAGTCGTTGTGCATATTGGCGATATACCCGGGATTAAATGGCATTCCTTACATTTACAACCTCGATTTCCTTTTTGGGATAGTATTGTTCTTGAGATTCTTTTTTTTTTTTGACATTGTTCTTCCACATCGAGACGCCCCGCCCTTTGTTCCCCTCCGATTTAACCACATGCATCGGTGCTTTTTGATGTGCGACCAATGATTTCGGGGGCTTCTGATTTTAGTATTGTTCCTCACGGCACAATGCATTTCCAAAAAAAGAGCATACAATCAGCCTTTTAGATTCTTGAACTTCAAGAATCGTCTTGGATTATATTTACGTACTGTAATTCTACCGGCTTTTCTATAATTGCATCCCATCAACAACTGCACATGTGCCAGCAATGCCTCACATCGATGCAGCTGAAATGGGAGGTGGGCATGTATATCCGGAGGAGAGCGAGGCTGGTCCTCGTCTCCAAACAAGCTGGAAAGTGCTTTTCAGCTTCACATCCCGGAAACATTTGCCAATTTTGATCATCGGATCAATTTTCGCTCTGTTCGCGGGTTGTGTGACACCTGTGCTGGCAGTTTTATTTGGAGATGTGTTTGATGCCTTCACATCTTTTGCAGCCGGGCAGGCAGACGCAGATACACTTCGCTCCAAGATTGTGACAAACTGTCTTGGCATGTTAGGATTAGGAGCTGCTGGTTGGTTCCTAAACGGTGCATATTACATGATTTTTGTTGCTTTTGGGGAGTTTCAGGCTGCGAATATCCGTCGAAAGGTATTTTCCGAGTTACTCAAACGAGATATTGAGTGGTTTGAGGCACAGAAAGAAGGCTCTGGAGCATTCTTGTCTGGCATTCAAGCGTGAGATATCATTGTGGCTCATGTGGTGCTGACACGATATGCTAATGAGGTTCAATAGCCATATTCATGATATGCAGATGGCAACTTCTCAGCCGCTGGGCCTTTTGTTGCAATATGCATGTCGCTCATTGGCTTCGTTGATTTTGGCCCTGGTGATCTCGTGGAGGCTTTCTCTAGTCACCCTTGCCGGAATTCCCTTGTTTTCTGCGCTCATTGCCTACCTCTCCACTCGCATGAACGCCAGTATCTCGGCCCAGCAAAACGAACTTACTTATGCTTCGAAAGTTGCAAACAATGCCATCGCTTCCATTGACTCGGTCAAATGTCTGAATGCTCAAGCTTTCGAGTGGCAAAGCTTTGCAAGCCGAATTGAGCAGTCAGCGATCTACTATCTCCGACAAGCCCGATTGAACTCTTCCCAAATTGCTCTTATTCGGTGGATGATGTTCGGCATGTTCGTGCAGGGCTTTTGGTACGGCAGTAGCCTTGCACGCGCTGGGGTTCTATCCTCCGGTGATGTAATTACAACATTTTGGGCCTGCACAACCGCCGCTCAATCCATCGAACAAGTTCTTCCGCAAATGATTGTTATGGAAAAAGGCAAGGTGGCATGCTTTATACTGAAGAATTTGATGCGAAGATCCACAGAGCAAGAAGTTCACAGTGAAAGCAAGGGCTGGTTACATCCCCGCCACTGTGATGGCGACATTGAGGTCAATAATGTAAGTGTCTATGGGTGGAAGGCCAATGCATATCGAATTTTTAGACACTGTGGCAGGATTCTAACTCCATCTATAGGTCTCATTCTCGTATCCATCCCAGCCACAGACATGTGTTTTGAACCCCTCGACGTTTTTCTTTCCTGCGGGAGACACAACATTTGTTATAGGCAAGAGTGGATCGGGTAAAAGCACCCTCAGTCAGTTGATTATGCGATTCTACTCCCCAACATCCGGGGACATTCTTATTGATGGTCACAAAATCGATTCACTAAATATCAACTGGCTGAGAAGCAACGTGACTCTGCTGGAGCAAAAGTCAGTTTTATTTAATGATTCCGTCCTACAGAATATCAAGTTTGGACGTCCGGCTTCAGAATCCATCTCGAAAAAAGAGATCGAAAATTCCATTGACCTAGCAATGCTGGGCAATATGATTGAAGGTTTACCGAGAGGAATCGATACGTCTGTTGGTCCTGGTGGAAGTTTTTTAAGTGGGGGTCAACGACAAAGAGTAGCGATTGCTAGAGCCAAATTGCGTGACGCGCCAATACTCATTTTGGATGAACCAACCAGTGCTCTGGATCATACAAACCGAGTGGCTGTCATGAAAGCGATACGCCAGTGGCGTGAAGGCAAGACGACGATTATCATCACTCATGACATGTCACAAATTTTGGAGGATGATTTTGTTTACATCATGGAACATGGAAGCATCGCACACTCCGGCTTCAGACAAGAGCTGGAGACTCGTGCGGGATGTGACAAATATTTCCCTCTATCTATGCGAGTTGACCTCAAGCGAGAAGATGCTGAAATCAAGAATGACAAGATAAGGCGTATTCCATCCAGTGTGTCAACCCTTGGCAGCATGCGAATGCCTAAGCGGGTACGTCAAACCAGGCATTCCTCGTGGGCGAAACATCATCTTCCTCCCGGCCTTCGATCAAGCACATACGGAATAGCGGCTCAAAGGCACTCCTTCCACGCAAGCATGCCGTATGACAGCATCGACAGACCTGCAGAATCGCGTTCGACAACGCATCTTTCTTTCAGCAGCTCAACCCCAGATCTCAATTCAACGACATCGCTTGTGTATGGAGGAGAATTAACGAAGAAAGACATTGAGATGGTTGAAATCAACAGTCCAAATACAGAACTGATCAGCCCATTGCAATATGCGTCCCCTATTCGAACTCAATATCTGGGTGAAAAATATGAGAAACAAGTCCGCCGTCAAAGAGCCAAAAGATCAAACCTGCCGGAGCAAAAGAAAGATAATCCACCTTCGTTGACACGAATCATGGGCACAATTGTGCCAAACCTGAATCCGAAGCAACAAATTATTCTGACTGTGGGAATAATATCGGCATTGGCACATGCGAGTGCAACGCCAGTTTTCTCATACTGCCTTTCTCAGCTGATCGGAACTTTCTACTCTGGCGGAAACAGTGACATTCTAGCCAGGAAGTGGGCTCTCGCCGTTCTGGGTGTATCCTGTGCCGACGGACTCTCATCATTTTTCATGCACTATTCCCTGGAGTTCTGCGCTGAGGCATGGTTGGACACACTTCGCGGCAAAGCGTTCGAACGTATCCTTGCACAGCCAAAATCATGGTTCGAAAAAGATGGTCACGGGCCATCCCGGCTTACATCCTATCTTGACCAGAATGGAGAAGATATGCGGAATCTCCTAGGTCGATTTGTGGGTTTCGTTATAGTTGCAGCTGGAATCATGATTATGGCTGTGATCTGGAGCCTGATTGTGTGTTGGAAGCTGACACTGGTGTCCCTTGCGAGTGGTCCGTTTATTTACGTGATTACTCGAGGATTTGAGGGGACGAATGGCCGATGGGAGAGGCGATGCAATGAAGCAAACAGCGTAGCGATAGACATTTTTACGGAGACCTTCTCGGAGATTCGAACAGTTCGGTCATTGACGCTCGAGAGACACTTCGAAAACAAGCACTCTGATGTGGTGACAGGCTGCCTGAAGATTGGACTGAAACGTTCTCTCTACACCGGTTTGCTATTTGGTATGGTTGAATCGACCGTTATATGTTCATTTGGTGAGCAAATTCTTTCTACCACCGCAGCTGGTATCAATGTTGGAATATATTTAGCTAACCCGTTTCAGCTCTGATCTTCTATTATGGGGCAGAGCTTGCTGCTTCAACTGAGTTCGCTGTGAATGATGTTGTCCAAGTATTCTCTTTGCTGCTTTTCAGTATTGGGTACGCTGCACAGATTCTATCATGGAGTTCGTTTAACATTCCCTTTCGAATGTGATGTTCATTGCTAACTTTGCTTCAAGTTCCGCAAATCAATACATCACGAGAGATAGCAACCCGCCTTATCCAACTATCCAATCTTCCCATGTTTGGATCGCATGAACATCGTGGTTCTCTAACCCTCTCTAACCTAACACCAATCCAGCTGAGCAATGTTTATTTCCGATATCCCTCAAGACCAAATGCAGTGGTCTTGAAGAGTGTCTCGATGACCATCTCCCAGAACTCCTGTACCGCTATAGTCGGTCGATCTGGATCTGGCAAGTCAACCATTGCTTCGCTACTTTTAGCCCTATACGACTCGCCTGAGTCCAGGACCGGGAAATCTACGATCATGCTCGGAGGCGAAGACATATCCCGCCTGCATGTTCCGACCCTCCGTTCGAAGATTGCCATTGTATCACAACAACCAACCATCTTCCCAGGAACGATCCACGCTAACATTAGCTACGCTATTGACACCAAATCTCAAATTGTCTCTATAGATAATGTTCGCACCGCAGCAAAAGCGGCGGGTATTGACGACTTCATCATGTCCCTTCCAAGAGGCTACTGGACCGTGATTGGTGATGGGGGAATAGGTCTTTCCGGAGGCCAGAAACAACGTGTAGTCATTGCCCGCGCTTTGTTGCGCCACCCTCAGATCCTTATTCTGGATGAAGCCACATCCGGTCTTGATCCAGCTGGCGCAGAGATTGTCCGTCAAAGCATTCAACACCTTGTGTCTGTGCGCCCAGATCTAATAGTCATCATCATCACGCATTCCAAAGAAATGATTGAAATCGCCGACCACGTGATTGTGCTTGATCAGGGAGTTGTGGTGGAGGATGGCTCATACGAAGTGCTTGCAAAATCTGTAGGTGGGAAATTGTATGGGTTGCTTAAAGATCCCGAGGATGAGTCCTAGATAGGTCCGGAGTTTGTATCTTCCTTATTCAATTAATGTTTTACCCACGTGCACTTCTTAGTATGCCACTTCTGGAGCTCATTGCAGCATTTTAAGGGGGAAAAAGAGGTTCAATCGTACGACTCACCAAAGGCCATTTGAATCAACGCTAATAAAGCCTTGGATTAATGCACAGGCATCAATATTCCTGATTAGGCTTAGAACATGAGTTACTTGGAAATTCGTACTTGGTTTTTGCCACGCGACTTGCCAATAAATCCACACAGTTTTTTTCACATTCGGGAGACAACGCGCGCTCTCTGATGCCAAGGCCAATCGTAATTGGCCAAAATTATCCTCCCCCGAAGAAAACTGCGTGCACCTAAATACAATACTACTTACTACAAGTATGCAACTTGTGTTACTTGACCCCCATTTACATTTCCGTGGGTATTTCCAACCCCACGGCCGCCCACAAATGTTACCATCGTAGTGTAATCTTTCTTCCAAAGTTGATCATGTCACGGTCAACTGGTTGTACTAGTAGGTATCCTCCATGTGAGTATTTTGAACATGGTATTAGATATGGAACATTGAAAAAATGGGGGGAATTAGAAAAACCCAGACGGGAATTCTACTTCGACCGGGATCTTCTGAGTCCTGACTCGAAGTCCAAAAGCGATCAATATTGCTATGAGTTTATGACTCGTGCCACAATAGCTAAATGCACGAAGCCGACTTTTGCTAAAGACTGAATCCACCTTGACCATTATACCAGGGACCCTGGTTGGCTGGGCGTCACAGAGAGGGTCCAGGCGTACACTCCCCAAACCAGCTCCTGATTGATTGAACCTTATGGATTGGAAACTGGAAATTTGGAATCAAAATAGACAGGATATCTCCGACTCAACAAGTCATATATGGATCACGAATCTGCGGTGTTCAAGCCAGCTCGGCTACGAGAGCCGAAGCAGACTTTAAAATATTCCATGTTGGACTAGAAATCGGTGAGAGATGTTGTTTGAACGCGCTATTAGGAAGGCCAGAGCTAAAATTCCACCACGACCGCTAGCTCGGCAAGCGGGCCTAAATAGCGGGCACGAGTGATCCGCCCTGCCTAGCGCGCACATGCTACTCCGCACTTCTCCGTACACTTGAGGTCTCATTACACGGACTATGGATTCTCCATCATTGCGATTTTCACAAAGTAAATGCAATTTAGATCATTGGGTTGATTTAATTATCCTGACAATTATTTTCATTAATGAGGTTATGGCAGCCCTGGAGTAGAATGGGAAAACTGGGCTGGTACTGGATAGCGGAGCAAACTTTATACAAAGACTCCACTAAGTATTACCTTGGGCATTGGTTCGTGTATACTCAATTGTAGGCTATAGAAATTTAAATTTTGATCGGCAGATAAAGAATCCCAAAATCAATACATCTAGAAAATTCGAGGCAGGGAATTGGAATGTCATAGTGCGCTTGGTACACAAATCTTGGGCTTCTGTTGACTATCGCCTGTCAAACCTTGGTTGCGCCGTAGTCGCTAGTTTCCTCTTATTTTCTATATTATTGTTGACATGGCTTCGACTTGTGTTGATTCTGCCCCTGAGTAGACTCAAATTTTGCAGATAGGCCTGTCTAGAAGCATAGTCAATCCGGACACCGGCATCAAAGCTCAAAAACGAGGGTCCTTTGCTTGGTATATAATCGACACTGGATCTCTAGTATTTCCTTCTACAATCACACTACACTTCATATTCCACTTCCCACTTTCTCAAACCCTCTCTTACAACTTCAGTAAGTCAGCTTTCTATTCCAGCTCATCGCTTGAAACAGTACCCAAGGTACATCATGTATGTGCAGAGAACTTGACTAACAGCAATCTTACCAATATGTAGCTCATCAAAATGCGTTTCTCCACCATTTCCACAGGCCTCCTTATGGCCGGCGCTGCCATTGCCACTCCTACCCAGAAGCGCACCGACATTGATCTTGACCTCGCTCTCGGCCTCGACCTCGACCTCACAACCGTCCCCGTCGTGAACGTCGTGACCGCCATCGCCGATAAGATCGAAGTCGATGCCGATATCAAGATCAACGCTGCTGCCGTCAAGGCCCTCGTTGACGTCAACCTTAACCTGGGCGGACTCCTGAGCTGTGTCGTTAACGAGCTGCCCGCCGATGTGACCGCACGCCTCTTCATCGGCGGTACTTCCTCCACTGGCTCTGGTCCTTCCACTATCCGGGTCACCCGCACCACTTACGCTACCCCCACTGCCGGATGCGCCGCTGTCCAGAAGCGCGACGTTGCCGTTGCCGCCGGTGTTGAGGTTGGCGTTGATGTTGACGTTGAGGTCGACGTTGAGCTCCTCGTCAAGCTGCCCATCATCAACCTCATCACTGTGCTTGTTCAGCGGGTGTCTGTCGACGTTGATGTCAGCGTTCTCTACGCCAGCCTCAAGGTCCTGGCTGAGGTTGACCTCCAGGCTATCTTGACCTGCCTTGTTGCCAAGCTGGACATTGGTGTCGCTGTTAGCGCATCTGCTTAAGCGCCATATATACTGCTTCTATTACTTCCTTATTTTGAGGGGGCGCCTTATTGGGTGGATTTCGGACAAAATCAAGCCGTGGGCTTAATGGGATGGCTATGAGTGCGTTTTGGGGGAGCTGTGGTCATCGATCAATTCAACGGAACGGTGTTCAAAGAATGGCTTGAGTGGTGGCCTGGGCATCGTTTTGCTTGAATCCCTGGAGTGGATTGGTTTTGTATACACTATTTGATATATCCTTTTAATCTTAGTAATTAATACAACGAAGAACGTCAACGATACAGAATCTGAATTTCGAACATTAAATCGTAAGTTGTAACCCATTGGAATATTTGCATTCGGAAGTTGTTAGGTACTAGATTAGCCTATTGATCTGCAAAAAAAAAAAAGCCGACACGAAGGCAGTAAATGAGGACATCGTATATACAAATCTCATCAAATGTTGGTTCAATCAGCCACTGCGCACACCGAAGCTGTACCTTGAAATCTCAGAAATATCAAGGTGCTGTCTTGCTACGAGAAAACTTGCGCACAAATTTCTTCAAACTGCTAAATTTACCTTGTTTCTGAATACCCTGGTTAGCAGCACCCTGTGAAGTTGATGTGGCTGTAACAGCCTCCTTCTTCACACTTTTCTCAGTTGAACTACTAGTCAAGGGGCCGCCAACAGTGACAGTCAAAAGCTTGGGACTGCCATCTGATACACTCCCAGATTGATCCACGCCACCGGACGGACCCACATCATCATAGGGGAATGAATATCCTCTACCATCGAGAGCAGTCGCATGGCAGATCCGCGCGTAGTGATTGGTGATAGCGTTCGTATAATAATCGGCGACGACTTCGCCATCTGGCTGATCCGTATCAATCAGCAAGGTGGACCGATTGAACGCGGCAGCCAGCCGGGCAGTGATGGCGTCCTTGGTACTATCTCCAGACACAGCAAAGGCGCCAGAGCTGTTACTGAAGATAGCCGCGGAGGTGGGCTGGGCATAAGTGATGCTGTCCGATGAAAAGTTCAACGTGTTGTTGGAAACGGTTGCCGTAAGGCTTCCGGCAGCTGCCTGGGTGTCGACTGTCAGAGTCGCATTGGTGTACTTGGACCACACCTGAGCTACATATGAATCAAAGTAGGTACTGAATAAGCTGCTGTTCAGTGTTATGCCGGTGTTGGGGGATACGGCGCGCAGGTTTGCTCCGTTGGTGGTCACGATCAGGTCATTCCAGCCTGCGCCATCGGTGTTGTTCTGGGCTGTCAGTGCAGCGCATACGGTATCCAGAGCACCTGATGGTAGGCCCTTGACAGTCTGAGTCACGCCTGATGTATTCTCCAATGCCAGGGCAATGGGCAGACAGAAGAAATCTACCATACTAATGTTGACGAAGAGCTCTGAGGTGTTCCAGGTAAACTCGCAGAAGTCCCAGTAGGTGTTGTAGTTTGGGTCCGAGGGGTTGGAAGACGAAGGCTCCACAAGCGCTGGACCCGGATTCAAGTAGAAGGCGAGTGTAGCATCGCGTGAGAACCACAGTCGGGCTCCAGCTAAATGTGGGATTGTCACTGTCTTAGTACTACCGGATGCACCAAGTGGGATCGCGCAGTTCACAGCTAGAGCCGTAATAGTAGATGCCGGCGATGTCGGATAGTAGGCTGTCACACCGTCGGATTGCAAAAGGAACAGCGCATTGTTGTTGTCAATAGCCAAGCCGGTAATGTAGGCATAGACCGTACTCGAACCGGTATTATTGACCAAAGCGAAATTCAGGGTCGACATCTCAAATTCTGGTGAGATAGTCCACACTCCTGCGAAGCCTCAAATATTGAAGGGTATAAGAGCCAGGGACGGTAGAGGGCCCACAAAGCTGCAGATGATTGCAGAAAGGTGCATATCAAGTCTTAGTGCAGCAGGAGACGCGTTTTATCTGTAAATTGACCAAAACATCTACCCTGGATAACTCAGCTCAAGGAACAGCATTTCCCAGAACGGGGTTTAGTAGGGCAGGCTGACAGGACCTGGTGATGCAGCGTTGCGACAAGTTGGTGAATTCTGTAGAGGGGTAAACAGGATAAATCAAAAAGCTTATTGGAGCATTCCAGTGCCCAATTAACATGTGTAGTACACGTGTCGATCTTTGCTGGGAAGAGGAAGAGGCGCCGGGACTTTAAGCGGGCGTTCCCTCTTTAATGACACCCGCCGCCACGATCATGCCGTCCACGTCGGCAGATGATCTTACGCGTGGCACTTCTCCACGGGGGAATGGAAAGCCTGGAATCCGCAAAGTCCGGGGTTTAGACCCTTGATGGAGAACTCCTTTGAGGAGTGTCATCTAATATTGATGAAGAAGAAAACTCTATGTTCATTTGGCTTTTGCTTTTTCGTTTTCAAGTTCTTCACGGACAAGTCTCGGGGACAATGACGCCTTTACGCGCCAAGGCTCAATACACCCCAATGCAACCTTGGACGATGAGAAATCCTGCTTGTCAGGCATTATTCGCAGACAATTTCTATATCTGCTGTGGTCACTAGGCATACTGCCGCACTGATGCTTTGGATTCAAGGTTCTTGCGTAGTTCGTTGCGGGCATCTTGAAGAGCACTCGACTCGGGAACATCCACTTTAGGAATTCCTCATGCTTGGTATTTGACAGCAAAGTTCTTTTAATGGTCACTCATTGGAGCATGGGGCATCATATACTTCGTGCCTGGGTGATCAGCCGCCACTATCCATGGATACACCCGACAGTAAAGTTTTCTCTTCATATAGCACGTCTACAGGTATTTCTCAACATGCGATTCCAAGCAAAGCACTTGAAGGCTCTGTACTAATGTGTTCATGATACAACTGTACATTTGAAGGCTGAGATCAGTGGAGGCAGGTTCGTCTTGGTAAACATGCACTGTCGATCTATTCCTTATGTTTTACCATGTGGATGTACCCATGAGGGAGAAGATCCACAACAACATTAGAACATTGGAAGAACAATCCGACATGTGATATGTATACGGCAGAAAAGGTCACAAAGATACAAATTCGTAGGTATTGATTAGTCTCCAGTCCTGAAAGTCATGGGCACGAGGGTTTCAAGTCGAGTCAAGAGCCAGCCCTGGAGGACTCTCGCACATACTAGTATGGAGTATGACCATAGGGCCGGGTCTTTTCCTCTGTTTGCCGTGCAACGAGTCTTTTTTAGTAGTAGATTTTGTATTCAAATGTTTCTTTTGACCAGTTCCTCTTTCCAAACTTGGAAATCATGTTTGTTAGCCTCAAGTGCTGTTTGAAGTTTCCTTGTCCAGAAGCCGAGAAATTTCCCGTCGGTAACTTTCTCTAACTCCAGGGTTTGAATGCCAGAGGTGCGTGCGAGATAGAGCATTTGGCAAGAATGTGAAGGTTCCAAGCAGTATATCAAGTTCAACTGGAGGCTCTTTTCTGAATAGTAATTTGTGGATACCTCGGCATCAAATCACCTGCAGTATTTCTTTCAATGTTACTGATCGGCAATCAACCTTGGAGCCTGTTCCAAGATTCATGTTGAAAAAAATGAAAAATTGGATCCTTCTGAACATCGAAACTACCTAATTAGTACTAGGCATTTATGTGTCAACCAAACGTTGTAAATCTGGTTCGCAGCTTAAGATTTTTTTCTCACCTTACGCAAGCCCCCACTGTGGACCACACCACATGTATCCAAGGACATATACATACTCAGGAGTCACGTGCATGGTTATTTCCAAGAGTCATTTGCTTCCAATTTTCTTAATGTTCTTTGGTTGACGTGACCATGCATAATTTGGGCTTCAACCTTGCAAGGTTGCCACGGCAAGGCTCTGTTGGTGTCTATCCTGGTAGCGATCGTCGGGCTGTGTTTCTTTGTATTTTTCTCAACCCACAATCCAGTTTGGGTGAGATTTCCAACACTTAATACCGAGAGAGCAATAATTAGGGCGCTAGTGTCAGTGTAATTAATTATCATTGAACACGATAAACACTGGATTGCGGGAGATATAGTGAAAAATCCGACTTTGGAGCTTCTGGAAAAGCAAGGGCGGTGGTGTCACGTTGTGGGTCGTGACCCTTACTTGACTTACTGCCAAAACAACTCGTGCAGTTAAACCAACGCCAATCAAGAGCTTTTCAAAAGCAAGACACGGTCTCGAAAGGCACAAAGTATCGAGCTCCACTACCCAAATGTCGTGGATCTCCCGTGATATAAGAGGACCCTTCTCTTTGGAAGGGTGAGACTTGAAGAGGAACGTGCACCAGCCAGCACTGGCACTTGCAAAGTCAAGTTGACGCGCAACTGCATCGTCACCGACCTTTCAGGCGCCCAGTGAATCATGATCGATGATCGTATCCATAAATCCTCGGCTCCACTGGTCTACGTTATCGTCTCACTTGCCAACTCCACTTTCGCGCCTGGTTAATAATAGCCACTGGCGTGCCTGAGCAGTTACTCCACTTGCGCCTAGAATTAATTAACTGTTGTGGCTGACAGTCGCTTTGTGTTCCCTCAGCCCTCCGCTTTTCCAATTCTCTTTTCTCCCCCAAACGCTTCATGAAATCTGGGGGGAAAATCGCATGTCTTTCGATCATCTCTAGGGCCTGCTGCCCATTATGTATATTCCTCAAAAACGGTCCATCGACCATAAAAACAGCATCTTTATTGTTGTACGTTTATCCAGCCACCTTTCCGCCCTCATCCGTTGCCTTGTCATCGTTCGCCACTGGCTTGGCTGGTGATTTTCTAACCTCTCATATAGGTTTTCGTGGTGATTGTTTTCGTACTTGCAGTATGCGCCGTCAGCTTTTTCCTAGCCCGATACCTTCGACAACGGCACTATGAGCCGAAGTATATACCCGGAACCTATTTCAAACGGAAATGGAAACAATGGCAGCCCGGCAGTGCTTCGTATGGCCAAGTTCCTAATCAGGGAGCTGCCAATGGAAACCAGGACACTTCATATCAAGGAGCAGGCGCAACCAATCCAGAAATGACGACCGCGGGTGTCCAGCGTGAGACGTCGATTCGATCCATCATTACCTTACCCGCCTACTCGCCGAGTCCGAAGCCGACCGAGCAAATAATCGGGCGCGAAGGAGAGCGTGAAGGAATGGACATGGTGGTAGAATTTCCTGAAACATCAGAAGAGCAAGAGGCTCGTCGCGAGGATCAAATGGAGTCATTATACCAGGTCCGCCTTCAGCGTCGCCAAGAGCTCGCCGATCGAGAGGCCCGGCGCCGTGAGCGTCGCTCAGCACGATCTCGCGGCGATATAGTTCGTCTAGAAGAATTGGCCGCCGAATCACGCGCCCGCACAAGCCGCCGCCATCAAGCAAGTTCCAGCAACACATCGCTCAGTGCATCCACCGTTATCGCCGAACAGCAATCCCGGGAGCGGGAACGCCGTATCTCCAGCGTCAGCTACGCTTCAATCGGTCGCGTCCGCCATGACGGATCCCGCCTACGAGCCGATTCCCACGAATCCGATCATCAGCCTCTCCTAGAAAATGCCGTTGTGAACGCATCGTCGCCTTCTTTGAACGACCAGCCGCTTACCAGCCTCCGCTCCCGCGGTGAGTCGCTAGCTTCGTCTATTCTGACTACAGATACGGGCGGGACCGACAGTGATCCACTCATCCTGCGCCCAAGCTCTACGCGCGGGTCTAGTCGCCCCGCTTCACAGCTGGAAGAGGGGGAGGATCTTGGAACCCTGAGCATCCAGCCACCCCCTGAATACGAACATCTCGACTGGGGCGACGCACCCGCATATGAGAGCCCAACCCGTGAAGGTGCCGAGGAGCCGCGCCAGTTAGCATCGATATTGACAACACCCTTGCCATCTATTCAAGTCGATATCGCCAGTCCCGTCGCGATTCGTCCATCCACACCGACCGAGCCCCGTCATCCAGAAGATGACCCTGATACTACACCCAGGGGCCCTACCCGCACCTCTGTGGTTTCAGAAATTGATTCCGAATCCACACCGGGGCATGCCCCTGTCTCATGATAAGACATTTTCGGTATACAAAGATTGGAGATCTCCGTATATGGACTTAATGACCACGATTCACGACCTGTACTAGCATTTAACTACCCCCTGTGGCGACTATTTCCGTTTCATCTTCGGTCCGGCAAGGCGTTTGTGGTTATTTTGCCGAAGGTTTTTTTATTCTTATTTTTTATTTTTTACTTTCTATTTTTGTGATTTTCTTTTTCTATTTCAGTCCAATATATCACGAAGGCCTGAATCTGTCGGGACAACAACCTTGGAAGCATTCACATTGGGTGTTGATATTAAGTCAACATATCACATTGTGCTTTCTCAGCGGTTTTAAGATAGTCAATAACATCTAAAGTTGTCCAAATTCTTCACTTCATTTGATGTATAGACTGGTACATACTCAAGTGCTGGGTAATTGTATGCTCATTTCCTGCCAGACCGGTTTAAAGCTAGTATTCAAAGTCCACATGTGTAGTAGCCAGGAGTTACAGTGAACTTGACACCGGGGATTGAACATGTTCTCCCCAAGCAATATCAACTTCACGAGCAAAATCGTATCCAAAGAGAAACTCTTGAATGCTGGGATCTGCGAACAGGAAAGGGAATCCCTGAGCAGGCCTCTCATTCAACAAAACTCTATCACGCTCCTTTTGTAGAGGGCCATCCTCCAAATGGAATACAACTCGAAAGTCGGCACTTTTCTGCACAACTTGGGCTGTTCTGTCTTTACGTAGCTGCTCATATAGCCTTAGAATATCGCGCATGTGAAAACGTGCTTCAGAGGGTGCAACTTTTGAGAATAGCGCACCCAGAACAGCACCATCCTCAATTGCTTGAGCAGCTCCTTGGGCCCTGTGCATAATAAGCACTCTAGCATTCAATGACAGCAACTCAGTAGGCAAGATAAAGAACCACTCACAGATATGGAAGGGTGGCATGACAAGCATCACCCAGCAAAACAAACTTATGAGATGGATGACTCCACTGCTCCATTTTGACACTATCCTGCAAGCGCCATTTGGTGGTACTTCCGACTTGGTGCAGTAGCTCCGTCAATTGGGGGTCCCAGTTATCGAATTTGCGCTGCATTTCCTCAACACTTGCGGACTCGACATTGACACCGTCGGGTAAATCATCCGGGATGATAAGCACAATGTTGCACAATTGATCCTTCTCGATGAAGTAGCACATGGCGTGCATGTTTGGTCCCATCCAGTAGTTCGTGCACGGCTTCTTGATAAGGTCCTGTAGTATTGCGCTCTTCATATCAGATACCTTTACTACAGACCGGTACGCGAGGTCGCCGGTAAGTCTAGGTGGATCTGGACGAGCGAGTAATGCTTCACGGCATGCAGACCTGAGCCCGTCGGCTCCAATGATCAGATCTGGGGTGATATCGTAGTCTGGATTTCCCTTCACGGTGATGGCGGGCTTCTCGAACTGGATTCTTGTGACTGTTGATTGCAATCGAATAATTACTCCGAGTCGGATTGCTTCGGTGAGCAGGATATGATGGTATCCTGCGCGGTGGACTTGGAAGTATGGGTATCCATATTTATCTTCGATGAATGGCTGGATGTTTTGGGTTGATAATATTGTTCCATCGCTTGTTCGAAGATGGAAATTGTGGGGCAGGGTAGCGATTAAACGGACTTTTTCAAGTAGCCCCCATTGATCTAGGACGCGTGAGGATGATGGTGGGATTTGAATTCCGGCACCAACCTACATGCGATTGATCAATTTACATAACATATTGCAAGAAATGCGAAAAGCTCTATTATGACTTACTTCACCTAGCTGTTCGGCTTGTTCAAGGATTGTGACTTGGTGGCCGGCTTTGGCAATTCCAATAGCTGCTGCTAGCCCACCCAGGCCGGCACCGACAATGACAATATCGAGTCCTTGATGAGCCATTTCGATTGCAGTCACTCAATGTCTTGTTTTTTTTTCACCCTTTCTAGCTTTGAAACTTTTGATTGTGGCTTCATATACAATGCAATAAATGCACTGTATCGGGCTGTCCGACATACCCCGCTCCCCAGCATTGATTCCGCACAATTGGCTACCAACTGCCTCGATCTAATCATTACCTTTCGGGAGCTCCGTGACCCAATAGAGCTGGCGATAAGGCTATTGTGACAAGCATGATATTTGTTGGTAGGTGAAAGTCATCTGATCCAATACTGGCATATTGTGACGCATCTCCCATCTCTGTGCTGTCGCGCACCTGCCCGCCACCTAAGGCTGTCCAACCCCCAGAGCTCCATGACTTCTCAGTTCTAAGTGTTCCCAGTTGAATGATAGTATTTTGAATTTGAAGTTGTCACTGGGTGGTGTCATTTTGGCTTGCAGGGGAGAAAGTTGAAAGCATTTGCTTGCACTTGGAACTTTCCATGGCAGCGTCACAGGGCTCCTAACCGCAAATCGGTAGGATACATGGCCCTTTTTTAAAATCAACCACGAGATAGATGATTCGAAAACAAAAGAAATAGAAATGCCCCCCAAAAGTCCCCAAAAGTCCCCAAGTCAAGTTTGTGATGGTTGCCTAATAAAGTTTAGCTCGTGGTGCTCTGTGGTTACCTAATGAGGGATAGCGGACTGTCAGGTGGATACCCCATGAGGCTTAGCGTCTCCGCTCTTGCCATAGATCTGATTCCGAACTGTTCTTATAAATGGATCACCCCGCTGCCATTTTACTCCGGTAATTCATCTTTTCCTCTGAGGCACAGTCATAGTCCGTTGTTATGGCAGAATATGCAGAAGACGATGCGATTCCCAGGGGGTGGCGTACTCGTCAACCGGGCTTTACCATCTGGGCCCTTCTATCCGTTGTCCGCGTCTCGTTTGTCGGTTTTTGCTATAGCATCTACTACATCCCACCCTCATTACGTCAGAGTCCAAGATGGTCATATCGCCAAGCATTTCGATCACGACTGTTGAAAGTCGCCTTTGGCGTCATCACCGAGCTCGGCTTCACACAATCTTTAAGCATGGAGGCTGGCAATCTCGGTGATCGGTGGGTTATCATGGACCCAGCCCCGGAGGAATCATACCCTCGTGCTTTCACGAGTCAGACAGTCAAACCAGAAAGCATCGGTGCTACCTGGTACCCCGACGCGCCATCCAAGAAACCCGATCCGGACAACCAAGGCTTGGTCGTGCTGTCATTCCACTCCGGCTCTTTTCTGTGGCTAGACGGACGACCGGATGACTCTGGCGAGACTGCAAATACGTTGAACAGCAAGTTAGGGGCTGGAACAAGGTCTCTTTGGGTGCAATATCGTCTGGCGGGGGGCAAAAACCCCACCCCTTACCCGGGACCTATGCAAGACGCTGTGACGGCATATCTCTACCTCGTGAAAGATCTGGGCATCTCACCTACCCGCATTATACTGGCGGGTGATTCTTCAGGCGCAACTATTGCAGTGGCCCTCTTGCGCTATCTCGTCTCCGATGACAATCTTGATCCCGAGCTCGCGGAACTACCACAGCCCAGAGCATGTCTTTTGTTCTCACCTTCTGTCGATTATAGCTTTGAGGGCGACTCACATGCCTTCCACACACATCGTAATCAAAAGACCGACTACTGTGACGGACATATGGCTGCCTGGGGCGCCCGGGCATTTGCGCCACCGAAGACTGTCCGACTAACAGACCCGTATCTCTCACCCGCACTCCATCCATTTGCGACGCCAGTCCCTATATTCGCTCAAACCGGAGGTGCTGAGGTTCTCTGTGACAGTGTCAGAGATTTCACAGATGCGATGGGTGCTATTCCAAGCAATCGGGTTGAGTTTTTAGAGACACCATATGTGCCGCATGATGTTTACGTTACGGGGAACATACTCGGGTGGCCAAAAGAACAGGAGGAGATGATTGATGCCGCCGTCAAATTTGCTTTGTCATTACCAGGAGATATTCTGGAGACGTAACATGATATGTATTTTAGCTTATATTTTCAATTTTGATCCCCGCGGGGATTTTCGAGCCCTGGTGGTTCATGAATTTTCACATGTGTTCTGTTTACAATTTCCAAGGTTCTGTTATGTCAAGTTTAGTAGTGCCCATGTGCGATTGAACGTATCCAGAGTGGCAATTGACTTTCAACATTTGAAAGGTAAGTATACTTCGTAAACATTGAAGGTTTCCAAGTTTATACCTACGTACCTACTAAGTCATTCAATTGGTATCATTATCTTTGGATCACATCATAGCACATCCTCCTGGAACCCCCAGCTTGGAAGTATCTACTTCAAACCCGACTTCTGGGAGTTGGCCATGCCGACGGTGATTTTCCAGCAGCGTCTTAAGCCACTTAGTGCAGTTTCTCCATTCTAGAGCCTTGAAGTCCGATTGATAATCCGTCAAAATATTTTCAATGCACGATACCTGTTGTGGATCTTTTGCCGCAGCAAGAGCCACGATCAGACATAACGGGACATATGCGGCGCCAAGGGGGCGGTCACGGGAGGCGACATCAGCTCCCTCGATAACTGTTTGAATGAAGAAATCTGACTCTTGAATGAGCATGGCGTCGGGAAGATTAAATGAGTGGAGAACGGTGTTTAGCAAGAGAGCCAGCGAAGAAACCACGATACATGCTGCCTGATAACGGGATTGATGAACACTCGGTAGTGTTGACAGTAAGCCGCATTTCTGATAAGAATGCATTTTGTGTGCGTCGCTTTTGAGTTGCAGATAAGTCGAGGTAATTTCTGGGATATATGGAGAGGGGTTGTGGATATACTTGGGGAATATCGCTAGTGAGAATAAGCCAATGCTTGGTCTCGGGATACTGCTGTGCTCCGGGGGTGGAGGACTTTGGTGGAGAAGAGCTGTGATTTGATCCCAGAATATTTTGTTCATTCGGATGCGAGGATCCCGCATGCCCTCCAGAATCTATGTAGAGACGTGGTCGATTAGAGCTGCTCGTCAGAGGAACCAGGGCTCAAGAATAAAAACATACCACAGGCACGCATAGAGTGACGAGCAGATTCCGTGCAAAGCCACTTTTATATTCATTCATATCAATAATCCGAAGTATATGCGCGATGGCCTCAGCATGGCTAGACCTCTGCTTTTGGGACGTTCCAATCCAGCTCTGGTAATCCAAGTTAGCTTACAAAGGCATGGAATATGGAAGGTGATTAGATTCCATACCTGACATATAGAAATTAGGTATATTGCACAAAGCGTATTGGGAGATCGAGCATTGACTGGATTATTCAAACACTCGCGGAGTTCTTTCACAGCTTTTCCAAATTTCACCAACACCGCAGGCGGGACATCCCGTTTCTGGAAATATGGATACGAAGACACCAATGCTGTTGCAGCAGCATCTAAGACAGGACTAGATCCAAATCTTCGAGGTAAATCTCGGAGAAATGGTCCATAATACGTTATATCATAGCGCACATCACGGATCTCCAGCGTGCTGATAAACCGTATGGTGAGTGTATCATTGGGCACTTGCGCAATCTGGAGCTTTGATCCCTGAGCACTCCTCGACAGCTCCACAGATTGGAACTTGTACCGCCGCAAGCCACTTCCGATACACGGCAATCGAAGCCTGGCACATCGGGTGCAGGGTTGTAGTTCATCGCACTAATTCCATATGTCAGCTGGACTGTCCAATGAGCAGGTCTTGGGGAAGCGAGCGAACCTTCTTCTTTGCTTTCCGACAGGCTTCACAGCCTTTACTGGTGGGTACGCCTGGCATTTCGTACCTGGGTCCGCAGCGTTATGCTAGAAAGAGTAAGGCGTGGTTCACAAGCAATGATGGTGGCTTATTTTGGCGAGAGTGGGATGTGACGCTTTGGCACCGAGGATTGAACGGATAAATGAAGTGGTGGAGTCACTGGAGTGTAGATAAAATGAATGGGGCGCTTTGGCCCCCAGGTCCCACACCAGGCCAATCAGAGAGGGTATTAGGCCCTGAATTGGACCCCAGTACTTAATTAATCTTCTTTGGTTCTGGCGCTCCGTTTTTCCATTTTGGAGTAATTCGTATTCGTACTGCCTATGCAGTTTGTGCTCCGCCACGTTACTCGGGCACGGTCAAAATATTTTATTACTCATAATTACCCACCGAGTTTTTTTTGTAAAAGCATGTAAGCCCCAAGGAAAGATCGTCGAATCTTCGCATACAATTAGTCCTTCTCATGGCTACAGCCTACGACGAACATCTTCCAGCGTCGTCACAAAAAGAGAAATACTAGCATTCCGTCGGGCCCTTCCCACGCATTGTAGGTACTTAACCCCAGATATCCTCTGGATGATCTCCAATGCTGACCTTTACAGACTTTCGATGTGAGATTCTTGAGAGCAAATTGCATCTCAATAAATCCACAATGAACTGGCTAAAAAGCTTGTTTACCGGCAAAAGTCGACAGGAAATCGCAGAAGAATCCAAACAAAGGCGTATCAGAAAACTTCACGGCAAGAGGATCCGAGCACGAGAACGAGAATTAAGGCTGGCGTTAGATGGTGGGGGAGCAAAAGGAGCACGCTTCTTTTTTGGACCCTTGGGTGAATCATATGGCTATAGAAGGCGCGGAAGACCTCGCAACGAACGCAAAGCGAAAAGGTCTTCTCTGTGGTGAAGTCAAGTAAATAAATTAAATATTTCAAGAGAATACAATCGATCAATTTTCGAAGATCGGTTTGGTCACATAAAAGACGTGCTCATTTGTATTCTGACTTCTTTTGCGTTTTCAAAGTATATACAACTTTCCGAAGCCGGTTTGTTTCTCCATTTTTCGGTTTTGGAGGAAGTATATCAGCTCCTGGACTCCTGTTAACATGAGTCCTACTAGCACTAGCGCAATCATAATAATGAGACCCCTTGGATACAGATCCGATGATTCATCTTGCCGGAATATTTGAGTGCCGGCCATGAGGCCACTGGTAGCTGTCATAACGACTAGTTGAGAGTTAGCTTCATGTCACATTATAACCGCCAATATTATTCCGAACGTACACATACTATAGGAACTTGGTTAGTCAACCACACAATAATAATGAATTGTGGAGCTTCCAATATTTTACTTACGCAACTCCAATACTTCGCTCCTCTGAGGTCTGACTATTCATTTGAATCCAAGCGTTGTGAATGGGATGATACCCCACCGCCAAACCATTGACGGTTGTCCAAAGTCCAAATTTGCTCCAGCGGCCAACATGCGACTGTGTTATCCTGAGAACAATCAGTGCAATCAGATACACTGATATGGCGATCATCACAGTAAGACCACGCTTCTTTGTTTTATCGCTTAGCCAAGCGAAAAATAAAACCACTGGTAGAGTCATGAAGTATCCAATAGCAGCTAAGGCGTTGGCCTGGACCCGTGTGAAACCCAAAGACATAATGATACTCGGTGTATAAGTGGTAAGTGGACACCATGTAGCAAAGACACAAGCGGTTGCAAGAAAGTGAGGCCATTTGTAGACATTGGTCAGTGTTTGCCAGACAACCGTCAAAGGTATCCGTCGAGCTACCGGATCGTGCGTGTCATGAGTTTCTTCTGAATTCAGTTTCTTTACCTCCAATACTGATTGATACTTAGTCTTCTCCGGGAGAAGAAACATCAGCATCAAAGAGATGGTCACCGACCAAATCCCCTCCACTGGAAACCTATCAGCAAACTTGTAATTCATTGTCAAAGAAGGATCAAATCTCACCCAAGAAAATCCACTGCCACCCTGAGATTCCACCCTTGCCATCTAATCTCAAAAGTCCTGCCCCCAATAATGGCGAGATGGCAGTGCCACCAAACATCCCAAAGAAAAAGATCGCAATGCGCTTGGTAATCTCCTCTCTTGTGTACCATGTGGACAAGGTGTACATAGCACCGGGAATGTATCCCGCTTCTGCGAGTCCCAAAATGGCTCTTGTGAGAAGAAAGCCAGTCCTGTTGCGGATGAAAATCTGTAAAGCAGCAATCACGCCAAATATGAAAACCTGTCCGCCAATCCACCAGCGGGGGCCAATCTACGCTTCGGTTAGCACCCATGAGCCATTGCGATAGTGTCGGCAAGCTTGGTTTACCTTTTGTAAAAGAATATTTGATGGAATTTCAAGTACAATCACACCAATGTACATCAATTGATTTCCGAGGTTAATTGTGTTTTGATCCACAGAGATGGCGGATGCTAATCCGCCTGTCAGCGCGCTGGAGATATTGGTTCGATCCAATTGGTAGGTTGCAAATCCGACCAAAAGTAGTGGGAGAACTTGAAAATCGGCGCTGCTCATATTCTTAGCGATCTTCTTCAAATGTTTGTTCCAAGGTTAGATTCTGATGGACCTCGGGATGACTTACATCCTTCGCAATTGTACTGCATTTTTCGTCATACAAACATCTTCTCCCTCCTTCTGTCGAATTTTTATATCTATCCTGTCCCACATCTTTCAAATGTCCAAGTAATATCAGGTAAAGACTTTTGGTGATTTTCATCAGATTGTTGGTTTTATGACTCTCACTACATAGGGACCTTGGGAGCTAACGAGGAGAACCTTTGGAGTGATGAGATAATCTCGCTTTGCTCAAGTGCTGCCTTATTAATGAAGCAGACAAACATTTGAAAAATTCAAGTCTGGAATTAAACACCAACAAGTGCATAGTCCAAGTTGCAAAGAAATAAATCGTCATAGAATTGATGAATGTTGGGGAAGAGCACACATGCAAATTGGACGCGTCTGTATATACTTTCTTACTACACACGATACTATATGTTGAGCCAATTCACCATGATTTGAAAACATGTATACATGTACGATGGCGAAATCGATGTGTGAACATTTGAATCTACAAACCAACTTACGATAGTACTATTCAAAAGAAAAAACCTCCGAATTTTCCGCCAGTTCAACGTCACACAATGTTTATCGATTGTTACAAAATGACTATGTTGGCAAGTGAGCCACACTTACCGCACCAGCCACACCCGGAGAAACCATCACGATTCGCGATCAGCAAAACGCTTTCTCGAATCTCAACTCTTTACACCCGTGGACGCGTGAACATTCATGGATCTCCAGGTCCAGACCTATGCAACGACAGACGAATTCATCAGTTCATCCTCATAGAAATCATATGGCTACAGCTCCGACGCGTAATGACCGTCGGATCATCCTTCACTTAGTAAGCAGACCCATATTCACCATGAATGAATCGTTCCTGACACCACCAGGATTATGACTGCTTCTATGCTTCGGTTTTCGAAGTAGAACAGCCGGCACTAAAGAAGTTACCCCTAGCCGTACAACAGAAGCAAATTATCGTGACATGTAATTACGAAGCCCGGCGGCGAGGGCTACACAAGCTGCAGCTCATCAAAGATGCCAAGCGAACGTGCCCCGATGTGGTGATTGTTCTGGGCGAGGACCTGACCAGATTTCGAGACGCCTCCAAAGAGCTCTACCTTTTCATTCGAGGATTTATCTGGGGCGGACGAGTGGAGAAGCTTGGTTTTGATGAGCTATCTCTAGATGTTACCGAGATGATTGATTATAATGTCAATCTATTGAACCCGAATGATTTGTCGACCTCGTTCTTCCATTTGGACTCTAAAGACCCAACAATCGGATTTGCTTACGATGCGACAAAAATCATGGGCTCGACCTTCCCCGCGACAGCAGAGGATACCTCGATTTCCACACTCGATACATCAAATCTGGAAATGAAGCTTGTGATCGCGTCCCATCTGCTCAAGTACCTCAGAGATCAGATGGAGCACCAGAAAGGCTTCACAGCTACAGGAGGAGTATCTACCTCCAAGCTTCTCGCAAAACTAGTGGGAAGTGTCCACAAACCCAATGAGCAGACTGTTCTGCTCCCACCATACTCACTAGCCCAAGATGGCATTGAGAGCAATGTGACCCAATTTCTGGATAGTTATCAGATCCGCCAAATTCCTGGCATCGGATCACGACTTGCCCAGAAACTGAGAGCCCGCGTTACCGGAGAAAGTACAGGGGAAGAAGATGTCACGGTCCGGGATGTCCGTCTATATCCTGGAATGGGCCCAGCTATGCTCGAGAAAACGTTAGGCGGGCCTGGTGCACCAAGAGGTATTGGAATGCGCATTTGGGGTCTCCTGCACGGCGTGGACAACACCGAAGTACTCGAGGCTCGAGATTTGCCTACTCAAATCAGTATTGAGGACTCCTACGGTCGTGGCCAATTCGGCACCGTGGAGAATGTGCGTCGCGAACTTGTGACTCTTACGGGAAGCTTGATCCGGCGGATGAGGACGGATTTACTAGATAAAAGTGAAGAATCTCCACGGTGGCTGGCCCACCCGCGGACCTTGCGTCTATCTACACGACCTCGCAATGCTCCGGACACTGACGGGGTGCGAACATACAATGCCAACCGCATTTCTCGATCGGCTCCTCTGCCAGGGTTTGTCTTCAATCTGGAAGAGAATATTGATGCACTGGCCGAACGGTTAGTTCAGGAGAATCTTCTGACAATGTTTCGACGATTGAATCCCGAAAAATCCGGGTGGGACCTGAGTTTGATCAACGTAGCTGTGACGAACTTGGTGGAGAGTGCAGGGGATCAAAAGCAAAGTAGCGGGCGCGATATAGGAAAAATGTTCCGGCTGCAGGAAACGGTGCTCAGAGATTGGACTGTACCGTTAGTGGATCCAGGGTCTGGCGCCACTGCATGTGTTCCTGGCCCGGAGATAACGGAGAAGACAAGTGTGGATCATGACGAGATGACATGGAGTGAAGAAGAAGAGAACGAAGACGAGGAAGACAACGACGAGGAAGACAACGACGAGGAAGAGAAGGGACTGTTCAGTATCCAGTGTGACATTTGTTCAGCTGCGATTCCCCATTTTGCCCAGTTGGCCCATAGACTGTACCACGAATCTCTTGATTGAGGCATTTTGCACATATCTGAATATAGAAAAAAGCACGATCCATGGATCTCAAGTCAGCAAAGGTTACAAGACTGGATGTATTGACATTAGGCATACATATTTCGTTCATGTAACACCATCTTGTCTTGCCAAGACACGCCCCAACTGCCCTTTTTACCATTGGATTCTTCCGTGCTTGGCGCCAATAACAACTGGGCTGAGTCGACCATGGACTTTGGATATGTATCGCCTTGTCTTTTCTTCACTTCTTCTTAATTCCTTTTCTTCACTCATTAACCCCTTGGACCTACTCGTCTATGGTTCTGCAATTCCTTTCGTTTCAAATCAACGCCGGTGGAGATTAGTGGACCCTCAGCGACCCTGCGTTTCCCCCCATGATAGCCGAAGACCCTTGAAACTCTATCAGCGAGACCCTGATTCCTCTGTTTTGCTCATCCAGCAATGAGGTTTCTCAGCGTATGGTCAATTCTGGGCGTAGTTTCGCTGATTTCGCCCGCCACAGGTAAGATTTCCTGTCTAAATTTACGATCTCCCACACTGACAATTCCTCTTAGCGCGATCTCAAGCCTCAGAAGCGATCCGCCAGGTCACGCCGATCGATAACGCCGTCATCAACACCCCTGCACACCAAATAGACCACCTTTCACACTTCGATCTCACCCTCGAATTACACCACGACGGAACCCGCATAAAGCTAGAGCTAGAGCCAAATCATGATATTCTTGCCGACGATGCGTTCGTTCAATATATTGATGCCGACGGATCATTGACAGACGGCGAGCCCATCCATCGACATGAGCACAAGGTCTTCCGCGGTCGCGCGCTTGTAGGCTCAGGGAAAGGCCGATGGACGCCTTCGGGCTGGGCTAGGGTCACGGTCCGGAGAGATGGGCTGGACCCATTATTCGAGGGCGCGTTCAGCATTGGACAAGATAAACACCACATCGAGCTCCAGTCGACCTATTCCTCCAAGAAGCGGCCAATCGATGCGAACGTTGAACGGAGAGACCAAGATTACATGATCGTATACCGCGACTCCGACATGATTCGATTGCAGCCGGAGCACCCAGACCTCAGGCGGTCTTTGTCCACATCGTCTGGCTGTGGAGCTGATAAATTGCGCTACAACACTGACTTGGTTAATTCCATGTTTCCCTATGGGACCGGAGAGGACGAGGCTAAATGGGGAGTTACATCGTTAAATTCCTTGTTTGGTCTGAGCAAACGGCAGTCTGACGTGGGTGGAATCTCAGGAAATACGGGCGGCGTCAACCTGGCGTCAACCATTGGAGACACATCTGGCTGCCCGAGCACGAAAAAAGTGGCTTTAATCGGAGTAGCTACAGACTGTAAGATGACTGACTTCTTCTCTGATAACACCACCGTCACTGCTATGGCCGCTGCGAAAGACTATGTGATCAACATTGTGAATACTGCGTCCAGTCTCTACGAAGAGTCGTTCAACGTCTCCATTGGTCTACGCAATTTGACCATCAACAAGGAGGCATGTCCTACATCAGATAATGCTGCCACCCCTTGGAATGTTGATTGTCCAAGCGGCAATATCACCTGGAGACTTAATGAGTTTTCAAAATGGCGAGCAGACAATCAGGATGACAACGCTTACTGGACTCTCATGACTGGCTGTCCCACTGACTCCGAAGTTGGCGTCTCCTGGATGGGTCAATTATGTACCTCCGACTTGACCAGTGATGGATCTAGCTCCGTCAGTGGAGCCAATGTCGTGGTAGGCAACGCAGGCAGCACTTGGCAAATCTTCTCTCACGAAAGTGGCCATACATTTGGAGCCGTCCATGACTGTGACTCCGATACATGCGCTCAAGGCCTAGAGGATTCGTCCCAATGTTGTCCATTGACATCATCAACCTGCAATGCAGACGCAAAATATATCATGAATCCCTACGCATCGTCAAGCATGACGACTTTCTCCGAGTGCACGATCGGCAACATCTGCTCAGCCATTGGGCGCAACAGCATCAAGTCAACCTGTCTGACCGATAATCGCGGCGTCGTAACAATCACTGGCAGCCAATGCGGAAACGGTATTGTCGAAGCAGGCGAGGAATGCGATTGCGGCGGCACAGCAGCCTGCGGCGATAATGCCTGTTGCGACGCCACAACCTGCAAGTTCAAGTCCGGAGCCATCTGCGATGACTCGAACGACAGCTGCTGCTCCAGCTGCCAGTACTCTTCAGCAAGCACAGTCTGTCGAGCCAGCACAGGCGTCTGTGATATCGCCGAAACCTGCACTGGCAACTCCAGTGCGTGTCCAAGCGATAAATACAAGAAAGATGGCTCCTCTTGCGGTTCATCGGGCCAGGGCCTTGCTTGCGCTAGTGGCCAGTGCACAAGTCGCGACTACCAATGCCGCTCGGTGATAGGTACCGTTCTCAGCAGCAATGATTCCTGGGCCTGCACAAACACCAATGCGCCATCTTGCATGATCGTGTGCGGTGCCCCATCAATCGCTGCACAGTACGGCTCCTCAACCTGTATCGAGATGAACCAGAACTATCTCGACGGCACACCCTGTGACTCCGGTGGCTATTGCAGCAACGGTCAATGCAAGGGTTCTTCCGTTGGAGGCTGGGTAAAAGATCACAAGAACATTGTTATTGGCGTCTGCGTTGGCGTTGGCTGCTTGATTCTTCTTGCCTTGCTCTACTGTGTCACCAGTTGGTGTCGTGGAGCCAGTGCCCGACGACGCATGGCCAAGGGCCCTCCGCCGCAATACTATGGTCCGCCACCTGGAATGCCTCCGCCGGGGATGCGTGGCCCTCCCCCTTCAGAACAGTGGGGTGGGTATCCTGGTGGTTACCATCAAAATGTCCCACCACCCCGCGCGCAATATGGATAATTGCATGGCTTCTTGATGTTCAAATTTTCTCGTGGGTTTAATCTCACAGGCTTTACCATTTCTTATTATATTTTTTATTGTTTGCATTCTGGATGGGTTTCACTTCATGATTAGTTTATATGTTAGGGGGTGTTGGTGCTGATTAAGGTCGGTGGGGATTGACTCATTGAGTATACGACTCTGGCTCTTCCATGTCAATTGCTCACTGGAGGTATCGGACTTCCGACCACGGCCATACTTGTCTGATTGGAGTATAGTAATGAAAACTATACATGACATCAGACCCACTATGATCAGCTTCATCTCACTTTGCATGATTATCTCATACATTGTTCAGCTAGCAAGCTAGCGACCCTAATCCCGAGGTCACGATGCACCCCATGTCTCAACACAACCAATTTTCAGCTGCCCATTTCCCCAAATTCTTGCTATGGCAGAAAAGTGAGACAAAGAGCGCTAGCGAGACTGAGAAATTATCATGAATTCGCCAAACAAGCTTTGAAGCATACAGGTGCAGTTACCAGTAGAGGTGATACTTGTCCATGGCTCTGGATACTAGAAAATGCAAACTTGACAATCGATGCCAGAATAACCAAATCGAAAATAAAACTAAACAAACACAAGAGCACAACTTAGACCCAACACCATCAAAACAAATGATAACCAATGCAATCAATATATCACAGCCAGCCGGATCAATCACTGCCAACAGATGCCGACAAAGGCCTCCCGAGTAACACCACCAACACCCTCAAGATCAAACTCCTCAATCATGGCCCTAAGCTCCTCCTCCTCGAGACCCGTCTCTCCCAACTCCCGCGCAACACGTCTCAAGTCCTCCAGATCAATGAAGCCCTTCTGGCCATCATCAAACAGCTCGAACGCGCGTAAGATCTCGTCGCGTGGATCCCGCTCAAGGATCTTCAGCGCTGTTACGGCCTGGAATGAAGAGAGGGGCATGAGGAGATTGGAGGGGTGTTGCGGGTTTCCGCCCTTGGAAACCTGGCTGCCCGGTGCATTGGGGTTATTCTGTCCTTGTTGTTGTTGGACTTGTGGGCGCGGGACGCCGTAGGTTGTAAGGAGGGAGATGAGTTCTTGTTTTGTGAGTGTGAAGCCTAGCGCGCGGAAAGCGACGCGGAGTTCATGGTAGTCTAGGTGGCGATCGCGATCGAGATCGAAGAGGGTAAACTGTGATTTGAAGCGGCGTTAGCTGTGCCCTTGTCCGCATCTTCTTTTTTTCTCTTTCTGTTGTGGTTTTGTTTATCTTGCTTGTTAATGGATGACGCAGGCGAGAAATTCTCCCAGCTGCGATCCTCATACCCGCTTCGAGAAGAAGGATACAGTGGATTGCGGGCGCATTATGTGTATTGAACAGAAGGTAGGATAATACAATGGGCAAGTGTAATAGAGGGCGTGTGTTGATCTTACAGCTTCATTAATCTCTTCACGCTGCTCCTCGGTCAATCGGCTCAACGGATTCGCATCCTGCGCGGGTCCGTGGCTTTGTGCGGCCGGGGCATTCGTAGCCTGTTGGCTTTGCTTGGGGCCTTCGGGGGCTCCAAAATCAGCTGGGGCAGTGGCGCCTAATCCACGATGCCGGGTGAACGACGAGGCACTGAAGGGCATGGCGTTGGCGTTGACGGAGCGGTCCGGGATTTTGGTGCCCGCGTACGAGCGTGACGCGAACGGTTGGCCGGAGGCCATGATGGGTGGTGGGTTGGGCACGATAGGGAATGTCGTGCAATGTTTGAGCTTGGGTTTGTCGGGTTGGGAGATGGGTTGATCGGCGGGTGGAGTAGTGTTTTGGCGGTGGAGAGGATTCTTTTGGACGCGCTGGCACGCGGAATGCGGGAACGTGGAGACGTACTCGGACTCTTTTTTACAGTATTTCTTTACCACAAGTTCCTCGGTTTCGTTCTCTTTTTCGAGAATCTATCCAATACTTTCAAGTAGAAAAGAAGTTTTTGAGCGATCAGGAAATAAAAATAATTGTCCAAACACCCCTCAGAGGTGATAGCTAGAACATACTATAATAAACAAGAGCAAACATGTACAATGGAAAGCAGTAAACAAACAGTAAGCTCGCAAACTCTGGTATCGCGTTGTTGACGTATGCGAGAAGCTTGCACAATGCCATTGTCTGATGATAGTATGTTAACCAGAACAATAATGATAGGTGATTGCAACGAGAGTAATCTTCAATAGAGGCTCCGACAGGCTACCCCCAGCTTCAGCTGATAGCCTTATGCCCTCAGACAATACGAGTGGTTCTTCATGCAGATGTATTTCCCAAACCCAGTACTTCAAAAACGAGCTCAAACTGTCCAGCATGTGAGTACAGTACAGTGGTTACCTGTCCGTCCTTCCCTGTCGGCTAGAATTCTGAATAAAGCCAGGATCACAATAAGTCCCGTCAATAGAGTCTGTGAGCTCCCATGGACAAGGTTGCAAAATCTCGAGAAGTTCGTCTTGGTGCGGGTTTGGTGACGGAACAGGGTCGGAAGAATTTGGTTGCGAGTCTGTTTGGCCTTTACGAACGCACTTGCGATCGTGTGCAAGGCAAGGTGGACAGGGAGTCGAGGGTCCGCATTTTTTCTTACTTCGGTGGCAGGCAAGACATGCGCCACCGTATTCTTTCAGGTGTCGAATGTCTTCCTTTTGCTTATCCAATTCTGTTCGAGAGCGAAATCGCTTTTCCCGATAACCAAGGGGATTTGTTGGGTCTTCAATGACGAAATCATATCCCAGCGTTGGTGACGCGCGTCTATTGATGAAGGATGATGACCGGTCGTGAGAGGTGAGGGGGGTGCTTGGAGGATCTGTAGTCAAGGGAGCTGTCCGTTCTGTCGTCATGTCTGCCGCGTGTTGATAATTGTCATGATGTTCATTGGTGGCATTTGGTTGGATTAAAGACTGGAAAGGCTGCTCATCCAAATTGCTACCTTGGAGTGAATCATCGAGAAGAGTGACCGTCTCATATGCATTTGATTGTTCTCCGGGGTGGGTAAAATCGGACCTTGACCTGCATGAAGTTTGATGTTCAACTTGGTGTTCCATTTTGTGTTCGATTTGGCGTTGAACTTGGTGTTGAATTTGCCAGGCTGCTGAAAGCTGCGTCGATATTACCAGAGAGCGTTGGCCGGGCTATGAGCACCCAGGTCAGTCAAGATTAACAATGACAAGTTTTTCCTGCGGCTCTATGATCGGGGAAGATCATGGAAAAAAAAACCCCGACCTACAGAATGAACAATATTTTGGGGGATCATCCCATCGGGAGCCGGATAATACCCCACGGTTGGAGCATGAGCAGACTCCGGTACTCCACCATGGTGCGCCATGGTACGTGAATGTGGGGGATACTTAAAGAACGGAAATAAAGGTTGTCAAGTGCGCGCAAGCATAAAAAAGAAAATACGAGCGGGTGGGCTTCTGGTAAAGATCTGGAGGTTTGAGATATAAATCACAGGCCACCAATGCAAGCTGACAGCAAGAAGGAAAAACAGATGTAAGGGAGTCATGGAGAAGATCACAGCTGCTCAAAATTCAGAGCCGACCGTTACAGTTCCCATACATGAGGCAGGAGCGAGGGATTATGTAACGGGGTGTGAGTTCGAGAGCCACTTCCTAATTTGGAATCACTTCGATCTCTGTAGGTCAAGCTCTAGCCGTGGACATGTGATTTTTTTTTCTCACTGATCAAGGTCTAGATCCAGTCGCTGGAGCGCAACCCACGGGCCACTTTCACTGAATTTTGCGGCATTGACGATTCAGATGCTAGGAAAGTTTGTCGGCGGGTAGAGGCCATGGGTAGGTATGTTGTTGCAAGGCCTGGAGCTTCCACCTGCATGCTGAAACTTTCCAACACTCAGTTGCCCCTGCGCCTGGTACTGTACAAATCGGGGTCTCGCTGTGCACCAAGATCTAAGTCCTCCAGGAAGGTACGATCAAGGATCTCCTCGGGTAGGTACTCTTGTTCAACCTTGCCGTCCAAGTAGTTTGGATTGTACTTATACTCTTTACCGTAGCCAAGCTCCTTCATCAACTTGGTTGGTGCATTTCGAAGATGAATAGGGATGGGCAGTCCAGCAACGCCAGGCTCATTCAGAGCAGCATATGCGTTATTCAGTCCGCGATATGCCCTGGTACTCTTTTTGGATAATGCCATGGCGACAGTCGCATGTGCCAGATTAATTCTGGCTTCGGGAAGGCCGACCTTTTCAACAGCAGAATGGGTAGAAATTGCCAAAGTGAGCATACTGTTGTCTGCTAGTCCAATATCTTCAGAGGCCACAACAATTAATCGTCGGGCAATGTACAAAGGGTCTTCGCCGGACTGGATCATGCGGGCGAGGTAGTAAAGGGCGGCATCTGGATCACTACCACGAAGAGACTTGTGAAAAGCCGAAATGGTATCATAATGTTGATCACCTGCGCGATCATACACAAGAGTTTTGGTCAAAGACTGCTTTAGATCGTCTGTGGTGATCCCCGGTCGTTTTGATAGGTCCATTGCCAATTCCAAGAGATTGAGTGAAGTTCGAGCATCGCCATCGGCAAATTTGGCCAGGTATTGGATTAAGTGATCATCAACCAGCTCTGATGGGTTGTAGTTGGGACCCTCTACCCTCAATGCACGTTGAAGAATAGAGACGATGTCCTCATCAGTGAGCTTTGCCAATGTGAACGTTCTGCATCTGGAGAGCAAGGCATTTTGAACTTTGAAAGACGGATTCTCGGTGGTGGCACCAATCAGAGTCACTTGACCGCTCTCCACAGGACCAAGGAACACATCCTGTTGCGATTTCGAGAATCGATGAATCTCATCACAGAAAATGATGGTTTTTCTGCCTGTGAGGCCAAGCTCACTGCGGGCCTCGGAGAATATCTTTTTACACTCCGCGACTCCACTGCTAGTACTGTTGATTTCCACAAACCGACTACCCACCATAGATGAAATGACGCGAGCAATGGTCGTTTTGCCTGTTCCCGCACTTCCCCAGAGAATCATGCTCGGAACTCGGTCTTGTTCGATAAGACCACGAAGCACCCCCGAAGGACCGACAAGTTCCTGCCCGCATACCTCTTCGAGATTTTTGGGTCGCATCCGCTCTGCAAGCGGGGCTGCTCTGTGGAAAGCATTCACTTTTGGACGTTTCGCCTGCGGCTCAGTCGGAAGTCCATTGGGTTGATTCGCACCATTGTCTCGGGTTGGAGTGTCTTGCGTGAATGATCGCTTACCATTCGCGGGACGGGGCGTCGGCACACTGGCACGGGATGGTGACTCTTTCGGCAAATTGGCCTGGGAGGTAGATTTGCGGGCGGAGGATGGTTGGAATATGCTCGGGACGGCTTTTTGGGAGGCGGATAGCTCGACGGGCGAGGAAGACGGTTCTTCAATGAAGCTCAGGCAGCCGGAATCGAGATGATCGTTAATCTTTAACTGTGGGACAGATTTTTGACAGATAGGACAAGAAACCATGACTGCAAATTTTCGGCAATCATGAATAGAGGAGTTCACTCAACACGAAAGCTCCATTTGTTGAAATGCGGAGACGCGTCGCGATAAGGCCGCTGAGGTAATCGCTTATCGAAACTCCGCTTGGTGCCTTGGTGCCTGAGTCTTATAACATCATTGCGCGTGTTGGAGTAGAAAAGTTAGGCAAAGCCTTTGAATTTATTACTTGTCTAATGATTATAGTGCGTTAAAAACACCCAAAAAAGGAATTATATAGCTCTGTGGCCAGTCTGTTTGTTAATGACTTTGTATCGTCGGGTGTTCCGATAAGTTTTATACTCCGAGAAGATGTCACCGAAGCCGGAACGCGGAGCACGCCATTGGCCATTGGCGCGTGGTGACTCCCACTCCGCAAGTACCACACTTTATTACTGACCCTGACAGCCCACCTTCCCCTCATGCTTGTTGGTCGCGCCTCTCGGTTTCCTCCTCTTGTCCGGCCTTACATCTCCCTCCCACTGTTTCGCCCTTCAAGCCTAACTCTACCCCGCCCTACCTTCGGCGCAAGAACAATGTCGTCAACAGCTCCGCGGCCAGATCCCTTTCGCCCCGCAAAGCGAGTAGCGGGGCAACGACAAGATGTCTGGTATGAACCTATAAAGGCTAACTATGTTGGAATGGGTTTTTTAACCTTGAGTCTATAGGTCTATTGTCAATGAAGCAGCAGCTGCCTCGCCCGTTCAGCCGATCGTCAACATGGGCCAGGGGTTTTTGTGAGTGTCAACATTTTGTCAGCTGGTTCATCACCTCAATTGACAAGCACTAACTGTATATGTCTCTGTACAGTGGTTACAACCCCCCGAAGTTTGCGATTGATGCTGCGAAGGAGGCGCTTGACCGGGTGGAATGCAATCAATACTCTCCGACCAAGGTACGTAGGCGTGACTACTAGGAAAGATTCATGATCACGATCCAGGATTTTTCGCTCACAGCGCATAGGGTCGCCCTCGTCTCAAGCAAGCCCTTGCCGATGCCTATTCACCTTTCTTTGGTCGGACCTTGAACCCTGAGACCGAAGTATCGATCACAACTGGAGCCAACGAGGGTGAGATTCATTGCTGGAAAGAACACAGGGTAGAAAGGCTGACGAGACTTCACCAAACCAGGAATGTTGAGCGCCTTCATGGGCTTTATTGAAGCCGGTGATGAGGTCATTGTTTTTGAACCATTCTTCGACCAGTGAGTTTGGAGTATTGGATTTGGTGTCGCGCAATATACTGAATGTCTTGTGTAGGTACATTAGCAATATTGAGATGCCCGGTGGCGTTATTCGCTATGTCCCACTCCATCCTCCCAAGGATGGTGCTACCAGAACATCCCCAGCCTCTGAATGGACCATCGATTTCGAGGAGCTTGAAAGCGCCATGAACCCCAAGACTAAGATGATTGTCAGTGGCCTCTCTCCCGGAATAGAAGAAGGGCAATTACCATGCTAACACATTCTCTTCATAGGTTCTCAACTCACCGTAAGAACCTGAACTGTGTTCTAATTCGATACTAGTAGCTAACCATATCCAGTCACAACCCTGTTGGCAAGGTGTTCTCTCGAGAGGAGCTTGAGCGCATCGGTGCTCTCTGCGTGAAGCACAACCTGATTATCCTCTCTGATGAAGTCTACGATCGCCTCTTCTATGTCCCCTTCACCAGAATTGCAACTCTCTCACCTGAGCTATATGAACGCACCTTAACCGTGGGCTCTGCCGGCAAAGCATTCTATGCTACAGGCTGGCGTGTAGGCTATCTCATTGGACCAGAGCATTTGATCAAGTATGTGGCTGGTGCGCACACCCGTATCTGCTACAGCAGTGTCTCCCCTCTCCAGGAGGCCGCTGCTGTCGCTTTTGAGCAGGCCGATAAGGTGGGATTCTGGGATGAGAGTCGAAAAGATATGAAACAGAAAATGGAACGCTTCTGTCAAGTCTTTGACGAGTTGGGCATTCCAGTACGTATACTTACTTTTTCCATGCTCACTTTCTGCCAACCTTTTTCTAATATGGTGATTAGTACTCGGATCCGGAAGGCGGATACTTTGTCTTGGCAAATATGTCTTCTGTCAAACTCCCCGCTGATTATCCATTCCCACCGCATGTTGCCAGCCGTCCCCGTGATTTCAAACTTTGTTGGTTCTTGATTCACGAGGTTGGTGTTGCCGCGATCCCACCTACGGAGTTCTACACTGATGCCAATACACACATCGCTGAGGACTACCTCCGCTTTGCGGTCTGCAAGAATGATGATGTTCTTGAGAGTGCAAAGGAAAGACTTCGTGGCCTGAAGAAGTACATTCAGTGAAAATAAGGGCTTCTGTATCGCAATTCCTCAAACTAGACCAGTAGCAATAAACAGCTAAAATTGACACTGGAGATGGACAATCTATTAATTATCTGAAATCACGCCTGTCAGTGTTTAAGATGGTGCTGCAGCATCAATATCACTTATAGGATATTGGTTTTCTACAATTCTACACCCTACTAGGGTCTTACGTTTATCTTGCTATCTTGTTATAGAAGTTAAGGGGGGGAAAGCAAAAAAGAGAAAGAAAGTGACAAGAAAAAGCACGCCAAGGAATTTCAACCTCGCTCAAAGTACTCACGAACATTAAGATGACTTCTTACCCGCTTCAAACGCATAAAGGGTGGGGGGGCTAGTAGGTTATTATCCCCCTCACCGTCTGAGTGGGCCAAGAGGGGACCGGGCTATCAACTTCAAACGTAACATGCAGTCAACAAAGGCCTTTGAGTCGCCACTCCTTCACCATCAAACACATGCAGTAGAATTCACCATCATCATAAGACATAAAAAAGGCACGTCCCCACAGAAAAAAGGTCAAGTCATAGGAAACCATCATCATAAAACATACAAAAAGCACAAACCCACAGAAAAAGGGTCATAAGAAACTATCATAGTAAAACATACAAAAAGCATATCCATACAGAAAAAGGGTCAAGTCATAGGGAACCATCATCACCACGCGTACCACTCCCACTCAAGTAGTAGTATCAATCAGGTCTTCACCCAATTGTTTCTTTTTCGTACCCACGGGGGCCAAGGCGCACGTACTCAATTTCCATGGGCCCGGTTCCCACCCCATCCCAGCCTTCTCCTCGGCGGAAGGGTCGCCGGTCCATCGGAGCAACCCAACCATTGTAGCCTACGCCAACGATTCGATCATCAACACTGTGGCAGGTAGGATGAGTGAATCGGTTTGCCCGGAGAATCCAATACTGGGCCTCCATCCACTGGCACAGGCGCTCGTATCCCCGTCCGGCTCCGTTGTCAAAAGATGAAAATTGGGTTTCCCTTTCAATAAGACAAACTGGGTCTCGGCAGAAAGCCTCGGGGTAGCCAGTCCACTCGGTCATGCACGCATGCCGTTCGCAATCCGAAAACTCGACGTTGAACTCCCGGAAGAACTGATCATAGAGAGCATTCTCCAAGGCCTCTGTCCACTGGCCGCAAGAGCGGAAGTTGTCACGTATCATTCTGTACGTGAAGTTCACCAAGCCAGGAACTTGGAAGGATGCAAAGAGGCATACAGCAAGACAGCGGCGGAAGATGTCTCTATCATTCGCGTTGTCAAACCGAATTCTGTGGCTAATAGTTGGCTGGCACCGGGTCGTGTAATGACCCGATGCGACTCCCGCCTTCTGCGCCACTTGTAGATCGGTGAAGACAAAGTAATCACCTTCGTTCTGGCCAGTACTGAACCACATGGCCTGGCGATGACGTTCAGGAGAGCTCCAACTGTCGATGAAGGGGATCATAGGAGGACCGTCAAATAGCTCCTTGGGGAATGAACTTTTCTTGACGGGGGTTGCGAAGGTTCGTTCACCACAGACAGACCAGTGCTGCTTGACGTCCTCTCGCAGGTGCTCCTTGGAGCAGTATCTAGTGGTTGAGAATGGTCCACAAGCAGGACAGATACTAACTAGGGAGTCCCATGCGGCGCATCGTTTGTCGCAGTCCAGCTTGGAGCACTGGACACCGTGGGAGCTGAGATCCTCCCCAAAGTCGGGGATTTTAGGTTTCACAGATTTGCCGAGGTCAGTCGAGGTAACAATGAGCTGACAGGTCGGCTTTTTCTTGGCCTCGCTGGGAGCTTTGTCGTTGTTTTCACCGTTAGGAGCCTTGTTATTTTCAGTAGTACCGTTGGGCGCCTTGCGGTATCCAGCGCGGCCAGCTGCCGTAGCGTTAATGTTGCTAGGCATATTGCCCGGATGATACGCAGAGGAGGATTGACTTGCGGCGGCGGTAGCGTCAACTGGAAGCAAGGCCTGGTAGCTCTGTGTCTTGTGTGGATCGAAAATTTTCATAGACGTGTCGCTATTGATGTCGATCGAGGGGGTCGCAGGTCTCGGTGGGGTCCGGACACGTTGTTTGTGGGAGGGAAAGTTGTTTGGGGAACAACACGTTACTTCAGAGGCGGTTGAGGATGTTGGGGATTGTTGTTCCGTGGGAGATTCCGGAATTGTAGCTGAGTCTGAATAACACCGCCTTTTCACCTCAGTCCATTGATCACTCTTCCTTGGTATATGCGCACTGCTAGATCGTCCCTGTGTACTGCTAGGTTGTTCTTGTGCACTGCTAGGCTGTTCTTGCGCACTGCTAGGTTGTTCTTGCGCACTGCTAGGTTCTTCTTGCGCACTGCTTGATTGTTTCTGCGCGCTGCTTAAAAATCTCTGCGCACTGCTTGATTGTGACATAGTTTTCCGAAGCTTGAAGCGCTCCCTGTACCGCCTCTTCTTCTCTATTGAACGACGGACACTAGCTTCAGTTCGTGGACGCATTTGCCCTCTGAAAATAACTTCGGAGCCGCCGAGCTGACTGTCCAGTTCAATACCAGATTCACTCTCCACGGGCCGGCGCGGGCTAACAGGCACTATTATAAGGTTAGAAAGTATTCACAGTATATCTTCCTGGTGTGTCTATTCAAAGAACACAATAAAATATATACATGTGATGTAGTGCATCATGCCAGTGGGTATAATAATGCGGGTGTAGTGAACATTTGAATGGGCCGTTATAGCAATTGATGGCCGACATCTGGAATATACATATAGCATAGTGAGATGCGCCGGTGAAGGATTTTCCGAAATGGCATGGGGGGACAATAGCATCAGCCAACATTCGGATATCTAGTACGTACCACTTCTCCCACTCTCTGGTGTATAATAGATATCACTACCAGAAGAGCTAGGTGCAGACGATGCAGGCAGTGCCACCTTATCCTCAAGTGCCAACGCATGAGGCGAAATGGTTGAGGTGGAGCTAGTGAGGCCTTGAGCGGACGACTCAGCAGGATCAGGCACATGAGTGTCTTTGGAAATCTCTCGGCTTGCGTGGTCATCTTCTTGTTTAAGAAGCTCTCGCATAGCCTTCTTCCTGATTTTCTTCTTCCTATTTTTGATCGTCGACTTACTCAGGCCGGTGGTATCGTCAAGCGCCCCTGCCTTCCCCTCTTCTATTACCAGGCTAGGAGGCACTGGTATCTGGGGGCTAGGCTCCGCTGGCGGCTGATTCGCTTTGTCTTCCGGCTTCATTGTATCAACACAAACGATTTTGCTGTCTTTGCTAGCTTGACGCGTCAAAAGTTAGCACGTGGATTGCTCGAATGGTTGAAATAACATACAAGATTCAAAGATGATGTTGGAATCGATTATGTGATGGATTTGATACCCAGTATCTGGCAAGAAGTAAAGGGAGAGACAAGAGGGAAGGAATTCAGAACAGATACTTTGCATCAAGGTTGGATTATCAAAGTGGAATAATATTTGAAGATCTGAGTAGCTCCAGCGCGTGGCCAGCGCGTGAGCACGTGTCCAGCTAGCCCTCCAGCGCTAGCGAGATGTATTCTTTTTCATTTAGATTACTCCAGATGTCTGGTTCTATTCATTGATAAGCCTCTATCGTAACCTCTTTTGAGCATTTCTCAAGTGATCCTAAAGCTCTAGAGGTTATAATTCAGGCTGGTGACAATCTCTAATAGTATTAGGACGGGTTAGATATTCAATGTTTTCTTTTCCTTCATCACCATCAACGTAACTTGTAAACTGCAACTTCAATCGTCCAAGGAAGTCTTCCAAGGGTTCCATCGTATATAATTTCGCAAGCCCAGCTTGAGTCAAAGTGCCCCGTGGACCTTCAGCCAAGTAAGTCAATGATTCTTCAATTAATGTTGGGGGCCTTCCCGAGGTCTCTGAGCACTAGTGCCAACAGGGCTTGAAAGACTCCCGATGTCCACACTTGGCGTGGATTGGAACTTTGAATACAACCTGAAAAAGACAACGACTTAAAATTTGAAGACAGGCCCCTAGCAATCATCAACATCCGAAAGCGACTGGGCAAGCCTGAATGATTTTCTTGTCTCGAATACAGCCAACACCAGTCACTCGACTCAGGAGCGGACAGCAATATTGAGACTCGGGACTTGTGCAAATATACTTTCTGAGATATCCAAGCATAGATGAATACTTAAAACAATCGATATCAATTGACATCAGTTCAAAGAACAAGAGTTTTCAACATAGAATAAGGCCGCACCAATTTCCTCGTGGTCTGCATGTGGCTAGTTGAACTCAGAAAGTAGGGTAGAATAGTCCACGTGATGCCATTCCAAGCCAGGCACGTGACTGGACTTTAAAGTATTCACGTGACTCTGAAGTCGCGAGTAATGCTGAGTCATCTCACTCGCATGATGGACACATCTTTCCACTTGATGGAATTCATATGTTCAATGTTCGAACATTCAAATGTTGAACGGATTCCCCTCAGCAATTCCAAAAGTTGCTTCTGTTCGGAAATTGTACCATTCAATAGTAGGCAATACGCGCCCAATCATCCGTTCGATACTAACATACTGTCAAAATCCGATGGTACTATGGGTGTAGTAGCGACTATCGAGTAACTGCCTAGCTGCCAGCAACAGGGCTGCCGAGAGCATGATCGGATCCGGGATCTCAACCAGAGTTGCTTCTGCCTATTCATGGGCATGATTCCAGCCACATTGTTTTGCTGTACTCCGTAAGCAGCTCTATTGTTCGAGGTCTGGTGCCAGAAGAAGAAATGATTGGCTGAGAGCGGCGGGCGCTAAGCGCCCAGGCTATATTTGGACCCGCCAGTGTTATTTTCAACCACAGGAGTCATCTACGCGCTTTGTGTTAGATGAAACAAACCCAAACATTCCAAGTTGCTATATTCATACTTCTCTTTGTTTTCATAAGCCCGTGACTCAATCCTGAATGGCTGTCTCAGGAGTTCTAAACAGGTCGCTACTAGCACTTGCTTCAGATGTGGGCGGCTTCTTTGTCAGAGAAAGTCGGGCATTGTGTAGATCGCGTTAGCGCCACGATGGTCAATGAAAAGGATATTCTTCAGGTTTCTATTGAACTGCCGCTATATCTACTTATCCATGCACTTTGTCTCTTGTCTTCTTCCCTTCTTCCCTTCTTGTCTTGCCTTCCCGTTTGGATATCTCTCCACATCAATAACTCATCGCTGGTCGATACACAACATGCGTACTGAACAAGTCCTCTAATATTGTCTTTCAGTCATATTTTCTCTTTGTTGACCTCAATCCTGCGCGTGCCATTTTGCGATCCTCGAACTATTTACCTTCCTCTGCTCAACAACAATACCTTTTCCCCGCAACTCCAGCCACACCGCTACCACAATGGTGTTCGGAAAGTCGACACGATCAATATTTCCTTTACTACCACCATACGGGGCACACAACCCAGTAGATGGGCGGATTATCCCATCTCATCCAGATGGCCTCACACCATATCTCGGCTTAAGGGCCCGACTGTCGCAGGTTTGGATCAATCGCTGGACGATCTTGATCTTGCTTGTGCTTGTTCGACTCTTGTTAGCAATCGGCAGCATACGCAGCGATATGGCGAGTGCCAAACGCGAAGCCCTTTCTGCCTGTACCTCTGTTGAATCCATGGGTAGTGCTATGGCGTCGATGCCATATTACCTCGCCGGGGGAGTTAATGAGATGGTGGCTGCCGGTGTCACGGATGCAGTGAGTGGGTTGAACACCATGCTCGACTTGGCTCTCACTGCCGCCGAAGAGATCATAATCTTCGTTCTTAAAATGATGTACCAGACCTACCTCTGTCTGATCACCTTGGCTGTTCGAGGCGTGGTGGAAGTGGCAACGGTGCTGATCGAGGATGTTGTGGACGGACTGAACGCAACGATCAAGGCCGCGGAGGCTGATATAACAAGTGTCGTCAAAACCTTTGAAAGCGCTTTGGATGACGTGATCGACGTTATCAACGACCTAGGCGCTTCGGTCCCCACCTTAAATCTCAACAGTTCTCTCGCTGAGTTGAACAGCTGGTCTATTCCTTCATCTGTCGACACGAGTATCAGCAAGCTCAACAACTCAATCCCCAGCTTTACTACCATAGAGAATTTCACTGAGACAGTCATCAAGACGCCCTTTGAGGATGTCAAGAAACTACTCAACAGTTCCTTGGGTAGCTACACTTTCGACAGCTCTGTGCTTTCTGTCCCCGCGAAGAAATCTTTGACATTTTGTGACAACAGCGACGGAATAAATAGCTTCTTCGATGGGGTCACCGACATTGCCATTCTTGCTAGGAAGATATTTATCATCGTCTGCATCATCGCGGCTGTCTTGGCCTGTATCCCCTCCGCGTACCAAGAAATTCGGCGTTGGCGTCACATGAAGGAGCGTGCACAACTTGTCCGCAAGGAAGCTCATGATCCTATGGACGTAGTTTACATTGTCTCCCGACCATACACTGCAGCTGCCGGTATCAAAGCAGCAAGCCGATTTAGCAACAGTCGGCGGCAAATCATCGTCCGGTGGACTGTTGCATATGCAACCTCTCTGCCAGCGCTCTTTGTTCTCGCCCTCGGCCTCGCCTCCCTGTTGGCCTGTCTGTTTCAATGGATTATTTTACATGAGATCTCGAAGGAAGTACCAGCTCTTAGTGCTGAAGTTGGGGAGTACGCCGAAAAGGTGGTATCGGCTTTACAAAATGCCTCAACTGAGTGGGCGGACACTGCGAACAACTACATCACCAACTTCGATACGGAGGTAAATACTGATGTTCTGGGATGGGTCAACACAACCACAACAGCCGTTAACTCTACCCTGAACGTCTTCGTGGACAAGGTGACTGTGGTCCTCAACGATACATTTGGAGACACAGTCCTCAAGGATGCAATCGAAGATGTATTCAACTGTCTGATTGGTCTGAAAATTGCAAGTTTCGAAAAGGGTTTAACTTGGGTCTCTGACAACGCCCACATTAGCATTCCGCTATTCCCCACCGACGTCTTCTCCAAGGGCGCAAATGCAAGCATCACAAACGGCACTTCTGATGATAGCTTCCTCTCTGACGCGGGCGATGAAACTTCCAACAAAATAACCGAGGTTGTCGACGATGCGATCGCCGCACTTCAGGCTGCTCTCCGTCAAGAAACTATTATCGCTGCTGCTGTCTTTCTTGTCTGGGTTATTATCGTTATGTGTGGTGTATGTCGCGCAATGTTCTTATGGTGGGGCCACGATCGTACCCGTGGTGATGGAGGTGGTCATGCCCTTGACCCAGTACCTAACAACCCGCCACCACCACCACCTGATTCTCGTGGTTTCACTGACGTGCCTCTCACTTCTATGCCGAAGGCAGCCTCTGGGAGTGCGGCTCCGGCTCCAGCTCCCAGATATGAGGCTCGTGCAGCGAGTGCTGTAGCCATACAGGCTGATCCGTTTCATGATGCTCACGCCTTCCCCGACGAGAAACATGGATTTGCTGGTCAGAGAACGGCTTTGCAGGTTGACTCTGCGGCAGCGTTGAGGCACAGCAATTGTGTGGAGTATGATGTCAAGGGGTGAAAGAGAATTATTGCATTTATAGCTCGGGGTGCCTTATTCTTCAATGTTCTTTCGGCATACAAACTTTTAAGGCCAAGCATGTATAGGAGTTGTGGTTTCAAGCCCTTTATCGGGTCTTTCTTTTGTTCCTGGGGGTTTCAATTGTCCTACTTTAGCGTTGACTTAGATTAAATAAAATATTACTGCAATTGATACCGGCCGACTAGGATTTTTGAAATACTAAAAGATTACTGCAATGGTACGGTATTTTATCAAATACGGGAGGTAATCTACATTTTACGCGGAAAGTTTTAGTCACGGTCTTAAAATTACGGTAGACCGTAGCACTACGGGATTTGAAAACACATGGGTATTTGTTTTAGTTAATTCTATCAAATGTACTATTCAAGTTCCTTGTGGGTATTTTAAATCCAAGGGTATTTCTTACAAATATTCCAAAGTTTTGCACATGTGTGGTGTCAACTGGTTTCCTTGCTACCAGGTAGCAGGTACTACTAGGCTATTCGTTGCCTTATGTTACCAGGTATCTCGGCTTCCACCTTAGCCGTTGACGGCCCACTACCTAAGCTGTAATCAAAACTTCCAAGGTTTCTGATCACGCCGCTTGTGGATGTTCAATGTTCCTTCTTTATCTTACTCAACCTCGATATTAATAGATTAAATCCATGGATAATGACTCTAGAGCCATTATCGTCGTGGTAATGCATTCAAGTATTCTACATGTAAGTCGCTATAAACATCTATCATCTATGCGGCGAAAAATATGTGCCAAAAGTTTTTTTACATCCTATATCGTGTTGCAGGTAGGTGGCTCTGGAGCTTACGCGTCATTAGCACACGACCAGCTAGAGCCGCTAGTATCGTTGTGAATAGTGACGCCGGAAACCCAAAGACCCAATGCGCACTGCGAAAAAGAGTCAGTAATTGGTATGCAACACCAGCGTGTTACGGGATTTGGACTCACGATAGCCAAGGCACAGCCAAAGACACCAACATTGAGTATGGTCAGGCATGTCTTCTTCCAGTTCTTGAAGTACTGACCCTTATTCATGTGGAACCAGAAGACGGCAGGGAGACCAACTGCGAATGACATTAGCTTTGGAAAAATTGCAAAGGGGAGATGGTTTTTTTGAAAACATACAGCTGAACCAACTGCCGAATAGTGCACTCTGTAAAGGAAAAGATTATCATTAGCCAGGGAGCTTATTCAAGGCGATAGATCACAATACGCACGATAAGACTCAGAAGGTCGTTGAATACAGGGATTGACTCCGCAACTACCCAGGCAATGGCCCACGTTCCGAAACAAAGAGCAACCCAGGTTCCGATGGAAAGGAAGCTGCGCTTGTGCATCTCGTCGGAGCCACGGAAAATGCGGACGTAAATGTACTTGCATGCGACGTGGCCCAAAACAACACCGGAAAGAATAGTCTTGATTAAGTTAGCACATGTGCATATGTGAACACAAAGCAAAAGAGGATTGCTATTCGGAGATAGCGGGTTCGACTCACAGTGGGGATAGCAAGACCCCATGCAATCTTGGCCATCAAGGGATTCAGAGACGAGATAGCAGGTGACTCAACATCAGGTCCAATGTAGCGGTAAATAAGCAGAGCGCTGACGAGGTAGAGAATGGTGTCAATAATCTGGAGCATTGCAAGAGATTTGTTGAAAGTCCGAGGATCCTCAGTCTCGGACATGAAGCCGAAGTATGCGACGTGAGCGACTATATCGATGAGTTAGCCATCCTGCGCCGCAAGCCAAAATGTAACTTTTGATAACTTACGGTAGGCGAAAATAATGTTGGTCACAGCCAAGAATCCCTCCTGGAAGCTAACATCTGTAGTGGCATGGATTTTGATGTGGCCCTTGCTCTCAACACCGGCGGCGACCATGGTCACAACAGTGGCCACAAAGACACTCAAAAAGGCTGTAAATGGTTAGTTCAAATTCCGTTTGGCCTGACCGGGGATTGTGAGAAAGCCACAGTGGACGATCGCGTAAGACTGAACATACAAACAACGGACATGACGTAGACTTTGTCCATAGTACGGGGCAAGGCTCCGAGGAAACAGATGATCAGACCGACGACACCGAAGACCAAGGTGCAAGTGCCGTGGTTTGTGAGAACATTCATCAAGATGTTAAAGGTGAGAATGTTACTCGCCATGAGGAAAATCAGGAGCAGCAGCTGGCCAATTCCCAGCAACTCACGGCCAAAGCGGCCCATCAAGAGCTCGCCGGCATCACCCATACTGTGAATGTGAGGGTGGCGGAGCTTAAATTGTCCAATTTCATAGCCAGTGTACCAAGACAGGGCAGAAATGAAGATAATCATGACAGCAGCACTATCTGAATGTTAGCTATGGTTGCCCATATACGTAGGGAAAGCATGAGTCATGTAGACATCAGCTATGTATCACATACGGTCCCATTCCAAGCGTGGCCACAGCAGAAGGCAGCGACAGAATACCCACAGAGACATTCTCAGCAATCATGACTAGATGATCAGTTAGTATACATAAATATGCAAGATATCAACATATCAACATATGAATCAGCGGAAATTTGAACTCACGCATGCCGCAGTGCCACCATTTCATAGTCCGATACTTGACCTCAGCAGTCTCTTCATTGCCAAAGGGTTCCAAATCCTTTGCATCGAATGGCTTATCCTCATCCTCAGGGAAGGGACCGCCAATCACACGCTTCCCCTCGACATCATAATTCTCTTCATCACTCATGACGGGCAAAAATTGAAGATCGGACTTTTTTCCGGATATAGAAGCTTATCTGAAGATCGAATCCCGGAAGAATCAAAAGCCCGAATCGCAGCAATTGAATGGAACTATGCCAACATTGAAGTCAGAGGATTCTTTTCAAGAAATGTATTTCTTACCCCAGTTCAAAGCCAAGAAAAAATTCTGAATGCGCTCCGGGGGAAAAAGTACGGTGGAGCCATTCATATTTTTTTTCGCCGCTTGTTACTGGGCTGTGGAGTGTGACGATCGTCGGCTTTCCGAACCCGGCCATTCTTGCGGTTCGGAGTTTGCCGAGCTTCTCGGGAAACTTTCCATCGGGATCGATTGGGATGTTTTTGTGATGCTTTAACTTGATCCGTTCATTCTATTGGTCTTTGGAAATTAGCCAGATAGGTTATTTTTGTATGGGGGAAAATGTGTATCTACTTCTTTTGAATTTCTTCGGCTTAAATCGTAGCAGAACTCGAAACGGAAAACAAGACACGTCGCCGCGGGAAAGCCTCAATAGGAATACAAACAATCATCAATTTTTCCATTCAAAATGTTCTCTTCAAAAGCCCAAATACTTCAACTTATGTATATGTATTGTCGTACATGTCATGAATCGTCAAGAAAAGACCATCAACCTTGTAATTTCACTAGATAGCAACAAAGAAGCTCTGCTCGCCTTCCTTGGGTTGAACCCGAGCGCGCTCAACAATTGGATCAGCGCAGCTAATCCGGATTCGCTCAGGCGTAGCAGGACTCCGCAAGCTCAACACTTCCTTGACACCCCACTGCGCCCGTGCTGCCTTCAAGGCGTCACGGATAGCAAAGAAAACAGCACTACCCATGAAAAGTGGTGGCTCGCCAATACCACGCGAACGCTGGATCGTGCGCAGATTCTCCCATTCAACGTCCTTGAGCAGGCTAACATTAAAGATTTGAGGAATGTCCCGGAATCCAGGAATCTTGTAATTGCCAGGTCCACGGGTGAATATCTGTCCGGAGGCGCGATGCCAAAGACTTTCTTCGGTGGTGAAGAGACCCTGGCCCTGGACATAAGCGCCCTCGATTTGACCGTAATCAATGGACGGGTTAATTGTACGGCCGACGTCCATCTTGATGTCAGCCCGCAGAGGAGTCCAATCACCGGTTAGGGTGTCAATTTGGACCTCAGCAGCGGTGACACCTTGTGTGAAGTAAAAGAACATTTGTCCAGAGTTTTCACCCCAAACATAGCCGATGTCTGGAGTCCGATAGTATCCTTGCGCGGAAAGATTAACACGGTCAAAATATGCGGTATGTGCAAGCTCCTTCATTGTCGCATTGGGCATCTTCTCACGATATGGCTTTAACCGCTCATTGAGCTGCTCGCAAGCATTGAATATAGCGTAGCCGTTGAGATCAGAGCTGGCCGACGCGGCAGTTGATGAGGTATTGGGAACTGTGTTAGTAGCTGTCTCGGAGATGAAGACGCTTTCCTGGGGAACTTGAAGAGCCTCGGCAGCGATCATGACCATCTTCGTGTGAAGTCCTTGTCCCATTTCGACACCACCGTGTGCCACAAGAACGCTGCCATCGTGGTAGATGTGTACCAAGGCACCTGCCTGGTTCAGGAACAAGGCTGTGAAGGAGATACCGAACTTTGTTGGTACAATAGCCATCCCACGTTTGGACCATTTGTGCTCTTTGTTGTATTTTGTCACTGCCTCTCGTCGCTCGTTGTACTTGCTCTCTTCCAAAACCTGGTTATACATCAAAGGAATGTGCCAGTCCTTGAGTGGTTGGTGGAAGTGTGTGGTTTCGTCAGGCTGGTACATGTTCAGAGCGCGAAGATCTTCCGCTGGGATATTCAGATGATCTGCAATCTCTGAAATGTAACATTCAGCGAAGAAGAGGCCCTGTGGGCCACCAAACCCACGGAACGCAGTGTTTGAGACGGTGTTCGTCTTACAGATCCTACCACGCACATTGACGTTGGGAATTTTGTAAACACCATCAATGTGTGACAAACTTCGTTCAACAACAGCACCAGAAAGATCCTGGGTGTGGCCGCCATTGGCATACACATCCGCGTCAAGGGCCAAGAGCTTTCCTTCTTTCGTAACACCCACCTTCCATTTACACATGAAAGGGTGGCGTTGACCTGAAGTCAAGATGTCTTCATCTCTGTTAAGCATACAACGAACCGGTCGCTTCAGCTTTGCGGCAGCAGTAGCACAGATTCCAGCTAGCTGGATAGAACGTGTTTCTTTGCCACCAAATCCACCTCCAAGACGCTTCACGCGAGAGACTATCTTGTTCGCGGCCACACCTGTGACTTGAGCGATGTAGGTTTGCCTAAAATAGCAGTTAGTATCATAATATGTGAGAGATGAAACAATCAGCAGTCACTTACGTCTCAGTTGGGTTCTGCGTGCCACTCCATACTTCCATTTCACCATCTTCGGGCTTCCAAACACAGAGACATGCTTGAGTCTCAAGATAAAAGTGCTCTTGGCCACCCATTCGTGAAACGCCTTCAAAGACATGATCGGCTTGTTTGAAGGCCTCTTCGGTATCACCGCATTTGATGTATCGGGAATGCTCAAAGAAAGATTCGGCCTCAATTGCCTCCTCGATGGTAAGGATGACAGGCAAATCCTCATATACTACCTTGACGGCGCGCATGCCTGCCTCCGCGATCTTGGCGCTGGTGGCAAGGATTACACCAATCGGTTGGCCGGCCGTATTCACTTTGTCAACGGCAAAGAACTGCTCGTCAGAAACAGGCGCACCCCACCAGTTAGCTTCAGGACTGGGTAAATCTCTATGGTCGACATAATCAACGACACCAGGGATGTCCAATGCCGCAGCATAATCCACACTGATGATCTTGGCATGAGCCTTGGTGGATAGTACCATGCAACCAAACAATTCATTGTGTTGCACCGGGATATCATCAGTGTATTGTGCCTCTCCAGTGGCCTGTTTTAGTGCTGAGACATGGGGAGTAGCCTTGCCGAGGATCTTTTGCTGGTACTTCACAGATGCCTCGTGGTCTTTTTCTCCCGTGGAAATGGCTCGTTCAATCTCCGCAATCACGTCAGGGTCAAGGTCAGATGACTTCACTTCAAGGCTGGATAGAATGTCATGATAGAATCGATAAAAGAAACCCATTGCTAGTGATTTTCGGTAAGTTGCCATGCCACCAGGGACTCCAAAAGGTAGATCAAAATCAGCTTCCAAGGCACACATCACAGCTTCCAGCGTTGCAGGATCGGTGAATTTCTTGCCGATCAAAGCAGTCTCGGCATTCTTCGCAGATACAGTCAACGCCGCCATACCGCCAAAGATGAGGTTGCAACTAGTCACATCGTTGTTCTCAGATAGTGATACACGCTGCGCAGATGTGACAATAGCAATATCATCATCCTTCCGCTTTGCTTGCTTGTAGGCGCGGAAATATTCGCCCTTTGCCGCAGCGACAGGAATTCGAAGGCTGGAAATGATGGCGTCCTGAGCGAGAGCTGTTTTGCGGTAGCCCAAAAAGAATTCGGTCATGGGGATTTCGGTCTCTCCTAAAAGTGATTTGGCGACAAGAGTTGTATTTGTTGCAACGAGACACGGATTCAAGTCGGCGATGGGCGATGCGGTGGCCAGGTTGCCAGCTGGGGATGCCACATTTCGAATCTGTCGTCCAGCAAAATAATGCAATTGTTTTTTAATCGCTTTGAAGGGCTGTGCTCGAACAGCCCCATAACGCTTAACCGCCTCGTCGCAGACTGACTCCAAGTCGGTCAACGATATGTTGGCTCCAATTTCAAGGTGGTCATCGTGGAAGGCAAACTGCTTTAGCTCGGGAATATCGCCTACATAAACCGAGGCAGCGTAGTTCATAGCCTTGAATTTGATCTCAATCTGGGTCTCCGTGCTTCCGCCAATCAATTTGGCTTCTGGGTGTACACCCTTGATTTGCAACAGCTGTTCGACTGTCACTGGCCTATACCACTTCTTTTTCTTATTGCCAAATACGAGTGGTCGGAACTCGTGTTTCCTCAATGCCGATGGGAAGATCAGTTCTGTATCCGGGTTATAGGCCTTGAAGTCAGGCGCAGGGAACGTCGGCTCATCCTTCGCGTCTTCATTTACTGGGGGTGCGCCTTTGCAACAACCACCGCCCCCACCATTCTTGTCCATGCAGCAGCCAGAGCCTCCATTTGCACTTGCTTTGCCACAGTTATTTCGAGAGTTAAAACTCTGAGCGGCGTCAAGAATAGGTCGGTAACCGGTACAGCGACAAAGATTCCCATCGAATGCTTCTTCGACTGCATGTTCATCGGGGGTGGGGTCATTTCGCAGCAAGGCATATAGGCTCTTCACGCCATTAGTATGATGCATATTTTTGATGTTCAGGCACCTGGTCACTTACCATGATAATCCCTGGAGTACAGAAACCACACTGACTCCCATTCGCGACAGCGATCCTCTGTTGAACTGCGTGGGGGTTGTTCACATTTCCAATTCCTTCAATGGTTATGACGTGTTTTCCATCGATGCTGACCAGCGGGGCAATGCAAGCATTGACGGAAGCGTGATATATTTTCCCCGTGGTTGGGTTGATATGCGAAACCACCTAATACCAGCCAACGTATGTTTTAGCAAGCATTCAGACCTTGATTGGATTATCAAACACATACCACCGTGCAAGCACCGCAGCCCCCCTCGGCACAGCCAAGCTTGGTTCCTGTCAGTCCGATACCTCTCAGGTATTCCAGCAGGGTCACTTCCGGGTTGACAGTGTCGACGGCAACCTTGGTGCCGTTAAGATAGAATCGGATGGTATCATCCCATTCCTCGGTCAACTGGGCCAGTGAGGTCACCTTCTCGACCGCCACCTCAGAATCCTCCTCCAATATACCGGGCGCCATTGCGACAAAGAAGGTATTATGAAGAATGGCAGGGTACAGCAATAAACTCAGGCCACGTCAGTGTTCAAGTGTTCATGCTGGTACGCTCTATATATGTGAGAAAACCGCAAAGACCTTCCTAAAGCTCGATGGCAAGGTCCGAAAGTGAAACATATAACCAGTGAGAGGGGCAAACAGTGCGGACGAGATCAATTATCGTATCTCGATAGGGAACCCCACCCGAGCTCCACCGTGGAACCCCTTGAGTGTCATGCGGGGATCGCCACCATCCGATAGTTGGGACGGGCGCCTATTAGAACCCGATCCATTACTAATTCCTAATTTAACGTTTTGAATGTTCAATGTTTGCATAACCCTTCGACATTCTATAGAAAAAATCCACGACGCCGGAAATGCTGGAGTACATCACAAAATAATACATATACCACACAACCTTGGGGTAAATAGCCAAACCAGAGAAGTGAAAAGGGTAAAAAGAAGAAAGAAGAAAGAAGAAAGAAGAAAGAAGAAAGAAGGGAGAAGAAAGATATAAAAAAAAAATACACATAAGTTAGCGCTCATGCTTTCGAGCCCGCAAATCCCCTCTCCTCCTCTTCCCATCTTTTGCGCTCAACAACGGACCGAGCCCTGAGAAGTAGAAGTTAGTGTATTGTTACAGCATGGGAGAAAGGGAGTTTGATTTACCGGTAAGCCTTGACGAATCGCCAAACCTCCGTATCAGCCAGGTTCCAGGCTTCAGCAACATTTCTCTTACTCGCACTTGCAGGCTCTTCACTGCTGATCACGTTCCTGGCCTTCTGGAGCAGCTCATACTCTCTGCCAACGCCTTCCTGGCTTGGGTTTTTGTTTTGTACGCTTTCCTTGTCATTGGCTGCGGTCGGGTCGATGGTACCGGTACGAGGAATCTTGAATCCAAATTGCCATTCAAACTCATCCAAGAGCTCAGAAGGAAGGCTCTGACCAGCTTCCGCAGGAAGAGATTCAACGGTCATCCACAGGGATGTGGCAACGGCCTGATCTCCAGCCACAACCTGCTTGAACGCCATGCCCCTCCAGGAGCTGCCCATCTCTGGACCAAGGTCTTCCTTGGTCACGTCACTTAGCCACGCATCTCGCTCAGTTTCCCGACGGATTTGGCGTGTGGTAACCTCGTCGGAGCTCTTTTGTAGACTGACAAGAGTGTATGGATGTGGTAGGGTGCCAATGGTGAAGAGGAAATTGGTCTTTTTGTAGGTAGACGGCTGACTAATGAGCATGGGCTGCTTCGAAGAGCCACAGGGACGGCAATCGGGAAGGTTGGGTGGGCAAGAATCAGGGACTGGAGAGTCTGGGCACTGGATGAGTGCCTTGGCCAGTCTCAATGCGGGTTCCACCAGGGCAGTGGTATGCTGAGGGAAAGGCTTCAACACAGCTAACCCGGCTGGGAACGAATTCTGGAAAGTATTGTGAAGGTGGGAATTGACTAGCTGTGCCAAAAGCAGCCGTCCATTGGACGGGCTGTGGCTCATTTTCTCTTGCAAAGTAGGGTAGCGAGAGTTGATAGTAGCATGCTTGTAATAAGCAAGGCTGCTGGGGCTCATTACCTTGAAGAGCTCTGGATTGATAAGGTCCCCAAAGGAAGTAGTTTTGTCATCCATCTTCTTCACAGCACCGTCAATTGCCTCGTCGATGCGCTGCTTCTCTGCCGAATAGAGACCGCCCTGGAAGTTATCGAACCGGATGATGAATTCAGGCTCGGTGCCTTGTCGGAGGGCTCTCAAAAGATCGTCGTCGTATCGTCCCATCGGGAAGCATTCGAAATCAGCGAGTAGTCCAGTTCCCATGTGACCCCATGCCAGCCAGCGGAAGATCTCATTCTCCAGCTCGGGTGAAATGGTGAGTTTCTGCACCAATTCATAATGCGGATTCTTCATCGCATCTCCCGGTGTCAAGACGATTGGCCGGAACCCCTGGGCGAACCAAGCTCGCCGCCAGGCCAGAAGAAGCTCAGCGTCGGCATTTTGATCCTCCTTCTGCTCACTGCTGGAGTGTTTTTTGGGATTGTATTTCGGATTGTAGTAGGTGTAGATCGGGCGACGATCATGCAGAGGGGGGAGGACGGAGCGATCTTCATCCAAAGTGATGGCGGAGGAAAAAGGGTTCAGCCATTCCCAGTTGCTAAACCATTTGGACTCGCCGCTGGTGCTGTTGGTTTCTACCGGCGGCGGTTCGTGTGAAGGGGCTCGGAATGTCGGAAGTTTGAGATCACTCAAGGAAGGAAGGTGCGGCTGAGGTAGATACTTGGCAGGACCTGAAACTGTTTCTTCTCCTTCGGCGGCGGTGGTATTGGGGATGGGGGAGGAGGAGAAGATAAATAGAAGGAGGGCAACAAAAACAATGATGGCCAAAAGAGCCGTGCTGCGATGCGGAATCATCATATGCACATCCGATCCACCAACAGACCTTTTACGCAGGTCGGTTGGTTAAAAAGATAATAAAAGAAAAGAGAGAAGTAACACGGGCCAAATTGGTGAAACGGCGCCGTGATACTGTTTGGGGATATGGTCGCCTCGAGGAACCGAATGCGGCGACTTCAGTCCAAACTTGACAAACGGTTGTCGAATCGGTCGGAATGAAACAAGAGATTATTCCATGAAATTTCCTTTGCGCCTGAAACTGCGCGCCCTTTATTCAATGATGTCAGTCGGGACAAATATCCCCTGAACGCGAGATCAAGACTGTGACGGACCACCTTTTTGGCCGCCTTAGGCATTCAAGGGCCCCATTTCTCCGCTTACATACTCATTCATTGTGGGACTAGTTAATAAATATTACGTCTTCAAGACCCTGTTTACGCTCTTGATAGTATCATACACAGATCTCTAAGGAGATGATGAATTTAAGCTTGGAAAATCATATCATAATTACCTGCAAGTCTCATATACAATTATCAACATTACACGTTAAGAACAGAATAGGCATACGATAAAACTCTCGCCATCATTGATCTATGACATGGATGATCACAGGACTAAGGCGGTGAGGAGGACTAGTTCTGTGTGGGGAAAGCAGTCCAGCCAATCACTGGACACCAATCACGGCGAAATCGGACTTTTCGTTGCCCCTCCGAGGGGATAGTTGACTCATTGTGCCTTTTACAAGTTTCCCGCAAACTTGTACGAAGCATTGTCACTGTCACAATCATGGTTGCGGGACAAGCTTTGTTAGACCGCCTGGAACGGTGGTCACAGCGTTTGAATAACTTGACTGTCTCACCATTGACTCGAGACTATCCCGACACACAGAAGCAAGATGGCAAACGCACCATTGAGGCCTTTGAGTCGGTGAAGCTCCCCAAGGACACTCAATTGGCCGTTAAGAAGCTCTCTGGAGCTTCCTCTTCTGACTTCACTGTGTTTTTGACTGCCTTTGTAGTCTTGGTTGCTCGTTTGACCGGTGATGAAGACATTGCCGTGGGTACCAGCGTGGGTGACGATGGCCGTCCATTTGTCCTTCGGGTCCCTATCAGTGCGTCAGAGACCTTCACTCAGCTGTATGCTAAGGTAGACAAGGTGAGATAGCACAATCTTGAATTTTTTTTTCCCCTTCCCATTTGTTCTAATTATAGTGCCTTCAAGATCTTCCAAGAAGGTGCCTCCGATATCGTGCCCCTCGGCAGTCTGCGTGCCTACATCCAGCAAAATTCCAAGACCGAGCAACCTCCCACCCTTTTCCGATTCGCCGCCTATGATGCTCCCGCCGCCTCGCAGGAATACCCTGCCAACACTTTCGACAGCACTGACTTGGTGATCAACGTGGCACCGGGCAGCTCAGAGGTGGAATTGGGTGCCTACTATAACCAGCGTCTCTTCTCCAGCGCTCGTATTGCTACCATTCTCAAGCAACTTGCTCAGATTACTATCAATGCGGCGGCGAACCCAGATGAGGCCATTGGCCGCGTGGACATGATGACCGAGGACCAGCGTTCTCTTCTACCCGACCCTACCAAGGATCTTAACTGGTCCAACTTCCGTGGTGCGATTCATGATATATTTTCTGCCAATGCAGAGAAGCACCCTGAAAAGATTTGCGTGGTAGAGACCAAGTCAAGCAACTCTCCTCACCGAGAATTCACTTATAAGCAGATTAACGAGGCTTCCAACATCCTCGGGCACCATCTTGTGCAATCCGGTATTCAGCGGGGTGAAGTTGTCATGGTCTATGCCTACCGCGGTGTAGACTTGGTCGTTGCTGTTATGGGTGTCTTGAAGGCTGGTGCCACTTTCTCTGTCATTGACCCCGCATACCCTCCAGAGCGTCAAAATATTTACCTGGATGTTGCTCGTCCCCGTGCGCTAGTCAGCATTGCTAAGGCCTCTCGGGATGCTGGTGAGCTATCGGATATTGTCCGTTCTTTCATCACCGAGAACCTGGAGCTTCGCACAGAAGTGCCTGCTCTTGCTCTCCAGGATGATGGAACCCTTACTGGTGGTACCGTCAACAGCCAGGATATCTTCGCAAACCAGGTTGAATTGAAGGCTAGCAGTGTGGGTGTCGTGGTTGGTCCCGATTCTACCCCAACCCTGTCTTTCACATCTGGTTCGGAGGGTCGGCCCAAGGGTGTCCGTGGACGTCACTTCTCTCTTGCATATTATTTCCCTTGGATGTCTGAGACCTTCAAGCTCACCCCCAACGACAAGTTTACTATGCTGAGCGGTATTGCGCATGACCCCATCCAAAGAGATATTTTCACTCCCTTGTTCTTGGGTGCCGAGCTACTTGTCCCTGCTAGAGAGGATATTCAAAATGAGAAGCTTGCCGAGTGGATGCAAAATTACGGTGCCACCGTTACTCACCTTACCCCAGCCATGGGTCAAATTCTTGTTGGTGGTGCCTCGGCGCAGTTCCCGGCTCTTCACCATGCCTTCTTTGTTGGCGATGTTTTGATCAAGCGTGACTGTCGTTCGCTTCAGGGCTTGGCCCCCAACTGCTTCATCACTAACATGTACGGCACCACAGAGACTCAGCGTGCTGTGAGTTACTTTGAAATTCCTAGCTATTCGAGCCAGGAGGGTTACCTTGACACTGTCAAGGATGTCATCCCAGCAGGCCGTAAGAAATCTCTGTACACATTTACCACAACGGAAGCTTACATTATATTACAGGTGGTATGCTGGACGTTCAGATGCTGGTTGTCAACCGCTATGACCCTACTCGTATCTGTGCTATCGGTGAGGTTGGTGAGATTTATGTGCGTGCTGGTGGTCTCGCTGAAGGCTACCTCGGTTCTCCTGAGATGAACACCAAGAAATTCTTGACCAACTGGTTTGTGAAGCCCGAGGTCTGGACCGAGAAAGACCAGGCCCAGTCTCAGGGTGCTAAGGAACCGTGGCGAGAGTTTTATGTTGGCCCGAGAGACCGCTTGTACCGTAGCGGAGATCTTGGACGATACACCCCGACCGGTGACGTCGAGTGCTCTGGTCGAGCTGATGATCAGGTGAAGATCCGTGGTTTCCGTATTGAGCTTGGTGAGATTGATACTCACTTGTCTCGGCACCCTCTTGTCCGTGAGAATGTCACCCTGGTCCGACGTGACAAGTTCGAAGAGCCAACCCTGGTCAGCTACTTCGTTCCTGATATGAGCAAGTGGTCTGAGTGGTTGGAGAGCAAGGGAATCCAAGATGACACCTCTGCTGAGGGTATGGTGGGTATGCTGCGACGCTTCCGTCCTTTGCGTGACGATGCTCGTGACCATCTCCGCAGCAAGCTCCCCACCTACGCTGTGCCTACTGTCATCATCCCTCTTAAGCGTATGCCGTTGAACCCCAACGGTAAGATTGACAAGCCAGCCTTGCCTTTCCCTGATACCGCGGAGCTTAGTGCCGCAGCCCCTCGACGCCGCTCGTCGGCTGTCCAGGCGCTGTCTGAAACTGAGCAAACCCTTGCTCAGATTTGGGCCAAGCTTATCCCCAACGTGACTTCTCGCATGATTAGCACCGATGACTCGTTCTTTGATCTTGGTGGGCACAGTATCCTTGCGCAGCAAATGTTCTTCGATTTGCGTCGCAAGTGGCGTGGTATTGACATCAGCATGAACGCTATCTTCCGCAGCCCTACCTTGAAGGGTTTCGCTGGTGAGATTGACCGTCTGCTTGATCGAGAGTCCTTTGCGACCACCGATGATCCTGATAAGGGTGCTGCGCAGGCCCACAATGTGCCCGACGATGAATACTCCAAGGATGCTCGGCAGTTGGCCAGCGAGCTCCCCGAGAAATTCCCCGTGCGGACAGAGCCTATGCTCGACAGCGAGCCTACCGTCTTCCTTACCGGAGCTACTGGCTTCCTGGGGGCCCATATTCTTCGTGATTTGCTCACCCGTAAGTCTCCCTCTACCAAGGTTGTCGCCTTGGTTCGTGCCAAGAGCGAGGAGCTTGCTCTTCAACGACTCCGATCTACCTGTGCTGCTTATGGCTTCTGGGATGAGTCCTGGGCTAGTGACAACAAACTTCAAGCCATCTGCGGTGACCTTGGCAACCCTCAATTTGGTCTTTCGCAGACCCTGTGGGATGATCTCACAAACCGCGTCGATGCTGTGATCCACAATGGTGCTCTCGTTCACTGGGTCTACCCCTATGCCACTCTGAGACCCGCCAATGTGATGGGTACTATCGACGCTCTTAAGCTGTGTGCTAGCGGCAAGGCCAAGCAACTTGCTTTTGTCAGCTCTACCAGTGCCCTCGATAAAGACTACTACGTTCAAGAGTCCGAGCGCAGCCTTGCAGCCGGTGGGGATGGTGTCAGTGAGGATGATGATCTCGAGGGCAGCGCCGTTGGTCTCGGTACAGGTTACGGCCAAAGCAAGTGGGCCGGTGAGTACCTCGTCCGTGAGGCTGGTCGCCGTGGATTGAAGGGAACGATCATTCGCTCCGGATATGTGTTGGGTGACTCTACCACCGGTACTACCAACACCGATGACTTCCTTATCCGTATGTTGAAGGGTTGCATTCAGTTGAATGCTCGCCCCAACATCAACAATACCGTTAACATGGTTCCCGTGGACCATGTGGCTCGCATTGTCATTGCCACTGCCTTCCACCCTCCTTGCACTCCCGTCGGTGTTGCCCATGTCACTGGTCACCCACGTCTTCGTTTCAACCAGGTAAGAAGAACTTTCATCTACCTTATACACAGAAAAAAAGCAACCAATCTAACCTTCTTTCCCTTATGCAGTTCCTTGGCGCTCTTGAACTCTATGGCTACAATGTCCCCCAGACTGACTACGTTCCTTGGTCAATGGCCCTGGAGCAATATGTCAATGATGGCCAACACGACGACAAAGACTCTCAGCATGCTCTGTAAGTATTCTCTTGTTTCTTTTCCTCTGATCACAGTTTCATTCTAGTAGCAGATACTAACCCTGAACAGCATGCCACTTTATCACTTTGTCACTTCGGACCTTCCTTCCAACACCAAGGCTCCCGAGCTATCCGACACCAATGCCGCTGCGGCTCTCAAGGCCGATGCCACGTGGTCAGGGGTTGATGTGTCTGCCGGTGCTGGTGTGACCGAGGAGTTGGTTGGTCTGTATGCCTCTTATCTGGTGCAAACCGGATTCTTGCCCGCCCCGACCCTCGCTGGGGCCCGCCCTCTTCCGCTTGCCCGAATTACCGAGGAGCAGAAGAAGACTTTGTTGAGTGTTGGTGGCCGCGGTGGTGCGGCTTAAAAGCTGTCTTACATACTGTATATGCGTTCTGAATTCCATGTCGCGTTTCTTGCGCACCCCACTTGACTAGTTTGTAGAAATGAGAAATGAAAATATTTTAAGTCATTAGTGAGAAATCATATGTTTCCGCAACAGCAAGAACCAAGATGCTTCACCGATCGTGCCGATCTCGCCGTTTTTCCCAATTTTGATCGGGAAGGTTCGCCCACACGTTCGCCCACTCTAAGAGAGGGACCTTGACCCCCCTCCCCTTTTTCTCGTATCGGAATTTTTCTGGTCTATTAAAAACCCTCCTGTTCTTTTCTCCCCTTGACATTCCTCGTCAATCGTCAACACTCGGTTTTAACGTCATGTCTGAAGAAGGTACGTGGATCGGCGTTGAATTTTAAACTTCTTAGCGGCTTTTCCCCATCCCAATTGTTTTTTCTTCTTTCCCCAACATCTCTTGTCTCATCCCCCCGCGGAACACCGGATACGGCACGGCGCACACCGAACCAGTTGATCCCTGGAGTCGACAGGCAGTGGTGTTTGTTTTCTAGATATCCTTGGAGGCCGAGGGTACATTTTCATATCCTGTCATTGGCTCCTTCCTGATTACCTATCCCCCCCACCGTTCGTCATGAACGTCGCACGATTGGCCGTGCGACCTAGCGCAGTTGCTCGCACCCTCAAGGCGGTGCAGAGCAGCGCAGGCCGCCAGCCATCGAAACCCTCTCTTTCCTCTCACTTCCCTCCTTTTTCTGGGCGTATTTCACCTCGTTCCTCTCCCTTCTCGACCTCCACTCCTGCTTGGTGCTCCAAGCACAGCCCCTCCAGCACCGCCACCGCAGACGCCGATCAATCTAACACCTCCAGTTCAGATCGCTACTCGTCCGCTCTGCGACAGAACAAGGAATGGGCCGCCCAGACTGCCCGCGAGCACCCTGACCTTTTCCCTACCCTTGCGACCGGTCAACAACCCCAGATCCTGTGGCTAGGATGCTCCGACTCCCGCTGCCCGGAGACCACCCTGCTGGGTCTGAAGCCCGGCGATGTTTTCGTGCACCGTAACATCGCCAACATCCTGCACCCTGGTGACCTGAGCTCGGGTGCAGTGATTGAATATGCCGTGCAGCACCTGCGCGTCAACCATGTTGTGGTCTGCGGCCACACCGCCTGTGGCGGTGTCGCTGCCGCTATGGGCAACAAGCAACTTGGTATTCTGGACCCATGGCTGCTTCCCCTGCGCCAGGTCCGCAACCGCAACCTTGCCTTGCTGCAGAGCCTGTCCGAGGAAGAGGCGGCGCTTAAGCTCGTTGAGCTTAACGTCCGCGAGGGTTTGGACGTTGTCAAGCAAAAGGGTGCGGTTCTCAACGCGATCGAGGAACGTGGACTCCAGGTCCACGGTCTGATCTACGACGTTGCTTCCGGTGTCCTGCGGGAATTGGACACCCAGGATTCGGAGGAGGTTATCAAGTCTCGGTTGACAGCTTTCGCTGTTCGTGATTAGATGACTTTTTTTTGAGGCATCTACGGAGCCGTCTACGGAGAATTTGGAGATTTAGGCGCATGTGATTTGTGGTAGTGAGGGAACAACATAGACCAACCATTTCTTTTACTTTTGGTGTTATACAGTTGGAAGATGACGATTGAACGACATTTTCCGAGTACTTTGGAGTATAACAGCAATCCATCGTGCAATTTTATATTTAATATGCCCATTGATCTTATTATTGGAGCACTCAGTCATAAGATCACACCAAACCAAAACTACTGTATAGGCTTCATTCTCTGCTATAACATGTAATAGCTCAAAGATAACTAAGCATAAGACTCGGAGGCAATATGTATTCCAAGGTTGGCGATGACACGTGCATACATATCAACCCCCGACTCCCGATTGAGAGTCGGCGAGTCAACTAGGTATAACCGATGAGTAAAATCCCAAGTACTGATTACAAGAGTCATACTAACATTGAAACCAACATTCGAACCTTGGCAGGTCAGCCTCACTTTCAAAAGTCCCAACAAGCCACAGCACAGCCCACCCTAGGGTCTTTCCCCCATAATCAATCGTCATTCGTTCGTAAAAGAAAGGACATTGTTTCTGAAGCCAGCAAAGCTCTTCTTTTCGGGGACTTAAAACGGACTGGTCAAGATCCCAACTTCAGGCAAAGTGTGGTGACTCACGAGGCTCTGCTGATTACTCGGTGGGGCTGTTGCTGCAGATCGACCCGCTGCAAAGTGTATAGGCCTATGGAGAGCCTTGCACCAGCTCAGTGACTGTTGTGTGATACAGGCAGCATTGCAGACGTGGCTGCCTTGTTGTCTGTGCAGCAGATTACAATTATATTTAGGATAGTGTTTCTGCTGTTCCTCTTCCTGTTTTCTTTTCACTCTCACTTTTCTGATCTGAAACGCCTTTCTTTTCCTTCACCACTTCACTACTTTCCCCGCATCTGAGTCTGTCAGCGACGATTTTCCTTCTGTTATTCCTCACTTTTCTTTACTTACTTTACCTATTTCCATTGTGTTCCACTGATTTTGCATCATGGCGCAAGAAACTAATACCTCAGTGGTTCAGAGTACCACTACTCCACCAGTGCCTAATGGGAATCATCAGTCTGGTAAGATTGGCTTGGCTTAGGAGCAATTTGGCACTACAAAGAATCTATCTGACACTGAGCAAATAGCGGCCGCCCATGATTTGACCACCCAAGAATCCATTGAACCTACTACTGTTCCCCATCACCCCGTTACAAACGGTAATGCTATTAATGGTATAACGGCAAACGGCACTGTCACCAACGGAACAGAGACACCTATCAGGGTCACAGCGCTAGAATCTGGTAAAATTTCCGATGAGCCCAAAACAAACGGCGTGCACGTAACAAATGGGAACTCTTTGAAGAAGGAGACGAACGGGATTTTGATAAACGGAGACAAAAAATCCGGTAAGTCCTGTTACATTGTCAATACTAGTTTGTCTTCTTTGCTAATATTTCCAAGACGACAAGTCCGAAGAAAGAGTCGAAGAGAAGGTCGAGGTTAAGACGACTGAAACCAAGACTGAAGAGAAGTCTGAAGACAAGACTAAAGGCAAGGCTGGAGACAAGACTGGAGATGAGGATAAATCCGAAGTCGAGAAGAAAGAAGAGAAAAAGTATGAGCCTCATGGTTCCATCTGCGATATCCACAAACTCTACCAGACAAAGCCCGACGAAAGCGGAAACACATCATGGACCAAAGACTACCCTGAGAGTCTCGTTGCACCAGCAGAGGATGAGGAGTCTGCGCAATATGCCTTGATTGTGCGCAATGCCAAATGCTATGATGGACGCAAAAGTCTGTCAGTCCATTCAGTCATCGTCCAGAGCGATCCACTCAAGAAGTTCTTGAGCAAAGTACTAGAGAACTACCCCGGCGTCACCACCACACTGGAGCGACTCGAGTTCCACAGTCCTTTCAGACCCCTAGTACACCGCTGGGAGCAGTTTGTTCAGTTTCGTGACGAAGAACAGGACCCCACGACTAAGACACACGTGAATCTATTATACAAGGTCCTTGAGGAAGAACTCCGCGATGATATTGCCCGCAAGAAGGACATGATTCGCAACGGTGTTATTACTCACGCTCTGATCTGGACTATTTTCGAGCCCGGTAATGAGATCATTGCGACTGCCGGGGGTAGGACCCGAGCGTTTAAATTCCATGACGATGCGGTCGATTGCCGGACAAAGGCATGGATCATCACTGGCCAATATGTGGACTTTGATGGTGAAGACTTTGGATATCGAGAGGAAGACTTCAAAATTTTCCCTTATATTGGAACTGCTCCTATCACTTCGCTCGCTGTTTCTCCTCTTAAGTACCATGCTGAGAAGGAATCCATTCGAGAGTCTTTGATCACACGGGGTAAGCTCTGGGAGTCCTACAAGGGTTACAAGTACAAGGCCTACGAGGGTGTCGCGAACGGGTTCTTCAACGACGAGATTGTGAAGTATCATGTCAACAGTCGAATCATCATCGATGCCGAGGCCTTCAACATCTTCCATCCCACAGAGACGGTTCGTGTCTATGGGGAGTCTGACTGTCCCCAAGAATTGACTGAGACCGAGTGGGTCACTGCGAGTCCTATGGTACACGGGTACTCAATTAAGGATAAGGAGTGGCTACAGTTCTATTTGGATAATTCCAAAGAGATCGAGTGGAATACTAAAGCCTTTGACTCCCTGGTTCTACCTAAAGGCCAGGAAGATTTCAAGGATCTCATCCTGGCTTTTGCCAAGGCCCAGTCTAAGCAGCTGGACAACTTTGATGACATTGTCCAGGGCAAAGGCCGTGGTATCATCATGCAATTGAGTGGTCCTCCGGGAGTGGGTAAGACGTTGACTGCTGAAAGTGTCGCTGAGGTGATGCAGGTCCCTTTGTACTCTATGAGTGCAGGTGATCTAGGGATTAGTGCGGAGAGAGTGGAAAGGAGTCTCAAGGATATCCTCCGAATGGTGCCCAAATGGGGTGCTGTTCTACTTCTAGACGAAGCCGACGTGTTTATGGAGGCACGAACTGCATCTGATCTAATGAGGAATGAGCTGGTGTCGATCTTCTTACGAATGTTGGAGTACTATGAGGTAGGTTTTCCTGATTGGTCCATCTGGCATTGATCACTCACTAATTCTGCAAACAGGGTATCCTATTCCTGACGACCAACCGAGCAGAGAACATTGATCCAGCATTCGAATCCCGGATCCACGTAGCGCTTGCCTACCAGGATCTTGACACAACCTCTCGACATATGATCTGGTCTCAGTTCATTGAGAGAACAGACAACACCGAGGAATTCACAAGTGCACAAATTGATAAGCTGTCCCTGGTCGACTTGAATGGCAGGCAGATCAAGAACACCTTGAAGACTGCGGGTCTACTTGCTTGGTCACAACAGGCCAAGCTTGGATATCAGCATGTTCAGACCGTGTTGAACTTGCGGAAGAATAATGCCCACAAGCCCACATTCTATATTTGATTTGCTTTCAATACCCACTATTAGCTCAGATTTCTTCATCTTTATTACTAAATAGGCACATATATCCAATCCACAACCTGTCTGTCTATGTGTACCTCGCTCCCAAACCAATGTTTCTGTTTTATCCCTTGATCCGTCTCCTGGAAGGTATAGAATTTTTTGACATTGACAAGGTAAATCAGCTGAGATCAAAGTATCTCGCTCAAATCTTAAAAGTCGAATCTTTGAGCGTACCCTGCAGCACGCTGAGCAAGCTGAGACGCCCGCTCCTCAGAAGTCACAAAAACTGTGTCACTGGGTAAAACAGAGGATAGCTCCGAAAGCTGAACAACCTGGGTTGTAATGCTCGGTGAGTCATCAGATGAATCCGATGAAGACGTAGGCAATCCCTGCCAGCGCACCATGATTGTACCTTCAGTCAGCCCAGTTGTATTAAGCCAATTATAGACGCCCGGATCCTCTTCAGAAACAACAAAAGTATAGGTCCCATTTGTATTCGCCACAGCCTGCTCGCTGTTCAAGCTAACTTGGCTCGTTCCCGGGTCGACAGAGACCATCCAAGGATCTGTAACAGGGAAGACCCAGTAGGTCGAAGACCCCGGCGTAAGGGTAGCGACCAGAGTCTCATTGTCACTCAGGGTGAAATGTCCAAATGAGCTCGCTTGGCTGGTCAACGTTCCCAGGGTGCTTGATTGGCTAGGGGTTGATAGAGTGTTGACCGTGTAAACTGAAGTCTTGATTCCTAGAGCACCAACACCATAATCGACAATGGACTCTTGCAAGTCTAGTTTTGCCGCAGTAAGGATACTTGCGTCAGTGATGGGTGTCTCGGATGTACTACCAACCAGCTCTACGGAAAGATTGTCTGGCTTCTGAGACAGCCAATCTCCCAAGTTATTGCGGACAAACAGTTGTTTGGCTAGAAGAGTGGATTGGATGTGGTTCGTAGTGTTATCAGTAGCTGCAGAGCTATTGATAGTGATGGTGTACGATCCATCTGCGTCGATTATCAAGTCACTGTCTGACAAGCTTGCGATGGTATTCTGGGAGTTGGGATCGCTTATGAGGGAGAAAGTCACATCCGCTGGCCCTGGAGTGTAGCGATAACCCGTAACCACGTAGCTGAGGCTGTAGTCGATGGGGATGGTGCGGTAGATGCAGTCTGGGTTATCGTAGGAGTATCGCCCACCGGGGACGTCGAGTCCGAACCAATTGTGTGGTGCCGCATTGACCGAGTAGACCTTCGGGTAGTATGGGTCATTGTTGACGGCCTTCTGAATGGAGCTGAAGGTTAATTCGTCGATTGCGGCATCGAGGCTTGATAGGGCTTCGTCGCTGATGGGAAGTCCATGTGCTGTTTCATAAGCGGCTTTGGCTTCGGCTTTGAGGACGGTAAAGGTATTGTTCTGGTAGATCTGGATAGCGAGATCATCCAAGTTGCGTTGATCAGTTGTTGCGAGGGGGTTCTCATATGCCGCACCGGAGCTGGACAGCAACAACGCGACTACAGCCACGTTGGAGATCCGTTGGGGGAATGAGGAGACTTTCATTGTGAATATATACTGTTCAGGTTGAGCACCAATGGCCGTGCACAGGTGTCAATTTCTGTTGCTCCGTGATTCGAATAAATACGTTCCTTGATCTCTGTTAAATAGTAAATAAATTACGATTAGCCAAAATGATGTTTTTGATTCTTGTTATTGCGCAAGGCCACGAATCACATGCCACGTGCATGTATAGATGGCTTTAACCTTGAATTATCCCGGAAGAAACAATGCATGGCCTCGCTTAGAGCTTAAGCGAGGTGACGGTTCCAAGCCATTGCTACATAAGCTAGAAACAAGCTACTATGGCATCATCGGCAGCGAAGTAAAAGTTCGTTGCGCAGTAGCCAAGCATGAAAGCCGAGGACCTGCCGGAACCCCGCTTCGATGTTTGTATTGTCAATCCCGGGCATAACTGACGGCATAAGGTGAGCACTTTGCATCAATCCCCATTCATAATTTTCCATCCACTTAACCATATGGAAAATTCGAAATTCGCATTTGATTAATTAGATCGTCAGGGCCAGCAGAATTGTGGGGTTCTATATGTATACTGTAGATTCGATTAAAGTTTGAATGTCTCAGAATTCCCGTTGTTGTCTTGGAAGATGGAGCCCAGAGGTTGCTAGTGGCATGCTTGATTACTTTCTCTGTGGCTTTCTAGTACATTGTCGAAATGATGATTATGATCAATTGATGCTCATTCATTTCTAAAAAAAAAAGAAAAAGAAAAAGTAAACAATCACATGACATTTATTTTGCCACCTCTTACCGTTGCTGGCAACTTGCTGCTAATTTCTCCTTGTCCACTTTGTCCACTTTGGCTGGGCATTTCTCGGCATTTCGTCACTTGTAATGTTTCTTGGACTCATCAATTTATTCGATTGCGTGTCCATTGACGATCAGGTTATCACGAAAGTAATTGTACAAGTCAATTTGGTATACATGGTGGGCTATTTCTTTTCTTTCTCGAGAATGACCCAATGCCGACCGGTAGTTAGTTAAATGGTGTTATACCCTTGTCTTTGTCATGCGCAACCAGACCCTTAAATGGCATCATCTGCGGAGTATAGAAAGGTGCCAAGATTCAACTAGTCCAATCAAATATGATATATAATGTTCCTTATACTCCAATACAACTTTGAATAGAAGCATTTCAATTTTTGATCTTCATTGCTGCGCCCCGTGTTTGATTTTCCAAACAAGGGCAAGGCACCAAACAATCCGAGCATGCGTCATCAAAAGCGCCCTGAGAGATAATTCCCGACCCCTATTGGCTCCACTGGGGTCTAGAAGTCCCCATGTCCACCCCAAAACCGCCCTTTGCACTTGCCGCCACGGCTTTGAAACCCCTCTCTGGTTAATGAGTGCCCTGGTGTTACGGATCTGCCGATGTGATCTGCGCACTGCCCTTTCGTCCCCTGGCCACTCGCTGATTCCTTATTCCTTCATGGCTTTTGTTTGATCCTTGTCCGTGTCGCTCTCTTCCACATCACCATCATGTTCTGGCTGGGCTTATTACTGTTGCTCACGCAAAATGTCGTCGCTTGGCATTCCGACGATGATCTGATGTCCTTTGTTACGGTATAGCCTTGCCCAGACACCGATTGCGGATCCACGAAACTAATCCCATTCATCTTCTCTTAGCTCCCGGATGTCAGAGCTGTCAAGTTCAATGTCGACTATGAACACCGCGATCGTGTTAGCCCGGGATACTGGTTTGTCTCGCCCTATTTGCACATCGCCCCCGATCAGCCCAGCAGTCTCTACGAACAATACCAAACCGGGCCCCATATCTACGACCAGGATGGTGTACGTGTTGATCTTTATCCTGCCATCTGTCGCGAAAAAAACAACTGACCTCAATTCCTTTTCCCCCATAAATAGCGCCTTGTCTGGTCCGGAGCACCCATGTTTGACAACCGCAATGTCTTTGATTTCAAAACAGTCACCCTCAATAACGAAACATACATCTCTTGTATCTTGCAATACAGTTATGATGGGCGTGAACGAGGATTTGGTATGATCCTGGATCAAAATTACGAGATTTACCGGAAAATTCCATTGAGGAGGGATTTCGGATCATTCGACATCCACGAGTTCAGAGTTCTCGATAATGGCGAATCAGCTTTGGTCACGGTTTATCTCTCGGAGGAAATCACCCTGGAAGCCTATGGCCGCCCCGAGGAAAAGACCTGGCTGGAATACGGTGGTTTCGCAGAGCTTGATATTGATACTGCCGATGTTCTCTATCACTGGAATACGTTTGCAGAGGTCTCGCTGGCGGAAACCGTCCATTACGATCCAGGTTCTCGCGTTGAAGGGCTCCCTGGCTGGGATTATGTGCATATTAACTCTGTGGATAAGAACGATAACGGCGACTACTTGATCTCGTTGCGCTTCACCAACACCATTTACCTTATTTCCGGTCAGAGTGGAACCATTATGTGGCGTTTAAGAGGACAGGGAGAGAGTGATTTCGATCAAGATTTCGTCTTTTCTAAACAACACGATGCCAAATTCCTTGAATCATCGGGAACACGACACGTCATATCGTTCTTGAACAATGCGTCGGATGAGGATCGCTCCGATGAAGAAATCTCGTCGGCCTTGGTTGTCGAACTGGAAACTGGCACAACCCCCATGACCGCCCGCGTTCTCAATCGATACAATCGACCTGACAGGAGCCTCACCCGCCTCCGAGGCAATGACCAGCAATTGGCCAATAAGAACATGTTTGTCTGCTGGAGTCAAGGCGGCTACATTTCTGAGTTCTCACCCGAGGGAGAAGTTTTAATGACCGCCAGGTTCACATCAGACCGGTTCTCTAGCTATCGCGCCTACAAGTCCGAGTTCACAGGCCGTCCAAACACCCCTCCGGATCTTGTTGCTTCCGTATATGGTAGCGATGAGACGAACCTCGTCACCACGATGCACGTCAGTTGGAACGGCGCCACCGACGTGGCCATGTGGAAATTCTACGCCCAGGCCTCCGAATTCGAGAGTCCGGTATTCATCGGTAACGTCTCCAGATATGACTTTGAATCCATGTTCATCGCCAGCGGGTACATGGATTGGGTGTCTGCTGAAGCAATTCATTACGACGGTCACGTCATGGGCACTTCAAAGGTGCACCGAACACAAGTTCCGGATTGGAAGACTGCTGGATATTCGGCCTACGCTGGACGTCCGAGACCGCAGGATCCCTCCAAGCTCGCACCCGCTCAGGGTGGTATTTCGAGCAACAAGGTAAGTGACCCGAGCCGTCTTGAGTCACAGGGTGACACGGCAGATACTGAGGCTAGAAAGACCATTCAAATGCTCTCCAACTCCTACGCCACTGTCCGCCGTATCGGCGGTCTCTTTGCGCTTATCTTGCTTCTGGCAGTGATGTCTGGTATCATGGCCAGCTATCTGCTCATTCGTGGCTGGCGGGTCCGGCTTTATAACCGCGTTCCATTGGAGGAAGGGAACCCAGAAGAGGAGGATCGTCTCAGACCTGAAATGGCCGAGTGATGTCTTCTTCCTTTGGGGAGTTCGAGTTTCGATTCCTACCTTGCATGGATATTTGGAGTTTATTGTATATTATCGGTTTATCTGGCCATGCAACAATGCCATTTGTAAATAGCCTGGGTGATTTTTTTTTACTGTCCATCTTTCAGCTGGTGTTTAATCATCTATCTGATATCTTCGAAAGTCGCAAGAACGTGTTGTGATTTCGTACAGCTTCATTTCTTTGTGATCCACTCTGATTAAAATTTTTTTTCAACATTAGCCTCTCCCGAGAGCGATAGCCCCGTTATCAACCAACACTTGGAATGTCGACAGCGCAAGGGATTTTAGATCCCCATGACTCGGCTTCGGCCCAATCGATTCCACATTCCCTTGTTCACTTATTCCCGTGTGGGCAGAGCAAACTGAACTCTTCAAGGCACCGAATCATGTTGAATACTGGATTCTCCGGATTCCCAGGACTGCCCCGGTTTCACGAGCCCCTCCAGCCGCGAATTACCCCTCTTTGCTAATGTTTATAATGGATCAGCAGACCCAAAATCTTGATCAGAATGCTTCTCCAACTTTCTGGCCCACAAATTTGACATGATTTTACATGATAAGAACCCGTTTACGCGCAAGGGATTCCCGGATCGCGGGTCTCGGGAATAAATCAACATTCCCGAAATATCGGCTATCATTCCCGACCTTATCTTTTTTTTTCCCGAACGTTCTATTTAGTCCACCGTGACTCAAATTTGCCATCCACGAATTGCGTAATAGTTTTTAAAAAACAATTGCTGGTCTTTGTGTGGGAAATTTATCAAAAATCTTTCTTCAATTCACCTCTTCCATTCAACATTGGATAACAATTATATATACGCCACAATGCCGTCAACCAATCTCTGCCAAGACGAGACATGTCCTCCATACAGTCTTATGGACGACTATAGCGAGGGAGCTCATCCACAAATTTTGGAGGCTCTCCTGCGCACCAATTCCACTCAGCAAGTTTCATACGGTGGCGACGATTACAGCAATACCGCCAGACAATTGATTCGCGATAAAATCAATTGCACAGAAGATGAAGCCGATATTTTCTTCGTGCCCAGTGGCACATCAGCGAACTTGATTTCAATTGCAAGCTGTCTTCGCCCTTATGAGGCAGTTATTACCCTGGAAACGGGCCACATTGCCTGCAAAGAAGCCGGTGCCATTGAGGCTACGGGACACAAGCTTATCCTTGTCCCACCCGTTGACGGCAAGATGACGACGGCAAGCCTGCAAAAGGCCATGCAGCAAAATCAATTCTTCCCGCACATGGCTAAGCCGCGCCTTCTTTATATCTCCAACGCATCGGAGACTGGAACAGTCTATACGAAGCGTGAATTGAGCAGCTTGTCTGCTCTATGCAAGCAATTGAATCTTCTTCTTCTGGTGGATGGCGCCCGAATTGGAACGGCACTGTGCTCAAAGAAGAACGATATGACTCTCCGCGATATCTTTGATTATTCTGATATTTTCTGGATCGGTGGAACCAAGGCTGGTGCCCTTATGGGAGAAGCCATCGTTGTTAAGAAGGCATTGGCCGAGGGCTTCGTTTTCCACCTCAAACAACACGGCGCTTTGCTGGCGAAGGGTCGTATCATGGGTGTTCAGTTCATGGAGCTTTTCCGCGATGATCTGTTTTTCACATTGGCTGGACATGCGAATGCAATGGCCGAGAAGATTTCGGCCAATTTCGAGCTTCTGGGACATGAACTCGCGGCAGAGACTGCAACAAATCAAGTCTTTGTCACACTTCCTGAGAATCTGGTCCGCAGGCTGCAGGATCGATTCCGCTTCTATATTTGGGAGCAGCTTGATGATGGACGGGTTATGGTCCGTCTTGTGACCTCTTGGGCTACGGATGAGCTGCAGGTTGATAAGTTTAATGCATGGGTGGCGCAGTGGACTGCGGCATCCAAGGAGTTTGCTACTTAGAATTGCGTTGCATTGATATCAAGACACATACATAATATAATTAATTAACATTTGAAGTCCAATATTTTGACAATAGAACATTCCAAGAAACGTCCAGCGGGATCAATCCATGTCTCCTTCCAAGGTTGCTACTCCTCAAACTACTAAACAATAAACTGTAAACCCCGCCCTGGGCGCTAATGATTAGCGGTAAATAATACAGATATAAGAACGTTTTAACGCGAAAAAAATCAGAGAAAAAATCAGATAAAACCTTGGAACGCGACACGAAACACGATACAAGCAGTGAAAAAAAACAGTGAACAACATATGTATGGTTGAAACCCCGTGCTAAAAACCCAACATCCAACATTGGCCCAAAATCTACCACTTGGTAGATCCACCATTTGCCTCAATAACAGACGCATCGAGCAATGTCAAAAAACATGCTCACAATTGAACCAAGTGATTTCAGCCAGAAAGAACTTGGTCTGATAGATAATCTAAGATAGATTATTGAAGTCACATGATTGGTAACAATGACACCTTAAACTTCTGGCGCCCAGGTAGGTAACACCTTCTCCGTTGAACTCACATGGAATGCAACCTCTGTCACAACATGGGTCGGGAATTGAGCTTTTGATAATTGGGAGAGCCATCATTAATGCATTCTTGATGTTATCTACTTAAAAGGGCATTGATCGGCCTTCCAAAGCCCAAATGAGGCTGTCAATATCTTGTGATGCGTGTCGGTGAGATAAGACCCATGCAAGATCGAGAGCTCAATTACTGCAATGACTAACCACTATCATAGACGGGCAAAGGTCAAGTGTGTCCATGAGGGCAACCCGCCTTGTCAGCGCTGTCAAAAAACCAAGAGTGACGAATGCGCTCTGACAGACCCTCGAGCTTCGAAGCCAAGAACAGGCACAGGTGTGCGGCGGGGAAGCACTGCCAAAGCTAGAACAGGGCAGAAGCGACGAGCAACCACTGCAGTGTCTCCAGATACTCACCCTCAACAAGTCCCTCGTCCGGGGCTTTCGCGTACGGTTTCCGAGAGCAACGAGAATCCCATCTCATCTTTATCACCATCCATTGTCATCACAGCCGTGGAAATTTACCGAAAGAAGTTCCCCATTACGAATTTCTTGCATTATCCGTCTTTGATCTCAGATGTCTCATCTGATTTCTCATCAATTGATCCGGTTTTCGTTGCCTCCCTTCTATCTTTGTGTGTGCGTTTCATGAGCGGAGATGGGGTCGCCGATGAAGAAACATATGCCGGCTATGCACGTAAACATCTCGCTCATCGTGTCATGGAGGCGCCATCCCTTTATCTCGCTCAGTCTTTGGTGATGATCTCGTTCTATGAATGGGGAACTGGTCGGCCTTACCAAGCATGGATGTATAGCGGTATGTGCATGATCATAAAAAATGACCATTAAAATGTGTGCCATGAGCTAATTTTCTCTAGGCATGGCTACCTATATGATACAGTCACTACTTAAAATGTCCGACGATAGTATGGAACATAATCCACACGAATTCCATGCTTCTCAGACCCAGTACGAACAGCTTGTTCGTACCTACTGGTGTTGCTTTGCTCAGGATTGTGAGTTGAGCTCCGGTGCTCGACAACATTTTGCATTATCCTTTTCTCAAATATCGGTACCACTTCCCATCAGTGACCGGGATTTTACGTTCAATCATGTGCCCGAGAGGAGATTGATGCCTGCCGATATGAACGATCAGTGTTCTCTGGCAAGAAATTTGACCATAGAGCATGGCCTGACGATAGTGACGCGCGGATTTGATATATTCGTGCGAATTCTGAGATTTGCGAACGAACACCGTCGCGCGCTAGCATCTTTGGGCTCGGAGGATTCTACATCGCCTCTTCTTCGGACTTGGCAGCGACTTAAGGGAGAGTTGGATGAGTGGAGATCTCTACAAGATATGACCGTTCGATACCCTGCGACAAGCGCTCAGGCACATGTTGCTCTCGGATACGGAGAGCTTTTTGCCTACATCAATCTAATATACTTTATGAGGTATGCTCGGGAGTTATTGCTTTTTGACACGGACACTCTCAAGACCATCAGACTGACCCCAACAGCGTATTGTTTCTCCATCGCGATCGCTTCCTTTCCAATCTCAAACCCGACGTTGACGTTTTTCATGACATGAATGATGATGAACAGCAAGAGCCCGGGACTATTAGAGAACTTTTTGCCGCCGTGCAGAATATCAGCGGAGTACTATCAGCCCTAGAGGCATCAGAGGCACCAGTCATGACCCCCTATTCAGGTTTCAGTGTCTTTGTAGCTGCACACATCAACATGTACGGGACCATTGCCCCGATGCGATACCCCGGCGGACTTGAGCGAGCAGAAGAAGAGAAAAGCAAAAATCTCATATACCTTGAGCGGCTAAGCCGATTGTGGCCCGTTGGTCGAAGCTGGGTAAGTGTCTATTTCTGAAGACCCTTTTTATATTTTAAAGCTTCAACTGACAAGTCGACTCCATTTCCAGTGGCGAACTGTGCAAGAAGCAAATCGATTCTATGAAACTGTCAAGAGCACTCAGACACATACTGAGACTGGTATGCACAGTCCCCGACGTTTTGCATTGGCAGGTGGTTTGGATGAGTACGGCGATATCCGCTCCCGTCCCAATCGCGAAATGCATATGACTAGGACCATGGCTACGGGACCGGGCGAACCCGACAATGCGCCTCAGTCTCAAGATCGGGTTTTATCATCTCCCGTTCCCGATAGTGAAACTACGTTTCTTTCTCGTGAGCACGCTGGACTCGCCCACGACTTTGAAACGGATATGTTTCAATGGCCTTTTATCGATGCATCTTGGTCTGCTGGGTTTGACGCGGGGCTAGACGGACTATGGCACCACTCTGGGTTATTCGATGCGAATCCTTCCTTCAAATGTTGAGATAGGTAGCAGGATCCTTGTTTTCTTATATCAAAGGACATGTAGGTAGGTCACGGACGAATGTAATGACAGAAGGAAATTTTCTATTATGAGATTATTCTATGAATAGACTGCAGTTAATGTTAACCAAAATTATATAATACATTCATCAACGTTATCGACCAGCACTTATCGGCTGCCGCTATCTGCACTGGCACTCTCGACAGTCTGCTCCACGGCGACGGTCTTTCTGATACCTTCGAACACACCAGACTCATTCGCCTCCGGACCGCCGGCATACGAGATGAGATGGCTCTGATCGCCAAAGTTGGGAGGCTTCTCCCATGCTGCTTTGGAGTTGGTTCCAGTGTTCCGGTCGGCCAGTTGGACCTCGGAGCTCTGGTTGTAGTACTTTTGGGAAGAGTAATTCTTCCGGTAGTAAGCAATGAGAACATTGCAAACGGGGAGACAGGCGCAAATCAGTCCCACACCACCCTCGGCGTTACTAAGAATAAAGTTAGCATGCAAGTACCAAAAAGAGTATGAGTAGAAAAGAAAAAGCAGGAAAGTAAAACACATACCCCGATAGAATAACATCCATGAAAACAATAGTCTGGTTTGCAGAGTTACCATCCCTCAGCACCAGCACCAATCGATACAGACTGAAGGCCGTAGCGAGACCACCAGCACCCAGCAGACCGATAACGCGGAGCTTCCTGTTGCGCGACATTTGTAGGGACCAGGTCAAGGGCAAGGGGAGCACGAGAATGATGATATCGCTGACGACACTGATGACGGAATCGGCAATCAGGGCAGCAGTTTGATCCAGACAGGAGCCGTCCACTGCATCTCCGAGCCAGTATCTTGGGATGGGGGCGCACATGCGGATTTTGACGATGAGGGCCACGGCGTAGTATGTGCAGAGACAGCCGAGGAAGCCGTAGATGAACCAGACTTTGCCACGGTAGGGCTTAAAGATGCGGGTTAGGATGGAGAGAAGGGCGATTTTGACGAAGAGAGCCATTGGGCAGTAAAGGATAGTGGCGATATAGCAGAACTTTTTGAATTGGATTATGTCGGCGTCGGAGACGTCACTGATGTTGTAGCCGCCGCCATATTTGCCGACTGGGGGAGTAATTAGTTGAGAGGTTCTTTTTTTTTTTTTTTTTTTTTTTTTTTTTCCAGATGTTGAAAATGGGTAAAGGTTGTTGATGTTTGACACTTACTGAACATGCCGACTACACAGTATCCCATGAATAGGGCCTGGATAGGGTTGGTTAGTCATATGCGCAGGGTTTCCGATCGGGATCGCGATGGCGTTTTTCAAGGTTATTAACATACCCAAGCCACAGTACAGGCAGCTGGAGGAAAGACCCGATTAGTATACATCCCCGTGAATAGATCGGTTCAGATCAAAAAGAAAACATGGAAAGCTAAAGAGCCTCCGGGAGAGAAAAGGGAGGCTTAAAAAAAAAAAAGAGAGAGAGAGAGCTTACCATCTTCAATTCCCAGACTCTGCTTAAACCGAATTCGAGTATAGAAGCGCAAGGCCACAAAGGCGGTTGTTATAGGAAGACATAGAATCTGGGTGACCAGGTTGACGGTGTGAATGACATCTTTGGGATTATCGATCGTCATTTTGAGATATCAAACATGGAATGGGATCTGGGAAAAACAATGGGGATTGACAGATTAAGAACAATGGAGCTGAAGGGGGCAAAAACTGGAGTCTATGTACGGGTTGTATGGGGGAATCGAAAGGGAGTTTGGACCTCTTGGGTTTAGGGTAATTACCATGGTTCCAGCGCGTATTCCGTGCAGTAAAGTTGCAAAACAGTGAAAGGATTCGTTCTAAGTGGAGATCTTAACGCTATTGATCCCACGACTCAATGGTCCCGGTAGCATCGAGGCCCTGGGAACTTTACAAACTTTACTTTTTTCTACTGTGGAGGTTTGGAAATTGTCCCTTAATGAACCAATCCCGATCTCCTAACTGGAATCCATTACGTGGCCGGGGAACATCGGGAGCATCGGGGATGGTTCTTAGTGTAATCCGTGTGGTATCGATAGCATCCACTCCCGAGACTGCGATTGGATCTGATATAGTGGATCTTCAATGCAGTGACAGTAGTTCAAAGTCTGGTTCCCACGTTCAAATTGAATGTAGCCTTCTTAGCTGGAAACACGGGAATTGTGGGTTCCTGGTCTAAAAATTCCCAAACCCTTATCGTTCTAGCCGAATTGACACATTTGACACTTTGATAATCCCAATTGACCCCCAAAATAGGGGGGAATGCCCCAGGTGAGAGGGGAAAACAGACCTCGGGAGGGGTTATTGCCTTGTGTGAATGAATTATTTCAAATATTCACTAAATATTGACTAAATATGAAACTAAATTACGTGCCAAGTTTGACTCCAATTTTTTCTCTTCCTTTCTCCTATTTCTCTTATTTTATCTATGCGATTTCCCTTCCAAGGTTCCGCTTGAAAAAAAAACAAGCCCCAAAAATCCTATATTCGAAACCAAAAAACATTGAAAAGAAGAAAAAAGACTAAAAAGACCAAAAAGATCCCCCCAAAAAGTATATCATTCAAAATCCTTCGGCTATGACCATTCATTATCTCCGCGAAGGCTCCGCCTTATTTCAGCCCCTGTCGATTGCCAATGGCGGCATCACCCTCAGCCACCGCATTGTTCATGCGCCTCTGACCCGTAACCGTGGAGTGCCAGAGAAGTCTATTAGCACTCCCGAAGTCCCCAATCGAGTTTGGATCCCTGGTGATTTGGTGGTTGAGTACTATTCTCAGCGTGCCACCGATGGAGGCTTGATGATTTCCGAAGGTATCCCACCTTCTTTAGAGGTAAGATGAAACGAGTTCCCACTTCAACCGCCTCAAACCTAAACGCATTTACCTTTGGGGCTTTGTTTTTTTTTTTTTTTTCTTCTGTCGAAATTGGCTGCTCTTCGGCAATTCCGAAACCCATTTCCGTGACGTGCAAGTTCATTTTGATTAACCTTGTTTTTTTTCCCCTTAGAGCAATGGCATGCCTGGTGTCCCGGGACTATTCACCCCCGAACAGATCGCCGGATGGAAGAGAGTCGTCGATGCCGTCCATGCAAAGGGCGCTGTCATTTACTGCCAGCTCTGGCACGCCGGTCGAGCCACGATCCCCCAGATGACTGGATCGCCGTCCGTGTGTCCATCGGCAAGCGTGTGGGACTCACCCACTGAGTGCTATTCCCATCCCCCTGTCGGATCCACCGAGTACTTTTCGGTCCCATACGCGGATCACCCACCTATCGAATTGTCGGTTGCGCATTTGAAGCGAACCATTCAAGATTATTGCCAGGCTGCAAAGGCCGCCATGGATTTAGGGTTTGATGGCGTGGAACTCCATTGTGGCAATGGTTATCTTCCCGAGCAATTCTTGAGCTCCAATATCAACAAGCGCACGGACGCTTATGGTGGATCGCCTGAAAAACGGTGCCAGTTTGTCTTTGAGTTAATGGACGAAGTCGCCAAGACTATTGGTGATCATAACTTGGCAATTCGACTTTCGCCTTTTGGTCTATTCAATCAGGCGCGTGGGGAGCAACGAGTTGAGACTTGGACTCATCTGTGTGAGGGTTTGAAGAAGAACCACCCAACTCTATCTTACGTTAGCTTCATTGAACCGGTACGTTCCCCTGTCAACTTGACTTTACTTTTGTTTTTGTTTGAGTTTTGGTTCTTCTCTTTTTCTCTTTTCCTCTTTTCCTTTTGTGGCTTTTGGCTTTGCCCCCCTATCGGAAAATTTTAAGATTTTCACTAATGCTCGAACCAGCGGTACGAACAAATCTTTAGCGAAGGTGAGAAAGATGATTTTCTTCAAAGCTGGGGCTTGAAGGATGTTACTCTGGATCGTTTCAGAAAGATCTTTGGTGAAACCCCCTTCTTTTCAGCTGGAGGCTTTGATGACCAAAACTCTTGGGGTGTTTTGGAATCAGGTAAATATGATGCTCTCCTTTACGGTCGTTACTTTATCAGTAACCCAGATCTGGTGGAGCGGTTGAGGAAGGGCCTCCCCCTGGCTCCGTACGACCGGACCCGTTTCTATGGGCCCTTTGAAGACAATGAGTTCCACTACACGGACTATCCGAGTGCTGGGCAATCCAAGGCTTAGACATATAGACAGCGATATACTATGATGATATACGACAAGCTTTTGTTCAACGTTAAAAAACTGTAAATGCAAATCATTTAGCCGCCAACGCCACTATGCAGCCATCCAGTCTCAGGCTAACTTCAAAGGGGAAAAAGAAGAGAAGAAGGCAGTACGTAAAAGAAAACAAGGCTGAAAGCTAAACGAACTAAACGAACCTGAAGATCTGTCAGACTAATTAGTAGCTTCGTCGTGCAAAGTTCAGAATTTTCAGCCGCTGATTTGCTCAAATTTAAGTGGATTTCCCCATTCCAATTGGTTAGATCCAAGGTCAACCAATATTTACGACCAAGGCCGCGCACATCTGTCTTTCCCTTTTCAGACATTGGTCGCATGGCCCGCTTCTTAAGTCAGCTCGGCTAGTAGCGTGCACTGGTGGAACTCTATTGAAATTGGCTTGGAAAATCTAACAAATGTTGAAAGTAGGTACAGGTGGCAAAAAAGGAGATCTGTAAAAAGCAAGCAAAAAACAACAAGAAAAAAGGAGAAGAAAGAAAGAGTCTGTAGAACCAAAAAAAACAATTATAGGAAATGAAAGAAAAAAAGAACTTCCCCATCACCCCCAAACATCTTCCTGCCACTTGTTCTTTTTCTTAACGACCTTACTCCAATTGTTGAATTCATCCTCCGACCACCCCTTAGCCTGCCGCATCGTCACGCCAACAGCCTTCTCCACTTCCCGGGCCATCCCAGCTCTACCACAGATATAGAAGCTAGCACCCTCATCAATCAACGTGACAACATCCTGCCCGAACTCGGAAACCCGGTCCTGTACATATCGGCGTGGCGTACCCTCAAGTCTCGAGAATGCAGTTATCAACCGCAACTTGTCTCCGAGCGCACTCTGCATTGCCTCCAGCTCGTCCCTGTAAATGAAGTCTTCGTCGGGATCCCGACATCCGAAGAAGAGGATCATCTGTCCGATCTCCTTCCCAATCTTCTGCACCTGACATCGCTCGGAAAGAAATGCTCGGAAGGGCGCAAGTCCTGTTCCGGCTCCGACCATTATCAGTGGCGTCTTGGCCGTTATGGGGAGCTTGAACTTGCTTCGACGGATGTTGGCGAAGATCTTGCCGTGGCCATCACCATCTTCGAGTGCGTTGCTAGGTCCGTTGAGAGGGTATGTGATGCCGTGTGGATGGGGCTGGGAGTTTGCATGTTGGGAGAGGGCTAGGAGGTAGTTTGAGGTGATGCCGTGGACCAATTCGTTTGGGTTGCCTGGAAGCGGAGTTGAAGAGATGATGGCGGTTATAGAAGGTTTCCGGGGTGAGACTACGCTGCTCGAGGAAATGGAGTAGTATCGAGGACGGGTGTGTGGTAAGGTTTCCACAAGGTAGGAGAGGGGAATTTTCGTCCATGTCTGACTGGGGCAGGCAAGTTGTAGTAGACGACCGAGGTTCAGGTGGGTGCGACTGATGAACTCTGCGTAGAAGTCTTTATCTTGGCTCAGCTGGGTCAGGTAGGTCTTCGCTTCGGCCGTAGGTGCGAACTGAGCGAGATCGCGGACATGGTCTCGATTGACTGGGCCGCAGATTTCCAGGTAGTAGCGGAGAAGGGCGATGGCGCTCGTCGGGGTTGGAAGGGTGATCTTTGTAGCTGGGTCGACGGGCCTGATTATGACTGGAACATCGCGACGAGAGGAAAGGTCGAGGGTCTTGAGTAAACGCTCAACTTCTGAGTCTGGGTTGGCAGGCCAGATGGCAAGATGGTCACCCGTCTTGTATGTTAATTCGGGCTGGTTGCCGAGATCCACGTCTAGGTGGAGACAATTGCGGTTGGAAGAGGTGAAGAGCTCTCGAGAGTTGATAATGCTCAAGCTGCGAACGGCTGAAGATTGGGCAGCTCCTTTGGCGGTATCATTGTGGTTGTTCGGCTCCCCGTGGTGAAGGTCAATGGGCTCCAGAGACTCATCTTCCTCGACCTTTAGGCTTGGAACATACTTTGCTTCACCCTTTTTGAAGCCCAGCTTATCTTTGAATACTTTAAAGAGGCCTTCTTTCCAAGCCAGAAAGTCCTCTTCAGTAGCACCTTCGGCATCATTGGCTCTACCGACTGGCATCAAGGCTTGGGCCCCAAACTTCTCCAACCCCTCCACAATAACATCAACAACCTTGTTGTAGAATTTGTAGTTGGTATTGCCCAGGCCGAAGGCAGCATATTGAAGATTGGCTAGTGATATACCGCCGGCCTTGGTGATCCAACTCCAAAAATCCGCGGTATTGTCAGCTGGATCGCCTTCGCCGTATGTCGAAACAATGAAAATGGCCAACTTTGTATTCGGAATCTCAGAGATGGTGACTGGATCATAATCCGAAAGGTCTGCTGACATACATTCCTGACCCCATTGAATGGAAATCTCTCGGGCCAGGCGGTTGGCAAAGCCCTCCGCAGTACCGGATTGCGACCCCCAGAAGATGACAATGTTCTTGCCAGCCTCTTCCAACTTGCGTGCAATATTCCTGGTCTCTTTGTTGGCATTGGTACTAGCCTGGCTACCATTCTTTAATTGTGGACGCTCGAAGTAGAGATGATAATGTGGATCCGCCTTGTCCCAGAGAGTCCCTCGTGAGAAATATCCTGCTGAAACACTGGCGATAATTGCCAAAGCAGCATAATCAGCGACGCCGGTCGGTGTCGTATAATTTTGAAGCTCCACCAGGATCGCTGGTGGTATAGTCATCTGTGCAAGGTCTGCGAAAGACACCATTGTGGGCGTGGCAGATTTGGTATTGTCAGGTTGAAGGTTGGATCAAGAGTCACCTGGGAAACCTTGGAAGTAACAATGAAGAGAGAAAGCGAGCAGCAGAAAGCTATTTAATAGGCACCTACTGATTTACTAGATACTTATACTGTTTAGAGCTTCCAAGGTTCAATATAGTTCATTTATTCATCAATTACGGACTACAACTCCATACTAGTATTATGTACCGATAACCTCATACCCCGCACCAAGGCTAAGTTGGCATCTCCGAAATTTTAATACTCACTTGGGGAAAGAGATGCCGGTGATTAATTCCACTTTCATCGACAATACGACAATACGACGGGGAAAGATTCCCATTCCACAATGCACAGTATGGGGCCTGGGTTTTAATGTATCCAATCGAGCTATATTGATTTACTCAAACAGAACTCCAATATCTGGATGAACTAAGAACCTCCAAGATTATGTATGCTGTAGTATGAAAGAACACAGGTTGAAGGTATCCGGGGTAACTTCCCCGATCAAGTCCTCCCCCGCACCAGTGTTTAATCGCATGCGTGGTATTAGGAATTTGCATGATCCTAAATGCACTTTGACACCATCTAAATCACGCGCAGCCCACTGAAATTTACTAGTCTACAATATTATTTCCACGCACTTCAAATTGACCCCCGAATCGCGCTTAGCCTCGAATTTCAATACAAACTTGAGATTTACCATGATTTTTATGAGGCAAATTTCTTAATGTCAACTTAACCAACCTCTGAATATCACGAATGGCCCCTGAAGTCTTGAATTAATTTTAGTAAGTTATTGTCAGCGCTATTCAAATTCATGAATAACTACTAGGTAAGTGTCAAGCCTACTCTGCCTGATCAGGAGATGACGTTGTCAATCAGTGACAATCACTTGGGTTTTGCCTATTCTGCTCATTGGCGTACACTCTCTTCGGCTATCGGGGTCACAGGACCTATGTCAATGATTCAGAGGTTGGCCACGGTTGTTATTTTGCTTTGTTTTCTGGCGAACTTCCATCTGGTAAGGGAAGTGATAACATAGTCATCGACGGGGAGCTGCTAGCGGCTAGGGACCAGGGGGTCTTATTCGGATCCGTTGTCCGTGCGACCATAACCCGGGACTGACCAATCTGGATAAAAATCATGCTATTGGAGTTTTTTATGGTGATGAAGCCGCTCTGCCGGAGCGCTCCAATCTGCTCGCCAGCATGGTTGTATATCTGAACATTCGACAGTAACCTGTTACGCTGCCATACCACGAATGGAGAAACCCGATCCCACATAGTTAATGCACATGATGTATGTACCACCTATACGCTCACACCGTAATAGTTGGTGGCATGTCCTCTTTCTTTCCAAGGAGGTTCCTTCGGGTGTGATTTTTTCGTTTTTCCAATCGAAAACTGCAGACCTGTCCCCGGTCACATCGGGTCCAAACCGGGGGGGGGGGGCAACTAGCGTAATCGGGAGTATACCCTACCGTCCAAGGTTTCCGGGATGTCCAGAACGAGCTTGCGTAGCGAGTTGACTGGTTGAGAGAATTTATCAAGCTAGAACTTTCAATCGTGCGTGCAGCTTCCATATCTGGAAGGAACATTGTGTTAGGACGCAGAGGGGAAGACATCGTGATCAAGGTACCTTGTGGTAACTGGGAAGGCATGTAAGAAAGTTTTGAAGAGTGGGAGTTTTATAGGAAAGGGCACAACTTACAAGAATTGTAAGCGCGGTCACTCATGTTTGCGAACACGTGGTGGAAATGAGTATGCACAGGATGGTGAGGGAGTAGCACAAGTTGACACCGTTATGAGCAGATGAGTAGTAACGAAGGAGAAAGTTACGGAGTGAGCACTTGAGAAGTGTAGTAGTTAGCAATCTCTCAAACTACTAGGCAACTATCAGTGCTCACTCTATCACTCCATTCACTCCTATAACGATAGCGCTCCTCCCGCTATTAAGATGATAAGCGGCAGAAAAACAAAAATGCCAAATTTATACTTACTACTAATAGACTTGAGAATTTTTATGCATCTGTTTTAATAGCCATTATATCATGAGCACTTGAGTATCATGTATATTCTTGAACTTAAAGTCATCCACCTGCATGGATGCAACATTACACTTTGGACAGAACATTCCCCACGCTCTGGGCATTTCGCCGCCAAATCTTCACAGGCATGTCTTTCAGAATCAAATTCATAGTCTCCTCCCGCTTCAGCTCCCATCCAGGGTAGGCCAAAGCAAACTCATAACGATGCACCATAGAAGCCACGGCTTTTGTTTGTTCCAGATAAGAAATATTGCGACCAATACAAGAGCGTGCCCCAGCCGAGAATGCAATCAAGTAGGGCTGAAGAGACTTTCCTTCCTCCCCAAGCCATCGCTCAGGAATGTACTGATCTGCTTTGGGGAAAACACCCTCATCGCGATGGGCAACATAAGCAGACATGCTAACAGACGTATTGCCAGCGACCCACTCCCCGAGAATATTTGTGCCCGATGGAGGAGTCTCACGAGGAAGACCATGAGATGTGGGCGGGAAGATCCGCAGAGACTCATCTAAGCAGGCACGGAGGTACGGAAGGTGCTTGATTTTGTCGTAGTCGGCGACATATTCGTCCTCGTCGAGCACACTGTCCAGCTCCTCGCGAAGCTTGGCCAGGGTGCGAGGGTTGCGAAGTAACTGGTACATGACATTTGTGATCGATACGGCCGTTGTCACGCTGCCTGCATTCATCATAATATTGCACTCGGCAACCACCTCGCCCCATTCAAGGTTGTTCGGGTTTCCATTCTTGTCCTCCATGAGGGCCTGGAAGAAATCATCGAGCTTCTCGCCTGCCTCATAGCGACGGAGCCTCTCATTCCCTCGGCGCCACATGATGTTCTCCCAGTTCTCGCTCGCTATTTGCATTTGGTTGAAATAGGGGATCACGTTGACAATCTTGTTCAGGAGGGGATACCACTCATAGTTCCATAAGATGTATGACTGCTTGCGAGCTGTTGGGTAGAGTGCATCGCGGAGGCTCGTCATGTATGTTGAGCCGTCCTTCCTTTCAGCAACGCACATGTCGTTGCCTTGGTCCAGGAAGCCCAGTTTCTCGGACAGCCCAATGTCGGCAATGGCATCAAGAGTGAAGAAATTGTTCCAAGCACGCAGGTCCAGAGTCAGTTCATTTTGATCCGGTGCCACTCGACCAGAAGCGACAGCTTCTTTTGGAGCTATTGTGCAGACCTCATCGAAATGCTTAAACATTCTCTGAACTTTGTCGGTAACCTTATATTCCCAGCTCTCTAAATTTTTCAGAGCGTATGCCGAAGAGAGAACCTTGCGTTTTCTTGCATGGTCTGGCTTGTCCACAACATCGGCAAGATTGAAGTGAGATCCGGCGGTGATCAAGTACGAGCTGTCTTTGGTGCATTTGGTATTGTGGCCGTAGATATCCTTTATCGCGCGGACATCTCCATAGGAAAGCATGTTAGGTCCCGTTCGAATCACAGGGTGCTTCTTGTGTAGTTCTGCCAACTCTTTGGACCTGAATCCCCGCGATGCCATAACCATGAAAGGAATGGCTGAGAATCCGGAGAAGGGATGGAGGTTGGGATATTTGCGGAACCCTGCAATATCATCAGTGATCTGGTCTTCTCTCGGGGGTTGGTTTCCTTCAACATACCCTTGGGGTCACGGAGATACTCTACATATGGATAGCCGAAGAAGAAGAAGAAGGCAAAGGCAAGAAGCCCGATCGCATAGGGAGCGACTGCTATGATTGACAGCATATTGCAGCAGAGGTAAAACTGCCCGGGTGGCAGGTGGCGGATTGCCAAGAGAAGAGAAAGAAAGGAGATGGCAGGTATATAGGAATCAGAGAGCAGCCTGGGAAATGCTGGAGTTAAAAAGATAAAAGATTGTCCAGATGTCCTTGTCTGAATCCTTTCGAGGGAAATAATATGTAGGATTGAGAAATTGCTTCTGAGAAGCCGAACGGGCAATGGTTTGTATAAATATCATTGCAGTGTTTCGACTCAATAAGTATGTAATAAGTAATTGGAATGCTGACGTCCACCCCTTTTCGTGGGGTATTACTTCCGATGAGCATGGCTAACCGATCATGTCTCTCACTTGTGTTCAGATGTCATATCTGGGGTACGTGGGGCCCAACAGGCGCGGGGAATATTACCCTCTCGGAATATGGCAATTGTCCCCGCGCGATTCCAAGCAAACTGCGGGGCAACGAAAAGAGTAATGGAGCCCATCCAATCGTGTCCGATCTATATCGAAAGTTCTCTATGCAAGTTGAGATTTGATCTTCGACTTTTACCCACACACCATTAACCGGTTATTGTCCCGAGCCAGCCACTCTTGGAACCTGAACAAGGCCTGGTATCGATGGGATAGTTTGTTCTAGATCACATTAGTACGACATGATCGGCCAGCGCGGAGACTTTCATACTTTCTTGTCATGCGCCATTTCCGCAAGAGTTTCTCCTTTGTGCTCAAAGATAGGCTCCCATCCTGGACTGCGTTGTCAACTCTCTCCTATTCCAAGGTTGGAAACTCTTCCCATCAATCGCACGTACCAAAAACGGGTGGACCTCTAGCAGGCACAATTTTACCCTATAATCCATCCATATTTTTAGTAGGTGGCTACAAGGCATCTGATTTTTGCCTCGACGAACCTCGAGTCTTCCTTGAAAAACCAAGGGCTCCATCTCAGGACCGGCGGAAAAGGCAAATGTGCAAACGGCGTCCGCACTCTTATCGGTGTGAGAGTAAAGAAGTCTATTTAAACCGTCGTTCCCTAGCGACTCTAAGAAGTATTTACTTTTGCAAAGCCAAGATGCGTGAGAAACATTCCTATGAGTCATTATAGAGAGTGTTTATCCATCACCTACATATACGGGCCTGGAAGTCGGTTCATAGCGTGGAATTCCAAAGCTGAGTCTTCAACAATGACTGGTCCATTGATCTAGTAACAACCAGTTAACATGGTTTATTGAAGGAATTTGTTCAAGGGAGACCAAACAATTTTAGCGGCTCGCCGACACTTATCGATTGCAATCTCTTCTAATGATCCCTGTATCTCGGGAAGATCTAATGAGACGGGTTCAACAGGTATTAATCCGCCTAGGATTGCGTTGACCTCGATGACCTTGTTAGGATTGCCGGTGACAAATTTGAGTGTGTTCATAGTGATCGCGTCAATGTGTGGGAATATCATGTCCTGGCCAACAGCGAATCCACGATTCACCATATACAATCTCACCGCTCTGTGCACCGCCCAACATAAAACGCGACAAATCCCTCTCGCTCTTCACGTGATACTCCACTCACGTGGTTTTCCCAAGAGATCTCAGATTGCATAGTTTGCACTTTGCACTTTGAATGTTTTAAGTTAAGGCTTACCAAAAAGACTAGTAAATAGTATGCTACATAATTGTTTAATTCAGATCATACCTAAGGTTGAGGACATAAACTTACAGGGCTGCTCAAGTCAACCTAAATCCACATACATGGGCATCCAAAATTGTGCAACAACCTAGTAGTTGTGACTCGTGAGAGTTGATTATCCTTTGGTCATACGGTCCATACCTGGAAGTTCAAAACAGAGAAAACCGGTCTGACACAAATTCTGGTGAAAACACGACTGGTCGTGCAGGACTCGTGCTAGCATTAAAGTGGCACGATACGACACGAATTGAACCCTTACCCCGGATCTTCACAGCCGATCTTACGGACCGATTGGTGGTGCCCGAGGGTGGTGGGTGGACAGCAGCAAAGCTAGCCGGTTATATGTCGGCTACTTGATCTTCGCTTGTGGATTTCGGCATATCTTCACCACGCCGATGGCCCCGATCACCGAATTATTAATGCCACACATCAGAGTGTTCCACTGATTTCTATTCTCTGAAATCTCTTTCCAATTTACATCCACTCAATCTAGCTCGCTCTTTGAACTACCTCAGTTCTGTGTATCGAGTTTGAAGAGTGTTGTTTGATCCTAGTATGTTCTTCGTGGATCGCTTGACGTCATTCTCAACGATAGTATACATCGTACTAACTTGAGTCATAGACACAAGAAATTTTTCCTCAGATTCTCTTGACAGACTATCTCCGATCAGCGATTTGAAATTGAAGCATTGAATATGTCCGCCCAAATGGAATATGTTCGGTATGAACCCCGCACCTAATGTCGCACCATGACTCAACCACCATGACACCCCAATATACTGAGAAATAACGGCATATAGCCTTGGAAACTCCGGCCTAAAGGTGTCCAAGATCATACTTGGTACCATGGGCTTTGGAAGCAAGCAATGGCAAGACTGGGTCTTGGATGAGGAAGATTCCCTGCCTCTGATCGAGCACGCATACAAGCAGGGAATCAACACCTGGGACACTGTTAGTTCAACAAATCCACAAATCCCAACTCAACAGGCAAACTGATCCTAATAACCACAAACCAGGCCGATGTCTACTCCCATGGTCTCTCCGAAGAGATCGTCGGAAAGGCACTGAAGAAGTACAACATCCCTCGCAACCGGGTCGTAATCATGACCAAGTGCTTCTTCGGCGTCGACGACCAGGGAGAACTCCCTCAGATCTCCGCCAGTGCCCGCAACGACGGCGCGTGGGTTAACCGGGCCGGTCTGTCACGCAAGCACATTCTCGACGCTGTGGACGCTAGCGTCGAGCGTCTGGGCACATATATCGATGTGCTGCAGATCCACCGTCTGGACCGGGAGACGCCCCGGGAGGAAATCATGAAGGCGCTCAACGACGTCGTGGAGAGCGGCAAGGTCCGCTACCTTGGAGCTAGCACGGTACGTTCACGTTTACCCCCTCGCGATTGATCACGCTCCTATACTTCCCGCTGGGTAAACAAAGATTCTAACTGCCCTCCAGATGGCCGCATGGGAGTTCCAAGCTCTGCAAAATGTCGCCGAGCGTAACGGCTGGCACAAGTTTATCTCAATGCAGAACTATCACAACCTGATTGATCGGGAAGAAGAGCGGGAGATGATCCCATACTGTCTTGATAGCGGTGTCTCGCTCATTCCTTGGTCTCCGATGGCGCGCGGTATTCTTACTCGGCCTTGGGATTCACGTGGGGGTGTGCGCGAGAACAGCGATGCTACTCTCAAGGGAATTGTGCGCGGTCGTGAAGGTGAGGCTGACAAGGCTATTGTTGGTCGTGTTGAGGAACTGGCTGGCAAGAAGGGCGTGAGCATGGCGCAGATTGCTCTTGCTTGGTCACTGAGCCAGCCTAAAGAACAGCCTATTGTTGGGTTAAGCAGCATCAAGCGCATTGACGAGGCGGTTGCTAGTCTCCAGGTTAAGTTGACCCTCGAGGAGATCAAGTATCTGGAGGAGCCGTATGTGCCGAAGGTTGTTATTCCTATGTAAGGGAGTCGCAGAGGTTTTGAAAAGAAAAGAACATTTGAAAAGAAGGGAGTCTGTATATCAGGTGGATGTTTCTCAATGAATCCCAAGGCCAAAATGTAGCCTTCTCGACCTACTAGTACCTTATAGAATACTCCATAGAGGAAACAACCTTCAACAAACAAACGACCTTAAAGAACCCTAAATAATATGCTCAACTCGAAAAATCGCGCATACCCTATATAAATCTTGATATTATAAAGAAATTAAAGTTCCCCACAGAGTAAATAAGCCTTAACAAGCAAACAACCTCAAACAACCCTAAATAATATGCTCAGCTTGAAAAATCACGCATACCCTATATCAATCCTAATTTATACAGAAATTAGAATACCCTATAGAGCAAACAACCTTCAAGAAACAAACAAACTTAAAGAACCTTAAATTTATCGGCTTGCAATTTCAATATATTAGTACCTAAAATAGATAAAAAAATAATTGATTGTGCTCATCCCATATCAACCACGCAATGTTTTCCACATGCAATGTCTGTACTGGAATGTTGGGGTCAGCCTCCGGAGGCACAGCCGGACGACGAAGTAATTCTTCAATGTTGGCAGGAAATCATCAGTGGGCTATTGGGGGTGGTGGTTACCGATTGGCTGGTTTAGACCACCCCGTGGCCGAGAGACAGTGATTGACTGCGGAACTTCTGTCTGGAATCGTCGGCGACCGTGGCGAAGAACAGGGCCTGATCGGCGGAGAGTAATGGACTCAAAGATGATCTGGGCGACTGACGGATGAATAGCGATGGTTATGGTTTCTTGCAGTAGAATCTCGACACCCAATTCAGGGGACGTTTAACAATTGAGAATCATCCACTCATTTGTGCTACTTATTCAATGTTATGAACAGTCTGTGACACTGTGCATATTGTTTCCAGCACTTGAGTGTGCCTGACTTCGGGACAGTGCACATTGCTACGGGTTGTTAGAGCAACATTTGACCCGTGGACACGGAAAAATAAGGAATGACGGAATGACGGTACCTTCAAGCTCGGTTCCATGTTTTCTATAAAACCTCGGAACCTTCACAATATTGGGATCCAAACATTGATTTCAATGTTGAACATCTTAATCGTCCAAATCTCCCATTCCAAGGTTCGAAACTAGCACGGGTGGTGTATTTAAGGTTCCAAGGTTTTGGTACTGGCTGGCATCTACTATGTAAACGGGGATGATGTTCTTATGCACGAATGTGGTCGTACTGGTATATTTTGTGAATGCATGTAAAATATGGTTGTTGGAACATTTCTATTTACATTTGGAGCATGATATAGCCATGTGACCAGTTGCAAAGGTGTAATGTAATGTAACAATACCAAACTTTGATCGTGTATGGCATGTGGGTTTGTCCATATTTATTCGAGGCGTATCGCCAAATGGGCCCGGGAGGAAGAGAAGAGAATGATGATCGGGAGAGAAGAATAGGCAGACGCTGTGTACCAGACAGGATGCGATGCCAGGAAATGTGAAAACAAACAACGCCAAAAAATATATGAGGTGGATGTCAATATGCCGAGAGAGTAAATGAATATAAGTCGCTAACAAAATGCTGGGGTATACGTATGCGGTAGGTTGGAAAAGGCTTCTTAATGGGCCTTTTCTTTTCGGTGGAAAATCGTGAAAAGAGAACTGAATCGGTGTCGGCGTTTGCCTTTACCACCTTGCGAAGTGGCAAGTTCAGGCTCTTTGATATCGTCTGCATCCCAGACCTTATGGTAATCTGGATGCAATGGCGGTGGTGGTGCAGTCTTTGTGGACTTATGGTTGTCGTTCGTTGGCTTCGTTTGGGGTTTATTTTTAAGCTGGGAGACGTGCAAGGTATTATCAGCCTCAACCGAGTTTAGGCGAATAGATGATGGTCGAGATACAACAATCTCGCGTCCGTCCTCTCCAGCACCTGCAAACGCGCTATGGCGGTTGGGGCGATTGCCGGTTGCCGAGGCACTTCGTCGCTTTGCTCGGTCCATGAATGCAGCGCCGGTTGAGTTTGAGCGCTTGGAGAGACTTCCAAAGGATTTCCCTCCATCAACAGGTGACAGGGTATTTGAACGACGAACGCTCGAGGTGGACGCGAGGCGCTTGCCACGATTGACTACCTCCTTCAATTCATTCAATTCATCGCCACGTGTAGGACTGGTGTTTTCACTTTTGACATTTGTTGGCGCGCAAAATTTCGAGGTGACTGGAGAAACGATGGATTTGCCGATGGGGGATGAAACCGGATCGCCGTAATTAAAATTACTTGACCACCCTTCACGGAAAGCGACCCAGATCCCGGTGATTATTATTAACGTGCGAAGTCCATCCTCAAGCGCGACAACATTCGCATCCGTATTGAAATCCAGTGCATCGTCAGAAATATCACTGATCACAGACATACCCGAGCTTGGGGTTGTAGGGCCGGTATTCGATCGGGTGACGGTGGAGTATTCATCAAACACTTCTAACTGGTTGCGCGTCATGGAAGCAATGACTGGGTGCCGACGAGTATTCGGATCGATAACACTGAAAGTGAATCGCTTGGTGTCTTCGCGGGGCTCCGAGCTAGGTTGTGCGGACATTCGACGGTTCCTCCCGGCTCGCAATGCCCATCGCATCACTCGCAAACCATTTTCCGTGCGTGCGACAAATTCGTAAGAACCACTCGGAAGCGGCGTAGCCTCCCATGTCGGTCCAAAATTCAAGCAAATCTCGGCCTTGCCCTTCTGAAGAGCATCGTCCTGAAACATCTGGCAGATAGTAGCGACGACTTCTCGGTGATCATCGTCCTCCCCCTCGGAGCTGACAGGTCTTTCTGGGATACTAGCGACAGTGTGTTCATAAAGTTCACTCATCACAATGATCAAATCATTGGGACCTAGACCATTCTTCCCACGGAACATGGCAGGAAACTTCCGAGCCAATCGAGGCAGATATATAGTTGACGGTAGGATGTCCAAAATGGGCAAGGGACGAGGCGTATGCGATACCTGCTGTAGCTGGAGCAAAAGCTTCGGTCGAAGCTTCAAACGTTTATGGCGAGCATGTGAGGCTGGATGGGCAAGCTGATAAGAGGTCTTAGAGCGAGTGGACTTGCGCGCCGTGATCGTATTCGAGCGGCTGACACGAGGTCTGGTGAGGGCCGGTGAAGTAGAATTGGATGACTCCCCCTCGCTCAGTTTTAATGCAATCGGACTCATGGCCACACCAGATATGGAACCCATGGGTTGGGTAGGACCATCCGGCTGTTTGGTTCTGTTATATAGAGAGCCCAAAAATGGCAAAGTAGCCAAGGAGAAGGCTGGAGAGTAGGGTGAAGATGGCGCGGGTGGCGTTTCTGGCTGGGCGCTAGGATCGGGAGTGTGAGCAGCTGCGGCATCCGCTGTAAGACCAAGATTCAGCAGCATTCTTGGACTCTAGCGGAGCCACATCAAAGGATTGAAAGTCGCCAAAACCGGGCTCGTGTTGGAAGAGAATGAGCTAGGTGTTTAATATATGACGAAGCAATCCACTGACGACGCATCCAGGCCTGTCCACGCGTCAATTGCGGGGGTAATAAAGCTAGTCGGAGGGCCAGCCAGGGTGGGGATTAGGCGCGCCGGAGCTGGAAGCGAAAAAGCCGTAATAGGAACAAGAAAAGAGAAAATGTAAAGGGAGAATGATCAAGGGAATGTGTACAGTGGTCAACTTAAGGGTACCTGAATACAAAGTAAATGTAAAATGGGGAAAGGATTGTAAGGAAAGCAAAACTGCAAGGGGCAGGTGTAAGGGGGGGGATGTTTCCTTTTTGTTTAAAAAAAGAGAGAGTATGACCCATGAAAAGCTCAATGTGTACAACCCACAGTATGGGCGGTCAGCCTTATACATAAAAGTGGAGATGGGAAGTTTTGGAAAGACGGATCGGCCTCTGTGACCTCCGATGCCTCCGTTGACATCCGGATCCCGGATCATAATGGAAAGCTTGCGGCTCAACGTCATCGTGAACGAAGATTATATTGTTTCAAATGTTGAGACTTGTTTCCAAGTTTCAGTAGTTCATGCTGTTGTTTATTGACCGAAAAATAGAAACAAAAATATATAAAAATAAAAATAAAAATAAATAAAATAAAACCTGAATGGTTCCAACATCAATGTTTGTAGTTTCCAAGGTTAGAAGCTCGTAATGAACAGGGTCTTGGAATTACGAGTACTCCGTATACATATCCTATTACGAAATGGTCCAAGGCTTTCTTTAAAAGAGGTGGATTACCCAAATGTAAGCACCTGAGTAAGCGGAGTCTTGCAACTAGGTATAGTTTACAAATAGTAATCTTGCTCATCATTACCCATCAGAGATTTACTAGAATGATCCATCTTCACGGATCGCAGAACCGGAGATTCCTAACATTGAATTCCCACAAAATTGAATTTTTTTTTTTTTCTCTTCTCAGCCTTTGCAGTAGGACTTCGGCGCGGAGGAATCCCTTTTGGTCCGCTTCCTCGCTCCTCGGGTAGATTAATGCACCGTACGACCCACCACCAGTCATATGCTAAAAGAACTTTATTTGCGCTTCATGAATGGTTTTTTATTCATTTTTATTCAAATTATTCAAATTTTTAGAGGTGGAGTTTGGAGAGCTTCTGTACTCCAAGGCGAACAGCTGCCGAGGAAAAGGTTCTTGCTAAAATTCTGGGATTTGAGTTAATCTACGTAAGCAATAGGCTAGTAACTAGAGGCTAGCGTCTTTATACTGGAGTTCTCGAAATCTTCTCGGCTTTTGGTAGCTTTACCGTGCTCAGCTCTTTTTCTGCTTCAGCTGTACTGATCGGGAGTTCCAGGGTTACGGTGGAGTTTCGTCCAATTCCGACCGTCGCATGACCGATTTGCCAAGAAGTAGATCGTACATGAACTTGTAGTTCTTCATAAATTCTCATCGATTCATAATTGCACATTTTGCCACTTTGAAGTCTTGGTTGTGAATAATTATTGTACAATAGTTATCTGAATGTTCACGACTCCAACTACAAACATTTGAACCATCCTGCTAGTAAAACTTCAACAAGACTACCGAGATATGCTCACCCCACAGAAAACTAATAAACCTGCACCTCGTATTGTCAATTGCAGAGCTGATCAGCTCGTGGCTTTGTTCAGCTCGGTTTTTGTAGATCCATGAAGCCCCCGCTGACTCACCTATGCACGCCCACATTAAATAATGCAAAACTCTGGACTTTGGACCCGCGTTTCTGTCACCACCGACTTGCCTCGGCTGACTTGGTGATCATTGATCAGATCCACAAGCAATTTTTTTTTCTTATTGATTTGTGACCCGCTGAAGACCCTAACCAGGTACCTCTTGGCAATTGGTGGACTTCCCTACGCCACAGCGTCTAGACCGACCGCGATGGCAACTGGAAAACCCGCGGCCATGTTGCGGCTAGAGAATCCCATCCAAAGCTTAACGCACGCGTTCTGGTTGTGGAAAGCCCTCCTGTTTATTGTGATCATTGCCTGTCCGGGCCCAGGCTATGATACTTCTACTACATTAATCTCCTATGAGGGCTCGGATCTCACCACCTCGCTCCCCTGGCCATTGAAACTAGCTCGCTGGGACTCCATCTATTTTCTCCGAATCGCTGAGCAGGGCTATGTTTTCGAGCAAGAATGGGCCTTTGGCTACCCGAGAGTGTTGGGATACTTTGTTTCTGGTAAATATGCTTCCCACTGTTTTGTACATCATCATACTGCACAAGACATGGGTCAACTGACCTTCTCGCAGGACTTCGCAAATCTGGCGGGCTAGGGGGCCCCGTTCCAATTGCTTTGATAGCTGTCGTGTTATCCCATGCTGCCCACTATTTTTCGGTTCTAGCTCTATATCTACTTTCGGCCAATATATTTGGTGACGAGACGGTTACCCAGAAACTTATTTGTTTCTTGTCAGCTGCACTTCATATCATCTCCCCAGCGGGTGCTTTTCTATCTGCCCCGTATGGAGAATCCATCTTCTCGTTTCTCAACTTTTCAGGTTTCTACCTGTACTCCGGGTCTCTCATCTCCGAGCGTCAGGGTTTTACGGTCTTGCGAGACTTGCAGGTCCTTACTGCAGGAGGGCTTTTTGCCATTGCCACAATGGTCCGCAGTAATGGTATACTGAGCGGATTCTTGTTCGCATATGACGCCTGTCTCTTGATATGGACAGGCTTGACTAAGGGTTTGTCCACCCGCAACATTCGTCGCCTGATCATCATTGGAGTGGGTGGTGGCACTGTGGCACTCGGGATGATTGTACCTCAGATTCAAGCCTACAGGACTTACTGCCTGACCGACCTAAATCGTGAATGGTGTGGCCGGACATTACCCAGTATCTATACTTGGGTCCAGAGCTACTATTGGTAAGTTCTTCCCTCCTTTGTTCTATCGCCTAGGAATTCTAGCCCCGAATCTAACCTTTCCCCAGGAATGTTGGGTTTCTCCGGTACTGGACCGTCTCCAATATCCCTCTTTTCTTACTCGCAGCGCCGGTCCTGTTCATACTGGGTAAATCATCCATGTGGGCCATTCGAGCCCCCGCTACATTGCGATCCCAGTCTGGAAGCTCAGCGCCTTCACCTCTTAGCCCGGGCTCCATGCTTTTCCGCCTGGCAATTCCCCAAGGCTTACTGGCGATCATGGCCTTATCAAGCTATCACGTTCAAATTATCAACCGGATCTCATCTGGGTATCCTGTATGGTATTGGTACCTCGTATCGATCGGCATGGAATGTCTCCAGGACCCTCGCAAGAACCACCGCAGTTTAGCGCTTGCCGCACAAGCCATGGTAGCCTATGCCCTGATCCAGGGCGTTCTATATGGTTCTTTCTTACCGCCGGCGTAAGACTTCATGTGACAAAATAATTGTTAATCAAAACTTCACGTCATAGAAAGCATTGGTTGGTTTTTGTTTTGTTCTCCGCCTTTCCGTACCTGGCGGGTTTGTACGCCGGTTGCGTAACGTGGTGTCTGCCTAAGAAACTGTTGGGCCATTTAGGCGCGCTTCAGTGCCCGGCGAAATTGTAATTATTATAAGATATTTTATTCTATTGAAATGCCAACGGGCTCAGTACAGACTGTCAGAAGGTAACAGATATCCCTGTGCCGCCAAGTCTTAATTCAACCCTTCGATCTACAATAGTTTCGGGAGTTTTCCACGCGAGTCTCTCTTTTAAAGCCGCAAGGCCAAAGCTCGACTGAACGTCAAATTATGTCATCCGCCCTCTGAGAACATCTCCTTTGATCATCTTTCTCTCCCATTACACTTGTCGTGAACAATTTCCTAAAAGGATAATTGATTACTACTCCTGGCGGTCTATTGGAGCTGGTCCCTTTTTCAGCCCCCAACCTTTTGATCGTCCATCATCTCACCCGCAAGATCCTCATGCGAACCTAGCTGTGTGCAACGCAATCCATCGGCCTCCACTTCCACCTCTTCTGGAGAGAGACTTTCTTGTGGTAGAGGTATAGCTCCCTGACAAGCTTTAAGATTGACTGAGATCATGGTGGAAATGAAATTACCTTGTTGAAAAGTTCAAGTTGCTGACGCATCGGATCTACGTTGTTAGTTGGACCAGAGCCCTCTCTGACGTCTTCGCCAACTCCTCCGGCCCCATCTCCACCTCGTGTCGCTCGACCTCCCACCTTCTCCTCCCACACATGCGATTATGGACGCCTCAACTCCCAAGGCGATTCTAACATCCGATAACTTCCCCCATGCACTAGAGATCTCGCGGGCCACCTCACCAGGTGGTGAGCCCGCCGCGCTCAACGGCGAAGGCGAGCCAAAAGCTCGCGTCCGACCGCGCACCTACCCATATTTCTCATATCTCCCATACCAGCTTGAAGATGAGACAGAACGGGATCGAACTCTCCGGGAAATTCTGAATCATCTCTATGTCTCGGTGGAGGCTGGGGACTTCAGTCCCGGGGCTGTCCACTGGACACGCGAGCTCAGAGGATGGCTATCGCTCAAGTTTGACCCAACCAAGACGGAAAGAATCAATCTTGTGAAGCTTTATTATGAACTCGCTTTGGCTCCCGGAATCGATCCAAATGTAGCAGAGCGGTTTTCTAGCATGTTTATGCTTCTCACAAAGTTAGTTAAGCTTCTTTAAATTTGCTCATCGCCATGATAAGCAGGAACTTGAAACTAACCACAAGGCAGGCGCAAGCATTATTTGAGACCCGTCAAGGACCTAGTCTTGGACTGGAAGCCTCTCTACAAGGAGCTGAAGGCCTTTGTCCTCCCCACCGAGTCCGGTCTCGTTCACTCGACTAACCTGAAGCGAAACGTCAAGACATTGACCAAGCTTTGCGCATTTGCTCAGCTGTTTATCGACCCCTGCGAACTTCCGGCGATGATGGAGGAGTTCTTACCTCACTACACAACATCATTCTCCGAAGGTGCCTTCGTGGTAGCTGGGTTGATCAACTTGATGCTTCCCACATCACCCCCTCCCGCTGAACGTAGCGACCTACTTCCTCAGAACTACCTGCCCACACACTTTCATCTTTGGTCTCTTGTCGGTCGCTCGAAGACCTTCGACACGACATACCTTGACTATCTCTCGCGGCTGGCACGCGATTCACTGCCAGCCAGTCATATCCCATTTTCAGAGCATGGCATCTTTTCTAAGGAACAGTCCGCTCTCATCTTCACCGCAGTTCTACGGTTGTTAGAGATTCCTGTAGGGCAGTCTACTTCACCTTACAGTGCTTTGGTGGATATCTCGTCCGGTCTGGGCATCATGCTTGATCGCGATACGCGCAAGCACCCTGTGGCCCATCATATTGCTCGATGGATAGTTATGTCTCTTTCACCCGCATGTCTGGAGTCAGAAGACTCGGTTCTGAGCCAACTTGAAGGTCTAATCCAGGCCGTTGAGACCTTCTTCCACCCTTCCAACTCTGGCGCCTGGACAAGGACTTTGTCACAGCTAGTTTACTATTTAACCGATTTCTTTGTGATGCGATGGAACCGCGAACAGAGTGGGGAAATGGATATCCCAGTCGAACGACGACTCAGCGAACCTCTGAAGCGTCGCTTTGTTTTGTGTTTGAGAGATGCGATCTTTATGGGTATCTACGCTAAAAGTAGTACCGCCATGACATTCTCCCTGTCTACCCTTCAAGGACTTGCCTACTTGGAGCCACACCTCATCCTTCCCGGTGCTTTGCAAAGAATCTACCCCTCCCTGCAAGGCTTGGTGGAAGTTCACAGAACCACTTCTTCACTGCGAGCTATGCAAGTATTGTCTCGGGTAATTACACGCACCAAGGGATATCGTTGTCACATGACGACTCTTCTCGGCCTTGCTTTGCCCGGTGTTGATGCTAATGATCTTGAAAAATCACTTCATGCCCTTTCCTTTATCCAAACTGCATGCTATAACATCCCAATGGTTGATATGACGAAGGGGAGAGAAGATGTCAATTGTAATATGCTGGCAGTTCAGTGGATTACCGGTGAAATGGAAAGAATGGAATCAGAAGGATCCGAGGTACAGTTGAACTATGACACTGAGCTGGACGATGAAACCGAGGAAATGATTCTTCGTTCTTCGACCTGTGGGTTTGGAGATTTCACAATCTCATTCCTGGGACGTGTTTTCACTCTTCTAGAGAATCTTCCCGATGTTACCAGGGTACGCAATGGCTCACCAGAAGAGAACATCGTCAATACGCTTCCGGCCACTTTCATGCCTCTTCTTGCATCTCTTTCGCCTGAGTATTATGATATTGCCCTGGCAAAGATCGTTGATTTCGTATCCAATCATGTCATCCATCAGGCACGAGATGCCATGGCCTTCATTTGCAACGCATTGTGCAAAGTCAATCCCGAAAAGGCTCTCAAGTGTTTTATCCCAGTGTTGACTCAAGGAATTCGTACCGAGATCGAGGAAAACGGGGCGGGTTCGACTAGAACAACCGGTACCGATGTGCTTCCTCGTGATCGTGGATTGGTCTGGAATGTTAGTATGCTGAGCATGTGTGTGGTTCATGTCGGCGATGCTGTTCTTGCTCACCGACAGGAGCTTTTCGACATTGCAGTTTACATGCAAAAGATGTGCCGAGGCATCCCAACCGTGCACATCTCGAATTACATCCACCACCTCTTGCTTAACTTGACTGGGACTTACACTAGAGATTACGCTATGTATGAACCGGCTGATGTCGAGGGTGGCATTCAGCCTAAGCACTGGACATACAGGCTTGATGTGAACAAACTCAACATCCAGTGGCATGTGCCCAAAAGGCAAGAGCTAGAGTTTGCCGTGGAAGTCTTCAAAAATCAGGCTGAAACAGCACTGCGGCATCTGTCTGGTTTGACAAATGAGACCTCTAGCATCAAACGCGACGGCAGCGGTAAGGAATGGTCTGATGAGGTTACTCGTAACCTTGTTCTTCTACGACTTCTTCTTTCCGGAATTTCCGTTCTATTTGATCCTAAAGCCGCCTCGACATCCTCCCCTGAGTTCTCAAATGGCGCGTCTGTTGGCTCTAGCGAATTTGATATGATCGATGACACGACTTCGAATGGTGTTGGTGAAGAAGACGAATTCCTTGACAGCTCTGATGAAGCAACGATCAAGGAAGGCTTCCCATATCCGACCGGATACCCCCTTCAAGAAGGTGACGCCCTTTATGACACTATTCATGAGATTCGTGAACGATCCGGTTGGGTTCTGCACTTGGTACACCGATTCTTATGTGATAATCAAGAAGACGATGTGCCATGTTTCGGTGCCCTCTTTTCGGCATTCCGCTCTTGGTTTGTCGACGTTGGTATTGAGAGATCTGCTCATGTTCTTGATCGGGTAACCCGACTTTTGGCGGCAGACATTCATCCTTATAAGATGAGTGGCATCAGGAAAGACTACCCAAGAGCTCTTCTCGTGCGCAGAGCCAATGTCTATCATCTGCAACGTCTACGACACAATGCCGCGCCTCGATCACGGTCCAAGCTTGACGAACTCCTTCTTTTCGACATTGCTGAGTCGTGTGTTTCTCTTTACACCGAGACGCGCCGTAATGCCCAAAATGCCGGCGAGTCGGCCCTCAAATCTGTTTGGGGCGCACGATCTCTGGTCATCCCTCCTCTCCTAAAGGCTCTCCAGACTGGTGTTCAGCAGAATGACCACGCGCGCATTAAGGGTGCCCTATTTTCATTGCTGCTTAGTAGTGTCGCGAAGACAGCTGGACGGGACTGGAAGTATACACCAACTTTGATCCGCACTTTCCTCGATGCTAGCGCAGTTGATAAGCCATCTGTACAGAAGATTTGTTCCACTGCTGTTTTCCAGATCATGGATTACGGTCGGTCCATGGAGCGAATGGCTATCTTGGACCAGGTCATTGTAGAAGCAATTGCCCCTGCTGAAGATGTTACTGCGCAGATCGAGAAGAAGCGCAACTCCATCAACAAAAAGCGAGCTACGATCGAAAAGAAGAAAGCTGATTTGGCCGATGAATTGGTGAACCTAGCTCGGATTTCGCACTGGAAGATTGCCAGCCGTGCCGCAACTATTGTTATTACCATGGGATTGCGGTTCGATTACATTGCCAGTGAAAACCTGATCGAGTTGGTGACTCTTGGCTCCATTGATGACCACCCAGGCCTCCGCGGAATGTACTCACAGGCACTTATTGCTCTTTTTACCATGATTGATGTTCGTGCCATCTGCAGCCATGAGTACAAGAACTACATTCTTGGACACCAACGATTCCCAACCAAGATCAAGGTGGCAACCCGTCCATATGAGAAGGGTTGGACCCAGGAGTATTTGACTAGTTTCGCCAAGCCCGAAGCCGACTACTATGTTGATCACGATTTCCCTGGTTGGCTCATCTGGGGCAAGACCATGCCGGCGTACAAGTCTAATTTGGATCGAGATGTTGAGTACGACGAAGTCGAGTGGAACGTGCGAACTCGAATGGGTAAATTATTCACGCGCGACTGGTTCCACAAGTATTTTGCCTACTTGAAGCAGGAGCCTAGAGATCCCTCTGCTGACAAATTCCGAATGTCTTCCGCCATGATGCTTCTCTACGCCTTTGAGCTGATGCTCCGAGACGGTCTTACCGCAGCCACCTTCAACGAGATTCAAGAGGAGATTAAGCTTGTTTTCGAAGATGGCAGTGATAAACATCAACATCGAGCCACAGCAGAAATCCTCGGAGCCTTGATTAGCTCTGTCACAGACACTAGTGTTGAAAGACGCACTTTTGTTTGGGAGTACGCTTTCCCCATTGTGAGGAAGATTTTCACCGATGGTCTCACTCCTGAGAATTCGGGATACTGGACTACTTTCCTCCACATGATTCTTCAATGCCGCGATCCTCGTCGAGCTTGGCCTATGGTTGACTGGCTGGCAAGCTTCCGCTTGGACATGACCACCAATGCGGCATTCAAGGAAAGCTCCAAGATCAATCTTCTGCATCAATGCATCATTGATTCCGGCTGGCACTTCCAGCTTGACAAACCAATTGTCGAAAATTTCCTGGCTCACCTGGACCATCCATACAAGGGTGTACGAGAGGCCATGGGACAGACTCTAGCAACAATTTACCGCACCAGATACCACGAGTCATACCCCGACCTCCAACACCTGTTGAAAGCCCAAAATTCCGCTTCATCTGTGGGCAGCTACCCGTATGCTCCTTCTGAAGAATTCTCAAAGATGCTCCGTGGAGTATTCGCCCAAATCGAAGAGTGGCGGCAGGCGAGGACACCGGGTCAACAGACCCCATCTTCATACACCTCCGGTAGCAAAACAGTGCTTCTCTGGCTGGATTCAACTCTATCATCTCATGAGTGCACCCAATTAGTCCCGTTCTTCCCCGATGTGTTTACTGCCCAACTCTTACACATGATGGACGTTAAGGAAGATCCCGAGCTACAGTCTCTGGCATACCACGTTTTCCGCCATCTCCCTAACATCCCATACCCTGCTGAGAAGAGTTCTGAGTTCATCCAGTCTCTTATCCGCATTGGACAAACCTCACCTTCGTGGCATCAGCGTCTGCGTGTCATGATCAACATTCAAATCATCTACTTCCGCCGACTCTTCCTGTTGGATTCTGCCGATCGTGATAAGCTTTTCGAGTGTATCGCTTCCATGCTTGAGGATTCTCAACACGAGGTCCGCGCCGGTGCATCGGCCACTCTGTCTGGCATGATCCGCTGCTCTCCGGTGTTCCTACGCGATAAGATGGTTCACCGCTTCCAGGAGCGCTTCACCCGACTCCTCGCAGAGAATCCTCTCCCCAAGAAGCCCAAAAACTTCCGATCTGGTCTTTCGTCTGTGGTATCATCCGGCGCGGGCACACCTACTCCCGAGCACAACCGTCTGGTAATTGTTCGACACGGTGCCGTTTTGGGCTTAGGTGCCCTTGTCCAGGCGTTCCCTTACAACAGCCCGCCCCCACACTGGATGCCTGATGCGTTAACTACACTCAGCATTCGTGCTGCTCACGACCCAGGTGTTGTGGGATCGAGTGTGAAGTCGATTATCAGCGAGTTCAAGAAGACCAGACAAGATACATGGCACATTGATGCCAAGGTGAGTTTCTCTACTGGCAATTTTAGACAGTCCGTGGGTACATCCGCTAACATATTCATTCAGGCTTTCACTTCCGATCAACTCGAGGATCTATCAGGTGTTCTATGGAAGAGCTACTTTGCTTAAAGGCAGCGTGAAGAAGACTTGAAGTTATCACATTCGACTGGTTCTCACTGATAATGTGCTAATTTTCTGATGTGTTTATGGGATATGTTGTTTTTTTGGTCTGGTAGTGTGTTTGAATGGGAAGCTGTGTGTTACTCTATTTTCACATGTGGATCAACCCACATTGAGTAAGCTGGTTTTTCAAATGTTCGCGTATCGAATGCATGGGTGTGTTGTACATACCTGGATCGAGCTTTTCAAAGAAATTCACATCAATTATTTCAATGTTTCATCTCCTTGGGTTTAAACGAAAGAAGATCAGAGGTTGCTTGGGACTAGTAGTGGCATCTGGAACAACAGATACTTTTAAAGCTCTTATGAATATAGACCCTTCCAAGGTTCGAGTCAAGAGTAAGTCGTGAACCTCGAGATAGCCTGTATTGAAACTAGAGACACAGCCCTGGAGCATCGATTTAGATAGAACTGGGCCCTTCCGAGATGACTTTTGTGATAGGTTTCACAGTTGCGTTTTGTATCACATACAATCCAACTTTGGAATTCCGAGTGAATGTTAGAATTACATGGGTTTTGAATAATGAAGCGTCCATATTATCAGAATCTTATCAATTTCGAAAATAATCAATTTGTCATACATCAAGTAAGACCCTTTTCGCATGCCAGATTAGTCGTCGGCAGTCACCTGGGGCAGTACCGCGTTATGATGACATCGTAGTACCGACTGTGTTTCTGCCTTTCAAAGACAACCTTCATTTGCATTTCATGACGCTGCAAACCTTGAAAGGGTGTTTTCCCTATCAGCACTCGAGGGTATTACTTTCATTTCTCTTTTATCCCTCGTCATCTCATCAACCTGGTCCTCAGATCTGGCACCATGTCTCTGCATGATCGCCTTTATCACTCGTTCACTGAGAAATCGTGGCCAACCTTCTTGAAGATGCCCAGCAAGGGTCCAGTCGCGTTTAAGACGCGATCCCTACATCCTGCACGGAAGAGGAGGTGGGTACAGTGGGTTGGTTGGTTGGTCTTCGTGGTTACAGTTATTGAGACATACGCACGTCTTGCCGCTTGTCCCGAGATCTCTCTTCTACAGCGGTTTAACTCTCCGAGCACGGCCTTTTCGCTTCGTCCTGGTCAATATCGGGAAATCGGGGGCTTTCAATATATCTCTGACAGCCAAGATGTAAATGATAATGAGGTTGATGAGACGGGGAACCTTCACGACATCAGGTTTGTGATGAAATGATACACGCTGCCTTAGGTTCTCACTCTGCGAGCTCTTAATTTGCTAACTTCTCCTCGCAATGCTCACAGAAACGAACAGTACTATCTAGGTGGGACTTTGACTCTTACTGGTAGCTCTGGTATCTCTGATATCTCTGATTTCACTGTCCCTGGTTCTCCCCACCCTGTTCCCTTAATCTACGATCCATACCCACAATACAACACCAGGCAATGGCGACGCAAACACCATGGACATTTCCAGCCTTGCTTAGGCCCGCGTGGCCGTGACCTTGATCGAACCAAAATGGAGGATATGGTCATGGTATACAAGGGGAAGCAAGTCGGCTTTCCGCAACCGAGCTTTGGCTCGCACGAGGCAATGGATCTGGACGGGGACGTATGTACGGACCGCTACTCTCGCTTTGGTGCATACGGGTACGATGACGAAAATGACGATGAAATTCCGGGGTTCTCTAGGCCACCTCCCGTGAATTGGTTCGAGTTGGACTGGTACAATCTACAAGCTCTTTGCTATGAGAGAAATGCAGATCGGTATTCGCAAGATTTCTCCATGAACGACACACGCCATGGACCTCTCTCTTTCGAATTGAGAGAGCCCCCGAAAAAGATGTATGAATCAGAGAAAAGTTCCGAAAAATTGAAAGGCAAACAACATCAGCCTCGGTCTGCAGTCCTTATTCGAGCGTGGAACAGTATGGTTTGGACGGCCAACCATCGTGAATACCTTCGTGCGCTGATTATGGAGTTGTCTTTACACACCGGTGGTGAGTATGAAGTTTTTCTATTGGTTCATGTCAAGGACGATAATCTACCGATCTTCTCGGACCGAAAAACAATGGAGGATTTGCGGAGATCCATTCCTGTGGAGTTTCGGAACATTGCGTTGTTCTTCAACAATAAACTATTGGAGGCTTGGTACCCCAAGATTGAGGAGCATAGGTAAAGGCTCCTTTATCATCTACTTATGCAAATCTTTCTTGATAGCTGACTTCCCCCGAGTCCAAAGTTACAGCACCACCAACCATTACAGATATTCTCACAGTTGTATCCCAACTTTGAATACTACTGGCAACTTGAGATGGACGGTCGCCATACGGGACATGCTTATCACTTCCTCGAGCAAGCGGCCACATTCGCAAGGCAGCAGCCTCGCAAATATCTATGGGAGCGAAACGCCTACTTTTATACCCCGGGTGCTCACGGCCCCTGGAAGAACTTCACCGAACTAGTCAACGCAAGCCTCGCCGAGAAGCCAGAAACCACAATCTGGGGTCCCGTGTACGGAACAGGAATACGACCTCTGGGCCCTGAGCCACCAGTCGAGAACCCTTCCCTTGATAGCTTCACTTGGGGTGTCGGCGAAGAAGCTGACCATATCACATTCCTTCCTATCTTTAACCCAAAAGACACACAATGGACATTCCCTGACAAGATCTGGAACTTCAAGTATGGTGTTGAGACGCCTCGTCGAGCCGCAGTTATCACCATGGGCCGCTACTCCCGACGTCTCCTGGACTTGATCCACCATGCACAGGCCACCCGTGGCCTGGGTCTAGCATCTGAAATGACGGGTACTTCCTGGGCGCTCTTCCATGGTCTTAAGTCTGTGTATGTCCCGCACCCGATGTATGCGGATGGCCAGTGGACACCACAGGAGCTGGCCAGGATATACAATCGGGGCTCACCAGAGAATATCAACGGGGGGTCCGATAGTATTTGGACTTGGAACCATCTCTATGATCACATTATGTATCGTCTCTCGTATATGTTTACCACGCATACGGGGGAAGATTTGTACAGGCGATGGCTTGGATACCGGACCGCTGAGAATGAAGGTGGCAAAAAGGTACAATTGTCTTTGCTGCACACTTTCAATCGTTGGTTTGGTTACTGATTCTGCTTTTTACAGTCGTCTGAAGCTCGCTATGGTCGACCTTGCTTCCCATCAATGTTCTTACATCCCGTCAAGAACACCGATCGCATGTTCGGGCCGGATCGTGCAGTTCCCTGATTAATTTTGGTCTTTCGAACTGCATGCCGTGTTACCGATTCCATCCTACTAATCAGCTACAACTCTTTTCAGCTACGCATGCGTTTTTATTTTATTTTATTTTGCCAGATTCACCTCCCTGTATCGTCACCCGTGGACATATGGCTATGTATAACTTGACTAGTTATTAGGCCGGCTATCTAAACTTAATTCGACTCTTGATTGATGCCAACAGGCAAAAGAAACCTTAAAGAAAGAGCTCTAATGAGTACCAAAACCTTGAAAATATCGATGGATGTCTATTACTAAAGTAGAAACAAGCTGAATGCATAAGCGTAATATGTACGTGAAACCAAAAACCTAACAATAAAATCAATCGTTTCGGAAGTTCAACAGAAAAAAACATGAAAAGAAAAAGAAAAGAGAGCCCAAAGCCCTTTAAATGAGAAAAGACAGAATAACTGGAAGCCTTCTTTTGGTTCCCTTCCCGTTAATGCAGTCCGTTTTCATACATCAATCATTACAAAAGGGCACGAAGGCACCTGTCTATCCTCGGACATTATACTTCTCATTGAAGGCATTGACCGCTGTAAAAAATTGCGTTAGCTCTGGTGTCAGAAGAAGAAAGGGGGCGTAATGAAGAATTTAACTCACCAACGGCAATTTGTCTGTACAGCCAGTTACGAGAACTTTCATCCTGCACAGGAATGAAGGGTCCGTTGGCTCCGCCCTTGAGCGTGATGCTCATGCCAGTCCGCTCCTTGGAGATGGTTTGGATGTCCGTCAGGCGAATATCCCACTCAGTATAGAGTTTTTTGGTGCGCACCAGCATGATGCGGGCATAAGTCAACATGACCAGCATGTCTCGGCCAGGAAGTTCCAAGTGCGCGATGTAATCCTCATTGAAGTATTTACCGTCGTCAGCAGTCTTGAGCCAGAACTGACCAAGCGCTTCTCGCTGGGTATATGGCCGGACGATACCGTCTGTGCCAATGAATCGGGTAAGTCGGACACGATCAAGACCTTCGGCATCGAAGACAGTGGTCGTGTTCCGGACGCCTTCGGCAAGGTTGGAAGCAAGATCAAAGGCTCCAATGGCGGGTTTGGTAGCAAGACCTAGCACACCCTTTCCGACGCCCTTGAAAAAACCTGCCACGCCCTCTTTTTCGGCACCTTGGAGTGGATGACGGGCTAGTCCTCCGATACCACTGGCCAGGCTGCTTGCGAAGGCATTTCCACCGGCTGTAATTCCGTATAGTGCATGCTTCGGTCGGTTGCGGGACTTGGACATCCGGCGCTGGTCTTGGAATTCCTTGTCCAGGGTGGCGGCAGCAAGACCCTTGGACATACTTCCTGTAAGCTTGGCCATACTGTCTGAGAAACCAAAGACAGATTTCTTGACGAAGCTGGTAGCACCCTTTGCAATGCCAACGCCCAATTCTTGGGGTCGGTCGGTCATGACCAAGCCCTGGTACGGTTCATAGAAGATGTCCGCCACACCTGAGCTGACTGTGTTAAACAGACCAACAGGGTTACCCAAGAAATCGGCGGATCCAAGAATGATGTGCACTTGGCTCACAAATTCTTGGGTATAGTGTGCGCGGATGTTGTTGACAAGTCTTCCAAAGGAGACACGGGCATTCTCCAGCATCAGAGCGTTCAACCGTATAGGTGCATCGTTGACGTTACCCATGGACATGGTCATGACATTGACGATGAACATCAGGGGATTGGAAGGTTGCATGGCGCCGTCTTCTGCATTGACACGTTCCGTCCGCATGAAAGAAATATCCAATTGCATGGGTTGCAAATGGAGAAGCTCAAAGTATACATCTTGACCAGCTTCATTTTGTTGCGGCTCGGGAATATTCAAGTCCCCATCACACAGCTTGCCTTCTTGTTCTTCTGTCCAAGATGCCCCGGGAATCTTGGCAAAGTCCAACATAGCAAAGACGAAGTCTTCATCCAACTCAAGGGTCATTTGCTGCAACAGGAGAGTCGCGTACTTCACGTAGAGAACACCATAAGAGTCGTCTTTGACTCTTGTGACCATTGCGTGGAAAATCGGGTGCGCTTCCATTTCTTTCCCGGTCTTAGGGACAACACTGGGGTAAAGAAGAATGGGGAAAATACCACCATACAATTGGTTATCAATCTGAATCCACTTGATAGTGGTGTTCAGAGTCTGGTACAGAGCTGACTCCCGGAACTTGATCTCAATCTCTCGGAAAGTGAGATAGAGAAGCTCCTTCAAGTTCTGATTGATAAGAGAGATACCGATTCCACCTAGACGGAGCTGAGCCTTGAAATTCACGTCGGAGTTCATCTCCTTGACCTCGAATCCAGCAGTCGTATTGTTCTGCGAGGCTTGGCCCTTTTGCTGTTTGTAAATACTCTTCGAGGGCTTGAAGTTGGAAAGAACAAGAGTTTGAGTGGGCCCATCCGCCACGATGTTAATGTCGACAATTCTCTGGTGCTCATTTGACTTTGATGGCGGAATGCGCATTGGAATCAAGTTACCGATCTCAGCAAGCTTGATATGTCGCTCTTTGCCTTGGCAAGACAAAACAAGAGATTTGTTTTTGGTTGCTGGGTAATCCCACGCGTAAGGCATGATACTTCGAGGTGGGAGGCGGTAACGGATAGGCCGCCAGCCACTTGAGTCGTCCTCCTCATCATCATCCACGTTGGGGTTCTAGAAACAAGAAGAGTTAGTATCAAGAATCGAAATCGGAGTAGTGTACAAGCTTACAGCCTGGTGGAAGATGAACTCGATGTCACTTTCATTACGCATCGAGAACGGCCAGTTACGAGTCTCAAAGCTGAGGTGCAAGAAAATAGTTGCCCCTTCCAGAATGACGTCGACCTTGATCAATTTCTGGCGCTGATTCGCTGACTTGGCCAATTTGACGTGCACAGTCCCAACATCTGCAATGTTAAACGGAGAAGACCATTGATTGTTCACCCCGGGAAAGCACAGACAGAGCTGCTTTTCTTGGACTTGGCGGAGGAAGTGAAGCGGCACCAACTCGCCACTCTTCAGCTCAAGAACATTCGACGAGCCAGGTTCGCGCACCATGAGGTCTTCGGTGAGTTTGCTCTTCAGAATGAACCTGGGCGCGATGGTGACTACCTTCGTCATTTTGTACTTGCCTTCGCCCTCAGCCACAGAGACTCCCGAGTGGAATTCATACCTGCCCTGAGAATCGGGGAAAACAACCTCGAAAGTGCTACCAAGAGCCTCAAAACTCTGTGGCTTGCTCCATGAAGAGTCGCCGACCTTCAAGATAGATCGATTCTTTTGGTCATTTGATCCATAAGAATACATGTATGGCAGAGCACGGCCACCGCCTCTCGGGTCAACTCTGAGGCCGCCGCCAGCAGCATTGCGGGCAGACTGGAGGAAAGCCTTGCTTTGAATGTCCATGGGCAGACCGGTCTTATTCAGTACGAGGTACGGGCTGTAAACTGAAACCTTGAAAGCACCACCACTGTTGGGGATGTTGAAGTAATGAAGCTTCAACTTCAATGGAAGGCCTCGTTCGTCCTTCAAAGGCAATGTGTGCTCTCTGCGGTAATCCTGAGAATTTCCGTTCACAATTGCAAAGTCACTTTGTTTGAAAATAGTATCTTCAAGGTCAATGCTGAGCAGGAGAAGATGAGACAACTCCACCACATGGACGGGGCTAACGCCACCCTTTCTCAGGAAGTTTGTCCAGTCTTTCTTTGTGTTCTTGTCGTAAATACGGTACTTGAAGTCATATGGCAGCAAGTTCTGAATTTCCACAGGAGCGAAGATTCGAATCCTCATATAGGGATAAGAGCTTGTAGCTGAATCTTTGTTGTCAAAGGTTGCATTGACCTGGAAATAGAACGCCGGTGCTTGGCCTCCATTTTCACTAACGCATTGCACGGTGCGTGTCGGACGGCGTATTAGATCTTTCCAAAACAGCCGTTCGTTCGACCAGTCATAACCAAAGCCCTGATCCGGACGGATAACAACCGAGTGCAGGTATGCAGAGCCGACCGGTGCTGGTCGGGCATCACCAGGCAAAATCTTCTCAATCTTGAGGAGGTGACCCTCGTCGGGACTAAACACACCTAACTCCACTGGAATCTGGGTGTTATTCTCCACAAGTAGTGGTGAGCGGAACGTGATGTATTTGACGTTGTCAGCTCCAAGTTTCACTTCCACAAGAAGTCGGTGCAGAACATTATCTCGCTTTGGCTTCAAGCTATACAAGACCTCCCCTTCGCGTACAACAGGAATGCGGTTGATGCTGTCAAACCCGCTACCTTCCAATTTAATGCCGACTATTCCACCTTGACCTTCGGGGGAAAGAGTCTCGCGAATGGCAGTAGATTCTTCGAATCGCCAAGGATGTTCTTCTCCATCAGTCAATTTTGCAGCTGGACCATCTTCCCCTGCGCCGACATCAGCCCAGACATGGAGATCAAAGCCCGTGTAGTTGCGGATTCTGTAGGGAGCATCGGCACCTCTGGGCTTGGAAAGGACATCTTCGTCTGTGGACAGGAATTGGAATGACTTTGAGGCAAGTGCAATAGTGGCCGATGTCAATGTGAGCTCCATGTTCTTGTGAGAATAGGCATCAATGGAAAAGACATCTGGGTTTGTTTCTTTCGCCACGTGGAAACCGAGCTGCCAAGGCTCAATCAACGGCTCCCAAGCTGACTTGGAGAAGTTGAAGACGTTGACAAAGGTATCAAAGTTCGTATCAATACTCAAGGTAGAAGACCAATCACGCACATCGACGTTGAACTTCTTGACGCTCCAATCCAGCAAAGGCAAGTCATGCAGGTCACCTATCAAGATAACACGAATACCATCGATCTTAGCTGACAGCTCCTCGCGCTTCAGAACAGCTGAACTTTCCACAGCCATGGCCTTGTCGAGTGTCTCGGCCCCCTGACTGACCCGGCGACGAGTTCTGTGAGCCAGAGTGGTAGATGCTTTGCTGCCAGAACGGGCTCTGGTGCTCTTGACATCGGTAATTTTCTTCGCCTCTCCACCCTCGAGCTGCTGAGCATTCTGGGCTCGCATTTCAGATGCCCTGTTCACAATCTGGATTGCCATCAGAATATCACGCAGAGACAAACGGAGGACCAAGGGTTCACAGTGTGCCTCGATAGAAGTAAGTGCCGGTCCATGATCTTGAGGCCGGCTATCAACCGATAGCTCGAGTGTGAAATCGTCCAGGATCCGCAGTCGACTAGTTTCAAACTTGTCCATACGACACAGGAACATGCCAAGCTTTTGAACCTGCAAGGTCGAAACATTTTGACGAGAGATGAGAACCTCTTTGGTTCCGATAACAATGGCTTCGGAATGAGGAATGGTGGGGTTGGCCACCATGATAACCTGAGCATCAACTAAATTGACACGGAAAGAAACGGTTGTAGATCCAGCCGCAGAATCTCCAGTTGAAACTTCGGTTGGTTCTTTATCCGAAGCTGCTGCATCAGATCCCGGTTCCGGGTCTTCAGGTAATTCAGCTTCCTCTTCCAATATCTCCACGGGGCCGTCAGAGGTGAATGCCGAGTTGCTAAATGACTGCAAGGCAGATAGGTAGTCCAAAGCAAACATGATGCGCGGACTGTCAATAGTCAACATCGCAATGAGATGCTTGTCCGGTCCGGGTGACATGGACACACTAGCCATGAACTGCTGCTGAACATCGTTGTTGATCAATGACATGATGTTTCGGAACTTGTTCGAGTCCTGTCGGCGACTATCCCGGATCGAGAACGAGTGGATGAGGAGTTCGGACTCCAAGGAACCATCTGTCAACATGCGGAGCTTGACTCTTGTGTCATTGAGAGAGAACTTTGATAAGCTCGAATCTTCCAAACGGCCAGCAGGCTGATCGTCGTTGGCTAGAATAAGCTCCAGTCCAACACTATCTACCTTGAAAATCATATCGAGTCGAACCCATGTCTCTTTGTTCGTTGTATCATCTGGGCCTACAGCTTTCTGCTCCTCCGCTTGAACGGCCTTGGAGGTTGTTGTCGGCTCTGTAACCGACGAGGGTAGAGATTCCAGGGCCTCGAGCTCTTGCTGTTCAGCATCAGTTGCAAAGGCGCCAGGGATGGACTTGGAAAGGGCTAGCAAGAACTTCAGTTGACTCTGGGAAATACGGAGATTGATGGGAGACAAAGAGCCTTCAATCTCCATGTCTGGGCGGGCGTTATTGGCCTGGTGTTCCATATAGCAGATGCTGAAGTCAAGGTTCACTTTCTGGATCATCTCAAGCTCTTCTTCTGTGCCATCTTTGAAGTGGAACTTGGAGGTCAAGCGGATGTTACGCACACCAGTAGAAATCACATTGACAGCTGGGCTGTCTTTGCTTTCGTCCATTGGCACGAATTCGTTCTTGACATAGATCTCACCAAGGTGAGCAGTAACTGTATCTCTGGGCCTATCGTCCGCCATCACTCTAGGGAACACCAATATGGGAGTCTTGACTACAATATCAAGCCGCATTCGTGAGGCATTCTCCTGGAGCTGATTGGCTTGGCTTGCAGCAGCCTGGCGAGCCGCATTGAAAATTGCCTGCATTTTGCCGAACTTGACCAAAAAGTTGATGATCTTCCGGTAGGGCTCCTCAAGGAAATTGATCTTGATTGAGCCGGAGCGCAAGTAGACCTCCGAGTCATAGCCAGGGTAGGTCTCGCTCTCTGGGTCGAAAGTCTCGTATCTGAAATCGGCGAAGTTATCCCCTTCAATGGTCAGGAGGCGTCGAACATCTGATTCTTCAGGCGCGCCCAAGTTAACATCGTCAACCAGGGTCAAACTGCCAATTCGGGACTGGATGGTCATTGAGCGCCCAACTAGGAATATTCCAACATCTGCAGTGTTAAGACTTAACGTTGCCAGTCGAACACCGTCATTGTTGAGGATAAGGGCAATACTCTTGAGGTTAGATTTGATGCGAAGCTTGCCAGCTTCTTGGGGGGCTTCAACAGCATCAGCTGTCTCTTGAATGGCCAAGTTGCCTGTTTGGGAGTCTTCGTCCACTTGCTGCTGTGGACTTGTGAACGTGAGAAGGATGAAATCCAATAGCGTGAGCAGGGTCTTCCTTGTCACTACGAGATTGATGGTTGATACCGAAATGTCAAGATTCATCGCAACACCCTCGTATGTAGACTCAAACTCTGGAGACTCGGGTTTGACCCTGACCATCTTCAAATGGAAGAGATCTTTGTCTTCATCTGCGTTGAATCCCTTGGAGGAGACTATTCTCTTGAACTCTGGAAGTGGGTTCTCTTCGATATAATCGTCGACGCTCAAAGACTTAAGGATGACCTCGGCAACCATGTCATAAGGACGCATGTAGAAGTCAAGCTCAAAGCCCTCCGCAACCAATTCTACCAGCAGTTGATCTTTCAGTGGGTCTTGGGAATCAGAGCGGAAAAGAGAGCCACGCAACCGCCCAACGTTGAATTTGAACTCAAAGTCTCGGCGGTGAATATTGTTCGTCGAGTCCACATTTTTTCTCGCGTGGTCAGTTTCTGATTCTGCTTCATCGTCGTCGACAACAGGGAGATCTCTCAAGGCCGAGGGCTGGAAAGATGCGGAGCGAGCTCTGGTAGCAATGGCTTTCTCTTCGTTGGCTTTGGCCGCCGCTGGATCAGAATTGGCCTTTCCGGTGTCGAATTGAGGAATTGCAATATCAATCAACTTCATCAATCCCTTGTATTTAGTATCTGACATGGAGGCATGGAGTTCGGGCAAATTGCCTGATATACGTGTCCGGGTGAGCTGTGTCACCTTGGGAACGATGCACATCTCCAGCACGAAATCCACGTTGATCCGGTCAACGATATGGAAATTTTTGGACTCAACATCAGACGTAAGCTGGGCTTTGGTTGCTTCCACACCAGGTCCAATTAGAAGTTGGGTGGAATCCAATTTGATAAGGAAACGATCGTATAACAAGTGCTCTAGCTGTTTGTAATCTTCCTCTTCGTACTGGTGGCTTTGTTTGGCCTGAAGATCTCGCATAGCCTTTCGGTCGACCAGCTCACTGTTGACACTAGCGTGACCGGCATCGAGGATCAGACAAAGAGAGCTCTCGTGTGTGATACTCTCGGGCACGATGATCAAGGGTGCGTGAACATCAAAGTGGGCGTCGACTTTCTTATGCTCTTGCAGAGCAAACTCCAGACCTGCTCGGGTTTGCTGACGAAGACCTTGAACAGTCGCTCCTGCAGTGTCCAAAAGCGCACCAATGGACTCCATGTGTCGGTCAGGAGGTTCGAAAAACTTCACAATGCCCACCAGGAATCGGGGGTTATAGATTACTTCGATACTCTTCAACTTGACCTTGACCGCCGAATCGGCGTCACTTTCCAGGGGATTCTTCTCCAGTTGCAGGTGGAACAAGCTATCTTCGTCCACCGCATCATCGGCACTAGCCTCCGAAGCGAGATCATCGTCTTCTGTGCTAGGCTGATCTTTTGTCGGCTCCGGAATGGAGTCTTTGACCTTGACAATCTGAGGATACAAGGTACCGGGAGTGGTACCATCGTACATCTTCAAGCCACCAAGATCAAGATCTAGGAGGTAAGAGTCCGGACGCTGAAGAGCTTTGGCACGGAAGTTGTCGAACACCAACTTCATTACCTCATTTGCTGCGCCATGAGGATCCTGCTTGAGAGTAAAGCTACCAGCACGCAGACTCCAATTGACCTGGAGCTTGACCCATTCACGGGGTACATCAACACTCTCTGAAAGAGCCTTCTTTTCGTCCCAGTCAATAGCACTGTATAGCTCCTGGCGTTGCTCTTCTGTCATGGCTGGTTCTTCTGACTCTTCCTTCTTGGCGCCCCAGATCCATTCACCCCATGACTGTTGTTGAGCAGGCTTTTTGACTCCAACATTCTCTTTGCGAAGCTGGTTTCGAGCAAGAGATCGCCAGAATCTGATATCCTCGTAGCTAAGCTTCCTTTCCAAAAGGTCTAACTCTTTAGACTCTTCCGGTGAAAAAGCTTCTTCTCGCTTCTTCTTCTTGAAGAATTTGATATATGCGATACGATCGTCTCTGCGCTCTTTGATATAATCCCAAGTCCATCGTCGATTTCGGTCATGAATTTTGCTTAGTACAGCCTGTCCGGCGAATTGCAGCCAGGCCTTCGGGTCTTCTTTGACGGAACATTTTGGCTGGTACTGTTTATATTCCTGATGACGGATGAAATAATGGAAGAGATCCACAAGCATCAAGGCATCACGATACTGATTATCGTCCAAAACAAAGCCGAGCTCGTCAAAGAGCAAACGCGCTTTCATAGCGGGGCGATCGTATTTGCCCGATTTATCCATTTCAAGGCCTGCACGCCCACTTACGGGACGAAGCATGAACTGATTACCCTCACCGTTGTCAATGGTGTCACGTAATTTGTTCATTAGGTCATCATGCTCAATTCCCTGGGCCTCTGCACCGATATCAGAGCCGCGACCTGTTCCAAAGAGTGTCGCATCCGTATTCCAGTACACAGACAAGGCGCCGAGGACCGCAAGTTTATGTGTAGTATCGGAGGTAGACTGGATAAACGTCGGGTTCCAATCTGCGTCGGTACTCACGGCACTGAGCTCCTTCAGTGTCACTCCCACAGCGAATGGATGTCCTGGAGAAGAGATAGAATCTTCGTATCGGATGTGCACATTCTTGATAGACACCTGTAGGTTGTCCACCACGGCTGTGACCATGCTTTGGGTGAAGCTCTGGTTTCGACGCTGTTCCTCCTGGCTCATTCCTTCCGCGTTGCGCTCACGAAGAAGTTCGGCGCCTTCAATCCGTTCCATCTTCAGTGTATGCGCCCGCTTAGCTTCCTCTGTCGCATCGTAGTCCGCATCCTCCTGGGGTGCTGCCAGTAAAAAGACATCTTCAATGTCGACCTTGACCGGTTTGCCCCTAAGATTCGACCAGGGAATGGATAATGTGAGTTGGCCCAGGTGGCCTTCGACGACATTCAAAGGTAGATGAAGCTGGTCGAGGGCTTCGCGGCGCAGCTCGAGGTTGCGTAGTTTGACATCACCGGACCAGATTCCAATGTTGAGCTGCTTCGCGTCGAAGTTCTTGACGTAGATGCCCAAAAAACGGTTGAGCAGGTTAGCAACCACACCCTCCAACATGGTTGCGAGTTATGGTCGTTGACCAGGCCCGGGTAATTGGGCTCTATGGCCGTTGATGTGGTTGCTGTCGCTGGTACAAGGTGGGTCGTGCGTTCAATGGTAATGGACCTAGTTCTGAGAAGGAGCGTCAGTGCTAATTCTTGGGGGCTTCAGAGCGTGCGGGGGGTCAGTTGTTTCTCACCAACTCAAGAAAAGCCAACTTCATAGACACGCTTCGTGAGTGAAGCACCGGGCCATTTAAGTATGGTAAGTCGGTAGCACGCGATACCGAAGTGGAACAAGCAGCTCCGAGAGAAGTGGGTGCCAGGATATTATGGGTTAGTGGGGAAGGGTTATGTAGAGAGAGAAATTGATGGATAAGGTGAAGAGATCAGATAACGACGACCAGCGAGGTCGCAACTGGCCAGGAAAGTTGGGTATCCAAAGCCAAGCCAATTGCCTTGATTGCGTGGATCAAAAGGCCTTCCTCTCTATCTGGTAATTTGGCGACCGTAATGAAAGGGCCAAAAACGCGCGGTACACTCACAGCTTCTCCGCCCTGGCATTTGTCCATTGCCGAGTTTCCCCATAGTTACTTGGACCATCATGCCTATGTCATTCTCACTAGTTGAAAAATGATCAGATAGATGTTTTTAATCAATAGCTTCTTGTCAAATTACATGTTGGTTTTTTTTCTCTCAAAATATCTCAGCATTATGTGCATATCAAGATAATATATACACATATCAAATGTTTTTAAGATACCCCCCTCATGTACCGTTACTGTACTGGAGAGTACGCATGTTTACTTCAAGCAGAGTGACATCAGTCCCGTGCTGGTCACTTAGTAAGGAGCCAAACTTGGAAAGCTGCTTCCTTGTTACTCAGCTAGGGTTCCCGGCATCATTCAAAGTCACATGACTATCACGTCCCCCGGGGTTTTCCTAAACTTTCTGCCTCAGGCTATAAATCAGGCGACAAAAAGAGGTAAGCTTGTGCGGCTTAAGTCTCTGTGGTTCCCCGTATGGATACACCTCACCACTCGGTCACTTCATTTCTGGATATTCTTATTTGCTCCCAATCCGGAAATCCACGGCCCCCCCGACTTTGCTTTTGAGTCCTTCTCCGGGTGAATACCCCCATCTCCACTCTCCACTCTCCTCTCCAGCTCTTTCCAAGGCCAATTGGGTGTGTTATCCTGGCACTGTTGCTCTACCCGAGGCTTTTCCTTTCCGCGCAAACTGCTAACCCGACTACACACGAAAAGCTCTATATCCCCCGCCATGCTTTACCGCAACGCCGCCGCCCGCTCTGCGCTCCGGGCCATCTCGAGCAGCTCCAATGCTTCGGTTGTCCGCTCCGCTCTGGGCAACAACATCTTCAAGGCTCAGCTGACCTCCTCCGCCCGCGCCATCCGCCCAACCACCAAGCCCAGCTTCGCTCTGGCCGTTCACAAGCCCGTTACCAGCGCTCTGGTCCGCTACTCGTCTTCCTCGTCTAAGGTATGGTTGTTGATGAAGCTGGCTGTGATATGCGGGGCACGCAATGGCTAATTGAGATTTTTTTTTCTACTTGATAGGATGGCGACGATGTCGACATGATGGCTGGCATGAAGGCTGAGGCTGTATGTTCTAATCCCTGTCAATTGACCTTGGTCTTGGGTGTAAATTTCCGGAATCAAGACTAACAATGTCATTGTCATATATAGAAAGTTATCAAGGACACCTTCAGCTTGGCTGCTGTCCCCAAGGAGGCTCTCTACCTCGGTATGGCCGGTGTGATTCCCTACCTTGCCACCTCTCTGCAGACCGTTGCCCTCTCTTACGAGATCAACCGCGCTGCTGTTGATGGTGAGGGTCTGATCTTCTCTGGCCAGAGCGCCGAGCTGATGCTGCACATGTTGGAGCCCGTCCAGGTCGCCTACGGTGCCGTTGTAAGTTGAACCTGTTTTGAGTCTTGAGCTGCTTATCTATCAAATTAAACCCCCGCTAACCACTCTTGGACAACCAGATTCTCTCCTTCCTTGGTGCCGTGCACTGGGGTCTTGAGTGGGCTGGCTACGGCGGCAAGTTTGGCTACAAGCGCTACGCTGCCGGTGTTATCGCCCCCGCTGTGGCCTGGCCCACTCTGCTGCTCCCCGTCGAGTACGCTCTGATCAGCCAGTTCCTTGCCTTCACCTTCTTGTACTACAACGACGCTCGTGCCGCTGCCACCGGCCGTGCTCCTCACTGGTACGGCATGTACCGCTTCGTGCTGACCTTCGTTGTCGGTGCCAGCATCGTCGCCACCCTGATTGGCCGTGAGCAGATTGCCCAGACCCTGACCTCTGAGCACACCATCAAGGATAAGATCAACGCCCTGATCTTCCTGCAGAAGAAGGAGAAGGAGGAGGCCGAGGCCCGCAAGAAGGCTGTTGTTGAGGAGGAGGAGTAAATGTGTTGATTTCATTTAGAAGCCAACGCGTACACGCCCTGTAACAAGTTTTTGTTTTGTTTTGTCAGCTGGGGATGGGGTTCTCCTCCCCGCATTTCACTCTCGATGTTTGCATTCCCCGTGATTTCCTGTAGAATATATACGCAGAACGCACTAGGGCCGAAAGCTTTAACTGATTTCTTTTGTTTCAAATGTTTCCATTGGTGGCACCTGGGCACCACGAACCGAACTCGCGAAGAAATTAAAAAGGACCAAGGAAAACCTTGAAAAAAGACCCCGGATGTCTTGATCTATTTCCAGTAGACCCGCGCTAGCAGCTGCATAAATGCTCAAGTGCTCATGTGAACCGGCGATTGAAGTCCAGACAGCTCACCCACGTGGGGCTAAACCGGATTGAGGGATCAACAATCATCAATTGATGAGTTTGATTTTAAATTAACATTTAAAAGCAAGAATTAAGCCCCGAAGGTCACCTGGTAGGGCAATCAGGGCCGATACATCAAAGCCAGAACTCCGTAGACTGGAGTTCCGAGTTCCCGTGTCCGGTCCCGATGATTGGGCAAACAAAGGTTGAAGGCCGATTTTCGCATGAAGCAAGTAGCCCGGTTCTAAATCCGTCTATTGTTTTGAAAGATTTTCTGCTATTCAAAACACTTGAGTGCTTCACATGCATTGACATGGCCCTGAGCTTAGTCACTCCTTCAAACATGACTGCACTGTAGTTACTAGTCATCTATGCATCGCTTCCTGGAAGACTGGTTGGAGCAAGCCTAAGTGGTCTCTCTACTCCAGATCCTGTCCGTATACTGTAGGTGAAATCTGCATGTGGGCGATTACTACCCAGGTAGTAGGTAGTAGCTATCAACATCTCTACTAGTACTACAGGTAGTACTTTCTCACATACATTCATAGTACTATGTATGCAGCACCTGGGCACTTCTATATTGATGCACACTTAAGTATCCATGGATGGATGTATCATTCCAAGGTTCCAAGCTTATATAGGGGCATTTACGCTACGAGGTCAACTGATCTTCTGCAGTTTTTTTCTTTTTTTTTTCTGTCCAAGCGTTTTAAAGATCGTTCCAACCGTGGTCGAGTGGACCCCCTAGGAAAAAACAAAAAGGAAGGTATAGCGAGCCGAGCTGCATTGTGGCTGGAACACAACCCCGGTTGCAATAGAAAAGCTACGGGAACGCCAGATTCCCGTAGGATCATCGAGTGTTGACCAAAATTAAACCCATGAATTAGTGAATTTTTGGCTCCTCGCGTGATCTGCTAATCCAGTGCACGTCCCCGTCCCTGGCAGGACACGGGCGCGATCCTCGTTCACCATATCCTTAGCTCTTTCCATAGTCCACGGGCGAGGTTGGACTAAGACACTAACTTGGTCAAGCTAAGACCAATCTTTAGTCTTTTTTTTTTTTTGGATTAATGATCCTCTGCCTATAATCTCTCCTCGCTGCCCCCCTCCTCCCCGCGCGCTATGCTGATCTCTTATAGGCTGGCATCTCGGCCAAGAATCGGGCATTTTCTCCCTGTTCTCCAAGGCTCCAAAGTTCGTTTGTTCTTGTTATAAGAATGGATCCCAGACGTCATCACCCGTTGATGGCAGTAATGTGATTGGACTATGGTTGCAGTTCTTGGGGTATTTTTCTTGGAGGGGAGTCTTTGCCCAGATTGTAGGGATAGAAATTACTAGGTTGATGTCTTGGCGTTTTCCTTTTTTCCAATGTACGGGGAGAACATACATGATGTGATCTTCCTATGGAGAGGGAAAAAAATTCTATTTGGAGAAAGAAAGTGGACACCAGTTCATCCATTTTATCCAGGGGTACGGCAGGGGAGAATGGGCGATTGTTCTTGGCTGCGACTAGTGGATTCTCCAGGAATGTGTTCCAATCTATCATAATCTTCCGGCATTAATCCATGAATAGGAGGGCAGGGAAATGGGGAAAGTATATCAATTTACACGATACTAGTAGTCTTAAAAAGAAAAGAAAAAGTGGCAGTGGATTTTAGGGGAAAGGGGGGGGTCTAGAACCCGCAGCGAAAAAAAATGGAGTGTCATGTGGCTGATCTACGGGGCTCAATTGACATTGAAGATGGAGTCAATTCCCAAGGGTTCATCAGAGAACACAAGTTCAGAAATGTTTCAAGTAAGTAGAATTAAAGAATAGATTCCAAGGAGGAGTTCTTCCAGGTGAAATGAAAATCTTTAAACAAAAGTTAGGGTTTTTAAAAGGTCAAGTATAGATCCGAATCTCATCTGTACCTTCAAGTTAGGGTACATCTCCAGGATATACATAGCCCCAGAGTGGGGGAGGTGACGAGGTCTTCTGATCAAGAAAAAAAAAACCCCAAAAAAAAAAAAAAAAAAAAAAAAAAAAACTCCGTGAACCGGATTTGGGGAGAAGAGACAAGTTGGTGGACCAAGTGCCCCCTCCTCCCCCCACTCCCCTTTGGTCCCACTTGCCTGGATAAAAAGAGTTGACCTTCTCATACTTCCAACTTCCCTTTCCTTCTCTCACTTTGCCCCCTCGTACGTCAGGCTCCACTTTCCGAGGAGCTTCCTACTTCCCAGTCTTGCCACTGTAGAATTCCCTAGGCGTAATTTGACTTGTTCCTCCACACTTTCTTTACTTTCCCTTTTCCCCAAAATATACACCCGCCAACCCGCCAACCCGCCAAACGCCACTTCCCATCCCACATACCATCCATACCCGTACCACCCCATACCACCCCATACACGTACAAAACACAACACATACAGAAGATGCGGAACCCTTTTGACCTCGACAACGACAGCATCGACGGCGACTCAGAATCCGCCCAGGATCAGGAGCACTTCGAACTCCCCGAGAGGCCCATTGAAACAGATGACGGAGACCGGGCGATCTTGCAAGATGAGGACAAACATGCGGAGGACCTGAAGGAGCGTTTTATTGGCACCATTGATCAGGGTACCACCAGTACCCGTTTCATCATCTTTGACTGCACAGGCGTTCCTATCGCCAAATACCAAACCGAGTTCCGTCAACTTCACGAACATCCAGGGTAGGTCTCCCTTGTTGGATTTTGCATTTCGTCTCTGCTCTCGATTTTACCCCGCCTGGGCACATCCCCCCAGTAAACGTTCCCCACCATTAACGTATTTCCTCCCTTCCAGATGGCACGAACAAGACCCCTACGAATTGGTAGAGTCTGTCTTTATTTGCATTGAAGAGGCGATGAAATCATTCCTTGCACTGGGTCACTCCAGGTCGGACATCGAGGCGGTCGGAATCACCAGTCAACGAGAAACCGCCCTAGTTTGGGACTGGGAGACCGGTGAGCCCTTGCACAACGCTATTACTTGGACCGATACCCGGACTGTCAACTTGGTCCGTGAGCTCAAGGAAAAGCCCGGTGCCGACGAACTGGTCAATATTTGCGGTCTACCCCTCTCCACATACCCCTCATCTGTCACGTTGCGATGGATGCTGGACAACCTACCCGACGTTCGCTCCGCTTATGACGAGGGCCGTGCTGCCTTCGGTACCGTCGACAGCTGGCTGATCTACAACCTCAATGGAGGTCCCCAAAACAAGCGTTTGGTCACCGATGTGACCAACGCCTCGCGTACCATGTTTATGAACCTGGAAACCCTTCAATATGACGATCGGCTTTTGAAGTTCTTTGATATTGATCCCAAGAAAATCCGTCTCCCAGAGATTTTCCCCTCGGCCGATCGCGAGGGCTTCGGAGAGATCTGTGAAGGTCCTTTGGAAGGTGTCCCCATCACCAGCTGTCTGGGTGACCAGGCTGCGGCCTTGGTCGGTCACTGTGCCTTTACTCCCGGATCTGCCAAGAACACATATGGTACCGGATGTTTCCTTCTCTATAATGTGGGTGAAAAGCCCGTCATCTCGAAACACGGCCTGCTTGGCACGGTCGGTTTCCAATTGGGCCGGGATCGCAAGGCCGTTTATGCATTGGAGGGTAGTGTGGCGGTGGCTGGCAGTGGTGTGTCATTCCTCATGAATAATATGGGCTTCTTCCGTGATTCTCGCAAGGTCAGCGATCTGGCTGCGACTGTGCCGGACAGTGGAGGCTGCGTCTTCGTTACTGCATTCAGTGGTCTCTTTGCACCTTACTGGATCGATGACGCCAAGGGAACTATTTGTATGTCTTTTTTTCTTCTTTTTTTTTCTCCATGGAAGCTACTTGGAGAATGGCTAACTAATTTGGGTCAACAGGGGGTATCACTCACCACACACAGCGAGGGCATATCGCTCGCGCAACTATGGAGGCTGCATGCTTCCAAACCAAGGCCATTCTGGATGCCATGGAGATGGACAGTGGCAAGAAATTAACAGAATTGGCCGTGGATGGTGGTATGAGTAACTCCGATATTTGCATGCAGGTAGGTTCTCTTTTGCTTCATCATCCGTTTTCACAGGGCCTGCAGATACTAACATGTTCTTTCCCCCTCTAGACCCAAGCCGATATCATCCAAATCCCTGTCGAGCGACCCGCAATGCACGAAACTACCGCTCTCGGTGCCGCGATCGCTGCTGCCTTCGCCATCGATGTCTGGAAGGACTTTTCCGATCTCAAGCACATGAACCGCGCCAACCGTGCTACCTTCGAACCCTCCATTACACCCAAAGCCAGTTCAAAGATGTACAAATGGTGGTCCAAGGCTGTCGAGATGTCCCGAGGCTGGATGGAGACCACGCAGGAATCCGACGACGAGGACGACGACGTCGAATAAATTGCCATTTTTCACCAATCTTACGATCTTTCCATTTCCATAGGCTTGACCGCGAGTCGGTCCGCCTCCGTTCATGTCGGCTACCTAACCGACGATGATATTCTTTTCATATGAGGCCTTGCAGCACACTATCATACCCATTCCTGCACGCCATTGGGGAGAAAGAGGGAGAGACTTGCCACGCACCACCATCAGCATTATTCCCACCTCCCTTCCCTTTTTTTTTTTCGTCACCCTCCGATCCCCGGTGCGTGCTCACTTATCCAGGGCGCACTGGAATACACGCGGACATTCCATTATACATATTTAGAGGTTCCTGCTTAAGTTAGATAAGCCCTGTCCTAATTGGTGTGCTCTGCAAGCAATGCCACCTTCATGACCTTGATGATGGTTGTGTTTCATTTTATTCCCTTTTTTTCAACAGTTAGCATTTTTGATTGGTTTCCTCACATCTTAACTTCATAGCTATGTTGTCGTGCAGGGCTGAACTGGCTTTGATTCCTATGTCTTGGTTACTACCCTTTTGGCGGTTGAGCGTCTAGTCGAGCGGAGTCGACTGTTGCATTTCTTGTATATATCAGGAATTTATTGGAAAAAAATATGAAAACCAAAAAATTTCAAACTGCATCTGCATTTCACCGAAGGTACTTTGTAATAAATAGCTATCAATTGATTACCATCTACATACGTTAAAATAGTATGTAGAGTAATCAATTGATGCATTCGCACATGTGCATACTTAGGCCAGCAGAAACATTGCAAAGGCCAAGGGCTGACCAAAGTAACGACAAGACCCTAGAACCCTCCTGGCATCACAATGATGCTGGACAATCTTATACACCGGACCCACCTGTTCACTTGGAAGGTTGAATAACGTCAACGACGTTGACGAACCAGGCACATATGGGGAATGTTCCTGACGAAAGCTATGATGTCACGGGTACTGAGTTTGGTCTATGTGGAGCCAGCGGGCCAAGCTCCGGTGGCTATCAAGATTTGAGCCGTTAACTTTAGGTTCATGGGTCTATATAGCATCATGAACTTGACTTTTGGAATCAAAATGAATTGACGTTAATAATTTTTGAATCGTGACCTTTCTTTCTAGTGAGTTGACCGGGATCTATGTATAATGGCAATAGTGCCATGTAAATCATGAATCAGTACGACCTCAGGATGAGAGTCCGTTGTTTGAACCCAATGCCAAAGTAAGCTTATCTTATCCGATTGAACTAGTATCTTGGCCAGCTCTGGAGCCTGTTTTTAAACTTGCAAGCTATTCCCGTCAAGATTATGCAGTAGGTACTGCTAGTACCTAGGTCGTTGATTCGGGTCTGCGTCTCTACCAGTTGTAGATATCATGACAACCTTGTTCATTGCAGAAAGCTACCTACTCATGACTTAGGGAAGTATAAATCGCGTCTCACAATCCGGTGCAAGATACCGAATACAGGATGAAGAAGACATACACGAGGTTGTATGTACATACAAATACAAAAGCAATCCAGATTGATTTCCAACGAGATGAAGAAGAAGTCAGAAGAGTGAGGAGAAGACAGGTTGAAGAGGCAAGGGAAATGGTATTTTCAGTAAAGACGCCCGAACGATCCGGGGATGCACGATGAGGGAAGAAAGGACTAAAGAAACATGGAAAATATGATAATGAGGCAAAGAATAATAGAAACAGTAGGAGGTGAGATGGAGTAGGTCAAGTCAGATCTTTTACTCGGTTGCGGTGGGGGTGCTACCAGCTGCAGTAGACGGTTTCAGATTGGCCGTCGACAAAGAGTCGGGCAGCTTTATTGGTGCACTGGGCAATGAAGCGAGCTTGTCCAACTTCTCCCCTCGGAGCACTTTCTCCATTTCGTCCTTGGTCAGCGTCTCATACTCGATCAGAGCTTTGGTGAGCAGCTCGAGTTCCTTCCGCTTCTCAGTGAGGATCTTTTCGGCACGGGCGCGGGCCTCCTCGACGAGACGGCGCACTTCGCTCTCGATCTCTTGCTTGGTCTCGGATGAGAGGCTGTCGTAGTTGGTTGACAGATCGACATTGCCTAGCTTCTTGGAGTATCCAAAGCGAGTGACCAATGTGAACGCGGTTTCTGTCGCCGATTGGATATCCTGCGCGATGGGGTATTAGTATATTACATCAAAGAAAAGCCTACTAGTAGACACAAAACGCGCGATAGAGAGGAAAAAACTTACAGCGGAGATACCACTAGTGACGTTGTCTTCGCCGAAGATTAGCTCCTCGGCAGCCTTGCCACCCATGGCAACGGCAATATCAGACAGATACTCTGTATAGTTTCGCGAGACGGCATCCATCTCTGGCAAGAAATGAGTAACACCCAAAGCCATGCCACGAGGAACGATTGTGATCTTATAGAGGGGAGTAGCGGATGACGAGAAATAGGCAACCAGGGCATGGCCAGCCTCGTGGTAAGCTGTCAGAAGCTTGTCTTTGTCTTGAATGAAACGGCTCCGAGACTCGGCGCCCATCATGATTTTGTCCTTGGCCCAGTCGAAGTCCAAAGGACCGACCTTGAGTTTACGGTCACGACTAGCATGAATAGCAGCCTGGTTAACCAGGTTCTCGAGGTCGGCGCCGGAGAAACCAGGAGTCCCCCGAGCGATCACAGCGGTATCGACATCAGTGCTGATCTGAACATCCTTCATGTGATGCTTCAGGATATCCATGCGTCCACGAACGTCAGGGAGTCCCACCACCACCTTGCGATCGAAACGACCAGGACGGGTCAGTGCCTTGTCCAATAGCTGAGGGTAGTTGGTAGCACCGATGATGATAACACCACTAGTCTGGGAGAAACCATCAAGTTCTGTAAGCAGCTGGTTCAAGGTCTGCTTAACATAGGCAGCATCGCGTTCGTTTCTCTTTGCACCAATCGCGTCGAGCTCGTCGATAAAGATGATTGCAGGAGATTTACCACGGGCTTGGGTGAAGAGGTCACGGACACGCTTGGCACCAACACCCACGTAGACCTCGTCGAATTCGGAGCCGGACATGTAGAAGAAGGGAACACCAGCTTCTCCCGCCACCGCACGGGCGAGCAAAGTTTTACCAGTACCAGGAGGACCGACTAGAAGAACACCCTTGGGAAGCTTACCACCCAAAGAAGAGAACCGATCAGGATTGAGCAGGAACTCCACAAGCTCCTGGAGTTCGTCCTTGGCCTCGTCGCAACCGTGAACATCGCTGAACCGAACAGTCTGCTGCTCTGGTTGCGCTTCATTGTTTTGCGAGCCTCGGATGTTTTTCAAGACACCAGTAGTTTCAATAAGAATAGTAATTAGGACCAGAGAGACATAGGTGAAGAATCCAAAGAACAAGAAGAACTTGACCCAGCGGAAGACTGCGCTACCCATGGACTCGTCGACTACGACGTAGAGAGGAGCTTCCTTAGCCCCAGTACCTCTCTTAGCCACGCCAACTTGGCCTCCACCGCTCCGCGCAGCGACCGCTTGGCCAACGGCCTGGAGCTGCTCGGATGAAAGGTTTTGGTTTTGTCCAGCCAGAGTCGGGTCAGTGCCAATTCGCTCCAATGCTTTGCTGTAAATTGCCTCGGTTGCCGCGTTGCTCGCAAATTGAGCTGTCCGGAACCGTTCCACGACAATTGCGGGCATGTTCGCACGTAAGAGGGCCTGGTAGAATGCATTTTGGGCGTTCGCGCTGTTTGGGTTGTTGTTTGCGGTTTTCTCTTTCTGCGCCAGAATGGTCTGCGAAGGGCCGCCGAACAAGAAACGTTGCTGTTGGAGCTTAGACAATCCATTGACCTTGGTAGCCACACGGAGGGTCTGGAGGCGGAAGGGTGTCATGGTTGAAAAGGACCGAGCTGTCTGGGAAGAGGGGCCACGGGCCGAGGTAGTTGAGTTCCAAAGTGAATTTGCTGTCGCGCAAATATCAGTATCATTCAACATAAGTATGAGGGAATAGTCACATACCACCGATCAAGAGCGGAGACAAGCCGTGCCGGGCAGGCTGGTTGACGATGTCGGCCTGTAATCCACTCAAGGACACGGAGTTCAAGAACTCCGGCAACAAGATACGTTCATTTGTCTGCTTTATACAATCAGTTTCAAATGAACCAATTTCGGTTTCAAAGAAATCTTACCACCGCAATCTGTTCCTGGGAAGGGGTTCTTTGAATGGTCTCGTGAGGGGTGGTCGTCGGGGTTCGTCCTACCTGCTTCCAGGGAATAGCGAGCAGGTTGGACATCGATGGCCAAAGGTCGGTCGTCACAGCTGCCATGTTCTGATTTGAGTAGGAGTTGCGGTTAGTGGTATTCTTGGATAAAGTCATATGTATGGAGGAAAGCAGGTGGTTCTCACCGGCCGCGGGATAGTGACTTGAAAGGCCATGGTTGTCCGATAGAAAGCGGCGCTCAGCCGCTTAAAACGAGAAGAAATTCTCCTATGGGGCGTGTACGTGTAACCAAATGACAGTATTCAATGGCTTATAGCAGCAACTCCCATCACTGAAGATGATAGAGAACGGTGACGTGGGTTTGGACTCCGCTGTGATGCGGCGAAAGTCGGCTGCCATTTGGGCTTGGGCAGTTTGCCGTATCATCACGTGACTTATATGAATCTAGACGATAATCGGCGATTTGTTGTTCCGGTGGCATCCAGGATCAAGCAGTTGATAGTAGACTGACTTATAACTCTCCATCATCCGGATGTTTATGAGACTATACGACTGAACGGGTAGGTTCATTCGGTGATTTAAGTCTTGGATTCCACCAACCGTTACAGAATCATAGCTTCCGAGAGCCCATAAAAAAACCTCTTATTTCCTACCGTCACCGTCCTACCGCTATTCTGACAGCCGATGATATGACCTCTAAACTTCATTTATGAATTCCAACAGTACCCTTATATGGCTGCCCATATGCACAAGCGGATTGTTTTTTTTTCTCTAAATGATTGAACTCTGATGTCCGACCGCACAGTGCAATGCGTACAATAGTAATGCTAGTTTGTACATAATTAGTAGGCACTTGTCTGTACTGTCATCCAAAAGTTTTCTTGATTTAAAAGACCATCAAGTACATAAACCTTTAGATAAGTAGTCATTACAGTAAATTAGCAAACCTCAAGGACCTACTACGGGTTAAAATGTGGGGTGTTGATTTTCAGTAATAAACATTTGAATTTGACTGTGAGCAAAAGATCTTTTTGAAGTCCTACATAACTCTTTCTTGGAAACTGATGATATAATCCCAGGCCCATGGTTCGGGCTGGGTCGACTTCCAACGGGATGTTTGGATTTTGAACCCCCCAGCACTTCAATCTTTGATACAACCCGGGCAAATCTCCATGACACCTGGAACTTTGCCCAAATTTAATAAGCTTGGAGGTCCCACACCTGGCAGAAATTCTTCTTTGACGCCAGTATTGGATAAGCCATTTATGGGAATCCCCAGAATCAACGACGATTAGAAAGCATGGGACGTCACTGGCATCCACTACATCAGTGAAGCTGAGCCTCGGGACTTGGAAGATCTTGGAAGAACACTCGACTGAAGCTTTCAACCGAGTCAAAATGACCCCCAAATTGATTTTCCTAGTGGGTGCCCCACTGCCCGGCAGTTTGGATTGGGATCATGATGAGCTTTTCAACACCCCCGTGGCCCCATTCTATGATGCCGATACCAACACCGAGCACCAGCCATATCGGGGCCAAGATTCTATAAAATGGAGAGTCCTTCAGCCTTTGTCGCCGGAAATTGTGGATGACCACCATGCCTTCTATTGGGGACCAAAAGACCCAAGCTTTGTAACATCCCACCAGCTCATCAATGCTGATAGTTTCGCAAGTGATGGGGATGATACGACTTTGTCTCAGTTCTACGATCAATCATTCGCCTTTCATGAGGCCTCAAATCCATCTGCATCAGAAATACCAGAGGACCTGACACAGGAGTTGGACAGCATCGAAACCGCCGATTCAACAAGCAAAGGATTATATGAATTACCACCTTTTCGAATCAATGGCCCATTGAGAGATCTGCAAGATATCCCCACGGCAGAACACCTGCAGTCCATTGTCCCACAAACCATGTCAGTCAATCTGGTGGTCGGAGTCATTACAGTCCAATCACCTCGGCGCGTGGTAACACGGCAATGGAAGAAAGAACTCGATATAATTGAACTAGTGGTGGGTGACGAGACAAAGGCCGGGTTTGGCGTGAACTTTTGGTTGCCAGCGTCAAAACCAACAGCCGAAGCCGAAGAAATGGATAGGCTTGGTCGAGTCCTGGCCACCCTTCGCGCTCAAGACATTGTGCTTTTGCGTACGGTTGGGCTTGGCTCGTTCCGGGACCAGGTCTATGGACAAAGCCTCCGTGGTGGAATGACCCAAGTCGACCTTTTGCATCGACCAACGACGGATGCGGGAGGGCTTAACAAGGTTCTGCCAACAAGCGTCCAGGGCGATCTGCCGCAGAAGGTTCACAAGGTACGGGAATGGATCCTCCAATTTGTGGGGACGGATGGAGTAGGCGGTACTAGCCTGCCAGGGATGTCCACGACAGAACGTGGCCATCGGTTGCCTCCGGACACACAGTAGGTCCCTTTGTCTTAGTTATATTTATGACTACATAAACCCATGGGCCTTCTACTTGGGATAGTATAGGTTGAAATATTGGAATTGTCTTCAATATTGGAAAGTTACTCCGCGCACTAGATGATACAAAGCCTTGCCTATAATATGATATCATAGAATGGGAATCCCTGAGAGTTCTTCCAAGTATTTGTTAGTGGATCATTCATAAATCTGGTTGTGCACACAGATAGATAGCCCAATCTGTACTCCAGAGAGGTGGACAAATGGGTTTTTTTTTTTTAAAAAAAAAAAAACCAACAAAAGAAAGAAGAAAATCACAGAAAAGGGGCCAAGTTGAAAGATGAAGGAGGGTCGCGGTGGGTGATGTGTGGTGTGTGACGGATGAGGAGATCGGCCTCTCCACGCGGCTCATGACCGCAACCGACCACTGATCCCTTAAGAAGCTTCCTTATGAGACTTTTTAACATAGGGGGCGACATCGCCTGACCGGGTAAGGTTGGCGGGGCAGCTATTCAACAAGCCCCGATCCAGTTAAAAGGCTTTGGCTGCGCCGCTTGGCGTCGGCGTCGATGGCCTGGAGCCAGTCAGGGTATTAGTACGGAGTACTTAGTACCACCCGGAAGGCGGAAACTTTACTAATAGTAGAGTACGGGCGTACTCCGGTACTCCAGCTGATATTTTTCTCTCCCACCACCACAATTGAATTTCCAGAAAGCATAAAAAAAAACCAAGGTTCAAAACCAAGTGATCCAATGAATACTATTGAAAAAACACGAAAAAAAGGATCAATCAGATAGCCGGAAATAGAAGTATTCTCGAGGTCAACAGATGGTAACAGATATAGAGGGTCCACCCCCTTTTTTACTGCAAACGTGTAGCTATCCAATCACATGGCTTCACGTGCCCCACCCTCCCTCCTAATAAAAATAAATCCATCAACGGCCAGGTGTTCCCTAAATAATGCTCTTCTCCCCTTCGTGTTAAACCCTCTTGGCTTCTTTCTTTTTGTTGTTGATTGAATATCAACTACATTACCCATTGATTTAATCCCATTTTTCACTTTCACACCACACCTACCCCACAATGAAGGGTATGTCTTACCCCTCCATACCACCCCTCATCCCGTACTAACCATCCCGCAGCTCTCATTCTTGTCGGAGGCTTCGGCACCCGTCTGCGTCCCTTGGTAAGTTATTGTGCTTCCTCCCACCATGCCATTGAATTGGCCCAATGCCCCATGGGGGAAATAATTGGAGGGATTGCTACCTCCAATACATTAGCTAATTCGAATGCCTCCACCTTAGACCCTCACCCTCCCGAAGCCGCTGGTCGAGTTCGGTAACCGGCCCATGATCCTGCACCAGGTCGAGAGCTTGGCAGCTGCAGGTGTCACCGATATTGTCCTGGCTGTTAACTACCGTCCCGATGTCATGGTTGCAGCACTCAAGAAGTACGAGGAGCAATACGGCGTCAACATCGAATTCTCGGTCGAGACCGAACCACTGGGTACGGCTGGCCCGCTTAAGCTGGCGGAGAGCATTCTGGGTAAGGATGATTCGCCTTTCTTCGTCCTGAACTCCGACGTTATCTGTGATTACCCCTTCAGAGAGCTTGCCGCGTTCCACAAGAAGCACGGTGATGAAGGTACCATTGTTGTTACCAAGGTCGACGAGCCATCCAAGTATGGTGTTGTGGTTCACAAGCCCAACCACCCTTCGCGCATTGATCGTTTCGTCGAGAAGCCCGTCGAGTTCGTCGGTAACCGTATCAACGCCGGTATCTACATTCTGAACCCCAGTGTTCTCAAGCGCATTGAGCTGCGCCCCACTTCCATCGAGCAGGAGACTTTCCCTGCTATTGTCAAGGATGGTCTGCTCCACTCCTATGACCTCGAGAGCTTCTGGATGGATGTTGGCCAGCCCAAGGATTTCCTTACTGGTACTTGCTTGTACCTCTCCTCCCTGACCAAGCGCGACCCCAAGAAGCTGGTGCCCGTCTCCGAGCCTTACGTCCACGGCGGCAACGTCATGGTTGATCCCTCTGCGAAGATTGGAAACAACTGCCGCATCGGACCTAATGTGGTTATTGGACCTAACGTCGTCATTGGTGACGGTGTTCGTCTGCAACGTTGCGTTATTATGGAGAACTGCAAGATCAAGGACCACGCCTGGATCAAGTCCACCATTGTCGGTTGGAACAGCTCCGTTGGCCGCTGGGCTCGTCTGGAGAACGTGACAGTTCTGGGAGACGACGTTAGCATCGCCGATGAGGTGTATGTCAACGGTGGCTCCATTCTCCCCCACAAGAGCATCAAGCAAAACATTGATGGTAAGTTCATTATTGACAACTTAGTTAAGATTCATTCCAAAGCTAACTTTTGCGCACCAGTTCCTGCTATTATCATGTAATACTCCTTCCTCACGTCGACACGTCCTTTTTTCCCCTTTCTCTCCTCTCGATACCTTCCCTCTCCCGTCTTGATGCATGGAACCGGAGTCGTTTTCTTCGTGATCTTCTCTTCTCTTATCTTGATCTCCTTCGGTCCCAGTTCTCTCGCCTGTCACCCGCGATGGTGCCTCACCCCCCGCTATGTGCTCGCGCTGTTTTTTTTTTAAACCCCCCTTTTACCTTTCGTCCCCGAGACTCGATTTATTCCAGACCTAGATGGCTGGATAATACGCGACAAGCGGCCTTTCTTTTGCAACAATTACCACTTTTAGTTTTTTCATCTGTCTTTTTCTGGGGGGTGTGTGTGATGTTTACTGGCATTGAAAAGCCTGAAAATTTACCCCCCGCTCTCATTTTGCACTTCTGCCACTTCGATTTTGCGGACAAATAAATCATGCAATATCTGTTATAATGATATCATGGGCGCGGGGCGGGTACTGTTGATGTACATAGTAATTGGAAGGCTGAATTACAAAGATGCAATTCAATTGATTTTGGTAAATACTTGGCATATGCAATACTACTACCAAGTACGTACTACTAAGTAATGGTAACTCCTGGAGATTCAGGCTGGAACGACGTTGGCTCCAGGGGCTACTACCGGGCTAGTAATAAGACCAGTGGTGGCATGGACTTGAGATGTAGTAGGTACCCGTGCCCTGGAGGTGGACATTCTATTGTGTACACATTCATACTTAGGGCATAAGTTATAGATATTGGATGATACATGAAATTTTGTATGTAGAAGATATTAGTACATTTATGCCAGCCCTTGGCAAAACCATAGACTGTATACAAGAAAAGATGCCCAACAAAGATAAGCTTCAAAGGGAATAAAGGGGTTACGAAGGCCTTCTTGCTCACTGGTCATTTTGCCTCTTTTCAGCTTCATCAAGGATCTGATCCCATTTGATCCTCAATTCCTCCATCTGTTTCCAACACTCACGTCCAAGCTCCTCGAAATTCTCCTTTTGCTCTGCGGTAAGATCAGAAGCTCCTCTCTTCCGGCGTCTTTGCCGATCAGCCTCGACGACAGGAGTGCCGACAACTCCACCATAACCCCAGCCATCCGTTTCTGTGCAGGCCACACTTCCAACTCCACGCCGCGAGGCAGAGGAGCCCCATTTCACTTTGCCACCACCGGCCTGGCGGTAGGGCTCCTCGGCAGCATCAAGTGTGACTTTGGAGGACAGAGCAAGGAACACGGAGGAATTAGCGCCGAGATATGTGGTCAAAGTATGCCACGGAGAACCCAGCATGCGCGCGGCCCAGAATGCAAGAATCATAGCCCAGACAAGGGGCAGTGGAAGCGGGATGATGGATGTGGCACAAACACCGGGGTGGGAAATATACTGGACAGGCACAACAGACTGCTCAGTCTCCTCTTTGTTGGCATTACCGTCAGAGCTCATGAAGCTGTCCACCGCCCAAGGCGCCGTACTAGGTAAATCAGAGGTCAAAGCCAAGATGTCCGTGAGCGTTTTCGATGACTCATAAGGCGCATCACAGCGCAAGCCCTGAATATCATGCACATCGAAGTGGTTCACCGATGCCTCGATACTGGAAACCCAAACCACACGCCCAGGTCCGTCTGGGCCCTTTGCGCGCTTCAACAAAGGCGCCACATTATGCGCAAGCATATAATGTCCAAAGGTATTGGCGCAGAACACAGCTCCCAGTGCGGGTTCCTCCAGCTCCTTAATCGGCGTCTGTTTGTCTGTCACTACACCGACGGGTGCCAACTTGTAGATGGGCCATGTCGCCTGGTGGAGGAGATCCGTGATCATGCCAAAAGTCGCGACAAGCCAATCGATACCGGACCACCCGCCTATTCCAGCATTCAGAATGATAGCATCGAGCTTTGGGAAGGTGGAATTGAGTCTGCGGGAGCAAGCGCGGACGGATATGAGGGAGCCAAGATCGACACTTTCGGGGAGGAACCGCACGCGTGAGAAGTCCGCGGGGTTAGGATTGTTTTTTCGGAGGTGGGCTTCTAGGCGGCTGCTTGTATCTTGCGCTTTGCGAAGGCTGCGAGTTGTGAAGATGATATTTAGGGATGCAGTTTGTGGGCGGGTTTTGAGAAATTCATCGGCTAGGCGACAGCATATCGAGAATCCCAGGCCACTGACAAGGAGTATATAGTTAGTCTATTGTCCCTTTTTCTCTTTTTTTTTTGGATATGGGAGAAATCGATGTAAATTGGTTTGGTGGAGCCATTGGGGGGCATTGTTACCTGTTTGCACCTGTCACCAGGACGTAGGTGTCTTCTGGGTTATGAGAGGGGTTGTTTCCACTCATAATTGTTATTTTGCAATGATTATAGAGTTGGTGAATTGGAGGTTGTCGCGTTGATTTGCGGCAGGAACAACGTCATGTGATTGAACCTAAATGGCCGCGAGCGATTAGCTCAATGAGATTAGCTGCAATTTAAGAAATGCAGTGCGGAGGAACTGACTAGTAGTAGTCAAATTCCAGCCAACTGAAATTATTCTCAAAGAAGCCCCTGAGAAGCCAGCGTTGCATTGTCCGTTGCGTTACGATCTGGATGCACGTGATATGTATTTGTTCCGATAGTCGACGACGCTATTCAATCCGTTCCAAGCCTCGACCAGCTCCACCCTGCCACTGAATGCCGTGCACTGCGCACAAAATGCGCGCCTAGCCATGGCCCCCAAACTGGAGCGCGTTCTCAACACAAGCTTCTTTTTCATCCTCGCCCTCATCCTCTTTTTTCTTATAGTCCTCACTCCGGCCGACGCGATCTATCAATGCTGGGAAACCAACCAGCTCACCGACATCTTCTTCATCACCGGCGCATATGTCGTTACCTTCATTCTCGCCGTCCTCATCTACTCGACTCGACTTTACACAAACAGAAGTACACTGGCCGGTATTCCAAAGGCATGGATACCCGTGGAGAAGGAGGACGTGAGCAAGAGCGTCCGCCGTTTAATCAAAGAGGGACTTGCTCGTAGCGCAGTCGTCTCCTACCAAGCTCGGCCGCGGGACACCTCGGGGGAAACAGACAGCTTTCAGAATTACGAACCTCTTTTGATCGACTCCAAAAGGCCGCCATGGGGTCGCGTGGAGCACCCTGGCTGGTCATCACCCGCTTCACCCGACCTGCCGGATCTGCCATATCGAACAGTCATTCAGGAATTACCCAACCTAATCGAAGCTAAGGCAGTCTCACTAGCTCCTTCCGATTCTATTCATTCTGCGCCAAATGCCTTTGGTCCGATCGACGACCTGGACCCCCACTCCTTACCCGATATGCGTGTGGTGGAAGTACTACGGCGACCGGCTTCTATGGGATTAAGGCAATATATTCGCCATCTAACGACTTTAGGGGCTATTGAACCACCGGAGCTCGGCCAGGATTTTCTTGTGCTCTATGAACGGTCTCGTTTTTCCTCACGGCAACTCCACGAGTCCGAGTTTCGTGACTTGATGCATTTGTTTGCAGAGATCTTAAGAGGCATGACATCCCTTGCATCTCCTATCGTGAATGACATTCGCGATAACGCGAGCTACCGCCGCGCAGATAGCGAATCAATCATCGGGCCATCGGATGAGGAGGGAGAGACAGATACAGTGGATCATTACGGATACGATGGCACATTCGCATCGATGCGGAGTAACAGCCTCCGGCCATCCAATGCATCGACATGGGAGACCCAATCGGGCTACGAGACTGCACCAGGGGTACAAAGCCCATTCTCTGGCATGTCACAAGAGAGCGGGTCTTACCTGGAGCGGGGACTCCGCACCCCATCAACTCGATCCCTGCGGCGTGTGCACTCCGAACAATCCGGCAGTTCAGGAGGAAGTGTGATTCGGTTGTCGCAGCCCCAGGATCGGAGCAATTTACCATATACAATCACCTACGCTGGTCGTAGGGATATTTAAGATCAAGGGGTCCACCTCCACCTCCACTTTGTCTCCCCTTTCACCCATCAGATGATGTACATTAGTTATAGATCGGATTAAAATACCCTATCGGCAACAGTGGGGGCTTAGTCAGGCGGAAATAGTCCCGAGGTTCTTGGCAGAAATGCAAAATGATTGATAAGATCACCTCCATTTTTGGGATTACGCGTCATTAAAGAGAAAATAAAGACCACGTTGATGCCAGTCAATCATCTCGTTTTTAGATTTCCTTGAGGCTCAAAAAGTACCAAAGCAGCTGCGCTATAACCCCGCTTAAGATGCATCTCTTCCGCCGAGGCACGTCCTCGCTCTTTAACTCCTCCAACGTCTCTCTCGCTTCCTCAAAGACCGACGCAACCACCGATGCTGTCGGTGACAATGCGCTCGCTATCGAGGGATTCCGAACAATCTCGGAATCCGACAAGTTGTTCTCCAAGGTCGACCCAGCTGTTGACGGCGATGACTGTCTTCACGATTGCGCAACATGTACCATCAAGTACCCCGCCAAATTTGACGTCGACATGGAGGACGAGCTGTATGGTCAAGTGAAGGGGTGGGCAACACACATGCTTGTTGCAACAGGCAAGTCGGATTGGGTACGCGATGTTGCAGACGAGACAGGCAGTGTCATGGAAGCAATTGAGAAGGGGGGAGTTGAGCCGAGCAATGGGGTAAGGAATAACTTCTACACACATATTCATATGATGCCTCTGAAATGTACTCACAGAATCCTTTTTTTCCCAGCGCCTCAAGCTTTCAGCTTCCAACATGTCTGTCCCGGATGAGTACCACATGCACGAATCAGGCAAACAACCCACAACCGTCCTCATCCTGCCCAGCTTCACTATCGTCGATAATGTCACGCCACAACTGGCCCCTGATCTGATCGAGCACTTTGTGAACAACTCCGCCACAACTACAACACCACTCACCGGGGTGGTCCCAACAGCGCCTGAAGATCAAAAGGAGAGCTCCGAAGAACAGCCATCAGAGCCCATCCCCCACCCTTCCAACACCTCTATCTCTTACCCCCTCCGCTCGCGCCCATGCCCTCACGCCGCCGTCATTCTACTATGCTCGCAGCGCACCCGTGATGCTCGCTGTGGACAATCCGCGCCGCTGCTCCGCCGCGAATTTGAGCGACACCTACGGCCATTGGGGCTATATCGTGATATGGACGATACACGCCCCGGTGGTGTGGGAATCTACTTCATTAGTCACGTTGGTGGACATAAGTACTCTGCCAATGTTATTGTGTATCGGCGCCGGGACTTTGAGTGGTATAAATCCGAGGATGCGGATGCTAAAACTGGTGAGCAGGAGGGTGCGGCACAAGGAATTTGGCTGGCTCGTGTCAAGCCAGAAGAATGTGAAAATATCATCCGGTATACTGTTTTGCAGGGTAAAGTGTTGAAACCCGCGCAGCAATTGCGAGCTGGATTTGACCGCGAGCGAGGATTGACAAGTTGGTAAAATCTTTGGCGATATCTTATGTGGATTTCGAATTTATCTTGGACATACTATAGATCTTAAAATTGAGTTCATTGGTGGTTTTTCTTTTTCGATTTGGTCTGAAAGCTTCCACTTCCTGACTCAATATTACATATATCCATATGATATCCAGGGGGGTTTTTTCCATTTTGCCGTTTTAAATTTAACACTGCATGCAAGGCATCGCATCCAGATGTCTAAGTGGTGGTTGAATGCGTGTATTCCAGACAATCACACACCAACAAAGGCACAATGGCGTACCATATGCAAGCCACCATTCATTCTTACTGGAACCCACATCCCGTGTCAGAATCAAGCGAGATCCCATTCGAATCCGAATATCGTCCAGGATGAGGTCACAAAAGACCACGGAAATCACTCCATTAGCTCTAGATAGTTCTATTCATAAGCAAGGAGCAGTATCTCAACCATGGATCCTTTGTCCATTTTGAACAAGATAAAATACCATCCTACCATCCACAGTATCGCTACTTTCGGCGAAAGATAAATAACATCGAAATATTTGAAAAAGACAAGCAGCCCCACCCCTGTCCATCATATCTACAACGGCGCCGCCACACCGTCTCACACCCGCATATCCTACCCAGACAGGGCAATTCTCATTCGAGCAATAGTACCAAAAGCCCACACAGCACATGTCTATGTGGATGATACGATGCCGTCTCTGCCCATCCCCCCGCCACCACAACTTCACTTTTGAAACTGAGGCGTGCATGCGTACCCGACTGCCGAGCCGGCAGTGCAGCTAGCCACAGCGTGTGAGAAAGACGCATCGTACATGTCAATGTAAGAACGTCACCGTAGCCTCGCAGGGAAAACAGCTTACTCCGTAGTTCGCTTGCAGATAACCTCAACATTCACCGCGGAGCTTACATATCTCGCCATACTTTCGCCAAGGGGACTGGCGGAGTTAGGGTAGTATATTTCGCTTTCCCACGCTAGTCAGCTTTAGGACTATTATGCACAATCAGATGACTGGCTGGAGACGCAAGGAGGGACTACCCAAGCCCCGAGGCCAAGCGAGTTCTCTCAGCCCCAAGCGAGATCAGAGTTCAAGCCCCATGACATTCAAGGGTTGCCGAATTCAAAACTGAACAGGGATTCGAAAAAGTCCCCCTTTGGCCCTAGCTCCTTCTAATGCTTGGCGCGATGTGATGTGGTGCGTGTTGGTTGCACGGAACCAATGTCCTTGATTTGTTGCCATCGCCCAGTATGCACTTGTTGATAGGGGGACCTCGGGCTTTCCAAAATTCTGTTTTGACTTGGCTTCTTTGCACATGTGCAGATGTATGTGCATGTTTTCTATGCGGTATGCCTGAGGTCCTAGTAGTTTTGCCGATCACGGGGTTTCCCCCCTCTCCTTCCTTTCCCATCCCGCTTTTCTGGTGGGTTTCTGGAAACATAATCGGTGAGATCGCGGAGATGTTGACTGTTGCGGCAAAACGCTCTGGGGAGATCGGTAAGGGGTCGAACATGGGCTAAAAGGGTAAAATAGGGTTTGATTGTCGTCAGTGGCTTGAATTGTCGCTGTTGGGTGGGGTTTTTTTTGCTTTTTTTCTTCTGCGCCTGGAAATGTTATCCCTAAAATGCATTGATTTTCTTTGGATTCAGATAGAGAGGCTATAACAGTATCGCGATTATAATTTTGAACCCTGCTTTTTTGTTGACATTTTTTGGGGGGATTAGGCTTTTATTTTCAGCCCCAAAGCTCTAATCCGTTTATTTTTGAAGCTGACCAGGCCGGAGACTTTCCGTATCACGCTAAATGACGCCGGTGCACCTGATTCAGATCTCGCTTCTTATGGGACACTGTGCTCCTGACCGACTCTTTGCAATCAGCAGAAGAGCCGCTCCAGTGGTTGGAGGGGGGTTTCTAGTGGGGATGGGCAACTTGGCTGTGGATATACGTGGATAGAATCCGTACTAGTTGCTGTTTTTACAATGTGATCAGCTAGTTAGATACGAGATCCTAACTGGTGGTATCGACTTTGGTTGGAAGACGACTTTTGAGGGCGTTATGTACGTACTAGACATGTATACAAGGGATCTTCATTGCAATCTAATTTATTCTCGGAGATTATCGTTCCAGATGTCGATTTGATGATTCTTTTTAGTGCTGCTTTCTGGTTTTCTATTTTTCTTTTTTAATTTCTTTTCTTTTCATTTTTTTTTCCTTTTCATTTTTTTTTTTTTTTCTAAAATGCCTCGTTCTCTCCCATTCCGTAGTTTCGGCACCACCAACCAACCAGATGACTACTAATATATCTAGAAGAAGAAAAAACATACTGTTACAGTTTCACGTGGCAGTGAAGTTAAGCATTGCGGGTATACAGTGCACGGCCATGGTACTCCACCTTGCTCTTTCACCGGGCCGAGAGGTACTTGATTTACATCAACTCCTCAATCGCTCTAAAACGCGGGGTAGCTCGTAGGTAGCTCAAAGCTTTAGTGACAATGAGCAAAGTCAAAGTCAAAGTCGAAAAAGAAAAGAAAAAACAAAGACAAAAACAAAAACAAAGACAGACAAAAAAAAGAAACATTTGAAGGATAGGATAAAGTCTATCATGCATGGATGCAAGCTCCCATCACAACAAGTTCCCGTGGGTTTCCGATATGGGTACATATATGTATATCAAGATTTTATTTAATTTGATTTGAATGGCTGATCGAGGGTACCTAAATACCGGCACTTGGGCAGATAAAATCTGATATCCGCAGGAGCCGAACCTGGTCAAATGAAATACATCTTATCTGGGTCCCGGATACCAGGTCCATACCGAGGTACAAAAATACCGAAACATCAGATCCAATTAACCGGTGAATAATCAAAAGCGAAAAAAAACCCCCCATTTCAAAATATACTAATGACGATGACCGATTTGATAGACCTCATTCTGCATGAATCGAGCTCTCTATGAGCATTGTAATTGGCGGATTTTTTGGCCGGTAAGCGCCAATTAAAGCCCTCGAAAGTCTGGGCAAAACAAAAAGCAAAAGCTAACATTTGAGCGGAAAAAGCATGCACATGTATGTACAGGAAAATGGAGCAACAAGAAACATTGACAAGGTTCCACTTATCGCATGTTCTTTTTATTTTTGTTTTTATTTTTCTCTTTTTCTCTTTTTCTTTTTCTCATCCTCTTTTGATCGGCTCTCTTTTTTAATAACTCTTGCAGCATGCAGTATGCAACATGTACGTATGTGTACCCCCCCTTCCCGACCAGATTCCCACAAGTCAAGAGCAACAATTGCTTCGCTTACATGAATGGCGGAGATTGATATTGTCCGGACGATTGTTTCCAATTCAGGAGCTACTTGCGGGCTACATAGTAGTAAGATTAGAATAGACGGGTTTCTAATTCCAGATCCACATAGCAAGTCAACGTGTAGCGCCATAATATATTAAAATCGAATCATCATTGGCTGAGAACAGAATTCTCGATAACGAAAATAGTAATATAGACCAGTCAGGATCGCAATGGAAGTAGTATCCTCAATAACGATCTTGGGCTTGTCGATCCTTCCAAGCCAAACGCCCCTTTGGTGCCCACAGCCCTTGTTTGACACGGAGGATTGCGAATAACTTCTAAACGGCCTGCATTGTGGCTTTCACTTTGCATTCCAAAATTCCCACCTGGCCCCTCTCTAGGTTGCCTGACGCCATTTCCAGCATTAATAGGGTTCAAGATCGAGAAGATCACTGGTTTAAGTTTACCACCTGGTGGAGTTCCACGTTGACCACGGAGCAGAACCTTCCAACCTTCCAAGTTTCGAAGCTACTAAGGTTTGCTATTCTATACGGAGCACTATGGCTAACATATTCCTGATGACACCTTTTGTGAGGGTTGGTCGTCATCTTCTTCTCGCATTCAAGAAGGTTTTAATGGGTACGCTCCCGAGGTCCAGGATATGTAATGCCCAGGTCCACGGGTGCCCCCGGTGTACTCTTGTGAAAATATTCATGGATGTAAGTTGTATATAAATTTGCCCTCTCTTGGCCTTCCGTATTTATCATCCCGAGTTCAAATTCAATGTTCGCCACCGACACGTTCTTGGAGTACGATGAGTTCCAATTAAGTTGTTCATAGAAAACCCCCATGGAAAACTTCTGCCTGACCTGGGAAACTTTACCGGATCAAGAAAGATCGGAGACTAAAATACCAGATTGGAATTGACTCCAGATGTCGTATCCAAAGACATCATGGAGAAGGAAAATCAAAGTCAACATTGAACACATGTGAGTTCCAAGACATACGCCAGTTCAGACGATCAAGTCAAAAAATAGACCAACTAGTACCTAGTACATACTATGAACCAGGCACTCGAGAGTGACATTTGCATTCAGAAAAGTCTATTAGACACTAAATCACTCATCTGCTAGTGCCGGAGACTATGGGTCGATCTGAAGGAGGTTGATGTTACATGTACCAGTTGACCTAGTCAACATTTGAAAGGAGCTCCGTTGACCAGGACAATGTATCAATGTATCAATGTAATCCAGGGTTTTTAGAGTTCAGAGCATTCTTTATCATCTTTGTGCCCCACGGATTACTTGTCCGAGTGAAGATCATCCTATATGATCGCTACAATAACGATAGGGTACATAAGATTCTCATACTGCATACTATTATTGCGTATAAGTAGGAACGAAGCAGCCAAAAAACCTTGGAAATCATTGCAGTTGCAGCAATTCGAGAATTCCTTTTAACCTTAAATGATCTAGTACACTTTCCACAATTTGTCCACATTTTTTCCCACAATTTCCACTATCCCCAGAGAAAAGGCTTGCTACGGGTCCCCGAACCAGGTTTCCCGTGTTGAGCTGCAGCCCAAGACGCCGCGTCATGTCCATCATCCCTTGCTGGAGACAATCTCCCCCACTCAACACGATATCTGTAATATTGCCGAGCTTGACCGTTTTCTTGTTGTTTTCACATTTATACGGAGTAGCCCGGGGGGGGGGGGGGGGGGGAGCACATGCGGAGTTTTAGCGGAGGAAGGTGCTTCCGGGTTCGAAGACCCCTCTTTCTCTCTCTGTTACCGAGTATAGGGATTAGGGATTCCTAGTATGCATAGGACATACACGGGATTCTCAATGTTTTCTTTTCTTGCTTGCGATCGTCATTAATCTTGAGCTAACGCCACTTGTCTAACCGGAGAAGCTCGGGCGTTATTAAAATACTATGTACATGGAGTGTGGCCTAATGTTGATGGGATGGTTTTTGATAATCCAAAGCGCCACCACCGAGGTTCATACATACCCAGTGGCTTGATTTTGTTTCTGGTTCTAGAAAAGTAGTAAGATGCTTAGAACAGCTAAGATAATGATATCATAATCTCTGGGCGAGATTTCCAAACTTATGGATTTCATGTAGGCTGATGTAGTGTAATAGGCCATGGTTGGATTTACTTAAATGGTTCGATCTTAGGAGTTGACTGTTACTGTAGACATGCATCGATCTTCAAAGTGGTAGAGGGATCGATAGACATTCAACCAGCTGGGGGGAATACATACCAGATCCCGACCCAATTCTGGTTCACCGGGGACCTCGTACATGGATAATTCGGGATTTGGGCTTGGAATTTAGGATTCTACCTTCAATGTTTCCGTTAGAAAGATTGATTTCAGGTGATCAGCTTGTACATTGCTTTTCTTTTTTCTCATTTTCTCATTTCCTCGGTTTCTTTTTCTCCTCCTCAATCTCATCGCTTCTTCTCTCATCGTATTTGTTATCCAAAGTGGAATTACGAATCAGGGGGCGCAGTTTCAGATCAATTTCAGGCCTCTTAACTTTATTCTGAAAATACTCCGTACGTTACGGGTAACAATACGCCAGACTCCACCTCGTATCCCCACGCACCCAAACCAGTCTAGCATCTCTTGTCATCCGGGTTTCCCATAGTGGGTCTCAAGGCCAACCGGGTTTGTTGAGTTGTTAGGGCAGTGGGGTTGATGTCTTTTGGAAATGGGGGGTTTTTTTATTTCTTATTTTATTTTCTCTCTCTTTTCACTTTTATTTTCCTTTTTTTTTTTACAATTTTTTTTTTCTTAAATTCTTTTTTCCCCTTTTCTTTTCCTTACCCCAAGGCAATCGCAATTTCAAAGTACGGAGTACTTAGGTTCGGTTGCCAACCTAACCTTTGCTTAGAGCCAAGGGACCTATCAGCGGGATCAGCTAAAAATATTTGGCCCCTCTTGTCCTCTTAACTAGTATATATTACACAGTTCCGACAGGTCGTACCCCCTTTTACAGCCGAATCCTTGACAGGTCGGTGTCATGTATAATGCTGTATTGGGAAATACATGAGAAGGATTATAGGTGTCAAAGGTATCAAGGGTTGTTGAACTTTGTACCTGATATAGATAGATTGAATTCAATACGAATAAAGTACATGAGGCGTATGGGGTACATCTCCATTGTATGGATACCAAAGTATACATCCAAGTACATGTACACTGTACTCCCATACGCCAAATAAAAAAAATTAAAAAATCAGTAAAATAAATTGTAATTAAATTCTTTTTTTTTTCCCCTAGAAAAAGAAAATCAATTAAATCAAAAATTACAATTTCCTTTTTTTTTTTTTGAATAATCAGAACATAAATAATACCATCTATGAAATCACTAAATGAATAAATAAATAAAATCACCTTGTACGGTCCCGCGCGCCGTTATTTCCCTTCCCAGAACTCTCTCTCTCTTCTTACCCAAATGTTGAAGGTTCATATAACATGAACTTGTCTCCTCCCTTGCTCTTTTCCCAAACCCCCTCTTTTTCCCTAATCGCCTATCGACCGTTTCCTTTTTAATACCTCCACTACCCCCCGCCCCACCCCTCATTCCGACTCTTTATATTAAAGCTCTATTATGCCCCGGGCTCGCCTAAGCATCCCGGCTTCGATTCACCCGGCCTGACAGGACTATCCCGGATTCCCCTTTTTGCGCGTCGCGTGCGCTGACCTTCCCTAACTCATCTCCCTTCTCCCGTTTTCCCTTTCTATTTATCCCGTCGCCTGGACACCGCGACCCGCTTCCCACCCCCGCAACCGTGAAAGTCGATCATCGACCATCATGGCTCCAGGTGGGCGCGACTTCAACTGCTCATGGGAGCAATGTGGCAAGGTATGTTGTATATTGATATTCATATATTTAACCTTTGCTTGAAAAAAAAAAAAAAAAAAAAAAAACATCTCCCCTGACTTTGCAAATTCCAATACTAACATGTCCCCAGTCCTTCAATCGCAAGTCTGATCTCTGTCGCCATTATCGCATACACACCAATGAGCGTCCATATCATTGTACGGTGAAAGATTGCAATAAGAGCTTCATCCAGCGCAGCGCTTTGACCGTACATTCGCGAACTCATACAGGCGAAAAGCCGCATGTTTGTGATCATGATGGTTGCCAGAAGGCCTTCTCAGATGTAAGCATGACCCCCGCTCTTGGCTTCCAGCTACCAAAAGCCCATACAGTTGCTAACATCAAGTATAGTCTTCGAGTCTGGCTCGTCACCGAAGGATACACACTGGCAAGCGACCTTATATCTGCCAGGAGCCGACTTGTGAACGGAGGTAAGACCTTTTTATCCGTGTTCAGATCCCATCAACAAACTCACCTTGTTTCTTTTTTTGTTTAGCTTCTGTCGCAAAACCACCCTCACCAAACACCAGCACCGCTCTCACCCTCCAGGCACCATGACTCGGCCATCCTCGGAGGATGCGAACTCGGAGCATTCATATCACCAACATCAGCCTCCCGTATCGGTCTCTATCCCAAACCACAATGAACAGTACCTGCTCGCCCAACAGCCTTATTATCCCAATTCCGCGACACCAAATCACGGCTTCTACTCGCCACCAACTGTTCAGATGGGCTCGGTACCAGTACACGAGGGTGCGCATCCGATCGTCACGCAGAATGTCCCCGTCACATCACCGATAAACATGCCGCATGCCCCGCCGCAAGCGCCACCACACCCGCAACACCCCCACCCACAGGCGCACCCCCAACACCAACAGTACATTCAAATGATGCAACAGCGCTATGACCCCACCCCGCGCACGAACTATCTCCCACCCGAGTATCACCAACCGCCATACCAGGGCCACCAGTTACCAGAGGGACAGCCAATGGTGGTGGGATACCATCCAAATCTCGCGTACAAACCTCCTACCCGGATTCTGAATCAACCGGAGGGGACTGACTGGGCTTTTCTGGGAGTAGGCTAAGAGGAAACCCGGCGTAAGGGCTTTTCTGTTCCTTTCTGGAGAGAATCCTGTGCGATTGATGCCCGTGACGACTTTTTGATATCCCCCGATTCCCCTCACCTCGAGAACCCGGTGAACTTCGCATACTTGTGTTGTATTCTTGTTTTTCTTCGTCCTTTTTTTATCTTGGGAATTCCGTGGGTTGGTTTATCCGGTTACTTTGGGCTAGTTTGGGCGCTTTCTTCTGGGATTCCCCCTGATTTTCATTTTTATCATTCTTGGTGTGTTGTTTCATTTTTAATTCCCTGACTTTTTCATATCCCGTCTCATTCAAACGAAGAGGATTGGCGTTTTTTTTTTTTTTTTCTTTTCTATTTATCTTTCTTCTCTTCTATTTCCCATTCATTCATCCTCTTCATTGAATGCTGCGATGGTGATTATTGATACCTGACATGAAATATGGTTTTTTTATTTTATTTTCCCGCTCCGTCGAGAATCTTTCGTTATATCAATCGTTTTATTTTACGAGGTATGAGGAACCTGATTTATCAACTCTACTCGAGTGAAGTTTGAAATAGAAAGTCCCCTTTCAATGTGAAATATGAAACTTAGTACTTGCTAGGTCATACGTAGCTATCCTGGACCCATGGTAAGGGAACCGAATCAGCGACTTTCGCTTCACCCGTAAACCAGGAAACCAACCTTCCTATTGCAGCTAATCTAACTCTATAGAGACAGAAGCACATGTACTTTAAATGACGAGTGTCCTTGATTGGCCATATCGAAATTATTGGCGCTTCAACAACCATATCATACATACTGACTAGGACTTGAGTTGGTTACTATCGAAATTCACCGGCTAAGTACATACGTAGGTGGAGAAAACCAACCCTACAAACACACCAATCACATCATGCTTGTCGACCCGAACCTTGTCCCCAACACTAGGGTTGTTACTTGTATACTCTTACTCCTGATTTCCTAATTCCCTAATTCACTAATTCCTAATTCCCACCGAGATAATTGAGTGAGTCGGGAACTATTGGGAGCTATTGTGGCATGGGCTATCAAGCCAACGAAAGAATGCAGATTAATCGTCGTCATAGGTCCTTCCTAATAGGTCCAAGATCCCAAGAATGCATGGCGTGCATGACTCGCGGCTTGTCATTCGATTTTATTACCAAATTCAGTATTTCAGTGAAGGATACTTTTCCGCTTTTTTCCGCCTTGTGTTTCTTACTCTTTTTTTTTTTTCTTTCTTAACCCCTCCCTTAATACCGAATACCGAGGGCCAAGGACGCCAAGCGCTGATATCCAAATAGAAAATAGACCTGTGATATCTTGAGGGCTAAAATATACGAAACAAAGAATCAAGGCTTGATGCTTCTAAATCCGGACTGTCATCTTCATAATCCGTAGATACGCATTTTATACGCACTAAATGTCGGTTGGAAATGATAACCCTTACCTCCTCAAGCTTCTAAAAAAAAGACCAGGATTTCAGAAGCATCCAGACTGAGATGAAGAAGAAGGTTCAAATTTTTCGAACTTTCCTTTCACTGGATCGCCACCCATGTGCGAGATTGTCGGATTGACAGCATCTTGCTTCTATGGACAAGAAATCAATACTGCAGAGAATATCAGGATGTATACGGAGTACATGTGAACAAGGCACCCGCTGTTTTTCAATTTCAAGCTGACACATGTACTGGACTCAAGGGTATAGTTAGTTACTCCGTACTTACGGAGTACAGGGAGAAGGAAGTAAGACTAGCTTAAACGCCTCAGACACGATTTCAAATCCATGATTAAGCCATAGCCGTATGACACTCAAGACAATCATATCAACATTCCCTCCCAAACATCCCCCATCCCCGGTGCCATCCCCAAGAACAATCAAGCCACCAACCTCGCACTCAGAACCTTGTGAGACAATAGACCATCCCCTCAGGATCCTCACTAAGACCCTCGAAAGTATAAACCTAGCGGCAGCCGAAAAAGCAGCGAGTAGAAACCTACCCCTCAACCCAGCGGAGTGGAAGAACGAGCAGCAACACGAACCGGCGCACCGGGGCAGGGAAGACTTAAACAAAAAAAAGACAAGTTACAAGGTGTAGCTGAGACGAGACCGAATCAACGACAAGGTTTGCGCAAGTGCAAGGCGATTGGGGAGAATACGCCGCAAGAGATGCGAGTCCCGTCACCGCTTACTCTGGTCGGATAGTGATTCGACGGTAGATTTGGAATCCGGTTTTGGGGGCGTTTGGGGGTCTTGGGGCCCTGCGGCCCTGTCGCTTGCTTTTTCTCTACCGTATTGCAATGAAAAAAAAAAAATTGTAGAATATCTCTGTTGATTAGAATGTTTGAATGTTCTTCTAGGAAGATCGGGAGATGGTGATTCGTGAGTGATGAACAAGGATTGGAATACTTCAGCTGTGGCTGGCTTATCTTTGGGCTCTTACATTCAAATGTTTAATGTACTTCTACATTGATATTTTTCTTTCTTTGTCTTACTGTTGGTCGCTTATTTCATCAAGTATGAACTATACCAGGTCTACAATTGATGCCGCTGTTATGTGTATTGCTTCTGTTCTGACGTGGACATGATTGGGGATTAGGTTTATTTTCCGCCCCGAATACAATCGAGATGGATCACACGCAGCTTGACATTTGGGAAAGTATGAAATCTGAACTTGAACTTGAACCTGAACCTGAACCTAGTTGAAGCAAATCGCATTTGAAAATGGCCAACTCCGATTAGGAGGACAAGTGCGTAGACTCCAGATGTCTGGAATCTTTCAAGTAACCCAAACACGACTGCACGGGATTGTTGATTTATTGACCACAGTTTACGTATACAGAGTTGAATTAATCTATTTGCATTATATCATGGGTTTGATTAGAATTGTACTAGACTGATGAAATTGCATAACTCACATGCACTGAACAGGGGGATGATAGAAGAAATTTTAAAAAACACGAAAACGAATACACCAAGAAACATGAAGCTTTAGTTCCAACGGGCCAGAATGTCATTCAAGCCAAGCCGGAGATAATCAACAAGGGGCTAATTAGGCGAACTAACAAACCAAAGCCAAAACTGAAAATTTCAACGAGAAAAAAAAAACCATTTGAAAAAAGTTCCATTCTAGATTCTAGACAACTTGTGAAACTAGTCACCAGTCACTAGTACGGAGACAAGTTGTATATTACAAGTCCGGATGGGACGGCTCACGGGCGCGACTGTAATTCGTATATGGTGGCGGCTCTAGCTTTCTATGGGCTTTTCCCTGGCTACGTAAGTGGATGCATGTGCTACACCGCGCACGCCGGCGCCGGAGACTTTTGTTTAGTTTAGTTTTTGTGATTTTATTCGATTTGATGTGATTCGGCTTAGGATGGCAAGGGAGGGTTAAGAGCAAGAGAGGGGTACAGGTAGTAAGGGGGCAAAGTAACATCCCGACCATGAAACCATGTGCAGAACTTCAAAGAAGCATTCTATTTTGTGTTTTTCTTTTTTTTTTCCTTTGCAATTTTCCCTTGCTCTGAAATCTGAGTTACTTTGTACACGGCCCCGTTTGAGGCTGAATGGAATGGGGTTGTGATGTGCTTCCTTTCCCCACATTGGCGTTTACCGGAGAGGCCTGAGCTGCGCTCCGTCGGTGGTTTATGTGCATCGCTCAACTTTGTGTAGACGGCGGAGAGAGATGGAGTATAGATATGATTTTTTGAGGGAGCTGGGCCTTTTTTGCTCGGTTTGCGGAGGCAAAGAGGGGAGTAGCTTGTTTATTCCTCTGTATTATTGGCTAGCTTTTGATTGGGATTAAAATGATCTCTCATTCTCGAAATGGAGTAGCTTAGAACATTTTCTTCACACACTCTACTCCCTACAGTATCTATGGAGTCACTCTTCCAGATAGACGGTGAGAATCACACCATCCAGTTTTGTCCCGCAGATCAGTATACTAGTCTTAGTCGTAAGCGGGTCGGAAAATAGAAGCGGAAAAAAAAAACAAGACGATCCATGTAGATGAAGAAATAAGCGAAGGCATGATCCCTGACTTCGATATGTAAGTTTAGGAGACATCCATGTATAATGAAACTAATGCACTTGATCGAGATTGCAGTTTATCAAAGCAAAGCAGATAGGCAAGTCACAGCGAGCAATAAACCAGTGAAAACATGAACATATCCCTAGTCTAGCCCCTGTTGGGAAATGAACAACGTCTGTCAGTTGTCAAGATCACGATCGATGCCCCTGGAAAGTTGCAACCTGACACGTAACATCCGTCGCGTACAACCTTCCCTACGATACATAGAAAAACAAAACCAAATAATAAGAGAAAAGAGGGAAAAAAACCAACGCCAAGGTGGATGAACGTAAACCCCATAAGAAAAAAGAAAACCCAGCCAACCATCTCCTGCGTACAGTAATACGCTTGATGGAAATGCCCGAAAGAATAAATTAAAAACACATGGGATACGACTTCACCCCCGCCACACAGCACACAGGATCACCGTTTCTGCACTAGCGATCTTTCCAGTGTGGGGGCTGCAATCAAGAGTCACGATCCAGTCATAACGCAGCTATCAAGAAAAACCCAGGAAACCCAAGAAACCCAAGAAACCCCCCAAAAACCCCCAAAAAACCCACCTGGCCTAGCGGAGTATCCACCGCAACATACTAAATGCAGGCAAAACATCGCGTGCGAGTGCAATTTTTTGGTTTCTCGATCTCGGGCGATCGGGGTGGACCGTGGGCCCCCGTGGACTCGGGAGTAAATAATAAGTACAGTACAAAAAAAATAAAATAAAAAAGGAGGATGGATTTCTGACTCTGTACATACTCAAGTGCTCTGTTCGAGAACAATTTGAAGCCAAGGACCGAGGCTGATTTGCCGCCCCCAAATGGACCAAACCAACCCGAAAAGCCATATCCGCAAAGGTCTTGGAATGGCCCCCTACTCCGAACTCCATCGAAAACAGTTACTAGTAACTTGTCGGTCAAGCGAGACGAATGTCCTTTTCTGGTTAGCTTTGCGGTGCAGGATTCCCTCTCCACTAGTTACTAGGTAAGTAATGATCAAGCAACGCCTTGTGGGCTTCATTTTCTAGGTGCATGTTACCGTTGGGGGGGGGGAACTTCGTAGTGTAGATTCCCCTTTTGTTTTCTGATTTGAGATTTTTGATTTGGAATATTTTCCCTCGTTGAATCCTCCGGCTGATCCGGAGAGATTTTTTTTTCTTCTTCTTTTCTGTTTCATTTCAATTTTGATTGTACATGAGTGGTTTTTGTTCTCACATGTATACAAGCATTCCTCTGTTGATAATCTTCAGTAAAATCCTGGATAACCGGGGTGGAGAAGAACATGTCATATCAGCCACAACTGAAGTCTGGTTCAAAGGCACGGGATTCCGATCTGCGGGATCCTATTTTCTTTTCATCTCTTTTAGCGTCCTTTTTTTCCCCTTTTGCCTTTTTTCCCTTTTTTTTCTCTTTTTTTTTCTCGGGGACCAGAACAGAACTGGACTTTTATCCAAAAGGGGAATAGCCTTGTGGCCCCAGCTTCCCTGCGATGAAACATAGAGCCGAGCAAGACATGACGACATTTCCGTGCTATGTCGTATCGGATTTTGGAGCCTTTGCTCTTTGGTCTAGGCGCCGAGAGCTGCTTGGTCGCTTGTGTTAACGCGCTGCGGGGCAGTGGGGAAATCGGTTTCGTTGAGGTTTAGTGGCATTTATGACCCAACTTTGAACGTCTAAACGGGAGAGATATACGAGGGAGAAATATACGTGTATAAGTTTTATACTCTGTAGCAAGCATCACTTGGGTACTCGTATTGCAAAGCAGCTTCCAAAGGTTGATTCTGAGTTTCGCTAGCATTCAAGGAACAGAATGTCACACGACAGGGACGAATGGAAATGATTGGTAACGGAGAACAGTACAGCATGAGCACTAAACTGAGAGGAAAACTTCGGGCTGAGAGGCAAAGGAGAGATAGAAAGTTCTATACCTGGTTTCTTCTAAAATGTCTCCAAGGTACGATCTATCAAAAAGATCGACTTTGAAGTTTCAAGCTCATTCAAGGCCCAAGCTCCTGTATCTTGTAACCGTGTAATGGTAATACCAAGCGGAGTACACTAAGTTGAACGTTCCCGGAGCGGGTCCGCTAGTTCGACGGGACCAAACTGGGTTCCCGGTACCTGGAACCGTATTGTGAATGTCTTTGTCCCTCTGTATCGTTACCATGGAGTCGGATCTCGTTTCGATATCCGCTTAGTGGAGTCACTTGTCTCCTGGGACAGCATGTTACCACAGAGAAAGAGAAGGTCAACATAAAGAAAGAGTTGGAAAAACGAGGGCAAAAGAAGAAAAAGAGGAAATAGAAAAAAAAAAAAGTGCAAAAAAGGCCTGGAGAGCAGGGGAAATAGGGGAGGGAATACGAAAAGGTACAAGGGACAAGGGACAAGAAATACAGCCCAAAAAGTCTAGATCTGCACAACATCTCCATAAAAAGCCACTGAAAGATAGCAAAGAGTCAACAACACTCAACCCCGGAGTACTCCGTGCACACGAGAAGGAAAGGACAGATTCAGACCCGAGCAGAAACAAGCTTTTGTCCGGGACCCAGTCTGTGGGCCATTGGGGCAGTGCTACTGTTCATTTCTCAACAGCAAAGAACAGCCTAGACATCCACTTTTTTTTTTCTTTTTCTCTAACAAATAAAATGAAACATTAATAATTATGAAATCTGTAGGGGGTTTTTAGGGAGTATAGGCAAACCACACATTTACATATTAGTTTCCTGTTCTAGTTAAGACGAGAATTAATCACCTTCTGGACTGGATACGAGCGATCGACAAGCCGATTAAAGCCGAGCCGGCTTTTGACTTGATATCCTTTGGTATCTCATATCTGCGCGGCTCAGGCCGAACCCAAACTGTTATCCTTTACGGGAACTCTATTCCATGAGGGGGGGAAACATTATTAATCAAAGATTTCAGAGACTTTTTCTTTCTCAGATACGGTTGAAGAAAGTGGAGGGTAGAGTTGCAATTCCCCAGACTCAGATCGAGTTTTGACGTTGCCAACATGACTTGCGGCTCAATCCCACATGGCAAGAAGCCACTTGGACCTCATTTCATACATATACGCCAATCAGCGAGTGAAACGGTTCATGGATCATTTCAGCTTTTTTTTTTTCTAGGAAAAAACATTTCTATTCTTGATCTCCTTCCAAAGGAAAAACACTCTTCCACAAGTAGACAAGGGGGTTATAGCTTAAGCACGTCCGAAGTCCACCACCTCCCTCGTATGCTGCATATTGATCATCCCTGAATAAAATTATACATGTCCATCGCAATTCATGCCGTCGGATCTAGCTAGGTTGACTACGGCCCCCTAACTGCATACTAAGATCCTAACAGACTAGTCTGCAAGTCCCAATCCTGGAGATACCAGTAAAGCCATCCCAACGCGTTGAGTATTCCCACTTTGGTCGTTGAGTCCGTAAGTGGAGCCCATCAAATCACCGAGATGCATGCACGACAGGCGACCGGCTAGAGATTCCATGTCGGTCTTGCCTCGTCGGCAAATGTGGATGAATGTGGAGGCGAAACATTTGCAGGAAAGCTGTCCATGAAGTCAAAATCAATGTTCGATTCAAGCAGACGAATTGGAAGAAGGAGAAAAACCCAAACCGAACGATTCCCAAAGCGCATATTCCTAATATGGCTTCATTCCACGGTTTGGTACGGCGGGTAATTTGGTTGGTTTCCACTCTTTTCCACTCTGGCGTCTCTGGACCCCCCCGGAATCACCTAAACTGCTTTTGGTAAATCTAGACGAATTTGCGGACTTCGCTGCTGGTTATTGGATAACAACTTTCATATTGCTAGCCGATTATGTATTTGGTTGCAAATCATCCGTTGATGCTCGCTGCGTTTTGTTAGTGTTTTGTTGGTGTTCTTCCAATTGGGCTTGGTAATGTATTCTGTCCCCTTTTGGGTGGTTTTGGTACCAGTTGGTATTACCTGCTGGTTACGTTGTTACCAGTGACTACCAGGGAACTTTCAAGGTTGACTCGATATAGATAACCCGAAATTCATTCAGTGGCTGAGTCATGGGAAACAGCCAACCGTTGACTGGCTGTGGAGTTCGGAGTATTTGTGTGTCAGTCTATCAAGTTTCACTGGTAGATGAAACTGGATACTTTATAATGTATCTCAGGTTCCAACGCCACCAGGATGCTTCAAAGTCAACATTTGAACATTTCTAAGTGCAAAAGGGGTGCTCAGGTGCTTTTTCTTGCAGATAGTCTTTCCTAGTGAGAATTGAACCAAACGACTACATGAAAAAAATGGATAGAAAAACGAGGAGGACCTTGATTTGACCAATAGACAACCAGCTCTGTTCCAAGGTTCACGTACAAAGTAAGGCAACTCAAATATCCACTTCAGTATCCGTGGACGCAGGCTACTATTTCGCTCTAAAATTCTTTGCTAGATATAGACCTGGAATCACATATCATCGTAAATCTGTACAGCACAAGAAAATAAACACTGCAACCAGGCCGGCCTCCTTGCAATGATTATATAACCAACGCTTTCACAAATGAGTCCAAAAAAAAGAAAGAAGAAATCTAATCATCAGCGACAGCAACCTCATCCGCCCACTTCGCCTTTCCAAGCTCACGAGCGCGGTTAATCACACGCTCGATACCATCCAGACCCTTTTCAAGAACGTCCATCTTGGGTCCGTAACTCAGACGCACAAAGTGGTGGCAAGGGCTGTCGAACAGATCACGACGCTTGGCAGGGTTCAAGTCGAAGAAGATACCAGGCACAACGATGACCTTCTCAGTCAGAAGGGCATTGAAGAAGTTCAGACCGTCGGAGATGTTGGCCTCCTCGGGAAGAGGGGGTTCAATCGAGGTCAGGTCGAGCCAGATGTAGAAAGTGGCCTGCGGCACGTCCTTGAAACGGAAACCAATATCGTTCAGACGCTTCATGACATAGTCGCGCTTCTCACGGAAGTGGCTCTGCAGCGCCTTCATCTCGGTGCGGACGAGGTTCGGTTCCATCATGGGGATGGCGGCTTCTTGGAAGGGGACGTTGGCACCTCCATCCAGGTAAGAACCGGCAGAGCCCAGGGCAGTGACAAATTCCTTAGGACCGACAATCCAGGCAATTCGCCAGCCCGGAAGACGGAAACGCTTGGTGAGACCGTCGATCAACAGGACATCTATAATGACGAGAGAATTAGTTACCATGCAAGGAGGGACGCCGAAAGAAAGATGAAGAAAGGAATATGGGTTAGAACGAACCATCCTGGTTGACGTCAACAACGTTCTCGGCACCACTGATAGTGGAACCGTCGCAGTCGGTGGTGTAGTTGTAACCACCGTAGAACTCATCGAGGATGAGAGTGGCGCGGTCTCGGCAGATATCCTGGATCTCAGCCAACTCATTGTGCGAGACAAAGTGACCGGTAGGGTTACGAGGGTTCGAGGTCAAAATCACTTGAGTACCACGAGCAATTTCCTCGGCAATCTTGTCGGGGTGGATGTGGTAGTGGTCATCTTGCGACAAGGGCATAGGAATGGGGGCGATCTAAGGCCGAATTAATGTCAGCCATACTATGCTCCGTATCCAAACAGATGATATGTCCGAGCCACTCACATTCTTAAACAGACTCAGCATCTCCGAGTACGCGGAGTAATCGGGAATGGGGAACGACAGGTACGAGTTACCCAAAATGGCAGCGATACGGATCAACCCCGCACGACCACCGGGCACAATGCAGACATTCTCCCAGGTATACTGGCTCTCCTTGCCTTGACGGTAGTGGTCGTTGTACAGACGGGCCACGGCGGCACGCAACGGCTTGATACCGGCGGTCGGGCCGTACTCCCGAGCAGCGGAAGTGATGGGGATCGATGTCGGGCGGGGGAAACTACCCTCGATCTCATCATCAGCCTCGGGAGCACCCTGACCTAGGTTAGCCCAGGCGGAGGGGTCCTCTGCGTATCCATGTTCGCTAGCCCGCTCTGTGCACCAGACGACACCGGTTGAGGCACGGGAGGCGTCGAGACCAGCGTGGGGACGGTGACCCTCGTGGGCGGATCGGAACTGACGATGAGTTTCGGACTTTAGCTCTAGCAGGAATTCCCGAGGAGTTTGTTAGCTTCAAAAAGCTCACATATTTTTTTATATATCAATTCTCTTGTTCTTCACTATGGGGAATCTATGATAAGGTTGATAACAACGTACCGTTATCGGAGAGACCCTTGACGAGTGACGAGCGGCGGTCGCCAGAAGGCCGCAGGATGCTTAGACGGCGGCCGGAGAAAGACATGCTTGGCGTGAGGCCTTTTATTTGATTTGCTTAGATTTCTGCTGCAGGACTAATGTGACGTAGCCCAATCAAAAAATGAAAGCAAGGGACTTTTTTTTTTGAAGGAGATTTTGAAGGGAAAGATGTCAGGAAAAGAGAAATGCAGAGAAAGAGGGGGAAGCTTGTTTTGGTTCCCAGTTTCCCACTGTACACACCGATGAGTTGGCTACGAATCCTGGACCAACCATTCGACGAAACCACCGACTCTGGAAACTATTAAAATAATTATTGCCGAATTTCCCGCAACAAAACAACCGTGCTGGAATGGACTATTGGAACCTATCAGGCACCAAGAATCCTATAGAAAATCCCGCATTTGCCTACACCGACTGCTTAAAGATTTGGGTCCCCAGCTTGCGCAACTCTGGCCCCATCAACCACATCATTACCACTCTAAAGAAGTCCTTACGTGGGGTAAATCCGGGGCCTTTCAAGGGCTCTGGGGGACTCCAATATTCACAAAAGAGTAGTAATCCCAACATTCATATTCCCATAGCTTTCAGCCCTGCCAAGATGGATGCCGAAGATACCGGTATCCCGATCGGCATGACGCCACCGTACTCAATGGTGCCTAATATAACTTCATACGTAGTGGGTAGCCAGAATTTCATAATGAGGATCAATAACCATATGTAGATTTCCAAAATAATCGCTGGACACCTGCCTTGCATGCAGGTCTCTCACAAAAATACAGATACCAAACTTATCCAAGTATGCATACAACATGTAAGGTACTTCGTACGTTCATGGACATCGGAAAACACATGTAGATCAAAAAGAAAACATTTGAAAAAAAGGCATTCGTACGCTCCCGCCACGGAAAATCCGGGGTCAACGGGACATGAAAATAGGGGGTAGGGGAATCTCTAACAAGACAAACAGGCCGCATGCCTCCAACACCGTTCATGCCGCGATGAAAATCATTATGCAGCTCTCTTTAGGGGGCCACGAGTTGGCTCGCTCAAGGGACAAATGAAGACAGGGGGACGGAAAAGGAAAAGGGGGTCATCTCTCCAAAAGTGGCGGCTCAACAAAAATCCCAAACTAATCCAGTTGGGGAAGAAATAAGGGGACAGGTGAGGGAAAGGCGGAGAAAGGTCACCACGGTGATGCAATTATGTCGATGGTGAAGACCGATCATGTATATATGAGAGTCCCCGAAGAAGAATGAGGGAAAGCAAAACGTTGCATGGGAGAGAAAGACAATGGGTATCACAGGAGGATGCAGTCATCTAGTCAACCACTTGACAGTACAGCTGAATCTCACCAACCAAACCCTTCGCCAGCATGTCCCGATGCTGCTCACGCCATTCCATAAAGGCAAGCTGAACAGCCTCATCACTGTCGATAGTGACAAAATCCCCATCTTCATCACGGTAACGTAGACGAACGGTTTTGTTTCCTATGGATCGGTTGGTGAACCGAGCTAGTTTGGCATCCACACGGTCGGTCAATGACCGGAACAGGATGTTAGTTGCAATCACCAACGTAACGTAGTTATCGTCAAAGTTGACCTTGGCCTTCAACTGTGTCGGCATAAACGGGTCGCCATCGGGTTCTTGACTCAAAGGAGAGGTGGCCTGTTCGGAGACCTGCCCAGAGCTGTAGCCTTCATTATACTCTGGCTCAGTGAAATGTGTCGGGTGAACATGATGAGGCTGTGAACGAATTGGAAGTTGACTGTTGGTGGGAGAGTTGTTCTGACTTCGGTTGACCGGAGCCTTCATGTTGGCCATGTGTGCAGGAATCGGTGGCACGGGAACATTATCAACAGTTTGCATCGTGTGGGCCCCCATGTACCGACCAGACCCAGGTGGCAGATTGTTATGATGGTGGATATCCGGACTACTAGCGGAGCGCATACGCTGCTGGGCAGTCCCGTTGGCAGCAGACTGTGGTCCGGAAAGCGGTGGCAGAGATGGACGTTGGTTGGCACGTCCATTGGGTTGTGGAGGGGGATAGAAACCTGTAGGGGTGGTTCCATCTCTTGAAGTGGCCCGAGATAACGCCGGTGCGGTATAGCGCTGATTTTCTTCGTTCCAGACGGAGGATGCAGTGGTAGAATTGGTGTTTTGACGGCCGAATGAGAACCCGGTCGATTGGGAGCTAGAACGCGTGGAAGGTGTGTCTGTAGGTGAGAAGTATGAGTTCATGTTCCGATCACTAGGAGACATGTTGCCAGCACCTGAAAATTGGGTGTGGACTGAGAGGGTGGGATCAGTGCCTGCATATCGGGGCCGGCCATTTGCACTTGCAAGGGGCACCGAGTTGGTACTACCGCCAGTGGCAGACCGAGTTCGCAAGCTCGTACTTGACGCATTGCGGCTCATGGGGAACTCGGAGTAATATGCCGGGTCTTTGGTAACATCGTCGACCTCGTACTCCTGGTATGGATTTGGTATGTTGGTCATGCCTTCCAAGTAGGTGAACTCGCTGTCCGAGGTGCCAGTATTGCGCAGAGTGCGTCGTTCCGACTGAATGGCCCGTTGCGTATCAATATCCTTGTACCAATTACGCATCGTACTCTCATTCACATAACGAATAATGAAGTTATCAACCACACCCGGGTCGCCCTTCCAGAAAATTTGAATACGGTACATGCCTATCAAAGAAAATGTCAGACGAATTCCACGTATATGTGTCAAAAGACAACTCACCGGGCTTTTGGAGGCAGACGATATCAGTGACATTTGCCATATAGATTCGGCCCTTCAGTTGGAGACGAGCTTTCCCTTTAGCTGTAAGGGCCGGCTTGTCTTTGTTCATCATGAGCTTAGTCTTCTGCTTGTTCGGGTTGATGTCTTTGCAGCACAGGAGGATGCGCTCAAACAAGAAGATATGGTACTGCGAGTCAGTGTCAGCGAAATGTCCTCAATCATGTGCCCGAAGGTGTTAAGGGGTGGCAGATATTGCCAAGGGCAAAAGTGATTCATTGGTACACACCTCTCTTTCACTGTCCTTGCCACTATCGCCTTTGACCACCGCGAAGGTACCGAACCGAAGCAACTCTCCAAATGAGTCCATTTTCAAGGACTTCCAATCATCAACCCGTTCAGACAAATCCACCACTGCTGAAACCAGGTGCTCCTTGTGAATAGCTTCGTTTGCCGAGTCAAGGGCGACCTGAATGGAATCAATGGCACCTGTGATATCAGCTTTGAGTTTCTCGTCTTCCAGTTGCTTGCGAAGTTCCTGAAATTGATGCAAAATTAGTGGCATGAAAGACACGGCAATAAGTATGAAAGATCTTACCGATAGCATGAGTGGGTATCTAGTTAGGCGCTGGAATGGTTTGACAAAGAATCCGTTCAGGGTTTTGAGTTGAGCAACCATTTGCTGAAGGTCAGGTTGACGTGGCGCATTCTGGATTTTATCCCACTCTTGCATACAAACTTCGTCGCAGCGCATTTGATTTGCGATAAATGGTTCGTACTGTCGGAAGGCATCTTCATGCGATGAGAAGAGCAGACCCCAGTTCTGACTTTCCTCAGGAAGAGCGTAGTGTTGCTCCATCCGAATCAAAAACCGCTGGGCAAAGTCAAGCAGATTGTTTAAATTCAAGAAAATTTGATGACTCGCATCACCTGTTAGAGCACCAGTCTCCTCTAATTCCTTCTTGAGCGCCTGGAGGTTCTGCAAGTGGTGAACATAGTCGCGCTCGGTTTCCAGAAGCTCTTTCAGAATATGCTCCCGCTTTGTAAGCTTGACCGCTTCTTGCACACTAGTCGGGGCATCGGTCACTTCAGGGCGCTTCAGTTGGCCCTGGATTTCGAGAATATCCACCACGCGATTGACCATCTTGATCACTTTGATGAACCCGGTTGTGCTGTCGCCGTAAAGATCGGTGATAAGGAAGCAGTCCTGCTGGGGGAATGCGAGTTCCTGCAGACATGCTTGCAAGAACTTGAATGTCGCAGCTTTCGGTCTCTTCGCTTCGGGTACTTTTGCCGGGTCGACAACCAACGGCTCCTCTGGGGCGGAGGCATTGTAGAGACTTAAAAGCGGATAACCGTCTCTGAGGAAGCCCCACAACGAAGCCACGGGGTCGGTGTTTCCGCGCTCTCGGTCTTCTTCGTCCATCTTTTCCAGATAGGATTCAAAGCTGGGAACTTCCTGTAGCCTCCTTTTCAGGTTGACGCAGCTCTGATAAATTGATTCACCACCACGCCGGTTGATGATGTTATCCTCGGCGACCGGAATTCCACTCATGGTGGCGGTCTCGATCATGTTCGGGTGCCTCGACCAGTTGTTTGAGTTAGACCAGCCAGGCTCAGTTCAAATCCGCACAGCAGACGGGAGATATATCGATACAATCGGGAAGAGCGACGAGCGTCGAGCACGGGATGCCGATCATGGAACGTTTCCGCGACGAAAAGGTAATTTAAGGGAAGGGTCGATAACTGCACGGCGCAAAGAGAAGGTAGAAGGTTCGGCCGAATTCCGAGAACTGACGTAGGTTTCACGAGGGTGTGACCGCAAATATCGCTGTCGCTGAAGTGTATGTATATATTTAATCTGGGGCAAGCCCGCTGAGACAGAGCAAGGATATATATCAACCGAGAATCTGACGCGCCGCCACTTTCCTCCGAGGGGCGGTGACGAAAATCGATAAAAGGATAGTAAGGCGAAATTATTTCCAACGTCAGCGTGTAGCCCAATCTATGGGGACGTAAATCTTTTTTTGGTGGATCCTCCGAGAATCAAAAATAAATGCTGCAGCCGGGCAGACGTTGTCCGACTTTCGAGTTAAAGAGCGGTTTTCAAAACCCCCTGTCGAGAAGACGGTCACTAGAACTGCGGAAGCAAGGAAAGGGGGTATATGGGAGGACGGAAGAGTCAACTTCCGAGAAAGGAGGTTAGTAAGTACCCTAGGTACCTTAATCGAGGCCACAAGACACAAGATAGAGGGGCAGCGATGAATGGGATGAAGGGAAAGGAGAGGAGGGAGCGGAAGGAGGCTGTTCAGTTACCCGAAACAGTTTAGCGCGCGTTCCATCGGGCGGTGGGATGTGGAGAGGGGCACGAGTCTCATCTCAACCTGAGACGTTGCACTTTTCGCAATTCGTCTCATCTGATATTTTTTTTTTAATATACAAAGCGTAGTAGATAGATGGGGTTAAAGATTAGGGCAGCTTTATTCCAAGTACATCTATATAATGTCCAATATGTGGCAGACATATTCCTTCTCAAGAGTGGACAAAAATCATATATATTGGGTACCGACAGGAGGTATCCATTGTGGGGAGGAGAAGGAGTTATTCATGGTTGATCAGCATGACAAGACTTCAATGTTGCTTTTTTACCTGAATATGAGGGACGAGTAGCCAGGCTTGGTGTATGCATATCATTGCCATATGGCATATGATATGTTACCTATCGGTTTTTTTTTATCATTTTTACAATGTTCTACACTATTCGACATGTTAGCTGCCATACTTCGGGGACGTCCACGTGACTTGAAATGGGCCATTCCAGCTCAGGTATGGACAAATGTTTTGTTGATCTCGCCTTCATTCATCTCTTTCCCAATCTCATTCTTTTTGTCCTCTCGCCGTTTTTTTGACCATTCATCTTATTGACACCTCTTTCAGATTGACCTTGTGATTCGTCGTCTGTGCTTCCGATTGATTCTCACTCTCCATGATCTATCACCTTTCTTGAAGTGGATCCCGCACCTCCGTGACGTGACATGCAGAACGGGAGCCCCGAGTCCCCCATCTCCCATTCAACACCTTCTCTGTGCCAAAGGGATCATCCCTCTGTGGACTCCGGGAGAAAGTTTTGAGAGAAAGAACCCTATCTCTTTATTGTTTCTACAGCTGGCGCGATCGGTCCCCCGCACGAGGACTGCATCGCCAAGCTAAGAAAACTCTCATATTGACAGCCTCGATACTATTCCAATAACTCTACTCATCCATACGCCCAACCCAAAACGTGACCTCATATTCGCACTCATGGAGGAAGACTCGGCAACGATAACTCCTCCCGATCCGACAATCTCTTTACAGACCACCAACTTCCCCGAGTCCCCACCACAATCACTCTCTCCATCATTCAAAGTTGATGAAGGTTATTCCGACGAAACTCGGAGTCAGCCAGACAAAGAGCCCGTGACGGACAATGTCATGATGCTTCCAGAATGGGTGCTTGCCCAAAGTGAGTCTGACAGAGCTGGTAAGTTTTTATCTTTCTGGTGGCGGTGGTCCAACCTCCTCCCCAACCTCCTTTGTCTTCTCCGTCCGCTAATGCAGCCTGCCTTCAACAACAGAACTTGCATATAGCTTGCTTCGCTCGCTCTCCACATCTAAGCTTGCCAGAGTAGTGGAACGAGTCCACCCACTACTCCACATGGACCCTGTAGTCAAGCTACCCCCCGAATTGACGTTCCAAATATTTTCCTATCTCGAGCCCCGAAACCTCTTGAACCTTACGCTTGCATCCCGCGCATGGCGAGCTCGCATTCTCGATTCTGGTCTATGGAGAGTTCTTTACATCAAGGAAGGCTGGCGCGCAAACTCGCGCGCTATATACAACTTTGAGCAAGAACACTCGGAGCCTGCTTCTCCGCAGATCCGCAAGTCACGACCACGACATTCAGAATCGGACCTTGGGGAGCCCAAACAGAAGAAGCGCGCACCGCCATCATGGTTTAATTCACGTGTCACTACAGGCCCTGGTGCTGTAGAAACTGACGGTCGTGTGTATGATGAAGCAGACAGCGAGGGAGACCACCACATGGCAGACGCGAACGGCAGCGCACCTTTACCGGCAGATGAAATCGACCTCGTACAACCGGCATCCTTTTCCCATATTTCTTCTTTGCTCCAACCGCCACTAAAGTCATCAATTCTGATTCGAAGCCCGAATGGTACTGCTAAAATTAACTGGGTACACCTGTACAAGCAGCGCCGGCGCCTGGAAGAAAACTGGCGTGAAGGCCGATTCACGAATTTCCAACTACCTCATCCCTCGTACCCAGACGAGGCTCATAAAGAATGTGTTTATGCCATTCAGTTTGAGGGGCGATGGCTGGTCAGTGGAAGCCGGGACAAGCATATGCGGGTTTGGGATCTAGAAACTCAGCGACTGTGGTATCCTCCCCTAGCTGGACACACAAAGTCAGTGCTATGTCTCCAATTCGACCCAAGTCCTGATGAGGACATAATTATTTCCGGAAGCAGTGATCGTTCCGTGATTGTGTGGAAGTTTTCCACGGGACAAAAAGTCCATCAAATAAAGAACGCGCATGCGGATTCGGTGTTAAACCTAAAATTCGACCACCGATTCCTTGTGACCTGCTCCAAGGACCGAACAGTCAAAGTCTGGAATCGTCGAGAACTATCTGTGACGGACGAAGACTATCCTCGCGTTTGCAAAGGTGGCGGTGCCACTTATCCCGCATACATTATGGATCTCACTGAGATGTCACCAAGTCTCTTGGAAGCAAGTTTGGCAAAAGGACAAATCCAGCCATTAGCGCCTTTCACGCTTCTCATGGTCATCGAAGGGCATGGCGCAGCGGTCAATGCTATGCAACTTCAAGGCGATGAGATCATCACAGCCTCCGGGGATCGCATGATTAAAGTATGGAACATACGTAACGGTGCTTGCTTGAAGACTCTCATGGGGCATGAGAAAGGAATTGCTTGCGTTCAATCTGACGGTCGACGGATCATTAGCGGCAGCAATGATAACTCGGTACGAATCTATGATCATATCTCCGGAGCTCAAGTCGCAGTTCTTAAAGGACATGACAATCTCGTCCGTACCGTCCAGGCAGGATTTGGCGACCCCCCGGGGGCGGATGAGACTCTGAAACAAGAGGCACAGGATGTTGAAAATGCGTTCTGGAAAGCACAACGGGAAGGAACTGCTGTTGGTTTGAGCGCAAGGGACATGCGACGTGCCGGCCATACATCAAATACTGCAGGATCTCGAGATCCCCGTCATATTACTGCCATTGGTGCGAAGATTCCTCCAAACGGCGGAGGTAGTGCTTGGGGCCGTATCGTCTCCGGATCCTACGATGAGCATATTTTCATCTGGCATAAAGACCGAGACGGTAGATGGATCCGAAAACATGAGTTGCGTCAAATTGATGCAGCGCTCAACGCTGCTCGAGCCACTCTGACACCAGCAGCACGAGCCACTGTCACCGCACAGGCTCGACAACTACAAGCAGCACAGACTTTGATGGCTTTGCCTAATGCCCAAAATCCAGGCCCGGCCCGGGCTCCCGTCACTGATGCCACACAGAGCACTGCCTCTACTCCGGATGGGGACCGTCAAGATGGTGCTCCAGCTGCTACCAACACCGCACAGCAAGGTGCCGCAGTTCCACAACTTCACCTCCCAGCCCAGGTGAATCCACCAGTTGTTCAACCACAGGCTATTCAACAGTTGATGGGTCACCACCATCATCACCACCATCCACACCCGCGGCGATCACCTTCAACGCCAACAAGCGCAAGGGTATTCAAAGTCCAGTTTGATGCCCACAAGATTATTTGTGCTAGTGTGGACCCTCGAATTGTAGGCTGGGACTTTTCCAACAACGACGAAGAGATCCTCGAGGCACGTCCATTCTTCGAGAGCCTGTGAAACGAGTTTTCCTTTATCTTCATTCCAAATTCTCTTTGATCCGGATCACCTTAACAACTGCGATGAAATCGCCCAAAATTAACCCGGGCTTCGCCCCCCTAAAGAGGGGCATCATGTATTGATGACTTGCCTTTTCTCTTCCTTTTTTCAACTCCGAACCCTCCATGATCTTCTGGTGTCCGTCTTTCTTCCGACCATTCGCCTTTCGTCGTATCTTCGACTTGCTGATCTCTAATCTTACCCCCTTTGGATTCTTCATCCATCTCTGTCGTCATTTCTACCTGGAGCTGTGAAATGTATCCCATACCCCTGCCTGCCTTTTTCCTTTCGCAGCTGAGACTGACCTTCAGGTCTCTTTTTCTCTATTACTTATTCCTCATGGGTTTCCCTGATGTGGCGCATTTCATGATCATTTAAGTTAGTTCTCCCTGTCGTCATTCGGCATTATGGCATAGCGTCTAGGTGAAATGCGTTGGCTCTCACGAGCAAAATTACCTTCTTCCAAGGTCAAATTAGGGCATATTTAATACAAAACTCCCATCTACTCGGCAATACATAAGCTCTACATAACAGGATCCATGGATCACATGCATTCAAACGTCCCCAGCCAGGTTCTATACACCAAGTATGTACTGAGTGAAGGTGGCGAATCACAATCCCTCCGGCGGTAATGAACAGACTTGGAAGACTAGTGGAAATAAGTATGGCCAATGTGTAATAATGAACATTCATTCAATGTTTTGTATAGCAGAGCGCCGACGGAGCAGAAGCAGTTGAACCAAAAGAAGATAGAGACCGGCATATCGACAGTTGTCAATGACAAGGAACCAGAATGAACAGAAAACGCCTTCACGGGTACTAGTAGTATGTATAAGATAAAGGCAAGGATAATATGCATATACAGTTCCCGAGCCTACGGAGAAGGCTCAAGCCTATCTCCCAGGCCCGAAAACCGACTTCTTGCCGTCGCATAAGTCTCCCTAGAAGCGATAATCTCAAGATCATCATTGTTCTCAATAGAAGAACTACTAAAACAGCAGCAGAGGTACATCCGTGTCGGAACCCAAGCCAAAACATCACAAAGTGTATATGTCCCAGCGCTCAGCATTCCATCCTCTGGCCGGCGATCGGACGGTGTTCGAACAAGATCATATCGAGGCTGCGGGAGTTGCAGAGGGGATATCGGACCGGGGGTAGCTTCTTCTTGCTGTGCCCTTTGGACAGGGGCAGGGGCTGAAGTAGGTGTTCGTCCAAAAAGACCCAAGGCGAAAGCGCGAGCTCCTCTCTTTCGTCCTGTGTGAGGTACAGATCCATAGCCCTTCGATGGCGTACCGGGCGCAACTTCCAGCCCAGTCCGGAATGAGTCGAAGCTAGCTTGGGAGATCGACGCCGTAGGAAGCGCGTTGTCGTGGAAAGGGTGGTCGTTTAGTTGTCTTGCTAAACTTGTACCGTGACCACTCTGTCGATGCGGAAACCGGCCTTGCACAGCAGTTCCGTCTGGTGCTCGTCCGATTCCGATTGCACTGGGTACGGTGGGCGCGGTCTCTACTGGGGCTTGGAAACCTAGGAATCTTCGAAACGCATCGGTATATGAGGTGGAGCGTTGAGCAGAGGGTGTTTCTCCGTGTGGGTGGTTTGATGGCACAGCCCGGGGACCGTTGTGCCCGATGAGAAACTGGGCTGAGCAGTACACGGCTTCGGGAGTGTTGAATGATGGGAGACCAGGAGGCGTGGGCGATCTTTCGGGGGGAGGGTATTGCGGTTGATTGGTCGTTACAGCTACCGGCATGCTGGATGCAGGCCAGCAGTTATGCTGTCGAGAGCCGACAGGACTATGATCGGCCACTGCATCGAGAGAGACGGCTTTGCGGTGCTGATTCTCAGTAGATTCGGGGACATAGTAGGCTTCATTCAAAGGACTTGGGCCCAGCTGCGATGTATAGTAGGTGCCCTGGTCGGAAAGGAGCTGATTTCGCCATCTGCCTTGGTCGATGCGCGGTCGTTTTTTGGAGGGACGTCGATGCTGGGTTGAGGATTGTCCGTCCTGGGAGGAGATCGGTGGAATGAGTCTGGCCATATTGGCTGCCAACCCTCTATCTAGGATCGAACATGTGGCGTAAGGATTTTCGTAGGGACGGGGTTCTTCATTGGACGTAGAGCCGCGGATAGCATTAAAGATAACCCTTTCATCGCTGTAGCAAGCTTCTGAAGAGTTGGAGTTCTCTTGTGAAAGTGGTGGGATGGTTGAGTCGCGGTTTGGCTGGATGTTTGTATGCCTGTTATAGTATCTCGGGGGAGGAGTGCGAGCAGGTGGACTACGGTCTCTAGTTTGTCTGACATGATGGACAGTCGACATAATGAAGGTAAATGAGGCAGTCGAAGCCGGACAGGGAATAGCAGAAAATCAGGTGAAGGGAGAGTTCTGGTGCGAGAGACAGGGTATGAGTGGGTGATAACACCGTCGCGCTTGCCGCGAGATGTTCATGCAAATATTATACAAGGAAAGTAAGTCTATAGTATGTACAGTCTTCATGAGAGCCAAATCCGAGAACGTAGAATATCGTCATCATCATAATGGGGTTCCAACAGGACTGGGCAAGGGCTTGCCCGTCAACTGAGCGTGCTCTTTCCTCAGGGCTCGCAACAGTCCTTCGATTCTGCGCCGTTCCTCTTGTTCCGCCTGTGATTGTCAAGTTAGTATGTATAAAAAAAAAAGAGCCCAATGAGGAATAGAATAAGCGAACCTTCAATATCCTCATGTTTTCGCTGCGAGTGTCGCGCATCATCTTCTTGAACTCGTTCTTGAGAACCATCGTCGAGGTTGTCTCCATAGTAGGATCACGGCCCATGGTTGTTGGCGAGCTCAGGTTCATCCAACTGATGCGCTCCTCGCTGAGCTGGGTCTCCAACTGCTCACTGCGATCCCGGAGGCTATCAATGACACTTTCGAACCGCTCACGCTCCTTTTCAAACTCGATGCTAGCCTTGGTCATGGCCTCGTAGTCATCGAGAGTCTCCCGAAGCTCCTTCTCAAGAGTATCGGCGCGTTTCTGGGCGTCGCCACCTCCCTGCTTGCCCCGAAGTTCAGCAAGCTCCACAGTCAACTCAAGATTGCGTGTGTTGAGGGCATCAATCTCATTTTGAATTTCGGGGTTGAGGGCCACTTCGGCGGCTCGCTGAGCTCGGGTACCGTAAGCACCATCCAGATCAGCCTTGACCATTGTGAGCTCCGTTGTGATTCGCACAACTTCACCTTCAAGGTCGGTCATTTCATTATGCGCACGCTCCGCATCAGCCTCCGCCTGATCACGTTGCATCACGACCTGCGCTAGCAGATTCTCGGCTTCAGCTCGCTTCTCTTCAGATTCAGCGAATTTCTCGGCCAGGTCTTCCTGTCCATCAGCCTGTACCATTTCGCGACTGGCCTCAGCATGCCGCTTTTCAGCTTGCAGAAGCAGGCCTTCAAGCTCCACGCAACGTTCCTCAGCCTCAATACGACGCTCTTCAATCTCTTCCATCTGGGATTCGATTTCGGCACAGCGTTCTTCGGCCTCGACGCGACGCTCCTCGACCTGTGCAATCTTGGTCTCAATCTTAATACAGCGTTCCTCGGCCTCGATGCGATGCTCCTCAGCCTGTGCGATCTGGGATTCAAACTCAGCGCAACGTTCTTCGGCCTCGACACGACGCTCATCAACCTGTGCGATCTGAGATTCGACCTCGATACAGCGCTCTTCAACCTCAGCACGACGTCCTTCGACCTCAGAAATTTGGGCGTCAACCTCAGCAAATCGTGCCTCAACCTCGATGCGACGCTCTTCAACCTGCGCAATTTGGGCTTCGACCTGAGTACGACGTTCTTCGGCCTGTACAAGCTGAGTTTCCATCTCGGCACGTTGCACTTCAGCCGTGGCAAGTTGATTCTCTACCTGCAGGCGGCGATCAATGGCCTCTTGAACAGCCTCCGCCACAGCTTCTTGCACACGGACATCCGCCTCTTCGCGGTATTGCTTAGCACTGGCTTCCAACTGAGCGGTCCCTGAGTCTGCACGCGCGCGGGCCTCCATAGCCTCCTGCGCACGGATATCTACTTCGTGTTGCAACGAGTCCACAACACTATTCAAGCGAGCGACTTCTCCTTCAGCCTGCACCAGGGCAGCCTTGGCCTCTTCTTGGGTAGAGCCGTTATTGCGCATGGCCTCAAGCTGTTCCATCAATACAGCTAGCTCATCCTGGGCAGTCTTGCCATCGCGCTGGGAAGTTTCATAATCCTTGCGCATATAGGCCAGCTGCTCAGTCAAATCGCCAATGTGGGCATCACGCTCCGCATCGGATTTGGAGTTCAGTTCGCGCTGCTGCTGAATTTGGATGGTCAAGATGCTCTTCTGCTCGATCAGACCATCGACCCGACTTTCCAAGCCATCGATACCGGTCTGGAGATATCCAAGTTGCTCCTCCAGTCCCTCGCCATCTGTTGCGCTTGGGGGCGGGGGCAAAGTGGGGGACCTTGTCAGCCCAAATCGGTCGACGATGCTCTGAACCCGGGTGTTGATCACCGTGAGGTGTTGACGCCATGCTCCCTCGGCTTCGGGCGCAGTACCAGGACCAACGAGGTTCGGGCAAGGACCGCGGGAAGCAAGAGAGTTCATACCACTTTCAATATAGGCCAAATGCGCCTCGATCGTTTGTGTGGGGTCAGCCGAGCTTTTCGGTTGTGGCGGAGGGTCGACAAATTCATCGGGGGTAGACTGAATCATCATTTCGCAAATTCGTTGGCTCAGTTCGTCCAGTCGTTTTTCCGTGGCCTCCATGGCCTCATTGTCCACCGTTGGGTTGATATCAATGCGTCCGTTCAATCCGTGGTTATCTATATGCTCCGGCGTTCGGTATAGATGGCGGTCGTCAAAGTCATGTCCGTCGTCAAGATCAGAGGCCAGTTCGTCGGAGTTCTTGGGAGTTTTCCTTAATCCCTTGTGGGTCATCTGCAAGACACCCGCAGTATGTTCTAGCAATCGCTGGCTAATCTGCTGAGACCGATTCTCCAGTTTCCACAGTTCTTGCGCCAACTCTTCGCACTTGCGTTGACTCATAGCCAGCTCTGAGTCGCTCTTATCAAGTACCTGTGCTGTGCCGCTGCGACCAAAGATACTCCGACTCCTCCGGTGTGACTTTCCATTGGCGCCGTATTCACCGCTGCTTCGGGGACTAGGCGGGCTGTATAGTCTGCCAATGGATTGGGCGGCGTCGCGGAGTTTGGTCTCCAGGGTAAGTTTGCGTTTCGTGCCTTCGATTCGGGTGGACAGGAGCGAGCGTTCTTTCTTGAGGTCTTCTACCTCTTCGAATGACAAGATCTCGTAGTTTGTGCTGTCGCCCATGGCCGTCTCGGTTAATAAATACATGGTGACGGGATCGCTGGTATTGACGAGAGCTGAGCTTCGCGGATGAGCCGGGTTAAGCTATATTCCAAAATAAAAAAACAAAAAAACATTAGTGACCCATGGAAATGAAGCTGCGGGTGTCCGTGAATTTCCCCTTACCGGATTGTACCGCGCCCGGTCTTCACTCTGGTTAACCGCATCCCGATAGCCGTCGACCAGGGTTTTTCCTAGAGGTGATGGAGCGTGGACGTCGGAGACGGTAGCAGTGGACAAGTATCGAGGGTCTCCATATGAAGACTGGCTGGATCGGAGGCTGATATTCATAATGGTCGTTTAGGCGCAAACGGCGCCAATTTCAGGGAGTAATTTTAGGTGATTTTTAAGGCCGGCAGATAACTACACATGGTGAGCCACCTTAAGATAAAAGAAGTGCCCAAGAGACTTGGGGAAATGTTAATAGATTTGGATCTCAGGGGAGGAAAAAAATAAACAAAATCGAAAAAAAAGGACGGGGCTGAAATTGAAATGACTGGAAAGATGGCGGGGACAAAAGAAGGAGAAACTGATCTGCGGAAGCGTGGAAGAACTCAGCCACGGCAATTAACTGAGCTTTCTGAGATCCTTTGTGATAAGTATAGCATTGCATTTTGACTTGTCTATTTCTTTTGTTTTATAAAATACATACATATAAGTATAAAATGCCTATTTATTTTCCTTATAATCTTACATCTTACATCTCACATGTCCATCTCCGCATCTCCGAGTTCCAATGATTTTTCTTTAAAATTATGCATGTTTGTTAGGAGATCCACTTGGACGCAAAGGCCTCCGTAATCGTATACAGAAATGAAATTGGTGGAGGAAATTCCAATCGGACTGGAATCACTTGATACACAATATGACAAGCGAAATTATATTAAAAGCCAAGGCCCGTTATATGCTAGCAGTTAGAAAGTAAACTTAAACAAGTAAGCGAAACGCCCATGGCGTTGATGCGTCCAGCTACTTCCCGGTACCTCGTCCAAGCTACGTAACTCTGCGGGGTTGCATGTACCCATCCCAGTTCAAATGTTCTTTTCTGTCAAAGAAGCCTCGGAGGTTACCCTACATTCGGGTCTGTTAGAATACTACCTAGTACATCCATGGATTAGCCCCAATCTATTGAATTTCAACTTGTCTTTTATCTAAATGGTTTTCCCCCTCAACTAAACTATACTTTCTTCAACCATGATCTGAATCTATGCCCGGGATGGCCCACCCTCAGATACCGGAGTCCCCCGTCACACGACCTATCTATAAGGTCTACAAACGTCGATTTTGGGGTCTTGCACAGCTGGTTCTTCTCAATATCGTGGTCAGTTGGGATGTAAGTGCTCTCCTGAAGTCGTTTCCCAAGCTTTCAAGACACAAAGGGAGATCGGTCGCTAATCATCAGCATCACACATAGTGGTTGACCTTCTCATCCATCTCGAGTACGGCAGCCGAGTACTTTCGAGTCTCTGAGAGCGCAATCAATTGGTTGAGTACCGGTTACCTCTTCGCATTTTGTATTGCCAGTCCGTGAGTGACCCCGAACTAATAAGAGAAAAGAGAGGCACCCAATTTGTGGAGGTCCAAGGCTAATTTCCACTCTTTGTCTCGTTGCGCGTATGCAGATTCGTCATCTGGGTTTTGAACAAAGGTGGCCCCAAGCACGCTATCGTTATCACTTCAACTCTTCTCCTCATTGGAAACTGGCTGCGCTATGCTGGTACCAGGGCTGATGGTGGTATCTTTGGGCTCGCCATGTTCGGTCAAATCTTGATCGGCCTGGCGCAGCCCTTCTGCTTATGTGCGCCCACCCGATATAGCGACCTTTGGTTCACGGATAAAGGGCGCACAAGTGCTACCGCTATTGCCAGCTTGGCGAACCCGCTGGGTGCGGCGTTGGGACAGTTGATTGATTCAGAGTGGGTGACAAAACCTTCGGACATTCCGAATATGGTTTTGTACATATCTGTCATTGTGAGTTGACGTATTCAAATGGTCCCCGGCCTGGGAAGGGAGCACAAAGAAAATAAAAAAAAAGGGGGAAAAAGAAAGAAGAGAGAGAAAAAAAAAAAGAAGAAGGAATATGACAAAGATCTGAAACTGACCAAAATATTTCTCTTCGTTTTTTTAGTCAACCGTCGCAGCCCTCCCATCTTTTTTCCTTCCTGCGGCACCCCCGACGCCGCCCAGCGCATCATCTGCCATTCCTCGCACACCCCTGATCCCGGCCATACGACAGTTACTTAGTACAGTAGAGTTCTGGCTCATCCTCGTCCCGTTCTCTGTATATGTCGGATTTTTCAACAGTGTCTCCTCGCTGCTGAACCAAATCCTTGAACCCTATGGCTTCTCCGAAGATGATGCCGGCATCGCAGGTGCCATCCTGATCTTCGTTGGCTTGTTAGTGGCAGCCGTGGTATCACCACTCACAGACCGATTCAAACACTATCTTGGCTCAATCCGCATCTTGGTCCCCATCATAGTACTCTCATATATCGGACTGATCTTCGCCCCGTCCAGCACCGCAGGCATTGCACCATCATACGTTGTCATGGCGTTAATGGGCGCTTCCTCATTTTCATTGCTTCCTGTCGTACTGGAATTTCTGGTTGAGATCACGTATCCGTTCTCTCCAGAGATCGGGAGTACCATTTGTTGGACGGGTGGACAGTTGCTTGGGGCGTGTTTCATTCTCATCCAAGATGCACTCAAGGCTAGCGAGAATGCTAGCCCACCATATAACATGCGAAACGCATCGATCTTTGCGTGTGTTGTATGTGCTGTTGCTGCGCCACTGCCCTTGTCTCTTGGGCTATTTGGAAGAACTGTTGCACAGCGGAGGTTGCAGATTGATCGTGGAATTGAACCGGGGTCAGTATCGCCAGATCCCCCGCCACCCGAGAAGAAGGACGAAGATGGACTGAGCCAGGATCTCCCCCAGCAGATATCAGCTACTAAGTTAGACGACATTGTCAAGATTGCATAAGTGGATACATTCAAGGTTAGCTTTGGACATGTCACTCACATCAACATATGTATTTCCCACCCATGCGCGCTTGAATCTTGCCGCCATTTTTGAGATATTGCAGTGTGTTTCTTTTCTGGACATTGTGATATAGCAACATTTGAATGGACAATCTTCTTCCGTAAAATCTCCTGGTGATGAACCGATCTTACCTCCTGGACTAGTATATGTACTCGCATCAATTGATGCAGTACACACCCGTTTTCCACAGAAGCTTTGGACTTTACCCAGCAGTACATATTTCAAGTAAGCTTGAAACTTTCCAAGGTTCCAAAGCTGGGTTCTGCACTTGAGCCTTCTAGGTTAATCAAGTACCTAATAAAGAACACGAGTCAATTCTGATATGCCCGGCGGATGGACGTACGCTTCCAAGTTTTGGACTGGTACGTGTCAAGTGCGATACGTAGACGAAGTCGATCTGACCTGTACAGCGTTGAACAGGCGAATAGAATCGAGTTCCTAAACCATGAATTGGCTCCAGGGCTACTCCGTATAGGTGTTTCAAGGTCTCCGAGATCCTCGGTGAGAGGCGACTTCCAAGGTACTCACGCATGGCCTTATTCATACAACACAAAACTTCTGAATGTTCCACAACTTAGAATCTCCACGTTCCAGCCCTGTCAGCACAGCTGCACAGCTGTAGATGTTTAGTCATCAAGATTGATGTCTGCAGCCTGATTCGACTGAAAATTTGTTGACGCATACCTACTACTAGGTAGTAATTAGTATATCGATGAGATTCTTGCAGCGCTGCTTGTTTAACATATTTGTTTACGCTTCGAGTCTTCTTCAAATCTTTTCCGGATTATCAAACAATCTACACCGTTGATTGTCACATCCGAATCCCTTCACCCCCCGCACCGATGGACTTATCATTATACCAAAAAAGCAACCTTCTCTATGACCAAGAATCAGTTCTCAGGTACCGACCAGGGGGATATCATCCAGTGACCCTGGGAGATGTCTTCAAAAACGATCGCTACAAAATATACCACAAACTAGGATGGGGCGGCTATTCAACTGTGTGGCTTGCCAAAGACAGAGAGTGAGCTCCCCAATATCAGAACTGCTCAGCCCTGGCTAATAAAGTTCTAGCCAAGATCAATGGGTCGCACTGAAGATCATGACCGCCGACTCGGAGGCATCCCGAGAGCTCCAAAATATGAGACATCTAGAAAGGGAATGTCCTAGCAATCTTTCTTCTGTGTATATCGTTCAGTTACTTGATGCCTTCACACATGAAGGCCCGAACGGAGTCCACCAGTGTCTTGTACTTGAGCTACTTGGCCCATCCGTCAATCATGTTCTCAGAGATTACTCTGACCCATGCAGCCCTAATGATCCGCTCGAGCCCGAAATTATACTTCGATTATCTACCCAGGTTATAAAAGCTGTCAGATTTATTCACTCTTCCGGCATGTGCCATGGAGGTAAGTGAGGCGGTAATTCTTACATGGACCGAAATATTCTATGCAATTTTGATCACTAGGCCCTTGAAAATATGCTTACATACTTGCACTACTTCTTGTCAGATGTAAGCGATCATAATATGGCATTTACTTGCACCGCAATCTTAGACGCAACCCCGGAGAAGCTTCTTGAAATCATTGGGTCTCCAGAGATTGAGGAACTAGCTCGCATTGACGGCAAACCACTCGAGAAGGGACAACCCACCCAGCTTGTAAAGGCAGCGGAATGGGTTGACTGGATAGACGAGGACGAAGAAGAAATTCGTCTTATAGACTTTGGAGAGGCATTTCTCCAGGGAGATGAGCCCGAAAGACTCCACCAGCCGGGCATATTACAGGTACCAGAGACAATATTAACAGATAGCTTTGATTACCGGCTTGATTTATGGCGCCTAGGTCTCGTGGTACGTCCTCCTCAAGGCCTTCACAATATTTATTCAATATACTAATAGGAAATTCACGTCTAGATTTATGCGTTTGCATTCATGGCGTACCCTTTCATGTACCTTGGCGATGACGAATTTTTGGTTTTTCAAATGATTGGTTTAATAGGGGATTTGCCGGTTGAATGGCAGACGCAGTGGGAAGAGCTGCAGGCGAAATCTGGGTATGATATGGCGAGACGGATTGAAGAGAGCAAAAACGGCGAGTAATATGAGACACACTGTATTGCGAGTCGTTGCTAATTTCCTTCACAGAATTTGACCAAGAGCACAATAGGCTCGAAAGCAGGTTTGCAAGGAGAGTGCAAGATCCAGAGCTCCAGCCTCTAATGGCAGTTATTAAAGGATTCATGCGCTTTTTGCCAAGTAGTCGCCTGACTACAGAGAAGGCACTTGAATTGCTGCATGTGTCCAGTGCCGAAGAAGGCAAACATTGAATCGAGGGCATACACGAACAAGCCATTGAAGAACAGCCTTGGTTGGCGTTTCTTTCATACTTCAACCTGGTTCCATGGTTATGAATGTTCCCTATGAAAGTTCCAGCAATCCGGGGTCACGGTTCGAGACTTTCCAAGGTTGGGTTTGAGATACAAATAAGGCTATTGGGAACCAGGGAAGCAGGGCTTTACCTACGAGCAGGAGCATGGAAACATGGAAACGGGACTATATAATTCTTCCAAGCCGTCTTCAAAAACAGACATCTGGATGAGATTCGTCTTAGAAACAGAAAATAAAAACACAAGCACAGTTCGAATAGGCGGAAGACCAGCTATCTGTACATGCAAGGCAGAGAGAAAGAAAGGATATCTATTATGCTTTTTTTTTTCTCTTTTCCCAATGATTTCTTCCTCCCTGCCTTGAAACACCATATGCGTACAGGGGAGTACATGGAAAGACAGCCCACCAGGCTCTCTTCCGGGTAACCCCGTGCTCTCAAACCAAGTATATTGTCGGCAGGCTGTCAGAGCGTAGGTTGACAGCCGTCAGGGAAACAGAAACAGGATTGCTTTTGACACTGGCGTTGCTCATGTCAATGCCAATGTAGCGTTGACACGAGAACATGGGGAGCGAATCACGCGCCAAAAGGATAAACCTAGCGATCCGCTTATGCGAGCTGGCGCCAGAGCTTGGGGGCGGCGCAAGCGGTGACACAGTGGGTGAGGTGGAAGACTAAAAAGCATAGTTAGTGATTTGCAACTCGAAGGAATACACTTAATGAATGCCAGATTGCATCTGAATTGGCTCAATTCACGGAGAATTGAACGGGGTTGGGAAACTTACACTCCTCAACGCAGTCCTCCTTGGCACCCTTGAAGTCCTCATCCTCCTCCTGGCGGGTCACGCGCTCGACACACTCGTCGTAGTGGTGCTTGTAGGGGGCGCACTGAGCGGAATGGGCGCACTCTGCAAGAACATCAGGTCAGTCGCGTATAAAAACAGGATGATTGAGATGAGAAGAGTGCAATTGGGGTGCCATTAAAATCCATAAGACAAACGGATGAGTCCGATTGCCTCGGACAAGGAATGCGAAACACCCCATCTCCGACCGGCGACACATTGACAAGTAGATTTGACCGGGTCATCGAGGATGCAGATGGAATCAGGCACAATGAAATCAAAACAAGAATCACTCACCCTCCTCGAGCTTGGGCTTGACATCCTCAGGCTCATCCTCCTCCTCTTCCTCTTCTTCCTCCTCCTCTTCCTCCTCGGCCTCAGCCTCGGGCTCCTCCTCAGTGGCCTCTTCGGACTCCTCAGCGGGGGTCTCCTCGGCAGACTCGGTCTCCTCGGAGGACTCTTCGGTGGTCTCCTCGGTCTTCTCAGCGGGCTCGTCCTGGGGGGTGGAGGTCTCAACGTCGGCGGCGGGAGCCTCAGCCTGGGCCTCGGCGAAGCCCATGGAGGAGTAGACGTCAGAGAAGAAGTCGGCGAAACCCATTGTGACTGTCAATTGGGGGGACAGGGACCGTGAGAGATGGTGGGTATTGGTAGGTAGGGGTTGATGATTGAGTGTTGGTTTTCCAAGCTCGGACTGGAAAATCGGGACGCCCCGGCGCTGAGCACAATTGTACCACACGTGATTGGCTGACGGCTTTCGCTGACTACGACAAATGCTTGAACTTGATTTATTGCTCCGGAATAATCTCCATGTCGATTTAAAAGGACTCCGAGGTTAAGCCATATTTGTTATGTTGTTTTGTTTTCCTCGTTTCTAATCGAGTTGCTAATTGAGTTGCCAATTGTTTGGGAAATCACTCCCAGGGCGCATGAATGCATATTCACCCTACCGTTCGCTCTCTAACTTCCCGCGCAGGGACCGGCACCGCGCTCGAGTCTTAAAGCGGAAAGTCATATCATACATGCATGATTCCCGGTTCTGCATCGGCGGAAAATTCAAGTCTTAAATGAAGAAAGATCCTCGGATTTGCTATTCATGCTTCTTGATTCTCAAGATCAGACCAGGTCAAATCAAATCAAGTCAAATCAACTGTCTCGTCGCAAACGCTCCTCCAATGCATCGGCCACACTCTGTTGTTGGACTTCTTCATATCCTGGTGGAGGCTCCATGGGCTCGGGTCCAATAACTGACGCTCGTTGGTTATTCGCCGGTGGGTTGGATGTGGCGGTGGGAGTGGGAGGTTCGTGAGGATTGTTCGAACCCGGGCCCTCGTAGGCTGGCAGCTCCTCTAAATGCACCCCAGCAAGATCCACGCCTCGTAGTCCACGAGCACCCTCGCCTGTGTTTTCCACCACTTGCTCTAACCGTTCCCTGATGCGCTCAAAGTTGGTGTGAAAGTCGAATGCACCGCCCTCTTTGAAGGTTACTTTGAGCTGGATAGCCGGAAGGGATGGGGAGATGCCTCCTCCCGCGACGGGTTTTACAAGTGCAGTCCAGACATTAGGACCGAAGAATGGGGCAGAAACGTGAGAGTCGCAGACGTTGAGTAAAGGGGATGAAAATGATTGGAAACTGGCGGATGTTTGGGAAGGAAGGTAGACAACCTGTTATGATCAACCAGCGGTCAGCACAGCACATTGGACCATACGAGAGAGCTCAAGGAAAACATGACGGACCCTTTGGTTGGTCAGGTAGATACAACCGGCGCTACTCTGGAAAGACAAGGTCTCCGGACCTTTGTAGCCGGATGGTGGTGTTAGCGCGAGGGTGGTGCGCGGAGGGGAGGTGTATATCAAGCGTTCGTTGGGAAGGCGGACAAAGCCTTCCTGGTCATGGAGCATCACCCAGCTGCAGGTCCAGGTTAGCTAATGTAATCCACATATATATGCAGGCTAGTATCTCAAGCGATCTTAAGTACCAAGCAGGGGAGATAGCATAAGCGCCTGGGCATGCACATACTTGATAGACATTCTGGCCTTTCAATGTTGGCAATCATGCGAGTGGGCAGAGGGGTGGGGAGAACTAAGATAAGAGGGGAAAGTTCTGGGTTTGACGATCCACAGGAAATTTGCAGGTTCCTGAACGTCCAAAAGATGAGAATTCAGGGTCTGGAACCCTGAAACCGGTGTCGCGGAAGGAGAGTTGGAAAATCATCCAGTTGCGGGGCAAGCGGGGAAGTTCTGCAACGATGACTGGTCTTCGATTCATTATGCAATGTATATATTTTATGTCGATGATTGTACAGTACATTACAGAGCATTTTTTGGTAATAAATTTTGTATTTTCCAAGAGATTTAATTTTCTCGGAGAAAAAGCAAATTCTCAATATAAAAAACCCCAAGAACAATGAAAGCCACCAGAATTGCTCTTAAGATACTAGTACTATAGTACTACTCCCCGCTCTATTTCGTATTCGTAGATCCCCGCGCCTGAGCGCAAAGCAAACTTCCTTCTCGGGCTTAGACGCATCTTCCCCAACAGTTGCACTATGCAGATAAACCGTTGGGGCTCTAGAAGAGATCTTATTTTGTCCGAGATTCAATGTTTCCAGTCCATACAAGTCCATGTATCATGACGATAACATGAGCAGCTCTTGGACCAATACATGGACTTGGGGAATTGGCCACTGGGCCCAAACATGGAACGTGGGCAAATAATAGACCAGTCAAGTACTGAGTACTATACCTATACCCAAGTACTAACTTGAAAGATACTCCGGAAATCTAGTAGATTATAAAATCTATAGTCGTGTGAGTGGATTCTTGTTCTAGAAGCGTCTGAAGCAAAAGCGAACGCGCTAAAAAGCCCGGATCCCCAAACTTTCCGGATTCGTTCACGTTTATTGCTTCCCCCCCTTAAGTTCTTCCATCTCTTCTTTAACTCAGTGTTTCTTCTTTTTTTTTTTTTTGCATTTCTATTTGACTTATCCCCATTATTATCTGTGGGCTGCACAAACATCGCTGCATAAACAGAACAGAACTCCACTTGGTGGGGCCAAGGAAAACAAGAGAAGAAAAAAAAAACCAAGCTCTCTTTACCGACGTCAGGTTCCGGCGGGTCCAAGCTCGTGCAGCTCATCTGCAACGCTTCATGTCAACGCCGTGACTTTTCCCCATCCCGCTGATCACGCCCATTTGAGCCTCCTGGAGTCATTTACCAGGTCAAAAACGGCACCATGGGCAAGCAACAGACCAAAATCCCACCCCTCATCGGGTGGTCTTACGATCTAGTGCTGTGGTCCTTCTCGGTGCTCATCGATCTCTTCTTCCGCGAGGTTCATCCACGAGGATCATGGAAAATCCCTCGTCGTGGACCAATTATCATTGTCGCCGCTCCTCATGCGAATCAGGTATGCTAAGAGAACAATCTTGAAGTGTGACCAACAAGACCAACAGCGTGTAGCTAATCCCATCCCTTCCGCCACAGTTTGTTGATTCCCTCGTCCTCATGCGCGTCATTCGCAGCGAAGCGCACCGTCGAATCTCATGGTTAATTGCGGAGAAGTCCTTCAGGCGCAAGTTCATTGGGATGCTCGCCAAGGGTATTGGAACTCTCCCGGTGGCTCGCGCCATGGATAACTTGAAACCTGGCACCGGCACAATTTACCTACCCGACCCCATCAACGAACCGACCCTTTTGCGAGGTGTGGGGACAAACTTTGAAGGCCCAGGATTTGAGGTGGAGGGTACAATTGCGCTACCCACTATCAAGGGGACCTCGCATAGCACGGCCATCGCGGAAATTCGCGGACCGGAGGAACTTGTCCTGAAAAAGCCTTTCAAGCACAGGGATGCGTTGTTCCAACTTACAGGAAGGGAAGATATTGACAAGGATGGGAAATTTTTGGGGGATGTCACAAACAACAACTCGGATTTCAAGGGCACCAAGTTCAAGGTTGCGCCACACGTGGATCAGACTGCTGTCTACGAAGCTGTCTTTGGGAGATTGAATGCTGGCGGCTGTGTAGGCATCTTCCCAGAGGGTGGTAGCCATGACCGTACTGAGCTGCTTCCCCTCAAAGGTAAGCTGCATCGTTAACTCTTTGGCCGCCATAAGTTTACTAATTCAACTTTTTTTTAGCTGGTGTGGCTCTCATGGCACTCGGTACTCTGGCGGATAACCCGGATTGTGGTTTAAAGATTGTTCCCACTGGCATGAACTATTTCCACGCCCACAAGTTCCGTTCTCGTGCAGTCATTGAGTTTGGAAAGCCAATCGAAGTCCCCAAGGAACTGGTGGAGCAATTCAAGAAAGGCGAGCGTCGTGAGTCCGTCGGTGCTCTCTTGGATATCATCTACCAAAGTCTTGTCGCCGTTACGGTTACCAGCCCGGATTATGATACACTCATGGTAAGGTTCCCCTGTTCTGGTGCGTTGAAACAAAAGTTAACAAATCATAGGTTATCCAAGCGGCCCGTCGTCTGTACAACACCAAGGGAAAGAAACTTCCCCTTCCGAGAGTAGTGGAGCTCAACCGTCGACTCGTAAAGGGATACGCGCATTTCAAAGATGACCCACGGATTGTAAACCTTCGGAACTCTATTGTGAACTACAACAAGCAACTTCGCATCCTGGGTATCCGAGACCACCAGGTGGCCTACGCCAAGTTTTCTATTCTACAGGTCGTTATTATGTTGATCTACCGCTTGGGTAAATTGGCTCTGCTGGCGATTGGAACGTTGCCCGGTTTGATCCTTTTCGCCCCCGTTTTTGTTGCGACCAAGTATCTATCAATCAAAAAGTCCAAGGAAGCATTGGCTGCTTCCAGCGTTAAGTTGCAGGGTCGGGATGTTATGGCAACCTGGAAGCTACTGATTGCACTTGCATTTGCTCCGGCCGTTTACGCATTCTACTCTGCAGCATTTACCTATTGGACATACCGGAACCGAGTTCAGGGCTTCATTCCTGAATGGGTCCCCCTCTGGCTGGTTGTCATGATCGGCATGGTCATGTTCCCCACAGTTACCTTTGCTGCTCTGCGTATTGGCGAGGTGGGCATGGACATTGTCAAATCCCTTCGACCTCTTGTTCTTTCTCTGAACCCTTCGTCGGCCAACACGCTGGTGAAACTCCGAGCGAAGCGTGTGTCCCTTGCCCAGCAAGTCACAGAAGCCATCAATACCATGGGTCCAGAACTCTTCCCTGACTTTGACGCTGCCCGGATTGTCACAGATCCCTTCCGTGAGGTCAGCTATGATGCAGCTGATGAAGAACCGGATCTCAAGCGGGTCGGTGATGCCGATCTGGGCGATACATCGCTCAGTGCGGAGCCTTTGCCCCGCAACGAATCGTTCCACAACCTGGCCAACATTGGCTTCTTCTCCACAAGACCGCCAAGCCGCAACCGCAGTCGCAGCAGTTCTGCGGCGCCCCGCCCTGGCTCTCGGCATGGTCTTAAGCCGCTCAGCCCCATGACTCCCAAAGACCCCCTGGAAGACGTCAGCTCGCGGATTCGAGATGCCATGAGAGAGCGCGGTGAGAGACGCCGTCGCCGGAGTGAAGATGGCAGCTGGGATATGGCTAGTTCGGGGACAAGAACCCCATCTAGCGGCGATGAATCCCGAAAAGATCTATGACCTGCTATGACAGCTACCTGTTTGAATTCTGATTCTGATCCGTACTAGTACTTCCTTGTTCGGCGATGTTGGATTTCAGAAACTTGCGACTCTTTTCTGTCCCTTTAGTGTATATACGAGATATCCCATGTGTTTTGTTTGACCTTTCAATATCTGCTGTACATTCCTAACTTACCTTACTCTACGAGAAAGAGAGAAAAAAAAACACAAACATTTGATCTAGATCCTTGATAAAGTGCTTGAGTGATTGTAGCTTCAAAGTTGGTATGCACATGTCTTTTGAGGTCACTTTTTGCTCCTCGGACATTGACCTTAAAAGGAGCTAGATCAGCGCCGAGGTTAAGATAATCTAAATTCCGTTGATCCTTGATATTAATAGGAGTCCCGGTATTGCGGGGCAAAGCACTCTATTGGTTATGAACTGTGGTGGCGTGTAAACGTGGGATGTTCAATAGATGCGATTGTGTAAGTGTTTACATATAACATTAAAAACATAGGGGCAAACCTTTGAGCAGAATTTCTCAATGATAGGTCAAGAATGCGCTTGGAAATAATCCAAATCAAGGCTTCCCACTGCTGTAAACGAGTAATCGAAATACAATACAACCCCAACACATCTGGCCAAGAATTCGTAAAAAAAAAAAAAAAAAGAAGAAGAAAATAGTGCAGCCTGGCATGGTCTCCAACCTGTTTCGAACCTGTTTATTTCTATTCATGTACTTTTCATAGTTCCGGGATTGTACGGAGTCGTTGGCCAAGTCTAGCCCGCATAACTGACCACGTCGCCCGTTGACATCGCGTCCCACGTTTATACGAACCTTTCCGCCTTGACCTCCCTTTACTGCCAGATTTCCCTTCGGATCGAACTTGCTTCGATTATCCAAAGCTCCTTGACCCAGCTGTGTCAGCTTGGTCTAGTGTGTGTGTGCTCTCAACATGGCGGGCTCAATGCACTTGTCACGACTGCGGAACTGGTTCCTTTCCTCTCCGCCGATCGAGCTTGCTATCTCGAATCTCAAGGAGCTTTTGGTTGGCGCACTCCGCCAGGGCCCGATCCCTCAACATGTGGCATTCGTCATGGATGGAAATCGCCGATTCGCCCGGTCGCATGGAATTGAGACGGTAGAGGGACATAATCTCGGTTTTGAGGCACTGGCAAGGGTGAGTCTACCCCCGACCCTGACCCGCTAGCAGACCTCAACAGCTCTGTGCCATGAGTCTCGCTTCACAAATTGATCTTTCGCGCTCCATGCTGACCTGTTTCCTCCTGACTTTAGATTCTTGAAGTTTGCTATAAGAGCGGAGTGAAGGTCGTTACCATCTACGCCTTCAGTATCGAGAATTTCAAGCGCTCGAAATTCGAGGTCGATGCTCTGATGGACATGGCTAGGGTGAAGTTGTCACAAATGGCGCAGCACGGAGATCTGTTGGACCGGTACGGAGCCAAGGTGCGCGTTCTTGGCCGACTCGATCTCCTCAAGCCCGATGTTCTGGCCGCTGTCAACAAGGCTGTCGATTCCACTAGTCGCAACGGCGACCGCGTACTGAACATCTGCTTCCCCTACACCTCCCGCGACGAGATCACTGGCGCTATTCGTGATACCGTGGATGACTACAGCACGCCGCTTGAGCTAAACGGCACTGCTCGAACCCCCTTCTCCGAATCGCATATCAGACATAATATACGTGCCCAGAATCAAGGATCCAAGCTACAAGACTCGCAGAGCGACTCTGGGTCTACGTCGGCGGAGTCTTCTACCCAGGACGACGATTCGATTCTGCGGAACGATCGCTCCAACCGGGTCTATGAGTCCGGCTCTTCTTTTTCATCTTCCGCTACTCTTCACCTCGATAAGAATGGATCTCATGGAAATGGAAATCTAAACCACGGCGATAAACCGACCTTCATGTCTCCCGAAACTATCTCCCGCCAAACCCTGTCTGACCATATGTTGACCAAGGGCACCCCGCCTTTGGACCTCCTTGTACGAACTTCGGCTGTGGAGCGCTTGAGTGACTTCATGCTGTGGCAGTGTCAAGAAAATACCGAGATCGTATTTTTGGACGTTCTGTGGCCAGAATTTGACCTATGGCACTTCCTACCAGTCCTGCTTCGGTGGCAGCGACGCATATCAAAGTCCCGACAGAACCCAGATGCCGAGGGAAACTTTGCTGGTGATAACGCAGAGCCCAGCGAAGAGGACGCAGACTCCATGATCTTGCGACAGAGCAAGATGAAAGCTATTTAGAGCTTCTTCGGTTATTCCCGGCCTCGTCTTTCCTGTATTCTTTCCAGCATTCAACGGAGTTTGGAGTTTGAGTGACGCTCGACTTGATTCCTGTGTCCATATATCCCCGCAGCATTGGCAGCATTTCTTTCGATACACCCTATACTATTGTTATATAGCTAGAATATCACTTTTACCTATGCATGTTTCTTTCCTAATCCAGACCCCGACTCCGCATTACTAACCCCCCGCGCCGATACCGGCCACGTGACGGGGTGACTCAAGCACACAAGGGAAAGTTCCAGTTCTTGACTCTGATTCCTCATCTATCTATATCTCAATTGAATTCAAGATGGTCGCTCAAATTGCTGGTTCTAAGGTCCTTCTCCTGGGCTCGGGCTTCGGTATGTTTGTGTCCTCTCCCAGTGCCTGACTGATTCCTTGCTGCCCCGCAATGTGGTCGCCTTTGCTTCAACATTTGTTCCAAGGTTCAATTGCTCACATTATTGATTATTTTTAGTCACCAAGCCCACTGTTGATGTTCTCGACAAGGCTGGAGTTCAGGTTACCGTTGGTATGTTCCATTGATCTCGAATTGCCTCCAGAATCCCTGTCCAGGGTCCTCGCCGAGTTACCCCGCCATGTCCCGCAACAGCTCAACGAGACCCTTTTACACACCATTGCGATGACATAGTTGCTGATCATCATTCCGTGACAATCAGCTTGCCGTACCCTCGATAGCGCCGAGAAGCTCGCCGCTGGCTTCAAGCACACCAAGGCCATCTCCCTCGATGTCAGCGACCCTGCTGCTCTCGATAAGGCCAACAGCGAGGTAAGGGAAACCCAGGTTGCGGTCGGGAAGATCGTGGAGGAACTGATAATATCACTTTAGCACGACCTTGTCATCTCTTTGATTCCCTACAGTCAGTATACCCCTCTTCCTACATTTCGGAATAAAAGGAGAATGCTGACGCGGTATTAGCCTTCCACGCTCTCGTTATTGAGTCGGCCATCCGTACCAAGAAGCACGTTGTCACAACCTCATATGTCTCCCCCGCCATGGAGGAGCTTGATGCCAAGGCCAAGGCCGCTGGCATCACTGTCATGAACGAGATCGGTTTGGACCCCGGTATCGACCACCTTTACGCCGTTAAGGCTATTGCCGATGCCCACGCTGCTGGCGCCAAGGTTACTGGCTTTGTCTCATTCTGCGGTAAGTGTTCACATATATCTTCAACTGATTATTACTAACAATTTGAACAGGTGGTCTCGTAAGTTGAAATGCAATAATGGTCGCTGTGACATACTAACGGTTTTAAATTAGCCCGCCCCCGAGGCTAGCGGAAACCCTCTTGGATACAAGTTCTCGTGGAGCAGCAGGTGCGAACAAATGACATTGGATGACACATCTGTTTACAGAGACTAACCATTGCTTCTAGAGGTGTTCTGTTGGCTCTGCGCAACGCTGCCCGCATTTACCGCGATGGCAAGCTTGTTGACATCGCCGGCCCCGACCTTATGGCCAACGCCAAGCCCTACTACATCCTCCCCGGTTTCGCCTTCGTCGGCTACCCCAACCGTGATTCTACTTCCTTCCGGGAGCGTTACGATATCCCCGAGGCCCAGACCGTCATCCGCGGTACCCTCCGTTACCAAGGTTTCCCTGAGTTCGTCAAGGTCCTTGTTGACACCGGTTTCCTGAAGGACGAGCACAACCCCGTCTTTGACAGCGCCATTCCCTGGAAGGAGGCTACCCGCCAGCTTCTGGGTGCCACCTCCTCTTCCGAGAAGGACCTCGCCTGGGCCATCCAGTCCAAGACCAGCTTCCCCAACAACGACGAGCGTGACCGTATCATCAACGGTTTCCGCTGGATCGGCCTCTTCTCCGACGAGCTCACCACTCCCCGTGGCAACGCTCTCGACACCCTCTGCGCTGTCCTCGAGAAGAAGATGCAGTACGAGGAGGGCGAGCGTGACATGGTCATGCTGCAGCACAAGTTCGAGATCGAGAACGCCGATGGCTCCAAGGAGACCCGCACTTCTACCCTGTGCGAGTACGGTAACCCTGCCGGTTACTCGGCCATGGCTAAGCTCGGTAAGTCTTGCATTCGATTTGAAAATGAGGCGAACAATTTCCAGGTACTAATATAATGTTTTTAGTCGGTGTGCCTTGCGGTGTTGCCGTGAAGCAGGTCCTCAACGGCACCATCACCCAGAAGGTATGTTTTGCATCTCATTGAATCAAATCTCATCTTGGTAGTATTGCAATCACTAACGTTCATTCCAGGGTGTCCTTGCTCCCATGACCATGGAGATCTGCGGTCCCCTCATCAAGGAGTTGAAGGAAGAGTACGGCATCGAGCTGGAGGAGCGCACCCTGTAAGTGTGTGTATAGCTTAAAAGTACAAAGAATGAGATAGATCATGATTTGATGTTTTCTAAACTTGAACAAATTGAATCAAGTAATTGCCATATACCATGGGGTTAGCCACCGTGAGCTTTTGCAACGTAGTATGTAATCATTTTTACAATTTAAGCTTTAAGCTTGATGCCCGAAGTTCCTATCAAAGCCATAGAGTCACATGAGGTCTGGAACAAAGACTTGTACTATTACCTACTATGATCGACCAATGGATGTCTAGGCTGCTTAGATTTGAAAATTTTGGGTAACAACATCTATGTTCTATCCTAAGATAGATCGATTCTTAATTTCATTATCATAGTAGGCATCACTTCCTCTATCGTAGCATCATCGCAAGCCAACCCCGGTTCCAGTGAATCGGAATAAAGAGCCGGACGAGGTTCAAACAAGACTTAAGCAAAACCAATATTCCAAAAGGTAGGTATAATATGGAATCAAAAGTTAGGGCTACAGCTTCAAGTGTGGGAGGTCTCCCATACACAAGCTTGACTCATTTCCCCAAACTCCCAGTCCGAGAAAAATCCGGACGAGTGTGATGTATCAACATCAAGTATGTATGTACTATATGATTGTTTCTCATGATTTTCATTGTTTTTCGTGTTGCAGGGCGTAAAAATAATGTAGGGCGTGAAAATGACGAAGACTCGAAAAGCACGTTTTTCTGTTCTCTATGTATCAAACGACTTTTGAACTCTCGGTAAGTTGTTTAGAGAATAGTGCCAAACCTATAGCGAAAAGAATCACAAGGACGGTCATTAGTAAATTGTTTCGAAAGAAAGAGCGCGAGGAGGACGATCTGAACATAAACGGTCCGCAATGGTCAAAATGACAAAGAACAAAAAGGAAGGGGGCGGTAGCCGGAGACAAAGAGGTATGAATATTAAGAAGGAGGGGGTGGCTGGAGAGAGAGAGCTTACCCGAAAGTCTGCTTCATGCTGCGAACGTAGTAGACATCCCAGTTTTGCTTGGTGACATCCTCCTGTCCAACGGGGACACCCGACCACTCGACGCGCAACTGAGTCACACCATCAACGTTGTTCTGGTCGAAGTTGATCTCAAGGGTGCTGAAGTGTCCAGCGGGCCACTGGGCCAGACGCCAGGTCTGCACAATCTGCTTGGGAGAATCGAGCTTAACGAACTCGCCGGTCACGTTGCCGTCGAAGATGGCAAACTTGCCGCCGACATGGGCGCCCTCGAACTGGCGGGGGGCGCCACGAGTGAAAGCGGCAAGGCGCTGTGGGTCGGTGAAGGTAATGAAGAGCTCCTCGGCGGTGGTGCGGAATTCGTCTGTGGCTGTCACGGTGGTGGTGTTGATGGCGACCTTGCCGGTGGATGTAGTGGTGGTGGCAGTGGTCGAGGCAGCCTGGGCCTTGCTGGCTTGGGGGTGGATGGGGGCGGGAGTGAAGCCGCTGGAGGGGTTAACGCCCGGGGCGTGCTGAAGGTCCTTTGCGTGCTCGTGAATGAGGGCACCGGTGAGCTTGGCCAAGGCCACGCGGAGTTGAGGAATGATCTTCGAGCGGACGAGGTCCTTTACGGGCTGCTTGGAGGCGGCATCGGCATAGTTCTCAATCTCGAACTGACAAGCAGAAAAAAAAAATCGTGTTAGCTTCGGAATGAAATGCCTCTTGGAACTTCCAAGATTTCTAATTAACCCTCCCTTCTTGTTTCATGAAGGGAGCGGATCTGGGCGGGTACAAGGGAACATACGACATACTCATCTTCCTCGGTATCATGGGCTACCTCGGGGATGTTGATGGAACCGCTGACCTCCTCGGCGTCCTTGGTCTTACCTATAAACAGTCTCAGCTGCCAGGATCGCTCGCAGGAATTCGAGTGGATTTCTACAAACCTGAATACTCTAGCGACAGCTTGACATCGAACAGGGTAATGACCTTGCCCTTGCGCTGGCTGACGTCTACATCGCCATCCATCGACAGAACCTTGTCTACTTTGGCGGACACACCCCCTTCTTCGGCACTGATGACAGGCAAGTTCTGATCAAGGTACGACTTGGCCCAGCCAGAGGCGTCCTTGTTCACCCAGTGCCAGTTGTTGGGGTTGTGGAGAACCATGATGAATGTGGGACTATTAAAAATGGAAAAAGAAAACTCTGATTTTGGGACGATGTGATTGTGTGAGAGCCGAGTTGCGAATTCGGTGCTTCTCCTTCTTCAATTCTTTCTTGTTTCTCTGAGGAAATTATTCCAACCGAATCTAAAGGGTTCTTGAAGAAAATTTCATGTTAGCGGAATGATCGCAGAAATTTTATGTGGAGAAAAAAAGTAGATAAAGTGAATTGCGCGAAGCAATTATGCCACAAAAATCAGGTCACGGCTGCGTATGCCGGACGTTATACTGATCAGCATAGACGTTGGGAACAATTCCATCGTCATCTGACTGGTGCCAGCTGTTGTCTCATCATTTGAGCAGACCCGGGATAGCTCAAGACCACGAGGGGTCAAGAGATGAGCCCGGGGAGAAGGATATGAATCCTTCGGAAGGGTGCAATGCAATCTGAATCCCAGAAGTTACTCACAATTTCAAGAGAAGTTCAGATAAACTTCTGAACGGAGTGATTGAAGGTAGATGATGAAGAGAAAGAGGAAAGAGGAAGGAGGGATATTTGAGTGATTAGGGACGGAACACTCTAGAAAGTAAAGTCACGTGATAGAGTGGACCCTGCAAGGGCAGCGCTAGAGCTAGAGCAGAGCACTCAAGAGTCACTACGTAATGCATCATCCATCAATATTTGAGATATATTTGAATTGTTCATTTTTACATAGTCAATTGCATCGATTTTCATGTTTGATGGATGATTTTTGTAAAATCCAAGCCAACGTCGGTTCTCCCACACCTATGAGGAAGGACATCATTAATTGAATGGAAAAGGTTCACTGCATTCAAAATTTCAAGTGCAGTAACCTGAAATTGGTAACTAACGAACGAATGGGGGATATCAAAAATCTCAGGGTAAAGTATATAATGTATGAAGAAAAAAAAAATCTTTCAGGTGGCATCAATGATGAGCTATTCCTGCTCCAGCCTCTCCAAGTCTTCCCATGCATCTTCACTTATGAGCTGTTCCTTAACTCTTTCTCGCAACACTTCAATTTGACTTCCAAGAGCTTCCGTCCACTGGCCTTCAACAGTAGCCACTTTATCTTTCAGGTCCGTAGTCAGAGAGACTTCTTGATCTGCTCGAGTCATCTCCATGATTTGACGAACTGTTTCTTCGGGCTCTCCCCGCTGAATTCTCTCCGCCTCGGTGAGATTGCGATTGGCTCGCATCATAGCCGACCGGACCTCATGCAACAGACAGAGAAGATTCGTCTGAGACTCAATGTACTGGTAACTTGACTTCTCAGCATGAGAGAGCAGCGAATAGAGATACTGTAAGGGGTGAGCATGATAGCTCGGATTCTCCTCATACTCATTTGCTGGGATCTGAACCTGGAAGCCATGCAGACTCTCAGGAACCTGTTGCACCAGGGCGAGAAGTGAGGGGGCAATGTCCCAGAAGGCAGATAATTGTTTCTCAACGCCACGGACAACATTTTGTTCGATAACATTCAGGAACGTCTCAAGGCGGGAAAATGCCTCATTCTCGTACTGCACACGTCGGTCCAAGGAATCTTTTGAGAAGAAAGCCTGGGTTTCGCGAAGCTTTTCTTCATTCTTGCTTTGTTGATATGGCAGTAGAGCAACCGTTTTATATCTATCATCACGGCCGCTGACCAGATCGAAAGCTTCTCGGTGAAGTTGTTCGCGCGCTTCAAATAGCCATTTGAGCTGAGTCAATTTTTCCAATAACTCGGGCTTCTCGTCGCCTTCCTCCTGTGCCTGATCGGGGGTCTCGTGCTGTGCATCATCGAAAAGCTTGCTGCTCAGCTCATCAATGCAGGCTGTTGCTTTGTCGATACGATCTGCAACGATAGCATGCATTGGCTTCAGTACCATCTTCTGATATGAGTCAAGCTGACGCTTCGCTAATTCGCCTTCGCGTCTCTGTTCTTCAACCGTCATGGCAGCCTCGGCCTCAGCAGCTTCCGCAAAGGTCAGACTGCCCTCTTGGATTTGGCTTTGAATATTGGATTTAAATTGACGGCGACCTTCTTGAACCTGCTCCTGGTTCTCCTGGGTCATTCTATCCACATCCATCTGATATCGCTGCCTGGTAGATTTGATCTCAGATATGTCGGTAATGGATCGAACCGTTGTGCGGTATGATACAAGATCAGGATGCCCATTGTTGACAGCAGGATAATGACGTGGATACGGCGGAGGCAGAGTAACCAGCCTCGATATGTCCAATTTCTGGTTACCAATGAACTTTTCATATCGCTGCTCAGCGCCTGCACTGGGGTAATTGTTGTCGTCCTCATGCTGGCCGACCTTCTCTGGTGGGTATTCATCCGGGCCATAAGCTGCATACTGGTCTGTATAGTTTGCACCCGCATCATCAAGCTTAGATGGGGTCCTTTCTTGGTCCCACTGCATGGAGTCTGGAGCCAATCCCATATACTTTGATTCACGTTTGGTACGGTGTACGCGTCTTCCAGCCCCTTCGCTACTGGATCCAGTCTTGGATTCCCACCAGCGACTGGGGGCACGACCTCGCGAGCTCATCTCGTCATTGCTCATGCTGAGACTAGCCGCGATAGGTGACAGACAAGGCTGGTAGTTATTCCACCACGCGGACTCCGGCCTACCGGGTCGACTCCCAGGAATTTCAAGCATCGGGGCAGGTCTGATTGGCTTTTTGGGGAGCTGTATTATAGGTTGAACGGGGCGTGATTCAAAAAGCTTGCTATGCACACTTTCAGAGTCAAATGATCCAGAATCCCAGACGGAGGCATATCTACTACGCCTGATCTGCGACTCGGCAATCATATATTGTGTGAAAATTCTGAGAGCCTCCGCTTCATTCGGGGCAGCGGCTTCATCCTCAATGAACTTTCGGTGTCGCTGTATGGCATCTTGCATGAAATCAGTATCTTGCTTTATGATAGATTCCAGTGAAGTCTGCTTTGTCGCTGCCTGCAGCGGAACTCGACGCGGTGAGAGTGGCTTCATCATGGTAACGCTGTCATTCGGCATATGCAAAATATGCGAGATGGGACGATCCTCTCGCCCTCGAGACAAGCCACGAGGACGGGGCTGTGGCTGGAACTCCTTGCCCGAGCCCAATGGTGGAGTTGGCAGTGCCTTCGGTGGTATCGGTTGAGATGCCTCTTCGGGATACGCGGATGAAGAATCGCCATTTGGCGAGAATGGAGGTGTATGAGCGAATGTAGCCGATGATCCACTGGGCTCAGCAGCCGGGGGTTGATCCAATTTTGGCGTTGGGTAAGATGTCTGATCGGTGAACAGGCCCCCGGAGCTTGCTCGAGATCGTGAGGTAGTGAGCTGCCCATCTGAGGGAAGACTCCGGGAACTTTTAGGCGTAAACTTCGATGAGGATTGCGGCCGTGTTGGATCGGGGGAGTTCTCTGATTCTGGAAAAATCAAATTTGACGGCTTGATCTGTTCCAAAGCATCGGCCCATGGGTTCCCACTAGAGGACACCGCACTCATATCGTCAAATGTCTGACTCTGCCGATTTCGTCGCTCAATTCGTCTCTCGCGAATACCCTTGGCGCTTGGGTCCCGGACTGCAGGGCTACGGAAGAGACCGCCGCTTCCTGGGGTTCTTTGAACCTCGCGTTGCTTGCCACTAGAGTCGAGATATTCAGCTCGGTCAGATGCTGGTATCACTTTGGAAGTGTCAATATGCAAAGGCTCATCCCGAGTTGGTCGGCTTTTGAGATACTCTTCATCCACCCAGTCAGCGGGTGTGGGTGGAATACTTCCCAAACCAGTTCCCATCAAAGGTGGCGGTCGAGCTCTGCTTTTGACTGGACCTTGAGGTGTTCTCGCGGAAGAAGACTCTGATGAGCCACTCACACTGACGGACCTTACAGTGGGAGGTGGGCCTGGTGGTGGCGGTGGAACTGGCATACCCATTGCCCAACCACTGCTCGATGGAGATCGATTCCTCGTTTGGCTTTGTTCTCTCGAAGGGCCTGCACTGCCAACTACTGCACTTGCAGATGCAGCTCTTCGTGATGCGGGTGGTCTTGATGGTGCTTCAAATTGACCAGAGGATGGCCCTGGTAATTGATCCCTGATAGCTGGCGATGGAAGAGCTTGATCATAAGAAGAAAGAGATACTCGAGCCCTGGAATGAGATTGAAGGGCGTGGTAAGGGCCAGGCACAACCTGGCTCCCATCGAGTCGACTGTGCGAGACAGATCTCACTCCTAGGGGACCTTGTGGGGGAGGTGGAGGCGGTAGCTGGTGATGAGACTCGGTCTCAGGTGTGTACATGGAAAGTGGACGCGGGCGATGTCCTGAGCGTCGTGGATATTCGGGATTTGCATTAAATTCGCCATTTCTGGGGAAATTTTGCGGGGGTGTCCCGGAAGGTGTCACCGATGCATTTGGATTCGGAGATGTAAATTGTCCTTGCGAAACTCGATTTTGATTGCTGGGAGGTGAATATGGCGGGGGAGGTGGAGACAAAGACTCCTCTACTTTTAGTCAACATCGGACCTACCAACTTATACATAATATAACGAGAGAAACCAACCTGTATGGGCTCTCTGCTGAGGTGCGGCACGAAGCTGACTGCCTGGAGGTGGATATGGAGTTTGTGCAGCACCACCACCACCACCCACAGGCCCCCAGTCTTGTGGATTATATGGGACTCCGTAGTTTGCTGGCTGTCTAGAAGATGATGTGGATCTGGCGTTTGCCGGAGATGGAACACATGGAGATTGGGTATGTATAAAAGGACTCGAAAGCGAGGTTGAGGATAAGGGGGTAGTTCCGTGGTGGTATTGAAGGCTACTTAGTGCAGTTGTCAACAAAGGCGGCTGCAACGCGTGATCTCGACGGTTTGGTGAGGGTTGATTATTGTTGGCAGCGGTCGACGGCCAGCCAGTGTATTGCTGCTCGTCGCCTGCATGTCTTGAAGGCATCCAACTAGAGATAACAAGTGGTCAACTTTTTTGAACATCTCCGCATGTTGAAAAGCGAGTATTTCTGAAGCTTAAAGCAGACCAACACACCTGTTCATCCTGGGACTATATACCCATCAACACGCCGTTCAGCTTGAGACCATGATAGTGCCCATGAAATTAAGATATGGAATTGTGAAACCGATCTTCACAAACAAAGAAAGGGAGAGCAGAGGAAGAGACGAGGGGTTGACTCCAATAATTGCAATCCAGACAGCTTGAAAAAAAAAAAGAACTAAACCCTAGTCCGCAGGGCCAATTAGTGCGGACCCAGGCGATTGGCACGCTATCCACAGGGGGAGAAGAGGGGGCCATGATCTATATTTGGAAGCACACAAAGACCTTTCAGCAGAGCCAGAACGAACGTGGAAAGTCGTGGTCGAAGCGGGGAACCTCATATGCACCCTGAAGGCTCTCATCACACACGGCCCATGTTCAGCGCTTATCATCAACGCTGACAGGTCCAAGGCCGCTGGCCCCACATCAACTTACCTATTCAACAGCCAATCAACGTACTCATCACATTCAAGCTCGGGAATCTGGCTCTTTTGGCTTCTCCTAGACCTGCGCATGTGCCATGGACAATAATAGGGGCCCAAAGTCCATGGTCTTACCCACTGGAATCGCGATTGCGAAAGAACACCCCGACACTTGATGATGGCCACTGGTTCACGAGATAATCTGAATCAAGTACATGTCGGCAGTGGCTGCCGAATTTCACGTCTCTCACCTCCTCTTTAGTGAGGATATAATCGTCAACACCATCAGGGATATTCACCGTGTCGATCTTCAACGAGGAGGTCAGACCACTTGAGATCCTCCCCAATATAACCCCGTCAAATATTTTTACTGAAGACAGCCGCTTTTCACGACGCGTACTTGTTCACTTTTTTACCTTGAACATAGCTTCAATGTTGAATAGGTAGATGGTATATACAGTATCAGAACATTGAAACCAATAAAAATTTGTATACATATGCACATGTGTACATACAATACAGAAGCAACTTTGGAAGCACACATGCAACTGGGCATATTGTTGGCCCTTTGACTTCCAAGATGTCGAACATTGAATCGAAGGCCTTTTCAAGTCGCCTGGGAGTTATACGTGAAGATCAATCCTACTACTATTAGTAACGAAACCGACCACATGTGATGACGAGCTGGAGCCTGGAATGTTGAAGGCGAGACGGGAAGCCTCCGAAGGCGATGACAGTCTTTACCTTTCAATGTTGGCTGGGAGGGTACCTTGATTTTGTTGAATTCAAAGGTTAAGCCTCCGACAGCCCTGGGCATGCAGGGGTGTCTTAAAATAAAGCAAATACGGAGTACAAGCACTGGTACGATTTACATCCTTTACATGTGGAATAAGCAGAAAAGTGAGTTCTTGGTGTAGTGTCTTGCATTTGTTATCAGCTAAATTCTAACTACTGCACGCTAGAGGAGCCTTGTGGGCTAGCCTCGGTCGGAGACCGGCACAAGTGGTGAATGAAAGATATTCCTGTTCACTGAATTCAACGTTAGTAAGGGGTACCCAAAAACGCAATTCGCAAGAAAATTTGTGTAAACAAAATGTGTCAGATAATATGCCCTGTCACAGGCGGTGGTCATCAATTAGAAAATTCCTTATGTTGACCGTCGTGATAATATAGTAAATCATCATGTAAAGTGGGGGGTGAAAATTCAAGCAAAGAAACATAATCCACAGTCAACTTACATTAGCAACTTTGAAGAAGTGATGATATCGAAGGCGATCAGTTTCATGCCAATCCTATTCAAGAACGATCAGCATCGAGCATTGAATGGACATTGTGACAATCAGAAAATGATTGGTGATTGGTCAGGCATGACGGTCTCGTCAAAGCCAGTGGCTCGGACATATGCTTGTCTTTTGTTTTCGTCGATTCATCAAGAGAAAGTGATATTGTTGGGAAGGAAACGAGTGTGACATACACCTACGGTATGATAAAGCCGAAGCTCAGAAGGCAATTCGACACAACAAAGGATTACTGTTTGACAGGACAAATTAGTCACTGTTTTCAAAATTTTTGTTATGCAGAATTTTCAAGAAAAAAACTTTCAGAAAGGCATGAATGGTATTAAAAAAGATGTTGTCTGCATGGCAAACGCCGATAAGACTCGTCATCTAAAGGGTTCATCATAAAAGATGTGGGACAGAGAGAAATGAAACCAAGACAGAAAAAAGCAAGTAATCGCTTACCTTTTGGGTTTCTACGGGGTTGACATTGAGGTCGTTTCAAAGAAGAGACTGATCGAGTTGATTAGCAACCCGTCACAATGTCATGTATGAGTCGATAAAGATTCATGAGACATGTCTCAGTGGGCGAGGTTTTCTAGGCCTGCCGCAAAATGGGCGTATCCGTCATGACCGAACTTTTGTCCGTCGGAGCCCAGTGCCATTTCATCTTCGGACGTGTAGGATATTGGGTAGATCGCGGGTTGGCAAGCTTACCATCTGTCTTAAATTTCCAGTTAGCATGATTCAAAAAAACAAGTTTGAAATGTAAATGCAGGAGATTTTGTAAAAGATCAGTCAAGCCTAGGTTGTCGTCAGGGACCCGGAGGCCTTGGACGGTAATTTCCAGTCTTAATGCGTTCATCATAAAAGGGGAATTGTGTGTTTGTGTGTGAATAGCAAAACAAGGTCGCTTACCATTTACAAAAAAGAAGCAGTCGAATTCTGCGGTGAAGGGTGATTTGGTTAGTCCTAAGAGGGCAAAGTTAGCTCTCTGTAAATTTCGACAACCAGTAGTGATAACAATCAAGACGAGCGTGAAAAGCTCAGACTGACGTGCAATAACAGAAGTTTCATTCCCCGAAGGGGTCAAAGACTCTAGTTTGAAAATGGTTATAGTTATCATCATAAAGATGATGCTCGTGGTGGGAAACAATTTCTGACCGCGACAACGACTTACCATAAATTGAGTTTCTGCCAGGCAAGCTCGCATTAGTGAGTCGTATGTTGGATGATCTTCATTGAAGAATCCTAATCAAGTGGTATTCCAAGCAAAAGGCATTTTATTGCAGTGGAAGGAGCACTGATGGAAGAAAGGAAGAGAGTGAAAACACAAATCGAAGTTTTTTTAAGCTAACCGGGATGCTCGCCCTAAGCCTCTTTGGGACGGTTAGACCGCCCCGAATCCACCTCTCACCACCGTTCCGCACTGGGATTAGCGTGGTGTAGACCCATTGATGCCTCAGGCAGACAGTCTTTTTTGCAAGCACGAAATTTCATCAACCACCCACACATATGAGCTTTGGGTGATTAGGCCTTAAAACCAAGATTACTGGCCTCTATACCTTAGCAGTGGTATCTTTACATTGAAGCCTCCTAAATATGTGACAATAACGAGCGTCAAGTCGACTTTGGAGACTCCTCAGGAGCTACAGTGTACATCAGTAGTAGCTTCACGAATTAACTCCTGAGGTCTTGACCCCTCAATCACGAGCAAGCAGAGGTACAAAGTCACTGTATGTCCCTGCCCCTGGTCACTGTCTTGATTTGAAATGAGAATACGTGACGTACCTGGACATCCCTGAGACCCTATCATCGGGTAATGCGGGAAATGCGGCAAGGAGCAGGTTCGCAATGAACCCATAACTTAGTAATGATTCTGCATTTCAAGATAACCCATCTTATATACACACTAAATTCCCTCTAGACATATGGAACTTTCATTACAGTTAATTTTCATCCTCCGATACCTATCGTTGGTTTAGGATGTATTCGATTTACCTATACATGCCATCCCGCACTGAGCGAGGAGGCTTAACCGCCACAGAACTATTGTACGCACATGCTCAGATGCCATGTTATCACGGACGAAGGAATTTGTCAACAGGTACGTAAAATATGCCCCAACATTTTCCTTGCCACTCAAAGAAAATAGCTAAAGATACGACAGACCTTTTCATAGACCCCGGTGACCTTCCAGAATCCTGTATCGTCTGCGGGGATGGCCTTGACGATGATGCTAGTTATCGTCAACTTCCATGTTCTCATATCTTCCACCAGCCCTGTATTGAGACTTGGCTTCGAACCCAGGATGCCAGTTGTCCTATTTGTCGCTGCAAATTTTACGATCTAAGATTGCCAAGATTAGTTCGCTTTGTGAGCCCGTCGATAACCATTCCAAGGCCGTCGTCGCCGGACAAGGTGCATCTAAGACACATCGTATCTTGGGTCGGAAGGAAACTGTCCATAGGTAAAAGAAATTGATACAGCACTCCCCATGTGGAGGACAATTATCAAATGGGAGCAAACATGAAATGGAACCTTTGAAAGTGCTATTCCCCGCAGTGCCACCGATGGAGTATGTTCTTGTAACCCATCAGAGACCTTGAGAAGTCAACCTTGAAGGGGTTCCAAAGTCCATAGTAATCAATTGGTTGATAGCCATGTATTTTTGACGTGCCGCTTGAGATTAAAACTTCTGGTACAATAGTTTTGCGACCCTTGGGACCCACTCCAATATCCATGTCGATTGCTGCACCATCGTCTATTTATGACTCGTCAGAAAGGTCAGAGAGAAGGCAAGAATTTCTCGAAACTCGCCGCTCCAGAAATGACTGTGAATCCCCCTCACAACGCCAGGAAACAGAACCCGAATCGGCGTTCACGCAGGATGTCGAGCTTTCAGATGCCAAAAAGCCGGTTCAAAATCCTGCTCTGCAAGATTTCTCGCGGATGGCATATATTATTGGCTATTTTAAGTTAAGATCAGAAGCTCTTCCATATCGACGACTCACACGGTCTACAAGCGGCAATCAAACATAAAAGGACCATCCCTTTATACATCGGCTTAACAACTGGATTTTGCGGCAGTCTCACGTCTTTCTCCGCTTTCATTCGTGAAGTATTCCTGGCTCTTTCTAACGACATCTCTGTGCCTCTTGGATCTTATTCTGATGTTTCATTATTTGCCCTAGCTCCAGCCGAGGCTAAAGCTCCCAGCGGAGGCTTCAGCTTCATGGCCCTGGTCGCTGTGCTGTTCACTGAGATTGGGCTGTCACTTTTTGGTCTCTTTCTAGGTGCACATTTTGCTATCGGTACATCTGCTTGCATGTCAACTCTCCCTGACCGCTGGCTCCACAAGTTCATGGAGCCCGCTTTTTTTATCCTGGGCATTCTATCATGGATTGCTGTGGTTTGTCTTGCAGCACTATTGCCAAGAGATACACAGAGTACTACGCTATGAAGTACGAATATGTGGAAAAGCCCAGTCATTTTTGCTCTTATATTTGCTCCACTTGGCACCTTGGAGAGATTTTTCGTGTCTTTGAAACTTAACGGCCGCATCGCATCATTTCCATTGGGGACATTCGTTTTAAATATTGGTGGCACGATGATATTGGGAATGGCATACTCTCTGCAACATGCTCCGTTGAGCAGAACAAGCATTGTTGGTTGTCAGGTCCTGCAAGGAATCATGAATGGGTTCTGTGGTTGTCTGACGACTGTGATTACTTGGGTCTTGGAATTGTCTGACCTTCGCAAACGGCATGCATATTTCTATGCAGGATTGAGTGTCATAGTGGCATTGAGTATGCTTCTTGTAAAGATTGGGAGCTTGAAGTGGACTCAAGGTCTCGATACCCCGTTATGCTTCAGATATGATTAAATATTAGTAGATAATACATGCCAAGGTTTCGAGTGGAAATATCTCATGAGCAACCTCTGCGAAAAGAAAGCCTTGGGAATACTATATGTGCTAGTAGAGAGCAAGAATCCAAATAGAGCCAGTTGACATGCGATGACCCGGCAAACCATCAAATGAACAGCTAGTCGATCCCGAAATAATGAAAAAGGACAATCGGCGATGCAAGGCGGGGAGTGGGAACCTAATAATCATGGTGGGACTATTGGCACGGAGTAGATACCATAAACATTGATTCCACCCAGCGCCAAGTCATCTCCAAGCCGCGCCATTCCCGAGGATGAAAATGTGTTGCGAGAAAACGACCAGTTGTACTGGCAAAGTCCTCGTCTTCCTTGTCAGATATCTAGCGTTTGCAGACAGATAATCTTCCCTCTTTCCAGGGGTTGATCACCGTAAGTAGTAAACAAGACATGATATCATTGTGGGTATAATATAATCATCAAATTGAGTGAGATATTTTAAGGAGAAGAAATAAAAGGAGGTTTGCGGCATGAGTACTCCGTGCATGCCAGTGGCGGGCTGAAATAATGGAGCCCATGAGGTCACCCGTTTGCTGTCATCCCACCTACCCCAATAGTGTACATCGGTCATGACATCTGGAGTTGTGATTTACTAACAACCTTGAAAGTTCCAGGGTCCTCCTTCGTACATTGCACACAAAAGCCAGATAACGGAATGTAAGTTAACAATCAAGAATCCGAGTAGTACGGAATGGAAGAGGGGACTCAATCATTTAAAATTGAAAATCAAAATTTTCGTGCAAGTGCTCCCTCTCGGCTGCGATAGCTCTAGTGGATCTTAAAAGACGGCAAATCGCCGATCTCTGAGTCAAGAGTCGATAATCAAGACCACCTGCTTCTTACAGCTAGACCCACATATGGGGCTCAGAACAGACCATGCGCTGAGATTTCTTAGCGCTTGCCTGTTTCAGATTGACGGTTTCTTTCTCCACTCTAATAGTAGGTCTAATGCATGGGAAGAAGATTTTTGCGGTCGTCTAGGGATAGTACTCTGCACGGAGTTTGAGGTGCGACTTTCAAGCTGAAAGTTCAAGTTTCATAAAATTGAGATCAAAGATAGAAAGGAAGGGGAATCAAAAAGAAGGGGAATCAAAAAAAAAATACAGTATTATGTATCACAGAGCATTTGTTCATATCCAAGAATAATACATGTCCATTACGTTGATTTAGGTAGAGCGCTCATCACCGAGGCTAACCACAATATCACCACCGTCCAGAGTAGTAGACGAGCCTGAGGCGATAGAAGCCCGGTGGCTGCGAATGAACTTCGGCCATGTGTTGGTGAGAACAAGGTATTTAATGCTTGACTCGGCTTCATCGAAGATCGAGGCATCAAATTCGGCAGGGATCTCTCCCCAGTATTGCACGAGGTCTTTGATCTCGTGAGACGAGGAGTTGAGCCCCTTCTCCGAGTCTCCGCTGAGGGGTGTGACAGGCGAATCCAGGTTGAATGTCTCTCTGAAAGGGGTGGCGGGCTCCGGGTGCTCACGCTCGCCATACAGGAGCGCAGTAGGCTTCTCGAAGATCTGCTCTGGTTTCCTCAGGACTTGGTGGCTAAGGTTCACGGGGAATTCGGCGTGACTGGGGCTGATGAACTCGGCGTAGAGATGCAAGGCGCGGTTGAAAGGGTCACGCATCAGTTCCTGGATCTTATCGTCGCGGGGAGCGGTCTTGTCCTGGAGAGCCACGGGCAGCGAGCTCTTCCATTCGGCAACGGCGGTAAGGAAGGCGATGTTCTCTCCGGAGAATTCGCGGAGAGCAGAGAACTCCTGTAGAGGGCCCGGGTTGCGGTCAAGGACATACTCGAGGGCACCCATTGTTAGGATACTTTCGTTGGAGGCGTTGGATTGGATAGAGCCCTTGGTGGACCTGAAGCCTGACAGGATGGATGCGACGATGGTGGGACCGGAGCCCATGGACTTGGTTTCGCCGCCGGTCTTGTTCCGTGCCTCCCATTGTGCGATAGCTTCAAGAGTCTCTTGGCGAAGGGACTGACGGTGCATAACCTCCCAGCAGGGGAGGAAGATGGTGAAGATTTCGATGACAATGATGGAAAGGCAAATCCACTGCGGGGGAATCCAAACTGTAGCCATGGGGGCGAAGGCATCGACGTAAATACCGCAAAGCCATAATGGGGTACCGGGAAGACCAGCGATGGCACAAGCGATTGTTTGAGTTCGCCAGCCCTGAGTATCGTTGATATCACGAGCCTTCCAGAGAACGTAGGGAGCGACGATCCAAGACCAGAAAAACTGCGACGCAACACCAGGCCACCTGTTTCTCTCTGTTAGCTTTATTTCACTTATGAAACTTCAATTGGCCTTGTTGCTCTTACCATTCCCATCCTTTGCCCTGTGCTGACTTCTGCTCCATAGCGGTGCCGTGGACCTCGGTGCCCGGAATACCCCAGGTGCTATGGAATCTGCGAGAGATGACCCACATCAAGATAGTAAGGAGAATCTATGAGTGCACCAATTAGTTAAAATATTTCCATAAACCTATCGGATGATGCCATTGGAATTCTTCCACGAACCTGAACAAACATCGAAATACCGACAACGATGAAACTTCTGGTAGAATAATCAAGACGTTGGAAACGGGCAAGCAAGCTTTCCTTGTGCTTTGGAGAAGCCTTAACGGAAAGACGGTTGCAAGGATAGGCGTATTTCTTCTGAAGCTTTGCGATATGAATGAAACGACCGTTGGAGGCGTAGAAAAGAGAGACTCCGATAGGTAACCAGGTACCCATCATCCAGTACATGGCGTCGCCCGGCATCAGATTGCCTATCATAACACCCGATTGAACAGCCCAGAAATAGATATGAAGAAAGAAAACGGCGGGTAATGTGAGACCTAAGCCTCGAATCCGAACTGTTGGTGATTCCCGGTGTTTAATCAAGTAGGCGACACCCAGGGAGACAAAGAGTGTCCATACACATCCCCAAACCACCCACCAGATGGCGACAGGAGTGAGAGTGGCGGCATCCTTGGATTGGGCGGTAACGCCCAATTCAGATCCCATGGCGAAAGCGACTGCGTTGTTTTGCAGTCAAAAAATGAGGAGAGCTCAAAAGGAATGTGTATTAAAAGTTGGAAAGAGCGCTGTGGCGGCCGAGGGCGAGGCTGCAAGCGGAGATTTTGTACTTCCTAACCCATGGCTTCGGTCTGGAACTGGCACGTGTAAGACCTGGTCTGTGATGCTCCCCTGTAGATCGAAGTGGAGGGGGATTCATGATGCGAGGGCGTTTGAATGGTCGGATAGCCCGGGCCCCATCGTGGGACTGGCCGCTCCGCTCATGGAATCGAAGCCTCGATGGTGCCTGATCGGGACGCCGTTGATGCTGATAGGTGAGAAGGATTCTGGCCCCGGGATTCAGCTATCTCTTGGCGGGTATCGATCAGCGGTACTATTGATTCACTACTATGGAAACAAGATTGGTTTTTTTCACAATGCCCCACTTGCACCAACTTTTGTTATGATTATGTATCATTCTCCACTCCAGGCATTATCAATTGGACAATAAGAAGACCAAGAAAAAAGAAGTTGTTGTGATGATGTGATATTAGATTGATTATGGAGATGCTGTGTAAAGGTTCAATGTAGGCGATTGGCTGTCATAGTTAATATATGTGAAAGGCTTAGATTGTACCCAATCAACGCGGTTCATGTGTATCGCGAGGAATCTTTTGGCGAGAAGGTGAAACGCGTGTAAATTGTACTCGCACACGACGTGTGTGAAGGACGAATCCGGTCTAGAAAGCCGGTGTTCATAGTGGAGATTGTCCGACAGTGGAGACTCGCACCCGAGCTGCACGGGTGGTCCGTTGATGCCCGGATTTCAGGTTCAACGATTATGAGGTGGATTGACATCCACACGGTTTAATCCTTGTCGAAATATTCAATAGTTTCGTTTTCCCCCCACAAGTCTAAATTTGAACTTTGGATTCGTTCGAAATTTTCTTAAGACTTGCAGGGGTTCTTTTGGAAGGAAAGTGTCCAAAAACTTGTTATGAGGATTTTCGCGGGATATCACCCCCTGATTTACTTTCCAGATTTAGGCCTCGTAAGGATTTACGATATACGTGATCAGGGGTAAAAAGATTTCTTTGCCCGAGCTCGAGCGAGATCGTTACTAGTTGAAACAGTACTAAGCAGGTCTCGGGTCTAGAGAATCCCAGCACTCTGGCTAGCATCTCCCGGCACTCTGGCTGTCTCTCGATGGACCCCATCAGGCCGATTTCAAATCGTGCCAAAATTGTCAAAAGTACCTGCCATGTCATGATGTACCCCATACTCTAGACAAGAGTCCGCTTCTGCTCTCGGGTCCAGAAATGATACAGCACTGCCAGCATGATCAACATGCATACGTCAAGTGCGATCGTCCAGTTATACCCAATGAGGTATCTTGGAGCATCCACAGTCTTCCAGACACTAAAACGTATAGGATCCGCGGTCAGTAAAGTTTTTTTCTTTTTCTTTTTCTTTGTTTTTCCATGAGAGTTCATATTCGCCTTACAAGAGAGGAATCCATGCCCCGAAGGTATTGCCAATCGTATTCATGGCACTGATCACCAACGCACGTTCTTCGGCGTTATGAGCACAGATTTCATTGGCCCAGGCATAGATAATCGCCGCAATCCCGTCAGCCGTGCCGGAGAGGAAAAAAGCAAAGAACTTTAATCCGTCAGGCACCTTCCAAATCGCGAGAACCACACAAGCAAATATGTTCAATACCGCGGTTATCGCGATCAAGCTTGCCTTTGCGTCGTAGATGTCTGATAATACGGCACAGATCACAGAAGCAATAATTGTGACGGCAGGTGAGACTGTAGTAATGGTGTCGATTTTCCCCACAGAATAACCTTCTGCCTTAAGCCACAGCGATAGGCCACTATTTGAGGATACTCCATCGGCTTGACTGAAAAAGAAGGCAAACGCGACTAGCACCCATAGTCGCCAGCCTTTGAGAATCTTAACGATTCCAGGCCAGGTAAAAGGTTGACGGGCTTCTCGGTTTTCAGATGCCATGCGCTCTTGTGCGAGGCGGATCTCTTCCGAGGTTAAAAATCGGGAATTGCACTTGTCAGGGGTACTAGGCAAAAGGCAAAGACCGAGGAAAGCAATTGGCACCGTGCATGCGAAACCTAGTAAGTTAGTTATGCTTACATTTTTTTTTTCTCCCTCTCTCTCTCTTTCTCTTTCTTTGCTCTTGTTGAATTTGGTAGCAACTTACAGATGATATACAGCCATCTCCAGCCCTCTAATCCAAACCGGCCATTTAGTGAATCATAAGCTCCAGCTTGGATATACCCAGAGCTCATGCTGCCGACTTGGCTGGCAATGAAGAAGATAGCGCCCCTGCGAGACAACTCTGATCGTTTGTACCAGCATCCCAGATACCACTGTACAGCAGGGAAGAAGAAACCCCCGAGGGCTCCCACAAAGAAGCGCAGCGCATAGAGTTGAGTGACAGTGCTAACTTTATACTGCGCAAGTGTGAAGGCACCCCACAATAAATCAGCCGCAGGTAAGAAGTAGTTCACCGGACAGCGCGTCATCTGTTTGATTCAAAAGGTTAGATCTTCTAGATTCTGTCAAGACAGTGTTTTCAATGACGCACCAGCAGAGTCAACGGAATCTGCATAACAATAAACCCGACACTACAGAGCATGTCAGCCAAAATGAACCTCTCACGATCGGAGACGCAAAAGCTCATACTAATAGACTGTATTTAGGTAATTCAATTGATTCCCATACATCTCAAGATCCTCCTTCATACCGCTCACATATGCGGTACTCGTGGCCGACGAATCCAGGACCTTCGCCCAGTACGCCAGGAACACAAACACGATGATCAATCCATCTAGTTTGAGGATCAGGCGTCGTTCCGCCGGCGTGTCCGTGGGCGCGAACCACTCATACCATTTCTGACGCACTGGCTCTGCACCCGGAACCTGCGCCAAAGACTCTTTTGAGCGCTCAATGTCCGGGGTCTCTGTCGCATCTAGAATCTGGGGGGACTTTTCTGTGGGGAACGACATGACGGGATAATGGGTTGGTTGAATGTACTTTTGTACACACCCCTGTCAATTCAACACGATAAGGAAAAACAAGAGAGAAAAATTTTCACATCGTGGATATTGGAGGTTATTCAATTATTTTTTTTGCTTCTGAGTGCAATTTGAAGCACGCCATCTTTTGGAGATATAGCGCCTAGGTTAAGTTGGCGCGGACTTTGCCGACAACCCTATCATCAACCTGTCAAATGTTGCCAAGGACCCCGCCGACTTCGCGGTCCATTGACCCGCGTTCATTTGCCGATGCCGGGTTTGTTGACATTGGGTGACTCACCTCTAGACCAATGAACAACGACTTCCAAAGTATAATTACCTGTCTTGTTGACATTCTTCAGGCAATTGAGAAGAATAGCGGTAATGACTACTAGTTCCAACCTTGAATGTGCACGTGGAACTCGTTTCTTGTTCTTGAACACTAACAGTCAGGCCTCAATTTGGTTGCTCCTCATTTTTTGAAGGGAATTTTTGAAAGGAGAGTAATCAAGTACGATGATCGAAAATGAAAAGAGCCAAAGTACCAAAATTAGAAAATAAGGCAACAACATTGAAAATCCACCAGTTCACCCACCATTCACCCTTTTGAAAACCTTAGAAATCCTAAATTATACTCCCCAAGACCTGACCTGACCTTAAGCTTTGTCGCCAAATGTCTCGTAACTAACAGAAATCTCATCTGTTCTTTCAATTCGAGCAGGACTCCGAAGAATTATCTCATCGCTATCATTAGTTCTGGTAGGTTGAATGACAGTCTGTTGAGAAAACGCTCTCGGCTCAACAACCGAAGTCTCAAAGCCAGACTTGGAAAGCTGACCGTAATGCCTGCTACTGCTGTATTTTCGACTATTGCCGTACATTGGCAACTTGTAGGAATTGTCGCTGGAAGAGCCATCCTTGCCATCTTTTCCGTATCTCAAACGAATATAGAGAGGGCGGAGGACGGGGATTGTAGAGCACATGATTGTCACGCAGCTTTCAGTCGCGGACCAGATGAGCATAGGAACGGTGTCATCTATTTTCAATTGTAAGCTTTCAAAGCTTAGGGGGTGACTGTGATGGGCTGAGAGAGGACGTACAAATATACTCGGATGCATCTAGGCCTGATAATGCGACTGTTCGGACAATACCGCATATTCCAGCACTGCAAGCAGAAAGTATGTTAGATATCTGTATTGCAGGGGGTTTTAAATGCGCTTCCAGTTCAGACTTACAAGATTCCAAGACTGAGGCCGACGGCGACAGTGATCTTTTCCTTCTTTTTCATGTTCAGGTCCCAGACCACGAACCATGGGAGAATGGCAAAGGAGAAGTCGGCGGCGACAAACCAGGCTAGAAAAACATTGCATGGTCAGAGACGATGGGAATATCGGGATTAGACAAGCGACACTTACATCCAACAGTATAGCCAACATTGGAAAAGTTGAGCCAGCATGTTCCTGGGATAGAAGGGTTCCAAGACTTCTCAACGGGTACACACTGGACAATAACAGTGATGCTAGCAAACAATGTGAGAACCGCCGTAATAAAAAGACAGGCCCAGATGACCCAAATATGGATCTTGTTTCGCACAATCCTGAGCAGAAATGCTCCCACGGCTGCTTTGCCAACACCAATTACCATGAGACCGGCCACCTGGCTGAAAAGCTCATATTTGACCGCTGTGAAATAGATAGTTGGATCGCCGACAGTAGCGTATAGCTGCCCGAGGCCATAGTGTGTCGCGATTGTGACGAAGATGGTATAAAGGAGGTGAAGAACCTGCTGAATGTCAGTACACAATAAGGTTGCAGGTCTCTTGGCTTGTTTCGATCTTTACCAGAGCAAAGCAGACCAGATGATCATCGAATCCAACAGAGTTCAAGATCTGCTTTCGTGTATATAGTCGTAGTGCCACAAGAAGAGAAAAGATGACCGCCTCTAACCATAGGACTGCATTGGTCATTGGCCCCAGGCCTCCGTATACACTCATAGTGAAAATGGAAAAGAAGATGATTCAATGTTCAAAAGATGTAGAGTAATGTAGTCCACGGGTCATTTGAGGATACTGAACCACGCAGAGGACCTATATTGGATACAGCTTGAGATTTAAAATAGCATGGAATGAACACTTGAGACAAACAACATGATCCAAAAATATGATCTATACATTTGAGCGACATGAAATTGCCTCCTGATAATTCCAATTCAAAAGTACATGCCTGGATACATCCTTGTTTGAGAAAAGCGAACATTTAGTGTCGCGGACGACGGGCCGGGAGCAACAATGCACTAAGCGTGCGTCCGAAGTCCTCCCACGAGTCAACTCAAGCCAAGTCCACGCCACAGCCCCACAATTGCAACGCTCCCACGACATGACAGGTGAATTTAACTTTGTTACACGTCGATTTGAACTTGACAGGATAACGGCCTCCAACAAGTTCATCCCCCCCCCTGACAACCCCCTCTTTGATCCATCAGTCTAGACATTGGAGGTGGAGTCTTTACAGGAAAGAGCGTTAAACTTGAATAGGTGAATTGATTGAAAATCAATTCGCTTGGATCCTGTTCCCGTTCCTAAAGGTGAGGAACCATCATCCTAGGAGATTACCATCATTTCCTGAATGGGACAAGGTCGAAAGAAGGTGAAACGGCGGCGAAAACTTTCTAGCACTTTTTTGTGATAGCTCAATGATAAACCAGGGGCGCTGGAATTCATAATGATGCTCGGGATGCTAGTGGCAAGTAATAATGTCGATTGAGGCATGGGGGATGTGTGAGTTTCCATATCGGGCATGCTACTAGTCTTTAGCGTTTCCCGGCTCCGGGAGAGAAGGTCCACGGAGGTAAACTAAGGGATTCTCACGTCAGTGCTTCTTGATAAACCGTGGTCAATGCATGAAGCGTTGACCATATATACCATCTCCCCGCTTCTGTTAGCCTGTGCAATAACAAAGATCAATTGTACTCCTATTTAATTCTCCCTTCGTGTTGAAAAATTTGCCAAATCCCATCATGGTAGCTTTAAACGAAGTGATCATCGCTGTTCTGGATGGAATTCAACCAGACGCGTTTGGCGGTGATGAGGTAGAACGTCTGAAAGTACGTTCCGCTGCACGTCGACTGCTTGCCAGAGTGGAAACCCCCTATGAACGTGCATGGGGTTTCTGTTTCGAGCATCCTGCAGTCTTTGCTGCCCTGCAGACATGCATCGATCTGGGACTCTGGAAGTCCTGGACTTCTATTGGAGGCGGGGAGAAATCGATCGAAGAATTGGTCGGTTTGACGAAACCCACTATCGAGACAAACCTACTTCGTGAGCTCCCATGCTCCTCCACATGACTGAGATGTATTGCTGACAAAGAAAATCCACAGGTCGATTATTCCGCCTGCTGGCAGCTTTCAACGTGGTTGAAGAGACGGGAGAAGATACATTCAAGCCGACTCCATTCTCATTTGCTATTGGTGATGAAAGTACCAAGGTGCGAGCTTCACTTGAAGCAGCGTGAGTATATGACTCGGTGATGATGACCCATGCACCAAACTATACTGACGCATCCTTATTTCCTGAATCAGCACACACCAATACATCGCATCTGGTCAGAATCTACCAGGCTACCTAGCCAAGACTTCATACAAAGAGCCGACCGATATCAACGTCAATAACTACTCAGACTCTGATCCAGACGGATTCAACTTCTTCGGTCGGTTACAGGCAAGTCCCACATACTTTGAAGCATTCACAGGGCACATGGAAGCATGGACAACATGGAAGACACCTTGGACCAACGTATATGACACAACCCAGCTACTAGAGGGTGCGAACCTAGACAATGGCTCTGCTCTCGTGGTTGATGTTGGTGGAAACACAGGCATCGACATTTCACATGTACTAGCCGCACATCCAGATCTCCCAGCTGGGTCGTTGGTTCTGCAAGACCTTCCTGAGATCATTGCCAAAGCCAAGGTGGATAGAAGAATCACAGCGATGACTCATGACTTTTTCTTACCACAGCCTGTTAAAGGTGAGAATATCTTCCCTCTTGCCTGTTAAGCGGGTAGGACCATTCATTGATATCCCAAATATAGGGGCTCGAGCCTATTTCATGCACGCGGTTCTCCATGATTGGCCCGATGAGAAGGCTAAAGAGCTACTTGGTAACACCCGCGATGCGATGGTGAAGGGTTACTCAAAACTCTTCATATATGACATTGTCCTGCCGCCCACTGGGGCGAGCATTAGTCAAACGACTATGGACGTGCAGATGATGACATTGCTCGCGGCGGCCGAGCGAACGGAGAGTGAGTGGAAGCAACTTTTGACTGATTCTGGTCTCAAGATTTGCAAATTTTGGCCTGATCCTCAACAGTATGAGATTATCATTGAAGCGGAGATTGTATAGTTTCTTTTTGCTTTTTCTCCTCTTCTTTTTTCTTCTTTTTTCTTCTTTTTTCTTCTTTTTTCTTCTTTTCTTTCTTTTCTTTAGCTATCCCTGAATGATAGCTTTTGATTGACGAGCTACCAAGAATCGAGATATACCAATCTATAACGTCCAAGATTCGAGGTTGGCTGCGGATTGTCTTCTATTGAATGGCCTTGAGATAACACGAAAGAACCCGATAGGTAGAAATGATTGATCATCCGTCAATCAACATGCATTCAGGTTTTTTTTTGGTCATTCTCGAGGTATGTGTACATGTACACACTCTCACCGGGCGACGCTCTGATTAAGACCCACCTTGCTTTACTATTGTTTTTTTGATCGGCATATTTCTGGACCCTAAAATTGGACAAACTCTTCTTGTTCAGGTGACCATGGAGGAATTATAGGGACATAATTCTTCCGGGTACGGGGCATTTATCCCGATAGCCCGAGTTTCGGCATCAGGAAAGGATCGGAGGGAACTATGGGATTCTAGGCTACTATAGACCCTCGGGAGCTTCAAGCTCTTCAAGTCAACTGACTATACTCCATATTAAGCCCATAAATAGTTACTAAGATCCTCAATTACCAAACATGAATTACCAAAATAGATCTACATGGAGTAGGAAACTAGACTCCATTATGTGTATTTCAAGATGTTTTTTATATATTCCTTGATCCTTATTTGCGGGCATTCTCGGCCCACAAGGAGAAAACCGGAGCGGTCAAGGTCACGCGGGGAAGAATGACGAAAACGCTGGATCTCGGGAAGGTGAAGTCACTCCCCCGCGGCAACTTGCTTCATGACTACTTAGACCGGTTTACTTCCTGTTGAAAAAAATCGCTCCACTTACTGCTTTCATTCTGCCTTGCTTGGTTTAATTGCCACCAATTATCAGCTTGACGTCGTTTTAAATTGAACTCTCCCTCGTTCAATTAACCTCTACTTTAAAACCTATTATTACCTCTACTTCTACTTCTACTTCCCCGCCCCCGCCACTACCCCTCGACTCCCTCAACAAAACCACCTCTACTTCCTCAATTACCTTCCTCAATTACCTTCCTCAATTACCTTCCTCTCCAAAAAAAAAATTATAATCAAAATGGCGAACAACAGCAGTGCACCTCCCCCTGTTGGAAACGAGAACATTAACCTCGACATTGTCACACTCTCCCGGTTCTTGACCGAGGAACAGACCAAACACCCCGAAGCCTCGGGTGACTTCACCCTGCTGTGCCACGCACTCCAATTCTCCTTCAAGTCCATTGCCTACTACATCCGTCGTGCCTCTTTGATCAACCTCACCGGTCTTGCCGGTTCCTCCAACGTTACCGGTGATGACCAGAAGAAGCTGGACGTCATCGGCAATGACATCTTCATCTCCGCCATGCGCGGCTCCGGAAAGTGCCGCATCCTAGTCTCAGAAGAAGAAGAGAACCTCATCACTTTCGACGAGTACCCCGAGGCCCGCTACGCCGTCGTCTGCGACCCCATTGACGGCTCATCCAACCTCGACGCTGGTGTCTCGGTCGGTACCATCTTCGGTATCTTCCAGCTGCCCGATGAGCTCCTGGGCGCCAATAAGACTGTCGGCCCCGAGGCCCTCCTCCACCCTGGAACTAGCCTCGTTGCCTCCGGTTTCACCATGTACGGTGCCTCCGCACAGCTGGTTATCACCATGCGCGGTGGTGGCGTTAACGGCTTCACTCTCGAGAACTCGCTGGGCGAGTTCATCCTTACTCACCCCAACATGCGTCTCCCCGCTGCCCGCTCCATCTACTCTGTCAACGAGGGTAACTCCATGTACTGGGATGAGTGGTGCAACAAGTACTTTCACTCCCTCAAGTACCCCGAAAACGGTGGCAAGCCTTACAGCGCTCGTTACATTGGTTCCATGGTGGCGGATGCTTACCGTACTTTGCTGTACGGTGGTATCTTCGCCTACCCTGCGGACTCTAAGAGCCCCAAGGGTAAGCTGCGTATCCTGTACGAGTGTGCTCCCATGGCCATGGTTTTCGAGAATGCCGGTGGTCTGGCTGTGAACTCGCGTATGGAGCGCTTGATGGACGTTGTTCCTGAGCACATCCATGACAAGAGTGGTGTCTTCCTTGGATCCAAGGATGAGGTGCAGAAGGTCATTGATATGTACAACAAGTACAAGAACTAAGTGGATTCCCCACACCACTATTGTTTCTGGTTCTGATTCTTGGACATGATTCTTTTTCATCTTGGCTCAACCACATTTTGTGTCATGACATCTATATTTTAAACCCCCATGCCTTTTTCTTCTTCCGGTTGAGCCGGGAGTTATGTCCTGGTCTCTACTTACGAGTCGATGATACTGTTGGAGTCTCATCGCCATCAATGATTTTCAAGATGCGACATTTAGAGCAGCTTAAATATTTGAAAAGATAATACAAAAAAAATCTTCAAAATAATTGAATCCACGCGTACTGTATATCATAATGGTCTAACCTTGGAAGGTTGTTCCCTCGGGCCATACTTCATGTGAGTGCTTCAAATGTTCAACGGAGATATTACGAGGGTTCGAACGTCTCAACATCAATTGATTCCATCTGGATCGTTAGAGTGGTTTCATGGTTCAAATGTTGATTTTGAAAGTTTACCTAACATTGAGGTTACCTAAACTCGAAAGGAAGCGTCTGCACTCCCAAGGTCCACGGATTCCGAGTTCCAGGGCTGAACATTTGAACTTTGGAGAACTGCCACGCTTGACGTCCACGATTAAATTAATTTTATTTGAACAACGGGTGACTTTGGGACATCCAGATGTCTGGAAGCTAATCCTCCTGGGTATACAAATTTATTATAGAAAAATACACTATCGACTTTGAAAGCATACATACATGTTCGCACGGCACCACTGATTACCATTAAAGGGCATATACATTATCAATCAAACAATCAGGGCCCAATTATGTGTGCATCCAGCAAGTTCCACGATCACAGCAAAGCCGCAATTGCAGCAGCAGCAACAACAGGAGCAGCGGTAATCATAGCCGCAGCAGGGCCAACCGCACCTCCAGTCTCAGTAGCCGCGGGTTGGGTAATCGAGCTCAGGCCCGCAGTAACAGTCAATTGGTAGTAATACCCATCAATAGGCACGGGCGAATAAGTGCCCTTGCTCGTAGTCGAAGAGGAATACTTCGCTCCGTTCATCGACCCAGTCATACCAACGCTCATGGTGCAGCTAGCAGACACAGTCGAAGATTCCAGCGAGCACTCATACGACTGCGTAACGGTCACATCGTAGCTTTCAGATGCGCCCGACGTAGTCGCAATGTACTTGCCCGTGAGGCTGACTGTCTCGGGACCCTGGATAATAGTCCACGAAGAGGGATAGTCGCAGTCAGTCTTCGCGGCGCCCTTCTCGCAGCCGACGTGGTATGTTGCGGCTTTGGTGTTGATGCCGGCCAGACTGGCTGCGGTGCTTGTCCAGCCGCCGTACTTGAGGAGCGTCGCGTCCCAGCTTGGGGAGAAGTAGCCGATTATGGTGCTTGAGTCGGCGGCTTGGGTGCCGAGGACGGCGAGGGCTGAGGCGAGGAGGGAAGAGGTACGCATTTTGGTGGGAGGAGGTGGTTTTCGTGTAGGCTTCTCTTTTCTGCTTTCTGCTTTCTGCTTTCTTTTTCGTTCGGAAGATGATGGATGGGTGAATAGGGAGAGCGAAGAAACGGTAGCTTCGGGACCTGAAAGAGTGGACGAGGCTCCGCTTTGACCGTAGAATGCATTCGGGGCCAGAGGTCACCCTGAATGGCTTCCTTTCGTCTATAGCGGGGGGCCCTATATAGTAGCTAGACCCTTAGTTGCCTAGTCAGGTAACATCGACCGAAAAAAACATGCTTGTCTTTTGGACTCTTTTGTATGTATCCACTCAAGTTTGGACCTGAGTCATTTTAAACTGGCCGTTCATTGGATCGTGGGACGCCGTGGCTTGGGCCAGGGATTGCTAGCATTCGGCTAGATGGCTAGCGTACAGTGTCTGGCCACGAAACTTACAAATCTCCGAAGTCCCTTCACGCTATTAGCTGCAATATCAGTCCGTATTGCAATGACGATCTGCTATCTGTAATTTGGATTATATAGGGACTAAGTCGTTTTCAATCGTATTAGATACTCAAATACAGTATTTATGCAAGATCGCCTTCTTGGCGCTACATCGGACATTTGTAAGTTTCGTGGCCAGACACTGTACGGAGAGGGTGCATGGGTGAAAATTCAGGGTAAGCGAAGGGTTTTATTTGGCCCAAACAGTTATTTTTGGACATGAAATACTGCGAGATTTCAGCAATAGAGACGTTAAAAGGACTCGTCGTGAGACTTATTCATCATGACATTCACAGGCGCTTGGGCAATTTGGCGAGGATCTCGCATTGAGGATTTCCAGAAAACCCTCACTGGTACGCCCCCGTAAATTATGTCCGATTGTCCCTTTGCGTTGGTGGGGCTCGGTCCCCACAGTCCGAAGATTGGAAAACCAATAGTGGTTGATGCTGTGCGGCTCTGGCGTTCGGTTCGGGAAGTTCGTGGTCTCCAGGACCCGTTTTGATCTTGCGTATTTGGATAAATTGCATGTGGAAAGGAACATGGAAATACATCCAGTCAAATATCAAGTCCGACCAGGTGGATTTTCATCAATGGACATGATTTCATGTACGTGAGAACATTGAATTCGAACCAGAGAAGTTACCTTCACGTAAGGTGAGGCTGACGGTACCTTCATATTTCAAGACTTCCAAGATTACAATGACAGCCCTGGGAGGCAGAAGAAGTTCAATTGGGAACTGTATATTCTAATTTCTTTACAATGGATAGGACAAACCCCGAAGAGCAATAAATCCTACAGATGCTGTAGCAATACAAAAAATGTTGGAAAAGAAGGTTACTCGGAAATAAATACTCCGATATCCAGCCTAGTCGACAGGGTCATCTTCCAGTAAAGTCTTGAAGCTGAACGGCAAGAAAGGGATACCCTCGCCCATGAAATGCTTGCTCATCGCCTCGACCCAATGCAAACGAAGGGAGTGCAACACTGTATGTCTTGTTAGTATTCTGGTGTCGTTTTTGACCTGATGTTTGGGTTGACTTACTTGCGGACACACCCTCCATACCCACGAGTACACTACATGATAGGACGAACCATAGCCAGAAGCAGACCACGATCATGAAGACCCGGATGAAACCACCTTCCTGTTCGAGGGCAGAGCCGAGGGTCATGGTCCATAGGACGATAGAAAGCTGTTGGTGGGCAAGGGAGAGAGCCCAGAGACGCAGGTATGAGGCAGTATGAGAGATACAGTTGAGGCAGAACTCGATAGTGTGGATAACTTGGTGGATCATGACATCACCAAACTCAAACTCCCCGTGCTCATCACTTTCGTGGATGTCTTGGGCAATCATGGCAACGCCTTCGCCATCACTGGCTAGACTGTCTCGAGCCGCACTATAGCCGCCGTCCATATCACCGTCGTCTTCAAGGGCACTGACACGAGATTGCTCGCCAAGACCCCGATATCCCAAGGCACGAGCACGGTTATGTTCATGACGAAGCCAGAAAGGCTTGAGGAAAAGCATGATGGGCACTTGGATCACGGCGATAAGAAGCAGGAGTTGCTGAACCGTTCCCTGGCCACGGTAGAGTGGCTGTTCAACGTAGCCTGGTTTCAGGAACATGAAGATGAGCATGTTGAGCAAACTCGGGGGAGATGCGTCACTCTCTTGCCAGTTCACCGACCACTTGTAGAGGACGGTGACGACAAGGTAACCAAAGATGGATTGGAAGAAAAGCATGCCGGGAACAAAGTTACCCCAGATATCCACCTTGGATTTGAAATGGCGCGCGTTGACAAGCTGGAAGCAAAGAGCAAAAGTCATATGACTCCAGCCAAGCAAAACACTCATCTTCATCTTCATACTGTTGGAGAAAAGTAAAGAGTTTTCGGCTTCGTGCCAATTCCAGTCCAGACCGATGGGGAACCGATAATCACCCTTGAGGGTAGCCTCGACAGACTGTCCAGCCTTGATATCCTCTGGCCACTCCCATGAACTGCTGAAGAAAGTCATGGACTTGGAAAAAATGTCGTTGTAAAGCACACCAGTATACATGGCAAAAATACCCATCAGCAACATGATGTATCGTCCGTAAAACGCCATGTACGAGATTTCATCAAGCTTGGTACGAAGCAGTTTCTTCTCAAAGAAAATAAGAGCCGAGGCAGCCGAGGCCATAATGAAACCGTGGCCGAGATCACCGAACATGACAGCAAAGAGGAAAGGGAAGGTCACGACCGTGTAGATACCAGGGTTGACTTCCGAATATTTCGGAATACCATAAGCATTGACGATTGTTTGGAAGGCTTCGGTAAACTTGTTTGTCCGAACATAGGTAGGCGGGGTCTTGTTGGTGCGGATCTGGTTGACGATGGTAGGGACAGACAAACCAGCACGATCGTTGACATCTTGCAATGTCGACTTGATCTGACCGAGAGAATTGGTGGGGCACCAAGCTTCCGCAATCAGCGTCTTGCGCGCCTGATCATAGGAAAATTTATTCAGAGTGTCATAGACCGCCTTCTCCTTCTTGACGATGATCATCCAAGCCACAAGCGACCGTGCGATTTGTGAGAGCTCGGCATCCAAGGTCTTTTTTGTATTTTGAAGGACACTTCCAACATCTCCCAGTCGGGTGTTGACTTCGTGGATTTGATCCCTTCTTAGCTCGCTATTCTCATCAACGCCGTACAAGGAAGCACCCAATGACTCTGCGATTTTGCGAATCTTGGCTAGGATGCTTGAACCGTGAGCGAAAATCACGTAAACGTTTTTGTAAATCGCTTCGTTCGTAGTGGGATCAATAATGGGTTCCGGAATTTCGGACTGGTTCATGTAAAGGTTGCCACGCAAGGTACGCCAGAGAATTCTCTCGAAAGCACCGATCCGATCACGGGGAATTACACCAGCCACGAAGCCGATATTCATCTCAGAAAAGCTCTGCTGGCCTTGAGTGTCACCGTTGGCACCACGAGGAGCATGCTGCTCAACATCGCGGAGCAAAGGCGCCTCGTCGTTGTCAAAGGATTGACGGATGTCTTCGGTTTGGGTATGGGCCTAATTTTCGAGATGTGAGTCTTGTCATATCTCCAGAATCACGCACATTCATACTCACCCGATCGAAGAATCCACCGGCCTCTCTCAAAACCCAGCGCCATTCCGAAAGCTCGACTTCGCGCTTCTTCAGGGTCTCATAGCTATCATTCAGGGAGGCGATGCGTTGTTCGAGGCTTTCGCTGCGTTCAGCCAGCTCATCTATTTCCGAGGCGAGGGGAGCAGCCAGAGTATCGGAGAAGTCCGTAGAGGGCCGCATGGGAATCGACGCCTTCTCTATCTGGGTACGAAAATAACCTGTTGAGAAGACCCAACAAATTAGCCAATTGACATCATCGATAGAGCTCGTTTGATCGGCAACACATACGGAGTTGTCTCTCAACATTGTCAAGGCGGCGGATCTCTTTAGTAAACGTGCGTTGAAAGGCATTGGTATCGGGGTTCAACTGAGGACAAGCCATGGGGAGTCAGATGTTGCTCACAGCGGCCAAGAGCGACCAGGCTGTCATATCCAGGGACCAAAATCGACTTACATCTCTGAACTGCACTTGACCAAGCTCGCCCAAAGCACTCACAACCTCTCTTCCGATTTCGTTGGCAATGTAGAGCTGGGTTAAACTCATGTCCGACGAGCGGAAGAAGGTATCCTGTGGAGCCATGGTGGTGAACAGGCTATTAAGAGCCAGGTCTGTCCACCAGGGAAGATGCAGTCAAATGGTAACAATGAGAATTAGGCCTCAACCTATTGAGAAGAGCTGTGGTGATGAACAACACAGATGATAGGACAGTAATCGGGAGTTGGTAGCTCCTGGCTCTGAGCTGGCCGCAATACACGTGTGATCACGTGATGTTCTCCACCGTTGTCCACCAATTCTTGAAATCGAGATTCGAATTTAGTACGGACATTAGTAAATCACTAGTATCTCCATCAATCAACCGGTCACTATCCAGACACTTGAGGATTTTTGGGGGGAAAAATAAGGGCTTTTCATTTAGATATATTTGTTTCTCAAGGTCATGCTGAAGATGTACTCATAGCAAGTAGTTTGTACTGAGTATTGCTTTCTGTAAGGCTGACCCATGCCCATCAATGACCATTACTAGTACTCATACTATCTCTCAATATACGCGGAGTACTCAAGAGCTGGTGGGTAACAGAGTGCGATGTGAAATCAAAGTACTAGTAGTAGATGACCACATGTGCAGGTTCAAATTCAGTTTCCAAATTATGTGTCTCATATCAATCTAGCTGCAATGACAAGCCAACTTCAGCTCTGATTAATTGATTCTCTCAGACCCGTAGACAGCAGGATGGTCTAATCCCACTCAACAAACACAGTATTATCATGGTCTTCTTCTTCTGTTTCAATTTTGAATTCTCCCTTGATATACTTCTATCCAGATGTCTTTGACCTCGTCCTTGATCCTTACCTCGTCCTTGACCTCGTCCTTGATCTTGATCTCATCCTTGACCTTGATCTCATCCTTGACCTCATCTTGGACCTCGTCCTTGATCCTGACCTCGTCTTTGACCTCGTCCTTGGTCCTGACCTTGTCCTTAATCTTGGCCTCATAATTGATCTCTTTTTTGATATCAATATCTGTATTGTATTCTGGTGCTAGGCTCTGCATATTCTTATCGTCCGTGACAGGGGTATTCTCTTTGGTCCCACGGTCCATGACATTGGCACCACCTTGGATGGTCGTGGAGATTTTGCCATTGTCTTTCTCCGGGGGTTCAAGGACACCCGTTTCTTTGTCTAGGCCAGGAATTTCTTCAAGGCACTTCATTATCTCATCAAGGAATTTTCTGGCGACTTCTACATCGCCAGACTTGTATCTCCCTCTCTTGGTCTTGCTTCTCTCAAGACAAGTCTTGAAGTTCAAATAGAGAGAGTGAATGCTAATTAACCTATCTCTGGTGACTGCTGAGCTTGTAGTTAATTGACCTGTTTGGCTTTATCTTTCTGTTCAACTTACTAGCAGAGTCGCAGGATACTACCTCAAGGCCAGGCGACTGAGTCCAGATTTTATTTTCACACATACCCTCTCTTACCCCCTGCATGGCAACACAGCTTTTGAACGTTTTTTGGTTGTTGGTTGGACACCTCAAGCAAGCCAGTTCGTTTTCAAGTAAGCACCCTACCAACTGCAGAATAACCGGTTCAATGTAGTATCTTCTGCAAGTAAAAAGCCGCGCTGACAAAGGGCTCTTGGATTTCATTCTTTGTTGATTCGGAAATCGAAGCCTGTGGGCATTTTCAAATGCTGACCAAAGTAGTGGGATTTTGAAAGGAATTCTAGTGAACTTGAGGGGACGCAATGCTTCAACAATCGCTTTCAATCCTGAGTCCTCTGAGGGTGATAGTTGGGCCGAGACGGGCCAAGTCCCAAGCACCTGGTCCTGGTCCTGCTGTTTTTGATCAGGGCTGGAAGGCTCAGCCTCTTCATCTACCAGAAGTAAGTTCTTTTTGGTATCTTGCGAGATCGGAGAAGGGTCGATTTCCCAATGAATCTGACGAGCGGCAGACTTGGGCTTTGCGACAGACCTGGGCTTTGCGACAGATTTGGGCTTTGCGACAGATTTGTGCTTTGCGACAGACTTGGTCTTTGTGACAGACTTGGTCTTTGTGACAGACTTGGTCTTTGTGACAGACTTGTGCTTTGTGACAGACTTGTGCTTTGTGACAGACTTGTGCTTTGTGACAGACTTGTGCTTTGTAACAGATTTGGGCTTTGAGACAGGTTTTGCCTTTGTGGAAGATTTGGGATTTGATGGGGGTTTGGCTACCATGTTGAACTTGTGCGAATTCTCTGATAGAAAAGGGAATGGTGATTGATGAAAAAGGATCGAATTCGATATGTACATGTGCTTGTGGTTATTTTATAGCTTTCTCTGGGTAGTAGCTGACTAACTATGCATGTGTAAACATACATATGGAAAAGCACAATGATTGCACTATTGAAACCCTGACTTCGCTGGCATACATCCATAGCATTTGAAACTTTGAGCCCTGGAAGAATCCAAAATTTCTGTTCTCGTGCAAGCAACCTAGGGCCCAGGCCTCCAGGTGTTAAAGCTGGTCCATTGATGTCCACGGACTTCTTATGCTTTAATCAAGTAGAATACTCTTTTAAAGTATTCAAATGGGAGATAACTTTGCCATGATGCCTCTTAATCTCATATACTGGCTTACTGCCCAGATAGTGTTTAAATATATAGTAAATCCTAAGATCAGGTGTTATTCTTCTTGTTAGTAAGTCAAATAGTATTAAGTAAGAGGTACCAAGTACATATAATACATCCAGTATGGTCGAAAAGCCCCCCTATCTAATCTGGACTACCGACTAGGTACCTGCTGGCACCAAGAGTACATGTAAGAAGTTACTATACATTGAAAATTGGCATTATTCCAGCTATTCTGAATCAAAATCTAAATATGCCCTCCACATTTAGCTTATCCCGTGCGGGTGATGTTGGAATGGTTATTTATGGAGGATACAGTAGGATGTCCTTGATGGGCTCTGAGGTTGTGTCACTACTAGTAGTATGTAGATTGATTGGGAAAGCCTTTAGGGCAAGCGGCAGGAAACCCTCGAGATACCCCGCACCACCTTGAAATTGCTCAGGCTTGTAATTTTCTCCAAGTTTACTCCGACACCTGGCATTGAATTGCACCTCAAATTTTGTCACGCTATCATTTCCAAGTTCATCAATGGCTTTACAGATTTATTGACTCATAAACGGTTGAATTCTGTGAGGAACAAGATGATCATTTTAGATCGTTATCTTCCAGAAATCTGGTCAACTTGCAGGGAATAGATCAGCAAACGCCTATAACTCCAGTATGAGTTCCCCCTTTCTGGGTTATTCAAATTGCTCTTCACCTCGCTTTCCTTCACTATTAAACACTGCACAATGCACTGGGCATTTGTCACGTGACTTCGAACATGTTCACAGTTGTTCCATATTTCTATAAGGGCGGTGACTTTCTGCCAAAATACTTTGTATATTACCCACATATCACCTCATCACTTTGTCCTTCGGGACATTTGGTCAAATGAAAATATACAGAGAAGATTAGCATGGCCCCTGCACTAAGGATGACACGCTCAATCAAAGAGAAGCTACCAGTTTTTTTTTTCCTTGCTGGAGCTTCGTTGAGGTGTGAGGCTATTCAGAAGATTTACCTTTCCGGGTTCGACTCCGGGTGTGAACGTTCTAAACTTTCCTTTTTAGTCTGACTGCCCATGTGGGCAACCTTCAATGTTGGAACCTTGGTTTATTCTAGACCAAGTTGACAACATTGATGGAATATGTAAGCCTCCGATGTCCAAGGCTAGCCCAAATAGATGTTCAAATTGAATGAACCTTGGAAATTTATCTCGAGATTTAAAACGGTGCATACATAATTGCACCTGGCTCTCAAGTGCTAGAGGTAAAATTAAAATATATAGATCCACCCCCAGGGCTGGGCATGGATGTATCAAGTGTACATTGAACATTTGTGTTGTTTGTGTACATACATATAATGTAGTATGTAGATCGATTTGAATTGGCTTGGGGGCTAAGGTGGACTGGAGACAAGCATCAATCCAGACTCCTTGGAAAGCCTGAATCTTCGAGAAACCGAGGTCATTCCACATGTGTAGTATATACATATCCATCGAGTCCCGACTGGACCCCCGAAGTCCAAAAATTCAATAGGCATTCATGTAGCCCGTGGGGACCTTTGCGAAAACAACGCTACAGTGTCGCCCATCAGACATTTCTCCTCATAAATTTCAAACCCGTTTTTCAAAAGCACCTTCACACTCCCCACATTCGCCTTACTACACGCCGCGAACAGCTTCTCCTTCTCCAGCTGAGCACCGCCAAGAACCCGTACACATGCATCTTTCCGCTCAAGGTCCCACCACGCATCCACAACTCCCGCTACAGCTTCGCTCACGAACCCCTTGCCCCAGAAATCAGGATGAATACTATATCCGATGGACGGTACCGGTACGAGCGAATTTATTCCTACCGCCCCGATGACCTTTCGTGAGGCATCGTCCAGCTGCGTTATCGCAAAAGTAAACCGTCGTCCCAGAGCGCCTGATGCATCTGGAGTCTGGAAGCTTTTGCCAATGATCAAGGCTTCTGTCTCTTGAACGGTTTTGTGAGGGATTCTTGACAAACTAATGAGGTTAGAGTTATGTATGTATCAGCCCCGTGACCATGTTGGAAATATGCATGTGCATCTTGTTTCGACTCACAGAAAGTCGGCCACGTCTTGTCGACTTCGGATCTCAAAGATATCAGCCGCATCGGACGGTTCGAGCGGTCTTAGATAGAGACGCTGGGTCTTTATCGTTGGGCCTTTGGCAGGTATGATTACTCTAGTTTCCTGCTCAGGATATAGGCTGCCTATGGTGAGTGGTGGGGATGCACTCATGATAGCTATACGTTTGTGGTGTTGGATGAGAATTATTCCAAGGATCGGTAGGGAGCATGGATGAATTCACTCAGCAAGCCCCTCCGACAGTAATTTGACTAACTCCGAATCTCACCCGTAGTGCTATACCGGATAGATATTGAGCTACGGTCTGGAAAGACTGATTGGACGCGCGTTTCTATCTTGAATCGTGCACGAACCTCCGACACGAGAAAAGGAAATTGCCATGGAAGCTGACAGGAGAGTATCATATCACAAGTAGTATCGTCATGTCCAGAAATAATATACAGTCGAACTGTTTCGGAAGTAGTAATAATCAAAGTTCCCAGAGATCATTCCAGCACCTAGTCTGACGCCATCTCAGAAGTAGATCAGATCATGCGCCTCCGTCCCTCTTCGCATATTCTTCCTCCATGCGCTCTTCATATAACCGGTCCGCTTCCTCCCTACTCAGAGCTCGATCGCCCTCGGAATCACCCGTGGCCGAGGATCCAGAAACATCGAGCTGGTCATTGTTGCCGTTGGTTTCGGAGGACGAGGTGTTGGAGGCCTGGTTTTGGGCGATGCGTTCCTGCTCTTTATCGTAGGATTCTGCGGTCGGGATAGGCATTTTTGCGGTGGCTGAAGAGCTATTTGGCTGTAGATGATTGCCAGAGTAGTGTAGAGAGAGGTATGGCAAGTTCCAGTAAGAGTGGTAAATTTGAAAGGGTTGGAGCTTGCGTTGGAGATTTGGAGGTGGGAGCTTGTGGGTCGCAAAAGTGGAGTGGCGAGAGCTTTGTTGGGGCGACGTCATGCTACATAGTACTCTCTCTCTTCATGGTACCCGTCCTTCTAAGTATTTTGCCGTAAACATTTTAGGGGTTGAATAAATGTTCTATTCATTTGTCTCATTGATACTCGTCAAAATTTGTCCGGATGCTCGTTGCAAAAGTGAAAATAACAGAAAAAAAAAGGGAAAGGAAGGGGATAAAAAGGGAGGGAAAAGATCATTAGCACACATTCACGCTCATAGAGATGCAGTAACAACCAGCTCATTCATCATAATAGAGAGAAATATAAATCAAAGATGCTTCTATAGCCGGTGTCTCAGCGGCTTCTGTAGAGCCGAGTCAATGGTTGGCTTGTCATCAAGCAGACGTCTCGAATCCGGATCATACAATGGATCGGATGCGACCGTGGCTTGAATCCGACGACCAAAGTACTCGATCTCAACAACTTGTCCTTCAGACACATTGCTTGGTAACCAAGCATAAGCAATGGGTTTCCGAACCGTATACCCAAAGGCGGCCGTTGTGACATATCCAACGGCCTTGCCATCAAGGAATACAGGCTCCTTGCCCAGGACCATCGAGCGTCCATCATCGACAGTGAGACAACGCAACCGGCGAGTAGGTTTCTCCTTGACAAGGCGCTCAAGGGCAGCCTTACCAACGTAGTCTTCCCATTTGCTTGCTCGAATAGCGCTGGCAACACCTGCTTCATAAGGATTATGCTCAGAGTTCATATCTACGCCGTAGGTACGGTAACCCTTCTCCAGGCGTAGTGCGTTGAAGGCACCCCGACCGGCGGCAATGAGACCGTGTGTCTTGCCCGCATTCCAAATAGTATCCCAGAGCCGTTGGCCATACTCAGCGCTAGTTTGAATTTCCCAACCCAACTCGCCGACGTAGGACTTGCGTAGTGCCGTGACCGGGATACCGTTGATAGTGGCGTTCTGCACGGTGAAATAAGGGAAAGACTTGTTGGAGAAGTCGTTCGTGCTTATAGTGCTGATCACATCCCGGGATCGAGGACCCCAAAGACCGATGCAACAGGTGCTGCCGGTGATGTCGCGCACCTGGACCCACTGTCCTTGCCGGCGAGCTTCGCGTGAGAGGTAGGCGAGATCTGTGGCAGTGTTGGCGCCTACCTGAAACAGGTCTTCGTCCAGTCTTGCAACAAAGATATCACTGAGAATGCCGCCATGGTCATTGAGAAGAAGAGCATGGCTAATGGCACCTGTCTTGGTGGCCACGTCGGCGGTGGTCAGGCGCTGGAGCAGATGTACTGCGCCTGGGCCTGACACTTCAAATCGGTGAAAGGAAGTCATGTCGTACATAGCAACTGCATTGCGGGTCTTCCAAGCTTCTGCTGCAATGATTGGGGAGTAAAATTGCGATGACCAGGCGTCTCTCTCCACGGGCTGCCACTCTGCTGGAAGACATTTGAGCAAGTAAGCATTCGATTCGTACCAGAATGGACGTTCCCAGCCTCCGAGCTCAAGGAAGAAGGCGGATAAGTCCCTCTGCCGAGAGTAGAAAGGACTGACGCGAAGGTTTCGGGGTGACTCTTTGGGTTGTGATGGGTGGAGGATGTCGTAAATTTCGACAAAGTTTTGTGCAGAGGTTTCATTGATATAGGCGCGACTGAGCTGTACTTCCTCAAACCGGGATAGCTCGCAGTCAGTGAGGTCGATTTGAGACTGGCCCGTCGTGAGAACCTCAGCGACAGCCCGTGCAACACCAGCTGAGTGAGTGACCCACACAGCTTCGGCAACCCAGAAGCCATCCAGGTTTGGTGCCTGTCCAATGACAGGCCCGCCGTCGGGGGTAAAGGAAAAGACACCGTTAAAACCATCTTCAATCTGAGTGCCTCGGAGAGCAGGAAGAAGCTTCTGTGACTCCTTCCAAGCGGGGTCGAAGTCCTCCTTCGTAAAGTCGAGACGAGATGGCATGTTCTTTTCGTCGACATGCTTAGGCGTCAAGCCTAATGATCCTGCAACAACAGGCATCGGACGATGGCCGTAGTATCCAATTCCATACTGCTCACCATGCTCTCTGTAATATAGATCTTGATCCTGGTGCCGCAAGATGGGCAGTGTTGCATTCATTCCGTTCATCCGCGTGTTGACATCACGGCCAGCCAGTGCCGGTACTGCAGTGGTCTTCGCATACTGGTGGGCCAATGGCAGTAAAGGAATGGACACACCAACCATCGCACCAATCTCCACACCCCAGAATCCAGCGCATGAGATGATTATATCGGCAGAAATTGAACCTTTAGGGGTTGTCACACCCGTCACACGACGACCTGATCGCTCGATACCAATGACAGGAGTTTCACCAAGGTAGCGGACACCAGCGTTCCTAGTGCGTTCGATGAGCAGCTGCGTTGCGCGGGCGGCAAGGGCAAGACCGTCACTGGGAATGTGGAGGCCACCTAGGACGACGTCTCGATCGAGGTGAGGATACAATTGGAAACACTCCTCGGCATCTATGAGGCGAGCCTCAATGCCCCATGAAGAGGCATAACCATGCTTGCGCTTGAGATCCTCCAGTCGAGCCGGTGTTGTAGCGACTTCCAGGCCACCAACCTGATTGAAACAACTCTGTCCATCCTTCTCAATCGACAATAACTTTTGAACAGTATAGCGTGCTAGATTGGTCATGGTCTTGGATGGTGTAGTCTGGAAGACCAGGCCTGGAGCATGGGAGGTCGAACCGCCGGGCATGCGGAGGGGGCCCTGTTCAACAACGGTGACATTATTCCATCCTCTCGAGACCAGCTCGTCGGCGATATTGGTGCCCACAATTCCGGCGCCAATAATGACCACGCGCTGCGAGGTAGCCATGGTAAAGTTTCTGGCAGATTAGTGATGTGTGCTGTTCAGGAACAGCTTGCGAGGACTTGTTCTTTAAGTAAGTGTTCGGCAATAGCAGACTCCAGCTTGCCCCTCCTGCGGAGAGTTTCTACTGCTTCCCCTCCCCCGCAGGTATGCCATGATGATTGTATGCAACGGGATTGGCGAAAAGCAATCAACGCCCCGCATTAACCGGTGGATTGTACGCTGGGTGGTGATACCAGCATCGGATAGACGGTCCAGATCTTAGAGCCACCGAGCCGTACACGGGACCGTTGGATAAGATTACCATTTTTGGTGACATTGTTGCATGGTGATTGGCTTACCAGACATTGAAGCTGGAATTCGGTTCGGTTGAGAACCGCTCACGTGCCCGGGAGAGGCATGACAATACCGGGGGTGGAGAACTCGAATCGTGGCACAGTGATGTTGACCGGAGCTATTAAGGCTGCTGGGAAGTAAGCTGGAGCTACCAAGGGATGTTTTTTTGCAGGCGCGCGGTGAAAAAAAAGTGAGAGCTAACACAAATTGATACCCGAGTCATGATCAACAAAGCTCACGCGTCTACCAAGCTACACCTAAGGTGGAGCCAGCTAAAGATCCAAGGCGGCTGAATGCAGGCTAACAAAAAACAGTTACGGCAGGAAATGAGGACTTCTTTCTATTTATGATGACTTGAATTGTTTACTACAGTGACTGCTTCGTACGGGTATCCCTTCTCCAAACTCGAGTCGCTGACCCAAGACTTGATGAAAAGAAAGAACCACGTAGTGGAGAGTGCCAAAAAATCCGCCTGTCAATGACCCGAAAGCCGTTGAACAAACCAGTCCGCCGCGCTGTGCAATGCAGGGACCAATCTGTGGTGGACCACATTCATGATCGCGGCCACCCAAACAAGGTAAGTATGAAGAAGAAAAGAAAAAGGAGATGAAAGGAGGAGAGAGAAGCAATGTTTTATAGCCACGAGAGGACACGTGACCAAACAGCCAAACATGTTTGCTTGTGTTTGCTTACCCCCTTGGAATGGTGCCTCAGGTGTAATCAGGTCTACAAGAACGAGGCAAAATGAGCTGTCATGTTGCCTTGCATCCGCAAAGTACGAATTCGAGCATGGCATGAAGGAGCGAAGCCACATTGCCTTCCAGGATCCAATTATTGGTTCTCCTTGTCCAGAACATGACTCAACTTGGAACGCCATGATCGGTATCCATCGTACTCGCAGAAAAAAAAATAGTGGGTGTCTCCAGTGCAAGCTCCCTGTGGAACCTCCCCTATTCCCATGGATTCACAGCAACTCTGTACGGTGGTCCCTCGTTCACAATGGGCCCATGTCGTTCCAAACAATTTGATTTTTAATTTCTTTGGCCCTCTGTATATTCTACACCTCTTCCCAAAGTCGGTTCAAGTCCGTCGGCATCCCTACTGGACCAGTCTAGTTCTCCGAGATGGAACAGAAACACGAGCGAGTCCACCGCAATGTCAATCAAAGGGGAGCGCGCATCCTCATCAAAGGGTGCCATGGTTAGGGACGCCTAGAGGACCGGTCTAGTAGGCGCTACGGGGTAGAATCGACGGAAATCATCCGTGCAGAGCTTACTTTGTACTAGATGAGCGAAGAGAGTTTTAACCAACTTCGACTTCGGGTACACCGCATCTACGGTGCGAGAATGAATGTGCTTGGCACGGCCCGGATAATGCCTGGGATCTTCAAACAATTGATATCCCGACGCTACTCGAGACTATGCCTGCGGGCACTTCCGACAGTTTGTACTCTGTACGGAGGACAAAGTACAGAGTACCCCTGCACCAACGGAAAGCCTCCTTCGCACCGCATGGCACTCGCATGCGAAAACCTGTCATCCAGGAATATCTCGATCGGCATATTAACTAGAAGGCACTGACCGTTTACAAAGCGAGATGGTCAGGCCTGGAACTAACTGAGTCAGTGGATAGGGGCAAGTGAAAAAATCGAAGTAAAAAAATCATGGCAGGATTGGCAGATGGTGAGTTTCTTGGGCCTAACGGGTGGAAAAAGGGGTAACATGACGGTGTAATTGGTTGTTGGGCTGGAGTGGATCACCCGTGTGGGCTATCATTACTGGAAATGTTCCGATAGTCACTTTTTCCTTATTTGCCGACCTGAGAAGTTTCAAAATTTTGGGATGATTTTAGAAGTGACAAAGAAGCTTGCAGAATTCAATAGACGAACAACATGAAACATGCCGGTCAAGTACCTGGCGTTGAGACGTGTCTGGGTATAGATTGTAGGAAGTACATAGAACCAGCCACCGACGGTGAGTCAAGACACGGGACCACCTTAAGTGGGGCCTCTAACCGTATCATTGAAAGCGTTAATCCACCGACGGATCGTCTAGAAAGTAGTAGCCGCGCTAGTGAGCAAGAGAGAAAAAAAAAACCAAATGAAAAAGAAATCTCTGTCGCAAAAGAAAGAGAACAGGAAAGAAAGGGGCTTAATTAGGGGACATTTGACCCATAGGTAGCGAATAGCGAATAGCAGTGGATCTTAGGTTGAAACAATAATTTGAGAATTTGAGAATTTGATTCTTGTTGTTTGTGATACGCGTGTTATCACGTAACAGTAACGCGGAGTATAAGGCGATGGCGCCAGCGATCATACTGACTTCAGTTCATCATGGGATCCCGGTAGGATCGTGGTCACAACGGCTTGTCTTGAACGATGATACGCCAGCGATAGGGCACGACAGAGGAGATATGACGCTCGAAAGTCAAAGCAGAGATGGTACGACACCGCTGGTTGGCCACGAGGGTTGGCACGCCACTCGATGATAAAGTTGATGATCCGGGTCATTTGACATCAAACAAAGTCGGTATCGCTCTTCCGTTGGATCAACATTCTGGAAAAGCGAATTCGGCCTGTCCAACCGTCGCTGATCATCATGCAAGAGATATGTACTCCTTGTATTTTCCCCCTCCCCCTCCCTTCCCCTCCAAGGGATCCAAGGATCCGAAACTTTGGGAGGCGAGTCGAAGTTGAACAAAGAGCTCTTTTATCTTTTTCATATACATCTTAATGTTTCAGCCTTGCGCAATACGAATTATCATGTCACTTGACTCTGATGTATAAGATTTTGGAGAACCAATATGGGTGAAGTATAATACCCCTCCCTATACCTAACTGGTCTACCTACAGTATGCCCGGGTAACGGAGTACATGGAGTACATGGATATCAACCCCTTTTATGGTGTAACGGTATTGGTTATTTCCCCAAACCAACGCTCATCATCAAATCTGCTGACCAGCCAAGAAAGCGATAAGAGTAAAAAAACCCCCATAATTATTCGTAGACCAGGAAACCACACACCAAAGTCTTGAAAGAAATAATTTTCAAATACAAGTAAATACTTCAGAATCCAAAAATTAGGTCGCGTGTGTGAAAAGTCAAATTCCAAGACCTAAATATTGACAAAGCCGGAACCGGAGCCGAGCTAAACAACACGGGTAAATTAGGGGTTGATACAAACTTGAAAGCTGCATGGACGATCCTATGTGGTGTGATTGCTTTCCCGTCCTTTAAAACCCCAAAAACTCATCAGTGCTTCCAATAGAGTAGATTTATTAAAGAAATCGAGACTAATATTTTCCTTCGGAAATCTGGTTTGAAGTTGACTCCGCTAGCCAATAACAAAGATGGAGAAGCCAATAGATAGGTTACCTAGGGTACTGAGTTTATAGTTAGGCTGGAAATGGTACGAAAAGGTCAAGCGCCAAAGGGCTCCAAAGCTTCCCAAAAGCTCCATAATTGAGCTTAAGAGCTTCAAATGGAAGTAAATGAAGTAAATCCAAGGCCCATCCAAGGCAAATCCAAGGTAAATCCAAGGTAAATCCAAGATAAATCCAAATATCAAAGTCCTTTTCCCCCCTGAAGTCCAAATTACATAACCCAATGACCCACTCAGTCTGGACTCCCTGCAGCTCTTTTCCCGATTAGGAGGCAAGCGCCATCAACACTTTCCCCCCATGCCATTCTTTTTTTTTCGCCCTTCCCTCCCTTTTTTTTCCCTTCCCTTCCCTCCCACCTGCAAAGCAAAATACCCCCCTTTTCCTATCTTCGTTGTGATACCCGAGCTTCCCAGCTCTTCTTTCTTTTGCTTTTGAGATACCCAGATACCCAGCTCTTTTCTTTTAATCGATACCCCAAAACAAGCTCCGGCTTTTAATACCCATTTTAATCATGTCTGACGTCCAGAAGTCCGTTGAGGAGACCCCCGTGGTTGTCCCTGCTGTTGAGCCTGCCGTTGAGGTTCCTGCCACCACTGAGGCCACTGAGGCTCCCCAGGAGACCACCGAGGCTGCTCCCGTTGAGGAGACCACCACCGACATCGCCGCTGAGACTGAGGCCCCCAAGGAGGAGGCCAAGGAAGAGGCCAAGGAGGAGATCAAGCCCGCCACTGAGGGTATCCTCGGTCACAAGGCCCCCGGTCTCGTCAAGTGAGTGATCGCGCGCGCCTTGCGACTAAACGTCCAATAGGGTTTGCGACTGACATGACTTTTTTTTGCGCATAGGAGCCTGCGCTTCGCCAAGCGTTTCTTCTACTTCAACGATGAGCCCGTCGAGGCTAAGCAGCTGTCCGTCTTCCACCAGAACGAGAAGGCCGCTGTTGCCAACCCCACCGCTGCCTGGGCTAGCCAGACCGGCAAGGGTCTGCTGTTCCTGACCAAGCGTGCCGAGGACAAGGCTACCCCCGCCAGCATCTTCAACCTGGTAGGACTTCACAAAGAAAAATGAATCGCCGGAGACAACAACTGACATGTATACCAGGCTGAGATCTCTGACCTCACCAAGGAAGGCTCCAACGAGTTCCTCTTCAAGGTTGGTGGTCAGAAGCACACTTTCCAGGCCTCCAACGCTGCCGAGCGTGACAGCTGGTTCGTCGCCCTCGAGGCTAAGTCTGCTGAGGCCAAGGCCGAGAAGGAGACCCTCACTTCCAGCGAGGGCTACAAGGCTGAGCTTGAGAAGCTGACCAAGCCTGCCGTCGCCGTTGCCGCCAAGAAGCCCGAGGAGAAGAAGGAGGAGACCCCCGCTGTCGCCGCCGCCGCCACTGAGGAGACTGCCACTGAGGAGGCCGAGCCCAAGGAGGAGAAGCCCAAGGAGGCCGCTAAGAGCCGCTCCCAGTCGCGCAAGCGCGGCAGCATCTTCGGTGCCATTCTCGGAAAGAAGGACGCTGAGGAGAAGAAGCCCGAGGAGACCAAGGAGGAGACCGCCGAGGAGACCAAGGCCGCTGAGCCCGCTGCCGAGGCTGTTACTGAGACTCCCGCCGAGACCGTTGCTGAGCCCGCTGCCACCGAGGCCCCTGTCGAGGGTGCTGAGGCCGTTGCCGTTGCCGCCCCCGCTGAGACTGCCGAGGAGAAGAAGGAGGAGAAGAAGGCCAAGCGCTCTTCCATCTTCGGCAACTTCTTCCAGAAGGTCGCCAGCCCCTCTCAGGAGAAGTCCGAGAAGGAGGCCACCGCTCCCGTTGAGGAGACCCCAGTCGCCAGCTCCGCTCCCCAGCTCGACAACCCCGTTGAGGAGGTTGCTCCCATTGAGGCCGAGACCGTCACCGCTCCCGCTGAGGCTGAGGCCGCCAAGGAGACTGCTGCTGAGACCCCCACTGAGGCTGCCACCCCCAAGGACAAGCGCCGCTCTTCCTTCTTCGGTGCCTTCGGCAAGAAGGAGAAGAAGGCCGACACCTCTGACAACGAGGCTACTACTGATGGCGAGAAGGAGGCCAAGAAGGCCAACAAGCTCGGCGGTCTCTTCCGCAAGCCCTCCAAGGCTGTGAAGCTCGACAAGGAGGACGTTGTCGCTGCCGAGACTGAGGTCAAGGCCGAGGAGGCTGAGGCTTCCACCGAGGCCACCGAGGCCGCTGCCCCCGCTGAGGAGGCTATCAAGGCCCCCGAGACTGCTGCCGCTGAGGAGACCAAGAACGTCGAGGTTCCCGCCTCCACTCCTGTCCAGGCCGCTGCTTGAATTGCGTCCCCGGGGCGTGTGGAGTACGAGCGATGGTGGGACTTAACCGGTTCCTCCTCGCCTGCCCACGATAATATTTGACGGACTCGGGTCGCTCTTTTGAGGCGTGAGTCTGGATCGTGCAAATACGGATTTATACCATTTTGGCTTCCCAGTTGCTTGTTTGCTTTTGCCTCGACACTGTCACTCCTTTTATCATGGTCCTGTTCCAGGCTTTGATCTAAGAGGGTGTCAATGAGATACCCGCTTTCCGCTGCGTTCTTTTCCAAATCATTTTTTTTCCTTTTATTGCTTTGTTTTTGCTTATCTTCTAAAAACCACATAATATCCGTGTCCGTGATTCGTTGAACCGTCGTTCGTTCCTTTTTTTAACGACACGCGACCCGCAACCGAAGTTCGAATTGCGACGTGCTAATGCGTTACGTGGTGTGTTGCCCGACTAGATTGATACCACTCTGCCGTTTCTGGTTCTGCGTTTTGGCTTTCTTGTTTGATACCCTATGGGGAGGAAGGATGCTTTGATTTGCTGTGCTATGGTCTATGGCTATTCTTCGTCTTATTCATTTGGCCTGGCTTCTTGCTTTTCAAATCGTCCCGTCTACAGTTGTCTACCGTTGTTCCCGTCTCGCGCGGTTTTTCTTTCTCCAATGCGTCGTGGATGTGGCACATATTGCGTTAGGTAATACTTAATAGAATCTTCTCCGTTTCTTTACACACCAATTTCTAAGTAATGCATATGTTATACTTGTATTTTCGAAGACATGTAAGTTGAGATTGATCAATAGGTGGTAGCACTATGTTGCACACCTTCAATGTTCCACGGGTCCTACTGGTAGTTATAAGATCTTTCCCTGGGCTAAACTTCATGGGCGTCAACTAGGTATTTCTACAGGTGGGTTTCAACGCGATGGATAGACCTGATTTGTTCATTGTTCATTATCGCAACATTTTAGACCGGAAGCAAAACAAAACCTTTGAATTTTTGGAAAAACAAAGATTCCAGATGTCAGTTACTGTACTTGTGGTGATCTTCGAATTGGGTGGGCCCTTTGATCTGAATTGCGTGCATTAGCAGCAACAGCGTACCCGTTACTCAAAGTTGGTCTGTATGCAAGCAATACCACATCGGGACCCATCGAGATGCGTTGGTCTGGGGTGCATCTGGGTTCGCTTTCGCCGTACAGCGGGTCTCGAGGATTGGCGGGTCCGCAAAATTCTCGTCGGGAGCGCCCGTCATCATGTGTCCACGGGTCATCTACTCCGGACAATGTTGGAAATAACCATTTTTGAGGAATTTAGATGGAAGATAATTTATGGACCTAGTTTAGTTTTTCAAGAAATATCTATATTGGACCATGTCAAGCGAAGGTCCACTGAGTTTCAACTAGTATACCGTTTAGGTATGATATCCTTGCACATCACGAAGTTCACTATGTCATGTTAGATGTGGCCTGTGCTCTTAACGAAAGCGATCAGCACGGATAGATCAATGTTGTATACTCCGTACCAATCCGCTCACAGGACTCGGAATTCGGGGTTCAAGCATCCTCGAACGCCGTTACACGCAACATTGAACACGGCTGCAAGTGCTATTACCTGAAACCTGGTACTCCGTGTTCCTACATGTACGCTGTACAATTTTTTTAAAAAAAGTGTTCGACATGGTTTGAATTTTACTTAGTGCTAGCTAGTATTTCTTCAAAAATAAGCTAACCGACGACCGGCGAGGGGCCGAAACCGGGCTTTCTTGGAACACCAAATGACGGCGTTTCTGTTGGAGCCTGCCAAGGCATCTAATTTGTTTAGTTGTAAGCAAAACGCCACTTCGGTGATTGGTCTGTAACGAGACTCGAGCATACGAAGGCACCAATCAAATTTGAAGTGGTTATGGGATTGGATACATAGGCGATGGCTTGCATTAATAATCCAGGTTGTGGTGGCTTGATGTTTTTGATTTGGGGTTTGTCATCTTTAGACACCTGGGTATAACACCTGGGGATATAGTAAGTCAGCCTCAAAGGAATTTTTGGTTTCTAGGGTTTACAAATGATCCATGTCGTCATGAAGAAATGTTCCCACAGAAAGAAAAAAAAAAGAAAAATGCGTTGCCCTAAGTAAAAAAAAAAAAACATGGATGATCAGTAGCAAGAAAAACTCAATTTTCACGCCCTTCGGCAAGGCTAAGATCAAAGTAGATATTGAAGGGCACACGGGCCATGGACACAGCCCACCGCGGGGACAAAATTGGGAAAAGATCGGTGGGGCTGTCGGAGAACCAGAATCAGTCTCCGACTGTTAAGTCCGCCTTGGATCGACCAGAATTTAGTGGTTTTTTTTTTTTTTTTTTTTTTTTTTTTTCTTTTGTTCTCTTTTGCTGGGTTTGATTTTAGGCATTCATTGAAGAATGCTGTAAACTATGTGATCCTTACTATAAAAAAACGATGGTTACATACACAATAGATTAGGATTCAAAGGGGCATAAAGAAAAGGGGGAAGATTCCGGCGCTGCGTATGCCTGAAACTCTACAAGGAGCATGCCGTTGAGGCGATATCTAACGATACCATTGGTCAATTCCCTAGGGTGAGACGGGGTGGGGGGAAGTACATCATCAATACTTTCCAATACATGGAAGGATCCATAATGACCGCATGTACTGTACGAGTATCGAGGCTCTAGATGCAAGATAATCAACCAATCATATCGACGGAACCAACTGTGACTCACACCCCGTGACCCCCTAGTCCCATGCGGCTGACGAAGATGATTGGAGGAAAGCGAATCCTGAGGATCCACTGGATCCCACACAAGTCAATTTGTCCGGTCATAAGAAGTGCCTGAGTCCCCCCATCGGTGCCTGCCTCCTTCTCTTTTCCACATCTCCGTGTTCCACACAAAACTACTACATATTATTATTTTACCACCTTCACCATTCTATATACACCTACAGTACATTTTGAATCATCACAGATCCAAGATGAACTCCATCTAAGCGCCCCCCGAAAGAATCCGTCTTTCCCCCCAACAACAGACAACATAACCGGAACACACTCCCCCCCTTTTCTCTCTTCTTCAGACGTCTTAGGACCTCTGAACTTTAGCATCGCATCGCGTAGCTCAAGTTCCCAAACCTCTACACCTTTGTTCGACTTTACGTCGTTCACCACGGATAACTTCCAGCAACCATGGCTTCCCACGCCCCCGCACACACAGCCCTCGGCTTCCAGTTTGAACAACAACAGCAACAACAACAACAACAACAACAGTGCATTAGAGGACTTTGTGCTCTATCCAGCTCCGCAAGCCCGTCAGCAGCCTCGATTCAGAGACTCGCGTTCGCTAGCTCCGAACACTACCCTTAGGCCATCTGCTCTCCAGCCTTTTCTGGCGCAGAACAACCCTCGACGACACTCTTTCAGTTTGCAGTTGCAACGTCATCTCCAGCAGCAGTTTCCTGGTTCTCCTATTCAGGACCCCAGAGTGACCCAGCTTGCCCGGTCTCCTTCCTACTGGTCTCACCCCGTGAAGCACTCTCCGCTCCATTCGGCAACTGTGCCAAACAACTCTCCTCAACGTTCCCCCATTCCGCCGTTTTACGCCGGTAATATCACACCCGAAAAAAGAAAACAGTACATGCAATACCGTCGCAACATGTCTGCTCCCAACTTTCAAGGTAATTTCTTTCATCTCAACAACCATATCCATACCTCCGCTCACATTATCCCCTCAGATCAAGACGCCGAGCTCTTCGGTCTCCCATCTGCCGGTGGCATGGGATTGACTTTTGATGACTTCCTGCGCCAGGAGACCAGCGCGCTCTCTCCGGAGGCGCCCGCTGGAACCATCTCCCCGCAGGACCTTATGTTCGACCATTCGATTCCGCCTTCGGGCACCTTCACTGATTTGAGCACTCCTCCTTTCGACTCCCCGGCCGGTACCTTCAGCCAGAACCCCTCTCCCATGTTCGCTGATGTGGAGTTCATGGGCAATGACGAATGGCCTCCTCTTTTCCACGATGGAGCCGTCGGCAATGCTATCCCTTCTGGTCTGTTCGATACCCCGGAGTTCGCTTCCGCCTTGGCCGAGCCCAAGAAGCAAATGCAGCCCTCGATTGAGATGTCGCCCGCTTCCAAGCCTCTCACTATTTCCACTGGCTACAAGTCCTCGCCCGTGTCTGCTCCTATGTCTGCGACCGGCACAACGCGGCACTCGAGTGTCGCTGGTATCTCCCGTCAACGAAAGGACTTGTCTCCTATCGAATTTGACCCCAATGACCCGGTCGCCACCAAGCGTGCTCGTAACACCGAGGCTGCCCGCAAGTCTCGTGCAAAGAAGCTGGCCCGCCAGAACTCTGCTGAGACTCGTATCCAGGCCTTGGAAGATCAGATCAGTGAGCGTGACGAACGTATTGCCAACTTGGAAGCTCAACTCGCCATTCTCCGTGGCTCTCAGTGATTGATTTTCCTCGTTCTTGGACATGTCTATTGCCTTCATCGTTATGTTGTTTTCGGATTTTGATTTTGAAGTTTGTTTTTCGTGATTATTACCTGTGATATGGTCTGGTGGCGCGGGGCACGGGTCAAGCCTGTTACCCCCGATGTCTCACTTAGACGCCGGCACTTTGTGACCGACGTCTTCAAAAGTTCGTTAAAGTCTGACGTGAGACGTCAAGATAGTGTTTCTTTTTTTGCAATTTTTGATTGAAATCTTGCTTTGTTTTTTATATATTCGGCCGGTTCTGATTGTCTCCCGAATGGGATTGACTCGTGGCTCTGTATCTCTTAGTTTAATAGCCAAATTGATTTGGATTGCTCTTTGCACCACTGTTCATTTGTAAAGACTTCTTGAGTAACATTTGAATGCCTGGCTTGGTTCATTATACCCAATTGAAGCTTTAATGTTATAATGTGTCTGTCTCCGGCGTGCATCTGGACTACCTAATGTTGTGCCCCCCCATTTAGTATTTTTATGAAAAGAAATTAGAATACATATACATGTATGTGCTTAGTAAGGGTTGGTCTCTAATTTGTATAACTAGCTACTCCCGTAGATGCTTGTGAATGGAGTGATGACCCATGAGGAGTTATTCAAACTATTAAAATAACGTGTTCACGTCGCAAGTCACACAGATAAGTCATGTGACTCATGTTAGGGTGAACTGTAGTGAAAGGCGGTGAAAATTAGGGCGGTGAAACCTCCGGTGGTCAAAAAATCAGAAAAAAGCGCGCGTATCCCATACTCCCCTGTACTCCCCTGCCTATTGCATTCTTTACATGTACTCAAGTGCTTCTATTCACGATTCAAGAATCCTACCATGCCGGTCAACACGACTTAGCTTCGATCTGTCCTTGCTATACTTCTTCCTTTGAGCTGAAACCGTACTATGAAGATGAGAATCATCTCATCCGGGAAAAACCAGAGCCTAGTACCATCCCCCCGCAGACATTCATATATCATCTCTCAGGCCAGAAATGATGGATTAAGGTGACTTTTAGGGTAGGTTGTCTCTATAGTAGAAGCAGACGAAAACGCGAGTGGCTTAAAGAATATCATGAGTTCAAATGACATCAAATTAATCGAGTATCAATCGCTTCTGGGGACGAAATCTCGTCGCTAGATCTCCCACGTCAAGTGCGTATGTTGAATGACACTTGAACCTATGGAAAACTCGTTCTGCTACTCACCTCGAGCACTGGAGATGAAGTTTTTGTGTCTACCTTGGAAGATGTTGCAAAGCATCTCACTGAACATGGTTTTCGAAATAGGTGGACTATATCTGAGGCAATTTGTTGCTTGAAATCTTTCGATCCTACCAGGTAGGTGCTTGTAATTTGGAATCTATGTATGGAAAACCCCAAGTTGGAATGTGTGAAAAGAAAGTTAATGAATCATATGTATAAAAAAAAAGCGAGGGGTATCCAAGTAGTGCATCAAAAAAAAAGCTCATTCATATATACAGGCCCATCTATCCATCCCACGCAACCTTGGAAACAAACCTTGGAAGGTGAGAAAGTGAACCTCAGTCGAAGACAAACAGTGTAATATACACGCGCCCCCAACTCAATCAGTCCAATCGTACTCGCATTCAAATTCCATTAATCCCGCCAAAGAAAATAAAGAAATCTCCCAATTTAGACGTCCATACCAGGCTTCAAGGTCTCAAAAGATTCAATAGACGTCCGGCGGTCCTTGATAAACTTGGGCCACGTGTTGGTAAGCACAAGGTACTTGATACTCTTCTCGGCATCATCGAACACAGTCGCACCAAAGCCCTCCGGGATCTGGCCCCAGAACCGAACTCGATCCTTGATCTCCGACGACGAAGCCCTCAATCCCTTCTCAGAAGAAGTAGATAGAGTAGGCGACGGAAGATCAAAAGCAAACTTATCAAATGGGCTGACCTGGTTGGGCTCGCGCTCGTCACCATATAGCAAACTCGTAGGCTTCTCGAAGATGTGATCGAGGGCGCTAAGATCTTGCGAGGAAATGTTTAAGGGGAACTCTGCATGGCGGACACTGATGAACTTCGCGTACAGGTGCAGAGCGCGGTTGAACGACTCGCGCACAGCTTCTTCGGAAGGCTGTTCTTCGGAAGCCGCGTCTTTCAGGGCGGCAGGGAGAGAGCTCTTCCACTCGGCGATGCCGGTCAGGAAAGCGATGTTCTCGCCGGAGAATTCGCGGAGCGCGGAGAATTCTTGCAGGGGGGCTGGGTTGCGTTCGAGGACGTGCTCGAGCGCGTGCATGGTCAGGATGCTGTCGCGGGAGCCGGTTGACTTGATGGAGTTGTTGGTGGATTTCCAGCCCGAGAAGAAGGATTCGACCATGGTGGACTGGGAGTTTAGGGATTTTTCTTCAGAGCCGGTGGATTTGACCTTTAGTTCCCATCGGGCGATGGAGTCGAGGGTCTCTTGGCGGAGGGATTTGGAGCGGAAGACTTCGTAGCAGGGGACGAAAACTGTGAAGATCTCCATGAACCAGATGGACAAGCAGATCCTGTGTTTTGATGTTAGAATGTTGGGTTCTTTGTTCTATTTTTCGAGTGGGTGTTTTTCGCTGCTTACCATTGAGGAGGAATGAAGACGGCATTGACTGGTGCCATGGCCGGGACGTAAAGACCAATCAGCCACATTGGTGTTCCATGGAGGTTGGCAAGAGCACAGCCAATGGTTTGCGTTCGCCAGCCCTGGGTATCATTGATGTTGCGAGATTTCCAGAGAACAATGGGCGCGATGACCCAAGCCCAGAGCAGCTGGTAAAAAACACTGGGCCACCACTCCCATCCACTGCCCTGAGCGGTCTTTTGTGCCATGGCTGAGCCGTGAACTTCGGTGCCGGGAATACCCCAGGAGCTGTGGAACTTGCGAGAAATGACCCACATGAGGATGGTAAGGAAAACTTGAAGGAACATGCCAACACCAACAATGGTGAGAACCTTGGTGTTGTATCTAAGAGCGCGGAACCGATTCACCAGGCCTTTGGGGGTTTCCTGGGGTAGGACTTCAAAAAGACGGTGGCCGTATTGGGCGTATTTCTTCTGAAGCTTTGCAACGTGAAGGAAACGAGCGTTCGATGCGTGGAACAAGGAAAGGCCTAGTAGCCAATGTCAGTATTAATCACATTATACAGAAATCAGAAACCTTGTTGAGATGCATACCTAATGGGAGAAAAGTTCCCATGATCCAGAACTGGGCGTCTCCGGGCAGGAGTGCACCGACCATGACTCCAAATTGGCAGACGGCCCAGTATAAGTGCAGAAGAAAGATAGCAGAGAGTGATAGACCGAGGCCACGGATGCGGAGTGTTGGTGCATTTCGATGGATAATCAGATATGTTACGCCGCACACGATGGCGACCGTCCAGACACAAGCCCAGGTAGCCCACCAGATACTCACTGGCGAGAGCACGATGAGATCCGCCGTGCTAGCGGTGATTCCAAGTTCCGAGCCCATGACAACGGGGGTAAAAAACGAGAGTACTCAAGGAAAGTGATGTAGTTGGAGAGCCTTGATCTTTCCCAAACTGCCGGGACCATGGAGGATCCTTATACCCACGATCATATTGCGCTAATGCAGGACTTGCACGAGTCCAAAATTCAAAGGTGACGGGAAGTGGAACTGGTATCCACTGGTGGTTGGTCAAGGGCTGGCTCCAGCTTGGTATAGGGCAAGACTGCCCCTGCCGATCTTTACCTTCAAAAGTGCTAGACTGGTGGCTGAATGGGTGCCTCAAGTATTTGTCACGCTTCATGAGCTCTCATTCGTGGATTGGATCGTGGTTTCCACTCGATCGTGAGGGCAAAATGAACGATAACGATATTTTCGATCGCGAGCAAAAATAACCTGAAGATCTTTTTCATCGATCGGCAGCACTATCGATACCGAGAAAACTTTTCTCATCCACTTATCTTCAAGGAATGGCAGTTGGGACCCATGTCTTTAATTCCTTCTTGTCATCATCTGCTTTCGGTAGACATGACGGCATTCACTGAGTTTGCCTTCAATAGACTGGCATATGCTCCTAATTTTCAGACAAAGGGAAAGTCAATGGCGAGTACTCCATACAACCAGGGCAAGTATGCACCTAGAGCAGCCAAGGTATGTGTCGAGACTCTTTCTATTCAGCCATTGATATTAGTCTACGCCCACAACTAAAGAAAGGGTTAGCGTTAGACCTCTTCTTTGTTAGCTGAGATTATACATGACTCGTAGGACTCGTAACCCATGTCAGTAGGGCCTGACTCCTGTTCAATGCCGACTTTCCTCTAAAGCTGTTGTGAAGATGTGGGCTATCGCGGCAGACACGGTAGCTGTCAGGTCTACCGAAATCATGCCGGTATTTTTCCGAGGTCGAATCCGGGTCTTCAAGAAAAGAAGAGAAATAATAGCCCGCAATACTATAGGACCGAATTTTGAGATATTGGACGAGGAACCGCTTCAATGGTGGTTGATGATTCGACTTCCAAAGCTTGCGGATCCATGAGCTTCATCTTCTCCACTTTTCCCCTTTGTTCATTGCCACGCGTATGTTGCTCCAGGGTATGGAGTAGCAGCCATTAGTGAATAAGTACCGTTCGGTCATGGGGAGTTGCAAGGGGTAATTTTAGTGAAATATAGCGGGGGATCTTGGCGGATGAAGGATCCATGATAATAATGAATTTCGGATTCTTCAATTGCTGAGTACTTGACATCGCTGTGCAATTACTTCCGTCTTGACTTTTCGATGCCTGGGATGGTAACTCTGGAATCCTGAAATATGAGGAATTTCCACGTTGAGCGACACCCCCTGACGAATGGGTGGAACAGAGTATCGCACATTGACGATGGCCATTAAGATATCAGGACTTACAGCAGTCTACGTTGTATGTACAATTACAGTTGCCTCAAATTGAGAATCAACCCAGCTCAGACTTGCCTTTTAAGCCTTCATAAACCACATGTCTTTACTCAAGCCATTTGCAGAATCCATTTCCCACCACTCACTTCCTTCAGAGCAAGGGAGAGGAGGTCCACACGTCTTTTCATCTGAATATCAAGCCCCGCGCCGTCTCAAAAGAGACTGCTGGTGCTGAGATTCAAATTCCAATTGCGCAAACGATCTACCCTAGCAGTGGAGAAGCGGGATAGAAGTCCATCCAGGACAGGAAACGGAATACAACAAACAGCATGAAATGGGAGTGGTTTCAGAAGTATCTGATTCCATATTTTGTCATCATCGCTGGGACCGACCTTTCCATCACTTGACGTAATAGGGGTCGGTTTTTCGGGGACCGGGGAGGCGGAGGTGGGGGGGGGGGGAAGAAGTGGAAGGATGAAAAGCCTCAGGATTTATTGTGGGTAAACTTCAGACTAGGGCGTCGGTGCCTTTCGTCCGGCCTTTTTCCATTTTGGCGGTGCGAGCACCAAACTGAATGGCGCGTTTCTTTTCACGTGAAACATTGCGCAGCCCGAGCCGAAGTGCAACAAGCCGCAGAGCCATTTTCTCCGCATCAATACCTGCTAGTGACCCACCTGTGTGTTGATCATCAACTGTACTCGCAAGGCCAAATCCACATTTCACCCAGACTGGTGCGCGAAGTACCCATGCGACAAAGTCTTCGTCCAAGAAGGGAAAGCGGGTCTCTCGTCCCCAATGGGAAAGGATGCGGTCGTCGCGGCCCAGATTTCTTTGACCAAGTCGACTGACATCCAAGTGTATTTCAGAAACAAGCCCGGGAAACCCATTACGGTTAAATGCGACGCCGTGTCGGCCGTAACCCGCGAATAGTTCGTCGGCGCCCAGACCAGATAGTAGAACTCGCGCAGTAGTGGTGTAAATGGTTTTTGTGTCGGTGTTTATGGGGGAATTTTTGTCAGAATGACTGTCATCGATTATGCCTTGTCCTCTGGAGGCAAAATACAAGGCACATGCGATAGACAAGTCCATCTCTGTGTTGTGTGGTCTCATGAGACGCTTCACGAGATCTCGATGTGCAAGGGTCTCGGTGTAAGGTATATCGATGGCAATAAAACGCCATTTACGACCCGGGCATGTTTGTTGTAGCTCCTTATACGCTGAGCGCCCGGTGATTCGATCTGGACAGGCTTCATATGTTGAGATGGGTTGGGAAGCGGGGAGGTTGTGCCGATTTGTAGATGCGGCAGCTGCCGCTGCTACTCGAGGGTTTTCGAATGCGACGTTTAAAAGGTCGATTGTTTCCTCGAGAGGAAGAATGTCATGGGAAAGTCGTGCAAGAAGTGTACAGTCTAGGCCACCAGAAAAGAGCACAGCGATTTTGGCACTATGCCCTTGCTTATAGCCAGGTGGCTCTGGAACATCATTGATTCTCAATTCGAGTGATTGGCGAAGTTTGGATTCAAGCTCTTGAACAAAGGGTGTCTCCAATGTCAACGCAGGTGGCTGCTGCGATGGGACCTCCAAGTTCATCGGCGGAATAGGAGTTTTCTGTAGAGAAATGTTAGCTGTTGGACTCTATCGCTCAAAAATGTAAAAGGCTTACAATGTGGCCTGCTGGTGGTGAGGAATCAGAGCTCCACGGCAAAGTCTCAATATTGTATCGACCATTGGTAGCGGACGAATCATGAGATGTTTTAAGATCAATCATATAGACTCCATCAAATCCTACTTCCTGGAAATGTGTTGATGAAGATCCATCGCAAACACTGCATATTTTCAAGCTCCCATCTTCCTCATACCCTTGTAGGAGAGATCTTCGGCCGAGGCAGTCTCTGCTAAAGAAGAGTCGTAAATTCGTCGCGTCATAAAAAACAAAGGCAAAAGGCCCGGATATACTGGCAGCTGCTTGTCCCAGTCTATAGGCAGCGTTATTGCCGTCATCATCATCATCACCACCACCACCGATAGTCACGGCCCGCAAAAACAAGTTCAAGATATGCTCGGTATCATTTCCCGAGACCCTCTCCCCCGCGATCTTCCAGGCCTCTCCATTCCAGCAAAGCACTGACTTGGTGGCTGGATCTATAAGTGGCTGGGAGTAGACATGATCTCCCCTCAAGGCCAGCACCGTCGATATGAAGGTCAAGTGGAAACTTTGTATTCCTCCATCTGGAGTTGGGATCTCCTTGTATACGGTATGCGTTTGACAGCAGTCGGGACCTCGATTGTCCAATAAGACGCGCGTCTCCTGGGTCGGCGGTGTGGGTGCTGGTGATAAAGAGAAGAAAATACCACACATAGTGGGTGAGAGACAATAGTCGCGAAACGTGTCGCGTGGTGGATTTGCTGTTTGTGATATTCAATCATCCGTAGCCTGAGGCATCATTTAATACCTTAGTCAGCTCAGCGCCGATCCGCCCTATGCGTCAAGACAAGTCGTGAAACTTCCTAAGTTAAATATTGCGTGGCCTGCATGCTGGATATAGCTCATGTCGGCCACCGAATCATCACAGTCTCCGGGGCTCGGGCAGAGCAACGAACCCCCGGCTCCAGAGAATTCCGAACCCATCGAGAACCCCACGTCGACAGCTGACCTCCCCACCGCCCCGAATGATACATCGAACGAGAACCTACCACAGAACGAGATGAATGCGGAGGAAGGAAATGGGCTGCAAGCCACTCGTGAAGAGCTTGAAGCTCCCGAGGACTCTGTTTTAGCTTCACAACATTCACATTCCGTCCTGTCGCAGCCAGTCCCGCTTGAGGGGCAGATGGATGAACTATCAATATCAGAGCCGAACACACCCGGGCCTACAGAGATACATACCCCCCCTGCACCCCCACTACCTGAAAAAGACGATGCGTACCTAAATTTGGCGTCGACCCTAGCTGCGACACCAGCTGCGACCCAATCGATGAGCGAAGAGAGCTCTGGCCCAAGCTCCGAAAAGGAGTTGCCAGAAGTGCCTGGAGATAGCGACCCTGAATCAAAACAACCCAGGAAGGCCGAAGGGTCTCGAGAAGATAATGACTCCCAGCCGGAAATCCAGAGCATCATGGGCCAGTTCCAGGACCCGGCGCGAGTCACTGATCAAGAACAAATCATGTCGCCTCGACTGGAGCTAGCTACTCAGAACTACTTCCCGCCTCGAAAATCAAGCCTGGACCATATTCAGTCACCCGTAACTGGACCCTCCGCTCCCTCCCCGCAAGCGCCTCATGCACCGTCGCCTACGACCACATTTTCTCGTAGATCGATCGGTCCCGATGATCCGATGTTGACCCGGCGATCATCGACGACTTCAACGATCCCCCCACCAGAACCCGAGTCAGATCAGCCGTTTGACTTCCATCGCTTCTTAGAACAACTACGACACCGCACTGCTGACCCCGTGGCTAAATTCTTGCGCTCTTTTCTCCTGGAATTTGGAAAGAAACAATGGATGGTCCACGAGCAGGTCAAGATCATCAGCGATTTCCTGGCCTTCATTACAAATAAAATGGCTATTTGTGAGGTCTGGAGAGATGTGTCAGATAGTGAGTTCGATAATGCCAAGGAAGGAATGGAGAAGCTTGTCATGAATCGCCTGTATTCTCAGACATTTGCACCGGCTATTCCCGCCCCTCCCACGATCCCTCGGAGTGCAAGCCGCAGTCGACGGAGAGAGATCGAGAGACTACATGGACCTTGGAGAAGAGGCCAGCATCAGGAAGACATTGAGCGTGATGATATTTTGGCCCAGAAGATTCGTATCTACAGCTGGATTAGTGAAGAACACCTGGATATTCCTCCTGTGAGCGGTGGTGGCCGTCGTTTCCTCAACCTGGCGCAACAAGGTACTTCCTATGACCAATCTATTTTATGATCGCGTTCTAACAGAATTCTAGAATTACTCAAGCTGAATGGCTACCGTGCTCCACGTGATAAGGTCATCTGCATCTTGAATTGCTGCAAGGTCATTTTTGGCCTGTTGCGCAATAGCAAAAAAGCCGACACCTCCGCAGACTCTTTTGTTCCACTTCTGATCTACGTGGTGCTCCATGCGAACCCCGATCACCTTGTCTCCAACATTCAATATATCTTGCGTTTCCGCAATCAAGACAAGCTCGGCGGTGAGGCGGGCTATTATCTATCTTCGCTAGTGAGTTCTAGTGATTTCAAAAGAAAATACCAAAATCCACCTACTAATGTTTCTCTTCAGTCTGGAGCTATACAATTCATCGAAACCTTAGACCGCACCAGCATCACTGTCAGTGATGAAGAGTTTGAGCGCAATGTTGAGGCTGCTGTCTCCGCAATCGCTGAACAGAACCGGGAAACAGAACCTTTGAATGAGAAACGCTCGAACCAACCCACTACCCCCAGTGCCTCCACACAACCGCAGCCAGGGCCAAGTCGCAAAGAAACCACACAATCAAGCGACGAAGACACCTCCTCCGCACCTGTCGCGGGCCTTCTGCGTACCATCCAGAAACCTTTATCTACCATTGGTCGCATTTTCTCCGACGAGAGTGACAGTAACTCCCCTCAAGATCGTCCTCTTCACCCTGCCGTAACTCCTCAACCGGTGCCCCCTCGCCTCAATCCCAATGTTTACCAACCCCCGCGCTCCAGCAGTGAGGGCAGACGTTCAGGTGATGAGCGTGTGCCCCCACGCCAGGACAGTGCTAAGAAAAATCTGACCCGTGTTCTGGACGCTCAAGATGCGGCTGCTAGGCAGGCCAGCGCAGAAGATGCGGAGGCACGACGCATTCAGAGCGCTGAGCATAACAATGTTGTCGAAACATTATCAAACATGTTCCCCAACCTGGACCGCGACGTTATCGACGATGTGGTCAAAATTAAAGAAGGAAGGTGAGCTATACAGAATCCGCGGATAATCCTTATGCAACGTCTCAGCTAACAAAATTGATAGGGTTGGCCTTGCCGTCGACGCATGTCTCGCTCTTAGCGCAGAATAGTATATACTAGGAAGTCTTTTTGTTGCATTTGCTGTGGGTGTCCAACATCAACACCGAATGCTCAATAGCTTCGTTCTTTCATTATTTCAATGAAATACCTGTCGACACTATGTTGCTTTTAGCGTGGTAGTCCTGGGAAAGATGGAGTTGACATTGCTTCTCGTTTCACCACTTTTGCATGGGTACATTGGCCGGAGCGTGTTTAGATGATTTTTTCTGAATGTCTTCCATGTACCTTTTTAGCTAGTACCTGTCGGCTTAGATGGACTGATACACTGTTCATCTCAACGGCAATAATAACGCTTCACGACCAGCAATACCCCGTCCTCTAATTTCCTTTCTTTCCAGTAAAGTATGTAGCACTTCTTCAACTTATCTCCAAGGATAGTGCTGTCTCCCTGTCGTCCTCGATGTTTCTCCACTCAATTCCCGAACTCACCAACATTTGAAAGCAGCAGCAGATGTTGCAGTGAGTGCTTCTAAGGTCATATGGACAACATTTAAATTCTATAATTCTACTTAATTCTTTCTAAACTGAATTGAAAATACCGTCGATGAAAACCATAGCTTTTCCATAAGCTTCCATCGAGTCCGCAACCGCCTTATCGTCACCAGGAATCTGCACTCCGGCCATTTTTCTCCTCATAATCGCCCCTTCCAAGCCATGGGGCCCATTCTCCACAAGATACAGCTGTGATGGGACACCCAACTTCTCAAGCTGCTCATGCTGATAAACACTCTCATCGGGAGAAACAACCTCATCACTCTTTCCATGCACAAATACCGAGGGCGGATAATCCTCCTTCACAAACTCCTGCAGCATACCAGGCTTCAAGTCCTCAGGAACAGCCTCAAACCGCCTCTCAGCCGGCACAGCATCTAACAGCTTTCCCAGACCCTCTCTCTGAAAAACACCATCCAAGAAAGTGCCCTTGATCTCCCAGTCGATGGTAAGCGCAAATCTCTTCGACATGCCTCCCTCGACAAAATCATCGCTGATGACCGTCTTATCCGCCAACAAGGCCGGAACTGCGCTCAGATCGAAGAATTTGGCAAGCGAGGTTGGTGGCCGGGCGCGTGTCCAGTGGTCCAAAAGCATATTTCCACCCAATCCGTAGACGCTGAGAAGAGCCGCGGGCTTGGGTGTTGCGTAAAGACAAGCCGCGCGGGCAGAGTAGGCGCCTGCGGAGAAACCCGTTACGGCGATGCGAGATGTGTCAAGCGATACGGACTCTGGCAGCTCGCTGGCGAATTGTGGTCCTCCGATGTAGCTGAATAGAGCCTTTGCGTCGTCGATCTGGTCAATTGCGTTGCTCGGGTGGCAGAGACGATAGTCTGCGGAGATAAAGATGTAGCCCTTTTCTTGGCAGTGGTCTGGAGGACTGAGTTAGAGCTCTTCATCTTCGAGTTGGGGGATTGATATTGATGGAGTTCTTGGGCTCACGTACCGTACATCCATTGCGGGAGACCGCGTCCTCGTCGTGATCCGGCGGACATGCCACCACCGTGATAGTAGATCATTGCGGGGAGGTTGCCGGTGGTGCGGGGGAGGTAGTAATCGAGCTTAACATCATGGCTGTCGACCGTGGAATAGACCACGGTGTGGCCTCCTTCTGGTAGATCGGGAAACATTTTCGAGGTCAATTGAGGATAAGAATTATGTGTCAAACTAAAACCGTGGGTTGGAGCTCTTTTTCAAGGTGTAGGCACGGTTTATGTTCCCCTTTGGGGATAAACTCATTGCCGATCAAGCGGGACCGGGGTTTCGGGGGAGAAGAGATAATGAGTGGAGCTTCAATACTGAACATCATAAGACTAAAGTACTTCAATATCTCTGTAAAAATACGCCAGGACATGGAAACCACATCAATCGAGAGCCTGGACCACTTGAGCCCAGTCCCCATACCCATACGCCCCTGGGACACTCGGGCCATCGAATAAACTTGCCAAAACCACTCGATCAGCCTGTTCGCCTTCCCAGGGCTCTCGGCCATGCTGGGCAATAACATTATCATAAACAAGCACGTCCCCTTCCTGCCACTGATGCAAAACTCGAACTTCATCGGTAATCTTCGCGAGATGCGCCAGATACTTTTCCGGAATAACGGACCCATCACCAAAAAGCTGCTGCGTAACATTCTTACGAGCCTCTGAATCAACCTGCGTCCTCTTCCAATAGGCCGCCAATCCAGTGAACAGAGTTGGCAAATTAGTACCAGGCTGAGTCCTGATCCCAGGCAACCGATGCGTCAAAACCAACCCATCATCCGTCCACTCCCACGTCGTATGCTCCCCCCGTCCATACCGCGCAATTTGCGCCTCAATCTTCCGCCGCTTAGTATGCTCATCATCCCCATCCACGATCTCTTTCCCAAAAGCTTGACGGAGCGTAGAGCCGCCCGCGTATTGTTTCTCGTGTTTATACGTTACTCGGCTTAGAATGCCTTTCTCTGCTAGCTCGGTGATGAACTCGGGGATCTCGAGCTGAGCACGATTAAAGATCTCCAGCGATGACGAGATGGGCGACTGGCCGCCCTTCTTGGGGGCGTGGTGGCCGTAGAAGAAAATGTATTCGGGCGCATGCGGTACTTGCGGGGACTCGTTGTGGTTGTATATGAGGACTTCTTTGGGTGCCTCGTTGGCGGGTGCGACGTTCGGTGCGAGGAGAGGTCTGTCGACGACTATTCCGATTATCTCGTGAGGTTTGTAGCCGAAGGCGTGGGCGAATTTGCTGAATTCTTCTGCGTTATGGATGGGGAGACCTCGGAAGAGTAAAGTGCCATGTCGAGCAAGGCGTTTAGTAAACGTGCCATCTTTTTGTTGGGCAGTCTTGATTGTCTCTACTATCTCGTCGAGGCTTGGGATATCAATGGTTGTTGTCAGTTGGAGGGCGAGGGGTATCACTGTGTTCGGTGGATGGGGAGGTCCCAGCACACGTTGGTTCGACGATGGCAGATCAAAGGGTTCGAATGAGACAACTGATGGGGGCGCATCATTGATGTGCAGCTTTTGGATTGAAAGTTGCTCTGTGATTGCGGCCATTTTGCTGGGATAGAAATCTACTATGATTTACAAGAGCAGGGTTCAATGGCTTTAAATGAACCCCGCGTTCTACAAGACAGTCCCCATCCTTGCTAACGATGACGCGATATGATTGGATCGTGTTGGTTTATCACGCATGAAATATTGCATTCTCACGTTTACCGGATCATCGTCTCGCAATACCCTCGGCAGGTAAATTGTGTCATTCCGACATGCTTGTTCGTGCTGCGGGGATATTCCTATACTAAATTGTCTACAAACTATATCACGGTTATCATCACTCCGAGGTCTGTGCATGAGTACTCTCTTCTATTTTATACAGCCAGTCTCAAGAAAAAAAACCTTGTGATTGATACTACACTCTGGTCCCTTATTCTAGCTAAAAACAAATACATATATGGGGTACCTCTTCAACCATGGAATCCCTCAAAATGGACCATGAGATACAGGCAAACAACACTATCGCAATCAATAATCAACATGAAGTGATGTCGACCAAACATCGACCCCCATTTTTCCGCAGCACTCTTTTTCAAATTCTCATCGTGGGCCTTTGCGCATTTTGCGCCCCGGGGATATGGAGCGCCATGAATGGCCTTGGAGTCGGCGGCTCCGAAAGCCCCGATCTAGTAAACGCAGCCAACGCCCTACTGTATGCATTTATGACAGTCACCTGCTTCGCAGGGCCATGGATAACCAACATCATCGGCTTCCGCTGGACCCTCTCTCTCGGTTCCATCGGATACCCACTATACGCCGCCGGTCTGTACCTAAACAACCGCACCGGTGCAACATGGCTCGTGTATTTCGGTTCCGTAACATGTGGGCTCAGTGCAGGCTTCTTCTGGAGTGTCGAGGGGGCCATCGCAACCGGGTATCCAGAGCAACATAAACGCGGTCGCTACATCGCGACGTGGTTCACTTTCCGCAATTTTGGCAACATTATTGGCGGGGCTGTCTCGCTGGGAATCAATCATAAGGTGGACCACCAAGGAAAGGTCGGATACCAGACCTATATAGCCTTTATCGCGATCCAATGCCTGGGTCTGGTATTTGGCCTTTTTCTCTCCAATCCGGAGGACGTGCAACGAGACGATCATACGCGGATTGAAGCAACCCGTGGTATTCATTGGCGGGAAGAGGCGCTGCAAATGTGGCGATTGATCAGAAGCAGGTCGATCCTGCTTCTTGTTCCTCTTTTTTGGTACTTTGGATGGATCCAGGCATACCCGGGTACCTATTTGGAGACTTACTTCACGGTGAGGTCGCGAGCTCTTGGCAGCTTCATGTCTGCGGTCGTCGGAACACTCGCGACCTGGCTCGGCGGCTCCCTTGTTGATCTGCCATGGCACAAGAGTCGAAAATGGCGGGCGGTCTTTACATTTGTGCTCATTGCGCTGTTGAATAGCGCAACGTGGATCTGGGCGGTCATTATACAAGACGAATATAGGCGCACAAAACCTGTTCTAGACTGGGATAATCAGCGAGCTTTTGGCCGAGGTTTCGGGCTGTATCTTTTTGAGCGCATTAGCCTTGGTCTTGTCGAAAACTATATCTATTGGTGTATTGGGAATCTTTCGGATTCTCCGGGAGATCAGATCCGATATAGCTCTCTACTCCGGGGGATTGAAACGGCTGGAGTGGCCGTAGGATTTGGGGTCCAGGCTGTTCCTACAGCTTTGATTGCCACGGCAAGTATCAACTGTGGATTGTGGTTTTTTGCATTGCCCTTCAGCTACTATGCTACTTTGCAGGTTGTGCGTAAAATTGAAAAACTGGCGCAGGGTTCTGAACAGAGTGAGGAAGACACCGAAAATTGAAGGGATTGAGGACATCTGGAACTTCCGAGGTTGGAAGTTGCAGTTCAATATGTATATACTTTTCAAACATTCAATGTTTCCAACATTCGAATGATGAACATTGAACCAGGACCTTAAGAAGAACTGGACATTACCAAGCACTGAGGTTATGCAGGAAAATCCTTTCGAGGTTGGTTTTTTCAATGCTTTCATATAAGATTGCACATGCATGGATTCCAATCTCAATTCCAGAAAACCTTGCTCAAGTGCTTGGACCAAATAAACGGACTTGGAATCGCGAACCTGGGAGAATCCAAGCTTGAATGATTGGGTTGAAGGATGAAGACCAGGTTAGTAATGGCAGTAATTTAACGATAGCGTCATATAGCCAAAGTTTGTGGCTACTTCCACGCACTGGGCTTGTGGTTTAGTGGTATAATACTCCCTTAGCATGGGAGTGGTCCGGGGTTCGATTCCCCGCGAGTCCATTTTTTTCTTCATTTTAAATCCACTAAATAAGTAGAATGAAGGGTCTATTCTGTGCGTTACTTTTTTTTTTCTTTTTTTTTTTTCTTATTTTCTTTGGGATTTTATTGTTGTTTTGCTAAGAAGAGCCCCGTCAAGTCTGTACAGTTAGGTCAGTGGTAAACGCTTGGTGCCACGAGACGCGATTCGCAATGCACATTGTCAATCACCTACCTAGCTTGTCTAGGCAGATGATTTCCATTGACTTGCAGCAAATATGCGAATCAAACTAAAAAAACCGCTCAGCCTTGTGAGAAAAACAATGTAACACAAGAGCGTGATCTGCATTACCTTGGAACCACGCGAGCTTTTATTCATGCATACTACACTTTATTGCTTGTACTCCAAAACGATTCGATAATGTTTGAAAGTTCCGTTGAATCATTCAACAAACCAGGTGAATAACGAAAACAACAACAACAACAACAAGAACTTGTCCAATATCTTCAAGCAACCTTGGAAATACATATATTGATTACTTGCATAAAATAAAGGCATTGTACCGATAGAATACCACAGAATCATCCGGGTATTCCGTGTGGCCTCCGCATCTGTTGACGAGTGCGGGGAATGGAAATTTCCTCAATTCCCCTGGATATTCCCCTGGCTTTTTATCCTTATGACTGCATTGATTGGGCTTGTGCACTCGCGTCCCAGGAACACTAGCTGTTATCGTACTTATCAATGACCAGTCATAGTTAGAGATCTGAGTTGGGTGATAACCCCATGCTATGGCGCCCCACGAGACGCAATCTCGGACACCCGACGGGCGTGGCATAGCTCGCCTGCGTTAGCCTGGCCCCCGCAGTAGCCACGACCTTAACTCATAATCGAAATGAAGAATCCCCTGCCGTGTAAATTTCGAAATGTCCAGTAGAATAGATTTATCGAGTATGGTTTCAAATTGTCAGTAACAGGGGAGATAACCATACTACTCAATTGCTTGCATGTAAATTGGGAGAAATTTGTAACAACAGGTGCCAAGCAGATCTAGTGCTTTCTCTCAAGTGGCAAGACATCACGCTAGGAACTCCGCCGGAATGCTTTCGCTTCGCCATATGACAAAATCATTGCTATCTTACTCGTCTCCACTTCTTTACACTTCCCGGCTTTATCAGACTCGAAGGGACTAGGGCAGGCACCATGGCTTTAGCTGCAGAAGAGGCGCGGACATGTCCCCTGTACATTTAAAAGAAGCCTCCCCCGAGGATTTCCTCACAGAATTGACTTGGGAACCCTCGCTCTTAATTTGCTGCGATGTATATACTGTCTAGCATTGCCGTGTCTTTGCTCGCCGCCCCATTGGCACAGGCGGTGGGCCCACGACGACCTGCTCCACCTCCAGCAACAACAGAGTCAACTACGACGATCCAGGAGTCAACATTTGAGCAGCTACTTGATCATGCGAACCCAAGCCTTGGAACTTTCTCACAGCGCTACTGGTGGAACTCGGAATATTGGGCTGGACCGGGATCTCCTGTAAATACCTTGCCCTAAGTCTAATGCTACTTTCGAAACAACTTTGACTCTGACTAACCACGGGCAATTAATAGGTAGTACTCTTTACGCCCGGTGAGGCTGAGGCCGCTGACTACACTGGCTACTTGACGAACGTGACAATCACTGGTCTTTATGCGCAGGAGATCAAGGGCGCTGCGATTTTGCTTGAGCGTAAGTTCGTTTCCTTGAGCCCAACGACCGGCATGAAGCTAATGACTTGACCCTCCAATAGACCGTTACTGGGGAGAATCTTCGCCATATGACGAATTGACCACCGAGAACTTGCAGTATCTTACTTTGGCGAACAACATCGCGGATTTGACGTACTTTGCAAAGAACGTGGACCTGGCATTTGACACCAACAAAAGCAGCAATGCTCAGAATGCTGTATGCACACACCTTCATTACAAAAATCGACACTTTAAGCTAACATCTGTCATTTTTAGCCCTGGGTTCTTAGCGGAGGATCCTACAGTGGTGCTTTGACCGCTTGGACAGAGTCCGTCGCTCCTGGCACATTCTGGGCATACCACGCCTCCAGTGCCCCCGTCGAGGCAATTGATGACTACGTAAGCCATACATGGAACTTGCATATCATTTATTGTGCTAATTGGTGTGCAGTGGCAATACTTCAAGCCTGTCCAGGAAGGAATGGCACAGAACTGCAGTGCAGACGTCTCGCGTGTGGTCGATTACGTTGATCAAGTCAGCGCTCATGGCACCAAAGCGCAACAGAAAGAGCTCCAGGCACTGTTTGGACTTGGTGGTCTTGAGCACTATGATGACTTTGCTTCGTATGTACTCATCCGTTGAGCCCCCAAACTGGACAAAAAAGCTGACATTGATTAGTGCATTGCAGAATGGTCCTTGGCTCTGGCAGTCCAACAGCTTCTACACCGGATACTCAGAATTCTTTGAGTTCTGTGACTACGTCGAGGTAAATACCATTTTAGCTTCCGTCCGGAAGAACCAATATTAACGTGATATTTAGGGTGTTGAAGCAGGAGCAAGTGTTGTGCCCGGCGCAGATGGAGTTGGCCTCAAGAAGGCGCTTAGCGGCTACGCCAAGTGGTTCAAGACCGTCTATTTCCCCGACTGTGAGCTGTCCCATACGCGGCAAAAACCTACCAGGAAACTGACAAGTACTTGTGTATAGCCTGCTCTAGCTATGGCTACTGGACCGACAGCAACAGCATTGCCTGTTACGATACCTACAACGCATCCAGCCCATTCTACACAGATATTACCGTAGGCAACGAAATCGACAGACAATGGCAGTGGTTGCTTTGCAACGAGCCGTTGTTCTACTGGCAAGAGTGAGTTATCCGGTCTTTTCCCGTCTGATTTCAGGAGTCTAACCTCTATAGTGGTGCACCATCTGATGTTGAGACCATTGTCTCCCGTACCGTGACCGCGGCCTACTGGCAGAGACAATGCCCTCTCTTCTTCCCCACCGTCAATGGCTACTCTTACGGTAGCGCCGAGGGCAAGACTGCCGCTGATGTTAACGCATACACCAAGGGCTGGGACCTGACATCCACTACCAGATTGACCTGGACAAACGGGTATGCAATTTTGAAAGCTTCATTTTTAACTCACATGTCCGAGAGTTTGTGACTGATTTGCTCTTAATATCTAGGCAATACGATCCCTGGAGAGAATCTGGTGTCTCATCCGAGTACCGCTCAGGAGGTCCTCTCAAGTCGCGCACTTCTGCTCCTGTCAACATCATCCCCGGTGGTTTCCACTGCTCAGATCTTATTCTGGAGAATGGCAAAGTGAATGCTGGCGTTCAGAAGGTAATTGACACCGAAGTTGCCCAGATCAAGGCTTGGGTGGCGGAATACTATAAATAGTGAGAAACCGGTATGCCAATAGGTAGAATCTTGAAAGAATCCAGATTTCAAGTGATAACTTAGGCGCTTACCTAGAAATTTTGAGAAATTGTGTGTCATCTCTGTCAGCAAGATGTTGACCAAACTTCAGTGTGGTGTTGGACTTTCCAGAAGGTGTCGCTTTAACATACCATATGTAGCATCCATGGCATCATTGATAATATTACCATACTACAATTCCTAACTGAGTCCAAAGTCTGCAGTTATGGTCAGCTCCAGCGCACTCCCCAAAAGGAAATTAGAGCATTAAAGAACATTGAACATTTGAACCTTCCCATTTGATTACTGGGAAGGGATTTATTAATCATTGGTAATTTTCTTTCCTCGTGTTCAAGGTTAATGCATGTGTAGAAGATCTTTGCAATAATTCCAAGTTTCAACGCGAAAACATGCACCATGATTATCCACAATCTTGATATATCATACAAAGTCATGCCACACATCAATTACAACCTTAGAAACAACCTATCAATTGATGCTACTAGTACCCACATGTGCAGGCTACAAGGCGTTAGGTAGAAGACGAATAACCAAAAAAGGGCTCAAGCATTCAAATTTTTCAGCCCTTTCAGCCAGTAATGTCATTCACAATATCTCGAAGAATGGGTCTGTTTCCCAGGATTGCGTTTCCATTCAGAATCTTTGCCCCTTTCTTTTCAGGCACTCGAAGATTCGAAGCAGGTTGTCTAGAGCCGAGAGGACTCAGTGGCTCACGAGACCGGGGTTCACTCTTGACAGTAGGACTTCTGTTCTTTTTTACCCCAGCGGGTGTCTTGGCGATTTTGGGAGACGTAAGGGGCATTCCCGAAGATTCTAACGTGTCAGGCTGGAAAATGTGATTCTCGGTAGCATTTGGCGGTAGATTGTAGACCCAACCCTTGCTTTCAACCAGCCGAACATATTTGTGAAGAAGCTCGTTGCCATCGCGCATAGTGGATCTACTGCCGACAACAAGGAGCTTGGTGCGTGCACGAGTGAAGGCAACGTTGACGCGACGCCAGTCACGCATAAGTTCACCAACGTGGTTTTCCGAGTTACTGCGGACGCAACTAAGGATCACGATCTCTTTATCGCGACCCTGGAATTTGTCCGTAGTGTGCATCTCGAGCTCTGGAGCATGGCGGCGAAGACTATGGCGAAGGAGAGCAAGCTGGCTGCGGTAGAAGGTGATAACACCGATGTTCCGTGCTGGTATACCACATGCAATGAAAGCCTCGACAAGCTGCGTACATAGGATAGCTTCCATAGAGTTGATGACTCGTTGTCCTTGCAAAGTCTCGAGAGCCGCAGGGCCAAGAGGGTCGGTGTTGACCAGCAGTGTTTTTGCTGATGGCACCAACAAGTCATTTAGCCAACAGCTGCCGTGACTTGAGCCTTGGCACACTGTTTGCTGGTGTTCAAATTTGGAGGAATAAGCTCCATCTGAATGAAATTGTTCGAGTGCGGAAATTTTCGGGATTTCAAGTGAACGGGCTGCTACTCCTGGTGTGCCACATTTGAGACGGCCAGAGTAAATTAGTGTGTTTGAGAGTAGCATAACATCCTCACACATGCGGTACTGATGCTCCAGGTTGACGACTGAGTCGGGTTGGGAATCAGACAGCAGCTTAAAGAGACTGACATCAAGTCCACCTTCAGCCGCAGCTTTGCTTTGGACGAGGGGTGGGAGTTGATAGTGATCACCGACAAGGACAAAACATCTTGCCATGCGGATAGGGCCTACGCACACGGGAAGAGTGATCTGCGAGGCCTCATCGACAATACAATAATCAAAGATACGCTGGTTGAAAATTTGGTGATTCACTCCCAGGCACGTTGCTGCCACCACTTGTGGTTTTTCGTAAGATTCTTTGAGCTCCTCAATAGTCGATTTGGGGATTGCTGCTAAATCTGCAAATTCTTGTACCTCTGGATGAACCTTACTGGCTGCACCAAGACGAAGAATGCGAATATTGTCATCGCGAATCTTAAGCAAGATATTGTCAACCGCAGTATGAGTATAGGAAGTCAGCAGAACACTTTTGCCTTGCGCAACAAGTGCACGAATGAGATGGGCAATGGTGGTTGTTTTGCCAGTTCCTGGCATTCCAAGGATGAGAGCATAGTCCTTGGCACTCATCACCTTCTCAATTGCTTGTTTCTGGTCAACATTGAGGCTGCCAGGATCAGCTATGGTGTATGCTGATGACGAGGGCTTGAACACAGGAGATTCACCCTGAACAATCAGGCGTCTAAGATGCTTTGATTGAGCGAGCTCTTTGTCCATCATGCAGACAAGATTATTGCGAATATTGGCCATGCCATTGCTGAATTCGTCTTTGTCGATTCGGTATGTCTGCCGTTCATCAAGAGGGTTTTCAAGAACATAATCCCCGTCCTTCTCGACTTCCATGATGCCAGTAAAGGACTGATTTGTGACCGGATGGAACCCAGCGGTTCGTGATCGGGTGTTAAGTAGGCTTCGATCGACACCAACGGTGATGTGTAACCTGCTAACCTCGATAACATAACCATTGGCAAGGGCGAAATGTCCTTTTTCATCTGAAACAACGATTGGCTCACCAGCTGTGATCTGGGAATCTGCGAAACTAAACCCCGGAGAAGCTTGCTTTTTGGTAAAAGTGTAGCGATAACGATTGATCCTGGATCCGTTCTTATCCTCAAAAGCCGTCCGAGGATCGATGACCACGTCTCCGAAGCAACGGCCGAGAGACTCGCGCTCACTGCTCAGTAGAGTCCATAGCTCTCGTCGAAACTTGGTGAGGTTTCCTTCCTCTTTGGTCAGAAGCTCATCCCATTTATTGAAGAACTCGCGATCTTTTTGTGTCAAGTGGCTTGTTACTGCATCGAAATCTTCCCCCATGCCACTTGTTTCACCATCGCCTCCCTCCAACAGCTTATGATAGATGAGACAAGGGGTTTTCGCATAGCACCTGTTGCACATGCGGGCTCTCTTCAGCATTGGGGGAAGCTCCAACTTCTCGCGAATAAATACTGCCAAGCGATTACGCACTTGGATCATCTGAAGGAGCTCGTGTCGAATTCCTCGAATGCTCATGGTCTTGTTGAGCTCAAGATAATACAATAGACCAAACGTCACGTCAATGTCTAAGAATATTATTAGTAAAGTGCCACCCATTTGACTCGGTGGTCTGAACAAACCGTAACGGTCCGAGAGCAGGAGGGTATAGAGAGCCGTTTGCGCCCTATGACCCTGGTTTGTATCTCGTTTTCCAGTTTTGAGTTCTAAAGGAACGACAAGATTTCTCTTGCCATCTTCACCATTGCATGAAACTTCCACTGTGGCGTCGATATTTCCTTTCAGTCCAAACATTGGAGACCAAACGTGCTCCTCTACCTCGAGCAGCTTGCTAATGCTCAGGTTGAGTTTTGCATTTTGACGGTCCTCAACCATAGAGTTGGACTGAAAATTAATTGTTAGCGTACCAAACACATATGCCGATACTAATAAGTACACGTACCTGCGGTTTCGCGTGGAGCATGACATCGGCCCATGCTTGCACTGTGGGAATCTTGCTCATCACGTTTTCAGTGGCTTCAGGGACACCCATTTGGATTGCGTAAAGGTCTTCGATTCGTTTTTCAAGAACGCCGTCTACCAAGGACCTGAGAGACCCAGTATCCCACAAATTGGCTTTCAAAGCTTCTTGAAAGACCTCGTGAAAGATGTTACCGAAGACCTGAGGTGCTTCGAGTTGAGAAAAAGCTTTGATACGGTCTTGAATGACTGCTCGTCGCTGGCAGTCAATTGAGTCGGCCACAACCGTGGCGGATATGAGATGATCAGGATGGAGAATGACCATATGATTGGCGTTGTCCACAACGCATAGGCCAAACGAGTCAAACTCCCCAACTAAATGAAGGGTTGAATCTTTGTTGCAAGGGGTATCAAACCAAGTCTCACGTAGTACAATGACTTTGCGAGCTCTGGTTTTTGTATCCTCAACCGAAAGGACCTATTCTGTTGTCAACTGGTATGTTCAATGTCGAAGTGTAAGTTGATGACTAACTTGCTCAGGCTGCGTGCGTCCTTTTGAATTGACATACGTACTTTCAGCGATATCCACGATTGAATAACGCTTAATGGCTTGGCGATTTTGCAAATTCTATTATTTCATTGTTTTAGTATATGTTTGAGTGATAAAAAACCACTAAGAGCGACAAACGTAGGCTCCATCTGTACCTGTCTGCTTCATGGATTGTTCAATCGCATCCAGATCAAAATCATCGTCGAATTCATCATCAGAGAAAGCATCTGCGACATCATCTGTTTTCGCGTCCAACTTGGCAGGAACTTGGGTGATTGGGGCAACGGGGGACGGCTCCAGCTGCTTTACAGATTTTTGCTTCACCGTGACCGGTTGATATGAATCCATCTTTCCCGATTTGGTGTCACACACCGCGAGAATATCATCAAAGTCCCCGTAGTCGTCATCGAAATCGTCTGAATCATCGGGCTTCGTTTCGTTATTTATCGTGTCCACAACTCGTGGGATGTTGTCGGCAGTTGACGGTCGTGTGATATGGCTTGAAAATGCCTTTTCTGCTGCCAACTTGGACCAGCTGGATCCAAATGAGCCAAATTCGTTGACACTGGTTCGACTTGCTGGAGGCACCACAAATGGATCTTCTGAGGCATCAGCCAAGTCCATGAAGTCTTGGTCCAGGACATCGTCACCAAAATCTGACGAAGAAGCTTCATGAATTGGTGCTAAGTTGATGCCAGATTTACATCCAGATTCGGGAAAGCTTTCTTGGACGGCAATGGTATCTCCATGACCTTTTCTGTCCGCAATCGGAGAAGATGAACGGCATCGTTCGGCGTCCAGACGTTGTCGTAAAGGGGAAATGTTGAGTGGGCCAGTATCGGCTGGGTGAGCTGGTCTAAGACTTCTTTCAATTTTTTCGAGCAAGAAATTGATCCTGGATGATTTCCCATTGCCCGAATCCAGCACATTGCTGTTTGTGCGCGAGAATATCCCGCGGCCTGAATTCGTGTCTTGCCGTACTACTCGCCTTCTCTTCGCACGCGAACTTGGCCATTCAGCAGCGCAACTGATGGATCTTCTTAAGCCAGAAGAGTCTCGACTTGTTCGCCCAGATTTTGGGGTTTGAGGGGAAGAGGAGAGGAGATTGGCAAGGCGTGGTGCTGGAAGATCCTCCGAGTTCTCGACTATGTTTTTATCCATATAATTGTTCCACAACTCAGTGGCGAGGTCGTGCTGGGGTGTCTTGAGCAGCGCTTGAATTGATTGCAAATCGAGTGGCTCCTTCTCAGCCTTCTTCGATTTGTCTTTCGAAGGAGATCCTGGAGGCGAGGAGCTATGGCGTCGTTTTCTCCGACGACTTGCTGGTGTCTGCGAAGATGAATCTGGATTTGAGCTGGGCGGAATATGCTGCCAGATAACATGGTCAACTGGCGTCACTTCCGGGCCTGGGGCGGGATTGAACGAGTCTTCGGCATTGCTGATCAAATCCGCCAGAGGTATTCGGTTCCCGGGGGTATGAGGACAGTCTTTGACTGGTTTGGATTCTTTCGGAGCTTCGGCCTCGAGTTGTTCGGGTCTTTCAATTTTATCCGTTGATCTCTGCATTTGGTCCACCACTCCATTTAACCACGAGCTTTGGTTTTCCTTGTTGCGGTGGGCCTCTTTGCTCTCATCTTTCGAAGTTTTTTTGTCCTGGGGCAAGTCGTCGTCTTGGTAGCGAAAAGCATTCAACTTGTTGCGAGAGTTCGAGGAGATTGGGTTTGAATTCTTGCTCGATGCCATGGTGGCAATCTAGGTTTATATGTATGCCTCTTTTAAAGTGGATCAATACATTCTGCAGCTGTCGGATCAACAATTTCAGTAATAGAACATAACGCACGGCCAATCAGACAGAGTCCAAGGAGCGTACCAGTACGAAGACAGAATATGTACTCAAGCAGATTGATCTGACGAAGTTGGAGGAGACCAGGGTTTAGCACTGTTGACAGGAGGGGGGTTTAATTGGCGTTCGGACGATAACGTTTGGACGCGTCGCGCGTCGTTCCTGCCTCTTTCGTGAGGCACCGATAACGATGTCACAAATTAAAAATCCAGGCACTAAGGCATTAAGGCATTAAGGCACCAAAAGGCGGCCAAGGGAAAATGGCCCAAAAGGGTTAGCGCGATGACCACCAGCTCTCCATCGGCCTTTTGCGGCTTCAGCATCAACCGCCGAGACCCCTCCCCTCCCTTCCTCGTCAATTCATACTCCCAATTGGCATTGTGCTGTCACATTGGCCAAGGCGACTATTTGCCTTGCCCTCGATACCGAAATTTCCTTCGCTGGACCGCTTTCAACTTCCTAGCCACCTCACATCCATCCCCCATTTTCAACATGCCTGCCCGACCAGTGTCGCATATTCTTCGCTCGCGCTGCCTGCTCCGCAAGCCGCAAGCCGCTCAGGGTTTCTCTACCCGAAGCAACCTTCGTGCTGCCGACCATGGCGATCACTACGACCCCCCAACTGGCTGGCTGTTCGGTATCAAGCCCGGCCAGAAGTACGTGAAGGAGGGCTGGGAGAACATCTGGTACTACGGATTCATCGGTAGCTTCCTGGTTGCTGGTGTCGCATATGTTTTCAAGCCTGATACCTCGTATGTATCCCTTGTTTAAATCTTTCCTTGGCTTCTAGCTTTGGCCGCGTCCTTGATCCGGCTACTGAGAAACGCGCATGCTAACCCCAAATTTTAGCATACAAACCTGGGCGCTTGAGGAGGCCCGTCGACGACTGGAGGCTGAGGGTATCTTGGAAGAGCCCAAGAAATAAGTGGCTCCCTTTTGAGCCTAATCTGTACACTGTACATAGAGAAGATCGGAAAGCAACTATTTCGGTTGACGCCTGTACCACCTGCCATGGCAGATATGATGTTCCGATCCTTTTGTTAGATGGGGGTTTTTCGCATGTTTCATTTCCATTTTCGCCTGCTTATCTGCTGTACTACTCTATACTCTCGTCCCCTCCATCACATCAATACAGGTGGGCTAAGACAAAAATGACATTGGTCCTTCCATCATCCTCTTATTATTACGTATGGCCCTACTGAGACTCGGTCACTTATTTAAGCGGCATCAAATAATATGAAATATATGATCGATATACATTGACCTATACGTGTGCTTTCCCACATGCACTCGCGAACATTTGCATTGATTGCTATTTAGATACCTAGCCCATGTACGAAGTATGAACATTGAAGTTGATTCTGCCTTGAACTTTCAGTGTTATATCTCGGGGTAGAGGTCGGTCCTTCGTAGGAGGGGCATCTCATGTCTAATCTTTGCGACCAAGCCCAGGTCAATATCTGCTGTCGCAATTTGGGGTTCGTTGTGATCGTCTCCTAGTTCTGCGACTATTTCTCCCCATGGGTTGACAATCATAGAATGACCATAGCTCCGTCGTTTCTCATTGTGCGGACCGGCCTGCGCCGCAGCGATCACATAAGACTGGGTCTCAATGGCTCTCGCACGGAGTAACGATTCCCAGTGAGCTTTTCCTGTTGGAACTGTGAATGCAGATGGATAGGTGATGATATCGGCCTTCTGACGCCTCAACGCCAGACTAATCTCGGGGAAACGCAACTATTCAAATTGTAAGCTGATGGCCTGGATATTTTTTGTAATATAACACAATGGCCAAAACTCACATCAAAACAGATCGCTAGACCGACACGCCCTATTGGGGTTTCAAATGGCGGTAGAATCTGGTTTCCCGGTTGGACGCTCCTAAAGATATTGTTCAGTATTCGTCTAATGCTAAGTTTGCATTTAAGTATACGTTGATTGACTTACGCGCTTTCTTTTAGAACCGGTCCGTCTTTGATGTCAACGTCAAATAGATGGACTTTGTGATAGTTCTGAGTGATGACGCCCATATCATCTATCCAAACTAGAGAGTTTTTGAGTCTCTGCTCGGAGGCTATCTCATGAATGCCAATGTTGATGTGTATTTTTGCTAGCTTCGCTGATTGCTGGAGAGTTGACAGAAAGTTTCCTTGTTCTGGAGACCTAGCGAGAGCAAGGGACTCATCCGCCGACGAAGCTATATAGTCCGAAGCCTCGGGCAGAAACAATACCTGATAAGAATCAGCCACGGGCCAAAGTGTATGTATGGGATGACATTGAACTTGGCATATTTACCTTGGCTCCTGCTGCCGCCGCCTTTTGAACCAAAGTCTGGCATTGAGCCAAATTAGAAGTTATGCTTGCTGTCGCACATAGCTGCCCCACAGCCTATTTTGAGAGTAGCGATCAGCGATCCGTGTTGAGATGATAGTAAGCTCTCACCCACTTACCGCGAGAACCATGTTTGTGTCTTTGAATAGTGATAGTCTTTACTGTTTATTTTTTCTCTTAAGAGAGGAAAAGAGGAGGCGTATGGCGTAATAAGGCGAATGGCTCACATCAAGTCCACCTGTGGATCCAATGCCCTCACAGAAAGTGATTACTCAGCTATCGCGATGCGATAACCGTCGCCCGCAAAGATCAATTTCTCACTTTGCTCCAAGTCCGATTTGACCAGCAAACATCTGCTGATCTCCAACTTTACAATGAAGAGCTTAAGGAGAGACGTCTCTTCTAACCCCCAAGCCTCCAATGTCACCAGCAAAGTCTTCGTGAGGTCCACAAAAAGTGGAAAGGTGCAAAAGATTGTCCGCGAGCTCTATCTGCGGCAAGACATTCCTTGCTCGTCGAAGCTCTGCTCACTATGCCCCTCGATCGCTCCAGCGGATGCAAATGGAAACAGTATGCCATATTTACTCGATGCTTAGTGTTAACGGCTAACAACTCTCAGTTACACCGTTCATCCTCTCCGATCGTCCCGCCGGTACCAAGGCTTTCCCTCGCGGCCACTACCTTGTTCCCGATACAAATGCGCTATTGAATGGAATGGATCTGTTTGAACACACCGGCGCATTCTATGATGTAATTGTTTTGCAGACTGTTCTCGAAGAGCTCCGAAACCAGTCGCTCCCTCTCTACAACCGCCTGCTCTCTTTGATCAAAACCGATGAGAAGCGCTTCTATCTCTTCTTTAACGAATTCCGCCTAGAGACTCACGTGCGCCGAGAGCCAGAGGAGTCAATCAATGACCGCAATGACCGAGCTGTGCGGACCGTGGCAAGCTGGTACGGTGAGCATCTCCGGGCATCCGCGAAGAAGGGCAAGAAAGAGAAATCAATGCCTGCCATCGTGGTTATTACAGACGACAAGGACAACCTCCGGAAAGCCAAAGCCGAAAATGTTTCTGCTTTGTCGCTATCTGATTATGTGACCGGACTGGAAGACTCAGAGAAGCTGCTGGACATGATCAGTGAAGCTCGGGAAGCACGAGATGCGAAGGGCTCGGCTCGTGGGCAGCTTTTCTATCCTGAATATTACTCCATGTCGAAGCTCCAGACTGGTCTCCGGGCAGCACACCTACACCAAGGAGTGTTCAATGTTTCGCCTTACAATTATCTGGAAGGTTCAGTCAACGTCCCGGCTTTTGACAAGCCGCTCCTTATCCTAGGACGTGACAATAGCAATCGTGCAATCGCAGGAGATTCTGTTGTGATTGAAGTGTTACCCCAAGATCAGTGGAAGTCTCCTTCGACAAAGCTTGTAGATGAAGAGGCAGTGACTCGGAACGATAACCCTGATACCGATGACACCGAAGTTGTTGTGACCGACCGGGAGCGCAAGGCTCTCCAAGAGGAGGTCAAAAAGGCCCACGGAAAGAGCTCCGAAGGAAAGCCGCAGCCAACTGCCAAGGTTGTGGGTGTCATCAAACGCAACTGGCGCCAGTACGTGGGACATGTGGACTCCAACTCTGCAGGCTCACAAGCTGCCTCCGGTCGCCGACAACAAACTGTGTTTGTCCTGCCAATGGACAAGAAAGTTCCCAAGATTCGGGTTCGGACTCGACAGGCTGGGGATCTGGTTGGTCACCGTATCCTTGTGACCATAGATGCCTGGGACCGGGATTCACGCTACCCATCAGGTCACTTTATTCGCTCCCTGGGAGAGCTCGAGACAAAGGGCGCGGAAACAGAAGCGCTTCTTCTGGAGTACGATGTGCAGTACAAACCGTTCCCAAAATCTGTCTTGGACTGTTTGCCATCAGAGGGGCATGGCTGGATTGTGCCTGCTTCGAAAGAGGATAAGGGTTGGAATGGCCGACGTGATCTCCGTGATCTCCTCATCTGCAGTATCGATCCTCCGGGCTGCCAGGATATTGATGATGCTCTTCATGCGCGCGTCTTACCAAATGGAAATTTCGAAGTCGGTGTCCACATTGCCGATGTTTCACACTTTGTCAAGCCTAACAACCCAATGGATCTTGAAGCCAGTGTTCGCGGAAGTACTGTGTACCTGGTTGACAAGCGTATTGACATGCTTCCCCACCTTTTGGGAACTGATCTGTGCTCACTCAAACCCTATGTTGAACGTTACGCCTTTTCCGTTATTTGGGAAGTCACACCAGAAGCAGAGATTGTTTCTTCAGACTTCACCAAGTCGGTTATTCGCTCCCGCGAAGCTTTCAGTTATGAACAAGCCCAACTACGTATTGACGATCCCTCCCAAAAGGACGAGCTCACCGAGAGCATGCGTAATCTTTTGAAGTTCTCCAAGATTCTTCGCCAGAAGCGTTACGATGCTGGTGCCCTCAACCTCGCTTCTCCTGAAGTTCGTATTGAGGCTGATGCCGATGAAGTTGGCGATCCGCTAGCGGATGTTAAAACAAAGTCTATGCTTGCAACCAACAGTCTGGTTGAAGAGTTCATGCTTCTCGCCAATACCACTGTTGCCTCCAAGATCTATAACTCATTTTCTCAAACCGCTTTGCTACGACGACACGCCACTCCCCCACCGCAAAATTTCGAAGATCTTATCAACCAGCTCTCCAAGAAGCGCAACATGGAACTTGATGTTAGCAGCTCAGGAGCTCTTGCCAACTCACTGGACCGCTGCGTCGACCCAGAGAACCCCTTCTTCAACACCCTTGTCCGTATCTTGGCCACTCGATGCATGACTTCAGCCGAGTACTTCTGCGCCGGAGCCCACGCCGAATCTGAATTCCGCCATTACGGTCTCGCTTCGCCAATTTACACCCATTTCACTTCACCAATTCGTCGATATGCTGATCTGCTTGTCCACCGACAGCTGGCTTCTGCTATCGGCTACGAAGGCGAGGACGGTCATGCCGGACTAGAGGGTGTCGCTACACGCGGCAAGCTGGAGGATATCTGCCGCAATATCAACTACCGCCACCGAAACGCACAGTTTGCTGGCCGTGCTAGTATCGAATACTACGTCGGCCAGGCGCTCAAGGCGCGTGGAGAGAAGATGGCCGTTGATGGCACTGACAAGGGTGTCGATGAGGAGGGATACGTGATGCGTGTCTTTGAAAACGGTGTCGTTGTCTTTGTTCCTCGATTCGGTATCGAGGGTGTGGTACGATTGGAGGACTTTGTGCTACCGGGAGAGTCTAGTGGTTGGACTGTGACAGAGAGACGGGAACTTGCGCCGCATCGTACCACTGAATTTGATCCAGAGGAATACACTCTTCGTGTGGAGGAGAAGGGTCAGTCTGCGAAGGAACGAGGCGTGCTTGTCGAGCTCTTCCAGAGAGTTCATGTCAACGTCAGCTCGGTGAAGGAAGAGGGCCGTGGTGCTGGCAAGCGAAGAGTCCGCGTGCTGATTACCGGTGCTTCAAGCAAAAAATAAAGATGGAGCCTGAAAGAGTTATGTTAGAAACGAAACAATTTACAACGACCATGTTGTTTCCTCATTTATCTTTGATTTAATTTTGCTAGAACTGTTTCATCGTATATCTACTATACTATTTGCTAGGCTTCTAATTTTTATACCTTTTTGGCCGTGATCATCCATTTTGCCATGCTCAATGGAGCCCATAGGTGCACATCAGAAGCTCCCACCTCCGAGCCAGATGCGATTGTTGCCGGAAGGCCTTGTTTCTCGTTCTCACCAGGGCTACCAGTCAAAGGTCCCTGTCGCGCAACAGACTCCCGTCTCTGTTCAGCACGCTCAAGCTCCCCGACTTTCCAACCACGGACAAGCCATAGACAAAACGAAGCAGCTATATACATAACGCCCGTGAATATCTGCACATGAAGATACGAAGTACCACCATCGGCAGTAGAACGACGAAGCTCCAACGCAATTGCCTCCGAGACTGTACAAGGGGCAACAAGCCACAACCAAGTGATACTCAGACCGGACGGTAAATCTCTCAGTCCAATGATCTCTGCCAACACAGGCGAAACAGTAGCCCAATAAGTACCCGAGACGGTCCCCACAAGCACAGCAAAGAAACATACCACGCCCATGCTATCGGCGAAAATCCAAATAACAAGGCAGAAGAGCCCACACATGAACGTCAGAAATGTAGCGATATTGATCCGACCCAGGCTATCGCTGAACATGCCAACAAAAGGACGTCCAAGACCCTGCCCTAAATTCAAAAGTGCCGAAACAACACTGCCCTGGTGCGAGGTCAATCCAACTGAGAGCGCAAAGTTAGCTACACTAAAGAGCAGTGCCACATAACCCAGCATACTGAAGAACCCCCATCCTAAGAAAAGAAGGAATTCGGGCCGACGCAGCAACGGGAAATGAAAAGCCGTAAACCGACTTCCGACAAGCTTATTGCGATCGCGAAGCAAATTTCCGCACACGAGATTTACCACACAAGATACGATGCCGAGAACTCGGAACGCCCAGCCGAGTCCGTAGCGTGGGATAATCGCTCCCACTGCTAGCGAGTATATTAGACCACCAAGACCTGAGCCTGCAGCCGTGATGCCCATTGCGACGCTGCGACGTTTCTGGAACCACTGTGGCGCGATACCGACGCTTCCGACAAAAAGAAACCCCATTCCCCAACCGAAGCAGACGCCTTGGCTGAGGAAGATGTGCCATTTTTGTGTCGCAAAAGAGGAGCCGATAAGGGAGAGGGTTTCGAAGAAGACGCCCATGTTCAGCACAAGACGGGTGCCGTAAAGTTGAATGAGGAATGTTGCTAATGGGGCGACGAGGAGCGCGCAGGATATGCTGAGACCACCTGTGAAGGCGTAGGCGAGGGCTGAAGTGTCGGGGAAAACATCATGGGAGAGGTAGTAGCTAAGAAAGACGCCGTAGCTCTGAATATTTTAGATGTGGGTTAGCCAATATTCGGATGAGGAGTTAATTCTCCGGCTTGCATGACTGTGGCTGCATGGAATGTGTCACTCACGCTATTGATCCCCCACGTATGGGCATTGATCCAAAAAACACAGGCAACGCAGACCCAGCCATAACCACCATCAGGGGGTACGTCGTGCTTGAACTTCTCGTCGGGGTCGGGTTGTGGGGTAATCTGGGGTTGCGCGATATCGGCAGCATGTTTGGAGCTCGTTACCGAATCCTGGTCATCTTGATGCGACTGAATGACATCGATAGGCAAATTATCTGCCATTTCCAGTTTCTTGAAATGCTCTTCCAAGGCCCTGGGGGAGTTTGGAGAGTAGTAGAGTGCCGTTTAAAAGGTCTCCACTAGTGGCGACGGCCCCGGCTTGATCTTGGAACCCTTTGGTCTTGCTTTTGACGGTTCTCGTGACAGAAAATTAGCATTTGGGGGAAGGGAAAGGGGAGCTGCTTTGAAACAGCGGTCACATATTTGGAGTCACATCTTTTTAGTCTCATAGTCTAGTCCGTAATTGTCAATTTGGGAGCATGAAAGTCGGACTAAGTGCCGACAGACGTTCCTTGGGGCCGCATGGACCTTGACCTATACAAGGATTATGGAGAAATGTCCGGGATCCGGGGTTTGGTCATAGCTGTTCGGGGACTTCGGGCCAATCGATATTGACCATAGAGCTGTATGTATTAAGGCCCAAGGGCTCTGAAGAAACGACTGCATTGACTGGATATGAGTGGTGGTTAAGGTGGGGTCGTAGGGTTTGCGGTGCCGAAGAGCCGGTGCAAAGTATACGTAGAGAGTAGACCTACCCCAATTCCACTTTAACTTGAGAAGAGTTTGGCATTGAGACCAAGATAACAGTGATGAAGTCCATGTTGAAGCTCGACAAGAGGTAGTGAGCTGGGGGAAATGTTGACACGATTGGTGTAAACTTAAAGGAGCCGCGTTGCCTGACAAACCTGGCCAAATGTAGTACTCCGTACTGTATAATGTATTGGTCAGGTGTGAACCATCCTGGATATTCCTCATTGCCAATTCAGACGTGAAGGTTTTGACATTTCGAATTGTATACATTTCACAACAAGGAATTCTGTATGATTTAAAAATCATAAACTAAATAATTAACTATTTAATTAACTAACACTTATTCACATAGTCATGGCTTAGTCAAAAAACCCTGTAACTATGAACGTTGGATAAAAAGGACCGATAAGCAAGGCGGGAAAGCCCTAAGCCCTAGCCCAAATAGGCAAGCCATGATTGCATTGGTTGCCCTGGACGGTGTTTGTTTGGGCCCGCAGTTGGGTAGAGCGGAGATAGATCGCGACCCGCTCTTAATCACTTTATCTTCCAGATCCTGACGTCGTTCCTCCGTTGCATTGCCGGAATCACTGCTACTGGGATTATACGGCAAGGATTCGAGAAGATAACAAACATGATGCACAAAAACTCCAAGACTGGCCAACGGAAGGTCTCTCCTCCTGGCCCAACTTACATGAACGGCGATCAGATCGGTAAGTTGGAGTTGATTCATGACTCATGCTGCTTCCAATCCCAACTGGGATGCCCCTCCGATATATATGGACTGTGTTTGCCTGGATTATCAAAAAACCACCGGAAGAAACATTGAACTAACGCGCCTCGATAGCGAACTACTTGAAAGAGCTTCGATCGAACCGTCCAGCTCGTCCCACCGGCTCTCGCCCATATCCAGGAAAATCAACAACATCTACAACTACAGCTAGCATTCAAGATGACCTACCTCCGCGCGCTTCCTCCGCCTTCTCCATGCATCGTCCGTCTGAAGAACCCGTCGAAGAGCAACCCCGTGCTGGCAGCTCATTATCGCATCGCCGAACAACTTCTCACGTCCCCCAGAGTGGCACCACCGAGCGTCCCTTAGCCCAAGGGCCACGCTCAATGTCTGTACGGAAGAACGTCTTCCCGGCGCAAGTCTTCTCACGCTCTGTTCCAATTACTTCATCTCCGGCTCCCTCTTATCGTGAGAATGGACATAGACTACAAGAAAAAGAGGAGGCGCGTTCTCTACGTGATGCTCTGCAGGGTGTGAACTTGGAAGATGACGAGACTCGCATCCACTCGGCAGCCCAGAATGAGGCTACAGAGCTGGTTTGGATGCACCAGAACCCTGGCATGGCCAACAAGAACCCCTACGCGCCTTATTACAACCCAGACTCTAGCAGGGGAGGTCCAAGCCCCGCACGAAGAAGCTCCGACTTCTCCTCCAAGAAATGGCGACATTCAGTTGGTTCCAGTGGCTCCTCGAGTAACCCATCGAGTCCAGAGTTTACCATGGACTCGTCGAAAAGACGGTCATCTCGGGCGGGTAACCTGAAGAAGAATCTCAAAGTGAATTTCGCCCTGCCAGACGATCCACCGGAGAAGCCCGCTTCCAAACCTCGAACAGTCAGTGGTGACTCCTCTAAGGGTGTGTTCAACAATCCCAATGACCATATCTACGAAGAACCCAACCAGTTCAGTAAAGAAGCAGCCGACGAGCGGCCTTTCTTCTCAAGGTCCGCCTCCTCAGCATTACGAAATGAACCCCGCAATGCACTTCCCCGCACTCCTAAGCCTCTTCCCTGGTTGCGGGATCGAAACAGCAATGGGTCTGTCCGTGACAAAATTTCCAAATTCGACATTCACAAGAACCCACCTACCCAATCTCGGAACGCTGGGTACACAAGAAACGAATCGACTCCACCACCCGCACCCTCTACCACGGAAGACGAGATCCCCACAAAAGATGGAATTGAGATCCGCAGTGATGACATCCGAGCTGCTACCAGCAAACGGCTCAAAGACCGAAGTGAGAATCTTCCTAAGCCTTCTGCCGTTAGTGATCGAGTCGGGCGGCCGATCGTGAGTTTCGATCCCAAGTGGCAACCAGCAAACCAACCAAAGTCCGCTGCACCTCCATTACCCATTATTGAGATAGCAGCGCCTACCATTGAGGTCACGCCCAGCATTGAAGTGTCTGCGCCGCCTCCTATTCCCGTGATCAATATACCAGATATCAAAGAGCCAACCATCTCGGAATATAGCTCTTCTACCAAACAAGAAAGCAGACCCATGAGACAAGCGCCGGCAGCAGCAAACCGTCCGGCTAACCCCAGGCCCCTGGCAAGACAGCCCTCGGAGCCACAGAGTCGGTGGACCACACCATACAGCCGGTCCGGTGTACCGACTGCCAGCTGCGAGGCCTGCTCGCTTGGTATTTCTGGAAAGATCGTTACTGCGGGAGGATGTCGATTCCATCCGGAGTGTTTCGTCTGCTTCCATTGCCAGACGCACCTAGAATGCGTAGCGTTCTACGAGGAACCCGCTGCCAGTCGCGATGAACGCCTGGCAAGCTCACCGGATGAGGACCGTGTGCCTCGGTTCTATTGCCACTTGGATTTCCACGAGCTATACAGCCCTCGATGCAAGAGCTGCAAGACCCCTATTGAGGGCGAGGTGGTAGTTGCCTGCGGTGCAGAATGGCATGTCGGCCACTTCTTCTGTGCCGAGTGCGGAGATGTAAGTGTAACCTTTCTTCCTTATTGCCCCCATAAAAATGTGACCTTGCTAATTATATTTCTTTGCAGCCTTTCAATTCGACGACTCCCTTCGTTGAGAAGGAGGGCTTCGCCTGGTGCCTCAATTGCCATTCTCGCCGTACTGCATCACGTTGTCAGGGCTGTAAGCAGCATGTACTGGATGATGTTGTTGTCAATGCTATTGGTGGACAATGGCATGAGCGCTGCTTCGCCTGCCACGAGTGTGGTGAAGGATTCGGTCCAGAAGGCCGTTTCTTTGTTCGTGAAGGCGAGCCGAAGCGTACGGCCAAAGGTCGTATCATTGGTGGACCTGTCCAGCTAGCTGTCTGTGAGCGATGCGAAGGCATCCGTCTCAAAGCGCCTGGCATGTGTTGAAATCTTGATACAATCTTTCGAGAAAGGTTGAACGATCTATTATGATATTATTGCATGATGATTTGTCGATTGAAATTCCGGATAACGACTTGTCTTCTTCATATTTCTGTTTGCGTTTGTTGAGTTTCATTTTATCTTTGCACTTTCCGGGGTTTTCGGTCATTAGCATGAGCAGATTGGTCATTTTTGTTATTAGCGTCGGTCATGGTATTGGCAATGCATGATATAGACATTCAAGATTAAACCTATCAAATTTATCGATCTCTTTTTTGGGAAAACACCCCATACGTAGTCCTTCCAAAAAAACCCATAACTCAAGCAGGCCACTCGGGGTTCTCCTTCCTCCTGAAAACAGCCACATGCTTATTTCCCTTATTCCTCGAGACCTTCTTCGACTCCTCAGTCTCACAAGACATGACAGTCACACACGGATCCTGCTCAAGCTCCTCGCCCTCGACACGCTCCCACAAGAACTTGGATGATCCAGCCGAAACATCCTCACCCTCCTGTACGATGAAATGCCGCAGAATCCAATGGTGATACTCCTCGACATCAGTGATCGAGTACAGCTTACCACCAGGCCGCAACAAATACGCATACTCGGCATTCAGACTCTCCGAAACGATGCGAGCCTTGTGCTTCCGCGCCTTGAAATGCGGATCAGGGAAACAGATGAAGATCTTGGAAAGCTGAGCGCGGTTGAAGAAGTTGGGCAGGAATTTCATAGTGTTTGCGCGAAGCCCGGAAATGTTCTCGTAGTTACCGGGAACGAGAGCGTTTGTGGTACCGACTTCATCTTCAGGAGCGTCGGCATCGGCATCGGCATCGGGGAGAGTCTCTGTTGTTTGCTCTTCTTCTGATTGCTTTTCTTGTGTGGTCGAAGGCTCGATCTCCATCCTCGACTTCAATTGCTGTTGGCGGAGACGCAGAGCTCCGACGCGAGAACGAACATAGTCCGACACGGAGGTTCGGATTTCCATGCCCAGTATTAATGTTTCTGGGAGGAGGGGGGCCAGGCCGACGAGGAGACCGCCGAAACCGCAGCCAATGTCGACGACCTCGACATCCTTGAGGAGCTTGCGATTACCGTCGAGGTTTGTGTGTGAGGGGTCTTGGTCTATGAAGGCCGGGTAGTGGGAGGACCAGTCCATGTGATTGGGAGATCGGGGACTGGTTGGGCGAAAATGTTAGCTGTAGTTCGTTCCATTTCCCAGAGCATGTATGCATGCATGGTGGACGCAGATATCCGTTGCGGAGCAGTAGCAGTTTGGTAGTAGCTCAATGATTTAGGCCCTCTGCTGCCGCAATATTTTATTTCGGTGCATGATGGAATAGAGCGAGTACACGTACTATTCAAGCTTGTGGTCCGAAAAGACATTGGCATGCGCGCGCTGCCGGAAGAATTTCTTCTGCGGCATCTTGACTTCGCCATCAATGGTGGTCTGCTCGCCGAGCTTGCGGCGGTATTCCTCGCGCTTCTGCTTCTTAGTCGCAGAAGGAACATTAGGCGGAGGGGGAGTCATGGTGAAAGGTGAACACTGGGTTCAAGTATAGGTCGTGTGTGTAATGGCGATCAAGTGGAATTGAAGAATAATTTGCGGAAGTTTTGCCCCACTACTCCGATTGGCTTCTCACATAAGCTCACCTTGGGGTTCTTACAGCTGTTAGCCTTTACCTACTCCTTTACCTTGTCTTTCTTTCTCCGAAGCAGATTTCCCATTTTCCGTTGTCTTTTTCCACGTTCTCTTCTTCTTCTTTTATCTAGACTACAAAGCATATACATGACAACAATGTCAACCACAACAGTGGCAGCCTTCTCTTTCCCTTCGACGTACAACTTCCCGCCCTTTTTCACCCCGCAACCGAATACCAACACCCGCCAAGCCCAGCTCGAGAAATGGTCCTCTTTGATCCAGTCTTGGTGTCGGCACCACAGACAATATCGCCTTAGCCTGGTTGAAGCAGTAGATAGCCCTCTCTTTCACAATGCAGCGCTGCGCAAACGATTAGATCTCCGTGAAGCCCGCGCGGTGATAGACTGGATGGCCAAGAGCGAAGAGGAAGGTGGCGGTGGTCAGCGCGCAGAATGGATTGATTCTTCTTCTGCGGGAAGCCAGGGGCCGAAGTCTGTGGCGTGGATTTGGTGGCGGAGGCCAGAGGAGTGGGCGGATGTACTGGTGGATTGGGTAGAGGGCACAGGACAGCGCGGGGCGGTGTTGACTGTTTATGAGCTTGTACAGGGAGAGGCGACGGCAACACAAGGTGGGAGCCAACAACAGCATCCAGATACTAAGTAGTACCTACTGGTATACTAATCTTCCGCTTACAGAATTCCATGGCATGGATAATGATGTCATACTAAAGTCGCTAAGCATCTTGTCCAAGCGCGGCAAAGCGCAAGTCTTTGGAAGTGAAGGACAGGAAGGAGTCAAGTTTTTTTAAACGTGGCTATTCGTGATAAAACGCTCAGATAATCCCATGTGTGCAGGCCGAGCCTGACCAGTGCGCCGAAAATATGTTACATGGAAAGACTAAAAAAGCTAAGACCCGGAACCAAGCGAAGAGTGGAGCAGCACTTCCAGTCTACTCTTCTTCGTTGTCAATCATATCCTCCGTCAACTCATACTCCTCGGCACCCTTTAACTCCTGTGACATAGCCATGTCGAGCAGCCAGTCTACTCGGACAATCCGTGCGGCTCGGTCGATATCGCCCGCTACCTGGCGGAATCGGGGCCAGAGACGAGCATGCTTGGATTCGGCACTGCTTAGAAGGAAGACATCATGTCGTCCAGTCTCATAATCATCAGGATCGGTTTCTTCTTCGTCATCGCTTTCCTCTCGTCGGGAAGGATTCGTGAGTGCAAGGCGACCACGGAAGAGCATGCACTCGCCGCCATTCACATCGACGATGGACTTGAATGCTTCAAATCCACCACGAATGTCCTCGACACAGTAAATGCGGAAGCCGCGCAGAAGCTTGTTCTTGTTTGCTTTGGCATTTTCTGTGGCCTTGACCAAAGAGAATCGGAACTTATTCTCGGCCGCCTTGTCAATCAGCTTGAAGTCCGATGGGTTAAGCAACTTGTCTTGCTTGAGGCAGCTGGTGATAAAGTCTGTATTCACAATAATGGGTGCGTATGCCAATGCATTTACAAACTTTGTGGTACGCAGAATGGACGGTGCCGCCATATGGGTGCACCGCCGAGCATCCTGAACCACCATGATGCCCAGTTCACGGAGATGTCGCTATTGCAAAATAAGCACAATCCCTGTGTATAGAGAAAATTCGGAAAACACATACCTTATCTCCATCCTCCTTCTTCTCGTTACCTTTGCCCACCCAATTTTGGTAGCCAGTAATCAGCAAGTGCATCTTGATAGCAGGTAGAGACTTCTTTGCTCTTTTGGCATCGTTTATTTGCTCACTGCCACTCTCTTCATCGGCTTCGACTGAGCGTCGCTTCTTCGGGTTGTCATGTACACGGTCGTCATCTGACTTTCGTCTACCGCCATGAATGACGCCTCCAACGCGCTTTCTCTCCTTTTCGTACAGAGCAATGTCAGGAGCAAGCTCATGGAGATGAGCAATCGCTGCCTCCTTGGATTTACGGCTGCTGACTGACGACGGGGTCTCATTTTCCTTGTTATCGGGAATAAGCCGAGACCGAGCAGGGGTCTGCACCTTCTCCGAAGGCTTGCGGGTCTTTCTATTAGCTTGTGGGGTGCCACTCTGTTTGGAAGCCTCCTCTTTGTCTGTCTGGATTTTATCAGCAGCCAAATCCGACGTCACTTTTTGGTCTTCATATTGCATTTTAGGCTCGGGACTCAATCGCTCCGTGTCCTCAGATGAGAAAAAATTCTTCTCGAGAACATCACGCTCCAGCATCCTCTGACCCGCAACGTCACCCAGGTTGGTGCGTGAGGGGAAGTGGTTGTAGCGAGAGTCAGAGACGGGCTGCATCTTCCACTTGGCATAACTGTCTTCCAGCCATAAATGGTTGACTACCTGCAAGCCCCATTCTCTCGCGGCGCTGCATTTTTCACTCGTCCCATGTGCGGTGATCAAGTGGGTGTTTTCCTGCTTCAGGGTTTTTGTACACTCGGCACCTGCAGCGACGACCAAGCTTTCAAGATAAATTCTGGCCTCCCCGACGTAGTTGGATAGACTGACTTTGAGTCCTTGGAACCCGGGTATCGGTGTGCGAGAAACCGGGTAATGGAGCATTCGGCTCAGGGGCCGAGTGTATTCATTGAAGGTCATCAAAGAGTAAAGCCAGGCAAGATTGCCAACTTCCTTGTCCAGTCTTGAGGCGGTTCGGTAGACAAAGCCCTCACGGAAGCGACAAATAACCCAATCTGCTTCGTTGACGTTTCCCGTCACTGTGGCACCACCCCGCTTGATAATCGCTTTAATGGATTCCAGTAGGCGTGAGCCAATGCTCAGATCGGGGGACAACATGATGCATTTCCCATCAAATACATTCAGGTCAAGCGCACCTTGGGAATCATCGTTTAACGTGGGCGGAGCAGAGGGCTCAGGGGTCAACGCGCCAGTCAGACCTTTATTTCCGGTTCCTCGAATCGGGTCATCGGGGTTGGCGCGCAGAATCTCCGGGTCTGGTAATGTGTATGGGCGTTCGTCAATGCGTCGACCAAGTTTAAGGCAATCGTCAAACCTGTATTGGGTCAACGGAGTTCACATTTGAATGTCATGTAAAAGACCTACCAATGAGGTAAAACAACCTTGGCACGCAGTTTTTTGGCCTGTGTCAGACGCGCTTTATCCGAGTCCATAGTTAAATCAACCAGATGAGTGACTAGAGCGGACATGCGTGGGCTGTACAAGCCGCCTTTAGCTGTAACTCCGCCAATGATGGCATCCTTATCTCCCTCGGGGATGTCACCGCATGTCACCACCACATCATGTAAGAATAAACGTGGGTCGGGGCTATGTTGGCGCGGGTTGGCGATTTTGCGTTTGGACAGAGAAGTGTGCACCCAGGAGGGCTTCACGACAGGAATTAAGGCTTTGCAGGCGAGGTCATAGGTCTCGAAGTTAATGGTGTTGGAAATAATGTGTGTGCACTCCGTCGTTTCCTCTCTAGTTGGAGTTGAATCATGGATCGATGGTTCGCCACCGTATTCTTCGATTATCGCTGCTAACTGGAAGTTTGGAAAGTGTGAGTCGATTGCGATGCGCGTGGGGTGTAGATCATAAAAAAAAACATACCTGTTCGGCGGTTTCATGAGGGAGTGAGTCTGTAGATACAATGCAGACGCGGCATTGCTCAAAGAGCTGGGGCTCTTCGTCTGCCGGCATGTTGGCTGGTAGGTTCGACTGTTGGGGGAGGTAATTGTTGTAGAGAGCATCGCAAAAGCAACGCGCGCCTCACGCGATTCTTGACGCCAAGTCACGTGAACGAAACGGTTCAACGACTGGGGAAGACATCATGTTAAGGTTCAGATAGGAAAGATAATGGAGACTGGATTTTAACCTGGAGGATTTAAGTGATGATTTTGCATGTGATTTGAGAGATTGGAAGAACGCATTCAAGAAATCACGATTTACTACGTTTACTACTCGGCAATGAGGAAGGAACAGACTGATCTATAAAACGGAAGGAGCGACCCACGATACAACTCTACTCAATCGCCCACCCTAGTACTTCTGTGTTATTTGATTGAAAAAGATGACTGGAATCCATAACTTATAACTGCCAAAATGGACAATGAGCGTCAAAAATGGTGAGTGTTGAGATAACCACGTATTTTCATCATCGTCTACTAGTACTACAATCTACGTGCTAAAAATGTGGGGCCCTCGGGGAATCAGACTTTCAAGACATACCTCGGTCTAATATCCTACTACGTATACAGTATTTGAAATAGGATCTATACAGAACATCTTGGTTTTTCTATTTAGTATCTCGCAACAAAGGGGTAATTGAGAAGCCGGCGGCACAAGAGCATAAAACAGAACCAGCAATGAGGAAAGAAGCCCGACTTCTATCTATAGCAAACCTATGTCATAATTTCTCTCGCAAATCGGTGAAACCGAAGAATACACCGATAAGAAGAAGAAATGTATGTGTACGGTCAGCTAATTTCTGTTTTCGTCACCCCAAATGAGGCATGTGTGACAATGAGCAGGAAAGGGTTTCATCCACCGCCAAAGTGTGGGTGGTAAGGATATCCAGTGGAAAATCCAAGAACGATCAGAATAGCGCCAATGCTTTTGTATTGTATTCAACAGGCCAAACTGTGCGTTACGAGTTGCCATTTGTGTAAAAGACAAAATGGCAACAAATGATGGGGCTATTTTCGGTTCAGGCAACGGGTTCAAACCAGGCAGTGTTGAGTGCTGCAGTAGAGATGTTAGGTGGACTTCTTATCTCGGGCGACGCCATTCTCGGAAGTAGGTGAGGTGCGGATAACCTCGGGAATATGCCAGAAGCGTGCCCATCTCAGATGGTAGTCTTCTTGGTTTCCGTTCAGACAGTGTCGTAGCCATATGCCCCAAATGATGTACAAGTATGCGCCGAGGCCGGTCATGATATGCCTAAAGTATAAGTTAGCCTGTTTGATTGCAACCCCAAATTTAAATAATAAGATTGCAAAGTCGAGGGGCACAAAGGAGAGAAAGCACATACCACCAACCGTGTCCCTCCAGGAGGATTCCCCATGGTAGGCCCACTACCCGTCTCCATTGGCGAATTTTAGAGCAAAAGTGGTTGTCCAGGAACCAGATTCCAAATCCGCCGAGAAACATACTCAGCCCGTACACCACCATGAACCACATTGTCTTAAGAGTTTTCGTGTCTCGCACGTTCTCGTAGTGTTGACGCTCCTTGGTAGGCACCGCTAGTCCCTGCTTCTGCCGCTCCAACCGGTCTTCTTCGCGGGATTTGCGCCACCGGGGTCGCAGAGTCACTTCCATGGTGTGCATACTGCGAAAAACGACAACGGTTGTCAGAAGAGCGTAGGCATTTTGATGGAAGACAGGATCTTGGATATAGTGGTAATATAGGGTGATGAAGACGGAGAGGAAAGTTAGCGAACATGCTAACACGATCCGCACGGCCAGTGAGCGGGTATAGGAAAAGCTAGCGTATGCCATCAAGCAGGTGGTGTAAATCATTGAAAGCTCATCAACCAGTTGCATGGGGTCTGTACAGAGGGCGAACAGTTAGCTTGAGCAGCCATGATTACAACAAAAATATGCAATAAACAGAGCTCCATTGATGACAAATCCATGACATCGAACACTAGAGAGCACCGCGCGGAAGTACTTGCATTTCAGGGTCGAATGAAACAGAAAGCTTCCGGTACCGACCACTAGATAGCCTAACAAGGCCACCAGGAAGATCTGATCATGTTGATTGCGTACGCAACTGATAATGCCCTTGACACCCAAGAACATAAAAAGCAAGTTGGTCAGAGTGTTGACGATCTCGGCGGAGTATATGGTGGCATAGTAATCCTAGATGCCGCTGTCAGCTGGGGTCTTGAAGGCATCTCAGTCTGATTGTCAGATCTGGGGTCTGGTGGGGCCATTAACGGGTAACGGGGTTCATACCTCTTCGCACCAGTTGAGGGTCGAGGTGACGGGACTCCAGAACCCAGCCTTTGACGGCGGGTACGGAACTGAGGGAAGCCACTGCATGGTTGTGATATGGACTAGAAGTGAAAGTGATCAAGAGAAAAGTGAAAACACCGCGAGTCTAAGACCTGCACATGACGTCGATTAAGGCAGCGACTCAGATCGCGGGATTTGATTGGTTCCCGCGAGACTCCGCGAGATACCGGACTGTTTGGTCCGTTTGCGGGAAACTGCGAATGTTTGTATAGAATTGTCACTATTTATTGTGATAATTCTGTTTTAGTAAAAGACGATTCAAAATATGAAAACAATAACATCAGTTTTGATCATCAAATATGTGTGTTATGGGGGAAAATTGCACTTTTGCTCTTGAACGGCCTGAGGCTGAATAATGCACCGTTATTACTTGTGCATCCGACTTCTTATCGATACCGAGGCTTTGACCGCGGATCCGATGACTTCACTTCCTCCGTTGCTTATTTTGTGAGACACTTCAACATTTGCTCATTCAAAAGCTCTGCCATTGTCGCCCATACGCCTCATTGCCTTGAATCATCCATCATTCTCACCACCTTTTTGCTGGAATGCCTGCTTCATTCCTTCTATCCTAATCCCGATCCCGTCGTTTTTTTCCCTCTAATTTTCCACCTGCATGCGGTGATATCAAACCCTGCCATTCAATTATCCCGCCCAACTTAGCGACTTGCATAAGATTCGATCAGGTATCGAATCACCATAATCCAAACTCCAGGAACTATATTCAAATATTTGAAAGCCACGAGAACTGCTTGGTCAGGTGCGCTCAGAGTACCGGAGCCATGTCCAACAATGGCGCCTACGTCGCGCCGCAGGTAAAGACAGGCACCTCAAAATGTATGCAATTCATACCAGCGACCCTCTTTCGTCCCAGAGAACTTCGACCTAACCCGCGTGATCTCGCTAGCCTCCAAAACCATCTTTCATTTCTCCGCCGGTCTCTGCTCCGGCCTCACATCCTCCATCCTCCTCCAACCCGCCGATCTTCTCAAAACCAGAGTTCAACAATCCCAGCAATCCCTCCTCCCAACCCTCAAGGGCATCCTATCCTCCCAGAATCCAATCCGTGGATTATGGCGCGGCACGCTTCCCTCAGCACTCCGCACCGGCGTAGGCTCAGCTCTATATTTCACCAGTCTAAACTCTCTCCGTCAAGCCATCGCCCAATCCAACACCCCCCTCCTCGCAAGCCAAACCGTCACTCAATCCTCCTCCGCTCTCCCTAAACTCTCTAACACCGCCAATCTCGCCACGGGAGCCGTCGCCCGTGTCGCGGCAGGCTTCGTCATGATGCCCGTCACCGTCATCAAAGTTCGTTATGAGTCCGACTTCTACGCCTACCGCAGCCTCCTGGGCGCCACCCGGGACATCTTGCGAACTGAAGGTTTCCGCGGCCTCTTCGCCGGGTTTGGTGCCACGGCGGCGCGGGACGCACCGTATGCAGGCCTGTACGTGCTTATCTACGAGCAGCTGAAACGACGGCTCGGATCCATGGCAGCCAAGGGCCCTAATAATAACACCGACGGGTCGCCGCAGGCCGTTTCCTCTTCGGGTATACATTTCGCGTCTGGAGCATTGGCAGCTGGTACTGCTACTGCTATTACCAACCCGTTTGATGCGGTGAAAACTCGGCTGCAGCTAATGCCGGCCAAGTATGGTAATATGTTGCGTGCGGTGCGATTGATGGTGAATGAAGAAGGCATGCGCAGTCTTTTCGGTGGTCTGGGTCTTCGTATGGCGCGGAAGGCGCTCAGCTCGGCGCTGGCGTGGACGGTGTACGAGGAGCTCATTCTGCGTGCGGAAAAAAGATGGGAGACAAACCAACAAATACCATTGAGCACTTGAGGTCATCCGAGCTGCTCAGCCATTCGGAATTCTTGCATTAATAGGATTGGGATCTTTTGAGTTGCCTGAAGTTGCGGGTAGCATTATGTACCCCACGATTCATGAAAGCAGCGTCCCTTGCATATGGCATTAGCCTAATATGGATTTTATACAGCTGCTTACAGTGGGGAACTGCAATATCTGCAGCCTGGGTAGGATTCTGTCAACAAAAGGAATATAAACTTGGGAGATGGCTGGATACATAGAACGGAGCGGCGTATGATGATATTGGCACAAAACAGAAACCAAAAGAAAAAATGGGTTGTCATGAACATGGAATTCGTGTCTCGTTATTGTACCACTTCCTGAGCCACAGCCAACTTCGAAGAATAAGAATCTCAACTCAAAAGGAAGCGATATCAGAAAACATTCAGGGTCTCATAGCGAAATAAAACAACGCAAATGGAAACATAAATCATAAAATCGATACCCAGCATATACCGTGAAACCCCCCTCCGAATCGAAAATGGCGAAGAAACAAGTCAAACCAAACCAAACCAGACGATGAGTCTGTATGCAGCATAATCCTGTTCAATCACAAAGGTGCAGATGGTGATGAGGGAAGGCTTTATGATGCAAATAGTAGAGAGGCAAAAGGTAAAGGGTGTTCAAGGGAAAAGAGAAACAGTGACAAACTGCCAGGGGAAGTCATTTTAAAAGATGTGCATCCCCCGTGATGGGCGCTTCTTGCGAATCAGGTACATCCTGTCCTTGTTTCGGTCGTTGACCTTGAGTTCAGTCTGTGACTCGGAAACCTGCGTGATGACCTTTCGGTCACGGATCCCCTTGGTGTGCGCGAAGAGCTCCTCCTGCAGGTCCTCGGTGATCCATTTCTTGATGATTATATAGTTGCCGTCAGACTAGATGGAGTCAGCATAAAAGTCATATTTCAGGAATGGTTCATGTCAAGCTCACCTCGTCCCAGTCCCAAGGAAGGTTATAGGCGAGCAAAGTTTCTGGGAGCAGATGCCTGCGGTTGACCTAGGTAGAAGCAAAGTCAGCAATTGGTTGTAATAGTGTAGACTGTTGTATAGTTCATCGGTTTGACATACCTTGATCCAGGTGGTCTTTCGGTACTCGAACTCTTCCTCCTCCTTTTTCTTCTTCTCTTCCTCTTCTTTCTTCTTCTTTTCCTCCTCCTCTTTCTTCTTCTCCTTTTCAAGCTTCTCTTTCTCCTTTTCGAGCTTCTCCTTCTCCTCGTGCTCTTTCCTTTCATGGTCACGCTTTCTCTTGTTCAAGATATGCGCAATCTCATCCTCATCATAACCAAGATCATTCCGCAGTCTGTCGCGGAAATCGCGATCTCTCCTCGCAGCCTCTTCCAGCTGGCGTTGCTTCAGACGCTCTTGCTCCAACTTCCACTCCTCAACCGCAGCAGCCTTGAGCATCATCTCCTTTCTCATCTTTTCTTCCCTCTCGGCTATCTTCCGGCGCTCCTCTTCAATAAGCTCCTTCTTAATCTTCTCCTTCTCTTCCTCCTCTTCTTGCTGACGAGCAATCTCTTCAAGCTTCTCCTTCTTCAACTTCTCGCGCACCTCTGCCTTCTCGGCAGCCTCTTTCTCAGCGTCCTCCAACTTCTGCAGCCGCCACGCCTTCTCTGCCTTGCGGATGGACTCCTCCTCCTTTTGCTTGCGCTCAAAGCGGTCCAGTCGGCGCATTCGCTCACTGATCTCATCCTCGTACCACTCTTCTTCTTCACGCAGTACCCTGTGCTCGCGGGTATCACGTGGTGGCTCAGGCTTGTCGCGATGCTTCTCAAGCTTGTGTTCGAGTCGCTCAATCTCCTGCTGCTGCTTCCAGATCTCCATATCCTGGCGCACATCGCTGCGCTCCAGTATCCGCTGCCCCATGGCCAGCTCGTAGTCACGGTGGTAAGGTGACGGCGTCCGGGCCTGCTGCACTTGGGGCACTTGTACTTGTGGGACTTGTACTTGTACCGGTGGTGGCGGCGGCGCTTGGGGCACTTGCATCTGCATCTGAGGTACAGGCGCAGGCGCAGTAACATTCACGTTCGCGGAGAAGCCGCCGAACTCGCGCTCGTACTCGCGCTCCCGGTGTCGTCGCCGCGAGCTGCCCTGTCGCCGTGGTTCCATGTCCACTTCCTCGTCTGATTCCGAGTAGTACTGTTGCTGCCTCTGCTGCACCCGGTGGCGCGGCTTGTTACTGTTTGCGTTGCGAGCTTCGGTACGGCTATCGTTGCGGGCATCGTTGCGGCTGTCCGTGCGGGTTGCCTGCTCATTCACGATCATGACGGCTGGCACGGAGGAGTCGCGGTCACTATAGCGGCGACCGCCTGTTGAGTGAGAGCGGACTACGCGAGTAGCTGGGGTGGGCGCTAGGTATGTTTGCACCTCAGGACGGCGTTGGTGGTGACGGGAGACAGAGCGATGGCGGTCCCGGATGCGAGTGTGGCCGTTGCGACCCCGGATGGACATGTCAGTCTCGGAAAAGTCCGATTCATCTGTGGAATAATATTGAACAGGCATGTTGGGTGGTTTTTTTTTTCTTAGAAGGATGACGATTTTGGTGGATCTGTATAGTATCGAGACCCTAGTAGAGGGGGGGAGGGGCCTGAGCACTCGAGACTCGAGAAAAGACTCGAAGGCGGGGTGAGATGTGCGAGAAATAAAGAATAGAGGCGAAAAAGAAAGGCGAAAAAGAAAAAGAATAAAAAAATAGAAAAGAGTCAGCAGAAGCGAATAAGTCACAAAAGCCCCGAGAATGTGTGAACACGAGGCTTTGCTTATCGGGATCACCGCTCAGCTGAGGGCGGGGGAGGGGCTGGGAGTTGATTGGAAAAGAAAGAAAGAGAAAGTTGGAATGAGGGGGGTTTTTGCTATTTATTGCATTTGTTGCAGTCTGACAGGCCTGGAATCGCCCAGAACTGGCATTTCTTAATTCTTTAATTCTTGATGTATTTTCTTGAATTTCTTGGATCCTTCTCTGCATCGTGGTTTTTCTTCAGCCTCAACGATCAACTTCATGCATCCCAAGTGCATTACTCCTTACTTTGGGTATACTTCGGAGACATGCTTCCTACATCAGGATTCTATCCCACTTCAACCTTGAGAATATGGGATTTAAGTTGAATATACCCAAGTAGCAGAGGGAAATCCAGGAACCTATATACAAAGTCGCCTATATTTCTGTGTTCCCAATCTTCCAAGGTTTTGGGCGATAGCATCATCGTCACCAGAGACCCCACTATTCTCTCCACCGTAAAACACTGGTAATTTCAATACACTTGGATTGTCCCCTGCGGCCCTGCCCCACCACCTGCACATGTGGGCATCTCTCTTCTCTCACAGAAACTCCAGGGTCCAGAGCATTCCAGTGAGCTTGCCTATAGGGCCTGGAAGATGATCATTAAGCAAAACACAGCCCTATACGGCACATGCAAAGGCGCTTGAGATTGAGATTGAGGCGTCTTTTGAAACGACCCTGAGACTAAACTTAGTTCTTGGCCCCCGACTCTGGGGACCCGAGCCGTGTTGGAACCTAAACATTTTATTTTTATCTTCTATGGAATGTTGGGCATGAAGGCACATGTGCAGGGTAAAAAACACCAGTTGACCTGGGTATATATATACTTACCTGGAAAGAGTGTCAACATTCAAATGTTGAAAATACTGAAGAGGTTGGAATATCTTGATTCTTTAGAGATGAACCAAGGCACCGATCGGGTGTTCCCGCCCAATGATCCAGGGAAACTCGTGACTTTCCCACATGACTACTAGTAAATACCAAATACCTTGAGATACCATGGGACCAGTTGACACTTCAGTATTTGAATCCAGACATCCAGATGTCTGGATGTCTGTATATTTTTAGTCTACTTTGCATTGAAACATCTCAAGTGCTTCAACTTGACTAGCGGCTAACTCTCAATTGAAACGAAAACTTTCAGCAAGTGATCCGCATGCGATGCATGCGATCGCGCCGAGTATTGTCGATCGCTCCACACTGTTCAAACTTCAAAGTGACATTCGCTAAATCTTCAAATCAAGTTTCAAAGCTCTGGAGTCGTACAGAAATCTTAGATCAGAGCCCTTGAGAGTAATTCGCTCTGCCCGGACTAGATCTGCGGCTCTTAGAAATGTTAGGCGCTTCGGGAGCGTATCAGATACATGTAGTACCTATTCTAGGTATTAAACTAATGCCGTTAGTAGTGGAGTAAGACCGGCTGATGGCGCTAATTTGGGATTTGGAGAGACCTCATCCACCACAATTTTACTGAGCAGTCATCGAGACAAAGTACCAATACGTAACATTTGAATACCCCATGATCATGAAGATTCGCAGGTATTGCAATTCACCGCCACGAATGGAAACCCGGAGCATATGACGGTAACCCGAACAAGGATTCAGCCTGGTAGCCGAGTGGTGGATAGACGTCATAGTTAATATCGACACCGACGATCGGGCCCAATCAGATGAAAATTCACACAGAAAAGCGATTGGATGTGCCATAGCGCAGAAATGACGACAATGGCGCTGGGTAGGGCGTTCCGGCCATTTATGCCACACCTGCCATATCTGTGGGGCAAAATAACGTTGAATTAAAAATCGTTGGATTCTGACTAGGGTGATTACCTTGTACATAGTACTGCCTAAATTCTATGTAAAGAATCTTATCAAATGAGAAAGTCAGCCTTGGTTCTTTCTAGCTTCAAAATTTGGTAGACTATTGCTATAGAACCACTGTCTCTTCTATGTCCCGCACATCGTTCACCCAGAACAGAGATTCCCATTTAGTAAATGATGAGCTCATCTTTATTGGATACCCTAGTTACTGCGCTTGCTTACCTGACCACCATCGTGAACTCGGATTTAAGTTTGTGACCAACGGCCATTGTATGAGTCGTTTCTATCCAACAATCACGTGTGGATTAAATACATGGTCCACGGATAGGTTAACCCTAAACCCTTACAAAAAACAATTTCTTGTACTTCATAATTATAATTATAATCTTCTTCTTCTTCATCTTCTTCTTCTTACATCTCTCGCCAAAGTCCCTCCACCACTTCCACACCATGGATCTTTCGACACGCTACTTGTCAATGTTCTCTCTTGTCTGGTCAGTTCATCAAGATATTGAACGGGCTGCATGAAAGGCAATCCAACAAATACCTAAGCTATTGATATCATCAAAAGCTGACGTTTACTCACCTCAGACCCTTTTCATCTTCTTGCATGCTTTTCTTAATACATGCAAAGCCCTAGAGCCACCTGCCCCATCAACACAATCCTCACATGGAAAGTGTGCCCAGGTACCGACATCAAAATGCATAAAACCACGGTAACGGCTTCGGCTATCTTACAAGAGTCTTTGCCAAACCTTTATATAAGAGCAAACCACAAAACAAGACCAGCTTCCTATAGAGCTCTTCCATCTATGGCATTAAACTTCGGTATACCCTGGTCCATCAATGAGTACTACAGAAGACCTCAGACATGGCGTGGGGGTACATGTATTGAACCCAAGCAAGAGTTTCTGCGAGAGTTGCCCTATGGGCCGTGTGGGATATCAACCTGATGGATCGGTACAGCAACGAGCAGGAATGTATGCGGGAGCTTGTCAAGCAACGAAGTTCAAGAAGGGTTCGATCGGCTTCCTCGTCAAGCAGTATTTTAACGGAGCCAGTTTGCAGGACTTTGAAGACAACCAATCGGGTTTAGCTCTCGGTCTCTACAGGAGGACGTTTGGGACTTCCTGCTTTTATGCATCATCCTTTTATGCATCATCGAAATGTCCACCATCGGGTGCCTGAAGAACACCACTTGTTCTGTCCTTTTGCCATTATGTTCAAAATGCTCTCTACTATGAATTTGAAATTACTGGTAGATTGTCAGGTATTCATGAGAGTATGGATGTTGAAATCAGAGAACCACAGGACAAGAAAATGCGTGTTTAAAAAATGAAACAACTCTTTAGATCTCCCAGTCCATACAGTCCTCCTCGTATCAAAGTCAAACAATGTTGCAATCAGAACTGGCCCCGGAATTATTGTTCTTCTTCCGTTCCAATTCCTTAATCAAGAATTGCGCCCCGAAAGGAGCATACCATCTCCCAACACCCACCTCAGTCATCAGGTGCCGGTATCCCTTCTCTTGTAAAATGTCCGCGTTCTTCCAGAACAAGCCTTCATCAGACAGCGCATCCTCCGAGCGCGCCTGCACAGAATCCCGCTCAAACTGCATTCGTGGATCATCCGTCATCATCTCGGACGGTAACAGAGGCTTCGACTCAACAAGCGACCTCCACACCAAATCCTTGGGCGTCCTTCCCGAGCCCAGATTAATCCATCGAGTAACAACGAGACAGACATCGTTCGGCCCAAACTCTCGAACCTGAATCTTCCACGACGTGTTGCATTTCTTGCAGCGTCCCTGCAGAAACAATTTCTCCGGCCGTTCTCCCAGTTGAAACAATCTCAGCAGCTCGCGGATTTCATGCCGAATGCCGTGACTATCCTGAGACTCAAACCCAGCTGTGCTAATGTGCCAACAGATTCGGACCCAGTCAGTCCACAGGTCCGGACTGATTAACCACACTTTCTGGCGGCAGGCCATGGCCAGTTCCTGTGTGCGCAGGCATAGAGTCGGAGCATGAGGGTTCTTGGCACAGATACGGGCATCGACAGAGAAGAGAACATTGACAGAGTTGGGTCGTGTCTCTTCGTGAAGGGTTAATTCTTTAAGGCGCTGGGTGTGTTGAGAGGGGGTCAGGGGGTTGTTTGTTGTTTCTGCGACGGGACAGATTGCTATCTCTGTGTAGCCGAGGCACTCGACGGGGATACCGAAGTTATCGCCGTGCTTGAAGCTACGCATTGCTAGCTGAAGGTGAACGAAAGAGAACTGGTAGGGCGTGTAGCTCGGGTAGTGGCAGAAACGGAGAGTCTGGTCCATGTAGAGATGGTGGTAGCCCGAGTAGGTAGTGCCCGAGGCCGGAATGCCATGGCAGTTGGGTGGTCTTTTGGTTGGTCCTGGCAATGGGACGCTGATGGCGCTGTGCAAACGTTTGCAGCTGTGGCACAGGTAGTTACGCGGCTCGGTTTTGTCGAGTCGAACCAGGAACTCGAAGAGGAAGTATTCGTCGAAGTTGAAGTTGTAGAATTGGATGACGGGGAAAGAGGAGAAAAGCCACTTATTGCAGACAGCAAGGCAGAGAATATCAAGGGGCTCGAGATACACACGTATTTCATCGATGATCTCCAATGGAAGATCACCCAGGTTTGGTCTGGGCTTTTCGACGATGACCTGTTTCTTCCAGTCCTTGGTCGGACCGAATATGTCGAAAATAATATTCTCGTACATTGTTCCTTTCTGGTCAAAACAATGCTGATTGGAGGTATTGGGTATCCAAAGTGGAAAGTCAAATGGCAAACGGGATGAGAGGGGGGGATTCATGAAGAGGAGATGAGAAAATGGGAGGATGAGAGGATGAGAGGATGAGAGGACGAGAGGGCGAGAGGATGAGAAGATAGTAGTATGGATGAGAAAGCGTGAAGCGTGGAGCGTGTTGTTGGTAGCAAACACGTTAAGAAATCAGCTTAGTCGTCCTCAGGCTTCACCCAACACAGTATAAGAAGAAAAGAATCATAGACCAAGCCTTTGCTACTACCTTGAAGCATACTAGTAGTATCAGCCGGTACAGGCATGATGTAAACCCCAGGACACAGAAACTCCATATAGATTGACTTTCATATTTTATAGATATGGGCGAATAAGACAAGCATTTTCACCAGTCATCTTGAAATCATGTACCGGAGTAGAACAAATGCAAAATGGTCAGTCTAAGAGTCGATCAAATCTGCCACTTTTTGACGTAAAAAGCTTAGGCATAAATAAAGCTCGAAACAGAAGTCACTCGCCGCCATTGATACATCACGGATTGAGACAAAGTACCTCCGAGTCCCAACCTCGAAAATCAAAATAGATTCATAAATGAAAAGAAGAAGAAAAGAGCACACGAGATCAGATACTTTATTGAAGGTCCGCGGCGCACTTTCTCGCTATCCCACCAAGGCCAGGATCGACTTAGGCATAAGCTCACAGCATCATGTGAAGTCCACTCATCTTGATTATGTATGCTGTTCCCCAAGTGCTAGTAAATACCCAGTCTATACCAATGATTAGTACTAACTCTAAGCTTTCTCTGGATCCTGCTTAATAAAAGTATGTGGTTCCTACCATGACCTGGGAAAATGGACTTGAATAATGATGTTTTAATTTTTTTTTTGGAGATCAGTCAGCTGAAACAAGCCTAGCACCCCCCTTATCCTGAGAGTGGATTGCTAGGTTATTCCAAGGTTATTGACCCTGACAAAATACTCCTGGGTATCTAAGGCCGGTCAAATGACATGAAGTAGCTCCTGTGGATCATGAACACATTCATGTCTATCAAGAAAAGGGGCCGGTACCCTTCTCCTTTCGTACATCAACCACACCTCGTCGATTTGATGCTCTCGAGCATTTAGGCATGACCACCCTGCCCACTGGTATCAAAAAGGCTTGACGTTGAAGCAAGAGATAGATAGCAAATTGCCTAGAGAGCCCCCGAATTCCTTGCTCTCCAGGACTTCATGATACCAATCAGATCACTCATACCGTCATCTCCATCCCAATCATCTTATGAAATTTTTATATCGCCTCAAATATCTTACGCACGTCCTCCAGACTTAATGATCTGCTCAAAGTTTTCCCGGCTGTTCTTGAATGTCGTCTCGTGGTAATGCAGCTTCTTCTCCAAGTTGGAGATCTCGGCCTTAGACTCGGAGCTCTCGCGAGTGAGGCGCTTGTTAACAGTATCAATAGGAACGTTGACAAACCTACATTCCCGGCATAAGTCAGTTTCACTGCTAGCTAGGCACCATAAATAAACAAGGCGGAGAGAAGAAGAAGACTCACATCTTTCCTACACCTTCGTACACTCTGGTCTCGTCGGGCAATTCCGACAACTCCTTAGTGGTCAACTGCTGCATGCGGATTTCGCGCTGCTTAGCAGTGAGCTGGGCCTTGGTAACACTGATCTGCTGCTGTGAGGCCATGGCACGGGTTTCAATCTCTTGCAGGAGCTGTGTGGCGCGGTCCCGTCAGTCAGTGATCGATACAGTTTGTAGAGAAGCCGCAATCTAGAATCTTCCAGATTTGCGTTTATGCCGGGAAGAGTTTCCTTACCTTCTGCAGGGCTTCCGGAGGGACCGACATTGTTGTGATTGGAGTCGGCGGCTTGCGTATAGCTTCGCGTTCGTTGGAGGGGGAGGAGGGGTCGAGTGGGGTGATGGGTTGGCGTAAGAAGGCTGGATTGCTTGTTTGTAGGGAAAGTTTCGGGATAGCTTCACAGAGCTGTGGTCGGATTGGCTTGGTAAAGGTTCCCGTTTCTCTGTCAGTACTGCAGGTGGAAATGTTGACGATAGAGATCAGCTTGAGCGCTTGGATGATGGAGGCGGTGGACAAACGCTGGGCGGTGAGACCGTTTGGCCGGACTTAGGGCTCAAGGAGAGTTGCATACAAAATGTACTAACGCGATTTTTGGGGTTTGAAGGTTCAAACATGGCGACTTTGAAAATCTGAAATGCAGATTTGTACACAGGGCGCCGGAGCACTGGATAGAGTGTTCTTTGCGAGATCTAAAATGGTTGAAAATGCAATGCTTACATACACTAGAACTGGGAAATAGTTAACTACAAGGTGCTCAAATACTCAAATACTCAAATAATAAATTCCTCCAGCGAGTTTCAATCTACCATATTCAGTTCCTTAATAAATAATCACAAAAGTTCGGAGTGAAAGATTCAATTCAAGATCGATCTGAGCAAGTAGATAAATGGAGAAGAAAAAAAATTAGAGCCTGCAGAGGGAAGAGAAATAAAAGATAACCTCCACGGGACCATTGCCTGAAATCCAACCTTCCTCCATGATTTTGCCTCACACAATCCTTAAGTGCGACCGCCTTGTTGCTTGTGAAGCTCCCTAAAAAATAAAAAAAAAAAACATTCCAGAAGAAAAGTACCAACGCAAAGAGAGAATTCCGCCTTGTATGTCATGCCTCGTATCTTGTCGTGAAATCTAACAATCTAGAGTTTCGACAGAGGAGCTGCTTCCCACGACTCACCCATATCATTGAGACTATGGTAGTGGTTGGGGTCCCACGAGGGGTTATGTTGCAAGCTTGTGGGGAGAGACGAGGACATCAATGGAGCCTGGGGGTATTGAGCCGGGCTGGACGCACCCGACACAGCCGGCACACCCAGGTATGTGTCCCGTTCATTCCATTCCGGGTAGGGGTTTGGAACTGCAGAATACGCAGGGGTCAAGATGGATGTGTCTTCGGACTCAACCTTGTAGCTGAGCACCTGGGGGTCCAAGCTTCCCTCCACAGAGACACGACCGGAGATAGCGTCGTTGTGATGAGGTTGCAGGAGATCATGGTGAGAGCCACCAGGAAGTCCATTAAGGCCATTGGAAACGGTCCACCTGCGGTGGCCCTGATACATGTCCTCATAGGGGGTCGTCATCATTTGCAAGGCAGTGTTGTAGTTCTGCATTGGATATCCACCAGACCAAACTGGTTGTCCAAAGGAAGACATCTCTTGAATAGAGTTCATCGGCGTGGTTGATCGACTGTGGTACACAACGTCAGTGGGCAGACTGTGAGACCGCTCGTGGAATGAAGCCTGAGATGGCGCATAGTCAAGATCGCTCCATGCAGGGCTGCCATGGTCCGCCACGAAGGGACCAGGGTGGGATGGAGCGACTGGCTCTGCAACTGCTGCGACCACTGGTCCCCGGTTTGGCGAGAACTTGTACTGTGGGTGTACAAAGTGGTGGTTTTTACTCTCAAGAGAAGCGATGTCCCTGTAGTAGTTCTTAAGGTCTTCGGTTTCTATGTCCCAGCTGGCGGCAATCCAGCTATTGACAAACTGATAGTTATTCTGGTGTAGAAAAGCCTTTGCTCGCTCCGCATAGGCAGAACGATACATCATGAAGGCATTCATTGGCCGAGGGATTTTGTTCTTCTGTCTGGCCTGTTCATGACGTTCTTCAGCCGGTCGGTGGGCCCAAGCATGCATATCACGGATGGGGATATTCGTCATATGAGCAGTGGAGATGCTAAATGGTTCATCGATGTCAATCTCTGTTTTCGCCTTGCGTTTGGTGCTGGCCCGGCGGGGGCGTCGTTCACGGGGGCGACGGGGAGTTCCAGCCCGACGCTGTGGAAGTGGTGACCAACTTGGGGTTGGGGAGGCGGAAATTCTACCAAGTTCTTCACAGCTGGTGGTAGATGGTGTATTCATCGCCGGATCATGGATTATCTGGGTTTCTTGATTAACTCGATGCCCATCAAATAAAATATAGAGAGATTCGAACTTACCGGGTGAGAAGTTGGCATAGAGGAATGCCAGAAAGTTGATGGCTGAGAACGAATCTTTAAGAGCATTAGAATCTGGGATCGAGGCAAGTCTTGAATTACAAAGGAGGGGCACCAAAGAGCCCAGGGTACTTACTATGGTCTGGTCGCCAGGGGAATAGAAGACCTGGCCAGTAGCATCTGTAAATGCCCTGGGGAAATCTCTCTCGATCAATTGCTCACTCGGGGGAGAGGGAGGCAAGCTCGGTGGTCCATTCCTGTCCGACATGTTTCCAGGGAGAAACAAGTTGTTGAAATCTGAAGAGTTGTAGAAGTAATGGATAGATATTCTCTCTGAAGATTCCGTCTATCTTGATAGACAGTGCAGAGGGATTGCAGAAGAAGGAATTCTTTCCAAAAGGAGAAAAGAAGGGGAAGAAGAAGAAGAAACTTGAAGGAAGCTTGTGTTGGTGATACGCGAGTTTGTGAGGAGACAGTCTCGCATATGCGAGCAGAAGTCGTAAATGCTAGCTCGTAATCCGACACAAGTGCAGAGACAGAGACGGGCAGATGAGACAAACAAGAGAGACACAGTGTAGATTGAAATTCCTTTGGCTCAAACAATCCACGTTTGAAGAGTATGGTTGGTTTGAAAGGATAAAGTGCAGATTGAATGGAAGTTGCAATGGGTGGGTCAGTTGAATAAATAAGAAAATGGGATAATGGGGCAAAGTATTCAGAGTATCAGTGTTAACCGGCAAGATCCATTCTGAGAGGCTGAAACTGACTCAAGCTTGGAGAATAACAATATAGACCGCAATAGTATCTTTCTTTTGTATTTCCTGATTACTTTATTTTCTATTTTCTTTTTTCTTTTTTTTTTGTCGATTTTATTTTATTTTTATTTTATTTTATTTTATTTTCGATTTTCATTTCTGGTTTAGGCTGTGACCAGGATAATTTTATGATTTTATGATTTTATGAATTTATCATTTCGGATTTTCGTATTTTATACGATTTTTTTGTTTTATTTTCTCTTTTTTTTTTTTTTACAAAAACCCTCCTGTTGAATAATCAATCTCTATTCCATGTTTAAATCGTCTCCCTTTTTACCACTGAACAGCCGACCAATAACACCGATGGTTGGCTTGATTTAGGTAAAGGTATTTTCCCCACCATCATCTCTTATTGGTCTGCCCTGTCTATTTGCATCCGATTTAGATTTTGATTCGCTTGTTCTTTGATTCTTTTCTTTGTATTTATTTTGAGAAGAAACGAAGGGCTCTGGATATCTGGAGTCTGTACCCTATACGAAGCATTCTTATATTCGTTCCTTTGTGCCAAATATGGATATACATTAAAGGGAAACAAAAGAGAAGGATTTGAAAATATGCTAAAAATGACATGTTTAGTAATACTCTCGGGAGATCTTTTTCGGAATATCTTCTATTCTTTGATTTAATTTTATTGACATGGGGCAGCAGGGCAGCAGGGCAGGGGAAGGGGAACGGTACCCGGGGTTGTAATGGACCGGTTGGAAACGGTCATGACGGGTAAAATCCCACAAATCTTATGTAAAGATGTCCAGATGTCGGTATTCGATGATTACGACCGCCGACAGTATTCCCATATGCAAGTTTCCAAATCCAGGAAAAATAAAAGATAAATAAGATTCCAAAAAAAGAATTAGTCGTAGGTATACTAGTAGATATTGGTTGTTTTTTTTTGGACACTATAAACGATGCCACTATGGGGCGTTGACAGTTAAATTCCCCGTTAACGTTAAGCGGAACTGTTGACTGCGTAATGGTACGTGCTGCCAGATTAGCGTGTATATGTGGTGTCCACTATGGCACGATCCACTATGTTACCCGCATGGAAAGAGATTATACCATACTACTAGCGACTGTAGTCCCTGTATACGGAGTAACAGCAGACCGATCGAACTCCTCGTGATCTGTTTTTTTTTTATCATTTTAATTTTATTTTATTTTCAAGTGTTTGACGACTATTTTTCTATAACTTCCGAGCACCGACCTCAGACAATAACTGTTCATCAGAAAGTTTAAAATCAATCATAGAAAAAGGTTCCAGGCATGCATCTATCACGAAGGGGACCATGGAATATGGAGCCCGGCAGTTAAGGCCATGACAAATGTTCCTGTAACGAATCAGATAGGGTCTAGTTAGGGAACAATAGAGGATTACAAGGGTATGACAGTAATTTTAATCCAAATCCAAATCACCCGCCGTCTATCTCGGCTGCGTAATGGTTCCTAATGGTTCTGCCTCTTTTTTTTCCCGGAGGCCCCGACTGATCGACGGGCTTGGGTGCTGACAGCCCCATAAGAAAGTGGAGTCGGCCTGGGCCGTCGGCTCAAGATACAACTAGCCCTAAATCTTTAAGTCTCCGTGTGCATGGAGTCAGTCTCTCCATAAACGCCACCTGTTTGCTGATTGGTGAAACCGCTCTCTGGCTAATCTTTCCATGATGCCTAGACTGGTTGGACTTTCGCCTGCTCTCCCGCATTAGGACAACCGCCCCTAATTTTTGTGGGGTTCTATGCCGCGTGCTCTCACTTACCAATCTCATCTCTCCAACGTAACCGGGGTTCTTTTTCCACCTCGATCGGCTCTTCGGGGGCAGACATCTCCTCTCCCCCCGCGCTAAAGCTGATGATTCGACCCTCACGTGTGATCCACTTAGGCCTTGCAGGGGGATCGACACGCCCCCTAAGGCTCCGAGATATGTATGTCAAATGATGTCGGGGAACCCTATCTTGGCGGATTTCGGGATATGTTATCCCCCACTCACCACGCGATATAAACATCAGAGAAACAGGTGGGAGAGAAGAAGATTTTTTTTTTTTTTTTTTTTTTACTCCCTTGAACAGAACCCACTGCTTCTCTCCCAGACTATAGTAATCGGATACTATGCGGCTCTGCGATTGCAGGGGGAAACGGCGCCTCCGCCGGATCAAGTTTAGCTCAACAATGCCGTTTTCTTTGATACTGACGAACTGACCGGGGTTACAGGTTCACGAGACTGCGCCCCGTGTGTTATTCTTGAAATGCGGTGAACATATTCACGGCTCACTTGGTAGAGTTCATGAGATTTCCCCTTTTGCCCCTGCAGGTCCCCGAAATCCTGTTGTGCGCAGGAACCCCCCTCCCCCCTCTCTCAACCCACGTTTTTATTTTTATCGCCAGGGATATGAATACAGGGTTTTTACATGGGTTTCTTTGTGAGACATCCTGGTACGGCGGTCAGTTCCCTATTCTGTGTCCAATGAGTTTGAACAACGGTGCTCGACGGAGGCGCAGTTTGCCATGTGGTTGACAAAGTGAGATTTTCCTGAGTACCGCATCTTCAAAGAAATAAATGGCGGAGGGCATTCCCAGCACCTAGGCTGTGGGAGCGTGTAATCTTACGCGCAAGGTGCTTATCTCAAGGGCAGGGGGAAATGGCAGTTTGCCGCCCTATGTGCAGGATCATTAAACATGGGTATAATCTACTAGTAGATCTACAGGTCTCATTTCTCACATACCATACCAAATTATCCATGAATCTATAGGTAAAGTTTGCGACTAGTGAAGATTGTGTCTTTGAGAAAAGAAAAGAAAAGTCTTGATCTACAACGAATTCCAAATCTTACGTGCACATTGTCGATCTACTGGAGTGACAGATATGGGACGCTCAGACCTCTCAGCCAAACTTCAACCTGTCAAGATCATGCAGGCGTTTCCATCAAATAGACTGACAGCACTGTCACTTCAGTTGCCTTCTCGACACTGCCCACAGGAAATCAAATTCATGACTCGAAAAAAAATACCTACACAATACTACCCTAATTGACTTTCCCACTTTTCCTTTGTAGGCTCCAGAAGGCTTGCGGAAAGTTCCGGTTGATTTACCTCCGATCACCGATATCTTACTGTCTCACTCTCAAACAGGTCGGATCTATGGGCTTTTCCAAATCCGGCGAAGATTCTAAAGATATCAAACCTTTTCTAAAGATATCGCGTTTCAAGGAGCTTCCACATGAGAGGCAAGAGCTATTTATGTCCTTTCACATTGAAGCATTTACAATATCTTCTGTGTTCTTCTATGGGAGATCGACAAAACTACGGGGGAGCAGCCGAAACTCTGCAAATAAAGAATGAAAGTATGGAGTCGACTATCCATTATCTACATCTGGAAAATCATTGACCTCCCGTACCGTGCCTTTTTTTTTTTTTTTTTTGTTCCGTGGATGACGCTAGTCAGGGCAACAAGCGGTCGTCACTATTGACCAACAGGAGAAATAAGAATTCGAAAATTAAAAAAAAAAGGAAATAAATGAAAAATTCAGAATGGAGAACATTTTGGAGAACGGAGAGAAAAGATACTCCGAGATGGCCGATCTTGCCGTGCTGGTACTCGTGCGTGGATCACTGGTTGACTTTCGCCATCGATCACCACGATTCATCCACTTCTGGTCATTGGTCCAGTTCGTCACAATTTGAGATTGTTGACCCATGGCATTTCCTGTAGCGAGCCGGTTAACCAGCCTATTACACCCGGTCTAAATGACTGGGGAGCAGGTACCGGGGTAATACCATAATGGGGAAACTTCGCAGAACATTCCAAGCCATGGCTGCCACGAGGGAAACACAATCACAAAGAAAAACTCTCTCGGGGATCTCTTGCTAATCCTTGTAGATTCACAAACATAGAGGCTCAATGGATCACGATCAAGGGGCCCGGGAGTCTTCTATCCCTTGGATTGACTTGTTTTTCGATTATATTTCAAAAAAAAAAAAAAAAAAAAGGGTAAAGATGGCAACAGTAGTGTAACATTCACTTGCCTCTTTTCCATTTCCCCCACTCAGACAAATTGCAATCAAAAAGCTGAAAAAAAAGAGAGAAAAAAAGAAAAGAAAAAAAAAGGAAAAGGAAAAGGAAAAGGAAAACATCCTCCATACCCAAAACAAACGAAGCCACAGGTGGATATCACGCTTACGCTGTCACCCAACGCCCAAATGGCCTCGCGATTGGCCTTGGTTTAACCTTGTTTTTCCTTCCACATCGTAAAATGCAACTAGAAAAGTGGTTAGCGCGTATCGGCTCCTTTACGAACGCTGATTGCTTGTGTTTCGCTGCATCTCGATCCACTATCTCCTCTTCTAGCAAGGGAAAACCGTTGGTGCCCTGTGCTTTCCAGGATTGATTTTTCTTTACGGCCGTATTCCGCGAGGTTCGCTTGTTTTTTCCTGGGCAAGATAAACATGCCGGCAGCGAGCGTCGAT